GAACGGTGTATTAATATATGATAGTGTGCACTGTACGATGGGATGTACATGCATTGGCGCCCGTATATGCATAGATGGGAAGAATAGATTAATACCTAGATTAATAGATTAATATTGAAAAATTCCTAACATTTTTATTACTAAATTTAAAAACCAATTTATTTATTTGTTCTTCTTGAGAAAAAGATCAAAGTCAAATAAAAATTCCGACAGCAAGAGGCGACTTGTCAACATGCCCACACCGGTGGGCGGCAGGGCAGACTTGGCTCATCTGGGTACATGGTGGTGTTTATCAACGGGGTTCGATCCATGGTTTTTTACCCAACCGCATTGACTTTTACCTGCCGGCTCAACCCTATCTACCCGGTTCAAACTCAATCGGAGTTCTCTTGCGAACTTTTCAGGACAAAGGTACCCATGTTGACGTGATGGGTTCCGTTTTGACTCCGCTAGACTTATATTCCTTCCCCTCTTGGGTTCCCATTACTCAATGGGTGGATATAGAGAGATATATTTGGTGATAGACATCTAAGCGATATAAAGAGAGGGGGGGAGGGAAGGAGAATTTCGACGTTCGAGTGTAGAAACAAGGCCCTCTTCCACCAAATGAAACTCGCCCGTTGAAAGGATTTCCGAATCATGGGGGCTATTGGTTTTGAATTGGTTTCAAAAGACAAGATTATAGTTTGTTTTAGTTTCTATTTCCTTCCGTCTGTGTTCTGCTACTTCAAGACCCCTCAGGGTGGAAGGAAGGGGCCGTTGGTGGCGGGAGGACAAGGCGAACAGGTGGACATGGGTGGAGTTGGTGCGGAATGCACGGCAAATGTCATAGCAATTCCAGCCGGTTGTCACGATTCGATCCATACTGACTTACCGTTTTCCTTTCTGGTACTGCGTACATTCGGTGTACAAGTGGTATGGTGGTATGCATATGACTATACTTCAGTCTTATTTTTTCTTTTCTTTTTGATCCTGTGGAATTATCGCTCCCGAGATATCGATAATACCATCAATCTGAAGCGGAAAGCAGCCGAATACTCTGGATACCATGTAGACTACCCTGGTGAATGGAGATACCCCAGCTAGGCAGGTCTCTAGGTCTGGCCCCCTCTTTCACATCCACTACTTTGGAGCCGCAGTGCTCAGGGGTAGCACCTGGGCGCTTCGAAAACCAGCAATGCCTTGTCCAGGCATAGTGTCGAATCGACAAGTGAACCGTGCCTGACTAGTAGGGATTAGACGAGTTGGTGGGCACAAGAATTATGAAACAACGGCACGTCCACTATCCCACTGTTCTCCGTAGCCCGCGCCAGCCTTGTCTGTAGCGAAAAATTAGTCTTAACGCCCTCGATGCGGTATAGGCCCGATGGATCGTTGGGTTGGCCGTGCTCGTTGGCCCCACAGCGGTTCACCCATCTCCTTGGGGAGGCAAAAACGCCATGATGCAATTTTTTTCTTTCTCAGAGTAGCCGAGGCATTGTGAAATTGAATCGTTGTCGTTTTTGTCTGCTCCGAGTCCGTTCTGTGTTGGTCCAATGAGCACGTGACCTATGTGATCAATGTGTGTCCAAATGGGGTTTAGCCTATGTTGATGGAACTATAGGGCATGCGCTGGGGGTTTGTATGGGATATGGGCAACTTGATGCTAAAATAAGAACAAACAAAAGATACGACGCAGTCTGGAATGATTGTATGAACTGATGGCGTTGAGGTACGTATAGTGATTAATATAATTTGAGTTCAGATACAATACATTCAAACCTAGATCTATCAATGCAAGTGTGGCCACTACCTCTTCGTTAAAAAAAACCATATGCATCAATTGTCTAGGTTTCAGGTTCAATGATCCAAATTTGATGTAAGATCGAAAACTTCCAAGGTTGAATTGACCACAGTAATGTAAGCTTCTCAAGAAAAGAAAAACCTTGATATATCCAGCGCGTCAGCCCTAGAGAAGGCGCTCATCCCTGCAAGCCACACCAGTAATATTGCAGCATAACCGAATAGCCATGCTGCCACCCTCCACCATGATTTGGGCCATGCTGTGTACCACGCTGAGCCCCAAATCCCAAATGACACCGCACATGGAGAAAGAAGCCGACCCCTGGCTCGTGGCTCCAGGAGCTGAGAAGCGAGACAGAAACGAGGGTGCTGATGCAAGGGATGCATGTTTGACAAGGGCATCGATCAGTAGATCAGTACATGCAAGGCTTAGGCGTTTAACTTTCGCGTTTTGACATTATTGCTTTTTTCTAACCATTATATCATTTCGTATCATGGTGGGTTGGTCTGTGTCACCGCTTGAGCCGATTCTGGACTGTACCAGTACGGGGGCTTGTTATCCCAGGTTTATCCTTGGACATGGCCAGCTTCGCCATTAACTATTTTCTATACCGAAGGCAAATTGGAAATTGTTGATGACTCCCGCGATGTCAGTTTTATCCCTAGTACCAGGTCCACGGATACGGTGGTTGCACCATGTGGCTCGTAACAGGGAACTTGCAGCTGATTCCAAAGCTCAAGTGAGCGGGATTCGGCAACTGGCATGTCTCAAACAGACGTGCCCCTTACTACACATGTTCATGTAAGTGATTATCTTGTCTCGTGCTGTATCCCGTTTTCCGTAGATCTTGAGAACGTGTCTCGGTTGTTTGACATTTCTAGAAGAAAATCCACCCCTAACGTGAGCTAACAAAGGTAAGATTTATTAGACAAAATCATAATATTCCAAGAACATTCCAAGGGAATAAGCATAAGCACTGTGTTGGTATACAGGAACATGTAAAACATGTAAAAGTATTGATTTCTGTAATGGACTATTTGAAATTTGTCATGAACTTTCGTTTGCACGACGCACGACGCACCACGAAACCCCGCAACCGATATGGGTACAAGCATGTCAGAGCTAGCAAAAAGATATGGTTTATAAGATATTACAAATTTCAATATGCGCTGTAAATCCGACACAGATAGCATGGTTACTGGGATCATCAATGCTAGAAACGCTCAGCTCTCCATCTTTGGCCGAGACTTCAACCGAACTACCCAGCCACGGGAAGAAGACTTTAGCGAATAGCAAGAAATGTTACCAATGACTGTAAGTATTGCTATTGAATGGTATTCATATTCAGTTATGCGCTTGGTGTATCGTCTCGGAGCACCCCCGGAGCATCGCTAGTTTCCTTCAATCCACCTACCTGACTGAGCACTCAGTTGACATGGCATTAAACTGTGCAATAAGCCTTAATTTATTTCAAAAGGCTTGTCTTAGGTATAAAAAATTCAAAGCTAATTAAACTGTCTTATATGATGTTTTATATCCCTTTGATTGTTAGAGTTTGCTCCCTCGCCCTGCTTAAACTCAAGCATACCATACCTTGTATGCGTTAAACATTCAAAAGAATGCACTGGAAATGGTTAGATCAATACGCTTAACTAAAGGTAAGGAGCAATCACTGGCCATAACTATAACTGCAGTATGATCTCATTCTCATAGAGCGTGAGAATGAGACAAAATCGAGCCGTGCGAAAATAAATATCTCCAAGAATATGTATTTTATCAAAGGCATCTTGTACTGACCTCGGAACCTGTCCTGAAGATTTCTCTTGTTTCTCATTCCTTGTTTCTGAAACCGCGGCGCGCATTAGATGTCTCTCATGCGAGAATTTTCACTACTCCCAGAGATTGAGTCCAGAATGATTGCTATATAGGTGAGTGACGGGCAGAATGCTCACCGTCTGCATACCGCTGCGCATGGCTGCATATCCCATCCCATCAGTAATGAGAAAACTGTTGGTTCAGTTTGCGAAGGAAATGTTTGGTCTGTCGGATTTCTCTGTCTCTTTTCTATATCTATGAATGATGACAGGGCACTTGCCTAGTCGGCTAGCGGAACAAGTACCTCATTTATGCATGTGTATATTTAAGTCTCACAAACAACAAACAACCTTAGAAGCACTACATGTCTACCATCACTGAATCCCGCTACAAAATCGATCTCATGAGTAATGATTGCTCAGGTGATCGTAGGCTCCAGGGTTAAAACAGCATGTTGGACTCGGGATCGTGACTTTTCCGCGCATGCAGGGTATGTTTCTCACTATGGCCCGGATCCCCCGGCATTTAGACCAAGACTCGCTACATTAATTTGGGGATTGGGCAGGACCAAGACGGGTAGGGGATGAATATGGTCAGGAGTTTAAGGAATGGATGCTTGTGCGTATGGCTGAGTCGGATGAGACTACCACGGAGTCTGAGGGGTGAGTGTGCGTAGCGAAGTCACGCTCGAAAACGAGCCCAGAGAGATATCTTAGGGCGACGACGTGATGGCATTGTGAGTAAGTTTAAGACTCATGAAGCAAACTTTTGTTGCAGTCAAAGTCTATGCATGCTTGTAGGGAGCAAGCACCTGGCGAAGTTGACAGGGTTCTGCTGGCAAATCGGGCTTACCGCCTTACAAATCCCTTTTTCCCCGGACATTCCCCGACCGCTTTCATCAGTGACGAAGAACTACAGTCAATTTGAATAAAGACGAATCAAAATCACTGATATAATTGTACTTACTGTTTATCACGGTGAATTGACACTCACTACGGCGGAGTGAGGGGAAGGGGTTGATGTTACATATAGATTAATGTCGACTTTAGCTGCTTGGACATGTTTCAGTTGCCCCACCGGTTGTTTCGAAGTGCTACAGTGGATATTTTAATGCGTGAATCACCATGCCTAATTCAACTTATTGAGCCGGGAGGAAATGTTAAATGAAACGAATCATGTATTAAAGTTATGGAGAATTGGTTTACATGTTAAAATTGAAGGCAGGAAATATGGAGCAGGTACTGGCTGTGGTGGTTTACTAGTAGTATTTAGGTAGCCAACAGACAACATAACAGCGAACAGCATCTGATAAAATCAACACACTCATTTTCTCGAGCTGGATCTCGTAATAAACCACCAAAAAATTTACTAAACAGCACTCCTTACAAGATTACCCCATAAAATGCTTTCCATACGCCAAGCTCTTGTTCTCCTGGCTGCCACTGCGTTCGGGTCGGTAAATGCTGCGATGGGACCGGCTTTCAGCACTGGGCCTGTATCCTCTGATTCCTTTATTACCGAGTCGGTTTCCACACTGGTTCTTCCCCGAGCTCCCAGTGACAATGAAGGCGATCTTTCCCTGTGGATCGGAATGGGCACCTCAGACGGCGACCTGATCCAATCCATCATCGACAACTGGCAATCCAGCTCTTGGGATGTGTTCGCTTATACGTTGAAGAAGACAGGTGGTGAGCAATTATTGCGTTTTATCTCTATATAGAAGAGCCAATCATGAATGCTAACTTTTGAATTTCTTTAGATGATTCCCAGGAGGTCCTCCAAGGACCAAGTTCTATGGCCACCCCGGGAAATCGAGTAACTGTACATTGTATGATAGAATCCTACTACACCTTGGAACATGTCTAATTTCTACCAGACAAATTTGATGAAACAACTGGAAACTACACCCAAAACGTGCTCGTCAAAGGCGTATCCGTCTCCACCCTGTCAACCAGTGATGGCGAGGCCCAAGGTTGGGGCACTGCCGTAGAGTGCGCAACCACGGACTGTGGAACTGTTGATGCTCACAGTAAGTCATGACTAGGGTACCTCAAGACTGGATGTTTTGCTAATGTGCTCCTCGATAGCTTGGATCAACACCAAGATCACACTCTCTGTTGCGGATCCTGATTACATCGATACTCTTGCCATGGGCGATGGTGTTACTGGTAACATGACCACACCCGATGGAGGCAAGACTTGGGTTGTCCCTCGTATTGACATTCCTCGATACACATTCACCAATTGAGATACAAACCAAGGCATATTGAATTAGATTATGATGATCAAGGCGGGAACTATGATTGGATTAGCTCTGTGAGCAGCCTTTCTGGCCTCAATATCAATGTACATTAGTTTGCTGGCTCAAATAAGATAACTGAAGTGCTTCACAGACTTTCTTATCCTGTACATGCGCGGAGATCAAATGTTATATTAATATTTTTCTAGAACGCTTCGGAGGCTGTGAATGCTTCTATGTCCATATCAGATCTGCTTTTCTACAAAAAAATCACTCATGTTACTAAATCGGTATGAGGGGGTTCAGAGAATCATTTCATTAATCATGGGTTACTGATCGCAAATGTCCCCATACTTCGATACTTCGATATTCATAAATTGGGCTGTTTGACAGACTCAAGGATTGAGACGGAAGAAGACAGGCATTGTATGAATTGGACAGTCCACCTCAACACTTTGCCCACCATCGAAGATCTTTGGGATATTATCTTTCTGGGCGTTAGTCTTTCCCCACAGCGTCCAAAATGCTCCAGCAGGGAGATAGACAGATCTTTTGCGCTGTCCAGGCTCCAAGACTGGTGCAACCAGGTATCGAGACCCAAACATATACTCTGTCTCAACATCCCATGCCCGTTTATCCTCGGGAAACACATAGAAAAGTGTTCGCATGACAGGTGTTCCCTTCTCATGAGCTTCCTTCATCAAGCCCCGAGTGTAGTCGCGAAGCTCCTCACGGACGCCGATAAATTTCTTGCAAATCTCATAAACCTCCTCGCCATACGACCAGATCTCGTTATCTGCTCCACTAGCAGTCGGCTGTCCTTCGGGTTTTGGCTCACGGTCTCCATGCAGTCGCATCACTGGACAAAATGCCCCCCACTGAAACCAGCGTGTGAATAGCTCCCGAAATGCAGAATCATCCGGATTGCCTCCATGAAAGCCTCCTATATCAGTTGTCCACCAGGGAATCCCTGCAAGGCCCATGTTCAAACCAGCAGAAAGCTGGTTACGGAATGAGCTCCAGGAAGACGCAATGTCGCCGCTCCAGACAAGAGCACCATACTTTTGGCTACCTGCCCAGGCACAGCGCAGCAAATTGACTATATTTGTCTGGCCTTCTTTGGTCATTCCCTCATAGAATCCACGAGCGTATTCCTTTGGATAAATGTTGCCAATTTGAAGATTACTACCGGCATGATATCGGTAAATATCAAAGTCGTAGATGGAATACTCTGGCTCTGCTTCATCGAGCCAGAACGTTTTGATACCGAGGTCATAATAGTGCTTTTTGACTTTGCTCCAGACAAATTCACGAGCTTCGGAATTCGTGGCATCAAAATGCGTAATGTCACCGTCGCACTGCATTGCCACACGTAGTCCTCGATCATGTCGAATCAAGAGCCCGCGTTCCAACATTTCAGGGTAATTCTCGGATGCGTTCTCGACAGTCGGCCAAACAGAGACCATCAGTTCCACTTTAAGCTCCTTGAGTTCCTTGATCATAGCATCTAATTTAGCTACTGGTTAGCTACGCCGAGGAAGTATCTCGAAAGAGTACCAGAAGACTTACCGGGGTCAGGCCAAAACTCAGGATCAAAGCTCCATTCACCTTGATGCTTCCAGTGAAAGAAGTCAACTACAATCAAATCCAGAGGAACTCCACGAATGTGATATTCCCGGGCCACATTCAACAACTGCCCCTGATTCCAGTAGCGGAGTTTGCACTGCCAGAATCCCAGCCCGTACTCGGGCATCATAGGAACGTAACCTGTCACTTTCGCATAAGCCTCTTCAATCTCTGCTGGAGTATCCCCAGACACAACCCAGTAATCGAGAGACCGTGTTGAGAATGCCTCAAAGCTCATCACATTCGTTCCGAATACAGCTCGTCCAATCCCGGGGTTGTTCCATAGAAACCCGTAGCCACGAGACGAAACAGCGAACGGCACACTAGCTTGGGAGTTTCGATGAGCAAGTTCTAGATCCGAACCTTTCAGATTCAAGTAAGGTTGCTGGTATTGGCCCATGCCGAAGATCTTCTCCTTAGGATCTAATGATTCGAATCGCGTTGTTAGATGAAAATCTCCCCCCAGGATAGGTCGTAGCTCTCTGGCTTCAATTCCAATGCACTGCACTTCGCATCGCGGGGGTCTCGTCTGTTGCGAGCATACTCCTCCAGAAGGGCGGTACCCTTCGAGTTGTAGATGGTGAGTTTACCTCGCTGGGAAACCGTAGCTAGAATTTTGCCGTTTGAGATGGACGCATCCTTGTTATCCAAAGCCTCAATGACGACGGCGTCACTTTCTGGCTGAGAATTGAGCGCCCAATGCTCCGTGGGCATTGAAGCCAGTTTTGTGGCTCGTACTCGGAGTGCATTCTCACCCCAAGGTTGAACCCACAGGAGGTGGTCGTCGAAACGAAAAACAAGCTTGTCGTCGTCTTGGGCGTAAAGCATCTTCGGGATTGGATGGCTGATCCACTTTTCGTTGTCTTTTCAAATAAGCATGCGGATTTTGAACCAGAGTAAATAAGGGTAAAAATGACCGAGACGTGTGTATGTATCAAGCTGTGTGTGTATAAAGAGAGTGGGAAACTGATGTAATGGGCGGGGAGTGAGAAATGTAATTAGCGATGGGCCTTAAGCCTTAGGCATTCGTTCATTCACTTAGTGTTCATGTTCAAATATTCTAAGAGTAGGCAGAAGTCGTCGTACATTGTCTTTGATTGATGCCTAACTTGAATTTCCCCTCACTTGTATAGGCAGAAAAGGAAAATACCAGACTTACTATATGACTTTGGCGTGTTGAATACTCTAGGACTCCAAATATTATATAGGATTGTCAATTTATCAACAAAAGGAATAAATATGGGGGAAAAGAGGGGCAAAGTGTATGCTGCGTGTGTATAATGAGCTTAAGCTAGGATGACAAACCTTAGGTAAGACTGTATATGTGTATCATCATGCACAACACGCCCGACTTCAACACAAGCCAATCATTTACTTAATTAGTATTGATATTCAAGGGCTCTTGTCATAAGATCCCAGCTTCTTATTCTACTGGTAGTTTATGTTCTTGTGGAGACGAGGATTCTCTCCATGACCAGTATTTTCCTAATTAGACACGGGGAATTGCCCGTGTGCAATCTTAGAACCCGTGTGTACTACCTCTTGTGAATATACTTAAGTCTCCCAGTGCGAGTATTTCGCTTATTACAAGGTATATACGTCATGAATCTAGACAAATGGCTTCTCCTCCTTCATCTCTCTATGTCCATGTATTATGCCGATCATGTAGATCTAGCGTCAACTTAATTTAGCTTTTTTGCCAAGAACATCTTTCTACTTGTCTGGTCACTTGCTTCTCTATCGATGTAGAGCTTACAGTATAGGTAGCGGTGTACTTGGACAGTGCATGTTATCTATGGCTAACTTGAAGGGGGGTGGTCCCTATATCTATAGGTAAACTTGAATGGCCATTCGGACTTTCGCCTTCTCAAATGTCTATGATAAGTAGTATATTGCTCATACATGCCATCTAAAAAAGTATTGAAAGAAACCTATCCCAAACGCTATATACAAATAATGTTCTATCCATTCCCCATGCCGCATAACTTTTAGTTCAGAGTCTTCAGAGTCTCTTTCCAACAATTAGTTATCCTATTCCAATACTGTTCCGGGTGCAACCTCATATGACCAACATGCGGCGAGCCATCAAACATCTCCAGTTCAGCAGGGAATCCCTGAGCCTTAACACCAGCCACATTTTCCTCCAAGTCCTCCCACCAAATGATCTCATCCTCTTTCGAATAAAGATAGAGCCTGGTAACATCGGTCGGACAAATAGAATGATCCAAACAAGTCCGAACAGCCCAATTACCCGATGGCTCAGTACCTTTCAGTTGTTCCAGTGCCCAATTCGCCCAAAGGTAAACATACCATAGACCTTGGGTGATGATGAGCGGCCAAGGAAAGAACTTCGCGGTACCAACCGCCATTGCGCGAGACCAGCGAGCAACCTGCGAGGGGAAATGCAAGCCACCAGGCGTAGAATCACAGACAAGAAGCTGGTGGGGGAACTTCTTATCCGTACCATGTCGTTGCTGGTATGCGACAAAAGTAGCAGCCAGGAAGATGCCGCCCGTGTTCGACATAGCGTGTATCAGGACACGCTCTGGCTCATCAGGCGAGCTACCAGTTGGGGTAGGGAAGATGGTGTCCACAAGGGGCATCATAGCTTCGATTCTGTCATCTAGCGGTTGACTGCTTGCATGGAAGGTTTTTGATAGGACGACCAGAATTCTAGCGGATGGATACAGTTCATGGAAGCCATCAGTGTACTTAGAGACGTTTTTCGGCATTCCATCGCCCCACCCGTAAATAATGATGGTTGTTGGTTCATTTGCTGGAGCGGGCTTAGCCTTTTCCTGGCCATTGCGAAGGTAGACTCTGTCACTTATAGGCGTGAAGCCTGGGAACGGTATTGGCTGCGGAGCCATTGTAACAAAGAGCGTTGTAATTCAAGGGGATGAAATATTTGCGATGAATATGAGTCTTGTGCGCGCTTTCTCGCGTTGATTGATAGGAAAAATTCTGACACGAAATCACCAAAGACCACAATTGAAGGAGGTCGGCCCTGATATGGCAGGTAGTGTGTGCCCCGTTCGGAGATTGATTCTACATGATTGGAGGTTCTTGTTGGGAATCGAAGCTGACATTGTCATCGTTCTGTGGGTCGTTGGGATGAAAACATTGGTAGCAATAGCGAATCGGAGAGTCGGATCGGGGTCGGAGGGTTCTGATTAGTGAACACGAACCTCGGCATCTCCCGCGTGTTGTTTGTACTGTATGAACCACGGAACACGATTACAATATAGATCCTGGCTATTATTATAGAATGGGTAGCAATGTCTACGTACATTATATATATGAAATATTGTCAAGATGGAATGTGTGTACCATAAAAGGGGTATCTGTTCAATTCGGATCTCTCCTTATGCAATCTCTCTACTAACTACCAACCATTGATTCTTTTTGTCATTTCGTTTAACGCCAAGTCAAAACATGCTTCCATAAACCAAATAAATGAAAACTCCATCTAAGATGTCTAGGCATATTCACTTGAAGACAGTGAGATCGTATTAATGGAACATATCCTCTGCTCTCCGGCGACGTCCTCCACGACCATCTAGAGTATCGGAGAAAAGTTCCTTCCCGGCATTGGCTGAATTGGCCGGAGCATTGTCATCGCCGAATTTAGAGGGAAATAGTTCACGAACAGAAGCACCACGGCCCTTAATCGACATCCCAGCGGATGCTCCTCGAATCGCGACGCCCTGGTCTCCAGTGAGCCCGCGCATACTGGCTCCCTGGTCGGAGTCGGGGAAAAGTTCTGTATTGCGATTGCGCTGGTCGGAAGCCCCATCAGTAAAAGGGACGGAGATCCTCCGGTTCAGAAGATGCGCTGTCTCATCTGCCGCATCAAAAGCATCAGATCGGCGGTGACCACTGGCTTTAGCGGGGAACAACTCTTTCTTAATATAGCTCGAAGCGGGTTTGTTGGGGAATAATTCGCGAGCGCCAGCACCGTCTGATGGAAAAAGTTCTCTGCCTTTATTCCGACGGTCGATTTGGGGCGACCTCTCGCGGAATCGTCTGCGAGAACCAGATTCTCGATTGGCTTGATCGGCTTCTTCAAGGGTATCTCGCCCGGGCGAGGCGCTGCGGTTGCGCAGACGACCAGATGATCCCTCATCTTCTGGGAACAACTCGCGTGTTCCTCGGTGTCTTCGGCCGGAGCGCTCGCGCTCAGGGTCTGAGTAACTCTCGGGTTGATCGTCATACATATTTGCACTGAATTGGTCATCACCATCTCGGTCATGTCGGCGGCGCAGTTCTCGGTCGTCGAATTTGCGGCGTCTGTACTCGCCATCGCCGGAATCTCCGTGTCGCCTTCTATCTGAAAGCTCTTGGCGAAGCTGCTCGCGGGGGTCGTGCTCGGGGTGCATAAGGTAGAAACGACTCTTCTCGTATGAACGAGCCTGTTTGCGGTCTGACTTGATGGCAGATCTCACTTGGATAACAGAGTCGGGATGGCTCGCAAGGAGCTTGGCTGATCGCAGTCGTAGAGGAGGTAGGGCTGAGGCGTCTTCTTCACCGACCTGAGTCAGAGCCGCAAGAGCTTGAATCCCAACTTCACCAGATGAGTAGAGGAGGTTGGCAGACGTATCATCAATCCATTCCACGCGTGAAGGGGTTTCATGCTCAAAGTGACTCGTTGCGAATTGCTTGATATCGTCGGTGGTCAATTCATCCACACCCCGGATATGGACTTTCTCGTATACGGCTTCTTCGGTCAAAGGATCGGGGGCGCTTTCTTGCATAGCAGCCTGCTGTACAAAAGGATATCAGATATCTGCATTGGTATATATCAATTTTTTCAACGCAGAATACTCACCGTCTGAACGGGTTGGGGCTCGGGCTCGGGCTGAATCTCAAAATCGAGACCCAGGTCTATATCCATGTCGACATCCATGATGGCGTCTGCTATTGGGGTCTAGTTTGAGGTATCCAAAGGCACAATAGCTGCTATAATGGCTGAGGGAAGTCAACAACCTGAACCGGCAGATTAGAAGAGGGTAAGATAGCACTCACTGGTCCAGAAGGCTGATTTGGCTTGTTGACCATTGAAGGTGACCAAGTAGGCCCGATTCGGTCTTATTCCCAACGAATCAGAAGATCACCTTGGGCAACCTGATGGTATGGAGAGGTTCGCGAGGTGACAGGAAGAAGGTCTGGAGTGGGAAAGTGCAGTGACGTGAAGGAGAAAACCCAAGTTGTGAGCTTCCCGCCTTCATGGCCCGATTAGGCTTAGCGTGTGGGGGACGAACATGGTGGACCACGATGTGACCAGGGTATGAAGTAGGCCAGTAATATACTGTGTTGTAGATATACGACATAATCTACGTAAGTATATGAGCTTATGAGCGTGAATTTTGTGACTTCGAAAAGGTCAAAACATAAAAAATGATCTGATTTCGCAAGCCTGATAGTGATCCCAGCTATTATTTCACTTCTCATATCTTCTGCCGATCCTAGTATGGCATACAATTCCTAAGAGGGAGGATCAATTTTAGCGTGTAAATGATACTTCCACAGGAAATTTCACGAAGAGTCTCTGGAGCTTAACAAATATACATATCCAAGGAAAACTGCGTATTTACGTACACACACGTAGTTGAATTGATTGTTGTCTTGGTATTAACCAGCCAATCTCCAGGTGCATATCATGTTGAAAAACTGAATTTCTAAGAAATTACCAACTTGAAACATGGCATTAGGCTTTTACTACGCATACTGAGATAAAATAGTTGAGAGGCTGAGACTGGTGTTTTAAAAATTAGAGCGAGAAGTACATTCGTTAGGATAAAGACAAGATATATGGTAGTAGGTAGTAGTAATACTGGCTGGTTACATACTAGAAGTTCTGTCAAAAACAATTTATTTAACTTATTCTTGCCAGAAGGCCAGCTCTTAATAAGTAGAGTATTTATAAAACATTTGCTCATTTGAATATATAAGAATATATATACTATACATGATACTGCCGAGTCCTTGTGCAGATACTGTGGACTGCAATCCGCCAGCCGTTCCGGCTACGTGATTAAGAGCCACTGCCATCTGGAGCCCCACTTCAATTTTGACCACGTCCAACGCTATATCATGGACTCCTCCACGAAAATAGATGCGCTAGCAAGCGCCATAGTCGCACGATTTTTGAGGTCTAATAACTACGCCGAGACCCTACAGGCCTTTATTCGCGAGGCAGACCTCCCGGTGGACGTGGGGCAAAGCTCAGGTGACGACACACACAATTTGACTGTCCAGAAGTTGCTTGAAGAGAAAAAAGCATTTGACCATACCGTCAACTTTGAGCGATATGGGGAATCCGGCAAGGGGAATGACACATGGACTACGCCAGGTGAGATTACCCAAGCCATGCCAAGCTACCTGCATTTTTGAGACCGGGTCTTCGTTGTTTACCGGGCATATCGCTGACATTCGCTCAGCGCCGTCTAAACCAATCAATATTCGAACTCCAACTTCGTCAAATATCCTTACTGCATCTGTAGAGAAATGGCAGTACTCCAACAATGGCACGGATGCTGATAAGTTAGCGCAGCCTTTGATTGCCTCCACGGGCGCCGACAGACAGGTACATTTACTCGAGACTGGATCGGAACATGCCTCTCTTGCTTCATTATCTGGTTTATCTGATTCACCAGTACTTTCATATGTATCCATTCTTCAAGGCCAGTACATCCTCATGGCCAATATGTCTGGACACCTTTCACTGCAACATAAGTCTCGCATCTTAGACACCAGAAAAGATCACGCCAAATATGTTGTGAAGGTGATTGCTTACGAGGACCAGACTGAATCTGGCCGTCGAAAATTCTGGATTGCTACCGCGGGCTGGGATGCGAATGTCTTTCTATACCGACTCGAAATTCCAGCTGAAGAAGAAGAAGAAGAAGAAGAAGAAGAAGAAGAGACATACTCACCACCTATCATCGGAGAACCAGTGGCACGCATCAAGTTATCGACCAACCCCGAGTCTCTTCTTTTCGTACCGCATGTCGATTCCGGCGAATTGATGCTACTCGTTTCCCGCCAGGATTCAACCTATATCTACTACTATCAAGTTTTATCATCGGCCTCTGAGCTTCCTCTTGTTGGCAAACAAAATCTTGCTCCCCACTCTAATGCTTGGGTCGCTTTCTCTCCAGCGCATATGGCACTTAGCCCAAATGATCCTGGGTTGATCGCCGTTGCCACATCCACACTTCCGCATCTCAAAGTGATGGTCGTGCGACTTTTGTTCCCATCTGCAAACTCGCTGAATGACACTCAGATATTTGCTGCAGACATGGCGGTGACGCAGACAACACAGGCACTTGAAGCTTTGAATATCCAGAATCGCGAAGATGCGGCTATATTGCTGCAAGCAAATACCTTCGCCCCACAGACAGCGTACTCGACTCCACAGGTTGCGTGGAGACCCGATGGAACGGGCCTTTGGGTGAATGGGGACGATGGCGTGGTGAGGGGAATTGAGACCAAGACTGGTAAGCTGATGGCTACACTGAAAGATGGGCATGAGCCTGGATGCAAGGTGCGAACTATTTGGGCAGGGTATGTTCCAGTAGCTAGCAAAGACGGAAATCCAGCTCAAGAGGAATGGATAATCAGTGGAGGATTCGATAAAAGATTGATAGTTTGGAAAGTGTGATGTGTCTGGATATAAAACAAGATAATATGATATTCAAAATATATGATTGTCTTGAGCTCTGCAAGCTAGGAACAACTTGAGATAGAATGCTATGATAGCACTTCCTTACAGCTTACGGGGTATGTAGCCGTCCATCAAGGCACCCTCTCGCCTGTTGGGCTTGAGAGGGCGATAATAATAGACAGGGGCCTGTGGGGTATGTTCTTGGCACGTAATAGAAAATCCTTCAGCAGTCGCGCATAGAAGAGCACGTTGCTGTACACACATATGCCGGAAAGGGAATTCGGAAGAAAACCCGAGGAAAAAGAGGGAAGAAATCAACCGAAAGGTCGAAATACGCAGGAAGTGAACCAGGGAAAAGCAAAAGAGAAAGAATCGCGGTTCCATTTTGGGATTGGCACCGCCGTATGGATATCGAATTTAAGCCTGTTTTGATTCCTGTTATATCAAACAACCCCGGACATGCTAGCGCGCAAGGAACAAACAGAAACCAGGCATATTCGACACAGCGGACCGTTCTTTGATCATCGCACGTTATTGTATCCCCATGTCCTTGCGCGCACTGTGTTCTCCTCCACCTTTCATTTTTTCTCCATTCCGTTCAACATTTAAGCGTTCTCACGCTTACCCTCCTTGCGCTCCTTCTATAATCGTTGTCAGCAATCCGCATTCTAGATGCAACTTTTTTGAAAATTATTGTCGGGTATAACGTACGAGGGCCTTGGCGGTTCCGTGAAGAGCGTGACGGTGGTTGCGGCGGAACTTAGCGTCCACACCACGGAGAGAGGGGTAACGGTTGGTCTTGGGCTTCTTGATACTGTAGAGAGATTGCATATCAGTCACTCGGTTCTTTCGGTCGTGCGGTTTGGTTTGGTGTGCGGAGAAAGAGCTAGACGTATCCAGCCGACTTGAAAAGGAACCCAAAATGTTCGCATCCATCCTCCATCTGTTCCCCATATTCAAGTCGGACCGGTCGGTTTCGCCTCTTTCCCCGCCAAAAGCCTTGTCGACTTGCACCAAAGTTCCTTTCGATATCGAATAATGCGTGGTTGGTGTATCAGGGGGGTACGAACCCGTTACGGTGAGCCTTCTGGCTGTTGTGGTGCTGGGACGCGTTCTTGGACTCTGTGTAGCGCAAAGTAGGTCAGCGATCGGGATTTTTTCATGAGAAATGGAGGCTGCGTCGACAAGACGAAATTTCCGGGGGGCGACATACTGGCCATCTTGACGAATGTTGTCGCTGATTGACGTTGACGGGATGGAGAGAGTAGGAGGAGAGCACTGGAGTCAAACCCGAATGGAGACTTGGCTAGGGCTCGCTTCTGTGTGGGATCTCGCTTACCGCCGACGGTGCACGGACTCCCTATAGTTGCTCTCATAGATTGTTACTTGAGCTACGTCAGTCCTTTACATGATATTGAAGTTTCAAATGTGAGGAATGCTACTGTTGGGTTTATTTGTAAATGCGTTTTTATTACAAAAACTCAATCCCTCTATATCCCTAATATGGTGCTTCAAGCAATGAGTCTCTAGTAATCGGGCCAGAAAACTTCAAGCCCACGTGAGGATGACATAAGCATTTTGATATCATGTGACATCGAAGCACGGTCTCCACTTAACTTGACCGTTGGCGCTCAACTGCACTTGACTTATATCTATATACCATTGTTGTCGGATGCTGCAAGGCACGAGGAATACAGAATATATGCGTCAAATAGACTACCATACTGTACGTAATCAGGCAATTGGCTATTATAAACATACCCGAGCGGTATTTATCCGTTATCGCTTCACGGGCTTTAGCATTGTCCAATTATGCAAGCAAGAAACTGATCACTAGAGACCAATCAACTATGATCATTCAAATATGACACATCGCCCTGGAATGTTAATATCAGCGAGGACTATGTAGAAGTACGATATCAATAAACATGCCTTGTAGTTTTGCGAGGTTAACTGGTATGCCGGGTGGACTGACCACGTGATCCGCACTAGGGAACAACCGGCGTTCCGACTTCGACCTTTGCAACGCCAACCTCAAGAGGGATCACCCCCAGCTTTCACATCCTCTCATCCCATTGCCACGATGAACTCCTTCCGCTTTGCTCGTTCCGCTCTGCGGGCTCGCCCCTCCATGTTCAGCGCTCCCATTCAGCGCCGTGGGTACGCCGAGGCTGTCGCCGACAAGATTAAGCTGTCCCTGACTCTGCCTCACCAGGTATGCCGAACCTCCGACTCCGGTCAAACCTCCCTAGCTTTATAGACACCGGACTAACATCCCATTCTTTTGATAGATCATCTACCGCTCCACTGGCGTGTATGTTACCGTCTACCTCACGCCTTTATCCGCTGCTCCCTGAATACTGATGAACTTTGCGACCACAGGACCCAGGTCAACCTCCCCGCCGCCTCTGGTGAGATGGGTGTCCTCGCCAACCACGTTCCCTCCATCGAGCAACTGAAGCCCGGTCTCGTCGAGATCATTGAGGAGGGTGGTGCTACCAAGCAGTACTTCCGTATGTTTGATAGTCGTTTCCGACAACCCTTGTCGAAAAAAAAACGAAGAGTTTATTTGCATCGGACAAGAACGTACTGACCGTGTTTTCTTCTTCGAATGTAGTGTCCGGAGGTTTCGCCGTCGTCCAGCCCGACTCTCAGCTCAGCATTAACGCCGTCGAGGGTTACCCTCTGGAGGACTTCAGCGCTGAGGTAAGTTCTGCCTACGCGTCTTCTTATTTTTACAATTCGCGAAACTGCCGGGGATACTAATGCTCACACTCGGAATGCAGGCTATCCGTTCCCAGGTCGCTGAGGCCCAGAAGATTGCCAACGGCAGCGGCAGCGAGCAGGACATTGCTGAGGCTAAGATTGAGCTTGAGGTATGCATCTCTTCTTTTTGCCGCATGGGCTTAACTTGCGATCGCGAACTAACTTGATATCTTTTTTCTACAAACAGGTTCTGGAGACTCTTCAGGCCCATGTCAAATAGATGTACATATCCACTGGCGCAACACACCCCCTTTGAACCTGTAGAATTATAGCAATTCTTTTTCTTGATTTGCAAAATCCATGTGCTCCTTCCCTGTTACTTCTTTTTCGGTAGACAAGGTCGTGCCTTCCCTGACAGGACGCAGACCCGAGATTTTCTTTGTTTCTTGTTCAGACCAAAACTTAACCCCTCACTTCACAGCTTTCAATTATGCGATCAATGCGATCCATGAAATTTCCCTTGGGGACCGTTGATCCTCGTGTGACAATGACTGATTCTCCAGTGGACGACTTACTTTCTCCTTCTTTCGCATCTGTGCTTGGCTTCGACGAGCCTGACGACGCGACCTTAGAGAATCTTCCATTCTTCGAAGAACGCGATCACTGCGCGCTTACCCTGGATTCATCCGAGTCACTCGAATCTAAGACAAGCTCCGAGTCACTTGATGGACATGACAGCGGGAAACGACCAACGTGCCTCCGGCTTGAGCTGGATGCTGCCAAGGACGAGACTCGCGCACTTGATGGACCTGCAGAATATCCTATTCCACAAAGTTCACCTGATTCAAACAATGGCGTTGATAGCGTCCAGGGGGAAAGTCCTCTTCACAAGGTGGAGCAGATACATACTTGCTCTGCTCTAAAAGAACCAACATTGATGCTCGACGCGCCCGAAGACAGTGCCCAGGTCAACCAGTCAACTGAAGAGAAGGCAACGGGTCCAATCCCGAGCCACGCTTTCTCTGCCTCAGATCAGTCCCAGCCTGTTCCGCCAACTACTCCAGTGCGAGACGACCGTCGGACTGTCAGATTTTTCCCTCCCGGATCCCCTCGGTATCGGCCATCTCATTCAATACTGCACAGCCTTTCATCAGTGGAGCGCAAACAGGATAATCCCTCTCTACACCGACAGCAAAAGCAACAGGATAAATGGAAAAGTTCCTATCGTACCCTTGGCCAACGAAGCCCTCCATCTCGCAGCCCCACCAAGGTGAACCCATCCAGCTCAAAACGGCAACCGGAAATTCGCTTTTCATCCATGTCCAAAGTTCCCTTTTGTCAAGATGCTAGCATTACCACTTCCACTCAGGAGAATGAACATACGCCAGCCTCGGAGGTAGACACTGTGAAATGTCAAACCCCTGCGAGCAAAAGAGATACGCCACATGGACGAGTTTATGATCTTGTTGTTTTCAACATCGGAATATACCGATCGCGATATCCCCAAAGACTGGCGAATGGGTCTCGCTGGGGGTTTTGCAAAATTCGAATGTGCCCTACGTTCATACCGGCGCGCAGTTTGACTGAGGAAGCCGAAGAGACCAAACAGATCATTTGCCGCCTACAGGCCGAGGACTTGCTTCTCCATTTTGTCGTCGTTGTGCCGAATTTCGTTGTGCACATTCCCCTTGCTGCCCTCGCCAAGGCTGGTCGACTGGCAAGTTCGCGTGCGGGGCTGTCGTTCCTTGATATCATTAGAGTTGCTTGGTCTCTTGTCGCGGCATTCATCAACTTAGTAATGCGCGCAATCTGGGGCATGGAATTCGGCTACCATGGAACAATCGAGACCGAATACCCTGATCAAGCTTGCCAGTGATGAGATGAGATGAGCTACGATATGAAACCTGTTTGTCCCCATGAAGGGCTGGTTGTTTTTTTGCTATTCCCGGAGCTCCTTATCTCTAACCTAGCACCGAGTTGATAACACTATGGTACTGCTTTCCTATGACAACGTCTGGCCCACTATTACGTTCAATTTTGCCAGTTGTGTACGCCTAGAGTTAACGTCTTTTAATCAAGCAACTATTATGGCCGTACCGTCAATCTCTTCTTCCTGTGTGAATATTCCATCCAAAGACCACTGTTGTTGGATGTACACTTTAAACACCCTCGCAACATTTAATAAGAGCTCAACAGCAATTCAATAAATCCATGTATGTCTTCCACCTATTACCTGTATTATTTCCCCACGCATTCTTCAGCTTCAATAGTGTGCATACATAGGTCTATGTAACATCCTTTCAGCATTCCACCATTTAGCGCAACAATCAATTGATTAACATTTGTCGCATGTTGGAGTTCTCATCCAATTCAACGCACCAATTAACATGCAGTACCCTCAATACCCTCAATAATATGACCAATAATGCTCGCAAGTTCTTTCGTTTTTGTAATATTAGGACAGTGACCCGTCTCATACGACAGGGAATATCGACTTGAATGTGTAGTACAGTAGTGCAGGGGCTCTTAGACGTGGCGTCACCATTGTGGAGATCATTTGCTCCACCTTTGGAAATCCGAAAATAAAACAGAAGAATATTGAGCGATCGCACCAGTTGACAACATTGAAGAGATATAGACCCACCGGCCAATGGAATTGCTGAAAGGAACAAGTCATACGTTGTGGTGAGTTTTCATGGTACTTAGGAGTAGTTGTGGGTAGATATTCAATGTTAAATACTGGGTCTATTGGTGCGGGACCGGATTTGTTGGGGCTCAACACCTTTGGGCTACAGGATGTAAGGATGGATGCGCCCACAAAAGCGCTTATTGATCCAGGAACCACGTATTTGAGCGCATAGTTCAATGGCCTAGGTATATTACCAAACATACGAACCACCTAGAATTATCATTCCTAAGAAATAATTTAGGTATTGCAAATGCCTTGCAAACCATTGGAGTTTGAGGCAAATTCGGCCATGATGGGTGGCCCTGTGACCTAAAAATCATTAAAAAAATGAATACATAACGAGACAGATAATGGAAAGTTGAAAGTAAAAGATCCTACGAAAGGGCATGTCTATTTTCTAAATTTTCCACAGGAAATAACCGTTTTGGGTTTTGCGAATTCTTGGTCCAGCCTCTCTTACAGCTAATCAGCATGTAAGTAAATCTAAAAGAACACTAGATTCATGAATGTCTGAAGAATAGTGTACCATAATCCGAATTACTCAATCGATGGGCAAAAAAGAATTTGCTACGTAGAAGTTTCTTGAGATTGTGGTTCAAGTTGGAAATCTCTTCGCAGTTCCAATGGGGGCGGATTTGAAGCCCGAATACTACGAATGCCAACATGACTTTTTGACGCAACCTCTTCGTTGCCAACAAAAGGCAGTACTCAGAATGCCACGAAATAGATTCAACATCTATTCCTCTGTAAGAAAATTCAAGGCAACAGGGAAAGAGCCGAGACCACATGCATGTGAGAAGAAAAGGATCATGACGCATTCCCAACAGCCCAACGCTTTCATACAGTAAGCTTGATGAGAATTGACTGAATATTAAAGTGTGAATTATCATCTCCAGTATGAATCGATAAAATACTCCTAATTTTCTATTTTTTCTATCCCCTTGACAAATAATCCTCATCTATTAGCGATGGCGGATACTCGTTCGAGTACTCGAAGAACCCATATCAGTGAGCAACCTATCACCCTCAGGAATTGGCAGCATCATGTCAATTGGGTCAATACAACTCTCATCTTGATTGTTCCTGTATTTGGCTGTATCGCAGCTTTTTGGACTCCCCTCAGACTACCCACGGCGGCATGGGCAGTTCTCTACTATTTCTGGACCGGACTTGGAATCACCGCTGGCTACCATAGACTCTGGGCACACCGTTCATATGAAGCGTAAGTTGCCTTTATTGAGTTCCCATATCTGCAAATCTATATACCGATACCTCCACGGCTCAGACTTCCTTTGCTGGCAAATACTAACGACCCCTGCTCTTTTCAGAGGCTTACCTCTTCGCATCTTCCTCGCTTGTGTTGGTGGCGGTGCTGTGCAAGGCTCAATTCGTTGGTGGAGCAGCAAACACAGGGCTCATCATCGATGGACCGATACCAATAAAGATCCATACAGTGTGAACAAGGGCATTTGGTACTCACACTTCATGTGGATGTTGCTGAAGCAGAATCCAAAGAACCGCGGTCGTACCGACATTTCAGATCTAAATGATGACCCTGTCGTTGTATTGCAGCACAAATATTATGGGTCTTTTATATTGGCCTTTGGCATGTTTTTCCCAATGCTTATTGCCGGGTTGGGCTGGGGCGATTGGAAGGGAGGTCTGCTCTATGCAGGAATTCTTCGTTTCCTCTTCGTTCAGCAGGCAACCTTCTGCGTCAACTCCCTTGCTCACTGGCTTGGAGACCAGGCAAGTTTCTTATATCTTGACAGATGATACTTGCATAATTTGCTAATACGTACCAGCCGTTCGACGATAGGAACTCTCCTCGTGACCACGTCCTCACTGCACTCGTCACCCTTGGCGAAGGCTACCATAACTTCCACCATGAGGTACATCTCCTCTCATATCTCATTCTATTCCCTCATACTTCAAATCCGTGTACCTTTGTACTGATACCAAATAGTTCCCCTCTGACTACCGTAACGCAATTCAATGGTGGCAGTACGATCCTACTAAATGGTCCATCTGGGTATGGAAACAACTCGGCCTAGCCACAAACCTGAAGCAGTTTCGCGCGAATGAAATTGAGAAGGGTCGCATTCAACAATTACAAAAGAAGGTTGATCAAAAAAGAGCAAAGCTAGATTGGGGTATTCCACTTGAACAGTTACCAGTGATGGAGTGGAGTGACTATGTCGACCAGGCCAAGGATGGAAAAGATCTTGTTGTTATCGCCGGCGTTGTTCACGATATCACGGATTTTATCCAGGAACACCCGGGCGGAAGAATTATTAGGTCGGCCATTGGGAAAGATGCCACTGCAATCTTCAATGGGGGCGTTTACAACCACAGCAATGCTGCGCACAATATTCTCTCTACAATGCGCACTGGTGTCATTCGTGGAGGTGGTGAAGTGGAGATTTGGAAGCCCCAACTGAGCAAAGGGAACTAATAGTATTAATATAAACTATCATAGATCTCTGGAATGTCTCAAGTAGTTTAAGATACTATGGTTTATAACCTTCTAGTATAGTATAAGATGGATGGCACGTCTAGCGGAACCCCCCTATGTACATACTGGAGCTCATCCCTTCCCTCTCACCTGGACAGGAGTAGAAAAAGCAATACTTATCAAGCACCAATGAAGAAGGCAAAGAGGGGGCAGAGGCACCAAAATCCAACTACACAGCCACGTCACTCACCAGTCAGAGAGGCTGTTCTTAGCGCTAAGCTCATTATGGCAATGTTTCAATGCCAAGACTTTTACATGTGGCTCTTTTGAACGATATCGATGACATGGTGACATCTTTTCTAGATATCAAAGGTCTTAGTGTGACGAAAATGAACGACAATGGTGAAGTACCCATGCAAATTGCATCTAAAAAGAGCAAATTTTCAATCATCAAAGCCTTTCTGGATGCTGGTAAAGTTGACCACCGAGCCAGCATATTATCTCCAATTATTTGCCAAGCGGTAAAGGAAGGAGATGAACCACTAATTGATCATCTCATTAGCTACGGCGAAAGGAAAAGCACGAATTCGGCAATTATATGGCGGGCAATTGATGCAGCAGTTTATGGGGGAAGATCGCAAATGGTGAAGCTCTTGCTCAACCTCAGAAGTACACCGAAGTTTGACCAAGGGCTGCAAGGCTTCAACCCTCTATACACGGCAGTGGATAAAGGAGATGAACAGCTGGTTGAGATAATCCTGCAGTCCAGAAAGCTGAATCCCAGAAACACCGGGATCAAGGACTTAATGCCCTCTTGTCCGCGGAACGAAGACATGCAATCATCTGCAGGATGATCTGCAAAGAATGGGAGGGAATGTTACCGTTGCACGCTGCTGCTCTCGTTGGATCTGAAGAAGCTATCCAAGTACTCCTTCTAGATGGAACCGATACATTCTCCCTATGTGCCACTGGACACACATCATTATATTACGCATCTCAGATGGGTCACGAATCAATCGTGAAGATTGTTTTAACTAAGGGGTCTATCTTCAAGCCCCTGCATTCTCAAAAGAGACCGGAGGGTTATGAGGAAAACGCCTTGAATGCAGCCATGGAATATGAGGAACTTCCGGTGGTAGCGTGCTTATTGGAGCTTCAGCTCAGCTCAAATTTGGTCAATGCCAGGGGGCGGCTAGGGCAAACTGCTACACATAGCGGCCGAAACAGACAATATCCCCCTCTTGAAATCCCTGATATATAAGAACTCTTCATATGCAGAAAACTTTAAAGGACAGACGCCGTTGCATTTGAGCGTTTTTTGTGGAATTATCTGCTAAGTATCTTCTCGCCAACGGGGCACTTCCTTCATATCAGGATTATCATGGCTCAACGCCATTGCACTATGCAGCAGACAAAGATATACAAGAGATAGCGAAACTCCTCATTTCCAACGACGGACAATTACTCAGTGTGCCTGATGACAGGGGCCGCAGCCCCTTCCACATAGCTTCGACCAACGGATCTATAAGCACATTTGCTTTTCTGCTCGGTACGGACTTTTCTTTGCTGAATGTACTGGACGGGAGGCTTAACACCACTGGACTGCGCAATCAACAATGACCACGAGCTTCTTATCGAGCTCATGTCACCCAGAGCAACTGTTGAGGTAGTCAATGAGAAATACATTTTGAACAAGATGCTGTGGCATCGGCGAGATTAACGAGACCGCCTGGATCCACCGAGATCTATCCAAACCTTAAAAAGGCAATTGACAAATATCATATTAATATCACCTCCAGCTTTGCAAAGCTTACTTGATCTATCATGATATGACAGAGCGTCGTCTGCATCGTCTAGACATCGGCGAGCCACACGTGGGACTATTTTACCCCCTCTGGCCTGTATCGAGCGCAGTATCCATAATTGAGCCTAAGTGTGTCTGCTTTGAAGTGGCGTATTTGCTCCCTACATTGATTAAGGCTGGAAAAGTAATAACTATTTTTATGTGCACAAGCGGATACTAGTACGCTCGATGCAGGCCAGAACTTGAAGGGGTACATGTACATTGCAAACATTTAAATAAGATAAGAAGTTTGTTACGAAGAATTTTTGCAAAAGGTCTTAAGTATTTTGGACTGTACATGACAGATCTTGCTCAACAGTATCACAATGAAAATAACCCCAAAGATAAAGGAGGAAATAATAAGTGACAGATAGGTACCTCTTGAGCCGAAGAACCCAGCCAGCTGTAACCAGAGAATCAAACCCAGAAACACGCTTGCTCCATGACAGAAACGAAAAAATAGAAAAAGAAGCCCCATAATCATAAGAAAGTCAGATAAACCTACCTATTCAATTCATATCCATAGTCTCGAAGACCTTCGTGCGTGATGATAAAAGGAACTTGAAAGAAAAAGAAAACATCAAAATGACATGAAACATATCCACAAGTGCTCCAAAACAGAGAGGGTCATTTTATACAGGTCGTGAGGTATCCATAGTAGAAAGAAAAGAAAATTAAAACAAAAGGAAATTGAGACAGACAAGAACAGAAGAAGTTGTTAGCTTATCACTCAAACTCTACTCCATGCTGTTGTTGTCTTTCTTGTCGTGCTCTAGATCGCTCAGCCCGTCTGCGTCGACGATTGTTAGCATATGATCCACTAGCATCGGTGCCAGTGTATGTGCCCGGCGAGGTCACACTGCCATAAGGAGGTATGTTTCCGGAAGCCGCAGGGTGGGGAATGGGAGGAGGTGGCGGCATGACACTGATCTGGGATCCAGAAGGCATTGGAGATGCAGGACTGCCTGATGGCACTACAGAAGGAGGCCTGCCAAGTCCAGCAGCTTCTTGTTCCTGCTGCATCTGCTGTGCTTGTCTTCGCTCAAGCTCTTCCACACGACGCCAACGATCTTGGTTTCGCTCGTCACCGGATAACGAGCTTGCGCTACCTGTGCGACGTCGTGAAGATCTTCGGTCACGGCGTCTTGCCTCTCGGCTTGCTGCGGTTTCTTCCTCCGTGAGTCGGCGAAGGGTAACATGTCTTCCGTCGCCGTGCATCTTCACCTTCACGGATACGGGGGGTGACTCGACGTGATCATCTCGGTGACGACTTCGGCTACCACTACTCCGGCGGTGGCTTGATGCAGCTGCAGCTGCAGCAGCTCCCGCTCCAGCGACAGCGCCAGTTGCAAACTCAGTGCCATCGTTGGAAAACGGTAGCTCTGACCTTGAGTCGCCTGAGAGCTCGTGGTGGACTGGAGGACGGGGAGGGATATCAGATGGAACCGGGTCATGAATAGCGCCAGAGGCTAAGGGTTCGGCAGAAAGTAAAGATCCATGAGATGGAGCACGAGGGGGGCGAGGAGTAAGGTCAGTGGGTGTGAGGTCGCTTTCAGTGTAAGAGCTTGGTCGTCTTCGTGATGGGTAGGGTCCTTGTCCGGTGTTCGGTCGTCGCTTGCTGTTCATTCTTTGCAGTCGCTCGTCCTCTTCTTCCTGACGACGAATGTCCTCTAACCGATCTTTCTCCTCGTCTTCCTTCTTGCGACGACCCCCAAAAATCTTCTTTAAGCCAGCAAAAGCGCCCGCGCCCAGCAAGGCATCTCGAATTCCATGAGAAGGACGTCTCTCTGGCTCACTGAGATATGTAGTGTTGTAGTAGTATGAAGAGCCCGGGCTCTGGGGTCTGCTAACTGGTCGACTCGGAGGGCGGTTGAGAGGCCCTTGGTGACTGGGTTCGGGTCTGCCATCTTCAAGTCGGCTTAAAGACTCCTCGCTGTAGCTATCGCTACGCGAGTGAGCAGGCCTGTACTGTCCTGATTCGGTGTCGTCTTCGCGTTTCTTTCGGCGATCCCACCATGACTTTGCCAGCATACCAGCACCAGCAAGAGCCCCGATTTCTAGAAACTTCTTTCCCCAACCACCACTCTCTTTACGAGAAACCTCGTCAGAATACTTCTCATCTGAATAAGATGTGCGTGACTCTTCGTATGCCTGGCTTGCATGGTGACTTTTTGGCTTGCGTTTGAACATTGAAGCTAGCGCTGCCGCCATTCCGCCTACAGCGAGAGCTTCTCCGACTCCTCCATGGTGGTGCTGCTGCTCCTCCACAACAGATGGCCCTGTGTAATAGCTCTGACTGTATCTGCTTCCACCATGATCGCTTCCAGGGTGATATCCTTCGTCATCGTAAAGATAGGATAAAATAAAATATGTCACGAGATATCCAAATGCTGCTAGTGCGAAGAGAATGAATAGCACTTTGGGGGAGCCATATAGTGTCAGACCTAGAGGAATCTGCACAATACCCAGTAGAAGTAGCCCGCGGCCAATCCATCGGTGTATCTGTGTAGTAACGCGTTAGTGCCTTGCAAGGTGCATTCTGTTCACTCGGATGATAACCTACCACAAGTTTCAATGGGACTCGATGTCGAACCTTATTCCTTTCGATTTTATGCACAAACCAACCCCATAGCACTTGGAAAATTACGATGACATAGATTGCCAAGCCAATTCCGTGGTGCGGGTTGGTCAAACTTCTTTCCGGGCCAACGGCAAACCAGCCCAACACAAAAACAACTGTTGTCAAGAGCAATGTTAAGACCTGACACCACGCGTGCAATTTGAAGGCCCAATATGGATTCCACCGTGAGTAGTAGCGTATTAGGAGGGTTCCAATTGGGACGAGACCCAAGAAAACAATTGTCGCGATAACTCCATGAGCGATTATCATGGATTTGTACCCGGTCATGTTCTTAAATCGATTTCCCATGCCTATGCCATGTTACAGTTAGCAATACATCCGAGAGATATTTTTAGGTTTTGGATGTCCAGCGAGAGACTTACCATTGTATCGCATTGTTTCAAAGTTGACACCCATAAGATTGGGCAGCAGGAAAGTGTCGCGCCCATTATCCCACGTTCCATCTCCTACATGTAGCGTATTCGAGGAATACGTGCTACTCCCCGCCTCTGCAAGCCCGGAGACCGTCATTCTGGTATGTTTCGTTGTATGCGATGCGATTCCTTATCTCTGGAATGTCGGGGTTTATTGGAGGAGATCTATTGAGATCTCCCGTTCCGAGGAATGCACCATGCGATAAAACCGGGACTCGAGCGGAATGCGGGATGACAAGCTGCTGGATTGAATTATAGAATTCAACCGATTGTCTTAAGAGATGAAGTTGTGTCTCAGCGACGTTGAACGACGTTGCTTTTCGTAGCGGTGAGCGTTGGAGGGGACGTTGTAAAGTCGTAGTCGTAAACAGAGGGTACGAAACGGAAGGAAAGGTAGTTAAGAGAGGCTGAAAGGGGTTAAACAAAATACCAGCCCGGCGGAATTGGAAAGTGGCCAACAGGTATCACAATAATTAATTGATGAAGCCTGATGATGAGAAGTTGCACAGGACCAGACAACAAGCGGGTTGCGCAGTGAGATCCATGTCAACTGTTCTCCTTAAAGGGTTTAGCGCGCCAGCGCATAACCGGGACAACCAACAAAGTTACGGGGCTGACCGCCTTCTGCTTTGGACCAAATACGATAAGCTATATCTTATCATTATCACCACATGACCTTATCATCACCATCACGCTATCCTGGCGATGATTGTCCCACGATCCTAGGGTTTCTCACTTAAGCCTGGTCAATTTCTCTTGGTTTCTGACGGAATATACCAATGAAGGTATAGTGGTACAACCAGGGACTATTTACTATTTCTTACCAGATTTGTTTGGCAACAATGCCCTCGCATCAGCTGGATGTCTTCGTTCGAGCTCTGTCGCGGTAAGTGACGTACTTCGAACCCACTGAGCCTAAGCCAAAGCAACTGATCAATGAACGATATAGTCTTTTAGGTTGGGTATAGTACGTTACATCCCTCGCGAAGTAAGCTCCAAAGATCTACGCATCTCGTGAAACTCACATATCGCATAGTGTGGGCTGCTGGTCAGCGTCCTTCTATCCACAACCCATCTCTAATGTGCAGCGGGGCTCCACGGCAGGCCTATCGATCGACTTTCCAACAATCAACACTTTGGGATTTCTCTGCTATACTATATACACGGCAGCATTTCTCTACTCGCCTGTAATTCGCTCACAATACGCAGCTAGACATCCGCTTTCAGAAGAGCCAACAGTCCGCTTCAACGACCTAGCGTTCGCAGTCCATGCCGTGATCCTAAGTTTGATCACTTATTCGCAATTCTGGCCAATGATCTGGGGTTTACAAGTGTCTCGCTTCCAAAGGATCAGCAAACCTATTGCAGGTCTATTTTGGGGATCGATCCTGGCACCGTTAATCGTGATATGGGTGGTTTTGTCTCTAAGCCCGGACGGGGGCTACGATCCTTCAACCTGGGCGTGGATCGACGTGGTGAGTTGAACCAACCTTCCCAAGCATCCGAGCGCCTTCCGCTGTGGCCCTAACGCAGGAACATTCCTTGGTTCGTCAGATTTATGCCTTTTCGTACATCAAGGTCGTCATTACCATTTTCAAATACGTGCCCCAGGCATGGTTGAACTATAAGCGAAAGTCGACTTCTGGTTGGAATATCCTTCAGATTCTATTAGATCTGAGTGGAGGTGTACTGTCGTTACTGCAGTTAATCCTTGACTCGAGTCTACAGAACGACTGGAGTGGTATTACCGGCAATCCGGTTAAGCTTTTCCTGGGGAACATCACGATTATTTCCGATATGATCTTTGTGGTTCAGCACTATATTCTATATCGGGAAGCGAAGTCCAAGCCACCGGTATTGTCGGGTCGACGTGCGCATTCGGACACGGACTTCACGACCCCGTTGCTGACAGACGAAAGCTCTCCGGCACCTACCAGGTAGTGCCCAGTGACGTGAGATGTTTTAAGGCCAGGTCATATGAAGTAGAAGCTGTCAAACGGAGTTTGTGAGGGGCCGAAATTTAAGACAAGGTGGAGATATCCAGCTATTTTTGTATCATAGGACAACCTTTTTGGACTTCGGCAATTGTTGGTTCCTGTGCGTTGAGACATTTGGGGGCCGAAGACTCGCAACGGCCGTAACTCCGAGCCGACGTCTTCAAGCTCGGAATCTGGAGGGAGTGGATATTTTTCTCGCGTAGAATCGGACATGGAATGCTTTGAAATTAGATTGTCTTTCGATCGTTTAGGATATCTCTTCTAGGTAGGAGTTAGCGTCATGTTTTGCCAGCCTTACCCAGCTCGCAAAAACAAACCTTAATTGATTTCCAGCTCAGGTGTGTGGAAGCAACCGGTTTCCTTTTTTGTTCCCATTTTCTTTCTCTTGCATCTCCACTTTCGGGGCGAGACTCGACCCAAAAAAAACATCGGATCTGCGTATCTGCAGCCCTCGTACTTTGAACCTGTAGGAATAATGGGACCACATGTTTGCGGCTCGGAACGCACATCATGATGGACACCGCTTCTCGCGTTTGGGGAACTCCGCCCCACCAAGCTACATTGGAGAATGTGAATGGTGGAAAAGCTCGCCAAGGGCACGGTTTTTGCGAGCTGACCAATAAGCACTAGGATTGGCTCTTTGACAGGGATCTCTATGGATCCGCCTGGATCCTCTACTCATCCCTCCCCGGCCCTAATCGTCGGTGTCGGGTCAACCGGGGGAGCGATCACTGAAAGGGGTGCCCGCTCTAAGCTGAACCTCTTGATTCTTGACACAGTCCATCCAACCCCCCCGGACCATATTCTAACACATCACTCGCATCCCTGTTTGTTTCAGGGAGGGATCGACGGCGTAACATGTGGGCTGGTTCTAAGCCCTTCTAGTTATGAACTGTGTTTCTGGTCGACACCTGAGCTGGCTCATACTACCCTTTTACGCATGGCTAACAGCTGGATACTACCTTTACGTGCTGCCGTTGCGTCCAGTCCCTTCTCATACTGGTCTATTGTGTGGTGGATGTTTAAGATATAGCTCAGTCATCCATTATCGGCTTCCAAGGTTAACGATGTCAATACCGCATGGGGAATAATTTGCGAAGAGCCTCCCATAGTTTAGTTTCGTTATCAACTTGAATATTGTTAAGCTTGGCGAGTACTCTATACTCCATAATTTCTCCACCAGCAATATTCCAACATTCAATGGAAACATTGTGACCCGCGCGTGGCTTTGCACCGTGGGCCCTTTCCTGCACCCAATCAGCATCAAGTTTACCGTGTCTCGAAACGGTTTAACGCAGCGACGCATTCCTCTCTAATGATCATTCGTATCTGCTCCGCTACACTTCGTACTCTCAACCTATCAACGACGAGGTACCAAATACCTCTTCTGTTTCCTTTTTTGGTCCTTTCAGCCCCACCGGGACCTACTAATTTTGATAGCCGGATTCCTTGCTCAGCCCTACTTGGTCCAACCAATCGTACCCATGAACCCTATACCGTCTGAACTTGTGCATATGCGCCATGCCCTCACCCCCGGGCCTGGCTTAATCTGAATCATAGTTATTCATGGTCCTGGGTGTCCCGTGGGGCAGGACCCGGTCGATCTTGTCCCCCATTCACATTCCCTTTCTTCTTCGTCATTACCGTTGTGGCCTTGAATGGTACATGTTTCTTCCATCCAACTGAGTCAATCGTGATGCAGATCTTCTCTCAATCTTTATTTTTTAAATAATATTTCCATTTATTATTTTATTTTTCTTTATATTTATTTGATTCCGCTGGTCTTGTTTGATTTTTAATCCCCACGGAACGCCTAGGTACTTCTCAATAAGCACTGCCTTCCTTGTTCCGCATTATTCTTTATTAAATACCTACAGCTCAGGCTCTCCATTACAAATTAACCCAAAGGCGTCCTTGAATCTAAAGCCACGTTGCGATCCACTTGATACAACCTCACTGTGAAGATCAATCAGACGCCATATTGGTCGAAAAGAAAAGAAACACACACAAAAAAAAGAAAAAAGACTGAAGAAACACAAATCACATAAGAAGCTTATAACGCCCGCTTGGATCCCCAACTCTCCAAGAGGATTAGTACTTCTGCAGCTTCTATCATTCGACCCCGGGGGCTTTTTTTGGTGTTTCTATTTTTTAACCTGGCATACGCAAACCATCTCGAACTAGTCAACTCATAAAATCTCGCTCACTCGCCCGTGCGTGGTTTGTGGTTTATATTCAGTTGACATGCACGCGACCTATTCACCTCCAACTACTCTCTTAGACTTCAACCGAGAGGTTGATCTATCATCATCATCATCATCATCTACTACATTATCACAGTGGGGCTCAGAAATCAGTGACCAAAGTGTAAACTCGTTGCCTATCATGTCAAACAAGCGTAACAGCTACTTCGCCGAGGCTCCAAACGGCTCGGTTACTGGTGATACTCAGTATGGTTTACATCCGGATCTGGTAGGTCCGAGTCTGACGGATATCCCTGTCAGATCATCATCTTCGCCCGGGCAGACGTCTGGACTACAGCCCTCCTTGAACTACATACATGTCCACCCTGAATCGACGGGGTCATTTTTAGCTCCAGAAGATTATTTATCTGACCCACGAGCCTCCCCCGTCAGCGAAGCCGTGGGATCTCTCTACGCTTGGTCTAGTGCTTCTGAAGCAGAAATGCTCCGACCTTCTGCCTCAATAGATTCATCAGTTCGCGCTACTGCTTCTTCACCTTTCATGCAACCATACTTCAACTTTGATTCTTCAATGTCTGCCATGGAGAACCAGATTCCAGGTTCATCGGGATACACTTCCCAACAAATCAACCAGTGGTGCATGGAAGCCCATAACAATGAGAGTTTCAACCACAACCATAACCACCACCACCATAACCACCATGCAAGCTCTTACAACGCTGTCAACCAACTCCCCTCTTACCCAACCCCACCTATGTCTCAGACACCTTTTCAACCCCTCAGCGACGGCATGTCTCCAGCACCAGAATGGTTCAATCTACCCGTTGCAAGTCTCCAACGAAGCGTACCATCTCACGATGGCTACCTCTCCCCACCATCCGTCCCAGCAGTCTCCATAGACTCCCACTCAGTAATGAGCACCTCCCCAACACCAACTACACTATCCAGCTTCGACTCCAATATCCAGGGTCAGCCCCCTTCGCCCCCATCCAACCCAGCCGATCTGACAAGATACGGAATTCCGACAGTAGACGGGGCCTGGCGCTGCGCCCATCCAGGATGCACCTCACAAGCCCTTTTCCGACGAGGATGTGACCTCCGCAAGCACTTCAATCGCCACCGAAAGCACCTCTTCTGCCGATATGAAGGGTGCCCACAGTCTCGACAGGGTGGGTTCTCAAGTAAGAAAGACCGTGCGCGCCACGAGGCAAAGCATAACCCTGGGATCGTATGTGAATGGGACGGATGCGGACGCGTGTTTAGTCGAGTCGACAATATGAAGGATCATGTTCGAAGAATCCACCGTCGTGGTGTTAGTGATTGAATGATGATGATTGGACATGTTTTTCCTCTTTTTTCTGTTGATTGCTCTTAGCTCCGGCGCTTTTCTACTTCGAGATTATGATTTCAGGTTTGGTTCTTCATTTTGACTCTTTGACTTTTTATCTGAGATGTACACATATCATGGGATAGCGGGAATGATGGTTTTGGCGAATTGGAAACCGGCAGGTTACGGGTTAGACTGGGCTTACTACACTGGGAAGGATTATGAAAAGAAAAAGAAGCTAGGTCTCGCTTAACTTTGCAATGATGTTTTTTTTTCTCTTTCTTTTTCTATTTCTTTTTTCGCCTGTTATTCAGCTACAGATACAATGAGACCGATAACTGCTGGATGGTTACAAACTACTCTTCTCTCCATAAGAACCTTGCGCTTGCTTCGAGCTGTAATGATTTCAAATTTCGACGCATCTCGGACTTAAATTATCCAAAAGCTTAGCTACAGCTCAACTGAGTCAAAATCTACTATAATTAACCACAAGCCCGAAGTATAAACCCGCATATTATCAGCCCAAACCAAGCCCTAATACAACTCCAATATATGCGTAGGCGAGTCCTGGTCTCAGATCTCAAACAAAGCTCCCACTCCCACATAACGGGCGCTTTCGCTAAAGCTCGCTCTCAAGCCCGATTGGAAACCTTCCTGCATCAGGATAGAATTAGTAGCCCCCAGGCCCCACGGCGGTCACCTTCTATACGCCCAGGCCTATTTTTGTTCCCGCCCCGCAAAGTATCTTCCCAACTAATTTCAATAATTCATCTCATTGGTTCGTTCGTAAGTAAGCTAATTAATTTATTCGTTCCCGGGTTTTTGCTAATGGTTTATTTTTGTTCTTCGTGACATGGCAAGTCTCAACTCCATTTCAAAAATAAAAGTTCGACTCAGTCTCAGTCCTAGTAGGTACACTTTGAATACTACCTCACATTCCATTTCTATCGAGCTGAGTAAAGCAGAATGCGACCCACTGGCATTTGCCTAACGTACTAGTAGGCTGTGTATGTATCATGTAGGGATGAAGATGAACCCAAGTCGTAACACCAGCGTTTAGGATGTATATTTTCCGAGCCTCACCTGCCCACCTGCCCAGGTGGGCGGAGTCTGAATCACTTACTTCAACGCTCTGCTCGTACTCCTAAATGCCAAGCTAGGACAGAATACTAATTTTCAGATATCGGGAACTTGAACGAGGTCAACCTTGGAAGCTACTGGAACCTGAACCATTTGCTAGAGCTTATTATTTCAAAGTTTTACACAAAAATTCTTTTATGGGCCCACGGTTCCTTCAAGGGTATCGAAAGGGTTACCTGTTGCGGCTTAATGCTGACCGGGCCGCGTACGTGGGGCCGCGGGAATATCCAAGTTGAATGTTGGAATGAAGGTCCCGGATGGGGATCGACAGCTGTGATCTTATTATGGTCAATGCATGCGAGTGGCTTGAACGAATGAACATACCAGTTGGAATATTTCCTGCGAGGCTTATGATCGCGCTCCATTCCTATCGGCGTAGCGAGAGCCGAGGGGGGCGAGAGCCTGAGGAAATTAGTAGAACGATATACTTAGAACCGAGCCCGAAGATGAGGAAGTACTTGTTACATCCCCGCTAATTTAATTTAATTTAATTTAATTTATTTTATTTTTTATCTGTCCTCCATCTTACCTTTTCCCGAGTCATCGAATCCGTCAATCAGACGTCATCGACACGTTTTAGTGTATCCAGTTTGTTCAACCACGTTTTGAGAACTTAGAACTTCTAGAATAATTCTGTGCTTTAGATCCGACTTTTGACTCAGATTTTCTCGGACTAGTAGTTTCATCTAGTCTGGTGTTCCTAACCTTCCATTTAGAATCACATCTCCACAGAACTTAAATCTAAAGCTTGGAAGCCTTAATGACCTCATAATACTCGTTTTGTGCTTTCGTGGAACATTGCACATTTGACTCTTTTCCTGTTAAACTAAGTATAGACCCGAGTCAACGCCCGAGGCTCGAAGCACGTTTCCACGTTTCAGTGTCTACATACTTTACTCGGGCTTGAGACCCTCATCAAAGCAATAAGATGAATCAACTTGAAGATGTTGTACGACTGTTTCATAGATATAGACATTTTAACTCTTTCTTCCCAGTCTTGCACGGATTAGCTAGATTCGGCGTGCGGACAGGTAGATATCCAAGTACTGATCCATGACTCGTTACCACATGGCACTGACACTGTTTCTATACTGAAGTCAACTTAGTTCATGTGGACTTGTCAGGGATCAACTGTCCATTTCAGTTGGTGTTGCACGCCTATTTTTCCTGCCACATTAAGGTTATACAAGGTGATCTTAGTCATAGAGATCAAGTGCCCGGGTGAGGCATCTAGTAGCTACCCTACTGCATACATAGTACAGATAGAGGAGTTTGTACGATCTGAAGAAGGAGACTGGTTGAGGGAATGGATTGAGGCTGCTTTTACCCAGGTAGGCGTGACGGTTACACGGGGAAATTGAGGCATGGCGATGACTTTCTGAAAAGTTGTAGACTCGGGGATACCTGGACATATTGCGATTGTAACGTCGCTTTTAATTGATTTTGAAATCTTCCATGAGTTTTCTAGAATATCACGTTGTGGAAGGCTATCTCATGCTGTAGTATGGTAGACCTGGTTCTGCACTGTCTCTGCGAAGGTTCAAGTTTGTCTCTTACCCCGCTCAAATAGATGAATAGGAGCAGAGGTATCTCTACAAGTATCTCCGGTTCTTAATCAGATATGCCTAAGTAGTACCGTTAACCGGCAAAGCTCCCCGCGAATACTTATCCACCCCTCAACCCCTCAACCCCTCATTATGATACATAGTATACTAAGCATGCCCACTACCCGTGGTACACAGTAAGCTCTCTCTTCCACGAAAGTTGATTTAAATAAACCTTACACGGGTGCCATGCGACAAAAATCAATCTCTCCAGGCCGGATGCGGCTCAAATTTGCCAGTTGTTTCTTCCCGTTCCCCTCTTCACCAACAATATCTTCTAATAGCAGTAGTAACCATTCACTCCTAATTATTCCAAATTGAACTGATCATTTACATGTTTTCCAAAGTCAATCATTCGTACGTATTAATAGTCACTGTACATCAGCGGTAGTTGCAGCGATTCAGCTCCCGTTCAAGTTCAAGTTCCCCACATATACGTCAGTGGCTTCAACTTGAAATCACTATTTACAGATCATTACAGATCATCTAAATCCATCTGGAGTTGAGAGATATTTTTATCAACGAAACAAATCAACATTAGCTCCCAACCGTATGCACCAGATGCATATGCATGCAGATCCAATGAAACTAAACCAATGAATCTAATCTACGAGCCGCCCGACCTTAAGGCCCGGGCTGAACATTGAATCTACGATGCCTGAATATCGATAGAAACTTAAAAACTTGAATATTATACAGTATACAGTCATAGGTACTAAATACTCTAGAGTATTGTCTACCATGTCAAGCTCATCTTTTTCAATCAATCATATATTCATTGATTTAATGGATAAATAGCCATCAACATCATGCCTGGAAGCCTCTATGTACAAATCCGACGGCGAATTTACCATCCAGCCTGGGAAGCAGGAACGTTCTCAATGTGCTGGCGAGCCTGGTACTTAGCCTTCTCCTTGTCAACGAAGTCAAGACCTCTGCTCTCAACCTCACGGTCGACGAAGGCACCGGCGAAACCAGCCATGATCTCCTTGGCCTTCTCGTGGGAGGGAGCCTTGCCTATTGAATTGAAATTGAGTCAGATAATGTCCTAAGCTTCGCATTGTGGCTGTGGTTGTGGTTGTGGGAATTCATTTCCATTCCATTCTGTTCTGGTTCTGGTTCTGGTGGGGTAGGTATGTGGAGCGTGTGGGTGGGTGGTGAGAAGAATAGGAAAGAAAATGCAAGGTGGTAGGAAAGGAAAGGAAAGGATAGAAATCACATACCCTCACGCTCCTCGTGCTGCTCGTAAGCCTTAGCAGCCTCGTAAGAAGCAGCACCAGCAATCAGCTCATGGACGACGCTGGGGTCGTGCTCCTGGGAGCTGTTCCACTGGTCGTGGTGCTCGCGCTGCTGAGAGTCGTCTGGTAGCCAAGGTTGTTAGTCAATGCTTGGGAAGCTTGGGAGGCTTGGCGGCGGGAGCGCAGCACAGCCTTATGCAGTCCCCACCACGGGTTGCAAGCTGCAGAGGATCAAGAATAGAGTGAAGTACATACCGCTGAACCAACCCATTGTGATAGATGTAGATTTTGTTTGGAGGAATTGAGAGAGATAGAGTGTTCGAGAGTGAAGAAAAAGAATTGAGGAATAGGGGGAATGGAGGGGTTCATATAGTAGGTGACGGGGTCCATGGATCACGGTGCACTAGTTGATGATCGACATTGCCCTGGTGCCCCTCTACGTAGGTGAGCGGGTCACGCCACCTTGTGGGCCGTGAGCTTCAGGAGGTGAGAAGAATACATCATGGCAGTATGTAGTCCTTAGGGCTAGAGGTAAGAATAGAATAGATTAAGTGGTGTGGAGGGTGCAGCTATGTCCGAAGTAGATGGTGTTCTATTTACAGCATTGCGCAAGGTACAGTACAGATGCAAAGCAATGATGAACTACAGTATTTTGCAATTGCTTAATGTTGAGCTAGCCTCAATCCAATTCCATACAAGGGAGGGAAGAAACCATCTCCTAGAGAAAAGGACAGAGTGACTGATAGAGAGAGAAAGAGATCAACAGAAGAGAAGAGAAAGGAATAACGAGTGGACCTTTTTGAAGTAGCGGTGACAAGCACCCACAATAATAACTAAGACAGAGTAACGAATGGTCCGTGTATCATCATGCTTCTAACAGGGTAACATGTGGTATCATCGAAGGAACAAACACAACAGGAAAGAGTATATTTAAAAGAAAGATGAAAAAAGGACCAGGGACGAAAACAACGCTGCTGAAATGATTGAAGATGGAGAAAGAGAAAGAAAAAGAAAAAGAAAAGAAAAAAAATATTACAAAAGAGAAAATGGGAAATTCGTCACGCGTAAAGAGGTTCTGTTTCAAAAACAGTGCCGAGGCGGGTGGGCAACTGGATGATATCACATATGCCCCCCCTCAGTGGGTCGCAGCGCTAAAGAATCGGAAAGTCGCAAATCGCAAATCGCAAATCATGAAAAACCCGAAATGAATTCACCCGTTCAGTCGCCGCCGACGGCCTCGTGTGCTGCCTATAGGACGCTGAGCAAGAACTTGTCGAAGAATAGGATCATCTTTGTTTTTATCAACGTGATGGACTCGAACATGTCTAAGTAAGTGGTCAAGAATTAGCCATTGGTTTACGAGAAAGAAAATTTGGAGGCTTTTAAGTTCTTAAGCTCTTAAGCTCAAGGTTAGGCTTGGAGGTTAAACTATTACGTACCGTTGAAGATTGTCCGGTCGAGGATACTTATGTTGTTGATCCGGACAGAAAGGACAGACGTAGCCAGGTGAATTGTGTACCAGACCATGTCGCATCATCTCATTTTTACGTTTAAATCCTTTCCCGCCTAAACCGCGAGGGCAGCCATCTACAGGACAGAAATGTGGCCGATCTTGAGAATGCACATTTGCATGAGAACTGGATGTGGGTTAGTGGATTGAGTTCGCGGTAGCACAAGGGGAGCAAAAAGGAGGATGGGGAGGGGGATTCATATTCCCGATTGAGATAAATCTTACTTGAGTAAATATTGGGTTTGGAACGGTGGCGCCGTACATCCAGGATGTGTACATTTGTAGCTGCCAATACTCGTAATTCCTCCATTTGGCGAAGGATGCGAACTAAATGAAGCCCGATCCCCAGCCGTGGGGGCCACAGGTTCTGTCGGAGTAGGATAACTTGCAGTCGGGCTCTTAGCCGTCATGGGCGACATATCATATGGCGTAGGCGGGTTATGATTATGATTGATCGCAGTGGCATCAGACGATTGTGGGGGCGGAGGTGGCGGTGGAGGTGGAGGAGGTGGGGGAAGAGAAGGTACAACCGATACGGCCGAAGTAGGAGTTCGCCAGAAAGAAGGTTGAGAGGCCGGAGAAGGATTATTGGAGATATCTTTGGTGCTCAAAGGCGAGAAATGAGAGAATGGACTGGGTGGAATCTGGTGTGGTAAATGGCTAGATAAATGGCGTTCATGGGGGGAATAATTGTTGCGCGATGAAGCAGGCGAGTAAGAATAGGAAGCGGGAGAACATCCATTGATCCGAGATGAGAGCTCAGGCCCCAATGCAGATTGAATGGAAGGGAGAGTTTGATTATGACAGCTGCCAGTGTCTGGGGAAGGACCACCAACAGAAGAGGGAGGCGAGAGGGATTGGAGGGATGGGAGGGAGATACGGGGTCTGAGGTCGGAGTTATTCCTGGAATCGGGAGGGGAGAAGCCTTCAGATGTAGAGGCTCTTCGATGATCGGGTCCTAAAGGTATGGATATTGTTGTAACCGGGGGTGCCGTGAGGGAGAGGAGACGAGGGCGTCGGGGAGAGGTGAAGCCAGGTTTAATGACCTCTTGGGATGGTACGGGCGGAGGGAGGGTAGGAGCACGGTAGGTAGGTGGGGATTTGATGTTCGGATCTTCCAATTTCACCTCTTTACCTGGGGATGTGATAGTGGCAGGAGTCGTGATTGATATAGTCGTCGTCGTAGACGGGGTGGCAGTATTCGTGTTCGAGTTCGTAGTCGTACTAGTGGCCGAGGCAATTGCTGGTTGTATTGGTGGAAGCTTATTGGGTTCTGTATCGAACTTGAACGGGGGATGATCCTTAGGAGGAGGAGGCTGAACTCGATTTCCCTGAGCCTGCTGCTTGGGCGACCAGTCCAGCGGATGCTCCTGAGCATGCAATGCGATTTCCGGCTGGTCTGGTGCCAAAAACCTCATCAGCACGCCATCGCCGTAACCCGTAGCCATTGGGGTGTCGGTGTGTTGCGTCTTACGGGAACGATCAGGCGTTCCTTTGGCGCACTCGTCCTCCTTGGAAACAAACGGGGGACGTTCAGTTTCCAGCCCATAATTGATCTTTTGTGCTACCAGTCGTGGGGAGCGATTCATCGCATCGTCCGAGTCGTAAATGTCGGACGTCATAGAGTCGGGCGGGGGTGCATGAGGCGAGGGAGAGGAGGATGTGATGTGTAAGACGTCAGGTTAGGGAGTCGAGAGCCGATCCATGAAGCTAGCGGGGAAATGGGCAATAGAGAGAGAGATAATATGTAAGGGCACGACCCGTCTAAAAAAATTAGCTCCAAGAGTTCTTGAGTATTACTTTATCTTGTGTCCAATGATAGAAGCTGGGGAATGTAAAGGGTTCTAATCCGAAACATCAAGTACATCAAACGAGTGATGCCCGGCGGTTAGATGGAACAAGCAGCAGTAGTGTCGTCACCCACTTATTATGTGGGTGCGAGAAGGGGGGGGGGAAACAAAAAGTGGGAAAACAGGGAAAGAAGAAATAGGATGATGAGTGTATCAAATAAGAATAAGAATAAAAGTAACAAATTGACGAGCAGGTTAAGGGAAAAGAGAAAGCAAGATGAGGCTGAAAAAGAATAAAGTAACAACTTACCGCAAAGTGGGAAAGATAGATAGAGAGAACCAAAGTCTGGAAAAGTCAGGGGAAAAAAAAAACGGGTAACAATGAGGCTCAACAAGACAACTCCATTAAGGAATCAGAAGAGAAAGAGAGAGAGGGGAAAAGAAGAAGAAAGGGGGCGTTGGGAAACAAGAAGGAGAGAGAGAAAAGAGGGGGAAAATGATCATTCACGTCAAAAACAGCGGGGAGAAACGAGAAAAGAGAAAAATAAAAACATAAAAATCAAATCAATTTGCGGCTCTGAGAGTGATTTATTCCCCTTGAGTGCACAGTGGAGTCTCCGAGGCTCTGGCGAAATTCCCCGCATAGACGAGGATTTTGGGCACTCAGTTCGGGTGTTTATTCTGTATTTTATGATAATTATAGAGACCCGGTGTTTAAGATGAACATTAATCGAATTATCATGGTAATCTTAAACTATGACCTATGTGTTGGTTTGTGTTCTTGCTTATCTTTGCTGACGAGGCAGATGATCCTCGGAGGATTAAGGGGGAGAACAACGGGGGAGACAACGAAGGGGGAGTTGCACATACCTAGTATACAGTAATGGATACAGTAATGGTTCTGGCTAATATCTCCATACGATCGGATTATTGATCTAGACACTTGAATGCAGAAGAGATAATAATAATTATAATAATACCTAGACTATACCCATATAATAGACCCGTTGGACAATAGGCATACTACTGGTAGGTGCCGTGTATAATACCGCCCCGTTGTAGGTACATAGTACCTAAACGTTTCCCATCCTGAATCTTCTAACCTTGGAAGTTGCTATCTCTCTGTTTCACTTCCTCATATTTAATTCTCGGGCTCCACCTTTTCATTTTCATTCTCATTTCTCTTCCTCTCGTTCTCGTCTTCTTCAAAAAGTGGATTCTCGGAAGATTCAACCGGGGAGAGATCCAGCCGCATCAGTGGTGCCAATCCCCTCTTTTCTTTCCTTTTTCGCATTATTTAATTTATTTAATTTCCTCCCATTTTTCTGCTTTTTGTCTTGCCTGGGCTCCACTTTCTCAAGTTAGGCTCGGTCACAGCTTTACAGCTTAGACCTCCTCTCCTCTTGGAAACCCGGGAAAGAGAACCTGCACGACCAGACCACACTCCAGGGGGGCCAAATCTGCTTCTGTTTGTGTCTGTCTCTCGGCTTACATGAAATCATTCTAATTAGATTCTGATTCCCTGCCAACGCACACATTGCGTGTTCAGAGCCTTGCTGGCTTGTGCTGGCACTTCAAAAGGGCAATAAAGCGGCCCGCACCGAGAGCAGTCTTCTAACTGGGTGAATACTAACGAGAAACCGCAACTAGCGAGTACCCGACTAACCAGGCATGGGATTAGTGTGGAAAGTGGGTTCTTCACCTTTTTTCTCTTTCCCCTTCATAGCCGGCTTCCCCGTTCTATTTTGATTCTAGGGAGAATTCCTTTTTAATTAAGTTACCTGGTTTACGGTGGATATTATCGTGAATTCCAGCCCAGTCCGGGTTTTGTTGACTTTCAATTTTCAGAATTTCAATTTCGGTCCGTTTTGTTTTCCCTGAGCCTCACTGCGCACGTAGAGCCGCAGGGCCAACGCAGCCTCATTCCTCCCCTCCCGCCCCTCTTTTCGCCCCAGACCAATCATCCCGGTCACGCACGGCTCTAAGACGGTAAATGCTTGCTTGCATTCCTGGTACTGACACGAGTACTTCTTATCCTTGTTCTCAACATAATCCCATCATGACTCTCCGACTCTCAAGGCTGCCCATTCCATCCGTGTACTTGTACTCCGTGCTCCGTATTCCGTAGTTAACACCGAGAAAAGATGGATCTATCCCACCCCCCCCCATTTTTGTATTAGTGTGAATTCCTATTCCTTCACCTACTCCCTCAACTGCTCTAGTTATTAAATAATCCAGATGTACAGACCCAAAAAGAAAGTTCTGCATGGGTGGCGTTGCATTGACGTGATAGTGGTGCTGGACACAGCACACCAATACGGGCTCGACTCGTGGACCGAACAAGGTCAAGTGCTGACCGCATCTTAACCCCGCTTGCCGCACTTTAGCACCGAGCGCCTAGACTAATCCAGCAGGTCAGAAGAGGGACGATCGTGAGAAAACGGACCCATGATGTCCCAAATCGTCGATTATTGCGAAGGCTTTTGCACCTTGTTCGCACCTTGGCAGAGAAGAAGAGGAAAGGAAGAAAAGTAAAACAAAATAGGAAAATGCTTATATACATTTTATCCATTGATCTGACGCTGACAACCGAAAGCCTCATCCTTATGATCCTTCATGTACAGAAGTACCCGAGGTACATGTAAGACTAGCAAGATCCATGTATACATCCATGTGTACATGTACAGGTACAGGTACAGGTAGCCACGAATCCCCCCTGTACCTATCCCTGCCGTAAAGTGGATAAAAAAAAATAAAAGCAAATAATAATCACCCACTACGCAGCGCTGTACGTATGTAAACAAAGAAAAAATCCAAAAAAATCTGGAGGAAATTCGGGCCCCATCTACTCTAACAAGGTTTCCAAGGTTCCTCCCCGGCCACTTTTACAACTTGCCCTTTGCCTTCGACAGCGCAAGTCGTTGCACCTCCTGCACCCGTTCCCAGGCACCTTCAGCAAATGGCTTAGCTCGCTTCCCATAGTCTCCCGCCCGTGCACTACTGGCCTGCCGCCCTGCAAACCGGGCCGCAATGCCCTGCATGATGACGGAGCCTCGGAACGCAAAGAACGCATCTCCCCAAAGAATATCCTCTCCCGGATGATATCCAGCCACCTCAGCGTACCAGTTAATGCAGTCTTCACGAGTTGGCAGTCCATCGACCCGGCCACTCTGGAACTGCTCCAGCTGGGAGTCAGCTCCTTCGAGGATCCAGGGGCTGCTCAGATTACAAAAGTCCGAGAGTGGGTGCCCGACCGTCGCCATTTCCCAGTCTAGAATGCCAATGACTCGGGGCTCTGTCTTGTGGAAGATCATGTTGTCGATCTTGTAATCTCCATGCACGAGAGATCCGCGGTCGCGGGGCTGAGTTGATTTCTGGGCGAAGAATCGTACCATGTCGTCGAAATGGGGCAGAGCGCCGACTGGTTCCTTTGTATCGGCGTCTACCACGGCCGCTTGGGCTTTGGAAATAGTGTTAAATGTAGCAATTTGGCGGTCGAAGAAGTTGGTTGGTTTGCCGAATTTCTCTAAGCCCACGGCTTTGGGGTCTACTGAGTGAAACTTGGCTAGTGTTTGCACTGCATTCTTCCACCTAGAGGTTCATGATGTAAGTCAGCGGATTTCCCTTTTTCTCTCTCTCTTCTCTTTCCTCTCCCTCCATCTGTTTCTAGCTTTCTCTCTTCTCTTCTCCCCTTTTCATCACATTCTCCACTGAATAGATCGTGCAGGTTCAACGTACAGCGCATTCCTTTCCTCCCCACTCACATCAGGCATCGAAGGATCAGTAAAATGCCGACCGTCCAGAAACTCCATAATGTAGAACGGTGTCCCAATCACATCATTATCCTCACACAAGCAAAACACCTCGGGCACCGGTACATCCGTGCCTCCCAAAGCCTTGATAATTTGGTATTCTCGTTCAACCCGATGAGCAGTCTTCGAAAGCAGCTTGCCAGGCGGCTTCTTTCGCAGTACCACCTTCCTCCCATCGGCAGTAGTAAGTTGATAGGTGGGGTTTGATTGACCGAAACCGAACTAGAACCAAAGTCTCAGTAATAAGTTCAATCCCCTATTGTACGATCTGAATTATGTCTGAGATCTCAATCAACAAACAAACTCACCTGTTTCACATCCAACGGAGTCTTAAGCACAGACACGTTCGACTCAATATACCGCTCTAATGAGGGGATATCTATAGGTTGGCGTACAGCTCCCGCCATGATTGCAAACAATAATTCTTCCTAGCGACAAATAAAAGAAGAAGCATTCAAAAAGTCAATATCGAAAAAGCAAAGCGTTCGGTTAACCCCCAGATATATACAGAAGTCAAGTTCAAGTTCCAAGCAACAGCCGGGGAACCTCGGTCCACCATCCTCGGCGTAACAGTAAGCGGGGAGAGCTCCAATCAATGCAAACAACCCAAACACTTAACACGCGGGCGCGTGCAATCAAACTCCCTTCACCGCTGGGACGTGGGACGCGCGTGAGCGCAAGGGACGAAGAAGAAAAAAAAACCCACTTTCCACTGGCACACACCGCAATTTATTATTCAGATCACTAGGCCAAGGGATCCATATTTATCTATCAATCGGATTGTCTTTTTCTCTTTTTTTCCTCTTCTCCTCCTCCAATTGTCTCGCTTATTGATTCTCTGCCATGACCAAAGAGACCACCCCACCCACCGAAACTACTACAACCCGCGAACCTCCTTCTCTTCCTACCTCCCCACTTCCTAAGCGTACTAAGATCGACAACAACAACAACATGACTGCCTCCAATGCTCCAGCCGTGACTTCTATTCAGCAGCCTCTTCCTCCCCTGCTGGTGAAGAAGCTTGTTGATTCTGCTCGTCCCCCCACGCGGGGCTCTGCTTTCGCTGCGGGGTACGATATGTACAGTGCCAAGGAGACTGTGATTCCGGCCAAGGGCAAGGCGATGGTTGATACTGGCATTGCTATTGCTGTGCCCGAGGGAACCTGTACGTGTGATATGTTCTCGCCGTGGTCCAGCATTTGAATCATGAGTTTCGAGCGGACAACTTCAAAAGCACCGAAGGAATCGCAATGGCTAATTGTCTTTCAATAAATAGATGGTCGTGTTGCTCCTCGCAGTGGTCTTGCTTCCAAGCACTTCATCGACACTGGTGCTGGTGTTATCGACGCCGACTACCGTGGCGAGGTGAAAGTGTTGCTCTTTAACCACTCTGACGTTGACTTTCCCGGTATGTTCATCACCAATGGAATCGGCCTTGTACTTCCTTCTCGGCCTGAGATGACAATTGACTGACATGTTTCGGGATAATAGTCAAGGAGGGTGATCGCATCGCTCAGCTGGTTCTGGAACGCGTGAGTCGTCTACTTTACTTTCAATTCAACAAGACTGGTCTAACCTGCTTCATAGATCTACACACCCGAGGTCACTGTCGTCGAGGAGTTGGAAGAGAGCGTCCGTGGCGCTGGCGGCTTTGGCAGCACTGGCATTTAGATTTGGTAACCGGATACAATCAATGCTTTGACGTGAACGGAGCTCTGGGTAATAAGGTTGGGTTGGTTGGAAAAAGGACACCGGAGTATATCTGAAGGATTTAAGCTCAGGAAATAACGAATTACATGCCCGAACGATCCGATAAGAAAGAAAAAGAAACAGACGTGAAATATAAAGAAACAAAAATGATTCTTTTATGAAATGCTGCATGTAATGATCTAATGTTGAATCTATTTACAGACTCGATCCTCCCAAAGTGATTTTGTCCATCAAAGTATTAATGCATCCAGTTGTACCGCTCATCTCAACAAATCTACAACTGATCCGGAAGATCCTCCTTAGACCAATCCTGTACACTAAACTGCACCAACGGATCCCTCAAAAACCTCGCATTCCTCACCAACCGCACCTCAGCAGCCTTGGTCCTCCTTAAGTGCTCCAACTTCTGCAATTCCTCCTCCGATAACTCCCCACCAGCCGCCGGCCCAGACACAAGCTTCGCAGCAGTCAACTCCGCATTACGGCTCTCCATAGTCCTCTCAAGCACACTATGCATACTCGAAAGAACCTTAAGCGTAGCCTGTGCCAATGGAAGATTACCAGGAACCACCTCATCATCCGAGACCCACGACTTTGTATTTCGTAACTCTGGACCAGCTGCGAAGACAGCCTCCCGGAACCGGGCAACAGTTAGTGCAGCAAACATGTCTCCTGTACCGCTGAAGAAGCAATCGAGTGCGGGGACATCGATACGGAAGAGACGCGCAGAGCCGTCGGAGCGTGTCGTCGATCCAATGACTGTTAGGTAGTTATCTGGTGGGTTTGGAGTAGAGTCTGAGTGGGACAATTTGAGTAATTGGACCGATGTGATGATGACGTGGGGAACTTTGTATATGCGATGAATGGCTGTGATAGCTTCTGCTAGTGTGACTAAAGAAGTGATTTTGATTCCGGAAAGGACTCTGAGTAGATGGGATGGGTTAGAGCGCTTATCCAGAGTCGATTGAATGAAGTTGAAATTGATAGAAATTTGTTGGCGCACTTACTCAGCCTCGAATTGATTAGGCAGAATCAAATCTGCATACTGAATCATCTTCTTATAAGCAGGGACAACATCATCATTGACATATAGTCGTCCCTGATCACCCATAACCGGGTCCAATACTGTATAATAATAAAGAACAATTAGATATTGCTTCCTTCTGCCTTGAACTTGAAGTTGGGGCCTCAACCCATCCCTTGAACCCAATGAAAAACATACCCCAGAAAAATGAGCCAGGAGTTGACGCAGCCTTCGTTTGCAAATCAATTCCAATAGCGCCAACGGCCTCAACTGCTGCCGCACTCGGCGCATACCCAGAGAGCATGACGTCAAAGTCTGTGAGGTTACTCTGGCATAATCCTTGATAAAGGTCTGTAATCTCCTGTGCGGTTGCGCGAGTACCCTTAAACTGACGATAACCCGTATGATTACCTTGTTTCGCATTAGTTGAGTTCGCAGAATATAAAACGAGATTGGATCCGAATTGAGTCATCGGAGTTATCCGATAATGGTAACAGCGACAGTGACGGTGATAGTGATGATGGCGAGAACCTACTAAAATGCACTGTATTCAAAGCAGCTACATCGCATCCCAAAGACTGCATGACGAATTCGGCCATTGTATTGCCCACATGGCTGTATCTATCAGCTTTCCTATATCGCATGACCCATTCATCTTGAAGTGGGATGTTCGTTCGCATACCCGTAGACAACCTGGTCTGTGCGTTAGCAATTGTGAATTAAGCTGGGATGTTCAAAGAGACTCACATGGCTGGCAACTGCCAATACTCTCGTCTCTGGCACAAGCAAATCGGACATGGCGTTGTGAATGAGAGATGATTGTAAACTACGAGTTGTGTGGGGAAGAAATGACGAGTTGCACTGATTTTCCTTCTCTTACCTAATTGGCTAATTGGCTCGGGGGGTTAAACTGGGTCCGTGTAAGAGGTGATAAGCTGGTTACTAGTATTTAGAGTGAGTAGTTACAGGGCATAGGATTGATCGTGATTTGAAAACAAAGCAGATATGTCTTCAGTCTCTTTATATTGAAATTGTGGCATGTTAGTTATACATTGCGCAGATCCAATTGCAGTGACCTCATACTGCGTAGTCCAACGCTTATCTACCACAGGAGAATAAAGAATAGCACAAGGTTGAAATCAACAATTGAAATGGGCACATTAAAGCACGAAATAACCAGATCAATAAAGTTAGACCTCATTAAACGGAGTACGGATTACGACTTTTCAAGCGATCGACAATAATAAAATCCTTAACTATAGGCGTTCCTAGTTCCCTATGTACAGAGTAAGCCAAATCGAAAGGCCTCGACCCAGCTGAACAACAATTCCAACCATGATCAGGGCTGATCATTCTCATCCTTCCAGTCTCTCGTTCATCCCAAACCCTTTTTAGAAATTTCATGGTCAGCAACTGGCCCCTGCCCAGCAAATGCCCCTGAACCATTGCTCTCTCCTATGGATCCCGGGATCCACAGAACGATCTAGTCCTACGCCAACCCGACTATTCTAGGGATTAGCGCACCATCTGGTCCTTCTTCGGGCTTGGCTAGTACAACTTTACGAGATGAGCTTCGGGAGTAAGATTAAAGAAAGAAAAAAAGACTCGAACAGGATCATGATCCGGTCGGTGCTCCGTGCTTTGCCGATTTCCCTGCTTTATACCCCGTATATTACGCCCTTTTTCCCTCTAGGCCGAACGTTGTAAAAAATAGTGCGAGACAGAGTAAGACACCTGGGTGGTGTTCGTACCTTTGGATTTTAATGTCTCCCTAATCTTCTCTCTCTTGTCACTCTCTTCAAGTTGTTCACTCTGTGCCAGTGCCTCAGCTGTTGGGGGCCATTGAATTCTGTGTGGTCATGGTGCATAGTCGATAGCGCAGTCGCGTCTTTCCCCTCTTTTAATATTGCCCTTGGGGGCTTTGTCGCTCTTTTTTATCCAGTGTTCTCCGAGTCATCATGGAGGACATCGTTCGTTCCAAATCCTCGAACTGCGACTGCTGTCGCAGTATATGCCGATCGAGTGCGGCTAAATCAACATCTCAACGTCGCCGGTCGCAACCCGGTACAATTCGCCAACTATCCAAAAGCCTGGGGTCTTTCTACCATACCCTCTTAATCATAATTCTTATTATCTGCTTATTGCCAGTATCATCCGTGGCTCGTCCAACTGCCATCATATCAGATCTAGTTCAAGTTTCAGACATTCCACAATCAGCCTCAAGCTCCACCATTAATACTGATCTCAGTCCGAGTCTCCACGAGGGATCTTCACCCACCGAGCCTCGCGACAATAACCCCATGAGCGAAGATGATATCCGACATGAAATTCTTCGACGAGGCATAGTGACCGCCAATACCAATGATACATCAGACTCAATGCCAGAACCATTCGATACATCATCCAACAACTTCGCCAACTCAAGCTGTGTGAACTACTTCAATACCTTCCTTGCCAACAAGACAGTAACAAACTGCCACGCCGTCTCTTTACTTCTCGAAAACTCCAATAAATTCTTCCACGATTTAAGTTCTGCTTCCGCCACCTCGCGCGTCCTCGATACTACATGTTCCGAACCAGCTGCGAAGTGCCAGTCCATCATGACTGAAGTCGCCAATGCGATGCTGCGTAGCGAAAACTGTGGCACGGATTACAATGCAAACAATTCCGTCGTCACAAGCACATATACTCAGCTTATGGCCTTCGAACCTGTTTACCAAGCAACATGTCTCACCGATCCCGATACACAAGACTACTGTTTCGTCGATGCTGTCACTAACGCCACGGCGCCGAACGATTACAATGTTTATTTTATTCCGATTGGAAATCAACTTAGCAAGGGTACACTTACATGCAACCGGTGCCTCAAAGCTACTATGAATATTTACGCGAAATGGGCTACAGTTGATAATCAAGCCCTCGACTCTACTTATATTCCCTCTGCCAAAATAGTGAACGACTATTGTGGAGCAGGCTTTGCAAATACCACGATTCATGCTGGTACTATCGTTGTTAAGCAAAGTGCAGCGGTTACTGGACCATTACCCAATCTCAGTCTTGCTGCCTCAATACTTGGCTTTATTTTCGGTGCTATATCTCTTGGGTTGTTTTGAGATCTTCATCATAGAGATAGACGAATGACTCTCTCCTTTTTCAGCCTTGGCTTGTTTTCTTTGGAGTTACGGGCATGTGTGATGACAGCGAACTTGAATCTTTACTGTGTATTTAACCTTATACTGACATTTTTAATCTTAACCACACCTCAGGGTGCTACTAACTTACCGACTAGGAAAAACTTTAAAATTTTCCAATCTCCCGTCCTAAGATCGTCGCATAACCTACTATAAGTAGGCAATAGCGCTCGCTAACCTATCACCATGGCACGACTCTCAGCTCCTCTCCGAAAAACCCCACCCCTTATAATATCTAAAGGTCGAAAGAAAAGCAAACCTCAAACTTTTAACTCAAACTGCGAATCTAAAGCGCTCCATCCAACCCCATTGATACGAGAATTTCTATCTTTAGCCCCCAATCTCGTGATGTAGGGTGGGGAACGTCAGCGGCGCGGGGCCATAGAACCTCTCAAGAGCGGCTCAGCCCCGAAACTCCCAAGAAAGTAACCTTAGCGTAAAAAACCAGACTGCTAGTTTTAACAAATATTCAATATCTACATCTTAGCCCTGTAAAGAACATCTATGCAGTTTGACGATGACTTCGACTCAGGCGTCCCGCCCGCCCCGCGCACAACTAGCGGAGATATGTCCATTGGCCAGCGAGCTGTATGGCTCCACCCGTAAATCAACATCGCCAGTGAACCAGGCAGCGAACGAGCTGGGCTTACTCCTATCGATATTGAGCTGTACAAGGACACACTGCTCTTCACATGACACAGCAAACACAGAGCTGGGTCTATCAGATGCGCTTGATCGGTGTCTTGTTGTCTTGAGGGACTTGCAGGTGGCGCAGAAGAGCGTCAGTGGGGTTGAAACGGAGCATCAGATCATGGATCTTCGGGCTCGATTGAGTTCTTTGATTTCTGAACTTAGTATTATGAATGCTAATATGGAGACGTATGTTTTTGCCATTTTGAATTTAGTTGAGGTTCTGTTGCATAATCTTATATTTGTTTTAGGTCATCCCAAGATAATGTCAATAAGGCTACCAGGACATTTATTGAAGAGATTCATGCTGGAAAGCGAGATTCTTCAATCGTTTCTAGAGTCCTCGATACTACGTGTACGCTTCCACTTTCTGAAAAAGACGAAGCATGGCGAGAACTACAAAAAGGATTCGAAGAGCTTGGTATCGCGCCGGAATCATCGATGGAAGATCGCGACTTGATCAGTACAGCGCTTGAGAGAGCCGTCCGAGAGGAAGGTCTATTGAAGAATAGAAAGAGAAGAGCGCCATCTCAGGTTATAAAACCAATACAACAAACTAAAAATAGTCCCCCGGTGCCCCGGACGAGAAGCGATCACAACAGAACAACACCTCCACGCTCTTCTCCAGATGATTTCCCTATCCCCAAGTCTTCCGATAGAAACTACATGTTGAGTTCCAACAGAGACAGGAGGCCATCATCCCAAGCACACTCAGATGCATTCCCTATACCACTATCCAGCGAAAGTCACACCCAAGACGCCGACAAACACATCTTACCAAGAGAAGACTTCCCAATCCCCGTCCTCTCAGCAACATACTTCCCCAGCAGCGACACAAATAAAGAAGCCTTACTACCCAACATACCCGAAAGTTTCCCAATCCCCGTCGCAACAGAGCCAGAGCCTACCATCAGCACCACAGACAGCCGCACGCTCGAGTCTCGTTCAGACGGCAGTTCCTCAACAGGAAACACCTCAGTCTCAGTATCAGGAATCAAGCTCCTCCGAGGAAAAAGACCGAGCATAATGCGAAAAATGAAATACAAACTAACAACCAGCAAAGAGGAATTCATCGCCCTAATAGAAAGCGGAGGATTATATCCCGTGAAAAACGCCCTAGACAAAGGCGCAGAAGTCGACACGATGGATTTGAAGAGCCAAACAGCACTGATGGTAGCCGTCCGCGCTGGACACGACCATATAGCCGACCTACTACTTGAATACGGAGCCGTCACAACACGCCAGTCAACACTAGGCGAAACGGCACTAAGTATAGCCGCCTCAAAAGGATACGAAGGCATTGTCCGAATATTACTCATACGCGGTGCACCGGTGGATCAATCGAAAGACACAGGGAAGACGGCGCTATCCCAAGCTGCAGAGGGCGGACATGAGAATGTCGTACGGTTACTTTTCAATGCTGGAGCCGATATCAATGGATTTTGTCATACGGGCGATACGGCTTTATCCCAGGCTTCTCAGAATGGGCATCTGGATATTGTTCGGTATCTGTTAGATAACGGGGCACTGGTCGACCATACTGCTTATCCACGGCGGACGGCATTATACAAGGCTGTTGAACATAAGAGGCTAGAGGTGGTGAGGGTATTACTGGAACGGGGAGCAGATCCTCTTCGTCCTGAATCTATTAAAGGGTGGACGCCGACGTTTCTTGCAAGTATGCAGGGCCAGTCTGAGATATTGGATCTGCTTAATCAACGTGGGAATGCTGTTCTTTATGAACAGTACTGAGAATCACTGAACGAGTTCATCAATTCTTTGAAAGCCCAATATTAGAAATGAAGAGTAAACGATCAATTTATAATGAATAAAATGCCATAACGAAGCCAAATGTCTCAAATTCCTAGATAGAATAATGTGATACTCCGGTCATCACTATTTAGCTTGCATCGCAGCCACGAAAACATCCATATCATTCGCATACCCCTCTAATCTCATCGGCTTCCATCCCAAAACCTGTTTCGCCCGCGCCGACGACCCTCGAAATGAAGTACGCATAGCTTCAGTAAACAAATCTCCACCGTGACCCTTAAGTATCACCTTTCCCTGGAATCTACAAGTAACCACCAAAGCATTGAAGATATCTCGCATGCTTTCATGGCTAGTCACCAGATCAAAGACAGGGTAGACGCCCGACCCAGATACCATAGCTAAATTTTCAGCAGCGTTCACAAAGGCACGCGCCGCATCGTCGACATGAATATGTCCAGCTTTAGTATTACTATCGAGTGGAAGTTCAACTGGCTCCTTAGAGTCGTTCTTTGCAGCTGTAAGCACTGGCATAAAGAACGGTGACCATAAGGGTCCCTCTCGTCCATAAATCATCCCAGGTCGTAAAATCATCACATAAATAACGTCATGTGCGTTTAGTACCGCACTCTCTAGATCAACTCGCCATGCAACAAGCTCCACGGGAGGTGCCTTGGTATCAGGGCCCACGAGATCAAGATCATTTATCGCTTCGCTAGAGGAACCGTGTACCCACGTCCCAGAACAGTATATGAAACCCAGCTTAGGTCCTCGGGTGCCTCGCTTCTTGTAACTTTCTAGACGCTCTTGTCCAACGATAGATAGCTGTTGAAGAATCTTGTATGATCCCGGACCGGCATTTGTAACGTCGACGACGAGATCGATATTCTTGGAACGAATGATTGATAGGTATGGCTCGGGGTCGTTGACGGGGTCGGCACATATAACTGGGCGAATCTCTTGACTTGCGAGAAAGCGGGCTTTAGTCTCTGTTCGAGCAATGCCGTAAACCGTATGTTGGCCGGTTTGAATGAATTGGTTGGCAACTTGGCGGCCTAAGTAGCCTGTGGCACCAAGGATGAGTACTTTCGGCATTTCTTTTTCGTCTTAGTTTGAGGATTTAGGGTCGTGGTTTAAGTGATTTTGCTCTGAGAGGGTTTGTTGCCATTGTATGAAAGGCTGGAGTCTTTTATATCTCAGGTATGGCTCCGAATTTTGAAAGTATATGGGGTTTAGTTTATCTCCGTGCTACAATTCAATTATGATGATCCCCCGCTAAATCCGGAGTCCGTTAAACTCAACCTGTCGCTGTGTTGGACCCGGCAGGAGAAAATTTGAGTTTGAGGTCTGGATAAGTGCCCGGCGAGGCTATTGCTGATGATAATCTTTTATCTCCGTTCTAATTCCGTCTATGTGGCATAGTGCACCCGTAAAAAATAAAAATCTGTTTGGGCGATTGAGAGTGATTTGGTTTCAATCTAACGCCAATGGTGTATATCCAGAGCAATGGCCTGCATCATAAACTTTGTAATAATGGTTGTGTATAGACAGGGAAATATGCAATGAAGCCCAAGGCCTGCAAGCAGAGACATGGACTCTTAACGTCGTCACGAGTTCGAACAAGAAGGGACATAAGCGCAGGAAAATATCGACAAAAGCGCTCGTCAAATGAAAATGGAAAAAAAAGTAATAACAAATAACAAGAGATCTTTGTGAGCATCAGCTTCTCCGCTGGAAGCTACTATCTCCAAGAGCAACACCGACTAGGCTTTGTGGTTCACCGCCAAAGCTTGCGCCAACATTGGCGGTAGTGGGAGAGCTAGAGCCAGAAGCAGGACCAGAGATAGGGCTCTGCGCAGCATCACGGTCACGTTTCACCCTGAAATAGCCCAGCTTCGCAAAGCGGGTAAGGTGAGACCAGAAATGTCGCCCGGCTGGATGAGAGGCTATGCGATCGAGCAAATCGCATGTCGCTTCGCGTACGACTTGGTCTGGATGGAAAAGACCCATGCTGAGGTAGAACAGGCCAGCCTGGTTCTCCGGAGCAACTGCCAACAACTGGCAGATGCCAGTATAATCCTTCACTGCATGGGAAAGGGCAAGGTAGATAGCACCCGCGTCTGCGTGAGAGAGCTTGAGAGATCTCAGTCGATCATGATGATGATGTAAATCGGGTCGCTGGATAGGGCGTGCGGGATAATACATTGCAGCTATATCTTGAATATATGAATAGTATGATCGCGTGTTTCTCCAGCCTTCAATCCGGGAGACTGATGCTGAAAGCTCACGCTGCTTGGCAACTTCGTCCGTCCATACATAGCCGTGGCCTCGAAGCGAGGATGGATCCGATGAATCTGTTTGTTGTCCCGTGGGACTATCGGGTGATAACTCCTCCCGGGCCCGATGATGTAGAGATTTGATGCACCGTAAACGGCTTCCTCAAAGGCAGCGGCGACGCGAGTGAACTTCATAATATATGCCCGCCATTTCGCTCGGATCGCATTCTCGCCATGTCGATTACTGATGCTACGCAGAATATCTTCGATGAACAAGTTGTCGCCCGTAGGATCTTGGTTGGCGTGAGAGGCTTGATTGGGCAACAGTGAATTCTGCTGTTGGAAAAACAAAAGGCCCTCTGTTACAGGTGCAGGTTCAACATGGCTCGAGATCTTCATCCGACCCGTCGGTAAGTCGCAGAGTACATCCCACCACTCTGGATGATTAGCGAATGTGGGATTTGTGACACCTGCAATGAACCCAGGCACCTTGAGAAGATCATCAATCTTCGTTAGATCAGTGTAAGGGAAAGCATGGCGAGTGAATCCACGCAAAATCCCGCCAGATGCAATAGCACAGGCAGCAAGGACCGCCTCAGCTACTTCACCAGATGGTCGATTATGCCCCAGGAAGACAACTCGTTTCTGAGTGAGGATGGCGTTGACGAGAACAATAATTGGATGAGTAAGTGGCCCACTTGTTGTCAAATGGGGATGGTTTGGGAAAGGTTGCGGAGATGTAGCATGGGGACCCGCGAACGTTTGAATAAGTTTGATCAGAGAGAAATCGCCCACGGTTTCTGGCCAGATGACTGTAGGTATTTTGACTGGGATCGGTATGTCGTTATACACCACTTTTGACTCAAATTCGTGGGTATCCCGTGGTAGGACATATCGGCTCGTCGACTTCTTCGGTGACGGTGGGACATCTCCATTGTCGGCCTCCTCTTCTTCCCGTTGGCGGACCATTTGCTCAAATTTCTCGAGAAACATTTCTTTGGTGTTGCTGGATTGTAATATGTGGCGTTCTAGGAGTGACATTTTGGGCATCAACGAAAGGTCCATGGAATTCACGGCGTCGTAGAGTGAAGCCAGAGTCTCGGGGTAAGGTGATTTGAAGTAGTCTTCTAATGCGAGTAGGAGGAGCGGCTAAAAATGGTTAGTATTGCAAAATTGAAGAAAAGAAAGAAAGTAGATCTACCTTGTAAATGTGAAGAAATGAATGCCTTGTGCAAATTGCCATCGCCTTGACGACCGCGCCTCTGTGGTACTTGTCAGCATCCAATTTATGATCGTAGGGACGCTTCAACGTACCTTCGAACTGTATGATCTTGCTTGGTATTTACCAAGTTGAGAACATACATCAAGGGTGGACCTTCTCCACCCTCCTCATCATCAGTGCTTTCTCCATCCGAGGCGTCGTCTGGATTTTCATCCTGGAGATGCGCTGCCTCCTCGTTCGCATGGTATTTTGACTTGCGCTTCTTCTTTTTCTTTCCGTCTTCTGTTTCCTCCTCCTCTTCACCACTAGTATCCTTATGCAGGAAGAATATCGTCCAGTCCTGACTCCGCACATGGGTTTGATCCGGCAGCATTAGCTCCGCTAACATGCTCTCATCGCCACTGATGGCCGCCGGGTATTGGTGTTCCATGATCGGACCCCGATCAATGTGAAAGGATGCGACCAGAATATATTCCACATGGCGCTCTGGTGAATCTAGTGGGTATTGTGACTTGCATCGTCGCTGCTTATACCCCACCGCATTTTCCGTCGATGTGCGCCGAAAGGACATTTGAGAGCCGCTTGCTGAGCGGCCCACGAATGAAGGAGCTGGGGAAAGTCTAGGGAGGCCATTTGTTTTGTTATTGGAAGCAGACAGCGAGTCGTTCGATGGTCGATACGGTAGGGTCGAGGCCATCTTCGGAGGGGCAAAAATGTGAGGCGATAGCTCCGGGGTAGGCGATTGGGTTAAGGAGCATGCCTAGTCCTAACAGGCGTGGACTGCGTCAAGAATTAGGAGAACAGGAAACCGAGTCTATCCTTAAAAAGAGAAATCGAGGACAGGTTGATTGATTCAGGAGTCGAATTTGTGTATTTCTGCAAAGCAATGACTTTTTGGTAGGCCCGAGCGGTGGTTCAGATGGTTCAGGGGTCACTGATCAAAAAAGAGTGATCTCCACAGCGGGGAGCTGATAGGCGATAACAGCTACAGTTTGTGTATAACTCTTTTTTCTTCTTATTTCTATAGGAGAAATTGAGACCAAAATGCACCTCCATGGTGAAAAGGATATTATTTCGATGAGGGGGGAAATGAAGAAGAATATAACAGATCTAATTGACATATCTTATTTGTATAAACTTAATAAATACTGTTCTTCAAGCAACAATTGACTGATCCAACATACAAACTTGAGTCGTGCATAACTCCGCACGTGCCCACGTCGGGCCGACTGTGTTGCCGGGGCATTGTTTACTTGCTTTCATCATCGTCTTCTACTCCGCAGATCAACTTTTGCGGTACAAATCACCATGGTATGGATCCTTGATTTGATAATGTGCTCATGACTAGTCCTTCAAATTACTAACTATGAAATGCAGGCGAACAATCCAACCTTTAAGCCATCACCTCTATCCTTTGGCGGCAACGGACGAGCATCGCCCTTTCGGCGACCCTCGACGCCCAACTCCCCGCCTTCAGGTCGCCCGGCGACCCCAGGAAGCTCTCCAAGCAGAGGATACACTCCCATGGTGTCGCCAAGCAAGTTGAATCAAACATATACCGTCGAAGATGGAGAATCTGTCTCCCCGCAGTCGTCGCCGATCCCCCAACCCAAATTCACCCGCGAATTACCTCCATCTCCTACCAAGGGAGCACAATCACCTGGCCATACATCGCCAATTGTGAGTAGATCACATGCAGTGATGGGTGGGGGTGGTGATGCATCATCTAAATTACCGCCAAATCAACTACGGGAGATCAGAGAGGCCTTCCAGGTTCTTGATAGGGATAATGATGGGCTGGTTGATAAAGATGACGTCGCCGATGTTTTGAAAAACCTGGGTAAGTGACGTTTATCAGATTCCGACAAATGAAATTTTATGCGCCCGCGATTACTGACTTTTCGATGTTTCTTTCCAGGCCAAGATACTTCGCCCTCTAGCCTTTCAAGGTTCTTCCCACCCGGCGCAGGAAAAACAATCAACTTCGCGACCTTTTTGAACACATTATCTCAATTGATGTCTCCCATGTCATCATCTCAAGAGCTCATTAATGCTCTGGCTGCATTCGACGATGACGACAACGGCCAGGTTGATGTGGCGGAGCTACGCGACTCTTTACTCCATACAGCCCCAGAAGATGGAGGCGTACTTCTGACAGAGCGCCAAATAGATGAGGTTTTCAGTGGGTTTACTGGACGTCGTGCATTTGGAGGCCGGGGCGCGAAAACAGGCGGAATGGGGAAGAGGGGCGAGGTTTTTCAATACCACGACTTTGTTCGCAGTATAGTAGGCGGAGGTGAGAATGGAAACAATGGGCGACGAGAGGCTGGTCCTAGTCCGGCTTAAACTGTATGACAATATCGGTGTTAACTGCGGTTGGTGTTGGCGGGTGGTTCCTTTCTGTTTGTTTTATACAATGGGTTTGCAGTGGCCTTTTTTTCTTAGCCTAGGAACAGCATGGAGATTGAGTCTTATGAATCTATGTCTACAATTAATCAGACAAATAGCAAATAAAGATCATACTAAAAAGTCGCGAAAATGTTTCAGATAAAATAGATAAGAATAGCAACATGACGGAATTGTCGTCCCTCACGGGCGCGCGGGATCCGCATCTATCTCCAACGGCAGAAAACAATCGCCAGCCACCGTGACCGCTGCAACTTGGTTCCTTTCCCCATACTGCTACACAACGCCAGATGGTGCGTGTAGCTATCATCAGTTCATATATTGCCAAGAATGGCCCACAACATCCCCTCTTGGGCTGTTGAAAGTCCTGCTGAAACCCCAGCCTCGCCACGAACGTTGCGCACGCTGCGCAAGATCCGATCTCACCAGGTCTTGACAACTTCTAACGCCCTGATTGCACAAACCCAATCGTCCCAATCGTCTCGTACCCCTGGAACTTATGCCGCAGATAAGGGATTGATAATTATGCCAGGCAGCACCCCCGCGCGAGCTTCTTCACATCGACGAGCTCGATCCAATAGTGACGCAGCAACTCGTGCAGCCAACCTCGCAGCCCCAGCTTCAACGCAAAGACGCCCAGCGCGCAAGACTGGTTCGGGGATCGGAGTCAAAAGATCTCAACTAGAGAGTCTTTTGCGCGATGGACCGCAGAGTGGAAAGGGTCGCGACGGTCTCCAAGAGCTCAAATATCTCGTTCTATCATGCAGGGTAGATGCAGATGGAGATGGCATGGTAAGAGACTTGCCCTGGATGACGTGTTCGACTTTTATTGTCATTGTCTTGCCTTTCATGATTCTGTGACTCTGACATTTCTTACCGCTGCAGTCTCCATACCGAGTCTACCTATGGCTCGTTCTTCTCAACCTCTCTCCTGTTCCCACCGACGAGTACCTCGCCTTCATCCACCGAGGGCGATCCCCGGCATACGCCAAAATTCGCAACGACACATTCCGCACCCTAGCCACGGACCCTCTTTTCAAGCGGAGGGTTACCGAAGCCAGTCTAATCCGGCTATTGAATGCTGTAGCATGGAAATTGCATGATTCGAAAACAAAACCCAAGTCCCGACCTTCGTCCTCTCGAAGGCGCACGATGGAACTCTTAGTCAATACACCACCTAGAATCGCCGAGGAACCAGAGGAACCAGACTCCGCAAACAATACGACGGTCAATGAATCCGCGACATACGTACAAGGCATGAACGTTCTCTGCGCGCCCTTCCTGTATGCCGCGCGCAGCGAGGTTGAAGCGTACGCATTATTCCATCACTTTATCACTAAGGAATGCCCCGGCTATATTCGTGGAGCTATGGATGGGGTTCATAAGGGTCTTCGACTAGTTGATAGGTGTTTGGAGGTCGTGGAGCCCAAACTCGCTGCCCATCTTTTTTCCAAGGGAATGCATGCAGAGCTTTATGCTTTCCCTTCTGTTCTTACATTCTGTGCTTGCACACCTCCCCTCCCGGAGGTCCTTCATCTATGGGATTTTCTTTTTGCATATGGGACACATTTGAATATTGTTTGCATTGTGGCTCAGTTGCTTCGCATGCGAGACACTCTTCTTGCAACCGATAAGTGAGTACTGCCCATTATCTACATATTATTCGCAATACTAACAGTCTAAATAGCCCGAACAAAATTCTCCGAAGTCTACCACCTCTTGATGCGGAAAAGATCATCGCTCTGACTGTGCTCTTAGCACCAAAGATTCCTGCTGATCTATATGCTGAGATGGTAACCCATGCGACATGATCGATGACCGAATCATCACACTGTACATTTTTTGCTGTATTTCCCCCCCACGGCCTGGCTTTGATTGATCATGACCATGGCGTTTGGTTTATTTTTGTTTCTATTTATGAGTTTACGGTTTGTGGTTTGGTCATGAGATACGAAAACTGCACCACTACGACCCTCAAGATATGCTCGAACGAATTAATGATGTTGCATAAGAAGCCTGTTTTCGTAGACGAGTACACATCAAGCTGTACGCTCCGTTCTATGATCTGACCATAAACACAAAGCCATATATATCACAATTCCTTGGAAGAGACCCAAGAGTCGGTTCCTTTCAGAGTAGCCCCACCTACTTTGTATGAAACAAGATCAACAACGGTACAATAAAATGATAAAAAGCGATATCCTGATATCCGGTACGCAGATCATGTGGCTCATTCATGCATGAAGCGGTTCTAACAAAGACATACCTCCGTTCCCAATTCCGGTATTTCGCACAGACGCAAGTCAATGGACTATTGTAGATAAGATGCTTCATAATCCTTGTACTCAACTCAAGTTCGCTTTTACACCTTTCAAGTACTATATCGAGATGCACACTCGAACCATGGAAAGAGACTTGTTGCTAAGAACAACCCGTAGTATAAAAGGCAGCTATCATCTCGAAGAGATAAATATAATCCCATGAAACAATCCTTAATTGCAACTTAAATTGTCACATCCATTCACTACATACTATCTATACCCTCAATTTTGAACCTACCTTCCCCCACCATCATTATCACCATAAGCAGTCAGAATGGTAGTAGCTACACTCGATATTACCGAAATGAAGTTCTCCGCGTTGCGAACTGATATAGAAGCCGCTCTTCAAGAACAAAAGCAAATCGCCCTAGGAGGCAAATACGATGTCATGGCCGGCGAAATAGACGACATGCCCTACATAGACTCGCTGCAGAAGGATATCCTGGACGCCCTAATGAAGTTCCACGCTCTAAACTGCACGGGAAAATGGAACGATGTGTAATTAGACGAGTCGAGAAAATTTACGCTGCCTTTAAGGAAGTTTGTGAGTGGTTTGGAATCCGATCTGCCGAAGAAATTACAGAGGCCTTGTCAATTATCTTGATTCATGTCGGACGGTTGCGGATGCGAGGTTATAGAGACCCCCATGCTGATGAGATGGATCGGCAATTGAATATTGTGGAGGGAAGGCTCTTGCGAAGTGATCCTATTAAATCTGAGACGGATGTTGGGGTGACTGAAATTAAGGATTTTGGGTTGCGTGGTATTTGTAAAGACTTGAATATTCATATGAAGCAATGTTCTTGCCATTATTGTAGGGAGGGACCGATTTGAAGATGTGTGTTTGTGAGATTTTAAGGTTGAAGGAATGTGGAGCCCGATTCAAGTTGTTTCTTCTTGGAAATGATCATGGTTTTAATATTAGAGCTTTTTTTTTTAATTCATGTACAGAATTACAAGTCCCTTCAGTACAGTCTATGATCTTAAGTAGAGATACTACTAGTAGTAGTATACTTCAAGGTTATTTAAATAGTAATGATATATCTCTTGATAGAGATCTGAATCAAAGTCAAATTCACCTTATAGTATTATATAAACAAGAATCTAAACTTTCAGTTCAGGTGATCTCTACTTGCGACCAATAAACCCTCTGCGAACTTTGCAAGAACCCTGACCTCTCTCAAGTAAAAGGAGTAAAGACCCCCCTTGGCCAAGTTATGAATATCTCATCTTAGAACATTATCGGTAATAAAAGATGTTCCATGCGGCATCCTCGTCGACCAAATATCGTAGCCCCATATTGTGTAAGGTGTGGAGATTTCCTGATTAAGGAGGGTGCCTGGTGTTTCATTGGGATACAGTTTCTCTCTATGTAATTTATCATGCCAAAGGACTAGGAACCGGTGCCGTGGTTTCAGCTTTTCATACTCCGGATCATGTGCATAATACAGATCATTGTTGGTCCTTAGGATTCCCATAAGATGCTCTTCAAACATGGATTTACATTCAGGCGATGTTAAGTCCGCGTTGTCGGGAAACCAAGACTTAAATCGCTCTCAGCGAAGAATACCCCCTGTCTTGCCAGGAGTGTCATCGAGCTTCATATCAATCCAAATATGAGCGTTCAAAAGCCAACCGCTGCCTTTTTCAGCATCTGGAGAAAGAGAAGCGGCCTTTTGATATTCGGAGACCACTGAATGCGGCCTCCGTTGAGACAACAGGGCCTCAAGATCTTGTGGAACAATAACTTTGCAATCGGATAATTGGAGAAAAGGAAGAAGAGCAATATAGTAATCGTCATGATCGTCTCGATAATACGGTAGATTGGGAAATCATCTGGGAGAGCCGCGGAGGCTGCGTCTTGGTATTCCATCTAAGACCCATTCCCTCAGTAGTCTCACAGTGACTAAAGGTATTCGAGCTTTGGCACTGCTTGCCACATACTTTAATGCGTCAACCAAGGTATTTGATTGTTTTATAAACCGATTATACCTGTGGGGTCGACAGATGAAGCAGCGTGGATGTGAACAATCGCCCGAGGGGTATCCCCGTTTGCATAGATAAACGCATGGAAGTAATCTTGCAAGCTGTTTTTGTTTGGCAAGTCCCAACATATTTTTTGGTTATGGAAGGATACATGTACGAGCATCCGCTCAGTAGGGAAAGGCCGGATAACAACAACACGCGAAAAGTCCCGGTGGAACCGGTGTGGAATCTCATAATATAGAAAGGGACTACAGCAAAGCATCGAGCGATAACTTCTCAACGGTGTTTCAGGTGTGCTGAAGATAAGAAATCCCCTAGCGGGGCAAGAGACGTGCCCCCGCCCGGACGGCAAGGAGTAGTCATTTGAACGGCTTGGAAGATCTGGAAGAGCTCTCCAACGAGAGGACAAGGCAATTTCAAGCCCGAACGAGAACAGGAATAGTCGAGAAAATATTAAGAGTTATGGGAAACGACAAACCGCGGGAACGAGGCCCTGGCTTAAGATAGCCGTTGGGGGTATGTAAAGTGATCTTTGAACCTACCTTTTGCCGCATCCGGGCCCAATCTCACGCGATGACTAGCAAATTTCACATTACTCAAGCCACAGATTGGTTTTTTTAGTACTAAGTCACGGTTTTGGCTAAACTTACACATACGTCAAGAGGTTAACCAAGATCAGATAAAGTACACTAGGTCAGAACCTTGTTTAGTCTTGTACTAAAAGCCAAATTTTAAGTAGTCAAAAACAACATTTGAAATCCAGAAATCCTACTCCAAGGACTCTTAAAAGATCCCTGTGGTACTAGCTCTTGGTGTCAAATGCACCTTTAACGGGCCTTTCTCCCACATAAGAAAATTCCTTTGTTTGATCCAGTCGCTGCTTTCTTCTGCAAGTTGCATATCGAAATTAAACACAACGAGAGCAAGAATGAGGCGCATTTCACTGTATGCGAGACTATATCCTTTGTTAGTGGATATTCACTGTAGTAGATTTTGGGAAACATACTTTCTTCCTAGACAATTCCTTGGGCCAGTGTGAAATGGTTGAAATGCGTCAAAGCAGTCGTTCATAAATTCCGGATCTGATAAAAAGCGCTCTGGATGATATGTGTTGGGATCTTTGAAGTACTTCTCGCGGCGATACAAGGCCCATTGGTGGATAGACAGATTAGTCTAGAAGTTGACGTGTTAGCAAGTGGGTTCTCCAAAGGTTGATAATTGATCAAGTGCCAATGTCCAGAGTCCGATGGATGCTTACATTCTCCGGTATGAATTCACCTAGAACCATAGACCCATTCTTGGGACAGACACGTGGAAGACCATTGGCAATAGGTGGATACATGCGCAGCGCTTCGTCGAGACAGGCCAACATGTATGGCAGCTTGTTTACACTGATTAAAGTGATCTCTTCCTGACTCGTAAATGTTGAGCGAACTTCATCTTTCAATTTCTGGTATGCATCACGATTCTGTAGTAATAGAAAGGTCACCCCACTCAGTAGTGATGCAGTGGTCTCGGAGCCTCCGATAATCAGAATTTCGGCGTTAGAGATCAGTTTTCCAATGCTAAGATTCTAGTCACGAATCCAAGCAGGTTAGCTCTCAGCAGTTCAATATAGCAGGAACTACTCAACTTACAAGCTCATCTTTATTCTTAAGCAAGCGCTCAATCAGATCTGGTCGCTCTTCCGTGATAGCAGCCCGACGAAGCATCTTAGCCTTTGTCTCATCTTTATGTTTCTGATGGGCTTCTTGCATCGATTTCGGAACAAGGGACTTGAGAGTGCTTTTCAATAAAGGGAGAAACGTCAAAGCTTGTAAAAATGATCCCAAATATGCTGCTTCGAAAATCCCTTTGATCCATTGATCATATTTGCAACCTTCTAAGCATCCAAAGGGCTCCCCAAAGGCTAAATCCCCAATGATGTCGAATGTAGTAAAATTATACCAATCCGAAATCACCAAGGGACCAGCTCTGCAGTTTTCGTGGAGTTTCGCTATTAAGAGATCAACATATTTCCTAATCAGAGGCTCTTGGTCCCTCATGCTTTTGTCGGAGAATCCATGAGCCATCTGCCGGCGCAACTGTCTATGCTCATTATGATCCTCGTTGGCAATATGAAGAGGCTCATCAACTGCGCGATAGAACCATGCGGCTTTCGCCATCTCTGGTTCTCCGTTCCTGTGGCCAAAGATATCTTTCCATGCATTAGGATGGGAGAATGCAAGCTCGTCGGGGGCAATACGCACGATATCTCCATAGCGCTCGTGCAATTCAAGCATGTCAAATGGAAGAGTACCACGCGTAGCACGACGGAAATACGGAATTCGAGAGATAGAATGAGATACTGGGCCAGGGAACCGCCTCAGTGGATGAAAGTAGACATTATAAATGGCCGTTGCAATGAGATAGATAATTGGCTTGAATTCAAATTTTTAGGAAAAGATTGATTCGCTTGCACAGGAAGGAGACATACCGCGGATACAATAACTATCAGAATGCTTTTTGCGTCGATTAACGACGCAGCCCCTAGTTCTTGTAACATGGTTTCGTTATATCAAATCAAATGAATCTTGAAATATGCTTTGATAGCCTTTCCAATACTATCGACAAGTCTTATTGGGGAGAGGGGCTTTTATATCACAGTGTATGGCCATTTTCACCTCGGCAATTTCGGGATACCGTTGCAGGAGCAAACTGAAAATATCAAGGCAGCAAGTGTGATTAGACTAACTTAAAACATCGAGATCCTATAGGTCAAACACTGAAAGCATCTAATTTACTGGGTTTGGGTGTACAACCCCGCTTGTCGATCCAATTTCATGGCGCAGGTTTGGGTTTGGCTAATTGTGGCACGAAGTCCTATCGCGAACCCGAACCCGAGCTCGAACCCGAACCCGAGACGAGCCCGCAAACGCCAAGCTATCAATCATGATGATACCGTGCAGAGGAGGCCCGATTGCGAATATCAGAGGCTTGATTTTTGAGTAAACTGAGTTAAACTTAGTTCCTGCGCCATCCCGCATGGTTCTGCACTTCATTGTCAGAATAGGCTGCCACAAATCTGGAAGGTATTTACAACTAGACTGTCGATCTTGAGACTACTAGCATCATAGCTTGTCGCAGCAGATAATCTTTTATTGTTATTGCCTAAACTTTATGGTTTATAAGACCCAGGTCATGTCATTGATATTTAGGGTTCAGTTCAACCAACAATTGCGATCTCTCGCGATTTCTTTTGCCTGTCTCAATTACTCTTACCCGACGCACAAAATTCACACATATATTCCAAGGTTGACCCGGGGGTTCTTATGTACACGGGCCTTCATTCATAATGGCTTCATCGACATGCGGGCTGTACATGTATACCCCAAGCCTGGCACTTGCTTTAATAGGAGTGATCATTTTCTCCAGCTTAGCTTCCATTCTAAGTTTCCGAATGATTCAGACCAAGACTTGGTCTAGCATATTTCTTGTCCTTGGGGCCATATGTAAGGGATCCGCTTCGACTTTATTACGATCCATTTTCTAATTAACTATGGCGCTTAGTTGAACTATCAGGATACATTACTCGATTGATTTCGACACAAGATGTTTGCAACCGTGCAGCATACGGTATCCAATCGGTCCTTTTATTACTGGGACCAACTTTGACGATGTTGTCAGTCTGCATGATACACACGAGTTTTGTCAAAGCCTTGGATGCGGGAAATCTTTGTTTCATCAGATTGAAATGGCAACAGCCCCTCTATTTGAGCATCAATGCCATTCTGATCTCTTTGCAAACTATTGGAGGCATCATGACTGTTGCGTCTACCTCAGAGACGACGGTCGCCACAGGAAGCAAAATGACAATCGCCATCTACGTTGTCCAGACTTTATTCTGGGGATTTCTATTTGCGGAGAACATCTGCATGGCAATCCGGCTTCAGCGTCAGGGGTCGAGTTCCTGCGAAGATTCGGTTGCCAATTGGAAGACGTGGAATCAACTCTTTGGCCTCGCAATTAGCATCATTGCCCTTGGCCGCAATATCATGCGCTTGACTATGGCTGGTGGGATTGCCTTTCTTGTTGATAATGAATGGCCATATTACGCCTTTGACGGGTATCAGATGGTGGTGGTTTTGGGTGCTTGGGCAATTTGGTATTTGCCGGAGAAATGTCAAGATATTCATGAAAAACGGAACTACAGGAGCCTCATCAGGCTAGAGACTATTGGAAGTAATCCTGAATAGAATGGCCTTACTAGAGACAGAAAAACACGACCATTTCAATTTTAAAGACTTTTCCTTCAGAGTTCCATGAATCAATTAATCCACAGTGGATACATAAGCCCCACAAAAGCATAATTAGGTCCATCTATACTCCACATAGGTCGAGCTTAGGGCCAATAGAATATAACCGCATCCGAATACGACGATGGCTCGGATAGAGAGGTAGAGACCCCGATTCGTCTCGTAAGTCTCGAAGGGCGCCCTAGAAGTCATCTCGGATGTTATTTCTGTCGAACTCCCCATAGACCTCGTTGGACCTCGGGGCCCACTCTTTCCTCCTTTCTCTTATTAGAATGTATCCTCCATTTGCGATGCCTATATAATGAAGCCCACAGCCATCACCGCTACGATAGCCAACATGGCATAGACCCACTTTGTTTTTTCTTTCTCGATCACTTTTGACCGGACCCGAAAAAGACATATGCGCTTTAAGACTTGGAGGCAGGATGTCAAGTCCAACCCAACCAAGCCCCTCTGACCAAGAGATGGGCAGCGTTGTCCCAGGGCCGACAAGCGATAAAAATGAGGAGAGCTCGGAGTCCTTCGAGGTTTTTTGGGATGAGCCGATTGACCAAGACTCGGAAAATCCTATGAATTGGAGCCTGGCTCGGAAATGGACCATTGTCGCAGCCGTCTCTTTCATTACATTTTTAACGTAAGCATTTGCTGAACGAAAAAGTAATGAAGGTCTTCTTTAACAAGCCTAGTCCACTCGCATCGTCGATGTTCGCACCCGGTGTACCTCAAGTAATGGTGGATTTCGAAAGCAGTTCAATCATCCTCGCCACCTTCGTCGTTTCGGTTTACATACTCGGATTTGCATTTGGGCCGCTAATCGTCGCCCCGCTTAGCGAATATAGTGGCCGACTGGTGGTTTATAACACTTGCAACGTCCTTTTTCTGGTCTTCAATATTGCCAGCGCGTTGGCTCCGAACATGGCTTCTCTGGTGATTTTTCGATTTTTGGATGGTATTGTGGGTGTGACACCAACAACAATTGGCAGCGGGACGATCGTAGATGTGTTTCCCACTGAGACCCGGGGTCGAGCGATGGCACTTTGGTCCTTAGGGCCTCTCTTTGGGCCCATCATAGGACCAGTTGTAGGTGGGTATTTGGTCGAAGCCACAAGCTGGCGATGGGTTTTCTGGGTTCTTTCCATAGTGGTATGTGCTTGTTGAACTGAAGAACTTCGCTAAGAAGATTGAACTACAACTAACTGTTATTCCGGTTTAGGGCGGAGTCTCGTCAATTGCCTTCTATTTTATCGTTCCCGAAACGCATACCCCGACTATTCTCGCGCGGAAGGCAGCGCGTCTAAGCAAGGAGACAGGGAATAATGCATATAAATCTCGACTTGATGACGGACTTCCTGCGAAACAAAGGTTTTTACAGAGCATTCTTCGTCCCTCGAATATGCTGTGCCGTTCGACCATCATAGCGTCTATGTGTATTTACATTGCGGCGCTTTACGGTATTCTATACATTCTGTTCACAACATTTACAGAGGTTTTTGAGGGGCAATATGGATTTTCGTCTGGCGCAAGTGGCCTCTCGTTCCTGGGAAGTGGTGTTGGTATGCTACTTGGCCTGGTTTATTCCGGAAGTCTAAGTGACCGCATGATCAAGCTCAGGTTGAAAAGAAATGAGCAACCGCAGCCAGAGGATCGGCTTCCTTGGTATATTGCGATACCTGGTCCGTTGAGTATCCCAATTGGGTTATTTATATACGGATGGGGCACCGATAAACAAGTCCACTGGATTGTTCCCGAGATCGGAAATGCCGTGACAGGGTACGGCATGATCATTACTCTTATGGGAATTCAGACTTACTTGGTCGATGCTTTCACACAGCATGCTGCGAGTGCAATTGCAGCATGTACTGTTCTACGGAGCTTAGCTGGCGGTCTTCTACCCTTGTGTGGATTGAAGCTATATGATAAGTTAGGCTTGGGATGGGGCAATACTCTGCTGGCTTTCATTGCTTTGGCCATGGCACCTATTCCTATATTATTTCAGTTCTTTGGGGCGCAGCTGAGGGCTCGATCACAGCCCCTCAAATAGGGAATCCTATATAATCTTTCAAAATCAAACCAATTTATCATCGCATCTTAATGCAGGGCCTTCTGCCACGGGTATCATGATTCTCCTTGGTTAATTAAATTCATATAGAATCAGGAGTCCATGATATCTGTTCCTTTGGCCAGCGTAGCCAGCCTTGATATCTTTCATCGATCAGGGAGGACAGTTGTGACATGAGCCGCCCGCTGACTCCTTCCATAAACCACATCCCTTCAATTTGACGCAAAGCAACACAGAAGTATCCGAAGATGATGAGTGCTACGGGCGCTCCTTGCACTAGCGATTCCATATATTCGTCCGAAGCCTCAAGCAACCAGGCAAAAATGTCGGCTGTTTGGAGCCTTGGCTCCTCATGTGGCTTCAAGACAACCCCCAAAGTTTTGTTTAGCGCGATCAAAGCCTCTTCGTACACTTGGAGCCGTTGAGGATCCTGTGAGAACTCGCGATATATGAATTGTTTTAGCTCCCATGTATACATTTGGCCCTGTTCCATTGCGTGTAGGCTTCGAGCGGCAGCCGCATCATGCCCATTATTGAACATTGGGCCTAATCTTCCTTTACTGAGATCATCACGGCTATAGTCAATCACGGTCTTCGTTCCCCGGAAAAGCAGAACCCAATTTGCTAGGCGGCCCTGCTCAAACAGAGAAAATGAATTGTCTTCAGAGCGGACGCCGGCACACGCAAATATACAGGTCAGCGAGGAGAACAAAAAAAGGCCTGGGCCGTTATCCGACGCCAAAGAAGGCATATTAGGTGTGACCATGCACATGGCCAATTCATGGTGCATGTGTGCTTGAGTGATGCAGCTTTCTCGCCTTGAAGGATCACATCGAGCGAGGTGTAGAGCACTCACAGCCAGCATTGCATGCATAACAGCTGGCATGGTAAATCCAACTTGAGGAGCTTCATCCCGCCAAACTGCCTGAACGACTGGTGTTCGTGATAAAGTATAGCATGTGGAGATCATGTAGTGGTGAAAAAGCTCCATATCATGGAGTTGAAGAGTGGATGTTGAAAGAGACTGTGGTAGCATGGTGCTTGGACTGACACTTTCTGCTACTTCATCCGATCTCACCTGGCAAGCTGCAGGAGTAGGTTGGGCTGACTCCGGTCTGCCCGGAAACGAGCAGGGAACTCCATGCCGTGTACAATTCCCACAGGCCGGTTTACGCTCATCGCACTTCAAGTTCAATTAGTAGGCTTAGCTTGAAATTGGAGCATGTACTTACGATAACCCACCTTGACTTTTCTCCTTTTGCAAACGAGGCAGCCTGCTCTTGACTTGAAATGTGAGCGGCGACCCACGGTGTTCGATGCCATATTTATTGACTGAGATTTTCAGGATTGATCATAATTGAGACTTCTTTGGTTACAAATAAAATGAATGCAAGTTGCAATGTTCAACAATCCCCAGCATAAAGTGCTAAAGATGCTATACAAGTGACTGGTCAAAGCCTCAAAAGAGCGCTACTGCCCTCCCTTGTACTTCGGATTCGATCGGAAATGAAGGATCCTGGGAAATAAGAAAAAGGATTTGCTTGATGTGTTTTTCGAAATTTTCAATACTGTCGAGGCTTTTGTGTCTATGTATTAGTCCGAATTGATTTAAGTCCATATTCGACGGTGGAAGGGGTGTTAGGTAGTGATTCGGATGTATAGTTATTCCGACTCCGTATCCCCAAGTGGCGAAGGCGGCTGATTTCACATACTAAGTGTGATCGTGAAGTGTTAGCCATGATTTCATTTCTGTGATCGGCAAAGGATATGTTTATTTCTATATTTAAAATTATGTTTAAATCAAATAGTGGGGAGCTATATAGACTCGAACCAACTAGTCGATGATTGTCGATGCTTAGAGTCACTTCCTATAAGGTAAGCAAACCGTTGTGTGACCAAAAAGTGCAATTTCAGGAAGGTGCCCAGGATATGGAATTCATACCTTCCACTCTCGGTCTCAGTCTCGGTCTCAGTCTCGGACTCTATTATTTAGTAACATGGTATACCTGACCAAACCTAAAACTTTGCGGATGATCCTTACAAAACTTCACAAGATATTTTTTTTTGGATTTGGGTTTCAACAATGTTTTCCTTTGTTTTTCTTTGTTAATAACACTAGTTATCCTTTAGAGACTCCCAAACATTACTCCCACCTTCACGTCACTTTAATTCAGAGGCTTCTGAGCTAACGTCTATTGTCCGAAATCAACTGCACCGTTCGGCAGTCATTTATATCAACCCCATAGTGATCTCGGAGATCAGTTTTCATTTCATCCTCCATCCTTTTGCGGTTTCCATGGGTCACGCTCGGAAAATTTAGAGACTTAAGTTTGCCATCTTCCAAGATAATCTCGCGAGTGGCGATGACTTCTAGTCCTTGGGCTGTCTTGCAAGCTGTGGGAAAGTACATTGGCGGCTCCCCCTCGGCTTTTTCTTCATACACCATAGGGATGCCGTATCTCTTGGTACCTTTATTAGACTTCAGCTGCTTGATTGCTCTATTGAAAACCTGTTAGTTGTGTTCCATTCTTTCTTCCGTTGGGTGAAGGAATGCCTTACGTAGCGCGGTACCCAAACCTAACCTTTTTGGGATCTGACACGACTAGGTCGGCCAACATAGGTCGCTCTTGAGAGTAATAAGAGCGTTTTTCATAAGACTGCAGGAACTTATAGGAAATTGTGCGACCAAAGACATCCAAAGTTAATGGATTCTCATTGGTATCGAGGGTGCCCCAAGGGGCACTGACATCGTATCCTGAATCCTTTCCGACAAGATAGAGAGCGCCGTTTCTGCCAGCAACCAAGATAGTATCGCCTTTGGCGTCCATGAGAATTCGGAACCCCTGGGCACCTTCTACCTTTTTGAACTCTCTAGTGGCATCAGAAATAGTAGGCTTCCCTGAATTTGGATCTCCGCCGAGTTTGGTGTTGACTTGACTGATGAGAGCTTTATCTTCCTTCTCATTAGCACGGTTGAATCCATTTGCTCTATCAGAAATGATTAGCCATTGATAAAATCAGTCAAGTGAACTGAGCACTTACGTGACACAGCCGACAGACTTTTCAAAAAGGGGGATTGAAAGAAGTTCCTCTTCCCAAATGTCAAAGCCAGCAACATGGACGCGGTTTCTCGCGCCAACGCTCAACGAAACACCATTTGGACAAGATTTGCCACTGCTTTCGCCTTTGGTATCAAGCGAAGCAGTGGCCTTAACATAAACTGACGGAGTGTTCACAAGCCCCACTGTTTTCTTAAACTTCCCTTCAAGAACATCGAGCCCAACTTCGAGGGCCATGGGAATACCAAGATCACCAGTAAGTGTGAACTCGCCTGCCGCGCGAAATATAGGATCAAACGATGGTTCGAGTCCTTCAACACCATTTTTACCCTGTGTAACACTGGCTCTGGCGTATCCTTTTGAAAGGGAGATTGTTCCTCCCACAAGCAGCTCAACCTTGCCTGCAGCCTCCACACCGAGTGCTACACCAACGGACACTTGAGGGCCAAGAGTAATAATACCAGGAATGGTAAGTGGGCTCAGCGGGATATTCTTAATCTCCTTGCCCTTGCGTTTCAGGTGCTTCGTCCGGGTCTTGGAGACGGAACTCTCTGCAGTGAGCCCAAATTGAGCATCCAATTTGAGGGGATCGACGTTGGTCAACTGGATAGTGCCCTCAGTGATACCATTTTTGATGCTGAACGCCAATCGGCCATCGATGTTCATGTTGACATGGATACCACATTTTGCGCATTGCACAATCCACTTTCCATCATCGTCCTTATGGCTCAGTAGAGTATAGCCGTTTTTAAGGCCAAAAATTGCAGGCGGTTTGTCTAGCCCGTAAGAGTTGAGATATTCATGGACATAGATATCGTTGTGATAGGAGTGGTCGAACGGAACACCAAAGGGCACCAACAGCAGCTTGGCAGAGATGATTGCCACTTGAATAAGAAAATCTCCGACTTGAAGGATAAAGCTAAATGAACTTTTGAAGAAATTTTCAATTCTCTGAGACAATGCGAGATAACACCGTTAGCCCATGGGATAAATTGTCAAGCAGAAAGCAAACCTACCCGTCCAAGGTCCCTGAGTCCATCCCATACGTCAGCAAGAATACCTCGTCGGGCGAGATGTGTTGCGTTCCGTTTCGAAACCTCGTTCATGCTTCTATGAGCTCTCTCGTGGCGGCTGTTAGTGGACAACCGCTTGGTCATGTTTTTAGGTGGCTTGGGGATCCCGGGGTCATCCATCTGTTCAAAGTTCATGGTGTCAATCTTCGCCCCCATGTTGGATGTATCCATGTGAGAGTTATTGAAGAAGTACTCCAAAGCCCAAGGGTCGTATGCAACATCCATAGTACGGTTCATGGATCCGGTGCCCATCACCCTGGGCATGGTTCCATTTCTAGGCTTCTCATCATATTCACTTGGTCGATTCACGCGAACGTGACCCTTAACGGGCGTTCTTCTTCTGTTATTCGGATCCACGTAGGTTCCCCAGGACACTACTCCCGAGTCCAAGGCATCTGATTCACCGACACGGGTGGCATCCATCACAACACACATACTATCCGAATTCACAGAGAGGGAGGAGGCGTGGAAATAGCTGCGCTTTCCCGAGCTCTCATCTCCACAGCCAGCATGGTAAGTTGCCAAGTTGAAGCTATCCAGGGGCCCCCAGGAATTTCCAGCGGCCTTCAGTGCATGAGGGCTTTTGAAGCATACTTGTATGTTGTTATCATCGCAGGTGACGCTCTTTATATGGTCGGATTGGTCCAGGACGACCGTATGACGGACAAACTTTGCCTCAAGCGATGCATGTTTTGACCCATGAAGAGCAGCTATATAGTGTCAGTAGAGTGTTCACTAGACCTAACCTTACTATAAAGAACCCTCGAGCTGGAATGACTTACGGCGATGTCCCTCCTGGCTATAGTAAAGGACCTTGTCAAGGTTTGGAATAAGATGCTCCAGGTCATAAGGATCGTGATTAGGCTCCAACCCAGGATGCATGACTACTCCATCACCACTGAAGGAGGGGGTGACTTGTATGAGGCCATCGACTGCTTTGTGAAGGCCTATTGCTGAAGAGGTGACGGTCAGGCCTAACCAAGCGACAGCGAGGCTGTTGAATCGCATAGTCGCGAAAATTAAAAATTAAAAGAGAGACAGAATAGGAAAATCAAGAATAAGGAACGTTAATGAGTGTTGGAATGAAAAGTGAAATTTGTCCACGGCAACATAAGCCCATTATATACCTTTTTTTCTCGCATCCTGAACCCTTCGTATTCCAGCGTTGAAGCCTCCTGCCAAACCTACTCTGTATTTTCTTCACATTGCCGCCAGGCTATTCCATCCCGTGTTTTGAGTGGCCACGGAGAAAGATCTTCGACTCGAAATGCAAATGTTTATCACTATCACCAATAGTGTCCGCTGATCATATGTACGGATGGAGGAACTAGTCTGTTACCATAGCGCGCTCATAACCCCACATGCTCCTTCGCCCCACGTATTTTATTTGATCATTGAATGCTTTTCAAGTGCTTCCAATGTTGGTCTAAGATCCCCGCGAATCTTTCCGCCTTTATATGAAGCGGGAGAGTGCGATCGGCCTCAAGTGCTCGCTTGCCACCAGAAGCAACTACCCACTAGTGAATTGAATCATGAGATGCCCCATTCGACCACACTCATAAGTTATAACACAACCTCGGAATTTTTCAGCCTGAGCTTCTTTAGTCAGCTAGGAGGAATTTCCTCCCGGCCCCATAGCGACATTGTGCGACAATGCTTAAATTGACCTTTCACCTGATCTAACATTTGAAGCTCCTGGCCATGGGCGTGAGGAGTGCTTTACTGTATGCACATGTGCCGTGATACCCCACATCGGTACCTGCCAAGAGAAGGGTTCATTGTGTTCCGGCCCGTCCGATCCATACATACGGGAGTACATGTTCCACTTTCAGGGCTTGTGTACAGGATAGCTGAAGAGGTCGGATACAATCCAATCAAAATTCCAGTGGAGTGCCACCAGGATCAGGGTGGATATTGATTAATTTACATCCAAAATACCGGGCCTGCTGATCCCACTTTTCAAATGTTAAATAGCAGTGCAGACCCTACTTATATTATTAGGATCTACAAGTTGGACCCCTATGAAGCCAACATAGAATGCTACCTATTGTAAATAGGCCGTCTTTGGCATGTCAGTTTGAAGATCAAAAAGAGTTCATAAATTTATTTCGTAGGCACCGTGCTTCCCGAGATCTCCGAGTTCTTGAGGTAGAGATCGTGAATACTCCTTACTGTCAAGAACGTGCTAAATGGGCGATCATTCCAAGTAGCAGCCTCTGTGACTAGGTTCCGGGGGGGGAAGACTTAGAATACCAGATCAATGATCTGGTATTCGATTGCGCTTTATATATTAAGGCTTGGTTCATAACATATACGGAGTACTGGTCGCGATATTCAAATGTTCCAACTTGAAGGCTTTATCTTTTTTAATATCTACAGCCAAACACAGCTCAACTCAGCCCAACTCGACTCAACTCGAATTGTGTAGCTACACACTTAGCTATCTATTTTCCCTCTTATATACCTACTTGTGTATCTACTTGTGTGCCTGGTCCTGTAGTATAACTACATGGAGGAGACTCGGGACCGGTATGTTTGCATGTTGACGTTTGTATGGTTTGACCCACTCTCGGATACAGATCAATCATCTGATTGATCTGGAGAGTGGGCATCCGCCTATATGTACGTAGCAGAGCTTCCCTCTCTCCTTCCCCTTCTTCAACGCCGTTATTCGTTGTTTTTTGCACCTTTCTCCATCCTGGTAGAAACGTAGGCACCTCATCACAGGGCCCAAAGTTGGCGTCGTCCAGCACTTAGCATGCATAGGTAAGTCTCTCCAAGGTCATATATCTATACGATTAAATACTAACTTACTACCAGGAACCTGTGCCCCATATACTGGGTAAAATTATCTTTGCGTCAGGGCACACTATCCTTGCCGACCAAGTCCTCAACAATCTGTCTCTAGGCTGTATAATGGACTGGGCTTTCATCCACTCTACTGAAGATTCTGAAAGACGATTCTTTCAGCCCAACCGAATGTTGGAAGTTCCCGATAAATTAGCGCCTATCGGTCGTCCTACTGGTGCCAAAGCCATTTTTTTTTGAAATAGATATTCCTCTGACTAATTTCGGATCGCTTGAGAAAGATCAAATCTGTGCCAAACACGGCCGCACGACAAAGGTGACCGGGGAGATTTGCGATGGCTCACAGGCTATTTACAAATAGCTCTCAGATCTATAATGGTATTATGCGGATGGAAATGAGGTGGCTATGAATAGTCAAATTACAGAAGAATATGTGATAGCCTCTTCCAACAGGTCATTTATTGAAAAGGGGGATTCTGGATCGTTTGTGGTTGATACAGAAGGTGATGTAACCGGGCTTCTCTTTGCTGATTTTATGGATCGGTATTCTTTCGTCGGAGTCGCTATGAGTATGGCTGATGTTATTGAGTCTATGAGACAAAAGTGTGGCCCATGTACTATTGCGCTTCCATGCTGATTTGATATGACTTCGTGGTGCCTGGGTTAGTCTTGCGAATGGCATTATTCTTTGTGGGTTGTTGTCGAGTTTGCTGTCGATGGACGAGCTACTACAATATCTATAGTACAAAAACACTCGCTCCATCCATACTTATCAGATTTCACCTTGGAAGATAAAGTGAGGAACTTCTGCCAATTTGAGGTTTTATCTCAATATTCTAAAACGAATTCATAGAAGGTTTATGAAATATAGTTTTCGGATTATCTTTCCACTGGTCTCTCTACTCATCCTTTGGCTTATTCATTTTATCTCTTGTTGTCCAGCGTATCTATTCATATCTCAGTATATACAGGAGAGAACAACGCGGTCAATATTCAATTATGATCATGTAGGTCGAGATATTTTCCCGCTTGGCACTATAGTCCCCCGTAATAGAGATCTGAGACATACGGATTGGAAAAAGAACTTTGAGAGCTCCATAGCAACAATCAGATTCCTTTTCCTTTCGTGGGTGAATTAATGATATTAAGTATAATACGAAATTAGGCTTCTGCCTAGCGAATGAATAGGTGCAACGGGGGATTCCTGTCCCACTAGTTTTGAGTATTCGAGATCTATCTTTTAAAAAAACCCTCATTAATTCCATTTTACAATGAAAGAAACCCAAGACCGTATAAATGCAATAGATTCCAATTGACAAAACTCCACTCAATAAAAAGGCATAATGCATTATATCCATTCCCATAACTTCCATGCATCATCAAAATCCTAAGTAGGCGCCGACGTCGACAACATCTCTAATGACCGTCTCGCTTGTCCCGAACCATCCACAACAAGGGGCTTCCGAGGCTCGATGGCATTGCTTGAGAGGTCCATCTTCTCAAAACTATTGCAATCAAAATCACTTCCGTCAGAAGTCCGCTCACTCGAGTCTTCCCGTGCCATATTTCCATCCCAGCTCCCACTCCGAGCAACAGCCGGCCGACTATCCATCTTCACTCGGATCTGCATCCCCATGAACGTCATCTTGTTAAGTGTGTCAACAGCGTACTTGGCCTCGTCGATATTATGCATTATGGCTGATCCTTGCGTTTGGGCCTGGTTCTCGTGTGCGTCCGCAGTGACGGTGACATTGCACTGTTCGACTGTGCCGGCGCTTTGTAAGAGACTCCTCAAGTCTGATGTTGTAGTCTTCGCATTCAAATTCGTAATATAAACGGCGCGTTGTGTCAGATCACTTGTTTCTGTGTTTGAATCCGAGCTCTTGCTTGTCCAGGGCCTTTGTGGATGGAAATGTTGGTAAGTCTCGTTGGATTCCGGCAGTGGCTGAATTGGAGACATGGGGTACATTGGCATCATGTTCCAAGCTGGAGGGTCAAACATGGAGCAGTGCATCATTGGAGAAGGAGGGAAGCACTGCATTGGTTGGGACATGGGATCGGGCATCATGTGCATGAACTGTTGTGGCATTCCCATGGGACTCATCATTTGTCCGTAGTCTGGGTATGGATAGGTTGGACTCTGAGATTGAACGGAACTGCAAGAAGTTAGTTCACTTGAGCCATGGAAGAAGGTGAGTGTATGGTAGGTCCGCTTACTCAGGCGAGATGGGCGAAGGTGGCATGGCCATGTTGCCCTGCGATCGTGGAGGTGTCGAGTGTCCGGACATATAACCTTGGACCATTGCAAGTGGACTTCTAGTGGGGCCAGCGATTGGTTTCGTAGGTGCGTTAGTGCGCGCTAAGGTAACAACTAAGCTCTGGCCTTCCCATCCGTTGGTTGATAACCTGTCTGCACAACAGTTAGAAACGAGCACATCCAAGGGAAGACAGTGGGTTGAAACATACGGTAGGTTCGCCATGCTTCATCTTCATTCTTGACGATAATTTGACCCAATCCTGTAGGAAATCCATGGTTGTCATCATATACGACGGCTTGTCGGATATGCATCGCAGTTTGGCGGACAAGATCTTTCAGTTCTTGCCAGCGGCAGTGAGCCGGAATCTTTAATTTCTCAGTGTTAGAAGATTCCGAAAATGACACAAGTAAAATTGAGATTCCATAAAGCTCACCCCCTGTAGAAATACGACGAACTCATCGTCTGTTCTGCGCGATCTTGGGCCACGTCTTTTTTCTTGGCCGAGGTACGGCATAGCTGTAGATTGTATGTTGTGATGAATACTAGTAAATATAGTGGAAATTATTTCGAGTATTCTTTCGAGCGGCAGTCGCAAAGGTTTCAATGTGAAGCTTTGAAAAGTCGTATCGAATTATTTGCGTATGGTGATTCTCGGTGGGTCAATGTTGCGAAATCGTCGAATCTTTATTTATCCGACCAGGGTTGTAATAAAAAGGGTTCAGTTGAAACTTCAACTCAAACAATGGCTTTGTAAAGCACCTGCAAGCAGCTACCCTGATTCGAATACTTTAACTTAGTTTCAGAGCAAAGAAGTGAACAAAAAAGACTGGTGGGGATTCCAAGATCAAACAGAATATCACGATCGAACTTGTCATTGCGCGGATACCGACCTCACTGGGCATAATAGGAGAGACAATCAGAGACGCGGGCAACGCAAGGAACTCGCCATACCTTGGAATTATTTAATATTTCTTTTCTTTTCCCCTCCCAAGTCAATGCAGGCTGAAAAATTTGTCAGGCCAACATGCAGTATTGAGGAAGAATACAGAATGAAAAAGATCAACAGTCCACGAGCTGGACGAACATCGGGTCTATTATATGGGATTCAAAAGGAGAGAGAAAGAGAGAAAAAAACTCACACTCCAAGTTGAGAGGTTTCACAAAAGGATTTAAATTGTGAATAATAATGGAGCAGTGTCAAGACTTCTCTATACCAAGAATCAAATGGAGTTACTCGGTCGCAATAAGGGCGTCTGAGCAAAGCAGCTAAGGTCAAAGCAGGACCCAGAGAGGTGCATAAACCAACAAATGAAAAATGGCCCAACAAGGAAATGCTAGCCAATGAAGATCAGGGATATTCCACTTCTCCTGTCTGCGATGCTGAGATATGTCATTTCCGTCACGAAGAGCCCGAGCTCAGCTCCTCCCGGCTGCTGCCAAATGCAATAATCACCCACACCGTACCACCCCGCTGGAAAGATCCACACAGGAACATCAAGAATCTGCACTGCTGTCATCGCTCAGTTTCCTTTGCTTTTTCCATAAATTCTCTAAGTTTGCCGCCCTGTCGCATCATAGGTCAACTTCGTGACTAATTCCTACCCCCCACGAACCGTGTACCACATGTGTTGGGTTGGATCGTATCAGGAGTGGAGATGGGAACAAATAGGTACTATTGAGTGGCAGTGGAGATGGTGCACGGAGGGTCAAATCATATTGGAAGATCTGGCGTACTCGAGGTGCTAGATGTAGCGCTTAGCATAACTCACGTTACACCGCTAGATCCAGATCGAACCTGCGCATCGCCCCCCTTCCCTTCCCTAAGAAACGAGCACCCCTTCGGGGCAGCCGTGTGCAAGTGGAGTCTAGCGCGGGAGCGGGCCATACCGTATCGATCACATTGACTTCGAAGGGCTGCAGAATCCCTTAGTCTTGCAGAAATTGCCTCCCGTGTGGATTCCAAGTGGATAGCATCAGCCAGATGAGATCCAAACTACGGAGCAGGAAAGAAAACCAGTCCATTAGTGTGGTGAAAGGGGAACGGGAGAGAGAAGAAAAGGGAAAGATGAACGCATAAAGTTCGGTAATGATCGACGATCATCCACCTGTTCTTCCCTAGCATGAGTCCTGTAACCTGAGCAATCGACAATATGCATGCCATTTTGGCCTGTCAAGTCAGAGGCTGGCTGACTAGAATAAAAAGAAAAGAAAGTCAATATGCCATGAAAAAATCACATCGAGTCTCTGCATTATGTATGTCCACGGAGGTATACTCCGTATGTTATCACGATAAAAGAGTTTCGATCTGGGCCGTCCTTAGCTCCGTAGGAACAGGATCGTAGGGCAGTTCCCACTCTTATGGAGCACGGTCGACACCAATGACGCAGAATTTACTGTAAAAGCAAGAAATAACCCTGACAGTGGAGGAAAAAAAAAGCGTTGGCTGGAAAGGAGCCCAGTTCAATTTTTTGCTTTGCATATTTTGTAAATTCTGAGAGCGTATTGATTGGCGAAGAAGAACCTCCAGGGCAGCTCGTCTCAGAGCCACTGAATAACCGCACAGCAATATTGAAAAGGATCGTTATAGGCGTATTTAGTGCCGAGGGATCCCTGTCCATTTTTCAAATCTATACTTTGTACTTTTGCCCACAACTCCGCTGAATTCTAATATTGACATATCACTTAAATCTCCGTTCTATCGTTCGCAACATAAATTCCATGTCCCTCCATCTTAACTCGAAATTCGCAACTAGATTAATTTAAAAAAAATTAATTTCAAGATGCATGCAATCTTAATGCCAATTCAAAACTTGCTTTTTCAGTATTTGAAGTTTTTAGACTTTACCCTCTGTACTCCATGCCTCATACTGAGGCAAGATCAGCCTGCGATTATCGATTCGCGATGCGTGGCTATTGAAACACAGAGTACCTGCAGCGGGCTCTAGACATAATCGTGGCTGGCTGCCAGTGCGGCTAGCGAGGATTGGCCCTCGATCTATTTACGTACGATCTAGGCAAATTACTCCATAAGCTCCACTCAGAACCCGAGTCCCCACATAAACAATTCCGCCGGCAATTTTTGGGTGTTCTGTGTGTTTTAATTGCGTAGCGGAACTAGGCGAGACGCCCTCGCTATTGAATGGCTCACCCAGGTGGTCTTTTCGGACCTTCTGTCTCCATACCAATTCTCTAGCTCTATTCTTCTTTACAGTACGCTACCTGAGCCTATCGTCACATCATGTAGTGCGTCAATATGTCCGGTCGGAGGTCATAAAATGGCGGTCTCCGCAATGTGGCGGAATGTGGCGGAATACTGGACAGTTCGTCACACTGCATCTTGCTTCCCAGGGGCAGTAAATCCTTCAAAACCAAGACTTTTAGTTCAACCCCAATATCTGTGAAATAATGCAAATGAAATAGTTGGGGGATATTCTATCAGCCCCGGGGATTACTTAGTACGTGTAAATAAGACCCGCGGAGCAATGTCTGATCCAAGGATCCACATTTTGTGTTCCGTGGACGCCGATCAGGAGATCCGAGGAGCTGTATATGGGTCTTCTTTGCTTTTTCAGCTGAGTTCCCTTTTCTTTTCTTTTTCCATTGTCTATCGATTCAAGAATGTGGAGGTAATTCATTTGGAATCATTCTCTGTACTCCATATGTGTGACTATGAAAACCTAGCAGTCTCGGTAGGATTCTTCCCATACCTAGAAATCACAAATTAGCTCAAAGGTAGAGATCAGCAGTCAGGACTCAGGGCATGCGACCGTGAAAAATGAAGCGTAATATGACAGTGAACAGGTGGAGAATCAGAGCATGAGGTAAAGTTTTGGTGGCAACGAACCCGGGGTCGGTGGCAAGGGAAAGAATTGTGAAACAGGGGGAAACGACATTGGTGAACGTTTTCAATAGCTTCATCTATACCCCATACTATATTGTCCGGATTACTCCGAACCGAGGATTTTACGGTTGTGTATGGGGGTTAGTGTAGTATGTACCGGGTTTAGGCGGTCGTGATTCCCGGTCGCGATGCCGCCGCTTTAACGAGGGCATTCAGAGTCCCGCTCATTGACTATTTCACAGTGCAGCACAACAATGATATACGGTGATGCAATACCATTTGATAAGAAGCGACTTTTTATGAAGGGCTTGCAGAAGCATTACTCCCGAGAGTAAAGCTGGCATAATATGTCTGCCAAATTGGACCCCACTGGATGGTAGATGTCCGGTTTTCAGTTCCCAGAAGAATATTCAGGCATGAGTGCATACAATCGATGGGTATTGATGAAATGGCGAAAACAGTAGAAAGGTTCAAGTTGCGGGTCGATCGTGGGTTCTGACAAACACCCAAACTAGCATACCCTTCATCTTCTCAAAACGTCTCTAATACTAAAATTTTTAGGACACCAATTCTCAGCATCTTCATATGTCGGCGTCCACCCCTATAAACTGACCGATTCAGTGGCTATAGACGTAGGGATAAACGAAGGTTTGAAACCGGTGGAGCATAGAAGAATCGGTCCCTGCAGTGGTGTTCTTTTAAAGCCAGAGATGATAATTCACCGTAGTAAATAAGCTGCAGTTTGGAAGCCTTACGGGCTAAGGAGGAGCACCAACTGAAGGATAAAAAGTTTGAAGAAAGTAAGACCGAGAAAAGCCAAAACTTGAAGCACTATGCCAAAATCTTCACCTATAAGCGAAATTGCAGGTCCCAGGCGCGAGTTTCCAGATCTCAGACCTGAATTAGCTATTCCAATCTCAAGTACATGGACCTTGCCAAGTTTCTACCAGGTAATACAAGGACATTCGATTATGATATATCTGATCATTCTCCTCACATTAAATTAGGGCTGGTTGGTATGCACACATCGATAACCTGTATTTCCCTTGTTTGACAAGATACAGTCAAGACAAAGGCCAATTTGGCGGTCGAGAACTTCTAAGCGAGATAAACGCAAACTCCTGTGATTTGGCACGCTGTGCCATCGGTAATTGCTGCAAGGAATACTGGCCTCCTTGGGAATGGGGTCAGGCAGCATTGTTGCTCTTTTTATCGAGTCAGAGACCCCCGAGTATGTCTTTTGGCCGAAGATTCCCCTCTTGCAGTGATTTCAAACAGGCGAATGCATATTTGCTTCCCCACCCACACTCATTTGAGCAGTAATAATCATTCACCCCTCCGATTAGTATACGTCCCGGCTGGAATTTTGCAAATGTTCTTTGTTCCTCTAAACAATCTTTTCGATAATTTGAAGTGTGTGAGCTAGCCACCTGAATAAAGTATTTAAAATTTGAGGTCACTTACAAATCAAGCTCCAATCCAGTATCTCTTCGATCTTCTCGGTATAAATGTCAAGGTAAGAACCAGCATAATCCATAACGAGAGCCTTAGAAGTCTGTCTGAAAGCTTGCGCATTCCGAAATACGTATGCTGCAGCCATGAGAGCCATATCTCCCGCTTCATTTTGTCACAAACACGAAGCCAGGATCGGTTCGCCATTTCCAAAGCGTCAACAAAAAAGTACTTGTCAGCCACGATTGCAATGTCGAGAATGTCCTGTGCCGAGAGATCCTTGGGAATCATTTGGCTCCGAGAATGGGTAACCGCACAAATGTATTTTGGAGAGACGGCATTGTCTTCAGGGAGGTGTATCTCCATTGGCTTCTCTGGACTAGGCTGTTCGTGGCCCTTTGTCCAATTTGGCCCCAACCTGGCAGCAAATGTTTTCGATGTTGCTTTGAGAATGAGCGACTGGACACGCAACTCAAGCTTCTCCGGGCCCACGACTAGAAAAACATCACCAGACTCGGCCATTTCAACAGCGCAATTAGGCTGAGCTTCCTCTTGATCAGACATCGAGGTCAAATCGTAGATTCAAATATTGTAGGACACTGACCCCGGGAAAAAGCAGGTTGGCGCTGCCCACAAATAGAGACTTGAAATTATCGCAAAGAATTCCAGGACTCTGTCGGAGATAACATCTGAATGATGCCCACCATTTGGATGATCCGGGGTATTGATCGTAATAAATAGAAATACATCTTAATGAGAGACTGGATGTGATCAGGCCTGCAGCTCGGCGTCTGCATTGCGATTGGGACTGCAGTCCAAGCCGAGCTCGGACTACAGTACTCCGTTACATCATGAATCAAATGCCAGGTTTGAGGAAAAGAACAGTGATCCTTCTCCTTTAAGGAATTACCGCCCTTATATAGCAACCAATTCTGCCATACCAACCCATTTTCAGACTCGGAGTGATACCTAGTCATAATCCAGCAAGTACTACAAAGTCACTATATTGTATTTGAGGTTGTCAGACTTCAAGGATCGAGCTAGATACCGCCGATTTTCGCTACTGCCTATTGTAGTGGGGAAAGCCTCCATTCTGATAGGAATGACCCTTACGGTGGCGGAGTTATTATCTAGAGTATAAATAACTCGGGGTAGCACCCGGTGTCTAAATAGCTCGTTTCCAGCGGGATTGGTGATATCACCTTTCTCGCTTGTTCTACTGTCCACTGACCGAACACGTATCACTTCACAGGATCGACGTTATCATAAATTCACTTTGCCCTGGTATTGTGTCTACTGATCTTGAACGTTCTATAAGAAACATCTCACGACTGATGGAGGTCTTGGTACCTATGCATCTTAGCCTTCTGGGAAATTCAACCAATTTTGGTGCAAGGACGTATGTAAAGGCCGCACAGACATCTCTTGATGAACATTTAAGTTGCACATCTACCTATATCACCGTTTTACTAGTGGATATTTGCATCAATTTACCAATTACGGGGTTTTTAGGGGAGGTACATCCATATACGAGAATTCTATATTGGAATATTATACCGGATGATACTGGAAGCTACTAGACTTGAGGGCATTGGGATATCAATGTGAATTCTACAGTTGTGGTCGAACGGATCGCTGGTTGAATTCAAACTGAAGACATTTTGATCATATAGGAACAAAGCAGTAGATCAAAGACCAAGAACATCAAAAAGGCCCCTTTCCCGAAGATTTAGGACCTGATCCAACTTAACCCACAACTTACACCGTGCATCTTCGTCCCGACAATAAGAATGCGCCGGTGCTTCCCAAACACGATTGAAATATTTCCCACCACTAATATCCCGCCCACACTCCAGGTTAGTTACCGCATTAATAATCGCCAAACTACCCTGTTGCGGCGTAATAGCAACATAACGCAAGAGAAAAGCAAGAGCTCGTATCGAAATGCCACTCCTCTTCAAGTCGTCGTGCCAGATCCCCGAAGCGACAAAGCCAGGATGCACTCCATTGATCCTGATATGAGCGTACTCCGGGTGCTTAAGACACCGAATCTGCAGCTCTGTAAGCCACATCTGAAAATAAAGCTTGTTGTTGTGGTAATCATTCCCTTTCATTTCTAGACCACCATTGAAATGATCTAGATCAAACACACCGAAATGATGGACACATGATGTGGTACACACGATTCGGGGATCTGTGCTTTTCCCCAGAGAGGGCAAGAGTCGGATTGTAAGTAGCACATGAGATAGGAAGTTGACCTGATGAACGATCTGGAAGCCATCTTTCGTCATTCGAGTTGTAGGAGCAGATTGTAATCCGGCATTGTTACACAGGATATCTAGAGCACGATCACTTTTCAACCATCTTTCGCAAAAGGCCTCGACAGTTTTGAGATCTGCCATATCTATCTCCCACCATTCAATCGTTGAGATATGGTGCTCTGCCTCGGCAAGACGCTTGCATTCTTCCACGGCTGCGTTGGGATGAAGTTCGCCGAGTTCCTCAGGGGGATCGCGGCAGGCTAGGATCAGGTTTGCTCCCCATGATGCGAAGGACTTGGCCACCTCTAGCCCAACCCCGTTGTTTGAGCCGGAGATGATAACCCATTTTCCTTGTAAATCTGTCTTCTGGACATGTCTGTCGTCGAGAATAGTGTTATTGAGGCCTCTTACAGCCTGGAATACATTGTTGAATGTTAACCTGGACAAAAACTCCAATGTCATATTGAGGACTCGGAGTCGTACGATAAGCTGGAGGCAAAAAACGTACTAGCAACCTGGTCAGATTATAGTTTATCCTTCGCTTGGATTTCTTTGTTCCAGGCTGCCAGGTTTGAGGAAAAGAACAGTGATCCTTCTCCGTTAAGGATTTACCGCCCTTATATAGCAACCAATTCTGCCATACCAAGCCCTTTTCAGACTTGGAGTGATACCTAGTCATAATCCAGCAAGTACTACAAAGTAACTATATTATATTTGAGGTTGTCAGACTTCAAGGATCGAGCTAGATACCGCCGATTTTCGCTAATGCCTATTGCAGTGGGGAAAGCCTCCGTCCTGATAGGAATGACCCTTACGGCCGCGGAGTTATTGTCCTCTTTTGTTTCTTCCGGCTATATAGCATCGCGTTACGATTAGTTCTGATTAACACACTTCTTACACTATTTTGATCACGTTCTGCGATTCTGATTTCCCGCGTTGACCAGGAAAAGATTTTGATTTTGCTGTGGGTTTTTCTGACTAGTATTCCAATACAGGCCTATTTCCCCTCTTCACTATGTACTGGCACCGTAGAAAGTTGATATAAACATTATTAACTATACAGCGATGATTACTGATCGGCACCGGTCGGCCAGGGCCGTGCTCACTTCAAGTTCTATGTACTACTCAGCAAGCAAGAGCGGCCACTACGAGTTGGACATCTGGAGGGAGTGAGAATCAAAACGGACCTCCGAGTCCAGATGTCGGGAATATGCAAAGTGGATCCCATCAGCCCTGGAGCCTGGAGACTCTCCGTCAGCTCAGCTCGGCTGTTAAGGCTGAGTCGAGGACCCTGCGAACTCGGAACACCCGGCACAACGGTGCTTAAAATTAGAATCTTGGCAAATCGAAACATTTACGCACGAAAAGGATAGATAGTAAAGTATGAGATTCGTTCAGATGTCTAGAGAAGAGAGAAAAAAGAAATGTCTAGTAGTAGCTATAGGTCACAGGTCATAAGTGAATAATGGCTCAAAATGAAAATGAAAATGCAAGATGAAGTTCGCTCCAAACACCGCATGGACACAAGTCTAATGCAAAAAGAAAAGGAAAAGAAGAAAATAGTGAAAACAATAGGCCAGGATGTTGATGGATACATCGGGCAACAGTCGATACATTTCGAGTCCGATCTGTTGCTCCCCAATGCTGTACCCATCCTTGGCCGGGCACTAAAAGCGTGCCATGAATTCAATTTGCGATATCCAGACCAGCAGAATCGATAAAAGAAATGGTGTCATGATTTAGATCATTCGTATTCATATCTCCTCGCGACCAGTTTGGCACTGATGAAGAAGATGGCCGTGCCCGCACTGCCATTCTCTCGAAAGAACGTGGTCGATGAGAGTAGATTTCAAGGGAGCGAGTGACTGGTTAGGATTTGAATTTTGGGTTTCTCGTTTATAGAAACGAGCGGTGCGATGCGAATACCCCGGACCAGCCGAAGCATGGGAATCGAATTATTATAGTATAGTAGTTTGTGTGTTGGAGAATGATAAAATGTTGCGTTCAGCTTGAGAATCCCACTTTCGAAGCGCATCGGTTACAATAATACGAGTTCATGCCGAACTGCACGGCGCTGGTCGGGTTGGTAGCGATATTCAAAGATTGTTGACACCTTGAGCACCGTACAATGCCGAGGCTCATAGAAGGCGAGGGAAGCGAGGGGAGAGAGGAGATCCCCGATGGAGGAGAGATGGATAGTGAACTCATGATGTAAGGTGTTATGTGTATATCTTCCAAGGTTTATTGTATAGAAAACCGGGTTCAAGTTCAAGTTTGTTCGGCAATAGAAGTGTGAAGTCTGAAGTCGAGAGTAAAAGTTTTTCGGTGGCGAAGAAAGGGGGGGCTTTATGTGTTGCACTATTCACCCACGAAGCCCCTCGGACCCCATGTTAGTGCGAACGATAAACTATTTTCTTTTTCTTTTTTTGTGTTATTTACCTCTCTTGGCCCCAGTAGCTTAAACAGCGAAACAGACTAGGCTGCCCAAGTCTGCAAATGGCGTAAAACCATAAATCCCCCAACGAGTGTTGTTGTTGTTACTGATGGTGTGTAAGTTGATCTGGATCCCTGTTTCTGTTATGTCACATTGCAGCCACCGAGTCATTAGTACTGGATTAGTTGTGTATGTATAGACTACTACTACTATGCAATGTATAGTGCCATTGATGGTCACTTCGAAAGAACAATAGAACAATAGACATCTCGAAAGTAATACTAGTATCACTGCACATCAAATTTAAAATTTATTTTTAATCCATCTGACCCCGAATAACAACACGAAACAAAAATAAGCACCATCGATCGAAATCCACACAGTTTGATCGTCCGCCCCCAAGTCTTATCCAGGGGCGAGTTATCATCCTGCCCCAGCAGACTCAGACTAAAGGAGGGGGCTAAATGCTAAATGATCTCACAACGATGTGGCAGATGTAGCATCGTGGGTCTACAATGATTCGAGGAGGTCCCCCCCCCCCCGGTACCCCATCCCGTCCACAGTAAGCGATAGCGGTGCATTGGACGACTCCATAGAACTGCAGTAGCGACCCGCTGCAAGATGTTGTCATATCCAGTCGTCAGATGCATGCGGCCTGGCGCTGGGGCCAAGAAAGCCGCCCACACTACCTCATTGAGTAAGTTCGAGTAAGAATGAGGGGCAGGAGCTGTAAGAAATGCATTAAAGCCACGAGAGTGTGGTGATCTCGTCCACTTCTGGTAATGTTTTAAATCCTTCTCTAGCAGACGCGGGATAGATGAGGGGCGACGTCATCCTAGTGTGTTTCCGATGGGCTGATAGCGTGATTAGACCCTTTAGAAGACAGCGTGGACGACGGTTAAATCCGTGAGAGAGAGTCTTCTGTGCGTGGTTATGGTGGAGCCGAGAATTTGCCGAGCATATGAGGGGATTCAGAGGGATCGTGGAAGGCTTGTAGGCTGAAACAGGTGGATGCCATTCCATACTTCATGTCGTCGAGGGAAAGTATAGAGTTTCCACTTTTTTACAGTTTCTTATTTCTTAAAATATCTCCCAATATATCCCCATGTGATGAAACAATGATGATGATAGGGATACGAGGTGTTGAGTTTGAAATTATTTAGCCCGGAGGTATAGCCACAATTGGAGTGGAGTTGACTCCATACTCCATACATACTGACCTTGTACATAGTAGAGAGACCGCACAAGTGACACACTCAATGCTAACAGTTAAGGCTTCCAATGCGATCATAACAAATCCCGGTATGGAGAATTCAAACACAGAATACAGATGAGAGAGAAAAGAGGACAGGTTTAATTCTATTTTAAGTACATGATGACACTAATCATGTCAATGTCATTGTGGGGAGTTTGTTAGGCGGAGAGTTACCGCAGCTACTGTAGTTGAGCACCCAAACTTAGTGCTCAGAGGCAGACTCTGAAACTCCACCAAAGAATTAAGAAATGTGGATTCTCCATTAAAAACCACCCAGTCATGCCGATTCCCACACGCTCGGCCTCCCTGCGCGAGCCTCGAAAGGTTGGTTCCCAGGGGACATACCACAGCATTCCAGATACTGTAGCTAACCTGCTCCAGCCCTCCAGCATTGCTCGCCCCGCGTCCTCTGGATTGAAGGCACCTACCCGTCCAACGACCGCAACCACCTCCACATCAACATCAACCGATGGCAGTTCCAGCTCCACCAAAGAACCTAATGTATCCAATCGTGGTCGTACCCTTCTCCCCCAGCGCAGCAACACCGGTCAAGACGATGTGAGCGGTGCACAGCCTCGATTCCCGCCCGGCGAGAGCAGGCTACTGCCTCGAGGGGAGACCTCACCCAGGAGGCAGCAGCAGGCTAGCTCAGAGGGACAAGGACAAAGCCAAGCCCCCTCGTCTAAACCCCCAGCTACAGCTACAACCACAACCACAACTGCCGCGACAGCCAACACCGCTGCTACCGGTGCGCCTACCCGTCGCCAAAGTCTGATGCGCCCAGGAACATTGAAGATATCGTCAACTCGCAGCAATGTTTCAGCACAAGTACCATCCAAAGCTTCAGCGTCTACGCCAACCTTCAGACCGCCATCCCCACGCAAACCCCCGATGCGCTCGCCGCAGTCCTCCGCCCCGAGACCCCCGTCTCCCAAAAAGACCGAGATGCCTCCCCCGCCTCGTCCAGCCCGATCCGCCTCCCTAAGACAACCAGCGAATACAGGAGCCCCCGTCTCCTCTGCAGCGCGAGGTCATGCCCGTCATCGCAGTCAAATGGTAGCATCGAGTACCAAGCCGATCCAATCCGAAGCGGCACACAAACCGCAACCGCGGGCTGGCTTTTCCACATACCAGCAACACTATTCTCCAAAGAAACCTACCACTAAGCCTCCCACGCCCACACCAGGGGATACATCTAGCTCAGCGGGTCTTCTCATTCCTACATCATGGCCCGATATCTCAGCTTTGCAAACCGAGTTACTCCAACTTAGTCTTTTCCATTCTAGTTCACTCGATAGACACGCTGAATGGAAATCGGAGTCTGAATCACAGCTTCGGAAGAAATATGATGCTGTTGCAAGTCAATATAGTTCTACTCTGGGCGATGAAAAGATGCGCCAGCAGCATATGAATGTGCAAGCATTGAATCAGTGGGCAGAATTCTCTCGTGAACACAATGGACCGCACGGACTCTCAGATCAAGTCCAGAGCTTATCGCAAATTCTACAAGAAGTTTCAGACCTGCTAAGTGGTGAAATGGGAGGAAAGTATGCACATGCCGTCGGGGTATTTGAGAACTGGTTCCACCAGGCAGAAGATATCCGATACCGGAGTGAGACAAGTAGGGTTCTCGACAGGATTGAATTTATCGATCCCCTAGATCAGAGCTGGAAGGAGGAGGTCCAAGGCTTGCAGGCCAAGCTGGATCTGTGCTCTCGACGATTAGAGGCTCTAGATCTCGTGGGGCTTGGTGAGAGTGAGCAATTGGGACGGTCGGCTTTTAGCCGTGTGGTTCGGGGGTTGACAGAGTCACTGCAACTGATGACCCAGGAACTTCGTGCAATGCGTACGGCCGAGTTGGAAATGATCAGTTCGGAAAGAGAAACTGTTTCTCGAATGGCGACTCAAATGACGAGTTTTCCTTTGGAGAAAAGCTCCGGTCGCGTGGGGATTTGGAAGACATGATGATTGTATTATATGCGTACAGTGAGAAACCTGTCCTCGGCGTTGTCCATGTGGGCTTATAAAATTCATATCCATAATCTATACTCTATGATTTGTACACTCACTCCATACTAAATTCAAAATGTTCTCTAGTAAGTAAAAGTGTCTTATGTACAGGTATACCTACCTGCCATCCTGATATACTACGTAGGAGCCTCAGGTACCTACACTCCAACGCTAAAAGGAACAGGTGGATCACAGAGATCCCGCTGTCTCCATCCAATCATGCTAATCCGGGGCATCCTTGACTCAGCTTCCAAGATTTGGCCGTCATATAAGGTCTATTTAGTTCTGGGCCTGGATGGTTGGAGGAAAGTACCGTGACTCCATAACCGGTTCTCTGCTTCGGCCGGACTCTTCCTGCCCCCCTCACTTTTATTCTAGCCACCCTCTTGTCCTTCTATGATCGGACTTTCAAGCTTGAATCGACCTGAATATATGCAATACCTTTAGTTGTTGTGAACCAGATTGGTCGCTCGGTTATCCGGTTCCTGACGTCATCTACACATCCGCGTTACAACGAGAAAAAAGACCGCGAAAGAGAAAGAGAAAAGGAACAAACAGCAAAGTGATCATTCCCAACACAAATATCACCTTACTATCACCCCTCAACATGATCGCTCGTCCCAGCTAGTCAACCCTATCAACTTTGGCAATCGCACCGACCGACATAGTCTGCTATCATGAAAGACTCGCTTTATGACCGCCTCTGGCGGCGCGAATGCGGCAACTTGTCGTCTCAAGCTGGAGTTCGCGACTTTTATGGTTCGAAAGAGTGGGTCAATGATCTGGATATCGTGAATGAGCTCGGTGGACATACAGGCTGTGTGAATGCGCTCAGGTAAGTGACTTAAATCTGCAGGTGAATGGTGGTGGTGGTGCGGCGATTGTCTCGGGCTGCCCCAAGCTACTTCCCTGCTGCCCTGCCGATCCTGCCGTCTTTTCCAAGTTTTTCTACCCCTCGATGCGTTGGCAACATCACGCTAATAGATTCACAGTTGGTCCGGTTCAGGACGACTCTTAGCCTCAGGCTCAGATGATCAACACCTGAATATCTACTCTTATCAACCTGAATCCTCGGATGCTCCATTCGCACTCAACACCACCGTTCAAACAGGTCACAAGGCAAATATCTTCTCAGTAAAGTTTATGCCGCACTCAAATGACGGTACATTGATCACATGTGCGGGCGATTCGCAAGTCCGCGTCTTCGACATCGAATACGCTAGCCGCAATGCGAACACTGCAGCTACATCGGCATTCTCGGCCTCGGCTCGGAGCCGACGCTTCAACAACTTCTTTGATGGCGCACGGTATCTCAGCGAAGGGAATACAAACGCTAGAGTCTATCAAAGCCACGCCGACCGTGTGAAACGAATTGTTACTGAATCCTCACCATATCTATTCCTAACATGCTCCGAAGACGGCGAGGTACGACAATGGGATTTGCGTCAACCGTCGTCGAGTTACCCCACGCCCAAGGGTGGACAGGGGTTCATGGCCTACAGGCCTGGTCTGCAGCATGATGACTCGAATGTACCGCCACCACTTATTTCCTACAAGAAATTCAGTCTAGACCTCAACACCATTTCATGTTCTCCCTCGCAACCGCATTACATCGCGCTAGGTGGTGCACATGCGCACTGCTTCCTGCATGATCGACGTATGCTTGGCGGTCGCGATATGATGTCCGAGAGAGGAACACCTTCCGGAACAACTCCAAGTATCGGTAGCGCGGACGACGAACTCATGGGGAAAGCGACTCGATGTGTTCGACGATTTGCGCCCCGTGGCAAGCGCCGTGTGCGCGATCTTGACGATGGACACATCACCGCTTGTAAAATCAGCGACGCTAACCCCGACGAGATGATAGTCAGTTGGTCCGGAGACCACATTTACAGCTTTGACCTTATCCGGAGCTCAGATGCTCGGGAAACTTCGTCAGAGAGAGAATGGACGTCAAAAACAGCTAAGAAGGAATCCAAACGCAAGATGAGCGAGCGGAAACGCAAACGACCCAAGCCAGCATCAAGATCATCTGAAGGGAGTGAGGGAAGTGGTCATCGCCATCATTCTCGGCGTCGATCTAATGATGCAGACACGCTCAGAGTACAGTTCGAGAATGGAGAGACGTCCCATATTCCCATTGCAGGAGTCGCAGAGGAAGAAGGATACCCTTCTGGAATTCTGGAACGTGCCAGGTATTCTGTCCTCAACGAGGCACAACGACTCAGTCGAGACATTGCGAAAGCCCTTGTCAAGATGCGTCAGTCCTTGTTCTCTCTAGAAGAAACCGTTCAAGAGGCTGCTGAGGGAGATCCATACGCTCCTATGCCATACACAGCTTCTTTCGCAGCAGCCTTGACGCTAGCATCTAAACTGCTACCACAGATGGACGCCGTAATTCGCGAGTGGAGGTATCCAATGAACCCGTCACAAGAAACTGTGGCATTTCAACAAACCCTCCGCCATCACCGTCAAGCGTCGTGGAGATTCGTTCAGGCTGCTGGTACCTTGTCTCTCATTTTGAAGAACCCATCAAATAATGTTGAAGAAGGGGACCTAGCCTTATATCCTGAGTTCCAGAAGATTAAACCGGCACCAAGCGAGGATGAATCAATTGAACGGGAGGCCCAGTTCGGCTACGACTTTCTCAAGGCTATCCTGCTCTGGCTACAGGGAGGCAGGCAAGAGCTGCTATCAGGATTCAAGCGAGGCTCATGTCCCAGGAGACAGCGCGGACGATTTCCTATCCCAGAGGAAGCCAGCGAGGAAGCGATTGAAAAAATTATCGTTCCCTATCTCCATAGTCTAGCGGGAGACATCCCCATCGTCAACGTGGATGTTTCACCTTTCGAACACGACAGCACACGACTACTATTCCAAACTCAACATGCGGCGGTAACAGCCTTTAGTAATGCCGTGAAGCTTCCGCTAGAAAACCTTGGAAACACCGCCGCCCGAATCGACAAGCGTCGGCTATCCAACCCCGCTTCTCAGGTTCGATCTCTTGATCGTGCTTCTGCCTCCAGATTCTGGATCTTGAGAGTAGGCAGAGGCATATTGTTGTCAGCCGGCACTGGCGTCAATTATTCCTTTGTCAATCGGGCCTTCGGTGGACTCTTACCAGAGTTAGATGAATCAGACAGTGACCTAGAACTGGATAGATATCTTGAAGAATCCCAACAAGACATCGACCCAGACGAGCATGACGAACGGGTTCAATCAATCAACCTAGTTAGAGGTGAAGGCTCCACACAAAAACGCAGTTCTCGAACGAATCAAGATGCAGAAACAGAACCGATAGATGACGAAGACAGAGAATCTGTTCTACTGTCGGAATCATCAGGTTCAGAGAGCGAAGACGATATGAGTGATGATAACGACTCTGATGCAGACGAGAGAAATGGAATGAATACCGATGACCCCGATATCTGGGGAGATAATAGCGACAGTTCTGATGCTGGAATTCCTATCTCTTTCCGACGCAGGGGAAACAAGTCACTACGAGGAGACGTTGAAATTGATACACCTTGTTCATCCCATACGAGAGTTTATCGTGGACACTGCAATATTAAAACTGTGAAGGATGTTAATTTCTTCGGCTTAAACGACGAATACGTGGTGAGCGGCAGCGACTCAGGACACGTTTTTATCTGGGATAGAAAAACCGCGACACTAGTCAATATCCTAGAAGGAGATAGCGAAGTTGTCAATGTTATCCAAGGTGAGTTGTACACCAAGTCAAAGGCTTGCAATTCTTTGTACCTTTTCTAACAATATATGCAGGTCATCCATACGAGCCCACAATGGCTGTTTCCGGCATCGACAACACCATCAAGATCTTCAACCCAGACCAGAACGCCCAAGAGCAAGCCAGAGAAGGAATTAACATATTAGACCCTGAGAACACTGCAAATCTCCTAGGTGAACCCATTCGCAATGTTGGTGGTCTTCAAACTCGGAAACGTCTTCACGACAGTTACCGTATCATGTCCCAAAATGATGTCGAAAGACGCGGCGGCATGAGCGAGGCACATATCACCGTATGTAATCCCACTACCTGAACCGGAGAAAGAGTCTGGCATTAACGAATTAAATAGAGAAGCATGCTTGCCCAACTTGCTGCTACCCTCCGAGGCCGTCAGACACTCGGAGGCGAAGTCCAAACACTCGTTTCACCAGATGAGCGTCCTACCGTTGTGCTCGATGATAATTGCATGGTATGTCATTTTTCTATTTCAAACCGATGACTCGAAGATCCGGACAACTAATAAGCATACAGGTGATGTGAAATCACGACATACTTACTTTCCCTTCCAATATTTCCAATGGACTGGCTCCATGACCATGACCATGAACCTTTAACATTTCTTTTCATTATTAATCACTGCCAAAATGATCGCGGAATTGCATGGGCGGGAGTCTTTCATTTCAGTGGGTTTAACAATGAGTCACAGAACAGAGACAGACACACAGAGCTAAGAATGACATTATCATATAAACATCTACAGAATTCACTGAGCTAACAACATAAAAGGTTGCATGAATTTAGTTCTATTCTCCCCCAAATAGGATAGGTAAGTTCTGGGTGCACGTAGTTGTTCATCTGCCACTTGGCGACAACATTGATCCCGGCCAATTTGAAGGGACTGTTGTGTCCTCGTACTCGTAGGGTTCCTTACCGTTGACTTCTCTTTTCCAGGGGGGCCTGGTATCTTAAACAGTATCAGTATGTCAGTAATGAAGGAAATCATCGGGTAGGCCAGGTGGTCATCGGGGCTTACTTGATGATGAAGTTTGCTTGTAGTTGTATAGAGTTCCAATGGTTTCACATTCGCAAAGTACTATATACTACTCACTTGTTGTATAGAATGATTTCAACGAATTTGACAGTTCAAAAAGAGGACCTCGGAAATACACCATATATATCTATGACAGATGATTATAGTCCTAGTATCAAACATAAATAAATTTTGGCAAGCGAGATCATGAAACTTGAAGTTTAATAGTAAGAGAATAGATATAAAGATGTAAAGATTACTATATAGTATAAATCCTTAATAGTAGTATTCAGCTTGATATATAAGCTAATTACTATCCTTTCTCAGGCTAACTTATAGGATGACTATGATACATATACTAGTACTACTGCTAGTATTAGCTAGAATCTTCTATACTCTGAACCTTCTGTATGTTGCATACCGGAACTTGAAGGTCACCTGGGCATGCTGAAACTAGGCCTGGCTAGGCTACAACTATGCCGACCTCAGCCGGGGGAACTGAGTATCCTTCCGAGCACTGGTTTAATGCCTATAGCCCATGTTTGTTGATCGTTATACTGATATATGCAAGCTAGTGAATATTTCCACAGCACTTGAGCTGTTGCAACAGTGGGTGCGCTGACTACTTTTTCCATTCCAAAAGTCCAGCCATACATAGGCGGGGGAATTCCACATTATGCAGGTGGGGTGACCTCGGGTGATCGGCTAGCCAGTGGGCTTACCCCTATAACCAACTGAAAAAGGTGGTCTCGCCATGCCGGGATTGGTCTATCCCTGATCCTTTCATTTTTGTGTCTGCTTAGCATGGAAATTCAGCCATACACAGGCGGGGGATTCCCCATTATGCAGATGGGGTGACCCCGGACGTTCGGCTAGCCAGTGGGCTTATCCCTATAGCTAAGTGACAAAGTTGGTCTCGCCATGTCGGGATTGGTTTATCCCTGATCCTTTCATTTTCGTGTCTGCTTCTTCAATCTTTGCTTTTAACCTCTCCATTCTTTCACTTCATCGGAGAAGGGGGGAAAACGCACAGTCACAATGTACGGTGGTCACCTCCCTTAAACTTCATACCAGCCCGCCTAACACTGCATAGGGATTCAAATGACTTGTCCCCAGGGACATATTGGGGCCAATTCCAAGAAATCTCAAAGTACAACGCCCATTTCAATGTGGCGGAGAGATTGTGGGCAGCCTGGTATGCCTGGATGCAAAACGATGTTCTGGCCACTGGGATCATGTCTTTTGTCTTGCATGAAAGTGTCTACTTTGGTCGGTCCCTGCCCTGGGTTTTCATAGACACTTTGGGCGTATTCAACCGCTACAAGATTCAGGGTGTAAGTAAACCCCTCTGATTAAAGCTGGAGTTGACCTTTTTTTAACACCCTGCAGAACAAGATTCCATCGCTCCGGGAACAGTGGAATTGCGCGAAATTCGTGCTCCTGAGTCACTTCACAGTTGAGCTGCCACAGATTTGGTAAGATTCCAGTCCTCCAGTAAGATGATCATTATCTCATATTGCTCGCCTTGATATCAGGCTCTTTCACCCTATGGCACAATACTGCGGACTCTCAACCTCAATCCCCTTCCCGTCTGTCTGGACCATGGCATACCAAGTTGCAATCTTCTTCGTGATGGAGGATACTTGGCATTACTTCTTCCATCGTGCGCTTCACTGGGGCCCTCTCTACAAGGCCATTCACAAGATTCACCACCAGTATTCGGCTCCTTTCGGCTTAGCTGCTGAATATGCCTCACCTATCGAAGTGATGATCCTGGGCTTCGGTACAGTTAGCTGCCCTATCCTTTGGTGCGCTGTGACAGGTGATTTGCACATTCTCACAATGTACATATTTATTGTCTTGCGTTTGTTTCAGGCCATTGATGCTCACAGTGGCTACGAGTTCCCGTGGAGTCTTCACCATTTTCTTCCTTTCTGGGCTGGTGCTGATCATCACGATCTGCACCATGAAAAGTTCATCGGTAACTATTCCAGCAGCTTTCGGTGGTGGGATTATGTTCTTGACACCGAATACACCCCGGTTTCCCTGAAGCGCCAAAAAGATAACAAGACCCTGTAGGCTGGTATTGCTTGAGCCGACGTGGCTTGGTCTGCATTCCTTCAGGTTCTCCTTTTACCCCTATTCTCATGTTCCTCTGCTGGTTCTAAGCCTTGGCTGTCATTGAACATTTGTATAGGGCTCTCTCATGATACCACCAGCGTGTTTTATCGCATATAATGTATATAATATTTCCAAAGTGCATGCTCGTGATTGTTTCAAGTTTTTTTTTTTAGTTTTTTGGGGCGGATAGAAGTCCTCTCAAGCACTCTCCGCATGTACACCCGTATCGGAGGCATGTTTTATTAAGCCCCCCCCCCCCTAAATCCTATAATAAACTTGAACAAGCCTCAGTTATTGATTTATCAGTAAGCAAGTATCCAATAAGGGGAAAAATTTGTATCTGTTGCGTAAGTCGAACGCTCTTGTATAGGCACAATATAAATCATAACATTTCCCGGGTACTAGTAACCAACAATCTGAGGTGATGATTGAGGGAGAGTTTGTCGAATATCAGTATAAGTAGCAGCAAGTAAAGTAAAAATATTGCCGTGAATAATCATTTGACGAAGTCCTCGTAATGAAAAAGCCCGAAGTTTTGATAACCCTGATTTAACGTTGAGAAAATAATTAGCAGTTCAAAAAGATCTCGAGGGAACCTTAGAGATGTGACATATAGACAAAATAAAATAATATGAGATAAAATAATACAATATGCCCGTTTTGCCACTACTATACAGCACTTGAAATCTTCCATAGATAGGGCTACCCCGCCAATCCACCCGAACCGGACAAGATGCCCCACATCAAATAGAAATTAATTCTTCGCCGCAAAGAATTTACATCGTCCACCCAACATCAACATCACGGCCCTGTCCACAAAATGGCCGCTCAATTACTGCAATCCCGAGCAGAAAAGGTCACCGAGCTCTACGGGGACCCGCATAACCCACATCTATATCTCGAACGAGCCCGTCTCCATGAACAACTTGGTTTCCCCGATCTCGCAGCTGCAGACGCCTACCGTGCGCTCTCTTTGCTCGACTCAGTGATAGATCCCGATGGATGTGAATTCCATGCTAGACGCAAGATTGCGACCACCGAGCAGACAAACCCTCCTTCCAAATCCGCAGACCAAACTGCGCCTGACGCAGACGAGAACGAGGACGAGGATGAAGATGAAACCGACGACACAATCCCAGTAACAGAGGAAGAATACAATACCCTCATCGGAGAAGTATATGCCCTTCTTGTCCGCGGGCTCGTAAGCTGCGGCTGCTATCGCGATGCGTACGAATTCGGGATCCGCGGCCTAGACCTCCTTCATGATCTCGGGGACAAGGTCAAGGACACTACCACACCTTCCAACATCCTAAACACCCAAATGGACAAAATTAAAACCATATATACCACGCGCACAAAATCAAACTCCCCATCCAACATCCACGACATCGACTCCTCCATCCTCCCCGCGCAAGGCTTCGCCCGCCGAGTCCTTTACCCATGGAACTCCCACGAGCCCAACCGGTGCAGCCCCTCAGAGCTCTCATTCCTAAACACCCGTCTCGCAGAGATAGCCCCAAAATGCGAAGTTCGAGCCGTCGCCCTCCCAGCCCTCCACGGTTCCGAGAACAAAGACGAAGTCTCCATCCAACTAGGCCTCTTCGCAAAAGAAGACATCGCCCCTGACGAGATAATTCTCCGCGAATCATCGCTATTAACAGCTACAAACCGTCTGCACGATGATCTCTGCGACGCATGTAATGCACCTCTACCCGATCTATCGGCGCCCGAACCGCCCGTTGGATGCTCAGGTGGCTGCGCCGATACAATCTTCTGTAGTCAGAAATGTCACGATATAGCACAAGATGTCTATCATGGTGCTATATGCGGATTAGAAGATGGACTCGAGTCAATTGGAAAAGATATTCCTGATCCGAAGGATAAGGCGGATTGTCTTTATCTCCTTTTACTCGGACGGGCACTTGCCATGTCTGCAACGCAGGATGTTCACGCTTTAGAACTACCAGAGGTAAAATATATCTGGGGCGATTTCCACGACTATGACGCGGAGGTTGGTGCGAACTCTGAAGTAGCCTCGTTACCATTCTCTTTCCAGTTGAATATCCTGCAGCCTATGCGATTCTTAGAAGAGATGGAGATTGATCCATACGAGGCACTTCCGCGCTTTGACACCTGGGTATTGAATACGCTTTATGCTAAGTTCAGAGGTACTGCGTCTGGACGTCTTTCGACGTGGGATGGGGGTCCGGAATTATGTGCTGTGCATCCACTTTGGTGTTTGGCGAACCACTCTTGTGATCCTAATGTGCGATGGGAGTGGGCTGCAGAGATTACATTTAGTGCACGACACTGTGAAGAGACTGCTGTTTGGTCTAGGACGACAGCCGATGGGAAGATAGAGATGAAGGAGCCTAAGGCTGGGGGTATTGCGAAGGATGCCGAAATTCTGAATCATTACTGTGATATTGGATTGCCTGTAAAGGATCGGAGGGAGTGGGCATGTGGTGCATTGGGTGGAAAATGTCGATGTGATAGATGTGCGTGGGAGGCGTTGGAGGTGAATTAAGGAAAACCTAGATGTGTTTATAGATTGGGGACATGAAGTATACAGGTTGCTGGAGTAAAGAGGATTTTGTCGAGATACCCCATTAGACTTTGATTGATCGTATCTCTGGGAGATGCATGATGGATATGAGAAGAAAGAAAAGAGTCCTGGATAAAATACACTGTTGAGAATTGTTCATATTCCTAGCACCGAGTCTGACCTTTTCCGAGATTAATCAATGATAGCAAACCCCCAAATCACCAAGTGCAACATATCATATAGTCGAGAACTATGTTGACCCACATCAATTTAGTGACAAACAGAAAAGGGAATATGACAAGGCGAAGGCCCTTTATTAAATCGAGATTGTTCGTCACTTAACGACGACGAGGGGGGAGGCAGAGTAAGTCCTCCTTTTTGAGTCACCAGCAACCCGAGGGGGAGTGCGAGATGGTGAACGAGAATAAGACTGGTCACGTCCTCGACGGGGAGGGGGAGATGCAGAGACAGATGATCGTCGAGCAGTCTTAGATGCAGCAGTCTTCGATGCCGGGTCGCGTGGAGGAGTCACAGAGCGAGATATGGATCGCGAATAGCTGCGTCCTCGACGGGGAGGGGTAACAGAGCGGGAGACTGACCGACGAGCCCGGTATGGACTACGGCTTGGCGAGCGCGAGCCAGAGAGAGAGCGCTTGCGTCGAGGAGGGGTGCGTGACACCGAACGCGAAGGAGATCGGCTATATGAAGCATTACGGCGAGCACGGCGGGGTGCAGACCGTGATCGGGACCGAGAGGGTGTAAAGCTGCGGCCACGAGAAGATGGCGTGATAGATCGAGAGTAGGAGCGACCACGGTCTCTTGATGGGGAGCGGGATCGAGAATATGAGCGGGAGCGAGAGCGTGAGGGGGATCGAGAAGAACGAGGGGTGCATGTTGAGCACGATGCTGGGTGAGATCTAACAGACGATGAACGAGATGGAGATCTCGCTGGAGGCAATGCTGGCGCAGCAGGCTTGGGCATATTCTTGAGATGCTCGCGCATATCCTCTGTCAAAACACCCATACCAATACTGGTGAAATAGTTGATGGAAAAGCGAGTATAGCGCGGGTTCTCTGTAGGGAACAAGCCCTCGAAGCTTGGTCGCAAGATCTCATCTCTGAAGCGGGCTTGCAGATTAGGCAGACCCATGTGCTCAGCGAGGTCTTGGAACAGGATCTTGACAAAGATACGACTGCTGGATGTAGTCTCTTCTTCATTCATATGGACTACTGAAAGAACGTGCCAGCCAATGGCGTCGTTGCTGATGAGATGTCCAAAGAAGCGGGCAATGTTGCGAAGACGGTTGGTCTCGTAACGGTGGATGGTATCGTAGTATTTGGCAAATGCAGCCTCGAAGAGATCAGACCACAAGCGATTGATTTTGGCAAACCGTTCACCAATTAATCCATAAAATTTCGAGAATGTACGTTCTTGAGAACAGCACTCAATTATCATAGAGGGCAACTCTGGCTCCAAGCCGGCGGGAAGATTGACCTTCATCAGCTTGTGACAACATTCTTCGAAATCAATACTTGACATGATAGTCAGGTAAATAGTTCGGCGCAAGTTTACCAAGTCTGTATTACTCTGGTCCTTGATGTCAATCTTTTGTTCCTCCTCGTCGGATTCCTCTTCAGAGCTCTCATCCTCTCCATCACCATCCTCGTCCTCGTCACTGTCCTCCCCGAGAATCTCGGCCTTTAATTTCTTATAAGCCTCTTGGTGCTGCTCCCACTCTGGGTCGAACTTGAAGATATTAAGGGTATCCTGGCTTTCCATCTCATCGTCCAAGCCAACGCGGTGTGTAATCTGGTCTTCCTCCTCCACGAGATCCAGCTCCTCCTTGACAGCGGGGTTATCCTTGTAACGATCCTTGCGAACCTGAAAGAGAACCTCAATCATGTACTGCACTCGCTTATCAATATCAGCTTCGTGGAGAATATTGCGGAATTGGTCAAAGACTGCCAGGGCGATCGGAGGGTTCATTTCCTCTAAGTGTTGACCAACTTCTCGGGTAAGGCCAACTGCAATTTCGACACTGTCATCTGTGGGCTTGTGCAGCAAAAGCAACAGAATCTGAGCCGCAAGCATTTCGTGAGCGACCTGGGTGTTGCACAGATGCGCAATGAAGGTTGAGGATGAAATGCAAACGGCCTTGTCATTTCGCTTGAATGCTTTGCGGAACTGAATTATCAATCTAGACAGCAACAAATCACCAACTTGAGGAAGTTTCGTATTGACAATTGCGGTCATCGCAGCGTAGATCGGGGTAAATGGCAAACTCGCGGCCTGCGCCTTCATAATGGAGCGACAAAATAAACCTCGACCGCGAACCAAGTTCTCTCCGAAAAGCTCTGGAACAATAAATTTGATGTTGGACACATTGACCTTGTTAATGAGACCGTTGATCGACTTCTTCAACGCCTCCCAAGCCATGCGCTGGTATTCCTTGCTGGTTTTATCCGTAATCTGAGCCTGCAAGGCACGTAGTCGCGCTGGTGGAATATAGGTACCTCCCGATCGCATGTTGAGAAGTTTTTCATATTCAGCCTTCGCGAAGGCCTGCTTCTCTTCCTCGGTCAATGGCTTACGAGCAGCCTCCTGCCGTTCATGTTCACGAACACGCTCAGTAAGTTGGCGCTCACGCTCGATCGCACGAGACTCGACCGGTCGGGAATCCTCCACATCATCTCTGGATCGGTCTCCTGGAGGTGATCGACGTCGGTTCGGCGATGGGGATCTCGAGGGGGGTGATCGCTTTCGCGAAGCCGCGCCCGGCGACGCGGCACCTGGGGGAGGAGTGGGCACTCGCACCGCCGACTGAAGAACAGCCGGATCTTCCATGGTGAAAGGCGAAAAGGGGAATCCGAATGGAAATTCGGATTGAAGAGGTGGAGAAAATCCTCTAATGGAAGAAGTGGTGGAGGCTACCGCTGGGGAGAAGATGGCTGGGTAGTAGACATTGAAGTTCTATTTCTCCGTCACTTTCACTTTTAATCCCGATGCAAAGAGCTTGGATGGTCACGTGCCACAGGGGCCAAGTCGCGCCAACTAAGCAAAACGTGGAGCTCCGAGCAACCAGACAAAACATCTCCAGGGTGAATTACTCTCTTGCCCGGTTTTCCTAAGCTGCTTTAAAGCGACCACTCCTTTGATAACAATGGTAGATTTGACCATTTCTAATTGATGCCTGCTTACTTCCGCTGACACTTTGCACTATAGCTGGGCCAACTTGTGGGTTCCGCCATGCTTTTGGCTGCCACTGCAATCTTTCTCTACTATACTGCGTGGACCCTTTTGATGGTACGATTCTATCTCATCCCTCTCGCTGATTCTCATCATAGAATTTTACTCATATATTAACGTCTTTCCTATAGCCCTTTGTGGATCCAGGTCACCCTCTCCACGATCTCTTCCCTCCCCGTGTTTGGGCTATCCGCATCCCCGTTATCCTCGCCCTACTCGGGTCTGCTGTGGTGGGAACCTTCATAGGAATTGTGATGATCAACAGCAACAAGAAGAAGGCCGCCAAGGCCAAGGCTGCTGCAAAGAAGAAGACTTGAAGCGATACCGGAAACCATCAGGGGAATTCCCATCTACTCCCAAGGTCTGCCCCACACTGGGGGTCCAGACATGTATCATCACTATACCACGAGGTCCTGGCTATCGCAGTTTCTCGTCACATCTAATAGAACCAATCAAAAACAATTTCCTTGTTACCTTTCTCCGCCTCTTCCTTTCTTCCCAGGTTTCATTATGCATCCACCTACCTAACCCCCCCCCCTTTTTTTCTCTCCCATTCCCGCATACTGGGGCCCTGGCGAACAGACCTAGAGAAAACGTGACACGGTTGGCATGTTCAGGCTAGGCGCGCGATCGGAGCTCAGCAGGAGTAGGAACCACGAATGATCAGCGCATGTTCATGCTTCTTCCAAGGTTTCAGTCGCGTCACTGGGTAGCCCCGTGACTCGACTCCACTATCATGATGGACTCATATTCCAGTATCACGTCTTCCACCTTACTATAATAAGACTATAACGGAGAAATGGGATCCGTGTTCACTTCCTTTGATTTCCTGTCTATTATGAAGGAACGGTTAAGATCGGTGTTCTGGGTCCCTTCTAACTTAGTTCCATGGTACTCCAGTGGCCAAGCTTAGATAAGGATGCAGTCAATACTTGAAATGGTTTCCAGGAGAGTTAAGAATAAGGTAATCAAAAACCTTGGCTGATGCCCGGATTTATCTAGGGAGGTCAGTCATCATCGGGGAGTCATCATAGTTAAGTAGCAAGAAAGTGAGGGGGGATGACCCCCGGGGAATGACGGGGTCACAGCCACTGCATTTCGCTCTCTGACTCAGGTACCGCGTTTGCCGTTTAACCCCCCCCCCCCCCCCCTCCACTCCATCCCCTCTTCCCTTATCGCAATCCCCCCAACAACATCAACTTATATATTCCCTCCATACAAAGAAATCAGAACTCTTCCCTTTCTTTTTCTTAATTTATTTCCCCGTGGAGCACTACTGGATCAACTTATCCAGTGGGTGCTGATTTAGACATCTTTGAAAGCCACCTCCCTATCAGCCTTATCAAAGCTTCCCCGCGTGTCCAGGAGCGATCTCCGCTCTAGATACGCCTGTTCATCACAACACTCTCTCTTACCTCAACGAACCCAGACCAACTGTCACTCAGGAACCCTGCGAAGGTGAGTAGAGCGGAAGTCATATGTAGATACCCGTGGATTTGAATTTCGGTTCTTACCAACACCTTATGGGTTATAAGCTGATCTGACTGGTGCCACCTAGAACCGTACCCCTCCTTTTGTACTGCATAGGCGTATCCTAGACAGTACAATCTGCAGCAGACCGCTCTCTTTAGCTCTCCGTTCTCAGACCTACTCACAGGTCTTGAGAGCGGCTTCGTGTGATTCGGATCTTTTCGTGCCTGCCAAGGCACACAGTTTGGTTTTATGCCCCCGGCCGCACCTGACGATTTGATCCGCCAGCATAGTCGGTCGCTAGAAGACGATCCAACTTTGTTCCCTGATAACAACCGCATCGTGTCGGAGAATGAACCAACCGGGAAGAGTAAGAAGAAGAAGAACAAAAAGGCCAAAGGGGGCAAGGCCGCGACAGAAAGTCCTCCTGATGAGGTGACCCAACAGCAGTTGCCTACATCTGTAGAGCCCTCCTCGTGTCCAGATCCACCCTTAGATCATCATGTTCCCCCCACCGTGGCATCCCCCGTCCTCGACGTGCTCGGATCCATTCACGATAACACGGAAGAACACGATCTCACCAGCCGCACTGGAACCTGGGCTCAATCAGTGCCTTATGGAAAGAGCCCTCCAACAGACTTGATGGATGGAGAACTGCCTCAGGAATCACCTATCAACTTCCCCACCATTCAGGCACGAGGCGGCTTTAGTCAACCTTCTTCCGCATCCCCTCCGACCCAGATTCGCCCCTTCAGCTACAACAGTGGCTATCGAAGCAATATGAACTCGAGACAGCAATCCGCGGATCGACATAAAAGCCACTCATATGGAAGTCCCATGAGTAATCTGGCACCACCCCCACACCTCCCGCAGGCTCACTTTTATGGCGCCCCGGATATCGACATTCCAAATCAGCCTCGCTCCGCTGCAGACGGCGCGTATTCTTTCTGTGCATTCGACACTCTTCCGAATATGTCCAAAGCATCACGGAATGCTTTGAATGTTCTGGTGATAGGAACGGACAATAGAGTGGAAGTCCAGGCGATAGAGGACCACAGGGCTCGTTTAGTTGGTCAAATCACCGGCCTAAATGGGCGTGTCCTTGAGGCCAGAATCTTACCTGGTCACGTTGCCACGGAGTCAGCTGGACCCCCTCAGCCCCATGTGGCTGTTATTGTACATGGCCCGTTGGCACCGACTGAAGAGGAAGTTCCCGTTTCTTCCGCGAATTCTGAGATCTATGAGGGTGCACCATCGATGACTCGTGGTCATTCAATTGATCGACGACCCCCGAAAGATGACATTAAATTTTATCAAACTCGAGTGGAAGTATATTCTCTTCGATCGGGAGCACATGTTGCAACTCTATTTGCAAGTAAGCCCGTTCCATCGTTGGAGAATATTCCTGGTCTTCCATCACTGGCACCGCCACCTGTGGGTAGCTTGAAGCTTCTCGTCGGCGGAAATCATGTCGTCGTGGCCTCTGGCGTTAGTGGGGAAGTTTATGTTTACCAGCAAACTTCTTCGGGTACATATCTATGTCTAGGGAAGGTCTGGACGAATGTGCAGACCGGAGAAGCACGACGGTACTCCACTTCCTCCAGTTCAACTGACCCAGACGGTTCTCATAATGATCAACCCCGCAAATTATTATCCGAACGTCCAATCTTGGCTTTGCAAGGAAGGTGGCTTGCCGTTGTTCCTCCGTCTGCTTCAAACCGGGCATCCATTCAGGGAATTGTACCAGTTGGTCTAGCACACGGTCGCGCTCAGGGACTTGAGAGTCGTAGTCCGCCGACGATCCCGTCAATCAATTGTGCGACTGACGTGGGTGAGGGAGAGAGCTTTCTTGACAAAGTCGCCAGAGGTGTTACGCAAGAGCTCGTGAAGAGTGCTCGCTGGATGGGAGACCAGGGAATACAAGCGTGGAATTCCTACTGGAATAATCAACAACCTGGTGCAACCCCTCCACAGCGTCAAACTCGGGGGGCAGAGTCGCCGATTTCGGGCTATGGGCTCTTCCCACCGACGCACGCTCAAGATGCGAAGACCCCCCCTTCACCTGGACCCGACGCCGTGTCCATCATCGACCTTAAACGGTTTGATGACGGCGTGGAGACGAAGATGGCACCTCTCCACCCCATGGCAACATTTCAAGTCCCTAATGGCTGCAGTTACCTCTCACTTTCCCCTAACGGACTGATGTTACTCACTGCTAGTAAAAATGGTGACGTACAATATGTTTGGGATCTCATGCAGTTGAAGAACTGCCGAGCGATGGCTTTCATGGCCGATGATGTCGCCGATCAAAGCCCCAACGTTCGACAGATTGCCAGATATCCACGATTGACTACATCTAGTATTGTCGACGTAGTCTGGACTGCACCGGTGGGCGACCGACTAGCTATCATTACCCGAAAGGGAACCATTCACGTCTTCGATTTGCCACGAAGTGCTTTCCAATGGCCTCCTTTCCGCCGTGGTCGCCCCGCTGCACAAAAGTCCCCAATTATTGATCCAACAGGCGACGACGTTTCCAGTCCAAGTGGCGGTGGAAACCCACTATCAGCAGCCATGAAACTGGTTGGGGGTAAAACACAGCCTTTCTTCTCTGCGGTACGGGGCCGTGTTCCATCGACCAGTGGCGCACCATTCCCCAATATCAGTGGCTTTGCTCTACCAACAGCAGCTACGATCAAGGGTGGAAAGGTGGTGGCAGCAGGCCTGAGCAAGTCCATGGGCGCTGCGGCAACAGGCACCGTCCACACACTTCGACACGTGGGAGAAAACCGGCTTCATTTAACTGGCCTTGCGAGAGACCCATCGCCTAGCCGGGTCATTTGGATCTCCAACAAGGGTCTCTTTTATCTTGGAGTGGTTGACAATGGGGATTTCAAATTGTACGGTCTTAAGCGTGGTGCAACCAGCCATAAGAATCGACAGTTTCACACTGTTATTGGTGGCAAGGAGAAACAGTACAAGCTACCTGCCAGCCTGCACAATCCTTGCGGACCAGCGCCTTTAATGCCATATGATTCAGAGCTCACAGTCCAGGCAACTTTACTGTTGCCATCTGCTAGCGCGCATTCATCTACCACGGCACGGCCTTTCTGCCAGCCGCTCTCCCAGGCAGAGATCGAGACCAATACGCCATACCAGCCTTTCCATACCGATCAGAGAGTCGGCCTCCACATCTTTTCCTCTCCAGGTGGTCAGCGAAATATGTCCTTAGCAGCCCCGGGTGGTCAGTGGGTCTTTGGGGGTGATATTCCGACTACCAAAGTACACGTGAGGTCCTATAGCAATAGCAGTGATGAACTTGCAGATGATGAGCAGGACGATGAGGCCATCCACGGTCATTCATTAGGTGCTGGTGGCGATATGGAGAACCTTATCAGCCTAGCCAACAGCACCGGTCACATCGAGGAGGTGATTATTACCACTCGACGAAAGAAGAAGGCATCAGCTCCATTGAAAGCTGATGATGGCTTCTTTGAGGATGATTGTGAGGTCCTCGATTTTGCTCGCGATCGAGTCTGACCGACCATCTCAACTCTTTTCCTTTGTCTTTATTCATATTATTTCTGGTGATTTAGATTCAGTGCTCACGCGCGTACTCAGCGTTTAAGACCCGCACTCGGAGTTTGCTTTTCATTTCTAACCTTGCTCAGTCTCCATGAGACCCTCATACCCATCAAATTGCATCAGATCGATCCAGGCATAGTATGGATTTATGTGCCCCGATTTGCTCATTACTGCTTTGCATGCGTCTTTCCTGATTTACACAGAAACTGAAATACCCAAACATGTACTTATTTTTCCTGCATTGAGATAGATTGGAGGTTTTTTTTTCATCCTTTACGTTCTAGGCTGTGCCTTGTTGACCACTCTTTTCCGCGACGATCTCTTCATTCTTTACAATTTCGCGTCGATTTCAATGGTCTCGTCACTCTTTGATTTTGATTTCTAGGCTGGGACTAGCTACAACTTGAACTCAATACAAATAAAGGACTCCATAAGAGTCCTGATATTCAACATAGACAGGACACATTCAGGATTCAAAGAACTAATTTTAGTCAGATAATTCAACCCATTCTACAAATCACAATCAAAAATAATAAGCTCAAGCAGCATCCTGCATCTCCTCCTCCCACCACCCCTTAAAAGCAGTAATTCTCTCCGTCCTCTCCCTAGCCATCCTCCTCCCCGTCTCGGTCTTCATCATCCCCTCAAGTTTCTCCAACTTATCCCCAAAATGCTCAATAGCATTCCCCATAACCCACCCATTCTCACCAGCAAACTTCTTCCCTTGCGCACCCAAAAAAACAAAACACCTCCCAATCCCAACAGCCCCAATAGCATCCAAACGATCCGCATCCTGAACGATCGCCAACTCCCCAAAACCCCCATCAATCAACTCTCTCACAACAGCTGGATCCTTACACTCCGTTGAATACGAAACATGGGACACGATAGTTTGGACCTTTGATGCTAGAGCGGCATCCGCTCCTTGTTGGAGGAGGGCATGCTCAACCATTGTTTTGGGATCGAGTGGACCATCCGAGTCTGTGCTGGGGATGTTCGAGATGTATTTTCTATCTCCGATGTCATGGAGCAAAGCAGCGAGCTTTACAACTGCGGCCGAGTGTGAAGTCTCTGGGTGTAGAGATTGTTCTGCGCTTAGGATTCGCATTGCGAGGTTGACTACCCTGTGCACGTGGGGTGGGTTGTGAGAGGGGTCGTGGCCTGACATGCAAGTGTGCACAAAGGTGGACATAGAGTCATATAGTTTTTGGAACTCTGGAGTTGTTGTTTCTGACATCTTGAAGTTTCTCGTCTTATATAGTGTTGCAAATTTGCAAATTTGTGTGTCGGCTTGAATGTTTGAAGGTGGGTCACTAGGTCAAGGTTCTTATATTATAAACCTTGGACGAAATGCAAGACTTTTTATGTATTTGAGTCTGGATGGTGAATATTTTGAGGATCTATATGGATCCGGAGGTCTTCAAGGTCAAGTTCGAGCTGTGGTCTAAGTGGGATATCTTTTTGTGGAGCAGAAATTCTCCCCGTAAACAATGCGAACCTTATGTTGGTGGTTGGCGGTGAACGCGTTCCGCTAATTATCGCCCTTGCATTACCTATCTTCACTGTGGCTAATATGGGTTCAATCATTTATTATGGACGTCAAACCCAGGGGCGATAGTGTCAAAAAACATTGAAGTTGATATTCTTTCAGACACTCAGATTAAGGCAGGCTGAAGAGACGCGTCCCGGGCTCAATCCTAACACAACAACCATTGAATGTAGGACTTTGAGAGAGATTGAGAACAATACGTTCAACCTCATCCGGCTTAACAACTCTTGTTGACATGTTCCTATGTCTATTGATATTACGTTGAACTAAGGCAAACGCTTGGACACTTCCTACATCAATGGTGACCGGCGTCACCGAAACAACACGAATATCACACTCTCCCAGACCTCTGGAAAGGGACACTCATCGAACGAATGGGACCATTAATTAATTCGTCGGCCACCTGGCGAATGTAGTAATCGCCTGAAGGGCTTACAGAATACACTTGGATAAATTATCCAATACCCCACTATCGGGTTGATTCGATGGGAGTTCCCCTTGGACTGCACGCCGAGCAAAAAACCGGCCTAGGCAGTCGAACCAAGCCCAATATCCCTATTAGATTTACATTGATACTTTCCTGGTGTCAGGCATGGAAAATGAATACAGAAAGGCATTCATTATCTTCCCTGGGAATAAGATCGAGCTATGAATGTGCAGTGAAGATGTTGCGTGCGCAAAGCTCACCTGGATCTGGGATGAGTGGCAGTATGATAATTTAATTTCATGTTGACCTCATCAGTCGCACTTCGATTAATAGAAGTGTCTCTGTACGGTGTCGACATGAGGACTCGCGCTAACGGTTTTCTTCGGGCTCGACGGTTGCGGAGATATTATCCCCTTTTGATTGTTGCATGTTATATAGCTGCGTGTTAGGAATAGCTTCGAATAACACACTTCCACTCTTTTGGATCTTTTGCTACCATACAGTAATTCCCCGTGTTGACCAAGAAATGATATAGATGTTTTGGTGGGTGTTTTTGTGCATTGTTCTGATACAGGCAGATTTCCCCTCTTCAATGCATAAAATGAAATTCCACCTATTTTCTCGAGCTACTGAATATAGTAGTTATGTTCTATCCAGTAAGAACTTCCTCGAGATTCAATGACATCCATCGATTTCTTCAAAAAGCTATAGCATTCTACTTAAATAATTGATATCCGACACAATACTGTAGTGTGATCACGGAATCCACTTAGGTTGATCCTGAGCAAGCTTCGCATTTCGTCGTCTGTAAAAGAGCCACAAACCCAAGGACAATACCATCGCTAAGAACTGGCTTGCAGCATTAACAGCATGTCCCGTCTGATACCGAGGAGCTTGTTGTCCTTGATAAATCCAGACTCCGATAATCTGCCCCGGTCCCGTAAAGCCGACATTTAGTCCACTCGCGAGAGAGGACGCAGTGGTGTTATGAACATTATCTGAAACCCAAGCACATAACGCGGGCAATGAGCCGAAAACAGAACATGTAGATAGCACAAGCATTGCGTAGCGTAAATGCAGCGAAGGAGTGGGGACGCAAGCTATACAGAAATAATTTTAGCTCGAGCGTACTCGCTACAAGCTGGGATTACACTTACCAGGAATCAAAAAGGTTACAAATGCTATGAAGCTGAAGATAGCAGCAATGAGTCCTCGGGTCTCGAATCTGTCAGATAGGTATGCTGCTCCGAGTGCCACGGCATATGCACAGACGTAAGGTGGAATCGTAAAAAGTTGAGCTTCAAGTCCAGCGTAACCAATTCCTTCCACGATGGAGGGCGCAAATAGAGATAGAGAAGAAACGCCTATTCCAGCACAAAGGTAAATCATATAATGAACCCATAGCCGAGGCTCTTTCAACGTAGCTTTGGCATCGGCCCAATTGAGCTTGTCGTCGCTGTTCAAAAGGCGAGCTTAGTTTAGGCACTTGAAAGCACAATAATAGACAACGTGGAACATTATACGTACCCTCGAGCCATATTCTTTCCAAATGACGCTTTGAGGATCGCCATATCCTCGGCTGTTAGCCACTTAGCCTTCTCAGGGTAGCTTGGAAGAAATAGAAAGATAGCAACTGCGAGCAGAATACATGGTAACCCTTCAATGATGAAGAGCCACCGCCATGCTTGTAACCCCCCAGATCCATTCAAATGACCGACACCGTAGGCAATCGCACCTAGTCCAAAGTCAATTTCAACAACTAGAGATAATTCAAGAGAAAAGGCTTACCCCCAAAGGCGCCAGCTAAAGTAGCACTGCACAGAAAAATGGCAATTCGAATCGCTCGTTCTCGCGGCCCATACCAAAAGGTCAAAAAGAAAATCATTCCGGGATAGACACCTGCCTCAGCCGCCCCTAACAGGAACCGCAGCGCCATCAATGTGGATACATTCTTGGACCCACCAATTCCCGCACATAAGGCGCCGAAACAAACGACCAGAAAGCCCAGCCAACTATTTTTTGGTTAAATCTTAGTGAATGACTTCGTTGATGGGAGTTTAATCATCAGATTAAGTCTTACATTGGAGGGGTAAAGGTCTTCATTGCCATATTACTTGGTGCTTCGAAAATCGAATAAGATACCAAGAACAGCATAAGAGCAATTCGATACTGATGATCGTCCATATTTATAGAGGTCATCAGGTCATCACCAGTATCGCTATTGAGAACTTTGGCATTTCCTGCCATTGAAATGAGTGATGGTTCGCTCGGTGGAGGTGAGATCGCAGCGACTCCGACTCACCAATATTCGATCGATCCAGGTAACAAAGCAGATACGTCAATGCAACGAACGGTAAGATGCGGAGGTCTATCTTCCTATAAACTCTGCGATACAGTTAGCACACCCACCACGCTCACAGGCGAAAGAACTGCGCACCGTGCATATTCTTCTTTGCTTGGACGAACACCATCATCAGAATATTCCAGATGAATACAACCACCATCGTCGGCTTTCTCACCGACCGGGGTTTCCGACATTTCAAAAGGCGAACGACGATAATGATGAAGTTTCCTTTTGGGAGAATAATGATATATGTGAGCAGAGTAATATGTGAGCAGAATTCCCGACCTGCCCCAGGGAAACTGAAGGGTATTAATACTCAGAAACACCTGAGAAGTCAGACAATCCCCAGTCCGGGGACTCTACTCCACACTTTGCCTAGATTTTCATCTGGAGCTGGGGTACAGGAGTGCGGGGGTCCTAAATTTGGGTCGGATCGGCGAAAGAATGAAGGCGTCGGGTATGGACACAGCTGGTTGGCTCTCGCAATGAAGCTCGGGTCCAAATTTATGTGTTAGTTAGAAGTAAAATGACATCGAAATCGAATAAAGAATATAATATGGTCAATTCCAGCCTCAGCTCTCAACTATAATGCGGTCCCGTTTATGAAATACAAGAGACCTTCGTGGCCACTACCAAGAAAAAGGCAAATTCACCGACGCTCAGTAGTCAAATACCTGATTTTATTATGGAGAAAACTCGAAAACCAGATATATTCCAACTACATCTAGAGACATACGCTGTTGCAACCTGGAGCTAACTATGAGAACTTCCAGCATCTGTGACATGCAAGCGGCGTTTCAAAATACTATTTACCAGTTCAAATAAATGTATGGATGCTGCACCCCACCATCAGGTCCTGGTACTAATATTAATGGCATAGCAAGAAGTCAATATGTCATATTTGCGAAATTGGTATAGTCAGTGGGCCTCTAACAGAATGCTGTTGGATTGATTATACGCAGGGAAAGAAACTGGCAATTCCTACAATCATGACAACTCAGCCGAAGGGACATTTGGTCCTTGCGTTCCTAGTATCAGATCTTCTTTTCCTCTCAACACCATTGAGTTTGACAAAAATAAATTCTCAATGATAACTCCTGGGGGTACTTGAAACTTTGAAGAAGAAACAAGTCGCAATCGAGGTGGCACTTGTCGGGATTGAAACACACATCTGTATATCTTAAACTGCCCTCGGTAAGATATACGAGTCCGCTTCAAGTTCTTTATGTCTTTTTAGAATGGTTTATTTGATGACCCAGCGACCTACTGGTAACTAGTAGTACCTAGAGCTGCGGGAGAAAGGGTACTGTGTTGTCGTTCTTGCCGACGCAGTATGATCATCATTTCGACAAGAACGAAATCTAGCATTGCAAAGGCTGCAGTCTGCTGGAATTATCATAGCCAGTATTGAAAGCTGGCTATTTGAGTTCCTTGAGTCTGCCAACCACGTTTCGTAAGTTTGAGATATCATGTGCTCCCAGAATACTTCTTAACCAAAACTTAAGGTTCAAGGAAATTAGTTCTATCTTGAAGGGTACGAAACAGGAAAGAAGCAACATAATTTCGGCCTTATTGTGATTAGATAGTCTCCATAACGTCTCAGATCTAGGCAAAAGTAATAAATATACCCATTTTATTCGATCAAGTGTCAATTCTAGATACCACCTATATGGCAGAACATTACGTATGTCAACAAGTATGAAAATTAGCAAAATGCCTCACGGCTGTTCATTAAGCATAAAGATAATAAAGCTATTCAAATTCAGATCAAATCTTTGCCGGCAATCTCATGGCACCATCAAGCCTGAGACAACATCCATTAAGCATTCGATTCCGACAAATTTCCAGAACAAACTCAGCAAACTCCGCAGGTTTTCCCGCTCGTTTTGGCCATTCATATTGACTCTCGATAGCCAAACGTGCCTTTTCAGGCATCTTCCCCTGGGCTGTCATCGGCGTTGAGAACATGTTGGGGGCAATAGACACAGCTCTGATGCCGTATGGCGACAAATCCCTTGCCAGAGGGAGCGTCAAAGCCTGAATGGCACCCTTAGTAGCTGAATATGCAACTTGCCCTTGTTGACCATCGAAAGCTGCAGCGGATGATACCATGATAATGACCCCTCTTTCAGACTCGTTTTCAGGATCAACTTCTTCTGGGAGCCGAGCAATGTGAGGGACCACCTGACGGATAATGTCGAGAGTGCCGACTAAATTAATATTGATAGCTTGAGTGATCTTCTGTAATGATAGTGACTCAAATCTGGAGTTCATAATCTAAGCATCATTGTTAGAGAAGAGAAACAGGATTTCCATTTGAGCTACGTACTTTTCCGGGAGCAAGAATACCAGCGCAACACACCACGCCCCCGATAGGCGCATTCGTATGATTTGTCCATTCTAAGATACCGCAAATGGCTTCTGATACTTGTTTGGTGGATGAAATATCAACCTGGTAATCCTTGATTTGGTGTGGTGGCATATTTTCCACGTTCGCAGGCAGCTTGTTCAAATCCAACAACCCAACATACGCACCAGCACCAACCAAAGCTTTTGCTGTTTCCAGGCCCAATCCAGAGGCTCTATACAGAATGAGCTTTGCCACATTCAAAATTGTACAAAGCAAATGTTTGGGTTGTAGACTCACCCTCCAGTAATGATGAAAGTCCTGTTCTGAAGCTGCATTTTTCTGCGTTCCAAGGACTAGCTACCGAAAGTTTAAGAAAAGATATTTAGGCAAAGAGAAGCAATACCTTGACCATTAGAGTCATATAGACTATTTTTTATCTTATGATTAAGAAGAATGGCTAACCTTCCCCACCAGGCCAGTATGTTGGACGAGCTCGGGAGTCGGGTAACACGTCTCGGAAAACCGCATCGGCTAATTTAGATTATAGGAAACATGAAGCCGAACAGTTCAAACGAGACATATCGTACATCTATCCGACAAGCCTTCGTCGTCTGCCGATCTGTGACCTCCTGTAATAACCGGGCGGCCTTCCCAGCATGAATACTCGCGTATTCTCCCGCCGATCCGAAATTCCTTTCAATCGAATCTAATTGCCGAAGCTTCGCAATGCACCAAGCAACTTTCGCAGGATCAGTGCATTCCGTAGCATATGTAAAAAGGGTCCACATGGCCACAGTGCTGATGGGAAGTTCTTCATTCACATTGACATCACCCACGGAATCTGTAGGCAATTCCACAGGCTGCTCAACACTTTGACGGAGAGCCACCCATGTGTCGCTGGCAGCTAGCATTTCATCTTCTTGAATAGAATGATTCCACCACGCAGCGCGATACAAATAACAGAAATTGGACCAAAAGCTCGCCCGAGTCACGCAAAGTAAGCGGAAGATATCTCTGGCGTGGTGATCTTGTAAAAGCTCTTGTAGATGCTTCAGCTCACAGCTCATAATGGCGGGGCGGGTGTGCCAAAGCTGATGAAGATCATTGATTATTTTATTGGCACTAGCAGTCACTTCTTTCTCGTCTTCTAACGAGCCTCGTGGTCTGCGATGCCGGTCTAGCATGGCAATTCGACGAAGGAATTGTTGGGAGAGGTGATAGAAGTGAATAACATCACGAAGAATGCTTTCTTTCAGTAATGACACAGGACTTCCACTGTAAGAAGATGCAGACAGGCCTTGATGAAGTCTGGCATGTTTTAATCGACCACGAGGTGGCGATAATGGATCTTCGTTTATCGTGTCTTGTTGTATAGTGTGTTCAGCCTGAGCCGAGTCGGTAGGAGCCGATGGAACAAGCGAGATGGGCGCTCGTTGCCGTGTCAGAATCCCATTTCCTCCAAATATCACTAACTTCATATCACATAGCACAAGCCACTTCAGGATTTGCTGTTGCATGGTATCTGTCTGATCGATATTTTGGAGCAAATAGTCTGCCCATTCGATTTGATGCGACCGTTGGATATCTTCTTTATCAATGAACTAGAGAGATTTATTAGTCGTAATACTACCAATACAGATAAGCACCACCAACCTCAAAGCAAGTAAGCAAAAACAATCCTATAAATAGTTCTCGATGAAGAGATCGTGAATTAGTTTTCCTCTGTTCCTCTAGTCCCTCGATAAGTGTTTCCTTGGCAAATATGTATAGGTAACTAGTGAGATTTTGACCATTCCGTAAGGCGTGCGATTCTTTGCGCTCTGCATTTGAGCCAAATTTGTTGAAGTGAAGCTGTGACAGAGCGACAACCGAGCTCGATATGATTGAGCTTCTCCTAGCCATGACAAGGATTTGACCACAGAGTGTACGCCAAGACGCATTATCTATGCTCGTGACGGCTGGTACAAAAACACTTTCATGAAAGTATCGACCTAGTGCATCAGAGCGGCGTGTGATACTGTCATCTGCTCCCGATTCTCCGTTTGCGCGTGGAGCCAGGATGGTCGTCGCCATCCGATTAAAATTTGGCACGATATCCCGCAGAAGATTCGCGTCGTTTTCAGGACGTGGAGAAATTGAAACCTTCTGCGAGGCTCCATTTCCATATTGTGGATTTTCAACAACTCGACTTCCCTCTTCGCGGCCTACATTTCGAGCAACATTCCTGTTTAGCTAGGCTTGATGTTAGTTCGTTTTTCCGAGCGAAGCTCCAACGAATTTCTCATTTCCTACCGAGGCATCAATGTCGGGACCATCATTGAATGAATTGTCAACGGCGGAGGTGTCATAATCCAATGTCAAGAGGCTCTCTGGTAGCAATGTTGAAGGAGAGCACCAAAGATCCAGAGCATTCCGAGAGAAGGCGTCAAAGTCAAAGAACAGGCCATTATTATCTGGATCTAGAGTTGAATTATCTAGAGTTGAATTCAAGTCTAGGTCGATATCCATTGATTGGTCCACGTTTCCAGCATCTCTCGGCATAGGCGAATACTCATGTGATCCATTACACAGATTGTCAAAGCTTGCAGGAATAGACGACGGTCTTTCTGCCTGCAATCGCTTTCTGGGTGGAACCCTTTGATAGTGACATTCGGCTCCTAGTCGGGTGCAGTTCGCGCAAGTCGGCAATCCTTCGTCGCACCTCACTTTCCTTTTTTTACAGATTGCACAGCCAGATCGTGACCGAGGTGCTGATCTCCCAAGACGCCTCTTTTGACCCGGTCGGACATCAACTGTGTTGCCTGGGGAGTTCATTGTCGAGGTTGGTACTTGATGGGAGGTGTCCTAGCCGAGGGACCCGAGGCTGTGATCCTTTATAATGGGGAATTGCTCTCCACTCTCGCTCTATGCCAGTGTAAATAATGAAAAAGAATGCGGGGTTGAATAGATTGTTCCCAGCAGAAAAAGAAAATAAATAAACAATAAACCAAACCTAATCGGATCAAGAACAAAATGTGGACGCATTTAACTTAATTTGGTTCTAACTGTAACCCTAGACATAAATATCTAATTTAGTATTCACTATATGCGGCTTCCATAGTTAATGGAGGTTTAGCACTATTAAGAGCATATCATAACTTTAAGTTAAGGGAGGCAATGCTAAGGGTTAATATGTACTTAAGCGACAGGTCGCATTTTGCCCCTTGGAATGATTGTAAGCCACAGGCTATCCACCGGCGAAAGAACTAGAATACTTGGCGCTTTTTCCTCCAATTTCCTATCAAAGGGGACAATGGTAAAGGTATTGAATTTTGAACTTTAGCATGAATAGCATGAATACTAGCATCGAAAGGCCCGTCATGAAAAGGAACTTGAATATCCTTCTACTGGCCCCGCCCTCAGCTTCCGACATACTATCTAGTAGGTCAAGTGACGCCCGAACCCCGCTCAAGTAAGTAAGCATTCCTGCCAGTGTGTCGCATGAACATCACCAAACATCATGATGCCAATGCCCCTCAAAGGTATTGCTACAACGGACTCGCATTATGAAGTGGGTTTCCCTAAATATCGTATTGCCTATATTCTATATGTCGTAGAACGCGATCAAGTGTCTCAATTCCAGACGGACTCCTGCGCAGCCGCTGCTAGGGCAAATGAAAGGCTCGGATGATATGAGCAAGTGGTTAGAATTACTTACTTATTCTGTATGAGACGGCCTGATGCCACAACGAAGTATAGTAGCTGCTAACATCGCACTAGCAACGCCATCTGGGTACATTGAACGTCATCCATGTAGCAGGCACCAATGGGAAAGGAAGCACCTGCGCATATATCTCGTCCATACTCCAGAGTTTTGGGTGCAAGGTCGGACTCTATACCTCGCCGCATCTTCGGAAGAAGTATTTGCCAAATACTTTTTCGAGATATGGACTAGATTGCCACTTGAGGCTAGCACTGATATGGACATTCCCCGATACCTCCAGCTGTTGACCCTTCTCTCGTTCCATGTCTTTCTCAAAGAACAGGTTGACGTCGCAATCTATGAGCCACATATGGGTGGCGAGTTCGATGCAACGAATATTGTCTCTTCACCCGTCGTGACTGTGGTCACTCGAATAGCAGAAGACCATGTCAAGTTCCTCGGGCTCACTATTGCAGACATTGCTTGTCATAAGGCAGGAATCTTTATGTCCGGTTGTCCGGCTTTCTCAGTGCCCCAAGAGGAAGAAGTTGTTCGGGTTTTCGTACAACGTGCAGAGGAAAAAGAATATGTGACGCTTTCATTTGTTGAGCCTGATTCATCACTGGATGTGTCAAGATATCAGATGGAAAATTGCTCGCTTGCTAGAGCAGTAGCGCTGGAGTGGATGTCCTGCAGGAAACCCGATAAATTGACTAACCTGACTGAGCCTATGCAGGATATCATTGACCGTGGTATTCGTAGACTTGACTGGCTTGGTCGTTACCAGCTGATAGAAGAAAGGAGATAATCATACGTGGTCCCTTGATGGTGCCCACAATAAATCAGGGCTATCCACCGCAGTATCATGGTTTGCTGAAATGAGTACAGTACGGAGGTAGGAATGATATTTATGGATACCCTGCGTTGATATAGTGCTTATTCTGTTAGTATCAACGTCACACCCGTGAGGATGATCACCTTCAGTCAATTTTCAGATCGAAATGTACCTGAACTTTTACATGTTATCCACAATATGCTGGTTGGGGAAGGAGTCGAAATTCAACACATGATATTAACTACATGCAATGAAAGAGATGACGGACGGAAAAGGAGCGGTATTTTTGTCGGCCGATCTTCTATGGAAAAGCTAGAAGAGTACGAATATGCCTGGAAAGAGTACCAACCTGGAACTACGATATCTCTTGAGGGGACGATTGAAAATTCTCTGGAACGGGCGCGTATACTTCGTCAAAACAAGTCGGCACACGTGTTAATAACTGGAAGCTTGCATTTAGTGAGCGGCGCACTGAGCGTTCTCGGGCAGAGAGTGGTTTAAGAGAGCCTATTTACATCCAGCATTACATGCTCTAGCGTTGGTAGAAAGAAATTTCCTCAAAAGAACAAGTTCCGTTCCCAGGTATGAAGTAGCCAGGCGTTACCTTTAAGAGAAGCTCACTAGCCAGGGCTATCCTCGCGGCAGCTGTGGATGTACGTTGGAGTAGAGTGGGCTACAGTATTGTGATGTGCCTGAGATATCTCGTGGAAGAGGTCAACGCAAGCGTAGATCTTTCACTCCTGATGGAACTCATACAAATGCCATTAATATCTCCAGAGGCTTCGACGCCCACGAGGATATTCTGAGTTACCTGCAGCAGAAGGCAGCTTCCGACAAGAATGTTCAAATTCAAATTGCGGGAGGAAGCAGTATTCTTTCCGGGGCAGTATCGGGTCAGCGCGAACTTGAACCTTGGAAGAGTCTACAACTTCAAGTTAAAGTGGTTCAATTATTTAGAAAGATTGAGGTTCAGGTTGTTGATTTATGTTGCTCCTTAATTTTCCGACCAGCCAGAAGATACAGAGATTATCGAGCGAAAGTTCAATTAAAAGCCAAGAAGATTGAAAAGCCCTTGGGAATGCCCGATTATACAGTTTACAGCCTATACTTTCGAGGTGAGTTCAATGCCTCAAAGGTATCTGCTGCCCAGTTACTAAAGGACTTGCGAGATCGTACTGCCTCGAAATCACCTGCATCTACTTCTCGCACCTCCATCGCTGGATTATATCCGAGTCGCTGTCGCCCATCTACCTGATCCTGGATCTTAGATAGTAAAGGTGCGACATCGTTGTCGGCTCTCCCTAGAATAGTGACAACCGTGGCACCTCCAAGACCCATATTGTGCTGAAGACAGTACTTTGTCCCCGGCACAGAACGGTTCTCTGCCCAGCCACGTAAATGCCAAACTTACTTCTGTCAGTAATGCCATGTATAAAGCGGTAGAACGGAGGTCATACCTAGCTCCGCTGTCTGAGCCAGTCCTGTTGCGCCCAGTGGGTGGCCTTTTGAGATTAAGCCACCACTTGGGTTAATGATCCAGCCTGGTGATGTTCTCTTCGTTTCGGATGTATTGTCATAGGTGATTCTTCTATCTGAAACAAGCTTCCATCCTTCGCCATGAGGAGCCAGACCCAAATCTTCGATAGCGCACATTTCGTTGGTTGTGAAGCAGTCATGGAGTTCGATGACCTGAATATCTTGAGGAGAAAGATATGCTTGATTAAGTGCGTTTTTAACAGCACGTCGCGTCATATTCGATCCAATCAGCTCTATAGCACTGGCAGGCTCATAGAGTTCTAAGGAATCAGTTGCGAGAGCTTGGCCCTTAATAGCGACTGCGCTCTGTTTCAGAAACGGATGTGCCTGAAGAAAGCGTTCGGATACTAGCACTGCTGCAGCAGCTCCAGTCTACTCAAGTCAGCAAACATGACTCAATTGTTCCGAATTTGAAAGAAAGGATTTATTTTACCGAGGATGGGCAACACTGCAGTCTAGTGATGGGACCAGAGACCTGCGGACTCGACAAAACCTCTTCAGTACCCACAGCCTGTCGCAACTGACTATAAGGGTTATTCATTCCATGTGTTCGATTGATGGACGCAATAGCAGCAAAATGCTGCGGTTTCGCACCAGCCGAGCCGTATATCTCTAAATACTCAGCTTGTGCATTGGCATACAGCTGTGGCGTCCAACCAGCCGACTCGGTCTGGCCTTCCGGGATGAATTTCTTTGACATAGTCAAGATTCTCCCCAGGGGATTCTCTCGGTCTTTATAGATCTGTGGAAGTGCTCCGGGATACATTTTGTCGAATCCCACGACTAGAACACAGTCTGCGCAGCCAGCCTGAATGAACTGATTTGCCATGAAGAGTCCAGTACTTCCCGCACTGCAATAATTATGAACATTGTAGATGGGAATGCCCGTCATTCCAAGTGAATAGAATACTCGCTGTGCACCAGCGGAGTCTCCAAATACGTAACATCCAACTCCCTGATCAACGTCGTCATAGTTGATGCCTGCATCAAGTAGGGCTTTGACACATGCTGAGATTGCGAGGTTGAAATAATCACCTTCCGGATTTGAGGAGTTTGCTGCTGATTTCTGTGGAGACTGGAAAGGCGTCATTCCCACACCCGCAATAAAAACCGGCGGCGATGGCATGTTGGAGAGAGTACGAAATATAATATTGATAGTGGGTGCTCAATCGGAACAAATTGCCTTCGAGATCATGAAGCGTCAAGAATGGGAATGGAAGAACGGCTCTTAACTTTTTGTTATGATAGCTTGGACTTCGCGTATGTTGCTTCTTCTTAAAATGCACATGCATCACCTCCAAGTTCGTCTAAATCGCAAAGGTCGAGTTTCCTCCACGCATCCAGAGCCGATGTGCAATAAAACAGTCAAGAATATCCGATTTCACCTATAGTACACCCGAGGGAGTCATAAGTCAACGCGGGCGCGAATCAGACAAGTGCTCGGGAGTCGGGAGTCGGGTAAGTACTGAATATGGGGACTTCTCTCAACGATGGCATTTGAGTACTTTGAGAGCGACCGAAAGTGAGCATGAGTGGAGTCGCCATGTAGATCAAGGCAAGGCATTGCTTTAACTGGATATTCAATAAATGTTCATCTTTGTGCTCGGATAATGATAGACTCCACAGCCTGAGGCCTCGGAACCAGCCAAGGCATACAATCACCTATATCAACATCCCGCATAGTCCGTTGGGAAGTCCTCTTCAACGTGAACAATTCTCCACAAAGTAGCCCTCCAAATCCTCTCAAAATGCCCACAACCCAACCTTCAATCATTTATGGTCCCTCGGCTCCTCTTCCCGCCTCAATAAGCTTTGGGAGCTTGCTTTCTCACCATTCAAAGAATACACCCGATAGCTACGCAGTGATATCGCACCACCAAAATGTATTCCTAACATATAGCCAATTAGATCAACGAAGTACCTCTCTCGCTGCTGCATTTTCAGCATACGGTGTAGGCAGAGGTGATACAGTGGCGATTATGCTCGGAAGTCGCACCGAATATCTCGAAGTAAGTACATTGGCCAAAATACAGAATGTCAGATTCACTAATCATTATTTAGGCGTTTTTTGCCTGTGCTAAACTTGGCGCATCCCTCGTACTGTTAAACTTTGCATTTGTCTTCGAGGAAATTGTCGCTACCCTGACACCAATCGGTAAAATGGCCCGTCAACCTCCTCTACCAGCGTGCATGACTGATATTTGAAAAGCCCCGAAAATCTTGATCACAACACCTGCTTTCGGAAAATACAACTACCAGAATATTCTTTCCAATTTAATAGACCGACTTCCATCATTAAAAGCATTGGTTCTCATAGACCCGTGGAAAATCAAGTCCCAAGCTCTAAGCAGAAAGATGGTTTCCTTCGAGGATTTGATCGTTCAAAATTCCAAAGCTGACATCAAGGTCGAAGTTTCGCCCAATGACATCGTTAATGTCCAGTTTACATCAGGCAGCACTGGGGCTCCCAAAGCTGCTGCACTGAGCCATTACAACATCATGAATTGTGGACAATACATAACCGCACAAATGGGTATCACGCGGAACGACCGAGTCTGTCTACCCGTGCCTCTATTTCACAGCTTTGGGCTCATTATCGGTATGTCCCATTGACCAAAATGCAAAACAAGTGTTTTAAATTGACTCAAATGACCAGGAATATGCACGAGTATCTGGAGTGGGTCAACAAATGTCCTCCCCTCAGAAACATTCAATGCAGGTGCAGTATTAGAATGCATCGAGAAATACCACTGCACAGGAATCTACGGCGTGACAACAATGTTTATCGAAGAAATGAAGCATCCAAACTTCACACAAACGGATCGTTCATCCTTGAAGTAAGTCCTTCCATTCCACCGATTTTTCAACACAACCTAACAAGGCCCAGATTTGGCATCATGGCAGGATCAGCCATGCCCCCCGATCTCTTGGAAAAAGTCACAACCTCATTTCCTGTACCACGCCTCTACACAAACTGGGGAATGACCGAGCTTTCATCCATAACAACAATGACCCACCACACAGACCCGCTACTCAAACGCCTCCGCACAGCAGGCCGTCTCTTCCCAAACTTCATCGGCAAAATCTGCGTTCCGAACACAGGCAAAGTTCTACCATGGGGTTCAAAAGGCGAAATAGTGATTTCCGGATACGGCGTCATGGGCGGAGGATATCTCCACAATCCATCAAAGACAGCAGAAGCAATGAGAAAGCATAAAGAAGATATAGAGTCCCCTGGAGTCGGTGCAGTGGACAACAAAGGCAATCTTCGTACCTGGATGCATACAGGAGATGAAGGATATCTCGACGAAGATGGATATTTTGTGATAACAGGTCGAATCAAGGATATTGTTATTCGAGGTGGAGAAAATATCTCACCGGTTGAGATTGAAGAGTCTCTTTCTTCTCATGAAGCTATTGTTCAGGCCTCTGTTATTGGTGTTCCTGATGAGCGTCTTGGGGAGGAGCTGGCTGCTTTTATTGAGTTGGCGAATGATGAAATTAAACCTACGGATGACCAACTTCGGCAATGGGTTCAAAAGAGCTTGAGTCGTTTCAAAGCCCCGAGGTATTTTTGGTGGATTGGTGGCTCGCAAGGTGGAGTTCCTCGGGAATGGCCAAAGACTGCGTCTGGGAAACTTCGAAAGCCCGATTTACGGGAGGTTGGGAAGTGTAGGTTATACCATTCAATTTTCGTCTCTTTGAGTTCAAGTTAACTGACGCGTAATCGATAGGCTTAATATCACAATCACCCAAACGGGAGCCGAAGCAAGCCCGTCTCTAGAGGAGAATTACATAGGAACAAGCGATGCAGCTGAATTATGAGCACTTAGTGGTACACGTATCAACTTATGCCATGGAGATGCAGGACTTGAAAGAGAAGAGATTATGGGACAAGAATATTACTTTGAAAATTCTCGGTTCAATTAAAATAAATTAATTGAAAATTCCACAACCGGCCATGAAAATCAGAAATCGTAAAGTACCACACACGTGGGCATAAAAAGTACAGAACGGAAAATAAAAAGTAAATAAAAGACTGGCACGGTTAGGGTCAAATGTCCATCGTGAATCTGAAAGTAAGTCTCACTGGTCAGATTACTGGACACATGATGACTTCGATCACAGCGCAAAAAGAGCCAGGATCAAGCCAAGGGCACTAGCGCCCGAGGCACCCATCTTGATACCAGCAGCTGCATTCTTGGTGTTAGTTCCACTAGCATGAGCAGAGGTGGTACTGCCAGTGTGGGTAGTTTCTTTGTTGGTGGCTATTGAAAATGTCAGTATTGTGCTCTTCGTTCTCTCACTTCTGGTCAGGCATGGAAGGTGGCTCGAGTACTTACATTTGGTACCGCCAGTAGCAGTGGTGAATCCAGTCTCAGTAGTATGCTTGCCGGACTCAGTTGTAGTAGCTCCAGTCTCACTGGCATGGGTGCCAGAGAGGGTGGTGCCAGCGTTGGTGGTGGTGACAGAGTCATCAGTTCCAGTAGCTGCAGCACCATTGGCGGGGAGGAAGTGAGAGTTGTAACAACTTTGCTCGCAATCGGAATATTTCTTGGTATCTTCAGGAGTGCCAGTACCCTGGGGGCATGCAGAAACGCATTTGTTGGTGTCACTAGCCTGGTTGACACTGGGGCAAGGAACATGGTAGCACTTCGCGATGCAGCAGGTGTCCTTGGAGTCACCTAGAAAGGCACGAAGTTAGAAGTTTGGACGCAACAGCAATCTTCGGGTAGATTGGATGGACTCACAGCTCTTGGAACACTGAGCCTCGGCACTGGTAGTGATAGTCGAGGCAGCAGCAGTGGTGGTGGTGTCGGCCACGACCAGAGCCAGCAAGGCAGAAACGACGATGAGAATCAGCTTCATTTTGAAAGTGGTTTATGGAGATATGATGTTCAAGGAGAATATTAAGAGCCAGACAAGTTTCTTGAAGAGTGAAGAGAATGTGTAACGAGTGGATGTGGTGGTGGTGGGGGGAACGAGTGACTGAGAGATGGAGAGGAGAGAAGAAGAGAAAGTGAGAAATACATGTTGAGCCTGGGAATAAATACCACCCTAATTTCACTATTATTGTCATTATCGTCCCTATCCTAATTAATAATTTCCCCTTCTGATTAACAAAACACAATCCCCTAGAATAACAAGCACGGTGGAGCAGATGGTAATTTGCCCTGTCTCACATTAGAGTACTTTAAGTCCCGCATATTCTCGGACAGACCCGAGTCCCTCTTTATTCATGTTGCTGCATTATAGTATCATGTCCCTTCATCTGTAGTACTTCATATCTACAGTAGTACTGGAGCCCAGATACACAGGCACTGGAGGATCCATCCGCAGATCACATGGTACAGTATATGCCTGCAGCCAATAGATCTACCACGAGTACTAACATACCGTCTTAATTCCCCAAGATCTCTAGATAAAGTACAATCCTCTGGACCTTCAAGCAAAGTATATAATGTTGGCAACTTAAAGTTGCAGGGCTTAAGCAAAGACAGTCCTTGACACCTTATGTCTTGGACATATGGCAGAATGATCCAAACAGCCTACCCCAAGTCTCCCACAGTCATTGGTCGAATACAATTCGTACCTCCCCCCTCGCAGAGTCTTATGCATGTTTCTGGAAGAACCAATTCACCCGTAATTGTCAAGGGATTGACGCTAATGAAACCCTGACGGGGAAGTGGATCTATCAAATCCGGGGTGATCATCGCCTTGTGATTCGTGTGGCCAACGCCAGCACAGTAGGGGGGCTTGATCTCCATCAATCGGGTAAGCTAGTGCTAGTGCATGTACTTATCCGAGACTGTAAGGGATTCTTGATCTCCGTCAAATCATTTCCAGGCTTAATTTGCCCCTGCTGCTCTCGGCTCGACAACCGGATTGTTACAGTACCGAGACTTGTTGTTGTTCGCCCCTTTTCGTTTCTAGGCAAGGCTTGTTCATGTTTTGTGTTGTTATTGCTTTTTGCTTTCAACGAATGCCCATTGTGAATCTACCCCTAGCAACATACTAGTTCAAGAAACATCTAACGGTTTTGTATTCCACCTGCGTAGCTTCTGAGACAAGTTAATTTGTGGCTGGAAGTACATCAACTTCAAGTATGTTGAATATGTTGAATATACTTTTTTGGGTGAAAGAGTGACCATGATTCTGCAATAATAACATCTATCGGGCGTTAACCTCGGGGAATAAGCAGACATTCTTTATAGGCTTGAACGTCGAGCCCTTGTGCACCAGTGAATTTCTGGCTGAACCTTGACAATCTCGAAATGCGACTTGGTCATGGTGTGTGGTGTCACAACAAGAGATGATAGCCGAAACCCATGACATAGATGGAGAAATATCTGAAGAAAAACTTTTCAAGTAATCGATGAGTTTCATATGAAGCTCATAAATAGTTGAGATATGTTATTGAGGACTATTCTCCAGATAGATCGCAGTGTTAACCAAAACACCACAACAACTCCCACTGTGCCACATAATCATCCGGCCACGCCCCGCTATCCCCGTGCACACGCACCTCCACCTCCGCCATCAACATCCGCCCGCAAAGCATCACCGATCACCAATATACAAACCCCCTCCATACCCCCAGCATGGCTGATGCACAGTTTGACAGCGCGCTGTAAGGATTTCAAACCCCCCTCCCGTCCTTAAAAATCCCACAGCAACCCATCACCCCAGTATCCCCGCAATTCAATGCCCAACAACAACCCCACCTCAATACACACCTCTGAGGCCCTAAGCTGACCAGACCACCTCTAGCGATCTCCTCCGACGCCTAAACCCGCGAGACACCAAGAAAAACCTCCAATCCATCACAAGCATCGTCCCCGATCTAACCGAAGACCTCCTTTCCTCCGTCGACCAGCCCCTAGAGATCCGTCGATGCAAGCAGACAAACCGCGACTACCTGCTCTGCGATTATAATCGTGACGGCGACAGCTACCGATCACCATGGAGCAATGAATTCGATCCGCCCCTAGACGACGGAACCGTTCCTTCTGAGCGCGTGCGCAAATTAGAGGTTGCAGCTAATGATGCCTTTGATGTTTACCGGGATCTCTACTACGAAGGCGGTGTTGGGAGCGTGTACTTTTGGGATTTGGATGATGGATTTGCTGGTGTGATTCTATTGAAGAAGGGTATGTGGACACTAAAAGAACCATTTCTATCCTATCCATGTGGGGTTGGGTTTGGCTAATTTGTTTTTTGTTTCTTCAGGGGTGACTCCTGGTTCTTCGAGCTCAGGCGAGTGGGACAGTATCCACGTCTTTGAGGCTACCGATCGGGCTCGCATGTCCCATTACAAATTGACTAGTACTGTCATTTTACATTTGGCGAGCCAGAGCCAGGCTCTTGGAGAGATGGATTTGAGTGGAAACATGACTCGCCAAGTTGAGGTGGACTTGCCCGTTGATTCGGATGCTAGCCACGTCGCGAACGTGGGTAGACTTGTTGAGGATATGGAGTTGAAGATGCGAAACTTGCTACGTATGTGCCGCGGACCGTTTGCGTGTGGTATATCAGAGCTAACGTTGTTTGATTCTTTAGAGGAGGTTTACTTTGGCAAAGCCAAGGATGTTGTTGGTGAGCTGCGAAGTAAGCTAATACCGCCTGTCTCTCCATTCTTGCGAACAAGCACTAATCCGGTTTACTAGGCTTGGGATCCCTCTCGGAGTCAAATCGCGATCGTGCGACACAACTGGAGATGATCAAGGGTATGCAGAAATAGAGCCTCTCGCAATGATCTTCATGTCGATTTGATGGCTCTGCGAGCCCCTTGTAGACGGTCTACTCTTGCCCTCCAATTTTATGTCTTTGCATAGCTTTATTCCTGTGAACATGTTCACTTCGTTCATATACAACCGAGCTTGGAAACAACTCCAATGAATATCTATCCTGGTGGTATCATTCTTGGTATTTGAATTCTTTTGTTTCCGAATCAAGTATCTGTGGTCGCAGTTGTAATTGGGGTATCATTTTAAGCACAAAAGACATAGGTCCTGGTCTGGTCTCCGAACTCCGTAGGGATGGAAAAGGTCAGATTCGCAAATCAGTCAACCTGCATCTCCTCCGAATCCACACTTGGCTTCTCAGAGTCCAACTGCTCCACGAATTCTCGTGCCAATGTCCACAGTTCCGCCTCCTTGTCCTTCCCAACTGTATCCTTGCGGCTGTTCAGCCAACTAATATCCAAAGGATTAGCAGCCCCAGTCTGCTTTTTGGCTGCTCCAGTTCCAGCTCCGGCACCGGCACCAGCGCCCGCACCCGCCGCGGCATTTGTCCCAGCCATATCGCCAATGCGAGTATTGGGTTCTTGGATCAAAAGAGATTCTTCTTCTAAAGCGTATACTTGGCGTCGTAGGCGTACATCAATGGAGGATAGGAGAGCGAAGTATTGGGCGGTAGCTTCTTTGAACTGCGTTTTGTGGGATTCGAGGGAGCCGTCGTTGGTGGGGGAGGATGAGTCTGGCGCAGTGTTCGTCAAGGCTTGTATAGCAAGGCCAGCTGAATTAATGAGTTTTGTAACATCCTGTATCCATGAAGATCTATTAGAATGGCGTCTTCAAGCCGAAATGAGCTTGAACATACCTGATCGATGTCATTCAGTTGGCGGATCCGGTCTGTAGAGGTAAAGGTCTGGGTCTGGCCCTGTGCTGATTCTTCCATTGTGCAAGTATGCAATCGCAGTGTAATTCTCAGGCGTCAGGTAATTTCGAAAACCAGTATTCTCAATCGATGTTCAAAGGTCGCAAATTACAATCATCGTTGATAAATGTTCTGGGTATCGAATGAGTGTCTTGGCCATCACGTGTAGAATCTGGGGGGAACAGGCTGAATAAGCCACTTGCGGCATTCCGATTCCATTGAATATCAAATTCACTTCCCGCGACCAATCCTCTCCCTTTGATCCATTCGCCCCTTCCACATCTATTCGCATCTGATCGGGGTTGCGGTTCCCTAGTAACAATCTAATATTGGCATTCAAGTTGGACTAATCGCCATGTCCGCGCCCGGTGGTGCCCCTAGCCCTGTGCCTAGAGGCGGGAGCATGGGTCCCGGTCCCAATGGCAGCGGGATGCCAATGAACTCCCAGCAACCTATGTCAACAGGTACTCCAGTACATGGGCCGCCAACACCTGGTCCGCCACCCCAAAGTGGCGCTATGTCCCAGCAAAATTTAAATCAGATCGTGAGTGATGTCTTGTATAGTCCATTTCAAGTGTCATTTCTTGTTCCTTTCCCAATTGGGAAGCATATATTGTCTTGAATTGGGCTGGTGGGTATGAGATACCGGCATTGAGGCTCACTGAGTTTTGTCTGGTTATGCTTTCTGGCAGCATATCGTGTTTTGCGAGTGGGTTTGACTGCTAAGCTGATGTCCATGAGCCCATCTGATATGACTGAGGATACATGACTTGGAGGTCATGTGGATGGTCGAGATGAGATGAGTGACGCGCTTAATCATAGAAATTGTCTGCCTCACTTCTGACACTCACTTCACTGGTCAAACTCGAGGATCTGCACGTGTTTGACAGCCCAATTCACCCTTCACTCTTCACCCTTTCATTTCGTGCATCACATTTGAAGCCATATCTCTGATCCACCACCCCCATTTATCTGTTTTATTCCAATACCTTCTCTAGCCATGCCTCGAAAGAAGACTGGAAAGACTGGAAAGGGTCGGCGCCCTGTGAAAAGTGTTCCCCCCATAGTTGCACCTGGCGGCTTTGTGACTGCCAGTTCTGCCGAGCCTTCTGCCGAGCCTGAGGCTAGACTTGAAACTCATACCCCCAGGCTGTCCGGTCGCAATGGCGCAGCTAGCATTGTCATTCAGGGCGCTGTTACCCGCTACTTGAATTTTTCCCCGCGAGGAAGCGACACTGTCCGTTTTGATGATGTTGATGTCTTCGAATGCGAGAGCTAACAGAAATCTTGATTTAGGTCATCGACTATCTTGCCAAGAAAGGTTACAGCCGCACAGAGGCTATGCTTCGCATGGAGTCTGCCAACCAAGAAATTGATGGTCGTCCCCTTCCCCCACTTGGTGAAGATGCACGACCCAAGTTCAAGCAGGGCTTTGGTGAGTAATACCCCAAGTTTCCCCGCATCTGGGACATTTATTCTAACGACTCTCTTAGACCTTCTCAAAAATTGGGTTGAGGAGAACCTCGACTTGTACAAGGTTAGTGAACTTCAGAATTCTTGAACCGGGACTCAATTAACGTCTACCTAGCCCGAGCTTCGCCGCGTTCTATGGCCCCTTTTTGTTTATTCATTTCTCAACATGATCACATCTTTCTACCCACAAGATGCAAAGCAGTTCTTCGAGGCCAACAAGAACATGTTCCTGCCAGAGCACACAGATGACATTCGTGTATTTGAACCTATCAGTCTCCCTGAACACGTTCAAGACAACCCGGTAGCCAAGCTCTACCGCACGAACAAGTATCGAATTGTTCTCAGCAATCCCGCATACACTAATCTCCTTCAATTCCTTGAAAGCAAAGAGAAAGAAGGAGGATCAGTGATGAATGCTATCATGAGCAGCTACTGTGTTGTGAAGACGATGGATCGGGCTGCCGATGATAGATTCAGCTTTGCAACCATGCTCGGTCAAATTGGAGCTGGACAATCCTTCCCTGCCGAAGATGAGGGTATTCCTGGCCACCATCCTGGCTCCGCTTACACTGGTGATAACCCAGCAATGGCGGGTACCCTTCCGCGACTAAGACTTGGAAAGTTGCCCATGGAGCCTGCCATGGAGGAAGATGTTCGTGCCGAATTAGCAGAAGAGGATCTTAAAGAGCCTCCTTTGGCTGGACGCAGCACGCTCACTCAAGAGTTTGATCAAATGATCAAGAAGGAAGAAGAGGATGAGGCGCCTAGTCGCGCCGATATTCCCTTCCCTTCTTCGACTGCGCGTGATGTGCGAATGGAAGTCATGAAGGTTAAGGAAAACCGAGACCGCTTCAAGATCGAGGGGCGTACTGGTGGTGTGGGCCCTGCCCTCAGTGTGTGCATGTTCACTTTCCACAACACATATGATGGGTAAGCTTTTCTTTCTGCTCCCTCATTTATATTAACCTCTTTACTAACAAACATTCAGCATCAACTGTATTGACTTCTCTGACGACAATATGCTTGTTGCCGCGGGCTTTGAGCATTCATACATTCGTATCTGGTCTCTCGACGGCAAGAACATCGAAGCAGCCTACCCCGATGTAGACGATCAACCACCCGCCAACTCTCGCCGTCTTATCGGGCACTCAGGCCCCATTTATGCAGTTACTTTCCAACCTTCAGCAACTCGCGCCGAAAGCGTCGATCCAGATGACTATGTCCCCACAAACGCTCGCTTCTTACTGTCATCATCTGCCGACAAGACCGTCCGACTTTGGTCTTTAGATACCTGGCAATGTATGGTTGTGTACAAGGGTCACGACCGACCAGTCTGCGATCTGCGATGGGGCCCATTCGGACACTACTTCGTTACAGGTGGATCTGACCGCACTGCCCGTCTTTGGGTCACCGATCACATCCGCCAACAGCGTATTTTCGTCGGTCATGACCAAGACGTAGACTGCGTCTGCTTCCACCCCAACTCTGCATACGTCTTCACAGCTAGCTGCGACCACACAGTCAGGATGTGGGCCATAACTACCGGAAACGCAGTTCGTATGTTCACCGGCCACACTGGCAACATCACCGCAATGGAATGTAGCCGTGATGGCAAGCTTCTCGCTTCCGCCGATGACCAAGGCTCAATCTTCCTATGGGACCTCGCACCCGGTCGACTCTTGAAGCGCATGCGCGGCCACGGAAAAGGCGGCATCTGGTCATTAAGCTGGAGTGTCGAATCAACTGTCCTAGTTTCAGGTGGCGCAGATGGTACCGTTCGTATCTGGGACGTTACCGGCCCCCAAGACGCGACGCAAGGGCGTGTCATCGGCGAGGGCGCCGGTGCTACCAAGATCGATGCCACTAATGCGCCTGCTGCAGGTGCCCAGAGCAAGAAAAAGAAGGGCAAAGATGTTGTGGTGACTCCCGACCAGATCAGTGCTTTCCCAACGAAGAAAACACCTGTGTACAAGGTCAAGTTCACCAACATGAATCTGGTCGTGGCCGGTGGTGCCTATCTTCCTTAGATGCATCCCTCTTGTTCCATATCCATATTATAAACTACGGCGCACATACCCCCTGCTTTTTGATTGATTTCTTTTTCTTCTTTTTGCATGAGGTTGTAGCTTGATCTCAGGTGTTCATGGTTAAGTGGTCAAGGGTGGCGCAGATGAGCTCTGTTTTTTTTCTTTCTGTTTTTTGTTTGGCTCTCTAAAAGCTTTGTTTGCTGACAATGGCTGTCGATATGTACGATCAAGATATCATTTGATATCAGAATGGTATCACAACAGACGTGAGCTTCCAAGTACGATTAATCTTTCTTTAACTTCCGTAAACCTATTCGCGTCAAACACTCATAAATCTTGTAATGTGTCACTATCGGCGAATCTTATCATGCATTTCGTTATATTGCCTGAGTAAAGGCGACACACGTTCAATAAAGAAATATTCCAACTATCAATTCTATTTCAACTGACCCGCAAAATTAGAAGCACCAGACCCCTTCTTCATAGCAGCGGCAGCCTGCATATCCGAACCCTTAGGTGGCAAAACCAACGCACTACGGTCATTCCTCCTATAAAAGTCCGCCAAAACCTGTGCCGTCTTAGTCGGCTGATCCTCCTGCACAAAGTGGCCTGCTTCTGGAAAAACCTGAAGTTGGTATTTGCCTAATAATCCAATGAATGGAATTAGCATATGGATCTTTGTTTGTGAGCAAAAAACTTGGACGCAAGGAAATTATATACCTTGCATTTGACCAATCATGAGCTCTTTATCCAATCTATCCGTTCCAGCTAGTAATAAAAGCTTTCCTCCCCTGCCTTCGAGGAACTTCTTACTCAAGCCGATGAACCAATTTTCCCAGAATGGTTTCGTAGCTGATAGGTTGGTGCGCCAAATCCATGGCTTTGAGGGGTCGAGGGGTGATGTTTCTTCGTATAGAAGGGAGGGTACTGAGGCACGGGCTGAAGAGGTGTTGCGAATTGTGCGGGAGCGAGTGCTGATGATGGTGTTAGAGCTGTGATGACTCAAAATATAGGGATATGCTGAGGCGATACTTACTGCCATTCGATTCCTGATTCTACTGAGGGGAACCTGGTTGGTCGGGTAGAGAGATACTTCTCCATGCTTTGGAGAGCATCCATAGCGGATCCTAGAGATGATTAGTTCCAGAAACAGGAGAAAGGGTATTCGAAACAACTCACCCTCAACAACATCTAGCACTGCGTACGCCAATAGCTTCGAGCCCAACTCGCCATTCTTCGCCACGTCGGTAATGACAGCACCACCCAGACTATGGCCAACAAGAATGATATCCGGTAATTTGTCCCAGCTCATTCGCTCCTGAGTCTTCTGAATAACGTAGACGAGGTCGTTGCTCAAAGTCTCCAGCGTCAAATCTAGCTCAACATCATTATCGGCCTCGTGTTGCGCCGCCGTACCTGTAGAAGGATTCCCATGATCAACTTTCGAAGTACTAGAGGATATCGTCGTCCGACCATGCCCCCTCGCATCAAGTGAGAGAACTCCAGCGTTCGGAAGAATTTTCCGAATCTCCTCCGCGCACGTTGCAAACGAAAGGCCTGATGAGCCTGCCCCGTGATGCATGACGAACAACGGCCCCGAGCTCTTCGGTGAAGCAAGATAGACATGGTGAATGACGTATTGATGTTCAGACTTCTGGGGGATGAATAACTCGAGCTCAAAGAAATCCGTCCAAGAAGATGATTGTGAGGAATGCCTGTGGAGAATTAGCAAAGGTTCTCAAGTGAGAGAAATGAAAGTTTCGTAAAAAGCCAGACTCGTTGTCAAAAGAACATTCACAACGAGAAGCAATCGCCAAGTTTACAGAGGGGAGACGAACGCGTTTTTTGTTCGAGCGAATAGATGTCGCGTTGGTGACGGCATTAGGGTCCCTGTCGACGAAAGTGAGGATGCCGAGGAGCCATCCTCATCTATGCCGTTACCAGGTGCATTGAGTAATTCTGACATTGGTGCCTCCGGTGGGAATTTGGCCAATTTAGATTTGGCGAACGACTTCTGGAGCTCACTCATCGGGAGTCTGGGCCGCCGCGGGGTGGAGAACCCGTCGACCGTAAAAGCCAAGAATATGCGGGTATATCCCTCGGTATTTTGATACCCTCCGAGAGTTTTGTGGTGCAAAAGGGTAAATATAGGCTTTCTGTAATGATCTATAAAATTTGAGAGGTGCCTGAGTGTTGCTCGAAGCAATGAGTATGCACATGCATGGAGAAGAAGAAGAAGCTCTCTTTCATATAGAGAGATCCGCGCCATGTGATCACATGACCCGTCAGAGAAGACTATATATTGAATCTCTGATAGCTATCGCTGCAATAGAATTCTTTCGATTTCATAACTGTCACTGAATCAAATAAATCGAGTAATCAATTCATTCTGCCGCGGTTGTAGATCTACATGCGACCCAACCATCTCAAAAGAAGTGATAGTTACTAGAGATCAACCGTGACACGCAAGAAACGTTCCTATATAGCATAATTATTCGATTTAATAACGACGAAATATTCAGGCTCCCATTTGCACCGTAGATTCGCTGGCCCAAAGAAGCAAAATTCAATCAACGCCATGGTCTTTGTGACTGGCTTTCCTTCACAATATCCTTCAACCTCTGCTCCAATACCCGTCGGCCCTCCATATCAGTCCAAATCTCATGTGGAGCATCATGGACAACATCCCACGAAATAAGCTTGTGAGTAATATGGGAAAGATCCTCTTGCCGCTTTGCCCATTTTTCGTCTTTCATTTTCTGTCCAGAGCTGACTAAAACAACAGGAGTCTCTCCCATCTGAATATGGCGAGCAGACTGTACCTCAGCAGCTGTCATCGTAACAGCTACCAAGTTCTCTTGCAGTTTTGCTTTAATGAACTTCCCAGATTGATACGCTGATCGTCCTATTACACGGTCCTCGCGCGTTCGGCGTCGAAATATAGCCCCAGCTAACCGATCTACTCCCAATGGAGAGAGTATGCCCTGAATCCAGAGGAAAAATCCTCGATTCGGCTTGCCGATATCATCTAGATATGCCTCGTGTAATGGGTCGATGAGGAAGATTCCACTCACTTCGAGAAGATGGCGACTGGCGAATAGGCGGGAATAGAGACTGCCTACACCCGCTGAAACGACGACCCAGGGGCCGGTTTCTTCTGCTAAGGCCAACGCTTCGGATAATACATCTGTTGACATTCCGGCTGAATGGGGCGATGGGGCATTGTCTGACCATCCGATTCCTGGACGGTCCCAGTAGCAGTATCGGGCGATGGTTCCGTGGCGGTATGCATCGTCCATGAATGGTTGTAATGTATGTTCGACGGGGCCGTAGTCGCCTTCAAGTAGAATTGTCGGTTCATTGGCATTATCTTCTGTCCGATTTCCGACACAAGCAAGGTGAACTTGGTACGTGTCGCCGTATACAGAGTATAACTTTCCAGCTGGCTCGAGCGATACATCAATAGAACGGAGAGTCAACGTTGAAGTGAACAGAATTGCGGCAATAGTCATTACGGCAAGAACGACCATTTGGATTAAAATGACTAGCCATTCTCGTAGAGAACGCCGTGTCTCCTCGCGACCTGTAAGCCTCTCTTCTTCTTCGCGCTTGCCCCATGCTACAGCACAATTTTGAATCACTTGGTACAATGATATAGATGCTGCCCAGACAACGGATGCGATACCTACCCAGCCTTCTTCGAGTCTCATGTGTGGGACAGCTAGGATGATGATCATGTCTATCAATAGTAAGATAGAGAGAATGATACCCCAAATAGCCATGGGTTGAGATGGGATGGCGAAGAATAACAGGCCGAGAACGAGATATCCCGTCGCTAATGTTGTATATGCGAAGGCAAAGAAGCCCGAGCCACGTGAGTGCATGAGTGGTGGACTGACGAATATAGAGACTAGGAGGAATGTCCACCAGACGAAGCTTATGGCTAAAGCTAGTAGAGACAGGCCGCGTACGGCACGGACGCTCCATAGATTGTATGGTGATACCTGGATTTTGTTATTTTCATTTCTGAATGAATATCCTCGATATAGGTAACTCACTGCAGGATCATCAGGACTTAGATATCCCTGATTTTGCTCGGGCGGAAGTAGCCTTGTGCGCTCGGTTGGTTCATGAGATGTTCGTCCCCGCGGGTCCTCCGCACTTTGAATGTCACCATCGCCAGGCGACTCCTCGTGTGTTCCAGAGATGTCTTTCTTTTTTCTCCACAGGGAGCTCATATTGGGTTATTTGGTGATTTGACCTTGTACAAATAGATTTGGTGAAAGGGAGATCTGATATCATTTGTACTTAGGCTTTTGCCATGGTTTGTACAATGTGGAGAGGGAGATCAGGATCGCCAAGGTTAATAACCTTACTATGTAACTGACGTCATACATTTTTGGAACTTGTAACTGAACAAATCAGGGAAAAGGCAAAAGGCAGATGGTAAGGTTTGAGATAAGAAAGAGGGATTTTTGTATTTCTAGTTCATGAGTAGAGTTTTCTGGGCGACTAGAAGGTAACATCATCGTGAATATAGCCTCACGTAGAAGATTGGCTTCTTCAGTATATCTGAACATTTGCCACCAATCCCTTTCATCGACAACCAGTACCAGGATACCCTTTTTGAATTCACTAAAACACTTGTTGACTAAATCCTTATACAATGTACCCTGGTTATTCAATGTTGTAGTACCTCATGTATTGAACTACTTGAAGTCCACATGTGTGGCAGCTTAATGTACAATAATAGGACCAGCGCTAGCTTTTAGATCTATGCAGTCGGGATACTTAAAATACAGGCAAGAGCCACCTACTACAGTCACACCGATAATCAATATAGTATGACTACATCGGCGGCTGGCGTATTTACTCGCTTTGGCCTACTCGGGCCAATCAGGTTGGTCCAAGAGTGGGAAGCCTATCCATCAATAGTATGTACATGTACGGCAGCTGAGCTTGTTCCTTTCTTCCCTTCTTCAACGTTGATATTGTTTGTTTCTTTCTCCTTTTCCCGATAGAACTCTAGGCACCATATCACAGCTGTGTCATTGCCTTGTCTTCTTCTTCTTTCTATATATATCTCTCTCTCCAGATAGACAATGAGTCTTTTCTTCCCGCTTCACTACGTTCCCGTGTCCCTTCTTCGGAAGAGCCCATCGAAGCACCTTTCAAACCCTCAATCTATCTGCTGAAAATAATATCTGATATTGCTCAAGGTATTTCCCCTTCCACTGCTTGAGGTTGTCTTGAGTTTAACCATATGTAGGATGTGTCGGTTAACATACCGAGAGTACAACGGCGAAGGCGGCTGTAAATGCACCTATAATATTGGAATCATCCGTTGCAATGTATCTGAACGGCGCCTTGACAAAGCCTACTGCCTTCCTGCAAGCCGATCTCTTCGAAATTTTCCTCGCGTTAACGGCGAGAAAGATAGATTCTGGCCTGGAGAATGTCCACCCTGCAGCAGTCTCACTCCTAGCAGAACTCAAAGTAATGCTTGGCTACCATAAAGCCAGGAATCCAAAAGCTTTGCGCGCAAATCAGTAGCAAATCTACTACAAACTGAATTTGGAGTAACATATGGTTCTTCGATAAGTCTCAGTGACTGACATTTTGTAACAACCATCCCCGACAACTTATATTAGCCATTTTCCAAATCGCTCATTTAGAGCCAAGGCATCATGGCTTTTCGAAAAACATCATGATGTAGAGTGAAAGGCCAATCGTGTTAGTCGATCTTTTCAGGCTATGCGTTAGTCAATGGTAAGATGGGTAGTATACGTGTAATCAAAAGCGCCCCGCTCACCGTGTCGAACAAAACCGTAGATCATAAGACTTTAATTAAAGCTAATAAGAGTGTGATTGTATAGGGAGATAGTAAAGGTTGTAAGATTTAATGTGGTGGGATTGAAATGACATACTATAGATGGCTCTTGTAGTTTCACATGAGCGATACAATCGATACTGTACATGTGCTGTTCTTTTTACAAAGAGTGGGATGAACTGTAGTAGATAGATAGGTCTTTCTAAATTTCTTTCACAATTTATTTAGAAATTTTCATGAAGCAAGTTTCATTTTGTTGATTACACCTAGGATAAAAATAAAATAATCACAACATCGAAATAATAGTTCAACTCTCCCAGCAGTCCACATCGTCGGACCAGATCATGCCACCAGGTCACCTTTTCTTGACTATGCCTCCACTTTCCAGTCTGACTTGGCCGCAAGCATACCCAGGTACCACAAATCTAGTGAAACAGAGAGCTCGGTACCACCGCTCGTCAACAGGATAGCCTTAGACAAAGCAATTCGACCACTAGTGTCATCCCGCTTGATAGCAACAAGCTCTTGATCTGTAAGGATAAACCCATAACGTGTCCCACATCTCTCCGTATAGAGGTGAATTCGTGCTAACTCAAGGAGACAAAACCTCTTTTCCATCTCGCCCGCCGATGAACTTCCCCAATCCGACTTCCACTTCAATGAACCCTTGAGCCCACCTGGTAACCTGTTGGGGCCAGAAGCTCCTGTCAAATACTCTCCATCCAAAGGGCTGGCCATAAAGGCTAAGTCTGGGCTGTATGTCTTGATCGGCTCTGCCCTGTATGCCGCTTCAAGGGAGATGGGCACAAGGTCTCTTTCGGATAGCTCTGGCGCGAGTTGTTTGAAGGTTTCTTTGAACGCATATTTGACATAAAACTCGAGATCCATTCCTAAAGTGTACCTAAGGCTGTCTTTTCCCGGGTACACTCTCTGCGGCTGGGTGCCGAAGTAACGATCCTCCCATTTGAACTCTGTATCGAGAATGGATCCGTATTCCTGGATGATGTGGTCGTAGGAGAACTCCGGCCATGGGACGAGCTCGGTGATGCTCTCCGGGCAGCGTCGATTGGTAAATGGTTTCCAGTCTGTGCCGCGCTCGTACAGCTCCAATGCTTCGCGTGGCACGGAGAGAAAGTTGAGAAGTGAGCCGGTGGGCATGATGGATGGAAATTTTGATGAGATAGGAAGTAGGAAACAACCTTGGAAGTAGGAGAGCATTTTGGGAGAATATGAACTTGAGAAATTAAAACAGCAAATTGGGGAACTCGGGGATAAAACTACATTTAAGTGTAGCTGGTGCAGATGCAGGCGCTTATACAGGCAGCTATCAGGCAGCAGGATGTTATATCTCGAAAAATAGGATAAAAATTTTTAGGACTTAAATGATGAAAAGGGTTCAAGTTGCGCTGGATGAATATGTTCCATTGATATGCGAGACGAATTCATAACGATTCATCTACTATACTACCGCTCGAAGAGCCCATGTAAACTTGGTACCGAAACTCCGGACCATTCACCTCCATCTAAATTCATTAGGCCATCAATAACCAGTTTCCATCCATGCAAAGGCAATGATTTCAATTCGACGGTAGGCGTAGGTTTGCCTCGGTAGGCGGTGTTTCGTAGAAGACCCAAATAGGCCAAGAATGATATGCCAGAAAAGAAGGAACCGGGGGGCGGGTGAAGAAGGGCCGATTATCTCAGGCTAGTTCCCTTGAACCTTTTAGCAAGCTGTTCACCGTCGGACTTTGGGGACATGGAACGGGGGGTATGGGCAGAGGATGAGGGAGACCCAAGGTCGGTTGACGTAGGCCAGGGACGCTTAGGGGGGCGCTCACCACTCTCTTGAAGAATTGTCATCAAGGTTGCCCACCCGGGGGTATTCAATAGCTGGATTCCATCCGCGGGGGAGTGGGTCGTTGCGATTCGACACAGAAGACCTTCTTCATCCTAGAGTTTGAGAGATGTTAGCATTGGGCGTTGCAAATTATGCTCACATGTATAGAGGTACGTCTCTATTTTTGTTAAACTTACTTTGCCGAAGGTGGAAAGTCCATGCAGGAAGCACAGGAGGTGGAAGTCCGATACACCCTGAATAGCTTTGTCTGGGTCGCCATGAGACATGAGCTTCTGAGCCACATGTCGCAATTCTTGGCTCTCGCCAATGATCTCTCGGTTCGCGATTGGGAAGCGGCTATTTTTGAAAAGGGGGTTGGATTCGGTCGGGAAACCATGTGTAAGTGTTACCAATAAGAAGTCTACAGGGAAGCTTGGCTTTGCATTCTCCTGTACACTGGCACCGTGTTCATTGATGCGACGGAAGAAAACTTCAGGGATATAACGAGTCCTACTACCAACATCTTCATCTTCTTCTGACTGTACCAGCATAACGGATGGCTCCGCAGATGGCTCAACAATGTTTGCTCGTACCATCTCAGTTGCTGAGACTGTTGCTTGGTAAGAGCTCACAGCGATAGCTCCAGTATCATCACCGCTGAGTACACAGGTCACAAAGTCAGAACCAAAGCGCCCTGTTCGGCTCCATTTTGTGGCTTTGGGATTTTGTGCTTGAAGACGCGACGCGAAAGCAATTTCGAGGGAAGATAGGTAATAAGAGTCAATATGTCGCTTGCAGATGACAGAGCCATCTCCTTTGCCGGCGTCCAGAAGATCTGTGAAGATCACACCCACTTTCTGAAGGCCACACATAGTTGCTACCTCATCCACCTCTTTCTCATTATGCCAGTCATGAAGAGTTACACCATCTACCTCGTTCACTTGTGGGGGCTCGTAGATGGCCTGAACAACTGCCTTAACACCCAGCGGTACTTCTTTGTATTCTTCATATGTACCATAAAGGAATCCCAGTCGCTGAGAGCCCGATTTACGCCAAAAGTCCAGCAATGAGTTGATCAGGTCAGGTGTAGAGAATTCAACATGGTCAACCATGCGGTATTCCTGAGGCTGTAAGCTGATGGCGCTGGGTTGACACTTAGTGCAAATACCCTCAGGCCAAGCCGGGTGTCCTGATGGGCAATCCCGCCGTACACGGTAGTAAGGCTCACTCAGTGGAGGTATGAATGAGTCTCCAATCTCAGGTTTATTGGTAGCGGCGTTAATTTTGCGTAGATATGAATGGAAAGACAGATGCTTGATCTTCTTTTCGGACAGGTAATTCGTATCATATGGCTCCAAAGGCATGCAATAGTCACACATGCCTTTCTCGCCATGTTTGCACATACGCTGGTCCTTCTTTCGCTTAATCTTGCCATCTGTCTTATCCAGCTTGTTGTCCAGCGGTGATTGCTTGACCACATCCCATGGGTTTGCGATATTCGTAGTAGGTGATGTTGGTTGCGCGCGAATGGGGACGGTTTGTGTTATGGGTACTGAGGTGCCATTCAGTCGACGCTCCGTCTGGGTTGATGTATGCCCGTTCGTGTAGCCATTTTGTTGAGCTGTTCGATCTTGGTATCCGATAAAAAGTTTATCACCATGTCTATAAAAATCTAGGATTTAGCTCAAAGTTCAGCTATCGCAGAAATATATTGCTCACTTTAGGCCGACCTCTCCAATAGAAACTGCACCTAGCGCTTCCAGTTCCCTTTCTTCACCACCAGTGCCTATCGGCTTATTCGAAAGCGTGAGAGAAGTAGGCTCGACTTCTGAGGGCAGGTGTTCTAGTATCTGGCGGTTGAAAACGGACTGTCAGGAGAATGCTCATTTTGATAGGCCATATGACACTGTGTATTCACCTTCTGTTGTACGGTAGGGAAAAGGTCACTTGGGTTGACAGTAACTCGAAACTGGCCATTTCGACTCTCAAACCGAAGGAGAACTGGCCGGGCGGCCATATCTGGAGGTTTATACTGAAAATTCAACAAGGAACTACGTTTTGACCCGGCGAATGAGGAGTAGAAAGACGAGTTGAAGAGAGATGTCGGTCGGTCCAGCTGTTCTGGAGCTTGGTGCAAGTCACGTCACAGCCCGCGGGCGGTACCGTCACAGATTCACCAACTGTAGGATACCCCCGCTAAATAATTCTACCGCCCGTAAGAAAAACGGTGGTCACCAAAATAAAAGCGGCAGAACGAATTGTATGGGCAGTAAATTGACAAAATAACAGTATACAGATAGCTCATGGTATAACAAAATCTACAACCAAGGCTGTATTATAATTCTGTTGCAAGTTGAAATAGAGACCTGCGCAGTGGGCGGTTTGGGACAAAATCTTCCCCATGTACTAAATCCACTGTCAATCCTGCCGATGATGGGCTTGGGTTATCTGACGTCCCAAGTTGTATATTCTGTATGTATTACTTTATTAATAAATATATTTTTATGGAAATATTGATCTTTTTTGTTGTCCAACTTTAATTAAATGCGGTCGGTAGACAAAAATGAAAAGATTCATAAGAAAGATAAAGAAAAATGTAACAGGATTAATCTCAACATCGTGGATTCCTTAGACGTTAATTTCTTCCAAAACGTCCTTTGCTACTGCATATTTCCCCTATGAATACCATTCATCGGAAAACTCTCGAACCTTCTTGATAAAGTTGTCTCGGTACAACACGTTCTTCAAAGGAACAGTGCATCTAAATCAAAACTATATCAGCCTTCTCGTTGTAGATTCCTGCGGTCCTGGGCACCTCTGGGAACAAGACCAATTTACATTTCATTGTCAATGGTTGTAAGACGATATATCTCATGTGGAAAGTCCTCTGGCAGAGAACCTCCAACTTCGTGTTGTTCTTTGTCAATATCATTGATAATATGAAATCGCGTGGTTAGGTCATCAGAAAGTGAAGGTTGGTGGTGCCACAAATTCTTGTCTTCTTCTATCTCGTCTTCAGAGCGCCCATCGGATTTTAAATAAGCCTTTACACACGCAACCTCACCTGCGTGGGCCATGAGTGGAAAATCGCACTCCCGGAGATGGAGGATAGTTTCTTCGCCGTCAAAGTACGTCTTAGCAGTTGAGATAGTATAGAGGAATAGGGTAAGTACAGAACATTGAACGGGGAAACTATTTTGTGGGGTGAGACGTATCTATAGTATCCCCGCACAGGAGAGCTGCAGTTTCAGGTAATATTGGTATCGGACGTATGCAGCGCAATGCGATTGATCCAATTGCATTCACAGCTGACAAAATGCTGCGCAAATCATCTCTTCATGCAATTGGTTGAACTATGAAGCTCACATAAGCATTGAAAGTCTACACATGACATTGAAAAAGAATAGAGTACGATGGGGAGGTTATCATTCATTCAAGATCCTAATTAACCATCAAGCAATGTTTCATAGTTGTATGTCATCATAATTCGAAACGCCTTATTCAACGCCTTTCACGAAGCCTGCAAAAGAAGAAAGAGAAGAAGAGAAAAGAGAGGAACCTAATTACATGATAGCACACTTCTTAGGCAACCCGCAAGGTCCTTCACTGCTCTTCTCCTTCTTTGCCGGCTGCGTAGTCTCCTGCTGGGCGGGCTCCTCAGTTGTCTTAGTAGCCGCTGCAGCAGTAGGGGTCGCAATTTCGGGCTTCGACTCGCCACTACCATGCAGTCACTGGGTGGACTTGGCGACAGTCTCGTAGAAGGTCTTTCCCTGGATCTCAGCAACCTCGAGCTCGAGCGCGGAAGGCTGGCGGGAACCATCGGCACCCTATTATGCATTGATTAGCATGAACTCATCCGAACTTCCAATTACAAGGAATATTTATACTCACAGCGAAGGTACCAGCGCCCCAAGGGCTACCACCGTGGATCTCGGTGAGGTTGGAGAGCTGACCGAAGGCGTTCTTGTATCCGAGGGGAACGTAGACGAAACCGTGGTGGACGAGGGTGCTCATAGTGGAGATAGCAGTGGACTCCTGACCACCACCGAGGGTACCGGTGGAGATGAAAAGACCAGCGTGCTTGCCGTAGTAACCACCAGTGGCCCAGATAGAGCCGGTGGCATCCCAGAAAGTCTTCCACTGAGCAGGGAAGTTACCGTAACGGGTGGGGATACCGAAAAGAACAGCATCGTACTGCAGGAGGTCGTTGGGCTCGGCAACGGGGTAGCTGGACTTAGCAGGGGCGTGCATCTTAACCAGGACCTCCTCAGGGAGGGTCTCGTTGATTCTAGACAATCAATTAGCATTGGGATCGCAATGGGGTTCAGCAGACAGTCACATACTGGAAGATGTCAGCCTTGCCACCAGCGGCCTCGATACCCTTCTGCTCGGCCTCAGCCAGCTTCTGGATGTGGCCGTAGAGGGAGTACTGTGATTGGGAAACAACATATTAGTCAATTGCCCAAGTAGAGATACAGTGGGCGTCAAGAGGTACTCACGAAGACGATAGCAACCTTGGGAGCCATTGTGAGCGGTGTTTTGGGATGGTAAAGCGGGGTGGAGGGGTAAGAAGGAAGTGAAAGAAGGGATGAGGTTGAATCGGCGAGGGGAAATAGGCAAGCCTTTATATTTCCAAGGGCGCCGTCTTTCCCCAAACCTCCTCTCAACTATGGTACATCCTGCGCCATACTGCAGACTATGTGACAGCTAGTACCAATTGGCGATTGCAAAGCTTCACGCAACCATATCAGTCATGGATGACCGAGCAACCGTTGGCAGTGATTGGTGACAGTGGATCCACCCGGGTTTATACGGGTTTAGCTCAATGAGTTGAGTCTGACCGATATCTGACAAATGGCACAATAAGCAAGCACGCTTTCCCCAGCAGAGGATTCCACTCGAGTCTACAGAGCGGAAATAGATTTTAACTCTTTTATCCGTAATGTCGATCAATATTACTATCATTATCTTAGTTGGATTTTTGTAATCCATCCTTCTTTGCTCCCCTCTCCCCTTTTGACCGCTCTTTCATGATGTCATGACCTTACATTATGATGCGAGACATTCCTACAGAACAATATTCCCCAAAAAACGCCAAGCGCTTATTCGACGCCACGATTTAGTAGTGCAATACGACCTCAAAACAGTTGAGAACAGTTGAGAATGCAGGGTCTATCCATTTAAGGTTGATAGCGGGGCCACAGATACTAAGCAGGAACGAGACAAAAAGACCAATTGATCTGTTCTAGGACGAGATAAAGATCAAGATTAGGTTATGCTGCATGTTGTACAAACGAGCCCTGGAAGCTAAAAAGAAATATAGAAGAGAAAATTGCCATATAATAAATCCGGGGTATCGTGAAGCCAGTTCATCAGGAACTGGAAATATATAAGAAGAAAATTGGATAACGAAAGGAAAAAAACGAAAAGTGAAACATGTCAGCGGTAAACAATGCAGCAATTACGCCCCTCGCACCATGCAAATGCAACATCGAAAACTCGCAGAATATCGGCGGGTAGCTATAAGAAGGACTCCAGCTTTAACCCCTGCCTCGTCCACGAAAGCGCCCTCGCATGAAGCCGCCGCCACGTCCACGCTCACTGCGCCATTCACGCTCTCGCTCCTTCTCACGCTCCTGCTCTTCTCGAATAAGAGCCCGATCATGTTCCAACTCCTCCTCCGTTTTCTCAGTCCGAATAGTAGGTCGAGGGAGATTCTCCGTCCATCGAGCATGTGCATTTGGACAAGCTTTGCCCTCCGGACAAAATCCACAGAGATAGAATAGACAAAGCTGACGGCGAACATGTCGCTTAGCACAAAGCGGTCCAAGCTCACAGAATCCACGATCGTAATGTTCACATGGTGGCAGACGAGCTTCCTCGCGAACATGTTGGTATAGACAGTCGTCGCCGTTGGGACAGTATCCGGAGCGCGAAAAAGATTGACACTCCGGCATACGTCGTAGATTGTACTCGTGCAGGTATTCGCATTTGACGCCCTTCTTGCAAAGGCCTTTCAGGAAATGCTTGCAGACTAGAGACCCGTGTGTTGTTGACGGTGCCATTCCGGAGGCAGTGGTTGTGGATATGGTAACTCGAGAGGGTGTTGGGTGTCGGTCGGGGCAGGCTGGGCCTAGCGGACAATGGCCTTCGCCATAGGCTTTGCATACAGGTACGTCGCTAGCAAGGCCAAAGCCGAAGCTTTTTCGTAGGAAGGGAGTGAAAGAGAAATCATCGTAGCTTGGATCACGCGTAGGTTCAGCGGACAGGATGCGCGTAGCAGCGCTATGGACGTCGGCCGTCATGCTGATTTAGAGGAAATTGAAACAAATTCAAGGTAATAGATATATTAATGAAGCCTGAATGGTTCTGGCGACAGTCGATATATGCGCAAACTGAGAACAATGAGCTTCACAATCAAGTTAGCAGAGCTGACAGAGTGAGGTCCTTTGGTCTTCCTTAGAAATCAACTGTTTGATGTGTTTGCATTATTGCCTCCCCGATTAGTCATATTTTAATTTCTGCCTGATTCGTTGGGGGACAATAGACACCTAAGGGGTCAATATATGCCTCGGCATTACTTTCTATGACTCCTGAAAAAACCACCATACTTAAACTCGTGACAAAGGACATCGAACTACAGCATTCTAGCTTTGAATTGCAAAAGCATGTTTCCACGTTGCTATGCCTCTCTGCTCAATCTATTACATAGCCAGTGCTTCAACGCTGCACCCTGTTGAGTCTCATGCTTATCACCAAACAATGGCCATATAAGCGGTGCAACATGGCATTCCTCCTGACCAGCAACGAAGGTTGTGTCGGGGTTTGATTCCTGCAAGCTGTTAGCGAAAGCGAACTTCTTGATAAATATAAAGAGACTACAAGCACAACGTGGGTAACACACGCTAAAAGCCGTCACCCAGGCCTTGATAGGATCCAACAGCACCTCATCACCCCCCGCCAACACAAGGGTTTGCTCCACTTGAGCATCTTCCCACCAAGAATCAGGCGCATTAACTGCTTCGATATGAAAGCTCGTCGATTTTCCATTGAGATAATCCAGAGACCATCTTTCCGTAACTTTTCTTGCATCGATGTCCTTATGCGCATTGTACACCATGCTCGGCCAGTCATGTCGGAAAGATACCCATGGAGACAAACATACAAGCGCCTTCAGTCGTCCACTTATTTGCAATTTCGGGGCATCTGGTGATGGATGCGATAGGTGAGAGAGAATTGCAAGGCATAAATTCGCACCTGCCGAGTCACCCAGGAGAATAATGTCCTTCGGAGAGCGACCGATGTCCTCAATGACATGTCGTAAAGCTTCTACCGCCTCACAAAACTGTGTTGGATATGCTGCATGTGGTGCGAGCGTGTAGGTGACATTCAGCCAAGCGGTGCTGGTACCGTGCTGCGACAGGGTTTCTGCTACACTCGACCAGAGATCTAGATACGCCTCTGTCGCATCCATTGCAAAGCCTCCGCCTTATATCACATGGTTTAGTCCCCATTATTCATCACGAAGGCAACTGATCAGAACATACCATGAAAGTTGATCACGACGTACCCAGCGGCGGGATCGCCCATCCAAAATCCACGCAAGCCACGCTCGTTCAAGACGAAGATAGGCATGCTCCCAGTCTTTTTGCAATGTTCCAGGTAAAGCTGGTTATAGGACTTGAAAAGATATCTAACTCCAGAGTCAGTTTACATAGACATCTCAAAGTGACAATAGTCCTCACTGAAGCTGGAGCGGACTAAATCGTCGCGTAATCTGGCATAATCTGTAAGTATGTGGCTGATAGAGACTTGACTATTGACTGGGAAACTTACTGCTTTGACTGTTGCTTGAATCAGGTGGTGGTGATAGGTATCGGCCCCTGTGGCACCGCGAAACGGCCCATGAAAAACAGCATATAAAATGCTTGCTCCTTGATGGATGACCATGGATTCAGCGAAAATAGACAAACTATTTGTCTGGTGTTGATCAGCATACCAACATAGAAACAGCCAAGCCAGGCATCTACAATTTCCCAACAGCTAATCGCGCGTTTCATTACAGCGACCTGCTTCGGATATTTCCAAGGTCATTTAACATGCAGCCTATTCATCAGACAAGTCATGGAAAATCTTTTTAATACGGGCGCATGCTGCAGCTGACTCGCTATAAAAAAGAATGCACGGCGGATTGATTAATATTCAATTTCAATCTGCCGAGGCTTGATATGTTATGCGATCTCGGATGTTGATACATGCACAATGATCATATCACCGACTAAACTACCTTTGCCTTCCGTGTGCACAGTTCATAGCATCATACTGTTCATATCTCCCTTCGAGAGCCTATTCATCACCTCCAAGTCCCTATTTTTTTCTCCGGCCTAACTCCCACACAGCCCCTCAAAACAGCCGCATCAATCTATTCACAGCCCCATCCTCATAAGCTTCTCTTGCCCTTCATCAGTAAACAACAACAACCCATTCCAATACCCAACCGCCCAAATCATCGGATACCTCCAATGAAACCACATCGGATGTCCCTCAGCCCCAAACCACCCAAAATGCCTATCCAAATTATAACAAAGATAATTGCACGTACTCAGAATCAACAAGGACAGAATCCCCGTAAATTGCGCCGCCTTCTTGCCATAGTAGTGATCGACAATGAAAACATTGATCAAGCCGCCCATTGCACCTCCCATTCCAAGTGGACAAAAGACAAGCGTCCACATAACTTTAAAAAATAGGTCGCGAGTACCGGTCATGATGAAAACCCCAACGGCGAGGAAGATTACTTCAGCAAAGACGGAGGAGAGCCAGAAGAGGAGGAAGGGGCGGATGTAGATTTTGCGTCTTTTTTGGGCAGTTTTAATGTCGGCTTCGCCGGTTATGATGGGTTGGTAAGTGTTTGTTGCCATGGTTTTGGTATTTATTTCAAGTTGAGCTTGAATAAGTGGTGGTTCCGTGATGAGAGACAACCTAAGATCACTTCACTAAAGGCATCCTTTTATAAAACCGGAATCGTCAATTATGCATTATACGTGGCTGTCCGGTCGTGTGAACAATTACTAGAGTTACTACGCATAATTGCTATATAATTAAACATTTTGAACCGAGGCCAAGGTTTATCCCCGATACTTTCCAAGGTTAAGTATACTTCTGGGCCGGTGGATCAGTGATATAGTATTGATGAGTGATCATCCCGAGTGCCGAGATTTAGTCCCTGAGCGACCGAATCAATCCTCCCCTCATTTTTCCTGTAATACGTATGCGAGTCATAATTTTTCTATATTCTTTTTGTGGACAGTCGTACGACCTCATTCAATATGGACAGAATGCAGTCCCATGGAGCCACCAAGAAGCCTCGGAGTAATCGGCCAAGCGAGCCTAAACAGTCTACGGGCAAAAACAGCGTAGATAAGAAAGAGGTAAATTTGAACCTTTCATCAGCCACACTTGAGCAGATAAACACATTTAATGAACAAAGGAAGAAGGATAAACTAGCCAATGAGTTAACTCGTATACAGCTCCGTCGGCAACAAGTTCGCCTGGCGCAACGAGCTTACCGGGCACGAAACGAAGCACAAACCAGAGCGCTCCAACAGCGTGTCGCCCGGCTAGAGTCTGCTCTAGAACGAACAAGCCAGGCAATGATCTCATTTACGGATGTTCTTGTTGGGACTCAAGTCCTTCCGTCGCATCAGCAGCTTGCACATCGCCTTCGTGACACCGTCAAAACATGCCTCAACTTGGCGATGTATGGGGAAGATTGTGCGACAGATGCTCAGTATTCAAGAACGCCCGAACCATCGCCAATCGCTGATATAACAACAGACTCAGAAGCACGTACAGAGCGTGAACATAATGAGCAGCCTTTATCGAATGAGTACGCTGGTTTGGGTATGCTTTCTTATAGCCCACTTCTTCCATTCGTATCAGGCAGCTCGACGGTGATAGAAGTACCAACCTTCGTCAATCGTCTGAGAATAACATGTCTTTACCAAGGATTTCTTTTACTCAATAACCCCACAGTACCCCTCGAGGCCTTAAAGCGGCCATTTCGACTACTTCTATCACTCGTGACACGAGAAACCATCACATCGTACTTTCACGCCTGTCTATATGCAAGATTGAACAATAAGCAACCAGATCGCTACAGCTGTATACCATGCTTCAAGTTGGGTGGGGCTGGTACTCATTACCCTGAAGCTGGATTTGAACAAGAGGTTTCCCCTATGATCTATAATGCTTTATCGGCTTTCTCGCCGGAAGCACAGAAAGATCTTGACGGAGAATGGTTCGATGTATTTGACCTATTGGGCTATTTACGAGCACGAAAGGTTGCCCTGTATATGGTACCACCGGTCAAGGATAGTACATATCGCACAGTAAATGCGATTAATTTCATGGCAGGTGAGACTTTCTTTTTCCGGTGATCTGATTTTGATGGCAAGGGTTAATTTAATTATGATCAGCTCTGATTGAAAAGGTTATATGCTTGGGACACAGTCCTGGATTTAAGCGGAGCGACGTCGAGGTCGCAATCGACTCTTCATCCTGGGAGTAAAGTATAGCTTTTCAGGTCCATAGCTCTAAAGCATATAGCCATTGCTTCTATCTAGCACAATCCAATACAAATATAAAATCACAGCTTTCCCCCATCCAACCTCCCCTTTGTATTCCTCGTCGGATCAACTGCCAACGCGATTTGCGTACTCGTAGCAACTAGCTCACCCTCTTGATCAAAGATAAGCACCTCCAAGTCCGCCCGACTCCCGCGAACCATCCTCGTCATAACGCGCGAATGTAACCATTCCACACCTTGAGGAGGAAGTCGGGTCTTCAAATCGATATTCATCGTCACAGTCGGATACCAAAATTTCCCCAGTCCCAGGTTCGTTGTAAGCCTGACAGCATTACCGTCTCGGGAAGGACCCGCGCTCTCACCCGTAGCAACAAGTCTCGTTTCCTCCATCGCGCCTATTCGATCCAGTCCCGCAAGAAATGAATCTGCAAGATAAGATACCGCTTCATTCGACCATCGTGCGGGTGTTCCACCAGGCGTGAACTGAACCCACTGATCAACCACTTGCGTAGCACGCTCTTCGACCGTCTTCGGCAACAATGTCGAGGATGGACTATATACCTTGAGATGTTGCGCCGCATGAATAGCAGGAGGTGCGTGAGGACCTGATTTCCAATCTCCATCCATCCCATTCTCCGCTAGTGCTTTAAAATCGATGGAGCCGCCCGACAACGACCCTGGTGCCGGAGCCGGCGAGAGATGATTACCCCACGGTCCCTTGACAGCTGGGCCTTCCTCGGTAACCGGCGGAGCCAGAGTTATAAATGCGAAAACTTTCTCCTCGAGCTCACTCTTCTCCGGCGCATTGGTTTTAGATCCAGCTGTAGCAGCGCGCTCATCCCGCGCCTGAAAAAGCGTAACTTGAATCGTGCTAATCCTCGCACCCAACTTGATTTCCTGGGCCTTCAATATAGCAGGTCCGGCAAATGTCCTGCGCTGAAAAGTAATCTGTAACGCAATGGGCTCGGGAGAACGAGCGCCCCATCTATTTTTGGTAGTGGCTAGTTGAGTGAAATGTGTCGCGGCTGTCCGGTATAGCACACTGGCTGTGTAGCCTCCATGTGGGACTAGATGGCAGGTTAGTTTCCGGATAAGATGTCCATGAAAGGAAGCTCATACCTTTCCCAACAGACCATGAAGGGTCGAGATATGCCGAGTAAGTATTATCCCCAATTGGGTTCACGGCGATTGCCTTCTCGAATGTTGACGAGTGGCTTGGTTCAGTCATGGTTAGTGGTGTCCCTGTCGGTACGAGAGGAGATTTTGGATTTTGAGTAACTTTTGAAACGATGAAAAGGTGGGTTTAATGTTGACAAAGTCCGGCTTTGTTGTCATGATTTGATTGAGTTCTAGCTTCGTCGTAACTTTAGCGTATTAGCGGATAATCTGCATATGCATGCCGTGAGCCGAGGTTCCCGGTGATTCCTTATCGTCGGAATGCACCACTCATCATTCCGAGGAGAGGCGCCATCATGGAATAGAACAAGAGCCCCAAGAGCGATTTTCGGGGGTTTTTTTTGCAGCTTTGAAGATTTTCTTCTTTTAAATGTCTATGTGAACAATTCAAAAACAGTTGCCCCTGAAGCTATATGTGAACGGCAAAAATGATGATGATAATCATCATTCTCTTGCTTGTATATAAAAGATCAACAACTAGTATGCTGGCCGTTGATAGTCACACACGTAGTTGCTATGAGATACATTTGTATGTTCAAGTATTAAATTTGTCCTCATCACTCTATTCTACTCCGGAAACGCCGCTATGGCACCTCTCAAAATCGCGTGAGGGTTAATCCTTCTAGGATATCGAGCTTTCATATCGTCCATTAACTCCTTCCAACTCGTCGCCTTGGCCACTGCATCTTCAAAATCCAGTATGTATTTACGCGTCTTCTGCAAATTAAAAAGCCCATCTACTGTCCCCGCCCGCTTATGCCCGGCGATCACCGTATGCGGATCCAACGCTTCAACCGTGTCCAGCGCACGTAGCCAGTCCATCCGCTTCTCGGTGGTGTTCGCTTCTCCAAAGAACTGATGCACATCACCATATACTGCATCTCCAGCAACGACAAGTCGAATGCTGGGTACATGCAAAACAGTCGTGTTATATGTATCAATGTTCCCGACTTCGATTGCACATAGTTCGTGGCCTTCAATGCTGAAGACTGAAGAGCTCATGGCTTCCGCTATCTCCAGAGTCATTGGAATCTGGTCACCCGGAAACAAAGTAAGCCATGTTTCCTCGAAGATCTCCGGCCTTAATTGCTCTTCATATGTTCGATTGTACCCGGGGTATCAAGAACGCGCAGGCTAGGCCAGTGCTTTCGGAGGATGGTCGCACGGAACCAGTGGTCTCTGTGTCCATGGGTGATGGTAAACGTAGCGTAGGTCTTTTCCCGGTGCAGTTGCTTTGATCCAAGCAACCAAGTCTTCGGTTTGAGTAATTGAAATAGGCGTATCGACTAAGACAGCTTCAGAATCGCCGTGAACCAAAGTACAGGATATTGGAGAGAAGCAACTTGATTCCCCCAGGCGTTTACTGCGAGAGGCAGACGCGAAGAAACATAAACGTTGGCTTGGAGAATAGATGTCATCACCATAATAATTGACAGGTATGAAGGAAGGAAGAAAGACACGGAGGAGAGGCACTGTAGGGTTAAAATGTTGGCTTTTTATCTCTTCACACATCCTCGTTTGCCCGTCGGAATGCTTAGTGAACACACCAACTGGTACATACTACAATTCAATGCAAGGCTTTTGTTGATCATCAATGTAAAGACATATTCAAGTGATACCTCGGCATAATCGGCTCAAAAATGAATAGAAAGAGTAATAAGTGTAGGAACATAAATCTAGATTTCAATCTGCAGCACAGTTTATATTCTGCACCGGTCTAGAGAACACTATTCAAATTGTGCACAACAACGTATCAACTACTCTGGCACATAAAGAAAGTAAATTGGGTAATATTCCTAACACAAACTAGAACATGCGACGGGGTATTTCATGACTAACTTAGTTAACTTAGCTCCGGGAATTACAAATCAAATATCATCACTAATCAAACGCTAGCTCGAATCAGGTGTATACCTGCGTCGGGAATAAGCAGAAGACCAGGTCTGACTCTTAAGAGCATAAATAGACTCCGGCCTCTTACTGAGATCCGATTAGACTCACTCTCTTCTCCGTATACTCTCTATCTTTCAGTTTACTTGAGCAACAATTTTCATTTTCCCAATCCTGACTTCGATCTCCGATTCCTCTCTATACTCCTTACAATGACTGATAACCCCAGTGTTGAAGAGCTTTTAAAGCGCAATGCGTAAGCTTAGCTAATAGCTTAGATTCTCGAGGCGAAGCTGACCGCAATTAGTGAACGAGTCAAAACTTTTGAGCCAATATTATCCTTAAGCGAAATTAATGAGCTTCCTCCGGACCAAAGCTTGCCAATGCCAAAGATATTTATCGGTAGAGACATTTCCACCAGTTGTGAAGAACTTGAACTTGAAGTTGACGGATTCTGACTTGAGTCCACCATTAGTCTCTTGTTGCGATCCTCGCATAGACCCTTGGGATATCTTGGGCCTCGAAAAATGGGGTGCCTTTTCTTTTCTTTACTTCGGATAACAATTGTGGTGTACTGACATATATTTCAAGATGCCGTCGTGACTCGTGGAGCCGCTGGCCGCATGGCTCCCCAGTTTAACAATCTGCTATTCCTCGATCATGTCTTACAATTCACCGACATTATGATAATACACCATACAGGTAATTTAAACTCTGAGTGTGGAAATTTCGTTTTGTTTTCTGTTTGTCTAATTGAAAATACGATGCAGATTGCTCTGCTGAGCTTTTTTCAAATGCGGACGTTTGTCAAGCGCTTGCCATGCGTGCCCCAAACGCCAGTGGCAGTGTCCAGGACCTTACACTCCCGGGATTTGAAGAGTTAGTCTAATTATCTATATCACTTTGGAAGCCAAATTTACTCATACTAATCCCACATATACAGTCTTGAGCGGAGTGTTCAAGAAGATGTGCAGCTTGTCAAGAATTCTCCACTTATCCGAAAGGAACTTGCCGACCGAACCTGGGGATTCATATATGACCTGAAAACTGGCGCAGTGAAGCCAGTTCCTGAATTAAGTCCGGTCTGATTTTATGACATTGAGTATTCAGACCTTACAAAGCGTTATATCCTGCCATTCGAGTCGACTTAGATGGTTTCGAAGATCTCAGTAGGGCATAAAAAATCCTTTGTTTCGCATATAGGCCAAAATGGCATTATCTGATATCCTGCTCTCTGTTCCTTTCTTCAATCGTCCCGTTTCAGATTTTCATTCTTGAGATTCTACGAGCTCAACTGCGCACATTCAATTTGTTGGCATTCTGCATGGGATGCGCAAGAAAATTCCCGAAGGCATTACGGCAGACCGTGTCAAATGTTATGAATCAGATCTTATTTTCATTGATTAGTTACATGTACATTTGTTTAGGTTAGGCTAAAGCGGAGATTGTTTCATCGAACAGATTTGGACTATCTTTCCGCAACTCCGTAGGAAGTCCGGGTGTGATGCGTGCTTCCCTGCTTATCTTACGTACAAGTCTACATAATCTCCAAGTTCTGGCAACTTCCCAGGGTTTTTTTTCATAGAGCTGACGATGCCCCCTTTCGCCTTCCACTCGCTGTACCTCGAGGCTGTTAGTTAGATACAGTCTTATCCATTTTATACCTTATTCTATATGCTCCAGACCTTGGCAGCCTTTACTCCCTGTGGTCTTTGATTCCGGCTCCGTACTCCGTACCCCGCTCGAGTGGGAATCTAAGAGTAAGAAAGAAACTCCACTGAAGTATCTACGGGCACGGGGATACTGAAAATTCCATGCAATGCTTACCGGATCTTCTCTTCCTTCTCTTTATCAGTATGCCACTGAACCCGTTCCGACCGCACGAGGGTCCCCCAGTCTATCAGGAAGAATATCGAAATACCAGCTACGTACCGAGTGTTATCGAAACAGCATATGGTTTCCAACTTGTCGCACCAGATACTCCATATGTGGCAGCAACTGGTCGAAACAAATTATACTTTATCGACACCCGTTTCGATAATGAGACCGCTCAGCATATCAAGAATCAAATTGAAAAAGCAACCATACCAATCCTGGACCAGTGCATTGTAATAGACGAGATTGCGGCCACAGCTAAACGGAGAAATGGCGAAAATGGCGAAACGACGTTTGTGTTTGACCCTCTATATGCCAGATTTATGTTTGCGAAGGGGATCAACAAGCGCAACCCAGATATCAAATTACCTGAATATGAGAATGAGCCTGATGGCGATTGGCTTGTGGCTTGTGGCTTATGATCTGGATAATATAGGTAGCGCAGGTAAAATAAACGCCGCTGCTATTTAGAGGTCCAAGTAGCAGCTTTTTCTGCAGGAGTTCCAGGAGTATTTTCAAATTTTCCTTGTCCTAATACTGGTTGAAAATAAACGAAAACCCCGCCTGCACTTTTTGGGTATCTATATCAATTCTTTGTGGTGGGAAAGGCACCGAGCCCGATTTTAACTATTCTTTCTAGGTCCTATTGATGCAAGGAGCTTCAGAGGTATGATATTCTCCGTCCGAATATATTAGAATATGCAAAGAAAATCCCAGATTGGTAGCCCTAAAACGGTTTCGCTGGTATAATCTCTATGTGAACAAAGGGAAAGAAAGCAGAGGCGGTAATACAAACACATGAAGAAAAAAACAGACAAAAAAGAGAAAATCATGATAAACGCTCAAAGTTTGCAATGCTCTGATCAGAACTTTGAGTACACATGTGCAAGGGGCACATGTCCCTCAAAATCAGGCCTGGTCTTTAACATACTGGGATACCAGATGAAGAGAATAACCATAACAATTGCCATTGGTACAGAATCGAATATGTAAAGTGTCCATTCATGTTGGAGAGGATATCCGTTGTTTCCCAACACATACTCAACTACACGAAAAATTGAGCGAATCATTATCAAAGCGCTGATCGCATATAGCATATACAATGACTTCTTCCAAAGATTCCCAGGTAGAAGCGATGCTGGAGTAGGTTGGCGGCGAACGCGTCTCTCAAATATGATGGCCGTGAGCCAGAAAAGAGAAAATGAGACGAGTTGTATTGCCAACCCGCCAACAACTGCAACCTTTGCCCATTGAGGATATCCTAGGATCGATAGAGAGGACGAACTGCCTTGGACGACGAAAGACAAGACATCACCCCAGACAAAGGTTTTCGTTAGACGCGAGACGCGTATAAAAGAAAGATGCTCCGCTCCGATGTAGCGAATTAGGCGGCCCAGGGTCATATAGATAGAAGCGGCGAATAGTGTAGGGCCGAGGAGAACGAAGAGGCTCGACACAATATATGGGCCCATGGTGGCGGTGTTACTGTGTGCTACCGCACGACCTATATAGCCAATGATTTGAACTAGGATGGTAAGATTAGCAATTTTCTTCTCAAGAATCGAAATTCAAATAAGTAGGACATACATAAGCCGCCTAGGGTGAAAGCGATACAAAACCATGTTCTTGTGGTGACTAGCTTCCAGGAATGAAGCCCAGTCAAGGCCATGAATATAAGCATGAAGATAACTGCTGCGGGCAGTGATGGAACATAATACCAAAAGGTATAGGAACGAGGAATTATTTCTTGCATTTTGGGCAATTGCTTGGTTTTTGACAAAACGAAAGACAGGAGAGAAGCAACGAAAGAAAAAGCAAGATGATAGAAAGAGAGAGAGAGAGAGAGTGTGTGTGTGTGTGTGTGTGTGTTTGTGTGAATTAGAACAACGAAAGACAGATCAAAAGAGACATTGATTCTTGCCTATAATGTAGCCAGTATAAATAAGAATGCTAAATCTTAGACCATTTCAATCTAGAAGCCTTGATTTGGGGCAAATAGCAGATACGCGTATCTAGATTGTCCATCGCCGGATCGTTAGCGCCGACCTAAATTTGACTAGCCCCACTTGACCCCGCCGGCTGACCGAATACGCGTATAGTATTTAATCTGCCTACTTCAATATCGTCGAGATTTTCTCCGGTCGCTCGTTAGATGTACGCTATGAATAGTGACAGGGAAGCAGGGAGAATATTTTCGTCGCGTAAAGTCAGATTCCATGGGAATCTAGACTCGACGTGTTGCCAAGGGACGACTGGTAGGCGGTCCGCTGTCGGTCGCTCTTCACTTTGCCCGTATCCGTACTTGAGGTGTCTCTATTCCCTTTCAAAAGCTACCCTGGTCCCTTGGCTGAGTAGGATATCCGGCTCAACTCAACACCAAAATTAGAGTGCACGGTGCATTGTTCACGGTTTTAAGTCCTGCCAAGCCTAGCCGGGTGGAGCCTCAAGGATGAATACGCGTATAGACAGACCGTTGGCCCTGCAGTGCATTTAAACTACTAAAATTGGAACAAAAAGATCATCCTGCCCCTTTTAATAGCCAATTTTTTATTGAGATGTTTTTCTCAGATTTGCTGTGAACGCATCTAATGTGTGAGCAGTTAATTGTTCATAGTCCCTTCAAAGAAAGTCACCTCCACATTCGACAGTATCACCAAAATAAATCGACTCAATCTTTTGGCTCGCCTTCCACTCCGAAGTCAACATTACTCATCTAACCTGCGAAATGACCAAACTAGAGCCGTTAGCGGGTGGCTATTACGTGTGGCATTATGTCCCCTCTATAGCCGCAGCGGTCATCTTCATCATACTTTTCGGTGCGGTCACCGCATATCATTTCTGGAAGCTCTTCAAGACAAAAGTTCGCTTCACCCTTCCTTTCGCCATTGGGGGTCTATGTAAGTATTTGCCCGAGTCATCAAATCATACTCCGATTATAATGCTAATGCACCCTCGTTGTCTTAGTCGAAATCATCGGATATGCCGCCCGGGTGGCCGCCAGTAACAACACCGGAAAACTGATGCCATACATCATTCAAAGCGTCTTCGTCCTCCTCGCACCCACGCTCTTTGCAGCGGCCGTTTATATGGTTCTTGCTCGCATCATTCGCGCTGTCAATGGGGAGGAATATTCGCCTATTCGCATCCAGTTGATTACGAAGATATTCGTTTCCTGCGACATCCTGACCTTTTTCATTCAAGGCGGAGGTGCTGGCTTGATGGCTGAAAGTAACCTGACAAACATAGGACAAGACATCATTCTTGCTGGCTTAGTGTTACAGATTATCACCTTCGTCCTCTTCGTCGTCACCGCTGTAACTTTTGCGCGACGGATGAGCAAAACACCAACGACCGCAGCTATCCAGGGTAATGTACCCTGGAAGCAGCATCTTTACAGCCTTTACACTGTCAGTGCTATGATTCTGACTCGGTCAATCTTCCGCGTGATAGAGTACGGGTTGGGAAATGATGGATACCTTCTGGGTCACGAATGGCCCACCTACGTTTTCGACGCGGTGCCCATGTTTTTCGCCATGGTTTGCTTTGCCATCTGGTATCCAAGTGAGCTGCAGCCATTTTTGAAAACCTCGAGCTCGGTCTGATGATCTATGTTAAGGCCGTGAATCCTATCTGTTCCAGGGAATATGCCCTATTCTAACTTGACTATATTTCTTCATATATAATGATTTAAACTTAGCATTATAGTATGATGATTTCCATATGTATCCACGTTTTTCTATTTACATCTACCAAATCATAAAAACATCAGAATAAAGTCAAAAATGAAAAATCTCCCAAATTTGTTTAGATAAAGAATATAATGCAATCTCGGCGATGCGTATTTCTTGCATCTTGATGAATCCAAGGCAGCCATTGAAGATGCTAGTATACATGATGATTTTGTATTGCATACATAGCCTAGCATATAAATTAGGCAGCCAAAATAAATGTTAAATTAGATCAGTCAATTAAAATATTTTTGTCTCAACTAAAAAAGTCAAATGAGTGGAGTTGCTTCTGGAAAAATAGTAGATGATGCAAATATCCGGGAATAACACTTTTTCCGGTTCATTTCCATGTTGTAGAATCACAGGGTCCATGACTAACCTTCTTCAAATGCGGCGTTAAGTGAGAATGCCTCGCAGAACTCATAAAAAATCTAGAAACGGCTGTGTTGAATGTAAGCGACGCCACATAAAGGTATGCAAAGCTTCCATGTCAAGCGAGGGGCTCAGCGCTGTATGGACAAGGAGGGCTTACCCGCTTTACAGTGTGACGAAAGCCGGCCAATCTGCTCTCACTGTATTTCTTCCGAGCGATCATGCCTTTACAGTGATGAGCCAATAAGAACCCGTACACCAATTCAAAGAGCCTCATCAACGCCCAGTACATCAGCGAGGTCTCCGTTTGAACCGTCGGCTGAATCACTGGAAGATGTCAGTCCCGTCAATATGATGCATGTGGAGCTTCTCCATCATTTGGTTTCAAACATCCAATATTTTATGTTGAGAGGAGATCTTCCGCAATCCGAGGTGTCATTTTCAGACATTTTGAAACATTGCTTATCAGCCCCATATCTCATGAACATGGCACTTGCCATATCAGCTCTACATTTAAGCATTATACGACCAGACCAGCAACAATTATACCGGCATCGGGCTTCTCATTTGCAAATGCATGCCTTGAGCAGCTTCAATATTCTGAAACCAGAGGCCAACCTCGACTCTTGCATTCCTCTTTTTCTTTTTTCGTCGCTGCTGGGGTTGCACATGCTTTGCGATACCCTGACTTTCCGCAGTGGCTCATTTGAGGATTTCTTGGCCAGATTCGCGCAATATATTCGCCTACATCAAGGGGTACGAGCTGTAACCAGTGGATCCTGGGAATATCTTCGTGAAACCGAACTAGCTTCATTATTAGATGTCGCTGATTCAATCCACATAGACGACTCCACCTATGGTAATGAAATCCAAAGTCTTCTTGGGCTTATACAATCTGCACACTTGGAAGAATCGATCAGCAAAGCTTATCATCATTCAATAACATCGCTGCAAGGGGTGATGAGTTCAGCATTATCGAATCCGACTTTCGCTAGCCGTATTATCATTGCTTGGCCTGTCATTGTTGGGTCTGATTACGTTGATTTGCTTTCGCGTCACCAACCGGTGGCACTTATCATTCTTGCACATTATGCAGCTCTCCTACATATGCTCCGCGACCATTGGATGTTCGGGGATGGAGGCAGGTACCTTATAGAGTCAATTAGTCAATTTCTTGGTCCTGCGTGGGAGAATTGGTTGAGTTGGCCAATACAAAGTCTTCAACATGACGTTATATAATCAATAAAACATCTACCCACTATGTTAACTATGATTTGCGTCTACATTCTCAAATGTACGAGTGAAACATATGTGGAAAAGAGAGGGGAAAGATTGAAGATGAACCAACATTGATTCGATTTTACTGTTCTCCGCTATAATCTCGAGAACAGCTGGGTCGATTGGCTGGGCTTGGCGTGGAACCGACATCGGGAAGCGTCAAGCTGGTACAAAGGAGAATGAAGGGATAAAATACAAAGAATCCAAAGCCAAATCTCGGATTATAATATGTAAAGTGGTATCAAGGCATCATAGGCATAAATCCTGGCGAGGTCGCTGAATCACACGGCAGATATGGTTACCAGCATGGCAACCAGAAAAGATGAAGATTGGCATTTGAGCCAAATTAAAGACAACAGACCGACCCAGATATTCAATTTCTTAAAAGACTCAGACAAAATTAGTTCTCCTCCTTTTCATTATGAGTCAACCCCTCGTCGCTGGCCCCCGTTCCTGATAGCTTTGCAGCGACAGCATTGTTAAGCTTATCATCCATCGGGACCGAGAACAACGCAGCAACGATGGCGAGTCCACCGAAAGCAATACTCGCCAGGAAAACGGTACGATAAGCCTGGGAATAGGCCGTCTTGGTTGCACTGGTAACAACAAGGATAATACTGTCTGAGATACCCGGAACAGCTTCCATAGCAGAGGCACTGCCTGCAGAGACAGCAGTCAACAAGTCTGTGAGTGAGGACTTTGGCAAGCCTGCGTTCAAAGCCGCTGCAGATACATCGTCAGGGAGGGTCGTAGCGATCCGGTTATCGAGGATGGCGACGTAGATAGCGGCTTGAAGATGTTAGTATATCTGAAACACTAGATCTGGGTCAAAAAACTCACTGGCAATTGTTCCTGCAACCTGCTTTGCTGATCCCAAGAATCCACTTGCTAAACCGATATCCTCGGGCTTGCAATAGAGTGGACACATAATAAGGGTGATGAGCTCTAGATAACCGACAGCCAATCCTGCAATAGCAGTGAACTAAATCTCACGTTAGATTGGAGGGTTTCAAAACAAAGGCGTGAGTGGTACTTACCGCAACTCCATATGCCTGTCTATCCTGGTTGACGGCGGCCAATGCACCGGAGAAAGCTGTAATGAGAACAGTGGACGCAATGAGTTGATACTTTGAAAAACCGATGGGCTTCATCAAAGCACCAGCCAAGATTTCTCCAATAATGACTCCAAGTCCAGTGGTTATCTGAAAATAGTTAGACAACTGACAATTCAAATGATTTTAGGTGTAAAAACATACCGATAACCAACCAGACTTGATGTTGGCGGTTGTAAACAGAGCCTCAATTTCTTGCGGCCACAACAGACTGTGATAATGTTAGATTACTTTGAACGTCTCGCGCATCGTTATAACTGGGAAAATCGGAGCTCTCTTCTTACCTCAGAGCAAAGTATACCATGTTTCCGACCAGTGCAGAGCAAACGGTCGCACTGTATCCGCGGTTATTCAGCAGTGACATCGGCAGCAGTGGTTGCTTGAGAGGGACAAAGATTTCTGCGGGCGCACGACTGTTAGTCTCCATAAATCCCATCCAGAATATACAGCGATTCCTTACCATAGAGGACAAAGACTGTCAGGGAAACGAATCCAACGACAAGAACGGCAACTACGTGTGCCGAGCTCCACGCATAAGATGTGCCTCCCCAAGCTGATGTCCAATTAATAAAATGAATTCAATCACACGGTGGGGTGTACTTACAAAGTCCGAGTAGAACCAGAATAAGACCAGCGGCGTAGAGAACAAAACCAAGATAGTCAAACTCCTTCACAGCCTGGAGTCTATTTTGACCTTTGTGCTTGGTCTCCCATCCAGGGGGGAAGTAGCAAAAGAAGAAAAGAATAACTGATAGACCACACGTGATGATGTTCAAATAGTAGTTCCAGCGCCATGATTGAGCGGTGTTCGCAATGAATAATTTGGCAATTAAAGACCCGAAACCTGCAAATGGCAAAGTGGTGATGAAAATACCGGCGTTGACAAGAGGACGCATTCGGTTAGGTACCAATTCCGCAATAACGAACGAAAAGGTCAATTGGACAGAAGCTGCAAGACCGCAGAGCGCACTTCCTCCAATAACAGTAGGAACGTTCTTAGCAGTCGCGCAGACAATAGCACCAATGAGACCAAGGAATTGACCACCAATTAGAAAATAACGACGTCCGAAGATATCGCCAAATCGTCCGACCAACAGTACAGCAACCTATGCGATTGAAATTAGTATGAAATGAAATGAGATGTGGGAGCAGTTTGCCCCGGATACAGATTACATACACCAGAAATAAGCGTGAACATGGTGGTGATCATGCTGTAGCTGGGGTCTGGGCCAAGATCCGCATTGATAGCAGTCAAACTGTTAACTGGCAAGGTGTAACCTAGATACAAACTGATGGCCATCAAACAGACACCAGCTAGAGAACCGAGGAAGTTTTTGCTGCGGTAGTAACCGGCCGGCAGCTCCTCAAGATTCACAGCCTGTTGAGCACTCGACATGGTGGTGGGACTAGCAGGGACAGAAACGGCTTCGGCGTCAGCTTGAGACTTGAAAGTAGCCATCCCTATTATGGCAAAGCAAATCAAATGCCTGCGTAGCGGATGAAAAAATGAATGAATGTCAAAGTCTGAGCATGAGAAGGGATGGAGGGAAGAACGCGAAGAATTCGAATTGATTATAGCAGTCAGCGCAGTTTCAGATAATAATCGGTCGCGAGTTTAGCGTCGGCTTGTGCCTCACGTTAGTCTAACCCCTTGTCTTGGAACAATTAACTAGTTTGGAACAAAAGGAAGAATTCCAAGCTTCCAACAGTTGAAAGCAGTGAAACACGCTGCATGTACCCGGATAAAGCCTTCGGCAGTTTGCCGACACCCTACTTCTCCTCGTAAAGGAATGCACACATGGTGGATCTAGCGCAGCACCAACGAATCACGCCACCAAAAGTGTTCTAGCGATGGGACATGCGCCAGACTCCTTCAAGTCTGATTTGCCAATGGATCAGGAGCTTCAAAGTTTAACAGGCTCCGGGCGTACTTCGGGGGGCGGAGAGCGTTCGTGCGGGATTTGATAGGCGCACGGTCAAACATCAGATTAGTTTCGCACTGCGCTCGCAAGCTGAAATTAAAGAAATGTGGCTCCCGTATCCCGCTCGGTGGCGCCGATTGGCTTCTGCCTCCTCCCCACTTAGGTGCATCAGTGGAACCAGTGCCATATTAAAATAAGCGGGAGAGGCCAATCCCCGGGGCCGAGCCTGTATTTATCAATACAGCAGGAATTCAAGGCTGGGATAAAGTGGGGAAATACGGAGAGAAAAGCAACAGGCGGGCCAGTTCAAAGTCTGATAGACCCAGAAAAGCCTAATTAATCCATTAACATGCAACCTCGCTTATACGCTAGACCTGCGTTAGCGTCCCAAGAGGGGAAAGTCCTACACACAAATACATTGATCTAGAAAAACAAATGCAGATCTTAACCCATTCCATTCTAAAATTATTATTATCCGCGTCATTCATTGAGGGGCCAGCCGGCATTATGACCAGCCGGCGGTGGTGTTGTACTGTGTGAGCGATTCACACTCACATCTGTCGTAACTTGGATCCCAGCCGGTGATTCTGGGGTTATAATGTGCTCCTCTGACCCATTGCGACTGGCTTCAACGTCTGTTTGAGCCCGTGATGTGGTGGTGACATGGCCAAATTTGGCACTTGCAACGTGGGTCCGAGGCCCAGCCCACGATCGAGGATCATCCGTTCGTCGCCCAGACGCCCCATACATTTCGTAACGCCCACCGTAACTGCGGTTACTGGATAGACCCAAAATACGGCGCAGCCCTGGAAACCGGAAAGTAATGAGGGTTTTGAAGGAGGGGAAACAAGCAATGAAAATAGCCACGCCGAGTTCGACTGATGACCAATTCAAGGTGTTGACAAGAGACCCTAAAGTAATTGGTTAGAATCCACATGGCCATCTGAAAAGATGAAAAACAAGCCAACTCACATGTGTGATCCAATGAGAAATTGCTGAGATATGTAATTCGAATAATACTCGTCACAACAACACTAAGAAAATGTTAGCCCAAAAATGAGACTTGGAAAGAAATCGAGAGTATCAAACGTACAGAACACCGAGGCCAAACATGAAAAGCAGACCCGCTCGCTTTCCGACAGTCATTTTCAACTGTAGCAACTTGGGGATCGGGAGAACGAATAATGCGATATCTGTGACCAGTCGGATGGCGAACGAGATATAATAAAAGACCGAAAGTGAGAGACACTTCCCAGGCGCTGTACCAGATGGATCCCAAGCCTTTGAAACTGGACTGCATTGGAAGATGACAATGAACACCTCTTCGGTCGTCTCGGCGACTACGATTGCCATCAAAGCCCAGCACATTCTGCGAAAAGTATTGCCCGGGAAAATCCTCAAATAGAAGAAGCAGAAGGACAATTTGATGGCGCCCAATGAGAGTAAATAGGTAATTTCGGTGACGAAGTCAAGCTGTGAATGCATGCAATTAGTTTCCCAGGTTGCTCGGAAGGCTATAAAATGATTGGAACTGTACCTTCAAGAACATCGCCAGTGTATTCTCATCGGTTGTCGATTCAATATGTTTTCCATAGCCATAGTTCGTCACTTGAAACGCATGTCAGTTCCATTGTCGTGGGGTGTTGGAGATTTCTGAGTGACATACTTAATATACACACTAGACATTCGACAAATCCGAACACCTAAAATTAGACAGAACATGTTAGCATCGCAAATCACATTGAGATTCACTCTTTCAACTCACCCAGCCAATTATACAGAAGACATCATCCATCCCAATTCCTGTGAGCCACCGAATTCGTACCAGCAGCCTTACCCCAAGCGCCAGCGTGGAGGCTACAATGAGTACCGCATTGCAGATGATAATATTCGGAATCTTCGACTCGCTAAGATTGACTGATGAGCCGTCGGAGCTGGCCCTTGACCACAGCTCATTCATATTGAATGAAAAGCTCGTGGATAAACTTGGCTTCCCAGGAGCAACCCTTAATCTGGACGTTTGAAAGGAAGGCGAGGTGCCTGCATTTAGTTGATATGGAGGTGAATAAAGATTTGGAACCCCGGCCCCATTTTAAGTTTGAAAAGGCCGATCTTGCATTGAAGATGAGTAATAATAGAAACGGTGGAATACGATAAAATACATGTACACCAGTCGAAATCCAGATATTCACAAATCACCAATGGTTGGCGGACTTTGATTCGCCGGTTTTAGGCCGAAACTTTGCAAATTCACTTCGTAGTCTCAAGTTCCCACCTCCTTAAGTTGCATGAGACAAATGATAGAGTTCAAGGTAGTACCTCGCCCTACGCTGTATAGAGTAAGGTTTAGTTCAGGAACTTTCGTACACGATCCTGATCAATTTCCCTCTGGGCCTAAATCACTCAAGACATCCATGGATACATTTGATGTTTCGTATCGCTTGAACTTTACAAATGTGCAGATCTATGGGGTGTGTACACACATGCCACCTTCTGGTGCTGTCAATCATTGTAGATCTACAAAATTCATTGAATTGGAGAGAATAGTGAGGTGGGGAATGTTGATCGTAAGATCATGGGTTTATGAGAGCAACAATTTAAAATGGATACCAAGTGCGAAGTGTGATGCTGGATGGGTATCGTATCTATGTTTCAAATTAGTCAAGAACCGACATAGTGTGGAGAATTAATACAAGCATATAAATTAATTAACAATCACTGTTCGCCCCCCTCAAGGATTCAGAGAGGATTCCATAGTGGATCCCTCAGTTCCCGCAGGTCCCACTTCCATGGTACGAAATTACTTAGTTTTAGCGCGAAGGAGCGCCTCCCCCTATTAGTTTCTCCCCACTGCGATATTACCTTCGGTCTCGACACTCATGTGGCGCACTTGTTTCCCATCTTTGTATGGCCGATTGTGGTTGTGTCGATCTCCGAGCTGAGATCGATCTAGTATTTGAGGGCGAACATGTGTACTCCGCGTGTGGCCCCGGGGGCTAACCCACCCGATGTCGGCTCCTTAGCTGAAGTTTGATTCCAAGTTTTTCAGCCCCCAATTGTGAAGATTCTGAGAATTTTATTCACTTGGATCACCAATGGGATAATTTTTTATGTTGTGTTCACTTCAAGTTACACTGAAACTCCGTATTCCTTCTCTTCGTGCGGATTTGCTGCCCCACCAACTTCATTTCCAGTCGCTAGCGAACAAGCCAATGGTTTTAGAATATTGCTCCGCCGAGCAACCTTGGAAGCTTCTGAGTCGCGTAGACAGTCTGTGGGGCCGACATTCAATTCAAGAACACTGAAATCCTTCAAAAGTCTGTTCCTTGTTGTTTGTACATCCAGTAAACTTCCATTGTAACAACAAGAAACTGCCCCTCGTCTATCACCATGGCGAATATTGAACATCAAGGAAATGGCAAACATGCCGTCGTATTTGGATGCTCTGGCATCAACGGCTGGGCTCTTGTCAATCAACTCCTCTCGGGATACCCATCAACTGAGTCTTTCTCCAAAGTGACTGCCATTGCCAATCGACCGTTTACTGTGGAGGAGGCCAGATGGCCACAAGATGATCGTTTGCAGATCATTACCGGCATTGATCTGCTGGGCAAGAATGACACTGCCCTTGTGAAAGCGTTAACTGAAAAAGTGGAATCCGTCGAAACGGTGAGCCATGTCTATTATGCAGGTAATGAAGATGATTCAATTTATGCTTATTTTATTTGGATTTTATTGTTTGTTTTTTCTCCTTCTGTGTGACTTACCATGAGTAGCATATCGAGCAAGCGACACGCCGGCGGAGGAATGCCTTGTCAACAAGGAAATGCTTCGCGCGGCCGTGCAGGGCTTAGAGGCTACCTCTTCCAAGTTGGAATTTGTCACCTTAATCACTGGTACCAAGGTACGAGGAATTCCTTCATGCACCAAAAACTTGGTAATCTAACATTTTGGCCCCTTATAGGCCTACGGTGTTTATTTGCTGGACAAGTTCCCCTTCCGGGGCCAAACACCATTGACGGAAGATCTACCTCGCGTTCCTGCAGAGTACGCGAAAGACCTGTTCTATTATCATGAAGTGGACCTACTTCAAGAGCTCTCTATTGGCAAGGCCTGGTCTTGGTGCGAGGTCCGACCGGATGTTATCGTATGAATCGTAACTCTAGAAAATGATTTGCAGAACTAATTATTCATTAACAGGTTGGCGTAGCCCCGTTCGGGAATGCGAACTGCATGGCACAAACTATGGGCATCTACCTGGGATTATACCGAGCTCTTGAAGGAGAAGGCGCTCGTGTTCCCTTCCCCGGAAACGAAACTACATGGCGCCTGCTTTCGACGGATTCCAATCAGGATATCATAGCTCGCTTTTGTATTTATGCATCATTCCAAGATCGGGAGAAGGTACACGCTCGCGCATTTAATATTGCCGATAGCGCAACCCCCGTCTCATGGTCTCAACGATGGCCCGCACTCGCCAAGTACTTTGGCCTGGAAGGCTTGGGCCCGGATGATTCAAGCCTCCACCCAACGGTTTATGTTGAGCGTAACTGGGAGAAATTCCAGGCGTTGTGTCGCGAGGCCAATCTCCAGGAAGATATCATATACAAGAGTATGCATAATACTGGATCAAGAATGGGCAGCTTGCGTCTGATGGACTTCGATCGGCCCTTCGATCTAGGAAGGGCAAGAGCCCTAGGCTTCACCGAGGAGATGAGTACTGAGAGCTCTTGGTATACTGCCTTCGATCGGGTCCGCAAGGCGAAGATCATGCTCTAGAGGGCTTCTGACTGAGTCACGGTGATATATTCGAGTTTATGTGGGTGTTACATACTAAATCAGATATAACAACAAATGTAGCAGGCTCTAAAGATTTTAAACCTCATTATACAGGCATGGCCGTCTTATTTCATGAGTAATTTATATAAACAGTAATATTAGATTCAAAATCTTTGACAGGGTCCTCCTTCGCAAACCCAAAGGCCTAAAGCTTTACCTCACAGCACTATAAAACAACACTTTCCCCTTAGAATCTCTTTCAACAATTAGAACACAAAAAAGCATTTGATCTGATACTTAATAAGCTACCACCAGCAAGATTGTAGTTCAAGTAAATGTTATTCTTTGAAATACTCCAGTATATAACTGTTAAATTACTGTCTATATAACCAGTATCTTCTAAATCAATATAAGAGAAGAGAAGTTACTATACCAGGTACTAAAGTTAATTGTAAAACCTCTGAAGTTTATAAAAACCGCCTTTTTAACGAGTAATTTCCGACCAGTTCAATATTTCTAGACAGGTCACAGCGTTGAAGCACTCGGGGAAGCCGTTATATTAGGCACATTTCTCAATATAGTTTCTATCAGCGCTCGAACTCGCATATGTGAGGATAAAGCCGGTAGCAAGAGGATGACATCTGGATTCTAGCTCTCTATTTCTGAATAGTAACGATTGAACGAACTATTTTTGGCTTTTTATGCTCATGCCTAACCCGAAACATATGTACAGCATAGGTCGTACAACGAAGTATCAAGACAACTGGCTCTGATAGCTTCACACTATAACAATATGAGCCCAGATCCTCAGCATACCTGCTATCGAACGAGATTGTGAGGAGTTTTCCAAAGCCGTGCAGATATGATGCGGCTTAACAACCCAAGTTTTCGCCGTTAGAACACGCGCAGGGCATGTTCTCTTGGTTGGAAACACAAACACAGCCGCCTTCCATCGCAACGTCGCCGTCGTCCTCGGAAATAACCCCAGAGCATCCTGCATCGTTCTGGCCACATTTATTGATAAGACTTTGAGCAAATCCATGGACTGCCGAGGCCTCGGCCGAAAAGCCGCGGGGCATCCAGTAGACATGGCATGAGCTAGAGCTCCAAGATGTGTTAACGTTATCTGACAGTGTTCCATTAGTGGGCATCTTATTGAATGCGTCTCTACAGTCAGAGCTGACCCCATGAAAACAGGAAGCGCATTGAATTTCTTCGCCGGCTAGGACATATGAGGCCATTGCGACAAGGGAGAAAGTGAAGTGGAGCTTCGTATTTGGATTGATAACGCAAGCTCGAGTTTGAATTGGTAGATAATAAAAGAAGTTGCCAGCTTTGTGATAAATGAACTTGAAGTGAGATATCTTGGGAGAATTCTCGATGTTGACTGAGGATTTATATACATTTTGGATGAATGGTTTGACGAATAAATTTACTCCTATGGGAAGCATCCTTCGAGCACTGGCACATTTCAACCTTAGAAGTTGTTCAATCGTTCATGCCAAGAAAGGCCCCAAACTAACTAACCCAATAAACATTCGCAAATAGCCGCATCTCATTTCGAAGTCTGTTGTTCGTCGCCGATCAAAACCAGGTATATCCACAGGGCGAAAGGAATTTCCTTGACAGGAAGGGAGCATCATGTCGGAACATCACAATCACTATATAAACTGGTCAACATTGTCCTCTTTCACAGGACAGCCCGGGGTTCGATTCCCCGTGTGAGGGACATCTTCTTTTTCCTACACCTAAGTGTATTTTTCATTGAAAATCCCTGAGGCATTCATTGCCAGCTCGTCGCTTGGGTGGGGTACAAAGAATTTCCGACCATAGCACTTCCTCTCCTCCTCCGCCTTATAAGAAGGGAGAAGAACCCTGAAATCTCAATCTACTCAGCTTAGCCTACCTTTAGTATAAAAAACCCGAACCAATGTCTTCCCCCTCCTCTGCTTCACCTTACGATAAAGGAACAATAGTCGGCCAAATCACTACTATTTATAACCTACTTCACAAGCTAAGCTATCTCAACTGCCCTAGGAACGAGATGTTCTCTTTTGGTGAAATTGCATTCCCTCCTGTAGGTGGCCATATTATCAATAAGGAGTTATACTATAAGCTCCATATCGCCCCGGATTTGAAACTATAGGAGGTTGCACTAACTTACTGGATGCATGTGGGTGATGGGGTTTTAGTCATTCTGAATACTAAGTCAAGTATAGATATATATAGGTTTTAAGGACTGAACCAACAGGTTCAATAAGATATCATTCAAGTTATTGATGAATCTGTGGAGAATAACTTCCGGGAAGAAAGTGAGGCTCACCATACCCCTACTTACCTCCAGGATATTATTGATAGCATTCGTAATTTAGAATACATCTATCGCCCCAGTCGATCGGATATAGGCTATATTGCTTTTCCTGGGTCACCGGAGCAAATTCAAATGAAGCGAGTTCTGATCGAGGACTATGGTTGGGGTACAGAGGGGTTTCGGGAGGAAGATTGGCGACGAGAGGGAGAGGAGATCAGTAATAGGCTATGTGATGAGGAGATAGAAGATTAGAAGGGGGTACAGCAGAAGGCTTAGAAGTATGAAAATAACTTTAGAAAAAAGTCAATAATACCTACATGTTATGTGCACATGCATCATCTGTCGTTGAAAAACCCTTGAAATTCTGTTATTATTCGAACAAAGATCCGAAAATTCAAACTTTGATCTTTTTTTAAATTATTTTTTTTTTGTCCTTTCTTTCCGGTCCCTGTTGACGGGAGAGCGAAAAGCCTGTCTAATTCTTTCTGGCAGATTTCCCAGCTTTACAGTCAACAGGCGCGACATTATTGACAAAAGGGGCGCTACACTACAATGGTATGTTGTCTTCGTTGTAAGTACAACAATGTCTTGCCGACTGGGCAGCTGAACTCCCAGTGTCAGACAATACATAGGCTTCATGGATATGAGCGAAAAAGAAAAGGGAACAAAAGGAATGATACAGCAAAAAAGTAAAAAGACAAAAAGAAACTCCGGTAGGGGGAATCGAACCCCCGGCTGCTGTGTGAGAGACAGCGATGTTAGCCACTACACCATACCGGACTGGTATATATTAGGGACTTGGTTTTTGCGTACATAACCCTAAGCACACTAGTTCAGATTAGATCTATAAAACCGCCCATATGGAAACACCATGATTTTCCCTCACGAAACGACGCACAAACATGGTCTTTCCGTTGTCCCTCTGGATTACTACACCATAGTGAATGACTCAATAACGAGCATATCATGTTTTAATATTATCAACCAGATTTGTCACTATATGGTCTTTGCTTAGAAGCACATAGGATCCCGACTTTTCAGTTCGCGACCTTTCACAGGTAGAATATAGGGACCCATGAAAACGAGGCTGAAAATTACAGCCTCTGGCGCCAGAAACGGCCTTCTTTCCGTATCTTTAGGACGGGCGAGCCGCTGCTTGACCGCCCTACTCTGCCCTTTATTCTGCACCCACTCGTGCCTGTTATAGACGCAGCACGCTTGACATTAACGATTCTTCCCCCAGTTTCCACTGGCGACCAAAATAAGTGAAGCATAATTCTTGGTAATGACGGTGTCATTCTTAAATGTCTCTCTGGGAGACGGCTACATAATCAGGGGGTCATGTGACCCTCATATCTTCATCTTACTCACCCCGCGTCCTCAGCCTCGAACATTTACATACCCTCGTGAAGACCCCTGATTTGCACTGCCCTTATTGTCAGATTTCGTAGATCGATCACGATAGGCAAGCTCCTCCATAACTCCCTCGATAAATAACGCAGGTAGGCTCCGCGACGCGCCAGTCGTTATCTTGCTGCCTGTTTCAACGTAGCGCTGGGAGAATACTTCCCATAATCCCTGACAATATTTGTCTTCTGCATAAGGTCGAGGACAAAATGGATCAGTTTCTAGGAAGGCTTTGACTGTCTGGCGAACTCCCGATCGGTCCATAGTGATGGGCTGACAGGAATCAAAATCCAACAACCATAAGCTAACATTAAGGCTCTTGTAGTTCTGGTCGGTGTTGGTTGTGCGCTCATAGGTACTCGTTCCAGGTGTGAGACGTTCCGCATCTTTCAGCGGCAGCATGCGGCGCACGGCATTTCGGTCTACCGAGGTACTTCCCAGTACAAACTCGATATCACAGGCATCTATCTTCGCGTGCCAATGCAGGACCGCTAGAGCATCGGCCATACTGGTCGCGAACCCTGTGGCGTCTAGACCAAGCTCCTGAACTTGATCGATATGGAGTTTGTAGTTTCGAAGCGAAAAAAATATGCTACCTCCTGGGCGCGATGATCCGTAGCGCTTTCGGCCCAGGAGTACTCGCAAAAGGCAATCTTTGCTCGCAGGGTCTGCCCTTGCCTTCGGGACATTGACCGGATTGCAATAAGCGTCGATCAAGGCAAGCCTAATCTTCTCCGGCAGAGGGAGAATACGTTCCATGCACAAGATATCTCGAGGTCGTCGCGGGAATGTGGATTCATCTGGAAATAGATACAGGTTATCGTCCCAGAATTTCGAAGCTTTGTCCGCAAACCAAGCCACCCGGGGGACTTCAGCGCAGCCAACGGTATCAGCTAATAGATCGAAGCTTTGCTGAATACGCAGATGCATGATATAGTTGTTCCATAGCTTCGCAGAACGGTCTAGCAGGAGGACTTTGAACGCCCAAGGTGTACCTGACTGCTCAAACACTCGCCCTACAGATCCCTTGCCGATTTCTCTAAAAAGAGATCTTGTTCCGATGGCAGCTTGTTGGCGCCACGCAAATGACGATGCTGTTTATATTGCAGACCTGGTGGATAGGAGTCGATGAAGAAGCGCCTGTGGGGGCTCGGCTTCTTCCTGCAGCTTATTCTCCAGCTGGAGGCTAGATTCAATCGCTTTCGCGAAGGAGATGGTCCAGGAACCCTCGGTCTTGTCAGACTTGTCGGTCCCCGCGGCTTCTCGGCGGCTAGACATGATGGGCACTAGAACACCGATAGTAAGATTCCTGTCTCTCAAAACCTCTAATTAAGAGAATCGGAACTTACATCAGGATGAACAGGTAGGATCAAGGTATTGCGTCGACAAAATAATTTGTCAAGAAACGCTCCGATCAAGTGTGGTTCGGGGTCCTTGCATTCGTAGGCTACCTTCTGGATGAGACCATTCGCGCTTGCCAATTCTTATTTTTGACCTTTTTCGTCTCGATTGGGACTATTATCCTCCTACCCAGGCAAATCTTAGCTTTCTGTAGAGCTTCCCTCTTTCCTCTCTCTGTACCACCCAATACCATTATTTTGTCCTGTGGCTGCCACTTTCCTGATCGTCTATTGGTCATCTAGAGAAGTTAGTAGAGATAGTATTTTCATTAGCATGGGGCTTATCAAGGCGACATATCTCCATAACTCATCCACAGGCGCGTCCTACAGCTAAGTAGTAACAGTTCTTGCAAGAGATTATTCATTAAAGTACATCGTGGTTTGTCATTCCAGCCAATATTAACCCCTTACTATGATTCCTCCCTTAACCCCATCCATTCGATTTCTCCCTTCTTCTGCAATTTCCACGAATCTCTTTGCCAGGGTCTGCCTCTTCTCGCACTCTTGAGGCTCGCATAAGGTGGCACATAAATCGCTAGTCTGGAGGTACTGCTCTCGAAACGAATACCAAAGTGAATCTGGCTCCATTTGTGGTCGAGGGTAGTAGGGATCATTGCCCCAAAATGCAGCAGCGGCTTGTTCAACCCCATTCAAGTCCATTGTCATGCTCCTGCACAATCAAAATCCAGTACCCATACAGTGTGCTCGCCGAGAGTATTGGACATTATTGAGGCCTTTGAGGTTCCGGCACTATTCAAAGGAGGAGGTGCGAGGACAAATTCGATATCATTCCCATCAATCTCGCCAACCCAATGCATCACGGCGAGGGTGCCTGCCATGGCCCTTGCGTACTTCTGAACATCACTAATGGGCAGCCCGAGGGATTCCATCTGATCAATATGAAGCGGAAAGTTTCGGAGGGAAAACGCCGTAAATCTTGAGGTACTGTCCTGCCTCTTTGTTCGTCGTCTTCCGAGATATGGCCTTATCAGGCAGTCTTTATCCGGCTCGCTAGTGGTAATCTGTTTCAGGATCTGAGGTGGGCAGTACTTCTCAATAATAAGGTGCCGTACGGCTTCTGGTAGTGGCGGAATGCGCTGAGACTGAAGGACATTACATGGTGTGTCCCTGGTGGGAATCTCGAAAGATTTCGTGTCCACCACTCCTGGTCCATGGCGTCGATGAAGTTATGACAGGTGGGAATTTGGATTTGAAGATGTTGGGTCTTGAGGAAATCAGCAGATGCACGAAAACTGCGGAGTATTCGACGATGCATTTCGAAGTCATTTTTCAAGGATCTGTCTGGCCCCCCATCTTCCCGTTTGTATGCTAGACCGGTCTCGGAAGCAGCCCAGACTGTGCCGCAAAACCCCTTTCCAATAGTGTGCAGTGTGTGAATCATCATGTGTGAAGGAGTAAGATATTTGAAGAGGAAAGGTTTGGAGAGAAGAGCTCAGGGAACTTAGCTCCGACCGTTGGTCAACAAACGTTAATTTGTCCTCAAGAGGACTAGTGGTAGGGATGTAGGGTTCCATGATGGCCCTCCGATTACAATTATGGGTAAATAGGACCGTTGTTACGAAGTCTATGACTATGGTACCAAATATGTATTTTAGCTTTTCAGGGAAGTCGGTTGGGAGGAGCAGAAGAGCAACCTGGCAGGGCCTCATTGCCTTGCTTGAATTCGGTGCCCAACTTGCTTTACCACCCACAACCGTAGCAAATATACAACATTAAAATGCCCTTGTGAGGTTGTTGTGGATGGGAGATGCATCCATGCGCAGCGGTGAGGTTAGCGGTGGACATTCTGCCCACAATTCCCCTAGATAGTTAGTGAGATGAGATGAGAGGAATAGCCTCTCACCAACACGACCACAACTCTTGATAGTGCAAATATACAGTCTTCTTCCCTTCTTTTCCCAGCAGATGCTAGATAGTGTCCATACTATCCATCACCTCGTTTACATCGCACGAAGAAGGTGTTTCTAATTACACCATACCGGACTGGTATATATCAATGACAACATTTGTGCGTAAATAAGCCTAAGAACCTTTTGAATAGTTACCAAATACCTGTTTCGCCGGCAGTAGCCCTTATCTTCACCGTGACCATCGACTAAGGATAACTTCTATACATCGTAACTTTTATATTCCTATCAAGTACAGGTTGCTTTCAAAACGGTTTCATACGAGTGGATTGCTCATGGACTTGCGACCTGGTGTAATTTAAGTTTTTGGCTCCTCTCAAACTCTTGATGTGATTTTCCCTGGTAGCAATCTGATTCCTCAGACCTATAATGAGGTAGTAGCCCTAGCGATTTTGTGGAAAACCACTTGAATATGACTAGTTCTCGAGAAATGCATAATCTATTGCAGTTGAGATGTTAATGATAAAAAGGGTTGTGTTTGACGCTTGGTTGCTGTGCATATGTGAGATGGATATCAATCATTATACCCATTTGACAGGTAGGAATTGTAGTTCAAAATATAGATTCAATGGCTCATTGTTGACTTACCTGGATCCAAACTGGATGGAATTCGCCGAATAAAACTGTTGGTAATTAGCAGCCACTTCGCGTTATTAAATGCGATCCATTTTTTTCAACATTTGCACGATCGGCTTGTTTGGAAGCGCTCGTGTTTGTGCAGTCGCTAAGGCTTCAAAAAAGCACTTCGTGTCTTGGGCGATCTGGCGCTTGGACCAATCCTTTTTAAAGAGATTTTCCCAACACTCGTCGAAAATAGAAATGTCTATGCAGCAAGCTTTAAACAGCTTCAAATTAGTCAGAGAAAAGGACGAAGGCGCAGTCAAACGAGGTTAGGGATGCGAAGTGGCACACAGAGGCGAAAAAAAAGGGGACGCAAGTGGGTGCCTTAACTCCAGTAGCCTATATCCATTGTGATATTGGAAATCCGGATGATACTGATTGGTGTGTAGATGGCGGTATGGTTCGTGCGGACATGTCCCCCATTCACAAAAACCGGGGCGCTTACTTAGTGGCATGAAGTAGCGTGCTTACTATTGGCCGCATACTATTTGCCAACAGCACTTGTTTCGGTTAATTTGCTTTGTCACTTGCATGAAACGATTCGCGGGGAAGAAGTAGGGGGCTGGCGCATTCCCCGGAGCACCGCCTCACCCTGCATAGACTTGGCCAATCACTCTCCACCGCACGCGATCCGAGCCTCGAAGCCCCAAAAAGCAAAGAGAGAGAAAGGAAAAAAAGCAAACACCATGAGGCCAACGTGTCGATTTGGTCTGGCCTGATCCACTCCGCTGCTTAGGCCGTGACTCAAGCCGTGACAGGTAGCCTCCACGATATTGACGCAGTACCCGCCTGATTCTCCTCCACGGTCCTGAGTTGAAAGGGAGATGGAAGGGCTGTCTTTGCAGATCTGGCGCCGTGATCCTCAAAACTTTTTAGACGTGCAGAACCTAATGCATGGGCATTCCCCACGCGCCGTGGCCAGAATCGACAAATTGAGTGTCGCCTGATCGCGCTGACGGGAGCCGTGACCAATCTCACCGCACGTCATATGTGGACATTAGTAACCGAACGCCATCTTGAATGGGCCTAGCAAAGGTGGTAGTGGGGAGGTGCGCCGAGATCTCCCTCATCTCAAGTGAGCAGCTGCCAAATTGGCAATTGTTGCAAGCTTTTTTCAATTGGTGCACAGGTGACATTGGTGTCTCTGCAGTGAGGATCCTTTCATTTCGTCCATCGCGCAAAATTCGGAACCTCTTTTCCTGGTCTGGTCTGGAACTAAATCCGCCCCGCATCCAGTACTTATTGTGCGGAATAACAATCGCTTTCTTGGATGCGTCCGACAGCTTAATGCGGATCAGCCGCTCGCACGGTGGGGTGGGTTGGGGGGAGGGGGCAGAGATGGGCTCCAATCTGGGAGTCTGTGGTTTGACGGGATGCAAATCTCAATCTCAACATAAACAAGAAGCTATCCAATAATGCCGGTTCTATAACCAAGACATACCCTTTGCATCCACGTGACGCATTCCCAAAGTGGAAAGACACCGGACAACGAAGTTTCCCAAGCTTTCTATTTCTTCAATGGATCCTTCCTAGTCTCAAATTTAGTCTCTGATCACTCGTTTTGAACCTGTTTTTCTCCTGCCTTTCCCCAGACTGCAAAATTCCAGTCACCGGAGGAGTAAAACATGTTCTCCGCTGCAAGCAACTTCTTCCGCAGGCGGCCCGTGGCTGTGGCTGACCCCGCGATCTCTGATTCTTCTAGCACTTACGAGGTGCCCTTGTACACAAACGCAGCTTACTATCCGAACTGGAGGATTTATCGGAAGCAACCTCCCTCCTCTTTGCGATTGGGGTTTATTTCTCATGTATTCTACTCATTTGCTTGGTATGTCACCAACCAATCATCATCTTTGAGCCTCATAGTTAAACAATACGCTAATCTCGATCTGGAATCCTTGCAGGGTTAAAGAAGATGGAACTGTCTATGTAAGTGATTATCTTCGTTGAGAGAATTTTGGCAGGGCTGAGTTTTGATATTGCTTATCTGATTCGGTTGCGCTAACGAAGAACCGAAATAGTTGAGCGATGAGTGGGCTGATACTCAAATGCCAGTGGATGGGACTGAAGGATGCTTACGAGCTTTTGTCCAATTAAAGCAACAATACTCCCAAATGCGAGTGATTCTTTCTGTCGGTGGTGGAGGCAAAGGTAGCGAGCACTTCGCGGCCGTTGCCCACAGTCGGTCTCGCTCGGAGACATTTGTTCGCACGGCGCGGCAATTGGTTGATCAATTTGGTCTGGATGGTATCGATAGTAAGTTGATCAGATCTTTGTTTGCCTTGATGCATTCACCTATACGACTTGAAACAAACTTTCTGACATGTTGGTATGAAAATATAGTCGATTGGGAACACCCTGCCGACTCCAAGCAAGGAAAAGATTATGTCCGTCTTCTCGCTCGCTTACGTGAAGTACTACCAGCTCCACGATATGTCCTAGCCACTTGTCTTCCCGCGGGTCAATGGGCTCTCCAACATATTGACCTCTCCGCGGTCCAGCAGTACTTGGACATGATGAACTTGATGACATATGATTTTGCGGGGCCATGGGAATCGGAGACTGGTCATCAGTCCCAATTATATGGAACCCCTACCTCGTGTTATCTATCGGTATCATATGTATTATCACAAGGAGTACCCTCTCGCAAACTTATTCTTGGGATTCCAACATATGGGCGATCATTCCTGGATAGCAATGGACCTGGGCAAAGATACACTAGCTGCGGTGGTGAAGATGGAGTTTTCGACTACTGTGATCTGCCACGCCCAGAATCCCAAGAAGTGCTCGACAATCAAGCGGGTGCTGCTTATTGTGTTGGTGGAGATGGTGGATTTGTAACCTATGACATTCCTGCAACAGTACAACAGAAAGCGCAAATGGTGACGACGGCAAAACTGGGCGGTCTCTTTTACTGGCACATATGCTCTGACTCTCGAGGTCCTCGGAGCCTTATTGAAACTGGTTATAACACCCTACACGATATGTAGGACTTTGAAAAGCGCTATGCGGAATACCCATATTTTTTTCTATCTAAAAAAGCTTATCATTACCAAAACTGAAGTTGAAGTCATGTGTACACTTGTGGTTGTAGGGTAACATTCTATTGAAGAAAGGAAAGGTTTGATATGAGACAGTCTGAAACCTCAAAATGCAAGACAGCGGTCGACCTTGAAAAAAAAGCGACCGTAGCAAGTCAAAGGGACCGCACAATGCAGAAATAAGGCTGAAGAAACTATATTGACTTGGGGAAAAAAGGCAAAAAGAAAGGTCCTACCCGGATTCGAACCGGGGTCACGCGGATCAGAACCGCGTGTGATAACCAACTACACTATAGAACCAGTTGTTATGATGGCAGTTATTTTTTAGACATCATATACCTAAACTATCCTGCTTAGTATGATTATAGTCCGCCTTCTATAAGCCCTTAATGTTTGAACCTGTAAGGTTGTCATCACACATTTTGCGACCGAAAATTAGTGGATCACATCAACTTCCCAGAGGCGATTCATGCCCCATTGTCGGCGATTTTGCGGCGGGGCGTGGATAAGCAGCTCACCCCATGCAGTACCCGGGGGAGCCGAGGTACATTTCAATAATCAACATTTGAGAATAAGCTTCTACCAACACCCCTCATCCCCATGATTCCTTAGTTAGATAACTCTACTACCCCGGATTTTCGCTATACACGACACTTGAATGATTCTCGGCTTGTCCAGCAAGCACAAATAGTTCAAAGCTGCCAACTAGGCACAAGAACTTCCCCAATATGTCATCTTTGCCACCGAAGCCCGCAACAGCGGACACGGGCTATATCACCCAACCAGCGTCCTTGGAGAATACCTATACTTCCGACAAGAGCTTACAACGGTCATTACAATGTAAGTTTATCTGCGACCATGAAAATTTCGAAATTTCTGACTGAGGTGAAGGGTATGTTCCTTCGGCAATGCTTCGCGCGGCAGAGCCCCAACTTGCACAGCTCGGCGACGAAGCGGTATCCGACCAAGTAAGAGAGTGGAGTGCGGATGCGGAGCGAAACCAGCCCTATGTCAAGAGCCACAATGTTTGGGGCAAGCGATATGACTATGACCGACTTATCACGACAGAGGGGTGGAAACAACTGGGACATTGGGGCGCCCGTAATAAGATTGTCTCGGCAGGTTACGATTTATCCCTCGGATCACATCGAAGAACCATTCAATACACACTGTGAGAGACAATAGCAATTAGGTTAAGCTTGCAGAACAACATTTGTTAACCTCTACATAGGAATTATCTCTATGCACCATCTTCAGGGCTGTACTCTTGTCCCATTAGCATGACGGACGGAGCGGCTTTTATTCTATCTTCGAAGATTAGCAATCTGCCCTCTGATCACCCCTTCCACGCAGTGTTTAAGGGTCTTATTTCTGAAAAAGATGACCACTGGACCTCAGGTCAATGGATGACCGAGAGAGCTGGTGGAAGCGACGTGCAGAATACCGAGACCTGGGCGACCTACTCTCCACTCCCAAGCTCTTCCGGCACCGACCCTCTCGGAGATGGAGACTACCTGATCAATGGATTCAAATTCTTCTCATCCGCTACCGATGCCAACGTGGCTCTTCTTCTCGCAAAGACCCCATCAGGCCAACTGAGTACCTTTTTAGCACCGCTCCGAAGGATCATCGTTGGTGATGATGGAATCACCCATCAAGTTTCGAATGGTGTGAGGATTCATCGTCTGAAAAATAAGCTTGGGACTAAGGAGCTGCCAACCGCTGAGCTCGAGTTACAAGACATGCGCGCCCACCTAGTGGGAAAGTTGGATCAAGGAATAGTCACTATCGCACCACTGCTTAACGTCACTCGTATCCATACATTTGTTGGATCTCTGGCTGGCTGGCGTCGTGCTATCAGCATTGCCAAGAGCTTTGCCAAAGCAAGGTCAACTGTCGGTGAACCTTTGTGGCTAATCCCTATGCATCTCCGTCTTCTGGCCGATTTGGAAGTGAAACATCGCGGTGGGATGAACCTTGCGTTCTTCACAATTGTGCTGATGGGTCTAGTAGAAGGCGGCGTGTCACAGCCTTCAGAGCTCGCTCACCTTCCTCGTCCTGGGAAAGAGGCAAATGTGGTGTTCCGCACCTTAACCGCCACCTCTAAAGCAGTTATCAGCAAAATGTCCATTGCCGGCATACAAGAATGCCAAGAGGCCATGGGAGGTGTAGGATATATGGATGAGGCCGACGAGCCTGAGTTTAATATTTCGCGTATCCTTCGAAACAGTTCTGTCAACTCTATCTGGGAAGGAACTACAAATGTGTTAGCGAGTGAAATGGCTCGCTTCCTTCTAAAGGCTGGCAATTTGGAGATCTTTTCCTCGTGGCTTGATCGAACTTTGACGTTGATCCAAACAGCAAATCTACGAGAATCATTGACTAAAGCTTGGGCAGAGTTGCGAGCTCGCTTCTCCCCTAAGAACCAGCCACCGGCTACTATAGTGGCCGATGCTCGGCGCTACATGTTCACGTTGGCTTGGATACTCTGCGGAACTCTGCTAGCGCTCGACGCTGAGCGTGACCAGGATTCTGTGAGCAAGGAAATTGCCCGACGCTGGATTTTGAGTGCCGAGGGAGGTGTTGGAGATATGGTGTTCCATGATATAGTCACTGTACAGGAAGGTGAGTCGGCAAATTCGCACAAGGACGATCATCTGGAATGGGACTGCAGGATTGCATGGGATATTGAGCTCCCGGCAAATCGTGCATCTGGTCATCGATCCCTTCAAACCACTGGTTCGAAGCTTTAAGCATTGTGTTCGAGCCTTGGGTCCGAAATTTGTACAATAAATGAAAGGCACATAGTCAATGTGTACATAACATGCATTCCAACTTGAAGTTGTATTTAGATGATTTATCAAATTCTTTGACATAATTCACTCCTCTCTTCTGAGGTCCAGAGCTACTTTTATGCGGTATGACCTAATTGAGAATAAATAGTAGGCTACATTCCCAATGCGATGCTTACATCCCAAAAGCTCAAATACTCTTAATGCATCTTAAAGATCAAATCTAATGACAGTTCTACATAGTACAACTCTCTATTCATTCGGTCTAAATCTTAGATGGCCGATATCCCAAAGATGCAGTTGCCGGAAGCTCAACGCCCCAAACAATACGTGAATCCCACACTGTGCGCTCTTTGCCCGTGGGCCTTTGGCTCTGGTATGATGCCAGCTGTTGATAAATTAGGTCTGGGAATGCGAACTCCCCGGGAACCCCTTGCCCCTCCAAAATCCACCGGCGAGCCACCTCGAGGGCAACTCCATCATTGTCACGTTGGGCATCCAAGGCGAGCAAAGTACCGCATACCAACCATGCTAGAGTGAACATCACTTGACGCCCGACACTGAGGACATTCACCAGACCATCAGTGGTCTGACCAGCCGCAATTCTGATCTTCAGCTCAGCCCAAACATTTGATAATTTTGCTTTGAGCTCGTTCGCCGCGACTTGACTCATTGCATCCGACATCCATGAGTCGAACAGGTTGAGATTTCGTCCATTGGTAAGATGTCGCACTGTTTCGCTAGCCAAGACGTTGGTAGTGCCTTCCCATACACTGTTACTGGCTGTATCACGCCATAGTCTACTCACATTGAATTCGGGCTCTTCCGGTTCATCTGTACAAAGATATGTGGTTAGTAGGATAAACCAGTACTAGACATCGGATTCAACTCACCAATGTACCCCACTCCACCCATAGCTTCCTGACACTCTTGAAAGGCTAATGTGGCAGATTTACAGATCACCGCCTTGGAAGTAGATGTGAAGGCTCGCAATACAATGTTCGCAATCTTGGGGGATCGCGCCAGAACCGAGAATACACCTGGTGCCTCCTTTGGAAACCCATTGTCAACATAGCTGAGCAGCGACGAAGTAAAGAAAGCAAGTTGCATCCATCCTCGATGTTTAACCTCCAGCTGAGACAAAACATTAAGGTGCATCGGAAACGACCATAACTCCTGGTCAATCGTCGTTCGTGTCCGAGCAAACGACTTCGCAATATCCAGTGCACGTCTGAGACACGATAAAGCCGTGATAAAGTTATGCGTGCGCGTGGTATTCAACAATAGAGCAATTGTTGCAATCCCACGATCCTTTGGACCTATCAAGTGCGCACGAACACTCTGTAATTCGACCTCCGCGGTAGGCAACTCCTTTGTTCCCATCTTATTTTTCAGTCGATGAATGCGAATGCCGTTGGAGATTTCCCTCGGCTGTCCCTCCGAATTCTTCACAGTCTTTACTGTCGGTGCGACGAACAGAGACAGCTCACCGGATTCTGTTTTGGCTAGAAGCAAGACAATATTACAGTCCGTGGCACTGCAAAAGAACTTGAAACCGGAAAGCAGATAGTCTCCTTCTTCAATAGTCCCAAATCGGCCGGTCTTTGTTGTAAGGGGTGAATATACAGCGAAAGTTTCACTATTGCGTACATCACTGCCTCCTGGTCTTTCTGTCATCCACTGAGCTGAGATCCAGTTGTTTTCACGAGCGATCAGTTTTCTGTATAGCTCGTGGAAGGGATGATCCGGTGGTAAATCAGTTAGCTGGTGTCGGACTAATCTTGCTGCCCCAGAAGTCATGGAAATCGGACAAGAATATGCAGCAGAAGAGGCTGAAAAAATGTAGTTTCTGAGAAATTGGTGATTAGTGTGCTGAAAATAGACAATTGATATCTATCCATAGGTAAAACGAAGACTCACAATGCGTGCTGGACAATTCGACGATGCGATCCATATTCTTCCTCATATCCAAGTCCTACAACACTATTGAATTCATAAACCATTAGCTCAACCTCACCGAGAAATTTGGACCTGAAAATCTCATAGGAATATTTACCCATTTTTGACTCCCCATTTTCCCAGCTCTTTCCAGCCGGTACTAGTTACCAACCGGTCCGCATTGTACCGTGCACCCCAGACATTTCGAGTTTTGATATATGGCTCTTGCGTCTCTGCATTGCCAATCAAGCTATTGATCTCTTCAGAAATTGCCTCACGGCCAAATCTGTTCAGATCAGGCGCAAACTTTGCGAGTAGGTCCTCGGGGACATGCCCTGATATGTGACTAGTAAGTGACCGGACCGAAGCAAATAGGGTAGCCCAAAATGCTAAATCCCAACGAGAACCAAAAACTTACATTGCAAAATACGCTGAAGTACCTGATCAGAGGTTGATGGGTTCTTGAGTGCTGCAGGCGAAAGGATGAAGCCTTTGTCTACCGTTGATGGTGAGAATGGTTGAGACATACTGTTGATGACAGTCTACTTGACAGTGTACAAACGTATGATACTTCAACTTAAATAAAACCCGAGCAGGAGTATTATGAATTATAATAATGCAAAATTTATATTTGCATTTGTTTTGACTTGTCAAGCTCAATGTTGCATGCGGGGTTCACCTACTTGCGCTTACTAGTGTCATTCAGCCGAGCTATCCATAACATGGTACTTTGCCGAGCAAGAGCACCGACCATGACCGATGATCACCGAGAACAGCCGTGCGGAGTCATGAATCCCACTACATTGGGTCATTGTGGACATGCATTCCACGTAAGATATGAGGGGTCAGAGTATGGATTCGCCTGCACCGATCCTTCGGGGCTATTAATGCAGACATTAATGCACAACCTACAGCCAACGTTATTTAGGTGAAAACTTCCCCCCAAAGTACACGATCATAGACTCCAAATTATAGAGTTGTTTCAAGTGCTCAATTCCTATTATTTGGTTTTCGAAAGACATGTCCAGCCCATCATCCATGGGCAATGGCTCAAAGCCACGCCCAGTCTGGACACCTGTTGTCCCCCAAGATCAAATACCTATGAACATCTACCGAGCGCATGTCAACAAAAAGTTCAACCAGAACTTGTGTTCTTCACAAGAGCTACATAAATGGTCTGTCGAGAACCTGCAGGACTTTTGGACAGATCTCCATGGCTATACCAGTGTTATCCCACCATTGCCAGAAAACACTACTATGGCCTTTGATTCCAATACACCAATGGAGAAAGTACCCGAGTTCTTCAGCGGCGCGACTGTGAATTACGCTGAGAACGTCTTGAGTGGCAGAGATTTGAACAAAACTGCGCTAATAGGTGTTCGTGAAGGCCATGATTTGAGTGGGGAGGTCTGGACGTGGGGTTTGCTATGTGAAAATGTCCGAAAGGCCAGAAGCGCATTACTGCAAATGGGCGTCCAAGAAGGGGACCGGGTATCAGCTATCATCTCTACCAGTGTCTGGTCCATTGGACTATTCCTAGCAACTGCAAGTATGGGTGCTATCTGGACAAGCATTGCGCCTGATCTAGGCGAAGAGGTGAAAAGCATGTCCCATTATCACGAATTAGAAGGCTAATTTTCGAAGGGATGTATATCACGACTGCAACAGGTCACGCCCAGAGTGCTTTTTGCAGATAGCGAGTCTACATACAAAGGCAAAATGCGATCCAACAGCAAGAAGATTAGCAACATCGTTCAAGCTATGAAAGTGAAACCCGATGTCTTCTTGATTCCTATAACAGGAACTAATGATGGGGCATTCTCCACCCTTGACCACTTTTTGTCGAAGTCACGACCAGAAGACAGACTGGACTTTAAGAGACTCGCTTTCTCACATCCACTTTACATTCTCTATACAAGTGGAACGACTGGTCAACCGAAATGTCTAGTTCACAGCCACAGCGTGATCCTACAACACAAGAAGACATCCGTACTCCACAACTCACTCACATCCGACGACGTTGTTTTCCAGTTCAGCAGTACCTCATGGGTTCTATGGAATATAATGGTTGGCCATTTATCCGTTGGACCAACTCTGATTCTATATGACGGATCGCCACTCTGGCCTACAGCAAAGATCTTAGCCAAGGTCGCAGAATATCACTGTGTCACGTATTGGGGATGTTCACCTCGCTATTTACAAGAGCTTGAAATGACACGATCTATGCCCAAGGATGAATTTGATCTCTCCTCCCTGCGAATGGTACAAACCGGTGGCTCCCATCTAAGTGCAGACCAGTATTATTGGTTCTATCGTGCATTCCCATCGCATGTACATCTCACCAGCGTGACGGGTGGAACTGATTTAGTCACATCTTGGATTGGTACTGACCCTGCTGGTCCGGTTTATGCAGGGGAGATTCAACTGCCCATGTTAGGTCAGGATGTTGATGTGGCTGATCCCATAACTGGAGAATCAATCAAAGAGTCCGGTCGGAATGGTGAATTTGTTTGTCGACAGCCGTTCCCATCTATGCCTGTCTTCTTCTGGGGAGATAAAGATGGAGCCAAATATAAAGACACTTATTTTGATAAGTTTGATAACTGCTGGGCTCAACATGACTGGGCAAGCTATAATCCCGAGACAAAGGGCTGGCAAATACATGGTAGAAGGTACATTCTGACTCCCACTTCTTCCAACTTGACTGAAAGATGTAAGTTAATGCTAATAAACCTTAGCGACGGCGTGTTGAATCCTCAAGGAATTCGATTCGGATCATCAGATATCTACTCTATCACCGAGTCAGCACCATTCAACGAAATCATATCCTCTACTCTATGTATTGGAAGACGCAGACCACAGGACTCAGATGAATCGGTGTTCCTGTTTGTTATTATGCAATCCAATCAACCATTCACCAGTCAACTTGCTCTTGAGTTGAAAAACGCCATTCGGAACGGATTGAGTAGTAAACATGTTCCTCGCTTCGTGTTTGGTGTCAAGGAGGTTCCCATGACAGTCAATGGGAAGAAAGTTGAAACTTTGGTAAAACAAGTTATATGCTCTGGGCAGTTACCGAAGACTATCAGCAGCACAGTTGCCAATCCTGGATGCTTGGAGCATTTCAGAAAGTACTTCGATCTGGAAGTTTCTCAGGAAACCAGAGCGAAGCTATAGATATGAAGGAGCGGAACAAGAGAAAGAAAAGTCACTTAGTAAAGCAAGGAGGACTCGTTAATCTCAGTTGCTTACAATCTCATATCGTAAGATATGTCAGAGGTTCAAAAGGGATTTATCAATTGGAATTCCAATCTGATGTAGCTAAATGGACAATCATGATGTTGTACATGAAAACGTTAAAGACGTAAGAGACTTGAAGAAGTCTTCACAAATAGTGGAATGCGTGAGCACTCATATAGAACAATTTATACGTGAGATAGACTTGAAATTAATAAAAAAGACGCTGTAACAATCAGTAATCAACTTAGACTGGCAAACAATTCATCAAACATTTCAATTTCAGCTCTGCTTTCCTCCAAGAGGTTCCCAGGGATCATCTGATCCCACCTTGTAGCATCTTTCCCATCGGGAGTTAAACTTCTCGATGAAGTGTCTTGATATGCAGAAAAATTATTCAAATCATCTGTAAACAGCTGAGGGCTAGCTTTGGCAGGTTTATCCGCGTATTTCTCAACAAATGGTGGTAACCCCCAAATATCATAATGCCATTCCCCACGAGCAGAGCTCAGATCATCTAGAAATGAGTTTGACGTGCCGGTTGAGGGCGACTTATTGATAAAATCACTCATCCACGATGCATTATAGGAATTTGTTAGACTGGGCTGGCGTATGATAGCCATGTTCATTTCACGAGTATAAGAGAACTGCTCGAGATGCTCCATGACCTTCGTGAGAACGGCTTCCCATGTATCTCGGTATTTTTCTAGCTGTTTGTTGCGTTCTGAAACCGCAAATAAGACCGAGGAGCAAGCTCCTAGATCATTAGCCACGTCAACTGAGCATGGCTGTGAAGATCGAAATAAACAATAACTGCGAGTTTGATGTTAGTTCCGTCAATAGCCGCTGAGGTACTAAACTCACCATAATGTAAGACCAGCTTTGAAAAGCGTACTAACAAGGAAATACCCAAAGCCTATATACCCCTTTTGATGCAATGCTTTGAACACTTGACACATTTGCCCCGATGCCCTCATGCAAGTGCGAATCAATTCATGATCAGAAGGAAGCTCTCTGAGAAACGGCTGGATAAGGACCACAATTCCATTATTCCAATGCATATTGATCCAATCTTTATCTATTGGCGATAGATCAGACTGTAAAGATCTTTTGTATTCTTCCAAAGCCGAGAATAATGGATTGATCTCAGGTAAGAGTAATGAAACTTCCTTGTCAACCCTATGAACCCGAGTTTGAATCTGCGATTTCAGACGTATCAGCCTGATAGCCGGGCTGAAAACAGATATGCTGCTTCTCAAATGTTTTTGTCGACGCAGAACCTTCTCATTCGTCGAGGCTTGGATAGATTCCCGAAACTCAAACGGCAAGCCAACATCGATATCATGTTCAGCGATATTGAAGGGTCGATCAAGAAGTCTTGCAATACTTCGATCCATGATATACACACTCCAAAATAAAAGTCGCCTTGCTTGCGACTCGACATCTTTTAAGTGAAGATAATTAGCTTCCCTGTGTAATCCAAGATCTATTGCTGTTCGCATTGCCAACCCAATCATATACCAAATATTCGAACTATTCGGTATTCGAAGATTATACATAATCAATAGCATCATGGCTTCGATGCTCTGGAGAGATCGAAGTTCTGTAACGGGAGGTTTGAGTTGCAAAGCTGTGCGTAGTAGATCAAGATCGGATATACTGAATTGCGGCTCTATGGATCGGCACGTCGCAGCTCCGACCGCATAAACCATGAATAATTTGAAGGCTTTCCACCTAGCAGATCGATTCGGTGCAATCGGTTCAGATCTCTCATCGTGTAGTTGATATATCTCCTCCAAATCGAGATACGGCATATGATTATGCATTGTCTCCATGTATACCCTGATATACTTCAAGCCCTCCCCATCGGTAGGGACATTCGGGTGTGCAGGCTGAGACTGGTCGTCACTGAATTCAGTCTCATATTCTAGGCTGGATTTGTCTGAATAGCAACTTTCCATAACAGTCTCTTCAAATACTCGATCCATCTCCTTCGCAATCAAAGTGCCTGGTGGTGATGCAGATGTCTGAGGCGTCTGGCCTGACATTTGTCCCGTCGTCAAGAACTCCATAACATCGAATAAATAGCCTACCTCGGGCACGTTGGGAATGAACCCAGACGGTTGACTTCTTGGGACCTGGGTGACGGTTTTTACTTGAGCTTCTAACTCCTCGATTTTATCGAAGAGGGCATCCTTTGACAATCCATGATATCTCTCACATGCCGGCTGGGATTTGGATGGGTCTGATCTTGTGCATGAAGAGTTCGCGGTCTCGCAGTTAGTGCAGGTCGGATACCCCACACATCGCTGCTTCCGACGATGACAGCGCCTACAGGCTTTCGGGTTGCGTTTCCGGATCTTAAATTGGTTGGATTCCATCGATAAGGTAGGTTTCAGTGATTCGATAGTCAACTAGGAACTATAGGGTAACCAAATTACATTGAAGGGTTCATGACAGGTTCAGAGAAAAATGAAACAAACGACCGCGTTTCGGGGATTCTTGCAAGTTCAAGTGTTCCAAATGTCGTGACTGTTGTGGATAATCACGAACCCCTCAACTGGACTAGCCAGTCACGTGGAGGCATTTGAAAGCATCGCGGGGATCACCGGTACATCATACTACTTGAAGATGCACATGGAGTAGTTGAAATTTTGTGTTGCTGTTGGATATCTTTTGTTAAGAGTCGCTCAAACCATGCTAAGACTATATTTACATTTCTGTGGTGGCCAAACTAGAGATTTAATAACCAAGAGCCACTCCAATCAAACCCTGAGCCTTCCCAGGAAGTGCCAAATGATTCCAAGTCGTTGTTTAACAATGGGAGATCGAAATTATCTAATAAATCGTCAGGTCGTGGGTCGATTGTCGGTAGCGCATCAGTCGGATCTTGCAACTCAGCCAACGTACAAGTCGGCTTATTGAGATTGCTACTTTCCGTCTCAGACGGTTGTCCAATAAACCGCCACTGTTTACAAAGTTTGAAATCGAATCCCTCAAAAAAGGCCGCGGTATCAGGATCCAAAGTGCGCGGTGGGCTGTCAAACTGACCCTGCGCCCGGACCTTTTCAGTTAATTTGTTCAAGGCTCTTAAAGGACCGACAGCGGAGAGCCATCTCTCAGATAATTTCTGAAGAGAAAGTTTCATGACGGTCAGCTCATGCTCAGCCGTACTTTGAAGTTGTGGGTAGCGACAGCACGAAAGGTGTGAAAGGCCAGCACAAAGCGGATAGAACGAAAATACAGGACCGAGATAGCGAAGCTCATCTCTGAGGAGGAACTCCTCGTAGATACCTGCGATGAAAGATGATGCGACTAGCGAAGCGGCCGGTGGAATACTATTAGGTGCTGGTCGATGCAGGATCGTCAAAGTGACAAAATACATGACCAGTAGCTGCTGAACTTCAAAGCGAGATGTGATCGAATCATCCTGGGTGTTGGCTAAAGTGCTTAGTTTTGGAATTACTTGCTTGGCCCATCGATATACGGCATTCTCAAGGTCACCACGCCGTTGTCTTGATATCTCTCTTCGCAAGTAACACTCCACAGTATCGCCAAGAAGGCAAGATATTGTGCAATATGCTAAAAACAGTTGCGTCTGGAAGTCTTTTGTCGGAAAATCATTCATCGAAGGTGGAAGGACATCACTGTCGCGTAAATTGATTGTACGAGGCCGACCAACACCGACTGATATGACATTATCACGGATCTGCAGTGGATAATTAGCACCTCTTACATGAATTTAAAGTTGAGCGACCGGGGATAAAAACCCACCACTAAAGACCACCATAAGCGTCGACGAAGACCACGATACTTAGCATTAAGCGGAGGCTCCTTGTGCAATCCTATTTGAAATGCCATCGCCCCAGCTGTCCGAATCCAAAATCCACTCGTATCAGTCGAAACATCCTCAGGCCCAACAGGATTGTACCAATGCAAAAGACAAGCAGCCACAATAGAAATAAGCGAGCCATGGCCTCCCCCAAAAAAGAAAAGAAGTTTTGCGCGTCGATAAAAAACCTCACTAGATCCATAATCCAAATGAGCTTTAGATACTCTAGACCCAGCAAGGAATATAGACTGTAAAAGAAGCATAGAAGGCGGCGTGCTCTCATCCAACCATGCAGGATCAATAACCGGTGTCCAAGGTGCACAATACTTATTAAAGCTATCCATAAGCTGTTTCTGAATAGCTATTGGCGGTAACTCAAACGCTCCTTGTTCGCGTAACATTCGTAAATCAGCCGCTGAGGCCTTAGGACTCGTATACGTTGTCTCGTGGCCAGGTTTGACCATATTTTCATCAAACGGTACAGTGCCACCTAAGTACTCGCTCCGACCGCGGTAGCTTTCTTCTTTAATGAAAGAGTCGCTTGCATTGTTTGCAAGAGGTTCAATGGTTTCATGAGTAGTTACGCCGTCCTCATATACAGCAGGTGGTGATAGACTTGATACGGGAGCGCTTTCAAGAGACGCGTCCGCGGGCAACTGCGAGCTTCGGCGACTGACGGAGTTTGATGCGCGTGCAGTGCGCCCAGGCGAGAGACTATTCGTAAATCGTTTACGCTTTCGCGTGTACGGTCTAGATTAAATATTAGCTCAAAATATTCATACACATACACCCGCAACCAGTATCAGTCTACTCACTGGCACGCCACTTCGGATTTGGTGCAGTTCGTGCAGGGATTGTGGATCGCGAGGTCGCAGCGCACCTGGAGCTACATGTTAGTACACCTGTGTACCTAGCCTAATCGCAATGGCTGAGAGCTAGGGAAGCAGGGATAAATAATACCTTCCGCTTATGACAGATAATACATGCACTTGACATCTTACCGTGTAGATCGATGGGGGGGATGGAGATGTCAAAGTGTGGGGGAGGTTAGTCAAACCGAGGCATCTCGGGATGTTTTTCGTGCTGGCCCCGACTTAAACTTCAACCTTCCCCCACCCATCTGAACTGAAATGAGATTGACCTCATTCTCATTCAAGTCTACCATGATCAAAGAATCATGGCAGAGACAACCTCAACCACCGTGGTAACAGACACCACCTCACAGCAAGGAATCACAATCATCTCGATCAATCGGCCAACAAGAAAAAACGCAGTAGATCTTTTAACTGCGAAACAGCTCTACAATGCCATCCTTGCCTATGAAGCCGACGCAACGCAAAAAGTCTGTATCCTGACAGGCGTCGGTGATACGTTCTGCGCCGGGGCAGATCTACATCAAGTCGCAGGAAAACAAGACAACTCCCCAAGGGACAACCTTCAACCCGTCAATGGACGTAACCTAGCACCAATGGGTCCTTCACGACTCACTGTTCAGAAACCAGTGATATGCGCCGTGGCAGGCTACGCGGTAGCAGGAGGACTAGAGCTCAGTCTACTAGCAGATCTCCGTGTTGTCGAGGAGGATGCTACATTTGGCGTATTTTGTCGACGATGGGGTGTACCTCTGATTGACGGGGGTACAGTCCGACTCCAAGCGATTGTTGGTCTTGGTCGCGCGATGGATATGATTCTAACAGGCCGACCGGTGGATGCTCAAGAGGCATTGACTATGGGTCTTGCAAATCGTGTAGTACCAAAGGGAGAGTCTCTAAAGCACGCGTTAGAAATCGCGCGACAGCTTCTAGTCTTTCCTAACATGTGCCTCAATACCGATCGCCAATCCTGCTACTATAGTGCTTATGAGGCGCGTTCATTCGAAGACGCGATGTCGCACGAGTTCACAGCAGGATCTAAGGTCATTGCGATTGAATCCATTCAAGGCGCTGCGAAGTTCAGTAAAGGATCCGGCAGACATGGTAGCTTTAAAGCTGGAAACAGTAAGTTGTGATGTCAGTACTAAGTAAACAACTTCCTATCTTCTATTCTATCAAGGCCATGGGGTATATTTTGGAATTTTGGAATTCAAAATCTATATTGAAATAATTATACAAACACTGGAAGTCCACCATAAACAACCAATTGACGAAATAACAGAACCAATCAAGCCTAGACTAATTGGTCTTCTCTTCCTCTTCTTCCTGCTCGGGCGCAAACTGGATGCGCTTACCATAGATAAACGGAGTTCTAGACAACAATGATCCGAACGCATACCCAATGTACGCACCAGTCAGGATAGTAATAGGGAATGCCTGCCACGGACGATCCCAATCAAGAGGAATAGGTATAGCACCGAGCCAAGCACCCAGACCAGTCCCCAAAGCGCTACCCCAAACAGCATCAGCAGGTCGAGCAATACCCCAGACCTCCTTCCATACGGAGGCCTCTACGCCATGCGCGTAAATCAATCCAGAAGCGGAGAGAAGAGCCATATGAGCTGCGCAGAGAACAGTCTCGTAATTGTGGGTTGTGAGCGGGGCACCGAAGAGGACGAGGAGAACGGCAATAACGGGCGTAGCAAGGAGGAAGCTTAAAGACATAGAGAGGAAAGCAGGCTATTATAATTGAGTTAGTATATTAAAACTCATATCACTCAATAGCACAAATCACATAGACCATCAATACATACCATCAGCTTAGCCCAAATCCCCGCCCAGTCATTCTTTCCAGAGTTCTTTCGTCGGTAGCCAGGTTTACGCGAACGGGGGCTTTTGGTATCATGGCCAGAGGGACCATCAGAGACGGGGACCGTTGTCCCAGCAGGAGGAAGACAGAGTAGCACATAGACAAGCTGCAGAAGAGCAAGCCATGGGAGATCCTTCAGGAGTTCCTGTACAGGGTTCTCCACCAAAGCATTGAACCGCGACGCACCCAGCGCAAGGAGAAGTACCGGGTGTGCATATGAGTATGTCTGCGCTAGTTGGGAGGGGAGGGTATTAACTGGAGGAGCGGAGGCTTTTTCGACAGGGGCTTGTGATGTCGAGCTAGGTGAGTTCATAGTGACCGCGGCGGGGGAGTTTGGAGAGGCCATGTCGAATTGAAGCTCTCCGGTACTTCTGTCCAACTTTAGCTTTTGCTTGTTGGATTTCCTTCTCCTGCGATGAATATCTTGTTTCCGTAGCTCTCGGCTCTCCCGGCGGAAAAGGAACAAGGGTCCACATGTTTGTATGGTTTGATGTATTGTTCTCTCCATGTAATGTAATTGATTCCATTTCAGGGTTCGGAACAACTTCCTAGGGATTTTCACTATTAAGTAGCAAGTGTGGCCGAGTTGGTTAAGGCGTTGGATTCAAGATATCATCTCTTCCCAGAGAATCTTTACTATTCTAAATAGTAGAGAACTAAAATCTGGAATTCCCAATGGAGCAATCCGCGCGAGTTCGAATCTCGTCGCTTGCACTTTCTTTTTTGTCTTTTTTCCCAGCTTCCTGTCTTGCTTCCTTAACTGATTCTCACTCTGCTTTATTTGATTTTCTTTATATAGATGTCAACTTCAATGTTCGCTGGCCATATTTGAAACTTCAAAGGAATAATTTATTTTAAAACGAGTTTTGACCACTTGGGTATCATTATAGATATATATATACTGCCTAGGTATGACATCTTTCAGAATTACCTCACAAGAGAACCCCGGTGAACTTGAAAGCGTGAACTTGAAAGGATGCGTCATTCGGTCACTGTGCTCTCACTCCATGACTGCCAGTGCTTCAAAATCTTCTTGTCAGCCTGAATTTCCAAGGTTCATCTCTTACCTCTTAGGGCTTCAAGTTCAAGTTGCGACCTTCAACTTTCTACCCAGGGCATGAACATCCATCCTGGATTGAAAGGTAGACGTCCTCAAGTATGGACATATACCACAACCTTGGAAGTCATCTATCCTTTTAATGGTTCCCTAGTAATAATCTATGATTCCTTGCAAAGCTTGAACGTTGAGTCCTAGATGGAAACCCAGCTCTTACGAACCTGAAGTCTTGCTAACATATAAAGCATGATCAAATACTAGATCTTCCAACTTGCCATGTCGTTCCTTGACCTTGAAGGGTCCAGCGTAGCGGCTGCCAAGTTTTGAGGCAGACACAGGCCACATAGCTAAGATGCCGATCGAAGCTCACTTAGTCGAGAACCTGAAAGCCAAGCTACTCATTGGGCCCGATGTTATTGATCCTGAGGAAATTGACCTTCTGTTCGAGCGTAAGGCTACTATCACTAAAAGAAACTCCATGCAAATGAAACGATGCAGAATGATAGTCACCCAACAAAATTCAACGCGTTCATGATGTCAGTCATTGAAGATATGCCACAACAGCAACTCTGGTGTCAGCCATGAAGTTCAGAAGGTTGAACAAGACAAGTTCTAGTCCCGGATGCAGATCCAAACCCACCAGTGACCGTATCCAGAGAATGAATGGTGACTTATTCAAGAAGATACCATTTAATTCAGAATTACGAAAAAAACCCTAGACAACCCTGAGATTGAAGACGAGACCCACAATTGGGATGTGTTGCAAATGAATCACACGGATGACAACGCCTAATATCTCGCGCGAGAATACAAGAATTCTCCGATTTTCACTCTGACTCTGAACCTCTGACTTTGAATTGGAATGTACAGCGTTGGCAGCAGCAGTAGAAGCAAATAACGATGGGCTATGAACAAACCAAAGAGCAAAATCGATCGCACTTTGCTACAGTTGTGCGAGCGAGAGGTTGAGCAGACATAGTCTTCCCGACCCTGAGAGAGATACGCCAGAGAAGGAGAAGAAAGTACAGAAACATCGTGTATGTGATCTTTTGTAGTGGATTAGGTGATAGCGCGTGGTGCTAGGCCAGGATGGTTATGATACGGCTGACAAAGACGCATGAACGATTACGATTATTGATAATATCTCACAGTTCTTGCGTCTGCCCAGGTGTCGCCCTTGGATGGCATGAGGCTGGGACTCACCTGAAAACCATGCAATTATTCTTAGCATAAGGCAAATCTCAGTTTTATTGCTTCAAGTTCCAACATCCCCAATTATACTTCTTTAAACACCAAAATATCTTATACCGATCAGGAATAAAGATCCAAGAAATGAACATAGGCTGGCTTAAATACTGAAACGTACATACAGTCATATCACATAGCAACGCGACCGTCAAATCACCACCCACGGCAATAACGAAGAAATAAGCAGATGAGAAAACCTGCGTGAGAACATCGAACGACCATGTCGGAAGTCCGGGTTCCATAAACAGCAGAGCAAGCACTAGCTAAATACGATGGAGGAGAAAGAAGGGAAAAAAGGACAAGAAAACAACTTGGGTAATAGCAGAGGAACAAGCGAGTCATAAAGTAATTCGTAAGAAGGCTGATCAAAGCAAGTACAGGATATCTGACAAAGGAGTCTAAACATGGCAACTACATTGGCGAAACTCGATCAAATTTAGGTAGACGTATCTTTGGGTACGTCTTTCTCTGTTGGTTCCTGGTGTGGCTCGGAGACAGTAGCAGGCACCAAAGACCCAGCCTCCGGTGCAGGGACAGGAATGGCAGGAACAGCAGACTTTATCTCGGGGCTGTGTGGTTCTTCAGGAATTGAGGGAGGTAAGCCTGCACCTGGCAGTGGTGACGCCGGTGAACGTACACCTTCTTCCTTAGGCGGTTCACTTGGCACATCTATTGTGGGCCTCTCACTGGTTTGGTTCGCGGTCGGAGAAAGTGGTTGATTGATAGTGGATGGCTCACTGTCAGAATGCGAAGGGCTCTTGACCCGCTCACGATCCTCGCGAACTCCATCCCGCACCTGAGCTACCTTGGCTTTAAACTTGCCGAACAAACTCCTTCTCTCTGGCTCGGCACTTGAGACAGAGCTGCCTTGAATACCAGCATCTAAGCTTATAGGCTGGCTGGTAGGGTCATTGCTATGAGGTCCACCACTCGCAATTGAGCTGGTGCTATGGTCAAGTTCTGGATGGGTTGCGCCAAGGGGAGGAGATGCTAGACCTAGTCCGACCTGTTCGCTACTGCGTTTAGCAGAACGATGGAAACGCCAGCTTCGGCGATGATTCGCACGCTCGGAACGGGCAGTATCATCGGGTTGATCCAAATCCGAGGTGTCAGTGAAAGAGGAGCGTGAATTCATTGAGGGTGTGCGTGATTGATGTGGTCGTAAGGTGGTCTCATTGTTGCTTGGATGCGCGGCGCCTTCAACCAACACTGTCGTTGAGTCCGATGCCATGTCCCGATTATTGAGAGTGGCGACATTGGGAGGTTTGGGGGTATCTTCCCCAAGGGCCTCTGTAGACTGGTGTCCTGGAGTTGCCTCTAATGTGCTGTGCGTATGCGTATGCGAATGAGTATGGGCAGCAGGCTCGTATGGCCCGTGGAGAGAGTTCGTGGAGCTCTGGGCACTTATACTGGCACTCCCTGGGATCCTTTTCTTCTTGAGACGATTTGGCTGTCGTGACTCCTTCAGATCACGATCCGTAGGAGGTGATTTGGCGAATAAGTTGGAGAGTTTCCGTTCGCGAGTGGGCGTCACGACCTGAGGGAGTGGAGGAGATGTAGGCGTGTCAAGGTTCTCATGTGGGTGAGGCAAGTCATTAACGCTGAGACGAGCGGCGGTCCCAACAGGGATAGGGCCGTGTGTGGAAGTATGAACATATCCGGAGCCTGCCGACGATGTCGTAGCTTGACCGTTGTTTCTCTGTTCTGGCTTTGCCTCTACTTCTGGCTTCGGTTCTGCTTCCTCGCGCAGGGAAGGGGTTCGACTGGCTTCGCGCGAGCTATTATGAGACGGTGCCAGAGTAGATGGATTGGCCGAGCCGCTCTCTGCTGCTCGTGCGTGACGCGCAGAAGTAAGCACTGGCCCCATCTTGGAGGGCAGAGTATTACTTCGATGAACACTTCCGGAAACAGATGTAGGAGTTCCAGGGCTGGGAACCGTATTCGAGGTGCGGGAGTTGCGCGAGTTGCGAGATGAGACGGAAGCATTACGGCGTAAGGTATCCAGTTTGCGGTGACCCTCCGCATTCGCGCTGGCGCTTGAGGCGGAGCGTCGAATAGTAGAATTGGGCGATTTGGTACCACTGGTAGGCTGTGTGCCAGAGGTAACAATCCTGGGCTGGACACCAGCCTGGACCTCTTTTATAGTTTGCTCGTCGGCTTTGGTACCATTCATACCAACCAAGAAGTGGTCTTGATTCTCAATCAAGAAAATCAGGACATCTTGGCTAAGCTTATACTCCTCCGGCGACATGTCGTGATTTGGATGCGACAGCATACCAGGCTGGAAAATGGCAGAAAGGTTGCCCGAGGTCATGCGGTTCTGTTCTGATTTGGATGCGAATACGGCGAGGAGATCGAGGATGTATAGCAGGAGTTGTTTGTTCAGCGGAGGGAGTTCGATGATCAGGTTCTGGTACGTCTCGACAGCCTTTGCGTGATCGAATTTGTCTGGATCGTCCTCAGTACCCTGGGTGCCTTCTTGCACCTGCTTCTGGTATACCCGCAAGGGCTCGCGGAATCGCTCGTAGAATTCGAGTGGCACGATGGGTTCAGGTAACTGATTAAGGTAACGACGCAATACGTTGGCAGCATCGTGAACAGTATATCCATCCCAATCCAGACCCTTGCCGTATCGCTCGGGCGAATCGAACAGCTCTTGGAGATCCTTGATTCGCTTCGCAGAACCATTGAGTCGGAAGATGCCTTCCACATCCGTAGCTACAGTGGATAAGACAAGTTAGCGCCCATAAGCACTGCATGACGTAGGAAGAGGTTATACTGGAAAGCGTACCTTTTTCTTTTAGGAACACGCCGCACTTGGCAACGACGATGGGGACATAGCCATAGATAAAGTTCTCGCCTTGTTCATTGGTGAGAGAGATAGCGACGTTGGCGTACTTGATACTTTCATTCAGTGGTACTCCAAAAATACCTCGCGGGGGCTCTGCTTTATGAGTCAGCTCATCTACTTCATTTCTCACGTCTAATCGATCGCCCAAATTGATCCCCTCGAGTAACTGCCCTGCGCGTCGACAGGCTAGAGGGGAGATGAACGGAGTATCCAAAGCATGGGTATTGAAAACGGCTCAGGGGGATACGGATGTTTCGCGAATCGCCGCGCACCGATGACGCGGGATGCCACAGGATGCGAGCGATCGCTTGGGGATGTTGCTATGACGAAACATCGCTTCACGCAGTGGAAAAAATATCCACGTACCTTTTATGTCCTCTTTCCTCGTGTTTCGTTTAAACTGTCTCCACCATGATGCTAGGTCTCGCTTTGAAGGCGGGGAGTCGGCGCCAGCGGGATCGGGGGAGGTCGCGGGGAGCTGGACAGGCTCGACACCAGGCTGGGATTTGCCGGTCACCATGGTGTAGCCCAGGGACGAAGGAATAGCGGCGGACGTAATATAACGGGAGAGGGATCTCTTCGGATGAGTCGCTTCGAGGATTATGGACAGGTGTAGAGCGAGGATCGCGGGAATGTTTAACGGGGGGGGGGGGTAGGACGTCACCGCCCGTAGAAAATACCGGGGCTGGGCCCAAGAGTAATTAGATCGAGACAGGCGAGGGCGACGGTATGGGAAGGGAGAAATGTAGCGAAGTTATAAAAAATCGAGAATGGCACAGGGAGAGTAAAGGATCGAGTTCCTTAAAGCCAAATAAAAGGGGCGCCGAAGAAAAAAGATGAAGGGATGTGAGAAAGGGTCTTGGAGAGAGTCGAATCACCGAGGGGAGGTGTGGGGAGCACGAGCCAAAGGGTTTTGTGTGGCTCTCACTGTATCTGCGCTCGGTTTCTGCCGTAATTAAGTCGGAACCACAGAGAATAGATGAGGTCGATGGTGATAATAACGTGCAGAAATTATAGGCGAAATATAGAAATAGGAATAGAAACAGAAATAAGAATAGTAAAGAGGGCGAGACCGACCAGACCAGTATCCACGGTTCTAGGAACTGGTTCGACTGTTTAGGGCCAGCTGTCACTGTCACGGTGTATCATATAGATGACAGTTCTCGTCGCCTGCAGAAAATACTCCAATGACTGCAAAGATTGTAAAGATTGCAAAGACTCATGGTTTGTAGGTAATAAGTAAAAGGGTTTACAAAATCTAAACAAGAAAATACTACGAGATCCAGGCTCAAGCCAAATTTTGAGATCACGATCTGTTCTCTAGCAAATTGAGTGTATGTTTTCGGGTATCCAGCATTCCATGGGGTTCTGGACTTCTTGCCCTTGGTCTCAATCAATTAGGATATTCTAATTTAAGGGTCTTTTTTTTGTGACGGAGGGTCCGGATCCAGGTACACCACCGGGGTGGAGTCCCCGATGTCTCAGGTACAGGGCTCAGGTACGGTACAGAGTATATAGGATGGGCTAGATATCTGTTGATTTATTGATATATTGCGCGATGTAGATTTTACAGTATATGTATAGAGATATAAAAAAAATATAATTAACTTACCACAGAGACCCAAAGTACCCAGGATCCCAGCATCATTGTAACCTTGGACGTATTCCTGATGGTCCACCATGGGCATCTTCATCTCCAACTTGTTCCCACTAGGCTGCAAACGGTCGGGCCGATCACGTGAAGCACAAGACCTTTGAGCCCCATATTCAAGGCATCAACAATCTCCCTTTTGGGAGACACCATAATCATGTGACATCACCGGCGGATCAACATACTTGCGGCTCCCGAGAGAAACAGCTTCGGAGCTGCAGGGCGTGTTCCCGGTCGTCAAGAAACGAATCCAACTCGGTCGATCTGATCTCATCAACAAACTACCTTAATTCTTTTTCGATCAATCCCTATAAAACATCACAATGGAAGGGTATGTCTAATTGTTCCTCAACAATCCCCTACGTGGATGGTTTTGATCCATGGATGTGCGGAAGAATGGCAACTAACCGGAATCTTAACAGTCTTAACGCATCAGAGCAGCGCGAGTTCCAGAACCGCATGGAGCGCAAGCAGCTGAAGGAGTTTATGACTGTATGTCTCAATCCTATTTCAGCATGACGGAATCTCTCATACAACCCTATCCCATTCCATCCCGTCCCTCGACTTCAACAGAAACCACCCTGGTCCTCCGTCTTTTATTTTTTTTCAACGTCTTCAAACAATCAACAACTGACCTTTTTCCTTTTCTCTTTGATAGATGTACTCCAAGATGGTCCAGCGCTGCTTCGATGACTGCGTTAACGATTTCACCACCAAGTCTCTCATCAACCGCGAGGAGACATGTGTCATGCGCTGTGTCGACAAGCACCTGAAGAGCTCCGCCCGCCTGCAGGAGCGCTTCCAGGAACAGAACGCCGCCATGATGCAGAGCGGCCAGATGGGAAGCCAATAAGCAGTTCGTTCGAGTTGCGTGGACTGGAATGATGTCTTTTTTTCAGCTCGACGTGGACAAAATGTTCATCTGATGGGTAGGGGGGCCGCCAGATGACAGTGTGTTTTCAGGACCTCTTCCCCCCCCTTTTTTTATAGAAGCCAGCCAGTCCTAGCACTTGGATCTTATTTGGATGACCATTGCAGTTCCAATGGGACCAAGATGCTAGATTGGATCTTCATGTACCATAGTGATTTCCGGGACGGGATGAACCGGAAATGACCCAGTTCTCCATTCTCGATTCCCCAAATAGAAAAGGCGCTGTATCGCCAGTATTGATCTCAAGATTCTTAAACCTTTTTTCTTTTTCATCTTAACCATTTCTATATGTTCATCTGGGCCATTTATATGTGGCAGTTTCCAAGGTATTCCAATTGGAGGGTCCGAGTACACCAGTGTTTGTCGGGTGCAGTGTGACCCACAATGAACAGAAAGAGAATTGCCGGCGGAAAACGCTACCAATTTGGGTACTGGAACGAGTGCTAGGCTGTTAGTACTGTCACTACTAACAGTATGCACAGCTAATGCTCCCGGGCTAGCATTGTGTAGTTGCTAAATCTGTACCTAATCTGCGGATCTAGTGACTTTATCATATCTATGCTATCTATCAATTCGCAATTATTATGCAGTCATCATGTATAATACCTTAAACATCATTCTTATCTCCCAAACTGTCGGGAAACCCCAATAACCCGAATCGGTCGAGTCATCGAAGCTTTCCCGGTTCACTCGGGCCCGTCACCCGTTGGAGAGACACGGGTACACAACTTTCGAGAAAAAGACGCCCCTCATCCTCCTCATCTTTCTCCTCTTCTGTTTGTTCCCCCCACTCCCCTCACGTCTGGGCCCACTCCCCTCGCAAACTTTCTGCTCATAAAACCCCCTCTGTTCCCATCTTCCCCCCGTCATCTATCTTCGTGAGTCAGGTCCCTACCCCCACCATTCATCATCTACTGACATCTTCAGTCTAGTACGATCTCAGTCTTTGACATCATACATCATGGCTAGCACAGTAGGAGAGGTAATTCCCCCTTCTCATATTCTCTTGAGGTTCATTTACCTCCATTGCAAAGCTTGAAGCTAACTTCCGATAACAGACCATCACTTGCAAGGTAAGAAAGAGCTCTACATTCCACCCCGCCATCAATGACGTTATCAACCCCGCGAGACTGGACCTTCTTCACCTTCACCTTCACCTTCATTGTCAACCTTCCAATGAAATCCAGGATATGAGAACCAAAAAAGAACACGAAGATGAAGATGAATAAAAATATCGCAAAAACACAAATAACTAATCATTTAATAGGGTGCCGTTGCCTGGAATGCCGGCGAGCCTCTGTCTATTGAAGACATCGAGGTTGCCCCTCCCCGCGCCAACGAAGTGCGTATCCAGATCCACCACACCGGTGTCTGCCACACAGGTAAGCTACATTGACCTCACCTCGCCTCACATTTAGAGACGAAAGTTTCGAAAGTAATTGAACGCAGACTAATTCAATTAGATGCCTACACTCTCTCCGGAAAGGATCCCGAGGGTGCTTTCCCCATCGTCCTCGGACACGAGGGAGCCGGTATCGTCGAGTCCATCGGCGAGGGCGTAACCAACGTCAAGCCCGGCGACTACGTCGTCGCTCTTTACACCCCCGAGTGCCGCGAATGCAAGTTCTGCAAGTCTGGCAAGACCAACCTCTGCGGAAAGATCCGCGCCACCCAAGGTAAGGGTGTGATGCCCGACGGAACCTCTCGCTTCAAGGCCCGCGGTAAGGACCTGCTTCACTTCATGGGTACCTCCACCTTCGCTCAGTACACCGTTGTCGCCGATATCTCGGTTGTGCAAGTTACTCCCAAGATCCCCACCGACCGATCCTGTCTGCTTGGCTGTGGTATCACGACCGGCTACGGTGCTGCCGTGGTGACCGCCAAGGTTGAGGAGGGTTCAAACGTCGCTATCTTCGGCGCTGGCTGTGTCGGTCTTTCTGTTATGCAGGGTGCCGTTAAGAACAAGGCTGGTATGGTCATTGCTGTTGATGTTAATGATGACAAGGAGGCTTGGTCTCGCAAGTTCGGTGCTACTCACTTTGTCAACCCTACCAAGTTGTCTGGAAAGACTATCCAGGAGCACTTGATTGAGATGACTGATGGTGGATGTGACTACACCTTTGACTGCACTGGTAACGTTGGTGTTATGCGTGCTGCTCTGGAGGCCTGCCACAAGGGTTGGGGTGAGAGCATTGTCATTGGCGTCGCTGCTGCTGGTCAGGAGATTGCCACTCGCCGTAAGAACCCTTTCCTTTTATCTCTGTCAAATTCTCCGACTAATTTTGATTTTCTTCATAGCATTCCAATTGGTTACCGGTCGTGTGTGGAAGGGATGTGCCTTTGGTGGTATCAAGGGTCGCACCCAGCTCCCCGGTCTGGTAGACGACTACCTGAACGGCGACCTAATGGTTGACGAGTTCATCACACACCGTGAGCCTCTGACCAACATCAACACTGCCTTCGAGCAAATGAAGAAGGGCGACTGCATCCGTTGCGTCGTGGACATGAAATAGATGAAATGTGTGATATAGCTTGATGGACCAAAAGGCCTGACGTGAAATAATGAATTTCCTTGTGGTGTTAAATCATGTGCACAATTCCGATAACCGTAGACGACCACTTGCGCTGGAATTGGACTGGGCAGGTATCCTCTTAATAACGGAGACCAAGAAGAGGGGAATAAAAGAGAAAAAGGACAAGCTATACTCTTTGTACTACACCACCGCCTTCCAAGGTCCTCACCCCGCTACCTTGTGAGCACAGCACAGAATTTATACAGAACAAACATCAATCCATCGTCTACGTACCCATATTCAGAGCAAGAACCTTCCAATTGGCATCGCTTATAATCGGAATGACAAAAGATAACCACGCTCCTAGGTATCTCCATAAGTACCTATCTTTACAGATGACCTCCAAGCCACTCAGTTGACGACAGCGAGGATCACCTTTTCCACCTTCTCCGCAATACATACTTTGCACCTTCCCATAACATGTTCAGTATCTCGTTTACAATCGGACATCGATCTCGGAGAACAGAAAAACACCCGAGATAACAGTTACACTTTCGCATTAGTTCGAAGATAAACAAAGAGTGGAAACCGACTATTCCGATCTCGGAAACAGAATTGAAACAGACGACGACGAAATGAGGGGATCTTCACACTGCATAAGAGGGGCAATGAGACCATCGGGTTTCTCTCCACCACGGACGTTGCCCGCACCAGACCAGAGCAGATCAGACCAACAGCAAAGGCAGGAAATAGAAAGATAAGAATAGACATTAGAAGTACTTAAGCCAGACATTCTCCACGAATTGATAAACCACCATTTCACCCAAGCAACATTTGAACTATCAATCAATCTACTTCTCCAACCACTTCACTCTCTACTACCCCAACTTGAACCCAACCAAGACAAACATGTCACCCAAAGAACTCACCCTCCCGGAGCCCTTCGCCTCAATCCCACGTACTCCGCTCCTCCTCGGCCCCTCCCCAATCCACACCCTCCCCCGCATAACCGCCGATCTCGCCAAAACCAGCTCCCCCCAACATGAACTCAAAAACCCCAATAAGCCCAAAGTAACAATCTACGCAAAACGCGACGACCTAAACTCTGCCTTCGCCTATGGCGGAAACAAGACCCGAAAACTAGAATACCTACTCGCCGACGCCCTCAACCAAGGCAGCACAACCCTAGTCTCAATCGGAGGCGTGCAGAGCAACCACACCCGCCAAGTCGCAGCCGTCGCAGCAAGAAGCGGCTTAAAGTCTCGTCTTGTACAGGAACACTGGGTTGACTGGGAAGATAAAGGGTACGAGAATGTAGGCAATATTCAACTAAGCCGACTTATGGGTGCGGATGTACGACTTGATCCGTCTGGGTTTGGGATAGAACATAAAGATACGCTGGCAAAGGTGTATGAGGAATGTAAAAGCTTGGGTGAGAAGCCGTACTATATTCCGGCGGGAGCATCAGATCATCCACTTGGTGGTCTTGGATTTGCACGATGGGCATTTGAAGTTCGGGAACAGGAACAGGAAGAAGGAGTTTTTTTTAATACGGTGCTTGTTTGCGCGGTAACGGGATCTACGTTTGCGGGGATGATTGCAGGATTTAAGCTATTGGAGAAGATGTATCCTGATGATCCTAAGCGAAAGGTCATTGGGATTGATGGGTCTGCTACTGTTGAGAAGACGCGTGAGCAGGTGTTGAGGATTGCAAGGAATACTGCGCTGAAGATTGGGTTGAGTGAGGAGGATATTAGGGATGAGGATGTTATTTTGGATGATCGGTATCATGCGGGGATTTATGGGATTCCGGATAAGCAGACTTGGGATGCTATTGAGTATGCGGCGAGGATGGAGGCGTTTATTACTGATCCTGTTTATGAGGGGAAGAGTTTTGCAGGGATGATTGATATGATTCGGAAGGGGGAGATTGAGGATGGGAATATTTTGTATGCGCATTTGGGTGGGCAGTTGGCTTTGAATGCGTATTCTGAGCTTGGGGCTACTAAGGAGTGAGTGGATTGCCTGCGATGATGCCAGGTTGGTCATGGAATTATACATGAGCTTAACTTGATTATGGACTTATTGTTTTTACACTAAAGAATAAACACTACTTATAGAGGAATGCACATATATGGTGATGAGAATATCAATATTGCAATGAATGAGTGACTAAAGTTGGATAATTAGACGTCGAAACGTCAAGGTTACTGGGTAGGCAACGAAGAAGATCTTCCACTATCAAAAGCTTACTCGAAGAGTCTGTGCTCAAGAGTCATCTCAGACTCGGGCTGAAGGCCAACGCAAGCACGGAAGATGTTGATCAGAGCGGAGCGCTGCTTGCCCAGAGCGTTGACAACGGGAGTGCCTGGTGGGGTCAGAGGAGCCTTGAGCATGTAGCTGAGAATGCTCAGAACGCTGTGGAAGCCCTTATACTCGGCACCCTCGGCATCAGTCTTCCAGCTGACACGGGTCATCATCTCGGCGAGGATAACCAGATCAATGATCAGAGGCGAAGCCAGCAGAGAGTCCTCGCAGATGTTGAACAAACTGATGGTCTGGTGACCACCCATGAAGATCTCGGCGTAGTACTCATCGAGGGCACGCTTGTTGTCACCAACAGCAGGCATGTACTTGATGACGACGGTGTGGTCAGGGTGCTCATCCTTCTCGTAGAGAATGTTGTTGGCAGCAACCATGTCATCAACGACATTGGACTTGGAGATCTCCTTGGAGCGGAACTGCTTCTGGGAGCTCAGGTTCTTGCCATCGTTGTTACCAAGGTGGTTGTAGCTGGCAATGGAGGTGAGCTTGATACCGGCATTGATCAGGAAGTCAACCAGGGCGGACTTCATCTTGGTCTGGCCGGACTTGAAGTCATCACCACCGATGAAGGCACCAGTCTTCTCAGCAAGTTGGAGAGCACCAGGGACAAAGGTGTTCTGGGGAGATCCGTTGATGAAAGGAGTGTTCTCCAGAATGGAGGCCACGGCAAACACAGTGGAGGGAGAAACCTCCTCGTGACCAGTCTTGATGGAGTTGATCAAGTTGTCGGCAGTATCGTTGACACCAGGGATGAGATCGGCGTAACGTTCAGTGTTGGCAGTCCACATGACAATGACCTTGTCCAGACCGTTCTGGGCCTTGAAGTCACGAATATCCTGCTGGATCTTCTCGACGTGAGCCCAGCAAGCCTTGGTACCCTCGATAACATTGTCGGCGCGGTCTTCCTGGTTGGCGGCGATGAAGTCAGGGTAGTAGATACTGGGGAGGGGCTTCAGTTCAGCCATCTCCTTGCGGACCAGGACCTTCAGGGAAGGCTCAAGAACCTGAGCACGATCCATAGACGCAGCCAGATCCATGCTGCTGATGTCCCAACCACCAATAGCCATGTCATTGGGGTGGACCATAGGAAGCAGGTCACGGAAGGGGATGTTGATTTCCTCTCCAGTCTTGCCATCAGTACCCAGCTTGACGGTGGAGCTCATGACAATGGAACCATAGTAGTTGGAATTCTGCTTACCCTCGCGGGTCTCCCAGGAGAGGCCGCGGCGGTTGGCAAGAATACCAGCAGTGACTGTGGAGCCATTGTTTCCACCCCAACCAACCAGCATCATACCGACCTTGCCGACCTTGCGGTCAACCTTGAAGTTGTAGTTGGTAGACTTGGGGGTCGCAACCAACTTGTTGTCCGCAGTGCGGGTGACTTCAGTGGTCTGGTAGGCATACTGACTCTTGATCTCGTCGGCAGTGTAAACTACATTGGGAGACTGAACAGTAAACAGAGGGGAAGACTCTTGACGAGTGGACCCGTTCGCGGCACCGGTGGCACCATCCGAGCTAGCGTGAGGAGCCATTGTATTCACAGCGGGATTGCGCGAGGTGAACGGGAGAAAAAAGATACTTTAGAGCACGGAAGCTTTACAGAGAGTAAAGTGATTGGTCCGGTGCTCCTCCGCGGCTGGAGGTGCGTCGGCCGTTGAACGGGTGGTGGCGCCTAGTAGAAAACATGTTAGTTGAATTGTTTCCTTTTTCTTGATCACCAATTGAAGTGGTGGGTGGATAGGTGATAATTTGTTGAAGCAACTGGAGCAACTTACGAGTTGAGATGTGTGGAGAAAATGGTGCCGGTTGTATGTGACCACGTCTCGAAAGATGTGATCGAACCTATTGTTAAGGCTTTATACGAACCGTAAGGTTAAGTAGGGGGGAAATTGGAATTGGAAGAGTGTATAGGAAAGAAGAAGGGAAAGAAGGACGAAGGGGAGAATCTAAATAGTAGATGGCAAGTGGCCCACGTGAGACTCCGCCGGGCTCCGGGGTTCTCCTCGTTCCTTGTGAATCCCCCATTCCGGCCCCGGCTTCTCCTGATTCTGCCCTTTTTCCTCTTTTTTTTCTTCTTCTTTCTCAACTTAACCCCCTTTTTGGTTAGGTTCACGCTTCTCAGGGTACTCCGACTTTGACTTTCGCTTATTCCTCCGACCTAAACTCCTTTTAACTCTATTTACATCTAATCAGGAATCCCGGTGTTGAGTTGTTGTGAATTGTTGGGCGCTAGCTTCTTCTACGGAGTAGACCTACGCGGACGAATAACATCCGGTGCCTGGCATTCTCGCATGCTCGCCTAATCAGAGTGCGAAAGACGTCCTCTATACGGGTACGCAAACAGAAAAGGGGCAGAAAGAACAAGACGGAACCCGTTTATATCCGATCGAAGGCTCCAGGGCCAATAACTAATGGCACCACTAACCCGCCAGGTCCATAGTTACCGAGTTTGCAGAGACTTTTATGCAATCTATTTCTCTATGTTTCTTCTTTATCGAGCTACACTTCAAATTATTTCTTAATTTCATATCAACTGTATAACCTATTTTAAACTCATACTCCGTCCGCATGATCACCGTGGTCAATGTCAATCTCGAAAATATTCACCGATCTGCCACTCTGCCCCTCGGTCTCGAACCCGTGAGTGATCCGTGCTTCCTGACATTTACTGCCGACTGTCGGCAGCCGCGCGGGGCAAGATTCAGGGGGAAAACGCGGTGTCTAATCGGGCCCACTTGGACTCGTGTCAAGGCTCACCGCACTTTGTGGGTTTTGTGTGTTGCGTGTCCAAGAGATGTCAAAGACTCGGATTCGCAATCGGATTTGGCATGATCTTCCTTTAGTCACATGTACATATAACGCAATATAGACATTAAACTTCAAATTCTCAATAAACTTTCAATAATCCTGCAGGGTACCCTCTGAAGTTGAATCCGTAGAATGCTTCATACAAAAGCTACGATTATATGGGGAGTACATGTATGTATTATAAATGTGTACGCAAATCCATGTGTATTCTGTAGTCATAATCTATTCCCTTCTCATGATCTAAACTAAAAGCTTTAATCACGCAGGTAAGAACTTGAACTGCTACTCTCTCCCAGCTCTGCGGTAAGTAATGGCATCGTCTAGTAATCAGGAACACTCAACCTTAGTAAACCTATTCTTGCCAGGGAAGAAGTTTAATCTCGAGACGAAATACCTACATCCTCGACATGTTCCTCCGCTGCGGCTTTATTTTGTGGAGTGGGTTTAACACCGCTTCTCTCCGCAAGCCTACTTTCAATGCCGAACAGCCTCGACATCTCTTCAAGTGTTCGTCCCCGTGTCTCCACTGTTTGGAACATAATATATTAGCCTGTGATCTTCCAAAATTGAGAATGAAAGCCGACTTACCCAGACAGTATCTCACAAAGAAAAATGCAACCAGGCAAATCCCTGAGTATATGATATACAAGCCCCAACCAATCGCATCACTAATAGGCGGGCTTGCCTGGGCAACAATATAGGTACCCGCCCACAGCGACGCAGTGGTGATGGCATTTCCCTTTGCTCGCATTGAGATGGGGAATATCTCAGCCGCATATGTCCATGATCCAACGCCCCAGCTGATGTTGAAAAACACATAGAACAGATATGGGAACATGATGATGGTATAGTTCGCTTTGTCGCCGGGGTTATGCTCGGCATGCCACTGCAGTACAGTAATACCAATCATAGCAGCCATCATACCGATTGTTCCTATCTGCAACCAGGTTTTTCGGCCCAGTCTATCGAAATAGAAGATAGGAATCCAGGAAGAGACAAAAAGCACGATACCCACACCACCCGTGGCAAGGTTGGCTGTACGTGGGTTCGAAATCCCTCCTCGCTCAAATAGAGATGGCTAATTAATTTGAATCAGCATAATTGCCTCCCTTGATGCGACCTTTTATTAACTTACCGTGTAGTAAAGAATGGAGTTCGTGCCGGTAACCTGCTGAAGAAACTGCACGCCCATTCCTAAAAGCGTCACACGTAACACCGGCGCCTTGAACATATCCTTCCAAGAAGCTTCGCTAACAGTATGTTCGAACTCGATTGAGCCCTGGATTTCCAACATTTCCAAATTAGCTGCCTCAGACCCATGAAGCCTCGTGAGAACTTCACGAGCACATTCATGTCGATCCTGGCTGGCTAACCATCTCGGACTAGGAGGAAGCCAAAACCAACACCCGAAGGCAAGAACCATAGCAGGTAAGATCTGAATAGCGAGCGGAATACGCCACCAATCGTTCATTTCCAAGAAGTTGAATCCGTAATTCAACCAGAAGGCAACCAATTCTCCCAGGCACAGAATCATTTGTTCGATAGCAACGATTCGACCACGAATAGCCGGCGGCGAAAGCTCAGCCACGTAGAGAGGAACACCACCAGCACATGCACCGACACCGTATCCTAGAATAACACGCCCGATAGTCTGTTCATTAGGATTAGTATTATAACTGTAAATGTAATTTCCGGTGCGTGCCGAGCCTTACAATCTGTGTAATCGTGTACGAAGCCGCCTGAAGTATCGCACCGATAATGAAAACAAAACAAGCAATAGCCAGTGTTCTTTCACGCCCAAATGGATCCGCAAGCCAGCCCAGTGACATCGCACCAATAAAACACCCAACGTCATACAGTGAAACAACCATACCCGTCACCCCTATTTAGCGAAGTTAGCACAAGTCTCAACAGTTGACTTCAGCCTTCTGCAGACACAGCATGGATCTCACAAGAATTTTTCGGATGCATCAAATCAATCCATCTCTGATCAGCCACAATAACACCCATAACACCCTGATCATACCCAAAAAGAAAAGCGCCCAAAGACACAAAAGCTGTAAGGGTATAGAGATACTTTGGATTCCCCACCCGGACCTGAAGCGGATCGGTCCCCGGAGGAGGCCGAATAAGTTTCGTCGGCTTGATAGAAAACATGATATCTGCCTGAGCCTGTGATTATAAAGTGAGTAGAAAACACGACACAAAGGCGCAGCGTACCTTCACTTAATATACTCCTCAAAAATGGGCGAGAATACCCTATATACGGACCAATCCGAGGTCTCGATTCTCGAACCCGGGTTGCGAGGTGCTTGTTTCCGGAGATATTATCTGTCGTTTCCTTGCGGGGAATGTCATGGCCTCAAAACAAGGGGCGGGTTTAATTTTCCTTTTTGCGTGAAAGTAGGGGTATTTCTTGGATCGGCACGCTAATCTTTTACCCCGGATTAGCTGGTTTGGGGAATTTAGAGCGCAGGAGCTGGTCCGTGCATCTATAGTTTGTGCGGAGATGCTCCGGGGAATCGGCAGTAAGACATAGTCGCGGGGATTTGTAGATCAGTATCTATTAAGCTAAAAGGATTTAAAACCTTGATTTTATAACAATGGTAACATTTGATGGGCGTTGACGGATTGATATATTACAGGGTTGAGGTAAAGAACTGTATACATGTTGCCGACAGTGCTCACAAGCCGTTCCCATCGCTCGATTTGTTGGTGCTCCATTGAAGTTCTAAGATAAGCTCAAGAAATTCGCGGTTGAATCAACTCGTTGGTGATACCTAAGCATCAATGCTTTCTACTAAACTCTTGATGGCACCATTAACCTCCACAGCTGAAACCACATGTGGATAATGCCCTTGGCTAGGAACAGTCACGAAAGTACCCAGACTCTCATCATCCAAAAACTGTGAAACACCCTTCTGCATACTCCCCGACAAACTAGTTTTATCAGCCTGCGAATCAATACCCAACACAGGCACCTTGATCGTTGTAGCCAATTTCCCATCAGCGATATCCGCCTTCTCACGCTCCTCATTCAAATTCTCCGCCATCAAACGATACCCATTCGTCGCAGCAACCCAATCTCCCTTCCGAAACGACCCAATCAAATTCTCTTTATCCTCATCATGCAGAACCAATGAATGATCAACACGATCCGCCTTCAACCAAGCCTGAAGTTTACCCGGCGGATAAAAATGCTCAGATCTAACATCCATATCCTCATGATACGCGATACTCAAAAACGACTCCAGATGATCCCCAATAAGACGTGGAGAATCACTCGAAGCAAGAAAACGCATATAACCAAGCTTATCAAAGCCAATAAACTTCTCCAGAATTGCTGAGATAGCATCAAGATCGTAATGAACACCCGGCGCACTATACGGCACCGATAGAAATGTCAAGCTATACAATCTTCCGGGATGATAGTTGTAAAGCCGAGATAAAAAGTACGCGCCAGCATCATGTCCAACACCATGAACTTTCTCCAGACCTTCGGCATCGAGGATTCCAACGATGTCTTCAACAGCAGTCCAGCTAGTATACTCCTCGACAGCATGAGGCTTCGAGCTACCGCCAAACCCCAGTAAATCAGGCGCGATAACGGTGTGGCCTAGATCAGCAAAATATTTGATTTGGCGTGACCAGATATCTGCGATTGCAGGAAAGCCATGGAAGAAGACAATTGCGCTCTTGCTGGGTGTCGTGACAGTGGGCTTGATGCAAATGTAGTCATATGTGTGGCCGGCTGAGCCGACGGCCAAAGTCTTTCGGGGGAAGGAGGGCATTCTTAGGCGCAGTGGATGATTTCAAATGGGGTCGATGAGAATTACTGGAAAGTAAATATGTGGGTAGATTGAGACGAGGATATGCTTCGTTTCAAGTTTATATACAATTGATGAGGTGCATAGACAGTCTTATGCAGTGATCCTTCGGGCACGCCATTTCCCTGATTGTCCCGAAGGATTAGAGACATGACCCACAATGAGGCTTGGAACGGGGCGCAAACAGGTGCCTGACTCGGAGTAGGGACAGATTTCGCCAAGACCGAACGTCGATTTCAATGATGTTCGAAAAGATTCCTATCACCAATCATTCGTGGACTTGGTTTAGGTTTCGACATGACTGTAAATGTGTAGCAAGAGGTCTTTAAATGATGCAATTGCAGGTTCATATGTCAGTCGGGATTTGTAAGTTGATATTTAACTCAACGCATAGCTTGTACGAGGTATGTACTGCATCTACAAAAAGATTCTTCAATCCTTACTAGACTTGACGAGTATAAATTGGTACATCGAAATATATACAAAAGCAAGCATGGAGCAAGTATTTTAGTCAATAGAACATAGAACATGCGCAGAAACACCGTCATTAATGCAAAGCAACGCCGCCGAGAACCCTCGTTCCAGGTTTATTTTTTGCTGCGGCCCTCGGTGCCCTTCTTGATCATCTTTTGCCTCTTAGCATCGACCTCCTTATCGTAAATTTCACGAGCAGTTTCACCTCCCTTCTTGCGCTTCGACTGCTTGGACTTCACACTGACTGAGGAATTACCACCGCCTCGAATCTGCTTCTCAGCATCATCCCATTCTGTGACTCCGTTATCAATTGCGTATCTGGAGGCTATAAATCAGTTATTGTTCATTCAAGACCTCACGAATCTAATGAAGCTGAAATCGATGACAACGACGAGGACTTACTTGTCTAGGGGCAGGGCATCAATCAATTGGCGCTGCTTCTCACGCATCTCCTCGTTAAACTGTTCTCCACCTTCTGCAAGTTCGTCTTCAAGAGTAGTCTCTAGAGGCTTGAAGCGATCCTCAACAATCTCGTCATCATGAGCATCACCGGCGGGGCCGACGGAAGCTTGGGCAGGCATGGTATCAGCCACAGCACCTTCAACCAGACCACGGAAATGGGTGGAAATCTTGCGAATGATCTTGAGGAACATAGCGAGAAGTTGGGAAGGAGGAAGGTTCAATTCTTTCTCGATCTGATCCAGGCTCTTGCGCTGCAAACCAATGGCTAGGAGAATAGACTGCTGCACACCGGAGAGACTAACCTTGCCAGCCATACGGTTGGAAAAGTAGTACTCGGAGAGGAGAGGAATCATATCCAAAATGACGTGGTAGTCCAACAGGTTGTTGGCATAGCTATCCAGACGCTTCAAGTCGAAAGGAGAGAAGGTAGCATCGAGATCAGACTTCTTCAAGATACGCGCCACAGCAGCAGGGTCAAGTTTGGCGCCAGCGTTAGCTGACTCGCAAATGCTGAGAGAAAGCACAGATGGGAAATCGCGGAACTGGTAGGAGAGGAGAGCAATGAAACGACGGTGGAAATCCTTGGAGAAGGATCCCAGCCAGCTGGCGTCGTTGCTACCGGTTGTCAAGGTGCGAAGCATGACGCATGAGTGCTCGCCAGTAAGCTCATTAGGAGTCTGACGCAGGTAAACCGGGACGAAAGAGCCACGCTTCCAGAATTTGTGGAGGGTGGGTGTAAGACCGTAGCTAACACCAACGTAGTCCAAAGCATCAGGGCGTCGCTCTGTCAGCTTGCCGAAAAGAGGGGGCATGGTACTAATATCCCGAACTTTTACATTGTCGTCGAGCAGGCCGGAGTTGGCCAATTCATCATCGGTAACACGGACCATCTCGTCTTTAGGGGCAGCCATATTCTCGTCCAGGCTAGTGAACTTGCCCTCGAAGAAATCAACGAGAAGCTCCATAGCGCGTGAGCCATAGCCCATTCCGACGTACTCGGGGTTTGTAGCGATACGAACAATTCGAGCACCCGAGAGACCGGCGAAATCCTCATCCTGGAATTGTTGGCTGACCAACCAGGGAATCAGATCACCACCAGCGCGCTGGCCGCGACTGAGGCTGTTAAGGACACTCTGTCTGCTGATGCGACCTTCAAGAGCAACTTGAATGACACAGAGGGGTTCAGGAAGCTTTGTGGCTTCTTCATCGATTGGAGGAACAAGGACGTAAAGCTGGTGTGCAGGAGCATCACTCATGAGCTGCAGATCGTTGGGTGTGTTCTTGTAGTGGCTGGCAACATACAGAGCCATCATTTGCTGCAAGAATTTCTCTGAGACGGGGTGGAAGGAGAACAGAGTATCACGGTTCACTTGAAGGAGCTGGCACTTGGAGGGATGGGGGCAGCCCTGGGTGTTCAATCGAGATTTAGGAAGAGTTGCATCAAGGCACAGGACCTTGTTCAACCACTTCTCAACAGAATCACCTGGAGCGTAACGGATTGGCTCAGCCAAGGTAATCTCTCGCAAAGATCGACCACCTAGAAGGTTCTTGTCTGCGTTCTTAGCGGATTTTCCTGTGCTACGGTCTGCGACATCGGTATCATCGAGCTTGACGCCACCTCGAGACTGTTCTCGAAGCTGCTGAATCAGCTTAAGAGAAAGAGAGCGACCGGTTCCTTCGTAACCGTTGATAGTGGAGGCCATGAAGACCAGGTAAGGACCCATCAGTTTGCGCACTAGGGGCAAGGGGATGGCAGCGGCCTCATCGATAACCAGCAGCTCAGCTTGGCCAAGAACGTGTGCGTCCTGGGGCTGAATATATTGAATAGTCTGACGGTGGTTGCGATGAATGTTGACTCTCACGATAGCCTTGTTGAAATCGGGGTTAGTCGACTGGAGAATGGTGTAATCAACGTGGTCAAGATAGCCAAGTGCGTCGAAACCCTTGAACACGAACTCAAACAGAGTTTTCAAGTTCTCGGGGCTTGGTGAAGTAATGAAGACATTGCTGTAACCGTGCGCAATAGCAGCAGCAATTGCAACACCAAGAGCCGCGGACTTTCCTCGTCCGCGTCCTGCTGTCAAAGTAACGGTACTCTTCAGTGTCTTCTCAGCGATGGCATCAGCAAAGGTCAAAAGGGCCTTAGCCTGATCCACAGTCTTTGCAAGGTTAACTAGCGGTCCGATAGGCTGCGTGTCGGCCAATTTTTCCTTGATCTCCTTCAGTTCCTTCTTTGTGCCTGATTTAGAATCATCGGCGTTTTCGGGAGGAGGAAGTGGCTTGACGTTCTTGCCGCCAGAGATTGGCAGAACGTTCATTTCATCGTCGATAACCAAGCAGGAGTCACAGCTTCCCAAAGACAGAATGAAACGCTCGTTGAAGCGAGCAACAACATCATCGTGCGCCTCTGTACGATAACGCGAGTGAATGTCCATGGACATGGTATAAAGCTGCTTCAGACTGCTCATGCTTTTAAGGAGTAATATAACCATACCTCCACCTTCCACTGTTTCAACCGTACGCGCCAACAGGTTGGGGGTCATGGCCTCGAAATCCTGAAGGATACACATGCCGTAGGTGTTACCCAAAATCTTCTCGGTTTCCTTATAGTAAACATATCTGATCTGGTTGAGAGTGATGAACAGCTCGAATGGGTCCTCCTGGTTCGGCTCACGGATTCCGTGCTTGACCTCCTTCTTGATCTTGGCCTCGCGCTTCTTGCGATGGCTAGTGAAGCCAATCAGATCCTTCTTGTAAGCCCATAGCACAGACTTATTCTGCTTCACATCAACACTTGACATGAGGTAGTGGAGGTTAACAATCACATCCTTGACGCGGTCTCCCACAACCACGAAGAAACCGCGCTTCTTCTCCTGAACGCTATTTCGAATGAGCGCGGGAATGCGAGAGTCAATCGCCTTGCGCGGCATTATGAAGGTGCGGAGCTGGCCGCGAAGAAATTCGGAGGAGTTTCGGTCGTTGTGAAATTGATCGTGCGAGAAACGTTTGACGGAGGATATGTAATATATTAAACAATTAAGCCTCCTTACCCCTCAAAAGAAGTATTAGGGATGGATGGGGCTTTTATCCTGCGCTGAGATTCCTTCGAATCGTGGACATCTCAAACTGAGACCAAAAAAAAATCATACTGCACTTCTACACCGCCTGCTTCATTTTTTTTATGACAATGTTCACCGCCTTGAAGCTTTCTCGCTCGATCCTGACTAAGCTGGCCAAGACCCTGTCTCTCACGTGATATGACATAGTGTTGCGCATCTGGTTGATCCCTCCCCAACGTGGAACACAAGAAAGGAGAGAGAGATTCGACTCCACCCCTACAAGAGCCACATGTCCACTTTTCGGCCCGTCAACATCGTTGCACTGTGAAAATTACTAAACTCTTTTGACTTCTTTCCCACTGGAATAGACTCCGAAACGTACCTTGGATCTATATCTTTAGCGCCAAGGCCAATTTTCGCTAATAGAAGCGATGACGACGGCAGATGGTCAGACTTCAAACGGTAGAGCCAAGTGGGGCAGGCGGGAGCCAAGTCCTGCTTCTGGATGCTGATCGCCCCGGCATATCTTGCTGTCTAGGATACATGCTTGGACCACAATCCAGGGTGCAAGAGTCCGATGTCCCAAGGCGGGAAATGATCGGAGGCCAATCATTCCTATTGGCGGAGACTACCAAAAATGTCCAGGAAGGGGGTCCATGGCTGCGTAACTCAACCAACAATCAAACTGTCCAACATGTCCACGCAATGTGAGGATCGCCAATTACCTAGCTTCATTATGAAGTGGCTTAGAGCATATTGCGGGCTGTCTCAGCCTGATATTGGCTCTTGTCAATCCCCTGATGTCTCCACTGTCAATTTCCAGGTCCCTTGGGGTCCCTTGAACCCCGTCGCCTAGTCTTGGCCGGGCCTTCCTTCTTGTGCCTTGTTTGTGTGTTCAATGAATGCTGCTGCCTCTGCCTCTGCTATCCAGCTCTACCCCCAAGGCACCGTGATGGCCATTGTTGCCCTACGAATAGAACGGTGAAATACTTGGACGCACTATGGTCCAATTACCCGCGGACTTCGGGCTCAAGGTTTCTGTGGGGTAAGTATCATGTGAAACGAGACTATTCCCACGACATTTGCGACAACCGCAAAATGCTAAGAGTGATATCTCATCTAGGGTCTTCTTTACAAGCTCCTTCTTCCTTGATGCTACCTACAATGCGACGTTCGCCTTCGGTAAGTCGCTCCACTCCATGTGGCAGCTCGGGCGCAAACTGACATCGACTTCAAGATCGCCCGGTCAACACGGCCATCCTGGTTTGCATCCTCATAGGAATCACTTTCTTAATTATCGGGCGCTTCACCACATTAACGACTGCACCCTCAACACCTATCAATAAACGATCGCGACTTCCGCTCGCCGATCAATTCGAACTTTCATCAGAGTTGTCCTCGCGCTCTTCGCGCTCCTCTTCGCGCTCCTCCTCTCCCGCGCCCATTCCAACTTTCGACGAACCAGCGCCAACTTTGCGCTCTGGGTACTGGTACAAAATCTTCTTGCTTCTCAGCGCCTGTTGTTTGCGAATTGAATTGTTCCGCCAAGTCAGCCTCAACAGTGAATGTGTGCCCGCTGGCTATTCGGTAAGATAAAATCAATTTCGGCTTGGATCTCAGTAGGGAATGCTTGCAGCTAACAGTTACTCTCCAATTAGTCCGCTATTCCATTCCTCGTTTCTCTATATGACTTCTGGTACTACCAACGATTGCGCATAATAGACGAATATGTCTCGTCCCAACGACTTCAGAGCGTACCTGTTCAAGTGGTTCACTCGATCTCTCGACGAGCTATGTACTACTTGACCCAGAGTCGCTTTAGGGGAATTATGGCTGCTAGTTTAGTGTCTATCGGTGGATACTCAGCGGCGTCGTTTTTGGCTGGAAGCCAGTCCACATACATTTGTCCAATTACCCTCCACACCGCAAACCGCATACAAATCATCAGAGTCGTCAATACCCTGTTGGATTCTCTCATTTTGGTTGGCTTTACCGAGCTGTGCGGATATGGGGCCGATAAAAGCGAAGCGCGAAGAAAGCGAACGCTCAAATGTTTGGGAGCCGGCTTATTGGTAGGTCCTCCCAGATTTTCTATTAGGCAATTGATCACGGAACCCCTCGTTAACAAACATCAATCACAGATAATTGCATTAGTTTGGTCAATAATCAGTATCTGGGTTCCTCAGAGCCGCCCTGAGCATAGCGGTCAGCCCTTCCTTGACCTCAGGTACACGCGCAGTGCTTTTGGGCAGGCTCTACTAATTCTTGCATTCGTCATTTCTACCTGGAAAATGGTATGTGATACTGATATTGATACACGTGGAAACTTGATGCGTAATACATGTGCTAATTGTTATAGCTGCCATCTTACGGTATCCTTGGTGTATCCATTCTTAGTGGCTTCATGTTCTTATACTTCCCTGCCGTCTCTACTCTGCTCTTCCAACAGCTACCGTACCCCTTCATCTCAATCGGCCATGCCACATTTCCCTTCATAGCCGCTACAGCAGGGGCTGTGCTCTTTCTGCTATCCCGTGTACTTTGTGTTGAAGAAACAAAATCACTTTATCGCACGAATATCACTCTTCAGGTCATATTCGCCACATGTTGCTTCACGGGTCTTGTATTCGCTGCCACCAAGCATCATTACTCTCATACACACCCAATTGATCTTCTCATCCACAAAGCGAATGTGCAGTTTGAGAAGTTCACTGAGCAAGCGGGTGCTAGTACGTCTCTCGAACAAGCAGTCGAGACGTATCAGGCCCGATATTCTCAGCACCCTCCACCTGGATTCGACAAATGGTATGAGTATGCCACAAACCGTTCCTCCGTCATCATCGATGATTTTGATGAGCTTCACAAAAACCTTCTTCCTTTCCGATCGGTCCCGGCGAATGAAATTCGTGAAATGACACAAAAGTTAGCGACCAACCCCTTCAATGACCTTGGCGCCATTAGCATTCGGGATGGAAAAGCTAGAGTCCAGGAAGGGATCAGGCCGACACATGCGTGGATGGTTCAAGCTGCATGTACAATGATTGAGAAATTCGCCGAGCACCTTCCGGATATGGATCTGGTCTTCAACTTGAATGATGAGCCTCGAGTAGCGGTGCCGTGGGAGAAGATATGGCCATACAGGCGCTACTCTAAAGGAAGGGAACAAGACTTTGATCCTAACTTGGAAGTTATGAATGAGTGGTCTGCGGGTCGAGCGGAAGGCTGGGGCCCGATCGAACCAGCCGACTCAACAACTGAAACTGTTTTTACGGACGCTTCGTGGAGGGGTGTCTTCGATCCGTATGTGAGCGCCGTCTGTCCACGTTCATCCAAGGCACGCACACGCCGCATTTGGAATCGGCACGACGTATGTCTAGGCTGCACACAACCCCATTCTATGAGCCAATTTCCCAAGAGCTTTGATATTGCCTCGGACATTTGCCACCAGCCTGACCTGGCTTTCCTTCACGGCATGTTAATCTCGCCAGCCTCATTCAAAGTCTCCCAAGAGCTAGTGCCAGTTTTCAGTCAAAGTGCACTGAAAGGTTTTAACGACATTCTCTTCCCAAGTCCATGGAACTACATCGACAAAGTAAAATACGAGCCATCAAGCGAACACCCCGACCCAGACTACGACAGAAAAGACAATTCAATCTTTTGGATCGGCAGTACGTCCGAAGGCGTAAGTCGCTTTGGAGAATGGAAGGGCATGCCTCGACAAAGATTCGCACATCTCATTAACAACAACACCGATAACCAAGTCTCCGTACTTCTCCAAAACGGACCTAAATCCTACAAGTACGAAATAATGAACGGAAACGATCCCTCAGACAAATTAGGTCTCAGCGCAGATGTTCACGTCTCCTCAGTCTCCCGCTGCGACGATTGCAGCGAACAAGAACTAGAGATGGGACTTGCTCCCGGTATTGACTTCCAAGACCACTGGTCCTACCGATACCTATTCGACCTCGACGGCGCCGGATTCAGCGGTCGCTTCTTACCTTTCTTACAGAGTCACAGCCTGCCTTTCAAGACCGGCCTTTTCCGCCAATGGTTCGATTCTCGAATGATATCTTGGTTCCACTTTGTCCCCGTTGACATCCGTCTTCATGGCTTCTGGAGTACGCTGGCGTACTTTGCTGGTGTATCGGATCCAAAAACCGATGGCCATGAGGCTCATAAGCGTTCCTCATGGATGAATGCACATGACGAACAAGGTGCATGGATCGCTGAACAAGGACGAAAATGGGCGGAGACTGCCCTGCGGAAGGAAGATATGGAGATCTACTTCTTCCGTCTTTTACTTGAATGGGGTCGTATGACAGATGATCAGAGAGAGGTGATGGGTTTCACCATGAAGCTGTCAACCGCCGCTTGATACATACTGTTTAATGTTTTTCGTTTCTTTTTTTTGTATTCTAGTTTAGACCCGAAAATGATACACACATATTCATACAACTTTCCCACCCAAATGTCGAATTTACCAAATCCAAATTCATGTCGAAACTCAACCCTTCGCGGCAAATGTACACAGTTCCAATATACAACCATACCATATAGATATGAAGTGTTATTTCAACTATAACTTGAGACTAGCGAAATAAAAAGCTGCCCTCAAACATAACACAATCCAAAACAAACCTAAAGAGCCATATTCGCACAAGTAAAAGCGGGCGTCACGCTGCTTGAATAATCCGTAATAATAGCCTCAACAGCAGCATAAAGACCCGGACCCAGCAAAAACAACCCCACAACCAAAATAAAAACATTAAGCAACGTCATTGCCGTCTTACCCAACCCATTAAACAAACTCCCCCGATTAAGCTGCCAATAAGCAACCGCGAAGAAAATAAATCCGAAAAATGAATCAAAAGCCGCACCAAGCAAAGACAAAAAGTCACCCATACTAGGCACAACCTCTGAAAAAATAAACGCAATAAGCCAAATACCAATCATAACTAGAACCCATACTCCCCACCCAATAACAGTATTACTGTGTGCATGTTTTGATTTGCCCATAATGCGAAGATAGATGAACTTCGCAGTAACATTCGCATAAATGACCCCGATGATTAATGTGGGAACGATAACAAAGCCGAATGATGCTTTCTTGTACGCGGTTACGCCTAGACTACCGAAGGCGGGCGCGGTGGCGTATTGGCCTAGGTATCTGAAGCCAATGACTGGTGGGACGATGAAGAGGATGGCTGAGATGGTGGCGAGGACGGCTAGGGCTTTGGGGAAGTCTTGGGGACGTTCCATTTCGGCGATGAAGCTTGGGAAGAGGATCTGGGGGACCCAGAGGAAGGTGATGTTTAGGACGGCGTTCATGCAGTTTACCCATGTTGTGCCCGGGAGGGGGAAGGCGTATGTTTTCACGGGTCCATCGGTTGGGTAGTACCCGTTATATCCGTATGCTGGGGCTGCTTCGATACCGGCGAAAATGAGGAAGAGAAGGATTGCGATTCCCATGCAGGCGGCTGGGCGAGGTGAGTTAGAATTGGTCGGGGTTGGTTGTGGAGGGGTGTTGTATAAGATTTATAGAATAGACTTACAAGAGAACATAGACATGAAGCTGACATGATGCAGAGTTCGAGGAGAAGACATTATGATGCCCATAATTGTTGCAATGACAGAGAATACTGCAGTGCAGAGAGTATGACCGGATAAGGTATTGAGAACTTTCGCGCCGGTAAGGACATGGAAGCCGATCAAGAGGATATTGTTGGCTAGCAACATGAAGGAGGAAAAGACGTATGCGATCTTGCTCTGACCGAAAACATAGTAACCGAAATCACCTGCGGAGTGTTAGTTAGAAATGAACCTGGGAGCTGAGAGGATGCAATTAGATGCGCAATGCGCAATGCGCGCACGTACAAATATCTTTGATTTGGGGATGTTTCATAATATACTTGTGCATAGTAATGGAGGTAACCCAGAAGAGAATACCCGAAAGGACCATGGTAATGAGACCAGGGACCCAGCCCAGAACTCTGTACAATCAATCCAGTTAGCAAAGTGTTCTGTCGGCTTTCATTATGGTGAGAGGAACATACGAAAGAGACCAGGATTGCGCCATAATGGCTAAGCAGACCTGATCGCCGGCTAGAAGAACTGCAGTCTTCTGCCAGGACATGGTGCGCAACTTAATATCATGTTCGTGGTCTGATGTTGATTTCCAAGTTTAGTAGGCTGATAAGAGAACCTTCAAATTTCAAGGGAGGATTGTATGTCGCGTACCTTCAGCAACCAAAGCATTGATAGTTTCAAATGAACTGGAGACATCTACTTCTGTTCCCAGCGCATAACCACCCTGTTTCTTCTCCTCATCGAACTGACTCTGCTCGGAAACCATTATGAAGGTGATCGGCTCCGATAAGCCCAAGTAAGACGGGAAGAGAAGGATCAGCGGGGTGACAGATAAGGAAGAGAAGGAAAGGTGAAGATGAGGAAGAGGGAAGAAAAGAGGGAAGAAAAGTAAGAGAAGAAAAGTAAGAGAAGATGAAAAGCATCGCGTATTTTCTCTTTATTTCATAGAATTTTTTTGAATTTTTTTTTTACTTCTGAGCCTCAGCTCTAACCACGTTAGCTGTCAATGGCGCCATAATCAACAGAATCGCGATACATTAACCTTCTCTTATCCAATCTACGTGGGTCTAGACTTTTCCCGGTCGCATGCGTTTAATTGGTTACTTGCTCGAATAAATTCACCGGGAACTAGAGTCCGCGCATGGACCGAGGTACTAGTACTAATAATGGTAGAGATTGACGACTACTATACATATAATATCGGAGTATATAAGAGAGAAGGATTCACGCTGAAAGTATATGGCCCAATTAGGCAGCTCGATGCTTCAACTCTATACCCGCACCCTGACAGCCTTTTAGCCCTACTACACAATTACATAGTACAAATAGCACTAATCACGCTTTTAAATCATATTTCTCTTAATGAGATAACACCTACGAGATACAAAATACATTTACTGGATGCGGAACTCACGTCCAAGTCACGATTCACCCACCGATCCAAGTCCCTCCTGTTCATAGATCCAGGAACCGCCGATGTAAAAATAAGACCGGAACCAATCTAGATCTATACCCCATAAAAGGTCCATGGGTAGTATACCGCGTCCATGGGAAAGGCTCCGGTGTTACCCATTAGCCGAAACCGCCAACTTATTCAAATCTTGAGCACCTCAACCCTCAACAACAACAACACTAACATGTACTTCTTTGAGAGATTAATGAGCTTGATATACAGTTTGATGCGATCGCTCTGCCTCTTTTGATAAATCCCTGAAGGGTGCGATGTATTTGCTTCGTGGTCTTGGTCCTGAACAGCAGCTCTGTCAACTTTGAAAGGCTTCCTTGGCTTATGGATGCTATTGTCATGGAATCACTGACATTATGGGCAGTTATGTCGCCTAATAAGGGTTCGCTCAGGGTTATTCAGTCCTTCACATCAAAGAAGTCTTATTAGGAGATCTCCTATTCGGAGTCTCCCGATGCGGTGTTTGCAGCCCTGGCATATATAGAGGCCATATTCCCTAGCATGGGCTTTCTTTCTTCCTCACCCCACACAGTCGCAGTTATGAGTCTTATGAACTCGCCGTCAAGTGGCCAGATGGGTCCTCAACGCGAGACCTTGAGCCTCTGCGCAATTCGTCAGAAAGGCAACGATTTTTATCAGGAAGATAAGAATCTTCGTAAAGAGATCAAAACTCTTCGTCTGGTGGTCAATCTTCTTCGTCATGAAGTCAACGATGTTCGTCAGGAAGCCAACAATGTTCTTCAGGAAGCCGACGATCTTCTTCAGGAAGTCAATGCTCCACGTGAGAAATTCAAAGCACACTAGACATTCTGCGCGTTTCATATGGACTTCCCAGCCACATAGCTCTAATAGCATAGCGGTAGATGTCTATTCGGAGAACTACTGACAGCTCTTAAGACTCTACATGGGCGACTCTGTTCTCTTTGATGGAGATTAAATGGGAATGGATACATCGTTTAATCCTCAAGGCTCGACTGAAGAGAATAAAGAAGCCGAATTAACAGCACGGTTTTCTCAAGAGCTGAGAGTCAATATACAGCCTTAGCGACTTCTATTCCATACTCAATTCCTCCACGTTCGTTAAGCTTTCCCAGATTTGATTGACGAGCAAAACAAGGCCATTATGCATAGTAAAACAGAACAGCATATTGGTTATCTGGTGCCTGGCAGCTTTGATTTATGTGATTTAAAAAGGCGCATTGACCATAGTGATCCAACATTGTCTGTGCTTGCTCTCTCATTTGGTAATAGACCCGAAGAATTGAACGCCTTTGAGGAACAGGTTGCAGATAAACATACAAAGTTGAAAATCGTCTGTGATTGTTGTCAAGGCTATACTCACTTAAAAACATGGACCAAGACCGACCGCCAGTTCCATACCTTTCGCTTTGAACACTACTACATCATGGTCGCTCTATATCTGTCTACAATGCCTGGCATATCAACATTATAGACTAAGATAAGACCCCGGGCTCATCAACAAAATGAGGCCGTAAGGAGTTTTCTAATACTGTTTATCCTATGTCAATCCTTTTGATCCGGGTTCACTACCAAACCCGGACTGTAACCACTTCGTCAATGCTAGTTTTGTACAGTCAATACTTTTGAAGCCATATAATAGGCTGTGGGATGCAGCAGCCTGACTTCTTGAATTACGGCCTGGGTCCCGGCAAGAAAAATGTTAGGGGAATCTGTGGGAATAAATCAAACATACATATCTGGTCATCATGATGTAGTAGTAGAACTGTATATTATTCTCCGTATATATTGTCAAATAGAAGTACTATCACATAGTAGCAGAGCTAAGTCATCTAAACAATGAAGCTGCTCATCTAATATCCAACCACCCCATTTGCTTTCACTAGCGAACGATGTTCATATTTCTCCATTATCGTTATATATTTACTTATCCAATCAACTAAAACAATCATCTCCGAATTTAACAGTATGTCTAATATAGAACCCGCCCGTCAAATCGTGCGTGGCTATTCACGTGGCAGCCAACAAGCAAATCCATGAGCCTGAGGCTGACGCTTGTCTCACACATAAAATACACCAAAATCACAAGTCGTACAAGTAAACCCAACTTCAAAACCAACCTACACCATAAGATCAATCAAGTTCACCGAAATCAAACGGATTTTCACCGCTAAGATCTCAATCAAGATGTTCCACTAGTCTAAATGGGGTAGGTGGGGGCCACCATCCACCTTGAAAGAAAGACACGGACTCAACACGGACGGACATGGACCTCACCACAGCATATAAGACAAGACTCAACAACAACATCAGCATCAACATCAGCATTTGTCTCACCAACATCGCACATAATGACAATGTCTGACTCTGATCCAAGCAGTATAATTTCCAATATCTCCTTCCATCGCCGTACAACACTAGAGACAAAACATGGCCTCCTCACCGTCTCATTCGCAGACATAGGCTGCCCGACGGGCCCGGCCCTGCTCTACCTTCCAGGAATGTTCGCATCACGATATCTTGGCATTCCAATGCATACTCTCGCCAGTCGGGCAGGTGTACGACTTCTCGTAGTTGATAGACCAGGAATGGGTTGTTCGACTGATGTCCCTTTGGCCGAGCGCATAGACGCATGGATCGATATTCTACCGCGTCTACTGAGGTATCTCGATATCCAACGAGTTAGCCTTGTATCCCACAGTGCCGGGACAATCTACCTACTCAATACATGGGAAAGGTGTCCAGAACTAATAACTCCAAACATATTCTTCATGGGTATTTTCATTCCCCCACCCTTCCCTACACCCAAAATTAGAGAAATTGCAAGTAACTAACCAACTTTCAGCACCATGGGTTGATATCTCTCATTCCCAAATGACATCCATGCAAATACTCCAATATATACCCGAAAAGGCCTTCTCATTATGGCACCATATACCCCGATTCTTCGTCAAAAAAGCCTCCCCCGTCCTCGCATCAAGCGGGGCACTCCTCCGCTCCATAGGCCCCAGTACAAGCGACGAAGAAGATCGTACATTCCTCGATGCAAACTGGCGGCGTTTAGAACGCGACTATGGCGTCCCACGCAAGGAGGCAGCGGAGCTTACTAATCTTGTAGGTCAGTATATATTTACAGAGAACACTGTCGGAGCGAATAGCGAGGCACTGCAGTGTGTTCGAAAGGGAGACGGACGGAACTGGGGGGTTTGTTCTGATTATGCGGTATGTGCGCGGGAGCTTGTGGAGAGGGAACAGAAACAGGGACAGCTGGAGGGTGCCAGTGCTGGTGGGGCAAGGATATGGGCTTATCATTCGACTAAGGATGCTATGGTTGGTAGTCGGGGGCCGAAGTATTTTGATGGGTGCTGGGATGTATCTGGGTCAAAGAGTACTTTTGTTTCGAGGACAGTTGAGGGGACGGATCATGATACGGTGTGTCAGGCTGTGGAGGTTTGGGAGGAGATATTTTCGGTAGTGAGTGGATAGTGTCAGTGTTAGTTTGTACATATATACTACATAGGATTGATTAATGGAGATACCTAGAGACGTGGAGTTTAGAATAATCTAATTTCAAAAGAACTGAACTGAGCTTTTCAATTGTATGCATTGAACGGTATAACTGCAGTGCCATGCAATTCAAATGCTTCATAACATAACGAGTGGTAGGGGGTATTCGTACTCCAAAAACATCGCGCATAAATAAACATATCGTCAAACCATCTCAAAAATAAAATATAAACAAGAAGATGCCGATAACTGCCCGAAGACAGATGCCATGCAAGAAAAGAAGATAAGTATAAAAGACAAACCGAATCCAGCGGATCGAAAAAAGAAGATCAAAAGATCTCTGATCCCTGATCTCAAGCCCAGTACCTGTACCAAGACTAATTCAAACCCAAATCCATATCCAAACCCGAACCATAGAATTAATCACAAGTGAAGAATACATCTAGTGCTCGTGCTTCAGAGTATCGCGACGCTCAGTCAAAGACGGACGAGGTCCAGGACGGGGCGCACGACGACCTTTAGCATGAGCAGCAGCGTGTTTGTGAGAGACATCATCGCGCTTAGTGCTGCTGCTATCCTGGTAAACCTTAAGGGAGTTCACGCTCCAGTAAGTCTCCTTGAAAGCAGTGGGGTTGTTCTGAACGTAAGAATCGCAAGTGCTAGCCTGGGTGGAGCAGCTTCCAGAGCTCCAGACATTACCAGCCCAATCACCACAGAAGGTAATATCAAAGACGATTTGGAGATTGCTGAAGTGCGAGCTAATGTCACAGCTACCAGCGAAGCTAGCGGAAGGAGTTCCCCAAGTAGTAGGATCGGGAGTACCAGCGGTAATATCGGAGGGAATGCTGGAGCTAGGGAAGAAATAGATGTTGATAGCTGAGCTGGTCCACTCGGTAGCGTAAACACCGCCGCCGGCGCTGTTGAACCCATCACCGTAGGACTGGGTGGAAGAGTCGGTGATAGCGCAGCCAGCGTTGCTGGTTTGACCGGAAGCATCGACGTAGCAGTTACTAGTGTCGAGGGTACCGGAGAAGCCGGAGTTGTTGATGGTGCAACCATCGCTGGTGTGCAGGGTCATCTGGTTGGTGTTGTCTTGGTTGACTCCCTCGATAATGTCGATCTCGCCATTGTTGGGCCAATCGCTGCCAAGCATCCAGCTAAAAGGAGGGGAAATAGAAATTAGTTTTTTGGAAATTCCATGAGTAGCAAACAATTGGACATCTTATTTCAACTTACAATGCGGGCCAAGAACCACAAACACTACCGGGCATGTGTTCCAAATCCAGAATCACAAGACCCTCATTGTAGGTGGCGGTACTGGTGAGACGGACACTGCTGCGACCGGAACCGCTAGCAACATTGGTATTATCAACGCCAATGTAGACAGCGCCATCCGAAGCGCTAATTAGACCATCGGTAGTGGCCGTGGACTGATCGACATAGGTCACATATCCTTCGGTGGGGTCGTCATCCTAGGCCGTAACAGTTAGCGCCCGCCTTAACGCCCAATGCAAAGTGATTCATAGGGGGACCCACAGTGTAGAAAGAGAACTTGTCAAAGAAGGTCGAGTCGGTACCATAATCATCGAGCAGGGTATAAGCTGCAGTGCTGAGCTGAGCAAAAAGGCCCAGACTGGGAAGGAGTGTAGAAAGGACGTGCATGATTGCCGTGATTTTCCAAAAGTTCTATAGATATAGAATAGTAGAAGTGACTTCAAGTTTGAAGAATTGTATGTGTCTGTCAAAGACTAGGTATTCGTCTGGATATATTTCTTGATCTATAGTCCCACAGGGAAATCAATCAAGTAATAATCAGAAGGAATGTAGTGCAGAATAAAAGACAATGATCCAGCCCGTATAGGGATTGTATTTTGGCCTGCAAAAAGGAATGTAAAAGGGAAAGTCACGGCGATATAAACGCACGAGAGATTTGAAAGGAAGGACGAAGTGTCGATGGAGGTTGGAGAGAAAAGAAAAAAAAATGAAAGACAGGAGATGCATGCAAGTCTTATATCCCAGGGGGCTTGCGACTGCATGAAGAGAACAAAAAAAGTGATCCACGCGGTGGCGGGCCTGCATCCACCCGACCCGATCTCGAGACTCCAGTGGGACATGCATGACAGGGCCCATGTGAGAGATGCGAAACGCGGAGGCAGAATACTAGACTAGAATGGATCAGGGACCCTGGCCGAACGGCGGGTCCTGAATATTGAAACACAGTGAGTAGGATGAGACCTTATCCACAACGACAGTAGTGAAAGTACTAAGTTCTTTGGAGGAATCGATATCCGCATTATCTATAGGTCGAACCATACAATGGAACGTGGGGCCCGGAACCAAGCCGATAGAGAGACCCTTTGTAAGCGGACTTTATTGTCCAGAAGTCTCTTCTTTGAGGCCTTTGAACCGATCCTTTCTTTCATGCTTTTTGTTTCTTCTTTTTTGGGTCCCATTCAATCCGAACCTTTGAATCGAGACTGTTCTCTCTATCGGCTAAAGGTACATACATTAAAAAATGACCTCCGAGGAGGATTGCGTGGATCATCCGCGCGGCGATAAAATCCATCACAATCAATCAGGCCATCAGATGCATAGAAAGTTATCGAGTGCAACCCCACTAGGGATGCAAGACGAGATAGGACAGGTTTAGCCCCAGCGCGAAGGAAGGCAAAGCGGGAAAAGCAGATCAATCCTTCATTTGTATACTCTGTACCTTTTTGATGTATTTCCTACAATCTCTTTGGTGGAAGCAAAGTGGATGTATCCCCCTAGTTTCAACAATCGAATCGAATCACTCGACCGCCCAGAACTTGAAAAAAGGGTGCTGAAAGGTGGAGTCTCCAATACTGGGAAAAGTTAACCCTGGCTGTTTCGGAACCACAGGGCGATCATGGTGTTGCGGCTGCTGACTCGTCAGGTTGATGACCCCGGGCTCCACAGAGGAGCGTTGGTACCGACCAGTCTACGGTTAAGTCTAGCCTGCTGCGATGGTCACTGGTTGTTCTCATCTGTTGGTCGCAGATTACCGCAGACCAGATAAACCCAATCACATCCAGTGATCCTGAACTGTGGCAAACCTCAATCCAATGGGCGCGTACGACGCGCCCACTTAATTAAGCTTTTCTGCTTCGGTTTCGCGGTTTTGCGCTCTTGATCCTTTGGCTCTATCCAGGTCGGTCCGTTGATTCGGCATCTGTATCCGCCTCATGGCGTTCTAGAAGGCTAAAATTTCTTTTTCATCATTGAACCATGATTGATTTCAGGGGAACTACCGACTGGACAGGGGGAAAAACCTTGTAGCTCTAGATTCCATGATTCTATCACGTTTACTGGGTAGAGAATGCAAAGTAGATTGGTCCAGGTACCGGGAATAGTCCGTAGGTAGTGTACATAGTGTACAGGTGTATAGTTCAACGTGTTCAAACCAAAACTCTAGTGCTGACGAGCCTCTATTCTAAACTAGCGCAACAAGTTCAAACCATAATGAGTCTAGACAAAGTAGAGCAGGTAAACCAAAAAAATGCAACCTAGATGATCACAATCCTTCAATTCTTCGTACTCGTTTCCACCAAAATCATAAAATCACAACATCCAGATCCTCAAAGCAGTATAGATGCCAAACCGGCTTCCCCGATGGACTCCCGTGATCTCCGCTTCTCGACATACCCTCTTAGGCCAAACAATGGTTGATCAGTGCCAAATACGCTCTACCTTGATCTAAAATCCTTCAATGTGACCCCACCCACAAGGAGTGTCACAGATAAACCAGTCAGCCCCTCGGGGTACGTTTCCTCGAGAATGAATGAGTCCCGAAGCCACGGGGTACCTGCAGTCGGTAGTGCAATCTGCACGGTTGCACGAGCCGAAGCCATGGGATCTATAAGCCGGAGATAACTACATTCTCTATACTCCGTATTAAGTGTAGAGGGGAAATGGTCTAGCGCTGGGATTCTATGGCGTTATTTTCTCCGGGGGCGCCATGCATTAGTATCATGCGGGCGGGGAACGATGCACGCCAAACTAAAGAATGCTACCATAGACGGAATTCAGATCGGAAATCAAACTTGCTTGGTTTCTTGCAGAAGAGAAGTGCGAAATGGGATATAGGGGGAAATACGGAAATAAAATGAAAAGGAAATGAACCTATATGACACACCCACCTATCGCATTTGCGCGATCCCTGTAAAATCTCCGGCCAAGGACTAAAAGGCACGGGCAAGGACAAAAAGAAAATATAATATAAAAAAAAAAAATTTAAAAAATGAAAGAAATCGCTACTGTCTACTATGTACATGCCGGACAGAAGAGGTCGCCGCCAGCCCAATCGGCATTCCCATGCCGAAATGCAGGTCCATCAGTGGGGCGACCATGGATAGGAATTGCATCTAGAACACACTTTCGGTGATAAAGATGTCGACAAGAAAACACGACAATGGGTTCTGGGCGGCCCTCTGCCCCAGGCCCGTTCGTTTCTACCCCTGCATCTTGCCCGTGCTCGTCGTGCTCATTTTCGTGCTCAGGATCAGAGCCGACAGGATTGGGGCCAGCATGGTCTACTTGCAGATGGCCCGCGCCCACAGCGGCTGCTTTGCCTTTACCCCGCTCAGTGACCGGATCGTAAGCTTCCTCGATGCGTTTAGCAATACGACGTTGATGGTCGTCGGCTTGTTTTTTCTGCCAGACTGTCCACTGCGCGGGACCAACACTGGGGCCCCAGATCCGACGTCGGCAGATCTCACAGACCTGTCCGCGGGGGCGCCACCCTTGTTGTCGGAGATGACTGACCTCGTCCACATGCACGAAGAGATCACGGTCCAATATGCCATTGGCGAGGGTCAGAAGGGATCTCTCGTAGGAGTATGCAGAGAAGACGGAGGCTAGCACCGCGCGCAGCTCCAGAAGAGAAGGAGACCAGCTCGCAGCCCGTGTGAGAAATGCGCGGAGAATTCGGAGGAAAGACACATCAGTACGTTCACCATTTGTTCCATCCCCTTTACTTTTCACAGTGCTAGCCAATAAGGAGGTGAATACTTGCTGGACCAGAGTGCGGAAAGAGGTGGTCAACTGGCCAGCGTTCCCATGGGTGGGAGTAGAGACTAATTGAGACTGCGCAGACTCCTCAATATGACGTTCTCTCATCACCGCGAATACATGGCTTGCGATGCGAACCACCGCCTCGATGAGATCCAACCAAAGACCCTCATCAAATGCCAGCGTTTGTTCGGGTTGCGATGCTTCACGTTGACCGTTGGTACTCAGTCTGGGTGGCGACTGCTTTGCGGTCTTTGTTTGGCCCTGGCAAATCCACGTTCCCACTCCAGCATACTTTTTCAGCGATTCAAGAAGGTCATCAATGGCCTCAAGCGCGCTGGAAGAGTCTGGCGCCTCGTCTACGCTTTGGAGAATTCCAACCAAGCCAGACTCAAGTGTACCCAGATGAGAAATAAGACGATCCAGGGCTTGTCGTAGATGGCCTTGTCGTGCGAGGAGAAGTACCGCCGCATCTATAGCCCCACTTTCCTCGATAGCCGGTAGTAGCTGATCAAGATGTATGTCCCCAACTCGCATACCGTCCACAAAGTCAGCAATGTGAGTTGGGTTGTATTTGCAAAGTAGCTGTACGTAGCGTTCAAGCATCCAATTCTCAACAGAGGGCGATGCTTGAGTTTCTCCAGCTTGGCGAGACGGCTCAACCAGTATCAGTAGGTATTGATACTGGTTGTGTGGATCTTCTTCCAGTACTCGTAAGAATGTAGCATGCGTATTGGGGGTCAAGTTCTCCATCGTCTCTGCTGCTCGTTTAACATTGATATAAGCAACGTCCTTAGCATGCTTCTTCACCACATCTACCACGTCTTTCCGTTGCTTTTTACCGAGACTTGATCCCGATCGTAAACAATCATGCAGAGCAGTGAAAATGGCTTCTTTATCTGCTGGATCTTCAAAGTATGTCAAAATCCATTCTGGGTATTGTTTCTCTGAGCGGTACGTTGATTTGAGGATACGAAAAAATCGAGCCTTCTTGAACAAGGGTAACATGCTCTGTATGTCGGGTGGGTGGTATAGAGATAGCAAATATTCCGCACTCAGTTCACAGTCCTCGGCCATTTCTAACTCCGGGTACTGACACAAGCGCACTAAGACTTGATGAAGAGTGGTGCCCGAAAGAAGAATGTACTGCGGGTATTTTGGAAGATTGCGTGCAATAAACATATCCAAGTAAATGGTATCAGAAGGAGGGAAGACTGATGCATCCATTACCTGAAGTAAAATGCTGATCAGATACTGTCGGTTAATCGAGACACCGGAGGCGAGAGCCTCCTCAGATTCAGGCTCATTCAGGAAGCTGTCCTCGAATGCCTCGTTGAACATGCTCATAAAGCTAGAGGTATCGAATTTAAGCATGGCTTTCAAGTGTGAGAAAGACTCCTCTTCGTCGGAAAGGTTCCCGGGCTCTGTTCCAGACACTTGACCCGAGAAAAGATATTGATACATGGTAGTTTTGGCACGGAAGGCTTCGGTTTCTTCCATCTCGTTTCCGGTGGGGTAAATGCGACCCGTGAGAACGAAGGAAAGGTAGGGGAACATTTTCATGGCATTTGTGTACCGACTCGTGTCGTTGGCATCCGCCCCGTTGACAGCGGGCTCTAGCTCGGTCTGGGCTGGGATCATCCTTATGAGTTCTTCTAGTGGGCCCGCGTAGTCTTGCAGACAGCGATTCCAAACGTATATATACGCGTCGTATAAATTATGTTGTTTGCAGAGAGTCGTTAATTGATCAATGTCCATAGTCGTGGTATCAAGGAGGCATATGATTTCCTCGAGACGCCCAGCCGAGTGAGCAATGATAAAGTGGTTGATGAGAGCTTTGACAGCGGCCGGGGGCAGTGAACGGATCGTCCCATCAACGATACGTGGTTCAAGAACGTCCATGAAAATTCCCGCAGAGTTGTTCTCTTCAAACCAAGTGAAGACTTCCTCCCATAGGAACTCGTAGTCTGCCATATAGATACAGGCAGTAACAGCCACCTCGGCCAATTCCTCAAGTTGCTGGGTTTCCAACCTCCCATTGTCTGCCTCCGCGTTTCGGCCGAACGCATATTTGAGGGAAGCAGAGATCATCTCTAATAACTTCTCTTGGACTATGGGCTGTCTTAGGACATCCTCTGCGGGAAGGCCTACTGTGAGCATTTCGGCAGCTCCTGTGTAGAAAGAAGTCGCTAAGCGGATGGCTGCGATGAAATCGCCCGCTTCCATCAGGGCCAGAAGCCGATCAGCCCAGTTGGAAAGACTACCAACTAAGGCCTCGTTGTAGCCGAGAAGGAATAAACGTCCTTTATAAGCACGGAAACTCATAAAAAACGCATCTGCAACTACGCCGTGCATCGATGTATCTTCTTCATCCAGCTGCTCAACCAAGGCATGCAGCTGGGACGAAAAGAGATCAGCGTGGTATATATGCCGGCTCACCAGATCAATCGAGTCCGTTACGTGCATGGAGTGGTCCTCTAGAATAAGAAGTCGCTGGGTGATTGTGAAGACTGCGAGAACAGAGCGACTGAGCCATTGCACGGCGACAATGGGCTCGTCAGCCTTCCACCTACTGCGCGCTCTAAACGCAAGATTGGGTGGCTTGTCTTTGTCTGCCGGCTCACTAGCTTCGGCCTCAGTCACCTCCATCACAGTTAACACATTTGACCAACAATAGACGAGCTTGGTATTCGATGTTTGGCTGTCTTTGCCCTTCAGGCGGATCGCAGGGAACCAAGCCAAGGCTCCAGTCATGGCGCTATGAGAGGGAACTTCCTTTGGCCTCGGCGCTTTGTGCTGGGTCTGTGCAACTGGAGTGGTAGACACGATCACCAGAAGATAAGGCGTCAACATAGCAACAAGGCCTAACGAGTCGGACGGCTGCTCTACATTTCCGAGGGGCAATGGTGAAAAGGCCAAGACAGAGCTAGGCTTCCGGGGTCGTATCTCTTCCAAGGATGTTGGAGGGTATCGGCCAAGAATTCGAGTTATCTTCACTGTTCGCGCGACCGCGCCCATGCCTCTTGTTGCTAAATGCGAAAATGCCATTCCTCTAGTATCCGCTGAAACCACCGCAGTGCGTCGTGTTCCTAGAAACCCCATATGGATGACAGCCGATCCGGAAATATGGCCATCAGAAGTCCGCGCCTCTACTTGTTTTTCTGGGATTGGGGGAATATGGAGAAAAGGTCGAGCCGATCGTGAGATTTCCCATGTGAAGATGTCGCCGGATTCATGGCCTCCAGCCACAGTGGAATGGTCTGCAGACAAAGCCAAAGAGGTGACTGGCCCGCATTCGACAGCTAAATTTGTTGGTCAGCAAGCTGTCAGAAAGACTTGGGTAATATACCACAAACCTTTTGTCCCTGTTCCGATGATAGTTTTCAAGTTTTGCTGATAGTCAAACACCAGAATGATGCCCTTCGATGTACCAAGAACAATAGTCGTCGACACAGCCAAACAAGTCGGCCTACCAAAGCTTCGTCTCCCAATCTCCGAAAATGCTTGCCCCGTAATCTTTCGCAGCTTTGTCCATCGCACCACATCCCAAGGACTCGGCGCTTCTTCGGGTTCCGATTCTGGCGTCGGCGAGACCTGGCTTGTTATTGATGATTGTCGAGAATGTAAATGAGCCAGATATGGCGAGCCCGATCTTGGCGCGCTCAAAGGTGATGACGATAGTCGAGACTGGAAACGAAGGTCAAAGGGACGATGGGCCGGACTTGGGGTGGTCCTCGGTGAGCCTCGGTTCAGCAGGGCACTACTGCTTTGCGATGAGATTACGGAGTCCTGGTATGAATTAGAAAGGCCATCAATGGAGATTCGACAATCGCAAAGGTACTCACATGTAAGGACGGGGAATCATCTGGCGTAGACGCGGTCTCATCCAGACTCCCTGGGGTTCCAGCAAACTCTGTATTCCTCATTGGCGGAGTCTGCGGGAGACTGTCAGGGATCGCTTGGACGGTCTTCTCCGATTCGTGGTCCTGCGCATGATCTTCTTTGATGTTCAATTCGTCTTCCGGCTCCTGCGGGGAAAGCCCGGGGGACTGATGAGCGCCATGATCGGGAAGGTGGGAATTGTTCTCTTCTGGGCCAAGATCAAGCTCATCCTCTTGTTCCCAGCCCGCCACATTGCCCTCTGCCATCGAGCTCATGAGCGTTCTCGAATGATCATTGCTGGCGACAGGTCACAGAGGGAGGACGTGGCCGGACCAGCGAGGTGCTCCGAAGGCTAAGGAAGTCGGCAAGTCGGCGCGTAGTGAATTCGAATCTCTGATTATTCGACAGGTAGTGGGCAGTGGCAATGTAGAGGATATAAAATGTCGCGGGTTGTGGTTGGAGTCGGGGTTGAAGCTGGAACCCTGGAGTTGAAGTTGAGCTCGGTGGTAAACATGTGGAGATAACGAGTACGACGGGGTATAGCGGCCACAGCTCAATGCGCTAGTAGTGCGCCCGGTTGATGCCTGATTACTGCCTTGAATAGGATCACCCTAAACAACACCGTAACTTAGTTAACTATAACTAACTATACAAATTCTATCGATTTTATTTATACATTACGAGCGGTGGGTTTTCTAATCCATCTAGTCACTATTCCAGATCTTCCCCGGACTCAAATAAGGCAAAATAATGCCTGTCTGGCCAACCTGTTCATTGGCCTACTGAGCCTAGGTGGCTACTATTCCCCGCTGTGAACGAGAGTTCAAGAGCTCCGGTCCAAGGTTGGATCGGGCCGTTTCCAATAGGGGCCGAAAAGAGCCTCCCAGCCACCGGAATACTTGTGGGCGAGGCTGGTTGATTTGATGATCTGGTATATTTTGGAACTTTTGTCACAGCAAATGACAATAGTAATAGAATTGACATTTTGAACTGATCTTCGAGTTCAGTAATTATCACAAACATAACTACCTAAAGAAGCGAGAGCGTATAATGTAATGTTGGTGTCTTTAACTATGCCTTGGTGCCTTAATTCCCAGATTCCCTTAACTATGTTTAACATGAGTCAACTAGTTATACACAACACGTAGCCCATCATTAGCAGAACAAAAAAGTCTGCAATAAAGCTTTAAGCAACGGCATCGCGCAGGTATATCGATGCTAATCAAGCCGAACAAAGCCCACTAACTATCTGTAGGCTGAACAGCATATGCTTCTTCCAGAGGTTCTCCCATCATCTTTACAATCTTCTTGATTGATTTTAACACCCGTTTTCAATTCACCAAGCCGTTAGTCTTAAGCCAATCGGTATCAGCCAATAGATCCATCAGGCTCAAATACAAGAATGGCCAGTCAAACGAATCGCAGTCCGCTTCTTCTATGGAGTCCAGTTCGAGAAACAATTCACCATGCGTTCGCAATCTGCATTTCCAGAAGAAGTCCGGTAAATCCACTGCAAATACACTTAATGCGTTACGCGTACCCTGTACATCAGATTGGGTGAATTCAACAGGGCAGATAGACTCCAACACTAACAGCCAGATGTCAAGTGGAAGTGGAAGTGTAATAAGGCGAGAGCTCTTCTGACTTGCTTTTTGTGCTCGAGCCAAGTTGATAACATTCTGAATTTCAGGTATGACCCAAGGGCTATGGTGAATATCGCAATGGTATAAAAAGTCCAGGCACTCTTGGTAGTGTATGTCATAGTACTTCTTCTGGGCCAAGTAATGGGCATCCAAACATGTAAACTGGACTCGGACTTCCCATTGTGTGCGCTTAGACCAGCAACTCTCCACAGCCAGGACCATAGTATCAAGCTTCTCTTCGACTGCTTCATTCCCTAGGACATGACAAAAGATCTCCCAGCAGTGAGAATGAAAGATATATCCGATGTTTTGCCGTGAAGACGGTTTATCTCTTCACCATTCCTGCTTTCTGGGTCTATACTACTGACGTTTGATATCTCGAAATTGCCGAATTGTGTATTATTGCACTGCTGCATATCACTTTTATTGAAAATCTGAGCAGTATCATTATCTCTGGGTGGACAGTAAGGTGATCAATCGCGAAGGTGGATTGAACCAACTCCTGTAAGATGCAGCTTTGAGGAAGAGGCATATTTAACCACTATTGCTTAAGAATTTAGTTTGAGCTAGGGGTTTTACCAAGTGGAACTGACCTGCTCGATAATAGCAAGATGCTAGCCAGGTCCACCTTGAATAAGGGAAAGTCGAAGTGTTGACTCTGATTGATGGAACTGGAACATTCTCAGGAACTCGGCCATTGTTGCCATGATATTCCAATTGATCGTCGAGAAGAAGCATATGGGCGACAAAGGCTGTTGGCGACAGAATCTGTGAGCCGCAATGTAGACATGTTTCGGCTGGGTAGAAAGTATTATACTGAAGCTCTATTGATGTCCAAGTTCGACTGGCATACTGCAGATGAGAAGATAGAGCCTTTTGTGAGATAAAGCTGATCACTAAGAAAGTATTGAACAATTTTTGCCTAATATTATGAACGAAGAATCCGATCGTGGGAGAAAGGATGTTGGAATAGATTGATAAAGTCATAAACATTTCAAGTTCCAAAGTTGTACTCGTAAATCTACTCAAGTGACGCAGTGCTGAACGGTATATCCTTCTAAGGATCGGAGAACCCTTCTAAGGTCGGCCATATTAAGGGCACTTGAGTATATTCAAATAAATTATAAGATGATGAATTCTTATCATTACAAGAAGTAGAATTTCTAAGTTGGACCGAGGGGGGAAAGCATGAGCGCACCTTGGCACCTGGGCAAAAGCGATGATATTTCCAAGGTTGAATAAGGAAGATTGAAACACATCTCCCTATCCGAATCATATCATATTCCAGTAGATTATCCAAGTCGACAAACCCGCATAAAATCGAAAATCAGAAATCGGCATCGGATTAACAAAAGCCTCAATACGCCCGCCCGCGATCGTCACGGCAAGTCCGATATACTACACCCCCACTCGCACCACACTGGATCCCCCTGCATCTCACGCGCCCCATAATTGGTCCAGTCTCCGAATGCGACAACGGAGTACCATCACCAAATCCAGTACATGTACATGTACTCCTCCATAAGCAGAATACTAAATCCACTAGCTCTCTGCAAGCTAGTACGTCCCTGTTTCCCGTTCCTGGTGATCCTGCTCAGGATGCAGTGCGGGGCTGCGGTTACATCGAGTCACAGGGGAACACGGCTGACGCCCTATCACTGCAAGCCAGACAAGCATGAGGGCATGATAGAGATCAGTTGTGTATTTTCCATTTTCCATTCTGGTCAACGATCGTCGGCATGTGGAATGCTGGAAATTTTAGTTTGAAGCGTGATCTGGTCTTACTACCTTACCTTACCACACGTATATAGCTGCCGTCATGTCCGGTGAAACAAGTGATCAGACCACGGCGGATTTAGGACAAAGATCTAACGAGTTCATTCTATATCCTTACAGACTCGAAGATCCGTCTCTAGTCCTCATATCCTCATCTTATTATTTGTTGTTTGTTTCTCGAGCTTAACAACGGAAAGCCCAGATCAAAACAAAACAATAACCGCCACCATGAGCCCCATTCACAGCCTCACCCGAGCTCTACTCGGCACACTGCTCCTTGAACCCGCCCTAGCAATTCATGTGCCCAGCATCTCCTCTTTATTCGGACGAACCGCATCACCGACCACCTCCGCCGCCGACGCAGCAACAACCTGCAACGGCCGCACAGAGTACTGCACGCGCTCCTACTCAAACATCACCTTCGTAGGATCGCACGACTCAGCCTTCGTGGGATCCCTCCCCCAGCAAAACCAGAATATCGACATAACCGCACAGCTGGACATGGGTATTCGCTATTTACAGGCCCAAACACACAAGTCCCTACTAGACAGCAGTGTTCTAGAGCTATGCCATACATCCTGTCTGCTTGAGGATGCGGGTACACTTGAGGCATACCTATCTACTATTAAGAGCTGGTTAGATGATAACCCGAATGAGGTTGTGACTCTTCTTTTGACGAATGGGGACTCGTTGGATATTTCTACCTTTGGGGATACGTTCTCTAGTGCTGGGATTGATAGTTATGCATATGTTCCTCCGTCCGAGCCTTTGGCGTATGATGATTGGCCTACTTTGGGTGATTTGATTGATAGTGGGAAGAGACTTGTTGCGTTCCTTGGTAAGTATCCTTCTTATTCTTATTCTTATTTTCGGACGTCCAAGCGAGGAATCGAAAAGAAAAAGGAAAGAAACTAATTCCATATCCAGATTATGGCGCCGACACAAGCACAGTGGATTACATCCTCGATGAATTTGCTTACTACTTCGAAACACCCTACGACGTGACCGACTCCACATTCTCAGACTGCAGCATTGATCGACCCTCCGGTGCATCTGCCTCGGGCCGCATGTACCTCGTCAACCACTACCTCGATGTAGATATCTTTGGCGCTGATGTTCCTGATCGTGGTGCAGCGGATACTACCAATGCGGCAACTGGAGATGGAAGTCTGGGTGCGCAAGCGACAGAGTGCGAGGGTCTGTATGATCATGCGCCAAATGTCATGTTGGCTGATTTTGTGGACAAGGGAGATGTTATTACAGCGCAGAATAACTTGAACGGATTCAGTTCATAAATCCGTAGCTCATGTGCTGGGTATGTCAATATGAGATGGATTAGTACATAGCCATGTTTGAATGTGATACGAATGATTTTCTAGATTGATATGCTCGTAACTTTCTGAATATTCCGAAGAGGCCCAGGGTATTATACACTATTTTCAAAGTAGAAGTCTCGATGTTCTTGCTGTACCAAGGAGTTTGTCCTTTACTCTTCTATCTCCAGCCTCATCTCTCGTTCTAAACAAGTTGCAGAGATTAGCAAAAGGTTCAAACAGGCTGGTTCAGTCAACTTACCCCAAATCTTATTCGCAGAACCAACGATAGTCTCTGCCTTTGTCAATAATTTCACAGCATATCTCTCTGCTTCTGTAGGAAAAAGCTGGCTCTTCTGCGTTTTGCGTGGGTTCACCTTCGTCGATGGAAAGTCCGATGTCAGTAATCCAGTATACAGGCATAAAATGTTGAAACATACCATCATAAGCACAGGAACCAAGTCCTTCGGCTCAGCCTCTGCCAACGCACGCAAGTTCCGAAACCCGTTCTCTCTCAAAAGCCGAGCAGTCCAGCTCTTTACAAAGACAACCTGAGCCATTTCAAGTAGATCAGCACGGGCGCCTGCTTCCAGACGATCACGCATATGATCCAGCACAGCCGCCATCATGCCCCAGTTCATCCGCTGGCAAAATTTTACTATGCCAGCTGCGAACCCGTGACATTGCTGAGCTAATGTCTGGACTGTGCCGCGAGGGATTCGATAGCGCTGTGCGATGACTGATAGAGGAGCCTCGTTGCTGAGATCACGAAGCTGAAATGCCGCATATGCACGCCTGTAGACACGAGCTTTCTGGATTTGTTCTGGTGTCACTTCCTTCAGTGATGCACCGGATTGTACCCTTTATAGCGTGAGTCTATGCATCAACGGGCCTGGGGTTTCCGAAGCAAAGCAATACTCACATGGTGTTGACAAACCCTGGTTCGACACCAACGAACTGTAATGCACGAAGGCCACTCTCGTCCATGAGGTCTAGTTGGTCACGGAAGATCTGCCAGTCAATTGACGTGCTCATTGCTGCTTGGAGAGGAGTGAACATGTAGAAGACGTGCATATCCCCATCCATCACAAACGCCTGGATGGCCCGCTTGAGCTCTTCATGTACAAATAGGCCATCCTCTGGGGCAAATGCAGATGCCACAACGGCTTGACCGAGTTGGGTTGCATGATACGCCTCGTCTTCCTTGGAAATTAGAAGCTCTTCATCAACCAGTTCTTGCAGAGCTGATTTCATGATGCTATATGCAAGCTTCTGATCGAGGGTGCGGTATAGCAGAGTACAATGTACGTATTCCTTGATAGCCTCACATCCAGATACCAAACCTGTTGCGATGGCCTCAAGTAGAGCTCTATAGATTGTTGGTCAGCCAGGGCGAATGGTGTCGAAAGGAATGGTGGTACCTTTTCAATCCTCGCTTTTCAGGAACGAGAGAGCTCTCGATAGCAGGCATGTCAGAGTCCAATAAATCACATACGGCTTCAAGGTCTGCTTTCACACAAATCAAATACGTCTCTCCCGCATCATCCTTCCCTTTGCGCCCAGCTCGGCCACACATTTGTCGCCTAGAAGAGTCAGTTAATACCCACCCAGGGCAAAGGATTCAACTGTACATACAACATTGCCGGGCCCACCAAATCTCGGCCCATCCGAGCACCATTTATTATAACCCGCCGAGCAGGAAGATTAACTCCAGCAGCAAGGCTGCAAGTGGCAATAAGAATTTTCAGAACACCCGAATCATAGGCTGCTGCGATGAGTTCTCGCTCTTCTGTCGTCATGCCAGCATCTAGTACCATTTGTCAGTATTCCAGGTAAACGGAGTGCCAAAAATTAGGATACGCACGATGAAAACCTGTTCCTTTAATAATTGTATGCTGAAGAACAGGGTCCAAGCCACACGCAAGGCTCCTCAGCTCTGCAACAAGATCAAGTCGCTGACTCAATTCTTCTTTGTCTAGAGTATGAGGCATGGCTTCACTGATTGTTGAAGCATGAAGTTGACATGAATTGCGACTTCCACAGAATACCAACGCACCGTATCCCTCTGTAGCCGTTTCCACGGCCAGTGCTACCATGGCGTTAGTTGCAGCGTTGTTGAGCTCTTTATATGTCGACGACTCAATGATTCTATGTGCAGGAATAGTATCTTGTATTGATGTTGACACTGTTAGTTTAGAGGCTGTTTGAAACAGCTGTCTAGATGTCGCGGCTGGGTAAATGACATTCTCATAGACAAGATACTCATCAATAGGAACTGGTCGATATGTTGAAATGAAAAACCTCGCATTCATCCACTGAGCCAGCATTTCGGTATTCTTTGCGATATTAGAACGACCTGCCATATTAAATTGGAGAAAAACAAAGAATTGACCTACCGATAGGGTCGCACTCATCCCCACGATCTGAATATCTTGCTGCAATAGCAACAGCTTAGTGACCATGAGTTCTAAGAGATATCCACGATGCTCATCATCCAGCATGTGTAACTCGTCGAGCACAACGACTCCCAAATCCCCAATACTGCATTCTTCAATAGCAGTATTAATCAACGAATTTGCCTGAGAAATAAAGACATCAGAATACCCTCTTGCAGTTTCCAAGTACAACTAGAACACACCTTTTCAATCGTACAGATAGCAATATCCGTATCAGCCCAAGTAGTCGTAGTCCTACTTCCACCAAAAAACCCAGTCACACGAATCTGCTTCTGTAGTTTCTTCCATCGCCTGCGTGGAAATGGTAACCCCTCTTGCCCTTCCTCCTCTTCATCATCCGGAACATTCTTCGGCACATCCTGAACAATACGACGCATCCATTTCAGCTTCTCCTGAACCAATGCCACATAAGGCAGAACCAAAATCGCCTTCTTCGCAGGGTTCTCAATAATACGTTTCAGCAACAATACATCGGCCACTAGGGACTTTCCTCCGCCAGTGGGGGCCGTGTATACCAAATGCCGCTCACCCGATAACAGGCCCCGCGCTAACAAGCATGATGCCTGCCAAGGGTAGATATTTCCCACACCCAAGGCCGCAAAATTAGCCGTTAATGCATCAGGAAGCCCGTACTTTGGATTCTTTAACAAGAGCAAAGGATTCTGGCTAGATCCCGGAATAGTAACAGATGCAGTAGTTTTCTGCTTGTGCTCATCGCCTGGGGCCGTAACGGCCGAGGCTGGACCTGGTTGGATCCTGCTTGCAGTAAATCGGGTCGGAGGGGGTCCTAGCGAGGCTCGAGTGGACTCAAGTGGGGTGGATTCTATAATCTCCAATTTGCCATGTGGCTTGGGCCGAGAAACTGAACCGTCTCTCATTTCGGTCTTTGGAGCGAAAGGTGTTTCCTCTGTTGTCGTGGGCCGTTTGTGGCCTGCCAATTGCGCAACATGATACTGTTGGCGGCGGGCGACGTCAATCGAGGTCTCAAACCCATGAGACTTGAACGACATGCTTTTAACGTCATGTGTATCGAGGGATCATGAGTGCCCAGGTGATGCCAGGTGAAATATTTTGGCAAGTAAGGTTTTATTCACCACCCATCTTACCTTCCTCCTTTGTTTTTGTTCCTCTACGCGACCACCGTGTTTGGTGGCAGGGCAGTTCTGCCTTAGGCAGGGATAACAGAGAAAGTGGAGCCTCAGGCATCAAGGTTCCACTTCCGGCCAGGATTAAACGATGTCATCGCCGGTCCCCCGGTTCCTGGATCGGGAAGCAAGGCTCCGCCTTTTCTGCGGGACGAATTCCCATCCGCAGAAGGCTAGATGGCATCATTCAGAGTCTCTTGCACAAGCAAGCAATAGCCACAGTCCAGAGGCAAGGTGCTTGGTGATTTAATAACCCTGATAAATAGAAATTAGGGAAACCCCCGGACAGAGTACTCCGTCTATCTAACTATGTCAGGCCCTCTTATAATCTATTTGGTGTTCAATCCGTAGCCAGCATAGTCTATACCTATTTCTTCCGGCAAGCGGTTGATTATCGAGAAAAAGTTCTATATAAGAGACCCGTCAACTATTTTAGAAGAGCGAGTATACAAAACATGAAGAATAATCTTAAAAGAAGGGATTTTTATGGGGCAGCTGAGCCTCCTTCCAATTGTGCGGGCGGAGCAAACACCGTGACCACACCAGCATGCAACACCAACCAGTTTCCATCGAAATACTCCCACTTTGTCATATTTAGCTCACTGCTTGATCCTCGTGTATGAATGAGTTTCCAAGTCTTTATATAATGTCCTAAAATAAGGTTCAAATGTCCCAGTGGCGACATTTGTGGCATTTGCCTCCGTGGTCGGTGCATAGTTAGATGTACATGTAAATATTTGTTACTTTGATGCTCTTTCGTTGAATACAAAACATCAAAATTTCTCGAAATTTCTCAAAATTGTTTAAAAGCCCCGAATCCAAGTTTGAATGTGTACAGTACCCGAAGGAAAGACAAAAACCGACAATCTCTAACCTCGAAAGTCTCAGGACATGCAGTATGTCAAAGTCCAAGTTACTTAACATGGCTCTCAAGCCTGAGGTCTGTCACGCTAGGTTCATTTCTTGTTTAGCTTGATACAACTTTTCATCAAATAATTTTTATGCTTTACTAGTAAAGGAGAAATAATATAAAATGTCAATATTGTATACTAGTGATATATCTGAAATACAAGTGTTGTCTCATTCCCCATGATAGTAGTAGCACAGAAGAGGCGGCCAACTCAAATGTTCGTATAAGACATGATTCAGCGACACAGCAGCTTAAACGTAAAGCTGTACGTAGTGTAATGCAGGCCCCAACACATCCCAATACGCAATACACAAAAATCTAACCTTAAAAATAAAAATCAATCCATCACGCAGCGACTGCTGCCTATATGCAGAATCCGGAACATGCCACGGTGGAATCACGATTCGATTGCGCACCCACTGAGAATCCTGGTCGGGTGGAGGCCAGATTCACTGAAGAGTGCGTAATGGAAAAGTGCAGGTGGCAAGGCCACCACCAAGTACCTACATTACAAGATATTTACCTCCGCACAGTACTGACCTTCCATGAATACGTATTTTCTTGTGCTACAAATTCAATCAGTGTAGAGTAAGTAGCTACCTAGACTTTCGCAGATAAGTACCAAGGCCCGTTTGAACCGTTTGATTTGATTTGATTTGGTTAGGGGCACGGAATACAGTACAGGCTTGGCTTGGTTTCCCCACTATGGCTTGCCCAAGAGCCAATACAACTTTATGCCGATCGGCAACCTGGAATTTGGCTGATGATTCAAAGTGTTCAGAAGGAATGTGAAATATTATATCCCTCAAGCCCGGGATCCGTGGGGCAGAGGCCGAAACGCAAATGAACAAGAGATCTTTGCATTTACCTACCTACCTACCTGTGCTACTTGTAGGTACATTAGATGTAACGGGTTCAAGTTAAAGGGTTTGATCTACGATACAGTACAAGTACAGCAAATTATCTGCCAGGGGCAACGTGGAGACTAGCCATATGGAAGAGAATTCCGATCAAAAATGGAGGGAGTAATGTAGCAGGTGCCAGTGAGAGTCCCGGTCAACGGAAGAATTCAAGTTCAAGTTCAAGTTCAAGTTCAAGTCGAATTTTAATGTCGGTGCCCCGGTGTCCATTCAGCTGGGCGGCATTATGATCGGGAATATACAGGTGCTCTGGTCCGATCGCGATCATGTCGCGAGATGAGACTGGCAACGGTTGAGGACTACACATGTGCAGTGTTATATGGACCTAATTAGAACATCTAAGTGAGATGACGAACCAGTAATATAAAATATTAGCAATCCATTGCCCCGGGAAAAAACCTTTCAAATGGAAGCACTGTTAAGCAGTATTATACAGTATCAATAGCTCGTAATTTTCGACTTGAAAGGGTTGGAGCGGCACGTTCTGAGCTTAGACCTGGTAATGCAAGGTGGCGACACGCAACAGCCGCCGGGAGCAAATCATCCTCGGCCAACAGCGGACAGTTCTCGGCGCGTTGGATCGTCATTGGACCGAGTGGGCGGTAGAAGTTTAAATTACATAGGGAGATTAAGTGTACATTACTCAATTTGTGATATACAGTAATTTAAAAATTCATTTTTTTTGGGCTGTTAATCTAGGTATCTCCCTACTGTACTAGGAAAGGTTAGGTTATTTTCTCTTATGCCTACACCTGTATCCTAATAGGATTAGATCGGTTGCTGGGTTTGAGATGCACGAAACCATCATTAGGCCCTTGCTTAACCGAAGAAATATGTACATAGTGTATGTCTTTTGGGTTTGAATTTAATTTAATTCGATTCAATTAGTTTGTATTTTTTATTATTTTATGCTTGATGACTCCGTACTGGCTTGGAGCCCAAGATCGATTTGACAACTCATCTGTCGTGATAGGCAATACTCAATACTGAATAATAGTGTCTTTTATTCCAAGGTTTTAGTTTTCTTTCTTTTCCCTTTGGTTTTGTTTTCGCCCCTCCCAATATTACAGTTCAAGTTCCAAATTCTCGTCATGATGCAGGAGGAAGGTCACATCGTTCCCCCCAAATTACAAAATATATGTACAAAGAAAGTCTCGCGTAGATCGAGGGAATATAAATCTGGAAGTGTAGAATATTTTATACAGTCAGACGAGAGATTAATTTGGATGATCATGGTCTATAATTTATTCCGCATTTTACAGTATTTGAGCGCGTGCAGGAATATATCAAAAATCGACACCAGGATGACCAGAGTCGGGGGGAAATGAACGGGAATTCGTGGTAGTACAAGAGAATCCAGATGAGGGTGACTAACATGTTCAAGTCATTAATTATTGAATTTAAGTTCCCCCAGGACTAACCCATACAATGTATACGAATTTTCTCCAAGATTATAGAGTCTAGCGAGACCCCAGGTTCCAGGTTCCAGTTCCAGTTCCAGTCCCAGTCCCAAACGAAAACGCACAAGGTGACGAAGTGTAGGGTACGCCAAGATTCCCAGATTCAAAGTTCCCGTCACGTATTTTTTTCCGCAGGGATCGTGGATGGAGCTGGTGGAGTCCGGCGACTAGTGCCTTTTTCCTTCTCACCTACCTTTACCACAACTGACTCCGATATCACTGATCATTTATTTCCTCCGTGTTAGCCGAGCCTTAGAATCAAAGGCATACAATCAGTATAATGTTTAGTATAGTATAGGCAGCTATGATCTCTTCCCTCTAAAAGAATAAGTATGCATTAAGGGATATGGTACACCCTCGCACAACATGATTTCCGTCCAAACTTTAGGAATCAAGCAGATCGGAGAGGCTGGCTGGCACCTATTTAAGAAAACGGCCATTCGTTTATGACTAGCTGCACCAATTCGTATCTACCTATAAGAGATCCGGGGCAATTATTTCCCATATTTCCCTGGTTTGATCGCTTCCCCCTCCTTCTTCAGTTCCCCAATTATTATTATTTCCCCCAAACGCGCGCAGTTGTATCGTGACAGCATTCCTAATCGGCATTACGAGCGTTCATACCATTTTAAGGGACCCGCTAGGACCGTTCGCTGGTCTTAATTTATTTTATTTCTCTCACAGAAAGGATTGGCGACTCCATAATTCTTTTTTTTTCTGTGTCTTCCAGACCTTGCGCCTCGTTCCCTCGTATTTAACAGACTCGTTCTGGGGAATAACCCATAATGCCTAATACTTGTAATACTAGCATATGATATCTGCCTTCTTTTTCTCTCTCTCACACACACTCGAATCGAATATAATCGTAAGACTCGTAGTGTAAATGGGTCTTCTGCATAGAATCATCCAAGTCATCGGACCCAATCTGATGATTCCCTTGGTTCCCAGGCTTTTGTGAGGATCCGTCATATTAACATATCGGGACTAGGGGGCCACCAAGCTCGGGATCCTCGACGCTTTTTTTCCTTTCTTCTTCCATCTTCTTATATCCCCAGGGCTGTATTCCTGTGTGCCACTATATTGGGTTGCGGATCTACTGTCTTCTTCCGGCGCGCTTGTTTTGTTTCGTATCGCCCATTCTCTCTTCCTCTCTCTCTCTCTCTCTCTCTCTCTTCCTCTCTTCCTCTCTTCCACATCCACATCCACTCTTCCACTCTTTCTCGACTTCTTCTTCTCTCCCCATTCTCCCTGCGTCATCTGCCCATTTCCCCATTACTTTTCGCCATCCACATCTCTTCCTTTTCTCCCTCTCCTTGAGTACTCTGGGGATTCTTTGGGTATGTAAACTTCCTTTTCTTCCCCGATATTCCTCAATATCCCAATATCTGTGTTCTTCTCTCTCCCTTGAATCCTCCCATTCTCCCCTGGTCATTGCATCCGGGCCACACTTGGTCCACCTTGATATCTGCTCTCCCACCCCCGGCCACCCTTCACGTCTTGCCCACCCCTGCAGTGAATCAGATCTGACACAACTCCACTTGTATCTTTTTCTTTTTCTCTCTTTTTTCCCTTTTCCTCTACTTCTTCTTCTTCCTCCCTTTTTTCCTTCCCCCCAAGTTTCTTCTTTCCCCCATCCAATCCACAACCCACTCCCGATATCTTCCACGTTTTGGTGTTCCAGCTCTCCCCCACCCCTTACACTTTCTCTGTTCCATACAACTCTGTCCATTTTATTTGTTCCTGTGGGATATTTTCGCCCCCCCCCCCCCGCGGACCCTAGTGTTTCCACATACCAAACCCGCACCATCCACGTACATACATCGCGCCACTTCTATCCCAGTGCCTTTTTAACCACTAACACCACTCCCAACTCAGTATCTGGATTATATCCACACGCTACACGGAGGGTCATTCACACTCCTTCTGGGGCTTCAATTCCCCCACACACATATCTCGTGTATGCCTTCCTTGGATGACTAAGGGTCGTTCTCAATGACCAGTAACTCTCCGGAGGCAGTGGCCGATCCGGCCAGCTCCTCCGCCGCGACCCCTTATGGCACGCGATCGAGAGGCCGCAACGCCCCTCGTCCCAACTATGCGGAAGATCGGGACATGGAAATGGAATTCGAACCGGCCCCTAACAAAGCTGCAAAGCGGAATAGCGGCGTGGCCCTTAACAACATTGTCAACGGTTCCAAATCTGACGGCGAGAAATCCTCACCCGTCCAATCACGGAAAAGCTTAACCAATGGCACCGCTGTTACTGTAATTCCCAAAGAATCCATTCCAGGCACATCATCCTTTTCAGCACGTCCTGACGAGGTCGATGGGACTAATGGATCAAATTCACCAAACCCAACTAATGCTGCTACTAATGGATCGGGGGGTTCTTTGAGAAAACGCAAACAACCGGCTAGCGCTCCCAATGCAGGATCTACCGGAAATGTTACGAAAAAGATATTCACTGCCGCCCCGGGGGATTCCGACGGCGGGTATTTCACCAATATGGTCAGCTTTGAGAACACAGGGCCACATCTCAAAGATGGCAAATTAATTGCTGATGATGGTACCACATTTGCCGTAAATGGTTGGTCCCTCCACTCTTTGATGCTTCGGTTTTTTTCTGCGTTGCCATCATCATTTCGAGAAAAGAGCAACAAAACAACAACAAAAAGACGCAACAACTTTCTCATGGTGTTATTCATTCATACTGAGACAGATTATTAACATTATTGTTTAGATCATGTTTATTTAATATGTGAGCCTCCTGGGGAGCCTTATTACTTGGCTCGAATTATGGAGATCTTGCCTTCCAAAACCAAAGACGACGGTTCGATCGAAGCATTGAGAGTGAACTGGTATTATCGACCACGAGATATCCAGCACCACAGTCCAGACACTCGATATGTATACGCTTCAATGCACTCAGACGCCTGTCCGCTTTCTTCATTGCGTGGTAAATGCCAAATCCGCCATTCTTCAGAAATTGAAGATATCACTGCCTATAAGAAGACTCGTGATAGTTTCTGGTACGATAAGATGTTCGATCGCTATATTCATCGCCTGTACGACGTCATTCCCACCAAGGATGTTATTAATGTACCCGGAAATGTCAAGAAAGTCCTAGATGATCGCTGGAAGTTCATCTTAGTCGAATTAGGCAAGGGAAAGGAATTGACTGGCGCCGTCAAGACTTGCAAACGATGTCGCTCGTTTGCCGCCAACTCGGAGTCTGTGGATTGTGCGGTTTGTTCTTCAACCTACCACATGCACTGTGTTCGGCCTGCTTTGACAAAAAAGCCAGCTCGAGGTTTTGCTTGGGCTTGCGCTGCTTGCAGTCGTGCACAAGAACGGAAGCTTGAGGCGCGCAACACCCCGCGTATCCTTGAAGGGCGAGGTGAAGGTGAAGATGAGGTCATGGAGGAGGAAGAGGAAGAACATCTGAACAATGGTGCGACAAATGGAACTGGTACGAGCACTCCTGCAGAGGATTCGATGCCCCAACCAGCAACAGAAGAGCAAATAGCGCATGCAAATATGTGGCCATTTCGCTATCTGGGTATCCATTGCCGACCGGAAGATGCTCTTGATTACGATGACCGAATTTATCCCCGTGCAAGTTCCCGACTCGGCCCTCGACACCAAGCGATCGTTAATGCATGGCCTGGACGCACAGTCGAATATGTCAAGCCTCTTGAGTTGAAAAAGAAATCGGTCAAGGTATCGGGTGGACGAAATGTGATGAAGCTTACCAAGGAGTCCCAGGCCGCGCTGGATGCGTCAAAGATTGAACGCGCCAACCGACCGAAATGGGTTCAAGATGAGCCCCCAGGCTATATTCAACGTGGTGGAGATGAACCAGTCAACGTCAACGGAAAACAGGAGCGCAGCGCCGAGCTCATATTTAAAATGCCAACAGCGGAGCAAATGCCAGCACGCGGCGAAGACGATGCACCTGGCTCTCACTTGAGTGATGCTGACCGCGAAGCTTTTATCGATGACTATATGCGACAAGCGAAACAACTAGCCCCTGAACTCGGAGTCGAGAAACATTGCACCAATTTCTTGGATAAGGCCATCCAGCTTCTGTACTCCGAGAGTTTCAATGTCGAGGCCGCCCTCGCAAAGCTCAAGAAGGCTAATAAATACAAAGATCTCAAGGAGCCGCATCTACGTCCGGAAGAGGTCAAGGCTTTTGAGCAAGGTGTCGCCAAGCATGGATCTGAGTGGCGCCTCATCGCAAAGCATGTGAAGACCGTTCATATTTATGATATTGTTCGATTCTACTACATGTGGAAAAAGACACCACGTGGCAAGCAAGTCTGGGGTACCTATGAAGGTCGGCGCGGTAAAAAGGAGGTTAGACGACAAAGTGTTGTTTCTTCGAAACTTGTCGACGACGTCGCCGATGACCATGATGACTCAGCCTTTGATAATGAGAAGGCATTGACAGTTAAGAAAGGTTTCCAATGCAAATTCTGTTCGACGCGTCATTCACGGCAATGGCGACGCGCGCCATTAGTTCCGCCCGGCACAACCGTTCCCTCTGATCCGTCGGCAAAGAAGGACAAAGGGCCTTTATTGACTGTCGCCCTTTGTCTCCGCTGTGCTCTATTGTGGCGCAAATACGGCATTCACTATGAGGATGTCGATGAACTCGGCAAGCGCATCGCGACTAGTGGAAACAAGTCCTGGAGGCGGCGAATCGACGAAGAACTGCTGGTGCAGCTGATACTGGCTACCGAGACTCCATTCACCATTAACAGCACCACAGCAGCTACTGCGACTTCGATGGGGATCGCAGTGGACAGCAATCCGCAATTACAACACGAGAACAAGTTGGACCCAGCGAAGAAGAAGATTCGCCCGGATGTTCCAAGCACAACAACTTCGACAGCTGCATCATCGGTGGAGCCGATGCCGCCCGTAGTAGTGAAAAAGAAGACCGGACCCGAGAAGGTTGCGACAGAGGGCCCTCCGATTGCCCCGGATCCTCCCAAAGCAAAAACTCTTCCATGCGCTGTTTGCAACCAAGTCGAGCCTACTGGAGACGATCACCTTTCCTGTCGTGACTGTCGTCTCACTGTCCATCGCAATTGTTACGGGGTACGGGGTACTCGCGTTGCGAACAAATGGCTTTGCGACATGTGTTCCAATGACCGGAGTCCTTCAATTTCAACCAACTACGAATGTGTACTTTGTCCTGTAACTTGGACTGAGCACGAATTGATGGAAACTACCAAGAATACCAGTCGCAAGAAGTCGGATCGTGATAAGGAGAAGGAACGACTCGAGAGGGAGATGGTTGTAGAGGCCATCAAATTATATCGCCAGCGACAAGAAGCGGTCGGCAAGCCTGTCGGTCCTCGGGAGCCTTTAAAGCGTACTGCTGGTAATAACTGGGCTCACGTTTTGTGTTCTCTTTGGAACCCAGAGATCAAGTTTGGTGATGCGAAAGAGCTGGAGCCTGCAGAAGGGGTTGGTTCTATTCCCAAGGATCGGTGGAGAGAGGTGTGCAAGGTCTGCAAGTCCTCCAAGGGAGGTGCGTGTATCCCCTGTCACTTTGCAGGATGCAATTCTCAATTTCACGTCGGCTGTGCCTTTAAAGCGCAGTATCGATTCGGCATTGATGTGACGCCTGTGAAGGGTTCGCGGAAAGACAGCGTCCAAACTATCCGCCTCGGTGGTGAAGTTGGTGCAGCTACTCCTGTGGTTTACTGTCCTAATCACGCTGTGCCCGCTACTACTCATAACCTTGGCGAATTGACTGGACAAGATGGATCCAATGTTCTCCAATTGTTTGCTCGAACATACAAGCAGGCTGATCTCACTCTTACCGGGACGTCTAGAAAGGCAGCTTACGTGCAACAGTCGGTGGTAGCGCCACAATCCCCTGCAATTACCGGTGGACCCCGTCGGGCTTCAACTAGCAACGGACTACTGCCAGCTGCTAAGGATCTGCAGAAAGGAGGCCAACCGACGCCAAGCGAGGATGCACCGGATGCTATGGATATCGATACAGAGGAACACTCTGCACCACCGAAGCAGAGCCCTGCCGTTGAAACAACAACGTCTAAGAAATGTGTTCGGTGCGCTAGCATTTGGAGCCCCAAATGGTGGCCCAGTGTACGACATGCGAATCATCGAGGAGGACCTTTGGCGAACGGAGTTGGACTCAGCGCTTCAAGTCCTAGCTTTCACCCCCATCATCCTTCTCCAATTGCACAAGGACCAGGGCCCTTTGCCCACGTAAACGGTGATTCTGGAGAACAAGCCTTCGAGTGTCATAAATGCTACACGAAGAATCCGCCCCCTCCCGAACCTATTCCCGTTCCCGAAACTCGGCCCTCTCCTTATCTCGCTCAGCGCCATATGCTTCCGACCCCAAGCATGGGCCATCCATTCGTGCAGCACAACCATCCTCCTGTGCCTCCGCCCCAACATTCCGCTCCACCTCCAGCTCCTCCAACTGGTGTTCTCGGGCGGCCCCTACCCCCGACCCATTCGCACAGTGCTCTCCCAGGGTATCCGTCCCGATACGAGCAACGTCCACCAGGGCCACCAGGGCCACCAGGGAGCGATCCTAAAATGCGCAATGGCATGTCGCCCCCGGCATATCATGCTTCAGCCCCACCGCCCCCGCATCATATTAGCCCTTATCCTCCACCTCATCCAGTCAGCCATCATCATCCTCCGCCCCCAACTTCAGTGCATTACCCTCCAGCTGGTCCACCACCACCACCACAGCCTTACCAGACTCACCAAAGTCCATATGGTCCAATCTCTGCACGGTCGCCACATCTCTCACAGCCTCCTCCTCGGCCATACGCAGCATCAGCGTCCCCGCCAATTGTGCAAGCGACAGTCAACCGCTCCCCACAGACAGCATTAAGTGCCCTGAACGGTGGACCTCCACCACGCATGTTTGCAGTTGAACGTCTCGGTGGCCCTTCACACTCTCCACCGGTAGTACATGCGCGTCCTGACCAACGTCCACGCGGGCCTACAGCTACGCCGCCCACACGACCAGCAGACACACCACCATCTCTCATGGCAGGGCCTACTAGTGCGAGTCGACACTCTGCCGTGAATGGCACCGCCAGCGCCGGGTCAGGAGCAAGTGCAAGCCCATCGCTGAAGAACCTTCTTTCCTAATTGGATTGAATTGATCCCAACTTGCAGTGTCTCACTTCTCTTCCTCCGTCACCAGGGACTGAGGCAAAGTTTCTGTTTCACTACATGTATGATAGCTATGTCTTTCTTTGTTCCTTTATTTCTTTTTTCTTCTTTTCTTCCCCTGTTTGCTGCATACCTGGATGGATCTTGAGGAGAAAAAATTACCCAACCCAACCGAACCCCTGAACCCCTGTTTTCAAAAGCGTCGAAGTGTCATATTATCCAACATTTCGAGTTCAGACTTTTATTTTATTTTATCCATATTACCTACCCATTAACCATGGACTATGGTTGTGCTTTTGATGCACTGATGATTTTGTCGTTATTCGTTCCTTTTATTTCTCTTGGTTATCTTTTTACTTTGTTTTCTGTTTCTCATTTCTCATTCTCATTTTCCTCTGTCATTGTCATCTGGCGTCTCGATTACGGCGGAAAAAGCACGCGGAGTGCGGTGGTCCAGGAGTCGAATCGAATCGATGAATTGCATGGAGTAGGCTGGACTTAATGATGATTTACATTCCCCCTTAGTTTACACATTAGAAGAATTGATTGCATTGCTATACTACCTATATTATACTATATCACCTTACTCTTGTCCTATGTTTATACGTATGCGTTCTTTCTTTTGCTTCGCAGTATATCCATAACATTATCGTTTTATAAATCTCTAGTCTGTCAATTGAAATTAAGGGCTGACCCAGTCAAGTCCCTAAAAATTACAAAGCGAAGAATCAAAAAGTGGAGTACACATGTGCGTGTGCATCCGAGAGCTGACAAATTCAATACAAGCTTAATCCACCTCATTCTTCATTCTTCACACTCCAAGTCTCCACAACTCAGTCACCAAATATTAAAAGACCGTCCTACCCCGTTAAATCACTCACTTCATCTCTCCCTGTCGAGTCTCTTGAAAAACTTCCATCCTAACAATTCCCCCGACAAAATGGCAACCATGCGCGCAATCAGTAAGCCCCACATTCCATTCCCATACCCCTCTTACATCATACACATCAATCCATCACACCTCAAATCTCACCTCGAGCTGCACGAAAAGAAAAGAGGAAGAAAAAGAAAATTAAAGAACCCCATAAACCCTGATCCCAACAAAACCTCCCTATTCATCATGTACTACTTCCACTTCACAAGTCAGTCACTAACACCTCCCAGGCGTACAAGGCGGCAAAGGCCCCGCAACATCTCTATTCGTAGACCAAATCGCCAAGCCCACCCCAGCAAAAGGCCAAGCCCTCGTTAAGATCCGGGCGTTCGGTCTAAATCGCATGGACCTTTTACAGCGCGAGGGTCTTTATCCTCTTCCGCCTCAGGCACCTGTGACTATTGGTGTTGAGTTCTCTGGTGTTATTCAGGAGCTTGGTGGGGAGGGACCGTGCGATTTTAAGGCTGGGGATGAGGTTTTTGGACTTGCGTATGGTGGTATGTATCCATGTCTACATATCACACATTCAAATGTTTTTGAATATGTTCATGTTCATGTTCATGTCCGAGATCTTATTTGGTCTTGATGGTTGATCTGGTATTAATGCTAATGTTAAACTATATAGGTGCTTATGCGGAGTACATTGTCGTCTCGACTAAGATGCTAGTCCATAAGCCAGCGCATCTATCATGGGAAGAAGCAGCTGGTGTTCCAGAGGTATGTCACTTCGCACAAAATTCAACACGAAACCTCGAAGAGGAATGAAAAGAAAAGAAACTAATCCAAATATAGACCTGGATAACAGCCTCACAAGCCCTCTTCCTAATCGGAGACTTCCAACCCAACCAATCCGTCCTCTGGCACGCAGGCGCATCATCAGTCTCCATCTCCGGAATCCAACTCGCAAAAGCCTCCGGCGCCTCCGCAATCTACGCCACAGCCGGCTCGCAAGAAAAGATCGACTTCCTCGAAAAAGAACTCGGAGTAACAAAAGCCTTCAACTACAGAACAGAAGACTGGGCCACCGAAATCTCCCGCTTAACAAATGGTGCCGGCGTAAATCTCACAGTTGACTTTATCGGCGCAACATACTTCCAAGGAAACCTTGACGTCGCAGCTAAGGATGGAAGAGTTGTTCTCCTTGGATTAATGGGCGGGGGCAAGTTGCCTGATGGTGTTAATATTGCGCCGTTGCTTTTTAAGAGGATCCGGGTTGAGGGGAGTACGTTGCGGAGTCGGGATGAGGATTATCAGGCTAAGTTGAGGGATACGCTTGTTGAGCATGCGCTGCCTAAGTTTGAAGATGGGACCTTTAAGGTCTTTGTTGAGAAGGTGTTGCCGTTTGAGAAGATTGTTGAGGCGCATCAGTTGTTGGAGAGTAATACTACTAAGGGGAAGATTATTTGTGTGTTTGAGTAGGTAGGTAGGGTTGTTTTTTGATTCGAGAGGCTATTTGTACCTCCGAAGTCATGTTTCTTATTTGAACAATATTTGAACAATGAAATGGGGAATGCAATCAATAAGAAGACCAACCACAACTTATTGACTATCTTAAAGCTATGAGATACCGACATACGCATTTGTACGCATACACACCGTATAGTGGCTCCAGCGTCGAAGGTGTACTATTTTGGTCATCTTGATGCCGAATCAATGCATAATAGTAGACTGCCTTGGTTACCGCTCTGTTATTGTAGACAAAGTACGCCGACCTGGGGATCGCTATACCCTTGCATCTACGCACCTGTTGGATCGGAAAAAATAATTTCCATCATCCCAAACGAGCTTACAGCCCCTTTTTACTACTGATATTCATCCATAGATGTCACAAGGTCAAGATGTCGGAACCTGAAGTCGAGCAACCTTCAAAGATTCTTCGTCTTATGCGGAGATCTCACATATTCCGCAGCCAAACGCCGCGAAAGGAATGTTCTCCAAGAATTGACCTACTGCGAGCAGCAACACAAATTATTGTTTTATCTATATCGTAATCGACACTCCATCAGCTCCATTGTTGCTCAACATTCAGGTTCAACAGCAAAGAATTGCCATGTGTCTAACCCGGGAGAATGGTTATGTGGAACTTTTAATGTTTGCATCCAAGTCGACATTCGACATGACACGCAGCCTGAGAAACAAGTCATCATTCGATTCCCTTTACCATATCGCATCGGCGAGCAGATTCTCTCAGGAAATTCCGACGAGAAGATCCGTTGCGAAGCAGGAACATATGCGTGGCTTCAGGCTAATTGACCAGACATCCCGAATCCGCTATTACATGGATTTGCACTAGGCACAGGTCAAACAGTATGTCCACACAAAGTACACGTGATAGGATATGCGATTTCCCTAGAGATTTTGCCTTTCCTCTCGCGCTTAGTTGAGAAATTTCGTCGCTGGACTCTAAGATGTTTCGGCTACACAGTACCCTTTCAATATGTTCCTTTTTCTAGGCACATACTCTTAGTGCAGGGTACATATTGATTGATTATGATCAGCCATCCCAGGGCAAAATGCTTTCTACAACATGGGAAGAAGGCCGCCATGATGCTCACTAGCGTTGGAGAGTCCGACTGGCCTATTTCAGATCTTCTATCATCATATTCAGGCAAAGTTCGAGAAGTACAACGATGAAACTTTTTGGATGGTCACTATGCCTTATTGGGGATTTAATACATTTCGATTTCTAAAACAGAAAGTGGAGGAGAAAGACAAGTACGATCTCTCCCTGCATCAAGCGGTCACGTGAAATAGCCTTCTGATCACTTATTAAGTGCAGTCATTTCTAGGTAAATAATCGCACAAATATAATACCGGGTCCGAAACATAATAATAAGCTTATCTTGCAAACGGATCAGAATTAAATCTACTTTCATGTCTCAGCTCTAAGATAAGCATCATCGGGGATACAAGCCTCGGAAATATTATGTTATGTGACTGACACATTACTAACATTATTAATATTATCCCGAAAGTATTCCCCGACTCGGAATCCATCCATTAGTACAGTGACCTGGGCTGGGCTGGGCTGGGCAGCTGCAGGTAAGCAGCCAACCAGCCTACACAGGTGAGCAGCTGTGGCCAATACAGTACGGCGTACATGCGATCAATGTTGGAGTTACATTTACATAACAAGCTTTCAGGAAGATTTCTTCCCCACCTTCCTCACACAGGCAGGATTGATGGCAAAAAAGAACGTTACCTATTACCTAGTCTGTATCATAAAGTATTTAAGTACTCCGGGTAAAAAAGTCAAAAGAAAACACAGCCATGAGATCAGAGCCAACTCTGAAACTACTGGACCGATCCCTGCGATCCCAGGCCCCCAATTTCCGTTAGGCCCAATCATCTGGAGTGTCTGCGAACCCCATCAGCGCCCGACGGATTCCTCGGAGCCTCGACGGGATCCTGCAGAATATGACCTATCATAGTGGGGAGAAGAGGATTACCTAATGGTGGTGGAGCTTCTAGAAAGAAAAATCCGAATAAGACGGAGAAGGTCCACAGATAGTGCATACAAGGTATACTATATAAGCTCACAGTACAGAATACAGAATATGACGAATCACGAGGATCATCGCCGGCCCCCTACACAATACTGTAATTGTGCAGTGATCCAAGTTCCACACTGATTCGATTCCCACTTAACTCCTCACGTTACCCGCTCGGGGGCTGACACTAGACCTTCTGGAAGGAAGAAAGAACCTTGGCCGTGACTCGTTTCCCCCATTTTTTCCTTTTCTTTTCTTCTTTTCTTTGATCCACTTGAAACAATCTGCCATGTCGCCTTAATTCTTCTCTTCTCTTGTCTCCGACCTTATACACAAAGAACTCTCTCCTAATTAAACTTCTCCCCTTTCTTTTTTTTTCCCTTTTTCTTTTCTTCCCTCTCTTTCTTTTTGGACTCTTCCTCTCCCACTCTGTCTACCCCCCTTCTCTTTCTCGACCGCCCTGTCACCCTGAGCCCCTCACGTGCCGTCATCTGTGGCGTTGTCGAATTTCCGACCCTTGAAAAAGAACTTGATTCGACTACCCCCGTTCAACCGCGACGCAAGACGCTGGGGGGTTTGTCTCGGAACGTGCAGTCCGCCAACGCGACACTCGGGATTGCTGCAGGTCACAACTGCATTGTTCCTTCTAGAGAGATTCCATCCTCTCAGATTTCGTTCCTGACCTAGTCTCTTCCCCCAATTCATCTCCCAACCGCCGCTCCAACTCTATATTCCGCCACTCGCCGCTCGTTAATTTCCTATTTCGGTCTCTCCTCCTCTCCCCTCCTTCCCCTTCGGAAGATTCTCTGACGTCCTTGGACCCCGGCGATCCCTAAATTCGATATTCCCTATCCATCAAACGTCAATCCTGCTGCTTATCCTGCCAACCTTCACCCTCTCTCCCCTTTCGCCTCTTCCCCCACACTCTTCTTGGAAGACCCTCTTTTTTCCCCCGGCCACTTCCCCTTGACCGGTGGGCCTTATGCAAACAACTTCAGCTCACATCCCTTCGCTTTCCTTTTCTCTGATCGCGTGGTTACGCTCCTGTGACGCTAGTGGTTTGGATTGTTGACTACAATCCTTGTGGTAATACAATGATGGACCGTGTGGAATGCTCGGGCGTCTACATTGACGACCGAGTCCGGTCGGAGCGATGGGTGCGCAGGAACTCCATCGCAGCCTCAACCACCTCATCCACATCTTTCACTGTACCGGAAGAACCCGAGGCTTTACAGGCCGATATAGAACAACTAATGGAAGTGTGCAAAAAGAGTATGTTTCCGCAAGCCCGTTATCTTTCCGTCGCCCCCTGCCATGCTTAATTTCCAATTCCTTGTGGAACATTCGCTAATCCTAATCAAGTCTATCTATGCCAGAGTGGATCTTCCTTTGCGAATAAACTTGCCGAGCTGAGCGACCGTTCAGGCAGCGACTGTACCCCGATATTTGCCTTCTTCGGCATCGATTACGGTGGCGACGAATCAAATGTCGCTCGACGAAAAGCCAGTCGGGCCTCGTGGATGGATAATGGCCCCCCATCGCCAGGCGCCATTCAACGCACCTTCACCTTTTCATCTCATAATGACGAAGCCCCCGGTGTCTCACTCCTTTCCGGCGTCTCCAATGATATTCAAATGCAGGAAGGCCCCAACCTGGTCATTCCAGTCGCTATCGTACGAACTTCCGGCCCAGAACCGTTGGAGCCCCCAGCCGAGACGACGAGCGACCCGCAAAACAATCGTAACCCGGTAACATTGGAACACAAGCAGATCGCCCGTTGTCTCGATGCCGGTGCGATAGACGTTCTAAAAACACCGCTCGATCGTTCCCGTATTCAAGGTCTGGTCGTCCACGCCTATCGCACTCGTCGCACAGCACAAAAGGAGATGTCTCGGTTTTTGGCCCGGAAGAAGCTGCGGAAAACATCTTGGGTGGGCGTGAATAATGAACAACCATACGCCTATTTACGGGAGGCCATGGTGTCGAAGTTAATGAAAGGAATCTGCAACCCAGAGGACATCATTGACGAGTTTCAGCAACGCGATCTTGATATCACGTCGGAACGGGAGCCCTTCATCAAGGAGAAGATTGGTAGCTGGGATTTTTGCGCCCACGAATTTTCTGAAGATGAGCTGGTTTTTGCTGCTTGCCAGATGCTCCAACATGCTTTCACTCTTCCTGGACTAGAACATTGGCACTTGACATCGGGAGAGCTCCAGACCTTTTTACTTGCATGTCGTGCAGCTTACAACTCCTTCGTTCTCTACCACAACTTCCGCCATGCCATTGATGTACTGCAATCGGTCTTTTGTTTCTTACTTCATATTGGAGCTTTGCCGCATTACGGGCCGATCGGACAGGCACCTGTCACTGAAAAATCGCCCATCGCCACTCTTCTCTCCCCCTTCGATTCTTTAACTCTTCTGATTTCAGCTATTGGACACGATGTTGGCCACCCTGGCGTTAACAACTTCTTCCTTGTCAAGCTCAATGCTCCCCTTGCCCAACTTTACAACGATAACTCTGTTCTGGAGGCATTCCATTGTGCCGCCTTCTCTCAAATCCTTCGCCGTCATTGGCCTGCGGCTTTCAAGGACAAGCAACTCCGAAAACTGTTAATTAGCTCTATTTTGGCCACTGATATGGGTGTGCATCAAAAGTTTATGGAGCGAATGGGAACGTTACAGGAAAAGTATTACGAGAGCGGAAAGGCTGTGGATTGTTGGAAACCTCAAGATGCCGAAATGTACAAAACTCTTGTCTGTGGTCTTTTGATTAAATGTGCGGATATCAGCAACGTCGCCAGGCCGTGGAATATTGCGGAGAAGTGGACGCAGATCTTACAGGAGGAATTTGCGAACCAAGGCGAGATGGAGAAAGAAGTGGGTATGGAAACAGCGCTATTTGGTGGTCCCCCGGAATTGGGCAACATCTATAAACTTGCCACTGGCCAAATTGGGTTCATGTCAATCTTTGCGCTTCCACTCTTTGAAGGTGTCTCTGATCTACTGCCTCAGTTGGAATTTACTGCGGATCATATTCGCAGCAACAAGGGTCTGTGGCAGAAACATGCCAACGATGAACTACGGAAGCAAGGTTTGAGAATCGAAGAAAACAACAAGGAGCAGGGAGTGTCACCCCGCTCTCAAAGCCCGGCTCGCACACCAATTCCCAGTCCAGGTCTTAGCCCGGAGAATGACGATACTCCGACAGAGCCCAAGAAAGAAGGACCAGCCGATCCACCATCCTCGGGTTCTTCAAACTCAACAGTCTCGCAAGGCAATGCCTACAACGAGAATACTATTGAGCCTGTTGTGTCTCCAGATACCCCCGGTCCGCAAATTGAGATCACTGGAACCGCTGTAGCGCCTGAAATCACCCAATCACGGAAGTCTTCGTCAGCCATGCCGGATCTTTCCTATTTCTCCTATCCTCCGGCCGCGACTCAGTCAGCCCGGGGGCCAAGAGGAATCCAGTTCCAAAACCAACTTACAGACGTCGATGCTTCACCTGGGACCGACCCTGCTGTTCTAGCTGCTGTATACTATGCCAATTCATCCAATGTTCAAAGTGGCAATACCTCAGCACCTAACACCTCCGAGAATGGCCATGTTGTCGACTCCGCTACCGCCGCTGAGCGACCTGGGAGCTCCCGTCAAGCACCCCAGGGTTTCCAGCACCACACCCACCATAGCTCATCCGTTCGCACATCTGGGCCGTCTAGTTCTAACCGCAACAGCTGTACGCGCACGCAAAGCATCAGCGCATACAGTAACAACATGACGCCTATATCTCCCGTGACCAACGCAACCAGCTTCTTAGCTGTGGATAGTGGTGATGAAAAGCGTGTCTCCGACGACAGTGCGCCCCAGAGTGACGTTGGTGGTCCTGATGATAGTAGCACTCGGCCAAGTACCTCATATGCTTCTCATGCAGGAGATCAAGCTAGCAGCAATTACAGTCCCGATCGTAACTCTGGTCATTCCCGAGCAGAGGACGTCAAGGACTTTCATCATTCTGCTGCTCTCAACGGCACTCGGAGCCCAACGCACTCTACGACAACAGGCGAAAGCATCAAAAATGAGCTTTCACACGGCAATGGAAATGGCAACGGCAACGGCAACGCAAACGGTGACCATGGTGAACATGGGATTCGCAAACTTCCAAAGAAACGTAGTCGTCTTCGTCTCGCATTCTGGAAGCGCCGTAACCACCACCAACAAGAGGTCCACGGCGAAAGCTGATAGCTGTTATCTCCTTTGTTACATCTCCTGCTCTCCCCGCTCCTGCTGGCATCTCCCCCAGCTGTGTATTATGTGACCATGGTCTCATGAAAGGTGCATTTCTCTTTTTATTTACTATTATTTTTGTGATGAGCGTTGATTTTCATGATCAATCCTGAAGTCCACGATTATATCTGCAATCACGCATATATGACGGCTCCTGACATCTTATCCTACTCTTGTTACCCTTACCTCCTGTTCTCCACGATCCAAATGATATCAACGAAGGATGTTGACACAACCAACACAAGATGGGCGAATGCGATTACCTGTCCCTGTCCATGTCCACACAGCACAAGACAGGTTCAAGGATGTTTATACCGCACGTTTTTCTTTCTACAAAAAATGAAAATGTACGATCGTCCCACGGATCCGGCGCTGGCGGCTTTTGTTCAGTTTCAGTTATTTTCTCCATTCACTATTAGTACCAAGTACAAGTACATGGTACTTTGCATCGGGTCCAAACCCGCTTCCCTACGTGATGATCATGGATATGTTCGATGTTTTGTTCCCTTCTTTTCTTACTCTTGATTTTGTTTTCCGTTTGTTTGTTATTGCCGCGGGACAGTATCTGGATTTTGGGCGGTCATATTAGAATTTGGTTTGGGGTGGTGGCGTTTTGTTCTTTGGGGTTATTCCCCTCTCTTGAATCGAGATAAGATGATGACTATGTATCTCTTCTATCTTCTCGAAATAAATGTTTATACACTACTCAGCTTCGAGTTTATGACAACTGTCAGTTTATATCTATTCCACGTTCGTAGAATCTAGTAGTTGCTCTGAACAACATTGCTAGTTCAGGAAAATAGACTAGTTAAGCCACACTATCGGACTTGGTATGAACAACAACACTGCAAGTAACGATGAGATTATATTTGAGTTATATTCAAAGATTGATTTGGAATCTTGGATATCACGATTGAGGTGAATCCCCAGGTGCATAACACATGGGCTAATCAACAAGAGTATAATAGAAGAAAATCCTATATACAATCCTCACACTCCTTCTTCCCAGACTCTCCCTTCTGCTCCGAGTCAGGCTTTTCATCTTCTTTCTTCAACTTTTCCACCTTCTCATCCTGCTCCTTCTTCAAAGCACGATCCGTATGTCCCAGATCGCGCTCCGGAGCAATAACATTCCTAACCAATGACTTAAGAGCCTTAACCTCTATAAAAGCATTAGTATATCACAAAATGAATACAATACAAACAGACACATAGAATATGAAACCATACTGCACAATAGTAGTATGAAATGCATAAATAGTAAAGAATATGAACATACCAGGGAATCCACCATCTCGCTTCCGATCCCAAAGAATGATTTCCTTTGTTTCCACATCCTTTGAATCAGAGTTCGAGTTCAAGTTCTCAGCATGCCAGATCGTTACTGTGAATACACCGCCTGTCATTGGGACGAGAGCTACTTCGCCTAGATCAGTATTGAATGTTGATAGGAGTTCTTGGGCAAACTAATTTTTCAATGTTAATGTTAGAAGGATTTCGATCAATCGCTTGTATATTGTTCATCATATTCAGGGTTTTCTAGGATTAAATGATTCCAAGGCTTGAAACCTAGTTTGATAGGTAGTGCCAGAAAGAAAGAGGAAGAGGAAGACATACATAAGCAGCTCTTAACATCCATCGACACTGAGTACAGAACTTGATAGAGATGCGTGGTAGATGGACTCGTTCCAGAGAAGTGGGCTTCTCATCAGTAGGGGTTGGCTTTGGTTTCTCTGTTTGCCTAGCCAGCTGTGTGGTAGTGGGTTCTGTCATGGTGAAGGCGAAAACGAAATAAGACGAAACGGCGGTGATACTGGTAGGTGAACAAGTGGTATTGATATAAGAAGAGATTTGAAGAATAGCCTATAGGCAGGGGTATTTTATGGATGGAGAGAAAGTTACTTGTCAATAGCAGCTGTATGGCGCGATGTTCGATAAATTCAATGTTCCGATGGTGGGATGATGTCAGCGGGGATTGCCTGATTCGGCTGGCTAATCTGCACTGCATCTACCCGGACAAAGTTAAGGTCGCAGAAGCTTTGGATGGCGTGCAGCATCTGGCAGATGGTGCCTGAGTTGATAATGAGGCTGAAACAAAGAGAGAGGGGGGAAGGGGAATAAACTAACTCACGGGTCCAGTTTACACATATATGAAATTTGGAAGTGCCTATGTTTATAATACTGCAAGGTCACGACGTGACGCATATATCCCGTATCTACGGAATGCCAAAGACAGATGCCTCAATGCGAACTGCAGCATACATTAGTTAGTCTCGTAAGCGATAAATAATTAGAACACTATTGTATTGGTCATTGGATGCAAATCGAATCTATGATACACGAATGGCAACCGACTCTTCATGTCTCCAGCGAGACAGAGAGGTTTTTGAGAGGAACCCAGAACAAAGGAAATGCTTCAAAACACAAGGCGACATATGGGGAATGGTGCAAAACAGAAAAGATATGAAGTAGAGGTAGATAGAAGTAGAAAGGTTGACGTAGAAAGTTGACAGATCAAACAAGAAGAAAAGAAGGAAGTAAAAGGAGCCTATAAGAGACAGGGCTAAACAGTGCGTATCGATATACGTCACTGCAGCCAAAGTTGAAGGTCCCACGAAACTGGTCGAGGCGGCCTAGAGAGAATTCCGAGTGGGCGGTGCTGTTGCTGATTTGGATAGAGCAGAGCCAGAGCTGGAGGACTTTCAAAACAATTTCGTGGTCTTCAACGGGGCCGCGGGAGGCCTATTCACGCCCGGTGAGTAAGCGGTCGCGGGGTTGTGTATGGTCGTAATCCAGATGGAGCGATATGTTGGAAGATGAGAAAGACGATCTTCAGATTGAAGATTCCAAGGATTAAGAGCGGAAGTTGGAAGAGAAGAACAGAAGACGAAAAACAGATAGAAATCGTGTCGTGGCGATGGAAAATATCGTCATAAGACCGTTACATGACAGAGCAGCAGCCAGCTCCCTGTTGCTGGGGAGCATAAGGGTCTTCGCGCCGATCGACCTGTTTAAAGGAAGAAGAGACAAGGTTAGTGATGCGCTCAGGAGAGGAGGGAGAAGTGAAGTCGTCTCGGAAAAAAGAAAGACGGTAACATACCTGACCCCATACGGATGGCACCATGAAATCGCGAGTGTTATTGCAGTAGCTGATGAGCCTAAATGACGAGAAAAAAAGAAAACAAAAGTTAGAAAGCGTTCTAGGGGGGTTATTTCATCTTTGTGCGAATGAATTTGGACGAAGTTGTTGGCGATGGTGCGACACAGGGGGAACTCACGAGAGCGCGGCCTCGGATACCTTCACCCGCGGGCGATCCAAATCCTCCTTAAGCCGAGCATTGAGCTCAGTCAATCGACGGTACTTGAGGTCTGCAACACTCTGCTTCTTGTTCTTGACATCACCGCCGGATCGCAGTTCGTAGGCGGGCATGATGATAGGGTGGATGGAGTCGCGCAGGGAGGAGGGTAGAAAGGGGGGTTTTTTCGGGGGTCAGAGGGGGTTGTTAACTTGGGAACTGGGAACCGGGAGGTCGGGAACGGGGCCAAGTGTCCACACAAGGGGGGGCCGGGTTGGCAATACAGTTAGTTATTTTGGGGGGGAGGAAGGGGCAGGTCAGGGTGGCCACCAAGTCAGAGGATTTGATGAGAGAGAGCCTAACAAAGAAAGAAAGAATAAATAAAAAAGAAGGACGTGCAGGAAGCCAAAAGGAAGGGATATTGAAGACTGGAAGGGTCAGAGAGAGGGATTTCCCCCGTTTCTTGTTGGTTTAATTGTGAGGGAGAGAAACTGGGGCGCGTGGGCTTATTCATCAGGTCACCGGTACTTAGATCCACGCACTATTGATCATGCACGTCCAAGTTCCTGGTACATTATGTACATTCGGAGCGGATCTGACCCATCCACCTGGGAAGTCCAAATGCAAATTACACACAGATACACACACGATGGGCTTTGTTCGCTGTTGGTTTGGGGGCCTTACTAAATACGAGGAGAAAGTAACTCTCAGATTCTCACTTGTATTCTCTCAGATCAGAGAGGTCTTGTTTGTACAGAGTAAATAATAGTATGTGCCCCGGTGGATGGAGTAGGAAGTTTAATTAATGTGGATGTGCAGAACTATTGAACATTGAAGTCAATCATCATTACGGAGTAGATTAACGGGTTTATGCCTGAGGTGTCTAGACAAGAATCCCTTAATGCCTGATAATCCAGGTGTCAAGGTGTCAGCGATTAACTTAACACTTAACTGATCGACTCACGTGATTTCCCCATCGCTTAGTCTGAGTGGGAACAGTCAGCCGCGAATTTTCGGTTCACGCACAACAGGCCCTGCTTCCCCTCCAGGTCGATCAGGACTTCGCGTGGCAGCTTTTTAACTCGGTTTTACGACCACTGCCCGTGTTTTAATACCCCTGTGTATTTCCGCCATCCTCATTTTATCCGGAAAAAAAAATCTCGAAAAGAAATCTCAAAAATCCCCAAGGGGTGGATAATCTCCAATCATGCCGCCACCACCGCATATCAAGCCTGAGAATGTCCTCAAGGTTGGTCTCCGATCGCCCCGATAAGATAGCATGCGGAATCGGACTTGAAATATTAATCTGTTCTTTTTCAATCTTCAATAGAGGGCCCAGGAACTTATCGCCGTCGGTCAGGCTCCCGCTGCCTTGACCGTCCTCCACGAACATGTCACCTCAAAGCGCACCCGTAGCAGCCCCATCGCCTCGCTCGAGCCCGTGATGCTCCTCTTCGTGGAACTGTCTGTCGACTTGCGCAAAGGAAAGGCCGCCAAGGATGGTTTGTACCAGTACAAGAACATCGCCCAGAACACCAACGTCGGTACCATCGAGGTTGTTCTCAAGAAGTTCATCGAGCTCGCCGAGCAGAAGGTCACCGAGGCCCAAGCAAAGGCCGATGAGATCCAGTCTTCCCTCGAATCTTCTGGTCCCACCTCCAATGTCGACGATCTCGAGGCCATCGAAACCCCCGAGACCATCCTGCTGGCCACCGTCTCCGGTGAACAGTCCCGGGACCGTACCGATCGTGCCGTCGTCACTCCCTGGCTCAAGTTCCTGTGGGAGACTTACCGTACTGTCCTCGAGATCCTCAAGAACAACGCCCGTCTCGAGATTATGTACCAGTCGACCGCTCTCCAGGCATTCCAGTTCTGTCTGAAGTACACTCGCAAGACCGAGTTCCGTCGTCTGTGTGAGCTTCTGCGCAACCACGTCCAGAATGCCGCCAAGTACTCTTCTCAGATGCACGCCATCAACCTGAGCGATGCCGATACCCTTCAGCGCCACTTGGACACCCGTTTCCAGCAGCTGAACGTTGCTGTTGAGTTGGAACTGTGGCAGGAGGCTTTCCGCAGCATTGAGGATATTCACACTTTGCTCAACTTGAGCAAGCGCCCAGCCAAGAACGTTATGATGGCTAACTACTACGAGAAGCTCGCCCGTATCTTCCTTGTCAGCGAGAACTACCTCTTCCACGCCGCTGCATGGAACCGCTACTACAACTTGCTCCGTCTGTCTACTGTGGCCTTGGCTTCTGGCCAGAGCACCAAGAAGGACAACCCCTCTGTTACCGAGCCTGAGATGACCAAGGCTGCTTCTTTCGTTCTGCTCTCCGCTCTATCCATCCCTGTTATCAGCACCACCCGTTCCCGTGGTGCTTTGGTCGATGTCGATGAGGCCCGTAAGAACAAGAACACACGCCTTACCAACCTGCTTGGTATGGCCCAGCCCCCATCTCGATCCGTTCTGTTCCGCGATGCTCTGAACAAGGGTCTCCTCAAGCGTGTCCGCCCTGAGATCCGTGAGCTTTACAACATTCTGGAGGTCGACTTCCACCCTCTCTCCATTTGCAAGAAGATCACCCCCATCCTGAAGCAGATCGGTGCCGACCCCGAGATGGAGAAGTACGTTGTGCCTTTGCAGCAGGTTATCCTTACTCGTCTGTTCCAGCAGCTGTCCCAGGTCTACGAGTCCGTTGAGCTCAAGTTCGTCTACGAGCTTGCTCAGTTCCCCGATCCCTTCCAGATCACCCCCGCCATGATCGAGAAGTTCATCATGAACGGTTGCAAGAAGGGTGACCTCGCCATCCGTGTCGACCACATTTCTGGTGTTCTCACATTCGACTCCGACGTCTTCTCCTCGTCCAAGGCTATGCACGCTGGCAGCTCTGCTGGCTCTGCCGAGCTCGAGGTCGGCTCTATCCAGCGTCTTCAGCACACCCCCGCTGAGATCGCTCGCTTCCAGCTTGCTCGCCTGGCTAAAACCCTTCACACCACCTGCATGTATGTTGACCCATCATACAATGAGGCTCGTCTCCAGGTCAAGCAGACCGCCCAGGCTCGCGCTTTGGCTGGCGCTGCTGAGGAGCACGAGAAGACTCTTGCTCGTCGTGTCGTCATCGACAAGAAGAAGGAGGCTGCCACCGACGCCTTGCAGCGTAAGCAGCGTGAGGAGGAGACCCGCAAGCGTATCCGCACTCAACAATTGCAGGACGCCGAGAAGAAGCGTCTTGCAGATGAACAGCTGGAGCGTGAGCGCAAGCGCATCAAGGATGAGCAGGACCGCATCCGCCAAGAGGAGCTTAAGAAGCAACTCGAGGAGCTTAAGACCGGTGTTAAAGGTATTGATATCAGTGAGTTCGACATGGACGAGCTGGATGGCAACCGCCTGCGTGCCATCAAGCTTGCCCAGCTTGAGAAGGAGAAGAACGAGCTGAACGACCGTGTCCGCACCACCGCCAAGCGTATTGACCACTTGGAGCGTGCCTTCCGTCGCGAGGAGGTTAAGCACATCCCTGCCGACTACGAGGCACAGAAGAAGGCCGACTTGGAGCTCTACGATGCCCAGAACGCCGACACTCTCAAGGAGGCCAAGGAGAAGCACACCGAAGCTGTTGCCCTTAAGCACCGTCTGAGCCGTCTGGTTCCCTCCTTCACTACCTTCCGCAACGAGGTTTCCGAGAAGCGCCACGAGGAGTTTGAGAAGCGTCGCAAGGCCGCTGAGCGCGAGTTCGAGGCCAAGAAGAAGCAGCGTGTTAAGGAGGTCCAGGAGCGCCGCCGCCGCGAGAAGCAGGAGCGTGAGGAGGAGGAGCGCCGTCTGAAGGAGGAGCAAGAGAACGCCGAGCGCGAGGAGCAAGAACGTGCCGCTCGCGACGAGGAGCGTCGTGCTGCTCTGGCTGAAGAGAAGGCCCGCCGTGACGAGGAGAGAGGAAAGTTGGACGAGATCGCTGCCCGCCAAAAGCAGCGCGAGGACGAAGCAGAGGCCCGCCGCAATGCCCGGAAACTGGGAGGTGGTGCCCCCGCCCCTGCCCCCGCTTCCTCTGGATTTGGTGCAGAGTCAAGCGAGCGTTCTGCTCCTCGTCTCAACCTTGCCGCCCGCACAGCTCCCTCTGGCGGTGGTGGCTGGAGAGATCGCCTGGCTGCCAAGGGCGAGAGTGCTGCCCCCGAATCTCCCCCCGCTGCTGAGGAGGCTGCTCCCCGCAAATCCGGATACGTTCCACCTCACCTCCGTGCTGGAGCCGCTGCTGGCTCTGGCTCCGCCCCTCCCCGTGATCCCCCCTCAAACGGACCTACCGAGCGCTGGACGCCCCGTCATGCGCGTGAGTCCGATGCCCAAGACGACGCTCCCCCGGCTCCCAAGGCTGAGGAGTCTAAGCCCGCCGGCGGCAGGTGGGTTCCAAAATGGAAGCAATCGCAGAGCTAAGCGGCTGCATGGGTGGATAACAATATTTTCTTCTTTTCACCTACAACTATAGGGAGGGCATCAAAAAGTGGCATCGGATGTTTATTTTTCTCATTTTGATATCCGGCGCATGTTTTTTACTCACGACCTCCTTGCAATGACTCTGTATCATCGGCCGTTTGTGGCCTCGGTTGGGACACCATTCGTCTCTTCCGATTCCTCTTTTACTCTCTGCTTTGCGTTTCCATGTGTTTAATTTCTTTGTTTCCCTTTACCTATCTCCGGGTGTATGATTTATCATCCGTGATGACAATATCATGCTCTGCTTCATGTCTTTGGGTCCCGAATTGGTCGGGATCTAGTGAATAGGATCAAAACATCTCTAGACTTTCAACCTTCCTTTCATCCTAAAATCATCCTAAATCTAACATGAAATAAAGTAACTCTAATGTCTCAAGACTACCTGGGTCGGTCTTATAGTTAATCATCCAATCCTAAGATACGATATCAACGAATAACATTGATTAACTTCTAACCTCTACCACCATTGAAGTACATGACAATCTACTCCGCAAGAACAACAATCTTCCTCGCCGAAACCCCCTTTTTCAAAACATCATAGCCCTCCTGAATCCCCTCAAGTCCTCTCGTCTCCAAAACAAAAGCCTCCGGCGCAGCTAGATACCTCTTCTCCTCCAAAGCATCAGGCAAAAACTCACTCCAAACCCCCAAAACATTATCATGCCCAGACCCAAAAACCATCTTAGCCCTAACACCCTCCGGAACCACACCCTCAGCCAAATGCACAGTCGTAGCCACAAAAACATCAGATGCAATCTTTTTCGCAATGTCCAAAACCGGCTCCAAAGCAGCCGCATACCCAGCAGCCTGAAAGATACCCACACAACCATCACTTCTGATATCTAACTCTTTCACAACCTGCTCAACGATATCAGTGTCGTTATAATCGAAGACAAGACTTGCACCGAGCTTCTTGACAGTTTCAAAGTTACTCTTTGAAGCTGTGGCGAGAACTTCCACGCCTGATGCAACAGCTAATTGGACAGCGTTACTTCCAACGGAAGAACTAGCTCCCCAAATAAGCACGGATTTCTTTCCCTTCCCCTTCACACCGGCTTCAGCTCCAGTTTGAAGCTCAGCTTGACTCTTCGCAGTTCCAGATCCCGGAACCGGTAAACCTAAATACTCCTTTTGAGAAAGCGCATGCGCCGCTGTAGTCAAGCCCAGCGGCAAAACAACCCCCTCTTCAAAAGCCATCCACCCCGGAATCCTCGCAACAAGACTCTCATCAACAACAACATATTCCTGAAATCCACCCATAGCAGGTCCCCCACTAGCACCCAACGCAAAAGCAATAACCCTATCTCCAATTGTGAAGCGGGTAACGCTACTTCCTTCTTCGACGATCGTGCCGGCAATATCTTCACCTAGGATAACAGGGTACTTGACGAAAGCCATCTCGGTATCTTGGAGGATGATGTCTGCGGGATTGATGGCCCATGCGTGAACTTTTATGACGAGGTGGGTTGGGAGGAGAGTTGATGCCTCTGGGTAGGGGGTTTGTTTGATTTGGAGGGGGGTGTGGCATTGTTGTTGCCATGCGGCGCGGTTTGAGGGGGAAGGCATTGTGGAGTGAAGGTGAAGATGGATGTTGATAGACTGAAGTTGATGAAATGTTTATCTGTGGACAGTTATGTTGGTGGGTTGGAAGGGACTTTATAGATGGAGTGAGAGTTCCAATGCCTATTACATCTAGTAGGGCATAGAGAGAATAGAGGTTATGTAGATAGTTCGGGTACGCCCAATTCCGCAATGAACATTAGATCTATTGTTATAAATTATTCATACATCTAATGACTAGGAATCGGTAGTGAGCGTTCCGTTTATGAAACATTAGATTAGACCTTGGAAGTATGTACGTCAAGTCAAGCCCTAACTCGTTAAACCCGCTAAACCCCCTAAAGTCCGAATTTTCAGCTAAACCTCGTTAAAGTCCAGTGTCTACCTATCTATACAGCTTTATTAACGAGAATCTTAATCCCGCATTTACTACCAAAATAAGTGGGGAGTCGGAAAGTAACCTTGGAAGTCAAGCTGAAAGGAAAGATGCAAGAAGCCTACTGCGGTGGTTGTGGCTAGTAGACATGACAAAATTCAGGTATGTGATGTTACGTTTCGCTCGGCAATTAAAGTCGAATATTTATACATACTAGTAGGCTTCATATGTAGGGGGTTTGTAATAATTAGTACTATACTTGTAGACTTGAGTAAGATGAAGTGATGACTCGAGACACTGCTGGCAGTACTAATGAACAGATAAGCTTCCAAACTGAAAGTTTTACTTCAAAGTTTGATATATCCAGGTCTAGGCCTTACACGCAGATCATTAGAATGCCTGCGAAAACGGTTGACTCTAGGTGTCTGATATATTAGAGTGAAATGTAAATAATATGTATTTCTTGAATGCTATATTATATGCAGGTCCATGTAAGCTCCAACACTGAATATAAGCAGACCACCTGGGCATTTTGGACAAAAGGAAAACACAGAGAATGTTCAAATGGATATCTGACAAAGGGGAAGCCCCTAAAAAACTCATAACAATCTAGTTGATGTTTGGACAAAAGCGTTTCTAGACGGGGTGTAAAAATATTGAGGAAGAATGAATAAACAAAAAGAGAATGATGCAGAAGTGAGGAAATGCTACTGCATGCTTACGCTGCGACAACTTCAGCCGCGGCAGCTCCGAAAAGTCGCTCGCGCCATTCACCACACACTGCTTCAAAGCCACTGACCACATCTCTGCATTCCTTCCCAGCTTCGCGATCTTCAAGTCGTCGATCCCACTCGCCTACTTCGAGCCATCGCGAGCCTTCTTCGAGACTTTCTTCTTCGCGTCGTAGATCAGCGACAAGTTCTCGTGCGGATCGTAGTCGGCGAGATGCAGTAGCGGTTATTTGACGCGATTCGTAGAGTGTGTCGCTAAGGCCACGGAGAGAGTGGGTGATGTCTGAGGTTTGAGAGATAAGAGATTGAAGAGATTGAAGAGGATTGGCAGCAGAGTTTTGTGATGGGGTTGTTGGCCTGGAGTCTCGACGATTTTGTTCGGGGAATGGATATGGTAGATTGGGCAGGAGACCCTCGTCAATAAGAGGCATAAGGGAGTCAATGGCGTCTTCGGATAAGAGAGGGAAAGGAGAAAAGAGGAGAGGGTGGATGAGGGTTTGAAGGATACGGGTTTGATGGGTAAGATGAGATGTGATTGAAGAATGGGCGGTGATAAGTCTTGATATAGAAGTTTGTTAGATAGCTGCTTTCGAGTTCCAATTCTATGGCTTAGAACATAGTTGTAGACATATACATACCGCATGGCACTATTCTCGATTCCACTTTGTCCACCCAAATCGCGGAGCGCTTCCACTGTACGTTGGATAACAAGATCATTCTCACTACCATTGTTTTCGATACCCCGCCGCACGAGGCTCTCGATATCGGCCATTTGGGCCTCCAATGCGGGGGAGAAATCAGCCACTTCGTCCAAGTCGGACTCATTCCCATAGTCTGAGCCATCGTACTGAGATTCCTGCCTTCGGTGTTGTTTCGATTGATTGCTTCGAAGCCTGTTTCTTGCCGGCGAATCCGGTGGTGATTGAGATCGCATATCGCGAACAGATTGCAAGTACGCTTCTTCAACATCACTGTGATCCAGTTGCTGGGACCCCGCTCGACTATTTTCCTGCCCCGATGCATATCCGTAGCTATCTTCTTCTTGTTCCCAAGCATCTGCCAATTCATCGGCAAGATTTCCCAGTCCGCCCCCGCCTGTGTCGGCGGAGAAATCTACTGACTCGCGGTGGGAGCCATTTGTGTTCTGTCGAGTGGTGTTTGGAGAAGGAGGTGCGGACATTCGAGGTGTTTGAGGTGATTCAGGACTCCCAGGAGCAAAGACATTAACTCCTGGGGCCCCTGGAGAGATCGGAGAGTCGTCCATGTTGGAGGGGTAGCGGTGTGCCAATTTCAGGGGAGACGGAGGGAGGGGCATCGGATAAGGAGGAGCTCTGAAGCTCAAGGTTGATACGAATGTTGAAAAGGATATAAATTGTTAGGATGTAGAGAAAGAAGGAGAGAAGTCCGTTCTTCAAGTAAAAGATAATAAAAATGAAGGGAAAAGAGAGCTGCACAACGCGCAGTACTGCGGTCTCGGTAGAGTGTGGTCAATGCCCAAGTATGTTTCAGAGTAGCATCAAGTCTTTCACGTCATGGCCTATACAAAGCAAGCAAATACACAAGAAAGTGTTGTTTTCAGAAAACAATGACCAACACAGACCAGCTCAGCCTGCGAGTTGTGGTTGAACACCGTACGATATCAAGAAGTCTCGAGTTCTAACGTTGTATTGCTCGTGCGGAGGGCCACCGCCCCAGGCAGAAAAAAGAAGCTGCTTCTATCAACCAAACCCCACATTCTTTCCCCTCAATATTAGCCTGAAGCCTGTGTTGGCCCAATTCAAGGATGAGTTCCATTAAGCGCATGTCCCCATTGGACTTGCTGTCTCTCAACTTGACCAACCTGGACCCCCTTACGGAGAACTATGACCTCGGCTTTTATCTAAACTACCTTACAAAATGGCCGTCACTGTTCAGTGCGGTGAAGGATCGCGACGCGGGCGTCACTGGCTATAGTATGTGCCTTTCTTTCTTTCTGCTTTCCCTTTCTCTTTTAATTGATTCCAAACGAGTTCACTTTGCTAATTGGATATAGTCATGGGAAAACTTGAAGAGCAACATCCTTCTATGCGACAATCGGAGCACTACACCCCTTGGCACGGCCACATCACAGTCCTAACTGTTGCGCCTGCCTGGCGCCGACTTGGTCACGCAAGCCGACTGACTGAACAGCTCGAGCGTGGGTCCGACATCAACAATGCCTGGTTCGTGGATCTATATGTCCGAGCAGGCAACAAAGTCGCAGTAGATATGTATAAAGGCATGGGGTGAGTAACGAACGGAGCTTTGACCAATGTTTAAGGATACTGTGTGCTGACATTTGAATTTTCAGATACTCCGTCTTCAGGCGAGTAGTCAGTTATTATAGCGATGACCCAACCGGCATGTCAGCTACCGGAGAAGACGCATTCGACATGCGGAAACCCTGCAGTCGAGATAAAAAGCTAGAGCATGTGCGGGAGAAGGGTGAAGATTTCCTCGTTAACCCCGAGGACGTTTCATAACCGGTTGAATATCACCCTATGCATTATTATATGTATACATATTAACGAGGTGGGATTCAAAGATCGTTTAAGGATCAAGCATTGTTTAACAGGCGTTCTGGCGGTGCAATCTATGAGCACTAGTACATGGAATAAAATAGAGAAACCAAATGTTTGTTTCTGCAGTCAGTCTTATAGATCATCTATATGGACAAATATAACCTTAGAATACATAGGATGTATAGGATGTATAACTTGATTAATGAACCCTTTGACCCTTCGTAGTCTTTTTCACTTCCAAATCAGTTATCAAGAGCAAACAAAATATTTCGATCGAACTTATTCTACGATCTAAATATGGAATCTTCCTTTTATCTGCTTTTCGCTCTCCTTTCTCAGGAGACCTTTCGGCTCAGATACCAACGTGTCTGCATAAATTTCAACAATATCCTTATTAGTACCCGGTGTTGTGCAAATTAGAAGCTTTATCGCAAAGCATAAAACATCAACGTGTGGGGATAGACTTTCGACAAGAGTCTGTACTCGTGGATCCAGAGCGATACTGAACTTTACCCCAAGCCGCCGCCCCCACATGGGGCTACGATCGGCTGAGAGGCGGTGATCCGGCTGAACACCCATGGCGATGCGGCTGCCTAGACCATGCTACAGGGGACTGGAAGGGACGATGTAACAGTGAATCCTTTGGCAAACTACATAACTACCTGCACTTTCTCAACGAAGACACTCTTACTCGCTCCGGGCTAACATGGTTCGATCTTCTTGACATTCTCTTTCATCTTTCACGCATGCCAAGGGTGATGGGACGCAGTAGTCGTACTTTGTCTAAGAATAAAGATTACTGCCCCCTCGTGCACCTACGAGGAAGTCGAAAGGATTAGGATTTATTCACTTTAACGGTGTAGTAAGTGACAGTTTGGGTCCAGTAGTACTTCGTATTATAATACTCACAGTTCATAGTACCACAAGCCCTCCGCAGAGAGACTTTCGCGCTTTATGCAATTGAAACCTCGTTCATCACCAAAGAAACTTTGACTGTTTTCACCGGAGATGCCTTTTCGCCGTCCCTTGAGGCAAGTATTCTAAGGGGCGAACATATGGGACCTCTTCTCGACTTCGTTGGTGTTAATATCGCCTGTTATGGGAACCGTGGTCTGAAGTGAACATTCTTGCCCTGAAGAAATATCAACGGCTGATGAATATAATAGATTTTGACTTCGGCGATGAGCAACTCATTGAATTGTCTAACCAAGTTCGCTTTATTTGGGTGCTTTCTAATGCATGGCATTTACCGTTGAAAGAGCAAGAGAATCCCAATGAGCGTCTACTCGGCTGTGCTAAATCATACACAATTAAGAATGTCAATGGGCGTCAAGTTGGATTCTTTGGATTAGCTGGCACGTATGTTCAGATTTTGAAATCAATTGCACGCTGTAGTTCTTAACCTGACAACGCATGACAGAGATTGGCCATCCAATTGCGAAAAGCTGCCTCCCTCACATACTATCGAATCTCTTGTTAGGACTGCTCGACGGGTGGCATATCACCTTCGTGCTCAGGAAAGTTGCGACTTGGTTATTGCATTGACTCACATGCGACTCGCTGAAGATATAGAAGTGGCAAAAGCTACGAAATCGGGCAAAAGTAGAGTCTATTGCTTTTGGGTGGCCATGACCATGAAGTCGTTCGACGTTTCAGTGGCGATACAAATAGAGACCCAGCAATTATTCTACAGGGCCACGACAACGCGGATATTACAGCTGAAGGGTTGATACGCGACGCTCAGGGTGACATTCGGATTATCAAAAGTGGGGCAGACTGGACAGGCTTGTTATTAGTACGAATGGTTGTAGAAAAAGACAATAAAGGAAGTGTTGATATTTCCACAATTGGTAAGTGCCTCGACTTCGAGCTCAATTAGGCCATCTATTTGCTCTTCATCTACTTTGCCCAATTTACAGTGAGGCAGTGGAGCAATATAGATGCAGCAAAGTTGCCCGTCGCTACTATAACGCCCGAAATCGCCCAGTTACTGGACTCAATTCATACTAGTCGTGTCGATGCTCTTGTCCAGGAGCCCGTCTTGCACTCATATGCCTCTCTCGATGGCCGTGGCTCAGTCACCCGCAGCCAAGAAACGAATCTAGGTAACATGTTAGCAACTACAATCCAGGCTTTCTATGATACAGACATAGCGCTTTTCAACAGTGGGTCTATTCGCTGCAATCAACTTCTTGCTCCAACTATGCCGAGCGGCTCCCCGTTGTTGGTCAAAGACATTATCAGTAAGTTAGTTCGTCTTCGAAAGAGAAATGTAGCTGACGATTCAGACATATGCCCCTTTGAAAAATCCTTGCTGTTAAAAAGCATCAAGGATAGTGTCATACTACAGTCCATGGAAAACTCAGTCGGTGACATGCATATGGACGGACTATTCTTTCAGATAGCTGGTCTACGTATGGTAGCCACTTGGCAACGAAAAAACGGGGAATCGCGTCTTGGAAATTTTCCTTGATCGACCGGGTAAAGAACCACAGAAACAAGATCCTGCCCGCATGTATACTGTTGCTTTGCCCAAGTTTATCAGGGGCGGATTTGATGGATACGTAGATCAGGCGTTTCTGCCCCCGAGAAGAGTCACACAAGCCTTTGCGCTTATCAATGTTTGTTGGAAGTGGATATGGCATCAGATAAGAATAGCGTCGAACTTAAGTAGACCCTCGCCGAACCAGAAATTTTCGCCGAATCCACTTCACTCATAGGTTGCTTACGAGTGATTTTGACTCGACATATCTACAATTCATTAGTTATAGAAACGTTTGAGTTTCCTTGGCCTTGGGGGCAGGTTTCCCAATCGACGTGGTCTTGCAGACCGCGTTCATGCACGACGTACTGCGATAAAGAATATGACTCGACACATTTGGTTTTTCTTTCCGATTAATCTTTTTTTCACCCCGAAAGCCCCACTTTTATACCCCTGATTGGACGACATGAGTCGACAAGATATCTAATTCCCTATTAACTCTTATGTTTTAGCACAAAGCCGTGCATAGGTCGATTCTTGGCCCCCTCACCTGGATAACCGGCACGCCTTCCAGAGAATGCTATTGGCTACGCCCTCTACTCGAGAGCCTGCGTTCTTCTACAAACGCAACATCAAAGCCATCTACCACCCTAAGGATGGACTTAGTGGGTGCCAGTGGGGCCTGGCATGCCCAAATCCCAGCTTGAGTTGCGGTCCTTTCCGCCCTCCTGAGCTTTTACCCTGGCCCCGCCGACCCATGTGGTCCTTTAATGTGGTTTATAATCAAAAAAATTCTTTTCTTCCCCAGTGGAGTTTTAAAGATTGGGGTTGACTCAAACTTGTTTGCTTTACAACCGCGCATTTCACTTTTGTTTATTGAGAGTGTTATTTCCCCACACGGTCCTTTCCAGTGTCTGTCTGCCACGAGAGTGTGATTGTTAAACATGGGTTCGACTAATGCGGAGCTAGAGCAGAAGGTTCCTAGCAACATTGCCCGCCAGGACGAGGAAAATGTGACCGACTCTGCGACTGACTCACCTGCCGTGAAGCCTCAAGATGAGCTTACATTCGACACAGGCTTGAGGGCATGGCTCCAGGTGCTCGGCTCATTCTTCCTCTTCTTCAACTCATGGTAAACGTTATTTCTGATATGCGCACGCAAAGAATTCATCGACATCGCTAACACATTTCTTCATATAGGGGTGTTATCAATACATGGGGTGCATATCAAACGTACTATGAGTCCAACTTACTCTCCGGAACGTCTTCTTCCACAATTGCCTGGATCGGTTCTCTCCAATCATTCCTTCTAATGCTTATCGGAGTCGTCACCGGCCCATTGTTCGACGCTGGTTATTTCCGAGAACTGATCATATTCGCCAACTTTATGCTGCCATTCGGCCTGATGATGACCAGTCTCGCCACTGAATATTGGCAGTTGATTCTCGCGCAGGGTATCTGTGTCGGCCTGGGTGCTGGTTGTCTCTTTGTGCCATCTGTAGCTATCCTGCCCCAATACTTCCGGGAAAAGAGAGGTCTCGCCAATGGTCTAGCCGCCAGCGGCAGTAGCATTGGTGGTGTAGTCTACCCTATCATGTTTGATCAGCTGCAGAAGCAAGTCGGGTTTGCTTGGGCTACTCGAACAATCGGTTTCCTATGCTTTGGAACCATCCTCATCTCTCTTAGCTGTATGCGCCTTCGTATTCCTCCTAAGGAGAAGCGCAAGCTCTACCAGCTATCAGCTTTCAAGGAGCCAGCCTACTGTCTCTTCACAGCCGCCATGTTCTTTGGATTTCTTGGATTCTATAACTTCCTCTTCTATGTCCAGTCATTTGCCATTGACAATGGTATTGTGGATGCTAATTTGGGATTCTACCTACTCTCCATGCTCAACGCCGCTTCAACCTTCGGTCGTATTGGACCGAACTTCATTGCCGACCACACTGGCCCGCTTAACATGCTCACTCCAGCTGTCACCATCACCTCCATTCTAGCATTTGTGTGGATTAGCGTTCACACCGTCCCGGGAATCATCATTTTGGCCGTCTTTTACGGTTTCTTTTCCGGTGGATTCGTGTCAATGCCACCAGTTGTCATGGCTTATATGACACCCGATGTTCGTGATCTTGGTACTCGCCTTGGTCAGGTTTTTGCTACTACCTCCATTGCTCTGCTGATTGGTACTCCTATTGGTGGTGCCATTCTAAGCAAAACTGGCTCGTACTTGGGAGTTCAGCTTTTCACCGGCTGTTGCCTCATTGTATCTGCCGTCCTCTTTGCGTCGTTGCGAGTTATGCGATCTGGTCCCCATTTCATTTATAAGACTTGAGGTTCCCATTTGCGTACATTGGGATCCATGCAAGTCGAGATTCCTCCCTCATATGCTACAGCAATTCAGGCTCCAATGCCTCCAAAATCCAACATTGCATGTCATGAAACATGATCAATGCCTGTCTTGGTGCCAAAAGACACCTTGCTTCCTCTGTCTTTACAGAGACGAAAGCTCTTCACATTGCTCTATGGCTTCGAGATTATCACCGAAGTCCTATTCAGCTATCGCTGCATAATTTTAATAACATGCATCCTAATGAGCGTTTGGGGATCGGTCAAATTGGGCCCTTTCCTCATTCTAAACATCGATGAGTGGGGTTAAAATTTGTAAATACAACTTTAGACATACCATATATCAAATGCATACTACTTGAGACATACATTGGAGTGGCCAACCCGTATTCTCGTGAGAAACGATATAGAAACGATATGAATAGTAAGTCGGACCAGCTGCACTTCAACGAGCTTCGAAGCTTCGAAGCTTTAAAGTATAGGTAAGGCCTTGAAAGACGCGATCATTGATTAATACAGATAAAACGAACATAATGAATAGTGCTACTCTGCTTTCTTCTAATTCAAACACATGGTAAACATATAGATAAGTGGATATTATTGCAGAAACCGTCATAATTTTTTGGTCTTTCTAAATTCATGTACAGTTGGACCGTGGCCATGGATGTTTCCAAGGTTCTCACGCCTTTTTTTCTTATGGAGCCACGGTTTCAATATCCCAAACTCCGAACGCTATGCTGAATTCCACCCAAAGATCCATTGAAGCAGAAAGAGAAAACCCCCGATTTCGAGTCCAGGACAATAATGACCCGCTCACAGAAGCTCCTCGCAAGACCAATCCTCATACCTAACAAAATTATTAGCTGAAAGTTCGTCAATATGTCTGTTGCAGAATCTTTTTACCATCCGTCGGGCAGGTATCGCCGCACGATAAGAGGGATCTTTTTCTGGTTCAATTCCTTCATGGCGATCTGCAGGGGATCGGTCTCGCCCTCAAGGTCGACAAGTACGGGTGCATTCATACTAGCAATTGGTTAGCTGAATGGGTTCCCAGGCATTTGTCTGATCTGGCTCGCTGTATCGCAAGAACAACGCACCTAATTTGCAGAGCTCGGGTACCGAGGACACGCGCGCGCTCGTACTTGGTCAAGTATGGGGTGGTAGTACGCTGGTCATTGGGGACCTTCTTTTCGCGGGACTGTTCCATGACTTTGCCCGAGTAGCCAGAGTTGGGATCTCCTGAGACGACAACATTTTCGCCATTCACAGCAGGGTTGTACGAGTCATCGGCGCCCTCCTCACCCTCCATACCCTCCTGGTCGAGAAAGTCCTCGGGCTCATTGTCATCGAAGACCTCCTCGTTAGGCTCGTAGTCGTAGCTATGTAGCAAGGTTTAAGGTTAGAAAAGCCTCTCATCAAAGTCGTGCAGTGAAGGTGCGCGAGCTCCAAAACCAGACCTGCAAGGATCTTTTTCTTTTTCTCGTTGCGCCGACTGCATGGACTCCATTGGTAAAGCTTACTTCTCGGGCTCGTGGCCATCATCACCGCCGTAGTCAGACATGATGAAGTCGCTGAAATCGTAGTCCTAGGGAAACAAGGAGAGAGAAGCCCTGAGCGCGGGACTGCTTTACCTAAGGTAGTGATTGACCTCGCGGGATGCAAAAAGAGCGGAAAATCTTCCACGACGCTAGTCCGTCCTGGGTCACACCGCCTTTCTGCTTGCGGCAAAATTAATTTTATTTCACGTCAGTGCGTCACACTCTTCTGAGCTTTAATTTCATTTCCCAGCGTTGTGTTTCAGTCTTTATTCCTTTCTTGAATGCGTTCTGTCTTATCTGGGGAAGCTTCATCATGGCCCCAAAACGAAAGGCATCCCCTGGGTCGGTTTCACCGGCCAAACGACAATACAGGAATGATCTGAACATTGATGGTGAGCAGATACCTATGGTCCGATAAGCTGGTGGAGTTTCTAACATCCTTTGAAAAGATCCGATCTATGAGGAGAATCACTCTGAAGCTGGATACTCTGCTTCAGGGACACCTAGTGCTATGAGCGACGATATGAATGACACTCCGACAACGCCCTATTCTACCACCTCAAGTCGATATCCATCCGAACTCAAGACCCATCGCTGTCCATTCGAAGGATGTGACAAGGCATTCAATCGCCCTGCTCGGCTCCAGGAACATATCAGATCCCACAATAATGAACGACTCTTCCAATGTACCTTCGAAGGATGCGACAAGACCTTCCTCCGACCTTCTCATCTCAACCACCATATTAAAAGCGCCCACACTGGAGTCCGCGATTATCAATGTGATCGCTGCGGTAAGAGCTTTGTTACTGGATCCCGTCTCCGCCGTCACATTGCAGCGCATGAGGGCCAGGACAAGTACCGCTGTCATGATTATCCACCTTGCAACGAGACATTCCGAAAGCATTCCACTTTACAGAAACACATCTTGACAGTCCACTTGCATCAGAAGCCATTTCCGTGCGCACATATCGATGAAGCGACTGGTCAGCAATGCCAAATGGCGTTTGATACTGCTGGTCATCTTCGAGCCCATGAGAATCGAGTCCACAGCGACAATCGATTCAGCTGCGCAGAGTGCACCGAGCATATGGAGGAGCAAGCCTCTGCAATGGGGTTATCTGGAGAAGGGGGCAGTCAATTAGTCTGTTTCCCAACATATGCTCTTCTACAAGAACATATTCGAACAGTTCATCCACCGAATTGTCCGCAATGTCCAATCGTTTGCTCAACCTCACGAGAATTACGACGTCACCTTGAAGTTGCGCACGGAGATGTCGGATTAGAAGACAGAAAAATCTTTGACTGCACACATCCTGGTTGTGATCGCAGCTTTACGAAAAAGGGAAATTTGACTGTCCACATCCGCACCGTCCATGAAGGCGAAAAGCGATTTGGGTGTGGAGAAACTGATTTGTCCAATTCGAAGAAAGTTATTGGCTGGGATGGAGTTGGTTGCGGTAAAAGATACGGCAGCAAACTTGCACTCGAAGAGCATATTCGCACAGCTCATCTCGGCTTCCAGAATGCTAAGGCAGAGCGGCGCCAGCGTCAGGGTCTTTCTAACAAGAGCCCAAAGGACATAGCCGCTAGCAACCAAATGTCAACCTTAGCAGCTCTTACTGGCCAAGGCTATGCTGAAGAAACAGGTCGTCATATCCCATGTCTCTACAATTCATGCCAACATCGTTTTCATCGTGACTATGACTTGTGGGTTCATATGACTGCCAAACACAATTGCACTGAAGACGAAGTGCAAGGACTTTTCATGCAACGTGCTCTTTTGGGAGATCAGTCTGGACCAAACACGCTTGGTATCTATGGACTTGAGTTTGACGATGCCAACATGAGCTTCCAAGATGGACATGTTCTTGGAGAGAACACTTCAAATAATTTTTCGACAAACCAGGATGCACCTTACCACCATGCGCAGCCTGATCAGGAATCTGACTTCGTGATGCAAGACATGTTTCTTGCAGAGACTAAGCAGAATAATAATACCATGACGTCAAACCCCAACGAACTGGGTATGATTGATCCCGTTCTTGCTTATCATCTGATGGAAGAATGAAAGGATGAAAGGATGAAAAGACAAATCTACGCAATTACGAAGCTATGACCTGATTTAGTAACTTTGCAGCGGTCAAAGATAACCTTTTTTTTCATATTCAAAGAATCAAATTTCAATCGAGTTGAGATATTCCCATGTGACTTTTTGAAAGTCTCTTCTTTTTTTTTTTTTTTATATTTTTGATGTCCTTCATGTAGTCCAAGTATGAAAGCCAATGGCAACCAAAAAGTGAAAATGTAATTATTGTCACTTTTTGGCCGCTATTGGATGCCATAGTCCAAGTCCAACCCGGAAGAAGACCACAAGCCTCCCTAAGAAAAAAAGCTGTGCAAATTTTCATTCACTTCTAGTACCACGCTTTCGAATGCGGTGCTTCCACCCCTCGCTCTCCATTGTGTCTAACACGGCGGCGAGCGTGTCGAGCCTAAGTATAGCTGAGCTATTTCTTCCAGCACTCCCATTGGCATCGATAATCTCCTTTTGGATCTTTTCCTTATGTGCTTGGCTGTCATTTCCCTCATAGCCCTTCTTGGTAGAAATCTCATGACCTGAATCGCTAGGACGATCACTCTTGATGATGTCTTGCCATGCCCCATCCGGAACAATCGAGGACCCAACTTGGTGTCGTGGACACGAACCCTTGGAATTCAGAACCTTCCTGCCTTGTCTATTCACCCATTCCAATGTCTGAAGTGGCCCTTCCCAAGAGATAGACTCGTTATCAAAAAAGAGAAGAGTGTTCCGTTGGAATAGCATGTAGAAGAGGTATTGATTATGTTCCTTCACATCAGCAAAGTATTGCTGATTGCCTGCGCCTGTTTTCTCTTGAAAATTGAGGAGTGACTTGGTTCTCCGTCTTAGCGGACGATCCGTACAAGCGGAAGGACGCATACGAGGAATAAACCTGCAGTATTGCACCTGCGTTGCGTTTGCAAGGTCCACACCGTAAGATGTAAAAAGTCGTACCATATCAATGAATAGGTGGACAGCCGGAAATCCTCTCGCCAGAGCTAGCCATTCGGCAATCTGCACGATGAAGTTGAGAAGAGATTCCTCTAGTGTCTGTGGGACAATGATGCTGCCAAGATAGTAACCCATGCTCTTGGTGACGTTGGGCTTTGGCATATAGTTCAGATCCACGGATTTTTCTGAATTAGAGCGTCGATTGAAGTTCTTCATATGGAGCCCCCGGGCATACTTGTTGGATTCCCAGAGCTGGGACTCGTCTGGAAGGTATTCACCCCACACGGTACTTGCCTTGCATGCATCAATACGAGACTGGCGCATGCTCATTAAATCCTCACGCTCCTCGGTTTTCGGTTTGGCAGAATCATAGATCGTCCCTAGAGTCACAAAAATTCACCGGTCAACAAAATTGCACTCGAGGTGATAACGTATTGAATGTAATGTAACGGCTTCAACGAATCCACTGAACCGGAGCTTGAACGAGTAACAGCTCGACAGCCGCTACTTTAGCATGGACAATATAGGTAGCTTGGAATTGGATAAGCGACGAACATGACAAAAACACTAACATCTCCACTTACAATTTATCTTTCGATTGAACTGGCCTACAATAAGCTCTTGCTTGAACTGCTTGATTCGTTCCATAGACGCCTCCCATTGCTCCAGCATCTCCTTCGCCCTCTTTGTGCGGCCAGTAATCCATAAAACAGGATGCTCCGCGTCCCGAAGTGGACCTACAAGCTCCCTCAAGGTAGCCAGGTCCGATTCAAAAAACCACTCATCAATCCTGCAACCTTCAGCGGTATAGTCTGGATGAGTGGCAAGCCGTGGAGCCTTCTTCGGCTCCTCCCTCAAGGTCCATTGGCGATCAATGTTCCGAGTCCGTTCAAATAGCCGTATTCTGTGACGATGAGTAGACAGGAAATCAGGAATGCTAGCAGCATCTGCCATAGCACGATGCATACTGACACAGTAGCGGCCCTCAGCGAAAATTAACAAGAGGAGATGTTGATAGGAGCCAGGGAGGGGGTCCTGAGCAAGACGAGGAATCCAGTCTGCGACGATAGCAGGAAAGTCAGAGAGCTCAAAACTAACAGCGTAGTCTGCTATCGAGTCGACGAGCAATTTCAGATCTTCATTCGGGGGACTGTCATGACGAGAAGGGTTCCTCGGGGACAGCTTCGTAGTGGAGTATGTATGTACTCCATTCTCCTCTGTCCTTGTAACGGGACGTTGTGCTTTCTCCATTTCAAGTTTGAACATCGGGAAAAGATCGGGGTTCTCTTCCTCCGATTCTGTGCTTGGATAGGAATCGAAAAATAGGATGCTCATGGTGGTAGTTGGCTGGCTTAGGCCTGTTGTTGTAGCGGAGGTCAATCAGAAAGGCTTAGAGTAAGGAGAAGGAAAGTGTTGGAACTGAAATCATTTTACAATGAGTTAATTCTTCAGCCTCATTACTGCCTAGCACGTGCTGTGATTTGTGGAAGTCGGAAGAACATGGCACTTATGTGAAGTGCATAGGCTTATTATGTCTATCACCACGGAAGCTCTCGAGTTCGCATCCACAACCATTTTTCTGACTGTCCAGATTCTGTCATGAAAGAACATACAGATCAATCATTTCCATGGAAGCTTGAGCTAGGATCTAGTATCAGGGGTGATATCGATAAACCCAATGCCGACCCAGAGCGGTTCACCCTGAGGTTCTTACACCAGTTGAGATCACGGAAGCATTTTTGTGAAAAACTACATGGCAAGAGCCGAGTGTCCTCAGGCTTCAAGTTACCATGCTTTTCTTTATGCTTCTCTTCGCCAGGACAGAAAATCCCTCATAGACAAGCGATCCTCCCCATGATTGCTCCTATCACCATGTCGTTTGTGGTTACGGTATACCATTTCTCTAAGAAATCCATTCATATCAAAATAGCTCATACCCAGAAAGCATTTACAGGACTCTGCCCCCGGACACCCCTTCTCTACTCTTCGAAAATCCTCTTCCAGAGTATAAGTAAGTACTCATCTTCACAAAGGGCGAACTACCATGAAAGACTCTATAACCTTTGACTTCACAGCTACTATATTTCAGGGCAAGGTCCTCAGCACAAATCCACCTAGCATTCTCTTTATGCAAAACCGAAAATCTTCTCCGATATAAAGGCGCCTTTGACTCGAGAACCGCTTTAATTATAAAGAAATAAAGAACCGGCCCAAGCAATACATCCACAACCCGTCTCAAAGACCTCGAGAACCCTGTAAGATACACCCAAAGACAACCCTCGGACTGGAAATCTATAAGAGCCACGATGTCATCATTTAAGATTTTCTTTTCCTTCGAGGCACCCCATTACATCTTTTTCACACACATGGCTATCATGAATCGGATTTACATTATTCCATCGGATTGGCTCGCCCACCTGCCTCAGTGGGCTCAGGAGCTTCTCCGTTCACCTCTTTTCTACGGCACTACTATTTGTATCGCTCTTGGAACATCCCCTCTTTGGGCCCCAGGGCTCCGAAATCTTCCTCCTTTCAGAAGCTTCCGCATTTGGACCTTCGGGGGGCTTAGACTCCCTCGTCCATTGACTCTGGTGGTTTTTCTGCCTTTCGGTCGTAGACCTCTTGAGCCACACGTGGTAGTCCCAGCTCCTTTACCAGTCTTTGGTCCCGAAGAAGACCCTTTGGCGCATATCCCTGATATGGAGGATGATGGCGGTCCTGAGTCCCCAATTGATCGGACAGTTGAACAGAGTGGCTATTTCATTATGGACCCTCTAGCAATTGCTCATGTTAACTCTACCTATGGCAATGACTTTTCCCAGGTGCCACTCATTAGACTTACTGCCGAAGATTATCCCATCAATCCTTGGATTTGGCATGGTTACCAGTCTCCAGAAGAGGAGGCAACAGAGGATGACGACTCTGAGTACTATAATCCTTTACCGGGTGGTAGTTTTCTACGCTTCAGCGGCTTTGCTCGTGCCTGGCTATCCCAATGGTTTGGTGCCCAGGCCGCTGTTGATCGGAATCAGAGAAACGCTACTCTGGCTCGAATCTCCGAGATTGGTATCACAGGGATTTTTGTAGAAGCACCTAATGAGGTCGTTCAAGGTAATGCAGAGGATCCTTCTACTCAGAATCCCATCGAACGTGAACGTTCTCTATCGTCGGTTAACTCGGATTTAGATAGCAGTGCTATCAGTGAACGGCTTCTTGTGTCTACATTCGCTAGACATCTTTCGCAGTACGCGTCTCCGGAAGATGATCATGAGAGTGAGAACGAGTCTAACAGCCCAATCGCTGCGCAGCCTGCGCCTGTTTCGGCTCCCGACACCCAAGAAACGCGCACAGAAGTTGGGGAAATTTCGTTTATCGAGAATTACTTTGCAAACATCCGCGGCGACGCCCCTCACGACCGCGATGGACCCTTTGACAACTAGGCTAAGGTTTTAATACAACCACTCATGGAATGGGCCTTGAGACTGCATATTTGCTTTTGGCTTTTTGATATTTTGCTGACTCGTCTTCACAGATACACAGCCGCTTTCTTAGTAGACACCGAACATATAGGGGGAACATACGTCTCTCAAGCCTCTTGTTTACTTTAGATTAGTGATCAGAAAATTCTTGTAGGTTGTTTAATTATCCCTACAGGCTTTGGCACGAAACCGTGGTTTCCTTATGTTTGCTTGCGTTGCACTTGTCTCCCTAAATTGGACCTTTGTGCGTTCTTGCTACTAAATTGCAGCTGGCATGTCTCGATCTCATTGGTACAAAGACCCTGGTTTTTCTTTCGAAATTTTTTAACATTTTTGGCTTTTTTTCTTTTTTTCTTTTGGACTTTTTTGATTTTTTAGCTGAGGTTCGCTCATTGCAATACGAAAAAAATTTCTGCACTTCAATTCCACAGTTCCTATAGATGGAATGGGACATGAATAACGGCCTATCTTCTACATATAGTACTTATAAATCTATACTCAGACGTACACCTATATAGAATAAGCTATGTACAGTACTGACCTAGTTGAATCATGTAATGACTCGGAGGGGTGTGTTTGTTCATGCAGGAGCTTTGTCCTCTTCTTCTAGATGCGGTTTTTCTGTTATAAACGAATCGTCTCGCCACGAGAACTTGAAACACAATTTCTCGACATCGAAGTCAAAAAACCGATTTAGATTTATCCTAAAACACGATTCTGGAAATGATCCAGAGTTTACAATTCTTAAAAAATGGGACCTATAAATGCATGATCTAGATGTTTCCTTGGGTAATTGCATATGATATTCTCAGGAAATTCTAGTACTTTTCTCAACTTCCATTCTCGCCTTAGTGTTCACCCCTTGCCGCTTTTTGCACGTCTCTTATCTTCCCCTAATAAAAATTCCACCTACGCTGCTTTCCACACGACTAGTAGAAACAGCCAAAGCGAAAGTGGACAGCAAGCTTTTTTCGTTGTTATCTCGCCATGTACTTTAGAAGGATTTTGCAGACGACCCCCGCAAAATTGCTCCCTACATCAAATTTGGTCGAGGAAGAGCACACGCCCCACTATCAATCAGCCTTGCCATTTCTATCTAGTTCGGCTTCATGAATACTCCACAGCAGATACCAAATTGCAGCAAAAATAGGCTGGGGGAAAAGTTCGACAGTATGACTGGCACGGGATTTACACCAGTATGTGAAGATAATCTGATGATCTATTCAAGCCTTATCTCACTATGTCATAGGTGGTGATGGCTTCCACCTCGTTATGTGGCTATCAAAGTGAATGCAAACAACTATGAATCACAAGAGTCTGCAGAGAAGGAGTTGCGCATTACCGATTACATAACCAGCTCAGCTTCCCAACATATTATAGGCTGCAACTTTGTCACAACCTTATTAGATTCATTTTGTGTTACAAGCCCGAGCGGCTCTCATATTTGCATGGTCTTAAATCCGCTCTGTGAGCCACTGTGGATGTTGAAGCGTCGTTTCGAAGGAAATATCATTCCTCTCGATGTCTTTCCGAGCTTATGCTGGAGAGGCTACAGTATCTTCATACAGAATGCCACGTTATTCATACAGGTACTTAATGAGTTGACCCCTCTCTTATCATCAGGCATAGTTAACATTTGGAACTTGGGAGTTATGGTAAGTCCGATCACCCCAAATTGTAATCGCGAATATCACTAATAGCGCTGTTAGCTCTGGGACCTGTTCTATGGCCGCGGACCCTTCGACATACCCTCGGACTCACGTGCCTCTGAATATTCAGAGGAAGTCCATATGGGTCAGATTATCTCTCTGCTAGGACCACCTCCGCCAGATTTCCTCCATAAAGGAAACGAAACATCTCGATATTTCGATGCTCAAAGTACGCGATTTTTCCCTTTATTTAATACAGAAAACTAATTGCACAGGGCAATTCAAATTCCCCGAGCTTACTAGTGGCAAGGGCCTGGTCTTCATGGCTAAAGAAATCGATGAAGATAATGATACGCCGCAATTTGTTGATTTCATTTCAAGGATGCTGCGCTGGAAGCCAGAGGACCGTGAAACGGCAAAAGACTTATTTCTACATCTTTGGCTGCCGCAAACTTTAAAAGCCTAAGTTTCGTGCATACAGCCCAATTGATATCTGTTTTGCAAATATATACATTCCTCTAGTGTTTCAAAGGGTTAAAGGCGCGTCAAACGTTGACAAGAAATATCTGCGGCGAATATACTTCATCAACTTCCAACCGAGCTGCTTTACCAGGTTTGTGCTTATCTCGACAAAGCCTCCTTAATCAATCTATGTTTCCTACATAGCACAGCGTGTGCAGTTGTCACCACGGCACTTAATCGTTGTCTGAACTCTGAGAGAATTCCGCCACTTTACCGTGCTGTGCTACATCAGAGACTGAATGTTGCAGAATTATTGATCCTTCAACATCGTACGAGTGTGGACTCTGAGTACGGCGGAAAGTCGGCTCTCCTTCTGGCTATTGAGCTGAGGTACCCGCAAGCGGTGGTCTTGCTTCTTAAACACCAAGCGCAGGTTCGCTATTACTGCGATTTAAGAGGCCGCGGCCTTCTATTCCTTGCGACTGTTTATGGCGTTGTCGCTATAGTCAGACAATTACTTCAGCAGCCCGATATTGATGTCAATGATCGGTGCTGCAAAGGCATGACAGCAGTCATGTACCCTATTAAGCATCGGTAATATACGATTCTGCATTCTGCTGTTAGCAAGGAGGACTGCTTGTCTTTTCGAATCCTGGTCCAGGACCAGCGTGTGAACGTGAATTACCCCAATCTTGGAAGCGACACCCCTGTATTGTTGGTTACCCGAAATTCGGCGATCGTACTTTCACCAGACTCGTTGAAGGTATCATAATTATACAGTACCATAGAACTTTCTATAATATACACGAAGTATGTATATGGACATCAGGTGCCCCGCACTGAGCAAGAGGTATGACAATTCAAACCCCACGGGGCTAATAGGGCAAAGAATTCCATTCCACAACAAAGACAGCTGCCTATCTTATTCCTAGTAGTGCCTAAAAACCCAACGTTGTATTGTATCAGATAACTGTCTTAGGACACAGACCTCAGATCCCGCCAAGCTTTTAGTTTGTTTATCCCAACCAATCGCATCACGAAACGACCAGGAACAAGACCACGAGGTTCCTCCAGACGACCAAAATTCCACGCTAAAAAACAACTAAAACAACCAAAACGACCAAAGAAGGTAAACGGGGCTAAAGCAGCAAGACAAAATAGCAATAGAGACTGTGGGCCCCACTATGAAAGAGACCAGACCAAGCGGTGTCTCGGTTAGGGTGGATTGAATGGAAATGAAAATAGATTGTGCCCAGCTGCAACAAAACACAGCCTAACTAGAATGGGGGAACGTGGCGCCACAAGGTCTGGGGATTTGACCCTGCGTACTCCGTAGTGGAGGAGTATGTTTGTTAACAGATCAGACCCTGTGCAGTGCCCTGTTTCCCTTAAACCCCGAGTTCGGCTTGAATCCTTGACCATAAGCGAAATAGGAGAAGATTTTCATTTGCGATGATTACGGATACGCTCTAAGTCCTAGCTGACTACTCCCAATGTCAGCGTATACAGTACGGAATTTATCTTGCACAGCCACGGTTGCCTGCTCAGATACAGTTTAAGCGGGGAGAATTTGCGACCGCCAAGTACGAAAACGAAAATGCCAACAAGAACCTGGGCACCTGGGCACCTGGGCACCTGGGCATATTAAATCTGTACCGTAAACAAGAGGTTAGGAACAGGGCATTAGGGTAGAGTCGATATCAAAATTTCGTGCCAAGGGCCGCTTGTGACCAAGCGGACTCCAAGCGGGGAGGCGAAAGAGAAACAACAGGGCTCGGTGTGGCTGACGATGCGGATGGATGCGGTCTTAGTCCGCTTCTTCCGGCTGAGTGCCGAGCCTGAGGGGTACGTATGCTTTTTTGTGCTTTGTAAATGAGTTGGGACAGAAACCGGGTTTGCCATTAGTCGTTTGAGGGAAACTTGATTTAGGCAGACAGTAATTCGAAGGAATGAGTTGGGTTTGGGAATAGGCGGATCAGTTATCATGCATATCGAAATCTTGTTGATCTTAGATTTGCAGTTCTTATGGAGTTAGTTGCACAGGAATGGAGTCAATGGGGGTCAATGGGGTCCACGGGAACTGGTCACAGTATGGGAAATAGGCGGTGTGTGTATTTCCACCAATGGGGAATGAGGAAGTGATGTGCGTGGCCTGGCAGAACAAGGACCCATTGGGCGTCAAGGTTAGTAATGGATTTGATACATTGTGCATAAGGTGGTTAGTGGCAAAGAAAATGGCTGGGGGTAGAAAGGGGAATAATAGAGTATATAGATAAAGTATTCGATTTGATATTTCATATCTTCTGTAGACACTGTATATTGTATAATGATATTGAAACCGTACCAGATTTAGGATTTAGATCTGCTATATTTGGTGAGACAAGGACTCTCCACTGCTGATCCCAGTGGCCCGGGATGACGCAGGCGCCTAAAAGATTAATGATTTTACTTTCTAAATTTTAACTATTACACATTTCAATATTTTAATATTTCTTTCATAGTCAGCTTGGAGAACAGTTAAACTTCAATGGTTGCACGGGATAACAGACTGGGTTTTACTGTCCAACTTGGTCTCGTGAATAGAATAGAATAGATTATAGTATAGTAGAGGTACTAGGCTAGGGTAATAGGTAAAGTATACTATAGTATGTATCAAGATTCGAATTATTAAGGGGGCAAAGACGCGGTATATTGGGGGACATCTCCACTATGGCGTGTCCATACCAGTAGTCCCCTAACTGTCTGTCTCTGCCTTCTCCAGATGCGACCAAGACTACAGCTACAGAGACCCACGGGAATTGCTCGCCTCATCTATTCTAGTCGTGTCATGCTGGGATTCCCCTTTTATGATTTGATTTTTATTTTCTTACACATATTTCCTCTCTCTTAAAATAACCATCTTTCTCTCTCCACCAAGTTTAAGCTAGTTCCGGTGCACTAGTTGAGATTTATCCACTACAGGGGGAATTTCCTTCGTAACGTCATCCACATCCACATCCACATCCACACCCGCTTTGGCTATTGCGCTCTTGCCAACCTGCTTCCTCCCGAATCCTGGTTATTCTCAACTTTTTTTTTCTTATCTTTTTTTTGGGTTCTCTCGTTTCATCCTCCCTTACGCTCCCTCTCCCTCTTCCTCTAATCACTCTCAAACATACTGGCTTCTTACTCCATGGATTAATCTTTCCTAACCAACCCAACGCCAACTCTTACGGCCGATTCTCTCGTTTTGACCCGCTTCACCACGGACCTGACCGCTGCCGTGTTCTTTTGAAATTCCTCCACCTGAGGCCATTTGGTGTCCTCGGTCTAGTTCGAGATATTCTCGACATTCACCAGTTCATACACTACCAGTTTCTACCGTGGGCGAAGTAATTGATCGCTCGCCGACGTCATGGGTCGTTCACGTGGTGAGTTCATCGTCCCGCGACGGGCCGTTGAGAAGCACAAAAATGCATGGGGGAAATCAATTGAATGCTAATCAGTTATCCCTTGCGCCGAGCTTAGTTCGTTCCTTTATATCCAATTTAGGAGGCTCCCGAAATCACGATGACGCGAAAGAGTCTCGAAAGCTCGCCCGAAATGCCTCGCCTTCTCAAACCCCACCACGGTGGCAGACACCCTCACCGGATACCCCGTCGCCACCCTCAGAATTGTCGCCTGTAAATGGTTCCGCGACAAGGGGACAGGGAATTGGATCGAGACCTGCATCGACGATCTTTTCGCGCAACCCTCCGCTTATGACCCAGCCGGACGATACCCCACCAGAGCTATCGCCGATCTTTTCCTTCCTTAATATCCACACTAACAAAGTCTACCACGAAGGATACTTTTTGAAGCTCAATGATCAGGATGCTTGTACGTCTCAGGAAATATGATACCTTAATTGCCTTGAGGAGGGAATATAATGAACTAATATATTAATTGACAGATGGGCGACCGACAAATGATCGGCAATGGACAGAATGCTATGCGCAATTGGTGGGAACAGTTCTTTCTCTCTGGGATGCTACTGCGCTGGACGCAGCTGGAGGGCAAAATGTAACCCCGACCTTCATTAACGTGGCAGACGCATCAATCAAAATGGTAGGCGCATTGGAATACACCTCTATCTCTGCTGGTCAAAATCATTGAACAAACTAACTCGAACCGCCCCTAGATTGAAACCCTGCCGATCAAGAACGGGAGTGCACCGCCATTGAACAACGTCCTGAGCTTGTGCTCCGCTGGCAAGAACCGATATCTCCTTCATTTCAACTCTTTCCACTCGCTCTGCCAATGGACGGCCGCCGTTCGTCTTTCAATGTATGAACACACCTCTTTGTACGAAGCCTACACCGGTGCCCTCATCGCGGGCAAGGGTAAGTATTTGAACTCGATTTCAGCTATCCTAGCTCCGGCGAAGTTCCGACACGAAGACTGGGCGCGCGTGCGATTTGGGGCAGGAAGCCCATGGAGACGATGCTGGTTCGTGATCAACCCACCAGATGATAAGGAAATCGCTAGGGCTCGCAAGGCGATGAAGAAATCAGCGTACGATCGTCTGTCCATACCTATCACCGGTAATATCCAGTTCTTCGAGACTTCGAAGACCAGAAAAGTTACACCAATCGCGACGGTCAGCCACGTCTACTCAGCATATGCGATCTATCCCCAATCCAAGGCCCTCATGGATCAATCATCCCTTTTGAAAATGGAAGGCCGAATCACGATGCATGGACAAAATCAGAAGAAACCGACCTCGACCACTACGGAGGGTTTTGTTTTTGTCATGCCAGAACTGCACGCGGCGGTCACTGGATTAGAAGTCATGCTTCGATTCCTTTTCCCAACATTCGATACCTTTAATTTATACGGTCGCCCGACTCGTCTCGTGGCTGAGACTAATCACGTTAAAAGCATCATGTTCGCATTCCCACAGGATCGTCGTTTCGGGTATCTAGAATTAATGGACATCACCAATTTGCTCCAGACTCCTGGAAGTCAAGATTGGAGTGAAGCCGAGTGGAGGCGGCAGTTGAAGGAAGCGACACAAAAGAGGGTTTCAACGGGACGCAGCAGAACCAACAGTGTCAATAGCAGCCAACAGCGATATCGCTCTAGTGTCTCTATCAACAACGTTAACTCTCCCGCAATTGGGTCTCCACGCCGCCAGCTTCCTCCGCTACACAATCCGGAATTCAATCGATCTTCTGATGCGGTCGTTCGCGACATTCCTAAGAGTGAACCTCCCCCATACCATGCTCGTGGAATGTCGGACACGGGAATTACGCAGAACGGGCCTAGACCGGGCTATGCATCCCTCAATAACAGCTCACCTGACTCGTCCGCCCAAGATTTTGTGCAACGTGACAGACAGGCCGCTCTCGCGCGCCCCATCATGGAGAGTTCTGAGATTGAACACGGAGAGCAGCTTCCTCCACGCACGCCTCCTTCACCTGTCGCAAGCCCGCCAGCCTTTTCACACGGCCCTCGTGAGATGCCCACGAACCGTCCATACGCAACTACAGAACAGCGATTGGCCAACAACCGCATGTCCCACGCAACGCTTACTCAGATGACATCTGTTGGTGCGATGGCTGGAGCTGCAGCAGTCGCCTACCATGATCATTCATCCAATAGCAGCATTGATCGACAACCTCAAGCTTACAATGAGGCCTCTCAGATATCTAGCAATACACCTTCTGCGCAATTTATGAATACCAGAAGCTCACAGAGCTCACAGCCGGCTAGAGTTTCTAGTAACGAAGAGATACGTCTTGACATGGCTATGCGAGCTTCGCTAAATACAAACGACCGGCCTCCAACACCTAGCACTACCAGCACCCCGTCGCCTCAACGAAATCTTCCACTTGATTCAACAAGGTCAGTCAAGCGCAAACCGCTTCCTCAAAGACAAATATTTGGATACGAAGACCCAAATGGAGGTGAGCCGAGTCTGGAGGATCTTCGCCACACCTTGGATGAGGATGCACTCAACCGAATCGCGCCTCATTTACCATCTCCTGTGTCTCGTACCGGAAACGAAGACGAAAGTGTTTACGACGATGCAGCCTCTACAGTCTCCCCTGATTATGCAAGCACTCGAGAGTCGCTTTACAGCAAGGCGTCTCAAAAGTCTACCAAACGAATGGGTGTAAAGAAGACCGTGGGAGAACCCACCAGAAACGACCTTGTCATCGGAGACGCTCGTTATTCTACCGCCGAATCTAAAGAGCATAACCCCGACATTCCGAACGTCGATTTTGGACCAACAATGACTTACATGCCAACTACCGGACGCCCAACCACAGCTGAAGCCTTGCGGCAAGCATCTCACCAACGGAGTGACTCAGAAGCGGAGCGATACAGACTTTCTGTCCCAACAGGTGCCATGGATAATGGACACCATCGGGCAACCGGCCAGGAGGATCAGAGACGGAGTATGTTATGGCAGCCAGGAATGGCTTCCAACCGTCCTACCACCCCTGGAGGAGGTTTGACCCCGGAACAGTATGTCCAGCAACGCGCAGCACCTAGTCCTCCAATGCATATGCACCACCGATCATCATCTAACAACACTCCACCACCACAGCGTCCCATCTCTGGAGACTGGGCACACCATGCCCGTTCTGGCTCCCGCATGAACAACCACCCAGATCCCAACTACCGCCCTTCCTCACGCGGTACCAGCCCGATGTTGAATTACGACGTTTCAAATCATCTCTCTGCTCGTGAACAAGAACATGTTGCACGAATGACCAACTCCACTTTCTTCAATATGTCTCAAGATACCCGTAGACCTCAAGTTCCCGTCCAACCAGGGGGTCTTGTATCCACCATTGATGCTCGCGAGCGAGAGAAGCGTGAGATGAGAGAGGGAATGTCAAACAATATGGTTCAACATGCAATTGCTCGGCGCCAGCACCATATGATGAACCAACAACACAATGATCCTCGATATGCTCCAGGCCCGGTCTATCCACCCCAAGCCCCATTCCGCCAGGAGGCCATGTACAACATGCCCGGCGCAAACCGTACATGGGATGCAGTCCATCAAATGAACCGCCCCGATGAGACCCGTCGTTCGTCCTGGTATGGCCAGCTTGCCCAAGCACCTCAAACCCCACCAAACTACCAACAAAGCCAAACCTATGCCCACCAACACGGCCAATACCCTGGCAACGTCAACATGCATTACTAGCATAATCATGCTATATTCCTTTTCATTTTGCTTTGCTTTGCTTTTGCTTTTCACCCCCACCCCTCACTCTCTGATCGCTCTCATCTGATCATCTCCTTATGTCTCTCCCAACTTGCACGTTCGCATAAATACCGTTTAGAGCCTAGACTGACTCTTGGTTTATGACGATCCTTCTACATTTGCCTTGGTTCCGTTCTTTTTTCTTCCTTTTCCCTACCTCTCTTTGAAACACTCATTGTTCGTCACATTTGCATTGCGCATTAAACTGGAGTTGCTAATGGTCCGGCGCAATGGGTCTTTTTTTTCCAATTTATGTATTCGGTTTACTTCCAATCACTTCCTCTAGGTCTGAATAGCCTTTTCCTTTTCCCTTTCTGTATTTAGACAAATCACGCCCTATCAAAATGCACAGATGGCATAAGTCTCATCAACATAACCATCAACGAATATTGCCTTAGACTTCCAAGTGAACTAGTATACTCGCTCTCCGAACCCTATACGATGAATTTTAAGTTGCCCACTAGCAAATCTCCGTATTGTAACGGATTCTATTTTCCATGGTAATATTATAAAGCGGTCCAAAAAGCACGATACTCTGTATTTAAGATGTGATCAAATATTCTAGCAATTAAGACCTCTTCTCCTTCGGACTACCCTACCGGTCTCTATCTTAGTATTCCTACTATCCGCTAGAGGACGATCCTACTTCACAGACAAGACATCTCCTATGACAAGATGTTCGGTGTGGGTGTCTTTACTCACTACAATATGTAGGTACAGCATGAAACATTTATATGCCATGGCCAAACACCTTGTGTAACATAGGCCACGCGTGATGGTGTGGGAGGCATATATAACCCCAGGGCATTCAAGTTCGATTCGAGAAGTTACTTGAGAAGTGAAATGTGTGTGTTGATGGGGATGGCCGATATATGCAGATGGAGCTAACTCAGAGCTGGTTCTCTTAGCGCTTCAAAGAGTCCTCCGAGTCTTAATGTATGGGTTTTTAGGTTAGTATTTTGTATTATGTGCTGAGTGTCATCCCAAAACAGGACTTCGTTGAGATTCTGATAACTTGGACATGGTTTTGCTGGTTTTGAGAAACTTAGGCTTTCCGACTTTCGCTGATCACACCGGGAGTATAAGGCAGTAAAATAAATATCTTGTAGCCTGGAAATACTTCGAAATGTCTCAAGGCCACTGCGTGACGTACTTTGATTCCCCCCTGGCTACATGACAGCGTTGGCATCCTTTGCCTAAGCTTGCCTAATAGGCCATATTGAAAATAGTGGATCAAAGTGACTTCATTCGTTGATGTACCTCCATGGGTCCATTGTTCAAGGGAAGATGAACAACTATGAAGAGAGTTCGCGTCAGATCAAATCCATGCTTCAATCCCGAAATCCTTGCTTCAATCCCGAAACCGGGATTCGGGGTAATCGACTCTCGCAGTCTTACCTTGAAATAGGTTTAGCGTAGTGGATCACACTTTTCCAATTGGCCATTACTCACTCCATCTTACCCATTTCGTTCACTCCGAAGCTTGTCTCCGCCATACTGATGGACTATACCACTGCCCTGCGTGAGGTACATAAAGAGTAGCTTTCCACTCAACATTCTACTTCTCAAGAACACAGCATTTCAATCCTCATTACATCAATTTTGGCTCTCAGCCTTACTCAAAAAAGTAATGTCTTCTAAAACCACCAACAACACTGCCCATGTGCAGGAGAAAACCTTCAGCGCCTACAATGAAGCCCAGGGTGAAAACTACTCCAAATTCCGCCCGGAGTACCATCCAAATGTATACGAAAACATAGTCAATCACCACACCTCCACCGGAGGAACCTTCGATACCCTCATAGATATAGGCTGCGGTCCCGGAACAGCCACCCACGCCTTAGCTCCAAAGTTCACTCAAGTTTTTGGTCTCGACCCATCCCCGGGTATGATATCTGTTGCCCGTGCACAGAGCGCGAACAAACCAACAAGCAACGTTCGTTTCGAAGTCTCCACCGCCGAGGACCTAGGGAGAAACCTCTCACCTCCCATCGAAGAAAACAGCGTAGACCTAATCATCTCCGCAAACGCGGTCCACTGGTTCGACATGCCACGCTTCTGGGCAACTGCCGCCCGTGTCCTGAAGCCAAAAGGCACAGTTGCACTCTGGTCACCCGGAAGACCACTCATGAGCAGCTCAACGCCAAATGCGTCCAAAATCGAAGCAGCGATTGAAGAGTGGGAAACGGAGTATCTTGCTCCGTTCCTTGAGCCTGGCAATATTATCGTTCGGAATGCTTATGTTGATCTGGTACTTCCGTGGATGGCAGATGAGCCTGTCACTGCTTTTGAGGAGGGGAGCTTCATTCGAAAGGACTGGGGTGTGGATGAGGATTTCTTTGCTGTCAGGCCTGTTGTTGGGATGGAGCAGCTTGAGAAAATGATTGCGGTTGGGAGTCCTGTGACGAGATGGCGGGAGGCGAACCCAGATGCTGTGGGGACTGAGAAGGATGCTGTGAGAGTTATTAGGAGGCGTATCGAGGAGCTACTTCATGAGGCTGGAGTGGAGAAGGGGAAGGAGGTTCTTAAGGGTTCGCCGAGGGGAGTGCTGTTGATGATTAAGAAGTGTGATGTACTGTTGGGTTAAGCGATCGTATTCTACTCTAATGGTGACTGAGGATGATTAAATAGTTCGTTTGGATCTGTGCCTGCTATGAACAATTTATGATATGCTAATCTCATCCAACTTTCCCTTTCCCAAACTTTTGCACTATTTTTTCCTTGCGGATGATAGAACTCATACACATTATATCAAGCTCTTGACGAAATAGCCGGAAGTTCTGATCCAGTCGCCGCAGCCTGATCCTGCAATTCGATTTCATTCAAAGATACCTGGTCCTCTTCATGCCACCCCTCCCTCTCATCCTTAACCATTCTCACGAAACAAATATCCAAAACCAACGCAAGAGCACTAACCGCCACACCAAAGAACAAAGCCCCTCTAATGCCCATAATCCGACTCTGAAAATGATTCGCAACCTGCACCTCAATAGTCGATGCAAAGCCCAAGCCCAAACTATTTCCATACAAATTCAGCGTCCCAATAATAGATCCCGCAACACCTTGCTGGCGTCTTCGAACGGAATTACTCGCAATAATCTGCCCGGCCGTGTATACGAAATCAGGACAAAACGAGAAAAGAACAACCGAGGGAAATACCTGTGCCCAGTAAGTTTGTTTTACCGGCAGAGTGGCCATTAGTAGGTTCGAGACTAGAATTGCCACGGTGCCTAGGGCAAGTATCCACTGCGCTGCTAGTCTGGGGATTAGCCATGCTGCAAGGGATGCCGCGGCAGTGGCACAGACGACGAAGGGACTCCAGCCAACTGCGAAATGGAGAGTAGACCAGTGCCAGATTTCTTGGAGCCAGAGTACTTGGTACCAGATCAAAGTTCCGACAGCCATGAAGTTGAGTAGAATGACTAGGAGGAGAATCTGAAACCCTGGAGCCTTGAAAGCATCTAGTGGCATGATTGGTTCAGATGCCATGTGTTTCTCCCAGAAGATGAAGGCAACAAAAAGAACGACTGAAATTATCAATAAGACAATTTCATATGGACTGGACCAGCCAGCACTTGGCGCTTGACTAAGATCATGAGGTCAGCAAAACATAACTACATGTTCAGAGAAGAGGAAAAAGGTAAGTCGGGCTATTACTTACTTCCACACAAAGCTAAAGAGCATCAACGCACTCGTGCCTAATGCCGATCCAGTCCAATCAATCTTTCCATTTTTGTCCACGGGCGATTCGGAAGGTGCAAGTGCCCAAAGAGGTATGAAAGTTACAACACCGAGAAGAGAGCTAGAAACCGTCAGCCAAGTTCCTCCAACTACCGAACCATTTCTGAAGAAGGGAAGTCTCAACCCACATAAACAAAAAAAACCACTTAAACTCAGTATGCACTATAAATGCACCCAGAAACAAAGCTCCACAGTAGCCACCAATAGGCGCCGAAGCAGCGAACAACCCCAGACTGAGGTTCCGCATACGACCCGGTGGATTTGTCGCTGATATCATCGCCACAGCGTTAGGCATGATGATTGCACCACCAACGCCAGCAAGGGCTCTCATTGTAATGAAAGCGAAGAAATTGTTGCAAAATGCTCCAATCAAAGTACAAATACTGAGCCATGCCCCTCCAATCAAAAGTAGCTGTTTGTGGCCGACAACATCGCCGACTCGACCGCTTATCATGACGAATGAACCTTGGGTAAGACTTGAATGGTCAGCGTATTCTCTGGTTTAGAGACGGATATATCTAGCTAATGGATAGTATATTTGTGATATTCTGATACTCACGCGTAACTAGCTGCCATCCACGAGGAATAAGAATCGTTCACGCCCATCGCACGACTGAGTCTGCTTCCACCAGCGACTCCAGCAAAGTTCACGATCATCTAAAGCGGTTAGTTTATCTTATATATTGCTCACATGTGTATTGAATTACCTGCACAAGGTTTGCAAGAAGAAGCAAAGAGGTAACAGTCAACCTCCGAAACTGAGTTGTTCCATATGAAGGCACTTGTTCAAAGGCATTCTGACTTGCTGCTGGGTCATCTGGCACAGTCTGAATACGTTCATCAGAGGGGCCATAGTCTATGGGCCGCAGTGATGGCTGCAACTTCTTGCTTGAAGAAGGAAATATAGCATTATGAGCTGATGATGTCTCAGCAGGCACGATATGTTGATGTAATGCCGGGCCCTCCATAATGAATCATAAATATCGAATTCTAGAGAATTTCGAAACAGGATAAGAGGATAAGCAAAATAGGTATGGAGATGAGTGAAGATGAGTTTTCATGAAAAGCTTAATAATTCATCATTTTCAACTACAGAGTTTCATCTGACGGACCCTTGCCCACGGGGGAAATTTAGGCTGCGGTGACTGACAATCGAGCGGGGTCCTGTCAGGTCAATTATTAATAAATGATGCAGAGTATACCCACATTCTGCGCGGGAGTGGCATTGACCATCCAAATATAGCTGCTCAGTGGAGCGTGTGAGTCACCGGATTGCCGAATTACCTACGTCGATACGCATAGCGAAAGCAGGCATGATCGTCTTATATCCAGGATTCTGTATCTACTTTTATGCAGCATGAAGACCGTTGTCTTGACATCTCTATAAATCGATCTCATAATATCGATTAAATTGGTTAATTGGATAGAAGGATGTCAAAAGTATGCGTCATGTTGGTGATGGATTGTGAGCAATAGCCGAAGATCAACCGGGGGAGTCTTTGGTGTCTAGCAATGAAGAGAAATCCCTTCTAGAAAATCAGATTTGGACAGTATACTTGAGAAGGCTGAGTTATCGTTTTATTCTGACTTCAAATTCCTTATCGTTGGATATCGAATGGTCTCTATGAGACTAAATAGTCATCTTATCAACCATTAGAACTTTCGGCCTTCATGCCGAGCCCGCGACTCTGATTGCACGTAAACGATCCAGTGGTGGAGCTCCACCGCGTCGTCATCGGAAGCTCTTCCCGTTAAATTTGAAAGCACCGCTGGAGCTCCTCCAGGGAGACTTAGGTTATGGTTATTTGGATAAGATAGGACCAATCTAACCCCTAACCCCTCCTCTCTTTGTTCCCCACTCAACCTAATCGGGGCCAAATCGGCCTAGATCCGAAGCCCGCCCAGTTCCCCGCACGCCGGCTTTGGAGATAACAATGATGACATGAGTAATAAATACTCCTTGTCCGGGCTAAATGGATTCAAGAAAGTACGATTTTGAAATCAATACAAATTGATGCAAATACCAGGTCTGTGTTGTTGGCCTAGTATATGCCGTTGCGATGTCTCCCGCTTACTTACAACGACCGCTGCGAATCTCAATTGGTGAGTATGATATTTGAAATCTAATTTCACGCTTACTGCTTTATTAACCTTTATTATTATAGACAGAGGCGGAACGTTCACAGACTGTGTTTGTAAAGTCTCAGATCAAGATGATATTGTAGTCAAAATTCTCTCGGTGGATAATAAGAACTATCCTGATGCCCCAACCGAGGCCGTTCGGCGAGTTTTGGAGAAATATTACGCCCAATCCATCCCAAGAGGTACTCAGTTAGATCTTAAAGATGTCGGTAAGGATAAAACTTCCACTTTCCAGTAATGAGTGCGGACACATTTACTAAGCCTCTACTGCAGAATGGATTCGAATGGGTACAACAGTTGCAACCAATGCACTTTTAGAACGCAAGGGTGAACGCACAGCATTTCTAGTCACAGCAGGCTTCAAGGATATTTTACAGATTGGAAATCAGTCCAGGCCTTATATGTTCGATTTAGCTATCCGACGACCTCAGCCGCTATACTCCGATGTGTTCGAAGTTGACGAGCGAGTTGTCCTTGAACGATGCAGTGACTCAAAGCTTCGTCATCTGGATATGCAGCATCCAAAGTCACTTGAAACTGTTGTCGGCACTTCTGGGGAAGAATTTCGCATAGTAAAAAGGCTTGATGTGGACAGCACCCGCGCATACTTACAGAAAATCTATGCGGAAGGTTTCCGATCTATAGCGGTTTCTCTTATGCACTCCTATCTCTTCCCAGATCACGAACTCAAGATTCAAGAACTAGCAAAAAAGATCGGCTTTCAACATGTTTCGGTTTCTCATCGTGTTTCTCAACGTCCTAAAATTGTGCCCAGGGGAAACTCAACCGTCATCGATTGCTATCTCACCCCAACTATTGAAAAATACCTCTCCCAATTCAGCGCAAGCTTCCCCAACTTTGATGATGGCCACACAAAACTTGAGTTTATGCAGTCAGATGGTGCTCTTGTGCCTGCTTCAAAATTATCAGGGCTACATGCTATACTCTCTGGCCCTGCCGGAGGTGTCGTTGGCTACGCACGTACATCATATGATTCGAAGTCAAAAATTCCCATCATTGGCTTCGACATGGGAGGAACCAGTACAGATGTCAGCCGATATGATGGCCAATTTGACCATATTTTTGAGACCACCACGGCCGGAATCCCCATTCAGGCACCTCAGCTGAATGTAAATACCATCGCTGCTGGAGGTGGAAGTATTCTAGCATGGAAGGATGGACTAATGGCTGTGGGACCTGAAAGTGCTTCCTCGCATCCCGGTCCAGCTTGCTATAGAAAGGGGGGGCCTTTGACAGTTACAGACGCCAATCTTGCATTGGGAAGATTAATTCCAGAGCATTTTCCTTCTGTGTTTGGACCCAATGAAGACGAGCCTTTGGATCGAGAAATTGTGCTCTCCAAATTCCAGGAACTGACAGATATCATCAACCGCGATACCAATAAATCGCTCACATGGGCTGAGGTAGCAGATGGGTAAGTGTATATCTCTTGTTTCGTGTTATATCTATCCTAAGCTAATGAATTTTCAGCTTCTTGCAAGTCGCAAATTCAGCCATGTGTGGCCCAATCCGTCAGTTAACCGAAGGACGAGGTCATGATGCCGCGAAACATCATCTGGCTTCATTTGGTGGTGCCGGAGGTCAACACGCATGTGCAATCGCTGAGGCACTCGGTATTCGACGTGTCATTATTCATAAACACTCTTCTATTCTGTCTGCATATGGCATTGGCTTGGCGGATGTTGTTCATGACGAAGAAAGACCGTACGCAAAGGCATTTGACGATTCAACCAAGGACCAAATAGTCGCAGATCTTGAGAATCTGTTAACTATCGCTCAAAATGATCCTTCTATGACCCACTTCTCCCGTATTGAGGGACATCGATATTTGTTCATGCGATATGACGGCAGTGAAACAGCTATGCCCATTTCAGTCACGGAAGAGTGTGATGCCAGAGAAAGCTTCATCGATGCTCACCATCAACAATTCGGCTTCACCCCAGTAAATCGCCAGATTCTCGTAGATAACATTCGTGTGCGGGCTATCGGACATAGCAATTTTAGTGAAGATGCGCCTCTTGATCTGCAGGCCCTCCGGAATACCAACCAGAAGTTTGCAACTCCAAAGGCAGACTCGACAAATTCCGTCTACTTCAAGTCACTTGGGTGGACAGATACTCCTGTATACTTGCTCGGTTCTCTACTAGAGGGTAGTACCGTTCAAGGTCCAGCTTTTGTGGTTGACAGTACACAAACAATTATTGTTAGCCCTCATTGCTCTGCAACTGCTACCAAGGATCTTTTACTACTAGACGTCAGCTTTGAGAAAAAGCTCGTCAGCGCTTCTGCCATTGATCCTGTTCAACTGTCTGTCTTCCGTCATCGTTTCTACGGCGTAGCCGAGCAAATGGGACGTGTTCTACAAAAGGTCAGTGTCAGTGCGAACATCAAGGAGCGATTGGATTTCAGCTGTGCGATATTCTCACCTGATGGATCTCTGGTCGCAAATGCTCCTCATGTACCAGCTATGATTGGTAGTATGGGATTTGCAGTAAAATCGCAAATCAAACAGTGGGCAGGAAAGTTGAGAGATGGTGATGTACTGCTTTCAAATTCACCTGGTAAGCTGAATAACTCTCTAGCGGCCGTTTGTAAAGAGAATTTGCGAATGGTGCTAATTTATTTTCAATAGAGTATGGAGGCGTTCACCTTCCAGATTTGACCACGATAACACCAGTCTTTGATTCCGAAGGAAAAGAGATTATCTTCTGGACAGCCTCTCGTGGCCACCATGCTGATGTCGGTTTTTCTTCTTCTTTTTCTCCTTTCATTGAACATGAAATACTGACTTGATGCTCAAGGTCGGTGGAATTCTTCCAGGTTCCATGCCTCCACACTCTAAGCGTCTGCGAGAAGAAGGTGCAGTGTTTGATACATTCCTTCTTGTCCGCGATGGCGAATTCGCAGAGTGCGAACTCAAACGTATACTGTGTGACGAGCCTGCGAAGTTTCCAGGATGCAGTGGCTCCAGATGTTTCCAGGACAACGTGACGGATATCAAAGCTCAAGTCGCAGCTAATAATTGCGGTATCCGTCTTGTTCGACAATTGATCAAGGAATACACCATGGACGTGGTGCAGGTAAGAATGTCTACTTTCTTGTTATGTCGTGCTAAAGATGATATTGACAAATACCAGATGTATATGGGAGCCATTCAAGACTCGGCAGAACTTGCAGTTCGCAACCTGTTCAAGAAACTTGTCAAGAAATTCGCATCCAACAAGATCTCAGCCGTTGATTACATGGATGATGGGACCCCAATCCACTTACAGGTGACAATCAGCGACGATGGGTCTGCCACATTTGATTTCCAAGGCACAGGCCCGGAAGTATATGGTGGGTTTTCAAGATCCGAGCAAAGATTCCAGAACGGAAGCTAATTAATGTTCTCACAGGAAACTGGAATGCCCCTGTCGCCATCAGCAACGCATCCGTGATCTTCGCTCTGCGCTGTATGGTAGACTCCGATATTCCGCTTAACCAAGGCTGTATGAAGCCTATCACCATGGTAATCCCAGACAAGACACTTCTCAAACCAAGCATAGAAGCTGCTGTATGCGCAGGAAATGTTTTGACTTCCCAAAGGATTGTTGATGTTATCTTCAAGGCCTTCCACGTCTGTGCAGCTAGCCAGGGGTGCATGAATAACTTCACATTTGGCATAGATGGCGAGAATGGCTTCGGATACTATGAGACCATTGCCGGTGGTAGCGGTGCCGGACCTGGTTGGAATGGTACCAGCGGCGTTCATACAAATATGACAAACACGCGCATTACGGATCCCGAGTCCCTTGAGCAACGGTATCCTGTCATCCTGCGGCAGTTCTCCTTCAGAGAGGGAAGCGGTGGGTTGGGTGCTTGGTGCGGTGGCGAGGGTGTCGTGAGAGATGTGGAGTTTCGAATTGCTATGTCTGCTTCTATCTTGTCTGAAAGACGAAGCCTGGCGCCTTATGGGATGGATGGCGGAGAAGACGCATCACGAGGTCGGAATACTTGGATCAGTAGCGCCATTGGATTGACATGCTCTATTGGAGGGAAGGGCTCAGTTAACGTAGAGCCAGGGGATCGAGTAGTCATTGAAACTCCCGGAGGTGGTGGCTATGGCAAGAAAGAGTACAAAGATCAAAATATTGGAGATATGTCTCAAACAAGATCTTCAAGCTTTGTCCCTGTTGCGAATGGCAGTGTGGCAGAAGATCGCGCTCTGGGGGAGCAACAATGAACATTGAGACTTTGAAGATTTATTCATTCATGTCTACGCCTCAAGCTGTGATCTCATGTATCTCCTATAACTTTCATCATTCAATATATCTATTATTTCTCTAGCAAGATACTACTATAGTATTTGTCTTGATGATGCACTAGTACTGCTATGAATTGCAACAAAATGGCCCTCGGTTTGTGATTCTTATATTCATCTATAATATAAAAGCGACATTTACCCTGTATTAATTTGTTTGTCTGTTTTTATCAACTGAAATTAATTCAGTGTAGTGTTGAGTGCGAAAATAGGTGCTTTTTTGTGGCCTATAGTAACTCCGTATTGCGGGCATAGTGTGTTTGCGTAAGTTGCCAAGCTGGCCCGAGATGCGCTCCGCTCCCCGATCTAACTTCGCCCCGAATCCCCTAGCGACAACCACTCGTGGAATGGGCCTATTACGCAATTGCTCTGTGTTGGTTACGGGATAAGTCTCATGGGCTAATGGAATGACGACAATTACTGTCCCAACCACCGGCCATATGGCACCAGACGGGGAGGAGCCCCTCGACGCCTTGGATGCAGGTACGGACAGTGACCTCCGACAGCGGTGTTGCTTTACACAGTCGAAATACTAACAATAAATCATTATAGTCGATTACGATCCCATCGATCACCTGAACGCTATCTTCTCGCACCCCTCCACATTATCCTCCGTCTCCCAGATCTCCGACGGCCTCCAAACCTACGAAGATGAGTTGGACGACGACATTGCCGCCTTGGTCGAGGACCAGGTCACATCGAATGCGGAGAGCGTAGAACGCATCCAAACAGCGAAAGCCGATCTATCAGAACTATTTAAGAAAATCGACGACGTACGCGAGCGCGCAAGGAATACCGAACAGGCGATCACAGATATGACGGCCGACATCAAACAATTGGATAACGCAAAACAGAACCTGACCCTGTCGATGACTGCACTCAAACGACTTCAGATGCTGACTACCGCCTACGATCAATTACAAGCGCTCAGTCGGACACGACAATACCGCGATTGCGCGCAGCTCCTACAAGCTGTGATCCAGCTCATGGCCCACTTCAAATCATACCGATCGATTGACCAGATTGCGATTCTGAGCAGGAATGTGGCAGACATCCAACGGGATCTTCTTGAGCAAGTGTGTGAGGACTTTGAGATTGCATTTTCGAAGGGAGAGGTGTCTCAAAAGCGGGGTGTGCTGTCGGAGGCCTGTCTGGTGGTTGATGCGTTGGGCGAACATGCCAGGTCGAGGCTGGTCACTTGGTACTGCAATACTCAGCTACGCGAATATCGCCAAGTATTCCGAAACAATGAAGAGGCAGGATCTCTGGACAATATCTCTCGACGATACTCGTGGTTCCGACGAATCTTAAAGATTTACGATGAAGAGAACGCTGCTATTTTCCCAGCCTCGTGGCGGGTGAACGAGATTCTGGCCAATGTCTTTTGTGAAGGGACTCGAGATGATTATAAAGGAATTCTGTCTCGATCTGTTCGCAGCGGCCAATCCATCGACGTTAACCTGTTACTCTCCTGCTTGGAAGAAACTCTTGAATTCGAACATTCTCTTGAACGCCGCTTTGCTCCTCCTTCCCGACCATCTACGGATACATTCACTTCCACAGAGAACCAGAACCCCACGTTCGGTCAGTCTATTTCCGAGGCCTTCGAGCCGTATTTGAGTGTGTGGGTGGAAGCACAGGACAAACAATTGGCTGCTCTGTTACCCAAATACCGCCAGCAACCATTGAGGCCCCTAGATGATGAATTCAATTCACATACTGTGATCTCGTCATCAACTGAACTTTTTACCTTTTATCGACACTCTTTGCAGCAATGCGCCAAACTATCCACCGGTGGCAGCCTTGCAGAGCTAGCAAAGGTATTCGCCAAGTACCTCGATCAATATGCACAGCAAGTCCTTCTGGACTATATAAGCGAAAAGCCCAGTGGACAGGTACCAGCTAAAATACCATCGATCGAAGACCTAGTCTCCGTTCTTAATACCGCTGATTATTGTTACACCACATGTAATCAATTGGAAGAAAAGATCAAGGGCCGTCTTGACGAAAGTGTGAAGCAGTCGGTAGACTTGCAAAGCCAAGCAGATTCCTTCATGGGAATTGCTTCCGCTGCCGTGAGAGGACTCGTCCGACAAGTGGAGGTTGAATTAGAACCGTCATGGCGAGAAATGCGCAACACTCCATGGAGCAAGATTGAAGCCGTCAGTGACCAAAGCTCCTATGTGAGCGAGCTACTCTCGCGAACAAAGGACAAAGCAGCAGAGATTCTCCAACTACTACACAAGCAACAATACGCGCGTGCTTTTGCAGACCACTTGGTCGAATTAGTCTCAAGCATGTTCATCGCCAACGTTTTCCAGTGCAAGCCCGTTTCAGAAACCGGTGCTGAACAGGTACGTCCCATATTCCCTTCCAGATATCCCACCATTTGTTTACCCCATTCTAACAAATAAAAGATGCTCCTTGACTCCTTCACATTGAAGAGTGGTCTTACATCTCTCCTTCCCTCTCCCGCACCCGCAGGATTCGTCAAACGAGTAAACAACAGCTTCTACAAGATAGAAACGCTCCTCAAGACTCTACAAGTCCGCCCATCTCCCCCCGAGGCTCTCGTCCAAGCATACCTAATCCACATCGCGGACCGCAACAACAACAATTTCCGCAAAATCCTCGACCTAAAAGGAATCCGCAACAGACAAGAACAAAACCACCTCGTGGAACTATTCCAGCTCCACCGCGCCTCAGACCGCTACGCCTCAAACCTCCAACAAAGCAACCCAATGCTCACTGCCATCCAAGCCCCAGCAGCAACCACAACGGGCTCTGTATCCCAAGGCCTCGGTCTAGGCAGTACTTCATCAATGCCATCTCGATTTGACGCCTCAATGCTCGGCTCGGCCATCATCTCCGCCGCCAAAGATGGCGTCGACCGCTTCGGAAATCCCAGCTTGGCATCGGGTGTTGCTGGTATCACTGGGACGGGCTCGGCCGCCGGTGTCGCTGGGACATCTGGTTCCTCGTCGCCTGCTCCGACTGCCGCCGCGCAGCAAGTGAGCCACATGCATAGTCCGTCTGAGTCTAGTGCTGCGAATAACCTCAATGAGAACTTGAAGAATATTGGGAAGTTCTTCCGTCGTGATCTGGGTGGCTTTGGAGGTCGGTTCGGACGTGGTACCGAAGACACGGCGTAGGTTTATCATGTTGGAATGGCTTTTCTTATTTCTCTTTTTAACTTTTGGAGCGTCATTGTTTATATGTAAACACTTGGTTTTGAACATCGATACCTTGTATAGATTCCGCCTAGATGTGGACTTGTTACTAGCATCTACTATTCAATGTTGTAGTACAACACTTTATCTAATGTGACCGTCCTTAGATTCTGCGGTTGGGTCAAGACCCGTGGACGGAATTTACATGCCCAAGTAGCAGAACTTGAATGTGTCAAGCAGCATGTTTACGACGGGCATAGTAGAACTATTACAGTCAAATAAATGGTTTATGCCAGCCAATCGTCTTTCATTGCGTTATGTATCATAGCCACGTTATCCTATTTCCTATCCAACATGTAACTCCATAGCCCAAAATCTCCTATCGAATCACAAGGTATATCTCAACTACTAACGACTACGATAATGTAGAGACACCAGACTACTACGAGGCGTCGGATGAGGAAAAACCTGTTGACTTCAGAATAGTTAGCAATTGCTTCCAAAGACTTGAATGATAGTAAAATGGAAGGCAAAGGCAAAGTAAGGTTAGGGCGTCAGCAAAAAATTAGAGTGTTGTTGTTGCAATTTTTAATCGTCAGCGCGGCCACGGGGCCATTGCTCGGGGTTAAAAAGGTATAATCATCCGCCAGGTTGTGTGAAAGTGAAGGGTGCAGTGCAAGATAAAGCAAAAGCAAAGAAATGATGAACCGATGTAAACTCACTTTTTGAAATCAAGACAGGTAATGGATCGTAAGTCTACGTCCATTACGGTCTGGAAGAAAGAAGCAGATAGCATATTTCACGTTGCCATCATAGTCGTTTTCATTCCCCATCCTTTTCGGGTCTGGGTCAAGTTAAAAAAAATCTAATACATGGCGTTCGTAAATGGTGGCTGTGAAAGCGCTTAGTCGAACAGACCGAAGCCCATGTCGTCGTCAGACTCCTCCTCCTCCTCAGCGGGAGCGGCCTCCTTGGGGGCATCACCAGAGGCGGCACCACCAGCGGCAGCGGCGGGAGCAGCAGAGGCATAGGCATCGGGGTTAGCGATGCGGTCCTTGAGCTCCTCAATACCCTCCCAAGAGTACTCGGTGCTGAGGGCAACAGCGAGAACCTTCTTGTAGGCGTTGAGAACGGAGTGCATGGTAGCAGGGATGGTGGGGTAGTTGGCAGCCAGGGAGATGGCGGTGATGGTAGCGATAGCCTGGCTGAAGGTCTTCAAGAGATCCTCATCAGAGATATCAAGGATACCAGCGCTGAAGGTCTGACCCTCGGAGTAGATCTGCTCAATGGAGAGGCCGTAGGTGAAGGCTGAATGTCAAGTCAGTGAATTGGCTCAATGGCAGATAAATAATCCCGAATCCTATGGTAACAAGATCTCAGGGTAAAGGATAGACTTACGAGAGATGTTCAGCAAGTTAAGCAAGGAAGCCTCGGAAGCACCGACCTTGTTACCACCCTCAATGAGCTTAAGGTCGGAAACAATTTCAATGGTACCACGAGCAATCTTGGTGGGGACACCGAGAGCCTGGAAGAAAGAGGTCTTGCCGGGCTCCATACCGGTGTTACCGGCAGGGACCCAAACGTCGTTGGGAGCGACGGCACCAGCACGAGCGGGAGCGGCGACACGGTTGCTCAGGATCTTCTCCTTGATAGCAGACATGTCAGCGTTGGTGAAGATGAAACCAACGTTGCCTACAGGAGACGAAAATTAGTTCGATTGGCCTCTTGCTGTGAGTATTCGAATTTTTTTAATCAGGATAGCTTACCGCGGACGAAGGGCAGAAGACGCTCGTACTCGGGGTGCTCAGTAAGGAAACCCTTAAGAGCACGACGGATCATGGTGTTCTTTCCCATCAGGACGACAGCCTCGCCACGGAGGGCGATACGGATCTCGTGCATCTGCTGAGACGAGACATTGTCGACACCGACGATGAAGATGCTCGAGTAAGCCTCGAGCAACTCCTTGAGCTTATCGAAGTAAGCGGACTTGGTTGCTGATTTGCCCCCCATTTCTTCTTATTTGCTTCTCTGAAGAGAGGTTATTTAAGGGCAAAAAAGGTGTGTTGTAGTGATGAATAAAGAGGAAAGAGTGAAGCTCGCAATTTCCATTTTCGTTTTTTGGTGCGTTCGCTAGTGGGTCACGTGCTAAGTGGGTCACTGCTTCGATAGGGAGGATATGCGAGCGCAATTGGCAATATATAGCATTTTTCGGTGTATATTTGAAATTTAATAATTAGAAAGAAAGAATGGCTGACAGCATCAAGCATTCCTCTTGATTCTGATCCATTCAATTTGAAAAATCGCTTTGAGTGCATGCAATTGATGGGTGGTTCTCAATTTTAGTCGAAACCACCACCCATATCTACTATCCGCTCGCCAAATCAAAATTCTGCCGCATCTGGAGAACATCGAAGAATAAGAGCTCCCCGAATTGCGCCATGGCTAGCCTCCAGCACCCATTCCAGCGCTTGCAATATGCCAGTCGGCAGGCGCAAGGCTCTTCAGATGTTTTAATTGGTACCGCTGGCCGTTATATCTATTCATACAATGCCACCGATGGTCAGCGCATGGACGTCTGGCCACAAGATGTAGAGTCGACCACAGAGCCTGCATCCGGTGCTAGCGCGACTACAGAAGACCAGACACCTCCAGAGAAAAAGAGAAAAATTTCGACAGAACCTGAGCCCCAAGAGAGAAAGCCATCTTCCGCTAAAAGGGCCCCGGCATGGACCACTGTGCCCCTCGTCACCGTTTCCTCTGATGGAAAATATATAATTGCGGTCACTGGTGAAGACAAAGCGGTCCGCGTCTTTGAGTTAAGCGATGATGGTAAATTGAAGGAGTTGAGCTCTCGGTAAGTGTTTCTGTATCTCTGTATCGCCTACCAAGCTCTACTAATACCTAAATAGAGTGCTGCCTAAGAAAATAAGTGCTCTGACCTTGACTACAGACAGCCAAACTATCCTTACTGCGGATAAGTTCGGTGATGCTTTCTCCATGCCGTTGATTCCTGGAGATTATGTGAAAAAGGCTGTAGAGACAAAACCAGCTGGCCCATCAGCTACCCCGCTCACCGTTCATACGAAGGGTAATTTGCGAACCTTAGAGATGCAAAAGCAGATGGCCGAGATCAATGCGGCGAAGGCTGCTGCCGGACAAGGAAACGATGCTCGCAACTTTGAGCACCATAACATTCTCGGCCACGTTTCTGTGCTGACTGATGTGATCAATGTGTCACTTGCTGGGAAGGAGTATATCCTGACTGCTGATCGCGATGAGCATATCCGCGTGTCTCGTGGTATTCCCCAGGTCCATGTGATTGAACAGTTCTGCATGGGCCACACTTCTCTCGTCAGCAAGCTCTGTGTTCCTGAGAACTTGCCTCATCTTCTCATTTCCGGCGACCTTGATGGGAACCTATTCGTGTGGAACTGGAAGCAGGGCCAGATTCTCCAGCACATTTCACTGCACGAAGCCTTGCAATCAGAAGTCATGCCTCGTGGAATTTGGAACATTTCTATTGGCCAGGTCAATGTGATTTTGATCAGCTTGGAAGGGTATGTATCACTGTCCGGTATGAGTATAATTTTATCTAACAAGCATCATAGATCTTCACAGCTGCTTTGCTACACAATTGAAGAGAATACTCTGCGCGCTCAAACTACTGTTCAACTTTCTGGCAATGTGCTTGACATTATTGCTATCAAGTCAAACTCTTTTATCGCATCTGTCGATACTGTCCGTCAAGCTAACTCAACCGATTCTTGGAATTCCAACTCCGGGGCTCTTCTCGAATATTTCCAAATTAATATCGGTCCGGATGGTATCCATTGTACCCCGGCTGAACACCCGATGGTAGCTAACATCAACTTGGAGGGCACCAGTGGGATTCCTGCAGGACTGAATGAGAAGCAACAGCAGGATATGAACAATTTGTTGTACAATTTCGAGAATTTGAAGAAAAAGTCGTATGACGAATAAATGAGGATATGTGGATACATGAACTAAATAGAGAAAAGCGAATCAACGATCAATGAATTTTCACCAAAATTACGCTAGGATAGCTCTGCTGTACGTTGGGCCTCGCCAAAATAAGATCAAGCATTGTAACTTGAAAGAATGCGACCAAACCTACTTCCTCTGGACAATATTACCTACGCAATCGGACTGCCCGAGGTAAGACAATGGTTGAATAATAAAAGGCTTTTCGAAAATAATTACTATAAAGACTAGTATTAATGACTCGGAAGCGACATTGGAACCCAATTGATGAATTTTAAGATATTTCTGAGCATTATGCGGTACATACGTGAGCTGCTTGATGCTTGTTCTAGCTAGGAGCCACATGTTGGCTGAGGCGTAGAACATCCGGGCGCCGCCCAGGGTTTCCGGATCAAACTTCAGCGGGGTCCTCGGCTGTCCAAGAATCCCACTCCCCCTCCTCCAACCTGCATTCAATCACCCATCATGCAGACGCAATTTGAACCGTTAAAGAATGATCTGCTGCTGAGAGCCGCCCGGGGTATTTTACCATTCCTCCCTTGGATACCGACAGACCACTAATAGCAATAACAGGCGAGAAGGTGGAGCGCCCTCCGATCTGGGTGATGCGACAGGGTGAGTTTTGCAACGCCTTAGTCCTTCGACAATGTCGATTTCCAATATCTCATTTTGATTGATTTCACAGCCGGTCGTTATCTCCCCGAATACCACGAAGCCAAAGGAGGCCGCGACTTCTTCGAATGCTGCCGCTCACCGGAAATTGCGTCGACCCTTACTATCCAACCCATTGACCGATACGAGGGCCTCATCGATGCGGCAATTATCTTCTCCGATATCCTGGTTATCCCACAGGCCATGGGAATGGTTGTGGAAATGGTCGATAAGAAGGGCCCTCACTTCCCAGAGCCTCTTGAATCGCCGGACGATGGACAATATGCTCGGGTGATGGAGAAGAAGGTGGACGTCAAGGCGGAGCTGGACTACGTTTACAAGGCAATTTCGCTCACACGCTTTAAACTGAAGGGCCGTGTGCCGCTCATTGGTTTCTGCGGTGCACCATGGACACTGCTATGTTACATGGTTGAAGGCGGTGGCAGCAAGCTCTTCGTGCAATCCAAGAAGTGGGTGTACAAGTACGCCAAGGAGTCACAGGCTCTCTTGCAGAAGATCGCTGAGATCTGTGTGGAGTACCTGGCTCTCCAGGTTGCTGCCGGTGCCCAGCTGGTACAGGTGTTTGACTCGTGGGCTGGCGAGCTGTCGCCCGCCACTTTCGCCTCGCACTCTCTGCCCTACCTGCGCCACATCTCCGCTAACCTGCCTAAGCGCTTGAAGGAGATGGGCTTGGAGCCAGTCCCCATGACTGTCTTTGCCAAGGGTGCTTGGTACGCTCTGGATGACCTTTGTGATTCCGGCTACAACGTTGTTGGTCTGGATTGGTTGCACGATCCTGCCGAGGCATTGCGTGTTGCCAACGGCCGAGTTACTATTCAAGGTAATGCGGATCCCGGTATGCTCTATGGCGGTCCTGAGGCTATCACTCCTACCGTGGAGAAGATGGTTGAGGGTTTCCGGAAGGGCAAGCAGGGCTGGATTTGCAATCTCGGACACGGTATGTGAACCGCTTATTGAAGCTTGCAAGTACGATTCTAACTTACTTTCATAGGTGTCACCCCATTCGTGGACCCAGAGAACCTCAAATTCTTCTTCCAGGAGATTCACCGTCTTACTAAATAATAACCTCGCAAGACTTAAAGTGGCTTCTAACCCACGTCTGCGAATATTTTAAAAGTTTCAAGGTACACTGGAGTATCTGCTGTATCATTGCGGTAAAAATTTGTTTCCGGCGGAGCTAAACAAAATATCACAGCAACTGTTCAAGTTTGGGCTATTTACATGCAACATCTATCTCAGACTGGTCTTAGACCGCGATATCCTCGTTCCTGTACAGCAGATAATCAGCATAAGTTACTCGAGGCAGACAAAGTTTTCTGCATGATGATCAAGATAAATGAAATAGAGAAAGGGGGCATCAAATTACCAGAGTTCCGGCTTCTCCTTCATGAAAGTGGACATCAATTCCTTGCATTCATGGTTATCAACCACGACCACTTCCTTACCACGGCTACGCAGTAACTCCTCTCCACCCATGAAGTTCACATTCTCACCAATGACAACACGATCAATCTTGTAGAGAAGACAAGCACCAGTGCACATATCGCAAGGCGACAAGGTAGTGAACATAGTAGCACCCTCATAAGCAGATGCGGGGAGGCGGCCGGAGTTCTCCAGCGCGGACATCTCGGCCTAACAGGGATTTCCGGGTTAGCGATTGTCTTCTGTCTTCTATAGATCCAGGACTCCATATATAGGCAATACTAACATGCAAAACAGGGCTACCCTTCTGCACGCGCATATTATGACCACGGCCCAGGATTTTACCATCCTTCGAGACCAGACAAGCACCAATGGGGACACCGCCCTCTGCAGCGCCCATCTTGGCCTCTTCAACGGCAGCAATGAAACCGGGGTTCTGTTCCATGGTGGAAGTGACTTTTAAAGATTTGGAGATATGTGAAAGATAGAAAAGATAGAATAGGATTGAATCTAAGTGAAGCTTCAGATCCCGGATACCGGCAACATTGTCTTATCGACGCTATCTACTAAGTACGGCAGGTCGTTCCAGTCGGCGAGTCCCGCTTTTTGTGACGATTTGATGTTGAGCACTTTCTTCTGTGTCAAGTGGAGCGCAAAAGTTTTCCCCTCCTTCTTATCGATAAGGAGGCTCAAATGTGGCGTAGAATAGAAGAATACGGGAGTCAACTGGTCAATACGGAGTTCCCCATTCTGTCCACTTCAAAGGAAATTTTCACTTCTATCAAGATATTTGTAATAAAGCAAAAAGACAAATTAGAAAGAAACTTCACCCCTCTACCTTGGATACTCAGAACCAGGATCATTGGTTTCGTATTTTTTTTTCATTTTCGCCTCCGATCGCCATCTCCAATCAGCAAGGCAATGGGGGCCATTGATCTCCCTTACTCAGCGGTCATTTACAAGACCAAAACAATGGAATCGCGGAGAAAACCAAAGAAGAGCATCGAAGGCCGCAGAATTCCGTAGAAATGACGCTCGGGCCTGACTCTTTCATAAAAAAAGGCATAGAAGCGGGCAGAAAGGAAATAAGACAGGCATCATCAAGTATAGATAATAGGACATTTGAACAATAATATAATAGGAATATCTTCCTAGAAAAGCAGGACTTTAAACACCTTCATAAGATCCGAAGCTGATCATCTGGTAATCTATTTTTCGGTTATTTTACAAAGTCCGTACATACATCCAGCCCTGGTGAACTGGTGTACCTGAAATTGGCAGAAAAAAAAAGTTACTCAGCCAAAGTGTTGCTGGGCTCCTATTCTTATCCCGCGATATTCAATCTTCCTCATAAAACCTCTCCCCTCCTTATCTCCCCTCCCCCCACTCACACCCATACGCGACATCCCTTTGACGCCGGTGTCGCTTCTTTTTTGAATCGTTCTTTTTTTTTCCCCTTTGATTCCGACGGTTCCTCGACCCCTCCTCTCTCTCGCCTAATCATCCCATCACAATGGTCAAGGATACCAAACTCTACGAGTGTCTGGGGGTACGATCATCTATTTTATATCCTTGATATAGAAGACCAAAAAATACTAACCTGCTTTCTTTTTTCTTGATCAGGTTGCTCCCGGGGCCACTGATGCCCAACTGAAGACTGCCTACAAGAAGGGTGCTCTCAAGTTCCACCCAGGTGCGTGAAATCATCACTTCAAAGAAGAACGAGGAAAGAGAAAAAACTAACGGAGGAATTTTCACCTTATCCAGACAAGAACGCCGATAACCCCGAAGCCGCCGAGAAGTTCAAGGAGTTGTCCCACGCCTACGAGATTCTGTCCGATGGCGAGAAGCGTCAAGTCTACGACCAATTTGGTGAGGAGGGTCTGGAGCACGGTGGTGCCGGTGGTGGTATGAACGCCGAAGACTTGTTCTCTCAATTCTTCGGCGGCGGCGGTGCCTTCGGTGGCATGTTCGGCGGTGGCATGCGTGATACCGGCCCGAAGAAGGCCCGTACCATCCATCATGTTCACAAGGTCAACCTGGAGGACATCTACAAGGGCAAGGTTTCCAAGCTTGCTCTGCAGAAGTCGGTCATCTGTGCTGGCTGCGATGGCCGCGGTGGCAAGGAGGGTGCTGTCAAGGAGTGCACAGGCTGTCAAGGTAGCGGTATGAAGACCATGATGCGCCAGATGGGTCCTATGATTCAGCGCTTCCAGACTGTTTGCCCTGACTGTAACGGTGAGGGTGAGATTGTTCGCGACAAGGACCGCTGCAAGAAGTGTAGTGGTAAGAAGACCATTGTTGAGCGCAAGGTTCTTCACGTGCACGTCGACAAGGGTGTTCGTGATGGCCACAAGATCGAGTTCCGTGGTGAGGGTGACCAGATGCCTGGTGTTCTTCCTGGTGATGTCGTTTTCGAAATTGAGCAGAAGCCCCACGCCCGCTTCCAGCGCAAGAACGACGACCTGTTCTACCAGGCTGAGATTGATCTGCTCACCGCGCTTGCTGGTGGCACTATCCACATTGAGCACCTGGATGACCGATGGATGACTGTCAACATCGCCCCCGGCGAGGTTATCGTTCCTGGTATGTTACCCCCAACTCCTTGTTCCATTATCTTTACCGTTTGCTAACAATCTCTTTTTCTCTGCAGACGCTATCAAGGTCATTCACGGCCAGGGTATGCCCTCTTTCCGTCACCACGACCACGGCAACCTGTACATCAAGTTCGACGTCAAGTTCCCCGAGGGCTCGCAGCTGCAGAACCTCGAACTCCTGGAGAAGGTTCTCCCCCCTCGCGTCCACCAAACCCAGCCCCCACCCGATGCTATGGTTGACGACTTTGAGCTCGAGGGTATCGAAGGCAGCGAGCCTGCTCAGGCCCGCGCCCACGGTGCCGCCGGTGGTATGGACGAGGATGACGATGATGTTCCCGGCGGTGCTGAGCGGGTACAGTGTGCCTCGCAGTAAGCGATGGTAGGAATAAACAAAATGTCATAGATCAGGTTGATTGAAATGATCTCACGTATCCTCTGATGAAACCGAGGAAAAGACACGATTCGACCAATGACATACCGTACCGATTCCTTTTTTCCCTACGTGATCATGTGGAAATTGATATACCGTTTCCCTCCATTTGCTTTGTGATGGCGTTGCTTTGAAGACTTGGGAAGATGCCAATTCGATGCAATTGCCATTGTCATACTTGATGTCTTCCTTTTCTTTATTTCTCGTGTAATTTCCTTTGACCATGATCACCCGTCCATTCATGTTATATCCCCCAATCCCATTCATCCATTCGATCTCCCTGTTTCATTCTATTTTGGCTTTGAATGTTTTCCGTTGCTTATGTCTCTTTTTTTCGTTTCATAGGACATCTGCTGGACGGCGGTAGGAGTTGCAATGATGAACAGCAAAAGCCGTGATGAGACCACGAGCAGCAGTCCCGGATTGCAAAGTGAGCTCCAAAAACTCCATTGCTTTTTTGTTTCCTTTCCTTTCGGTCTTCAGGGAATTGTGGTGATTCATGATGGTTTTCTTATTTTCTTATGTTTGTCTTTTCTTTCCCTAGCCTGCACTGATGACGACTTGAATAGACATTGCGTGGATTCTGAATTAAATGCATTTTTCATTAGCATGATTCTTTTAATCTGTAGTGTAGCTTTGCTCAGTTGTAGTTCCAAGAACAAGTAGAGGGTTGTGGTCATTTTGACTGTCACTGGCAGTCGACTGCGTATTATCACTTCATCTGCAAGGGTCAAAACATCCCCAACCATGATAATAATATGAGTTGTCAGTTTTGTGTGAATGTTAAGATTGAAAGGTGCAGACTGGACAAAGATCTCAGAAGTTTGAGCAGGCAGAAACGGCATAGGGACCCTGTGACCCGACCTTGGTGGTGAAGCCTTTGATCTCCCCTCACTTAAGGGATCATGACCAGACTTGGAGCCTACGTTCCAATTCCCACCTGGAATGTTTTACTAAATGAATAAAATATTTTTTATACATTGACTTCGCCTACTGTCAATTGGATATCTAGAAGATCATGACGTACATGTTTCAGTATAAGATCGACAGTGTTTTATATTAGTTCTTTATATCTGGGACATCCTTCCCGAGACCATCAAATCTGCCCGCGTGGCGCGTAAGCTAGTCACAGAATTACTAGTAGCCTGAGGTAGCATTTATATTTATTGAATAGCTTATTCTCACTAGGTAATTACGTGCATTAGATAGATCATACTAGTTCATATGCTTAAGATAAATCGTAGAAGTTATTATTGACTTCAAGTTACAATGTTCCTGGGTATGCACGGTAGAGCATCCGAGCCCGACCCCTTCACGTCCCGGCCGTGAGTCCTACTAGTCCTACCTAAAGCCCTGGAGTAGTTCTCGCATCCGAGTCAACTCCTTGAAGTTTGTTCAAAATCAAGACGATGTTCCTGTGCGGCTGGAATAAACATCTGGAAGTCCTTGAAAATCATGCTTGACAAATAATATCCGTGTTGACCTTATGAACTAATGTGCCCAGAAACAGGCGTTTTACACTATGATTTTTTTAAACTAGGTTATTGAATCCTTTATCAAGGATGTTTGAATAGGACTGATAACTTCAATTACTGAATCATTGAATCTAATATTGGAAAGACTGCCCACGTAGGTTATTGTCACTATTGATTCATTTTGATACTAGTACCATATATTTCTATCTAATTAGTAGTAGAGCCTAAGATTCCATGCTACTTCCTGCGGACAATAACTTGAAGATCAGGAAAGCAGCTCACAGATACATACTATGCATACCCCCTTCCGCCCAGTTGTATACATAACATCTGGCAGTATAGGCCATGTATATGTTTAAACTCCAGGGCTGTTCTATATGAGTACAATGTTAGAATTTCCCAGTTAAATGTAGCTTCCAAGCTTTGAAAAAATAAGCAGCCCGGTCGATGTCTAAGGAATGGAAAGTAAAGTGATACCTGAAGAGGGAAGGAATATTAATTTTTACTAGTAGTAGGTAACTTAGGCTAAAGCGATAACTTGAACAAATAAGTCATGAAGCTACACTAAGATAATTAAGATATATGGATAGGTAACATGTATGTATAGATCTGATAAGCATGGCTTAAACATGGTGGCCTATAGATTTGCCGAGGTATAACAGAGCTGCTACATGTTAATATCCATACTTCCAAGTCGGTCTTGAAGCTACGAATGTCGGTGTAGAAGGAAGCGGTCCTCTAAACGTCAGTAAGCAAAGATCACCGATAGATAGAACAGGCACCTATCCCTACCTCCATCCCATCTCATCGTACCGTATCCCATCGCAATGACCCCATCCCTCTCCAACCGAATCCAAACACCGACATCTTGGCAGCATCTCCCATAACATCATAACCCACGAGACCAAACAGATACAGCTCATACCTCAAAGCTCACAGTTCACAGCTCACCGACACGGCGTAACAAAAGAAATGACGAAAGTGGAAGCATCACGAGTATGTATGATCGACTCCCCGAGGACAAAGCGTCCGGGCCCTGCATATGCAGCCGGCGACCGAGAACAACCGCGTTAAAACGGCATGGCTGACATCATGCACGCACAAGATGCACAAATAGCCTACCGCGAACCATCAGAAAGAGATGTGTAGTTCAAACCATTTCTTGGCGGTTATTTCTATATTTTCTTCCCCTTTTCTTTTCTGGCCGCGATCAGATACATGGATATACTACCCAGAGCCAGGATCTCGGTAGAGGCGTCCAAGCATACGTATACGCCATGAGACCCGAGGATGATGAGATCGATTGGTTTAAGCGAGATGAGATGGCTGTACTAGGCTGCACATGACATTGAGCCGTGAAAATTCTGAACCCCGAGAAATTTGGTTAATAGGGAAGTTGGCCGTTTCCTAGAAATAAATTAAGTTTGTTATTGGTGCATTTTTGTTAGGTTGATACCACGTGAACCGACCCGAACACATCGCATCGCGTGTTGTATCCGACGGAGTGGGAAACAAAAAGAAAGTAATCCGTATTCTCCTATTTTGACTCAGTTAGACTCAAAGTTACGAATAAGACAAAAGCAATTAACAAGAAAACGAGAAAGAAAAAGCAAAGAGAATGGGGTGCAGCTGGGTCAGAATATTATGGGTCCATAGAAGGCATACTATAGATGGACTAGAAAACACGAAGATGGTCAGTGGAATCGGTAGTTTCAGCTTCAAACTCAATGACCCGTATAAGAATTTTGGAAAAGTTCACAGTCGGAGCAATCACCCGATTGAAGAAAGCAGACTAGAGCCAGACTAGACCTGAAGCAGGACAGTCTCGTTACTTTTAAGTTGTAGCTAGTTAAAGGTGCAGCCGCGATAAGCTTGAATGACGTGATTTAGATCTGGATGGCGAGATAACGGGAAGCTGCAAAGAAGGCTGTCAAGCCGATGCTAAGACTGAGCTGCATATAGAGTATACGAAGTAATATAGAAATGTGGAGCTTAAGAAGAGCCTGAGTTTGACTAACGCAATCCTTTTACGAGGGAGTTCAGTTGTTATTGGCTATAATTGGTTATGAATAGTAGATGGTGCGAGTGGCCTGTTCAGGCATTCCAGATGAAACTGAGCTATGCGCTTATGCAAAGATATGGATGTAGTCACCGTGTTGTCTGAGGCTCGGATTCCTCCCGTAGTCTACGGCGTACATACTAAATACTATATACTCTATACAAAAGTTAGAAACGTAGGTTGTTGCAGGGTGCTCCATCGCGGATCAGAGTTTCCCAAATGAGAAGGGGGAGTCGGATGATCCTGCGCGAAATATGGATTATGGAAAAGATGTACTCCATCTATGGAGCAGGAGGCGAGTTGAGATGGAGAGGAGGGGCTTGTTGGTGGGTCGGTCGGTGGATCTTGCCGTCGGGCGCAATAGTCTTGAGTTGAGACAGAAAGAGGACCAGCTCATGCAGAAGGATGGAGAGATATTGGTGGCTGAGAACTAACAGGGAAGGAGAAGTTGAGGTGCAGGAAGGAGAATGCCCAGGAATCGTATGAAGATGAAGATGAACCGCAGAGCCCCCTCCTTCTCCGCGGGACGAATAGGAGGGAAGGAAGGGAACCCACTGTCGTTTACATTTATTTTATTACTAATAATATTATTTCGCACACTTAGATTTTTTTCTTATTTATTACTATTTTATTTTCAACAGATTAGTGCAAGCGCGGACTATAGTGGAGTATAGACGTACAGGATTCCAGAGCGAGCGAACAAGGGCATACAGTAGTGGTCCAGACCCAAGACTTCGGACTTGATTCCCCAAATAGAGGAACCAGTCTGCCGTACTTTACTGGTAGCAAGACAAGCGAGACAAGAGACAACTTGAGGAGAGCAAGGTTGAAACGTGGAACGGGAAGGAAATTTCTTTTGTCTGTCACCATCGCTCGGGCTGATTTCACCATCACGCGGGGTGCTGATTGGCCCCTGCGCCCCATGGCCGATCATCCACGCCTCCGTGGAGGCAGTGATTCGTCACCGCAGAGACTTGGCGGAAGAAGCTTGAGATTCCCTGCAAGAGAGAGAGAGAGAGTATGGCATGGAAATTGCGAGATAATGGAGGCCAAAAAAAATTACAAAAAATAGAAAAAAATAGGAGAAAAGGACAGTAGAGTATACGAGATCAAGTGGAATAGACTAGAGTTGAAATCTCTGTAATAATAACTCTACAGTAACAATTACAGTGTATCCCCGAAGACCCCCCATACGGATCTCTACCAGAACTAACCAGATACCCGCCCCATGCTCCTTCGTCATCCGACTTCACTTCCAGCCCGTGCAATGGTTCCACCCGGCACTTTCACCTTTGGGGATCGACCTGGATCATCGGTGGACACTGGCAGCGTCACGGACTGACACGGACGGGACTGTATCCACGGAGGAACTGCTGGTTTCTTTTTCTTTCTCAACTTTCTCACACTTCTCTTGTACATAAAAAGCGACCTGTGCGTGGCCGACTAACGCAACTAACGCAAATTGTTCGAAATCTGGGGACTTTAGATATTACGCCATCGACCCTCGAATCACGCACACCTCCACATCCCCTATTACCTATTCTCCACTACCGATTCGACCCATCTCGTCCGTTTAGCTTTTCTTTGCTTCTGTGTGGCTGTCGACATGGGGAGTGCGTGATCGTCAGCTCTGGACTACTCGAACGTTTATATTCTGGAAAATATCCACCACGTTTTTTGCATTTTAGCTTCTGTCATTCAAAGCTCTCTAACTTGACTCTCCTTCTCTTCTCTTCTTTCTTCGATTCCTTCCATTCTTCGATTTCTCGATTCTCTCCCGGTCTCCATAAATAATACCGGCTCGCTGCCGAGATCGCCGTTGTTCGCGGTGATTTGGATATTTGGGATATCCTTTCCCTTTTCTCCTCTTTCTCTTGATCGGAATCCGAATCATGGGTGAGAAATCCACAAAAATTGGCCATGGCCTGGCAAAGGGCCTTGGTATCAAGGTCGCCTATAGAGACCCTCTCGGTGCCAGTGACCCCGTCACTCGTGGCGAGTCCGCTTTCTCTGTTGGAACCGTTGAAACCTACTCCTACAATGAGCCGGAGCCCAGCAGTATCGATTGGGTTCGTGAGGTTACTCCTACCGGTGCTCAATTCGTCAACTACCTGATTAGTCTGTTTCCTTTCTTGAACTGGATTGGCCGTTACAACCTGCAATGGTTTGTTGGTGATTTGGTTGCTGGTGTTACTGTCGGTGCCGTTGTGGTGCCCCAGGGTATGGCTTATGCTCAGCTGGCAGAGCTGCCCGTTCAATTTGGTCTTTACTCTTCATTCATGGGTGTTTTGGTTTACTGGTTCTTTGCAACTTCCAAGGACATCACAATTGGTCCCGTGGCTGTTATGTCCACTCTCACCGGAACGATCGTGCTTCAAGTCAAGGATAAGATTCCTGATGCCGAAGCACATGAGATTGCATCATGCCTGGCCATTATCTTAGGTGGTATTGTTTGTTTCTTGGGTCTGATCCGCATGGGTTTCATCGTGGATTTCATTCCTCTCCCTGCTATTTCAGCCTTCATGACCGGTTCGGCCATCAACATCGCAACTGGACAAGTGAAGACCATGCTCGGTGAAACTGCTGACTTTTCCACCCGTGATGCGACCTACCGCGTCATTATCAACACTCTGAAATATCTGCCTACCTCGGATCTTGATGCTGCGATGGGTGTCACCGCGTGCGCCATGCTATACATCATCCGTTCTGGCTGCACCTTCGCCGCAAAGAAGCAGCCTCACCGCGCAAAGATCTGGTTCTTCATTTCCACTCTTCGAACTGTCTTCGTTATCCTGTTCTACACCATGATCAGTGCCGCAGTGAACCTGCACCGCAAGGATGATCCATTGTTCAAGGTTCTTGGTAGCGTGCCTCGCGGTTTCCAAAACGCCGCCGTGCCCAAGATGGACCCCAAGATCATCAGTGCTTTCTCCAGCCAACTCCCAGCTGCTGTGATTGTCCTTCTGATCGAGCACATCGCCATCTCCAAATCTTTCGGTCGTGTGAACAACTACACCATTGATCCTTCTCAGGAATTCATCGGTATCGGAGTGACCAACCTTCTCGGTCCCTTCCTCGGCGGATACCCCTCAACTGGATCTTTCTCCCGAACAGCCATCAAGTCCAAGGCTGGTGTCCGAAGCCCCCTAGCCGGTTTGATCACCGCCATCGTCGTGCTTCTTGCCATCTACGCCCTGACCGCAGTCTTCTTCTACATCCCCTCCGCCTCTCTGTCTGGTGTCATCATCCACGCCGTGGGTGACCTGATCACCTCACCAAACACAGTCTACCAGTTCTGGCGCGTGTCCCCACTCGATGTCATCATCTTCTTCGTCGGTGTCATCGTCACCGTGTTCTCTTCCATCGAAGACGGCATCTACTGCACAATCAGTGTCTCCGCCGCTGTTCTTCTCTTCCGCGTCGCCAAAGCCCGTGGCCAATTCCTCGGCCGTGTGAAGATCCACTCAGTAGTAGGTGACCACCTACTAGACGGCGATGGAAAATACGGTTCATTCGGCGGAGCCAAGGCTCCCTCCGACGACGACGAGCACCACCACCGTTCCATCTTCCTTCCCTCCAACCACGCCGACGGCTCAAACCCCGATATCGAACTCGAGCAACCATACCCTGGTATCTTCATCTACCGCTTCTCCGAAGGATTCAACTACCCCAACGCAAACCACTACACAGACAACCTGGTTCAAAACGTATTCCAAAAGACTCGCCGGACAAACCCACACGCCTTCGCAAACCCCGGCGACAGACCCTGGAACGACGCAGGTGCCAAGCGCGGAAAAGACGCAGATACAGAAGATACCCGCCCACTTCTCCAAGCAGTTATTCTGGATTTTTCCTCTGTCAACAACGTAGACACCACCTCTGTGCAGAACCTGATCGATGTCCGCAACCAACTGGATCTCTACGCCTCCCCCCGTTCCGTCCAATGGCACTTCGCTCACATCAACAACCGCTGGACAAAGCGTGCCCTCGCAGCAGCTGGTTTCGGTTTCCCAACCCCAACATCCAGCGATGGTTTCCACCGCTGGAAGCCTATTTTCTCCGTTGCCGAGATCGAGGGTAGTGCATCTGCCGCTGCGCATGCGGAACTGATCAACAACCAGCGCGAGCAGGCTCAGCATCACGATGTCGAGTCCGGATTGAAAGAACAACACCAGACAACCGAGCACGAGACACATACTATTGAGACTACTTCCTCGGAGGAAAGCGGTGTCATTGCCGAAGACAAGCTGCAGCGCGACTTGACTACCAGCAAGGCATACCTGGGCCGACGCAAGGTGGCTGTTGTGCAGGGCATGAACAGACCATTCTTCCACATTGATTTGACAAGCGCTCTCCAAAGTGCCGTTGCAAACTCATCCGATGATATCCCACCTCTTTAAGCGTGTTGATTGATTGATTGATCTACTCCATTTTATTTCATTTCATTTTCATCTTTTCCTATTCCCATCTCACACCTTCCATCTACATACCCATCTCTCATCTTCACTGCATGCTCTTCTTTATTCGGCATGGTCCATCCCTGGTCGGAGACCACATGATCAGCCAATTATGACTTGTTAATCTTGCCTCTTCCCCTTTGACTCCAGTCTTCCTGTCCGACCTGCACTTGGTTTAGTTTTGGTTTTCACGGTGCAGGGAGTCCGGTTCTGTTTTCATATCTTCTGGCGTCTTGGTTGGGAAATAAGGAGGATTTGGTTTGGGCATTACATCTAGTCTTTGCCAGATACTGGCAGGCTGAAGTAATATTTACTAGGGATACCCTGAATTTATAGATTGCGTTGATTTCTTATAATTATGTACTGTGCTCGTAATATCACATTAATGTAGACGTCCATAATTATTATCATATCATAAGCTTTGTACTTTCATTCCAACTATCTTTACAATAATAATTTCAACTCATTCAAGTTACCAGTAAGTTGTACATGATATGCAAATCTCATCATGATTCAAGTATCACCTAGTATCATCTACACTCAATACAAACAACAACCTAATAATCCCACCCAACCAAGCCAGGGTAGATCAAACGACTAATCACCTCAACACACCCCCAACACCAGCCCACCCAAGTACAAACCCACTCAAAGCCTCAGAAAGCACACCACCCCCAAACCAAAGATCTCTCCAAGCCCCACTCCTAAGCACATATCCTCTCTTCTTCGCACCAGCTCCAGATCCACCAGCAAGATCCATCTTCACAACACCCTTCTTATCCATTTCGATAGATCCCTGAATCTCCCCATTACTTCCTGGAAAGAAAGCTCCTGCGCCTGCACCACCTGAGCGCCGAAGGAGGACTATATGGAAAAATCCTGAGACGAGGACTGTGCCGAGGAAATAGAATGTGAAGCCGGCTGTTGATTGAAGGGCGAGGATTCCGGCACTGAGGCCTAGGAGGAAGGCCGTTAGGCTGTGGAGGGAGGAGAGGACCTATGTTTTATTAGCTTTGCTTTGATGCTTGCTTTGCTTGTAGGAGGGAATGATGGAAGTGGGAGAGGTAGGGAGGGTGGGAATGGAGGTAATTACCCGGTTATTGTGCTGGACTGCTTCTGGGACGAGAGGGTTGATTAGCAGGGAGAGTTCCTGCTTTGTAGGTGCCATTTTGGTGATGGACTTGATTCGGTTCGGTTGTGACGGTGATAGACTCGGTACGTGGTGGCTTGGATTTGGAGCGTGGGCTAGAATATGAATGAGCCCGTAGGATATATTCAACTGAGTCGTGGAAGCGACAATGGATGTGCTAGGTTGGCTGGTGGAAGGTGTAGGTGGGAATATTAAGGCGACGTCGGGGCGGAGGTTTGACGCGGGCTGATAAATGCACGGACCACATCTTCTACAGCACAAGTATACATGGGAGCCCTGGAGTAGAGCTTTGAACCCTCAGATTGAATAATACCACAATACCACATCATTGGGATTATATATATCAGAAATAGAGAAAAACAAAACAAAAAGAACAATGGAACAAAATGTTCATATCTACGATTACCCCCAGCCATTTTCAATGTCCAGTAGCCCGAAGTTCCCGAAGTTCCCTCATGAATCCGTTTCTTGACATCACTGCGTTTGATACATGTCGAATCCCACATCCATCATCATATTAGGGTGAACCAAAAGATCACAGAACAAATGATGAAAAAAAAGAAAGAAGAAAAAAGTGTGAAGAATAGAAGAAATAAAAAAAGGCACAGATGATGGAATATAAATGCCAATACGATGAGATTGCTGGGCATCGAGGTCGTCTTGGTTTCCACAGGAGACTCATAAACGGTCACTATGCCATGCTTCATGCAAAAAGACTCTTATCATTCGAGGCCTTCAAGCTTGCCATCACCACGAGCTTCCTTGACTTGCTCAAAGACCTATTTGTTGACATAGTTAGTATTGTTATGATGGAAAGTCTAGAAGAAAGACAGAGAAAATCTTACCTTGAGCATCTTGTTCCGGGCACCCAGTGCGTTGACACCACGGTCCTCCAATGCCTGGTCATCAAGCTCAACCAGATCCGTCCACTTAAGATCCTTCAAATTATCGGTGTATTTATGTAGGCGAAGGGATCGCAGCCAGCTGGGGATATCCTTCAGAAGAGCAGGGTCGGTAGGGTCCTCTGGCGGCTTCGAGCTGCCACGACGACCACGGGGCGAACGTCCACGAGTAACTTCGGAATGGTCAGACAAATAACCTTCACCACCCAGGCCAAACTGGCCAATTCCAAGAGAGCTGAGCCCATTGCCCATGAGAGGGTTGTTGGGATCATAGGCTGCGAGGAAGCCGTTGTTCTGGGGTGAGGTGAAACTCATACCACCAAGGCCATTGGCGCCCTGCATGGCGATACCAGGAGATGTAGGCCGAGAGCGATGACCAGCCATAGCAGCTTGCTGTTGAGCCTGGAGAGCAGCCAGCTGTTGAGCATTCAGAAGCTGACCGGCCAGATGGTTGGAACCTGGGAGACCAGGGCTTGCCAAGCCTTGAGGAATACCCGCATTGATATTAGAGTTTCGTCCCTGACCATCATTGGACCGGGCGCGACGGTACTTGCGGGCATCGTCCAAAGCAATACGGTTGTTCACGGTTGACAGAGCAGCTAGCTTCATGGCGGTCGCATTGGCTACCATATCCGCATGGGAGTTCTGGTTTTGTTGCTGTTGGCCGAAGGTTGCGGTCATGGGAGTGTTGGTCATCGAGGCCCAGCTGTGATTTCCAACATTGTACGGCGAAAGCAAAGGTGGCTCAATATCCGGAGCGGGAATCGTGGCGGTCTGGGGGAGAGGAGAACGAAGACCGGAGGCGGATGGCTGGCTAAATTGGCCCATGGGTTGATGTCCAGAAGAAGACTTGGGACGGGCAATCGGCGGCTGAGTGTCGGATAGTCCCCCACGTGAAGCCCATGGAGATGCCGGAGGCTGGCTCAAGGTATCATTGTCCGGGGCTGAGATGGTGGGAGCAACAAACGAGGTACGGTCACCAAAAACCAAGCTATTACGGTTCGAAGGAGGGGCGTTTCCTGTTTGCTGAGTGAACTCCGCCTTCTTCTTCGCAATGGCCGCAGCCGCATCAGGGAACATGGCATTAATAGTGGAGGGATCGAGAGCCGAGTTCCGTTTGGCACCAGGCGATGGTGGAGGCCGGCCGATAGAGTTCCGTGTGTTGTCCATGTTAAGTTTGGACATGGCATCGTTCAAGCGACTAGACATGGCATCTAAAAAATTTCACAAAATACATTAGTATGCTGAGACTTAAACCGAACGCAACATAATACTAGGGTAGGAGTGAGCCTAACCTTTCTCACCAAAGTTGGCTGGTGAAAGGATGCCAGATATAGGATGAGACTGGGACATCTGCTGCAGAACCTGGATGAAGAACCGGATTTGCACCTGAGTTGTCTGTTGCAACAACGCATACAAGGCTGCCGTGCGCTCCGACTCACTCAGAACCCGGAACCACTGCTCGATGGCCGAGAGTTCATCCTTAAAGTCCTGGTCGAGGGTGGCAGCTGCCATCTCTTCCAATGTAGTCTCATTCTGGTCAATATCCGCCAGCCACTGCTGAGCAGCCCGATCCAACGCATCGTCTGAAGTGTTCTGACCCTGCGACTGTTGGTTGAAAAAAACCTCCGAAGATGGACGCATGCTGCGTGATGACAGCGGCGAGGGGAAACCCGACATGTCAGCCGAAGCTCGCAGCTGGTGTGATCCGAGGGTTCGAGCGGACGATGGAGGACGCAGAGTGGAATTCGGAGCGGCTTCCGGAGTGCTGTTGCGATTCCCGATGATATGGCTAGCCATATCTAATAGGGAATGATGGGGTTGGGTTGCAAAGGTCTGGAATAGTAAATACAGTGGGGTTGGAAAATATTACTGCAAAACACCTGCAGCACCTGCTGAGTTTGCGTAACAAGATTGAAACAAATATCCCAAATCGAAGGACCCAGATACAGGTGGGGGGATCTCGATGAGGTCCAGAACACCGCGAAGCCCAAATCTCAGCTTTTAGGCGACAGAAAATGGGGCACAGACCAGTCCAGTGGGCTGCACCTTGATGAAGCGGATAGCCAGAATGGACAGTGGAGATTTGCGGTCGGTATTAGGTCCGAACGAAGGAAAATCAGGACCAGGGAGGCAATAGTGTGTCAAACACAACAAGCCCGAGTTGGTCCTGGTACCAAAAGAAAAGAAAAAAGGGTGTAAGGGGAAAGGGGAGAGATCGTGGAAAAGAGATGGGGTGGGGAGAAGAGAAGAAATTCCAATGCGGGAAAGGAAGAGGAGTCTTTCCCTCTCTCTCTCTCTCTCTCTCATAAGGCGATCACGGGTTCCGGTGGAATGAGGGAAAAAATAAAATAAAAACCTTTCGAGACAAAGCAACATCTACCAACTTGTTACTCTTTAAACCTTTGTTCAGTTTCCAGTCTTTAATTCCCAACGCCCATCAACATCTCCATCGAGTAACTCTGCTTTCAACCGTCTGGAAAGTGGAGCTTGCTGAGTATGAACATTCGCCCCTGCGTCTGAGCAGTGATATACGCGCTTCGGGCTTCTAATCTGCGGTCTGGGCCATGGTCCCAGCGCTCTGGCCCCAGACGCAACATATCGTACATATCCTTGTCTTGATCGCACTGCATTGTCGTTGCGAGGCCATTAAGTCTGTTTGAAACGGAAAAATTGGGTTTTTTGCTCATTAAACGGTCTTCTTCAATGCACTTCAACGGATATCCTTTCCGCCGCATTGACCACCATGAGTGATCCAGACATCCCAATGAGTACTCCAGATGAGTATTCGGCTTATCCAGATATCGACGAAGACGTACGATACCCATGGCAGGGTCATGAAAACCAGCAACCTTCTATCGGCGATCTTGATACGTCTGTGATTGATCCTCGACTCTACGGTGGAGATTCGAACGTCGGAGCTGAAGAGGAGCTCGATCAAGCTCAGGGCTATTATCCCAGTGACTTATCTGAAGACGAACGAGATATTCCACGTCATTTTGGTCACTTTGATGCAGGAGATGACGACTCGGACTATGTAGCACAAAGTGGAGAGTTCGTTTCCCGTCAGCAGTTGATACCCCCCATATATGGAGACTAACAGCGATCCTAGTGACGATGAAGATGAAGAAGACGAAGAGGATGAAGATGATGAAGATGTTGATAATAATGAAGGCCCAAGCGGTCGACCCTCCCGTGGCTGGGGCGCCCGCGGTGGTAAAGGCATCAAAAGAGGACCTCGCAAACCCTTGGAACCAGGTCCCGAATTCAAGATGCTACATTCAGAAGCTACCGAGGCTTTCATTGATGGCGATTATGACCGAGCTATGAATCGTGTGACACAAGCCATCCACATGAACCCTGAAATGTTCCCGGCCCATTCTCTCCTGTCTGAAATTTTCCTGGCTAAAGGCGAAAAAGACAAAGCATTGGCTGCTTTGTGGAATGGTGCTCATACTCGACCTAAGGACGCGTCGGTTTGGCTCAAAATTGCTCGGCTCATTTTGCAACGTGCTGGTGATAATCGCAGAGCTTTCTTGAAGGACGTTGTTTATTGCTACAATCGTGTCCTTGGCATCGAACCTAAAAATTACACAGTGCGCTACCATAGGGCCGCAATATACCGTGAGTACGGTTACAATGTCAGAGCGGCCAAAGAATATGAGCGCATCTTGAGAGATCGACCGCACAATCCGAAGGCCCTGAGACATCTGGCGGAGATCTACATTGATCTTAATCAAGTCCACACAGCAATCGATCGATGGGAGAAAAGTGTAGATCACTTTCTATCGATCGATCCTGAAGAGGTCCGCTTTTCTTGGTCTGAAGTGAACATTTATGTCGAACTTTACAGTATGGTGGGTCGGTTTGATGAAGGACTTCATGCCCTTGGGTTACTTGCTCGATGGTTGCTTGGGCGTGGAGATGACACCTTATGGGATGATTTTGACGAAGACGATCGAGAATGGGATCCCAGTGATTCACCACGTCGCATCAAAACCAACGGTTTCGTTCCTGAAGAGTGGCCGCTTGAATCGTATGGCATTGGGCTTCCACTTGAGCTACGCATAAAGATGGGAATCTTTCGTCTTAAAATGGGTTACAAGTACCACGATGAAGCCCTACATCATTTCGAATGGTTGAATCCAGAAGACTCTTCGGAAAACGCCCGGATCTTTGATTATGGCGATCTTTTCAGGGAGGTTGCCGACGCGCTCAAGGATCATGGGTTGCCAGAAGAAGCCTATCGCTTTTACCATCCAATTCAAAACACCTCGGAGTATGCAGATATTGGATACTTCATAGCAATGGCCGATTGCTGTATGCAATTGGAGAAGCACGATGACGCGGAAGGCTACTACCTCACCGTTGCTGAACACGACTCGAAAAACATGGAATCGCGAGTGGGACTTGCTAAGCTATACGAATGTCTCAATATGAGTGACGAGGCAATGAAATTTGCCAATGAAGCTGTTCTTCTTGGGCGCCAGGAAGGTGGAAAGAGGCGCAGAAAAGACACTCGACTTGAGCAGCTAGCAGATGAGTTCAGACAGGGTGATAATACTAAGTCTCTGCGGCCGCTTGCCCCCAAGCCAACGGCCGGTTTTACTTTCCGGGATTCTTCGACTCTCAAACACGGCGATACAGGGCCTTCAGAAGAAAGCATGAGGGCAGAGAACGCTCAGTTTCTATATGGAAAATTGAAACAGCTCGAACCTTTTGTCAAAGAAGGCGATTCTGAAGCTACTGAAGATTGGCTTGACATTGCTGATGCACTGCTTCGCGATTTCCGGTCAAACAAGGTATTCTACCCCATCGCACGCACAATGGAATTCCAGGGATACTCTAGGAAAGATCAAAAAGGGAAAAATCTTACTTTGCTCGATGAGGCTCAAGCAATGGCAGGCCGTCTCCTGAGCCGTGCGAGTGCTGGCCGTTCCGATGAACCCATATCCGATAGCATTCCCAATGAATACTACAATATCCCCTTTGATGAGTGGCTAGACATATTCCTCCAATATGCCCTTATTGTCGCGGACCAGGGAGAGGTCGAAGACGCATATCAAGCACTTGACTCTGCCTCAGTTGCTAATATCTGGATTCATTCGAAGTCTAGATCGCGCTTGATCCATGTCTGCTGGTTTACTTGCGCGCTTCGAGCCCGTGACGAGGAGGTCTTGGCACATGAAGCCCGTTGGTTTATCAAGGAATATCAATTTGTTACAGATACCTACCGACTCTTTTCGATGCTCAGCCATATTTCTGCAGACCCCCTCAAACCATTTTTCCACACCTCACCGAACATGAAATTCATGCTTCGTCAAATCAAGGCGATGGACTTTACCCTTCCAGACGAACCAGCCAAACCTCAACCTGTTCGCCAATCTCTCTACAAAGAACGTGCATCTCTCTCAACAAAAGACGAATTTGGCGAGCGAATTCCGGCCGAATCACTTGACATCGCCCTTCTCATCCTTTATGGCCACATTCTATATTCAGGAGGCAGTTTTTACCCAGCCCTGAATTACTTCTTCCGAGCATATGCCCTTGACCCCGAAAATCCAGCTTGCCTTCTTTCTATTGCTCTTTCCTACATCCAGCACTCTTTCAAGCGACAATCCGACAATCGACACTATCTCATTATGCAAGGGCTTTCTTTCCTAAATGAATATCGTCGTGTACGGATAAAACCCGGAACTTCGCTCCCCGAGCGACAAGAAGTGGAATTTAATTTTGCGCGAGCGTGGCATGGCCTTGGACTGGCACATTTAGCTGTTCCCGCCTATGAGAAAGTACTCGAGATCGGCCAGGAAATTCAAGAACAGGCCATCGCGTCAGCAGCCCCGGAAGATGACACTGATGTGGATATGGACGGAGCAGATGAATCTTCTCGGGTCATAGATCAGAATCAGACCTCGAACCGTTTTGTGGAAGACTTCACACGAGAAGCGGCCTACGCCTTACAATGTATCCATGTCATGGGTGGTGACCCGAAGCTTGCGAAGGATGTCACCGAGAAATGGCTCGTCATCTAATATTGAGTAGTCGTGACTGTATGAGATCTTTTCCTTCTTGCTTCAAAGTGATGTCTTACTTAATAGTGATATGGATAGACATGATGCTGTGTACGATAACGCATGATTGATTGAATTGCGCCATTCAAATCAAAAGCATTTGCTACCTAATCGGATTTCTCTAGCTGCTTACAGGATGAGAGAGAAAAGAATGAAATTCAATAATCGATTCATAGTTCAGCGATTTGACATACAGGAAAACCCATATTCGATCTCACCCAGTGCGACTTGTTTCCATTTCAAGTAGATCAACCTTCAAAAATCCGCACACCCTTGCACTTATACTATCCATGATATCCCAGGAAAGTATTCCATAGGAATAAAATAAGTAATATGGTTGAAGAATGTTCAGGCATAGACCATCCCAACCACATACTTATCTTTTGTAAACACCCAAGATCCAAAATCCCCCGGTCCAGAAAAAGGATGCCCATCAAACCCCAAAATACTAGATAGATCTCCCTTTCTGCAGCCTATCAACTTGTCCGTGACTCGTCGACGATCCAACATGAAGTCAGGCAGGAAATTAAATGGCCCTTCGTGCGCGTACCAGTTCCATATCCGACTATGTTAGCGAATTCCTTGTTGAGGTCCATTTCCATGGATTCTGGGACTTGTCTCAAGATGGAACAATTAACCTGCCGATCGTTAGTAAATCAGTAAATTAGTAAATCAGTGAATCAGTAAATCGGTATTAGGCTGGAACTTCTCACAATATTCGTGCGTTTTCGACCGGAGCATAGTTTAACGAAGGATTCAATAGTTCCACAGAAGCCTCAGTCAATTGTTCATCCTCTCTAATGAGCTTCAAGATCTTTTTCGCTGCACCAAGCCACTGAGAACTATTCCCGACACAAAAAACAACGCAAGTGAAAGTTGGTACATGCTCTGGGTTTAAGACAGATTGTCTACCCACGAACTTGGGAGGCTGCGAATATTCGACTCCAAATTCCTGTAGAATGTCTTCAATTCGTTGAATGATACGCGGCCTCGGTATCCAAACACGCGCAGTGAGGGAGCGTGGACGAAAGTCAGGGGTTGTTTCGATGGGAATCGAGCATAGGTATGGGCCATCTGCTCGGTCAACTTCTGTGATGAATCCATCGACAGTATCACCTTTGTCGTCGGCGTAACCGCGGTATCTTCGTTTGCGTCCGTCATTTCCCATACGCCCAGGCTCGTTCCGCTAGGCATGAGGACTTTGGTCTTGTTCATGATATGGCGGTGGAACTTGGTTCTCATCTTCAATGACCTCGACCTCGGTCCAGAATGGAGAAGCCGGAGAAGCATAGGCCAGCTCTGAGTCTGATCCTCTTGTTTGACGTAATCGAGACATTTCGATGGATATTGCTTATTGTTCGAAGTTGTGAGAGATAGAAATGAAGATGGTGGTGATGGCTCGAAGCTGGGGGGGGGGGGGATTTATAGGGACGCAAGAAAGGTAACAGCAACTTGAACAATCATCACTGACGCTCCGCGCGTATAAAATTGAACTAATACACAGTATTGGAAATTTTACTGTGATCTTTCATATAGGCAGACTCACCAAGCAATTGGGCTACTGACGAAAGCGATGAACATGGTTCTCAAAAAGATCATTGCAGCTTTACTCCACTAGATCCGTGCTCTCCATCTTTGGAAAAGTTTCATGATTAGCTTTGAGCGCAAATGCCATATTCAACTTTATGAGGTGGAAGATTCAACAGCATTACCATATTATTTGATTACGAGTTCATAGTAAACTTACTAAATAGAAACTGCATACTATGTGTAGCCACTCTAGTACTTAAATATTCGCTCGTCTATGGGCAATCTGGGATCGGCGTTAGAAAGCTGGGCTATAATGACCAAGGTGTCGTTGAAAATAGTTTTATTAGACAGAACACACCGAAGTGCGAATATACCAAAAAAGGTAAAATTAAGAAACAAGACACATTTTCTCTAGATTCACATACAATGAATGAGGTGACGTGCGCTCCCATGGAGGCGACATAGCACAGCACGGTTATACCAGTTAAGCAAGGATAATGGGGCTGAAATGTGGAGACTCGGACAGCTAAAGTGGGGTATATACACGGCGCTAAGCATATTAGGACATACCACAAAATGATTTCATTGGAGGATTGTTTGAGTACAGCACGAAAGCGCAAGAAAAAGGAAAAGCAAGATTCGCATTGATAGCTACAAGTTTCCCAGGGAAAGGCTATAAGTATCTTCTGATAACTCCTCCGAATCTAAATTTTATCTTCATCGCAAATTCAATCCAAGTTGATCTCGAAGCACTTCCAATCAAAACCAAAACCAAAACCAAAACCAAAACCAATTATGCTTTCCGGTACCAAGCTTGACGGTGTTGCCCTGGTAGTAGGCGTTAGTTGTCCTTTGCCTACCCAGTCATAAAACATTACTACTATCCCCGGAAGCTAACCACACAAGAGCAGGCAGGTGCAGGCATTGGCCGCGAATCGGCATTCTCGCTAGCAGAGGCCGGTGCCCGAGTTGTGGTATTTGCGGACATGAATGAAGAAACGGCCAAATCTTCCTCGATCGAAAGCAGGAAATTCGCTACTAGCTCGGAATATCAAACTGCTACATTCACCATGAATGTCAAAGACGCAAAAGGGGTTCAAGACATGGTGGACTTTGTCGTTCGAGAATTTGGCAGATTGGACTATTGCGTCAATGCTGCAGGAGTAAGTTAATCATTGTCCTCAGAGCTCTAGTATATTCACCAAATAGAATATTGACTTGACGTGTCTACCAGGTCGACAATGGTGTTCACCGTCCCCTTTCAGAGACTGAAATCGACAGCTTCGACAATATCATGAACACCAATGCCCGTGGTATGTTGCTGTGTACTCGTGCACAGGCGGCTGCTATGCAGAAACAAGATCCTCGATCCTTCACCAGTCGGAGTGGAACTCGTGATATTGGGCGTGGGGCCATAGTCAATGTTTGTTCTGCAAACAGTTTTGCAGGATTGCCTGGCAAGGGATCTTATACCATTTCAAAGCATGCTTGCATGGCGGTAACGAAGATGGCAGGTTAGTGTGTGTATTACAAAACAAGAAAATCAAATTCGTCAATGAGGCTAATGGTTGAACTCTAACTCAGGCATTGATCATACGGCAGAGGGTATTCGATGCAATGCAGTCTGTCCGACCTGGGTCCGAACACCATTGTTGGACGTAGAGCTGGAGAGGAACCCCGAGGTTCGCGCCACGATCTCTGCTGTTTCGCCCCTTAAGCGGGCTGCAGAGGGTGAAGAGGTTGCCGATACTATCGCTTATCTACTGAGTCCATCTGCTAGCTATATCAGTGGCTCGAGTGTCATGATAGACGCGGCGATAACCACGACGTTGCGTTTGTTCTAAGATCCCGGAAGACATGACCTGAATCCTAGTATAGCTGTCCACTGAGATATATGATCGTATTGAATTAATCAATAACCTTCAGAGAAGTGAGGAGGTAGATGATGTACACATTCTTTGCTCGTAGAATAAAGTGATAACAATCTGGAGGAAGCTGGATTCAACTTGAATGTCTTTGAGCTACAGCATGAACCAAATATAGAGTTGAAAGCGTTCATCTGGGAATCTAGGGGATGCCAGTCATGATTTGCCCCTACCTCAGTAGATAATTCATTGGCCCACTTATACCAGTAGCGTTCTCCATTCTCATTCAAACCCCACGAACAGGAAGGCTCCAAGGTTGACCTGCAATTATGAGCTGTACGAAAATAAAACCAACAAAACCAGATTATTTGCAGCTATTTCACTAGATTTATCTATGTGACCCGCCATACCTTAAAAATCACACCTAATTGGGTGCGGGGGGCCTTCGCTTTCAACAAAGAAGTTGGGGGCGAATATGAGGTGGGGGCGGAGAGCGGGTATGGAACATCTTGATTCTGAACGGAATGTATCTCTCCTAGTCCTTGCTGACGGCTACTAGGGCCCATGACTATCCAGTGCCATATCGAGAACTAAAATGCCATCCTATGATCCGTCCAAAAAAGCAGACGGCCGAAAAGGGAAGTCTAAAGGCCCTGCACATGACAAGCAATCAGACCAACCATCAGGCTCCTTTTTATGGGTGAATGATCAAAGAGACCAAGGGCTAGATGCTTTATCTGCGGGCAGCAAATTATCTTTTGTCAGATCTCGAAACAATCGACTACGGAGAGAAGCGCGATTGAATAATCTGAAGACGAGTGTGAAGCCTTTCCAGGGCGGACAGCCTCCTTTTGCCCAGGAGTTGACCACATCCAGCCAGCGGTGCCAGCTATGGCATTGTACCAATCCACAGCATCTACATGAGTCTTCTATTAGAATCAATCCCCAGGCAGGCTTGATTGAAGCTTTCCCTTTCGTGTCTCCCAACACGAACCAGAGTATAAGCTTTTACTACCACTATTGTGAGTAGCTTCATACTACCCAACATCAGTTTTGACTTTTCTCAACCCTATACATTAAATACTGACTAAAATTATATAGATCGGGTATATGCCTCAACTGGAAGTTTTCCCCTGAGCTCTGACGTTATGTCGGTCTACTTTTTCCAAGAAGCCATGAAGCAACCGGCTTTGATTGATGCCCTTTTATTTATGAGTGCAGCTAGTCGCACATCAACTTTAAAATTCGAAAATGCTTCGCCACTTCTACTTCAAAGGACCGTTCAGGACTCTATTCAGCTGCGCTCACGGGCAGTCAGATCGCTCCAAAGTTTCTTGATGAGCTCGTCGAAGGTGTTTTCCGAGCGGACAATCCTAGTCGTAGCGCATCTCTTAGGTGTCGAAGTAAGGAACATTCTTCCAACATAGTAGCTCTTGCTAACTTCTTCTCTTCATAGTGCGCTGAGGCTCATACCGAGGCTGTCAATGCTCATCTTAACGGACTGCAGAACTTGGTCAAGGGCTTAGGCGGCCTAGATAACATGAGTATCCGGACGCTGTCCACTCTATACACGTAAGGCCAGTGATGATTGTTTGTTTTGGGACCTTCTAATTGTGCTTTTATCTTAAGCTGTGACGTGATGAAAGGAATGATCCAAGACTCGCCTCCGATGTTCGAAATCTCCCCGAAATGGGAAAATTCGATACGAGAAAACTCGAGATGCATTGGCGTAAATGCCCGATATGCAGCAGTCTCATCCCTTGGAGAAGGATTTTTCAATTCCCCGTGGTCTGGGAATCTCCCAAAGGAGCTTCGAACAATACTTGAAATATTCCAACTTCTAATTCCTTGCCATGAGAAGATGGTACAGACTGATAGCCGACAAATGCCGGTAGAGAACGACTGTTTACTTTTCGCTGTGCACCAATTGTATTCGCTGAGATACAAAATGGAACTACCTTTTTTCCAAGACACCATCTGCGTTTCTGTGCTTGTCTATTCAATTGTTCGGATCTGGGGATTCCATGGGAAGCCTTGCTTGGAGTTTATTTCCCAGAATCTTCGACTTCTCATAGAGGTGTGCTATGAGGATATGGATCAAACCGCCCCGGATCTTCTTTTCTGGGCATTATTCTTGGGAGGACTGGTTTCTCGAGGGCTTGAAGTCCGTCATTGGTTCTTAGGCTGCTTGAAGGCATGTGCCGAGAAGGCAAGTATCATCGATTTTGACGGGGCTTCTTCTGTTTTGGAGCGCTTTTTCTTTGTGCCTCGGTCAACAAATGAGCCTGCTAGGGAACTTTGGGCAGCGGTAGTTGGTTTTTGACGCCTCGGTGCGAAATCTCATAGCATGATGCAGCTTGAGGCAAAAAGGCCCACGACTCCGAGAGTATAAGATTTATTCTTCTCTCTCCCTCTCCCTGCTATCTTTATTTTTGCTGAACCTTTTTATAACATCTAATTTTGTATCAAATATACCATTAACAATTCAAATTATTTATCTCTATATCACTATCTGATGCTGCAAGTCAAACGTATTAAATGGTCCAGTATAACTCATGACATGAAAGTTAGGCCATAGCAAGTGTTTGAGACAATCAATATCTGAAGCCCTCAAACGAATAATCTAGTCTTTGTAGGTGTCCTGGGCCTTCTCAAGGGACTTATCCAGCATATTCTTGTTGGAAGTGGCATCCTCGGCACAAGTGGGCACACTATCGATAATAAGGAAAGCGAGGGTATCAACACCACCTTCCAGTTGCTCAAGGACAGCAGCAATTGGCTTGGTGAAAGGGGTCAAGCTGAGAATACCATGCTTGCCGATCACAGTAGACAGAAGTTGCTGGTGAACCTGCACAAACTATTGGTAAAGTTTAGTGAATTGTGACTATAATAGAAAGGGGTTATCGGTAACTTACTCCACGGAAGGAAGTGCAGATAGCATTTTGGTCAGAATCACTGTAGCCGGGATCTTGGCGCTTCTTCTTAGATCCCAGGATCTCACTAGGGTCTTCCACGATGTCCTCGAGGTCATTAAGACATTGCTCGGGGTTGGTCAGGTTCAAGCATTCTTGACGGGCCTTGAGAGATCTCTTGTCGGATTTCTTCATAGCGGCAATATCTTTAGTGGCAGTCTCGATAATATCCTTGAAGTTGTTCACGACTTGCTGTAGAGTTATTAGTATGCATGACCTTAATTGCAAGCAATTGACTGACTGCATTGCTGTTATTAATATTAGACTTACAGGAGCAGTAGAGAAGAAATTGGTAACACCAATTTTCTCAGCAATATCGTTGGTCTGAGATGACAACTCGGTGATCTTGTCGATGTTGGTGGTCACTTCCTGCGCAGGCATGGCAGCGGTAGCAGCACCAGCCAAAACCACTGCGGAAACAACAGAAGTGAAACGCATCTTGCAAGGAGGAAGATAAAAGGTTGAAAAGAGGTGAAGTAAAAAGACTGTTAAAAAGTTGTTACTAGATCGTAGAAGCTTGATAAGAAGAATGAAATAACGGGGGAGCGGCGCGGCTTTTATACCTGCTTTCTTCGTGTTCGTACCTTTTTATTCTTCAATAAGTTGGAGTGGTGAGTTATTTTTTTCTCCTATCTTTCCGGGCTCTGAAGTCTAGAGGGTATGTGACGAACTCTCATCACATAAATCCACCCATACGTGCAGGATAGCCATCATCAACCTCATCCTCCCCACTCTGCAAGCTCTGCTACTTAGGGAAGTTTGCCATGGTGATTATGGTCTCTATTCTCGTTCAGTGGGTCGTTTTTCTCCAGTCAAGCTGGCTAGCTCCGCATAGTATGGTGATCTGCGAAGAACGTGGTCCCTTCACTCGAATTATCATGGATTGAGCTAGGCCCCATGGTTGGATCTCCAATCACCTGTTCGTTCCTGGGCGAACTACAGGGTAGGAGATACAGATCTACATCTGAGCTCATGCAGCATGGATTTGGATCAAGGAATGGGTAGCATTGAGAGCTCAATGCTCAGGTACGCCACAACAATTTTTTACTTGAAGACTACCCACCTCTGATGTCAAGGACGATAGTTAAGCCCACATTTGGGATATGACTGTTAGAAATTTCTACACTGTTCTGCAAGCCTAAGTTCGTACTATTGGATTGATAGACTGGAGCAATTACTCAACCCAAAAATCCAGAGTTAAGGTTGCTTGACAGCGCAACAGCTCACCGCTGGGGAAACCTTACCTCTTCTACTGTCGTAGCCCCGGGTCTTTGTTGATATGCTGTGGAGAACGTGTTTGAATTCCTATCAGGTTCGTGATGAGTATTATGCCAAGTGCATTAGTTGCTGTGCTAGGGTCTTCTAAGTGGACCCTATCGAGCTCATCCACTAGTGCTGCAGATCCACCGTCCATCAGGGTTCGCCACCAACCCCCCGCAAGGACCAGGCCTATGAAGCCCTGACCTTTGGAAAATACAAGTTTCAAATGGGGGCATTTTATAGTCTCTATGCATGTATTTGCAGAATTTCCATGGAGGATTTCAAGGAATCACGCGTTAGAAAGCTGTTTATTTTCCAATCGTACGCGTTCGAGATGTGGAACATATAGGTTCGCCATTTGAGTTTCAAGTAGAGTTTCCATCCGCTGTCAGCCCCTGAACCTGCAGTCAACTTGATATACGGAGTAAAATTTGGAGGCAAAAGCGCCAAAGCCCGTACATGGGCATATTCCTCTGAGTTGGCACTAGGTACGTAAATGTCCAGGTGGGAGATCAATTCAGCGGATCTTCCCGTTTCCGCTGTGTGTTCATTCAGCGCCCCCACAATCTATCGACAAAGTTTTTGGTGGATAGGGCAGAAAACAGGTTTTTTTATGGAACCTCTTTCAAAAACAATCAGACCTCGTGAGATCAAAACAAAATCATAGAGCTGGCCAGTCCCGTACGTCCAATTTAGAGGATCTGATCCCTCTAAGAACGGGGGCCAAAGAATCGTCGGGCTGAGAGAAGGCTAAAGGGAGATACGACATCTCAACACCGATCATACTTGATAAGCTTTTATTGGAGCTTACAATCTGTTTTCTCTACTACGGAGTACTAGTATTTTATTTTACCTGATATACACATCTTTGGTTGACGTGAGATTAAAGGAGAAAAGTAATGACAATGGCAAAAGAAACAACTTGCATGACCACATGGATGATAGGCTACACAGAAAACGAGAGCCCCGTATCTTCAATCTGTTGCATGCAGGATCTAATGACTAAATTTATTTTTCTTGGCTGTTCAATGCACCTGGGTTGTCGATAGGCAACTGGATGGCTTGGATTTAAAGTCGAGCGAAGATCCCAAGTTGCACACAGGATTCCTCCTGGTCGGCTATATCTTTCCCGGCACTTTTACATGCAGCTCCGTTAATGATGGGTGGATGCTATTTGTCATTCATCTACCATCTATGGATTATAATCCCTTAGTTTTTCCCTTCACAACATAACATAATCTACCTAAGAGGGGGTAGATCACGACTACGTAATATCTCTCAAGTTAAGATCCCTAATTACGGAGTAATGAACTTGAGAAAAGCCTTTTCAACCTTTTCGCGGGTCTGTAGATTAGAATTTTACATAATCTGCCCGCGGATTGTAGCAAATAAAATGTCTGTTTGAATTCCATTCTCCTTTCCCAGCTTTCTTCTCTAGTTCTCCAATATAACTGCTTCCTGTCCACCCCAGGCCAAGTCTCTAATCATGTGGCAAATTATACTTGCGAATATTTAAATGCATAAAACTTGAACATCCAAGTGAAAAACATCCCCTTTAGTCTTATATTGAAGTATTAGTAGTATATTTAAAATATCCTGTTGGGGACAGGATTGTCTGTCAACCTCTAGTTTCGTATTCAAAGAATCACATGTACTTTATGATGACACTTTAGCTTGCAGTATATCATAAACAGATATTACTGACGACATACATGTGCAACAAATGGAGAGAAGAAGAATGGAAGCCCATGCCAAAGGCTGAGGCCTCTTAGTATATACTAAGAGACCTGATCATCACATGATCAACTTGAATCAGGACTCCTATATAGGTGTCTCTGATAAATAGTACATAAGATTTCACAAACTTGGAACTCAGTGCCAGGGAGAGGCTTACTTCAACTTGAATTTCTTCACGTTCAATTTGGATCATGAGCCAAGCCCTGAAGGCTCCAACTTGAACTTAAAGGCTTATAACCCTTTTTTTCAAGTTATAGTATATCTTAAGGCCTGCCGCCTAGTATCAACCTTTAGAAACCAACCCGTGGACCTTTACCTGCAATATCTGAAGAGAACCGCCACAATCACGCAAGATCTAAACATCCAAGCTACAATTGGATGTGCTCCTACGGTCTCAGGCCTCAACTAATCATCAGCCGTTGCAAAGATTCCCTAGCAGGATCTTACTTCCGAAAGTGAAATGACCCTTCTTGAATTCAAGTAGCGTTACAACGAGGTGCTGACAATATTCACGGCACGTGAATCACACAGGCGCCGCTCAATACCCGGTTCGGGCTATATCGATAGACTTAATACTTACTCCAAAATCATTGTAAAGCCCAAAGGATAGTAGGAGGTATATAATTTCTACTTAGTACTATATTTTTCAAAAATATATAAACTAGAGAATAGGATACTGGAGCGCAATCTCCTAATAAGTACGACCCCTCGCCAGGCGGGTAGATAGGGTACACGAAAGTAGCCTACAAATACAACTCTTCGTCGTTTCGAGCGTCTTTCCGAGCGCCGCGCCTGAGATACTAATAATTAGTGCTCTTCACTACGTATTCAAGACGGCCTCTATTAAAAAATCATAGATAATAAGCATATTTTCCATCCCACTAGCAGACCCCAATTTTCCAGGAACTACATACCTATTGACAAGGCAATACTCAATCACTCTATTGCTCCCCCTCTCATCATGATAGAGGCTTGATATTTCACACCTGTGCTATATCTATCCTCTCTCTAATATTAGCCCTCCAGCGTCTTTCTATTGTTTCCTCACCTTTCTTTCTACTGTGTACATTTCTCTCGACCCGTGGACGTTACATCTTTCGATAACTGGCATCAATTGATCTCTATATATTATGAGCAACATTCCTATGGTCTTCTTCTGTCCTCCATGGAGTTCTCATTGCCATTGCTCTCTTCAACTTGAAGTTCATCTCCCTCTATTTCATACCCAACCCATCAATGTCTAGTGTTATTCAGCTCTAGTGTTATTCAGCTTACCTAGGTATGTGGTACCCTTCTTTCAAATTAGTGTTCTCAATCACAATTATCAGGGTTGCAAGTGAACTAACGTTTTTGACCATTCAGTGAACACTCTTTACCGCGAATATCCAGGTACTGATGGGATGGGAGGTCACTCATACACGGCGTTTAGGCCGGCGTGGTATTCTACCCTGCCTCTCGCTTAGCTTAGATAGTCAGAGGGATAGGAGGCTTAACCTCCCTCCACCACCACCACCACCACCATCCATAGTGTCGAATACAGTTGTTTTTCCCACGTCTCTTTGCCTTCACGCACTATCTAGTGCTGCCATCAGGTACTACCTGGGTGATCAAAGAGTTTCCCAGTTTACCGACCGGTAAGCTCACCACGGTAACAACACATGTACCGCCGACCAATCCACCAGTCTATCAGATCTGGAACCTCTCACATCTCAGCCATCTCTACTATCCAAGCCCTGCCTGCCAGTCAAGTCGAGCAAGCCATCTCTGTCTAAGAGGAGGTTATTAACAGAGATAAAGATGATGAAGATCCTGAGGCACGCCGCACATCACAACGATGATACGGATAAGGAAGATCACGAGGCCAGGAACAGCGGGGACAATGAAGACAACGGCAGATCCCTACAAGGTCGCGCAAGCGCGCTCCAAGCATAGGTAGTAGTTGTTCAAGGAAGGCCTTCTAGCCAGCAATCACATCCGTGGACTCCTGCCATCATTTTGGTGCAATTCAATGTCATGTATATCTTTAATCAAACTGTATGTAGCTAGCGTGACTCTGTTCGGAATTGATAAGCACGCTACCTTCGACTGTTATACTAGTGTGTTCTGCAGATTCTCAAATTATTGGAGCTTGAGAACTTGAATCTCATTGACAGTCTTATCCTCCGCCAACAGTCCGATGACACAGTGAGCTTGCACTGGTTTATCTTTCCCAACGGTACATGCAGTGAGATACTAACAAGAATAGAATTTGGTTCTCTTTATCGCTCGCATTTAATTTGTACTAGTTTTTTTTTTAAAAAAGGTTTATATATAAACCATGCAGAAGTCGTAAAGCCCGAAGCCGGCATTTCCCAAAGTCAAGAGTAACTTGAAGTATACTACTAGGGCCACCGGCTAGTAGTATGTCATTAAACATGTCTGCATACTACGAAGTTAAATACCAGCCAATAGGCATTTAGATAAGGCAACCTTAAACTTGAAGTTGTATAAAGGTATACGCATAAATGTAGTAAATAGGCCACTTTAGCCCGGGGCCCCCAATAACTCCACCATTATACACCTCCGACTCGGAGTCAACGAAGAAGGTAAATTTACCACAATTTAGCACCAACAAATAAGATCACTGGATACACACACACCTCAATAAACCCTTAATATCCAAGCAAATCAATAATATATCAATGACGGTATACCGAAGACATGCGGTGCATTAGCGCAACTCGGTGTCTGATAAATGGATACGAAGGATGAGTAGAACCCGACCCCGACGTCATCCTGCCTCTACCATCTGCAAAGTGCCAGTGCCACCAAATAAATTGCAGACGCCTCTTACCTACTGCCGTCGATCATGACACTACTTAGTGATGTACGTTTAAAGAAAAATAACATCATGCATATAATGCATATAGGATACAGGGTCATATAACTACAGTATTCCAAAGGATGATTTTGAATTTCACCCATAATTATATGATGTTCATCATTTACACGTAGACGTGCAATGCCCATGATTTCCAGGTGCTATGATAATAACTTGAATAAGAAAGGTATTTTAAATTGAGTAGTTGATGTTGACTACCTATTTGTGGTTCCCCGCATCGTCCATCTCTCAAGCGCAAACGCACGAAAACAAAAAGAGATAGAAAAAAAAAAGAGATAGAAAAAAAAAAGAAAGACCAAGCCAATAATGGGGTAATCGTAAGTCGTAAAAAATGCGAGTGGCACAAAACTTTAAAGTTAGAACGAGTACCCAGACTAGAGACGAAACTCCTTGGCATGCGGTGGGTGGTATTCTCAGGACAGGAAGCGGGGCATAAAAGAGAAAGAGGAAATACTGTATGCGAGATAAAAAGTGTAAAGACACGGTAAGTTTTGTTTCCGGATAGGGTAAAAAGAAAAAAAAACCCGAAAGTACCCGTAGCGTTGACTTGATCGGCAGTAGCCGCCTGTCATATCATATATCCTTATAGTAGCGGGAAGTATCATGACGGAAAGCGGGGCTGCAGGTGTCCGGAATGAGACAAACCTTGTCCAACGTCATGGGAACTGATAGTATAAGCTGGGTCTAGGTGGCGCTTGAGCCGCCGATATTCTCAGGTGATGGGTGGTGCGCCGTCATCGCCGAATATGTCGTCGTCAAAGAAAACGGCCGACTGGCGGCGCATTTCTTCCATAAGGCTACCCCTCCTCTGACCTGAGGTTGGGGTGTGTGGACGCGAGGAGGCTGTCGATTGGGACATGGTATCCTCGGTATAATAGCCTTTGTCATGGCGCTCAGGGAAATTATCATCCAATCTTTCGACCAGCGGGTCCTCATTCTCTGGAAATGGAAGTCGGCGGGACAGAATAGGAGACAAAGAACGTCCAGCACCAGAGGTTTGTTGGAGTCCCCTCATGATCGCATTCTCTATATTTAGACGGTTCTTAATAAATTGAATTTTCGGGAATGCGCTTTGCTGACCGACTTGAATCATGCGCGCAAGCCGTTCTGGTGTCGGGTCGGAGAGAATGTGGTAGAAATCCGAAGCGATGGACTTTGGCCAGATAGTAATTGTTCCACTGAACTTTTGAAGCCAGATCTCACTCCAGTCCTGGCCAAGAGGTCTCGGTAGAAGCTCGAGGTGTCGGAGAACCCGAAGCCATTTGTTCAGGTCTAGCTTGATATATTTCTCGATCGCGGTACCCAAGAAGCCACCACGCCAGCCACGACCTTTACGATGAGTGACTGGCCGGCCAACGGTTCCCCGTGAACTGAAAAAGAACAGGTTGACATGTGGATTAACCTATTCATCATGTTAGCATAATCAATATAAGGCTGATAGGTCAGCTAGCGCTAGCTCCATTCATACCTGAGAAACAATCGTAAAATTCACGTTGAAATGTAAATTAAGGGCCTTGATGGGAATATCAGTTCGCAAACTGCCATCCTTCCATTTATGCCCAAAGGAGTAAGGTGCAAGAGTCCCATCGCGCTTTTTGTACATAAGCACAACCGGGTTCAAAATACCGGGAACAGCTGCGGAGGCAAGCACAGCACTCCAAATGACGCAATCCGGGCAAGTAAGATAGTTGGCCAAGATGGTTGGCGAGTGAGGGTCAGACGGAACACATGACACATTCAATATGCGCCCCGTTCGTTCGTAGGCTTCTCGAAAGGTGGTCGAACCTCTACAGAACCAACCACATTGCTTGGCCCAGTCTAAGGTATCGAACCGAGCGCCTGTCGTCCACCAACGACGAATCCAAGTCGCGATCCCTTCATGGCAAGCTCGAATCCGATGTGCCAGAGCGGGTACCAACAGCTGCTTCAGCTCCGCATCCGTGCGAGTCGCCACAAGGCCCGCAACCAATGCCCCACCAGAGGTGCCCGTAATGATCTCGGGTAGAACATCATTATCTAACAGCGCCTTTACCACTCCAAAATGATAGTAAGCAAAGGTAGCGCCGCCAGAAAGACAAAGCGCTGTTCGGCCGAAATTGGTATCGAGGTGCTTGAAGTGTTTCTTCATAGTGTCGGTATCAATCGTATTGCTGTCCAAGCCCAAGACGAGTTTGATACAAGCGTGCACCTCATCAATATATTCCTGAACCAGCTGCTTGGTTCCTGAGTAAGTCTCACTATAAATCCGAGGATTTTCGACTCCGGCGAAATTATTCTTGACACAGGCCTCCAATAAGGACCGCAAATCCTCAACAGCAGGTGGCTCCCCATCGGTCACACTACCCTGAGACAGTTGGGACTCAGCTTTCAGCCTCTCTCTTTTCAGCTCTGACACAACCTTATTGATTGTCTCATGGTCATAGTAAGCGTAAGCGTCTTCCTCTTTCCACTTCTCATTCCCAAGATGGACATCCAACGCCTGCGCCGCCGTCAACCAGTCTAGATAATTCTTCTTCGATGACAAATCTCGGCGCAACCTCTCTCGTTTGCCTCGCCAAGTAACCCATTGTTCGTAAAGGAAGATGTACACGCGCACCAGCACATAGCCACAGCTTAGAAAAGCGATCCAAGCGAACACCGTAAACAGAAACGGCCACTTGAGCACGGTGTATAGAACGCCCTCCCTAGTTTCATCCTTGCTTCGTTTCGGGTTTTTGCGACGGCCTCGTGTTTTTCGGACTCGTTGGTTGATCGGTCGCCAGTCGTTGATAGCTACGAGCGGAGAAGCTTCGGGTGCATTCAACGCTCTTTCGAAACGGTCGAGCTCGTCGGGATCGATGAAATCATTATCGTAGTCTGGCAATGCGGCTGGATCATATGGATCACACAGTAATGCCTTCTCCTCCGGCATCTTCAACGCATGATGATAGTAGAGGGGTTAAGTCCAGGTACCAACCAAATCCGGTTGGGGCAGCTTCCAAACGTGTCGACGTCAGTGTCACATGACATATCAAAGGAGGTGATACACGCCACAAGCAGTGTGGGTTCTGTGGCTGGTTACTCGAAAACGGCTGACTATATGTGGCTAGTGAGGTGCCCCGCAGCAAAGATAAGGATAAGGACAAGGGACCCATGGTTTAGAGAAGATCAACCAGATCAACATTGCAATTGTTTTAGCGGGGTTTTATCAGTACTATTGAAGTCAATTCTATTCTCCTCCCTTTTTTCTATCTTCTTAGTATTTTTTTTACCCCTCGTTCGCGCGGGGCAACAATTCAAAGCGCTAATCTTCCTATCTTCCTAATAATCCCCGAGAAAAATTCTATCGTATCATGCGACGCTAAGTTAGATTCGGCACACCGGTGCGTGTAACCAACAGCAAGTCTATCTCACACGCATCATGTTCCGATTTCCTCCATACTATACATTTCCCATGAACAATGCTCTCAAAAAAAGAGGCTATATAGAACCCTACCAAGGAATTGAAAACTTTAAAGTCTCCGAAAAGCACGGCAGAGCTTCACCGCTACCTGCGAGCCGTTCAGATCTCACACATATCCGGTTCCGGATGGTGATAGGTTGAAGGATTTGGATTTTAGTTCAATCGGAGACGAGATGGAGGTCCAGGAAAGCACCCTATGGGCTAATTGGAGCCCCTCTTTAACCGCCTGCTGGCACGGCCGCGGCACAAGAAACACTACCGAGTCTCACGACATAGAGTCAACCTATACTTAGCACTTTCCAGCGTCAAACTAATCCCAATCCAATAAGGACCCCAAAGATCACATGACTGTCATAGCAAATGATGTGCAGAAGGGGGTGAAGTAAGAGGGGTTAATAAGTCTCTTCTAATACAAATTAGCCTCTGAAAATTCCAATCACTGCCACCCCTTGTTGTTGATCAATGCCGATCGTCCTCGAATGATATTCGTGATTGAAGCCAAAGCGAAAACGAGAGGGAAAAAAAAGCAAAGACTCCAAAAAAGTAAACATGATCATTATGCAGCGCTTTCTCTTTCCATCTCAGCTTTGGTTTATAAGACTGTTGACAAGTGTAGCCGACCATCCAGCCTCTACCCTGTAGAATTAATGGTCGCGACAGCCTTCAGGGCTGAACAACGGTCATGGGGAGGTTACGCGTCGCATTCAAGAATAATGTATATGGCGCGCGGTAACCGCGACCATTTTTCAAGGCTACCAGAACCGGAAATTAGTTTATTTAGTTAATGAAAGCCAAAAACGCAGCGAAGCGAGTGTTACCTTCCATTCCACTGGCAAATAACTCCAGCACGGATCTAAGGATGTATAGGTTAGCGCCAATATGGGGAGTCCGTAATACACCCGAAGTCCGAAAAAAGCGACAAGGGTGTGTATATATCGTCACCAGCAAGCAATAGGAGAAGAGAACAGCAACCCCACTTCTACTTAACTGGAGGAACAAAGGCAAAAAAAGGCAAAAAAAGAGAACCAGCATGCCCCCAACCTTAGCCGCATCCACATTTGGCCCTTTGCAGATCACTATACCAAGAAAGGACGTAGTTGTGGCGTGAGTACTCCCCGATGTCAAAAGCAAAGATGCAGGTTCAGCGAGCCACTGGGCTTGGCACTCTGCAAATGACTCTGTATCTTAACCAATTAGAATCCCGCCCACGATGAGTTAAGTTATCGTCTCCTCGTGCAGGATCGTCCAGGGTGTGGAGAAGTCCGGTACACGCCCGAAAAACGTCAAATTATCTACAGTGCTTTCTGCTCTGCTGCGTACGTATGTACTTTCAAGGGGGCGGGGCAATTATCAACTTTCGATGTGGATGGCCCCCAATCCCACTATCATTTGGTGGATTGAATTGACCCCTCCCCCCTTGATCTTCATTACCAAGTTTTGTCCATGTGTTTTACATTCCTCATCTGAGAGGGGGAGATAACCAAAATACGGGTGTACAAGATACATAGGGGCATAATCATAATGAAAGAAAGAAAATTTAGAGAAAGAGGACACAGTTGAGGAGGGACGGGAAATAAGCCGTAAGGATCTGTGTTATTCTCCCCATATGCAAGGATGGCTGCATATGAGCTCCTTGCAACTGCATAAAAGTAGGCTAGGATCCGATGCTGACCCGAGCGTTTTCAACATCCGGGGTCAGTCAGGTTCAGGAATGTTAATGTCTGTACGCCATGATCGGTTCTTAATACCCCATACATAACGCGCATCATCTACCCCGTACATGACATGGATTATGTAGATACTACCTAGTAGATGATCATGATAAAACATGTCAAACATGTTTCGCTTCAAGCACGCGCTTCAAGTTCAAGTTTCATTACCAGGAATAGTCATCAACCTTGACGCATGTACATAAAATGATTTTCATGCAGTTCTGAAACGCTCGGAATACTCTCTCGAGCGACCCGAGGCGACACGATCTATCCATTCCGACTCCAACGCAGACACCCGTTTACTACGCGACTTAGATTTAGATTTAGATTAATTTCACCCGAGATGAAGGGGTCACATCGAACCATGGCTCGAGTCCGCCTCACAAGTTAAGGCTAAGAATGTCAGTAGCGGTGTGATCCCATTGTCTGATGCCAGTGGTGGGGAAGTATGAAGCATGAAAAGGATTGGACGGAGAAAGAATGCTTCACATCCCACCATCATGATCATGATCACCACTTTGACATATCTGAGATTTTCTTTGATGTCATGCCCGTGTTGATTATTGATTATCTGCTGGAGACGCTCCTAAAATCGGGGCTGTCTCCACTCCGACCCAGTGGGAATGTCAGATGTCAGTGCGAGCTGACTCGGATCATCCCAGATAGCGTAGTGCATGGCCCGCTTTAACTCGTCATTGGCCCAAGCGATGGTTCATGGAGTCGCCATCCACCACCAAACGGCCCGCGCTCGTCTTCATTCTCCGTCTTGCGCGACTAGGCATTAACACAAAATACAAAACAAGAGTCAGAATTAGTAAATCGAATCAGATGTAGATATGAGGTTTCGTCTCTGACCAATCGTTGAACAGATCTGAGGCGTCAGAGGCTTGATCTGCTGCACGAGAGAAAAGTGTACACTGCAGATGACCAACCGTAGGATCCGCTATCGGTGCAGGTCGCAGGTCGCAGGTTACAGGTTGCAGGTAAGGACTAGGAACACGCCGAACTAAGCAAAAAAAAAAAAAAAAGCGGCGTACACTAGCTCAGCTCAGCACTTATTCCCTAGCACCAGTGCCAGTCCCAGTAGAATAGAAATCACAGTATGAATCACAGATTAAATTCCGTATCCTGCCTAAATAACACAAATAATAATACCAAAATCTTGATAAAAAGCGGGCCAGTCAGAGCACGGGGCAATTTGAGTCAAACATTGCGCTCTCTGCCTCTCGGCATTCCCACCCGGGCTGCATGGGGCGGCTGGGTTTGGTGGCTGCCTCTCCCAGATCGAGGGACGAATAACGATACAAAGAGAAAAAAAGTTGCATTATCAAGTGGCCAATTTCATGTATCCCCAGAACATAGAACATACTGTATGGAAGAGTCTCTTTCATGACGAAAAGCCGATAAAGAAAAAAACAGAAAAAGGATTCTTTCTACTCGCTCACCCTATTCTTTACCTTTTTTTTCTTCTTGTCGATCGGGGCCAAGGAGGAGGGGAAAGGTCTCTGGACCCACAACGGGCGTGATGGGACCTTGGGTGATCGCCTCAGAATGCTGATAGTACCCATCTTGGTACAACCGATGAGTTTGGTTGGGTGAAGCCAATGCAGGATATGCGCCCATGGCCATGGCAAATGGAGCATTCCCAGTGTCTGACTAGGTTGGAGGAAGTTGCCTATTGGGATGAATATTCGGACGATCCAACCGAAGGGTTTGATAGACGCGAAAAAAGTGAACTAAATGGACACTAAGGACGGAGTAGAATCCCAGACTGACCCTCCCGGATTCCACTTTGTACATTATACTGTGCATGAGTAGATTGCCACTGAGAAAGGACTAGTATTAGTGGTCACCTAGTTGCTGCAGGAGATTATTAGCAAACTTATATTGTATTAGCGTTGGCTTTTTCTAGACGGAGGAATATGATATGACCAGTGGATTTGTATGGTCCTTTCTCGTATTCTGATACCTGAACCCCTGAGGATGTTCTTCTCTTCCTATCCCATATTACATAGTATGTTGAGACATTGTCGTGATGGACGTGAGGGGAGGTTAAAAGATGCACCAGATAGGAAATACCAGTAGTGATCAGACCATGGTTCAAGAGAGTTAATGTTGATTATATTAGGGTTTGATGGATTCTTTTCTGTTTCGTATATGGAGTAAATTTATTATCGTTGATTTTTATTATTTGATTTTATTTAATGATTTTTAATTATTTGATTTAATTATTTTCCCATTCTAGCAAAGATAGTGTACTGCCCCCCCGTAACTCCTTATCGATCATCAGACTCTGTATTCGGCCAGTATTTAGCGGTTACCCTGTGCCACCTTGCGATTCCTTCTCCCATTTTCTCCTTTTACACCATCTCTGCTCTTCTCTTGCCCACTCGAAGAGCTTCAATTTGATCTATCGAGTCAATACATTCCTTTCGCACGAGGTGAATATCCTCCCTCCCCCCTGAACCCTCCCGCCTTACTCTCCCTCTCGCTCCCGTTGACTGACTCCTCGCATCACCTAGGCGACACTCCTTCGATCTCATATCTTGGTCGCACCACCACAATGTCGACCGTTCCTGGCAACTTCTGTTAATCGACCCATCTTCATTGTTCTCCAGGCTGGATCGTCGTTTTATTTGGCCTGGTTCCCCCTTTTCTCACCATGGAGAAGCTGAACACTGAAGATGGACAACTCTTCATAAAAGTGAGTTTTTTTTTTTTTTTTTTTTTTTTGATCCCCCCCCCAAATTCCACCCTCCCCTCCCCTGACCCACTTCCGTACCACCTCAACAAGTCTCGCGTGGTTACTGAGACATCATTTCATTATAGAATCTCGCCAGCTTCGTACGCACCCACGAGAAAGCTCTCGCAAACGCTCTACAGCTTCGACGCCAATCCAATGCCGGGACCCCACAGTCAACCACGGGCGCAGCCCCGAGCTCGGGAGGTGCCTTCTCTTCGACTTCGTTGGCCTCGGCCCTATCCTTCGGCGCCTTAAAATTCGCTTCACAGAACATCAAGCCTGCGAAGTTGACCCTCACCCCTCATCACCTCTTCTACCTCCTATCCCAATTCGAAGATCTCTCTATTGCCGTGGGGCCCATGAATGTCCGACTGGAAAATATCCACACAGAGATTTCTCAATCCTATGTATCTTTCTTGAACAAACCCCAACGATCCAAGGGTGGCGATGGAGCCTCCATTCATTCCGTATCAAGCGTTCGTAGCGTTATGTCGGGTATGAGTGGGCTCTGGTCCTCGTTCGGCCTTGGATCCAAGGACTCGGCATCCAAGTCGGAAAGGGCTAAACTCGCCTTGGAGGCTGATTTAAAATACCTTTATTCTGCTTTTACCAAAATTCCCTGCCTGCGTCTGGCCCCGGATCATCGAGCCTGTCTGATCCGTGGATATGAAGAATTCCCTTTCGATACGGCTGTGCCGCTTCATTCCTTCAAAAACTTGAGTGCTTTAGAGATCATTGATATAGACTACCGTTCTTTCTATGGCTGGGATCGTTTATCAGAGCAGCTCCGCACCTTGTCTATCAAGCGAGCTCATCTGGATGATCCAGCTGACCTATTAACAAGAATTGTTCTGGATGACATGGACAAGCGCCGACGACGTTCTGCGAAATCACAACAATCTCCACCTCTTGGGTGGAACCATAGTTCCAGTACTCAGCCTGCCCACGCCCCTGAGCATACGTCCCTCTCTGCGCCCGGTTCTCCTGTCGCTAACACGGCACTTGCCAGCAGCACCAGCCCTAAATCCACCCCCATGATTCGAGCTGGGTCTGAAGGCGCAAAGATCCGTCGCGCAAGAGCCGAAAGCATTTCGCCGCCCCGTCCTCCTACAAAGCATGGCCATCGCCGTGGACAATCTGCTCGAATTCGACGTACCGGCTCGGGAAGTTCGAACTCAAGTGATACATCGGGTGGATATCGGACTGGAAGCTCGTCGACTCTGTTACCGGGAGTGTTACCACCGAACAAATGGCGATTTTTGCGTCATCTTGGTCTTCCTGAGAACTCGTTGACTTCTGTTTCCGCAGCTAGCCTCGCTCCTGTGGCTAACACCCTCAACTCATTGGATTTGTCTTCGAATCTCTTGACCGAGATCCCGGATAGCTTATCGTCTCTGATGGCTCTCCGTTCCTTGAACCTGTCGCACTGCATGATCGAATCGATGCATTCCCTGTCCCGCAATCCGCTACCAGCGATCACAGCTTTGAACCTCCGTGGCAATCGACTTCAATCCTTAGCTGGAATTGAACGGCTATTGTCCTTGGAAAGATTGGATCTACGCGACAACAACATCATGGATCCGACCGAGATGGCCCGGCTCACCAGTCTCCCTGAAATACGGGAGATCTGGGTATCTGGCAATCCATTCGTCAAGACCCATTCCAACTACCGCGTTACAATCATGAACCTCTTCCGTCGCACTCCTGGCTATTCCGAAGACATCATAATTGATGGACGGGGACCAGGCTACACTGAGCGTAAGCAACTAGTGGACCGCGTCGCAGAGCCCGAAGCTGCCCCAGTCGTCCGCTCCAGTGCCGCAGACCTGTCGGTAGTTGTTCACAAGCCCATTGCCGCAATTCTTCAAAGCAAACCTCTGCCTAAGACTCCTGACGAAGAAGAGCCTGCCGCAACCCAAGCCGACACAGAGGGCACCAACCGTCGCAAAAAGACGCAACGTCGTCGAATAATGGACCTTTCGACAGACAATCCATTCACCACAGATGGCCTTGGTGACCCAGGTCCCACGGTGACTCCAACACCTCCAACGCAGCAAATCCATGCTCCGACTCACACATCCATTGTGCTCCCGCATGACCAGTGGAAGCAAGGCAGTGCAACACACTCCGGATCATCCAGTATCCAGACCCCTATGACCCTCCGACATGCCCCTTCCGCCAGTCCGCCTCTGCTGCAACCAACCGTCGCGCAGACCACCTCCATCAAGGATTGGGTGCTGGATCAAGAACTTTGCCGCCAGCAACTGGAAGCTCTTCGCGGTGATGTGGGCCATAACTGGCTTACTACCGTCTTAGGAGAAAATCCCTGGGACACACCTCAGACAGGGCTTGGCGGACATTTATCTGGACCTGGCATGGATCACTCTCCACTTCCCACTCCAACCATGCAAACAAGTAGCCATGCCATTCTGAGTGCAGGCCACACAATGGGTGGATAAATGTTTGTTTCCAATTGACGAAAGTCTTGGGTGCCTGCATTATTATTTCTTCTCCCTCTACAAAAAACCGATACCCCATCTACAACTTCAAATCCCCAACAACAAGAACAAGAACCTCTTCTCTCCCGAATTGATATTTCCTCGTCAGCCAGCTATCTCAGCTGTGCTCTCTCTGCATTATTTAAGGCGTTTGGATGACTTATGAGACATGGTGGGCTGGATGTATGAACAATTTACGGCCGTTTCTGCTTTATTGGTTTGTTCTCGTTTCGATGTTTTCTGTTTCTTCGCGCCATTTTTCCCATCAAAACCGATCTTGCAGCATTTTCCTGTCTCGTCTTTTTGGGAGGCCATCATGAAAGATCGATTATAAAGCGCGTGTAATTTATGCTTTCGTGATCTGCTTTGCCTTTCTTGATTTTGAATTTCTCGGTTCTCGATTCTTGTCATTTTTTTCTTCTTCTCTTTTCTGCACGGCGCTCTGCATGTTGGCGTTGGAGGTATTCGATTTGATGATGTTTATTTCTTCCTATTCTTATTCCCCTCTTGTTTCGAGTCTTGTTCTGCGCTTCTGATGAACATGTTTTTCTGTGGCCTCATAATAGCTTGAGGGAAGGATGTGTATAGCATGACGCTATGAACCGGTTCAAGATATTTACATGATACAATCTTCAGTCCGTTTTCAGAGTAGCTTTGGCGTTCGTAGTTCAGCCTACTACGTAGTTGGTAGCGTGAGCCAACGGCCCTAGTGTGTTGTCGTCAGGGTCCAGGCAGAGAGATATCCAATGGGAAGCAAGGGCCGTTAGCTTCATGGCGGGATAATGCAGAGACGATGACATTCTGTGATTTTGGGGGCGCTTGAATGACTTAGATGGGGAGTATGGGCTAGTATCTAAGCATGATAAGTAGATTGAGTCTAATCAGACTAATGGTGGGTGATTTGCCTATGAGCGATGGGGCCGAGTCCTCAGACTATTTTTGTGTATGGGTCTCGACCGGCGGCAACGCAACCCCTCCACGGCGAGACCGGAAGAAGTGGCAATGGGGAGATTTGGTGGTGTCTGTGAAAGAAAGCAGGGGACAGAAATGAAATAAATTAAAGAAAAATAAATTAGAAGGCATCATATTATAAGAAGATAATAATAATGAAATAACATCAACATAGTGACCAGTACAAGTGTTGAGGGTGATCCCATCTATAACGGGGAAGCCAAACAGCTGCAAACACAACTGGGAAACTTCCCGCTTGTTTCTTCTCCCTGTGCAAGATTCTCCCTCTCTCCATCCCAGACTCTACTCCCTTCATCGCCCTTCAACTTCTACCAGTTTCGCATCGTGATTCTTGTCGAGATCAGAAAAGAAGAAGAAAAAAAATCTTTCCTCGCCAAAGACCATCTACCTCCCTTTTCCCAGTCCTGTCGGAAAACTTCGATCGCCTAATCTCGGATCTTCCCCCTCCCTTCCATCCCGCTCGAATCCAACCTCGACGTGAGATTCTGATTCTCCCGACGTGCTTGTCTCTTATCCTCAAGCGACCCCAAAGATAATACTTAATCATTTGGCTTTGTTCGGAAGTTCAAGAAGTCCCCCAAACAGGAGAGCTTGCCCATTCGTCATCCTCTGGCATCCCTGCCAGACACATTCAACCTTTCGCGGCCGTAGGGCCCTTTTGTCCTTGAGTCTTTGGTCTCATTGAGTTTAACCTGGTATGTTTACTTCTTCTCTATCTGTTCATCATCATTCTCACTGGAGCGTGGTGGATGGGGCAAAAAAAAAAAAAAAACCTGCCCTGAAAAAAATAAATTCCAAGAAAATTTTTGTCATCGGAAACGCGCCTATCTCATTTGGCACTGATTCGAGATTCGAGAACCGAACTGCCCTCTCTAGTCACTGTTGAACCTATCACTAATATCTGAGGGTTTTGCAGAGCATATTCGCCGCGTCATCAATACTTCACTTACTCCGGAAGCAATCCCTTCCCCCCGCGCGTGCTTTTCTTTTCTTTTCTTTTCCTTGTCTGGTTTTCTTCCAGTCGTTTCTTTATTTTTCTTCTTTCCTTTAATTTAAAGGCCGCACAACATGGCCGAACAGGAAGTGGATTTGGATTCCATCATTGACCGTCTGCTGGAGGTGAGGGGCAGCCGGCCGGGCAAGCAAGTCCAACTGCTGGAATCGGAGATCCGATTCCTTTGCACTAAGGCTCGCGAAATCTTCATCTCCCAGCCCATTCTGCTAGAATTGGAAGCCCCCATCAAGGTGCGTTATTGTTCCCCCCAGCATTCCATCTTCGGGTGGTCCGTGTTAGACATCTGACGCGTTAGGCTTTTGTTTAGATTTGCGGTGATATCCACGGCCAATACTACGATCTTTTGCGTCTGTTCGAATACGGCGGCTTCCCTCCGGAGGCTAACTACCTATTCCTTGGTGATTACGTCGACCGTGGCAAGCAGTCTCTTGAGACTATCTGCCTTCTCTTGGCCTACAAGATCAAGTACCCCGAGAACTTCTTCATTCTGCGTGGAAACCACGAGTGCGCCTCTATTAACCGTATCTATGGTTTCTACGATGAGTGCAAGCGCCGATACAACATCAAGCTTTGGAAGACTTTCACCGACTGTTTCAACTGTCTCCCCATTGCTGCCATCATTGATGAGAAGATTTTCACTATGCACGGTGGTCTGAGCCCCGACCTGAACTCCATGGAGCAGATCCGCCGCGTTATGCGTCCTACTGATGTAAGTTCTATTTCTTATCTCACTTTGTTTAGATTTCCTCTACGTCTCTGGAAAATGTCGTCATGTTGGCATTGAAAGAAACCGGGCAAAAGAGACTGTGATATGAAAGTTCTCTGGCGAGAGCGGAATTTGCTGACTAGACCAGATCCCCGATTGCGGTCTTCTTTGCGACCTTCTGTGGTCCGATCCCGACAAGGATATCACCGGCTGGAGCGAAAACGATCGTGGTGTCTCATTCACATTCGGACCCGATGTAGTGTCGCGGTTCCTTCAGAAACACGACATGGACTTGATATGTCGCGCGCATCAAGTTGTGGAAGACGGGTATGAATTCTTCTCGAAGCGTCAACTGGTCACGCTATTCAGCGCACCCAACTACTGTGGTGAATTCGATAATGCGGGTGCCATGATGAGCGTAGACGAGAGTCTGCTCTGCTCCTTCCAGGTGAGTTATTCCTTGAACTTGAAACCAAACTTTCAATCCTCTTCTTCTCCTCGACATCATCTAACCTGTAATCCCTCCATGCAGATCTTGAAACCAGCCGAAAAGAAACAAAAGTACGTTTACGGGAGCATGAGCTCCGGCGGGTCTACCACTCCTCCGCGAAAGCAAAAGAAGAAATAAACCAAATAAAGAATTCGATACGAGCTTCCCCATGTGCAGCAGGTTCGGGCGGAGATAAGCCTTTTTTTACATCAAATCGCATTGACAACAAACCCCTCCCGCCATGACATCCCCTCGAACCCAATCCTACCTACCCTCTACGACTTCCGCCGCAGACCCACGAATCGATGAATGACCGAGGAAGCCTCATCCACACCGGGGTAGCCAGCCAACCGATATAGACAACACACTTACCTCAACCTTGACGGCCTCCGAGATAATCCAATCCTGACGATCCCTCCACCTCATACTTTCGACTCGACTCGATTCGACTTGACTTCCATTCAGGCTTCCTTCCCCGTGCGACATGCGAAATCCTCGATCACAATCTATTCTGGCCGACGCGCACCTTGTATTTCCGGAGCGGATTCCATTATCTGTTTCTTTTTTTCTCACTTTTTCTTTTCTTTTCCTTTTCACTTTTTCCTTGTCATTCCCCTGCTTTGTTTCTTACCATCTGGACGGAATGTTTATTCTCGGCATCCTGGAAGGGGGTTGGGAACCAGGTCTATCTTATCTTTATCTGTTTCTGTTTATCGGTTGTGTCTTGAATTGAATTGATCACCATATGTTCTCCATTTAGTGAATTGTATGGATATGAACTGTAGATTTATTCTGTTTTAACTCTGATATACAATTGTATCGAGTTGAACTATAGTAGCCGATTATGGCTACTATTTGGCATCCTAAGACAACTTGGGAATCTTGAAGGTAGAGGTCAACACCCTCGATATGGCCAGAGGAATGAATAGGAACCATTTGCATTGTCACGATATGCAGCAGCCTTCAGCAGCCCAGGCAAGTACTAGATACATAACTAGTATGTATACACTACAGAATCGAAGTATAATATAAGATAAGATAGTATAACATCCACTACCTGGGCATGAACTAGCAAATCAAGTCAAATCAAATCACCAACTACGCCGTGCTAGGCAAAACAACATACAATCCAAGAAAAAAGTAGAAAATAGAAAGCTAAAGCCAAAACATGCATTGATTGGGGTGGGGTACAAGCTGAACCGAAGCAGAGGCAGGGACACATAAGGCGTCAGTGTATTGGGGTTATTTCATAGCAGACACCAACAGTAAGTATGTAGGTAGTAGCTATCTAGTGATAGTAGGGGTAGGTAGAGTAGATAGATTATGTAGTTGGACAAAGGGGGTATGTGAGCGGACCTAGCATCCATCATCCCATCCATCTATTCAATCCAGTCCAGTTCATCCAGTCTAATCGAGAGAAGAGGAGAAAGGAAGAGAAAGATGCTAGGCGCAAAAAGAGATTGTTCGATAGAATCGGAATCGGAATCGAATCAAGGACAGAAATATAAGAGATATCCGGCTTTTAAACGTACTGGGATAGCCAGCGGATACCCTCACCGTAACCTAGAATTTATTAGCACAAACCAATATTCAGCTAGAAAGTTTGAACATACCCTGTCTCATAACAACACTGCACATAAACAGCTCAATAGGACGGATTCCCTCAAGAGGAACCTTACCCTTACCAGTAGTCTGGTAAAGACCAAGCTGATGACGAAGCTCTTCCTCGCTCACAGCATCGGGATGATCGATCTTGTTTCCAAGAACAAGGAAGGGGACCTTAGCGAGATCCTCCATGGCCAGAAGAGCATCAAGCTCAGCCTTTGACTCGGGGAAACGCTCATAGTCCTTAGCGTCGACAAGGAAGACAATACCGCTAACCTCGGGGAAGTAGTCTTTCCACAGACGGCGAGCTGGAAACAAACAAATAACAAGAATGATATTAGCGCTGTTCAGTAGATGTGGGTTATGTTGTTGTGTTTTTACTCACCTTGCTGGTGACCGCCCAGATCGAAGGTAGTGAAACGGTTGTTTCCAATAGCCAGTTCTTCGGAGGTAGGGTGGGCAGTTGGTGAGAGGACGGCGACACGGTCGTTCTAGGAAAATCATGTTAGTTATCATGCTTGCGATCATGCCATGCCTTTCGTATGATGTCGGAGATGTGATCTGATCTGATTTTGCGGAGAAAACAAAAACAAAAACAAAAACAAAAATAAAAATAAAATAAAATAAAATAAAATCCCAATACACCAATCATCGTGATTGATCTCGAATGAAATGAAATGGATGAATATGGACCTCCAAACATAATCCATCGTAACAGATATCCGATCCATCCCATCCGCATCACACGACAAGATAACTAACTCACCTTCAACATGTGGAGAAGGGTAGTCTTTCCGGCATTATCCAGACCAAGGAAAAGAAGCTTAGCATGCTTGTTCAGCAGACCAAGCGAGGCCAAGACATCGTAGACTAAAACAGAAGATGATCAGTAAACGTCGATGATCAGCTCGGCGAACCGAAACCATAACCAAAACCATCCATCACAGGCCGCACAAGAACCGCGGCATTTCGAATCCAGCGAAGGGTCCATAATTCGTTCTGCGATATTTCCAGGCGTTCTTTTCTTGTCCGTGTATCTTGTGTTTTCTCTCCTTCTCAAGTTATAGTCAAAACGAACTTAGGCGTAGAACGAATTATAGCTCCTTTGCTGGCTGGATGCGGATGCGATTGCGGACTGCGGATGTGGTGTGGTTGGGCCTCGGCGAGGGTCGAGTTGAGGAGGCACTTACACCAGTTGACGATCCACATGGCGAGACTGGAGGGGAGGTGCAGATACGATAATGAATCGAAGGATGCAGGGTGAAGGTAGCGTGTGGAGATAGCGAGGTGGATGGAGGGGAAAGAAAGGTAGAAGACAGGTTGATGTTGTTTTCGGGATTGAGCAAACCTTGGTGCCTGAGGCGGTAAGGTGTCTATGCGTGGCGGACTGACGGAATCGAATTATCGAGTTAGAGATTGAGCAATGTCATTATGGATGATAAGCGGCACGACTGGAATGTCTTATCTTAAGTATTAATTATTGTCTTGTTTAGTAGCCAGGAGGTGATTTGTTATTTGTTATTTGTTATTTATTTCATTGGTTTATATCTACTAAGTCAATCGACTTGTTCCCGCCTGCTTTATTCACGAATGCAAGAAACTCAGATAAGGGGTATTGTGCACCGCAACCATGCAAACTCGAAAAGGAAAGCAACCTCCCTGGAGGAAAACATATGATCGGTTGGAAGAAAAGAAAGATGGGAAAAAGAAAGAAAGCAAGGACTGATCCTCCCCAGGACGATTAGAACATGGTGACGTTTAAAAAGAAGAAAGAGGAAAGTAGAAAAAATGGTTAAAAAGGAAGCCCAATCAAGTGGATGACATGAAGTTGGTGGTTAAAAGATATGTAAGAGCGAATGACACTCGGATGACGGACCGAGCAGCTTCAAAGAAAAGTGTGTAATGTATGTACAGTTCGAAAAAGGGGGTATGGGGAGAAAAAAAAATAAGCATTCATGTCCTTGAATGTATGGGGTAGCCTAAACGGATAGGACGAGCTGGGTATCTTGAGCGACACCATAAGCTCTGCACCTCTCAGCAACTTCGAGGCCAAGCTCCTTCATCCTTTCGGCTCCCTTGCCGGGAATCGGCCGCCGCACTGCCTGTTCCTTAGCAGCTTTACGGCAATGTTGGCGCCAGAATTTTTCTTTTCGTTTCTGGCGCTTCTTTTCAAGACCCTCGACGATGTCGATAGGGCCACGGGTGTGCATTTCACGAACGTGAGTGTGAGTTTGCTCAGGGGACTCGGAGGTGATAGTTCCAAGCCACTGGTGGTTGTGTCTTTTGGCAAAGAACGGGTTGGGTGTACGAGGTAAAGACTTGGTACGAAGTAAAGGTTGACGATGTTGAACTAGATGGCTGATGTTGACACCACGGGGAGATGCCACGACTGGCATATCGGTCCATTTCTCAGGGGTGGGAGACTTGGTCCGGATGCGGGGAGGTGGTGACTTCAAGCGCTTGGGGGAAGCACGACCAGCTTTACGAGGTGGTGGTGATACCATGCGCTTGGGTGAGTGTCGTGGTGATTTTTGAGCCTCGTCGGGTGTTCTGCCGCGAGTTGGCTCGAGAACAAAGTCATCCACATCCTCCTGAGATAGATCTTCGAGGTCTTCTTCGGCCTCAGGGTCGCTGGTTGGGAAGCTGGGATCGATGTCCTGGGGAATAGGAACGTGCTTAGACATACGACGTTGCTCGATACAAGACTTGTAGGCAGCCTCGAGAGGACGGTCCTCATCCAAAGTGCCACAGACGAAATCAGTGCTATCGGGCAGATTAGGAGTACCCGGTCGCATCTTGATAGGTCTGGGAGCTGATCGACGAGTGCTCATCTTCTGCACGGGCGCTGGCAGCCACTTTTGGTGATCATCAGTCATGGAGTCGAAGGATGTGTTCGAGGCACGGCGTTCTATCGTAGGAGGGAAGATATCAATAGCTGGAACAATTGTCTCTGAAGCAGCAGCTGATGGGGCCCAGAATTCGTAGTCCGAACCATCATCATCGCTATCGTCAGAGTCAGCGAAGCCAGCCTCGTTATCAGATTCGTTTCCATCGTCAGAAGAAAAGTCGTGAATGGTTGAATCATCAAGATCTTCAATGTCGTCATCCTCCTCATCTTCGGCTTCGTCCTCAGCTTCTTGACCAAGTCGGCGAATTTCGTTTTCTTTCTTCATACAGTCGTTCAAGGTAATCTTTTCGGTGAATTCGCCGGTCTTCTTAACCCATTCGTCATCCTCCTCAACAGAACTAGCAAACTCATGGAATCGAGTAGCCTCGGACTCTTCAAACTTGCCTAGGCCACTAGTAGGAACACCCTTGGGCAATGTGATAGCTGTGGATGTCTTAGGCTCTTCGGATGACTTAGTAGTCGGAGGGGAAGCCTTGCGGGAGACAGGAGCAGGGGAACCCCGGCACCGAGTCCGGAATGCAGACTTGCGGGCTGGTGAACGTTCCCTTTGAATTGCAGGTTGCTGTGGTTGTTGCTGTTGTCGACCCGGGCAGACAAAGGTGAGAGTGGTTTTGCGTTTTGTGGGTTCAAGAGTATCCTTCTTAGGCGTAGACGTAGTTTGTTCGTTCTGAGGAGCAGATGGCTTAGGTTGATTGGATTGTTGAGATTTTCCACCACAAGCGAAGCTGATGCAACGCTTACGTCCAAGATTAGCCTCAACGGAGTTCTCATTGGTGTTCGTATCGACGACCTTGACACGCTGAGCGATTTCCTTCCGACTGGCGATAGTAGTCTTTCCCATCTTGCCCATCATTTGCGGGGGGAGTGGCGGGCTAGGGGTATTGGAGAGAGAAGGACTAGTCAAGCCACCATCACTGGTCAGCTCAGCTGTTGAAAGTCCAGAGATGTTGCTGTGGGGGTAGGAGCGGTAGAGATATGTCGATTCATGTAGATCAGCATGGTGAGGTTCGGTAGGAGACAGTTCGGGACTGCTCTTCAAGGCGCGTGTAAGCAAAGATTCTTTGTGGTGCTTAAAAGTAGGTCGAGCAAAAATCACATCATGGTGCAATGACGAGGGGTCATCATGCACGTTGATGTGATCGGGGGGTTCATCCAGGTCCTCAGCCATATCGGCGTCGTCATGGGACGGTTGAGTAGACGAGTTCGGAGCGAGAATCATTTTTAATAGACTGTGAAAAGAGAATCGTTCCCCACGGGGTTGAGCCATAGCGTTTTCAATCTAAAATAGAAAGTAAAAACATTCGAGAGGTTATTTTTCGTAGATGCGAGAGGTTTCACGAGTAGAGGGTTCAATAAATGGATCGAATGTCGACGTTTTCGCTCGAAGTCAATCACGGAGTATGATTAACTTGGAAGTTGAAGAGCAGGAGTCCCGCGCAGGACACTTGTCATGATATACAGAGCATTGTTGAATGGAGGGGGGCGTCAGGAGAATATAGATGGCGAGAATGAATAGGGCCGCCAAGAGGGAATAGTCGTCCTTTGAAGTACAGCCTCTCTTCGAATTCGAGTGTGGCACGAAATGGGATCTTGGCAAAAAGCCAAGCGTTGGGCAGGATGTGAGATCTTCAGATCTTCGTGTATCAAGAAATGAAAAATAAAGAATTAACGGGGGAGGCGAGAAGATGGGGGATTAAAAAAAGGAAGAGAAGTGTAGTAGTAATAGAAGTAGGTTATAGATTTGGAGGGGGATGCAGTGGTAGGGAAGAGTGACGCTGAGCGGCGGCACGATCGGCTTAGGTTTAGCGTGGTTTGAATTTAGTTTTTTTTTTAATTTCTTTTTTCGAATTAAAAGTTGTGATTTTTTTTAATTTCAAGATTTTTTCATAATAAATCGGGGTTTTTTTCAACTTTTCTTTTTACCATTTGATTTTTAAAATTTCAATTTTCCGTTTTTTCCTTCGAAATTTTCCCTTTTGGCCCTTCGCCACACTTCCCCCCTTCCACGCTGTTTCGATGCCCCACAACCATCTGCAATCGGGGGGTTCCTGCACCTCAAACCAGTATGGATGAGCATAGCACTTGTGAAATCATGGTGTTTGAAAGAAGAAGAAATCAGAGAAGAACCAAAAAATTGTTTAAAAAATATTCTAAAAATATTAAAAATATACAAAAAGTACTATTTTTAATTCTCACATATTACACGACGTTTCGATTACTTTTCCATTCAAATCATGAAGGGTTTCATTTTGATTTTCTTTTCAAGGTGGAGCGTGCTGATGACTATTGTGTGTTGAGTTGCTGGTTGTATTTTTTCTTTTCTATGAGGCATTTTGTTGCTGTGGCCCGCTAAAAAAAACCTGCCGCTTTCTTAAACTTACCGTACGCGATGTACCTGTACCTCCCCTATGCTGCAGATATCTCCTCGGCGACAAGAAACATCAAGAAAAATAAATACCTATAATGCATCTGAGTCATCGAAGTATCTTTTTAAATGAATCATATTCTTCTATTTTCTGCCTACAGCTGTACTCCGATCGCCCTTTGTTTCTTGTTTTTGCCTTCTCTTTATCCTCCTCCAGTCACGCTCTCGCCGATCAGTGAATTTGCCGACGTTTTCATATTTCCAATATTTCCAAGTTTCAATACTATCACGTAATAGTACGGTCATCATACTCCACTCTCCCCCTCCCCGGCGCATTTAGCCCTGTATTACCAGGGTATCGTAAGGGTTCAGGCACAGGCCCGCTTCCGCTTTTGGCCGAACCCTACTCCCGTAACAGTACACACATGGAGACGGGAGGCCCTAGGCATTTTAACTGGTGAACCTGCCCTAGACCAGGGCTCTAGGACCAACTATAACTGACCTGGTAATAGTAACGAGAGAAGCTAAACCAAATCCACAAAACGCCAGTCATCCCCCCTCCCACAAATCCTATAAACGCGCTCTGCGCGCTTTGCCAAACCTACCCTTGTACCATTTGGCCAACCAAGACCAATACCAATACCAATACATCTTGGCAGTGCAGCTCTCACTTATTGGAATGCTTGGTCTTCAATGTCTGGGGTTGCCCTTGCTCAATTAATACAAATACACTAATAACTATCCACAATATTATTGTACGCTATACCCTCACTGACGTAGTTTAACCTAAGTGGATTCTAAGTGGATTATCCTCCACTTCATTGAGTATCCTCCGTACTCCGTAGATAGAATCCTTGGTGTGATGTGTACAGCGCATAGTTACTTGGCCCTCATTTAACAGTTTGTACCTAAAGCACATCCCCCACACACTGGGCTGTACACTCGGTAGATCACCGCTACTGTACTGGGAATGTCTTGGTATATGCCAGTATACGTTGCTAAACAGGCCCCAGAATTTGGCACATATGATCCTCAATGCATGTTCTGCCCAAGCATGCCAAGTATGCGAAGGCAGCACCGATCTTTCATTTTCAGTTTCAATGGAGCCAAGAAAAGAAACATTGAACTCTTGAGCCCAAATTAAACATGAAAGCCTAGATATCTAAATTTGGTACATTGGGGATTCATTATACTACGAGGCGAAGTCCAATCCACTCCAAAGTACGTACTTTGTACACACCTGCAAGCATCAACTATGGATTCAGCCCTGGAGCCACATGCGTCCAACTGTCGCGTGGACAGTAAAAGAAAAGATAAACATTTCATCCTACGCTGTACCCCCGACCTGCGGTGAAACGTTTACTCGACTAAAGTCCACCGTAGGGCAACAAGGGAAAATCTTCCTAAAAAGATAATGGCAAAGAAAAAAAAGAACCAAAGCGAAACTAAAAAAAAATTTGCTCATAGTCTTTGTTCTCCGATTATGTCTGCATATGTGGATATGATCTCACGGGAACACCAATCGCTTACAAGGAAGTTGGCTGACTAGGACGCCGAGTTGAAGCCAGAGAAGCGGTCAGTTGGGATTACAATTCGGTTGCTCCCCGAGTTCAAGTTCCAGTATAAAGTAGAGATTGGAGAAAGCGGCAGAGTAATTAAAACATAACGTATACAATGTTGATTCAAACATTACATCCATACGGGTACAGTAGTATCTCCAGTCCTTAATTCCCTACGGTAGTAAAGTCACTGTACCTCAAACAAGCTTTGACTGGAACCAGAAAAAAACTGTGGACCAACATACAGAGAGAAAAGGACAGGGCGAATTGAGAGTCGAAACATTCTCAAACTCAGCGTTAAGATCGCGACAAGCTTCGCGAATCGTCGGATCACAACCCCACACTGCAGCACATCGGTACTGAACAGGCATGTCCCCTGTAAGCACCGGGCAAGCTCACTGGGCTGCAGATTTGCCCATGAACCGGTCAACGGAGGGCGCAGTATCCAGGCAGAATCTCAATCCCAGCGAAAGCTTGTTGGCAGTAGAACGGCGTCATAGCCCCAGGATAGCCCAGGTACAAACAGAAGAAGGGGATCTTCTCACAGTGCTCTACATACCCCTCTGCTTTTTGTATGTACATTACTAAGATTACGCATCGGCTTTTGAATTTACGAGCGGCAGACATGGAGAAAGTTTCGCGAGTACGAGATAAATGAGAACAAATAAGGATAGTATGTATCTGTATGGAGTATGTACTACTTAGTCAGAATAGGTACGAGTACATTACCTAAAGACCAATAAAGTCGAAACACGGCACATGAACGATTTCCACGGGTCGTAACCGTCAGTGTCATTAGCAGGACGGCGCTCTGTGCCACGAGATTCTGTCGATCGGGGTCTTTCCTCTTTCATGCGGACGTATCGCTTTGCTCCTTTGATTGGTGTATAACGTAAGTTATGGTGGGCTTAAGCCGCCGAGTTAACCCTTGTTTGTAGCTTCTATCCTTGTTCTCGGGCATTTCGAGTCTCATTTCGCGCGGACAACCTTTTTGTTGCTCGGTCTAACAACCGGAGAGGGGTACAGGTACATTAGCGGTACGGCAAGACTCCGTCTATACATACGGTACTCCGTACATAACATTAAACATCCTAACCTAACTTAGCGGCCCCTCAACCCTCAACAGCAGCCCCCACAGAAAAGAGAAGAAAAGCAAAAGAAAATCAAAAAGTAATGATGATCTTACGGTGAATCTTCCCACCAATCTACTACTGTATACATGTACACACATACCCGAAATACTGTCCAGGTGTACATAGAAAGCGGGCCAAACAAAGAAAGAGAAACTCCTTGTAGCGCCCGGAAAAATTATCCCGAAGAAACAGAGAAAGAAAAATGAGGTCGAAATGAACAAGTCACGATCGTCAGGACCCATTCACAAACAAGTCAACGATGAAACTCATCACGTCCCCATATTGCTCTCGTGGCACCAGACAAAAAAAGAGGGGGGAGTAGAAGAATCATGAACTCAAGCCCATGGGGAGAGACAACTCTGCCGTCTGGATCCGCAAAGCAGACTACTGTACGGAGCAAATTGATCACACCCCGTATACTCCGTACGGAGCACCGCAATAAGGTGTGAACTGTGCAGGTGGAGGCGGCACTACTGCCAGACTTACGATCCTTCGATTGGAGCAAGTCCTCCAAACAACGAGTATAAATAAAACACAACGCAAGTGTTGACCGGCAGCATCAACCGGGGAAGTGGATCCCCCAGCTAATGTACTTATGTATGCAGTTCAGTCGAGCTTAGACCTTATTGGGGATCGTCCGGTTGAATTGGCATTGAATGAGCGCTAGCTTGTTAGTCGTGCATGAGTTGGCGTTCTGTGTTAATATGAGGGATTTTAACCGCTTCCCCACCGAGTCTGCGAAGTCGGCCGAATTGAGTTAAGTTGGGTTCCTGGCTTCGATGCTAGTTGTGGTTAGTAGCTTGGGGGTCACGGTTTTGGTGGTGGTTTGGGGGTTTCTTTGACAGCGGCTGTCTCGCTTGGCTTGACGGGCTTCGGGTTTATACGGGTGGTTTAGTCTCGTTTTTGGGGTTAGTGGTGCTAGTGTTTAGTTTCTATTGTGCAATGTAAATTGTTCATATTATGTGACTAAATGTGCTGATTTTTGTTATCGCCTGCGATCGATTGGTTTGACACGCATTACTCATTTTTCCTACAATATACTCCAATACTTGACTCGATACCCAGTCCCCAACACGGGGTGCTGAGAATGACTCTACTACTGGCTCTGACTAAGTTCGATGTACTATACGAAAGAAAAGTTCAAAATACGAGAATATACAGCGCGCGCAGGGGAAAGAATAATACACGGATGAAAATGCCGTGGGCGAATTCTATGGCTTTTCTTGTGCTGTCTATTGGTGATACAGTTCTTCTTTCATAAGACACAAGACCCGACCAAGACAAGTTCATGGACAATTTCTTTCTCTTTCTTTCTTCTCGGCGCTGCAAAAGCCATAAGCCAGCAGGTCATCCACGTAACATACCTCGCGAAACCGGCAAAACCGGCCCAGTCTTGCGATTTCATATTCGGATTATGTATCTACCCAACCAGCATCCTTTCAACCTTGGGATGATATCTTTGGTTATCTTTTTTTTCGGGCATGTGCTGCCTAGGTGGCCGCCATTGCCACCACAAGATGTTGGTTATTGTGGCGAACACTTATTCATCTCGGATCTTGAGGCCAGGGTTGATGCCTGAGGTGTCAACTTTGCTTACCTACCAGAACGCCCCGACCGAATGCGGTAATGGCTCACATTGATCTGCTGCAGTAAGAAGACAGAGGGCGAGATAGACAGCCCCCGAATCTTACAGTCAGCCATATGACATAAAAATCATGGAGATTGATCAGATACAGAGATCGACCAGATGAGAAACACTAACGAAACTCACGAAACTCAGTAGACCCCCCACACTACTCCTATGTTCTTTGCCAAGAACTCCTTGAGACGACATCCAAGCCTCAACTACTCAGGTAGGCTGGGGCGGAAGATCACTTAACTCAAAAGCCAGCGAGAGAGAGGGCGATGAGGAGGGTGGACACAATCTGCAACAGCGCTTGGCAAATTTAAAAAAAGAATCACGATCACCACGATTCTGACTGCCAAGCCCTGCGCTCGAAACAGTGCAGCCTTCAGAATGCGCCCGGTGCGACTCAGCCGATGATCGTGGAGCTGTCATCGACTCCAGAGCACGGAATATGGAGATACAATACTGTACGAAGTACAATAGAATAAGAAACGAAAAACAAATCATCAAGGGGGCGATACTAACTTGCTCCACATCCGCAACTCTGGGGTCGAGAAGAAGAAGTGGACCGATACGAACACCTGTTCCTGTCTCACCTGAACCCCTTTGAATCCCCCACAGACTCAACGCCTAATCTCTCCTCCCCGAACAAAGTTTCAGGGGCAACGCAATTCCTCTATTGGAAGCCAAGCCAAGACTATCAGTAAGGTTATCCTGTTCCTCTCGGCGCCAAGCCCAGTCCACCTTTCAAGACAAGACAACAATCATCATCACACAGCAATGCAAAGGGAGACAGCCCGCAGCCCACAGCCCACAAACCCAATTCCACCTGAGGCTCGGCGTTACAGTACAACAATTGCAAATAATGCCGCCAAGGGCGATCATGACGATCCGACTACTCAGCCTGCGCGCATAAAGGAGGTCTTGGCAACAAAGCAAACTATTGCGTCTATTGAATTTGGCGCCAAGACGTCGTACAGTACGCCCTTTATCTCCGGCCAAGGGAAACGAAAGAGGAAAGGGAAATATAAGAAAAAGAAATCCAGACCGCGCCGAGACGAGACGAGGTAAGAACCTTGCAGTGGCAGTGCGACAAACGGGCCATAAAAAAACAACACATGAAACTATGAAACTATTCGGCCCCCCTCGGGATCGACCGGCTACATGAGAACTGGCTTGGCTCTGAAATGTTGTGGTGGTTGACTCGGTCCGGACCGATCGAGTACATTGTAGATTGTAATTGTGTCCCCCGTGCGGACAATATGCCTGATTACTATACACTTTAGGAAGAAGTTTCTATTATCTTCTTACGCGATACGGATTCTTGCAGCTGTGTCGCCTGGTTGCGCAATTTCGGCCCTAACTCACCGACGGGGATTGTGAATTGCCCAGGTGCATTTCACTCCATCTCCCCTGCATCGTGGATGATCTACTGTCAGCATTCATTACATAGAGCACCCAAGCAGGTACATCAAAACAACTAACATACAATCCTGAAACATTCACCAGAGAAAAAAAAATTGAAGATTTTGAAAAAGCAATACAGAGACCATACAAATTATCCAACTTTCGGCCCTCTGCATAAGCACAAGCTCAGTAAACCATATTCATTCTGGTCTTAGTTTCCCATCAGGAATTTTCCACAATCACGCATAAACTATCTTAAACCCCAATCAAAACTTGATCACCTGCACCCATCCACATGCTACCCCCCCTACCCTACACTAGCTCAAACGAACATATCAGGCTACCCGGTCCGATAATAGTAAAACCGTTGCATACACATAGTATTTCCAGGGCAACCCTATGATGCACACACCCATAGCATCGGATACACGGGTACACATACATCCTAGTGTATCGCCAATGAAAAGCAAGGCCGATCTTCTCGAACATTTCACTGATCACCGAGCACAAAACATGGTTAGCCTGCAGCACCAGGTCAGCGGGACAATGGCGATGTACCAATAACAGCCGCGAATCCCCGCACAAGAAAGAACAGTGCATAGACAGACAGTACCGGGCAAGTTCGGGATAATATCTGAATATTATTCGCTCTACTCTGTGCTGGTTAGTTAGTATTCGCAACCTGATGTTGACGATCGGACCCGTAATGAGCACATCTGTCATCTGCTAGTTAGTTGCGGACAACGTTGGGCCGGGTAGTAGTATGTGTGTATCCAGCTTGAACTTGAACCTTTCAAGTTCAAGTTGTTATTCAAGACCTCCACAATTAGTACTAGTAGTATTACCGCTCAGCTCGGCATAATAATCGAAATCATAGAAAGCACAGTAGTAATGTTAGTTCATGTTGTCTTACTTCTGTGAATTATGCTGTAATGATATCATTGTCTGATTCTGGAAATCCAAATGGGGCTAAAATGCATGGTGGCAGCGCCATCTCTGGGGCCGGCGTCACCTTATCTAGTAGTCTGCCTTTTATGGATATAGTTCTTAGATATACGACGTATGCGAACATCTTATTCTTACTTCGGGCTTTAACTAGGATGTTCCTTTCTTTTTGTCTACAGGATCTTGCAGAAGGATGCTTATTGCAGAAGGAATATTATTGCAGTAGTAATCCAGTACAGAGGATGCATTCAAATTAATATTTCTAGAATTAAATTGTAGTATCCGTTTGAATAGGATACTTTACTGTTGGTCTTACTTGTTCTTTTCTTATTCGTCTGGCTTGACACTTCCATTTTTGTTTCGTTTGTGTTGGGGCCTCTAGATGACGAGCTTGAGGGCTCGGGTGCATTAAGCGGTCTGGGAAGAGGTAGATGATGCTCAGGCTGTAGGTGAGGGATTTAGTTCAGGTCTATAGTATATGCAAGATGAGGTTTTATTGATTTTGTCTGAGTATTTCAATCTATTTTGTTGTTTAAGTGATGTCATTTTATATAGTATTAGACAGAGTAATGACAACATGAACCTAATCGTCACTTTGATTTAGAAGTCAGTGCGACCGACATCTATGTCACCACTGCCCTAAATCGTCATCGCGGATTCGTTTGATGGCTCTTTTATTCTCTCATGCTTAGTCGGAGATGAGTATACCCAATAAAGACAAGAGAACGTCATGGTTCTGTCCCTCCTGAGTTGTTGATAGCCTTCACAAGTCCTCCGAATCACCTGCGATACCCCCACGAGCACGCACATCCCTTAATATCGAGACAAACGCGAGAACCCGAGAGTGAGAAGGCCATGACCTCTCACACGTCCCATATTGCCGCGAGCGAGGTCGTCGCTTCGTAAACCTCTCTTTGCTTGGTAAAAGGATGCCAATTGATATGAATGATGACTGGCTGCGGCAAAATTACGGGCGAAGACGTCCCGCAGACTCGGCATGAGAGTTTGTCATAGGGTGCAGCTTGGTCGATTTCGGGTCATTGGTATTTCATAGAGCAGCTATGAGGGAGAGTTCGAATATGCTGTAAGTCGCCCATAGTCGAGCCAGTTGCCAAAACTAGGTGGACGTAGATGGACCTAGTATCACCGTAATCACTGCTGACCAGCTAAAGTAATGGCCATGTATATTATTCCACTGGAACTATGAAGCCCGTAAGCTCATTGCAAATGGATATTTCCGTAGTTGACATCTGGTTTCAGACTTCTCCCATGGCTTGTCGCAGTAATTCCCCATAACTTTGGTAAAGTCTCGAGCGAAATGATAAAAGTATCCCCCAGAGAGGTAAACTTGACAAGCAGGATGTAGTAGTCGTATACTTTGCTCGGTAGTTTGTAAAATCTCTTTATACCACTTCTCAACATGGAGAATTTTCACTCTCGCCGGACTTATACGTAAGCCACGGAGTGCCCTGCAAGACACTGGCTAGCCCCAGTCCCATCGATTCCAACGTAGCAAAAACATCCTGGCACCAGTCGTAACGATCATAGAAGCCATTTCTATGGAAGAATTGAGATGACATTGCCACAGGAAAAAGGAGATTATGACCCCCAAGTATGTGCATGTGCGGTTGTATGAAGTAACCCACGCCACGACAGAGTTGGTCCGCGTAGAATAAGGCTTCATGGAAGAACGAAGTATATTCATTTTGGCTATCAGCCACATGATGAGAAGAGACGATGACACCTTGATGAAGAATCGTTTGGCACTCAAATTCATATAGAACTGAAGATATAACCAGAAGGGCAGTCCAATATAGCATGTAGGCTTCTGCTATATCAACAGATATAAAGTCGAATCTTTCCGGGAAGACCGCATTTCTCGTTTTGGGGCGAGGTATTCCGGAATCGTCAGGAACAAGGGTATAAAGGGGACATTCAGAGACATTCGTCAGTCGCGTATGCCATGAATGCGCTTGCCATTCTAACTCATGACATAGATATTTCGTATTTGTCAAGTCTTGGGTGGTTTGCACGCTTCCTGCCTTTTCAAGAAGGGCAGTGCATTCCATGAGAATGTCGATTATTTCATCTAATGGATCATCAACTCGTGGAGGTGACAACATCTTCCACATTGGGAAAGAGGAAAGAGCGGACTGGGATTTTCCGATGGCGTGAAAGATCTGTTGGAGTGAGATTACTGCGAACGAGCATAAATTTCGCAGGTACTACTTACATTCGATAACTTCAATTGTCGAAGAAGCATAGTAGAAAGTTGATCTCTCTTTAACGATTTCTCATGTAGAGCAAGGACGGCATTTGCACCTTGCATGTGTGCCATCCAACCCGCAAATCCGTACGTACAATTAATGACCTAGATTCGTTAGTCTGTTACCCAAATCTCAATCAAAAGGTACCAACACACCTCGTATAATTGAAAAACAACATTCGCGCAAAGAACTTCTTGAACTGGAAGTCCAGTGCGAGGAATCAAGGCCGCAAAAGCTTGTATAGCGTGGTTATACAGTTTCACACCGTGATGTGTCAACCGACTATCATTGAACTTCTTGCCGACAAAAGCCGCAGCAAGTGCAGAGATAGCTCGATCAAACAACTGGCTATTCTTCCCGTCCATTAATGACGGAAAGTCCTCAATCACATTAGTCACCTTTTGACATCTTAAATTGATGTGCCCCACAGGCGGAGACGGAATGTAAGAGTCAATGAAGAGCGAGAAAAGTTGAGACCGGATCTGCGAATTGACATTGATAACTCCTATTTGAATATCTTCACATTTCTTTTGAGGAACGATAATATTCTCGGTATTATCCGCTAGCTCCGTAAAGGTATGGACGAACCTGCGCGCTCTTTCGTATCCCTGGCAGTGGTGGCCTCCTCGGAGACAACGGGCGCATTCGGGCCGTTGAAGATCGCACTGGGGCGAGTCAGGGACTGATGGCGCACGGCTTGCTATCCGAACCTACTCACCTTAACCTTTCGTTTCCTGCAAGTATTGCATCCTTTGGATCTTAGGGGAGCCCCGCCCATCGTGGATAGCGTTGGATTGAGCCGGAGGCGGGCAGATGTGAACTTGTGAAGTCATACGGAGTAGCAGGGGCGAACCGCAGATCTCTTCCAATCGGAATGTGAGATCGATCGCTGAAATTACGGAGCCTCTCCATGAACTATATCCCCATTCTTAACTCAAAATTATACTCTATCCAAAGAAATGTTCTAGAAGGCTTCTGAGAGTACTTTGATACGATATTAGAGAGATTGGAGAAATTGAATTTTCAGTCCCCGGACAAGCTACTACCCTAGAGCCTCATGCTAAAATCCAGATGCTGCATCCTCTGAGTGTTATCAGTAAATCGAATGAAGATATCGCCCAGAAAACCACAGGTATGCCACTGTGTCATCAATGACATATATGTTTTGTCAAAATAAACACCTAAGTAAATAAATGTCGAGTTCCCACTACAATAAGGACTAGTGTTAGATTCGGCCCAATCGGGTAAGCAGAGCGATATCTTACCGACGCCATGCAATATCTGTTCTCTCTCACACCACCCACTACTACTACCTTCAACTTCCCTTACAGATCACTTATGACAACAGCTCTAAAATGGATAAAACACAATTGACGATCGGAACTCGAAACTCGAAATTAGCATTAGTCCAAGCCGAGAGGGTCTCCGATGCATTAAACGCCGCCCACCCCCACATTAAGTTTCCATGGCAGACCGTCTCCGTGAGCGGGGATGTGGATAAAACAAGTCCATTTCTCAAATTTGGAGGGCCCTCTGATGCGGCCAAAAATATCTGGACTGAGGAGATGGAGGCCAAACTGAGCTCTGGCGAATTGGATCTGCTAGTCCACTGCCTCAAGGATATGCCGACTCGTTTACCAAGCGGGTGTGTCTTGGGTGCGATTATTCACCGTGAAGACCCTACCGATGCGCTGGTTATCAAGAAAAGCTTGCAAGACCAGTATACGGATCTATCTCAACTACCTCCTGGATCAATTGTTGGCACTAGTTCGACCCGCCGCAAGGCTTTGCTCAAATGGAAGTATCCCCATTTGAAGGTTCAAGAATGCCGTGGTAACATGTAAGACCCCACCTAGTACTCGATGATGAAGGATTTACCATATCAGAGGATAAGATATGAACAAATCGGCTGATCATTTTAGTGATACCCGGCTACGCAAGCTGGACGAGGGCGAATATTCAGCAATTATCCTTGCAACCGCTGGAATGAACCGAATCAACTTAAATAGCCGTATCGCAAAGCACTTACCCCCATCCGAATTTCCCTATGCCATTGGACAAGGTGCACTGGGAATTGAAATTCGTGAAGGCGATACTCAGACTTTGAGTATTGTTCAGCAAATCGAAGAGCCACTTACGCGATGGATCTGCCTAGCAGAACGATCGTTACTGCGCACCCTTCAGGGCGGATGCTCATCCCCCGTGGCTGTTAACTGTACCATCGAGGGCAGTGATGACAAGTCTTCTACAACACATCGTTTACGACTTGACGGCACGATAATCCATCCCCATGGCTCTAGTCAAATTTCGACATTTGCGGTCGCAGACGTGGCAAGTGACAGAGAAGCCGAGGCTCTTGGAGAAACACTTGCAAAAAGGTTGGAAGAGAACGGTGGAAGAGCTCTCCTGGATGAGATCCGACTTGTTCAAGAAAAGGAAATGAATGCCACACAAAATTAAACATGTGATGTCTATCTAGGCAAGGCTACGTGATAACTGGAGCAGTGTGCAATAGTACTTGTAAATAATATGATGATCGAGATACTCCCCACTCTAATATATCAATTCGCGAAATTACAGCCAGCTCACCAGTGAGGCAATAAGTCAACTAGGTCAAAGGTCTGGTATGCTTCTGCTGGTAGGGCACTTAGGCCAACAAACATCTCCACGATCATATATGTCCGCGCGGTGATATACAGAATAGCAATCAAGGATATTAACATCACCTCCCATAATAATATGGGCTTAGCCTGTTGTTGTTCCTTTTCAAATGCATTCAGACGATCCACAGTATTTTTCTCGGCAAAGCGCACTCAGCTGCCCATCTGCCTTTTAAGTTTCAACCATATCAAGTACTTGTCCCATCTTCCAAACCTCTGGCGAGCCGCAATAGTCTCCAGAACCCAAAATGAAACAGGTGCTCCAGCCACGATTGCGCTTGAGACCCGCCATAAGTACCGTTCAACTCGAGATGGGAAGTTGAAATCCCAGCCAATCAAATGCAAAGACGCGAACATCGACGTGAAGATAAATAGGGCGAACTTTTCCAGTGTACCGATATCGGGGAATCGATCGTTAGGGAATCGACGCAATGGTCTTTCTCGATCATCAAAACGTATATTAAAAAAATTTCATAAGATCGCATCCGCAAGTAGGTGATTCCTTTGCGACAAAATCAAGGGGTGTGTTTTTGTAAGGAGCCGCAGCAACGTCTCCAGCATGAATTGATATTTGGGCCGTCGATGCTTCTGTTCTCAAAATAATGCTTGCCTGAACATCTCTGGGTTTATGAAACCAACAGAAGAATGTGCCCATTGTACATAGAACAATGGCGCCCGTGGATAACTCGAGGGTGGTTGTTGAAAGACTGAGCACAGCACGACCAAATAGTTGTATGATAAACCAACTGACTTGTAGAACAGTAAGAATTCTAGCAAGTGAGTCTGTTTTAGATCTATCCCAGATCTCTTGAGCTGTGACTTCAGGGTATGGAAGGTATTCTTTCTCTACAAAGTACGCAAGTTGTCGGCTATTGATGAGAAACGGGGTACTATCTTTGGGCTGTAGTAGCATTCAACCCATATCTGTATAGAAACCATGTCGAAGAGTCCACGTCTGTTCTTTCTCTGCTAGTCTGTTGAGTCGATGAGCAGATCTTCGAGCCGAGGCCAATTCACCTATAGCTACGGTCAAAACTACTTCTTGGCCAAGTAAGGCCCAAAACATCCATTTTGCCCGGCAAACAACGATCTGAAAAGCTCCATCGGATGGGGCATATTTAGACAAATAGCGGTCCAAGTGCAAAGTCCGATTGCCGAAAAAGAAGACGATATTATGTCAATTGTTCCCCGCTCATTTGGTCCTGATGTCCACCCGTAAATAGATGAGGTCGGAATATTAGAAGTGTGGCTCATCTTGACATGACCGCGAAGCGAAGTAGGATTAGAAGTATGCAATAAACAATTTGGAAAAGTTGAAAATGGTAATATAGGTATCCTACAACTTAACATAAATAAAACGGTCTACTATGAGGAGGGGTTCGGGCAGGAGGCCAGCGTCCGAAACGCCCAAGTTCTGCAATATGCAGGAGTTCACAGATAAAGCCAACTGAACAAGGATTGATGGACTGTCGCCAATCATCTCATGCCCTCAGCTGCTGGACGCATGTGCTGATCTTTTGAACGGAATATGTCACCAATCAAGAATAGTCCTCGCGGACCTCGCAGATGCTCATCTTTTCCCTGATGCGCCGGTTTCTCTCTCCCTTTCCCTGGAGCGGGCCGTTGAACTGCCTACTTCGAGAAAAGAAGTACTCAAGCAATGACCACAAAAACATCTTCTACCCAGTGTGCGGAATCCGCAGGCCATGTTTTGAAGCGCGGTCCGCCCTGATGCCATCGACGAATAGAGGGCCGAGCTGCCTATCCCCTCGCAGATCGCTAACCAAGCGGGCACCAGAGCGCCTAAATCTCCTGCCCCTGATTTAAAATCGCTACCCGCAGAGGACCGCAGAGGAAATCTCATGACTTTCAATCAAGTTAAAAACCGACGCTCTATGAAAATTTGTTGAGATCGGAAAATATTGGTTATCAAGTCTAGGATGGTCTCAAACGCTGCAAAGCCCCCATCCGCTGGAGACCCGACGACTGGAATGTCTCTTGATGCCGAGGATCGAAAGGCCCCTCACGGTTACTGGCCAAGGGCTGCGAATAAATATCAGATTCCAGGATGGCTTCGCGACAATGACTATATTGTGGAAGGCCATCCCATACCAACTTTTTCATACACGACGCTCTTTTCGCCTCTGGCGCTGTTGGCACATGGAGACTATGAACATCTGGACACACCTCTTGGGCTCGGCCGCGTTCATCACCTCTGGTATCGCTCTATATCGTTTTTCCGAAAACAGTGGCCTCAATATTACATACGGTAATATATTCGCCTTTGGAACGTTTACAGCTTCAGCTGCCACATGCTTTGCCTTCAGCACAACATTTCATACATTAAGAAGTCATTCCTACAACATCCATCATCTTTGGGGACGAATGGATATTCTGGGAATTTCGATTCTCGCCTTTGGCTGTGGTGTGTCAATGACATATTATGCATTTTATTGCCAGCCTACCATCCAAAAGGTTTACTGGGGCTTGAATGTCTGTTCAGCTGTAGGTGCAGCGGTGACGCTGTTCGATACTGGCGGCGGAGGCAGCAAGATGAGAGAAATGCGTGGAGGTGTATTTACTGCTCTTGGTCTCTCTGCTATGTTGCCCATATTTCATAGTCTCAGCCAAATAGGTTGGGTTCGCGGATGTATTGAGATAGGATCTGGATGGTTTGTAGCCGAGGCGCTCTCTTTACTAGTTGGCGTGGGATTCTTCGTTAGTCGAGTCCCTGAGAGGTTATTCCCAGGGCCATTCGATATTTTTGGACATTCGTATCAGCTTTTTCATACCTTTGCTGTTATTGGTGGTGCGTGTCATCTTGGTGCGCTGGTTACTGCATTCAAATACCGGCAAAGCTCCCCATTGTGTTAAGAGAGAATCGGATATTAATGAATGGAATGATGGATAAAGCATATGTCAGTTGAACTGTAGAATAATAAATCAGATTCAAAATAGGAACACGCTGTACCAGGCAAAGCAATACTATCTTTGGTATACATCTTTCAATGCCAAGAAGGAGCTTCGAGGTCGATATCATCGACATGTTGTACAAAGGAAAAGAAAGTAAAAGATTCCTAGGTAAAAAGCGCAGTAGAAATTTGATGTCTATGATCTATTGGCATATCGATTTTTTTATCTAAAATCCTGGGCCCGGTGGTCCTCCAGGTCCCGGGGGACCGTCATCCCCACAACAATCACAGCAACACTCGCAGCATTCAAAGCAGCAAAAGCCAGCACAGCTAAATGAAGATAACCGGTTTAGTTAACAATCATACATAAATGAACTGAAATCATTCTGAACTCACATCCCACAGCAGATATCGCCACCGCCACCTCCACGTACATGGACACTCATACTCTCAGGGCCGCCCTACAGTAAGATTATCGTCAGCACTGGTGGATCTTCATTAAACCCGTTCAATCTAGAGGGAACTACGTCATGAAATGGGGACTTCGTACGGGCTGCTGAGTGATAGTCTGGTTCATTGAAGGAGGACTGTCAGGTTGTTGCATGGTGACGGTATTGGCGTCCCACTTGCCCTCACTGATAGGCTCTTGAGCGGGCTGAAACCAGCTCTTGATTACTTCGAACATTGTGGAGAAAGAAAGAATACGAAGATGTATGTCCTCGTTAGTGAAAATCGAAGAACTGGAACTTTCAAGTTAGTACTCTACGGCCCTTTTAATATCTCCCAGATGCTTCAGGCAGCCATAGTCACAAGCAGGGCCACGATAGCAAACGCGTGCAGTATTAAGATTTATCCACAGTCACCCAAATCAATAGTGTTAATATTCCGGGTTCAAAAAGGTGGTTATTCACTATAGGCAATAATGGCGGCCGGGACGCGTAAGTCAGAGCCACGTTTGAAGCTGAGTGGAGCTATGCCAAGCCGAGTCCCCGGTAGGGCTGTGTTGGTTCGCCGCTCATTTATCGCTTGCGTAGACGATGAAGTACGCTAGGTTCTTCTTTTGGTTTTCCTTTAGGAGAATTATCCGCTTCGAAATTATGTAAAAATGGACTCACTGTGTAGAAAATTGTCTAAGTAGTTGGAATTTTGTGTAGATACGGACCAATTTAACTTGCAGCCAACTTAAACCTCAAGTCTATCAATGATCGACAATAGCTTAAAGCAAAAAAAGACACTGCAATTCTAATCTAGGCAACAACGTTCAATAGTCATTTCAATATCAGCTTAATCACAATTGAGGCTTGGTATGGGTCTATAGGGATTTGGTTGTGGCTTGGCAGCGCGAGTAGTTTAATAACCATGCCACAATGTGAGGCGTAGGTTCTAGAAAGATGAACATGACGATGGCATGGATCCACGTACCCCGAAAGAGATGGGGTCTTATTTTTGGGCTTTTGGAGTCCCCTTTTTCTTATTTAAACAAGTACACCCCGCGTTGTGGCTATCTGATCCAGTTGATTCAGATCATATCAAACCAAATCAAATCAACATCCTATCAAATCTCATATTATCGATTTTCAAGCCTACGCATACCCAAGCTACACATTCACATACCAAAATGGGTCTTTTCAGTCATCATCACCATAACGAAGAGGGTCCTCACCAAGGAGGCCCTGGTGGCCCTGGCGGTCCTCAGGGTGGTGGCCCCGGTGGCCCTCATGGCGGCGGTCCAGGTGGTCCCGGCGGCCCTGGAGGTTTCGGAGGACCTCAGGGTGGTGGCCCCGGTGGTCCCGGAGGATTTGGAGGACCTCAGGGTGGTGGCCCTCATGGCGGTGGTCCAGGTGGTCCCGGCGGCCCTGGAGGTTTCGGAGGACCTCAGGGTGGTGGCCCTCATGGCGGTGGTCCAGGTGGTCCCGGCGGTCCTCAGGGTGGTGGCCCCGGTGGTCCTGGAGGATTTGGAGGATCTCACGGTGGTGGTCCCGGTGGCCCTGGTGGCGGTCCCCATGGTGGTGGTCCTGGTGGTCACGGCGGTCAAGGTGGACCTGGCGGTCAGGTAAGATACCCCGCTCAAAGAATGTGAATATCTCGAAAGTAAGTTGCTAACAGTGAGATTAATAGCACGGCGGATGGTAAGCTCGCAATCGCACATGCACGGATAAACACATACACACACGACGCTGGAAATTTCAGTTTATATCAGACTAGTCTTGCTGGGAAAGATTGGTTAGCTGCTTGAGCGGCTTCATGGTTTCAAGAGGATGCAACGATTCTTGATATGCTGTCTAAATACTAGTGCTTTATATGCAATTGAAGAGTAGCCGAGGTTACTTATTTGTCTACTATATGAGACCGAAGTATGATGGATGCTGTACCATTTGAATGCTTGATTGGCATTTAAAATAAAGTAGCTTTGATCGAGTAACAGGAAGTTGAATGAAAGGGATAAGGGTATTTTTGAGCGCTGAATCGATAAAAAAAATGATGCAAATTGATAGCATCAATTCATGTCCTGTTAACTCCGATCTCAAAACGCAAATGAAAAATTAAAAGAGCGTCTCGTTGAATTCGTAATCGTCATGTTCGTGGGGGTACACCACGCTAGGATAATCATCCCGTGGCAAAAGGAACGAATGTAGAGGGATCATATCTGATGTCACAGGCGGTGGGTGGAAGGGTTCTGACGAGGCTTTCCAGAAGCCTGGGGCCGTGTGGCAAGCTTTCGATTTCGTTGCGCGAGCTTTAGTCTCCACCACCTGATTATCACATCTTTGGCCCACATCATCTCAATCCGAGTTCGGACCACAGCTGCACAGTGGGTAGCAAGAATCTTTGCGATGCTGCGGCGGTAAATGTCGCGGCTCTCTAAGCGTGCTCGCCATGCACGTTGGAGAATGGTGGCAGCCCGAGCGCGCTTCGAGGCAGTGAGTAGTCGAGAGCACAAAAATGCAAGTGACCCGAGGGTACATTCACGGTCTAAGATGTTCGAAGACGATGAGTCTGCAGACACCAGCTGTGCAAATTGAGAGCTGCAACCCAATAGACTTAGTCGTTTTTGTAGAGATCGAGAATTCGAATATCTGTTTCTGTTGGCGTTGGCAGAATGATAGTTGCTGATGAGATATGGCTCATATTCATCGACAATACTCTCATAAATTTTGCCATCAGCAAAGCTGGTTGTCAAATTATCAATTTGAAGGCCTTTCAGACCAGCTAGGAGCGCAGCCCACTGCTGGAGAAGTCGTGTATGGTTGTCGGCATCATTAAATTGCTTCCCGGTAAACCAACTTGTGTTCTTGGGAGAATCATTTCCAAAAATCGTAAGGGCCTTGTGCTTCAATCGTAAGATCTCTTTTTGGACATCATCCCAGTCAACAAGACTGGCCAAGCCCCAACTACCAACAAGAGCCCACAAAATAGCGATGGTCTTCTCACGGTAACCATCAACAATTTCCTCGGGCCGCATATCAACGAAGACTGAGCTCGAGCCCTTGATAGAGCTCAACGCCGACAAAGCAATCTGAACGTTGAAAAGTTTTGTTGCGCGACTGACGCAAGGGTATTTCAAATGTTTGGAAAGTGGAACATCTGCATGTTCACCAAAAAGAGAGAGAGTCTGCCCGGAGTTCAAAGTAACTTCGGTTTGATCTTGGTCGTCAAGTCCGACACGGCTAGGTGTAAAAAACAAGACTTCCACAATTCTAGTAAGACGTACACCATCTCTCAAATCGACAGCAATGTTTTCAATCTGGTACTTGTACTCTTGTAGCTGATGCTGCTTGTAGGACAAACGGCAGCCAAAGTGAGCGAGAGGCTTTGTAAGGTCCCCATAAGAGGGTACCAAGACTCGTAACAAAGCTTGAAGCACACCGGCTGATGATTTGAGTTGTGATGAAGATACAAAAAGCTGACGAGGAACAATGGACCCAGGAGACTGGCGTGCTTGGTCTAAAAGAGTGACAAGCACTATGCATCTAAGGACTGTACGCTGATAGGCCTTGGCGTGATCAACAGCTAAAGCATCTTTGGAATCAGAAGCAAATTGATTGAGGTCCTCATTTCGCAACAAAAACGTGTCCAGGAAACATTCTAGTTTGCTAGCGGCGGCTTTCCTATCGTCTTCGAACAAATCATAATCAATAGAGATCTTTCGACCAATGACAGTCTCTGCAGCTGGCGCCAGCGCATGGAAGTCATATGAATGCATCCAGATATCAAGGAACCTGCGACGAAGACCAATATCTTGCCTGAGGCGATAACTTCGAGAGAGGACTTGCTTGGGAATACTCAAAGTACCGCATGACAAAGAAGCCTGGAGCTTTCGGTACAGGTGAATAAACATGTCAGTATGATAAAGTTCAAGAAATTCCAATCGAAGGGTGTTCTGGTCATAGAATTTCGTGCTTCCATTCGAATGCTCGAACAATGAATTCACTAATTGCGTAATCACAGTTTCTTGGTGCGAGAGCCAATTGTCCTCATATAGCGCAGGCTTTTTAATGTCCTCAGTCAACTTCGGATACTGGGCATTGAGCTTCTTTAAATTTGAAGTTTCAATCCGTGCATTGGAAGAGGCATTGTTCGATCCAGAGCGACCAAGACGACCGGATAGCGCTGAAGCACGAGCATTGAGGTACGCACTTTGAATTGGCCCTTTCGAGTTGGATAAGGCGGGCTTGCGGCGTTCAACAGGAGCCGGTGATGGCTTGGTCTTGCTCCGAGTCTCCTCAAGTACGCTGCGCTTAGACTGCACTGGCCTGACGACTCCAGCGATCTCCAGAGAGCTCACGCTCTTCAATGAACGAGTGACATTCCGAGGAGCGATATCCTTAAGTGGGAGATTGCTGGCATGGGAATTGAATGGCTTTTTGGAAGGCGGACTGCCTTTCGTCTCAGATTCAAAAACCATGCCAGGGGGAATATTCTCTTTGCCACCATTTTTGCCAGCGATATCGACTCGGAAGACACTTTCCTGTGCAACTTTCTTGCTCGCTTGAAGCGGAGCTCGACGGGCTGACACAGTCAAAGACTTTCGGGCTTGTTGATTTGCAATGCGTTTCTCTAAAGGATTGAACAGCGTACCGTCCGTCACTGGGGGCGGAGGTTGGGCTTGTTGCTTTTTCAAAGGGCTGAAAAGGTCCATAAACATATTTGGGACGGTGCTGTCGTCTAGTGGAATGTAAAGGGTGTTTTGTTGTACCTTATTTTTCAATGCGGGACTAGAAATTGGTTGGCTTGTTTCGTTGGACAGTGCTCGCATTCCGTGCGATGGCTGTTTCTTCGGAATCGATTCAAGGCGGCTCGTCTTTTGCGGCGGTTTCGTCTCTTGGTTGATACTTTGAGATGAGCCCAGCGGGGCTTTATTATTTGGTCGGATTCGTTGGGCGGGTTGAGCCAGTAGCGATGACTTGCGAGCTTCTGACGTTTTGGTTGTTGGCCTATTTGGTCTTCGCCGTTTCTCTGCGGGCGTAGGTTCTTTTTCTCCGTCATTGTGAATTTGAAACCCCGATCCAGATCGATTTGCTCGGCGAGGCCGTACTCCCGTCAGAGTTGGTGCTCGTATCTCCGTGGTGAATTCGATGTTCCCGGTAGCTTCGAATGGCTCGTCACTATCAACAAAGCTGTCTAGAGTGCTATTTCCACCGTAGCTGCTGACATCAGATGATCTCAGCCTCAATGGGCATGGCGTAAAGGCTTCTCCGAGGATTCCAGACATCTTGGTGACGGGACCAAAGTTGTAGGTCGAAGGTGCTAAAGTCGCATAGGTCTCATAAGTGTGAGAGAGCGTTGTGACCAAAGTGAAGTGACCCTTGCAGATAAGCGGTGTGGAACAAAATAGGGTGATTTGCGAAGAAAGTAATTTTGGCGAATCGTGTTAAGGAAAATAGAGATTGAAAACGCGCTGAAGTTTAGAGTACTTGAATGACACGCGCCACGCTCGCGTCCACGTTCACTATCGGAGGCATGTACAGCTGCTATCGTGGTTACTGTTGACGCACGCGTTGTCTAGGGCAACTGATTGTTTATGTCATCATCGCGGGGCTTTATGTCATGTGACTTTCCGTGTCGCTCTTTCCCAAAATAGAGCTGGCTCACTTGCCCCTGCAGAAGCAACAAACACTTTCATGCAGCTCAGATCTGTGTATCTGTGCACATCATAATAAGCGTCCCACTTGAACAGCAAGGTATCATACTGAGATCATATTCTCCTTTATGAGTTGTACGATGGATGTAGGTACAGTTGGCCCCTTGATTATTTCTTGTTTAGCAAGTTTGGCCCTCTACGCCTCATATACTCCTGACTATGCAAAGAGGGTGTGTTTTTAGAGACTCTGTAGTTCTTTTTCCAATACCAAAATGCAAGAAATATGTACTCTCAAGTAGTAGTGTACTGGGATTGAACAAAGTACTGTATATTAAGTCTGGGCCCGGAATAAAAGACTATTGGTCTAGTCTGCATGCCGATGTCATCGCGAAAAGGAGGCGAGTGGGTCTCCACTTCAAATTAGACTCTCGTGACTTCTCCTTTCCCCAGACCTCAACGTTGAAACGTGGCCGTGTTTGCGAGTTTCAATAACACGCATACCCTCCAGGACTGAATGGTATTTGAAATATAGAACTTTTGGTGAGAGTGTTGGTCGTCCCACGACATGCTAGGCGCCAGCCTCGCCCTCTAATCTCCCCGCCGGCTCAACTTCATCCCTCGGCCATTTCGCGAACCCACATACTGTCTCCGCTTCCATTCTTCGCCTCTTGCTCCGGAATGATCCCCGGCCATGGAGTCTATAGTTTATGAAGATTCACCTTTGGCCGACTACCTCCAAGGTTCGTACTCTATACCACAACTCTTGGGTGTCACACGACTCACGATAGACAATTAGGAGAAGGAGAACACGAAGAAAACTGGCCTGTCGACGAGGCACACAGCGACAATGACGCCGATATCCCTCCCTCGAACTTTGCCCCTCGAGGTGCTTCACGATTTCAAGAGCGGGTCCGAAATAAACTGCCAAAACCTCTCGATTTAAGTGACACGCGCCACGGGGCCGTCGTGGGGACGATATACAACGCATGCTCGGTACGACCGCAACTAGGCCCCTTCATAGCCACCGGAACACTACTGATAATTCACTTACTATTGCAGTCTGCCTTAAATGCACGAATTGGACGCGGAGACAACGAGCGATTTCTCGAACAGTTCGGATATGTGATCGTCGCCTCGCAATTGTTAAATGAACACAGCGCCCCCTCCTACACCTCGGCCGCGGACGTTGTATCAGCATCACAGCCCGCCGAGCTTCCCTCCTTATCGACTACATTTGGACTACATGGTGCCCTCGTCACCGCGGCTACATCATTCTCTATCGCCTGGTTACTTCATTGGAGTCGCTCGAGAACGGGGTCTGGCTTCAATTCCAAGAGGGTCGGTATTCTATTGGTTCTGCTTCCGGTTCTGGGCGTTGTATTCTATGCGTTTGCCAAAAGACAATGGCTTAAGTATCTCCGGCACCAGGCTGTGGAAGCTGCAGGTACATTTATAGGCAATGCTCAAGGTTTCGACTCCGCTGCTTCCGCCTCGGTGGTTTTCATACAGGAGGTAGAACTTGTTTCAAGAGGCTATCGCATGTGAGTTTTATCATTACTCTAAATGGAGGAATTATGTACTAACATCGCTTTAGAAGTACGCCTTTACCCCCGATCAGTCGATTGGAAGATCAAGTACAAACTCGTCGTTGCCTACGGCTCCGTAGAGCAGTATCTGAATGCTTTTTATCGATGCTGAAGCGATATATCTCCTCGCAAAATACGCTTCGCCCACTCACCGATGACATCAACTTGGCGAAATATTACGACATATATGATATAGCATTGGAAGATGTTGAAATCCTTGAGTCGACATTATTACAGCAGCATTTGGATGATCAGTATTCCCTACGCTCATTACGAGATTTGTTTGGAAAACTGTACATTGCAAGAAAAAGTGTACTGTGCTGTTTATTGGCTCTCAGTGCTGATGGCGGCGGCTCTGACATTGCACGATGGAGTTCTGCAGTAGAGGAGATGCGAGAGCTTGCTGCTGTCACAGGAACAAGTATGACTAAGATGGCCAATATCCTCAACGAGGAAGACAGTAAGTTGTTTAATCTCCCGTGTCAACTCCACCCAAACAATAAACGCCTACTAAAACCTCTGCAGGGGAAGCACCCATTCCTCCATCCCCTCTGCCGTCCGCATCTCCAAGCAAGGATCACCTTCGTGCGCAGGTCCGGAGGTTGAACTCTTTATCTCAGGGAGTGCGTGCCTTGCATGCCAAAATGCACATAATCGGCGAGGAGACCAACGCCAATCTCGACAAACCTAATATCACTGATTTCGAGGCTACCCTTCTGTCCCAATACGACTCAATTGGTAATGACATTCGGTCGCTCCTTGAAGATTGGGAAATGGGTAAAGCTGCAATTGCAAACAGCCAACACCGCCTTACTGCTACAGATAATTCTCGACCTCCAAGTACCTTCCTCCCCATGTCTCCCACCCCTAGTTTGGGCGGCACTACGGCGGTCGAAGGCAGTCCCACCGATGCTCTGAAGGCCTTGAATGGCGAGGGTCGACCCGATCTCACTCACAGCTTTGACGACGAAGAAATCTTCGAGGCAGTCGTTCTTCCGGCTGCCAGGAATAAAAGAGCCTCGCTAACTCGAGACGAGCGTTTGGCACGTGTTCGAGAAGACCGTGCCCGGCAGGCTGTCGCCAGAGAGAAGGTGGACGCTAACACTAACATGCTCAAGGAATTGGAAATGGTCATTCAACAAAGACCGCGCAATGCGCAATCCAAGCGAGTGACCAGCATCTAAACAGATTGACCGTCGAGCATTTGATACCCCTAATGTAAATAGAAGGAACCGGCGTATATGGTGTCTCGGTTTTTCAGTGGCATCTTGATTTTATGGCGTTCATGGAATTCTGGCATTCTTGTTTTTTTTATTACCCCGAGCAGGGACTCTCGGTTGCTTTTTGGCTTTGCCCTTCTTGATCCAAGGGCATCCTTTGCCCATTTGGTTGGGTTTCTACTTCGTTGTACGGTACAAACTTTTACTTCTATAGTACAAATGAAACTACTTAACGGCAACTTGCTCTGAATCAATTTATTAATCCTCTGGCAGATCACCGGGTCATTAGAATTGTGTTGTCGAGTACAAAATTATTGAATTCGTATTATCCCAGTGCTTCCCTTGTAGAGATTGTGATCCGGACACCTTGTCGCCTGAGGCATCATATTAGCCTAACTAGGGCATATCGCCAAAGACGCGCTCACGCGTATTCCTTCCCCACTCTGAACCCTCTAACGCGATTTCTCTTTATATTCGTACCTGTCTCTTCTGTCTCCTTTGCCTGTCGCAAACTTACATTGATTCCTCCTTTCCACCCACCCTTACACCATAATATTCCTTCTTATCTCGCCATCCTTTTCTTCACTTTTTCTCTAACTAATAAATTAACACACCGTCAACAGTAAGTTCACAACGCTTTAATCTAACCTACCACGAGAAAAGAAACCAAACTGACCCCATGACACAGTGCTTGAAGCACGATTGGAGCAAGCCGCCCTTCTGAAAAAGGTATGCCTATAATTCCGGCTCCAAATTCTAAAACTTTGCAATGCCCTCTGACAAGAATCTCTTCTAGGTTGTCGACGCCATCAAGGACTTGGTCCAGGACTGCAACTTCGACTGCAATGACTCCGGTATCGCCCTCCAGGCGATGGATAACTCTCACGTCGCCCTCGTCTCAATGCTGCTCCGTGCAGAGGGTTTCTCCCCATACCGCTGCGACCGTAACATTGCTCTCGGTATCAACCTCGCATCCCTGACCAAGGTCCTGCGTGCCGCTCAGAATGAAGACATCCTCACCTTGAAGGCCGAGGACTCCCCCGATGCCGTCAACCTGATGTTCGAGAGTCCCGAGACCGACCGTTTAAGCGAGTATGATATCAAGCTCATGGACATTGACCAGGAGCACCTGGCTATTCCTGACACCGAGTATGCTGCCACCGTGGAGATGCCCGCCATGGAGTTCCAGCGTATTTGCCGTGACTTGAACGCACTTTCCGAGTCCGGTAAGCTATTAGCCGTAGCCCTTGACCAGAATTTCTAGAACCAGACTGATACCATTTTCTTCTAGTTGTTATTGAGGCCAACAAGGAGGGTGTCAAGTTCTCCTGCTCCGGTGACATTGGAAACGGCTCTGTCACCATCCGCCAGCACACCAACGTCGACAAGCCCGAACAGAATGTCACTATTCAGCTGTCCGAACCCGTTGCCCTGACCTTCTCCCTTAAGTACCTTGTCAACTTCTGCAAGGCCTCCAACCTTTCTTCGTCGGTTACTCTGCACCTTTCCCAGGAGGTGCCCCTCCTCGTGGAGTACGGTCTCGGAAGCGGTCACCTCCGCTTCTACCTGGCCCCTAAGGTATGATACAACTCCGCCCATAGTTTCCTCTTAAATTATACTAACCAGCCAATTCCACAGATCGGTGAGGACGAGTAAGCATGATGCCTGATTCAGGAAATACAAAACGATTCCCCTATGATAATGGAGAGAGCCTGACGGTCGACGGAGGCAATGAATTCTTTACTTTATTTTGAAATTTATCCCGCAATAGAAGGGATGGCGAAATTCCCAAAAATTAACGCTACTATTTTTTGTGCAATCGCATCTAGCAATATATCAAACGATCCAACGATCGAATCTTAGATTACAGTGTTTTACGTAGTAGAGAAGTTCTGCTTTATTTGTCTGAATTTCATTCGAGTCCGAAATGCTTCTATTGTGAATAGACCACACTAATAACCAAACTTATATGCCCTCCAAAACTTCCAAAAGCACCTCAAGGGCAGACGAGACGAGGAAAACCAACTACCTAAACGACCTCGATTCCGAAGTCAATGCCCCACAATTAGTAGAGTCACAAAACCCATCCTTTTCAAACACCAGCCCAGTGCACAAAAGCAACCAGACACAAGAAGTGGTGAGGAAAAATAGAAAACTCACCTAAAAGAAGAGGACCACCCCACACCAGAATAATCGGAATCGAATGATACCATCTTCCCTCCCAAAGAAAGAGAAGACAGGCATGCTGCGTATTGCACTAAAGTGGTTTCACGCACAATCTTCGCACCGACTCTCCCAAGGGGAAACCCAACCGGCAAGCCGGAGGCCCCGATGTTTCTGATGCCGGAGTGCAGGTGAGATCACACCAGACCCTTGCGGGCAGCACCGACTCCAATCATATAGAAGGGAGCGGGTTGGTAGTTGAAGATTCCTCCGAATTTCTCATTTGCGATAGGTCTCGGCGAACCGAGGATAGAACCGTAATTCTATCGTGTGTAGCAAAGAAACGCAGCATTGGTGGGGATGGTCCTGGAGAAGAGAAGAAAAAAAGGAAAAGGTTGAGGTGGGTTAAATAGTGAGTCAAGCGAGCTTGGGTTTTTTGCCGGTTGTTTCCGCTTTGCGGGTAGGGTAGCTTCCATGTTGGAGCTTTAAGCTTAAGGTCTAACCGTGGTAGATGGTCAACTGGTGCATGTGCACATTATTATCATTTTTTTATTATACCCAGTTCCCAGATAGTCACAGTCCCACCCATCCGTCATATTGTCCTTAATTTAATACAAATCGTGATTTCGTATCTTCTGTCCAAGAATTTTCTGGATCCGCCGTTGCCTTCGGTTTCCTGGAATTGTCGATATGTTCCTTCAATCCTTTCCCGAAATTGCAAATGCATACCACGGAGTTAACGAGCGTGACTCCCAGAAGCAGCATAGCTAATCCAGCGAATAGAGTCAAAGAAACATGGTAACTGTTTAGAAGACCGCTTTCTTCCCCCTGAAACATGCGTAGGAGTGTGTAGACAAAACTGGCAATCATGATAACCATGAGAATCTGAACACGAAGTTAATAAGTGGCCAAAGTATTATATAGATATGAATAAGGTTTCAATCATACCATCATGCAGATAAGGGATTTCTTCTTTTCCAGTCGACAGAAGCGAGCGGCTAGGATCAAGCTCACGATGGCTACGGGTATCATGGCTGCTTGAAGGATGAATTCTCGGTTGACAACATGTTGTACCGCAAGGATAACCTGCAACTCGGTGCCGAAGATAAAAAAAAAGTCAAACTTTAACAGGGCAATATAGACCTGTTACATCGTGGGGTTAGCTAGTTTACCGTGCTGCCAATCTGACAGGGATACTAACCTGGTATGTGGTATATCGCCAACTCATCTGTAAATCCGCACTGATACTCTTGTAAATTGTCCAAGAGAATTCTGCGCGCAGTTTCCATGTCACAATTGACATACAAATAGTGCCAACGGCTAGAACAACCGGTACCAGGATCAGCGCGATGCGATATTGACTCCAAAGATGCTCTCCATTGGAGATTGTTCCGCTTAGACCGGTCAGAGTATCCTTGATCTCTTTCGTTTGGATAACGCCATAGATCAAAAGACCAAGGTTACAGATGCAAAGACCCATTAGCTGGAATGTATTCTTCCGTCTTAACGCATCATAGGCGAGTACAAGCTCGTAGAGAAGGGCGAAGATGTAAAGACCGAGAAATGATCGGAGACGCAACGTTCCACTGCCATCTCCTTCATCATCGAAATGGTTGGAGATACTGATAAAGATCCAGCTAGATACTAGGTCAATATCGCCTGATCTGATCTAGATACGAATACAATTCCAATTGCATTTCTGAAGCTCGCTTACCTTTCAATCCCGACCGTGCCGAGCGTCTCAATAATACCTGTAATAGCGAAGAGACGTGTCCACAAGGTATTAGGAATATACAATTTCTTGCTCTTTGCCTTCGGAGCCGAAGCGTAGCGCGCCTCCTCCCCAATCGGACTGGTCGCCACACCTAAATCGTCGAGCTCAATATACTGGCCGTTATTGTGGGTGGAGAAAAAAGCAGAACTGCGGCGGGTCCTCCCTGAAGCAGTCTGGATAGGGGTGGGACCAGCTGCATAGGCTCCCACATTAGATGGCATTTTGGATCAAGGCCATGGAGCTGAGCAGGGCCAGAGAGGGGGGAATCAATTGTCGCACAGGCAAACGAGCCACAGCTACAGTAAATATTGAAGGCTCATGTTAGTTATGTTTAGGACAAGAAAGTGTTTACGTACTGCTGGCAATGTGGAGTGGAGCCGCAGCTATGAAACGCGAGATGAGCTGTCGGGTCTATCGGCCACTAGGCTTGTAAGTGGGGAATTTGGGAGCCTAGAATCGAATAATTCATCAATCTCTGTCAATTGGATCCATGGCGGTCGTTTATGATTGGAGAATTGTGGCTGGGTGTCGTATGGATTATACGAATATCCGAATGTAACTTTCTGGACATGTCGGTGGATATGCATGGATGCAATAATAGCTAAGCCCCTTTTCTATCTTTGGCTTCAATTTCAACTTCTTCAATAAAAACAATGGAGCTGTGGCTTGTGTGAGTGAAGTGGGGAGAATCAATCTAAATCATGTCGATCCATTCATGGAATATTCTAAGACTCCAAGCTTGATCTAAGTCAATTGAGTAGAAAGGGGGTTGAATCTGATCTCACCCAAAATAGAGTCTACGGACCTCAATGGAATTTAATTTGAATTATCATATCATGTCTATTTTTAACTGACAGAGTAGATCTTTCCTTGCATGGTTTACTCGAAGTCTATCTGGTTAATTTGTTAACTACATTCACGATTAGCTCTTTATCGCTTTTCTGTTCAGCTACCTCTACAGGTACAGTTTCCCGCAGGAATTACCTAGTAAAACAGCGACCGTTGAGAACAAATACCAATATATCCCAAGTGCCGACGTGTATGGGCGTGCCAACTTGAGAAAAAAAAACATTACGACGCGTTCGGGTGACTAACAGGAAAACTACCATTTTCCAAGGTTGGCCTATTTTAGACCAGCAAAAAACCACGATACCGGTAATACAGTAACACCCCTTCCAAATTGAGCTTCAATCCCACTATATTTCTACTCCTTTCTTACTCTTCCTCTCTTTCTCTATTGGATAGATCAACAAAGTATCTTCACACTGCATTATATCTCTCTACCTCCGTGGCTCCTATTAGTAATTCGTGTGCCAGTTCAGCAGAGGAAAACATCGCTACTGCAGTTTGGAAGCGGTCGAATCCGAACAAATAGCGCAAGCCCTGGTAGTCGTTAATGAGACGCTCTATAGTCGTATTTCGTTTCTTTTGGCGTTCAACTATGTAAAGACACGAATCCCATCCTGTGCTTTCCGAGAATAAGTGAAAACAAAAGGCAGTCGTCAATAATCATAACTGTGACAACCCGAGTACAACCATTAGCAAGTTTAACTGTCATCCAGCAGAAATTGCAAATAGAAACAACAGACCAGACCATGACCTCCATTGAGTGGTTCTGAAGAGGAACAGCTTTAACTTGAAGCCCGTCAATACTCTGACAAGTAACTAAAGGGGGAGAGATGGAGTATGGAAATACCGTGACATGATCTATCTAAGAGAGAGACTCGGAGAGGTAGCTCTGAGGAGAGAAAGACAGACCTCGGGAGAAACGTAGGATAGACCCCTGGGCATGTATAGAATAAATATTATATTAGCCGAAGTTAAAATAATCTCGTAGCACTAGTAGTAGAGCTTAGTTTGATAATAGGTTCAATGCTTAAATATATCGTTACTATGGCACGGTTAGGATCTCTTCAACTTGAATGTCAAGTTAGCACTGAGATACTAGTACTATTCGTTTGGAAAGACTGATCCCAAAAACGTTAATCTAGATTAGCTGCTTCGAATGAGTAATTAACATGGGTAACCCAATTGATATAAGACTTAATTGATTAAGTTGAATATGAACGACCTCGGGAGTATTGACAAATTGAACTTTCGGTCGCTTCGCAGGCTTCTTCTCCCTTTCTACTGGATCCACGAGTATAATGCTGTAAGAACTTTTACCGCAGGAGAGGTTTCGAAGAGCTGCATCTCAAAGACAGAGATATTTTAAGAAGTTTATTCAACATTTCTCCTATGTCTAAGTGCAGACCTCGCAACCCACGTAGTCTTATATTTCTGCACATCGTCTATCGTTTTTCCCTCTCGCACCTGTAGACACAGGTTTCTCGCTTCTAGCTTCTGAAACCGGAGTGTCAACTCGAGCGCTTCTCTGTGGGATTGCGTAGACATGCTCCGTGAGCTCCTTATTAAGAGTCTTCTTGGCCAAGGGGTAATATCATCGCTTTGCTACTGTCCCGATTTATAATAATGATTCCCGCAGAAGACTAAATATCGAATGGCTTTTTGGCCTCAGGGATAAGTGTAGGTGACAGTGGGCTGGCTCGTCATCAATGATATTGCCAATTACATGTCGCCATTGACGAATACGAACACCTCGAGAATATAGAACCATTTGCTCCTAGCTCAAACAGGTACTACCCCGCTGGGCTCTGGTAGTGGTAGGATCATCGGCTCCACAGTAACGAATCGACCTCGGTAGTGATAGATAAACCAGAATATTACATTCGGGGGTATTGCATGTGAATAGTACGCCGCTCAATAGCAGGGTAAAATAAGTTATAGAAATGCGTCTGTATTAGTAGGTGCCTTTGTCTTGATTTCGTACCTACATCCAAGCGATACATAAGTAAATTGGCAATTGCTTCGTCAATCAAAACTTGAAGAGACTCGGATCCAGATATTGCCCAACTTGAAACTTGAATGCTAGTTCTGTTCAAAATGTTCTCACGAGTATCTCTCACGAGTATCTTTCGCTCGAGATACTACTTCCAAGGTTTCCAGCTTGAAGACGCCAGTCACCGATAAACCTAGTAGTAGTTCTAAAACCGCTCGAAACATTCGAATCTAAGTTCAAGTCCACCTTGAAGTTGGTAGGTACCGTGACTTCAAATTTTGGCACAAAATACGTATTATCTGTCCACATCAGACAACACTGACCTGAGGAATTTCCAACCTTTCCGTAGTGCCATTTTGAACCAGTTGATTAGCTTGAGACAGTGCTTCATGATATATCCGAGTGTGCTTGGGTGAAAAATATGATCGCACTTTCCTCCAATAAAAGTCTTCCCGATACATTTCAAAGGCTTCTCAATTTAATATGGATCGCGAATAACCCAAACAAGCGCGAACGACCTTCGAATTCGATTTGTATGTCTAAAATCAGGAAATAGTAGTATGGGTAACTAGAAAACAGATTTGTGGGCAGATATCTAATGTGAAATGTTCGTAAGATATCATTCATGATTGTGTGTCCAGTAGAAAGCATCCGCAAAGCCTTCGAAAGTTTCAGGAGTAAATGTATCTATTGATCCTCGCCTTTCAGGATATAGGAAACATTACTCCAGGCAGTGGGACAATTATTATTTACATTATACTGCGTGACCGATGTAGCCTATTCAAATGATTAATTGTATCTTGTAGCACTCTGCAGTTAACTTTTGTTGTGCCTTTCAGTTTCGTAGCCGTGAACCTTTTCAGCCCTGTCTTGGACATTTGGTTTGAATAATAACATTTAGGCTAAGCAAAGCGCTAAGTTGCAAGAGTAAAGTCTGCCATGAGTATAAACTGCTCTCGCGCTGCTCCAGTTCCAAGGAGCTTCCTAGCCTGTTACGCGCGTTAGTTACGTCACGAAAACCCCACGTCTTGTGTATCAGAGATTGGAACAAAGATATAGAAGATGCTTTTCGGTAACCGGAAGAATCGACGCGTCAAGCTCAGGCGTGCAAATCTGTGAAGAGTCACATTGAGGCCATAGCTAGCTTTCCATATCCCCTAGCCGACCCCGCTATACAGGGTCTGATATGTAACTTCAATTTCCACGAAGAAATCAACTTGAAGTCTTGAAGAGGGGGAATGGGGGGCGGCAACTTGAATCTAAGCTTTTCAAATGTTGCTCTGAAGCAACATATTAGACATAGTCACAGGTCAACCGAAGCTCTTGCCTTGGCCATCAGCCCCCCGCCAGTGGATCATTTTGTTTGAGGCGTCTCCACGATGTGCTTTGATACAACGTTATAATGACAAGCAGATGGCCTGCGTGCCGGTAGCAAAGCTACAATGTTCGATACTAGTACTGCATAATCTCCTCTCGGCTGAGGACTTAGCTCAATGTGGCTTCCAGGGTTTTTCACCATCAGACCAGTATATATACATAATAGGGGAGATATTTCAAAAATGCATAGATGATAGATATAATAACTTGTGATGTACTGCCTCCCGGGCTACTTGGAAGGAAGAAAAGATGCAAAGTGCGGACGATAACAACATTGAAGTGACATCTAGAGGTTTAAGACAAAAAGGAGGCAACGCACTTGGTTGGACCAGCCAAAGTGCATTCAAACAGGACCAACACCCTTCCTTCACGTGCACCTCCATGTAACTGGACAATACAGGGGATTAATATAAGTCTTTGAATATGACCTGCCAGAGTAGATATTCCTTCTACAGCTTACTCGAAGTCTCGATCTCTTCGAAAGCCCGAACAATATATGATCTCCCAGCCACAACGACTTTCTCCCCCGGCACTCTCCACCATCCTTTCCCTTCCCCCTCAAACCCAGCAAGCATCGAAGGCAATTCCCTCCCAGCAGCACCAACCACATATCTTTCCCGCCATCCAGACCCAGACTCAAAATCTTCCCTCCGAGCACTAACATTCTTCCCACTCTTACTCACCTTCCAACCCCCCGACGCATCCTTCTCCCGAACAACAGTTTGATCCTGCTGCAAAGCGAGATACGTCCCCCAGATCCGACCCAAAAATGTCTTGGATACAGTATTCGATCCAGTCTCTTCTCCATGGTCACCATCATCCGACTCGAGAACCCAGGACATTCCATTCCCAGATCCCTCAGGACCTTCCCTGAACGGCAACTCCCGCCAAATCTCCTCATAATCGCTTATCGGGGCCCCAGGTACATCAGGACGAGGCATGGATCCTGTTTCGAGGTCGTCGCCATTCGGAAGGGAGACAAATGTGCCGCAGTCTGCACTTTCAAATGCATTGTGCGAGTCTAGTTCGTGTGTGAATGATACTCGAACTGGACACGTTAGCACCTTTCACTTCTCGATTGGCTAAGCTAAGCCGGCTGCCATGCATGGCGGAGATACATACGTGGATCCTGACTCTCAATGAGCCTTTGACCAGCAATTGCCCAGTCAATTGCGTTGGTCTCCTTATCCATTCGTAAATCGAGGTACCAGTCCTTAACCGACATGACGATTGTGTCTGTATTTTCGAACGCGGGCTCAGGGACCCATCGTATCGAGATACGTGTTGAGAAGCGACATGATGAAGCCGCGAAAACATCATCATCTGCCATTGCCGCGATAGAGCCAGTTGTCTTCTTTCTGTGGTTTGGTTCGGCGTGGTTCGGAGGGTGTTGGCTATGGCGCAGTGTAGATGTGTCGTTTTGGTAAATGGGCCGGTCGGAGGTTCTTAAAATCCGATTGTATGGAGGTAATGCGGAGGATGCAGTAGTGCGCTTGGTAAGATTAAGTTTTGGAATCGATTGGGTGGATTGGAGGGTTGGAAGAGAAAGAGTTGGTCCGTTAATTTGTGGGCGCGCATGAGATCAGATCAACACGGGCTCTTATCGTTTCCCCTCACAACCCCGCATCGGCTGGAGCATCCTTTTCTGTGCATATCCACGACCATTCTGACTATGCCTTCCAAGGCTGCGGTATGTATGTCCAAATTTAATTTTATTATAATCGATTGGTATGGATAACTTAGTGGTATTTTCAATTGAAACCAAATCTATCATTATCAAAACACATGGACTCTTTCGTATTATTATGTGATAGTTCGAAGTTTCCTTCCATTCATCCAAATCTAGATCCCCATGCTATAGACTCACTTAAACGGATGAAAAAATCAACTTGCATGTTTGTCCCTCAGGCCGTGCAGAAATAATCTGATCATCCAACTTCATAGACCCATCCATATCTGGCGCCACTGTTGTTTGAAATCGGGAATATACTTCCCGAAGCAGTATGCGCATTTCAGTCAAGGCAAGGCTATTCAATGAGATAATCAGCATCTGACAAACTCTCCTGAAAGGCCTTAATTAATATAGGTAGTGTAATCCAAGAACTTACTTTTTCCCAGTACATCCTCTCCCACCAACAGCAAAAGCAAAGAAATGTCTATTCCTTTCCGCAGCCCCATCCTCACCCAACCACCGATCAGGATAAAATCGGTCCGGATCCGGGAAGACGTTCTCATGGGCTCGATGCACCGTATACGGCTGACAACTCACAATAGTATGGCCTGGAATAAAGTATCCATCGATCGTTCTTCCGCCCTCGGGTACATAGCGTGGCAATGACATAGGAATAGGCGGGGAACAACGCAGAGCCTCTTTGATAACAGCTTCAAGATACAAAAGGCTATCGAGTGGCGCATCGGGCGGCGCAGACATTAGTTCATGTCGTAGTTTCTGTTGGAAGATGAGATTGTGTGGTTGCGAAAGTTCCCACATCAGGAAGCAGAGGCCGTCGCCTGTAGTGTCAATACCAGCTGCCATGTGGTCTTTGCATTCGGCTGCTGCTTGTAGAAGCTCTAGGCCGGTTTCCTTGCGCTTGAGCTTCTCAAGGAGGGTGAAGCTTTCTAGCCCCGGTGTAGTTTGGTTGACCATGTCTAGGACATATTGGTTTGTTTTGGGAGCGCTTCTGGGGTGCAGGAAATTGGGAAAGTAAGGTGACAGTGAGGGTAGATAATATTCAAGAAGACTTTCTGTTCGTCGTAGTTTATTAGAAACTTGCCACCGATATTTGAAAGTACTATAATGGAAGAGATGGACTGCCTACTTTGAAGACTTTGGTGGTAAGTCAATTCCTGCATTATTTCGAAGTCCTCGGGGATATTGAGCGACTTGAGACCGCCGGGGCTAAACATAAAATGAGTAACACAGTCCACAGCATAGCAGTGGAGTAGTACCTTGATCGGTGATCAGTGATATTTCTCAGAATTATGGAATGAGGTGGTTTACATAGACATCGACACTCTTCTTGCCCGCTGCAGCGCACTGAGACACAAATGCCGTTGCACGCTCATTGATAGCAGCTAAAGGTCCTGCTTTCATAACATTGGTCATGGCGTAGCGCTCTGCGAAGATACGCTTTCTTTTGCTGTGCTATACTACTGTTAGACAGGCTCAAATTGGAAATATCAGGGACCTTTACCTCATCCTTGGGCAATGTGGAGAACATTGTTCTGTTTGATAGTTAGAAATAAGCAGGAGATTATTGGGAGCTAGGAAGACTGACGTGATTTTGAACTGTTTGAAAAGACTGTAAAATTCGGTTTTATCATAGCCACTGCCCCCAGAAGCATAGATCTCCTTGATGGCATCAAGACTCGTGAAAGAGACCTCATTAGGTCCCAGGCGAACAACAGGTCCATATTTCTGATGAAGTTTATGCACGGATTCCCTTCGTTTTGCTGTGAACTCTTGATATTTGATCCAGAAACTGGTAAACCGTGTATACCACGGACCCGGCACCTTGGATATCGGTGAAGTGAATCCACAACTCAAGAAATATCCCAGCAGAAGGATAACTCCTATCCACAGCAAAAGCATATTAGTTATCAATTTGGACTTGAGTCCTCGAATTTCAAGATGTAGGTGATCGATCGGTCGTATTATACGAATCTGGGTAATTGTTAGAAAGTACTAGCCCGTTGCAATGGATTGTGATTATTTATACCAAAGATATGATTGATCCCGCGGACCCCGAACTTTCTTAGATAATACTATTGCCATTCAACTACTTTGACTCAGATAGAGAATTTGCCGATCCGCCAACTAATCGATATCAGAGCGCAGCGAGGTGACAGTGAAGTGGGGCGTGCGGGGAAATCGAACGGACTCAGCAGGGACCTCAATAGAATTTGACACTTGAGACTAAAAGGGAAGGCTGAGGAGATGAAAGGATTAGAGATAGTCGGAAGCGTGCGATAACCAGCCCGCTTTCGTTTTAGGCCAAGCTTATCCCTGCTTCGCCGGTTATCTATAGCTGATATCGAATAAAGACAATATGGCTGAAATCAGGCTTAGAGATAAGGATCGGGTCCGGAAATCGAAGTCTCGCCATACTATGAAATAACACATAAAGGATCGCAAAGCATGGGCTATATTACTAGATAGCATAATTTATTTAATTATATCATATTGTTTTGTTTTATTATTGTGAACGATCATGTCGCTTGCTAAGGTCGCTGGACATGCAGAGTCGGCCGTCCTCGCCGAAGCCGGCCAGTCCAAACCAGTTCGACTTAGTCCTACTGGCAATCCACTCATCCCAGCAGTAACCAATGATCCATTGGATCCGTTGAACTGGAGCTTCATTAAGAAATACACATGCATCGTGATAGCTTGCTTTGCATACTGTCTAATGACATATTTCACCACGGCCCCTGTACCAGCATTCACTCAGTTCGAGGTACAATTTCAAACAACATACAATAAAACCAACTGGACGTTCGCGATACCATGTCTCGGTTTAGCCATCGGTCCACTTCTTACGTCGTCCCTAGCGGAAACCTATGGGCGACGGATTGTGTTGATAGTGAGCACGGCTGTGGCCGTTCTTGCGAGCGGATGCGCTTCGTTAAACGATATTTCGTTGTCGGGGTATATGGCCGCTCGATTTTTCCAGGGACTTGGTGCTGGGCCATCGGCTAATATTGGATTGACTATTATCAATGATCTTTCGTTTGAACATGAGAGGGGGTTCCGTGTGGGATTGTGGGCTATGGCTGCTAATGTTGGGACAGTTCTTGGGGCTGTAGGTATGTCCTTGAGATATCGATCGCTATTGTTGCTGTTGAATTGTATAACTAAGAGTATACAGTTGGTGGATTTTTGGTATCTGTTTCGACATATTGGATCAATTATCATATCACGATTTTGTTTGGGCTCTTGTTAGTCTGTGAATGCTTTTTCTTACCAGAGACGCACTACCCACGAGAAATTATGTTGGGGTACGAATCCCAGATAGAAAGGTCCGAATCATCTGATGGAGGTTATTCACCCGGTATTAAAAGGACAAAACAGCTTGGGCTCATGGTAAGGCTACTAAAAATTGTTAACTTGAAGTTGAAATTCTAATGATTTTCTATAGCGCTTTCAAGCTATTCCTGGCGTGCGACACCCAAAAAGCTGGGACGCAATACTCGAGTTTTGCAAACTATGGACCTACCCAAATATCTCCATCAGTGTATGCGTCTACGTGTTCTTCCAGTACTGGTGGTTCGTGCTCAAAAAATTCCATCTCCATGACCCAACGTTAACTTCTTCTCAGGATCTGCTCCATTATGACAATGGAGCCCTTGGCTTACTCGAGCCACCGCGTTGAAATACAAGGACTTCTCTTCATAGGGCTCATTGTTGGTATTGTATTTGCAGAAGTATTCTGTTCGGGTCGACTTAGCGACTGGATAGTCGCTCGTTTGGCTCGTAAGAATGACGAGCGGCGCGTTCCCGAAATGCGACTATGGCTTGGATACCCTGCAGCGCTGGTGGCTTCGATTGGACTTATTATATGGAGTATATCTGTAGAGCGCAACTGGCACTGGATGACTGGTCAAGTAGCTTTCTTTCTTTGTGAGTACAATTAGATTTCCATTGGCTTTCCATGCTAACTTTCTTACCTAGATGCTGCGGGCACACAGGTTGGAAATACCGTGCTATCAACTTATATCGTGGACAATTACCCCGAATACGCGATGGAAATTATTATGTTCTATTCGGTAGTCATTAATGTGAGTTATCTGCATCGTGCTTGACCTTTGCTTACCAGTAGATGGCGCAAAACTGACACTGAACGAATTACAGATGTCCGCTTTTATTAACCCGTGGTTCATCGATCTATGGGTGGAACAATCGGGTATGCAATTTTGACGCTCCCAAAGCTTTGGTCTTCACGATTTAGCAAGTTTTATTTACTAATTATGATCTCTAGGTTGGGCTTGGACCTTTTCAGCACAGGGGATCATCTGTACCTTGGGATTGATTCCGGGTTATGCCTTGCTTCACAAATACGGCCCTCGTATGCGCAAACCTTTGAAGCTTGTAATGCTGGCCAATCAATAACGACAACATGGACTCGGGACTTCAAATTGGACGTCAAATGGGACAATCATCTGATTGAAAAATTGAGTGTGTGGACATTGTAATATCTAAAACCATTATTGGCCATTCCAGCCACAATGCAGTATTTTCTTAAACTATGAGCCTTCCAATAACTTGAAGTTCAAGATGTAAACAAAAAAGCAAACATCGATTTTGTTAATAACTAGCTCAGCTAATATCACACACCTGTGGAGTTATATTGCTTTGACAGAGGGGGTGACTGAACCTGGAGCGGCTTTTTAGTAGCGGCATTCTATATTTCAAGTTCTTATTTGCTTCTTGAGTTGAATAGTACTAGTATGACGCAGTTTGATTTCCTCCTTTCAACATTCGGTTTGATTCGAGAAAATCCAGTGACTTGGGAGAAAAATTGCGACTATCAATCCAATCCAGTCCTTGCTACGCATAACCAGAATACGATGGAAGGTTCGTGATCTTCTGTTTATTTGAATAAGGAGTCGCTGCTCTAATCTTAAAATGTTTAGGACACTATCCTGGATGCAATGATCCCATATTCTCGCTGGGGCCAGGTTATAAGAATAGCGAGACGATTATTATTACCACAAAAATTGAACATGTTCTATCATCATCACGTCAAGGTTGCACCTTCCCTCGCTTTATTTTGATTATGCTTGAATCGACAGAAAGTAGATTTGGCATTTGCTCTAGGTGTTGGGAGATTGTCTGGTTCTGGTGTTTGTTCGATGTTCACGGTTGCATGCGAACCCAACCCGGCGGCTTCTTTTTCCTTGGACCATTTGAGCAACACCTGGGAAGGATTGGTAAATGATATGAGACGAGGCTGGCGGAGATCAGGTAACGAAGCAGCACTATCGGAATGAATCATCCTATTGCCACATTTTCTTACGAGGCATAATGTGCTGCATTAGCTACCGTCATTACAATTGAGCCCTCCGCTGAGAAGCGACCAGTCAGAAACACGTCTTTGACTCACAGGTTCTGATGGGTGCTCGCATGGTGTCTGGTAAGCGTAACAGACAGCCATAAAATCACATAAGTTGTCATCAACTATCCCCTCTAAGACAACCTTGATTTTTATAAGCGCAGTATCACGTCAGTAAGCGGGAAAAATCGCGATAGAGCTTTTGAAGGGTCTAGATAGTCGCTTCTCTCGGCCCATACGTTTGAATTAGGAATTTCCACTGTAAAAGAAATACAAAAACAAGGTTAATGACAGCTAGTCGAATCACTGCCATTGCCCATGCCGAAACTCGGGTACCCTGGAATGTGTCTCCTCCATAATTGACGAATCTGCGTAAGGGAATCGAGTAGACAAAGTTGTGGCCATGGCCCCGTTTACTATGTCATATACTGGTGCTCTTACTTCATTTCTAAAGCCTGACGCCCAGCTCCCTGTGATAGGAAAGGAATTGAAAGACTCTGGTGCACTAGGCGCCTGGTCCATACCTGTAACACTATGTTGGAGCGGGAGCAGCGACGGTGAGTCACATCGTCTCAGATCTTCTGCTTCTAGCCCATGGAACCATTCTCGCTTCTTCAAACATATACGGTACCATCGACTAGGTACCTTATAGTGTCCATCGAGTCCAGCAAGAAAAAGATTTTGCGTGACGGAGTCAATGTAGGTCCATATTACCACACTGTTTAGTTGGATAATCGTGCCCAGTGCCGTGCGGCGGGCTGTGTCATATATTTTTAACAGAGATGTGATGGCAGCAAAGACTCGGGAGAAAACTCTCTCAGGAAGTTTTCGCACTTGAGGAATATCAATTGCGAGAAAGGCATTCAAAAGGCCCTGAGCAGCGTCCATCCACTTCGCTGATATATCTACCCAAGCAGCATTCAGAGGTGGATTTGAGCCAGGCCTCTGATGGCCGTTTCCGAGAGGGGGAAGCATGTAAAAATAGCGGTTCAAAGAGTCAGGATCTCGAAAAGCCTCGCCGTTTGCGGCTTCGTATACCACAACTTGTGTATAGTAATACTCCAGCATCATCCAGTCTATATGGGGATTAGCGGTTGGGATCTTGTCGGACGAAGCATCCACCATGCAACATACTAGTCGTGGTTTCTTTGATTAATTTTCCTTCCCAAGACCGCATCTGGGTCCCAAAATATCGCAAGATTGGCTGCAATTGAGGCCGTTCACCTGGAGATTTGTAACGAGTGTTATCGGCGCTGAAAGCCATCAGCGTATCATCAATAATTTTCTGAAGTTGAAACCAGCATGCCAATTGTTGGTTATGAACATTTCTAGAGCCATCAAGAATTTCGGCGCAATCTTTGAGAAAATCGTTCCGTGGAAGCATGTTGAGTCCGCCAGATTTGGCTGCAATACTGTAGAACCAAGATAAAGACGTTATTCATCACCAAAATCATTATGTGACATCAAGGCAGAACATACCTTGAAGCAAGGTGATAACTAATTAGAATAGCTCTTGCCTGGGCTGTTCTGTCATCGATGAAAAGCTCTGTGTCCTTTTCCTGAAAGCGCACATGCAAACCTAGCTCCAAAATCATGGTACATGCGATGTGGGTGAACTGGCAAAGTCTAAGGCGCTCCCTAGACGAAGGGGGGTACTCAAATACCGCCGCCAAAAGAAGAGCTTGTATCAACTCCAAGGACTTCTCTCCATTTAAGAAAAATGACCTAGCATGTGTAGCCAGAAATTCTTCATGTAACGTTTTCGCTACATCCAGACCCAAAGTGACCGCGGATGCTGCCATGATGGAAAGAAATAGTATAGGCTTTTGCCGGCGGAGAAAAGAAGCTTCCATGTCACGAGGTAACAGGACAAGTGGGAAGAAATCAGTCAATTCTTCTGCAAAAAATGTCATCAAGCTCTGCGAGGTAGCTATTGGTAGGATCCCACGATCGATGACATCCATTTCGATCGGCGATTTTCCTAACCAATTGATATCAGTGACATCACTATTCGCACTCGGTAAACTCGGGGTTTCAATGAGAGGAGACGATTGAATGGTCTGCTCATTGCTCTGAGCAGTGAAACATGGTTCCCTTCCTTCCCCTTGAGCACCTTGCTTAGCACCGATATTCCTCAATAAAGAGCGCATCTCCAACATTTCTCCCTCTAGTCGAGCGACTTTTGATCCTGTTCGCATGCGTGGACGTCGTATTCTTGGGAGTTTGAAGACACAGTGTCTTTTCGCGTTTACGCATCGCTCACATTGGTCAGGGGTTGACAAATTTGGCCTACAGCGGACTTTAAGAGCTCGGCAACTCTCACATGATTTGTTTGCCCGTCCTGATGGTAAAGTGATATCTCTTTCCATCGCGATTGAAGTATTTGACTTCGGATTTTTGAACATCTTCTTTTGTTAGTCGCGACGGGTAGGTGTAGTGCATTTCTGACTAAGGCTGTATCTATTACGTACACATGGCCTTCCATTTCGGGTAGTATGAAACCACACCAACAACAATTTTAACATTCATTCGCAAACAATACAGGGCTATCAAACGAAAGGTGTCATGGTTTCAATTTAATGTTCCTGGTATATGTTAGTTCAGCTCAAACATTAGCTAGCAGCTGGTAGCCGGATAGCGGAAAGGGTCGGATACGCGATATCCGGAAAGATGAATCTTCACGGGTGCCATCCGCTTGGCATGGAGATCGGAAAGTGTTTTAAATTCCGATTTTTATCCCTACGGTCTGGACACCAAATACGACTAGCGGCATTTGGTGTCCCGCAGCGCAATCTCTCACTATAAAAGAGTTTTCGGATAAGAAGCTTCAGCAGGAACGAAATGAAACAGGCAATGATGCTAGGAATAGGCGTATCACTGCAGCAAAATCAATGGTGCAATAGGTGCAATAGTAATGATTAATGAGAGTCCGCATGTGCTCTTAATGACGGTTCTTAGGTAGGATCGATCACATTCAAATTCTGATCAGCTAGAATGTATAGTGACCTTCAGGTGGCGCATTCTCTCCCACTCCGATTTCTAGCCTCATGCTACGCGCGATCCAGACAAACCGTATTTTGCTCCTTGCCTCCGACCAGTCTTCTGTCCTGAAGAACCCTCCTTTCTTTCTCAAAATTATCCATTTTGGAGTCCTAGTTTTCCTCGGTCCTATGGCTACACCGCTAGGAAGCTTCAAACGGGCCCAGTCTTCCTTTACAAGCTTTGATAATAGCCACTTTCTTAATAATCACTGTAGATAGACATCTGATGTATCACCGTGGACTTTATAGCTTCTCCGCATCAACATGTCCATCTTTCCCCGGAGGGATCGTTTCAAATTTCGAAGCGAAGACACTTAAGTGTTTACCTTTCCCTAAATTGGAAAAAAAAAGCGCGGGGGAGGGAGAGGGCAAAGAAGATTAGATGCTTGTTACTCTGTCTTCTCAAAACAGCATCATGAGCCAACTTAGGTGTCAACAATATAATTATCGGGTCTATAGCAACGCCTAGTTCTGGACACTGTAACAACGTACTGAAGGGTGCCAAGCTAGCACAGGATGCAAAAATCCGTATCGTCTCTATCAAATTTGTTTATCCGTGCTTTATCAGATTTCTAATTTTGTTTGGCACAACATGGCACAATATGTGACATCACTTCGAGTCAGACTCGTCATCATGTGGATATGATTGCAGGATCGACATGGTTACAGAGGGGACGCACAAATTTTCGTCATTTAGTGACTGCGGCCGATTGGTGAAACCATCAGGGGCTCGCACTGTAAAGATAATCCTACATAACGGCACTAGTTTCCAGTCTATTGACTCATCTGCATTCGAATTTCCGCTTCTTTTTCATCGACCTCAGCTATATTGCCATTTCAAAATGAGCTCTCTTCATATGCTTTTTTCATTTCTTCTGGCCTTTTCCTTGGGATGTACTGTCTCAGCAAATGTTTCCTGCGATCCCTCTACCCTGAATACCACCAGTGGTGTGTATTATGCACAGGAGAACCAAACACTCTTCGATATCGCAGATGTTGTGTCCCGTGGAGTTTGCGATATCGCGCGCTACAATCGCATGGCGGATGCCATAATTCCATTGACGACCGATGAAGAAATCCTCATACCTCCCCAGGTCTGCAAGCCAGACAATTCGACATGCCTGATCGTGTCCGAGCCAAATGCCACCTATGCGAACTGTGTTGTAGGTGGACCGCACACCTACCTCACCCTCAAGGGTGACACTATGGCCTACATTGCTTTGAAGCTCAATCTCACGATTGATGCCTTGATGAGCACTGCCTGGGTACCAAATATGGGATCTGTGAATGATACGGTTGAAGTTGGTCAAACCATCAAGATACCGCAATGCAGTCCAAGTCAGTGCATTATCCGACCTGGAGAATTTATTTATGGCACATTCAAGGATCTGGCGGCCAAACTGGGTTCTACACCAGGCCAGCTAATGGCTCTCAACCCAACTTACAATCATACTGTTGCACCTCAAGGCGAAGGTCCCATTCTTACTATGATCAGAGATTGTACCAATCTTTCAAAGAACATAACTATCATATCTTAGAAACCTGGCAGCGGTACCTCGGAGAGGGGCTTTTCTTCTTTCTATATGGTCCAATTGAAACTAGCTAGAATGATCTATCTAGTTCTAGGTGTCGGAAATAAGTTGCAGATAATTAGATCAACGTGCAAGTGTTCTAGCAGCAGCAATGTAGAGAGTTATCGTGACAGAATCTTAACTGACTCAGTAGTCCGCGTGAGCTTGCTCGGCTTCTATGGAAGAGTCTGGCATATATGCATACATGCGAAAGGCAACATTGAAATTATAAAATCAAAATCTAGGTCAACACATAGACTTCGTCGCATGCTCTTAGATACATGACCATCAAAAGTCATGTAATTGGCCTCGAAATGGCCTTCGCTCAAAATTTCAAGTTTCCCAAATCCTGAAGAATAAAGTGAAGTGCATGTGGCTTAGTTCCATTGTCTTAACTTTAGACTTTCGGGAACGGAACTTGTTATATCATCCGAGAGCCGTTCATCCAACCCCAGTATTTCGGTTGGATAAATGCTTAACCCCCCGCAATTACCCCCGCAATTGCCCTGTATGAGCATTTTGGTTGTAAAATGCTGTGGGGTTTGTCGTTATGTCATAAGATTCACAGTTGATAGAAAAAATATAAAGCTAGACCAAATTGGAGATGACGCTTGAATTCAACTGACATTTTTGCGGTATCTTTCAGGCTCTCACGATGAGTAAAGAAATGTTTCACCTATCTTCACTTTGGGTCTTAGGGCTGGCCGCCTTCGCTTGGGGCGATCTGAATCCTCCATACTACGCGAATTTAACATGGCAACCCGCTCGTTCAATATCTAATTGGGCCAATTTGACTGTAGAGACACGTACCGGCACTTTCATTGGCAGCCTTAACGATACATATCCCGAAGTCCGACAGTTCCTGCGTATTCCGTTTGCTCAGGTAAAGAAGTGTTTTTCATTCCGTTTGAAACGTTGAATTGACAAGAAGCTCAAACTTCTAGCCACCCGTCGGTGATCTACGATGGCTCCCTCCACAGCGGCTACGTGACTCGTCGAAAAGAATTGATTCTACTCGCTATGGCCCCGGTGAGTGACGGAATTCGTTCATGTTTCCCGAGAAACTTCAAAGAGGTTTCGAACCCCTTTTGCTGTAACATCAAAGCTAATTTTTCTAGCGTGCCCCCAATATGTGGCCACCAGTGACGGCATGTGGTCAGAGTATGAACCCACTAGTCTTCTGCTCAACATTGGCGAGGCCGACAACCAGGGGTCAACAGCATGGTCCTCTTCCGAAGATTGCCTCTCACTGGCTATCTGGACACCCGCTGATGCGGAAGATTGGTCAAAACTACCTGTTGCATTATTTGTCACGGGAGGTGGAGGTGTCACTGGTGGCATTACGGTCCCATCGCAGCTACCATCTCATTGGGTTGCGCGATCACAGGAGCATATCGTGGTCACAATTAACTACAGACTCAATATATTTGGAAGTAAGTAATCCGATTAATCAGCCTACTGAATTGAGATGAAGTCACTAAACGAGCGCTTGTCTAGATCCCAAATCAAAGGCAATGAAAGAGACTTCATTGACATTGCTGGACGTGCGTGCTGCAGTAGAATGGGTCTCGGAGAATATTGCGGCTTTTGGGGGTAACCCGGATAATATTATGGTAAATCCTTTCCGGAATTCAGTGAAAATAATGACTATTACTGACTCTGGAATATGGTTCTTTAGCTTTGGGGGCAATCTCAAGGGGCAGCTCTTACGCACTTATACACACTTGCCTTCCCAGACGATCCACTAGTGGCAAAGTTCGGTGTTATTTCCCAACCACCGACTGTGACTATAAATCTCACCGAGACAGACGATGTTTACCAAGACTTCCATATTGTAGCAGAAGGTCTTGGATGCAACTATGGAGACGACTGGGATGCCGAACTTGAGTGTATGCGCCAGGTTTCCTGGGTACAAATCGAAGAATACATCAATCGCTATGATGGCTCTCCATCAATTGCATTCACGAATTACATCCGTTCGTCTCACACTGGCATATACTACCTGATCTACTAGTATGCCTTATGAATACTACTAGATCTGTAATGATTGAATCAGCAGCGCTAACTTTTAATGACATACTAGCGGATGAGAAATATATATTCTCAGATGAAACCGAGCGATACCGCAAAGGCAAGGTCGCTCGAGGCCCAGCTATTAGATCGGATGCCTCAAGGGAGCAAGCCAACACAAACCAAAGTGTGACGATGGAGGTGGAGGGTGAATGGATTTGCACAGCATATCAAGACTCCCTCCTCCGGGCGTCGTTGGGACTCGAGACATATCGTTATTTGTGGGCGGGTAACTTTTCCAACATCAGCCCAGTACCGTATCTCGGAGCATTCCACTGGTCAGATCTTTTAATGATCTTCGGCACTTATATGACAGACGCTGGTGAAATTTCTGAACTTGAGATCCAAACGTCGGAAACAATGCAGGACTATATTCTCGCTTTTCTCAAGGATTCCTCACGCGTCAGCTCTTCTGTCGGTTGGCCCGTCTTCCATGCCAGTGAGCCAAATGGTGGATTGATCCTCGAGTTTGGGAATCAGACAACCGTGAGAAATATTACCGGTGACTTTCTTGAGGCTGGTTGTTGGAACTCTAGTATCACGTTTCCAATTTATGAGATTGAAAAAAGGGAAGGCCAGAAACTGGCATGAAGTGAGCCATGCAGGAGCAAAATGCGGTTGCCGCGTCGTATAGTATCAGAGATGTAGACGGATTGCAGACCCCTGTGCTTATTGGAGCTAATTTCTGTCTGGCCTTTCATCATACCTGTAGCTAGTCAATCAAGGTCAAGAGACTGTTTTTGGCACATACAAAATCTACCTTAGAATTCCAATGATAGTTGTCAAGTCAAGAATTCGCCCCCAAATCAAATCTCCACTCTCATCTCTCGGGTAGAATGCGGGGTTCGCCCCGCATTCTACCTTCAATAATGATCTATCTAACGATGTGGTATATCAGTGATTTTTTTTGCCGGCATTAAAGTCTCAAATGACTTGCAGCCAGGCCTCATACATCAATATTCTATCAGTGTGAGCCGATGCCGGAGGTCTACAAAGGTTTATGGAAGGACTATTCCAAGCTTTATGAGGTCTTTTACGAATACATACTCATTTCTTTGTTGGACATGGAGAGAAATCATTAAGAACATTTGAATCTTTTCAGTCAATTGCTTTTTGACAATATTGAATTACGTCCATGCTGTCGAGACAAGTGCAGCAGGCCAATGGTTGCATTCCTTCAGGTCTCAGTCCGGATATTGTCTATCTCGGAAGAACCTATCTATCAATGTACGTTGGAGGAGGTTTTCAATGACATTTCTTCAGGATAAGATGATCACGGTTCTCAAAGAGTAGACTTCGGAAGGTAAAGAGGCATGGAGTCTTCCCACATGGAGTCAGTCAGGGCGGTCTTGTTCGAGCCATCTTTGTTCATGATCATGATCTGGCCATAAGGCTGGAAAGTATTATCATATAATGCGCACTCGTATCGGAAACCATTCATACCGGTTGACCACATAATGCGGCCGTCCTGAGTCCAAACAGCATGGGCATCATTGGCTCCACTGCTGGTGAGGACCTGGAGGTCAGTACCGTCGGGGCGAATTGTGCAAACGTCATAATTGTACGCGTTGGTTTTCCGAGTGAAGAGGATCAATTCACCGTCGGGTGAGTACTCTGGCAAGTTATCCCATTCCGTTGTTAAAACGGTCGTTTTTCTTGTCTCCAAGTCAAGAATACGTAGGCCGATTTCTGATTTGTTGCCGTAGGTTGCAGTATCGGCGCCCCAGACACGATAAACAACATTTTTCCCATCGCGTGAAAAGCTAGGGTATCCATTGTTGAGTTGCGTACTGTTCGTAATGGAGTAGGCACTATCGACTAGAACCTCGGAGTAAGAGCCATTGGCAGTTGATCTCACGATCCATCCACCAGACGCTTCCCGAGTTTCAAACCAGAACCCAACCCCAAAAACGAGCCACTCTCCATCGCGAGACCAATTTGGATTGTATGCAGCGACACCAGAAGATTGTGACGAGGTAAGAAAATCAGCTTTGCTGGGGTCATAGACCAGTTTCAGGTCACCCCCAGTCGTGTTCAGCGTGACAATTGAAGAGTTTCCGAGTTGCTTTTGCGTAATTACAACCCGATCATCCACAGAGGAGTACTGCGGGAAGACGTCATTGAATCGATAGTCCCATTCAGGGTCCCAACTATAAAGCTGTTTATAGCTATCACGGATCCCCCACGTCGTCTTTTCATACACCACCTGTTTACCATCTGGGGACCAGCAGGGTGAACGCACGGTACCAGTGTTATTGGAAAAGAGGCCAGATGTTGTATAGAATCCTTCAGTACTTGTGCCACTTTTTAGAAGATAAGCGATTGTACCATTATGGTCCAGGTATTGAGGAAATATCTTGACACCAGCCCCACCAACTTCTACTCGTCTATCTTGGCCCGTTGCAACATCTACCGAGATAATTGACGAGTTTGCCGACGAAAGTGTAAACTCGCTGTGCGAGTTGTAGGTGTCTTCACGAGTCATCTCGTAGTAGACAAGACGTTTACCATCCAACGACCACTTTGGAGATCCGAGACAGTAGTAGGGCTTAGTAGCTACCCGGCGAAATCCAGATCCGTCGGGACGAATCACGTATATGGAAAGCTCTTGTGTCGTTTCCCATCCAGTAAGGCCAAGGTATGTCGGTTCACCGTGGCCACTGTACTGTGAATTACGATCCGATGAAAATGCAATCCATTCTCCATCAGGAGACCAAGCCGGTCGGAAATACCCATTCATTAAAGAGGAATTGGTATTGGAGGCGATAATTGGCGTATCCGTGATATTCCATTTCTTTCCTGTCACCATATCCATGACCCAGATGTTCGCTCTCAAGTTGTTTGCGGTGGAGACATAGGCAGCTAGACGTCCATTTGGAGACAACGCCACGGAATCTTCCACCGACGGAGTGGCAACCATTTGTTCTAGATCTGAACCATTTTTGCGGACTCGGTAGATATCAGAATTTCCATCGCCATTCCGTTCGGTGGTGAATGTCACCCATTCTCCATCGGGAGAGAAAGATGCATGGTACTCAAATACGGAATCGGACAAAAGCTCTCGCTCATTGCTGCCATCGGTGTTGGAGATATAAAGTGTGGAAGTGTCGGGAGCAATCCGATTCATCAAAAACACGCCCTTGCTGCCAGCAGTTTCACCCACAGAGGTGGAAGGAGTACCTGGAGAAGTGAGACTTCGAGGAATATTGGCGTGGGCTTTTATTTTTGCAAAATCGTCGAGATCGTTTGCTTTGTCAAAGCCATATGGACACCCAGCTATAGCAAAACTGGCAGTCAAGCCAGCCAGCAGGGCAGAAAAGACTCTCATAACGAATTTGATAGAATAAGCTTACAAGATCGAAGTCCTTCACATTTTCAGAAGACTCACAATGGGACTACGTGGTATTTATCGTGCTCCACGTCCATATTCTGTCCACTGACATCACTTGTGGTACGCAGCTCCGGCATTAGTGTCTGATTTGCTGAGACGTTATATTGAATAGTTTTTCCATCCCCTAGCAATACCAACAATTCAATCAATAGCCGACCACAATGTTTGGATCGTCATTTGATATCCTTCGCTTAGTGGTCTTGGCATCTTGGCATCGATGGTTTGTTATTCGGAGAAAATAAGGGTAACATTCGGTCGGAGCTTAGTATAACTTCCGGTACCCGAGTGGATTTGATTCTCGAGTGTGATGCCAATGGGAGGGCGTGGAGGGCGTCGGCGTTCCGTACCGAGTAGATTCATCCGCCCACAACATGCCAGCAATGCACGGCTTTTTTTCCTACACAGGAAAATTAGACGTCGATCCCTTCTCCACAGATTGTACATTCTGGAAAATATTCTTCCGGAAACCCCCAGTTCGATTTACAAGGGGAAACTTTTCTATCTACAAATGTTCTCGGAAGTTCTCAATCTGCCACTAGCCGTGCCGAAGGACACTAATCCAGGGTGCCGGATTAGTGTCCCCCACCGTAACAGAAAATATCACTGTAAGGGAAAACGTACCTTTTGTATAGATGTGTCATATAAAAGACACCTATTTGTGCTTTTTGAAAAATCTTGAATAACTGATTATTTTTATAAGTAATCCTTATAGTTTAAAACATAACATGAGAAGAATTTGTCTGTATCTTCTCCGTTCTAGAGTTCAAAGCATATTAAATGAATAATAAACACTTAAAATTGGGTTGAAATTGGGTTGAAATTGTTTTTCTAGTCTCTCATAGTAAACTTTTACTAGGAAGATACAAAAACTACGGTAACCTCCAGCTGCAATAAGGAACACCCCTATAGGCCCGGATATCGCCAAGTTAAGCTTCATACCTGCTATCTTGAGGGATACTATTGTTATGACTCTTATGAGCCCTGAGGTTCGGGCGGTAAGGCACGGCAGTACTAGCCGGGACGGAGGGCAGTAGCAGAACTGCCGCCGGCCCACACATTCACGTCCGAATAGTTGCCTGTAGCTTTCTGCCCTCTCCTCATAGCAATATTACCATATTGAGCGCACTACATCCCAGTAGTTTGGCCGTCTTAACAACTATCCTTGATATCATAACATAGTCTTTCTTTCTTTTCAAATGAACCTAATGGTATAATCTAGAGTATCTATAAAAGGAAATTTCTCCATCTGTCTATCTTTCCATTTGTCTTTCCAATTATCTTTCCGATTATCTTTCCAATTATCTTTCTAATTATCTTTCTACTAGTTTATCCCTACTAGTTAAATAAGATATAAGAATAAGCCTTACAATTTATCTTTCTTTAAATCTAAATTAGTATAAAGCTTACAACCCTAGAGTATAGATAGTAGTATACTAGTACTATATATAGTAGGTACATATGTAGTATTTTAATAGGTAAGTATATGTTATCTACCTACCTACTAAAGTGATGACGCTACAGGCATGTACCAAACATGTGTGTAGGGACAGAAAGAACGAGGAAGATACTGTTATATTCTGACGGTGGTGGTGGGAGGAAGCTTTTCCTCCCATCTCTCACTAGCTACAACCGAATGGCGGGCAGAATGCACCCCCGGCCTACCCCCGCGCATGGATGCACCCTACTGACTTGCCTCCCTTCGATGGGGCCATCGATCAGCTGGAGCTAGAGGGTAGGGCACGAGGATTCACCATATCCCTTCAAGTTCTTCGTTACTGATTGGAAACTATATGTGTAATCTCTTGCTTTCAGTCTCTTAGTCAGCCTTTAGATCCCTCCTGCTGCTCGCCTTCTGCCGTCTCATTCTGTAGGGACCATCCGAAGTGACCTGCTCCGACTTACATCGGCTGTCGTATCGGATGACTTCGATCCCGAACCAGTCAAGCCACTACTTAAAGTCTCTCTCAATAATGCCTCGACGGATGACCTTACTTGGAGTCTTGTCGATGCTGCTGTAGCGGAACCTACGCCGTTTCGAACGATTGTATCCTCCCTATAATAAATACTATGGGTTTAAAAAATAAGTAGCTTTGCTAATTCTTCCGACTATTGCTAAGATATTGATAGAGTTCTTAGATCTGAATTGGGCCTTCTATATGTTGGACTCTCTTATTTACGAACAATATCTCTTGGGGTTACTGATAGTCTTAAAGATGTATCGAACGCGGTTTTTAAAAGATATACTGAAGCTACTAAGGTACTTTTTGTTAATAGATGGAAAGGATGGTCTAGAGATGTAAATCAGGAGGATGTCCTTAGTTGGTTTATAGATTTAAGCGAAATATTGGTGTATATATTAATATGATATAACCCTAGGCCGATGTAATTATATAGATCTTTAGTACTATCTAATAAACCTTTTTAAGGTTCTATAGTAGATCGGAAGCTAGATATTGGATTTGTAGATAATACTATTGCTGGAAAGGATACCTCATGCCAGTGGTTATAAATCCTTATGCTCGGAGAGCTGAAAAGTAGTCTGGTAGCTGATATAGCTTCTAAAGTATGACTTGGCTTGGGTAGATATACTTAGGAAGTCCTGGTAGTATAAGATATATGAAATTTAGTACTAGGGCTTATATTATATGGAGTTTTTATAAGGTTTTAGGGGCTTAGTGGAATTATCTCTAATTGTTTTAATATTAATAAAGACGGGCTTTAATTTGTATTCACTATACTTATATTTCTTCGAATAAGTGAGTTTGACTATGGGTTTGACCTTATAAGTATAAGATAATATAGTTAGTGAATTATTGAAATATAGTAAAATGGTTATACTAAGCACTTTGTGTTTGGAAGGCTAATGAAATGGGCTCTTTGTGTTGTAGGTTGAGCAACAATATGCTGGAAAGTATATAATAAGATATATCCGGGGACTTTATTTGTTGTTAAGGATTCTTGGTAATATATAGAATGCGATGAAGAGGGTGAGTTTTAAGAGGCTACCGAGAGGGGTATGATTAATGTTGTATAGTATTACTACTATTTAATAGTCTATATTTATAGTAAGACTAATGATATCCGGGGAAATATTTGAAATAGCTTAGATATATAGAATGTAAGTAAATATTAACCTGCATGTTTGACTGTCTTTTCCGATATAAGTGTGTATAAGGGTTCTCAACAGGGGGGGGATAGCATTTGGTGCTTTTCTAGTGAAATTGGAGTATCTTTATTGTCTTAAAAGCAAAAAAAGCGATCCTGTTTAATATCTTCTATTAAAGTATCTAGTAACCTACTACTAAACTAAGTCTATTGGTGTATTGTAATATAGAATTATAGAAAGGTAATTACTTGTGTAGCCCTGTTTGCTGTCTTAGAGGGTTATATGGCAGGATATTAGTTCTTGCGAAATGCAGGAATTCTTCACTGAGATATTTCTATTAATAATCTTCTTACAAACAAAGATAAAGAGAATCCCTTGTGACCGCTGTTCCTGATTGATATTGATCTTACTATTAAAGAATAATATAACTCTGTTACGGGAGTAACTAGAAAAGCTGGTACAAGAGCCTTTATATTAATTGGTTCACACATAGGAGAGAAGTATTCTTTTATACATAATCTTGAATCCTTTTTTGGGTAATATTTTGGATATACATTCACTACGATAGTCTTGGTAATGGAAGGATTGTTGCAAGATTTGACAAGTAGAATTATATAGACACAGAAGAGTTAGCTAATATAAAGAAAGGTGAGGTTATAGATGAAGCTGATTTTGTGAAGTCCGCGAATAACCATTGAACCGCGTACTATCGGCCACTGATTCCATGCGTCAACGCACTAAGGAAGGCAGTCTTCCCTCATGGTCATCGGTGGGCGACGGAAGATACGGGACTGTATGATCGGATGAAGAATATCTTACAGAACACCCAGGCGAAGTAAAAAGATACAGTATTACAACCTTGTTATGTGTACTAATCGCTTCTTATACTACTTACTATATGCCGTAGACCTGGACCCTAATGCATGTCTTTTCTATCCAATTGAACTCATCTGCTGAATCTTCTCGGTGCGGTGAAGACAAGCATTATCCATAATAAGGACAGACTCCGGCTCTGGCCAACTGTTACAATACTGCAGAAATTACTCGATAAATTCTTCAAAAACATCGGCATCGATAGCGCCTTAAAATACCCGTCAGAGAACACTTCCATCCTGAGCATTGCATATACCGGGAGTATCTAATAGCGTCCATCCCAATGGAACTTAAAAGATTTTAACTAGTGTCACACCGAGAGGGGACCAACTCCCCTCTTTAGTAGGTAGGCAGACAATACATACTTACCTATTGAAGCACAATTTACCGTACATAGTATTTATATACCACTGTACTCCAGGGCTGTAAGCTTTATACTAGTTAAGGTTTAAAGAAAGACAAATTGCAAGGCGTTTTCTTATGTTGCATTTGACTGGTGGGGATGGACGATTAGAAAGACGGACGATTGGAAAGACAGATAGATGGAGAAATGTCTTTTACGGATACTTTATATCATACCATTAAGTTCATTTAAAAAGAAAGGATGGTTATATTATGACATCAAAGATAGTATCCCTTAGGATAGTAGGCATGAAGCTCAACTTGGCGATATCCGGGGCCTATAGGGGTGTTCCTTATTGCAGCTGGAGGTATCGTAGTTCCTGCGGGTCTAAAACAGGCCAGAATAGCCTCTGGACGCTAGGTATAGTCCCCTGTACTTATGAGGCAATACTTACGGTCGCAAGCTATGAAGGCCATTAGCTGTCAGCAAACAAGCCTTATAGTCATTCACTAGGGGATAATTAGTAATGTCTTGGATGATCTGGTCCCATAAATAAACATGGCACCATCGTAAACCCAGTATCAGTTGGGGGCCAAAGGCCACAGTGTGGCTTGCCTGAAGCACCACACCCAGTGGAATGCGCCCCTTCCCGTCCGACTTCTCCAGTGCTACTAGTAAGATCCCAGCCACCACCATTGCAATGGGGGGGGGGGGGGGAAGTTCCATGGAGATAAGCCACAGGCCCTTGGCAGAATGCAAATGCTTGCATGAGAGTACCAGTCCTGAGCAAAACATATGCGACCGGTGGACCAATGGTGTGGCTGAGTATCGTGTGCCGCAATCCCCCCAACTCTGCTTCATCTGCATGACGGGTTCCGCGGTTTCAAATTAGTGGATAAGGCTGAATCGGCCAAACCAATTCGGTTTCTTCATGTGTCAACTAGGAGGGTCAGGATTGGGAGTAAAGCAGAGTCGGTCTGCAGCGTGCATGTCTGTACATGTACAGGATGCACTGCACTCCGTGACTGCGATCGAACTAGTGGATAGTGTTCATATCGACCTGTACATCGACAATTCGAGACCAGCCGCAAAGTTTGGTTGGACCTGAATGAGCCTCGTCTGGATGAGATGGAGTCGGCCCCACTTGAGCCACGTCTGTTGCGGTTTTTGCCTATTCAGGGGCGAATGGTGGTTTGTCTAGATTTTCGAAAAGAAGGCCCATTCCAGTGTCAGCCTCCGGGAGGATCAGGAAATAAATAAATATAAAATAAATAGAGCTTTGGTATGTGTATGGAGTACACGGGAAGTAAGAAGGAGGAGAAAGTTATGTGTGAACGTGACTGATGACCACGGACAAGAACCCCAGATAATACAAATGCACCCCTTGACCCTTAATTACCCTTTCTCCCTCTCTCTACACTTCCAGCCCCAAATTGATGATTCTAAGCCTTGTTGCCTGCAACGCTGATCCGACCACGCTACGCCCCGCCAGACCCAAATAACGTCCCCTCGGAAGGAAAGAATAATTTAGCTTTCCCGATCGTGTTTCTTTCCCTTCCGCAACACTCGTTCAATCTCAACTGCGAGGATCGCCCTGCATCATCTCATGTTCTCATAATCTCAACTCACCTCCCTTTCTCTCGTTTTCTCCAACCCCAGTCTGTCGTGCAACTTGCCAAGTCCAAATCTGCGGCACACGAGCCCCCCTTGTGTTTCGCTCTTACGTCTCAACGTATCAGGGACTAGTCGACTTTCGCTCAGCTGCGGCTTCTGTCGCCCTCCAACTAAATAAGAATCACAAATCCACCTCCGGTGGTCACAACCGTCACTGTGTCTTTCGTACAGCACTCAGCGGCCCCGAGTGCCGCGTCGGAACACTTCGGCAAGGTACAAACTCATGAATCGGATTCTTCTATGTTATTAGGAGGAGCTCCGCTGGATCCGTCGTTTCGTCCGGGATTTCGCGGTCGCGAAGGTTATGCAGGTGCCGCTGCAGCAACGACACCGCGCTCCAAGATCATGTATATTCCTAACACGACCTGGACATGGTCTTTCGCCATCGTCACCTTTTGTCAGACATTAGTGGTTCTTGCGCTTGAGATGTATGGAGCCCTCCCATGTTGAAAAAAAATGACTTTTCTCTATATTACGGAAGAATGTCAAACTAACAGTTTCCAGTTATGTCTTCGCGAACTTCCAGATCCAAGAAAAACACAATGACAGTCCTGCCTCGAAAACCATTCCGACCTTCCTTGCCCTCTACAGTTTCGGTTTCCTCTACGAGTTAGTCTTGGTTTACGATGCGCTGAAAATGAAAAACACTATCCAAATTATTGGTCTCTGCATGTGCAACGTCGGACTATTGGTTTATGGCGCGGTCCAGGTGAAGCAGATCCGCACTGCAGTCAACACCTTGGCTCTCATGAACGAAATCGACTCCGTTGTCTGGTCTGAATCGGAACCGTTCCTCATCGCCATCCCGTGCATTGTGGCCTTGGGAACAATTTTGATCGCGTTTCTGGCGTGGAAACTATACGACGAATTCGCATGGACAATCTACAAGCACATCAGTGCGGATCTACGAATGAAACGACGTTATCTGACCTATCAGGTATGATTCACCGATTTTTACAGTCGCTAGCAGTGAAATTAATTTGTTCTAGATCTACATTGCTCTCTTGAAGTTCGATTTCTTCTTCTTCCTAGGCTTTACAGTCCAGTTCTTGGTCGTGGTATCTCCCAACCATAATGCCGAGTTCTACCTCACAATCATCGCTGTTCCCGTAACGATCCTCATCCTTCTATGCGGTGCGCTCTTTGTACGCAGGGAATCAACAACCGGCATGATCGTCATCATCCTACTCTTCTTCGCTGCCATGGCCTACTTCTGCTTCAAGCTTTTCCGCATGTACGACGCAGCCACTCGAGACATGTACTCTCCCGCTCGTGCTTCAATGACATTTTTCGCCATAATCACTCTCATCCTGATCGTCGTCACAATCATCAATGCTTGCATGTGCGTGAACAACTTCCACCGCGGTCTCAAGCCACACATCACCACGAAGAAGGCCAAGCCCGAAGAAAAGACCACCGAGCTTTCATCCAACATGGCTGGTGAAACGGTCCCATCACGAATGATGATCGACTAATTCCCATGACCACGAGGCGGTGTATTTTATTGAATGATCCATGTAGGCGTTGTCAGCACAAGCGTTTTATCCTGTTTTCTTTTTCTTCTTTTTTTTCCCTTTCTTTTCCTCCCTTCTTCCTGTTCTCATCTGGGACTTGTGTCCTAGACAAGCGTTTTTTGTTTCTCTTTTCTTGAAGCCTTGGGTTTTTGGGCTCTTGATATGATACCTCACTTGCGACCTTCCTTTTTACTTATCTTCCCATTGCCTCCGCAGCTTGGGCATAAAATTCCTGTGACTTTACATTTGTTGATTTACATAGCTTTTACGAGTGGACCGGCGCTATCTAGGTGCGATTTACGCGGAGTGTTTTTTTCTTCATGTCATTTATGGCATTCCCTATACCCTTATCCATATTTCGAATGATAATGACTTAGTCTCGCATCGAAAGACTTGACTTTTCAAATATTTTCGTTAATTACGAACGTAGAGACATTCTAAAAACATGTTTAAGCGTATGAAGGCATTTGGCTTCCGTAATTGTGTTTATCAGGTCTCGCCGAAAGAAAAGTTAGTATGGCTTCTACCGACTCATATCAGATCAGATCAGATCATATACACTCACTTGTGCGGTATTTTGAGCACCAAATTTGCCGTTGTGCAATCGAGTGTCTGCAAGAAACACAAAGATAACTTCTTCCATGGTTGTTTTTCCGGGCCTACCTATTCAGTAAGAAACCCCCGTTTATGTGTTGGTGGAGGTCACGGGGCCCCATTGTTCAATATCCATATTTCCGGCTGAGGAATATCAGCAGGGTGTCTCAAGTAATACCTTTCATTCAGTGAGCAAATGGTGGGTTTTAAAAAAGCGGAGATTTGAATATATGGCTAATGTTTATGCTAAGATTCCAGGTGTTTGATGGGTACCAGTGGTGTGGCGCTCACAATGATATCAACCTTGGAAGCTATCTAGTAGGCTAGAACAACTATCAACTTCTCATACCTGAGCCATACGCAAGAAGACTTTTATCTTGCTCATCGAAATATTGATAAGTACATACCGCCATTGAGCTGTTTGTCTTAACTTTGGTACTGGACACGGCGCAATAGGCCATTTATTTCTTTTAAAGAGATATTGGAAGATACATACACCCTTGATTCTATCAATGTGTTTTCAAGCACGCCAGCTAACTAGTTATACTGACTGATGAAAAACATATATCAAAGACCAACCATTTGACCTGAGCAGCTGTCGAACATTTGATGGGTTAGCTACAGTAGGAAGAGTCTAATTGGGTGGAGGCGAATATGGGGTTCCGGCGGACCAAAAAACAGAGCTCCAGAGAGTATCATTGGCCAAGCCTCCGTCATATATACGGTAAATTACTCCAGTTTAAGCTGTTTATGACCATACATTACATACGCTAGTATCAATCAGGAAACCGTGATCGTGGCCTCAATTCGACTCCGCAAACCTCCCCTTCCCTCACCCTTTTTCATTCCTTCACTCGTTCAATCCTTTACATCCAACTAATCACAATGGTAAGCTCCCTCAACCTCAATTGCTTCAATATAACCAATATACACTCCCAATGGCCCTCCACGCCTATCCCTCCCACCTCCTTTCCTCCCAACACCCTTACACATCGACGACTACGGAAATCCATCTCTAACAATACACCTAGGCCTCTCCTCGTCCCGCCTCCCCTCTCACCTCCGGCGCTGAGTCCGGCCCCGAGTCCAAGTCCGCTGGTGCTGGCTCTGGCGCCGTTGCCTCCGGCTCCTCCGTCAGCCGTCCTTCCTCGCCCACTCCACCCGGTGGCCCTCGCGCTGCTATGCGCCGCCGTGCCGCCGCCGACCACAAGGAGACTCTGCGAAATGCTCGTCCTAGCTCTACTCGCTCCGCCGGTGCTGGTGGTTCCTCCGGCACCATGCTGAAGCTCTACACCGATGAGAGCCCCGGTCTGCGTGTTGACCCCGTTGTTGTCCTGGTTCTGAGTCTGGGATTCATCTTCTCGGTCGTTGGTCTGCATGGTGAGTTTCGACACCCTATCTTATCTCGTTTGCGCGTGTTGCAAGATTCATGAACCTATAATAATGACTTACTGACATGTGTTCGTTTCTAGTCATCGCCAAGGTCACCCGCAAGTTCTCCGCATAAGCGATTTGATCGACTCCAATTACCCTTTACCTTCCATCTCTCAAACCTTCTCCTATACCCCGTGACATTTCCTCCTTCGTCTGTGTGCAAAAAACAGCGTTGGGACCTCCAGTTTTGTTGGCTTCGCTGGTGATATCTTTTTTTTAAACTCAGAGCTTTCTCTCAACATGTGTGGTGTTATTCGTTTTCGTAGGTGCTGATGGAGCACCTTGAACCTATCCGCTGTGTAGGTTGTTCGATATTGTCTATCGTTGGTGTCGATGCACTCCCTGTCCTGTGTATGGCTATGTTCTCTGCGATATAAAGCGCGGAGGCGCTGGTCACCAGTACTGTGGGATTGTGTTGAGCAGTGATGAAATCCGAATGCTGTGTATCATATTCAAGCTAAACGTGTCCACTGTCTTGCATTCAAGTATTAATTGACTTGTTCCTTGAACTTATCCTTGCTAGTATTCCGTATGCATACATAGTCGCTCCTTGTTGATTTTCATGAGCACGTGTCAACGCCCTAGTCACCGTAGTAAGTTATTGGGCGGTTAATCCGCGTAAAGTCAAAATGAGATCAGATAGGGTCAAAGCTAGCAAAGCAGGTAATTCCAATAATAGATTATGTATTAGAAGTGGACACCTTGGAAGCGCCTGTAGCCCTGGAGGTACACGGGTACAATCTTTAGACTAAGTGTGCCAGGGTCCAGCCAGGCTTTTTTTAACACGGAACATGAATTTTAACTAAGCTCACTATAAAATAAAACAAACCGGCCAGCTTGAAATGTTCCAAGGTTAGCGTGAAATCAAATTCTCAGGCTAAGTCCACTCCACTATTAAGGATACATAGAGCCCCAGACTGACAGCAGATTGACATGCATAATATAGAATCAATCACCCCTTCCCCAATGACAATAAGCATCGAGTAAGCATATCATCTAACCCATTTACTGGTAGACTCTTTATCAACCAATACCCACGGGTTCTCCCGGACCCTCCCAATTCCTCCCAATTTCTCCCGTTTGTCCCGTTTCTCCAGACTCCACCCACATCGACGATTCAGAATCGGAAGCTCTTATCTCTACTTCAATCTAGCCAATCACATCCCAGCAGCATCTCAACCACTGATAAGCCTACGACCATTCAGTCGAACAGCCTCGCGATAGGCCATTCTTGGCTAATTCTTATGGAATTAGAAGGTTGTCATAATGTATTTCTTATCTGAATTCGTAGGAATTGTCCTATCTAAGCTCAGGGATCGGCATGCGTTTCTCTGGGGTTAATTCAGTGCGAGGTCGGAGAGTGCCTATAGCCTGTACTCTGCAGAGGACTTATATCAATGTGCTGTTCCAGGCCTTTCGAGGCTTGGATTGTAACATAGAAAATTCAGACGAAATCACACTGGCATTCCATAACCCATTCTTTTGGAGGGCTAGTTTTTCTTTTACAATCATACCTGAATTGAGTTTTAAGACCTTATTCGACGATATACATTGATCGTGTCGAGAAGACTACTATACTCCTGTTTTCTCTTTATTTTAAACCACAGTCGCTGCTGTCGGTTAGATCAATTCGGTTTATTGATCTATAGCCATGTCGTCGGCTGACACGGTCACTTTCACGGCACCCTTGTCCCAGGGATTCGGATATGGTATTATCCTGGGGCTTGGGTTTGCCTTTGCGCTGCTAATGATCTTCATCACTTGGGCATTGAAACGGTAAGACTCTGACATAAACCGAGAGCCGTTTATTAGACATACAATCTGACATCAATAATAAAAATCAGATACCAAAATGAAGTTCAAACCTCCGAAATGTTCTCAACAGCCGGCCGCTCAGTAAAGTCCGGTCTAGTCGCCGCCGCAGTCGTCAGTAGTTGGACATGGGCCGCTACACTCCTCCAATCCTCCGCAGTCGCATACAAGTACGGTGTCTCGGGACCATTTTTCTATGCATCAGGCGCAACAGTTCAAATCCTCCTTTTCGCAACAATAGCCATCGAATTAAAGCGACGAGCCCCGAACGCACATACATTCCTCGAAGTTATCCGCGCGCGCTACGGTACAATGGTGCATGTGGTCTTTATTGTCTTCTGTCTCATGACGAACATTCTTGTCACTGCTATGCTGCTTACTGGAGGATCGGCGGTCATGACATCTCTAACTGGGGTATCGACTCCGGCAGCTTGTTTCCTGCTTCCCATTGGTGTTGTGCTTTATACTTTGTTCGGTGGTATTAAAGCCACTTTTATCACGGATTATCTACACACTGTGGTTATTTTGGTTGTTATCTTTCTGTTCGCGTTCTCAGCTTATGCTACTAATGCTGAGTTGGGATCGCCGGCTAGAGTTTATGATGCATTGGTTGAGGCTGCGAAGAAGCATCCTGTTGAGGGTAATGCTGAGGGCAGTTACTTGACTATGAGATCTAAGGAGGGTGGAATATTCTGGATTATCAACCTGATTGGTATGTGCAAACTTGTTTGAACATGTCAACAATTAGTACTAACAAGAGGATAGGTAACTTTGGAACTGTCTTCCTTGATAACGGCTACTACAACAAGGGTAAGTCGCGATCTCACTATCAAATTCCAAATGTACGACAAATCAACTAACATCCCCCAGCCATCGCCGCAAGCCCCGTCCACGCCTTCCCCGGATACGTAATTGGTGGTCTCTGCTGGTTCGCCATCCCCTGGCTCTGCGCCAGTACCCTCGGGATCTCAGCCTTAGCCCTCGAAGGCTCCCAGCGCCTAAGCAGCGACGACGTAACAGCCGGTCTGGTTCTGCCATTCGCAGCAGTCAAGCTCCTCGGTTACAGCGGTGCCGTCGCAACAACTCTTATGATCTTCATGGCTGTGACATCCGCCTTCTCCGCACAATTGATTGCCGTCTCTTCGATTTTCACCTACGATATCTACCAAGCATACATCGACCCCAAAGCCAAGGGCAAGAGACTAGTCTGGATCTCACACATGTCCTGTATTGTCTACTCCATTATCATGGCCAGTTTTGCGACAGGCCTTTACTACGCCGGCGTCGGTATGGGATACCTATACTTGCTCATGGGCGTTATCATTTCCTCCGCGGTCTTCCCCGGCGCCATGACTTTGCTATGGAAGGGCCAGAACAGCATTGCAGCTGCTGTTTCTCCACCTCTCGGTCTTGCTATCTCATTGATCGCTTGGCTCGTGACTACAAGCAAGCAGTATAATGGTGTTTTGAACGTAACTACCACTGGAGAGAAGTAAGTTTTCAAATCCCATTAACAAATTGATCTACTATATATTACATGGTGCTAACATCATATCCAGCTACCCAATGTTAGCAGGCAATGTCGCCGCGCTTCTAAGCCCAGTTATAATCTCTCCTGTCCTCACATTACTCTTCGGCAGCCAGAACTACGACTACGAATCCATGCGCCAAATCCGCAAAGTCGACGACACAGAAGTAGCCACAGAAGCACACATCGACATCGAGCTCGTCCCAGGCGAAACAACACCCGACGAAAGCCAAAGCGAAGAAGAAACCCGCAAACTCAACAAAGCAGCCCTGTACTCACGTACATTAACTGTGTTCATGGCCTTTGCCTTGCTAATCCTCTGGCCTATCCCAATGTACGGTAGCTCGTACGTATTCAGCAAAAAGTTCTTCACTGGCTGGGTTGTCGTTGGAATTCTATGGCTCTTCTGTACGCTATTTGGTGTTGTTGTTTTCCCGCTTTATGAGGGCCGAGAAAGCATTACTCGAGTCGTGAAGATGATGGCGTATGATGTGATGGGTACTCGGCCTGCTGTTTATCGTGGACGGAAAGTGGATGGGATGCAGTCTTCTGGTGCTGTTACGCCAACAGGGAGAATCGCCGAGAAAGATGAGAAGGTTGTAGAGTCTTCTGTTGAATGATTTCACTTTACTATCTACCTCTAATGCTGTATGTTTTGTTTATTGGGAAACGGGACTGGTCTTAAGGTTGTTTTGCTTGTGTTTGGATCGAAAGATTTATTTATACCCACTATTTGTTAGAAATTTAATATCATGGATAAAAAACAATTTTTTTTCGTTTCCTAAAATATAGTTTCAGTGCTTGTCAAAATGCTTGATCAGGACTCGGGGGTATAGATAAATACTATTCCTTTAAAACTGCTTAGCCCGAACCTTTCGGCTCAAGTGCTACTAGTAGGCTACAGGACTGTCCGATCTAATTAGAACAGGCGAACGTCCCATTCCAAGGCCCACTACAACAGCGCAATGAAAGGTGCCATAGCAATTATTCAAGATATTTCACAGGTTTATATTTCATGTAGTTGTCGATAAGAATCGCTAAATAATCGCGGTGATAGGTAGATCAGTAGCTGCGCAACTCATTTTCTGATCACGTTTACAGTTAGTCAAGTTTACGTTATGGCCCGCGTATGAGTTGATAGTACCGGTATCATAGACAGAATTGCCTTGTATTGCCCTATTTACAAGCACAAAAAGAAGTAGGGTTACGCTTAGGCCAGGCACAGTGACAGCCCCGTGTTCCTGAGCAGTCAGCTGCCAGTTGCCAGATATGGCCATTGCAAACTGCAATCACACTTTCATCCTCTGCGCAGTCATATGTACCCGACCGATGACAAGAACCCATTATATCAACGTGTGCATAGATACCGGCGACAGCCAGTGAAGAAGCTAAAAGCAGGCCTCGGAATAGGTGCATTGTGAAGGACTGTAGTAGTCAGATTCAAGTGCAAGGAAGACAGGAAGATAATTGAGCGGGATGTTTAAGGTATATTGGAGACAGAAATCCGGATTCATGTCTACGATGATGTGTTTTTATAATACTCTCGACATAGACGCACATGTGGTTTAAATGTGTAGTAAGATATAACCTTGACTTGGGGATATGAATAAAATCTCGTGGGATCGTATACTACCTAACTTGATTTCACGAAGAATAAAGGATCGGGGATCGCGCATAGACCAGAAGAAGATTAAAACATTGCGAAACGACTTCTCAATGAGATGTAACGAAGAGATCAACCGAGAACAACCCGAGCGCCGATAAAAATTTGCCGAAATTAAAGCAGCCGATCAGTTTTAAGAAGGCCCCGAACGCCAGCATGTTGCACTTCTTCCCCACGGGGCAACGCAAAAGAAAAGTTCCGCCAAGACTCTATTCAAGTTAAGTTTGATTCTCACTTGTAATCAGTTGGGCCTTGTTGCTGTGGTGGTGGTGCCGGTTGGCCTTTCTGAGTTTCAGGCTGGGGTCCAGCAGCGCCATGAGCTTGTGGGGGTGGGTGCGGTCCCGGAGGTGCCCATGGATAAGTTGGCGTCGGAGGTGGCCGTGTGTCAGGTGTGATATCAGGTCGATCACTTGGACTTATTAATATTTGATTCGAGTGTGGGCTTTTAGTGTGTCAATGTATCTTACCGAAGATCCTGTGAGAAACGACAGGTGTAGCACATCACCTCCTGTAAAATTTGTTAGAAAAGCTATAATATATAACGAAACAAGAAGAATAACACTGGTGATAATCATTTGGGGGTTATAGGGTAGTATGTAGACAAAAAACAGCAATAGTGACTTACCTTGTATTTATGGGTGGAAAGAGGGATCAAAGGCTAGATAAACATTAGCAAACTCATTAAATGGAAGTAGATCAAATGTGTCATCTGAAAATAAGAACAAAACCATACAATGAAGCAGATAGTAAAGAAAGGCCTATAAGGAGTTGGTAATTGTTAGCTGGGTTCCTCGGAATCAAAGGTGCACATAGACATAGCCACATACCAGCGGGTGATGCAATGTCCATTCCAGTTCCGGCCTGGCAGACGAAGCAATCTTATGTTAATTATTTTTCATGTTGTAATAATTCCGATCAAATGAGAAGCTTACAATTGTAGCAGTAAGCACGGACATTCTCATATCCCTCTAGCATAGAGGTGAACTCTGTATAATCCCATTTAGTATCATGCTGGATCAAGATAGGGTGTACCCCGGAATTGAGTCCAGACTAAACATCCGCGACCAGTTGGAACGGGCGGCCCCCACACCGGGGTCATCGATTCATCGGGTTGTAGCTCGCTTGTATAGTAACTTACCATGCGTGCCAAATGTAAGACAAAAAGCCATAATGTTGTTGATTGACAAAGAAAAGTAGAATTCCGAGACGAGGAATCGACGTCAACAGAGCAGAAGGCAGCGGCGTTTGGGTGTGGCTTGGTTCCTTGGCTTCGCCCTTGGCAGAGCACGTGAGGTCCATGTGATCTGATCAGGTACAAATGAGCTACAATCAACAACTATATCTACAAGACTACCTATAGTATACTAATTATTCCGACCGAAAATAAGCCACTTTGAAAGCCGAAAATTGGGGGAATTGTATAGTATTTAGAACGAGCCTGTTTACAAAATGCGGCAATTTTTGCATATAGATAGAAAGCACTCGCCATCAAAAACCAGAAAGGTATGAAGTGAAAAAAGAGACCGCTATTCAAAAACATTGAAAAAAAATTTCACCCCTGCTCTTGGTTCCAATTATTGGTATCGTGCCCATGCCGCCTACTGGGTCTTGAAAAGGAGAATGGCGCAGTGGCCTAGGTAGAAGTAGATGAAGTGTTTGGTCTCTGGAGAGAAATAGTGAGTACAGGGCTTTGTACGTGCGAATAGGTATGCATTGGGAACTAACCGTGGGTAACAAAGCTGCCAAAGTTTCGTCCAACCACGCAGTGCCAGGTAGCACCCTTCCGTGAATCAAACTAGAGGATATATGAGTATTGGTGATTCAAGCTAACGAATGGGTTCGATGAGAGGTCTGACTTCTTTCTTGATGTACTGCGCAATATCCTACTGATCGTTAGTATTATGCCAGCTATGCGAATTGTTATGTGAATCTTCCATACCTTCTCAATGTGGTACTTCTCCATGGCCTCAATGGCTGAGAAAAACAGTCAGTCATAGATTCGTCCAACCCAGTCACCAAGGTGTAATACCTAAACTGATAGCCTCCTGCTGCATATCCTCAGTCTAGCGTACTGCGTCAGCTATCAATCGTCGTATTTGAATCATTCGAGTATCTCGTACCATGTCCACCGACTTAATCTGCGCTGCACATGAGTTAGCCAAACATATGAATTTATTGGGGAAGAGCTTCCCAGGACTTACCCTCCATCTTCTCCTTGTTTTCGGCAGTCATCTTGGCGGGAATCTCGTTCTTTATTCAGAAGTAGCAACACTCGGCGTGAACACGAGGGGGGGAAACTGACGAAGGGCAGTGCCGCAACGGAGGGCGCGTCCATTACAAAGCTTACCGCCTTCACCCCAGTCGGGAATTGCCGGTAGTTTCCATGCAATAATTCGGACCGCTTTCCCCACCGCCTCGGCAGCTATGAAAGATCAGAAAAAAAAAATTTACATCAAAAGTTTTTTACACTACTCGAGGCTTTTCCAGCCACAACTCTACCATGGAAAATACTCGGGTTTTTGTCAGTGGGCTTCCACCCACTTGCTCAAATGACCAGCTTCGCAATCATTTCGCTGCTCGCTTTCAAGTGACGGATGCCCATGTCATGCCTAAGCGTCGCATGGGCTTCGTCGGCTTCAAGAGCAGTGAGGCAGCTCAAGATGCTGTCAAGTATTTCAACAAGACTTTCTTGAAAATGTCGAAGATCTCGGTAGATATTGCTCGACCGGTATGTAAAGCCTTGCTTTTTTGTCTTGAATTTGTCTTTTTTTTGGCTTTTTCCCTTTCTGCTTTCGTGCGAGCTGACCAGTTCAGTTGGTCTTGAGACTGACCAGTATATTTGTAGATTGATTCTAAGCCTATTGAAAGAGGTCACCCCACACGGCATCATGATGCAGCCCATGATACTTCATCCTCAGACAGTGCACTCAAGCGTAAGAGGGACACTGAAAAGTCACAGGACCCTAAGCTACAGGAGTATATGTCCCTGATGCAATCGGGAAAGACAAGAACATGGGCCAACGATGATACCATGGCACAACAGGCGTCTGCGGAGCAATCTGCGATGGCCATTAATCCAACCCCTCAGACCAACAATGTTGAAGAGGCGGCTTCTCAGCCCAAAAAACCTCGCATCCAAGAAACCCTACCTGCTGCTAGTAATGAGGACACCCAGCCCATGTTGGTGGACCACAGCGGAGCGACTGAAGATGAGGAAAAGGATACAAAGGATGATCAAGGTGAAGAAGAGGCCGGCCCAGTGTCAGATATGGACTGGCTGCGGTCGAAGACGAGTCGTCTTCTGGGTCTCTTGGACGATGATGAGCAGGCCGATTTTGATGACCGAAAGGTCGAGGAACCGATTGAGTCGAAGCCGATTAAGTCTCGGAGTCCCATCGACGATGAACCTCGTAGTGCGGAACCTGAGAATATCAGTCCTCAGCCTGTCACTAATGATGCTGTCGATGACGCTGTTGATGAAACAGAGGACTCACCAGAAGAAGATCGGATATCTCCTGAAAAGGCTAAAAATATTGAGCTGATTAAGGATTCTGCTCGGTTGTTCTTGAGAAATCTTGCATACGACCTCAAAGAAGCGGACCTCCAGCCTCTATTCGCTCCATTTGGCAAAACTGAAGAGGTTAGTACTTACTCCCTATATCCTCCCACTGCACCCACCCTCCACCACCCCCGATGAGCTGGCATGTGCTTTGATAGCACCTATGCCGGCAATACTCGCATGATGATTATCCTGATAGGGACATCTGATGCCAAAGCGCAGATGATGTCAACAGGCAAGAGATTTTAGTAGATGCTTCTTGATTATCTGAAGAGTCACACCAAACTTCCATTCACTACAGTTGCTTCTTTTTCTTGGGTCAATTTCTAATGGAATACAGATTCATATTGCTTTCGACACACGTACTGAGACTAGCAAAGGCTTTGCTTATGTGCAATACCATGATGCAGATGCAGCTGTCGAGGCTTATCGAGCTCTTGATGGAAAACATTTCCAAGGCCGCATTTTGCATATTCTTCCAGCGGCGGCGAAGAAGAGCTACAAAATTGATGAGTATGAAATTTCAAAGCTTCCCTTAAAGAAGCAGAGAGAGCTCAAGCGTAAGATGGGTTCTACATCTTCGTCGTTTAGCTGGAATTCTCTTTACATGAATGTGAGTTATTCTCTTTGCAAACAACATCACCAAAATATACAACATGATCACTAATCATCTTTTAGGCCGATGCTGTCATGTCTTCTGTATCTCAAAGATTAGGGATTTCCAAGGCAGAGCTGCTGGATCCAACCTCATCCGATGCTGCCGTGAAACAAGCACATGCTGAGACGCATGTCATTCAAGAGACCAAAGCTTACTTTGCTTCTAACGGAGTGAACATTGATGCTTTCAAACATCGTGAACGTGGAAACACGGCCATGTTAGTCAAGAACTTTTCGTATGGTGTTACATCTGGTGAATTGAGGTCGTTATTCGAGCCATACGGTACGATCATCCGACTACTGATGCCACCAAGCGGAACTATTGCCATTGTAGAATTTGGAAGACCCGACGAAGCACAAAAAGCATTCAAGGGACTTGCGTACCGCAAAATGGGAGACTCAATCCTCTTCTTGGAGAAAGCACCAAAGGATCTGTTCGATGGTTCAGCAGTTCCCCAAGCTGCTCCTGAGATCCGGGGCAAGGGCCAGGGATTCTCTACCACCGACACATTTGCAGCGGATGCGACAGATGAGCCTGAAGGAATCACATCAACACTTTTCATCAAGAACCTGGACTTTTCAACCAACAACGAAAAATTCCTGCAGGTCTTCCGACCGCTGGATGGTTTCATTACTGGACGCATCAAAACCAAGCCCGACCCGAAGCGTCCTGGGCAAACACTCAGCATGGGTTTCGGTTTTGCGGAATTCAGGTCGAAGGCTCAAGCTCAAGCTGCGCTTGGAGCTATGAATGGTTACAAACTTGATGGACATGAACTTGTCATCCGTGCATCTCACAGGGCGGCAGATGCCGCCGAGGAACGTAGACGGGAAGATACCGCCAAGAAGGTTGCGGCGAGAAGAACAAAGATCATCATCAAGAACTTGCCATTCCAAGCTACCAAGAAGGACATTCGATCTCTATTCGGTGCATATGGTCAGTTGCGTTCTGTTCGTGTTCCTCAAAAATTCGATCGCTCGGCCCGTGGTTTCGGTTTTGCCGACTTTATCAGCGCCCGTGAAGCGGAAAATGCTATGGACGCGCTGAAAAACACGCATCTTTTGGGCCGACGGTTGGTGTTGGAATTCGTGAACGAGGAGGCTGTCGATCCCGAGGAGGAGATCGCAAAGATAGAGAAGAAGGTAGGAGAGCAGGTGGACAGGGTCAAGCTCCAACAGCTTACCGGCATTGGGCGCAAAAAGTTCACTGTAGGAGGCCAGGAGGACGACGGAGCATGAAGGTGCTGAGCTCCTGCCTCCCTGCACGAAGGGCGAAAAGCCCATTGGCCCTCGGCCATCCCTTGCGTTTTAAGTGGAAAACGATGTACGATTACTTGCATACGGCCTTTTAGTTTTGTTGATTACCTACGAGAGAGTAGTAAAATAGATACCCCGAACACGTTCATGCGGCTGTCAATGTACCCTGCAGACACGGTAACGTGCAGTGCTCGTGTGCTTTTTCTTTGATTTTTTACTTGTTGGCTCCCATTCTAGGTTGAAACTCTCCCATAACCCTATTCCACATTAATGTACGGAGTATACAACCTCCCTTCTCCCCCAAAAGTAACATCCCCTCAACCATCATGGACTTCGGGACGCTCAGTACTCACCGAGTTATTTTGTATGATGTCTGTTTATTATTATTTTTCTCACGATGGACTGGTCTTCATTAAAGATCAGCTTGACCTACATTCCAGTCATGGTGGTGTTGGGGTGGTCGAACATTCCTCATCCGACCCAATCCGCAACGTCGTTGGACAGTTAACATTCCTACCAACCCGCGATTGCCACTGATGATGGTCGCTTGTTGTCAACATTTGGCTAGATGATGGTGCTTTGAAGCCTTTTCGGGCAACACTAAATCTCCGAGTCGCTCATCACTGGATCGTGTTGCTGTACTATCCCTTGCATCCGGCAACTCTTCCTTCATATCGTGCCCTTTCTTGACTCCTGATTTGTCGCGGCAAGGACAGCTACTGGCCGTCCTTTGCTCCCCACACAGTGCCTGGACGCGCAAAGACCCAGGAACTGGCACCTGCGTAGGAGTATGGAGCTGGCGTTCGAGGGACGTGGTGCAGGCAAATCAAACCTGGCGGAGCAATGTTGCTACTGGGACTACAACACCCCTCTCCCAGGGGAGTTATGGTTCCCTATAAACATCTTCTTGCTCGCTCTCACATTCTCTTTCCCAGGCTCTGACATTCTCTTCAAACATCTGCGTTCTTGGGTCGCTGTGTTTGTGACTGTGCTGCGTTCTTTGCCAGGCAGTAAGCATTTGACGGTGCCTCTCAACCACCCCCCTCCTCATTGGAATCTGTCATTCTTTTCAGAGAAGCCCGTCCTTGGTACGCTCCATGGCTACTGACTGGCAACCAGAGTGCCTTGTGCCTCAGAACCAGCCGTCCCTCGATACTGTAGGAGCCCATTCAGATCGGGCTTTGCAGAACACATCGGGGAATGTTCAGTCATACTCCGATGCTTTAGCACATGGTGATATAATTGCTCGTGATGAACATCTCCAGCAATTGGCATACAAGTATCCTCAATCTGCTGTGCCTCACCAAGTACCACCTCCTGGCCTGCACCAGCACCAACAACAACAACAACAGCATCAACAAGCTATCGCTGCCCGGCTCCACGCACGTAAGGTTCGTCGACTTCACTCAGTGGGCCCTAATGTAGCTCCTCGCCGAGGCCGAAGCTATCTTAAGTCTCAGAAGTATCTGGAATATCGAGCGCGTCCTCGACGGGATACTGGCAAGGATGGGGAGCCGGTCTGGTCTGACGAGTTGGAGGATGCGTTCCAGCAGGGTAAGTCACTCTTTTTGAACAATCATGCATATCGTTGAGGCTCTCACTGATCGATAATTGTAGCCCTCGAAGCAAACCCACCTATGGGTCGACGAAAGTGGTCTGAGCGAGGGAAGTCATATGGCCGGAACGAGTTGATTGCTGAGTATATTGCCAAATTGACTGGCAAGCGACGAACCCGGAAGCAGGTATCAAGTCACCTCCAGGTACTTGACTCGTTTCTTAAGGGCGACCCGGACTGTGAGTACAAGGTGGTCAAAATGCAATATTGCTTTTATTAATTTTAAACCTACAGGGGAGCGTCTCGTTCGTGAACAGGGCACAGATCGATCAAGTGGGCATTCTCAATCCGGTGGCCCTAAGTGGCGATCTTCAATTGATGGAGGGTCTAGTCACTATGGAGCCCCAGCGCACCCAAGCTATCATGACCCTATGAGATCGATGAACCCCTATACTGGAGACTTGCCTCCGCCTCACTATACATTGGGATCCAATATGCAGGAAGCGAGCACAAAAGGCATACACGGGTTTAGTTTCGACATGTGGGTTAGCGCGCCTCAGCAGGCTAACCGCATTGACAAAGCCTTGCATGCTTATACTCGTCTTCAAGGAGATCTTCATCACCCTGGTGCTGCCCCAACTCCTTTGGAAAATGTCAATGGTTGGCGGACATCCTTCCCTCAACTAGCTTCCATCATGGATGAGTCCAGTGGTCCTCTTGACTGTGACATAATTATGTTGGAAGTTAACCTGCAACTCATGAATGACTTCCCTCCTTCAGGCTCTCGCCTGGGTATTCAATTAGATCTTGATTTTGCTCATCCTACTGCTGGAGATGTCCTCATGGTCAACCAGATGGAAAACTGGACTTGCAACACAAACATGTATGAAGGCGGGCGGGTATTATGGGAATCGAATCATGATCTACCAAAGCCTCAATCAACCAAGATCAAGCCTCTCTTTGAATCACAGTGGTGGGCCAGACTCTTCACCGAATTGACCCAAGACAAGCGCATTGCGGAAGATTCTGGAAATCCTGAATCTGTTCAAACTACCGACGGTCGCAATCGACAATATCTGCGTTCACTCTCCGCAGTTCAAGAACTACGTGCCGTTCCTCCAAGTTCCAGGCGTCTGTCCAATCAATTCCAGGGCCAACAAGATGACAGTGAACGGATGGCTATCTTAGTCTGGAAATTCCGTCAGACACGTCCCGGAGAAGTCGGCACAACTACTTGGCGCCGTCTGATTCCACCACCTGATCGCACTGAAACCAACAGCCCGCGACCAGCTGCTGGTATTGATCTTCCTCCTCTTTCCCTGGACTCCATCCTCCTCAACAAGCCTTCTCAAAGCGTATACCAAGCGCCACACCCTCATGATCTAATTCACCAAGGCCAACCTCAATCGCAATGGCCTATGTATCCATCCTCCCACGATAATGTGGCTAATCTATTTAATTCATCGGGTCACCTTGACTTCATGACCGCGATCACAAAACCCGAAGATGGGTTTGGTGACAAAACAGCAGTCACCTCTGTGCTAGACTCTTTCTCAACAAGTCTTGCTCCCGAAACTTCTCAACCCACCAGTCTCAGCATCACTAGCGGTGGGCCCGTTATGATGAACATGCACGACATCCCTCTTTCTCATCCATCTCTTGGCTACAATATGAGCCATGATGCCAACCACTATGTGCCATCTCAGCAGCACGGTGTCAACCTTCATGACAACAACAATGTTCTGAATGGCTTATTTACACCTGGCGCTCAATCCCTGGATGACCTTGGACACAGCCAAGGATCATGGGGAGCACACTCTACCTCGATCCCCGGCCACGTTAATGCCGGCGGATATCACCACATTCCATTCCAAGATCAACAAGGCCCTGTCCCGCGTGAGTCCCAACAATCGCACCATTTCGATGGCCTTCTGCCATCTGATGACTTAATGGACAATCTTGTCGGACGCATGTCCAACGGTCCTAGTATGCACGGGGCAGGCCCCGAGCATGCGAATACTGGCTACCCAGACAATGGAGCTGTGGACGCAGTTTAATGACCCCAAATAACCAACAACTCAAAAACTTCTATTCGTAATGATAATCATATCCTGGATCTCGATACTATTATACCTGTGATTTCCCTTTTTTTCCTATCCGATCTTCCTCATTTATCTCATTTATTTCTATCTATTATATGTCTGATGGGTGGCTTTTTCTTGTGGCGGGATAAAGGCGGATTCTTTCCCCATTTGGGACATTATGGGGTTAGTTAGTACTGGAACCCGTGTCCGATTCTCTTCTATTCTTCCATATCTACTCAATCTATTTTCCTTTCCCTTCTGGACTCGCTCCTCGTCCGTCCTACGTGGTCCGTATGGATAAATCATTCAGGGTTTTACCCGCTTTTAGCCGGTGGCATTAGGTGGGGCCCCGGACCAGTCCTGCGTAGTGTACAGAGGCAAGTGGAACACCGGCTGTTCCTCTGTACGAAGTCCCGCATTTAGCCTGTGGCTTCGGCGGCGGACTTTGATTTTCCACGGGTGGCTTTGCAATTTGAAACGTATAAGACATTGGTGTCCGGGCCTTGGGACGTGATTTAATTGAGAGTGATCTGTGTTGCCAATTATTCTGGTGAGTATTAAGAATCCCACTGCAGAGTCGGATCTATACATACAATCTGTGACCATCATGATATCCTCAGCTTTGGTCCCTACAAATAATCTTGGAAAACACGGACTAACTCCGCCCCTCCGCAGAATTATTTTACCCCTCCATCCTCGTTCAAAATGACTACTCCTACTGTTAAGCTGAGCAGCGGCTATGAGATGCCCCTCGTGGGTTTCGGTCTGTGGAAGGTAAACAACGACACCTGCGCAGACCAGGTCTACAACGCCATCAAGGCCGGCTACCGCCTGTTTGACGGCGCCTGTGGTAAGTAACTCATTAACCAAGCACAAGACCCCAGGGAAAAAAACAAGTCAACTAACTATCTCCCAGACTACGGCAATGAGGTCGAGTGCGGCCAGGGTGTTGCCCGCGCCATCAAGGACGGCCTCGTCAAGCGCGAGGAGCTCTTCATCGTCTCCAAGCTCTGGAACAGCTTCCACGACGGCGACAAAGTCGAGCCTATCTGCCGCAAGCAGCTCGCCGACTGGGGCGTAGACTACTTCGACCTGTACATCGTCCACTTCCCCATCTCCCTGAAATACCTCGACCCATCCGTCCGCTACCCACCCAGCTGGACCACCGCCGACGGCAAAGTCGAGCTCGGCAAGGCCAGCATCCAAGAGACCTGGACCGCAATGGAGTCCCTCGTTGACCTGAAGCTTGCCCGCAGCATCGGTGTCAGCAACTTCAGCACCCAGCTTCTCATGGATCTGCTCCGTTATGCTCGCATCCGCCCCTCTACTCTGCAGGTTGAGCACCACCCCTACCTTACCCAAACTCGCCTGGTCGACTATGCCCAGGGTGAAGGTATTGCTGTGACTGGATACTCTTCATTTGGACCTTTGAGCTTCCTCGAGTTGAACCTGAAGGATGCTCAGGATGTTGGTCCTTTGTTTGAGCATGATGTTATCAAGGGTATTGCGGACAAGTACTCTCGCACACCTGCTCAGGTTCTGCTGCGTTGGGCTACACAGAGAAAGGTTGCTGTTATTCCTAAGAGTAACAGCCCCACAAGGCTGGCTCAGAACTTGCAGGTGACTGACTTTGATCTGGAGGCTGGTGAGCTTGAGGCTATCAGTGCTTTGGACAAGGGTCTTCGCTTCAACGACCCTATTGCTGTGAGTTATTATATTCTCTTTTATAGTACGATTACTGTGAAACTAATTTATTCTTCTAGTACGGTCTTGGAATCCCCATCTTCTAAAGGATGGATATACCTATTTGTAGGAAATGAAGCCTTATTAGAAGGCCATCCTCCTACTCCTGTGATGTTATTTAATGAGCCAAAAAATCGATTAATGAACCAAATTTCGATAAAATATCTTCATAAATATCTAAACTCCCATATGAACAGAAAAAAATTATCTACACAATAACACATGAAACGGTTCAAGGGAACGTGTTCAACATCGTAAACTAAAATATACTTCACCCGCCAAGCCGAGAACAGACCAACCCGACGATCTCCATCTCCATCTCCATCTCCACCGGACATCGCAGCACCGACACTTTTTCTCCTCAACACCCCAAAATGACCACCTCAAGGATAATGGGACGTCTCGTCCCAAATCAAGTCCACATCCAAATGATCCCAACACCCAGAAAACTACGCGACAGCAGGCAGGTCCTAGCTGCGCTCCAGAAATTCGGCGAAGTCACCACATTTCGCAATCTGAAGGTAAATTTGCGCCCCTTCATCCGGGCAACTAATTCACATGCCTCCAGGTTACACCTTCATACTGACTAATATCTTTGCAATAGTATGATCTATCAAATAACTCACCTAATCAACATCGACCCGTTATCGCAATATTCGAATCTACCGAAGCAGCGCAACGCGCGGTCGCTTCATCACCTTTAGTCGTCGCGCTTGACTGTTCCTCCTCCGTTGCCTCCACACACACACATCCACACCCACAACAAATACCACAATCAACACATAGCGCAAACTCGGATCAATCCTCGGCCTCAACCTCATTCTCTTTCCAATCCCCATCATCCAGAACCAAAGACGAAACCCCCACCCCCGCAAACCACGACCCAATATTCGACGACGTGGAAGCAGGCACAATAAAATGTATAATTAGCTTATCGCGACATAATAACGAGAATGCTATGCGTCGCAACCCCTTCAATCTACCATATCTCTGTTACGAGAAATCTCCTATCTACAAGGACATGACGGATCCGCAGACGGGTGTTCCTGTTAAGGCGCTTGGAGACATTATACAGCAGAGGAAGAGATCTGCTCCTTCTCGTACGCAGAGTATTATCAGGGGACAGAGGAGGGTTATGGGGGCGGAAAGTCTGATGGATCTTTGGAGGGATGGGGTACATTCCGAGGAAGGGGAGAGGGAGGGACCGCCTGTTTCGGCGAACGAGGAACTTCATAAGGTGTGATGGGTGGGGATTGAGGATTGGTCTGCATGACCTATGTACAACATGGGGATGTTCGTGGTTTAAGTTTTGGAAACGTGCGCTTGGGGTTTCCTCCGTTGCTGCAGTCAAGTTTGGGATGGGTGCTTGTCCCTTTGGCTCTGATGGTCTTTCCATGCTTAGCCTATTGGGTGTTGAGCGACCTTTATGAAGAGTTTCGCTCTTGTTTCTTCACCATCGGCTGATTGTGGGCCCTGATATCACATTTGGCGTGATATGTACAGTCTGGATTACTGCTTCAATCTGTACAGCTTGACGATATCGCATTTCCATATACATGTACATTATAAGAAATAATGCATAAAACATAAGGCCTAATTCGTATCTCATTAGGCTTTCATTGCCCTGCCGGGGCCTATTATAATGACCGAGTACAAGAGCAGCCAACCAGACAAAGTCCACAGAAAACTTCAAGTTTATAGACGCACATAAGCTAGAGAACGAATCAAGTTAGCAAGGTCCTTCCAAGGCAACATTTGAAACAAAGGAAGAAAGAATCAACATACTGGCATCAATCTTCGAGATCTGCGGTAACGCCAACTTGACCTTATTTCGATAAACCGCCGGCCCCTTAGTCTGTAACGGATTACCCTCAAAGTAAACCGTCTCAAGCTTCTCTTTATCCTTCAGCTCACGCTCGACCTCCTCAAAGCTAGCAAGCTGATTATTAGAACCCCACACTTCCTCCAGATTCTTCAATGTAGAAAGATGCTCCAGATGAGAGACCTGGTTATTGGAGAAGTCCAAGACGCGCAATGTGGTATTCTTTTCCAGACCTGAGAGATCTGTCACAGCATTGTGGGATAGATAGAGCTCTTCGAGATTTGGGAGGGCGGAGAGGCCGTGTAAGTGTGTAAGGCGATTGGATTGAATAGAGATGATTCGAAGGTTCGATAAACTGTCTAGGTTCTTCATCTCGGTGATTTTGTTCTTTCCTAACCAGAGTTCTTCGAGGGCGGATAGATGGTCGAGGTTTTCAATTTCCTAATAATGAAACGACAAGTTAGACAATTCAGAAAATGAACAATTGCCATCATGTATGATATAGAGCAGAGCAGAGCAGAGCAGAGCAGAGCAGGACATACCCGAATCCGATTAGCTCCAAGCTCCAAGTTCTTCAAATCATTCAACCCCTCTAACCCCTCAATCGTGGAGATCTTATTCTGCACGAAAAACAGCTCCGTCAACTTAACAAGGTGCGAAACATTCTTGATATGTTTAATCTTGTTAAAGCTCAGGTCTAAACTTGTTAAGCCATGAAACTCATCTAGGCCTTTCACGTGGGAGATCAAATTATCATAGAGATCCAGTTCGGTCAAGGTAGCCGCGACATTGGACGGGAAATCGATGCGAGATATTTGGTTCTGGCGCAGACATAGTCTCTGTGAAGTAACACAGGTATTAGCTATCTGTGTGAATGTCGGTGTATCTGCAGTAGGTAGAGGCCAGTATCCTATCCATTAAGGATACATTCCCTTGTGGAATGAATTCCGAGGTATCCGATCCGAATGGTATACAAGTCGAGCATTTGAGAGCGAAAAGGGGAGAAGAAAAACTTACTTGGAGCTTATTAAATCGTTCTAAGTGCAGCGCAGCAATCGATGATACGCGACAATGGACGAGGTCGATATCCTAGATGGAAGAAAAATGTCAGCATGTTGCAGATTGGTGACATCTACACTCGATGTCACGTCACTCGTGGTCAAGAGCAGATCAAGACCCAGGATAAAATATCCATAGACATACCTCAACATTCAAATCTTCACCCTCCAATAGATCTGCACTGCATTAGCTCACCACGTCCAACAAGCTACTTGTACCATCTCGTACCTTCATCCGCATCAATCTCCTCTACCGGCGGGGCTTCAGGGTCGGAATAATCCGAATCCTCCAACGCCTCCGGGTTCGTAATAACAGCCTTGGGTTCCATTCGTAATTTGCCGTCCCAGCCTTCTGAGTTCTTCATGGTTGAGTGTGGGAGGAATGGTAAGGGTACGGGAGTGGTAGGTTTTAGGCGGTGGGAGCGAAATTGTGGCGATTGCGAGTGCGGGGAGCTTGTTTTTTGCGTCTCGTGCGGGGGTAAGAAAGATCGTCGGTGTGGAATAATTTGGTTTAATAGGTAATGAGGAGCCTGGAGGATTTAATTAGGGGGGGGGGGGGGGGGTTTATTTTTGTTTGACTTGATAAAGTTAGGAAATGCTTGGTTCCTTGAATTTGTTGCTGACTTCATCGTTCACTAATGCGCGCGGCTGCAGCTTAGCTGAACCTTGAGGCAGCTTGCATGTGCAAATATCAGATTGATAGGTATAGAGTTATTAACCACCTTGGATTCTGTTTATTTTCGCTCTACTGCGTCGGATTTAAGTATGTACTGTTACTGTGTATGTTATAAATATTGAAATGTGCCAAGCTACATTGTATTCCAGTGAGACAACTTCTCGAGGGCTATATACTAGAACATCGCAGCTGATCAGAGGGTCGTATACATTACATAGACCCAACAGACAGAATAGCGAGGCGAAGAATAAAACGGGGACATCGCATAGGGGGATACAGTGGCAGCATGATAACCAACAGACGCCTGCATAATGCATCGGAGAATGCGGACTAGTGATAATAAACGGACAAGGAGAGAGAGAGAGAGAGAGAGAGATCAGGACATGACTGGGAATAATCAAAAAGGGAGAAGGGAAAAAAGGCTAGGAAACAAGGCTCGCTAGGAGCAAGGTCGGGTAAGATCACAATGCCAAATGGAGAAGGTTAAAAAACAAGACAGCAGGAGATAATATGCTTGGGGTGTTAAGTGGGCTATTCAGGCAAGAAAACAATAAATGCATCAAGTAGGCCATGTCCAGTTCGAGAACCAGTTCCCATCTGGATCCATAGTCACATCAAGAAGCGAAGAGGAAGAGGCAGGGTAATGGGACAGATAGACAAAAGGCAAGTGGCCAATCAATGGGGAAATGCTGGAAAGAAGAAAAAAGGCTTTTCTCGCACCAAAAAATCAAACTGAAAAACATACAAAGGGAAAGACGCGCTCAAGGGGGAATCTGGGGCGTTAGAAAGATCTCTGGACGAGGCGTTTACAGGGTGATGTCCAGGACCATGCTGACATCTTGGACTTGGGCCCCAGCAAGATCCTCGAGAACCGGAATGAGGTCCAGCAGTTCATTGTCGTGTGCGTCAGAGAACCAGCTGCTGATGGGTATCGCGTGTTGAGGGTGGAAGATATACGAAGTAGGGGAGTTATCGATGATGATTGTTTCACGGAGGTCGCGGCCAACTTGAGAGAGATCCTGCAATGATATTAGAATCGGTGGGAAGTGGGGCATGTGAGAGAAAGAGGAAAAGTACTGACCTTGACGTAATTTCCTTGGTGGTTATAGCAACTCTCTCGGAATAAACGGTGATGGACAACATTATGGATATCAAGTTGATCAAGTAAAGGATCACCATACTAAAGATATCCAGTCAGTCTTGATTCAAAGCTGTGAGAGGAACCATCAACTTACCTTAGAAACAGATGCGGTGAATACCACAACTTCATACAATTCACCAACTCGCTTCATGAACTGATCAACACCCGGTCGCTTGATGACATAGATATTGTGGTATTGACCCTCAATCTCAACGGGGATGGTGAAATCAGCACGTTCAAGAACCTAGAGAAAAGGAATCAGTGAGTGGTCAATATAATCGAGTTGAGGAAGTGATCTCACCTTGAAACTACTGTGGACTAGAGTTTCATCGAGATCGAGAACAAGACATTTGCGACCTGATAGGTGTGGCACAGCCGGTGGGAGTAACCACTGTTGCTCATTCGTCTCAGGTGCTGAAGGAACCTCGGGAGGGACAGGTGGTGGGGGTGGGGGAGGCAGGATGACAGTAGTCTGAGGTGGCTGCTGAGCAACCTCCTCTGCGTGTGAGTGGTCTTCGATTTCACCATTTATCGGTTGTTTAGACATGGATTCAACTGCTGGGGGTTCTTCTACAGAACGAGTTTGAGTCTGATCCTCAGGCGCACGGTCCTCAGCATTTGGCTCAGAAACGACACCGTTCGCCATGGTTGGTTTCTCAGAAGAGAATTGGTCCTCATGTTCCTTTGTAGGAAGTTTTGAGGCCTCAGGCTGGCTCAGCACGGCGGGGATTTCTTTACCAGGCGCATCGGCTGAAGGCTGAGAAGTAGCAACTCCTTCCTCTTTAGGTTGATCGCTCACAGTCAAGTTTGCTTTTTCATTATCGAAATATGCCGGATCTCTAGACTCAGCCGTGCTTGAGTCACCAGTGCGGGCTTCCGCTTTGTCGGGGGTTGGCAGTCGGTTGGGAGCAGGTTGTTGTTTGGCGCTTTTCTTTGCAGGAACCGCGTCATCGTCACCATCCACCCCCGGAGATGAGCAGCAACTGAGGAACGACAAAAATTTACTCTTCTTTTGAGGTTGCGGGGGGCCATTCATTTCGGGAGTAGTTGGGGTGGCGGATCCTTGAGACTTCTCGGCATTTGCCACATCCTGCGTCCGTCGCGACCGTCTACTACTTGCCCGACTACGCTCCCTGTGTATTTTCAGGATGCTAACCTTCGAGCCTCGCCTGGCGGGTTCCTCCTGTGCTTGTTCCTCGGTCTTTTCCGTTGTTGATTGTTTTTCCGTCTTGGAAGAGCGGCGCGAAGGAATTGGAATCAACAGATGATGTTTCCGAGGCGCATCCGCCCCCTCCGCATTGGGAGGATCGGAGGCCGATGCGATTGATGAGGAAGCCTGTTGAGAGGATGTTCCTGGGTTGGATTGCTGGTTTTCAGCAACATCGGAGGCCTTCTGATCGGGGGTTGATTCCGGACCTGGAACAAACAAAGGATTCATTCATCAGCGACCGAACGGGGATTTGCGATACAATGCGCATGGAAATAGCAATGCGCAGAAGACTTACCAGAAGACTCCAGTCGCTCCGATGAATTCATGGGCGCCGTGCCCGCAGACTGGGGAGCTTGAAGATCGGGATCTTGCCCCGTGCTCGCTCCACGCATCGGGGGTTGAAGCTGTTGAGGCGAGGGATCACCTGGACTAAAAGAACAACGAAATACCAGACACTTCCGGGATATTCACGACCAAAAAGGGGGTGGAGAGCACCTCCAAAGAAATGCAAAAGAGCGCGGCAACTGAGAGGATGTCAACACGGCCTCCTGGATCAGCAAGCGCCCTGGGCCCTTTGGGGGGAATTGGAAGCTCAGGTTCGCACGTACCGCCTTTGGCCCCCAAGTCGAGCCAACCACGTTCGAAGACTGCGCCAAGGCTTACGGAACTCCCAGCCCACAGATTATGGGCAGAATAACAATGTATTGACTGGGTTGGTTCGTATATGTAACAGACAATAGGTCAAGGTTAATGGGATCGATATTTAGAGAAGATAGAGGTAGACTCTTAGAATGTTGAGGTTTTGTGAAAAAAGAAAATTCGAAAAAGTCGGGAATGCTCTCTTCTTCCCCCCTCTCTCTCTCTGCTAAATTGTGAATTGACTGAAAGTCGGAAAAGAGGAGTCGAAGTCACGTGGCTGGGTTTATTTTGTTTTTATTTCATTTACACTACAAACATTGAACTTGGAGTAGTATTAATCTGTGTGATAGTGTTTTTCTCTTTCTTTCTTCTTTTCTCACACTAAAAACCCCTTCACACTCCATCTCCAAGCCCTCGGCGGCTACACTCCAATTTCCTGCTCCCTTGGGTTTAGTGGGCCCCTCTTCGCTCTTTGGCCCTACCTGACCGACTTCGCATGGGTCCAGATATTGGATCAACTAGTGCAGGGCCTGGACTGCAGAAACTCACGCTGATCCGCTCGTAGGGTGATTGCTCCCAATTGATGCAGCGGATAACCCATCTTCCCCCTTTTTTTTGCAGCCGGGCACTCCAGAAAGATGCGCTACTAACCTTAGAAGTAATGAATGTCCAGGTGTCCCATGTGCAAACTACGTGCTAGCACCAGAGTACGATTGGCGGGAAATTGGAATGCAAGAACGTGATCGGATTGGAGGTGGAAATGGACCAATCCGCGTGATGTCCTCGGTACACCCGAACAGTTGTGAGATGTGATAGAGAGTCGTTAGCTACATATTACCTTGAAGACTAGTCTTAAAAATAGAAAATCATGCAGCTCACCAACCAGTCCTGAGTGGTGATCTGCTCCGGAGCACATCCCTACTCGTTCACTGCTACCTTATCACATTTTCCCAGCTCTTCCACCTTCCACCTTCCACCTGCGCAGCTCTTCCCGAAGTCCCGCCGGCAGGAGCTTTCCCCGGGGGCATGTGCCCATCTCCGCACTCGCAAGGTTTATCGCTGGTACGCTTTATGCATACCATGCACACCATCCGCACACGGCGCTAGGGGGGAACTTTCCAACATAAACACTTTCGAAGAACGTGATACTTTATTTAGCGCCCAGCATCACTTGTTGGTCTTTGAACCCCAGTCGATCATACTTTTGGCTCCGACCGTTAGAAAACCAACTGCTCAGAGCCAAGCTGTTGGGTTCGTGGCTTTTGATTTTCTTGATTCAATATCTCCTTGGTACTCCCTATAACAAGCCTCTAGAAGTCCTCTTGTTGGCTGTGAAAGACCAACTGTAAATCCAAAATGACCATGTCCACTACGGGCTACAATCCACCAGTTGACGCTATTCCTAATATATCCAAATAACTCTTTCCCCCTTTTGGAGGTAGCCCGTATCCTTATCCTTATCACCATGTGACCTATTTTATTGATTGATGGATCCACACTGTTCTTTCATACACCTCGCGTCCGTTAACTCAGTTCTTTGTCTCACCAGGTACTCCAATTGAGCGCTCAACTCCGTTTGAACACGTCCCAATTCGTCACCCATCGTGTGCTTTGGTCTCTTACCTGCTCAACTGGGGCCTTCCAGCCCCAGCAGCTTTCCACGATAAGCTGATTAACCTTCAGACGTTTCAAAATGTCGAGCGCTGATGAAACGGATGATCCGAATCTGGTGGTCATACCGGTTGAGAATTATCTCAGCGATGGCGACAAATCAAAATGGCCTCCTCTAGGTGGTCCCCTGGACTATCGTGTAATCGATGATACTAAGTGGAGAATGGCACTCGCTACGATGTGGGTAACCAAGACGGGGGCCCAAGAAGAGGGTGAGCTTTAATCTCATTATTCACGGAATCGTTCTGTTCAGGGTCTGCGTGATCTGGTTGCCAGTCCCGCGTGGGACTTCAATCGTATCTTCAATCTGACACGCGTGTTTGCTTCCTGAAACTGTTTGTTTTATCTCATATATCTTACATGCTGATTCTTGGTTTCCTGTTGATCATCATTGATTATCTGCGCTTTCGTCGTTGTTAACCTGCATTCATGGGATATAAATTAACCAATATCGCCTAGGTATCTCATACATTCTTGAAAACCTGCCAGAGGGCTACGGGATTGTTGACCGAATGCGAGTTTCGAACCCAGCATTTGTGAGTTTTCCCTGTCTGACCAACCTGAAAAAAGAAATATCTTTCTCATATCTTACATTAGCGCGACTCGTTTCTCTACGGTCATCCCAGTGGGCTCTACTTCCAGTCTCGGGTGACCTTTTTTCTCCACTTCTTTTGGTTGATGAGTGGCAGAAGTGGCACTTGCCAGTGTGTGCCTTGCTCGAAATCTAACGGGGGCCCGGGTCCGGTAAAAGGAAAAGGAAAGCGACGAAGACGTAAGTATAAGCGCTCCCATAGATTTACTCTCAATGGCCCCAGGTCTAACGGTTTTCCAGGTCGCACCAAAGCTGAAATGGAAGCTGCCAGGGCCTCAGGGAATCAAGACACAATGCCTAGCGTCCCCCGCCGACAAGATAGCATTTCCGAGGAAGATGAAACAAATGAATCCCATCATAAAGACGGCCCTGATTATTGGAAGATCCATATCAATCGACTGAAAGAGAAAACCAAGCTGGATGAAGTGATCCACCATCCCCGCAATTTCGACTGGGTCCTGACGCATGAGTGGTTAACTGATTATTTCGTTCGATTGAAGCTCCAAGCTGCTTTTATTCCACGACGAGGCGAGGTCGTACTTTGGACTCACGAACTTAAGGGACAACTAGAGTGGAACCAAGAAGCAAAATGCTACATGGTCCACGAAGACGATAAATGGATCGCTCCCGAGTGGCGTGCCGGAATTGTCACCCAAATCCCAGAAGAAACTACAAGCTTCTTGGATATAACCCAAGTTACCAGCAAAGCGAACGCTTCACTTAGCTATTGGGGATTTCGCGTCGAAACCCTCCCCGATCCTATTGGCGATGACAAGTCTCTCTCCCTGCAGTCCAAATACGTCCCACTCAGCTGCATCAAACCATTTAACACTTTCGAAAGATTCCTGTACGGAGTTCCGCGTGGGGCTCTTCACCCTTCCATTGAATACGCCATGACAACTATGGCCTCGTGGAGTCTCTTATCCCACACGCGCTTCACAGGGACCTGGCCCAATGCCAGACTCTACAGTCGGGGAATTTTTATCGGCGCTGAACTATGTGCCATCCAAGACGCTGTGCGCCTCAAGCCATTCAGATTTAAACAAGAGGATATGGAAGAGAATGGAGCCGTCAAACATCCAGAACACGACCCCGTCGATGTGATGATCATTGAAAAAATATGGCTACAACTCACTAATTGCAACGAAACCCCCGATGATCCCCAGCTCGCACAGGAATGCACACCCTTGATCGCAGGCAAGGTCTACACGCGCGATCCAAACCGGCTAACCCGCCACATGCCATTCCAGAATGACCCGCTTGAGAAAATGACATTTGACGAGGTCTCAAACGCCTTCAGACAAGTCGGAATGAGCAACTACGGCGACTGGTATCGTGTCGCAGGTGGAAAGACATGCGCCGTTACCCCACCGATGATTCTAGGACGATGCTACGAACCCGAAGCTACAATGCTTCATTTCGGAAGTTATCGGCTCGACTATGATCTCCACGGAACCCTAAATGGACGTCGCTACTCCAGCGAAGTGGACACACGAATCCCTGAAGGCGTAGACTGGTTTTGGGGCGACTACCGAGCCGAGACGCTTGGCCTTGCAACATCGAACGGGGTCGAGGTCGGTGATTCTGCCGAGCAGCGCGAGAATCCATCGCGATGGCAAGCTATTCTTCGAATTCTCGATGGTTCCTCTTCCGCTAAGGATATCAAACAAGCCGAGTTTCCACGCCGAGTCGGACGACCTTCCATTAAGAAGTTCGGAAATGTTGGGAAGACTAGTAGTCTTGTCAGCACTGGACTTGGGGAAATTTCTCGATCGGCATCTAGTGATCTGGTGGAAGATTCAATGATGGATGGCATGGATGATAATTCATCTGAGGCGGGTCTTACTTTGAGCGAGCTATTAGCGCCTATTCCGTTTCATGGTGGTACTAAAGAGACAGAAGGGGGAGACTATCATCCTCCCGGTGAATAATGAGCATGCTTTGCATATGAAAAGAAAGAATTGCGGTGGCTAGAATTTTTTTTCGTTTGCTTTGCTCTTTGTTATCTTTGTTATCTTTGTTCTCTTTGTGCTTTTTCTTCTATGGCTAAGCTTCGGGGAAGCGTGTGATACCCAAAGATGGGGGGATGGAGTGAATAGGTATGGTGGACTTGATGTGGAGTTAATGAATAACGAACCCTTGTACAACAGTATCGAGCTGAATGCAAAAATTTGAGATATGAATTTGATAAATGACACGTAACGAATCTCAGCAGCACTTAAGCTGCTTACATGCATCAAGATGAATATGTACTCCCCCTTCCTGAATGCATCTAGATACTCCGTACTCCATATCACGATGCAGAACGCCCAAGTTGAATGTGGCGTCTTAGCACATGCGCGCCTAGCAGCTAGACATATCACATAGCCAAGAAAATGAAAATGAAAATGAAAATGAAAAACAAACTCCCGTTCAGCCCCAAATGGACAGAGAACGACTTGAAAGCACCCATCACCACAGCTTCAAAAAACCAAAGATCCACTCAACAAACTCCCTCCTCCTCTTCGCCGCATCACGCCCTAAAAGCAAACATCAGCAAACCATCCATCAAATTCAAAAATCCACAACCAAAAGCTCAAATACATACTATCCAATTCCCCAGCTGCAACCTTCATAACCCGATACGCCTCCCCATAAAACCCACACCTAACCAACTCCTCACACCCCCAACCCTCGCTCTCCGCCATCTTTTTCGCATAATCTAACGGAGACCCCAAGGAACAAGAAACCGGTAAAACCATCGGTCCCGATAACCTCGGATCAGCCCCATATTCAAGTAAAAGTTCAATAACAGGAATATTATCCCGCATGTATAAACCACCATCATAATAATCATTAATAGTACAATGTAGCGGACGCCCATAGCTGCGGCGGGGATCTGGTTCATGGTCCATTTCATTTGGATTCGCGCCTGATATCAGTGCTTCTTTTATATTTTGGAGTTTTAGCTCGATGGAGTTTGTGGAGAGAGGTTCCCAGAATAGGGGTGGTTTTGTGGTGTGCACCCAGTTGGCGTTTGGGTGGGTGCGCCATAGTTTGGGGGGTTCGTGGTTATTGTTATTGTTATTGTTGTTTCTAACTAGACGGTTCAAGAACGGGGTGTAGTCGAATTTTGGGAGAGGGGATTTGCTGGTGATCATGATGGTAATGGTGATGGTGAGGATTTGGAGGTGGAGGGATGGAGGTTTGGGGTGTTTTAGGTTAGCGTCTGGGACATTTTATTTGGTTACTATACTAGAAAATGACCAGCGGGAATCAATTCCAGAAGAGAATGAAGACAAGAGAAATTTGGTGTCAAGTTTGATACATATTGCAATCAAGTATATAGTCCAATATTTAGATCGTGGAGTCGATTCACAAGCAGTCAATGCTGGCCAAACACAATTCAAAAATGACATCAGGTACAATGTTAATGATTACTAGGAACTCTAAAGCGAGGTTCTGGGTCTAATGTTTTTTCTTTGTGATCTTCTTATCTTATATGGAATATTTCTTTAGAGGCAAGTTGTTTAGAAATCACATTCAAGTTTTGTTTCATCGTAAAAAGATGCTGTATTGATCCAAGCTCCTAGGAAGTGGAGATGGGTTTGAGTGTGATTAAATGTTGGTTTTTTAATTCTCTCAACGTCGGCTTGAATACCCAAACGAATATTATCGTTGAATAATAAGATGTCATCAATTTGAGGAAAATTGCGCTCAAGTATCCTATATGGAAGGTCAGATATTTAGTGGCGTTTTAGGATCCTGTTCGCTCTCAAGGCTATGTGCATTTCTTGGCAGCAAATGTAAGATCCAAAGAATCCAATCATTCCAGAAAATGACTAGTTGAACTAGTTCTCAGATTTATACTCCACTGGGCTGATTTGATTGGACGAGCTCCATAGATATCTGAGACCCGACATCTAACGCTTGTCTGGGAGAATCTCGGCAACAGGGCTCTCGGCGTGGTTCCGCGTATGTACCATACCGCGTGGTCCGTCACTTAAACTCTGTGTCTGCTGTCATTATCGACAACGACAATCTCTTTCCCCTACGCCCGAAATCACTTTTCGCGATCATGGGCCTTCTCCGTTGCGCCTTGGGCCTAACGGCTATGGCTATGGGCCTTGTAGCTGCAGAGCCCGCTGCATGCCCTTCGCCTCCGCAATCCCCCAAGGTCACCGTCGACCAAGGGGTCGTTGAGGGCTTTGTTCAGAATGACACCAATGTCTTCTTGGGCATCCCTTTTGCTGAGAGCACCGCTGGTGAGAACCGCTGGAAGGCACCGAAGGCTATTTGCTCGTTCCCTGAAGATACCTTCAAGGCTACGGCTTATGGTCCATCATGCGCCCAGGTAATGTCTGGTTCGGCCATCACTAATCAAAGTGAGGATTGCCTGAGCCTCAACATCTGGACCCCACGCCAAGGGGACGCTGATCTTCCCGTTTTTGTCTATATTTACGGTGGCGCCATGGTTACCGGTGGTAGCAGTAATGCTCAATGGCAAGGGTATAACTTTGCTCGTAAGGATGTTATCTACGTTAACTTCAACTATCGTGAGAGCATCTATGCCTCTCCCAATGCTCCTGAGCTACAAGGGGATGTCCAGAACTTTGGAATCTTGGATGTGGAATTGGCTTTGGAATGGATTCACGATAACATCGAGGGTAAGTGCTTCCTTTTAATTCGCAACACGATCCTGCGACATCTAACTAACTTAACTTACAGCTTTCGGAGGTGACAAGTCGCGAATTGTACTGGGAGGCCACTCTTCCGGTGGCGTACATGTTGACCACTACCTCTGGAACCACCCCAAGACCTTCTTGGCCGGTGCTATTGAGATGTCTGCCAACGCTCAATCTGGTCCTGCTATTGCACCTGTTGGTGTCGCGCTGAAGGAAGTCGTCCAGGACATGTTAGATGCTGGCGTGAAGCTGGGCTGCACAGCCGAAGACTATACTCTTGACTGCCTGCGCGCTGCAGACACCTACGAGTTCCAGACGACCTACTTCAACTCTACTTCGAACACCTGGTTCTCACCTTCAATGGACGAGCTCACCCGCTTCTCCAATTACACCGATCGCTACGTCAAAGGCCAGTACCCCAAATCGCTGCCGATGATCGTTGGAAACTCCGACCAGGAGGGCAAGATCTTCGGTTTAGTTTACAGCAGCGAGAACACAAATTTCTCGTCCTGGATCCACACTTTCGATGCAGACCTTGCATTTGTGCCCTCCCATGAGCTCCTTGCTGCCTACAATGAAGCCGACTATAAAACTGTCTCCCTCATGAGCGGTGCCTCTTATGGAGACGCGCGCTTTCACTGCGCGACCGACCATTTTCTAGACCTACGCTCTGCTGAGCAACCTACCTGGATTTACCGTTGGTTCGGTAACTATTCCAACGTTCTTGGAGTCCCAGGTATTGGTCCCTCGCACGGCAGCGAAGTGCCCTTTTTCCACGGCGGTAACGAGTGTTTCTCACTTCTGGACGGTGTTACCGATGCAGAGCAAAAGTTGGCGGACTACATGAACCACTGGTTTATTGAATGGATTCGCAATCCATGCGCTGGACCTGGCTGGGATCAGGCTTGGCCTGAATCTGGCCCTCTAGCGCGCGTGGGTGTGCCTGGACACGAGGAAGAAATCGTGATGAGCACGACTGGCATGTACAACGGTCGCTGCCAAAAAGTGTACAAGCCCAATTATCCTTACTACCCAGTTGTGCAGAACCCTGTGTTGCTGGCCGAGGATGCTTGAGAGAGAGTCATACTGTATAATCCGATAATAAAATAGATCTGAATTAATGTATATAATTTATCTCTTTATAATCATGGATCATGCTTGGCGTGCACATGCAGGAGGCAGCAGAATGACCGGAATGCAGGTACCATCGTACCCACATCTTGAGAACAGCACCAATGGCCCCAAGGAAATCAAATTCTGTAAACAAGATTTGCAATCGTATTGGCTTTCATAGTGGATATTGCGCGGTGATTTTCCGCGCCACAAATTAAATAGTGCTTTTGCGGGAAATCTTCGGGACATTGGATATTTCTAGGGTTTTAAAGTTCTGATCGGGCGCAGAAGTGCGAACCTTGGAAGGCTTTCTTGCATCGGGTGTACATTCCAAGTTCTATCCCTTTTAGCCACAACGTACCTATAAAATTCATATTTCAAGACTAGAGTGCATCGCGCAATTGACAATATTACCCTTGCATCATTCGACTGTGTTGTGCCGTTAACGTTATGCCATTAACTGTGGAGCACTAGTTTGAGATAGATTCGGCCGTATGTCTCCCGAATGGTATCATGAAAAGTCCTCGTGAACAACTTTCAGCACTAAAAAAGTCCTATATGGTGAGAAATTAATTACTTAGGTAACGAAAAAGGGCCCCAGATCCACCCATTCTAAATTGGCAGTCCTTGGCTCTCGCACTTTTGTCAAGGTTTGGAATCGATACATCATTCCTTCGAATGTTCTAAACTCTATCGGGATCACCCAACCATACGAGAGTTGTGGGTCTAGCTGAGACCCGATTCAAGTAAAAGAAGGATTGAAACCATGAACCCGATTTTCTGCGACCCTAGTCCACATATTTCATCATGACTACTACCGTGCTGACCGACAGTCGCAAAGTTGATTTCGTCTCACTTCGCCTTGTCAATCACCATCGTTGCGTGTTCGTGATTGTGACGGAGGCAAGTCAATATGGCTCGGCCCGATTTAGGGCAAGTGGTATGGGCACCTTTTTAACCAAATGCTGTCTGTTATCGTTATGGCTTTCTAACGATTCTCAGGTGGCATGGTACATCTGTACAGTGGCAGCATGCATATTCCTCGTTTGTAGGCTTGTGGTCCGCATGCGCCTTTTGAAGCGACTTTATCTCGATGACCTTTTCGTTTCTTTGGCTGCTCTGTGTCTGATCGGAGATTTGGCGATCCAGCATTATATGTTCAACCAGGGTATGTGTTGAAATGGTAAATCAAACTTGAAGAAACATCAATTGACAATCTCGGATATAGGCATGTCTGAAATGGAGAATGCAAGCGTGGATGAGATGATTAATATGGCGAAGGTATGATAGCCCGAGTCGCACCGGTCCAAACTCAATGATTTATTGGGGTAGAATTGGTCCAAGCTAACTTTTTGAGCAGATGATCATCCCAGGGTCCACATTATATGTGACTTCGCTGTGGCTGATCAAGTCTAGCATGGTGATCTTCTATAAGCGGCTTGCAGATCGCACTCGGTATCAGATTGTCTATAACATCGCGCTTGGATTCCTAGCTGCCACATGGCTGGTGCTATTTTTCGATATCGTCTTCAAGTGTTATCCGCCTCGGCGACAGTGGCAAGGAATTACAGATGCTGAATGTGAGAATGCTCATATGTTAACTTCCACGGAGCCAAAGACTAATGCCTCTGTCTTAGTAACATGTCCCGCAGGACCGTCTACGGTCAACTACTGGCTCACGATTCTCTGTAAGATCTTATTACCTGATTCATTTGATCTATCAACTAACCTTTTCAGTCAACATCTTCAGCGATGTTCTCAGTAAGATTCCCATACAAACGGATTTTGATCATATCAATCGCCCTATCTAACCAGATTTGATTAGTTATCTGTCTCCCTATTTTCCAAGTGATGCGACTCAAGATGCCTAAGAAACAAAAGTGGGGCGTCATCTCCGTCTTCCTCTTAGGTGGCCTCGTAGTGATCGCCAGCAGTATGTTTCCCTATTTTACTTCAATGTTATCTCGGCCCATTCCTAACTAATCACGATGTGGCCAGTTATCCGTGCAATCTACTCCTACCGCAACGAACAAATGATCACCTGTACCGTTTCCATGATCGAAACCGCTATCGCCATCATCGCATCTTGTCTCCCCGTCCTTCGCACACTGGTATTCGGCTCACACTCACGCACCGGAACCTATAGTGGCCCCCGCGGCTACGAGCTCTCGCATTCTGGTGGACATACCGGCACAGATACTGGCAAGCACAACGCCTCTGTTTCTGTTTCTGCAACACGGAGTGGTGTCGATCGCAGTGCAGACGATCTTTCGTTTCATGATTCTGAGGATGGGTTGGTGAATGATCCGGCATCGGTTTCGAGGCCTGGAATTGCTGTTACACATGAGTATTTTGTGCATGAGGATACGCGGACATTTTGAAGTTAGATGAGGGTTATCACATTGTTGATTGTATATGAAGCTACTAATATAAGCTTATGTCTACGAAATTAATTATCCTAATACGTATTAAACTTATTTTTATGTGCAGTATGACGATTGTTTCTACCCCTTGCATGCCCATTCCAGTGCTCTGGGTCCTTGAGATAACACGAACATCAAAACTTCGATTGGAACCTTGAAGCTTCTGGGCTTCTGGCCAACAATAACCAGAAAATGGGCGAGATTCAGCTCTAAGAATTTGAAAGCGCCTCCCGGTCGTCTCTAACGCCCGAGCCACGTATAATCCGGGCGGATAATATCTGTATGAGCATCGGCGAAACCCGCAGGGGCTGGATTTCGCATCTTGTTGAACAATGGCTAAAACTGACAGGCAAGAAAAAGTCAACTGACCGTCAAGATGGAATGATTTTAAATCATGTATCTATTTCAATACGAAAGGGCTCTCTAACAGCTATTCTTGGGGGCAGTGGTTCAGGAAAGACTTCTCTGTTCAGCGTGCTTGCCGAAAGGGTCCAACCCAAGAAAATTTCACTGACCGGCCATGTCTCCTCCTTTTCTCTCAGTACCGCCTATTTGGCCCAGCACGAAGTTCTTCCAGGCGCGTTGACTGCCAAGGAGACATTACGATATGCGGCGGATCTACGCCGCCCGCGCGACACGCCTGCAGAATGCGATGCCGTTATCCAACATCTCTTGCACCGGCTCAATCTGGAATCATGTGCAAATACCAGAATGGGAGATGAACGGAAAAAAAGGCTGTAGCGGTGGGGAGCGGCGGAGAACGAGCATCGGGATACAGCTACTCGGCAATACAGACGTTCTATTCTGTGATGAGCCCACAACCGGTAAGCAGCCCCGATCGATGCATTAGCCTACATATAGGACTAACTTGCAAGTAGGCCTGGATGCAGCGACGGCTTGCCAGGTGGTTAGGGTGCTGAAGGGACTTGTTGAAGAAGGCTTGACCGTGGTGATGTCGATTCACGCTCCCCGTTCAGATATGTGGCCGGAGTTCGATGATATAGTCCTGCTTGCTCGCAGCTCTGTCTTATTCAGTGGACAAAGAGATGAGGCACTCCCACATTTTAGTCGCTGTGGATTTGATATGCCTCAATACGTCAAGCCGGCTGAATATTTGATTGACCTTGCGGCGTTGGATACAAGAACAGACGAGCCCCAGCAAGAATCTACCAATCGGTTGAATTATCTTGAGTCTCACTGGAATAATTCTCAGTATACATATCAACGAAGGTCTGAGATGTCAGAGGCTTCTGAAATTCCCATGCTAGGCGCAAACTCGGAATTCCATCGCCCAAAGCGCGCACTGGGCCTTACGAGACAGGTCATGATATTAACTTCACGCAATATGAAGATGTTTTGGCGCGATCACAACGCACTCGCCGGCGCATGGGGAGGCGCCCTAGCCATGGCTGTGATAAACGGGTGGGTTTTCTCGAAAACGGATGGAAGCTTATCAGGAATTCGATCTCGCGAAGGAAGCTTATGGAATGCGACCGAGCTATATGGATATCTCATCCTCGTCAATGACCTCTATCTTATGAACTTGGATATTCAATTATTCGATCACGAGAGCCAGGACGGCATCACGACACCAGTGGGCTTTCTTCTAAGCAGAAGGGCAGCGAAACTAATACTTGAAGACCTGCCGATTCCCCTGATCTTCACAATAATATACTATTTACTTGCGGGCTACCGCGAATGCGCACGTCAGTTCTTCGTCTTCCTGGCCATGATGTTCTTGACCCACTTGAACGCCGTGTCTTTTGCGACGCTTTCGACTGCCATATCACGCCACTTTCTAGTAGCTGGGCTGTTGGGTAACATCTATTTTACCATGCAAATGGTGGCTTCTGGATATTTTGTTCCGTCTAATCAGATGCCACCGTACGTGAGTTGGTTGAGATGGCTTACTCACACTTTCTACACCTTTGGTGCTCTTTGCACAAACGAGTTCATTGGTGAAAAAAGCCCTTTTGGGCCGGGGCAATTCTATGACTGTCCGTATTCCAAAGACCCTACTGATCCATCTTGTAAACAGTATACGGGCTCTTATGCCATGAATAGCTTGGGACTTCCCCACGACTGGATATGGCAGCCCGCTATTATTCTATGTGCCATTGCTTCCCTAATTTACATCAGCGCTGGAGCTTTAATGCACTTGAATCCACCAAAACCTGAAACAATTTCCGGGACCAAGACAAAAAGTGCTCTACGGATTGATTCCCTAGAGATTTCACGCTCCAGTCCCATACCAAGTGAGCAAGCCGTCACTATCACTTTGCAGGATTACGGTTTATCAGGACGGGGAAGCCTCAACGACAGTGAAACAACTTGCTTGGCCCAATATCTGCAGAATTTCATCCTGGGCGATTAGTTGCTGCCATGGGTGCGTCTGGCAGCGGTAAAACGACCCTCTTGTCAGCCTCATCCGGGAGACTCCCGTCTTCCACCAAATCGCGATACCATACCACTGGATCAATTTTATACAATGATATTTGTGTATCGGAAGATGAGATCCGGAAATTTGCGTCGTTTGTACATCAAGAAGATATTCATCTTCTACCATCCCTGGCCGTGAGAGCTACCCTACGATTCATTGCACATATGACTCTACCAAATTCAATATCGGATGGTGAGAAGAACGCGGATCTAAACAATCCTGAAGACGAGCAGCGCTTCCGCCACCTTACAAAGCATGCGAAGGACAGTGTTGAGCCCATCTATGAATTACAAGCCCATTTGATAGTGCTGTCGAACTCCCGGGGGCTTCTAGTCACTCATGGAGTGGTGTCCACTTTCACACGCAGCTCGAATATCGTTTACCAAGTCATTTAGACTTGTCATTCAAAGGTCCACTGCTAATATCTGCAGTCAGCCATTTCTTCTCTTTGCAAGATCACTCCAGCTACCAGGAATGGCAATACTCATGGCTTTGTTTTTCGCTCCTCTGGAAAAAGACTTCCTCGCCATACAATCACGCGTGGAGTTTGTTCCGCAATACGCCTGTCTCAGCTTCATGGGTAAGTTAAATGCATCGCGAAGATTCAAAACCATACCCGTGGATGGCGGTTTACTAAAATATATTTAGGAATGATTCAAAACATGGCCATATACCCCAGCGAGCGAGACGTGTTCTACCGCGACACATCCGAGGGCATGTACGGTGCAGAATGTTTTATCTTGCAACACACCTTGCTTGAACTCCCTCTAGAGTTAAGTTCATGCACAATATTCGCAGTCTTCACGTCACACGTAGCGCAACTCAACCCAACAGCTGCACAGTTTGGAATTCCTCTCCTTGCTTCATTCGCGTGTTTGAACTGTGGAGAATCCATCAGCATCATTTTCAATACCTTATTCATCCACACAGGCGCAGCAATTAGCGCAACGTATGCACTTCTTGGAATATTTACAGTGCTGGGTGGCGTCATTTCCTTGAACGTCCCGCCTGTTCTACGGGCGTTCAACCATATCTCACCACCGCGGTACGCGATCAGGGCAATTCTGGATTACAGCATGCAGAACCTCGAATTTACCTGCGATGATACACAGCGAGGGCCAAATGGGTCATGTCCGATCCAAACAGGCGAGCAGGTGCTAAAAATCTACAATATGACAGATGAACTCCGGCAAGATTTGGTAGGGTTGTACATTTGTATATTAGCGTATCGCTTGGCTGCCTATTGCTCGGTGAAGGCGCGAAGTTCGGGGCCGTGGCTTGCAAGGGGTTTTCTATCTAGGATCCGACGTTCATAATACCGTGACCTTGCTTGATACTTTTCAGTTGGTGGACAGCTGGAAAGCAAGATATACTAGTAACTCACTGTATATTGTGCCAATGGAGCTATATTATAACTTTTTTTTTGTTTTCTCTTTTTTAGCTAGATGTGTTGATGGTCTTCGGTCATCGGAGGTGGTCAGGCAGAGCCGCCCAGGTGAAGAAAAAAAAGGAAGAAGGCAATAGAAAACCAATTTGAATCTGCAATGGTGGACACATAATGGAAACGCACCCGGGAAATATTGAACAAAGTATGCGAAAATAGAATGCCAACAAATACAATGTGGTCAATTCAAATCAGATGTTTCGTAATAACCTTCGAATTTTCTGCTCACTACTAGGGTCTTAGCATCATGAATGTTGATCCTTTCTATTTATCCCGAGCTCTCTTTAGTCAGAGCTCTAGAGGCTGTTCACCATATAAGACTCAACAAAAATCTAGTCACCTAATTGGGTCAACGCTTTTAACAACTGGATTGGCTTAAGGGCGATGAGATCAGAGTACGGAGAAGGAGCGCGGAGCGCGGAGCACGGAGTACGGGGTATAGTGAACGAGGCTGGAAAGGTCTTTGGTGGGTCATGGATATCGGATTTGACACGTCAGAGTTGGCCCCCAACCTAGAAGTGGGGCCACGAGGCTTAGCAGACTCACGCGAGGCTGGTAAGACCACACCTTCTATCTCAAAGGACAAAGGTATCGCTTAAGGCAGTAACAGCAATACGGCATGCCCCCAAAGCTTTACCCAGGATAGGTCTGAAACCATTGTCCCAGAGGTATTTGAAATACTGAACTAAGTCATATGAGGGAAGATCCGCAACGCCGACCTGCAAGCGAAAAACTATCATCTCATCCTGATGAGTTTCATTGGTTCAACCGTCTCATTAGCGTAACCGTGCGGGGTACATTGATATGGCCCCATCCAGCCTCAGCGAGCAACCGAGCGATGTATAAGATGGTACATAAATTCACCTCCCCATGATGCTAGAACGACAATTTTCTTTTTCAACCGTTTTCGTTAAATCATAATCAAAATGGCCGATACCTTCTCTCAAGCATTGTCCGCAGTGACAGATGCTTTATCAAATCCTCCATCTCCCGAGAACATCAAAATGGAGACGGCAATGCAGCTGTTGGGGGCCATGGATAAACTCCGTGCTATGCTTGAGCCCCCCAACCTCGCTGTCGTCAAGCTTTGCACTGCTGTAAGAAAATACAAAACTGGTCGTGGAATCCAAGTAGATCCTGATGGTCTAACTTTACTCTCAGCCATACGCACTCAGCTGCACACGAGTCGCTCAGGGAATGGGTATTTTCAATGCGTTCCTTGGCGCGGATGGCAGCAAGGATATGACGTTAGAGGAGCTTGACGGAAAAACCAAAGGCGATAAGGAGCTCTTATGTATGTGGAAATTCCGACCTTGCCTTCCCTTGATCAATAATGTTTTTCTGCTAACAGCGAATACGTAAAGTCCGTGTGATGCGCCACCTTTCTGCGTTGGATATGTTCACCAAAGTGAAGGGCGATAAATACCGGCCTTCAGCATTCGCATTACAACTAGCAGATGGTTCGCCTGTCGGTGACTGCGTCAAACATTTGTACGAGACTGTTGAGGAAGTCCTGGGCATTTTCCGTTGGCTAACATATATATTCTAGCTATCTTAATATGAGAGCTACCAGTTTCTTGAACGAATACTTCGAAGAGAGAGGGTACGCCAATCCCAGTGATGCTTATGACGCTCCATTTCAATATGCACATGGAACAAAGGAGCACTTCTTCCAGTGGTTAGGTCATAACCCAGCAGACCAAGAGGCTTTTAACTCGGTGATGACAATGAATCGCCAAATGGGCGAGACCCAGTGGTTTGACATCTTTCCAGTTGAAGAAAGGCTTCAGGTATCCGCTGACAGGGCTCTCATTGTTGACATTGGAGGTGGAATTGGTCATGATATGGTACAACTTAAAGAAAAGTTTCCCTTTCTTTCTGGGAAGTATGTGGTCCAGGACCTTCCAGGCGTGATTGATGATATAAAAACTCCACTACCTGAAGGGATCAATGCTATGACACACAATATGTTTGAACCGCAGCCAGTCAAGGGTGCTAAAGCTTATTACATGCGGACCGTCTTGCATGACTGGCCTGATAAGCAAGCAATCGAAGCTTTGGCAAGGATCCGGGAAGCGATGGTTGAGGATTCCATTTTACTCATTAATGAGTTCAATATGTCTGAATCAGATGTTTCGAGGATTTCCACGGCCATTGACCAGGACATGATGGAAGCGTTTTCTTCGCTGGACAGAACGGAGAAGCAGTGGATCTCCCTCCTTGAAAGAGGTGGATTTGAAGTTGTCAAAATCTGGAGGTCTGAGAATAATCCAGGTGTTGCAAAGGCCCTATACGAGGCTGTACCAAATATATAGTTATACTGGGAGTCTCGGTCAAAAAAAATGGATGTGCTGGATAGCTTTAGGTCGTGAAGAAATTTGGAACATATGGCCCCAAATTCGAATTTACACATGTTTTAAGAGCATGTCCTTGGTTATTGCAAGAGTGTTTGATGTGATTTATAGTATACTAGTAGTAGATACTACCTAATTAGGAGGGGCTAATAGCGCGTATTCGAATTGAGCTCCATGATCCAGTGAGGAAATATGCATCAGGTCTCAGGTCTACGGATTTGCTCATCCGTAGCAGCATGAGCTGGATTAGCCGATAATTTCCCAATCTCCATTCCTCCAAGCTCATGATAAACTGGGTGAACCTCATGGCCATCTATCTCCAGCCCCTGTTCATTGACACTGTTCTCGTTTTGCACACCATCGCCGCTACTTCCCCCATTATAACTTTCACTATTGCCTTGGAAAATTGTATCAGGAGACCAAAAGCTGCCCTGCGGTGGGGAGGGGTCGTTCGACGAGGATGATGGTTCAGGAGGAAAAGGGTTCTGTACAGGACCAGAGAGAACTGATGTATCTGGTTCAGGTGGTGTCGCCTTGTATGTATTCTTTTGGCGCTGGCGACGGATGAAGAAGAATAGCACCACTGCCAAAACAACGACCCCAACTAGAGCTGCGATTGCGATACCAGCTACTGCGCCACGACTGAGTGGTGAACTAGCACTTCCAGAGCTAGCAGATGATGAACATGAAGACTGAGAGCAGCTCGATGAGTCTGATGTTTTGGAGGAGACTGTGACAATATTTTGCTCTGCATTTTCGGTCCATGCACATGCCGACACATTGAATATACCACGCTCATAGTCAGCTGATAAATAGCTAATAAAATGTAAGTGTTTAGATGTATTAAAGTGGTCTTTTGTAACTCACGCCTCTTGTAGAAATGTTCGGCCCAGTGTGTATTGCGTAGAATTGGCAGCACGCTTAATTGGGAAATAATAGCTAGTATTATCGACCAAAGGGGATTTGGCTGTCAACGCGAATGCCTCATACGGAAGCGTAATCGTGACAGTATCTCCACCAGAGCTCACATCAGATAAGCGAAAGGTAACTTCGGCGTTGGAGTTGAGTAAGTCAGTGTGGTGGGTATCATTGACTAGATACAAATCACTATCGTTGTCAAGCTCAAGATCAAATGCTTCTTCGAACGCATCGCAAACACTCTCTGGAAGCCAGAGGTGTGGATCAGTTGAATCAATGAAGATTGAGATTGGTTCTGAGAGTAAAGTGGTAGATGTCGATCCGCTGTAACTTATAGACTGAATATAAACGACAAGGTCGCGAGTTATGTCATCTGCCATGGTAAAAGATACCGAGTTCGATGTGAACCGCGATGTATCATATCCGGAGAAGATTAATTGACCGTAGACTTCTTTCAGGCCTTATGAAACAAATAGGAAATTAGGGAGTGTTCTATCTCTCAACTGAAAAGTAATGTTGGAAGGAAAAGGTGCTTACGGTACTTTGCCCCAGCTGTATAACTCCAGGTAAGACTTGGAATTTGGCCCTGATCTTTCAATGTGGTGAAAAATGAAGGGGAAGAGAAATTTCCCAATGATGAGAGGTTCAAGGGTTGAGGGTTAAGACCGAATATTCCACTGCGTGTTTTCGAATTAGCACACACTTGCGATGATGTTGGCAGGGAATGTACAGGTAAAAAGGCTCGGGGGTTTCAATTCCAGCGACTGTCTGATTTGAGAGTCTTGGTCCATTGAGACCAGCGCCCATCGTATCAAGAGCAAATTCTGCCTTTTGGGAGTATCCAAGGTTGGCTTCAAGCCCAACCCCATCGCCGTTTATTTCATAAAGGCCTAACTCGTTCCAACTTGAAGACTGATTTGCAGTAAACAGTGTGCCTCTGGACACTGCGCAATTCGAAGGGACTGTATCAAAAACAGATGACGAGCAACCATAATCAGACAAGACAACCATTGACTCTGGCGCGGCTGTAGAGACAAGTACTCGAACAGATTGTGCTGGATTTCCAATGGAAAGATAAAAGCTACTCCATGGCCCATCGTTACCCTCACTAAATACTAGATTAGTAGGTGCTACCCACTCGAATTCAATGCTCAGGGTTTAGTATTACAAATATTCACTGGGGGAAATAACGAGCGCTGATGGAGAACGTGCAATTAAAGATGCTGAAAATTGCAGCACCCAGAAGAGCGCAAAGGTCCAAACGGCCCAAAGCATCTCGAAAACAGAGTATGTCTGAATGAGTTAAAGCCATCGTTGAAAAAGGTAGGCGACCGAATGGATGAAATCAAGAACCGGCTCTATGTAGGTGGCTAGTGTCCAGGGGAGATTTTGCCACAGTCCGATACGAGAGCTAAACGAAGACCATGACGCGAGATTAGCCACACCGTTCTGACAATTTCAACATGTCTGGTCAATAAAATCAAGTACCGAGTACATAATAGGCTGAGATCGCCGTTATTATGCGGAGCTAAAATGCTCCGGGGTTACTAAAATGCAGACACATTTGAGCTCGGGTCAGCAGCACTGACAGCAGTGAGGTATTTCATAGACAAAATATTCTATTTATATATCCAGACTGGCTACTGATTCTACAACTTCTATATACGTTCTTTCCTTTTTTTATAATCATTTTATCATAATATTGTAAGATAAAATCTACTTATAGATCTGATGGACTATAAAAGTGTCCGCGTTTTAGTAACCCCCAGCTCTAACACGCTAGGGCCTCCCGCACGGAGCAACGTTAACAAAAACCGGCTTGAGTTTGGTTGCGCGGAGAAAACCTGCTCCATGTGCTAATCAGGAACCGAGCTCGGGGATGATGCAGAGCTGAACGGCAATTAGCTCTAAAATTTGAAGATCATTTACCTTTTTGGGATCCAGGGACAACTATCTTTGCCCTTCGTAGTAAAGGCTCTCCCACCCTTCGCACCATGACATCTTCCAAGGTTGCCATGTCATCGCCATGCAATACCTCATTTGATCCAACCAAGATTTTTCACGAATTGTCCATGCTGATATGTTCTCATTGAAGATCTTCTGTTTTGTTTTGGTGATGGTTCTTAAAATAGTATTATCTGCCCGGTCCAATACATTGATTTTAATATATGAGCCCCAGTATTCCCAACTAAATTTATTGAAATTCGCATATTTTCGCTCAATCCTCACCATTCTGTGGTTAATTGAAGGGTATTATAGTCATGTTGCTCTCTTCCTACCTAGCGGTTACCCTTGGGTTGTTAGTTGCTGAATCGAGTGCCAAAAGCATATCCTGTATGTCAACCGACCGCCAGAGATCCAAGTACGAAGGCTAATGAAGTAAAGCTATTCGCACACCACATTCTCCGCTATACACAACATCAGTTCACGGCTCCTCAACCATAATTGCCTCCGAAGAATTGGTCCCCTCGTCCTCTCTTATCACCCTATATAGTGATACTACCGTTGCCAGCACGACCACTGGAACCCTACGGGAAACCATTCCTGGCTCTACATATACAGTCATCGCATGGTATAATATCAGCAGTACTGTTGTTGCCAGTACTAGAACAGCCACTCTCCCACCTCTGAGGGAGACTTCTTTCTTTACATCGACGGTCACCTCGGTCATACCAATTTCCACCACTGTCACTACGGATGTGCCGAGTGTCACGTACGTGCCATCGACAACTATCACACCTCCTCCAAATCCATGCCCAACAACATGTACCATGTGAGTCACGAGTTCCGTCACAAGAAAACAACAGCAAACAACTTGAACAACTCTGCTAACTCATTTGACAAGCTCCGCTGGAACCGTGAATCTATTTTACTGGCCATCAAACGGAACGTACACATACCCGTCCACTTATTTTGATGAACACCTTGACTATGTATTGTGAGTGACACCCATCTTGCAGGCCCCTTCCGCCTATTTTCAAATTTGCTAATACGTGTCGCAACAAACAGTACCTCTCCATCCGTGTATATGGTCATCGACACAATTTATGGCTACAATACCGCCGGTCGCGTTGGGCCCTCGGGCACTAGTGTGGTCTTTCCTCTCGACTTAGACCAGGTTTCGACCATCGTTCCAACCGTGTCGGCCACTCGTCAGCTCACACTCAACGACCTGGGTACGGACTGCCCTCAGTCTGAAGACGCGTCAGTAATTGCGACCGCTGCCCCCGACGGACGGTGTGACCCGGTGCTTGCAGCCCCAGAGCCAGTCAAGTCTTGGGCTTCTCCATGCAATGCTTGCGGAAATTTTGGTCTCTTCGATCCACCATATGCCGTGCCAACAGTTACTGGAGGTCTAGTACCAACAGCAACGACAAGCACAACGCAATCAGAGGCGCAGAGTACTTCCACTCTGATAACGACCACTGAAGATTCTACCTCGTTCGATGAAGAAACTACAGTTGTAGCCGAGTCTACCACAGTTACATCGTCAGATGTAACGCCGACTGAGAGTTATATTTCGTCTTCCACGCCCATCTCGTCAGTTATATCAGCGACTCAAAGCGATATCTCGTCTCCTAGTACTAGTACTGCTCTGGTCTCCGGCTCCACACCTAGTCCTTCTTGGAGTCCCTCTTCGAGTACTACTCCCATAATGACCGCGCCAGCGACCAAAGAAACAGGCAGCCTTTTCTTGGTTGCCTTCGGTTTGTTGGTATCGGTTTGCCTGGTTTAATACAAAAATTTTATCAGCCTAATGCAAAGCACGTCTAATATTTCCATGGCAAATAACAACAACTTGAATAATGTCATCGGCTTTCAATTTCTCCAAAAGGGTTGCTTTTGTAGATCTTTCTAGTTTCGAGTTTGAATTAGTGCATTGAAAAGAGGCCTTGCTAGTCAAAGCTAAACGATAAAGGCTAACAAGAAAGCTAATCCGCCGACTGGAAGATTCTCTACTCTGCTTTGAAGCCTATATACTTGATGCATCAGCACCGTGGATAGCCAATTTGGGAGATGAGATGCTCGCAGTAAAATGGGTGTAGTTTATGGAATTTGAGTACTCATTGTTGTTATATCGATGTGATTGATTTTAATCTATTCTTTGAGAGCCCAGAGCGTTCGAATGTTAAAGTTAAACAAGTAGTCCTCACTCTTATATTCTTGTAGGGAATATCATGATGCACTAGTACGTGCGAGTGCGAGTGCGAGTACGAGTGCAGTGAATGTCATTACGATAGCGAATGCGAATACGAATGCGAAGATCATCCCTGCGTTGCCTCTGCAAGTTATCATCGTTGAAATTCAGCTAGATAACTATTTCTGTCGTGCATATTTTCGCTTCATAGTCTGAGAAGGACAACCTCAGGATGAGTTATTGATATTTTGAATCACTGCCGGGCAGAATATGATATAGTATAGTATGTGCAGCATATGTATTCCATAAAAAAAGATCCAATTCCATACCGTCAGGCAGCATCGCGAAAAGTCAAAACACAGAATGTTGATCAATTTCAATCCTCCTCATTATTAGAAAAACATTTTCAATCAGCAAAGCTAATCTCTGCTAAGCTTCAAGTTCTCGACTTGTTCCTCATCTCCAACAAATACCTTCTGATCATCCACTCCTATAAAAACGAATTGACCTTCAACATTGAAGATGTAGTATGGCTCGTCAAAATCAGGATGAAGGGGATGACGCAAGGTGATGGATTTATAACCGCCTGTGTACCCGGCGGCCTTAAGCAGAGTATCTGCTTCCAATGCATCCATCCCAAGCGGCCAAGGGATTACCACATCCTCCATCCAAGGCTCCGGGATGTATTGAATCGCGCCCCATTGGCCCCAAACCATTCCAGTGGAGATGATGGCTGTTGAGTTCTCGCCAACGTGGAAGACGACTTTCATGAAGGTCACGTCGGTAGGAATGTGCATGTATACCGTGGGGTTGAGATTTTTAGCTTCGACTTCATACAGCTCCGCATCGGGGTATTGTTCTCTAACAATACGAACGGCGATGTTGACGTTTCCGAGAAAACTGAGAGGAAGTTCGGCAGACATTTTCAAGTTCTTGTTGATAACTAGAGGATTTGGTATAGGAGAAGATAGTGGTTCCAAGACTTGGAGTCAATGAAGCTCTTTGAATTATCTTTGGTATTGCGTGTGCTCTATCTCTTGGGGCATGGTGTTTTTTTATACCTCGTGGAATTGTTCAATTTCCAATGTTTAGCATGTCGATTTGAGTAAATCAAAACTTGAGGCGAGCTGAAAATGTCTCTGTGGAGCTGAAACCCCCTATTTGGGGGTCCAAACCCCGCTGAGGAGTGGGACGTGATAGTGGCAGCATGACTCCGCGAAGAGAAAAAGCCAGTCTTGCTCTTTTTGTTTCCCGTGAAGAACGACATTGCCATACTCTCAGTTATAGATAGCAAAAATTAGCTCGGCTGCTTTGCCCATAGTAGACCTTCACAGGAGGAGGACTAGAGCCAGCCAATCAAATGCGATATATAACCGGGTACAAGATACTTCCACATTGTCAAAGATTTGGGGATCTTAGGGTGGAACCACTTGACAAACTAGTCTTTTTCACCGATAATGCTAAGAATGTGGGAGGTGAAGAGTACATGGACAGCTGACCATACTCGGCTTGATAACTTGAAGTTGTAGGAATATTTGAATTCACCTAGAGCAGCTATGTTTTGGGATAAGTTTGCTCGGTCATCTCCGACCGCAACAACTAAACTTACTCAGCCAGGATCCTCTATGAATTTTTTTCACGTACTACTAGTATCTCCCATCACGATATAAATCACCGGGTACCTCAAGTCCCTTGGAGCAAATTTTGTAATTAGAAGATGATGCTTTATGGTAAAGGGTAGAAAAAGAAGATGCGAGAACAACGGCTTTGGGTACTTATATTCTTCCCCGGTAGGCTTCCATGCCCGCCCAAGCCACTTCGTCAAATGTGGACCACGAGGCCGCGCGCCTCTACGTAGTTTGACGTCTCCAAAGCCCAATTCTGGCAATTTTCACGTATTGGAATGCCCGAGCAATATTAATCACATGTTCTACATATCTTTCGTCCGCTTCAGCAACTGGAAGTACTGCCACCACTCGGGGCATGCGAAAGCGAATCCGAGGATCGCATTGCCAACTTCGATCACAAGTGTAGGTCATCCAAGCCAACGACGGACTTGTGCCCTTAGGTTCATCTGACGAACCCACTCAATAACTTCTTCATCAAAGATTCCGGCCGTAAATCCGTGTTCGGGTAGTGGTGCCATGGCAAGAAGGGTGTTTTTTCGGAAGAAACGAAACCGTGCTCTGCGTTTCAATGCTGTAAATTCCTCGCTGAAAACTGTTTCGTCGATGAGGAAGATGAAATATGGTGTGGGATTAAAAGAAAGAAACTGAAGGCAGTCGTGGCTATTCGGCAAAAGGAAGTTGTGTCAGTTCAGGCGAATCATAGTAAGTCTAGCCTGAGAGCAGGAGGTTGCAAGAGTCACAAACTCAGGGCCAATAAAACTAACAGTTGAAGGATTAAGAGTGCACTAGGATGTGAAAGGTAATACTAACCTTGGAAGATCGTCACGGTGAGGGTAGGAGCAGGATCAGTTGGTGTGGGATTTTGTAAAAGTCCGACTTGGAGTTGAGGTGACTAATACTAGCAGTTGAAGGATGACCTCGAGAAGATTCAATGTGGTGTGAACTTGACGCGTAATATCACTGTGCGGATGAACTTGAAGCCGTGGTAGCTCTGATATGAGGTGAAGGTTAGAAGAGACAGACAGAGAGAGAGAGATATATATATATATATATACTTAAGAGAATGAATCAGAGTCGGAAGATGAGGGTGAATAGAGAGGAGCCCGAGAGAGTGGATGGGAGCCCTGGAAGGTGGAAGGGTAAAACGTAAACTTGAAAGGAAACAATTGAAACATTGAATGGATGTTGTGAGGTATCCTAATTAGGTAGAGCAGCACAAGGTAGGCCTTAGGGAGCCTCAAGACTCACCTTAGCGGTCAGTGCCTAGGTAATAGTAGTATCCAGTATTATATACGTGAATCGCTTCAAAGATTGGCGACTTTCAAATATATGATATACTAGCAAATTCGCCATGCATGGCGTATCCTTCCCGCTGTATATTAGTAAGTTAACCTTACATGTAGATCACACAGACCTGAATTCAGAGGTTACTTTACCACGTGTATCGAGACGATGAAAGCCTCGGAGCTACGAATATTGTATATCAAGGCAGTAGCTAGGAGCCTATCACCGGTCACAATAAGCGTTACCTTATAGTTGGAAAGCTCAATAGGTACTCAGAATGTGAAGAAAAGACAGGGCTATCAAGGCTTCATATGTCTTTCAACTGATCCCAGTGACTGTGCCTTAATTAAGTACCAATTCCTCAGGTCGACCGCAAGAAACATACTTGCCATCAAGAATCCACTCGTCGTTCGACTCGACGAAGAACTGGATGCTACGTCGGGCGTCGTCTTCTGATAGGGTGCCACCAGCTCTGGACTTGTGGAAGAGAGGGTCCAGTTCGCATACCGGTATGGAAAGCTATTTTCCTAGTTGCCATGCGAAAGTACTCTAGCATGAGGGCGCGGTATTATATTAGTAAATACAGCGACGTGACATTTCTGTAGGATTATAATTAAACGTACCTTCCCTGCTCCCGTCACCCCGATGACTTGAATCCTTCGTCTAGAAAGCTGCGGCTCCGAAGTCATCCTGGGAGGGCTCCAAAAAAAAGGAGAATATGTAATGCGATGTAGCTGCTGTATTAGTAGAAGGCCGAATCGAGCATCAGTTTTGCTTTGAGGAACTTAGGACCTATTAGGAAGAGAGTAACAAACAGAAAAGTCGGGAATGTATAGTGGGAGGAGTAAAAAATCATGTGACTCTACTACTCTCGATACTGTACTTGCTATTTTAGCCTTGGTCCATATACGCATAGATGTCGTCAATAATATATACCGGTCCGGTATGGTGTAGTGGCTAACATCGCTGTCTCTCACACAGCAGCCGGGGGTTCGATTCCCCCTACCGGAGTTTCTTTTTTGCATTGTCTTTTTTTGCCTTCATCTTCCCCTTTTTTTCTGCTTTTCCCACTAAACCAATGAATGGCCTTGATTTAAAGATTTAAATGCCACGCCTGTTCATCGGTGGGTAGTCCTTTCAGCTGTTTGGAAAATACCAAGCAAGACAAAATCTGTGTCATTCCCTGCCAGTGATTTTTCTTGATCGGACGGCAGTGATAAGTGGATATCATGCTCGGGTGAATCCGACCGTCAACCTTGAATCCTCTGATGACCTTGGGTTTTCTACTTTGTACAGAGAAAGCTCAACCCACATGTTTTCGACCTTGAATGGCCTGCCAACTTCTTCAACAATCATTAAACCCGGGGAAGTGGAGCAACGGGATAGCGGGGATTTGTCGGATTCGCCAAGCAATTGTATACCAAGCCACCCTGCTCATTTTTCCTCTTTAGCCGAAGCATGGCGTTCCATTTGCCGAGCACAGGAATATACAAAGTCGAGATAATTCAATGGATTACTTAGAATTATACTTCGTCAACGGCTGTTTGGCTGATTACCGGAAATTTATCGGCTTCTTCAAGGAAATTACACGACTAGCAATGCTTGGTGTGCATAAGCGAGGCTGCCAAGGTCTTGGAACTCCTGAGACGAGGTATATGTCCGTGGCACATGGGATCATGGCACATATCTTGATTTGTTATGAAACTGCCGGGTTTATAAATACTAACCTTTCCATGATGGAATACTGCCAATGCCCCAAAGATCCCCTGAGAACCTCAAATAACCCATTGGCGTGAACAATTCCATGATGAAGGCGACATCCATTTTTGCTGCTCTTGAAGTCCTGGTACTCGTCGATGCCCATGGCTATTTGACAATCCCTTCCAGTCGTACACGTCTCGGATTCGAGGTATGCCTTGCTGTTACCCGTCACATACCAGGCCCGGTTCATCCACTTACTAACATGTAAAATTCGCAGGCTGGAATTGACACATGCCCTGAGTGCTCTATCCTCGAACCAGTAACGGCATGGCCTGATTTAGAAGAAGCACAAGTCGGCCGAAGTGGACCTTGCGGTTACAATGCGCGAGTCAGCGTGGACTATAATCAGCCTGGTGAATACTGGGGAAATTCAGTTGTCGCCACTTATACTGGTGGAGATGTTGTAGAGGTTCAATGGTGTGTTGACAACAATGGAGATCACGGCGGCATGTTCACCTACGGCATCTGCCAAAACCAAACGCTTGTTGATTTATTCCTTGATCCGGACTATCTCCCCAGCAATGATGAGAAGCAAGCCGCGGAAGATTGTTTCTTAGCGGGTGAACTTAAATGTACGGATGTGGATGGACAAACATGTGGGTATAACCCCGATTGTACTTCTGACCAAGCATGTTATCGAAATGATTGGTTTACCTGCAATGCCTTCTCAGCCGATACAAACCGCGGCTGCGAGGGCGTCGATGGTGCTGCAGAATTCTCCTGCACAACAACTATCTCGGGTGGTTATACGGTGACGAAGAAGATCAAGATTCCAGATTATGGTTCAGATCACACATTGCTACGCTTCCGATGGAACTCGTACCAAACAACACAGGTGTATCTACACTGCGCAGACATAGCCATCACCGGGTCTGGTTCGGGTTCGGGTTCGGGCTCAAGTTCCAGCTCTAGCTCCTCAAGCAGTACCAGCAGCACTAGTAGTAGCAAGACCAGTACTGCGACTACTACGACAACTTCAACGTGCACAGCAGCAACAAGTATATCCGTTAAGTTCAATGAACTGGTAACGACTACATATGGAGAGAACGTCTATATCGCAGGATCTATTAGCCAACTTGGATCATGGGATACATCGTCAGCTATCGCTCTTTCTGCAAGCTCGTACACATCCTCAAATCCACTTTGGACAGGTACAATCAGCCTTCCTGTTGGTACGAGCTTTGAGTATAAGTTCATCAAGAAAGAAACAGATGGAAGCATTGTTTGGGAAAGTGATCCCAATCGAAGCTATACTGTGCCAACCGGATGCTCTGGAGCAACAGCTACAGTGGCTGCAACATGGAAATAAAGGCTTACAGAGGCGACTCCACTTCATACGTGAAATTGTTTCCTACGAGTGTCTACCCTTTTTCATTGTGAGATAAGATCTTTCCATTTTCTTGGTTCTCTCTTCTCGTTGAAGTCAAATTAAAATAAATTCTTCTGTACAAGACCTCGTTTAGCTCTCGCACTTTTCTTTGGGGTTGATTTGCTGATGCCATCCCCTGTAACAATTTCTTATTTCTTACGAGATAAACGCTAACATTTCTCTCTGCTATTTCATTGGTACTGAACATTGAAGGTGACTAACTCTGTTCTAATTTTTCAACTACGAATGCTTTCCTTCGAGTTTATACTCTTTTTCATTGTGAAATAGGATCTTTCCGGGCGCAGATCGTTCACGGTCAGAGACCAAAAGACCTATAATAAGCACCTTTGAGTTTCGTTCTACTTAACCTCGAATGTTTTATAAAATGAGAGAAAAGTTCCCCAAAATCTAAATATACATGCGTCGCGGGGAAAAGCTGTTTTTAATTGGTTACTTGTTATTGGGGACCGAAAAGTGCGCGGGTAAAGAACGGAAGCACACTGTTCGGAGTGCGAGCAGCAATCCAGACCAATAATAATACCGAGAAAGTGCTAAGGGCATAGGCCAACGCCATTTTATCAACTGAATAGGAGAGTCACTAGCGCCTCGAAAAGGCACGGTATAAGGTACAAAAATGCATGTTTGCATGATCGAACGAGTAGAACCAAATTTCGAAGCGGAGTTTCCGTTCCTTAAAACTCCCGGTCGGCACCGGAGCATCCGTTCCGCCCGTCGGGCCCGATCGTTCATATGCTAGATATGCGATAGATATGCTTTGTTGGTGCTGATTCTCAATGTCACTAACAGACTAACATACTTTGGAGACCATACTTGCGAAAACTTCGGTTATATGAGACAGATGCATTTCCATGCCATACTTAGACTCAGCAAACATTTCAAAGGTCCTACGTCTGCCAGATGTAGGTATTATCCTTTGCTCCAATTGATAGTATGTGTTTCAAGTTTGATTCCCTTGATTATTCTTTCTGGGTATAAAATATACAAGCGGTTGCTCGTAGCAGTTCTGAGCATTCATCATCAAGATACCTTAATCACAGTTCAAAGACAGCATATGCGCTCTTCTAGGTAAAACCAGTAAAATTGCTCAACAGAGAATCCCAATCTATATCATCGATCGAAAAAATGTCTTCCAGATCGCTGTATATGGATGGCCAACTTGACGCTTGAGATTCTATGGGATCATGACTGGAATCAACTGTCATCATTGTAGTATCGTCCCTTGCGGTCTGTCGCGGCGCGCTCCGAGCAACCGCTCTGATTTGATATGGGTAGCAACGTGACAGAAGTCGCATTTTAGAGCAAAGGCTACCAACAACATCCGTCTCTTTGTTCTCGGCAGACACCCCATCGAATTGTGCCTCCATCGCATTTGTAAGTTCTGTAAGCAGGTTTGAATAGTCTGCTAAATCAACAACATCCTTCATCTGAGATTCCACGCCAGGGTCAGATGTGCCAATAATTAGATTGAGAAGGATTAATACCGCAGAGGGCATATAACCAACGGCGGCGCATATGTGTGCACATGCAGGTATAGTTATTCGGGAGATATCCGACGCTGGCAGCCTTATGATAGTGTGAATGAGCTCCTTACTCTGTTGAATAACAGCCATCAGCATTGATATTCGAACTGCACAGTCGGGTTCTGCAATCCACATTTGCTCATGGAGCGATAACTCTTCGAGGCGCAGTTCCACGTATTTGATTTCAACACGTATTGCATTCCCTAAAACGGTCAGTGAATCATCATTAATGAAGGTATATTCAAAACGAACCTGTTGACGACGGGCAGCTTTCAAGATCTTGTTCTACGCGCACCTTCACAATATCAAACTGTCGCTGCAGAGAATCGTGTGTAAGTTGTACGAGTGTTTTTCCGCCACTTGCTTGCATTAAGGCGTAGACTTCATCCATTGTTGCCAAAAAGGACTGGAGGTGAATAAATGGTGCAATCCAACGGTCTGAAAAATGCTCAGTAGACCTGATACTATCAAGGCATTGGTTGATTTGAGCATCGTGCTTCATAGTAATTGGCCGACCGAGCGTACCGTAGAGACTGATCCATGATTAGCCGAAACTCCATCCCCTAGAAACGAGAATCTTACCCGACTGACAGCCAATAAGTACCAAGCAGGGCCTGGCGCTCATCAGACTTTAAATTAGGTTTCTTGTGGAGGCCCAAATCATATAATATGGAAACACAAAACTGAACCAACAGTAAAAGCCGGGGGTGGTGTTTCTCGCCGGGATACGAATACCATGCGCTGCAGACTAAGAGACCTTGAAGCAATTCGAGATTCCTCTCCGATTGTACCACAACTCTCATAGTGACATGCTTCATGATCTCCTCCGCGACAGTCGTACGCAGAGGGTGCCCACTGCGCATGGTCGCGGACACAATGGACAAAAATAGAAAAGGCTGTTGGTTCATTAGGCGATTAACTGTTTCACCTTGTGCAAGCAACACAAAGGGAAACCTAGGGACTAATTCCAGCTGGAATATTTTAAGGAAGTAGTCAGCCTCAGCTTCACTCAAAAGGCCTCGATCAACGATTGACGGCTGGCCCTCCAGGGCAGATCTGGTCGGCGGATCGCGACCGTGAGATGGTTCATTCGCAGCATCTAGCATCGCGGAGATGTCTTCTGGGTCGAGCTGCGAAGAACGAGATGAGTCTGGATTATTTGTTGGGGAATTCAAGTCATTGGTGAGTTCATTGGAAATACCAGGCGATAGCTGGTCGGTCGGTCGGGAGAAGACAGCGAGTTGTGAGTTCAGCTGGTCGATTTTCTTCTCTAGCAACTCCACGCGGCTATATCCATAATCAATATCAAGGACAACTATCTGTTTGGTATGCTCACCTCGGTCCTGTCCTGTGCTTACGCTTCGTCTGTGGAAGGTCAAGGTATGTGCAATCTTTCCCCAGGCGGGCGCATCTCCGGCACAGGTTCAGGCTGTGCGGCGTGCATTTTGCTTTGGCGGCCGTGCACACCACACATGCCCTTCTCTTGACAGTAGATGCTGTGTCGCTCATTATCGCTCAAATGGGTTTGCGGGGGAAACGGAACACCCGGTTGGTTTGCATGGAAGTGGCCACGGATTGCTAATCAGTTGGGTCGGATGGAACGGATCGTCCGGTTGGACCGATTGGTAATCCGCTGGTTTCTAGTATAGAGGGAAGTATAAAGGTAGCTCAAGTGAACAAACATCGAAACTAAATCAACAATCAATCAGTCAATAAATCCACATCAACTGGACCATAGTCTATCTATCTCAAATAACAACAAATATGTCTTCATACGCCATCACCGGAGCCTCCAAGGGTATTGGCCAAGAATTCGTCCGTCAACTCGTTGCCGATGAGGCCAACACAGTCCTGGCTATCGTGCGAAACCCCGCATCACGCGACATTTCTGAGCTGGCATCTAAACATCCAAACTTGCACGTCATCAAGGGCGATGTCACGGACCCAAAATCCATTCTTGAGGCAGCCTCAGCCGCCGCCGCTATCACAGATGGTAAACTAGATGTGCTTATCCACAACTCCAACGCCGTTGACATGGCCAGCATGGGCTACAACCCGTCCCAGCTACCATTTGATGCTCAGGCTATCCGGGAAATCTTTGAACCATCATTCAGTACCGGTATCTACGGCGGCCTATGGACGACAAATGCCTTCTTGCCCTTGGTCGAGAAGGGAACCCAGAAGAAGATCGTACACATATCCACTGCTATGGCTGATGTAACTTTTATCAATAAGACTGGAGTCAGCTATGCTGTTGCATACTCTGTCACGAAAGCTGGAATGAATGTTCAGGTCGCCAAATACGCAGCAGAACTTGCGCCGAAAGGTATCAAGGTGTTGGCGCTAAGCCCTGGATGGGTAGACACATGGGAAGGTAAGCTCTCTTTGTCTCAGAATGAACAATTTCGATACTGACAACATTGTAGGAGAGAAGCCCGCTGAAGTGGTTCAAGCAGACGAAGCGATGCTGAAGCAATTCCAGTTATGGGAACCTGAATGCAAGGCGCAAATTTTACCTGAAGAGAGTGTTGGAAAATGTCTTCGAGTGATTGAGCACCTGGATGCCAAGGATAGCGGTCTGCTCCTAAGTCATAACGGAGACCAGCTTACCTGGCTTTAAATTTACTGGCCTTTGTTGAGTGACGTGGTGAGCCGGTTCAAATTAACATAGATACTCACTATATTCTTTCGTTTTCGTTTGAAACAAGCTGATTAGTATAATACAAAGTACGTATTTATATAAGATGTCTCTCTATTGGTCTTTCTACTGGTATATCTACTTGTTCTTCTGTCTGTGTAGAGCCTACAGTACACATAGCGGTGTACTAAAAGTTAATATAGGGCCATGGGTGACATTTCCTGCTGGCCGCTATGCTCCCCTGTAGCTGTCACAGACCAGTGAAGACGTAGCCTCTGAGGGCTGTGAATGCCATTGGGACGGGTTATGTCCCAAGTAGAATATATCATATTCGCGTAAGATTCCAGGCTTTTGTAGAAGATATCGGCCAGCTCAAAGACATGGCTTCCTTTGAGTGTCTCGGCAAGTAATCCTATGACGGCCACAACTAGTTGCTTCGTTCGCAGTACCTCATTGGGAGCTTTGTGTACAACATGCACAAGCTTTGTTTCAGCAATAATACTTTTAACCGTGCTCATCAACCTTTTTTTTTTTCTGAATGAAGACCTTGGACACCTTGAATTCGTTGTAACCACTTAGTTAAGAAGATTGCGCACTCGAGGTTACATAGGCTATGGATGATGACCACGTCAAGATCAGGGTCCTGGAGACAACTTCAATTCCTTCGCGAACCAGAATAAATAGCGAATGAATTCTCTGTAGAACAGCTCTATTAATGTCTGGCAATCTAGTTGGGCGCGGGGCTTTGTGGAAAGCTTCAGGAATCACAATTGGATCGTGGGTCTGCAGCTGGCACGATGGTCCCAAGTTACGATGCAGTCGAATATACGCGATATTCCTGCAGCGCATAAAAATTTCCTTCTATTTTCAGCTTTTGTTCCTTATTTTGGTGAAAGACTCCTATGTTGTGTATGTGTCAACAATATCCTGCGTGACGTGTCGAGCTACTGAGGAATAGCGAGAAAATGAATTCCCGGAGCAAAGAAGGTTGGAAAGAAAGTTGAAATAATAACGATTTTGAGTGTCTCATTTCGTCATTATGTCCTTCACAGTCCGATCGCGTGCTATTCTGTGAGGCTGACACCTCTGCCTCTCGTAAAAAATGACTGATTCTGCCTAGACTGTACTTTAGCTTTTGAAGCTACCAAACAAGTCCCGCCGACGAAATATTCGAAATACCCATTACTTTACAGTAGCGCATCACTAAGATTTGAGTCCAGCTTACCCCTTTAACAAACATTGAAATGTCACTTTGTTGCCCGTCGGGAATTTTCTGGCTCCTTCCTGGAGACTACTAACACGGATCCGATTTGCCAACTTACGCAACATCAGACAACTTTCAATTCTGGAAAAATATGCCTCTCGATCCTAAATACAGAGCCATGCATATAAAATAGTTTATTCAAATAAGCACAACCAACTGATGCGACGTATGTGACTGTATATTGGCAAACGTCATCTTCAGACTCGCCTCATAAAGCTCAACTTCTCGTTGTGACCATCACAGCATACTTCATTCTTTTATTTACTCCCTGTACTTAAAGCTCTATCTTAAGAAGCCAAAAGGGCTGTTACAATCTTATAAACCTGATCCGGGGGGGTGGGTGTTCTGATAAAATAAGGTAATTTGGCAGTTACGTTGCAAGCAAAGCGCACACGGTTCGTTCTGGTATACCCGAGCCTCAAGATGTAACTTCCATTACACTAACCATTCGTTCTTTATAATCTTTTTTTCTGTATGCAATACCTCCCCATTATTTATATTGCAAAATGCCATCCAGCAGATACAAGGCTTCCGAAAGATGCAGCAGTCAGAGGGCTAGCTAGCAAGAGAATATTGACTCCTCCCCTGATGCCGAATCATTGATCGTAAAGCAGCGGCGTGGCAATTTTTCTCATTTCCTAGAGCACTGTCTCTGTTCATTTATGCGAGCACCAGCATTTTCTCCGTGATTCTCTCAGTTAGAGCATTTAGAGGGGTAAATCTTTAGTATCGGAAAAAGTAACTTACAGACTGTAGCCGATGGCTGCCCTGGTGACAAAAAAGAGAAAGACTGAAGCGATTCAACACCAACAACTTTACATTTACGATCAAGAGCTGTCTATAGGTCATTCATTCTGCTCATTCTACTAGCTCATGTCGCATTATAAACCGAGTCAATGAGTTCTCGTACAATACCCAGGGAATGCTACCAAGATGACTGCCGAGTTCATAGCAGGGGTTTGGAAATCATTTCACGAATGAACAAAAGCCGCATTAACCTCTTCATCTCGAGGGTTTTGGAATCAGTTTGAGATGTATTGATTTCTTTGGCGTATGGCCGTAGGTAAGGTATCCTATTCAATGTTTGTCTCTGATAGGTAATTCAATTCATCTGGCGACGAAGGAATATTGAGGCTTCTGTGTACTGTAAAAATCAGAGGTATGGGTCTCTTTGAGACAGTTCCATAGATATTATGTGGTATTTGTCCGTTCTCTTTCATGGGCAATGGTGATCTGAAGGCTTCGCCTATTTCGGGAACGATGAAAAAAAAATATTCCCTGTTTCAGCGTGGCTTTGTACAATGGCCTAGCGTATCATCCACCTCAATCTATAAATTGACATAGTACCTCTATCATATATATCTACCTAATCGTTATTTTAATAAATAGAATACTCACCGATTTGAATTGACATATTCAGTCAGCTCATGTTTAGTTGATAAGTGGATAGTAGATCAAAGCTTTCAAATCGCGCAAGTGAGATGGATCAAATGGATCAGACGGATCAGATAAATCAGACGGACGAGATGAATCAGATGGACATTAACAAAAAGTCTTCGAAGTGAAAGAGCAGTAGTGCTGACGACGAAGGGTCTTCGGAGCCAGAGATCAGAAAGCTCGTCAATGCTGACGAGATTGATCCTTCAAGAAGAGGACCGATAGAATGTGCCGGTGCGCCTCCTGCTTGGGCACAGGTAAGCATTGAGCATTCTATAATACTATATTTATGCTGTAGTACTGACTATTTATAAGACTCGGTCCGATCTTTGCGAGACACTTCCATGGTTTGGCAGCGGCTATTTGCAAATCACCCACACCACGAAACAGACAGTCCGTGGTATATTAATAGATAAATATGATGCTTGTCAACATTTAGATGAAGAAGTTATCATACAATCAGCGTAAGTTTACAATACGCTGGCAACTCAGCCCTGTCCATCAAAATGCTCCACTAATCATATAGATTATTAGTGGCGGCCAATTCAAGATCGTTGGAAGGGGAAAATATACAATGAATGGTAATCAGAATGAGGCCAGTAATATGTATGTACGAGCATGGGTGGGTTCCCGAGACCAGCGAGTCCCCGCAGGAGTTATTATCGGTATGGATCAAAATGGCCCCAGATCCGAACTAGGTACTTACTATCGTGTTAATATAACCATCTAGGGGATCAAAAGACTCTTCTAAGATGCACACTGCCACTTAGTTTCAATGTTATGGACTACTTTATTGTCACGGATATATGGTTTGAAAAAGTCGCAGTGGGATATGCGAGATTTGTAGCCCGACTTCAAAAAATCGACTTGTCAAATAAGAGCTGATGGGCTGAGAAGAACTCGCCTGATCCTTCTACCGAGACTTCCACTTGTGCATTCAACGTGACACTTTCTAATTTTGAAGAGCAGAGTCATTGGTGCTTCTTACTCTGACCTTGCTCCGCAGGCTTTACTCCGACGAGACTTTTCATAGTGGGGCATCTCCGAGGGGTTTCATAATGTATGTTGATCAGTAGGGTGAAGTGCATGTATTAAATTAATTCCATTCTACTTTCTAAACTATAAGAGGTTTTTGAATTATTTTGAAATTGGAAAAGCACACAACGATTGGGGAACATGTACCAGTCATAGACGATACTGAAGAATTTCATGTTGATATTAATAATTGGAAAGCCTGGGGCCAAGCTCAGAATGGTGGACACCTCGGCAGCGAAAATCGAGCGAAAGCCATCCACTCTCTTTGCCCAGGGGGTTGTTAGATGAGTGACTTGAGCTAGTGTTGTGGATTTGTTTCCTGGTATAACCTGTAAGGTATAAAGACATTTCAAATGTAGCACCTGCGCAATATGCCACTTGTCGTTGGTCGAGAGCCTCGGCCTCTGCAAGGGGATTTTCCAAAGAGACCTCGGGAGTTGTAGATGTCGGTTTGATTGGAGATATTACCGTGACATGTACCTTGTAATACCTCACAACTTTACGCTTTCTGTCTTTTCAATCCAGTCTCTCTCTCCTGAGGCCCCTTGTCGATCAGATGGATTGAACAATATAGCATCTCTTCGCACTGCATATTCAAATTACGTGTCTGCAGTCCCTTGGCATTGCGAATACCGGAGCCCTAGTTGTTGCTCGGAATGGGTGGATCTTGACACGGATCAAAAATCTGGGCCACAACGAACACTATAGAGGTCGTAACCCGGTCACACTATTATCCGCACTCCATTATCCCCACAGATATCCACATCTCCCGAGCCGTGAACCATTCAGCGCTGACTGTAACACCCCGTGGCATTTCTCTTGGCTATCATTGACTTTCAGCAACGTGAGCCAGCGGACGTTATGCGCCGACGAAAACGAGCACGAAAAGGGACGATCCACACGGAAGACTTTCTATGCCGGCCAGGGCTATGAATCTATCTCGACATGAGATCACTTGCTTCATACGGTTTCATATTCTTTTCGAATCTAAACTATCTAACCTCAACTGGTTAGCCCTCGGTAGAATTAGCACGATGGCATTCCAGCGATCGCCACCGTGGAGAACGGCATTTGATTGTTTTCCACATGTTAGGACTGGCAGTTTGTCTAATGGATTTTTCTCAATCTCAATTTAAGTGACAATTCCAACGCCCGAATGTGACTACCGCTACGCTTCTTGTTCATCGAAGAAGACAAACGCATATGGCAGACATAGACCTATGGCTCAACTTATGCCTTTCAGCCACACTTGTCCTTATAAGTGGGGCATTCGCAGGTCTCACAATCGCTTTGATGACTCAAGATGAACTCTCTCTCCGAGTGATCACATTTTCCGGCGACGCTGTCGATCGGGAAAACGCGCAAAAAGTGATCGCCCTTCTGGCGAAGGGGAAGCATTGGCTTTTGGTAACGCTTCTACTGGGAAACTCTATCGCCAGTGAAGCTTTGCCTGTTATACTAGATCAAGTCGTCGGTGGCGGGCTATCAGCAGTACTCGGCAGTACTATTTTGATTGTGATATTCAGCGAAATCATCCCGCAATCCATTTGCGCTCGCCACGCTCTCAGCATCGGGGCATATATGGGTCCTTTCGTATCAGTGTCCATGTACCTCCTTGCACCGCTTGCATGGCCAATCGGAAAGCTATTAGATGGCCTTGTTGGCGATTGCCACTTGAAAAGCTACAAAAGGAGCGAATTGTTGACTCTCTTCTCGCTTCATCAGCGACTGGGAAAGCCAGAAGAATGCCTTCACGAAGACGAAGTGAGAATGCTCCATGGTGCTCTTGGTCTGATGGATAAGGTAGCGACAAGCATCATGACGCCTGTAAACGATGTCTTCTCTCTTCCCGCAGATTCCGTCGTGAACTCATATACAATCAATCGTATAAAAGTGGAAGGATATTCCCAAATCCCAGTACATGCGCCCGGAAATCACGAGGATATCATCGGAGTACTTTCCACAAAACTCTTGTTAAAATACAACCCAAAATCCTGTCGCCGGGTTTACAACTTCGACTGGACCCCCATCCCGGTTATACATGCCAGGACTACTTCGTTGAATCTTTTGAAGATTTTCCAAGAAAAGAAATATACAATGTTTCTTGTGGGCCAAAAAGAAAGAAATCAAGTCCTAGGCATCATTACCCGAAAGGACCTAATGGAGTCGGTGCTTGGACACAAAATTATGGACGATCATGACAAAGGAAAGACGTTGGACATAGAGAAAGAAACGATCCGTCAAAAGCAGCCTCGCCTCATCATTCATACACCCTTGCGGGCCCAGAACATTGTTCAAAAGCCACAAATCACTGCTATATCGGCTCCGGAAGGGGAACTCCTCCCTTTGTGGGTCAAATCAAGCTTCCCAGCAAATTATGGCTCATTCGACTACTTCAATTCAGCAGCCAAATGGAAATGCATTCGGGACTTCCTCCCAGATACAAAAGTTCATCAAGAGATTGAACTTGCTACCACATACGAAGCGTGATGAGGTTGATGGCGGATATTTCTTTTTGTCAGGAAAATATAACATTTTCATCCGCTTATTACTTCAAAGCGTGGTGTTACTTTCTTCTCTAGCCTCTTCACGCGTTTTGGTACAAATATATTAAACATAATGTCGCAAAAACAGGGCTTTACCATAGTATCCCAGGCATCTCAGACGTAATATTAGTATGGAACGCTCAGGCATCCGACTTGTACAGAGTCCTTAAAGAAGAAACCCTCAGCAAAACTAGCACCCTGTGCTTTTTACGGAAATTATAACCAAAATTTCCAGAGATAATAGCGCTCTAATTTCGATATTTATCAGCAATATGAATGATCATAGGGTAGAAAGTTGAAAGAGAACTCGATAATATCGTTCGCGAAATATCATTGGCTATAACAAGGAGAGTGTGTCTCAATTAGATGAGTTTGGACATAGCGTTAGAAGGAAAAAATCCAGAGCCACATTCGGGCTTCGGTTGCCTAATTCTAAACGAACAACCACTTTTAAGAGACGAAAAGAGGCTGGGGCTCACAGTAGGAGCTCTTGGGCACCCCCTTTGCTTAAACTGTGAAGATCGTAGAAATGGATCTACTTTGGGGGTAGGAAGATCATTTGAGACGCGGAGTGAACATGATAAAATCCAGTAACTTCGTATGTTTCCTGATGGCCACCGTATTTACCCCAAGAAGGAGACGGCTTTCAAAAGGCTAGAGGTCAAGAATATAAGATGCAGAAAAGGAAATACTCTGCATTTTCCGAAGAGAACCTTGGAAAACCGTAGCCCCACATAATATCTACTCACCCCGCTCAAAAAGCCCAGACGACTGTTCGGACTTCATTGCGATAAACCAGGTTGTGTTTCCTGAAAGCCTGCATTGCTTGCCATACCCCGCCTACACCCCGCCTACACCCCGCGCATGCTGCATTGGGCTAAATTTTAATTCCGATCTGGAATTGCTGAGTAGAAGATCATTTGCAATTAAGCAACGCCCATTGGTTTTCGTTCGGGGTGAAATTAGGGTGAAAACAGATATTCATAGCCGATAGTGAAATTCAGTATGGGGCACCACAAATCAATGCAGTAAAAATGATTGCGGGGATCACATTATCGCTGTCGGATGATCGGCTCGTGTAGCAAACTCTTGTATGAGGTCTAAGCCCATGGACTGTCAGTCTCCAATCTGATGTCTGAGCACTTCCTTATTTGTCATTGCCGAGGTCCATGCCTCGGAGACAAGATTCATAATAGGAGGGGCATATCTAGAAATAATCACTTCTTGTCATTTATAACTCAGCTCCACTCAGGCACAGGGATAGGTGCAGTGTTCCATCTTTTCTTGATATCAAGAAAATAAATTCCTAAGTACAGCCTGAGATCTCAAAAGATATCCTTAATCTTTCATCGCGATAATGGCGCCTTCGCTGTCAACAGCCCCTGTGACGGAGCCCAATCAGGCCATCCAGTTCAACGATGTAGATCATGGAGACGGAGGAGCTACAGCCACTACCCGTGGAGTCCAAGTCAGCCTTCAGAAACTTCCTAGACCGCCAACTTTCAGCGACAAGCATGAAGAGCGCGAATACCTCAAAGGTCGCCTAGCCCTAGCCTTCCGCGTTTTCGGACGAAACGGATACGATGAAGGTGTTGCTGGCCATATCACTCTCCGCGATCCCGTCAAACCGGATCACTTCTGGGTCAACCCATTTGGCATGCCGTTTTCCCACATTAGGAAGTCTGATCTGATTCTGGTGGACCATGCTGGGACCGTTATTGACGGTGGCAATAATCGATTACTGAATATTGCGGCATTTATGATTCATTCTGCTATACACGAAGCTCGACCGGATGTTTTGTGTGCAGCGCATTCGCACTCCATTTATGGTCGATCCTTCAGCACACTTGGTCAGGAAATAGATATATCTACTCAGGATTCCTGTGCGTTTTACAAAGATCATGTCGTTTATAAATCACAAGGCGTTGTCCTGGCAAAGGAGGAGGGCCACACTATTGCGAAAGCGCTTGGTGATAGAAAAGCCATAATTCTACAAAATCATGGTATCTTGACCGTTGGTCAAACCATCGAGGGCTGTATTTTCTGGTTTAACACCCTTGAAAACTGTTGCCGCGTTCAACTTCTCGCGGACGCCGCTGCTACTGGGCGTGGGATTAAAGTCACAGTGATTGATGATGAAGATGCAGAGTTCACTTACAAAAGTGTTGGTACGCCACGCGCAGGTTGGTTTTCTGCTCTTCCGGCATTTGCTCTTGCCGGACGTGAGGCTGGCCTAGAGGTCTATGAATGACCAAATACACGAAATTGTCGACTAGAGCCGTATTGTCTAGCTGTTTTGGCTTCATACTATCTTGAATTTTCTATATTAAATCACTTCTGACATATCCTTACAAACAACTTGAATGGCACGAGTCCGAACTAGTAAAACGATGCTACATCATTTGTAAAAGAACAAACTGGCAATATACCCCCCGAAAGGTTTTAGTCATATCAGACGATAAAGAGAGGAAAGCACTTAATTTGACTATATTTGAATTTTATGAATATACGTTCGCTTATGTAGCCCGGGGTCCTTCTATGATGAATCTCTCTCATTTTCGCACAGAGCCCCATCATGGCCCACCCAGATGCGGGGTAAGGGCTTCAACACAATCAATCACTACAGAGCAGATGTGACGTATCCAAAGTTAGGCCCCCAGCAGTCAAGGCATTCAAATATCTGCAACCGACTGAATATCACTTGCTAAATGCTCTTTTACAAATAACACAGCAAAGAAGAAGAAGAAGAACATGGTGAGTGGTTTCATCTCAAATATAGTAATATCCTGAAAAGAAGCTAAACTGATTACAACAGGTAACACAAGGTCTCCAGTTACCAGACCGACCCCATTCTCTAAGATGGACGATCCATCTCACGACCGTCATCGTGGTCACATTTGCAACTGGCTATATACGCACGGGTGAACTAAAGCCATTCGATATCCCATCAAATACAGCCCTGGCCATTTCAATCACTCTTGTATCTGGAGGTGCAATCGGATACGCACAGCCTAGTTCAGTTCACTCAATAATAGCTCGAATCCTCTTCGCTGCCGTCTACCTCCTGAGCTTTACACGGAGCCAAACCTCGCAACCATACAGTGAAGAAATTGGGATCGTGACCTCCGTCTTGATGGTACTTTGCTGTTTACCCCAGAACCTCCATTCGGGGCTATTCTTGCTCCCTCATGAGACCACTGTGCTTGGACTATATGGTATACCATTTTTCGCAATTCGTTATTCAAGATACTTCGGTATGGGTCTACCAATATTCCTTGTTATCTTCGTACAGATTCATGATTCCTATCTAAGGGGCACTTGGTCTATTTGATTCGGGATGAAGGGTATGCTATTCAGCAGGGCCTGGCTCAGCCAAGGTTTAATATGGTAACTTAAACAGCGGTTCTTCTAACTATAATTCATGCATGTGCATCCAGAGAGAGCTTCCATTTATTCGCAACCAATAATATGTCAACTAATAATGTCATGTAAACTTGAAGCATTGGACTGGTACAACTTCTACAGCCACTCAGGACTCTCTTGCGCGTTCCATCCACATACAGTCGGATTTCTTCTTATTACCCAGATGGTTGGACCCCATTGAGGTCACACTCGCCGAATGTGCTCTTGTATGGCTCGCTTGTAGCTGTGTGTCGTAGCTTATGGCATCAGTTGCCAAAATGTAGACTGGGAATCGAAACTCTCGAATGACCACCTGGGGCTACCAGCATAAATCAAGAGTGGATCAGGTCATCGTTGACTGGCTGGGTACGATAGCGGTGCCTTCATTGACCAATGAAGCGTCTCTCATGGTAGAGAAATGCAGGATCGCCGAGTACATGGAAGTAAAGCCCATTATTCCCTGTTCGTAAGATACATGCTTTGAAAAGGGACCGGCTAGAGCTCGAATGATCATGCATGTTGCCGTTCCAGGGCGCCTGAATCATCTGAGCTACCAAGCCAGGCACCTCACATCTCTCAGGCTCTCATCAACTTGTCATTTTCATATATCTACCCTCACCTGTATTTTATCATTCTTTCATCATTCTCTTCAAATAACTTCCCCTTTCTAATGAACATACTGCTGGGCTGAAGATGGATCAAGATCCAGATCTCACTTATCCTCTCTCCCTGTATCCAGGTTCAAGGGACACTCATTCGAATCTTGTATCTCCTGGTCATGAGGATGATTATGTTCCGGTGAGTGAAACTTTGCCTCCTTCCTCATCGAAATTTCAGGCAACACCCATACAATTAAAGTCTTGGCTGAAGCACATTTTCTGACATGTGGTCTCACAGCAAGAACAGGAATTGACCGGGTCCTCGCATCTTCACGAAATTCCATTGTACAACTCGACAGTCAACACTACATCTCTAAAGCCTCCTCAAGTTTATCGAACTGTTGAGCAATACCCAGAGACGGACTCCAGCAAATCTCTTCTGAATCATGCGGATGGCCTCCATCCAAGTAATTCTAGAATCTCCGTTCCACGCTCTAGAGATACGCAAGACACAATATCTCAAGGATGGCTACAGCGACAAACAATTGGTGCCAGTCGGCTTCGACGGTATCCAACCCGCAAAATCAACTTGATTCGTGGTACAGTCTTGAGCGTGGAATATCCAGTTCCCAGCGCGATCCAAAACGCAATCGAGCCGCAGTATTTAAATGACTCAGGAAGTTCACCGGAAGAATTTACTCATCTTCGTTGTCAGTCTTATATAGAGGATCGAGGTTAGATTTACTGGCCCATACTGATACACTCCAGATACGGCCGCAACTTGCGATCCTGATGAATTTACTCTTAACAAAGGCTACAATCTCCGAGCGGCTATGTATAATCGGTATACCGAGCTCCTGATAGCCATTACCTATTACAACGAAGACAAAGTGCTTACCGCTCGGACACTACACGGGGTCATGCAAAATGTTCGCGACATCGTCAATCTGAAGAAGACTCAGTTCTGGAATAAGGGGGGTCCTGCATGGCAAAAGATTGTCGTATGTTTGGTTTTTGATGGGATCGGCCCATGTGATAAAGACACATTGGACGTTTTGGCTACTGTGGGCATCTACCAGGATGGAATAATGAAGGGAGATATTGATGGCAGGGGGACAGTGGCCCATATCGTTCGTCTAGAACTCCCTAATCTTGGGTTATTATAAGCATGGTTATATTACTTAAAGACTGACAATTTTCTAGTTTGAGTATACAACACAGCTGTCTGTCACTCCATCACAAGAGCTTATCCGACCGCACATGGGCGATGAGTCTATCCATAATCTATCGCCCGTCCAAATGATATTTTGCTTGAAACAGCAGAACAGCAAAAAGATCAATTCACATCGATGGCTATTCAACGCTTTCGGTCGGATCCTAAATCCAGAAGTGTGTATTCTCATCGACGCAGGGACCAAACCAGGCCACAAATCCCTGCTTGCTTTATGGGAGGCTTTCTATAACGATAAGCATCTTGGGGGCGCATGTGGAGAGATCCATGCACTCCTTGGCCGGCGATGGGAAAAGGTCCTCAATCCTATCGTTGCGGCGCAAAACTTCGAGTACAAGATTTCAAACATCCTGGATAAGCCTTTGGAAAGCGTTTTTGGCTATGTGAGTGTTCTGCCTGGCGCCTTCTCGGCGTATCGTTATCGGGCTATCATGGGCCGGCCGCTAGAGCAATATTTCCATGGTGATCATACACTGTCTGCGAGGCTAGGTCGGAAGGGTATCGAGGGTATGAATATTTTTAAGAAGAATATGTTTCTTGCGGAAGACCGGATTCTATGCTTCGAGCTTGTTGCGAAAGCCGGATTTAGCTGGCACTTGACCTATGTGAAGGCTTCAAAGGGGGAGACCGACGTACCGGAAGGCAAGTACCTTCCCTCAAACACACAGGTGAGAAGTGTATCAAAACTAATGAGATGATATAGCCCCGTCAGAGTTTCTTGGTCAAAGGCGACGGTGGCTCAATGGCTCATTTGCTGCCGGTCTTTACTCGATCATGCATTTCACCAGGATCTACAAAAGTGGTCACAATTCCCTAAGACTGTTATGGTTGCATGTGCAGCTTACCTACAATCTCCTCCAGCTCGTGATGACTTGGTTCTCTCTTGGTAAGTTGATCATGGATGGAATAGCCTCAAGGTCGCGACTAACCGTACTAAAGCATCCTACTGGTTAACAACCTCGGTAATCATGGACATTGTTGGAGTTCCCAGTTCGACAAACAAATATCACGGCTGGCCCTTCGGTAATGAGGTGACTCCAATTTTCAACAATGTAGTCAAAGCCACATATCTAGCTGTCCTCATCCAGCAATATGTACTGGCACTAGGCAATCGACCAAAGGGGTGAGTGATCTAGAAGTTGTGCTCAGGCGAGCGAGGGGCAGCATGCTGATTCTCAACGACCGCTAACTATTATCACCAGATCGAAATTTGCATACTTGTTAGCACTGGTATATTTTGCCCTGGTGCAGCTATACATTTTGACTCTGTCATTTTATCTTGTTGCACAAGCTTTCTCCGGTGGAAGCTTGAGCCTCGACATCAGCAATGGGGTGGGTGGCTTTCTGAATTCGCTCTTCGCTTCAACAAGTGGCCTGGTTCTGATCGCCTTGGTCTCAACATATGGTATCTATATCTTTGCGAGCATCCTCTACGCTGATCCGTGGCATATTTTCACATCTTCGTGGGCCTACTTCCTCGGTATGCCCTCTTCAATCAATGTGCTGATGGTGTATGCCTTCTGCAACTGGCACGATGTATCTTGGGGTACCAAAGGCTCCGATCAATTGTCCGCACTTCCCTCGGCACAGACTCATATCTCCTCTCGTCCCTCAATTAGCAATTTCGTCGAGGAGGCCGATCAACCACAGGCGGATATAGATACTGAATTTGAAAAGACCGTCAAGCGCGCTTTAAAACCGTTCAAGCCTCCCGTCGAGCAGGAGAAGATTGACTTGAGCGACTCTTACAAAACTTTCCGCACGAATCTGGTCCTCATATGGAGTCTGTCAAATGCCTTGTTGGTGCTTATGATTAACAACGCCTCCGTGCATAACTTGTGCCTAACGGTAAATCACCCACTTCCATTCTTTTGACTCGTGTGGAGAATTTATTTTCTTCCCTTTGACTTAGGCATACTAACAGTGTGAATAGAGCACTTCTACTACCCGGACGGCATGGTACTTCAAAGTGATTCTCCTGGTTACTTCGGGTCTATCAATTTTTCGGTTTCTAGGATCATTGTTGTTTCTTGGAAAAACTGGCATTTTGTGTTGTTTTTCACGAAAGTGAATGATTTGCTAGTCAATAAGATCTGAAGCTTGGTGACCTCGGGAATTCTTCAACCAATTTTATACCATTGTCTCTTGTAACCTCCTCGACCAAATTTACTCAATATCTTGAGGAAGAAGTCTATCAATGTTTTCTGTTCTCTTTAGCCGGCTTGATTATTCTCTAAGATGTAGTATAATCCCGCGAGATTCTTATCATCAAAGACATTTCTCCATTTGTCTTTCTACTTGTTTTTCTATCTATGTAGAGCTTACAGCAAATCTAGTGGTATACTAGGCAGTAAAAGTTAATGTACGGCCAAGGGGGTTTTTCCCGCTAGACTCTATACAGTACAAAGACTTACTCCAAGAGTTTTAGCTCGCTGCATCCCGAATTGCCGATTTCTCCGGAGTCCAGAGATCCGACCGGCATGCGTGCCGTGTTTCCACTCCCAACGATCCCTGCTGCATCCAACTTCGATCCCTGCTGCAGCCAACTTCAGATGTTGTCGAATGATGATTGGGTATTCTCGGTGGCTTGCAGCTGCAGAACGCAGAGATTTTCAAGACGTCGCAGTGGCCTAAACCTGGTATGAAAATACTTGAAATTCAGCGTAATGGGGGCGTTTTCCATACCTATTTCCCTTTCGACCTTTTAAGTTGCCGAGCACCGAGGTGGAAATACGCATTCTAGAGTAATCAGCGATATCAGATCTACAATTTCGATTCTAATGCTATTTGATCGTATAGACGATCGGTATATTTGCCCCATTCGGGTTTTTTGAAGCTAAGTAGATTCTTCTGGCTTGGACGTCACTGCGGGGAGTCGAGATAGCGAGCACAGTAATACCTTTGTAGAGAATCTAATCTCGATTTTTGTTGCTAGCAATAACATGAATTTTAGGAATCAAAGTCAGTACCCAATAGATATCCTATGCTAGTATCAAAATTCCACGAATATAAGGGGTCTTCTTCTTCTTCATATTTTTCCTCTCTTCTTTTCACTTCCTGTCTCTTCTTTCTATTTTTTTCTTTTTTTCCTTTCCTTGGCAACTCCTTGTAATAAATCTGGGGTCCCAAACAAATGAAGATTACAAGGTTTTAGAATAACATACACGGTGCAAGTTCACTGGATCCATCAAAGTAATATTCACAACAGTTGTACAGCAAGAAAACCGTCAATTCAGCCGCATATTTCGTGACATTTTGTAGAATACGTTTTCGCTTACCATTGAGTAGACATGGTGATTGACCGACACCCACAAAATTACTGTAATTCCCCCGGGCTAGGTGGCTTCATTACGCCGCGTCGACCACGAATCCATCCATCCTGCGACCTGGCAAGCACTGACAATTACCGCATGCGGCCGTGATCATTCCTCGCGCCGATCCTTGGCCATACAAACCCGTCCGGTCGTTTCTGATACGAACCTCGTCTTTTGGGCTGTTGCACCACTCCACCATGTTTTATTTTATGACTGTTAAATAATTAGGGGTTAGTGGTGGTTTAGAAGTGCCATCTCTCTTCCTAAAGTCATCTCTCTCCCCAATACTTAAACCAGCTATCTACCCACTTTTTTTTCTGGGATATCATAGCCTCTTCTCTCCATTATCATTTCTTTATATTCATAATTCGGTAACACGTCGATCTACCAAGCGACTTTCTTCATGATCCTTCCTGACTCTTCCTTTCTCCCTTTTACGAATATCAATTCCAGCTCCAAGATTTGAGTGACGACATCTCTTTAGATCAATATATTGACCTCGAGTGTTACACTCGTTCAGCATTGCACTTCAACATTTGAAGTTACCGTATACCCTCTTGCTATTTCAAACTTTCATCCCTACCATATTGGCTAAGAACTTTTCATAAAAGTTCCATCATGGCGTGGTCTCAAGATGATAGCTTTTCAAACAACTGGGGACAATTCAATCTGCAAAACCATGAAATTCATGAGGACCGTTTGAATCTCCAGTCTCCATCTAAGTTCGTTCCACCCTATCTGCTGGCAAGGTCAAGCATATTGCCTACAGACGCACTCGAAGACCAATCAAATTCAAATGTTTCTTTGAATTATTCCTGGCCATCTTCAGAAACCGAACCAGTATCTACTATCCAACAAGATCACCAAGATTACTCCCACCATACCATCCTTGATTGTTCCAATCCTTTTTCGGCTTCAATCAGCCCTCTACAGCCAATGATTACGAACTCTATGCAAAGTCGCCCTCAGCCCACAGCTGCCTTTTCCATTCCGCCAACAAAGATCACGAAATCGCGAGCTCGTATTGCTGAGAAGGAACCAACAATGATCCATCATACGCAGAGAAAAGCGCAGTAAGTCTTGATATTATCTATTTGGGGGATTCTTGTTGACAATGACCTTAAGCTACATCGACGACGATTCGGGGAGCTTCGAATGCGGATGGAAGGATTGCCGGTCCCCTACAACATTTCGTTCAGAGGGCTCCCTAATAAGACATATCAAAACTCAACATGTCACGCCGCGTGCCTTTAAGTGTCCGTACTTTCATTGCAAGAGAGGCTTCAACCGGAAAGACAATCTGGAAGAGCATATACACCGCATCCATAGAAGCCGAATGTGATCATCCCTCCATTCATGTTTCGCTCTCCATTTTGCTTCTTCCTTCCTTTTCTCTTTTCTCTTCCCTTTTCTCTTATTCATATATTATTCTTCGCCATATTCCCAGAATACTATATTTCTCTGCAATCGAATTTTCGGTATTTTACTTAGTTCTTTAATCTTTTTCAACTTGAGCGGGCGTTGTATTGAGCGGGCGTTGTATCTCATAACCCCTAATCATATCTGATCAATGTCCTCTCCCAAATCTAGAAAGAATTTACATGATATTCATCCCAGTATCTGATAATAGAACGATACCAACCAAAAAGACTTCCACAGGATCATAATCTAACCTAATAATTCTTCTGCACAACCCCCCTCGCAAACTCCGCAAAAGTCAAACCAGCCTGAACCTCCTCTCCCAAATTCGGCTGCGTAAAAACAGCCAACGTATTCCTCGCAATCCTTCCCTCCACAGTCTTAGCCCCCTTAACAAAATGCGGCACAGCCCGGAATTTACCCCTCGTAATCAACTGCAACGCCTCCCCAGTCTGAAAAGCAAGACAAGCCCTCGGAATATTCACCTTAACAATATCACCTGTTCTCGAACGAATATACAGCCCAGCCGCAGGATCAGGAGACTTCTCTAATTCAGGCAAAATGGGAAGAGAGTCAGAGTCAGAGGTAGAGATAGAATCAAGTATTGGCGGCGATGCTGCTTCATCAAGGAACATCGCAGATGTAAGACCAGTCAAGCAACCATGATCTATATGTGTAGCGCACCAGTCATCATCATCATCATCATCATCATCATCATCATTATTCTGTTTCTCGGCCTGTTCGGTAGCAGGGAAATAATGAAGTAAGCGAGCCTTTGTCGTGAGACTTGTTTCAACGACTCGTTGCAGATAACCAGGCTTATAGTCGTCGATATTTGCCTCGGCGTATTTATCACAGGCGCGCGCTACAAGTGTTGCAGTTTGAATGATTAGCGAGCAGAGATCCTCGGCGCTTGATCTGAAAGTTGGAAGTTTTCCGGCGTCTGGCCAGATATTTGGCGCTGTGTATTGGGGTAGATCGGGGAATCCCTCTGCTGGTGCGCTGGCTAGTGTTGGATCCTGGTAGAAGGCGCAGTTGACATAGTATGAGCCCTTTAGAGTATCGAAGTGACCTGATTTGAGAGTTTCTTTCCCACAGGACCAGCCTACGAGATATTTTGACTCGGGACTTTCGAGGGATTCTATTATTGTTAGTTTTTGTTAGTTTTAAATTTCTTTTATGATTGCTATGTAGTGACAGCATTGATAGCACTAGGAGTCAGAGGGCTATACCTAGTTCTTTTTCCGGAAGAGCTGCTAGATAAGATGCATTTGAAAGAACCTTAGCACGCAGTTCGGCAAAGTGCTCTGGCAAGTCTTTCACGACGATAATGCCCAGGGATGCTGGTCCGAAAGCCTCTGTGAGGGTATCGAAAGAGACGGTCCCTATTACGAATTAGCTAGTCGTCGCATAAATGTATGAATACAGGAAATATTCTCACCATTCTCAAGATCTTTGAGACTAACAGTGACCGCTTGGGCCACGGTTGCTTGATTGACACTCATATTTTCAAGGTTGTTGAGGTTAGGGAAGAAGTGCCATGTTTTTTTTTCCCCGCTTCATGCTAACGGGGGCTACCGATAAGGTACGGCTAGCAACGGGTTGATAAATCGGGCAAGTGGACAAGTGGGCAATTACAATTGCCTACTTATTACTGGTTGTATGTCAAAGAAATCATAATGGCCAATGAAGATGAGTGGAGTTTGATGTTGTTGATACATTATTAAAGACTATCGTACTAAACAAACGCTATCACAATGGCTAAAAAAGGCTATGCCGCAGTCACTCCAGGACGTCTAGTAACAGCCCTCAAGTTCCCAAAGGCCAATACATCACCGATGCGCTTAGCACCCGTGAACAGCATCACAAGGCGATCAATGCCACATCCCCATCCTCCTGTTGAAGGGAGTCCCCATTCCAAAGCCTCAAGATAACTCTCATCAATCTCGCCAGTCTCACCAACTGCATGACTAAATCGCAACTGGTCCTCAAACTTGCGGCGCTGCTCAAAAGGCGAATTCTCCTCTTCATATAAATTAATCACTTCCTTGCCCTCGATAAAGAGCTCGCCGCGCGCGGCAACACATTGGCCCGTTACAGGATGAGTAAATGATTTGGAGAGTGGAGAAAGGCACTCAGGTGAGTTGATGATGAAGGTCGGGTCTATGCATTGCGGTTCAACGTAGACGCTGCAAAGTTCATCAAGGAGACGGGGGAGGGTAGGGTTTTCGGGGATCTCGAGGGAAAGAGTATGGAACAGGGAGCGGATTTGGTCGAGAGCGTCCGCGGCACTCAGATCGGGCAGCTTCTGGTTGATAGCTTCTTCGATGCCGGTGATGAAGTCGATACGCTTGAATGGTGCGTCAAAGTTGACCTTAGTAGGGTTAAGGGTATTATTATCTTTGTTGAATGCGTGGATGCGAGCTGCCATTCCGGAGAGAAGTTCTTCACTGGTGCGCATTAGATCTTCCAGGTTGGCGTAGGCATGATAGAATTCGCAGGTTGTAAACTCTGCATTGTGGGTTTTATCAAGACCTGATACCAGTAGTTAGTTAGTGATATTCATGTCGTTGCAGTAGCAAGCATAAGACATACCTTCATTGCGAAACGACGGGCCAATTTCAAATACTTTATCAAATCCACCCACAATCAATCGCTTCAGCCACAGCTCCGGCGCAATACGCAGTGATAATTCGCGTTCTGGAAACTCCGTTGCAGAGGTCACGAAGGGACGGGCAATCGCACCTCCCGCCACAGCCCCAATGATAGGTGTGCTGACTTCCATAAAAGAGCGATCCACAAAGAACTGACGCAGGTATTGAGTCAAAACCGATCTGGCACGAATAATATCCGCCGTCGCAGGATCAGCTAGGAACTGGACATGGCGGGGGTACGGCGAGATCTCATGAGAAACATCATGAACAGGAACATCATGTAGGCATGGCGCTAGCAATTGAGGCAACTCCGTCACGTTGAGGGTAAGTTCGCCACGGGCAGTACGATGCGGGTTTCCAGTTACAGCTAGAGATAAATCGTTTAGTTGGAGATTTCTTCCAGGCCCAGAAAATTCTGCATGGCAAGGGGAGATAAACAATAGAAAGAAAAAACATACTAAACGCGTCACCGCGACGAAGCAGACGATACAACTTTTTAAATTCTTGGGATTCGATATTCTGGAGTCGACCCTTGTTGCACATCACTTGAATCTTTTGGCCATCTTGCACGATATCGAAGAAAATCAATTTGCTCCCCGCGAGGCGGTAGGTACGTATTCTACCTAATCTAATCTAAGTACAATGGACATTGGACAGAAAGGCCAGTTGGCCAGGACAACGGGCGCGACCTACCAGAGATGACGACCGTGTCTTCTACAGAATCATTGTTGGCCAATCCCTCATAGCGCGAGCGAAATTCTGCACAGCTCAAAGATCGCTGATCCACTGCCAATCGAGGGTACGGGTCCTTAACAGCAGACCTAACCTGCTGCAATCGTTCCTGAAAAGCCTTTTCCGGAGACGAAGATGAAACAGAGCTACTATTTCGGAGAGACTGTTTTGTTAGTTGAGCCCGGATAATGGGCTGGAAACGGGATTGAAAACGGCGTCCTGCACTTTGAAATGGGTCAGCTTGGTGTCCCAAACAAATATAATTGTGAAACAAGTGTTAAGCAATTGAATTGAATCGATCAGTCTAGGTACGTTGCGTTCATATACTCGTGAGAGCATCAACTGCAGCGGTTCTGAAGCAGAGGGTAGATATCATCATGATAGGGTGGAAAAGAAATGAATAAGATAAAATAACAAGAATCAAAGTTCTTACCTGTATCGTAGCCCCTCCAAGCCATGGGAGAGAGCCCATGAGCGAATTGAATGCATTTGCAATCGAGATTCGCAGTTCACATTGCGTGAATGAGAAGAGAAGAAGAGTAGAAAGGAAAGAAGAAAAAATTGTGGAAAAAGCGGGAGAAAAGGAAAAACTCGGGCGGACAAGACTCGGGTGGCCCAAGCTTCCAAACTCGACTTGGGAACTTCCGGTCCGCATCGACCCTGACAACCACCATCATCACTATCAACTTCAAAAGGTATGTATCCCCTATCATTGGAATTGAAGATAGCCTATTAACAGAAACTGACATAGCTACTTCACTATTAACCTCTATATTCATTCATCATGTCTTTCCTTTTCGGCGGTCAGCCCAAGATGTCCTCGGAGATGAAGATTGCTCAGGCCGAGACTGAGGTTGACATGATCTCAGACATGTTCTCCCGGTAAGACGCTCCGAATAAATCACAGAGAAATAGATATTCAATCCCTCTCAATCCCTCCCTGTTTGTTGAATGACGCACTAACATGTACTACTCATCAATAGCTTGAGCGAGTCCTGCACCAAGAAGTGTGTTCCCGTCGATTACCGCGAGGGCGACCTGAACAAGGGCGAGTCCGTCTGCCTCGACCGCTGTGTCTCCAAGTTCTTCGACGTCAACATCAAGGTCTCCGAGAAGATGCAGGGCGAGGCTGCTCAGAAGCAGCAGGGTCTCATGTAAAGTACCACCTAGCAACAACTTTACATGACGTGTTGGACAGAAAATGCGGTTGGTCAATTCATCGCAATGCAATTTACCCCTGAAACCTTCTAGAGAGCATATATTGGATACTATACCAAGATGGAGGAAGTCGCTCATCGGAGGTCGTTTTGTTTTTGTTTCGTGATGGGACACGTTAATATCATCACATTTGGATTAGGCGAGGAACGCCGGTCTATCTATGTACAATAGGAAAATTGGGGGAAACAGGATTAGAAAAAAAGCAAATCCAAATCCAACAGGATATGAAAAGAATACAATGTATCGTACACGCGTGTTCCTCGCATGAAGGGTTATTATGAGGAGACTGGGAAGCCGAGGGATTGCCGAACCCAAGTCATCCAAGAGGTGCTTTGTTCTTCCTCGCCCTGAAGTAGACCTTTAACTCGAGTTTCCACATTGACTATGTGTCGCTCAAAATCGGTCAAGCCTTCCTCCATGTCTTCAACTTTAGATTCGAGGACATGGAGCTCATAGTCCAGTTTGGCACCGAGTAGCTCGACCCGTTTAACACTGTCGTGCAGGTAAGAATTCTCGTCAGTCAGGAGATCGCTGGATCTCTCTCGTAGACGCTGATAATCACCAAAGCGCTCCAGATAGATCGAGTGCAATTCTTCGTGTTGGTCATGGAGGGTGCTGGTCAATTCATCCACAGATGCCACTTGGCGTTCAACCCATGGAGCAGTCTGCTTATCCAATTCCAATATTCGCGAAGTGCATATACGGGCATCTGATGCCAGAATGTCTTCTTGAGTAACTAGGTCATCCAAGGTGGAATTTTCATTGGCCTTTAGTGGTTGGGTCAATGATGTAGAAGCATGCACTACTTCTTCAACATGACTGAAGGACAGGTGTCTTGGACATCGGTCATTACGTCGCTCGGAGCCAATTTCAATGCTTCGAAGCTCTGTACAGCTTTGGGCGCGGCGAAGGGCCATAAAGGCCAATATTGGTTTTGGGTCATCTGCGTCGCCTTGCTCACTTGAGGCCACTGTAGACCGTGTTCTTGCGCGTTCCAGATCCGATTCTTCTTCTACCCCAGCGAGTGGTTGTGGGGCTGGGAGATGGTCTGTTTGCTGAATATTTGGCTCATTTCCTACATTTGTAGGTACAGGGTCAATGTGGATCTCAGGGGGCTTGAGCTCGGTATTCAAATCGGCTCCAGCGGAGGGGTGAGTGCTCTGGTCATCCTCTGGTCGAGATTCTAGATCCCCATCCAGCTTGGAGTCAGACGTTAATCCAGTAGTAGTTCTGGTTTTAGACATAGATTGTTCTGTATCACTCTCAATAGATGGATTATAGGCAATATCATGGGTCAGTTCCGGGCCTTCACGAGGGTTTTTATGATGTGAGCGTAGACCGGGGAGCCCAACTGCATCCTTGAAACGACCCAAGCCAGCTCGAGCATCCGAAACTCTCCCACTCACGCCTTTCTTGCGAATGTCCTTCTCTTCGGTATGAATAGTTTCGGGCAACTTCCCCAGCCGGTCGTGACTGGAGCCCGTTCGCTCAGCTGGCAAATCCTCTGCAGAATGCTTTTTTCGGCTTGTCCAAAGATAACCGCCTTGGTCATCAGTCGTGAACATCATGTCCGATGTTGATGCGCGAACGAAAGAGTGATCAGGCCGACTCTTGCGATGTTTCCCAAGCCAAAGCCATTTTGCTCTTGATCCGTAACAACACTGGATAAATGTCTCGATATCCAGGGTTTCAATGTCGGCAATACCACCCTTTTCACGGCCACGAACCATTCCCATGACCATCTCACCACCCTGTCCACTGAGCTCAGCCATGGTAGACTTGACAGCGTCCGTCCACCCTTCGGCATTGGCAGCCTTAGCTGTCGCGCGATGTAGACGATCTAGAGTTTTTCGGTCCAGCCTCCGTGATCGTTCCATTTTTTGTGATTTTTGAAATCCTCCAATACCACGTTTGAGATTGTCGATATCAAAGGCATCTTTGCCCACTTGGGCGCCATACGTGTGTAACCGGTTTCGAGCCCCAAGGAGCGTTCCCAAGATAGCAGAGACACTCGTTGGGCCAAGGACACCGTCACTTGGCTCGATGTTGTATAAATCAGCCCCGATATCACCCCACCAATCACCGATAGCTGCCTCGGTCACATCACACAGAAGGCCATCCACATATTCAGGGGCTAGCTTGTCGAACACCACTAAGGCAATTTGGCACTGTTTCACCAGCTCCATCACCGCATTGTAGAGAGGCACCCGCTCACTTGCTCGATATACCTGATAGAATTTGGCTTCGGTGGCCGGTAAAGGAGGTTGAAGTTTGAGACCCGCTCGTCCAGCGCAACCCAGTCGCTTTAAGTTCTCATTGACGATGAATTCCTCTCTGTGTTTCTTGAGGTCTCCCTCCGGAACTGGTATAACAGTAAGAGCTGACGGGAAAGAACCGAGGTCTGTCACCATGACGGTTCCAAGTGGTGTTTCCTTCTTGCGGGCATGATACTGTTTCACAGCGTCGAAGTAAAGTTTAAGTCGAGGAGACCACGTAGTTTCGTCGTTCGGGACACTTAACACGCCAACCATAACAGTATGTGACGGGTCACCGGTATATGTCGATATCACGAAGGTCGGATGAACTCGAGAACAAGCCCATTGTTCAACGATGTAGATTTCGTAGCCTTGCAGGGTTGCTCGGCGGTGAAGAACATCGGTAGAGGGGTCCTCTTCCAGATAGCGAAGCGCGACTGCATCGGTGAAGACGAATCTCTGGTGGCCCTGCGGCACTAATCGGTCGAGGCCTTGGCCGTTTGTATTCGAGGCGGGGCTTGCGATGAGGTCCGACGCTTTGGAGGATTCCCGATGGCTTGTGGCCGCTGTGGCCGTTGCGCTGACCGACATGACGACTGGTTGTCACTTCGAGACGCAGGGCGTCGAGGAGACAGCCCAAAGGAGCAGAGTGTAAGTAGAATAGAGAGTACCATTGAGCCACGCAGCTCAAGCCACGCCTCGGCCCAGATTAGGGAGGCGCCGCCGAGTGTTAGAGTTGATATAGCACTAAATGAGCAGCGCAAGTCAGGGGCCCAGACACGGCATTTGAGCCATATTCAGACAGCGACAGGAGAAGAGAGGGTCAAAGTGAAGTAAAGTAAATCTTAACCGTCGTTGTACTGAGTGTAGCTACAATCCCGGATACTGTAGGATGGGAGACGTCACCAGGCGGTGAAGTCACCATCAGGCATCAATCAGGGGCTTCTAGGGTTCAACATTAAGGGACCACAATGCAGGGGTCCCGCGAAGACGGGCTACGGAGTGTTTTGCGACCGACCACTACTGTCGGCAATATGCTAGTGCTGGAGATCAGGGCTCTGTCGACGGGTTGGTTGCCAACTCGATGGGCGCGCAGAGAACGCGTAAAATATGGATTCAGAGGGGCTATTTTCTGAGTACAGCTCAAGTTACACGATAATTAAGATACGGTAGTGAAAGAAGCAAAGAATGAGAATCTCTTCTCTACAGGCCACCAACAAGGGTAACGAGCAGTAGTGAAAAGAAGACCAAGCATTACTCGAGGACGTTGCAATAAAACGCGAACAGTCCAGCGCAGACGCGAGGGTACTGCGAGTAAGGTGAACACTCGATGGGAAAACCAAGGAGGTCAGGTATCTTGTTTTTTTCAAAAATTCCCATCCGATCCCTAAGGACCAGATGGAGCAGTCAATTTGGTAGTTTTCAACTAGCAAAAACACGATCTCGGATGTCTCCTCACTGATGCGTGTAAAACCCGTGCACTAGGATGGAAAAGAAAGGAAAGAAGAGGAAGGGCGTAGGGAGGGAGAAAGTATTTATACCCGGAGCCTAAAGGCGCTAGTGGAAGCGAGAGTGGGGCGCGTAGCCTGTGGATGGGCTTTGATTGGAATACAGATGACGGGTTGCCAAGAAGATGAGTCATCGTTTCTTAAGTATCCCAAAGAGGAATAGTACGTCTGGAAGCTCTCACGTGCCCTTGGTTGCTTTGATTGCGCATGGAATCAACCATGACTTCTAACTCTCTCACTACAAACTTGTAGGTTATCGGAATTACGGGATTAGTGAAGCTCCAACATTCCTTTTCCAAATCTATCTCAATTCTGTGAAGTCTTTGGTGATAAGCTATCTCATCCACGGATCAGTTGATTCCCGATACAGTCACGTGTATCCCAATGGCGTAAAGCGGGCGATCACCCGGAATAGTCCAACTCCAATGTTCCACCAAGCTTCGTGGGTTCTCGACTTCCCCTCGTCATATCAGCGCAAAATACACCCCATGCTACAGCACCCGGGCAACTGGGGCTCTTAAACAGCATAAGCCAGCCCCTCGCCTGCCGGCTTACATATGGCCGCCGGTTGACTCGGGCGGTAATCGCAATTCACCTCCGCATTTGAGTACCCACCAACATCCATACGCCATGGATCTCGTACAGAAAGAGCATGAGAGGCTCTCAAAGAAGCTCAAGGGAGCTCAGAGTCTCAAAAATGTGCAATCCACTATTGACATGCTACAATCAGCCCGGGATACTATTGCTGCTGGTTAGTGCTCTGTGACCCAATCTTTGATACTTTGGAAGTAACAGCGCCGGATGACTTGAAACTGGTCCATAATCAACCCAATGTATCCCTCACTGACACCTTTTCCATGGCCTATTGTAGACCCAAACCAAGCAGCCGTAACCCTGGCTAAATTACAGAACCCTGTTAAGGCATCTTTTGAGTCTCTCAATGATAATCTGAAGGAAACTCATAGCGGGCTGAACAAGTACACCAAGTCTCTTGACAAGGTAAGCATTCACTTCTATTGTTCTTCTGACGATATACCCTCTGCTTTTTTTCTCTCCCTTTTTCTCTCTCTCTAACACACCGTTTTTCTTCTCTCCCCGCAGCTTTTTAAGGACCGACCTCTCCCCAGTACCGAGCTCGATGCCCTCTCCAAGCAAGAGAACTTGATCGACCGTGCGATTGCGATGCACCTTCTCCGTGAAGGACAATTTTCAGTTGCTGCAACATTTCTATCCGAAATCTCAGACCAAAAAAACTTGTCCGATTCTGACTCAAGTCGTTCAACCTCTGAGAGCGCAACCAACCTCTTAGATGAGGTCCCCTCCGACGAGATCCGGAGGCAATTTTCTTCCATGTATTACATCCTTCACGAGCTTAAAGAAAAGAAGAACCTCCTTCCAGCCATTCAATGGTCCCGAGAAAATCGCGAAGCTCTCGAGTCTCGCGGCAGCAATCTAGAGTTCGAGCTATGCCGCCTGCAGTTCGTGTGGCTTTTCCATGGCGAGTCCGATGACCAAAGTATTCGAAATTTGGAAGCAGCCATGGCCTATGCGCGGGTGGAATTTCACGCTTTTATACCTCGCTATCTCCGGGAAGTTCAGCAGCTGATGGGAGCTATGGCCTTCACTCAGAACCTTCGAGGATCACCATATGCAAACATATTTAACAATCCCTCTTCATGGGATGATGTGGCACAGTTCTTCACCCGTGAATTCTGTTCATTACTTGGTCTCTCAGCCGACTCGCCACTTTACGTGGCTGCAACGGCGGGTGCGATTGCGCTGCCCACACTTTTGAAGTTACAGACCATCATGAAATCGAAGCACACGGAATGGACCAGTGAAAATGAGCTTCCAGTATGCCATTTCTGCCCCTGTCCATCCCCTCGCATCATTACGTTACTTCCTTGTACTAATTTCCGTTTTAGGTCGAAATCCCTCTACCCCCGTCTTATCTATTTCACTCAATCTTTGTCTGTCCCGTGTCAAAGGAGCAGGCGACCGATGAGAATCCACCAATGATGATGCCATGCGGGCATGTCATCGCCGAAGAGTCACTGCGTCGACTCAGCAAGGGTAATCGCTTTAAGTGTCCCTACTGTCCCAATGAAAGCCATCCGCGGGATGCTCGGAAGATTTTCCTTTGAGCGTTTTGCACACTTTTTTACGCCTCTTTTCCCCCTTCTATCTCTCTCGCTTTTCCCCCTCCAGTATCTGATGCAGGCACAATCATATTGAGCAACTCTACGGACATATCACTGGCGTTAGGATTCGGTGTTGATTACGGAATCGGCACCCAGCTTTGAATTTAACCTTCTTTTACTTCCTTTGCCCCAATTTTCCGTACTCCGTATGCACGTGCACGATAACCTTCTCAGCACCCAAAGAACTCTCTAGTGTCTATGCCAATTTCCAAGTCTCCACTTTCCCTAGCCCGTATTATCAACTTAACAAAGAACTCATTTTCCAATTTCCCAAATCTCCACTTCTCCCTGCACTAACCCGAATCCCCTCCCCTATTGGTCCACTCCGTCCCGTGACCACGCGCTCATTTGGCGACACTCCACTGCCCCTTTACGCGTTTGAACCTCGTCATGACGCGTCAGGTAGTCAGAACAGTCTCCATTTTGGGTAATATTGGCCCTGTCAAACACGTATTTGCGTCATAACTTCCCCGTCAGATCCTGTCAGGTACATTCGTGACCAACCCGGGCGTACAAGTTCACCCCATGAAATTATTTACCCGGGTGCAATCTTTGAAACTTGTGTATAAATAGAGCTCTGTAGCCCCTGAATCTGATTCGGACAGATTCAGATTCTATCTCTTTCTATCTGTCAATCGAGTCTGGGTACCTTTTATACCCACTACTCTCCCATTGCTATTTGCATCTCGCTTATAAAAAAAGAAAGAAAGAAAAACGAAGAAGAAAACAAAAATTCAAAGAAACAATTCCATGATGCTTTCCAAACGGAATCCTCCCCAGACTCCATCCAATGCTTTCACTCGCTATCGCGCTACGAAAGCTTCCTCGGCGGCTCATAAGTCCCGACGAAATATAAGGGATAGTTCCCGCTCTAGCAGCGCATCAAGGCGCATAGAGGTAGAGCCACGACGGAAACCAACTTACCCTCCAGATGTATCGTAAGTGAACCTTCTTTCTTCCACGAGGACGATTCATTGAAACCCCATTTTTCTTTTTCCCAATACACATCCAATTCACCCAGCCGTGAACAAAATATATAATCCATAGTTTTTAACTAACTATAAAACCCTCCAGTTCACCAACGCCCTCAACATCCCCAGTCGTCCTCCTCCATGTCGGTCCATCAAACCGCCTCTTTGCCGCCCACGAAACAATCCTGACCTCATCATCCTACTTCGCAGCCCAATGTGGCTCACAAACCCCCTCCCCTCCATCTCGGGCGAACGCCCATGTCCAGACTCCCAGAAAACATATCCATCTCCCAGATGAAGAACCAGAGGTTCTATCCTGTGTTCTTGAGTATCTATACAAAGGCGACTACTATCCCCGTCTCCGCCACAATGCACTCCGCAAGACATGGGAGCTAGAGTCTGGACCCGAAGAGACAGACGGAGAGACCCCAGGTGCTACACTTTGGCATCAAGGTATCAGGGAGACTATTCTACGGGATACAGCTATATAGTAAGTGGTTTGTATTTGAAAGTACCATCAACTCCTATCTTGAGAAAGAAGAAACGAGAAAGAATTGCCAAGATGAAAGCTCATGCTAATGATTGGATATAGTTGCGCTGCAGAGAAATTCAACCTTCCCTCCCTTCAGCGGTTGGCACTTCGGAAACAGGGCCTTCACACGGGAATCACGGTGAACACTATTCTCGCGAGTGCGCGGTACGCGTATGCGAATACACCTGATACAGAGTCGAAGCTCAGAGCCCATTATCTTGCGCTAATTATTCGGTGCCGGGGAACGTTTAAGAGAAGTGGGACTATGCAGATGGAAATGGAACGGGGTGGGAAGTTGTTTTTCGATCTGTTTGTTGCTATGTGTAACCATATGGTAAGTTCTCTTTAGCACTGCTTTGATAGGGGGGTTGAGAGCCTTACAGGGTTATCTTGTTTCGTGAAAGCTTCGTTCTAACTTTGGTTTCTAGGATGATGCTGATCCTGGGGCTTTGTCGACTTATAGTTCCGCTGCGACTAGGAAAGATTAGGTGATCTATTCAGTGGATGGTTTTGCTGGTGGGTTTTTATTTGGATGTGCTTGTTATTTACTGTTTGTTTGCTGGCGGCTTTGTTTCGCTTTTTTACTCCATTCTATACCCATGTACTATTAATACTACTTTTGAAGGATGACGCTAATTGTAATCTGAAAGTTCAATCCTATTGAAGGTCTTTTGGTATTTCAACATAATACAGTCGCAGTGATAAAATGTGGTATCTTTAATTTGAGGGATCATATCCAATTGATCGTTCTCTTTATTATCCCCAGGATAGAATAATCGTGGGCATCATAAGAGTTAGTTTTATGGGATCTGAAATTAGAGGTGTATCAAGTAGTCAGCACAAGGCGGGCGCTAGTCAGACGCCTGTGATCGGTTAATTTTTGGCTAGGTCGATGTGTAGAAAGAAGTATCTGCGAAAGCCTGTAGGAGTGCGCTGGAGGCAAGTCTCTAAATTTCATGCGTTGGGACTCGTGATTATGGTAGTGAATTCAATATGGGTCAGGCGCCCGCTTAGACACCAGTCCCGGGGAAAGCAGAATTGTTCTTGCTTAACACGACGATGCCTCGTTCACGAGCGATGTATCCTTTCATCAGACCCTATTATTTTTGTCAGTATTTGATGTTTCATCGCTAAGTTACCTTGTGACTAACCTTGTAGATGAGATTGGCTAATAAGCACTCAACCTCATCAGTATCAACTCGAGTCCGAGCTGTAGCATGGGTCCCAATACGTAATGCTGCGGCGAACTCTGCGACAGGTACACGGGTTCGACGAATGGGAGGCTGCCCATCCTTGGCCTGTTCAAACCCACCAGCGATAAAGACTTTGCGGAACAGATTGCGCAAGGCAATATCCCGTCCACGTTCCAGAGGTAGGTAGATGCGCCTCTTTACAAATTCTTCCTCGCCAGCACTCATGGCTCTGTCAAAGCCGACGAGATCACCCTTTCGGATGCAATTGGACAGAGGGCGGAAAAATGCCTCGAGGCGAGGGAATTGAGCAAGTAAGCGGTGACTGGGGAGAGTATGGGTTGTGACCAAATGGCAAGGAATGAGGTATGTAAGAATCAATCTATTATACAGATCAGTGAGAGTTCAATTAGCAGGATGGACAAATCCTTACTCTCGGTTTTTGAGAGCTTGTCGGTGGCACATCCTCCAAGCAGATGTCAGGTGTGTCTCCGCCTACCACACTCGATTAGCATGGTTAGGTCACATGTAAGGGATACCATGCTACTAACCTCGATATAGTTCTCGTCCAAAAAGTGAATGACGCCAACATAATATTCGAAAGTCACGATGTGAGACTTTGGGAATGCCTCCAATGGCGGTAAGTCATGCGATTGGGCATTGATTGCGCGGAGGAGATTCTTAGTGAGGCCAACCGAATTGATCTGTATCAAATTAGAACATGTCGGTGTTAATTTGATTTGCAAACAAACCTTAAAATATGTTTTGAAAAGCAAATTTGTAGTGTTGTAAATGCCCCATTTGCGGGAATCTTCAATGGGTGCACTAAGCGGGTATCAGTAATAAAGTTCACCATTACCAGATAGTCGATACTGACCGGTCACTCAAGCATAATGTGAACATGCGATTCATAATTCGCGCAGCCTCCTCCAAGTTCCCATTCTTCTCGAAATCGGCAGCTATGTCATCCTGGAACCCAAAGCTTGCTGAGCCTTGGGAGACAACTTCGGCATCGGCCTTAATCGCAAAGATACGTAAGTACTTGCCGCTAATATATAACAATGGCAAGGTCCAGGCAGGAAAAGAGGAGGAGCCCGAGTATCCTCTGATCAGCACATTGACGAACTTTTTCCAGGCATTGAATATCACAACCGCACTAGCTCCGGGCTGGCGATTCTGGTACGTAAATAGTTCGTCCAGTGCTTTCCAATATTCCACAGCAACCTCCACCCAAGCATTTTGTTCGGTTTTTGACACCTTCAGACGTTTCTTGTTGAATAAGAAGGCGGCCTCTTTGAATGAAACTGGCAAAGTCGCGTCGTCGGATCTATCGTAGAAGGTTTGTATCCGGCCATTGTAGATGTCTGGGGTGAATACTGCCGCCAGTTGCGGGCCAGACTGATCGAAGTAGGCACTGTTAAAATCGAGCCCAAGGGGGTTCATGGTGAGTCGTAACCCGTTCGCTTGGAAACGGATACACTGAGGGGTTCGGGAGTGTTGTTGGAAAACGTTCAGACTCGGTACTTCTGGCAAGCTTCGACCGATCAAAGAATGACCCAGCTCAGGTACCTTGAGACTCACCGCGGGAATACAAGTCAAACAGTCGAACGTGGGGCGAAGGCGGTGTGGCTGGTGAGCTGTGGCGGAAGGAACAGCCCCCGGTCCCTTCCCGATTGGGACTAGATTGACTAATCCGGATCCACTCGCTTAACCGAAGGGCGATAGCCCTAAGCACTTTGCAACACACTTCCAGATTTACTCTTCCCCGGCACACTAACGACTCAACCACCACAGCGACAATCACAGTCAGTACACCCCCATATTGACCTCGATCGAACCCTTTTGCTAACATTCGAATTCCAGATGGGTGAGTGACCATTTTTCCAACGATTTTATTCCAGCATTCTTCTCGAACGGTTACGGTGTGTGCGTGCGATCAATGAACGAAATATGATACGGAACCGACAACTTTTCAACAATGGTGCAAAACTTCAAAGCGACAAGGGAAACGAACATATGACGAATGAGCGACCGGACTGTTGGGGGATTTTCATCTTGTGGTCAGACCAATCTCGAACAAAAAAAATATATCGGAATCCCAATCTCCAATTTCTACACGACAATCCCGCCCCCTTTCTCGAACACCAAAATTTTCATAAATCGCAATCGCATATCATCGCATCACGTTCGAGGAGAATCGCTGAACGCAAAACTTATCCCGAGCCATAACTGACGGGTTCTCAATAGGGCGTCTTAACGAGTACCAGGTTATCGGGCGTCACCTGCCCACCGAGGCGAACCCCACCCCCAAGCTGTACCGCATGCGCATCTTTGCGCCCAACAATGTTGTCGCTAAGTCCCGTTTCTGGTACTTCTTGGCTCAGCTCCGTAAGCTCAAGAAGTCCAACGGTGAGGTCGTCAGCTTGAACATCGTATGTGTTGAATACTCTCTCAAATCAGTGAACAACTACTGATCGCTTTTTCTAGATCACCGAGAAGCGTCCTCTGAAGGTCAAGAACTTCGGTATCTGGCTCCGCTATGACTCTCGCTCCGGTACTCACAACATGTACAAGGAGTTCCGTGAGATGAGCCGTACCGAGGCCGTCGAGGCTCTCTACCAGGACATGGCTGCTCGTCACCGTGCCCGTTTCGGTTCCGTCCACGTATGTTTCATCTCTTCACCTGGAGTCGGTTGTATCATTTTAACTAACAATTCCCGTCACAGATCCTCAAGGTTGTCGAGGTTACCGACCCCGAGAGCATCCGCCGCCCCTACATCAAGCAGCTCCTCGGCAAGAACCTCAAGTTCCCCCTGCCCCACCGCTCTGCCAACCCCGGCAAGAAGCTGTTTGCCTACTCTCGTCCTTCCACCTTTGCTTAAATGTGATGTTTGGGTTTTTTGGGATGGAGTGTGGATGAATAACTGCGACATGGCCATAGCATGCATGAAAGAAAGTGGTCGCGCGGAAACGGCCTATTTGTACCCAGTCAAATGGGAGGGTGTCTCTAGTCCCGTTTAGTGGCATCTTGACGTTAAATTACAAAAATTATCGGGTTCTCTTCCTTCTCCCATTCTGCACTCCGTAGGCGGAAGCAATCAGGTCCTATTATGATTTTTACTGGATTGTAGATTGGCACAATTAAACACTACTTGGTCTAATCGGACCTCTCGAACAAGAGGTATAATGCCTCTTCATCGGGATATCAACATGACCTACCGAGCACCCAGAATGGCCAAATAGAGACTCGTGCCAGTTTACTATACTGAAAGAAGGCTCTTGATAAGCGAGATGGAGACATGCTGTTGAACTTATCTATGATATTCCAAAGTTTATTCAATGTGACAGTTTGTTACGCTCACTACCCGTATAGCCCAGGGGCCTACTTCACGCTATTAAAAACACGTAGATAACCCCTCAATATCGCTATACATAGTAGTAACACATGGAGTTTGGATTCATTGTTTCGGGGCCTCCAGGGTCCCGCATGAGATAGTGAGCGGGCAGATTTGGGGGCCTATAACAGGCCAACCCACAGCCGCCCTTCCCATCCAGTATCGCTAAAATTATACAACAAATTAGACAACTAAGAACACATTGCTCTAAAACATCAAAGTTAGTATCAATTATTAATCAAGAAGATCAGTTGCAATATTACTCACATCAAGACCGGTTACGCAATATGGCGAATATCGTATATCCGACGTTCCAGGAACCGTCTTGCGTCATGCGATTAGACCCGAGCAACCCTGTCCGCTTTCGCATCCGATTTCTTCCCTCTTTACCTCCAACTCTTACACTCCTTCACCTCCCCATTGACATACCCCAAACCACAATTTATCCGCCACAATGTTTGCTCGTCAAGCTTTCCGCTGCGCGCAGCCCTTGAAGCAGGTTTGTTGACAACTTGAACCCTCCAAAACACTCCGGTCTAAACTAATATCCTGTCTCAGAGCTTCCGCAAGTACTCCGCAGAGGCCGCTCCCAAGGCTGCTGAGGCCACTCCTCCTCCTCCCCCTCCTCCTAAGAAGTCTAACTTGACCCCCATCTACGCCGCGGTGGGTCTCGCTGGTCTTGGTGCCGGTGTCTATCGCTACTCGACCACTGCTGATGCTGAGCCTAAGGACCGCCCCAAGGTCTTCAACGGCCAGGACTGGGTGGACCTTAAGGTTGGAGCTGTCGAGACTCTGAGCCACAACACCAAGAGAGTTCGCTTCGAATTCGACGACAAGGAGGCCATTGGTGGTCTCCCTGTTGCCTGTTAGTATTCTCTTATTGTTCCTGGAGGGAGGGATCTTTACTAACGTCGGATATTACAGCTGCCCTTCTCACTCGCTTCAAACCTGAGGGCAAGGAGAAGTTCACACTCCGCCCTTACACTCCTACCAGTAATGAGGGTGAGCTCACTTTACCCCTCCCATTCTAATTATGCCATCAGACAGCTGACTAGATCTCTCACAGAGCAACCCGGTTACCTCGAGCTGGTCGTCAAGGCCTACCCCAACGGTCCTATGTCTGAGCACATCCACTCACTGAGCGAGGGTCAGACTCTGGCCTTCAAGGGCCCCATCGTCAAGTACCCCTGGACCCCCAACAAGCACGACCACATTGCCTTGATCGCCGGTGGTACTGGTATCACCCCCATGTACCAGCTTGCCCGCCATATCTTCAAGAACCCCGATGACCGCACCAAGGTGACTCTCGTCTTCGGTAACGTCAAGGAGGAGGACATCCTTCTGAAGAAGGAGCTTGAGGAGTTGGAGAACACCTACCCCCAGCGTTTCCGCGCCTTCTACGTTCTGGACCAGCCCCCCAAGGACTGGGCCGGTGGTAAGGGCTTCATCACCAAGGAGCTGCTGAAGACTGTCCTGCCCGAGCCTAAGGAGGAGAACGTCAAGCTCTTCGTTTGCGGTCCTCCCGGACTCTACAAGGCTATCTCTGGCGCCAAGGTCAGCCCCCAGGACCAGGGTGAGCTCAGCGGTGTCTTGTCGGAGCTTGGCTACAACAAGGACCAAGTCTTCAAGTTCTAGATTACGTGTATGTAGAATATTTAGAGCCGGCATAGACTGCATATCATAGCTGTGTACATTTTCGATGTATTTCTGGTTTTTAGCGTGTTCTTGCCGTGTCCACCCCGCCGCAGCGCGATTGTACGCTAGAGGATTTTGAGATCATATAACCGGCCCCACAATTTTTCTTTCACAAAAATAATGAACCCTCGCTTACGAGGGTCCGCCACCCATATGGAACAGATCACCCATATGGAACATTTTTTCTAAATCTTACCACAACCACTATTATCATCTACCACACCACCAACAATGCCTAAAACCAATAAAGATATAGAGAACCAGATTCAGCTGGCAATAGAGTCTCTCTCTGAGCAATCTAAGCCTAATATTAGGAAGACTGCGCGAGAATTCGCGGTTCCTGAAGGCCGTCTTCGTCGGCGCTGGCAAGGTGGAAAATCGCTTTTCCAACGACAACCTAATGGCCGGAAGCTTAGTATTGCACAGGAGAAGGCTTTATGTGAATATATTGATTATTTTGATGCGGTCGGAGCATCAATAAATCGCCGTCAAATTGCTATTGCTGCCGATTCAATTCTGGAAGAAGATCATACCGACACCACCACAGATCCCCCACAAATTGGCGACCATTGGCTAAAGCGTTTTCTTAAACGGTATCCTGAGTACTATATACGACGTCGGCGAGCTCTTGATGTTGAAAGAGCTACTGCACTGGATAAATCCGTTATAGAGAGATGGTTTCAAGACTATCAACGTATAGTGGCTAAATATGGCATCTGTCAACAAGATATCTACAATTTTGACGAAACTGGCTTCCAAATTGGCGTCGGTCGCGATCAATTTATTATCACAAGACATCCAAAAAAGAAGCTATTTAATGGCTCAGTTACCAATCGCGAGTCTGTCACTGTTTTAGAGGCTGTTTCGGCTGATGGCTTTACATGCCCACCGCTGATTATTCTAAGCGCTAAACAAGCATTACTACGTTGGTTTGATAAAATTGAAGACGACGAGCATCTTGCTATAACTGATACTGGCTATATCAATGATACATTAGCATATCAATGGATTCAGCTGTTTCATAAATGGACAATTTCTCGTACCATTGGGAAAAAGAGGCTAGTTTTATGCGATCGTTTTGGATCACATTTAACGCGTCAATTTGTTGAATTTTGTGAGAAGAATGATATCATTCTATTCTTCTTACTCTCACATACTAGCCATATACTACAACCTCTCGATGTTGGAGTGTTTAGTGTATATAAACACTGGCATAGTGAGGCAGTTGAGGCGGCTACAATGACTGGATGCCGTAAATTTTCAAAGGATGAATTCCTACATTCAATCAGTGAAATCAGACGCAAAACCTTCCGGCCACATACAATCAAGCTTGGGTTTAGATTAACTGGCCTTTGGCCAATTAATTCTAAGCTTATTACCGATGAATTGGATTCGTACGATCCATATTATGATAATATATCCCGGGAAGATACACCATCAGTTAACTCACAAAATACTGAGTTTAGCACCCCAAAAACCGCTGAGAGAGTTCGAAGAATTAGCGATCGTATTAATCAATATGATCCTACTACTCAACGTTTTAAAGAAGGGCTAGCAAAGCTTGTAAAGGGTGCTGAGACTCAGGCAATGTTGGCTGTCCAACTGCAACGGGAATTCGATTCTACACAAGCTATTATGGGAGCACGTCACGCTAGATATGATGCTTCTCGCCGTTATACGCAAATCACTGGTATTATCAATTCAAGCCAGATCAAAGAAATGAAGCTAAAAGAATATAAATTGACTGAAAAAGCCGATCAAGAAAAGACGAAGCGGAAGTGGAAGAAGATATTGGTTGAAATTAGGAAGCATGGAAGAGCCAAAAAACGCCGGGGAAATTAACTTGATTTTGTATTCTAATATTAAAATGGCTGATTGATTTGTTTATTATTTTTAGTTAATTAATTAACTATATGGTGGTGTGGTAAATAGTAGTTGTAGTACGATTTAGCAAAAATGTTCCATATGGGTGATCTGTTCCATATGGGTGGCGGACCCTCGTAAGCGAGGGTTCATTATTTTTGTGAAAGAAAAATTGTGGGGCCGGTTAGGTATAGCAAACGATATTCTTACACCTAAATTTTTTTTTTTTTTTTTTTCTTTCTTGAATAATAGATGTACTAGCTTCATGTGTATTATCTTTATCTATGTGTATCCTTAATTAGGTATCAATAGTACTGAGGTTGTGGTTACGCCGGTCGCAAATATTCCCAAGGACGCTGCAGGTGGCTTCCAAGGTCCCGCTCGAGGAGGGGTTACTCGGGGCCCGGGCTGTCCCGAGGTGGTGCCAAAATATATATTCATGTTCGTAGCTTACAAGGACAACAAAAATACGTATTCATACAGGCCTGGAGGTCGAAAAAAGCAACAAAATCCGTCCAGAAAAGTCTGTTTCAAGTAGATGAAGACAGTTGGCTACATAAGCCGGATATTTATAGCCCAAAAGAAGAAGATCCCACCCCAAAATTAGTTCTAGATTCAACGAGGACGCCCAGGTGGTGTGAAAGTCCATTATGTCAGGGCCTTCGGGTTACCGCATGGGTGAGGCGACACCAACTCATTGTGAGAACCGGGGGCCCCTAAGCCCAAAACAGCGACGGGCTGTGACCCATGACCGAGCATGCCGGGGCTTAAACAGTTGACACACAGATATTCCAGCAGGCCCCGGGTATTTAGTGGCCGTGCTTCCCGTTCGTCACCCTAGGCCCCCCCTATTCCTCTGGCTCCCCTCTCGGCCCCTCTCCCACTTCCAACCCCCCTCTTCGCCCCCAAGATTTTTTTTTTCACTCCCGGCATACCTTTCCATTCGGCATCACCATGGCTCCTGCTCAAGATCCCAAGGCCGAACAGGTCTCGATTAACGCTTCTGAACTTCGAGAGGCAAACAATGCAGTAAGTTTTTATTTCGTCCGTTTGGTCCTTGAAATTATCTCTTTTTTCGCGCTTGTTTTGTGCTTGCGATACTGGGCTTGTTGTTGTTCCGGTGGTGCGCCCACCAACGCGCCCATCCACACGCGTCGCACCTAGCCCAGATGCTTGCTATCCACGCCTTCACGGCTCTGAGTATAGCCAAACACTAAATTGTGCATCGCAATATCATCGCGACTCGGCAGAAAGTTTTTCGAAGAAAACCTCATCTGAAACGCGTCTGAAGATACCATGCGCCCGTTTTGGTCCTACAGCCCAAGCTCAAGCTCCAAGCTCCAAGCCCAATATTGCAATGTTTGAAATTATTTGTCGCGTCGTGTTGTGAAACTTTTAGCTCTACCTTGAATATCAAGACTAATAACATATCCAGGTTCTCATGCGTCTGATGGGTCTTCAGACATACGTAAATGATCTGACCAAGGCTTATGTTGAGCACACCACCAGTGTTCTTGCTGGTGGCCCCGCCACGATCAACATCCCAGCTGCGCCTCCTAATCTTGAGCCGAGCAAGTTTCTCCGTGCTAGTACGCCCGAAGCCAAGTCTGAGGCCGGTGTTAAGAAGCGCAAGCGCACCCCCGCTGACCCTAATGCGCCTAAGCGCCCTCTGACCCCATACTTCCTGTACATGCACAACAACCGTAATAAAATTGCAGGTGAAATGGGATCCGATACCAAGCCAAAGGATGTCTCTGATGAGGGTACCAAGCGCTGGCAGGAGATGGACGAGCCCCAAAAGGCTGTAAGTAAACCATTCCATGACTTCCCCACCACCTCACTACCCCCCAAAAAACAAAACAGAAAGAAAGAAAAGAGGAAGAGGAAGAATTTTACTGACCAAATATGCAATAGATCTGGAAGGACCTTTACGCTGAGAACTATGAAAAGTACAAGCGCGATGTCGCTGCCTACAAGTCCAAGACCAGTGATCGCAAGACAGAGGATGACCTTGACCCTGCCGCCTCACAGCTGCAGCAGGACTTCGCTGGTGCCGACGCCGACAAGACCGATTCTTCTTCCGAGGATGAAGAGGAAGAGGAGTCCTCCCCCTCTCCCCCTCCCAAAGAGAAGACCCCTCGCAGCACCAAGCGCCGCCGCAGTGACGCCAAGGTCGTGAAGGAGGTGCCAGAGTCTGCCACCAAGCAGGTCTCACCAGTTAAGCGGGGACGCAAGAAGGCAGAGCCCGTCAAGGAGACAACCGCCCCCGAGGCCAAGACCAAGGGCAAGGGCAAGAAGCGCAAGAGCGAGGCTTAAGTGAACAGGATGAGGCGATGATGTATTTTGAAACCGTTTGCTCTTGGCTCCGTGGACATGTCACCATTTCACATTCTCTTGTTTTTTTTTTCTCTCATTTCTTTTCATGTTATTGTTCTTGTTACAACGGAAACTATTTCCCTGGAGGCGCCTTTCGTGTTCGATTATGAAAAAGTGTAGGGTTTTTAATGGCAATCACAATATTCATATACTTCCGAGGTAGCCTACCAGAGACGGGCCAAACACTAATTCTAATTCTAAATCGAATCCACAATTTTCATTCGAGAAATTACCTAGCCTCTCCAGCGGGTCCAAATGTCCGGATTAAACAAAAAACCATTAGCAAAACCGTGACTAACACGGCCGAGCTCGACACCCAATCGGCCAGCACGGCAGAGCCTTATCAACTGTTATCTGCACGACTTTCCGACTTGAAATATACCGCGTCCGCCCCTCCCCACATCCCTAGCCACCCTTTCCAACCTTCCCCGGGGGTGCGAAGATATATCTATCTCTTCAGGACGAAACTCTGTTCTTGACACCTATCCCCTTGTTCTGTACGCCAAGCCAGAGGTTCGGGTTCCACTGCATCATGCAGCTTGTTCCGAAGGAGGTAGGTCTATCGCTGTGCCAAGCAACTTCAAAAATTGGTCTCCAAACGTCCCGGAAATTTCAAGTTCAAGTGCCCACTAACCACCGCTTTTCTATGTAGCTGGATAAGCTCACCATCGCGAACCTTGGGTTTTTAGCACAAAGGCGCCTGGCTCGGGGTGTCGTTCTCAATCATGCAGAGGCAGTGGTACGTGTCTTCCAATGTGCAAATGGGTTATCGATTCCAAATGTGGTGGGAATCCCCGACGCTAATTTTTATTGCCTGCAGGCCTTGATCTCATCCGTCCTGCACGAGGTACGCGATCCCCACTTTTTTTGGGCTGTGTCTTGGATATCGATACAATATCGAAATTCTTCTATTCCAGCCAATGGCATTGCAAGCCCGAGATGATGTGACAATGTAGCTAACTAATTGTGTTGTGCTATTCTAGCTCATTCGTGATGGCCACTACTCCGTTGCGGATCTGATGTCTATTGGAAAGACTTTGCTCGGTCGCCGACATGTCATGCCTTCTGTCATCGCCACTCTTGTCGAGCTTCAGGTTGAAGGAACTTTCCGTTCAGGTACCTATTTGGTTACTGTGCACCATCCCATCAGTAGCGACGAAGGAGACCTCGAACGTGCCTTGTATGGCAGCTTCCTGCCTGTTCCCTCACCAAAAGCCTTCCCGGATCCTCATCCCGAAGATTACCTGCCAGAGAAAATGCCGGGCGCGATTATTCCGGTAAAGGATGCACGAGTGTTCATGAATGATGGGCGAAAGCGCATTAAGTTGAAGGTTATGAGTAAAGGAGACCGACCTATCCAGGTATGTACCAGTGAAACGCTCCGCGGAACACATTATGAATACGATGGACTAACAGAGGTGGTACTCTTCATAGGTCGGATCGCACTACCATTTTATCGAAACAAATCCTCAATTGCATTTTGATCGCGTTCGAGCGTATGGATATAGATTGGACATTGCGGCTGGTACCTCGATTCGATTCGAGCCCGGTGACACCAAGACCGTGACTTTGGTTGAAATCGCCGGCCACAAGGTCATTCGAGGAGGAAATTGGCTGGCTAATGGGCCTGTGGACATGAACCGTGCAGATGAGATCCTATCAAAGCTTCAAGTGGCTGGATTTGCGCATATACCCGAGCCAACAGCAGAAACTACCTTGATTACTGGATTCTCGATGGAACGAGATGCATACGCTCGCATGTTTGGACCGACAACAGGTGACTTGGTGCGTCTTGGCTTGACCGATCTATGGGTACAAGTTGAGAACGATATGACAAGCCATGGAGACGAGTGTGCGTTTGGCGGTGGTAAAACAATTCGTGATGGAATGGGACAAGCGTCAGGGCGATCTTCTGCAGAGTGTGTTGATACGGTTATAACAAATGCGCTGATCATCGACTATACTGGTATCTACAAGGCTGATATTGGTATAAAGGATGGTCTGATTGCTGGAATTGGAAAGGCTGGTAACCCGGATATCATGGACGGTGTACACCCCGATTTGGTTGTGGGTGCTTCAACTGACGTGATTGCTGGCGAGGGCAAGATTATCACGGCTGGTGGATTCGATACACATATTCATTTGATTTGTCCGCAACAAGTGGACGAGGCTCTGGCTTCGGGTATTACTACATTCTTGGGTGGTGGTACAGGCCCTAGTACCGGGTCCAATGCTACTACTTGTTCGCCGGGACCGAACCATCTCCGTCTGATGATGCAGGCATGCGATAGCTTGCCCATCAACATTGGTATTACAGGAAAGGGTAATGATTGCGGCCGCATTAGCATCGAAGAACAGATCAAGGCAGGTGCAGCTGGTCTCAAGCTGCATGAGGATTGGGGTTCTACCCCCGCCGCGATTGACAACTGCCTAGAAGTCTGCGACGACTATGATGTGCAGTGTATGATTCACACCGACACATTAAACGAGTCCGGGTTTGTAGAGCAGACCATCGAAGCCTTCAAGGGCCGTACAATCCACACATACCACACCGAGGGTGCTGGTGGTGGCCACGCCCCGGACATCATTTCCGTCGTTGAGCACCCCAACGTCCTACCAAGTAGCACCAACCCAACTCGCCCATTCACCCTCAACACACTGGACGAGCATCTCGACATGCTAATGGTCTGCCACCACTTATCAAAGAATATTCCCGAAGACGTCGCCTTCGCCGAGAGCCGTATCCGCGCCGAGACCATCGCAGCCGAAGACGTTCTCCACGATTTAGGCGCAATCAGCATGATGTCCTCCGATTCACAAGCCATGGGCCGCTGCGGTGAAGTGATCCTCCGCACCTGGCACACTGCACACAAGAACAAGACTCAGCGTGGGCCTTTACCCCAAGACGAAGGCACAAACAACGATAATTTCCGCGTTAAGCGCTACATTAGCAAATACACCATCAACCCTGCTTTGGCACAGGGTATGGCCCATTTAATCGGTAGTGTGGAGGTGGGGAAGATCGCGGATCTTGTTCTCTGGAACCCAAGCACATTCGGTACAAAGCCAGTTCAAGTTCTAAAGAGCGGTATGATCACCGTTGCTGAGATGGGTGATCCCAACGCCTCAATCCCAACCATCGAGCCTATGATTGTACGCCCAATGTTCGGTGCTCGTGTGCCTAGCAGATCTATTATGTTCGTTTCCCAGGCTTCTATCGATGAAGGAATTGTTCAAACATACGGTCTGAAGAAACGTATTGAAGCGGTTAAAAATTGTCGAAATGTGGGGAAGAAGGATATGAAGTTTAATGATGCGATGCCGAAGATGAAGGTCGATCCTGAGAGTTATGTGAGTATTCATCTTCTATTTAACATCTTCTCTTTGAAGAAAAAATATATGACTCAATATACTAATGCAACATACTAGACTGTTGAAGCAGATAATATGCTTTGCGACGCTGAGCCCTCAACCGAGTTACCCTTGACACAGGCATACTACATCTTCTAGATATGGGGCTCAGGATGGAATTGTTACATTTGTAACACCTACACACCCTCTCCTATCCTATCCCATCCCCAATCTCCCTGATGCTAGCTATACTGTTCTCATTTTCTTCTTCATATCCCCTCCCCTCCATTGTTTCTGCCTTTGATCGCAACCCCAATTTCACCATCAGCATTGCCCCGTTATATACCTCCTTAGAGCGTCTGCTATTCGGGGAGTTCCCATGTTCATGTTCACGTTTTCATGTTGTTATGTTCTCATAGCGAAGAGTTTGTTTTGCATGTAGGTAGCTGAGCTACACACGAAAGTGATGACTTTATTCAATCTATTCAAGTTTTCCCCTCTCATTCTATTACTGGCAAAAGCTCCACTATTTTGATTATACTATACCGACCTTCTAGACTACATATTACTAGGCTACTAATATGCTGAATACGACGCTATGTCAAGGAGATCGCCGGGATTCGGCTTCGTTCTGGCTTTCGGCAAACTGGACCCACGACGGCGGACTTCGCCGTACCTACAATTTAGGTCGCATCCGCCCACCTACACCCTATAAGGACGAGGCTGGAACGTAGGTACGGGGTATAATAACTAGATTAAATTCAAACCTATTTTCTCCTTGTTAATCATTATATGAATAGGGTATACTGTATGATATGTAGATAATTTAAACCGAAATAAGTAGCATACAAACCGCCCGTGCCAGCAGGGTGTCAATAAGAGCAATTCACCACCGCATGCACCCATTTTGGGGGAAAATAGGTTGAAGACAAGACAAGACAAAAAAAATTTAATAAAAGCCCATAAGCGACTGACTGACTGACAAAGTATCTTGACCAAGTCACCACCACTCTGTCTTGTATTGTGTTCTCACAGGTCACAATCCTCATAACTCCGTCTCCTCAGCATGGTTATCACCCGCCGAAACAAGCGAATGTTCTTCCCACGCCGAATAAGACCCATCTGAAGCAGCAAGATAAGCCGAGACACGACCACGTAAACGCGCCATAACTCTTCTTCGCCCAGCACTTCGTCGTATCTTAGACCCCTGCGTTCCATTTGGAGATATCTCCGGAGAAGAATCAGAATCAGAATCAGATGCCATCAGAGCAGCATCGGCGTCTACGGGCGATGATGGAGCGAGTGTAGATTTAGTTATAGATAATGTGAGGGTATCTGTTATTTGACTCTCGTTTAGTGGTGATTGTGATTGTTGTTGTTCGTTGGTATCAGTTGGGATGAGCGGTAGATCCTGGGATGTAGTTGTATCTTGGTCTGTGTGCCCGTTGGAAGTGGTGTTGGAAACAAAGGAAGCATTTACTTTTTCTGTAGGAAAAGATGAAGGCAGAGGACCGATTTGTAATAAGTCCGAGTCGGCAATTTCATGTAGGTAGCGGTGTGCTTTTTGAATCTCACTGTGTCTGGTTGCGGCTCTGTCTGAAATGGTGGTTGCGACTGGATATTGGGCGAGAGGGGTTCGGTTGGTATTTAAAGTAGGCTCTTCGGGCATGCTGCTTCGTTGGGAAGACTGGGTTGCAAGGTCGTCGTCGATATCGTTTTCGTTTCCGTTTTCGTTACCATTACCATCATGATTATTGTACCGAACTCGCTTTCTTGCATGATGCTCTTCGTCGTATTGAGCATCTAGTATATCGTGCATGTGATCATCATGGGAAAACTTCTCTCCTGAGCAGAGGTGACCAAACAGGTACCGGATGGAGACTGATTCGGACCAGGAGGACGGATCTACCGTGCAGGGATGGACATCTTTTGGCTTCAGCGCAGCAATGAGGTGACACAGTTCGGAATAGGATGAATGGCGGGAGTAAGGGAAATTCTGATCAAGTTAGAACTAGGAAGGGTCATATCGGAATGGGAATGTGAGACTCACAATTGTATTAGGGAGATCAGAGTCGGTTTTGGTGTCTTTGTTATCGCCACTTCTATGGCTGAGCTTCGTTACCAGCTGTTCTAGAGGAATTTCATCATCGTGAACATCATATCGATCAAGAGATAATGTTCGTTTCCGTGACCGGAACGCCTCTAGCAATGCAGTTCGTGTTTTCGATAAAGCCTCCGGGTCGTGAATGTGCCGGGCACAAAGTTCCTCTAGCCTAGCGAGGGCAGACTCATCCGGTAGTTCTAATTCGTGAGCTTGATATAGATCTCCCGCGCCTCCACCAGCACCGGCCTCTGGGATCTCGTCGCCTTCCCGAGTACGGTTCACGATGGGGGTGATGTATACTGTCTTAGGACCACGAGCAGCCTTGCACGAGACACCCGGTTCGCAGCTGTGAATCCTGCTGGCATCGTCATCGCTTAGACAACCAGCGACAGATCTGTTACCCAGCTCGAACCCACAAAGCGCATGGGCTTCATTAATTTCCTTTCCTCCAGATGTACTCATTAGAGCACGATAAAGACCGAGTTGATATCGATCCAAATGAACCTAAATGACGATTAGTCTGGGTTTCAGAGGATTGCGAAAACTTTTCAAAATAAAGCAAAGCCTTAATCACCTTCGCATTTAATGCCGCCGAAAGAGCGAGCCAAACGTCCTCGTAACCGAAAGTCCAGGCCCGAAAGTAAAAAATCGTCTCCGCTGGATAAGCTTCTACCTTCGTAAGAAGCTCCGATAGCCCTTCTGCCTTGGATGGGAACTCTCGGAGGGGATTTGATTTAGTAGCGAAAGTTGTGTCGAGGTAGACTTTGTCCAGTCGCTTTTTCCCCAGGGTGTATGGTATTAAGAGGGGGTGTCGGATCAGCGCATCGGTCCACCATTTTTCAGCTGTCAAATGTTAATTTTGTGATAGATCCAATGAAGAAAGTTTTAACCTCTAATATCCCCTGTGTAGAGCACAGCATTGCCACTCCCCTCGATTAGGAACATGACAGCTCCCACGCAGTGGTTTGCATCGAACAGAGTGACCCTGACATGTTTTTTGGGTGTGAGTTCAATATCTGTTGGTGTGTTAAGTGGTATGGGACGCTATGTGGAGCGTCAGATCTCAGATCTCGTATTCTCTTAATATTTGCCTTGAAAATAAATGACTGACCAGTATTTTCCCGAGATGTTTGTAATGTAGTCGTCTTGATTCTAGAATACCTTTTTGGAAATTCATTCGATGTGGGTATTTTTCAATCCTTAGTAGTAGCTGTCACCATGGTTAGTACATCCGAATCAGAGGTAGTAGTAGAGTGCAGAACTTACTTCACGAGTGGCCGGGGAACAGTAAATGAATGGAGCTCGAAAGGACTCTAGACCCTGTAGATGGTCGCTATGCACATGGCTTAGGAAACAGGCCAGGGGTGCTGGCCGATTTGGATTCTGCCGAAAGTAATCAACTGTATAGAGTAATGCATCTTAGTATGAGAGACTTGTGCTGATGGGAATTGAGTCTTACTTTGAATTTCGGGGAACTCTAGAAAATGATAAAATAAAAATAGCAAGTCAGCTTTGAAGGTAATATGCCAAGATTGTCTTACCTGAGACAATGCCATCGAAAGTCGACATTGGATTCGAGAGGAATGAAGGGGGAGAGAGAGAGAGAGAGGATTGTAGGGCGAAGAGAGAGAAAGAGTGGAGATTGGGAATCAGCAGAACCCGAACCAGCTGTTCGTGCAGCGACAACACATCATATTAACTCACCGTGACACCAATACTGCCTAATATAATCTTTCTCTCTTTGTTTCCTTTTCCTTCTCCTTTTCTTCTCATCCCTGATTTACATCCTAAAACATTCTCCATCCCATATTCCATTTTCATGTATTTGTTTACTTAGTGCCATCTAGACATTCCCCACTGCGGGAGTCCGAGTCTCACATCGCCTTCACTTTTGTTCCCCCCCCCCCCCTCGGCTGTTAGAGGCTGAAGCGCCTGCCCAGCGCTTTGGGTTTCTAGTTGAATTTTGCTTCTCCCTTGACCCTTTTCTTTACATACAGCCTTCCCTTTTCCCTTCTCTAATCCTCTATTGCCCTCTTCTCTCTTACCCGCCACCATGCGCAAACCATCACTCCCTCAGCTCGTGCACAACACGATTTTCCCACATCCAAGCGCCAATGACCCAGATTCATTTGCCGCCTTTGTCGTTAAAAAGCTAGTACCGGAAGTCAGGTTGGAAACCAGTCGATTCTATGGACATCTCGATTGCATCGAAGCACAATATCCAGGCCTGGACTATTCCTATGGTCCGCACCGCATGCGACTCGGTCGATTCCAGTGGCACAGACGACTCTTCAAGACCTTCGACGAGCTAGGTCTGACCAACGATGAAATGATGGATATGTGTTGCTGGGAGGGCACAAAATCAGCGCGGGCGCGGTATGAGCTGATGGAAGGGACAACTGTGCGGGACACGATCGGCCATAGCACCTGGCAACCAACCCCAACCCCTTTACCTTCGATCACAGTACACGATGACTTCTACGGGCTAGAAGACGATTATGACCAACTTATTGAGACACGCAGCGACGATACAGTACGAGCGAGCGACACCCGTAGTTCCAGTGTCTTCTCCGGTTACCGATCGCACGAACACGACGAAGATTCTAGCGACGAAGAGGTGACCAGCTGTGGTCTTCCACTACAACACCAATTGATTGCGAACGTGGAGGCACGCGATCAGGGTGCTGACGTGCCGCTGGATGCGGCTTGGGAACAATGGCTGAAGGAATCCAGGGAACGAGGATCGTATAGCGATATGCTTCATGGGATTCGAGCCGATGCGCACTTGAGCTTGTTACCCGAAGTACCGATATCTGCGATACGATATGAAGAAGAGCATACAAATGAGGCTCCTCTGCCTCTGGCGAATACTCTTTCTGCAGAATCGTTCCTGTACACGACCTCGAACCTTTACGCTTCAAGTCCCATTCTTCCCCAATCCTCGAATCACACTCCTGGCGAGGCGCGCTGAGCCGACTTACATCTTGGCTCCGACAGGCTTTTAAATCAAAAATACCAAAGCAGAAAAACACCAAAAAAAAAGACACCTTCAAGAGATCACGATAATGGGTTGCATGTCCCGGCGCTTTTTTCTCCGCGTTTCTTTCTTGACCCTTCTTAGCCTTCATGAAACGACCAACAATGATCACCACTTCTGCTGATACGGACTGGCTCCAATTCGTCGGAGATTACAGATCTACGCCGCTTCTATCAAGTTTACTTGTTCGAAATCGAAATTTATATTTTATTTTATATGCAAAAACATAGTTCTATCCCCATAATTCATCATGTAAAAATCGTCACTTACCAAATAGTAATCTGTGACTGCGTATTTCTATGTATCAAGGTGATTGACAGAAAGTGGAGCTCCGTGGACCCGCCGATAAGCAACTCGATTGGACTCCCGCATCTCCCAGCTTGACCGCGTATCGCTGCAACGGCGCCATGTCTTGCAGTCCTTCCACCAAGGCCAATACTTCTCACTAGACCTGTGTCGAGAGCTGTCTAGGTGTTTCGTATTATCCACCGTTGGCGTGATTGCTAGTCTCGGTGCCAAGTAGCTCCACCATGATCAAGGCAATCTTCTACAGCAAATTCGACACGCAGGAGGGTAAGAGATCCAACCCAACCCAGGGCTTGACGCGTAGGAAGGGCTCTATACTAACTGTATTTCTGTCTATATTTAGGTCCCAAGGTTGTTCACCAAGTCCCCGATGGAGCGATCGTTCCGTCCGCCACAGCCCAGTCGCAAGATCTGTATCTCACCTTCTCCGATATCTCGTTCTTCGTTATACCCCGCCAGGAGCTCTGCGGTAATCTGCTCCAGGTCTGCACAAATGGATACCGAATTCTGGGATACCCAATCTGCATGAAGTCTCCTCGCTATGACAGAAATGAGTTTATTTTCAATTTCTGTCTGGTGCTTTCCGAAGAGGATGACTTCAGTACATACAAGAGTGTGGTCCAGAAGTTGGCCGACTTGATGCATGCCCTAGAAGAACAGAGTGGGTTCTTGTCGCGCGATTTCTCAAAAAGCGGCGAGGGCAAAGTATACAGTCTCTGTGAGATGTTGATGGAGGATCTCAACAATTACTGCGAGTGCATGATCCCTATCGGTATGTACTCTCCTTGCTAACAAACTATCATAACCAAAAACTAACCGGTAGTACGCAGACGAGCTTAACACATTGAACATAAAGCTCTTCCCCATATACCCATCCCCACCAGCCGTCAAGGCCTGGTACGTCCCACTCTTCACAGTACGCTATCAAGCTTTCATGGACGAGAACTGGGACCTAACCATGCAACGAGTACGATCCCCTCCCCTCCTGCACCTAAAATCCCAACTAACCGACCCAGGTCGTCCCACACATCAACGGCGTGAACAGCATCCGCATAATATCCACCCTAGCAGATACCGACTTCTCCCTAACATGTCGCGCAATCCGCCACCTCCTATACTACGGCTGCGTCTTCCTCCTAGACATCTTCTCCTTCTCAGCAATATATGCCCCAACAGCCCAATTCAGCACAACAATCGCTTCAGACGAAGCAATGCAACTCGAATGTGCCCGCTACGTAAACACACGCTTCGCTCCCCAGAACCCTCTCGCCCCACCTACATCTCTACCACCCGTAACAGCAGCTCTCGCCACAAGCATCAGTACAACAACACCGAGCATTCCTCCAGGCTCACTTCCAAGCCAACTAATAGATCCGGCCTCGAGCATCTCAGTCTCCCGTGACGAATCCCGGTTCGATGCAGAGGAAATCTGGCCCGTACTAGGCGATGAAGAAGACATACCTGGAGGAAGAGCGAGAGCAAGCTCAACAACACCTACATCCGCGCATCATCTTGATATCGATCCTTCCGAAACGCTTCCACAGGCTACACCTGTTGTCGATGGTGTGGGTATTGTAGAGCTCTACGCAGCTCTAAAACAAGGCCAAAGTATAAAGCAGTGGTACTCGTCACATAGTCGGGAACTAGCAAATATCGACATAAGACGCTTCATAACCTTCGGTGTGATAAAGGGTTTTCTATACCGTGTACATAAGTACGCGATAGCAACTGGGAAACCCGCAGCAGGACCACGGAATTCCTCGCTTCTTCCTGGGCCGAATGGAAATGGGAGTGGTAATGTTCTCTCCACGCCAGGGACTATGGCAAACACACCAGCGCAGCTATCAGCTGGCCCGTCATCCCGTACGACGACAGGGAATAATACGCCGTATGCGGCGTCTAGTGTTGGGGAGGAGGCGCCTATTGCGTCGATGGGGAGACAGGGTGTGGAGAGCCATGAGCGTGCGGGGAGCTTTCATAGTGGGGGGAGGAGTGGGAATGTGCCCTTGACAGGGCTTTTTGAGGAGGATGAAGAGGATTGGTTTGATGAGAGGGTTTTTGGAAGGTATCTTGATGGGGAACATTGTTTGGATCAGATTTGTACGGAGTTGGAGGTTAGTGAGAGGGAGTTGACGGTGAGGTTGAAGAGGTATCCTGGGGAGGTATTGATTGTTCATCGGTGATGGATTTTGTTTGTTTTACGTCTAGATACCCTGATCATTATGGATTGTTTCATTGCTGTTAGAAAAGTTGTCGTCGTAGAGTTAGATAGTGATTGAACTTTCTGTCCATTGAAAATTGGTATCTGCGGGTTGTGAAAGTCGAGTACATGTAGATACACGTGTTTCCACCATATTTGAGACATAAGAGGACAGAATATGTTCACCCTGGCAACAGAACAAGAATCGGATTGGATTACAATCCTGTCAGCACCGCGGTGAAAAGAAAAGATACAGAAAAAGAACACAAGAATCCGCAAACGCCGCGCCAACCCATCATTCCAGTCGTATCATATCATGTGAGGATGAGAACAAAGTATGAGCAAAGAAAGCCGCTAGAAGATAACAAACAGATAGGATGAAGGGAGAATAAGAAGGGAAGTAAGTTTATTCTTCGTCCCAGTTCTCCAGCTCGGCCTTTTCATGCTCGGCCATGGTCGCAGGATCGAAGATTGTTTCTCCTTCTGACGGAATCGTAGTCTTGATATCTTCGAAGATAGGCAAGAAAGCATCATTCCAACGCTTGCGACGATCCATGACAGTCTTCGCCTGATCACCTACAGCAGGCCGTGATACACCCGCGACATGGCTACCACCACCCGCACCACCGGGGCGGTGCTTAGCTTGCGCTCCCTTTTTACTCTTGCCCATTGTCCGGGTGCGCTTGAGATAAGCCTGCTGAACCTGAGTATCAAGGTCATCCTGAATAGTAGTGAACTCGAGAAGAGCCATGTGCTCCTGGGCGATTTTGAGGATACGGGCCTTGCGCGCATTATTCGTGACAATTTGTTTCTTGAGTTCACTTTGTAGAAGTCGAAGACGCTCGGATACCTCGTCGTCATAATGAGCATCGTAATCGGGATTATCATCGGGTCCCAAGAACCCGATGTATCGCAGTTCTGCCTTAGCACGTTCGTCAAGCTGGGCGTGATCGAGCTTTGCAACCGAGGTCTTGAATTCGTTGGGATTGGCGTCGCGGAAGGCTGTTGCTGGTGGAAGAGTTTTATTCTCTGGCTTGGTGGTATCCGGTTCGCCATTACCATTAGGTTGGTCTAAGTCCATTGCCTCTCCACCTCCTAGTCCATTTGGTGCAACTGAGTCCCCATTTGTTGAAGTGGCTGTATCCTCGGGTAAAGTCCGGTGCTCATATCGTAGAAGGGAACAGAGACGGCTAAGAAGCGGACCGATGGAAACCTCGTTGGTCTCAAGTTTTTCATCTGTCAAGTTTTCAACACTACCGCGTCCTTGGTTCAATGGGAGTTGATCTTTCTCGTCCTGGCTTTGGTCGTAGGATACACCATCTTCTTCCGCCCAGACCTGGCGATAGCTTCTCTTTCCCCGGCGCGGGTTGATGAAAGGTGACACACGATCTCCCTAGAAGAAGTGAGAAAGTTAGTCAAAGAAATTACCCAGAGCCATCCGAATGGCAGTAGAATTGAAGCTCTTACTCTTTCTCTTAGCCACGCGATATCCTCTTCCATGAGGGGTCGAACATATGGTTCAATGTAAGCCTGGAAGGTATTTGCGCTGACTTGATTGGAAGGTTTTGCGTTACTGAAGTCCTTATCAGGCGCAATACCAGCCATCATATGAGCAAGGTCGGTCTTGGGGAAGCGAGCAACGCTAAAGATTTCCTTCTTGTCATCGTCGGTCATATGTGGGAGAATGTCGCGGATGTGGTAGACGGTGGGATCATCGAATTTCAACGGGTTTTTACCAAACACTTGAACCTGTGGTACTGCTGGCTGGGGCTCGGGCTGGTGAGAGGAATCACTCGAGTCCGACCCGGGGGACTCAGGTGCAGCGCCATCGTTCCCACCCGCAGGGCCATTCGGGGATAACATTGAGGGAGGGGAAAGGGAGGAACTCCCATCGGAGGCAGCGTTTTTCGAATTTTTAAACACTGGAGAAGCAGCTGGGGTTGGGTCAGTTTCTGGGTTGAATTGAAGAGATTTGAACAGAGAGGGAGTTCAAGGTGGAGTAGGGGACAGAAATGGAAGTGGGAGTGGAGGCGGCGCGGGCATCAAAAACAAGGGAAGCCTCAGTGACACAATGCTTGACTTACCACCTTCTACTTTCGTTTCGGCTCCATCTTGACGACTTAGTTCATGTGCCCCATGGTTTAACGGTCGCTCTTCCTTGCTTGCGCGCTCTTTCCGCTTCTTCGGCTTCGCTTTGTGGATTGTATCATCGTCTTCCTCGGTCTCTCTCTTCAATTTCGCACGCGCTTCAACCTCACGACTGAGATCTTGGTCTTCCACTACGTCCTTTCGCTTCTGTGACATTTCTCGCATTCCTGCATTGAACACCTCACCCCGGCTATCTGCCATGTCACTAAGACTAGTGAGATGCTCCACCAATGTTTCCAACGTTTTTGAGTCGGGAATGTTCGGTCCAGCAACAAGGTCTAGGAGGTCCGTATATTGGCCCTGGGCCATATCAATGAGCTTCGTTACATCGGTCTCGAGGTAGCTTGGGAGTGCCGGTGCACCTCCCGCGTTGGAGGGTGTCGTATTGCGACTACGCGATCGGCGCGCATCGCGACCTTTCCCTTTGCTCTTATATGCGGATGGCATTTTCACGATTCGATTTCAACGGCTTGTCTCGGGGATAAAAGGTGTTTGTTGTACTTGATAAACGACCGAGGGTATTGATATAGGGTATTCTTCAGGTATCGATTAGGATGGGATAACACATGCTGACAACTCCCAGATCAAAGAATATAAAAAGAGAAGTTCCACCGATCTAACTTAGTTGGAACTACCACAGGAAATGTGGTTTGGATAATCAAAGATGACATAGATCAAAGCCATGAGTCGCGACACTTCGATCTGGGGATGATAGCACGTGATTTTTACGGCACGTGAGGCGGTCACTAAAACTAGCACATAAGGCGGTGGATGTGCATTACTCTGATGCCAAGGCGCTACACAAATCTATACACATAGGTACGTGTAGTTATGGAAGTAATCTTCGATATTCTGGCTTAGAAATACGCCTATTGAGTAAGTCCCTTATTGGTACAATATCGAGATTTGAGTAATTCTCTGTAAAAAGTAACTTTAGGTTTTCCTGCATGGATATGAACTTCGTATCTAGGTGTTGTTGGCATGGATATATACTAGCCCATCTGTCTGCGAGTTCAACCACAATTTTCGAATTTTTATGGGTAGCAAGGCATTTTAATATTTACACCAAGTATTTGTAAATTCATCATATATTTACAAAGATTTCTTAAGATATATTCATTTTGTAGATACGCCGAGCAGGAAATCAAGTTCATTAACACAGCCGTAATATGACGATCGCATGGCCGCAGCCGGCAATCCGCAAACGGCAACATTGGCCCTAATCCGGCCTGATCTCCCTATATATCTTCTGTTAAGGTTAAGCCCTCCTTTCTCGAGTAATTTGCAATTTGCAGGTTTCATGTTTCTAATTTTTAATTTGTCCGATTTAGGGAAATTATTTACTTTGGTGTCGCGTGGCTAGGGATCTATTTGCATTCTTGAGCCGGTCCCGATTTGCCTTTGCATTCTTTTGGCCGTAACCGATGGGGAATTCATCTTGGGCTCTATGTTTGGCTTTAGTCGCCGGGATCGATCAAGTCCAACAGCCAGAATACTTTTGAATAAAATCTCAGCCGTAGTCATGAACCTTTTCTAATTTTCGTTCTCTCTTTACGCCTTCTCTTCCAGCAAGAGCACTATGAGAAAGCACCCCCAGGTCTCTCTCATCCATTGGCCCTGTGGAGTGTTCAAATTGATAGTCAGCAGGGGATTCCGCATACCATAAAACGCCTCGATCCCGATCTACAACAGCCATGTCATATTCATCGCATGGTAAGGGGAGAGTTGCCACGCTATTTGCGGGCCCCGGCAGCGCCTCCAATTCCTCATCTTCAGTCAATGTGAGTGTCAATCTACCCGATGCCTGGAATGCATCAGGTTTCAGAATCCCGATCTAATGATCTTTGTTTATAGGAAAATGTTGGGTTTCGTTTCGTCCTAGATCGAACCGTTCAGACACTCTCCGACCATGGGCTGCCAGATTCTGAAAACTTCTCTGGTCTGTTATTTGTTCCGGATCTTGCGCCTCAAGATCCTTGCAATAAAATTGTAGAGCCTTTTATTCCAGAGAACGTTACACGTTACAAAGATGTGTCAGACTTTGGATATCCGGTCATTGGAATCGCCCCATGGGTGTCGTCAGAATGTACTCAGGCCTTTTTGGCTGCCTCGCGGGAGGCCCATACCGACGCCGCCATATTCTTCCAACTTAGCAACAATACTGGAATACCTCCGCCACCCAGTGATCCGATCTGGAGTCTGCATGACCGTGGGCGATGGAGATCTGAAAATGATTTTCCTGTATATGGTGTGCCAGGCCCCGCCGGGGCGACCCTGATGCACGAACTCACATCATACGGATCATCACACAATAAAACAAGCAACACGACCAATTCGTCGACGCACGATTCCTCAGTTCCCGACAAAAGACTATTCGTTATGTTTCCACGTGGTAGGTGATGATATTATCAGCCCGGTTTGTGATTTCGGATCATAATGCTAACACGGCACAGTGCATTTGAGCTCTGACAAACCAAACTTCACGCTCTTTTTGGTCGGAGTCATAGGAGCAATAATTGCCTTGAGCTTCATATTCTGGGCTTTGTGGAATTGGCATAAACGAAAGCTGCGGACGGAACTTCAACGACGAATTGATGCTGGGGAACTGGATGTCGAGGCTTTGCCGTTGGATAGCATGGGAGGGCAAGTGTCTCGGGCAGTACCTTTGACAGTGCCTCGAGATGTTGTGGAAGCTTTGCCGTTGTTTACCTATCCGCACTCCCCGGCGACTGATGCAAAAGATGAGGCACAGACGGAAGTGGTCGAGCTGAACGATCAAAGTACAGATTCATCGTCAACCTCTCATTCGCCTGACCCCAGCATCCCACCAATGCCAGTTTCGCCTGACTTCAACACTCCATCACCTTCTCCTCATGTGACTGGAATAAGGAAACCCGAGGCTGCTGTTATCAACCAAGGCACCGATGAGCAGGAAGCTTACCCTCTTCCCAGCCTTCATCCCTACCGGATGAGCCATACTCAGACAACTTGCGCCATCTGCATTGAGGATTTCGTTGTTGGCTCCTCGGTTGTGCGTGAGCTACCATGCGGCCATATCTTTGATTCGGATTGTATCGACCCTTTCCTCCTTGAGCGTAGTACTCGGTGTCCCCTGTGCAAAGAAAGTGTTTTGCCACTGGGATCGACAAATATTGTTGTAACAAACGAAATGGTTCGGGCTATTCGCCGCGCTGAATAAGTTTTACAGCTGAGTGTTTCAAGTTGCTTGGGAAGATCTGTTGAATATTGTCATGAATTCGAGCGATGGAGTCAATCAGTGTTCAGTTTTTTCATGTGTTTTACCTCCCGATCCCATGGGAGATATTTTGTTGATTGCATGGCAAGCGGGATTTGAGGCTATATTAGGAGCTGCATATGTGTGTTATTTAAGCTCATCATCACGAACATGAATAAGTACATAGTGTCATAGTGTCATATTATTTTATTACTATTTTATTATCTTTTCACTCATATCAATATCGGCATACTTTTGCAGGAAACTGGTTTCGTTAAGCACACAATCTGACATAACCATGGTTGGATGGCAATAGTAAAGCCTGAGGCATTAAAATTTCCGAATTCAGGAATAAATGGGTCACTGTATCTGATTGGCGCAAAACCGACACTCGGTTAATCTTTAGCGTCCCACACACAACCCTCAATCCTCTTCTCTGCTTGAACTTTTCTTTGCAGTTGCGACTAACGACAACCGACGACCCTGTGAAGCCGACAAGGTACGAATTATCCATAATTCGCATACGGCATCGTTTACAATCCAATTCCAATCGCTGACTCTCAATCCGTTCCAGATGGGTGCCCTTAAGTACGTCGAAGAGATCCAGAAGAAGAAGCAGTCCGATGTCATTCGGTTCTTGCTCCGCGTTCGCTGCTGGGAGGTGAGATAAACCCCCCCGAATCCTCGATTGCCTAACATTCCCGCCGAGCGCTTCGTCTCCGTATAGCCAAAGGAAATGCCTGAACTTTGGTATTACTGGGTGAATTGAACGAATCTGCGGCGGAAATGGTTGTGGCACGCAAACGACTTTTTTATGGTCGTGTGTCTTGCTATACACTCGTTGAACTTTGCTGAGAGTGCATCAATATAGCTCCGCCAGCTGAACGCCATTCACCGTGCTTCCCGCCCCTCTCGCCCCGACAAGGCTCGCCGTCTGGGTTACAAGGCCAAGCAGGGCTACGTCGTCTACCGCGTCCGTGTTCGCCGCGGTGGCCGTAAGCGCCCTGTGCCCAAGGGTGCCACCTACGGAAAGCCCACCAACCACGGTGTCAACCAGCTCAAGTACCAGCGTGCTCTGCGTGCCACTGCTGAGGAGCGTGTCGGCCGCCGTTGCGCCAACTTGCGTGTCCTGAACTCCTACTGGATCAACCAGGACTCCACCTACAAGTACTTCGAGGTCATCCTCGTTGACCCCCAGCACAAGGCTATCCGCCGTGATGCCCGCATCAACTGGATCTGCAACCCCGTCCACAAGGTAAGACAAAATTCTACACGCCAATTCGAATTCGATATCTGGAACGGCCATACTGATGAAAATTTTTTCTCTAGCACCGTGAGTCTCGTGGTCTCACTGCCACCGGCAAGAAGTCCCGTGGTATCAACAAGGGTCACCGTTACAACAACACCAAGTCCGGTCGCCGCCACACCTGGAAGCGCCAGAACACCCAGAGCTACTGGCGTTACCGTTAAGTGCGTTAGTGCACTGGAGTGGTATGGGCTGGAGGATATTGGCTGCATGTGGTTATCTCTTCGATCACTTCTTACCCAGACTGTGTCATCAGCCTTGGGCTCGACCTTAATGCAGACCGGAAGGCTCTGTTTTTAGCCAAAAAGCCATCTTGTTTTATGTTGAATTCCCCCTTGATTAACGAAGTATGTATGACTGGTTCACCTCCATGCTGGTACTACGGTATTGTAGAGCTACTATTGGTAGCATGGTGATTGTAGTCTCACCTAGTTTCTTGTATGCTGTATCACTTAGGGTCTACCGGGATCAATTTTAAGAAACCTAAAAAGAACGCCCCCGGGGCCGCACATGGACAATCTCATGCGTACCCCACTAGTTAGCGTGAAGTACCCAAGTCGACTTAGAGTGGGTATTTGTTACTATGAAATGGCACTAAAAATGGACTAGTCTCTACAAGGATTCATTTCTATCCACGCGTCAGATGTAGATCAATCGATTCCTTGATCGAAATGTCGGTACCTAATGTAGTCGCAAGGGTGCCCGCTGATTAAGACATCCACCTCGGAGATGTCGTTAGTCGCTTCCAAATCCGTCCAAGGACTATGAACATACACTTTACAATCGTCTCACTTTCATTCTTTGTTTAAATTCCTCTGACCTAGCCTGGTGCTTGATAAGAGATTTATCTATTTAGGTACTTGGCTTTGGAAGACGCACATAACTATACAAAGAATCTATCCCTCCTTCCTCGGTCCCTCGCTATCGTCAACTCCCCCACGATCGATTTGGATGCGTTCAGCGGAAGGTCCAAGCTCCACCTTTTAGCTCCTTACCTACCGTGCTCCATCTTGAATATTTCACTCCGCGAAGATCGAACAAAGGTGCTCCTATGCCAACCCAATCTGAACGTAATCCGCCAATACCATCCAGCTCGAAACCTTCCCTGCTCTCCACCTCAGCGACCCCTCTGCGACGTCCATCGCAACCTCAGAATGACCAAATCATGCCTCCAATGAATGGCACATCGCCCACAAGTCCCTTCCGCCGTGCTCACCACCGCTCTATAAGCCATCCTTTCCCTTTCGCTACGCTTGGGAAGAAGCGTGACAAGGCCGAACCGAAGAATGCGACCTGGGATTCGGATTCGGACTCAGACGAGGTCACCTACCCGGCTCAACCACTAGCGACAAGTCCTCGCAAGGATGTACCAAAAGGCGGACTTGGAGGTGACCTGGCAGAGGGCAAATGTCAGACCTGTAACTCGACCGTCCGCTGGCCGCGTCATCTGAACACCTATCGCTGCACTACTTGCTTGATGGTGACAGATCTTGACGCGGAGCCACCGAAGAAGACAAATAATCGAGTGGACCCAGAACTGGAAAAGCGACTACAAAAACCACTTCCTCCAGACCCGCCCAAGGCTCAGCTTCAACGCCTGCCAAATGAACCGAGACCGGGTAATTGCTCATGGATGCCTCTTTTTGCTCGAATGTAGCTAATGAAGTATAGATGCTCCTCTGTCAATCGGCTATACCAGGCGTCTCATAGATGGATGTCTCTCAGCGTACTTCCAGAGCCTTCTTGATGGTTCTGGTTTAGAACAAGCACCAAATGACAAACGTACAGAAAGAGATTGCCCTGATGGAGAATCGTTACCATCATCGCTCGCGGCAGGACCGAAGCACGATTTCCTCTCAGCGCCAGCGCCGCGAGACCCTCGCAGCCGGAGCACGTCCATCTCCAATGAACGCGATCGATTCTATGGATCTAGGGAGAATACCAACCTATTAACACCAAATGCTGCTCAGCGGACAGGAAATGAACCAATAGTACGGACACGTGCAAATTCGGATCTACAGAAAGGTTCAACCCCAGATCACCGACCGCAAATGCCGGCGCGACATACAGATCCGGATGCGAAAGACAAAGAGGACCAGCCGTTGATATTCAAGCGCTTGGAAAACTACATTATCTCAGCTTTCAAAGGATGCTCAGCTGTCAATGTGTCCTTCCCTGTTTATCAGCAGTCAGTCCGATCTGCGAGCAGTGGCAACCCTCCAAGAATGAAATTGGACCCCACTACTATACACGAACCTAGTTTGAACGTGCCTGTGTTCGAACCTGACGCGAAAACTCTACTCCTGGGAGACGTGGGAGAAAATTCAACTTGGTGGATGCATGAGTGGGCTCAAACACAGGGGCACGCGGAAGGACAGGCGCCTCCCGTTGGTAAAGAGAAAGCGCCGCATAAGTCTCGATCGGTATCCTCTCGAAGCCCTCGTATCAATTGGACTGAACTCAACCAGTGGTACCAGCTAGTCCTGACCGCAGGTAGCTCTTGGGCTGACCGATGGGCTTCTAAGAGACCGAATTCAGCACGCGGAGAAGCAGATACAGTCAGATACAGAAAATGGGAGTCAATTGATACTTCCATGATCGAAAAGGATATTTATGCATCTCGATTGCATCTCCAACGAGCATTGATGAAAGCTAGCGAAAACCTTTTGAAGCGACCTCGAAAAGAGCTCAAGAAGCCAGAGGATACCCGATTCTTGCTTATACTACTAGCGAACCCTCTGTTGTCTTCCCCACTCGCCTACTCTGCGCCCCGACCACCTCCACAACCGCATAGGGATGAACGACGTCCATCTCATCCAAAGAATACTCAACGACAAACAACAAGGGATGGCAAGTTTTCTCGTAAAGATGCCTCTGCAACAGTTGCCCGCCCTGGAAGTTCCAATCATCATTACGGCATTCTAAAACGAATCCTGGGTCTGATGTCTAATCTGCCTAATGATTGCCACCACTATTTCGTCTCATGGTTTGCACGGTTTACACCAAATCAATTTGAACGACTCGTTGAATTGGCCGGTGGGTTCGTAACATACCGTTTAATCCGCCAGCATGGTCGCAAGCGCAATGCGCCCCAGAAAGATGGGAACGAGTTGATACCCAGCTTTGCTAGTGCCTCGGGCAACACGCCTGCTGAATTACATGCTGCTATCAGTCGACGGCAGCCAAACAAAGCGCCCCCTAAGAAGACTGAGGCCCCTAGAATCTATGCTGAAGATTGGCAAATTAGAGCTGCATCAAGGATAATGTCTTTACTGTTCACAGCGAACACTTCACAGCCATCGCGCAAACCTGATATCGGCCCAAGCGAGCGCCGTCTCGCCGAGCCTATGAACAATTCTGCGCGCGATCAAGAATATATGATTCCCATCAGCTCATTTTATAACACACTGTTGGATTACTCAGATCTTGTATCCGATTTCGAAATTTGGGAGTCGAAAGGTTCAAAGTTCTCGTTTTGTCAGTATCCATTCTTCCTCAGCATTTGGGCAAAAATCCATATTCTTGAACATGATGCACGTCGCCAGATGGAGGTAAAGGCACGAGAGGCTTTTTTCAACAGCATACTTAACTCCCGCCCAGTTAGCCAGTTTCTTGTGCTGAAAGTGCGGCGAGAATGTCTGGCTGAAGACAGCCTACGGGGCGTTAGTGAGGTTGTGGGCTCGGGCCAAGAGGAGATCAAGAAGGGACTTCGAATTGAGTTCGTTGGAGAAGAAGGTATCGATGCAGGAGGTCTCCGAAAAGAGTGGTTCTTGTTACTTGTTCGAGAGGTCTTTGATCCACATCATGGTGAGTAAACGCCTAATACCTCTGTTTGATCGACCTTTGAACTGACTGGATATAGGGCTTTTTATATACGACGATGATTCTAAATACTGCTACTTCAACCCATTCTGCTTTGAGTCCTCCGAACAGTTCTTCTTAGTTGGAGTTCTGCTTGGCCTCGCCATCTACAATTCGACTATTCTCGACGTCGACTTGCCGCCATTTGCATTCAGGAAATTGCTAGCGTCGGCTCCACAAACCAATGCTCCACAGACGGCAACCTTCCAGCGTCCAAAGTTCAAGTGTACACTGGAAGACCTCGCTGAGTATCGCCCTGCACTTGCAAAAGGACTCCGCATGCTCCTAGAATATGAAGGAGATGTCGCGGAGACATTTTGCTATGACTTTGTTGCACAGGTTGAGCGATATGGTGAAATTATCAACGTGCCTCTTTGTGCTGGAGGTGAAAAGAGACCAGTCACCAATTCAAATCGCCGTGAATTTGTTGATGCATACATATATTACCTTCTTGACACTGCTGTGGCTAGGCAGTACGAACCATTCAAGCGAGGCTTTTTCACAGTTTGTGGCGGCAATGCCTTATCATTGTTCAGAGCTGAAGAGATTGAGTTACTTGTTCGCGGCTCCGACGAACCACTCGATGTAACATCCCTACGAGCTGTTGCATCATATGATAACTGGTCATCGCACCACCCTGAAACCATCCCTGTGGTTCAATGGTTCTGGGACCTTTTCGAAACGGCCCCACCCGCATCACAGCGAAAGATACTGTCATTCATAACTGGCAGTGATCGCATCCCCGCCATGGGTGCTACAAGTCTTTCGATTCGTCTCGCTTGCCTCGGTGACGACTCACCCCGATATCCTACAGCACGAACGTGCTTCAACACACTGAGCTTATATCGATATGCCAGCCGTGAGAAATTTCAAAGACTGCTTTGGGATGCAGTTACAAACAGCGAAGGCTTTGGTCTGAAATGATATCGCTTCCCCTCTCCCATCTCGACAATCATTGGACTTTGATCCATTATGGCTGATAGTGACGTTGGACCCTGGTAATACCCACTGGTGGGCTACCCTCGGATTATCGATTGTTTTCTGTTTTGCTGTTACACAGAGACTGCATTTGGGGAGTTTATACCGCTCTGGAATCCACACCAGGCATATTTTTGCTTATCGCTTAGTAGAGAGTGTATTTCCAGCTCCAATCCAAACATTTGGGCTTCAGAACCTTTTTTGATAAATACATCCTTCTGTTCAACGTATTGGCATGAGTAAATAGCATTTCTACTTCGGCACACCGCGTCTGTTCTCGATGACCAGGTTTTCTAAGTAAGGGAGTTTACCCCAGCGTGTCCAAACTACCTATACCGGATTTCCTTTGACGATTCTTGGTTTCCTTTTCCGGATAAGAGCAAATAAGATAAAAACCAGACATAATTCATGCCTGGAGAACCTGGGGGCAGATAGTATAGACGTCTAGTACGGAGTGTATTCCATCCTGATATAAGGCTAACAACCACCACTTGATGACGAGTACCGGTGTTTCATGGCTTTTCTGTCTTTCCAATCTCGCTCAAAATCTTCGTCGCTATCCTGATCTCACTCCCCAGCGTCATCCTCTTCAGGACTCTCCTGATCATCTTCAAAGCTCCTCTGATCATCCTCATCAGAAATATATCCCTTGTAATCCCCTTTCGTAGGCCTTTCAACGAGACCCCTATCGCTAAATAACCCTTTCCTCCTTGAGCCACGCATACTATCGATGCGTATTCTGAAATTCTCCAAGTCCTTGTACTGCTTGTCAGGATAGGTGTTGAGATAATCTGCCCAACTCTCGATGCCCACAAACTTGAATGTATTCCCACATGAAGACGGGAAAAGTCGCCATGGTTTTCGCTTGGAGTTATCGGATCGGTCTTTTCCTCCAATATTCACTGACTCACGAGGGACCAACTCTACCACGATAGATGGCATCTTTTCAGTTCAAGCCTGTCTAACACGAATATCCAACAATTCATCACAGCCTTTCACACTGTAGTATTTGTGAATTCCGTGCCATATATGTGGAATCTCCTTCCAATATTTCCATTCGTCCGGACCTTTTCTTTCCATGAGAAAAAGCAGATTTTGTATCGTGATCGTACCGCTTAGACATTGAAAGAGGCGACATTCCAAGGTACAAGCGCAGGTTGGCTCTCCTGTATAAGTCCAGGGTGTAGTCTGGTCTAATGGGTCAAGACGATAATCCACAACAAGTAGTACAGGGGCAAATTCACCCGCGGCACTAACATCCATGTAAAATAACCGTCTGCCAACGTGTCTGTCATGCTCGACAAGAGATTCGGTTTTCTCAACCAAGCCCTCTCTATATACTTTAAATGGATCCTTTGAGAGCAAAACTAACATGTTGCGGACAGGGCTGGGCGGGTAACAACCATTTAGAATGAGCTTCTCTGAATACCTAATATCCATTTGGAATGGCAGATTGAAGAAGGAGGTCGCAATTTTGGGGCGACGGCGAATGAGCATTTCCTCATAGCATGCGTCTTCCAAATAACCCCGAACCAGTATGATGGGTTTGCACCAAAGTGGCCGCCAGTATTCGTTTTGGGTATCTTTTCCGCTGAAGTCAGTCCCACAGCTGGTGGATATCAACGGTATTGCCAGATACTCCCATTTGCTGAGCATGTTTAGAATAGCGTACACAAGTCCCTCGTAGTTTGGGTCGGCTTTCACCGGTAGATGCGCAGTCGGGCCTCTCTGGCCCTTGATGAAGGATGGAGGCTTGAAATGAAGTAGGTTTTCTACCTCAAGAGAATCAGTAGTGCGGAAGAACTTTGGATGCGGCGCAAGTAACACGGAATCAACAATGTAGAGCAACTTGTCCCGGTCTCGGATGGGTTCAAAGGGAGGGCCATAGCAGCAACGACCATATTCCACTGATACAACTTATTACGCGTAAAAGCAAAACACTTGACTCAAATTTGACCTAGCTTCCATCATCACCCTGCAGGTAGGTATTGAACAATAGTTGAACAGATTGAAATTTTAGACTTGGTCCTTACCCAAGCTGCCCTGCGGTATGCCTATTTGCCAGGTCTAGTTATTGTGATGAGGTGCCTATGGTCTACCAGGATAGAGAAAAGTGCGAAGAACAACGAATAACAACGTTGAGGGAAAGGGAAGAAGAGAGAGAGCTATGAGCTATGCTACATACATGTAGGCGGATGCCCACTCTCCAGACCAATCAACTGATTGGTCTGCATCCGAGAGTGGGTCAAACCGCACAAACATGCAAACAGTGCAAACATAGCCGTCCCGAGTCTTCCTCCCTAGTTATACTACAGTTATACTACAAAAGTCTTAATTTAATGTGGGCTATATTTTCTGACTTTATTATAATAATTATAGAAAACCTACATTCTATTAGCCTAGATATATTAGAATCCACTTTTATTAATAGCTGGTTGGCTAAAAGAAGGGCATACCTATAGTATCCGCATCATTCATAAAGCCTAACCCCCGAGACACTAGACCCGATTAGGTCAAACACTACATACTTCGAATGCAAGGGGCTAGGACTTTAGCCACTCAAAGGCAAGGAATAACTACTACATCACTTTTATCGATTTCATTCCCCACGTGATGGACCCTGTTCTACCTACCCTGCTCAGGTATATACTACAGGTGTAGTCTAGACGGTAGGTTCACTGAGATCTTCATCTCAAGATCAGGTTCTTCATGTTGTACATTTATGCTCCACGTTACACATTACATCACCGATAGATGTAGATCTACGGCTGAAGCTAATGTTGAGCTCTGTGCTACAGATCATCGCGCTATTCTGGGGTTTCAAGCGATAAACAAGGTTCTCCTGGTCAGACTCACATCTAACTTATGTAGTGGATATGCCTGCGTGAACCCGCAGCTCCCAGGATTTTGATAAGTGATCGACAAGGTGCCTAAACTGTAGGTATTGAAAAACAGATCACCGAAGATTCCCGAAACTGTACGCGCACCTGGGCAGGCTCCACATTGGGACATTTATTGCATGATGATCTCCACTATGATCGCATATTGAATAGGTGCACTCCCTTGCCACAAAATGTTCAGAACAACTGGCCACCATAGCCCGGCTATATTATATAGCATATTTTGATGATGGACAAGTCTTTAGTTTTCCCATCTTTTCCTCATCCTGAATCCAATATTTACTTGTCGAAGGAACGGCAAGTTTAGGTAAATGCAGGTAGTTATATGTGTGTGGCATAAATGACAGACAACCTACTTCATCCGAATCGTCATGGGAGCCCAAAGCTTACCTGGCAATCTCTGCCAAGTTCCGTGACGTTACCTATGCATGCCTGGGAGTTACACATCTTTAGGGACCTCCCATTGGTATGTCTTAGGTGAGCCCCACTTTGTCGAATGTATCGACTAATCTGTATATATATGTAGATCCTTGTATGAAACTAATTCTGCCCTGCGTTTCTCTCTACTATAATTGTTGCTCGTCCCCGGGTAGGTTGCTAACCAACAAGCTTTCAAATTTCTCCTCTCATCAATCTTCTGCTCACTTGTGCTCCCATCAATATATCATATCGCTCAAACCTCACTAAGCCATCCACTAAAGTCACTCGGGCATTAAAGGTCTGAGTCAATAAATGCCCGATTAGAAGGAATTTCCGTAACTACCTTTTTTTTTTTCTTATTCTTGTTTTATGAAAATCATTTTAGCCACCATTGTTGCCCTTGCGGTCGGCACCTTAGCCTTACCCCAGGAAGCTGAAGGTCCTGTGTACAGAGTTCTGACCTGCAGAGGGAACTCGTTAGAATCCAAGGTGGCGTGTCAAAAGATCAAAGGGAAACTATGCGGCCACCTTTGTGTCGTGAACGAATACGATATCAGAGAATATAGTGCGAACTGTTATTCCGGTGTTTCTGCCAACTTGGTATAGCCGGAATAGCCCTGTTACCCCAGATGTGTATCGAGGCATCGTCATTTGATCTCATAATTTCCTCTTGTAATCTCTCAAAGGCCTTGTTGCCTTCACCATACAGTAATGGCATATGCACCTGGAACAATCATAGGAGGCAATATGCCATATCTTCGCGTCTGGTGGTCTGCCTTTTTGCCGCCCATGACATCTGTACGGCCACGAGAGCCTCGTGGGGCTTGGTCAAAAAGCGAGTCTGAAACCCCGTAATGTCCTGAATACGTGGCTGGTGGTTCTTCAAGCTTCTCTCACCGAGTGTGCACAAACATGGCTCTACCGGCAAGTTAGCCGACAAAGCCGGCGAGCGGCCGGTCGAATGACCAAGTCATCGAAAGCTTCTTCTAAGACTCTCCTAGGAAACAAGCCGACCGAGTTCGGCTTTATTGCCCAAAGCCCGAAGCCCAAAGCCCAAAGCCCAAAGCCCAAAGCCCAAAGCCCGAGCCTAATCTTGTTTTAATATATCTGATTGCAAAGACATGTCAAAGCATTTCTAGAGCATTCTTACAGCCCAAGATCTACCCACCCCTTTGAGTTATTTTCCTTCGCCGGGGCAACTCTAAGCGGGGAGGGGCCAGAACTAAGTTTGCTAAGCTCTGGCTAACCTTGGTTTCTTTTCCCGCGCGCCGTCTTGCAATACTACTAGGTACGAAATCAATATAACTTTTGCACAGACACGACGACAAGTCGATCATTATTTCTGAGAATATGGCCCACAGGTATATTTCTTCTAATTTGCTTATGTTAAAACATCCTCCATAGCAATTTAATCCATGCACACATGTTCGCTTATAACCCCGGATTTCGTGGGGCCCCACATTCTCCTCCCCGCATGCAGGGTGTGCAGTCGGAACATGCTCTCCACATTTTGGGTCAGCTGCGGCGTAAACAAGCGGGATTTCGGCAGCTAGACATGGCAGTTCTCTGGAAGATTCGTTTACATATCCGATAATTCTCCGTCGATTGCCTTTCTTTGTTTGGTCGGAGTGTATCTCCCCAAATAACGATATTTGATTCGACTGGGACTTTCATGTTAGAATGTATATAGATAACACAGTACAAGTGCTCGGGTACGCCGTAAAAAAGGCGATGGATCAATACTCCAAGATGAAACTCTAGTTGATAGAATATTCCAGATGGCATCCCCAACAATCAAGCTCAGAACTCTAAACACGCCGTACCCATGGGCTGCATTCTCCCGAGGTTTACCCAGCCCCTACCCCGATAACGTCACCGAAGGAGGACTGAGCGAACCCCACAGAAACCATAGAGTTGAGCATAATAAACACAAATGTGGGGTTAGCCACTGCACAAATGAACTCTCATCAATTATTGCGGGAGATGTTAGGCGAGTGTCCATGCGCATGGACAATCCCAGATAGATCAAATAGGCAACCAACGTGGAGATCCCCTAGTCCGTTCAGGATGTTACGCCGATGAGCTGACCGATGACAGCACTAGATTGACTTTTGTTGCGGAGTTAAGGAAAAGAAACAAAACGGGATCGGAAATGCATATAAAGAGGGATGACGACCTCTTACCGAGGTGGTTTTCTCGAAGAGTCCAGGCTAGCTAGCAGAACACCATCATGATGTTTACAGAGAAGGCCGCTCTGGCTTTGGCCGTTTTTTCACTTTGTGGACTTGCTCATACTGAGGGCCAAATCACTTCTGACACTCATTTCTATGGAGAGTCCCCGGCTGTGTACCCCTCACGTAGGTCCATTCTCTGCTCAACGCGCATTGCATTGAGAAAGCTAATGTGAGGTATAGCAAATGGTACAGGATCTGGTGACTGGGCTGGGGCTTATAAGAAGGCCTCAGCTCTGGTTGCTCAGATGACATTAGAAGAGAAGGTAAGGGTTCAAGAAAATTTTAGCGCATGTTCACAAACTGACCATAGGCTAGAACAATCTCACATACGGAATCACATCAGATACTACCAGTTGCGTTGGGGTTATTGGAGCTATTGAACGTCTTGGATTTCCTGGACTATGTATGCAGGATGCGGGTAATGGAGTTCGCATGGCAGACTTTGTTAATAGTTATCCAAGTGGAATCCATGTCGGTGCTAGGTAAGAGGTTTAATGAGCCCTATTGCGAAACTTGCATCTAATAATATCTTGATAGTTGGAACAAGTCGCTTGCCCATGATCGCGGCTGGCATATGGCTGGAGAGTTCCGCACTAAGGGTATTAATGTCGCACTTGGGCCTGTAGTTGCCCCGTTAGGAAGAACTACCACCAATGGAAGAAATTGGGAAGGTTTGTGTACTCCAAGCTTATTTGCATTTACCGTGCTAATGGTTCTCAGGTGTTGCTAGTGATCCGTATCTGAGTGGCGCACTCGCAGCCTCTACGGTAGATGGTATGCAAGGTCAGGGTGTTATTGCCAGTGTCAAGGTGAGTCGAGGAATAAAATAACCCCTGGTATCCAATCCGTAGAATTGTCATTGACATTTGACATCATCAAGCACTTTATTGGATACGAACAAGAAGCCTATCGAAACCCTACCACCAACTCAGACAATGAAACTGTTGCGTCCGTGTCTAGCAACATTGATGATAAGACAATGCATGAATCCTATCTATGGCCTTTCCAAGATGCACTGAAGGCAGGTGCCGGAAATATCATGTAGGATTTTCTGCAATTCCAGCAAAATAGTAAGCTAAGCTAACGAAACCAGGTGCTCCTACAACCGCATTAATAATTCCTACGCATGCCAAAACAGCAAGACCTTGAACGGTCTGCTAAAGGAAGAGCTCGGATTTAACGGCTTCGTCGTGACTGACTGGTACGGTCAGCACTCTGGTGTCGGCGCTGCCTTGGCCGGCTTGGACATGGCAATGCCCAATGGACTGACTTTCTGGGGACCTAATTTCACCGAAGCGGTCACCAATGGCAGCGTTCCTCTTTCTCGTTTAGATGACATGGCAACTAGGTACGATTGCCCCATGCGATACTGACTTTTCCAATGGACTAATAGTTGGATACAGAATTGTTGCAGCATGGTACCAAATGAACCAGGATGCACCTAGCTACCCTGAACTTGGTATTGGAATGCCGCCCAACATTAGCGCGCCCCATAATATTGTCAATGCGCTGACCCAAGAAGCTAAGCCCGTTCTTTTTGAGGGTGCCGTGGAAGGCCATGTACTTGTAAAGAATGTGAACAACGCTCTGCCTCTGAGCAAACCGAAGTTGCTTTCGGTATTTGGATGGGATGCTACCGCTCCTAAAGAGTTCATGCCTAACAATGTCCTTGTGTCAAATGCCTGGGAAATGGGTTACGAGCCCGTTCTTTTTGAGATAGAGGCGCTCTCTGGTCTCTTCGGCTCTGGCGGCCAATATATCGATGAACCGTTGGACTACCAGGTAGCCTTTAATGGTACTCTCAGCGTTGGTGGTGGCTCGGGTGCAAATGCAGGCCCATACATCAGTGCACCTCTTGACGCCATTCAGCAACGCGCCTATCAAGACAACACTGCCGTTATGTGGGATACAGGTGTTAACCCAAACACACTTGGCGTTATGGAAGCATCTGATGCATGTCTCGTCTTCATTAACGCATTTGCTTCTGAGGGAGTGGACCGCTCTGGAACTTACGACAGCTACTCAGACGCTTTAGTGGCCAAGGTAGCAAAGACTTGCCCCAACACTATTGTCATAATCCACAACGCTGGAACTCGCATGGTCGAATCATTTGTTGAGAACCCCAACGTTACTGCTATTGTGTTTGCCCATCTGCCCGGTCAAGACTCAGGTCGCGCTATCACATCTCTGCTTTACGGTGACAGCAACTTCAGCGGCAAGCTTCCATACACTGTCGCCAAGAACGAGACTGACTACCCAGCATACTGGCATGATTATGCTGTCACACCATACGAGCTTTACCCCCAGTCCAATTTCACCGAAGGTGTGCTTACCCGATTACAAGTGGTTCGATGCAAAGAACATTGAACCACGATACGCATTCGGATATGGTCTTTCATACACCACTTTCTCTTTCTCAAACCTCAAAGTTTCTTCCGTGAAGAATGGCATCGCTGCCTATCCTACCGGTGTTATTGAGCAAGGTGGTCAAGTCGATTTGTGGGATACTGTGACCAAGGTCACTGCCATTATCAAGAATACAGGACGCAGGTCAGGAGCTGAAGTTGCTCAGATCTACGTCGGTATTCCAGGAGGTCCTGTAAAGCAGCTTCGTGGATTTGACAAGGTCCTTGTTCCTGCAGGTAAATCGGTCCAGGTTTCCTTCCCGCTGACCCGACGTGATCTCAGTACTTGGAATGTGACTGCACAGAAGTGGGAATTGCAAAGTGGAAATTATGAGATCTACGTGGGCTCATCCAGTCGGGATCTGCCACTCAAATCTACTCTCAAGGTTACCGCTAGCTCTAAGTAGACGGAGAACGTTTTATAGATCGTGATTCAATTAAGAAGCATCATTTAATTACTTATCGATATTCTTCCTTTTTGGGTGCCACAAATGCATCAATAGTCCAAAGAATCATAAGTCAAAACAAGAACAGTAACCAAATAGTTTTTCCACTTCTTGAACATAAGCTCGGAATAGTCGGGCTCTATTCGGCCCGATTTGTACAAATAGCGCGAGGGTGGCGCTTGTTACTTTCGGACCCCAAATCTTAGCTTGCCCATATAAATAAGTCTGAATTTTTCGAAATATAACTAAATTCCCCCAAAACATCTATCCTGGATTCGATCTTCCATACAAAAATTCATGTCTCTCTTAACAACACTCGGCCTCTTCGGCCCAGCCGACTCAGTACCAAACTACAGTCCCTTCTTCTTAGGGTTCCAATTTGTCTATGCTTACGGGATCCTGTCATCCCGTACCTTAAAGCAATGGTACGGCCTAGACCACAATGTGTCGCCTCGCGAAGATCTCGCAAAATACGGAGAAGCTGCTATCCGCGAAGGAAAACTTACACGTCGTCAATATGATATGCTGAAGCGAAATGAGGCTGCTCATTCTAACTCTGTTGAGGGTTTCTCGCTGTTTGTTGCTGGGTTGGGTATTGCGTCCGTAGCGGGTGTGTCTACACGAGTTATAAATACGGCTGGATTATCTTATACCGTTGCCAGACTCGCTTATGGGGCAATTTATATTCTTGTTGATCATCCGAAATGGAGTCAGTTGAGGGGAGTTGTTTGGTGGTGCGGAAATTTGAGCTGTCTTTATTTATTATGGGAGGCGCAGAAAGTCTTTAGCATTGGTGGCTAAGTTGCAGGTTCTTTTTTCAAGTTGTAAAATATCATTATATGATTTAGGTAGCTCATGAGGAGACTTTGGGAATGTTCCAGTCGTTCTTTGACGATTTGGGCCACTATTGCATACCCGTGGACTACTAATCCCCTCGTTCCTTTAATGCTGCTCTTTCACTAGAGATCCTACCAGCCTTCAAGCTGCTATTTTCCGTTTTCTACCTTCCAGCTATACTTTGTTTGATACATCTTCTCTGCACTATATTTATAACCCTTTGAAACCTTATATTTCTCGCATACTATCTGCAAAAGAGGATGATGGGTAATTGGATGAGGAATGCTTTACGGAGACTGATGTTCGATAAAGTTACAATAAATACTTATATACCTACTACATACTATGTAGGCATTTCAAGTTTCTCTGATGAGAGTAAGTTTAGACTCGAACTATTAGTCCCGTCCTGGAAATTGATATGACAATACAATTTTGAAGGGTCATTTTCATTCATACCACTAGTACTAATAGTACCTCACTATATATAGGTAGCCATGTTTCCTCTTGCCGTCTCTCTCTCTCTTCCTTACACCCAATCTCCCATCAGGTTACGAGTCCCGGTATAGTACCTGCTACTACTATCCATGGATCGAGTGCACTTCTTTTTATACGGGTGTGAAGTCTCCTAGCATTATACTGACCTCTTTGGCTCTCTTTTACTAGAACCGTATAAGTCACTAGATTCCACAGCATCCTTCCTCGCCTACCTTACTTACCTACTCTATTCCCCGGATCCCACCACGATTACCATTCATTTCCTATCGGGATACAACCTTTTCCTCTGGGTGTTTCCCCCGAGGATCCGACTATATATAGAACCTTTCACAATTGAATATCATTGAGACCCTCAAGTGCTCGCCTCGACGCAGCTCCTTGGCCAATACTCTACCTACCCTCCTTCTGCGTGGGCTGTCTTCAGGATATCACCGAGCCCCCCCCCCCCCCCCCCGTTAACCCGGATCCCTCACAAACCTACCCTATCGAGGTCCTCCTCTATATCTACTTTCACAATGGTTACGTCGATAGCTTATGCGAGCGATGCTGGACGACCTAAAGCCGCAAGTATAGGTCTCTCTACACGTCGATTGCCCCCTTTAACTACAACTATATCCTCGCTACCTTTTGGCATCTACGCGGGAGACACGAATTCTCCCCATTCCAGCGGCGCTATATCCTTCTCTACCTGCTTGAACGCCACGACTCGCTGACTCGCTAGTAACTTCCCCTTTGCTCTTTGTGTCTGACTTCTCGGCTAACCGTCCTCTAGCAACTCTCAACCTTCTTCCTAGTAGCCGCTCTTTCCCAGCGGGCCAGTCTTCGCTGCCCTATACTATAATAACACGCAGCGAACGGTCTTCACTCTCCCCTACAACATTATCGATATCGCGCCTTCGTTCTGGGTCCCGTCATCGGAGGCCCAATATGCCCCGTCGTCGTACACCAACGCAATCTTGATTTAAAGTTGGGGTAAACTGCTCCAGCATGAATGTGTGGGGTGTTCTAACCACCAGCGCAATCCCTTTCGCACTTGTGTGCGACTGCCTGGTCACTGGCGGGCTGCATGTGTGTGCTCTGAGGTTGATGCTTCGCTCACAGGCATCTAGGTGGGTGTGAGGCCCTTCCGAGAGACATTCCTACAAGAGACACCATCCTCCATCAAGTCTACAAGAGACAACCCCTATCGAGCACAAGTCAATTTGCGTAGTTATTTGGGAGGCTACAGTTCTCCACCTCCGTAGCTCTCACAAGAAATTTAATCTTAAGAAGGATGAACGACAGTCTACAGAAGGCGTCAAATGAAATTCATCAGACCCACATTAGTTCGCGATAAGATAGCGATAGAGATAGCGATAACGATAACGATAAGCCCAAAGCTCTACCTCGAATCTCCCTTTCCAACCAGTCTTAAATTCATAAGATACCCCGGAGGCCGCAAAGATGGTCAAACCCCTCACGTTTAAAGGCGACAAGCCTAAGAAGCGCAAGGTCCGCAGCGACGATCCCGAAAAATCGAGCACAAAAACCCGCAAAACCACTGGGCCCGATCCCGAAGCCGACAATGAAAACCCACCCGACGACACAAGCTGGGTATCCGCAGATGCGCCAAGTGATCTAGGCGGCCCAATTGTGCTGGTTCTACCATCTGATAAAGCTACATGTGTGGCTAGCGATGCGAATGGGGTAGTGTTTGCGAGTGAGCTGGAGAACCTCATTGACGGGAATGCGGAGACAGCGGAGCCACATGATGTACGACAAGTTTGGGTTGTGACGAAGGTTGCAGGGACAGAAGGATATAGTTTTAAGGGACACCATGGAAAGTAAGTTGAAAAGTCTTTTATATTTCCCCCTGTCTGGCTAAGGGAACTGAGTAACTTATTTGCTGGACTTCTTGAATGGCTGCTAATATTCCCGTTTTAGGTATTTAAGCTGCGATAACCACGGCATCATGTCCGCTACTGCCTCCGCCGTCGGACACTACGAATCCTTCATCGTCATTCCCTCCCCCGATATTGGTGGTGCATTTTATCTGCAGACGCGTGGTGGTGACGCCGAATCTTTCTTGTGCGTTAAGGAGAGCTCTAAGGCATCTTCTGGCGTAGAGATCCGTGGTGATGCGGAGACAATTTCATTTGAGACTGGTGTGCGGATTCGGATGCAGGCAAGATTCAAGCCGCGACTTCGGGCCTCAAAGGAATCAAAGGCATACGAAAAGATTAGCAAGAAGGAATTGGAGGAGCTTGTTGGAAGGAATTTGGAAGATGATGAAGTGAAAAGGTTAAGAAGGGCGAGACGAGAGGGCAACTTCCATGAGGAGATGCTGGATGTAAAGGTTAAAGGGAAGCATGATAAATGGGCTTGAGATTGATTATTATTGGCAGCTATAACCTTTGAATCTATAATTGAATCAAATTGTGGCTCGGGCGATGAACGGAAGAGGAATATAAGGATAGTAGCCAGCGATGTGGTAATATCTCCAGGTCTATGTACCCGTCTGACACCACCGTTTCATTCAAAGGCCGACTGTACTCCAGAGCCGCGAACGCACTCAAAACCCCCAGATATCAGCCGAGAACTTTCCAAGGGTATCTCGGTATCTCATGGCGCCAGTACTTTCTTTGATGCCTGTTTTCGATTTCATTTTGGACAAGGTTATTCAATGTTCTTGATGTACGTGACTAATGACGTAGAAGGCGACCAAAGATCAGTCGTTGAAATCCTGCTCGCGCACATATAGCAAACAACAAACATCGGCTATGGGCACTGTATTAGCACCGGATACAGCTCTGGTTGAGCCGCTGATAGGATTGGCATGCGGCTAGAGCCTATGATCGACTAGGTAAGCCTAGCGCCGGCTACGCCGGAGGCCTGTCACCCGGGTTCAAGAAGTTCAAGACGTGTGAGACGGAAAGATAATAATGGTGACAGTGAGAGGTGTCTTCAATGTTGAGCTACCTCAACTTACCTGGTTCACTATTGTCAGCTGACTTGTGCATGTTCACAACTCCTTATACGTAGTAGAGTACTAAACGACTTCACGAGAGTTGCAGGTGAGAGGTAAAGCAAGTAGTATCTAAGCACAGAACATTTGCACGATTGGAGCAGCCTCGGGATGCTGTTCGTTATCTATGCATAGATTCATAATTCTTTCCTATATTGAATACCTCTATCTTCCATAGTTCAATCATATCTCAACTATCTTGGGAATTCACAAACCATTATGAATCACACACTGTAATCTCGATAGCGACGCGGCAATGATACGGACAGTCAAATAATTCCGAGTCTAAGCTATTTAGCGGCTCCATAAGTGGACCCAATCGCTTCAATGAATCAATCAAATCGCACATTCACTATTACTCATTGTGACACAGATAATATCACTGGCTACCAATTCCAGCGATAAACGGACTAGAAAGCACGCTTCATATAAAAAAAGAACTATAAAACCTACACTTCTATCCAAAAACCAAACTATCATATCCTCATCAAACCAAACAACCTTGGAAACCTAACCAATGCTCGCATCTCACACAACCACATCACCCACCATGAGTCCATTACCCTACCCAATTCCCCCAGGAGTCCACGCCCTCCCAAGCGAATCCCTCGACCTCCGCCCAGACGAACTAATAGATCACCAAATCCTCAATCCACCCCCAATAACATCTATAAAAAACATCTGGTTCTTCTGGCACTCCGGCTATCCAACAATGCACCCCTACACAAAACGAACAGTCCGCGCCTGGCACCGTCGCTTCACAAAAAAAGGCTGGACAATCCGAGTCCTCGACCAATTATCAAACTCACCTAACAATGTCAAAAACTACCTCGACACGCACGATAGATCTATATTCCCTTCCGCATTCGTCGAAAACAGACTATCTGGAACCCACGCACTACAACATACATCTGATCTCGTTCGCTGGCCCCTATTACTAAAATACGGAGGGGTCTACGCCGATGTCGGCTTAATGCAAATCGGTGATCTGGACGCGCTCTGGAACAAAACCATTGCCGATGAGAATTCACCATATGAAGTTCTTTCCTATTCAACGGGTGAAGAGGATAGATATACGCTTGCGAATTATTTTATGGGCTGTGCGCCTGGAAACGAACTTTTTACTCGTTGTCATGAGCTATTACTTGGCATCTGGAACGAAAATGGTGGTCGACTCAGTACAGAAGGAACACATTCTTCTCCACTACTACGCGGTGTACCCCTAATGGGAGGAACATTTACAATAACAAACGACGACGGAAGTGTAATCTCAGCAGAAGACGCTGGGAAAATGTTAACGGATTATATTATCCAGGGACAAGCAGCTACGGCTGTTATGGGAATCGTCGATCCAGCATCTAACTGGGATGGACCGGCATATTGCAGAAAGCATTTCTACGCATTACCGTTTATGGATGGGGCGCAGCTTATTAATGAGTTTACGAACTGGGATGGACAGAGAGCGTTTGATCTGATGTCTCTTTCTTTGCCGGGATTTGGAGAGGAAGAGAATGATGATCAGAAAGCAGCGAGGGAGATTGTTGAGGCGTGTTTGAAGAGGAGTTTTGCGTTTAAGTTAGCGCATGGGTTGATTTTGAAGGTTTTTAAGTGTACGCTTGGGTCTTTGTGGAGGGGGAATGAGGGGAGTGATGTTGTGAGTGGCACTTATGGGGATTGGTTGAGGTTTGGGATGGTGCATTGGGCTCCTGATGTTTTGATGGAGAATATTGAGTTGCCTGTCATTGAGCCGATTAGGGTTGGGGGGTTGCTTGATGTGGAGTAGAGTGAGGATGGAGGAGGCATTTTATTTTGTTGATAGAGTATTCATGATATGGATTGTGTATAACGTCTGGAATTTTGATAGATTGATTTATCATGGGCTATTTGTATCTTTGTAGTATAATTTCTTTTTCATATGAGATATAGATGTAGATGTAGATTAATTGATTAACGCTGAATTGAGATACAATTATTGTTAACTAGTTTACTATACCTATATCCTATCTGATCTTGTCGTTTGCCTGCATTTTGAACATACAACCGTTGCCCACAATTTGTATAGCACAGACAACAAAAACTTTGAATTTCAAGAAAAACAAAAAAGGGGAACAAGAAGGCTATGAATAGATAAAGCATGGACCAAGCATCAAGTATAGTTAAGAAAGATACAAAGGAAAAAGCATTTTAGCAATCCCACCACAAGCGAAGGAAAGAAAGAAATATCAATCTTCAGAATATGGAAATCAATTAATATTCAAAGTAAGAATTTGCAAAATCTTGAAACGACGCGCGCAGCGCAAACCACCAGGGCAGTTTTGATTGTCAACATAAATCTGTTGGTCATAACCGTGTCTATGGAATAAAGCGAAAGATCGGAAAGCGCAGTGAAGGTCAAAAAGGCATGAGAACAGTAAAGACCGTGCGAGCGTTGTGAGTTGCGTCGGCTCGGGGTATGAATTCTAACTTAACAAAAGTAGTACAGAGTCAAACAATGAACAGGCAAATCTCGAACCGTGTACTAGAAGCAGTCTTTCGAAACAAACTCACGATAAATATGGAGGGCAAAGAAGATAAAAAAGGGCAAGACAAAAGCAAGAGAAAATACTGGATTGAGAGCAAATATAAAATAAGCAAAAAGTTCGAATAGGTCTAGCGGGTGAATCTCTTTCGTAGAATAAGGAAACTAGAAAATAGCCAGGGGAAAAGAACATCCCTGATGTTCAAGTTGTACATTGAATGAAGGGGAGTAGAGGTAGAGAGGAGACAATTAGGAGTTGAGCGACAGGCCTTGGAAGCGGCTGGCCCATTCACTCTGTCCTGGGTGCACACGGGCATTAGGAGAACTTCCCGGGGGATAGTCGGAAAATCCCGTCTCCAAGGGACCATAGCTCGTAGGCGAGTATGGGGCAAATGGGTCGGGTTGGCCGCTATCCTGACGGGAGGGTTGACCAAATGGTTGATAAGAGTCGGTGAATGCATTCTGGAGGACGCCGACGGGGTTTGGAATATCCCGGCCTGTATCAAGGTCTCGGGCCCCGTATCCTCGCTCCTGCTGGTGACGTCGATCCGAATGAGGGGGATCTTGATTGTATAGGGGGTTGGCCATTCCACCTGGTCCAGGGAGACCAGCACCTGGCGGGGTCACGAATGAAGCGGGGTTAATGGCAGACATCCAGATTCTGGTCTTGTAGATCTTGAAGAGATCGGTGACCAGGGAATTGAAATTGATATAAGAATCAGCGAAGTAGTAGAAAGTAAGTTTCTTCCAGTCCCTGTATAAGCAGATTAGTTGATGAACACGGGCCATGAATTGAACACGACAATAGAAATAATACTTACATCTGAAACTCGGCATCGAGTATTTCCATATTTAGTCTGTGCTCAACAACCTTCTGCTGGCAGACACGTTTAGCTTTAGCTTCATTACCTTCCTTGTCACGCAAGGTCAGGATCTCATGATTTTGGGCGAGACGTTTGATAAGCTTGGGCTTGATATCGGCGGATGTCTCTTGGACGCCATGCGCGTGGGGCCCCATTCCGCCTGTGGCACTCCGGGTATTCAGACCCGGGCTAGCCACATTAGCGCCTTCGAGCTGACCTTGACGAGAAAACATCATAAGCCACTTGTAATGTTCCTCGGCGTACTGTTGCTTCAGCTCGCGGGCTTTCTGGAGCGAAACATTCGCGTGCACGACTGTTCCCAGATCCGTTCCTCGGTCTGCCTCTACAATCACTAAATCTCCAGTCTTAACTTGTAAACCGGTATCTTCTTGAATGTAGAAGACGTCTGCACGGTGACACTTGAATGTGACAATGTACAAAAGCTGGTTTTGATGAGCATGGGATAGTGCTGGAGGTTGACGACCGTAGGCTCCAGCCATTGCGTATTGGTTGAGAGCAGTGGGAAGACCAGAAGAGCCATCGCCGCGTAATGTCTGATCATGAGTGTAGTATTGGGACTGCATGGGATTTCCAAACTCATTGACATTCCCATAACCGTCATGGCGGTCTGCAAGTCCAGGACGAGGTGTTGCAGTGTTGTGGGAGTCAACTGAGCTCACGGAGTCATGGCGCATTGGAATATCAGCAAACGAATGACGACGGCTTTGCGACATATCACCAGTGCCTCCAAAACCAAGCGTTGTTTGCCAATGGGCCTTGCGAACACTTTCTAGTGCCCGATTCTCCAAGGGAGGTGCAAATGATGAGAACTGCGGATCGATGTTTGCTGAATGTTCCGAGAATCGACGTCTAGTATTAGAATGGCCAAGCACATTGTACGAGTGCACATCGCGCAATTCTCCAAGGTCATCGGGGGCTATCTCATCTTCTGGAACACCACCTTGGATCCGATGGACTGAATGAATCCCGGTGTTTGAGGCGGAAGAAGAAGCACGATCACGGTACCGATTGTCGAGTTGGCCCGCGGCCGCAGCTTGACGCAGTATGGCATTTTCGCGCGCCAGTTTCTCGATTTGTCGGGCCTGACTGGCGGAGTAGCTCATATCTCCCTCGGAACCGTTCAGGCTCTCATCTCCATCATCGTCTTCGCGAACACGACCAAGCATGGCGGGATCATGTCCCAGTTCGCCGAGTACGCTTGGTCGCTGTCCACGCTGCTGGACGGCAGATGTTTGTCCGGGGCCTCGAGAACGACCGCTGGGGTATTGCGCACCGCCTCCTGCCTTCGCCATCGTCCCCAGATATTCAGGGTCCATTTGCCCGACGGAGTATGATTGAGAGCGATAAGTCTTGGGAGTAGGATGCAATGGGATAGAGAAAGGAATGGCCGATTCGCCAGAGATAGTACGAGTGATAGGGCTGAGCATTTCATCTCCCATGGGACCAGCAGACTGCGGAGGATTGGTCATGGTCGGAGAGGGTACCATCTCGGACAGACGCGACGGAGGCTCCTTGCGGGACTCTGAATTCCATATGCCTGATCCCCAAGGGAACGAGCTGTTACCAGATTGGTTCCAATTGAATGATCCACTTAGGCCCGGACTTGGGTTCGTAACCCATGGCGGTTGGTCAGTTGCAGGGCTTGCGGGGTTAGAGGGAGCAGAAGAGAGGGGACCTCCAGGCAAGGAGTGCTTCCTTTGCACTGAAATGGGGACCTCGTTCAACCATGATGTCCGGCGCACTGGTTTGATATGGGGTGCTGTGATAGGATGTGATAACGTGTGGTCTCCGTCATCGTCAGAGGAGGCAAGTGCTTCTGAATCTGGGGTGGAGCGGCGGACTCCGGGGTGGCTCTTTTCGAGCCTTGCCGTGGCAGTCGCGGTTGGCAGCGTGCCAGATTGCGAACCGAGGGGTTGTTTGTTAGATGGCGCGGTCATGGTGTCTGAATAGTATCAACTGGAGAGGGGTCAGCTCAATCCTTCTCAATTGCACACGCGATCATATGTGCGAAGTATCAAGTGTCAAAGCATTGCAACATAACCGTCGCGCATCTCGAACGCCGAACGAGATATATGAGCCTCGACTCACCTGTGATGTATTTAGGGAGCAACTAATTGCGAATGTATTGTGTAAAACCTATAGGTAGGCAATGAGAATTCGAAACAAAGCACCAGTCTTTGTCCTTGTTGCTCAGCGAGGAAGAGAAAGGCCAATTTCGATCTTAAGGAAGACACAATGGGTGTGTAGCCGAATGCGCTATGTGCAACACTAGAAATTGACATGTCAGCTTCATGCGCGAGAAGGAGAAAAAAACAACAAATTTCAATGGCGGTAGAAGAACGTGTAGGCATAGATAATCCACGAATGCGCGGGGCACGTGTAAGTTGTGGGTGGCATGACTGCGACCTCATTGTGGCCAAAGCGGGGAAGATCCCGGCGCAATATGCAGTATTATAGCAAACTGAACCGAATGGCACTTAGAAAAGCCCTGACAAGTGTCCTCAAGCATTGATTTCCATCCAAATTTATCCAATGTTGTGGTGACGGATGAAAACGATCAGAGAGGAGGGAGGAGTGGCGGATATGTGCGACAGGAGAAGGAGAAAAGCGAAGCGGCAGCGACTCTGACCTACCTGAGATAGTATGATCTAGAATGCGTCTACACTTGGACCCAAGTGAATTCCCCACGAAGCGCCTTGAGTGATCGGAAACCGGAAACAGGTATAGAATCGACGAACAAACGGAAAAGCAGTTGTGATCGTAATCGTATCTGTCGCGACCGGGATCGAATAAGTATCAGATGCGCGCGCGCACAATTCAGAAAAAGAAGTTGCGACTCACCACTCTAAGGAATCTAAGGTGATCGTGGGTCTCGTCAGGATCGCAGTTTGGGATGGTGGCCTAGGTCTCCACAAGAGGGCCGCGACCGAGGAAGCTCTCGGAGGGGGGGTAGTATGGGGCTGATCGCCCAGTTGGATAGGGTGGATCGGGCGGGGAGGAGGGGGTAGAAGCAGGGGGGAGGAGAATAGAGTCAAGATGTGAGGGGAGGGGTTCAGAAACACCCAGGAAGAGATGAGATTAAAGCTTTCGGAGGGGGCGGGGAGGGAGGGAATTCTTTGTGATCGCGAAGATTGAATGATCGCCACCCCGGGTTGGAGAGTGGAAATTGGTTCGGGGAGGTTGGAGGGAGCTGGGGTAGCGTGACCACGGGATGACGTTGTGGAGCAACCGAATCCCTTCTAAATGTGGTGCATGGTTGAAAAGAGCAAGATAAACAGGAAACAGGAAACTAAAAAAAGAAAGAGAAAGAGAAAGAGAAAGAAAGGACAGGCGTGAAGAGGGGAGAGAGGAAGGAAGAGAGAGAGAGAGAGAGAGAGAGAGAGAGAGAGAGAGAGAGAGAGAGAGAGAGAGAGGAAGAAGAATGAGAGAGAAGAAAACTGGGGTAACATAAGTAACATAAGTAACACTGTCTATTACTGTCTATTACAGTGCTCTCTCTCTACTGGGGGGAACCGGATCTGGCAACGTCGCCCCGAATAAGTTCAGTGGACACGGACCACGGTTGATTTTCTAGTGATACAATGTCACTCTCTAAATATTTGGACGATTTGACTTCTGAGCAAGTGGAGGTAGATGCCGAACAAACTGCGCTTTTGACTGGTCTATGAAGCGACCTTCCTCGGAAGCGACTCCATTCAATGTCATTCAAGCCGCTATGCAACCCCTGTCAGCCCACCGAGTCGAGACCGAGAGTCCAAGTATTTATGTACGCACTCACACAAATACTCATGCGATACCTAATCTACTGAGACGCTACCTCGCACGGCCCATGCCCCTAGTGTTGCACACTGTACAGGGTTGATATCATGATTCGCCTGGTTCCCCGGATAATATTGATTTTTCACTAAACGAGAGACCCAGAGACCCAGAAAAGGTGGGGGACAAATGGATTCCCACAAGGTCAAGGAGGGGCTGATCCTCATTCTACTGTATTTCTTTTTTTTGCGGGGAGAGCTCACCTGCATTAACCGCCCCGCTATCAAACGAACTTGGCAACGTACAATCCTCAAATCCCACGCGATACCCACCCCGCGGGCACGGCCTCTGCAAGATGCACGGGGGAAGGGAGAAATTGGATCAAGGCACTACACACACAAAGATGTCCCGTACACATAAACCCAACCCACATTCAGTATAGAGAAGTTATTCGAGCATCTCAAGTCTCAACGGTCGCAAGTGGCACAAAACAAATCCATACAAGTGATACAGGTGCAAGGAGTCCCGAACCTAACTTGGGATGGAATGAACTGGGCACGAATCACCAGCCGCCCCGGACCTCCGGGTTACTTCCATGTCCTGCACGGCTGGCTCATTTGACACACGCTGTTGGTCGTGTCATTGACGTAAGTGGGGTGACAGCCGCAATAGCGTGCAGTTCCCCGCTCACAAAGAAATATCAATCTACTTACTTACTTACTTACTTACTTACAGAGACAGAACAGAAAGAAAAGATAAAAGAGGGGGGCAATATTATAATTCAGCTAAGCGATAGATCCAAAGTACCATATGACGGGATCCCAGCACCACAAAGAGACGCTAAACGGGCGGGAAGGCATCTGGGCCATGGGCTTAAACCCAAACCCACTTGGTGATTCAAAGTTCCCCGCAATCGTAGCCACCAAGTGAGGGGGCGAGGAGAAAAAGATTCCATCTGCGTCGGGATTCGCTGGAATGAGTGAGGTTCAATGGTTCAATGAGACTGACATCTGATCCGTGAAGCTTGCCAGAGACTCTAATTGGTGATTATGTCTTGGTGTTTTATATCTGCCACACGTTAGAAACCTGCTTCAGATGGATCCATTTAGTATATATCCATGGATGTATGATTGACCATGTGTCATTTAAACAGGTTTGAAAGTTCACATATACAGATCTATGTGTAAGAATCTTAAAATGGTACCCAATCCCACCAACCTCGGTTCATGCCTAATCTTTCCCGGCCACTCAGAGACTTGAATCGGTGCGTTTACATCATAGATCATATGTGCGTAATTATTGGATTCTAGACCGTAAAGGATATGTTTTACTAGGTGAGCTGAAGAATAATGGACGTGCAATTGTTTCATTTAAAGAATAGAAGAAAACAACTTGAACTTTCGTCTGATTATCTATCATACTGTATAGCCAAACCTTTGAGATAGAATATACCTATACTAAGATACGCATAAATTCAGACCATAATAACGCCAAATTGCATTTTGATTATCAATCATCTAGAAAGAGTGGTATGTAGCATAAATTACAAGCGAAAATGTTGGGCATGAGATCATCCATCTCAAGGAGCTGCATCCAAAGCAGAAGAAGCCGTAGCAGCAGCTCCCTTCTGCTCTCTCAACTTCTCCTCAAACTTAGCAAACTCATGCATCGAAATAATCTCCTCCTGATCCATCACCTGCTCAACACCTTTAACCTCTTCAATCTGTAGTAAACCATCGTCAGTAACCAATTCAACCCAACCTGACCAGAGAAAGGACCAAAACTCACATAATGCATCAACATAGACTCAATACCATTCTTCAACGTAACAGTACTCGAATCACAAGTCCTGCACGCACCCCGCAACTTCAACATAACAATCCCATCCTCAAAACCCTTCAGCTCAATATCACCACCATCCTCCTGGATAGCAGGACGAATACGAGTCTCAAGTAACTCCTTAATCATACTAATAACCTCATCATCATCCTCGTTATAAGCGAGTGAATCCTCCTCTACCTCCTGTCCGGACTCGGCATCCGAACCCTCAACAACGGAAACGATAGTCTCGCCCGATGTAACAGCTTGAGTAATCAAGCTGAAGACCTCGGGCTTAATATGTGCCCAGTTGTGTTCGCTCATCTTTGTTACGGTGATGAAGTCTGCGCCGTAGAAGACAGATGTGACGCCTTCGACGTCGAAGAGTTTTGCGGCGAGGGGAGAGGGATGGGGAGGAGCGAGAGTAGAGCGGGGAGAGAGGTATTCGAGGAAAGATGTTGGGAAGTTCTCTGGGAGGACGCGGTGGTTGGGAATGAATTTGAGGGCCTGAAGCGATTAGTATTCGAATCATAATCACAAGCGCAATCACTGGGTGCGTGGTGCTAGACAGGATTCATCACATACATCGGGATTAGGAGTGTTTTCCGTCTGAATAAAAATAGTTCGCTTGCTCGTTGGCGAAACACCATTTACTCCATTCGACGCGATAGGCTGCTGATAAGGTCGCACTGTCGGTCGACGACGAGACTCTGAAGCTGTAATAGTAGGCAAGCGAGCAGCGCTCGAGACATTTCTGCATGAATTGAAAAGCGCAGGTCGCATGGACTTGGACTTGGCCATAGGATTTGACACTCGAGTGCTGGAGAGCGCACGCCGAAGCATGGCTGTGGACGTTGAGCTCACTGACATCTTTTTTAACTTGTATTTTCGATTGGGGTGACCGATCAAAATAAAGATAAGATGGGGTGGCTAATATGTTGTGTTAAGTTATGTTTGAAAAGAATCGCCGCGGCCCGGGGGTCTGACGCAATGGGAAAGTCAGGTGATTTGAGATGACAAATGGGGATATAGATCGACCAATCAGTGGCGAGGTGTTGCAACCAAAATGTTCCGAAGTTCGGAAGGGCGTTCGTGCTGAGAAATGAGACGAGCCCGTTGGTTGTGTTTTGTGAAAATATTCAAGTTTTGCATTTTGAGAGTATTTTGTATTATCACATGAAAATTTTGGAATCAATACAGCGGATGGGTATATACATGGTTTGCAGCGAATGTAAGTCAGGATTCCGATGTCCCGCCGCTGAGGAAGGACTGAGTTGAGATGCTTTTTGGTATCAACTTGAAGCTGACAAAGGCAGCCTCTTCTTAGTTGCAGCCTCATACTTAGGCCAAATCATATCCTTCAAAAATGGCGCAATTCCAAAACCAAAGCGGGAAAACACCATAAAAACCGATTGACGCCATCTATACTTCTCAATAGCTTCTCGACTATGATAAAATTGAGTAACCTGGCTAAACGGCACGAGAAGAATCCGAATGCCCATGGCCTTTGTCTCGGGCTGGACAAGAAACTTCGCAGACCGGCATATCAAACTGCATAATGATCGGCAACCCCAAGGAATTCCTCTGGGAGCGCAAAGGGCCAGGTAGCATATGATGGAGTCCCCGTCGTGGATGAAGATGGAATATCCCACACTCTAAAATATATTTCGCTCCTTGATCGGCCAAGGAACGTGAGTAACTGGTCTATTAATGGGTATTCGATAGCATCAGGAAACATGTCCTTTGGAATGGAGGTATCAATGGTACCCCAGAAAGGTTGTTGAATTGGAGAAGAATAAGGGACCCCTAATCTCCCTTGCATCTCACAGAAGCTGGTATCAACGTGATTTTTCAATTGTAAACAGCCATGAAGCAATCGCTCTCCATTTTGTATATCTTCTTGTAGATCCCGGTGTCCATGTTGTATCAAGAAGTCGGCTGCCTCTATAAGGGCAGAGCATTCTATTATCAAGTCAAGAATGACATCTACCGACTCTCGCCATGGATTATGCAAAGCTGGACGTTTCCAGAAAGCACTGTAGGAATATATGCACTTCCGCAATCCAATGGTGTCGCTATCAACCACATTAGCACACAAGCCAGACAGTAAAAGTGAGCTTTCTTTTTCCAAGAGGACAAACATACAGTAACAAATTTTAACTAACGCCAAAACAAATGATCCGTCACAGTGGGGGACTAGAATCCGAATATTGGCCCAGAATGGCATTGCTTCCCTGAACATGCGCTGTCCACGCCTTAAAACCCAATGGCGAGGAATTAATCAGCTTTGCTTTTCAAATTAGAACGCCCATAAAAGCCAAGTAAATTAAACTAAGCTCACCTCATAAAACTGAAAGAAAACAGTAGCAAACAACGAATCCTGCCCACAACGACGTCCAGAGCGAATCTTCCCTTGCACAATCTGCAAAGCCTTCCCACAAAGCCTAGCACTATACTGCAAAAGCGGAAAATCTCGACTCCTCTTAGCAAGAAAAGCCGAACTAAGAGCAGTAACAGCCTTATCAAGAACAGGACTCTGTCCAACAAAAATCCGAAAAGTACGACCCATATGCAGTACGCCGCCAACTTTCCCATCCCGAATCAACGGCGAAGGAGAAAAGGAATTAAGAAAGTTCGCCACGACCTGCGTTCTAATTTCTGCATTAGTGTTAAAGTGACGGAGATGGTTTTCAATATCGACCGGTCCAGATGCCGTGCCATTTGTTCCAATCGGCGTTTTTGTACTTGTATGCGTATCTGTGCCTGTAGTTTGGTGTCGAGGCCGTTGAGCAAGAACTTTCATACGATCAGTTGAGTTGTGAATGAATATACGATTCCTTTCATATCCAGCACAGACGTGGCCGTTGTTCAGGCACCGAATGCATATGGGCTTGGTCTCGTCGCACTATGTAGGAGTAGACAGGGCTTAGGATTGGATGCTTCGTAGATTGGGCACTTACACTTTGGTTTTATGCGCGACGTTATGCCAATGATTTGGTGTTGGTGGGGTATGAATAATAGGTTATTGGTACCTTCAATTTGCATCGTCGGCACGTATTGCACGCATTGGTTCTATATGGGGCGTTTTCCATGTTTGATATGGCTTTTTTGGCTTAGGTTGGTTCTGTAGCTAGGACCCATCGACATCAATCTGGAGTGTTGCGGGAGATCAACCCAGTGAAGATGTTATCCATCCACCACGGTTTGAGATATAGTGAAGAACGTCTTGAACAGCAGAATACTCTAAACTCAAGGTGGATCAAATACAAATTAAATATTTCTTTTTCTCATTGGCGATCTCGTCACGTGGAAAATGAGATCTGCGCTCCAGGGAAAGAAACCAAGGGTGTGCGGGGCGCGATGGCAGAATCCTTGAAAATAAAATAAATTAAAAATTTAGCTTAAAGCGCAAGCAAGCTTCCAGCAATCAAACACGGTGTTTGTTGCCCTACCGCCTCATCAGAAATCAAACAAGATCTATGGATCAAATATGATGGGCAACGTGTTTGCTACAGGGTCCCGGTCTGAATAAAACAAAATGCCTGGTTCCTGCGAGGTTTGTTCTTCGGAACCATCCAAATACCGCTGCCCAGCATGCGGGCTAATGAGGTACGACTACACCCTGCGAAAAAGCCAAAGCCAAAGCTAGCCTCGGCAAGCTCCAAAAACCTTGACAACTTGAAAACTTGAAACTGATTTCTTTCCGAAACAGCTGCTCACTTGCATGTACCCAATCCCATAAGATCTATTGCGCGCCCAAAACGACCCCAGCGAACACGATCGAGGAAACAACCGAGACATCAGCCTCAGCCACAAATCTTCAACACTCGATCGCAGATGGTGACACCACCCCTGAAGCGGGTAATATCCCAGACCAAATCCAAGGCCAAGGCCAAGGTCCACACAGTGGTTTTCGTTCCGGTTCCTCCACTGCAGCTATAGCAAGCTCTACAGAGATCCAGACACTTCTCCAGCGCTACCCACAGCTACGTACCCAGTTAGCCGAGATCTACCGTGCAGCCCAGGAAGAGGAATGGGTCGAGTGGTATAATCCGCCGACTCGAGGACGGGGCGGGCATGGTCGGGGAGGGAAGGGTTCTACGCGTCGTAGTCGGGGACCTTGGACTGCCGAGAAAGGATTTAATCGTGCTTTGGGGAAGGTGCGGAAGATGAGGCAGGATTGTGAAGATGGAACAGAGACTGGGGTGCCTGCCGAGGCGTTTATGCAATTTTTGAACCTGGTTAATAGTGGGTTGGGGGGTCAGATCCCTTCGGCACAGGAACAGGGACAGACACCGGCACAGTCATTAGAATAAGGATAAGCATATGTTTGTCGTTAAAGTCAAAGCCAAAGCAAAAGCATATCTAGAGGCTTCGGGTTCATGGGCCTTTTTGGGATTATATTATTTAGCAGGATTTTATCTGCCGAGTCATTGCGGGACAATGAATTGTATGATTAATTACTAGTGACATCAGTTATATCCAATCCACCAAGATGTGAACAGATAATTTGCACTCATGAAACAAGGTCCCATTTTTGAGTATCTTGACTTCGGGTGACTGGAAGTATCCATGAGAACCACCCCTCCACTAGGACATCTTCATATGCCACTTCTCGTGACTAGAGATCTACAGAGGATCAAAAGTAACCTAGGCACTTTTAGGTCTCTTACTGCGTAGTTATGGGGGCTTGTCCAGGCTAAAACCAAGCCGAGTTACGCAACCAAAGCACCGGGTTCCCGGTTGAGCAAGCGCCATTATAGCGCATTCCTTAGCGGGCCCAATACTTGAACTAACAAGGCTGCCCCCCTTTAGAGCGGAGCTTAGTGGCCAGGCCTTGACGGACCAAGACGATTGGGGAGAAGAACCTGCCTTAGGGAGTACACATGGGGAATAGAGTCGAACACGCACAGCCCGTGTTTTCGTTTTCGTTTCATTTCAACGAAGGGACTTTTTACCAGACACAAACAGTGAGTGGTGCTGCACTGCACGTTCATCACGTTCGGGGGATTTGGTCGTTTTCCCCCGACCCGATCCTCGCTTTTTTCTCTCAGAAGGACCGTGAGGAGTTGTTGATCTCATCATGCACGGTGAGAGGCCATAGTAAGCCCGGGCCTGCAGCTGGACTGAGATTCGTCGTTGGAAATTGAACGAATCCGACGACGCATCACTCTTTCTGCAGCATAATTGGACTAGACACTTCTCATTCTGAATAAACAATACCTATTCATATTCCCTATCAAGCACCTGACATTGAACGGATACGATATAATGTAGAAACATGGACATCTTTGTCCTCTGTAAGCGAGGAGCGCAGCCTCCCGTCCCCCGTATTCCGGGGGATAAAAAGGATTTAGTATAGATTGGGATGTTGAGTTAGGTCAATTCTAGTATTCCGTCGCGGCGGCGCCACGTACCGAGCGTCTGTGGGCTTTGGCTCTGTGACTCCATACGTCGATCTTGTAGTTTAACAGCTGTACAATAATGCCGGGTTTCAGCTCAGCTTGAAATTCCAGGACCCATCAGCACGAATGATTACCTCGGAAGCCTCGAAGTCAGATGGGGAGTGGGCTTGCGATCCGGAGAACGGGGGCCACTACGGCGAATGCCCGACTCCAATAAGAAACGAGGATTTGGATCCGAAGAAAAAAAAAGATAAAAATACAAATAATAAAACAAAAGGGAAAAACAATAAGATAATTCCAGTAAATCGTGTTATTGTGATCTGTCCATCCTTGGGGTTGTCAATTAAAAGGAATAACCTCTTTTTTTCTTTTCTTTTTCTTTGTTTCTTGATCTTTTGCTTGTTCCCTACTTAGTACTGCCCTACTGTATTCCTTCGGTTTATATTAGGGGCAGAGCTTCCGTACCACGTACCACGGTTCATCCTTGCCCGCCAAACCACTATCTCCGAGGTGATTTACCACTCCTTATCCCCCTCCCCGGGTTTCAATGTCATTCAATCGATTGTTAACGACAGCTGCTTCGTGATAAGAATTTATTGCATGGACCAGTTGCTCGCCATTTTTGCCTTACTCTGACGGGTCGCCCCACGAATCTGATCTATCCCACGAAAAGGCAACAATGGATGCGCTGCAGTGCGGGCTCCTCGAACAAAGACAATAACGCTCCTCTACCCCCTCGGAAATCGTCGCATCCCCTCAATCGCTTCCAATTAGGCCCACCGTCATCCACATACCATGGCTTATCAGCACTTCCGTCACGAGCGCGCTGCCAGCGACAGGACAAGAGGGATGCCTGCAGCTGCATCTACAGCTTCAGGTCCAGCTCCACAACGGCCTAATATGGGTGGCCGTACATATTCAGCCCCATCTGAGGGCCTAAGCAAGGTGGATTCAAATCGCAGGCAAGGTTCTGGGTCTAAATTGGATCAGACATTGGTGGAGGAAGAGGAAATTCCGAGCAGCGAAACACCCAGGCGGTCTCGGTCAAGAAATTCTAGAGAGTCGGTGCGTGTGAACATTATCCCAAATTGAACCGAGGCTCTAGGGAGCCACAGCGAATGTCTGTTGTGAAGGAAGGATATACCAGCATCCTAATATGGAAGGAGAATTAATTTTCGGATTACTAACAAGTACCGATAACTTAGCTACAGGATTCCTCCAGGGCCAACCTACCGGAAGTGACGATCGCCATCGTAGGCGGAGATAATGCCGGCAAGACGAGCTTTATTAAATGGGCATTGGACATGAAGAGTAACCCCTCTTCCTACTCGACCAAAAAGAAGATGTCCCTAGATGGAGCTGTCTATATTGTGCGACTACTGGAAATTGATCTGAAACGAGTCCAGTTCGACGAGAAGCAGAATATCATCTGGCCACCTTTGGGAAAGGATGCTTCTTCTCCCAATGTGGATGGTGTGTTGGTGCTGCATGATGCAACCCAGCCGGACAAGCTGGCGGAATCAACCGAACTCATAGGTAGGTTATTGGACCTTGGGAATGACAATTCCCGGTATATCCCTAGTAGAACGTCATGGTGCTTCTCCATGTTTCTCCCCGAACATCCGGGGTAATTAGGAAAAGCTCCCCGTTCACCCTCTCGGAATTACCGATGTTGACTTGGAATCCCGGTGTGTTTTAGACTGTCTTGATGCATCCCCACTGCCATTCTTGCTGGTTGCCTGCAAATGTGACCTCCGCCCAGAGGATGGTGAGCTTGGTGCTATTCATGACCGACACGAGATCTACCGTACTTCGCCCGAATCGCCCCGATCCCAACAAATGTGCATTGCTCTTGTTTTGCGTGCTGTAATTTCCACTCGAGCAGGTGAGTTCCTCTTTTTCCTTGCGTTTTCTTTTTCTTTGTCTGTTTTTTGGCTTTGTTATGGGGATCCTCTTTGTCTTGGCAACAATGGAATAATTCAAAGGATTGTTGCTGGAGCCATGACCCTTAGTGAACTAAGTGGGTCAGCGGTAGTAGCATCTCGCTACCCTTTTTCCTTCCTCTGTCAAGAGTCCACCGATCGACAGAGGAGCCCCAACACGAAGCCAGCACAGAGTCCGCAGCACCAAAAGAGACTTTGGGATTAAAAATTTGTGGCGTTTTCCCATCCTTCCTGGTCCCGAGCTAATTCGTGTCTCTGTGCCCCCCAGACCTCGCACCGTCTGACACCTCAACTAATTCTCCTCCCGCCCCTCCCCCGCCTCGGACGACCACCAAGTCTTTTCAACCTACCCCACCCCATGATTGGCATCATTCTCGAGCCAATTCAGAAATCCCTACCGCCATTTTAACCGGAGCCGCTGGCGGCTCGATAACGTCGGTTTTGGAGCGGTCCGTCGAGGGGAACGGGGTTTACCGACCGCCCACCGATCAAGCTCCGCCTTCCAATCTGGCGCAACAGCATGCTTCCAGTTCGTCTCGAAATGCTCGAAGTAATTCACAACCGGTGCGACCGCAAACTCCTTCCGGGACGCGGATGAATACCCGTCGACCGTCTGAACAAATAGAGACCTCTCCAAGTAAGGAGCAACAAAGCTTTTCGCAACGTATGGAATCCGCCTGGCGAACCAGTGGAGGCACGGACGGCTTTCATAGCTTTTTAAATATGGAGGACGAAGCGGAGTCGGCTCCCCAGAGCCCTACCAGTGTTATTCGGCCCAAGCCAAGTAGCGAGAGCAGCTCCAGCGCGGACGCTGGGTTCTCGTTAGATGACCTGATCGACCGCCTTGTTGCTTTACCTATGTCCAAGCAGGACCAAAAATTTGCAGTCATTTTCCTCTGCCTTTATCGAAAATTCGCCGCCCCTGCCACTCTCCTCAATGCCCTGATTAGTCGGTTCGAGAAAAACGAAACAAGCAACGCAGATCAGCTTGCTCGCATGGCAGACCAGCTGCGATTATTAAATGTCATCGCTCAATGGGCCTCTGATTACCCCGGAGATTTCGCTCACCCCAAAACACGAAAACGGGTCCATGATTTCGTCACCACCCTCGAGAAAAGCCACTTTTACATGTTCGCCGCCAAAGAGATCGGCTCATACCTTGACACAAATGCGGAAGATGACGATATTGGCTGGGCTTTCAGAGACGGCGATGTAGATGACTCAAGTCTTACAGAGACATTCTTCGACAATTCTGGCCGAAGCTCCCCGGTGCCATTCCTAAACAGTACATATGATGACGAAGAAGAAGAAGAGGAAGAAGATCCCATCTACAGCATGAGCGCATTAGACCTCAGCGATGGACCACACGACTCAACATCTCGCCTTTCAGGAACCCTGTCGATCTCATCCAATGCCGACAAACCCTCTACTACACTTAACCAATCCTTCACCGTCTTGACTTTAGAAGCAGCACAGAAAGAAGCTCTTCGAATTGAGCTACACCCTAGGAATCCCCTTAGCAAGATCCAATGGCGATTCTTCATGGAAACTCCAGAAGAAGACTTTGCGCGGCAACTTACCCGTCTCGATTGGGTCATGTATAACTCCTTCCGACCACGAGATCTCGTACGCCATGTGAGCATTTCAGGCGTGGATAAGGATAAAATTAAAAGCCTGCACAACGTCAACCGAATGATCAAGCAGTTCAATCACCTTGCCTTCTTTGTGGCAAGCATGATCCTTCTCCGTGATAAGCCCAAACACCGAGCCAGATGTCTCGAAAAGTTCATGATGATCGCAATAGTGAGGTCTTACCCAATATGCGTTCTTATGCAATTAGCTAACTTTGCATTCTAGAAACTCCGCCGTCACAATAACTACAATGCCCTCGGTGCTTTCATCGCCGCCATCAACGGTACACCTGTGCATAGGTTGACCCAAACCCGAGAATTGATCCCTGTCCAAACGCAGAAGGAGTTCATGCGACTTGTGATTATCATGAGTACTCAGCGCAGTCACTCTTCTTACCGTTTGGCCTGGGAAAACTCTTTCTCCGAAAGAATTCCTTTCCTCCCGTTGCATCGCCGCGATCTGGTCTCCGCAGAAGAGGGAAACAAGACCTTTATCGGGGAAAACAAATCTCGCATCAACTGGAAGAAGTTCGAGGTTATGGGTGAGGTAGTTCTTGGTATCCAACGAAGCCAAAAGACGCCGCATCCTCAAGCCCAGAAATCCGAGGACGTGGAACGACTTATTCTAGACTGCAAGCTCTCCGGCGACGAAGAAGTAAGCATTTTTCTTTCTTTGTTTTCTTTTTACGAGCTCCAACTAACATTATCTAGGACCTGTACGCCCGCAGTCTACAAGTTGAGCCGTCCACAAGTGGCGAGCCCGTCCGAAAGAAGTTCGGCTGGCTGCGTGCTTAAAGAAACATATTCGACTCGACTCTTACTTCTCCCCGAGAACAATGACTTAATGTCAAGACTAGACGATCACATCCTCATCTCTCTCTACCCTTGATCCATCTACCATACCCCTCCTCACGTTGATACGCTTATATGATTGATATATTACCTGTTTTTGCTTACGTTCGGTCGGATTGGATCCATGTCACGATTGATATGATGCCTGGTGCCAATTAATGGCAGAGATCCATCCATTTGTACATAAGTAGCTATATAGCTCTACGTACCGAATTTCTATCGCGACTCGAGGATTCCCTCTTAGCTGTCGCAGCTTTGATGAGCCACCATTTCAGCCGGAAAGCCCCATCCCTTTACACTCTTATAATTAAACCTCAATACCTTAGAAGGAGAATATTAAACATACTCCGAAAGACCCGAAAAAAGCAATACAAACTCAATCCCAGTGCTATGAACTATCAGTCCCTATTTAACATGTACCGCATACTACGACCGATAAAAGTCACGTGATACCCTCCAGAATCCCAAGCCGGCACTGTCTCGAGACCCATCACCATAGAACCACGAACATAACATAAACACCCACCAACCTCAAAATGACACAACCGACCTCCCAAATCCGCGCAACCTACCGCGCTCTCCTCCGCGAAATCCCCGCTCGGAGCAGAACCCTCGCCAGCCCCTCCCCCCTCCAAACCCGTCTCCGAACACTCTTCCGCTCACAAGAACAACATCCCTCCACAAACACAAACGAGCCCACAGAAGCATTTTCATCCACATCTACTACGATCCCCTTCTCGCTCCCATCCTCAGCAGAAGAGAGCTCCATTCGCTTCCAGGAGGCGGAGCAAATGGCCAAATACGCTCGCGCGCAGCGAACATACGTGCAGCTTTTGCGGAGATATAATCCCGGTATGGATATGGATGATGAGGAGAGGATTCGTCTTACTGCTAGACGGGTTGGGTTTAATTTACCTGAGTTGCATACTGAGGGGAAGGAGTAGTTGATGGAATCATCGTTCATTATTGAGGTGTGGACTGGGACAGGACCTTGTCTGATGAGTTGGAACGGAATTTGTTGAGGTTCCTGAGCTTTGAGCTTTGATCAATGTTGTGCTCGAACTGATACTCGGTGTATGGCTACTGCTTGGTTTCTGAGATTTATATGGAAGGAATGTGCATACGGGTGGGTGCAATTGACTGGACTGGTGCGAAGGGAGATGTGGTGCTTGAGGTTGAACTAGGCTACCTCGGGGCAGATTGTATACTACTTTCGATCACTTGTATAAAATATGGAGTATGTAACATCATATGGATTCTCTTCTATGTCTCTTCTATGTATTCTCGAAGTCATGGGTTAGATATGTGACCCGTGGTATAGCTGTGACAGGTGTTTATACAGTCGTTCATGAGTGGCCCAATTTATCGGGTCGCCGTATTTTGTTCGACTTTTCTAGCTTGAAGCGTTTGACAGTGACCGAAGAGACGGTCTTCATCGTCCAAAGAACTCGAAGCAGTTGGGGTAGACTTCACTTGACAGGCAAATGCCAGGCCGGCTTGCGTTGTTGCAGGGAGCTGTTGAGCCGCACGCCGAGGAATGACGCCGCTAATGGCTAGGTGGGTGGTAGATTTGACAGGTATTTTGGTCGCATGTATGACAGAAACAAACTCAACTGTTTGTCAATTGAACACGCTCCATCTGCCTCATTAACGTCGAACTACCTTCCTCATCCTCCATCCCAACCTCAATAGCCGTCTTAGGGCGATTGCGATTCAGGCCATCCAACAAATTGCAAGCCTTGCAAATAGTTTGACTAGAGATATAGCCACACCGTTCACAGTGCTGAAGCGTCTGAGTCTTAATCTTCTTCCCCCCCACAGAAACCTTGCCCTTCTTAGGCATTCTGATCTCTGTCTCCCGTGCCTCCGCCCCATCATTCGAAGCCAACTGTTGCTCCATAGCAGCCATCTCACCACCACTCGATCGACCATTCTGACTTCCACATCCACCAGTCTCCTCGTCCGCAGTCCCATTCCCAGCGGCAGGAGCAGACGACTTGCAACTCTTCCCACCACCCGTTTGTCCCGGAACAAGCGCAGCCATATCCTCACCACTCTTCACAATATCCAAGATAGAGCTCGGCCTGATCTTCTCCAAATCTTTAATCAAAGTGCGCGCACTACCTCGAAACGCCTCAGGAGAATAAATGCACTCAGTACTGAAATAGTCCAGCTGTCGATGATGCGCATAGAGAACAATCTCCTTCTCATACGCATACTTCAAAGGCTTACTGCGCTTTGTATCCGAAGCCCCAGACTCAGTAATAATGCTCGTTCCCCGTGATAATCTCGGTAGATCCCCCCTTAGCAAATTCATCATAACAGTCTCAGCGACATCATCCGCGTTATGACCCGTAACAACATGCTTGATATCCAACCTCTCAGCACCACGATCAAGCGCCTGGCGACGAAAAACACCACAGTAAGTGCAATTTCCCTTCTTGCCCACTTGTTCCACAACCTGATCCATAGTCCAGCCGTATAAATCTCCATATCCAACAATAGTCAACGGCATATCATATTGTACCGCATTGCGCTTCACAGTTTCAAGACTATCGTCGCGATATCCGCGGATTCCCTCATCGATAGAGAGTAGGCTTAGCTCAAGACCATAGTTGTATCGTTCGTTTAGAGTCTTCAGGACGGCAGCGAGGACAGTGCTGTCTTTTCCGCCAGATGCGCCGATTGCGATGCGTTCGCCGGGGAAGAATAGTTTGGAGCTTGTGATTGTTTCGTGGACTTCTGTTTCGAAAATCTCGATGAAGCAGGATCGGCAGAGTTTGTGCCGGTTTTTCGGTCGAATGACTACTGCTCGTGCTTCTTTGCAGTTGAAGCATGTTGTTGGTGCCATGGTGTTTGGGTATTGAAGGGGTGTGTTTCTAGAAAGAATTTAAGATCAAGATCGTGTTCGTGTTGAGGGGCAAAAAAGAATTTATTTTTTCCCCGCGGTGGCCCGTGCCGCGGCCAACTGGAGAGCCTCGATTACAGTGATTAGATTAACGCTGTAGAGGGATATAGTTTGTCGTGAGATCGCTATTTCGAAATTAAACTGATGGCACATTTTGATTACTTTACTACTATATCTCAGAGAAATGTTTTTGAAAATCGCACATGTAAATATATCGCTGGCAAAAAATGTTGAAGTATAGACGGCGGAAGAGAAGATAGTTATTTGCAGGCAACAAAGTTGAAAGAGACCGAGAAAAGACAAGAAAAGACAGTCCTCGTTCTACCGGGATTTGAAAACCTTCACAGGTTCAAGTCAAACTTATTATCCTTTTCCAAGTTATCCACAGTATCACGCGGCCTTCTCACTCAGCTGTAAAGTGGCAGGATGCTTCCCCTTCCGACAAAAAAGCCCAACCGAACAAACCGGCAACCGGCTCTTCCTCGCAATTTGCCTCGCCGCATTGTGAATATGATGTCGACGATGAATTAAAGAATGATGATACGGTTTCGACCGATCGGCATAAAGATGAAGTCCCTCCCTCGCCTCAGAATCAAGCTGCTCAGCCACTGCATCGGTCCTCCCATCAGCAAACGCGAAGGACGTCCCAATAATCTTGAAATTCCGCGCTATATGATGCAAGTTCTTGGAGTGCCAGTCCTCTGAAGTCCAAACAGGATGGATATTCCAAGGAAGCCTTCTTTCATTCTTAAACGCATTCCACCAGTCCTCGAGCCGAAGTCTCCCTCTTTCCCCACTGACAGCATGGACACATCCACTCGAACCCAATGCCACATGAGCTAGCAGTCGATCTGCCACAACATCAACGGGGACCTCGTCGATGGTTGCGTCTTTATCTGGATTCTCGCATCGGGTCGAGAGAACAATCTTTCGACCTGGGTGTATTGCGTAAGCTGCAGCACAGGCTGTGGATGGGGTCGAGTATGAGGTTGTGAAGCCTGGCATTGGGAACTTATCGGCTGGTCCTACGACTGAAGGCCGAATTATAAGAACTTTATCGAGGCTATTCTTCTGGGCTGCCTTTTCTAAGACGAGACGCTCTGCCAGGTGCTTGGCGTAGGCATATGGCCATGGAAAGTTGTGGGCGTTGTACTCGTCAGAAGTGCCCGTCTTCTGAACATTTTTCCATATCTCTAGTGCTCCTGCATAGGCTTCGCCTTCTGTTTCGTTGCTCAATGGATATACTTTCTCGTCCACGGCGACGTCGGTGGATTTGGTTGTTTGCCATAGATGAGCGTTGGCGTATGCCGTGGAAACGAAGACAAAGCGTTCTAGGTTGACAAACTTCATGGCGTACTGTGTTAGACACAATGTAGGCGCAATGATTGTGTATGATAGTTCGCGAAGTGAATTCTTGAGCTCGATAGATGCCGCGGCATGGATGATGATATGGACAGTCTTTTTCAGCATCTGTAACTCTTCATCGGAAAGATTCATTGTCGCGGTGTCTCCAAGCTCGCCATCCATAATGGTCATGCATTTGCTTTCGTAGAGCGCCTTTGCAAGATGCGGTGGGAGCATTTCGGACCATTTTGCCTTTGCTTTTCTAAACAGCATATCATTAATAGGCGGCCTTAAAAGTTGATTTTTATGTACTATGCATAAACAATCTTTTTGAAGAAAAAGAGGAAGAATGTGTTGAACTCACGAGTATCCGCCTCGGCTCAATACGTATACATGCTGCGGCGACGACTGAGTTAACAGCCGATACAAAAGTGCTGTACCAACAAGCCCTGTTCCCCCTGTAATGAACAGAGTCTTGCCGTTATAGTAATCCCATATCATCATGAATTCCTAGAAGATGTCTTCTGGCCTCGTGGTTTTGACCTTGTCAGGAGAAGCGAGGGATAAAATATGCATAGCCAAAAACTCCATGTTGATAGGAGGTCAAGGTGGGTCTACCGAAGTAATAAATAGCGACGAAAGTGAAGAAAATGCCGAAGTGGCTGTTGGGTTTTCGATTCGAACATGAAGATATTCGGTGCTTTGTGCCCATTTTTGGGCGCGTGCAGGAACATGCAGCTAAGGTGAGGGGAACCTCCTGTTGTGCAACCACCAGCGCAAGGACCACCAGCTCCACGAACCATTCATATCAAACACTGCAATCACTGACAGCGGTTGGATGTAAGTGAAAAAGGCAATTGATAGTCTCCATGCACGCTTGATTGTGGCAGTGTCCTATCTTACCTTGCATTGCTGGGATTTCCCTTCCACTCCGAGGGACTAGACTGGTCGGGATGGTTGTGCAAAGCGCTACGGCCCTCCACATGAAATTCCTTCCATGTTCATCATTCTAACTCGCATCAATATGATAATGAGCGGGCTGCACTGACCGAAACATGGACACACGCGCTGCAATTATTTGCCAGGAATACGAATGCATTAGTTGATTCTTTCAGTGGCTTCACACCGCTTCATGCAGGATCCTGGTCTCGAAGACTTTCAGCGAACCTAAAAACTGCACATGTTTATCGAGCGAATTGAAAAACAGGCCGATGAGCAAACACGCGATTTCTCGAAAACACCCATGGAATATCACGGAAGAGTTAGGGTTTCTTGGAGGCTATTGCTTGAATATTCGCATGCTTGGAAAAGCAGCAAGTTGAACACGAATGAAGATCATATCCCAATTCTTTTCTATACTTTTCGGTTACCCACGTACCCGCGAGTAAACGAGACACGATGCATATGACCCACCTATATGCTTGGAAGATGAAACACGCAGCTAGGGCTTGACTTCTCATGTTCCACCAATTCTGCTCATGGGATCTTACCTTCCAAGGTCACTCTAAGTCTCGCTCCAAGAGTGCAAGATCTTCGAATGGAAGCGAGTGGACCTTGACTCTCAGAATGTGATGGTGTGATGGCGAGTTTGGGTTAAGCTTATTTCTTGCTTCGTCGTATTTCACTTGCGACATCCTGCAGGGCTCATAACCGTGGATTCTATGGAAAGAGGCACTCACCAATGAACACAAGATTTGACAAATTTCATGCTTTACGGCACAGACGAGCGATTGATCCAAGATCCAAGTCTCTGCTAAGCCAAAAAAAAAAAACGAAAACAAAAAGCGAACAATAGCCATTGATCAAACATCCGGGGTGCCGCTTTTAATCCTTGAGGCGATCAGTGGCTTAGAGACACCATGTGTTTGTCATGCCTTACTAGTATTTCTGGTCGCTCATTAGTTTAAACGAACGAAAATCATCGCGAGCGTCATATATATTCTGATATACCTTATTCGCGGCGTGGGTTGTCTCCCATACACATCGTGTGCACGTGACCACCGTGGCTCATCAGGCTATTCGGGACTCCGTCATCTGTTCACAGTTGTGCTATATGCTCTAGTTGACTGAAATCAATCCAAAATTGCCCAAGTCTTGTCAAATTTGACTTGAAAATATTGGAAAACCATTCGGGGTCATTATTTATTTAGAGAGCCCGATGTCCATGCCCCCTCCGAAGGCTTCAACCCCACGACAGCGAGTTCGCACCGGTAAGCCTTCTTGATATGGGCTCAAATCTATCCTCTACTGACCATCGATAGGTTGTTACACGTGTAAAATTAGGAAAGTGAAATGCAAGATTGAAGACAAGGATAACCAAGAAAGTCTTGATGAGGCCTCCAGCTGTTATCCTTGCAAGCGCCTGGGGCTCGAATGCCGATGGACCGCTCCATTGAACGGGGAGGGTTATAACCCACCCCCCAAAAGGCGACAAACAATTGGAATAAGGCGCGAACGCTCTCAAATCAATAAGAAGAGCCCAAGAGCCTCATATATCGAGCCTCATGGGCCATCTCAGGCTATTGAATCACAAGACGACGACGCTGTGACACGCACCAATGTGCTGAGATCATCCGAACAGGGCAGCGCATCCTCTGCCCAATCTGCCTCGTTTGAACTTGATACTTATGTCGATATGCTCGGAGACTTACCATTCGACCTTGACTTTGACCTAGATATTCATCCAGTCGATCTGAGTTTTAACGGGGAGGGCTTGGATTTCGCGCAACTACCCTCTTTCAACACGCCATTCTCATTACCCGATGGCGACATGGCGAGTGAGACGATGTCAAGAGATGTACCTCCAACTTTGAACAATGTTCAAACACCCGGAAAATCCTTTCCATTTGCCGACGAAATAAGAACAGATGCTACGGTTTCCGGTGATCTATCTAGCCTAGGAGTTGATGAACAGCATCTGATTCAACATTACCTCGCGACTATGACAGGCTATGCAAAAGTGGATGATTATCCGAGAGGTGCAAACAATTTATACACAACTGCATTCTCACAATCACTCTCCTTTAAGCCCCTTCTCTACGCAATTCTGGCATTTTCCGCTTCTCACTTGGCCCTGGAATATCCCAAATATTTTGAAAAAGCATCCAAATTCGAGCAACTAGCACACGACTCATTTGAGGCCTGCAAAAGACAGGTTTCAGAGCCTGATAGCCTTCTCTCGGCCCTATTCGTTCGAGCTAAGAGAATACACCTCCTCGCGGGCGATATCAGCTCATTACATAGCCTCATTGACCAGGCTGCCGAGACTGCCTTATCTGAGAAGGGCCAAAAAGCCTTAAACGACCCATTCTCCCTTGCTCAAAGAATTGTGATTCGACTTGCTCTTCTAGACGCGCGAGCTTCATGTTATCGACTCGGAGGTGGAAAGTTAATCAAGGCTCTACGAAATATACCCGCCATGTCCTTTATATTTGACCATGACAAGAATGTTGGATCGACATCAAATGCCTTGGTGAGTTTGCTTCGCGCTGATATACTACGAATGAAGGTCGGGGAGCTTGACTTGCGTCTACGACTTCAGACAGAGAGTGAAGATCTTATCAGCTCTCCGGTACGTACAGAGGAGGTACGCTCGCTGCATAGACATATCGAGCACGAGATCCGTCAATGGGAATATCAAATGAGCTGCAGGGGTGATGACCTAGATGAAGTTATGATAACTGAATCTGTCCTTGAAGCGTCAACGTATGCTCAATATCTCGTTATGGCAGCTCTCCATTCTTCTGTACTGTATCTTTACCTATTATACGTGAGTTTCACCGGCGTCCCTTCTTTTTGACTTGGAGTCCCTACAGAGCAGTAAGCTGATAATAATTAGCCGCTCAAGTCCATTCGATGGGAGCATTCCGTATCTCGTGTTCTACATTGTCAATTGAAATTACAACAAGATCCTTCTCGCAGCAACTCTCCATCCTGTTTGATACCGTCGTCCCTTTTCCTCGCCGGTATTTGCACTGTGGACCCTATTCACCGCAATTGGGTCTTGGAGCGCCTCGAAAAGGGTAAAAAATGGGGAACATATGTCGGTAGAACTCATGAACTCCTCGAATCAATAGTCAAGGCTCGATCTACTAACGACGAACTTGATGTATGCCTTCTGATGGATCGCCTCAAGGGAAAATTTCTCATTTAATGAAGTCTAGCGCTCGAATTATGACCCAGCTTTATTATCCAGGCGCCCTCTGCGCTCGAATATTCCTTTTGAATTTCCTCGTAAGGGATACAATACAATAAGATTTTTCAAATAGAGTCAAGTCGAAATTTTCTTACAATTTCGAGAACGACAAGCAATAAAATCCATGCCATGGGCACCTTCAACCTTGACTCAATACAGCGATTAAAGAAATCCACCTCGAATGGACACAAATTTCCAGGACAATACTTCCTTTGGTACATACCCGTACAGGCCCATGGTTTGCCATGTCTGTCGGAAAGTCCTCGTTATACGCCGATGCGACAGTATCACATGACATATCCGACACTATCGGCTCGACAAACTGATTATCTCGAACTTTAACCCCACAACCCCAGATATGACCTCCATGGGTTTCCTTAAACAGGCCCCTTTACCGGGGTTTGTGTCGTAAGATCTACTCCCTCAATTCTCTCCGCCCAAATCTGAGTCTATGCCGTTTTCCCCGAGAATGGCTCAAAGTAAGAATGCCTACCCAGGGCAGACGGAGTCGCCACAAAAGAAGAGTATCTGTACATTGAAAGATCCTGAAATTCAAGATGTATACGTTGAAGAATCAAATGAGTTATTTCTGTACACTCAAGATGAGGAAAAACGAACAAAGAGAAAAATCGATTTTATCCTTCTACCGCTATTATGCATGTGCTATGTTTTCTCGGTATGATTACTACTCTTGACATCAAACTCTCCGTTAAAAAGACTAACCATCGAAGTTCCTTGATAAAACCCTTCTTAACTACAGCAGTATATTTGGCATTAAGGAAGCATTGCACTTGGAAGGGTCTAATTATAGCTGGCTTGGAAGGTGAGAAGACTTTCACGAGTACCTCTAGAATTTAATGTGAAGCTGACCGTCTAGCGTCTTTTATCTTGGATATATGGTCGGGTCTATGATGTGGGCAAAACTTGTAAGTCCTTCCGTCTAGAATACTACTATGTTCTCCTGCTAGGACAACAAGAAGCTTACCATTTTACTTTGCTAGGTACAACGCTTCCCAGAACACGCGGGAAAATTTATTTCAGGCGCGGTGCTTACTTGGTCTTGTATCACGCTCCTCACACGTATGTTCTCTTCATCTTTCATGACGAGTGTACTTGAGCTATATCTAATCGCCATGTTTAGCTCTCTGTTTCAACTTTGCCGGAATAGTCGCCGTTCGATTATTTCTCGGAATCGTGGAAAGCATCATCGGACCAGTATTTGTCATTGTAACAAGTAATTGGTGGACCCGTCCAGAGCAGGCCTTCAGAACTGCATTCTGGCTTGGTGGAACTCCAGTGAGTGACTGTCCTCAAATCAATTAGTCGCGGCATGGAGAGATTTTAACACCTCGTAGATTGGAAACTTCTTCGGGGGACTGATTTCGTATGGACTTGGATCAAGTTTGTACATCAAAAATATGCTTATAGTTGGCAATTACTAATATCCCAGTGCACCCTTCATTTCCTACATGGAAATTATTTTTTGTGTTCTTCGGCGCACTTAGCTTCGCCTTCTCACTTTCCCTCATTTTTCTGATGCCCGATAATCAGTCAAATGCGCGATGGCTAAACGAGAAAGAAAAGAAAATAGCCTTAGAAAGAGTCAGAGAAAACCAAACCGTCTCATCCGATAATGAATGGAAATGGCCGCAATTTTGGGAGGCATTGCGCGATCCTCAAACGATTCTCTTTTTTATTACTGCAGTGTAAGTGCCGTGCCATATATACAAAATTGTCTTTCTAATCGCATTATGATAGCGGAAATACAATGCCTTCAACATTCGCTAGCCAGGTAGGTTCATGGATCATCCTTCTCAGGCTCGTGGATAGAAAGTTAACACAGCCAAGTTTTCGAGTCAAGTTGTGCAAGGGTTTGGCTTCTCGACTTTGCAAACTACGCTTGTTTCTACTTGTCCAGCCGCTGTCATTCAGCTCTCAACATTTTTGATATTCTCATATATTGCGTCCCACAAGAAGGATCTCCGTCTTTATCTTTCTATGCTTGTCTCCGTGCCACCGTTGATTGGTGCATCGTTGCTTCACTCGCTGCCTCAATCAAACCAGGCAGGAAGGTTAGCTGGATATTACCTGACATACACGTAAGTGAACTATTTCTGGATACGCCGAAAATGATTGCTAACTGTTCCAGACATACGATGTCCTTTACTTTGAATACCGGCCTAATGGCCTCGAATTATGCTGGAAATACAAAGAAGTCAACGGCCAACGGTATCATTTTCGCTGGCTGGGCCGCAGGACTTGTCGCAGGGCCTCGTAAGTATCTCATTATGGATATAATATAAAACAGCATCTGATTTTGTTATTAGAATTCTTTCTCGACAGCCAAGCCCCGACATATGAGCTCGCCTTCAAGATGCTAAGTAATTACACAGCCCCGTTCATCATCACAGTCATAAATTAACCGGTACTGTCATTCTAGTGGGATGTTATGCCCTGATGATAGTTGTGCCGATCTTCCAGCTATCTTGGTACAAGTATGAGAATAGGCGACGGGAACGGCTCTGCCAGGGCAATCAAGAGTCCTCAATTTCCGGCAGACCGGAATTTAGTGACAGAAGCGACTGGGAGCAATGGGAGTCTTTTAGATACACTATGTAAACGAAGATGTTGTTCTTTTGGTTTTGCAACTTGAATTCACGACCGACTATCTTGAGCTACCTTCGCACCTCACCCCATAAGCACTAGTATCTCTGAAATTCACTATTAATCTTGAAATAGATTCGATCCCTCATTTTAGTTTCTCACATATACTATCCAAAATGCGGAAGAGAATTTCCCTTAAGACATTCGTCGGTGACAGATAGATTCACCAAGACCTGCCGATATTCTGGCAAAGCTACTTAGATGGCGCCGAGTTGAAAAGGCTGTGATATACTCCAGTATTAAATGCCAGAAGATTGACACCTTAAGTTTATTATTCAAAGTTGTTGAGAAACAAATTAATCAATAATTTCAAAAGATGAGGTTACTAAGGACAATTCTTGTCTGCATCGTGATATACTATCCATGTTATGAGAAGCTCACCATTTCCACTGTTTCCCGACGAAGGACCTCTGCATCTACTGGAAGCAAGAAGCCTGATTGAACCTGGCTTGCAACAGCAGTACCAGCCTGCAATCGATACGATAAATCCGATCCATAGATACTACGCAACTTGTCTTCCGAGAATGTCCATTCAGACCCTGCAGTTGGGACAATGTTAGCGCTTTGATTAGACGAAGCGTGATTCCAGCTCACCTACCCCAGTACCAATTTGGTCGGCCTTTCGGTGTTGCAGCGACAAGTCGGGATAGCGGAGCATCCGTATGTAGAGTTCGCACGCCACCCATTGCATTCCCATGATCGTCCCGCCTGATCTCATCCGTCTCTCCAATGACCTCAATGTAAGAGCTAGCCGGTGGAGCCATGTCTCTGGAAACCCAGGTGAACATGGACTCAAAGACAGCATGATAGATAAAAGAGTTCGCAAAGGTACTCCATTTCGCTCCCTTGAGATTAGCCACAGACCAACGCTTCAGATCAATTGCTGAAGCATAGCGGGACTCGCGATGAGCCATTCCCGCAATTTCGTACAACCGAAAACCATCACTGTCCGGACGTCGGTGAGATATACCATCTACCTGCCCGCTCACACCACATGGTAGCCGGACAGATGGAAATTCCGATTCTCCCAGCAGCTCAATGATTTTGGCAGACGCACAATCCGGAAGCGCACCACCGCCAGATTGGCAAGGAATATAACCTTCAAAGGGATATGCGCCATCTGGCAGGCGCAAGTGCGAACAATGAGTGATAAAACGTCTTGTGACTCCACCTGTTTGAGAAAGCCCACTGAGAACGACCCAACGGGCATTTATGCCTAATTGTCCTGATCTCAAAGTGTGGGAGGCAGCTGCCAGAATCTCGGGGGATTGCAAGGTCGCGGGCCACCATTTGGCTTTAAAGGCATTGTAAGTTTCCGTCAGCATCTCTTTGGAAACATCGGTCACGAATGGAATACTGTCGGCGAATTCATCTGAAGTCGGGCCTGAAATGAAATGCATTTGTTCGTATCTTTTAGGATCGACATTTTTGATTTTACCAATAGCCGATGGAGCCTGTGAATCAACTTCTAACCAAGCATGGCCTTGAGCAAATGTTATTAGACATTCTTTACCATTTTATTCGGGAATTAATTTGGGCTGCACTCACCATTGCGCATAAGCCAGCGATTGATGTGACGCCAAATGCTTGTTCCACCCCACAAATGAGACGGCTCCTCAACGACAAACCCAGAGAACTTGCTAACATCTGCTGGACGACGAAGAAGCAGGCGCGTGCAGAATGATTCGCCATGAGCTACCCCAGAAATCAAGAATTCTTGACTCAAGTATCCGTATTCAGGGAGCAAGTCCACATGATAAGGCTCCAGAAGTACCGGTTTCGAGGTTTTTGTGTCGGGCAGTGAAATAGTACTTGGATTGAAAACATTGAAGGTTGACAAAGGGGTGTCCTCAACAGCCATGTTTAACGATGGGAGCAATCGGTGAAAATGGATTGTTTTGGAGCTGTCGTTGGGCTGGAGCAAGGGTAATTAAGAAATTCAAGGTAGGCCGACCGCGGCGGTAGAAGTTGGATCTGTTATCTTGGAAATTGGTTTCGAATGCATTCCAATTAAGCAAATCAAACTCTTAGCATCTTTATCAATCCATTCTCTGTGTCATCTGTTATGGGAAAGCAGGATATAGTAACATGCGACAGGATCACGTGACACTATCGGCAAAATACTATATAGATAGACTGTCGGGAGTGGCACTCTGGGGGCAAATTCCCTTCCTTTTCCTTGTTGCATAATTGAACGCGGGCGGCATCAGAATGATGCGTAAATAGTGGGCCATTTTTGGTGTTTATCACTTCTTTTTATCTCCTGCTAAGGATCGGAAGATAAAGGTACCATGTTCATTTCTCTCTACTAGTATAACATCAGACCTGCAATTCCAAGGATATTTTTACCTTCAGCGAAATACTAGTATGTCTTACCTACTAAGATTACTCCTATTGAGAGCGAAGAGCTTTCCATCTACTAGTAGTCACAAGCCTAATTTGAGCAAAGACTTTTTCAAAGACTCTAGAAAAGCACAGTATACTATCCAGGCGGGCCCCGTTTCTCATGGACCGCGCCAAAGTCTACTAGTATTACTACTTACGATATTCATGCTACTAAACCTTTCAATTTTGAATTAAATATATATATTTCTCTCAAAAAGGCTATCTGGTTGATGTATTTCGAGCCCGGCCAGCGGTCGGGCTGTGATGTTTGTGATTGGATAAAACTGAATCTTCGATCAAGACAACCTCAACCTCGGTTGTGATGAAAGATGAGAGGAGTCAACATTTCCCACTGGCACTTACCAAACCCAATTAGACAATCCACTTGTCGATATCATTTTCAAACAGGTCATCGTTTCTTGCCCCAAATCTAATATGACCGTCAATCCAAACTGGCGTGTTAAAGGAGAGGCTAAACGACAAGCCATCCTCAAAGCTATCCCCGAAAAGTGGAGACTGGCAACCCCGCCTCCCCCAGCAACAGAAATACGGGATGTCACTGGAAGTTATATTCAACAATACTTGAACGAGCGAGAAATTGAGATTACTGAGTCCGATGCCGTGGATATTGCCAAACAAACCACATCTGGCGGTTGGTCCGCCGTTGAAGTAACAGAAGCCTTCTGTCATCGCGCGGCTTTGGCCCATCAATTGGTAAGTCATGAAGAGACGGTGAATAATAAGAAAAGAACCTTCAGCTAACCATAAAAAGGTCAACTGTCTACACGAAGTTTTTTTCGAAGCAGCGATCGAAGATGCAAGGAAGCTCGATAAATATTTCGCAGAACATGAAGGCCCCACAGGCCCGCTTCATGGATTGCCCGTCAGTTTGAAAGATCAATTCCACATCAAGAGCGTTGAAACGACCATGGGCTACATAGGCTGGATTGGTACATTCGAAGGCCAGCGAGATGACCCACGCTACAAGTCCGAAGAAAGCGAGCTCACAAGAGAGCTGCGTAGTCTCGGCGCAGTACTCTACTGCAAGACTAGCGTACCAGCAACACTCATGGCTGGTGAAACAGTCAACAACATCATCGGCTATACATGGAACCCCAAGAATCGACTGCTCTCTTCCGGTGGAAGTTCCGGTGGGGAAGGAGCTTTAATCGCCTTAAGGGGATCCCCTGTTGGCATCGGGACTGATATAGGTGGCAGTGTGCGTGCCCCTGCTGGGTTTAATTTTCTCTATGGACTGCGACCCTCGTCAGGAAGAATGCCGTATCAAGGTGCTGCAAATTCTATGGATGGGCAAAGCTCGATTCTGTCGGTAATAGGCCCACTTGCGCAGACTGCACGCTCCTTATCATTTATCTTCAAATCTATACTGGTGGCACAACCGTGGTACCATGATCCTCTTGTATTAGAATTGCCGTGGCGAGAGTCTATAACCAAAGAGACACGTTCTCTCATTGACCAAGCGAAGACAGGGAAATCAACTCTAGCATTTGGGCTCATGCCTCATGATGGCATGAACCGTGTACACCCGCCCGTCGCGAGGGCAATGAGGCTTGTTGAGCAAACTTTGAAACGACTAGGTCATACTGTCATCTCTTGGAGTCCGCCGTCCCATTCCAGAGGCAATAAAATAGCTGTATGTGAGCATCCGTAAGAGAAAGCGAGATGCTACCGATCCCTAACTTCTCCCAGGGCGAAATATTTGGCATGGACGGAGGAAAGAACCTTCAGCATCATCTAGGTTTATCCGGAGAGCCGCAAGCCCCACAGGTAATTGTTAAACAGGGTGGCAATGAGCTGAGTGCGTCTAAAATCGCGGCCCTCAATGTGTCCAAGCGTGATTATCAAAAAGAATACATGGACTACTGGAACAGTACGGCAAGGTTGACTGGCACCGGGCGCCCCATTGACGGAGTTTTGCTTCCCGTGGCACCACATGCAGCGGCCATCCCTAATCACTATAAAGTAGTCAATTATACAGCTTTCGTGAATGTCCTAGATTATACAAGTGTGGTGATTCCGGTGACATTTGCCGATAAAATGGTTGATGTGAAGTCCGATGATCGCACATCCAAGTCGGACGATTATATCGATTGGAGCTGTGAGTTGACCTCTAAATTTTACATAGATGATTGGGTATCTGACAATTCCGCAGATGATGCCGATACTTATGACGGAGCCCCGGTCGGTGTTCAATTGCTGGGCAGGAGATTGCAAGAAGAGAAGATGTTGACGCTTGCTGAGTATATCGGTGAAGAGATTGCCTTAGATGCCTGACACAAGTGATCGATCGTTTGGGAGCTGTGTTATTAGAGCTTCGTGGTAATTAAACGCAAATTACTGATTTTTCCTCATATATCGTGTGTAAGAAGTGCAGCATACCTTTAGTGGGTCCCAATTCAGGATGTTTGGAATCCACTTAAGTCGTAATTTAGAAAATGAAGAGCAATCAGCAATCATGGTCAAATCAACATATTTTTCAACACTCTCAATATATGAATGACTCCAATGATAAATTTCAATTTAATTCGTGGGCCTAAAATGACGCATTTAAAGTCATGACTATCCATGGCGATGTTTCCATCTTGTTATCTTTCATTCGGTTCCCCCGCAAATGCTATTATAGGGCTAAGCCATAACAGGCAGGTACACACGACCTTATCGTATTTCCAAAGCTAAATCCAGTTGTAGCTATTCATGGCGTGAAGCCCGGCATTGAAACCTTTCATGTTACCGATTCAAGGATCCCCATGAGATCATTCTCAATACTAATCAGGCCCACCTGCTTTATCAAAAGGACAATACAGTTGTTGCCTAACCAACACCAGAAAATATACCATGTCGCAAAATTGCATCCACCAGAAACTACAAGATCCACACCTGTCAAGGAGGCAGTGATGCCTGCTACTTCTCCTCCCAAGAGAGCATGCGACCAATGCCACGCAGTGAAGGAAAAGTGCCGACGAATAAGCGATTCTGCGCCATGCGAAAGATGTTCACGCCTTGGTCAGGAATGCCAAACGATACGGAGCCCAGCCAAGACCGGAAGAAAACCTCGAGCCGCAGAGAAAATATCATACAGCTTGCCAGTCGCACAAAGCTCGAACTGTTCTGGGACCTCACTGCAACTTTCAAAAGCTATTCTAGCCAATTCACCCACACCGTATAACGCCGGGCTAAGCAGCAATCAAACAATATTTGCCGACCTCGATGAATGGGAAAAACACTTCTTGAATTTCATGAAAGATGTTCTTGCTCCTTCGCCTCTAGATAAATTCCTAGTGGGTCCGAGCTTCCACGAGGCACACCACACTTCCTTTGTGCAGAATCTCATCCAACCCATACCGGAGCTACGAAATGCTTCTGTAGCCTGCGCTGCTGTGTTATTCAGCGACCGGTTCGCAGAACATACGAACAAGACCATGGATATCGGACATAAACGGGCAGCTTTAGCTGTATCATCTCTGCGATGCTTCCAAATATCCAATGAAAAGGACCTTACCACAATGCTCATTCTCAGTGTAGCAATGATAACATTTGCGATGCACGTTACAGATGGCCAGCCCTATCTTATCGCCCAATACACTTTGAGCATCATCAAATCGCAATACCAAAGCCTTATCAATTTCCAATCGCCAATGATGGATCTTTTCATGTGTCTTGTCAGCACGGAGACATTTGAATGTCTACTCCGATCCAAAACACCAGCTTGGAGGCTAGATACCAGCCAACGTGGCAATGTCATTGACCGATATCTCGGCCTAAGCTACCCGCTTTTCCCTCTCTTCTTTGATATATGCGAGGCAGCTGATCAGCTTCGAAACTGCAAAATCAACCAAAGGGATGGAATCTTTGTTCGGTTAATGGAGACAAAGGCCGCGGTAGACCAGTGGTATCCATCACCTGAAGCGGACTTCCTCGTACGACTATCTCGGGATGAGGTCGTCACCATAATGACGCAAGCCAGGATACTGCGCTTAGCTGGACTGCTCATTATCCATCGACTGAGATACCCATTTGGTCAGCACGATGATGAAGCACAGAGGTTATCTAGGGACATGATTTCGGAATTCAACACTGTGCTTCGAATTACTGAGCGTTCCGTGCCGTGTACATCGCTTGCCTATTTAGCCGCCTGCTTTGAAGCCTTTGGAGACGACAGGAGAAAAACTGCTTTGGCACAAATTCCATCCGTTATCACTTTCTCAAAACAGGCTCAGATAAAGACTGCCAGATTACTAAAGTCAATGTGGGATTTAAGAGATTGTCAAACCCAGTTCTATTGGTTCGAGTTAGGAGAGTACTTCTAATTGCGACTCGGATATCGGTTCAGGGTGACAGCAAAATAACGACATATTTGCTGTAAGAACACAAGATTACATTTATAATGAAGTGCAGCTCACTAATACTACTTACGTTCCTTCTTATTGTACTCATGCCATGTTCATTTTCCTTGTTCTAATATCTATAATGGCTTTTCGGTATTTGCCAAAAGTCTGATATTATATAGTGGTATGAGTCATAGTATGGGTATAATACGATTTAGTATCTCATCAACTTTCCTCAGGATGATAGAACCTCATCTGAGATTAATAGTAGATCAGGGCTGTAAGATATGGTGAGAAAGAGGGGACATGAATAAGGAAGATATAACAAAAAACCACTATAAATCACACATTTACTCAGGCTTTAACTTTAAAGCCTAGCCAGCCTTTGATGTGAGCTCCGTCAAACATGCTTTCTGCCAGTGATCAGTGACATCCGAGTTTGGCCTGGAGGATCAAAGATAACACTAAACAGCACGATGAGTTACTTGCTTCTCGGCCATTGCCCGGTATGATTTTGCAGTTGCAACCCTTGCCTTCTTGCCCCATATTAAGAGTGGAACGGGAATAAGATATATAGCAAACGCGACCATGGCACAGAGAACATGAAGGTTTTGCATGCCCATACCATTGACCCAGGGGGTTAGTACAAACAGAACGATGACTGAAATTATATTGCGCATGAAGATCACTCCCACGAGGGCATTTCCGATAACCTATATTGGGCTGAGGTTAGTGTTTAAGTCGAAAAGAGGTAAAGAATGGAAATGGGAGACAAACATCTTGATAGCAATCCATAAGATAGGATAGAGAGATACCACTGACAGAGGCCAGAGTAAAGCCGTAAACACCAAATCCAACAGCCAAAAGCGACCAATGAACGCCCTAGATTATATTAGCATATATAGACTTTAAAGCTGGAAAGGGGGATATCAACGTACATAGGCAAGTCCCAAACCAAACATGAGTAGTGAAGCCGGGCCGAATATGGCAACCGGCAAGGCAAGCCAGAGACGCATCTCTGGTTCGTAAATACCATTGTTTTTCTTAGAAAGCCATAGGATTGACTTGTCGCTGAGCCATCCACCGACTGGAAAACCGATTATGGCTCCGATGAAGGGAGGAAGATTCATCAGGCCAATTCCAATCGCATTAAAATTGTACGGAGGCAATAGCATATACGACGCCTGGAGCGAAGTCATGATAGCAAACCATGCCAGGGTCGATCCATACGTGATGGCAGCGTATGTTACTGCCGGAAAGGTAAATAGAGTCACAATAGGCTGTGTAAAATGGGGCCACATGGACTCTGAGGAGACTGTCACCCAAGGCATCCGCTGCCAGTATGTCTTGGGTTTGATGTTGGGGTTGATCCTAGCCTGGCTAGCGAGCACACCAGGATGAGAGACCTCAGCATCGTCGTCGGCCTGATTCGGAGCCTTGCTATCTTTGATGGAATCCTTTCGTGTATCAGATTGAGGAATCACGACTTGGCCGTCAATGACAGGGATATATTTGGACTCCTCGAACAGGAACAAAACACATACAAGTGTCACGGCAAAGAAGATGACACACCACCACCACATCCACCGCCAACCTTGGGAGTCAACAATGTAGCCAGAGGCAACGGGTCCAAGGAAAGCTCCTGCAGACTGAAAAATGACGAACCATCCATTCATAGTGGCATGCTGGTGCACGAAAAACAGGTCCGCCACGGTGATCTGCACGATAATCTCACTGATAGCACCCCCTAGGCCTGAGATTAAATTGGCACCAATGAACCCCCCAACATTTTGTATCTCAGCTTGCCATACACAGGATGCAAGTTGAAGTGCGACGCTAAAAATATAAATTGGGCGGCGACCATATTTGTGGACGAGAGGGATGAAGAAGAAGCATCCAATTCCGAGACCACCATAATTAACAGCTGCCCCGGCATTAAGAATATCAACCGAGAAGCCTAGCTCAGTCTCCATGGGGCCCCATGCAGTGAACCCAATGTCCAATTGCACGAAAGTCCACAAGACAAAAAAGCTAACCAAGGTGAAGTTCAAAGCTTTGCGAGCTGTAGACCAATTGAGGGGATCGTTGGGGTCGGAGGAAGGAGTCGGGAACAAAACTAGTTGATCTCTGGTGCGATGGACTGTAAAAATCAGATGCCATCCCTGATGCGCCATGAATTGAAATCACACTTACCATCTTCAAGGGCGACCGTTCCGGGGGCCCAGAAGGTCTCATCCCTGTCGTGCTGCTCATTCACCATGTCTGGTTCAATTTGGTGGAAGGGGATTCTGAGAGGAAGAAATTTCTCAGGGCGGCACCTCTGGACGACAGGAGGTCGGCCATGTTCTTAAAGTATAGTTGGAGCATTGACGTGCGGAGATACTGGCGACCGAGGGTGTTATCTTGTATCCCATTGAGCGTGTGGGGTAGATCAACGAAGGTGATAGGGACGGGCCAATTAGAATCAATGAAACGGGCCGGCTTGGCACTGTTGACTGGGGAAACGCGATGGGCTTCCCCACCCCCGCTTATCTGGCCTGTCAATGAGTCGTTTGGGTGGCTGATTAGAACCGATCAGCTGGTCATGACTGAATGTTGTATACGACGAGCGGAATAGAGTCCGCCAGTATTGTTGATTTGTCCCAATACGGCAGACTCCTCTTGTGCTGTATTGTATCTTGACTGCAGTATGATCCCAACAAGCGGCCGATCAAGATTACGCAATGAAAAATCCAGACGCGTGGAGAAGATGAATCTATACTTTGAATTGTCAGCCAGTTAACTTCGCCGCTGTATAAAGTGGAGGAATCGAGCTCTCTCTTCCGTCTCCGATGTGCACTGTGCAAGTCCCTCTGGGTCCAGGTCTACATGCTGGCTAGCCAGCAATAAAAGGGAATCACTTCAATGCTGCTGTATGGTTTTGAGGCAGGGTACAAAGGAATTTCTTCCGGCTACACGTTGATATTACCTTTACAAAAAGCCGACCTGGATATATGCATGAGCGCGATTGAATGCGGCTTCCGTGTCGGCTTTACGCGGACTTACATAATGAACTTGAAGTTTATCATGGTGGGGGGGGGGGGGGAAAGATGGACCATCCCACCAGAAGACATCGAAGAAAGGAGAATTAACATTAACTGGCTTTTCCATCCTCTCAACTCATCTGAAACTGAATGCTGAGAACCGACAATTGTTGTGAGGAATTCCGATATTCCTAGGCCCATCACGACAACAGTAATGTCCTTGTCAAAACTCAAAGTGCTAGTCGTGGGGGCTGGAGGAGTCGGAACAATGGCAAGTGTTGCCCTTGAACGGTCTGGGATGGCAAATGTTACTCTCGTGCTACGATCGAACTACGAAAAGGTGGCCGGTGACGGATTTGAGATCGAATCTGTTGATCATGGAAAATTATCGGGATGGAGACCAAGTCAGAGTAGGACCTCTCATCCGTGCCCCCTGTTTATTACGATGTTAACAGATCTTCAGTCATCAATGCTGTACCGGAAGCTGATACAAATGACCCTTTCGACTTTTTGGTAGTGTCTATGAAGACAGTACCCGAGATCAGCAATATCTCCAAGATCATCGCTCAGAGTATAACACCTGGCCATACTACAATTGTCCTTATGCAAAATGGAATGTACCTTGAGCCACCATTCATCGAAGCATTCCCAACAAATGTGGTTCTATCTGGCGCAAGCTACATTGGTGCTCATGAAAGAAACGCTCATATTATCCACGATGACCCAGATCATTTCCACATCGGCGCGTTTCACAATCCACGGCTGGATGTTCAGCATGAGAAGGAAAGGCTAGAAGCATTCACAACAGCTTATAATGGAAGCAAAGCGGTTAATGCAGTTCCAGTCGATGACATAATGCTATATCGCTGGAGGAAGATCATCTGGAATGGCACTTATAACCCCATATGCGCTATTACACAACTTGACAATGCTGCGGTTCGACGATGTGGCGGGGAATACAGTTTGATTAGGCCAGCGATGGCTGAGATGGCGGCTATTGCCAAAGCCGACGGATATGACTTGGGGGAGAACATCGTTGACGAAATGGTTAATAAGACGCCCATTGAACTTTGTTTCCGACCCAGCATGTTGGTTGACATTGATAAAGGAAACCCAGTTGAGGTTGAAGTCATATTGGGGAATGCTTTGCGAATCGCTCGGGAGAAAGGAGTCCAAACGCCTATTCTGGACAACACATATCGATTTCTCAAATTGATACAGACACGCCTACTAGTTGCAAGGGGACATATAAGTGAGCCGATGGATGTGCCAAGGTCTGATTTCATATAGCACTCAATATGGGCCCAGGGTTATTTATCGGGTGGACCTGCAGTCGATCATAGAAGACAGTCATATTAGCAGTGGATACAAAGGCATAGCGAAATAGAATTATTATTAGAATATTTCAGTGTGGGCTATTAAAGTATCAAGAGACATGCATAGATCATGAATAGCACTCGCGTACTCGGTAAGCTCGTCTCACGCCAAAACAAACCGGCAACCCCCTTGATGACTGGCGACAGGGATTACCGGTTCTTTCCATCAACCGCAGATTTACAACAAATGAGCAGCCAATAGCAACATCAAATTTCAAAGATCGAAGATCGTCAAAATGTATGACACCATGAGATCAAGTACGGAGAAAATCGATTTCCATGTCCACTGTGTACCTCCCTCATACCGCGAATATTGCCTGAAAAATGAATACGCGGGGGAAGGACATCCTGATGGAATGCCAGCAATACCTGTAAGTTCCAAGCTGACGATGGATGCATAGTGAAGTATTCTGATTGTTTCCAGGCCTGGGATGTGAACTCCCACATTAGCATGATGAAGAGTCTCAACATCAAAAAATCAGTACTGAGCATGTCCTCCCCAGGTACACACCTGACACCAGGAAACGACCAGGACGCTCGAGCCTTAACCCGCCAAGTGAATGAAGACATGTCAAAAATATGCAAAGACCACAGTGAACATTTCCTATTCTTTGCATCGCTTCCTCTACCTGATGTCGAAGGCTCCCTTGCCGAGATCGACTACGCGCTTGATCACCTAGGTGCAGTCGGATTTCAAATCCTGACCAATTCCCACGGAATCTACCCAGGGGATCCAAGATTCAATCTCGTCTTCGACAAACTAAGCGAGCGAGGGGCAATCGTATTCTTTCACCCTACTAGCTGTCATTTACGGAGTGAAGACGGCTCCGTGACCCGAGTCACTCCAAATCCCGGGGTAGCAAGTCCCGTACTGGAATTCATGTTCGACACAACCCGATCATTGACAAGTATCATAGCATCTGGTACCATTGACAGGTGTCCTGGTATAACGTTCATCATAACTCATTGTGGGGGAACGTTTCCACCCGTTCTGTCTCGGATTGCGCGATTCTCTCCATTTGTTTTTCTGAATGAAGATAGAGTCTCGAATGAAGAAATAAAGCGCATGCTTGAAACCCGCTTCTACTTTGACCTAGCTGGATTCCCTTTTCCGGATCAAATTCATGGGCTCCTCCGAGTTGTCCATTCTTCGCGACTTCTTTATGGCAGTGACTATCCATATACACCATTTCCTCTTGTTAAGTCATTGAGCGAAGAACTAGAATATGGTCTGAGGCAATGCTTTGGGTCGGCATCTACCGAAGTCTTTCTGAAGAACGGAGAGAGACTTTTGTCCAATTCGAAGGGGGGGGGGGGAAGAGTCTGAATCTCTTGGGCTTGGTATTGAATAAGTAGATGATGAGAGATCATTCTATTCACAAAGACGAAGACTCCTTTATTTCAAGAAAGATAGAAAGAGAAATTCATATTTGATTAAATCACAGAATGTCCCTCCAAATTCCCGTTAAAGACATCCCTCGACCATACCTTTATAAGTGATGCGCATCGGCTCATCAAACAGCTCAGGCATCTCAACAAAAAAGAATCTCTCCACAGAAATCAAAATAGATCTTCCAAAAAGCTCGTCAGCCGGAACAGAAACACCCTTTGAGTCAGTCATTTCATGCCCAGAAATACACTTGAACACGACGTCCGTAACATGGCTCATCTTAATGAGTGCCGCTTTATCAAAAAAAGCTTTAATCTCATCTGTCAATAGGGGCGTTATCACAGTTCCAGGACAAATAGCATTCATCTTGATACCATCGCGCCATAAACGAGGTGCCATTGAGCGAGTGAATCCGATCATCGCGTCTAAAACACGTCAGGTTAGCCATACGATTCAGCACCCAGAGGTACGAGTCTGAGTAGCTTGAAGCTTATACTCACGTTTCGTTGCTACGTAAATCGGTGTATGGACACATGGGTATATCCCACCAATACTTGATGTGAGAATCAAGTGTCTTTCTCCTCTCGTTTCTTCTGGCGATCGGCGGAAATAATGCATAGCCAGGTAAGAGGTATAGATAGCCCCTGTAAGGTTTATATCAAGTACACCTTCGATGCCATTTGAAGATGGGATAGGCCGTGGAGGAATGCCAGTTGTATCATGGTATGTATACATTGTGTTGACATTCTGGGCTATGCCGGCATTAACAAAAACAAAGTCCAAGCGTTGGTGTTCATTGAAGATTTCATCAAATGCGGCGCCTTGCTCGTCGTAGCTTTTCACGTCCACTTGATGAAATGTGGTGTTCTCCAATGAAGCTGCTGCATTTTCGCCGCGTTCCTTGTTGCTCCCGATGATGTGGACTTTCCAGGCACCAGTTTTATCAAGCTGTTGTGCGACATCGAGGCCCATGCCACTTGCTATTTTGATTTGTCAGTCTGATCCTTCTTGACGTATTAGTCCCTAAGTAAACTTACTCCCTCCCGTTATAAGCGCAACTTTGACCATGTTGAGCGATTATTTAGGTATAAACTTAAGATCTGATGCAAGATGCAGGTGTTGCAGTTTTGAACTGGGGTCCAGAAAAGTTTTCATATTTATGACAGAATACCCACTATGAAGGCTTTGTCTGTGCGACTGCATCCCATTCGCCATATTGCAGCGGAAAGGAATCTCTTCTGTTATTGGGAGCGGTTTTGTGGAGTAGGGATCAACAAGATGGCCTGTCCTATTATTTTCATGAATGACATAGAAATGGTGTTCAGATATTAGCGAAGACCCATAGTGGTGTGCAGGTCTGCAGAAATAAATCGCCTATCATGCTTAAGGCGCTCTTGATTGGTATATCGAACACACTATGACATCTTAGTGGACTTTTTTGCTGGTTTTTTTCATGTATGTTGAGAGGCTAAGGATGTGGGGCGTACCTCTTGGTACCGCGGTTCATCTCTGTCCATTTCCACGTTACACATCTATGAAATGAATTTTAAAGTATAAAAGTATAAAAGCATAAACAGAGTTATAAGTCCAGGTGGAATGAGATAGATCTGGCAGTATTCAGACATTAAAATGGAATAAAAAAACGTTTTCTCTCTTCAATATGGCCGCTGCCGGATAACCCGCCACAGTGTCACAATGTAGTCACTATTCTTCTGCATCCCTCTAATGCAATCTTTGAACTAGGATATTTTTTCCAGGCGACTAGAGAATTGTGCGTAAAATGGTATTAAGTACACTTACAATGACTAGTCCATCTCAAAGCCAACATTGGCAAAAACGATCGCCCCCAACAACTCCAACCTTTGCCCCGCAGCCACACCGACCGATAGCACCAGCACATATCATTCATATCTTTCGCCGAGGCACAAAAGGCTTTCAGTCCCCATAACTTGGCCTTTCGTCTCATTTTTGAGCTCACGCACATATTTGATTAATCTCATGCCTTTTATCTTACACCGTCCTGGAAACTAGCTTCTTGAAACAAAGTGCCGATCCGATATCGCCGGCCGGAAGGTTTGAGTAGCTTATAACCCGACATTCCGAGGCACAAACTTTCGGTTTCATTTACCTTCCTATTCATATCAGTAGCTCAATACTCAAAGAACATTCTAGCAGTCCTAGCCTCCTCAAGGTACGTAAGAACAGAGAAGACAAGAGAACAGCGATCGCTCGCCGATCGCAAAAAAGTGTGAATGACATCATGATCGCTGATAGATCAATTGCGAACCACCAGAATCATTCCAATACATCAGAAAGCACTACACCACAGCCTACATACAATTCGTATAGGATATTAATCGCCACATTCTCGCGAAAACCAAAAGGTCCCCACATATCAACAATGCACTTAAGGGCTCTATCAATACCACCCACTGCCATCGGATGGATGAACTCCATAATAAACGCAACAAGCATCAACCCAATATTATCCGTAAGTGCCTCTCAAGACAAAAAAGAAAGAACATAAGGACTAACAGCTTGCAGATGCAGCTTTATTCCCTCGTGCTAGGGGGAGTCTGGCAAGGCGTCCCGATAATGTTAATATATCTACACCGCCAACTAGCAAGACATACAAGGAAATAATCCAATAAAATGTGGATCTGTGCATTAGTAAATAAAAGTACTAGTAGGCGAAGCATGTTTCAATTATAACTGCATTACCTGAATACTCTTGGCTATCGCGAGAGCGACGGTGAGCCGGTGGCGGCATCCTTGCAGGGCCGTTGAGACATACAGCTCTTTGCCTCGTGAGACGTGCTATTGAGTTACCGGTACCGATGTTCCTCGGAACGGGTAATGCAAGGATCTATTTTGCAGGGATCTCGGAATTTGAAGAGCAGTACTTATGTTCGTGTCTTAATTAAAAGAGGTGGAGTTAAGTGGAGCCAGTTTGAAATGAGTAGGTAGCAGTTGCATTATGGAATTTCCGCGAAGCGGAATGTGGATAAGTACATCCAGGTAAACAAAATCAACTTCTATGGGTATGTCATTGAAGTTAAACCGGGACCAGAGCCAAAACCAGACGAGGAAATAAACCTAAGAACGCCAAACCGGTCCAGTACATGCAGAAAAGGATGTTGAGGAAGGAAATAAATGTAAAGCATGTCTATATTTCGAACATGGGAAGGGATGACGGGTCCAGTTTAAGGATCCGCCAAGTTATGGAATGGTATTGTCACAATATGCGTATCAACGGGGTGAAATGCTTTTTGCCAAGAAGGGGTAATAAAATGTAATAAATTGTGGGGAGTAAGGGAAATAGAGCACAACAAAGAGACGAAAAGCACAAGGAAACTGCACCTGCTTTGGGTATACAAGCAGGTGCGGGGTATAATTGGCACGCCAGTCACAGGTAGTCGAGACCAGCTCGAAATTAATTGTGAGGCCGAGCAATACGTCCACCCATGTAGGAGCCAGTGGCGGACGCTAGAAAGCGAGCTACGAAGCCGCCGGTGGAGTGACCGTGGACCTTCATCTTCTTGCTTGGTTGACGGATGGGCTCAAACGATTGCTTGTGGTCGAGTGCGGCAACATTCACGTAGCTATAGTTCAGTGAAGTGACTGATGGGCTAGAGCTGGCATCGGTGAGCATCACGTCATCAGCGCCATGGGATGAAACAGTGCTGATACTTCCGGGGGTACCACGGGAGCTGGGAGCAACACTTGATGAACGAGAGCAGAGCGAGTTGAAGGTCTCCGCGTGAGACAGGGCGGGGACGTCACGGATAGATGGGGGAGAGATAGAACGAGTGGGTCGGTGAGGCGATGTGCGGTGACGGTTGTAGGGGTTGTATCGGTCAGTCTCAGCAAGAGACTGGGTAGACTGGACGTCGCGAACACTTGGGCATGAGACGTGGGTGGGAAGACGGCGGGAAGAGTTGTCAACAACTCCAGCCCGACGACTGTTGTCACGGGCTTCAGCCTTCTGGCGACGGAGGCGGCTGGCCAGCAGATCCGCAGAGTAATGCAAACGGCGCCTAAGAGTCATATGAGTAAAGTGGTGAATAGATTTGTGGGAGGTGCAGACATACCATTCCCGATGTTGCTGTTGCTTGCGCTTGTGTTCCTCCTCAGCTTCGCGTTGGCGTTGTTGTAACTCAAGACGTCCACGAATAGGAGCCAGGAAGGGCTCGAGATAAGTGATAAGATCCTCCTCGGTAACACGAGTATCCCAGTCCAACAAGAAGAGCAGCTGACGTTCCATCAAATTCACCTCTGGCAAGGAGAAACCAAACCCTTCAAATCCCTTGACCACAGTGTATCGTGCCCAGTGCTTGTTCTTGGGGCTGGAGTCATTCAGGTTCTTTGCGGCGAGGATCAGCGATGCGAGGAAGATCCGGTGGACGGTGCATCGCATGCCCTTAGCGACGGGAGGAAGACGAGCACGCAGACGACCGAGGTAAACGAGTGAACTCATGAGGGTGGGCACCTGGACCTGCGAGCGGGCGACGAGAGAAGCAATGAATGCCTCGGTAGAGGGTAATGGAGGCAGGTTGTCTTCTGGGTCCATAGGAGGGGTGGCTGGAGGAGTCGGCTGGCCATGTTGGTTGAGTGAGTTGGTCACATGGCTCTCACATCGGATGACCTGTGAAGCTTGTTTGGCCAAATACGCCACCATGTCACGGGTGACTCTCTCCTTCACGAACTCGTCCAAAGCTGCTCGGTTGAGCGACATTGTCGCTGAGGTATTGTTTTGCATTATGTGAATTGACATGTGGAAGCAGTTGAGACTGCTCGGTTGATCGTGTCGTGCGGAAAGATGAGAGGAATCAAACGGGATAAGGTAGAAGCTGGATGACTAGATAAAATATTCCAATTGGCAAAGTAGGAGACGGAAACGTATTGAGACAGATTCAAGTGAATGTCTTTGTCGAAAGTGTCGAAGGCAATAATTGCTTTGTGGTGGAAGACAAAGAAGTTGGAAGACCAGACAAAACAATCAGGCAATAAATCAGACAATAATCAAGCACAATCAGATGAATTCCTGGACCAGCAGGAAAAATGAGAAGTCGTCGTGGTTAAATGAGGAAAAGAATGTTGGAGTAAGGATGAGGTTGTCGTGTCAACCTGATTTCTTATCGATAGCCCTAACAGAGATGGAGTTTTCCAACTGAAACCTGTCGATGCGGAGAATTTAAAGCCGAGAGACAAAGCCCACTCTTAATACGTTGGTGGAAGCAATAGAACGGAAATCTTTGCAGGGGAGGGAAATAATTAGTGAATCTTTCTTTTTTGCGAAACACAGTCGAAAAATGAAATCGGAGGATGATTAAAGAGGTATTATAAACAACAAGATAATTCACGATAAAGAGAGGGTGACGACGTTGAGCATGTGGATGAATCCCGTGAAGAATCTGGAGGGGAATCCTAGGACTAGATATAGCTCCGGTATGCGCCAGGGAAAATAGGAAAATAATAATTCGTCGAATTTAATATTCTAATTAAAAATGCCCCAAGATCCAAGGCGGCTGGATAGGAGCCAACTGCAAGGACCCTGGGCCAGTCATAGCGCCTTGGGGGAGGAAAAGGAAGTAACAGGGGGAGTTGCATAGTTGGATCTGACATCAACCTTCTGTTGGCGCGCGGAGTGTGAGACTTTACCTCCTGGTGGGACGTGATTAGTCTGGAATGTAGTGGAGCTAATGTGTACACGGCTGAGAAAACTAATGTATCTAATGTACACTTGCTAGTTGTCGGACGATACGGAGTACAAAGTTTACTACTCTACGGGTATGTACTATTTGCTATCAAACTTGTCTGTGCTCGTTTATCCCTAGATTCATTTGATGTACATTGCCATAACTTAATATTATTGCCTGAACAAAGTACCACCGCATTCTACTGTACAATGATGCTATTCATTCCTCTATATCTCTCCCAACCACTGTATTTCCACTTCAAATTCAATCTGCTATTCTTAGTAACCTCTACACGCGCTGGCCTCAACAAAAATAACCCAGAGAAAGGGAAACAAAGAAAAAAGAGGATCCCTGTGATTGAGGGGCGATCGCCAATCCACCTACATCCCTCAACATAGTAGGCTCCACCCTGCGAGGAGATCAACCGGGCCCCACTAAAACCAAGGAACAAAAAGTCTCTTCGTGGAGTTACGGAGCACCCAGGGCTACTCATCCAACAAATCAATCCACCCATTACGTCCAAGGGACCCGAAAGGTTCCAGCCTTCCCACTCGATATACTTTAGATCATCGATGAAACTCGCGACCGTCTCAAGTTCCTCCTGGTGCGAGACGCGGGGGAAAGGAATCCCATCATCCCATCCGCTCCATGAAAATGCCAGGTCAGATTCCCCACCCTCTGACACGTCCGGAAAGAATGGAGCCCACCATAGAGAACGGACCACAGGATGCCAGGATTGAATCAAACCTTGAATCCTGGCCCTGGCCCTGGAACCCTCTTCCCTTCTAGGATGCAATATTAACCAACCTCATCCTACGCAATGCACCCTATACACTATACACATCCTGAATTTAATCTACATGGCGTATCTTCAACCCAATAGAAAGGGGGAATACCCAACCAAGGAACCATTCCTTCAATCCTGGACACAAATCCGGTACTCCATAGAAATCCACCAACAAACCAACAACACCTTCATTCAGCTGAACCCAGACGAACTAGTGTAGCACATCGCGGCATCATGCCCCAAATCCAAATCGACCTATGGAACAATGTGGCAAGTCGCGTTTCAATTTGGCGCTGTGTTGGAAGTGGACAACCCCCCTGACCCAATCACAATCTCCAACTGTGACGGTTGTGCCTGTGATGTCCGTGCGGAGGATTCGCCTCGGATGCCAAATGACCCCTGTCACACGGCGCCACGAGTAGTGGGTCTCGCGAAGCGTGTTCTAGGGGGTCCGGACTCGCAAAGGAGCAACAAAAAAAAAGAAGAAAAAAGGGAAAGAAAAAAGAACATACCAAATGATCGCGATCAATGTTCAATTAATTATGTACAGGGCTACACGACCCATGGATAGGTGCTACAATAGCGTATTCACCTCGCATGAGGGCAATCAATTTTTCCCCTCGATTGTATTCTGTGCGTAGGTTCATGGAATTCTAATCCTAATCCTAATACTATTCCCACCCATTATTAAGAGGGGTTGGGAAGAAAGGAAGGAAACCTAGATGGATTAGCGACCGAAATACTGGAATACTGCATTACACTCGATCTATCGATTCAATCAACCATCTCTTCCAAGGTTTGTGTTTCCTCCTTTTTTTCTTAGGTACCTCTTCCCGCCTCCAGGTTGCAGACGGAGCACTCTGCATGCATGTACAGCATAGTCTATCATCTCCCGAACTCTGTTCCATGCTATTGATGCATGCAATGTTCCGACTTTAGAGCATCTTTCCTTGGCTAAGCTATGACCTGTAAAGCCTTTAGATGTAGGCTGGATCTAAAAAAAGAAACTGCGAACTCTAGGTAACACTGTTTACTATTTTGGGTGCTCGTCCTAGTACCTATATAACCGCCCGTCCCCTCCATGCCAGCGCTTACAGAGCTCTTCACATCACGAAGCGCTCTCTTTCCACCATGTCGGGTCTCAACGATGCAGGAAGCTACTAATTTTATCAATGACCCACGGGAATGCTAAATCTATTGATAGAATTGATGTTATTCTTAGAAATCCCTACGCGCCGGCAGTTCTGAAGACCAGGTTCCCCGCTAACGATGCAATACAAGCTACAATTGACGTCGGTTCTTGGTAGCGAAGGTTTTACAGATGAGGGGAAAGGAATCGGACAAAGACTAGATCGGGAACTTGACCTGGGTTTGAATCGCATTGCATTGAGGGGCCGACGCAGACTGGAGGTTTTGGGTTGATGAGCGTGTCGCTCGTGCACGGTGGGTCTAGGATTTCTTTTCGTCATTGTTGAGGGTGGGCTTTGTCTAGGTCCGCATTGTAGCTGCTTTCAATGCAGTGATGACGAGCGGTGGTGCTAATGAAACAGAAGGTGGTTTCAGAGTGGCATAAGTCTTGGTTTCAGGAACGCTCATGTTAAGTTCCCAGCGGCTAGACATAAGGATCCACAACTCCGTAGTTGCGACCGGCAAATGCATCATCCTGCTACCAAGACCATAACCAAAATTTGTCTTAGAAATACTATATGAGTACGAAATAGAAGTCTAGCAGTAAATAACTACTTAATCGAAGTTTTGTACATGAAATTCAATTAGCAGATTTAGCTGTCTAGGGAGTTTAGCCGCAAGTTGTAGTAGACAATGTAGAACCGAGGAAGACACAAATCACCTTTCCAGTCAATATATGCCCAAATGCTACATAAGGGCTAATTGCGTGGCCGGATTGCTCTCTGGATATACCCGTGGACATAATAAATCAATTGCGAACAATTTTGAAAAGAAATTATCACTTTGAAGACAAATTTATCGTGACCAAATACATTAAATATATATTACTATAATGTTCGGCAAAACTGTAACGTCCAACTCGAAGAATCAAGAATTACGAGATTCAAGTTCTAGTAAGCACCTGGACACAATTATAGAATATTGAATGATGGATTATAATGAGGTAGATAAAGCTGAGATTACTGTCGCAGCTGGCCTCTACACATGTCAAGCATCTGTTGTGTGGACGGTAAGGTATCCGCAGATAAAAGTGACCAGCTCAAAATACCAGACTGCCACCCGAGTATTACCCAAGAAACTTAACTAAACATATAATATCGATCCTACTCAGAGTATCATTTGAATGGAAATAGACATAAACATTTAGTTATCACTGGCATAGAGGTTGTTTCCTTTCGTTCAAACGCCGTGATTTACTGTCTACAAAGCTTGGAATAGTCAACACAGCCCGAGCCCAACATGAGAAGTCCAAAACATTCCATTTTGCGGCCCTGAATAGCTCAAGCTGGTGACGATTTCAATGCAGCTTTCGTAAAATTAAGATCGCTGTGGCGGAAAACACGATTGAGAGGTACGAGTATTGATTGGTGGAGTTTTGTTGGGAAAACCCCCTTGTGCCTACATACCAGGGCTTCTCCTTTTAAGATCTTCTTTCTATAGCCTTTTACTATCGCTAAACCAGTCAAAAGTCAAATCCCTTGTCAAGCAACATGGAAGGACTTATGTATAGATAATGTCTAGGTAAGACATCCAGGGCTCATTTATTTTCTGTGAAGGATCATTGGTTTTTCTATACAGTGTACACAAGATCACCTACACATTCCGCATCTCGGCGACCGATACATATCCATTTGCTGGTATTCACCAACACTCGAAATGCCTCGACCGTTTGTGTTTTGACTGCAAGCATTAATGCAATTTGGCCTTTCTCAATCAAAGGGCCTGGACCCAGTTATCATGTTAGAGCAGTTGATTCATGGTATTTAATCGACCGTCCGACATCTTGTTAAACCGCACCCATATATTTCTCTCTTTTTTCAACCTTGGATAGATATATTGGCCGAGACGCCATTGAACGCATATGACTACCGTCCCCCATACTGAGCCCAGAATCAATATTCAATTTTTTGTCCGACCAAAGACTATCGACTGGTGCCAAGGCAAATAGCAGCAGGTGGGAGGAGGGGTATTTGTTGAGGCGAGTACAAAGCAAATAGTGGGCATGGTCAAACATTCATAATTGAAGCAGCCAGCCTTGCGCTAAATGTACTAGTCCTCTTTTTGAGATTTTGTACGCACGAATGGAATTGAACCACATCAGCGTCTTCGCTAGGAAAATTGCTGTTTTCGAGTGGAACACAATAGTTGGGCACCTCCAGCATGCCGACATTGTGACTGATAAGCTGAATCTATATGGCTGTGTATCAAAGGCGCGACTTGTGATCTCAGCCAAAGCTTTCAAATTACCCGTCGACGAGACAGGCAAGGCCAGGGTTACCACCGAGGGACTCGAATCTTTGGGCATGTCTAAATTTCTAGGTATTAATTTCAACTACAGTCTATTGTCTGCAGAAGGCGAGTACATCGCCCACTTATACTTGGATTGGGACTACCAATCTTGCTTTCATGATGAGACTGGATATTCCCGAGGCCCGATCGGTCAATTATCGATGGTTTGACCACCAGGACCACTCTCGATCAGCCGTTTATGCTCCGTAGCTACAACATTGACGATCAAGAGGTAATGCTAGGCATTCTTGTTCGACCGGTCATGGGAACAGAAGGCGAGTATGAGAGAATTGGGCTGTGGTACTCCGAAAATAAAGGACTTGGCGGCAAGAAGTTCTGGGACAACATTGCACCGCGGAATTTGATACTCGTTTAGTCAATTCCTGAAGCTGTATACGGTGATTCTATAGCTATCTATTCAAACTGACAGGATCATAATGGATGGCAATAGACGGCAAAAGCAACAAGGTCAACCCTTGAAGATGTTCTACTAGTGGGTGGATCTCACATTATTCCTAGGGTTGGCAAATTGAAGCGAGTAAGCTAGTTAGAACGACAGTTTTGATTCAATACACGGTGAACATGGGACAAAGACGAAAAATGAATCATCGTTAGTCTCTTTCGAGGTGGCTTTGCTGACAGGAACCCTAGAGTGGGTCGCAGCTGGAACGCTACGTATGGCTTCGAATATGGGGAAATCTGAAGATAAACTGGGATCCAATATTAAATTGTAAAATAGACTAGTATATTCACGTAACAATGACAGACTCGGGCTTTTAGATCCACGATTGTCCGTTTTTTGATTAAATCAACATGCACTGAGAAGGGTTGTTTTTGATGCAGTTTCTAGCCTCGGGAATCATCAGTGTCAGGCCCGAATTTATTCGATCTAGCCCTATCCAGCTACTCTACTATGATTTTAGCTGTTTGCCAAGACACTTCACTTCCTTTTGAAAGCTAGGCAGCGTACTGGAAACTGACGAATTGACTCCACTACTACTCAGAGAGTGTCTATATAATCATTACATAGTTCTTACGAGTGGTAACGGATATTTATATAGTGTTTTTTGCCGATGTTGATTTCCTATGAGAGCGTTGTGCTGATTCGGAGTTTATGGCCCCCGGGTCGGCCCTACTCGGCTACGGTCTAATCGATGAAGCATAGCAACGGGGAATATTTTTAGCATGCATCATATGTGCACGATAAGCAATTCTACTCTACAATAGAAAATTCATTGAATCTTAATGAATATAAGATACTAGGGACTTGAACTACATTGAAGAAGAATTGACTGAGACATGTGAAAGAACTGCCGAAAATCGACTCCGATCAGACAGAGGGATCAGGGTCTATTGTGCCCACTGTAAGCTGACAGAACTGTTGGAAATACTAGACTACAGCGGCTAGTAGATCTGTAGGCCCCGAAACGCTAACCTGTTGTATGGCTACTGCATAGACGCCAAGGCCAGGACATACGTAGGTGTCTACCTAAATGCAGTTAGAGTACTTTAAAAGCATACTACCCGTTCATCAGCTGAAACCACCCAGAAGTTTCTGTGATGTCTAGGCGAGTACAATATGAAGACTATAAAAAGGCACACATCTGGCCTTCTAGATAGAAGATAGATCTTTCAGAAGGAACAACTACACTACAATCGTACTCCTACAGAAGTTTCCCAACCTTCTCTTTTCCAATATGATGATTAAGGTATATTAGATTACATTTTGAGCTATCTACCATACCTTGTGCATGATGATGCTAATTTAATATTCAAGATCACGTCCATCATTGCCGCCTTTGCGGCTGTTGCTGTTGCTGACCCCACTGTCGGCTACGCTGCCTACTTCTTTGCCGGCTGTAACACAACTAGCATTGACGCTGCCAATGCCTATGCCGGTTCCTGCGTCAACGTTGAGAACTTCCCCGTCAAGTCTTTCACTGCCTATGTCGAGTCTGGTGCATGCGCTGACGGTACCACCGCTGTTCTCAGCACTTACACTGCCTCTGGTTGCGATGATACCACTCTGTATGAGACTGTCGACGTTGACAGCGACAAGCAATGCTTTGAGATTGATACTACACTTGTTAGCCTCAAGACCGAGTGTGTTTAAGTGTTACTTATCTTGATGCACCAAAGAATGTACAAACACTGCAAACTTTGTACTAGAATATTGTTGAGACGAAAAATTGAATTGTTTCTTGAAAGAGCTGGTATTATAAATTTCAAGCTCTTAACAGCTTTATAGTACCTTGAAACCTGCTTTGACAATATAACCTTTATACTACTAGTATAATATACGACCATTTTGAGAATAGGGGTTATAATCCGAATATAAAGTATAACGATTTACTACTAAAATTTAGATGTATTCTTGAACAGAATTGATTCCAGATCCTTTCCTGTACATAAAAAATGCATATTCACAAATAGAAGTTGAAGATCCACCTCACACCGGCAAACGAAAAGTATCTTGCTCTTCAACTAGTCATTTATGCAATTGCAACAGTGTACTCAGAGACAGTCAGAGTAGCACTACCAGTGAACGGCTCAGTACCAGCCTGAACATCAGTCAAGTACAAGCTCGAACTAAGACCCTCATAGTCAATCAAGTAAGTGAAGAATTCCTTCAGATCAGCGGAGAAGCTGGTAGTAGTTGAAGAAGCGACAAAGCTGTACACAGTAGTAGAGCCATTGGGACCACTGTACAGCTTGAACGACACACCGCCGATGGTAACTGTAGCGATTGCAGAGCCAGTGGAGGAGATGGGACCCGCACCACCCAGAGCTGCAAGCCAAACCATAATCTCGTACTCGCTGGAGCCACCAGAGGAAGCAGCAAGGAACATGTCGTATGAGACGTCTGCAACAATGCTGGTGGTAGAGTAGCTGTGTAGGAGATCATAAGATTAGTGAAAACAATCCAATTGCACCATATCGGGGTGTTGTATTATCTTTGCTCACCTCCATTTCCAAGTGGTCTCGATAGTGTTGATGCTGCTCAGTGTTTTATCGGTGAATTGCAATGCAGCGCTGGCATAGCTTTTTACGTCGGACGAGCCACCAGCCCAGGTCCATGCGGTATGCCAGGCGAGAGTAGTGCCGCTTAGCGAGTCAACGCCAACGCACTGCGAGCCACTGGTGGCTTCGGCTTCGCCCCAGAGATCATTGTAGACGATGTAACTACCGGTGGTGATGGTGTCCCATTGACCGCAGCTATCGGCACGCTTGGAGATGGACTTGGTAGGTACAACTGCGGCAGCACTCTCGCCAGCGAGAAGTAGTGCAAGAAGTGATAATGGTGCAAGGAAGGACTTCATGGTGACGATTCAGTCTCAGAATAAAGTAAACCAAAGAAGAGATATGATAGTATCGACGGATGATCAGTGTCAATCAACATGGGGATCGACGGGAGGTTAAATATACTCGAATATACCTGAGTTCCGGGGTCTGAATTGCATCTGGAAGGTCGTCCGCAATCAGTGTTCCGTATAAAGCACGGAGCAGTCCTGTCTCATCTTGTCATCTTCGGAGCTCCACAAGAAACATTAGGCAAAATAGAAACACCTAAAACATGGTCCATGCCATTTCAACGCAGACCACGCCAATAGCAGGCAAGGGAGTCTTTGGAAAAACAATTGCATTTCCAAACCCCTAGCCTATGATAACCCTCCATTGTAACATATTGAGGATTATTTTTCCACGACTGGGGCTCATCCCTAGGGGGAGGATTTGAGTTTGGCGCACTTTGCAGTTTGTGGCATATTTCCGGACGTGTGGGGAACCTGAGACGACGGCGGCGGCCCGCAACGGACCAAAGTACAGATGGAGAAACAGGGTCAAATTGTTCATATTTGACGTCTCCGAAGATCTTCCGACCGATGTCAAATATTTACAGGGGAATTATTGTCATGCAAGTCGAATATTCTAGATTGGCCAGACCGAGTTCCTTCATTCGCAGGTCAATTAATGGGGGTTTTAGTCTGTGGGCTTTAGGGGCTACGAACATCTATGTGCATTCCACAAGTTAAGGTGAAAAAGAATCTTGATCTCCAGTGGTGGATTATCTCACTGCGAAACTTGGCCGAAAATGGCCTTGAAGAAACCTACGTAATGTCGCGCAGGCTTAGCTTTTTTTACGCGACGCTAAAGAAATCTAGTGACGAATCTTCAAGCCACATTATCATCATAACCTCTGCTTACACCTTCGACATGAGGTAAAATCTTGAATCATCGCTATATCGTGGCTTGATGGCTTTGTATGGGGTTTTAGGCTATATGCTGTGAGCGGATGCTGATCCGGAGCAGAGCCCGTTTTCTAGTGGGCCATGATCAGCAGGATATAAAACGTCGAATAATTTGCTCATGTAAAAAGCGATGTATTCTTCAGGCATAAAGCTTATTATCGGCAAAGACTTGTATTTCTAACGCCTTGAGAAGGACATATTGGCAAGCGACATACCACCAATCGTATATGAGAGACACTAGGAATGTGAACAGGGTTGAATCGCGTGGGAATTTATTTTCTCATCTCAAGCTGTCCTAGGATTTGTTGGAATAAATGGCATTTTTCCTTTCTATTCCATCTTCTCTTTCCCCCAGAAAGTGTCGTTGGTAGAAAGCAAGGCTAACCAACCTTTAATACTTTAGAGCGACGTACCCCGGAATCACATGAGAGAACTATGTAAGCCACAAATTTGACGGGGAATTTGATACATAATCCCTGTCATTTATGTCAGCTAGATCCATAGTTAACTACTTAAATTTAGTGGATCAACCTCGCGTACAAGATCAGTAAATTCTGATATGGCACTGTTTCAACTTTATCATATAAAATGATCTTGCGGCGCCCGTGAAAACCAGTCAATAAAAGCAGAAGAATATGTCAGGAAAGTATAATTTGTCCATTTAAATGCGTAAGAGGGGTGAATGAACTTGGAAGTATGGAAAGAGCATAGTCTTCGAATTTCATCAAATTCTGCCTCATCATGATCTTCAAGCCTGCTTCTGGGTATACCCCGGTGATTTTGACAAAGAAAAAGGTCCAAGGAAACTATTTAAGAAATAGCTTTTTTGCCCCAGTGAACCGGTAAGACGATATAAACCATTATCCATGCAAGGTGGCAAGTACTAGTACAACTTGAAGTCACTTCCTTCTCACTTTTCCTATACATACCAAGTAAATAGTCAAGCTCAGTGAAGCCGTGGCTCAAGGAGAGAAGAAAATTTGCCAAGAGTTTAAAGGTCGTGTCCAATTCAAAGTGCATGATTTCTTTAAAGAACAGCCCGTCAAGGATGCCGATGTCTACCTACTGCGGCACACTCTACATGACTGGTCAAACAAGTATGCCATAAAGATTCTGAAGGGTTTGATCCCCGCATTGAAGTATGGATCGAAGATTGTCATAAACGACAGAATAATTCCAGATTTCGGCGAGACACATTATCTTCTAGAACGTGAATCTCGGTACGTTTTGAAATTACTTTGTTTATCTTTTCTTCTTATCATGCCCACTGGCAGTTCAAGTTATTAACAGAGTCATAGGGACTTCGACTTTTATATTTTCGCCCTCACGAATGCACAGGAGCGGACACTTTTGGACTGGGAGAACCTTCTCCGGGATACCGATCCTCGGTTGAAGATGACACGCGTGGCTAGGCCAAAAAAGTCTTTGTTGATTTGTCTTTGGAGAATTCTCATGATTGTTAGAAGATGGGGAAGCAGTGCTGGTGTTATGGAAATGTAGTGGAAAGAATAGATTCGAGGCCAAGGCCATACACTTGTTTTATCATGAACAGGCAACCAGTAATCTTAGAGCCAGATTGCTGATAAATCGAGCTATTTTCTAAGTGCAGATCCAAGATCATGTCTTCGTATGTTATTGTATGAACGTCCAATGAGCTACAATATGATTCGGATTGAGGCGATCCGAAATGGCGTGGACGATTCGGGGTCCGCGGGCGCATCAATCTATTGCAGGCAACATCGCATTAATTGAGACTACAAATGATATAAAAGGGATTAGAGAAGACTAAAATGCTTCTTGAAATTAAACACAGGATTACTCTCCAACACCCTTCCTCTAATCAAGGCACTGAATCACTCTCCTAATTATTTGTTTGTTGTTCGCAAGGACATTGCAGAGAGAGCCCCACAGTGGAACTCCGGGGTCGCCAGGGGCAGTTTTTGGCTTTTTTTCTCTCGAGAATTTAAATTTCTGGTTCTTCGCGTCTCTCAACTCCCCTTCCCATCCAACCACCCTCACAATGCCCTCTAAGTCCTCCTCCAACAAGAAGGCCTCCGGCTGCGGTTGCTGCTGCTTCTCCATCCGGAACCTGAGCTTCCTCGCCATCTTCCTAGCCCTTTTCACCGCCGTCTACAGCTTCCTCGACGCGCGCCTGGAGCAGTTCTACATCTTCGACGCTGAGCATCTGCACGAACTTTCTCAGCGCGCGATCAAGACCCATGGCGAAGATACCCGCTCCATCGTCAATTACATTGTCTCCGAGCTGGAGGAGAAGGTTGGACCCAACTACCTGAGCACTGAGGAGGAGTGGGTGTTCAACAACGCTGGTGGTGCTATGGGCGCTATGTACATTATCCATGCCAGTATGTGAATTCTATACGGGCGCGGTTTCATTGGTCTAATGCGACCGTGCCGAAGCAATTATTTCTTCCATTGTCGCAATTGGCTAACTTTATCTCTTCACTAGGTATCACCGAGTACCTGATCATCTTCGGAACTGCCATCGGAACCGAGGGCCACACCGGTCGACACACTGCCGATGACTACTTCAACATCCTCTCCGGTACCCAATTGGCCTACGTCCCTGGCTCCTTCGAGCCGGAGGTCTACCCCGCCGGTAGCGTCCACCACCTGCAGCGCGGCCAGGTCAAGCAGTACAAGATGGACTCTTCCTGCTTCGCGCTCGAGTACGCTCGCGGCTGGATCCCTCCCATGCTCTTCTTCGGATACGCCGATACCTTCTCCAGCACTCTGGACTTCCCCACCCTGTGGGCTACAACTCGCATCACTGGTCGTGAGATGATTTCCAACTTGCTGCGCTTCAAGCTGTAAGGGGTACATACATAATGATAACCTTGGTGGTGGTGGACTTTTTCGTTTCTATAATGTCGTGAGACAGCTTGTACTTTACAGATATGTATTTCTGGATAGACGGAGTCTGATGGGTTGTACAATTAACCTGTACAGGTTATTGGCATAATTGTTTAGATTGGGTTTTCAGAAACTTGAACCATGTTAATGTGTTAGGATTAAAGAATAGTTGAATATGAACAAACATCATGCTCATGTACTACTACCCTTTTTCTTGGCTTGAAAGAAAGCTTCCATCATTCTTGTTGGCTCCGTCTTCTCTCCCTTCGCTGCTAGAAAGGCCTCCCCGAATGCACCGATGCCTGCGCGAATAGCCTCATCCATAGATACGTTCTCCCAAGTTCGCATGAGAGTCTTCTGCCTCCTCACAGCTAATGGTCCATTCTTTTCAAGCTGACGCAGCCAGACTTCCACACCTTCATCGAGGTTATCAGGCTCCGTGACCTTCTCAACAAGGCCCCATCGTAATGCTTCGTGGGCATCAATATTCTCTCCCAGCATAAGAAGCTGCCTCGTATGACCCCACCCAATCAAACCAGGTAACAAAGCCGCCTCAACAACACTAGGAATCCCTATCTTAACCTGTCATCGTGACAATTAGCCATGGCCATATGAGGATCTGGAGAAGAGAAGCATCTATACATACCTCCGGCATCCCAAAAACAGCATTCGATCCTGCAATTCTAAAGTCACACGACGCAGCTAATTCCAACCCCGCCCCAAGTGCATAGCCATTTACCCGCGCAATAACAGGCACAGGACATTGTCTCACACTATCACAAGCTTCATGTACCTTAGAAATGAACGTTCGGGCAGAAGAAGGGGAGCTCAACGCTGCCATCTCAGCGATGTCAGCACCACCAACAAAAGCCTTACTCCCTGCACCTGTAAGAACTATGCCGAGAAGATCGGCATTTTGAAACGCGGAATCTTCTATTGCTTTGGGCAATTTCTCAAGGAGGGCCGTGTTGAGGGCATTTAGTTTATTTTGCCGAGAGATGGTGAGATGGGCTATTGTGCCAGTTCTTCGGCGGGTGATGTTTGTGATAATGGTGGCTGGGCTGGTAGCCATAGTTGCTACTCAGAATTTTTCGAATTTGGAGATATTTCAAAGAGTTTGCAGAGGATGAACCTTAACATAGTCTAAAAGCTTGTATAAGACCGAGAATCACCGACTTATGGAACTAGAACGCGGGGAAGACCCCGCATGATCGTCCAGAGGTCGGCATTGTTCTTCCTCGGTTGTGTATAGCTTTTTGAGTGGTAGGTTAAAATACACCAGATTTGGACCAGGGTTCGGCATATCTTAATGTAGACTATTTGGTTAAAATAGGGTTCTGGTTCTAGGATCTAAGGGTGCTAAAGAAAATCGTCAAATGAGTTGATAGAGTCGAGACTATGCTACAGATCAAAGCCATCTCATCCCATTTAGCAGGTTTTGTTGACTTGATGCTTCTGAAGAAGTCTAGTAGGGCATAGTGGAATAAATGAGGTACTAGTAATTGAACATTTCACGTTAGGATTGAGAATATAGATATATCAATGGTGAGGATTGATGCAGATCATCTGGCTACTAGGAAGGACTTGAGGAAATAAAGTATCTATGCCATTGCCGTAAGGACTGTGTCATTACTCCGACGGTTATGTCATTGCCCTGAATACGATACCATTACTCTCAATACGTTCAACATATGTCATTGCTGCCAACACGCTGCCAACACGCTGCTAAAACGGTGTCATTGCTGTTAAACGATGTCGCTGCTCTCAAAACGGTGTCATTACTCTGAAAACGATTACATTGCCCAACAACAAAAGAGACACAGGAAAGTCCCACCTGTCACTTTGAAATGGCTATATCGTAAATCTCATGAAGAAGTGCGACTAGGAGATAGATTATGGAACATTTGAAATCAAATTAATAATCAATCTAGCAAACATGTAGTATAGAAGTAGAAATTAATGCTCCGGTGTATAGATTTTCATAAGGTCACGAGTCCTCCAGGGCTGCCAGTGGGGACTCGGATTGATAGAAAAGAGTAACATATTACTGTAAAGCTCACATGCATTTAAACATCATGATGCAGTCAACTACCTGCTATTCTAGCCTGACTTGAGGTCGTGAGCAGGTGAGCTTCCAAGTACCCTTACGGAAGGGGAGTTTTGATGCTCCGAGTTCAATGTACTATACCAGGGAATAATTAGGTCAATGCTCGGTATCTTGAGAGGCTTATCATTTTAGGAAGATATGAAGGTCCAGTATTTTGAATCAGCTGAGATGCATTAATTAGAATTAAAGAGATAAAACAACTGGAAAACGGTGCGGGGTATCCGAATTGCCCATGGACTCAAATGCAAAAAGCCACAACATAAAATCAACCTAAAATTCCTCAACTGTTGTCCCCAGATTACGCTCCCGAGCCAACTTCACCAAATCACCTCCCGTGACAAGATCCATTAAACCCAGCCCAACGCTCTTGTAAATGACATTGCCCTTCTCCGCCCACTCGCGCAGACCCTTGTCTTCGGTTTCACCTTCATCATTGAGCGTGGCATGACGCACCATCAGTAGTTCACCCAGTTCAACCAATTGCTTTGGCTTGATACCAGCTTGAACAATCTCACCAGCCTCCTTGATAGCTGCGTCTAGGCTATCCACGACAACTACTCCACTCCGTTGAGTGTGCTTGTGGAAATGTCTGTGAGGAGGCGTTACATTTACTTCATCGCGGAGAATGTCGGGGTGGATCTCAGTCATATGGGACTTGTAAGAACCAACGGCCATGATGAGACGTCCTTTCTGACGTCCTTCACGAGAGGTAAGGAACTCCGCCGGGAATAATGGATTCACGGATGGGGTGCAGCAGAAAATCGCGTCCGCTTTTCGAACATGCTCTTTCAGAATGCGGTTGTATTCTCCAAAGTCACTGCTCATTGCGGAGAATTTCGCATCTCCGCGCCAAGAAGCGTTCTCAGGTGAGTAGATATCTTGAAGCAGCTTTGCAGCGCGGTCAAAGGACCGATTGACAATGTAAACTCTCCGAATATCATCCCCACGAAGCGTCAACGCCAAGCGAATATGCCAATAAGCCTGATTTCCAGCTCCGAATACGAGCAGAGTGCGGACCTTCTTGCGCTTGTTAAAAATCATGAGCGAAGCCAGCGCTGTCCGGAACGCCGTAAGCTCATGCGCATTAATCAAGGCGAATGGCAGGCTTTCCCCATCGAGAAGGGTTACACTGCCCCGCGGAGACGAATCACGAGTCCCCGCCCCGGGCCAAGCGCCAAGAGTCTTGGAGACATTTGCATTTGTGATAACGGGTTGTTGGTTCACGCAACCAGAGAGAAGTGTTGAGCTATCGGTACTACTACCCCCACTTGCAGGCGTGGCCATGGGGCTGATGGAGCCTCCATCTTCTTGGGAAGAACCCACTGAGAGCTCGCTCATGTCCGAAGAAAGAGAAGCGACCGAGTTCCGGGCAGAACCTCGTCTCCGAGATCCAGAGCCAGAGTCGCTTTCGTTGCCGTCGAAGCCAGGCTTTTCGACCTGGCACCCCGCTGCCCCGCCATCTTGTAGAGAAATCATCTTAATTCCGATTGTTTTTCCATTGGTGGCGGGCATGAACAAGGTTGTGCAACCATTCTGACGCGTGATAGCCGTTCGCTGCGGCTGATATGTAGCTGAGCAACCCTTATCTTGAGCCCCGGTCGAGTATTCCCGCAGCGCTGAAGCGAGGTTTCGCTGAAGGTCTTGAATTTCGTCTCGGGAGAGGGATTGGAGTAATTCGCGGAGGTTTGATCGAGTAAGAACTGTGAGTGGCATATGGGCGGTTTCGATTCAATTTCAGCGAGTGTAGATATTTGGTGAGAGGAGAGAGTGTAGTGAAGTGTAAGAGTCATAAATTTTTGGGATTGAAACTGTTATCCTGTTATCTCCGTCAACAAAGCCGCCACTTTGCCCGCGTAGGCCGCCAAGATAAGTGAAACATACAACGGCGGGTCTAATCCGCCAAGTCTAGATTTATTCTTTGCTTTTTGGCGCAGGGGTGTGTGCCTAGTCACGCTAAGAATAAGTCGGGCGCAAGGCGTGGGTATGTCTCCGATTCTAACAGTTCCGGTTCGTTGAGGCCGAATCGAATTTCCCGAAGATGACGACAGCCGCGTCGTTTAGAGGCGGGGAGCGGGGGGTGATCAGCGCCGATGGTGCAATAGAAATGAATCTCCACCCACAAGGCACAAATTGTCAGTTGTCGAATGACTTGAAAGGGTCTGTGCAAGTTGGAGAGGGTGAAAATATTGTAATCTCTACATGACAGATAAACAAACGGGTTGCTCTTCTTTGCAAGACGCATCCAGCGATGCACACTAAAGCGGCCATGCGATGCCGATCTGCCGATCGTGACAGCCTAAGGCAGCCATCCCTTACATAGATCCGGATCAACCTTCAAGCTTCCGGAATGTTGCTGGATGCATTCTGTCAACATTCTAGAAGACTCCTGCATATCTATACACGTACATCATGGTCATCCTAATCTTGGAAACATCCTTGGGACTTGAACATTTGAAAATCCATCAATCATCAACGCATGAAACCAGGAAGCTTACAGAGTCATTATTATTGCATACTTACAATGTCCGCCCTCTATATTTACTATATTTTCTTTTTCATATTCTCAATCTCCATCAATGTTCCCTCTCGTCGACATGTTAGTCTGGCGTCCAAATATGCAATTTAATTGGATATGCGGATGCAAGTCTCGTCACATGAACCCACTCGCTCGAGCCTGACGCAGTAACGCTAATGCAAGCCATGGATACTGTTCACCAGCAGTAACACCAATCCGATCACAGCATGAAAGGTCTAGACTAAGTGTCGAAGTAGTATCACACAGGATTCTGTTGGGTCTATAGGTCTCACATATTAATGCTGATTCAATTGCCAAGACCCGGACCCCGCTATGTCTTTGGACTAGTGTTACCTCCTATACGCTGTCCAGCGTCTGCTCCCCAAAGCAATAAGCAGTTGAACTCCTGCAAAGAGGTAAAAGAAGTGTGCATATTCGGGGTTTAATAGCAGTCTTCGGAGATGTCTACAGGACTGACGGCAAGAATGCCGCCTCAAACTATTGTTCAACAGCCGGTACTCATGCCGTTACACGGCATATAAGCCGTATGGTTTGGTATAAAGAGATGAAGCTTCAAAACTCAATTCAAATTCTTTTTTATTATTCACAACCACCATAAATCATTGAAACCTGGATCGAATAGCTCATTCTTCAAGTTTTCGAAAAAACAAAAATGTCCATCGCTACAGCAAGTGCTTCGACCGTTGATCTTCACGGAAGGATTTACAAGATCCCAACTCAACCAACAGTGGTAGTCTGCATCGACGGCTTCGACCCAGAGTATCTCCAAGCAGGCATTGCAAATGGCGTTCTACCAACCTTGACATCTTTCCTAAAACACGGGTTCCACACCACAGCAAACTGTGCCATGCCATCCTTGACCAATCCCAACAATCTATCAATCATAACAGGTGCACCCACTGCTACCCACGGAGTCGCTGGTAACTACTACCTCGACGAAGAAACGGGGAAGGAACATATGATCCTCGATGACTCCATGGTCCGCGGAACAACCATCTTAGCTAAGCTAGCAGATGCTGGAGTTAGAGTAACAGCCATCACGGCCAAGGATAAATTGAGAAAGATAATCAACCATGGTCTTTGTCCCAAAAAGCGGTCAATATGCTTCTCTGCGCAATGTGCGGATGAGTGCACGGAGAGAGAGCACGGTATCAAGGATGTTTCATCATGGCTAGGGAAGTCAGTTCCCGCACAATATTCCGGCGAATTATCTCTCTTTGTCCTTGATGCAGGACTGAAGCTTCTGCAGGAGAAACGGGCTGACGTGTTATATCTTACGTTATCCGATTACATTCAGCATAAATATGCCCCAAATTCCGCTCAAGCAAATGAATTCATGCATGCCATTGATTGTCGTCTGCGCGATTTCGTCAAGCTTGGAGCCAATGTGGCTGTAACGGGTGATCATGGAATGAACGACAAGTCCGACAAGGACGGAAATCCGAATGTCCTATTCCTCGAAGACTTTTTGATTTCAAGGTGGCCAAATAGCGGTGCTAGGGTTATTTGCCCAATTGCAGATCCATTCGTTAAGCACCATGGGGCTCTGGGTGGATTTGTACGCGTGCACTTGAAAGAGAAGTCTGCTGTCGATGACATGATCGCAGATTGTCGAGATCTGCCTGGGGTGGAAGTTGCACTCAGTGGCAAGGAAGCTTGCGGCTTATTTCAGATGCCGTTGGATCGGGAGGGAGACATTGTTGTGATAGCTAAGACGGACTTTGTCATTGGAAGTAGACGCGATGAACATGATCTTTCTCAGCTGGGCGGTCACAGATTGCGTTCTCATGGAGGATTATCTGAACAGGAGATTCCATTACTGAAGTCGACTCCCATCTGCGATGGAGACGGTCTCCAGGGCAAGAGATGGAGGAACTTTGATATCTTTGACCTTGTATTGAACCACTAGTTTAATTCAATGAAAGGGCGTTTGGGTCTATACTGTCGCAGCCGGCATGCGTAGAATCATGTGTAAAAATATCAGGTCCCTCGAATGTGAAATCGAACCCAAAAACCCCACTCCATCCCATGTCTAAATGGTCGGTTTGATCGGGCTGAGATAAGCCACCCAAGGCTGCATCAAGGGTATCTGCCATCCCACATAATGGATACGTGACCATGTTTGAAAAGGAGGGAGACCGAAAAGTATCTACCAAATTCCGCAAATGGTACGTCGCATTATGGCCATCTTTCTGACAGATTATTGATCTTCCTTGGCCCACGGCTTTCACGAGGCAGACGGACGCAAATGTGGTCACAGCTCCGAAATAGTAGGGTAGATTTTGTAAACAGGTATGACTTTCATTTCCAACAGCACATATTATAGATAGAGCATTTTCCAATGCATGCTGCTCCAGTAGATCAATATTAAAAAAAGAGTATCCTGGTGGCTCCAAATTCCGAGATGAACGGCCACGGAAAGCATGTGAAAATAAGTAAAGCTTTGCAGAATGATAATAGTGGTCGAACAAGGAGATTGAGACACTGTTCGGGTTGTTCTCAATCTTTAACAGATCCGACCATTCATGATGCCACTTCTCATAAGCTTTGGCGAACTGTGGTATCTCAGCAAGCCTCTCGTTGGAAGGGCAATTATCCACATCTGCGCCGAACAAACCAAACACACGGGAACTTATCGACCAAAGCTCGACCTGGCTAATCAATTGTAGATCGGAATTAGTCGCAAGTTCCGATTTTAAAAAGTCTCCGGGGGATTTGAGTTCTTGAAAATCTTGAGTTAATGGTGGCTTGCCCCGGCTGAGAGAGCACTGATGATCACACAGGTAAACGAGGAGATAAAGTCGTGTCCGATCGTAGCATTCCCGTTTCACATGAGGCATTTTGCTTAAGCATCTGTGAAGGTCTAAGTCGGTAGCTATGCGAACGGCTTTGAAATTGTTAGAATTGGGATACTAATCCGAATACAACCAGGCAAGAACCTTACCTAGTCCATTCAGTGAATTTGAGACATCACGGAGCCACAAAGTTCCTAAACAGAGAGCCCGGACATCATCGAATGTGTAAGAATCCGAAAATAATTTTCCAGATACCTCTAATTTGAAGGCTTTCAAGAAGTTCTCATAATATTTGGAGCCCGATGAAAATGCAGCAACGGTACAAATGGCCGAGGCAAGGATAGTCGATCTTCGACGGATGGAACCAAATGTATCCGTATCAGTGAGAATCTGGTGAATATGATCGTCCATGTTCTCCCTGTAATAGTTGAAGAGATCATCGAGTGTCTCGGTTGGAATCAACTGCACAGAAACTAAATCGGCCCCTGGCACTGAATTGGGAATAGAACTCTTGGAAGTGAAGATAGTCATGGAGGAAGCAGGAAAGCCGCCTAAGCTGCATGATAAGTTGAGATCCACAGGATTTGAAGATTGGATCGTGGCTGTTTCAAGTCGGCTATTTTCCGGTTCTTCTGCAATGGGAAAAGACTGTGATGGATGAGAGGACGCTTGAAAACCGGGGGTATTCGGTGTTTGTGTATGAAATAATCGTTCCAGCGTATTCATTCTCCTTTCCATCGTTTCTTTCCATCTGTAACCATGTGTTAGTATCTCGAATTAGAATCCATCTTCCATCAATGATTACATACGAAGCATCACCTTCTAGTAGTGTCTGCAAACTTTTGTTGAGCGTACAGTCAGTCCCGCGTGATCTGCAACGATTGCAAGGCGGCTTGTTATTGGTCATATGACATTTGATCTATAGAATTAGCCCCATTTTTGCTCTTTGCCTGTCTTACTACCTATGGGCTTGGAGGTTATGTACCTTAAGTTTCCGACAAGAAACGCATGCTGTGATTTTGCGGGAGATATCCGGAATCTTCCTGTCCCCGAAGGACTCACGCAGTGACATTGCTGCTGATTTGGAAGTCATTGGATATGATTTTCCAGTACAGGCAATAAATTAAAATGATCTTACTCGGGGAACAGTAGGAAGTAAGTCACACTCGAAGAGCAGATGCTTGTTGGTGGCAAAGACCCACCACGGCAAAAATGCCGTCAAGGATGAAAGTGGAGATAGAGTCCGGACAACCAATAGGAAGCTGTACATTCAATTGACAAGGAGTTTGGATGACAGACAAGTAAACTTGGAAGCTCTGCGAATAAAAAAAACAAGAGTAGAATCCGTCCTGAATTGAGCGATACTCTCTGTTAAGAATCTAAGTACATGATGATGGGTCAATATATTCTAATTCCCATCCCTCTTTCACCTTCATGTCCCCGTACCATTCTCTGACATACTTCAATCCGGAATGAGGCCCGAAGTGGACACAAGCAACACATTAGTCCCTCTTTTCGACGGCTGCGATATAGCCATCGTGCAGCAGGGCAAACTCGACATGCTCAAGTAGAGCCTTGCAACAGCTAGGATTTGAATGATATATGATGATAATGAAGGGGTATCGAATGTCTTATAGAAATTATCACGCGTCCCAGGTGGAGGCTAGGAGCCGCGCCCAAAGCCTATGTGGCTCCATAGTTTCTTTGCTTGATGTCATCCCTTTGAATTATTCTTCCTCAACAGTTTCCACTCTCGAAGAACGTAAACTTCAGACCCATTATGACCCAACAAACTGTTGAATAATCGAATATTGCTTTCCTCGGTTTGTTTGCGGGATCTGACCAATCAGTATCGTCGCCCGCGCGTTGTTGAATAATCCGATATTCGCAGCCAAAACAACACTCCTGTTTGCAGGACTTGGTCGAATTTTGACATGTATTAACGGCGCTCGATTTATTTTTGATTTATCAGCTTCAGATGAGACGGCACGTATTTGATCAGGTGCTTAAAGGATAGATGCCGTCTCGCGCCTATGGAGGACCGAGCCGTCTGCCGCGATCCAGGTATGTAATAGTACATGCCAGCACCCTTCCAAAGTTAGTAGTACTAATAGTAGTGCTAGTGCTGGCTTCAAGTTTGGAACACGGAATTATAGACTTGCGTTATCGATTATTGGACGATAACTTCAGTCCCTTTCAGCCTATTTACTCAGATATTTTGTGAAGGGTGATACATTTCGCAAGATGCCTAAACTTCAAGGAGTTGTTGGGCTATCAGAAGCCGAAGAGAAACTGAGCGATACATCGCCACGTTCAGAATCTGAACCAGATATCGAGAGAGCTTCACCAGAGAAAACCCAATCCTCTGGGGACAGTTCCACATGGAACTGGGACGAAGATCCTAGCAACCCGTATAACTGGCCGACAAAATGGAAAGTTCAACAGATCCTAATGATCGCATCGGCGGCCTTCACGACGTTAGTGCAACTCTGACAAAAGATTTCGTGGGAACTTTCCCTTTGGCACATTGCTGACAATATCTGCAGGTCAGTTGGTGTATCGATATTAACGCCAGCACATACACAGTTCATGGAAGAATTTCAAGTTAGTGGCACAGTTGCCATTGTACCATTGTCTCTTTATGTTTTCGCTTTAGGACTGGGTCCTATCGTGGGAGGTCCTCTCTCCGAGACGATTGGGCGATACCCAGTTTACATCGGCACAACACTACTTGGTAGTCTTTTTACGCTCGGTGTGGGATTTAGCAAAACTTTCGCAGGAATATGTGTCTTGCGATTTCTCTCTGGGTTTTGCTTCGCGCCGTCGCTAGCCATCGCTGCTGGTACGATAAACGAAACCTTCAAGCCAATTAAACGCGCGATTCCGTCGACGATATTCATTTTGACACCATTCTTGGGTCCTGGTTTAGGGCAAGTCTCTCCTACAGTCTGAAGAAAAATGGGAATGGGTCGCTGACTATGAAATAGACCGGTTATCGGCAGCTTTGTTGTAGCTCGCAAGGGCTGGGAATGGACGCAGTGGACTTTGTTATTCTTCGCTATATTTACAATGATCACCATCCTTACGGCTCGGGAGACATTTCACCCAGTACTAAAGCACCGGCGTGCTAAGGAACTTGGCTTACCACTCCCTCCATCGCAACCATTGTCATCCAAGGCTCGACTCTTTGCAACGGTCGCTCTTCTTCGTCCGATTCAAATGCTCCTTACTGAGCCTATCGTGGCTTTTGTGTGTTTATATGTGGCATGTGAATTCGCTACACTTTTCTGCTTCTTTGCTGCCGTCCCCTTGGTTTTCGGAGGAGTCTACGGGTTTGGTCTAGAAGATTCGGGACTTGTGTTTCTGGCCATAGTGGTCGGATGCTTACTTGGGGTTGTCACGGTACTACTATGTGACGTGTTTCTTTACCGTCGAAAAGCAGCGAAGCTTCAGGGACGACAGGTCCCCGCTGAATTTCGCCTTTATCCTGCTTTGATTGGGAGTATTGGGCTTCCGATCGGTCTATTCTGGTTTGGTTGGACCGCCAAGGCAAGCATTAACTGGGCGAGCCCGACTGTCGCAATCATGCTTTTTGCGTGGGGAAATCTGTGTGTCTTCGTGAGCACGACACAATATATCGTTGATACCTACCATGGGTTGACCGTAGCTAGCGCCATGAGCGCAAATAGCCTGGCGAGATATGGACTTGCGGCTGCATTCCCGCTGTTCACCGTTCAAAGTAAGCAAATTTACGACGCCATCCATAGATACTTCAAGCTAACTGCCTCATTAGTGTTTACAAAGCTCGATATTGGATGGGCGTCGAGCCTACTTGGCTTTATCGCTATCGCACTTTTACCAGTACCATGGGTATTCTTCCTGACCGGGAAGAGATTGAGAGCCTTGAGTAAATTCGAAGTGGCTGAGGATTCGGGGTGATAAATACAAATATTTTAGATGGTTCTAGTAGAAGACTTTAATATTGGAGTTGTAATTGGTCGAAATTAATAGTTGCGCAATGTATACAAGAATAAAGTCAATCTCCTTTTCAGACATCGCACGAATTCTTTACGAAAGGGCAAAAGAAATCATAACCTAGTCAATCTAGATATCAGTTACATATCAGTTACACGAAATCGATTGGCATAGTAGATCAGGGGTTTATTGGAAGATCCTGCAGAAACCTAGAAAGTTCCATGGTTCCGAAGGCGGATGGTTGTTGAGTCGTCGGGGATAATTCCTTCCACAAATCCCGAAGCTCAACAAATTTACCGTTGCCCACCAGGAAGATCCCTTGAACTATCTTTCCCCTACAGATGTTGAGAATGGCTGTTGGTGAGTCAGAGTAGCATTGATGGATAATCAATAAATGTAAATTGTTATAAAATGAAGTCTATGGTCCCTCTAATGTCGAGTTTATAGCATTCAAAATTGCAATTCACCATGGCATCCCCTCGCATTACATTTTACTACGACATCGGAAGCCCCTTTAGTTATATTGGGCTGTACGTCTTGAAGGTAAGAAACAACATCTATCTTAGTGAAGTGACAGCATAATTGACATAGTTGGCAGAACTCTCCCGTTTTTTCCAAGTGCCAAATCGACTACGTTCCAGTATTGCTCCGCGATCTGTTCCAAAAATGCCAGAATACTCCACCACTAGCAGTAAAAAGTGAGTAATATGTTGACCCTTTATGGCTCCAAACCGTATTCATCATTAGAAATATTTCTAATAATATCATGAACATGAAGACAAGCTGCAGTGGATTCAGCGGGAGCGGCTGTACTGGAGCCACCGATTTGGCGTTCCGGTGACTGAGGCCGTGCCTGAAGGATTCCCAACCTCCACTATCGATATCCAGACCGCACTATGCTTGATTGACGAAGAAGTACCAGAGAAACTTTTGGAAATCTCCGCAAGGTTCTATCATGTCTTCTGGGCCGAAGGAGACACAAAGATAACTACTCCGGAGCGATTCTTGGCCGTCATTGAGAACGAGACAACTCCAGAAATTAGAAATCACATCAAGGATAAGGTACGGAAATCTCTCTACTGAATAATTGAGGTCTCTAACATCGATATCTAGTTAGCTAGTCCAGACGCAAAAGAGTTGCCGCTCAACAACACCCAGCGAGCTTTCGATTCCGGAGCCTTTGGGCTGCCATGGTTTGAATGTGCCAATGCCGAAGGCAGCAAGGAAGGTTTCTGGGGTATAGACCACTTGGGTCGCATGGCAGACTTCTTACAGCTGGATACCAGTCTTGACCGGGGTTTTCGGGTTTTAATGTAACGGGCAAAATGGGCACTTGGGAATGGAAATCAGCGTGATAATAACAATCTGTTCTCTTCGCTCCGTGATTTAAGTGAGTAACTGCGATAAAAAGAGTAAATATAGAATTCTAGCCTTGCTTTTCATGCCCTATTGAGGCTGGCAGACCAGATCCAACGCGGTATGAAATATGTGGGCTGAGGGGATCGCGTCCAACAACAAAGAACCCAGTACTCCAAGTTACACATGTGGTCATATAGAAACCTTCAGAAGGTGTACCGTCTAGATAGTATGTGGATGTGGCGAAATTCCACTCAATCCAAAGACTCAAGGCTGGACTACCGGAGATATCATTCTTGTACAATATCGTTGACTATTTTGCGTCTGTTCATTGAACGACAGTAATATAGCTCACCGGTGAAGTTTGTGTATCCACTTGTTCCATCTTTGCTAAACTCATGAAGGCTCAGGGCTTACGCACGATTGCATTTGGCGGTCGACCTATCGAAGGGCTGATGCAAGGTATTGAAGGTATCAAGGGTGGCTGCTGCACCACTAGCTGGCTTGGATGCTACAATCGAGGCTGTGGAAAGCCTTATCAAGAACGGCTCAATTGCCTTATTAAGAGCAGGTCGAAGCTTGCGATGAATTCGTTCCTGTGGTGACGACTCAGGTGCGCCTCTCACAATATCATCTGCTTCGGTCAACCTCTTCAACGCGTTTAGGCATACCAACGACCGCATTCCGCGTCAATTCATTCACGAAGCAGCTGAATTTCGTCTTTTCTACACGTACGATAACCTAGTCGACCAAGAGACTGCCTTGGCGTCCGCTGCAGACGTTATGTTCAATGGTGGTGCCCGTGTTCAGGGCTCAATGAATGCGACTGGAAGTCTCTTTTCCAAAGGACCCAGTGCTCGTGACCGACTTTCTGCGGCTGTTGCCTCTCACTTTTCGTGTCACTGAATTTACAAATTGTTTGGTTTAATATCTTGCGTCCTTCACGAATTTCACCCATTTTCCTTTTTCAAGTAAACTTACTAGGATAATCTCAAGTATTCAGGAACGATACTTCGCTACTTGTCTTTTCAGTAGTGTCTTCACTAGCCTTTCTATCTATGTAGTGTTATTTAGCGCAGTGAATTCAATACACGATCGCCTATGCAAAGTTTCGCTACTAATTTTGCTCGTGGCGAGTACGGACGAGTGTAAAGCTGGATCTGACTGCTGATTGGGTTAAAAGCTTATCCCCGTGGGGTAAAAAGATCCACCGCCGCCGCCGCACGCCTACCCCCGCGATGATGAACGTGACCAGCTTTGCCTCTTGATTTCACTGACTCCGGTATTGTCGCCGGATACCGGAAACACCCAATACAAACCTGACAGGATGAGTTTAGAGAAATTCCCCAGCAAGCGTAAATATGTGACTACTGCCTGCGACACATGTCGGGAGAGCAAAGTGAAGGTTAGAAACCGGTTTCCACAACTGCAAGGGAACACCCCCACCAGGATACAAATGATACTGACAATCACAGTGCGATGGAGTTCGTCCATCTTGTTATAATTGTCAACACAAAATGCGACCGTGTAATTATTCGACAGGAACTGACAAGCGAAAGTAAGACGAGAAAGCGCTATATTCAAGATCTTGGTCTAGATACTCCGGCTAACAGTATGATAGGATATCACTAAAGTTCGTGGTTGATTTGTTGGTGAAGCGTATAGATGAGCTCCACCAGTTTATCAATTATCATGAACTGACGCCGCCATCCATGTTCGATGCCAATGAGGCAGCCTTAATACATGCTTTAGATACCTTGGGGCTTCGTCACATAAAAATGACATTGAAGGAGATGGAGACGAGAGATAGGCCCGTCTCTCATGAACTCCGAGCACAGCACCATAAAGTCTTCGATTCAAACGAAGCGACCGTTGTTGAAAACCTAGATATGGACCATCTTGATTCAACAATAGACTTACTCTCAGAGCCATTCATGGTCTTGGAACATCAAGACTCCTATCAACTCCATTCTGATCCATCTTCGTCGTTTCCTGGGACTTCTAACGAACCGTTTCTGCGCACTGCGGACAATCCAGTTGATGATTCCCAGGCGAGTCTGACCTCGACGGGCGAATCTGATCTTCAAGCCCTATCAAATACAAGTATACCTTGCGACTCGAGCACGACCCATGATAATCGCCAAATACCACAGTCAAATCCGGTCCAACCCGCCTCACTTAAAGGCACAGAAGGCAGCAGCATCCTTCAAACAAATCCTCAGGACAGCGACGACTTAGAAGATATTGTCCACAGACTATCCGATCGGATGGGGAGTCTTCAGATTGGCTCAGATGGTCGATTCAGATACTACGGACCCACATCTCACTTCAATCTGTTACAAATGCCTACACCCGATAACATGACAGTCCATCGTACTGTTCGAAAAGACGGTTGGGATTATCTGCATCGCCTGGGACTTGATCTGGAAGTTCCTCCCGGTATGGAAGAGCATCTGACGAACTTATTTTTCACCTGGCATAGTCCTTCTATCGACGTGGTCGACCGCAATATGTATGAGATGGCAAAGCAGCAGTGGAATAATCATATGGAAGACACACCCTACTACTCCGACGCATTAACAAATGCTATGTATGTTTCATTACATGAAAACTAAGACTTCTTCACATAGTGCTAACTATTCAGGTGCTGTCTCGGTGCTGCCTTCGAGGCACGATACCATCCTACATTTATCACATATCCAAAATCACTGTCCGACTTTTTCGCAGATCGGGCGAAGATTCTTCTCGAAATTGAACTCGATTCCCCTACAGTTGCAACAGTGCAGGCTATGGTTGTTCTTAGCGGACATGACATTGGATGCAGAAGAGATGCAAGGGGATGGCTTTATAGCGGTTAGATTACTACCGACCCACCATGATATGCCAGTGATGCTAATAAATAACCTCTAGGTATGGCGATGCGCCTTGCATTTGATCTCGGCTTGCATTTGGATATGTCGACGTATGTCGCAAACGGGTCTATCAGTGAGGCGGAGGCAGATTTACGAAGCATGGTCTTTTGGGGTGCCTATACGCTAGACCAGTAAGTGAAATGCTTTAACTTGTCTGGTCAAAACTAACGTGCTTTTTTTTCTATCGTGCTATAGCCATTGGGGTTTCCTTCTCGGTCGTCCAATCAGGATGAATCTAGAAGATGTTACCGTTCCAAAGCCCGGGCATGTTTCACGAGGAGTGGAGCCTCAGCGATGGAGTCCTTACGGGTTGCCTCATCCTACTGCATTCCCCGCAGGTCTGTCACTTTCCCACTCAGCGTCGCTGTTGAGTTTGAGCAGAGTCAGGTTATCGGAAATCATGACACCCCTCGGTCATGTTCTGTAAGGCACAATAAAATCAATGTAGTTTCTATGGCTGACTTGAAATCTAGCTACGGCTCATCGAAGATTTCCAGAGAAGCTCTTCAACAGTTGAATGCGGAAACCACACAGAGACTTCTTGATTGGAAAGAGAATCTGCCAGAATGCCTTAAGGTAAACGTGGCAGAGTGCAATTCACCTCCACTACCTCACATCTTGATGCTCCAGTACGAAAGGCCTCAACCTAAAAGCAGTGTCACACTAAACTAATCTCATATAGTCTTTACTACCACCAAGCCATCATCCACGCCCATCGCCCATGGATGTCCAAAAATGGAATTCAACCACAGCCTCAACAGGGAGCAGGCTATGTACACGCAAGAAAAATGTGTGTAGAGTCTGCCACTGCGATTTCGAGACTTCTCTATATCTACGACAAATACTACACTTTCCAGAGGATAAGCGTTCAAGCGGTTGCAATCACCTGTTCCGCAGCCCTGATGCTTATATTCACAAAAGCCCTTTATCGAAACTCGTCTAACGACCAAAGCACCTTGGAGAATCTCAATGTCTGCTTCCGAGCCTTAGAAGAGTTCGGGTCATCCTGGGAAAGCGCGAAGAGAGCACAAAGCTTTTTGCTCCATATGCAGGGCCTCTGGGAGAGGTCTTCACGGCACTACAGAGGAGGCAAGCGTGTGGTTTCTCAATCACAGGATGCTGCTCATTCAGACCATTCAAACTCGCCTGGATCTAAAAGATCCAGAACTTCATTTAGTTCTGCCGTGGGCATGGGCTCTATGAGCTCGCATGGTGAAGATAGTGTACAGATGGGATCTGAATCTGAACAACTTGATTGGCTTTGGGCTGTGACTATGGGCTCTTTGCCTCCAACGCGATAATCATTTACACCCGAGCAGTATTACGAAGACACATAAAGTCCGTTGAAATTTACTCCTCGAGAATACCATATACAATAATACCTACGGTTTCACAACGAAAGAGTTCATTTTTTGATTATTTAACGACCTCTCATTGTCAGGCGCCTGGGAGCTGTGGTTTGCTAAATACAGCCAGCTATATACCCATACCCTATTTCAAAGCATCTTTTGTTCAGTTTAGCTCTGTCGTTCATATTCCATGCTCGGTGAATTCTCAGGAGACATAACTGCTATATAGACATTAATCTCACTTCAACGACGTAGGAGGCTGGGTGGTTCTTATGGGATGTTGTGCTCACAAGGATTGACAGTTCAATCACAAACAGAACAAAATTCTAACATTAATTCAAAACACAATAGCAAAATCACTAGTACAACATAGGTTAAAGCTTCCAAAGCTTCCAAACAATAGATCTGGTAACCCTTGAGTTTCTCGCTTTCCAAAATATCGGCATATCGCTTACATTGAGCTTGGAAAGATTTAGCTGCAAAGTCCATCGCCGTGTAGATGGCGGTTGGATAGTAATTCAGGGTCTTTGAATTATGCCAAATTATCCGCTCAGCGATGTTTTATAGTTGAATCAAATAGTAATTAGAAATCACCATATGTTATATCTGTGGAGTAGAAATTTTGAGCCTCCTGCTTTGGTTTACTAAACGATTAAAGCAAGCGAATTTATTTCAACTGTTCAATGGTAAGGTCAAGTGTCAATTTTGTCCTGCAACTAAAATACTAAAAGGCTCAAAACGCATTTTCTCTGCAAATCATAAGCTCAATTCAATGCTTCTAGCTCAAGAATCTGTGTTGAATGAGAAATAGACCGACCACAATGGGAACAGCGACTTGGCTTGGTTTCAAGATCCACTTGCACATCGGCAACGTACTTCGAGTCTTTCGAGCAATAGGCGCAATGGAATTTATAGCCCTTCAACCTCTGGATTTGATTAAGTTACCCCACTCCGGCATCGGTCCACGCAACCGACATCAACAAATTGACTGCTTGGTATTAACAGAATATTTAATATATCAATACCTAGTGCCTTTTATTACAATAAATATTCTTCTGAAATAATAGTAGACTTGGGGTGTTTGCCAGCATCCCAAGAAGATAAGGCTCAATTTGAGTAAGAAGACTTAAAAGCTACGCCATCATCCTATGCAGCCCACGGCGACACCTACCCCGCGGCAAGATCTGCCGAATCATCGGGGGCCCACCCCGACGCTACAAGAACAGCTCAATTCCTCCGCTTCTTGGAATTTTTTAAAGCTTCATTCATAACTTCAAAGCACTGCATCTGTGCGTAATGTCAACCCAAAAGAAATCCGTCGCGTTCGTCGGATGCGGTAATTATCTCTTTTTCTCTGCCCCAAACTCCACGCCAACTAATAGCAACTAGGAAATATGGGCGGTGCCATTCTCCATGGCATTCTCGACGCAGCATTCTCCGGCGGCGCCGCAAGCTCAGAGTCATGCCCAATCTCCCGTTTCATCGCATGCACTAAATCAGTTGGCTCGGCAGACCGTCTCCAAGCCGCGCTTCGGGAGGAACACAAGCCCCACGTAAAGGTTGTCTCCGGCCAAATCGTCGAGACAATGAAGGAAGCCGATGTCGTTGTTTTGGGCTTTAAGCCATTCATGGCGGAGGATGTATTAAGCATTCAGGGCGTTAGAGAAGCATTGAAAGGAAAGCTCGTCATCAGTTTACTCGCTGGACAGTCGCCCAAAAACCTCAATCGGATTATCCAAGGTACATCGGGGTTAGCCGGTGCTGCGGCTATTGTTCAGGTTATTCCAAATATGGGTGCGCAGTTCCGGCAGTCGATGACTATTATTCGGGAGCCTGATGAGCCTTTATCGGGTGTGTTTAAGGAGATCCTGGAATGGATGTTCAACCAGGTTGGGTGGGTGAAGTATTTGCCTGAGAGTCAGATGCCAGTTGGATCTGTATTGGTTGGTGCGGCGTTGGCAGCTATGACGGTGCCGATTGAGGGTATTCTGGATGGATGTGTTGCTGAGGGAATTAAGAGGCCTGATGCTATGGAGATGACGCTATATGGTCTTCGTGGGCTATTAGCTGCGTTGGAGGCGGGGATACATCCAGCTGTGCTTCGTGAAAGCATCTCTTCGCCGCGGGGATGTACTATTCAGGCACTTTTAGCTCTCGAGAGAGCGGGAAGTAGATCGGATTATGCGGATGCAATCATTAAGGGGACTGAGCATTTGAAAAAGTAAATAATTTGAAAATAGAAATAGATCAAAAGTGAGTTTGACTCGGTGACTTTGATAGAACAAAATGGAAAATACAGCCAGTGTATATAAATGATAGAATAATCCTCCATCCATTTACGCCAATTAACCAAATAGAAAGTCCAAAATTTAACCCCACATATCGCCCTCGTCTTTGACTAAGTCATCCTCATGCAAGACTCGAAGACCATTACCCTTCTCTTCGCGCTTTCTTTGGCGTCTTGTCACTGTTCTTCCGGGTGTGAATGGGGTCACAGGAGTAAAGGGCATATACGGGGTATAAGGAGTAGGCATGCCCGTGACCGGCCCATTGCGCTTAACAGGTCGCTCCAGGAAGGTCGTCTTTGTTGCCGGCGCACTCTGTTGAGGATAGGCATCACGGAACGGCAATGATGATGACTTGGGCTGAGAGGGCGATGCGGTAGTGGGAGTAGTAGTAGTCAGAGTAAGGGGAGCTGGAGGAACTCGTGTACGAATCCTTGGAGACATGACTTGACCAAGTGGAATACCCTGCCGGGGAGCAAAAGAAGAGCCTGGGGCATTTGGGGCACTAGGAGGGGGGCCTGGGATATAGAGCCTTGGTGAGAGAGGCTGTTGATCATTTGCATACGATGAGCTTGCATGTACATCGGGCGATGCCAAAGGAGACGAGATGCCAAGCTTGCGAATAGGCATAGGCAGCCTAGGTGACTTGAGTCTTCCAGCATCTGGGTTGGAAGGTGTTGCCAATTTTGAGCTAAACAGCTTGGACAGACGGTTTGTATGTCTTGGGGATTTTGGTGGAACGGGAGGCGCTGCTGCCACAGAAACTTGTGAAGCTGCACGGTCGGTAAATGGATTGGTGTACTGGCTATCTGGGGATCCAGTCTGTGAATCCGAGTGTCTCACGGAAGAAACATTGACACCTGCAGCCTTCTGAGCATCATGTTCCATGACAGCTGCATATAGCCTCTCCATCTCGTCGTCGGCCCTTTGCCGGTCAGAGGCAATCACTGATTCATCAACGGTAACCATACTGCCGTTCATAGATGCGTGGGAAGGGCGGCTTCCTCTAGGAATACTACCCCAAGAGGTAAAGATACTCGACTTGCTTGGGCTAGGAAGATTCTGCGTGATGGGAGTAATGGGGCTTGGGTCCATAGAAACAGGTGGTTTCACAGGATTTAGCATCTCCATCTGCAGTGAGAAGTTGGATGACTGGACAGTTCGACGCAGTCGTCGTCCAACAAACAACACAAGACCTAAGAGGATAGCAACAAAGATCACGTATGAAGCGACGATGCTTCCAACTTGAATAGCAAGGAGCGATTTGTCCACAGGAGGATGGATGATCCCACTTCTGTGGATTTGGATATGTGCTTCTGTACCAGACACAGGACTAATGTGCACAAGGAGGAGGGAAATAGCAGGAAGGAGGGAAGAGAAAGAGGCTACCGGAGGAGTCATCTCCAGTTCCTGTGACAGGGAGAGGATGTAGTGGGGAAAAGAAAAAAAAGTGCCCAAATTTAAGTGCAGGTGCAGGTCACTGTTTGTCTGATCGACATACCGCGTGGAAATGTCAGCGAATCTGGACGTAGCGAAGAGCACATTGTGTTCCAGGAGGTGATGGGGCGATAGGGGAGGGGGGGTTTTGGTTATAAAACATGAACTTTCTGGTGTGACGAGGTAAAAGGCAGTTCTCGGGGCTGCAGGTGAAACTACGAAAATGCGATGAGCGAGAGCCTGTCGTTGGCCGTCAATACGCGCCGGGATGCACAGTTGTCACTCGGTGGGGACCAATCAGGATCGGTAAAGAGGTGATTGAAGGTGATCCGAAGTGGATCGGCATTCTCCACTTAAAACTGGTCTTGGCACCATACAGATGCGCTCGGACTGATCTATGAATAAGTTGAGTCTACAGTGTATTCCGTGATCCAGAATTATCTGTGTATAGCCTCAGTATTCTGAAATCTGGATGTGAGCTATATAGTTGCGGGCACGTGATAATATCCGCCCTTTACTTCCATCATTCGCTCTTTCCTTTTTTCCATCACCAACAGACTTCGCTCCTTCCACCACCCATGAACAAAGCATACCGACATCTACTTGATTCAAGACATCATGATTCTCTTAACCCTGCCATCTCATTCATCGCGAATCCCATTAGATTACTCTACTCTACCGTCCCATTCGTCGCCAATTCTATCAGTTTACTCTACAGAAATATCCCTCGCCTGATATGGGACACAACGTCTCTGCCATTGCCGGTGTCAAGTCTCCCAATTTCTACGAACAAGGCAATGCCATCAACGAGATATGGGTGGATGATGTGGAATTGATCTCACGCCTACCGTTCGGAGATTCAGACCTGGGCCAAGCCGGTTGGCCAAAGGGGAGTTGGCCCAAAATACCGTGGCATCAATTTATCATTCCATTGAAGCGTGACCTCACTCAATTCTCAAACAACACGATGCCAGAAAGCGCAACCCACACAGCCAACTCGGCAACCCCACGATGTTCGTTCGGTTTCTTTGGTGAATACGGATATTTGCATGTTACAGCCGTGCTTATGATTGCGACATTCGACTTAGTCTATTTTGTAATCTGGATTGTGAATGTTTGGAAACGGCGAAGTACCACAGATCGAGGACGAGATATCGACTTGGAGAAGGGTGAATTGGATTGAAAGGTTGCACGACGTATCATTGCACTATGCTGCGTTCGGCATTCGAAGGAACTTTGTGAATATTGTGAATCAGTGTTATGACTTTAGCGAGGTCTACTTCATCGATGATAGTTGAACAGTCTGAAGCCCGTCTACTTTATTATAATTAGTATCAAGAGAAACGAAGACAGTTTCAAGTTGCTACTCATGACAGTATGTAGGATATATCGCTTTTCAATTCTGATACAGATTTTCGAATACTGGCAGCCATCGCTGTATTTGATAGTAATTATATGATGTCTTTCGGGATGTCTGCGAAGATGTCTATCCTGTCAGACAAATTCAAGTTCCACGACTAGCCATCCTTAGAGAAGATATCGCGCCACATTTCCTTAAGACCATAAGATTTGGTCTTATCCTCTTCATACACCCGAACCACTGGCCGGTTGGGTCCAATAGACCCAAATACACTAGACGAGGAACCAACGGCAGACGCCGGCCCACGAGTCCGCTCCGTTGCACGTCGCTTTATTTCCTCAGCCAGACTAGGCGCGACATCTGCAAAGCAAGATCTCAGCTCCCGCTCAAGATTGAAATAGGATTTCTGTGCCGAACGGGGCGCTTGAAGGTTATAAGATCGTGTGATGCTGTTTATCCGCTTCACGGCAAGCTCATGATATGATCGCTCGATACTCATATACTGCGGATCTCGTAACGGAGGTAAATGAGGTAGTTCTTCAGTCCCCTTCTCGCTGACCTGAGATTCAGCAGCGACATCAGGCTCTATTTTCGAGACAATGCGGCCATCGGTTGCTATCTCCGAAACAACAGCCTCGCCGTCTATGCTTGTAGTCTCATTTCGTAGCGCAGCTTCGAGCTTATCCTTCTCTAATAAACGAGCTTCAGCAGCAGCATGAGCTCTTGCCCGCTGCATCTGCGCCTCCAAGGACCCGCCCTGGCTAGCAATAAGTCGTGCAGCTTGACGTCTCCACTCAGCCCGTATCCTCTGCCGAAAACGACTAATTTCCGTAGCGAGTTCCTGTTGTTTCTCTATCCAAGGCGGTACAATCTCCTGCTTCTGGATAATCTTATTCATAAAATACTCCGTAGTATCGATATATGCGCTGTTCGCGTTATGATCCGTCTCGGTATTGACGCCCTTCCCACGTCGGATTTTCTCGAACTGTCCTCGTGCTATGGCATCTTCTATCCGTTCATTTGCGAGAGACGAAAGACCTTGTATGGATATGGGCATATTACGCGCACCAGGATTTAATTTTTCTCGCATTTCGTTACGGATTTCTTCTCGTTCTTCTTCTGAGAGACCTGGTGTTTGGCTCATTGCGTAGTTGGATGTGCGCTCTTTCGCTTTGGCTATACGGACACCGGGGGAATGCTTCGGTTTCGGCGCGGGCTGGAGATTAACCGGGTTGGGTATTTTGAATGGTGTGCGGATGGGTTTGCTTGCGTCGTCAAGCATGCGTAAAGCCGAGTCTTGTAGGCTCTCGGTGCCTGTCCATGTAGGAGCTGCTGCGGCTTCCCGTGTGCCTTGGCCTGCAGACGACTAGTGTAGAAAGACGTGTGGGTAAACCATGTTTCAAATGTGACGTTAGGGGTACGAACATACAGGCATATCGAGAATTGAGTGTGCAGCAGCATGTTCACTTTTGAATGATGCCGCCTTGACTCGTTCTTCTAACTGTTTCTTCAGGTCCTCCGAGAAACCCGCGTGCTGTATATTGCGACGCGCCGAGCTTCCACCTTCTAATAAAGCATCCTCTGTCATTTGAGACAGCCGTCGCGCCATGGCACCTTTTTCCCCATCTTCCTTATCATTCATTTCGTTATCATCTTTACCACTCTGCGCTTGCTTCGTCAACGAGCTAGTGTATCGGCCATGGGTTTCTGGGACACAGCGCCGGCATGTGGGGGCGGTGACAACGCGGTCATGTTGAATCCCACACGAGGCTCGCAATCTCACGAAGCTCCTATTCCTCGACAACGATATCGGATTCATTCCGGTTCGGTCGGCGGTTAAACAAAATGTCAAAATGGATGGTGAACGGAGAGGCCGAAAAAGTGATTACGTTATCTACTTTATCTTCCGAGATAACCGTGCTTTCGGTAACTGTAGCGCTGGACGATTGACCTCGATCCCGCTGCCATTTATCTATCTTCAGTTCGCGTCGATGGAAGGAATACTGCACTGTACCAGTGAAGCAGATTTGAGCACCGCCCTGGTCTGGATTAGGCCAGAGCATAGCTTCCTCCCGCGATTGACCCTCTGACAGGCCAACCACCATCACAACTGTAGGCCGGTGAGGCTGATTTGTTTCTTGGGCGTGGGACCAACTCCCCAATCGGCTTGTTTAATTCGTCCACCACCTACATGCATATCAACAGCTAAATACTGATGGACAGAGCACATCAGGCCCATGTCTGTCAATTGCAGGATCACATCGTCTTTGAATCCCATAACTAATCCTGTGTGCTGGCGCCACACCATTTTAAGGATGAGAATGTTGATTTGTGGATTGAAGCCGCGCGGACTCCGATGTTTGGATGTTTAGCTGGGTTAGAAACTCGTGCTCGAAATTATGTTTATTCATGAAGAAGACGATATACTCTGATCCTCCAAGTTTACGGTTACCACGAAGGTCATATCTATCTGCAGTATCTCGCAGTTGGCGCAGTTGGCGCAGGGAGTTTTCTAGGTGAGATTTTTGGGATTGTATGATTTCATCCAACTCCTCTGTTCCGGGCTGATAGGTATACCTGTTGGTCGATGTACGCAGATTCTCGAGATATTTGTCGTCACCAAATCCATATTGAATGGCAACACAGCGGGAGGTAGTCATTTTTGGAAGCGTGAAGCGTGTAATGCACGTTTTTATGAAAGACCTAGGTATTTAATGGCTGTTCAAATTGAATGTTTGGTGACGGGGTGACGGAACTTAGTTCCACGCGCACGGAAAGAAGATGAGTACCAAGTACCATAGAGATACTCACCGAGCATAATTAATTCACAAGAAATCAAATTCATTCATTAAAAAAAAACTTAGCTAAAAAGAGCTCCCAACGTCCTCCACGCTGTCAGTAGTAGCAACAATCATCTCACCCAACTACATGTAGATTCTCTTAGTTAATGAACAAAAACCCGCTTAGTCACCAACTTCCGCGGAGTCCAAAACTTCCAGGGATTTTGTGCCAGCGACAAACCTCAAGCATTATCCATTCTCTTCACAACGTCCCACTCTCCTCACTTTTGAGAGTACTCGGAACCGTCACCATGCCTCCCAAGAACGTCAGCACCCGTCTCAACCCCATCCGCCTCAACTCCATCAACCACCTCCGCGTCCGCCGTCCGAACCAGAATGAGCAGAACGCTTGCACGACTATCATGTCCTCCATGCTGAGTACGTCTCGCCCTGACATTTCTCGATCTGAACATTCGCAATGCGCTTATATCAGCATTATTATTGCGATTGGCCACACAGACCATAAGCTAACGAGATAACAGACTGCTGGGCTTCACAAGGATACGGAGTCGAGGCCTGCGCCGGTCTGGAGCAGCAATTGCGCAAGTGCGCCGATGCGCCGGTATGAAACAACCAATCCCATCCCATACTCTACCCCCATGAGAGAGACGAATTTACTAACACACCTTTTCCAATCCAGAAATCGCAAGAAAAGAAGAAGAACACCGTCAACTACCACCTCATGAGAATGTACCCCAAGGTCGTCGGACCCCGCAAGAAGGACGGTGTGCTGGGCTAAAACAAGCCCAGACGGAATTATTACAGGAGTTTGGGATATGTATCTTGCGAGTACCTCAGCCACACTGCAGTGTCCTATGACTTGACTATGTATAGGATGCACTAGGCTACGGTTGTTGCATGGAGTTGGATTTGTTTTTGCGCACTAAGCGTATCTGTACAGTATTTACCGTGTTGAATATGGCATAGCTTTCAGCTTTTCAAAAGAATCAATTGTATGATTATCTTAACTTCTTCTTGATCTGCCTTGAGCTATACAGCGTGGAACTTCAGCATCAGTTTCTCTGCTTTGGGATGCACTGTGTATGCATCGATTGCTTCGATGTCTGTGTCGTCGATTATTGTGCTCCGGAAATTGGAGTAAATCGCCGCGACGACAAGTTTCGTTTCTGGGTTCATTAGTATCGCAACTGCATATGCTGCATCTTAACGGGAGTAGAAACATACCTTGCAACGCAAGATTACTTCCTACGCACATTCGACCTCCGCTTCCAAATGCCCAGAACCAACGGCGGCGTTCCTCAAGCTCAGCGGTGGAGTTTTCTTCCTTGACCCATCTTCTAGGTTCCCAAGATTCGGGGCTAGGGAATACAACCGGATTGCGGTGTAGAGAGTACGCCTGTGCGTTAACCCGGATATTAGGTGGAATATTGTCATGTCCAGCCAGAGAACAAGAAGGCGACGGAGTAACCCGAGGCTGGATGCCAGGAATCGGGGCATGTAGCCTCAACGTCTCAGTAACAATAGCTTCAAGCAACGGTAAACTATCGATCGACTTGGCAGATGGCAGTTCCAGCTTCTGAGGAAAAGAGATCGGTGGGTCAAGAGTCAGTAGTTCTTCGCGCAGCTTCTCTTGGACCTCCGGGTGCTTTGATAATTCCCAGAAAAGATACGTTAGTCCCACGGCACTAGTTTCAAAACCTGCTGTAAGCTGATCGTACATCTCACACGCAATGTCAATACGTTGCTGCTCAGGATCTTGCTTGGAGTCATTCTCTTTCAAGGATTGTTTGTCTAGTCCCTGTTTCAACTGCTTGTATACAAGAGGTTCAACGGCCGGATCTGTCGAATCCAATGACTCAACTGCTTTGGCGCATAGGTCCAAAACCCAGGCATCGAGCATTGCGTTTGCAGAGTCGCAGTATTTCGGAATAATGCGCAGTCCGATACAATTCATCCATCCGTTCAGACTAGGAACTTCTTGGTGGAAGAATTCAAACGGCTTGCGACATAGATAGAGATGTAGCCAGTGTTTGCGAAATGCATGATCTTGGAGGTGGTTTGTGCCGTTCCTGAGACCGAAGAGATACCCCGAAACAAAGTCTAGGGTAAGACCCATGTTCAAATCATGGGCATCGATTGACTTGTCGTTTTCGACTGATTCCTGAATAATTGGGAGCAAACGGTCATGAACGATAGCATTCGAGACGACTTTCAGATGCGGCGAAGTCTGTAACATTGATTTCGAGTAGATATTTGAAAGCATCCTCTTGCGCGTGGAATGTGTCTTCGTGTCCACCATGGTAAACATGCTCACCGTCCTATGGTCGGGTTAGCTGAGACCGTTTCTTCCATTCGAGTCAGCAAAGAAGTGTATTAACTTACCCAAGTGATCCGAAGACTCGAGGATACCACTCATGCTTCTCGAATCCACCCGTATACACAGACTTGATGCCCTCATCAACACAATTGACAGAGAGCTCGGACGGTCCAAGTCTGACAATTGGACCAAGCCTCTCATGCGCAGCCTGAATAGTCCGATTATTCCGCATGTGAAACCGTTTCCAGAGCATCCATCCCGGCGATATGGGAACGCTCCAGTGTGCATTTGGGATTTTAGCCAACGGCGAAACAAACGCTGGGTAGATAATGCCTTTGTATATGATGAAGGCGATACCGAGAACGGCCACCAATGAAGATATGGAAATGGTCATCTGAGCTTCTTGGTATAGGCGCAAACACCTTATGTATGGAAGCTGTCCTATACCTGATGGTTTTTATGGTGGTGCTTGCTCGCTTTGTGGAACCCACGGACACTTATCTTTTTCCGCAATTTCTTGGGTTTAGGTAATTGAATCCTAACCCCGCGCGAGGGGAAATCGAATTGCCGAACGATGCCTAAAGTGGTGTTGTAGACGAGGAGCAGATCAAGTGGGATGGATGGGGTTTAGATGAATGAGCTAGATGTAAGTGTATCCAACCAGATTGAAGATATTACTTGTCTTCCCCGCGAAAGAGATAAGGGTTTACGATAAGCTCCAAATGACATAATGGAGAATCGGATGCTTTCCGCGGAGGGAATAATTCGGATTACCGCGCTGAGAGCTTCTTCGGCTGGATTATTAGCCTTGGCGAGGGTGTGAAAGACTTTCGTGACTCAGAATTGCCAAATATAGGCCTCAATGAGACCAAGATTGGAATAGGTAGGAGATTTGTGCGATGAGATCAATGAGTAGATACATACAAGCATAAAGAAATATGAGAGGCATTTTAACATGTTTTAATAAAAATGACAGATACAAGTAAAGAAAATAACGGATATCAACAAGAAAAGCACCTGGCTGCATAGTGGTGGCTGAAAAATCCAAAATAGACATACTCTGCCCAGCAGATCCTACCGCCGAGCCATGAGCAGGCGAAGGTCCGTTTGCTTTAGTACACTAAACTATTTCCAATTCAGCTGAAAATGTTGCTGATGACGCTAGCGCCCTCACCTACATCGTCAGGGTAAACGTAGAAGGCAAGAGCGAGAATAACATATCTGGAGAAGAAAAGGTTAGACGGGTAAAAAGAGGGTTGAGAAAGGGTTCAGGAACATACAATCCTAGACACATGCCACCCTCGAGATAGTTCGACTTTCCATCCTGAATCAGCAGGGTAACCACCAACCCAGAGATAAAGAAGGCGACAGTCTCGAAAGTCTGGAAGTGCAGGGTCATCTCAATGCCCATGATCCATCCAAGAATAACCAGGAAAGGTGTCACGAAAAGGGCAATCTGCAGACTGCTACCGATCGCTACGCCAATTGCCAGATCCATTTTATCCTTGTACGCGACCACGACGGCGGTAACGTGCTCGGCTGCATTACCGACGATCGGGATCAGCACCAGACCGATAAATGTCTTGCTAATTCCCGTCTTCTGGACGATTGCGTCAATGCTGCCTACTAGGTAGTCTGCGCATATAGCGACGAGGATAGTGACAGCGATCAGGGCGACAGTAGCAGCCCATGGAGTCAGCAAGCGCTCCTCGGCTTCCTCCTCCTCGGCGCCGCCGCCATTCTCGGTGTCACTGCCGTTGGCCTCCTCGAAGAGATCAGCGTGTGATCGCAGCTGGAAGTAGAGATACATCACGTAGAGGATGAGGAGGATAATCGCGGTGCCATGCGACAAGATGAGGATGTTATCTTGTGCGTTGTGGGAGGACTGGGACAGTGCAGCATAAAGGGTAGCTGGGATAATGAGCGAGGCGGACGCGACGGCCATCAAGGAGGACATTGTCGAGGCAACAGTTGAGTTGAAGGATTGTTCAGAGTATCGGAGACCACCGACAAAGAAACAACATCCCAAGACGAGAAGAATATTGGATAGGATGCTGCCCAGCATACTAGCTTGGACGACGCGAATCTGATTATCCTTGAGTGCGATGATGCTGACCTATAATCCGGCGAAAATAATTCCCACGGTTAGCGATTGAGAGCAATAGAACTGGGAGCATCCAATGATTGACAACTTACAATGAGTTCCACCGCATTACCAAATGTGGCGTTCATCAGGCCTCCAAGCGCCTGACCCATCGTAGCTGCCAGTTCTTCCGTAGCAAAGCTCAGAAGAGAAGCGAGCGGGATGATGGCGAAGAAATTCAGAACGAAAACGGCGGAGGAATCCCACCCCAGGGCTCCCGCAATGATACCCAGGGGCACAAAGATGAGTAGTACATTGACATAATCACGAACCAGGGTCAACCAGGTCAAACGAACAACATGTAAGGGCCATCGGACCCAGACGCGATTGTCCTTCGGGTGATGGTGGTGGCTGCCATGGTCTTCATGTTCATGGGGTGATAATCCATTGAACGAAGGTCTAGAGAGCAATGACGTGTGCTCACTAGGTTGAAGCGGGCCGTTTCCAGAGCTCATTCTTCTGTCCGAGCCGAAGGTATGGCTTCGAAACTCTTTGCGGAATTGGACGGAAGCTGCAATGGTTCAGTAGAGGTTCAGGAACCAGCGAGCAGAGAGCAGAGGGTAATGGGAAGGTGGCGGGGAAAGAGGGAAGCAGTCTTCTTCACTTACACATCTGGGACTTGAGTTCTCTTCAGGGCCAAGCTTTGAACCAAGTGAGAATGATGAATTAGCGGGGTTTTCCAGCCACAGGATCCGTGGTTGACGCGACGTAATAGGTGGCTAGCGGGGTTGTGATCCGTGGTGCCAGTGGAATGAAACGAGCAAGAAAGTCAAACGTTGTAGAGACAGAGAGCACAGACAAGCACAGCCTCAATAATTCTTCAACGTTCGAGTAGCAGCAGAGAGCAGCAGACAGCATAAGACCTTGGCAATGGAGCTTGGCTGATTTCGGCGTTCAAAGGTTGAAGTTCTCCGCTTTTCATTCCTCGGTGCTGCGTCATGATTCGTTCATGCTGGGGGCCAAGACAATGCACTGCCACAATAGCTCACGGATGTCGCAGGATAAGTGCATTGGAATTGGAGCTGGGGAAATAGCTCAAATCACTCATAAATAATATGACCGCCTTTTTGTCTAGGTGGAGCTAGCCCCTCATTGACAAGCGCATCGGCAATCTCTCACCACCAAACCAGCTACATCTGTATGTGCACTTATACCCCTTGCAAGTAGAAACTTAAAGACAGGCTATCTACTCCATATCCCATGAGCATATCCAAGTAAATACCATCTTGGTACCTTCAAAGTCCCGCCTTTTCTCTGATTTTACCCCTCCTTCCACCCTTCACACCCACGTCGCACAATGACCATCGCCAGTCTTAATACAGCAAAGACCTAGTATCATCTAATCTATCCCTATTCTACGCATCTTAACTTTAATAGCCATTAGCCAATAGCCAATAGCCAATAACAATGAGCGCTAACAAATCCAAAGAGGAAAGCGCGTTACACAGTATTCATTTAAGATTACATATAGTATAACTCCTAGGGAGTATAAGTTCCAAACAATTTCTTGGTTCTATATCTACTAGTAGTATTGGATCTGTGAAAGAAAAATGCCGAAAGCCCTTGGCAAGTGCTTTCCCGTATTGAGAAAATAGGAATAGTCAAGTTGGGGAGAAAGCGTCAAAACCCCAGGAAGTATTTCAGTATCTTTCTATAGCTGACTGCCAACCTGAACTTGAACTAAGCGGGAGCAGCAATAGCATAGGTATCAATGTAGTAAACCTCGGGATCTACATGAATACCTAGGAGCTCCAACCTCATGCCTGCTTCATACTGGAATCATTATGGCAATATATTTGGTGGCACACGTTGAGTATGTAGTAGTTGATATGCATACTCAGGGGCCATGATATATAGTAGTGCTCCCAGTGTTACAGAATAAATTGGCAATTTTTGCACTTTTGCTTCACTAGTACTTATCCTTTCTTTCTCTCTTTCTGTCTGTATTAGTTTCAGATAAACGGTATGATAGAATACCATCTCTAAATATTGACGTAACCAGTGATTCGAGTCACTGGAGTCTCTGACGAAAACTTTGGAATCTCGATTGTAACATTGGAAAGTTGCAAAAGCCTAAGCTGATGCACTATGAAATAAAGATATACATACAAATCTAAAAAAATGAATGCGTATACTATACTCCACCCATCTTCTATGGTTCAACTCCCTTTCTAAAGTTGAATAAACTTCAATCCAGTCCTGGATGTACATACTCGTAGTCAAACTACGCAGTAGACCGGTCTGATCATCACGCCTAGCTATGTAGAGGTATACGTATATGTACAGAATAGAGATAATAGATCTAAACTCGTTTTCTTTTTTAAATTTCCAAGGAATCAGCAATATGCACGTAGATTTCATCATTCTGGTTTTCCGATGTCATCATAGTAGGTCTGTGAACAGCATAAAGTTACTGGTCGCTTATCGCTCCACTCCACTCTACCCCTCACCCTCACCATTCAACTTACAACTAGTACAACTACTAAACATACCTACAATTCGAGGTCTCAACCCATCTATCTATTATTCATCAGAAAAGCAGTACCCATTTTCAAAATGCCGTCCTTCATCGTAAGCAGCTCCTCTCACCCTCCTATCTAAATCACCTACTCTATCCTATCCTCATCTCCCGAGGTACTCATGATGAACATCTTACTAACCTCCGCTCTAAAACGTCATAGGTCAAATGCCACGAGGGAGTCTCCGATGATCAGATCCAGACGTACGCACTTCTTGACCTTCACCTTGACCCTCCCTATAAATGAAAGATGATTAACTTTCTCATGTGAACGACAGTCTCAAGAAACAGATCGAAGAGCAAGGAGGAAATATTACACAAGATTTCAGTATTATCAAGGGCTTTGGGTGAGTATCCCAGGCGCTACGGAATATCAAGCTTGAAAGTACGGTATCTTAATAGCATAATTGATACTAATATGCTGGTTATTTATTTAGAGTTGAATTTCCAGAGGACCGTGTCTCTATGTTCGCCAACCATGAGCACATTGAGTTTATCGAGGCGGATGGCGAGGTGACCACACAGTAGCTTTAACCTAGCATGATGCCCAGACGGATGATGAGCTTATTTGTTATACATTATGTTCTGATTTGAGGCGGATTTGATAGACACTATAGCTGAGAACTTGAATGAATATCATCCATTTATATACATAGTACCGTGAAGCCCGTTAACGTCCTTTCGCGTTACAATATCTCCAGGGCTACTAGTAGTATGGAGAATCATGATTCCTACAACGCAAACAATAGCTCTACTTCTACTTCTACTACCTACTTCTTCTACTACATAATTTAGTTAGTTAGATTCAAAGAAACGTTGACAAAAGCCAACTTGAAAGTTGAATTCAATATAGTGTACAAATGTCGAAAATCAAAAGCTGTATAGACTATGCGGAGATAAGACTAAAACACATGGTATCTATCTCTTAACACCAAAAATCACAATCACTTGAAAGACAGATCCCCGATCCACGGTGACAAAAAAGGAAAGGAAGGAAAGGGAAAAAATAGTAAGGGAGAGAAAGTGAACATAAGTCGAAGTGGAAGTGGAAAGAAGTGGCAAGGTACATTAAGTAGTGAATCACATGAGAAGAGTAAGGAAGGAAGATAGGAAGAAATTGTAAGGAGAAAAGGGAAATTCAAGATCAAGGAATTAAGTTGAATTGAATACAAGAAAGAAACGGCAGAATTGGTCGATATGGCAAGGAGGTGGTGGTTTATTCCTCTTGTAATGTGCCATTACCATTCGCCTTAAAATCCATCCGACTGCTCTTCCGACCAACGCCCTTGAGAAGGCTAAATCGTCGAAAGACAGAGTCGCGAACACCTGCATTAGGATTCGTAGGACTAATCGGCATCGACGAGACGCGGGTTGTATTTCCATTGGCCTTATTGGGATTTATAGATAATTCACGAGGAGCATGTGCACTATCCCTCGTTGGAGGACGGGAGTAATCACGGGTAGATGGTAATGTGGACCAGCCACCACTCGCGGTAGCGGCAGGTCGATCAGAAGTAGTAGTAGTTGAGGTAGCGGTAGCGGTATTGGCAGCACGATGCTGAGAGCCTGCGCGGCTGCGTCCATCAGTGGATTGAGCAGCTGTATCACGGGATGCACTTCGGGAAGGCTTCTTTTTCAAAGTAGGTTCATCAGACATGCCTATGCCTATTCCTACGCCTGCAATTGAAGGCGAAGAGCCGTGCTTCTTGTCTCCTCCAAACCAACTTCTGCGCTTATCACTCTTGCCACCACGTGAGTGGCTTGTAGCGCGACTGTGGATAGTTGCTGCGTCGTCGTCGTCGTCTCTGTCTTCTTGTTCGGCTGTATTGGTATTCTGGGCCTTGATATCTGATTGTTGGATTGTGAAGATGGAATTTGAGCCTCCGTGGCGCTTGAAGGGATTCATGATGCTGATACGGTGGCTGACTGACTGACGCTCAGATCGCTTGCGAGTATGACCATTTGTACGGGATTGGCGCATAAGCTCTTGTTCAGGACTAACGGATCGCTGAGCGGGGGTTCGGCGAATTTCTGAGTTAGGGGATTGGCGGGCTGTTTGAGAGGGAGAGGGAGACTGATGCTCAGGTGGTGATGAGGCTAGGGAAGCTAACTCGGGTTCGAAAACATTCTCAAATCGGCGAAGAAGCTCTGCTTGTGTTGCTTGCTGGGCAGGTCGTTGGTATAGTGCCAGTGCATGCTTGATTCCCAGGGCATGGTCAATCAGAGCAACGGCAAGTGCATTCTCCATTGGGTCCATAGTCTCGGGCAAGTCTTCTTCTTCATCTTCGTCCTGGTCTTCGAGACCCTCTTCATCTGTCTCATCAAGCTTGTCCTTGGCGCCTTGTGCACCGCTCAAAAAGCTCCGGTACGAAGCAACGCAGTTCGAAGATGAAGATCGCGAATCTAATAATTGCTCCAACGCTTCAGTGAGATTTGACAATGTGTTATCTTCACCAGAAGCGGCACGTCGTTCGAGCATGTGCAGCTCCTGGGTCTTGCGGCATGTCCTCTCAATAGCAGTCTGCAAGGAAGTCAAGGCAATCTCCTGAACCGAGATGATTTCACTTCGGCGAAGAATGTTCGGGAAGGGATCGGCAGTGGTAAAGATCAATTTCTCAACAGATTGCTCACGCACATCCGAGCTCGTCGTATGCCTCCTTGACGTGGCGGAGAATCGAGTCGGATTGGAGATCAACAGGTGGTCGCGAACAGAAAGAGGAACCTTCGATCGCTGATACACGGGATGAGAAACATCGCGATGAGCAGTAACGCTGCTGATTTGAAGAAATTGGCCTTCATAATCAGGGATCTCGCTAGAAGAAGACATAATCTGCGCAGTTGGATGGTCACGCTGCATTCTATCCACAAACGAAGCCATACGTTCTGTCGCTGAACCTTCGAAGATAAACTCCTTATCACGGAAGCCAGGAGGGAAGCCAAGACCCTTGTAAACAACGCGGAAGTATCGAGGAAACTGCTTGGTACCCTTAGCAACGTAATCGTAAATTCGAGCCATAGAGTTCTGAGTTCGTGAAAGCTTCGCAAAGTCCATTGTCGTAGATTCATAGTGAGCAGCGAGCTCCTTATAGCAAGCCAAAGCAGGTGCCCAGGCCATCGCATTCTCAAAGTGTTGGATAATAGAGAAGTACAATGCCTCCTTCCGCTCAAATGCTGTTTGAATAGGGAAGGTCGGTGTAATGATTTCAGGTAAAGGCTTGATAGCATCCCATTCGTAAAGATCAGCATGGAACTGAAGTGCCAAGCCAGCTTCCGTGAAATTTTCAGCAGCAGCTTGTCCATCAGCCAATTCATGCACATAACGGATAAAGATATCCTCTCTGCCCATATCCTTCATGTACTCCATAAGCTTCAGCGCATGCAGACTTTGAACCGAAACGCTACTCTGAGAAGCAACCAAAAGATCAAGAAGTTCATCAACAGTAGAAATAAGACTCTTAACGGCATTGAACAATTCCTCGTCGGATTCGGCATCACCCTCGAAAAGATCCAGTAGTTCGCCAATGAAAATCTTTTGGCTGACACTTTCATTCATGTGCTTAGACTTGAATAGCGAGTCAAGACTAGAGATAATTTCGGTCTCAATTATCGAGATCTCCTGGTTCAAGTCCCATTCACTCAAGATCATTGTTCGGAGAATGTGAACAGCAACATGACGCAGACCTTCATGAACACTGAGGCACAAGCCAATAATAGGAGGTACTAAGTTCGGCACATATTGGACTTGGTATCCACCAATCCGCTTCAGGTTATACCTCTCTCTCTCATCGTCAGTGGTCTCCCAGCCAATAGCCTCCCATGTAGAATGCAGCAGATCAGCTCCCTGCTCGCGAACATCGCCGGCAATCTTCCAAACAGCACGTCTCTTTTGCTCGGGGAAGGTCTCAAGAGCGAGCGCTTCGCTAGAGATAACCTTCAACAGCGTGATGAAAAATGCTTCCCACAGCTTAGTGTCGAATGTATCAGCATCCTCATCCGCAGGAAGGAATTTCTCAATCAAGATTAAAGCCAAATGTTCCAAGCTCTTAATAGCAGCGCGATGGTTGTAAACATGAATACTGAACCAGCTTTCCGGGTACGCCTCGCAATCAAGAATAGAGTTGTGGGCCTCCAAAGCCTGAGCGATAAAGGTTGCAAGCTCCAGTTCTTTAAGATTAGGAGTCTTGGGCGACAGAACTTTGGCCAAAGCCGCCATAAGAGCCGAAAGCTCTACCAAAGACTCATCGAATCTCTGGGGTGTCTTAGAAACTCTAACTTGGAAGGGGAAGGCCTTGCTGAAAAGCAGCGACAGGTATTCCGTGTCCTCGATTCCTTCAGTAGAAATAGCACAGTAAGAAGAAACGATGCTCGGCATGAAATCGTACAGACTTGCATCTTGTTGTGTAAGTAGCTGGGCAACGATGGAACTGCTCAGTCGAACTTGGTCACGATATTGATCTGAAACACTTGCGGTAGAACCCCAGTATGGCTTCAACCAGCCCACGCAGCTAGAGATAAGAGTCTGTCTCTCCTCGCCAGATGCGAAAATCTCAAACTGGGTATAACTCTGGATAAGCACCAACTTGTATAATACAAGCATGCCAGTTACGTCCTTGCATGAATCCATGAAACTTAACGCAATCATAATCATTTCGTCACGTCCAAAGACCTTGGAAAGCTCTGGTAGCCATGAGTGGAAGTGCTGGACAATCAAAGTCTTGCTGCCGACCAATGCCGGATTGGAATTCTTCATCAGGTTCTCCATTGATTTGAAAATGGTGTGTAAATCTCTGTTGAAAGTTGACTGGACTGTGGTGATTCCGATGCCCTCTTCCTTGGCCTTTTGTTGCTCACGAGCATTGATAATGAATTTGAGTAAATGCCGGCCAACCTTGAAAGCAGCACGCAAGTTACGAGACTGTGAGGGATCTGTGGGGGCATTCAACAGGCGCAGGTAGCTTCGAATAAGGCACGGCGTGGCGAAGGGGAAGTCAAATTGCTCATCGGCATAGTGGTCAACCAATGGTGCGAGGCTGAATCGGCGGTCGTGAACGATACCCAACACAGTGACTAGGTTGTGGAAAATCAAATCTTCATACTCCTCATTGCCAGCATTCTCCACCAAGATACCAAACAGTGCATCGAAAACGCCACGCAGCTGCTTAACAATCTCAATTTCAGGAACAAAGAGCAGTCGCTTAAGAGTGTCAAGCACCTCGTCGACTGGTCGCTCCTTCCAGTTCAACAGACTCAAGATGACTTGATCCTGCGAGTATTCGGTACTGCACAAATGTGTCTCCAGACGCAAAGTAGCCAATGGGCCCGTGAGAGCTTCATCCTTGGCGGATTCGTTCTTACCAAGCGCACTCCAAGGAAGGCTCAGATAAGCCCCCTTTCCATTCTCCATGCTTGAGGTCTGCTTGTCGTAGGCATGAAGCAATAACGAGTGGTTGCCATCACGGATAAAAGCTTGGTGATCCCAAAGAGGCATCCATGCCAAAGCGAATGGGAACTCGGGTGCGTCTGCCACACTCATAATAATATGCGATCCGGGTATCTGTTCTGTGGGTATCTTGAGACGAATGGTCTGGTTCCAAGGCGAGCCTCTAGCAGCGACCGTAGTTCGCCAAGCCGTGCTCGATGCATTGGCTGATGATGGGAAAATGCTCTTGTCTATGCGTGCCCCAGCGGCATCGCGAACTTCCATTGTAAGTTGCAGGTTTTGCAATCCCGTCATTGTTTGCAGGGGAATCTGACCGGCCGTAGGGTGGGACAGTAAGGCATCTGTTGGGAAAACAGCTTGCGATAGAGAGACATAGATATCGGATCTGGGCTTTGTAGGGGCCTTGGAGAACCCAATACGTCTTGTCTGAACAACATCATGCAATATCGTAGGGTTTTCGCGTACAAGCGTTTCAGGGTCAGGGCTAGCAAAGGGGTGAAGATGAAGGTGTAGACGGGCAGCGTAATCGGAGCGCACATAACGGCCATTATGGCTGGGTAAGAGAACATTAAGCAGTTTCTGAAATCCATCAGCATTTGCTTCCCCCTCTTCACCTTCACGTGAAGGGGACCAAATATTGATGATCTGCTCAGCATCGCGATCTTGTCGAAGAATTGGCGAAACTTCTAGAATACCAACACCAATAGTTCGGATGGTCGAGGACTCCTTTGTAGATGCAGGTTGTGGAGCAGCCGGCTCTTTGGCAGAGGATGTGCTGCTGGAGGATCGGGGGACTGTTTGAAGATTAGGCTTTGGTGCACCGTCCATGCTGGTATTGCCGCGAGTCTTTTGGTTCCACATCATACTACGCCTTGTGCGTAAGCTTCCCTTCACTGATGGCTGGATACCACCAACGTTACCCGCTTTTGGAGAAACGGGACTCTCTCTAGACATAGATGATCGTGATACAGGGGTGTTCTCAGTAGCTGAGCGCATCTCAGCAGCCCGAACAGAGGTGGCAAGGTAAAGCTGGCGACCATTTGCGGAGCCATCACCAATATCTGTAGCGGCCAGTTCTGTGAACAGTGTTTTTAACTTATTACTTTGTGTCAAGCTGACGAATTTTTCTGGTGACGGAATATCCAGACTGAATGTCTCTGAAAGCGGGCTGAATGTGCCAGAGTCAGATCGAGAGAAGAGCTGAATGGCCAGGGAAACTGGACCAGGGATGTTTCCAGACACAGCGTTAATCTCCAGCAGCAGGTGATGTAAGGCCGTAGTATCTGAAGAGCTAGTGGGTTGACTATCCAGCATGCTCATTTCAGATTGTAATTTGGCGAGACGAATAGCCGAATCCTCACCAGTTAACAGTCGACCCCTCTCATCAGGATCGCGAACGATAATATCCCCACTGAGCATCTTATTCGCTTTAACAAGTTTCCACACCGTTTCATCACGAAGGGTCTCTTTCTCCTTGCCAGTTAACACATTATGCAGCAATTGACGTCTAGCGAAATCCAACTCTTGAACAATCGTAGACATCTCCTCCAACACATCATACTGTCGCGCCAAAAGCAACTCATGCAAATTAGTGGAATGCCATTCCCTTAAACACGAAGCGATCTCATCAACCAAAGGTTCCGTAAGAGAAGTCGGAGTCTCATCACCAATCTTAAGCATGGGCACGGGCGCAGCAGGCTTCGGCGCATCAGGATCTCTCGGCGCAAAAGAAACCGGCGTATGAGGAATCGAACTATTCGGATAAGCCTGAAGGGATCTTGGACTCGTCAAATCAAGTTCATCAGTCTTTTGGATCACAATCTGTGCCGGTTTGCCCTTTTTCGCAACCACGACATCTGACACCTCCCCGCCAGCCTGTGACTCTCCCATCGAATAGGCCACGCTTTTCCGTGACTGGACCTCAAAATCTAACGCCAATGGTGTGAATCGATCCATGCTTTTCCGGTCGCCATTTCCATTGCCATTCATTAATGCTTTCACTCCATCTCCATCACCGAGTACTTCGCGAATCTCAACACAGTTCCGTGGAAAAATGCCGGAGAAGACACGGGCCTCCAGCGTTTGACCCTTGGTGCTGGTTAACCCCGCTAATAGCGAGGGCGGCGCAACTAGATATCCGCGACACCATTCTCCATCTGATCCTCCCTGCTCAATAATATACAATTCATCGCCGAGCTCGAGGGGTAGGTCCGCGGGCGAGGAAGGGTGGAAGGGGTATATGGCCACCGCAAAGGCAATGCGAGGCAGCGGCCGCCAGGGCATGGCTGCGGAAGAATTGAGGAGTCGATTCCGATTCAGCAGAGGCTGAAGGTAATTATTTATTTAAGCCGGGATGGGTCGTGTGCTGCCAGATCTCCCCCACGTCGCTCTTGAAGATCCGATCGAAAGAATTCGGGGGATGAGGGGGACGGAGAGAGGAAGGAATGGAATCACAGCCAAGAATGTTCTGTCTCAATGACACGCGACATTCAATTGAGGATCCACCTTATCGGGTCCGGGGAGGAGAATTAAAAAAAGAAATGCGTATGCGTAATGGAGAAAAAGGAATGCGACAACTAAATGGTTTCACGATTAGAAAAAAAAAGAAGCACTAGGGGCCATGTTCTGCGCAACGGTCTGGTCTTGGGGGCCAAGGTGTTCTCTCTGTCTTTTCTTTTAATCTTGTTAAAATAAAAAGACAAGGCTAGATGCTGGCGCAGACCGCAAGAAAGTCTGTTACAATGCAACTGCAGGCGCAAGCTTCACAGGGTCTTTCAAATTGGCGCGATTGGAGCAACCGTGCCCGCCCCTTGCGAGGAGTTTCGCGTGGTGGAGACGATTTTGGGCGTTGGCGAGAACAGTGGGGAAGGGGGCTTTGGGAGGAACTCACGGATTAAAGAGGGACCTGGGATTGAGGATGCGAATAAATAAAAAAAGAAGAAGAATAGAATTAAAGGGTAGGGAGAGGAGATGATGATCAGAAGGAAAATGGAAGTCCAGCTGTTTTTTCTCTTTCGTTCACACTCTCTGTTCTCCACCGGACCAATTGGCGTTGGGGGTGCTATACGGGGTTCCAAGGATTCATTTCAGCTGTAACTGTGTGAGTGGGAGTAAATGGAGTATTTACTGATATATTTAATACTGATGATATATTTTACAATATTTTGTCATATTTTATCATGTGGTATTATATCAATTGAGTCATCTATCTTGTATTGTGAGCAGCTTCTGTTCATCTATGTCTGGTTCCCTATCCTAGGGAAGCTTCAAGCCACTGACGGGATCCAGAATTAAGGGGGAAATTAGATCAAGCTACAGATTCAGTACTAATAGTGATAAACAATTAAATAAATATCAGTCACGTAAATCAAATCACACGATCCTCGATCTCGTCAAGCACAGACCAGCGCGTGCCCCTGAGTGTTAAAAAAGTTGTTAAAATGAACTTCAAGTTCATCTTTGGCCTCGAACCAGTGGGTCACTCTCCCTGACCCGCACCAATCATGCATTCACCCACTTTCTGCCCATAATAACCTTGTTCAGGGTTAAATTAAGGAACTACAAGAGTATCAGACTGAGACACCAAAAAAAAAAAAAAAAAAAAAAAAAAAGGAAGAAAGAGGAATGGTAATGCTAAAAGTGATATCTTCTTCCTCCAGGCTATATATGACAGCAATCGATGTATATGACAGGGGAGAGAGAGGAACTTGAAACGCCGTGAAACCCAAGAAGCGCCCTGCTGATTGATGCTCCATGTCCACAGTAAAAAAAATAAAATAAAAAGAAGAGAAACATTAATTGCATGTGGCAGTGGCATCAATCATTTCCGGAACATCGCACTCACATCCTCCTTGCGCCATTCCAGTTCCAATTGTCCCTCGTACACCGTATCAATCAAGTGTCGGGTCCGGTCCCACGCATTCTCATACCGTTGCTCACATTCTCGCAATACCTTCAATACCAAGCTACGACTTAATCCGGGATCATCTGCATCACCAAAATGTTTCTCAACGCGCTTCTTGAGCAGTTCAACCCCACGCTTGACTTCCTTCGAGTCATATGATGATAAAACTTTCTTGGCAACCATGCGGGAGTGGCTGGCGCGGGTGGCGATGTCGGCGCCGTTGCCGGATGATTGGAGACTCTCGAGCGAGTGGATGAAATCTAGGAGTTTGCCTAGAGGTCGCTGCATCACGGCATCGAGGTACAATTTCATGTGCTCGTCAAAGTCTTGATGAGCTCGGGCCATCCAGCGCTCGAGGACGGGCAGGGTATGCACATCTACCTCTTCAATGTAGTGGTTCATGTTTTCGATCAAGAGGATGTGGTAGTTGAGGACTTCTTTGTCTTCGGGGTCGCCGGCTGTGGCTGTCACACCGGGTGGTTGACCGGGTGCTTCCTTGGCAATAAATTTGAGGGACTCCCACATCGCCCGGTTTATGCGGTCATAGGCATCGTTGACGCTGATCCGAATATCACACATATCCCCACCTGGGTGCGATAACATGGTCTCAACAGCATTGGAAAAGTTGGGGAACACACGCATGAAGGAAATTACACCCTTGCGCTTATTAATCTTGACTTTGGTGTCCTCAATGCCTCGGATCTGTTCATCCACAAAGCGATTGTACAGGCCCATCAGACGAGAATGTACTTTCTGCAAGGAATGGATAATGAACTCTTGGTTTGTATCGTCAAGATCACCCATAGCAGACTCCAAAGCAAATATAATTCCAATTCCTTGTAGAGGGTCCGCTTGAATAGCCCAGTCTACCATGCTTTGCATGTCATTGGGCCAGAACGAATAGACCTCGTCCATAATATGCTCAACCCGCTTAGCCATATCGCGATCAGGATCATGCGACTGCTTAGCGGAGAAATCAGGACACTGTCGACCCTCGGGCGAAGCGGCAGCCACCATGTCGGAGAAGTCAACATTGGCCAGAGAATTCAGGTGGAAGAATTCCACCACGAAATTCTGCTCGTCAGTAATCATATTCAAGGTCTCGCGGAGCGTTCCAGCAAATGCTTCACATGGCTCGACCTTCCCTTTGGGCTTCTTCTCCCCACCAGACGCTAATCGGAAACCAGCTGCTGCCCGGACAGTCTTGCCTCGTCGGACGGTAAGCTTGCGAGCCGCCATAGTGATTCCTTCTCCCTCCTTCTCCTTTTCTTGGTGTGTGAACAGAAGCTCCTGCTCGTCTCCCGTTACTTTGCGAGCCGCCTTCTTCCAGGCCGCATTGTTCTCGCGGAACTCACTTTGATAGGATGGTTTAGATTGTTGCTCGTAGAGACTCACCAAAGCGTGCCACTCGGACATGCTGACTTCCTTGGTGAACATCATCAAGGGGTTATATCTCCATACTTCTGCGCGGAATTGCTGGCGAGCAAAACCATCAAGTTTCATGGGATCTTTGGTAGCAGAGGTATTTGCATCTGCCCGCTTTTGCTCCGCCATCTTGAAAGCCATAGCCATAAACTGCTTCAGACGCTGTTGCAGGAACTCCAGAGCCGCATTGCGGTATTCTTCCTTCTTTTCTTTAATGGCACGCATTTGGCCAATCTCCGTATTAGCATAGACTCCAACACTAGCATCGACCAGGCGCTTTTTGTTTTGTCCAATCTCTGCATCAATCATGAGCATGGCTTTGTAAAGGGTGGAGAGGGCTTTCTCGGTCTCATTCAATCCATCGGGGTTGCTGAGGGACGCTTCCTTGAGTGGACTAAGCTCAGAGGTGGAGATAGAAAGTGTTTTGAGTAGATTTTGGAGCTCGGTTTGGAGGAGTTTCTGATTCGCTGTTTGAACTTGCAGACCTTGGGATTGGGCTTCAATATACGACACATCTTCGTGTAAGGTCTAGTATCAATTGGGTCAGCATTTTGATGAGTCTCTTAGACTATAAAGCTTTTGGCGACTTACATTTAATTCGTGGGAGTACAAGGTCAGAAGACCCTCCAGCTCTTCGCATTCCTCAATGGTCCTATCAATGAGAACGGCGAGTTGCTCCACTTTGCCTTCTTGCTGTTCAAGATTACCAAGCCAGCTGGTAGCCTCAACGCGACCAATCTCACGTCGAACGTCTGCTTCCAAATCTTCAATCTTTTGTTCGTCGTTAAGGCGGCCATTCCACCCAAGATCTGTGAGAATATCATCAAAATCAATGCCTCGTCCATCAAGTACGCTGGGCTCAATCCCCAGCGCCTGGCAATATTTGACGGTGTTGTCTTCGCGTCTTCGTCGACGGCCCCTGGCTGCTGGGGATGGCGATCTTGAGCGGTCGTCAACTTTTACGATGTCGGCTAGCGAATCTTGACTTCTTTCAGGAAGAGGAACAGATTCAGGGGCAGGCGAGGTGACTTCAATATCAGGCTGAGTGACCTCAACTGTTGGTGTAATAGCTGGGAGGATTGCTGGTGGTATTTCCGCCGGCGGAGCAGATGATGGGATTGCTTGGCGATCAATGTGCTCATCAATAGGGCTTCTCGGTACCTCAGTTGTAGATCGGCTAAGTGAAGGAGCTGGGACAACACCCGTAATGCCATCTGGCTCATCCTGTTCAGCTTGCTGCTTCTTTGCCGCCGCTAATAGGCGCTGGCCAGCGCCTCCAGGGCGTGGTTTGAAAGCGCCATAAGCATTTGCAGCTTTGCGGAACGCGCCTGCAATCTCCATGGCAGACTTCTTCTTGACCATGGGGCCGAGGCCTGGTCGATGTGCTGCAGCATCATCCTCGGCAGCTTGTTGGTCAGCCGCGGTTTGCGGTTCTTCTGTCGCGGCTGAAGTAGGCTCGGGAACTTGGGCCGCGGCCGCGGCTACTATCGGATCGACCATAACAGGCGATGATGGCGTTCTGTCGGTTTCCACGGGCTTGACGGGTTCCTCGGCTGGCACAACCGGCTGGGGCTCGTCAGATACGATTTTCTCTTGCACAGGCTGGGGCAAAGGCTCCAGATTTGGTGCTTGAGTTGGTGCTTGATCAACTTCCCGGTATGGCGATTTTGGGCCAAGACTGCTGCTGGGGCTTACCGGCGCGCCTCTAATATCACTAGTGAATGATCCAGGTGTAGTAGGCCGCAGCCCATCTACACTACGCTTCTGGTGGAGCGAAAGGTTGTCGGCGGATTGAGCTGCCAACTCAGACGTCGGAGTCCTGGGAGGGCGGCCATCACCGCCGCGAGATGAGGACGGTCTAGAATCGTCCTTCAAGGGTAATTTCACTGATGGGTCCTTGTTCTCTAATTCTTTGCGTGGAGGAGGAAGGGCTGGAGGCGGTCCGGGGGGTGGTGGGTTCGATGCCAGGTTGAAAGGAGATGGAGCCGGTCTATTATTTCCAGTGCTCGGACGGGGCAGTTGCTCACGGCTCTTTTGCCGCGGCATGGGGTCTTCGGAAGGCTTCCGCGCAATATCCCGGGCCCCATCGCGACTGGGGTCGCGGCCTTGATATCCGTATGAGGATGCCTGCTGAGGAGGCGTTACATCCGGGGGCGGCGTCACGCCAGGAGCGCGTGGGGGTGGGCCTGAAGAGCTTGAGGGGCCTCCTGCTGCTGCCAGAACTTGCCGTTCTCTCTCATCAAACCCAATTAGATTGGGTAATTTGCCTCCTGTGTACTTTTTGTAGATCTTTACTAAGCTGCCAATGAAAAACTCCTTCTCTTTGGAGCTTCGGGCATTCCAGTAGTATGGCTTGCCTATGGTAACCACAAACCCAGAACTTCCCGCCCATTCCTTATGTTGTTGATCAGCCGGCGTCTTTGGTACCAACGCAGCATAGGACTGAATTGCCGATAAATCGTCAAGCATCCAGGTTTTGCCGATAGAGAATGTGCCATCATTGTTTTCGCGAGCTTTGTGCATTCGTACTCTGCCAGATCTCCGGACCGAAACAATTATAACACGCGGTTTCTTGTTCTCGGGTGCCGACGTTGGCGGGGCAGGGGCTGAAGGGTGTGCTGAGTCCTCGACAATTCGGACATGTGTAATGTATGATTCGACCACTAGAGAGATTATCGATTAGCCTATGGACATTGTGTTTCGTATCTTAATTTCAATTCAGGATATCCAAGGAGGGGGCCAAGCGATTTCAACTCATCTCCTGGCTGCGGGATAGTGGAAGGCCTCTTTGCAATGTTCAAGGGGCAATTCAAGGTTTGATCACATACATGTTCCATCCGTGTCCTTCTTTGAATAGCAGCTTTGAATAATGCGCTTTTTCTCATCTTCAAACCTCTCTGCTCTCGTTGCGGACCCATCACCAGAGCCATTACGAGCATCACCGCGGCGGGGGTCGCCCGAGGGCGGAGGGCGAGGGCGCTCCCGGGCACTCATGATCCTGTTCTTGATGCGACACTAAGCTTGATGTGTATAGTTGGCGAAATCAAAGGATCATGGCTATAGTATGATGTTTGGAGCAGGCCAAGTGAAGGCGGGAAGTCCCGCATGCATACGTTGCCTGAATTCAACTGAACAGCTCCGAGTAGCTTCAAAATGAAGCAGCAGTGTTCCCGTAGAAGAGAAAAGGGAGTCGGAGCCGGCGACACGGTCGATTGTGGTGTTAAGAGATGGCTGTCGGTGATTACAGGGCATTAGCTCATCAGTGTTTGGGGTTGCGGGCAAGGCGGAGGGAGAGCTCGTGGGAGCGGAGTATCAAGTTGATCCGGCTGCAACGGCTACATATACTTATACGTACAATATGTCCTGGCCAGGTCTGTAGCTCAAGTAATGTCAAACTGGAAAACTCAAAAATAAATAATAATAAATTACTGAGCTATATGAATCTATCGCCGTTTGCTGTCAAACGTTAATAACCAACTTTCAATAGCAGGCACCCACTCATCAAGTAGTTAACTTAGTAAGTGCACTGATGCCTGAGGCATAATTACTGCCAGGTGACTCCACATGGTCGACGATATCCCCATTTAGGTCCGCCAATCACAAGTCTCAATCTAAATTGAGCGCTCACCGCCTTGGCACAACTTTTTGACTTTTTTTTCTTTCTTGTTCCTGGATGGCAACTTCCTGTAAATAGGTTCGTTCGTTCACTCTATTTTGGCTCGCTTGCCGCTTGATCACCTCAGGATACACTGCTACGGAATCCTAATAAATTCGCGATCATGGTCAAAGACTCATCACAAAAGAAGACTTCGGTCAAGAAGGTAAAGATATAATTTCTACACTGTTAAGATCTGGCAAGTGAGGCTAACATCAACATTTCAATCGATAGACCGAGCCCACCAAGAGCAGCAAGTCTGTTCCCGCGCAGCTTCTGGCGTCTGTCTCTTCTTTCCTGTCCACCAATGGCTTTGCTACCACCAACAGCGCGTTTGAAAAGGAATTGAAGAAGGCCGGAACCAAGACTGATGCCGACAATGCTCCCTCTCTAGTAGAGATGTTCCAGACTTGGAAGGCTTCCTCTACTGAATCTACCTCGGCCTCCGCCTCCGCCTCTAGTAGCAGCTCTGAAAGCGAGAGTGACAGCAGCTCCAGCTCGGACTCAGACAGCGACTCCAGTGATTCTGATGTCGACATGGAAGATGCTTCAACCCCCGCCAAGGCACAGAAGACCCGCTCTTCTTCCCCCTCTTCTTCCTCGTCTTCTAGCTCTGACAGCGATGCTGATGATGAGGATGAAGAAGAGGCAGCTCCTGCACCTGCACCTGCTGCAAAGAAGTCAGCAGGCGTGAAGCGAAAGGCTGAGTCCAGCGACTCGTCTTCCTCGGATTCGAGCTCGGATTCGGATTCTGAGAGTGACGCTCCTAAGGCTAAGAAGGCCAAGACCACCAAGAAGGCTGAATCCTCTTCCGAGTCCAGCTCTGAATCTTCCGATTCTTCTAGCTCTTCTGAGTCTGAGAAGTCTAGCTCCGATTCTGGCTCTGACTCTGACTCTGATTCTGATTCTGATTCTTCCAGCTCTAGCGATTCTTCCGAGTCTGAGAAGGAATCTGCTAAGAAGACCGACGCCAAGGCTCTGAAGGCGGCTAAGAAGACTCCTCTCCCTGAGTCGTCTGACTCGAGCTCCTCCAGCGATTCGTCGGATGATAGCTCTGATGATGAGAAGGCAGGAGGCGTCACCGTATCCAGCGCTTCTGACTCAAGTGCTACTGTTTCCGCGTCTGACGCTCCCGCCAACAAGGCTGTTGAAGATGCACGTGCCTCCTCTTCTAGCGCAAGCCCTGTCCCCGGCAATGGTTCGACAAAGAAGAAGCACGTCGGTGCTCGCCCCACTCCCCTTGCTGCTCTGAGTGCCCTTCCTTTCGATGGCTTCAACAACGACTACCAGTCCTACGCCTATGCCGACCGTGCCTTTGCCGACCTCTCTGTTACCCGTGGAAAGGGATTCACAAAGGAGAAGAACAAGAAGAAGCGCGGCTCCTACCGTGGTGGCCCCATCGATATCGGTGGTGGAAAGTCTTTCAAGTTCGATGACTAAATTATTTGACTGCTCTTCGCTGCATTAATTTATGCTTGGCTTGTCTGGTGTTCCTCTCCGGACGGACAGTGTTCATCATTCTGCACGGAAATTCGCTCAGTCCCATTGGCAAGAAGTCTTTTTTGGGCATAATTGCCTGCTATTCCGAGCTGAAAGGTTCTTCCCATCGCATTTACACATGAGGAGGCTTGTCGATATCCACTATCCTCTCAATATTTCCACCCCTTTTTGCTCAGCATGGCGCATACGGAGCTATGACACGGTTTTTCTACGATTACTATTTGCTAAGATATTCGCTCTTCAAAATACCATTAAAGTTATTAATAATTACTTTCCGCTGAACTATACAATCTGTGCTTCGTATGACCAACTAGAGCCTTCAGGATCAATCTCAATCTAGCTCAGAGCCAACATTTTTTATATACTGATCGTTCAATCTACATCTACTGTCGTGACGTCTTGCGTCCTATCCACGGAAGACTATGATGTCCTAGAGTGGGAATCTCCACTTGTCTTTCCAATTGTCTTTCTAATTGACCTTCCAAGTGACCTTCTATTTATGTAGAGCCTAGAGCACATATAGCGGTATACTAGAAGGTAGAAACCAATATAGAGCCAAGGGAATTTTCCCCGCTGGGCGCCATGGTCCCCCTATACCTATCCGTCCCTTCTTCTCCAGGCGCCAGACTGCTCAAGGGCCTCCCATCGCCGATCCCAGCCAGGTTCTGCCACATTGGTTGCATGCCTGTCCTCGAGATACCAACATTCATGCTGCCTTCGCAGCTTAGAAGTAGTCGTAAAATCATCTTGGTCCGGCCGTTCATACCCAGCTATTCTAAGCACATTTTCCGTGCCAACAGGAACGGATTGTCCTCCTTTCTCTATATTCAAATCATAATCAAACCATTCGCGGGATGGCCCAGTCAAATCATCCGTCGAAGCAAAATCCAGTCGAACAACACCATCCACAATACCTGTGTATACTGTTGGTGACGATGGCGATGGTGTGGACATGGTATAAATTGGGCCTCGGTAAGGGCCGCGTCTACGGGCACGAAGATTACCCGGTGTAGCTGAGGGGAGCTGAGCTGAGAGGAACAGGGAAAAGTCTTTGCGAGGCCCGTGAGGTGCAGGTCTTTCTGCCCTTTTTGGAGAGATGCTGGTTTGGGTTTGGATGGGTGGGACTTGTGCATCCAGATAACTATAAATTTTACTCATGCGCAGATCAAAGATTTTGAGGACGGCATTGCCGCCTGCCCCAGCTAGAAAACGATCGTGGCCAAAGGGTTGCACGCTGTAAATGAGGTTGGTGTCGGTTGTATCTCTATATGTTGATTCGTTGGAATGCGGTGAGCGAAGATCATGAAGTCTTGTGAACAAAAAGATTAGCTTGTGTCTCTGGATACATCAAACTAGGTTTGATGTCGACATACCTTATTGTACGATCACCCCATGCAGCCAAAAATACATCACCCGGAGAGCCATTGCATGAAATTGTATTGAGAGGAGCGATGGCAGTAACAGCCGCATTTACTGATCGGCCAACTTGGTCTTCGAGATCAAGGGAATCAACGCCTATTTCTCTGTATATGCATGCGCCATCATTCGAGATTATGTTGATTGAGAGCGAGTTTTCAAGTCGACCAGTCGCAATAGCTAGCTTTAAAGGAGATAATAGCTTCGAGTAGCGACTTTTGATCAAGGGATCTAATTCGGAGCCAGCCCACGCGAATGGCTCAATCTCGCTTTCATCACTATTCAGTGTGTATAGAGCAACAGATCCATTATCAAAATGAGCGGCCAGAGTATCGCCGCTTAGATCTGTTTGTTCCAAACTAAGCCCATTTGTATTGAATCTCTGCTTATGTTCATGAGTGGCTGTGTCTAGAGAAAGTTCAACATGCGCAAGCTCCCCTCTCAAGCGGCCAAAAACTAGATGTTCGACACCGGAATCCTGTCTCCATTTCTCATCTCTGAGAAGATGCAATCCACAGACATCATCAAAGCTAGTTGCCTCCTCAACATCGTTGAAGGACACCCACTGTTCTTTAGACTGTATTCCAGACTGTTTGGATCGCAAAACGATTTGGTGGCCCGCACCCCACGCAAGCACTTCTCGTCGATCGGTCCAGCGTTCGCCATGCCAGACTTCATATGAGTCTATAGCTGGTCGGTACCCGAGAGTGGGATTGTCCCTACGGGTTGGCTCTTGAAACCCTATTCGGGTTGTTGCATTAGCTTGAGGTGGGATCACGAATCGGCCAATAATCCCAAGTTTGTCGAGGGCTCGTGATCGCGATGTGAGTGCACGAGCTGCATCTTTCCACAAAGGTGGGGTTTCAATGCATGGAAATTTATTTTGAACGAAAGATCGGAATATTGATGATTCTTCCGTGTTGATAATTTTATACAGTCGCTGACAGGTTTGTGCGAGGTTGGTCACACCACTGATTGTGGGAAGGTATATAGTGATATGCACCACAATCTCCGAGGGCAGGTCGGACAACATAGTAATCATTCAAGTTCCTGGGTGGCAACAAATGAATAGGTAACTGGCAATTGAGCCCTGTGCGGTTGTGCCACAAGAGTAGACTTTAGCAAATAGTTTTAAGTGTGACTTGGATTAATCAACGGCTTAACACTATTTTCAATATGCAGCATGACGAAATTCTGTAGTTTTCGATGTTCCCGATGCCTCGAGAGTTGTTGTCCCATGTACCCGTTGTATAAGTGTTGAAATGAAACTTTTATTCAAGTATAGAATGAAAGAGTGAATCGAATTTCTCAATAGAGAACCAGAATCATGAAACCAATCCGTGAGCCGAATTAGAGATATATGGTTAGTTATTGTTCATTGCCCACTCTTCATCGCAGGATGCGGCGAAGATGAGTCATCATAATTCCCTATTTAAGGCCAGCCAGGCCATCCAAATAGTGGCTAGCGGGGAAAAAAAACCTGTTGGCCCTATATTAACGTTTACCGCCTAGTACACTGCTATCTGTACTGTAAGCTCTACATAGATAGAAAAACAAGCAGAAAGACGAGTAGGAAGACAATTTAAAAGGCAAAGAGAGAAACATATTTCATAGATACTTTGAAATATATTCGTAAATTAATTTAAAAAGGAAGAAAGGTTACATCTCGAAGATACATCTTAAGACAGTAGAATTGAAGCTTGACTTAGTGATATTCGGGACATTTGGGCCAATCAGGGTGTTACTGTATTACAGGTATCGTTATTTTCTGCCCGTCTAATATAGGCCATAATGCGCTTTTCCCTCTGGGCGCTGTGGTCACCCGTATGTAAGCATATAGAAATTGATTGGCAAAATTACAGACCGCCTACAGCTTAGCCAAGATTTCATCATTCGTTTTGATCACTCCAATTCAAGGTGGTCAACCGGATCACAGCCACACACAATGCCTCCCCGACTCAACTTATTTGCCGCCCACAGGGCTGCCAATGCCCTCCGTCAATCGAGCGTGCCCTCCGGCGTACCCCGTGGTACCACTTTGCCTCTTCGATTCCGCGCCGAGCAGTCTACCCCAGTCCAGAAAAGATGGAACTCGTCGAAGGACGACTCGAAGAATATCCAGCCCGATGAGCAGAAGTTCCCCACACAAGATCCTCTTCCATCTGTCACAGAGGAGGCCGCAGAAATGTCGAGGATCATGGAGAAGGAGAAGAGTTGTGATGGACAGCCCTCCTCTCCAGAATTGGAGCAAGGAACTCCCGTCGAACAGATTCTCCAGCGCGACGAGAAGGCCCGCAAGCTCATGCCCAAGATTATGCAGGAACAATTCAAGAAGAAGGGTGGTTCTAGATCGTTCTCAACATCGGCTCGCAGCTACCTCCCTGAGACCGAGAAATTTGGAGCCAATGACGATATGTCAGCTGCCATCCTTGCCGATATGATCGGACAACTCAATGTGCAGGCCGCAGAGAAGATTCCAGAGGGCCTCAAGTTTGAAGAACCACCTGCTCCGACCAAAAAGGCCAACTTTCGGAAGCGTTACGACTCGCTGCAGGATCAATTCACAAAGATGTTGATGCATGATGGCAAACTAGCTCGGGCACAGAAGGTATGTCAATTTGAAATTCAATATCTTAAGCTGTTCATTCTGGCAAGATCTGTTTTAACACCTCCAATTTAGAACATGTCTATTATTCTTGATCACCTCCGTACCGCACCTCCCCCCAACATCAATCCCCGCCGACCCCTCCTTGGTGGCCCTCCCGGCCCTCAGTTGCCCCTCGACCCTGTTCTTTACCTCACCTTGATTATTGACTCCGTGGCACCGCTTTTCCGAATTCGCCAACAGAAGGGTATTGCTGGTGGTGGTACAGCTGTACAGGTGCCCGCTCCGCTCGCCCTGCGCCAGCGTCGCCGCGCCGCAATCAAGTGGATCATTGATGGATCAAACAAGCGCCGTGATGCGCAACTGGCCCACCGTGTTGCCAACGAACTGGTGGCTGTTGCAGAGGGTCGTAGTGGTGTATGGGAACGTCGAGACCAGCAACACAAGATTGGTATCTCTGGCCGTGCAAACTTGGGTATTGCTCCTCGTCGCCGGTAGTCCAATCACATGTGAGATAATAAGGCTCACATATATGTATGTTTAATTGGGTATCAGCACTTTATTTCCTCGGCATTTTTTGTACATGTAGTATATCTAGTTTTTGCCCGCATTTGATTTGACGTGATCCATATAGTGGTACATTTTTGTACACTTTCTTCCTGGGTATTTTCTACCTTTTCAGACATTTCCTCCAGAATAAAGATCACGATACCCTCACATATGAGAAAAGAACCTTCTAGGCCTGTTCATGAATTTACTTGTATTCAGCTATGGCCATTTAAAATGCTTGCTATAGCCTGCGCCTGATAGGCTGTATATGGCTTACTCAGCTTATCAGAGATCATTCCCGATCAGGCAAGCAACGGTCCCTGAGCTCATCGCGACATCTTTAAAAAAAGCTCCTGCAAGAATACAACCTCGCCGACGGTATCATAATCTGGCTGGTGTCTCGGAGACTAAATATTTCAGCGTTAATCCCAGCTTCGATCTGCCGTGCACTGCTCATTGCCAGCCTGACCACCAGTGCAACCCACGCAAGCGGCCCCAGCTGACCACAGCTCGATTTATCTAGCGCCCCGCAATACCTACTCATTTGACTCAAGCGGGCCCCTCTTGCTGGCACAATTGCGCATAACCGAATACCCCTCCTAATTCTCTGCGACAGTGGCTTCCTCCTCGAGTCGTGGATCTTTCGAGCTCGCCGATTTCAGCGTCACCCAGTCTTCTAGAGAAAGAGTCCCGCCTTCCACATCGGCCGGTGTTCACCCTCCGCCGCGTGCCTCACGGCCATCTCGATCCTCCACAGACTCACGGCCGTTCGACGGACTTGGGGCACGACAAGACACAGCGTGGGAGAAAGCATCTTCACCTAATCAGCTCCCTGGGGGTGGCGCCCGGTCTACTCCCCTCAGGTTCTGGCGAGAGGCGCTTCACAATCGGGCGAATCGAACAAACCGAGCAAATCAGGCTCAAGACCAGGTCGATCCTGAGACTGCAGACAAAATGAAGTTCTCGCATAGTATTCAGTTCAATGCGGTGCCCGACTGGAGCAATAATTATATTGCGTATAGCAATCTCAAGAAATTGTAAGTTCATCTCAGGGTTATACCCTTTCCTGTGGTGTGGGCCTCAAAACAGCTAGTTTGGGGTTATCGCACCTCACCTAAATATCTCTTTGTCATCATTTGAGTTATTTTGTACCGCTCCTGATGCACCGGGTGCGGGTGTCACATTGCACAGGATTATGCATGTTCGCGAAGCGTGGGATGGAGAATTTGATCGAATGCTGATTCGGAACTTAATTATTTGTTTCTTCTAGGATATATACACTTGAGAAACAAGTCAACCGACCTGAAGGCCAAGGAAATGGAGACGTCGAGTCGGCACCATTGCTCGGCCCTCAAATCACCAACCCGGACGGTATTTTCAAGCGTGCCCTCGATGCCGAGCTGCAAAAGGTTCTCGTATTCTATGACCAGAAAGAAGCGGAAATTTTTGATCGCACTGAACAATTGATGCGAGATGCCATAGTATATCTCAACGAAACGGACGGTGTCAATATGGATCCTGTTAGCGAGACAACTGTCAAGGCCACTTCTCGCCGTGGAAGAACGAGTGGCGGCTTCGCCCAAGCACGTCAGACTGGCGCTACTAGCGATGAAGATGGAGACAGTGATGATGAACCGTCTTCTTCGCTTGCAAATCTGCGAAACAGAAGACAGTCGACAGATGGGGAATCAACAACGGATGTGCAACCCGGTGACCTATCAGATTCGGCGTACTTTGGACAGGCAAGCAGTCGAGGACTCGCGGGCTCTGAAATCGGTGACCAAGCGTTCCTTGCTCTTTATAATGCTGGTGTCGATCTAAAGAAGCGTCTCGTTGAAGGTTATGTCACCCTTCGTGAGCTCAGATCTTTCATCGAATTGAACAAGACCGGATTCGCCAAAGCCCTGAAGAAGTATGATAAGACTCTTTTCCGCAGTTTGCGCCGGGATTATCTCAACTCTGTCGTGAATTCAGCGGAACCTTTCACTGAAAGCACGATGGCAACTGTTGATTCGTATATCGACAAGGTCGAGGGCGTGTACGCTGATATAGTCACAAAGGGTAATCGCTCGTTGGCTAATCGAGAGCTACGTTTACATCTACGTGAACATGTGGTGTGGGAGCGAAACACTGTATGGCGCGAGATGATTGCGATTGAACGTCGTGGTCAAGCCTTAAATGTTGGTATTCGTCAAACTTTACTTGGAGCCGACGAAGACCCAGAAACCGCGCGTCGTCAAGGCGACAAGCAAGAAATCCAGACAACGGAGATTTCAACACCCCTTGGTCGAATTCACTTCCCACTGTGGTTTTGCAGTTTGAGCTTTGGTACATTGGTTCTCAGTTTTGCTGTCTTCGGTGCTTTGCTTTCACTGCAGATTATGGAAACAGCTGAACAGCAAAACTGCTTGGCAATGCTTGTGCTTGTGAGCATTTTGTGGGCCACTGAGGTGAGAGAGCACCCCTTATTACTCCCAACTTTGGTTTATTCTGTTTCTGACTTTCTTCTCATTAGGCCATTCCTCTTTTCGTTACATCTCTTTTGATCCCATTTTTGGTTGTGGTTCTTGGGATTATGCGATCAACCGACAATCCGCCAAAACGATTGGGCCCCAAGGAGGCAACTGGTGTGGTATTCGGTGCGATGTGGACTCCCGTCATTATGCTACTTCTTGGTGGCTTCACCATTGCTGCAGCGCTCTCTAAATATGACATCGCCAGACGTATGGCTATGTTTGTGCTCAGCAAGGCCGGATCTAAACCGCATACTGTCTTGCTGACCAACATGTTTGTGAGCATGTTTTTGAGTATGTGGATCAGTAATGTGGCTTCCCCTGTCCTTTGTTACTCTATCATCCAACCCCTCTTGCGCAATTTGCCTGCGGAATCAGATTTCGCCAAGGCACTCGTTTTAGGTATTGCCCTTGCAGCCAATGTTGGCGGAGCAGCGTCGCCAATTGCATCGCCCCAGAACATCATTGCGCTACAGAATATGCACCCCAACATCAGTTGGGGTACTTGGTTTTTTATCGCATTGCCCGTCTGTATCATCTCAATCCTACTGATCTGGGGTCTTTTGTTGGTGACGTTCCATCCCAACCGCAATACAACTGTTATTCCGATGCGCCCCGTTAAGGATCGGTTCACTGGCATCCAGTATTTTATTAGTGCAGTGACCCTTGGGACTATTGTGCTCTGGTGTGTTAGCCACCAACTCGAGCATATCTTCGGAGACATGGGTGTGATCGCTATCATCCCTCTCGTGTTGTTCTTCGGTACTGGTATCCTCAACAAAGAAGACTTTAACAACTTCCTCTGGACCATCATCATCCTTGCCGCTGGTGGTCTCTGCCTGGGCAAGGCCGTCACTTCATCTGGCCTCCTACACACCATTGCTTCCGGAATCACGGTTCGCGTTGAACATCTCAGTCTATATACTGTGCTCCTCATCGTTTGCGCCCTCATTCTTGTCATCGCCACCTTCATCTCGCATACCGTTGCAGCATTGATCATCTTGCCTCTTGTCCGTCAAATCGGCGTCAGCATGGAGGATCCTCACCCCAACTTGCTCGTCATGGCAAGCGCCTTGATGTGCTCTGTTGCCATGGGATTGCCAACTAGCGGGTTCCCCAATATGAGTATGTGCTCGTCTACACCTTCCTACCATATATTGATACTAACTTACTTTTCACAGCTGCGATCATGGCGGAAGTCCCGCAAACAGGTCAGCGATACCTTCAAGTCCGGCACTTCCTTACTCGCGGTGTCCCCTCGAGTATCATGTCCTTCGTGGTGATTGTCACGCTTGGGTACGGCTTGATGATCATTGCGGGATTGTAAACTATGGGATTCTGAATATTCTTCATTCATCTTTCTGTGAAAGGTGCCGTTCACCTTTTTATTCTTCTCTCTTTCCTTTCTGTGATTTTGTGCGTTTGACTTTGGAGGTCATTCATTTGAATATACCAGAACTTCTTGGTGGTACCCTGTTCGTTTATGAGGTGGATTGATTCAGTCGTGGGCTGCGTAATATAAGTCTCATGGTTCATGTTTTCAGGATTCGCGAAGTTTAATAGATTGACATGGCATTGTATATACTATGTCTCCTTTTTGAATTGATGAAAATGAAATAGAATAGAATCAGTCCATTTCAAAATATGCCGAGAGACCCTAGATGAGAATATAATCAAGCGATTTACCTAGCCTAACCCTGCTTGTAAGGTGGGGCATGTCTTCAATGAGGTTCCACATGAGTACCCGGGTCTCACAGTCCTAGGGGCAACTCAATAGAGATCTGCGAACTACGTATCAATACATGTCACTAGATACATCTACTATACCCTTTATGAATGTATATTGTACCATTACCTATGATCTCATTACGTCGCAGCGCATATACTACATATACCTAATACCAGGTAGTTTACCCACATAACAGGCCATCGATCAATGATGACAAAATCGAAGTTGTAAGTGTAAAGTCTTCATTATCCCATTCGCCAAATCCAGCTACTATGTCTGGGAGAATATTGTACTGTACATTCAATATCAAACACACATGGAAACCATATCTAGGGAATTGAGCAGAATAGCCTGGCGATCCACTAGTGTAGGTATAAAGGGACGATGAGAAACTAAAAAATCAAAAATCAAAAATCAAAAACAAGCCAGGCCAAGCCATGCATATCCTGCATCTTGCATCACCGTAAGCGTGAAGGTCGTTTCGTCGCGAGAATATATTGAGATCAAAATAATAAATAAAGACTCGAAGATCACCAAGGAAGAAGCTGATAATGAAATGCTTCTCTAGTCGCTAGAGCCAGGTCAGATTAATTACTGTAGGGTCAGTTAGGAAGTTTTCTTCTGGAAAATGCGTCACGCAGGGATAAATGGAATGGGAGAATACTAACAGTAATCCTAGAGTCAAATCACCGTGAATCTTCGCCTTGAGTTGAATCTCAATATCCAGATTAAGATCCAGTCGCAGACGCAGCTGCTCGTCACGACCACCGTCGTCCTTTTCTTCCTTTTGTCCTTGTCCACCGCCGAGAACACCACCGACAGCCTTGCCTGCTGACCCGGTGACACCATTCAGAGCATTACCAGCGGTGTTCTGGACTAATTGGCCTGCTTGGTCTACGCCGCCACCACCAAGAGCGTCAAGGGGACCTCCACCTTGCTGTTGCTGTTGCTGGGGTTGACGGGTGCGACGGGTGCGCTGACGGGGTTGTTGTTGTTGACCCTCCATATCGCTGCGTTTGACAGACTCGACGTCAGACTCTTGATTACGCTGAGGACGGGGACGTCGGCGACGACGTTGTTCAGGTTGAGGCTGAGGTTCTGGTTCAGGTTCAGGCTGAGCGTTGTTCTGGTCTTCGTTTTTCTCGTCGTCCGAGTCTGGCTCTTGCTTGCGAGGTTCGGGTTCTTGCTTTTCCTCTGATTCTTTTTCCTGCTCTGGTTCTTCTCCTTGCTCTTGTTCTTGCTCTTGCTCGGGCTTATCCTCGGTCTTATCCTCCTTGGACTCTGGTTTCTCGTCCTGTCCTTGCTCTGAAGGAGGTGGAGTCTGTTCTTGTTTGGCAGGGGACTTCTTTCCAAGCTTGGGAGGAGTACGCTTCTGTTTGGTAGGGGTAGATGTAGAGTCCGGGTTAGGAGATTGTGCTTCCTGATCAGCCATAGTGGAAAGAAAAGAAGAAGGGGAAGATGGGATGAGGGGCAAATATGAAGTGATCTGTAGCAGAAGATGTGGGTTATGAGGGACAAAGCGTCACTGGTGCGAGGGTGGGCGGGCTGCAGGAATGCGTAAAGTAACTAGGATAAGATTAAACCATATGAGGTATGATGTATGTGGAATACAGGACGGGACAAAGTGCTTGTACGCTTGTCGTTTATATCATGGAGCCACCCAAGTGCACAAAACCGGCACCGATGAGCGTGTTGCCTGCCGCCTCCGACGTCAGGGTTGGCTGGGCCAGGGACGTACAGAGTGTGGCTCAAGGCGTATTACTGTATGGCTCGAAGTACGACGACCGTTCCCAATTGCAAGCAATCTATACTGGGAACTCCATGGAAAGTTGATTTTGACGCGATGATGTGGGGAGGAAGCTGAGGTATGACGTTGGTGCCGCGCAGGGATCAGGCTGGAACCTCTCCGTCTGGAGCAAGCGACTTGTTTTCGCAAGTTGGAGAAAGTCCAGGGAGTATAATGTTTCAGGCCGGTCCTTAGATCTGAATTAATCTAATTGAATTTTCCAGTCCGAGTTGTACAAGCAGTCATGTCAAAAAGCGGTGGTGTACACCACACCCACCGGAGCCAATCATGACAATCACGGAGCAAATTTGGCATTGGCAGCCCCTCCATGTGCCCCACTTTTATATATTAAGTAGACGTAAGACCGTTGCAGGTTTCCATCGTGTCGCGGCAATCAGTGTAAAAGTTGGCATATGACGCCACTGACGGTCCAAGCCTGCTTTTTTTCTTCCCTGTTGGCTGTATGGCTGTACCACAGGCTACACGGTCTCTGCATAGACCCTTCCTTTACTGGGTCAGCCACAGTTGAACCGTCAGCACGCATTAAAAAATGGTTCAGGCCACGAGGAAAAACCGTTGTTGCCACAGCATGCCATGGCAGGTGGCGTAGAATACCCTTGGTAGCGTCTGTCAATGTTGATTTCTTCTCGGCCGGCGGAGTAGATCTATTCCCGTATATGGGTGTCAGAAAATAGACCTGGCTATGACCACGGAACATCCCCAAAGTGGAACACGCCAACTGCATGACGAGGGTGGGTTTAGGTGGAAATTCAAAGGGTCAGTGTATGACGGAAAATACACAACAGTAGAAGACCATCCGCCGCCAACGTCATTTGCTCAAATCATGATGCTGTCCCTCTCGAGTTAATTTGTGCTGCTCTAGCTGCCCATTAGATTGAAATCATATTAGCGTTTCTGTTTCTTTCTTTCAATCTTTATTCAAGTTCAACATTTGTTCTATTTCCATAGCCCGAGTCTTCTATTTCGGTCCCCGGAATATATTCTATACACCTCCCAACCTCCTACTACCTTCTACCTACTCACTTCCCTACTCTCCGACTTTCCAGGGTCATCGTAAATATTCGCCATGGCTACCGCCGAGAAGACCCAGGAAAAGCAGAAACAGTTCCAAGTGCCAGATTACGAGTCAGGCGAGGACTACGATAGCGCCGATGATGATTACTCGGATGAAGAGGAGGAGGAAGAGCAGGAGGCTCCCGTTCAGAACCAACAACAACTGCAACGTCGTCGAAAGCAGCCTCCAAAGAAACAAGATGAGCTGGAAGAGCTCTCAGATGAAGACGACTACTATTCCGATGAATACTCCGACGATGATGACGGAATCATGCAGCGCAGAGAGGACGATTGGAGCCCCAGCGGTGGTATGAACGTGATTGATGAGAAGAAGAAAAGTATCGATGATGAGGAGGGTATGAAGTTGAAGCTCGAGTTGAATTTGGAGATCGAAATCGAGCTCAAGGCCCGAATCCACGGTGATCTGACCATTGCTCTAATGTAAGTTTTCTCAATCCCTATCCTTCTTCCTCTTGCAATGAATCGCGCTCAACCGAGACTAGGAGTTGATCACATTGGGCGCAGTGCATAAATCATCCTCATAACGGATCCGTACCACCAACCTTCCAAGTCGACTGTGTTATATTTCCTATCTCCCGTTGGTCTCGCGGAGTATTCCTCGCCTTTGGATGGATGCTCATGATTGTCACGATCCATGTTTTCCCTCTTCGCAGCATTTGATTCGCATCTAGTTTCTCGTTTTTTTCTTTTCTTTTCCCATAGAGCTACGACCGAAACGTCTAATCCCCGTTCTATTTCTGGCTATTCGGATTGCTTTGAATCTTATGGTCTATTGTCGGCGTGGCACACGGTTTCCATTTCTTGGATTCTGTAACTAAATGTATATATTCCCGTTTGAATTGATAATTGGTCCGAGATGTCCCTCCGAGCCAAGAAACCTTGCCATCGTTAGTGTCAAATCATAATTGTTCCACCTACATCCGTACCTACATGATGATTGAATTTTGGACCGAGATCTTGGAGCATTTCAAGGTTGCGGTGTGAAAACGCGTGGGCGAACTACATAACCGAACTACTATCGTGAACTTGAACCTAATGAAAAGTCCCAACAGAATTTGTGTCTAGAGGCTTTCAAGTTCTTACTATCTGTTACATAGTGTTATATAGTATGTAGCACCTACCTATTCATTCAACCTTCAAATGTTGAAAAAAAAAAAGTATCCATCTTGCGATTCCAACTTGAAGATTTAGGTGCTACGTATAGTAAATATACATTAAAGACAACCTACACGTACTACTAGCCCTAGAGGTAGCAGTACTATTGAGTTTGCCTGGACAGCTGGAACGTAGATATGAACAAAATCGGATGCAATACTAGCTCTAAGCTCAATATCAGATAAAAATGAAATAACTCGATTGTAATAAAAATGTGGATAGAATTTCTAACTGGGTGCCCAGGTGGACTCTAGTACACACATGTTGAGCACGGTTAAAAAGCCGAGGCTAGGTCTTGGCGCAGATCAACAGCGCATCCATCCTTCAAATGGGAACTTCTACAACACCCAATTGCCCCTAACCCACCTGCCTAGACAACAATTCTAGTTACCTAGTAGCGCAACCCCTCACGCTCATCTTCATCGCTTCAACCGACCTCCAGTAATTTATTTTTTTCTTATTACAAGCTGTTCGCAAAAATGTCGAAGGAGTTCATTATCAAGCACATGAACGCCGATCATGGCGATTCTCTGCAGCTCTATCTCCAAGCATTCAACAAGATCAGTGCCCGCGAGGCGCGCAACGCTCAGATCGAAGACCTCACCCTCTCCAGCCTTATCCTCAAAGCCAACGGCACCCGCTACCACGTCCCCATCGAGCCTGCCATGAAAGATTTCACCGAAGCCCGTGGTCGTTTGGTCGCACTGCACAAGGAAAGCCTCTACCGCCTGGGCCGCTCCGAAATCACCCTGACGGAGTACCGGGCTCCACAGGGATTCCTCCAAATCGCGATTTTTGGGCTTACCTTTTTCACATACGTAACTTGTTTCCAGCAGAGCAACCTGCTGCCGGGCGCATTCGTTTACGAAAACTTCGGCTACAAGTACGTCCCTGACTTCGCCCACTTTGTCTACAATATCCAGCCATTCTTGTTCCCTGCTGTCACGGTGATTCATACTCTCGAGACAATTTTACTCGCTGTCCTTAAGTTGAAGCCGCACGGCGTTCCGGTCTTGTCTGGGCTGTGGTGCAAGTGGGCGGCTTCGTGTTTTATAGAGGGGTATGGGTCTTTCCGACGGATTGATCAGTTTGTGAAGGAGCAGGAGGCGAAGAAGGACGGAAAGAAAGAGTAGTGGATGTGATTTCGTTGCATATAGGCCACCTAAAGTGACATCAAAGGGTCTTAGACCAATGCTGCTCTTCTAAATCAATGACCCTGATGGCAGTAAATTCGAATTATGCATGAAAGTACACAACCGCGTCCGCCTTTGGCTAGGGTCAGATAAGATATCATTAGTAATCAATCGAGGGCACATGTCACGGGACTTGTGGATGCGATGAGATAAGCCACGCTAGTCCAATTACGAACTAGTGTCAGTTAGGGCAACCGCACAAGCGAGCGACACAGTGCGCCTTGCGAAATTCGACGGACTCCACGACAGCATCTCCTAACGACAACCCTATCGACAATAGTTCTGCTTTTGGTGAAGGGACGCAGAATTAGAGGTGAGTTTTCCTCTCGAACCGCTCTGCAACCTTCATTTCTTTCCTTCTGCTTCGTCCGAGTCGACAATCGGGTGCCATTCGAAGAAAAATTATCGACCGGGACTTGTTCGATTTCAAGATTGCCCACGATCAACCTCAACAACCCTTCGACACATCGCCAACCCGTCCCAGACACAATGAATTAAGCCCTGAATTTTCCGCTCGAGACCTATCAGAAGTTTTGAAATAGAGGATTGTCGGAGGTACATATATCGAAGGGCAAAAGTTCTAATTTTTTACTGTTCAACAGACCCCCTCATCAACCGCAAATATGGGTATTTCTCGTGATTCTCGCCACAAGCGCAGCGCCACTGGTGCCAAGCGCGCTTTCTACCGCAAGAAGAGGTACGGTGCACCTGTCAATTGAGTTCGAAAGTTTTTTCTCTCGGTGTTGTCTGCATGGAACGGAGTGGTGGCGTGTTTCATGTGTTCTCTGTGTGTCTTTCAAGTCACATTGGAAGAACACGGAGGATCACCAGCGATTCAACTTTATCAACATCTTGAACCGCAATTTTCTGACTTGTTCCCCAACAGAGCTTTCGAGAAGGGTCGCCAGCCCGCCAACACTCGTATCGGTACCAAGCGTATCCACCTTGTCCGCACCCGTGGTGGTAACCAGAAGTACCGTGCCCTCCGTCTTGAGTCCGGTAACTTCTCCTGGGGCTCCGAGGGCGTTGCCCGCAAGACCCGTGTCATCGGTGTCTCCTTCCACCCCTCCAACAACGAGCTGGTCCGCACCAACACCCTGACCCGCTCCGCCGTTGTCCAGATCGACGCTGCTCCTTTCCGTCAATGGTACGAGGCCCACTACGGCCAGGCTATCGGCCGTCGTCGTCAGCAGAAGACCGATGTCGTTGAGGAGAAGAAGAGCAAGTCTGTCACCAAGAAGCAGGCTGCCCGCTTCGCCGAGCAGGGCAAGGTTGAGGGTGCCATCGAGCGCCAGTTCGAGTCCGGACGTCTGTACGCTGTTGTCTCTTCCCGTCCCGGCCAGTCCGGCCGTGTTGACGGCTACATCCTGGAGGGTGAGGAGCTGGCTTTCTACCAGCGTGCGATCCGCAAGTAAACGAAAAAACAAAAGGGAAAACCATCGGTTTGGGTGCCGCATGGGTTGTCGTTGCACGGGTGGTTATCGGAGTTTCGACTATGTTTGCCAGAAAACTTTCATGATCTGGGCATCTGCGGATGCAATGTCTGTAGAGCTCTGAGCCGTCTATTCCATAGGAATGATTTCCTGCTTTACGTTATTTTTGTTCTTTTTTTTGTCACCTCTCTTCTCTATTCCCTTGTAAATCTACAGTAGCTGTAATTCTCCATGTAAACGTATGCAGTAGAGATGGGGCCGGCTGATGCTGACGTTTTGCCCCCGCAAACATTCCAGGTAGCTTCGACCGAGGAGTCACATTAATCCCAATCTTTCTTTTTCTGCTGAACTCTCCCTTCTCAACAACCCTACCTTTCCGTCCAAAGCCATCACATAGAGAATCGAACTACCTATCATGACCATGCCTGAGCGGGTTAAAACCCGCATTTGCATGATTTCAGACACCCATACCAACACGCCCGTCCCCGCATCCTTCACATCCAACCCATTTCGAAACCCGCTTCCAGAAGCCGACGTCCTCATCCACGCAGGCGATCTCACAGTAAAAGGATTCGCCGCCGAATATGAGAAGACCATCTCGATGCTCAAGGCCGCGAAGGCCGAACTAAAGCTCGTAATTGCTGGCAATCACGACCTCACCCTCGACGAAGAATACTACTCAAGCTACGGCTACCGGCGGCACCGCATACCAGTACGGCTAGACACTACACAATCAGCACTCGAAAATGAGGAGCAATCTCTTATGCGCACAATCCGGGTTGGCAATGTTCCTCGCATCGAGGCCTTTCAATCATATACCCGTCACGTCAAGGAGTTATGGACAAACCAGTCAGCCCGAGACGCAGGCATCCGATATCTGGAAGAGGGAGTCCACTCATTCATCTTATCAAATGGCGCCAAGCTCACTATATACGCATCTCCATACCAACCTGAATTTTTTCGCTGGGCATTTGCCTATAATCGCTCAGAAGATCGCTACAACCTCCCCCGTCCAGGCTCGATAGACCCCCCTCCTCAGAATCCCGTTCCAGATCATCCAAACATAGACATTATGCTCACGCATGGCCCGCCATATGGTATTCTCGATCGTGTCGGGGACGACTCGGTGAATTATCAAAGAGAATCTGATACAGATAGCCACGTTGGGTGCAAGAACCTTCTTCGTGCTGCAGAAAGATCTCGTCCTCGTGTCTATCTGTTTGGACATATTCATGAGGGATGGGGTGCTGTTCGTGGTACCTGGGATATGTTCGCCAATGGAGGAGTCAAGCAGGAGCCTATTATTCTGCCACAAGAAGAAATGGCAGCAAATCGGGGCGCGTTTTATGATATAAGCTCCGAAAGTGATAGGCCATTGCAGTTTGGTGGGGAAACGCTTTTTGTGAATGCAAGTATTTGTACGCTTTCGTATAGGGCAACGAACGCGCCTTGGGTCATTGATTTGGATCTTCCTGTGGCTGAAACAGACGATCTGGCGCAGGCTGGGAAAGACAATACGGAGCAGAAATGATGGACTCTCCGTTGGATGAGAACTTAACCTTCCTGTTTTGGCGTTTACATATTCGGGTAATGGCGGGACAATGGTACAATGAATTGACGAGATATGAAACCTTGATAGGCTTAGAAATTGCTTGACCAAACAACACATTAAAAACACAGATATATGTTTATTTCTATTGCTGGCAATCCTCTCCTCCAAAAATGTAGTACCAAAAAAAACACCTGGGCAGACATTCCACAGGTTATATTAGGTAGCACCAGAACTAGAATTTATAAAAGAAACACAATCTATGTACGTGATATTTTGATCGGGAAATGGCAGTTCCATACAGCCCTTCCCATGTAGATGCTAACCGAATAAAGAATTTACATGATGTCAATGCGCTGTAAGATTTCATCAAATCATAGGCTTGTCCATAGGCTTGATAATGCCCTTCTTCACAATGACACGAGGTTTGGTTCCACTCTGGTAAGTTTCCTTCGTGGACCACTCCGGACCCAGAGGCATGCGTAGTGACCGCTCATATTGGGCCTTGGATTCAAACTCGTGAGGCAATGTGCTAGCCATGTACTTGGCGTTCTGTAGAAGAGTTGTTAGTATGTGGCCATAATATTATGATATCTGAACAAATTCCTTACCTTCTTGACACGCTTCTGATTTATGATCACACGATCGAGCTTGGCATCTTTTCGTTGCTCAGGCTTAACGCCCTCGACCTTGGTCAGGAAGCGCTTCTTGTTCTTCTGGGATTTCTTGCTCACGCCCTCACCGGCCCAGCTTCCCCAGCCATCAAGGGTGTTGTCGATAACCTTGTCTCCTTCATCTTCAATGGTGTCCAGTTTTTCTTGCTCAAAGTCTTGGACAACTTCATCGCCAGCGAATGCCCTCTTAACAAGATCATGGTTCTTGAGCAGGACAGGGACGTTATCTTCGTCATCGCTGTCGTTTTGGGCATCGGAATAAGAAGCCTTTTTGGCGGAAGTTTGCTGAGATTTTTTGGCTGGCTTGGTTTTCTTAGATGAGACTTGCGCTTGTAATGTTTCTGGCTCTTCATCGTCCAGCGTGATCTCCATCGCCTCGTGGGCATCTGTACCTGTTCGGCGACGGTTGGTACGTTCAGTTGAAACCAGCCAAGGGTTTTCTTCGACGGCAGTCTCCTTTGGTTGTTGGGTAAACATCTTGTCTGAAGGCTTGGAAGTTGGCTTAGATGGGGCGGAAGTGGCAGGCTTTTGCTTGACAGGACGATCGACAACAATATCAACATCTTGATCTTCATCATCTGAGCCAGCTGTCTCCTCGAGCTCGTTCTTGGGCAAGGCCTTTGTTTGAGGCTTGGCGTCGGTCTTCTTGGACTGACCGAACTTTCGTCGGCCGACGTCCGATTCAGCTTCAGACTCTGAGCCTTCGCCGTGAAGCTCACGGTTAAGACGTCTGACCTCCGCGTCGTTCTCTTCCTTGCGAGCCGCCTCAGCATTTTGCATGAATTTCATTGAGAAGAGATTGGAATGCTGGCCCTTGGGAAGTTCAGTATCGGCCTCCTTGTCCAGAGCGCGCAGCTTCTTCTGCACCTTGCGCTTCTCTACATCAGAAGCATCAGAGGCCCAGGGGTCCTCGTCGCCTTCTGACTCGCTAGATGATTCAAGGTAAGTATCATCTCCGCGCGAGACACTCTTTCCTTCGATTCGCCTGCGCAGCTCCTCCTCGCGGAGAGCCAAGTCTGCTGCACCGTTGCGAGCTTCCTCGTCCCAGGCAGTACGCCCGGTCTCCTTCAAGCTCTTAGCCCACTTGCTGTCTCGGTGCTTGGAACCCATACGGGCCTCAGCTCTGAGTCGCTCATTCTTCTCCTGGTCCATTTCATCCAGGTCCACACCGGCTTCCAGGAGTGCTTGTTTTTCTTGCAGTTCAAGACGCTCACGCTCTTTACGGTGAACACGACGGTAGGCCTTACTCTTGATCTTCTTGATACGCTTAGAACGGACTTCCTCACGAAAAAGCAAGTCACGGCGCTTGCGCAATTCGGCACGCCGGGCCTGGATCTCTTCAATAGGCAATGTGCGAGCTTGGATTTCTTCGAAGCCTTGGACTTCTTCTTCGTTGGACTGGCCATTTGCTTGAGACAAGCCACTTTCTGTCAGGATGTTTTGGATAGTAGCTTCCAGGTCGTTGGCAGGCTTGGCAGAATCCATGCGGTGGACCTGCTCATTATCCGGATCAGGTAGGGGGAAAACCAGATGCTCGGCTCGGCGATTATGCTTGACAGTCTCGATCCAGCGGTCCAGGGTTTCTTTGCTCTTATCATAGGCTGCGGAGCGGTCGAGCTTATCCTGTTGGCGCTTCGCTAATGGTGCATCCAGCTTTCCTGGGATACCGGCCTTAGATTCCTTGGGAGCAGCGTCAACGTGCTTCAAAGAGCCCTTGAGACGAGAGTCTGTGATTGATGGCAACAGATCGGCGACAGTTAACTTTCGAGATGAGGTCAAGCCGTACTCGGAAGGCTTGCCTTGTTCTTGCGACTTTTGGGTGGATTTCGTACGGCGCCCTGTGTCCATGGAATCGACAAAGTCCTGAAGCTTGGATAGGCCATCACCCTGATCATCGGCGTCCTCGTCAGTAAAAGACAATTGATCATCATCACTTTCGTCTTCTTCGCTGTCGCCTTCAGAGCCTGAGTCTTCGTCACTGTCCTCTCCCATAGAAGGCCTTTTAGATTTGGTGGCAGCTTTCTTTGCTTCGGCCTCTTCCTCTGCAGTGTTCATATCCCATGCAGTCAAGAGATCCACAGCGTCTTCACCAAGATCATCATCCTCGTCAGACTCGCCCTCCTCGGATGAGTTGACATCCGCGCGCTTTTTTGTAGGTTTCTTTGCCTTGGATTTAGACTTTGTGGTCGAGCTTCCGCGGAATGTGAAGCCTTCGAATCTTTCCTCGTCACTTTCTCCCAGAGCTTCATCACTGTCTAGCTCACTGTCGTCGTCACTGTCCACTTGTCCTAATTTCCACTCGTGACCCTCGCTATCACTGCCACCATTCAAACTTTCATTATCGGGGGCGGTGTTGAATCTGCGGCGTTTGTAGTCTGGTACATCCCCCTCTTCATCACCATCTTCGTCATCGTCACGGTTTGAGTATCTTTTTGGGTTCGAGCCGTCATCGTAGTAACCAAGACGAGTTCGTCGCACACCCAGCTTGTTGGGAATTTGTTTTTCGGCGATTGAGAGGGCGTTTATGGCACGGCCATTTTTGCGCTTTTGGGCTGGCTTGGGAGCAGCATCTCGGTCTTTCGGACCCCGCGAAATCGTTTGTTGGCGAGGCATGGTGGGATTATTATATGCGAGTCACTATTATGAATAAAGGAAAGATTCCACAAGTGTGATCCTCGTATATTTGAGCCCCAAAATGGCTCTGTATGTGAGCGTAGTTCAAAGATGTTTGGTTTGGTTGTTCCGTCCAATTTTTTTTTTTGCTGCGAAAAAGTTCTCGGCGCGGAGATTGGCGGTGGCTGACCGCCCGGACGTGGGATTTCTCATGCTCAACCGTTCATCATTCCGCCCACTGTTTGCTGTGTCTACGCCCTTCCAATTGTCGTCAATATGGTTAAACCTTCAGCTCCCATGATGGCGCGTCTGCGCTTAACTACCAAGGCGACCAACAAGGGCTACTATAAGGGTACCCGAACAGGGTCTATGGGTCAATTTGTCAAGCAGGGGAACTACGTGATCAACTGGGAGAAAGTCCGAACATATGTCGTCCCTGATGACCTGACAAGCTTCAGAGTTCGTATCGATCTTGCTATAACGGTTTTTAGCCATTGCTAATTTCAAATTTAGCTCACACCTTTCGTCTCAAGGAAAGTGGAGGCCAAACGCGATCAATACTTCAAGGAGATCAATCGCAATGGCCGCACGGTCACAGTGGTTGATAGCTTGAAGGGACAAGATTATCTCAACATCTGGGGAGACAAGAACGCCGAGGAGGTTGTTGAGCGTGAGACCGCCGAGAATGTCGTAAACCAGAGCGAAGCAGCGAAGAACGCCGGACAATCCAGCCAATAAATACATTGCGCACCAAATCCTTCATTTCCTCAATCGTGAGTTCGATGGAGTTCATATTCATAATCACCCAGTCTCAGAATGCTGACAGTGTATTGCAGGGATTAAACAACATAGTCCCTCCTCCTTCAACCCTACTCTTGAACGGCCAATCTTCTGATCTACACCTCCTCCGCTCGCTGGCCGATCGCACATTCTATGTATTATATGTACAGCATACTTGATTGAATAAAAGGCCTCGACCAGGCCTTTTCTAAGGGCAGCATCAAGCGCCAGTGGATGTATGCCTCATGCGTGCTCCGGTTTTCATGGCTATAGCATCATGAAATTGGAATGCCCGATATCTGGCGATCTCTTACAAATCTTATAGAACATCTCTTTTAAAGCGCTTGATCTCAATGCATAACAATAAGTCTCGTAATTATTTTTACCTACTTTATTCTTCTTCCAATTAGAATAAATGTATCTCTTTTACTAGTTCACAAGAACTTCTCTTGGTGCGTCGCATTAGTGTGGAAATCCCGCTTGTCTCCGGCAATTTCGGTGCGTGGCCCGTGCCCATGAATCCGATCCGATAAGGTCGCTATGCTCGCCCATATCGATCGCCGATATGTCATAGTTCTTCACGTTCGCATTCATTGCCGACGCTGCGAGATGGGCTTGCATCTCTTCCTTTTATTAGCATCTACAGCGGTTTGATTTTCATTAGATCTCTATCTACACTACAGTCCTTGCCTCAAGGCAACTGGCTCGCACCATGTTCCAGTCTTTTACTGGTAGCTCTCGTCGCCCACGGCAGGTGAACCTGAGCGGCCGCACCTCCAACCCTTTCGCTACATTCCCCGGTAGCTCCCCCAGCCGACCGGCCCCGCATGCTTCGAACCCACAGAGTGCTGTCGCCATTGCGCAGCAGGAACGAATACAGAGACAGCGGGATAGGGAGAAGCAGAATGCCATCCGGACCATTCAGCGGGTATGGAGGGGTTATAGCAATAGGAGGACAACATATGGAGATTGGAGATTAGAGTGGGATGGGAACGAGCGAGATATGCTAGGTGACATGAACATCAAACCTGGGACCCCATTACGCCGTCCTGCCCCATACGCGACTGCAGACCAGTGCCTAAGCCAACTGCGGCTATTGGTGCAGTTCGTCTCTGCGAGGCAGACAGATGATGTGTTCCGACTCGTATACTTTGTCGATACACTCGAACGAACTTTTCAAACACTTCCTACAATTGCTAGTGAGGGCGAATGGACCAAACTTCTTAAACGGTTGGCTCTCGTTGTGCTGCGTGTGCTCAAATACTCTTCGAACTCCTCCGTTCCTGCACATGTTATTGAGCCTTTGCTTCGTGCAGCAGTTTTCTTGACTGGGTTAATACCTAAACAAATGGCAAGAATTGCAGATACCTACTACGATACTATGGCCTTCCTGACGACCAATCTGACACCTTCCAACGAATCTGACCAAACCTGGATTCCAACTATCGACGCTGAACATCTCAAGGATGGCGTGATTGCTCTTCTGCGACCAATAACCTCCGAAACGATATCAGCATATGAGTCTTTTGCAACGCACTATCTCACAATCCCCGACCTTGAGTCGCATCTAGGGAAATTGGAAGGGCTGGCCCACCAAATAAACTACCGCATGCTTGCACTTGCCGTGTCGGCCCGCCTTGGCTCAATAGCCCAAGAACCCCATGCCATAGACGATGTACACGCTCGGATGTGGTTACTTGCATACCTCATTTTCTTTCATCGATATGGATTGGGCGCCGAAGTCAACACTCGAGCGCCGGAGCTAGAATTTGTCACCGTGATCTCTGATCTCCTCACATTTACGGCGACACAGATCATGCAAGGCTTAGAGGCTGACGAACCAAATGAGATGGACACTCCTACTGGTGCTCGTTCTTTGCACCCATTTATCAAAGAACAGGTCACCGGCCTAGTGAATCAGAGTAGCGTTACTGGGCTTCTCTCGCCTATTAGATCATCTCGTTTCACCCGGCCCGATCTGACGACCGAAGAAACCGACGCATCCAAAGAAGCTAGAGTTCTTGCTACATATGCATTAAATCTGCTGAGGATTTTCCCGCGACGTGGAGATGATATCCGAATGTGGCTGTATCTAGGCTCGGCACCATCTGGAGAACATGTCTCTGGCCAACCAGATGCGAAAGTGCCTGCAATCAAATATTTCTGGCAGGCATCCAAATCTAGTAGCATCTTCCAGGTCATCAGCAGTGATTCTACAAAAGTGCTGCCGTTGTTGCAATTACCTCAGCATGCCAAAGATCCCGTGGATATGCCCCAAGCTCAGCGGGATCAAGAGTGGACAACCATACTTCTTTTCCTCGAGCTTTATACATTTGTTTTGAAAGTTATGGATGACGATGAATTCTTCTCAAGCACTTCCTCCTTCGTATCTTCAGAAGATGACAAAATTTCATGGACAAGGGAGAGTGCCCTTCCTCTGAATGACATCAAGGATATGACGATTTTCCTTAAGAATCTCGCTTTCACTCTCTATTGGAATGCCGTCGACTTGAGTGAACCGGAGTTTAAGCCCACTGCCATTAGTCTTAGCAGCTATTTCAATAGCACCAGCCAAGCATCCGATGTTCCCCCGCTTCCAAGTACCAAGGATCTCGAAACAAAAGGTCAAACGAATTATCTTCATGGGGTCACTGGAATCCCACTTGAGTACTTCAAAGGTCTGGTCACAGGATTGCTGCGAATGCTCCATGAACGAGAGTAAATTCTACCCCCTTTCAATGATAATAAGAACGATATACTGACGTGATATTGTTCCAGCTCGCGTCGCAAGTTCTTGCCTAAAGATCATTGGCTCATGACCAGCCGATTTGACATGGAAGGCTTCATATCTTCCGTCGTTGCAGAAGAGGAAAAGAGACACGAATTCCAAGCCCGGGCAGAGGATTCTGAGGATGCCGATATTATGGACGATGAATCAAGCGGCCGATTTAATGAGCCATCAGGCTTGGCTGGAACAGGCCATGCTCAACAGACTATTCGTTTCGAGGCTTTAAGACGACATCAACAGCGAGCTGCGCGTGGCCGGATCTTGGCAGCCATTGCACCTAGACTCGAAATACTTCGGAACATGCCGTTTTTCATTCCATTTGCTACTCGTGTTCAAATTTTCCGCGAATTCATCTACCATGATCAACACCGCCGTCGACATGGTTTTGTGGAGCCAGACTCTTGGCGTGCATCTATCGCTCAGGCCTCCATGGGACAGATGATGAACGGCCACCCTGCGTTCCAAGACATCCTTGCTCGACACCAAGCTGATATTCGACGAGAACATATTTTTGATGACGCATTAGATCAGTTCTATCCGCTGGGTGACGGCCTGAAGGAGCCCATCCAAATTAGCTTCATCGACCGCTTCGGAACTATGGAGGCCGGTATTGATGGCGGTGGTGTGACGAAGGAATTCTTAACTAGCATCACTAGTGAAGCCTTTCAGACAGGCGACGGGCTTAGAATGTTTGCAGAGAATGATCAGCATTTATTGTATCCCAACCCTACCGCGGTTGAGCAATGCAAGGACCAGTTACGAGGCAATGGAATAGACGAAGGGACCCCGGAATGGACAGGAAGTGTACGGGAAATGCTGCGGCGCTACGAGTTTCTTGGTCGTGTCATTGGCAAGTGTCTGTATGAAGGGATCTTGGTTGATGTCAATTTCGCGCCTTTCTTCCTTCTGAAATGGGCCTTGACTGGCGGCACTGGATCTGCTTTGAAAGAGTCATCCTACCGTGCCAATCTGAATGATTTGAAAGACCTCGATGCAGCCTTGTACCAAGGTTTGGTGAGTATTTTTACACGACAGCTGGATCTTTGAAATCGCAATGCTGACTATAATCTTTTTTTAGCTGAAACTTAAGAACTACTCGGGCGAGGTGGAGGACTTTGCTCTTGATTTTACTGTCACCGACACCATCCCCGTGACGGGATCAAATAATCGCACTGTCACCAAGGATTTGCGACCCGATGGCTCGAGAATTCCCGTCACGAACCAGAACCGTCTTGTCTATATATCATACATCGCACGATATCGCCTACAGGCCCAGCCGTTGCAACAAACAAACGCGTTTTTGATGGGCCTGGGGCAAATAATCCAACCTTCCTGGCTATCCATGTTCAACCAGTCTGAGCTGCAGACGTTGGTGAGTGGAGAAACCGGAGATATCGATGTAGAGGATCTCCGACGAAACACACTGTATGGTGGGGTGTATGTTATCGGAGATGATAATCAAGAGCACCCTACAATCCAACTATTCTGGAAAGTATTGCACGAGATGACTACCGAGGAACGACAAAAGGTGCTCCGGTTTGTGACCTCCACTCCACGGGCCCCGCTACTCGGATTCAGTCATCTACACCCACGATTCAGCATTCGCGACTCAAGTGAAGATCAGGAGCGACTTCCCAGCACAAGTACGTGTGTGAACCTGTTAAAACTGCCACGGTACGCAACTGCCGAGACGCTCCGAACCAAACTACTGTATGCGGTTAGTGCGGGGGCCGGATTTGACTTGAGTTGATATGAATCTTTGCTTCTGTCAGCCTTTTCACATTTTCTTATTTTCTTTTCTTTGTATGTACGTTCCACAGTTGCTTATTGTGTTTCGTGTATGCATAGCATTGGCGTCGAGCAAATATCGGGCAGCTCATTGGTTGCAGAACGAGGATCTGCCGCGGGTCAGGAATGCCGGTGGACACAAACAACTGGAAATCGCAGTATATAGTTTGTGTGGGTGGATTCTCGGTTGTGACTTGGATGTTGACGTGTCTTTTGTATTCATTTGAATCATTTTTAACTTTTTACAGGAAGAAGTGCTATCCAAATTTCCATAATAGAGTATAGTTATCAAACACTACGTAGGTACAGATCCCGTGATCCAACAAAGAAAAACCCTTAAAGCAGCATCCCACCGCCTGCCTGATTGAGCATAGTGGGGGCACTCACATTCTGAGTTTTCTGGAAAAAAACCGCCTTCTTCACTTAATTTCTCCCTCATCCCTCTTGCTTTCCCCTCTCTTCCTCTCTTTCTAGGGAATCCTTTTTTCCTTTCGAATCTTTTTCTCGAAAGCCTAAAAAAAATCCCCAAAAAAAATCGAAAAACTTCGAAAAAAATTTAAATCTATCTTATCTCCCCCTCCATTGTGCGGTGTGTCGAATTTCATTCACCCGTCAAGGTTAGTGACGCCCTGGAAATACAGCCCTCCCTATTTGCGACCCCTCTGCCCACGCCACGAAGAAATTGGGAGTTAGCAGTTTGATTTGAACTGCTTTCTTTTCTTAATCTTCATTCCTGGATCAGCTATGTGGATTCCTCTATCAAGAGCACGCGGAAAGAATGGGGGAAAACACGAGAAGTTCCCTTTGTTGCCTCAAACAACGTCTCGTGGCTTGGATGAGCAATCTCCTCTTTTACCCCCTACTTCGCACCCTCTTTGATCTCTACATGGCTTCCCAGCAAAGGGAAATGCCGTGTAACGGGGAACGACCCCCTTCTCACCCCACCTCATTCATCACGGTCTTGAAATTGACGTAGTGAGTGCTTGCTAAAACCTTTTCTTTGTAGTAAAAACAAAAAATCTTCAAAATGTCTGCCGAAGCTACCACTACCCCCGCTGTTGCTGACAGCACCGCTGCCGTTGCCCCCGAGGCCAACGGTGCCCCTGCTGCCTCCACTACCGCCGAGAGCGCCAGCGAGGCCGCTGCTGCTAACGCTCAGCCTCACTCCGCTTCGCTGTACGTTGGTGAGCTTGACCCCTCTGTGACCGAGGCCATGCTCTACGAGCTGTTCTCCTCCATTGGCCAGGTCGCCTCCATCCGTGTCTGCCGTGACGCCGTCACCCGTCGTTCCCTCGGCTACGCCTACGTCAACTACAACAACACAGCCGATGGTGAGCGCGCTCTTGAAGACCTGAACTACACCCTCATCAAGGGCAAGCCTTGCCGTATCATGTGGTCCCAGCGTGACCCCGCTCTGCGCAAGACTGGCCAGGGCAACGTTTTCATCAAGAACCTGGACAATGCCATTGACAACAAGGCCCTTCACGATACCTTCGCTGCCTTCGGTAACATTCTGTCCTGCAAGGTTGCCCAGGATGAGTTTGCTACCTCCAAGGGTTACGGCTTCGTCCACTACGAGACCGCCGAGGCTGCCAACAACGCTATCAAGCACGTCAACGGCATGCTTCTGAACGACAAGAAGGTTTTCGTCGGTCACCACATCTCCAAGAAGGACCGCCAGAGCAAGTTCGAGGAGATGAAGGCTAACTACACCAACATCTACGTCAAGAACCTTGACACCGAGATTGGTGATGATGAGTTCCGCATCATGTTCGAGGCGTTCGGTGAGATCACCTCCGCTACTCTCAGCCACGACCAGGAGGGTAAGAGCCGTGGTTTCGGTTTCGTCAACTACTCTACCCACGAAAGTGCGCAGGCCGCCGTTGAAGAGATGAACGAGAAGGACATCAAGACCCAGAAGCTCTACGTTGGCCGTGCTCAGAAGAAGCACGAGCGTGAGGAGGAGCTCCGCAAGCAGTACGAGGCTGCTCGCGTCGAGAAGGCCTCTAAGTACCAGGGTGTCAACCTGTACGTCAAGAACCTGGCTGATGACATCGACGACGAGAAGCTCCGTGACCTCTTCAGCACTTATGGCAACATCACCTCCGCCAAGGTCATGCGTGACAGCTTGACCGACGGCAGCTCTACCCCCGACTCTGAGGAGAAGGAGGTCAAGGAGGGCGAGATCAAGGAGGAGGGTGAGGAGAAGAAGGAGGAAGAGGAGAAGAAGGAGGAGGTTGAGAGCGAGGAGAAGACTGAAGAGAATAGTGAGGAAGACGAGGAGAAGGAGGGCGAGAAGGGTGAGAAGAAGCTTCTCGGTAAGAGCAAGGGCTTCGGTTTCGTTTGCTTCAGCAGCCCCGATGAGGCCTCCAAGGCCGTTACCGAGATGAACCAGCGTATGATCAACGGCAAGCCCCTCTACGTTGCCCTTGCCCAGCGCAAGGATGTTCGTCGCAGCCAGCTCGAGGCCAGCATCCAGGCCCGTAACACCATTCGTCAGCAGCAGGCCGCTGCCGCCGCTGGTATGCCCCAGCCTTTCATGCAGCCTACCGTCTTCTACGGACCCGGCCAGCAGGGCTTCATGCCCGGTGGCCAGCGTGGTGGTATGCCTTTCCCTCAGCCTGGTATGGTTATGGGTGTCCCTGGCGGACGTCCCGGACAGTACCCCGGCGGTTTCCCCCAGCAGGGTGGCCGCGGTATGGGTCCTAACCAGCAAATCCCCCCCAACTTCCATGGTATGCCTATGGGTATGCAGATCCCCGGTGGCATGCCTAACGGTATGGGCTACCCCATGCAGGGTCAGTTCGGCCGTGGTGCCGGTGGCCGTGGCCAGCCTGGTATGCCTATGGGCCAGATGCGTGGTGGTCCTGGCTTCGGCCGTGGTGGTCCTCAGATGGGTCGTGGCCGTGGCCAGCCCGCTCCTGCCGGTCAGCCCGCCCAGGAAGCCGCCGCTACTCCCAGCGGAATCAACCACCAGACTTTCGCTGCCGCTCCCGCCGCTCAGCAGAAGCAGATGCTTGGCGAGGCTCTCTACCCCAAGATCCAGTCTCAGCAGCCCGAGCTTGCTGGCAAGATTACTGGTATGCTGTTGGAGATGGACAACAACGAGCTCCTTGGACTGTAAGTTTTACCCCTTATCTGATCTCAAATTTGAACCTTTAACTAACATTTATGTTCCACTAGGCTCGACGAAGAGGATGCTCTCCGCGCCAAGGTTGACGAGGCCCTGAACGTTTATGACGAGTATATGAAGAACAAGGGTACCGAGGGTGAGGCGACTGGCGAGTCCAAGCCCCAGGAGGCCGCTAAGGAGGCTTCCTCGGAGGAGAACAAGTCCTAAATGGACTTTCTCGCGAATGGTTCACCGCATCATCACCGACGATCGTGACTGAATTCCTCAGTTTACGCATCGCCGCTCGGAGACCTGGATGCACGTTTTGATGACCTATTTCTTTTTTTTTTCTTTTTCCTTCTTGTCTCTTTCCTTTCTACATCGACACCCTGATATCCCTCGGTTTGAAAAGTTTCTCTTGTGTTAGGCAGTGTCACCTACTGGTGTCTAGGAACGCGGCACGACATTGATTTCCATTTTCCCCCGCTCCTCTATCCACCTAGTACACATCTCCGGTTCTCAGAGCTCCTTTCCCTTCCCCTGCTTGGATCGACGAGAATCCAGCCACACGTATGCACAAGGGAAACCGGCACTGTATTTTGGGGTCGGTAAAAGTTTTCTTGGGCGCTGGATCTGCGGTTTTTATGATCTACTCTTTTTTTCTGAACCGTTTATTATGGGAGGGAGTTTCTTTTTCGTACTTTCTTTTTTCGTTTATTTTACAGACAATTGTAACATAGAGCTATGGATGAGTTACCCATGTTTGAGGTCGCAGTACCTTAAACTGGTTTGAATGGGATGGCCTTGGGCCCGCTTTGCTGCAATAATTCCACTTTCGCATCCCTATGTTCATCGTCATGTAGTCCCAGCCTATTGAGTGAGACGACATACTGTCCTAGCTACTTTAGTATACAGCTTTTGTCCCGTTATGTTCAACCACCAGGAAAGCGAGTCTAACCTGGCAGCTTCTTCCTCTCCAAAAGCCGCTGCAATACTTTTGCGAGCAAGAACCTTAAATGTAATTTTCAGAAGCTGGGATATTGTTGCCCAATAAGATCAAATAAGGAATCAAAATTGGCTCCGTCAAGTAAGTCAACCATATTCAAGTCAAAACTAGATCCTCCAGCCAAGTACCCAGCTTCCGTACTTTGGAAGTCTAGCTCTTCGGTTACAGTAGAATGTGTATTACCTTCATTGTATCGAGCAGGCATTGGATTTATTTCTGGTCGTGGCTCCGGAACAAACGCGTCATAGGGACTTGCGTTGGTTTGATAGTAATTTTCCTGATCTCGGAGTTCATCTTGATCCGCAGAAGCTGCTTCCCTGTCGGGTGTCCTCAAGGCATATGCGTGGGGATTAGACATGTTGCGCTGATCACGTCTTACTTTAGAAGACAATAGCAATAATGCCTGGTGACATTGTCTAGCTGTTTCCCATTGGCTAGACATGCGAAGAAGGAATAAGGAGCATTCGTCAATCTCTCTGTAAAGAATGAGTATCTGTGACCAACAAAATATGAAAAAGAATATTCGGGTATAACGCTAACTCACTGTAACCCTTTCATAAGGACGTATTGGTTTAATTGACATGCAAAGGCCAGGACCAACCCTGACATCCATGCGGCAGATAGGAAACCCGGCCAAAAAAGAGGTTGTTGATTGTGAACCTGAGTTTTTAACGCAGCGATAATTCCTCGAGCAGCGCCAATGCATGTTTGAAGTCCAGAGCAAAACTCCGCGCTTGATGGGTCCAATGATAATGATGGACGATGAATGATCAAGATAAGATGCTGATATAACACAGTGAAAAACGGACCGAAATCAAAGGGGGTCTCGGCTTGATCTGATTTGTCTTCTTTGCCTGGTCCATGACCTTTCCCTTGGAGATCATGCGGCAAGCTATTCCACCATTTATGAACATCCGTCACCAAGAATAGTACCGAGCTGCGACGAACAGAGCGAACAAGAATCGATTTATGGAATAACTCCAGCGCTCGCCCTGTCAAAGTCCCGGAATCGACGTAGCTGGCTATAATGATTTCTTTCTTTTGTAGCTCAGTCACCTCTAGATCTCTTTCGGGAGTTTCCGGTAGCGAAGAAGATCGGGGGACTGCACCCATCTGACCGTTCGGAGTTGAGGAATATGTGCTCAAGTCTTGAATTAGTCGTGGCGAATGAACTTCCGGTGACAATGGTAGACAGACATCAATATCCGAGTCTTGAACACCGAGTGGCAATCCAAGTGCCTGGCTGAGATATCGATCGATCGCATAAGCGCACCAGAAGATACGTTTCCTTAGTTGTCGATCATGCGAAGAGAGTTGACTGTATCTGAACGGACAGCGATGCAGACCTGCATGTAGCATGGAGCGAAGTATACATCCTCCAAATGTGGATGCCAGCCGTAACGACATTGTTGCAACAAGGTAGACTTGGATTGCTAGCATTGCTTGAAGGGAGACAATATCATGCCTATGCGCTAATGTTGAAAGGAGGTTATTCACATCACTGGGTGACCTGATCTTCGATTCAGAAGGAAGACCCAAGTCTGGTCGAAGAATACTCCCAAGATTGAACACGCATTGCAAGATAATAGTCCAACAAGTACTGCGGTGACCAGAAGTAGAATCAGCAGACTGGTGCTCCTCCATGGACGTGCTGGAATACAATTTATCAAACGCATCCAGAAAGGTCGGACCGTGCAAGAATGGAAACAGAGAATGCCATATTTTAAAATATGGAACCATCAGCTCTTTGGCAATAGTGGCAGATGGTGCGGCTCCCAAACAAGAAGCGACAGCTGGGTCATATTTCCACGGCGGAAAAGGCTCGCCGCCTGCGGAGGAACCTGGAAGACTTCTGTAGTCCATTCTTTGTCGCTTATTTAGATATGAGTCCTCTGCACCAACGAGTGTAGACTCGGCATTGGGGAACTCGGTTTCTTGAGATCCCGCATCGTCTAGGCCGTTGGAGAATGCCCGCTTGACTGTGTTAATAAAATAGATGCCGCTGGAGCTTCCGACGAATTGTGAGTCCTCATTGGAATGGGCCGTCAAAGAGCCAATCTCCGACGTCCCCGGAGCAAAATCGGGTCGTTCCATTGTGACCGGGGCATTGTATAGAGTTTACCATCAGCGGCAGGTGTAACTCTCTCTTTCCCCATACGTGAATCACGTGATGACCAATCGATCCATCGGCTGACATCGGGTTCTATAGAACTATACTTTCAGTTCACGATTATATGTGGAGGGCGAAAGATTGTCATGAGAAAGATTTCTTTTGACAAAATTTGCTAATGATCTCATTGTTTGATTAGACTATTCACTTTCGGACTGAAGATGCAGGTATCCGTTCGAAAGCAAATATTAGGCGATTGACGCGATTGACGCGATTATACTAGTGATTTGGTGATTCGGAACATTTCATGAGGACTGGTAGTAACTTCTAAAGTCTATTCATGGTAATAAGTTAAGCTAAAAATAAAGAATTTCGGTCCAGAACATTTCTAGTTTTTAAGTTTCTCGATCTCAGCGCAAACAGCCTCAACAACTTCCTTCGTATTGCATTGACCCCCCAAATCCCTTGTCACCTTACCAGCAGCACAAACATTCTCAATACAACTCATCAACTTATCAGACGCATCTTTCTCACCAATCCAAGTCAGCATCTCAGCTGCGGACCAGAATGCTCCAACTGGATTCGCTACGCCCTTCCCGGTGATGTCAAACGCGCTTCCATGAACAGGCTCGAACACAGATGGGTTCTTTCGAGTCGGGTCGAGGTTGCTCGATGGTGCTATCCCAATAGAACCGGCCAACGCAGCAGCAAGATCAGACAAGATGTCCATATGTAAGTTGGTACCGACAATAGTATCGATAGACTCTGGTTTCCAGACCATTCGCACGGTCATAGCATCCACCAACATCTTCTCCCAGGTCACGTCGGGGAACTCCTTGGATACTGAGGTAGCAATCTCATCCCAGAGAACCATGCCATTTCGCATGGAGTTACTCTTAGTGACAACTATCAGGTGCTTCTTTGACCGTGATTGAGCCGTTTCGAACGCAAATCGCATGATGCGCGTGATGGCAACTCGTGTGAATATCGCAACTTCGGTAGCCGCTTCCCACTCCTGACCAATGTGAGATCTGCCGCCTTGACCGGCATATTCTCCCTCGCTATTCTCGCGCACAAGCATCCAGTCGATGCCTTTGGTTGCCGTGTTGAGAGGACATTTTGTTCCTGGGAATGTTCGAACTGGACGCACGTTGGCGTATAGTTGTAATGGACCTCGAATAGCAAGCAGAAGACCCCAGAGAGAGATGTGATCCGGTACATCTATGAAATGTTAGATATGAAGTCCATTGTAGAAGGGAGTAGCATTTTATTTACCTGGGGCGCCTACTGCGCCGAAAATGGCAGCATCGAATTGACGCAATTCGTCCAGTGCATTATCGGAGATATATTGACCATTCTTCTTGTAATATTCTGTTCCCCATGGAATGTGTGTGAAATCGATTTGAAATGTTCCCAATTTCTTCGCCAACTTCTCCACGACTTCAACAGCAGCACTTGTTACCTCCGGGCCAATTCCGTCGCCCGGGATAGAAGCAATTTTGTAGGAGGGCATTTTGGGCGAAGATAATTTGGGAAGATGTAGACAAAAGGATAGATTGAATCAAGTCAAGATAAACAATAATAAATAACCAAGAACTTATATTCCACGAAGCGACGATCTAATATATGTACCCGTCGGTGTCCATAGAAGACGTAGTAGACCCGGTTCCCCGCGTCCGGGATAAAATTTCGGCTAAATTTTCAGGCGAAGGAAACTGCCTCGCCGCTTTGCCATCTTCCTCCTTTTCCCTCTCGCTACCACATACAATCATACTACCAGATGAATAGAATGCCTTCGAACGAGAAAAGAAGTTCCAGGATTACTGTCGCATGCGGCTCTTGCAGAACCAAAAAGCAAAAGGTGGGTGCTGTTTGTTCCAAGACGTTCCGTGGCGAAATGCTAACCCTTCAAGTTTAGTGCAGCGGAGAAAAGTAGGTAATCCATCTATGCAAAATTCAATGATGCAATATTGACTGACAGCACAAAGGCCAGTCTGTCGACAGTGTCTCGAATACAATCGGCCATGTGAATGGCCTGAACAATTACGCCGGTAAGTAAGTGGAGCCCCCACTCATATGGGTAACTAAACACTCACAATTGATATAGAGGACCCGCAAAGGGACATGTCGAATCATTGGAACATAGGCTTCAAATTACAGAAGGGTTGCTATTAAGGCTTCTTCCTGAAATATCAGATGCACGATTAAAGTCTATTCTACCTGACCAGACGAACAGTGGGCTATCATATGCGCCACTGGCAAGATTAGAAAAACGAGGAATAGAAGATTGGTCCCAGTACCCGCTGGACTCTTTCAAGAATATTCGGGGGTGGCAACAAGCATGTATCGGCCAGAGCAGCGACGATAATATTTATCCCCACGAGCCTGTCACTTCGACGAAGACCAGGGCGTCTCGAGGCATCAAAAGGAAATTACCCATGGAAATTGAGAGTCACAGCCCTCCTCAAAAACGGGAGATCTTGCCTGCAGGGCTTAAACAAGCGGATCAGGGCTCAATTCCAAAAAAAAGAACTCTTTCCAACTCTCACGAGGAGCTACCGCAATCCTCTCAACCTTTCCACTGGGAAATGCAGCCTGACAGTGATCCGCCTGCTCCGACCAAACCGAAGACGATTTCGCAATTCTTCTGGTGAATTGTGAAGCAGTTCGGGCCCGACTCGGAGGTCTGTGATACATTCCATAGAGAAATATACCCTGCTCCCGCAAAGAAGAGCATTGTTTTACTGGTTGGCCATCTCACAAAATTTGAGATTGTGGACTGAGCTCCTTTTGCCACATTACTATGAAGCTGTACTTTCACCAATTCACGATGCGATAATTCAGACAATGGAATTGGGTCCTCTGTTTTCCTTATGCAAAACTGAGCGGCTACCTCCGACATCTCTTGGAGCTATGTTAGATGATTTACACCGTTCACATATTCCACATGAAAGAAGCATCATCAAATGCCAAAAGATCACTCTGGAAAGTGTCAAACTCAGCAGCAAGTGCAGCAGACTGTTGCAAGAAGTCAGGTAAGTCTGATGCTGTTCCCACTCTCTCATGTATTTCAGTTGACTAAATAATAACAGATTAGCATGACTCATACGATTCCTTGGGTTTAAACATACGATTTGTGGTATCGAGTTATCAAAGTAAGGAAGGATAGCTTCATTGGCTGTGGACAATAGATTTTGTCTACACTTTGCCAACGCATCTTTTGCACCTTCAGACATGCGACTTTCCTTTTGACTCAATGGTCCGCGAGCACGAACTAGTTGAAGAACAACGGATAGCAGGAGGACATCTTTCATGTTGGCTCCCTTTTCGCCGATCCGACGGGTCAGACTGTCGAGTGTGATTTCTATCTGGCGGATGAGAGTGGCCTTATTATGTAACGGGGGTTGACTTCCTGTGTGATTGCTTGTTCTGTGACTCTTCTCGCTCGTGAATTCGTTCGAAGGCGATTGGATCGAAGATTGTATGTTCAAAAATTTCAGGTATTCGCAAACACCCAATGCTGCCCAGAAAATGTCACTTTGACAGAATTTTTGGAAAACATTCCAGTATCCACTCGAGTCGGCTATATCAAGATCCAAGAGGTTTGGATCAAAAAGATCTTGGTATGATAAAATTGCCATACTCGACTCGAGACACATGCGTTGGACTTCGGGGAGTAGAGGGTGATTTCCTTGAACTTTGTTACCGGAAGTCATGGGCTTGAGGAGGCATACGAGAGGGCGGCGAATGAACACGCTTAGAAGGACTCGATTCAAAGAAGATCTAAGTTCAACGTCTTCAGAATCGTGATCTGGCTTAAGAGAGGCGGGAATCTGGTCTAAGACCTCCTGCATCCTTTCACCCTGTCTCAGGCGTTCTCCTATATCATCCTGGGGATTTGTGTTGTGTGTATAGCGAACAGCTCTGATGCGCTGTTCAAGAGATCTGGATAGTATAATCTGATAAATAGAGTCTGTTTCTTCATCCAGTGATCGAGGTGGTGGTAACGCGTTGCTTGAATCGTCAAAATCCGCATCATTCAAATTGGATGGTATGAGAGATGAGATAGGGATGTCTGGTGTGATTACAGGCATGCCTGCTGTCATCGAGGCTTGGAGATCCATCTCCACAATAGTAATCCATAAACGACGTCTCAATTCCGCGTGTAAGGGGGTAGAGCCCTTCCACTGCGATATATTCACGTGGAGGCCCATGACCATTGCTGATCGAACCAATGATCCACTCTCGCTCCATATTTCCTCAGGCGGTCTTAAATGTAGCTGACGGGCTAGTAAAATGAGCGCTCCAACTTGCAATGTTGCGATTTCTGTTTTCTGTTTTCTGGGAAGCTTTTGCATCCAGGCTTGAACAGCAGCGATCGCGTTATGATACAGGTAATCCCAATCCGTAGATGAATACGGGGAAGAAGGAGATTGCCCATCGAAAACCACAGACACCAAAAGCACCGATGTCACAATGGGCAGAAACATGGATAAAAATGAAATATCCTGGCCTGATTGAGCCCAAAAATTGTTATAATCACGAACAAAAGAAGGGACATGGAGAATCCTATGGACCTTCTCAAAGTTTCTTTGGTAGATCGCGACAAGACGATCGCAGACTGACTTTGAAGGTAAATTGCTCTTCAACTCCTGAAGTTCAGGAAAAGTTTCCATGCCCGGGCCTGTGAAGGATTCTGGTGTTTCCGCTAGGGTCTGGGACTTGTTCTTAAGGAATTGAACCTCTTTGGCTAGTCCCACCAAGCTTGAATCAGTCAAAGATTGGTTAATGAACGTCTTTGCCTCCGGAAACTTTTGATCCAAGAAAAAATAAGCTTTCAATTTCAGATCAAGATTTATGGAACCAGACACTTACCTGGTTCAATAGCGTGATTCTATCCTGCTGTCCATGGTACCGAGAGCGATTCCCTTTCAACACCAAAGTTCCTAGATAGGTTGCACTCGACTGAGATGTATCTGTCCGGGGCCTGGAATGATGAATTAATGAGATTTGAAATAGGAAAAAGGATTTCGATCTTACCAAGACTCCTGCACGGGTACTGAGTTGCTAGTGTGAGGTTTGACCGCCAACATAGACTCCAGCCTAACCATCCGCTGCTGCAGATCTTCAATGATGCCAATGTTTGGGTTCGTTTCCGAGTGTGCCGGCAGCCCGGCTTCTACTTGAACGCGCTTCGACACTATATGCTGCGAATCGACGAATGCGCATTCCAGGCGCCCCTTGAAACAATTCCCACATGTCGGTTGGACCCTATCGCATTTCAGCTTCTTGTCTCTACACCGTAAGCATGACACGACTGGCCGCGGTCTTTTACGCGAGAGTGGTATGTCCATTGCTGTGTATCCACTATGATGAAAGGATCAAAAAGTGATTTGTGCAAAATGCAAAATTATGGGGAACGTGAGCCTCATTCATCAAGGTCATGAATATAAGGTAAGCGACGCCAAGCTATGCCAAGCCATATTTGGCCCCAACTCTAAAGTCTCGTATGTTAATTGAGTGCGTTAACACAAGGCTAGGAACTAGAATTTGAAAAAAAAAAATTGAGAAAAATTGAGAAAAATTGAGGGCATCTTGTTATTAACTTGTTGAAGCTGTATACAAAAATAAATGGCAATTGAACGTATGCAAACCAACGAGGAAACAATTTTCTTATACAATTTGGTAATCCCCATGCACGCCTATATGGAGCCGCTTCGAGCTCTCCATTTCTTTTGTTCTCAATCCAATCTAAATTTCAATTTGAGATCACAGGCGCCTTGTTGTCGTATTTGATCTCAAGAGCAGCGTCAACCAGAAAATTTGCCACACTCTTCCTGCTACAGGATGCCATTAGGGGTATGCCCTTCCCATCATTTGCCCAATCACGGATTGTCATCACATCACTGTCTACGAGCCTGGCGGGCCGAACAAAAACAAATGTGACTCCCTTTTGGCGGACCTCGCGGTCGGTGTGGTTGTGGTCATCGTATTGGAATCGCATGTTAGATTTGCTCATCAACAACTGCAAGACACAGGACATATTGTCCCATGATGCGCCGACGCCAAGTGCTTGAAGAACGACGATCTTGAAAACTCCAAACTCATTCATAGCTGTAGTGATATTATCGTTGCAGTCAGCCATGAGTCGGGGTGGAGAGATTGGTGCAGCGAATGGGCTATCACTGGCTCGAGGTGCGCTAAGAGTAACGATCACAAAGTCTGCGTGTCCGTATTTGAAAGCTGCCCTCACGTCGACTAAATTAGTCGGTGTACCTATTTATGAGTTAGATGTTGCCTCTAGAGGCCTTCAGTTTGTTGTTTTCACGCACCTTTGACGATATCGACGTCGTATCCATTCATTGAGTCTGGGTTGCGAACCAAGGCGGTAACCTGATGACCTTTTAACATTTTAGCTATTGCTATATTGGGAATTGATAGACAGGAGTCTTATCTCGCTCATAAAGTGCTTACCTCGGTGTCGAAGTTCATCGATAACCAGCTTGCCTGTTCGGCCACTTGCGCCAATTACAAGTCCACGCATTTTGAATAAAAAGATAGGAATATAGACTTTGAAGATATATAGGATCTTTTGCTGAAGAAGATTGTTTGTTGATAGTCATCTCAAGTCGATAGTTTATTGTTCTTATATAGTTCATGTCTAGTTTAGTTCGATATAGAACGTGTTCGGATCCGGAGATCTCGGATCCGAATTTATTCGTAGCCGAACCCATTCAAGGCCGGCTTACAGCCTTGCGTGAAGGATAGAGACAAAGCTAGAAATACAAGGATAGAAAGTTACTGGTATTAATAATGCGATATGAATAAAAAACTCTTTCGGAGGGTGGATTATTGAGAGTCTTGGAAGGTATTGGGATCTTATACTCTTTAAGCCGCATGGGTGGATGTCCTCTCCAAACTACATGAAATTGGTAATGTATTGGGTTGGTATTAATTCGGTATTAGTGGGGTTCCAGTATAAGACTAGTTCGGTATTAGTCCGGTAATAAAATACCGGCATGGATAAATAGTTAAACCGAGGTAATATATCAAATTAGCCGAGGTAGTCTAGTGGTATGACGTCTACTCCATATGGCCATGGTGCCCTTGGTATTTGTGGCATATTGGTAGAAAATCCAAGGCAACGCCAGGAATGGAATTGTAGGAGATGGGGGCTCGATTCCCTCCTTTGGCATCTTTTTTGCTTTTTTTTTTTTTTCAAACCACCAAAAAGTCATGAGAGATTAGACATGATGATTCGTATTCAAGTATGAAGTATACAAAGGCTTCGTAATAGTACTAGGCTTATCCAATTGATCGAGGAGACGGGTATTAGTCATTATCGGTTACTAGTTTAGAATTAGTATGGGCGAGGCTATACCGCCGCCCAGGCACGAAGCAATACATAGTAACTTGGACATACTAATTCGTATCAGTTAGCTCATTATCTTCATTATACCTCAACGAATTACATTGCCAGCATGTTTTATAAAGGAAACATTGGTATTGATTAGCATAAAAGGCTCGCGTTCATCTAAGATCATAGTGCCTCAGGGCCCAGCCTCCAACAATACTAAAATACGTAAGTACTTTTTCCTGTATCAATTCAGCACTGATTTCACTGCCAGTGGCTCTTCCGCATTCAACCAACTTGAATGCCTCGAGTTTTTTCCAAACAAAGTCGAGGAATCATGTATCTATTGGGAACCTTGGGAACTCTCCAGATATCTAAGCTAATAGAGCGACACTATTCCAAGGTTTCTAGAGTAGAAGCTTCAAATTTGCGTAGTAAAATCAAGTGGTATCGTTCGGCATTTACATAGTACAAACCATATTGACTCCTCCACATCTACACCACAAAGTCTCAGCCGTAAACTGATAGTAGCTTGACGATCATTCCTCCTAGTACATCAAACGAGATTATACGGGATTATACGCAAAAGAGGGGCTTACCATAAGTCACCAACACTCCTTGCAATAACCTTGGAGCCAATATATTGTATCGAGCAGGGTCTTGGTTTATAAAAGCAGGTATTATGCATGCGCTGTGCGGGCTGTTCCGAAACTTTACCTAAATCTACTCACCGGGCATTCTAGATTTAAGTTTTCGGCAACCCTTCAAACAAACCAGCATCAATATAGATCTAGCCGAGTGAATTGTGCATCACAATCGGCATGAAGTATACCGATATCACCGTAAAGTCCGTATTTAATATCATGGTAAAAGGGGCGAATGTCCAAGCGCAAGCGATCGGCAACCCTCGTAAACCACGCAAGCCCTCCCGTCATTTTGTAAATTTCTTAATATGTTGATTACAAGAGCATTGAGGTAAGTGGAGTAGCAAATCTTTGGACTTGTAGTGCTTACCTCCAAGCTTGATGTGTAGGGCTCATGATCAGGTTGTGGTGTATAACAACACGTCTTACAGCGCTATTTATGATAAATGGAAACATACGAGACCACAATCAGAGGGTTGCATTGGAGGAGCCAAGATCCACTTTCTGTCTAAAGTGCCAACGACCTATATCCACATAGAACGACGAATCGGAAGAGACATCCAATCACGTCAACGGAAAGTAATGGTTTTTATACCCTATGGTCAATGCACGCCTGGGCAGCAAATATAGTAAATCCGTGGTTGAGTTCTTCTGGGCAGCCCACAAGCTTTGTATGCGGGGCCCCGGATTATCTATATTATCGGTCGTGGGAGGCGACACTGGTTCAGAATGTCTGTCAGCACTAGATGTTTTACCTAATATCCATCCTGACATCAATAATTTCTCAGGCATTTCACGATGTTCAATACTTTCATTGGAGTAATTCCAGACGATAGTATCAATCCCACGGAGCGTCGTCGAACCATCGTCTCCAAAGCTTGTGTAGAGTGCCGACGAAGGAAAACAAAATGCATTGGAACCCACCCTTGCTCAGGCTGCATAGCTTGCAACGTTGAGTGTGTGTTTCCCGAGTTTCGTCGAAGAGGTCGAAAGTATGTGATGTCTACACCTCCAAAGGCTTTCGCAGAGATTGACACGATGCAGGAGCCAAAAACAAACAGCCAAACCCACCGAAAAGGAAGATTGTGAAAATATTGTCAAGCTTCTATTCCCCAATTCATCGATACAATCCCTCCGAGGGCTTTCGCGTGAGGCTTTATTGGAACGTGCAAAACTCGAGGGAGAACTTTCACCTACAAGCAACGGCAGCTCATCAGTTGCATCACCAGCACACGCAATAACACCGATGTCGTTTCCGGGCTCAGATTCCCAACCCCAATTACAAGATATTCAGCGTCAAGGCTCAATAATATCTCAATGGGATGAGACTTCTCAGTGGTCCGGTCAAGAGGGAGAGGAAGACACGAGTGCGTTTGCACTATCGCCGGATGGGAATTCAACATTCCAAGGAATCGGGACCATCACCCAGTATCAATTCTCAGAGAGGTTCTATGTCCCAGAGTTGTTCTCCAGTGATTGGCAATACTCGAATCATAATGGGCAAAGTATACATCTTGGTTCTTCATATATAGAGGATCAGCCATTTCTTCCGCCATATAATTCAGTCTACCCTTCATGACAGACAAATTAATCAAAACGCACAAATTTCCAAGAAATTGAATCATATAAATCCTAAGCTTCATATCATTTTATTTGACAAATGTAAATAGAGTCTAGTCTAACAAAAACGTGATATACGTGGTAATTTTGTCAGTGACATGGAGAATTGTCCTTGAGATTGCACCAATTCTCTGCTCGGCATGCCATTGCCGATCTACTCGGTTATTCTGAAAAATTCAGTGAACTAAAGGGACCGCTTTGCTATATCCGGCCAACCAACGGTCTATGTGAACAACGCACGGGGACCAGCATCTGGCCCACTCTATATTACATCGGGGTATATCCACCCGGGTTGGTTGCAACGCCATGATAGAATTGGACCCACACCGTGCCATCTCCAATACCTGTTAACGGCATAGTCAAACTCCACACTTTTTAGAATACTGGTGTTTTTAAAAGGATGGTAAATTAGGTACGTCACTGGCTTGAAGAATCGTCATTAAATGGGTTTGGCCAAGATAGAATTTGCCCGAAATGTATTGAAAGACACATGCCCCTCTGGAGATAGTTCGTGAAGAACGAACCCCGGATTATGTACTTATGTCGTTTTCCCGAGTCTAAACCTAAATCTTCGCTAACCTGTGTCAGCCATAGAGCATGCCAGTGGCTAATGCAGTAGCGTTGTAGACAGGGGTCTATGCTTTTTCTTCATTAAGACCTTCCATTGTGGGGCGATATAAGGGTCCTAGGAATTTTAAATTCCATTGAATAATAGGCCTGTCTTGTTTCTGAGCCGTTAAATGATTTGTCTCGATTGAATTTCGAATGATCTAAGTGGCAAATTATTTACTACTGTTCTTTTTATTTAAATTTTGAATGGCTCAAAATGATGAGAAAGCCGGGCAAGTCTTGATTATTCTTATATTAATGACAATGACCAATCGCATCTCTATATAGGAGAGTTACAAGCAGTATGGCGCAATTTCGAAGTGGCCAGCCACGATAAACTCACCTGGGAAGCTGAAAAACTGCATCACGTCTGTGAATAAACTGTGATGCCTCATTGCACGTGAATTCTGGCCCCCACTTCTAGGCTCAGCCGCAATGAAGGGGTGATCACCTCCGTGGCATCACTGGGCTTTTTCTCAATGAAGCCCATGAGCAAAAGTGGCTTTAAGATGTTGGTTGTGGACCAAGAAAGTCTTCTAGATCCCATCAAAAAGAAACGCGCCAGTAAGCCCAAAGTACGCTCGGGCTGCATCACCTGCAAGTCAGTGACACTAAACACCAGCACTCTTCTACTGAAAGCCTGACTGACACGTGGTCTCCACAGGGCGCGGCGAGTCAAATGTGATGAGGGAAAGCCATGCTGTGCTCGGTAGCTTTTTCTGTTCCTATCGATCTAGCATTTTCCCAGCTAAACCATCCACAGGTGTACAAGTACCAATCGACAATGTGAGGGGTATCAACCATCTACTCCTCTTCCTCAGGCAAGCAGAGCATTATTACCCAAAGCCCTTTCGCCCGGTCTTGCGGTAGAATTTGCTGCTGAGCCACAGGCCTTAGAGTTCTTTTTTCTCAAGACCGCCCCCCAGTTAGCGGGCTTCTTTGGCGAGGCCTTCTTCCAGGGGAGTGTACTGCAACTCAGCCTTACAGAGCCCGCCATCCGCCAAGCTATTGGGGCCATCGGTTTTTTACATGAGCGCGCAGCAACGGGAAAGCTTTCAAAAAGCAGAGATACATCGTTCTCGAATTCCAATCTTCATCTCCAATTATATAACCGGTCAATTCACTCTGTTCTAAAGGCGTCATCTGACCCCGATAAATTATCTTTTGTCGCAACAGCAAGTGTCTTGTTTGCCTGCTTCGAGGTCTTCCATGGAAATAGAATCGCTGCAGAAACACATATCAAAAGTGGAATAAGCCTTCTAAATTCATGGCGCGACAAAACCAAGCGAGTCAAAAGCCCTTGGGGTAGAAGGTACCCATCATCCGAATCGCGATTTATGGAAACACAAGTTGCACCACTCCTAAGTCTCTTCAATCTTAGCATAATGAAACCTTGCAATGGGGGTCGCGTTCAATTTATGCTTAATCCCGTCTCTAATGGAATACTTCATCTGGCCAAGAAATTCGAAGGACTAGAAGAGACTAGAAATGCATTCTTGGACATGCTAGCTGCAGCAACAGCCAATCCCGAAATTAAGTGCGAGAATAAAAGTGCAGCAGATATTGAAGTATTTTTATTATCGGACACTGGTCAGGGCGCCATGGAAAAGTGGAATAGAAGCGTTGACGATTTGGTCTATCGGAATAGCCACTCGTGGGGCAAGAAAGAACAACGATCGGCGAATGCTTTACATCTCATCAAGTTAAGCGCGCAGCTCAGCATGATCGCATATCAAGCTCAAACAGAATGTCATTGGGACAAGTCTTACGAAGACTACAAGGAGTTAATTCGACTTTGTGAAGCTATTGTATTGGATCACGAGAAGTCTGGAGATGATTTCTCCAGAACAATGAATATAGACTGTGGTCTTATATTTGCACTCCATGCCGGTGCTTGGAAGTGTCGTTGGCCGAAACTGCGCCAGCGTGGTCTAGATTTACTACTGCGGATTCCTAAGCGTGAATGGTTCTTCGAGTCAAAGCATTACCATCAAATATTCGCACGCATCAAAGAAAAGGAAGAGGAACACCTGAGTCTACCCCTGAAGTGGGAGACTGATGAGACCTGTCTACCTCCGGAACATGTTCGGATTCATAATTTTACGGTAGAAGCTCAGTCTAATACACTGAATGGCTGTCCTGTCTACGCTGTCTCCTTTTGGAGCAAACCCCATGGCTTAGATGGCCCATGGAATTGTTCTACTGAGACAATGTGCCTCGAATCTACCCAGGCAGTTGAGGCGGATATACCGTTCAATTTATTCGGTCCTAATGTATCAATGGCACCTCAGCACTAATACTCACCATTGTGGGAGTGTCGTAGCCCAGTCCGCTCAGTTCCTCAGATTAGAAAGGCACGTAAATAGTATTAAAAAATCAATTTTCAATCTAAAGTTGGGAATATTGACATTCGCAGATAAAACAAGATACCGGTTCCAGACCCACTTCTATCGTATAAATCTATGAGATGCAATTTTTACAGCTGCATGGGCTTCAGGTCAGCAGAGACCTTGAAGGGAGCAACGGTCTTGCTGCGGATCTCCTCAACGGTGACACCCTCAGCGTGCTCAATCAGAGTCAGACCCTCGGTGGGGCTGACATCGAAGACAGCCAGATCGGTAATGATGGTGGAAACGCAGCGAGGACCGGTCAGAGGGAAGGTGCAGTCTGAAATTGTTTGTTAGACTTTGTTTGCGATACAGTAGAGATTATTTTAGATGAAACTTACCAGGAAGAATCTTGGCGTTGCCCTTCTTATCAGTGTGCTCCATGGTAACAACGACCTTGGTCTTCTCGGGGTTGGCAACCAGGTCCATGGCACCACCAACACCCTTGACCTTACCGGGAAGCATGAAGTTGGCGAGATCACCGTACTGGCTGACCTGGAGGGCACCCAGCATAGTAAGGTCGACCTTACCGGCGCGAATCATACCGAAGCTCTCGTGGGAGCCGAAAACAGAGGCACCAGGGTTCAGGGTAACAGTCTCCTTGCCGGGGTTGATCAGGTCAGGGTCCTCCTGGCCGGGCTTGGGGTAACCACCCAGACCCAGAATACCGTTCTCGGCCTGCAGGACGACCTCGACACCCTCGGGCAGGTAGGAGGGAGCGATCAGAGGGATACCAATACCGAGGTTAACGTACATGCCGTCCTTGAACTCCTTGGCGGCACGCTTGACGATGCGGTCACGGCGGGCGGTAGCCTCGCTGTTGCCACCGGCAATGAGCTCGGAAGGATCTTTGGCGTAAGTGATCTTGTCGAATTGCTTCTCCTCGACAGACTGGATGACAGCGTCGACGTAGATACCCTGCAGGTGAACATCCTCGGCGTCAATCTCGCCAACCTCGACGATGTGATCAGCCTCGACAATGGTAACCTTGGCGTTCTTGGCCATAGCCTCATTGAAGTTGTTCATAGACTTGCGGAATTGGCAGTTGCCAAGTCTGTCGGCCTTGTGAACCTTAACCAGAGCGTAGTCACCGTAGATCGATTCTTCCAAAAGAAATTCCTTGCCGTTGAAAACGCGAGTCTCCCTAGGCTTGGACATTTCTGCCACTGTGCCATCCTTGTTGTACCGAACTGGAAGTTCACCAGTTTGAACTATTTCAGACGAAAGTCAGCCTCCGGCTCTCAAGTACAAAGCCATTGTGTCATCAATCCCAAACTTACTGATAGTTCCAAAAGCCGCGGGAGTGTAGAAAGCCGGAACGCCAGCTGCAGCAGCGGCGCACTTTTCAGCGATGGTACCCTGGGGAGTAAGCTCCAGAGCCAGGTCACCGCTCAGATACATTTTCTCGAACACCTTGTTCTCGCCAATAAACGAAGCGATCATCTTACTGATCTGCTTAGTCTCAAGCAATTGACCTATTTCCAACAAATGCTTCTTAGTGGCAATTCTTCTTCACTCAATTGAGACATCTCCACTCAACATACCAAGACCAACGCCAGGCATGCCGGCGTTGTTAGAAACAACGGTAAGATCGGTAACATCAGGACGGTCCCGAACAGCGTTGATCAGAGTAAGAGGAACGCCAGAGAAACCGAATCCACCGACCAGGAGAGTGGAGGAACCCTTCATCTCCTTGACGGCATCTTGTGCGGAGCCACAGAGCTTGTTAATAGCGCTCTTGGTGGTAGAAGCAGAGAAGTTCCGTCGCCAGATGGGACGGAAGACCGACATCACAGGGGCGAGAGGCCGCGACATGATGAGTCGACTGCCTAAGAAAAATCACTTGATAAAACGAGTGGTTTCTGAGCCAGCAGAAAGAAGAGAGAGAAGAAGGAGAAGAAATGAGCATCCTCGCGAAGCTATCTACCCCATTGCCCCAACCCGCAACTTTTTCGGTTAGGGACTGATCCAGAGGAGCCGAAAAAACGCTTAGCCGGCCGTATTCCCCACATCTCGGATTGTTGCTTTGCCGCATCGGATGCCGTTCTCCACACTACGCCGGACTGAAAAAAGCAGGGGGGACAAAGTGTTCCGTGTGGGGGGATTTGGGGGAAAATCCATTAAGAAAATGTGGAGGTAACAAGCGGGATATCATGCGACCTTGATCCTAAAGAGATTAACATATAATAAAGATGAAGACTCCCTGTTTGCCCTGCAGAAACATTTGAACCTGTCTCAGTCATCAAGTCACGGGAACAGCGAAAATTACGTTGTCTCCTGAACTGCTGAAATCCGGTCGGAAATCCATGGTAATCTAACGCGTAATTTACGCCGGAACGCGGGCTCGGTACCTATAGGCCCACGGAAGATTCGCAATTGTCGGTGTCGGCACTTGCACTTATCATCAAACGACAACATCCGAACTCTAGTCGACCCGGATATCCTCAACCATCCGTGTTTTTCCCCAGGGCCCCAGATTCTTGGATCGACGGCACTACTACTACGTCTCCTCCCCCCGCTTAACAGGTGGCGAAAGGCACTATCATTTACAAGGGTTGGGTTTACTAGTATTGGTCGCATACGCAGGCGATTGGACCTCCGAGTTTTTCTCAAAGCAGCTCTAATATCACGTCTATCGTTTGATTGTACGTTTAATTACGAGAAAAAAAAACCTGGTTCAATCCAGCTATATGACATATTTAAAGGCTTCTAGCCCATATAAGATATAAGTCCGGGAATATTGTGTACCAATGCAGGGCCTAGTAGAATGGACCTTTCAAACTCACATCTTGATTTGTCCGTTTATTCTAGACTGAGATCACTTTTCCTAATAATATCACACCATACAACTTCTCTATTCATACCCACAAAAAATCCTTTAACTGGGGGGTAAATCATATGGCAGAATGATAGCGGTGAGATAAGGTCCGCCAATAGAATGTCATGAAACCACAGAAGGGCCCGCCTTCAGTCAAAGACTCATCATTTATACATGCACGCTTTTCATGTCGCCTTTGGCTTGATCTACTGAGATACCCAGCTTATATACTTACCGCGCTACAATGATGCATCGACGCCGGGGTCACACTAAATCTCGGCATGGTTGCCAAACTTGCAAAACCAGAAGAGTCAAGGTATACTATCCATTCGGTTACTAAGTAGCTACCAGGCTACAGCATTGACCTGTGGACACTGACATTCGGCACAAATTAGTGTGATGAACAGAGACCAATATGCGGGAATTGTGGGGAGAGAAAAGAGACATGTGTCTACTCTGGAAACGGGCCCTTCGTTTTCACTGAAAATCGACGTCGGAAACGCCAGGATGCCCATTCGCCATCAGAAGATCCAGAACAAAGGGGCTCTGAAGCGCAAGAAACTTTTCAAAATGGTTCCTCTCGAGCAGCAAGCTCAGATGAAACTTCGGGCCCCCTATTACAAATGGATCATTTTGAGCTTATTCTGCAATGGATTAATCATACTCATCGACTGCTTGCGCGCAATGAAGAGACCCGAAAAGTCTGGGAGATGCTTGTGCTACAGGAAGGCCTGAAGGAACCATTTCTCATGCATGGAATTTTAGCATTGTCGGCCTTGCATCTCGCTTACCTACGTCAAGACGGTCGACGTGTAATGTGGCTTGATTTAGCCATAGCGCACAAGAATACAGCTCTTTCTATGTTCACAGCTCAACTCCAGAACATTGCTCTTTCAAACGCAAAAGCCATGATGGCCTTTGCTAGCTTGGCATTCGCATTTAGCCTCGCAAGTGTTCTTAATGTTGATTCAGAGGAGGATGGACCTAGTTTGAGCTCTCTCACTGATGTCTTCTATCTGGCTCGTGGGGTTCAAGCAGTGATGGTTACGAAAGAAGGGTTTTTACGGGAAAGCAATTTTGCACCTCTTCTCAGCATCTTCCGCCCCGAAGTCACTATCCCGATGGACACTCTTGGTGCCTTGGATCAACTTGAGCACCTACTGATTCAATGCAGCCAAGCCGGCGGTCTTGGCTCCCCATCCTACATTCGTGAAATTGAATCCATGCGTGGACTTCTTCCTTTCACATATGATAAGCCAACTTCTATGACTATGGCGGGTGGTTGGGCTATTCGACTGACCCAAGATTATTTCGAGGACCTTCAAAGCCAGAAACCCCTTGCGCTCGTTGTTCTGGCTCATTATTGTGTTTTCCTCCACATGGCCCGAGAAAACTGGTGCATATCATCATGGGGCAGGAGGGTGTTCTTAGACATCAGGGATCATTTAGATCCCGTCTGGCATCCCCATATACAATGGGCAAGTCTCAATATAATCGGCGCGGATACATAAAATCCGGATTAGAGCTTTATAACTGGAATAATTGATAATCATAGCGGCATGAAATTGAATTTTGGAAATGAATTTAACCGACAAAAGAAAAGACCGTGTACCCGTTCCCAAATTTATACAAAAAGACATCAAGCACATGCTCTAATCATGTTCTTACACTCGTTCTTCACCAAGTTCAAGAACAGAAGCAGGAACATACTTCCGTGTCTTGATGACTTTTTCGCTGTAGACCTCCCCACGACCAAGAATACAATTAATCTCAGATGGATGATCGTACTGCATGGCCACCACAGCGATAAGCATGGGGAGAGCATCAAACACGTAGATGAATACCTCATGCTTCATCAGGAATCCATCATAGCCCTGGATATACTCCACGACCCTGACCACGGAACGGACCAAAATGAGGATACTCGTGGTATACAAGGTGGCCATGTGACTAGTCCAAACTTTTTGTAGTTCGGCCGAGCGACCAGTTGGAGATCGAGAGACACGTGTCTGGAAGATAACAGCGCTGATTGTGAAGAAACCGAAGAAGATAATTTGCACGAACAGACCGCCGATAATGACTTTTTCACCGAGCGAGGGGCCGCTTGAGCTTGATACCATGAGACCGGCACCTATTTTGAATTCATGTTAGCTATTGCTTAATTCGAATAAAAATAAATAATGCGAAAGCTGCACTAACCTGATGCCTGCATTAGGAAAGAGAGTACGTCTCCAGCAACAAATATTTTCGTCATCCATGAAACTCTGATAAGCGCGTATTTTTCGGCTTCAATCATGCGGATAATTCGACCAAGGAGCATATAGATGCTAGCCGCGAGGAATGCAGGAGCGATCAGAATCAAAAGACTTTGAATGATGTAAGGACCCTTGGTGAAATCGGGCGCCTGTTGCGCAGATAGTAAACGACCGATGTAACCGATGGTTTCCACTAATAGCGAAAGATGATTAGCAACATTCATATGATAGGCAAAAGGAAGTCGAATTGAACTCACTATAAGCACCGAGTAAAAATGGAATCATGAGCCATGTTCGAGTGCGGAAAAGCTGGTAGGTATGCAGTACGGCGCTAATGCCAAATAGAACCAAAAAGATGACAGCAGCTGCCGTTGACGGGTTGTAATAATAAAAGACGAAGTCCATCATGTTGAATAACTTTTGAATGCAGAATCAACACAGGTGTAAGTAATTGAAGATCAAAACTTTTTAGAGATGATTGAGACAAATATATAGGATTTTGTAGTCTATTTCAGGAGTATTTGCGGACACAAACAGGGTCGCTAGATCGATCTCGTACTCGTGTTTCTCTCCCGAAGCAGAATAGTCTATCGGGTAGAGTCCGTTGAAGTTTAATTTTGACCAATAGTAATAACTGGATCGATGTGGGGCGGCTTAGCATCTCGTACTCTTATTTTCGACCATCTTGGGCAGATAAAGAAATTTTCGTCCATAGTGTACGTGACAAAAACTACTGCATATCGTGTGATAGATGTTGACTCGAAAAATCTTAATTTGAAGGTGGCTGGGTCGGGATCTTTCAAAGACAAGTACAATTTGCCCATAATTATGGTGCCTAGCGCCTCTTTATTAGTGACTTTGACACCACCAGGCCAGTCCCTCTTATTCGTATACAATTTCATCAGCACCTTGTTATGATTTTCTTCTATTGAGTGGAGTATCAAGCTAAAGACTTAATTAGCTGAACATTGGATTTCGTTTCCCTTTCTTTTCACACAACCTAAGAAAGGAGCTTGTTCAGTAAGGTCGAAATAGATTGAAAATTTCATTTCATGCTTTGATTTGGCTCGGCGTCACTACTTAAACCATGTGTACCATCCTGTAAATATTAAAGTTATCGGAGAGAGCGAAACGAGCCCTTATCAGACTATTGAATGGATCCATGATGTGCAAGAGCTCTGTTGGTCATTAGTGGAGATGTATGGGTGCAAGTGACTTCTATAGTAAGGCTGCCTAGGCTCCACCACATCATCATGCTTATAGCACTGCGAAGTATTGATATAGTGCTGATTGATCAAGGGTCTAGGCGCAATTTCCCTATACTTACCGATCGAATAATCTGGATATTCAGAGTGATTAAACAACAATCAGCGACCTTACCTTCATAATGAGTATGGTGACTGGGTATATTGATACAATACGTATTTTTGGTCTGTGAGCTTTTCGAAACGCAGCTTACGATGTTGTAGGGCTTGGATTCCTCTCCTTTATAGGTTCACTGTGAAAACAAAAGGATCTATCACTGCCATGAAGCTACTTATGCAGTCCTTAGTCTACCATCTTTTCCCCAATAATTATCCCTGTGTAGTGAGTACCAGATGAATGACGAATATATTTTGATCGTATATGGAAATGTTTGCAACCTATCTTGAATACCGTATTCATAATTAAAGTGTATAGTTCCATGGCTAAATGCATCAAATAAATGTGATTTGATGATTGGTCGCTCCAGATCCCGATGACTAAGATAAGCGGGGAAGCTCGCGGGTACGGGGATTGCACGTCCAGGATGTGGGTTTTCCTCCGTCTCCTGCGCCACCGTTGTCTTCAGAAGAGTACAAGTAGTAATGATGTATCTTTAATCATGCCCATCAAACAATGTACCGTATGCTCTCGCCAATTTACAAAGACTGAGCATTGGAAACGCCATGAGAGAAGTCGTAAGAATTCCTCAATCCTATGACAAAATTGTTCGTCTCTGACGCGTGATTTAGATACGAAAGAACGCCCCTATGAGTGTGTTGTGTGCCAAAAGCGCTTCTCACGAAGGTAAATCTCAAACGAAATGGATATGGTCTAAGAAACAGGAAGTTCTAACAAATTTTAAGTGACGTCCTAAGCCGGCATGCAAAAGGCCACAACCAAGAAACTAAACCAAAGGATGTCGCAAAGAACCAAAGCGATGTTACAACTCCAACACCACCACTGCCTACGACAGGACCATTGGACTTTTTAGCAAATGTATCTGCTCAGCATGGCCGAGTCGATTCCAATATCCACCCTATGCTGCTTGATGAACCACAGCCTTACTTCGGCTGGAACGAAGTGACGCCTGCTGAGCAAGCTGCTCAGCGAAATGGTACTGAGATGCTGCAGCTATGGCTCGAGCCGCAAACCGATATAGGCTCGAATCATGGATCAATGGATCTGGGTAATCTCTCGTTTGCAGACACCATAACCATGTCTACCGACCAACATCGCCACTCGGTTGACAGTAGCAAATCTGGGGGCGACAATATCCCCAGCGAGCGTTTTTCCAAGGTGCAGCGTTTTTGGCCTGTGCCTGATCAAACCGACCGCTTAATGAACAGTCTGTGGAAGGATGTTGTGCAGACCCGAAGTGATAATATTTTTGCTAAAGAGTCTAATGACCTTCACAACGAAACCCATTTTCTCCAAGGCTCACGCTATGGAATTGATGATGACTGTAGGCGTCGTCTTCAAGCAGCCTTTGCCCAGGAAGAATTATTCTATCCCCAAACACACGCTGTGTCTCCTGCTACGTCGGCCACTTTTGCCTATTCCTTCCCCCCGCGGAGATCTTAGATATGGCACTGGACTTATTTTTCAGAACTTTTCATCCCCTCGTGCCTTGTGTACATCTTCCAACATTCGATGCAAAGAATATTGACCTGCCCTATCTCTATGTGATGTGTCTCATTGGGATGATGTTGATGAATACAAAGGGTACAACCACTTACGTCCTGAAGAATTTTACACATACTCAGCAACAAATTGCATCTGAGCTAGAGAGATGCACAACATATGCTGAATCTCCTGCTAATGTGATATCAACCTTTTCGACGGCTTTTCTCTTCTTGAATCTCGCTGTATTAACAGGAGTAAGAGTTCACTCTCGGTTCCATCATGCGCGATAATTATTGACAATCCATAGGAAAAATCGCATTTAGAGCAAAGCCAAATGCTATACGTCAACCTTATTTCGGTATTTATCAATTTTTGAAACCCTTTCTGTCGCACCCTTTGCTAATTTCTGTTCTATAGACCGCCCAACGACATGGCCTTTTCGCAGCGTCCCAAGGTCAAATACTTGACATGAGTCTCTTCGAAGCCGTTCCCGACGTGGAAACGCGATGGAAGGCCTGGAGCAAGGTAGAATCCACGAAAAGGGTCATCATCAGCCTTCTTCTCTTGGACTCCTGGTTCTCGTCCCTCCTTTCAACAAATCCAATCGTTGCACCCGATTCACTTGAAATCATCATGCCTTGTAACGAGGCCTTATTCAATGCACCATCATCAATACGCTGGACACAGCTCATTCGCGAAGGCAAAAGAATCATCATGTCAACCGTGCCTGCACCGTCAGAGATCAGCAAAATACCCACTCTAGAGGATCCAATGCACGAATTCGGCATGCAAGCGGTTCTTTCAATGGTTCAATTACGCCAATCAGAAGCATACTACCGCCTTCTTTCAGACCGCGCCCACTGGCCCTTCGCACCGTGCCATACATACGCAATGGATGGTCGGGCTCGATGCCTGCCATCTCTTCAATCTCAAATCGCAACAGAATACAGCGATGTCCTTCAACAGCTCAATCCCAATGCACTGATAATGTGGCACCACATGTGTATGGGGATGACGGCCGATCCCCAGATATTCGATCTTGCAGCTGGTCGAGGTGGTCCTCAGCCAGCACGAAAGGCACTACAAGATATTGCGGAGTGGTCAAAAACCCCAGCAGCCAGACGAGCCTGTCTGCATGCAGTTCATATTTACAAAGCCATGACCAATCGTAGAGCCTCGGATCATCCAACCTTTCACTCGGTTTTTGCTCTCTTCTCTGCTGCCCTTGTACTGGGCTTGTATACGTTCATGGTTCCTGATTCTCCGGTCATACCCTCCGGTGCTGGGAGCATCGAGTTGATGGATGATGTTGACTGGAAGGAAGTGGGACTGGAGGGGTTTACTTCCTTTATGGAACCTAGGGGGAGCCAATCTTCCTCATTAGCTAATGATCCCACGATAAATTTCATTCGCAATGGATCTACGATATTTCTTCGGGGTGTGCCTTTTCATGGCGGATACCAGTCTGCTCGCAGGATTCTACTTGATTACGCGAATTTGCTCAAGGATTCTGGGAAGAGGTGGACCGTCAAGAAGTTCTCTTATATTCTGCACATAATGAGCGATGTGCTTATGGAAGAGATACCTCGTGTTTGATACATACTTTTTACCCATGTCCTCAGATATGACTCGCAATCGAGCTGTCTTTGAAACTTCAAATCAATAAGTTCTACTACACATAGATACATTTCGGCTGTCTAGCTGTTTTCTCCAAATCCTAGAACTTGGATCATTCAGTTCGTGGTATATTAGCTTGTCTCTAAAACATACACCCATAAAAACTTGTTTTTGAAATAGTAATGATTATCACCAGCTCCGAGTGGTTTTAGATATGACCATTTAACTATCTTAGGCTACTATTTGTATAATATATCACCAACCCTTTCACCAATAGCCAACGAGCTCGTCAACCCAGGGCTCTCAATACCCAACAAATTGACAAAACCCGGAAACCCTTCCTCTTCCCGAATCACAAAGTCCTGAAACTTAGACCCGTCATTCAACTTAGGCCGAATACCACAGTAATCAAGCGCAATAGATCCCACATTCACACCAGGCATATAAGCCAAAATTTCAGGAAGAGCCTGCTCCAAACGCGCAGAGCTAGGGGTCAAATCATGCGGATTATCGACCCATTCCACATCAGGACCAAAACGGATTCGACCACCCATATCTAAAGTGAGATGGGTACCGAGCCCACCAAGGCCAGGTTTAGTTATAGGGTAAACGAGAACACTGGTACGAGGACGAGAAGAGGCGTATGAGAAATAAGTTCCCTTCGCGTAGTAAGGTTTAATGTGTCGTTCTGTTGGGAGGACGAGGTTATTAATGGTGCATGCGTCAAGTCCGGCACTGTTTACAAGTGTTTCGGTTGTGATGGAAGTCACGGAGCCGTCTTCGTCTGAGACAGCGGTGATTTTATATCCCTCACCGGGGATGTACTCCACATCTGTGACACGGGTTCTCAACACGCAGTCGCCGCCGCGATCTTCAAAGTCACCGCGTAAAAAGGTCATTAGGGTATGACTATCTACGATACCGGTTGATTGGCTTTCGACGATACCGGCGTCGGCTTTGACATCTGGTTCGCGGCGGGCTGCCTCGTCGGCGGTGACGAATCGAGTTGGTGCATCGCCTAAAGCTTGAGCATGTTTATGTAGTCGGAGACACACTTCCCAGTCTTCAGCTGTTTGGGCAACAATCCATTTCTTGGTGTTGCGATGGGGAATATCGTATTTGGCACATGTCTCATAAAGCATGTTTCGGCCTTTAATGCAAAGTTTCGTTTTCAGGGAGTCTGGAGGATAGTACAATCCTGCGTGTATGACTTCAGAGTTGCGACTACTCGTCTCCATCCCTGGCATTCCATGTCTCTCTAGAAGAAGAGTCGAAGTACCTTCGCGTGCTGCTAATTGGCGAGCAGCTGCAAGTCCGACGACGCCGCCGCCAATAACCTAATCTGGGTCAATTGAGGGCCTATGAGGATCGTTGGTGGAACTCACCGCATGGGTAAAGTCGGCATTACAGGTTCTGGCACTTGAAAAAAACCGACGAAGGGCTGGTGCTCGCTTTCCATGTGCCAGCATTTTTAAGGTGTATAGAATGGGAGAGGTTCGGTGGGGGATCGCATCGCCCGAGGGAATAAGGAATCAACGGGTTGTCTCCGCAGAATCGCCGAGCGTCTCCACCCCAATGCGCGCGAGCCTTATTATCGTATGTCGCGGCAGAAAATAATCCGGATTAAATCATCCAAATTTGAGACAGTTACAGTTCTCATGGAATGGTAGTAGGGATTAAGAATATTTTATTCAAGAGAAGAAAAATCTAGACGCTTATGCAGACCTCGGAGCTGGGATGTCCAAATTGCCCCGGTACCGCTATACAATCAACTAACGCTTGTTGAAACTTTCCAGCATTTCATTCAGACGCTTGAGAAGACGTTAGCCAATTGGGTAGAAGACAACTTGATAAGATAGAACTTACCACTCGCTGTTCAGTTGCTAACTTTCCTTGGGTATCCTAAACAAGCTATAAGCACTCAAGTAAACTATGACATGGGAAAGGGAGAAACATACACTAATGATGGTTAAGATCAACGAATAATTGTTGAAGAGGAAGCGCTCTCTACGCTTGGCGTCCATCCCATTTCGACTCAGCTTCGCCAGGAGAGAATCAAACTCGGTGCGGAGGCGAGCCAAACTGTTCGACACGGGCTCGTCATCTCCAGCATCGGTGCTCAGCACCAGAATACCATGAAGAAGCTGGCCGAATCGCTGAGTCAAGAAATGAGGTGCGGATGACTGTTTCAAATCGTCTCCACCAGCGATGGAAAGAGCGGACATCGCGCTACGCCCAGTGTTTGATCCGACGCGCTTGAGAGACTCTGAGTGAAGATCCATAATTACTTGGAAACGAGGCCACAGCTGCATATTGATACCGTTCACGTATGAGTCTGCAACGGGAACCTTACGCCGCTGAAGTTCAAAGGCTGAGTGTTGGTTCAGACGAACGCACATCAGTACACCCAGCGAGTCAGTAGTGCTGTCGATGAGCTTTTTGGTTAGGGCTCGTCCGAGATTAAACACCTGCTCAAAAATCTCCGCTGCCCTGCGCGAGATTTGGTGAAATGTCAAGGAAGAGAAAAACTCAGTAAGAAATGAGTACTCGGCAGAGATATTGTCTACCAGAGCAGTATTGAAATTCCGAAACGGCACTTCGATTCCATGAAAGGCGTTATTCTCCTCGGCGAGGTAAGATGATATGGCCGGTTGGTGCCCATTCCGGAGGATATCAATTCGTCGGCCCAAGGAAAAGGGATCATGGGCAGCAGAGCCAGCTCGGCCGCCAGGCAGGATGTTCCCTTTAAATTATTAGCACTTATCGCAGGGTCGGGGGGAGAGAAATGGATGTGGTCTTACCTGTTCTGTGCGAAGAGGTGTCGCCTCCGAGCACTTCGTTTCGGTCACTAGGATATACCTTGACCTTTTCAAGCGCTTGAAGGTAACGAGTGAAATTGGATGTATAATACCAACGCATAGTATTGATATATGCCTGACAAATTTCTTCTGCGAGGTTTGGATGAGCCTTTGATAAATAGGTAAAAAGGTCTTTAAATTTCACAAGCCGCTGCTGTTGAATGAGTTGCGCATTGATATTGGGTGATCGCATCGCCCTGATTTGAGAAACCAAGTAGTCCCGGATTCGTTCAACCGCCTAAACCGGTAAGTCAATGCAAGGTGTTTTTGTTTGGGTTTGCCAGCTTACCTTATTCCTCAAGTCAATCAAAAGTGGCCGTACATCTTCGATCGCCTTAAAGCCAGCTGACGAGGATGCCTTGGCTTCAATACTTGTCGATCGAGCGTCAATTTCATTCAAAGCACGTACCCAGTTCTCGTCCATGGGACCTTCAGCTATCGCCCGAACAGCCTTTGGTGAGATACTAATCTCCTCTACCGCTGGACCAAGCAAACGCTCCACATTTCTGCGATTCTCCAGCATTGCATTTAGCTGTGTAGAGCGAGTTTGTAATGTTTCAATCTCCGCAGACACGGCCCCTAGTTCGTTCTGGAAATCATTCAAGTACAATTCCACTGACTTTGAGACATCATCACAGCCGGTAATTGATGTATGAAGATCCTGGAATTTATCCCGCTCCTGTTCGAACTGCTGAATGGTTTGCGCATTGACATCACTGCTAGGGGACTTTCTGGTCGGCTTTTGTTCCTTTGTGGCCAAAAACTCCTCTAAGCTCAGTCCATCAAATTCGATTATTTCCAACAGCTCTGGTGGGCGTGAGAATGGCTTTATGCCTAGTTGCGGTACGTCTTTATCCTGGGTCTCTTTCCGAATAATTCCATTCAACACCTCTAGGGGATCGGGGACAACTGCTGGGCGTGATCGCTGTGCACTCGTCTGTCTCACACCTTGCCCACTGGGCGACCGGGCGGTTCCAGGAAGAGAAGTTGTAGAGTCATTTGCAGATATAAGTAATGAGGTCGAGGATGCTCTCGAGGTAGCGTTGGGACGGGCGTTATAAGGGCTTTGAGACAATTGGGATGAAGAGCGCCGAGGCAAAGAGAGATTGCGATTAGCTCCGGAGGGAGTCGATTGACCCGAAATGCGGTCACGCCACATGATCGAGACCTGAAAGAATACACATAAGAAACTGTGTTGGATTTGGAGTCAAATGAGAAAGGGAAGGTTGCACGGTGTTGTCCGGGGCCAGCAATTGATCCAGTCACGATGAAGCCAAACAGCCAAACCGCGCCCCGGGCACGCTAATCCTAAAGCGGAATAGCGACGAAGCCCCCCACCACAAAGCCTTTTTCTGTCTTTTCTTGTCGAGAAATCTCCTCTTCCCTCTTTCTACATTCCCTTCCACCCTTTCATCTTTTTTGTTTCTCTATATCCCTTTCCCCCCAAAACACTCCCACTCTTTCAAAATGGCTGACGAGGTATGAATCGACCCCCTGCAACTTTTCCCTCTGATTTTCTCCCACCATGCACCTTTGTATCATAGTCCACCTGTGTGAGCCCCGCATCTAGAGGGGCTCACATCTCTTTTTACCAGCGCACCACGCTACCAACCCCCTCTCAAGAGACTTGCGGACGAAACCCGTATATAATGCGATTCATAACTAACATTTTTATAATAGCACGATGTTGAGTTCGACTCCGCTGATGCCGGTGCCTCGACCACCTACCCCATGCAGTGTTCCGCTCTGCGCAAGAACGGTCACGTCGTCATCAAGAACCGCCCCTGCAAGATCGTTGACATGTCCACCTCCAAGACTGGCAAGCACGGTCACGCCAAGGTCCACATGGTCGCCATCGATATCTTCACTGGCAAGAAGCTCGAGGATCTCTCTCCCTCCACCCACAACATGGACGTTCCCCACGTTAAGCGTCAGGAGTACCAGCTCGTGAGTCTTTCTAACTATTTTATGCATTCTTGTTGCGCTTGAGAATATTCGAGGATATTTGAGCTAATCGGGCTTTTTTCTAATCTTAGCTGGACATCACCGATGATGACTTCCTCTCTCTCCTGAAGGATGACGGTGACACCAAGGATGATGTCAAGGTCCCCGATGGTGATGTTGGCAAGCAAATTGTCCGCATGTTCAAGGATGAGGGCAAGGACGTCAGTAAGTAGAGCCTCGAATTATGCGACATGCATGATTTTCTCTCTTTTTATATTCAGGAACCAAATCCGCTAACTCTCCATTCCCAGACGTCATCATCCAGACCGCCATGGGTGAGGAGTGTGCCATTGATGCCAAGGAGGCTCCCAAATAAACGCCATATCCTGGGATCTTCACATATTATGTCAACCGTTACGTTTACCCCCTAAAAAACAAGGGTCTTTTATATCCCTTAAAATTCATCTTCAATGGTTCAATGACGGTTCTGGTTCGTTGGCCAATTGACAGAAAGTCTTTTTTGCTTTCCGGATCTTATTTCCCATCATCTTAAGCCTTGGAATGTAGGCTGCATCGACAAGGATTGCTTTGGTTGGCATGATACGTGTTGTCCGAAGATCAGTTCTGAGTCTCAGCATATCATGATAGTGTGACGAATGAATTAAATAAGTAAACTTTTGCTAAGCCATTGGTTACCCATTAATTACTTTACCAGCTCAAAATTAATTACAAGTTGGTAAGCTCTATATGTAAAGACTCAAAATAAAGTAGATCAAGACGTATTTTGGCTAGTATATTTGTAGCTATTTTATTTCTCGAGTTGCCATCTATAAATGCGACGACGTTGTGCATGCGTGCACGTTAAATCGGCGGTCGCTGAAAAGGCAGAAAAATTCTATGTTCCGACCGTCAACCCCAACATCCTCACAACCAGCATGACCCTACTGCCTCGGCATGGAGTATGTCACGAGAGGCGTCTGCGGCCAAGAATCATGTCGTGAACGAAAATATTATCTTGATAACGGTCTCACGTTCTGTCGCCGGGGACACTTGCAAGAGGTATGCATGGGTTCTATCTGCTTCTTCTAGCCCTCGAGAAGTGAGAGAGAAATCTGGGTGATAAGAATTCAAACTAAAGTCATTATTTAGGGCCAACAAATTGAAGAGGATCCCGATGATTTTGGAACTCAGGGCAAAACGCATCGAGTGAAACGTGAAAAAGAAGCAAAGTCCCGAAGAAGTATGCACCACTTCCTTTTGAAATAGCTATGCCACATACTTATCCTGCATATAGCTGCTCAGGGCCGAAAGGCAGGTACCCTTCTACTGCAGGGATATCAATTGATTTTGTGGAAACAATGCCACACGTTAGTTCATGGGCACGGGTTTCCAGAACAATTCGAGGTAAGTAGTTATCAGCTATGAAGTATACACTTGGCTTTATATAGTGAGTTAACACACTGTACAGGGAGTAGTTCGTGATCTCTGGGCTCTGAGGCTTCAGGGTCTTGCACGGAAAATCAATCAATCTGCAGCGGATGAGGATCCGGAGAGTGAGACTGAGCTCTTCAGCTCCCAAGCTTCACCGTCAGAAACGGATGATTCCGATAATTTATCCTTCAAGTCAAATTCAAGGTTTCTCGAATGGCCACGAATGGTTGATTCCATTGCTACGTGCTACCTAGCAGCAGTTTTGATGCGACTCCCAGTTTGCATCTACGACTTTCGTCGGTATGTCACTTGAACCCCAATTGCTTCCTATAGTCGATGTGGACATCTTGCTTGCTCTCAGCCCAATTTCTCTTTTGCTTTTCTCTCTCTTTACGATATGCTAATTATTTCCACCATGCAGCTTAATTGTTCGGCAGGAAATTACTTATATCCGGGCACTCAGATATGTCCCTGGGGAGATCAGGAATAAACTGCCATCGGAGTTTCTAGGTATACTTAATATAAAGGTAAGCCATCCAAGAAACGGACTCAACGCTCACTAAAGAGCCCCGCTAATATATCCCAAATAAGAAAATCCCCAACATGCGTTATATGCATCGGGCCATTAGAGATAATGCGGTCTTCTACCAACGAAAATTCGGTATTGAACTTCCACCATTGAACGCCCCCTTGATCTTATATCGCCATATCAAACGATTAGGGGTTCCAAGTATGTTATCTTTTCTGAAAATCCCCATGTGCAGACACTAACGCGATGGCAGTTGATGTCTATGAGATCACCAAAACATTGCAAACCCTCCTTGACTTCGAATTCACGTACCCAAATATCCCTCCAGAACAGCAGCGGATACATGGGCTTCATCTTCCAGAAGTTCAGTTGGTGGTTCTCATTGTCTTAGCAACCAAATTGCTATTCCCATTTGATGATCTAGAGAGACACCCGATCACGGCCTTCGAACCCGCTGCTCAGGGTATAGACTGGGATAAGTGGCTACAAGCGCAGCAGAACTTTGATTCCCAAAACAACCCCCATGGGATACTAGGAAAAGAAAAGGTCATTGGAGTGACCGAAAGAGATGTCTTAAAGATGGAACCTGAGCAACTAGACGGCTACATGGATTGGTATGAGAAAAACTGGTTAACCAAAACCACGAGCAAGAATCCAAATGCCGACATGTTCCCCCTCTCTCGCCCAGCCAATCAAGATCCATCGAACTCTAACAACAATCGTTTGGCTTCGCAAAATAACGTTGATGAAAATGAACTCTTGAACGGTATGGGGCGAACGGTGAATGAAAGTATACTCGCCATTCCCCCGATTCCTCCTGAAGAAGGAAAGAGGACACCCAGACCAGGCATGTGGTTTCAACGATACCGATGGGAATCCAGTCTTCCGAAGACACCGCGAGTCTTCTACCAGCTAGCTGCTCAGCTTGGGGGTGTTTCATTGCCATATCTTGTTAGAGTTGTCTCAAGAGCTGAATGGCGAGTTTCGAAATGGCAAAATAGCCAGAGACGGACAGACTACATTGAACATGGACGGGAGTCTGACGACGAGGAAGAAGAAGATCCTTTTGGGGATGGTGAGGGGTATTTTAACGATATGGATGAACTCCCCGCACAATTATCAGGATTGGACGTTGAAGGAGGGCTATGATAGGCTATGGCATGCATTAAGGCGCGATTTATATTTTATAATTTACGTTTAATGAAATAATACCTCAAGTTTCGCTCTTTTTGAGTATAACAACAAAATTGTGGAGAAAATAGAGGATAATCAAATGGGTAAACAAGTCTTTGAACCTCAGCGACTCCATGAAGTACGTACACTAAAGAGTCCTTGGGCATAGTCCATAGTACAAAGTGGGTACATGACGCACCGAGATTAAATGACCCAAACAAGGATGGCGCGGTTACTCACGTGACTGTTCCGAAAAAGGCAAAATTGCATTGCTAACACTAGGGCTTAGGGTAAATGCGGCCCGCCCACCTTTGCTAAGCGAGAATTCCTCAAATTGTCATCGCCTCCTCCGCCTCGAACCCAGCGACCGACCGCCGACACCAACGAAAACTCGCAACCAGTACGTGCCCTGAATCCCGTCTATATGTATTCCCGAAGACTATGTGAACATAACGAGCTAACATTTACCTTTTTCCTCGCTTTCAGTGCAGATGTAGGTCATCCCAAACTCCCGATAGCCCGCCAATCGCCAATCTTGAATCGAGATGATCCCCACGGAAACAACAAGAACAAGCAGAATGGAGCAAGAACATGCCACTAATACGGCCGATATAGTTTCGTCAAGACCCTGACGGGTAAGACCATTACCCTCGACGTCGAGTCGAGCGACACCATCGACAACGTCAAGACCAAGATCCAGGACAAGGAGGGCATTCCCCCTGATCAGCAGCGTCTGATCTTCGCCGGCAAGCAGCTCGAGGATGGTCGCACCCTGAGCGACTACAACATCCAGAAGGTACGAGGACTTCCTATTCCGGATCGGCATTCAATACTTTTTTTCGCTCGAAATTCGGTTGGCTTGGAGGGGTATGGGCTGTGTATCCATGGTGGAATCGGATCGATCGGAACTGCGCTCTACTCAAGATCTTTTTGATTGGGAATGATTGCTAGGATACGGAAGAGGAGGAATGCCAATGCCGCCGATGATTCGATGCGTCTACGAACAGAATGGCCTGTGCGACATGAACTGCGAAATACGAACAACCACTAACATGATCTATAGGAGTCGACTCTTCACCTTGTCCTCCGTCTGCGTGGTGGTATTATTGAGCCTTCCCTGAAGGCCCTTGCCTCCAAGTACAACTGCGAGAAGTCCATCTGCCGCAAGTGTTACGTACGTGAACCCTCAAATCAACCAGGACGCCGTTTCTTTGTTCCTTTGTTTGCCTGATATCGCTTTTTTGCGATGCTCAGTTAACAATAACGAAATCAACCCATCAAGTTTAAATTAACTAACATTATACCTTTAGGCCCGTCTCCCTCCCCGTGCCACCAACTGCCGTAAGAAGAAGTGCGGTCACACCAACCAGCTCCGCCCCAAGAAGAAGCTCAAATAGACGACTCGCTCCTCGGTGTTGTGCTCGGTGTGTTGTGGTGCAGATTCCAGGTCTGGGGTTTGGCTGGGATGCGACATGGAGAGGTTTTTACATGGCGTTAGAAATGATGAAACAATCACAGCCACCGTCATACTTATGTTAGTTGGCTCCTCTTGGGTCCAGTCGCAATCCATGAATTGAAGTAAAAGTTCAAAAACTTCCATTATTCCATACACTCTACTTTGTGCCATTTGCTAGAATTAAGAGATAGTGGGGTAGAGGTCATGGAAGATCAGGATAGATCCGCTGACGTCCTAACTCTGGTTAGTTAGACTTGAAGGGTACTTTTATAATTCTAGACTCGCGGGTCCGCCCATCATACATATCAGTTCCCGCACTATGATGACACCTCTCGTATATGCCCGATTATCGAACTACTGCCGCTACATTTTTATCGGAACAATTGATTGATTGAAGTATATTGCGGTTGATCAAGCTGTCAACAGCTTATGGACACAGTTACAATACATGCATGGCACAGTTTAGGCCACACTATAAGAAACACAGAACTCAACATATTGGATGGACACAAGTAATAGAAAAGTCCTTCTACCCCTCCTCTCATGACTGATGCTTGCTTAAAACATCATACGGCGCGTGTTGTCGTTATTGTCATCGCCCTTGTTCTCGTTCTTCTTAGAGACGGGGCTCGCATGCCTGTACAGGGAGTATAAATCAGTAAAAAGTCCACAGTTAAACCAAGGCTCAGCACCATATCCGAATGAGCAGTGGTAAGGGGAGGGAGAGGGTAACTCACGCAAAGAAGAGAATCTTGATCGCAATAGCCAATCCAGCATGCAAAACCACAACCAAGATCAAAAGAATCTTGCTCGCCTTCGCATCAGTAGCATTAAGCACAGGGTACAGATTGCGCAACAAGAAGAAAACCGTCCAGGCAAACCCAACACCAACAAGAGCCCAGTTCAGAGCCGTAAGGGGACTCCAGCTAACAAGCGCAACAGCAATCCAGACCAAATTCGAATACCCATACAAAGCCCAGCACTCAATCAGATCAGCCGTTGAGCTCCCGAACCAGCGCAGAGCTCCCCAAAGCGCAATGGGCAGAATACCAGTGTACCCATAAATCAAACCCGCAGCACCAGATAGCAAAGTGAAATCGTACTCGAAATGCTTATCGTCATTATTCGATAGCCATTGTGAGATAGTTCCTGTTAAGAAGAGAATCACAACCACCGTGGTTGCGATCCAGATGGGTCCGTAAAGGTCCGCGTTTCCTTCAAGGACATCAAGGAAGTTCGAGCGCGGGTAGAGAGTTGCGACGCAGCGGCGGAAAACTTCGTTTGTGTCGACATCGAAAAATCGCTCGTAGTAGTGGATTGACCACCAGGTGTGCTTGGTTGGGGTGCCGCCAGGGGAACGGTCGCGGGCGCGGGATGACGAACCACCTAGGAACGGGGTAGAGTCGCCTTGGACTTTGGCAGTGCGTTGATCGTTCTCGAAATCTGTTGCGCGGAGAGAAATATAGAATTGTTAGGAAGATGTTTCTAGCGTTATTTGTGAGGTGTTTGTGCGCTCATGCATCGGGGTGCTGCTCACTGGATGGGTGGAATTCAAGGTCCTCTTGTAAGTCGGTGTGACCGAGGTCGCCCTGTTGGAGTGTGAGAATGGATTTCATTAATTAAGTAGCAGGGAATTTACCTCTGCGTCCACGTCGACAACAACGTCATAGCCCCGATTCGCCATGGTGGATGGTTTGAGTTGGGGTGAGAGCTGGTTGTGCTTCGGGAGGTGGAAGTGTACACATCAGCTTTACTAGCGCCATTCATTGGTGGACACCTGGGCACTATGAGGATTCCATATGAGTGGTTGAGGTACTTTACCACGTGACCAGGTTTGTACTATATCCATCAATGTACTCCATATCAATGTTTTAAATATGTGTATACTACAAGATGGCACTCCTCGTAATGGAGGGAGGTGGCCAATATTAAGAAATCTTCCACAGAGCGAGTCATTTCATGTTACAGGGGGTTACACTTTGGAACCTTTTCCCCGATAATCTTGCATATCAACTTTTGGCCATATTCCCGAGCATAGACAGACGCCGCTTAGAGGACTGATATTGAATTGCACATCCTAGTCACCCTAGAAGATAGCTCAATCGAATCAAGAAACCTAGGGTAGACTAAATACACTCTCTTTATAGAACCAGGGTTTTATATAATAGTATATAGATGCTATTTAGATGGTAGAAATGCCTATTTTAGCTCTAATAGCCTAATATTTTCGGAAAAATTCATATTATCATATAGCATAATTTTCCTTAATAAGCAACTGTGGCCGAGCGGTTAAGGCGCTGTGTTTAGGTAATCAGAATTATTTCTGGAAATATCTCTCCGCAGTACGAAAGTGCGAGGGTTCGAATCCCTCCGGTTGCACTCTCTTTTTTTGTTACTTACAATACTTTTTTTTTTGAAACACTACCAACAAATTAGATATATCCTACATAACTCATAAGTAAACCAGCTTTTTCTTCATTATACATACAGGCATCAAATCCAACCGCAATTCCAGTCCAAAACTAAAGGGAATTATACAAATGCGGAGACAAAAGCTTTAGCTTGACGAAAACAGGCCCAAATTGATGTATCCAGTCCCTTCTTGCGAATGTAAAAGGACACCGCGCCGATCAAAACAGCTACCGCAATAGAAGTCATCGTTCTCCGATTCTTCCATACAATTTCAACAAGTTGCCTCCGGCGTTCCTCATTCCGAAGCTGTCGATCCTGTTGCTCAAATAGTCGCATTGCCTCTTGCACAGTACACCCCCGAGACAAATAATTCCGTGATGTTTTGAGCACACTGTATCGAGAAATGCTTTTCCATATTCCAGACGGCAAAGATTCCGGAGGGTGATCCTTGAAAAGCTTCTCAGCGTGCAAGATATGTCCATCCAAATCCAATGGCTGGGGCAGTTTGGAAAGGGTAAAATGGAGCATTTCTGGTTCATCAAGTGGGATGTCCATGAGCTCTTTTTTACGGTGCAGGATGATTGCCGCGAATAGGTAAATTGAAACCACCGGTTCTCTCGCTAACAACAAGTCGTAAAGTCGGGCAATGTCACTGTACTCCTGGATATCATGGGCATACAGGGTGAGGGTGGCTGCTAGTGCGAAAAAGGGCTGAATGTTTGCGAGATGTTGGCGCAGGGTGGGGTCAACAGCTTCGATGATTGCGGGGATGAGCTGGAGGTGTTTGACAGCGGGAGATAATGTTCGGAGCATGTAGTCGCGGATGCGAAAGAGGGAAACATGAGCCATTGCCAATGCCGCTTCTTGGTTGCCTAGAACCAATAGGAATACTTGTACAATATCATGGTACCCTTGGAAATAACATAACATCGGATAGTTTCGGAGAATCTTGGTGATTAGATCCGATAACTGTACTTTCTTTTCGGCAATTGCCTGATTCGAAAGATCATTTGGATAATACACAAATGCACGGTTGACGTCTAAATGGACCTGCTCTTCGTCTGGATGCCGTGGCAGGTCACCTGAGGGTTTTAGATGATCGTCATCTTGCATACCTCCATCGCATCGTAACAGGATTGGCCCTATTTACATTATTAGCCACCTTCCAATCAGTGAGTGAATCGACCGCCTTGTCTTACAAGCTATTCTTCGGAGCTCATCCTCCAGCAGGCCACCTTCGCCTGTTGCATGAGAAGCTAAGGCTTCTATATCTCGATCACTGCAAGCTTGGCGGATCGCGTTTGCCTTGTCCGAGTGGAACTTTTCCTTTAACTGTTCATTGGAGACCTTGCTGGATAGCTCGCTTGGATGATTTGAGTCTTTGTCGTCATTGTGAGAGATAGACCCCTGCGCGGAGCTCGTGACTATATGCTCATCGTTCGCGGGCGCCATTGCTGGAAATCAAACAAATCGGAAGCAAAGGGGTTGCCCAGAGACCGCTGATTCTCAGACAAAGGAAAAGACTTAATTTCGTGGATTGGGTGGCAAGTTGAAGTTAGGCCATCTGTTCCGAATCAGGGTGGATTTATGTTATGTATCCTGGCCCAGTGAGAGGGATACGGGTGATGAGATTAAACCCAAGAGTGGTGAAAAACAATCTTTTTGCAGATCCCCAGGAAGGTCAGTATTCGCGATAAAAGTGAAATTCTGACTCAGGTTTTTGGATTCTACACTAGAATTGATCATTAAAGGAGGATTGACATGCAAGACAGGTGGAGGAGATAAGCGCGGTCGAAGATTGTGGCCTGAGGCACCATGACCACACGCCCAACGTGATCCCTCCCACTTGGAGCTTGAACAACTCGACCTGTGAAATACACCTCTGCTGTTTCAGATCTCACCACTGTAGGGGAAAACGACTGGAAAATTATACACCATCGGGCAGGATCTGGGTATCCTTTTAACCTCAGGCTACATCCACCGCCGACTTGCTTTGTGTTTGTCCCAGCAGTAATCGGAAAATCACCCCGCTGGTGCCAACAGCTCTTGATGATCTCCAGCTACTATATTCTCAGCCTACCTCAACTGGCATCTTCACTCTTTTGCTACAATATCTGAAGCTGATATTCAATCTTTTGAAGCTATTCTTACACTTGAGCGTCAACAAGGTCGGTCATACTTATCCCCTATATCCATGAATGGATCATATCCCAGTGGTATACGCTCAGGCTTATATTTTGCTGCTTGCTTTCTATCATTCTCGCATATGTTTGATCAAGGTAGACTGTTAAAGTACTAACATGGCTATAGAAGCTCTGTTAGCCAACATCAAGATACTGGCATCTTGCGAACTCAATGCTCTGAAGGCTGTGGCATTCATTGAGCCTAACGGCTACTAAGCTCCGCGCTCTTAAGAACTCATTACATATCACTCCTGCATTCTATTCGCTACTACAGAATGAGAGAAAGTCAGCTTTGCATGTCCCTGAATTTGCCATAGATTGAATGCAACATAAAACCTGCATGGAATATTTAAGCGGCATTGACATCAACAACACTACCAATAAGTGAACAAGTCCCTTCATTCTTTACTTGTTCTTTGTACAACTATTCACTCCTTATTTCTCTGACCGGCCCCATAAGTGAGTGTACGAAAAGACTAGAAATGACCGGCGACAAAGACGGCGCTACGTTGCCCAAGGAGAGCCTGAGCCCCTTGGATGGCGGTGAAATTCAAGGGCTTCTTACCCAAACTATCTTATCCAGCCCAGTGATCAAATGGATTCTTCCTGCTCGCATTCGAAGCAAAGGCCACAACGATGTCGTCTTTGTAGGCGAAAAAAGCGTGCAAGTTAAAGAAGCCGTCCAGGCCAGCTATCTTGCGGATGTGGCACAAAAAACAGATTTCCGTGGTCCTATTCTTGGGGCAAAAGTGCTCAATGTGACCGCCGAGCTTCCCTTGGAGTCGCAGATCCGATCGGATGATCCATACGATGGCCCTTCGCAAGTTCTTGTTCTCTCAGTGGACATGCAAGAGCTACAGTTCTTGTATTGCTCGCCATTCAATCGGAAAGAATTTGTAACATTCCGTCGACCGTTTCCACAAGGAGTTTCTGTTGGCTTAAAATTCGGCAAGCATATCGCTGTTGATCCAAAGTTTGTAATCTGTTTCATATTTCCCAAATGATATATGCTAACCAAAATACAGGTCTCGCGCAGTCGCTGTTAGTGCGTCAAGGGACTATTTTGGGATTTTGCGACTTATATCTCCCGAGGAGGCCCAAAAGCAAATGACAAAGGGAGAACTTGATCCGATACAAGAGGTATGACTTGCACAGTAGCTCTTCATAGGTGGGGAAAGAACATGCATATTGATATCAAAACACAGGAACGTTATTTCGGACTTGATGGATCTATTATGTTCATGGAGTTTCTTTATCCCAGAAGTGCCAAGGACAGGAATATTATCTTGCTTCTCATCGTACAACGAGATGGCGTCTCGTATGCTGTGACGTACACCTGGAAGGATGACAAAGCCCTTCATGCCTCAGACCCGGAGATAGGAGAGTTCAAATTAAGGAAGCAGCAAAAGGCTCCGACCATGATTATTCCACTGACAAAGGAATCGTCTTTTCTGGTTGTGAGCCCGATAGGCATGGCAGTTTATCCCTCGGATGGCTCAACTCGTCCCACAAAGTATCAGATTCCAGCCCCCGACTCCAATATTAATGCTACCGCATTATGGACCCGTTGGGCCCGACCAGCCCGCAACTGGCTATACAGTCAAGCTTATGACGGGATCTATGTATGCCGGGAGGACGGCTGGGTTCACTTCTTGGAATTCGGCAACGAAGGCACTCTGGAATCAGAAACTTCACTTGGTAAAATCCACTGTGACGTGGATACTGCATTTGACGTTCTCGATATGGGCGAAGGCGAAGGTGGTGATTACATTCTTGCAGGAGGTAGCACTGGCGACGCGGGACTTTTTGTCCAAGAAGCCAGAGCTGGCCCGCAATGTCTCCAGCGCTTCCTTAATTGGGCTCCGGCCGCAAGTGCCGACATTATCTCTCCAGAGACTCGAGATGTGTCTCTCCATGGTATGTCACAGAATCGTCTATTTACTTGCTCTGAATCCGCTCCCTTTAGCGGAGCTATTCATGAATTTAGATGGGGCATTGAGGCTCAGTTGGGAACTACCGTGCCACTTGAACATTTCTCAAGTATCAGAGATATGTGGACCATGTTCGATCACACAAATGGCAATATTTATGTCCTCATGAGCGACCCTGTTTCAACTCTAGTTCTCCACACAGACTTGAGTATCCAAGGTATCAGTGCCCTAGATGAGGATCAGACAGGCTTGCATAGTGGCCCGAGTTTAGCAGCGGGGTTCACACCAGATGGAATCCTCATTCAAATCACGGAGACTGGTACGCATTTGTTTGTCACTCGCAATACTGAGATGAATAAATCTATGCCACATAGCACTGTTGGCGATCAAATGAATATACTTGCAGTGACCGTGGAAGGAACCTGTTCAACTGTCCTTACTGCTGTTCGACAGGCGGACAAGGCGTATCTTTACGCCACCCGCGTCGTGCTCGAAAATGATCATGTTGGCTTGAACGCTAGCGAGCCAATCGAAATCAAAAAAGAGCCCATCTGCCTTTCCCTGCAAAAGCTTGGTGACATGTCATTCATTTTCCTAGGAAATAGCGACGGCACAATAACTGTTTTCCTTCTGGAAAACGACAAGATCACTTATCTTTTTGAGACTTCTATCTCTCTTAACAATGAGACCGACATTTCGACTGTTGTTGAAAGCTTTGCCACCATACGGATTTCACCTCCAAATGGCTCTTTACGGGCCTTCCTACTTTGCGGTTTACGAAGTGGAATTCTTGTCTCATTTGAGATTGACTTTAATTCTAATAATTTGATCGGTAAGAACTGGTTTCCTTCTTGGGCTGTTCTACTTAGTATTTATCCGTCAAGCGCACTGCTAATACCTGCAAATTGTGTAGCCTTGCAACAAAAGGAAGCACATCGTATTGGAACCACTTCCATCCATCTTCAAGACAAAGGCTCATTTGCCCTATTCACATGTGGCAATGAGCTTTGGCACGTCTCATACAACCCCGACTGCCTTCCATCGAACTGTTTCATCCGCCGAGTGTGGATCGCAGATCGAGATCTGGTAAGCCTGAATCATAAATATCAATCGATGTTCCCATTGAGAAAAAGTCCAAGTCACTGATGACGCTCTTATAGCCTGCTTATTTCCCCACCTCGCTATATGGCTTCGGCCTTGTCGTGGCTCAACCTCTTGAGCCAAGTGTTCCTATTGGGCCACTCTTTTGCTTCGCAGACCGCGAACTCCTCATTTGCTCCCTAGAGCTGGATTACAAGATGGTCCCACGACGTATAGATCTGCCTGGTACGCCGCGTAGACTCACATATTCACCTCTCTTACAACGCCTTATCGTGTCATTTGAAATTCCCGACTCCGATAACCCCGAAACGCCATTTGCAAAGTCCTTCAGATCCCATATACAGATTGTCGACCCGGACTCACAGATCCCAGTGGTACAACGCGAACCCCATGACCCGTGGAGACCAGTATCAGCTCTTGGTGAATCAATTACTTGCATCCTAGATTGGGTCTTTGAACGAAATGGACAGACCTATCACATGGTCGCACTTGGTACACACATGCCTGCTGTTCACCATCGTGATCCCGACCAGGGGAATCTTATTTTGCTATCTCCTCGGCGAAACCCAGCCGATCCATCCCAGATACATTGCACGACTCAGTTTATTAGACAAATGGACGCCCCAGTTCGTGCGCTGGTATCCTATCGGGACAGTCTTATCATTGGAGCTGGAAACCGTCTCATCCCAATAGCGGCCAAAGATGCAACTCAAAAATGGCACCGAAGTGCTTTGACTCAGCTTCCATCTGCAGCAATTTCCATAACCACCCATGAGAACTTCATCTTTGTCCTAACTTCCCGACATTCCTGGACAATTTTAGAAGTGATTTCTCCGTCCTCCAATCTCAGCAACGAGGGGTCTACTCTCGCAATTCGATCCTGGGACTCCGTTCTGCGCGATGGATTGACTCAACACCTAACTCGCCTTGGCGACAAACCAGTGCTATTTATAAGCCACCGTGGCGGTCATATTAGTGTTTCCAAGTTTGATCAAGAACGCCGAAGCTTGGAGGAAACCAATCCTCGCCAGACTGGGCTGGAGGCGAATCTTCCTGGGTCTGTCCTGCGTTTTGCTCCTGGAGGCCAACGTGATGGTTCCTACTATGGACTCACCATTAATGGCTCTGTTTATCGGATTGTGCTGCCAAGTCCTGACCAACTAGATCTGCTCAGAGTTCTGCAGAATCTGTGTTACAGAGATGAAACCATTTGTCCGGGCCTTAAAAAGCGAGTGCGGCGAACGAATCTTCACGATCTGAGCAAACAGCATGTTGATGGTGATGTCCTTGTGAGGCTTTCCAAGCTCAGCCCAGAATACCTTGGTCAACTTATTGCATCGCTCAGACCTGGTTCAGAATCCAATCATATGGATGTTGTTCTTCGCGACCTTGCTCCAAAAGTAGTAGGAGGCTCGTCGGTTGAAGCGATCATTGCATGGCTTCGGCAACTTCTAGACGTTTCTTTCTAAGATATAGAAGCAATTCCTAGAAGCAGTCCTCTCGTCACTTGTCTACTTTTTATTGTGTGCTCTTCTTAATGAGAAGGAGAGACTAGTTCAAACGGTAGTTAGAGATTAATTAATATGCCTGAGACGATTAAAAAGGAGGTCACAAGAATTCAAAGCCCAAAAACAGCCTAAAAAAGGTATCTTCAAGTAGTATTAATATAATAATTCATCATATAGATCAAAATAAGGAAGAAAATGCAGATATGGTTCTAAACTGTAGAGCCGATCTATAAATAAAGGCCAGTGGCAACCGTGGAGTGAGGTCAGGCTACATTCCCCACCAAAAGTGATTCTTCCCGAAATCTTTTTCACCCACCATCCCCCTCGGGCCACCCAAACCAGTCTTTCATTCTTGGGGATTCGAGCTCGAAAGGAAACGGAACAACGTCACCAGTTCCCTCCTCTACATTTATTCTCCGTCCCTGCGCGGCCGCAGTTTATTCCACCCCGGTTTTCTCTATTCCGCAAGTGAACGGTTAGCTCCGTTTGTGCGCCCGCTGCGTCTATCCGATCGCCTCCCGGATTCGGAACACCCATAACGCAAGAGAAGAAAAAAAAAACAAACGCACTTAAAACTAAAACCCCGCCGACCGACACGATGGCTCCTAAGAAGAAGGGAAACAAGCGCCAGGATGAAGACTGGGAGGCCGATCTTGGAGAGGCTGCCCCCGCTGTTGAAACCCCCGCCAGCGATGATGCTGAGGCTGGAGAGGACAATGGTGAGGCCGCGCCTGCTGCGGGCGGTCTGATGGCTGCTTTGCGAAAGAACAAGGCCAAGAAGGCAAAGAAGGGAAAGGCCAACGACTTTGTTGAGGGTGAGGACCCTGCTGCCGACCTCGAGAGCAAGCAACCCGAGGAAGGTACATTCGATGAGGACGATGTGTTTGCTGGAAAGCCTAAGAAGGCTGTCAAGGAGGCGGCCGCTGCTCCTGCTGAAGAAGCCGAGGAGGAAGGGTTCCGCGTGAAGTCAAAGAAGGAGAAGGAGAAGGAGAAGAAGGAGCGTGAGAAGCAACGTAAGAAGGAACAGGTACGTCTACCTAGTGCTATATCTAGGGAAATATCATTTTCGTTGATTGATTGGTTTGCTAACTCGCCATTTGCACTTCTACTAGGCCGCTTTGAAGAAGAAGACCGCCCCCGCTCCCAAGGATGAACCCGCTAAGCCCGCCGCAAAGGCTGAGAAGGAAGAGGCTGCTGCCGCTGCCCCTGTGGAAACCGGTGGCAAGAAGAAGAAGCTTCCCCCTCATTTGGCCGCTCTCCAGAAGCAGCAAGAGCTGCTCCGTCAACAGCGTGAAGAGGAGGATCGCCTCGCCGAGGAGGAGAAGAAGGCTGCTGAAGCCCAGAAGAAATTAGACGACGAGGAAGAAGCCAAGCGTGAAGAGGCCCGCCAGAAAAAGAAGGAACGTGAGCGTGAACGCAAGGAACAGCTGCGTAAGGAGGGTAAGCTTCTGACCAAGGCTCAGAAGGAGGCCAAGGACCGCAACGAGAAGCGTCTGCAGCAGATGCTTGCGTCCGGTAGTAACGTTGCAGTTGCTGGACTTCAGGATGGCGGCGCAGAGAAGAAGCGCCCTACTTATGATAACCGTAAGAAGAAGGGCGGTAAGAAACAACAAGAGGAGGTTGATCTTGAAGCTGCTGCCGAGCGGGCTCGCCTGCAGCGCGAAGCTGAAGATGCACGCCGCAAAAAGGAAGCCGAGGAGAAGGCTAAGGCTGAAGCTGCCGCTGCCGCCGCTGCTGCTCAGGCACCTGAGGAGGAGGCAGATGTTGATGACTGGGAGAAGGCCGCCGAGGAGGAAGATGATGATCTTAAAGATAGCTGGGATGCCCCCACTGATGACGAAGAAGAAAAGCCCAAGGCTGCTGCTACCAAGGGTGCTTCCGAGGAAGAAAAGAAGAGCGAGGATGATTTCGAGGATGACTCTGAGGATGACTCTTCCTCTGAAGATGACTCCGAGGACGAGGAGCAGACTGCTGCCCAGAAACTTGTCGCTCAGCGAAAGGCCGAAGCTGCCGAGCGCAGACAGAAGCAGCACGAGGAGGCTCTTGCAGCTCGCTCGAAAGATAACCTTCGTTCTCCCATTTGCTGTATTCTGGGTCACGTCGATACTGGTAAGACTAAGTTGCTGGATAAGATTCGTCAGACCAATGTGCAGGAGGGAGAAGCTGGTGGTATTACTCAACAGATTGGTGCTACATACTTCCCTGTCGATGCCTTGAAGACGAAGACTGCCGTTGTGAACAAGGATGGCAAGTTTGAATTCAAGATCCCCGGTCTCTTGATCATTGATACACCTGGTCACGAGTCCTTCTCCAACTTGCGTTCAAGAGGTTCTTCTCTCTGTAACATTGCCATTCTGGTCGTTGATATCATGCACGGTCTCGAGCCCCAGACTTTAGAGTCTATGCGTTTGCTGCGTGACCGCAAGACTCCTTTCATTGTGGCCCTGAACAAGATTGATCGTCTGTACGGCTGGAAGAAGATTGACAACAACGGTTTCCAGGACAGTCTGGCTATGCAGAACAAGGGTGTTCAGAACGAATTCCGTACTCGTCTTGAAGCCACAAAGGTTGCCTTTGCCACGCAGGGTTTCAACTCCGAGCTGTTCTACGAGAACAAGTCCATGGCCAAATACGTGTCTCTGGTCCCCACATCCGCTCACACTGGTGAGGGTATTCCTGACATGCTGAAGCTGCTCACTACTCTCACCCAGGAGCGTATGACTAACGCTCTTATGTACCTTTCTGAGGTTGAGTGTACCGTTCTGGAAGTCAAGGTCATCGAGGGTCTCGGTACCACTATTGACGTTGTGTTGAACAACGGTATCCTGCGTGAGGGTGACCGAATCGTACTTTGCGGTCTTAACGGTCCCATTGTAACAAATATTCGAGCTCTGCTCACACCCGCGCCCCTCAAGGAACTGCGTCTCAAGTCTCAGTATGTGCACAACAAGGAGGTCAAGGCCGCTCTTGGTGTCAAGATTGCCGCCAACGACCTGGAGAACGCCATTGCCGGTTCCCGTCTGTTGGTCGTTGGTCCTAATGATGACGAGGAGGATCTAGAGGAAGAGGTCATGTCCGATCTGGAGAACTTGCTGAGCCGTGTCGCTACTGACAACCGTGGTGTCACTGTTCAAGCTTCTACTCTGGGTTCCCTGGAGGCTCTGCTTGAGTTCTTGAAACAATCTAAGATTCCTGTGGCCAACATTTCCATCGGTCCCGTCTACAAGCGCGATGTCATGATGGCTGGAACTATGTTGGAGAAGTCTAAGGAGTTTGCTGTCATGCTGTGTTTCGATGTCAAGGTTGACAAGGAAGCTGCTGCTTATGCCGCTGATGTCGGTGTCAAGATCTTCACTGCTGACATCATTTACCACCTGTTCGATGACTTCACCAAGCACATGGCCGAGTTGGCCGAGCAGCGCAAGGAAGAGAGCAAGTTGAATGCTGTCTTCCCCTGTATTATCGCCCCTGTTGCCATCTTCAACAAGAAGGATCCTATTGTCATTGGTATTGATGTTCTTGACGGTGCCCTGCGCATGCATACTCCATTGTCTGCTGTCCGAACCAATGCTGAGGGCAAACGAGAGGTCATCGACCTTGGTAGAGTGTAAGTGCTTTCTGTTCTTCTGTCTTGCTTTCTCGTCTCCCCGCCCATCTTCCATGAAATGTTTGACTTGATCTAACGTTTATCTACAGTACATCTATCGAGCGTGACCACAAGGCCATCCCCATCTGCAAGAAGGGTCAACCCTCCGTTGCCATCAAGATCGAGGGTCCCAACCAACCGCTGTATGGCCGTCACCTTGAAGAGAAGGACCACCTCTACTCCAAGATCTCCCGTAAGAGTATCGACACACTGAAGGAGTTCTACCGTGATGAAGTGACGATGGAAGAGTGGGGCTTGGTGAAGAGGCTCAAGCCCGTCTTCGATATTCCTTGAGCTTGACGCACCAATTCTCACAGGAGATACAAGGGCATGATCCCTTCCGAAGATGTTCAAATACGCTCACATCTCGTCTTGTCTGACAGCCCTTCCTTACCTACTTGAACTTTGTTCCTATTTCGCTATGTCGGCAAATAGTTAACATGTTTTGAAAATGTGGCATGTCTTATGAAGTTTCTTTTTCTTTTGATGCAATGACACCATATATTCAAAAAGCGACACAAAAGTTTTTGATGTTTTTGATCATGATATGGACATACCATTCACGACCTAGACTAGGCAAGGAGAATACAAGTCGCCTGTACATGTCATCAATGTGAGAAGGGTCTGGTTTATACCAGCAATGTTTTTTGTTTCCTATTATAGTTTCTTTAATGAAAATTGTTAGATTTTGATTTAAAGAGCATCCTCCCTCTATCTTTACATCGCTCTTGATCTGAATCTCGATCTAGATTCTCAAACTAGCATACAGTCAGTCACTAACTAAGCAAGTTATGCAAATCTATCTATGTACAATCAATCGCCCACTTCATGATCCAGTCCCAACAATTACAAGCAATCAGAACGATCAGAAATCATCGCCCTCCCACTTCTCAACCCTCCCCCCATTCTTCGCCCAATCCAACCAACTCCCATAATAGATGCCAATAGCATCAGCATCATACCCAGCCGCCACAGCCAACTGCGCCGCAGCCTCAGCCCTCACACCAGCCTTGCAATAGAACACAATCTGCTGATCCTTCTCAATAACTGGCTTAGGGAATCCAAAGCGAGTCTCGAATTCATCAGCCTCGAGATAGAGCGCATCAGGCTGGGACGCGAGCGGAATATTAATTGCCGAAGGAATGATACCCGTTCCGTTGAGTTCGGCCGGTTCACGGACATCGATTAGAATAACTGGGTTGTGGGATGGGTCACTGGATGATGAACTAGGGAGAACGGTGTTGATCTTCTTAAGTTAGTCCTTATCTTTATATAAATTTGTACCGAAATGGTGCGGGTGTATGAGATGAGTATTTGCTTATTTGCTTACCTCTTCAAACCCCCATTTGCGCCAGGGCTGGGGCGCAGACTCATCGCTACTCCAGCGGATTTGGCGGCGCGATTGACATTGGAATTTGTTTTGGAGTTGAGTATTGGTCTTGTAGCTTGATGAGTGACTTGTGAGAAGGCTGTTTCTCGGTGGTAGAGAGCTGATTCCTCGGGTTGTTGTGGAGAGACAGCCGCGCTGGAGGAGTGGTTGGCGAGTGGATGCCTTCAGGGCTGAATATGAGATACTTGTGGCTGAGCGTCTCATTGTGGATGGTAGCATGGTTGCCATTGTGGGATTCTCTTGCTCGGAGTCAAGATGTGGATGAGGTTCAAGGCACCGGGAGTTGCGGAGTTCAAGGTAACTCCCGAGGTCGTGATGTCAGTGGGGACACCGCCTGCTTGGTTGGGTTCAAAGTTTGTTGATTCACATATATAATATATGCTGAAGTTGAGCCTCACAATGCGCAACTTCTTGAAATGGATGTTTGAAATCTTGGGTATAGGCTGTATAATTATATGTGTGGATTCAAAGGAAATGTTTAAGAACTAAACTTGTTGTAGTGAGGGTAGAATGCGGTACGAATTATTTTTATATACTGGTCCCTGGCAACTTGAATATCATGAAGATGATTGAATGATTAGTTAGAAATTAGATCACATGATCCCTTTCAAAGACTCATTATAGAATTGATTGATGCATAGTAGAGAACAGACATGAAATATCTTGAAGGCCCCTACTGAGCACTTGAGTTTTCTAGTACTTCTTCCAAAGTTCACCACGTTCTTCGACACCCGTGGACGCCGTCACATACTACTAATACACATTTGTCTACCCATCATTCTACCCATCATTCTACTTACTATTCTCGATTGTACTATGTACACAGAGTATCGCACTAATGCAGAACTCGATAACTTAAGAGACAGTGGAAAAACTTCTCGAGGTTCTACTTTAGATTGAGGACAGAAAGACACAGCAAGATAGGCATATCAGATCATGAAATGACGAAAACGTGAATTAATATTATTCTAAAAGGGTGGTTGCGGGGTTGCTCGAATTTTAGGAAAGTGAAAGTGAAAACAAGCATGGGGTATCAGAGTTTCCAGCTGTTCCAAATTATGGCAATCGCATGGTGTATGAACAATCATGGGGGTTATCCCCCATCTCAACCCGTGATGCGACCTGACCCGTTAAAATGAACTTGAGAACATATGATGAAGTGAAAAGGACCGCTCCATCTCCAGGATAGAAGGGCCGCAGCTGGGTGACCTAAGCCCTTCTATCCGGAGGTTGGGGCCTGGTTCCAGCTTCAGGGCTTTTGGGGGTTGCTCTGGAATGAAAAAGAATTTATGGGCGAGGACGGAAAGAGAGCAAACAATCATCCTAAAGTAGATTATTAGTAATTGTTCAGACCAAAGAAAAAAATGGAGTGGTTTATTATGCGAGAACATACCTGGGGGAAGATAGTAGCGAACACCTTGATATCCTCGGAAAGAGGAGTAGGGGTGTGCTCCCAGTCCATCTCTATACTGGCCTTACCAATCATGGCCATGAGAGACAGCTGAGCGTAGGTCTGACCCAGACAGTAGTGGGGACCTGTGCCGAAAACGAGCCAGTTCTTGCTCTGTGCCTCGGCATCACCGGTGATCCAGCGCTCAGGTTCGAAGGAGTCAGCGTTAGGGTAGGCCTCCTCGTCGTGAGTGGCGGGCCACACGGAGGGAATGATCATAGAGCCCTTAGAGACGGTAATCTTGTCGGTGATGGGGAAATCCTTCTTGACCAGGTAGGGAACCATGATAACGGGGGGGCGGTAGCGGAGAGTCTCCTTGACAACGGCACGGGTGTAGGGCATCTCATCGAGCAGCTCAATTGTGATGGGAACAGTGCGGTCGCCGTTGCGAACACGAAGGTTCTCCTCACGGACCTTGTCCAAAACCTCAGGGCGATCAGCCATCAGCTGGAACAACCAAGTAGAGGCGGCACTGGTGGCATCCTGGGAAGCGAAGAGGAAGGTGAAAATAGTCTGGGCAATCTCGAAGTCGGAAAAGTCACGCAGAACCTGAGCGGGCTTCTCGGAGGAGTCAACCTCAATACCCTTGGCAACCTTCTCGCGGTACTTGGCAGAGTCCTGCTGGGCCTTGACCCAAGCGTCCATAATGCAAGAAATCTCACCACCAGCAGCCATGCGAGCACGGCTCTTAGCAGAGCACTTGGCGAACTCAGCCATAACCATGTCAGCAGCCTTCTTACCGTACCAAGTCTTGGTGTAAGGCAAGATGATAGGGAAGTTAACCAGCTCCAGAGCGGCAGTAATCAGGTAGTAGTCGTCAGCGACCTTCTGAACGATCTCATCGGACATGTAGTAACCAACGAAGGTACGGCAAGAGAGAGCAGTCATGAGCTCACGGAAATCGGGCATCCAAGGAGTGGGCTCGTGCTTGAGGGCAGCGGACTTCTCCAAGAAGCGCTTGAAACTGTCGTTCAGGACCTCCTCAACGCGGGGAAGGTACATGGTCAGAGCCTGGCGAGTGAACAGACCGTTAAGACCCTTGCGGTAGTCAACATGCGCCTTTCCATCCAGGAAGACCCAATTGCTCTTGCCGAGAAGTTTGTGCGCAGCATCGACAACACAGGGCTTGACGTATGCGGGAGAGTTGAAGATCTTGCGGGACATGTCACGGGAAGACGCAATAACGACGAACCTAGATTGTGATCTGTTAGTATATCGAGTCCAGGGTTGAGAGTTGAGATTAAAGAATAGAGCAAGACTCCATAATTACAGACATGCTGAAGATTCAACATGTAGAAATAGGTTGCGCGGATCCTTCGGGTTTGCTCACTTGTGGAAGACGGAGACGCAGCTCAGATCGGCACTGTCCCATTTGGCCTTGTATTCGGTGAACTTGGGATTGACGGATTGGAGGAAAGGTCCCATGAATGGAATCTTGTAGGAAGGGCCAACAATTGCTCCCTTATAGTAGTGATATTTAACTGACAAGGGATTGTTAGATCAGAACAAAGGAATATGAAATCTTTCAAGAGGCCTCGAGAATAGGCGCACTCACATTGATCGTAGGCAACGGCCGCAAGGAACAGAGTTCCTAGCAGCTTCCAAATAGTGAGGCCATCCAGAATGGCGGCCAAGAAACCCGCCGACGCGATCAATTGGGGAGATACTGTCGCGTCCGCCGAAGGCGAGATAAAACTCCCAGTGATGTTGACCATACTGTCTGAAGTGGTCACCAGTGAGGGAGACCCGGTACTTCTTTTTTTTTTGAAGGGTTTCTATTTTAAGGAACGAAAGACAGAAACAAGAGAAAAAAAAAAAAGAAAGAGAGAAGGAAAAGGAGACTCCGGAGTGCAGATCGGAGATTGGGAGGGGAAGAAATTGGTCAGGGGCGGGAACGCCAATAATGCCGGCGCCAATTCCCACTGGGGGGACAATGATGCGCCTCGTCCCACATCTATTGGTTGCCAAGGCATGATTACTTATTAATTAAGATGAATGATGATTGTCAGGTTGCTTTATTCCTTTCATTATCTTCATTTTACTTCATTCTCATTGTATGTTGCTCATTACCGACATTTTTCGAGTGATCTATACGGACCTTGAAGAAATTTCTTAATGCCTATCAATACGGAGTAGATCCTATCACAGCTGGTTCAACCTGAACAAACATTGTTATGCGCGTCAATGCATATTTAGTCCCCAAATTATGCCGTGTAAAAGTGATCGATCTCAAGTAGTCAATCTACCCTACCCATCATTACTTCATACTTCATACGGAGAGTTCTCAATTGTATACTCCATAATACTCTCCTACATTAGTTCTTGGTCATCAGAATCAGCCATAGCGTGACTCGGCTAGAGAGATCCCGAGCTCGTTGATTGGTTGCTGCATGGCATGAGGGTTCGCATGGCACGTGCATAATTACATAGCTGATTAACACTGCTTTTCATTGGATAATTGCGCTTTATGCAGATTACAGTGTACAGATGCTGCCCGGGTGGAGATATGCAGTTCCCATTTAATGTATAGTTATGCCATTATCATTTTGACCCCCGAGGGTGTTTCACTATGTACATTTAATACCTCTAAGACCGACCAAAGCCGAACCAGCCCCGACCCTTCTTCTCCTCAGCGGCAGTCGCAGCAGGAGCTTCTGTCTCAGCATTTGAGACACGTGGGTAGTCGATGTAATTCCATGCCACGTCCAAGAAGAGCGGCTTCACAGGAACAGCCTGCATCTGTGGGGGATAAGGTACCAGATTGCTCAGATCTGGGTTCGCGCCGAATTGATGTAGGCGCTCAACCAGAGGGCGTTGCTGAGATGCACTGGAGTCGCTATCAAATCGCTCCAGAGTAGCAAGCCCACGGTACCGGGCAACCAGTCCCTGGAGAGTAGCACACAAGACATTAAACTGTGCTTGGGAAACATCAAGTCGTGGTGGCCCCTCCGATTCGACGGATGACTGAGGTGTCGCGGATTTAATAAGATCAAAAGCATGCGCAAAGAGTGCCAGTGCTTCAGTGGTCTTACCTAGAATACCGTGAGAACGTCCAACGGCCAAGCACCTAAAGAGAAGACCAGGTTAGCCAGGGATTGAAAAATTCAAACAGATCATGACGACATGAAGAAGCTCATCAGGGAATGAGGTAGCTAAGTTTATGAACATACCTGAGAGCACGGAAATAGTGTTGTTTGGTTTTGAGATCCTGAACAAAAGCTGAATCGGCAGCAACACCTGGTAACTCTAAAATGAACTCTAAGCTCTGCAAGGTCGAGTCATATAGCACAACTCGTTCCCGAAGTTGGTTCAACTTCTTGCCATTGCCTCCGGTTTGGTTAGATTTCTTGCCGGCCGCAGAGACCTGGTCATCTTCAAAGGCCAGACCGTCCTTATTGCCACACAAGACCCGGTTGCGACCAATTCGCCATCCGACAAGACCGTAATTGACAGAAGTTCGGGTTATCTGCAGGGCTTGCATCCGCTTGTCTCCAGCATCAACACCTTCATTGGCGAGATCATCAATGGCAGACTTTGTGGCATCGACGGCATCCTGACTAGCGATGATAACATTGTCGTACTCGGCAGCTTGGTCCTTGGCTGTTGCAGAGCGACCCGCCTCGTTCAACCAAGTACCTAGGAGTGCCTGAGCAGCTGAAGCCGAGGCCAAGGCTTGGGAGATTGACGCATCTTCTAATGGGACAGTCCGTGATCTCCAGGTGACAGACTCTGGAAGTTTCTGTACCTCACCATCTGCGGTTCTCCGTGTGCCTGCCGCTTCTTGGGCTAAGCAAGCGGGATCAATCTTCTCTACCTCAGACCGAATTTCAGAATCGGACGGGAAATATTCAATTGCAAGCGAGGAAGTTGGCTTCGAACGGGGAAGCTTCATCTGGTAAGCGGCGTAGCGCAAACTGGGGTCAACAGTGCCCGTAAGAAGATCCCGGAAGGCATCCTTCTTGACTCTCTGGCCAAGAGTCGTGTAGATGACCCTTGCGATGGCATAATCATGAAGACATTGCTCCCATTTACGCTTCTCGAGGGACAAAGCACCGGATATTGTGGCAAGGTAGGCTCGTGCCTCAAGAATATCAATATCATTTGCCCCAGAGGTCGACTGGTCATGAAGCAAAGAGACAAGTTGTTGTGCGTATCCAGAGGCCTTTTGCAACCGAGAGATAATATGGCGTCGGGCAGCACCAGAGATGCCTTTGGCCGATGGGTCTGCGGAGTGTGTTGACTTCATATGCATAGCTTGGGCCCATGCTCTTTCGGAACTGAGGAGCAGCAGATGTGCGTATCTATACGAAACAAAAAAACTCCCAATGAGTACAATAAAAAGACACCAGCTGACAATTGAAATATACTTACGCAACATTGTCGCCAACCTTTTCAGCAGTCACTGCTGGTTTGGCAGTGTACTTGCGGCCTTTAGCCGTGGCCTGGCCTAATTTCTTGTGCAGTTTGTGCAACTTGCGGGTGGCGTGGGCCCGGTAAGCATTATAATCTCCAGCGAGGAGCACCTCCTCTCGCTCCTTGAAGATATAATCGGTGATCTCCATCTTTTTCGTTGAGTGTTCTCGTTGGAAATTGAAGGGGAGGACCGAGCAAGAATAGTAGACAGTTGGTGGGTTGCGACGAAGGCGGTGGGCAGAACGAGATGGGCCGATGTGCCGGGGTTTTTCCTCTTCCATTGCGGAAGCTTCTTATTTTCAACGGATCTTTTTCGTTTGACCCCCTTTGCTAGCAAATATTGGGTCAGCAACTCCATTGCGTTTGCTATTATTTGGAAGCTGAAATTGAGAGGAAGGAACTTTAAGATTTGCGCATCCTCTCCATTCATCGCGTCTCCTTTCCTTTGCGAATTGGGTTAGTGACACCTTCCAAACAGCTTTGTTTAAACGTCTGCATCCGCAGAACCACCTCGATTTGCTGCCTGCTAATCTTTGATTACTCTTTAATTACGACATACAGAGGATTTCTGGACACGATATGATGCGATTTGGTGAATTGTTCTGGTGGTTTTAGTGTTTTCACGCCGTGACGATCGGGGGTAATGCTCGAACGTGCCACTGGCTACTTCGAGACCGCGGGTCGGCGTTTCCTTCGAGATTCTACGGCCGGCATTCAAACGAGGCAATCGATATCTCGACATTTCTGGAAACATAATACCGGAGGAGATGCCACCCACTGGTTTTTAGCCTTTACACACCCGCCGGACCAACCTACCAATCTGATTTCCAACATCTCACCTCGAAGCAGAAGTCCTGCCGATTCCAACTTGCCATTCCTTGACTTCCTGTACCCTCCGACGCCTCAACAATCCAATAAATTTCGTCTGTGTCGTCTTCCTAAGAGAGTGGGATTACGCCGGCGAAAAAGGACGATTTCCAGTCTTCGGAGAACGTACGTTTCAGAGGCCTCGAGTCTTACGAAACCAGTTGAACTCGACTACCAGCCACAAGGAACGCATCTAGAGCAGGACAATCATACATATGCATCTCCCAAGCCCATAAAAGCCACGGAGGATCTATGGAAACACTTGAGGGCACGGCGAAGGAAACCAAAACATTTTGATAATGCCTGGGTGCTCTTCATCGCAGCCGGCCGCCCTCGAGAGGCCCTTTCTGAGCTCTGTGCCTGCTTGAGCAAGTCAAGCAAACCTACAGATCTGGACCGGGCATGGGAAGCCTTTTCAGAATTGCAGAATCCCTCTGATGAGGATTTTCTCAATATCACTCACTCTCAACTTCAATCCCAAGAGCCGAAAAAGTTGGTTGAGATATGTTCTTATGCCTTGAAGATGCGACGTGGGCGACCTATATTTGCTCTGTCATTCACACATTTTCTCAGGGCTCATGAATGGGCCCTTGCAGAGAAGATATGGATCCTTCGTTCTCAATTCAACGACGAGCAGGACGCGCAGATTGTTTTACCCAATAATGAGATCCGAATAGCCCCTGAAGAAATAGAAGGCTTGATGACATATCTCATGGAGAAAAAGAGTGCATCTGACTTTGACCCTCAGAATCTTCGAGATGTCACCGAATTCCTATTAGGTCGCATGTCTACTTCTCTCAATATGTTGAAGGACACCCCAATGGATGTCCTAAACACGATTATGCAAAAGTCTCGCCGTCTGGGTCTCTCGAGCCTCCAGCATTATGTTAATATCATCGAAACCCTCCAGTCGTCAACCGCCAGATTGGACTTTGCGCGCTCCCTTATATTTTACCACCAGATGCGAGTATTCTTCTACAAACAACTGCGTACACATGATGTGCACTATCACGCGCGGAAAGAGCTTTTGTCTCGCCAACTGAAAGTGCTTATCCATTTTGAGATGGCAGAAAATGTCCTCTATTTCCTAAATGAACTAACGCACTTCTATGGAAAACCAAATATCCAGCAGTATAAGGATGTCATGAATATGTTCGCTCGCTCTGGAGATGTGTCGCAAGTAACCCTTGTATTCAACAAGCTGGTGGCAGACTATGGTAAGCCAAAGAGCCGTAAATTGTTGATTCCGCTGCTTCATGTGCATGCGGTGCTCGGCAATGTGCCGGAGACGTTCAATCAATTCCAAAGAATTCAAGCCGAATTTCACCTTGAGCCGAACACAGTCTGTTGGAATGTCGTTCTTACAGCCTACGCGGCTAAAGAAGATTTGGCGGGAGCCTTTTCCCACTTTTCAAAAATGGTTCAGGCCGGGGTCCAGCTTAACTCTCATACATTCGGCATCATGATGAGCCTTTGTGCAAACAGAGGTGACATTGCTGCCGTTCGCCAACTTCTACAACAAGCAGAAGAAAAGAAGGTGCCTGTTACCATGACGATGCTTGGCACGGTTGCTCAGGCATATATTAGCAGTGGTCGTGTGGACTTGGCTGAACAATTAGCTATGACGTGCTTGGATTCCAAGGTTGAAGGCTCTCCTATGCAGTTATTGAACACGCTACTTATGCAGTATGCGTACAGGATTGATCATCAATCCTTCAAACGAGTGATGGAGCATATGGACCGTGCTGGATTTACGCCAGATGCAACAACCCATGCAGCTGATCTGCTCCGTATGTCTTTGATTGGCTCTGCTGACAAGGCTCGCAGGACCCTGCGTCGCATGCATAAGAGTGGAGTAATCCATGCTACAGAGGTCCATTACGCTATAGTTTTGCTTGGGTTTATCAAAGTCCGCAATCTTCAGATGGCCCAAGCCTTGTTGAGAGAGATTTACTCACGTTTCCCTGACTCCGGCATAGCCTCAAGCATTCGAAATTTCGAGGCAGCGATTCATGTCAACTCAAAGTCAACCCAGCATGAAAAACGCCTGAAGACAGCGGAAGAGGTGCTCCTTAAGTCAATATCCGAGCGTGGGTTGACTTCGCTGGTAAGCATGCTTCCATCAGCAGCAGGCCGTAAGGAGACCATCGCCAAATCCTTTGACACTTGGAACCACGAGTACCTTATCAAACGGTACGGTTCCAAGGGTGCCATGGACCTAGCTCGTGAAATGTTCGAGCGCTATATGCCGACAAGTGCTGAGGATGGAGGAGAAAACATGCCCACTCCAATTCGCCTGATAAGTGCTATGATGATCACGCATTCAAGGGCGGACCAACATCAAGAAGTTGATGAGTGTTGGAAACTTGCAATGTCAAGCGCCATTAAGTTGGCCAGCAGAATCAACGTTGAACCTCTTCTGAGATCCTTGGCGTCTGATGGAAAGCCTGTTTCTGAAGAAGATCTCTTCTCTGACTCATCTCTATTCTTGCCAATGGCGGACAAAAACAGGGCACCTGTTGATAACGTTGCCGAAGGACACAAGTCAGAAATCATACCTGCGCGCCGCTTCACTCTCTCGAAGCCCCTCAACATTTACATGCGTTCATTGGCTTACCGAGATAAGCTCCCGAAAATTGCTCAAGTTGTCGCTGAAGTTCAGGCAGCTGGCTTTGAATTATCAACCTTCAATTGGACAACTTATGTCCAAATGCTTGCCGACTCCGATAAATTTGCTAACGTGTCTGAGGCTTTCCGGTTGAACGAGGAAATATTCATGCCGAATTGGCCAGGGTGGAAGCGACTTAAAAGGGGGCAGACTTACAAGCCCCCTGGAACCCCAAGAGGCGTATACCTACTTGAAAATCCCTCAGAACCAGAACATTCGAAACATTTCCTCGGGCGCAAGGCAACCAAGTACTGGAGTGGCGTCGCACCGGAGTTCATGCAGCCCACATACAAAATGGTGGTGTACCTCGCTGCTGCTTTAGAGCAAATTCGTGAGACTACTATCACAAAGGGCGGGCATCAGCTTGACGACCTTTTTGCCATCGCACCGATGACGGTTGAGGCAATCAGTAAAATGCCATATCTGCGTGACTGGTTCCAAGGTATTCTTATTCGGAAGCGTGAGAGGCAATCTGAGAAAGAGCGGAAACCATTCCCCAGGGGACGTGGCATCGCAGAGGGCGGTATCCTTGGCTCCCCATCCCGTCTCCGTCGCCGCAAGACTGTGGATACACTTAAGGGGCATGAAAGCGATAAGCTCTTGAACCAGAAGGCGGCGAAGCTTGGTACCAAAGCCAAGACTCAACCCAACCTGCTATCTCGCACCCCCGGCGCAAAGAAATGGGAGAACCTACTCAAAAGGGAAGATATGCTTGATTTCCAGACCCAACTTGGCTACCAGAAAACGCATAGCAGACGACTCAGCTCTCTCAAAGTTCCAAGACCAACACCCCGAAAGCCAAACTTTCGGAAAGTTTCATTCCGACGACGGATCTTACGGCAAACCCCCTCTCAAAAGTCAAACCCAGAAACCTGAGGCACCGAAGAACACACCTAATGTGAACAAAGAGCGAATACCTTGAACGGTTGAGCTATCCTTAGCCCGCACAGAGAAGGTTGGCTGATATCCACCTTTCATGTACATTTATAAATTTCCCCGCGGCCCATTTCCTCTTCCTTTTATCTGTCACTTTGTATAGCTAAGCATTTGTATCTATATCACCTCAATGTACAATATCCATCCCTTTCTACAGGATGGGTCGAAATCAGTTTCACCACTTTGTACTTATGGAATTCTTCTCGAACCCTAGCCCTAAGCACGCTATTCCATTTCTGGATTCATAGGGTTGCAAGTATTGAATCGTATTGAACTGGAAGACGCGCGTCGCGCGCATCGGCCCTGAAACGAGAGACGAAGAATTGAAATAAAGGTGAAATAGAAATGTCAAAATTTTATTGGAAGCAACCTGAGTTGTATGTAAAGTGAAGGGTTATGAGAAGAGAATAGAACGTGCAGCAAACAGCACAAACGCAATCAAACGCAATTAACAAACCCCGCAGTCCTAAATCTCCGAACTCCGAGTCCACACCACCAGCTCAACCTGTTACACAACCCCTCAGACACCTGAGGTGATGATGATGATGATGATGATGATGATGATGATATTCTATTAACCTGATGCTATCTAGCTATAGTCGCAATGATAATGCAGGCGCTTCCTCCGTCGGAAGCAAGAATCAGCCAGACGCCAGTAAACAGTAAACCCACAGCTGACAAAGGAGAAGGCAGATGAAGCTGCCTAAACAGGTAAAAATGAAGTTATACGCAAAGCCAAAAACCCATATAAAAATGAAAAATCCAAAAGAATGCGAGTCACGCCTCTCCCCGCGCACCCAGACCCCGGTGCGCACCTGCTTCCTCGTCTGCTCCCACTCTGTCACCACCCCATACGTAATTCTTGCTTCCAAGCAATCAAAGAATTCCTTATTTACATGATTTTCTTGTTCCACCTCTCGATGGCGGAACCTCTTCCCATCGTAGTAACCAGCGTCTTCACCACTGTCCGATTTCCGGTCATTCCGGAGTAGTTTGTCAGACACCTGAGGCACCCCGAACTCCCAGGTCCATAACATTTCTTCACAATCAATGTAACCGAAATTGCCACATTGAAAATGTCGCATCTGATGTTGTCATTCAACAGTAGATCGAGCTTGGACACCTGAACACTTAACAACGGCGAATCGCAAGGGGTAAGATGTGACACATCTGGTCAAGTGTTCAATTGAGCTTAACCTCAATATTCATAGTGATAATGATACCCCCTGCAGACCAGATGATCAGATGTCAATTAGTTTCATCTTCTCTTTTCTCTTCGGCGTCATATGCTGTCGCGTCAAGCTCCTGAGGAGAGAAAGATCGGACCTGACTATTCTGCATTTCGTGGACCTGATGTATATCTCCTCTTAGTTCAGAGCGATTGGTGTTCCCTTGGATTTCTTGCGGGGGAACTCGAAGAATTCCAGACTCCGGCAATTCAGTAATTTGATCCTTACTTCCTGGCACATCACGCTGTTTTCGTCGTCGATGGAAATAGATAAAGGCTAAGATGCCAATTATAGTAATAGCACCCACTGCAACACCGATACCGATCCCTGCTTTAGCGCCACCGCTGAGGGAATGATTAGATGAATGCGAATCGTCTGATGAGGAACTCTCTGATGAAGAAGTCGGGGTAGCTGTTGCAGATGCGACATTCACTCCCCGCATATATTCGGCCGTTACAGGCATATGTACGGATGGAACTGTGGTGTTGGTTATGAATTCTGTCCCGTTTTTATCATAAGTATACGTAACCGTCTCATGAATCACCATCGATGAGCATGCTGTAATAGTCGCAGTATCCCAGTCAGTTCCTACTGATAAACTATAGCCTCTATTTTGTACAATCAGTATGCTTTCCGATAAGCTACAGCGCTGTAGATTACTTACGAAGGACAGCAGACTGTGGTAGTACTTGACGAAGTCCCGACTTCTGTATGGGCCTCAAACCATGACCCGGGACAACTGAAAGGACCATATTCAACGACCATAAACTGTGGGTTTAATACCTCCATCTGATAAGCCATTGTCGCCTCTGGTGGCATACAGGTGATACTTCTATTGTAATTTATTCCATATCCGGGAGCATATGCTAGTAGGTAGTCGAGGGTAGCGGAGCCGTAGGTATTAAAGCCGGTTTCACCTAAGTACAGACTGGAGCAGGAAGCTGGTGCGGTCCATAGGGTTATAAATAGGATATAAGATATTGTAATACTACTAACTATCTGAGGCGCAAATCCAGGGGTCAACATTATATATTCACCGCTAGGATCAGAAAGGGGTTGCAGCCAAGGGAATTAGATAAAGAATGCCAACACGCAAGGAAAGAAAGCAGAAGAAAAAGAAAAAAATTGATTGAGGCGTAGCTAGGGCCAAACTAGGGCCAACCAGGGGCCAATAACGTCTTCTCCCATAATATCTTTCCGAAGTTTTGGAACAAAGCACACAAAAGAATATCCCTACCCCTTCTAGTGTATTATATCAGTAATATATAAAGCCATATATTAAGAAAATACTTGTAGTGTAATTGTTGTTTTTGTTCTGTTTTAATTACTACTATCGATATACACAGATTTGGACTCCTGGGAATATATTCTAATAGTAGTTTAATCAGGGCGTTCATTGGCGCTTTCACCGGGTCCTTTCTATCCGCCGGAAGTGAGCAAAGGAACTCGTTATCGACATTATCAAGAACACAAATCCATTTTCCTTTTCTCTCATCGCGAAGCCAATTCTCGATTACTTAAAATATATTAATTCTAAGGTCTCGATGCCCCGGGAGTTTAAGTTGATCTGCGATGTCCCGGAAACCTTGTTCAAAACAGCCCTCGTTGCTGGCATGGACCCAGAAAACCCACGTCGTAGACGATTTAGATCGGACCTGATAGGAGTATTCAATAGCAAGTTGGGATTTCCTTCGAGCTGTGAGCAAGGGGTCGTACTATTAGTCACTCCACACTTACCCGATACCGCCGAGACCGACCAGGACTGTCCTCGACGCAGAGACCGAGCGTTTGTAATAAATCCGATCAACTAATGTGTCGCGACGGACAAAATCTGGATCACGTAGGAATAGGACCGTTAATAAGGGGCTGGGCGGAGTTTCCGGTCGCTCTAGTCAGGGAGAGGATAGTTAGTCAATAAAGGCTAACCTTGAGTTTCTATGTTTACCAGGAGCATAGAATTCTCTTGAGCCGTGGTTATCCCCTATCTGAAGCCCATGATTGTTCCCACCGAATGATACCGATTGTATATATACAATATCAATAACTATATATCTCGCACATCTCATATGAAGCGATGTGGTTCGACTCTCAGCTCAAGGAGGAATAAACAGACAAACAACCCACGTCATCATCAGGTAATTACGGTGCTAAAAGTGGGGATCAGACTGCTATAGATTCATACGGGGCTAGATTAATAACTTTTAGTAAACAGATCGACCCGAGCCAGACGGTCAGATCAGCTCAGCTAAGCTTCTCCAGATACTATAGAGAGAAGCATTAGAATTACATCTAAACAGTATGTCACTGTCCACCGGTTCAAACTACACATCATATAGCCATTTGTTTATGACTGTGAATGATCTAGCATAGGATACCTCAATTTTTACTACCACCATTTTCTGAGGACCTAGGTTTCGACGATAGGCCACCTAGCTTCCAGGAACTATGCAATTCAACAGGTCCCGTGCGGTTCCTAATACCTACCGTGCCCCAGACCTTTATTCCAAAATCTTTGCGCTTGCTCTCTAGGGGGTGTAGCTGGACCGAAGGGGAAATCCGTTTGACTTGTTTGCAAGATGGATATTCTAGAAGTTGCTGAAGCCATACAAGTTTAATACACCATCTATTTTTATTCTGTTACTTACGCCTGTATGAAAATACCGCCAAGACGCTGGGTCAGGGGTGCAGTAACTGCAATAGGTATAGTGGGTTTCGGAGGAGGGTTCGAGAAAGAATCTCTGTATGCAAGTGGTGAAACTGATTTCGATCCATAGTGTACATACATGAAAATTTTAAACCTCATGATAAATTCTTATACGAGAACCTGTGTCCTATGCATTGTGAATCAAATTATCTTTGCAAGGTCGATGGATTAATCTCCAATACACCTATCGATTTGAAGATTTAGCCTTGTACTATGCTAATCTGTCACTTCAATAATCAAGTGTCTTGGATAGTACGAAGGCATACGGCAGCCCTTACCAACCGCATCTCTATGGGTTGATATAGATATAAATCAAAGGAATCTTTCTTGCCAAATCTTCCACATACGTTAGTGGACATCCACAGCAGCTGAATATCTGCAAGGCTGTGAGATATTGTCACAACACCACCGTGGTGGACACGAATTGATGTCCAAGTACGCCAATTGGGCAATGAAAGACTACCTTCAAAAAGCAATTTTACTAAAAAACTGCTGACTACTCATTCCTGACACAAGCTAACTAGATCGCGTTGGCAGCTAGTCAAATCTATCAACATCCGGATTTCCAAGATAGTTAAATACCTGGCAGGGCTTCCATCCAGAGGTACTTCAGATTCCAACTTCTCCTTTACTCTTCTCCTTTATTTTTCAAACTTCTACTACTTCTATCTTACCAGCATCATGACCCAAACCAGGAGCTTTGCTGACAGAATTATCCTTGATCCCAGTGAACTTACTTCCGCGAATAGAAACCTCAAGGATGTTGCGGACTGTGTTGTTCTAGTTGGCCAGACCCGCAAGATCCTGGACGACGGAACCGAGTCCAATGTCATCGTCGATGTCGAGCTTTTTTCAGCAGAGTGGGCTCTTCAATTCAGTATTGATAATGATGGCAAAGGCGAAAGAACAAAGGAAATGACGACTGAGATCGGCATGACGACCACAAGCGGAAAAGAAGTTTCTACTTCAGTCTCGGCCAGCGCGGGATTCAGTGGCTGGGGAGTCTCTGCAGAAGTGAATGCTTCAATAGAGGAGAAATCATTCAATACAATGGAGACTTCGACATTGACGAGAGTTACGGATACCTACACTTGTCCGTCCGAGTCAGCTATCTTTGTCTATAAACGACGCTATAAATTTTGCTGCAGAACTTGGCTTTACAATGCCGCCCAGAATGCATGGTTTGAGTCCAATACAGGGAGAATAGAAGGATATTTTACCAACGAGATCGCTTCAAATCAGGAGTTGATCAGCCCGCTGGCATTGAGTAGCCACGGCAGGATCACCAATGATCCTCCCTCGGGCCTTGTTATCCCCACGAAAGGTTGGAACATCGAGACCGCTGGAGGCCTATCGAGTATTATCCTCGGCTACATAAGAGCTTGGTACCCTTGGGTCAAATAGCCTTAAGATCGAGACCATTGTAAGTATATCTCTTTGGTGTGTTCGTTGGCTCTGTTGACAATTCTGCAAACAGGGCACAAGTGATGCCATAGACCTAATCAGTATCACATCACAACATGAAAGAGAAGCGGCATGGCTTCGCCCATTTCCTCGCTGTTTTCCATGCAGACATTCTCAACACGTCTGTTTGCTGCTGAAACTTGAATTGCGGGACTTATCATATTGTCTCATCTTGTCATTCCTTTGCTAGAAAAATCTAAAACAATCAAACAATACTTTACTTCGAAGATAGTCACTTTCTTGCCAAGCAAACACAACCGAAATTCAAATAAGCTTATGAGAAGAAACGAGTAGAATTATGAAAAATCTGATCATAAAGACTGTAATAATTGCAGAGCAAAACACATACCCGGATAAAGGGTTGGGGTGTTTAGATGCATAAGATACCAACGTAGAGAAACGGAGTCAATATACGCGGAATTCTGGAAAGCAATGGCACGATAGTTGGCTGTACGAGAGTAATTAAGGTCTAGTTTTGCAACTTTCAAGTTGGATAGTGACAAGAATCATTCTACTAGGGGTTCCAACGTTCCAATGTTTCTAAGTCAACTGGTACATGTAGAGCGCCCCGCGTCGCATGACATAAGCAGACGCGAGAACGCGTTCCAGCAGTGCAAAAGTGTCGGTGGATCCACGCGTTTCAATTTTACCTGATCGGGACCCCCCATCTCATCTCTCCCCTTCCAACCTCCTCGACTCGGGTGCATCCCACAACCACATAGACCCCCACCAGATACAATGGAAGGCGTTCAACTAAACGATGAGCTCGCGCAGGATCGTGTGCGCGCAGCTGTCGAATTTCTCGATCCAAGTATGTGCCCGAAAAAGAAAACCGAGACGGAAAACAAACCCAGGGAAATTTTTGGCTAACAGCATGGTTCTTGAAAATTAGATGATGCACGGGCGCGCAGGTTCGTTCATTGAAATTGCGCTGAAATAACATTATTCTGACCTTAATACAATTAGCTACCGAGCAGACATTGTGGTGATGTTGAATCGAGGCTTGCGTCGCTTGACAGTGCGTTTTGTTGTCATCCCCTTATCATGGTGCCATTTGATTGCTGATGACTTTTACAGGTCAGCATCGACGAAATTCGAGCACACAGCCAGGAACTTGCTGAAGGGTATGCATAGCCATTTTTCATATCATAATGGATTTCTTTGCTAATTGTATTTTTTCACTGGTGGCAGACTTCTCACCTCCCCATTCGAATACTCAGAAGCTTTTGACCGAGCACTGAAAGATGTCGTGAAGACCATGCCCCAAAGGCCAGCCAAGGAGACTGCAGACGAGGTGGTGAGTATTTCGGAATTGAAGATGTGCTTCGGAGTGATCAACCAATTGACTCAATACTTGATCATAGAACTACTACTGCGCATACGTTGGAGCGTTCGGAGAATTTTCCTGTAATCCCCGCACATTGGGATCCATCCACTTGAACCGTATGGTATCTCTCGAGGGAATTGTCACAAAATGCTCTTTGGTCCGACCAAAGGTTATCCAGAGTGTGCACTACAGCGAGAAGAAAGATCGTTTCTTAGCGAGAAAATACAAGGACCAGACTATGACCGCGAGTGGCGCTACGAGCTTGAACGTCTACCCCCAAGAAGATGAGGACAAGAATCCCCTTATCACCGAATACGGCTACTCGACCTATATGGACCACCAGTCCATTTCGATCCAAGAAATGCCCGAGCGAGCCCCTGCGGGTCAGCTTCCCCGAAGCGTGGACGTTATTCTGGACGATGACTTGGTCGACAAGGCCAAGCCTGGCGACAGAATACAGTTGGTCGGAACTTATCGAACACTTGGAAACCGCAATGCTGGAAGCAGCTCGTCAACTTTCCGTACAATTGTTATGGCCAACAACATTATCCAGCTTTCGTCTAAATCCGGAGGAGGTATTGCGCAGGCTACGATCACCGATACTGATATCCGAAACATCAATAAAATCTCGAAGAAGAAGAACGTCTTTGAGCTGTTGTCAAAGTCTTTGGCACCTAGTATTCACGGACACGATTACATCAAGAAAGCTATTTTGCTGATGCTGCTCGGTGGTATGGAGAAGAACTTGGATAACGGAACTCACTTGCGTGGTGATATCAACATCCTGATGGTTGGTGATCCTTCAACAGCCAAGTCTCAACTTCTCCGTTTCGTGTTGAACACTGCCCCGTTGGCTATCGCCACGACTGGTCGTGGTTCCTCCGGAGTCGGTTTGACCGCCGCTGTCACTTCCGATAAGGAGACTGGCGAACGCCGATTGGAGGCTGGTGCTATGGTTCTGGGTGACCGTGGTGTGGTCTGTATTGATGAGTTTGATAAGATGAGTGATGTCGATCGTGTTGCTATTCACGAAGTCATGGAACAGCAGACTGTAACCATCGCCAAGGCCGGTATCCATACCAGTCTAAATGCTCGATGCAGTGTTCTGGCAGCTGCTAACCCTGTCTTTGGTCAATATGACCCCCACAAAGATCCCCACAAGAACATTGCTTTGCCAGACTCCCTGCTTTCTCGTTTCGATTTGCTGTTCGTGGTGACAGATGATATTGAAGACGCCAAGGACCGCACAATCTCTGAGCATGTGCTGCGCATGCACAGATACCGCCAGCCTGGAACTGAAGAAGGTGCTCCTGTCCGCGAGCAACTTAACCAGACTCTGGGCGTTGGTATCGAGGACCGTGGAGATGCTAATCAACCAACAGAGGTCTTTGAAAAATTCAATGTCATGCTTCACGGTGGCATGATCCCAACTGGTCGCAACCGCAACAAGAACGTGGAAATCATCAGCATTCCATTCATTAAGAAATATATTCAGTACGCCAAGTCCCGAGTCAAGCCTGTGCTGACCAAGGGTGCTGCCGACCACATCATTGCCGCATACTCTGCCCTGCGAAATGAGGACATCTCCGGCAACAAACGTCGTACCTCCCCCATCACCCCCCGTACTCTTGAAACTTTGATTCGTTTGTCCACAGCTCATGCCAAGGCTCGTCTCTCCAACCGTGTTGACGACAAGGATGCTAAGCACGCCGAAGCTATTCTGCGCTTTGCTATGTTCAAGGAGTTGCAAGAAGACGGCCGGCGCAAGCGTCGCAAGGTCCAGACATTTGACGAGGATAGTTCAGATGAGGATAGCGACCCCGAACTTGATGATGACGATGACGATGACACACCCTTCCGAGGCCAAGCATCCACCACACCAGGACGTTCTAATACACGAACCCGTGGTGCCGCCAGCACTGGTGCAACAACAGAAGACTCAAGCGTTTTCACAGCTAGTCCACGTGCCTCGCGCACTACTCGCACTAGCCAAAACACGCGCACCCAGGGAACTGAATCCCAGATGTCTGTTGCATCTTCCCAACCTGCCTCACAGCTTGTGGAGTCCCAGACCGACAACTCACAGTCCACATCGGCATCAGCCGCTCCCATCACTCCTGCCCGTTATGCAGTCTTCCGACAGATCCTGGGTCCTCTCATGGGTAACCGTGTTTTCGGCGACGAAGACATGACCCATGTTGATGTCCTCATCAAGGAGGTTAACGATGCCATTCAGAAGTCTCCCAGCCATGGTGTTGCACATGTATTCCCCAAGGTGGAGGCTTTCCAGGCCCTGACGAAGATGAACGACGAGAATCTCCTGATGTGAGTTACCCAATGCCTATATTGATAATCCTATCACAAACTAACTTTTATCGAATAGGTTCCTCGAGGAAGAGGAGAATGTCTTCCGTATCTAAGCCCTGCATACCACAGGCAAAATCTGGACCAAACCGGTCTTTTAACGAGCATGTTTTGTAGTCGTTGCATTGGGATGATATCATAGTTCTCTTCGTGTACGGAGTATGGAGTCAATCGACTCAGGATTAAAGAGTCGATGTGTTAAGGATATATGCATTTCAATGTTTAATATGAGCAGTTCCTAGTTCATCCCCGTATCTATTATCTATCAATCCATGTAAAATTGGCACAGTCAAATTTTACCAATTTAGAATCTATCTAACAAAGGTCTCTAGCCATCATAATCCTTAATATCAAAACTCTATGCATTAACCCCAAACCACGCCCTAAGCTGTCTACCATCCCGATCAGAAACCGAAACAACACTATCCGATGTCCCATCTTTCCGTCTAACAAACCCATACCTCAACAAAGCCCCAATTTTAGCAGCCTGCTCCGCCAAAAACCTCATTCTCATCCGATCAACATGCGGCTCAAGCACCACGCTCGTCCAGAACTCATCCCAAAAACACTTCAGAAAGAACGCTTTACACTCATAATTTTTCCATTGTCTCAACCCCATATACCCTGTTGTAAGCCAAAGAATATCCAAATCCATACCGAATGGCAAGACCTTAGCGAGGGACCAGTCAACGATACCAGTAATCTCGTAGGTCGCTTCATCAACTCGGATATTCGTAAGTGATAAATTCCCATTCGTCAATACGAGACCGTACTCTTCACTGAAAAGCGTAGGGAGCAGACCGATGAGTCCATCGACCATGTGAGTCGGTAAAATAGAGGGAGCAAATTGCTTGAATTGGCGTAGTTGGTGGCGGATACCTGTTTGCCGTATGTAGAGCAGCTCTTGCGGTTTCATAGGTTGTTTGTTGGACCAAGATAAAGCGAAGAACCTAAAATAAATGAGTATATGATAATGATATCCAAATAACACACTTGGGAAAAGGGCATACATACCTAGCAAGATCACGAATAAAACTGGCTTGTTTTGCTTTTTGCTGTCGAGATAACTCTACCGAGCACCGTAAGGCACCGAGAAGAGATATCCCAGGCTGACAAGGCATAGTATAGATCGAGAGTGACGGCTTCGCCCTCGCCAACTTACCATAGTAGGTTGACTCAGGCGCCAAGGGCCCAAAAGTATCTTTCGCAAGCTTGACTATGTAGTCGATAAGTTCCGCCTTGGAATTATTCTCTCGGAATACCACAACGCGGTCTAGTGGAAGCGAGGAACAGTTGTTGCAGATAACAGAGTAGGACATTTCACTGAGGCTGTCTACTGATTTGATCTGCGTAGCGCCTGTGATGGATTCTGCGATATCGTCGCATTGTGTTGATGTTGGATGCTTTCGATCAATGAAGAAGGGGTACTGGGCCAGTTTGGCCCAGTCTATATCAGACATGGCTTGGGTATCTACCAGTGGATAGAAAGATCGGATTTTGGCTCTAACAGGAGCATAGTGCGCGATAGGTCTTGTACTCTTTAGCCCTTTATATAACAAAGCGAGCATAATGTTTGACATATGATGATGCCTATTCAATAGGATCCCTTGATAGGTCATGACGTGCATCTAGGTCTCTGAATAGGCGGCCTCTCTTTGTTGCTAGTCATTGGGTGAGTTAACCTTTGCATTTTATATCAGCCTTTCATTATATGCAGACTGAAACAAATGGATATACGCCTCATTGCAAGGGTGCAGAGTGAATAAAGAAACTCGACAAAGGATCTTGCAGCTGCCTCCTGGGATCTTTTGCAATACCTATCGGATCTATGAGGACCCATCGGAATACGATCTAAATGCATGTGGTTTGCACGTGCTAGCTTAATGACAAATCTCCAGTTACTGTAGTCAAAGTAGACCAGGGTAGGGACTAGTCGCATGCAAATGGAATAGTGAATAAAGAGCATGAATATAAAGCCTTGGCTTCTTGTGATATAGATAGTATGATTCAATTAAGGTACAGAAGTTGGTATAGTCTCTTTATCCCTCTCCGTCATGGGCAAAATACCTGACTCTTCGGATGAGAATGATGGCGTCCGTATACCCTCTCGGACTTGTGCCTGAGTTAGGGGCGATGGACCACGTCGCGAGGCCCTAGAACCCTTTCGCTTTCGCTGTTGAGGGGTCTGCTCAGTACCCGATAAAGACGGAGTCGTACTTCCACGGCGGGGCCGTCCAGACCCAGATCGCGAAGGAGGCCGATCCTCAGGAGTAGGACTGCAAGATGATGTACGAGAATGGGTAGATTCAGGACGGCGCACAGGTCTATGATCTTGACTAAGCCGAGAAGAAATAGATGAATGATGCTGATGGCGAGGTTTCGGCGGTTCTCCGTCCAAAGACCGGTGCAAAGTCGCTGCTACCAGACGTCGACGCTGAGAAGCACGCCATCCCAAACCAAGCCGCCAAAGCCATCCGCCTTCGGACTGAGCAAGTTGGCGCTCGCGCTCGCGCAGTTTCTGACGCAGCTGAATTCGGCGCTCATTCTCCTTCTCCCAGAAATCCGTACGGTAGTCGTCCCAATTCTCCCGAAACTCCGGTGAAAAAGACTTAGGCAGCAGTAGAAGACGGATATAGTCACCTCCAGAACTGAGATCTTCCTCTACCAGCCCGGTCTCACTATCCCCACCATTGTAATACTGCTGATAATGCTGCCGACTACCGCGCTTATCGGAAGGATGACGCTCGACGAAATGGAAGTTGCCTGAGGGGGAGGGGAAGAATGGGAGGGAAAATGGAAATAGGAACGACACATATGATAACAGTTCCTGCCACCATGGTCCTCGTATGACGATGATCTTTGTATTCATGCTGCGCAGGCCACGATTGGCAACAGCGAGCCAGCGCCGTGGCCAGCGGATTCCACGTTCCCACTGCCCTGTTCCCCAAACAAGCAGAGCAGTTACAACCCCACCAAGTAGGGCGACTTTCTCTCCCATCTCAACCACCCAATAAACCGAGCCACCAACTCCGCGGCCATCTTCTCGCGGGCGAAGAAACAATGCATAGACAAAATAGGCGATCCATGCCGCCAGGAGTAACAGAAAGAAGGTGTTTTGCCGACGTCGCTCACGTAAGGCCAGGTACTGTGCGCGCAGGGATGCTTCAAGGATCAATAGGTTCAAGTAGATTTGGGGCGGCGAAGAGGGGAGAGTTGCCAGGGGGTCCGGGGTCGAAGGTCGGTTTGTAGATGAAGTAGTTTGTGTAGAGTTGCTCGTCATGGGTTCTGGTGTAGGAGCGCGGGCTTCGGGCGCTGCGCCCTTAACAATCTGGTCTAAAGGAGTTGTCATGGTAAATAAGACGATAATCCCGCAGATAACAACGATCCGTGTAAATTAACGGCCGACGCGGCCCAGTGCGGTCATCCTCGCAAATTTATTGAGGAACTGGAGGAGAAGGAGTGAGTTCGGGAAGTTGAAGTGTGAAGTGGAATCTGCAGATCGCGACATCATTGCTTTCTCGGCTTCCGCCTTCCACTTCTCTCCCCTTGACATCTATCGCATACTCCGCTATATACCGAGGTATAGATTGAACCAGGGGAGTTTACTCTTTCTACGCCGTTCTCTTGTCAAGTCTAGCTGTCATTTTTTTTTATTTTAAGGTTTCCTCACGAAATCCGGTTTCTATAGCTCATACCTCTCCATAACGTATGCGTCTGTTGCCTTGTCGGGGTTAAGCGGCGTGGCCCATTTGTCTCCGGGAATTTCTAAGGTTTCGCCGTTTGCCTTCTGTCGACTTCTTCAACCACCTGTCCATGAACACTGTGCCTTATATTCTTCCAGCGACAGTAAAGATCTATCAGCTTGGTTCTCATCCAGCCAAACTGTTCCATCTTCCCCGCCTACGACTACGGAGGGCTTATACTCCACCTCTGACATTCTTTGCCACCTACTCGACTGGGCGTCGCAAATCCTCCTCAATGGCGTCCGAATCGCTTAACCAGTCTGAGGCAGATGTCCGCGGCCAAAACAATCGCGGCTCATCTCCACAGCGTCCTGAGGGTACCCCATATGCAACTCGCGCCGCTGCTGGGGCAAAAGCCGCAAGCGCATTCTTCCCTTTGGGATACAAAGAAGGCTTCAGCCAATGGGTACGTTATACCTATATTTAGATCATTTTTGATCCGAACGTAACGCTAACAAACAATTCATGATTATAGTGGGCTCGAATACCTGCCGCCAACGCGGAACACAAAGTTCTTTCCTACCTACCGTACCTAGGTCAGCAAGTCCCGACCCACCTACAGACAGGTACAACATCAGACTTCCCGAATGGAAGCATCCCGAGCAGCCTCCAAACCGCAGACCACAATCAGCAAGGCGAAATATCCACCAACTCTCGCGATGATCCTTACGGCCCCCGCCGATGGAGTTCCAGCATGGTGGAGCTAAGCGGGAAATATCGGGCTCTAAACGAATTCTCAGTGGAGAGAGTCGGTGAAGAAGCTGACCAGCACCTCGTAATGCTACACGGATACGGAGCTGGTCTGGGATTCTTCTACAAGAACTTCGAACCATTGAGTCGTCTGAAGGGATGGCAACTTCATGCGCTCGATATGCTAGGCATGGGCCGTAGCACTCGTCCACCATTCAAGATTAAAGCCAAAGAGCGCGAAGAAGCTATTCGTGAAGCTGAAGCATGGTTCGTCGACGCGCTAGAAGAATGGCGTATTAAGCGCAAAATCGATCGATTTACTCTCCTTGGCCATAGTCTTGGAGGTTACATGGCCGTTGCGTACGCTCTTAAGTACCCCGGCCACCTTAATAAGCTCATCCTTGCGTCCCCCGTCGGTATCCCCGAGGACCCATACGCAGTCACTGCAGACGTGACCGAGCCATCTGATTCCACACTCCCCAATGAACTAACCCAGGACCAACGAGAAATCACAGCTTCAGCAGCAACACCAGGCACAGCACCAAAGACCAGCGATGGAAGCTTCATTACGGGCCGAAACCCCGATCCAAAGACAAAGGAGCCACCACGCCGGAATATGCCGAAATGGTTCGCTTATTTATGGGAAGCTAATATTTCCCCATTTAGTCTTGTGCGCTGGACAGGTCCTTTCGGTCCACGTATAGTATCAGGCTGGACGTCGCGTCGCTTTTCACATCTCCCCGCTGAAGAAGCTAAGGCACTGCACGACTACTCTTATTCTATCTTCAGTCTTCGTGGAAGTGGTGAATATGCGCTGGCGTATATCCTCGCACCTGGCGCATTTGCACGCAGCCCTCTCATTCGTCGCATCGATGGCGTAGGACGCCAGTTGATTCAATCGGGCAATAGCCCACTTCCAACCACTACAATGGCTACCTCTTCTCCGTGCTCTATCCTCGCAAAGGCTGCTTGCCAAAAGGCCACACCAGAAGACGCATCCACTCCTCCTCCTGTCTCTGTTTCAAATGCCCCGTCTGAGCCTCCAGCTGCTCGACGGGAAACTGGTCTCCCCATTGTCTTCATGTATGGTGACCACGACTGGATGGATGTTTCCGGTGGCCATGCTGCTGTAACTCGTTTAGAAGAAGAGAAGCGCCGGGCACTGGCTGATGCTTCACCTGAAGAACGACAGAAAGAACAAGGATCTGCTAAGGTTGTTGTCATCAAGAGAGCAGGACATCATCTATACTTGGATGGATGGGAAGATTTCAATCGGGTGATTTTGTCCGAGATGGAAGATGTTGATTTGCGGGAGAGGGCGTCATCATAAGCCCATTATGTCGATCATGAACATGCGTGTACCTGTTGGCTGTACATTATCATGATGCATGATCATCTACGAATAATTGACTTTAGAGCGGGAACTGGGAACCCTTCGTGTCCCAGTGGGGTGTTTTCATACTGTTTTACGGCGTCGGTGCAGGAACCTTGGAGATTGTGTGATTTCCCAAGATTGTTTCCTATATATTGTATATCTTCTCTCTAGACATAGATCCAAACATTGAGACAGCATCATCGTGATGCTTCATATCTACAATCTTCTTCTCCAGCCATATGTGCTTTCAATATGTACAGAAAAATAAAATAGACAATTTGGGTACGACATATGCACCTCATCCCAAACTACTATGCCGTGCAACAATAGTCAGAGATCAGTATTCTCAGCTTAGACCCTCACGCCAGGCGCTCCCCAATAGAATCACCCCACGCATGAGGACCCGAGAGACTCCGCCTCCGATGTCTCACACTAGTAGGGTAATGTGCCATGAAACGAGTCAGCTGTGAGGGTGAATCACGATCTCCAGCACCAGGCGAAGCTCCTCGACTAGAAATAGGACTCGCCATAGTCGAATAGGACGATACGGGAGCTCCACCAGGCCTGGGAAATGCAAAATAACCACCTCCTCCGGTCATTCCACTCACCTCACTAGCGCCATAGCTAGCTATATGCGACGCAGTGCGAGTCGGTAGCGGGCGCATGGAAGATCGTTGCATAGGAGAGTAAGGCTGCATGAAGGACTGCCGTACTGTTGACGGTGAGACCGACCGACTTGGTATATGGTCTGGTCTCGTAGACAGCGAAAGGGAAAGACCGCTTCCATTCCGAAGATCAGCCGTAGAGAGTGCAGAGGTTGTATGTGAGCGGTGATGATGCCTACGCGCTGGGTATTGGGTATTGACATGTGTATGTGCATTTGAATGCGAAGGTGGTTTGTAAAAGCTTGAAGAAGCCGACATAAGTGCATATGAGCTACTCATAGACCCGGTGCGCGGGCTATTCATAGCCGATGGCGTCGCAGATCCAGCTCCAAAAGTGATAACCTGAGACGGAAGCTCAAGGCGATCATTTAAAGACATCCAAGCGCGTTCATCAGCATCTATCTCATCATTAACATCCCCCTCACCTTCCCCAAGAATACTATGAGCAGATGAAGAAGAAGCCGAGCTAAGAGGCTTCTCAGCCCCATTAACACTGCGCGGCTTCGAGCGCGATGAAGGGTACGAGCGCCAACCACCCACACCTTCGAAATCCCTTTTCTCATCCCCACTAACAGGGATACGAGTATACTCTACCGAGGACGACGATGAAGCAAGATGATGAGCCTCGATCATACTCCGGGCGTAATTTTTCTTTTTTTTGCGTTTAGAATAATCATCTTGAAGTCCGTTGAAAGTCCATGATGAGATGGGATCATTATTTCGACGGGACTGAATGAGACTGTAGGCGGAGTTTCGTCTCGAATTACCGGATACTGGTGTTTGTGGTTCGGAGGGGGCGAAAGGTAAGAATGAACTTGTTGTAGATGTCGGGAGGGTGAAGAAGTTGGCGACTATTGCGTAACCGAGTTCAAGGTAGACGACTGATAGTCGGAGGAGAAGAGTGAAAAGGGCGAATGTGATGGTTAGACATGCTGAGGTGACGAGGGGGATTGAGATAAGTATGAGCACTGGTAGTGCTAATACGGTGGAGACGAAGTCCATCCTGGGGTAGATGGGGAAGGAGGCTGGGGTCGCAGCTTCCTTTTAAAGCCCCCGCATTGAGTGTACACAAAGTTCCATATTTAGCTTTGTTCTCATGCTTATGTGCAGGTCTTTCCAGAAGTCTTTCCAAGGGCAATTGCACAGGTCTTTATGCACAATCTTCTGACTCTGATTCGACAGTTTTCAGTCGCGGTTTCTCGGATTTTATTTGTCTGGACTCTCTAAAAACATGCATGTGATAATCCCCCACTTACATCATCCGACTTGCTTTTAACGGGCCATTAATTTATTCAAGGTCACATTCAGTACTGATATTCTAGCCGCTCTTGATTACTAGCAATTGAAGAGAATTCTGGAATATGATCTCTGCAGGTCATCTTGTAATGCCTGATCCATCCTCACAGTTGCTTGCTTCTTTTCCCAGCGACGAACCAGCTCCGATCTCCCACTTTGGTCATAACAGTCTGATACTTTCACCCCCCCCCCCCCCACCGAAGAAGTGTCACATTGCGCCGACGTAGCGCTGCCACTGACAGTAGACTGGGATCATGATTTTCGAATCGTGACCGGGTATTCTTCACCATCTTATGTTTTGCCAATTCAATGTGAGGCCCAAAGCGATGTTGAACCTTCCACCGATTATCTTCTAAGCTCATGCATGCATGGCCCTAGGTCAATCCACCGGGTGAGAACAAGACATAATTCCTCTTTCCCCAGATAAACCCTCTCTAGCATCCACGATACTCTACATTTTATACAGCGTTGTTGCTGGTGTGACGATTCATTTCGAGTCTCGAGAATGGCGCTACTAGTATGCTGGCATACCCCTATAAAGCCAGGTATAGGGCCGAGAGTGACCATACTGCGCAAATCATCGGCATTTGCCATGGCTATCATCTGTATTCTCAAGCAGAGACTTGGTTTGTTAGAGCAGATCCGAGCGTCAACCGACATGAGAGTTGTCATAGCAGGTGAACCATGATATCTAGATATTTCTCCTGGATCATGAGTATTGACCTCGGTGTGTAATAGTGACTCAATGGGCCTTCCGAATTGTGGGCCATAGAAGAATCTTCGCATAACAAGATGCGCATGAACAAAGTGGATCTGGTAGATATCATTGCAGGGTCAGGGTCATGAAGCAAAGGATATCCCAGACACCTATTCCAATAATCTGAATTCCAATTATTTGGATTCAGTTTACAGCTTGGCAACTTGAATCGAAGATCTGGTCGTCTGACCCGTTGCCAAAAATGAAACCGTTGCCAGATATAGCAGTGATAGTATAACGGCAGATTCTGAGAAAGTCGAGCGGGGAAGTTGGATCTCGTTTGATTGAGAAGTTTTATTTTTTTGGCGCTCGTTGATATTGTTGTTCTCGCGGGGCATCGTTGTGGAAGAAAACATCGTTATTGAAGCAATACATCATATGATGGTTGCATAAGACGAGGCAGGCCAAGTCAACGGGCGATATGTAGCCGCCTATCATCCATAAGAGTTCAAGAGGAAGCTTCGTCAAGTCCATCTTCAGATGTTTTTGGTTTGTTGGCAATTTGTGTTTTTTCTCGAGGGTTGTGAGGTTCATAGTTGTGCAAAATAGGGTGATGGTGTGAATATCAACTAAAGTCCAACTAATAGCACTTGAGGATATCTCCAGGGCTAAATATGGAAGTCCCGTGATCCAATACAGGTGCCTACATCATCATGTTGCTTGCTTAACGAAGGTTCCTTCCTCTTTCTCTTCTCTTTAGGGCTTCGGCGCGGTTGTTTTTCGTTCGGACGCTACATACAGGCTTTGATCCCGAGGTATCTTCTTTCGAGAACCTCAATCATTATACTGGAGCGACTATTTCAGAAACTCAAACACTCAAATACAAACAACTTATATCATCAATCAACCAATATGATCCTTGGCACAAACGTATCATTTCGCTTAGTTCACCTGATCACCTGGGCAAGCAAAGACACACCTGTATAGTATTCAATCCATTCACTCGCATCATAAAGCTATTAGCCTTAGAACTCAGGAGCCTGATATTATAGAAAGTTATTCTGATCTCTATATATACGTGTAGCTATGATCAGAACCGACACGTGGTGATGATGTTAGTGATAATGATACGCCTCATCACATCGCGTGTTCTATCTCTCACAATTTCTCCTTTCCATCTCTGGCTTAGCTAAAAGACTTTCAAAGTATTATAAACCTGGAAAGCCATCTCATTTAACCCACCAAACCAGACACGCTTCAAGCCAGACACGCTCCAAGACAGACGCAGCTAAAGATGGGGCTGACTGGCCTTCCTCTTGAGTTGTTGCTCATGGTAGCCGACTTCCTGTCGCCCATCGACTTAGCTTTTCTCGCGTTATGCAATCACCTTCTGATGTATTACTTCGACCAAGAAGTCTTCTTTCACCATGCCAAATATCGTCCGCATAAATTTCAGCATGACAAACACAAGCGAACGAAAAAAAAAACCCAGAGTTGCTGATTCGACTTTCTCGGGACTGGCCCCTCTATCTTTGGAAGCACATCGCCCTACTAGATATCTCATATCAGGAGGAAACATGGAGGACACAAAGATTGAATGAAGAGCCCGAGCTGAAATGCATAGTGCAATACCCTGATGGCCCTTTCTATGGTGATTCAACTTTTTCACCTCCAGGGCGCGATGCAGCGATTCAACCATGGGCCCCAATTTGGCACCACTACCGAGTCATTGTCTTACACTGAGGTCGCCCTTCACTATCTGCGCCGGCTAGACTATCAATTATGAGCTCGGCTACGTGTCCTTGTAATAAATTTTTGTCCCCTAGATTACCAAAGATTCTCGTAGTGTCACAAAAGTTGTAGTCTTGGACTATATTGCACTTCTAATCCGAATATCAATGACCAAGTAAGCAAATGATCGGAAAATAACCGCTCTCCTTCTACTTATACTCACCATTATACTGTAATTTTAATAAGACAACCCTCAGTTTTGCAAGTGTCCCATTGGCAGATTGGCAGGTTGGCATACTCCAGATGGGGAAACGGAGTCGTCTTTTGAGATGGCCAAATGATGAGCAATTTTGACTTAGTACCATAATCTAGATATTAGATCCGGTGGAATGGGTATCAAAGTAGAGATGCAGATAAAAAGAAGGTTCAAGGTACTAGCGATTTAAGTATACCAAACTGTTGTATCTTTGAGCAATATAATGGGCTATCGATGCGCGTCAGAACTATAACGAGGCTCATGAGGCTCTAGTAAATACTATCCTTGTAAAAGCGGCGGCAGTTCCGACCAAGAAGCCCCACCCGACTTGGCAAAGCAACCTTAACCTTGAAACTCCGCCCAAACGCGCATAACGTCAATGGATAAACCTATTCTCTCACACTTGCCCTTTCATCATGTCCTCCAACAATGAATTTCCATGGGACATCGGCGTTTACGACGCCCACTGCCACCCCACCGACACCATGGCCTCTATCGCCAGTATACCCCACATGAAGGCCAGGGCACTGACCGTCATGGGTACCCGGGGTGAAGATCAAGAGCTTGTACAGCAAACCGCACAGTCTCTCAATGCACAGAATCCACTACAAGAAGACCGGATAATACCTTGCTTTGGCTGGCATCCGTGGTTCTCACATCAAATACTCATCGACAATACCCAGGGGACCGATTCAGCATCACAAGATGCACAGCCACAACCGCAGCCACAGACACAGACAGAGACAGATATAGATGCAAAGAAGAAACATTACACAGCTGTCCTCGCACCGTCGGTAGTTGAGGATGAAGAATTTCTCAACTTCTTATCAACACCCATCCCCATTTCACAACTTATTGCCGACACCAAGAAGCGGCTGGAATCTCATCCCTATGCCCTTGTTGGAGAGATTGGCCTTGATAAATCATTCCGATTACCTGGTGCATGGACCGTGAAAGAACTAGGTAGCCGCGACGAACAACTTACGCCCGGATCAAGGGAGGGCCGACCTCTTTCCCCGTATAAAGTGAAACTAGAGCATCAGAAGGCATTGCTCAAATGCCAGCTTCAGCTCGCGGGCGAGATGCAGCGAGCAGTCTCGGTACACAGTGTACAAGCCCATGGTGCTGTCTTCGATGTCTTGAAGGAATTATGGGCAGGCCATGAAAAAGTTACCTTGTCACGGCGACAAAGGGAAAGGCGTCAGGACGCAGAAGGGGCGCTCTCAGAAGACTCGGAGCATGAACAAGAAGCTTCTTTGAAGGATTTGAAGCCGCTGCAGTTTCCTCCACGCATCTGTATGCATTCGTATTCTGGACCTGTGGAGCCTATTCGGCAGTATATGAACAAGAAGAACCCCTCTGATGTCTATTTCTCTTTTTCTGCTGTGATTAATTTTACTGGGGCGGGGCTACGGAAGGTGTGTGATGTGATTAAGATGTTACCTGAAGATCGCATTTTGATCGAGAGTGATCTCCATACAGCTGGTACGCAGATGGATGAATTACTTGAGGAAGCTGCACGTCAAGTGTGTGAGATCCGAGGCTGGGAGCTGCGAAAAGGTGTTCAGCAGCTCGCTGATAATTGGAAACGGTTTATCTTTGGTTAATAGATACGATGCCTTCATTATATCCCCCCTTGGCATACTGCAGCTCAGGATGGAGGATTATGATCATGTACATGTCCCATTGTTGCATAGCCGGGGAGCATTCAGTCATTATTAGAATTGCAGAGAACTAAAGGTGATTACGCTCGGAAATATTTCGCAACTGTCTTATAAACATCTTTATGTATTTCTATGAAGTAAATTGTGAAAAGAAACGGTGTATATAATGAAGACATGGTATCGTGGTGAAGCTTTTGAGAGCCTTGCGGTCATCCGTGCCTTGCGTAGTCTCGTTTCGTCGTCAGGTCACGAGTAGTGTGTGATGGAGAATGTGGGGTATTTAGGTAGATATAAGATGATGAGAGGAGGTTGATAGACATTTCGAAATTAGCCTGGATATATCCCGGTCTTGCATGTACATTCTCAAGAAGAGATACTAGGCAGGCGGCATCCAGCTTCCATCTTGCATGAGATCTGCCATCGGCGTATCCTGCCAATAAATCTGCCTCCATTCGTTTTCTAACTCAAGAAGACCATCTCCAGCCATCGGCATCGCGAGTTCAGAATCCGTGAAGGAAAAGAGTTGTCTCCAGTCGGGATAATCGCGAGTTTGATCCATTTGATCCACTTGCATAGCATTCGAAGCACTCGAGTATGGGTCTCTTTCCAATGGACCAACATTAAGTCGAAGAGGTGCTGTAATCCAATTATCGAATTGTGGAGTAGGTTGCGGCGATAGTGTTGACTGCTGTATAGGAGTATGTGTTGATTCGGGGGTGGGTACGCCAAATGACATGGGGCGTGGTGTATGTACAGCTTGTAAGGCTGCTGCTGCTTCGACGGCTGTGAGAGGAATCTTGCTGGAAGACGAAATTCCATTATATGACTTGGATCGGTCAGTAGTCGCCATGCGAAGATCTTCCTGGAGACGTTTGGAGTTTTCAAAGAGTCGCAGAATTGTGCCTGCATGAACCCAGTACTGAGCCAGTTCTCGTAAGGAATAAGATGCGGAGTCGAATCGGCGCAAGGCGTTGATTGCAAGAACAGGATTGGAAAAGCGAAGCTCGACACGAACTTGAATCATAGCTGTGAACAGATTGTGGACACCGGTGTACCACAGGAACTTCAGTCGATCGTTCATTCTGAGTTCTTCAAAGATAGAAGCAATGACTCCAGCAGCTGCACTGCAAATTTCTGCGTCGTGCGGACCGTAGTCATCAGAGTAGGCCGATGCTCTTGGATGAGGTCGATGAAGGAGAATTAAGAAATTGTTATAGGTGAGATGTAGCATAGCAGACCATGGGTCCATGTCGGATGCTCGAAGACGTAAATTATCAGGGAGTTTTAACGACCAATTTGCGAGAGATTCATCGGCTTCCTGAAGAACGGCCTTTCGTCGCTCATCGCTGGCCCGGAGTCCGAACCGATCCCTTATCAAGTAGGAAATCATAGTACATAGTTCTGTGAAGTGAATCACAAACTCGGCTTGCACACGGGGTCCACAATTTTCAAAGTCAGCCGGTGTTAAAGGCGAAACATCAGAGTCATCGAGATTTCTAAAGAACGAAATTAGTGGAAAATCCAGAATTAGAGATAAAGCATGACTGCTTACATAGCTTGTGGCCGTCCGTATGAAAGAGAGACCATCACATCAAATTGGACCAGGATATACCAGCATCGTCTCCACATTCGTCTGTCTCGAGTGACAAAGCGACTTGAGACTGGATTTCTATGCATACCTAAGCCAGTAGCAATTCGAGCAGCCACGCCGACCCAAAAGTGAGCGTCTGCAGCTACATCATCATCAGAGCTATCCGAATGCCAAGTTAATAACAAGGCAGTTTGGACTAAAATATCTCGATTTCGCTCAACGCGATTATCGAACAGATATTTGGTACGGCGGAAGAATATTTCTTTTAAAGCATCGCGCTCCGCTTTTCCGCGAGTGACGTGTGCTCCAACAAGAAGTATAGCTTGAAGCAACAAAACAGGAGGGGGATCTGAAGGGTCCCGATTTCGGTATTGTGCCATGAACAGATCCTCGTCAACAATTGGATACCCTGGATTAACATAGGTGAAGTATGCTTGAACCAGCTCATCTGCGAGTGCCGGTTCGGGAAGTGTAAGCGCATCCATCAAAAGTTGATCATGACCAGTCTTCATTTGCCTCCTAGGAATTTCATTGCTGGCAAAATGATATACATCATCATCTTGATCTCGCTGCTGCCGAATCAAAAATGACATGTTCGAATGTTCATGACCGACATAGAAAGCGCGAACACCCCTTTGGATTTCTCTTTGGCCAGATTCTTCTTCATCGATCAGTTTCACAAGATGTTGCTCCATCTCTGTGTGAGCCTCGTGGGCGTGTGACAGGTCTGGGCCTTGGCGAAATGGTTCTGTAGCATTGGACAAGAAGGTTTGCTGCGGGGGGTTATTTCCAATCGCAGGGCTGCCTCCAAATGCAGTTGGAAAGCTTGGCGGCAGCGGCGTGCCGGCTGAAGTTGTAGGGTTGGCTGCATGATCAGATGTCGGTAAAGGCCGAGATCGGATCGGAACGGGATCAAGAATCGAGCGGACAGCGAGTCGTTTTTTCTTTTCATGGATGCGGCAATCAGTCTTGCCGGAGGTGCGACAGTTTGTGCAAGGGGTTCCGACGACTCGGGCATCGCAGCGAACTTTGCGCCGGTGACAGTGAACACAGGCAGCGGAACCTAGAGCTTTTTTTGAGTCATCGGTTAGCGAGTCCGTTATCTCTGGTCACTCGAAATGCAATTCAATGGCAGAGGTGGGGATTGTATGACCTGGGGGGAAACCCAGGTACTCCTTATGAAATTCTCTTCCTACAATCAACTCATGAGGTGAGTCTTACCTTGTTTGCGCTTGCTCACCCCATCGCCCGGGAGCGGCGAGGAGGCGTTATCGTTGGGGGTGGACATTGTAGAAGGATCATTGGCATCATCCCATGTGCAGATCGACCAAACATCTGCATTCTTCGATGAAGAAACAAATCACGCCTGTATTTTTCAAGGCATCATGAGAAGCAAAGACGATTACCCGAGGTTAAAGAAACTCTCCATGCGACAACGAAAGCGAAAAAGTTTGGGAAAGCGAGAACTGCGGGATCGGGTCCGGTGGAGCTCACGTGGATGCGGAGAACTTTGTGTGGGCGGTGGGATTATGTAACAAATAGAAAAGCGTTGGAGAAACCCTAGAACTGCATCTATACTAATGAATTGTAAGGAGGAAATGCAGTAATTAGAGGAAAGCAAGTCACAGTCAAAATCAAAACAAAGAGGTAGAGAATTTTGCCGAAGAGATAAGAACGGAAGGATTAGGAGGAACCTTAACTAGTATCAAACATCTACTCCGTACAGTAGCGTGAGAATTGGGTCCATCTGCAACTATATGGCCAATCATGATACTGGAGGTTAACAGGGCTGATCACAGGGCTTATCGAGGATTTGTAACCGCAGGGGGTTTGTCTTGCTTCTAAGCGGCCCTAGTGGACTTGGAGAGAAAAGACATCATAAATACAAGGTCGCCCAGATCATATATCCGCCCATGAATTCCCATCACAACTCCATAACATACCAGACAAGTGGCCCTCGTTTGCAGGAACCAACATGTCGCCAGAAAAAAGAAGGGTAAAAAAAAGTGATTCAAAACAGTAAAAAAAACCCAACACGCATAAGCCGAATCCGAGTCCTGTGCCCAGTACATCATGTTCAAAAAACACAATATCAGTACAGAGCGCGAATGAATTGACACTGTAGAACGACACCAAGGACTTCCGCACATCTCACAATGCGGTCATTTAGATCAATAATCAAAAGTCAACGACGCCGTTGTTTGAACACTCAACGTCTAGTATGAGTCACCAGCACCATTGTGAGGTTGGCCTACCATGGGAGGGTACCCATATGCGGATGCGTCTTGTTCAGATGGATCAATACCGGGGTTCAGAATACTGTTGGCACCATCTCCTGCCTCTGGAAATCCAGGGCGGCCCTGAGAACCGCCTCCTCCTGGACCGCCATAACCGCTGCTACCAGGTCGGGGCTGGTTCTCACCACGGGCTGATTGAGTCTACAATAAACATTAGCGCATGCACTTGCATCACATTCATGGAAACGAAAGCTTACCTCGCGGTACTTGGAAAGGTAGATTTTAAGAGCTTCAGCGTAGTTCTCAAAGCCAAGGGATGTCATGGCGAACAAGATATCTTCACCGTTAACAGTCTTGCGCTTCTCCTGCTGACACTTCTCGGAAGCTTTTTGAAGAGTCAATATCAGAACAAAACGAGCGGTTTCCTGGGTGTGACTTACCCTCGCTGGTGATAAACGAGATGAACTCGCTCACACACTCCTGCATGCATTCTTTTGCTTCCTTTGCTATCTTGGCATTGTCGGGCAAAGCGAGTTTCATGATACGAGCAACTATGATAATCGCATGTTAGCATCATGAACCCACAGCGAGACACTCGAGAGTCATCGTATGCGATGAGTGAAAGGTCATATGAAGAGAATAATCGTGAGGGGTATTATATCTTTCAAAATACGGCAGTATATGGCGCGGGGTTCAAAACACAAGCAAAGAGGAGATGTAAATAGCAAAAGTCCGCTATTCTGGAGATAAAGTTGGGTGGGTTTGTGAAAGGGCGTGTGTATGGTAAAGGCGGGGAAGGCCAAAAGTAACCGGCAGCGGCCAGCAGTAAGGTACGCGCAAATCAGAACAACAGAAAAGAGATGCACGAAGACGCAACTAACCATTTGCAATCGGGAGCCACCGATCTTGCTCCTTCACTTCAAACTCGCCCTGTCCCTGTCCGGTCGGATCGTGCTGGTCTTTGTCCATTTGGTCTTGCTCTTCACCCGACTGAACCTCGGGGTCAAGTTCCGGCTCTTTGGATGGTGAGGCCGACGACATGGTTATGAGTGGTTTGAAAAATGCGCTAGACTTCGGATCGGGCGACAACAACTGGGGCGTATATTTGCTCTGTTGGCAGGACCACGTCAGATCTGAATGCCCGGCGCGCGATCAATTCCGATGCAGACAGCCCGACACGAATGACAGGATCGGAAACAGGAGGGAATAAGGTATTGGCTGGGTACGAACCGCTTCACACACAGCAAACTCAAGGCAGGAACGTCAGCCAAGTGGGGGATTTGGCAATAATGCGCTGTGGCTTCCTGTACTGGCGACGCGCGCAATGACACCCGATTAGCTCTTGTGCACCGAAAAAGGAAAGGATTAGAAATCGAGGGAGGGTTTCAGCGGTCAAGCGGAATGCGATCGCGTTGCACCAGTCACTGCAGTGCCAAATAACAATTATGCGCGCCTCGCGAAAGCCAGCTGGATTGTGACGCGGGATGCAACACGGAAAGTGTCGAGAGTGGGTCGGATTGGGGGAGGAGCCCAACTGTCCGACGGTCGCACGTTGCGCAGGGGTGAGGGGGAAGATGGGGGCATGTCAAGCTACCTTTTTTGGGTAAAGAGGAGATCCAAAGAACTGGATTGTCAAACTTATTTTATTCCGATTCGTCTTGGGGTTATGGTTAAAGGTCAGAGCGCGCGAATGGTGTTGAAGAGGGTCCCCGTCCACGCTGAGGTCAATTGGCGAACCAGAACTCCCTGATCGAAGGACGCCTCCGGGTTGGCTACTTACCAAGTAGATAATGTAGATGTAGGCCTTTGTATCGAATTTTCGACCACCACAGTCACCGGATTGTAGGATCGGAAATTTAATTAAAATTCAGTCTCTGTGAACCAAGATAATGAAAGGATGACGAGTTGAAGAAACCCTGAGGAGAAAGAAAGCAGAAAAGGGTCGAAAGCGAGCGACGAGCTTCCGGTCGATTGCGGGAGTGTTGTATTTACGGGTATTTACGGCTCTCCTCAAGCGATGAACACTGGACCAAAATAATATACGGTATTTATGATACATCTCCGTATCCCGCCCCAAAGTGCTTGAGGACTCATTAGAACAGAATATAAAACACCTACTATGGAGTAAAAAGTACACTACATCACGATTTTCTTATTTTCTTTTTTACCTTTTCGCCTTAGAAAGAAAGAAGGTTGCCATCTGCAAGCCCTGTCTGCTGAATTATGACTTGTCATGACGGCATAGTTGACTCCCCTGCATCGCTTGAGTTTCAAGGCCCGACGCATAGGCCTCTTGAGGGTCAGGCATCTAGGCTTGCATTGACCCCAGCAAACATAGTATATGGGCTTGTGTCATTGTTGTTTTCATATTCCGTCATGATTAAAATGGAGTTATGCTAGGCTCTAGTCTTTGTCTCGTATCCCTGGACGCCTGTGATACCTCTCTTCCATATGCATAGACCGCCAGTTAAGCAGCTAGGCCCAAAGCCCTGGAGGAAGCGTGAATCAAATTATACAGCTTGATCAAATGCTTTTTAAGGCTGGACAACCTGGATGTTGTTCTTCTTCTATATGTTGTGACAGGATAGATTAGCACTGTTCTGTTGACATAAATATATATTGGCGGAAAGATCTAGACAAACTCACCTTCCAGCTATCCAGCTCCCCTTGCTTAGACTTGTATTGCTTCAACATATCTTCAATCACTGATTGCAGTCCCTCTGAGTTGGTCTTGAGGTTCGGGAGGACATCTTTAACAGTGCGCTCGACCAGCACCCCATTCACCATGCGAAAGCATTTCCGGTCTTCAGAGAGAGGGCTCAGGGTTTCAATGACCAGTCTGTGCTCCTCAGCCTCTTGCTCGATATCGCCAATTTTCGATGCTAATTGTTGAAGGGTGTTCTTGAAGGTCGTGTACTGGACCTGCAGCTCTGGAGCGAGGAACGCGTGTTAGCAATAGTCGTCTCGATGATACCATGAGAAGAAAGTCTCACCTTGCTGCTTCTTGGGGTCAATCTGCTTTTGACTGGACATGGTGGCGATGGGGGATTTTGAGGATGGTTTGGAGCAATGCGGCACAGGACGCTCAAAAGTTGAAATGACGATGCGGGGCCGCTGCTTGGTGTTCCGATAAAGCGATCAATGTTCCTACTCAAGTATAAATACAGTTAGGGTACGAAGCAGCATACGGAGCACTGGAGTCTGACTAGAATAATGAACATAGCTTCTCACTATTATCTTCTCTTTTTAGAAAGAATAAAAATCTAAAAATCTCGTTACCATCTCTAGACGGTCAACAGATTCCTGTCTACTAGTACATAACACGTGACTGATAACAGTTTGCACTGTTTGATCGGACATTTCAACTGCACTTGATCGAGCTTAACATTCTACCCCGGCGCGCTTTTGAGTCCGATTTCGAGTCGCCCTGATCCGGAGGTCAGGAGAACATACACCAAGATGTCTCGTCAAGATATGGGCCCACCGGCCAAAAGACAAAAAGGCGATTCGCACCTCCCACATCAAATACGAGATGCTAGGCGCAAGGAAAATGACGACTGGGAGACAAATCGCATGCTCACGTCTGGTATTGCGCAGAGGCGTAACATGGAAGGCGACTTCATGCCAGATGATGAGGAGGCGACTCGAGTTCACCTGTTAGTCCACGACCTTCGACCACCCTTTCTCGATGGACGCACGATTTTCACCAAGCAGCTGGAGCCGATTTCCGCCATTCGAGATCCGCAGAGCGACATGGCGGTTTTTAGTCGGAAGGGAAGCAAAGTCGTTCGTGAACGGAGACAACAACGCGAACGCCAAAAGCAGGCCCAGGAAGCTACGAACATGGCCGGCACAGCTTTGGGAAACCTGATGGGAGTCAAGGAAGATGAAGGAGACAGCGCTGTCGCCATGCCTGTGGAGGAAGTATATAAAGGCGGAGGTAACAAGTTTGCGAAACACTTGAAGAAAGAGGAGGGCGGTGCCAGCTCATTTAGTAGGAGCAAAACTTTGCGTGAACAACGAGAGTACCTTCCAGCGTTTGCGGTACGCGAGGATCTATTGCGAGTCATTCGTGACAACCAGGTTGTGATCGTAGTTGGCGAGACAGGTTCAGGAAAGACAACCCAGTTGACCCAATTCCTTCACGAAGACGGTTACTCGAAGCTTGGCATGATCGGTTGCACACAGCCTCGCCGTGTGGCGGCTATGAGTGTCGCAAAACGTGTTAGTGAGGAAATGGAAGTGGACCTAGGAGGCACTGTTGGATATGCCATTCGTTTCGAGGATTGTACTAGTGATGAAACTGTGATCAAGTGTACGTGCTAACAAACTCATTTGCTAAACATTTCGAGCATCTCTAACATTGTTAAAATAGACATGACCGATGGTGTGCTCTTACGAGAGTCTCTCACACAATCCGATTTGGATAAATACTCATGTATCATTATGGATGAAGCCCACGAACGTGCTTTGAATACAGATGTTTTGATGGGACTTCTAAAGAAGGTTCTTACACGGCGAAGGGACCTCAAGCTGATCGTTACTTCCGCGACCATGAACGCAGATCGATTTTCGCGTTTCTACGGTGGAGCTCCTGAGTTCATTATTCCCGGCAGAACTTTCCCCGTCGATACACATTTCTCACGAACCCCTTGTGAAGATTATGTGGACAGTGCAGTCAAGCAGGTCTTGGCCATCCACGTTTCTCAAGGCCAGGGCGATATTCTAGTTTTCATGACTGGTCAAGAAGACATCGAAGCAACATGCGAACTTGTTGCTGAGCGTTTAAAATTGCTGAACGATCCCTCACCTCTCAGTATTCTACCGATTTACAGTCAAATGCCAGCAGAGCAACAGGCAAAGATTTTCGAAAGAGCGGACGCGGGCGTTCGCAAAGTTATCGTTGCTACAAACATTGCAGAAACTAGTTTAACTGTTGACGGTATCATGTTTGTCGTTGATTCCGGATACTCGAAGCTTAAGGTGTACAATCCGAAAATGGGCATGGACACCCTCCAAATAACACCAATCTCTCAGGCCAACTCAAACCAGCGATCTGGACGTGCTGGACGAACAGGCCCTGGAAAAGCTTACCGCTTGTATACCGAAACCGCTTATAAGAACGAGCTTTACATCTCAACAATTCCCGAAATTCAGCGCACCAGTCTGTCCAACACTGTCTTGCTATTGAAATCGCTTGGAGTGAAGGACCTCTTGGATTTTGACTTCATGGACCCACCTCCCCAGGAAACGATTTCTACGTCTCTTTTCGAGCTCTGGTCGCTCGGGGCATTGGATAACCTGGGCGACCTAACCCCGCTAGGTCGTCAAATGACACCTTTTCCAATGGATCCTCCTCTTGCCAAGCTTCTCATCATGGCCTCAGATGAGTACGATTGCAGCGAGGAAATGCTGACTATTGTCTCCATGCTTTCTGTGCCAAATGTTTTCTACCGTCCCAAAGAGCGACAAGAGGAGTCTGATTCAGCTCGTGAGAAGTTCTTTGTCCCAGAATCAGACCATCTTACTTTACTTCACGTATATTCTCAATGGAAATCCAACGGCTTCTCGGATGGTTGGTGTACCCGTCACTTCCTCCATGGAAAAACACTTCGACGTGCAAAGGAAGTTCGCGACCAGTTGTACGATATCATGAATCAACAAAAACTGCCTCTTACCAGCTGCGGCACTGATTGGGATGTCATCCGGAAATGCATCTGCTCTGGGTTCTACCACCAAGCCGCACGTGTGAAGGGAATTGGTGAATTCATCAATCTGCGCACCAGCGTGACTATGGCTTTACATCCAACGAGTGCCTTGTACGGGCTCGGTTATGTGCCTGAATACGTCGTTTACCACGAATTAATATTGACCGCTAAGGAGTACATGTCTACTGTAACAGCAGTTGACCCACATGTAAGTTCTAACATTTCCTCTAAACCTACATCCCGAATCCTTAACTAATTCAAACCTAGTGGCTCGCCGAGCTTGGTGGTGTTTTCTACTCTGTCAAGGAAAAGGGTTACTCCCAGCGTGACCGACGTGTTACAGAACTAGAATTCAACAAGCGCATGGAAATTGAAGAGCAAATGGCGGCGGATCGTGAACGTGCTGCAGCTATGAAGAAACGCGATGAAGAGCGCAGCGATCCCACTCGACGCAAGAGAGAAATCGAAGTTGGAGGGTCTGCTGTAAGACGTCCGATCATCAAGAGACCAGGTAAAGTCGGAGGCGTATCTGCCTCTTCTTCCTCTCGACCCGGTATAAATGGTGGCGGTGGATCAGGAGGCAGTGTGGTCAAAAAGCCTCAGATTCCTCGGAGACCAGGGCGAACATTTTGAGTCACCCACTTGAACATATGGAATAGAGTCCATTAGTCGATTCTGCTATACCTATGGTGTAATATAAAAGTCTACCTGAATTATGTAGATCAGGTGTCAACCCTGAATTGAACAAGATACCCAAAAGATACTCCCAAAAGCCGACATACTACAATATCTGAAAACATACACCGCCATATAGTAGGCTATCAACTACAAGAATTACAGAAACACTAAGCAAAAGATGAAGCCTTAATATGCTGCATTGGTATTGTATACAAAAGGAAACATGCACGCCAAAGATTCGAAGCGTTAATCAGAGGAATCAGAAGTCATCTAGCACAGAAAACCGGGATACATCGATCCCCACAGGGTAAGTTTTATCCAACAATCTCACACCAACAGTGTTCTCGCTCACCTCAACGGCGATATCCACAAAAACCCCTCTAGTTAATGAAGTTAATGCAGAAGAAGTGTAGAATCAGAGAACCAAAGATATAATCCGCAAATGCACGCTCATGCGAAATGCCCTCCTCCTGCTCTTCCTCATCTGCGAAACGGGCATTCTTCCCCTTCGAACTAGGCTTTGACGAAGAGGTAGCGCCCGAATCACTAGTCTGCATACGGAGCGAAGCTGTGAGGACGAATTGGCCGACTGCAGCGCTGAAGCCACTCAGGAAGGCGTTGAAGGGCTGGGTAGATATTATGATTAGTCCTGTTGTAAATAGATATAATTGAGATATAAATGCAGGGGCTGAATATTGAACTCGATGGTACTGGGAAATAAACAAGGGACAACGTACGTAATTTCCAGCCAGAACACAGTATACGAACTGAATACCGCCGACAAGGACTAGGAAGGCCATGAAAGCATCCAGAAGCAATGTACGCTGGGAAGTGTTGGCGGTGTACTGTTGCCAGACATGGCCGGCGATGTCGAAGACGGAGGAATTGGATTTGAGGGTTGCAGGGCCAGAGGAGAGAGATGCAGTTGTTGAGGGTGCTGGTGCGGCGGTAGATGAGGCCGCGTGGCGTTTGGCGGGCATGATGATGGAATTGAGTGGATTTCGAGGTGTATGAGACTTTTTAAAGAGTTACGTGGAGCTTCGCGGCCACGTATCTGCGAATATGTGTTTTAGGAAGATTGGGAGTCGTTTGGGGAAACAATGGCGTGGGGTGGAAGATCCATCGGGGATATCAATGATGCCAGCTGGGAGCTTCGTTATCGATGAAGTCACGTGTGGCTGGACCCACATCGGAGTATACAATACTTGGCAAGTGCACCTGGGCAATCTACTGTGTTTATTGTTGAGCGTAATTTTTCTTGATTGTATATAGTATGTATGAAAATTTCTAGTCTACAATGCCAGTCCATATTAATGGGAGATATGAAATGAGGTGGCCAATGGTAGCGGATGTATAGCCGCCTGGCAAGAATGGCAATGTATTGAAATTGCTACTTCAACCGGAAGACTCTGACAAGCTAAAGAAGTAGTTTGACTACCTTGGCTTATAGAATTGCACATCCCTAAACGATCAATTTGTGAATTTGGGATAAGCTTTATTGGAAGAGTTCCAAATTTCTAGATCATATGTAATTTTATTGGTTATGTATAACACAGGATCTGGAAGAAGTGGTATCTTTAAGAGAGAAGATCATAATATGTAAACAGTGAGTAGGGTGAAGAAAAGGGAAGTCAGAGTACTAGACGCCACGGGCCAAATGAATCATCAATCGTCGTAGATAAACAAGCATGAGTATGAGAGATAGATCCTCGTGGTGTTTTACCAAAACGCCCATACCGGAATCGAGTTAAAACATGCCCCTCGAAGAACACCAGAAATGATACAATTAAGCAAACCATTCCGTAACACTAGAGACATTTCCAGCTGCAGAATTATCATTTTCAACGTCCATTTGGAAGTCTCGCATGACTTTGTCCCATTCTTCCCAGCTCAGTGGAGAGTTGTCGGAAAGGTTTTCTTGGGTCATGAAAGGATTATTCATCGAAGGAGTAGTATTAAAATTGAATGATACCCCCGATGGAAGCGAATTTGTAGAGGGATAGGCCATTTGGGAATTTTCCATGGAAATAGGAGCCAGAATATTTGTGTCATGGAAGATGCCTTGCAAAGCATCCCATGGACCAACGCTGAGATCAATATTAGCAGGAGTATCAGCGACCGGGATATTATTGATTCGACCAGATGTTACAGTCTGGGATTGTAAGGGCATATGAATTTGTGGGAGAGTGTGGTGGTGTGTCGTTGCGAAATCAGGTATAGACCTATTGAGGGAGGGTGGGTTTACTCCGAAGTCTTGCCGCAGTTCCTGTTGCTGTTTGGCTCGAGTAGCGGCAGCACGTTTCATCAAGGCATCGAGTGGACGCCAGAGCATGCCTTTTTTGTGAGTTGATTGAGCTTTCCAGTCCGAATACATGGACTTGATGGCATTCCAAGCTCGATCTGTAATGGGGCAAATTGGTCGGACACATACTTCGGATAAGATGAAGGCGACTCCGTGCCATTGCATGTTGGTCCTGAACAGCCAGCCCCATTTAGCTGTTTTGGGGTCTGCTTCGAGAAGTCGACCGAACTCAAGAACTTCGATAGCGGTGAGGAATAGACTCTCGCGAGTTGCTTGAGATACGTTTGTGGCGCGATCTTTCCGGGTCATAGGATGATGCACAATTAGCCACAGCTTGGCAAGAATGAGCCTCCCAACTGTTGCAGCTGCCCAGTGGATAGGAATATCCATATCACAATGCTTAATGTATCGTTCCTCTACCCGGTTACTGATGATCTCAATCATCCGTTCACAACGCTCGGTGGATGGAGCGGATTCACCCATCCTGAATCGGCTGCCAGGACAGGTATAGTTTGCCCGTCTCAGCGCACTTGTGATTTCACAGCGAATGAGACAGAATGTCATGTCGGTGCATCCTTCTTTCTCCACTGGTGCCTCGGTCATTTCAGGATAGATGTCATCATCATTCACATTCAATGGTACTCGCGCATCATACATGCTCTCGTGAATGAGCGGATCAGTTCCATGATCCTCAGAGGATCGGATATCCATGAGACATATATGCCACCAAAGCCGACGGCGCATCTCCGTTTCGAATGGTTTCAGCGCAAAATTAGTTCCATCGCGGTGAATACCAAGACCTTGTGCAAGTCGAAGAACGATAGCATCCATAGACCAAACAAACTTCGAATCATCCTCTCGGCGGACACAAACTAAGAAAAGCACGGCGGCCTGTAGAAGTACCAAGCTTTGAGTGTTGAGGAAGCCTGCTTTCGACAGCGCCTGTTCCACAGCGAATCGATAACGTTTGACTGCCGCCTTTCGATCTTCTCCAAGCTTCTCAAGGCACTCATCGGGTTTCAAGCTGACAATAGCAGACAGATAGATGGCGAACACCAAAGCTTCTGAGTTTTTATCCAGGGCCTCGGGGTGCTGTGCGGCTTCGACTAAAAGATTCCTAGCAGTCGGCTTGTGGAGAATGGTAATTAAAGGTGCAACATTCTCCTTGTAAATTTCCCAGAATTTTGAGACCTTTGGGAGTGGTGGGTGGAACTCTCGTAGAGAATGTGCTAGGGAGTAGTATCCGAAAAGGAATCCATCGTGAGAGCCCGAGTGGGAGGACTCAGGAGATGGAATATCTTCTTCCTCGGACGAGGAGTGATCCAAAATATCTTGCAGTTCTTCGACCTTGAATTTGTCAGCGGAATGTCACACATATAAAAATGCTAGCAGCTGAAATGTATATACCTCGTCCCCAAGACTGGCCCATAACCGATTGCTCACATAGCGACTGCGGCCCTCATCAATCACCAGTCTTCCAAACTCATTTTCAAATTTGCGCGGTGCAAGTTTCTTAGGATCACTATCTTCAAAGGGGCAAACGCCATTCTGAGCTTTAGCATCCGCCGAGGAAGCCGGGTCTGTATTTGTATTTGTAGTTGTAGGGAGATGAGAAAATTGTGGTGGTGGTGATGTCGTCGTATTAGTAGTATTGGTTTGAGGCGCACTCGGAAAAGTAGAATTAAGAATCTGAGTCGGCGACAGACTAGAATTTGAACCCGTCTCGCCGTTCTTCCCACTCAAATGCTCAATGACACCCTCCAGCCGTCGCAGCCGGGACAGAAGCTCCGCATCGGGCGGGCGCTTCGATTTGCGCGGAGCCCGACCAGGCGGAGGAAAGATACAGTCGGTACCAGCCTTCACACAATTGGAACAAGGCGAGCGCTTGTTACAGCGAACCTTGCGACGACGACATGTTACACAGCTTCGCGAAGTGGAGTAGTCGGTTGACGGGCGCGGGGCGGTGGCGGGGATATTATGTTGCACGGTGTTCGGAGAATTATCACTGGTGGATGAGTTGTTCAACCCTTCCGGGGAAGCTGAGTGGAACGACATGGTGCAAGAGAGTCAGATCTCGCTTGCCACATTCTCCCATCAGATAAGGAAGAGATCAGGGATTCAAAAAAATGGCCTGAACTAAGATTCTAGGCTCAGGCTGCAATAGCAGGGGCCAAAATGCGCCATGTGACTTTGGAAAGTTAGAAATGACTCAGCTAGTCAGCTCGGGACTGTTTACCAGATTAGGCGTGGAGACGTTATCCCCGAAGTAAGACATTGTTCAACCTTATTTCACGAAACTACAAAATCAACAAGATTAATCGCTGCTGATTCCACAGGGAAGGTTAATTTGCACAAGTCGGTGAATATCATATCACTTAAAAAAAGGAATCGCTAATATAATAGATCAACACAGTATATTTGATTTTTAGAGGGATTTGAATCATTAAACCCCAGCTCTTGAGTAAATATGACGAAATTCATATACATGTGATCCATGGATGAAAATGTCCGGATATTCATGAAGAAGAAAAATTATGTGCACATTGCAAAACCATGTTGGTACAAGAAATGCCAAAAGTGTTATGTCCAGATCCAAAACGATGACTGCCAACGCCATGCGAATGCAGAAAAAGATAAGGTAGGGATTTCTCCCAGATGGTCACGCTGAGTCCAAAGACTGGAGTATCAAAGAGAAGAAAGAAGAAAGAAAAAAACAAATGCCTTGACGAAGATCGTGTTTCAAACGGCATCCATGCGTATAGCAGGCTCAGTGCCAGGGCTTCTCTTGGGCAGGTCATCACCACGCCAGCCTCGTCGAAGCATGCGCTTCACCTTTGAAGTAAGACGATCCCAGACTTTGGTCTTATCGTTGAAATGGTGGTCTTTGAAAGTGGTCTTGGTCATGGACGAAGAACCATATTCCTCAGCAAGCAGCTCGGTATAAGCATAAGGAATCTTGACAGGCACCCCCTCAAAGTAGCTTTCGCGAAGAGGGAAGATATCGCTCTCATCGTAATGGTGCTTATCCTTGCACATCAATGCTTCAGAATGTCCGCGCTGGCGCTTTGCATCATCTGGGCGAACAGCCGTGATGTCGATAAACAGTCCCGATGACTTGTCGATCCATCGCCCGTCGATCACATTCAACCTGTCCAAGGTGCTTTTGACGACATAGAAGGGGTTGATCTCGAGGAGATAGGTGCGACCACCTTCCACGCCGGGAATTTCGAAATGGTGATCGGTGAAGTTATAATATTCGGCTAGGAAGTGTATTGTTGGTTCCGAGATTTGAACGTCCAGGTCGTTGTCCCAGGGGAAGATCTAAACAATTCCCATTATTAGCAGGCATTCCTGGTGCTATGTGCGGTCGCATCGTACCTTCATATTCCACCACCAGGAGAGGAGGGTTCCATGCATAATCCATGTCTCGGCGCCGATCGAGTCCATTGTCGCAAGGTAGGTTTGGATTAAGTTGGATAGGTAAGGAGCGACTTTTTCGTCCGGTAAGGTCTCGTTCGCGAATCTGGAGAAATTAATGTTAGCATTTGCGACGATGTGGATCGGAATGTGCGACAAATACATACCGACCGTCATAGTGGTAATGGAAGCTACACAAAATTCAAAGTTAGTATATCTGAGGCTAACAGTCTCCAATTGATGCAAAGTTGAAATACCTAGATTCCACTAAAAGCGATGACGAGTCAGCTAAAATTGCGTGATTGGGACGGTCTCAAGATTTCCCAGGTCGATCAATCTATATCGATGGGGTAGGTGGTACATACCGAAATGTTTCTCCTTGGGAATATTGCTGTCACTATCGTATTGATGGGCCAGACTTGGTCGCAAACTCAAGAAGTTGGGTTCCTGAGTGGACTCGTCTCGATTCCAATCTTGTTCCTCTCCATGGACTAAGGAGACTGCAGCTGCCGACAGTACTCCAGAGAGCCCCAACAGGCCCAGGGCCGAGAATCGCATCGCTAATAGTATGTATCCTTCACCGACTCTGTACAATATGTCCAAATATGGTCCGCTCGTTCTTATATACACGAGATCGGATGTGGTACGAGGAGGATTGCAAAGGCTGTTGTGCGCGGCGGGCCGGGCGGGTAATCGGGAGTGCGACGCAGATAGTAAAAGGGGGTAGTGCGTAGAAGGGCTTCACGGTGCCAATAAATTCGAGTATATACACCCCAAGAGGACGGCGAGTAATGAATGTACAAAGGAGAAAAGGAGATACGGAGTAGAAAGAAGACGAGGTATTATGGGGCGTCTCAGGGCCAAGCAGGGTGGAGAGGGGCCGGGGAGGGGGAGGGACGATAATCTCGTGTGGACAGTTACCAATTAAAGCGATTTTTCTAATTTTGCTGTAAAAAATCCATTGGGGGATTACATTTGGACATGATTCCCGTTCTGATCGTCTTTCCCATCCTATCAACGGGCCAGGGGGACGTATCAGATGTACGATGTCGTATCCAAACGCTGGTTTAGCAGGGTTTTAGGGTCCGCTCCGTCTTCCTCCGCTATAGGGAGTAGGTACGAAGTACATGTTACAAGAGTCTGATGGGGAAATTGATCTCATGATTGCAAATCTACTTTTTGTTCTTAAATGCCACCTCAATAAACTATACTTTAGCTAGGTAATCTTGATATCCTGTGTTATTATTTCTAATATACGCTAAGAAAAGTGCTGACGTCCGCTGTCTTCGTATTCGCCTTCATTACCTATGGTGGCTGTGAAACCGGCGTTTCCACGGTTGAATCGACAGATTCTGCGTGGCCCGCCACAGTGCCAGGACCCACATCGCAGAGGCTTGTCCACGTCCACCGATCCAGTGTGAAAGAGGCTGAAATTGGCACTGAACGGTTTAAAAGATCAACGTGAGCCTCTGTATACGACATGGCGAATAGTCATGACGCATTTTGTACTGTCGCGTGCTACAATTATGAATATTCATTTCGATCGCATGGGGTTTAATTTATAGCCATCGGACAAATCACCGCTAAAAGAAAGAAAAAATACAAACAAATCTTCTAGTCAGCCCCCGGGCTCAAGCTTGTAAAATTGCATACGCGTCCCCCCTTAAATGTCCACGACTTCCGCACGGAGTTAGTTGTCCCGTCCATCCACGGGTTCGCCAGGCCCCTTGCCCGCCTGGTCTTTGCCTCCACCAATATACTGTGTAGATTGTTTGTATAACGCCATATAGAGTAAATTTTACGAAAATCCTCATCATTCAAAGACTCAGGCGAACTTCTTATTGGACCGGAGGGCGTATACGTAAGTTGTCCTGGATGATGTTCCACTCCACATAGTAGTATACATTTTATGCTCACATAGTACATAATTTATTCCATTACATCTTTCTTTCGAGCCTCAAAGAGAGCCGGCTGATCAGCTAACGCCTGGGAGCTTCCATCACAATCATCAGGTAACCAAGTCTGAACGAGGTCTAAGCCAGCTATCTCAAGCAGCGCCCGCCACTGTGCTTCAGTCCGCTCCAACGACGCGAACGAACCCATCATCTGCAAATCGGACAGAGCAGATGAAAGCAATACACCTGTTCTCGGTAGCATGGTTTCACTAATTAGCAACACAGAGTCGGGGCCCATTGCATCGCGAATCTGGCTCAGAATCTGTGCAGCCTGCTTGTCGGGCCAGTCATGCAGAACAGTTCGCATGAAGTAAACCTTGGCGTTCTTCACTGGCTGCACCTGGAAGAAATCATACTTTTGGGCCACGATTCCTGCAGGTAGGTCGTGCGCGCCTTCAACCACTGCTGGTAGATCTTGTAGGATCAGTTTGCCTGGTAGGGTAGGGAAATGGGCCTTGAATTTCTTAAGATCCTCTCCCTGGCTTCCACCGATGTCGACAATTAATGTGTCGGTATCGTTTGGGACATGTAGTCGCTCAGCGACCGGGAAGAACTCGAACCAGTCCTTCCCTCTCCGACGGAAAGACATCGTCATTGTCGTGTTGAATGCTTGTCCATAATAGGCATTTGTGCTCAAGAAGTCGAAATAATGCGGAGAGTCGATGGCAAATTGGAATGGTCCGTCGAAAGCATCGCCGGGGCTTTCTAAACCCTTTGACTTGAAATATTCAGGAAGCTTGGCCAATACCGACATGAAATGGGTACTACATAGTCATGTCAACAAAAAACCTGAACTTTTGACTAAATAATAGGGACTATCTCCTACCCATGGATCACAGCAGATGACAAAGGCGCAGTTGATACCAGTGCATTAGAAAATGGCGTCGAGCTGTATCGACCTTCAGCTACTTCCTTGATCACAGAAATGGCAGTCAAGAACCGCGATAGTCGCACTATCCATTTTTGTAAGCTTTTTTGTGATATCGCTTTTGGGTGTTATGCAGGACTCACCGACAAGCAGCGGGTCTGCACCAGTCGCCTCTGCAAGCTCAGGTATCGTGATCGACTCATCAGGCTGGCCAATTTTGGCGGTTATCGCGTCGAATAATTTAAAATCGATACCTAGTCTCACAGCGATCGCTTGGTGGCCCTATATTACTATGGTTAGATGTTGGAAGCGGTGACTCGATACAGTTTTGCACTATGGGTAGTGCGACATACCGAAAAAACAAGGCGAGCGATAGCTTCGAATGGAGTTTCTAGTTTTTCCTTGAGTTTTTCACACGCTTGCAGTAATTGTCGTCGTTCGGCGTCTGGAAGAGTTGGAAGGAGATCGGTAGTGGCGTTGATTTTGTCTATTAAATCGGCGACGCTCATGATGAATGATGTTTGTATGTAAGTATCGATTCGTAGATCTCAATTCTTCCATTCGCGGTTGAGTAGAATCGCAAGCAGTAAGCCTTGATTTTCGAATAATAATTATTCTGTTGTTTTGAACAGTTGAGACTTGTACTCATATCGAGATGGTCTTGCCAGGTCTACGTCTTTATACGTGAACATTTGTGGTGGTGATTTTCGGTGAATTCTGGACATTTCATTTTGATATAGCTTGAATGACTAGTAATAGTAGGCATGTTGTCTACAAATACTCACTTATCTTAGTTATTATCTCTAAAATTGAAATCGGACAATTCTGAATATCCCGGTCTGATGCTGACTCAGTTCAGAAAATACCGAGGCATCAAAAGGGAAAACCCCGAAAATTCAAACGTCCCCCAGATTCCCGGATTCCCATACTTGTTTCACGTCCGGGAAATTCGCGGAATTGATCAGGCAATTAACAGCGAGTTTGAGCCAAGCGAGTGCCACACAGTGCCACTGGATGACACTGCATGGCACAGAATGACTGCAATTCCCACTTGAAACCTGCACTCGATTTGGGCATAATCGGTCGGAACCGTCGAATCCTGGTGCCTTCATGACCAATGGGCCCCAGTTAATATGGCAGAGTGGAGGCATTGCAGGTGGAGATTAAGGAGCCTGATTCGTCAGGTTTAACTTTAGGGTTCGACTCCGTCCTTGACAACCTCTCATTCGCAACTCCATGCGACTATGTCGGTTGGTGCCTGTTCCTCCCTAATCTAGCCACCGACCCGTTGGACCCTGAATTTTTCTAGTTCCGTACCTGGATGACTGGATCCCTGGGGACGGAGAGAGGGGCCACAAATAGCCCCAAATACCCACACACGACCTCGCTATCCCATACGGAGCCTCTTCATAGGCACCAGGCAGCTCTGAGGGTGACAGTTGAAGTGGAGTGTCATGCAAAAAAAGTGGAAACTAAAGAACCTGTCCCAATTGATCTCTACGCTGAAATCCATTTGACTTACCTAACATTTCGCGCTTTTAAGCTTCGGCCCTCGAATGCAATTGGCGACTTTGCACATGCTTGCGGTCAAGCCGGGCTGTACTTCGCCCTGTTCGAGTTTATTATTCTTTTTCATCTGCGCGGAAGAGGCCGTCATTGTGAGAATCCTGTGTCATCTATGATCCCCTGTGAAAGATTGTCGTCCGATTATACCTCTGCTCGGTACTTGGTCCTGGCAATTCATATCATATCCATGCTGCTCTTCCCGACATCTTCATCTGCATTCGATACAATGAGTCGAAATTCCTTGGCCGAATAACACGTATTGACAAACTTTGACTCCCAACTTTTTTTTTGCCCTTCCATATCTGTGCATTGCACATCCCTGGCCCCCCTTCTCGGTTCCTCAATTTTGAGTGCTAGTGGTATTCTTTTATCTTCTTATTCCTTGTTGTGTGAACATGTCAGAGTCATCCACCACTCCACATGGTGAAGCAAGCTCCGTTCAGACCCCGCAATCACAATCACAGCAACAACAACAACTCAACCGGTCCTGTGAGTCCTGCAGAAGTCTCAAAGTCCGTTGTCTGCCCAATCCATCTACGCCAAACCAATGCCAGCGCTGCGCCAAGGGAAAGAAGACATGTGTCTTCGTCGCACCGCAAAGGCGTCGGCCGCGCAAGCGGACCGACTCCAGAGTGGCCCAACTTGAGAAAGAGATGCGTATGATGCGATCCCTGCTCAAGGATAAGATTCGAGAAGAAAGCGAGCATGGATCTCCCGATGACAGCGATAATTCTCAGGACAATGAGTCCACCGAAATGGATTTTCAGGGAAGCTTAGGACCCATCCCGGAGTCCGCCGGGGATACGTCCGACTCTGCCCAGTTCATGGAATACTCCCCGAATTTCATCGACACTTCGCATCCCGGCATGCATGGGAGTGGTCCACTCTCAGCACCTCCGACCTTTTCGGGACTGCATGCTAATTTTGCAACGGAGTCGAGCGAACCACCTGCCGACGATGTCATCGATCGGGGTATCATCTCTATCGAAGATGCAGAGCAGCTGGTGGCATTCTTCATCCATGAACTGTCGAGCATTTTCCCCTTGGTTGTTCTGCCTTCAAATACCACTGCAGCTCAGCTCCGACAGGCAAAGCCAATACTGTTTCTTTCCGTGATCTCCGCGGCGGCCATTTCCATCGATGCAGGCTTAGCGGTTGTTTTGAATCGTGAAATGGTTCGTTTGTATGCAGACAAGTTCTTCATCGAGGGAGAAAAATCGTTAGAGTTGATCCAGGCATTGCTGTTGATGATTATCTTCTACCTCCCGCCTGGATCGCCCTTGAGGCTGCAATTTTACCAGTACACTCATATCGCATCGACGATGGCACTGGAGATCGGGCTTGCGGCGAAGAGGCGTATCACAAAGAAGAAGTCCGATCGCAAAAAGTCGGAGCCGCATGATGAGCATTTGGCGGAGCAGGCCAGGGCTGTTTTGGGATGCTACCATTTAGGATCAACGTAAGTGATTCTGATTCTCGTAGCAACAATGGTACAATGTCTTACTGGAGTTGTAAATAGTGTTGCGATGAAGACTCGCCGTCCAAATTTACTCCAGTTCAACGACTGGATGGCCGAGTGCGTAGATCAACTGGAGCGATCACCCCACCGAACAGACCAACGACTAGCCGTGTGGTTTGAGCTTCAACGCATCACTGACGAAGCTATGTCTTCGTTTGGCCTGGACGACACCAGCGCCTCGTCTCCGTTGACGGAATCACGCGTGCAGGCTGTACTGCGGTGGTTTGATAAGCGAATGGAAGCATGGAAGAATCACACTCCGAACAACATGCTCACCGGTAAGGGAGATCTTAACACCTGCTCTGTATCCCACTGAAACATTCCCCACTGAAACATTCCCTCCATAGTGCCGATGATCCTCGAATATCGATCTGCGGTCCTTGCCATGTATGAACTAGGCGTCGGAGAGGGCTATCGAGACCCCGACGCTGTCAAGCGTCGATACTTCACCCTCCCAACACTCGACGACGACGGCAACCGTAAACAACAAGAGCCACCAATGAGCGTTATCCGCATCGACATCAATGTGAAGTGGATGAACGCCGCCCACGAACTCCTAGACGCCATCCTGACATGTAGCGCTGAGACGATGCGCCGATTGCCGAACCTGATGTACACACGTTTCACAATGGCAGTCACATCACTGTTGAAGATCCATTTCTCAGTGCGGACAGGAGCATTAGGAGAAGTTGTCACACCGGAAGCCGTGAACGTGGGCTATTACCTCGAAGCAATGTCGAACAAACTGGGCGAAGCAAGCGGCGGCGGTAAATACAAAATTCCCACTCGGTGGTATCAAGTCGTAGCAGTCAAGGGCCGAGACTGGTACGAGCGTCTGGAGAAACGGTACTCTGGATCATCACCCGAGCCTAGTAGTAATATTCCAGCTACAGTGTCCGATCACCCGGCAGCAGGCTCTGAGCCAATGACCCCGGCACACATGACCGGTCCGCATATGGATAGCTCTTTCTCTGTGGCGCCCGGTGTACCGAATATGGCACCAATTGAGAACATGCGTGATGGGTATGTTGCGATGAGCGGTGTGGGCATGTGGCCCATGGACGGTAGTCATGGTCAAAATCAGTTCTTCCAGTCCCTTCCTAGTGGTTATCCGCAGGCAGCTTCACTGCCGCCACAGTTTGCATATGACCCACAGAGACTCCCTCCTCAGGGTGCTAGCCATGGGCCTGGGACGGGCATGGAGTTGGACGGATGGCTTCCGGATGGAAGTATATTTGGCATGCCTCCTCTTCCGGACTTTTGACACTGGAGGATGTTGAGGTGGAAACACGAGAGTGTTTGCTGCTTAGCAGATTCATTAGTAAAAGAAATGAATATACGCATATCTATGTTAATAAAACAAGAAAGAATCCCTGGCAAACGAGAGGGAAGAAAGCATATAACAGACAAGTCGGTTACACATACTTCACACATATTGCAAATTTCAAGTGCAAATTCAAGTTTCAGCCAATCAATCTTCAAAGCGAACAAGGAAATAATCTCCAAGCTCGAAGATCTTTTCAAGCCTAAGACGTAAAGAGTAGTGAGCATATCATTCACAAGAAAATCAAGATCCTCAAGTATAACCTCAACAAAGAAAGAAAAAAGAAACAAAACCAAGGCCCCACAGCGAACCAGCCGAACTATAAGTCAGAAAACCAACAACCCAATCCGTAAACCCAAAATCAGAACCAGGATTCGCAATAGAATACCCACCATTTTCCCCATTCATCACCAGTCCGGCCGTTAACCAGTTAAGACCTATATATACCCAAAACGTACATGGCCCGAAGCATCGGAGGGTCGGTGGATGCGGAAGTTCCGCGTTCGCAGCGGTTAACCGGGCTGATTGTCCAGTCCGATGAATAGACGGGAAAATGAGAACAGGCTAAAAGGGCCGGCGGTGGGTAATCTTACTTGTTATGGGTCCTGATATCACCAATTTCTTGGCTGGAAGATACATACTTACACACTGTACAATATGTCGGTGTTTTTGTTCGATGTCGTGATTATAAAGGCTTTTTGGGTCCTCTAGTTCCAAGGTACATATGCAGATGTAAATATTAGTAAATTGATTGCCGAGCTAAAGAGGCGAGATAGGTTACATTTTGCGATACGATGGTGGCTCGGACAATCTTTGAACTGAATAAAGTTTAAAGCATGCCATTAGAAATCGATTCGATTGCATTGAGCTTCAGATACAGTGCTATGCGGGGTGAAATCTGACGCAGGCTGTGTACGTAGAGTAAATGTGATATCTTCTAGACTCTGTCCATGGGTGTAAAAAGTATAGAACTCCACACAATTAATCCACCAATCAAAATTAAACCATTGACTTATACCAGTCAGTGTAAACAAATGAAAGATAAAGACCGTGCACTCAACTCTGAATTGAGATCAACGATCCATGGCAAGTCAAGACAGTGTTAAAACATTGCGGTGATGGGAACGTGGGGGTGTACCTAAATCTCAGACAATCGGCCGATACCTACAGTATTGTCGGGAGTTCGCGCAATGATACTCGACGGCGACGGGTCTTTAGTTTCAGCAGATCAACAGACCCACAAGAGCTCGATACGGTGTCAAACTGTTGGATTCCTTGGTTCCTATGCTCCAGGGCTAACCGTACTCTAGGTATTTAAGGATTTAGTCACCAATCATATGAATCAGCACTTGGGGAGTATTGATCCCCTAGTGTATCATGACGTCTGGATCACGCAAGAGCTGTTCAATAGATGGTACACTTACTTCTATATCTAAGAATTGACACAGATAGATTTGTGAATTGTGATTGATATCCACATGCTTGTAAGTTGCATAAAAGGTAGTATAATGTAGGTAACAATTCAGAAAACAGATCGGCAGGTCGAGAATGCGCTTTTTGCTAGAAGGGGCCACTTTAGAGCAGATTCCACAAAAGGATGAATCTAGTGTATAGAAAGCGTCGGGATCTACTTGCCAACAATATCAAATTGAAATTACATATAGATTTGTGAGTTGGTCTAAAGTTTATCACCATATGCAGCATATATGTTTAACATGTGCTTTCAGGGAAGCTTCTAGGACACAAAATTGCAAAAGCCTAGCTGTATTATGAATGCATTCAAATATAGACCTTCACATAACGACTAAATAAGTAATGATATGATAATACCTATCTCCAGTATGTCATAGTGTCTGGAATAGTACAATGCTATATTCAAATGTGTCAGCATCGGCGGACGCGGAAGTCCGCAGAACAACGGTTTACCGGATTGACTCTCCAGTCCGATATGCAGGGTAAAAGTGAGACAGTTTATAGGTACCCAGGTGGATAATATTGATTATTGATTCTATGGTTCCAGATATGGTATTTCGTATTTGGCGTATTCAGATATATCGGCGCTGGAAGTATCCGGTGACTTATTACTTCTATAGGCAGGTCTTTAAAGCGAACCGCTATTAGATACAGGCTTGAGGGTAAAGATAGTCTTAGTTATAAAACGGAGAACTCCTGGGTCAAAATTCAATAAATGCTCATGTACATTCTATTACTTGAGAGAAACAGAATCGAAAAAAAAAATTTGTAATAAGAAAAGCTTTTGTAACGACAGGGATTGCGATTGTACAGTTACATGTTCACTCCGAGAAGGTGGAGCCGGGATCCAGTTTGGCATTAGCTCGATCGGAGTCCATCCAGAAAGTAAAGAAAGAGCAGGAGGGGAAAACGCCATAATTCACGGATAGAAAGAATGTAAAGAAAAGCCATGAATCATAAGTCATAATTTCGTTAAAGGCGCCATTGTGTGTGAAAATCAAATCAAATCCTGCCTCACCTTCTCACGTTAGAAAGAAAAGAAGATAGAACTACATGCATGTCATCTGTTAAACGGCTCAGAGGATATCGAACGTTTCTAGCGCATCCATGAATGCGCCGATAGCGCCGATCCCCGCGAATCCTCTAGTTGCGGTGCGTGTCAGCTCCTTGTTCCGGCCTCTCGTTTCTTCCCGTGAAGATCGACGGGAATGAGTCGGGGACCGTTGGGCCGAACGGGGCGGCGATGGCCGGAGGGTAGACTCCGGGGACGATGTTGAAAGTGGATAAAGAGACTGGCGGTGCCGAGGCTGGAGTGATCCATTGTTGTATCCCTGTGACCGGGGCGGCCAGGGGGGCTCAGATGCACTGGGTGAGCCACCTCTTGGTGAATGGCCTGGCATACTGGCACGATTGGGGTTGACTGGGATAGTTCGTGGGGCGCTTCCATAATATTCCTGATTCGCAAGGTATCTATACTGTTGCGGTGGGTGGCCTGGTGAGGCTTGGGGGGCGTATGAAGAATGCGATGGAGGCGGTGGGGGTTGAGAACGTGGGATAGATTGGTTTGGTGGGAAGCTAGTGTTGGCGTAAGGTTGTGCTCTGGTATCTGGACCCTGAGATTGATAAGTTGGGTAACCAGATGAGAAACTATTGGAGTGTACACGTCCGCCATTTGTGTGACTGGAGCCTGGTTGCTGGCATGGAACAGATCTCGGTTCACCTCCATCGCTTGCAAGGTTTGGTCGAAGGCTTGCTTCAACAGATTCCTGCCGTTGCGGAGCTTCTTCTGCTTCCGAGTCATCATTTTCTACATGTGCTTGATAGCCAGAGTATTGCTGGCGCTTCTGAGCCGCCTCATATCGAGCCTGTTGGGACTGAGGCTTTCTCCAGTCGGTCGTAGTACCCTCCAAGTAGTAACCGCGAATTGCCCTGCCATCGAGCTCTTGATCCTGAGACTCATCATCGCTATCAGAGGAGATAGAAACCTGAGGTAGGCTGTTTTCGTCAGAATAGTGAACAAATCTCTCATGACTTCGCGAGATCGAGGTGTCCAATGGTGGTAGCCAAAGTGACAAAAGCCGGTTCATTGCATTTTCAGAAAGTTGAACCATATCTTTAGGAGATCGTTCGATATTGCTGAGTCCTATATCGATATCCCCAAATGTCAAAGCTTGAAGTTTAGTAACACCGGGACCCCTGGCTGTAGCAACCAATGGTCTCACTGCTGACGGGGTATTAGGGGAGGAAGAGTGATAATAGTTGATTTTCTGGCTGGTGGGATTGTTGGCAGCATCAAGGGCCTCTTGTTCCACCAAGTCCCACATTCTATCTAGACGTTTGACGGACCAGTATCGAATAATGATCATGTTCTGTGTTTCTGCTTTCTCCTGCGCAATAGCATCTCCTGTTTCGATTGGCGCAAGTCCATTTCCAGTCGATTCAATATTCGAACCTGTCAGTTGTGCCAATTCCAATATCCGCAGCATCACAATCAAACTAAGCTTAAGAGACTCGAGGGATGCCAGTAGATATGTGACGTGTTGTTTCCGAAAGCACCACTTCAGCCGCTCTTGCACGGGAAGATTTCTCAGTTCTTCGTCGGCATCAGTAACCTGTAATTTATCCAGCATTTGGTTGATATCGGTGAACACCAGTTGGCCCTGACTCGCGATCTCACGTGTTTTCTTGGTAAACTCAGATGAAGTGGTTAAATTCAACGCGTCCAACCTTTGTGGTACATGTTTGAGGGTCGACGCGAAGAGCGAAATGCCCTTGGCGATGCTGTGAATCTCGATCTTTGATTGTGCTAGTTGGCAGGCTGCAGCATTAAGAAGAAGAGATAGGCGAAACCCCGCACCAGCGACTTGGACGAGCGAAGCGTCGGCGTCTGTCATGAGGAACTTGTGGTTAGTAAAGAGGTCAGAAGTCAGAAGTCAGAAGTCATACATGAAGTCATTATACCAAGTGAGAAATGTCAAGTGTGTTTAGTTTCACCCACGCGAATAGGTAGATGTAACTTGTCAAGAGAACACAGTAACTAACTCAAGTGGGTTTCAGGTCAAGTCAAGTTGCCACAGCAGATCCCAAGTCGGTATGATATGCATGTTCGATGCATCGGCAAACCTGGAGCTACTAATTGACGCGGAAAGATTGAGCCGCAAGCCTTGTGTATGCATATCAAGTGACTCGACGCCCGTCAGCAAGGCAAAGCCCCTCTATGACGCCACGCCGATAGCCTACACGGGCTATGGTTGGTCTACTTTGCCCTGAAAAGGGTCAAAAGAGCCGATCTTGAGTTTATTCAGCACTAGTCATGGGGGTCCTTGTTTGTGTTCCCCGTCAAATCAAAGAAACCCGGGCGAAATGTACAAAAAGTATATTGGCTGCACTGCCTTGGTCATCGACTTGGAGGCCTTTGCGCTGAAGGATCGACAAGTAGGCGGCCGTTCCACAGCGTGTTCGTATTCTGATGTCCAGTAGCTTTGCAAATTTTTATCTGGCCAAACTGGATGCATATGGCCCGGGCCGAAGAATCATGTTCGTGAAGTCTTCTCGGAGATAGGATAGTAGTAGTCGCTGATAGATATCTCGTACTGTATTTGTATGGATCGAGTTAGAGAGGCACTAATCATGCCAACTCCTCCGGCAATAAGCCAAAAAGTTTAAAATTTTTGTGTCAATTCTAAAATGGGCTTTCTTTTGTGTGTATATCTTGGATTCATAGATGTCTCCATATCTCCCACCTGGGCATACTTCAACAGAGGCGGTGTTATCAATGATGAGTAGTACTAGAACACGGCGATTTACTTCCAACAGCGAGAGATCAATCCTGATTTTATTCTTGACAAAACTAACGGCCTAATATATGACAGTATATGATTTACTTTTCATGTTCTGTTTGCATTTTACCTGGCTCCTTAATATACAGTGTCTGTAGCATTCCAGTTGGCCACCACTTCCGCTTTCGGACCCATAATGTCCAATTCCTCATGTTAGCAATTATTCAATGTTGTTTTGTATTTTCTCTTTCACCTGATCACTATCTAAAATAAAAATAACATCTTATTTTGTTTTTGAGGGTTACTTTTGCTTCTTCGTTGGCTGTAGGGCTGTTCGTTGATCCGCCCTGAAGATTGAGTGCGTCAGTGGCATTCCCCGCCGCATGGTCTCCGCCCCTCGCGACCTCCTTTTTCCGCGTGGCCAAATACCGATCGTCATCTGCGGAGAGATTTCCCCAGTCCGATGACCAGCACTGGGTCCATGATTGGAGTCTATATGAACTGAAGAAAACGAACGACCTGAAAGCTACGGAGCTTCGAGATTCGGTCCGAATGGGTGACCGCTCGAGCTTGTATGAGGAACGTGCGAAGGAAGCACCACAGCATCACGAATCAGGATCTTAAACCGATTTATATACTCTCAACCTACCCTGAACTTATAAAATCTTTGGCCCATATGCAATCATGTCCGCTGCAGGTGGTACTGTTGACCAGCCTGTAGCTTCTGCAACCACTGCAACCACCCCGTCGAACACACCGCAACCACCAGCGACGAACCCCTCCGAACAGAACAAGGACGAAAATATAAACCCCCAGGCGGACAATATGAAAAGCACGAAAGAGGGAGACGCCCAAATTCCAAATGATATACAAGAAGTAGACGACTTCGGCCTGCCCATTCGAAAACGCTCGGCACTTGAACGGCCCCCCGACGGCTCCGAAAATAACGACGATCACCCCGAAGCCCAGGAGGAACATGCCTCAAAGGCTGATAACAGTCCGGAAGCTGATACGCAAACAAAACAAGATATAGATGGGGTGGACAATAAAGAGGCAGAGATCGGCCAAAAAGCTGAACCCACAACTGGAGCTACTGGCGTGGAAGAACAACCACCACCAACCTATGCAGCCGTAGCGACGAAGGCTGAAGCTCAACAGAATAAGACTTTATCTCCAGCAAATCCCGTCGAACCAGCCTCCAATGAACCTCCTACATCCCGAACCTCGACCTCGAAGCCAAAGCATGCCGAGATCTCGGAATGGTCGCACATGCGTTTGGCTCAACCCGTAGACGCTCACGACCAGAGCGACGAGGAAGAGGAAGAAGAGCCCGAAGACTGGAAATCTATGCCCGCCCTTGGAGAGCTTGATTACTATGACGATTACGGAAGACTGGTTGCTCGTGGCGCAAAAGAGGAGGATGATGAAGCTGTCTATCAAGGCCTAGGTGGCGCTGGGAAAGGCTACACTCGAGTCCAGCTAGACGAAGATGCTCAGTCCGCGACCAGTTTGGATGAGGATACGAGTTACCTTTTCCGGGATCCTGGAGGCAATTCAGCAGGCTTTGAAGGTGAAGAACTTCGAGATACAATGGACCAGTTACAAGCGACAAAAGATCTTCTCAATGAAACTCAAAAGATTGCTTATGTTGGCGTGGTCAGACTCGCAATACATGTTCTAAACTCTGAACTAGCCGCGTTACCAAAGACGAAGAGCTCTAAGAAGGCCCTGCAGAAGGCTTCCGAAAACATGAGAAAATGGGGACAAGCAATGATGGGTCGATTGTATGCCCATATGGATATCAATTCTGCTGAGCAAATCATGATTGAACAACTTGCGGGACATGGTGTCCAGCCTGGGGACTTAGTCCCACCACTTATGCAGAATGCACGAGTCAAGAACCCTATGGCAGAGAGTGACACGAGACAATCAACATCTTCAGTTTCATCTCCTGCACTCAAATCGGATCCTCGATTCAGAATGTCTTCTGATACTGCAGGCTCGTCAGAACCCGGATCTCCTCCCCCATACGAGGCCCACGAAGGCGAAGGTGTAGTCCCTGAAGTCCAGACACCGTCTCAAATGCCTACGTCTGATAAAATTGACATTGATCTTCGATGGACGGTACTGTGTGATCTGTTTCTTGTGCTCATTGCAGACTCAGCCTACGATGCTCGATCGCGAACATTACTAGAAAGAGTCGGAGCAGCCATGGATGTGACATGGTTACAGATCTCTCGATTCGAAAAACGAGTGACAGATGCACTCGAAATGCAAGAACAGGCAGAAAAGGAGAACTGGGATGAAACGGATCATATGGAAAAACGACGAGTAATGTCAAAGAAACGCAAGTATATGCTCATGGGCTTAGCCACGGTAGGCGGTGGCTTGGTCATTGGTTTATCTGCTGGATTACTGGCCCCAGTTATTGGAGCTGGTCTTGCTGCTGGATTGACAACTGTGGGAATTGGCGGTACAAGTACATTCTTGGGAGGTGTAGGCGGTACTGCCTTGATCGCCTCAGGTGCTACTGTCGGTGGAAGCGTGATAGGCATGAGGGCTTCACATCGGCGTACTGGAGCAGTTCAAACATTTGAATACCGGCCCCTCCACAACAATAAGAAGCTTAATCTTATTGTGACTGTCTCTGGCTGGATGACTGGAAAGGTCGATGACGTCCGGCTGCCATACAGTACTGTGGACCCTATAATGGGTGACATTTATTCCGTTCTCTGGGAACCTGAAATGCTGCGCAGCATGGGTGACACGATTAACATCCTTGCAACGGAGGTAAGATTCACCAACTTTGAGTGGTCCAACCAAATTCTTCTTTTCCCTTGCCCTTTCTTATGCTAACCACGTATTTCCGACTTTTTAGGCCTTGACCCAAGGTCTGCAACAAGTTCTTGGTAATACCATTTTAATGGCCCTCGTGGCATCATTGCAACTGCCCCTTGTTCTTACGAAACTTTCCTATCTCATCGATAACCCCTGGAACGTCTCATTGGCTCGTTCCCATTACGCAGGTTTAATCATGGCTGATTCTTTACAAGACCGAAATCTCGGGAACCGGCCTATTACCTTGCTTGGCTTCTCGCTGGGTGCAAAGCTGATCTTTTCCTGCTTGAAAGAACTTTCAGACAAGGGCGCTCATGGTCTGATTCAAAATGTCTATCTTTTTGGATCCCCGGTCGTGGCGAATAAAGATGACTATCTTAAAGCCCGCAGCGTGGTATCTGGTCGATTTGTGAATGGATATTCCACTAACGATTGGATCTTGGGTTATCTTTTCCGAGCTACCAGCGGTGGTATTATGCGTGTTTCTGGCATCGCTCCCATCGAGGGCATTCCTGGAATCGAGAACTTCGACTTAACCGATCTTGTCAATGGTCACATGGACTACCGAGCTGCCATGCCCCGTCTCCTCAGAGAGGTTGGCTGGGAAGTTCTGGATGATGAATTTGCCGAGATCGAGGATCCGGACCCTGACAATCATGCCGAGCGGCAGCGAGAGTTGATCCGTGAGATCGACGACGCAAGACGACAGGCTGAAGCGAAGCCAGAAAAGAAAAGATTTGGTCTCTTCAAACGAGGCAAGATGGCAGAGAAGAAGTCATGGGAGACATACGATGTTGATCGAAATTCCCCGTTGCGTGACCTTGGCGAGGCTGGTAGTGCTCCCGGCTCTGTACTTTTCGATATCGAAGCAATCCGAGCCGAATTAGCTTCAGAGGCCATCGAAGTGAAACAGCTAGAATCCACTTTGCCGCCAATGAAACTCGACTTGAACCCTCAGCCGCAACCAGTATCTTCTTCGGACCCTGTGCCTCCGCCCGACGAGAAAGAGTCTAAAAAGAGCAAGGCCGATACACTCGAACCTCCTCCGGTCACTCGAACTGCCTCAGAGCCTAGGTTGAACACAGACCGTCATTCTCCATATGAACCTTCGGAGTACAAAGAAGACGAACTTGAAATGACCTTTGACACCTCATACCATGAACCACCACCGCGATACTCTCCTGAGCCTATCAACCGCCCGGGGTTCAGATCTACAACCAGCCTACCTAACACCAGCAATTCTGGTAACGTTCCAGTTGGTGATATAGCGCTCGAGCACAATGCTTGGGCTGACGACCATGGAGATGGCGAAATTTCAATGACATTTGAGTAACGACAGGTATAATATTGGCTCTTCATTGTTTTTGTTTGTCTGGTCATGTTACAGGCCTCTTATAACCTAAAGCCACGATATAGAGTACAGCTCTGTTTTTCTTCTTCTTTTTTTCTTTTGTTGCTTTGTTTTTTTTTTATTTGCACAGGCGCAGGAGAATTTTGTATAGTTTCCGGCCGACGGCTGTCATGTATAGCAGAGCTTAACGGTCCAGAGTGGAGCCAAGTCCCCATAGAAGTCGCGCGCGTCGCGCGTTTCCCCTCACATCTCTTTGTTCCCCAATCCGTCAATTAATTGTCAATCGGACTGCACCGGTAAGACGTCACGAATTTTAATAAAAGTGCGTCTGATTGCATTTTAGTTTTCCAATTTCTTAATAAATCCTGCATTCTCGGTGATTGGGCTGTTTTATGCTGATCGGAGCATAAGCCCCAACCTCACCTCCAACCTCCGCCATATCTCCCTCCGCAACCACCTGGGCAGTTCGCGCCCTTCGACTCTTATAATGAACGCTCAACGAATACGAACGCCAAGAGATGCGTCGGTATCCTTACAAAAGAACGTTACTCTGAAAGGAGGGCACTTATTGTCAACATTTAACAAACCAGAGTCCTCACCATCAGGCACCGGATCTCCTCCAGCCGAGACGAAGCAGCGCAGGGAGCGTGAGCCCTCGATCGACGCAGAACCCCTTAGTACTGAGGATGAGCCAAGCGACGATGACGAACTACGAAGACCCATTGCGCCTGAGGGGCCAACATTGGAAGAAAAGCTCGCAGCGAATGCCAATTCGTCGCCAGCGTCGGGGCCAAGCGGTTACGGTTCAGGAAAGCAAAAGTCATTCAACAAGAAGGGGGGCTTAGCACGAACTTCAAGCACGAGAGAGAGTGGTGAGGAGGAAGAGGAAGGCCCTTTTTCCTGGTCTCAATCCCAAACCTCCAAGCGAGCAAAGCAAAAATCATTCATGCGCAATAAGCCTTCGTTCATAAGGACGCCTACATCTAGCGCTCGATCCGCTCCAACACCAGAGAAGCCTTCTCCAAAGACGAGTGCAAAGACTATGAAGAAATCTAAAAATAAAGAGAAAGCCAAGAGAGCAGACAAATCATCCGGGGACTCAGAATTAGAAGACATGCCTACCTTCAGGGAACCTATAAACATCGACGTGCCTAGTCCCGTGAAACCAAAGAAGAAGAAAAGGAGCGGCGATTCGCCCAAATTCAAAGTCCCGCCTATTTTCGACGAAAGATCCTTCTCTCCTTTGGATGGCTCCTCGCGAGACGCCCAACTCGCACCAATCGACATTTCCTCCGATTCATCCCTCAGTACATTACCCAGCTCTCCAGATCTACCTTACTCTGAAGAAGACCCACTACCACCCCGCCAGGCCTTATGTCCCATGTGCAAAGCAGAAGTGGACCCCGAGATGCTTAAACAGTTTCAGGCTCTACCTAAACAACGTCTCCGGGAACAGCAACGATTCTGCGCTTCCCATAAACAAGACTCTGCTACAAAAGAATGGCAAGCACAAGGGTATCCCGAGATCGATTGGACCAACTTTGAAGAGCGCTTACAACGGCATTACCCTGGTTTGGAAAAGTATCTCAATGCTGAAGCACCATCATATTATCGGAATATCTTGGAAAGTGCACAGAAATCTGGACAGGCTCTTCGCCTTTCTCTTACGGGGAATAATATCGAGGCGATTTCCTGTGGATACTATGGAACCAAAGGAGCTCAGAAGATGTAAGTTGAGGTAGCAAAGCTACGCCTATTGGATTATTTCGGACAAACTAACAGACTATGATAGGTTGGATGCAGTCATGCACCGATTCTCTGTCAAACTACGTCGACTTGCGAAAGACGATTCCCTCATTACCAAAGTTGGTGTTGTGGGATATGCACAGTCCGTGCTTGTTCCTGAACTTGCTCTCCGACTCATCATGGAAGATATGGATGTCCAGACCGATGTCGCGCGTGAAATTATGCGCGAGAGTATTGATATCGGCCAAAAACTTAACCCTCAACAAGACGATGTGGTGCCTGTTCTAGAAGAACCCGAAGACATTATCATGGTATAGGGATATCTTATACACATATATTACGCTACCATTGTTTGATATGGCATTTGCGATTGGGTCTACAAGATACATCTTTTTTCTTTCAGCGGTTGTGTATTTTCGTTATCGTGATACCTCTTTTAGTGCATACTCTTTTCCGGGAGATCTTTTCTACATGAAGCAAGCGTCGAGCCTGACACCTGTCATTAGTTCCATATATGATTTTGCCTAGGCGATGCGATGGTAAGACAGTGATGACATCCTGCATATTGTAGGTATAGGCATTAAAGTAAGCAGACCCGGGCATGTATAGACAACATTTGAACCTCGGAAGACATTTACATCACCTATACCCCCTCAGCATATGGGCATACGTTGCTGGCTTGATACCACAGTATATCTAATCTTTACTCACACCAAATGAATATAAGTTCAATCACTTCCTCATTTCCTTTCTCTCGTATACATATAGCTCATATCGGATAATTATCCAGGACTAGATAAGCCCATGCATCAATCATCTACACCATGTAGAGTAAAAACATATGCACATCGACCCACAAATCAAAAATACCATACATAATAAGAGCTCGTGATCTACCACAGACACCAACAAAAGCACACAATTGGACAAAAAAACGAGGTAGATACACCCAAGATCCGCTGACCAGCAAAACGGCGACAAGTCCGGTTGCGGGGCGTCTAGCCGTGGCTGAATTCCCACCAGAACCCCACTCTGAGTGGCCCACGTCCCCTGTCGTCGTACTGCTTAGTAGCAGTCCATTGCCGATCTGCGGATTATCGATCCGAATCTTCGGCTTGTCGTTTGTTTCTTCTTCCCCTTCTCTAGTCTAATTTTTTCGCGTGTTTACTGGGGGTAATTATAGAATTGGTTTGGTTCGGTTCGACGTTTTACGCCGAACGAGAAGAGGAAAAAAGAGAATGCAGAAGCCCAGGCTGCCTATTAAGCAGCTCGTGATTTTGGGTATGTGTTTTTTTTTCCGTTCGGTTTTAATAAAATGACTCGAAGCTTATAAGTTCTATCATCTAGCAATATGCCGATTCGCTGAGCCTAGTAGGTCTATTACCGGGTTGCAGAGATTTCTTCAAGAGAAATCGTGCTTGAGAAGCATTTACTAAGAGTCTTGTCTGAACAGTCGTTTTTACGTCTATTCTTCCGTATCTTGTAAGTCCCGCCTTGAGCGTGTATCGCTTCGTTAGGAGCATACAGCATAATTCGATTCTCGAGTCCATCTCAACCAACCCCACACTCTATACCGCTCTCAGCAACTCGAATTTTCCTTCTTTCCAAATTCTCCATATGTGAAGAATACTAACAATACCCCCAACAGCCTGAATTAATTCGACATGTCGGCGTCCCCGAGCAAGAAGTCGCCAAATGGGCAGGTCTCACTTCTGCGGTCGCATCGGTGAGTCAAGCCATAATGGCCGTGCCCTGGGGTTCATTATCCGACTATATAGGCCGCAAACCAGTGATCATCAGCGGCCTAATCTGCACAATGATTCTGTCCATTCTACTCGGTCTATCAAACTCCCTGGCCATGGTCCTCGCGACCCGTGCGCTTATCGGCTTCATGAACGGTAACGTGGGAATTATCCGCACCATGGTGGCGGAGATTGTACCAGAGCGCGAGCTTCAACCGAGAGCTTTCAGTATTATGCCACTGGTATGGACTATCGGAAGTATTTTCGGGCCGGCATTTGGTGGTGCGTTGGCGTGGCCTGCAGAGAAATATCCTGGTATTTTTGGGCATAGTGGATTTCTGAAGAAGTATCCTTTTGCACTGCCTAATATTGCCTCGGCTTGTTTCTTCGTTGTTGGAATCTCGAATGGAATTCTTTTCTTGGAGGTGAGTTGGTTTTTCTACATTAGTTGGGATTATGTTGTCTAATGAGGATATAGGAAACGCTGGAGACGAAAAAGAACCGTCGAGACTATGGGCTTGAGCTTGGTAAGGCGCTTACTCGTCCGTGTACCTCGGGGAGGAAACGAAGTACAAAGGCGAAGAATGATGATGAAGAGCGTACGACTTTGCTTCCTCGAGATCAGAAGAAGAAGATATCTAAGCCTGCTTCACGGCCTAGCTGGTCACAAATCTTTACACCACAGTCTTGTTTAATTCTCACCTCGTACACGCTGACCTCAGGACTTGGCATGGCATTTGATGCAGTTTTCCCTGCCTTCCTGAACTACCCTGTGCAAGATTTCAAAGACAACCCCGACGTACAACTACCATTTAAGTTTGCGGGTGGATTTGGTGTTGGTAAGTGATTCAATCAAATTCAAACAGACCCTTGCTATAAAAAAAACACTTAAAAACTGAACATGAACTAATAAATACATAACAGATTCCCAAACTATCGGCATCTACTACACTATCATCGGAATAGTAGGCATGGTCATCCAATTCCTCGCCTTCCCACCCATCGCAAAGCGTCTCGGCATCCTCCGCTGCTTCAAAACCGCCGCAATCGGCATGCCAATCGTATTCTTCCTTACGCCATTCACAGCTCTCGTACCTGATCCCTTCCGCATCCCCGCTGTCCTATTAATCATGCTTGCGAAGCTATGCACAGTCGTCTTCGGAATCCCCTGCTGCACAATTTTGCTCACAAACTCTGCTACCTCTATGTCTGTTCTTGGTACTTTGAATGGTGTCGGGACTAGTGTGAGTGCTCTTGGTCGCGCGGCAGGACCAGCAGTTATTGGAGCTGCGTTTTCCTATGGTGTGAAGCGGGGATATGTTATAATTCCTTGGTGGCTGCTAAGTGCTTTAGCTCTATGGAGTGTTGTTCCTGCTTTTTGGATTGTGGAGCAGGATGGTCCGCATCGGGATGATCAGGATGTGGAGGAGGAAGAGCAGGAGCAGCAGCAAGATCAGGATGAGGAGGAACAGATTCATGGTGAATCAACAGGGAATGGTTATGGTACTCTTGTTTTATCGAGGGAGGAGAGTGGCCGGAAGTCTTCGGGTCGCTCTGATCTTGAGTGATCTCAGACTTCAAGATAGCAGCTTTCTGATCAACTTCCTCGGGTACGGGCTTCTGGAGGACAGGCTCCTGAACAACTGGTTTCTGGATAATTGGCCTCCGAATAGCAGGCTTCTGGATAGCGAGTTTCTGAGCAGGTTTCTGGACAACTCGTTTCTGGGCAGGCTTCTGGATAACGTGGTTCTAAACAGTTTATTAACTAATGATCCGTATAGATTGAAAAGGTATATAACGCACTGTTCTATCTGGACCCATGGGGATCGGGATCGAAGGAAGACTCGGACTTGGAGATGACATACGACTAGCAGGCTGAGTACCGCGACGTTGATTAAATGCATCTTGTAGCATGGTATAGAACGCTAAGAATGGAATGTTAAAATAGGATTTCGAAAGCAAAAATATCAACATTTCAAAAGCTTACCAACTGCCCTAGCCTCTGTTTGATGGTCTGGACGACCTGGAGAAGCAAGAAGTGTAATTTCGGGATGTATTCTTTGATAATGATGGCGTAGATTATTTGTATTACTGAATCTTGTCTGATAATAATTCATACATATTAACAACTTCATGCATAACTTAGAAACACGGTAGAACCTACAGAATTAATGCAACCAAATACACGGCAAAAAAGCTCTGATTCATAAATCTCAGCAACGCCCTTCTTCAAGCTCACGAATTAGCACTTTATAACAAGTAGTTCATAACTAAATTTCGGAAGACAAGATAGCCAACTTACCTCTACTGGAAGACATGGAAGCTCCAAAGCATATTTAGTCTTTCCCTTATACCAAGTATAACTTGGATGGCGAGTAACATTGGTAGGCATGTTGGAAGACAACTGGTTTTGGTGAATTCTAGCAGCAAAAGAGCTATGTAGGGAGAGAAATTTACAAGACAGAAATCCTCGAGTCAAGGCTCACTTATATGAAGAGTATAAAGAAAATAGACTCTTTATTCGAATAAGGATACTTTTGCCTCATCCTTTAATATCTATCTTTCTTTGATAGCTTCGGTACAATATTTGTGCATCCTTTGATATCCTGAAGATTATTTTTAGACTAACCTGTTTCAAGTCTGAACAAAAAATTGAAAATTTAAATAAGACCACATTAGTAGAAACACAGTAATTCATAACCAAATCGTACGATACTGTCTAACATGTACATCGTATACAAAACCTCGGCCCATAATTTTAATTTTAATCTCACGTCATTGGCATTACTAATCCCTCCACCAGAGCTCCATCCAAATCCAACGATCACCCCATACATACCACCTCAACCAAACACTTCTTCAATTCTCCTCCAAAAACAAAATGGTATGCGCAAGCCTCCTCAATCCCCAGAAAATCGCTAACGGACCCAGTCTACCCAACAACCCCCCCTCAACTCCGCTCTAGCTCTCTCCCTCCTCACTTCACTTGGAGGCGCAATCGGCTACGCCCGCACCGGCTCTATCCCCTCAATCGCAGCAGGACTCTCTGTCGGCGCGCTCTACGCCTTTTCATACTACCGTCTTAGCAATGGACAATCCCGGGGCGAGGAAATCGGTCTCCTTGCCTCGACTGTGCTAGGTGGAAGCTCGATTCCTCGTGCTATTAAGACGGGTGGGAAGGCGGTTCCTGTTGGATTGTCTGTTTTGGCTACTTATGGAATTATTACTTTTGCGCTTGCGTGGAAGGATAGAAGGGCTTAGGCTTCTGGGATATTTCTATTTGTGTTGTTAGTAGCTTATGGGTCTATTATGGAGTTATAGGGCCAGACTTAATTGCCTGAGGTTGAGGCTGGTTGCTCTGCTCGACTCTTTGACCCTTTGTCTGTACTATAGCGAGATACTCCACTCTGTTCCAAGGTTATTACAATGGATGAAATTAGTTATCTGTTTCAGTTCATGATTGTACAGTACAGCTTGATTTGATACGTATTGAGAGGGAAGGTTGCTTTGAATATAAATTTGAACTTGTTTTAGTTGGACCATGGAAATCACGATTGCTTGATTCCCTACCTGTAACCGCGAGATAAAGAACTTACATTCGAGTAGAATGACATCGTGAGATCTTGGGAAGATCCTCGAACCCTAGAACTCATAAGAGCCACAGGAACAAAGGAAGAGGGACAGAATGATGAAAATGAGAATCAGGGCAGATAACGTACAGTCAAATCCTTCATAGCCATGAAACCCGCTCAGCACCGGCGAACCTCCAAGAACAAAAGGGAGAAGGGCCCATCGCGCTCAGCGATAGGACTCACCGAGGATCATCAAGCACATCGCCAGCGAGACAAGACAAGAAAACCAGTTTCTTTTCTTTCTTGCATTGATTGGCTCTTGGGATGGCTCTTGGGAGGAGTAGGGAAATTGTTCGCCAGAACTACTGATAGATCAGGGCAGGTAATAGCAGAAGAAGAAGAAGAAGAAGAAGAAGAACATAAAGAACATAAAGAACCAGCCATAGAAAGAAATGCTCATAGAAATTAGAGTATGTGTCGAACTTAGCTGGAGTCCGTTGTCCATCTTGTCCTTATCCATTCTAGACATCCATCCATAATCTCCCATCGAGGGAATTAGAGGAAAAGAAAGATAGAAAACGCAATCAAGGAGGTAATGACTGATATCGGATCAATCAATGCGCAGGGTCGACCACCGTGTCCTGGTCTCGAATCGTTCCCGTCACCGCTGAACCTTGTAGTTCACCCAGTGTCGTTTCCGCCGGAAATCGATCGCGCGAGAATGCGTATCGAGGGAGTCGAGCCATTTTTTCTTCGGGGCTAGTCGTCTCGTCCGAGTAAATCATACGGGTTGGTTTGGATCTCTCCTTCTTACTAGGTTTCTCCGTTCCGTCAGTCGGCTTTTCTGCCTCCTTTACCGCGCCCGATTGAGTATCAGTAGCAGGTGGGGGAACTTGTGCTGTTTCTCCATTGGAATAGCCAGGTACGGCTGTTGGGTGTGGGGGTAGATGACCCATGTGCATCTGTTGCATTTGCTGTGCATTGACTGAAGGTGCGCCGAAAGATGGGCGTTGTGGTAGACCGGATGGGGCTGGTAAGCTGCCGGAGCGGGGGGTGATGGATTCGGTGGGTGTGTGCTGTTGTTGTGGGGTGTATGGAGAAGGAGCCCCGTAGCCAGGTTGGCCAGGAAATGGTTGAGGTGGAAATCCAGTAGGAGGATAAGCTGGAACTGGAACACCGGGGACTGGCTGTGCGGCTGCTGGCGAGAATGGTGGATAACCTAGATTGACGGGCTGCTGATAAGGTAGTTGTGGTGCCGCCGCTGGGACGCCTCCATATGGTTGAGGATAAGAGTACTGCTGTGCAGGCGTGGGAACAGGTATAGTCGGTATAGTTGCAGGAGTAGAAGCGGTGGAAGATTGTTCCTGGTACTTATTAGTTCTGGAGATCGGAAGAAAATGGCTAAACCAAGAAGGCTTTGTACTCACATATGGGCCCGGCGTAGGCGTAGGCGTTGATACAGGCGGTGTCTGTCCTGGAGTCTGTCCTGCGCCCACAGGCGTTGCTTCTCCACTGCTACCACCAGCAGCTCCCTCGGCGCGCTTTGCCCGGTGTTCAGCCAATCGCTTCTTCAGGTCCGATGAAGCTTCAAGCTTCGGTTTCTTGGCTGCTGGTTGTCCGCCTGTACTGGCTCCCGAAGGGGGATTACCTGTAGCAGCTTGCCTCTCGGTCTCAGCCTGCTGGAACTGAGTGGCCACACGCTGGTGGTGCGCTTGGAGGACATCCTCTGGAATTCCCTCCATGCCGAAGATTTCGACATCAAGACCTACCCGGTTGGGCAATGCATTTTCAATTTCCGTGAGTTGTTCCTTGTGGACTTGGCTCATGTGCACCGACAATCCTAAGCGCGCAGAGATGTTAGTCACATTCGATAATGTTACTGAATGAATAGGAATTCGGGGAAAGACTTACCTCCGGCAGTATTCAATCTACGTCCACATCTCTCACATTTAAAGTGCTTGGCTTTTTGATGTAGGGTCAGAATCTTCAAGTCATCGAAATCGCGCTCACAGTAGTAGCACCATGGTCGAGACAAAAGCTCGTCCAAGGAGGGACCGCGTCTCTTCTTCACCATTGTGATGCGTGCGGGCGAAAGTAAATAGAATAGCGAGTTGGGGTCGAAGTATCGAGATGGTGAAATAAAGAGGAGGGTAGAAGATACAATAGTATACGTGAAGATCGTCGCAAAGCGACCGTCCGAAGCTTTGGACTTGGAAGTGATGCAAACCGGAATCGGTCACATGACAAGGTGGCACGTGCTACATAGTTGATTCCTCAGGCTGCCAAGATAATTATCAATATTCATGAATGTTTGTTGCTTTGATGCCCTATCATACACGGAAAATAATTAAATAGAATACACGCTCAGCCAAGGCTCCTGAGATCAGAACCATATCCCAGATAGCCAGCTTTCCCATTAGAATGTACAGGTCCTTTTTAGTGCTTGAAGTATCCCAAGACCAGATGAGAAAATGAAAACAAAGAATGAAGACTCCCATAGAATCTTTTCCAGAACGCCGACCCGCAAATTTCCCGGCAAGAGTAAATGATTTCAAAGGCAAAAAAATGAAAAAGAGTCTGAAGAAGACCTTGGCGGTCTTCTGAAACCAGAAGTGAAAACACGTAAATCCTTCCACCTTCCAGTAAGACAAAATGATGTGTTCAATCCATTCAAAAACATGGAATGACAGGCAATTGGACGGCTTGAATAATGTATCTCAAGAATAATACATTGCAGAAGGCTGTGATTTCTGCAAGAGTGTTGAACTTTGTTGTCCACTTATTTCGAATGTAGACGCATGTGTCTCTTCACAGGCACTAGGCAATCGGATCCCATGTCCATAATCATCTGGAAAATAACCCAATAGGTTATTTCTTAACTTTGCCATGCCGTGTCTATATCAAGTGGGGAGTTCGACTCAGTTTCCCGGACGTTTCTTTCGCAACAGCGATCATCTGCGGTGATGATCGTGCGGACCCGGTACTGGACCCGGCAAGCCATAAGGGTTGTACAGGAATGGCCCATAATGCGACATCGGCGGCGGGCCCTGGTGAGCCTGCGGATGGGCTTGTGGATGAGCCTGAGGGTGAGCTTGAGGGTGAGCTTGAGGGTGAGCTTGAGGGTGAGTCGGTGGATGGGTTTGAGGATGAGCTTGGGGATGAGCTTGGGGATGAGCTTGCGGATGGGCCTGCGGATGAGCCTGTGGATGGGGCTGTGGATGGGCCTGTGGATGGGCCTGTGGATGGGCCTGTGGGTGCGCTTGCGGGTGCGGCTGTGGGTGCGGTGCAAACGGATTGGGAGGCGCGTACTGAATCCTTCCAAGAGATGGCAAGGTTGGTCCAGGTCCCAAATGACCGGGCATGGGAGCTACAGTCGGGGCCTTCGGAGCCAAATTTCCAGTGGGGATTGGTGCCAATGACGGAGACTTTCGGCGCCGGCCTACAGGACGCGGCTCTTCAATAGGTTTACCATCGTCATCTGTTCGATCCTGTTCGATTTGTGCTTTTGACCGCTTGGGATTGCGGATACGGCCCTCGCGGTTGAACCTTTCCCAGTGGTCTAACATAGCCTTGGTGCGCTTGGGGTTCTTGGAGTTGGCGATCTTAAGTCGACGAGCCTCTTCGATTTCTTCCATTGTCGCATCTCGCTTCAAAGTTGGCGTGGATTTAGGGGGTGGTGTAGGTTCTGGCATGGGCGAGATTTCGGGCTGGGGTAGAACTGCTTCTTCGACAATGTGTGCTGTTTGTGGCGTGGCAACAATGTTGCTCGCACCTCGGCGACCGCGGCCGCGAGTCGAGACCGGTGTGAATGTTGGAGGCTGGGGAGTCGTCTCAAGAGAGGCGCGCGAGGATGCTGTTCGCGCGAGTCCTCCTCGGCCACGGCCACGACCTCGGGCTCGGGAACCCCCACGGCCACGGGGGGTGGGGATTGGAGCAGTCTCGACAGGTTGACAAGGTTCAAAAGTAGCACGGCGACCACCACGGCCGCGGGTGCGTCGTCTCAATGGATGAGGATCCTCTTCTGTCGCCTCACTGTTATTATCAGACTCATTCTGTGTTTCTTCGGCGTCGGTTTTGGTAGGCTCGGTCTCCACAGCTTTGCGCTTGCGAGTGAACTTTAACACTGGTTCTCGTCGGGGCTCCCACAATTTCGGAACAAGGTCTACACCATCACGCGGGATGACTGTCCAGCCATCAGGATTACGATCTTCAGGAGCAACCTTCGCAGCCATCTTTCGAGACTGGGCTGGAGTGGGAACAAAGCCGCCTTGAACGAAAGGGTTCTGAGGAACCCAGCTGACGGCAGTGCTGATGTTTTGGGCGAAAACATTATGCTTGTAGCCATACAGAATTGATTCCTTCTTATCTTCAAAATCGCGTTCATGCTCCGGAACTCGAGCAAGTGGCTGTCCTGTTCGCTTCTTGTTGCCTGCAATTTGCTCACGCTTGGCTTCGTTGGTGAGCGGAGCTCGGTGGTGTCGATGTGTTCGAGTGTAAAGTTTGTCGAGAGCAATGTATTCGTCTTGCCAGGTTTTCATCGCAGCTGCAGCAGCTTCGGTCATTGCATAAAGCTCGTCAGGTGAAAGGTTATCGGGCTTTCGAAGAATTTCAATTAAGTCATCGAATGAAGCAAGCTCGAGAAATTGTCCTTTGGTAGTCTCGGATGTATTGTATGGGCTTGGTCGCACGGTTGGCAACGCCACATCCTTCTTCTTGGGTTTGTCGCCGAATACATGTTGCCATGTTGCCTCAGCCTTGGCCATCTCTTGGTCGTAGTCAGGTGAAAAGTTTGCGGCCTTGTGGACAGTCCAAACTTTTGGCAGGCGGTCTTTTATGTCAGACTCTTGCCATTCAGCCAGGCGTCGACGATAGTCTTCGGAGAATGCAGTTCTGGGATTAGAGAGCCACTCAAGTCGGTCCAGCTTCCCTTCAGCTTTGGGCGCAACCTGGAAATTCACACTGCTAGATGGTTTGGAGGTATCGATATCTGCCTCGCTATGGTCACCATTGACCTGTGATGTAGCGGCAGTTTCCGGTTCTTGGTATTGTTGATCTCCGCTAGCTTCATCTTCTTCGCCTTCTTCGGCTTCAACCAGCTCAGCCAGGTCTCCTTCTTCGCCCTCTAAGCCCTCTTCGCCTTCTAGGCCTTCTTCAGCCTCTTCGACCTCTTCAACGCCTTCCATATCATCAACCTCTTCGGCTTGGTAGGCCTCTTCAGTTTCGTCAAAATTGGCCGTGTCATTCATACCTTCGTCGTCAATTTCAAGCTCCTCAGCATCAACCTCAACATCATCTTCCGCCCCATCATAATTAAATGAAAGGTTTTCAGGATGTGCATCAGCGATGTGATTCATGAGTAAATCATCGGCAGACATAAATCGATCAGTGGGCAATTCAAGGAGTTTCCCACACCAATCACATTTCATTTTCCTAGCCACGGGCTCTGGAGACTGTGAAATTTGGGTAGATGTGGATTGTGGACGGAATGGCTCAGAAAACTGACGGCGCATGGGCGAGTCCTGATCCTGGCTGTCACCCACGTCGGAGGACGGGTTGTCCATGTCCAAATCGCCCCGCGGAATGGGGGCCATTTTTGGCAGAAGTGAAGGAAGTTAAAAAAAGAAAGGTAGACAAATTTAGAAAGTCAAAATCTAATCAAAGGCGCACAGGGGTTTATCAAAAAAGATCGAAACCCTATGATGATCGAAGAATGGATGCAAAGTCTCTGTATAGTTTGGTTAGCCGGATTCGCTTGTAATGCCAAGCCCGCCAGTTAAGGTAAATCGAGGTGCGGGAACTCCAGATCAGGAGGTACATATGGTGAGATCAGTACATCCACCAGGTTTCAGTCACGCCTAGAAAAGAGTATCGTCGAGGAAGAAATGACATAAAACAAAGACGATTAAATCATCCATATTTTAAACATGTTTTCATCCAAGAAGAGAGTAGAAGTAGGTGTAGACACGGTCGCGGCAAATTGTGTGGATCTGACCCGAAAGTGTACATGTGCCAGATACATAAGAGGAAGAAGAAAAAAAGGAAAATCAAAGAAACGGAGAGGAAATAGTAATCGCACACGCGACAAATACGTACCATAAGATAGACAGCGGAATGGAATGGATCGCAAAGGTCTCTATGATTCCGAGGCACATCAATTTGGCCGGACGCGAGGCGCTGTACCAGACGGCGCTTGGTCGCGAGAGCGGCTGCCAGGGATGTGTACTTTGGGAGAACCAAGGCTGGGCGATAAACTGAATTCCCCTTCAGCTTCACGGCCACAACCTCCGAGAAAAAGAAAAAGATAAGAATGGGGAAAATCAAACACGGCGCAAATCAGGAATCAGATCTTAGAGATAGACAATGCCGTGATAGAGCGGTGGTTGCAGGATGCAAGACAGCGCAGTAGTAAAGACTGAGATGAAAAAAAGAGAAAAAAACGATGAGGAATCTTGCACCGGGAAAGGGGGGGGGAAACAGCAGAACAGGCACAGAGAAATTAAGTTGACAAGTCCCAACAGACGATGCCTCGGGGGATTAGTTAGAAGGAGATGGATGGCAGTTAATGATGAAGGGCAACAGTGAAGAAAAGAAAAGAGATTGAAGCGTGGTTTAGTTTGTAGTGACCATTACAACTTGCGGGTCCCACTGTTATTGCCTGATTCAGCCAATCACAACCCGGTTATCTACTAGGCCAACTTCACTGTAAGCCGCGACGTCAGAATAATTGAATCGCCCCCGTTTAGTGAAAATACAATAGACTATGACTATACTAGATCGCGACCGATGTATATTTCAGGTTATTCTCTATAGATCTACCTATTCTCTACGTCTGCATTCCCCCCATAACTACCTCCTTTCATCCGCCCGTTTCTCGGCCTCGGGTGGGCCTGACGAAATCAGATTTTAGATTTTCGGCGGGCGATTTCAGGCATGAATCCCTGTTAGCAAAAAGGGGAATGACAATCCCAGTTTTATCCATCTCTCAATTCAATGGCTTTCTAAAGAGTATACATTGAACATATAAAAAGTCCCGGAATAACACTCGTTGGTTTTGAACATAGTAGGGAGTCCTTTGCTTCTCATCGGGAAAATCAGCCCCTGCCGCTGCAAGGGTTTTCCACCATCATTAACGAACTATGAGGACCACATGAGCCAACTCATGTACAAGTAAAAGAATTAGAAAGACAATAAAACAAATTCATCTTCGAATCATCGAGTCTGGATATTCCATTCACAAAACAATAACATACAAGAGATTCCCACCCCAATCAGTCTCAGTCCCGGGCTTCTAGATTCCTTTGTTAGCCCCTTAAACTGTACTTCCGGATCTTCGACTGTCTTAAAGCACAGACCGCCAATATAAGGTGTCCTGTTTTGGTTGTGCACCGTGACCACCCAAGATAACAAGGGCAGTCTACGTAGCTGATGAGAAAAGATCGAGTCAAAAATTAATCAACTGACCTATGGAGTCCTTCTCCAGAATTGGGGAATATTGTGGAGCAACTGGTAGAAATATACAAGAAGTCTGAGCCGCTTGAGCCGAACTCAGTCCTCGAATTCTGACATCGCGAACCCATGACTGCGAGGGTCTTTTGTCCAACATTCGATATTTTATTTCTCCGCGGTTGTGCCACGAGAAAATTCGAGTTGACTTTATCAATTATTCTTATGAAATAAATTTCCCGAAAGGAGAAAAGAAGGAAATACACTGAATGTTTTGCACGCGACAAAGTACTTACTAAGATGTATAGAAATAACCAACTTCCCACTGAAGTCATGGAACTGTTTTTATCTTGCCATTACACAGTAGGTCTTGAACTAAAAGCAATTATGCATCTATATATGTACTAGTAGTACTAGCACCTTGGAGCGCGATACAAAATAATTTGAAATGGAGCCTTGGATTTTAAACTATACATGTATATCCCCAATTACTTTGAAGTTCTTCAAGGCTATCTATACTCTATATCCCCAAACAACAACTTGAACAACTTGAACTCTTCCACCAAGACAGCGCTAATGCAAATGATTCTTCTCCCCAACATCCAACGCAACCAAAAACCGACTAACACAATTATAAGCCGCAACAGTCGCCGTAATCTCCACGACCTCCCGCTCAGAAAAGCACTCCTTCAACCCCCCAAACACCTCATCAGGCACTTTCACAGTCGTCGTCATAGAATCCGTATACCTCAGCACAGCTCTCTGATCCAAACTCAACAAACCCCGCCAGTCACCATTTCCATCATCAAAGCTGGCCTCCTTATCACCAATAAACTTCATCGCTTCCTCAGGTAATCCACCCTCCCGCAATAGCGGGGCATGTTGTTCCCATTCGAACAGCGCACCATTCACAACTGCCACGCGACAGATTGCCAGTTCCCGAATAACTGTTGAGAGAGTTGTTTTGGTACGAATTGCGCCGATGAATGAGTTCCAGCCTTCTGTTACGGGGTAGGAGTGTAGGAGGGCGAGGTCTAGTGGGAGGAGGGGGTTAGGGGCACGGCGAGCTTGGACGGCGGATAGGATTCTTGCTTCGTCTGAGGTTGTGGTTGGTGGGGGGTCTGGGACGTATGGGAGACGCATTGTGTGGGTGATTTCTGTGGATGATTTTTGTGGGTAGGATTTGGGTCTATCATGGGTGGGTTAGTGAGTAGATCAGTTAGATCAGATCAGATCAGATCGAGGGGCCTGGACAAGTTGGTACACCATGTCCCAGTCCCAGGTGGAGGGGGAGACACCCACTTTTATTGAAGGGATTGGTGTATCGGGAACTCAATTCTTTGAAGTTGGAGTTGGAGTTGGAGTTGGAATAGGCAAGACAGCACATGAGTGTCTAGTTTGTTTTATCGCCGACCCCGCGTTAGTCCCGCGGGCCGCAGCATTGGCCGAAGCATCGAAGCCGGTACCCGCAACGGATGTGTTCCGATATGTCCTCTAGATGCGACTGCATGATACCGACCGCATAAACAGTTCCTGGCCGGATAATTTTGACAAACATTGGGAACTTGACTCGTAAACGGTTGGATTCATAATTAACATGGTACAATATTTAACCAATGATGATGTAATACAGTAGATCATGATCAACATGATCTGTGACCGGATCTAACTGATTAAACAGCTAGTAGGTATTTTAGTTAATCTAGATTCGTCGAAATTGGAGCAAGTTGATAGTTTTTGTCTAGGAAGGGGCCGATCTCTGGCCACCGGGCTCCATAGTATGCATTCAACCCCTATGCAGCGCCAATAACATGAGACTAATCACCTGGGCAGCACCTCCAGATGTCAGAAGCCCAAAGACACCGCTCCCATTAATAGCCACACCTGCCGCGTCAACCAGCTCTACTTTATCCTAGAGTAACGCAATGTTCCAAAAAGCACGACCTTTCCTTCAACCGGTCTTCCACGTCATTCCAGGTCCTCTCCGACCTCCACCTCGAGATAAACAACAGTACCCTTCCTACGAAATTCCTAAATGTGCAGATCATCTCATCCTCGCAGACGACATCTGTCGCCTAACAACGAAGACTATTCGAAGACTATCGCAATCTTCTCCAAAATCAAACAAACCAATTCAAACTAATTTTCCTCATACCCGGAAACCACGAGTTCTACAACGATACTTTCGCATCCGAACTAGAAAAAGCTAAACAACTTGAACGAGAACCCTGCTTCAATGGAAAATTGATCATTCTTCACCAGAAACGATTCGATATCCCAGACTCCTCGGTGACCATTCTAGGCTGTACACTTTGGTCAAAAGTGACTCTTGAATTGACAGATATTGTCCGAAGCAGAGTGAAAGATTTTCAAAAAATTGAAGACTGATCTGTTGATGACCATAATACAAGACATGATTCAGATCTTTCTTGGTTGTTGAATGAGATACAGGTGATAAATCAGGAGAATGAGAATGGGAAGGCTGAAAAGCGAAGTGAAAGCATATTCTTGTTGTGACACATCATGCTCCTTTGTTGCAGGGGACGTCGAGCCCGCAGCATGCTCTGAATCCTTGGGGTGTTGCTTTTGGGACTGATGTCTCATCGCAGGTAATGGGCGAGGTGAAAGTCTGGGTATTCGGGCATACTCATTATACTACTGATTTTAAGGAGAATGGTATAAGGGTTGTGAGTAATCAGCGGGGATATGTACTGCCTTGGAGTAATTCGAAGACAGAGAATGGGTTTGACGTGAAGAAGGTTATACGTATACCATGAAAAGTTATCTGTATTTTTTAGTCTCTAGTCTAGATGTAGTCGTCAAGTCGGCAAGTCGTCGGGGGAAGCTTATTGGGTCCCACCCAGATGCCCCACTTCAGATCTATAAAACTACAGTTATAATGATGGGTATCAACGATATTTCTTTCGGAAAAGAACTTGTTGAATTAATTGGGATTTCTCTAATGTACGATATCCATCATAAAAACCACTTTAGAGACTAAATTTGGAGTAGAGTGAATGCTAATATCTTTAAATTTATGCAAATGCTTTTTTATCCCGAGGAATGCTAATGCGCTAAATGACAATCATCCAATCACCGTTTATCACTTGGAGACCAATCATGCTAACAAAAAACCGCCATGACGAAAAAGAAACAATAGAAGCAGCTAAGCAGCTCATATCAGAAGATTATGTAGATCAGTTACTGGACTATCCATCCCATCTTCTTAATCCGATGCAAGCTTTTCCGCGGAGTTTAGCTCTTGCTCTCTTCCTCCGATGAAGGAAAGAAAGATCTTATAAACTCGCCGCTGAGAGGGTCGTAGGGGAAATATGAATCATCGGTCATATCAGTATGACCATTTGTCGTTGACATGAGATCAGGCGTCGAGAGATTAAAATAGCTCGGCAAGAAATCCGATGCCTCAGGAACTTGAACAGAATCAAATAGATGAAGATCCTCCGTTGGTTGAGTAAAGTAGTCTCCAGAAGGCACGTTCTGACTCGACTCAGCGTTATACTGAGGCATAGCATCAGTAGTTGTACGTTCCTGCTGATTCGGTTGACCAGGAAGATCATCAGTATTATATTTCATGCCAGTAGCAAGATTGCGAAAACTAGAGTCGCAAATTTGCCACGCGCGACGACAACCAATACTACGTTCTGACATGGCGAAGAACCAACGAATGGATTTCTTTGAGAGTGAGACGAATTTCTTTTCCTCTTCTGGACTATGAACGCAGCCAAATGAGAGCTCAAGAAGAATGACGGTTGCCGCTTGCATTAGGTACCGAAGTACGCTCCACCATGGACAAACTTGGTAAAGCTGGACAACATCCGGTTTGTCGGGAATCAAGTCGAGCATGCCGTTAGCTGACCCTAACGCAACAAGAGCCATTGTGTGGCTGAATGTCTGTGGCGCATTGCTTTGTCCTGCATCTCGTCGACAGAGACACGGTCTTCCCAATGTAATCCGAGCACTGTAGTAATGGAATGCGAGAAAAAGTTTACATCGAAGCTGATCTCGGCTATCGTCATTCTTTTCTTGCATAAAATCGAGAGAGATAGGTAGACTTGATTTCCATAAATCGATACGGAATCTCAAGTCCTCGAGTCGGTTCTCAATATCTGACCATGGAAGTAAAACAGCAGTGGTGGTGTATACTTTGTTGAGAATTTCCTGGGTGACAACCGTCAAGTCGCTATGGTAGAGATAGCAGAGTCCGAAATTGATGGGAAGATTCTTAAGCCACGTTTGGTCGCGAAGTCGAGTCCTGTGGAAATCGCCTTTGCCATCGGTCGGTCGGATCCACGAACTCGCCATCACATTTCCTATCAATGCATCTCGTAATGTCGGGTTGTTGAGAACTTCTGCAGCTGCTGGATTCTCTTGTAGTTGCTCTTCTTCGAATGGGAGTGGTAAGGGTGTGGCGTATCCTCCGTCTAAGCTGTAAATCGATCGGCCAGTCATGATGCCAAGCATATGTTCGAAACTATATAGGCACCACCATACTCTGTACCGAGACTCTTTGGTGACACTGGATGTTTTGGTGCTGGTAATTTTCATGTTGATGCCAAGGGTGATTGCCGACCGTACTGCCAGCGCAGAAATTCTCCATGCCCTGTAAAAAACAAAATTAGTCTCGAACTGATGTTTCTCACTTTTCCCAGTCGTCTGTAAGCGTATTAGAGAATTCGACTTACCTGTTAATTTGGTCAGATGCAAGAAGATAAAACGCAATCAAACCCTCGACCTGGACTTGTTGAAGATCAGGATGACTGAACAGTACATCGCTATTCATGCTGAGAAGTCGAGCTCTAGTCAAAAATACCAAGTGATCATTATCTTCTCCACACCATGGAGCATTCGTAAGATGTGCGTGTTTTGCCGCAATGGCAAATATAATGTTCAAGATGGCAAGCCATTTGTCGCCAGGTCGGGTGAAGTTAGGCGTCGAGGAAGCGTCGATAAAAGCTTGATATTGCACACGGTAAATGGGTCTGCTGAGAATAGGGAAGAAAGGATGTGTATTGGTGAAATATTCGTCAAAGAGTCGATCGGCTAGTTGTCGAGGTGGCAGTGCGTATAGCTGAACAGGTTCCGAAACTGAGATATCAAGGTCGTCAAGGTGATAATTCAATGCATGAAGAGAAAATGCTTCTTTTTGCTCTTCGTCAGCTTGATGGCTTTCCATTATTCCCGGATGTCCTTGGGCTCGTTGTTCTGCTTCTTGTTGAACTCGTTGCATCCACGTTATTTCAGAACTCTTGCCCACCACCCCGGTTGTTCGAGTAGGCTCCGACCGATTAGGGTCCTCGTCTACTCGATCGATGGCTTCTAAAGATCCGATTGATGATAATGGCGATGGCTCATCGGCTTCCATCTCATTTTGGGGGGTTGCCGCCAAAAATTGGTTGTGCTCTTTGTGATCCCCTTTTAACCCATACTTCAAGGACAATATTAGTACAGCCCCAGAGTATAGTAGAAGAAACACACTTTGTCCATCAGGCTCTTAACCCATTCTGCTGTTCGAGATTCCGCACTCAATCGTAGATCCTCCAGGAAGTTTTCATAATCCTGCACTTCTGCTTCAAGTCTGTCGACTTCTCTGTAATTGTAGGTTAGCATATTGTTAATTCATTGTACATAGATATATAGTTCCCATATTGAGATTTGAGAGGGATTGTAGTTCACAAACTTTTTCATCTTGTCCCTCCATCCCACGGGATACTGGCATTGAACGCGTAATTCACGACATTGTCGACATACAGGGGTATCTCCACTGCATTTCGTTTTTCGTTGTCTACACGACTCACAAGCCCGAGGAACTCTTCGGTTATAACGAGGAGTATAACCAGTACTCTGACGAGGAATTGCAACTTTGGAACTCGAATTGACTCTAATATTTCCTAGTGTTGGGGTTGGTCTGACGCCCCTTGTTGATTTCGTTGATGAAGAGTCCATAATAGTATGCCGTTTTGGCGTTGCAGGGGCACTATGCCGATGTGGTTGATTCCCCGGATCATCATTTTGAGCTGTTGTGCCCCCAGACGAAGAGTCGATAGGTTCTTTTCGATTTTTATCGCTAATCATGAGCGCAAGTCTGTCGAAAAGACATATCGGAAGAAAATACAACTAAACTACTTAGGCTTGTTGACCTTTAACATATTGAATTCCCAGTGCGGTCGTGTCGGCTCTCCGGCCTGAGTTACCGCCAATGAACGTTCCGTATTTGCGGAAGTGCAGAGAGGTGGGGATTTTTGCTGGAAGGACAGCTGAACGCGCCGATCGAGCTACATTGATAGGTAGATCAGTTAATCCGTAGAATATATATGATATGAATATGGTAGATCACTCCTTCTATATATTTCATCTTTAAATCAGTGGATTGTTTGCCGATAATGTAGTATACACTAAATTCACGGACAGTTTGCCGATATTTTGGTGTTTTTTTCTGCTTCGTATTTCAGAGTGGAGATTTAGTAAAGTATTGGACTACGATGATCGCAGGTTCTGACCGTTCCACGCCCCATTGGGAAAGGATTTTTTCTACCCATAATATAGAGCAAAGCAAGGGAGATTCAAGATCATGACTCGTGAACACTTGTACTACGGTCGCGAAAGGGATTTTCTTGGGAATTTTGAAACTTCGCTAGAGAAAAGATCGACAATGTCACATTCGGCCCTCTGGCCCTAGCTTCTAGTACTCATTTCATTTGTATCTTTAAGCCTCGAGATATATACAAAGTCGATGACCTACTTGACAAACAGCAACTATTTTACGAAGGAGTATATAAAACATACCCCGGTAGGTTCGTTTCCCGCCTTTACTACCATGGAAGCTTCAAAATCTGAGTTTTATGACACAATGCTTGCGGAAAGAACTAGAAGGTTGTACCTGGGACTATTTGATTAGTATCCTGATTTTGTACTTAACATTCAGAGCCTGTGATTGGCGGGATCAACAACTTTTCTACTTTTTGGTTCTGATTCGCGGGTTATACTCAACCTCAACAACACTGAACAAAAAGATTTTCCTGTAAAGCACATAATACGATCGACATGAGGCATCTGAACCATGCTGTCGGGTCGATATGAGATAATTCGATCATCCTTTGGCGGGACGAGATGCCGAAATGACTACCCCATACGTTGATTGGAATCTCGGGTGGCTGCTGTTGCTTCAGATTTCTGCCATCTACACCGCCACTCCAATTGGTTGGAATCAAGACCGATACTGTAGAAGGTCCTAAATATGATACTTTCCCCGGCAAGGGTTTGAAAGCATACCTACCCAGGACTATTTCTAGGGTTTCTCTCTTCTCTTGGTTGTATACGTGCACGTCAACCCAAGCATAATGCACTATTGCCAATGTCATACCCCACAACTTTGGGTATAGCTTACAGTAATATCGATCATATTGTGAGAAAATGACATGGTGATCATAAACACTACGCTAAATCAGAAGAAAAGAGAGACAGAGAGCAAGCGATCGTGTGTTTTCTATGTATTTGGAACTTGAAAGCTTCGCGGTCCCTGCCAGTGCAAGCTATCCCCAGTTATACTCATACTTTTTTAATTCTGGCAAATCAAATGGTAAAAACTCAATAATAAACACCGTAAAAGTGAGGTGACAGTTTTTTTTTTCAAAGCCTAGACAAAACCGCGTCATGTAATATAAAGCCTCATTCCATTTAGGCTAAGTTAGTACCTGAAAGATGGCCGGAAGATTTTGGATTCAATCTACTACTATGGGGTTAAGTTCACCACTGCCAGTCAACGGATATCATACATGTATATACTATTTATTTACTATCTTGTACCCGACATCAGCCTGGAGCCACAGGCGAATTCCAAGCCCCGAAGGTCAAATCAAATCCTCCAGAGCTTGAGGTCTGGAAACCTACTCCCTATTTAAAGGTTCTTGATAGGAAGCATGGATAGGTATAGACTTTCTTTTGACTACAATCTCCCTCTTTTTAAAGAAGAAGAAACTAGTAAGTAGTAAGATCATCTGCTATAAATCATATTACCATCTATTGAAGATACAAAGACTCGAGGTTATTAATCTCACTACTCAATCTAACCTTACTGCCGCATACCATAGAAAGCAACATAGTCTTGGCGGAGTCTCCACACGCCGCCTCGGGAGCTCCCACCAGTGTCGTCACCTCTCCTGACCAAAACACATCCCTCCCCAACCAGAAACAATGCCTCCAAAGGGTGCAAAGCCCACCAGCGATGAGCTTCTCGCTCAGTTCGACAACCTAGGCATCAACCAATCCAAAAAAGCGTCGAAGACCTCCCAAACCCCCACAAACGCCAAGGCCCAGGAAGATGTCCTAGCTGAGCTTGACAACCTTGCTGCACAGCGACCAAGCAGTGGACCAGGGACCCCGCGTCTCTCAGCCGATAAGCCCCGATCAATGACTCGGTCTCCTCGTCCTAGTGCAACACTTGAGCGAACCGAAGAAAAAGCTTCTCGGCCGTCCGAGGAGACTGGGCGGACCTCTCGTGCTGGAGCAAAGCAGGAGTCTAAGGTAGAGGAGAATGCACCTGCACCGGCAACACAGCAACAGCAAGAAGAACAGCAGGAGCAGCAGGGTGGTGGATGGTGGGGTATGGGAACTAGTATCTTTGCTACGGCTAGTGCGACAGCTACTGCGGCTATGAAGCAGGCTGAGGCCGCAGTTAAGGAAATTCAAAATAACGAGGAAGCGCAGCGCTGGGCTCAGCAGGTAAAGGGTAATGTTGGTGCTCTTCGTGATTTCGGTAAGTTATTTATCTATTAACACTCTCTTTGTCTTGCTCTCTCGGTTCGATTTACAATCGTTGATCTAACTATTATATAGGCGGCGAGCTTCAGAAAATGGCTATCCCAACATTCACCAACCTCATCCACACTCTTGCCCCTCCTATTTCTTCGCACGAACGTCTCCAGATCCATGTGACTCACGACTTTTCCGGATACCCCGGTGTCGACCCGCTCGTATACGCCGTCTTCTCACGAGTAATGGCCCAAGTCGAAGGCGGCGACTTACTAGTCATCCAACGAGGACAGGAGTCCTCTCCCAAGCGCAGTCTGGACGGCGGCTACATATCCAGTGCAGGCTGGAACGACGGCCCCTGGTGGCGCACCGTGACACCTGGAAAGCCTCGCACTATCAACGCAGTTCCCGGCACAGTCGAGGGATCTAAATTAGTGCGCGCCAGCGCCGAATCCTACGCGACAGACTACTTCTCGTCGCGAGGTGGACTCGAAGAAGCAGCGAAGCAAGCGAGTGAAGTACTAAGCGAGTCGAACCCTGTTCGCAGCAGTGATATTTTCCTCGCTATCCAGGCTATTAGCCAGACTGTCTCGGCAGATCTGTTCCAGGCTGGTGCTTCAGGTGAGAAGGAGACTTCTACCGGTGCTGTTGAGACTGATGAGCCTGAGGAAGTGATTTCATTCGCTTTATACCTTCATGATCCTATTCATGGAATTGCTTTCCACACGATCTCCCAGACTGTCCCTGCGAAGTGGATTGAGTGGCTTGATGCTTCGGCTCCGGCGGCTGAGGATCTCGAAGCTGAAGATGCGGGCGTTGCACATGCTGAAGTTCCTGAGGCTATTGCGGAGATTATTGAGAGCGGCGGTGTCGATCCTCGTGAGTGGGTCGCGGAGTGGATTGAAGAGACTCTGTCGCTAGCTGCTGGTGTTGTTGCACAGCGCTACGTTGCTCGTCGTATGGGCGTTGGTGAGGGTGGTATTGGGAAGGGCAAGATGCGCGCAGAACAAGCAACTACTGTTGAGAGTGGCGCTGGTGAAGCTGCTCGTGCGGTCTAGAATTTTCATGCAAAGTGTTCTTTTTGCCGTGACTTTTATGTGATACACCCTTTTCTTTTCTTTTCAATTTTTTCATTCGAACTTTTCAAGGCGTACGATTATACGTTTTGCTCATAACCATCACATCGATAATTGTCAATGCTGCTTCATGGTGTATACATAAGGTTGTCTTCGCTTTGTCCAAAGTAGTTGATATACAGCTTGAAAGACAACGCCGTCGGTCTATATATCTGCTCCCTTCAACCCACGAAAATTATGAATTGATATATGCTCCTAAATGCAATAGAAAACTTGAAGCCTAGCGCCCGAAATACAAACCATGGAATCATGACATGCATTATGCATAACCGAACCAATGTCACCGCTTATTGATCCAGGTAAATCGGTCCCTCAAGACCAGGGACATGCCAGAAGTTGGCCCGCAGCGCAGTCACACTGAAAAAAGACAAGTTAGCAAAGAGACCTCAAAAACAAGATAAACCATCACAATCATACCTAGTCGACCCATTCAACACCGTATGAGCATCTGTCCCCTCCTCACTATTCTGCAACCTCTTCTTCATATCCGACAAATCAGCAGACCACTTAAAATGGCGCTGTTGCTGCTTAGGATGAACATGTCCATTCCCATTAACCTCTGCATTCCCATTCCCATTACAATGATGCACCCCATTCGTAACAACCCCATTAGTCGTCCCATTAACCTTCTCCTTCTTTTCCTCCTCCTTCTCAGTCTCAGCATACAAACACCCCCTCGACCAATAATAAGGCAACGTCCTCGTATAAAGAACAGGCCTACTCTCCACATCCTCCCTCATAGGAATGTTAATATTATACAACTCAACTCTCTCATCCCAAACAGAAAATAAATGCTCAACAACCTTCACAGCCAATCTCGCCGCAGCAGCAATAACATCATCAGTCTGCGGATCCTTACTTCCAAAGGAGATCGCAATACCTCTCTTCCCACAGAACACAGCTTCAAGAGCACCACCAACTGTCCCCGAGGACAAATTGTAGATAGTCGAGGCATTGCGGCCATGGTTCGGGCCCGAGATGACGAGGTCAATGGGTGGGCGCTCAGTGAAGAGATTGTACAGACCTAGCTGGGCACAGCTGGCTGGTGTACCATTTTTGATTACCACCCATGAGTTCTCGGCTTCGGCTTCGGAGGTAGAGGTGGAGTCTGTGTAGGATTCATCCCAAGTGCCGTCGGGGCGGAAAGAGTCAGGATGGATATAGTTGGCTGTGAGGGAGGCTTCGATTAAGTGGGCTTTGCCGATCCAGGAGCGGGATGCGGCTGGGATAGCGACTGAGACTAGGTGATTTGCTTTTTGGAGTTGGGCCACGAGGGGTTTGATGTAGGGTGATAGGCGGGTGTTTGGGGGGCCATCGTCGTTGACAACCTATAGAGTTGGGGCAGTGTAAGTCGCTAGGTAATTTTTTTGCTTGTTTAAGGACGATCGTATGGGATTTTCAGGTCATGCGACAGTGAATTGGAATTTCAAGTTCCAAGCCAAGCCCTGGGAGTTCCAATGAGGGATTTCGGATAAGGCGGGGGAGTAAGATAGAGCTGAGCCCCGGGGGTACTAGTGCCCAGGTATCGGATGAAAACCAGGGCCTATTTCATCATGATGTTGGAGCTGCTTACCAGGATATGCATTGTGAGATGTGTCTATGGTGCGATGAAGTAAAATGCAGCAATTCTCGGGGTATATAAGTGAATATCGGTGGGATTCCGGGGAGTCTTTTTCCTCCTTGCGGCTTTTTGAATGTTCCAATGCAGGTGTATGGTGTATAGAACGTATATTTTGTATGGAGATGAAAAGGACAGAACAGAAAAAAAAAAGCAAAAATCAAGTATGCACCCCACGAGATCGGGTTACCCCAAACTTATAGATACTGGGTAAGCATTGAGCCATCATCAACGATTCCCGGAGTGGTCACCGAGGTCATGGAAGTTCATGGGGAAACGGTAAAGGCAGCGGTAAAAGCATTCGTTGGCCGGAAGTGGCAGTCTCGGTGAGCCAGATTTAGTCATGCAGAGATTTCAGTGTATGTGGGATATATTGGAGAGTATTATTTTGAGATAATATTAGAATAATAATAGAATAATAATATGGGAGCATAGATGAGAAGAATATACTTGAAAAGACCAGTGATCTATATTCTTTGTTTCCAGTGATCCTGGTTGAGTGTTAAGAGGTTAATATAATTTACTCCGTACAGTATACGGGCCCAGGTACTTCGGATCGCTGCAGAATTGTATGCACCCCAATGTACTGTATGACCTCAATGTACATAATTAGTGTTGACTTATACTCAACACTACACTATTCACAGTGTACAAGTGGGACTGATGATCAATTAGTCTGACTTATACCTATGACTTATGATTGATGGCCAAGACCATTTACCTGGTACTTATCAATTGGTTCAAACCTTGGAAGACACTCTGGTCCCACCCTCTCAGGGACTCGCGTATCAGTCCACCTCGTGTGTTCGGCGATCGACAGTCCGTGTCTTGACTATGTGTATTTTCACCAGGATCTGATGGTCAACCACGATCATCATTAAATTTAGCATTTTTAAAATAGAGAAAAAATTTAAAAAAGACCTATTCATCAAATCTACCATAATCCAAACTACTAACCCCCCTCTTTCCCTCGCATTTAAAATCCATCAGCGCCCAGGAACCTCAACGGGCGGTCTGTGCGGAAAACACGCTAAAGGCGATCGCAACTCGCAAAACTTTGTAGGTGGGGAAACTCCGTCAGCCTTCTTCCTTTCCCCTCGACAACTCCCATTCTCATACGCCCCAAATCAGATCCTCATCGAAAACCTCCCAGTTGCTCGTCGCAACTACGAATTTCCTCGCCTTCCATTCCTCCAACATCACCGACCGCGCAAAAGTCGCAAAAAGTTCATCTTTTTGGGACTTTTGCTCTTCGGACTGGTCTCCGCCCACCATCATCTTCCATCCTGCATATCCTGTATGGACTGTGGAAGTACCGGAACAGCTGCGGGGATTGACCCCAAAATTCTCGATAATTGGCAAACCAACGGTGCTTTCTCAGTCGCGTCGTGGGAACATCTAGGATATGAACAACCCCCCGAATGGGACACCAGCCAGGACTCTAGCCAATGCGCCGATGTTGCGGACCTTGGGGCCTTCCATGACCCGCTAACCGCCTCGCTGCTGGATCGCCAGCGCCCGGAGAATAGGTTCGCTTTGCCTTGTCCTATAATAGACTAGACCTTGTCTATACAAGTCTCGTCGTCTCAAGTATCCTGTGCTAACCACTATGGCATCCTTGTTTAGAAAGCGTGATCTGAATCCAGAGAATCCAGAGAACTTCAACTTTGTTGACGCTCCTATTGAAGGCACGGGAAGTGGCACCGTTAGTCCTCGGACTCAGCCCTCCTCGACTGATGACAATTTTCACACCGATGAGACATGGCCTCATTTCCAGCTGTTCGGCTCGTCAGGATCAACTATGCCCCTCGACACGGCTATGATGTACCCTTATAGTAAAGGCCCGACACAATCGAATGGTGCTGTTATCGTCGAAGATCTAGGTGAAATGCCCCAGGATCAGGGATTTTCGGACCCCCCAAATGAGGCCATGATGTTTCAACAAATGCCACAGGGATTCCCTATGATCCCAGAGCAATGGGAGATTCCTCATGGCATCTCGATGGAGGACATTCCAGGACAAAGCGCGTTTCAACTCGCGCTTGAGCCTCAGAATAACAGCAAGGATCAATCGCTGCGTGACTTTCAGCAGCCGTCTATTCGGTCTCTTGAGTCACGCTGGTTGAATAATCTGGAATCGCAGTTACCTGTTACCCAGATGACCCCTCCATCCTTGCTTTCCTCGCCGAAGCGTACTCAGACTGGTCCCGACGGCTTCCAATACAAGTCAGAGAACTCTTCGGTCTCCGGGGATATGTCGGGGATTTACGAATGCTCGTTCTCGGCGACAAGTGAGGACCCGCCCGCTTTTGCAGAGCACCAACTGAATGATACTGCTCAGTGGTCGCTTCCTACACCGGACTCTGGTTCTCCGGAGCAGTCGCACTTTGGAACAGCCAAGGCCACGGCCTTTATGGTCAGTGAGTCTCCCTCCGAGTCACTGCTCAGCACTATGCCTTCGCGGCCAAGAAATTCGTCGGCTACTGCACCGCGTCCTTCTGGTCGGCCTATGCCTCTTGCTATGCAGTCCACAGGAGCGGTTCGGAAGCGCAAGAACCGAAACGCCCAGGGCTCCATCGACCAGGGACCATCAAAGCCTTTACAGATTGTCCAAGAAGATGGCCAAGGTGGTTCTATTGCATCCGCGGATTTCGTTTCGCCCCCACGGGGCGCTCGTCGCAAAGGTCCGCTGAGCATGGTTGGAAGGGCCAACGCCGGTGCGCGCCGAAAGAACAAGGATACTTGTGTCCAATGCCGATTGAACAAGCGCAAGTGCGATGGAAGCTCGCCTTGCGATGCTTGTCGTCCCACACTGCATGAACAACCGTGTGCGCGTGCTTGTTTCTCCAGCATTGTAGAATTCGGAACTTGCAACTACATCTCTCAACGAGCTGTGAACCATCCGACATTGGATGGCAGTGGCCGAGTGCGAATGGAAATTCCCTCGGAGTTCGATATGAGTCAACTTTTGTCTTTCCTTGGTGAGCGCCAGGGGCGGTTCAACATCCGCGCCAGTCAGGCTTGGGGCTCTTTGTATGTTCTTGACCTTGGTGAGACATACCGCTTCCTGAAGAGTCTGAGCGAATATAATGGCAACTCGAAGTCAACCTTCCTTGAGTTCATTGATCGTCGCATTGTTGAATCTAAGGACAAGTCGAAGAACTGGTTGACCTGTGTCAAGGACTGTGACCCAATGACGCAAGCATACGTGAGTTTCCAATTAGTCCTTAACCTCCTTTGCGCTCCAACCTAACAAGATATCCCATTCATCTAGTCCTTGCTCTCCCAATGGAACAACATGCCTAGCCGTGCGAAATACACCATTGTCCCTCTCGACGAGAATGGCCAAGAACGGGACATGGACATCAACAACCCCGACGATAGACGGGACATTCTTCTCGCAGCACAGCTGTCACGTATCGTCTGCCGTATGATGGAAGTCGAAGGTTTCCGCAAGCTAGAGCGAGACTTCTACAACATCAAATGGAAGCAGATTTCCCACGAGACCCATGTTCGTTTCCTGAACGAATTAGGACACATCCTGCTTTCACTGCGATGGCGTGTTTCTTGGTGGAAGCAACTAGGTGACGGTGGTAAAACTCCCGACCCCAGTCAGCAACACTACATTGACCGTGTTGAGCTACTTTGTCGCATCCTGTATGTCTACTACACCTGCGTTCTAGCCAAGTTGCCCTCATGGTCGACCACCGATGTACCCAAGGGCACATGGTCTTCATATGCAGACTCAGAGAACGCAGTGTGGGACGACTTCCCCTCGGACCCAACCGACCTTGGCTTCCAGAATTGGATGGAGCATGGTCAAGAGTTGATCGAGCAAGCCGGCGTTCCCAGCAAGATCTCCAAGCACTAATTGGAGAAATATTCGCACATCATAGATATGGCAAGATGTGACAGGGACAGGAGTTGGACAAATTATAGATACCCTTTTTCTTTTTTTCTTTTTCTTTCGTGTTTCATTTATTTTGATTTTCTCCCCACCTTCTCCTCTTTCTTCCCCATTTATTTCATTACCTTGGCTGTTTCTCATTTGGAAATCCTGTGACTCGATGGATCACGATATATTACACCTTTACAACTATTAACGATTGACGACACCGCCGCTCAAACTCAAAAATGTTAATTCTCAACAATAGCGGCTTGTTTGGAATGTTCTACACATGGACTTATGGGCTTCTTGTTATATATTTATTTTACTACTTTATTTTATTTTACTTACTAGCTTCTATCGCTATCGCCTTGCAGTGATTATGATTAGAATTATGAATCAATTCAATAGACTCGACTAAAGTTGTCAAAGCCAAAAACAGGGTATCGAATTCATGAAATCGCTATCTGCGACGTAAGAACAGAACAGTACAGCACAACACTCGTTGTACTACCTGGTAGGAATTTTCTTTTCCTTCCTAACCGCTAGCCAAAAGAACTGATTTATTTCTTCCCCGCGGCCGCAGCAGCCTTCCTTTCTTTCTCCAACCTATCCTTCTTTCCACCAGCCAACAATTCCAAATGTCCCGCCTTCGACGCAAGACTGCGTTCCGTTTTCGTAACAAGACCCGAAGTAAGTTTCTATAAGTCGTCTTATTAGCCGTATGCCCATCTAAAAAAGCCAATGAAGTCTCATAGACATAAATGGCATGGCATCGAGTGGCATGCATACCTTAGTCAATTTCGCAGTCTTGACGAGTCCCGCCTTCTTAGGCGCAATCTGTCGGACACCGGGCCTTGTTCGTGCGGCTGAGAGTCCACCACTAATTATACATAAGTTAGCATTCCCCGATATTGTACTGTTGTTGTTTTTCGTCTTGTTCTTGACCGAAGATCGGATCAGACGTACCGCTTCGTTCCACCCGTGGAAGGCTTGATTTTCTTAAGTGCACCCTGGGCCATTGTGATGTGTATTGTAGATCTGGTGTATAATGTATTTATGAATGGTAAAGCACTGCCAGCAGTACACTTGGGATATTCGGTTGAGAAACTTTGAGGATGAGGGTTTGAGTCTGGAAAATAGTGGAAAAGACTCGTTGTCAGGGAAAATTCCTTATCGACTTATCGGGGTCACGTGGTGGGGATGGTGGGGTTTGGTTGACCAATTAGAGTGGGGTAGAAGTATACAGTGTTCCAGCATTGCCTTCTAAGGTTCTTTCCAACAACCTTGGAACCCGAGGTTCAGTTTGTTAAAGTACAAGGTAAAAAAGTACAGCAAGTAGGCATGTAGTGGGGCATCGGTTGATTCTATTTTCCTACTCGCATATTTGTTGATTTGCATCCATATTTTCTCGATTTAATTCAGGACTTGATATGATTAGCGCTCGGACAAGCATAGACCCAATAGTCCTTCGAAAAAGTCCGGAAACAACTTGGATGGCCAACAAAAATAGAATAGTAGAGAAATAAGAGATACAAGCTCTGGAGAAATGACAGGGAATCGAGAAAGTGAAATTCCAAAGGCAGTCAGAAAATAAAAATAAACTGCAGCTGCCATACACCAACTCAACTCCAAATTCAGACCCAAACCCAAACCAATATCCAAAATAAGATAAAATAAAATCACTGTCACTAACAGGGCTCGGTGGACCCTCATTCATCCCCAAAGCACCGATTTCACACAAAGCCCCGTCACAATGGCAAGGACGAATACAAGAACAACTTGAAGGAGGAGAAGAGGGGCAGGGAGAAGGACAAGGGTCTCCAGGAACCCAGATAAGGTATCGACTCGGAGGACATTAAATATGTTGGATAATCCCATTAAGCCAAAAAGCCAGTCTAGGTGCTCCCTTGGTGGGTTTTCTAGATTTATTGCTATGCGCCCCTGAAGCCACGAATGCACCATATTGGTGGTCTGGCATGGTTCTGAGGCCCACCGTATCTAAGATCAACTGAAGCCCTGCCTGGTTGCGGTCTAGGGAACACCTCAAAATTCCCCTGTCCAGATAACAATCTCCCAGTCGGTTTCAAACCCAAGGGGCTGCGTCGTACCTATGTATCTTTCTAGTTAGGTCTGCTACCCTCTTCGAATATACCACTAGGCCAAAAAGCCTGCCCAGGTGTTTAATTGGTGGATGTATCACTATATAAGGGACTGAGGACATTAGATGTGGTTGATGAATCCCAGTCCTACCAGACTCGGAAATATCCCATAGGGTGTCTCCTGATGGGCAAACGCAACCGGTTGACACTGGTTCTATATGAGCCACGTCTCTGGAATGGAGCTTCTGTCTTCTTGATTCTCTCGATGCAGAGATTTTTAGAAGAGAGTTTTAGTAATCTCACCATGCAGCTATCCTCTCTCTCTTCTTCCATTCCAGCTTCATGTTTTCGTTCAATGCGATTGCGAATGCTACTAAGTTCTGATATCATCTGCTACTTCCAAGGTTACCAGGATTGCAACACATGATATCATGTATCATGTATCTTTGAGTATACTCCAAGGTTGGGAGCTAGGTATAGATACGGGTAGAAGCAGGAGTACCGGCAAGCACCTGAGCACAGGCTAACTCAACCTGATATCACCTATAACTTTCCAGCGCTAGGTATGATAAGATGATCATAAGGTATGGTATACAGAGAATACAGTTTAAGCTGGTCTGGTCTGTCTAGAGATCACTTTCAATATGAACAAAGCAAATCCAATTCATTTACAGTACAATTCTACCCAATGAAAAGCAGAGCAGAACATAAAGGCATCATTGATGGAACTGACATTACAAGCGTAGCTGACTTGAATTCCATTCACATACAATCGAAGAACGAAACAGGGTATGAAACAATACAAGCAGCTGAGAAAATTAGGTGAAAAAAGAATTCAGAAAAAAGGAACAGGTCCATATCAATATGTATCGATAAGATCGAAAGAAGAACTCAAAAGACAAAACTAACTATATCCCATCCGATAGGTGAGAAAAGCCAGAAAAAATCCAAGAGATGTTCATTCAGAAAGATAAGAGATAAAAAAAAAACAGGACCTTCGCCAGAGACAGACATGACATAACTCTCAATCTCAATCAAGACATTTCATTTAGAAAGCCATGACAGCGAACATGGCAGCAACGACAGCGCCGAAGCTGATGGTGTTCTGGCCAGCACCGTTGAAGGGAGTGGCAGAGGGAGAGACGGCAGCAGTTCCGGTGGGAACAACGGGGACGCTGCTGCTGGCGAGGGCAGTGGTGGTAGGGCGGATAGGACGGCGGCTCAGAGAGCTGGAAGGCACCACGGGAATAGTGGTAGGAGCAACGGTGGGAGCGCTGGACTCAGTCTCCGGGCAGATGGTGGTAGTGATCTCAGTGGACTGGTAGACAGTGGACCAAGACTGGGTGGCAGAGGCAGAGGCGGTAGGGGCGGGAGTCTGGCTCTCGGTCTCAGGGCAGATAGTGGTGGTCTCGTTGTCGATGACAGTGACGATGGTGCCGGCAGGAGTAGAGGTGGGGGTAGCGGTCTCAGTCTCGGGACAGATGGTGGTGGTACCATCGACAATGGTGGAGGTAGCGGCGTCATCACTACCCTCAGCGGCCTTGAGACCGAACTGGGTAGACCACTGGTACTGGCCGGTACCCTCAACGACGAGGAGGAGACCGTAGTGAGTGGTATCGGCGGTCAGGCTGGTAGAGGGGGTCCAGGAGTAAGAGCCAGTGTTCTCGATGTCCTCGACGATGGTCTGGATGGGCACGACGTTGGTAGAGGGACCACGGAGGAGAACCAGAGAGACCTTGCCGGAGGTGGTAGGCTCCCACTTGATCTCGAAGGGCTTACCCTCCTGAACCTGCTCCTGGAGAGAAGGGGAGGAGATGGGGTTACCCTCGGGAGACTTGTTGTAGTCGGGCTGGGTGTAGGCCGAAGCGAAGGCAACAAGGGCCGAGAAAACGGTGGCGGTGGAGAAACGCATTTTGATTGTTGATTAATATTCTGAAAAGAATGACTTAGTTGGAATTATGGCGCAAAAGAGTGGCCGGGAAGCAAAGAATGACTTTGAAAAAAGAGTGAATGAACGTGAGTGATGGAAGAAGAAGAAGAAAAAAAAAAAGAAGAGAAGAGAGGGAAGAAAAGGAGGAGATGAACTATGTTTTGCTCTCACTCGAAGGAGCCAATCCCAAATCTCCCCTCAATCCGCCCCTAAGGCCCGTTCAGGGCCAATGCGTCCGTCCCTGAGAGAAGGGAAATGAAGTGGAGAGAGCATTTCAGAGCCCCATCAGGGCCCAAGGCCAAGCATGTACAGGACCAACCAGATTTGGGAATCTGCGGGTATAGTGGGGTTGATTACATGGGATGTTCCAAGCGAGGGTTCTATAAACGGTGGCTTTTTGGGGCGCAGTTGGGTGTATAGTGATTACTAGAGGTAAGATTTGAATGAAGCTAACTGTGGAAGGTTTGGTTGATCCGAAAAGTAAATATAGGATATCTGTACCTGTAGGTAAACAGAAGTGTCTCGGTGGTGACATGCCTCTCACCATGTGCCATTGTAGACAGTGTCTGAAGTATTCCATGGAATATTTAATTTTGTTGTGTTTTACCCAGCTATTCTGTGTCTATTATTACTCTGAATATATTTTTTTAAACTAATTTCACAAGAATACAATTGATCCCACCTAAAGAACAGGGGTTAAATGCGACGGTAACCATAGACGGTACATCGGCCTCGTGGGGGGGGCGGCCCCGGGGGCTCGTGGGTTACGCTCGTGTATGGTAAGGCTGCACGACCCATAGTGGACTCACGAGGACTAAGAAGGTCTAAGATTGGGGCCTTGAGTTCTGAACTCTTGGTAAAGTAGAAAATAGAAAAGAATAAAAGTAAACATCGCACTCATTCCTTGTCTAGACCCTGGAATGCCCTGAAAAATGTGCCATGCCGAGCCCTACTAAGGTGACGGTGTGCGGAAGAACTAGGGAGAAAGAATCCACCGGTGACTAGATATACATCATTATACATTGGAATTGGACCAGGTGAATCATCTACACCTACTTTGTGAGGAAAGTATTATCGAGATGATTTCATGATTGATCCCATCTTGTTATAAGTCTAATGATGGTGTGCTTCAAATACACTGTACATCTGTACTGTAAATAAATAAATAAATAAATAAATCAAGTGGAGAAGCAGAGAAGCACGTCCACCGGAGAATATCCGGGAGAACTAGGCACAGGCACACAGTGCCTGTGCCTGTACCTGCAGCTGCAGGAACAACACTGCCAGGTGGCTTTCAGTGCAATTTCCGCCCTCTTCCTGATCCAATCATACTCTAGACTCGACTCATCTAGACTGTCTAAAAGCCTCTCATGCTCCCAAGGTTAACACCAATGCCACAAATACAGAATACTTCAATACTGACTGTAACCAGGATATCCCGCTCGATTAGACGATCCAGACGATCACGGCCGAACCCCCACAACCCACCCTGACGAACCCATCAACTCCAACACGGTGATCCCACTGGTTCGGAGTCTCGATACCCTTGGAAAAGATCAACAGTTGATCAGGGGTACGAAAGTCCAAGTCAGGTCCCAAAAAAAAAACCAAAAAACGAAAGAAAATAAAATACCGATGCGATGACGGCACAAATCCAATTTACACTCTTCTAACTCTCTGATTGGGTGATTGAGACAGACTTTGAACGGGAAATTTGGATTGTCTCACTGCACGAGCTAAAACGCGCTGATTCGCCACGTTGACTTGCCCATTTCCTGTTCCTGATTGCCAGAACGCGGGTGTGGATCCGCGTTGTTTTTGATCTGAGTCTTATTATGATGCTCGTTTTTATCCCTGAATCAAACAAGAACAAGATTGAGATGGTCTACAGTACGGTGTACGGAGTGACTCAGCTGTGGCTTTGCCCCTCTTTCATCCAAATTAGACCTATACTGTATACTGAGAATCTATCAATACAAAGGATTATTAGGCCTCCGATCGGGAGATTAGAGTTAAAATCAGATTAAAAGTCTGCAATCACTCCTTTTGACTCCTTTCTTTGTCCATACATGTACCTATTATCCCATTCAGGTAAATCGATCACAGTGTTGTACAGGGTCCGAAGCCTTGCCAAGCCGCCTCGGTCAACACCGGCTGACTAGTCTCCGGTGGGGTCCGCTAGAGTGACCAGTTCGAAAGATGAGAAGATAAGTGCGAGGGTCTAGTGACTATCGAAACGAGGCCATCAACGGCGCGAGGACTCATAAATCTATTCTTGAATCTTGGTTCGTGAATGAGGTGTCAGGCGAAGACATTGGACTCTGCGTTCCCAGTACGAGGACTTCCAAGGATCGGGTCTTACCCCGGTTCTTACCTGTCCACGGTTCGAATCGACTTGGTGGGCCCGCATGACTAGTCACTTGAATACGAAATGGCTTGACAGAATCGACTGGCTGGTGGATGTGAGGATATTAATAGCAGGAGGAGGTATAGAGTACATAGTCTGCTGCCGACCTCTTATGTACAGTCTTATGTACAGTAGGTACTACTGGCATCACATCAGCGCTAACGTAGGCTCGACAAACAAGAACTTGAAGCCCTCTGACTAACAGTAACGTTCCTGTCGTTCCTATTGATCAGCTTGTCTGCACGTAGACAAACTACCAAGCCAATAGTTTGGTATATGGTCATATTTATTTCATCAATATCTCGTGTACTCTGTACAGTAGAGTTGGGTATCCATTCACCCTGCCAATCAAGGCTTTACTACCACTCTCTATCATCAACCAGGACGATAGGTAATCGACCTTATGACCCATCCCAAGATGGGTAAACGAATGCAAGCCTCGTGAATCAAGTAACCAAATCAAACCGAAATGTATGTAATCCAACACCGCCACATGTGTCCAGTTAGATCAAAAAAGAAAACTTTGAACTATTTGCTTATTCATGCCAGGTAACGGTCTTGGTCTGCAGGAACTCGTCGTAGCCCGCAATACCACCGAAACGACCGAATCCACTACTCTTCCATCCACCATGAGGAAGAACAGGTTCATCGTGAACGGTCAAAGCGTTGATGTGAACGGCACTAAAGAGAAACATTGTTAGAAAGAAAAACCAATAATCAGAGAAGTTTCAGTATTGTTTAAACTCACCCAGCCTCGATCTGCTTGGCAACGCGCAATCCACGGAAGAGATTAGTTGTGTACAGGGCCGATGTCAAACCGTACTCGGTATCATTTGCCAATGCCACAGCCTCCTCTTCAGTGTCAACCACCATGAGTGAGACAGTTGGACCAAATGACTCGGTCGCATACATGTCCATACCCTTCTGGACTCCCTCAACAACAATAGGTCGCATCAGAGTATCGCGGCTCTCGTTAGCACCTGCATCACCGAACAGTACGTTCGCACCACGAGACACAGCATCCGCAACAAGAGACTTGTTTTTCTTCGCGGCGGCGGCATTAACAAGACCCAGAGCAGGGGCATCTTTACCGAACAATTTCTCAGCGGTAGCAGCGAGCTTAGTCTTGAATTCATCCGCAACGCCACGCTGAACCACGATACGCTCTGTGGACATGCAGATTTGACCAGACTGGTATTTTTGTCAGCAGTGTCCCATTACAGTTTCGGATCAGACGAAAGGGAGAGAAAAAAAAAGGATACTCAACATACATGCATGAATGATCCAAGCGCGCAGTTCATAGCCGCCTTGTCCAAATCCGCATCATCAAGGACAATAGCCGATGCTTTTCCGCCCAGCTCAAGCAGCACAGGCTTAATATACTTACCCGCAGTAGATGCGATGATCGATCCAACCATCGTACTACCAGTGAAGTTAATCTTGCGAACAGCCGGGTGTGCAATGAGCGCGTTCGTAACAGCAGCAGCATCAGAGGGCTGGTGATAGATCACATTCAAACATCCAGCAGGTAGACCAGCTTGACGGAAGACATCACCCAAAGCCCAGAAGCACTTTGGTGCAAGTTCAGAGCCTTTGAGCACGACTGTGTTTCCAGCAGCAAGAGGCAGAGCCACGGAGCGAGTACCAAGGACAAAGGGTGCGTTCCTGCAAGGTGGTTAGTTGCGTCGTGTTACACAGATCGGAACGTGGCATATTTGAATACGAGCCAGGTGGCGAACTGGGCTAGGGGGAACAAAGATAGGAAAACAGTATACGTCGCAGTTGCAGGTGGGTAGCAAGGAAGGAAGACAGGGGAGAGAAAAAAAATGATCAAACTCACCAAGGCGCAATGGATAGGATAACACCATATGGCTCCTTGAAGACCATCGCACCCTCACCATCCCTCGTGACATTAGGCACAACACCCTCGATAGTCGAGATACGAGCAGCGAAATCCCTAATAAAAGCCACACCAAGATTAAATGTGTGTTCCGAGAAAGGACGTCCAGCACCAGTCTCTTCACGCTGGTACCCGATAAACTCCTCCTTTCTCGACTCCATAATATCAGCCGCCTTCATCATGATATCGCGACGCTCATAGGGCTTCCATTTAGCCCACGCCGGAAAAGCAGAGTGGGCATTATCAACAGCGCGAGTCGCATCCTCAACCGAAGCACCGGCACAATAGCTAGACAGCTCACCGGTAGCAGGGGCCTGGACATCAAATTTGATGTCTGTAAGGACGGACTCATTATTGATAATGAGCGGCGTCACGGGTCTAGAACCAATATTAGACATGGCGATAGACTATAGTAGCAGCGCAAAGCGGGATAAGTTTCTTGATTTGGTTTGGTGGGGGGTTTTGCAAGATTGAAGCTGATTTAAGCTGAGGGGTGTTTGGAGGGGTTGGTGTTCGGTGTCGCACTGGTCGGGAAGTCGATCTTGCCCAATTGAGGGATATGTGGAGCGGCGATGTGGAGCAGTTAATGTGTGTGTAACTTGACGTAAACCGAGATTTATCTCCGTCTGGTTGGTTCTTGGAACGCCGTAAAGCCGGGGAAATATGTAGTGGTTTGGATTCGCTGGTACATGTTAATTGCCTGGAATTAGTTCCGGAGTGGGGGGACCTACCCGAAATCTCTTTCCATGAAGATCCATGGATGTGGACCAGTTTTATGTTCAAGAGGTGGAATCACTAACCGCTGACAAAAGGGGACCGGAGGCTTTCCGCGAAAGAGATAGAGCGAGGAAGAAAGAAACTTAGGGTTGAGGTAGAGGTAGAGGTAGAAGAGAAAAGATGCAAGATTCTGAATTATAAGAAATGCTGTCCACCTGGGCAGGGATTCAGACCAAGTACCCTAACAAAGAAAACCAACAACACCATCAATGCAAATCGCAAACTTGAATCATATATACTGGTATCCCCCAGCGCCAATCTCAAAAATATCCAACACGCCTAATAAACCCTGAAAATCAAATCATTGCTAAAACCCCCACTAGCAAATTTTCAATTGGCCCAAATCTTAGTCTCAGTCGACGAACTCTTCTTCGCAAAATCAGCAAAAGGACACGCCGAAATCATAGCAGCAGCAGGATCTTGCGGTCCACTCCCTGTAGCTGTACTAGCAGTATTTACCGTCTGATCCGACTGCACACTAGCACTAGTCTGAAAAGACTGTTCAGAAGGCGCAACACTCTGCATTGACGGTGCCACACTAGCACTATCGGCAATACTGGAGCGATCATCATCAACAGAGCTACCAGAGCTACTACCGATAATACGTTTTCCAGCGAGAAAACCTTCTCTATTCCCGGACCCAAAGCTGTACATTGAGATTTCGTCGGCGAATTCTTCTCCATCGCGGACGTGCCATTTGGCAAAGAGATCGTTTTGGATCCAGATTATTTTGTTGATTGCGCGGACGAGGGCGACTTTGCGGCGCATGGAGAGTTGGGGGTGAAACATTAGGGCTTCGAAGAAGATATCTTGGATGTAGCCTAGGCAGATTCCGAGGTGGATGTATTCCACGTTTAAAGGGGCGAGACGTTCTTGACCGCAGTGCATTTGTCTGGGGGATGCATTAGTGGATGTTCAATTCAAGTTTCACTTTGAAATTCAAGTCTATGTTCCATATAAAAAAGGCCTTGAGGGTGAGTAGAAATGACTGACCCAATTTTATTCAGGTATCGCCAGAAGTCCATGCTAGTGGGATCTTGACATAGACGAGTCAAGTACCATCGAAGGAACATCTTGCGGCGCTTAATTTGTGGTGTCTCCTCTGTGAGATAGTCTTCGTCTGGTTCTCTTTCGTCGGCGGTTGTGCGGGTGTGGAATGCGCGCGAGGTGATATCGTATACTAATAGCTTTTTGTATACCATGTTGACGACGGCCGGGATGAGTTGTTTGAGGTATTTGGTTCCGTGTTGGAGGGCCTCGACATCAGCTAGGAGATAATGTTAGTTATTTCATCATGCTGTAGTAGGTAGTATATCATCATAGGCATACCGGAGGACCACTCAATAAAATGGTGTAAATACTTGATTCGCTCTTCAAGATTGACATATAGTGACTTGCGATCAATATGCATTGGCTCAAAGCCAGGACCTAGTCCATAATCGTGAGGCATTGCAGCGCTGTGATGAACGAATATGCAAATAAAGTTCGAGTTCGAGTGAGCTTGAACACCGGAGAACTTTTCCAGAAGGATCTCAACAAAAGACTAATTGGATAGAAATAGGATAGAAGACGATTTGAAGAAAACTGGGGCTCCTCGTGGCTGTCGCATGGCAGGATAACCAGTTCCTTTATACCTTAAGCTCTCTCATCCAAACCATCCGATCGGCTCCCGAAATAACTAAAAATTAAAAAATGATAATAATAATACATACACGAAATCCCAACGATCACAAGGGGGTCCCCATCTCTGCCACACAGAGTGGAGCGGCACTTTAACCAAGATGAGCGAAAAAGCCCGATCTAGTACGTCAACTCATCTCCAAATGGAGGTGATTTCCCCAGCGTGTATTATCAAATCACACCACCCAGAAACCCAGGCAATAAGCCGCGGCACACATAACAAGGCAGCGGCAAGTGTGGGCTGATCCTTGCAATCTCCTCCACCAGGACGTGACAGGGTTGGAAAAGGACCACGGACCGCCATTCCTGTCATACAGCAACCTAGTCGAGCGTGAAACAATATTCCACGTTTCCACGTGCCAGTAGACGCGGCGATCAAGCAACCAACATCTCCGTGGTGCATTATTTGTTACCAATCTACATGGTGCGCGGCTGCGCTTTGGTCGCATTTCGTATTCTTTTTTCTTCAGCACGTAGAAGGTTACTGCATTCTACAGCATTTCCCATTTGCCTTTCCACATGCACGAATCGGAACTAAATCCCTGATAAAAACCCACACCAAGACAGAAAAGAACAAGAATCATGCATGAAGCAGATCCCGATGCAGCCAGGCATCACAGTAAACAAAAAAAAAACCTGGCTTGTCTCCCCAAACTCCACAGCGGACCCAACGGTTTTCCAACCGAGACGAAGAAAAGTCCCACTTGAGCTCGGAGCCGACGGGTCGGGGCGAGAAAGTCTTACATTAGATTATTTCGCTTTGTTCGCGTGAAGCATATTTCATTTCCCTCAATTCTAACTTCAAAGGGGGAAGGAATGAATTGGATATCCAAATATCATGATGTGATGTAGAATTATCCGTTATGCATGATATCAGAAGGATGATGAAACGTCAGAAAAACGCCTTTGCCGCTTAGGCCCTTTGATAACCAAATTATGCTCCTGAAGGATTACTTCCAGAAAAAAGAAAAGCGCTAAATGGTTCGGACGTTAGGTGGGTCCTATGCCAAAATGGAAAAAATAAGATTGTGAAAAAATGCAGTAGTTAAGCCACGCTAGGAGGCTATAGGGGCTACTACGGGTTATTTGGGCAATTATGGGGACAAAATAGTATCGGAGGGCATCCGACTTAGACTCGATGGATCGGTTTCTCACCGTGTGATGGCGTGGCCTGACTCTCTAAGAGAGTCCGGGTGGACTCGGTGGATTTTGTTAGATTGCCTGATCAAACGGGTCAGTTCCGGTTGGACGCGAGGCACGGAGTTGGGCGGAATAAGGAAAAGGGGGAATGGATAAATAAAATTGTGTAGAAAAGCCATTGATCTTTTCTCTTTCTTCTTTTCATTTTCTTCTTTCTCTCTTCTTGTCTCGTTCTGGTGATAGATTTACGGAAAACGAATTTCTGATATCGTGACCTCATCTTATCCACTTAGTGCTCAACCTGAGACGCGCTACGGACGTTCTCAGACAGACGCAATAGACGAGGATCAATCCCTGTGCTGATCACTTAAACTTTCATGGCCTAGACGCCTGATTGCAATTTAGACCATTCCAATCCAGTACTTGCCCCGCGTTCTACTACAGCACGGCAGAGGAGCTTTGATCTTAACAACTGCCGGGCTAATCTAATTGACTTCCGGGTGAAAAGTGACAGCTGCAGCCATTCTCATCTGAAACAGATCTCTCAGACCTCAACCATCATGATTGGATATAAGTCGAGTTTGTAGGTAATGCTGGAAATGTGATCCGATGTATCAAAAAATCTGCAATGTGAGCTATCCATCACATCTCTCAGGTAATCTAAACATCACATTTCTGCAACGCGAGATAAAAGTGGCGAAAGTTTAAAAGTATACAATAAAGAAATAGATTTCTGATCGCTCTTGCTACCAATCACGAATATGTATTTAACATCTTGTATATCCTACCAGTGCATGGATTTGTACCTATTTACACCGCTCAAGTAGACATGGTCGAGTTGCTTCGCGCCTTGGCGGCATCATAAAGACCCTGGATGTCCTTCTTCCATTGGTCCTCGTCAACTCGAGACAGACGACGGTCATAGGTGATAAGTCCGTTCACTTCGCCTTCCACGTCGGTGGTCTGTGTCCAGACGCCACCGCTGCAAGCGAAGAGTCGAACCTGGTTCTGCAATTCGTTGAGGAGAATGTGGCTGCGGTAGTTCCAGGCTTCGAGAGTAAGATCCAGCTCATACGTCTGATTGATCGAGTCAATTGCGGCTTGATTGTTCCAGAGACTGAATTTTGTTAGATTGTTTTCTGAGGAGGGTTGCAATTAATTAATCATAAACTTACTGCTCAATGGAGACATTGTTGCCAAGTCCACCGAACTCACCCTGGAATCCAATCCGGGTATCATCGTAGGGGCTTGAGGCGGTAGAGTAGAACGGAGTACCACATTGCGGGTCAGAATAGTGATGGTTGTCCTGTTAGAAAGAAGTTAGTGATCTTGTTATTTCAATATGATACGGGGTTGATGTGTCAAGAGGCTAGACTTACGCTGAAATCTCCCGCACCGTGGTCGTACCAACCAGTTGTTGAATCAATCAATCGGGTCGGGTCTAACTGCCGAACAAGGTCGGTCAACGCGAATTCGGGGTAGTAACTGGTGATTTGACCCCAGCCTTCGTTGTAGATAACCTAGAACATTGTTAGTTATTTCTCAACATGGCGTCTTTCTCATTTTGCGCAGACTTACCCAGGTTGCAATGCTAGGGAAACTCTTATGCTGATTAATTAGCACTTCCAATTGGCGAGTGAATTCCTTCTGCTGTGCGGCATTTGGAAGATAAGTCTGGGAAGTACAGTTAGACAGGGTCTTGCTCTGCAAAGGTCGCAGAGCAGGCATGTCCTGAATAACAAGGAGACCCAGCTCATCACAAGCACGATAGAAAAGCTCATTCTCGACTTTGATCTGTGGAGTTGTCAGCAAAATTGCTCAACTCGTCAAGACAGAATTAACTTACATGCTTGCGGACCATGTTAAATCCAAGCTTTTTCAGCACCTGAAGATCGTAGACCATCGCCTCCTTGGTAGGTGGGGTATAAATACCATCTGGCCAGAAGCCTTGGTCAAGGGTGCCGAACATGAAGATGAATTCTCCATTCAATAATGGTCGAACAACACCGTCGACTGTGCCCTTTTCGATGGTACGGAATCCAGTATAGCTCTGGACCTGATCTTTGCCCAATTCAACAGTGATGTTGTACAAATTGGGCGAATCAGGAGACCAAAGCTTGGGAGAGTCAACCTTGAATTGGAATGGCTGATTTGTCGGCCCGCGGTGAGTCGCGATCACCTTATCGCCATCATGCACTGCGACTCGCACACTGCTCGTTGTGTTTACCGAGGAAGTGTGTACGGTCATGTTGACTGAATGGAGTTAGAATGTGAAGCCTAGGACTTAGCTAGGGTAACTGACCTTGTCCTTCCATGTTACCGTCGATGTCAAGTCGGGAAACATGGTTCGAAGGCACAGGCTCAATCCAGACACTTTGCCAGATTCCACTGCACGGGGTGTAGAAAATGTGACTTGGGTGCAGAGTCTGCTTTCCAATGGGAATAACATTATCACCATCATCAGTGGGATCGTGGACAAAGACAAGCCTAATTTGAGGTGAGTTTCTTTATTCTTTTTCTGTGGCATTCAGAAACTTACAGCTCGTTCTCTTGACCGGACTTCAAGAGCTTTGTGACATCAAGCGAGAAACGGAAGTATCCACCGCGATGGAAGCCTGCCTTTTTTCCATTGACAAAAACTGTGGCTTCATAATCGACAGCTCCAAAGTTGATGAGAATGTTCTGACCGTTCCAGTCTGATGGGACCTTGAAATTTGTCGAGAACCAGGAGTATAAAGTGAATTCACCCATGATACCTGTGAAGAATGGTCAACTTCATGTTCGAACAAGAAAGAAAAATCACTGAGCAACCTACCAGAAAGACCACTCTCAAGACATGACGGAATAAGAACTTCCTGCGCAAGTTCCTGCCCGAATGGCGGATTCTGAACAGCAGTAAGACCCGACGCATTCTGATACTGCCAGATACCATTCAAGTTCTGCCACTCGGATCGTTGCAACTGTGGACGTGGATACTCAGGCCATGGATCAGTGCCTACCTTATCTGTCCATGGTGTCGTCAAAGGCGGCTCTTTGAGAGAATATCCAGCAGCACGAGGCTGCTTCGCCGATAATCTTGCAGTATCGCCTCCTGGATGTGCCAGGCTAGTGCCCGCCAACAGGGACAACGCAACACTCCTTAGGATATGCATTATTGACAAACTTGACTAAAGTCTGCAAGGAAAGAAGAGATGGCTACAACAAACTATCCCAGAAAAGAAAAAGAAAACATTTTACCCGTAGTAGCGCGCTCTCTTGGCTTTTATGCTCAATGCTACATTATGCCGGACCCTGAATATAGCCGAGAATACCGAGAAGTCGGTCCATCGCATCGAACTAGGATAGGAATGGAAAGGAGACCAAAGACCCCTATGAGCTATTACAGCACTCCAAGGTATGTGTATTGGTTCTGCCCAGCCTCGCGAGGGATATAATCCCCACATAAACTAACTCAATGAGCCCCGCACAAGAGCTTACAGGGGATTCCGCTCCAGACCAAAACACAATGCTGACGGTGTGCAGTGGGCCTAAGAAGGAAGTATTCGAAAGGGCGACTTCTGCTTGGCAGGCATGGTGGAGTAAATGCCCAGACTGGAAGGTGCGTCCCAATTGAAAACCAACTAACTAAACAAGCGTAACGATGGCTCGGTGTGGGGAAAATCCGGAGAAATACTGATATTCTCACCGATTCAAACACAAGCAATTCAACCGCTTTTTTTACAATAGTTGATTCCATTGCAAGCCGAAAGATTTGACAGTAATTATCGGCCGGATCTATTGACTCATTAACCTCTGGACCAGATTTCGGAGCCAGGAGACGACGAATGAGAGCGCATCGGAAATGCAGCGCAGAGAAACTCAATAACGCATGGTATCTGGAATGCAAATCTCACTCGCTCCCTAGCCCTGGTCGCGTGCTTTTTATTGTGGAGAGCCATCGGCCGTAGCACGGCATCTGCATCTCCGTCGTGATTTGATTCAGGTTTTATCCTTTTTCTCTTTGACTCCATGCACCAGTAGATCATCATGACATATGTGAGCCGTAGACCCCGGATCTTTTTCAATCCTTCGTGACTAAGATTCTCGGCACTCTGTTTTCGCCGAGGTGATCGATCATCCCCACGGAATCCCTTGCAGCCGCACAGATCATCTCTGTCTCGGCGGGCTGAAGCGCTCTTAAGACCCAACAGCAAGGCATTTTCTCCCGCACAAGACAGATTGTTATTCCCGCACAGACGTGGTATGCTTGGGTCTCATTTTGTCGTATAAGCGGCTGCACATAATGAAGCAGAGTAGTGAAAGCTGACCTCGTCCCCCCTCATCTTGACTTGGCGCGACGATCGGTCTGGTGTGATTGGGTGGCTGGGAGGTATGGGTCCACGGCTCCGCTGGCATTTGGCTGATTGCCTTTTCTGTACCGGAGTTTGGCCATTTGGATCTCCAGGTCTCTTTGTTTCCCCGCATAGGGGCCGCTTGAGTTCCGGCGGTGTGATAATTTGTTATGAGCATCGGAGACGGAGAAAGCGAGATCGTGGCCAAAGCCGAAGCACGTGATAACATCTTTCTTATATACAAATGTTAGGGTTTGGTTCGTACAGGTGCGTGACTACGGGGGCTCATAGTCGGCAGAAAACCACGATACCTGTAATACAGCAACACCCAGGGCTCCAACTATAGGTCCTGGATATCACGAACTATGCTTCGAATCTTCTTTCTGAGATATATCTTTAAGATATGATCTTTTTTTTTTCGTTTGAAACAAGCTTACTAGTATAATATGGAACATTTATACAAGGTATTTATCTTTATCTTTCCATTGGTCTTTCTAATTGTATTTCTACTTGTTTTTCTATTTGTGTCGAGCTTACAGTACAGATAGCGGTGTATTATGCGGTAAATGTTAATATAGGGCCAAGGGGGTTATTTCTCGCTGGCCGCTATGGCTCCCCGTGAATGACTGAAAGATCTGACAAATTATGCAGGAACACCATTCCTCACTGTCCCGTAGCTCTTCATTGTCCAGTTTCCAAAGCAAGCGTAGCTATACTCAGCTTCAACCAGAGACTTCTTTTGGACCTCTAAGAAAGTGGACAATTCGCACCAACCATCATCCCGGTATTCACAAGCCTCAAAGCTGGCATGGAGTGGAATGGTTCGCTGGTTTTGAATGAAGTGCACGTAGTAAGTTTCTCCACTTCCGGAAACATAATCAGCAGTCTTGGTCTTCTTAGAGCGCTTAGTCGACACTTCATGTGGTGCCTTGATGATTTCAATATTCAGTCGACCAGCAAAGGGAACAAGCTTGCTAGTAGAAAATTGCTGGTTTCTCGGTGGCCCGGTAAGTGGTAAATAATCGGAGAACTGAGTGAGTCCGAAGGCTGTCAAGACGGAAACAATGTTTGCGTCATGAGTGAATTCAAGGTACAGACTTTGGTTGAGGGGAAATGTAACAGGATTAGTATCGAGAGTCATGTTGCATCCAGTTTGGTTTGCAGGAGCAGTGACAAAGTGTCCCTCAACTCGAGCCAAGAATTCCTCAACCCAGTATTTGCCTTGTGCACGGCCGGTAGCACTGAGAAAGCCAGACATAGCAGCGAATTCAATATCCATGAGGTACTCATACCCTTCCCATTCTTCGTATGAGAATAGCTCGCAGAACGGACTATAGCCAACACTGATAGTTTCATACGGACACAAACTTTGAGCGTGGTAAGTGTCAGTAACAGTCCAGTCGTAAGACCCTGTCAAAGTTTTGAGATACGCAGTCCTGTCCTTCAAGTATGTCTCCATCCATGTACCGACAGGAGTCTCGATCGACTCCAAACTCTCAAGCTCCTTCGTGCATGCGTAGTCACCGGTGACCGCAGAGTCAACAGTAGCGAGAATATTGGCATTATCGCGCCAACTGAGGCCGAAGAAACCGGCAAGGAAGTTTTCGCAACTTTCCAACATGCGAGATTGCAAAGTCGTACGAACCACAATTTTAGAGGAGTTGTCGTAAAGATGACCGTAGTTGTAGTAGTTGAGGATACCGCTGTCAAAGAGTTCTTGTCGGCCGACAGGAACGAGAATCTCTTCGCCCAAGTTGTAGGTCCAGTCATTCAAGAAATCTAGCCCGCCCTTGAAAACAGTGCCATTCTTTATGGCGCTGGCGATACTTACACCCCACGAGCTTAAACCCTCGGATGAAGAGGGATAGCGGGAGCCATGGCGCTGAAGCATATGCATGTGGGTGATATTAGCCCCCTTAGGAAGAGGGTATTCGTCTACTCCGAAACCTTCTTTTGGCGAGAAGTAAGGGCTTTTGATATATAGTCAGATATTTGGTGATATCCACGAAAAATGTGATTTTTGATCCTACCTTTGATCACCCATCAGATGGAAGATGTTCCGGCCATTAGCGCCCTGGATTGGCTCCGACGTCTCCAGAGGAGCATTAGGCACATAAGTAGCCTGACCGAATTGTGCTGGGTTGGTCTGCGCTAGGAAGGGAGCAGCACCAGTCTCAATTGTACCTGAAAAGAGGATTAGCGATTTTTCAGTTGTCAAAATGAAATCAGTTCCTGACCAGCATAATTATCGGGAGATGTTTGGAACCAGTTGGCTTGAGTCTGAGATGCGCGCGGATGAACTGCATTTGCCTGCGCAACTGAGGCAACGGCAAGAGAAGCCACGACAGCAGCCTTTAATTCACCCATCTTTGAAGGATCAATTAAGTCGTCTCAAACCATCAGCCTGCTGTGGAAGCCGGAAGTCCTCTTATACCCGAATACATCCCTGCTCGATGATTCAATTCCATTGCACCGCTCAGATGTCGGCAAATATTGTGGCGTAGAAACGACTGTCGGCAAATCGGATGAAGAGAAGCCGTTTGAATGGAAGATTCAACTGGCTTCAATCACCTTCAAGTAGTTCACCACGTGGGGAGCAGGCAATCTTACGACGGGACTGATGGGGCTTGTCAGGGGGAATTGGACCAACTAGCGTGGGCTATTACTATAAGCGAGGGACTAGTGCCCGCGCTATCCCCAACCCGAGAAACCTTGTGCATACGAAGTATACGAACCCCAATTCTCAGTCTCGTTCAACAGAACAATTTGATTCGAGCATCCGGAATTAAATGTATAATTAATATAGTTATGCAGATTGTGTATTTACCTGGATCGTATCATATCCGACTTCCAACGTTTTATATGGCCGAATTTAGAAGGTGGTTCGTTTGTCAAATTTAAAGATTCTAAGTTTGGATAGGAACACTATAAAGCCCGAAAGTTTAGCCTGTATTATTCCGATTAAGCCGAGTCCATGTGCTGGAGGTAGTATAGTGGGCCAAGCCCCTCTAAAGGACCTTAGAAGTCCCATTCAGCCGGGAGAGGAAAAAGTGTGCTTAAACTTACAACTCTAGCTCTATGGGATTTAAATAGTAGATAGAGGTCAATCTCACAAACTTAAAAAGAAATTGGATTTGAAAGATTGAATAATACTAGTGTTTGTGAATTGTCTTGGTGATTAGAAGGTTGTAAGGAAGAACAGAGATATATGAATCCCATAAATCTTTCATGGCCAAATATTTATATTTCTTGAGAATCAAAAATCAGTCGCGTGCATCGCGTGCACAATGAACTATTCGAGAGTTCAAGGTTGTTGTGCATCTTAGAGTCGTGAAGAGTAAGTAAATGGAGAAAGGTCTGTTCTGAGATAGCCTCCAATGGTTGTTCTTCCCGAGATGCTGGATCCCTAGATTGTAGCATTCCAGTACCCATTTGCCAATAAACATCCAAATCAAGCTTGACTGTGGAGCCACGTAGGACACGTGCATTCCTGACCTGCATTCTTTGCAATCTTAACGTTACAAGCGAGGACCCCCCAGGTGCAAACCCCCACCCTGCAAAATCTCGGCCGCGGAGGAACCTGGCTCTGAGACGATACCATAGTACCAAGATTGATCAGCGAGATCCTCCTCTATATGGGATCCAAGTGTCACGGTGACCGAGTATGTTAAAGTACCCCTCAAAAGTACATCCCATCCGTCAAACACATGATAGATAGATTGCCGGAAACGGAAAAGCCCGTTGGATGTCAACTCCAGCTCGGAAATACCCGAACTACCCATGGATATGACCTAGAGCACAACCAAGATTAAACCATACAGCTTGGGATAACAATGTTATTATTCTGAGATGTGTATCTGCAGAGCGGGGAACTTTATCGGGAACTTTATCGGATTCAGAGAGCAAGGCGACCGCAAGAGGTACATAAGTACAACTATCGGGATTCTCGCAGACACTCCCGAAACCCAATTTAGCTCAGCAAATTCGTGAACTGTAGATCAAAAGATCTAGTTCAATGGACCAAAAGCTGATCGGCAGCTAAATCTTCACATTTCTCGGAAGATCGCCCTCGCATGGCTGAAGTTTGACAGGCTGCAGGCTTACTCTCTATGCCGCAAACGGTAGCGCTCAGTCTCAACACTGCGACTATGAGGGTGTTAGCTCTACTCTCGAACAAAATATTCAACATGGAAATAGTATTGGTATTCGTCTTGTTTGATCGTAAAGAAGGAGTCTAAAGCGTTTAACAGTAAGACTGTCAGACTTATATAGTGGGTGGTAGTACTAGTAATACCCGTGAGAGCCGCAGGAGACAAGAGCGACTCAAGTGGACAGCGCTTGCTCACAAATAAGGCAGGCACCATTTGCAACACCACAACACTGAAGCATCACAACCCCCCCCTCTCTCTCATACAAACAACTTTCTTGTCAATATTTTCAAATCACTGTGCTCCACTTGGGACTACCCCGACAAATTGTGACCTGCCTCTTTCCGTCATCAGCCCTGAGGTCCACTTTGCTGCAAGCTGCATGTGCGATGAATCCTTCCGTCGGACCCAGAGCTTTCACAATAGTGACTGACACATATCCAAACAAGCTGAAACGGGCTGACTCCTTGACATTTAACCTAGTGCGAAGGCGGACCTCTTTTACCAACTCCATCTCCACATTCCCCGGACCCACTCTCATCTGCTTCCGGTGAAGAGATTCCATCTATTCCGGAAGACCGTCAGAAAACAACAGATACTGCGTCAAGAAAAGATCTACAAACAAACAGCGAAAGGTGTGTGATGATTCGTATCCCCATTCCTCAATATATCTGTTCCCGGCGTTTCAGACTGCACCCGGCCATCTCAAGATGCAACTATCGACATGGAATTTACTTATAGCAGCCGATTGCCATACCATTTCACACAATTCTTTCTTCATTTCATTCCTGAATCCCAGCCTCCTGAATTTTGGGCTTAACTAAGTTTGTGGAATTTTAGAATGTCGTTCTCGAAGAAGACCTTGTTGGGCTTGTCTCTGCTGGCAGCACTGGGCCAAGCATCCAAGGAAGTGTGAGTGACTGCAGATCTGGCCTTACATTGGCATATTCTAGTAATTTGTATTATCGCAAAGTCTAACATTCATGGAATAGGAGCCCTCTCTTTGGCTACGGTACTGGTGACAAAGTCCGTGGTGTTAATCTGGGTGGCTGGCTTGTTCTGGAGCCCTGGATTACACCTTCAATTTTCGATGCGGCTGGTGCAGCAGCAGTTGACGAATGGTCTCTTTGCTCTGTCTTGGGCCAAGATGAATGCCGCGCTGTTCTGGAGCAGCATTGGAGTTCTTTCATCACGCAAGACGACTTCAACCAGATTGCTGCCACTGGTATGAACCATGTTCGAATCCCTGTTGGATACTGGGCCCTCGAGCGGCTGGATGGCGACCCGTATGTTGATGGCCAGCTGGAGCATCTCGATAATGCGATCGCTTGGGCACGAGGTGCCGGCCTCAAGGTGCTTGTTGATCTTCACGGTGGTAAGTACATCACAATCCTACTTGCAGATCGTATCTTGTTCTAACAGTTTTTCAGCCCCTGGCTCCCAGAATGGCTTTGACAACAGTGGAAAGCGAGGCTCCATTGGATGGCAGCAAGGAAGCAATGTGGAAAACACCAAGCCTGCCCTGGAGGCCTTGGCTAAGCGTTATGGAGGAGATACCGATGTTGTGACTGCTGTCGAGGCTCTTAATGAACCAAGTATTCCAGGAGGTGTCAACCAGGATGGCCTCAAGCAATACTACTATGACTCCTGGGGAGTTATTCGTGAGGCTAGCCAGGACACTACTGTTGTTCTCCACGACGGATTTGTGCCTACAGAGTCATGGAACGGATTTATGAGCGAGTCGACTGGTGTCTGGTATGTTATGATGGACACTCACCACTACGAGGTCTTCGACAGCAGCCTTCTTGCAATGGATGTCAATGCCCACGCCAGTAATGTCTGCAATTTTGTCAACCAGCACGTTGTCACCAGTGATAAGTGGACCATTGTCGGCGAATGGACCGGTGCCATGACTGACTGTGCCAAGTACCTCAATGGCAAGGGAATTGGGGCTCGCTACGACGGAAGCTACCAGGGCAGCCAGGCAATCGGAAGTTGTGACGGAAAGTTTACTGGAACTGTTGATGGATTGGCTCAGCAGGACCGCGACAACATTCGCCAGTTTATTGAAGCCCAGCTCGATGCTTATGAGAAGGGTGCTGGTTGGTTGTATTGGACCTGGAAGACTGAAGGTGCTCCTGAGTGGGATATGCAACAGCAGATTGCTGGAGGAGTCTTCCCCAACCCCGTTACTAGCCGTCAATTCCCCGGCCAGTGCTAGATCAGATCGAGTTCCTCTTTAATTCTCTTTTCGGTTTCAGTTTTATATTTTTCAATTGGGATTTCTTTGTTTGGAGTTGGTTCGGAATAGGCTGCTGGGACTTTTCGAGCTTGTTTTGCAAGCTAATCAGCCATTAGGAGTTTTAGGAGTATAGTTAGCCCAACCCTACTTGGAAGGGTCTTGATTCGGAATTAAACTTGTTATTTCATAAGGCTTCTAAACACGATGACATCTTTTTCTCAACCGGTAATCGGGTATTAACAAATATTGGATTGGAAAATTTCATAAATATCCGGTATAACTTAAGACAGAAACAAATTATAGACCATGCTAGTAGTGGTCTATTTGGTTTGGAGGTTACTAGAACGGACAAACTTTCGTATTCAGGTACAAATTTACAATATGATACAAATATACCAAGACTAAAATTTATGTCACCCTCTTGAACCCCAAATGACCTCAAGAAGACTTCGGGCACAGCCGCCCATTATTGTTCCACGAGTACGGCAGAGGATCAACAGTCTGAACCTCCCAATCCTCAGCACCAACAGCAGTAAGAGCAAAGAAAAGCCCCGTAGGATCATACTTCTGCTTAAGCTCATACAAGCGAGGATAGTTTACTCCATAGAAAGCCTCCTGCTGGTTTGGCTCAAGAAGATCTGCCTCGCTCATATATGCGCCTGAGTCTGGGGCGATCTCACGCAGTACATCCATCCACTCGGTAACGAAGAGCGATCTGCTCTTCACCACGTCCCAGGAAGATGTGAAATTCCACTCACTGCCGAAGATTACGTGGGTCAGGGTATCGCGCCATGCGGGTAGCACGGAGTTATCCTTTGGTGGCTCGACGGCGATACCGGTACCGCTGATGTGGAAACCGGCGATGAACAGGCCCTGGTTTTTTGTTTAGTAAGTTTTTTCCCCTATTTTTTCCCCTATTTTTTCTTGTTTTTCTTTACGTACCTTGTCTACGCCGTCTTTGTAAGCGACCCAGGTTTGATTTAGGAGGTCATCACACTGGAACACACTACGGGGTAGCAGGCGGGATGCAGTTTTGACAACATCTGTTCCCACATACTCCTGTGGAAAAGACACTTCCCAGGTGTCATGGCTAGAAGATTATTAGCTGGATGCTTGAGAACGTGATCACGAAAGGGAGCATGTAAATCATACAAGTTATCGGCAGTGTTCCACCAAGGGGTGTAAGTCACGTTGAGGCTGTCAAGAGTTTCAAACCAGGGAGCCACAAGGGCCTTGGTCTCAGATAGACTCATGTTTGGAGCGAGGAAAGACTCCATGCGGAAATAGTAGTCTGTGTCGCCAGCATACGTGGTGCCAATCTCAGCCGAGCTAGCGCCGATGTAGTAATAACCGTAAGTACCAGCATCAACAAATGTCTCAAAGTTGTCAAGATACGACTTCACAGCAGCCCAGAAGGCGTCCGGGCCTGGGGTGTCGTTGACTGTGAAGTTGAATGTCACGGAGGTAGTTTCGAGCTTGGGAAGAGCCTTCACTACAAGTGAGGTGACGACACCGATAGTGCTGCCACCGCCGCCGCGAAGCATCCAGAAAACATCCGAGTTTTCAGTTGAGCTAGCAGTGATGAAGCGGCCATCAGCCAGAACAACTGCGTGTTACCAAGTCAGAAACCTTTTCAAACATGAAGAGTGGAGTGGGGGAAAATTCATTCACCTTGCATAGACAGGACCTGATCAGCTGCCAGACCGTACATGCTGGACAAGGGAGAATGGCCACCGCCAGCAGTGTAGCCACCACCAAGACCAACGGTAACAGCTTCTCCACCGACAACCGAGTGACCAACAGACTTGGCAAACTCATAAGCCTCCCAGACCTGGACACCGGAGCCAAATTTCACAGCCGGACCAACATAATCATTGGCAGCCTTGAAAGACGGATAGTACTCTTTGTCCTTGAGGTAATGAGTCCAAATAGTGAGAGCACCCTTCCCAGAGGCCTTTCCATTGAAATCATGTCCGGTATTCTTAACAACTAGACGCAGATTCAAGTTGCGAGCAAGGTTGACCGCGAGCTGGATCTGAGCCACGGTAGAAACATTAACAGCGTACGTTGGGTAAGCGCCCTGTGTACAAGTACCAGTATAGTTATACGGCGAAGGCAAGCACGAGCGACCCTCGTATAGCGGCAACATAATAGAAGTGGGATCCGACATATGCAAATTTGAAGTAAGCCAGTCGGCAGTGATGGTCTCACACTTTGTAGCATCATACTCTGGCCAGTCTGGATAGCAGTATGCTGCAAGTGGAACAGTCTTGATCAATTTTCCATCAAGCAAGGCATCAAAGATGTCCCAGATTAGATCTATAGGCCATAGAAAATCACCGGGCATCACTTTGCAGCTATGGGAAAGACTTCGCTTAGTCTGCTTGGAGGAATCGGAGTTGTTCGCAAAGGCGAACATATTCGCCAGAGTTTGATTTTGCAGCTGTGTCGAGACATCGTTCAGAACGCCGTCGGTCAATTGAATTGACTCATATGAGAATGATGAAGCATCCGATACAGATGTGGCTGCTACAGTAGTCTTTACTGCTGCCCCAGCAGCAAGCGATGCGCTGGCGACAAGGCCAAGACCCCAGATACCCTTCATTGCAATTGATGATCACAATCAAACTGAAAGGTATAAACACAGGGGGAAAGAGAACCAAAATGAAACAAAATAAATAGGATGTAAAGAGCCAAGGAGTAATAAAGCCCCTGTCAATAACGTGGTTGAGCGGGACCACCGCTTGAATCTGCTAACAGCAACCGGCACTTCTGGCCACGCGGAAACGGAACCGAACTCTAAGTGTGTACGGCCGAGTTCTGGATTTGCCATAGGTTCAAGCCATTTTGTGTCTTCAAGGACCAGTGCCGACAACCATGCAGGATCCAGTGTACGAATAGTGCTCATTGGAGGGCTAGACGAACGCCACATTGCCCCGTCGCTTTAGTACGGATTATAGAGTGGTTGTCTAACATTTATACGGTGCTTATACTTCCTTAGGCATGGTCGGTAGAAACCTCGCATGCTTCATCCCTTGAATTTGCCGCCTACTATTTTCTTTTTTTTTCTAGCGTGATCTAGTCTCCTAAAGAACCCCAGCCACATTTCCCAAGGCCGTGTTTTCGTACTTTGTTTTGGTTGTTAGAGCCCATGAGAAATGAGCAAAGCTGTCAGGCGAGATAATTGGAATTCTCGCGAGTCATTAGTACCTTTTAGGGTTGTGCTTTGAGATTTAAGTCTCAAGTTTCTAAGATGATTTTCATAATTTCTTCTCAATCAATGCATATGTGGCATGCAAAATGCCCAAGGCGTGCAGTGCAACTTGAACCCGCAGAAATTTTCAACGCGGCACAGTATATTGCCTTGCATAATAACCCGCAGCTACTAGTAGTGTACGCCGCATGCGGGGGCACTCTCGATGAATACATTAGTTGACCTAGTATTATGATATTAGAATTGTTATTACCGACAGCGCAATCGCAACCCTTGCTCATTATCCCGTTAGCGCAATTTAGCGCAAAAGAATCCTCGAGGCTCACGCGACATGACCACAATCCAGTTATTTCTGGAGTGTTTCAAAGTCTTTTGGATCAATTTAGTTCTGAACCCAGAGTGTCGATACATCTGGATAAACAGTCGATCTTAAATCATGAGATCGACCCAAAGATCGATAAATAGTCAAATCTGTTCTTCCTGACTTCTTGGGGTTGCTTCGGAAGAACACCGGCCCCAATCTAAGAAAATCAGTAAACACGATGGTGAAACTCAAACGGCACGCAATTTATTTAGCGTCTACGGGGGAGATGCCGAGGAAATTAAGGTCGAAAGGACGCAGGATTTGAAACCCTACCACTCACTGATCCTGAATACGGCCTTCCAGTGGTGGAATTTTGCGGACTAACACTCGGATGTGGTCTTCATATGGATCTTTGTCCTATTCAGGCGTAGTGCACCGGCGTAAGGTATTGTATTCAAGACCCACCACCACTTAAAATACCACATACTGACCGATTAACATGAGATCTGGCTAAATCTGGTATTGGCAGTTTCATAAATTTCCAGTAGCATCGACTATGGGTTACCGATATTGCCCTGAAGGAAGAATTAGGTTGCCCCCAGGATTAGATGCGGCGATTGGGTCCAGATATTGGAGTATGCGAAAAGAAACAGGTTTTTGAATCATGTACCTAAGTAAGACAAGACTGTAGTTCATTGCATAGGGGCTTGATGCTTATGTACAGAGCCCGGCGCCGCCGAGTCGAATATTCTTCTATCGCCAGCTACAATTTGAATATACTAGTATGTTCATACAGAGTAAAGTGTGAGATTTAATTATGGGTTCAAGCGACAATTTACAACCCCAAGCTATTGGCTTGATCTTTGGCTTTCCTGCCGTCGCAACTGCGGCTGTGGTGCTACGAATTTACAGCCGAGCGTTGACAAGATCATTTGGTGCAGGTAGGCTCAATCTCTCCCCTTGTGCTTTTCAGAGGAGTACTCTGACTCGAAATAGATGACTGGGTTATCTGTCTTGCAATTGTAAGTTCTCGAACTGCTCAGATTTTGGGTTCGGTAGGTTGATAGATCTGCAGATCTTTTACTGGGCGGAGACGTTCACATCTTATAAAGGTAAGGTTCGCACGACAGGGCCACTTCGACAGGTGGTGCAATATGAGACTTATCATCATTTAGTAATTATCTATACCTACATTGGATACAACGTCGGGGATATTCCAAAAGATGCCCCTACTATATTGGGTTCAAAATACGCCTACGCGGTATGAGAACAAACCAGGATTTTCAAAGGAGACGAAAATTTTTCTTTGCTAAAACTGAACAGACTGAACTCATTTACAATCCAATCCTAGCCCTCGTCAAAACATCTATCCTTCTTTTCCTGCTTCGACTCACCGGTCAGAAAAAGTTGGTGCGCCAGGCCATCTGGGCATTGTTGATCTTGAATGGAGTTTCAGCTGCCATCACATTTTTCATCACAGTCTTCCACTGTTTACCTATCGCTTCTAACTGGAATTCGGCCGCGTACCCTCACGCAAAATGTCTTAACTTCGCCAACTTTGTTACCGGAACAGCCTCGGTCTCCATATTCACCGATTTTCTCGCTTTAATGCTGCCAACATGGATCGTATACGAGCTTCAAATGCGATGGAACCAGAAGATAATGCTAATCGGGATTCTATCATTCGGTCTCTTGTAAGTAATCAAGTCATGCTTTATCAACAGGATTCTTACAATCCCAGAACCGTTACTGCAGGTGTTGTCCGCGTGATCCTCCTCGATAACTACGATCGACACATTCCTGAAAATTACACCCACACAGTCCTCTTCTGCGTTTCAACAATCGAAGTCGGTCTATCATTTGTCGCCACGTGTGCACCATCTTTCAAACCCCTAGTCGCACGTTTCTTGCCTAAACTCTTCGGTGCTTCAGGTCGCTACCAAAATGGTTCTACTGGCCGCAGCGGTCGTGCTCGACAGGGGTATAATCTTCACGATGCATCGAATTTCAGCCGTAACCAACATGAACGCAACGTTACTCTTGTCGAGGCTAATGATGCGGAGGGGGGCTACGGACCTACACGAGGGGATACAAAAAATGGAATCACAATGACTACTCAGTTGGAGGTTACTTGGGATAAGTCCGCTCGTATGGAGCAGCATACCAATACAAGCAGTATGGAGAGTCTTGTGGGTGCAGATTAGGTCGATGTGTATTAAAAAAGTATGCATGTTCATAATAGAGGGAATCTTCCAGGACCTAGCTCTTGGGTCTTATGGATATGTTAGATTGGCGATCGATTTTAATGGACTCCATTGTTGTGGTGTGCCAAGCTTCGAAGACTTTCAATATCGAGTTGATTGGCCTAGTTTTATATGTATTCATAGTAGGCCGGCCGCTAGACTACTAAGTGCTCTACGACATGATCTTCAGGCATAATACGGAGAATACCGACATTCGTGGAAATCCCCGAATTGGCAATCTCCGCCCAATACGAACAAAGACCTTCAAAGTCATCAATTATCTCTGGACGTTGTCTGGCGACAGCTATAAATACTAGAAAACTTCTCATAGTATCCATGTTCAAAGCTCTTCCCTTACAGTTTTCTCTCAGTCACCGAAATACCCATTTCAACCACAACCAGATTGTCCAAGTATACTTTATCCATAAGTATGCTAGGCGCAAAACTCAGATTATACTACACGCCAGAGCAGTTAAAGCGGTATGGCGTCGAAAAATATGGACTTCTTCACACGTATCCATATTCACGAACAAATATTCCAGCGCTCCGAGATACCATAGGAAGATCCTGGATGAGTTCACTCCCGTCATATTCCCTCATCCCCGCATGGGGGAAATCCCTTGCTCTACACTGTCGGGTAGCTGGCGTGACGGATGTCCTTGAAGTCGAAAACTGGGCGGGTACTCTGCTATCTGGATGGCGAGCGAGAATCCACAGCTACAAGTGACTACTATAGACATGAACCCCAGGGGTGCCAACGTGACAAAAGCAAATATCGAGGATGCGGGATTAGTGAATAGGATTGAAGTGCTTGAGGGTGATGGAGTCGATGTTCTGACGCAGGTTCGTGAACAGGTTTTCGCCGGCTCGAGGCCGCTGTACGATTTTTTTTTCATCGATGATTTTAAGGGGAATGATTGGCGGTATTTTCAACTTGCGCGGGAGATTGTCAAGCCGAACTCGGTTATATGTGTTGATGGTGTGGTTCAAGATAGTCAGGTGGTAGACTTTGATGATTCTGACCCGTCTGTTGAGGGGAGTCGAGAGATGATTGAGAAGGCTGGGAAAGAGCCTGGTGTTGATTCTGTTCTTTTGCAGACAGTCGGTGAGAAGGGCTATGATGGATGGTTGTGGGCAGTTGTTAGTTGAAGTCGAGTTATCACAGTATGCCTTTTGGCGTAATAGGCTCAGAAATGATCAGAAATGGATTTAAATTGGGTATGTTGCTAGAATATTCTAAGAAATGGAGATTTTGAATGCAAATGCCAACGCGCACGTATGTATGCAAAGACGCAATGCAGAGCAAGAAAAACAATGGAGGTTATCAAAAACTTCCTACCGTCCCTCGGAAAGATACACTGACTTATATCAATCCCAGAGCACCGAAAGCAGAGACCACTTCACCATCAACGTTGACCAGCCACTCTTCCTGGAAGCGCTGTGCACCACCACACGCATGGATAACCTGTTCCAGGCGTTGACGGACAAAATCACGCATTGGGAATTGGTGGATTGCATCCGCAGATTCCCATTCATTTCGTCGGCGATTTTCGGGTGTTTCGACTTCCTCCGTGTTCTCTGGGTTGGCGGTTTCTGAGCCCTTGGCTGCGTTCCAGTAAACAAGGTAATCTGCATTGGGGTCTGAGCCACCCTCAGCGAGTTCAACGATGATATCAGTCCACATGGTGAAATAGGACTGCAAGTGATTCAGGATAAATGGAGGTGGGCCTTGCAGAGTCAGAAGCTGGGTAAGAGCTAAGGCATGCAACTTCTTCTGGTTGGTGCTACCTATGTTATCGTAATGTGCGAACCATTCGGTGAGAATCCATTGGAAAGCTTGTTCTTCGGTGGAGTTTGTTGCGGCTGCAACAGCAGAGGCGAAGATGGTAGGGTTTCCGAGCGCCAAGCGAGCAAGAACAGAGAAGTAATCTGTTTCGATGACACCAACGACATTTGAAACCTTTCTATGGGGTCCAGATGTCTGACTAGCTTCGTAGGCGGAGTACAAGCCCTCCAGAAGGGACTGGAGGAAGGATGTCTCGAGAAGTGATCGTGAAATGATACTATATGTTGACTCGCTTCCGCCATCGACGCTCGCAGCACCTCGAATCATCATTTCGACGAGGCGAGGAACTACTCCGGTCCGCATTTTAGTTGTGTAGGAAAGTGTTTCTTTCAAGGAGCTCAATAGCTGGTCCCGGACTCCATCACGGAGGACCTCTTGTGGTGCGAGGAAGATGTACGATTCCATGATGCTCAGAGCTTGAGGTGTACTGTCAGTTCCTTGTTCGATGATAGGGAGAACTGCAGGCATCAACGAGATAATCTCAGGCGAAGCTGGTGTGGGTGTCTGCATGATAATAGCAGCCCATAGCTCCAAGGCCTCGTCAATTAGGTATATGAATGTTTCCTGGATATCATGCGATGTTAGCGACATTCTTATTCAAGTTGAAAATAGTTCTTGATATTCCACACTCACAGAGTTGAGGTCTACAGATCCTTGGATGAGAGGCAGAATAAGTGAATGGTATCGAGCAGACTCCTGTTTTAGCGAATGTATGAGGGACGACAAGAGTGTCAATATAGCCTGTTTCATCAAATGCTCGTCCCCTGATTCTTCCCAAAGGGGTGGAAGCAGTGACAAGATGGCGTCCGAAAATGGAGCAATCTATGAGAATAGTTAGCATCGTAATCATCAAAAAAAGGTTGGAGAGACTTACGTGATGTTCCATCTTCACGACAACAACCCTGACAGTCTCCAGCAATCCCATTTTTGTTTCAGCAACGTCGACATCTTGGACCAAAGACATGAGGTTGCCTAGAATGGACGGTGCGTATGGAATGAAGGACTCTGGTGTAAATTCATACGGTTCCAGGATTTGGCTCAGCTGCCGACCGGCAGTGATGCGAACAACTAAATCATTCAATGGGTCTTCCTTGTTCAAGAGGTGCTGGAAGATCTGATAAACAGCATTGATATTCAGTTTCTCGTACTGGATGGGCACCCATTGCCCAAGAACCATGGGTATACGTCTCCTCAAGAGTCTGTATTCTTGGTCTTGGATTTGGACTTCAGGAACAACAGTGCCTTCCAAGAAGGTATTAAAATCCAAGTGCTGTTCAAGACTAGCTGCGGCTAGTCCGATCGCAGAATACAACGAATCTTTCAAAATGACGTCGCGGTTATCGGTTCCTGCAATATTTAGTTAGAATCGAAAGATCTAGGAGGTCAAAGGAGCTGAATGGTAGAAACTTACTTGCGAATGAATGGAATACATCAAGCAAGCGATCAATGAGTAGACCCTTGAAGTGAATAACAAGATCGAGGAATAGCTTCTCAGAGCATGAGCGGATCGAGAACTCCCAAGATGCGCTGCTCGTCTCCTCGCGCTTCTCCCACTGCTCGGGTTCCTCTTCCCATTCCTCAAAGTCAATATTTCGGAATCTGAAAAATTGCGTAACAAGAAGTTCCATAGTATCCAAGACGAATTTGTCAGTGAAGAGCTCAGTCTTGATCCGCTCAACTGCCAGTTTCCTTTCATCTTTATCTTCCGCAGTCTGGTATTTGAAGGTATGCACCGGATTGAAAGCCATCTGTGCGCAGGCTCTAATCAAAAGCAAGGCCCGAAGACCTGTCTTTTCTGGTAAAGATTGACCTTCAGTCTCGGAATCAACGCCAAGACTTACATAGACTTCACTCAGCTTTTGAAGCACCCTCCAGTAGGTCTTTACGAGGTCAATACTGTGCGCAAAGTGCGCAAAAGATGCTGCATGGGTCTTGGCCATTTCAACATGAAGCTTAGAGAGCTGCAGAATATGCTTCTGAATCGCTCTTTCGATGGAGTCGGGAAATTTTCCTGATTCGTTCACCAACGAGAGAAATTTTACAAAATGCTCATAGGTCAAAGTCCAAAAGTTTTGAACCTCTTGATCACGACCAGGATGTTCAAATCCAGCGATGATGAGGCGTCTCAGAACTTTGAGAGAGACTAGACTCTGTTCAATTGCTTCCAGCAAAGATGATTCATCGCCACTTCCATGTTCTAAGATTGACACCCAAGTATTGACTTTTTCCACATAGATATTACCCAGCACATGGAACAGCTCGGGTGAGACGGACTGAAGCTGCACTCTGGTTCTTTGTATCCGCGCCGTAGATAATTCTTTGATGATCTGTAGAAGAATGACGAGCGTGCGAGGAAGCTGAAGAGGGTTGGCGCCAGGTTGCGTGGAGGATCGGAGGGATTCGATGACGGTAGAGATTGCATCGGGCCTTGACATAGTCAGTTAAATATACTCCATCATGGTAACCTCATTTAAAGAAATTCGCACCAGTCATGAGGAAACTCATATCGAAGGATCTTAGCAATCAGCAAGGCGTTTTGAAGGGCGAGAGCACGGGCCGGTTCCATGATGCCAGCCTGCATGGCGCGCGTTTTGATCGTCTCTTTCTCATCTTTTCCGATCGCACTTCGTTGTCTGTTAGTTGTGTTTATTCGGGCCCTGTCCTGGGAAGCCCATCGTGGAACGTACTTGGTTGCTGTTTTTCGCCAGAACTTATCGATGCCATTTTTCAACTGGATAATCGCAAGGTATCGAACTTCGGTCGGGAGGGAGTGATCGCAGAACGCATCCTATTAATCGTGGAGATCAGCTAATGTCGGGCCACGGGGTTTGTTTCAAAGTCGACGACGAACGTACCTGGAGCAGAGAATGGTACGAGGGCTGTTTCTGCCAGGCCTGCAGCTGCGCAGTTCCCATCTTCAACTGTTGTTGACTAGAGCTAGCAGCCATGACCAGAGTGTTTACTACATTCTGGTAGCTCAATGGGCTTGCTTCGCCCGGCACTTCGATCGCGTGTGACATGATGGCGGTAGCCGAGAAAAAAGAAAAGTTGAGATCAACGATACGACCAGCTCAAAAGTGTTACAGTAGAGCCTGCGAGGAGTATAGATCGATGTTAGAAGAGGTCGTCCATAAATAAGGACCTCGGATGATCTGCAGCGATTCGGTGCGACAATCAACAAACGCATCCAACCTTCCTACAATTAAGCTTGACCGCGATCCTCCCCTCCGCGGGACCGGAAGTATAGTTTTCCCTGCCCGGCGGAAGCCCTAGGTCTGAACCCTAACTGAGGGCCAAATCGGGTTAGACTGACAAATGGAGTCCATGAAGTCACTGCGATGAGTAAGAGAGGGTCCTGGCGATATCATAGCTCCTAACCTTGTTTTCGAGGGTTCTCATTGACAGGTTCAGCTTTGTCTCTGCCAGGATGATATCTGTCGCATTCATCACTCTCATTGGCGGAACAGAAGCCATGTCTATGATATCTACATGATGCAACTAAAATTAAAAGCTGTTGGTTCAAGTATAAATGACTTCCAAAGTGTAGAGCTAAAATACTCGAATTTAATCCACGAACATCTTTCAATAATCCCTCTTTCATTTATATTTTCAGAATTTTTAACTCCATTCAAAAAACATACAATCATGGCTCCTCACTTCGAAGAACTGCGCAAGGCCGCATATGATGCTGAGAAAGACCTCAACTCCTACCAGGCCAAGCAAGGTCTTGGAAATAAGAGTGACTCTAGTGAGCATCCATCCAGGGAAACACATGAAATCATGTTGCATACATTCTAACAAATCTCAGCCGTCGAGTCCGGTGTCAACGAGAATGCTGCTCAGCGATTTGCCGAATACGGTGCCGATGTGAAATACGGACCTGGCTCTACTGCATCTGGCAGCGACCACCGCAAGATCCCCGAAGACGAAGGTGGCACTCGTGATGACCGCGGAAGGTACGCCTCTTTTGACAAAAGTACCACAGTTACATCATAATCAATTCTAATCTCGATTCCGATCCATCTAGACTCCCAACTGCTGGCCAGTTCAACGGTACCGGAGGCCCCGAAGACAACGTGAAGATCGACTCAGAGAACCGCCCCGGTGATCAAGATGCCCTCAATCTGCAAGACATGAAGCGCCGCGGTGTTGTGGAGTAAAAGTTTTGTATTATTATTGTTATGAAGCCTTGACCTCTAAACCCCTGGTCGCTACGATGTATGAATACAAATATGGCATTATAAGGAATTGATTTCCGGTTCCCTGTGCAAATCAGAAGAATAGACCTTCATAAATGGATGTTCTGGCCAAATGTTCAGAAAACTTCGAGTGGTGGCTGTAATGGCCACGACTATAGATCAGGGAAGATCGGTACTTTGCTCCGTACCCTAAGCCTAATTAACCTATAAAAGAGGCTATTATATAGCCTTGGCGCCCAGTGGAGGCCCAAGCCAGGTTTACTCTCGCCAGTTCAGAGGACTATACTACCGCGACAGGCGAAATAAAACCTCTTTCTGGCTTGTCGCAGATTTAGTCTATTTAGTAACTTGTTTTCTTCCAACTCCGCTGGTCCGAATAGCAACATAACCAAGCTTTTAATAAAAGGGAGTGGCCCGCGTTTAAACCCCAGAAACCCCATAATTTCTCAATTCCATTCGTTTTTTTCCTGCAAAATTAATACCGGCAACTAATCCCCCACCCCTGATTTCGCTCTACTGTCGGTCATGCCAGTCCAAATCCACACTGAAATGGCTTATTTATCACTAAAGCGGACAAAACCGGCTCTTCAGAGCAATGATGACCCAGTCGTGGAAGTCGTGGAGCGAAACAGATTAGATGATTTTGGATTCATGGTTTTCCGAACCGATTATTCCAATGCACAGCGTTGGGAGCAGTGGGATAAGAAATTTCACCAGAGACTGGATGCTTCGCTCAAGAGGGCTAGTGGAGGAACGAAAATCGAAGACAAATGCCTTATACCAAACTATGAAGATGAGGATTTACATAATGCTGATTACCACCAAATTCAAAGGTAAGGCCATTCTCCTTCCCCTCTATTTATTTAATGTTAGTTTCTAGATGTGTTGACTATTTACCACGACAGAGCATTCAAAGGATTTTGGGATAACGAGGGAGTGCCACCAGGCCTTGACACTGGTATCTGTCTAGTCGTCGATAGAGTCGCTATGGAGTCTATGGCAAATAATAAACCGTGGGTTTATGCATTGGACTTGTCATTTGATCATAGAATCCGAGTCCCAAATGGGGAATACTCCGGTTATTTTCGAGTCGCCGTCGACTCCATTCTACCGGAACTGTACCCTATGCTCACGGCAATGTCGCCGCAACAACTTTGGCCTTCAGATAACAGAATATGGGAGTCGGAAGTTCATTAAAGACTAAGTCTCCCAATCGGAAGTTTTAATTTAATGTTAGTTCGGGTTATTTGTTCTCCATAGTTCTAGCATATACTTCAATAATCATGACTGGGCCTCGGGAGGCGTGTTCCTGAATTTGATAACCAATCAGCAGTGCAAGAAATATGCTGCCTTGTATAACGAATAAGCAAAAATTAAACACTGCCAATGTTCTACAGCCTAAAATCACATATTTCATGAGTTTCGATTGGATCGAAGAGACTTTCGTAGTACAAGCCTGGTCGGGTCAGACAAACCTCGAGACTAGTACCTCACAAGATATTTCGGTGCCTATACCTAATCAAAAGTGTATTAGCTTAATGAAAAATGGTATATTCGAAAGATTCAAGATATTTCAATTTAGTTCTTGTTGCGACGAATGTCTTGATATTGTTGAGAGCTACTAGTATCTCCAGACAAAACGGATTGTCATCAAATCGAATTAAAGACTTTTCAATACAGGAAAGATTTTACAATGATACTTTTTATTGTTTCAAAGAAATATTCTTCTTTTGTTTTTTGCAATTCGTAAACTCATGACTGCGTTCCTCGTAGCTAGTCAATTAATAAACTGTGGCTCATAGTCCCTGAGATACGTTGAAAACTCATCCATCTTCCTCAACTCCCTATCAGTATGAAAGCAATGAAAGATAGAAGCCCATTAAAAGATAAGAAGATATGGCGTTACAGCCCAGTGAAGCTTGAGTATCTCAATAACATCGACCATCTCACCAGCAATATCCATACAGATATGCAGGCTAATCTGTCACCCATGACATTTCAGAGGAGCAAATAGGCAAAGATTGCCACAAGTCCTGCAGAGAGAACGTTATGGGCAGATGCAGTCGTAATAGCCGCGGCACTTGTCTTATTTGCAGTGGAAGTCAGATTGGTGGAAGTTCCATTCACCTTCCGAGTTGCAGTGACATTGAGATTGTACTTCGACTTCTCATTCCATGGGAAAGGGAAGGTGTAGTTGTATGTGGGCTTTGTCTTTTCATAGGTCTTTTTAACAGCCTCCAAGACACCATGGCCAGCAGAGCAATTACCCTCTGTGACCGGATTTGGCCAAACATTCGAGTACTTGGAGTATGAATTATCCGACAAGGGGCCAGGGTAAGTATTGTTCAGATGGAGATGGCTTGTGTCGACCTTGTAGTTCACATAGCCGGTCTTGTTAGCCACGAACTCAAAGATGTTTGCACCACAGTCCCAGCGGCCTAGAGAGGGAAGACCCCAATTGGCAGAAACAGTAGCAATGGTGGAGTAATGCGTGTAGAATGTATCATCTGATGTACCCTTGAGATGCTCGGGAACACCACCGCCAATGAGAACGCTGAAGATTCGGTTGGTCTTGTTGTAGGTTCTGTCCTCGTCGTAAGTCAGAAGGACAACGGTATCCTCCATGAAATAGGTGTTGTTCAAGAGAGGCTCTAACCATCTCCGCTCCCAGGCTGCGCCAAATCTGACGGTGGTATCATGCGCATCGTTGGTCATGTTGGGAGTGATGAATGCCCACTGAGGAAGCTTCTTGTTCTTCAAGTCACTATCGAAGTCGGTGAAATTTTTGATTTGACGCGCGCGGCTGTCATTTCTCATGATAGAGTTGTAGAGCACCAGAGGGTTATGCTTGCGCACGTAGTCGGGTGCGTAGGTCTCTTGATTGGAAAAGTTGTATCCTTGATAGCCTGGGAAAGGGGAGTGTTCCTGAAGGGTTTGGTTAGCATTGCTTTCAGATAATTAATCAACATGATCGGACTATTCGCACCTGATACTCGGCCCATGAGATGGACTTAGTGTCGAGCAAGTCGGCAACGGTAGAAACATTCTCAGGGATTTGATGGAAGTTATCATTGTCCATTCCAAAGGTGTCACCACCGGCAGCAGCACAATAGTTGGGCTCTGAAGGATGAGCAACCGCGTAAAAGTTGGACCTAGGTCCGGTGGATAAGCATCTTGAGCATTGAGTCCAAACTTCTTTTTCTTTACTCACAGTAGAATTCCCTGAGAAGCAAACCATTCCTGGTTGTTATCCGCGGCAGAATCCTCAAAGTCCTGGAAAAAGTCATTATTGAAGAACTGAAAACGCATATAAGGGTACCACTTACAATGTTTTCCAGCCAGATCTGATAGAAACGCTTGAACGCGACGCCTTCGAAATTGGAAGTGGAGACTTCAGGGAGAGTGGTCGCCTGGGCCTCTCTGATCTCAGAAAGAGCCGGCTCTGAGGTAGTAGCCAAACTAGCCAGAGCTCCCACGGCCAAAGCTAGAGGAGCAAGCCGCGCGATCATAATAATTGTAAATTTTGCAAATTTCCACGGTGGTATGTTGAAATGGAGAGTGAGACGCGTGGGGTATGGGGAAAGGAGGTGAAGGAAGGGAAGAAAAGAGGCGAGGAAATAATCCGAGAAGTGAAGAAGAGTGAACACAGAGGGCACGTGGTGGTCAGATCGGGAAAGCCCTGGAGCCTGGGTCAGTTGAGTCAATCCCTCATTACTATGATGTTTATAATGCTGCATCCATCTCTGTAACTATAGAAACACTTAAATCTCTTGTACTCCCCGGTAAACATCAAGGCAACAAGTGCAGTGCTCAAGGGTTCGTCACACACTCCCAGCACATGTGCAAGCACGATGTCTATACCAGGATGGTTATTGGCTAATGCATATTTGGAATTACTCTGGAAGATAGATACTTAACGTGATTTGCATCCTTGGTTTAAGATCAATTATCTATCCAGCAAAGTTCCAGGTTAAAGTTAAGAGAGCTTACTTAACGCATAATCTATATTCAAGGACAACACAGGTACCGCAGGTATCACCAAATTGCATCCATGGATCAATTTGCTACCTTAAGGGACACTTCATGCCATAACTTATTACTACTCTACTAATCATAACTACAAATAAGGTCACTCCGGTCCATACTTGCAGTAAGCTGTTTCAAAGTATTCATGTATGCAAAGGTACAACTTCCGCCGCATTTAGAACCCAACAAATACTAGCTGGCCATTCTGATTCTCAATATGCTCTGACAAGTTAATTGCCTGGCGGCCTCTTTCCCCGCCATCAACTTCAGGCAAATCTGCCTCCAACCAAACACCATCGTCACAGAAGCTCAGCTCGATATTCTCGGCACTTTCGGTAACTCTGTCACCTTCCCAGGTGAAGAACCCTAAGGAAGTATAAAAGTCAATTTTTTGTGAGATTGATATTCTGATCGCCGGAACCTACCATCTGAGTTCCCGATATGTTCGTCGAGATTCAACTCTGCTGGCTCGTATGCATCGTCACCGATTCCAGCACCGGCGAGAAGAACAGTGTGATCGCCGCGGACTTCGACGCGGATATCTAAGCAGGTTTCATGGAAAGACATAGTGGTTTTGAGCTTACTTCTTGAGAGAGAAAATGAGGAACAATGATTTACTGGTTCAAATTTGACTGGGGGCTTCGACACGCGACTTTAAATACCCCGCCAGCCCTACCAAGGCCAATTCAGCTGTGTTGACAATATCCATGAAGTGTTATTGAGGGGTATCATAGTCCTTGGCAGTCAGCTGAGCCTGCAGTGTTACGGACCTATATAGAACTTGGCAGCCTAGGGCAAACGACAATCAATGATTACAGAAACGCGGTAACCTTGGAAGTCACATATGAACCAGCAGAGTAGATACTACCTTCTCCAGTCCAATATCCTACCAACTGTATTATATCTTTCTAGACCAATCCGTGAGATACATAAACAGCAATCAATATCAACAAACAAATTCAGCCGGCTTATAGTTCTCAAGCACATAATCAACATCCTTATCACCACGCCCCGAGAGATTAACAAGTATTCGTTCAGATGAAGGACGCTCCGCCGCCAACCGAATCGCAAACGCCAAGGCATGCGCACTCTCCAACGCAGGAATAATCCCCTCAAACTTCGCCATACGAAAAAATGTATCGACAACTTCCTTATCCAAGCTTCTTCCAATTGACAACCGCCCAGCTTCATACAGCATCGCAATTTCCGGCCCAACACCCGGATACGCAAGTCCCGACGCTATAGAAGAAACACTAGCAGGCGTACCATCATTATTCTGAATCACAATCGACTCAGCACCATGCAATGTACCAGGCCGTCCATACGATAACGTTGCCGCATGATTTCCCAGCTCCTCGGATATACCCAAAGGCTCCACAGCATGTAAAACAACCTCCGGATCATCAATGAAGCCCGTATAGATACCCATCGCATTAGAACCACCAGCAACACACGCAACCACATGCTCAGGCAAACTTCCATTTGTAAGGGAAGTAAACTGCTCACGCGCCTCTCTACCAACAACACCCTGAAAATCTCGAACAATCATCGGGAAAGGATGCGGGCCAATAGCCGAGCCAATGGCATAAAGCGCATGTTCATGCTGTTCAAAATATGCATTAAATGCAGAATCACTAGCATCTTTCAGAGCAGACTGGCCAGTTTTCACTGGCACCACGCGCGCACCGAGGAGCTGCATCTTCCCCACATTAGAGCTCTGCTTGCTGATATCCACTTCTCCCATGTGAACTTCGCATTCGAGACCAAAGTATGCAGCTGCAGATGCTAGTGCGAGGCCATGTTGACCGGCACCAGTCTCAGCGATCAACTTTGTCTTTCCCATTCGTTTGGCGAGTAATCCGAAGCCAACACAGTGGTTAATTTTGTGTGCACCTGTGTGGTTCAAATCCTCCCTTTTGACGAATATTTGAGCGCCTCCGACTTGCTTCGAGATGTTTTCAAGGTAATGAATTGGGGTCGGTCGTCCTTGAAATCCAATCTGGGCCTTCTTTAGAGTACTCTGGAATTCTGGCGACTGACGGAGCTCTTGATAACTGGCTGTTAATTCTTCCAGTGCAGATCGAAGCTCTTCCGGATAATGATTACCGCCAAATAGACCATAGTATCCTTCGGCATTGGGGGTGTCCTCGAAGTGAGATTTTGCTTTGTCTGACATCTTGTTCAATCTGCGAAGGCACAGTAGGTAGCGGTATTCAGTAAATTTAACTCGTCGGTGGATAAAATTTATGAGTCGCAGGCGCTTCCATAAGATGACAGAGTGAGAAATGCGTAAGTGGCTTGAATTGACTTGATAGAGTATTGGAACTGAGCGAGTATCAAAATAGTAATAGTAGTTTCATTTACCAGGTCGGGGTAGATCTTCACTTTAACGTTCAATCGTTCTCTCCCCATGGGGCCGGCGGATAGTGCACTTCACCTTCCGACCCGACCCGCCACAGCCCTAGCTCTAGCTCCGGATCCTTCGCGTGCCTCTTATCTGGTCATCTGTGAGTCACAGCAAATAATGAACAAGTTCACTGGCATAAGATAACTTGGAATAAGATTGTGCAAAGCCAGCGCCATTTCTAGGCAACATGGCCAAGACATGACCCCGATCTTAACCTTGAATGCCAACAAAGTTCTTACGCTTCCTGGATAATGCGGTCCTGCGGATCTAGTACCAGTTCTATAACTTGGTCTTCTACTATTTCTCTGGATATATTTTAATATCAAACTTGGGACGAGCATAAACGAATTGAATTAACTCCACAGTGGAGATCCAAGTATGAATTTTAGAATAGGTCACATCATGTACACAGCCTCCAAAAAGATATCCTTGAACAATCCTAAGAAACGTGTCCCCAAACTCATTCGGCCTCAGATCTCATCAGAAAACAACAGTTATACTACTTTGTCAGATCATATTGAAGTAGAAATCGTCAAAGCGCATCAATAAATGTATCTCTTTCGCTTTTCTCTTCCCTACTCTTCTGCTTAGATTGCTTCTCTGCCTCTGCTTTCTTTTTCTTCTCCTCTCCCTTCACGTCCCTATGCAGAACATGTAATTGTAGGGACATCATCTTAACTGAAATGTGGAGCTTCATGATAAGGGATCTTACTCTTTGCATATTTTGCACCTTTTCTCCGTCTTCTTATAGATCGAATCTGGGTGCACTGAGCAGCTCTTTTGATGTTTCTCTCAGAATTATTTTCCCGAATTTGACTTTTCAGTTTTGCAACTCGATCCCTTCATAGGAAAATTGTTCTTGGTACTCTTTGGATCTCCTGTGGGGCTCATGGTGATAGGATGGGATGGATAAGAGAAGCTGTATAAAGTGGAACTATCGAAGTGGAAGATCGAGCAATGATATTGAATGAGGATAAGGGATTTACTAGTTCTATTTGGGGCTCAACATGCGACTATAAATGCCCTGTCTATCATACTTGTGACATACAACTTCGCATTTCTCGCATTCTTTTCCCGTAGTAAATCCATAAATCCTTGACTAGCTTTGTCCTTCTTTTGAAACTGGGCGGAACACATCATAATAACAACAATTGTCTTAGTCCCTCCTTTCAAATAGGCCGGGAACTTTCTAAAACTCCTCGGATCGTTTTAAATAGGTACTGATGCAACTTCTCTAGATGTTGATGTGGTTTCAGGTCTCATAAAGTCTAGATGCTGACATGGCAGTCGATAATTGTAGAGCTTGTCCCGATAGATGTATGGTCTATCTATGACTAGGAAATATCATATATGGATGAAATAATACGATCAAACTCTCGCATGTCCAACAGAAACGACCAAGAGAATCTCCCATGGCTTGCTGACCGAGGGTACAACCTCTGCAGCCTCTATGTATACATGAACAAAGGAAAGTATAACTTTGAAAGAGATTATTATTTTGTTATCTTTCTATCAGTGGAATCTAGTAAATCATCAAAGGGAAAAGGCAATTTAACCTATGATATTCTCAATATGGAAGCATCGATCTATAGACACAGAGTCACGTGAAATGTACCTCGGCACCGAAACTGGGGGAGCCGAGACCCACGCGCGCTTCCCGCTTCCCGCCCACCACTCGGTCTCCGCCATCTCTCTCCTCCGCATCATTCGAACCACGATGACACGATGAGCTCAACGAACTTTGCAGCTGCTCAGGAGCGGGTGCTGGAACGACGCCGTCAACGCGAGGCAGAATCCCGTGCTAGACGGGCAGAACAACAACGAGCTTCTCCGATCAGTCCGCAAACGGTCCAACGTTTGCCGTACCCGTTGAACAAACTACCAGGCTCAGGATGGGCGCTCTGGAACACAGTGAAGGGAAGAGAAGGAACCAAGCCGGCGTTTCGAGTGGGTCAGGTTGATTCCGAACTGCTGGATGAAGAATTACTGGGTCTATTGAAGGGACAGGTTGGAGATGCTTTAAAATACTTTGGGGTATGCTATGAGCTCGAGTCCCCTGGTAACTCAGGTCGCTGTTGCTAACAGTGAGAACAGTCATCGATGCGAGACGACTGGTCACACGAGATTCAATTTGCGTTGCGAGCAATTCTTTTCAAGTTATCGATATGGGATCATAACGCGTCATACGGTGCTGCCCTCCAGGGTCTCCGATACACCGATAGTCGCAGCAGCGGCGCTGTACAATCCCCTCCCACAAAATGGCAAAAGACGACGTACGGCCTGTTGACTGTCGGTGGTCGCTATGCGTGGGATAAGTGGGAGAGTTGGTTGATTGGGCAAGAAGGTGGCTACGAAGAAGTTTGTTTTCATTTCTTGGCTTTTGGACGTGATTCATACTAACAGCTCTTTTTCAGCCATCCCAGGAAGTTCGGATGTTTTCCCGCCTCACGGATCTTGCTTCGACGACACACTCAATCGCTGCCTTTGCATCCTTCCTTGTATTCTTGGTCAATGGCCGTTATCGCACATTAGTCGACAGAATCCTACGAATCCGTCTTGCAGCACCATCCGCACAGGCCAGTCGAGAGGTCTCATTCGAATACCTCAACCGACAATTGGTCTGGCATGCTTTCACCGAGTTCCTGTTGTTCCTTCTTCCTCTTGTCGGAATCAGTCGCTGGCGCCGATGGATTTCTCGAGCATGGCGAAAGACGGTAAACGCGGTCAAATCAAAGGGAGATGAGGAAGAGTCTAGTGAAAAGCAAGGCGAATTGGCATTCCTGCCTGAACGTACATGCGCCATCTGCTACCGGGACCAAAACCCTACATCTACCTCTGAAACTGATGTCCTAGCAGCCTCGGCTTCAGGTGGCATCTCGGGATCTGCTCAAACAGACATTACCAACCCCTATGAAACCGTCCCATGCGGCTGTATCTACTGCTTTGTTTGCGTTGTTCAAAAGCTGGAAGGCGAAGAGGGCCAAGGATGGGTTTGCCTTCGCTGCGGTGAGGTTGTCAAGAAATGTCAGCCTTGGAACGGCGATGTTTTGGAAGAAGCCCGGTCTCAACCTGGTACAGGGAAGATTGTCGGCTTCGCCATGGATGAAGACCACGATCTCAATGAGAAACTCGACACTCACGAAGATACCGAAAAGGCGAGTCCATTGAAAGAGATCAGTGCCGATGAGGCATTGCAACACTCAAACCAATGGTCCACTGAAGAGAAACCAACCGAGAATGGACACGCCGTCGAAAGCGACTCTGGCTTTTCAGAGGAACACTCTGAGAAGAGTTGATTCTGATATCACACCTTTAAGTGAATCTTTTGATTCTTTTATCTTGTTTATTTATACGGTTTTCGGGCTGTATAGCTACTATACATGTCCAAAGTGCGGTCATACATAATACTCACAAAGCTCCAACGATACCCGCTCACCCCGGAGCTACCCTGTACATACTACATACATTATACTCATACATTTTCAAATGACTCTTCACTTCAACAACACAACCCCATAGAAACCAATCACTGCGCCCGCGAAAGGAAATACCGCTCGACACAGATTCAGCTCCGCCCATTTCTTTAGCAAAGCAGGCACTTCAGACTCTTCCTTCGCCCGCTTAACCTTCTCCTGTTCACCCACGACCATTTCATTCGTCCCTTCCGCAACAGCAGCATCATCCCGAGTTGCGATGGCTGTCAATTTCGTATTCGTCTCATTCATCGCCGTGAGCGTCCAAACACCCAACCCCATCGTCGACGCGATGGCTGTGACGTAACAGCCCATCCAACCATATCCCATCAGCGCAGAATCGGGCGCAGGGGTATCTCTCAATACCCAGGCAAGGTATCCATTTGCAATCGACGCGCCTAGACCTATTAGCGGGAAAGTATTCTTTCCACGCTCATAGAGGTCAAGCCATTGGTGGGTTAAATGGGGGATCGGTGTTCCGGGTTCGTGGGAAGGGATAGTGGCGGAGGTGGGTTGGCGCGCTGGAAGGACTAGGCTGGGAATGCTTATTGTTGATAAAGTCATGATTCCACCTGTGTAATATTTAGTACCTGTATAGTCTAGGGGCCATTCATCCTTTCTCTACAACACCGGGACGACAATGTTACCTGCTGTAATGCCGCAGCCCAGCGTGCCGATCATTTGAGCCACGATGATATCCGTACCCATTGTGAGCGAAAGTATATTTTGGGTTCGAAGTCGATTTGACACAAAAGTTTTTTATAGTATTTCAATGATCTAGCAGTATAGGTACAAAGTCGAATTGCCTACCAAAATGAAATATGCGATCGGTTTTCATGGCCGGCGGAGCTTAACCGTTGATGACGTTACCATCGACGGAATTGGTATCTCCTACAATATTTGCTTCCACTTCATGATCTACAGTATAGTTCCCGAGGTCCCAGCCATGGAAGAATCGGTTACTTAGGCGCAACTCCGAGCTCTGAAATCCGGCATCACTGAGTGGCCAGCGTCTGCGGAACGCGGGGTCCACAAGTCGGACTGAAGTGCGAACCCCACACTGGCAGCACCACAATTGATTATATCTTCCCCAAGGTTTGGGGAGTTTGATCTTGATCTTCTTTCCCTCAGGAATAGCTTTACTCTTGATCTTCATCATGTCGGAACCCAAATATATCAGTTTCCCTCACCTACCGGCTGGTTCCAAGCATCCGGATGGCTCGCCAGTACTCAACAGATGGTCTTCGACGATCACCAAGGGCCATGATTTCCCCGGTGCAAAGGTGTGTTATATTCTTGCCAATTGGTCTCGTAAAATCATATTAATATATCACAGGCTATGCTGTATGCGGCCGGTATTCCGGATAAGGAGACAATGGCGAGATCTCCCCATGTGGGCATTGCGTCTGTTTGGTGGGAGGGTAACCCGTGCAATATGCATTTGATGGATTTGGGAAAGACGGTTAAAAAGGCCGTTGTGGAGAAGGGGATGTTGGGATGGCAATATAACACCATTGGTGTTTCTGATGCAATTACCATGGGCAATGACGGTAGGTTCTACAAGCTGATGACACTACTACTTGTCCCAATAATAGCCTAGACTAACATTTTTACGTCGGGCTATAGGCATGAGATTCTCACTTCAGACTCGTGAGATCATCGCCGATAGCGTGGAAACAGTTACATGTGCCCAGGCCCACGACGCCTGTATCGCCATTCCCGGCTGCGACAAGAACATGCCCGGTGTCGTGATGGCGATGGCCCGTCACAACCGACCCTCCATCATGATCTACGGTGGAACCATCAATATCGGATACTCCGAGTGCCTCCGCAAACCTATCAATGTATCAAGCTGCTTCGAGGCAGCCGGTGCATACGCATATGACACCCTCAGCCAACCCGACGATGGCGGTGACACAAGCAAGAACAAGGACGAGATCATGGACGATCTGGAGAAGAATGCCTGTCCCAGCGCAGGTGCATGCGGTGGCATGTTCACAGCCAACACTATGGCAACGGCCATCGAGTCTATGGGATTGTCTTTGCCCGGTTCCTCATCTACACCTGCCTCCTCGCCTTCCAAGATGCGAGAGTGCGTCAAAGTAGCGGACGCCATCAAGGTCTGCATGGAAAAGGCCATTCTTCCCCGCGATCTCCTTACCAAGCGCTCATTTGAGAATGCTCTGGTGATGACTATGGCGCTGGGCGGTAGCACAAACGGTGTGCTTCATTTCCTAGCTATGGCGCGCACAGCGGAGGTCGACCTGACACTGGATGATATCCAGCGCGTTAGCAATAAAATCCCCTTTATTGCGGACCTGTCTCCCAGTGGCAAGTACTATATGGCCGATCTGTATGAGATCGGCGGTGTGCCCTCTGTTCAGAAGCTTCTCATCGCCGCGGGTCTGTTAGACGGTGGCATCCCGACCGTTACAGGCAAGACACTCGCTGAGAACGTGGAATCATGGCCCTCCTTGCCACAAGAGCAGACATTGATCCGCCCCTTGAGCAACCCCATCAAAGAAACAGGCCACCTGCAGATTTTACGCGGCAATCTCGCTCCCGGTGGCGCAGTTGCCAAGATCACCGGAAAAGAAGGATTGTCTTTCACCGGTAAGGCGCGAGTATTCAACAAAGAGCACGAATTAAACGATGCGCTTGACGAGGGCCGAATTCCCCGTGGCGAAAACCTGGTTCTAATTGTTCGTTATGAGGGTCCTAAGGGTGGCCCGGGTATGCCGGAACAGCTTAAGGCTAGTGCCGCGCTGATGGGAGCTAAGCTGAACAATATTGCTCTGATTACTGATGGTCGGTACTCGGGTGCTAGTCATGGATTTATTGTTGGGCATATCACGCCTGAAGCGGCTGTTGGTGGACCAATTGGACTTGTTAAGGATGGGGATGTGATTACTATTGATGCGAACACGAATGAGTTGTCAATGGCGGTGTCAGATGAGGAGCTTAAGGAGCGTCGTGCGCAGTGGACACCGCCGGAGCCGCAGATTACCCGGGGAGTCCTGGCTAAGTATGCACGTTTGGTGGGTGATGCGTCGCATGGAGCTATGACGGATCTGTTTTAAGGAAGTTATGAATAAAGAGTACATATGTATTTGCTATGCAGAATACACAGAATATATCCTACATCATATGATACGTAACAGTATACTCTGTATATGGAAGGAATATTCAGGACTTGGAAGCATTATTTAATCAGGGGTCAAATGTGGATCTTCGTATGTTTTTGCGCTTCACCGACAAGGTCAGGGAGAGAGGCCGGCCACTGACGATCAGTTCTCAATTATTGGATAGGTGTGGCCCATAGTAAGACCAACGTGTAACAAGATCGAACACCTCTCATATGACTGGTATACCCTACACAGATGGTGCTGATGTGAGTATCCGGTTTGCCAGTAGCCCTGGAGTCTGTACTCCGTATAGCCTTGGTAACCTTGGATGTGGGTAGAACCTCCCAATGGTACTACAGAGTATATTATTGTGGTTTGATTTAAGTAGTACATAGTGTACGGAGTACATACTGCTGTTTGTCGATCCGGAACATTATTGACGGATACACTTCAAATATCATCCAATCAATCTTCATCGTGGAACTAGGCTGAATCCGATCCGTGAAACCCGCCTTCTAGAAGGTCTCGTAATGAGAAGGAGTCTCTCAAGTGCTGATCCTGTTCCCTGGAACATCTATCCCCCCTTATCTCTTCCCCCCTATTGTTGTGAAACTGGATCTGAGCCACCGCGTCATCCACCCCAAGTGGACCCTCTGAGTCACGTTGTTTCCCCCACGGGTACTGAGCGGCTTTTTGACTGGTCGAGGTTAATTGCTTTTTTTTTATCTTCTTCACAAATCCATAAACCTCTTTTCAACGTTGCTGATCGACTCACGATTATTGGTCTTGGTGGATTCCGGGGCACTGAACACTCACTTCCTATCCAAAGAGGATCTTTTGTCTCGTCGCGTGGGTGAGATCCCCAGGGGCCCAGAACCTTGGGGGCTCCTTGCTGAACAGATCCCCGATATAAACCTGTTCAGTCGCCATGGGGAACGATGGCTCGCCCAGCACCCTTTCTGCTCTTTACGAGTCCATCTCCTCCCATTCGGCCACCACATCGGGTATCGCGGCACTTGTGCAGCTCTGCAATTCCGCGCGAGTGACGGCCCAACAGGCATCTCTCGCCTCTATCGCAAACATCTTTCGCATTCCCACAAAGAATGACTCAGTGAATTGGAGTCAAGTAGCTGTCATTACTTGTATCCTTACGATGGCCGGGTGTGGAATTTTGTCTTCTTTCAGGGGGCGGCGACGCTCGTCAAGCAAAGACAATCATTCGCAGAGGTCCATCCGCAAGACCTCGACCAAGTCGTCCTCAAAGACTCTCACTTCCTCTGACGATGACTACGAAGACGATGAATATGAAAGTAACGGATCCTTACGACATGGGACAGAGCCTTTTCGGGCAGCTGAGGAGCGCTCATCTCCGCCTGAGCAGCAAAGCTCGGATGGTGAGTCGAAGTTTGCGCTTACGAAATTCGGATTGCATCTAACTTGATTATAGCATTCAAAACAGACCCGGGTATCCTGAAAAAATTCACGTCCTACAAATCCTACACCACATCCGTTACTACCTACCCCGAAGTCCGAACATTTTATTGCCGACACCCGCACTTAGATCGCCTTCCCACTAAACCCTCCCCCGTTCCTTTGCTCGTCTTTGTTCATGGACTCGGTGGATCGCTCGCGCAGTTTCATCACCTTCTTACAAGTTTGTCGAACGTTGGGTCATGTTTTGGTATCGATCTGCCTGGATGCGGCCTCTCCAAATTTGCACCAACCAATTGGAGTGCATACACGATAGAGGCCCTGGCGGAGCTATTGGCAGTGGCAATTGAGCAACAGCGAGACCCAGATCAAGGCGTGATTCTGATCGGCCACAGTATGGGTTGCTCTCAGGCTGCTCTGCTTGCGTCTTCGGCCTCACCCATTGGTGCATCTCTCAAAGAGCATATCCTTGGTTTGATTGCGGTGTGCCCGAAAGGATCACCACCCTCCCAACAGGAAACAAAGACCCTGTCTCGTCTTCTCCACATCCCTGGGCCCATAATTGATTTGTGGCGAGCCTGGGATCGACGTGGTGGTATGGAAAGCAATAGTGTGATGAGATTGGTAGGCAGTGATGCAGATGCAGAGACACGAGATCTTCAGGTCCGTTTCAATAAACAAAGCAAGACCCCTGTATGGCGCCGTATGCTTTGGGGCTGCCTTCCCACTTACAAGGAAACAGAACCTTTTGGAGGTATGCCAGGAGAGAAAATGTGGTCTGGCATTAACATACCAATCCTCTTGGTTGGCGGAGAATCAGATGCGGTAACCAAGCCAGAGGAGATCCAAAAGCTTCTCAATTATTTTGGCAACGCATCTGCCCATACCAAGATTGATACCACTGGAAGCAGTGCTGTTCCAGATGCTGCACGAGTCCATGACCATTTGTCTACACCAGCCAATGGTTCCCCCACTCAGGACATATCATTCAGCCAGGGTTATAATAGCGAAAAACCTGCCCTTGTCCACACATCCTACGAACGCAAGAGACTAGTGAAGTCAGCCATCTTCCCGGCTCCTGCATCTCATGCTCTTCTCTACGACCGTGCAACATACCGAACTTTAGCAGGTCTCATCCAGGACTTCCTCTCCTCGAACATCGACAAGCGTTTAGGACTGGGCTGGCAATTACAACACCTGAACACATCAGGAAAATGGGACGTGAAGAACCTTGCCAAATGGCAAAAGGTCGCTCCAGTTTCTCACCCAATTGCCAATACCTTCCGCGCCATGAAAATGCTCCGCGAGGTAGACGATGAGCACAATCCAGTCAAGTTCTCTGCAGAATACCGCGATCGCATCTATGCCGTAATCGACATCAGCCATGAGAGCCCAGTCTACAGCCCCGCACAAATGGAGAAAGGTGGCGTCCGCTACTGCAAGCATCCTACCGTTTCAAAGCTTCCACCGACACCCGACGAAGCCCGTGACTTCATCGCACTAGTTGATCGCCTGCAGAAAGATATCGATGACAAAATGGAAAAACGAGACGACCCGTCTCTGCCACGTCCATTAATTGGCGTTCACTGCCACTATGGCTATAACCGGACAGGATTTCTTATTGTCTGCTATTTGATTGAGAAACTTGGATATAGTGTTGAAGATGCGGTCAATGAGTTCAATCAGTGTCGACCTCCCGGTATTCGACATGGGCATTTCATTGACGAGCTTCATGCTCGCTATCACTTGGGTATACAGAGAGCCCCCACTTTGTAGATCTCTTTCTCATTTCTCATTTCTCATTTGCATATTTCTTTCGTCTTTTTTCGTTTTATTTCTCTGGCTTTTGGTGTTCGGGTAGAATGGACAGGAGAACTCAATGGGCTGAGGGCATTTGGCGAAGGGTTTTCTTGTATTCTGGCTTCTTTTTTTTCCCTTCGCAATTACGAGAAACGACATAACCAACCAACCTGTGAATAACAATTTAATGATGAACGAATCATCCTAAGTACTTGACTTGTTTCATCCAACCACATTGAATTTTACACTCCTTACCGTCTGCCTATAGAATCACACCCCTATGAGCTTTCATAAAAGCCTAATGATATACACCTCGGAGTTTAACTACAATATCATCTAAGCCTCTAGAATTATCTTCGTAAAAGTATTACGAGAGACAATTGGACCAATGTGTGGAACAACCATTGGAAAGACGTGAAGTGGAATATGATGTAAGACGTGTATTCAAAACCCACCGCTTCTACCTAAGTAGCAAGCAGGATTATTTATTGGGGTGACTGTAGTAGATGTTAGTTAACTAACAGTAACAGCCAAATGCCAAGAGATAGTTTCTGCCTTAATGCCTTACATCTATCGGGATTGGTCATGTGATCTACCAACCATGTTTCTGAGGCACCCACACTTAGGGTACGGCTAAACCCAAACAGGCTAAGCGAACCACACAGACGCCAGCGCAACCCAACCAGGGCGAGAGAGTGTGTGTCTCGAAATTTTGGACTCTTCGACTTCGACCCTGCCCACCTCGACTTCCCGCCCAACGCCTCTCTCAATCCCTACGCCCTCCTACAAGTCGCCAAAATGGGTGGTGTTTCCGTTCGCGATGTGGACGTAAGTGTCCTCGCTGATCCCAGGATCAACCCCTCGTCTACCTGGTTCTTCGCCGTTGCATATGTGTGTCTGTGTTCGTTTCCGAGGGGATTGCTCTGCCAAATGGAGGATTGCGATCGGCAGCAACAGCAACAGCAGTAAGAGCAGGCAAATTGTCAGGAAATACAGGCTGCGATATGGGGAACTGTGGCATTGAATTCTTGACTTGATACGGGGGGTGATATTGAACTTGTTTCGATATTGAATCCGTAACATGAAGATGAAATGATATGTATTTCGCACACAGTGGGAGCCTCCACGACAAGAGATGACACGCACACTGCTACTGTTACTGCCCTGCCACCGGAGACGAACCCGACACAGATATGCAAATTTGCGCCCTTTTCGCCAAGACCAGATATTGTGCATGAACACGCGAAGCTAACGTATTCTTTTTTCTATCAACAGGCGCAGAAGTTCATTGCTGCCTACTCTGCTTTCCTGAAGCGTCAGGGAAAGCTCCCTATCCCCGGCTGGGTTGACACTGTCAAGACCTCTGCCTCCAACGAGCTTCCTCCCCAGGACGCTGACTGGTAAGATCTGCATCACGATCAAAAAACGATCTTTACGCCAACAAACACCAAATCTAACACGAAAATTCTCACAGGTTCTACGTCCGCGCTGCCGCCTGTGCCCGTCACATCTACATGCGCAAGACCGTCGGTGTCGGCCGTCTTCGCAAGGTCCACGGTTCCACCAAGAACCGCGGTTCCCGCCCCGCCCACCACGTCGATGCCTCCGGCTCCGTCGACCGCAAGGCCCTCCAGGCCCTCGAGAAGATCGGTGTCCTTGAGACCGACGAGGACAAGGGTGGCCGCCGCATCACCCAGTCCGGCCAGCGTGATCTTGACCGTATTGCCAAGACCACCGTTGACGAGGAGGAGTCTGATGAGGAGTAAACGGAATCCAAACAGGGCTTAATGTGTTTCGGGGGTCGTTTTTGGTTTGCTTAAGATCAGATCAGATTATCTGCTTAGCAGGGCAAAATTGAGATGACGTTCAAAAAAAAAATTCGGAGCTAGGTCCCGGCGATTCTATACGTTTCCTTTTGTTATTTCCCACCATCCCTCTTCTACTTTTTTTATCATGACGACCAGATGGGGCTAGCGGATAAGACGGTTTATGCATGAGGAGGATTATCTTGAGAGTCTGAGCGAGAGAGAATAAGGACGAGACTGGCTTTCTTTCCATCCATTACTTCCGTTCCTGTCAGTATGATGTGAGAACATTGTATTTGGCTGAGATAGGAGTTTCTTTTTTTCTTCCTATATCTTGATCTCTTGAGCCTCTTTGACCCGACCAACCCCGGCGTCTCGTTCCTGTTTTCTCTCGCGGTCTCCTGGAAATAAAGAGCATGTCTGACTAAAACTTTAAACCCGTTCAATCTGCGTCATAATGTAGGTTCGTAGAGGGCATGCGCATTCCTGTGGGTTTGTAGATATGTGAAATCCATGTGTTTATGTATAGATCGTGGTTGGCATTTTTTCCAGATATTATAACTAGTACGCACATTTGGGGCGTTGCCTTCTTCCTACCAATCCTAAAACCGCACAAAGTAGGTCACTGCAATACCGACAAGAGAAAAAGCCAGGAGGAATGGGAAATGTATTATATTTAATATGTATATACATAGCAGCCTCAAAGGCCATGCGCAAAGCACTGGCATGAACTGCAGGTAGAGCTGTCGTCAACCATTCCTACAAATCCAACTCGCGATCACACATCGGCCTACTAGTTAACGGAGACTACAACATAAGTATAATTATAATTATTTTATTCATCTTAAGACATAAGAGCTATAACGCAAGACAAGAACACTGTACAATCCACCCAAATCAATCATGAGTGACGATTTTTATAATGAGACAACTCCACCCACCCCTCCGGATCACCACCGTGACTCAAGACAGTATGTGGCGTCTCCGGTTCTTCCTCATCATATCTTGAAATAGAATCCGCCGAAGAAGAAGCCCCCACAGGCTCCACAGCCGCCGAAACACCCTTCGTCGACGAGATAGAAATTGTAGTAGTAACGATTGGCGGCTCAGCAGTCGATCCCATCTCCCCATTCTTAGACCTATATCCATACTGGTTATACTGCATATACTGATTTGGACTTCTGGAGGAGCCTCCCGACTTGATAAAGCGGGTAGTCAGTGGTCGGAATAAAGGCCAGACAGGTGGAATAGACATTGTGATGAGAACGACCCATTCCTCGACTTCACCCCAGCGGAAGAGGGTACCGACACCGTCTGTGGAAATATTAGCATACTGATTTCAAGAATACTGAATGTGTAAGTAGATAAGAGATGGGTAGGTAGAGCTTACAGGGTGGGTCATCGCTTAGAATGAACTTTGCAGCCCATGTGCGGACTATGGCTGCTACACCGGCGAAAACACCGCAGCCCATGAGGAAACTTAACCCCCATTTCAGCTTGCGGTCTATCCGGAGAGGGGCGAGCATTGTAACGGGGATGATGGCGAGGTAGAAGTCTGATAGGGCGGCTACTGCTCCGACGAAGTAAGTGTAGTGCACGCTTGTGGTATGGTTACACTGGTCTTGTCTTGTTGCATCCCATAACGCGGAGGGTGGTGAACATTGGAACCATTGGAGGATGACTTGAGGGATGTTGAGGACGATGTTGATAACGGCAACGGCGACGAGACTTCGGCGGATCTTTGGATCTGGAAATGAAATTGTTAGATAGGTGTATTCAGTATGGTAGGCCGGGGAAGAGTAACGTACTGCCCTGCTTGTTCATTTCAATTAGGAATGCAGCCACGGCAACCTTTCCAATTGGAATGGCCATATTGAAGAAGAATACCGTTATCCATGTGAAAAGAAGGTAATTGCCAAGTTGATTAGTAGCAATCACGACCTCGAGCTTGTTTCCGAGACCGTGGAGAATGGAGATAACACCGAAGGTCTGCGTAATAGCAGTAAGGAACTATTCGAGAATCAGTACGAGTTTCCTATAATCATTAATGGATATTCATGTTCCCATACCCATGCGACAAGCGACCAGATCAAAGCCGTTGTTCCAAACTTGTTAATTCTGAGTCGAACATAAATTCGCATAGCCATAAAGATAGTCGCCACCACACCAAGACCAATTCCTAGTCGCAGATCGCCGGGGCCACGGCCACCGTACGCAGGATAGCGATCATGGAGACCCATGATGTTGAAAATGACAGAGATCAAACACCGGAAGAGACAACCATGTGGGCGTGAATAGGCGCCCACGCATATATAACTCCGAAAAGCGAAGGCTCGGTACCCATCGGATGAATCGCACCATCAAAAGGGCTATTTTCACTTTTTGGATCAGTTTCAGGTGGAGAGGGCCGGTGCAACCATAGAACGAGGGGTACTGGGTGGCGGCTGCGAGCCTATAGATCTTACAAGTGGAGCCGGAAGGACCGATTAAGTCAAACAGCCCACGAACACGCGATGAATTTCTTCCATAGTTCTTCTAGCCCATCTCGCCTCGCCAAAATTCTACCTTTTACCCTTAATATAGAAAATTCAGGGGGCCGCGTAAGAGTACCGGGCTCTTGGTCCTATTTTTATTGTGATTTCATAAAATTTCATTTATCAATGGCTTTGTCCTCGTATGTAAAGGGAAATTATTGGCGGTTTTGGTTCTAAGCGAAGTGGCATTGTAAAAATTTGCCGCGGCTAGTGAATTGCCCCTACCAGCCACGATAGAACTCATTTTGTGGAGCAGAAATCTAGTGTCATGGTTTTGTCAATCGTGCAATGACATCTCGAGGCTTGGTCTCCGCTTTTCAGCGCTCGCCATATTCTACCACCTTTTCCTTGGGTGTCCACGCCTTTTTTTGAGACTAGCTCGTGGCTCCCCCGGTTCCGGATCGGACTTTTCGCCTTATTCGTCAATGCTGGTTGTCAGATATATTAATTATTAATTATTACGTGCATAGTACCTAGGTAGGGATTTTCAGCTGATACAATTCTCCACAATTCTCCGTTGACCGAAAAATAGATATGTTTGAAAAATGCTTGAAAATGGTCCCGAGGTCTTAGCATATAGTATATGGAGAGCTGAACTTTATGTCATGAATTGATTTCAAGTTCCTGGTTAACATGCATAGCGAGGGTACATTCGAAACGAGTGATAATAAGAGATAATTAGTGAATTGCTCGATTCATATTAAAGTACGTACAGTCTCTCAAGCTGCCAGTGTGCAACTTGAGGATTTAGAAAGATTCCTAGATTTCCACTTCTCCTTCTCATATCGCCGAACACGCAACCCTTCAATCATTCCATACCAGGATGTTGAACAAACATAGTAATCAAGTTGAATCCTGCTACTGAACAGCCATATGAGCCTCCTGGCCTGCATACAATCCCTTCAACCAACCTGTGGACATGAGTTGCAATGGTCAACCTTCCTCCAAAAGAAAGTCCACATAAAAGCCGCAATCAAAATCTGGGTCGGCAACAAAAGAATCACAACCTGCACTGACAACGCATTGAGAGGGTTCTTAAGGAGCTGCTGATCTTCGGAAAATGAAACTAGCTCGAAAAGAGCTGTGTTAATAATCGCTGTGATACCTAGTATGCCCGTCGTGATCCGCAGTAGAGTGAGAACAGTCGCAAGATTCGTGACAACTTGATCCGCATCCATTGTACTGAGTACTTCCAAAGAAGCTCTTTCCCCGGGGCTGTGAGAATTTAATACGTCTCGATATGAAAATAGGAAGAGAGGAAGAAGTAAGCGGAATTGGAGAAACTTCAGAAAGACGCATATTAAAATAGAGATGTTCAATCAAATTGGCTTGACACCTCAAGCCGAACCCCAGAATAGACATAAGCAACGTCATAAATATTCAAATCATCATCATTACATGAGGTTCCAAAGCCAACAGTATTCAGTGTGTAAATGCCCAGATCAACAGCGCAGCCATATCCGCGATTGGCAGTAGTGCAATAATATATCCTAGAACAATAAGGATACCCTTCAGCGGCTGCTCACACTTTTCTTCTGCATACTCAACAACAAAATCGGCAAGAGCAAAGCCACCACCACCAAGAACCAGTACAATCAATAACACAAGGCCGATCATAACAACCCATCCCAATACCGTAGCGAGAGCATTAAGAAGGTTGTCGACAACACGGTCGTAATCCATTTTGTTCATCTGGCAGGAAATGAAGAGAGGGAAGAAAATCAAAAGCCTTTAGGTTCTTATTGTCGGTTATCTAAAGCTTCCATGCTCTATCTTACAACCTCGCCAGTTCCAATAAAAAGGTTTTTCTTTTAGAAACGACGACCAGGTTGGGAACGCCTTCCAATTACATTGTCAACATAGTTATGATACTGTCGTTTCAGTCTCAAGACCGCTATCGGGGATTGGTATGAGATAGACACATTAAGACAGGACGCGAACCTACATGATACAATGTAAGTAAAATCTTCTTCTCTCTCAAGATTTAAGGAGAATATTGTTAGATAAAAAGATGCCTAACAGTCAATTTTCTAAAAGTAAAATTGTTGTCTAAGGAATCGGTATAACTTAGGGAGTGTCGACTCCCCTTTATTTTTCATGAGTGAATGTCTACCGACTATATTGGATACATCATCAATGCCAGACCCTCAAACTACTTCACTACGCTCACTGAAGCTGACCAGACTCGATAATCTGGACACGTCCGCGGGGTGTACCCGACTCGGTTCCAAGAGATTCAATGCTCTGTACCAAGTCCATGCCTTCAATAACACGTCCAAAGACAACGTGAGCTCCATCGAGCCAATCAGTGACAACGGTGGTGATGAAAAATTGCGAGCCGTTTCTAGTGGCCATATCAGCACCATACGCTAGCACATCAAAAAAGAAGGTCTGACAACTTACGTGCCAGGACCAGCATTGGCCATAGAGAGAAGACCAGGAGTGGTGTGCTTCAAGTTGAAGTTCTCATCGGGGAATGTTTCACCGTAGATGGATCGTCCACCGGTGCCCTTTAAATATTAATTAATATCAATCATCATCCACGACAAATTTACTAAACTTACATCTCCACGAGTGAAGTCACCACCCTGGAGCATGAACTGCGGAATCACGCGGTGGAAAGAGCTTCCCTTATATCCGAATCCACGTTCACCAGTGCAAAGGGCACGGAAATTCTCAGCTGTGCGGGGCACGACGTTGGCGAAGAGCTCGAAAATAATGCGTCCCTGAGGGGCTGTTGTGTATCAGCAAAGTTAGTTGTATGGACAATCGTGGGATGAATCTTACAGCCGTTGACTGCAATGTCGAAAAAGACAACTGGGTTAGACATGTTTGTTGGATGATAAAATAGGCTGATGTTTGTTTAATGAAAAAATGTTATCACAATCGATTTTTATATGCGGGCGCGGGGTAGTGCGATAAGAGGGCGCAGGTCGACCTAGCTTTAAACAGGTATCCACCCTAACATCAAGTATATCCCTTCCTACCTAGGAGCACTGTTTTGTATTGTAAAAAATCAAGCGAGTCCTCGATATTTAAATATTTAGTACTGATCTTCGTATTCCTAATCCGGTTAGACCGGTGTCAGGGTATATCAATTTGGATTTCTAGCGAACACTACCACTCGTGGTATGGGATAGAATACTATTCAGCTGAGCCCATGACGTCAATTTCTGTCAATTTTCGCGCAGGCTATTATTGACACATGTAATATTTTATTAATCATATCCACGCGTTAATGTGAAAAAAAAAGTGGCAGCACTTAGTCGCGACGGATGGTATACGGATTACTATCCGGATATTACTAGTATTTCCAGATTTACAAACAACTGCCTATACATTTTCCTGTCTGTGCTTGTCCAGTACATAGGACCACAGGGTGTGTAGAGCAGGGATTTTTTATAAATATTGCTATAATTGAAGAACATCCCTCTCAACCGGCTTCTCAGCATGAACTTGCGCGGGCATATAAATCGAACGTGCAGGTCAAGCAAGAAGTGGACCTACTTGAGCTTGAGCATATGATCGCGACACGAGAGAGAACACTTGATGAGGAACATTTGAACATCTTGATTGACTGGCCTCTCAGCGCGAGCGCTAATACCCAATTCACATGATCAACACCGTTCCCTAAACTGCCCTAGGTCTTACCACCCTCTGGTATCTCAGTCTTAGCTATTCCCAGTGAAGATCAGCACTTGAAATAGTATTCCGCAGTCGATAGCACAAGGGCAAATATAGTAACTGGTTCTATTGCCTTCGCGATGGCATATCCATGAAAGATTGACAAGGAAACGTTCGTGAGTCAATTTGTTATCTGGCAGAACATAAAAATACTGTGTAAATTCGGGTCGCTGGAAAGAGATGAAGAGGGAGAAGTAGTTAAAAAGCTTTCAAGTTCTTATTTTTAGCTATCTAATAAAGTTCGACCAAATTGTCTTAGCACCCAGAGCCGAACTTGGAACAGTCATCTGGCCATAAGTGCAACTTGGCCAAATCCGTTTCCGAAGACAACAATATTCAGGTATCGAATGTTGTAATTAAGCTAGGGGGAATTGGCAAAGTAGCATATAAATATATGAGGAGAATAGCTGTGTAGATTTTTCAAGAAAGAAGAGCTGTTTCCTTCCCAAGATCCGGGAGAAGGACGTCATCTAAATACATGGAAGACTCGAGATCTAGCTACCATACAAAAGTAGCGGTGAACATCATTCCGAGCAACCACGTTCCACGGCAGCATCACAGCAGTTGATATTGAATTTTCACTGTGATACCACGTACACATGCATATCAAATATCAAACGTGCATCGCATTATGACCTGATACAGGCCTCGTTGAGCCAACAATATGATCGGCATTTTAGAAACTAGCGTAGCCTAGCATAGCCTAGCACTTGCATCATCGGAGCTCGACTTCTGGCCTTTCTTTGCAATATGATGATCGAAGGCCCAAATCAACAGCGCAACCACACACACGATTGGCGTCAGTGCAATAAAACACACCGGAGGGACCATGTACATCCATCCATTCTCATTTCTCAGGTGACTAACAAAGGAACCATAAGAATCAACAGACCTGCAGTCATAGGTAGCGCAGGTGATACCATCGAGCTTACCACAATGACCAATTTTACCACATGTAAGAAAACAGAAGTAAGATTTTTGACAGCACGTTTGATATCCATTTCCTTCGTGGTTCCAAAAAAATATACAATTTCATTTAGGCCGAGAACATTGAGAGGATGAAAAGAAGAAGAAAGATGCAGGAATTCAAGTCCCCGGCCTGATGATCCAACAACGAATAAAGTTGTACCAAAAAAGTTTAGCGCCCAAAGCCGAACACAGACAGTCATCTGGTCATATTTACGACTTCGCCAACGCAGCATTTTGCCCAGAAGAAAAGAATGACCCCGGAAGTCTCCCCATATTTATCCCTCACCCAAAAAGCAAGAGGCATCATGAGCACCCCAATGCCTGCAGTAATAAGTATTACAGTAAGTGCCACTAAGCATATCACAGTAAAGATTTGTACCACAGGTAAGAAAGCTGAACCTGAAACAGACATCTGGGTATATCACAACTTCCAACCTCAGACTCCAATGAATCATCATAATTAGTACATCCGAGTCTCAACGAAATTCCAGTGGACAGCAACATTTAGGAAAGGAGTACCACCGCTAACACCCCAGTCACAAGCAATGTTGGCAGCAGTGGAGCAACATATTTTAGAACTTTGGGAACGACCTTGAGTTTCTTCCCAGACTCTTCTTCCCAGTTGCGCAGAAGAGGAATCAAAACCGCGATAGAAGCCCAAGTAAGACCTCCAATAAAAGCCAAAAACGCGAGTATGCTGATTATCTGGACGAATGAAAATTCAAGTCTGTCGGACAGGGTATATCCTTCCCAATAGGAGTACATTGTGTGCGGAACATGAGGATTCGAGGTTGTCAAGGAAATATGGAGGCAGTTGGGATCCGAGGTGATGAAAGAGAAGAGAGGGAAGAGGAAAGGAACCATCTGGAAACCTCTTGGCCTTATCCAAGTTAGTATGGGCATATAATAGAGTTCGACCAAGTTGTCCTAGTTCCTAGAGCGGATCATTGGAGATTGTCATAGCGACGTATATAGATTAAGGAGGGGGTGCCTGCCTAAATAAGCTCAGCAGCGAAGTTCATTCCGATCAAGCCGGGCCTAGAAGTTTTGATGACAAGACGCTACGCCCCAGACACTTCAATGGTTCCAAGTATTCCCATTTCATGACATTTTGTTGTGAAAGTATGTTCCTTTAATTTCACATATGATAAGGAAACAACAAAAAGCATACGCGCCCTGCACAGCTCATATATAATAACTCAGCGACAGATTCAAAGCCCGACACTGAAGGGTCTCGTCCAATTGCACCATTTCCGATGGCCATTGCAATCTCCTCATCTTATATTGATTTCCCTGAAACGGCAACCATTTCTCCGTCTCTTCAATCTGCCGAGTCGTATTGACATACCCTCTTGCCTCCAAAAAGTCCAAACTAGGTGTCGGATCCGCAGAACGAGCGAAACTCGCCCAGGAATCAAGTATATACTGCTCAAACGGCAAATCAAGATCATCCCGAAACGGAAGTCCGATCCTCAACACATTGCCAAACACATAATACAGTTCTCCAGAATGACACTTGAAGTACTCCAGGCTTGGATCACCATCCGGAGACTCCGCTGTGGACGGTGCTTGGCAGAGAGGAGGATTCGGCGACCACCCTGGCATCTGGTAGGTACGATTGAATTCATAGAAGAATATTTTCGGAAATATCTTGTTATTGTATCCTGCATATGCGGTTGCTTGATCGATACAGCGGAACATACCGTCTGTAGCTACTCGAGAGGATGTGTTGAATATGTCGAGCGTGTAGTTTGCACCTGATGGAATTGGGAAGAGTTCGCTGGGCGCTACATTCGAAGGAAGATCATTTTCACTCAGGAATTCTTGGATCGTTTCATCGCTTGAAGGGAAGTCAATGAAAGGTGAGCCGTCATCTCTCGTTGTCCCAAGAAGTAAAGGTACGTTTGCTGTGGTTTTTGGACTTGTAAGACCCAGTTCGGAAGTTTGAAGATACTCGCCATCGACAACAAGATATCTGGCACTGTCCGCCAAATTTGTGATTGTGAATGCTGGAAGTTCTCTCATGCAATCGATTCTCGACTTTGCAAATGTGCAATTTGTTTCCTTCAGAATGGCGTTCCCTACAACCTCCATTTCCTCGGCAATAGTATAGTATTTCGAGTATGTCGTCCCATATCCTACACCTCCCAAATTACTTTGCATGATTGCGTTCGAGAACAGTCCCCGAGCCTTTTCAGAGGCAAGCAATGCTCTCACTGAGCCTGCACCCGCTGACTGTCCGAATATAGTCACTCGGTCTGGATCACCGCCAAAGTCCTCGATATTACGGCGCACCCATTCTAGCGCAGTAATCTGGTCTGCCATGCCATAATTTCCATTAGTCGTTCCATCATCGAGGGCGAGGAATCCCAAATTTCCCAAGCGGTAGTTGGTCGTGACTACAACCACATCTCCCCGTGAAGCGAGATTACCCCCATCGAACGTAGGATCACTTCCAGTGCCACTTGTGAATGCACCACCATGGACCCAGAGCATCACTGGCTTCAGTCCCTTCTTCTGCCTATTGTTTGGTTTTGGCAAAAATGGAGTCCAAACATTGAGGAAGAAGCAGTCTTCTGCGCCGCTTGAAAGCTGCGCACATTCGGAACCGTAGTTGAGGGCTGAAACATGTTCTCCATTTCCTTCATAGAGCTGGGAATATGTCCACCGTTTCGGATTCGGAGCATATCTTATTCCAAGAAAGCGAAAACTGAACCGATCGCGAAATCTGATATGAGGTCAGCGTAGTCTCTATTCTGCCTTGAAGGTAGCCACCAGCTTACCCTGTCAAATATTCATTGTTCGAATGAACCGAAACCTGCCAGGTCGAGTTTGTATCTTGAATCTCTGAGTTGGAGTACGGTGCAGATTGAGTACATATTGCTGGAAGTTTGGAATTGGCAGATGCCTTCTGAACCTTTCCATTCACGTCGATAGTGGATGGGGTGTTATGGACAGGAGCAATCCAATAGTCCTGGCTATTTGCATACTTTCCCTGAAAAATGAGATAATCCAGATCACTCTTTATTTCTGAAAATCCTGTCTGATATGTCCACAGCGTTTCTCTGAGACTTTTACATGTCTCGATAGCTTTCTGTAGTGGCATTGGGTCAAGCAGCAGGACTCCAGAGTTGGCTAATGAGCTCGTATTCTCTATGTTTTAATCAGCCAAGACACTCATCTCCAATCAGAGATGCGATACCTACGCATCAAATCATTATGAATAATGATTGAGATATCCGAATTTATCGAGCTAGGGCTTACCGTCGCATTTGCGAGGGTAGCCAAGAACAGACCAATACCAAAGATCTTCCTCATTTCGAATACTGCGGAAAAACCAAAACTAATAAAATATCGGGATCTTCATTTTTACAAGTGCTTGAATTACCCCAGGGCTTTTAAGATATTTCGGGGTAAATGCACTTGTAATTAGCATATTAGCCACGGTCGTCAACCCCGCGCCGGGAAAATCGTCTACCCAAAGGAGTAAAGCTTGTCCTATATTCAGCCGGTGTCGTAGAAGCAAACTTCTTCAGAAGGCATTCCAAGGTTGATTTGTTTGATTTTCAAATTACACCATTACAATTAGTAGCCTTCAATAGCGCAAAGAGGTAGATAATGGATAAATACCACCAGACATCTCTATAGCTTAGTAATTTGCTTCAATGCCAGTGAGATCACATTGCATGCTGCGCACTTTCAAGTTGTGACTCTCCTAAACTTTACACACACAATGTCTCCCGTTGAAATGAAGAAAAAAAACGAGACCAATTCGAGACTCGAGCCACAAACACATAACGAATACACTGCACCTGGCTTTGACGTGCTGGATCTCGACGCCGTGGAAAAGCTACTTCAAGATCCAGATAATGTAGTTTTTTGTCATGCTGTCACAGTAGTCAAGATATCACCGGAAGTGGTTGTCAAGTTTGGACCCGATTTCAATAATATTGAGGCTAGAAACATGATGTATGTTGCAAAAAAAACACCGCGGTACCTGTACCGAAAGTTTTCGCCTATTCAACATACGGGCCTATTGATCATGACATTGGTGACTATGGAAGCTTATACGATGCCTATATCTTTATGAGCTTTGTCGGGGGCGAAATACTCGAGAACGCTTGGGGATCTCTTGACGTATCGTCCAAATGTCGTATATTTGAACAACTCACAAACTACATCGAGGAGATTCGACACATGAATAGTGTTGAGCATATTGTTTCCATATACAAAGGCCTTGTCCTTCACCACAGCCTGTCAACCTCCTGACGATAAAGGTATGGGACCAAAAGTTTAGTTTTCTTTTCCCCTTTTTTCTCACCAAGACTGATAACCCTCCATTAGGATCCTTTAATTCCGCGAAAGATTTCAATACAGCACTGATTGACACATATAAAATGCGTGCACCAAAACGCCACATCAAAAGTTTTCTCAATGGAATGCTTTCCAAGTCTCACAAAATTGTATCCACCCACGGTGATCTTCGACCACCAAACATCATAGTCAGAAATGGGAGTGTGGCTGCTATCATCGACTGGATGGCAGAGTGACTGGACGGACTACTTGATGCAAATTTTAGAACCATATCATGCGAAGTACGTTACGCACTCTTTTCTAATGGAGAAGCTCTTGATATAGATAAGCCATTAGTATGATCAATTGAATGAACTTGTGTTTAGTATGTACTTATTCGGTACTTATTTCAGTCAGCGCATACCCACACAAGTTACAACTAGTATGGCTACCATTAAAGGATAAATGCTATAGCTATAAGCTGAACCACGATAGCTGGCCCTTGATTGGCGGATAATCCAAACAAACGCTCCTTGAAGAGACATTGTCTCAAAAAACATAGGCCTATCCAAGTTGGGAAGTACCAATACCAGCCACACTAGTTGAAGGCGGCTCAAAAGGTCCACCACTTTACCCAAGACAAACAAACATTCACCGTGTCATCCATCATTTCAACCCCATCTCAATCAATCCATTACTACAAGACCAAAACCAAGACCTTACCTCATCAACCCCTCACTAATCTCATCACATCATCAAAATGACCCCATTACCAAGCCCAAGCCCCCCGCCACCTGCATCAACAGGAACAACGGGAACAATAGCGCCCCCGCCTCCGCCCCCTCCTCCCCCAATAGACCCGCGCAAGATATCACCCGCATTCAAACTAAAAACCAAGGCACACGAGCGCCTAGCCCGCAATTCAAACTTACCCAAAGAGACACGGCCAGCCCCAATAGGCCCCTACTTCTTCTATGGATCCCTTCTGGATCCGAATATGCTTACTGAGATCCTGGAGCTGGATCGGGACCAGGAGGTGCCTGAGCTGCGGCCCGCCTCACTAGGGATGGGTATGAATGTAAGATGTGGAGACAGTATCCGGCTCTTATGAAGAGTTCAAATTCAGGATCTGGGAATAGTTATGTGGAGGGAGCAGTGTATACTGTGACTTGCATTGAGCATGCGGAGAAATTAGCAGCGTATGAGACGGTGAATTATCAGGTTGTTGAGTGTGAGTTTCGATTTACGGATACGGATGAGGACGGGAAAGGGAAAGGGAATCCTGTGAAAGGAGTGGGGGGTGTATTTCTTTTTGATGGTTATGGGGAAGATTTGAGTGATGGGGTCTTTGATTTGAGGGTTTGGTTGAAGCGGGTTGGAAGATTTGCTGCGTTGGAGCAATTGGAGGCCAAACCGTGCATTGAGCGGGTAGTGGACCCCGAGTTTCCAGTTGTACAATACTATGTGCCCAGGTGGAGGGGCGTTGTTTCTTGTGTTGGATTGTGTTGGATTTTTGTAGATTGATTCTAGGATGTTCCATGATGAAAGTTTGTTGTAGGTGCGGTGCGATTTCCGCGGGGTCTTATCATGACAACTAAGTGTTACGGTGACCTATTATAGATAGTTATAGGTACGTACTGTATACCTGAATAGTCTAGAGAGCCAATGATGGGTTTTACGGCTGGATAGTCCGAAACAGACAACTCAGACGTGTTGTAATATGGAATTCAGTATGTCTGAGTGAAGTGAATCAGCAGACGTCCAGGGTGCGGAGTACGGTGGGTATACGGAGGAGTCATATTCGAAGTAATATAGTCAGAGTCAGAGTCACACACAGTACTAAGGAGGACATTAGGACGATTGTGGAGTGGCTTCTTGAACCCCACGACGGCTACCCCCACTAAGCGGACCAAACGAGATAAAACAAGGAAATGCGTCATTTTACAAGAAAGATAGCCTCGGAATCTAGGAGGATGGATATGTAGTAACACGCATAGTATCTAAGCATCCACTTCCAAGGTTATGAACAAGTGTTCCGGTATACGTGTACTTAACAAGATTGATTGACGGTACCTGTGCTGTGCTGGGCCTTGCATTCCCTCGGGCTCGGTCCACCGGGCAACATACCTCAGCACGGGGACCGAAGGCGAGAGAAAATGCGCATCGCACATTCCCATAACTGGATAAAGTTAATGTACTGGCTGTACTAGTAAATCACAGCTGCGCGTGATTAGAATTATAATTGGCAGCGCTAAGAGCGCAATCCGGAACACGCGTCGGAGTGGTATTGTATTTTGGTGGCCGTGCAGTGCAGTGTGGAGCAGGTGCGAGCGGACCTTTTACTACAGGCCAGCTGAATGTGCTGACCAGTGCCAATGCCAGTGGTGGGAGCCTTACTCATCTGGGCACGTTGGATCCATTGATTATGGGGCGGTACTCCGTACAGGGTACACGATAGTCAAGTACTTGGTACCGGGATGACGTCAAAGTGCTGCTGGTCGAGACCGTGATAATAGTGTAAGAGCCGGCAAAGTGGATGCAAAGGGAAAGTGGGTTTTGGAGGGGTAATTGGTTTGGAATAAAAGGTTGAAAATCTATTGTGGGATTGAAATTGTGAAGCGATGAAGATGAAGTTGAAGAGTGAAATGTGGTATCCAGTGACAGTCGGGATCAGTACCAGGTGACTACACTCTGTGGTGAGAGGACACTGCACGTGCCGGGAAGGAGGCTTATCAGTACGCAACCAAGTGTTCGAAGTGGAAGAAGGTTTCTTCTGCAACGTACGTGGTAGGTATCTACATACACTAGAGTAGGTACCTCCGGATCTAGTACGTTTATCTATGTATATCTATGTATAACTATGTATAGGGTTACAGCCCTGCGGGATATACGATAACGTCGTGAGGGGGTTGCGATCTCGGATGTACGTTGAGGAACTTGGGCCCCTGGTTAGTTTCCCTCCTACCAGAGTGGAGGGAAGAGGAATCCTAATCAGGATCTAATATCCTAATTAGATCCTAACTATTAGAGAGGATAAAAAAGGAAGACATCAAAAAGATGTCAAGATGACATAGATATCTTAATTCTGAGCCCATCTATACTTGTCCCACAGTATAAAGCAAAAATCCATATAGTAAGTCGCTCACTGAACCCCGGAACCACCCGGGCCCTGGGCGATCCACGAGGCGCCAATCAATCCGCCCACGCGCAGCGCCTGGGCAGCACCTGCGGAGTCATAGGAGATCCATACTTTCCCTTTCCAAGGAGAGAGAGGGGCACTCTATACTAGAAAGTCACACAAATCCATTTTATTACTTCTATACATTTCATCCAAGAACTTCTCTTTTTCTTTCTTCTACTCTACCCCTCCTCGTTAACTACGCTCTTCCGCAACCTCTTTGTAGTTTGATCTGTCATCCTTTGTCTAGATCGACACTCCTTACCGCGTCGCAATCGTACCCTAATTTCCCGTTACGTGGAAAACTGGTGTCGCGCGTACCTGCGTGTCTCTTTAAACCACTCAGGTTCTTTGTTTCTTGTCAAAAAGAAGTAAGTCGTGTCTTTGTTCTTTGTGACTGTTTCTTCTTTCTCCCTTTCATTCTACATCCCGCATTTGGAAATAGAACCAATGTATTTACCCTCCCCCCTGGTCGCCACTTGAAAGTGCCCCCAACCCAATACCATGGGTGCGGCTGTGTCGCATTCGTATGGTCCTCATCTGACTCACATATACTGACTATGCGCGCGCAACTTTTCAGACAAATCCCCCATTTCCTCTTCATCAATCTTCTATCATGGCTTTCCAGTCCAACTCCAGCATTGCGATGGCTCTTGCTGGCAAGACCGCTTCTGTTGATATCCCTCATACTCGTGCCGGCAAGATAGGCAAGACCCAGTCTCGCCCAGGACAGCCGGCCATGCTCCCAACGCCACCCAACTCCATTTCCCCTACACTTCCCCCACAGGCATTCAAGGGCCGTCGTGCGCTGTCGCCAGGCTCGCCACTATCCACCGTGCCCCAGCTCGACTCTGATATCGATCTGGAAGACGCGGTTGAACACGCGAACAGCCAGAGCCATCTGCAGTCGACACTTGATCTCGACAGTGTCGGCGACATCACCCCTGCCATGCTGGCGAAATGCCACTTGCCTGATATCTTGCTGCAGCAAGGCCCGCTGGCCATCCGCCATGTCATGGGTTACTTGACAACCTCGGTGCCGGGATTCTCGCGTATTCCACCTGCAAAGGCGCGTCGGCTCGTCGTAGCCGCGCTCGAGGGTCGTGGCAGCGGGGAGGCAGGTGGTAAGGAAGGAGATGTTGTCTTTGAGAAGATCGGTTGGGGACGTTGGGATGCGCGTCGACGCGACCAGGCGGCAAGCGACCGTGCCTATAACTTCAACGTGTCATCGCCCCCATCCAGCACGGCTGGATCATTCCAGCAGCGTGGACTGCAGATCGAAGGTCGTTCGGGCTGGGATAATCGTCGTGACAGCCGGGATCCGTACGGTGCCAGTATGGGTCGTGACTCGATCGCGTTTTCATATGCCGATGGGGAAGACTATGGTGCTCGTGGCGAATATGAGGATCTCGACATGCTCGAGCATGAGGCCGATAAGATGTCGCTAGATGGCGACGATCGGGAATACTGTTCTTCCTCTGAGGCGCCGGACGACCTGCAGGATGATGAATGGGATGAAGGCGATGTCACCGACGAAGAAGATTGGGCACATATCGGTGCGGATGCATTGCTCGCCCGGTCCGTCAACAACACTGGGGGTATTTTGCAAAACTGCAATGTTGCCGCTCGAGCGAAGCCTCTTCAGGTTCCCTCTGGGCTTTTCGGTCACGCCAACGCCAACGGACCCACTACCTCCACCATGGCCAAATCCACTCCCCACCACTTCGACACTCAGGAACGCGCCGCAGTAGAGGCGCTTCTACGCTTGGGCTCTATGTAAAGCTCTATAACATTCGCATACTCATGGGCTGGCGTTTATTTGTTGTTGTTTTTTTATTTATTGTTTCAACCCCCTTCGTGCGATAAATTCTTTCCATAATGAGGTCGTCAAGGCTGGTCCGGACCGCTTTGACGTTCTTATTTTTCTTACGACCGATCAGAAAAGACAATTCAAACTTCCCTCTGATTTGATTTTGGAACGCTTTCAACATTACGACGCTGAAAATGGGATACCATTCGACGTTCGGATTTAGTTTTTACCTCTGTTGGATTCTGGCGTTACTATCGAAATTTTTCCTGCAACCTGATCTGATCTGATCTGATGACCCGTCCCATGAACACGATAGCTGGCTTGAATGAACAGCCGCTTATACCCAATATCAGGGACTCGTCATATCCATATCTTGGTTTCACGACAAGTTTCCAATTATTTACATGTTATGTCCCTTTTTCTCTCTCTTCGTTCCTCTTCGCATCGAGTCCCGGATTCAACCTTTATCCGTGGAACTCGCCACACTTTTACCTTACTTTTTTAATTACTTGAACTCAACTCTCCAATCTGGTTTTCTTTGGGTCTCTCCTGGTTCCATACCATTACCATCAGAATGTCGATTGGTAACCACTGCGAATGCGATGCGTCGGTCGTCTTAACTGATCTGTACTGGTTCTCGTTTTTCGCTGAATGGTTCCTTCAGTACCTGTTGTTATTGTTGCTCTCGGTCATCTTTATTGATTTCACTGAGTTTGTGGTTCCGGGTCTGTTCCGGGGTTTGATTCTGATTTGTGGATGGATTTGTTTATTCTCGATCATTCTGTGGGATCGAGATTTTGGGTGGATGATGATGAATAATAATACCTATTCATAGTATTATTCGATTTGGCCAGGAAGTATATAGGGCCTGGTCTTAGGTAGTTTTTTTGATGGATTCTGGATATTCGATCGATTGATCGGAATTTTGAATTCAGCAGATATTGATACAAATCAAGTGAGATTACTGTCTCTCATTCAGATAATGTACTTCTTCGGCTTTCTTCTACAGTAGTAAATGTCGATTTTCTTGTACACAATTCTAAGATTCTTCTGGCATCATGATCTTAGGTGCTTGACGCTTTGGTCATTATATCAGAGCCATATGGCACTGGCACAACTTAAGATATCAGTTTGAAGGCTTCTACCCATGAAAATCTACAAATCACGACACATCACTCAATACATATAAACTTGAACCACCCAATGTATTCACTATTCCAATATCCCTATAACGCCATAAATACACGATGCGAATCACATATCAAATATTTCCTAAAGCCATGATACAAACAATCATCAACTAACCCAGAGCCCTAGAGAAAGCAACCATCCATACCAAACAGCAAACACAAATCCATATCTCTCATCCTAATACATCTCAATTCCCCTTCTCGCCCCCATGCGCATCATTAATCCTCTTCCAAACCTCAGCCTCCACCTCTGCCAATTTATTACCCGCACTCTGCATCCAACCCCTCGCCGAACTCAAGAATCCCTCTTCCTCATCGGGAAAAATATTATTCGCCCCGCCACCTCCACCACGATAGTGATGTGGTAGACCTGCTCCTGCTCCTGCTCGTTGAGGTTGTTGTTCAGGGTAAACAGACGAATAGGGTGTTGAGGTTGAGTTTGGGATTGTAGAGGCTCCTGATACGGAGGGACGCTGGTAGGAGTAGGATTGGGTGAATGCTGCAGGTGCGGCGTGAGTAGATTGAGGTTGTGGCTGTGGCAGCTGTCCTGCTTTTGGAGGTGGGGGGACAGGCGATGCAGCTGTAGGTGTATACCCTGCTACTGGGGGTGTGGGGATTGCGCCCGGTTGTGGTGCTGGGGGTGAAGTTGAGGTTGAGGTTGAGGATGAAGGGATAGGCTGCGTTGTTGTTGCGGTTGGAGCGTGTGTGTTCGAGGCTGCAGCCGTAGCTGTTGGAGCTGGTAAGCTTGCAGCGGCAGCGGTGGCTGGTTGTGGGTCTTGGGCTGTTGCGTAGATTGGGGAGTAAGAGGGTGCAGTGGCTGTTGCTGATACTGGGACTGGGGCTGGGGCAGGGACTGAAGTATCGGTCGTTGCGGTGGCGGGTTCAGGTTCGGGGGCTTTAGCGGCTGTTGTGTCGTGTTCCTTGTTTGGATTCACGGGCGCAGAGGTGTATGTTGGAATTCCTGACATGGTGAGGGTTTGTTTTTTTTTGGAGATGAGTGTTGTGGGAGGAGGAAGTATGGGGCAAGGAGCTTTAGTTGAAGTAGAAGCTCTAGGTTCGACGTCATGCGTGCGGTTCGAGGTGTGGGGCGTGCGGGACGTGTTCACTGTGATGGCAGGGGCTATGGTTGTCAAGTCAGGATGAGCTGGTATGAATGAAATGTATATCTAGAATAGTTCTAGGATAATATATGTGAGGGAAGAGTCATGTTACAGCCTTGGAGGGTGTTCAGGGTCGTGGTCATCGAATAGTTATGATCTACATGATACTTAGTTAAGCCAGTTAGAAATACCGTCTTTTACCCAGGATGGTCAATTTTATATTTTGATTTATCACTTCGACTAAGTTTATCTGATAGTAATACTCATTATTTATTAGGAACATTTCGAGACCTATGGGTGTAATAATGGCTCACTGCCAGTGGGTGAAATGCAATCGGGAAGACCTGGGAATAGGTAACATCTGGAGGGATTGAACATGTGCAAGAACATGTTGATAGACGCGTAGATTGAGAACAGTGCTTTTTCTGTTCTTTCAGCTTCTCGGCACCACCAAGCCGTGATAAACATGCATATCTGATCAACCTCTAAATAAATTTCAGTCAGTCATCATAGATCTAAGCGTAAGGGCCTTTGTCTCTATCTCATCAACTGGGAGTATCCAGTGGTCTGACTTACATCACGCCTTGATTTGAACTTAAGCAGAACAAGATCACAACGATCTTAAAGCGACGTTGCTTCACTAATTGGGAGCTTGGTCAAGATTGGGCTCATGGATGAAAACATCGCCTGAACCTTCGTCAACTATCTTGACAACCTTCTCCTGGGTCTTAGCTACCCCTTCCTAAATTGACATTAGCTTATGCTTTAGTTCTGACTCATGTACATGTATGATTATAGCTGGCTTACCAAAGTTGAGCCAACAATCGATACTCCGCCGTCTGAGGGAGAATCATCACGGCCACTGATAGCGGGACAAGAGGTTAAATTGCATCTTGATGAGTTTTGACTTCAAGTTGAGAGCCTTGAAATTCAAGTGGAAAATATGCTGAATGGGGCTGTGGATTTCATCCCTTATTCATGCTGTATTCTAACCCATGATATTAGGGGGGTTATTGGAGAACTTTAGGGTAGTTAGAGAGGTTAGAGTCTACTGGAATAATTATAATATAGGGTGGTTAGCTAGGTAGTAGACTTGGGATTTTCTAATGTTGTTTTACTGGTAACTTTATACTAGTATTGTCATACTAACCTATTTACAAACCAGTGGAATATAGTCAAATCAAGAAGCATTGCCAATTTAGTCGCCTCCAAGATGCTGGGACTTATGGCCATAGCTGAGGTTGATGTTTGCCTATTTGCATGCACGCTATATCGCATTTATTGATGCTGTGTAACAGCATGGCTTGGAATGATTTAAGATGGTGCTTTTACCGCCAAATTTACTATGGATTTCTTCTTGGTGAACTTATCAAGGCGAGGAGAGCGAAGCGTAGTAACAGAGCTCCGTAGTAAGCTCATGTCGCGAATGTAAAATATGTAGGGAGATACAGAGCATGCTTTAGAAGCCACGGAGTCAGAAGGAAAGGAGGGAAGATGAAGACACGTTACAATGACGCGACATGATAAACACAACAAAAACTGAAGTAAAGGGTTTCGTAGGCTGACGGATGGTCGACTAGCATCATGGCCTCAGCTTCGATGAAACAGGGAACTCGGTACTCAATATACGATCGGAAGGTCTTTACGATGGAGACAGATGTGAAGAAAAGTACAGATTTTGAATGAAAAAAGAAAAAGAGCTTGCAGGCAGTAAAGTACATCGGGCAATAAAAGGGAAGAATCACACCATTCTATGCTTCAAGATCCCCCCGAACCCATTTCTTGACGCATCTATCTTTTGCCATTCCCACAACCTCAACTTCCCGCGCCCAGTGGTTACACTAGGGGCAGGGAAACACCCCCGACTCCAGTATAACTACAAGGTGATATAGACTATCGCTTTAGGGGCGAGTCATCTATTTGAACTTCTTTCCGAAGAGGAGGAGCTGGGCCTGGTCATAGATGGACAGGACACCGGCACCGGCAACACCACGCAGGATGTTGGCACCGGCACCCTTGAAGAGAGACTTAACACCCTCGTTGGCGACGATCTGGCGGGCAGCATCCATGGAAGACTTGTACTTGACGGCCTCACCGGAGGTCATCATCATGCGACGACGGACAGTGTCCAGAGGGTAAGAAGCAACACCAGCACCAGTGGTAACAGTCCAGCCGAGCAGGAAGGAGGCGAGGAAAGAGCCCTCAAGAGGACCAACCAGGAGAACGGGCTTGATGGAGTCGTACATACCGAAGTACAGACCACGGTAGACAACAATTCCGAGAACGGAGGGACCGAAACCACGGTAGAGACCGGCAATACCGTCGGAGGCGAGGGTCTTCTTGTAGACATCAACCAGACCGTTGAACTGGCGCTCACCGGAGCCCTTGGAGGACTTGGCGTCGTTGGCCAGACGGGTACGGGCGTAGTCCAGAGAGTAGACGAACAGGAGGGAAGTGGCACCAGCGGCACCACCGGAGGCAAGGTTACCCATCATCCACTTGGTGTATCCATCACGCTCCTTCTTGTAAGCGAACATGGACTTGTAGGTATCGCGGAAAGCGAAGTTAAGAGCCTGGGTGGGGAAGTAACGGATGACGTTGGCGGTGTTACCACGCCACAGGGAGACAACACCCTCCTGGGCAGCAGTGCGCTTGAAGCAGTCACCGATACCGTTGTACTTGCGGTCGAGACGGCCGACCTTGAGCATCTCATCCTATAGAGGGAATTATATGTTAATCACTGTCCAGGCATAATACAAAGACACGGTCGCCAACCGTCATGGACCGAAGAGGGAAAAAATTTCCATCCATCAGGGGGTGTCACAAACAACGTCGGCACATTACCCCGAGTTGTCAATTGCAATCACCGCTGATTTAAGAATTCAAAATCCATGATTCAGAATCCATGGCAATCGATCCATGTCCTGTTTTAAGAGTTTGAAAGGGTAGACCAACCTGGTTCTGGATCAGGAGCTTGATACGCTCAATGGGGGCAGCAGCGGTCTTGGAGACAGCAGCGGAAACACCACCCACTGTTATAACAGTTAGTAAAATTTTCGAGGCGAATTAGGTTTGAAAATGATAAACAAGTTCTCAGTCGGGGGCTGAAAAATTGCATAGGTGTCACATACTAAGGAAGTCGACGACGAATCCCTGAAAACTCTTCATTAGCCATTGTTCGTGATTTGATGAGTTGCCATCTCAATAGACACAACCTTGCTCTGTACGCATGCACTCTGGGATTCTTCACTGGATGGGATGTCCAGGATATCGTCTCGTGACGCGCGTGCGACGAGAACAAGCTCGCTCACTTGAGTGACAGGGAGGTTGAAGAGGAACTTACGGGCATGCCGAAGACGGACTTGTCGCCCTGGTTAACATCACCGGCGGCCATTTTGAAGGTTGCAAAAAGATAGATGCAAAAAAAAAAAGAGAGGAGATGGGGAGATGTCAAGAAAGACGGGGATGGAAGGGAAGAAAAAGAAGAAAAAGAGATGAGAGAAGGGGCGGAAGGGGGAAGAAAAATACTGCCGTACTCGGGAAGAAGCGAAACACAGCACACTAAAGCCCAATCAGGAGCTGTATTACCGTATTGGCCTTGTATTGCCAACTCGCCTTGCCGATATCTCCCGATCGGCCTGAAAGAAAAAAAAATCTCTGCATGAGAGCAAGATACACCAAGATACACTGAAGAACAGTCATAGAACTTGGATATTAGGTTCAAATCATACAGAAATAATCTTGAGACCTTATTCTATATCTACGATCTTTTCAATTTCTTTTCTTCCCACTCTATCCACCTATTCAACCCCCAATATCAACATGCAAATTACTCCTATACCACGTAGCCCGGAGCAACGGCGAGTGTCCAAGCGCCAGGTGGACACCGTCATGCCTTGGTACCAGCGTATCTTACCCCCGTTCATAGCCGGCCCACTCTCACGCCGGGGCAACACTCCTTTTTAACCTGCCCCGAGTATCCGATGGAGGCGACCCGACCTCACGTCCAAGGTTGCCACAGACTACTGGCGATAAATCCCCAATGGCACCCTGAGGAGATTAAGAATCCACCACCCGTGATTAGCTGTGGGGGAGAAGTCTCCCTAACAAGAGAAGACTTGGCCAGCAGAGCTCAACTGTATTGTGATAGTGGATCCTTGAACTTGCTAGGTCAACATAGAGCTTTGCAAACTCGGCCAGCCCGGAGAAGAGGCGGGAAACATATAATTAGATACATAGAACCCAAGTATAATTGTCAATTCAAAATTTGTCACTACCTAAGTATAACCATAATAGAGAACAAAGAACTGTATGGCACAACCCGGTAATGAAGATCCAAACATGCTTCTCTTTCGGGCCCCCAAATACTCAAAGCGCAAACCGAAAGAATTTTCCTGCACGAAATCCACTGGCATTATGAGACATTTTTTTTCGGTGCTTTTTTTATGTACCCAGTACAAGGTTCAGAGTGGAACTGAGCCGCATATGCGATGTACCCAAGCATAGCCAGGTACTCCGTGCAGTGCCAATAATAGGTAGGCCTCGGATCCACTTCCCTGCTTGGATCCCGGGATCAATGGCAGTTATTGGTTTGATGCTACAAGGCTACATCAAGAGCATTATGTTGATTCTATATGCTTATTTATTTTATGTCAAGAGTGTTCGTTGTAATATTAAACCGTTTACTTATATTCGATTGTCTTAGTAGCACGGCTGGCTTTTGGGATACCCCTTAGTCGCGAGATTGTTTGCTTTTTTCGATTCGGAGAAAAACCTGCATACGGAGTAATTTGGATCACATTGACGAGTCCATTGGACTGGTAAGGGGGTGATTCTTTTTGCCAGTGCACTCAGATGTATCCTTTGTGAAGTACTAGCAATTGATATGCATCTCTGGGATATTCTATAGCAAGGGCTCCTAGCTAACAACTTGCCTGTCCAGGGTTCAAGGCCGCTTACCACTGGTATGGCAATATTTATGCCTCAAACCTGGATCAATTATACATAAGTGCATACTACAGATTACCAAACTAGTCGTCCAAGCCCTGCCTAATATGTCTACATGTTAATTGAAGTTTGATTTGTATATGAATTCAACATTGTCATTGACATGAAACTCCATACTCCGTTAGTGCATACATACAGGAGCTAAAAATTTAATACTTTTTGTAACATCGCTCAGTGCTTCTTGGAACGCTTGCGCTTCTTGCGTCCATCACCCTCACGAATATTAACATTCATGCCATCCTCAGCAACATCCTCCGCCTGCTTTTCCTTCGGGCCTGATCCAAATTCAAAGGCAGGACCTTCCTCATCACCGAAAGTATCCTTACGCCATTGGCGCAAACGAGCCTTCTTACCCAGTTTCCTCTCGTCTTTAGCTTTCAATTCAGCATCACGGAACGAAGCAAGCTTCTTAAGACCGGCAAACTGGTTAAGCTGCTGATCATCGGCCATGAGAATATCCCGTGCTGTCAAGCCAAAGCTCTGGGGAGAAGTCTCGCGGTAACGGAACTTGGTGGCGTTTTTCTTGGTCGCGCCAGGAAGCATGGTAATGTCCAGGTCCAGGTTGCGTTCAACGGCCTCTTCGATACGCATGCGGTCCTTGCGAGCCTCTCGCTTCTGGTCACGCTTATCCTGGGTATTGCTCTTCTTTGGGCGAGGAGCCTCCTCCTCCTCATCATCATCATCTTTCTCATTTTCCGAATCGTCTTCCTTGTCCTTGAAGTCTGGGACCAAGTCCGTGATATCAATATCATCGTCCCATTCAGGCTTCGAGGGGTGCTTCTTGCTATCCTTGGTGGCATCCTCGCCATAGTAATCTGAGCCAAATCGTTTCTCCATCTCTTTCTCCCATTCCTTATCATCCCAGGCATCGTCGAGGAATCGAGACCAGTCATCATCCGTGAAATCAGATGTTCTGAATCCAGCGACTTCCTTGATCTGTTCGACCTTCTTTTGAAGCTCCTCGGTCTTCAATTTGCGCAGACGACTCTTGTCAGTGTCACGCTTTTTCTTCTCGTCATCCTTTTGCTGGCGTTCAGCATCACGGATCTTCTTGCGAGAGCTCTTCTCCTCTCGTCGGGCGGATTGTTTGTTTGTAGCCTCACGAGAGTGGGTGACCAGCACTTCGTTGAGTTTGTTAGGGTCCTCAAAGCGGAAGTTGTATGCTTCTTCTAAGGCATCGGCTCGGTTTGCCTCATCCTCGTCCTCGGATTCAAATGGGTGAAGCTCTGGTCTGTCTTCCGGAACCCATGCGCGAGAAGACATGAAATTGGAAAGGAAAGTTTCGGGATCCTTCTCGGCGTTCTTGATATCTAACTTGACATCGGGCTTTTCGAAGACTTCCGGCTCAGATTTGCGAACCAGGAAATCATCTGCATCCTCCATCTCATCGTCGGAGGCATGCAGCTCCTTGACCAGATCATTTTTCAAATCGGCCTGCTCTTGTGCAAAAGTCTTAGGGACAAATTCCTCTTCATCAGGCCGGGCACCGCTGAGTAGGTTTTCGCGGTGGTAATCGTGCAAGGTCATAGTCTTCTCCTTCTTCGCTTTGGGGTCTGCGTTGGCCTCGTCTTCATCGAACTTTGTGTAGAACGTGACGTTGGTGTCGTAGACTCGGGGGTCCTTGGAGCGAATGGCATTCAAGGTCGCCTGGATTTCTGCATCAAGCGCTACTGTCGCAAGCTCAGCGTTGTCATCCTCATCCTCATCAGATGAAGATTCTTCCTCGGATTCTTCTTGGGCGCGGCGGTTGCCCATGCTAGTGTTTTTGCCATACTTCGATTCCACTAATAGAAAGTAAGTTAGACACAACATTTCGAATAATCAATGTTCGAAATAGACCTACACCTTGCAACTTCTTCGCGCTTCTTATTATACTCAAATCGCTTGGCGTAGTCTGCGTTGATTTTGAAATCTGTGGCTGGTGACTTGGTGATTGACACACCACCGGCATCATCGCCAGAGTCACTGGAGCTATCGTCATCCAGAAGCTTGCGCATCTTCTTTGAAGGGGGCTCCATTGTGGTAAAATGAGACTGCTCTCAAAAAAGTTGACCTCGCTTTCCTATTTTGCGGCAAGAGTTGGTTGGCAGAAAAAAAAATCTCACACCGCCTCATACATGCCGCCCAGCCCAGGTTGGTGCCTGTATATTGCCTGAATTACCAGGTGTGAGCAGACCCATGGATCTCACTAACTTAACTAGTTAACTATGTTCTACAGTGGGAACTGATCGATGCACTCCACAACTTTAGACCAGCACCGTATACACATTAGAACATTAGGTACTGAAACGATTGAAATTTTTCCATCGATAGAGGCAGTCGAGAAAAATTGATCATTCCAGAAAAAATCGAGATCGCATTGGCGGGTGTATGTATGCACGAGCGTATCCACAGGAAAACCCTGGGAGGAATTCCTGACATTCTATAAGGTCCACGAGTTTTAGTCTGAGATAATTAAATTGCAGATGAATTTTGCGTAGTTCACACGGTTCTATTATTAACTTCCAAGGGTTCCAGGGCTGAAACCTACCTAGTAGGGCTAAAAAGAGCATTAAGTACCATCTAGAAGCCAAAGGGAAATGACCTCGGGATCAAATATATAACCGGTATTTTGTAGTGCCTCTGCACCTGGGCAGGCGCAATGCCGCTCAAACGACAGCCCTGGAGTTCCAAAGTTATTATTTCACAAAGCCTATGAAGATATCAAAGCTTCAGAAAATCAGATCTTGATTTTAAGTTACCAACATACTGTATAATATGCAATAAAACGCCCGACCGCAACCTCGGTGCATCCTCCAGTTGATAGTGTTGATCTCCACAATTTGGGTAAGATCTACACGTGACACCCGGGCGTTTAGCCCCAACCTGACGTAGCCAATTAGATCATCTCACCGTGAGGCTTCAATCCCGGCTGACCAGCACGTGGACAGCTTTCTCTAGGCTCATCAAACATCTGTTTACCTGCTAGACGCGCCTCTATTGTACGGAAATCCATCATTGATTTTGTATTCACCCAAATCCTTCCTTGCCCGCATCAGGTGTATGGGCGGAGGCATGCACTAGATGTCGGCTCAATTACAGACCCCGTTGCCGCAAGTCGGGAAGCTTGTGAGCGTTGTGTGAGTTTTGGCTGCATGTACCTGCTTGCTGCAGACTCCAATACTAATATAATGCCGAATGATATAGTCCCGTCGGCCTGAAAGAAGCTGCGCTCGACTCCCCGACCTTTCGCGCTACGACCCTCCACCTTTGTGACCAACTCGAGTTCATTGAGAAATGGCTGGACGGATATGCCAGAGCTGCAACGAAACTCTCATCTGAGCTTCTAGCTCTGGAGAATGTTGTCAGCAGTTTCCTCTCCTACTCCACTCACCCCTTGGTAGTCTCCGAAGCGGTGGTTGATCACGACTATACTTTGCTGGCGATGAGGAGGTGCGGGGAGAGCGCAAAGGACCTGTGGAGTGGGTTAGTGACAACGACTAAGAAAATGGGACAATTAATTTCTGAACCCATCACTACCTTCATCCATGAGGATCTACGGCACTTCAAGGTACTCATAGACATCTCTATACCCTGCGTTTGTTTACTTGTCTTTGTGTACGGGGCGGCTAACTGTGAACTCGGCATAGGATACACGCCGTGCCCTCGAAAATACCCAGAAACAGTACGACTACTTGCAAGCGCGTTATGCCTCCCAGTCAAAATCAAAAGATACATCTGCTCTACGGGAGGACGCATTCCAACTTCATGAAGCCCGCAAGGCCTACCTCAGAGCGTCAATGGACTTTTCCGTCCAGACACCTCAAATTCGAAATGCCCTGGATAAACTTCTCGTCCGTGTTTCATTCGATCAATGGCGAGAGTTCCGAGGATTCCATAACAACAACAATGCGACCTTCTCTAAGTGGGCGAATGAGATGGAACGTGTCAAGGGTTGGGTCCATGAGATGGAAGGAAGCGATAGGTCCTCTAAAAAGGAACTATTGGCGACAAGAAAGCAGATTGAAGAGGCTGCTGAAATTGTGGCAAGGCCCTCTCGCGAACTAGAGGATTATTCTGTCTCCACTGTTCCCTACCTTGGTTCTCGTCCTATGTCAGCGCTCAACATGAGCAAGGAAGCAAAGCCAGAAAAACAAGGCTGGATCAACCTAAGAACCTTGTCCGGAAAGCCCACTCGTACAGCTTGGGTGAGACGATGGGCCTTCTTGAAACATGGCATTTTTGGGTGCCTTGTTCAAGGTGCACGTACTGGTGGTGTCGAGGAAAGTGAACGCATCGGCGTATTACTTTGCAGTGTTCGTGCTGCATCCCAAGAGGAGCGACGATTCTGTTTCCAAGTGAAAACCAAGAACAATAACATAATATTGCAAGCCGAGACACAGAAGGAATTGATTGAGTGGATCGGTGCTTTTGAAGCCGCCAAACGAAAGGCTCTTGAGAATCCGAGCAGCACTGACTTGTCTGTATCTGGAAAGATGACAGTGCAAGACCCTGCTTTTGCCATTTCACAGCCCCCAGCTCCCGAGTTTACGGCCGACCCAAGTGATTCCCTCACACCTCATCCAAACGACGAGTCAAATGGGCCGGACCGCAGTGCAACACTTCCAATCCCAGACCGTGATGGTCTTGCTTACAGAGCTAGCACTGAAATCAGTAGTCGACGACTCACTGGTAATGACAGCGAAGGATCTACGAGAGCACACATTATCCAGAAGCTGGACCTTCATCGCAAGTCGAATAACGCCCCGCCAGCATCACCCTTGATACCGGGTCCTGCGGGTGGAATTGCCAGCCTCATTTCGGCCAGTCATAATATTTTGCCCTATAATGGTGCTAGCGTTGCCAACGTGAAAGACAGAGATGCCGGCCGAGGACGAAGCCTGAGCAATTTAGATGAGCCTGGATCTAGTCTTGCCCCGCCAACTCTTGCTAACCCACCAGCTCCCACAAGTATGAGCAAAGCTGCAGTGGTTGTGAGTGGTGAAAGGGGCATTGGACTAGGCATGGTTGATAGCTCGGGTGGCATGCCGAGTGGAATGATGGCAAATCTTTGGGGAAGTTCCAATTGGGGCTTCCTTAACAAATTCCAGTGGGAAAGGGCCCAACAGGCCAATGGAAATCATATGGATGATGATATGCCCTCCTCTCCAATGAGCGACTCATCAAAACGAACAATTGTTCCCCAAACTGACACCTCTCGTCCAATGTCTGGGCCGCGTCACAGACAGACTGTCAGTCTTGACGGCGAGGCTGCATCTAAGATTCAACAAGCGGCCCAAGATGCAGTCAAGAATAATGCACGAGAAAGATTTCCGGCCATTTACCCCCAAACATTGAGAACTCAGGATGCTCAGTTCCGATTGCTTTTCCCAGATGTCAAGCCAGAGGAATCTTTGGTCCTCGTTTTCAGAGCAACCTGGAGTCCAAACGATTCACAGGAATTCCCTGGAAGAGCCTATGTCACAACTACGAACATCTATTTCTACAGTCATCATTTTGGACTTGTATTGACAACAAGTGTTAGCCTAGACAGTATCAAAGAGGTCACAGCGGCTACTGGTCGAGATTGCGATTTTCTCTTCCTCCACACAATCCCACCATTGGGTAGTGATACCCCTGGCCGAATCGCAATCAAGACGTTCCTCGAACCGCTCAAGCTTCTCCAGAAACGTCTAAGCTTTTTGATTCACGCATCCATTTCTGTAGAGCAATTAAGCCTCGAGGAGATGTTGAAAGAATTGATCAAAATGGACAATGGAAGCAATAATCGCGCGCCAAGCGCAGACAGTTGGGAAGATATTTCATCTGATACATTCAATGATCCACGCCTTGCCACCGTTGGCCGTGACATTCGCGCTCCTATCTACATTGACAAAGACCTTGATTTGGACAGAGGTCAAAATGGGCGAGGGCGAGACATTCCAAAGTTCAGACTTCCTACCCAGCCTGTGGAGTATGTGCCTCAGGGCGATATTGCACTCACAGCTGAAAAGGTGCTTGATGTTAGCCCGAAGGCACTGTTCCACATCCTCTTTGGAGATAAAGGTGCCGTCTGGCAAATTATGCTTCATGAAAGACAAGCCAGAGGTATGCTACCCTCATTCAATCGCCTTTTCTTGACCCAATGCTAATTCATTTTTCTTTAAAGATATCAAACAAGGCCCTTGGACAAGTAACGAATCACACCACCTCAGACGAGACCTCCACTACAACATTGCAAAACCAGACGTTTTCGGTATGCTCAGCATGATTGTGATTCTCCAAGGTCATTTACTGACAATAATCCAGGTCAAACTCGGGATAACCCAGTCTCGGATTACCAAATCATTGACGTGCTCAACGACCATCTGTGCTATGTGATCACCGATAAGCGCACTCCCTGGCATCTTCCTCTTCGACGACACTTCAGATTGGTCAGCAAGATTGTGATTACTTTTGTTGCTAAGTCGAAGTGTAAGCTTGCTATTTACACGAAGGTTGAATGGCTCAAGTCCAGTTACGGTCTAGGAGGTGAGTTTCCTCGTCAAAGAAAAATTACTTCATATGCTAATATGCTGTTCCAGGTATGATCGACGTAAGGGCCAATGACGATTTGAAAGAAGATGCATTGGATTTGATCGATTTGGCAAGTGACCAGGTACGCCGTCTAGGTGCACATAGTCGGACCAAGAAGGCCATCACCATATTTGGTCATGTTGGACGCCAGGGAAATGTTTCTCATTTCAATGGTGTGGGCACGAACGCGAAACTGCAGCCCCGAAGGCCAAGAGTCCAGCGTACTCTGCCTCAGATGGTCACGGAGACATCCTTATCTTTCCTGGAAAGCACATTGTCAATGATTATGATGGGATTCATCGATGTCGTTCGCTGGTCATGGAAGACCGCGAGCGCACACAAGATCATTCTGGTGCTTTTGCTCACCAGTGCGCTCATGAATGGCTATTATACATCACGCGATGGCTGGGATTGGTGGCACGAGCGACACGCAGTGAATTTCATGGCTAGACTTGGGGTTCAGCCTAACATGGTCATGACCAAATCCATTTATATCCGAGACATTGATGAGGCAGTTGCAAACACGACGATCTGGTCTCAGACCGGAAACGCTAGCAGTTGCTTCGGAGCTTTCCACGAGCATACCATGCGACATGCGGAATTACCCTTGTCCCTGAGTACCTCAGGACCTCGAGATGCAGTCACTAAGAGTGCAACGAAACGATTCCAGCAGACTCGTGAACGACTTGGAACATATCGCCATAATCTCCTGGTGTCGCTGCGCATTGTGAACAATATTGAGAAGGAGGTCATTCAGACCGAATGGGAGCGCTGGCTCGGCGAGGAAGTTCGTCGTTGTCGCCAAGTCGAGATCCTCCTTGGAGGTGGCAGTAGCGGCGAACAAGACGAAGCAGAAGCGCAGGCTCAACGTATCTTCGCTGAAAACACGGACAATGTAAAGCAATGGTACGACAGATATTGTTCAAGCTGTCGACAAGAACAAGAACAAGCTCGAAATAACGAGGGCGAAAACTTGCTGGGATGAAGAAGGCCATGAATTTTGACGTTGCCTTTGCTCCCCCTCGATTTACCTCCCGTCCTTTTCTTTTATAACTTGATATTTGTTGGGACAAAACACTATACCCCATGATTTTTGATGGATGTTTTGTGTAAATACTTAATGATGGCGCTTCACTTCTGAGCAGATATTTTGTGAGCAAACAATTTCCAGGTGAATAATCAACTTGGACAACATACATACCTTGAACGTAGTAGCAGTACATTTGCAGTGTCATGTCGAGTAATACTATATTCATATATAGACTTTGATCTAGTTTTGCCGAGGCTTTACTTCGCCTTCCTGCACAACATAATAAACCACCGTCCCATCACCACCCATATTCTTGTCCACCACAGCTAGTAACATGCGAGTTGAGCCCCATTCCTTTGTTGCAATGGCCTCTTCCCTCTTCTCATAGTACTGATTCAATTTCTTCGTCTTCTCCGCATCCTCCTCAGGCTCACTTTCTTTATCTTCCACAACCTCGATTCCCGACATCGCATCGAATGCAGAAGCCATGCGTCGCAAGCTCCACGACTGGTTCTGAGCAGTAGGAATCACAAATAACCGTTCGGAACGAAGATCGTCTTCACGAATACCCTTTTCCAACATGTACAGTTGTTCATCTGGATGGGTATAGACTCGATGGGGCGGGATACCGGATATCAATAATGGGACAACAGGGGTTTCAGGAGAGGTCTCTGGCGCTGAAATGTGGTGAAGTTGCACATTTGTCCACAAATGTTGCTGTTGGAGGTTGTGCAGGATTTGGATTGTGGTTGCCTCGACGGGATTTCCAGATGCAGAGGCAGATTCGATCAATTTTGTGAGAGCTGACGGCTCCGTAGATGGAGCTACTGTTTGTGTGCTTGGCATTTTGGGACGAGGTTATTGTATTTTGCCTGGTAGATTGGGTTAATTGAGATTGAATTTGCGACTCACATTTATCAAAAGTTCTGCAGAATTGCCGGAGCCTATTCACCGCCTACTTGAAGGAGCGGTATAATAGACCGCCTTCCCAATAAAGTGGTATGTTGTACGAACAAACTTCTAGGAGAGAACGGATCGTGCCATTCCTGAGATTCAAGACAATTTCGCGATATCATTAACTTTAAATGTTTTGTAGCTCAAGCTTGGTTTGAGAACCTTGCATGTCCCAATCATATCCTCTCCCGCTGTGTTCTTCAGGGTTGAGTGGGGCCGGCTCCCCTGGCGATCACTGATTGCCGATAAGAGTCGTGAGAACTAAGAACACATGGCATCTTATTTTTTTCTCTTCTGAGTTTACACAACAAGGTCCAAGGGATACCCACTCTTCTCAAATACCCTCGGACTGTCAGATAAGGTGCACACAATCCTGCATATATCTTACACATACATTATATTTGATCTTGAGGCCGATTCTCGATCGTGAATTTGCTGCAATGGGCCGACAAAAGCAAACAACGCCACTTCAGCGCACCCCTTCTTCGCAGTTGATGCAAAACGAACCAGAGAAACAAAACCAGCATTTCAATGGCAATGGCAATGCCAATGTTGAATCCAAGCCACAAGAAAATGCGCCTACAAAGGTCTCTGCAGCAGTGGAAATCGTGGCCGAAACCGTGGCCGAAACTCCGGGTCTAATGCAACTGCTCATTTGCGTTCTTGGTATATACGCTGCATTGTAGGTCTACAGTCCAATGTCTATATTATGGAATTACAGAATCTAATTTGTTATAAGCCTTTCATGGGGTGTTCTTCAGGAAGCAATCACAACAACCAGCTATCCTGTTCATGCCACCAGCGCCGCTGACCCAGAACCTCAAACGGAGCGATTTACCTACTCCCTGGTCCTGAACACCATTCAGTCCTCCTTCGCTGCATTCACCGGATTCGTGTACCTCCTCGTTTCTACACCAAAAGGCCAAAGCGTCCCATCCATCTTCCCCACACGCCGAATCCTCTTCCCCTTGCTGCTAGTCAGTATATCCTCGTCTCTCGCTTCGCCATTCGGATACGCTAGTCTTGCCCACATCGACTATCTCACCTTCATTCTCGCCAAGTCTTGCAAGCTTCTCCCTGTCATGCTTTTGCACTTGACCATCTTCCGCAAGAAATACCCGCTGTACAAGTATGGCGTCGTGTTGCTGGTTACTCTGGGCGTTGCGACATTCACTCTACACCACCCCGGCACGAGCAAGAAGGTGGCCGCAGCTGCAGAGAAGGATAACTCCGGATCTTCGATGTGGGGTATCTTCTTGCTATCTATCAATCTTCTTTTGGATGGTTTGACCAACACCACTCAAGACCACGTCTTCACCTCTCCAAAGCTCTACACTCGCTTCACTGGACCGCAGATGATGGTTGCGCAGAACGTGCTCTCAACTGTTTTGACAGCTGCCTATCTTCTGGTTATGCCGTATATTTCCCAGAGTGGTATCTTGCATAACTTGCTCCCCTTCCCGATTCCTCCGTCAAACGAGACAGAACTTTGGTCTGCCATCTCGTTCCTTCAACGCCACCCCGAGGCCCTGAAGAATGTCCTTGGCTTCGCTGCTTGTGGTGCCGTGGGCCAGCTGTTTATCTTCTACACACTGTCTCGCTTCTCGTCTCTTCTTCTCGTTACTGTGACCGTCACCCGCAAGATGCTTACCATGCTTCTGAGCGTGTTTTGGTTCGGCCACTCCCTTTCTGCCGGACAGTGGCTCGGTATTACCTTAGTATTTGGCGGCATTGGTGCCGAAGCTGTTGTACAAAGATCGGAAAAGAAATCCAAGGAGCGTGCGAAGGACGAAGCTGCTAAGAAGGAGCAGTAGACTCGGTATCATATCTTGTATCTTTCTTTGTTGGAGTATACCATGGCGTGTTCGATTTTGATTTTGATTAGAAACATTAGTAGCGATTATAAACTTGACTGATCTACGAAAAGAGAAATCTGAAATGCATCATCATTCATATTTGTTTCATACATACAGCTGGAGTCCTAAGATGTAAGATAGCTATACGTCCACATCCAGTACTTTTCAATCATTTTCTGCCCTCAACCATAATGATATGATACCCGAATCCTGTCTTTACTTCCACATATTTAGGATTTCCCGTCGTGCTAGGCTCAAGTTCATAAGCAGCCTTCTCAAAAGATGGATCCAGACTCCCACGGCCCTTCCATCCCAATGAACCTCCTATAAAGAACCATTAGCACCAAACACACTGGAACCAACACAGCAAATTCCAAACAAAAACAAGGATAATTTCAAGTAACAGGACATACCTTGCCTCGCCTTATCCTCCGAGAACTCACGTGCAACCTCATCGAACTTTGTACCATCACGCAGCTTTTCAAGCGCCTCCTCTTTCTTGGAGTGTTTCTCGCACTAAACAAAACAAACAGAAAAAAAAAAAAATCAGAATACCCCTTCAAATACAATCCATCATATAACCAACAGCCGATCGAATACTCTTTAAACCCAAAACTCGAAGGAAAAACATACAAGAATATGCCGCACATTGATCGAAGTAGCAGCTTTCAAGGCGCCCTTCCCACCCTTCCCCTTAGCAGCATCATCGCCACCTTCTTTAGCCTTTCCTTTCGTGGCTTTCCCCTTGTCACCGCCCTTGGCGTTGTTTTTCGGCGCCATGGTGGATAGTAGTGTGTTGGATATGGAGAGTGTTGTGAAGGGTTCGACTGTTTGAGGTGGGGCATTGTGCCTGAGGCAGGATGTGACGTGGGGAATCAGATTACAGTACATCTCACATCTACATGGGATTAACTTGTAGATTATGTACCTTGTGTCTTTACAGCAAAGAACGTTCTTTGCTTTTTCATTATACGATCTCGCCGATATATTCTTTTTCGTTCCATTTCATTTCATTCCAAGCCAAGCCAGAGGTACTGGGACAGATTGATGAGTTACGATCTAGATGGGGCGCGCATTGCGCCGTTGTCTGGTGATGCATTCTACATATCTGATTTCGTGTCCGAGGACGAGGAAGCTTGGCTGATGCATAAAGTAAGTTTTGCCACCTGGTACTAGGTACTGAGAGAGATTCTGAATTCTCATGATATAAATAGGTTCAATCAGCCCCTCTTCCACGCTGGACACACCTCTCCCACCGCCGTCTCCAAACATGGCCATCAGCACTCACAAAAACAAACACTCTACTCTCCTCACCCTTACCATCATGGCTCACAGATCCAATTATATCGCCTCGTTTCAAGGAACTAGGCATATTCGCCAACGCACCACACAGCACACCAAACCATGTCTTAGTCAATGAGTATCAGCCCGGACAAGGGATCATGCCCCACGAAGACGGCGCAGCATACTACCCACTCGTGGCAACTGTGAGTCTCGGCGCACCAATAGTCCTGGATATATACGAGAAAAATCCACGGGAGGGAGCAGAGGAAACGGATGGGGTTATGGATTTTCATGGCAGACCGCGATTCCGAATTCTACAAGAGCGACGAAGCTTGCTGATTATGAGGGGTAAGCTGTATACTGATTCTTTGCATGGGATCGCCGAGAGCACGAGAGATGAGGATCTGGGCCCGCATTCTATTTGTAATTGGGATTTGTTGAGAGAGAAGGCGCCGTATGAGGGGGGATGGGTTATGAGAGAGACAAGGACGAGCTTGACGTATCGGGATGTGTTGAAGGTTGCCAAGATGGGGAATACATTGAAGTTTTTGGGTGGTACTAAGTGAGTGTCAAGGTTAATGGTGATCAAGATGGCACTGATTTAGCTTGATTCTGGATTCCGAGGTTATACTATTTTTATACAGTATTCTTGTTTGTCGCCACTTAATATACCCGTTTAAAACGAAGAATAAGAAAAGAATCATCGAAATGTTGATCTAAACAAATAAAGTCTAGGCTTTAGAGTAGTGTAAGTAGTGTAGGTAGCGTAGGTATAGTGTACAGTAGAAAGGAAGTCACATGCATGAGCACTGTGTGATGGGCAGGTGCATCCCAGCTGAAGGTGGAGACCTCCAAGTTGCACCTTCCCTGGGAGCAAAAGTGCGCCCCGGTCGGTCCCGCTTTATTATGGCGTCGATATCCAAGGTTCTAAGGTCTCAATTAGAAACGGATGTTGTTTTATCCTAGCTTAACTTTAGCTTTTAGCTTGACTTGATGTATTTGAAGACGGGAAGAGGGAATTAAGCGTATCCAATCTTGATTCTGCAGGCTTTCGCATGGTGTGGGATCTGTGATAAGAGCAACGAAGCTGGGAAGAAGCTGAGTGGCCGCATCGAGGCGATCGCCACCCAATAGTGGAGACCAGTTGGCTTCTGACTCTCAAGTGCTCCGTTGCTGCGTCCGGAATGAAGAAGGTCCGTGCCGTGGACGCAGACGTTCTGGGGGGGGGGGAGAAGAAGGGAAAGGGTTTGAGGATTTCAAGGAGGGAAAATTTTATTTCTCAAGAATAATCATGGCGAAGATATGAGACAAATTGAGGGGAAAAAATAGAGTCAAAAATAAGAATAATATTAAAATGATAAATTAAATAAATCCCAAAGTTCCATCTATCTCAAGGTGGCCACCATCAAGAGCCCCATTCTTTTCCCTCACTTGTTCCCGTTTTCCCTTTTCCCTTTTCCCTTTCCCTTTTCCTACTCTCTCTTGTTCCGTCTTCCCTTCCCCCCCCCCTTCTCCAATTTCGACCTTCAATTTCCTCTAATTTCACCCTCACCTCCTCCACCTCCTCCTCCACCGCTTTTATTTTTCTTTTCTTTTGTCTGGTATAATTCAACCCTTATAATAATATTTACTGCCAACCAAATTCTCTCCACTCCCGCCACCAGTCTAACCAACCCCCCTAATCCATCGATATTTGTCGCTGGGAAGCCGGTCTTGCCCACGTTTCACCTCTTCGCGTGATCAGCGTCTGCCTGAGCTGGCGTTGCCGACTCTCGGTCCCTTATCGTTGATCTCCCAAAATGACGAGCGGAATTCACACACATCGAGTGCTATCGCTATGAGTGATGTCGAGGCTGTCTCATTGCCTGCTGCCCTGGATGTCGGTACCAAACCTCTTGCGCCCGTGAAGTCGGACGTTTCGGCTCCCCCTGCGAAGTCTGCTTCACCTTCACGACGCGAGAGTCAGGCATCGAATCCGGGGGCGTCGGATAACGATGAACAAGGCCCCCCAAGTCCCAAGGCGGATTCAGAAGCGGAAACAATTATTCAATCTGGTCGAGAGTCGCTGTCCCCCGAAAAGAAACGAAAACATATTCGTCATGATCCCCTGCGTCAAGGAATCGACGGTCTCGATGGTCTGCAACGGAAGCGACCACGTTTGGTGGATGGTGAGCGGAGGCATTCGGGTTCTCGGTCGCCCAGTCCCTCGGAGCGAGCGGGATCACCACCATCCGTCGTAAAAATTGAAAAACCCGAGGATTCGCTGTCGGTTCCACGAAATGTGTTGGATGAAACTAGTGTGAACCAAGCCGAGAAGCCGCGAATTTACAGGAAGAGAAGCTTCAGCGACAGCTTGGACGAGAAAGGCGAGCGCCGTGGTTCACATTCACACGCAAATACCAAACATTCTCATCACCTTGACCTCCCCCGACCTACCAATAATACCCGATCTCTCTCTCCTAGCCGTCAGTCACATCAGCGATCTGCGTCTGGATCTCAAATTCCCTCCAAGAAGAAAGCACCCACTCCTGTGCTAACTGCCTTCCCCCGACAAACATCCGAAGACAGGCAGTCGACATCATCGTCTGCGAGTGGTTCTCCGTTACCAAGTGCTCATTTGCGCCGGCTGGGTTCCGGGGTGGGCGCTTCGGCGTCACCCGCGAAGCAGATGGGACCAAAGAAGCTGCGCGATAAAAGTGGTCGAACTCCTCTTGCAAGAGCTTGTGCGGATCGAAAGCATGACCAGGTGGTCATGCGCTTTGGTGAACGACCCGATGATTTGAATATTCCTGACAATGCTGGAAATACTCCTTTGCAAATTGCGTCTTTGAACGGAGAGGCCTCGATTGTCAAGTTCTTGCTGGCTTCAGGATGTGAAATTAATACGAAGAATATCGATAAAGATACTCCATTGATTGACGCAGTGGAAAATGGTCATGTCGACGTTGTTAAACTATTGCTTGGAGCAGGCGCAAACCCTCGAACTGTCAACGCTTCCGGAGATGAGCCATACGAGTTGGTATCAACCGATTTGAACGACGATGAGTTCGAAGAGATAAGGAAACTTCTTGCGGATGCCAAGGCCAATGCGCGACCTGGTCGACGATCAGAAGAGCGAGTCGGATCAGAGAGCAAGCCACCATCCTCTCGACGAGCATCTGCCGCCAGTCAATCTCGAAGTCCTCCACCGACTGCAGGTCCTAATGGGCGCCGCAAGACGGGCCGAAGCGAGGCGACAAGAAATGACCTGCTGTGGACACAACCAACACCGGAGAATCTTATGAATTTTGCTGCTAAAGGCGACGAAATGGGGGTAGTAAGCATCTTAAATGTGCTACAAAAGGCTGACAATGCATCCTTAATTGCGGCTGCGAAGGGCGGCCATCACGATGTGCTATCATTAATGTACGCCATGGGAAATGCGGATGCCGACCCGAACCCACTGCGTGGCGCTGGCCTGAAAGCCGGTTATAACACTCCAATGCTTGCTGCTATAGGCAGAGGCAATTCCTCAGTGATCAACCTCATTCTCAGCCAACCCAGCTTCAACCCTACACGTCGGCTCTTTGAAGATCGAACATACTTTGAACTTTCTCGATCTCGCCAAGGAGAAAATTGGGAGGAGGAATACAATATCCTTAAATCCGCATTTGAGAGGTATCCAGGCGGCGGCGGCAAAGGCCGCAAGAACGTCCCATCACCGCGACTATCACGCAAAGACAAGGGGGAAGATAAACAACCAATTCGAAGAGAATCATCATCTCCTGTTGCCCGCCCGAGGAAACCAAATGAGAGTCCTCCTGGCAAAATAAATCGACCTCCCAAAGATGTTGACTCTATTAAGGAGATGAAGGAGATGAAAGAGAAGCGACGCGAGAAGGAACGTGCGGGGTTAATTAGCGCTCGCGCCAAGTTAAATCGTGATGCCCAGGAGAAAGCCCAGGAGAAGGAGAAAGCTCTATCTAAATCTGCCGATCAAGATTCCGTTCACCCTGACCACGCGAAGCCGAAGCCAACAGCCTCTGCGCGCAGAGATAGCGAGTCCAGTGGTGTCAGTCGCCCCGATGAGATTCGCAAACGTCGATTAATACCCGGGAGGCGCCCCCAAGAACCTGACCGACGCGCAAGCCTCTTTTCGTCCGATTCTCTTTCAGGTCGAGAGGAAGCCCCCAAGTCACGCAATGATGCTGCTCCCGAATCCAATATCTCCCTCAAACGATTCCGTCCCGATACATCACCTGAAAGGTCACGTTCGCGAGGCGCAGACAGTGATCGACTCTCCCCAGAATCCCGGAAGAAACGACGAGTTCTAGCAGAGGACAAAATATCGAACGTTCCAAATGGCCATCCCCGAAAAGGCGAAGATCCAGCTGAGGGTGACAAATCGAAACCCCGACGACCCCGCGAAGACATTGCAAGCATTGCAAACGAAGTTCCGCCGCGCAAATCCGGAGATATGAAGTCGCATTCAGCAGCTCGACCCCACGTGAGCGCTGAGCCCCCCAAGAAAAATGGCGATGTCAAAGAGGAGCCCGCTGAATCAATTGAAACTCCTGTGGCCGATATCCCCCAGGATGAGAACCGTGCTGAAGTCGAGGCTGAGAAACGGCGACGAGCTGAGGCGAAGAAGGCTGAGCAGGAGCGCATTGTCGAGGAGAAGCGTATCACCGAAGAAAAACGGATTGCTGAAGAAAAACGTGTCGCCGAAGAAAAGCGCATCGCTGAGGAGAAGCGTCTCGCAGAGGAAAAACGCCTGGCAGAGGAGAAGCGCCTTGAAGAACAGCAGCGCTTAGCTGAAGAAAAGCGACTCGCTGAAGAGAAGCGTGTTGCAGAGGAAGCTGAGCGTGAACGTCTCGCCAAGGAAGAAGCAGAGCAAGCTGCCAAGGCTGCTCGTGAGAAGGCCGAGGAGGATGAACGCAAACGCAAGGAAGCCGAACAACGCCGAGCCAAGCAAGCCGAGGATGAGCGTCAGAAGCGACTTGAACTAGAGCGAGCTCGCATGATGAAGATGCGCCGTGACCGGGAAGCTCAGGAGCAACGTCGTCGCGATGCTCTTCCAGGCCGTCTTCGCATCTCTGCCAACCTTGTAGGCTCCAATGATTCTTACGGAAAGAGCCGAGAGTGGCTTCAGAAGTTCACCCCTCTCGTTACTGTGTTCACCCGGCAGCTTGAACCTACATGTGCTGTGGATTTGGCGGATGAGAAATGGATTCCGAACTATTTGGTTGCGCCTTTGTTGGGTACAAACGATCTTCAATTGTCGCAGTATGCCAGCTGGGAGAAACGCAAAGCCACTCCGACCCAGCGTAACAACCTCTGGCGATGCACACGTCGTCACTTGGTTCCCACAGATGATCCTAAGTATCGCGATGCATCGTTTGGAGAGATCATGCAGCTGGATTCTGAGACGGAGCCCAAGTACTTCGGTATGGAACATGTGTTCTGGATTAGGGTAAGTCGTAACTTCTACACTTTAAACCACCATCAGGACTGTTTTTGCTAACTTCATTTCTAGCTTTCCGATTTCATGGACCTTGTACCACATATCCCTCATCTTCACGGCCTCAGGCTCGACGACTTCTTAGCTATGCATATCGACCCAGAGCCATCCGCTGCTCCTGCGATTGCTCCTCAGTTCAATGGTCACACACCGGCAGCCTTGGCTGAAATGAATGGCACCGGAATCTCCAATGGTCATATGTATCCTTCTTCTCGACCTGGTACATACTTCTAGTCTCTTTTTGTTTCCTTATTTGCAGCGTCTTCGCTATTCAAATTACGGCGCGATCGACAGAAATCCAAAGGCGTAAAGGATGGATTCTGATTGTACGATTATGATACCTCTTGCGTTCTGTGTAACGAATTTTTTACTACACTTCGGAGTAGTCTTGACCCTGTGTGGTCAAAATGTGATGAAATATTCGAATCATTTGTTCCTCGCTGTAGGCACTTTGTTTTGGTGTATTCTTCAAATGTCGCCTCATAGTTGTATATATAGTCCCAATGCGGAAGGCGGCATGTCCGCTACCTAGTCACATGACCCTACACGGATCCACTCTTCGAACCAGAATGGGTGACATAAGCGTAGGGCACACACAGCGAAAATCGAAATTAAAGAAACTCGAAATTTCCCAAAGTGTTTTTCCACATCTATTCTCCACACCATAAAATACCTCTTCGAGGATCATTCGACATTCAACACATACCCGCTACCCAAATCATAAAGTAGCAATCAAAATGGTACGTTCAGCTCGCCCAACCCGACCAGTCACGCAACTGCAAAGAGAATGAATATACATGAGAGCAATGAAACGACAAGCTGCACACCTCACCACCGCGAACGTAGTCGACAACACGAATCTACAACATGGCCTCCAGTTTCACCCTCACCTCCAGATTCACATCCAGATCCTCAGCTTCTGTTCCTTTGCCTCTGATATCTATTCTCAAACTCAATTGCACAAGCTGGACCGGGTTCCCCTCATTGCCCCTCATCCATGCTAACAACCTTCTTCACAGTCGGACGGAGAAGAGACCCAGTCCAACCCCCCCGTTGCCGCCGATGAGGTCGAGGTTTCCGCTGACGCTGGCTCCGGCCAGATGTCCGTCCTCGATGCTCTGAAGGGTGTTCTCCGCATCTCCCTCATCCACGACGGTCTTGCCCGTGGTCTCCGTGAGGCCGCTAAGGCTCTCGACCGCCGTGAGGCTCACATGTGTGTCCTCAACGAGGGTTGCGAGGAGGATGCCTACAAGAAGCTCGTCATTGCTCTGTGCTCCGAGCACAAGATCCCCCTCATCAAGGTTCCCGATGGAAAGATGCTGGGCGAGTGGGTCGGTCTCTGTACGTTCACCCAACCCAACTGACATACCATTGTCAACTTCAGCCTCAGGCCCTTGGATCAATTTACTAATATGTTTGCTTATAGGCACCCTTGACCGTGAGGGTAACGCCCGCAAGGTCGTCAACTGCTCTTGCGTCGTTGTTAAGGACTGGGGTGAGGAGTCCCAGGAGCGCTCCGTTCTCCTTAACTACTTCCAGACCGAGCAGTAGATTAGTTTCTGTGCTTAATTGAACAGAACTAGTCGTGCAACGGTGGGGAGGATGTTCGGAATCAGGATTTCTATTTCTATTTAGGTTGGAATCGAGGTTGGGATCGGATATTAATTATGGATGGTCCTGTTGGTTCTTGGTTCTGTATCTGTATTTTGTGAGATTTTACCGCTTTGCGGTTCTGTGTCATGCCCCGTTTGCTCGGGTGTGCGGTACTGTGGTTTCGAGCGTCTTTTCCATGGACAAAATCAACACGATGATGTGATGAACTTTTTTTTTGCTGCGTAGTATCACGTAAATCTAATCTAAGATTTTAAGAAACAATTGTAGACTGAGCACAAAAAGTGACTGTTGCAACATGATATTGTGGTGCACTTAGTTATGCGATCTACCTAGCTTTATACTTCGTATATAAAGTCCCTCATGAACCCCTCTAATAGCTTGAACCAATCAATCACCGCATGCGATGAGCATCTACCGAATATCCAACTTCTGCTTCTTCTGCTTAAACACCTGTGCCCCATCAACGAGTCTCCTCTCCGTATTCCGACGCCCATTCACAAAATCAGGATAATTAAGCGTCAGCTCCACAGCCCCGTTAACAACATGGTCAACAGCCTCAACACCAAGCATAAAAGAGTGATCTTGGTTCCCAACCTCATACTTCCAGGATCCAAATCGGCCTCTTGCAAGAATATCCTGATTATAAAGATGAGGCAAGAGGTCCTTCAATGCCCCATCACGTTCCAGCGTTGGAGTAGGATATCCATGATCAAAACGACGATGGTAGGTGCTGACGACTTCGTCGTTGGCATCGAGACTAATACTTAATATTAGCGTGCTTTAGTCAGTCAACACTGGAAACAAAACTTACAGTTCAGTGTTGATCAATCCTTGGATACTTTCTGCGAGTATAGTCTCCTGGTTCACAGGCTTGAGGGGTGACTCTGAAACCTCCAACATGATGGACCAGTAGGGACCGGGTTTGAGTCCATCATTGGATTTATGTCCATTTGCAAGCTGGATAGTAGGAAGGGAGACGTCATCCGCGGGCTGGTTATAGGGCGAATAATTCGAGAAGATAGTAGCGCGGTAAAATGGACAATTATCCTCAGGGAAGTAAAGCTAAACCACAACAAATTAGTCAAGTCCAAAAAGTTGAACATATCATGTAAACAGCTACAAGTTCTACTCACCCAGCACTTATCACCGATTCTCTCCGGCCGCTGTCCCCGAATACCAACACCAATCACATTAGTACTGGAGTAAAACAGATCCCGTGTAAAATCTACTCCCTTCTCATCCCCCATTTTCTCAACTAAAGCATCAACAGCCATAGTCGACACCAACTTGCCATACTTGATGATCGTCCCATCCTGAAGTATAACCTTGTGCGCTGCAGCATCGACCTTGGTAACATTACCAGACTCTCCAAACCGTTTGTTAGCATCAGGTAATGTCTTCGCAACAGCTGTCCAGATACCACCCGTACCATCACGAGCAGGAAAACGGAAAGTAGCATTAGGACCCCAGTTACCAGCGACTTTATCCATGATAACGTTGTTGACGAGGGATTTCAGATTTGGAGCCGCAACACGTTCACCAAGCCAGGAACATTGCATCTGATCCCACAATTAGCTCAATCCGATATATACCCAATGTAGAGATACAGGAAAAACTGAACAATAGTCAGACAGTAATGAATTAAAGTCATACATACCTTGCTAGTCGGCACAGCCCAAACCTTAAAGTTATATGGCTGCATAAAAATATCATTGATTTCCGAACCAACATTCCGAATATTCCACTCATCGAAATTTGCAGGCTTTGTATCTGCAACGCGAGCTTCGAGCGCAGCATCGATCAAGGCAGCGATGCATCTCACCTGGTCTTCTTTGGGAAGAATAGAGATGTTATTCTGGAATGGGTACGGAACCCAGATACCCTTGAAGCGAACGTAGGAGATACGTTGGTGAGTGAACCAGTCTGATTCATTTGGGAGGGCTTCATTGAGACAATCGTCGAAGTAATTATAGTGCGAGAAGATGACGTGGCCACCTACGTCGTATAACTGATCATATTGTATTAAAATAAAATAGAAAAGAATAGATGGGATTGATTTGCGTAGTGTTGTGAGAACGTACAAAGCCTTCTGGTGTTGTATCTGTTGATGCAAGACCGCCGGATTTCTCGTTGGAGTCGATGATTAGCCAAGAGGGGCCGTTCTAGTATGTGGGAGATGAAGTTAGTAAGATTCTCAAATTCACGCACTTGTATCTCCTATAGGTACTTCGCACGTACAATTTGATTTAGTCGTTTGGCGGCTCCTAGGCCTGTTGGTCCTGCGCCAATAACTAGGACATCCACATTTCTGGTAAGGATTAGCTTGTGTCATAGCCCAGGCCCTGTGGGGACCACTGGGGCGGTGCTTCCCTACAGTTCTTTTGACATGGCGATTTGTGAGGAAGGAGGTAGATTGGAGGACTTCAAAGGAGATTTGCAAGTATAAACAATCAACAATTTGGAGAAAGCTTTAGGACTTTCAGATATGAGATGATTGAAGATAAAAAGTTCAATAAGCCTCAACATGCACTTTAAATTGTCCTGTTTCGACATTGCGGAATTCCGCAGCTTGACGCAACGGTCCCACTATTCGCGTCATGCGAGGACTGATTCGTTGTGGAATTCCGAAGGATTATAAAGCTGGTGATCGACGGTTTCCAAGATCAGTGAGCAGGCAACATTTGCATAGATACGGAATACTAAATCTTGACTATCACGAAAATGGCCCTAAAAGTGGTACCCAAAATGGCACGGACTCCTTTCTTCCTATAGCCTGGATATAGATAGGGCTACCCCAAAAGTGGGTTTTCCAGAGATACTCAGGGCTAAAGGCTATATCGAATAGGAGTACCACTGACCCTTCCAAGTTCAACTTGAAATTTCGGTTTAACCCTAACAAATGATATTTATTGGGTTCCATAATATCTGTGACAAGCTGAAACGCCTAGTATGTAGCCTGCTGCAACATTGCCTAGGTAAAATCTCCTCATATCTCCAGGGCCCAACCCCCCAGCCCAGAGATATTCTGAGTATTGCTTCAAGTCATCTTTCGTACATTCCTTTTTGCAAAATTTGACCAATGGTTGATGATTGGCTTCGCAGTAGGGCATTCCAGTGTAACCAGAGGAACATCACCCGGCGCCTGTGTTACAGCAAGTTATAAATTTCGACGCTGAAGGGCAGAATATGCCCTTATCTGCTCTCTTAGAGAGATCTGGCGAGCTTGAAGCAGGGCTGGCGTCGGTATTAGCAATCAGAATTGCAATTGATACCAAGAGGGAATTCCAAAGTCTCATTATGGTGATCAAATTGTGGTTGATGAGAATAAGAATGTGGATGTCCGTAAAATGGATATTTGATCGAGTTAAATGATAGTTGATCGCGAAATATGTCGATAGAAGATTGAATGAGGAATAGCGTTGGGAACTTGAAAGAAACATCGAGTGCCAAAGTTCCAAGATTTTCAACTTGTAGTTAAAGTTATGAAGCAGATGGAAGAACTTGAACCTGAACTTGAACCTTGGAAGCTTCTAGTGGGTTTATTTATACTTGAATATTTGCGAGGGTCTCAGCTTCAAGACATACTAGAACAACCTTCTGCACACAACAATGTAGCCCCGATCATTAGATATGCCAGTGAGCCTTGGAATCAACCATTGGGAAGTGTACAGCACAAATATGTCGGCTATGAGAAAATATTGGAAGATTTGATTCAAACAGAGCTAGCTTTAGGGTACCGCGACTTCTGAACTCGATCGATCTACAGTAGGAACGTGAGCCAGTGAACTCGCAAGTGATCATGACACCGAATGCTGATCAATAGAATTGACGAGCTTGACACACAAGAAGGGTTAACAAATATCTCCAATAACATCCAGGTGACCATTCGAATTTGGGAAGGAAAATATGATTCATCAAATATCAACATAGTTTAAGATATGATCAATAACATTCGTGGTTTTTGTACCACCGCTGAGCCATGATCGATAGAAGGAAAGAAACGGATGTGTAGATCTTTATCCCGCACAATTCATCTTCACATGAGATCCATACAATAGAAGACATCTCAATCAACCATGTATTGGAAAAAGCCTGAGAAAGACTCTGGTTTAAGACCGAAAGGTGTTCAATGTTTTATTGCATTAAAAGTCTAGCGACATACAACCAGAAAAACAAATCTAATTGAGAGAAAATAAGTCCCGCCGCCCAAAGATACGCTCATAGTAAAGAAAAGTAGAGATTTCATTCATTTAATGACCCAACGTATAAAGTACGGGGCCATAAAAATGATCAGAGAAGAGCATGTTACTACACCTTCTCCAAAGGCTTCTTCTTCTTTCGAATATCGACCCAGCCTGTTCCGAATGCAGATAAGAAAATAACCGCTGCAACTCCAGCATTCAGGTAGGAAGTATAATCGAACGATTTCGCATAAGCTCTGATGACACCTGGTATGTCTGTTTCCGACACAACAGATCTAAATCCCGTCGCACCAGCTGCGACCACAGCCTGTGAATTCGCATTTGGAGCATATGTGACCAGGGTTGATTTAAGGCCAGTATCAAAAATGACGTTCGCTATGGTGATGATGACAGCACCAGCCATTGTTTGACAGAACACAAGTATTGCCATCCCCATCGATATTTCTTGATAAGGTAGAGAATTTTGGATAGCAATAATAGGCTGCATGATTTGAACATTAGCCAGTTTGATCCTATAAGCGTTGACCCAATATTTGAAAAAGAAGCATATTCTTACCACTTGAAAGGCAAATCCACGACCAGCACCTGACATGAGTTGGTACCCAACCCATTTGCCGGTGGATGTGCTGGGTGTCATTGAGGACAGGAGGCCACCGCCGATGGCGGCAAGAGCTCCTCCGAGAATAGCAAACGGCATGTAGTACCCTACCCTTCCGACTATATCTAGTTAGTATGTAAACTCGACATGAATATTTTCTGACTTACTCATAAGTCCAGATACCACTGAGAACACAACCTGCCCAAGCATAAGGGGTAACATGGATACTCCACTCCTGATTGGGGAATCATTGTGGACAGACTGGAAGTAGATAGGCAAGTAGTAACTTGAGATAATCACTGTCCCCGAAAGACCCATCATGAGAAGACAGCTTGACCAGACCTTTCTTTTCGCAATCATCTTCAAAGGAACCATTGCTTTAGCCCCTTTGTGATTCTCCCAGAGTAGGAAAACAATGAATGTACCGCCTGATCCACAGAAGAGACCGATGATCGTTGCACTACCCCATGCGAAGTTACCCCCGGAGCCATAGCTAAGTGCGAGAAGAAGTTGAATGGCCGCTGGGGTGAAAAGAGCGAAGCCAATTAAATCAAACTCCTGAAGAATCGTGGCAGCGGCCTGCCTAATAGGAGGCTTGACCAGGGGCTCCGGAACTCGAATAAAAGCCATAATCAATGCGACTAAGCCTCCAACGGGGAGGTTGATATAGAAACCTAAATAATTTACGTTAGAAATGCCATTTAAGATCCAATGACAGAATGTGAAACATACACCATCTCCAAGAGACCTTTTCCGTCAAGGCACCTCCAATCAAAGGCCCAGCAACGACACCAATATTAGAGACTATAAATTGTTAGAACTGCTGAGCTACTGTGGGGCATTCGAAGGAGGACTAACGGCCCATCAGAATTCCGATCATAGCTAAGACTTGTTAGCAAGTGGTACCGAAGAAATGAAGGGCGAGTCACATACCCGGAGACTTGTGGAGTGGCACCGAGGCTGCGACGATAGTTATACTACCATTCATCATCCCGGAGCCACCCATACCAGCTACTGCACGGGCGATAATAAGCATCTTCGAAGAGGTGGAGATGGCACAAAGCAATGAGCCTAGCTCAAATAAGAGAAAAAAGCCAAGATAGCTCCACTGTAACCAAGTTAGTCCGGATCAACCTGAAACTTGGATGAGCTGCGATAAGCTCCGCATGTTTAGATATTTACCTTTGTGTTAAAGTGGGTGTACACCTTGCCTGTAAGAGGCTGCAGGCATGCACTAAAGAGTTAGATCCATATTAACGACGATAAAGCAATCCATAGAAGCATACTTGGCAATTTGATATGAGCTGGCATACCACCCCACATCAGCGAGGGAGTGGAAATGGTTTGTGATGGTGGGAATTGCCTACATGGCGTTAGAAATGTTCACGTCTCGGCATAGATGAAAGACTTACTGTAGAAATAATGCTCAAATCAAGAAGCATCAAAAATGTGACGAGGACAATAGCAGCCATCGCGGCAACAAGCTCGAAGCCGGTCAGGTATACCCGTTCATCCTCTGGAATAGGATCTCCAGGCTTGGATGCCTGCTTTGAAAGCTTATCCTGACCAGGTTCTTCAGTTGGTTGCTCCATCGCAGAAGCACCGGAGTCAAAATTTTCTTCTTTGGAGAAAAACTCCGGATTGGAGGGGCGATCCGTCGTAGCACTAGAGGAATCAGAAGCAGCAGGAATAGAGTTAGACTCTACCTTCCACTCTTTCTCTATAGCTTGTTGACTCATGGTAAACTCTCGCTTCTTGGAGAATTTTGATCTGAAAAAGTGCACTTTCAAAACATTTTATGTATGTGTGAACGTGATGAGGCTCACAATTTCCTACGAAACGGACGAAAAGGACGCAAAAGAAATCACGAAAGACACGGAAGGAGATCGGATTTCGAGTGAGATTTCCATTCAGCTTTTTTAATCGTAACCCCGGTAGATCTACGTGATTAGGGGTTTACCCCTCTGGCCTGCATTTTGCGGCCAAGTATCCACACCAAGCTAACCTCTTATTGTCTTGAGGATGCATAGTATTCCTGTGACATGTAATCTACATATAATAATAAATCTGGACAGTTGTCTAACAAATAAAAATTACAGGATGTATTTATAAGTTTTAATTACAACAATCATTATTGTGCGAGTGGATATACCAGATGCAATAGATGGGGACTGCGTGGAGCTCAATAATGGACAGGGAATAGGGGCTGTGCGCAAACCCGAATCCCGAATCCCTGACGCTAAGTGCGGGCGCATTCCAGCCATAAGGCATCAATGAGCTTCGTATACGTACACTCCTCGTCAACGAGTTGATGGAAATTATTCTACGCTTCAAAGCCAAATATATTTCATGATTGTTAAAGATTATGCGCAGGCTAACTAAAAATCTAGTGATAAAAAGATGTGCAGCTTTTTATTCAAGCTCAAATCCTCGAGGTTCACTGTGTGGGTGTTATGAATACATATTGGTAATCACTAAAGGCAGCCTGATATGTAATTGGCCATTTGAGGGTGGCCTTGATGAGTCATGCATAAATCTTATCACTTTCATCGGGATTCATGATCCCAATCCCTAACTCCGTGATGAACGGACGAGACCCGGACGAGACCCGGACGAAGCCTCACTTTATCACCGTATCTCATTTTGTTCTCCGGATTCAGGCTATATGTCCTACTTGAACCCCAACCGGCAGATATTCCGAAGAACGAATCCCGTTTGTTACTGTGAAACCCCGATCATATACGGGTATGGAGATGGAATCTAGTATTAGCCCAAGTGGGACCCCGGCGCCTTACGGGCGAGCATGCTTGAACTGCTCTCGAGCTAAAAGCAAATGCATGTTACTTCCAACAGGACGAGGATGCGAGAGGTGAGTACTCATTGTATTCGAATACGAATTTCTCGCGAAATAGTGGCTCACTGTACATAGATGTCAACGACTGAAAAAAGACTGTCGCCCGTCATCATCGGCGCGAAAGCGAAACGGTCGCGCCGGGGCCTCAAAGACGGCCCAACTTGAAGCAAAGCTTGATAATATTGTTTCGCTGCTTCAAACTACCGGCTCAAGTACTACCATCCCCGCGGAGATTTGGGAAGTAGCGAATCTACCTTCAAAGCAGCCTTCTAGACTTGAGCCTAATTGTGGGGGAATGCCATCTCCACAACTGACAGCTCCATCTACACCCAATAGTTCAATTATAGATGTCTGCAATTCCCTGCCGATAACACCTGAAAAAGCGCAAAAAACAATTGAAGACTTTCGATCAATGAATTTGAAAACTCTTCCCATTATTCATATTCCGCCTAATGTCACCTCTGAGCAACTTCGTCATGATAAACCGTTCCTCTGGCTATGCATCATGGCCGTCACTACTCCGGGTTGCAAGGAAAGAGAAAGTATCTTTGGAAGAATCACCGATTTGATTTATCAACAAGTCTTTATTGGAACATGTACAAGTATGGACATGCTCCAAGGAATCATGGTGTTTATATCATGGTAGGTTGCTAAGCTCTATCCCTTTAATTCATGGGGGTTGAGAGTGCGCAATAGATACATGAAGGTACTAATCTATTTATATCCATAGGACAACATATTCAAAGAAGCCATTCTTGAACTTTTACTGCCATGTTGTCATGGGGATCGTTTGTGACATGGGAATTAATAAGGCCGTCCCAAAAGACCTCTCGACAATGCAGGCATTCAAATACGCTGTCGGCTGGCGACAAAATAATGTTCCTACCAGAACACTAGACGAGCGCAGGGCCGTGCTAGGATGTTTCCTCATCAGTTCTGGGTAAGATATTTCAATCCCAACCCCATTCCTTTTTTGCTTCATAACCAGCTAAAGATCTCAACTATTTATTTAGTGTTGCGTTGGCAATGTCTAGAATTGACGCTTTGAGATGGAATCCGTACATGGATGAGTGCTTGGCCGTCTTGACGGACACAAAAGAGTGCCCAGAGGATGAGATACTGGTGAACCTTGTCAGGATTCAGTTAGTAATGGACAAGGTTTACCATGCCCGACGCGATGGCGAAGACCAATTTCAGGCTCGCATCTACATCAAATCTTTTGAGGGCCAACTTGATGCAATTCGAAAACAAATTCCACTGCATCTGCAACGTGATGGTAAGCTCTCACTTAATCAATGAAGAATACATTTATATTCAAGTTCTTCTTGAGATTCCACACTAACTGCATACCACAGAAACCATATTGATGTATCTGTATTGTACAGAACTCGTCATTCATGACTGGGCAATACAAACCCCTATTTATCCATATTCCCCGGAGCTTCAACGACTTGAAAGCCTCTATACAGCCCTACAAGCCACCAAGAACTGGTTAGACGTCTGGTTATCTTTCTCTCCAGATTTTTATCAAGGACTTCCTTTCACATTGTTCTTCCAGTTTGCTCGTAATATTGTGAGCCTTTATAGGCTGTCAACCCTCGAGGATCCAGGCTGGGACAGGAACATGGTCCGGAGCACTGCGAACATTCTTGACATTATCGAACGAATTATTTACAACATGAAAAAATGTGCCAACATGGTTGCCGAAGCCAATCCGGCACTCCGCGAGTTTGACAAGGGAATCTTCGACAAAGGAATGAAAATGATGGCATCGATAAAATTAGGATGGGAACCAAAACTAATGGAGATTTGGTACCCAAGTTTACCCCCAAGTGGTCTCAATGGCGACGAGTTTGTTGCACCTGCCACCGATCTCTCTAACATGATACCTTTTGGTCTTGATGACGTGTGGATGATGGAAGTCTTTGGTTCTTTGTAAAAAATTCTTTCATATCTTGGCATTCTTCACGTCTGGCGGGCGGCGGGCGTTAGCTTTTTTCTTCAGTGAAGATCTCCTCTTCCCCGGTTTTGGGGCACCACTTCGTTTCGAGTTGATGCAAGACCCTTGTTAAAAGGTCGATAAAATAACTGTACAATATTAAAGTGACCATGGCTACAAACTACATCTAATAGCAAATTTGCTCGAGACCTTGAAATATAACGTGCCGCATGTAGATCAATATGAAGATATCTATAGCTAAATACCTTAAACCTCGTCGCCGTGGACTCCCTCGTTCGTACGAAGAAACCAGAATATCAATGGGAATTAATTACCATCAGTACCAGCTCTCCAATTAAGACAACATAAAGACCGTGGACATCACGGCCACCCATAGAGCAGCCATCATACCCGATGATGAGTGTAAAGTGGCACTACTCTTATTATCGACAGGGTACGCATAGTAGCTTTCATTGTAGCCAACTGTAGCTTTCCATGATGGTGTATCATTGTCACCAATCAAGATATCCGAATGCCAGGGATCGATTGATGCAGACATTCCCAACTTTAGAGTGCCTGGAATGGTGGTATTCCCATCTGTATCCAGAGAAAGAGGATATCCATACTGCATGGAATATCCAATGGCCTGTAACTTATTGTAGCTGAAAGTGGCGTTTGCACTCTCACTGTCGAATTCAAACTCGACCCGTGGCGCAACATGGGTGACATCTTGCACTTGCAAGAACATCGAGACGTCCACGTAAGCTGAAATGGTTTCAGATCCGTTGCAGGCGGGAGCTTTGAAGAAGCCTATTTTCGAGGGACCAGTAGCAATTGGAGATATCCCGACCCACTGCTCAGAGGTCAAATTGCCCTCGACTTTGTAGTGGTCGCCATCTGTATCAATGATGGAAAGGGGAAAATTCTCATCTGGGAGTTTGTCTGCTATTATCCAATCATCTTGGTTGACTCTATGGAATTCTAATCAATTAGCTGCTCTATTCTTACATGTCTCATCACACATCGAAAGCATGGATGTATTGCCCTTGACTTACGAAAACGACGGCAGAAGCCATTTTAGAGCTGCATGTTCGCTTTGAGGGGTCCCCCACATAGTGGCATTTACGGCGGAAAAGCCCTGCCAGTGGTCTGCGATGTCAAAGTCCTCGTCCCACATAACCCAAAGCATGTTGACAGGGCTCTTGCTGCTCGTGGTATTATCTACAGATGGTCCCACGGAGAAGATACTCTGAAAAGTACTAGTGATGGTGCCGTTTTTGCTATAATTCTCACACTCCGGCAAGGCCTCATAATTATATTCAAGGGTTGTGGTACCATTGTAATATCTAGAGAAAACGAATGTCAGTCCTGATTATCAGTTAATTATGGCGATATTTGACTCACGATCCAGTGAACTCATATATACTGGGAGTGAAATTTTTTGGGTCTTGAGTAAGCTTCTCCTGCAATATGCTGACAACTTTCTCGCGGAGGAACTCGTTGTCTGAACCAGAGGCCAAACGTGCGGCAAGAACGCATAGAACTGCAGATGATAGATAACTTCGATACATGGTCAAAGTGGACGGTCGATGTTTGGGAAGAAATAAAGAAAAACAGGGCAAAAGAAATTATAATCCAGGGGTTTTGGCGCTTTTTAAATCCTTAAAAAGGCCGAAACACAAGCGAAATTGAAATCCTGCTGTACTAAAAATCGCCAAGTAACAATGCCCTCAGATCACTTCCCCTTATAAGATAGCCCTATGATTGCCAAGCTCTTGGCAAAGGGTCTCTCCCCGTCAAACTCAGGATATGAGGCTCATCTGGGGCTGTATTGGCTGGTCTAAAAGTAGGGGGCCAGGAGATGGCCCCGTCAAACCCCAAGATCGCTACTTCCACCCGAAATTTGTGCAGGATTAGCCCCCAAAATAAACACGGTTTACCCAGGTCCCTGAGAATATTATGGAGACTGGTAGCCTCCCCCGCGAATATCCGAATTTGCACCAATCCATCAGTTCCATGCCCAGGTGCTCGATTGGCCTAAACTAGAGATATAATCGCCATGAAAAAAGCGACGCAACCGTTGACGCTAATTGAAGGGCGATCTTCCAGAAAACGCAACAAGAAGGCTCGGCCTGATTTGTTATTACATCATGAGGTCTATATAACTATCAATAATCGGCTACTTTGATATTCTTTCTTGCAAATTATAGTAGGCCTGTAAGATCTATTTATAGTATAAGATACTAGTATTCTTTCTCTAGTATATCGCTCTGATTACGCTTTCTCTCAAGTGAATGCTTCATATGTTAGATCATGAGCCCTCCTACCTTGTATGTAATTACTATAGTATTATTCCAAGCCTGGTCGTTGCAGGAGCACTACTGCTCTTATTACATAATATTGCTTATATTCTCTGGATACGCAGGTTTGCGACCACGACATTATTAGCTACGTAAATTTAGGATAGTAGAAAGCTTAGGGAATATGACTTCGGTGAGCTGCAACGACCTGCAACTCCAACTTGATAATACCCGCCAGAGAAATGGGGTTGTGTCAAAGTGGTTTCGCGTTGTGTATACTTAGTTTACCCTTGAGTTATGTCGCTCAGCTTTTGACCCCCCAATTTATATTGTCTATCCAAGGAACTCTTATTACAAAACTTTATCATAAAGGTCCTTGAGTGTGTGAAGAGAATATTTGATAAAAGGATATAAATAATGGCATCGATAAAATAAGGCTGGGAGCCAAAACTCGAGGAAGTCCGCTACCCGAGCTTCAATTATCCTTGGATAGTGTCAAGGGTGATGGGTTTGTTCTTTATTCTACCAATCTCTTTAATGTGATGATCTTTGATATCTATAATGTGTACCTATAGGTTTGAACGGGTTGTAAAAGATTCTTCCATATTTTGGCGTTCTTCAAATATGGCCAGTGATGGGTGTTGCCTTTTTTCTTCAATGTAGATCCCCTTTTGTACATATCAATTTTCTCAACCCCCAACCTTCTCATGCTTAAAACACATCCAAAAGTATGCTGAACACCACAAACTCTCCTATTTCCTGGTTTGAGATATTCTCTTCGAACCAAAATTATCCACCTGACTATCTCTAATAATCAATCCTCAGCAGCCATGGGCTTTCGATGCTATCCTTCTAATGTGCTTACTCACTACTACATATCCAATTTAAATTCTACTGATTGCCGACTCTCTTATCGCATATACTAGGACAAGGTTGATTCGAAAGCCACGAGTACCAAAAGCGCCCAGTTGGCTTCATATGAGATCGGCAATGATGATCAGCCCTGCGGGAAGGAAACAAGATAAAGTACATAGTCGGCCACGTATGTTTGGAGCGATCATCACTGGCCCAGGTCTAACGCGGAGTAAAAGGTCCAGCCAAGAAGATTACGTACCTTTATTGACGACCGTCTTGTGGGGTCGTTCCTAATTAATAGCCTGGCTTCGCCGAAATGTGGAGTCGTGGCCCGGCTCTTGGCGCGGGATCGTCGTTCTAAAATAAGCTTCGCCCAGTCAGGTGTTCTGGATTCGAAGCGCCAACGTACACTGGCTATGTATGATGTAGCCACTAAGCCTATAGTTCCAGATCTTTTTGTTGGGGTTAGCTAAAGTTGTGATCTAGTTTCGGAGTTTCATCTCCGAGACCACTGTCACCACTCAATATCTCCATTGGTTGAGTGACTTCAAAATTCACCATTTCGCAATCTTTGGAACACAATGAGAGCATAAGCATGAGAGTTTATCTGAACATTCTATCTAGTACTAATGAAATACATCTGAGGATATAGAAATGAATCCTCTGCAGAGTACAGGTGAAACCATTGGGATCCAGGCTCTTGAATGTCCACCCATGATCCACTTATCCTTGGGGTTATTGGGTCTTCGACAGATATTTGATACGGAGTAGTGGACCCAGGCAACGATTTGTCGTGAAGAATGGCTCAATCACCTGCAATATATTGACGGCAATCCACTTGGGAATTGCTTGTACGCGTGTAGCAGAACATGGAACCGCTATCTACAACGCGTGGCACGGGATATAACTTGAGATCATCGAGCTTCAGCAAAACCTTCCAGTGAAGATGCGGCTACAGCGAGAGTCAGAAGGTATAAAACGCTCATTGATTCTGGAGAATTTTTGAAACTATTCATCAAACACAACTTTCATTCTCTACTGATTTGTCATCTGACCACTTCAATCGTTACTTCCACTTTTATTCTTTCTCTACCACATACCACGATAAAATGAAGACCTCTATCTTTGTCTCCGCCATGCTTGCTGGTCTTGCTATGGCTTCTCCTTTCCAACAGTCTCCTAACTGCAGGGTCGATACCGACTGCAAGGCTAACGAGCAGTGCGACAAGAACGGCAACTGTGTTGCTAACAAGGTCGCCCGTGACACTCCTTTGGCTCACCTGAACGAAGCTTGCCATGTCGACAGTGACTGCCTTGAGAGCTTGAAGTGTGTGAAGGATGTTTGTGTCTCTTCTCACAACAAGCGTGATACTCCACTTGCCCACCTTAACGGGGACTGCAAGACCAACGGCGACTGTGTTAAGGGTCTGGTCTGCGAGAAGGACGCCTGCATTGCTCCCAAGAACAAGCGTGACGTGAGTTTTAATTTTATTATTTTGAAGTTTCATTATAGCTAATCAATAAAAGACTTTGTCCGAAATTGGTCAAGAGTGCAAGGTCTCCGGTGACTGTGTGAAGGGCCTTGTCTGTGGCCAGGATGACACCTGTGTTGCCCCCAAGCAGCAGCGTGATGTCTCCGACGCTCAGATTGGCCAGGAATGCCAGAAGGTTGGTGACTGCAAGAAGGGCCTTGTTTGTGAGAAGAACACTTGCCTTGCCCCCAAGGGCAAGCGTAATGTTGTAAGTTGTGTACGATAATACCGAAAGCATATTTACTAGCTGACAGCAGAAAAAGGATGCTGGTCTCCACGAGCAATGCCAGAGCACCGGTGACTGCCGTAAGGGTCTGGTTTGTGAGAAAGACATTTGCATTGCACCCAAGAACAAGCGCGAGGTTAGAAATGAAAAGAAGCAAATCAAATCAAGACATGGAACTAACGCAAAACTTTACAGAACTCCAAGTCTCAGGCCAACGGACCTTGCCAGGTCACCGGTGACTGTGTTAAGGGCCTGACTTGCAACAAAGACACCTGCGTTGCCCCTCAGAACAAGGATCAGAACAAGCGTGAGGTGAGTAATCTATCTAGTTTACTTCGAAATATTGAGGAAACTAACTACGAAACCAGGTCGGTGACCAGTGCCAGTCTGATGATGACTGCCACAAGGAGCAAACCTGCCAGGTTATTGTGAGTTTTCTATTTCTTCTACATCATGAAAGGTGCTAATCAATCAATTTATTGGGTGAACAGAAGGGCAACAAGGTCTGTGACGCTCCTCAGACTTCCAATTAAGCCCCTGAATGAGATTTTTATCACGACCCCGTCCAAATCCCGAGGCCAACAAGGATAAAAATACCTATTTCAGTCTTTTCTTCTTCTCTCTAACTTTGAGATCCATTCTTTTACAACTTGTATCTATATATTGAGAAAATACAGCAGTTTCTACTGGAACTTTATCCCTCTAGTTAATGAGCATGCTTAAATTTTTCCCTGAGGTCCATTTACCACGTCGCTTGATGGTTACTAAATGCACAGGCAAGCACCCAAGATGGACTCGTACTAGTAACCATCTATAATACCGGCTTCCGCCGTGCCGAGATCTTCATTATTGATCGTCTTCTCCAGCTACAAAAGTATCTTGGCAATGTAGAATCAATTCTCTGAGATAGACTAGGTACTTCATTTGCTATTTTAAGATTGAAGGCCTCGTAATCAACTTTTGACCTAAAATTGTAGAGGAACGTGTCCTGCAATTGACGTGATTTCAAGAAACGTCGGATCTGTTTATTGCCCATAAAGTCCAGTCCCTTGGATCCTCTTTACGGTGTCCTCTTGCACTCCTCGTACAATGTCTGCTACACTGGCCACATTGTTAATCAATCCTATAGAGGCACCTGCATACGTGGCAAGCCTGCCATTTGGTCCCCATCCGTCATCTCCAGCTTTCAAAGCTTCATCATGAAGCCTCTTGAGTTCGTCAAAGGCAACACCGCCCTGGTGCTCGATATATGATTTGTTAATGATAGTCCTTGGACTGTACTCGGCCGGCCATCCAAAGGTTCCTCGCAAATGATTGTAAAGAAGTGTTCGTGTTGTATTCGCCGCCCCATCCGATGCGCGCACAACCTCATTTTGGTATCCCTGGCTAATCCGCGCTTCGTTGGAAGCTAGGAACCGAGTCCCCATCGCCACACCAGAAGCCCCCAAGCACAATGCCGCTGCTGTTCCTCGCCCATCAGCAATACCTCCTGCCGCGACTAAAGGAATTTGACTGGTTGCGATTGCATCTGCGATCTCGGGAAATAATGACATGATGCCCATCCCATCTGCTGCCCGACCGTGGCCACCCGACTCCGCTCCCTGTACGACAATAACATCTGGCTTCTCGGATATCTGCAACAGTTGTTTCGCTTCTCCTAGCGTGCCGATCTGAATCCAAATTTTGATTTCGGGAGATACCTGTCGAATTTTGCGTGACCATTGGTCAAAATCATTTGGGCCATCTTTGGGCGCAAAAAGCCAGACTGCGCATGGTTTGAATTTCTCGATTGAAGCGACCGCGGTATTTAGGTCATCTCCCCAGAGTTGAAAACCTACTCCAATTGGCAAAGAAGGGGTTGCCGATGACAAGAAATTGAAGGCAGTTGTCGACGCGCGCGCCTTCTCGATTAAAGCCGATGCTTCTTCGAGATCGACTCCAACATCCTTAGTTTTGACCCCGGGCCCGATAAAGCCCAGGCCACCGGCGCGTGAGACAGCGACAGCAAGTGCTGGGCCAGAGAAGACCCGCATCGGCGCGCTAACAAGAAACGGGCTTGATGCCCACGGGTAATGGGATAATAGTTTGGCAGCCATGATTGTTGAACGATATGATAAAATGAAGGCGATGGTGATTGCACTGGAATTTGCGTTAGCTGCACATGATATGTCTGGACTCTGTGGTGTATAAACCGAGGCTTTGAGAGATGAAGTCATTCGAGGGGGCGCTTTCCGCAATACCCGCTTCTGCACAGCAGAGTGACTTGTGAAAACCTCAACAATGAGCGGTTCCAAAAGTTAGTCATATTGATTTTTGATCCGGAAATATTATTGAATGTTTAAAAAAAGTTTGTCTCATTATTAAATAGTGTGCTTCGGATTTGAGAGACGGATTGACAAGGTTGTAACTGTTGGTCTGCCTCACGCTGACAGTATTCTGATCTCTCTTACCACAACTTCCGCAACTTCCGCATTTCCCATTCATCCACCAGAGCCCGACCGCCATCAGAGTCGCTCGAACAACTATGCAGGGTTTGAAGCGGAAACGCGTTATATTAGCTTGTCAGCCTTGCAGAGAGCGCAAGAGGAAATGCGAGGGAGGGGACCCCTGCGCTACTTGCCGCGAATGGGGCTACCAGTGCTATTATCCAACGCGACAACGAAAGTCCCAAACCGCCCAGCCGTCACCATCGAATGAACAATCTCAGCCTCTGTCGTCTCCCAAATCCATCCAGGATGATGGTCTTATGGAGTCAGATCAATCGGGACTGGTTCGCCGTCTCGAGGCGAATTCTGGCGCTGCATTCGTTAGGAAACTGGGCCTCAAGATCGACCCAGCCAAGGCACCAAAACTTAACCTCTTCGGTTGGAATATTGGGACTCGGAAGCTAAGCTCTTTCGTTGCAAAAATTGATATATCTATCAATGAAATTACTTCTCTTGCCCATATGAGAGAATTGGCCCAATTTTATTTCGACAAAGTGGATCCTTGTTACGGATTTATCGATCGGCGTGTCTTCTATGCACGATTAGACGCTCGGCGGCAGCCGGCCCTTTCCCCAATTAACATGTATGACCCCTCGATGGATATCTACGATAGTGTCCTAGCGGGAGTTGCTGCTATTGGTTGCTTGTTCTCTTCATTACCCGCCACACCCACAGAAGTCCAGCTAGTTCGAATGGCGCGATACTGTTTAGAAAGGTATCATCTAGCAGGCCCTCCTTCTGTAGATCTTCTGACTGGATGGACTCTGAGAACGATCTATCTTCGACTTACAGACACCCCACATACAACCTGGATAGCCAGCTCCACTCTCATGCACCTGCTCGAGGCCTCGGGCTTCCACCCCGCGCCATCGGAGTATTCAATTCTTCCACATAGCGACGATTGCGACCCGGAAATCAAAAAGCGATTAGTAGGAGTGGCCCATCACTTAAATATCTGGACGTCATTTGACTTAGGGCTATCTCGAGTCTCATTTCAGAAAAGTGATCTACCGGATATACCATTATCCAAGCCCGGGGACTATACTGACGAAATTCTCGGTCTCCTGCCAGTATCCGTTAGTCTAGATCCAGGAGGATTGAAGGATGAGGTCGATCTCACTTTGACTTTGCCCAAGCTCCTAGACAGGACTCACACCGAGCCTCCATCAGTTCTTGCACAATGCAATCTCGTCCTTTGCGTTCTGCGACGTATTCATACACAGAACCTGGATATTTCATCAAATCTAGCAGAAAGAGTGTTGAAACTTCTGAAGAAAGGTCTAGACTGCGCTTCTAAGATGGTATCAAATTGCTCGCCATGGCATCAAGTTGCGAATGTTCCATTCCAAATAATCTGTGTTCTTTTGACACTGGATACGCGATCGTCACTTGCAATGCTCCCAGAAGCAATGAAAACGCTGAGTCTCGTAGCATCAATATACGACACTCATGCACTAGCAGAGGCGTACAGCACTGCTTGCTTGTTAGTCATGCTGCATCAGCAGCGCAGAAAAGATGACATTGCTATTTTGGGCGAATCACTCAATTTCCGCTCTGGCGTTCATCAAACGGAGTGTCGTACTCCATCTCAGTCTGAATTTCAGCCTAGCTCCGAGGAGTATTCTTGGCTAGGAGCGCTTGTTGCTGATTTACCTGGATTGCAACGCGTTGACCTTGATCAATTTTTAAATGCCGATATGATGGATACGTCTTCACTTTGGACCGGGGGTGTTTAGATTTTATCAAATAGTTCTTATGAAATAGTCCTAATCACTTTGGCCCATTGTTTTTTGCATACTTTCTGATTTGATCACAAATAAAAAGGCGTAAATGCGGTTTTACGCTGGGTACTCGTCCCGTAACTATTGGGCTTCGATAAACATTAGTATCGGAAGACCATTTCGCCTTCACCTACCTGAATGCCGAGCTATACCTTCAGCTTTGTTTCAGTGAAATGTGATCTCTTAGTATGTGGGTGCGATCGCTCATCCGCGGGTATTGCGGGATTTACGGGTGGATGCTACTAGCAGCGACCAACAATGACTTCAAATCGAAATTGATCTGCAGAAACTTGTAAAATCTCTTTTCTCACACGTGAAATACTTGGAAATCGAGTCTTACTATTTATTCATGGGAAAGTTCTAAGTTCCAACTCCATGAACTCGTCCAATCCAATCTGTATCTGAAATTTGTGCAGTATTGTCGCGACAACAAAACACTTGCTCTCAGAGGATAAGAGTCATGAGTGAAAAAAAGGCCATAGGACAGGGCAAGGTATTTCCACCGCAGTTGCCCAGCTCCGACGGCTATGCCGTTGAATTCGATGGACCTGACGATCCTACACACCCTTACAACTGGAAACTATCTCTCAAGTAAGTTTTACACTAGCATGATGAATTAGCTGACTTTGCTAACCGCCTGAGGGAAAGAAAGACTTTTTACATCAATCTTAGTCTGTTCAGGAACATTTGTTGTTTCGTTCACCAGCGCTGTTTTTGCGCCCGGGACTGATAACGCGAGTAAAGAATTCGGCGTCAGCTCAGAAGTTGGAGCACTTGCAACTTCGTTATACGTCCTCGGATTTGCATGTGGTCCGATGATATGGGCACCTGCCTCCGAGCTAAGAGGAAGGAAATGGCCGTTAACCATCGCCATGCTGGGTGGTAGCATTTTCACCATCGGCTCAGCCGTTGCCAAGGATATTCAGACACTAATCATTTGTCGATTCTTTGCCGGGATGTGCGCAGCAAGCCAACTCACTGTTGTCCCCGGTGTGCTTGCAGATGTCTTCGATAATACCTATCGGGGCGTGGCAATCTCAGTATATGCGCTGACGGTGTTCGTTGGGCCGTTCACAGCACCTTTCATCGGCGGGTTTATTACATCCAGCTACCTGGGGTGGAGATGGACTCTTTATCTTCCGGCTATTTTGAGCTTTGTGAATGGGGTCATATCAGTCGTATTTTTGAGAGAGACATATGCGCCTTGTCTGCTCATCGCTAAGGCGGTGGCCATTCGTCGCCAAACGGGGAACTGGGGAATTCATGCGAAGCAGGAAAAGATCGAAATTGATTTCATGCAGCTTATGGAGAAGTACTTCACACGACCGCTGAGAATGCTGATTACAGAACCTATTATTCTGCTTGTTTCGATGTACATGTCTTTCATCTATGGCTTGGTTTATGCTCTTCTTGAGGCATATCCCTACGTCTTCCAACATGTCCATGGCATGGCTTTAGGAGTTGAAGGACTGCCATTTATTGGCTTGATTATCGGACAGGTGCTAGCATGTACATTTATTGTCTCCCAACATAAGAATTACGCACGGAAGCTTGCTGAGAACAAAAATGTACCGGTACCTGAATGGCGCCTGTCGCCTACCATCTTGGGAGCACCTGTCTTTACGATTGGCATATTTTGGTAGGTTCCTCTATTTTTTCTCTTTATACATTTGAGCTAACACCTATTACGATACGATAGGTTTGGCTGGACAGGCTTCACACCTGCAATTCACTGGGCTGCCCCAACAGCGGCAGGAATATTCATCGGATTCGGCGTGCTATGTGTTTTTCTTCCGTGTTTCAACTACCTTGTTGATTCATATCTCCCACTGTAAGTGTTCTAAGGGGGACCTATATCAGTTTGGTTTGATAGCTAATAATATACTTCAGGGCAGCGTCTACTGTTGCTGCGAACATAATATTACGTTCGTCGATCGCTGCAGGCTTTCCACTATTCACTAAGCAAATGTTCGAAAACATGGGCATCCAGTGGGCATGCACTTTACTTGCATGCTTAGCCGCAATAATGATTCCGATTCCGATTGCCTTCAGGGCATATGGCCCACAGCTCAGAGCCAAAAGCAAGCTTTTCAAATAAATCAGACCCAAACACTCCCTGAAAGCCAGTTTGAACATACAGACATGTACTTAGATCAATAGACCAAAGTTTTCTGCCTCCTTCAAAGCAAACATCTCACTTAGTTCAACGTTCCTGACTTTGCCCTCAACTTTGCACCGAAATACCAAATAATCAACGGAGCCGGAAGTCCAAGGAATATCCCAATCAACGAAATGGTACTATTTCCCCAACCATAGCCGAGTGTATCATACATCTTCGGTGCGAAAAGAGGAAATAGAAAAGCCGTGAGACTTCGCATAAACTGCTGAGCAGCACCAGTACTGCTTGCATGCTCCGGATACGCTTCCATGATATACGCTTGCAGCGGCAATCCAGTCATCTGCAGCCCAAGCATCGTAATGAATACTCCAACATCAACAACAGCCCAATGTAAGCGGTAATGAGCAGCCCATCCATACAAGAATAGACCCAGTGACCCGAAGAGACACCCAGGGAATACAGAGGGCATGCGAAGCTCTGGAGCAGGATCTCCGTTAGAATGAGCCTTAAGTCTCTGATATACTTTGTCCATCATCTTTCCGCAAAGTTGACTACCGACGACTTGTCCAAGTGCAACGGCGATATAGTGCAATCCACTGATCTCGATAGATTCATGATACCCTTGCGTCCATAGATCGGAGAATGTAGAGAGAACAATGAACAAGATCCCGTAGTAGAATGCAGAGATGAGTGAGGATATCTGCACAACGGGATGAAAGACTAGAAGCTGGACTGGTCGACTGAGCGCTTTAGCAAGAACTCTAACTGTTGATCGATTTGCGTTGATATGTTCGTGTATGGTATAGTATCTCGAGTCACCTGTTTCGCGACGGATACGCTCCGCGCGACGGTGTAGGATAAGAGGTTCATGAGTCTCCTGGAATGCCGTAAACGATACGGCCATCATGACAGCTTGGAAGATTGAAGTTGACCAAAACATCCATCTCCAGGTAGTTCGTTCTGCCATGAATCCCCCAATAATTGGACCTTGTTACAAAGTTAGCAAAGATAAAAATAATGTCTAAAAAGATCAAAAACCAACCAACTGCCGCTCCTAGCAGAGGAATGAGTACGTAGACGCCAAGAGAGCGTCCACGCTGCTCTGGCCTCCACACATCACCCAAAACCCCATTAGCCAATGCATAAATTGCACTAGCACCAAAACCAGCCAGGAATCGAGAAGCAATCAGCATCTCTTTGTTATTTGAAAATCCGCAAATCATGTTCCAGATCAAAAACCAAACACCAGAAGCATGGAGAATATACTCTCGACCATATACCTCTGACAGTGGGCCGATAATCAAAGGACCGAATGCAGTAGCCAATAGGTAGATAGACAATGCCATTGCTGATTCAGCCGAGCTCATGTTGAATTCTTTCGCGATAGTTCCTAATGCAGGGGCCATGATTGTTGATACCATTATGCGATTGAATCCTGTCGCGGATAGTACATCTGTAACGGCCCATTTGCGGCCTGTACGCCAGTCTTTGGGATTGTCAGCATCGAATGGCTCGGCAAAAGCTACTAGAAATGGGTTTTCGGTTTTGCTGGGATGGCTGGATATTTGGGCTAGTTCAACATCTGTCGGCCTGGTAGCTGTGATGCTATCGGGGCTGACTTTATTATTCTCGGGAGCCATAATGTTTGCTAAGCTGATAGGGCACTTTCTTTGCCCACCTAGAAGATATGGAAGTAATGGGGATCATAAGTATGGATGTGGGGTTGGGGGCGACGGCCGGTCCCGCCCCCGTTCCTGGGCCAAGCTATAGATAAGACGATGTAGCGGCATCCGAAAAGCCGATATCCTTGATAGGGCTGGATTTTGGTCTTAGCTTTGTTGTTTCACCCAATCAAACTAAAATTACAGAGAATTGGACTTCAGAATTACCTCGAGGGAAACGATTGCCGGAGATAAGAGATAGGAAATCACATATTTTCAGTTAAGTTATACGAGTAAATTGTTGTGTTGGACCCAAATCCAAGAAGTATATTTAGCTAAAAATTAGTGTGGCTAATAATACAGACAGAAAGTGACACTTCTATGGATATTCCCGAATAAATCTAATCCGAGTTACTATCCAAGAAGCTATTCGCCGTCCAACCATTCACAGCCGAGTAATCAGCAAAAGGTGAAGTCCCATGCAAAACCTCATAATGCTTTCTAGAACCACACTCCTTCAAGTTAGCCGAGTTAGCATGAATGCATCGATCCTGCATAGCAGCAGCAATCTGTCTCCCAGCATCCCGCCCTTCAAACCATGCTCCCTGCAGAAAGCCAAAGTACGTAGGACTAGTCGCTTCACCAGCAAACCACAAACGATCGGTATTAGCGCGTAGATTCTCGTGCATTTCCAAAGTTGTTCCAGGTGGCCAATTAGAATAGCTTCCATGGGCCCAGGGCTCGGTACTCCAGCGTGGATAGTGGAAAGCCGTTGGCTCAGGGATACTTTTCTCTGGGAACATCTTCCGAAGAACATCCATGATTTCTTGCTTGGTTTTCTCGTCAGATTGGCGCTCTGCGCGCCAGGAGAACTCATTTGTTACAGTGACGAAGAGGATGTTCGAGTCTGGTAGGAACTCTGGCATTGAGAGCGATTGGAAGACTGGGTACCAGCCTCGGAGACCTGGGTCAGCGTAGAGGAAGTATTGGGTATTTGTGGGCCAGAAAGTTTCATTGAATTGCATGAAGATCTTGGTATATGTTCCCACTGTGAATTTTTGGATAGCGGTTTGTTTCCATTCAGGTAGGGTAGGTGTGAATTTGACTTCGTCGCTTTGGAGAACACCTAGGGAAAATGTGCAGATTGCGTATGCGGCTGTTACGCAACTGCCATCTTTGTTGTGGATGGTTACTCCATCGTCGGAGTATGATATCTCCTTGATCTGTGTATTCAGGTGCAGTCGTGGATCATTCGGCTTGAGGAATGTGGCGGCTTCCCCCTTGATGATGGTGTTAAAACCGCGCTGATCAACAACGAAGTTGTCATGGTCGCTAAATACGTTTTCGGTGAGATTGTCACCGGCACAGCCAAAAACAAGAGAGCTCTCTAGAGGGTTGAAGTTGTCTTCGAAGTCTAGGAGAAAGAAACCTGTCAGATGGGATATCTTCTTCTAAAGGGGCGAAACGATATTTACCCCATTTCCACCAGTCAACTGCCTGTGCCTCCATGTCATGCTTCTTGGGGCTCCAACCAGCCAAAGCCAGACCGGACTGTGCTGTCTGATCTTGAAGATTGTTTCTGAGGATCTCACCGGCCTTCATACTGGCGATATCGTACGCGTTGTCATACTCAGTGAGAAGATGGCTGTAATCCTTGTAGCCGTCCTCGTTGTATGTTGAAACATTGTCGTAGTTCGAGTAGTGAGTTTTCAAATGATATTTCTGGGCCTATTGTATCGATTAGTTCATGAACAGGTCACCAAGTCACGATGTGTAGACGTACCAAAGTCCAGATAGGATTCTGGGGTCCACCTGGATTCCCGAGACCTTGCACCTAATCAGAAAGAAATTCAGCCCGTGTTGACACGTTACCACGGAAGTTCATGAATACCCAATTTGCGCCCATCTCAATCGTATATGGCTTCCCGGTGTGTGGGTTCTTGCCAAAGGGTCTATGCCAAGCTCGGCCTCCGATGGTGTCCCGGTATTCGAGAATAGCAAAATCGTGGACCGAGGCATTGGAAAGAGCTTGCTATGAGCAGTTAGCATTTGAAGTAATACCGCAGAGACTGGACGAGGAGACAACTCACTGCAGCCGTTATACCTGCAATGCCACCACCGCTATCTTGAAAGTTATTACTTGGAACTTGTATAGTATGAAGCGTGTTCCAAGGTTATCCGATACGTACAGAATAGCAACAGTCGTCTTTTTACAGGTGCCTTCATCTCTTAACTGGTGAGGCACATGGGCAGTAGCTGGAACTGCCTGACTAGCCAAAGCCGCCAAGAAAGCAAGATGATGTAAATGCATTACGCTTGAAGATGTCTTCGAGCCTGATTGAGGGACACAATCTGGTGGCCATCGCGGCAAATAAATAGATTTTGAACGTGATAATGATGTATAATTGATTTACCATGTTTGTGAACTATGCTGCACCAATTTTGTGACGACATTCGAGATTGGAAGCTCGTGGCTGTGAGATCGACACGGCCATGTAACCTTTGTTTAGATCTTGGGTGTAGCCGTTGCGGGATCGGGTAGGTCCAAGCGGAACAGGCTCGCTACGGATTTGATCATCCACAGGGATACCCCCTGGAGATCAACATTCAGTCTCTGATATGGGGAAGAGGGTCTTTTCCCCCGCACCCCAGATAATGAAGAAAGACATTGTGGATCTCATTACGTTTGTATTACTGATGGGCTTTATCTACGAGTAACTAGAAGCGAGATGAGACCGACAAGACCATGCGATAATGTAATTCATTTTTGATCGAAAAGCTTCAATCGATAAATTGATGAATGAAGAAGAAGAAAGCCGTGATAATGGAGTTTGTCTCCATAGGTAAATCGCAGGTAGAAAGACGCTGGAAGGTATTCCCCAAAAAGTAACCAAGTGACAGGTAGAATGGAACACCGTCCAGCTATGCAAGTAAACAAGACAAAGAATCATATCAAATTTCATCCCAAGATAAGTGATCCAACGCCAAGCTGAGGTGGAAAGAATCAAAATTTCCCAGACCCACCGGGCACCGGAACCGGAGGATTATTTGACACCGCTGAAGAAATGAAAGTCAAAAGTAAAAGAGATGCAAAGCATGCGAGATAGTCGGCACTTATTTCGGCTCGCGAGTCGGCTCTGCCTACCGGAAAGAATAAGACGGGCGGCTCATTTTCACCATTTCAGGGTTCAAGCATAGCTGCTGATATGGTGAACTGCCTGGATCATGATAAAGACCCTCTATGTGGCCGTCTTCGCGGCGGAGAGAGATGTAGTAGAAGCCGGAGATTGTCAGACCTTGGCGCGAATCGGTCGGGGTAATGAAACATCGCTCTAATAAAAGTTAGTACATCGTGAATATGGGGAGAAAGAAAGGAGACGCATCGCATGGAACTTACCCTTCCATCGCATCAAGATCCACCCTTTCGCCAGCTCCTCGGTAATCCATTTCCGGCTGACAAGATTTCTGGCTATCTCGGCATCTGATAAATCCTTGAACGGTGGTAACTCTCGCCAATAAGTGCTATCGATATCTGCATCGGCTTTAAAGTTTTTTGTTTCGAGGGTGTGATTATTGAAGTCAATTATTTCTCCTTCTAAGAAGGTCACAATATGGGCATCGTGAGTTTGAGAAGTCTTATCGGGAATGTTGTAGGCCTCCATTGTGCCAGAGAGTGTCATCTCGTCGTAGTCGATATTGTGGATGGTGACCTTGACAGGCCAGTTTTCGTCCCGGGTATTATTCGCCATGTATCGACGTCCGCTGGTGGTATAAACACTGATTCGAGGGTTACTGTGGCCATCGTTTCCGTTGACGATTACTGGTTCACTAGGAGCATGGGGACTTGGTATTCGCTGTGGCAAGACCGAAGAGCTCGCATTCGCTGCTCTCTGGCAACCCGAGAAGATTACCCCAGGCCGGAGCCAAGAACATGGCGGTGGCGGGGCAATGGTGTATGTATCAAGGATGAAATCACTGGAGAAGTTCTCTGTTGAAAGGAACCCCTTCGCGTGGGCTGAGTTGATGCTTTCTTGTACCGAGTTGGAGTACCGCAAGCGATCGAGGTAGTTTATTGTGTCCTTCAAAAGCGAATCCCCAGCAGCCCCAGAGTGTATTTGTCTGTGTGCGGTAGCTCGAGCTCGCAAGTCGCTATGGGTGAGCATCCGATGTGATTCGTTTCGGTTGGTAGGCCGGTATCGGTACGCGCGGGAGGAAGAGGAGCCCGATCCTCCTGTTGGTCGTTCGGTTTCTTCTGGTTCATCGATGGGTCGGTTCCATCTATCCAAAAGATAGTTTTCGAGAGTACGTGTTCGAGCTAACCTGGGTTGTCGCCTCGCTGTCTGCAACAGTGCTTCCATAGTGGAGATGGGTGAGCTCGATCTTTGAGAACGATTAACCCCTTCTGATGACTGGTGTCTATCCCCAACGTCCATAGCTACTGAGTGAGTCGTTGATTCATGTCTTCGGGGACGACTCGATGATGTGTTGCGATCCGACACGGCATGGAGGAATGGTTGGATTTGATCGTCATCTGATTCCTCGCCACGGTGATGGGCTTCGTCCTCATCATCTGACCCGGGTGCCCAACCGTAGAAAGTCCGGGAGGTTAATCGACGACCGTCATAAGTGGGCATATTTGTGGGATTGGGTTCTTCGCGTTGGCGACGGACAATAGGGATACGACGGTTGATCTCGACTGAGAGGCGTAAATTGCTGGGGTCGTCCAGGTCCATACGGTCCTCCTCGTCCTCGATAGGATCCGAAGGGGACGTTGCGTAGTTGCGGCGACGATGTCGACTGAGTGATGGTAATAATGGATTGTACAAAAGGGAGCGAGACCGAAGGAAGTTTACATTCTCGTCGTGTGCGTTATCGGTTTCATCGATTAAGACGGGGAGATCGGAGCTTGAGACCCGTCGCGACAACGATTCAGGAGCTGGCGTTGTCGGCGACAAGGCCGGCGTGCCGTGCTGAAGTGATTTGGATTAGTACGGGTTGGGATGGGAGAGACGTAGAAAGTGATGTAGAAAGCGAGATGTTGGAGTGTTGTAGGTGAACAAAAAAAAGATTCTAACATACAGTTGCGGAGTTAGGAGGCGGCATCTCCTCGTGAGTCGGGATCCGCCGCGCAAAGAGCAAGGGGGTCTGAGATTTAACAAATGGACATAAGGTAACAGGTTATTTTGGAGGGATAGGGATGAAAAGAAAAAGCAAATACGAAATGCGAGATGAAAATGGAGATGAATATGGCTAGACCATGCGATAGGTAAAGGGAAGATGCGTATCTTCGTAAAATGTGGAGAAGCGCAGTTTAAGGGACGATCTTTGGTTCCTTTCTGCCGAGGCGACACGGAAGACAAATGTATGTCGCCACTGGAAAACATTATTGCGAGCACTTGATTACTGTTGTTTTCCAATCTATTGCTATGATTCAGCTCACAATGCTTAAAAGGGGCCTTTGTTCATGCAATGCGGAAAGTCAATAAGAATCGCCCAGTTGTCCGATCGCCGCCTCGCTTTGACCGCGGGAAAATTGGTGGCTAAAACGCCACTTGCTTGAATGTTTGAACAAAGGAGCTATAGTAAGTGTAGCTTTGTCAATAAAGAATCAGTTTTCAAGTTTTGATCTCAGGATATTGTTGGTTAATGTTTGTTTACTAGGGAATTGACGCCCTGCGGATTCCCTACTTGGTAGTAGTATATCATGATGCCTAATAGGGATAAATGCGGAGACACTTCGATATATATACTAAACAGTGAATCTGATCATGTTATTTGCTACAGCAGTCCACGAAACCTTGGAACGCATACATGTGAGTCATTTGGGTAATATGAAACCCCATAGACGCCTGCAATTCATACATAATTGACTCATAGATCTATCAGTTTCTCCGACTTGCTAAGTACTACAGTCGATCTTCCAGCCCTGGGCGGGGCCTTTAACCACCACTGCGGATCGCCCGTTAAGCCTAAAAATAAGTTAGATGTGATCTGCCCTTAATTGGAAAGCTTGGTCACTATAAGATTGTCTCCATTTCCGGAGCAATTCCGAGTGGCCTTCATGGTCCAGAACATCGGCCCCCAATCTCACCCATCATACTGCATTTTAGACCCCTACATGTCATGTTTAACTTAGTCTATTGATCCTTCGGGGAATTAATAGCTTATTTAGAGGGCTTTAAGACTTTGGTGGTTAATAAATGGGTGGCCTATACTAGAAAAGAAAGTAACATGGATATAGTAGCGCTCTTGGAAGGAAATATGTCGGGGCGACTTTAGATGGACAATTACATTACCTAAGTGGGACCTTGTAGAAATGGTAGTATTGTTGAGTGGCTACTACTAATATGGTGCAATACCTTGAATCGCATGATTTACTGTTATCATAAACTGATTGCAATAACCGAGCCCTGGGGGTAGTCGAAATTAGAGTCATCAACTTGAACATGACACTCGATTTCCAAGGTTGAATGCGCAGCCTCGTGCTACTATTAGAAGAGAAGTTTGTCCCCATTTGCATTGGATATGTACAAGTGCCTTCACTCTATATTCTAAACCAGACAGATAGCCAATGTACATACTGTTCAAGCTGACATAAATCACTCATCTATTCGAGTTTCCCGCGAGCCACATTGCAGTCATCAGCCAATTGCACACACTCCAAAATCAAGTTCCAGAATGCCTCCAAATCGACACCACGGGGAACAGCCACACCGGCCCCTTCGACAGGAGTAGCAATAGAACGACCCAATTGTCCAGTAACTGACACATCTTGGCCATGAAGACCATCAGTGACGATGTGAATAGCAAATCGTTCACCATCCTTGTCGTCGAATGTGATTGCTTTCTCGGGATTCTTCTTGGCAAATACTGGATTCAGATTCGACAAAATGGCTGCGACTGCAAGAGGATCATGTAGAGGTGGCCCCGTAGACAAGCCAAAGACCTTCTCATATGTCCCTGCGAAAAAGAGCAGAAGATCATGAAGAATTTGTCGAACAACTGTTGGTTTCTTAGACGGGTCACTGGAGCCATGTAAAATGCGCGTCTGAACATTTTTATCAGCCAGAACTTGGTGAGTCAAATCTAAGCTCATAATCGCGGTTTTTGATGCCAATAGAGGATTGCTAAAAATTGCCTCGGATGACTCAGGGTCGCACTGTGAGATAACGGGGATCAGCATTACTTCCCAAAGATAGACTCTCGTGGAAGAACAGCTTACGTAGAGGTTGAATTCTGCCCAAGGAGTGACATTTCCAATACGTGACTTTTCGCCGGGAATTTTGCTCATTGGAGCGGCTGTGAAGCCATTACCGATGGCACCTCCCATAATACTCAAGCCAGCAATATGCTCTACAACCTCGGGGAAGGTTGAGAATAATAGAGCAACATTAGTCAAAGTTCCCGTGGCAATGACCCAAGGAGTTCCCTTTGGCTGGGCTAAAAGGGCATCTCGCATAGCCAAAATCGGGTTCTTATCTGTAATCGGGGCCACGGAGGGCTTAGGAAGCAGATCTGTCCCATCGAGGCCCGATTCACCTATGAAATAACTTAATATGGTACGATCCACGGTCTCCCGAGTGTTTTCTTACCATGAATGTCGGGAGCATGGAGAGCAGGTCGTGAGAATGGCTTTGAAGTTCCTGGGTAGACAGGAATCTCGGGCCGGCCAATGGCTTCCAAAACACTGCTAGCATTCGCTGTGGTTTTCGCTAGAGATGCATTTCCGTGGATAGTCGTAATTCCAAGCAGATTCAATGAGGGATGAAGAGCAGAAATCAGAATAGCAAAGGCATCCTAAGAGTAAATCATCAATACATCATTTCCAACCATAGATACAATCATACGACGAGAACAAGACATACATCGTGACCTGATAAGAGTTAGTTTTGCTATATACTTCGCTGTTCGGTTTCAATTGACATACCAGGATCGCAATCCAGCCATAATGGAGTCGGGTTTTCAATTTCTACACTGGCTGTCATTGTTAAAGTGTTTATTAGGAGATTTGATGAGTCAAAGGGGCCAAGTAGCATTCGACCTGGGGCCCGGCAGGTAACAACACGGCTTATCCCCGCACCTGATAAGGACCTTATCTTTGGGCCCTAAGCCCTACTATCCACATCAGGAAACCCCAGATAGGCCGACTTTGCGGTGACGTGACAGCTGTTGTTCCCCAGACCCCATAGGGAACTGGAGCTTGAGATTATCAGTCTCGATAACCCCATCCGAATCATCTCCAAAAAAGCCTCACGTATCTACGATGCCATGACCGATTCTCTCCGCCCCGGCCTCCAGCCGATCTCGCAGTTGAAAGCTGGACCGACTACCTCCAGCTCCAGGTCTACAGCACTGCCTTCACAGAACCACCAGCCCTCTAAACGACCTTCTGCTTCATTGCAGTCAGACCGAGCGTCTCACCAAGACGAGAAGATAGATGGAACCAGCAAAAAAGCAACAACTGCCCTCATACGACGCGTTCTCTGCCCCCAAACAAGCAGTCACGGCGCGTCATCTCCTCAGCCTCTGGAAGAGCTGTTACCTCCACTCACGAGCTCCAATGACATCGACTTTCAACTTTACGCTATACTTGCTATTATAATCAGAGATTTTTTGTATTCGTGGTATTCGAAGATCACTTCGGACCAAGCACTCGTCAATGAGATCATACAAGTTGTTGCACATTGCACCCGTGCTCTGGAACAAAGAATCCGGGAGATTGATGCTATACAACTGGTTCTAGATGAAATCCCAGCTTTGGTGGAAGCACACATTATTTGTAAGACCCGACTGTCTCAGGCGTTTGTTCTTCCGATGAAACCAGCTATATCCAGCCGAAACCATACCAAGACAAGAGCTAACTTTGACGGCGATTTCTATAGCATACAGGTTATCCAAGCAACAGTCGTATCTATCCGGACTGCCGACGTCACATCGTACACTCTATCATGAACTGAACCCTCATCCTGGACTGTCACCAGTCCCCGATTTCGAAGACCCTGATACAATTGCCGCCCAGTCCGAAAACGAGGCCATATATCGACGGCTATTGGCGCATGGAGCCCTGTCGGTTTTGTTGCCCACGGAAGACCTTGAGAATAGCAGTCTCCGAACGCTAGTTGGGGATGTCATCGGTGATTTGATACTCGGCAAAGAAATTGGTGGCAGGGTTTGTGAAGGAGCTTTCTTATACGAAATCATTACCAAGCTCACGGTGATGCTGAAAGATCGTAGAAAGCCCGCGGACTCGAGCACAACGAATAAGGCTCCTCAGAACCGGTTGGAGAAGTTTGGTCTTCTGTCGGCCAACGACGAGTCTACTAATCTACCACCATCTAGCCAATCACAAGTCACAGCATGGATATGGCAAGTTCTCCAAGCCTTATATCTTGGTTACGTTGCTTTACGTTTCATTGCGACGGGTTTATTCCGCGTCGCATCGAATCCAAAGCAGGAATCCTCGCACGGAGCCAGTGTTTCATTTCCCACTGCAACGCCAGAGTTCCTAAAGGAGGGTGTTGCGCCGTCGCCATCAATCAACGTCACCAATAAGCGCCCGATTCTCGAATATCGGATGGCTTCCATGGCCTCGCAATTACTTGGATTATCGCAAAGAATGCCGTGGGTATCCGGCCTCCTCGCCCTTATCCAGCATCTGACCCTGGCAGGCCCAGGTCAGCTTGGTGACACGGACGGGGTCCTTGACAGGTGAGTCTATTAGTCTATTTACACCCGGAGCATTTTCCTTGATATTTTGTTTGCTTTGTACATCCGGGCTCGGGCCTCCCGAGACCGCATGAACTCTCGACTGTGGAGCTACTGTTGCGATCTCCGAACCACGATCTACTCGGATCAAACAAATGTCACTTGGTGCGAGTGATGGTGCGACGAAGAGGCATCCTTCTCGCATGCAGCTGCGATCACTTGATCCTGTAAGAAATATTTCGAACGCCAATACGAAACCGAGATGGTAACGTACGGTGACCCTTACTGGCCGGTACTGTCATTACCGGTTTGGCTGACGGGGCCGTTCTGGCCTCGGATTGGCTGCCCCAATCTGGTCCGAGCGAATTGTCGATTTGCATTGCAGGGATTCCTCCACGGAGTATCTCCTATGTCCTGCTGCTTCGTACCCATATCCACCACAGTGTCTGGTTTTCCACTTGCAATGGGTGATAGCGCCGGGGCCCGGCCCTTTCCGTGCCGCTCCTCTTTGTTGACTGTGAAAGGCGAACTACATTGGCTCGACTAAAATGAGTTCTGAAGTTGCGATCTGCAGAAACTAGTTCTTTTTTTTTTTTTTTGCGATGGCTGTCAACGAGTCAGAACTAGGTGGGGGTGGGAAAAAAACAAACGAAGCCACAGCCATCAAAAAAAAAATTCCCCAAAAAAGACTGAAAGTTTGTGGCTGCCGAAGGACGTTCAAACTCTTTTTCGGCCGGACAAGGCAATTCGCATGCACGAACAGAAACCGTCTGATGCCGATCCATCGCCCACCGATTGATAACCATGCCTCATTGGGTACGTGCATGGAAAGAAGACCCCGTCGCCGAGGCTAGTGAATTTTCTGCTCATTATCCAATCAGCGAAATTCCTGATGGCGAGATTTCGAATTCGCAGCCTGACCGAGGCTGGCGCATGAAGCCTGCAGCTGCTGGTGTCAGGGCCAGGCACGCTACTGGGATCTTACTGGGATCTTACCGCTGGGAGCGAGGGAAGAGGGGAAGAGGGCCAAGCAAGAAAAAAAAAAGTTTTTCAATAAGAAAAAATGGCAGAGCTCCACATTTACTTTTTTTCTTGCTTGTTGGGTCGCCTGGAGGTTGTTGAAGGAGCAAGATCCTTGTCACACACACCAGATAACTGGCCCAAGCTCCTGCCCACACCCCTAAGCCGATCTTACTCCGCCCCCAACCCCACTTTACTATCGCCTTAATGGGCATCAAGCAGGAGCTCTTTCTAGCGGTGGGACTCTCAATGAAGCAACACCCCCAGCGGCATAACGTTCCGGCTCAGTAGCTCCACGGGCAAGAGAGGGGCAGTTGAAGGATTTTCCCTTGGCTTTGCTTTTTGTCTCTTCGGCTCAACCGATGTCATCATTTGAGATCTTTGGCTGACCTGAATTCGCACAGATTTATCCGAGAAACCATTGAGGAGCACGTCCTGCCCCCCACTTTGTTGCCCAACCTTCTTATGGTAACTCGGTCTACTCTTTTCCCAGCCAATGCCCGTCCAGTATCCCAAGCAGCTCCCGTCCTAATTACGGGTGCCCCGGCTTCGACTCCGCATTCGTCCGTGCAACCACTAACGCCCAGCGGGAAAGCCTTCACGATAGCTGCCGCTACTACAGCTCCTGTTCCTCCAGTCTCCAATTTATCAGGAATCAAGGCTATCCCTGCTGTGGTGGCTGGAAATAGCGCAGCTGATAAAATTAATACCGGCAGCAACAACACCCAAATTAGTGCAAATGGACTAGCTAGTAACATCACCGGTGGCGTCAACGATCACCTGCCCACAGCAACACTATCGCCAAGATTGACGATATCGCATACAGTGACGGCGGATACGATCACGCCCCCAACAGCCTCACCGACCGGATCGGAGAAAAAACATTTCCTCTTTGCCCCGGAGATCGCCGCAATCAAGCGTCGATGTGCAGCTAACCTTCTGAGTCTGATTCCGCTCAATATCGCACGAGCCTTCTTCGGCGCTCCGGCTTCTTCCAGGCATGATCGTACCTGCAGCACCACCACTGGGAGTTCATCCTCGCTCACCACTATCTCTTCTTCCGGAAAATCCCCACCCGCTTTGAAAAACGAGGGTGGCGGAGACCAGGCGACTCGTTCTTCGCCTTCGCCTGGGGAACAGAAAATTTCCTCGCCACTACAATCTAAATCCCTGCCGGCGTCTACATTGTCAAAGCCAGGGCCCGGGAGTGTGACCGCTGCGGAGCAAGTTCCCCGCACAGGCGACCAGGATGACGAGGCCGAAATTGGGCCGGACGAATTATACCTACTTGAGACGATCGAGACGGACCTGTTGGACCTTCTCGCAGATGAGTACTGCAACAAACACCTCATATATTCCATCATAGAGACCGTTTTGGTCAAGGTCTTGCCTGAACTGGCAGAGCGTAGTGTGGCAGAGTTGATGGAAGACCGCGGTCTAGCTCCAGTTCCTAGTAGTCTCTAATTAGTTCAACTCCCTCCTTTCCTGTATATAGTGCATTTTGCCTTTACTCCTGTACAGTGTTGTACCTGCATTATACCTCTATGAAAGTCTTTTCGGCCGATATTCCTAATGAAGTATTCACTTCCTTTCCTTGCTATAATAGTTCGATTAATATATCCTCCGAGGTCCATAATGCCTATGGAACACATATTATTTTCTATTATTGTAATTATGTTCAAGTTTGTTTTTATTTCTTCTTTCAAATCACGCGGTAGATTGTGACTAAGGATAAGTAGACATTTCCAGGGGCAAGGGGTATAATATAAACTACTAGTAACAAGTCTCCGAATCCGAATACATAGCAAAACCAAGTAGAACTCAAATCTACCAAGCAGTTATGCATCCAAGAGCAAAGCAATGAAAAAGGGTAGAAAGCCAAAGAAAAGTGATTAATCTGACATGAATGACCAGATAGGATCTTATAAAAGGTGATCCCAGTAAAGTCAGAGTATTCTTTCCGCGCGAGCGGCCCAGTTTAAAAGATTCAGAAAAGAAAAAATTAAGAGAGTGAAAGAAAGAAGGCAGAAGGAGTAAAATAAAAAGGGGCCAATACGAAAGTACCAGAAAGAAGAATAATAAACAATAAGAGAGGGGAATAATAAAAATAAAGCGGGGGGTATGGGTATGGCGTATGGGAAGCAAAGAACAAAGAAATAAAGGATAATAAAGGAAAGAAAGAAGAGACAAAGGTCCAAAAGCCGAACAAAGAAAAATGAAATCAATCAAAATGAAATCAAAAACAGATATAAAACTCCACGAGATGGCCCAAGAGCCTCCAGGCTCATAATTCCATGTACCATGTACCATATACCGGTGAACCCGTGTGCCATATCTCCTGTACCATGAAAAGGCAAGCGATGAGAAATCGTGTAATAATCCCATCAAGCCGTATGCTTGTTTGTAACCAGCGCCAGTCCAAGCCCCATTCAAAGCAAAATCGAGGTCGCCCTCTGTTAATGTATGTTCTGGATATTTTGGGGCGTTCCATGCTCGCCGATTCCAGGTGTCGACGTGAAACTGGAATACAGATAGATGCAAAAAAAAAAAAAAAAAAAGGGAGACAACAAATCAAAAATGAAGATAAACAAATAATCCACCGGGAGAATATTGAAGAAACGTGACGTGATAAGGAGGGAGAGGGGTCGTGGGAGCGTTGAAAGAGAGTATAGGGGAGCGGGACGGGCATAAGGGGTGAGAGTGGGAGTGGGAGTGGGTGGATAGAAAATCAAAATGCAAAAATGGATCGATCGGGTCGGATGGAATCGAATGTGCGAAATGGGGGGCCAGAAGTATATCTCATCCAAGACTGTGGATGCTTCGCTTCTTGCTAAGACGAGGAACATCGTCGTATTCATCGATTCGAGAAAGACCGCCTAGAATATGATGTCCCTGGCTCTTGGCAAGCTCAAGACGCTCCATCAACTTTCCAATGGTGACATATTCCTGGGCTGCAAGACCAGCTGGTTGGTGTTGGAAGTAGTTCATTACTAGCTCCAGTGCATTGCGGGCTTCATCTTGAGTTGGAGACCCGGGTGCACTAATCGGGGAAACTGTCGTGGATTTGGAAACGATAGGAGGTGGCTGCATAGACTTTGTCTTGATCTCGGGATTGCTGCGATTTCGCTTTATCAATTTCCTGGGATCGGTACCCTTGATCGCAGCACGGGCTTCCTCATCTCCAAAGTCCAAGGGTGACTCGAGAATAGCAACGTGATGGTTTGGTTCGATCTTGGTGTACTCTCTATCCATTGAGTGGTCCGCAGTGATCAAGGTAGGGTCAATGGGTGCAAGAGGATAGGTAGAGCTGCGCGGTCGGTTTGTGTTGGGACCCGAGCATGGAAGACGAGACTGGCTTGTCGGCGTAAAAGGGCTATCGGAAATTAGAGTTGAGCTTGGGCTCGTCATTCCAGTCGAGCTAGTATCCAGGGAAGTTGTGCTTTTGGAATGATTGTGTAGATATCCACCTGTGAGTTCAGGGAGTGCTTCCATTTCTTCCTTGATTCCATCCGGGCTCTGGAGAGGAGAGATGGGCGAACCAAACATATTTGTTGGCGAGATGGGAGAGTGGCTGTTAGGACTCCGAAGGACTGATACGTTGCCACAGTTGGTGTCGATGCAAGTAGGGCTGACGGATCCGCTTCGGCCAGCATCTAAAGAGCCCTTGCGTGACTTGGCGCCGAGCAGGTTGTTCTTCTGCTTGAATTTCTCGAGCCAGCTTGTGGACAGTACTCGATCCTTACCCTCAGGAGGACAGCCGCAAGTTGCAGCGAAAAAAAGGGCTTTCTCCTTGATCATGTCATCGTTGATAGGTAAGCCTCGGCGCGAGTAGTTCCGTGCCCAGTTTGATAGAGCTTTCTCGATATCGGGAACTCGACCCTTAGTTCGCTTGATAGGCGACCGGTTTCCATCATCAGGATTCAAGTATTTTTCCTTTTGGCGCAAAACTTTGGAGACGGTACTATTTTGATACATGTTAGGTTAAAAAAAAAGGTTAAAAAGAAGATGTGGAGAGACCCATGATGAGTCTTACCTTCTTTCAACTCCAAATAAGGCTGCATTAATGCAATGTTAGCCAAGCTAGCCCCCACTTTATGTACCTAGGAAATGCACATATGATTTTGCAATCTTACCTCCAATATCTGTTTGTTTCGCAGTCTTATTTTCCTCATGATATAGACACATTTGTCGGCGATCTTCATCGGTCAAGGTTTTGCGTGGTGTCGAGCCGCCAGTAGAAGCCTTGCGACTCGGAGCTGGAGGTATAGGCTCAGAAGGTGAGATGGCAGTTGGCATTGGGGTAGGCGGAAGTCCATTTTCATGGAAAGGAGATTGGTGAGTGAGCATGCTGGGCCAGGAATGCGAGGGCATCGGTAGAGGCATCGAGGCATAAGGTGGCGGTAGCGACATGCCATAAGAGGGGTCCACGGTCATAATGGGCGAAGGACCATATTCGAAACCATTATATTCGGGCATAGGAGGAGAATGCTGAGGGGAAGTAAATGCGCCTAACTCTGTCCAGGGAGAATGAGGGAATTCGCCTTCTGGCGCATGGTGAATTTCCGTTTCCATGGCGGGTGAGTCCTCCATGGATGGTAGTAACCAAAATTGTGGGAAGTCACCCCGAGGGATAATGAGGGTGATAGGTTCCAGCGCTGCTAGCGGGGATGGAGAATTCAATAAGAATAAAGATAGAGATAAGGATAAGACGTATCTCCGGGTAATAGAAACAATGAGACAATTCTAAAGGTGAAACAATGAGGAATAATGCATGTTCCACATACAACGCACACCCACAGTGACCCAACGAACTGTATATAAAATTACAGATGAGGGGCCAGGAAAAGGGCTTTCCAGCTTTGTATGAGAGATCAAGAGTGAAGGATCCCCGGAATTGCCGACAAGAGACTCTTAAGACCCAACAAACTAGGTCGTCAAGTACTAGAGAGACGGGCGCGAAGGTTTGTATACAATATGCAGAAGGTGGATGGGGAAAGGGTTGAGGGTGCGCAGCATGCGGGTAAGGTAATGGACGGAGTTAAAAGAAAACCAGGGCCACCGAGACCACACGGCGATCCAAATTGTGTGGATTGACACAGCGAGTTGAATCTCGATTGCAACTGGCACGAGAAGGGCACAGTCCGGAGAAATCCATGATAACCTTCTTGCCCCGAGAAGAATCAGTCGATCTATGGGCTGATTGGCTGGGACCTTCGAAAATATGATTTTAGAAAATTAAAAATACTAAAAAAAAGAAGAAAATGATAATTATGAAATAAAATAAAATAAAATAAAATAAAAATAATAAAAAACTCTCAGCGTTCAGCAATAATTTCGAAAATGCCCCTGTAATAGAGAGGGGAACGGCGTATGGTTGGTCCAATGTGAGATATAATTGTGGCCGGAGGTTGCATCTAGGTGCGTTTGGGGCCTGGTTAACGTATTACCAGGTCATGGTATTGTATTCTTCGAAATGCTCAGAATTTAGTTCTTTAAGTTGCTTTCTCTAAGGGCAAACGCGGGACGTCCGATCTTCATGGACATGCGTGCATGGTAACATGTATTTTTTGAGTCTTTTTTCTTTTTCTGTTCATAATAATGGGAATAATGATAAGTATTATCATTATTATTATTTTTAAAAAAAATCTCTCGTTTCTTTTTCTTTTTCTTTAATTTCTTCCAGCTTCATCTTTCTCATCCAACTTGGCCGGGATTTGCGGCTTGGGTATAGTTCCATTCTCTATTCCTCCCCAATTCTGTTGGGTACCCAATCACGCCCCCAGAACTCCATACTTGACCCTTGGTACTATGAGGGTCCCCCACCATCTTAGTTCTCAAGGGGATCCGTGGTTCAGCTGTATTTAGGACTTACCTCTTCAGTCGGGTTGCTTTTCTTCACTCCATTTGACGGCTGTCGGATTCTGCAGCCTGACTGGCCGTTGTCAGGGAGGCGAGTTTAATGCATCCACACACTACCGAGCAATCAGAGGTAGATCATCCGCGGGGAGGAAAGTGATGCTGAACTCACTCGCAGCTTCACCCCCAAGATTCCTCCCATGATTTGCTAGGGGCCAGATAGCGGATCGATAAACCGCTGAACCTAAAGTCCGCATGACATCCGCTGTGTAGGCCAGGCAGGACAGTTTAGTGGACCGATAGCCCTCAAAGGCGATTGCGGCGGTGCTCACTATCGTTTCATCGAGCCCATACTCGGATGAAAGCTTCAACGGCCGAGTTTACCATAGCGGCCAAAGAGAGCGTGGCATCCCAGTTTCTGGACCACACCATGTGATGCTGCCAGGGGCACGGATGCATCGCCTCGGTCGAAATGAGAGTTGCGAATAAGAAGGCCGAAGCAATGATCTCTCGCATGACTGGACCGATTATTATTGGGGTAGTAGCAGGGCAACAGACACACAGAGACGCAAATCCCTAGATTTTGGCTACCGTATTGAGTAGGCTGGGATCTCTGAAGGACGTGCTGATCTCTCTAATTTGGGCCAAGTTTTCGACCAGGATCCGAACGCATCAGACATCCTTGAAAGATGACACGGCAAATAGGCAAATGAAGAGCAGCGTGGACCCTCTTCATCTGGACGAATCCGCTATTCTTATTCGCTTATGAGCGATACGGGCTCAATACAAGGGCCGAACATGGTCGCCGGGGCTGGCCCTATCACAGGGCAGAGATGGCCTCTCGGCGAAGAGGGGGAACTCCCCAATGATGCGATCGTGCTTTTCTGGCGCTAACTCTCTCTCGTTTTTTGTCTTCTCCACTTTCTCCCTGCGCGACCCACAGCGGTCCTCTCCGGCCCGGGAACCTTCAGTAAACAAGAATGTCAAGAGCGGATAGTCTGACCCTCTCTAACAGTTTTTTGCACGGATGTTCACCGTTCCACGGAACCTGGGTGGGGAGAAAAGCAAAAAAAAATTGACTGATTGAAGAAAGGAAAAAGAAACTATGGATGAACTTCTAGCAATAATACACCGATGAGACATAAGACACATTCAATACAAGTTCAAGTGCAGCTCGGAGGCTGGCGATTACGCGACCCGCGGCCCTGTTGCTGTATAGTAGTTCCCCCATACTGATCAGGATCTGCTCTCATAAGTAAAATTTGGATGCGGTCTAGGTCTCCACGTTGACTAAACTATAAAGGAAGGCTGATATCAGAATTAGAATTACTAAAATGAAAGACTCAAATTCATGGTCTCCCCCCGCCTGTTCGAGTATAACAAACTAAATTTCCCACCTCCACGAGGGATACAAATGTAAAATTGGACTAGGGATGAGAAAATTATTGAAAAGTTCGAAATCAATTCCCCACGAGTATGCCATGCAAATATTTCAATGGGGTTGGAATGTCTAGTCGACAATGGAACTCGGCAGTGACAAATTCCCTGCCAACTCTCCCCAAGTTTGACGGTCAAGCCCGTCAGGGGCGTGAATTTTAACCGTCGCTGACGGCCATTCCAAGCCTCTGATTTGTCCATTTCTCCAATGCGACGGTCTCTAGCCGTCGGTGTCTTTGCTAGTTTACGCCAGTCATGTCGTTCTTGACTGGGGAATTTTTAATTGATTTTCTTTTTTTTATTCTTTAGCCTGCATCCTTTCTCGCCTCGTCAAGGCTGTTTGGCTGGGAGTGGAATCTGTTCAGATCAGCACCAAGTGGGCTGACGCCATCGTTTCCGAAGAAAATGGGAAATTTTTGAAGCCGATCGTGCTTTTGTTTATTTATTTTTGTTTTGAGAACGGAGTACGGGGTGGCTTTTTTCTGTGTGGTCTGTAATGGTAGTATACTGCCAGGAGTGATTTCTCGTACGGGACCGAGATGATTTCGGAGCAGAAGAAGAAACGAGTTTAGACTGGTCAGGATTAAAATCCTCAATATCAGATACCCTATGACCGCACGGGCTTACCATAATTGCTTCTGCATCTATATCCACTTTTTTCGCCAGTCATATGCCCGTTCCTTGAAATCTTGAATTTATCATCGCACGGAAACGCCGTGATAAGGGAAGATTTCCGAGGAAGCACAAACCCCGTTGAACTCAGGAACACACTGGTCGGGGAACACAAGGTGCACACGGCTGCGTGGAACAGGGTTGATGGTTGGGTCGAGTCAGGTACCGATCGGCCTGAATAGGATAATAAGAAGAAGATGGTTAATTATTCTCAAACGGTAATGCACACACACCGCGGGATTTTCCCTGCAATCTCGGAAGCTCAGTTGCAAAGCTCTGTCGATCGCAGACTTTCTTCGGAAAAAGCATGATAGAGGAGGAACTATGGTCTATGGTGGAGACCTTTCTCTTTTGGTTTACATTTGATATTTAAAGAAAGAAAAAAGAGACGAAACAGCCCTAATTTGTCAAAGTCATGACATAATTGACATCTAGGTCTATCTTTTTATTATTACAAGGTTTCCACCAAGCCATGAACCCATTTCATTCCCATGTACATGCCTGTAAGATACTCTAACAATTCTGGGGGAAATACATCGCAGGCCCGCCTAATGTAATGCAATGCAATGCAACGGGGGCGACCGATGGATCCTCCACGAGAGAAAAGTAGAGCCACATGCCCGGCATCGGTGCTGTATCAGTCACCTGATGGAAAGAAGCGTATATACTACTAACACGAAGTACATGTACAATTATACAGTAGGATTTCAATTCGCACCGGAGAAGAAAATAAAATAAAAAATAACACAGAAAAGGAATGTCATCCTTAATACCCAAAACTGCACCATACTCCGTAGTGCAAGCTAGAAAATGCTGCCGATCTTGCATCGACATGGACGGACCAGATCGTGAACAGCTCCCCGTGTGGTCTGGGCATATCCTATCGAGATCGTCGATTTGCGGGCGATACTCCACTTGGGCCCTCAGACTCCGCGAGTCTCCGCAAGGAACGGATTTCAGAGCCAAATCAATGCTCAGACCACGCCCTTATTGGGCGATACCTCGAAAAGACCTGACCATACACCTGCTGTGATACCCGAATCCTCGTACTTCGCGAGTCACCGGTTCCCATACGGGGAGGAGTAAAATCAGATAACCATCGTTATTACAACCAGGATTCACCGCTTGTTGGCGAAGGAATTTCGAAATTCCCACTTCATGCCATCATAGTTCATACTCAGGCTGTAGTTCGTTGTGTATTTTATTTATTTGAATTCTATTTTAGTGTGGGGTTTTTTTTCATCCCATGTGCCTCTCTTCCTGCTTCCTTTGTTTCCATCCCGAACAACGTTCCTGGTGGATTACATTCCCTTTTTTAATTTATTTTGTCACTGGGCGTTCTTTTCAAATGCACCATGTCAATCCTGCGGAAGCGAACTTTGCAGATCTTTCACGTTTTCAAAGCTCAAGCACGGCCGCCTAGTACTTTTGACATGGTTGATCCAATTTTTGGTACCGAGCAGGGAAGAGGTCCAGATTGAGGGGCTGGTTCATCTACTACATCCTGGTTGACATATCATTTATGATTTTCGATTTTCGGTTTTCCCTCTTCTGGCCCCAATATCCCGACGGGGACCTATCGGAAATCATCGTTACTCGGAGTCCTTAGCCTGGTGGAGCTAGCGGGTGTACGCTTCCCCCCCGAAATGCTAGAGCGGGATGAGATGACCACGATCACCGTTGCCGAATTAGCACGGGGGGAATGAGATGAAATTGATGATGTGGGTAGCTGCTAGTAGTAGTATCAGGTCAGTGCACGAGGTCGCGGCCCTTTTCTTGTTCTTTTATTCTCTGCAACGCATGCACACCATAATTACCTTTGGGACCGGGTCGAAGCTATCAAGTTGAGCTTTGACCTGGGCTGACCATCTCGACCCTGCTCGACTCGTGGCAATTTGTGGATCGGCAAAAAGGGAAACTGGGGGTTTGTCCAGGCTTGAAACTTGGCTACGAGGTGGAGGGGGGAAACTTACTATCCAGCCCCCTCCTTTAATACCATAGTTTCCAGTGGCGAGATCATTACTAGTAGGGATATGGTGCAGGACGGCACGAAAAGAGAAGTACGAAACGCCAATTGGGAGTTCGCTGTTACTGTTACTCGCATCGCACGGGATGCTTGCATGCTCTGGTAACCCTAGAAGGATAGCTGGTACCGATAAGGATATCGAAGTCTGCTAGTGTCATAGACGCTTCCTACTATAAACCCGGGGCACCATTGGCCCTGCGTAAGCAATCCATGCATGTCGCATATTAGCTCCTAGAAAGGTGGGAAATGTGGCTTGGTTTTCTTTCTTGGTTGATTGCTGTTCGATGCCGGACGGGAGGGCCTGGGGGATGGATACTCGGGACACTAAAAAAACAAAAGTCGAGACTATTCATCGTCATATCTAAATGTTGTCCTAGTGGAGGCGGCGCCACTCTGGGGAGGATGCATCAATTGGTCTTGATGACCATGCAAAGACTGGGATCTAGAACTTTTTTTTTGGATTTGGGCTTTCTGGTTTTTGGCCTGATTCATCTGTTGAATGACGCTCATGAACCATGAGAACAAAGAACTTCCCCTCACATCCCAACAAAAAAATAATCATAATGGGTAATCATAACAATGTGGCCCGGTCGCTTCAAAGGCCAAACAAGGGAACAAGGGTCGAAAAAACAAACAAACAAGATTGAGATGAATAACAAGATTGAAACATGGCGCCCGCCAAGACCCTCAACAAGACACCCATGGACTTTCTCGATGCTGCCCCTGAGACCCTCTTGGGCAAGTCTCCAACTTGACGAGGCCCTCGTGGGCTCAGGTGGCGATACATTCAAAAGGCACCAGGGGATAAGATTGAAAACCGCAAGAAGCAAGTAGCGCATGCGCATTGCATGTTCGCTCACAGCCCAGCGATCAATCTCCACTCCAAGAGCCCTAAAACAACTCTTTGAGGCCTTATTCGATAGGCATGGTTGTCCGTGCGAGAGTGATTCTCGCGACCAAACCACAACGAGGTTCAGTGGCGTCTTACAGGGAATATGGCTGCAACCCGAAAGCCGTACCTGTCAGCATGGCGGTACAGGGGTAGGTATATTCCAGCACAGGCCAAACTACCACTGCCTTCCCTCAGCATGGTCAGGATCGACTCCCTCACTTCGCGCAGCGGGCTGGAATAGTTAGGCATTGTAATGAAATCCATTACCGCTTAACAATGGAAACTATAGCGAGCGTCGTCAGCTTTTAATCTATTTTATTTGATGTATCAGATGCTTTAATAAGAAGCAAAAGTACGTACCGATATCTTCGTCAGCAAGTTCATGTGAGAGACCAACACGCTGGGGTTGATGCTTCACTGAGCGACCATAGACAATGGCCTGTTTGAATTGATCCTTGATGCTTCGGTGAATAGCGTTGCACTATGTCTTGTTAGTAGGAGATACCCCATGTGGATGACTAGATAACTTACAAAGTCCTCGACGGTGCATCCGGTGGAACGGAGCACGACGGGTGCTGTGTAGTCGGGTGCTTTGCCCTTAGGCTTGGTGTAGACTCTGCACAGGTTGAGTTTCTCCCACATCATCTCCAACAACTCATCAATGTTCCAACCGTGCTCGGAACTGATTGGGACGGCGTTGGGGATTCGGTACAGGAGATCCAGCTCCTCGATGGAGATGGCATCGATCTTATTCAGTGCGTAGACAACGGGGATGTAGCTTCGGCTCTTGGCTTCCAGAACATCAATGAGGTCATCGATAGTCGCGTCGCATCGAATGGCGATATCGGCGGAAGAGATCTTGTATTCGTTCATGACGGCTTTGATCTCCTATTCCTGGGTGTCAACATATGCTAACTGAATTCGCAAATAGAAGTTATAGTACCGACCTCCGGGGTAATGTTGTTCAGGGGAACCGTGCTGGTGATCGCGATACCACCCTTGTCCTTCTTCTTGAAGTTGATGTTGGGAGGGGACTTGTTGATACGGATACCGAAGCCCTCCAATTCGTTCTCAATGACTCGCTTGTCAACCAGGGGCTTGTTCACGTCGAGAACAATGAAAATCAGATGGCAAGTCTTGGCGACTGCAATAACCTGTCGACCACGACCCTTACCGTCTTTGGCACCCTGAATAATACCGGGAAGATCGAGAATCTGAATTTTGGCACCATTGTACTGGACCTGTCCAGGCACGGTTGTAAGGGTTGTGAACTCGTAGGCGGCAGCTGAAAGTTGAATCAGTATTCAAACTGTTCTAGCAAAGATGCCATAACGGGCAAAGCGAACGAACCTTCAGAATGTTGACCAGTGAGTTTGCTCATCAAAGTACTCTTTCCAACGGATGGGAAACCAATAAAACCACTGCATTCGCTTGTAAGCATATATTCGCAGTTGAATTTTAAAAGCACTAAATTGTGTCACTTACACACTAGCAACACCAGTACGTGCAACATCGAAACCGGCTAGAAGAATCCGCTTTAGCGATTGAACCAAAATCTTCTCAAGTGCCTGAATGAGGCGACTTACCACCACCGCCACCACCTCCGCTAGTTGGGGTCAAAAGTTCTCGCTTGAGCTTAGCAAGCTTGGCCTTCAGTTGTCCTGCATAGAATGTCAATTTTGTTCAAGGTCGTCATGGCGTCATTGTTTGCTCGATCGTTCGCTCGTTCGGGGTTCCATACCCAAATGGAAAGAAGTGTTCTTGTTCTTCTGGGTCCGAGCCATCTCGGACTCGACCTCCTTGATCTATACCCAGTAAAAATCTCATTAGTAATGTTTCCATTGCAAATTGAAGGTTACCGAGTGTCGCACTCACCTTATCGATTGTGGTAGACATTTTGGCTGATGGCAATCACGACAATGACGGAGAAATATAAGAGGGGGGATTTCCCGGTTGGTGCTATACAGGTCACGCTCTCCGTGAGGTATAATTCCTGTACAAAGAAAAATGCGAGGCGCAAGTTGTGGCGAACAAAATTGTAGGGCCGCGGAGACCACAATCTTTGAATTTTAGTCAGGGCGGGGTGTGGGCCTGAGGCAAGAAAGTGGGAAATTATGTCATTTACCGCCTGAAATATCGGGCAGAAGTATTGACTGCCTCAGGTCGCTATCGCTTATCAGTTGTTTTAGCCCAATAATGTGGCAAATAGCGAGATTCGAAATTGGCTTCCATCTTAATCACACACAAATTGATTTTCGAACCTTACAGCGAAACGAACTGTCCCAAGACTCTTATTGTATTTATTGCGACTTTGACCCCTGCATACGATCACTCTTGACGTAATGTATGGAACAAAAACCTACTATACATACCTTAACGGGAAAGGATAACGTCTATGATAATTTGTCGCTTCAGCAGACTACCAGCCGCGTGAAGAATGTGGGGAGGCCATAGGTATCTGTATACACCAGAGAACGCGCGATGCAATCAAGTTCTCGGCAAAACCTAAAGATGCAAAAAAAAATACCAAGGTCTCGATTCATCGTGGGATAGCGACAAGTAGCAATCATGCCGCAGCTATTGTGTATAAAAGCGACATTCAGACCGTCAATCGGACGGAGATGTATGGTAAGTATGCCACAGAGGGAACTGCCTATCTGACTTTTGAATGGGCGATCAGAGGGAAATGGTCGAATGGTGTCAACGACGGAGCAAACCCCAACATTATCAGTCTTGATTGGGAAAATGACAAGAACTGGTCCATCAGCGGCACAAGGACGGCAAAGGGCGGTAGTATAGGCGCGTGGCGGATGTTCGAAAATTTCATTAAAACCTCCAAGTCGTCTTACGTCCCTCCCAATATTCTCACAACCAACGTTCCAGTGCCCAAAGTTGAGATACCTGTGTGGAACTCATTGGATTACTTCCTCACGACGAACTTGCTTTACCCGGGGAAACAGATGTTCAAGGCGCACGAAATTGGCAAGCAAGATAGCAAGAGTTTGGCGCTTCCCTTTGATCTGATACTCACGGATGATCTCAATATGACTGCTCAGTAACCATTTTTCTGGTCATAGTACAACTTGCTAAATTTTCTGTTCCATTGCACTTGTCGAGTCATATTGTGTTAGATCATTTATAGAAGATTATATCAAAGTCTTGGCTTTCTTATGAATAGGTCAGGAAAGTCCGTTCCAGTAGATTGAGCAAATCAGGTCGGTAAGCATCATAATAATCATCGCTGAAAAGAGTGTGTCATCCCCACGAGGCAGAAGTTGTCAGTGAGAAGTTTATGGGCTATTGCGTGTCAATGCAAGCAGTCACGCGCCGCCGCATACCCCGCTCACGGAGTACTCTTCAGTTCCAACTCTTGATATTTCACCGCCATGGCGATGCCGAATGAGATAAACTTCCAAGGTGATAATACTGGATTGGAAATTGGGTTCAACAGTGGCACGGTTAATGCTCACTCCAACGTTCATGGCAAGTAGTCAGCTTACCTTGTCAGCGGACTTAGCTGATCAAGCGCAGACCCTTTGGATAAACTACCAGTGGTTATTGGAGCAGAGTTCGACTCGTATGCGACCGGGGATGAGGTTGAATGTCTTCCAGGGACGAGAGTAGGACTGCTAGATGATATTTGGGCATGGGCTTTGTCACCAGACGGAAAGTACATTTTCTGGCTCAACGGAAGAGCTGGGACAAGCAAGTCGACGATTTCCCGTACCGTGGCGAGGCGGTTGAAACGAAAGAAGACTCTCGGAGCAAGCTTCCTTTTCAAACGAGGCGAGAAAGATCGTGGAAACGCAAGAAAGCTCTTTCCGACAATTATAAGATAGCTAGCGAGAAACATTCTTCAGCTGGCCCCTGCGGCTCGAAAAGCGATCGACGCCGACCCTGATATTGGAAGTAGGGGAATAAGGGAACAATTTGATACATTACTTCTTCAGTTATTGCTGAGTGTTGAGTCGTCCGTTCTCTTGGACCCAATTGTCAACGTCGTCATAGTGATTGATGCACTAGATGAATGTGATGTGGAGAACGATATTCGGCTTTTGCTTGAACTGCTACCGCAACTACAAGAGTGCCAGGTTTTACGTCCCCGGATTATATTAACTAGTCGGCCTAAACTTCCAATTCGTCTGGGTTTCAAGAAGATATCGAGCCACGCCTACAAAGATTTGATTCTTCACGACAATCCTAGAGAATCTATTCAGCATGACCTATCACTTTTCTTGGAATACCGGCTGTCAAAAACACGACAAGAACATGAGCCTCCCTTTCCTGACGACTGGCCTGGTAAAAGGACCTTCCAAAAGTTGGTTGAAATGTCTGTGCCGTTATTCATTTACGCTGCAACTGTATGTCGTGTTTTTGAAGATCCCCGATGGGACCCAGTGGGTACTCTTCCGGGGATTCTTGCATATCAGAAAACTAAGTCAAAGCTAGACGGGACATACCTTCCAGTGTTGAATCATATTCTTCATGGACAGGACACGAATCAGACCAAGCAATTAATTAAAGAGTTTCGACAAGTCATCGGTGCAATAGTGGTACTCGAGAACCCACTTTCGGTGACTTCAATTGCAAGGCTTCTGAAACTCTCAGAAAGATTGATCATTTCAAGAATAAGCCTATTACACTCGGTCTCTAATATCCCTGACGACAAAGATCTCCCGATACGAATCTTTCACTTGTCGTTTCAGGACTTCCTCCTTGATCGAGAAGCTCGTCAAAAAACTCCTTTCTACATAAAGCGATTGGCCGCGCACTATCAATTGACAAAGAGTTGTCTTGATATGTGCGAAAAGCTCCAAAAGAATATATGTAGACTTCGGTATGAAGGGGCCGAGCGGGCAGATATTTCTCGTCAAACCCTCGATGAATTTCTTCCTCCAGAGTTGCAGTACGCTTGTAGGTACTGGATATTTCATCTAGTAAAGTGTATTGACAGCCCTAATATGGTGGAAAATGCATTTTCATTTCTCCAAATTCATTCCTTACACAGGCTGGAGGCAATGTGTCTTGTGGTTCTTGCGTCGGAAGCATTAGAAATGGTTAATCTTCTCAGCACGCATGTGCTATCAGTAAGTCACGGCTATATGAAAACACATCATCAAATGCATATGTCTATTTTACCTATTGCTTACAGAGTTGTATCTAGGAAGATCAATATAAAATTCATGACTTTATCCATGATGCAAAGCGTTTCATTATTGAAAACCAAGGAAGAGCCGATAAGTGCCCCCTTCAGATATACTGCGCAGGCCTGATATTTGCCCCACGAGGGTCAATTATCCGCAAAATCTCCAACGAAGAGCTCCCTGGTTGGATACACCAGCTACCCGAGGTTATGGAAACGTAGAGCGCGGAAATACGAACTCTGGAAGGTCATGGAGGCTCAGTGATGTTCGTGGCCTTCTCATCTGATGGATAATTTGTATCTGAGCACCAACTTGGGCTCTTTTTTCATCGACTCTAGGTCTAGGTATGAGAAAGCTCCCATGGATACATCTTGCATATATCAAGATCAAGATAGAGGGGCAATGGGTATGATTGGGAGAGGAATGGGTCCTTTGGCTTCCTCTGGCGTTTTGGCCTCAGTGTTCGGCTGTACATGGCAATACCCTCGCTTTGGGACATTCGCCAGGGCATGTTTTCTTCACAGGGTTTTGATTTATAGTATTATCGATTTACAAGGATCATCTCATACATTTCATGGGCAGCCTACTATGAATGATAAATCCTTCGCAGTAATATAGGCAGACATAATCGAAATACTAACAAGATGCGTTGGCACCATCGTACCTATCTGCAAACCTACCCGCACTAGTGATTCTATCAGAAATGAGCGTCATATTCAAAGATAATGTAATAATATAATAAATTGATTAACCAGTAATCTATATGTATGCATCCTCTAGTCTATAGAGTCAAAGCTATGCAAAACATGATGCGATGCAAATGCAAAACGTCAAAATCCATGCCAAAAATTCAATAAAAGATATATAACAACCCCACTCAAGTATCAGTATTCTTGCAGGAGAAGCTGGAACTGCTAGTATCATCATGAATAGCAGTACCAGAAGCATACAGACCCAGCACACAAAGTGCCAAACCAAAGAGGGCAATGGCCACATTAAGCACAGTCAGAGCAATCTTGCGAGGAGAAGAGAACCACTGTCCCTTATTCAAGTGTAGCCAGTAGATACCGCTAAGACCATAGCTGAACCAACTAGCGAACAGAGCACTAATCAAACTGTTCAGATCACTGAAGACGGGAATAGCCTCGGCAATGATCCATGCAACGACCCAGCAGCTAACACCGAGAGCAATCCAGATACCAATGGATTTGAAGTTGCGCTGGTGCATAAGGCCAGACTTAGCACAGAGACGGAAGTAGATGTACTTAAGACCAATGTGACCATTTACCACACCTGCGCCGACGATAGTGGGAATGGCAATTCCGTAGGCAACCTTGCTCATGAGTGGACCGGCAGCACTAAGGGCAGGAGAAGAAACCTCGCTACCGACGTAGAAGTAAATGACAACGGCAGCGGTGAGGTAGAGAGAGATTTCGAAGCCCTGAAGCATAAAAAGGGACTTCTTGAAATCCTGCGGAGACTCCATTTCAGCGATGAGGCCGAAGAAAGCGACGTGGGCACAGTAGGCGAAGACGATGTTTGAAACAGCCTGGAAGCCGTGGTAGAGGCTTGTTTCGGTTGTAGCTTGGATGATGCGGCCGGGGTGGGACTCGACGCCGACAGAGATCATGGTGATAACTACGGCGCTGAAGATAGAGACGAAGGAGGCGAAGGAGATCCAGGTCATTCCCTTCATTGTGCGGGGGATAGAGAGGGCGAGGGAAAGAAGCATGCCGACTAGGGCGAAGACGATGGAGCAGGTGCCGTGGTTTGTGATTGTGTTCATCATCACGCGGAAGGTGAGGATGTGGCTGCCCATTACGAAGATGCAGAAGAGAAATTGGCCCAGACCGAAGATTTCACGGCCAATTGGGCCGAGGAGGATCTCGCCGGCGTCTCCTAGGTTCTGGATGTGAGGGTATCGCTCACGCATGAGACCGATATTGTATCCGGTGTAGGTGGCGAGAAGACCGAGGCCAACAATCAGGATGACACCACTATAAAAGATATGTTAGTAACCGGTTGAACAATTGTGAATGAGGTATTGTTGAATTGGACTTACGGAACCAGACCAACAGTAGCAACGGCACTGGGTAGTGATAGGACACCCAGCGAGACAGACTCGCAAATCATGAGAAGACCGCATTGCCTATAAAGTCACGATTAGCCACGCGATCTTAGGATGTCCCAAACGAAGCCAAATACATACCACCACTTCAAAGTCTTATACTTAATCTCAGCATATTCCTCATTACCAAACGCATCGGAAACCTCCCCATGCTTAAGAGCATTCAAATCCTCCTCCAAACCCGCCTCACGCTTCGCCTCATGCTCCTGCTGCCCAATCTTATCATTCTCATAAGCCGGAGGCTGGGGTGCAACGGAATCCATAATGAAGCAAAAACAAGACAAAGTAGATCAAATCTCAAGTAGGAAGAGGTAGAATCCGGGGATTTGCCAAATGAGCGGGGAGAGAGAGAAGAAGGTAAGATCTAGGGAACGCGAGGTAGTATTTCATTAATAAAAGAAACGTGAGAGACCCGCTTTCAGTTTTCGGTTACCCCAAATCTCCGCGTGCCGATTCTTTGCCTCTGAGGACAAGACTGGCGTCGAAGGCCCATGGAATACCCGCCGAAAAGATCCGTATGCGACGCTTATTGGTTGTTAGATGTGGCTCCGGGCCGAGAATCGGTCGAAGAACCAATTATCGTGCCGGGATTGATCAATCTTGACTAATTGAGTTCGTGTGTTTTTTCATGCTGGGCTTGTGGCGCTCAAGGCTGCGGCTATGCTAATCTTTGTATGGAGTTTATCGTATGATTCTTAGATGATGAGCAGGCGTGGAGGCAAATCTACTACTGCCCAGCTGTATAGCACAGAGATATGTACTAGATATTTTGTGCTTTATACAAATCATCTATTATGTAAATGATTTGTCTTCTGTGTTCAATTTTCAGCATGAAATTTTCTTCTCGCTTTCAAATATCCCATTTTTTCATCCCGGTGTGGTGGCCTCGGTGAGGTGCCGTTGGGTGAAACCTACGGCGACGGTTGTATTTTCTTCCTGTCGCGGCTCCGGACTTGGTCCCTACCACCCCGAAAATACTTCTAGAAGGAATTCAACACTTCGTCCGACGCGTACTGAATCCATCCAGTGCACCCGGTTAATACTTCAATTTTTCTCATTAAGCCTTACACAGTCCATATTCTGTTTTTATCCATCTGGCGCGTACATTACTATTGTATGCATGCATCCGCAAAAATAATAAGTAATTTGGAATTAAGCATCATGTTTTTTTCTTTCCTTCTTTTCCACGCATCACACTTGCTTAACTAAGACCTATTACAAACAAATAATGATCATTCAATGGTCCCTAGTCTCGCGTGGTTGGCATATTATTCTCGCGATCCCACAATTAACCTTTTTACGTTCACCGGTTTAAAGTTATAGCGCTGCTTAGGTAATGGCTTTAATCTCGTATTCCCGACCTCTGATTGGCTTATTGCTGTGGCGGCTGCACTAGAGCAAATTTTAAATGTGCCCGGAACAGGCAGGTCACTAAGCATTGTGGACTGTTGATGGGGCTTTTCTAGCCGATCTGACTCGCTATTCACGGGATAGAATTTGACGCGCGTTAACTCTGTACGGAATAATGCTTCTGAACTCGGAAATGATTTTCGGGATTTACGTGCTGTTTATTATGAACGTTCATGTGGAGAATACAGAAAGGAACTCAATTTCCGGGGAAGCTAATGCAATATGCAGATGCAGTGTACAAAACGCGATAGAGACGCGGGTCCAACTTATTGAAAACAGAACATGAGAAGATGATGAAGAAAACGAGGAAAACGAGGGAAACGAGCTCAGTGCGTAGTATATCACCAAGTGTAATAGCGACAGGGGATTCGTATTAGCAGAAAAAGGCAGAATGGAATATGGAATGGAATGGGGTAGGATTTATCATTCAGAATTCCGTGCAATCATGTCCAAGTTAGTTGAAAAGAAATGGGAAAGGGAAAGGAAAAGACAGGAGGAATTTTGATCTTCGATCCTCGGGACCTAGGTATCCGGTAGTTGGGTTTCAGAAAGTCTTCTAAATAAGAGCTCCGGATCCTCCAAAGCCTCGGATTGTCGAAGGCGGAGCTCTTCGAGCTGCGCCAGGGGATTCTGTAGATCGCCACAATAAGTATGTTGCCCTCAGGAGTTGGGAAAATGCATCAACTGTGACACCCACCCAATCCTCCTGGTTCGGGACACCCTCTGCTGTAGGGAGGACGGTATCAGAGGTATCGTAATCTTCCCCCAGTGCCCTGTTACGATGAATCGGTGCCGGGGTAACTGGGAGACTGGGGCGTTCCAATTCAGTCGGGAAGTCAGTGAGCTTGAGGCTAGGCCGGTGGCCAGAGGATGGACCCGTTGTAGTGGAAATAGAAGAGAATGAGAAGTTGCTTGTGCTGATGCTAGTATTTGCGCTGTGGCTTGAGCTTTCATGTGCAGAGCCAGAGATTACCTGGGGTTTTCCGTGGCGGGCTTGTTGCATGGACTCCATGTACCGCTGAATTTGGGGGTCATCATCCCAAGCGTTGGACCGAGAATAGTGTTCCCATGATTCGGCTATAGGCTCGAAAAGTGCACGTGGTGGCGGGGTTTTGGGGGACTGCTGCAACTCAACTTTCTGCGGTGCAGGCTGCTCTGGGGAGTCAATGCGGGGGACAGGTAGTTCTTGTGCGAAGACTCGAGTTGGCGCAGGTGCATGGTTCTCCCAGGGGAAGACTGAAGTCGCTTTTTGTGGCTCGGGCTTTGTTTCGGGAAGTTGGTAGTACATATTCTTTGGGGGTTCAGGGTACGACTGGGGTGGTTGGAACAGATTTGTATCCTCGGACATGGTGTACATCTTTTCTTCGAGGCTGCCTCCCTCAGGTTTGGTGTTGAGTGGTGGTGGTTCTCTAGTTTGTGTAAGCAGGGCATCTTCAAATAATGGTTAATTGCCAACAAAACAAAAAGCAAAATCTTACCGTGAGGCATCCCATTCCGCTTGTGGTGCCTCGAAAGTGGGAATCTCAGGCTCGGGGGAGGGGGGACGTTGCCAATGCTCAACAGCTGGCGGAGGCGCTACCGGTTGAGGTTGATAGATGTGGGGTTCAACGTGATCGGGTGCTTGATGCTGTTGGTGCTGCTCTTTGTGATGTTCGTGATGATGATGGTGCTGCTGCGGTTGATGATGCTGAATTTCTGGTTGAGTTCCATGCGTTGGGTGATGTACATAAGTCGCTGGAGGTGGTGCATAAGGCCCAGGGGGGATGAAAGTTGAAACATGCTCCTCTCCACGTACATACTGAGGTACGGCACTCATGACCGGTACCTCAGTAGTGTAGGGTTTGTCCTGTGGTGCATTATGGTCGTGGTGTGACTGTTCATTATGTTCGGAAGGCGGTTGCCATGTGTCCGGCTGTGACTGGACATGAACAGTCTCTGAAGAGACCAGGGCAGGAACCCCCTCGTTCGAAGCGAATTCTTCGTGTCGATATGACACGGACTCGTTCTCATCATAGTGAGAGAAGAGGATCTCTGGAATCTGGTTATTAGCCGAGGTAGCTTCCAGTTGATCAACTAAATGAACGTGAGGACCTGGAGTCCGTGTCAGTTGCTGAGTACCCTCGGACTGGGAAAATGAAACCTATTTCCATAGTTAGTCGCGCCCCTTCCACCAGAACGAAAGCACCTACAAAAGGTAGACGATAGTGTCTATCGTAAACAGACCACCACTTGTTCAGCAACTGATTATACGGCGACTCCATCGGAACTACCTGCCTGGGTAAATTCCACGGCTTCTGCGAACCAATGAAATGAATGAGGCTGATGGTACTCTGGAAATGCTTGTATGCAGGGATGTACTGATAGTTCGCACTAGGAGTGCAATTATACGTGAAGCTCAGCCTATGCCAATCCCTGAAATGCATATTCAGTAATCCCTGATCAGCTCCATCGAAGCTAATGCCCCGTTCAGCCAGTGCCTTCAAAGAATAATAGTCCTGCATATTTGGCCGAAGAACCATAAGCCCACTATTGAAGCAATCTGGCCAGCCCACATCTGGCGCCGCAGCAAAGTTCACATCCAAAGAAAAGAGTTCATCCGGTGCCCTTAAAGCCACAACGTCGCAGTCAATGTAGACTATCCGTTCGTATTGTGTCAGGCGCCAAAGCTCGATTTTCGTAAATGTCGCGATTAGATCTGGTCGGTCCATTAGCCATAGGTTGGCGGGTGTTCCATTGACGAAAGGGTCAACGGGGATCAGTTCGTCGTAGACGGTCTTGAATAGATAAGTATGTTAGTCTAAATCGAGGTTACAATGGCAGTTTTCAAGATAGGCGCGTACCCGAAGCTCATTCACTGTCTCCGACCGCAGGGTATCCGGTGTGAAAAGCGCAACTAGCTTGGATGATGTGCCATTGTCGCGCAAAGAATGCGCTAATACCATAGCACCTAACGAAGCTCGAGTCAGTATCAAGTCTCACGGCCAGGATAAAATGTCACTATTTACCTGGCAAGTAGTTGTCACTCAGTAGGAGCTGTTATTCACCGTCAGCGCCATATTTGCTTTTGTGTTCCCAGTTTCAACTAACCGTGCAATAAACGCCCATGTGTTCGGAACCCATTCTGCCAAGCGTGTCTCACCAGAGACAAGAAAACACAGTAGGCTTTCCTTCCAATTCAACCTGTGTTCTAGGGAGAGCTGTGTAGATCTCAAACACGCAAAATCACCTAGCCAGAAGACGAAGGAAAAAAGAGGGAAAAAAGAGAAAACCCCTCCAAGAAAACTCCGACTATATTTAACAAGTTAAGGCGCCGACTCTGCAGCTCTGCCCTCCAATGACAGTTTAGACCGGTCCGCGCCAGTAAAAGTAAACAAGCAAGGCGGGTCCCAGAGCAACTGTGGTACCTGGACCGGACGCAGGTTCGAGCAGGACGAAAACGACTTGCTCTCACAAGCGCTGTAGCATTCTGCCGAGAGGTCGTGCGAGGTGTCGGTCGATGTGGCAATCAGGGGTAAAGAGGGGAGATAGGAGAGCTTGGAAGAAAGGAGGAAGAGTTCAAAATGATCACCGCTGCGGAGAATAAAAGAGAAGGGAAGCAATGGCGAAGTCGAAAAAAGCTGTGGCGATCGAGGGGAAAGTGGATGTTCCCCCTCATCGGGAGAATCCACTGGTGAGACGGGTGATCCGAGCTTTTCGTACCTTGAGTCGTTGAGCTCCCCACTTTTACGATTCCGGAGATTTTGGGGTTTTTCCATCGTGAAGAATCACCTGAATCTGGTATGAATTGGAGATTCATTCATTCTAAATTATGTCACTGGCTGTATTATCTATATTGAATTTAATCGAAAGCAATTCTCCCTACATAAAAGAGCAAATTGGCTGGTTTATCCAGTTGATTGTCTTGTCGGAGCCCGGGTTGGCTGTCAGGGGTTGGAAAAACGCCACCCGGGACAAGTTACTGCGTGAGCACGACACCTGCAGTCAATATCGATGTGACTTAAAACACGCTATATCTTAGGTAAATTATATTATTATAATTTATCTGAAATATTCCTCGGGCCTTACATTAATCTATGTCTCTACCATAGTATCTACGTACAGAATGGATCATATCAGGCCAGTATAGGTAGCCTCCTTGCTAGATTTTCTTTTGATGAATGCCTTATTTCTGAATATTTTCAAGATATCCTTCTAGATGCCTCTCGAGACTAGATTAATAACGCTAGTCCACTCTTCGCATTCAATCAATTGATAGAGAAGTATCAACGGCAGCTGGGTCCACTGTTATATGGCAAACACCATATAGCTCTCCGAGAGACACTTTTTCTCATGACCTTTTTGTAGCGTTCATCCGTAAGATAAGCAAGGTTGCGTGATAGTAGCTCACTCGCTGACTCAGACTGTCCAGATGCTTGAGGGTCAAAAAGCTTTTGAGGGCGGTTCTTAAGATCCTGGCCCTCTAGATTTGGTTCACGCTTCTCCTTAGGATCTCCAGCATGGGAGCTCCATTGGTAGTCATCCGTCGAAAATCCAGGTCCTAAGTCAATCCATCTTGTTATGACGAGAATGTGGGTTGAATCCCATTTGCGGACTTCAACAAGGTAATCCGTACTGCATTGATGACAATTATTAGAAGCAGAAGAAAGTATGTCATCATATGCACATGCGGGTGAAATGCTGTCCTTGTAGATTTCAGATACGCGTGCATGTTTGCAAAGATAGAGGAAACTTGGCAGCTAGAGTTTGTTCAGGTCACCTGGGCAAGTGATTGAGGAATCTGGACGCAATTTTCGATAGTAAGTTATATCTTGCATTCTCAAGGCAAGAGTCAGAGGCTCGGAGCAGATCTTTGCATCCACAGAAAACAATGAGACCTCGTTGGAGTCTGCCAATCTCTCTGGGTGATGTCTAACTTGGACATAAGATAAAGAATCGGTACTGATACCAGCATGAGGACCGTAGCAGGCGGCTCGTATGGCAAGTTGTAGGTGAAGAAAGCAAAAATCGTAATAGGAATGCATCCACGTCTGTTCATCACAATGTGTCTTCAATCTCAGCCAGTCGGCTTTCCACCATACATTCGACCAGCATGGTAGCTCACAAATTTTCCGGTCGATAGGACTAGAAAGACCGTAATCTAATCCCTCATATCTGTGAAGCACAAAGCACACATGGCAAGGGTAAAATTGAGGACTATCTTGCACCAAGCGGCGCAGTAACGGGAGCCTATCACGTCCTGATGGGGCTGCAGAATAGAGTTGAGAAAGAATGCCAAAGAGTCGACGGCTGCAGAACGATAGGCAGACCAGATCCTCATAGGGGAGAACATCACCTATGAACAAGATGATTTCGGCGGGAAGGTGAGGTAAGGCCGTGGGGGTTGGCTTGGAGTCGACCATTTTGATGCCTAGTGACTGGAAAATTCTCGGGAAGAGATTCAGGGAGAACAAGTCGGCGATGGTATGGTTGAGTAACGACACAATAACCGGCGTGGGTGTGAGGATGATGTAGCTAGTAATGGTATCAGAGAAAGAATCCACAGGGATGCAGATAATGGGGTTGGCAGAAAGTTGGGGAAAATGATTGTAGACTAAGTGGGCCAGTAGTAGTAGGGTGAGGTGAAGAGTAAGGGGGGTTGGAAGAAGTCAAGATTATAACCACGAGGGTAGGTAAATAAAGTTAAATGAGCAATTTCACATCTGAATCAAGGCTGGGAGGGTGTAGAGCAGATGAAGTCGGTACCAACAAACCTTTGTTAGATCCTCTCTAATATAAGTTCGGCCGGGCGTATGAGTACAACTTGAAGCAAGAGCGACAAACAACAATAAACCAAACCTGCAGTTTATCGTACTTATGGTTGAATGGTGCCTATGCGTTTCCAAATGTGGGGTTTTCAGCAACCGTGAGAAACAGAAAGTCCACCTTAGCGGATCAAATCAAATTCCTAGTCCGTAAAACGCCTTGTCCATCTCCAAATGTTGTCAAAAGTAGGTACAGGCTGGGTGAGCAAGAAAAAGAGCACGCTGCATGAATGAATAGCGGGAATGAGGAAGACATATAATAAGAGAAGGGCATGAAACATGACATAACAGCGACATGACGGCATGAGAGGAAAGGAATAATAACACATAAAACAATGAACCCAAAAAGAAAACGCCATGATCGTGTTGAGTTCCCACACATCTCTGAGTCAATTCAGCATGCGTGATGATGTAGGAAATCGGGATATATACAAATAAACACCGGTTTGTATGCAGATAGAAAGCACTCCAAGTTGCGATCATAGCGAGAAACCAAGTTTGTCTCGGTTATCATCCACCAGACGTCCATATCTGAGAAAATGAGTTATTAGCAAACACTAATATGAATTATTTAGGTGTGAAAAACTTACTCCAAGAGCAATCGGAAAAACCAAACCTCTAAATCTTCTTTCCGTAGCGCTTTCTGCGCCCATTCCTGACCCTGCGCTGCAATCTTCGGCGCTGCTTTCCGGCCCTCTTCCTCAGCCAAAAAATACCGCATACTCTCAGTGTGCTCATCACCCTTCAAACTGAGAGGAGCATAGTGCACCCAAGGCTTAAGCCATTCATCGTGCCATTCGCGGAAGAGTGCAGTCTTAAAGACAAAGCTTTTGCTATGCATGAAAGCATAGAATCGTCCACTGAAAGCATTACCATCAATATCAACGAGGTATTTGTGTGCCCATGCATCCTGCCGATCCGCCCTCTCTACCACACCAAAATATTGTTCTTGCGCACGGCAATCAGTAGCATCACACTGGCCGACAGAGGTGAATCTGACATCGAAGGAATCTTTGAATTCTTCTTGGCGAACTATTTGCGGGACCCATGCGCCGTCTGCCTGCTGGACGAGAGTCTTCGCTGCGCCCAGGGAGTTGACATTGCCGACAAAATGCTGTCTATGGTGTCTGCGCCAGCCACCTGCTCTCGAGAAGCCGCCAGTTGTGGAGCCACGCCAGTACATACGGTCTGACTTGGCTGCCCAGTCCATGTCCCTCTCCCGGGTATATGGAACCTGGTCGGCCCAATACCAAGGGCTTGGATAGAGAATGTCTTGGAAGCTAGATATTTTGCTCTGTGAGAAGATAGGGAACAGCTCAGTCACGATATCGAAAGCGTTCGCGCGGTCAAAGAAACCGTAGCTTTGTCGCAGGGATGGGGTGAGACAGATATCAGTGAAAGCGGTAGTATTTGCAATGAAACCCAAGTCTCCGTAGGCATATAAGTGAGTAGCATCTACTGGCTCATCGTCAAGTGATCGTGAGGGGCTGTCAACTGGGCACGATGTCCGGGAGTGTGTCCATGTGGGTTGGTGCGAAAAGCGAACGAATTGAGTCGCGCGGACCTCATCGAGACGGTCTCCCTTGTTTAAATCGGTTGCGCGAGGAGACCATTTGTTCGTGGGCTTGGTACTGAAAGCGGCAGGAATCACATTGTTCGTAGCAATCTGCACAAGGCGCTGAAGATCATCTCCAGGCACGATAACCCGTGGCTCATCGTGGCTGTTGAAAACCAAGTCCATATCCGGCAAGTATTTCACGAACCCCGCCATCATGGCCACTGTAGCCTCGCGCTGCCACTGGCGATCTTCCCCGCCACCCTCTGACAGAGTCACTTTGCCATCACGGATCAGTACTCCCAGTACAGCATTATCAAATCCGAGGGTCTCGTGAACACGCTTGCGAAGAGTTGCCGGATTTACAGCCCAAAAAGGCAAAAGAGAGTGATAAATCGAGTCGAATTCATCGATCAGTTGAACGCCTTTCGATTGAGCAAATTTGAACCACTTATCGAAATGAGGTGGCGGGTGCATATTGTAGCGGCGCTTGTATTCCTTCACAGCCTGAGCCAACGAAGTAGATTGGCGCGATCGCGTATGATCGAAATTTTGACCGGCATTTTCGATGAGCTTTGCAATCGGATGTTTCGTTTCCTGCGACGGGATTTGCGATGTATGTTGTATGGTATGCTTGATCCGATCGGGGGTAGGATGAGCTATTGCTGGTGGTTGCGGGGAGTCTGCGGTTGCCGGGGTTGCAGGCGGGCGGATGTAAACAATGGAGAGGCATGCGAAAAGCAGGATGGCGAGCAACAGAATTAGGCGTTGGGACCGCATCCTGCCATCTGGGGAAGGCATTGGGAAAATAAAATATGGGAAACCCAGAAATAATATATAAATCGGGGAAGTGAAGGGAGGAGTGGTTGGAAGCAAAGGAAAAACAGAGTGATGCGAGTCTACGGTACGTACATCAGAGGAACCGGGACTAGCACCCACTGACGTTCCAGACCCAGTTTACTCGTCAATGGTCCCAAGCCACTTGACATACATGATTGCCCACTTTTGACGGTTGCTACGCGTAGTCCTCTTTTTTTTCATTTTCCTTAATTTATGTTCGGATTAGAAAACCATCGGCGTTATAATTCCACGGCGGGAGCTCTCTGCGTTCACAATGACCGCGGGTTGCGGCAGGCCCCTGGCGAAACTACATAGCTGAATCCATGGTTTGCATGTCATGTCTTCGACTGAAGGAAAGGCACAAAATTCAATTCCTGCTTAAGGAAGTCCAGATGTGTCATTTAGGTCCGCATCTTCCGCTGTGCGTACCCTGAGTGCCTTCATCATACTCCTGGGACACCTTTTTGGAATTTAATACAAGAGTGCGCCTCTACTAGTAGCGGATGGGCTATATCGCAGGGGGGGTGGCTTGAAACGCATACTCTACATTATATTCTATCTAAACGATCGTCTATATTTCCATGGAACTATGACGTAGCCGTTGGTCAAGATACAGTGAAGGTAAGAAACTTTGAAGGTGAATATAAAACATGACTGTCTGTCCTTTTCTCAGGTCGGTCTTGTTCCAACATATAGTTTTAGTATCACGACCGCGCCAATTTACGACTCTGCAAGCCGGAATCAATGAACGAGCATTGGACGGTCAGGTAACAATTACCCATTACACTGGATACATGGAAGCATGGCAGATCGTAACCTGTCCAGGCTTCCTGTTGGCAATTCCCCGATGTTAAACCGGCGACAGATCCTATTCCATGCTTGAATAGAGGTAATGTCTCCATCTAATCCAAGATATCCAGAGAGTTCAAAAAGTTTATCTAGTTACTGAGCAGGAACTTCCCAGGAAGAGCGACTTTGAGTTCAAAAGGGGCACCTGAAAGTAAAAGCCGCTGCATAGACATAGCATGACCTGACGGCTCTTGTACACCCAAAGGTTGCGTGTGGAAAAGACATGGCCATTCCAACCTGCAGAATTAGACGTAGTAAACCTTTCAGGTGCTGATGAAAAAAAAACCCACGACAGAACAAAGTCAACACCCAGTTGGGCAAATCCTTCGTTGTTGGGAATCATTTTCGGACCTGACGTATAAGGCTTGCAATGTATCTGGTCGCACTCTATCCTAAGGTTTGGAATCATTTATCTTCACGGCACTTATATCCGCATTCGCCAGCTGTACCCCTGTTTTGACCCATCTCTTATTCATGATTAGTGATCAAGCACAATGTACCAATCCACCTAGCCGTCACCGGGCCTCTCTCTAACCCTCTCCACTTTCCGGTCTGGTCTTCGACCGGCTTTCGATCCCATTCATAACTGGCTAGGACTAAGTAGCTGAAGGTGTCGAAGCTGCCGATGGTCATTCTTCTTTTAGAAATTACAAAACCTGTCATTGGCACCCGGGCGTCCTTCCCAAGGTTTCCGATACTCATGAATGCTATGGACGAAGTATATAGACCGCCCCAAGGACAACACAAAATGAACATTCTATCAAACAGATACACCTGCAACTTATAATTAATTCCCATACTTCACCATCACCCAAGATCCAAACCCATTCAGCATAAACGCCCCTAATGACTGGACCATATACTTCTGTGCCTGTGCAACATGGAAATAAGCAGCAACACAAAGTACCACAACCAGCGAGATATGACCGAAATAGAAAGTTCTTCGACGATCCTGCATAGACCCTCCATCCCAGGCACGAGCAACTCCCTTCTTAGCCGACCCACGAGGACGAACAAAGAACAGCAGAGCAATCGCCGCAGTCAACGCCGAAAGACCACACTGAACATCGAGATCCTGGATCCGTTTTGCCAAGAGAGAACCAAACTCCGGGTGACTAGATTGCACAAAGAAAGAAAGATAGAGAATGGCATGGCCGAAAAGCAGAGGTGAAATGACCACGCGGCCGAATAGGCGGTGATACGGTGTGAGAGTCCCCTGAGGGACGGTGGTTAAGAATGAGAAGATAGATGGTGCTGAAGGTTTAGAGGTCGATATGTATGCTACTGGCGATATCAAAACCTGGAAGGGTATCTGGGAGAGAGCAACATGGCCCAGAGCCTTGGTGAGATGGAGATAATCTATAACAAGGGTGATCACAGTGTAAGTATGGGTTGCACTCTGCCTAGTAGGCCTAGTCCTGGAGATCAGAGAAGAACACAAGATGTCAAAACATACCATTTCCACTGTTCCACACAGAAAGGTCTACTAGCCATGAGAGCCACAGGCCGCACACAGCATATTGTTTCCGGGTTTCAAGCCACCCTGTCACGGGAGGCCGATTCCACCAAGATATAGGCGGGCGAGGTTGATCTGCTCCGTGATTTGCTTGAGATATGGATTTCCAGCCTTGATATGTGACTCGGAGGAGCATAATGACCAACATGACAGACCATTGTGCAAAGGCGCCTCGTAGATCAAGCAGCTCTCGCCGGCGGATCGTTTCCTCTTCGGAGAGCGAAACAAACTGCCACGGCCAAGATAACACCATCGTATGAGAGTAAAAGTGATTTGGGTGGCGAATTAAAATAGATAATAATCTTGACCGATTTAATACACTCCTTGAAGGTGGTCCTGTATGAGATGCAGTTCCGCGGTACTGCCGGGGTTCAAATCTACCGATGATGGATATTCCAGTCGTTGAGGTGTTGGAATAGTACGAGATGGGCCTTCCAAATGGTTTATTTCGAATCCATTAGTACGAGTAACTGTGATAAGGCTTATCGAGGAGAATTGGCAAATGCTAGAAGGTGACGTGTACGGTTTGGATTATTTGGCGTACTTGTGCTAACGTGATTCCTGGTTGCCCGGGCGCCCCGGCTGAGCGAGCGGCCCCATCAAAATCCACTTTCAAAACAGTACTTTTTTTTTAATCACAACAAAGATGCCACCCCAACGCTCTGATCGGAAAAAAAAGCTTGTCGAACAGGAGGGTCGTCTTTTATTAGCTATACAAGCTATAAAAGATGGTAAATATCCCTCTGCTGCTGCCGCTGCGCGGTCTTTTCAACTACCGGTCTCAACTTTGAAGGCCCGGCTTAATGGACGTCAATCATGTGTTGAAAAACGACATAATCGCTATATTTTCTCTGAAATTGAAGAAAATTCAATAGAAGATTGGCGTTTAATTATGGATTCAAGAGGTGCAGCTCTTAGTCTCTCTATGTTGCGAGATATGGCCAATATTCTACTCCATGCGCAGAAAAATACACTCTCTACTACCCTACTGCCTAGTATTGGTAAAAATTGGCCTACAGAGTTTATTAAACGACGTCCAAACCTCTCTAGTCGATTTTCACGACGATATGACTATCAGAGAGCTCTTTCAGAAGATCCTCGAATTATTAAACCATGGTTTGATTTGGTCCAAAGAACAATCGAAAAGTGGGGTATTGTTTCGGACGATATCTTTAATTTTGATGAGAGCGGTTTTGCTATGGGTATTGGTTCAACGCAAAAGGTTATTTCTTCGGCAGAATACCATAGTAAAAGACATCTTTTACAAGCTGGAAATCGTGAATGGGTCACTATAATTGAATGTATTCGAGCTTCCGGAAGTGTTTTGCCTCCACTTTTCATTTTCAAAGGAAAAATGTTTCCAGAACATTTACGACCTTATCTTCTTCAAAACCAAAAAGGCTCTCGTTTAACTATAAGTAAAAATGGTTGGACGACCAATACAATTGGTTTATGGTGGTTGGAGCATCATTTTATCCCAAATATTGGGAAAAGAGTTGGGAAATACTGCTTACTAGTCCTCGATGGTCATAGAAGTCATTTAACCCCTGAATTTGACCAACTTTGCGAGAAAAACCAGATTATTCCAATCTGTATGCCTCCACATGCGTCCCATCTTTTACAGCCTTTGGATGTAGGCTGTTTTTCAGTGTTAAAAAAGCTTTATAGTGGAGCTGTTTTAAACTTGATGCGGAATAGAGTCAATTCTATCGACAAAGAAGACTTTCTTGAAATGATTATAGATGCAAGATTAAAGACTTTTAAAGGCTCTACTATCCAGAATAGCTTTTTAGCTACTAGACTAGCACCATTTAATCCTAATAGGGTCTTAGAAAAGTTGAATATATACTTAGAGTCTCTTCCTACTCTTGAGATCTTGGATTACCGACCAATATCGTCCGGCAGCGATAGCGACCCCAATACTCTTTAGACTCTGTCAAAATTCACAAAATCGCAATCTTCGATCAAAAAAGGTCTAGAATCATCGTCATCAATCATATCGTCACCGATTAAACGAGAGATTGAGAAGACATGTAATATGACTATCAAAATCGTTCATCACCATCTTTTTCTCCAAGATCGTTGTAGCCAATTGGAAGCTACTAACAAAAAACAAATCAAAAAACGTGCTATAAAGCATATATTTACTACTCAAAAAGGCCTATTTGGAGGTTTGGAGAGTGGTAAAGATGATGTGGTGATTGAGAATCAGACTAAAAGCAAAGATATATCTTTGCCAGACGTGCCTGCAGAAACTGAGGCTGAGCCAGCTTTACCTTCTATGCCTACAATACGTCAGCAGATAACGTGTTCTAGATGTGGAATTAAAGGTCATACTTATACTAAATGCCCTACACGTGTTAAATAGTCAATATTTTATTGTTTTTGTTGTTTTAATAGTTATTGAAAATTGATGGTTTTTTGAATTTTGGTGGGGTCGCTCGCTCAGCCGGGGCGCCCGGTCAGCCGGGAATCACGTTATCCCCGGTGTCGCTGACAAATAGAAGGATTTGACTCGCCCATTGCTACATAATACGTAGAGTTCAATTGTTGATATCTGCAAACAACACATCCATGCCCAATTTACTCAAGAATCAAATATAATGGTCTCTACAATAAATAAGAGGGGTTGATACTTCTATGAGCAAACCAAAAAAAAAGATTAATGCTGTCGTCGTTGCTTTTATGACTACCTCGGACTGGCAGAGACCATTATGTATGGATCAAAAAAAAGCCTCTACATTTAAAAAAGAAAAGAAAACGCCGTCAAGACATCTCATCCCAAAAGCTGGCTATTCTCTAGGCTGACAGGATTCCCATGTCCATGATCCACATGAGCGTTTGCGCTTTGCGCACATGAGGGGAAGCCCTCTAGGAAGAGAGTAGTAAATTTGTATGGAAATCAAATTCCCTGTTGTGAATATTCTCAAGGAGAAGTCTGCATGACCTCATCCTGGATACCACCGGCAGTGGTAGCAAAGTATCGGACATCGACATCATCATCTGCCTGTAACTTCTCCAAGCTAGGCAGAACCTTTTGCTGGATAAGCTCTTGGCTCCGGGGTGAAGGGGTCACTGTCTCTCCAGACTTCTCAATCTCAACCAAGGTCTTATCTGCCGGCAGGCGACGAAGCGTATCGATAAGAACAGCATAAGATTTGGCAACGTTGAATCGGATGTTAGGGATCTCATCCGCTACCAGGCGGTCCAGAATGGGGAGAATGGAGGTATCGATGATATCAAGCGTGACAACGGGGGCAAGGGTCTGCAAAAGATTAGCACAATCCAGAGGTTACTATAGAAGTCAATAAAACCCACAGAAATAGCAAAGCATGTTGTCATCCGGTATAGGTAGTTAGGGTGTTGTCCCATAGCTACCACCTTGGGAATAATAGACTCCTGAGACCACTCTACCCCAAAGACTTCTGTAAGTTTCTTAAGGTTCTGGGTTGCGGCCTCTCGAATGGAGAAGACTGTATCACCCAACCATCCCATGCATAGATCACTCAGCTGCTCATCAAAGAACTTAACTCCCAGCTGACTGGCCAAGAGAGGAATGTATTCAATGATAGCAAGACGGACGCGCCACTGCTTGTCCTCGGCCAACTGAACAATAGCGGGAAGGAGAGATTGGGAGAGAAGATCAATGCCAATAACTGGAGTAAAACGTCAGCTCGGCCACACAATATTGAATTATACGAAGACCGAGTAATACCTTTGTTGACTTGCTCTAGCTTAGAGATGATGTGAAGGCGGACATCAGGGAAATCATCCTTGAGCATCGAAAGGAACATAGGGAGAAGGTGGGCGATTGTCCTGATAATCAAATGTTAGTGATGGTCTCTCTCATGTGGGTGGGAAGTGACGAACTCTTCCTTTCCAAGAATAGGCGCGAGGCCGCTGATCTGAGTTCCAAGCGCGGCTCGAACGTGCTGAGACTGGTCCGAAACGAGATCCTCTACGCTCGTCATGATCTCATTGAGAAGAGTGTCGCGGTCAATCAATGTACAGAATCCTGAAAATTGTGTTAATGATTGTTGAGCCTGAACGGAAACGCTTTACATACCAGGAATTTGTCCAGCGATCGCCGTGCGAACCTCAGCCTCGGTATCCTTTAAAAGCTTCACAAAGGCCGGTACCATATCGCGCGTGATAACTTCTTCGTGCACTGCCTTGGCGATCTATATATGAAATCAGCAACCAAATCCCTAAGTCCCGCAACCGACTGTCAATCGGCACACGAACCTTCTCGTATCTATCAGCGACCATGTATCGAACTCTCCAGCTCTTATCTTCAAATAGATTCCGCAGCGAAGTCAACAGCACTCCATGACTAGGCTGTTGCTCCTTGGGAATTTCCTCCGCGATTGCAATGAGGATGTCCACAGTCAGCAAGCGAACGCTGTCCTGGTCATCGCTTGCGAGATATTGGAAAAGGGGTATCATTTCATCGATAACGACAGGAGCCTGCATCTCCTTGACAAACTTGGCCAAGTTGTTCGCGGCTTGTCGGCGCACCATCGGGGTCTCATCGTGTACCAAGGCTCCAAAATGTTGTCTGAGGCTCTGCTGGGTCGCCGCGGTGGCTTTTCGGTATGGTGTACAATAAAGCCCGGTAGCCGAGACTTTGGAGGTGAACCAGTCGGCTTTCGAGAGGTGGAGGACAAGGGGAACGAAGTGTTCTTCAACCTGGCTTTCATCTAGCTGCTCGCAAACCTTGTTGAGAGACTCAACAGCCTATATTTATAATCAGCAAAATCGCATGGCGAACGCTAAGTGACGTATCACCGACCTTCTCCCGAACCAAGGGCTCCTCGATGGCTGCCAGGTTCTCCAATGGGGACAAGAGCACGTGCGCGTGTTCCGGTCCTCCCACATACTCTGTGAAGTTACCGAGTTCCTCGCTGAGGGCAGTCAAGACCTCATCTTCATCCTCGACGGAGTCTAAGGACAGTTTATGTTAGGCGCATCCAGGCGGTAGAAGTCGGTGAGCGGGGACCAACCATCCAAGAATGGAATAAGCTCTTCTCGGGTTCGTTCGGGGCCCAGAGCAAGAGCAATAGTCGATAGACGGTGAATAGCATTGAGGCGGAGGAGGACGTCATCGTGCTAGGAGATTGGAGCGTGAGCTTTGACACATACGAATAGCCCCTCCACCGGAGCGGTGCATGGAGGGGGAAGCAAGAGATCATCCATCATACCTTCAACTCATCAATGAGCACCGCGATAGGGTAAAGCTCGTCATTTTCATTTTGGCCCTCCATCACGGGTATCGGTGTAGCTTGTGTTTATTAAGTGGCGTTTCTGGGAGTCGGAGCGAGCAGGTCCCAGTCCTGAGGGCAGGGTTGATATCGGAAGCGGGTTGGTTCGACCCAGCGAAACAAAAATTAATTGCGTTCAAAGGTGGTATGATAACATAAACCGAATGCACTGGAGTCCGCAGCAAAATTAGTCCCGACGCGCGCGGTGAAGATGATTTCAAAAATGAAAAGGGAAAGGGAGTGGTAGTTGGAGAGAGCGGCCGGAGCGAGGTTTCGTGGGGTTTTGGGCCGCAGACTACCAAGCTGGGATGGAAGGAAGCAACAAAATCCGGGATGAGAGTAGAAGGAACACACCTCCAGTTGATCAATACGTAAGCAATTCTATCTGACCCTGGTATAAATTGGTAGCTGAGTTGGAAATCGTGGATATCCCTGAGATCGTGCAATGGTTTACGCCCACTTGTGCTGGCTCTGAGCTTTCTGTGACCAAACACTGCGGCTGGTGTAAATTACATACAGTACTGCACAGACCACCACCCGCAATCATCCCACCACGTCAGTCAAAGTGCTTGGAAGTGTGACCATACAATACCGTCTATCAGAAAAGAGGGGGGGACCGTGGCGGTGGTGGCTTTGACGGGCAGAATTTCTATCCGATCGGAGTCATATCTCTCTCTTCCCCTCGCTAAGTGTGTTTCTTTGCGTGACTTGGAATTGGTACGTGCTTTGATTATATTTATCCAGAAAGACTCGTGAGGTCTTCTTGCCTCCAATTTGAACATTCATTTGCTAATCCGAAGTGAACCTTGCGAACAGATTCGTGTCGCATCGCATAGCGAACATCCCCCGCCATGCCCACTATTTCAGTCGACAAGGCCGCTCTCTTCAAGGAGTTAGGCCGGGAGTATGTTTTTCTACCTGGAAGGAAACCGCCCTGGATTTGCCTGCATATCCTGACTTGTCATTTTCTTTTTAGGTATACCACGGAGGAGTTCGATGAATTGTGCTTCGAGTTTGGTGAGTCAAATCATAAATGTTTCTTGCGGGGCATGCGCTAACAGATAATTCAGGCATTGAACTTGACGAAGATGTACGACTTGATTAAATCCTTATATTTGCAAATGCCTGTGGTCCTAACATCTTTTAGACTACCAATACCGAGCGACCGATCGTCGACGGCGTGCAGGAGCCTCCACAGCTTAAGATTGAAATCCCCGCCAACCGGTACGTCGGAAACACACACACATAATTGGAAAGGAAACTGAGATATGGTACAGATATGATTTGCTTTGCTTCGAGGGTATCCAATTGATGCTCAACATTTTCCTGGGCCAGAAACCCTTGCCTGAGTACAAGCTGGTTTCCCCACCCAGTGGAGAGCTGCAGGAGATTATCGTTAAGGAAGATGTAGGTCTCTCTTGATATTTCTTGCTAGTATCAAATACTAAACCTATCGGATAGACCACGAAGATCCGCCCGTACGTCTCAGGTGCCATCTTGCGAAATGTTCAGTTCGACGAAGCTCGCTACGCATCCTTCATTGCTCTACAGGACAAGCTTCACCAGAACTTGGCTCGTCAACGAACCCTCGTTTCCATCGGTACCCATGACTTAGACACCATTCAAGGGCCCTTCACTTACGAGGCTCTGCCTCCCAAGGATATCAAGTTCACTCCTCTGAATCAGACCAAGGAGATGGACGGTGAAGAGCTGATGAACTTCTACGAGGTTTGTCTAATCTAATAAATCTTGGATGCCGTCAAAATGCTCATACATCCGCACAACAGAAACACCAGCAGCTGGGCAAGTACTTGCATATCATTCGCGACTCCCCAGTTTACCCCGTCATCTACGATTCGAAGCGAACAGTCTGCTCTCTTCCTCCCATTATCAACGGCGATCACTCCAAAATCTCCGTCAACACCACCAATGTTTTCATCGAGATCACCGCCCTTGACCGCACAAAACTTGAGATTGTGAACCGCATGATAGTTACCATGTTCTCTCAATACACTGCGGAGCCTTTCACGTAAGTAGCATGTCATTCAACATTCTAAAGGGACACACTAACTCCCCCATAGCATTGAGCCCATCAGAATCGTCTCAGAGCACAATAACGAGTCTCGTGTTACCCCCGACCTTTCCCCTCGTGTTGCCGAGGCTGAGGTCTCTTACATCAACCAATGTTGTGGACTGGAACTCTCTGCCGCCGATATTAGCAGCCGACTGACCAAGATGGCTTTCCGTGCCAAGCCTTCCGCTACCAAGCCTGACATCGTTGAGGTCGAGATTCCTCCCACCCGTGCTGATGTGCTTCACCAGTGCGATATCATGGAGGATGTCGCCATCGCCTACGGTTTCAACAGCCTTCCTCGCTCGTTCCCTAGCAAGTCTGGCACTGTTGCTCAGCCCCTCCCCATCAACAAGCTATCTGACATCATTCGTGTCGAGGCTGCCATGGCTGGCTGGACTGAGGTTCTCCCTCTGATCCTGTGCTCACACGATGAGAGCTTTGCTTGGTTGAACCGCAAGGACGATGGAAACACTGCTGTCAAGCTGGCCAATCCTAAAACTCAGGAGTTCCAGGTTGTCCGTACTAGCTTGCTTCCCGGTCTGCTGAAGACAATCCGTGAGAACAAGAGTCACACTGTCCCCATGAAGATCTTCGAGGTCAGTGATGTCGCTTTCAAGGATGTGACACTGGAGCGCAAAAGTCGCAATGAGCGACACTTCGCTGCTGCTTGGTACGGACGTACCAGTGGTTTCGAGGTTGTTCACGGTCTCTTGGACCGTGTGATGGCGATGCTCAAGAGTGCCTTCATCATCGGTGAGGAAGGACTCGATAACCCTGCTACCGCTGAGTCGCAGTACTTCATCAGGGAATTTGATAGTAAGTACTTCATAATATTGCCTGTCGTTAACTTTCAAGATGCTAATTCCCCGTTTGCAGACCCTACCTACTTCGCCGGCCATGCTGCCACCATCCATGCCCGCATTGGCGGCAAGGAACACGTTATTGGTCAATTCGGTATCCTGCACCCTACTGTGCTGGAGAAGTACGATCTTAAGTTACCTGTCAGCACTCTTGAGATCAACATCGAGCCTTTTCTGTAGGCTATATAGCTATGCCCTGTGAAGATTCACGCAGATGATGACATGATGAGGAGTGCTCTTTGTTGATATGCAATGTCTTGATTAGAGCTACAGAGAATCCAAAAGAAATAAAATAAAGTTTTAAGCATTACTTATCTGTTCCTTTGCTGTAGCTCACTGAGGCTATTCACTTGGCCACATGATTGAATTGAAAACCATGCTTAAAGCACTTGAAGGATTGCACGCATAGCCCTTGTTTGTCTATTTCCAGTGTATCCGGTAATATTGATGCCTTGATTCCTAACTTTTAAACAGAAATATTGCTTTTATGGCCTCCTAGCATCCAAGCCCCGCCCCGTAGCTCAGTTGTTTCCACCCCTATGTCGTTCCAATGCGAGTTTGCGAGCCCCCACTTCAGGTACATAGGGACCCATGAATGTGGGAGTCAGGAGTGGTACGGCGAGTATAAGTCTGCGCCCACGCGGGGGGATGGCGCCGTTACAAAGCTAGCAACGGACCTACCACGTGGCTTGTGGGCATCTTTTTTTTTACAAGCCAAAATTTATTTCTTCTAATCTATATCTGTCTTTTGGGATTTATGGTGGGTGTTTGTGTTTGCAATGGGTGCTGGATGACAATCCGTTTTGCATGAAAGTGAAAGTATTCAAGAGTCAGAGATGAAAGTGAGTTGGGAAGCAGTTCCCTACGAAAAACCACCCCTTTTATTTCAAGGGTTCGACTCCAGCTTGTTCCATATTTGAACCTCCTGTTTGAATTAAACATCATTCCTCGTGACAGCCCTGTTTGTCTTGGGCCAATGTATGACATCAATGTTAGCAGGCCCTCCAGCCCGCTTGCTCGTACCTTCTTCTCTCATCTGCGTGACCTATATCGCGATACCACCTAATTCTACCCAACTCCTGGTTTTATTTCAACACCACATATTATTTTCAAAGTTTACATTGCGGCTCCCATGACGTTTCTTTTCCAACACACCCTTAACCCAGCGCACGATATACCCGGACCCACTTTTTGATAACCGCCCCACGTGGAGTCGAGTTTAAAATTTATTTGAAGTAGGGATTTTCGAGATCGCACTACACATTAAAATTTTATTGACTACGCGGTGTATAGCTGTCTCATGCAAGTATCTAAGTTTTCTCTCATTCAGGCTTGTGCCAAAATGCAGTATCATAGTACAGACTCGGTCTGGATGTAAACGATTTTATATCATGACACCTACCTCAATGGCTTGTTGGAATATATATCTCAAAAATCCATGTAAAATAATTGAATTCACGAACGATCATGGCCCGGGGGTTGAGATATACCTAGGTATACCTAGTTGAGCATTCATTGAAACCTTCAAGTTGGAATTAATGGCCTTAACAAGATCAAACTTTGGAAAGTCTTTGAGTCTTTGAGATATATATCGGTCCAGTACTATTGGAACCGTTTAATTGTAGGTATGAACGGGTCCCAGGTGGCATATGCGCAAAATTTCGACCACGGGATCTCGAACATTAGTTTAAAGTTGTACATAGTGGATAAGTCCCAGGCCTCTCGACTCGGACTCCGGAGAAATAGAATCAATTGCGTGGGCACTGTGGACCATGAATATTCCTGGGTTTGCTCAAGTTCAAGTTGGAGCATTTGAGTCGCTCTAGTAAGTTTCGTGTTTATGCGGGACTGAAGAGGTGGGAATGAAGAGGTAATTCAAGATCAAATTTATGTACTATCAGAGGCATAGTACCTACGCAGGTTCGTACGAGAATATTCACGAGGAAAGAGACTACAGATAGTTATAATGACAAGGTATCGTCAAGGCGAAGATTTTTTGAAGTCTTCATGTAATTTTGATTGCGTGAGGTTGAGAGTATGAGGTTAGGTTAGAACAGGAAGAAAGGAAAAGGTATAGCCAGTTTTAATGCAGAGAAAACATTTACTCCTGAGCGTAACCCTCGGCACCACCCTCGGCCTCGGCGGCCTGCTCCTCGGCCAGACGCTGCTGCTCGGCGAGTTGCTGGGCAGCAAGAGCCTTGGCACCGTAGTCCTGGCTCATAGGCTGGAGAACGGGCTGCTCCTCCTTGGGCTCGATGATAGTGACAGAGTCGGGGAGGGTCTTCTGGGGGCCGGACTTGCCCTCGGGGTCGGAACCGCGCATGATCTTAACCTTGATACCAAGGACACCCTGGCGGAGGAGAACGTGGCGAGTGGCGGAGTCAATGAACTCCTTGGCGGGCTGACCGGAGTGGATCATGAAACCGTCCTGTAAACAGTATATTAGTAAAATGTTCGCAGAGAACGAGCAGTTGCTTGCGCGAATCGTGTGCGGACGTGAGAGAAAAGAGCGCGGGTTCTCGGTCTCAACATAGAAAAGGTATCGGTAACCTTGAAAGCCCGCACGTAGTTCCCCTCATTCCTCTTTTCATGATTGGTGTAAACGTACAGTGAACTTCATGGACTTGGCACGGGCAGCACGGAGCTTTCCGGACACAACAACCTCGCAACCCTTAGCACCGGACTCCATGATGAAGCGGAGGACACCGTAACAGGCACGACGGACGGCAAGACCGTTCAGGAGCTTGTAGCGGAGGGACTCGCACTGAGCGACAGCGGAGAGACCGCGGTTCTGGACCTTAGCGGCATAGAGGGAGACGGAGTTCTCGGGGAACTTGAAACGCTTCTGGATGAGGGAAGTGAGCTCGCGGATGCGGCGACCCTGCTCACCGAGAACCTCCTGGGTGTGGGTGGCACGGATGACTGTTGAGAAAGAAACGACCGGTCAGCGTTTGGTCACGAAATTCGTGCATAAGTTCCCTCCAAATGATGGATCTTCAAAATTGTCGATGTTTCCGATGCTAGACATTCTAGCCTTTCCCTCCTCTTGTATATCTCCAATTCTACCCAATATTCATTCACAGTAGGGAAAATCGAAGGGCGAACGTACTGATGTCGGTCACGGTGGGAGTGACACGGACTTCGACACCGGAGTATCCCTCCTCAGCAAGTTCGCGCTGGAAGAACTCGTTCAGCTCGGCGTAGAAAACACCGTCAGCGACGAACTTTCTGCGCTTGGAGATAGCACCCTGGACAGCGGCCATTTTTGCGTTCCTGGTTGGTGGAATTGGGGGTTGTCGACGAGGGGGAGGGCGTGGTCGAGGTCGAAAGTTGGTCGCTCGGTTGCGAGTTTGATTTAGTGGGGAATTTTTGGGCGTAGGGCTTCCACACCCAATCGGGATAGGGCTCAACCCTCGCTTACTTTACAGCACAAATCAAGACTAGCGTTGACACCTTAAGGGACAGGTGTCAAAACGGAGCTCCTCAAAATCCAAGGCATCAATGACGTATAGTTAAGGGTTTTATGTGGCCTACCGTATAGTTCCTTCCACATCTCTTTTTTCCATGTGTCTCAGATCCGGGGTGTACGAATTAAGACGAGACGAGGAAAACATTCTTCATTTGTATATAATCGCTTTCAATGGTAATATTCTTCGATGAAGGTGTCTTTGTAATCCTAGAATGCTCCGTACGTAATAACTTCGACGTACGCCATATCGAAATTGACCAGAAAATGACAGTCGTTCATGATCCTTTCAATCTCCTCTGTAACTCATTGCATTTCCACTTCCATTTGCTTCTGGTTCTCTTCTCCTTTAGGTTCCGATGGGTTATTCTTTAGGACGGAAAGACTTGAAATGCCAGAGGTAACAGCAGCAAGCCCCGATGCCGCAACGTTGGAAACATTGGCACCTGGAATTCCCGAGCTTACTGGCTCCTGCGCAGTTTCAATGCCTGTCAGCACCGAAGTCCTAGGAGGGACAGGACTTTCACTCTCGCTTGCGCCCGAGGCGTCAGAAGGTCGAGGTCCATTCATTTCTGCATCCGAACGACCAAACGATTCATTCCACCAGCGCGTCTCGTTCGCATTGGGGAAGATCAATCTTTCTTTGCCGCGCGTGTGGTCATCAATTTCAGGATCATATTGTGGGTTGGTGAATTGTTCTCGACGGGCCAAGAAATAGTCCCATACACTCCGAGTTTTTTCTCTCGCCTTTGTATCCAATCGTTCCTTCTCGCTATTGAACAGGAATGTTCCAAATTGACAAGCATAGAGATGATATAGCAAGCGTCGCAGGAAGCGTTCGTTGAATTCAAAGCGAGTTGGGTGTTGATACACCAGCTGGTAGGTAGCATCAAGGAACTGGTGGAAAACAGGGCTGGTTTCCTTGACTTTCGTGACTTCTTTCTCAGACACAATTGAGCGTGGGGCAGAATTTGGCTTTTTAGCTGGACTGTCAGAATCGTAACTCTGCATTTCCCCATCAGAATCTGGCAACGAATCACGACTATTGTTGTCTCGACCAAAGAAACCTTTAGCACTGAGGAACGCATTTTCAATGGCCTTTCCTGCTCCGCTGCTTTCAAATCCACGATTGCTGTCGCCGCCAATTCTCTCATTTTCAATCTGAAACCATTTTTCACTGTTCAAGTGACCTGATCGATGGCGGAACATGTGTCCAAACGAAAGCCAGTCTTTCTCTACCAAAACCATGAAACCTTCCAAAGTGCGAAAGTAAGGATCCAAGCAAAGTTGACTGAGTGCACTTAGCTGACTTGTCCGGTCCCAGCCATCAGAGCAGTGGATCAGCACATGAGAGTGCTGGAGTCCAACTTGACGAGCAATCAACCCAGCCCCGTCTAGAATGCCGGCAATGTGTTTCAACCACCCACTTCGTGCCAGCTGATCTCGATTAGGTCCAAGCGGCGTCACGTCTGTCTCTTTCAAGGCGTCTACCACCTTGCTCAAAGAATCACGCATGACATGAATATTGTCGATTCCCAGATACGCCTTAGTAGCAAACTTATAGTTGTCCATATTCTCCGAGCCTAGCCCAACTGCCTGCATCGCAAGGGCGTTGACGGTTGGCCTGGCATCGACAATAAGATTTTGCTGCTGTGCACCATAGATCAAACGCCGTTGTTCCTCAGGGTCCCCGTGGGCCGCAGCTAGCATATCATCTTCGATTTCCTCAGCATTTGACATATCTGGATCTGTTTGATTCGACCCTGAGCTTTCCTGGCTTGAATCGGATGCTTCCCTCTCTAAATGAGATTGAGCAAAACTGGCCAAGGGACGCTCTGATCGAGAAGTTGAGAAGATAGCGGCCAGAAGCTTTTCATCTTGAATGCTGCGATGTTGGCGCACGCCTACCAGTGGCTGGGAGCTTCTTGTGATGGTGCAGTTGTTCACGGGGTGGAAATATGTGAGAGTAGGAATTCTTGCTCTGGAGCGGTATCGTCCTGCATAGTTGATGGTATTGTCGGATATAGAACAGGGCACGGGAATCAATGCGGGGTATGTCGGGGAGAACTAGCGAGAATATTAGTATGATAGAACACGCATATGTTTTTAAACAAACCTACACTATAGTCGGTATTGACTTCGGATATACGCCATCCTGAGTTCTCTTTTAGGGCTCCTTGGCGTACCCACTCCTGGCGCGGGTTGTACAAGTCCCACCCATTGAATTCCTTCTCGGGCGGAGGTGGTTGATATGAAAACGCGTATAGCTTATCGAGGCGACCTGATTTGCATGTCCACTGCTTAATACCATCAAATACTTCACGTGCTTTTTGCTCGTTGGTGAAATAGAAACAGACGAAGGTAAAGTCTCGACACCGAAGGCGGATGGAGGAGAGTTGGCGGGATGCAGCGGGAGCTGGTCGCAAGGTACAAAAGGCGATAATGGGGTAGGTAATCCAGAGCTCTCTTGGTCTGACGGTGACACCTTTGGCCTGGTCCTCACTGGAGAGAGGCGGGAAGTGGGAAAATATCAAGTGGTGAGGGGTGAGGTGGAGGCTGCCATCCACCTGTTCAGCCCGGCGGGCCAAGGTCACATTTTCAACCTGCGCCATGAGAGTATTACTATTAGATATATTCGTGGGTATTGAAGTGTTGAGGTTGTTGTAAATCGAGAACTTACCTTAGCAATCCGTGTTTTCTCCATGCCGTCGAAGGTGCAATCACTATGCGCGCATGACCTTCATAATGAATGAGGGGAACAGCAACTTCAAAGACGGCAAACGCCGAGCCAAGGGTGGGGCTTCAAGGTACCAGAAGAAAACAATCTTTTTTTCAGATCAAATATGTTGATTCCCCAGGGGCCAAGAATTATTGGGCAGCGGGGAGCCGATGGTTGGGGAGGAAGAGTTGCACATCACGGTCAGCTTCGGCTCCCCAATTCCCCGACTCGTCCGGTGGGGCTAGATCCAGCAGGGCGTCATGTTTGGTTCCCACCCGTTCTGGATGGGATATGCAGCACTTTGTTTATAGGTAGATCATGTTCCCGATTAAAGATGAAATCAAGCGCTATTATAATGATTTTATTTCTTTTGAAGAAATGTTCTATTATCAAACAAAATGTATGAGAGTGCGATTAATTCACAGTACTGCGATCACGACATGGTCTGCTTTTAGTTTATGTATACACCATTGGAGATACCCAAGTGTGAACGGATTTATTCCTTTGATGTCACTTCCCAGCTGCGCAAATCTTCTCGAACTGAAAACTCAGAACGTTCATGCTCAGCATTCCGGCTCTTCCAGCTCCGCCCTTTGCCATCATACAAAGGATGCTCTAGGTCGGCATCTTTATGATGAGAAGAAGACCCCAAGGTAGAATGGGAATCAGGGGGTTTTGGGCTTCCCCCAGAATGGAAGCTAGAAGAACTCTTGGGACGTCGCTCAAAACTAGGCGAGAGCCTCTTTGCGGAGCGAGTTTGTCTTTCGGCGGCTTCTGCACCTAATAAATTATTCTGACGATCATCTCCCGGGTGCCCGTCAGGTAGGTTGTTATGCGAATCATTGTTCCAGCAAGAACTGCCATCAAATAAGTCCTCAATCAACTTATCAGCGGGTAAATCACATGGCCTAGACATCCATGAGGCGGCTAATGTACGTCGGTACATATCCTGCATATCTGCCATTTCGTTGGGCTTGGTATTGATTGATGGTAAATGACCGGAATCATCTGAATCGCCTCCTTCTCCAGAGTGGACAACCCTTGCAATGCCTCCGAAGACAGTGGCTGATTTCAATGGAGGTCTGTTGATGGTTAGTAGTTGAACTAAAGGAATATCGAAATGACGTACGTTGTGAAGTTGCGGTCCCCTTCGATTTGACGCATAGCAATACCTATTTTAAGTGTGCTGTTGACCTTGCTGTCGAACATCAGATATCTCCTGATGACACCTTCGTCCTCTTCCACTTTGTCCACGTATTCGGCGAGGTTCAATTTGATCTTTCCAAGTAAATTCTTTTCATTGGTGGGCGAGGAATGAAACTCTTGCAAGACTTCAAAGTTAATGTCGCATTCTTGCAGCATCGAGTTCCTGTCAATAGTAATCCTTATAAGAGAGGTCTTTTCATAATTCCACGATGCGCGATGATCCACTAGGGGTGCCTTGTCCGTGTGGCCTTGGCTCTCAGTGGCAGCACTTGATGATGGTAGACGCCATCGCACCGACGCAGTGCCATTGCCCAATGGAACATTGTTGATGTCTATTATCTGCTGATATATCAATATTTGAATGCCTTCAAAGAATCCAGATGAAACATACTCTCAAAACAAGCTCAAACCGGGGCTGAGTTATATTAGTGAGTATTCGTTTTCCATCTAGTTGTTCAAAGTGGAACTTACTCTCCGATTCTTTGGGACTATGTACCATAACATGATTAGCAAGTTTCCAAGAGAACTGGGGAAAAACAGCAAGGAAGCACCGTAGCCAAGAACCAGAGACGAAAGACTCACCAAAGGCCTGCATAATTTCTATGTGTATGCAAACGAGCCCAAAGGACCTATGGCTGATGCAATGGCCCGCGGCTAGCTGGTGACCTTGCCCAAGGCTGAATTCAAAGGTAAAACAGCGTCCACTTATGCCCTGCCCAAGACTATGACTTTAGTTTCAATGGAAAAATTTAATATCAGCATAAGCCTCATTGCGCCTGAAAGTTCGGGGGTTAGCAAGTCTCCCCGCATACGTCGCAAATGGGGCGGTGTGGGGATTATGGCAGAATCTCCAAGCCGTGGGAACCCGCTCCTGCCTGCGCATGTTTCTCATCTTCACTCGTCTATCTACCACCTTTACCGTCTTATATTTATAATCCTAGTATATTTCACAACAATTCACGAGCCTAGGGTTGGTAGCGAAAGCCTAACCATGGAAAAAGCGGAAACTTCTCTCCTCTCTCCGCCGTCTGAGGCTGCCTCCGCCATTCCACTTGATTCACCAATCCGGACTACGGCCATTCACCCCGATCTCCCTGAAATTCAGGTACCAAGTGAGCCGTTACCAGTCTATCGCTACCATCCGATCACCTGCCAACCGATTGAAGAGCAAGATGTGCATTCTGAACTTGAACAATTGCGACAAGACTTCCCGACTCGCGAGACGGCATTGAGAGCACAGGAGCAGGCCGCTAAGGAAATAAAGCGCAAAATCGAGGAAGCTGAGAAGAAGAGAGAGTATATCCAAAGAGAAATGGACAAGAAGAACAAGGAAAGAGATACCGAGCTTAAGGTCGTCTCCAAATACCACCAAGTGAAGGCATCGGACATTCCATCTTGAAACAACTTCGACAAAGCGTTCTGATCTAAATCCTTGACACCCTTGACATTCGGATAGCGACAAATGACCCGAGTCAAAACTTGGGACCACCCCGGTGAATCCCGGCGAAAGCCAGCGATCACTTCACAGGCTCGTCTCGCTTCCAGTCCGCGAAAAAGCTTTATTGGCTTCATCCCATTGGGCACCTCCAACAAATTTTTTTGGCTAAGACACCACCCACTGGTCACACATAGCCAGAGGCTATATTTTTATCGATCCCAATATCGACATATACAAGCCAGTCGTATATCACTGGGGCTATAGACAGCAAACCAGGGCCAACTATGGTAGCTTGAACTTGTCCCATGACAATGGGCATGCATCGCTACCGTTCTCGAGATGGTCACCCTTGGCCACGCTCTGTATCATCTGAGCCGCACCAATCGATCACCTCGAACTCAGATACTCATATATTTCATGATTACAATGACGAATATATCACCCGGATCTACAAGCGATCTACCATCTGTCTTGCAACTCCTCCAGTGGAACATCCGGAAATTCCAATCAATTAAATCGTATTAGACGTACTCAAACATTAATCATGAGTGAACGTGGATTATATAGATCCGAACCTAATGTTTCAAACTTGAATATTAGAGCGCATCCAACAAGCTTGTAACCAGAGGAAGAATCTAGGTAAGGAGCAAAGTTAGTGTGAAAAACGTCATCTCGCATCGAAGATAGCCAACTTACGTCAGAAGCATCCTCGATCAATATTTGTGTCTCGTTAACAAACTTCTTGGTGAGAAGTTCATCTGCATTGTTCAACAAGCCTCCCACCTGGCTCAGAAGCTCTGGGGTAACGACAGGGGCAATTCCATCGATCAATCCCATGGTCTTATTGACAAAGCTCGGACTGAGTAAAGTGGTACCGTTACCCAGCAACCAGGATACATTCTGCAACAATTTCGGCGTCAAGGCTGGTCCAATCATATCCAAAAGGTTGGTCAGTTCTTTGGTTGTCTTCTCAGTCAAAAGACTGTTTGCATTAGAAAGCAACGAGTTCACTTCCTTGAGGAGCTCGGGGGTGACATAGGGAGCCACTGTGCTAATCAATCCCTTCGTCTCGTTGACGAAGTTCGGCGACAGCAATTTGTTACCATTAGAAAGCAGGGAGTTGACCTCTTTCAAAAGCTCTGGGGTGATCATTGGGGCCACGGTGCTGATCAAACCACGAGTCTCGTTGATGAAGTCAGGCGTGAGGAGCTTGTTACCGTTGCCAAGCAAGCTGTTGACCTCTTTCAAGAGTTCGGGGGTAATAGCAGGTGCCACGGTTCCGATGAGATGCTTCGTCTCATCAATGAATTCCGATGAGAGTAACCTGTTGCCATTTGAAAGCAAAGAGTTCACCTCCTTCAGCAAGTCAGGCGTAATGACCGGTGCCACAGTTCCAATGAGATGCTTTGTTTCATCAATAAACTCCGAGGAGAGCAGTTTATTACCATTTGAAAGTAAAGAGTTCACCTCCTTCAGCAAGTCGGGAGTGATGACTGGTGCCACCGTGCCAATCAGGTCGCGAGTCTCGTCGATGAATTTGGGGGTGAGAAGCTTGTTACCGTTTGTAAGCAAGCTGTTGACTTCTTGGAAGAGCTCTGGTTTGATAACTGGTGCCACCATCGAGATCAACTTCTGAAGTTCAGATGTAGTCTCTGGGGTAAGCAGTTTGTTTGCGTTATCAAGAAGACTGCTAGCCTCCCTCAGAAGCTGAGGAGAAAGCTCTGGAAGTAATTCCTTGAGATTTTTAACCACTTCAGGGGTCAGCAGCTCACTGGCATTGTCCAAAAGTCCCTCCAGCTTGTTGATCAAGCTCTTTGTGAGAAGACCAGAAGCTGTGTTGATCAAATTTTTGGTGTTCGTCGTTGTCTGATCATCGAGTAACCAAGCAACATGATGAAAGAAAGATTCGATATCTTCCAGGAGCGTGGGCGACAAAAGACCTTTCAAGCCTTCAAAAAAATCACCAAAGTCATCCCAAGAACTGAAGAGAGTGTCGTCATCTTGATCACCGTCATAAGTGCTACTACTTCCTGCAGCAGTACCAGTACGAGTCACGGTAGCTGTCTCTGTGGAAAGGGTACCTGAGGTTTTTGAGCCCGGGCTCGTAGTACCATGGGAATCCTGAGTGCTAGCACTAGAGTCCGAGATACCGGTGCTGCTGGGGCTCATGGAACCATTGCCATTTCCAGTAGATCTGGCAGGGTCTTGGGCGGTAGAATGAATGGTCTGTTGCGATGATACAGCATTTGGAGGCTCGGTCGGTTCGCCGTTGTCGTTATCTTGATTCCCGTTAGGGTTACCTGTTGCTGTGACATGAGGGGTGGCTTCTGGTGATTCCGGAGAAGTGGAAGGAGGGATAGAAGTATCGTCCTTGGGATTGGCTAGCGAAGTAACGTCTGACCCGGTATCGGCTTTGGCATTATGCTGGGTAACTGACAGCGTCTCCGCATCTGCATGGGCCGAAGGAGATGCCTCCAAAGAAGTTGTCTGGTTTCCAGCTCCAGCAAACGCAGTACCAGATAGTACAAGCGTTGAGACGAAAGCAGCTGAGAAACGCATCTTGAGCCGTTACTTTAGTCTCCGAGACACGAGTTGCTAGCTGGCTTGATGAGCAACCTTCTCTTGACAGAATCAATCTCAATGCACAAAGAGACATGCTGCCCCTTTTATGTCTTTGACACTCCCCTCCCCAGGTCCACTCCATGGCTTGAGCCGAGGACGTCCATACTCCACATGTGAGTCGATCGGACTCTATCCATAGCCATGCCGTGTTTTGCGCTGATGTCAGTTCCCAACAGCGGTTGAGCCTTTCCCTTTGCAGCGACTCAATTTCCCTTTTTGGCTTCTTCATATATAGGATGTATGGGTCCTTGGCTAAGGCGGGTCCCAAGGGTCTTGGAGCGGGATGAAACGTGACGAGCGCGATATGAAAGCTCGTTCCCTTTCCTGCCGATAGAAGGATATTTTATGCCATTACTATGCAATTAGTGGCTTGGACTTGCGGGGACAACCAATAATATCTTGGCCTTTTCGCTACTGGGGGCTTTAGCCTCCCTGTTAGTTCATGTATCGGGTCAGGAACTGTCCATAGTGTTAGGGATCTGCATGTCCGCATGTAACAGTAGCTCGAATCTTCATCATTCCATTCGTTTAGCATGGAAAGGCAGGTGAGCGGACCAATTGAATTGCCGATCTTGTCTCAGTGGTGGATATATCTGAATAGGCCCGTGCTAAAGGGTCATCATTTCGACTCCATTCTCATTCGCCAATCGTGACTTTGTAGGTCCATCTGGGCTGCCTCTATCCCGATAGGTCCTCTCCGCATTGCTCGCTTAAATTATCATATAAATAAACCCATTTGATGTTGAAACCCCAATATTTTAACTTTCCGTTTACCTGTGGTAGTCACCTCATATACTACAAGATCGTTTGACACATGTTTAGACTATACACTAGGCAATTGGGTCTCGGGTGGCTTGCATTTCATCTATATATATTGACTCAGAACTCCCGAACTTGGCCAATGCAACAGCTACCTAGTACCAGTGCCCATATCTGCTCAACCTCGACTAATTAATAAGATGTCATCCATTTTCCACAAAAGGCCAGCTTCTATGAATTTTCCGTATTTTGTTGCGAAACCTTGGAAAAGCAGTTAAATCCCTCGTTCTCGTTTGTTAGTGGGGCACACGCGCTGTTAGCGCAATGATGATCGGCGCCGTGGAGTTCGCGTAATGGAATGTCGGGGTTCATTTGGAGCCGATTCCCCGGATTAGAAAAAAATCATCAATTTGATGGATTGTGCAATGGGGTTTGGCCAAGCCTTTTCCATATTCGCGTGACCAAAAGAATAATTTACTTCTGCTTTTCAAAATGCGGAGTGGCTCATCGAGCACTGTCACGTTTTAACACAAGTGACCCTTGCGTTCTAGGCCGATCTTCGTAAATAAACACATCCTTACTCATGGATTCAGAACGCAGTTTTTCTCGGCATTTTCTTTTGTTCCTCCTTGACATCTTGAATAGAGGGCTGAGCCTCTCAACTGAGGAATGCCAACCCCCCATACTCACTAACCCCGGACTTGGGGTTGTTCCAAGGTTCTCTTGTGATGAGATACCGTTGTTCGTATGGTTGCCGAGCCCCGAAGAAAGATCATCGGAGAAATTGGGCAATCATTTCCGTTGTGGCTCTTAGACTAACTTACTTTCATTGGACGATTTCAATTATTGCCCTGTAAAAATCTCGCTACTGACTTCCTGTTCCTGAATATTGATCGGCATATCGATCTTCAAAACCTTTTGGTATCATAGCAGACTTTTGAACTAGGTTATTTCCAGGGTTATACTATATGACGCTATCTACTTCGTAGTTGCACCCGCAATACATAGTAGTCTCATTCAAACACTAGCACGCATCCATTGAGGTCGCATAGTTTTGCTGGAGCTGTGCCCAGAAATGCATATAATCTCTGGAATTAACTAGACTTTTGTCAAGGTCCACCATCAGATCCCCTATCCTCTCTTAGGGGATTGGGAGCTTCATGGAACATTACGTGGACCATTTTAGAAAAGGTCCGGAGCTATATCACCTATTTAGCATGTGTGATAATTAATGCTGGAAAAAATGGAATGCAAACCATACCCTAGTTCCAACTATTTCCCAATGTCGGCTGTTGCGTTCTGCCTCTTCGGGGAGATAAACATCCAGCCTTCTGAGTCGATTGCCTGCACCCCAGATATCCAGAAGCGATAGAACAAAGAACTTTTCAGGCGTAATCAGGCGTAGGATCGCATATTCAATTTTCTGGAGGAGATGCTCGGAAATAAATTCCGCAATATCCATCTGGCGCATGACGAAGTATGTTTGCGGTGTTCCATGGAGCGTCAACGGTATCCGGTAGAGAACCGGAAGTGCCTCATACGTGATTTGTTTGCTAAGTAGAAGAATAGTCGGCGTATGTCGTTCAACATATGGACGAGGTGTATCGCATAGTGGGGGGCTTAGAGACCTAGTGTTCGAGGTTCTCGTGAAAGCAGAGCCGAGAATAGGATTTGTTGCGATTTTTCGATAGCATTTTACGTATTCATTTGGGTTCAACGAGTAAGCGTATACTTTTAGGCGAATTTCAGGTGGGAGATCAAGGAAAGCCAACATCTTGCGGACATGTCATATAGGATGAAGTCAGCCTCGTCTAGGAATTCTAAATTTGCTTTACCCCTCTTTTCCATTAAACGTTCATATGAGGATCTAGTACTACGCAGCACAAAAAAGGGCTTGAATGTAGAGTTCTGATTCAATTAGTTTAAGAACAAATCGAAATTTCTTTTCTCTCCATTCTTTAAAAAAAATTCATTTTTTGACAGTTTTTGGTGCATAGTATCTTTAGTCCGCCAATAAATTAACCAGAAGCACCCATTGTGATGTTAGCCACTCTAGTCTGTATATTTCTCATACAAGCCGATTTCAGTTAATTCTTATCCCAGATAGAGTAGATAGGTGGGTATTGGAAGTGTCACATACAGATACTTCTTGGAATAGTCCTACGTCCTAATGGGTTGTAGTGGCAGACTTGGTGGTGTCCAATTGGTCGTCGTAGAATGATTCAGGGATTCCAGAAAGCCCTTGGACTAGGCAAATGAACTCCGGATCGTCTTCGGAAGGCCATAGACAGCACATTCATTCAGGTGAATCCCAACTTTATGATGCACGCCCCTTCGGAAGGAAGAGATCTTTTCCGAATGGAACAAGAATTGGCCGCGAAATTCAACTAAATTTGGTCGAACCTGTCGATATATGCCGTGAGAGGATCTGATTATTGCTTGATTGAGAGAATACGGTCTTCTGCATCTTGCTCCTTCATGAATAGGTAGGAGAGTTCATAAAGGATAGTTTGATAGTCGAAGATATTAGATGATTTCGCGTACAAGACTTGAGGAAGAACCTTGGCTTGGCAATGTCTGTCGAGTTTGAGGTAGACATCAAAGAGCTGGGCCCTAGAGTCACTTATAATGTCGCAATCAATGGTAAGTTTGACTATGATCATTCCGAAGTTCCAAGTATTAAAGGTGACCAATTTCTTCAACTTCCCTGGAAACGTCCCAGGGTTCGGTAATACACCGCGACAAAATATCCGACGGAGATATTTTACCGCTCTGTTAACTTTGACATGATGACAAAGAGAAACAAGTCATCGATGGCGTTGAAATATTGAAATATCACCGCAGCTGAGTTTATCTCATCTATAATATATAGTATCGCATCCTCTCCTAATACCTTGACCTGGGGGTGAGAAGGGGCGTGTGTAGGAAAAGAGAATAAAGTTGGCTATCATGAGCCAGGAAGGCGAGTATCAGTACTAGACAGAACATATGAGTCCTTCAAAACAACAACTTACTTTATGGCTCATCATGTCCAACAACGACTTATCTATATACATTGGAAGTTTTGCGCTGGAGCCCCAGAAAATTTCCCAACACGATGAAAGAAAGAGAACGACTGTCACGATGATGCGGGATTATTATATGTACATCATTGGTACCTAGGACACCCGGGCAACAGCTGAAGCCACAGCATCCATAATTGAATCTATATCGGAGAGCCATAGTACAATAGGATGTATACAAAAGGGTTACATAATTATTTTTAAAGGTATGATCATATTAATACCAATAAGGTAATCTGATGCCCTGCAATCTCTACGCACAATTCGGACCTCAGTGTTACCAAATTTAGCTTGAGAAACATTGGCGGATGTTCGGAGTGAAGCTTCCATGAGTGAGGCAATGACAAACTGTAACAGATTGTCCACAAATATGCCGTTCGATAATCTGGTTCATATGACGCGGCTTATTCGTAGAAGAAAGCAATTCTTGAAATTCTATGATTCTATAGATTGAATGACATTGTGGATTTAGATGGGGCGATGGTTTCAAGGGTGGGTGACAAACTCTATTGTAGCCGCCCAAGGGGCTGCATGTCGTCACCCAAGCGCTTCATCAAACTTTCAACTTTGATCTCACTCCAGATGATGTGAAGAAAACTTACATCGGGTTGAATTCTCTGGCATGCATGGTATTCAGGGCATGTTATTCCTGTAAACAGCAAGGGCCTCCTCCCGTATGCTATCACCAATCACAACCTACAATCCCAATGACATTGTTTTCTTATGGGATAAAAAAAATTAGATTTAGATTCAGTAATTGTAATGTTTGGGCCTAGAAGAGTCCAAGGAATATGGTCACAGCCTTGTCTCAAGTGAATGCCCAAATACTATCGATCTTTCCACGAGGGGCAATTTTATAACGTGCATCAGCATGCAGCGAGTTTCAACGCTTAAATTAGATACCCACAGGTATTTTTTGTTTATCGATCCACTCCTATAGTATTGGGTAATATGATTTCTAGTTCCATAATCTGCAAAGACGTGAACAGATGTGACTATCTGAGACCATAACCTTCTAGGGTGTGACTACAAGGATTCAAGGATCTAAAATCATACACATAGTACAGGTTATTGTTTCCCGAGAAAAGAAAGTTTACATCTAGTTATCGGCAACGCAGACTAAAACCTTCAACAATTGCCGACGAGATCAATGAAAAAAGAATGCACGAACATATGCATGTGCTTCTGCAATATGAGGAAGTTGAGTTTGGGCCACCATGCACAAATTTGCCCATGTGCAGATGTGATCGGCGTAGAGCGGCCTGAGAAGCGGAAGTGCTAATAGAGTAATCCCAAGGAATTCTTACATGTTGAACACAATTTGATACATCATACCGGAATGTGGTCCGTCTATATTAAATGTCCCTATCTAGGCAGTAAGGCAAAAAAACTTGTATTGACTAGTCGTGAGAACGTGCCGTGCTGAAATGACAAGTATTCCGAATCTTGATTTTGAGACAATGAGTCGTTCTGCAGACTTGGAGCGTTCACTTAAAATGTTAATATTTTGAGCTTCTCAAACTGTTCAGGTTATACATTGAGTTGGGCATCGCTCCGAAAACTCCCTGGGTACATTGTCGGTGAAGAGAATGACGGCAGCTCAGTTTCGAATTTGCCGCTATCGGCACTTCAATGACTCATACGCTGTCAAGTGATGCTGGTAGAAGTTCCGGTATAGAGTCTACTATAGGATAGTAAAAGTTAAAGTGATCCGTGACCAGGACGGTATACTCGGTGATATAGTTAGACACACGATACTGCATTTCAGGCTGCATATCAGCTGGACTTGATGCGTATACGTGCATGAAGGAGGTTTTGAGAACAAGCATTCGAGCATAATTGATTGGAAATTAGCAACATTTTGCGCAACGGAAAACTCTGCTCGGCGCTAAAATTCAACGGTACTCATATGCATTGATTGTATAGATCCATGGAGTTGTGCTCATAGTGTTTATGCGCACTGCCACAGGTCAGTGGGGTCAGTGGCGAGTGACGTGGCGCGGCTCCGGAGTGAGGCGCAGTTCAGTCAACACAGTCCTATATTAGGAAAACTCCACACAGACATCGCGTTCTCCGAGACCTGCCAACAAATCTGCCAGCGAAGCGTAGCAAAATATGGCAAAAAATTGGATATTCTTGTTGAACCGACACCATTTTACTTGGAATAATTTTGGAAACTTCTATCAAGGCCGATTCCAACCGTTTGACAAACCCCCCACCCCTTGCGACACCCAGACCACATGACTGAAATCATATGCCGCCAGGCTCTAGGGTTGTGCTAGGTTGTGGGAATCCAAGGCGCTGATTGCACGAAAGAAGCCATCTCGCGCATGGAAGAGGACCACTTCTGTGAGATGAGATCACTTCCAATCATGTGGCCCTCACACAAAGGAGTCGGGGCCCTGAAGAACCAACAAAACCGGTATTGTTACTTCGTACCGCTGGTCGTAGGCCGAGTGGGCGCCTCCCCAAAAGTCTGGCAATGACCGGTCATCGAGGTGCAGCCCAATCGCAGATCGTAGCCGGGATCTCAGCTCTTAGTGCAGCGGCCGGACTCGGTCGTGGCCGACGAATCCGCGACCAGAAGCGGCCCAAGACCAACTTGCCCCACGTCTGCTCGACCCTCCATCAGCTGAGGTCGTCCCATTCCCACCATCTTAGTGGCCTTCGACTCGTCCAAAAGGGAAAAAAAAGTTCAAACAGGGAATAATCTACTGTAACCTCCTTTTTATTTCTTTATTTTTTCAACCCCTATGTTTTGTTGGCCCCTTCTTTTTTTTTTTCTGATGTATAACGTTTCCCCCTAACTATTTATTGGAACTTGAAACATCTAGAATTTGAAAGATGGGAACGTGGGATCCCAGGCATATACATTAAGTGGGTGCGATAGGGCGTAAGATCATTGTGGTTAGGGTTTGTGGAGTAATAACTAGCGGCATCAATGGGCGCTCAAGGTTTCCACGGTTTGCCATTGTTTCTCTTTACCAAGATAGAAGCAGTCGAACTTTGAGAACTGCTCCATCGCACAGTCCAAGTATTTTTGTGAAGATAATTTTTAGTACCCAGCTGAGAAGAGAGGCACAGGTTGGGGTGCATGAAATCCATGTAGGAAAAAAATTAATCTGCGGAGGAGATACATGGTAGATACATGCAGGCCAAGACGCCATATCCTCGTTTTTAGTTGGATGCCATAATAAAATTGAATTAGATTTTGCCCCTATTAGTTTCTTGACTCGGAAGATTTTAACCTGGCCAGAAGGTGTCTCTGTTTCGCAGCGCGGATCACCGGGGGCTTAGCTTTTGCAGTTTGGAGCAGCTTGCATATGGCTCCCACCAAATGGACGTGCAACGCGCAGGCCCAAGGTGAGACTGGGAAATACTGTGCGAGTAAGAAAAAAAAACATTAGGAAGTGCCTAGGTGTGTTTTTCTGGGTAATCTATGTAATCTTTGCAAGGTTCTGTTCTAGATGAGATAAACTCCATAAGAATCAGTTATTTACTACCTATGTTCCCATCTCTCTTTGCTGCAATCGTTATATCCATTCAAAATTCGGTTGGTTCTCACCGTGCAGCGTTGGTTTCAACTCCTACTGCTCCGTACTGGCTGCGCATTCGCCACCCGAAACCCCCGAACTCTGGAGGCCGCAGATCGGGGAGTCCGAGGGTGTGGCTATTACTTGTATCATACCCGGCTCCATCGAGCTGCATACATCAAGATACGACAAGCCCTAGCCTTAATGCACATTTTCTATAGAGACCGAATTCAAATCTCCACTGCATTGCCTCTTCCAGGCATCGCGGATCCCGCCCCTCCGATTATTATTCTTATCCTTCTGCTCTTCCACCTTTTCTTCTCTTCTATATTATCCGTCACGGTTCATGTTCTCTCCTTTGATATTTTAATTTTCCCTTCTTTTTCTTCCTTTTTTTCTTTCCGCTCATTCGCCCGCACATTAATAGTAACAAACCAATTTTCTGGCCCCACCAAGAACCGCTACAACTTGTCGTGCCCTCCCGAGTATGCGATCGATCTAACTCAACGAGTTATCATTCCAAGACAACTTTCACCAGTACTGATCCAACTCATATCAACTATCTCGGTGTTTACATTGTGTGGGCGAATGTTGCCTTTATGATTTTTGCCTTCGATTATTTACTACATTCTTTTATATCTTTCTTTGCCAACGCCGGACGTATCCCCATACCTATTCGCAGAGTATCATAATGCCAACAGTCTTACTTCCTTCTTCGGCCGCTGCCTTTGCGCCACGCTCCTCCCCAAATGTGGTCCTGACTAAAAAGGTTGCGCCATGGTTGACGGCGACTCTAAAGCGAGTGAATCGGGTCAAGCGTCCTCTGAACAATGTCACCCAACATACACGATGCTTGACAGAGACGTTATCGTCGCAAAATGCGATCTGGACCCTGTGTTCAATGATGTTCACCAAGGCTCCCGAAGCGGAGTTGCGGAAGGATGAGAACCCACTCATGGAAGGTCTCTTCAACTACCAGATGATTCATATCGAAGCCTACGTGGTACATGTTGACATGGTCTCACGAAACGAGGTAGCCTTCAAGCTTACACCGGAAACGATTGAATCATTGATAGACTACCACCAGGATATCTATTCAACAGATGCCGCCGCCAACACCTGGGACTGGTCCGGTAAGCAAAGCCAGCTGAAGAAGTTACAGGAGGAATTCGTCCAAGCCGCCAACAAGTTTGTTTATCGAACCGACGTCGAAGCCTTGGAGGGATTGGAGGAGGACGGTGCCGGAGAGCTACTGTGTGGACTGAGCGAAGAGGCAAAGAACTCTATCTCGAACATGTTCGTACCGCTGCTGCCACCTCCACCACGGGTGGTGGATGTGATGCGCCCAGTCCCTCTCCTACCTAGTTCGACTGGCCCTGAAGCTTGGTGGAATTCTGCCATGCCACCATCCGCACCGATCGAGTCGTGGAAAGTACTGCCGCCCAGTCCAGCCAGCACGGATGATTCTAACCCGAATCTTTGGGCTAGTCTCAGTTTCAGTGATGCTCAGTTGCCGTCGCCGACCCCATCCTACTGCCAGCCGTTCACCACCGAGCCATACCCATCGTACGACAACATGGTAACCACATCGGCGATTATGGCACCGCTCCCACTCCCTAGCATGCTTGTACAACAATGCAGTACGGCAGCCACCATGGGAGGGTTCGGTTGGGGAGACTTCGCTCCGTTGCCCTACGGCACCACGATCTAGGACATCCTACAATCCGGGAGTCCATGTTCAACTGCGTCGATATATTCCTCAGCTGATGACATCCCTCCGCCTCCGAGTCGCTATCCCTGAGTTCTAAAACGTGGATCGTTTCCCCTCAGACCTCCCTCGTGCGACTCGGAAACCTCCGACTACCTCCCTTGTGGAAGCGCAATCCCAGCCATATGGATTGCAGCTCACTTTCCCACTAATTGGCATTCTTGACGGCGTTCTTCGATTGAGTTGTGTGCATCTGTGATACTCCACCTCGTTGGCATTGCATTATATCAGAATAATCCTTTTTGGCATTTGATCTTTTATTTGATTTTTCATGTTCGCGTTATTTTCAGCCAGTGTCAGCGTTCTGTTCTACTCTGCAACTTTCTTTTGCATCGAGAAGCGCGGGTCGGCTCTTTTGTTCTTTTCTTTTTTTTTTTCATGTCCCAAATATATGTCATGAAGACCAGGAAGCCTCGCGGCCGGGATATGAATTTGGATGTGCTATGCCCATCGTTATGTCTTCTTTTCTTGTCACGTTTCCATGGTGAACAACGGTCAAGTTCCATCGTCGACTGGATTCGTCATGTGTCCTTCGTGTTGGTTATCATCGAAAGACTCTCCTTCTGGTACAGGGTACTAGACTGGCCACCTGCTCTTGATTGAGACGGTCGGGGGACGAGTTTATGTGACAGGGATGTTGATCATCCCTCTTTTTTCCGCCTGCCATGGCGTGCGATGTTCGAGCAAGCGAAGCGAGACCAAACCCATATCATTGTCCTCGTTAGACCCGCAATGTTCGCCACGGGCGAACACCGGGCGCGAAAGGATGGAGCATTGGAACTTCAGGTCTGTGACCGGAAGCATTCCAATCTCCCATCCTTTCCGACGAATGGCTCAATGACAGGTCTGCTCTTTCTTTCTTTTGATTCTACCATAACACACCTTGGTTAGCACTTTAGGGTCATCTCCTATACCATCCAGGCTGGGCTTTGAGCATTACTGGATGAGCTTGTGTGTCGGGAGCTCTCTCACAGGTTGAGGGAGCTTATTTCATTCCTTTCCTGACCCCGAGAATCAGATGCAGGATTTTTATCTATTTTGTCAAGTTCGGGAGGCAAGACCCCCGCACTGGCTGACTATCTCTTCTCTTGTCTTCTTTTTTCAACCTGTCAACTGTCAACCCCAATTTGTATGTATCTTTTAGAGTTAACCCTTTGAAAGGTGCATACTACCACATTGTCCTTTCTCCGAGTAAGGTACAAGATGAATACTGGCCTCGACCCCTTGACAGATCCCACAGTTATGTAAATCAAGTAATTAGTCAAAAATGTTATATTACTCTTTGATCTATCCGTGGTACGTATCATATTTCCTTAAGGATCTATATGCTCGATATAGTAGTAATGAAGCCGGAACATTTGAAATATGCGAATAGGCATATCCCCCGAATTGTCCGTAAAACAAGACCTGGTCCTACTTTGTAGATCAAGCCCAAAACAACATTTGAATGAAATCAGCCCTGTATTACAGAAAATCAGGGGTAATAATGGTGAAGTAACCGGTATTGTAGTTCGTGGCACGGCTGCTCCACTCATGGTATGACGTCAAGAATTCCGGGGTCGCCAAGCAAACTGGAATATCGGCTCTGAACACAAGTCAAGGTCCAAGTTCCTCTGCTCATTGATGAAACAGTGGCGAAATCGAGTTTGTTATTTGTTTATTATCTCGTCTGGCTACTTGAGTGCTGCTTTATTGGGCTTGCATTCCTCCGAGGCACCAACTTCGGGACATCCAACCGCATATCCCACTTACACTCCCCGCAGCACCGCCTGTTGTTTGCACCGGTTCTCTTCCATGCATTGATAGCTTACCAATATTCGAGGGTATTCTATCTCAATAGGCATTTTCTTTGAATTTTCCACATAGTAAGTGTTCCCCTGTTTGACGAGACCAAGATGGCGTGATGTCTGCGCTTCGTACTTTGTACCGCCACCGGCGACTCATCTGAATGCCATGGACGCGTTTGCTAATATTATTCTTGGTAAAGGCTGCGAAGCGATAGCTGTATTATATTTCTCTCCCTATTTCCGAATACTCCGCCCTTCCATCCCTCTACGCCCTCATGGCCTCTCTACACGATGCGCTACACTGCCTCAAGCCCACGACATGGGACACAGTTCCCCAGTCACCAGACGAGCTCCGCGAGTACGTAAGTGACATATTCAAACAAAGTCGCCTGGTAGCCGAGTCACTCCCAGATCCTCCGCCATACGACGATGGCACAAAAACCGGCGCCGAGTCCCAGTCTACGCCTCGAGTAATTCCCTCATCAGCTCGAGTAGGCGAGACAGATCCTGATGTCACATCTCTACAAAAGCAATGGGGCAAACCAATCAAGATGGGTGGAGACAACCCCCTTGGCATACATGTGTGGAAATTATCAGCCAATGACGGAGGCGGGTCATGGTTCGGAAGACGAAGCGTCCACGAGGGTATGCCATTCACTCGATGGCAGGAGAAGATATCTTCAGAGTACGACGAGACATTAAAGGTTAATCGGAAGAAGATCGAGAAGGGACAGACGCCCGACAAGTGCATCCGCGGCATTGGAGCGGAGGAGAAAGTCGAGACCATGGAGGTGAAGGGGGAAGATGGATCGGTGATTGCCCAGTTAACGCTTTATCATGTTTCCGCGCAATTTCCAAAACCGACAGCACCGCGAGACTTCGTGACTCTTATGATTACATCGGCTTCTGGGTTGCAGATTGGTGGAAGTAAGCAGACTGGCCGCAGCTGGCTGATGATTTCTAAGCCTTGCAATCATCCTGATATTCCGATTAAGCAGGGATACACTCGGGGTGAATATGAGTCTGTTGAGCTCATCCGTGAGATCCCCAGGAACAAGGAAACTGGCAGCAGCAGTAGCAGTGTATCCAGTGCAAGCGGGAAGCAGAAAGATGGCAATAAGGAAGATCTACTGTCAAATGGCGAAAGTCAGCACCAAGAAGCCCAAGAGAAAGAGGATGATTCCAATCCAGTTGAATGGATCATGGTTACTAGGAGTGACCCTGGCGGGAGCATTCCAAGGTGGATGGTTGATAAAGGCACCCCAAGAAGCGTAGGAGCGGATGCCGCCAAGTTTGTTGATTGGGCCATACAGGATGATAAAGCTACGCAGAAAGAAGGCAATGGGCAAGATACTTCCAGCCAGGGGGATGATTGTTCCGGCACAAAATCAAGCGAGTCGACCAGAGAATCTCACCAGGATGATAAAGAAGAAGGACAGAATAGCGATTCGGAATCGGACCTAACGGACTCGGATATATCTCACCATGGATTGATCGCAAGTGTTTCCGGTCTGATCAGCTCCAGCCTTGAACGATACGCTCCTAGAGCCGTTTATGATTACATGCCACACGCTCAAGGGTCACCGCGCTCTGCACCAGGGGCATTTGACGCATCGGAACTACCTATCGATGACGCAGAAAGCGGCAGTTACAAATCAGCCACCACGAAGGAATACCAGGAAACTCAGTCACTTGGCAAAGAGCCCGAGCAAGCCTCAGTAGCCTCTGGAAGATCTGGAGTGGTCACCCCGATAGCGGAAGACATGGTCCAAAACAACCTCAATCCAACCGAACTCATGGAAATGACGAAAAACGGAAAGCTCACCTCAAACGAAAAAGAATTGGCAAAGCTTGCCCTCCGCAAACGAGATATCGAGTCCAAGCTTGACAAGATTCGCTCCGAGATCGACAATCTTCATCTCGTACCACATAGCCTTCCCTCAACACCAACGAAAGGGCTCAATGGTGAAATAGACAGTGATACGAGCGGTATGCTCAAGAAGGCGGCGGAAAATCGAGCTGCAACACCGGCGAGTAGCTCCGGAAAACAAAGTCAACAGGAAAGCAGTAGCAGTGGAGACCAAGGAGGTTCCCAGATACAGACCCCCACATCTGAATTGCCGGCTCATATGCACAAGGCGGCTTCGCAGCTATTCAACGACGAAGCTAAGCTGTTGAAGCAGTTGCGTAAGATCGAGGCCAGTCAATTGAAGGTTGCGTCAAAGATTGAAACGCGGCGGCGTAAGGATGCTGAACGCTCGGAAAAATCCAAGTCTCGATCTGAGGCCGACAATTTGCGACAAGAGGTCAAAGACTTGAAGAAAGAAGTGGACAAGTTGCGCTCTGAGCGCCAGAAGTGGGTGGACCTGGTTGCATCCTTGCAAGCGGAGAATACGAAGTTAGTAGCAGCAAGGAAGGAAGACTAGTTAAGGGTCTTGAACAGCACAGCGATTTGCTCTTTCGGGGTCTTCGATGACTCAGTGTTTTACAAGGGGTTCTACGCATTTCTATTCGGCGTCTAGAGCGTTGGAGTTTAATGTTAATAAATTCGAGTATGCAGATATGAATAACTTCTGTGTTATTGTACCAACAAAGTCGCTAGTAGTAGAGGGGATCGTCCTCTGGTAGGCATTGTCATCAATAAGACACGCATGGAACGTATGGTTAGGCAAAACTTAGAATGTATTGGGCCTATATCCATTACATTATGGCATTCAATCCACCACGCGCGGTATTCCAATTGTACAAGGGTCCGATTCACTGTCGTAACGCACGAATCGCCTGTACAGGGAGTACCCAGGGTATTTGGGCCTGCTTTCGTTTTCAGTCTCCCTTGAAATAATTGAAATTACCCTCGTAGTAATAAGGTGATGCGTCATATAGGACCATTCTAGATTTGAGGGATGGTACGCCTCCCCCACAGAGATCAAAACGGGTATCATATTATTGGTGGGCGAGCTCGCATGTAGGGTATAACGGGGTCCAGCGTGATTGTAAGGCATGGGAACTGTCGCAAGTTCGGATTTGTAGGTATCATTATCCTCAGATTGACATACTATTCTTGAGTCTGAAAACAGGAAGAATGGTTAGCATCGACACTTGCGCTTTGTTCTGGAAGAAACATGGAAACACATACCTCCGGTGGATTGCCTGCACCTCTAACCATCTTCTCCAGCATCATTATTCGAACCTTCTCCTTTGAGTCGCCCATACCGACAGACATGTAAGAAAGCAGTGGGTTGTGGCCGACGTAGGACGCGCAGCTGTCGCGGATGATGTTGGAGGTCCACTCGTACTTGGTAGTATCGGCGTGGCCGGTACCGATGTAGCGCGCCTGCAGCGCCTCGAGGTTCTGGAGAGTACGGAGCTTGTCGGCCATTTTGAAAGGTGGAAATTCCGATTGGGGTGTGTGGGCAAAGTGGATAGATAGAGGTCGGAGCCGGGGGAGAGTTATGATAATGGTTTGCACGTGACCGTATATTCAAGTCGCACTGGTCAACTGGTACATTGTCGAAACACCGAAACGTTTATGTAATAATTTTTCATATTCACACGTCCTATTTTTCTCTCATAGAACGCGTTCTTAGTCATATCTGAACCCGGGATTTAATCATCGAAGTGGGCTCCTTAGTACATATGTCTGAATTGACATGTACGACACAGCTGGCGTCAAGGATTGCTGTGTTGGTGCATGGGCATTTCGATGCCTTGCCCGCGCGCAGTAAACCAACTATTTTTCCCGATGGTTCGAGGGAGTGGATTCCCATGACGGGTATAGTAGCTGTTAAGGGTACGTATTAATACTCATTCATTTGCATGGTAAATAGTTTGAATTTCATAAATTTACTTTGAACATAGGTGAAAATACAGCTTCTGAAAGTTTACATTGCATCGCTATCACGCAAGTTTTATCCCTAGAGGCATAACTTTACATTGACTAATAAACCCAAAGGAGTGGAGCGAAATGTCTCTCAGCATCTCATATGCCACGTTGTCGGGGACTTGTTCTCCACGATTGCCATGCAGAAATCCTAGCCATTCGTGCCTTCAACTACTGGCTCTTGACGGAATGCCACGGTCTGATGTCCCAAGAAAAGGCCGAAACCAATGTTACACCTCCACAATCACCCTTTATTCGTAGGAGGGAGGTCAAAAATGAACATAAGAATTCATTGACATCAGTAAACTGGCCACTTTTCGAGCTCCAACCTGATGTTAGGCTGTATATGTATTGCACATGTGCGCCTTGCGGAGATGGTAGCATGGAACTATGCATGGGATCACAAGAAGATGCAACACCATGGGAGGTGAAGCGCCCACCGAAGCAAGATCCAGAAATACACGAAGGGGCAGTCCCAGCTGAGGATGATCTTCTTGATGGGCGAGCTCATTTTTCATTACTGGGAATTGTACGGCGTAAACCAGCACGAACAGATGCAGAGTCGACGCGCAGCAAGTCTTGTTCGGATAAACTAGCATTAAAGCAGGTCTCCTCTTTGCTCTCATGGCAGGCTGCCCATTTGATTGCCCCGACTGAAAATGCATATTTGGCTGGTCTCATTCTTCCAGAGGATGAGATTAGTAACATCGCATGCGAGAGAGCTTTTGGAGAGAACGGTCGTATGAAAGAGTTGAAGGGGCGTTCTTGGGATGGCGAGACCACTGAAAACTCATATGGGTATCGATTCCGTCCATTCGAGATTCTAGCTGTTTCTGCAAAAGAAACTGAGACGCGCTGGAAGTTTTCTAAGCCAAAGTCCACACCTTTGCCTGAACGGGCTGAGGCTGCCGAGAATTCTACCATACCGAAGAAGAGCAAGCCAGGAAGTGCAAGCGCGGTCTGGACAGCGGCACCGACATATTCACATATCTGTGATGTGTTATCAAACACTGGTAGTAAGCAGCTGCCTTCGCTTCGTCGTTCCAAGACCGGCCTCCATGAAACTATTATTGCAGGCGTGAAGCAAGGGCACAAAATTTCTACGGCTGTTGCGCGGGGTGCTTCGGCACTTTCCCGGGCAAGACTATGGGCTCTTTTGCAAAGCCTCCAGGCACTGGAAAGTAAAGTCCATGGTAGTCAGGAGCTGAGAACGCAACAAGTAGACACTACGAAAGGCGAAGCTCATGAAGGACCCCATCCACATCATCATAATCTTACGACTTATAAGGACCAAAAAGAGGCCCTACGTGAGCCATCTAATCCACTTCGAGTTCGCGAAGAAGCCATACGGGATGCTAGATTCATTCTCAAGGGATGGTCACGAAATGTGGGAGATGAGAACTGGAAGTTGGATGTTCTCATTGACCCAAAGAAGCGGAAACGATGAATAGTGAAAAAAAAGATAAATATTAAATTAAAATAGTAAGCTATGAGTGCCTAGCGATAGAATACTATAATGGAGGCGGGGTTTGTTTTCCTCGTGTTTAATTGCGGCATTGAATCGCATAATAATTGTACAGAGCCACCCTTTTTGATGTAAAATGAAGTTTTTGAGTCTGAAGCCAGGAGTGTCAGAGCTCCTATTCATTGGCTACCAGCAAGAAAGGCCATAGAAAGTTCGTGTCTTGCCTAGTAGATTCCGGGGATGATCCGGCTGCGGACCAAGGAAGTATAACGATCCCAGTCGGCGCCATACTTCTTCTTGCACTTCTCCTCGTCACGCATCTCGCGATGAATCAACAAGACACCGAAGTAAAGCATATAGAAGTACGTAAGGACCATTCCCCAGCCGCGAACCTCCGGGGTCTGCACAGCCTGCTTCTGCAGAACACCAGTGACCGGGTTAACGGCTTCAATCATGGCATAGCCAGCAATCCCGGTAGGGAGACAGTACGCCCAAGACATAGTCCAGTCTCCCAGGTAGTTGATGTGACGCGCCATACCCCACCAGCCGGAGGTCATCAACTTAGACCCACTGGCGGTTTCAATGAACTTGATGTGCTTCACGCGAGGGTCATTGGGATCAGTACGGAATCGGTTCTTTTGGTTGTTAGCACCACGGAAGATAGAGTATCCAATGGCAGTAACAGCTAGAACAAGAGCGATGCCTGACCAACCCAGCTGGAGAGGGAAGATGGAAAGATAGCGGCTTTGGATGCTGTAGACATGAGGGACCCAGACCACATCGCCGAAGGATAACATGAAGCCGAATCCATCCATGATAACATCCATAGTGGTCATGATCGCAGGCTCCATGTAAAGTGCGTCTAGGATGTAGAAGCCCTGGAAAATGGTGACCAGGATTATTGAGTCGGTGATGTAGCCGTGGGTACGGTACTGATGAGCAACGTTGGACAAGTTCAAGATTGTCCATCCGAGCAGACCTGGGCGCATCTCCATAAACACCTTGATATCAATGGTGCGCGATGCCTCACTGACAAATGGAATAGGCAGTTTGACACGAGGGTTGAGCTCGCGACCAATGAAGAAGTCATAGAGGACATTGTCGGTGTGGCCGCCAGGGGCTAGCTCTCGGGAGGTAGGGTTGGCCGTGCCAGGTCTAGGGACTGAAAAGCTCTTGGCGTAAACGAACAGTGCGATTGACGAAGAGATGATGAGGTTTGCGGTAATGACTTGGATGTAGTTGCCCCACAGGAAGGTCCACACCACGAAATCAGCACCAGAAATATAGGTACCAGTGGCCAGACCGGTGAGGATAATGAGAGCAGATGGGAATGCTAATCAAAAAGGTGACAGTTAGCATATGCGACAGGCTCATTGGTTTAGTTTGAACTTGTTCATACCATTGAACTTATATTTCAGTCTGCCCCCGCAGCCCAGGGGAACGCCTTCCGCAACTTGGCCAGGCAGGAAGATCTGCAAGAACAAGCTGAAGGCATAGTAGCTCAAAGTCCACAATGTCACTTGCGCATCAAAGAGTCCTGTAATACCCTCTTCCGGCCATCCCACATCTTGTTTCAATTGATCGAGGGTCAAGGTTGAGGGACTGAGGAGCGAGGGGGCGGGGCACCCTGTCACATCATTGCAGACGAAGGCGAAGACATAAACGAGAATTGGCAGTCCGAAGACAATTCCGAAGGCACCTAGACTATTATATAAGTCAGCACAAGCCATTGGCATTGTCATCCAGGTGTAAACCTACGGTCCACCGAATTCATAACCGCGCTTTTCGGGAACTGGTTGGACTCCGGCTTGCGACTTGGAAAGCTTTTTAGGAGCCATATTGGCAATATGGGGTGGTGAAAAGGTAGATCGAATAGAACAATGAACCCTGAACTAATCCCAAAGCTGGAGGGGGAGAATCAGCGAATAAATAGACGCGGATATCAAATCTTTTTTTCTGCCAAGTCGCGTACGATGTCGGATGCCATGCTCCCGCCTGTTTCTCCGCATCCCGTCCGTGCTTGGTAGTTTGGAGCTGCAGGTGATGCAACGTAAGCAACTAGCATCTCGTTTCAGGCTTCAACCTCTCCACTCCAAACCCCCTTCTCCTATTCAACAATCCACTACGTCTCCCCACATCAATCGAGAGCTGGTCTCCCAATCAATTACTTATTCAGAAATAGACATTTATTTCGTTCTTTATTTGTTATTGATCCCTTCTGTCAAGTCTTCGCGAAGACTTGGCAATTCCTTCGTTACCATGAAACTCTCTAATTCCGCTCCTTACTCGCTTTTCTTCTTATCGTCCATTTTGGGACTATCCTATGCCGCCGGGGGCTCTTCTCATCTGAACGATGAATCGCCATGTGTTGCTCATTCACCCGCTAGCGGTCTCTATTACGATCTGAACCCTATCTCATTATCTCCACCAGAAATGAAGAATGGCAAGAAAATATCGCCGGACGATCGCGATGAAAGCTGGACAGCTAAGGGGCATGACTACCCCGCCAATTTCACATTGAATGTATGCGCTCCAGTGATGGAGAACTTTACAACAGTGGAGGGCGTGCCGTCGTCGCGATGGTCGAATATCAGCGCGTTCTACGAACAACATGGAAAGATATATTCAATGGGGTACGTCGGCTTTTCGGGATAATTATATCCCATGCAGAGCGCTAACATATATTCTTTTTCCTGCACGATAGTGAACAAGCCTCTGAACCATTCTTCCGCGGCCGCAAACTCGTCCTCAATTATACGAACGGCTCTCCTTGTACCGATGACTACAACGGTGCTGGTTCAAACGCCTCCATTCGGACCAAGTCTACACTGATGTCCTTCCTTTGCGATCGCGATGCTCCACAGAACCAGGCAACTGTGTCTTTTGTCGGTACCATGGACTCCTGCTCATACTATTTCGAAGTTCGCAGCTCTGCTGCATGTGGTGGAATTGCCGTGGATCCCAATTCTGGTGGAATGGGCCCCGCAGGCGTATTTGGAGTGATGTAGGGACCCTCTTGCAAATTCGATCGCGACCCCGGAAAAGAATACCCGCTAATATGTGAACTTTCAGTATGCTCATTGCTGTGGCCGTCTACCTGGTCGGTGGCTGTGCTTACCAACGCACCGTTATGCACCAACGCGGCTGGCGTCAATGTCCTAACTTCAGCTTGTGGGCTGGCATGTTCGACTTTGTCAAGGTATGTCTATTGGCTTTAGTTCCCTGTCGGTCTCCAAGGTCTAGATACGGTGATTTGGGGCCTACGCACCAGTACAAAGGTTCCAGTGGCTTGCCTGTTTCTCGCCTAGATTAAAGGTCCCCCAGCTGGTCTGGCGGTCACACGTGTGGCGCAAAAGTGATTGCGATTGGTCTTTCCGTCGCTATTTATCTAAAAGCTGGTCTTGTCTTTATCTTTCGCCTACCAATTGGCCCGCAGTGCGGCTTTTTTTGTTGTTGGCCGATTGTCTCCTTTATTCCTTGTGTTGATCGCAGAATGTATATTTGTCATGAGGTCAAAGCAAGATGCCATGGGTCTGTTACATTTCAGATGAACTGAATTTTCCTACTTGGTGCTGTGATGGACATTGGATGCAACATAGATAGTCATCGCTCCAAGAAGTCGATTTCCTGCGTACGCCACTTTTTGCTCTATCCATGACCAGAGACTTGATCGTTCTTATTCGTTGCTGGATGCATTGTCAATTTAATGATGTGCTAATCTTTTCATCTCTGGAAACAGGACATGTTTATCATAGTTTTCTCATCCTTGGGCAATTGCCTTCGTCTCAGAGGCTCGCCATCCCGTGAAGGCTACACCCGTGCTGGATCTGATAGCCGAGGGGGCTTTATCGGTGCAATTGGTGGCCGGAGAGGCGGAGGATCTGGTGGTCGAGGCGATGTCGATGCCGAAAACCGCTTGATAGATCAGCTGGATGAAGAGTGGGATGATTAAGACTCCAATCTTTCATAGCTGTTTAGCAATTGAGGGCAAAGATTCCTCGGTAATAGAAAAAACTCTCTAGTAATCATCGATCTGTCTAAAACCAAATACATTGAATGTGCCGGAACAATAGACGGGTTCCAGTCTAACCGCAATATAGTATGATCGGTATGCATGTGTGTGATATTGCCAACTCGAAGTTAAGCTTCAATCCTGCTATCTGGATATACTATATCTTCGGGATATGATTTTTCTTCCTTTTTAAATGACTTTACTAGTATAATCTAAAATATTTGGACCATAAAAGTTTCTCCATTTGCATTTCCACTTCAAGTTGTTTTTTCTATCGATGTAGAGCTTATAGTACAGGTAGCGGTGTAATAGACGTTAGATGTTATCTAGTATGGGCAAGTGGGCTTTTTTCTCGATGATCGCTATGAGCCCCCGTACTTGCGCAGAGTATACTCTAGGGTTTAGTTCCATTAAAGCTTGGTTTACCAACGGCATCTTGCTATCTCAGCCCACCCATGCAACTCTGGGCAATCACAACGTTGATACCCAATATTGTATTGTTCTTATCCATGCACCCAGAAGTACTGAATCCAGGGAGAGTCGAATTTATTGGGGCTCGAAGGGTGGGGAGAGAGGATATCAATGAAACATTTCGCTAACTGCAGATACAAATGAAATGAAGTGAAAACCCTGATACATAATTCTTCTTTCCGAGGAAATGCACCCATAACCAACGAACTTTTAAAACTCGTCTGGATAACTTCATCTCCATCTACTCTACAGCAAACCAGCCAGGGACAATTCATCCTCCGGTTCCTCGTTGGCGGACTCCTCGAATTCCAGCTCGACATCGATACAATCATCATCTTTTATGATGCCTTTAGCCTCAAAGATGCGCTCAGCCTCGTCAAACCGGTCGAAGAAATTTCCAAGTCCACTTTTGGTGAAACAACTCGCCTCTTCCGAATCCACGCCGTGCGGAAGCCAGAATCCAAAGGTGTTATTGTTCGGTTGAAGTTTGCCATCTGTTGTCAAGGATCCTTCTCGATCTAGAGGCTTCTGCTTAAAATTGAACTGTGGGTATCGGGCTTGTATCATATCAAATTTAGATCGATCAACCTTTCCGAGGAACTCGCTGTCAATGATGGTTTGCAATATTTCGGAGTAGTCACGGCCACTTCTCGCAATTACGGTCGCAAGCCTAGTCAGTCACGATAAAGTTAGTCAAACCTGGAATCAATAATGAGCTGAAATTTATTGTATAAGATGCTAGTAGGGACCTGCGCGTGAACGCGGAAAGAGCAGCTTACCATTCGACATCTACAGACCAATCGCTGGACTGCAGTGCGATCTCTCCTAGCAAGGCCATCTTTGAATTGCCATAAATATTTGAAAAGCAGCCCAACAAAAGGGTGAACATTCCGGTACTCTCAGATATCGACAGAAGGTCCATAGGATGCACCAGGGAGCTTGAATCCACCCAACCCACGCTTGGCAAGCATTAAGTACACACCACAAGCCGTGGATTGCCGACGAGCTCTACATGATCAATAGGCGAGGGCCCTGCATTAATTGAATAGGTAAAAATATAGTTGGGGCCCGTGGCCATAAGACCGTCACCGCCAGGGCGCATCTGAAAAGCCGGCAGCCAGAGCTTCTTATCGGCTGTAATCCACATGAGATCGGTCCAGAGAAGCTTGTCGCTATGAAAGAGGATACTGCAGTGGCCAGATGGGGTTATCTTCCAAATGGCAAGCATGTTGGTATCGCTAGCGTAAATATTTCCATCAGCGTCGATAGTAGTACCCCCAGTGGAAGGTGTCAGGGCAAAAGGCTCGGCATAGGCTCCAAGAGTTGCAGCCATGGTAGCATTGGTTAAGACAGAGTCGACATAGGATGTCTTGATACGGTGCATACCACCATTACAGGGTTGGTAGTATAGATAAGTGCCATCGGGGGAGACCTCAATTTGATCTAGACCAGCTGTCGACACACTTCCTGGGCCAACGCTACCAGGAACCAGTGTACCATTGTACATAATCGGAAATAAGGCTTCAGCCGTGGTGGAATTTGTCAGAACACGGACATTATGCCCTGTTGTCAAGTTGAGTACAATGAGAGCACCTGCTATGTCGCTAAGATATGCGATCTCTCCCGAAGCGCTAAAGCGGACATCATCAAGTCCACGGTCGATGGCTTGTGTATCGTCCAGGTAGTAGAGTTTATCAACAGCATTCGTGGTCAAATTCACGCCGACAAGTTTTGCTGAACCGTTTATACCAGTTGCCCCGCCGTCGACTCTACCCAGTAGCGACCATCCGGACCAAGGCGCGCACCGTCAACGTTGACAAAGGTTGTAAGAGGAATCGACTTAGGATCGCTCGAGTTATATGAATTCCATTCCGTGTTGGGGTACAACACTGTAGAATTGTCGTCGCGAAGCTCCACGATTTGGGGTGCGGCCATTGTGGAGTAGCGTTGTGACAGGAACTTGCGTCCGTTTCCAGAGATACTGATGCCCTGTGTAGCTCGCTTTAACGAATAGGCCACTTCGAGCCCGAGCACAGATGCAGATGTGGCATTTGCGACGGAGAGAGCGAAAATGCTCAACAGTCCTAAAGAATAGACCAAATCTCATTTTATTATTATTGATATTCCGATTCAATGAAAATAAAGTTGTGAGATTGTCTACAGCCAGACATAAAACACGACATTTTATACCACTGGGAAAGCCCCCACTCCGCTCAGTATTCGTCTGACTTGAGAAAAGCACGGTCCAAACACGTAATTAATGGGCTTAACGAAGGGTGTTTTCTCAATCTGGCTTAGCTATGGCCCAAGGATCGACGAGGTAAAGAATTTATCCGTCAAGAAAATTGCAACTCTATAGAAACACCACAAGAATCGAGCAGGTAAAGGATCAAGCCACGCTGACTTCTTCAAGTATACAGTTTCAACTACACACCGATTGAGCGATTTTGGAGTAAGCCCCAAGAGCCCAGTATGAGTCGGGACTAGTCTCCGCAACTGATCTGCAGGTCTACACCCAGGAGCGAAAATCGGCTTCTCCGTAAACCTCCGCCGGCCCAACATTTGAAATTTACTTGTTGAAGAACAAGCTTATTTTGCCATTAGGTCTCGAAGTATATGAACAGGCAGAGCTCGGAGTCTTTTCAAATTGGGTTTAATCTGTGGACCAAATGCCGTTACAATTGATATCGAAATACTAGTCTAATGCACCAGATACTAGTATATACATGTAGTAGCTGTTTCGAGGTTCTCTAAAGTCTCGAAAATGTAGATATTTTGCATTTTTTTTCCTCAGTTTGATTTCCTGCGGCTCTTCCCCTCGAATTTCATAGTGTGGTGCCTTACTGGCTGGTGCCTTGCTTTGGACACCGCTACGGGCGACGGTAGCATGTACACCGCGTCGCTACGGGTCAATACGCGTCTAACTTTCACTGCGAACTTGATAATTCCAGGAGTTAAAAAACAACTCGCTGGGCCAGCACTGATTGAGAACCTGATGCCTGGGGAATATTTATTTCTATAGAATCCACGCCGCAGATGCTCTCATCATGGGCGGAAGTTAGTCATGGGTTGGCGACTTTGCTCCCTGACGCTCGCAGCCCAGAGCCAATTAAACTGCTCCGTTTCAGAATCGACCAGATTGCCTTCACCTCCACGTGATAACGCAGGGTGAGGGCTCGTGGATAAACGATATTTCTTTGGCCCAGAAGGATTGCTTGAAACATCGCTCAGTGATTGGGAAGCAAGGCGCTTCCCGGAGCGCTGCGGCCGGATGCATGATTCCCATATCCCTTGCATATGCAGCAAAAAGCTTTGAGCCCTTTTCGCGCTCTCCCACGATGATCCAAATTCCTCAAGGGCCCTGAAACATACATGCAAATGGGCAACAGTGTCATCAGAGTCGTCACGGCCACGGAGAACCAATGCAAATATAAGCATCAGTGCTGCTGAACAGGTGATCGCCACAGCTTGAATATTCATGCGGCGAAAGGTGTAGTGTGATTCGTATATACGGAGAAGTCTAGCAATTGCAATTGCTGAATCAATGCACATTTTCCGTGCATGGCTAGATCCTGGTCCCCTAGGAGGTTGTGGCTGAATTGATTCTGTTGACATCCAAGGCCGATGTGCATGGATGATGGCTTGGTGATAATGCATGCTAGATTTTAATCAGACATTTGTACTTTGGGGGGGGGGAGTCCTAGCCATGGAGAGGAGACATACTGGAGTAAAAGTAAATGGGGAAGATAAGGTGTTTGTAAATCATCAGCTTTGACCTGTAGAGGTGCCGGAAGACTGGTCATCCAGTGCACAAGTCTACTGGTTGTTTCTTCATTCAAGGCTTGAAGCTCCTCTTTCAAGATCTTCGAACTTCCATATCTGCTGACATGTCAATCATGGCCATTCCGGAGATTTTCCTTTGGGGTCACTTACAGCACATGGCCCAACGGTGTCATAATATGACAAAGCCAGACACGGTATTGGCTGATGAGTGTAACAGGGTTCGGAATAGTCACATTTTGTAAAATTTCAACTGGATATGGCAGGCCGTAGGGATTCCACCTTTCTGACTGTGCCCAAGTCGGGTCGTGACCAGGCATCTCCACTGTGACATCTTCGACGCTGATTCGGGAAGGGCGACCGAGAAGAAAGCCCCAATGACTATTTATCATATTAGTACTACAAAAGATAAGGTATATGGACGCGAATTCTCTCTCACTGATCCAGATTATAGGCCCCCCAGAAGACCATGCGGCGTAACGCGGCGGCAGCTGGGCTGAACGATCCATCAGCTACATGGGATGACATGTCAATATGCAAGCCAAGATCAAAGGCGAGACGCATGGCCATTCCTGTAGATAAAAAAAATGTAAGTGATCTAAAACGTAAAATTGCGAATGGCCTTTCTATACTGACCACTGTAAAGCCACCCTCGTGAATCCCGTTTGCATCCAATATCATGACCGCTGAGAACAACCATAGCTTGTATGGTAGCTACAGATGGAGAATCGAGCTCTATATCCAGAAGCGCCTTTGCACGATCTGCAAAGAAATCGGCTACTGACTTCGGGTATGTGATGAATTCTGGATGATAGCGAGGTTCAAACGCTGCCCCGAGACAGCACCTAACAAAAGTCAATTGTCATGAACAAGAGAACTTCTGTTTTTTTGTTGACTCATTCAGTACTCACATGGCATTTGTGAGAGCCTCGGAATAGTATGGTGTGTCTTCCATATGATCTTGCCATTGTTGCCTTGCCATTTGATACATCCCCCTGTCAACAACATCGATCGCTGGATTTTGCCACGTGAAATATAAGTTGAGCAAGTGGTTCTCGAGCTCTTTCGGAACATGCTTCCCAATGCTTAGACGGTTCAAAATATCCTGGCCATCCTTTCTGACAGTACGATGCACAGTCAAATTATCCGGCGTGGGCATCCGCAGCAAATTAAAGTGTGATGTCGGTCCATAGTACCGGACGTTGCCATCGGTGCCGATCTGAAGACTTCCCATTCTGTTTGACAGTCGGTGAACGATATCCTCCATTTCGCTACCGTCGTTAAAATCTGTACATGTATGATCAGCACGCGGGGATACTGTGTCGCTACGCATGCTGGGTTTCGAAGTCTTTCGTGACCAAGATGCACCAAAGATCTGATTCTCGCGATCTACTTGGACACCGTTGGCGTTAGCACAGTTATTAGGGCTTCCACTACCGGGAAATTGCTCTTTTGCGACTGTCTCTGAACATTTCACTAGATTGACAGGCGATGAATTATCCAGTAATTCGAATGAACCATCAGAAGCAGCCCCATGAGAAGATGCTGTATCAGATGGATGTAGATCAGGTTGATTTTCAATGTTAGATATGAAAGGCTGTATCAACAGATTCATGTCAGGGTCCAGTTCTCCGATGTCCACGTCATAATTAGGGACCTCATCGATTAAATTAGTTTGAATATTGCCAGGATGGTCGGAATCTGACGGATGTCTCTCTTTTGTCTCGATAGCTTCTAGTGCCATCTTTATATGGCCGAGGCCTAGCGTCTCTAATGCGTTTTTCAAAGCTGTATCATTTTCGTTGAACATCGGTGGAGGAGAGAGCCCTTCGTCAACGATAAACTGAAATAGCTCATCTACTCTATTGACGAGCAAATCCACAACAAAACGAAGTGATATTCTAAAATCAATTAGTCGATCAATTCCATCTCGGCAACGATCCAAATGAAACACGAATGCCAGTGAGACATACTTCCGTTTATCAGATCCAATTTGGTATTTACATTCCCGCATTTTATTTTCGCAGTTTGAGCAGGCCGGTCGCGCTCCATCGCACTGTATACAATAATCAGCTCAAATGTTCAATATTCAAGTTTTTTTTTTTTTGTAAAATTGAGCCCGCGCTCGCATAAACCTGCTGGGAAACGAATTCCGACCTTTACTTTGCTCTCTCGGCAAGCATCACAGGCTGTCGTGACATATTTCCTCTTAGGAGGGGTTATTGACGGTGGCATGTTAATTTATAACTATGATTTAGTTGAATAGAAGAAATTCATTCCAGCGCAAAGAGATAATAAGAAGTTCTCAAATACTTGACGCGCAGATGTGCAGGACCTGGTACCATGGACAAGCTTTAAGTGTACCAATCACGGGCCATAAATTAATGCGGGGTTCGGAATTCGAATGCCGTAGCGCTGGAGATCGATGAAAACAAATCCCCCGTTTTTGGTAACGGGTGGGTAACCTCATTCAACTAACTTGAAGGTTACGGAAATAAAGGATCAGGATTATGCGAGACTGTATTAGAAGTTCTTCAATTATGGGATAATTTTGTAGATTTCTCTAATAGTCCAAATCACAGCGCAATGACTGTAGAAATTCATTTGGTTTTTTGCAGTGTTTCTCAAATAGAATTACTTGTACGGCAGAAAGGATCCCTGAACCAATCAAGATAAATAAATACTGTTTTGAAGAAAATGACAGAATTCTTAACTTAAATTGACATGTAAGTTGATTTACTTAATAAAAAAATGCTGGTCGGCTTTCCACGAATAAATACAAGATGGAATCAGACTATACAGAAACCTAGCCATGGGCAGGCCTTGGCCTCCAACGTAGGGGATATTGAAGCCTAGGCTGGAAGGGTGACCTGTTGGCTAGCAGGAGTACGTCTTAAGCCAGCTGTAATTTCGGCCCGTCTTTCAGCCTCCTCTAAAGTACTCTTATCTTTAAAAACGGAGTCCATCTGCTCCAAAGTACGTCCATTCGTCTCTGGAACAAGGAAGTACACCCAGACGAGGGCAATACCGCAGAAGCAACAGAAGAAGATGTAGGTGCCGTAACGGATATTTTGAATCATCGGGGGTGTGATCAGGCCCTATATTTATTAGTAATTTATTTTTTAATAGCGAAGCGTAAAAATGATCACTTACAATGATGAAGTTATTACCCCAGTTGGACATGGTTCCGAACGCACATCCTTTAGCGCGGAGGGAGGAGGGAAAGATTTCCGCGGGCATCGCCCATGGAATGGGACCCCAGGTAGCTCCGAATGTCAACATAAAAAAGAGAAGAAAAGCCACACATACCCAGCCGGCCGCTTTATGCTCAGGCCAGTTATCTTCATATTTCCCAACAAGAATAGCAATGATCAAGTGGGCAATAAACATGCATACTGCGCCTCCCAATAGGAGCTTGCGGCGACCGAAGCGATCCATACCCCACAAAGACCAGATGCAGGCGACGACCTGGCAAATATTCATGATACCTGACATAGTCAATTGCATCTCGTAATCCAATCCCATGCTTTCGAAAAGACTTGGCGAATAGTACTTGAAAATTGTTAGCGAAAGAAAATAAGGTTGGCCTTGCAGTGACTTACAATGAGAGCATTGATCCCGACAAATTGTTGAAAGAACATCAAGCCTACTGCCACTTGGGTTCGCTTGTAGATTGGCATTTTCCAACAGTCGACATAAAGCATGATCTGTAACTTGAAAGCATTCCACAAACCAGGCTGCATAAGGTATGGATGCTTTTTGCTGGAGGCCTCCTTCTGGTATGCGCACTCGGCTCTAATTTCGAGCCATTCTTCCAATACTCGCTCATCAGTGGTAGGATGCTCTCGAACTTTGGCAAGGGTCTCAAGAGCCTCTTCGTCTCGACCCTGCTGGCATAGCCATCGAGGTGAATACGGAAGCAGAAAAACACCACAGCACATGATCACCGCTGGAACTAGCTGAATCAAAAACGGAAGACGCCAGCTCCAAAATCCTTGAATATATCGTGTACCATAAGTGATGTAGTACGCTATGACGATACCTGTGACGATACAAAGCTCCTGAAGGACTAAAAGAGTACCTCGGATCTCAGGGGGTGCAATCTCGCCAATGTAGAGAGGTGCAACCATAGCAAGCCTAGTCCCAATTAGTCAAATCCGCAAGGGAGGGAATAAATTCGCTCATACATTCCTACTCCAATACCTCCAACAAATCGTGCCCCGGTAAGCATACCAAACGAGTTTGCTCCAGTCTGTAGCGCGCCACCAAGCAGGAAGACACAACCACCTGCAAAGATACTCCATTTCCGAGAGATCTTGTCAGCAATCCAGCCTTGATTCATAGCACCTATTATAAAATGTTAGTTCTGCTTCGACGATAACAAAGAGAGTTGGGTCTAGCTACCAACGAAAGCTCCAAGCTCAAGAACGGCGGTCATCAGCCCCTTCTTGAAACCTGACCCTGACGCATCTGCAGAAACTTCAGGGAAAGAATCCAGAAACTGTGGCATAACCAGTGTGATAGAAACCACTCCTTGGTCGTAGCCGAAAAGTAGACCACCTAGAGTCGCGAGAAGAGCACACCCAAAAACATATTTGGAGGCAAAAAGACCCGAAATTCCACTCTTAGTGTATGTGCGTCGCAATTCCCAGACTGGTGCCTGGCCATCCGAGTTCGCCGACACAGTAGAGCTCCGGCGAATTTCGTCTGCAGGAATTTCCCCGAGATTGATTGAGGAATTTTCTTCCTGAACCGGCTTGTCTTTCTCCATCTTGAGAGAGTGATATGAGGTGGTGCCTGTTGTTTGTGGTTGGGAATGTCGTGAGATGGGCGAGGTAGAGAATACAAATGCCAATGATGTCGTGCCGCTAGAAGATATACCCCGTGGGGAACTTGAATAATGCGGGGAGATGGATGATCGAAGAAACTTGGAATATGGATTCCGGGGTAATTTAGCTTTGGAGTGGCGGCTGAACTTAAATTGTTTTCTGACAAGGGTCTTTGTGGCAATATGTTTCCGTTTCGGAATGGAATTCCATAGAGTTGGTCTCCCGCAATTGAGTGAGACATATGGCTGCCTCTTCAAGGACTATCTCCGCGAAGGAAGCATGGCCCCAGGAATGCTCGCGCACTAATTCCAAGTTGCGGGGCTGGAAACATCACATTAAGTTTACCAGCAAGGAAGATTGCTATGAGGGATGACTAGATTCAGTTTTCGACGGACATTTCTAGCGAGCTGGTACTAGTAGTGAATGGAAATAGCCAAGTGTGTAACATTTCAGTACAATTGATTTTAATTTCACCTTGAAGGTATGCAAACTTTGAACATGTCAGACCAATTTATATTTGCTTTGGACTCTACCTAGTACTAGTACTAGGTATCGTCACTTTGTCATAGTATGTAAGACTCGGAGTACCTAGGAGCTTTGGAATCACCAATTTCCAACAGTAATGCTCTTGACGTTCTGGTACTCTGACAGACCCAAAGCGCTGCCCTCTATTCCATAGCCACTTTCTTTGACTCCTCCAAATGGTGCTTCAGCGGCGCTGATCTTTCCAGTATTGGCTCCAACCATGCCAACTTGCATCCTTTGAGAAACGCGCATTACTCGACTCACATCTTTGGAGAAGAAGTAACCGGCAAGGCCAAACTCAGTGTCGTTGGCCAGAGAAATCACTTCATCTTCGCTCTCAAACTCAATTATAGGCGCAAGAGGCCCGAAAGTCTCCTCTTTGCTCACAATCATGTTCGGTCGGACACCAGAAATAACGGTGGGCTGGAATAAGAAACCTGGAGATGAAACACTGTTTCCACCTGTCTCCACCCTTGCCCCCTTGGAAATTGCATCTGTTATATGTTCTGCGACCTTGTCTACCGCCGCTTTATTCACAAGTGGTCCTTGGGTAGTGGATGGATCAAGTCCAGGTCCAGGCTTGAGGGCTGCCACCTTTTCACAAAGCTTTGCAGTGAACTCCTTTACAATGCCCTTTTGCACATATAATCTGTTGGCACTGTAATGAAGTTAGAGCCATGGGTCTCCTTAAGTGATTGTTCAGATTGAATAACATACCATACGCAGGTCTGTCCAGAGCAACGGAATTTGCAGAACATCGCTCCTTCAACCGCGAGATCCACGTCGGCATCGTCAAAGACGATGAAAGGTGCATTGCCTCCAAGCTCCATACTGACGCGTTTCAAAGTGCCAGCGGCAAGCTTGGCTAGCATCTTTCCAACGTTGGTTGATCCAGTGAAACTGATTTTGCGGACGAGAGCATTTGTTGCAAGTTCGGTGGCAGCCTCACGGTTCTTGGTCGGGCACACTTGGATCAGAGCTGGAGGAATGCCAGCCTGTACTGCTAGCTTGGTCAGAGCCAAGCAAGTGTACGGTGTTTCGCTTGGTGGCTTGATGACGACCGAGCATCCGGCAGCAAGTGCTGGTGCAACTTTGCGTGTAATCATGGCAGCAGGGAAATTCCATGGGGTTATAATGCCACACACTCCGACGGGCTCGCGGATCGTCATCAATGTGGTTCGGGGTGTCGATGATGGTATAGTCATTCCGTAGGCACGTGTAGCTTCCTCGGCAAACCAGGCAATAAAACTTGCGGCATATGTAACCTCACCCAAAGCCTCAGCATATGTCTTGCCGTTCTCGAGGCACAGAATTGTGGCCACTTTATTTGTGAGAAAGCGTGATTAGCCTGATATAGCTATGTCTTTGATTGACCAGATATAGTATCTTACCATCTTCTTTGTTCGCAATAATCAAATCATTCCATTTGCGAAGTAGAGCGCCTCGGGCGGCTCCCGTTGTCGTGGAGAAAAAAATGGGTTGGATCTCGTCGGCGCTTTGAATGGCTCGTTGGAAATCTTCCAGGTCACAGTTGGCCACTTGGCCCAGCACTGCACCTGTCGATGGCTCTAGAGAAAGTATGAGCAAAGCTCGTGTGTGAAATGTGTAAACTATGGGAGCACGGACCGTAGACGTCGAATGTTTTCTCTTTGCCTGTCCATTTTCCATCGATGAAGGCCTCCGTAATGAACAGGGAGCGATCTTGAAGCTGAAGATCCAAATATATTAGAGTAAATCTCTTTTTCTCAGAAAAGCCAAAAAGTCTTACCTTGCTGAGAGCTTGTTCGTGATAAACAGTCGTGGAACCCATTGTGATTTGTTGATGTATTGAACAATGAAGGACAACCTCTGGAATGTTGAAAAATACACTTTTCCCCGCGCGTTAATTGTACTAATTATTATACGTTGTATCTATCTGAAACTTGAATCCGACTCGGAATGAGACTTCTACTCCACGGACTTTGATTTGCGTGAATATTTGCTTATGCTCGGCATGGTGAATAGTATCGGATGGGAATTCCGTGCGGGGCCGAGCCAAGACTTCAGGATGTTCAAGGATCAGCCACATTTATCAACATTCCCATCAATTTCCACTAGCTCCAATTATCTAAGTGAATGGAAACTGATCTCCATCTATTCCATGAGAGACAGAGCAAACCGGCCAAGCAGTTTAAAGCCGATTGAAAGAGTTTGCCCTATTGGTAAAACCACACTTCCAACAAGCAAAATTATACACTAGCTCTGTCAAGTTCTAAATTTGTTTCGTCTGGACAGAAAGATATTGCAAAAATCTGCATTTTGGGTCTGCAATGAATATCTAAATTGATAATTCTTTCTCAAACATTCCCCAATTATTTTGAATACTATCCCAACAGCCTAGATATAACTACACCAAGTTTACTATTTGGTGGAATAGATAAATATGCTTGATTTATAGACATCTCATGCATAATATAGAGACTTTCTAATCGAAGTATCGACCCTTTGGCCGTACTCATTCAACTTGGTCATAGTGAATGTTCTATAAATTAAATTCCTTAATATTCCTCAGGGCAGCATGATACACTGTATGGGGGTGACGGAACCTAGAAATTCAGTGTATTGATTTTCTTCACTAAGGGAGAGAAAGACTATGATTATCTTTGTAGCGCTCGCTACAACCCATGGGATTACCTAGACAAGATATCAGCAAGTTGTCCACAACTTTTGCCAGGGGGCGACTCGTAATGCAGAGTCTTGAACACTGGTCTTGTTGGATTATTTGTTGGGCAGATAAAGAATCGTAGAGAAAAAAAGCAAACTTAGAGCCGACACGTGTTAAAAATAATTTAACACCAGGTCCAAAATAGTATATGCAGGGAGGGAAATCTGAAATGGAAAAAAATCTTTATATTTATGACAGGTAATGGATCAAACCGCAGTATTATTGGAATCAAGTACACAATGGCGCCAGGAAAAGAACAGTGACTCCGAAAAGAGAAACAAGCCAATAAATAAGAAAACTGGCAAAACAGTGGTCCGCGGTGAACCATCCCCAGGTTGATTTAAGCCTGGATGTATTGGTTGAACCACGATTTTACCACGGCCGGTAAATTTTGGATGACAGCGGGGATCGTTTTTGCGACCGACGGTCGAGAAGCAACAGCAACCACAAAGAGGCTCAGTAAAGCCTGGGTGAGAGGTGAAAGGCATCTGATGAGCCTACGGACGCGGTAGAAGGGCCAAAACATGCTGCCACCGATCATGTTAAACGCAGACCAATCTGGGAACAATGTCCGCATCCAGTAGGAACGTGCAAATCCAGGCCACGATGCGGCATTGCGGCCGAATTTACCAATGTACCAGTTTGAGCAGTCACCAGCGAATACTGTGCTAACCAGCTCCGCATGAATTGCATTTGTCTCTCTGTCCTCTGCCGCCTGCTTCACTTCCAATATACTGACACGACGGTCAATCAGAGGCTTGAAAAGTGACTCCACAGCGTAAGCCACCTGTGTCTCGACAGCAAAAAGCGCGGAGTTGTTTGCGGGGAATGTGTTGGGTCCAAATATAATTGCTAGATTGGGGAAGTTGTGCACATGTGTGCCCAAGTAGGCCTGAGCACCACGGCACTCGTCCCACTGCTTTTGAAGGTATTCACCATTTGCGCCTTTAATCTGCATGGGGGTTAGGAACTTGGCGACCTGGAAACCAGTGGCCAAAACGATGATGTCAAAGTCGTCGTTAATTCCAGAGCTGCTGATAATACCCGTTTCAGTCATCTCCTGAATACCTTCGGGTAGGAGTTCGACGTTGGAACGATTCAGAGACTCGAGGTAGTCTGGGTCAAAGATGCGGCGCTTGCAACCTAGTGGGAAAGTGGGGATAATGTGCTTCCAATACTTTTTAGGTGCAATGGAGCGAATGTATTTCTTGGATTCTTCCTCCACGGCAAGTCGCGCCTTCTGACCCTTGGGAGTCGGGAAGTAAGTGGTCGTTTCCTCATCCGCGGCAAGGAAAATCTGCAAGCGAAGCAAACGCTGTCGAAGGGGCATCCAGCGAAAGATAAACTTCTCCATCTCAGAGTAGACATGGTTGGGACGAGCATGGAACCATTGACCACTGCGGGCATATTGCTTGACAAAGCCGGCATCCTTTGCGATCGCAGGAACAACCTGAGCAGCACTGCATCCATTTCCAATTACTGCAACGCGCTTTCCCTTATAATCCACAGAATGATCCCAGCGAGCAGTGTGGAACATGGGCGAATTAAATTTCTCCATGCCGGGAAACTTCACATCACGAGGAAATGAGATAGCCCCAACAGCAGACACAAAGACCGAAGCGTAACGCACATACTCCAGACCAGTTTGGATATCCTTCAGATGGACCTCCCATTTGGACTTGTCACTATGCCATGTAGCACCAATACATTCAACTGAGGTCTGTACATGTCGGCGTAGGTCGAATTTGTCAACGGTATCGTCCATGTCTAAAGCCGCGATCAGTCAGTAAATTATCCATTTTTGGGACTAGATTGGGGGCGGGGCTGACACTGAAGGATCTCAGGTTGCTCACAGAGCTCCTTGGACCAGTTTGGATTCAGGTTGAAGCTGAAAGAATATAGATGGGAAGGTAAATCGCAACCACTAAGTTGTCAAGTTAGTATTGGCTCGAAATAGAAATACAACGGGCTTCGCATACCATCCAGGGTATGTGTTGGTTCTCCAGGTACCTCCAACACCATCCAGCTTTTCATAGATGCTGAAGTCCTCAAATTTCAGGTCATGTTTCAACCGGTATGCCATAGCGATCCCGGCGGGACCGGCACCGATAATGATAGCATTGAGCTCCTTAGCGTAGGCAGACATTGTGAAATGATTCCTACTGTTGAAAAAGATTTCAAATGAGTGCAAGAGTGAATAATGAAATGAAACATTTATCTTGAGTTCTGAAGGAAATAGCACGGAGTAGTAAAGCGGCTTTCAATTTCCGGAATTCAGATCACGGTGGTCTTGAGGATGATAATGCCGAACAGTCGGTCTGAGCCAGTTCCATGAGACATTGTGTGTAGAGCATTGTACACTTAGCCGTTTCTGTAGCTCCCCTTCTTCTTAGACGGCTAGAAAGGTTTACCCCGAGGCGTAATTGTGGGGAAGCTTGATCTTGGCTTCTTGAAGTCCGAGTGGGCGAAAGTGTGGAGCATGGGGAAATTCGCGCCGTGTTTGCTGGGATCCACATTCCGGGGCATGCTGGTCTGTGATTTACCTCACATGCTCGGAATGAATTTCCGGGTCATCTTCAGGAAAAGACGCCAAGATGGATTCCCGATCCCGAAAAAAATATTCGGAATGTCTGTTGCTGAGACTGGAAGTGTCGCGGCAAGTTATTGGAACTTGGAGGTCCGACCGTGCAGATCCAAATCCTCTCACGTTTATTTCCCTCTCGAATCAGAAAGGCTTTCGAATTGTTCTTGCATTGAAGAGTATTCTAACCGTTGACCACAAAACCTCGAATATTTTGAGCAAGTTGTTGATTTCGACTAGCAGGGAGTCATAAAGTAGCCTAGCAACTTTAGACTCAAGCCATGTATGTTAGATGCAATATCATATGCAGTTACAGTACATGGATTTAGTTTTACATCGGATGTTCATAGTACGATCTTAAATTGTTGAGCCTTTGAATGTTCTGAAAGTCTTTTTTATCATTCATTGGGGAGAAATTCCTTTTTATTTAGTACTAGGCATTCACTGAAACCCCACGATTAGTTTACAATGTAGTCTAATTTTTACCCTGTGAAAAAGGTGACGAATTTTCAGGTAAAGTAGTTTTCATTGTATAATGTAGTGTTGGGTTAAATTGTAAAAACATCATGAAAGTACTACATACAAACATATACTATATCAATTTAGAGCTGCCTCCACCCTGCCATTCTTGCGTTCCCACCATCTAAGTCCTTCAGATACCCACGAATCTTCTTTTCAATTCCCTGCGAATCGAGACCAAATCGATCATAGTTGCTGGGATTAGAGGCAGAGTATCCGTATCCGGTCATTCCAATGCTTGCAGTCGTATACCGCGCCCATGTTGTGGCGATATACTCCTCCACGCTAACTATAGGTGTTCCATCCAATGGGAACACACTCTCTCGGTATTTCTTATCCTGTTGATCAAAGTGATCAAAACTAGGCGCACTCACAAGACGAGTAATAATTTCAGACTCAGTCAAGGACTTGGCAGCTGCAGCGGCATAGTGTAGGTTTGTTCCACAGCTAACCAGAGTAAGCTGAGCATTCTCCGCCTCCAAAACTACATAAGCACCCTTGGAAACCTTATAGCGATCTGTTCCTGAGACGAGGCTGACTGCATCTCGGCCCAGAGAGAGCATTGTAGGTCCATGGCGCTTTGACATTGCAAGAATCCAGGCACCGATAGTCTCCTCAGGGTCACAAGGGCGAATGTATGTAAGGTTGGGCATTGCACGGTATAGCGAGTCAAGCTCGACAGGTTGATGCGTAGGGCCATTTTGACCTTCAGCAAAAGAATCATGAGTCGCACAGTGAATCACAGGAAGATCACTGAGTGCACCCATGCGTACACCGGGCGCAGCCTAGCGAAAATAATTGTTAGTTTTGGAACGATTCTATGGGGCGTTTTAGGGTATCGAAATTATAGACTCACATAAATGTAGAACATGAAGAATGTTGCCGTCAACGGAAGAAATGTGCCTGGGTTGTAGGCTGCAAGTCCATTGGCCACACTGGCCATCGCATGTTCTCGAATTCCGTTACGAATATAGCGGCCGCCAAATCCAACAGAAGGGTGGAAAACGTCATTGGCAGCATACGGCACCTTGTTGGAGTTAACCAGGTCTGCACCACCGCCGCACAATGCTGGATACAGTTCCCAGAGCTTCTCAATGATGACACCATTTACTTCACGAGTTGCCATTCCATCAAACTGGCTTGAGCTTATGTCCTTGAGAGACTGAAGCCAGGCTGATCCATAGTCTCCGCTGCGCCGAGCGTCCATCTCTTGGGCTAGGTCAGGATATTGAAGTCGATAAGAGTCAACTAAAGAGTCCCAGCTCTTCTGCAACCTTTCACCGTGCGTCTTTCGTTCGCGAAAGTATGCCAATTGCTTTGGTGGCACCTCGTGCGTCACAGCAGGATCTTGACCGGCTAGCCTTTTTGATGTCTCAACGCTGACCCTGTCAATGGGCCCGTGGTGAGCTTTAAAAGTACCGGCTAGTTCCGTCCCAAGCCCAATGACTGTGCGAATATTGATAAAGGTCGGCTTTTTGGTCAAGTATTCTGCGTGCTTTAGCGCAGTGACAATATTTGTTACGTCATAAGAGCCATCTTCAACATCCAGAACATGCCAGCCACTTGCTCGCATTTTGGTATTGATATCTTCTGTGTTGATCCAATCAAGCGGACCGTCACAAGTGACTTGGTTGTTGTCATAAATCAAGACCAGGTTGTCGAGCCCAAGACTACCAGCCAAAGAGATAGCCTCTAGGGCCACTCCCTCCATTAGACACCCATCACCAGTCATGCAATAGACACGAGACTTAATGAGGTCAAAGTCAGGGCGATTAAACTTTGCTTGCATGTTCTTGGACGCGATGGCTAGACCAACAGCATTGGCGATACCTTGTCCCAAAGGCCCTGTAGTGACCTCAACTCCTGGTACTTCAATCTCCGGATGAGCGTGGCATATGGTCTTATAGCCATTTGTTTTGGCACTTCCATATCCTTTAATCTCCTCCATAGTCCAGTTATCAAAGCCAGTAAGGTGATTGAGGGCATAAAGAAACATCGCCGTGTGTCCTGAAATGACAGAAGTCAGCTTCTTAATCAATTGAACGGAAAGCTAGAGCTGTAGAACATACCATTGGAGAGGACAAATCTATCGCGATCGAACCACTCAGAGTCGGATGGATTGTATCGCATCACGTACTTGTAAAGGGCGACACCGATAGCAGCCATTCCGATAGCGGAACCGCCATGGCCACCCCCATTTTGGTTGCAAATATCGAAGATGAAGTTTCGCAAAGCTAAGACGGCGCGATCATCTTCATTCAAGCTCTCAGTTGACAAGTGGACTTGACCGTTGGCTAGCAACGTCCCATTTTTGGTTTCTGTGACAGTCATGGTGAATATGTCCTTTCTTAAGACATTCGATCAGAGTAGTGTTCGAAATTAAAACTAACTTTTTGAAATTGGGAAATAAGGCTCATATTGTACTGCAGGTGCCTATGTCATTTTTGTAGTCCTTCGAAATACATCTCGGAAGCCGGTCATCGCCACTCCGAGACTTGGAGTCCTTCTCCACATGCATTTGTTCCGACATTTAGTAAATTTCATCAATAATTCCGACTTGAATAAACATCTAAAACGGCCCCAATTTCCGTGCGACAAGTCTGAGCCGTATTCACCTGGAACTTGCGGTACCGACTAAACAACCCCGCAAATTTCTTGTGGAGATCCCGAAGTCGGATTTTAGATCCCGCGGTGATAGGATTCCGCGTTTGAGGGTTTATGGGATCAGTGAACCGACGTCAAGTTAAGTACAATATCACTCTGCATTTTCTTCTCCATTCGCAATATCAACTTTGATATATCATTCTACCCTTCTTTCCCTTTTCAAGTCTTGCCACACGAAAACTATACAGTCTAAAATGTCGCAAAGTCCAGACAGTTACCTCACCCGAACCATCCACGACCTCCTTTCTCTAAAGGGAAAGACGGTCGTTGTTACAGGTGGTGGTCGTGGCCTTGGATTGTCTTTCGCGTTTGCGATCGCCGAAGCCGGTGGCAATGTGGCCATTATCGATTACATTGACACACCCCACGAGCATTACTATAAGTTAGAAAAAGACTACGGGGTTAAAGTGAAGCTTTACAAGTAAGTATTCACATATGAAAACCAAAGATAAGAATCTTTCAGCTAATATGACATCTGTCGTAGGAGTGATGTTACAAACTTTGATGTTCTCAAAGCGAGCTTCGATGAAATTGTGAAGGACTTTGGTGGCATTCATGGCTTGTATGTCGTTAAATAACCTCATTAAGATGGAAAAGTACTAATTCACCCTTCAAGGGTCACCGCAGCTGGAATTTGTGTCGATCAGCCATTCTTAGAGCGAGCACCAGAGTCTGTCAGCCGATCTTTCAATGTGAATGTTCTCGGCACATTCTATGCTGCACAGCTTGCAGCAGCGCAGATGGACAAGCAGGATCCCTCTCCCCACTCCGGTTGCAAGGGATCCATTGTTTTTATCGCATCAATTGCAGCATATGTTGCCAGTAAGGGACAAGCCACGAGTGACTACTGCTCTAGTAAGGGTGCTGTTGTAGCCTTGGCAAAGTCCTTAGGTGTTGAGCTTGCGGCGAAAAATATTCGAGTGAACAGTGTATCACCCGGGTAAGTAAAATAACCTGAATATTTGTCGAGTTTAGACTGACCCAGTTCTAGTTATATGGCCACGGACATGACTCTGGACCAGTGTCGTCGTTTCCCAGTCCTAGGAGAAATCATGAGCAACGAGCCTCCTATGCGCCGAATGGGTGATCGGACGGACCTTAAGGTGCCTATTGTATACCTCCTTTCTGACGCAAGTGCTTATCATACATCTGACGATCTCTTGATTACTGGTGGTATCCATGCCGGACGTTTGCTGTAAATAAGAAATTGTTGAAAAAGTATGACACGTTAGACGAAATTCACAACGGGACTTTTTATATGACTACTAGATATACTAGATAAGTGATATTACATAAAGAAACGTAAACTGGGGAAGTTGGACATGTAGGTGTCACTAAAAACCCCGATTATGAGTATTATTTGCATAGCTTGGCAAGAGATGGATGGGCTTTCCTATCATTTGCGCTGTCCGAAGTTCCTGATACTCGCGTTGAAAGAGCCGCGGACACCGGGTTTCTCCTGGATGCTTTCTCTGCCCTATGCAATCTGTTTAGTCCAAGATTCCTTGCTAGGAATGATCTTCTCTTGGACAAAATGATCAAAGACTTTAAAATATCCATCCGCAACTGGATATTCCTCAGTGAAACCTACACTTCGAATCTTATTCAAGCTCATCTCTCGGTTGCGGTCCAACATAGCAACAGCCACTGAAAGGAACATCCATGTATACTCAGAAATACTGCGAAGTTGCAGTCCGTACTGTTCACACATTCTCTCGTAGTCATCTTGATGTGCGATCCACCACTTGTCAATATTCTTCCAGATCTTCTCCTCGGGGCTTGCCCCTTGGCCATTGAGTCCAAAATATTCACACATTCTAGGCCATACGACCGACCATGGTGCAGCAGTGTCATTATCGGCAGTGTTGAATGCCTCTCCATGAGCTTGATCTGGCTTTTCGACAGACAAATAGAGCTCCGAGCGGGCGATTATATCCTGTGATGATGGCGTAAATGTGTGCATGTAGGTCGCATAGGATCCTGGAAAGGCAACGGTGGCACCAAGACCATTCACGTAACGATAGAGAACCAAGTAGAGCGCAAGAGGTTCGACGAAGGTCATGCTTGTAGGAATTGGAACGTGCCCTATTTACTTGTCATGTTAGCATGATCAAAGATGAAAGATAGGGATACGCACCAACGATCTGATCAGGTCGAACCTCGCACCATTTCCAAGACTTTCCCTTATTGGCTTCCTTGACCAAATCAACCTGTGCATAGTAGAAGATCTCGTCTCCCCAAGGAGAAGAAATGCGTGGATTATCCTCGCGCAAAGGAGGGGTAATCTCGATATGTTCTTGGAAGCGAAACACAGCTACTCCATAATTCTACTGTGGATTAGCTGAATGATTTTGCAGATAATGGATTGATACAAACATTTGTTCCAGTTTGAAGTACGAAGAACTTCATATTTTTGCACAGTCTATCGACGGCATGCACGGCATTATAAGTCATCCCCTCGTTGATATCTCGAATAGCCATCACATCCACAGAGTATGCCGTTGCATTGGAGTAGGCTGATAAGCCAGTGGTTAGATTATGAGATGTGCGTGCAGTTCCGTTACTCACCAAGATAATATACATGAGTGACCTCTTCCAAGTTGGAAATTTCGTCTTCCAATTGAGAGAGGACTTCATCGAGACTTCCCCGCAAGTTTATCCCGGAATGTAACTCCAGTCGAGGGTCTTGCGGTAAACCGCTCTTCTCTAGAGACAATGGCCGATTCGTCAAGCCGATCACTCTGTCAAAAGTGGTAGGTGTGGGGTACGAGAGAGAACATTTGGTGACAGCCCAGCCTGAGATACCACTGGCTCCAAAGACCAATGCAACATTCTTGGATTCAGTCATTGCGACAATTGATCAGTTATATCGTTTTGTTCAAGAGGGCATCGATGTGTGCGGGGCAGAGGTTCCTTCTCCTGGGCGACTGACAGGTAAATGCCCATTTAAGACACCCCTCATCTTTCCTTCACGAACACTGTCATTGGCTATCATTTTGTTTGTGGGGAAATCGCTTGAGAAACGCCATTGTCGCTGCTCCAGGCATATTTTTTTTGTTGGTGTACAAAGTTTGTTCGGCACCCTCTGAGCCTAAGGCTGCCAAGGGGTTACCGAATCGTTTAGGTTACTGTGTGCAGAACAAAGACTAGCGAAATCCTGATTTTTTTTAAACGCCAATCTCGAAACGAAGACAATGTACCCACTAGCCGAGGTCCGCACCAATCCCAACCAACGTAAGGATCGCCGATCAATCGCCCACCCTATGCCCAGGTGTGCGCCCGCCCCTTGTGGAGTTTTGGGGCCGAATTATGTATCGTGCCTTCCAAGTTCCCAGCCCTCCTTTTTGTACCCAGGTGGCAGCGACCCACCGCGGTACGCACCGGCGTCGCCCACCTTACGCTCGCGCAGTGGAGTGGATAGCAAACGATGTGAGGACTTGTATCTATCGATATTCAGTTTTAGCAAAATCGCTGGGCACAATGGAGCAGCGCCCCCCAATGATCGCTAGAGGACGATTTATTTGCTGCGTACTCCGCTTTGAAGGTGGATACCATTTTGATGAGAAGGTCGATTGCTTTCAGTGCCATTGAATCCTTTAAGTCCTTTAAGTCGCGTACGGTTGGCCGCAGTATTTTCCCTATGTGGTAACTAGCCCCAGCCGATCAGCCGTTGTGCTTAATTAGCTGCTGGGGCAATCCTTTGGCCTAGAATCAACGATGATTCAAATTGTTATTCCGGCCGCGGGCAATCCTGCCTCCACTGGCAAACTATTTTTCAGGGGATCGACTACAAAGTACACATGACTTCTTTGATACCTCTACCCACACTCGGTTTTTACCCTCAATCGCAGGTCGATGATGGCAAATGCCCAGAATACGGCGTCCGCAGGACACGATTCCGAAAGTCGACATGCGGCAATTTTCGGCGTGGGTATTGGCTTCATCGTTTTTGACTCCATTGTCATTGCATTGCGCATATATGTACGCGCCTTTATGCTGCGCGCAGTGGGGACGGATGATAGTAAGTCAATCGAAACTATTTCAAGGGACGAGCTAACTAAATGTCTAGTTTTGATGATAATTGGCGCCGTGAGTGACAATTTACCCCGGGAACGACTCTTAATGACACTTACTCACTGTTATTCAATCAGATACTCAATTTTGGGTTATCAATAGCGACCATGATCGGAGCCAAGTATGGAATTGGAAAGCCCGCGAGCGCCATAAAGGACAGCGACACCGTGCCTATGCTGCAGGTATGCACTGTATTCTTCGGCAAAAAAAAAATAAAAATTTTAACCAAAGCTAGTGCATCTATGCTACGCGAGTACTTTACACGACTGCAATAGGTTTGATAAAAATGTCCTTGCTGTGGTTTTATCTTCGTCTCGATCCCCGGAAGTATATGCGCTGGGCCGTCTTTTCAGTCATGTTTATTAATTTCGGATTGTCCTTCTCAAGTACTGTTATAACTTTAGCGGGATGTCACCCTGTGCATACGTTTTGGACTAATCCAACCTCGCCCAACTGTATGTCAGAGGGATCACAGCAAAGCTTCTATGAAATTAATGGCGCCTTGAACATTGTGACGGATATCTTGACTTGTCTTCTGCCAGTTCCAATGATATACGGATTGCAGCTCAATTGGCGCAAGAAGGCCGCGATTTTGGGAATTTTTGGCCTGGGTATTTTGTCTGTCGCGGGTGCGTATTACCTTCAATCCTCTCTTCGGCCTCGACTAAGTGTATACCATAATTAGCTGCCTGCGTTCGATACAACTTTGTCACAAAACTCACGTCCGCCACCTCGAATTACTACCTTGTCTTGGCTGACTCTCTTAACTGGTGCGCAATCGAGGGTTACGTCGGTATGTATATTCCTTCTCATTATTATATTATATCTAACAATCGGCCTGTAGCCATTTTCTGTGGTTGTGCCCCCTCCCTCTCAATACTTTTCAAAACCTATCTCCCCTCTCTTTTCGGCCCGAAGTCCGCCAAATACGAAAGCACCTCCAAATCGCCCGGGACAAGCAACCTGCAGCGAATAAACCCTCGAAAAGGCCATCGTCGTCGAGGATTGGGTGATACGACGTTGGGTAGCCAGGATGCCATTGTTACCGCCGGTAATACCGACCCCGATCATGATGGGATTATGATGAAGACAGATATACGGATGGATGTTGCGAAGAAGACCTCGACGGAGGATATGACTTATCAGAGGGAGTATTATGAATTCTCAAGGCGGCCATAGCTTCCTACCTAATGATTAATGATGCTTCAACCTATTCCCGCTGTGCTATTGTTTCTTGCAAAGTGCAGTCGAATCGCTTTTTCAGACATGCTTACTAAAAAGGGGAACTAAACCCAACATCCAGTAGGATATTTGTTGCCGGAATGGTATGAATTATCTCCGACTCCACCTCTCTCGGAAGCAATCAAATGCTCGCAGGAAGGCCCAATCCTTGCAATCAATGGGGATTACCATGCGCTCGCAATGGAATCACAAGCGTTTAGACTTCTATTATTCTACGCTTTTTCATGAGCAAAAAAGACATTCGTTTTTCTTCACATAGTTATAGGAGTGCACGCTCCTTGATGGGAAAAATGAAACCGATTTTCAAATAATTAAATTGGGATGATTCCACATATTATTCGCAATAGGCGTCAGCGCACGAGCGTACCTTAAACCCTTCATCCGAAAAGCCCCTTGCGACAATTACCGTACTTTGCATAGTCCATCTCTCAAACCAGCAACGTACTAAAATGAGTCAATATGCGGTTCACGAGGCAACAGGTTTGAGATCAGTCTAAGCCGCGGCCTTCGCTTGCGTTTCAGGCAAAGCGACCCAAGCGCCAGCCATGAAGATCCAAATGGCACCACAGAACCAAACAGGGCCACCACCAGCAACAGTAGTACTATCAAATGTAGTAATAACACATGCGATCATTCCAAATACTCCCCAAAAGAAGCCCATATATCCAAGGCAGAACCCTCGAGTGGGAGTTGGGAAAATCTCAATGGTGATGATGGTCAAGGTGGCAAGCTGTGCAAAGTACAAAACGCTTAAAATACATTCGAATGCCAAAAGAGCATTTGGTGATTTTGAAACAGTTGAGACAAGCATGAAAAGCCCAGTTAGGAGGGCTACCCCGGCACCGGTAAACTTGCGTCCGATCCCTTTGACTTCCATGAAAATGGCTGCCAATAATGGACCGGGGATGCTGCAGATAGCAACATACACATAGCGGCTGTAAAGATACGGAGTATTCACCGAGGTCGAGTTCACCTTCATTACGCCACTATGCTGATAGAGGTAGTTGCTGACATAGCTTTTGTATAGGATGAAGGTAAGGCCCATAATACTCCAAAGGAGAGTCAGGCACAAGGTGCCTACAGTACCAGTGGATGAGAACAAGGACTTGGTCCTGGACTTTGTACGAAGCTCGTCTTCAGTTCCATCGATGATAGAGTCAATTCGAGCGAAAGACGCTTCGGTGATCCAAGTTTGCCGATTATTGTGCTGGGCGATATCTTTGACCAGTTGGGTTGCCTCGGCATCCCGGCGACGGGCTAGGAGGAACTTAGGGGTCTCGAAGAATGCGAATGCAAAGCGGCAAAGATATAAGAAAAGAGTGATACATCCAAATGTCCACCAGACGTAGCGCCAGCCTTTATTGCTGACGTAGTGGCAGGATGCACTGCTGCTACTGCTAGATGAGCTGCTGGAGGAACTGCTACTGCTGGTGTGTGCACGTTTAACGGAGAAAGCACCACTTTTCTCACCCGGTCCGGTACCGCAGGTATACAACTCGATGAAAGCCCTGTCAATATAAATTAGTAAGGATATATTAAGCCCTCCTTTGATTCAACTCACCATCCAACGGCGGAAGCAACTAATTGTCCCAAACCCCAGAACACACCCTGTATAGCAACCAAATATTGATGGGACGCTGGAAGGGATTCCAAAAGTATTATAGCGTCAACACTTTTGTTACCGGCTACTGCAAAGCCAACAACAAAGCCAACGACAGAAAGGCCAGTGAATGATGGCATGCCTGCACCAACTAATCCTCCCATCCCCATCAGTACGATAGTGCTTGTGAATATCCACTTTCGACCCAGTACATCGGACATCATTGGCCAAACTGTACCTCCGACAGTAAGACCGACAAACAGGCTGATAAATAGGTAGTCTTCATTATTGCCAGAGAAGAAAAATTGGGCTTCGTTACTGGCAGAGGGAGCGATTACCAAGAAAGACATAACCCAGAACTGTAAACCATGGTTCATTAATTATATTCTGCAATATTTGCGGCAAAGAATGGCAAGTAACTCACGCTGTCAAGGAACCATCCTACACCCGTCATCAAGAAAAGAAACCACTGATACCTTCCCATGCCGACGTCCAACAACGCCTGGTTAAGGAGTTGTGCCTTTGCGGTAAATACGGCATCCGTGCCAGCATGGCTGTCAGGTGTGGCGATCTTCAAACCAAACAAGCTTTTGTGCTCCCGCTCAGACTGAACTCCATATTTCGATGGCTGGGCTTTCTCTACATCATCATGATTCACGAGAGTGGAAGCAAATGCACTTTGTGCTTCGATATTCCTCTGTGGTGTTATCGAGTCGTCTTCGCTAGACATAGTGAGGACAAATAAATCGGTTCTGCCTTTAAAAATGTTCAGTGATTGAGAATCCGTCACAAACCTTCTGCATGCCCCCGGCATACGTGGACCGATATTAAATACTTCTGCTCAACTGCTCATAACCTCTATTAGGTCGATAACCCCGAGAGAAAGGTTTGTTAGCTCCATTTTACTAAGCTTAGTTCATTCGGCAATGCGCCAAGAAGTCAAGCCCAGCGGGTGGGATGCTCAAATTCATCCGATCGATGGCAGTAAGTATTGAAAATTCTAATCGGTAAACGGAGGTCCCCGCGGAGACATGCATTTTCTGGCAGCGATAGCTAAGGGTGACAGGCATTGAGACTGTTATCAGATGTCGTGGACAGTGTAATCGGGCAAGCCGAGCAGTGGAAGTAGCCAGATGAAGGTTAGTATACGAGTATCCGCGGAAATATGAGGGGGTTAATGTAACATTATCAACTCCAAAGCTCTTTTTTGTGGGCCTATTGGACAAAAACTGTCAGACGGTCCGAGCTTTCTTTCTGCAGTGGTGAATGGTGAACCAAGACATATGGGAATGAGGGGGTGGGGGAAGCATGAGTCAAGGTGGACAATTGTGTGTCTAGAGCGTAGAGGAAGAGTTCATATCCGGTTGTTGAAGATGATTGGACAATGAGCTCCTTCGCTTGCGACCACTGTATAGAATGGGACTAGCTCGGGAGGTTATGAAATCTTTGCCTTCAAATGGTGAGACTACTGTGACCAGCTAGGCTAATCCATTACGAAACGCGCTGAATAATTTCAACTAAGCTATGTCTGAAGTGAAACTATCGTAATCGAGCTTCCCCTTGGGCGTTCAGGCTCGGCTTAAGTATGATGAAGCACAAGACGAAACGAAATATGTGAAGTGCAGCTCTATGTCTTATTCCGAATCTCGGTCGGGGTTGCTGGATTTGGATTCCTTGGCGCCGAAGTCTACGGGACAAGGGATGCTTGGCGAAACCCCAAACTCTGACCTCCTTACCTGTATCATATCTGAATGTTGTTTTGTGTGCTTGATGGATTGATATTTTTGTATGGCTTTTGCTTGAAGTACAACTGAGCAGACAGGAAACCCAGTTCCCCACTCTCTGTGATCATGCATGTGCTAGGTGGTGTGATTGACGGACTAGAATTTGAACAGTGAGAAATAAGTCCCACTTCGGCATAAAATGATTGAGCTAGTCTTCCGACCTCATCCGCATAACTTGGAATTAGTTCCCCATTAGTACCGGCGGAATTATCTGTTGCCTCACCCTACATGCTGGGGGGGGTCCTGGGGAAATTTGGCACCACCCTGTGCTCGTATAGTATCAAGCATTTCCATCACCCTCAAAGTCTCATCCAGAGGCATTATACTGCTTTCCATCTTTCCGGCAGCAATATCCAATGCAATGCAATAGGCTTCGTAGTAAAAGCCTTTCCCACCGCACATCTCCTGGAACTCGAAACTCAACTCTTTTTTCGGCATGTCAAAGCCCTCTGAACTTTTGTCTGCCATGTCCTGCCCAGCATGTAATGGCTTCAGGGAGACCGTGATCTTATCCGGCGTAGATGCGCCGCTGCCGCTTAAAAATACGGTACCTTTACTTCCCTCAACCCGTGCGAAGATAACATCGGTCTTGTGAAGCACTGACGAGGTAATGACACCCTGCCGTCCACCTGGGGCGTTGGGATACCGGAGAAGAATGGCAGAGCTAACATCAACGCCGTCTGATAAAGTTTGAATAGCCCTTATCTCTGCCTTCTCGCGGATACCCGGGGGCTCCAGACTCAACAGGCCCCATGTCAAAGAGTAGATACCGATGTCCAATAGGGCGCCAGCACCGAGCGCAACGTCTCGCAGTCTGGATGTCGATGGCAAGTTCTGAAGCGGCATGTCGAGAGAGAAATCCACAAACATCCGATTGATTTCTCCAATGGCCTTTGCTTCGTGCAGAAGCTGTTTGAACTTTTCCACAATGGGGAAGAACCTTGTCCACATGCCCTCCATCACGAAGACACCTTTCCGGCGAGCAACTTCAATAACTTCTTTGGTTTCTCGTGCGTTGTTTGTAAACGGCTTTTCACAGATCACATGCTTTCCCGCGTTGATGGCATCAATGCAATTTTTCTTGTGGAATGCGTGTGGTGTTGCGATGTAGACTATGTCGACATTCGGATCGTTGTAGACAGCTTCGTAGGAACCATAACATGTTACTTCCAATTGTGCGAGCGCCGGAGCATAATTTTCAACGAAAGATTGGGCCTTAGCTTCGCTCCGCGCTCCTACAGCTTGAATGATGTGCCGAGCGCGCGCATCCTTGCGAGGAAGACTGAGATCTGCCACGAACCAAGACGCAATCATGCCAGTGGTTGTGTATCCAATTTATTAGTTGCATTTTCTTATACTATGGTGCTTGCGTGTGTGGAAATATTGAAATAACTCACCAACGATGCCCCAGCGCAGCTCTGGAAGAGATCCCATGTTGAGAGAGGCGTGGTCGCTTCATAGAGAATAAGATGATGGAAAAGAGGTTAAAAGTCTTATTTTTTCGATGAGATGGATGACAAAAATCTTTCTTGGGATAATAGCTCTTTTATATCTAGTTTGGCTGTTTGACTCTGTGGGGTGAGCAGAGCACTACACATCACGCATTAATTCTAACAAACGGTGATTTCCTGAAGAATCAACCTTCCGGATTGCCATTGTGGGTCATAATATTCTACTGCGGGGAGTTCCGGAGATATTTATTCGTAACGGGAGTCTCAATTTCTACCCTCAAATCGGGCGTGTAGAATAATGTCCCTAAGCCAAAAAGCCCACCTACGTAATTTCATGGTGGATACTCAATTTCTTGCTATAAGGCGAAGATATGAAATTTGGGGAACGCATGAAGTAAAGCATTTTACGATATCAATAGCTCTTTTCATTAAAGGCGGCCTACCTACCATTGTCAAAAATGTTTGAATGCATGCCAGTGGTATGGCGCTTTGTGCCGAGAGCGTCCATTAGCTCCAAAATATTTTACAACTCGTTTTCACGCCTCTGCATTATCCAAAATATTACGGTGGCTCAAAAACGATTGAACACATGTTATCCAAAGAAATTATTTAAATAGATTGGAAAATTTTGCAGATCTACCTAGACAAACCTCGAAGAGCGACTTGGAGTGAAGAGGCAATGAGGCCCTACATATCTGTTTCATCTTAGCCCGCGTTGCTCAAGCCTGGGTAGTGACACAGTGTCCAAAGTGCGTAACTTTAAGCTGATTCCAAATGCCCAGCCGAGATACCCTCTTTCTGATTGTCTTCGGAAATACTCTTCGACCCACCCCCATCTAGGAGAAGTGACAGGCCCAATTCCTCTCTCACTTCAGCCAAGATATCCCGATCTTCGGAAGCCGTGACACTGCCGAATACCACGTCCATCTCTTCAAGTGCTTTGTTCTTGGTCTCGGGAACATAGAACCAGATGAAAATGGCTCCAAGGAAAAGTAAAGCTGCGAAGACCAGATACATTCCCCAAGATATTCCACTTATCATTGGTGGGACAACAAAAGCAACAATAAAGTTGTTCATTCAATTAGATGATGCACCAATTGAAGTTCTTTTGGCCCTAATCGAAAGGGGGAAGATTTCTTCGGGAAAAAAGATTAGCATAAACATGCGTCGAATGTTGTGATATTGGGGGATTTTGCCTACCTGAAATCAACACCCATCTTGCAGGACCCCACGAATATCCAAAGTTGGCAATATAGATCCATATAAAGGCGACAGCTGCCCATCCGGCAGTGGCATGGTGCTCCCAGTCATGTTGAAACTTGGCGACAATGACAGTAACAATGATCATGGAGCAGAACATAGCAATATACCCAGCTATTAGTAGGGGTTTTCTTCCAACCTTGTCTATGATCAGAATAGCAGGTATGGTTGCCAGCACGTTAATTATCCCGACGACGCCAGTGGCAAGAAGGGAAGTAGTGCCTGAAGTTAAGCCAAGGCTTTGGAAGATCGACGAGGCGTAGTAGATAATAGCATCTACCCCACTCCACTGTTGGAAGAACACGATAAGCCCAGCGATTGCCACACGTTTGAAGTTTGCTTTGGTTCGAAAAATATTGGTATATTGTACAAACTCGCGGCGCCAAACGCTGTGGCCAGACTCTGCAAGATGAGGAAATCTTCTTGCAAACGATCTCTGTTGGAACAGCACTTTCGACTTGATTTCCAAGAATTCATAACGAAGAATGATGCTATCTTCAGGAAGATTGCGTAAAGAAGCAAGTGTTTTCAATGCCTCTTCCTCGCGCCCCTTGTTGATCAGCATGTGCGATGGGAGGAAGAAAGCAGCACCCAGGACAAGGACAATGGCAGGGATTACTTGGGCAATTAACGGAGTACGCCAGGCCCAGTCGGACTGGCCATCACCCGTTCCGCCAATGTAATTGGTCCCATATCCAATACAGTAAGCAGTCATAATTCCTATGGTGGTTGACAGTTGTTGAAGAGCAACTAGTAGCCCTCGCATTTCAGGGGGAGCAAGTTCAGCATTATATAGAGGGCTAAAAGATCCAGATGTTAGATACAGAAATATCTTCATAATTATGACGGAGGTCATTTGCAATACGTACCCAACAGCACTAAAGGTGCCAACCCAAATGCCAGTAAAAAGGCGCCCAGCAAAGAGATATGACCCATTATGGGCACCAGCACAGAGAAAAGACCCCAGTATTACCCAAAGGCCTCCGCTCAGTATAGTATGTTTTCAAGTGAAAACCTCGGCCAAGATACCAGCAGATAGGGAGCCAATCCAGCCCCCAAGTTGCAAGATGGAGGTCAACCATCCCGTAGCACTCGATGAATTGACGATACCTGGCAAATCACTCTTAAACCTTGACATTACCAAGGCTTGCGAAATAACACCCTGTTGATATCCATATTCAAGGCCACCAAAACTAGAAATTGTCAATTCATGTCCTCCGCCGGAGCTAAATAAATACCAATTCTTAAACCATACTTACGATGCGAATAAGGCAACCAGGAAAACCTTTTTGTTTTGTAGAAGGCCTGAGATTCCCGACGAACTGACCCCTTGCAATCGCATTTCTGTGACGGTGGGCTGGCCAGACATGTTGGAATAGAGCTAGTGTAAATTCCCCGAGCCAAATCAATCAGCCTAATGAATGTAAAATGCTTGACGAGAACTGACGGTCGAAAAGGCGAATTCGTAAATTTAGAAATTCATAGCAGGTGAACAGTATGAAAATGAGAGATGTATAAACCATTATAATGGGCAGACCAGTGACCATTTCTATTGCGCGCCCTTGTGGACAGGAGTAACGTATAACAAAAAGGGACTCCCTCAAGTGCTGCAAATGCTGAGGGAGATCGATGATTATTGGGTGAACAGTGTTAGAACTACCATCCCCGCGTTTTTTTACCCGGAAGTCGTTGCCGCAGACCGCGGAGTTTCGGACGGGGAGTTTCGGCCCTAGGTGTGCTGTCTCGAATGCTTGTCACTAAGTCAAGTCAATTTGTACAAACTAGAAAATGTGACACAAGAATTATTAGATAAAAATTATGAAATAAATCGAGATTTTGGAAGTCCGCATACAATAGTAGTGAAGCCAAATGGAGATATAGGTTGCCGCCATACTGATTCTGTGAGCACCAAGTTTATCTTATCTCACTATGAACTAGAATTTTTACCTAGGACTTGTCGAGCAAACGGATCATTTGAGGTAGTTGACGAGTTCTCATTGCTACCAACAAAATTTAAATTTTTTTTTATCTAAAGGTATCAACTAAATATATTGATAGCATACAAGAAAAGAGAACATGCCACTTGTTATGGCCTATCGGGAACCGTTGCTCTGTCCAGCTTGGCCTGCAAGACCTGCCTTCATAATCATACCAAAGATCTCAATATCCTTCTTCGCATCTTCGCAGTCCGTTTTGGCCGGCTTTCCATCGGCAACGAATGCATAAAGCTCCTTCATCTCCAGGGTGTAGGCATCCTCGTAGGTCTTTCGAACTAATGACTCTCGGAAAGATCCATCCTCAAGTCTTTCGCGAATATGCATAGTGGTTGGCAGTCCTTTAACATAAGGAGAGTCAAAAGAAACCTTTACGGTCTTATGTTCACCAAAAACCTCAATTGATGCATCAAAGCGGGGAACTTCGTCAATGCCGGATTCATAAGATACAGCGAAAGAAGGGTACTGGAAAAGGGCACTAGAAGCAAATGACGTTAGAAATGATCACAGAAAGAATTTGATATTTTAGAATACCTCCAGAAAGGGGGACCCTTTGTGGCGCATAGCGAAGCACCAAGAACGGCTGTTGGCATACCCAGGGCCTCTCTCATAGCACTCAGATCATGGGATCCCAAGCTACCCAAATGCCTCCACTGAAGGGCAGTAGCTGGCGTGACTGGAATATTGAGTTCCTTACTTAACGCCTGTTCAAGGAACTCGTTCGTCCTGGCAAATAGTTCGTTGGAGTCCTCCGATCTGTAGTCGGAGAAGACCTTGGGGAAAGTGCCAGATTGACCGACGAAGGAGGAATTGGGACCAACAATGTCTCGTACACGGGCGTAACAAATCTTGTCCAAGCTGCCAATTTCCTTGATTGCATCGAGGAATCCAGAGGCATATCGCCTCATATATCCGACCATCACTTTGCTAGATGACTCCTTCTCTGCCTGAATGATGGAGTCTGCGTCATTCAATGAGAGAGCCATAGGCTTCTCAATAAATACGAACTTATTATATTTGAGACCCAATAGAGCGTGGGGGACATGGAAAGCATCGCTATTGGCAATCATAATAAGATCAACGTCTGGAGAGGCGCATAGATCTTCTGCGTTGCGAGTTGTGCTCGGGCTTGGCCCAATAACTTTACCCTTGCAGTGATCAATTGCATTCTGGGAGACATCGCAAAGAAATGTGATTTGGAAATAGTCTGAAAGGAATCCAAGAGTTGGAATATGGGCGACTTGAGTGATTTCACCACATCTGGTTGAGAGAGTTAGGAAAAGTTGGCATGCTGGCAGATGAAAGACTTACCCAATGAGTCCAACGCGAACAATTTTATTTTCGCCAGCCATTTTGAATATAAGCAGTGAGCGTAAGGGTTGACTCTCGATATCAGAAATTAAGTGAGAGTCAGGGTAGATGCCGTGTGTTATATTGACGCTGAGAATTCTGATCAAAATATTTTGCTGAATAACAGCTATGACGGAGCCACTGAGGGGCATGTGGGCGGAGGAGAAGCGACGATCGCTCCCGGGGAGTTTCGGTGTTTAGATAAGTGGGGATACATTTAGGACCGAAACTCCCCGGGCGTTTCTACCCCACTGGCCATTCAGCTTAATTGTTTTGATCCACTTCAAGTGAATACCTCTGCCGCTGCGAGATTTTGCTCAACAAAGAAGCCGTGTCGCTTGAGCTCTTCCCTTATTTTCAACTCCACATTCCCCGCATCCCCGCTTCTTGGGGCTCGGGAATCGGCATAGGCTTGCACCTGGGGTACGAATTGCCAAGTTGGGGATGTCGATACGATGGAATAGTGTAATATTGTCAAACTTTATGTGAGAAACGATATGGCCAAGAGCGATCTTCCAACATGACCATCTCCTCCAGGGCCAGTATATTAAAGACAGAGATGGCCTTCGAAAATATAGAGCCAGCCATAGCATCACAGTTATAACAAACCATGCATTGCTTGAGGCCTCTTTTCGCTCTATGGCTTGCCTGTTCGGCATCGGCACAAGGTGATCCGAAGGACATTGAACCAGATGATTTCTACCCTCGTGAACCAGACTCCCCTTACTCTTACCCCAGTCCTAATATAACTGGCCTTGGTGGATGGGATGTCGCCATTTCGAAGGCAAGGCTCTTTGTTTCGGAGTTGACAACGGAAGAGAAGGTTTCTCTTAGCAACGGCACTGGCTTTCCTCCGTACGCTTTACAACCCTAAGCTTATATTGATATAAAATCGACTAATCAAATGTCATTGTTTTCGCAGAGACCCAAATAACCCAAACCGACTTTGTCAGGGTCAAACTGCGCCAATCCCCCGTCTCAATTTCCCAGGACTTTGTTATATCGATAGCGACACAGGCATTGGCAATTCGCATTCATACAGAACGGGGTTTCCCCCGGGTGTCACAGTTGCGTCGACTTGGAACAGAGAGTTTATTCGAGCCCGTGGCTTCGCAATAGCTACAGAGCATAAGAACAAGGGAGCACATGCCGTTCTGGGGCCAGTTCTTGCCCTCGGCCGTACTGTTGGCGGTGGGACAAATTTTGAAGGATTTGGTAACGACGCGTTTTTGATTGGTGCTGCTGGTTACGAGACCGTCATCGGAGAACAGGCCGCTGGTGTGCAAAACAGTATCTAGGATATGATGGACAATCATACAATCGTACTTATTACTCCAGCAACATCGATGACAAAACATTGCATGAAGTTGAGATATGGCCTTATGCTGAAGCCATACGAGCAGGCGCTGCTTGTGTGATGGCTAGCTACCCATATGTCAACAACTCTCAGTCTTGCCAAAATGCCGATTTACTCAATGACGTCCTTAAAACACATTTGGCCTTCCAGGGCTACACTCAAACTGATTGGTTTGCTCTCAAAGCTGGCGTTGACGCTTCATGGCCGGAATGGATCAGGACATGCCAGGAGTAGCTGTGAACGGTGGTTCTTGGGGCTTTTACGGTGCCAATCTCACCAAATCAGTGAATAATGGATCCGTTCCAGAATGGAAATTGAATGATGCTGCGACTAGAATCATGACTCCTTATTTCCAACTGGACCAAGACCGTGACTACCCGGATATAAATTTGGTAGATGATCCAAGAAAGCCTATTGTCAATAGCCAGAGCCAGCGGCATAGAACTCTGGCTCGTGAGATCGCTGCAGCTGGAACAGTTCTTCTCAAAAACACAGAAGGGAAAGGTGGTCTTCCTTTTGAAGAAGCCTACTACAATTACCTTGTTTGGACCTGCTGCAGGGCCAAATCTGTACGGACCTAATCAGTATGGTTATGGAGATGGTATTCTGCCTATTGAATGGTCAACGGCAAATGGATATGCTATGGATCCTCTTACCATGGTATTGGAGAAGGGACCCTAGCCGGGGGCTCTGGGTCGGGATCAACCTTTTGTGAGTTATCAACGCCTTTTTTCATTCAAAGCTATCTAATGATGCGTTTTAAATAGACCCTCGCTTGGTCGATCCTTTGAGCGCAACCGAGCAAACCAAGACTTGACGCTTGTTGATTGGACCTTCAGCCATAATATGACAATGGTGGAGACTGTTGCCCAGCGTGGAACAGTCTGTATTCCTGTCGTATCTTCGTCGTCTGGGGAATCCTTAGACCGGAACTGATATTGATGCATGATGGTGATCTATTGATCAACACCGTCGCTGAAAATTGCGATAACACAATTGTCGTGGTGCAAGCTGTTGGCCCTGTTGATATGGAGGTAGGTATTTTAACATCCATGACCGGTACTCTTTCTGACATATTGAATCATTCAGAAGTGGATCGAACACCCAAATGTGACTGCTGTCGTTTGGGCGAACCTCGGTGGTCAATAACTTGGCCCCGCACTTGTCGACATTCTCTATGGTGACGTGAACCCGTCTGGCCGCTTAGTATACACTATCGCCAAAAGTCTCTCCGACTACGCACAACCCAATATAGTCGTTGATCCCCAGCCATACCCGCAGATCAACTATACTGAAGGCATCTCAGTCGACTATCGTGGCTTCGAGAAGAATGGAGTCGAGCCTCGTTTTTGGTTTGGACATGGTCTGTCACACTCAAACTTTACCTATGGAGCACTTGAAGTCTCTAAACATGGCATGCTAGATAAGGCTTTGAAAAAGCCAATTGAATATATTGGTAATGCACCAGGTGGTGACATGGCTTTGTATAATGTTGCTGTCATTGTTCAGGTAACTGTCACCAATGACGGTCCGTACGACGGAACAGAGATTGCACAGCTTTATCTTTAAATGCCTGAGCAGGCAGGCAATCCGACCAAGGTTCTGCGTGGCTTCGTAGCTATTCCTATCCGAGATGGAGAGACTCAGAATCGCAAGATCTATCCTACCCGCAAAGACATCAGTTATTGGGATGTTGTGCAGCAAACTTGGATTACGCCCAGCGGTACTTTCAATGTACACGTCGGCGCATCAGCAGCAGACATTCGTGTGGCCTCTAAGTTCACCATCTGAGAATACCCTTACGGCCAGGGTGTAAAACTCCAATCACAACTGTTATTTGAAGAACATTGCAAATTGAAATTATAGGTTAAATTTTATATAAGCTTTTCGATTTTGCATATTTGTTAAAAAATTAAGGAAGCTGCATAATGTACTCAAGAAAATGTGGAAATAGGATTGTACATTTCTCTTAATGCATTTAGACATATCACATGTGCATATTTACATGATGTTTTAGCGACCGCCGAATGTGATAGGATAAACGCGATCGAGGGCGATGCATTCTTAGAATCTAGAAAGATGGTCATTTGGGAGAGAAAAGTTCTTCCAAGAGGACTATAAGTCCCCGGCGTTGAATTATTTGATTCTGTAGATGTTCCGAGGTTACTGTTGCGCACAGCAGTCAGTACGTCTTCTTGCGTGGTCATGATACGATTCAAACGATCAATAATCTCTAGACTAGCTGGGTCAAAGCTACAAGTTTTCATGAGACTTTAGCTAAACAATTGCGCTGTTGATAGTATTGGGTCACTTACGAAGAATGATCAGTTCTATCGGCATAATGACAAGGGACTCTGACTGAGAGGCAGACCCGGCAACTGGGGCGTTGGTTATTGCATTTCGTTTTTCGGGCGCGACAGAGCTGACATGCAGTGACCGCCCTTTTTCGCGGGTATCGCATGGCGCCTACACCTGAATTCGACTCCATTCTAAATTGGATTTTAGTGTAAAAGGTGAAAGCTCGGGAGCATCCATTCGCAAAGAGGCCTTCACAGTGCTACACTTGACAACCCGCAACTGTCGTGCGAATTATAGTCAGAAAATAAGTCTTAAAAAATTTTGTTATTTGAGAATAAAAAAAAACAACACATACTAGTTGATTCCTACCAATTTTAGATGGTGAACTAAGATTACGTACCTGAATTTGCAGTGTCAGCTTGAAACGTTAGAAGAGTATCTCTCGGAGTTCCATCCATGCCGATTTCAAGTTATTGCTTGAGATTAGTATGTTAGCCTCAATATAATATAAATATAGATATGCTCTCATCATCTTTATAGACATTTTCCACAGGGTCCGTCGCGGTGAATTTTATAACCGCAACTTGAATCTCGAGCTGTAACCTTGGGGAAATGGGAATACATACTACTAAATCTAGTAAAATGTATCGATGAGTCACACCACGATTCCGCTTCATGTCAAGACTTGAACAGGGATGAAACTGTCTCATGTGTTTATTTAATTCTGGTGCCTGATATAAATCCTTTGGCAGCTTGCATTTCGGAAGTTCAAGAAAGTACTACTATAGAAATACGCCAGCAAGGTGAGATCCTAACTGTCAATAATATTTTCTCATGGATACTCTTCCGACATCGCCTTTCATCGGTGTACCACGCAGCACGGGGGCTGTTGTAGTTTTGAACGGATTCCCTGGCACGGGAAAGCTTACGATACTAAAACAAGTCAAACAACAATTGCCCGTCGACAGAACTATTATGCTGGACAACCATCTACTCATCGACCCTGTATCTGCAGTGGTACCCGATCGCAGCGATAAACATCACGAGCTACGACGTACTATAAGAGCGCCCATTTTTCAGAAGCTCAGACAAAGAGCACACAATGGCTATATCATTCTCATGACGGCATGTCTTGCTGAGGATAACGCTACGGATTCGGCCTTCCTTGAGGAGCACCTCGACATCATGCGCATGACCGATGTACCTATCATATGGTTGAATCCGCACTACGGTCAGGCAACGCTAGGACAGCGCCTTTTAAGTTCCGAGCGCGGCCAAGGATCCAAGACGGAATTGATGGATATTTGCATGCTTCGGGATCTGCTGTGTGATAATCGGCTCATACAACCTCACAAGAGCACCGATGGGTCTGTAAAGCTAGTAGTAAAGACTTTAAATGCCAGTAGGCCATCTAAAAAGGTCCCTGGAGCATCTAATGAGCGTTATAGCGTCTCAACAGTGCATTCAAACAGAATGAAGCTCAGGCTCCAAACATCATGCGATTAAACAAATATTTTGAAGCATCATCTTCCATTCACCTTTACTGCACAAAGAACTTTATACTTAATTATCACAAATACTGTTTATCATATAAAACTTGGGCTTGAAGGCTGGTAGTTGGCTAGTGATTTCTTTTTCCTTATATGAGGTGTCTATATCAGCCAAGGGCTAAGCATATACCAGAGCCTTCCTTTCACTAGCTTCCAAGCAAGTGACCTGTATAAGAACCCAATGAGATCCGAATCAGTATTTGGATTTATCATCGTAGATAGTAGATTGGAATCCGTGCTCTTCCTTCGAGCAACAAGGATTTAGGAGAGAACTCTCACATAATCGAATCTTGACCATCCTCGAATTTTATTTGATTCCTTAGAACGCCCAGTCCAGATATTTCAATTTCGATCATATCTCCATCATTCAAAAATTCACGTGGCTTTCGGAATGCGCCAACCCCTGCTGGAGTGCCAGTCATTACCACTGTGTGCGCTGGGATTGTGGTGCCTAGTATTTGTGTCAAAACAACCTCATCGGATGCGATTAAAAGACTCGGCAGCTACTCACTTTGACTCATCCAGCTCAGCACTTGCTCTGGGTTAAATATCATTTCTTGTTGTATAATCGCATCTTGCTTTACTTTGCCGTTGATTCGGGTGGTCAGTGTAGCATTTGCTCGCCCCTTGTTGAAGATATCTGGACTCGTAAGAACAGGTCCTATTGGAGCAAATTTGTCGAATGCCTTTGCGAAAAAGAACTGCCCAGCGGCCTGTTCCGGGAGCTGGAAAAAGCGGCACGTAAGGTCATTGCCAATAGTATAACCGAGAATATAGGGTGCGGCTTCCTCTGGTGAAACGTCTCGGCAATCGCGAGAGGTGACAAATGCCAATTCACCCTGGCGAGTATTCGTTAGTGATCAATTACGTTCACTCGGACGGCTCGGTCAAATTTACCTCCCAGTCAGGAAGATGCGAAGCACAAAACCGACTGACAGAAATGGGTTCGTTTGGAGCTGATAATGATGCGGCAGGCTTTGTCCATAATGGGGGGTTTGCCGGAACGTTGAGCTATTTTGTGTTAAACCGAATTTTCTAGTTAGTAGAGACGGGATGACATACGTTGGCCTCTTTTGCGTGGCTTTTATAATTCAGTCCGACGCAGTATATTGGAAGATTCATATTGGGAAGAGGGGGTAGTAGCTAGCAAATACCAAGTAAGTTTCGGGATTGGTGTCGTCTAGATCAGGAAGATGGTGAAACCTTTGCCACGGTCGCAGTCCTCGAATTTTTATCCTCCACCAAATCATCAAAGGCAGGATATGCAGTGACCGATGCCCCGATCACCGGGTCAGTTGAATCGCATTTTGCGAAAAGTCTCTCTTGGTCATCTGCCTCGAATTGGAAAAGATAATTGAAAGTCGACATAGTAAGCTCTGGGAAAATATGGGACGCAGGAACGAGAGAGATGGACAAGACGGTTCTTTAGCGAGGAAGATTGACAGAATACGAGGGAGAGCAATATTTCAGTTTCCAAGTTTCATTTTGCTTAGAAGCCATGAATGAAGCCCCTTACGATCTGACGCCCGTGACGTACTGGTTTTGGGGGCCACCACAAAAATTGCTCCGCGGACGATCCTAAGCACCCGTCGTTATCGCGGTCTCACAATTTTCCATTCAATTTGGCAAATATCAAAAGAAAAATACTTTTTAATACCACGGCTGCGGGAATCAATAGGTATTATACAGCTTATGTCAATACGATGCCCTTTGCTTACCCCGGGCAATGCCTCACCTGTGATCCTCCGCGGAGTGTATGGACTACTGTACTTAGTATAGAGCAATATCATTGGCGCCGTTCGAGTTTATTTATATTAAATAGCCCTTATGAACTATGCAATTCTCCGTCCTTCTTAACCAAAGTCGAACTGGAATAACATACAAGCCATAAGTCGCAAAATTCTCAACAATGTCTCTTTGAATACTTGACTGGATTGCTCTTCTCCTCGAGACAAGGCAAAAATGGACACTTCCACTATTAACTATTACAACTATCGAGGATCATCTATCTGAAGTCCAGTTGGGTCGTATTGGGCATGTATATTTCGAAAATTCAGATCTAAAAGCCTTTGACAGATTTGCCAATATTATGGGTTTATAGAGGCAGCCCTGGAGAACGCAAGGACTCGGATAAGACTATTTACTACCACGGGTATGGCCGAGATCCATATGTGTATGTGGCTCTACTAGTACTAATAGTACCACAAAGCTCCACTGGAAGGTCGCGATTTATGGGGCTACGACTCGGAATGGCACAGCTACTTCCCTTGCTTGCAGATCCCGGTTTGCTACAACGCAACGAATGGTGGGGAGGCTGGCAGCGTGTTCTTGAGGAGTGTCAAGGTATTGCATCTGTTACAGACCAATGGGATAGCAATTTCTGCATTACCGTGGACCCTGCAATCTCTTTCACTATCTTCAAGGCTCTGATATCCTTGGATTTCTACAAAAAGACTAATATCATGGTAGAGCACAATCTCAGCTCCGACATCAATCATTATATCACCATATTGCACCTTCAACTACAGCAATTCGGGAACACTTGGACACTGCCAAGGCTGTTGAAATGTAGGTCATAGTGTTCCTTCAAGCCATGCTAAATCCTAATTGACAAGTGCGCAGTATCTTTTGAAAGCCTCAGTCAATCAGTCCCTGGCCCGCTCTATCACCACCACATTATTCTGATACTGCCAGGTTTCGAGGCGCCGTTGCATCCTAGGTGGTTGCAATTTCTCTCATCCGCTAACACAGTCTTGGCAGAATGTCAATAAAAACTTTGAGTATTATGCGGAATGAGTTCGGGGAGCGCAAATCTGCTTTCAACTCTACCGATCTAACATCGCTTGGATTGAATCAGTCGGGGGATTTGCCATGCAATTCGTCGAGAGTATGACTCAAATGGAGCCTATGGTTAATGAAAAATCTCTTCCGAGGAATTGTGCTGCTAGACATGGATATGCTACTCCGAAAGCCATCTTCGGGCATGGTTCAGATTTCTAAAATATTTAGCGAACCATCTAGTGATGGGAAACTTGATTGAAGAGTGGATACCTCAGGATACCTAGGGACGGGCAGTGCCCCACATGTGTAAATTTTCCGTGCACGGGTTCAACTCATCTATGTATCTTTATTGCTCAAGTGGAGCCATCAGCTTGTAGCTTCAACCAATGTTTGATTTCATTATGTACAATATTCGGTTTTCTATCTCTAATGACTAGGGTAGGTTCACAAGATTTTGATATAGTCAAGTATTCAACATGTTGGTCTAGTGTAACTGTGGTGTTCGTAATGCTACGGAATTAATTGTGTGAGCACTGAGGGGCGCATCCCATATGCAATTAATTTTATAGATTGTGTGGAAAATAAGGTGGTGTGCTAAGGGCTAACAAATATCGTGATAATAGCAAACCATTGCTACATGTGTGGATGGCGATTGCAAACTAAACCACAGTAGGCAGTGGGGGTTGGTCCCTTTTCTGCTTCGGCAGTTTGGTGGAAGACGGTTCCCCGTTAGCTAGGAAAAATATTTTCTTTAAACGAGATTGCCCAGGTAGGGCCAAATTATCTCAAGGCCAAGTCTTCGCACCCAATCATGTTAGTACCAGAATGCCGTGCGAACCGACCTTATCCGCGGAGATTTATTGGTATTCAATTTTTGTTCTAAAGGTTCGAGACCTGTCAAACGAAAATCACGCATAGAATAATGTGTGATGCTAAACCCAGATTAGATGGTGTCAAGATAACAAGGAAAATTTTTCGATCGGGTGATCCGACGATCACGCTACTATCGGCCTAGACCGGTGGCAATTCCACGGGCCGATTCAGGGTCAACACACGGTTATACACCGGGTTGTTATTTTCGGCATGGCCGTCTACTGATAGCAAAAAAAAAAAAAAAAAAAAAGCCTAACCAGAAGTATACTAGAGGAGGAACAGAAAACAGATATAAAGAACTTGGATCAACCAGCAAGTTCAATATCATCAACAACATCCATCATCCACTTCACTCTTCACTTCACTCCTACAATACCATCTTTGGTATCTCGCCATCCAGACCAAATCAAGTCTCCCAACCCTTAATTCACATAACAAGATGGTTGCTGTTCCTCCTCTCGGCGATGGCCCCTACGGCACCAACCTGAGCTCTGCCCGCTCTAGCACTATCGGTGCCTTCACTTCTCCCAAGCTTGTTGCCGAAAGCAACACGGTTGCCCAGTCTGCCAACGCCTCTCAAACCTCCGTGGCAGCAGCTACCCCTCGCCGCCCCACCTGGTTCAAACGACAGTAAGATTACTTCCTGCACTTCTTTTCTTTGATATATGCTAACGAACGCACTTAGGGTCAGCAAACTTGAAGTCAACCTGCATGGCAAATCCTTCTCGGTCTAAGAGATTTGGGCGGGCCCACATGGATGCCGATGATACCATTGGCTAGGACTTTTTTATAATATTTGACGACTAATTTTGATGGAAATGATGGGAATGTATAGATTAATAAAATAATAAAAATAATAATTATCACTATGAACTGAATATTGCTCTGCATCTGTCACAGAAAGCTTGCACATGTAGATAAAACTCATTCTAGCTCACATGGTATCTTTACTACATCCTTCATTTGTCGGTCCTTCGCAATCTTAGTTTGTTCCTGTATTCTTCAACCGTGACATACACGGTAGGGGTGATACATGGATGCCTCAGACAAGAGATTTCTGCTATCCCTTGATTCTTGAGGCCTCCTCTATATAACACATCATCATCAACCCCATCATGATTTCTCTTAGGCGTAACTGTTCAGGCCTCGCTCTATAGCAGCAATCTGCAGGGCCAGGAGAGGAGCAAATTGCCTTGACCACATGAAGCTACCAGTCATGTACCAGAATCCCGGCATGCCGGTCGGCCTCCATACCTATACGCGTGGTTAGCCGGCTGAATAGCTCTTCGAATGGATAAAACCTTACGCCGATTCGCTCTTGACTATCGTCCAAGCTGCACACTTCTCCAACCTTACCCATAACATCCTTCCCCATAATTCGCTCGATAACCTTGATGTTACGCTCGAAGCCCGTTGCCAAGATAACAAGGTCAGACTCAACCTTCGTCCCATCGCCCAAAACAACTCCATCGGGGTAGTATCCTTGAACGCCTTGCTCACATCTCCGGACCTGGATCTGACCATCAATAATCATTTGACTTGCTCCTTGGTCAATATAAAAATGACCCGCCAAAATCAGTTGGTGATCAACCAAACTGTCGCCTTGGTCTCCCTGTTTCACAGCCATTCCGGCATTTTGCAGCCCATCCAATAGGACCTTGTCATTTGCGGTCATCATCTGGGACGCTCCTATACTGAGAGTACGAACGACAGCCGTTGGCATAGAGTTTCCCAGCAAGTCAGCATCCTCAGTGCTCACTCCAGGAGTCTTCCATAGCGGAAGCTGGATGTTTTCCAATGAGCTGAGAGATGTCACATACAGAGAGCCGCGCTGCACCATCGTGACAGTCTCAGCGCCATGGCTAACAAAGTCCTGGGCAACATCGTGCGCACTGGTTCCCGACCCGATGATTGTGATCTTTTTATTCCGCACGTCTGGTGTCAACGCCGCCGATTTATGTTCTCTTGTGTGGTAGATCTGCCCTTTGAATGAATCCTCGCCGGGAAATGTAGGGCGAATTGGAATATCGCTCAACAACCCTGTCGCTAGGACGATATGTCTGGGATTGATTGTTACGGTATCGCCATTCTTGCCCTGCAAATCGACGGTGTAGCGCTGCTCCAGTTCATTGTACTTAATATTGCTCGCCAGAGTGTCATGCTTGATGTTAAGACCCATAGCATGTTCATAGTACTCCATCCACTTTGCGATATGTTTCTGGTCCAAGTATTGAGGCCAGTCGGTTGGATATTTCATAAACGGGTAGTGGTCTGTCCAGATAGGCGTGTGCAACTTTATTGTTTCATATCTAGCCAGCCATGAATCCCCTGGTTGAGATGCTTTGTCCACCACGAGATACTTGAGGCCCAGCTCTTTCAGATGGCTGGCAATTGCAAGCCCGGATTGGCCTAACACTATGGTTAGCAATTTTATCTCACAGCGGGGTCATGACCAACTCACCTGCACCAACCACTAAGACTTGGAGGGCTTCGTCAGGTTGGGTGTTTGATGAGTCTAGAGCTTCTGGTTTATTCAAGTGCTCAAGCATAGTGAATACCGTCCATGCCTTCCATCGGGCAGGCCCAACATTCGCTAGCCTAAGAACACCCCTTCCAGTGCCGAAATTGTTCTTAAAAGTAAAGCCGGATTGGATGAACCTCAGTCCTCCCATATCAGCTAATTGCGATTGCAATACGCCGGGTTGGTCTGCCTTCGCCTCTGCAAATCCAGTCGTTGAGCTACTAAGATATCTGCATATGGCTTCGGTTCCATTATGACATGCGATATCCCACGAAAAAGAAACGAAATCTCTCCACCACGACTCTTTTTCAAGAAAATGGTCAAGGATATCAACAGGCTGTCCTTTGGCTAAATTTGACGTGAAAGACGAAAGCCACTCGTTGACAATTTTGCTCGCATCGAACTGCTCCGGCTCCACAGATTGGTGGAGGGTAAGGTGCGGAAGAGCCGCCAATGGTGGGAATTCATGAGACATTTTAGGGAGCAGCTATATCCCAGGGAGAAAAGGAAAGTATAACAGAATATTTGAGAGAGAAATAAGAAGAAATTCTATTTGCCGATGATGTGAGGCAATAGATGATCTTTATATCCCAGAAATCCATACTTTCTTACATGGTCAGCCTCGAGTATTCGTCCAAAATAGGACTAGCGTCCATCTCAAGTTATGGTCGATCGGCTCCACACAAACCAACGATATCCACCTTCTTCCAAAATATAACGCGAAGAAGCAAGTGTTTCCACAAAAGTGCTTATGACCCTAGATACACTCAACAAATGAAAAAGCTGTGACTATACCTTGCACGAAAACAGTTACTGCTTTGAGATTGCGAGCTTAGCGTTTCAATCAGCAAAATCCTTTGTCAGATGTTTGGGGGCCAAAAACTCGCACTCGTGTCCTTTCGCTTCCATATCGTCGTGTCAAAGGTTTTTAGAGCTGACTTGTTGGAGACTCAAAGGCCCATTATCTAACCAGTCTTTATTAAATGCGGATATAATTCCCCCCTAAAGAGCCGACCGTGGAAATGCCCCCAAACCCGAATACCCGTAAAAGAACGGGATGCCTAACGTGCAGGCAACGCCACATCCGATGCGATGAGCAACGCCCACATTGGTACGTGCATCCTTTTTTGTGAAGTTTGGATTGCGTGGGCAAGCCTTGGTAAAGGGAGCATGATCAAATATTACCGCGAGACAATTAAAGACCCACCGGGATACTTTGCTAACCGCTATTTTGGCAGCCAAAAATGTCTTACTGGTCAAAGATCATGTAAATATCCACCTGTCACTATCCCGCTTCGGGATCGAAGGATGTTGGAAAATAAGAGGGTCCCACCGGGCCAGCTAGCTCCATGGGCTTCGGTGCATACACCTGGTAGTATTACCAGTGTAGAATTGAGGACGAGCACAGCGCTGGATCCCTTCGACATGCTCCCCGTGAAAATGCCATTTAAGTCACAAGAACTATACCACTACTGTAGGTCCTTTGTCGATGCTTTATGCAGTCAATATTAACCGCTCGAATACAGTTTATCAAAGTGGAGCCGCCTTCTCGGCAGCTCCGTCAAATCCAAAAGAAGACTGGTCTGTTCATTCCTTTTAACTTTGAAGTTGACCTATGCTGAGTGGACTTCAAAAGCCTTGCCCTAGCCAATCTGGATAAACACGCACTCCGAAGCACTATTATAATCGCTGGAATACACTATTGTTGGAACACCGGTGACTTGCGGTCTTATGATTCTGCCTTTCTTTTCCACAAGGTTGAGAGTATACGCATAATCAACAGATGGCTTGAAGTTGCTGATTCTCAAACATTCGTGGTTTGCGTGCGACAAATTTTAACGATATGTCTAGCTGAGGTGAGTCTTGATACCTCGCAATCAACCATAAAGACTCAAAGCCTAACTACTCATCTTGTAGGCTTGTCTTGGCAATGTTACTGAAGCAGAAATTCACTTGAATGGCGTCATGGCCCTTTTTCAAACTCGTGGAAAAGTGCACGACCCTTGGAGCAAAATTGATGATGTAGCAATAGAGCTCACTAATCGTTACCTTATTCTGTAAGTATTCCAATTTATGAGATAGGATATTCATAAACTAACCTTTTACTCGTTCACTACAAATAAAGTGTATCATGTTTTGTTGCCTGCTTGAAGAGCCGACTGGCAGGTTTTGTAGAGGTTTGCAAGGCCCAAGATGTCGATCCAAACGACGACGGGACTTCGGCCGCGGCTCTACGCCTAATTAAAACATGGCACAGAATGGAACACGGAGGCCTTCATGCGAGATTGAAAGCTCTGCGGATGTTTCCTTACTTCTTCAGCTTTCCTCCGATCGACCGTCGGCCGAAAACGATAGACCCTTCGCCAGTCATTGACTGTATTAGGTATATCACTGCAACGATGGATTGGTATCACAACAATCCCACACCTCGCAATCTGAATCAAGTGTGGAACGAAGGCGGTCCGACAGAGCTACTAGCCGTATTGGTTGATGCTCACGTATCTTCTTTCGCATCTGATGACAACGAAGTACGATCTTCAGACAAGACAAACTTATCCCAGCCTCCTCCTCCCCGCACTTCGTGGAGTGGTATAGGGGCAACGGCGGAACTATATGTGCTCAGTGTTCTTGCCATGACTGATGGAGGTGAACCGCTCGAGTGCCGATTATTTTATCGCCTTCTTCTGATAATGAAACAAGACATTACTCAGGTTCACGGTGATCTTGGTGGAGATAATGGCCAACTCAGTCAATCTATTTGGTTCTGGAAAGTCTTCATTGGAGCCTTGGCTTTGGCTAAGAGCCAAATCCACCATAGAGCCATCGATATGAAGTGTGTGAATTGTCCCGGTAAGAAAGAAATGGCGGGGCTTTTCGAATGGTTTTGTGGCCGAGCTCGAGCTTGGAGTAAAGCCACCGGCATAACCGACTGGGGGGATGCGGAGGCTGTACTAGTAAGTGTCGCCTGGCCGGTTGCCTTGCCTCGAGGTGGAAATGACCATGCAGCGAGTACGTGGGATAGTGTGTGTCATAAGCAGGTGTATATTTAGACCGGTTTGGCGTCGAGTCAAAAATAATGGCACTACTTCATTCCTCAAAGGTCCAATCAAGTTGATTTAAGGGACCCCTTTACGATAGCTAGATCGGAATAATTGAATTCTACTATGTACTAGTACTAGACCCTTTCTTCTCTATGTTGAATATTCTTTCTTTCATACTATACTCTACATTTTACATGTAGTTTGGCTAGCTAACAGGTGCATCGGTTTACATGATGAATCATATAGTATTGTTCAAGAAATTTGCCACAAATCCATCTCTAAGAACCCATAAGGTCATAACTAAAGCGTGGAGCATCGTATTTAATTATACAAACATTCCCGTTCCCCAGTACCACGCCAATCGATCGGGGCGCTCCTATTTGTAAGAAAACGGCTCAAGCTCATGAACAGGTGGATAATAGCCTGCATCCATTTCTTGTGGAGTTGTATTCGATGCTTCCGGCTGATAAAATGGACCAGATCTTGCGCTTATGATAGGTGGATCCTCGGATAGTAACTGAAGCTTTTTTTGTTTCTGACGATAAAGAAACCATCCAAGGGCCGCAATCAGTGCAACGCCTACGACAGGGCCAACTACAGCCCCCGCGATCCAGGCTTTACTCGAACTATGTGGTTCATCCGTAGTGGCAGGGGATTCAGTGGATGGGGCCGTCGCCGTTGCAGTAGGCGAAGTTGTTGTGCGCGAGATCGCTGATGTGGACGAGGAACTTGAAGATTCTAGAGTCATAGTCAGTTTATTTAGTCGACCACTTCTCACTTTGGGTGGCTAAATACTTGAGCTGGTTGAGGTCGCTGGTAATTCACGAAATACCGTGTAAGCGGCCCAGGCTTCTGCGCAGAAGAGATTGCTAGCGGACGGTGTTGCATATGGTTCTGACTGGAAGATTGTCATGGTACGACATATATTGCTAGATTCGACAGAGAAAAGAGAGATACGAGGTCAGTGGCGAATCTTAGTATCCAACATGATTTGACTTCTTGCGACTCACCAGGAAGATGTTACCCCGTCATCATAAGTAATGCTATTTTCCACACAGTCTGTGGCATAAGCGCAGGCGCCAGTAGCGGAACATCCACGTGCATAATCCCCAGATGTAGTCCATGTAAGTGGATCTGTCATTGCTTGGGCTGTACAGTGCTTTCTCAGTTATAGTCCTTCTGGAAGGGAGATAGAGTGCGATTGTGGGCTATACTCACTAGTAGAGGGGCCTAAATACCATCCGATGAACCCAGTTTCATTCTCTAGTGTCGTATTTACTGCGGTAGTTTGGCCCAAGACCACATCGGGCCATATTATGCTGCTCGCAATCATGAGCCATGCTGAAAATGGCGCGAACGAGGTCAAAATCATTGAAATCACGATACTGGGCACTGCGAGAAAAAAGAACTACGCATCGAAAAAAGTGGAAAGGGGGAATGGGAAATGGGCATGAGGACAATCTTGTATTCACTAATTACACCCAACCAAGCTAGTTCAATAGGCGTTCGACTACCTACTGTTTTTACGGTGTAATCCGAGATTGTCTGGCTTCTGAATTGCTTGCCAAGCACCTAAAGCAGCAGGGATAGTTAGTCCTCCAATCAACAGCAGATCTAAATCGCAGGTCTAGGGAGTAACCAATCAGCGGCCCGGATCTCGGCACGACCAATGCACCTAAGCCGCATCCCTGTCGATTCGTGATACACTAGTAATCAGTTGAACCGATCCCCCACTGTGGTCCGTGGAGGGTCAAATAGTTCCCGTATTTTATGTTAGGCGCCGGGTTATGGTGAGCAGTGGGGTCTCCCACTCGCAAAATCCACTATCTCCTCTGCTCGGTCCGAAGCGCTGAGTTCTGAAAGCGCTAACTTCACGGTACCCCCCTATCTCGACCCTGGGAAATGATTTCTTCTTTGTCAATTATTCCTTTTTATCTCTTTGTTAATTCATTTTCAGACTCTTACTTACGCATCTGAAGGAGAGAGGACTGTTCTTTTCTACCTACCTTGGGGACTCAGTGATTTAGACTTGATACACTGCGCTGCTTTGCCCTTCAGAAGCTCCGCCTCGATGTTCTCAATCTCCAACTCCAAGTCTGCGCGCTCAATACGCTTTTTCGTCGCTTTTTTTATCGCTGTGATCCTCTTTGGCTCATTTTATGCGGGCTGGGCCCCAATACACGTGGCACTAGTTAGCCCCAATACCTCTTCATATACGACTGCGACGGGTGACACAAGCTCAACTCGACCAGCTCCTCCTCAAAAATCATTACCTGTCCACTCTGGATATCCAGCTACTATCATTGATACCTCCATAAAAGGCATTCCAGATAAAGTGTGGCATTCAGCCAAAACTTATAATCTATCGGGGCAACAACATGAATGGATCGACAGCTGGACAGTCTCAAATCCATCTTCCCGCAACGAACTTTTGACCGATCTCTCGGCTGCGGCTTTCGTTCGAGCACATTACCAGGAAACAAGACCGGACATTGTTGATGTTTACGAGAACCTTCCAATACCGATATTGCGGGCAGACCTTCTTCGTTACCTGATCGTCCTCGCTGAGGGCGGATACTGGAGCGATTTAGATGTCCAATCTGAGAAGCCAATGTCCGATTGGGTGCCTCTCGAATATAAGGATGAGAAGATCGATATGATAGTCGGATTAGAATTTGACTTTGAATGGAGAGGGCCGGGAACGGAGGTTGCATCGCAATTCTGCAACTGGGTTTTCTCAGCGCGGCCGTCATCGCGCAATCTACAAGTTATTGTCGATGCCGTTATCGCCAAAATTAAAGAGATTGCCGATTCCAACCACATCCCTGTTTCGGAGATCAAGCTGGAGATGCTCTTTGATGTCGTCAATGTGACTGGTCCCAAGATCATGACGATTGCTATCTTGGAAAGTCTCGGACAGCTGCTGGGCAGGACTGTCGATGATCGCGACTTTTCGGGTATCAAACACCCCAAATTAGTTGGCGACGTTCTAATCATGCCGGGGGTTTCCTTCGCTGCACGTCAAAATGGATACCCGACTGATCAAGGAGATGCTCTTGTGACGCATCATTACGAAGGCTCGTGGAAGCAAGCTGATGCAGAAGCTAAAGAAAGAAAGAAGCAAAAAGAGTTGGAAGAATCAACAGCTACGGAGAATTAATTGTACGTTACAAGAAGAAAGAATGAGCGAATTACACATTGAGAGTTACAGAAGGCACAGCAGATTATTTCTGACATTTGTACTACTGCGAAATTATGGAAACAAGGATGATTTTTTATGTTCAAGACGATTAATATTGAAGAGGGGAAATAGGCCTGTATTGGAATACTAGTACAATCGACGATATACCCCCTCCTGTATCTTAAATTTAGCCTGTCCTCCGCTCTAGAACATTCGAGCAGACTGATTGACGAGCCGAGTCCGACAGGAGTTTTCCAACGAGGGCCTGAATGTGCATCTTTGGAGAGTAGGAATCTTCTCAGCTCGTAATATAAAGAATCTACAAAATTTCACGAGAATATTATTAAAGATCTGCGGATATTTATGGACATTAAAATTATAAAATGGAAAAGTTTTACCTTGCTTAATATTTCGAGACAAAAATATTTTTCCTGGGAGAAAATTTTTGGCTGAGAATTTTAGGGACATCTATTTTTAACCCGAACTTGAAATTATCAACGTGAAACATTTGTGGGTTATATCTTTCAGTACCACATAACATTAGAATTCTATAATATTCAGGAGCGAGAAAATTATACCTATCACAATCTTCTCCCTACTGAATATTCTGTTAGTAGAACTTTCGCTGGTGGTGGGGCGCTCGTCGGCGTCTCGCTTGATCGTCAGCGTTTCGCCGAGGCGAAAGGCGCAAAACAAAGGTACATTTCACAGGATGCTACGATTGTCGTACAACGTGGATGCCACACGATATACATTGTCTCTCGAACTCCTATGTCCTAGGATGTGCCACGGTGCTCACACCAGCGAAAATACCCACGATGTATACGATCCCCGGAGTCCTTAGCCGCGGTCCTCGAATTCAACTGAGATCTCTCGATGGAGACGGTCACTTGAACTCCCGTTTCCTAACCTGTGCCTCAATTTCCGTATGAGCTATCGGCGACGATCCCCACGATCTGGTGAATACCTCCTTTCTCAGTGAGGAAGACGGCCTTATTTAGCCAATTATGTCTAGCTATTACCCTCCACCATCCATTACCCACCCGCACTCGCTATCCTAACTTGCTTGGGGGGACCGAGCCACTCCAAAGTGGAGAAAGAAGTAACATCGAACCAATCATATCGACTTTATAGACGCCGCTTCTGATCGTTGGTGCCTCCATTAAACTGGAGAGCGAAAACTCCCAATTTGCCCAGGCCCATGGATTACCTCTATACCCCTTTTTGGTACCTTACAAATTTATGAATAGGAAGTAAATGATTTGATTGCCTGGCTGGAGCTATCCTAAATCACTCTCAATCTGCAACTATAGAAATGAAACCAGTCTCGCTTGGGATGGGAAGTCCTCTAGACCTAAGCTTGCGAGCCCTCTTAGCTCTTTCCTTCGAAGACAGGCTTCCCCAATTTTCGTACAGGCTTAAGTCCGAGCATGAAATTTCCGCTATGTGGCCCTGATCAGGAGCCTCCTGCAGTAATTCGGTGTCAGACGTACCCCCGGGTAACAAAGAAGCGTGTGGCCAGCCGTCAGCATTAGCAGGCACTTGGGGAATATTCCACTGTTCGCCATTTCCTTCAGCACCAGTCTCTTCTGGAGCGGGCTCAGGCTCTGCTGGAGCGGGCTCAGGCTCTTCTGGAGCGGGCTCAGGCTCTTCTGGAGCGGGATCAGGCTCTGCTGGAGCGGGCTCAGGCTCTTCTGGAGCGGGCTCAGGCTCTGCTGGAGCGGGATCAGGCTCTGCTGGAGCGGGCTCAGGCTCTTCTATGAAAGACTCGGTTTCTTCTGTGGCAGGCTCGGGGGCAGGCTCGGGGAAACACCCAGTCTCTGCTGGGGAAGGCTCAGGCCCTTGAAGAGGAGATTCATTTGAGATAATGCCGTTCGGTGTCTTCACTAACAACGTAAAACATTAGTTCAGCCTGATCAGCATATCGTTAATTTGTTGTAAGTGGCTTACCGCGCTGATCTTTCATAGAAGATAAACGAATAGATAGTATCTCGATAATCAATTTCATCACCGCATTATCAAATTATGGTCTTGGCCGATGATATCGTAAAATTCGCCTAAATCAAGCCCTGGATCATTAGGCCTTAGTTGTCGCTGCAATTTTTCTTGAATGTAACCTAGAAGCCAAGTTTCACCAGCAGGGAGGCTTGAAAAAACGCCCCTCATGACCCGCAGTATCTCAATAATAGGAAGCTCGTCATCGAAGTGCTGCATCTTTTGCTGAGCAAGGACTTCAAGATCAGTAAGACCCCAAACCCTTGACGCATGGTAGACTAAAACGCTCCTATTATACTCTCTAGCGAGATCTGACGTGCCTCCGCCAAGAGGCGAGCTGACCGTCTCGTAGCCACCTGTGTATAAGAAGTGTATCACGGTATGCCCAACATCTTCGTCAACATGGGACAAGATAAAAGTCGATATGCCAAGTCTTGAAGGGGCAAACTTTGGGTAGTTTCGAAGGAAATGAGCGGGAATGTCATATCGCTTGCTTCCTATAATGAGGGTAACAAGAGGGGATTCGTAGGGCCAGTAAATAGGTCAGAAAATGCTGGTTGCTACTGATTCAAAGAACTCACGATGACGAAGGCCGATGATAGTCAATTTTGGGAGAGATCTCAGGGGTGAGGGATCGCCCGGGAAGCCCATTGGGCTTGCGCTGTTTCGTTTTCTTCTTTACCATTTTTTGGTCTACTTTAACTTTTCTGGCTATCAAGTGATCTCTGAATATGTCAGAAGAATTATATGAAAGATAAAAGGGAGAGAAGGCCTGACTACATCTAATATAGCCGGGAGTGGTGAGAAGCAGGGTAATTAATGCAAGTATGAGTTGTCCTGCAAAGCGGCCGGAACACGTCATCTGTGCAGTGAATGGCAATTTAGTGTTAGTCATTGAAATTCAATGAGTCAGTAGATGGACTACTACGAGTAACTACTTTCTCTTCGGTCCTTGGTCATGGAGATAACTTATCCGACAAGCTTATGTGTGGTGCTGATGATCGCCCGGGTCGTGAACGGAACCGGGCCGACGCGAGACTGTTCCACGTTGCGCTGAAAGGGAAAAAAGAGCGGCGAAACGAGGAACGAGCGGGGTAAATGAGCTGTCTATGTCTAGTCGAATAGGGAGCAGGGGAGCTTTATTCGACCAATTGGCCTCAATGATAAGCCTCCATTGGGATTCTTTCTCGGTCATGCCTCCCAACCACTGTGCGCTCTGTAGCGTACGATCGGAACCCACAAAAAGGATAAGAGAGGAGAAAAGCGCTTAGACGTTGAGTGGCTTAAATTTCCCTAATTAATATGAGCGAAACACATCTACAATCCATAGAAGAGCAAATCAGAGCTTCGATAGTTAATTATTGGCTGATAGTATAGCAATTTCGAGAAAGCCTCTTTCGGCATTTTCAGACGATAAGTGCAATTCATATTGCCCATGCTGAGCAGCTCTGCGAATTAGAGGCTTAAATGGCATAATTTGTTTGATGGCTTTAACAGAGACTCGCTACGAAATGTCAGGCTGTGTCTCGACGCCGCCGTAGAAAATATCCTAATGAAGGTACACGTTTGCTTTACTACTAGGTTTAGACACCTGTATCTGGATCAGTATCTCTGTGACTTGAGAATGATCAAGCCAAAGTCTCTCGGAAGGTCTAGGAATGCTGTGGGTTATACTGAGCTCCTCTGAGAAACGGACTACACCAGTAAATATGCCTAAGAAGTCTGCTTTGCAAATGGGGACAATGGACGATATAGACAAAGGCCTGTCTTCTTTTGGTAAAAGGATTGCGCCTGCTCTTTTGGTATCGTAAGTGTAGGATGCGAGATTTTGCATATGGTATGTTATGGACGATGTTGACTGGATTCCGGCGGCGGCGAGTTCCTGAGTATTTGCATGGGGCTACTGGTTGTAATTGCGCAAAGATCTACCCGTTGCTCCCGCTCTTCCGAAAATCCTCCACAAGAGAAAGGCTTGATTGAGGTCATCAAAGAAAAAGAACTACAAAAGGAGCAAAAAGAAATGCATCATCCGTGAATCGAACACGGGCCTCGTCGATGGCAACGACGAATTCTACCACTAGACCAATGATGCTAGTTGTTGTGGAGACCTATTTTTTTGGCACTATACCCCACTCAAGTTGATGTGTCTCCACATCTCTGTCTAACAGGCGCCCTCTCAAGAACCCGCTACACAGGGACTGTTTAGAAATGTGGTTTAGCCTTCAGCGACGGCTACGGGTACTTTTAAGATTGAGATCCTATAGCCCCAGAGCTTTAATTCAATCGTGATCGATGTGATCATATTGTCAACCTTGGAAATAGGTATGATCCCTCAGACCCATGATCTTTTTGACCAGCTCCAGCGTTAGAATATATATACTAGTACTAGTATTCCCGAGTCGTTCCAAGGTTGGGCCGGGAATAAATTCTTCAAACTCGGGCTCCATTTCAACTTGAGCCTTGGAACTTGAACATCAGAATGAGGCTTGGAACCTTAGAATGTTCCAAGGTTGCTGGAATAGTACGTGAGATGTGTCGGGTTAGGCCTGCGGAGCCATAATGTAATAAAAGATTTTGGTACATTACCAGACAATCTTAAGCTCTGAGTCTACTAGTATCCGTGGCTCGGGTCTTTCATGCAAATTCGTACCAATTGTATTCATAAGTTGCATCCAGACCATGACTTGATCGGTAAATATAGTGCAATTAGGGGAATCTACTGGCGGATAAGTAATACTACAGCGAGATAGAAGCTAGGAATAGTAAGAATATACAATGTCTTATTCAGTAGAATGCTCCGACCAGAGACTCTTACTGTAATTATATCCCCTACGACAAGCAATAATCTTATGTGAATTCTGATGGAAATCTGATAGAAACAGGAAGGTGAAAAAAAGTAGAATTCTTCAAGTTGGCAATAACAAATGTTTTTACCTCTCCGCAAACTTTTCTATAGCGGCTTTTAAGGATTGGCGGCTTTCACGAATTACCTTCTTGATTAATTCTTTGCAAGCCTTTAGATCCTCCGATTCCTTTCTCTTTGCTTCGTTTTTTTTTCCGGAGGGTCAATTCAAGTTGACAAAGAAGGTATATCATTACACATTTATAATACTCTTCCATTGTTCATCGTGCTAGGGAGTGACATTTTGGTTTCGAAATGATTGATTCATAACCTTGGAAACATCTCTCAAAGAGACAAAGGAGCCAGAAATATGTACAAGAGTGAGCTCCGTTTTTGACATGAAAAATCCAAACAATAGACACCAACCATTAACCCAAATCCAATATCCAGCTCGCTAGAAACAATATTCAAACATCACATCTCATCCCTCGAGCTAATTACACATATATGGCTCACATTATCCATTTCGCGAGTCTTGACCCATATCTGGCCCACCCAGACCTAGATCGTAGGCACTCAAGGGTAGATTCCCGGCTCCGCCAAATCCAGACATATCAGAGACATTTGGAGCACCACCCCCACTGGCGGTACCCGGTACCGAAGCCTGAGGGGGGCCTGGTGGAGGTGGATTCCCAGGAGGCGGAGCACCCATGCTACCCATAGGATCTAGATTGAATGGAAGGAACCATGCGCTAGGTTGATAGTATTCACCTGTTCCAGATGGAGCACCTGGATCTAATTGGCCACTGAAAAGAGATTGATCTGCACTATGCGTTTCGACTCCATTCACAGGTGGCGGAGGCATGGGCGGAGGATTGGTAGGCATGAAATTTGTAGGATCGAAGTCCGAAAATGAGCCGTAGACAAATTGGCGATCAAGTTGTGGTAGTTGGTCCGGTGCGACGTTGAAGTCGAATTGACTGAATGACATAGCCCGATTTGGTGGGAAGACGGATGGCTGGGGAAATGCGCTTCCTGGAATGCTCGGGGTGTTTCCCATAGTGACTTCCATAGATTGTGATGGAGATGTTTGATCGATACTGGAAGTACTGTCTGACAACTTGCTGTTCTTTCGTGATCGTGCTTTGCGAGGCAGAGCGGGCTGTGGCGTTGGTGAAAGGCTGGCGAAAAAATCTTCCACGCTTTGCAGGTCTGGCTTCTGGCCCATCACTGCATCCTCGCCTGTTTCCTTATGCCGGGTATCTGGATCCTCCCAGTGTAGTCGTGAAACGCCATGGGGATACTTGGAAAACCAGTCACCGTATTGGAACATTGGAGCGAGCGAAGTACCATTCTGTGTTGCTATAGATCCCTTAATAGCGACATCTGCAAACTGCCGATACCGATCCTTGGCACTCTCAACCATATAATGGAACATTCCCCAATACTTCTTCATCTTGTTGAGATACCGATAAGTATGTCTGAGATTCTCTTTGGACCGAGCTTCAAGCTGCGGGTTTTTTGAGAATATGCCCCAGATGTGAACTGTACTAGCTGTGTATGCGCAATAACCAGCAAAAGGTACTGTAAGTGGATACGCTGAAGCTCGGTCAAAAAGGACTGAAATATGATGCGCAGCCTCAACTGCTGCGCGGCCAGCATTGCTTAAAAATGGCTTCGGCATATCCCTGGGTGGCCGTCCTCCAGGGGACAGAGGGATGGCGAACTGGTTCAAGAACAACATGTTTTGATGAATAATTATATGGAGAAACAAAAACTGATTTGCGATCTTCTCGGCAGCATGAATCTGCAGGTTCTCGTATGTGAAGATAAGATGCCCGGGTAGTGAAGCAGAGAACTCTTCAATCTGTCGCTTCAATCGCATGTATCCCGAATCGGGATGCCAAAGGGGCTGTGTGTCCTTTCTCTTTCCCCCAAGATTAAGGTAGTCAACGAGGCGGCCCCAGATAACAATAGCACGAATGATATATGCCGAAACGCCCATATTATCTTTGGCATTTGACAATTGGCCGGAGTCTTCGGGTGTTGGATTTAAGATATCCCCATCTAGATCCTCCGTGGGCCCAGGTATCTCCATTTGGAAATGAGTTTCTTTTATGGGTAGTTGGATATGTAAAAATTTCTCGTTTCCAATAGGAGGGCGTTGACTTCCCGAGGAGTTATATCGGTCCATCAAGAAGCATGCCCACATCGTTCGGCGTCGAATTTCCCGGTCGGTAAAGCTTAATTGCGAATTTCCGTTGCCTTGGCCAATTAATGGGTCACTTTCAAGCTCTTGGTGAAGCTGCAAGGCATAGGCCATCCTTAATGCCTGTCCTCCAAATGACCAACTTCTTCCGCCGTGGCATGTTCCAAATTCATGAAGACCCAAGAGAAGAAAGACCGTAAGAATGGTGATGTTAGGCTCGTCATGTCGACTTAGCGCGATAGCTGCAGCTGGGTTGGCCCAGTTCTCGCCCCGTAAGAAAGGGGGCTCTGAGTTGAGTTGTGGATGCGTTGAAAATCGAGCCGAGACAGCACAAACTGCAAGAATTAATACTGGTGGGACTGTTCCAGCTTTGAGCCTCCGCATAAAGCTAGGTTTGTGTAATAAGAGATAAGATTGCCCGTATACACAATCAAAGAATACCTCGGCGAGGTGCTCCTGTATCTCCAGCGAAGGCAAGAATTCCGCTCCCTCGGTCAAAAGTCCCGACCCATCGGTGGACTTGATGTCGCGATTCATGGGGAACGTATCCGGGGGCGGACGGCGATCTCCACGGGTCCAGTCATCCATTTCTGCGGCAAATGCCTCATCTGCGCTGCGCTTTTTCTGTTGTCTTGAAGACTGACCTGGTGCAGAAGGCTTTACCACCGACCTGCCGATAGAGGCCATGTCTCTCGTCTCATCCTTGGGGATCGTCTTGATGACGCGATCTTCCATCCGTTTCAGTCTCTTATCTAGCATGGCCATATAATCTGTTCTAGGCGCAGCCTTTCTCGTGGTGACCTTATATACGCAAGGTATGCGTGAGCGCGTGCAGTGTTTGCAAGCTGGTTTCTCGCCCGAGCACCGAATCTTCTTGCGCCGACATGCGATACAAGCCAGCGGTAATCGCTTCCGCTCTTTACCAGCTTTGGTTTTCAGTTCGCTCCATTGGGGCTTATCTGCTGGGTCCCCGCTTGCCGAGTTTGGGTCTGCGCCCGCATCGTCTCGGGTAGTGGCATCGTGTTGGCTGTCTAGCGTACCGTTGTCGGGGCCCGCCGCGGGGTCAACGGTCTGTGTGCTACCGGGGTCGCGGGAGCTTGCATGGCTTTGGGTATCAAAATCATCTAATATAGCGGTAGAGTCCTCGTGGGTGAAGCCAAAGCCCATGCCAGAGGCTTTCAATGGCGAATCATCGGAGTCCGGAGGGATCATGACGGGTGCGGGTACCCCAAGACCCAAGCCCGAAGCATCGTTCGGCGCGAGTAGAGGGGAAAAAGGATGGGGGGAAATATCCCTGCCAGAAGAAGCGCGGGAGTAGCCGGGGATAAGGGCGAGGGTTGGATACAGGGACAGATCAGAGTCGGGCGTTGGGGGATTTTTGAGAGAGGAGAGGAGCAAAAGGCGAATAATATGGGGAAAGGTTCGGCGGCGAGGGTTGGTCTTGGCACTGAGCGTCCACTGGCAGCACTGGGATTTAGTATTACCAATTTGAAGCTCGACAACACCCTACATCGGATACCGAGGAATTCACGCCTTTGGTTATTTAATTCTTAGCACTCCAAATTTCGGATTATGAGAATTAGAGAAGCCGTTAAGAGTCACAAAGCAGAAAAGTCACAAAAAAAGAGCTGTGCAGGGACCCACGCTAAGGTTACAACGCTACATCCGGACTCGGTTATGTACGATGGTGACAAAAATGGATGTCTCAAGAGAACTTTAAATCTTAATCTGCGCAGTAAAACTGCGGCTGCGTTATATCATTCATTATATATGGACACAGCACGAGGGTTATCCATATCCATCATGAATTGCATATCCTTAGCGTGAAAACCGAGCTCCTTGCATGTGGTCCACATTCGGCCCGAGTCGCAAAGCAATTGACCTAAGGTACTGTATAAAACGCTGTAATCAACAAAGGATGGAAATTCCATTGTCCCGTTACTTGATTGAATCGACGCTATTCATATCTCACCTATGCTAGTCGGATAGCATTTCTAGGTATTGTCGTGACCATAACCGTTCATCAAATACTTTCGAAGTCATCGTTTCCTCTCAATTACAGGTCATTGATACCGTCGACCACCTTGACTAGCCGCTTCTCGAGATTCGGCTTTCTACTATGAGGCCTTGGGGCGTCCCACGCGACCACGGGGGGTAGCTTGTTCCAACGAAGCCAGGATCTCTGCTCCGAGGGAGTAGATGCTGTATGTTGGGAATACAATCCACAGACCACTGTTTAAGCCTTTGTGAGTAAGAATCCTTATACAACGGGAGCGAAACTGAAACTCACTTGGGAATAATCCATAAGGCAATAAGAGTCAAAGCATCGTTGTGGCCAATGTTGTCAAATCCAGAGAAGACCTCGTTCAACCCTGCTCTCATTAATTATGATTCAATAGATTTTGCGCACTGCAGTACTTACAGTATAGAATGGTCTTGCTGAGGGTCATCACGGATGCAGTGTAGGCAACCATCAGCGCAATTGCGCCGGTTCGACCAGCGACAACCTTGTCACCCGTCAACAGCCATAAGAATCCCTTTTGCTGTTTTTGCGCTCCGCGACCACTAGCAACAGTAGCGCCATGTCGGTATACAATCCACAGATAATAGAGGTATCCGAGAGTTTCGACGACATTCAGGGCAGTTTGAGCAGCGGTGAATCCATTGCGCGCATTGAACGCGGGCCAGCCATAGATGTAGTCAATCCTCCCATAAAGCGCGTAGGGTGTCCAGAGGGGAGAATGCAAGCGCCCACCGGGCATACTATGCGGTCGCAACAACACATAGCCAGCATCCCAAATGACTAGCGGTACGGAGAAGACAAGCCAGAGGGTGAGCGCGACCGAGGGCGTGTGTACCCATTTGCGCGAATTGCCGTTGGTGGTCGGCGCAGGCGAGGACTTGACGAGTTCCTTCGCGGCGCGCGTAGGGGAGGGGAATTCCTTAGGATGATGTCGAGTGGAGACCATGGTGGATGAAGGAGGGGGATTGCGATGTTCACAACCGAGTCGCAAGTGTATACAGAGTCGCGCGATCGCGAATAGCACCAGGTGGATCCTGTTCAAAGATTATAAAGAATGGAGAGAGGTTCGTGTGCGAGAAATTAGGAAATTAACTAGTTTGTTTTAGCGCCTCTGGGAGAAATGCTGGGGGGGGCATGCCACAGCTCGATTGACGACCAGTGACGTCGTTCGAGCGCCCGAGGTGTTCGTTTGCGGGCAGGTATGCAGCAGACCGACACGCTTTGGGTCAAGATTTGCCTCCCACAAAGCAACCACTTTGTTAAGTGGGACTCGACCTATCTGTTAGTTCTCGTTCACTTCGCCTTTTGGGTTCATCACACAAGTATCATGATCTTTACCCCACGAGACGGCTCGTGCATTCCGGGGCTCGATCCAATCGGCGTAATTTAAAGCCCTCTTTTGGTGAGATTGGAAATCTTATCCCCTCTGCACTCCCTATATCGTATTGGCAGGCTGGGAAAGTTGAATCACGCAGGATTCAACCGAGGGTGACTCCGATGCCCCTATTCAATAGCGTAGAAACACATGTACACCGTGCGGGGACTTTTCTTCTCAACACCTGAACGGCGGTCACGTTTAACTCCTTATGTTTCAGGCATCAAACCCGACCTAAAAGCAGTCTAGCGTGGATTTAGACTTTGAGAGACTTCAGACCCTGAGTGCCTCCTGAGCAGCAAAGGACAAGACAGACACTCAGAAATAGACATGGAAGACGACCACAAGGTACGGAATAGCCTTCAAACTGTGCTGTGAACTGGGTGCTGACGTGTAGGAAAGAATCTGGAACGGTTGGCTCGTGTGCGCGACAATCAGCGCAAAAGCCGAGCGAGGAAGCAAGAATATGTTCGAGAACTCGAACTTCGATTAGGGGACAGCAATGAGCAAGCCCATAAAAAAGACATAGAATATCGCTTGTCCATGCAGAAATTGGAGGCGGAAAACCGCCACCTCAAAACGCTGTTGGGATCTCTAGGTGTATCCCCCGACCTAGTCCAACAATACGTACATCTGGCCAGCCAAGGAACTGTAGTAGACCAAAAGGTTGCAATTCCTGCAGCCCCACGCCCAAAAGAAGAGCCATCGCCCGAGCCGGCTTCAAGTTCTAATGAGGCTCGATTACAGCCACCTTCTGAAAGCATTAGAACACCAGAAGTTCAACTACCGGAGGTCAAAGCATCCTCTCACGTCCAGGTTCAGAATCCATCTTTATGCGAATGTTTTCCAGATCAACAGATCGGAAACTCATGCTCATCCGATGGAGATGTCCTTAATACTACGCTTTGCTCGATCGCAGAAGATCTTGTCCGTCAGTACAATGCCCGGGGAATTGACACAGACGAGATTCGTCAAAGGCTTTGGGCTGGCTTTAAAAAAGGACAAGTAGGAGAAGGTTGTCGAGTTCAAAACAATATGTTATTTCAAGTGTTGGATGATATTAGCAACGGGATTTGATATTGTCAATCGACGTCAAAGTCACTCTGGAACCCCAGTACCATTCAGGATGATTTCATTGATGCCATTGGCATCACCTTTCAAACCACTTGAATGCATATACTACTCCAAGAGGCACAGGAGCTTTCTAAGAGGCCCAACAGTTGCTGCAAGGACCCGATCACTGTCTACCCCGAATGTTGCAATTGCCACAGCAATAGCTAGCTCGAGACTATTACTAGCTGCAGTGAACAAATCCACATCGACGAGTGACTAGCAATGTCACAGAGCAGATCGTGGCGAAGTGAACCACTAAAGGTGCTCCCACCCTGACTTCGATGCCACCTGATGAACCACATGCTGACCCTGAGACGCAAACAGAGCCAAGATCGAGAAGAGAAATCCGATCGACGATAGTGGACTGATACATACCCCAAATCTGTCGTCATACCACTTCCCACTTACGTGGTTCCGCAGAAAGAAACGTGCCACAATTGCTGCACCAAGTGGAAGACACCCACACTATTCGCAGCGAGAGACTAGTTTATTTCGACATTGTCCGGTCCACCGATCACGCGGATAAAAAGGATCGCAACTGGGGTAAATAGAATCATCTGCATTGCAGAGTTGATTGCCACGAGGATCGCGCAATATTCACTATCCCTCTGCAAGATTTGGCCAAATGAGAACATTCTTCAGTCAGAGATATTGGGAAATTGTCGATTGACATAGTTCAATCTAATAATTTTGTTGTAAATTGTGTTTCTTCTATACATTATTTATTATCACGCCTGTTTGTATATGAATTATTCAAGCTCCATCCTTGGTCGAGGCTGCTCCAGCTCCGCTGACATTTCTGAGTGTGACCCCGGCGCCTCAAAGCGCTGTGTATTAGGCGCCTCTGCTGTCTCAGGCGCAGACAGTTCTGACGGCCTGTCCGCGGCTGAGCTTTGTAAGAATCCTTCGCTATCCCCCGATGCTCGTCTCCGTCGAACGAAAAAGAATGCAGCTCCCGCAATGGCGAGCGCTCCAACTATTACACCAATCGCAATCCCAGCCTTTGCCCCGGAGGACAAACCTCCTGAGTTACTAGAACCGCCTGTTGAGCTCGAGGTACTTCCAGACTCCCCGGAATCGGCCCTTGAGTCTGGAGCACTGGAAGAACTGGAAGTGGTCGAGGTGGTCGGTCGGGCGTTGGATGAATTTGTGATGGATTCGGTGCTTGAATAGCCGGAATCTCCGCCTCGGGTAGTGACTGAGATGAGATTGCAGTATATTTTGTAAGTGGAGGCAATATAACGTTCCCTGAATTCAGGGCAAGACATTGTTTCATAGTTGAAGCCGCTGGCATTGAAAGTCCCGTAAATATGCTCGATTTCGGGGAACACAAGACTATTTGCCGTTTAGTTTGACTGCCGCTCAGTGAAATGAGGCTCAAAGGGAGCATGATGAGGATTCGAAAGGAACTTACTCGGAAAGATTACTTGAGAAAATTGCGTTCTCTTCGATTGTATTGAGCACAGGGAACGAGAAGTTGGTGGCAATATCGTAGTCGTCGTATGTGATATTGCTGATTGTCTTCAGTTTTGGCATGCTGAAACTCGTAAGATGATCATTGCCGTGAAGTTCGATGCTTCTCATCTCGGTCAACTCTGGAGCCGTGAATTCTGTGAGAGAAGTAGAATTCATTGTCAATTTGGTAAGATTCTGCATGACGTCCAACTCAAAACTCTGAATACTATTCTCCACCGCGAGACTAGCACCTGCTGTTGCCTTTGGAAGACTGATACTGATTTCGGCTTCTTCGCCTTCAATGACGATCTCACCAGTGAAATTTTTCAACGTAGAAAGGTTGGCAGTATCCAAGCCGGGATTCAATGCCAGCGAGAGATTTTCAATTGTCTCCACTTTGAGCCAACTGATACTCTTTATTCCAGTTTGCACTATCCACACACTTCCAGCCGTCGTGAGTCCAGAGTCACTGAAAGAATACGAAGGGACCGCTGCACTTTTGTACCATAGGAAAGAACCGACACTGCTCAGGGAACTCAAGTCCAGTTTCTTGAGAGAGCCTGTTCCCGAAAGCTCGAGTGCGCCTCCAACGCTTCCAAGCTTTGGGGCAGAAAGTGAGTCCAAGTTCGCAGCGCTGGTGGATAAATTGCCGGTGACTTTCTCAAGCTTGGGGAACTCGATTGAACCCATTACATCATTGGCGATTGTAATATAAGAAACGGTAGTGCAGGAGCTTATACCATCTGCGTCGGACTGACTAGTGATATTGACAGCCTTATCGCATACTGTTGGGCGGATATCTGTTAAATCTTTGGGTTTGATCGTTAGGTAGTTATCCAAGAACTTACCATCGGCGGAAGAGAATCCAGCCCAGAGAAGGCTGATCCCCATGTAGATTGAAAAACGCATTATGTGCAAACAAATCAGAGTGCACTGTAGTAATGTACATTTAAATCGAACTCCCTTGTTGCTGCTGGCTTCACTCAATAAATGTCAAAAATTTAGATCGGGAAATCCATAAGGAATATGCGAATCTCGTTAGATTTGAAAAGTAAACTCGAAAACAAACAGGGAAAAAAGAGCGCGCCAATCTGGGATCAGCCGTTTTAGTGCAAGCTTTTTGCAAAGCTCTCATTGATTTTCACAGGCCAAAATATTATCCGCGCGGGTTGAGAGTGGAGCGACTACAGGGCAATCTTGGCTTATTATGAACAATGGCCCCCTTTTCCGGGCGGAGATAGCAATTTCGTTTCATTATCCACATCAAGAGGGCCCAACCTCACAATAACAACAACCATCACATTGAAATAAGTATTTGAATGCGAAGTCGAGTATAATCTAGCTTTTTGAGAATGCAACCTACAATTGTGATCTCTTGCATGGGTTTACTTGCTTGAAAGTAGGGCAATAATCTGATCATCAGGTTTATTGAAGCATCAGTATAGTTAGTGTTTCAAAGCCGCGAGTTTCAGGCTCAACAGTATTTCAAAATTTCAAATCTATCACACGTGGTCATTTATACACTGTCATAATTTCCTGAAAACTCTGTACTGAGGCTTAAACTTCTATGCTATACTTATTCTTGATCGTTTTCTTTGCATTAGACATCCAGGAGCCCCGTATACCTTAAAATAGTACTCAAAAATCCGTGGAGCCCCAGTGATTTCCAAGATTTCTTTAATGGCCCCTTCCCCTGGCTTGGACTTAGCCCCGGGGGCTACCCGTGATCGTGCATGCAACTTTGGGGTTCTTCAAACCTACTGTATTTAGTTCCTTGGGAGTAGTACGATGACTATGTTCATTTCTTTTTTCTTATGAATCGACAGCTTATTTTTCTTAAATGCATCTACTGGATATAGCACAATTACGAAATGTTGTCAAAATGAGCGTTGTAAATATGTGGGCCCTGATCAGGGATCATCGTGGCCGCGGTGGATTTCCGCCCCCACGTAGCCAAAAGATGGCTCAAACGAAGCGAAGGATCAGCAGGAGTCGAACAAATCAAAACCATCCCAATCTAACTAAATATCACTAAGAGCAGCACCCTGTGGAGTTTTGTCAAAATGAGCGCAAGAGCATCCCATAGGGGTCCCGTTGGTTATCCGGAGATTTCCATGATGTCCCGCGAAACTTCCCTTTCTATTATTCTCTTCCGCATGTTTGTTGACCAGAGAATATTGCAGCCATTGCTTCAGATATGGGTTTACCGGTGATCAAGACCTCTGGAACTGGATTTATAAAATCTGGGGAGCGATGGCAAATAAAAGGTGGGTAGGTTTCTTTTGTTTAAATGACATTGGTCTTGAATTGATCATAAAATTTGCGATAGGTGTCACATACAGTGGATATGAAGACGTGAAAACGCTGCGCGATGCCTTGACCGATGCCGACCAATGCGCGATCGACGCGCCGTTGCTGAAGAAACTGGGCGCAAACACAATAACCGTTTACTACATTGATCCATCGAAGAATCATGATGATTGCATGCAAAGTTTTGAAGACAATGGAATTTATGTCCTTGCGACTCTTCCGGACATGAACGCCACGACGGTGAGCCTTCGAGCCCAATAGGTTATGAAATCGAGGTTTATACTGATACTTTTTCCCCCGGTCAAGAGTAATGAAGGATGGGATATGACACAATACACGCGTTTCACCAAAGTAGTCGATGCATTTGCTGGGTACAACAATTTGCTGGGGTTTTTTGTTGGTATCGAATCTATTAACTACAACGATTCTGATAAAGGTTTGACTCCGCGTCTCATCATCTTACATTCTTCACTCTCTCACAATCCAAAATAGATGACGAAAATACCCTCGCGCCGTCTCTTAAAGCTGCCGTTCGAGACATGAAAGCATACTCCGCCGCAAAGCAATACCGCACCATACCTTTCGGGTACTCCACGGATGACGATGCACAAATCAGGTTACAAGTAGCGGAGTACCTAGTATGCGGAGGAAACAGCAGCGAGGCTATCGACTTTTTCGGATTGAATCTTTATGCTTGGTGTGGCGATGCCACATACGCGAGTTCCGGGTATAAGGACACATATTCGGAGTTTGGGGTACTGGGAGTACCGATATTTCTCTCCGAAGATGGATGCAATGCTGTTCAACCCCGCGAGTTTAAGGATCAATCTGCTCTCTTTGGTTCTGAGATGTCTGGGAATTGGAGTGGTGCAGTTATCTACGAATGGCGCGAAAGGTATGTTTCATTACTCGGCAAGATATTTCCTGGGGCCCCAGTTTGGCGAACTGACTTTATGCAGCGGCAATGATTACGGTCTAGTTAATTTTACAAAATTAGCCTCCGGTGCTCAAACTCCCCAATTGCTTAGTGACTACACATCGTTGAGTAAAGAATGGGCTTCCTGCACTATAAATACAACCTCTCCTATTACCAAGCCGACGCCCGCATGTCCTACTTCGAACAGCTTATATTGGACACTTGATCCTAGCGTCACACTGCCTACAATTGCCGGTCTCAATATTGCAACAGTGAAAGTTGCCTCAGCAACACCGACATCAACGAGTGACTCGGACTCTGACTCTGGATCCGTCCAGACAACAAATACATCTGAGAGCTCTTCTGGTCTTTCAAGTGGCGCGAAAGCAGGTATCGGTATTGGAGTGGCTGCGGGCGTAATTTTGATTGCACTCAGTGCCTGGTTCTTTTTCTATCGAAGGAGAAAGCAAAAAGCAACCAGTGCAGGTAAACAATCTCCAGCGGCAGAATTGGCTGGCCCAGAAGCATCGCAATTACACGGAACGCCTGTGGGCGAGCTACCTGGCTCAGGAAATATTACCGAGATGTCTGGGGGGTCGGGAATACATCCACAAGAGCTACAGGCATCAGAAAGGCATGAGCTAGAAGATTCTTCTTCTCATGAGGCTGCTAGTACGCAAATAAGCCCAAGTGACGCTGGCCAGTCTTCGTCTTCTGCTGTCCCGGCTGGGGAGCATGTTCCAAGGGATACTCGAGCTTCACTTCTAGGTCCATTCCAGCCTGAGATAGAGGGGCCTCCGCTTAATAGCTCGCAACGCTCGGTCTCAGACACCTGAGTATTTGAACTAAAGATAGACTATTGAGAGCCTAGGTACCGGATTTCCTCTGCCACTTCTTGGCTTTCCCCTTCTGTTTTAGTGCTCACCCCTCGCCACTTTTTGCTCACTGAGTACATTTGAGCACGTCACTGAGTGCCGTGCGGGGCAATGCTACATCCACCACGGTTTTGGCTAACTAGTCTCGTATCTGCATTATGCAATATGCATGTTCTTGCTGCAAGAGAGCGTGATCTTCAGCTGTATTTCTAGAAACGGTGCGTTTAATTTTAGAGAAATAAATTGATTATACCTACATAAATCTGTATTCTAATAAAATAAATGCTCGGCATATTCTACATGTCAGGAACTAACTTATACTCCTGGGTATAGTTAAAACTTTGCCGGAGCGGGACCAAGACTCTCGGCAACGCTTAGTATCTCAACACTATAGATCTCGTACCAGTCGTCCCTCACTGTGCTTTCTTCTTGAAATAATAACATGAGATTATCGATCCTACGACCTACGCTCCAATTCTTGTTCTGGGTCTTTCTTAGTTCATAACCATAAGCTGCGTGCTCCACTTTTGGCATGCTGCCTCAAATACTGCCGCCGCATGCTCTAGTAAAATTTCACATTATGATCTGTTGAATTCGCCATGTCAAACGAGAATTTTCATCTCTATGTCATAATTCGTACGCAAGCACTTGTATATCTTTTTGAAATAAAGATTTATTGTAGCCTTGGCATTTCCATGCGCCTCATTTACAATAGATTTTCGGTGTCTTTTCTTATTTTCATTTTTGTTCACATCTGTATTTATATATTAATATATTACGTTAAATGGAATCTTTAACTGCTTCTGAGCCTTCTTCCCTTTTTAGGCCAGCTTGCATCCTCGCACTTCATCACTAATAAATGTCTACCGAATCATTAATATTCGCGTGGAAGTTAGAACGGCGTGCCCGTGGTGAACCATTGATCTCTTGTTCGCTCCCACGAAGAATGTATCGACAAAGATTCTTTGTTCCTTTCCGGTCTGTGCACGCCTCTCTGGACATCGGGGAGGAACATGCGGAAACTGCAAGTGGCCAGATACAGCAAGCCATTGCTCTGTACGAGATAATAGCGGCTCCAAGAATAGGAGTAAGGGCTGGGCTGATTATGCTGCACGTACAAGCCGTCGGAGGACCTCGCCAGGGACAGGTGGGCTTTAGCCAGAGAGCCCCTGTTTTTCTGGTTCTGGCTTGAGCCAGGCAAACCCAATCGAAATGGTCCGGACGGGGGCACCCTGTGGGAATCCCATTGACTTGGACAGGCCGACTGAGCAAAGAGCCACATTCATCACTTCGCTAAGTTTAAAGACTCCATTTCATCCCCCTAAAGAAAAAAACCCGGCTATTCTTTTAAAAAAAGACAAAAAAGAAGAAAAAGAGAAAACAAAAAAAGGTCCCGAAGAGCATAAGGAATCAGGACATCTATCCAAGAATTTTCCCAAAACCATATTTTGGAAGCTAGTAGTTTCAGGTCTCGCTGGCAAGCAACTGCGACAGTCAAGAAAGCAACGAGTCCCATTTGTATTGGAAACATTGTCTCTTGAAGGCATTCGACACACTTGGAGGGACATCACGATGAAGATAAACCGAAGATGCCTCAAGTATACCCAAAGTCCAAGGGAAGTGACATGAAGTAACCATCCCGGGTATAGTAATAAGGATAATTGTACGATCGAAGCCAACAAAAGGGACTGCAAATAAGATTCGGAGCGAAAGAAAACATACGGAGAAAGAAAAGAAGAGCAAACCAGGCTGGAAACTGAAAGCCAGGCTGGGTACATAAGCAGAGAAGTCAGGACCTGACCTGATGTCCTAGATATACCCCTGGAGAGTGATCGTATTATTGAAAACGATACTGGTTTGGTTACGGCGCGTTTGATGGCTTCACTTTTGCAATGAGTGCCCCGTCATCATGATATATCCTGAGATTTCCGTGACAGAAGCCTGCATATATGCGTGGGAGGGTAGGTGCTGTAGACTGGCAAGTTTATAGGGTACATTAAAAGCGTCAAAATGGAAACTAATTCAATCATATTGCCGATGGAAGAAACCGTAATAGCTCATTTATCAATTTTCAGCGCGTCGGTGTCGCTATTCCGCTTAATTTTAAACCAGACATCAGTCAGGCACCAAGGCCTCCGTTATTCGGTCGCGAGCCGCTGAGTAGAGGGAGAGTCACTCGGACCCCCTACCCGACGGTGAATTGATAACGCCAGAACGGAACTTGATATTCCAGCTTTTCGATCCATTATGTATTCGCTGACGATTGGTCGGATAGATCCAAAACGGAGTTCCCCGTGTGTAAATCGAATGTGACTTACTCTGCCATCGTGGGCTCCCCAGTAAAAAATAAGAAGCGTTGCCGTTCGGATGCCTCTCCCGCTAGGACTATGTTTCGGCTTCTGAACCCCACATAGTCCTTTTTGACCCCGCGGTTTCTCCAGATTTTATTTAAGTACGGAACGTGGAATGGCAGACCTGGGCTCATTCGACACTCTAATTTAGTGAGACATCAATTCTGACCCATCATTCGTGTGCTGCGACCATTTTTTCTACACAAAATGGCGATCGAAGTTCGAAAATACCACTTACTACCGACAAATCTGATCCCCAACTCACCCAGACCGTTGCTACACTACAAAAATGTACTGAAGAAAAAGCCGAACACATCCCATTGTGATCCTGGGGAGGTCTGGGACAAGTTTACGAAGAACGGATGGAATGTGCACTGGATATTCCGTTACAGCCACACCCAGCTTTCCCATTACCACTCAAATGCACATGAGGTCATGGCCGTTCTGTCTGGCACAGCAGATATACGCTTCGGCGTAGCTGACACTTCGCCAGATATGGATGAGAACACACATGGTTCCGCATGGGAATCTGGAGATGTTGTACTGCAAGCTGAAGCAGGGGATGTTTTCGTAATCCCGGCGGGTGTAGCCCACAAAACACACAATACAAAGCCCGAAGCCGAATTTGCTCTTCTATCACCTGGAAGCGGGCATGGTATCGAGACTGAGAATCCCCGGGAAGTGCTATCGAGCCTCAAGCTCGATGGGTTCACTATGATGGGTGCGTACAGTGGCGGTGATTGGGACTTTGTCGCGACGGGGGGAAATTTTGAGAAGCCATGGTCGGTTCCTAAACCAAAGCTTGACCCGATTTTTGGAAATTCTGATCAAGGACTGTCTACAAGCTGGATTGGGAGTAATGATGTTGCTAAAGCTCGCCTCTGAGCCCGGGATTAGAGACCGGCAAGTGGCTCCTAAGCAGTCAGTCATAAACATAGATGCTAGTGCGACAACACACAAATCGTCTAGATCAATGCCACTTACCTTTTTATCATAGCTTAGGAATCTAGTTCGCTCGAAACAATAATTCTTGTCTTATCTGTCCTGCTTTCCTGGTGTTCAAAGTGGCGACAAAACCAACCGGGGCGCTCGGATGGTGTTGCCGATATCTTCCAAGATTAGAGTTGCTGGATCAACCGTGTCTCGTGCTTGACGCTTTCAAAGGCGGGGTAGATTGACGAGCGCATTTAAAGTGGAAGCCAGTATTAGTGTATACTCCCTCTCGCACAGTAGAACCTCAAAGAAGTTTGTTCAATCTAAAGGCCTTCTGCATGGGCAAGCCATCGAAAAATCTCGCCCATCGACGGGTTGTCAATGCGTGAGTAATTTTTCCGAGTCCAATAGCCCGAATGACGACTACGCGTCGGTCGTTCTTTTACCTTCATCCTTTCTTGCTTTTCTTTCTTTTTTTCGAGATAAGTGATGAAGGGAGAAAGATTGCAGAGCTAACTTTACTTTTAACTCAGTTGTGTGCGCTGCCGGCGGCATAAGATCAAATGCTCGGGCAACGCACCCTGCAGCAATTGCGAAAATCGCCAAGCAACGTGCACCTTTGCAGGAGAGGAAACCAAGGTACAGATAACAAAGCGACGGCTTGCCGAGCTAAAACGACGTGCAAATGAGTTGGAAAGACAGAACCAAGCCCTGCAGCAACAAATTCTAAAGAAAGATCTTTCTCTCGACACTGCTGGTGACATTACTGGCCAAACACCCATTCCAATCGAGCCGAATGATGACAGTCACTCACGTTTATCAAGTCCTGGACTTGAAGAACCGCAAGACGATTCAAATGAAGCTGAAATTGTCAATCCGCTGTTGACTGAGAAGCCGCAATATGTTATGGACATTGCTGGAAACTCTCGTAGGTCATTCCCCAATTGAACAATCAAGCAGCCGCACTAACAACTCGCAGACTACCTCGGGCATACATCCAATTGGTCCTTGACAATGCGACTTCTTCAAATGGCTCATAAAGCTGTATACAACTGTCCATTCCCAAGTAACGCTCATCATATTGATTCAATGACATACGATTTCGGGTGGAATGGCCTGAGAAATCCAATCATACCAGACGTTCGAGGACTCCCTTCTGCGGATCATGCGGTGTACCTTATACAAGCCACAGAGTTCCACACTGGCCAACTATTCCATCTTTTTGATAAAGCCTCGTTCATGCGGCAACTTCATTGGTTTTATGAGAACCCAGAACAGAATATTCAGGCTGCGGGGCTGTGGTTTATTCACTTCTTAACCATTATATCTTTGGGGAAAGCGTTTACAGGAACTAGAAATAAAGGCAATGCCCCTCCTGGGGCTGATACCTTTGCAAAGGCGTTTATGTTACTCCCAGATTATTGCTACATTTGGAAAAGCCCATGCGAAGCCTGCGAGCTTCTATGCACTATGGCATTATATCTCCAATGTATCGACTGGAGGACCTCCGCTCATAACATGGTACGTTTGACAAAAATACTCAGTGGTATTTCGATATGATCTCACTGACATCTACCTTCCAGATCAGCCAAGCACAGCGGATACTGACAGTCCATGGCTTCCACGTGAATATCAATGCAAGGTCGTATGACGAAACTGAATTGACTCGGCGTCGCTACCTTTGGTGGACAGTGTTCATCCTCGAGCGCCAATTCTCTGTTCTGATGGGGACGCCTCTTGGAATGAGCGATCAGGAAATCACTGCCCCACTTCCATACTTTCCCGATTCGCAGTTCAAATCAGCCACGGCTCGAATCCATGTCAAACTATCGCAGGCTATTGGTCGCGTAGTCAAGGGTACGTCTAGGGAACCTCATGAGGTGAAAGATAGATTCTAACATCCAGGAAGCTCTTTACCGCAAAAGTGATTCTTTGAAGTTTGACCTGCTTAAGACTACCCAAGAAGTCCTCCAGAGCGCGGCAAGTGTTGCATGTGACATTCGTACATATTTCCCTGTCCCAGAGCAAGATGCTATGAGTGGAATCTCAAGAGTTGCAGGATATATGAATCTTCTTTATCATCAGGTATGCTGCAGGTCTGGGAGACTCAAATCCGATTTTGCTGATAAATATTTACCCAGTGTATCATGCTAGCCATCAGACCTTTCCTATTCAGTCTCTTACAAGGCAGGATCGAGCAAGGTCGCATTGATGAACAGCTTCCAGTTCCTCTTAAGTTATTGTTACAACTTTGTTTAGACTCGGCAAGGAGAACTATCGATATCCTCATGGCACTGCTCAGTCAATCTATACTAGGTATTTTATCTCACAAACACCTTCACAGAGCGACTCACTCATTCAAAATAGACAGCTTTTTACCGTTTGACCTTGAGAGCGTCGTTTCAGCTGGATTGGTCATTATAATGTCTCATTCCATTAATCTCACATCATATCAAAACCTTTGTTTTGCACAGCAGAGCGTTTGTAAAATCCTGGACAAGATGATTGAAGAGGGCAATCTCATTGCGGTGGATCAGAAAACTGAATTTATGCACCTCCAAGCCTTATTTTCGGAGCTTCAATCTCCAGAACTTGAGTTTCAACCGAACGAATCATTGCAACAGCCGGATACCGAGTCTCACACACGGTACTTCAATGAGGCGCTCCAGAGAGCCACCGAGCAGCAGCTATCGGATTTTAGAGGCCCAGAATTTGATAAAAGCCCTGGTTCCCTGGAGACAGAGCCCTTCACAGAAGGTAGTACTTGGGCCGACAGAATCTCTCCGTCTCAGTTGATGGATGTCGTGGAAATGCTAGATGCAGACGATTTACTGAATTGGCCTTTACCACTAGCCAACGAGCCATATTCTCTGCATGTGTAATGTACAAATTAGAAGTTCAAATACATTTACTAGACCCAATCGAGCTCAGATCCACTAAAAGCTTGCCTGATTTCCTATACCGATCGAAAATGGCATCAGTGTTAAATGTCGCTTAAAAGTTTTCTCATCAGTCTTAATTTCCTCTAAAGATTGATTGGTCCTTCTGGTTCAATCTTATAACGGTCTGATATCAGCCTCCCAACTAATTAGTTTGAGTTTTGACGAGCTTTGAAAAGAAAGAAAAATGATTGATTTCATCAAGGCGGATGGAATCCATCCAACTAACTCGCTCAATGTTCGCCTGGGGCAACAATGTCATCTAAAAACTCGGTAGACTTCAAATACCAGGTAACAGCCTCCTCGTCTACACTGATAGCTTTTTCTCCAAGAGTCATTCCATTTCCAAACCACCCGAATTCATTCCCATCGAACGGAATTGTTTCAAAGTCCTCCCACCTCACTTTCTCCAGGGCGCGGAGTGCATGAAGACTGCTCCCAGGCCACAAAGCCGTAATGCGTCCCCTCTTTCGTTCCTCTAGAGTGGATCCCGGGGCAGAGGACTTATACCAGCTCGCACACTCCTCACTATAAACCGTTCGATCAAAATAGCGCTCTGTGAACTTTGTGAAGTTTTCAACTTGAGCCTTTTTCGGCTCAACGGATCCGATGTTGTCAAATGCCATTCTCGAGACCACCTGCGCCACATAAGAATGAACTTGCTCCAGCATAATCAGTAGGTTTCCGGCCCCTTGAAAAGAATTTGGTCCTAGTGATTGAAAGAAGTTTGGGAATCCATCTGAGCAGAGCCCAAGGTAGGTTTCAGGTCGACAGGCATATTTCTGGCGTAGATTGACGCCTCCCCGGCCGATGATTGGAAATCCACCACCTGGGTTTGTTTCAAAACCAGTCGCGCAGATAATTGCATCGACTTCACGGAACTTGCCATCATACGTGATTATTCCACTCTCGGTGATCTCCCTTATACCAGTCGGGATGACTTCGACGTTCGGAGAAGTGAGCGCCTCAAGGTATCCTGGCCCGGGTGTAAGTCTTTTGCACAAGGGTGGAAAATCAGGAATTAGCTGTTCAAGTAGCTCTGGCTTGTTCACGAGTCGTTGCTTCATGTCTTGTTTGCACCGGGCGCGAGTCTTCTTTTGCAGATCGCTACCTCGTTGCGATTTCGTATACAATGTCTGCATCTCGTATTCGAGCTCTTTGCGATATTTCATATAGCCTGCAGGATCGTCTCGCCAAGCCTTTTTCTCTTCTTCTGTATAGGCAAAGTTGCCACCTTTCCCATCCGTCTTGAATGCGAGTCGATCTCCTCCATGTTGATTTGAGATCCAAGTTCGACTTCGAATATAGTGGTCCATCCGCTTGACTTTGTCCACAAGAGCTGGCACGATTTGTATACCGCTACTTCCAGCCCCGATAACTGCTATATTTTTTCCCTTTTGATTTATTGATTAGCCCATGGTTCAGTAAATGTAAAATGAAGACATGCCAAAGGAATCCTTACCTGACTCTCCCAATCCTCATCCCAGCATGCACTATGGAGTAGCTGACCCTTAAATGATTGCAACCCAGGGATTGATGGCCATTTCCATTCATTCAAAAGTCCCGTGCCAGTCATGAGAAGATCAGCAGAGTCTTCAAATGTCTCCCCGGTCATCTGGTCGAATAACTGGACAAACCACTTCTTCATGGTTTCGTTCCAACGCGCACCAACACAGCGAGTTGAAAACTTCATATACTTGCGAACGTCATACTTCTGGGCAACACGCTGCCAGTATTCGAGGATTTCTTTCGAACCAGAAAAGAAATGACTCCACTCTGTCCAAGATTCCCAGCTCAACTGATATGAATGCGATGGAACATCTGGGTGCGATGAGTCGGTTTTCAACGGCAGCGAGTTGGAACAAAGGGAGTTTACTTACCACATGCACATCCCGGATATCTGTTCTCATACCATGTTCCTCCCAAATCGGCATTCTTCTCGTATATCACCAAATTGAGATTTGGTACTGCTTCCCGGAACTTAATCGCCGCCAGAATACCTGATATTCCAGCGCCAATGTAAACGACCTTGAGGGGACGTGACTGATTGATCGTACGTTCAGAAATGAATGGAGTGAGATACTTGTGTTCTTCTGTGTTCATGTCTGGCTCTTGAACTGCGAAAGAAAATTTTGAATCCACTCCATTTGTCTCAATGGGTGGGCTCAGGAGCTGTAGCATATTGATCATTTCGCAATTGTATGCTTCAGACATTGCTTCCAGAAGGGCTTCAAGAAAGAATGGTTAATATTATTTTGATCTCTAGGTACCTCTATATACTTCTAGTCTTCCCTGTCATCGCGGCACGCAGGTCATTCGGACCCCTACCCGGCACCTTTGCTGACCTCGAGAAACACCGTGTTTGACAGAGAAGATAAGCAATAGAATAAGTTGCGAGCTTGCAGAGTTGAGGTAACAGTATGTATCACGCACGGAAACGGATCACCATCCGTGCTCTGCATATCACTACAGGGTTGATTTACGGGTCGGGGTCCGTACTAGTGGTGCCCAGTGTGTACATGCGAGCGACACGTCCGGCGCGGGGTAAAACTATTTCTGGAGAACGATTTTTTCTTTTTTTCTTTTTCCGTTCCAAATGACAATGGCAGAGTGTAACTTTATGCATATGAACGGAGCCCGGGCACTATCATTTTAGATTACATGCGTTAGAACTCAAGACGAGAACTTGTAGTTTTGTAGCCAGACACACCAAGAAAGAAAGAACCTATAGTAGGCCTCTCCAGTTTTTCCCTGGGCCATCAATACTCTGTGGGTTAGTATGCCCGTAACAGATGATCAAGGCAAAATGACCTCAGTGACGGGTCGATGAATACATATGTCTCACAATGGATCTCAATATAACCGAAGGCAATTCTCCGACATCATGCAGCATGAAGTCCCCTCAGACCTGCTCGGGATTCCAGTCCGAAGTCGTTATATAATTCTCAAACTACTTAGTATGCTTTAATTGTCACCATACTGCATGCCCCGGATTGGTGAGTAGACTAAGGAGCGAGATCAGAAAGTAACGATGTCATGCCCATCAGGGATGCAAACTATGTCCGAAAATCCACGATTGCGATTACTCAATGCACTTCGAAAAGAGTCAAAGCCAATTATAACTTTCATGGGTCTTCCGTCGTTTCGCACTGAGAGTAGGGTGTATTAAGAACCCTTCTTTCTTAGAAGATTCACCACCCACAAGAAGCTCCACCTTAGGGTCAGACTTGGCACTCTGAATGACATTGTCTAGCTTGTCAAAGGACGCTTCGTGAATCACAGAGTTAAAAAAATTGTCATATTGCTCAGGATTCCCGACCTTCGGATTTTTTGTTCGTTCAACAATTTTCTCCTTGAACTCAGGCCAGACTAACTCTGGAGCATACACCCGAGATGTAGCAGAGCACTTTTGTCCCTGGTACTCGAAGGCACCTCGAATGGTTTGGTTGACTGCATTGTCGATACTTGCGCTCTTGTGGACCAAGTGGAAGTACTTACCTCCTGTCTCGGCAACCATACGAGGGTACTGACGATAAAGGTTCTTGCCCGTGTTTTCTCCGACCTTAGCCAGAAGGCCCTTGAAAACCTCAGTAGAGCCGGTAAAGCTGATACCGGCAAGCTCTCTCGAGGCAGACACGAGTTACCATTTCAGGATCGCCAGGAACCCACTGAACAACATCTGGTGGCATTCCAGCCTCAATCATCACTTTGTATAAAAGCCAGCTGGCGTGGAGTGCAGAATTGGAAGGCTTCCAGATCACAGTGTTTCCCATCAGGGCAGGGCCGAAGGCGAGATTCGCTCCCAAAGCAGTGAAGTTGAATGGCGAGATTGAGTAAACAAATCCCTCCAATGGTCGATATTCCTGTCTGTTCCAATTACCAGGATGACTTTCGTGTGGTTGCTGGGCGTGTAATTCAAATGCGCATTGAACATACCATCTTGGGAACAATGTTTGTCATGGTTTCAAGATTTCCGTTCATAGAATTCTTCACCGGAGTAGGCCACAAATTTCCGCTCCCGCGTCAATTTCACCTTGCCAGATGTTCTTTCCCTGGCCGAGCATAGTGGCGGCAATAATCTCATAGCGGTACTTGGTTGAAACTAGCTCCGCAGCGCGAAGGAAAATAGCAGCTCTGTCCTCCAGCGTTCTTTCTTGCCAGGATTCCCGTGCATTCAACGCGACTTCGATCGCCTTCTTGATATCCTGCTCATTTGCTGGCTGCCATTCCGCGATGACCTCTTTGTAGGCAGAGGGGTTCAGTTGTTTGATGATGGAATTGCCTGGCTAGATAATTCAACAAGTGAGAATAGGCTTTGATATTGTGATCTTATTCGAAAACTTACGTTTTGAGGTAAAGAGATGGTTGCGGGAAGCGATTTTTTCAGTTTGGAGATTGCTTCGGTCAGCTTGGCTCGCTCGGGGGAGCGTATTGTTGCTATCGCAAAAATTAGCATTTGATCAAATGACCACATTCATAATACCCCTTCCATGATAAAACAACGCCAGGATAGCACAGTGTACATACCTCGGGCTCATTCCAAAAATGAGGAGCTTTGTAGAGAGACAAGGACACTCGTTGAACTCCAGGAACCACATGGTGCAGCGACCGGATAAGGGTGGGACGGTTGGCTCTGAAAGAGTACAACATGATGAGCTTTGCAAGCCTATGCCACGGACCGTCACGCCTACGCTCTTATAGCTTTTGTAACAATGAAGGTGGAGGTTCGTCCCAACCCAATATGGAGATCCTCACCAAGTTGGGGGTCCTGGGGAAACACTCGGGGATACTGAACGCTGCCCATCTCGGTGACTCGGATACCTGCTCCGAGTCAGAAAATCTTTAACTTCCTCGGATGATTGGACCTGCCTAACGTGTCGTATGTATCCGATTGCTTTTGAGAATTGTATTCCTCCTCCATTCTCTTGCTGATCCTGCCCCTTATCGAGCTCGCGAATAATCTGATACAAACGACGAAAATGGCTCTATTTACCTCTATCCAGAAGCCCCCTGTAGACTTCATGAATATCCTCAAGCATAAGGCGGATACAGACACACATCCGGATAAAGTCGATCTTGGACTGGGCTTATATAAGAATGAACAGGGCGGGTATTACGAGTTTCCGACCATAAAGAAGGTTTCTCATCAATCTACCTTTCTCTCTTGGCGTATTTCCACAGCGTCAGTCGATTGGTATAGATCGCCTGGGAAAAAAAATTCGGGGGGAGAATCCAGGGTTGAAGAATGTGGAGTTCAACCGGGGAATTTGACTTGATATATTTATCTAATCACATCACAATATCAAAAAGAATTTGAAGAAACTTCAAAATGAAAAGCGGCTGAAGTTTTACTTTATTTTTACCCAATTACGCGTATAAATACGAGAAGGATGTTAAGTGAAGCTAGGCTCTTTCGTATCGTGTCGGCCCATGGGGGTAGCTTCGACTATACGAGTCTGTCTCTCCAGCTGAATTGTAGAAGGTATTACCAATGACAGAACTATGGTCCAAGAAACTGCGGATATCAGGCGATTCTGTCTATCTAAAAATCTCTATCGCATGACAATATGGTTACAAGAGTTATCTCAGCTTTTCCCATGTTTCAATCGCTAGTGTCCAGCAATTGTTGGTCACATATATTGAACCTTGCTAGTGAATCTCCTTATTAATAACGTCTGGATTAACCCTGCCCTTTTTTGGAAAGGCTTGAGTCACTCCTTTTCTCGGGCGCTTCTCACTTTGAGTGATCGCTTGCTCTTTCAAGAGCCGTCGAAAGTACATTCTGAAGAGTGTATGGTAAGGTACTGGCTTGGAGGCTGGAGATTGCTTGGCCAGTAATGCTCCCCGGCGCCGATAAAGATTCCTGTAGCTTTTCAGGACTAATACCTGCCAACATCAAGCTAGCAGTTCCCCGAACGCACTGAGACGCAATAGATATAGCATGATCCTCCGGGACGCCTGAAGATACGGCCTGTCGAGCGATCGCATTTACAGTGACCGTCGTCACTGCATTAGTGAAAGCACTCATGCCGGTCGCTTCATCGAAATAGCCGTCAGTGACGTTGAATACCTTACCGATCGTACTAAATATCCATGTTGCTAGCTCCATTGCTTCTTGTTCAGCAGGACTGCGAATATCTGAAATGAGAGTTGCCGACTCCTTTAACTGAGCACCCATCGTCGGCATTGCGCGAATAATGCGAGGTTTATTGTTTGGAGAATACTGGAAATTCCCATGGCTCTGCAGAATATTTGAGATCTCATCTCTTGTTGTACGGGCCAAGATGCTTATAATCGTCTTCCGCTGTAGAGCCTCTCTCATTCCACTCTCGCTTAGAACTTCATGAAAGTTCTCCGGTGGTAACGCCAAAAGAACAGCATCGGAGTCCTTCACTGCTTTCACATTCTGCCGACTCAAAAATGTGGCAGGGTCCAATTTGCCTCGGAAGCTCTCGCGGAGTCGTTCTTGAACATCTTCGTTATTCAAGGCAATGGTGACTTTAGAAATAGGGCTACCAGCATGCTTGATCGATGGAAGGAGAGCTCTTAAAATGGAGCTTCCAATAAATCCTAGAAGAGTATGGCAGTTAGATTCCATGATTGCTACCTAGTAAACCCGAACATATTGCTTACCACACCCGAGAAAGGTGAAACGGATCGATTGTCGTGCAAGAGGCATGTCTCCGAGATTGATGAATGGCAAAAGGAGGACAGATCAGTACGACTGCTTCTTTATGAGCAATTAAGGCGATATTTAAACGGATTAGGGGTAATTTATATAGATCAGATTCGAATGACGAGTCCTCGGATACCTACCCGGAAAGCCTGTCTCGCCAAGTTTGATGTGTTCTGTATGCGCCACCTGGGGATTTCGCATCCCACATGTGCGCACGCGGGAACTCGCTATGCACCTTGATCTCAATTTATGCATTTCAAAGATATTCAAATCCTCGTCCCAAGACCCTACGATAACAATAAGTGAGTTGTTGACCTCTTTCTGACCCCTTACACACGCATATTCCGAGGTCCGTTACGTAAGTCCTCGTCTATGGCTTATGTTGGAGTCGACTGTATCCGGTAATTTAATTTGTCCGTGAGAGAATGTTTCTTGTTACACTCGTATCTTAGTACAATGAGAATGAATGTTATCGAAGAAATTGCGGGCCAGCTGGTCTCCATGTGATGGATGGAAGTTATTAGCTGCTGTTCAAATGTCGCGTCCCCGGAATGATTGCCTTAGAAAACTCCACTCGGCTTGCTGCCTCTTCCAGGGCTAATAAAGATTGAATGGTGGCTCCGCTAGGAGATGAGATACATTCCCGCAGAGCAGATGGTTGAATACCAGATTCTAACGCAGGTGAAAGCCCACGCATACAACGTAGAGCTATCTCTAGGGCATCTGGTCGCCTGAGTCCTTCCGCTACACATCCGTAAAGCATCCTCTCAATTGGAACAGTCATGATAACTAAGGCTGCACTAGCAAGAACTGACCCGAGATTCATTTGGGCTTCAGGTAGATATTTAATGCAACCTACTTGGGTAAAAATCCAATCCACACTACTGGTGGCCGTCGATGGAATCGGGGGTTCCGATGCCTCAATAATCGTCATAGATTGGCGGAACCGTGCTCCAATTTTCGGATTCACTCTTACATTTGTAGGAGAATTTTTCGAATGTGGGTCTCCATTTTCAATAATTCTGGCAAGGTTTTTCGTTGTTTGACCAGCGAGAAGCGAAATCACGATTTTGCCAGCCAATGCCTTCTTGACACCCTTTGAACTGAGCACACCTTCGGCCATGAAAGGTTTGAAGCTCAATATAACGACATCTGCCTCAGCCATTACTTGTATAGGCACATCGTGTGAAGCGATTACGTTCACCCAGGGCTGCTGATTTTCTGGGATAGATGCCTTCAATCGTGCAGCGGAAGACTCACTCTTGGTGCAAGCAATGAGGCGAGATACCGGCCGTATTTCATCTTTCTCGTGTTGTCCACTTGAGAAAGCAGCATCGAGTAATCCGCGAAGTATAGATCCTCCCATGTTACCTATTGGGAAAATTAGTAAAGAACAGAGGGTCCGGTTAGAGGGATTTTACCGCAACCAATGAAAGCGACCAGGCAGTCTGAACACGACATGTTGTCAAGTAAGAATGGCACTAAAATTGTTTGTTGCAATTCTGTCTAAGCCATGAGACCAACGAACTAGTACAAGATTGTACCAGTCTTTTATGAGAAAGAAGGTCTCGGAAGGTTATCCGAGTTCGGTCTATTGAACCGACTTCCAAAACGCCCACGAGAAGGTTTCAGCGCCAATACTTGGGGTCAGCAATGAATTGAATGGATGCCGTTCGATAATTTGAATTTCATCCGTGGGCATTTACCGTCAACAGCCCTACATCCCGTTGGAAAGTCCACCTTCCTTCGGTGGACACCCACGGGAAGATAAAGATATGTGAAGTTTTTGAAGTGTTCGTGTTTTTATTGATTGTTTTGAAACATGAAGGCTCTTGTTGGCCAGTATTTACAGCATCTACCCGTCCCTTTATTTAGAGGACTGCTCTGTGCATGATGGCCCAGAGGGGGCTTTTGGAATTGAGGCCTCACTTCTTTATACATTACTATCATGCCGCTCAATCTTTTTCCTAACCTTTGTTTATAGCTTTGAAAAGTGTGATTTTATTGATATGGCAGCTTTTCATTGGTATGTAATTATTCCAAAACTTGGAAAATGCCAACTGCAATCAAGGTCTACGATGCTTAGCGTGCACTTCGTTGATTCAGCATGCCATTGACTCGAATCTATATATATGATTCAATTAAACACAGCGTGCTCCATCGACAAGAACTTCGATGCCACTGATGATTGAGCTGGCGGGCTCTGCAAGGAAAAGAGCAACATTCGCAACATCCGATGGCTCAACGAGGCGACCGATTGGAATAGATTCGCATTTTGCTTTGATGATATCGGCTGGTACGGGTCCGTCCGCAATACCGGCAAACTTGTTCAGGAGCGGGGTGTTTCCTGAGGTCGGACAGATAGTGTTGAACCGCAGCTGATCTCTGGCAAATTCCAGAGCCATAGACTTAGTAGCTGATGATACACCAGCCTTAGTAGCGTTGTACCAAGTTTGAGTAGCACCAGGTCGGATGGCATTCTCACTGGAAATAACAACGGTAGATCCAGGGCCATTCTTTTTCATTTCAGGTATAAAAACCTTTGATGCGAGATAGATACTTCGAACATTGACATTGAAGAGACGATCGAATTCTTCCACGGTAACATCAAGACCCGACTTGTTCGGATAGGACCATCCGGCGTTGTGGACCACGATCGATGGTGCTTTGCCGAACTTGGCTATCGATGTTGCAAGCTGTAAGTTGAAAATATGTCTGTCAGACATTTGTCTACTTTTCAAATAACATGCCTAACCTACCGCTTTCTTCCAGCTATCCTCCTCAGCAACATTGGCCTGGATTTGATAAGCTTGGTGCTCTGGATAGCCTGACACAGAACCATCGCTGGCCTGGAGGTCCAATCCTAGGACAACGGCCCCTTCGCGGATGAATGTTTCGAGGATGCCACGTCCGAAACCTTGCGTGGATCCGGACACAAGAGCGACCTTTCCTTCAAGGCGACCGGGCATGTTGTGATGAAGAGTAATAAGGATAAAAAATATGGTTCGCGGAATTTAAGCTGCGAGACGTATTATCTTGAGGCTTGGTGCAGTCAGTGTACTTATACCTGCATCTTATCAGTAATTTGGAGGGGCATTATAAGCTTCCAAATTTATCGGACCGAGATCCGTGGGGTAAAATTCGGGGATGGCATCCGTGTTGGGCCCTTTCCCCTCCCACTCCATTTGTACCAGACGTGTCTTCTTTCGCTTCATCTCGGCCCGTTTGATTTAGTAAGTAGCAGTAATGGCACCATCGACTTCAAATCCGACAGACCTTCGTCGCGCGCCCGTGTGAGTCAAACCTGGATGGGGCTAGTAGCTTGATGGTCACATTTTCCAGCTGTATCTCTAATAAAATCACTCTAGTGCTTGCCTAGAATGTCGAAAAGCAAAGGTCCGCTGTTTCCTGTCCGCAAATAATGGCAGGTGTGATCGTTGTAGGACAAATGAAACCGAGTGTGTGTTCACTCAGTCGAAGAGAGCAAGATTGAGGGCTCAGCCATACCCACAACGTCCAGGGAGTGAGACGCACACCCAAAGCAAATTTTTTGAACACACCTTCCCAGAACCTACGTATACTGGAGGCGAGTTTGCTTCTCCTCGGCTCGATTCAGACGAGCGTTTTTTTCCCATCCCAAGCCCGACAGTTGATCTCGGCGACGGTCAGCAACAGCGGTCGCAGAATGAACACCCCGGGATCACCAACGCGGTTCGTGCAAGAATTGTCACCGCATTAGCCGCTGTCAGGAGCAAACGAGGGTCTCCATTTAGTTTTATCACATCTGGAGATAGTCCCTCATTCAGTACTCAAGGAGACTATAACTATAATAACGAAACCCCGGGTAGCGCGGCACACCAGAACTCATTTGGGCAGTCTCAAGAGGCACCTACATCGCTAAAGCTTTCGAGACTTCTACGACCTTTGAAATTGGACAGTCATCATGAAGGTTCAGATGAAGACTGGCGGCCTCCAGGTTCAGTAAAAATGCCAAGTTATATCTCTTCCATGACATTGGGTCAAACAATCACGGATCCCATAGAAGGCGGAATTCTCACCGCAGAAGCTTCGAGTTCCTTGTTTCAATATTTCATGGTGCATATGAATGCAAAATGGGAATATGTACTAGATCCCCACATCGATACCCACGATAGCGTGAGAGGACGGAATGGATTACTTTTTACCACGATCCTCTTTTGCTCATCAAAATTTGCCAACTTCAGCGACAATTTGATACAGCGTACTCCAGACCAGTTTTTGCAAAGTCGACTTTGCAGCTTGACTCGAAACTTGGTTATGCGAGCCCTTGCTGAAGGTGATAGGTCCATAGAGATAATGCAAGCCCTTTATTTGCTCGTCTGTTGGAAGGATGCCGATGACGACGTTTCATATCTCCATAGTGGCTACGCATTCCGCATCCTTCACGACCTAGACCTGGAGCGCGGTATCGTCCATAGCCGTCAAATGGCCCGGCAGAAAAGGATTTGGCTTGCATTGTTTCGACAGGACCGGCAACAGAGTCTCTTTTTCATGCGAAGGGCTTCCCTCAGTCAAGGTGATGATGATACATCTTTTCTTGGTGATCTTGATGCATGGCTGAAGATGCCATATGCACTGCCATTTGATTTTGCTGCATGTTGCAGCGCTGATATACGCTGTATACAGTCTAAGATGCGAAATTTGGTCCAGAGATCTTCTGTGAATATGTTGCCATGCCTATTGGAACTAATGGATGCAGAGCTGATCTCATGGAGGGCGAAATGGAACAATCATCTTCAAGGAGAAGGTATTCAAAGGAGGCACGATGGCTCGGTCATTGAACCTGATTTACTACATCCAGGAAAGGCTCATTTAACGAACCTGGTGGCCGTATGGGAAAATGGTGTCAAACTGAACGTGTCATCCGCAATATTTCGCCAGGCGCTGATGGCATCGGTGTCCTCTTCACTGGAACAGACAAATGAACAACTACATGAGCCGGTGAACATCGACCTGTCAACAATTCAGGAAACATTGTCACCAAATCCTCCTGGCCTTGTAAGCAGCATTGAGAGTGCGTTTGGGGTATTGCGGCATTTGATGGAATTTCCTACCGAAGACCTGAGAAGGGCACCGGATGCGGTTTTGCTGCTTGCTCCAAACGCGGCAATATTTCTTTGTTTGTTGCTTTGTCTTCCTGGACATGGAATCCTTGGTCCTTCATTTCAGAGCACAGCAATTGGCTTAACCCAAGACATCGCTCACAGGGTCAGACAGTCCATCCAATCGCCACAGGATACGGTTGCCTTACATTCCGCCTACCTGGAATCCCTTGTTGATCTATTAGATCCCTTGAAGGCCCCGGCAACAACGGAATTCACTGACACTAGAGCGCAATCGCACATCAACATGGATATTATAGCTAGGGGGTCAGATGGTCCAAATGACGATTCTCTTGCCCTGCAAGCAGCTCAAGTCCTGACCAGTGGGATCGCGACGCATACCTACGACAATGGACAGACCGACCCACTGATAGGGATGGCAAATGATCCGAGTCTAAGTTTACATATGCAAGGAATAGCAAATATTCTCGAGGGATCGTTTTTCTGTGATATACCATCCTTCACCGGAGAGGGAAATATCAATTGACAAATTCTTGTATATAGATTGTTATATTATCACCTCACTCTTAGGTTCTACTCTAAGGCTAGTATTAGATAATTCAGTAGGGTGCATTAGCTTGCACCACTGTCTTGCTCAAAAATTAGAGAGGAAAGAATGTTCTTAATCAAACATGATGCGCTTAATATTAACAACATCACTACCAATTACTATATGAAGAAGCTCAAATGCTCAGCTCTTACATCTTGGGAATTGAAAAATTGAATCCTCAATCGGAAAATCTCTGCGGGGCAATTCCCACGCACGGGTAAACAGTACCAATATCGACAGGCAAATCTCCTGTGAAGTCGACATCTTCAAGTTATATTCAGTGTTGAAGAATTAAGGCCAGTGATATTTGCGTACATGGTATAGGTGCAAGATCGACAAAATGGAGAGCCTAAGAATTGTCCGCGCATGAAAAGACCGCTGAAACACCTTCGCTGTAAGAGGTCTTAATATTAAGAATTGTTGCATAGGTTCCACCGATGGTGATAAAGACCCCAACAAGTATCATCAAACATGCAATAAAAACAGCAACTTTCTCCCTGGTACCATCTTTGAATGTCTTGAATGCAAGGGGCAGCCAATGTCGTATAGTATATGTGCGCCCGTCATTCGGACCTGTTTGATTATATAGCGATGGTTTTGTGGCGAGAAAGAACAGTATCATAATGCCCGGGAAGATGGCAGTGAATATGGGATTTATCAGAGCCCCCACCAAGCTCAGAAAATCATTGAAGAAATTTATCACTTCTACGATGATAAACCCGATCACCACAGTAACCGTCATTGATCCTACCCACGTCACCCAGTGTCTCGCTGTATTTGACTGTAGATGATGAGTTCCACGTAGGGTTCTTACAAACCAGTATTTTGCTGCAACGTGACTCCACAGTATTGCTGTTATGAACAGACCAGGGAGAGCGATTCCGTAGGCAACCTTTTTAATCAAGGGTCCTGCTGATCCTAGTGCTGGATTTGAGAGATACTGGCCAACTTTCCCGTAAATGATCGAGGCGATTGTAATGCAAGTAAGAACAATGAAGGATTGTCCCAGAAGAAGTGATCGCGTGAATAGGTGTGGCTGCTTCATCTCGGCTGAGATAGAGAAGAAGGTACCGGAAGCTCCTACAGCAAACAGCTGGCTGGATATCGCTGACATAGCTGTTGAGAAATCTGCAGAAGGAAATGCATGGATATTCAGATTTATCGGACCGCCGCCAGACGATCTGGCGGCTGCTGGTGTATGCTGAGTCAAACATGCGATGGCAGTAATCCAGATTGCTAGAAATATGCTAGCCACGCCCACCCAAGCAAGCCAAGAGACTTTATCCAACGATCTGAAGACAGTTCCAAAGAACAATGTGGCAGCCGCAGTAATCCCCACGAAGATTGTTGTACATGTTCCGTGGTCGGAAATGGCGTTCAGGGCAACAGATGTTGTGAGTAAGCCAGCGCCGGCAACCAAAGTAAGATAAATATAGTATATCCAACCAATGATCTCCCGGCCTTTTTTGCCGAGAATAATCTCCGAGGCATCCCCGATACTATGCATTTGAGGGTAATATTGGCGGGCATTACCACTCACATAACCGGCGATTGTTGTCATGAGCGAAAGGACAAGAAAACATAGTATCCCAGGGAAGAATCCCAATGAGTGGAATGTTGATGGTAGGCTGAGGGCACCGAGACCAATTTGAAGCTTGGCGATGAGAACAGCAGCGCCTTGCCAGCTCAATTGACGGAAGTTGACGTCGGCATTTGCAGCATTGAACAAGTCCTCTTGGGGTGGATCACCCTCTTTATCATAACCTTCTGTGCTCGACTCCTCACAGGCACCCAGAGCAATATTTTGCTCGGGCAGATGATCCCAGATGTTGTCTTCTTGAGATTTTTGCATTGCGATAGTTGAGCGTAGTGGGTGAAGACAACTGAATATCAATGGCCATGAGTTGAGGGCAGTTCGGGAGGGGGAAGTCTGTACGTATGGAAGATGAAGCAGATCAAGATCACATTTATCTCAATACGCCTTATCTCATAAATCCAGCGGTTCCTCGGGCCGTCTCCACTGGCCCCGTTCAGGTGCTCGAATTCTCCACGAATCCTAGGGAAGTTCTTGGATGGCGGGGTCCCCGGGCCATGTCTTTGACCAGCAATTCACATTTGGAGAATATTTTTTTTTTCACTTTTCAGTATCATACTCTGTCACTGAACCAATATGTCGCATGTTTTCTAGTCTTGCATTAATGTCAACCGGACATTTAGATGCCGGTTCTTGGCGTCACCGGCGCATGATAAGCATAGCGGCTTAGACTCCGTTTGGCAAATGCGCGATGGAAGTGACTGATTAGAACCAGAACCTCAAGGCATATCTGCCTGCGATAGCCATCGGACCGAGAGTCTGAATTTCTATTAACCGATGAGCTTCCTTTTACTTAGCGACTTTGTTATTGGTGGTTATCATCTACTGTGCCGGGCCGAGATACTACGCGAACAAGCTTATTATGGAATTGCATCCGCCAGCAAATTCTGTGACCGGGAACTCTTTCTTTTCTGCTACACTCTTTTCGATAAGATTTTGCGACTGTTGCTATGACTTCATTCTTATTCTTGAGGCGCCAGGGGCCTCAGTTGGCAACGATACGCCCTTTACTGATGGCCCCACGCTCTCACGTTCGCTTCTCATCAGCGGATTTACGGTCGGAGAAGTCAAAGATTCGACATCTATTGGAGCATAGGAAAACATTTATTGCAGCGGGTGGTACGGGCTTAGTCCTTGCAGGTCTACTATGGCGAGGTTCTAGTGACGATTGCTCAGAAAACCCACGCGATAGAAGTGCGCTTTCCATTGTTCCTTTGTCGAAGCTACTTTCCGGTTGGTTGTAAGTGTTTCAAAGATCTTTTTGCAAGATGTTCGAATCGATGGTTGACGATATGAAGCGCTTTTGCCTTTTGCTCCTCTCCCACATGGGTAGACTTGAGCGAACCCCTTTACAACCTTCTCTCAAAAGTCCCGGTTGTATCTTCGATAGCAAATGCAGTTGTCATGCGAATATTCTTCAATCAGTTTCTCGGGGGAGAGAGTACTTCCGACTGCACTTCTAAAATCAAGGATCTGCGACACGGAGAGATTGGCACCTTATTGGGATACAACATTGAGGCTGAATTAAATGGATCCAGCAAGGACACTCAATTGATCCTAGACCAGACACAGCACGTCCTATCCTCTATCGATGTTCAAGCCCAACTGGCTCGGCAGTTTTGGCCTGATTCCTACGCCTCTGCGACGAACGGGGATAATCGATGCTGGGTGAGGATTAAGGTTACCGGCTTGCTGCCGAATCCAAGTGCCCTTCACAACGGTTCTAAGGCCATTTTGAGGGCCAGACAAGAAAAAGGACTTGACAAAGATGTTCCTTATCCTGGGTTGCCACATGATGGGGATTGGGATTCGGCACTCGATGGAATGGAAGTTAGCGATACTGACCGGAATGAATTGCTGCAACTCCGACAAGTCCTGGAAACCATTGCCACTAAAGCTCGAGACAACAACGTACGCATTGTTATCGATGCTGAACAGACTTGGTATCAGCCAGTCATTGATAGCTTAACAGATGAGCTTATGCAAAAGTATAACACGATCGATGGCCCTGCCACCTGCATCGCTTCATTTCAAGCTTATCTCCGGCGGTACCCTCAGCTACTAGACCAACAGATTCAACGAGCAAAAGACAAAGGATACGTATTGCTGTTCAAACAGGTTCGCGGCGCATATATGGTTACTGAAAGCGCTCGATGGAAAGAGCAAGGGTTTCAAGGGCCTGGTCCAGTTTGGGCGACCAAAGAGGAGACCGACGCCAGTTACAATTACGGTATCGAGAAAACCATATCGACCATAGCCGGTGAGATCGCTCATACTGGACGCTCAAGTGTCGGTTTTGTAATGGCGACACACAACTCAATTAGTGTTGATCTTGGTATTCAACTGTTAGAGAAATATGGTTTAGCCAGGCGAGACAGTAGCGGGGATCGGCTTGTGCTCTCGAATACCGCTGCTGGTACCATTGCTTTTGCTCAGCTTTATGGTAAGGAATACCTTCGATCAATTTTCTGTTCATGTCTCTGACTCCAATGACTACTTTTTTCAGGCATGAAAGATGATCTTACGAACAAAATCATCGGGTCTATCCGGGCTCAAGACATTTTCCCTCTGGTTGTCAAGGTAAATATTCACCAAACGTTCCCAATGCACGCATCACACTACTTCGTTGCTAACGATTGGCCTACTCCCATTTTATATGGCGTAGTCAATGAGCTATGGAGATCTCAAGGAGTGCCTTCCATTTTTAGCCAGACGAGCCACGGAGAATAAGGCCGTTCTTGAAGGACGAGGCGGTGCAGCAGCTGAGAGGAGGCGATTGGGACGGGAGATTGGGCGGCGTCTGATTCCATTCCGACAGTAATCTCGTGAAGAACCATAGACGAAATAATAGAAGCACTGTTTTATTAACTGTTCTTTGCATGATTTGCTAAGAACTTCTGGAGGTCCATCAAGTCCCTTTGTGTAGATATCCAAAGCCGTGAATGCGCATGTGTATTTTATTTATATGCATAGGAAACTACAACGATATTGAATACCCTGACCAGGACCATTTGAAATAAATTTGTAGAACTTACAACATCTTAGTCACTAAAGGGAGCAGATGGGGCGTTCTTTTCAGATTCAACTTCGTAGACTACGTCCACTTGAGTTGCCCCTACTAGTACAGTAGTATTGAGCCCTGATACCCCAGATACAATTCCTCTACCCCACCCGAACCAAGTCGGAAAAATCTAACAGATAAATTTTCAAAGCCTTGATACGGTGAGGTGATCCGTATGAGGTCCTTTGTCAAACAAATGTTACTCGGTCCGAGTCAGGCTTCCCCGCGCCCTAGCTGGCCCGGTGACCTATCCGCCAGCGACCGGATGGGGGCACCGATATCTTCTGGTTTTGATCACCAGTATACCTTGTCGGCCCGAGCCACTAGAAATTTACATTTAATTGTCAGACATGACTCTGACATTCATCTCATGTATACTATTCTCATTGATCTCAGAGGAACGCAGAGCAGACAAACACCTTCATCACAATCGCAATCACAATGCCCCTTGCTCAATACCCAGAGCCCGAGAGTGCCGGTTCTGTATGTATCTTTGATCGATTCAGTCGAACAGGTGATCATCGCATCCTAAACTTACACATTTCTTTCCAGCTCGCATACGGACCTGGGTCTGAAGAGAGGCAGCTTTTGAAAGCAGCCCTCTCTGAACTCGAAGGAAGCATCGCTGAAGTTCCTAGCATCATCAACGGGGAGCGCATCTATACCGGTCACAAAAGCGAACAAAAGAATCCTTGGAATCGTCATGGGCCTCCCCTCGCCGTTTATCACGAGGCAGACTCGGATACGATCAAGACAAAGGCAATACCAGGGGCGATCGAAGCCAGAAAAACCTGGGCCAGTATGACATTCCAAGACCGAGCTACTATCTACCGCAAAGCCGCGAAGCTCGTGGAAAGCCCAAAGTACCGATGGAAACTTATGGCAGCTACAATGATCGGGCAAGGAAAGACGTGTGGACAAGCTGATGGTGACTGCATAGCCGAAGTAATTGATACTCTCAATTTCCACGTCTATTTTTGCGCGCAGATGTACGACCAACAGCCCATCAAGCAATATGATTCATCCACCAGTAGGCTGGACTATCGACCATTGGAAGGATTCGTGTTGGCGATTTCGCCTTTTAACTTCACGGCCTTGGGGGCTCACATTGCCTTCACACCAGCTATATTGGGGAACGTCATAATTTGGAAACCATCGCCAATGGCTGTTCTCTCCAACTACATTATATATCAACTCATGGAGGAGGCTGGATTGCCTCCTGGTGTTGTTCAATTTTTGCCACATGCAGATCCTACAACTGTAGTTGAGCCGGCTCTTTCCAGTCCTCATTTTGCGGGACTTCACTATACTGGATCTTCTGCTGTTTTGAGGAGTCTTTCAACCAAGGTCGGCACCAATATCAATATCTACCGAAGTTTTCCCCGGATAGTGGGCGAAAGCGGTGGTAAGAACTTCCATCTTGTTCACAATTCCTGCCAGGATGACTGTGATTGGATTGCTTCTGCTGCTGTTCGCTCAGCATTTGAGTTCCAGGGCCAGAAATGCAGCGCCATGTCACGATTTATTGTTCCCAAATCTATGTGGGAGCATGGTGGTTTGAAACAAGCGCTTATCCGAGAAGCGGATAAGATGACACATGGTGTGGATGTTAAGGAATTACACCATCCACTGGGCCCCATGGTCTCAGAGGCCTCGTATGAAAGATTTGGACACTGCGTTAAAAGTGCCCTAGATGATGGTCATAAGTTGATCTATGGTGGCAAGTCAGAGGGGAGAAAGGGTCTTTTCGTTCAACCAGCTATTTTCGAGTTGAAAGAGTCTGATGAAGCCCACTTATCGAACCTCATGACAAAAGAGCTTTTCGGGCCATTGTTCACGGTTCAAATCTATGATGATAACGCTCCGACTGGTTTCGAGGATATCTGCAAGACCATCGACACGACTTCCGAGTATGGTTTAGCGGGCTCAGTTTTTGCTCGTGATCGCAAGGCCATTCAAATTGCAGATGATCAGCTGCGAGATTCAGCTGGAATGTTTTGCATCAACGACAAGAGCACCGGCGCAATCATCGGTGCTCACCCATTTGGTGGAGCTCGATCCAGTGGCACTAACGACAAGGCAAATTCAGTAAATGTCCTTTTGAGATTCTCTAGTCTGCGTTGCGTCAAAGAGTCCTATATTAGCAGCAGCGAAACTCTAGGCACTTGCCATATCCCCGAATAGTTTCGGTGGGCTTATAGGTTGACATCAAGAATTAAAGAGATTCAAAAGCACGTCATATTCTTCTCATATAGTAATTCTTACTAGTAAAATATAGTTCTACCGGCACTGTAACAAAAATGACGTCGATAACTCACAACAAAAAAACGAAGTCGAAATAACCCTTCCCCGGATATATGCAGTTTTCTAGTCCTAGTGTGTTATTGTGAATCTTGAAACCGTTCTCAAAATTCCTCTGATAAAGCTTCCACTATCTGTAACATGCCTGATACTTGCAGCACATACTATCTGTACAGATTTTAAAGCTATCCTACTCGCCCTTTTCATTCCTATTCCAATGGGGATGGGAGGGAGCGATCAACGTGGATGAATTAAGCCATCTACAGATGAAGGATGCTAAAATGTTTGTTGATGCCTTAGGCAGCACTGTGCACCACCATCAACATTTCCGAAACACTTTCATTAATCGTTTCCGGTACATCGGTCGACTTTGCAATAACTACTCGAAGGTTCTCCAAGTGGTATATGAATTCTATGTGTCAACCTGATATGCCAATCATCAGTTTAGATGCAAACCTCGTAATTTCAAATTCTCTCGGATAGGTGTCCGGCCGCAACCAAGCAACTTGAAATATTATCGGTTCGTAGAACCCCTCTTCTCGGACCGAGATGGAGACCCGCTTCTATTATGCTTTCGGGCGGCATGGAGCGTCACGTTCGGAAGGCGAAATTGGAGAAATTATTCATGTATAAAATGCGTTAAAAAGATGAAGAAAAACTATTTGCGAAAACTTTGAAATTTCAAACAAACGGATCGAAGACAAAAATGGGAATGGACGCTCAACTGCGAATCGCCATCATTGGCTGTGGTATATTGAACCCCCCTTTAGTCATCGCTTTAGATTGACGGTCTAACATGAAGTTTTATTTGATAGGTACTCTAGGGACTGCAATTGCCAATGGAATACTAGAACCTAAAAGCGAAACAGGATTCAGTGTGAAGCACCTCACCGCTACCGTTGGTACACCAGCATCTAAGAAACGCGTTGAAGAAACCTTGGGCGTGAATTCGCATCGGCTTACGGTGCTCACCAAAGAAGAAAATGTGCGAGCAATCCAGGACGCAGAGATTGTTATACTAGCTATGAAACCTATTAAGCGTGCTAAAGTATTCGCTGTGTCTGGGTTTAAAGAGGCCCTTCGTGATAAATTCGTGGTCAGCATTATGGCCGGTATTTCCACCGCAGCGTTGGGGCGTCTCGTATTTGGTGAGAATGCCTCGGAGGACACAGCTTCATTGCAGGCTGTTCGTGCGATGCCTAATATGGCCGCCAAGATCCGCGAAGCCGTGACATTGTACACCCCAGGGGTTGGAACCACAGAGGATAACTTGGAGATTGCCGACTGGATATTCCATCAGGTCGGAGTCGCATACCAAATGCCAGAAGGCTCCTTTGATATATGTGCTGTATTGGTGGGGTGTGCGGGCTCCCTTCTGCTTCTCGCAATCGACGGGCTACTGGATGCTGCTGTTGCTGAAGGCGTAAAAAGACCGGATGTGCAAAATTTGGTTGTGAACAGTGCCATTGGAATGTTGAAGCTTGTACCCGAAGGAGATCATCCTGGAGTCTTGCGAGAGAAGATTGCCTCTCCTGGTGGTTGCTCTATTCGGGCACTTTTAGAGCTTGAGAAACTTGGTGTCAGATCTGCTTTCACCACGGCAATCCTTGCAGCTGCGGCAAAGTCAAAGAGCATGTCATCATCTTAGGATATTACACGCTTTTGAGGAAATAGTATAGTTGAGACTCTGGCACAAATTTACATTAGAATCATTTACGCCTTTGAAAAGTCTCAGACCCTTGGAGTCGAACCTTGGACAGTAAGATAGTATTGATGCCCTATTAGAATTCCTAACTGCTCGAATATACTGCATTTGAAGCCGATGAACTATATAAAAAACGTGTAAATGTACGTGGCATTCCGTAATTGTCGATTTGCCTTCAGAAAGCGATAAATTCATTCTGTACTATGAAAAGACATTGTGCCGTATAGACAACCCTGGAACTCGAAGTTGAAACCAACATTTTAAAACTACGTGTCCATTCACACAACACTCCATCATTCCCTCACTACTATAGTTTACGTTCTTAGGCTCTCGGGCCGAGATAATAGTATGTACCACGTACCCTCAGCGATAAGCGGATTTTAATTACGACTCTTCATTTTCCCCGAATCATCGGATACCCTATCCGAATGAACTCATCCGAACAAAAAGCAGATTGAAAAAAGAGTAAGAGACACATAGTGATATAGAAGAAAAGGAAAGACAAAATTCGTTGATTTTTACGCTTATGAGAAGTTGGGGCTGGTCTGGGAACCGGTAGGCTTCAGCATTCCACACTGTCTAAATGACATCGAATCCCAACAACCTCCCTCGACGTAAAGTGAAATTTAGCGAGCCTCTTGCAATGCGCCCTTCGAAGCGAAATATACGGGCAAGAGGAAATTCAAAAAGATATCACTGGAGCAAGGAAACCTACGCTCAACACGTGCGAAAGCCCTGCAAAGAAAAATGTAGGTTTCTTGAATGAACCTTTAAATGCTCTGATTAAAAGACTGACCCCTCCAGATCAACGACGCACAAACCAGGCTCGTGATGAGTCTTTTAGCGAATACTCCATTCGCAGGCTGGTGGAGCTGTTCAATGAGAAATTTTCATCGCCAATCCCTCAACATAGAGAAGTGACACCAATCGGCTCTAATATAGGCAATTCGTCAGACGCAGGATCCGTTCCATTGATGGAGGATGCAATAACTATGGTAAATGAAGTCCAGCTATTTATCGGCCAAACGATGCATCTTTTTGACGAGAATACGTTTATGCGAGGCTTAAATCGCTATTATGCAAACTGGGAATGTGAATCACAACCTCCTTCCTTATGGAAACGCCACTTTTATATTATTCTAGCTCTAGGAGTTGCTTTCTCGCGCAATGATGAGAATACCCCAAGCGCTTCTTCTCAATCAATCTACTTCCGAGCAGCAATGTCCTTAAACCCTGCCGACGAGGAATTGTATGAAGATCCATTTACCGCCATAGAAGTTTGGTGTTGCTTTGCTTTGTATTGCCAAGGCTTGAACGACTGGAATCAGTCGTTCTCACATGTAAGTTGGGATTCTATACCTTCTGTTTCTGTTTTCTGTTTTCTGTGTTCTTTTTTTGTAACGACAGAAGAAATTCGAATATTGACTTCCGGAACCGTGTCGCTCAGATCAAGGCTGCATGCCAATTTGCAGCATCTCGTAATCTTTTGCAAGATACACTCAACTGCCAGGCAGTTCGGAAAGCTTCGCCCCGATGTCACAGAGCTTTGGTTACTATACATATTCTGAGCGTCTATTATTCTTCTGTGACAAAGATGGCGTCACCCTTGTCCTGGGGCCTGCAGGGCAATTTCCAAGGATGCATTGAGGGTTACCATGGAATGATGGGGATTTATCTGAAGTTGATATCTCTACTAAGTGATATATCAAACGGTAAGCTGAAGCTAATCAGTATTTTTGACGTTACCGCAACATTGGGATTTCTAACCTCTATATGTCATTACTAGACGAACAGTTTTCCGACGAGAAATTGCTGCTGAATTTTGAAAAACTACCCTCAACCCTGAAACAGCTTGCAGCAATGGGCCGAGAACTCGAATCAGTCAATCTTCTCCAGGTTCTCAATCCAAAGAAACAGACGTTTCGATGTTTTGCATCTCTAATGCTAGCATACAACCAGGTATCTTCACAATGTTCGATTGATTTTCATTGACTTACCTTTTAACACCCGCCAGTGCTTTGTCCTTGCTGCCAGATCAACCCTATTCTCCATCGTCTTATATAGATTGAAGTATTCACCGCTCCCTTACGGCAAGGAATTGCTTTCAACGCTTTTGCAGGAGTTCCTTGATGCAGCAGCAAAGTCAGCCAGTAACATTATCTCTATCTTGCTCGCGTTAGAGAAACACCAGCAGCTAAGTATGCCGCCCGGGGTAATAATAATAAGGATTTTCTCACATTAAAATAGATAGCTTCTTGCCTTTCGATGCAGAATGCCTGTTTCTCGCAACATCGTTCCTCACACTATTTGCTTTAATTAACCCAGAGAAGGTTAACTGCCGATTTTATGCTTTGACTTGCCATCTTCTGAACGCCTTTATATCTCAAGGCAATGCTGCGGCATCTTTTAAGAAGTTGGAACTTGAAAGACTATGGAAAGTAATTTGGACCTTGCAGCTGACAATTGCGTGAAGAAAGAGCACTTCAATACGTCATTACTCAATACGTGATCATTCAATGAGAGGTTCTCGCACTCTTGAAGTCGAGGACCATATAGAAAGAGAATATCTCGGAACTCATATAGTCCCGCCAAATGAATCTCTTGATGTTTTTAAACTGTTAATGTATGACCTTGACGCGTGTAACGGTCGCATCGTGCTTAAATTGTCTGGCAGCCGGAAGCGCCGGTACTGCCTCGTCTGACAAAGAGATAGGACAGAGCAAAATGGGAACATAAGGAATGGCCGAATGTATCTGACCCACCCAACCGTCCCTCCACGTCATATTCGGTGAGGGCTGACCACCTACACGAAGATGGCCTCGCTGGAAAGGTATCCGAGCCTTGCTGGAAAGCTATCTGGGGATTCCTTTCCTTGTAAATCTTCGGCAAGACATCCGGCGCTCGGACAATTTTCACAAAATCGGCTGAACTGATAAGGTCGTTGAACTTTACCTCGTTCTCGCAAGGGTAGGTCCATGCAAGGGCACTCAGTTCTAGTCCAATGATATTTTTAGCCCCAGTCCGCATAATTACCTGGGAACTAAGAGACAATTCTGAGATACCCCATCTCTCATATGGGAACGAACAGTGATCATTCAGGCCTAAGGCTTTAATTGCAATAAGCACACCGTGTGGATGTGTTGACCGCCTTTTTTATTGTACAAAGGCATAGCAGGAAAGATAACATACGCTGATGTCAACTCCCTCGTCCGAGATTACCCCAGATTTGCACCCCGCATCCTTCGAAGGTCAAACTGGACCGGTCCGAGATGATAAGCCATTTGGCCAACGTCCAATAGTAGTCGTCGGTTACTTATCGTCATATTATGACCGCATATATAAGGTGGTTGAAGCTCAGGGGCTTGAAGCCTTTCCAAAACTCCATTCCAAATGTTTAATCCAAAATCTAATCTTCATTCTACCTGCCCACTTCCTTGCAACCTTCAGCTCTCATAGACAAATTTTCTATCATGGAGAAGACAGAAAAGATGATTGACCAACACGATGAACCTGAAATCGGCTCAGTAGCTGAGGCAACTCCCCATAAACCTGCAACACAGGCCCCGGGTGATTTATTTGACGTTGAAAATGGCGACGTTGACTTTCGAGGTGTCTCATGGCAAGGGGCTGCGATTATAGTCACAAAGCTGCAGATTGGACTTGGCGCCCTTAGCCTTCCGTCGACTTTTCATGTCTTGGGATTCTTCCCAGGACTACTTTGCTTCACGACCTTGGGATTGATTTGCACTTTCGCTGGGTATGTCTGTGGTAATGCTAGGCAGTATTTTCCACATATGCATAGTATCAGTGACGCAGCGGAGCTACTGTTTGGAAAGTTCGCCCGCGAGTTCATTGGAGTCGCTTATTATATCTATGTTGCTTTGGTGGCTGGTGCTGGAATGCTGACAGTGTCGGTGGCCCTCAATGCTCTATCAAATCATGGAGCATGTACTATGGTCTTCCTTGCCGTGATATGTGCAGTGTCTTTTATTATTGGCACGGGATTTAGATCCCTAGAGAAGGTATCATGGATAAGCTGGCTGGGTGTTGCTGGAATCATCTTGTCAATTTGGACAACTGCAATCGCATGCCTTACCCAAGATCGACCAGCCGTGGCACCTGCAACTGGCCCAATTGACCTCGAGATTCGCGCCTTTCCGAAGACGACGTTTTACCAAGCAATGTCTGCCGTCGCGAACCAGCTATTTGCCGTGGGCGGCTCAGGCATATTTTTCTCGGTCTCTGCCGAAATGAAGCAACCGCATCTTTTTACCCGGTCGCTACTATGTGGCCAAATTTTCATCATTCTTACAAATATCATAATCGCCTCAATAATATATGGCAAAGTTGGCCGCTACATTGCCAGTCCAGCTCTAGGATCCGGTGGTATTTTGATTGAAAAGATATCGTACGGCATCGCCTTACCGGGATTAGTGGTCACAGCTGTTCTATATAGCCATGTTGCCGCAAAGTACTCTTTTGTGAGAATCCTCCGTGGAAGCCGTCATCTACAATCAAATACAGCTCAGCATTGGGCTGTATGGGCCTCATCAAATTTTGTCACTGTTATTTTTGGTTTTATAGTCGTTAATGTTATTCCATTCTTCGGCGATTTCCTTAGTTTGGTGGGAGCACTTTTCAATCCAATTTTCACGAACGTGGTTCCCGGATTCATGGTGCTCTTTTTCATTTCGAAGAGGCCCATCAAGGCTGTGGAGAGCCAGACTCCACCATCTCTTGACGAGAGTCAGTCGACAATGGACTGGTTAGTCGGGTCTTTCACCGCTGCTAAGCGTGGCAAAAAAGAGGCTTGCGCCTTTGCTATTGCATGGTTTATGATTATCACGGGAGCTTTTATCATTGTCGGGGGTACCTATGCGACTGTGCTGAGTATCCAAGCTGCATATGATGATGGTGACATATCAGGCGTCTTCTCGTGTGCTGATAACTCTTGATGAAAAGGTCAACTAGGCAATGTAGACTGGGGCTCTTTGTAAAAGAGGATGCTCACAAAGATCTGACTGATGAGTTCTGGAGAAATATTGCTGAATCCTCTCGTGAAGTCCATATCTGGTATTTTCAGTTCTGGCTATTATGCTTCTCCTTTGGTTCATATTTAAATGGGGAAAACCTCCACCCAACCAGAAATGACCCTTGCGGTGGCGGATTTATTATCCCCTTTTCATCTCTTGTAGTTATATAGCATCGCGTTACGATAAGTTCTAGAAAATATACACTTCTTATACTCTTTTACTTGTGTTCTGCAATTCTAATTTCCTGCTTTGACTAGAGAAAGATATTAATATTTTGCTATGGGTTTTTCTAATTAGTACTCCAATATAGACCTATTTCCCCTCTTCAACATATAGGTAGTGAATCCTGGGGCCATGGATGGAGTAGATGGTCATTGAATAGAATAAAATAAAATAAATGAAGAACTTGAACTTGAAAGGGTATATCTTCAGGTTGACAAGCAGGAATTTTTATAATCCAACTATATAGCTTCTGGGCACAGACAACAATTATAGTGGTAAGTTGAGTAAATGCTGATTTCTTCCAGCTTTCTTTTCTTAAGAGGTAGCAGTTTCCCAAACTATGATGGCTAGTCAGATTCTAAACTATTTGCCTGACAATATTCAAGTTGAAGTTCTGAAACCCAATCGAAAAGACCAATATGTCACTTTACCCGTGAAAGAGGAAAGCGAATGCCTTTCCTCGCGACAGACTCCGGTACCTTACTTTCAAATTACACAATTAGGCAAAGATCGGCTTCAGCGTCACCGGATATCCCCAAATTGCCCAGTAATCCTAAGTAATAAACTCGTGGTGGATACCACGCAATCAAAAAAACTTTAGTGCGGAGTAACCCCAGAGTAATCTAGCTTGAGTGTGCCGTGCACGAATACAGTACATCGGAGAAATTTAGGCGAGGAATTTGGAGGCCGCTCCACTCTGTGCCGAGCAAATGTCCGACTAATTACAGTAAGGTGGGAAAATAATCGGAGATTTAACAATCGTATGCGATGTGCTTTAAACATAATAATGATTAATAGCGAAGAAAATAATTTTCACGAGATTATCAGCGTTAAGCTTGCAGTGTGGAATGTGCTATCTAAATCACAGACAGCTTTCAATGGAAGCTATTTTCGAGCATGAACTACATATCTTAAAAACACACTGGGCCTTGTCGGCAACCTCACGGCAAATTTTTTATGCCGTGAATGGATCGGGCTGGCCCGACGATGGCCCGAGCCCGAGCTATAACATGAATCAATCGTAGTGACTTCATACTAATGCCCAGCAAAGTGAGCAGAATGTATACCAAAGCAAATACAAGAAGATCAAATCCTTATTATATTATGGTGATTGCCCTATAACTCAATATAATCTTCTCTATGGCTCATTATGAAGTATTAATAAGTGTTTCTACAGGTCCAAAATGTGGCGCCACAGTTAGAATTTCCTCAAGTTCATCCCGAGGACATTCGGCCTGCAACTTAAAACATGGAGCCCCGCATCAACAAACCCCGGCACCCCGGTCTCCACAACTTCACGCCGACACCGGGACACGGGTGGACACCGGAATACAAACCGGAAATTGTGTGACGGACAACGTTATCCATGGGGGTCAATTTTGAAGCTTGAAATTGTTGACACATAGTAGTATATAAATATATTGACGTAGTATGATGAGTCAGCGCTAGCATTACCACCTTCCATAAGCACAGTAGCGGAAGATCAATTCAACCACTAGACTCGCCCGAGGAGGACCCGGAATTACAACTTGAAGCCTTGGAGGAAAATACTACGTATTCCATGCCGATGCTTACTGCCCCGCCTTCCAAGAGCTTGGATCGTGCACATAACTATATCCATGACGGCTTACGGAGATTTCCGCATGAAGTAAAATCAATGAAGATCATCTGGGCACTTTTGATCTGTTGGGTATACAAGACTTTTTCTTGCAAACTTCAAAGACGGATGTCTAGAGAGCACACATACAGTATTTTCTTCTCGCATCCTTGCAGCAGGTAATCTCCTTGGAATGTGGAAGATAATATACCCGCTGTCAAGAACATTCCTGGAATTTGTGAAGGGAGGCGGAGAATTAGCGGAGCTTGAAGGTATGCCAAGGAGTGGCGCGGTGAAGGTGGTATGCTCCCGAGGTTTAGGCGGAGAGTGTCCGGCACAGCATTACCCGGGCACCAGAGCTTGGCTGCTTAGGATGGAGAAGGATGGATTATGAATCGGAGATCTGTTCGTGTTAATTTCTAGATTTTAAAGATTGTATACTGTAGCATTGAAGTGGTAAAGATAAGACTGCATACAAGGGATCAACATAGTCCAGTCCTTCCTCCCCCTTGAACGCGCTTCAGGGTCCATCAGTCCATACTTAAGCATCTCCTCGCGTGTCCAGCCACTCGCATTGCTTTCTCCCTTTCAAAGGGGAAAATCCGAGAACACGCATCAACAAATCAGTAGATCTGATCCATCGCGTGCCCCAATGCCAAGAAAAAAACAAAAGCCCAAAATGAGTGAGTAAATGGGGTTGGACATCGCATTACGCCCCTAGGCACCATCCGACTATTTGTCGATCCTTACTGGTTTCTCCACACTTCCACACTTCCCAGCTTCCCCGTGCTGGAATCCGGGCGGGGGCATTTACGAAATAGGATGTTCCCCTGTCTGCCGTAAATAATAGCTCAGGTACCATTTAAATTTGGCCTGGTTCCCCCCATTGACGGCTGGATTCTTCTTTTTTGAAGCCGTGCTCTCCTACGCCATCCCCACCGTGTCATTCAGTAGCCTCATTGTTTTGAGACCCTGGATCTCACTCGTTTCTCCTTTAAACCGCAACCATGAAGTTTGGTTTGCTGGAAGCCACCCTCTTGGGTGCAGCTTCGGTCGCTAGTGCCAAGGTAACATTTCGAAATGATTTTTAATACCGCTTTTTTTCGCCCAGGTTGTTAATAATTTCTGTACTAAAGGAATTGGCATACTCTCCTCCCTTTTACCCGTCTCCATGGATGACTGGTGCTGGCGATTGGACCGAGGCGCATAGACGCGCCGTCGAGTTTGTTTCTAATTTGACATTGGCCGAAAAAGTCAACTTGACAACCGGTGCTGGGTATGCTATTCACGAAAAAGCCTCGCAAAATTACTGAATAACTAACAATTTCAAGATGGGAACAAGAACGCTGTGTCGGAGAAACTGGTGGGATTCCAAGGTAAGGCTTAATATACCAGAAAAGAGTCGCGTGGTACACATGAAGAACGCGGACTGACAATATGCTACAGACTTGGGATGTGGGGCATGTGCATGCAAGACTCACCCCTCGGCATTCGTGACAGTATGTGGAGCTATCTTACCTAACCACACGATGATTCGAAAATTAACGATTGAACAGGCGACTATAACTCCGGTTTCTCTGCGGGTATCAATGTTGCCGCTACTTGGGATAAGCGACTGGCCTACGCTCGCGGTATGGCCATGGGTGAGGAACATCGGGACAAGGGTGTGGATGTGCAATTGGGTCCTGTCGCTGGCCCACTCGGCAAGAACCCTGACGGTGGTCGCGTTTGGGAGGGTTTCTCCCCTGACCCTGTCCTCACTGGTGTTATGATGGCCGAGACCATCAAGGGAATGCAGGATGCTGGTATTATTGCATGCGCAAAACACTTTATCGGAAACGAACAGGAGCATTTCCGCCAGGCTGGCGAAGCTCAAGGATACGGATATAACATCACTGAGAGTGTCAGCTCCAACATCGACGATACTACCATGCACGAGCTTTACCTCTGGCCCTTCGTCGATGCCGTGCGTGCTGGCGTTGGCTCCATCATGTGCTCTTACAACCAGATCAACAACAGCTATGGGTGCTCCAACAGCTACACGTTGAACAAGCTGTTGAAGTCCGAGCTTGGCTTCCAGGGCTTCGTCATGAGTGACTGGGGTGCTCACCACAGTGGTGTTGGTGATGCCCTTGCTGGTCTGGATATGTCAATGCCCGGTGATGTGATTCTGGGAAGCCCTTACTCTTTCTGGGGTACAAACCTGACCATCTCCGTCCTGAACAACACTATCCCCGAATGGAGAATTGACGACATGGCTACTCGCATTATGGCTGCCTATTACAAGGTCGGCCGTGACCGCCACCGCACTCCTCCCAACTTCAGCTCCTGGACACGCGACGAGTATGGCTATGAGCACTTCATTGTCAATGAGAATTTCGTCAAGCTTAACGAGCGTGTCAATGTGCAGCGTGACCACGCCAAGGTTATTCGCAAGATCGGCGCGGACAGCACTGTTCTCCTGAAGAACAACGGTGGTCTTCCCTTGACTCACAATGAGAAGTTCATCGGAATTCTAGGCGAAGATGCAGGATCTAACCCTGACGGCGCCAACGGCTGCGCCGACCGTGGCTGCGATAACGGCACTTTGGCTATGGGCTGGGGCAGTGGTACTGCTAACTTCCCTTACCTGATCACTCCCGAGCAGGCCATTCAGAACGAAGTGTTGAACTACGGCAATGGCCAGACTAATGTCTTCGCTGTGACTGACAATGGTGCTCTTGATCAAATCGCCGCTATTGCCGCCCAATCTAGCGCTGCTTTGGTCTTTGTGAACGCTGACTCCGGCGAGGGCTTCATCAACGTTGACGGCAACGAGGGTGACCGCAAGAACATGACTCTCTGGAAGAATGGCGAGCAGGTTATCAAGGCTGCCTCCGAGAACTGCAACAACACCATTGTCATTATGCACACCCCTAGCGCTGTCCTGATTAACGACTGGTACTTGAACCCCAACATCACCGCTATTCTCTGGGCTGGTCTCCCCGGCCAAGAGAGTGGCCGTAGCTTGGTGGACGTTCTCTACGGTCGCGTCAACCCCGGTGCTAAAACCCCATTCACCTGGGGCAAGTCCCGCAAGGCTTACGGAGCTCCCATCCTTACTGAGCCCAACAACGGCGTGGACGCTCCTCAGGACGACTTCACCGACGGTGTTTATATTGACTACCGCCGCTTCGACAAGGACGAGGTGGAGCCTGTTTACGAATTCGGCTTTGGTATGAGTTACACCGACTTCGCTTTTTCCGACTTGAAAGTTAAGTCTCTGAAGGCCGACAAGTATGTCAAGACGACCGGCTGGACCAAGGTTGCTCCTATACTGGGCAAGGTTGGCCCTGTTTCCGAGTACCTGTTCCCCAGCGGCATTAAGCGCGTCACCCAATACCTCTACCCCTGGTTGAACTCCACCAACCTGAAGGAGTCTTCCGGTGACCCATACTACGGCGAGAAGACCGATGAGTATGTTCCTGCCGGTGCCACCAATGGCTCTGCTCAGCCCCTTCTACCCGCTAGCGGTGCCAATGGTGGCAACTCTGGTCTGTTCGAGGATCTCATCCAGGTCACTGCCACTGTTACCAACACTGGAAAATTGACTGGTGATGAAGTTCCCCAGCTTGTGAGTTTCTTATCTAAAATACGTCCTTGATACACCAGCCACTAACCAGCCTAATTTATAGTACGTCTCCCTCGGTGGTCCCAACGACCCACCCAAGGTCCTTCGTGCCTTCGACCGTGTTACCATTGCCCCTGGCGAGAAGCTCCAGTGGACCGCTACCCTGACCCGCCGTGATTTGTCCAGCTGGGATGTCCCAGCCCAGAACTGGGTTGTCACTGATCACGCGAAGAAGGTGTATGTTGGTAACTCATCCCGCAAGCTGCCTCTTTCGGCCGACTTGCCTCGTGTTCAATAGGAGCACAATCAAGTTACAATAAAGAAGCAAGACTCATGAAAGAGCTCCCTTTCTTAAGTTGTACAGATCTACTTTTTATTGCATATAGTTTTAATGACAACATTTCTGTTCTTGATCTAAAAATTTGTCCTCATAATGTAGCCTGAAACGTAATGTAAGACCGAATTCGCGACAAAATCAATATATCTATTCTAACCGACCAAATCTATCAGGTTTGTCGCCGCCGAAGACTATCATACAAAGACTTGAATGCCGAGTCTTCTCGCGATAAAAGATTTTGTGGTGTATCGAATTCAATCACTTTTCCATGATCCAAGAAAACAATCGTATCATAATCAAGAACAGAGTCCAGCTTATGAGCAATGGTAATGAGAGTTTGGTCTTTGAATCGAGTTCTAATAACTTGTTGCATGAGAACTTCCGTCTCAGAATCCACACTATCTCAATATTAGCTTCTGTACAGCGAGTTTAAGATTCGAATGCACAAACCTGCTCGTAGCCTCATCCATAATTACAATCTTGCTAGATCTGCAGAGGGCTCTTGCCATACAGAAAAGTTGCTGCTGGCCATGAGATAGTAACTCGTCGGTCATTTCTGTGTCCAAGCCACCCTTCGATTCGAGATAAGTCCATAAGTTGACTGCCTCTAGCGCTTCGATGATAGTGGCGTCTGAGACATCTTCTTGGGGGTTTGCGTTAAGCCTAACTGAACCAGCTAAGAAAAAAGCCTGCTGTGGAATGGTATTCAAGCATGAGCGAATGTGTGATCGCGGGATTCTGGAAATATCCACCCCGTCGATACAGATCTCACCGCTGTCGATCTCGAGCGTTCGTAGGATCGTTGAAATCAGCGATGATTTCCCACTATACATGCCAATGTTAGATGCAGAACACAGATATTGCGTGAGAAAACCCACCTTCCAGTCCTTCCACACAGTGCAATTTTCTCGCCACCGGAAATTTTGAGATTGATACCTCGAAGAACGGGCTCCGGAGATCCACTAGAAAATATTAGTTCCGTTTATAGCCATACTGGTTATTATTCTACTCACTCATATGAAGCAGACACATTTCTGATCTCAACATTACCATGCAGTGGCCACAATCCTGGGACCACACCGACTTCACCATCCAGATCTTCGGTTTTTGCTTGCCGCACATATGAGCGGATACGGGAAACCGCCCCAATGGAGGTCTCAAGACCAGTCCACTCCTTGATAAGTGTTTGCAAAGTTGAACTGAAGTTAACAATATTGAACAGTGTAATTCCGAGTAGATTCAACGAGGAATTTCCTTTCATCGCAAAGGCGCCTGAAACAACCAGGACCGCAATAGCCGCAACGATAAGGTCGAGAACAAGGCCGAGCCAGCGCTGAATGCAGGACAGCATGTAATATGGGCGCTGGGATGTATCAAGGGCAATTTGAGTTCGTAGTTGATAATTCTCAGTCCATCCATAAGCGCGGATACTTGTTAGGCCGCTCAACGCCTCGAGGAAATGTGAGAAAAGGGGAGCTTTGGTTTCGATATCTAGCAGTCGCACTTGACGAGATGTCTTGACGTAGTATCTGGCAACGTAGTAGATTACTAAAGCACAGAGAGGGATTGTTGCTGCGATTATGTAGTTGGATCCCACGAAGACTAGAAAGCCTTCGAAGATACAGCTCAATATGGCGTTGACTGTTAACTCGAGAGCCGAAGGGAGCTCATCGTCAATTAACTCCAAATCTTGGCTGAATCTATGGGGGTATTAGCTGCTGTCTTTCTCATCAAGTGAGGTCATGTTCCATACCTATTTGTCGTTGTTCCGATGTCCGTCGAAGTTAGATAGGAAGTTGTTGCCCTTGGTTATGTTAACCGAATTGTACAGTCGCGTCTAATGCTTCATTGACACTTACCTCATCGTAGTCTCCAACAGGACTTCATGGAACTTGCGTGCACTTTTGGGAACAATAACCATACCGAAGACCCTATTAAAATCAACATTGTGGTAATTAATAATAGACTCATGGTCTACATACCAGCTACCAAAAAAAGCTGCCAAAAGCGTAAAAACGCCGAGAGCGGCATAGACACCGAGCCAATAACCGATATTTTCGTTAGGGTGTTGCTCGTTTGCTTGGGTCCATTTTTGAAGCCAAATTTCTATAAAGATGTAAGCAACTTATGACAAGCATGAACATGTCAAGGGTAGTAACATACGAGGAAAGATGAACCCAGAGGTGAACATGACAGAACTTGCCACGATAAGAGTCATCAAACGCCACCCGATCTTCTCGAAGTAGTAAAGGTAGACGGAAAAGTCCCCAGTCTGTCGGCTGACGTGATCCATCTCGTCATTTTCCAAATGCAATTCTTGCAGAGCTTCCTCGTCAAACAGAACCTCTGGTTCTCTGTGGACTTGTTCCTCGTCGGGTTGGTTAGAGATAGATGGAACAGCACCTCGAGCAACAAAGAGGGCCTCGTAAGACCCTTGCTCGGCCAGTTTCCCTTTCGAGTCGATTGAAATGATATGATCAGCGTAAAAGAGATGGTGGGCTATTGAATGGTCAGAAACCCTCTTGTTAATTGTGAAAATGGCACGCACCAGAATTTGTTGCAAGTACAACGGTTCGAGAAATTTGTTTTAATAAGCCGTTCCGTCCAAACACGGACTCCAGGATGAAGCTCTCCGTTTCGCGGTCAAGTCCCGTCAAAACATCGTCCAATATCAGAACAGGTTCCCTGGAATAGAGAGCCCGCGCAAGAGCCTGACACAGAGTTAGTTATAAAATTGATTGAGAGAATCCATGAATTTCAACTTACCACCCGTATTTGCTGACCACCACTGAGTCTTGATCCCTGAACTCCAACTTTTGTTTGGTCTCCTGCCGGAAGCTGTTGCAAGTCAAGCCGCAAGGCACATGCTTGAATCACACGATCATACCAGATTTGATCCCATGGAGATGCGCCAATAACGTTTTGCTGAACAGTACCGAAAGTAACCCACGGTGATTGATTACAGTAGGCGGCGTGCTGGTATGCCACAAATATAAGCCCAGAGCATTCTGGAACCTCCCCCAACAGCACCTTTAACAATGTTGACTTTCCACATCCGACTGGACCGACAATCATTGTAATCTTGTTGTGATCGATGTCAAAGTTCAAATCACTAAGTATCGGCTCATCATCAATGGACCATGATACTGATAGGCCACGGGCTTTGGCACAGGGCGAAACTCCATTCTCGCCACCCTCATTGGTATCCAAATTAATCAATGGGCGCTCTTCAGGATAGGCGATAGAGCGATGATCCGTACGTTCTGTCTCCAGTAGATATTTTTGAATTCTTTGAAGACAGTTGACAACTGCGATGAGATCTTCTGCCCCATCAGCAATTGAAACCATAGGTATATCGAGAAGCAAGAACAGAGTTAATGCTGAGAAAGCAAGTCCATTTGTGATAGTTGCTGTGTCATTCGCCCGAGCCAAAAAAATGTAGACTCCAAAACCAAATACAGGAGATAGTGCCAAAGAGGCATATGCTGCATTTTTTGTTAGTTGACAACCACACAAAGAAGTGCTTCACTTACATATTGTGATATTGATGACATTGTAGAGCCGAAAAGGTATTGCACTCTTTATTTCATCTGATCGTAGGTTCCGCAGAGTGCGTGCTGCGACGTTTGTCAAGCCTGTCATTTTGATGTTTTTCATAACTCCGAGAACCTTCGAAGTCACCGCAACACGCTCTTCAACAGACTCCAGCCATTCTCCCTGTGCATTGCCAGAAGCAATTGCCAGTGGCACAGTTGCAGCAAGACAAACTATTTGAAGTCAATTGTGGGTTCGGAGACAATAATCCATGGAAGCAACTTACCTAAGACAATCGACAAAGATGCAATAGTTGCAATGCCGAGTAAACGTGCGAGAAACCATAGTGCTAGCGCAATTTCTATGAAGTTACAATAGACTTCATGCATCTCTAAGAGGCTGTTTTGAATTCTTTCCATGTCAGTGCTCATCAAGGTCACTGCAGTAGCATCCGATACAGAAGATGTATTCAAACGCAAAGTCTTGTCAAATATCAGGCTCACTAGGCTACCTCGGACCATGGCTGTTAGACGAAAGATTTTATGCTGGTAAACAGCAAATGTTATCTGTAATCACGTTAGGAATTTTGCCTAGACATATGCCCATCGAACTTCAACATACCGCAATACCAACATGGACTATGGCATATGCCATAATGAGACCCCTTGCATAGTTCTTTGAGTTGACATGGTCTGGCTCTTCCATAAAATTCAAAACTCGCTCAACAAGAAATGGCTGCGTGAATGAGAAGCCAGTATAAGCCAGACGAGGCAATGAGCCCGCGAAATATGCCCATTTATAATGAGCTATCATAGTCCATAGCAAAGCATTCGGCCCATGTTTATTAGCTGAATATCCAATGTTAGTCATCAATATCCAATGAAAATCAATTTCTGAGCGCAATCACACCTTTGTTCCATCTATTCAAAAGATCTTCGGGATTTGAAGCTGCCTTCACGTCTTCATCCAAGACAGGCAAGTCGTCAATTGTCAGAGTAGTTTTCGATCCTTTCCACATGAAGATATTGAGCCACCAGAAAAGACTTCGATTCAAGACACTGCTTGTATCTTCATATGCACTTTTTGCAAAGGCTTTTTTCAATAAAGATCTCTTTTCGGTTGACTCCAGCGTGAGAATAATAGCCTTCATCGCCCATGTGGTAACGAAAAGAAACGTCACCGTTTCATTCTGAGGCAGAAATGACAGAGTCCGAATACGAGGCAAATCAAAAAGCAAAGTAGAGCTTAAAAACAACCCGAGTATTGTTGAAGGACGTAGTGATCGGCAGTGGTCTAGATGAGACAAATAGAGGCCACAGAGGGATGCGGATAGAGATACGACTGCTGCTGGCACGGTCGCTCTAGTTTTTGAAGTAGACGATTGACACCATAATACCAAGATGATAAATTGAAGAGCGATATGCATTGAATGGAAAATCTAATTATAATTGAGTCAACATCATAGCTGTTATTGAGATAATCGAGTCATCGTACCCCTTTAGCCGCATAGCGCCATGAGCGCTCTACTTTCTCGGAAGCATGATGAAGTCTCCTGATTTCAAGTGATGCAATAACCAAAAATATTGTCAGGGGAAGCAGTGTCAGGATTGTCTCTTCGAATAATAGCGTAAAATCGAAGCCATGCTGACACGAGTTGTTCACTGTTGGGCCGAAGGTATCTTCGTCAGCCACGGAACATGGAATTCCCAAGCTGAGAATCGGCATATCAATTGGCGCTATTCAAGATTTAGTTCCATTGAAATGGCCAGGAATCTGGAGAACACAACCTGATATATGAAAGCCACTGAAACTCAGAAAGGGTCCAATAAATGAGTAAGACGAGGCGCGGATAGATCATGATGTTGCCTTGCGAATGTGGGTCCGGTTCCTGCCTGCCGAAGCCTCTGACTGGTTAATGCGCAAATTAATGCGCAACCTGATTGCACTGAGTGAAGTTGACTCGCTTTGAGTCATCGCAGCCTGTCAGCTGTAACCCCGGAAAATCATATAGTCCATCTTATAGTGTTTTCCCATATATCCACTCAACCATGGAAGTAACGTGATATCTTGACGTGATGACGAAGCAAGATAGCAATATCAATTGATTGATATTATCACCACGTGCCCCACACACTATACACACACGTTTCTCATATCTGTTTCTTTTCCTTTCTCCCCTCTTTTCCATATCTGACATAGGTCAATATTCTCATATTATGATCCCCATCAGGTAATTTTGCCTCGCTTAACTTACATTTGTCCACACGAATTTTTAATTGCATTGCGTAAGTTCATACATCACTACCATTCACAAAAATAGACTGATTTTCGTTGTCCTGACATGTTATACACGAAGCACTATGGGTGTGAAAGACCGCTTTAACGCTATCTTGCGGCCCCTTCAATTCATTTGGCTATCTATTCAACGTGAGTTCATTGTTCCAGATATCAATACATCTTAATTAACCAAACTAGTACACTTCCACACGTTGAAAGAAGCCATTCGTAAAGATGGACTCGCCACACTGAAATATCCTCGTCGAATTCACAATATCGCTACAGCGGATCTATTTCTTAAAAACTGTGAATTCCTTATCCTTAACCAAATACCTCTGCTTATATGAAGATACTAAGTCATATACTTAGCGGGCGGCTTCATCGCTTATGAAGATACGACCTGTGTCCCCTCACTTGTTAGCTCCGCACAAGGCAATATTCTTGAACTTGGCCCCGGACCAGGTAATCAACTCCACCGCTTCGATCTATCTCTTGTGGAATTTATCTATGCCGTCGACCCTAATCCTTGCTATGGTGACGAGATCGCCGCAAAGACCAAAAAGCTTGGTCTTCAGGATAAGTACAAGCTTCTTGAATGTGGCGTTGAAGATAGCGATATCTTGTTAGAAGAGGGGATTGAAGAGGGCAGTCTTGATACTATACTGAGTATTCAGGTATTATGCGCCGTGGGAGATGTCAAAGGCGTGATGAAGGCAGTATGGAAGTTGTTGAAACCGGGTGGTAGCTTTATTTTCTGGGAGCATGAAAAGAACAAGGACAGACTTACGGCCGTGTCCCAAGGTATGTGCTGAGTATCGCGTCTAAGGTGATGCCATCAAAGTTGCGCGGAGGAGCTAATAGAAAAATAGCTTGCTTGAACCCTGCATGGAGCACATTTATTGGCTGTCAGCTGACTCGGGAAATCCTGCCGGATATACTTGCAGCTGGGGAATGGGAGAATCCCGATGAAGTTGTAGTAGCCGATGAACAATTTAGTCCTCTGCCTAGGGTCTGGGGCGTGCTTAAAAAGAAGGCTTGATCGAGAACAACAGGCTTATCTCACTCGCCATTCCCGTTGTTCTACTTTGCACGAATGTAACGCTTGGCTTCGATGTTGAATATGGATGTACTCGACGAAAGCAAATAAGTACGATCGCAGATCTCTGCACTCTGAGCTTATGTATAAATTTTGCATTGGCATAAGATCATGTAGACAGATAACAATAAATCACAGTAAATTATTTATACTTCAACTGTTCTTGTCACACTTTCAACAACTGCAGGTTTTTGGAGATCTCCGGAGCCAGGGCGGGATGAGTATTTGTCCAAAGGCCCGGTGCTTGACGAGGCAGACCCGTTTCTATTATCCCGAAAATCTTTACCCTGCTTCTTGGCTGCTCTCGCCTCCCGACGCAGCCTCTGATGATCAAGAGACAAATGCCGCGTCCAGATACCAGCGATCAGATAGATAGTCATGCACAGAAACTCTGGAAGCAGTCCACAGACGGCTTGAACGCTAATACTGCCCTGGTCGTAAAAGCCATATGTGTAGCCGTCATAGGTGACATAGATAAGACGGACTCCAACTAGAGGCCAAGCGATGGTGGCAGCATACAATAACTTTGATATTGTTAGTTCATAGCGAGAATACGATGTTTCGCAGTCGCCATGCCACTTACTATTTGTTCACCAGGAAGCCTTCGCTTACTGGCGGCTGAGAACCAGCTTCCTCCCAACATCAAGCCTGTGTAAAGCCACCCACTGATCCAAACGATAAAGCCGGCCTTCAAGAGGATAGGCCGTGCGAGACCTGCCATGCCAACGGCATGACCAACAATCAATAATACATGGGCAATCAGCAAGCCCCAGTGACCGACCCACCATGGAAGATCTTTGAGGATAGAAACATTGCTAACGGGATCCTATTAGCATCAATCGAGACACACGGAAGTGGACTGCTCACCATTCCTTCATAAAAGCCAAGCACATAATCACAAATGGCGAAAGACCGCACCCATCTAGGACGAGAGGAGTGATAATATTTGGCAATCCCGTTGTCACGAGTGCTTTATATGCAATGCCATTACCAGCAAGTCGTAGTGTGTTCCATATTAATCCATTAAGCCAAGGACCGATACCATTCAGCCTATGCATATAAAAGCAGTAACAAACAGGAAGTATTGTGATCCCAAAGAAGACCAAATTGGCCAACGCGACCTCTTCAGTTGGCGGGGTGAAGCCCATTGTGTAAAAGATTGGTAGAAGATCGAGTAAAGAGAGAAGCCGATCGAGGATGCGAGATGAAATGCAATCAAATCATTAAGGAATGCAACGAAGAGGCCTGCCTGCTTCTTGAGGGACGACTTGACGGGAAAATTCTCTGACAGGGTAGTATGCAGGGGTAGAAGAATCAAAAGTCTTCAGAATTTAAAAGTGAGGAGTGTTACGCCGTCATTGCAATTTGAATTCCCCTTTGTAAACATCTCAAATAATCTTGTGGGTCTACAATGTCGTAGATGCTTTTGATTTGTTGAATCGGAAGAAGACGACCAAGAATCAAAACTTTGCGTGACGATCATTCAAGGCTGAAGTGGGGGATAACAAATCATTGTGTGCAATGTGGGGACAATATCACCATGAATAGTTTAGTATTTTGGGTAAATGCGTATGTAAGGGTATCGAGGGGCTTCATTGGCTATGGGCCCAGTGTTTTAAGTCAAGCCGCATCTTCATGGGGGCCAATAGACCCGACCCTCAGGGTCTTCAAGGAGCTTGGTTGGTCTAATTCAAGATCCCCGGGGCCAGGCTACAAAGGGGGGGAATGGGAGAATGTTCCCCCCTTCACATTAATCTTCCTAGCCAACCATATGAAGCGGATGGCTACCTGCATTGGCGAAGATTATCCCCAGTTTCTTGGCGGGGGCGCTTGAGTAAAGACCCCCTGTCCCGATCCGTGTCGAGCTTATCAATGAAATCACTCACTTCGTTCTGACGTACGAACTTGTTGCACTCCTAGTTTTGATTCTAGAAAAAATGCCGGAGAACTCCGTAGAATATTGAAATCCCACACCGAGAACGAGCGATCAATCACTTGAAATAAGTACGATGTCACGCCCCTGGGTGGTCTCGAATCTGATATAGCTTACCATACAGCAATCGTTTCGTTAGTTACCATGCGAAGGGATAATAATAATAATAAAGAAGAAGAAGAAGAAGAAAAAAAATAGAACTTGTGCTTGAGTCTAGATCGTGTGTCATTTCTCCTGCAGCCTCTCTAAAATAGTTCCTTCTCCTTGCGTCAGCAGTCCACGGGAATATCTGTTGTCATTGTGTTACACCCTTCGAACTCTCTTAACATGCGAGAAACACCTTCATCCCTCTATAAATTCCAGCGAGTCCTTCAATGTACTGTACTAAAACGAAAATATACGTGAGCACTCGAGGACTCAAGAAGGGCCGCGACAAATCGACTCCGCCATACAGGGTATTCCCAGTAAACAAAATTATGAAAGAGTGATTTTTCAGCGCTGAGCTATGTTGTGTAATTAAATTAAGTAACATGAGGGGACTCTTCAAACGCCCGGCGTGGTAGCCCCACTAGGTGTCATCGCAGGATTCTCAGAGATAAGATTCAGTGGCCAAAACATGGCCCATTTCCAATTGGCAGGGATCATGCCATTGATCCCACGTACTTCTCGCTCAGGAATTCCACGAAACCACCAGACATCGTCCACTTTTTTGCCCAGCGCAAATAAGTACGCCAAAATCACAAGAGCTCGTGGCCGTCTCTCGGTTACAAGCTCACTAAATCGTCGAGGAGATATGGGTGGGAATCCAAAAAATATTTTTCGCTGGACCCACGCAGGCTCGTCGGCCTGTGAAGCAGTGTATATGTATCCCAGATACTCAACGGTTTTTGAATAGGCCTCTTCAGTCTTCTCGTCGATATCCTCGATCTCTCTCTCATATTCAAGAATATATTGAAATGGGTTAACAGATGGTTTGAACATGTCCAAGCCACCTTGAAAGACCATAGGTTTGGCCAATAAAAAGGGTTTTATTTTAGAATCTGATTCGATAAGCTGATCATAAACCGTTTTTAAGATCGTCCTGATTCCACGTGCAACAGATAGCCACAGAAATGGGGGCTCATAGGAATCAGAGGCTGGTTCCGACCGTAGGTATAAGGTGTAGAAGGAAAGTAGAATGGCATTTACACAGACTGCCTCGCTGGTACTGCCATCCAGATGAGCAGTAACGGGACGGTGTTGTTGAAGAGACGAGTCAATGTAAGCATGCTGAATTGGACGTAGAGAATTTGCCTGATCAGGGCACAAAATGATGCGATGCGCAGCGCTTAGTGCAAGCACTGTGTGGAGAAGTGGCTCGTAATCAAAAGCCATTTCGGGCACGACCACAGTCCATACCCGGTGAACGGCCGGGATTTGCGCGGAACTCATAGTCGCTGCCGTTGATGTTACCCAATGATGCATGAGACGCATTTGAAGAACTGCCAGTCCGCCATGTGGCGCGATTTCAGGCCGGGGGCTCTCATGCTGCCGATGCAAAGGGACATTTGACCTCTTAGAATGTGTCGGGTCATAGTTTCTAGTGGCCAATGATGGGTATTCACATTTTATATTATGTCTATTGCAATGGCTGCATTGTGGGCGCTTCTCGTCACACTGTGTCCCTGTTGGTCCCATTTTCTCTCATCGAAAGATCGGAATTGCCTACCTTGACTTTCCGGGCTTTGCACCGCAAGCAACCTGTGGTTGACTTACGGTGATTGAGGCGAGGGGGCATACTAGTGCAGAGTTGATATTCGGGCCGTGTGGCGCGGCAGTGCAATATGATGAAGTGTTTTGGCAACTTCGGTTTCGGGAGGTTCGGTTTCGGGAAAGATGCTGTCTTTGAATTTACGCGGAATCAGCTAGGTCAGTGGCGGATCTCAGCCACGATAATGAAAGCTTATAGGCCACGAAGCCCCACAATGAGCACTTCGGGATCGGGTTGTCCCCCATTTCAAGCCTGAATGAGCCACTATTTTCATTTAAGGTTTAATCCTGTGGAGACTTTCACCGTCAATGGTTTCCTTGAAGTTGCGCTAATTACCGTGGACTGTTATCATTATAGTAAGGCACTGGCAATTCTCAGTAGTATAAATATGACCTTCATAACGTAGTAATCGAAGATTCTCATCTCACATCCCCGCATTCACAAATCAAACATTGAAACCTCAATTCCTACGAATCACTCCACCCCAAATACTTCGCATCGAACAGCTATCATGGGTCTCATCAGAACTGCTCTTATTGGAGGTGCTGCCTACAAGATGGGCTCAAAGTAAGTTCCTGGATGTCAGCTTTATATCTCTTCTTGAAGCTTACATTATGAGTTTCAGGCACAACAAAGATAACAATAACTCATCGTCGAACTCAACTCCGCCTCCTCAAAACAATTACTACTACCCTCCAGCTGGGTACCCACCACAACCAATGTATGGCGAGCCTCATTATGGTGGTCCACCTCCATCTCAAGGGCACCCACCCTATGATCCAGCATGTGGCTACCCAGCTTATGCCAGTGGTGGCTACGGCGGCAACGGTGGCTATCCTCCGCGACAGTCCAGTCGCAGTGTCGAACTGGATGCCCCCATGGGTGCCGGGCGATCATCAGCAAATGCGCCTCCTCCATACCAGTCACATCCCGCCCATCAGAGCTCTCAAAACCGCGATGAGAAATCGCTCGCATACCACCATCAAGGCCAGCAGCACCAGCAACACCAGCAACACCAGCCTCCGCAACAGAACTAAAGGAAATGCATTATGACGAAGTCAAAACGACCTGTTTACTGATTTGACTTGAGATAGATAATACGAGGGCTTCATGAGAGTGTTCTTGCTTTAAGTTCTGTTCCGCTATGTTTTGCATCGGGTTTAGGATTTTATGTGCCTTTCCAGGTTGTTCATATATGTATACTGTTCTTTTCTCAGCCAAATTTAAAATTCACCCATCTGCAGTTAGTCCATTCAAACACACGTAAAATTGAAAGAATGGACGTTAAATTTGGACAAGTGGTCACACGCTGGACCCGCTTATTGGAATTTATTTGTATATGAAGGATTACTCTTCACCAGAGATCGATTGGCCTGAATCATGCAGAGATGAAGCTTAACCAATAACGCCCTTCTATTCATATATTATGGGCTATATGGCTTTTACTAACAAACCTCCGATCTTGAGGCCGCCAGAACCCTGCATAGCCTGATTCGATTCAGAATGTTGTGACTTGAACGTGCGACATGATGCCACTTCTGTACTTGAAGTTTTTTTTTATATGAGTTTTCAAAAAATACCCAATTTTTATCTCTCAAATTGTACGAAGTGAATTGGTTGGATAATGGAAGGGTGTGAGTGCGGATAAGGGAAACGGGTCCAATTGTTTTTGGCCGATCTTGGCCGAGGGCTATGCGACAAGCCTCGGCCCCTGAATAATTGACTTGTACAACTCAATTTCTAACAGCAGACTGTACATTTTGAAGCTTCTCTTTTTGTGATACTAGATCTGATCTTACAAAAGAAAGGAATTCTCAAGATACCATTACTTTGAGGAAAGGGATCTTCGAATCATGAAATCTCCTATCGAAAACATCATTGAGGTTACCCCGCTCAGCGATGAATCTGGAGTAAGTATGAGCGCAAGCAAGGTTTTTACACTTTAGAAGTCTCTGAGAACAAACATTAATTGCCGAAATAGAATATATTCACAAATTCATGTCCGCTCTGGAGTCCACCTGGGGCGCGTGGTGTCTACGGGGGTGCCTTGATAGCCCACAGTCTGGCTGCAAGCCAGCGCATGATATCGGACGATTTCATAGTTCACAGCATGCATAGTCTGTTTATATTTGCAGGGGCAGGCGGTATTCCAGTCACTTATGAGGTCAAAATCGTTCATGACGCTGGTGATCGAATTACGCAGGTTGTGCATGCTAAGCAAGAGACACGTCTCATCTTCATAGCAACAATCAGTTTCATGAGATCTTCACAGACCAGCATGAGGCATATTACTCATAGCATTCCGAAGCTAGATTTTGTTCCCCCAACAATTCAATACGACAATGACAAACTATGGGATGCAGATCGTCCATTCGAGACAATACGAATCCCTCTTTCATTTGGTATGCGCGCGCTCTCAAAGGAATGACGGCATGGAAAATGGTCAATTTCAATGACCACACTTGAGCTTTCAGCTAATAGAAACAGAATCTAGCTGCCGAACAGAAGACCGAAAATTTCGACAATGGATGAGAGCTCGGGCCAAAATATCGACTCCCGAAAACCATTCGATGCACTCATGTGCATTGGCTTACATGTCTGATAGTCTTTTTATCGGGACAGTGGCTCGAGCCCATCAAGCTCCTCGTCATTCATCTGCCAGCGGATTCGACAAGATCCAAGATCTTGAAAATGGGGTTGACGAGGAAAGTAAGGAGGCAGCGAGGTTTCTTCGTCGTTTGGCGGAGCAAGAAATGGTAGATTTTGAATCTCTATCGCCTATCGATGAGCAAATGGGCATGATGGTCAGTTTGTCTCACTCGATTTATTTTCACCACCAAGAATCATTCCGTGCCGACGATTGGATGCTTTCTGAGATGTCTAGTCCCTGGGCAGGCGAAGGGCGAGGCTTGGTCTATCAGAGCTGTTGGTCTCAAAGTGGGCTGTTAATTGCTACATGTGTACAAGAGGTAGATATGCCCTTGATCCGAAGGTTATCGATTTTTGATAGGGACTAACTTTGCCTAGGGCGTCGTGCGACTCATACAAGATGCGAAGCCGGTCAATAAAAATAGTGAGCCGAAGTTATAACGATGGTGGCTTGGTTATTTTGTTGAAAATTTCCGCGGGGATCCGTCGGGGGTTTGGGGGCCAAGTAGAAAAGAACAATAGCATACAACCCGCTCCTCAGATAAAAGGTTAGCAGACCCCGCGGAATCTCAAAACAAGAATTTGCGTTATGACATCAAGCCAGTAGACCGAACGCCTTCCAGATTGGTCGAATATGATACTCCCAAGATTATACAGAGGGGGTGAGCTGGCACCCTGTATCTTCCAAGATTTCAGGGTCCTAGCGAGTCATTTCACGGGATTAAAAATAGTAACTGCGGAGATAATGAGGAGCACGCAACAGCTGCCTTCGTCCGAAATATACGAACATCCAATAAAATCGGACATGTGGATCTAATATAACTTTTGGCCCCGAGCTACGCCAACCTTGGCATAGATTCGGGCTGCATTGACCGATATGTCAGCCTTAAGCCTCCAATAGGTGCGTCAGCCTCCGTTTCAGCCAATAGAAATACAATAAAGACAGCCCGCACACCCCTAGCACTAGAATGAGTATGTAGATCGGTGGAAGAATTCATGTTTTTATAAAACAGGCAAGCCCTGGTGGGCGGCCTGAGAAATTTCACCTGTGAGATTTCAAACTTCAAGCTCCCCCTGTCATGACCGCCTCTCCTGGCCCCTGAATTGTGCACGAGTTCAACCTTTTTCATGCGACGCCAGTAATCACACTCGCGGCCTTATATTTACGACATGGCACCACTCGAATCGCGAGCCCGACCAGCGGAATCATGGCAACAATCCACGATCAAGTTGCAGCAGTCAACCAGCGATATGTGGCGTCGGTCCTCGCATATGTGGACGGATTCGAAGGGTAAATGCCAACAAAAGACGATGGAAGCTTGGCATCGTTCTTCAGATTCATGGACAAATTCAAAAAACCGATATATTCAGTCAACTGCCGAGAGATTGGTCCGTTCAGCGAATATGCTATCCCAATCCACAGACCAGCTGTACAAGCTGTCAATCACGGCCGGCGAAGACAAGAGCACCGAAAATAAATCTACATCAGATCTACCAGCAGCTGAGCCTGCCTCAACCTCAACGGAACCCCTCTCAAAATCTCAACCCCCGCCAGCGCCACCACCTTCTCAGATCCCAGCCTCCGCACAACCACCTCAGCCTACTGTATCACCAGAATCGAACAAATCAACGAAATTATCGAAATCACGAAAATCGATAAAGACGTCGGAGTCTTCCCAGTCCGAACCGTCAGTCCCATCGGTACCTTCATTAGTATCATCGTTAACAACGCGATCGGAATCGGATGCCCCATCAAAGCCACCCCCGATTGACCTTGATATAAAAAAGCGAAAGGAGGGAACTCCGCAGACCAAGGCTCTGCTTGAGTTGACTTCAATGGTTGTCTCTCAATTGCAACAAGCTAGAGGACTAAGAGACTCCAACTCTGCTCAACTAGGTGACATCGAACACAACTGGATCAACACAACCGTCACAGACACAGAAGAGTCAGTAGAAGGGATGTCTCAAATCCTCGAGCCATACCGCCTCGTACTGCAAAAGCGCAAGAAACACAATCTCAATTATTCTAGCCGCAAGCGCTGGAAGGAACATGATTGTGCACGCGCCCGGGACAAATACCCTCGTCTGGTCCTATATCAAAGCCGACTTGAGAAGGTCCTTAGCCATTTAAAAAATGTGGATAAAGCTGCAACGAAGTCTCCCGTTAATTTAGCGAAAGATACATTTGCAGAGCTTTCGATGGACAGCCCTGCGGTCAAAGTTGCAGAACTTCCGATCAGCACTTACGAAATCAACCGGTCGGAGCTTCCAGTCGATGGACCAACAGTCAAATCATTCACGGAGCTTCCTGCCGACGAGGAGGCAGCGGCTTCTTTGCCAGTCATGTTCGAGCTCCCTGCTGAACCAATATCTTCATCTTTACAAAACAAGACACCAATTGCGGAGATGCCTGCAAGCTCGATGAGTATCAAGCGCAAGCCCATACCAAAAATCATTGTGACCCAGTCCACTGGAGACTTGTCCTCTGATCAAAAGAAGAACCAGGAAGAGGGAGAACAACCAAGTTATGAGAATCAAGAGATGGATGAGATGATGAAATGGGAAAAAACGAGAACTGATATTCAGAAGCATCAATCCGAGTCACTTGCTCGTATTGTGGCTGACATGGAAAGCAATCGAGCTGTATAGATAATTTTCGATGGTTTCTTTTTTTGATTTTTCCTTATTTCTTTGTGGATTTGATGTTAGTGTGTTGAATATTATATACCCTTCACTAGTTAGCGGCATACCAAGAGCATAAATTGCATTGCATGGAATCAACTTTGATGAACAAGATTATGAAGTTTGAGTGTTAATATGAAACCAGTCTATAAAGTTCTATTCGTATTCCTGAATTGGCATTCCATCGTAATTATTAGTTTATATACAATCGTAAGAGACTCGCGGAGGTAGCGGCTCATGCTGGTTTTTGACCATACACTATGTGCACTTTCGTGTACAAATGATTAGAGAGGTCTTTCAGTTCATGCCGTACACCAGCTAGCAGGGCTTCAATCTGCACGCGCTTCCAACCAAGCATACGAGTGAATAATGCAAATGAGTACGTTGGCATAGCCTCTAGCATATTAAGTTGGTGGTAGCGGCCCAGTTCTTTCAACTTTGAGTCTTTGGGCCAAGGGCTTTGGGGTAGCTGCCTGAAGTTAGTAAATAGAATTCTCTCCTAGAGAATAATATTCTTACCTTGATTACTTCTTCTTTGACATTTATAAACCCCATCTGTTCAAAACGCTCTTTCCACGTAGTGACGGATCTCATGTCTTTGCCAAAGGTTTTTGACGAAATGTCCAAATGCTTCGCCAAATCGAGTAAACATGTTGCATTCAGATGGGTATCGTCATCTGAATAGGTATCAACTGCCATTGTTGCCATCTCAAACCATCCGTTTGGATTTAAGTTATTGAATGCTTGCTGGAATAGTTTGTCGTGATCGCGAATGGCTCCCTCGAGCTCTCGTCCATGAATATAGTCAAATAGAGAACTGAAGGACCATGGTTGTTCAAAGTCGTCAACTTCAAATCGACAATTTGGTGGTACCCTGGACACGACATCTGAAGTCAGTTCTGGATATTATATCGCGACCGACTTTTGTAAAGCATACCATGAGGGTTGGATCGGACTGAGGTCAATACCTGTTCGAGTTTAGTCTGAGTCCTCGGGATTTTAGTAGACAGCTCACCTACCGATAACCTCTGCTTCGGGATATTCACTTTGTTGAGTCAGTAAGGGGGGTTTTTTGAAGAGAAAAAAAAGCAGTTTTTATATGGGCCTCTTACTCTGCAAGATCAATTGCCCATATCCCTGTACCTGTACCAAGGTCGAGTACTCTTCCGGGTCTTTGTATTGGCGCTTTGTATAGCTCTCCTTTGAAAAGCATCGAATAAATATGATGACTCTGTGTGTGTTTTAATTGTCAGTCGTCTATGTGCAACACGCATAGGACCTGGGAGTATTTACCAGATCAAGGCGGTCTTGCTCTTGTTCATCGTTAGGCTAAACCCGACCGAGATTAGGTTCGCTGTCAAAAAAGGATTGACAGGAACAACATACAAGAACATATTCCCCTTCATGGTACGAATGATATCTGCGACCGTTCTAAAGACTGAGCAAAGGTCATATTAGGCGAGCATAAATTAGACACACCTCATATCTAACATGATAAATAAGCGCTTGAAACAAATAAGGTATTTATTGCGGGGTGATAAACGGGCTGAAGGAACGTACTGGTAGTTTAACGCCGAGGATGTCATGCTTTTGGTATAGCTCGTGTCTCTGAAGGTATTGTGAGCAACTGCGAAGTATTGTCACAATAACCATCCCACTTACGAGCCCGGGTATGAGGAGTCATTATCCGATAGCTGTTTATATGTCAGTTGATAAAACTATGCTAACTTCAATGCTATGGTCGACGAACATCAGGTTCAATGGGTTCTGATCCGTTTGCCATACTGGCGTGCATTTATTTTCTCCAGATATGAAACGATCAGGTCGGAGATTTCGGTCACGATCAAGGAAGAAAACTAAAGGAATCCAAGTTTGAAAGGTGAAAATAAAACTGCAGAATCGCAAGCCTGCAGCTGTGAATAGCCCACACCGACTTCAGTCTTATGACCCCTCCGACTTACACGACAAATTATGAGCGATCCAGAATGTCGGGTCCAGCAATCTTCAACTATTCCTGTCGCATCCCCGAACAAGTGGTAATATGTGGCCCTAGCCCCAAAGAAACCGCCGCGGTACCAGGCTGGCGGGTTAGGCTCGCCAAAAGTCCGATAAATACTGGCAAACCTACTTAAGGGTGAGCATAATCGGGTCTGCCAAATTGATTAGTCCAAAGTCAAATGCAGATCCGCAAACTGCGACAAAAAGGGGGGCCAGTTCCTGTCCAATAAGCCCATCCTGAGGGTGCGAGATGAGAAAAGTCGTGACGCGAGTTTCACTTATGGATCCACCGCTTTTCCTCTCCTACAGGACTCTGCGTTTAGTGATTGGAGGGACTTTTACGTAGTACACGGTACAGATACCGACGATGCGGGAGGCCCCAATGCACAAATTCAATCTATCCACCGCACTAAACCCTTTTCACAATGATTTTCTCGGGTTTGTTTATGTAAATTTTAGGGAACGATAACTAACTAACTAACTACTAGATCTAGCTTGGATCTGGCACGGGTTTTGCAGATTATATACAGTATACTTGGAGCCACGAAGGCAGGTGCTTCGCAGCTCAGAAAATTCTGCGTATGGTTTTCGGGATACTGTGCGCTCTTGATCAGCCATCTGCCAAGGGAATCCCGGTAATCTGGTTCATAACAACGAAAAGCGGAGATCATCCATGTTCAAGTTCCGCGCGCTGCAAGGATAGGGCCCTAATGCGCCCACGTTGCTGCCCGCCTGCGCCGGGTTTCGGCTCTACCATACAATATGAGCCACGGCATGGGCATGGCAAAATGGCAGCCCGAAAAATGGCCATAGGGTGGTAATTTGGATCCAGCCGCGATATCATCTAGCCTGGTTTCGTTATACACGACTCATGAATGCGCTAGTGAAGTACAACTCCTTCCCACTCCGCGCTTTCTTGTAATATGAGTGACAGACCAAAAGTAAAATGCAGTATCTATAAAATTACTACTACTCAAAGCAAGATTAATTGCTTGCCATAGTATCCAACAATAGTATAGATATAGTAATCGCCGAACATGATGAGTAGATCAATGAATAGAGACATAAATTTCATGAGCCATAGTTAACTTATCAGCTGTCGATCGATGCCTCAGGCACCAATATTTCTGCCTCGGCGAAATTGAAGTTGATGTCATCCTCCACCTGTCATGGCCGTGACTTTCCCTGTTTACCACAACTCGACCATTCCCCCAGTCCCTATGACATGACCAAAATTGAATCCTCTCTGTGTTGAATTCGAGTAAAAGAATTGATTTAGCCCGAAGAGGCTTTCTCGACTGAGGTCTTCTTAAACCAACAACAATGGCCACACCCGCTAGGCCCGCGCCCTCCCCCATCGTTCTTCTCATATACCCCGCGACCTTGCTGCTGGGTTCATTGTTCTCTGCTATCTCGCCGACAGCTCAAACAGCAGTAGCTTCTCAATCACAATCCACACAGCCAGCCGGCGCCCTAGCACCCTCTCTCGCAGCCGACCTGCATCTATCTGAAAGCCCGGCCAACTATTTTGCCCGGAAGAACAATATCTTCAATCTTTATTTTGTAAAGATCGGATGGCTGTGGACAACAGCCGCTTTTGCCTCCCTCCTTCTTGCGCACCCTGCCTACCGCTCCTCCTCCCAGTCCCAACAACAAACACGAGTGCGCCGATCCATTCAAGCCTTTTCCCGCTATGCCCTCGCAACGACAGTTTGGTATTTGATGACACAGTGGTTCTTTGGTGCGCCTATCATTGATCGAAGCTTTATTGTCACGGGCGGCAAGTGTCAGGAGGCCTTGAAGCAGGTGGAGAAGGCGAAAGCGGATTCGAACCCGACTATCCAACTAGAGACTTTATTTTCTGCTGCGGCCTGCAAAGCGGCAGGTGGGGCTTGGAGGGGTGGTCACGATATAAGCGGACATGTTTTTATGCTTGTTCTTGCCACGGCACTGCTCGCCTTTGAAGCAATCGGCGTTGGGGCCTTTTCATTCGGTTGGTCCACATTAGGGGAAAGTGGACACGAGCGAAAGGCGAGCGATCCAAATTCTTCCAGGGCAAATGGCCAAGATGAAGGTTCTGATGTAGGTGTCAAATGGTCACTACGCTTGGTTTGGGGTGTTGTAGGACTGGGTTGGTGGATGCTTTTCATGACTGCGATTTGGTTCCACACTTGGCTAGAGAAGGTAAGACTTTCCATCCTGCAGGCATTTGGGTGTCATCTGTGCAACCCGGATGTACTTATTGTGATACATGGAATCTATCACTAACAGTCTATCCCCTTATAGTGGTCTGGCTTAGCTGTTGCCTTGAGCACTGTATATGCCATTTACATACTCCCGAGGAAACTTGCTCCTTGGAGAGACATTGTCGGAGTACCCGGGGCTTAATTCGGCCCACAACATTTCACTCTTACGTTTGCATATACTCCTCTGAACATGCACTTATGTATACGCGAAAATATCTGCTTAGCGCAATTCCCTCTTAGATCATTACCGCTCTTCTAGAGGATGCTCATTTTCAGGCTCATCGAGAACCTAGTTTGTATCATACTCTCAGACACCTTTTCTGAAGAATAGGCTCAGGCGTTAAATCATGCTTCATTCCAAATTTATCCAGTCACCCGTGGACACCGGTTAGGTTCAAGTGCCAGTAAACCCTCTAGCCTTTTTTAATTGGAGTCACTGGTGCATAGCCGCACCACAGTGTGAATTCGTAAGCTGAAGAACCGCAGCTCTCGCTTCACGAAAGTGGAGAAATATTTTGTATGAATCTAACCTACCCGAGGATTTTGATCTAATGATCTTCAAGTTGTCTTTCTACATCTCTTTGCTAATATTAGTAGATTCTCGAGCAACATTCGAGCAAATGATATCGCGCCCTAGGCTATCCGACTCAGCTGAAGCCACACTGATCCACCGTCCATGCATCCCATTAGGGTGATGGTATACTGTATATGTCTGAGAAATTGATTTTGACTGGCCATCTCATACATTGGATCAAACCTAGTTTGGTTGATCGACGGTGGGATAAATGAGGAAACAAAAGAAATAAATACCCTCTTCGCGCCTGTCCAGATACTTACCACCCACATGCATATTACCCTCTTTGAAAGTACTCAAAGGTCTGCATAATTCTATCCTTCAAGATCCGTTCACTATGGACTGGTTCTGTAAGTTTACTGGCTTCCCGTCCGATTTATACTTGCAACTTGATGTATGTAGATCTACGCCCTACGAGTAACCAGCGTGAAAACCATGCATTCCAATCTCCTTGCATTGGTACAGGTATTCTCGTTGCTTCGTGGATCACTGTCCTCTCTTGAGAGGTTCATTAAACCATAAATGTGTTATTAGATAATACTTTCCTTAATTTGTTTTATAAATACATCGCTGCTGGTAACTTTCCCTCCTATCATCGTAAAGCTTAATTAGCGTATTCACATATGGTGATTGTCAGGGAATGGGGGTTCTGGACCTAAGTATCCTGCATGGAATGCTGTGTTCAAACACACATTAGCAAGCCCTAAATGTAGATGCTACGTCGAAAAAGAGAAACATACCGCCGGGGGTCAAAGCAGCTGCATACATCACACGAGTAATGGGCCGCAAGTCTTCTGGGGTAAAGTTCTCGGAAATAGAAAACTCCATGTACGGATCCCATGCCGTGATGATGGCATCAGACCAAGTTTTAAAATCCACAGCTCGCTCCTTATCTGTTGTTTGCTGTGATTGGCACTGAGCTCCAAGACATGTGCCATATTCACGGAAACCCAGACGGAATTTGATATTCCGTTTAAGATACCGATCGATTTCAAAAAGATCGTCTGTCTAGGTGTTAGAGTAGGGACAGTCAATAGAAGGGATGGAACATACATAGCTGTTCGAAACATCTTGTTGCCAAATTTGATGCCCAGTTCTCTTTCTCGGAGAACCAATGAGTCGTCCATAAGGTCATTCCCAGATCTAAGAGATCTTTAGACACAAAATGCTCTCCCTTTCGCAGCATTACTCGCTTATAGTCATCGATTTCTTCCGCCAATACTTCCCCATCCCCAGCCTGAAGAGCAGTCGCCTGTAAAAGACGAAACACCACAAATCCATCAATCGGATCTAAATTACCCTCGGAAGGGACAAGAGGTGCGGATAGATCCATAGCCATTTTCCAGATCATACGCGGACGGGCTGCTGATCGATCCACAAAAAACCTTGGGTGAATGACGCGTGCCAGCTCAACAGCCTGACGGTTATACTCCATATTACCAGACGCCAAAGCCATCCGGTTGAGCGCAAACATCCACAACGTAAGATAGTGATGATATTGGCCATCACTGTCTGGTCCGTGTTCATCCGTCTTGCCGATTCGCAATCCACCTCCAAGAGGATTCGATTCCGTCGCACCTGGTAATCGCGATGAAGCATCTCGCGTACGACCTAGTACATCGTGGACAGTCTCGATGAGACGTCGAGCTAGCTGGACATATCTGTCATCAGGACAAGTTTCGCCGCCAGCGCGAGAGTACTCTTTGTGCATGGTTAACAGATTAATCACGCCGAATGCATCCGTCCACAAATATCGCCCGCGATGGCCGCCCGATTTCAATGGCGGAGTCCAGTTTTTCGGGTCATCTATTAGACTGAAGCTGCCATATACTGATTCCATGGCTTGTTGGAAGCGGTCCAGTCGTGGAGATGGACTGCTAATTGGGAGAGCCATGCTTGTGCCAATTTCTGTGCGGATGGGCCACTTTGAAAGTGCACTTGCAACTGATTTCGCGGTATATTTAGAAGTATTTGTCGCCAACACCATATAAAGTGCTCTGTCATTCTCATCAAGTGTATTTGCCTTTTCGCCTTTCTAGTCGTTGTTGGTGATTGAAATAAGGTTGGGCGCGGGCTGGGGTTGACGTGAAGTCATCATTACTGGGCGGTTACCTCGGTGTGATCTCATGAAGTATATCGCCTCACAATCATTAATGTTTTGGTACAGAAAGTTTTTTAGATCTACATGTGTCTTTCATTACTTATTTCAAGGGGTTCCCACTCATATTTGACATCGAAACTTGTGATCCCATCCTCACGATACCAGTTCATGCGTCCAGCCTCTGTCCGGAGATTGTCAACGGTCATGACAGATCTACAAGAGTTGTTCAATAGAGCCATAGAGCCACTACCAGCCATTGAGGATAGAAGTTTTTCATCTTACTTCGACGATTATGGTGATCGACAAGTTGTGCTTCTAGGCGACGGTAGTCACGGCACATCTGAATTCTACCGCGCGCGAGCCGAAATCACGAAACGTTTCATTGAGAAGCACGGATTTACTATGGTTGCGGTTGAAGCTGATTGGCCCGACGCCGAAGCTATTGACCGATATGTTCGCATGCGACCGGGCCCAAAAGCACAAATAGGCGGTACAGCAAAAGGATTTGAGCCCTTCAATCGTTTCCCAGCCTGGATGTGGCGCAACCGCGAGATGCAGGAACTGGTGGAGTGGATGCGAAATTGGAACAGTGATCTACCACCTGAACGGCGCGTCGGCTTTTATGGGCTAGACCTGTACAGCATGGGAACGTCGATCCGGGCAGTTATCGAGTATCTTGATAGAGTGAATCCAGAAACTGGCAAGGAGGCACGGAAACGCTATGGATGTCTGGACCCATGGGTAGAAGACCCCACATCATATGGACTGGCCGTACTCCAGGGAATGGAAGAGTGCGAAGCCGATGTTATGCAGATCTTGCGAAATTTATTTGAGAATCGACTGGAATATGTGACTGAAGGCGTTCGTGACCATGACGAATACCACAGCGTCAAGCAAAACGCGTATCTCGTACGTGATGCAGAGAAATATTACAAGGCAATGTATTGGAGCTATGCCAGCTCTTGGACCCTGAGAGATACACACATGTTCGAGTCTCTCAATCGATTGATGCAGCATCGCCCACCTCCAGCCCATAAAGCGATCGTGTGGGCTCACAACTCGCATGTTGGTGATGCTCGATATACCAGCATGGGAATGCGCCGTAGCGAACTCAACATCGGCCAATTATGCCGAGAGAAATTTGGACGGGAAAATGTTGCCATTCTTGGGTGTGGTACTCACACGGGTACCGTTGCCGCAGCCCATGAATGGGATGAAGACATGCAAATCATGGATGTTCGTCCTTCGCGAGATGACAGTTGGGAGGTAATAGCGCATAACTCAGGGATTCCGAGGTTTCTTCTCGATCTTCGAAGGGGCTACGTTGACACTGCCCTCTATACTGCTCTAGCTAGAGAGCGCCGTCTTCAGCGCTTTATCGGGGTGATTTATCGTCCTGAAACGGAGAGAGCATCTCATTATTCCCAAGCATTGCTTCATCAGCAATTTGACGGATATGTTTGGTTCGATCGCACGGAGGCAGTTATGCCTCTTGAGACCATCCAACCAAAGACTGTCCTTGGAAAAGAAGAAACATATCCTTTTGGGCTTTGAATTGCTTTTCAAAGATTCCAAATTCATGTCATCAATACCGCATGTATGTCACTCTTTGAACGAGATGATTTTCCAATCGACCGCTGTTAAAATATTAGTTCAAGTTCAAAGGTCCAAAGTAATGAAAAATCAAGATGCCTGTAGTTCACTCCAACTTAGTCGGTCCTAGTCTTTCGTCTCTTGTCCAAGCTGCATTTTCGTTTCACTGGATTTAAAAAGAACAATATGACCATAAATCCACTTGGATATACTACGATTGCTTATTGGTTCAGGTATGTTTTGGCTGCGCGGACGGCAATACTGCGGAATCGTTTTCTTGCGGTGGCTATAAACTATTTATTACCAATGTTAGGCGAAATTTGGCTTATAGCCTATTTCAAGGTTCTCCAAAGCAGCAGTAAGACTGATGCGAGCCCCTAATTCCGTATTTGTCAAACCAGGACCAACCTCTTGCAGTTTCTCGCGTACAGCACTATTGCCACTCCCTTCGGTAATGGCCAATAATAGTTGAAATATTATGACTTGCGACGGACATCTGCCACTCCAGTCGTGATAAGATTCAAGTGACACCTCGCAGGCAGGGCTACTGAGTGCTCTAGACATCATGATCGATTAAAGGGATAGCATTCGGCTTTGACAAAACAGACATCATGCCCGAGAGAGTGAAACTGGGTGAAGGCTAAAGCTGTACTCATCATGTGAATACCAGTCCCATTCCGAAAATGCTGGAAATATTCCAGAATTTTGGAAATTCTCGATATGTAATGAATCTTTGACTCTGGATGCTCACAAAATCCGTTAGTTCCTTGAAGGTTATTGCCGGGGCTAGGTATGATTTCAAAAACAGGATCTTTGCTTACCAATCAGCATTGTGGCGTAGGGGAAACGCGCCGGGCTCATAACCCGGAGATCCCTGGATCGAAACCAGGCAATGCTATTAGCCTTTCTTTTTTCATTTTTTCATTTTCCCCTCACAATCACCCGGACTCTTTATACACTTGCTGATACTAGTGCCGCCCAGAGGGCCGTGCGCGACCAATTTCCACGTCTAATATGGTCTATCTTTTACCGATCAAACTACATATCTTCTCCAGCCAGACCATTTGATTCCGGCCCAGGTGCCCACTGCCCATCAACACAGTATTTGAATCCTGATACAGTGTCCGGTTTCCCTTCCAAGCATATTGTCAAAATTGAAATCCCTTTCTCCAATCAGCATTGTGGCGTAGGGGAAACGCGCCGGGCTCATAACCCGGGTAGGTCATCCTAACTAAGATCGTCACACAGCAGACAGTCACTAATCCCTTCTTCAGAGATCCCTGGATCGAAACCAGGCAATGCTATATGCGTTCTAATCTTTTTGCCCTCTTCCCCTAGTCCTACTCCCTGAAACCAGATGATGGTAAGTTTAGCCTTCTTTTTACCAATCAACCTGCAGAAACCTCTCTGGCGCGTGAATCACATCCGACCTGTCGCTCTACAATTCTCGAAAAGGACATCACTATATATCATTAGGTATCAAACTGCAGTAGCCTCCATATATCAACTATCTCACCTTTTAACTGGTATATTGTAAATGTCTGATTATAATCTCACCATTCGAAATTGGAAAATTGTTACTTCTAGGGCTCTGTGAGTCATCCTTCAAAATACCACTTATAATGGCACATGCAGGCATCGAAGCCGACCCATGTACCCGGGCAATGAGGGAAGCAGCTGCTAAAAGTCTACATCAGTAGTTGAGTGGATCTCTTCTCATGTATAATTCCCGTGGGGCTCTATCCACGCATCCTATCTAGTATACTTCGACAGGCTCCGCGACACCACTTATCCATCCATATCGCGGAATATACCAGATTAACAGTATCAACTTGAAAGGATTTTAGCATCTGATTCTCAATGATTAATTTACAGTTCGTCTAACATTTGAAACGGATCCACCTATTTACCCTTTTATCTGCCTTGTTAAACTTCCACTCCCATAATATCTATAATATCTGGGCTGGTTTTTATGTTCATTCGCTTGCATACGCTGTTCATAGATTGAGCCAAGTGGTTACACTAGGTGATTACTAGATCAATCGCCACCAAATTTTCGTATTTATCTAGGCAACCGTTTACCGAAATACTAGGCTTCAATGCAAGAGTTCCAATCGGTAAAGCCATTTCTTTATCCTACGGAGGAGGTTATCAACTCAGAGAAGACGCTCATTCCACAAATCTAAAGCAACATTAGAAAAGCATACGAATCTACCTATTGATATCTGATAGAAAGTCTCAAAGTAAAACCAAATATTAAATGACCCAGGTCAGAACAGAAGTTTGAGGCTTTTTATGATCAGCCACGTGCATTTTGTCGCGGGCTATCGGGAGGTCTCCATTCAACAAAATTTCTCCCAAGGGCAATATCACCGAGCTAGATATTGAGCATTGGAAAAAAATAGGACACCAAGTATATCAATAGAAAGACTCAATAGAAGGACTTCGGCCCAACCAGATTGGTCTATTTGAAATGGCTGGCGGGTAAAACACAAAAGAACCCATTTTTGAGATCTTCCGAGTGGAGTCAACTATGAAATCATTGAGGAGTTCGAGAAAACAAAAAGCGCGCGGTGTGCATGAATGGACCTGGAATTGAGTCTCTGGAGGCATGTCGATCAAACATTAAGGTGGGTCCGGAGATGCTTGTCTAGGTATTCATACAAATTCCAAGGTTGTAGGGAAGGTTATACACTTCGAAAACGGGTATAAAAAGCCTGGCGCTTTCCACGCTCAAAACATCATCAAACACACCAACAAGACACAATTCATCTGATCAACTCTTCGTCCTCTCACTGAATTTTACCTTTCTATATTGACCAACAAAAATGAAGTTCTCCCTTTCTCTTGCTATGGCCACCCTGGTCTCCGCCTCTGTCGCCGCCGAGTCTCCCCTCCCCTCCGGCTTTCCTCCTATCCCCTCCGGCTTTCCCTCTATCCCCGAGGCCTGTCTAGAAATCCCTCAGGCAATCGGATTCAAGCCCATTAAACTTATGAATCAATTCCAGCAGGAAGTCTGCGTGAAGAACTGCAGCGCCACCATAAACCAGCACAACGAGTTCTTGGTCAACACTGTCTTCCCCCAGATCATTCCTGATTTGGACAAGAAGCTGGATATCTCCACCAGCAACAAGCAGCTATTGAACCAGACTCGCACCGAGGCTTTTGCTGCTATTAGAAAGAGCTGTGAATCAAAGGGTGACCAGCCTCTGTGCAACGATCCCCAAGGTCTCTTCGAATGGGGCACTTGCGCGATGCAGGCCTCTGGTCCTATTTACCAGAAGCACATGAAGCAGCTGGCTGGAGCTCTCAAGATTACTGATTCTCAGTGTGAAAAACTTAAGGCTTTGGACTCTGATGAGTCTGTCTGGAACAAGGTCATCCCAGGCTACATTAAGCAGTTTGCTGACCAATGTGAGAGCAACTGATAGGTAAGTCCAGGTGATTAGGTATCGTTCTGAGGACCGAGCCAGTGTTAACCAAAGAATTGATTCAGGTCACTTGGAACTCGGCCTATGTACATGACATGACAATGTATTACTCGTGCGATCATTTCGATCGATCAATGCCCTTGGCGGACTCACGGGATCTTATGGGGAATGCGGGATACAGATGGATGGGTGGATGAACTTGAATAAAGCATGGAAGCTCACTACAATGTCTATTGACAGATAGATACTTTCTTTCTTTAGTGACTAAACAGACATTCCATGACTATTGCTGCACTCGCCTTAGATCCATAATCCTCATTTCCATTCATAATTTGACTTGCTTGTATTGTATCGAGATTTTATCTAAGCTGTGTATTAAGATGCTTTCTGAATGGACGGAGACCTGATTGGTTCTTTCTCAGTCATTTCATGGAGATTGGGTACCGATATGAACTAATTCTTATAGCCGAACTCGGATTGTGGTTCACGATTGAGTCAAAGCCCCCGACTAAGCTATTTTAGGTGTAGTGAACACGGGATGCCCCATGCACTTCTTTCTTAGCGTAGCCCTTAGCGTAGTTCTTGGACTAATATCTAATAAACTTCACCTCCAGGTATTTAGTTTGATAACCCTTCCAGCCAAGGATCACACTAGAAATAGCCTTCTAGATATATGGAAAAGTTGCTTGTTTATCTGTTCTTCCCTACAGATGAATTTTATGCTGTGGACTCCATATTTTCTCAATCGTACTTTGTCTGGGGCGGAGGATTCTACATCCCTGCTAGCTGAGTGAACCGTCTTGAACTAGATATGCACGCCCCCGAACTGTTCTCCCCACGGCTTACGCACCCCCTGTAAAATCTCCACAATCACGATACTTGGGCCAGATACGATGGTGGATTTGACTAAAACGGTTATAGCCCCGGATAGAATCCGCGCCAACTCAGGGTCCCAGATTTGTTTAAAAAGGGTGCCTCTGCGGACCAGGATGCCCCAAGGTCTATCATTTTCTATCTTGTTGTTTCCAAGCAGTAATCGATATGAATCTATATTTTCTAGCCAGCATACTTTGTCTTTCTTCTTTCCTGGATATTATTGCGACTGCCGTCCCTGGTAGTGTCGCTTTGCGAACGAGGAATGCGCCCAGAGCGACCGATATAGACACTCTGGATACAATTGGGCGGGCCCTCCATAAGGCGAGACTTCAATCTCGTAACAATGTGTATTCTATGAACACAACTTCCATAGCTAAAAGCTGGTCTGGAGCAACTTTGTTCACATATGGTGACAGGTGAGGAATTCTAAGACTTGTTCAAAAGATCATCACTCAAATTTTCTAGCTCTAGTACGAGTGGAAGCGTGGGCAATGCAAAAGCATCACTCGACTCACAAGCTTCTATCAGTATCATCTGTTCAACATGCTATGTCAATGGCACAGTTAATGGCGCCGTTACCCTCACCGGGGGCTTTAATTTTACAGAAACGGTCGATGAAATTGGAGATGACATTCTGAACATCACCAGCCAAGCCTTCGATCAAATTGAAGACTACGTTAAAGATGTGGTCAAAGATATTGCTACTCTAGATATCGAAGATATTCCAGCTTGGCCAACACTCGATCTGGATTTGAATCTGGATAACACTACTGGTCTGCCAGGAGCCGAGGTGCATTTTGAGTTTGACAATTTGGAACTTTACCTCGATCTTGACATCAAATTGTCAGCTGGTTCTACTTATACACTGAATATTTACTCGTCGGAAAGCCCCGCTGGAATTGCAATGCCCGGTCTCACAGTTGGGGCTGTATTCAGTGTGGACTTAATTCTCATTGCGGAGGCTGAGATTGATATTGGAAGCGGTATCCATATCAAGCTTGAAGATGGTCTGGCTTTTGACTTGGAGATGTTCAATTCGAATGTGTCGAAAATATCACTGTCAGTCATCTCTACTACTTTTTAATAATTTTGATCTCGGGATATTACTGACAACCGTGTTCAAAAGTCCGGGTGGAATGTATGAGTTTCTTCCGGTGACAATAGAGGGCGAAGGTTCTATACAAGCTCTTTTGAGCTTGAAGGCAAGCCTTGGAATTGAAGTATCTTCTAATAGCATTGAAGATGTACTCACTTTCAGTGGTGGTATTGAGGCTGATGTTTTCTCTTACGTCGCCGACTTTCTTCTGCAAGTTAATGGCTCTTCGTCCACCAGTGGTGAGGAGGATGGCTGCGAATTAGCTGCTGTTGCTGAGTACACAATGGCTGTCGGAGCTGCCGCTGGCGCGACGGTCGCTGTCGATACCTATGTCTGGGGACCCTCTCCCAATACGACTGTTCCCGTCTTTTACACTACCTTGGCTAGTATATGTGCAGGGGCCAAGACAACCTCAACATCAACAGCTTCTGCCCAAATAACTGCTCGGGCAGAGCTTGATAGGGTAAATGATTATTCCACAACAGCCATGACCTCAACGGAGTCCTTTACAATCGTTAACTGTATTTCTTCTGGACTGATCAACTGCCCTATCAATCTCCAGAATACTACTTCCTATCAGCGAGTCGTGACTTCAGATTTCACCATTCAATCAGGATCTACGGTGACAACTTCTCCGACTGCACTATCTACGGTCTCCAGTGCTATAGAATTTGGAACTAATGCTAGACGCCTTCTTGCAACATCTGGGTCACCCACTTCTTATATTCCTACATCTCATGCCACCTCAACTGGAAGTGGAAGTGGGGATGGAGGAGGCAGCATTGTTGATGGGAAAACCGATGGAACCAGCAACAAACTTATTATTGGATTGACTGTTGGCCTGGGGGTGCCGTTTCTCGCAGCTCTTCTAATCGGCCTCGGGTAAGAGAAGCGCTCTTCATAAACCTCCGTTTGGCATTTCATATTGACTGACATGCCTTATCTAGGTGGTATATTCGTAAACGCAACAAAAATCCTTCCAATCATTCCGAACAACAGGCACTTCAACAGGGATCGCCTGATACATCCTATGATTCGCCCAATGAGTCTGCGCTGATGAAACACAGTCCTCAACAGGGAGAGTAATATAATTTTTGATTCGATACCCGGCGCGAAGTTCTTCATGTCCATTTAATAAAACATCAATTTATATTGAAAACAGAGATTACAAAAATATGTTCGTCCACTGTCCTCTTTTTACATGGTCTCTTCGCGACCCTTCCAAGTATGATAGTAAAATCGAACGAAAAATACTGAGCGTACATTCGTCTTTTTTGTAATCCATTAACCGGCTCGCTCAAATAAAGGCGCTTCCTTCTCAATTTGGTGGCATATGCCACTGGTCTCCCACACGAAATCCCTCTGGGAACGGGTCAGTGGAGTCTAGAACAACTTGCTTGAAGCTCGTTATCCAGGCTCGACCTTTGACAGTAGGAAGAACAGCCGGGTAAGACCCAACCCGAGATGTCCCACGAATTCGGCTCATAAACTCGGTACCCAGGATACTCCGATGCTTGAAGTTCTCGCCTTGTTTGATTTGGCCTCGGGCATGCAGAACCGCCAATCGAGCAGACGTCCCGGTGCCGCAAGGACTCCGGTCGAACCTGCCCGGAGAAACCACTACAGCATTCGCAGCGACCTTGCAGCCATCTTCGATTCTTAATGGCTCTGTGAATTCCAGAACACTGAAACCTGTAATCCCGGAGTTATCGGGGTGTACAGGCGTGTAAGCGGCCTCAAGTGCTCTTTTAATGCGCTCCCCAGTTTCTACCAATTGGCGAGCGTGCTGATTATGAACCTTGAGGCCTAGAGAGGCAGCATCGACCAGCACATACATCATTCCTCCATAGGCGATATCGACCACTACCTCTCCGATGCCTGGAACTTTGAGTTTGTAATCAAGCTCGAGGACGAATGAGGGCACATTGTTGAATTCGACATTCTTGCATTTTCCCGCCTCGCATTCTGCAGTAACAGTCACCAGTCCTGCTGCAGTATCCAGAGAGACTTCGGTTATGGGCTCTTTCATGGGAATCATCCCAGTTTCCAGAAGCACAGTTGTTGTACAGATTATGTTGGATCCAGACATGGGTGCATACTCCTCACTCTCCATAATTAAGAATCCGGCATCTGCTTTGGGGTCGCAAGGGGGAAGAACAAGGTTTGTGTTCATAGATGCTCGGCCTCGTGGCTCGTTGAGAAGGAGTTGGCGCATATAATCTTTTTTCGTAGAGATGTGAACAAGCTTCTCGTACATCGTTTTCCCTGGCACATCAAGGACTCCTCCGGTTATAACATCGCCGACCTCACCTTCGGAATGGCAACCGACGACGGTTAAAGAGCGTGAGAATGGCATGTTCAAGTTTGTGATGGGTGTTTCTAAGGTTCGATGAGATGTGTAGTTTATGTCACGCTACGTTCAAGTTGGTTGATAATATATATGGCGGAGAAGTGTAGCAAACATAGTTTCTTTGGCCCAGACTGTTCTCTCTTCGTCTCTTGAGTTCAGGATTCAAAAGAATGTCATCTCATTCGTTGCCCGGAGGCTTCTCCGACGCTTTTGATTCATTCGAAGCCCGGCGGCGGGTGTTTCCGATATACTTGCTTTTTTTCGCAAGAATCTACAAAAGTTCTGAAGTCAGTGCCATCACTTATCGCGCTGCAAGCGCTACAAAATGTAGCATTTCCCCACATTTCTGGGCGATCTCCCCTCTTTCGCGGGATCCGCGCTCTAGATCCGCGTTCAGGGGCACGCGCGAAATTTGAGCCCATTTTGGAAATCGGGCTCAATGATCAGTTGAAAGTAAAAAGGGGTCATAACTCTTTCGCCAAACACTTCAAATGCATGTCTGAGCACATAGAACGTGTTTGGTCTTGCTGATCACGGTCAGGTGAGGCGCGACCATGCAAGAGGGGTCACATGAGGCAGCCACCTTTTTTGTTTTTCTACATTCTCACAGAGGCCAGTACCCCCTGCATGAAGCTCCGCCTCCTTTCGCACCCGTGGGCCTCTGGGAGCTCGAAACCTTTTTGTCTTTCCATGTTGGAAGCTGTTCCCGATCACGTGGACGGTGCTCGCGTGGGGGTTGTACCGGACCATGGATCCAAATTTATGAATCTGGGGAAAGATGTTGTCATAAAGATATCTATCATTCTTCAGCGAAATCACTTGAAAATTGGTCATTGATTTAAAGTGATCGCGATGGAATAAAGTGTTCATTTCACGCATAGTCGACATGGGGGCGGCTCGATCTCGCTCTGGATGTTTGTCTTGCAGACGTCGGAAGAAGAAATGCGATGAAAAAAAGCCAATATGCACGGCTTGTTTGCGCAATAATCTCGGTTGTGTTTGGCCTGACCCGAGCACGCAGGATGGTCAATTTGCATCACAACTGCATGGACTGAGCACCCGGCCTGCAGCTGAATCGGATGCGTGGGCCTTTGCATTTGTTGGGGCGCGCCCGAACTTGCCGACCACAACGATTCCCTCGTCGCTTTCCCATCTTGTCTTACCAGGGTCAGTGTCACCGGTGTCTGAGACCTGGACGCTTCTTGACCATTACTTGAAAGATACTGCCAATCATCTGGCATGTTTACAGGACAGCCGAAACCCATTCCTGCACACGATACTCCCAGCCGCTCTCGATGATGAGCTCCTCATGAATTCCATTTTGGCACTGTCTGGCACACATTTGATGCAACGGAATCCCCATTTATCTCGAGAAATCCAAACTTTGACTTGGTCAAGCTATCGCCGAGCTTTGAAACAACTTAGAGTGGCTTTGTCTATGGCGTTTGGTGGGCGCGGCGAACGTCGCAATGACGAGGATATTTGGAACATATTACTAGTCGTCTTGATATTTTATCTTTTGGAGGTAAGCCCGGACTTTCCTTTGTCAGCCATCAAACTAACTTACCGAGATAAAGGCCACTAGAGGCAATGACCCGAAGGCAATGCAAGGCCATCTCGATGGTGCACATCACTTGATGGGCTATTTGTCCGGTTCGAAGTCCAGCCTTTCTCAAACTAACATTGTTTCATTAACCATGGAGCTATATGTGTACAATGCATCTCTTGCATCGTTCACAACGAATTATAAACCTACAGCACTACCTATGTCTTTAACAATAAATCCCAATGTGTTCACGGGCAGCAATATTGGGGTAATGTGTGGCTGTGCCTATGAACTCTTTACTTACGTGCCAAAGGTTTCAGAACTTCTATGGGAGTTGGCATCCAACCAAATCGCCTCACTAGAGGACCGTTACACAGCCCAATACCACTATCTCAAGGCCCAGATCGAAAGCTGGAGGCCACAAAGCCAAGAAAAAGACATGGTTTTATGTGCAGAGCTCTATCAGCAAAGTCTTTTGTTGCTTTTGGATTTTCATTTCTCTGGTCATAGATCACAAAGTCTCGATGCATCTTTTCTGAACCTCAAAATGATTCTATCTCGCTTATCTCCCAGCTCGCCCATGTCCACCACGGTGACTTGGCCACTGTTTGCTTTTGGCATGATGGCGCATCATGACCGTTTCAAGGAGCTTATCAGATCATATTTACAGTCATTGGTGAGTATATTTGGAATGGGGGTCATGTCCACCGCTCTTGCACAACTAGAGCAAGCTTGGCAAATAAATCATGGCGAGGATGATATCGGAACGTTCTTTATGAACCAAAATAACCTACCTCTGATTTGCTAGATCGTACATAATGTATCATAATGATAAATTCACTCGGTCTGACCAAACAAAGAAAAAATGCATATATTCAATCAAACATTGTGTAATCGTCGTGATAGTACGGAGCGCGTATGTTCGGTAACACTGCGGGAGCCACGACAGCCTGATAAGGACTTGTCCACATGACTAGCCTTAGGTCGCCGATTCAGGAATAGCTCACCGTTGATATCACGCCTCGGAAGATACGGAGAAACAAAGATAAGCCACTTTGAATATCCTTGCTTAAATGGAGTCTAGGTTGTGGAATTTCGGCGACCGAACATTCTGTTCGGCTCATTAATGATTCATATCGTACATGACTACTCCGAGGTTCTTTGTTCGGTAAGGTTCTGGTCGCTATAAAACACCAGAATTTTGTTCCAATAAGGGCGGTACTAACATCGAGGCGTTTTGAGAAAAGTGATCATGCTGCAACTTAATCCTTCAGTTCTATGTTCTAGACCGGGTTTACCATGGACTTGTAAATATTCATACGTGATGGAAAGGAATTGGTCTGGTGTATAATCGTAGCGACTATGACTATTCACTTGGATTGGACAACATGGTGGCGAGATCAAACACGTTTGTTTCATAACCACTATTAGGCTAGTTGTAAGTTGTAATAGTGAGCAAGATTGTAATTTTTTTCATCAGGTTATCGCTCTATCTTGATGATGCACCATTCAAAATCGAGTCAAGAAATTACAGGTTTATACTCTACTCTAAGCTTGGATGGCGATCCTTGTAGATCAGCACGTGTGTTTATCCAATAAAGAACCCAAAAGTACAGTTGAAGGAGTTAGTATGTATTCTAATTAGCGGAATCTCAATTCAGCTGCTATCTTCGGACTAGTTCCAACGCTTAGGTGGAGCTTATTTGGCGGGTTCGATAACCGAATGTGGCAGCTAAAAACGCCAGGGGATGAGGTCGGAGTGATGCCACGACATCGAACCTGCGGGGAGTTAAGAAGAATAATCGAGAGAAAATTAAGAAAGTATCAGGGATGTTTATGTGGTGGCGTCATTCTTTGTGGTCAGGTTTGTTTGTTTTTGCCCGAGATCGTTGGGCATAGCTGTGTAAGAACTCTTGGGAACGCCTCTCGATCCGGGAATTGATGTGCGGGGTACACGGTGGAGGCGACATCCGACCCGATCACCTGAAGACCTTCAAATAATGATAAGGCGTGTTTCTTGCCCATATGCGAAAATCTTTGAGATCCCACATCCTTTTTCTGGGAGAGACAATAAGATGCTTCCAACTTCAAGTGAGCCCACGGCTCGACAGAAAAGGCAGAAAAACCCGAACCGGTGCAGACCTAAATCTAAAGGAGGCTGCCAGAAATGCAAGGAACGGCGTGTAAGTTGAGGTAACAATGCACGGCCCCAGCCTTGGCTATCATTGCTAACTTACCTTAAAAGCGTAGATGTGATGAATCTAGGCCCAGCTGTCAAGAATGTGTCAGAAAAGGCATTGTATGTCCTGGCTATCAGAAAAAGCCTCTGGAATGGCGTCATGTTTTTCAAACTGAGGACCAGGATCAAGGCCAAAGCGTTTCTCCGCCAATGAGAGAAGCGCCAGTGTCACCGATCGTTCCAGAAACGAATGATAGTTTTATTGAGAAAGACACAGATAGCACCAATTTGCTGCAGGAGCTTTGGAATGAAGCGAACTCTACAGTACTCGATCAGCTTCCAGCGATTGATGCATCAATGGATATCAGGACCAAGACAGGTATGCGGCAGAATGATATAGCTGCTACGAGATCTACGTCACATTCGGATAGTTTGGCAAGTCTTCATCAACGACTGACAAATACGGCAATACCCTCCTTTCTTATTCATATGCCGGCCATTTTAGTCCAATATTATTTCGACTTTGTCTGCAAGTCTTGGTCCTCCTTTGATTCGCCTTTGAATCCATTCCGGCTTATTGTCAGTCGTCTTTGGAGTCAAAATGCAGCAATATACTATGCCATCCAGAGTATGGCCGCAGCATCTCTTGCTAACGACTTTCCGGGAATGAGAGCTATCGGGATTCAGACCCAACAGCAAGCCATATCCTGTCTTCGAAACAATCCTCGTATAGGCTCCTTGCACCGAGATGATCATGATGACGAGTTCTTCCTTGCCCTCCTTATGATAGGATTGACAACGGCCTGGCACAATGCATCAGATTTAGGACTGGAATATTTGAAAGAGGCGAAGGACTATCTCGTGAGCCAGCAACGAATGTGTCAGAATCCAGAATCTACATTTGCAAAGCAATACCCGCTGTTCCAACAGTGCTTACTGTACTGGAACATGATGGCGGCCTTCGTGGCGGAGGATTCCTTACTTCTGAACGAAGAAAAGGTTCTAGAAAGACCGGATGATGAGATGTCGGTGTATCTGGTGGATGGTCAAGCTCTTCCACACCCATGGACTGGACCACTTTCCAAATCAATAAGCCTTTTCTATCAAGTTGCGAAATTGGTCCGAGTCGTCCGCATTTCTAAGCGCACGCACGGAGATGATCTTGACGTAACAAATATCGATTTTAATTCCCTTGTTGAAGAAATTGATCAACACCAAACCGCCGAAAAGCTTGAAGAAGATATGCTTTTTACTGGTATCTCTTCCTATTGTGGACCAGTTGACATCGGTGACACTGACACACCCCCATCACATTTTATCACTCTCGCAGAGGCATACCGCTGCACTGCTCTACTTCAAATTTACCATGTCTTCCCAGACATTCTAGAGGAGCGCCTCCAGCTTAACAAGAGATCTGACCAAGAGCCAGCAGCTCTCTTTTCCCTACTTTTCGAGGCAAATGCCACACCACCGTCTGTTCATGAGGGACGACGAATCTTAGCACTTCACATTGTTTCGCTTCTTGATCAGATTCCCCCAACATCCGGAACAAGATGTATGCATCCTGTAGTTTTGACTTGCATTTCAAGCGATCTTGTTTTTTCCAATGAGTCTTTGTTCGGTCCTGCGGCAAATCCAATTGCTTGTTTAAACTCTTTAGATGTCGAAATTGCTCAGGCACGTCGGAAGGTTAGCACTTGGTTGTCAGAGCTCACTTTGATTCTTCCAAAATTACGATTGCAACGCATGTCTCGAATTGTGCATGAAACTTGGAGTAGAGCGGATGCTGGAATTGGTGACTTTTGGTTGGACATAATGCTTGAAAATAATCTTGAGACGATGATGGGATAATAATACATGATTTTATGTCTGCAGAACTTGAAATTAACATCGTAACTCGCAGTCATTCAATGGTATAGCCGATCACTATCAATGTTAGCTCGAACTTCAGGGTTGATGGAGATCTCCTAATAGGAAAAATTGACATAATGTATAGTACTTTATATGCATCGCTGACACCCGAACTCGAAAGAGGGGATACACAGTATAATGGGTCAACCCCCTCATTCCTTATCATTCATGCAGGAACAGCCAAACAAATAGTTGGACCTTCTTTAATATCCCCGCGCAGGAATTTTCTCGCGAGTCAATTCCAAGTCACCCGAAACCCTATCTTTCATAGGCAACGACGAGCACTAAGGGGCTCAACATTGGCTTCCTTCAACCTGAAACCGATAGGAACATGTCCGAAGAGTCCCCGGTTACTCCAATTGTTACCAGGGTGGACCCACATATGGCATGATAGGACCTAAGGGGGCTCTTTTTCTAGTTTAGCGTAGCCGCGGTGCATTAGCGTATTCTTGGGTTCCTTGGATATGAACTATAAGCATACAAAGTTTAAAGGTAATGAATGAGGGATAAACAATCTCCGCATTTGATATGGAAGATATACGGAACATTGGTGACCAATTGGGGCACCAGCCGTGTGCCGAGAATAATCCATGTCAAAGATAAGCCTTTTATCTAGGCACTGCACTGGGTGATCTTGATATCATTCCCCACATTTTCAGCTGAGCCAGCACTAGTCTCCAAGGATGCCCATCTAAGTGACAGGGACCCAAGAAGCGTTCAGTGATTGGTTCCAAATCAAGTTTCAAACTATACGGCCCCACAGGTTACAATTATACCCATGCATATCTGTTTATGCCGCTATCGAAGCCGAAAGGGGGCTGGAACATCTCTATCGACAGAATGTCAGGCATTGACTACGTGAGAAAAATAATCCTAGCAAAGCACTTGATACCTTGTATCTTACCCAGGTGACTATTGGTGGTATTTTATTCGCATTATGAAATATACTTTTATAATTACGAGCAATGGAACTAATACCTTCCGTGGTTTTGACGGGCTCCAGACTCGATAAATGCTTTCCAGACCTCTATCGCAAGCCTCTATCGCATATCGCTAACCTACCTGCCAGTATTCATTCTCCCAAGCCTCCAAACTTTCTGAAGACCGAAAATGCTCTCAGACTATAAGATTTAGTACTTAAAACAGTATTCTCGCTTGTTTGAACCATCATCTTACGTGTACCGCTTAAAAAGATCGCCAATACAAGACGGCTTATGCATACTGAGTGGCGCCAAGCTCCCGTATCTCCGCATTTCCCCGCATTCTACACTACGTCATTAAGTTTGGCCCAATCAAAGTGATCAGATTACTGGTAATTACCGCGGTCCCTCGTCTCCAGCGCCGATCGTACTACGGAACTGGAAATGGGGCGTACGAACGGCCAAAGGTTTCAAGTGTTCAATTACCGCTAGTACAGCCTATCTTAGTCTGATTACCAGATGGAAACTCCTGATTTGCTGCAGCTTTATCGTTCAATCTTACCCAAGGAAAGACGGCCCCAATGTCACTGTCACTGTCACTGCCATGATGTCGGTATCTAGTCCAAGTCCGATTGGCTCATGTGATCAGTTGGGGTCCTACATTATCCGCAGGTTGCCCCCTAATGCAAGAGATTATCTATTCACCCCAATGCGCCTGCCTAAGTACGGAGTAGAGTTTCCATAAATCGATAATATACTTTCCTTTTCGTTCTGAAATACCAGTACATAAAGGAGTCTTGGAACCTTTCCAGAAGGAGGATATAATATCCTTCGATTTCGCCGCTTTCCTATTTCATTTCATTTCCCAGGTTTTCTGTCAACCCCTCATGGTCTACTGAACAAAATGGATAGCATGCTGGACGCCCATCAGCGGGATTCCCCTGCCTCTTCCAATCAAAAGAGTCTTAAACACGATGGCGGCGAACCCTACCAGTCCGACCCGGTAGCCGCAAATGGCCATCTAGAGGCATTGGGCTACGAGCCCGAGCTTACCAGAAATCGGTCAACGCTCCAAGTCGCCTTTATGTCTTTTGTCCTTGCATCTATTCCTTATGGTCTATCTACGACATTTATCTATCCTCTCGAGGGTGGTGGTGCCGTGAACATCATATGGGGTTGGCTGATGGTCTCTTTGATTATTCTCTGCGTGGCTGCCTCTCTAGGTGAAATTACTTCTGTATACCCGACAGCTGGAGGTGTGTACTACCAGTCATTTATGCTTTCTCCGGTTCGTTACCGAAGAATTGTTGCTTGGACATGTGGTTGGTCCTACGTGGTCGGCAATATCACCATTACTCTTGCCGTGAACTTTGGGTCCGCCCAGTTCATAATCTCCTGCGTCAACGTTTTCGAGAAATCGCCAGGTGTAGGAATCTTCGAAGCTTCAGCCTATCAAACTTTCCTGATTTTCCTAGCCATCACATTCCTATGCAACGCAGTTTCCGCGCTTGGGAATAAATGGCTGCCCCATCTCGATGTAAGATTTGTTCGGCTTTCAATTTAATTTCTCAACTCACACCGTCACTAGACATTCGCGATTTTCTGGACTCTTGCAGGAGTCTTAGCCATTATTATCTGTGTTTTAGTGATTGCGAAAAACGGGAGACACGACGCCAAGTACGTCTTCACAAGTTTCGAGCCTCGGTCAGGCTGGCCGGTCGGGTGGTCATTCTGCGTCGGACTTTTACAAGCTGCATATACTACATCATCAACTGGAATGGTTATATCGTGCGTATTTCCCTGTCTTCTCTGCCTCTTATATGGAAGACTATACTCATTTTTCACAGGATGTGCGAAGAGGTTAGAGAGCCATCTCGTCAAGTCCCAAAAGCCATCATCGGCACAGTCATCTTGAACACGATCGCGGGTCTCGTGTTCCTGATCCCAATCGTCTTTGTGCTTCCAAATATCCCAGAGCTAGTTGCACTTCCATCAGGTCAACCTGTCCCCAGTATCATGAAATCTGCCATCGGCAATTCAACTGGTTCATTCCTGCTTCTTCTCCCACTGGCCGTCCTTGCTCTTCTCTGTGGCATCGGATGTACCACCGCTGTGTCGCGATCTGTATGGGCTTTTGCAAGAGACGGTGGTATCCCTTACTCCAAAAAATGGAAAAAGGTAAATCATACTCTGGATGTTCCTTTTAATGCGATGATGCTCGGTATGGTAGTTGAGATTGCTCTTGGTCTTATCTACTTCGGCTCAAGTACTGCATTCAACGCTTTCTCTGGAGTTGGTGTCATCACTTTAACAGTGAGCTACGCGTGCCCTATCGCCGTGTCATTCCTCGGGGGCCGCCAGCAAATCAAGAAGGGAAATTTCGATCTCGGAACACTCGGTGTCGTTTGTAACATTGTCGCTTTAGGTGAGTTTGAAAAGTAATGGATCCTTTACTTATACTAGAAATGACTGACCAAACCAAATCTCAGCTTGGAGCATCCTGGCGGTGCCTCTCTTCTGTATGCCCGCGGCTATCCCCGTTACTGCAGAAACTGTCAACTATGCACCAGTCGTGTTTGTGGGTTTCGTTTTGATAGCTACAGTATGGTATTGGGTGTGGGGACGCAATAAATACGTTGGACCGCCAACTGTTGACGATGCGGTTATGGATATTCGACACGATGGACTCTGATCTAGAAATCATCATGGCTGTATATGAGACGTACATTCGTTCCATATTATTTGTATTTAGCCCATTAGAAGCTATAATAACCGATTTTCTTGGGCATTATTCAATCATTTCCCTCGATCTGGTGTTGGAGAAACTTAGTGATCTGGTCAAAGCCTTCGGGTTCCTTGATCCAATGTCCATCTCCTTCCGCTCCAGTAAATTCATTCCGCTCTATAGAGACCCCAAGGTTCTGAAGTATCTGGGTTGCTTGAATACTCAGTTCAACGGGAACCCAAGTATCATCAGTGCCATGGCTCAAAAAAACAGGAGTAGATAGCACCGATATATCAGCATCGTCACATAATTTTGGGGTGTTCAATTCAGCAATGACGTCCAGAAGTAACTTCGAGGCCTGTCGTTGTTTACTTAACGCGTCCACTACGTTAAAAGTATCATCATATCCTTTCAATAGGTCCTCTACCTGTCCAGCAAATGGCAACCAGCCGCAAAATCCCAAGACACCCCCCAGTGGACTCTGAAGCTCTGCTGGTCCGCAAATGAGTGACCATAGTGCGATCGCCATCCCCTGGCTGATTCCCCCAAGGTAAACACGATGAGACTTCCCGCCCAGTTGCTGAATTTCTTGGTTCAACAAGTCTAGGATGTAGAATACCGATTCTCGGAGACCCTCCACTTGTGACTCTTGTCTTTCTTCAATATGATCGAGCGAATATGCGTCAAACCAAGATGGCATCTCTTCTTGAAATCGTACATTCCATCGCGAGCCAGAGTTCGGGAAGACCCAGCGCATGTGTGGTAGACTTTCTGGTAGAGTTTGGCCCTGCGAGTTCACAGAAGAGAATAGGTCCTCGGCAAACTCGGCCCCATTGCTTCCTCGGCCATGTAAAAAAATTGCTGTTTGGATATGTTCACCATGCGGGTGTTGAATGTGAGGCTCAGGAAAATGCATATCGGCGCTGTGGTTATGAAATGTAGCTGTATGCTGTATGGGCAGTGTGAATTTGTGTGAGAGATAGATGGAGCAGAGAATCGAGGTATCTGGAAGCCTAAGCTATAGCTCTCTCGAAATCTTATCAAAATTATATGAAGTGCACTGTTAGGTACACAAGCTGCAAGCAGTTGAATATGTTCATTAAACTGCGTACTGGTATGTAGAAAGCGCCAAACGATGTGCCCGAAGGATGCCAAAGGGACAAGAGCCGCACTGATCTCCACCTTGACCGCTTAAGCGCTGCCAAGATTAATGGGGGAGCGCAACAGCGAGATTTCTAGCCTGAAGCTCAATATGCTCGAAATATCAAGGAGCTTCGTACGGATAATAAGATTATTGTAAATGTTCAATAGTACTAGAAAATCCATAGAATCATTGTCCTCTATCTCATCTAATATACGCCTGATGCTCCAGTGTTGTTGTTTATTGATTAGTCATGTGACGTCAAGCGCGTTTGTTTACATTTCGAACTTCTCGCTTCGACCGAAGCCCAACATCCAACCACTTGTCCCAATCTCTGCTCCACTCCTTCTGTCCATACCTTCCCTCGACCTTCCATTTGATCCCATTCCAAATATCTTCAAATCTTACTTATCCTCCCCATTGCCATGGCGGTTCGGCGTTCCGCTCGCCTGCGTACCCAGGCGTCTCCCGATGTGCGTGCCCTAGCAACGCCCGAAGAGAGGGGCTGATGATGTCGCCGGAGTTGAATATGATGCAAACTAACACAACAATGTCTTATTAGAGTGACGAATCTTCCCCACAGCCAGATAGGACCACGCGACTTTTCTCTGTTGAGGAACGCGACGAGACGTCTAGCAATGATCAGCCCATCATGCGCACGCCTGTCACCAAGAAAAGCACCCAGATACCCCATTCCACACAGTCATATCAGAAGGTCACCGAGGCCAGAACCCCAACAGGTCTGCCTGCTGTTCGTCCATCTTTAGAAGATATGCATCCCAGCAAGGCACACCAGAGCACCACCAAGAAAGTTGACTCTGGACTCCTTCTCGGCTTCAACCCCATTAAGAAAGATGCCAATGGAAATGTCGTGAAGGATGGCGTGAATGAAAACACCCCCTCTAAGACCAAGCCTTCTCCCGCTGCTAGTCAGTACGGCACGCCTGGATATGAGTTCAAGTTTGGACAAGAGTCTCAACTCAGCGATCAGGCGAAGCAACTGATGGACAGAATTCGTGAAGAGGCCAAGCAGACTAGAGCGAAGATGGCACTGGAAAACTCGAACGGACAAGAAGAAGAGACTCATGAGACCCAGGTTGAGCGGAAAATCGCAAAGCCACGAGGCCAAGCCGGACGTTTCAGTGATGTGCACATGGCCGAATTCAAGAAAATGGACTCGATCGCCAATCACGCTTCGTCTTTCAGGGCAAGTCCCGGTAAATTCCAGCCTGTGACGAAATCTTTGAAACGCACAAAGTCCAAGGCTCAGTTGGACGAACCGGAGCCCCAAAACTCGTCTCCGTCACGATCCTCCTCCTCCGCAAAGCGATCTGCGGTGCCTACGCCTACTGCCACCGCCACCGCCAAGCGTGCCAAACCCAACCCAACAGACGATGCACCAGAGGATCACCCTGAAAACGGAGCCGTTCTTAAATTGGAAGAAGCTACGCCCAAGAAGGCCGCCACTCCCAAGGCTAATGCAGCACGGCCCCGCTCCACTATTCGAAGCTCTCTCATGACGCCGACCAGGGCCTCGATGGCACGTTCCGCCTCCGTTTCTCTTAGTCTCAAGGCTCCCAAAACATCATTGATTCCCTCGTTGGCGCGCTCCCCCACTACACAGGCATTAGCATCTCCACGGACTCCTCGAACTGAGTTCAATCCTCGGTTCAAGAGTAACTTGCCAAGTATCAGCAATCTCAAGTCGATTCTTCGCAGACGTCAGCCATTGTTCTCTCGCGATCCAGCCAAGATTGCTGCTGGGACTCACGCAGCCGCCCCAGACTTCAATCCTGATTTACTCTTCGCCGGACAGGCTGAATCGACGGGTGCCGCCCTCTCCCCCTCGCCGAAGAAGCACGTCGAATTCACCCCAAGTGTCAAATCTCGTCATCAATTATTAGAGAAATCTCCATCCCGCTCTAAGATTCCTACCACTCCGTCTCGCTCTAATCTGTCCGAGATTTTCTACCCAACTCTTCCTACTCTCACTCCCGAACGAAAATCCACTGCTGAGGATACAAACGACAACGAAGCCCAGTCTCCCACGATTCGCCATGTCCGCAAGTCCGAAGGTTGTGACTCTGCCAATGTCTATCCTGAGCTCCCTGTGGTGGCACACGGCATCTCTCATGGACTCAGCAACAAGAAGAGACGTCGATCCGACGTTGATGATGATGACGATGTTCCAAATGCTGAGGATACTGAGAATGTTCCTCCCGCCGATGCCCAGCCTGACGAGCGCAGCACCAAGCGAATGAAGGCGAACCCACCAACTCCAAGCCCTGTCAAGTCTCGCCCTATCAAGACACCTGTCCGCTCCGTATCTGGTCGGGTCGGTAACTCCGCAAGCGCAAGTGCTAAGAAGCGTCCGGGAATGTTGAGTCTGAGTCGCTTGAATATGCTCTCCAAGCCCAAGGGACGAGCCTAAATCTCCTAGGTCTCATTCCGGTACAAATGACATAACGCCTGGTGCGTGACTATCGGACAAAATGAGCCAGGCCACTGCTATCTGATCCCAGAGCATGTGGTCCCTGACAAGATGTCTTGCCAAACGACTATTTCTTCTTCCTCCGTCGTACTTTTTTCACTGCCTATTGCTGTGCCTCTAGGCGGGCCTTTTCTATCTTCTTGTTCTATGTATCATTTTATTACCTCTCATGGCTTCAGGCCATGGTTCTTTTCTTTTTCTCTTCTTTCCGGTTCCTTTGTCTCGGCTTCACCTGGTTTGTGTCTTTTGGTGTTGAATCATTTCGACGCCTAGGTGTGGATCTATGGTTTGCTTTTGCCAGACAACATTCAATCTAGGCATGATCGGTGGTGTTCCTGTTTTTTCAAAGTCCCATTTGGGTTGCCTTTTTTGATATCTTTCTTTCCATTCGCGAGAAGCGAAGTCCCATTGCAGTCCTGGCTCTGTGTGCTCTGCCTGTGCGTCATCCTGCTCCAAGAAAGAGCCATGATCTTTCGGCCGGGCTTTCCATGCTTCGGGAGATGCTAAGTTGGGAGTGACTTGAAACAAGAAGGCTTGGGATGCATCGTCTCTGCTTATGTATGACATAATGACCTTCTGCAAATTAATTGCCTTTAAAATCAAACCTTTTTCTTTCTCGCGTAGTATGTAGTCAATTGTTGTTAAGGGAGACCTCGTAGATCGAAGTCCGCTGAGATCGCAGATCTATCAGTAGACAGATGGTACCGCTATTCCAGTATACTTCTTACACATCTTTTGGGGTTAAGTGCACCGTGATTAGGACGAAATACATTTAAGGAATCCAGATAAACACCGAAGCGTAAAGAGGAAATTTTCTCTATTTACATGCAAAATTCGTTGGTCATGGGGGCAAGGCAAGCTAAAAATACACGAAGAGGTTCAAAGTAGCATAAAGCGCAAACAGCATGGTTAAAGTTGAATCAGCCACGAGGCTAGAAGCGTAGAATGGGAAGGTGAGGATTAATAGTCAATTATTAGCGAATTGCTCTTCGAGAAGCAAAGTGAATGATGACGTGAGACATGACATGAAATCGTTGGGATAAGAGACAAGGTCAACGGACAAGACAAGATGACAAGATGCTCCTTATCGAGCTGGGGGTATCATAACGGGAAGTTGAAAAGAACCACAATATCAATGTATCGACTTGGATCAGTTTTTCATAGTCGCCAGGAACGAATCCAGGTTGTATTCTTCCTGGTATTGACGATCGTCCCAGAGCTCGCCCAGGTCATCTAGCCAGCCCTTCTTGCCCTTCTCCTTGACTTCACCATCAATGTCGACCATGTCTACTTCGTTGCCGGTCTGATCACCTGGTTTCTCAGCTGTATCTGCCGTTTCGCCTAGATTGAACAGATCAAGCAGTTGGTCTGTGTCCATTGTTCCTAGACCGGCATTTTGTTGATTGACCACCGTGGAGGCGACGTCGATCTTGAATCGTTGTAGGCTGAAGAGTAGTATGTTAGTAAAATAGAACGGAAATTGTGTCTTGAATGTGACTTACTTCAGGATCTTCTCCTCAAGGGTTCCTCTTGTGATCAGACGGTATACATTAACGACCTTCTTCTGGCCGATTCTGTGAGCGCGGTCCATGGCTTGAATATCCTTCTGTGGATTCCAGTCATGCTCAACAAATATAACAGTATCTGCTCCTGTCAGGTTGAGACCTAGACCACCAACACTAGTGGTGAGAAGCAGGACGTCGTAACTGGGGTCGGTGTTGAATCGGTTGACGATATCCTGGCGCTTGGTCGCTTCAACACCACCATCCAGGCGAAGGTACTGAACAGATGGTAACAATTTCTTAAGAACATCGTTTTGGACGATGTCCAACATTTCTTTCATTTGACAGAAGACAAGTGCACGGTGTGGGCTGACATAGCTGGCACCGGTATCGAGTTCGCCCTCAGCTGGGCTGTCGACACCAATGCCACAGTCAACTAGCAGGTCACGAAGAGCAGAGAGCTTCGGAGCATGTGATACATCACGGATATTAGACCGCTTAGATGAGAGGTACGTCTGTACTTCATTGTACTGCTTGTGACCATCTTTGACAACCAGAGCGGGCGAGTTACACAGACGACGCATGTACTGTAGGGCCTGGAAAATATGCTCCTTGTCATTTCGCTCCGTACTGCCAACCTTATCTTGGAGTTCTTTCTGCTCCTTCTTCGAAAAGTCCTCGAAGAGCTTCTTCTGGAGGTCACTGGGATCGCAGTAGTAGTTTTGTATGATCTTCGGGGGCAGGTCATTCAGCACCTCTTCCTTCAGACGACGCAGGAGGAATGGCAGAACTTGTTTGTGAAGCGCTTCAATTGCCAAAGCACCGGCCTCTTGCTCCTTTGATGAGGATTTGCTGAAGCGGCTTGCCGCAATTGGCTTGGCAAATCGGTCGAGGAAGACTTTCTCGGTACCGAGGAATCCAGGCATCAAGAAGTCGAATAGAGACCAAAGCTCAAGAACGTTATTCTGAATAGGTGTACCAGAGAGAATAAGGCGGTGGTTGCTCAGTAGTTGCTTAGCAGAAAGCGTGATTTTGGCCTTGGGATTTTTGATTAGATGACCCTCATCAAGCACACAATAATTCCAGTTGATGGGGTTGAGAATTGCATTGTCATTCCTGCAGACATCGTAGGAGGTCACAATGATATCACTTGTAGCAAGCTGGGGCTGGAGTCTCGCTCGTTCTGCTGGAGGTCCGACATAGGCAATACATTTCAGGAAGGGGGCGTATTGCTTGACTTCCTGTTGCCAATGTCCGGAGAGGGAAGGAGGGCAAACGATCAACGAGGGAAGTTTGCGAGAGTCGGGGGCCTGACTCTTTGAAAATTCTTCCGCTCGCATGTGATGATCACTAGCGACGATACAAATGGTTTGAAGTGTTTTTCCAAGACCCATATCATCGCAGAGAATACCATGAAGGTTATAGCGATTGAGGAAGGCCAGCCAATTGACACCGTCCTGTTGATACGGACGAAGCTCTGCTTTGATGGCGACGGGTATCTCGAAGGCTTCAACCTTGCGCACGTCCAACATTTGGGACATGAACTTCCGCTCTCTATCACGACCCTTGAGCAGCTCCTCAGAGAAGCCAGGTGGGTCTGGAATACCAGCCTCCAGTGGTACAAGTTTGACCAGTGTGGCAAAGGAAGTGGTTGCCAGCAGACGAACGTCATTATCCGAGTCGCTCATACGGCCGAGAACAGGGACGACAAGGAAAATGACATAGGGGAGGATGTCATCTTCCATGACGTGGATAAGATGGTAGATGCATTCAATCGCTCCTTGGCGATGATGAACATCTAAAGCGCGATTGATTGTTGGGAGGACATTCTCTACCAACATGGTCATACCTGCCACGGTTATAACACTACAGATTGTAGCGAAGCATTTAGCCGCTGCGTAACGAATCACCGACAAACGACACTGCAAGCCCTTGGCAACAAGTGGCATGAGACCATTGACCCAAGGATACAGACCAGAATCGAATTTGGGGAGGAGGGCACGGAGTGTAGAAAGACCGTCCACAACTTCTTGGCCGAGCTCGTTCTCGGGGTTCGCGATGTCTTCAGGCAGTTCACCCGCTAAGGCATCATTCAATGGGCGTTCAATCAGTGCCGCAAGGTTTGGTACCTTCTCCAACAGCTCAGCGCCAAATTTGACAGTGAGTTGCTCCAAGGCATCCTTGGCACCACGGCGCATGATACGAGCTTCTTTAGCCTCGCGTTCGAACTTGGCAGCATCCGGGTGATCGCGTCGGTCTTCTTCCTTGCGCAAGGACAAGATTGATTTCTCTAGCTGGGCATTGTGAGCGAATTCGGGGGTCTCCGAGGTATCCACACAGCAGTATTTAACGAGGTTTCCGATGATCTTGTCAACAGGTCCACGTTTGGTAGCTGCAGTATAATGTTCGATGAGGCTTGCAACGGCGGTTGCTGACCGTTGTTGAAGTTCAATATTCTCTTCCTTCTTCACGCTATCCATCATACCCTTGATTATGTGACCAGGGCGCTTGGGAATATCACCTAAGGCGACCAATGCACCTGCGGCAGCTGCTATGACCCGCATGTCACGCTGGTCTTTGATACCAGAGGCATCGTCGACAGCGGTTTGCGCAGTGTTGCGAGTGTCAGTCAACACTTGAGTGGCAGTGATACGCTGAGCAGGTGTCAAGTTCTTCTTCAGGCGGTCAAAGTCTGGGCCCACGAGCTTCACGGCATCGGCGAGTGAGAATGCATTAGGACCAGCCTCGGGATCGCCTTGCACCACGACAGCCAAGGTTGGCAAGCGGGATGGCATTACATGTGCGTGATCTCTGAAGATGTTCAACAAAGAGTGGCAGTGGGCTCGTGCGACCGTAAGGTAGCTTGAAATGTCCGAATACCATGATGGGCGGTCGCCTTCAACAATTGGGCGAATCTTCTCTGTGAGTGAGGAGGTGTATTTGCTTTCCGGTCCAGTGAAGCGAGCATATTCTTCAATGATCATAGCCGAGCAAAGCTGGGAAGTAGAAGCTGAGAGACTGAGGCCATCCATGATTTCAGACCAGAAACTTGGGAGTTCGTGCTTATCCCATACAGAAAGCAATTCTCCCAAGGCTCTTGAAGCAAAGATCTTTGATCGAAGCATGGTATCCGCTCCGATGAGTTCGATGTCTCCAGACAACATGTGGCCATCCACGTTGTGGGTGGAGGGAGTAGGGGCTTCCTTCTTTTCTGACTTGCGACGCCGGCCGGGTTTGCCTGGCTCCGGTCCACCAGTAGCAGGGGGCGATATTTTTGCCGGTGGCGGTGGTGGTGCGGCAACAGAGAAGGGGAGGCCAGATGGTTTGATGAAGAGGGTCGCATTGATTGGAATGGGGCTTCGAGGAACGCCGAAAGGACCAAGCGCAAGCGTAATAAGGGGCTCGATGGAGCTTGCAATTTCAGTGTCGGCTTTGAACCACCCATGGATTTCGACGGCCTTGAGCAATTCTGACCAGACTTGAAGAGATAACTTGAGAACACCTTCATTGCGTTCCACAAGCATATTTTGGAAAATCAAGCGCAGTGCCTTGCCATCTACCCAGTTTGTGCTGTCTTCCCCTTCTAGTTTCAGGAAGGTCATGAGGGCTCGAAGAACAGCTGAGCGAACGCTTGTGATGGTGTGTCGGAGGAAGGGATATAGACGAGGGACTAACTTGCCGAAGGAAGCCTCCGGGTCATCGGCTGCGTTCGCCTTCATGGCATCAAGCACTTGATTGAATGTGCATAGCTTGGCAAGCAGGTCCATGACGGATCCTGTACTGGCACTTAGATCGTCTTGAAGATTGGAAAGACAGTCCCAGACAATATGCATCAAAGGTCCAAGAGTACCGGCCCGTGATGTCACGTACTCTTCGGCGATTGGAACAAGGGTGGCAGCGCTGACGGCACGAACATCGTCATCGAAGTCGGCTAGGCCTTTCATGACAGCCTCGAGGACTCCATCCATCATATTGGCATCGTTCACAAGTAAATCTTTGCGAACTGCCACCAGATATCTTAAGCCAATCATGCCGCCATGACAAACCTCCCACACTGGTCGATCCAGTCCAAGATCAGTTTGCATGATAATTCTATAAAGTGATCGGTAGACTAGTCGAACAGACTTTGGTGACAGATGAGACAAAAGAGCACCAAGTGTCTGTCCCACCGTTTCTCGAATGGGAGCAACTACATTGTCGGAAATATAATCACCAAACCGGTCTAGCATGAGAACACAGAGCAAGCGGCAGGCGAGATCGTCCAACCATTTGCGATTCAGCGTGTCGTTTTCAGCCCGAGTTTTGCCTTCCATGCGACCTGCAGCTGCACCTTGAACCCTAATAACCTCACGGAGAGCCATTGCTGCACCATGCCGGACCTCCCAGTTCGAATCAAAGATGTCGATGGTCAAGAATTCGCACATGCACTCCAAAGGCCAGCCTGAGCCTTGGTCCACAAGGTCGGGCTGAATAACAGGTCGCTCGGGTGCGATTTCGCCTTTGAACTCTGTGACAATTTTTTGATCGTCGTCTTCGGCCGATTTTTCAAAGTTGAAGTAGTCTGGTTTGCTTTCTCCATTCTGATCATTGCCGTTTTCTGTCTTAACAGGGTGGGGTGTTGCGGGGGCGGAGACGTTTTCTGATGGTCGTCGGGAAGATAAGTCTACTACACGAACTTTGCTCGCGCCCATTTTGGCGTTCTGTTTATTCTTTCGCTTGAGCTGGTTTAATTGGCGCTTGCTGAGCCCCGAGTCTTCCTGCTTGGAATCTGGTGATGCAGGCTGCCGAGATGGCACATCAGGGATGCTATTATCCCGCGAAATAGGAGCTACTGTAGACTCTCGCTTTGGTAGGGCGGGAGTTGCGAGTTTGGGGGCTATCTCTGGTATATCAAGTATTTCATCCTCGATATACTCTCCGGTCAAGCCTAGGCGGCCTGTCAGCGTCTTTTTCTGATGTTGAAGACGTGCAGCAGGTTCCATCGATGCCAGTGAGTATTCATACTCTTTTCCGGCACTTCCCAGTAGTCGTTTTCCATACTTCAGAACGGAGCCAATGTCCAATGTATCAAAGTGAAGGAACCCATCCACAAGGGCAAAAGTCTCCTCTGACTTAATTTCGGACTTGATCTCCACATCATCCTCGTCGTCGGCTGCAGATGTTAACGGCAGGCCATCGTCTTCATTCGGGTCAAACACATCTGCATTTGCCACAATTAAACCGATTGCCCGAGCCGCAGCAGTTCTGGTATCCCAGGACTTGGATCGCAAATATGGGAGAATGCGACCCAAGAGGTTAAAGAGCTCATCGGGATGTTGTTTTTGTACATCGGCTAGTTGTTGAGCTGCTGTATTGCGAATCAACTGAGTGCTTCCGGTCTCAAGTAAACTGTCAAAGAAAGTCAGCATTCAGAGAATCCTCTCAAGAATTCATACACTGCGATGAGAGTAGTTACTCACGTGACCAAGCGGTCGAGTCTGTAGAGATGTGGGTCAGTATCACGTGTTTGACGCGTCGTCATTGGCTGTATGAACTTACCGGGAAGTCATGGCGGGCCGTCACTCTGATCCCGAGTGAACAGCACCGCCAGAATTGATGAAATGAAACAAATGAAAGGAAATCTAAGAGGTGAGGAGCTTGATGATTATTAAAGCGTACTCAGCTCCTCTCCTTGGCCTGCGAAATGAAATGAATAAAAAAAAAAAGACAACGCCCAACACCGGAAGCCGGGAGCTGACTCAGCAGTGAGGATTTAGATTCAGTACACAAGAGCGAGATTCGAGGTCACGCAGCCGGGTTTATATCATTGGGGGGCTCTGGATTCGCGCGCCGGTCCATGTTTGGGTGTGTGGTGCTAGGCCAAATCGGGTATAGTCGTGGTTGGGCCTCCACTCCCGGGTTTGCTCGGATCACGTGGTCTACGCGTTCGATCAGAGATTTAATATGGTGGATTTTAGCTGCTCTAGGACAGTGATAGAGATTTTTTTTCTGGCTTCGGTTATTCTATCCTAGCCTCCAATACACTTTTATTCCCAAGACTTGAACATGTTTACATAGCCCATCGTAATTTTAAACCCTTTGGTATCCTCAAATGCTGCATCGAAGATGCCAAGACATGCCAGATGGCCTTAGGACACTCGAGGATCCCCCTGATGATCGCTACTATGTAGTAAGGGATTACTCGAGCATGTCATTCAACGACAATAATTTAATGTCTTTGATCGCCCAAAAATACGTGTAGACATCCTATATGTGTGTGGCATATTCATGTAGACACGTTTACTAATATTATCTAGTACACGGCATCAACTTGATTTAATGGAGTAAGCTGTCATACCCATTACTAGCTACTATGTGCCTCACCAATGAACAGGCATATATTGCAAATGCGGGAACTATATATTTTCATATACATGACATAAATCAAGAGGTTACACCCAGAATTTCGGCATAGATGCTCAATAACTACCTATCAACAATTGTTTTTATTATCATTTTAAAATTCTTACTTAGGCAGGATTATTCTAGCACTGACTTTTAGAGTTGGTTGCATCATTCCGCCTGCATCGAAACCTTGAAATTAAAGCTGTTCCAAGCTTCATCCACATTTAGTACAAGATTAGAACCTCGCAAGTTCTAGGTCTTGATATATGAAGGCACAATTGAACAAGCGGTATACTGTGAATCGATTTCCATAAATTGATTGCAGAGTCATCTGGTTCCCTACGAATGCAAGGTTGTCTTCTGTGAGCTTGTTCCGAGGGAGAGGTTCAAGTTGATACAGAATCTACACATAAAGACCTAAAAAGTAATACGTAAACACAGCTTGTCATGGATCCGGAGTATCATTTCAAACACGAGACCAACTGGTCACCAACATTGAGTATTTCTGTACAGTCACAGGCACCCGGACGAATGATCCGGGGCAAAAGCAAGGAATCACACGCATCAGAGAAAAAGATAAATATCACGCCCTTGGATTTTCTTCAAAGCTATCCATTTCACCGTTGTGCCAGCACTGCCGCGGCTTCCTCTTCCTTTCCAAGCAGACCCAGGCTGCGAATCTGCTCTGCCTTCGGGGCATTCTCACGAGGGTGGGCAGCCTCGGCCTTGCGGTAGGCGGCTTGCATCTTCATTGTACGGAGGGCCTAGATTCAAATCCAACAATCAGAAATGTCCTTCATATCTTCAAACAGTTCACGTATCCCCCCTTCGAATGTAGCAATACATACCTCCTTGCGGTGGTGAAGGCACTCGTAGTAATCCTCCAGAGCGGGCGTGCACTTCTTCTTGCCGGCTTCACCCTCGCCGGAGTTGACAACGTAGCATCCGAGAACTTCTTGCCAGAAGGGGTAGCAGCGGTTTTGACCTAAAAACAAACATCACAGGTCAGTCAAGGTGAATTGGTGGGGAGAAGAGGGTCTCGTCAAGATGTGATTCGGCTCATGATGACCCCCGCGCAGGGTCCGCACGGCAGATAAGGATGGAATGTTAGTACGTACCGCCGTTCAAGCCGTATCCAGAAGCCATTTTCGAGTGTTAGAGAAAGGAATTGGCAAGGTGGTGGGCGGAAAGACAGCAGAGAAGGTGGTTAGATGTTCGCGGATGCGACGCTTTCCCTTTCGTTTCCGACATGGCCCGTGCGCTCCACCGTACATGTTACCCGCATCCTCAGCTACGTATACAGATCACTTTGAACCTCCGGATTATTGCACTTCTCTCCCTTAATCGCCATGGCTGTGGAAGGGTTATCAGATGCCCATGCGATACTGCTTGCGACACACCTCTGTACAAGCGGTGATATAACCGATCTCCCCGTCTTACGAGCGCAATACCCCCACTGTTTTCCTTTGGAACGCCTCCTACGCATCATCTTAACATTCCTGCCTGAGAGCATAGAGCCCTCGCAATATGTCGACACCCTTCAGCAGCTGACCAGCGAATCGAATAATGCGGACCAAGACCGAGAGATAGATACATCAGCCGTGAAAGACTTCACAGAGTTAGAAGCAAGAAAGCGTGTGCGGAAGCTCCGTCTACGACCTCTTAAGCAGGACGGCGAAGAGGAGGAGGGTGTCTCTGACCCTTTGACTCAATTTATAATTCACCGCGCGCATTTGATAGATACCGAAACCTCCCTCCAACCACTCGTCCTCGATCTTCTTCACCCCTTCTACAACCAACAGCCAGCGCTTCGGACGTGGCTGATCTCAAGCCTGCTACCGGCTCTTCGACTCAATTACGAATACTATCCGAATCGGGACGAGACATTATCACTGGAAATTTTGGAGTCGCTGGATGATCAGACCGCGGTCAATGTTTTGCTGTCTATCGCTGGCCCAGAGAGAAACGATATGGATCTCGTTACCAACTTAAGAGGACTTATTGGCCCCTGGCTCTATGGAAGCAACAGATCAAAGCGACGCAGATTGAATGAAGCAGCTCAAGAAAATTCGATTTCTTTCATCCAGGAAACACCGAAACCCAAGGCTATTGAGGTGGCCGGTTGGGAACATGTAAACCTGTGGCTTTTATCGCGCAGTCTGGTGGACTATGAGAGTGTGGTCAATGCCTTTATCAATTGGAGCGGACCTGAAGATGTTGATATGGGTGGATATGATGAAGATGCGGGTCGAATTTCATCAGAGACGTCGAAAGAGTTATTGAATCGGTACGGCCAGTCCGGTTTATCTGTGATCTATGCACAGGCAAATTCATCCAATGATCTACTCGAGGGATCATTTAAAATTCTTTCGCGAGTTGCTGAGCTGCTTGGCCTTGAGGAATTTTCATACCTTTCGACAACTGATTCTGCCCTTCCAACTGTCGATTTCGACACCGAGTTGATTTCCTCCGCATCACGAGCTTCATTATTGCAAAATGCCCTCATGGCGCCGCAAAATACATTAACGACACCATCGCCTTCCTCTATATCTTTTGCCAGCGCTTTGCTTCTCTCTTTGCGCATACTGACAGACCTGGGCCACGTTATTCCCTGTCGCGCATTAGCGAACATGTGTCTTCACAGCAGTAAGGAGATACAGATGGCGGATTTGCAGAGCGTAGTGGCATCTACGGTGAAGCAGCCTCGATCATCTAATGATTGGCAGACTGTTCGCCAGAACTTATTATGGCTCCGAGATTGGCAAACAGAGGACTCCGATAATGGCTGGGAAGGACCATTTACTCACCAAGGTCTATTCTGGCAACTATCGCACGATATCGTTGAAACAGAAATCTTGAAAGCCCTCATTGAAGCCAAAGGTATGAATATCAGAAACATCCTATATACACATGTATACATTTCTAACTTGTTTGCAGAGTATCAATTGGTAGTTGATTTATACATTTCGTCGGAGAAGGCGCCACTTACACCTACCCAAGTGGAAGCTGCAGTTGTGGAAGCCATCTTCACAGCCTATGACAACGCAAGCAATGGCAACCGAACTCGAGGCGGCATGAAGAAAGCACAAGACATGTATGTGATCCGCCATCTACCCTCTATCCAATCTCTGACACAAGCTAACTTACCCAATCAATAGTCTTCAATCATTCCAACCTCATTTCCACGAATCAGCCCCTCTAAAGCAAATCAACGCTCTCATAGCAGCAACACACGCTCTATCATTCTACTCACTGACACTCCAACACGGCGTCCCCTTCCAACCAGTCAGCATCCGCGTACACCACGACCCAATCTCCCTAGTAGAAAAGGTCCTCGAACAAAACCAAAAAAGCTACACAAAGCTAGACGACCTCCTCTCCATCGGCCGCAACCTAGTCTCAGCAGGCCTACCACCACCACCACCACCACCACCACCAACCTCGGAACCCCAAAACATCTCAGACGCAAGCATAACAGCCGAACGCCGCATAACTTCCCTCGCCATCTCCTCCGCTCTAACATCCAACGACTTCGGCACGGCCTACTCTTACATCCTCACCCGCCTAACATCCCCAAACACAACACCGCCATCCTCATCCTCAAATCCCGATGACATAACCTGGCGCGCAGTCTATAATGCAGGCCGCTACCGCTGCACAACACCAAACGCAAGCATACCTCTAAGCAAGCAAATCCACCACCTCTCCCAACGCATGGAACTCCTCTCCCTAGCCCTAACACTAACTCCAACACCGGATCCGTTGCCCGAAATCCTCGGCGCCTGGCGCCGCTGCGACGAGGAAATATCCTCTCTTCGGGCCAGGGAACAAACAGAGGAAGACCTCTGGGACGCAAAGGGCGACAGCCTCTCCTCTGTACCGGGTGGTTTTGGGCCTTCAGACTCAGAGCGCGATGCATTTGATACGGCGCAGCAGCGTGCGGCTAGACGGGCGCGTGCAAGAGCTGCAATGCCGCATTCGCATCCTCATGAGGCGCCTATGGGCCTATTTGAAGTTGCGAGGGGTGCGGCGATGGCGTTGCATAAGAATGCGTCTTCATTGAGAGGCAATGCTGGTGCTGGTTCTGGTCCTGCTAGAGCTAGTGGTGGTGAGGGTGACGGAGATGCGTTTATGGATGATGGTGAAGGACGTGTGAGGAAGAGAGATATGGTTAGTAATATGGTTACTGGGGGGTTGGCGAGTGGGATTGGATGGGTTTTGGGTGCCGACCCGGTGAATCGGTAGGGTTTATTTAAGATTTTGTTTTAGTTCTCTCTCTTTCTGGTGAGGGAGTGCCGTATGCCATTTGTATTTTGTACTTAGGTATATCATGATAGCGACGATGATATTAGCGCTTGTTTTGTTTTGCGATGAGAGTCATTAATTTAAGACATACATCAATTTATATTGGATCATGAATCTTCAATATGCTTCTAGAGTTGGTTTGATTTGTTTCACGAGATTACTGAGCCTATCTAGCTCTTACAAGACCTACAGTACCGAGGCCCCAGTCATTACTTACACACTAGTAGGTGGCAAGTAGCAAATTGATATCACCACATGGCGTAGAGGTAAAGAGGTACCCAAGCATCCAATTATCGATATGCATTGGCCCAAGCAAAAAGAAACAAAAGTAAAAAATAAAAAAAGATCGTTCTTTACTAATGCCCAAATCAAGATGTTCACACGAAAAGATTCAGCGGTGAAAAAAGAGATAAAAGCAGTATATGGCGGTAATGAAGAATGATATGTCCAGGCTCGAAATATGACAAGAGATGATGATTTGGAAGGGGGCGAAAAAGGAACAATATAGGTCAAAGGAGACTTATGGAAGTTATGGAAATTGGAATGGAAAAGGCATTGAAGAGAACAGGCAAAGCATGAGAAGATGCAATGACAATAATTGTAGGTATCGGGCCGTAAGGATCGTACGTGGTTAAGCATAGCCAGATCAAAATTCATATCGATGTCGCTGAGAGATGAAAGCAATGACAGGGTATGGTATGAGGAGACAAAAATGATAGTCAGCTTCATCGAGTTCCTGCCCGGACGAAGCATCATGACCAAATGGATGGACGCCAACTGTAAAACAGAGAACAAAGGCAAAGGAGAAGACAAAAATGCTGGGATGGGATGTAGGGGGGAGGTTGTTTTTGAGTTCGTTCTTGACAGCCAGGTCAATCCTAGGGTCCAGCCACTCATGCTCAAATGTATTCAAAAGGTGGGATCCTAGAAACACAAAATTTCAAGACAGGGACTAAGGTGTAGCAGGAGCAAGTGCTTTTAGTTCTTCCAGTCCCAAACCTGTGCGATGAAGTTTGCCATATTGACCTTTTTGGTCTTCATATCTTGCATCCAAGGATGTTCCAGCATCCGCCAAGGAGTTGCTCGTCGAGGAGGTTCTTTCTCGAGGCTATGAGAAGTTGAGTTAGAGAGGGAAAGATATGAACATGAACTCAGCGAAACATACCAGCATTCAATAAAATATTTAAAGTTGTCTGACCACTTAATCTTGTTCTGTGGTTCGTCTTTCAATTTGGGGATGGGTTGGCGGACAATGTAGGTTAGGAGATCTATTAAACCTGCGCGAGGCTGCATTTCAGTGCCATCGGCAGGGAAAGGGAATCGATGCTGCGCAACTTCCAACAAAGTCACACCCAAGGACCAGACGTCGGAAGTGATGGTATAAGATTGTCCAGTAATTCGTTCTGGAGCCATGTAGTAGGAGGTACCGATAAAAGTATTGGCGTCGCCTTTGGTGCCAAACTCGCCGCTGACACCGAAGTCGCAGAGTTTGACTTGACCGTTACGGCAGAGAAGGATATTGGAAGGTTTGATATCTAGAGAATGCATTAGTCATTTGATCGCGATTATCTTCCTTTGAGAAAAGGAATGCATACCTCGATGGATGATCTTGCGGCTATGCAGGTAGGTCAATCCATTAAGCACACCCTCTGCAACCTTTCCAAGAACCTTTTCACCAGTTCGGCCACCCAGTTTCTTCACTTCTTTATAAATACTATCGAGACTGCCACCTTCGCAAAATTCCATGGCGATAGAGATTGTACCAGATGTCTTATCCATAAAGGCACCATAGTAGAGACAGATGTGTTCTGATGCGCAATCCTTGTTGAAGTTAAGTTCACGAACAATCTGCTTCTTTACATCGGGATTAGGGTCGGTAGTGATGATCTATCGCGACGCGGGGTTAGTCATTGTTGAACAAATTGGAGAGTAATCTGCAAGAGCCACTTACTTTCAAAGCAAAGACAGTCTTGCCATCCTTCAATTTACACCGAGTGACAGCGCCACCAGCACCTTCACCCAGACTGCCCAACTCAACGACCTTCTTTTGTTCACTAGCTGCGTGCCAACCCTTATCATCCAAATCCTCGACATCGAGTGGTCGACCCTTCTCAATGCTCAATTTCTCCAAGTCGAAAGTGATGGCGCTAGCACCATCTTCACCTTCTAACTGTGAACCGCCTTCATTATCGGAGTTGAAGGAGCTGATCGCAGAGGAAGGATCAGAGCCAGACTCACGGAGGCCCCTCGCGACATCAGCCGTCGATACGGATGAGTTGGCAGAGATCGGACCATTACCAGCACCATTCCCATTTAAGAGAGGTTGACTATGCACGCCCAGTTTTCCTGTAGACAGAGATAATGCTGGAGGACCCGGACGGCCGGTAGATAGTTTCCCTGTTGATAGAGATAATTGTGGAGGGCCAGGACGACCGGTGGATGTATAGTTTGGCTGCTGCGGGGCATTCTGGGTGATCATCGGAGTTGCCAAACTAAGGGCAGGGCGGAGAGCAGGACGAAGAGCAGGGCGGGAGGGAGCAGCGATCGGTTGCGCGGGTTCAGTCATGACGGGGACAGCATTGCCATTGACAGGTTTGACGTTGGGGGAAGGGGGAATGCCCAGTGTGAGCTTGGGAGCTCGGGGAGTGCCGTTGTTACGCTGATTGCTAGGGACCGGGGTCCGCAAGAGCGGCACGGAGGACGACATGTCGAGATTGTTCTGCCTATCGCCAGGCAAGAACAACTCGTTCGGGTCAGCCAGGGTAGCCACAGTGTCGATGGACGTTTGAAATTCCCTGGACAGTAGCGAACGTTTGGGGAGGAATTAAAAGGGACAGGCGAGCGGAACGAATGTGCAGGGGGGGTTGGTGGGAAAGAGAGAGGGGAAAGCAGGTGACTCGGGGCGAAATGCGCAGGAGAAAAAAAAAAACGCGATTTTGGTTGTTTGGTTCCACCTGCCAAACCACGGAGATATATCTGAGAAGATGGAGAGGATGATGGATTCAAGATTCACGATATTTCAGCATGAAGCTTGGTCCAGATTTCTCTATTCTTTCCTTGATAGCCAAGATCACCACGAATATTAATAGACGGCAACACAGCCGCCGAGTGGGACAGGGCGACGACAAGATCGGGTCCTACGGGCGATGGTGGGGCTGTTTCAGAAGGCGCCTTCAGCTGAAACATGTAGAGAAGCACAAGAGACGGGAAAGTAGGAAGACGAGTTGAGTCTACGGAGTCTACGGACATCTGGAGTGTTATTCTTATTCTCGCTTATGATAGAATGGACGATGTATATGGTACCATTACGAGGCAAAAGTAATCTGGACCCTGAGTTACGTATGTACCTGGATACAAAGAGACGTTAATTTCCAACAATCATGGATCCCTAACGACTAAATTCTCCCTAAGAACCATGGATCGGACCCCGCGAATTGGACGTATGAGAGGATATACATGTAGGCCTGGAACCAAACGATTCCAGCTTGCATTACCGCATCGAATCTAATTTGCAATTTTAAAATCCAATACTCACCTTGCGAGTGCTGTCATGTATGCCTAGCTGTGGCTTTGCTGTCCAAGTTGCCGCTTTAATGGACTTTGTACTCTCGATAGACAGTCATTGTATACATAGTGTAGAATCCAGTCCGGGTATTCTCAAGGATGCGTATTTTATCACGTGATATGTGATAGAGAGGGACATGTGCATGCACAGCATTACACATGTATCCTGACGAATTCAAGATCAGCGGGGACAATTGATTAAGTCTCCTTTCCTTTAGAAGGCTTTGAGAAAATTCGGTGAATTTACAGTCTTAATTGTCAAGTCAAGCTTCAACAGGGTTCCAAGGTATATCCCGAGGTCTCTACCGAGTATATACTAGTAGTTAGTAGGTATGACAACCAACAATCAACCAAGTACCAGTCCATGATCCCTATTTATCCCTGATGTAAAAAGCGGCATGCAAAATCACCCAAATAGCAGCAAACAAGCCACAACCAGTTGGGCACCAGAACCAATAGGAATATATGGTTGCCTTGAAGCCGCAAATACTCTTCTCCGGGTAAAATCCCCACTTGACCCCGGCCAACCACCATCCACTATGATATTGGTGGCGCTCATCGACATCATTGCTAACTCACAATCAGGATATAAGTCCCCACTTACTCTACACGTAGAAAGGGAAAACCAACAATTATCATTACAGTATACCAAAGCCGTCTTCGAATCGCAGTTCACGAGAAACCAACAATTCACCATGTTGTACCGAGGTACCACGGTACATGTACATCTGGCCCCTCTTGCCCGGTGTGATTATGTGCATTGGGCTAGTTTGAGCTCACATAACCAACTGACGTACATAAGACGTACCAACAGTAGCTGTCACATGTACAGTAGAGTAGATAAGATAGACAGACAACTTGGCTCCTGAGTTCTAGGGCTGAAAAATCTTGGCACATCCAAGCTGACAGCTCAGAATCCTTCTACACATTGAATTTGAGGAACCAAAGTCCAACACCCCTTGATGGGGGCGAGTCAGCTCAGGCGCGAAACTTAATTAAGCCTGGCCTGTGCCTTAGCCTGAGCCTGAGCCTGAGCCTGAGCTGCTGTTGACACAGCGAAAGTAATTTGATCAGTTGCATCGTGGGCACATACATACTTGGTATAATTCAAGGGCCGCTGATCCTCCTACAATGCGTCACTATGACTGAGCCAAGTAGGATTCAGAATTCAATCCATTCATTCGGTTTACTACTATCACAGACATACTGTACACCGTATAGGCATTGCGACCTCTTACAATGGCTGTGCTAGACTACTACAATCAATCTCCCATCAAATCAACCTTACTTTGCATGAAACATCTTGTGGCTGAGTGTGGCACGGCCAAGGTTTCGGATCAAGACCGTTGAACTTTGAGCTGGGACGCTCGGCACTTTCCACTTTCCACTTTCCACTTTCATCTGGGGCTGGGGCTGGAGTTACTGTAATCGATAAGCATAATCCACTCTTCGGGATACCGGTACATGTACAGCCACAGATCTAAAATAGCAATTCCCGTTGGTCATCTGAAGCCATAGAGCAAGGGAAGCCACACTCGCTCTAGACGTCAGCCCTTGCAGCCTCGTCTGGCTATACCAAACCTTGCCTCCGTCACGATACCCAAAGAGTTGGCTATGACGCATTGAGGGTACTTGTACCTTGATTGCACTGCACGCCTTACTCGGATGTGAGGCTGGAGGTCTCGACCAAGGAGCTAAGCGTTTTTGGCCATGCGCTGCTGTGCTTGCGAGGAGGGTTCGCTGAATCACAGGCTGGCCTCTTGTGTCTCTGAATACAGCATGCAGAGGTGCTAAGGGGTTCAGGTTCAGAGCCGACTGCGTTATTGAAAGTGATGCATCATTCCCAGTGCATACTCATTCAACTGCTCCCCTCGACATCGAATATGCACAGAACCGCGTTGTCAGTTTTTCTATATGGCGACGGAGGGAAAGCAGACGCGTGGACGACACAAGTGGATTCGATTCGATTTCGCCGGCAGATCATCGGTAGAAAGTATTCGTGTTCGGGTGCGAGGTCCTGAATAACGATCATTGTCTCTGCTGTTCTGCTCAAGGTCAATCCTTGCGAATTGAGATACCATACATCACCATATCAAAACTTGGATCATGTTCTGCTCCTGCAGTGAAAAGCATCCATGGTGGAAAAAAAACCCAGCAAGCGCTCCTCGTCAGACATGGTCGGGTACCGGACCTGGGTCGCGCCCGTACCTGATCTGCAAAGCCTGCAGAGCAATGATCCTCATCTCCTTTCACGCATGTATATTCTCCATCGCCAAGAACCAAGCGCAATGGGCCGCAAAACGTAATGGCAATAAACTGGTTTTTGAATGCCGGTTTTCACATCGATTTCCATGGTCGCTGTGTTGTCAAAAGAAAGTTTATCCCGCTGGGTTCGTAAGTACTCCGCACAGGAGTACGTATTAACAAACAAACAAAAACAAAGAAAACTAACTAGGGCCATTACGGATTCACGAAATGTCAAGTGTACATAGCCGACGGCACTTACCCCCTTCTTCTTTAGCAGACATGGCAGCCACACCGATATGGATATGGGGTACAGTCTTTCCACACCGTACATGCATGGACAAACCGCCATAAGGTCTGTGCTAGATCTCGAACTCGAACGATTTTGTTTTTGAGTATGAGATCCACTCGGGACTATTATTATCCATCCCTTAATGCTACCTCCCCCTTTTTCAGTGTAAGTAAATGTACGGATACAATTAAACAATACTTGGCTAGGCTCCGCAGTGCTAAACATAGCATCAAATAAAGTACGATGCTTGGGAAGGAAATATCGGTCAACGAAATGAATAATAGACCGGATCGAGGCCCGGAAGTCTTTCAAAATCAGCGCTATCAATGAAAAAGGGGGTCAACGGCAATCCAGTGAGATCGAACAAAAATCAATAGTTGAGGAATGTGGAGTCTGGGGGCGCCACGAGGCCTTCGGGCTTTCTTTGAACTACAATACAACATTCCCCTATCATGGAGCCAACTAGACAAAAGACACAAAACGATGAACTTTAGAAACGCAAACGCGCACGCGCACGAGACCACGATTGGCAGGTGAATCATATCCCTGCAGGCTATGGTCGGATACAGACTCGGTTCTGAAGGTCTCGACTCGAGCAGCCGAACACGCTGATGAAGATCTTCATTGCGCACAGATTACCAGATTGTTACACATTTACAAACAGCACAGTTTGGATTTTGAGATTTTCAATATTTAGCCTTTTAGGTAGGATGTGCTGTACAGCGGAAGTGCCCCGTGTAGGTACATAATGGGTAAGGGTAAGGGGAAATCACCTAACTGGGAACGCAAATCATGCACACTGCAGGGACCTGACCATCACGCGTTACCCCCGATCGGCGCACGCAATGCCCATTGGCTTCAATCCACTCTTTGACACTGCGACTGAGAGAGACTAACTGTACGGTACTCGCTCCGCCCCCAGAGATCAAGAGATCAAAGCTTACAAGCTTACATTCTAGACTAAGCCATCTCATTGAAATGACAAGCGCAGGATTTGATTCGCTCCTCCTTTAATCGGGATTTAATTTGGATAAGCACCGTCAAGCAACGGACTGATCTAGTAACTTTACTAGCCGTTCAGGGTGAAGGCTCGGCGTAACGAGTAGGCTAGGCCCACGGCAAATGCATTGATAGGCTCTGTTTCGCTTAACAATCACATTGGGGATTGGGGGGTTTACAGTATTTTCATAATTTTTAATTCCAAGGAAGCGAGACTCGGTGTATGACGGAGTCCAAGACAAGACAAGACCGGGTTGCAATCGTGGGGGCTCCACTCGGACAAGAAAGAAGAGGGTCTCGGTGTTGAGACGCGAATAAGGAATCTAAATACGGCATACGGAAGAACAAGCTTGGAATTGAGCTTATTTGTTACCTGTGTACTCCGTAGTCAATCCGTAATGATTAGGATCATTAGGATCAGGGGTTATTTAGGAGGGGGGCCTCATCTCCTCCCAATCTATGAATATTGTATCCATTAATATCCATCGGCTGTGGCTATTATTAGGGATATTGAACCTTGGGCTTTGCCGGGCGTACCGGTTTCCTTGGACCGGGGAAAATGTAGAAAATCAGATTTAATGGTCCAATTCATGGTTACAACGAACCGTCGCGGGGGAGACCGTGCCGCCATTTGTGTACCCAGGCACAGAGCGCGCAAGTTGTTTATGTCCCGAACAAGACAAAGTGGAAATGCACCACGGGTTGCTCAGGGGTAAAGTGGAGATTGAAAGATCCATCGGGGTTGAATAGAGGATAATAAGTGGTGGACAGAAATCAGGAACGGGCAAGTGGATCAGCGGTGAGTGAGTGGATTGGTGTAATGCAAGCGGGCTGAAACCAACTAAGAACGGGTTCATTTCCTCGGCACATACAATTATACAAGCCACCCGTGGATGACAAGATGGGTTTGGATTTCGAGGTGACAAAGAAAGAGTAAGACATAACAAAATATCAATAACAACAGGAACAGAAACAGTAATATCTTTTCTTTTGTCCAGAAAAGAGATCTTTCCTCCTTCCATGTAAGGTCTATGTCTCATCCAACAACTCCACTTGGGTCAAAGTAAATAGCGCGGATCGGCATCAGTTCTCACGCTAATCACTCGTTAGCGGCAAAGTAAATTACAGGAACAAAGTTGGTCACAATGAAACCACTGTTCTTCCAAACGCCGGCCTAATCCAATCAGTATGAAGCAATGGGGAGTTTCGCCATACAGGCTGTGCAAACGATGTTTAGCCCCAGTTTTCGAGTACTGGGTACTTGCAAGAATAGTGTGGAGGCAACCTATAGATCAAGTCACCAATACTCTGCCATGACCCCATTCATTTGCCATTCTGGTACCTGAATAGATGACTATGACTCCACTTTCCCACCACTCCCACACTGTATGAGGTATCCACACCTGCATCCACCGATGACACTAAATGTACTGAGTTCTGGTAATTGAGGAGTAATTACATACACTCGGACGTGCATCACAGCTATTCCCCCCCTTTTTATTTTTCTCCTATTCTTTTTTAGGGGCGAAATAGGAAAACCAGGTGCTGTAAGAGGCTTTTGCTGATCTCTTAGGCTAATCTCCCTGTTCATACAAAGGGCCCCTGGCTCCCCCGTGCCATTCGTCTTCCTTTCTTCCTTCTTCAAGTCCATTCTTCGTTGCCAATTTGCATCAGTCACTCTCTAGACTTCGGTCATCCACTCTTTAACCAACTCACATTCTTTCTCTTTACAAAGCTTACGCTTTCTAATTACCTTAACGGCCCTTTTCCGTACACAAACATTCAAAATGCGTTTCACTACTGCTACCATTGCTCTCTTCGCCGGCCTGGCCATTGCCGCCCCCAACCCTGACACCACTGTCTACGAGACTGAGGAGGTCACCATCACCTCTTGCGGCCCTGAGGTTACCAACTGCCCCGCCAGCTCCCACGCCTCCACCACCGCCCCTGTTGCCTGGACCACCTCTGCTCCTGGCGGCGGTTCCGAGTGGACCACCTCCGCTCCCGGCGGTGGTGCTGGTGCCGGTACCTCCCCTGCCCCTGCTCCTTCCTCCTCCAGCGCCCCTGCTCCCTCCGGCGCTCCCAGCTGGACCACCTCCGCTCCCGCCGTGGCCCCCACCACCGCTAGCGTCCCTGCTGGTCCCCCCGCTGGCCAGTCCTCCTGGACCGTCATCTCCCACACCACCTGTGTGCCCACCGTTGTCTACTCCACCATCCCCGTTCCCTCCGGAACTTCCCCTGTGACTGGTGGTGGCTCCGGCCCTCACTCTCCCTCCCCCGTCGCTTCCTCCAGCGTCCCCGCTGGTGCTAGGTAAGACTTGAATCCCTCAATTGAACCAATAAGAAAGCATATAAACTAACCCCCTCAAACAGCTCCGCTGGCTCCAGCCCCTCCGCCTCCGCCACTCCCTTCAACGCCGCTGGCACTGTCTCCGGCTCCATGGGATTCGCCGGTCTGGCCGCTGCCGCCGCCTACTTCCTGGCATAAATAACTCCATCCGTGATGGGTTACTCATGCTAGCGTCGCATAGCGGCATTAGTGTGTAGTTTATTCCAAAATGGCTTGGTTTTATGGTACGTTCGGTACGGTGGAAACGGAGAGAGCTTCTTTGTGATTTAACTGGGTTCTGGTGATTTACCTGACCGATATCTTGTTGTTACTTGCTTCTGATTTGGATATGCTTTTATCCCCTTTTTTCATGCTTTTCTTGATATACATATTTCCTATTCTTGGGCTTCCTGGATAGCTTCGGAGTTGTGTGAAGCGCTTGGTGGCTAGAGCACGACCTTAATGTAAACCATGACAGCTTTCACCATTTCCTCCGCTTTCCAGCGTTCCCGTAACCCTTTTTGAATGTATCCATACCACTTTGCAAATTATTTTCCTTTAATTTAATCTAGACGTGTGAATGCCGGTCTTTATCTCTTGAATTGAAATTGAAATTGAAATTAGTTTGGACTAACGGCTTTCTGACACGTAGTGTGCCCCTTATTTTTGTGTAGTGGATCGCACTAAATCCTAGTGAGGTGTTGCAATCCTCTGTCATTTCTTTAGGTCTGGCTCCGGGGCACGATACCCACGTTAAAGGTCCTGTCTGGAAATTAGGTGAAACAATCTAGATCTAGGTAATTCTTGTATGCCCTAAATTCTAGTACGGTTTCATATTGTCTCTCGAGGACATTGATGTTCCTGCTGAACTTAAGACTCAATTCCAGTCGAAGTGGCTGTGACTCAAGCCCAAATAGAGCGATCGTGCTACAGCATGATGCCTTCGCTCAAACGTGCCAGGGCAAGAATTATGCCACTAGAAATATTCAAACCAACATAATGGCTCATCGTCGAGCACAAGGGAATTCACATTCGTGATATCGAACAGACCGCCATTCTCTTGTAAGCCCGAAAGCCATCCCGCTTAAAGCGTTACAGTTCACTAGCCCGAAAATCTTTCTCTGTCATCATTGCTTAGTCTAGCATTAAGATATTGAACTTCTAGTATGCGCAGTATCTGCTTAGCTTGAACTGACCAGGCTGCATATAATCATACCTTCCAAGTACCCCATAAACTCGTCACAGTCATCCAAAAAGTTCCCTCCAGTGATAGTAAGAGTTGCTAGGACCTAATATTACAATGACTACATAAGATAGATATCGGGAAAGATAAAACTGGATATGTATGGCATTGAGGTTAAACTACCTAGGGTAAGGATGATGTGGATGACAGTATACCTTCGAGGACAGACTGTACCATCAACACAGTCCTCAACCACAACGAGAAAATAGCCAAGCCAGTATCAGGCTTCGGGGTACAAAGAAAATGCGTAATCAGGCAGACACTAAGCAAAAACATGAACAGAAAATAGTTCAAATAAGTGAATGAAAACCAACACCCTTAGTACGTCGCCAACCATCGCTTACTTCGAGGTCTGTTAGAGCAATCATTTCCAGTATAGTAGATAAGAAAACGATCATGCTGGAGATCCTGGTCTGATCAAATCCACTGGAGCTTGATCGTTAATCCGAATCTTGATCTGGGAAACACGCAGTTCTTGCAATCACGGCGCTGTTCAACATGTTCACGGATATGGTGATGACAGAAGTCAATCTGTTCCGTGCATTGATGACCGTGATCGAGGAATTTTCCGATGACTCTTTGATTATCCTCACTAATCGCTATCGACAGATCATCCTTACATATAGCAGTCTACAGCTTAATAAGTTCGACTTAATAGGATCAAGCTCGCGAAGACATTGATGAAACCAATATGCAACAATCTGTGGCAGAGAATCTGCATCAGATTTTCAACGAAAGGCGATCGGTTTTCGTCTGGCGATCATGATCGAAATGTGAAAGGCGATGGGTTGTCGTCAAAGGCCATTTGCATATCGTCGTATATATGCTGACTTGAGAACTTCTCCAGGTCTTCTCTCGACATTAGATTTCGTCAGTGGAAGCATTACCGCTTTACTCTTTTTGGCCTTTGGGTTCTGTCATTTATTTACCAAGTTCTGATCCTGTATAGCGAAATCCGGTGTCGGGAGAGTGTACAGCGGCCAGTATCCTGTTTAGAGCTGCTTTCCAGTATCTGGCTTTTCACTCCTCGTGATATAGGGAGCCCTGGAGGCGGGGCGAGACCTTCTATTGGCTTGTGGAACCGACGTAGTTGTGTTAATATCCAGAGGACACTGGGCTCAGTTTTGCTGCAATCCTAGCAGCACGTCTTAAATTTTGGCTAGACTGTTCCTGAAGCCGAATAAAAAAAGATATACATGTATACTTTTTCATGAATTAGGTCGTCTCCACTCCGGGGAGGAACGGGTTCGTAGGGACTCGGAGTCGATCGAGATCGACTGTATTCGAACGATATGCGCTCTCGTTCACTAATTTGTGAAAAGAATCAGCAAAGATGCGTTTGGGAATCGAATTGGCATAGGAATCAGACATGTAGGGGCGTGAAGTGTTCTCCAAGTCGCTTTCGTCCCGAGATAGACATAGTGGTGATCGTAGAAATTTGAACAATATAAAAAAGCCTCGAGAACGATGCAGATGAAAGCAATGATGGAAATAGAAGGCAACAATAAGTTGTACCGAATCAAAGGGTTATATGCATAAAATAGAGAATAGATCCCAGGAGGAAAGAAAAAAGAGTTAATGAATGAGGAGAGAGGAAGAAATAAGTGAGATGTAAATCAAACAACTTGAAACAGGAACCTCCGTGAATACAAAGAAATAGACATATCGCGTGAACAAATTTTACTAATGATAATGCCCAGACAATCCAAACATACTTATTGAGCTACCGATTACAAAAAAGGACACAAACGGAAAGAAAAAGACTGAATTATAGCACAAATCCAGTATAGAACCCCATGGAGAATATTTCTGTTTATGTCAGTCTTGCTCAGAGTTCTCCCCTCCTTAATACAGACAGATCCACCTGAGAAGTATTTACTATACAGAGATCTGAACGAAAGAAAAAAAGTTGAAAGACATCTCAATGACAAAAATAAAACGATATATCGTGCATAAGTGATCTAAACTCCATAATTATAGTAATACTATTATTTGATTCAGACCCCTTGGGGCCACCATATGCATTTTCCACTTAAAGGGGCTGACTTGCACATTTAAGGCATATAGTGCGCCTAAGAGGATCTCGCTAAAATTGGCGCCAGATGTGACCCCATGACCTTGTAAGATCTTTATCTGACAAGCCCCGTATGAGGTCATTGAATGCGCTGCATCTAACATCAGATTGAATTTTTTGTACAGTAGATTGTTATATTGGGATTTTTGCCGACGCCACCCTTTCCCAGCCCGAGTGGGTTAACTATTCGGAGGACGGACGATAGACGTGAACACTAGCCCCATTGCTATAAATTTGGAAATTAAAATAAACCCCGCTCTATATATGCGTCATTTTGATGCATAATTATGTATGCTGTATGTCCTCAATCTCTTCAATAGATTCCTGATTATTATGATCATCCCTACTAAAATTCCCTTGGACTTAGCTTGATCCTTCGTGGGAGACAGCGGAGTACAGCGGGCACTAGCAGGTAAAATGAGATCCTTCTATTCCCATAGTCCGGGATAATATGTATAAATAGTGGCAAGGCTTTTTCGTATTGCTTGTCAACGTATCCCGTGACTCGGTCTGCACATTAAGACTCTTTGAAACAGTAGTAGAGCACAGAACTCTCGATTATATTAAAGGGAAGACAAAGTTTCTGATGAGATATCGGGGAGATTGCTGGTGCGCCAAAAATAGCCAGCCCCACTTCCTGCGCCTGGGTCACTGTGCCCGCTTCCAAGATTGCTTGAACATTTCGCACTTGCTCTACATCCATTGTACACGGCCGGTGTGAGATACTATTTTATTCGGCGATAGCCATCCGAGAATGCGAAGTACGAGCCACGAACCTTTACACCATTACGTGTCTCTTCGCTCAGGAAGATCATGAAGCCTACAAACTCACTTGACTAAACGTCTCACCATATCACTCGTATAGTTTCGGGAGGAAGGGCGAGCCCCAAGGCTGCTTTGTTTCTTGAGGCCAGGAACGGTAGCCCATAGCCCCCGCTTTATGGAGCGCGCGATCTGCGGAAACACAGCGAGACTAGCACTTGAGCAAGGATCTAAAGCACGGGAAATATTCCAAGATACGACTCGCAACCAAAAGGATCGGATCGGCTATACGGAGTAGCTTTCAATAATTCTTACACCCCCGCAGAGGCCGTCAAAGTCAAAGCAAAAGCATCTCATAAACAAGTAGAGGCATGGGAAGTGGATACCCGGACCCCAATTATGAACGAGGCGCCGCTGCAAATCAACGGTTAGTATTCCTTTCGTAGAATCGGGAAAGAAGCACTCTATTTTGGATGACATGCTCCATCAGGTAAGGGTGGGTATGTAGCGGTGAATTTTGCGCAGCGCAAACAAAGGATTCTATCCTATCCATTCACTAACCATGCTTGGGAAGGTGAATTCAGAAAGAGGGGTTCATAAGGCTCTAAGTGGCCCGCTCGACCAAGGATCACTACCAAGCAACTAAGGATCGGCCCCTGGTGGCCTGAGAAGCCAACCAGCAGTCTGACTGACTCCATTCATTCATATAAGAAAATTCGATCCCCCTTGTCGCAATATTAAGGTTATACTTTCACCCAGATAATCCACATCTTCCGAGTGTATGTCTTTGTATACCAAATCCATGGTCCGTCAAGTGTATGGTCGTGTGCGCCTTAACACCCTCAGTGCTCGTTTCAACATTTAGCCTTTTGGTTTCAGACACAAGCCCTCCACTACTACACTCCACTATTTACGCTGTCGCAAACCTTGGAAGGGGTTATATCTTCCCAAGGCTGTTCCTACTCAGATCTACTACCTACCTGGCGCCCGGGCACTGTGACCATATAGTGCCCGGCGAATCCCCATAAGATGCCCTTCTGTGCGCTTCTACAGAGACGCCATCTGGGACTCGGACTTGCCAAGTCTCGCTCAGGACCTCCTATAATGGATTTGTCGTCTCTAGATGGTCCGCCTCTTCTTGATCGGAGAAATACAGTCCAACATGTCCCAACATTGGTAGATCACTCGTCCCTCGATGGCCCTCCGATTCTCAACTCAAGTTCAGAGATCCATCTCCCTCCAGATCCCACACTGTCTCCAATCCGAGAAGACGCACCAGACCCTCAGTCTGACGCACACTATTTCCTACTTTCGAAACCTCTTCCGCCCAGGCCAGCCACTGCTGATCCTTCTTCTTCACGGCAAATACCGAGGAAGCCAATCAGGCTCCATATCGATACTACAACCGATCATGATACAGCGTCACGATCCTCCGATAGGCTCAGACGTGCCCCCGCTCAACGAGGCCGAGTCAGCCCTCCCGAAGAGTTGATTCTGGTGCAGGAATACTTTGATCGTGGCCATTCACGATCACCTACTTCGTTATCGCCACCAGTGGCTGCACCTCAACCAAAACGATCTCACACTTGTGATCCGCTTAGTTGGCTGGAAGAAGAAGGTCTATGGGAGGTTCCACGTCGATGGCCATCACGAATTTGCAACCCTTCATACCGAAGTCTGAGTCGATCCTCTATGTCGACATCCTTTAGCGCTATCCCAGATGGATGGATTCATCAATTCAACCAAGTTCAAAACGCTAATATCCGTGTTCATACGGACAGCGCTGAAGGTTTACCACCACCTTCTTACGACAGTCATGCTTTTAGTCCGACATATGTTATGCGAATGCAAGATGGACCGATACCCGGATTCGCGACAGTTTCAGGTCTTGTGCCTGATGTGTCGACGAGCTGAGAACGACTCAGCTGATGCTGACAGATAATATGGAATAGAACGATCAAAAGTGCATCAATGAGTACGGGATTACGATATCGGATACGATTTTACGTCGACAGAACAGACCTCGGGATTCCATGATCAGAGCAGCAAGCAAAAATCAATATCCAACCACATTCCAACACGAGAACAACCTGCATAGTGTGCCTGGACGATGAGGCGCCAATTTGATACCCCCCTTCATCTCCCCACCCAGTTACCCTCAAAAGAGTTTTATTGGGGACGATCTTGCTTAATATATTTTTTCTTTTTTTTGGTTTTCTCTCTGTCGGGATTTTCGGCCCATTTTTCTCGTGTTTTTACCATCGAAAAAGTCCAATTTCTATAGATAATGCATGAATATAATTCTAATCTCACTGTTTGAACATTTGTAGACCCGACCAGGATTCCCCTCCTTTTCCCCCCCTGTCTTGCATTTGATTATTCTCAAGGATTAGGGGGAAGAGACACATCCTGGTCCAAGTGCTGGCGTGTCATGGCCAGTAAAAACAAACTGCATCTCGGATCCACATCATCTCTCCACCGCTCGTAATAGCCTCGTTGGCATGACCGGGCCGCGTGCCTACATACTAGACGGGCCTAGGGGAGACCAGTGTGATATAAAAAGGGAGGCTGGTGCCCGCTTAACATCCGTTTGGATATGTAGAAGCTTCTCGAATTGGGTATTCCCCTCTCAGTAATTTCTCACATTGGACCCAACGTGCAGCGTCATCCTGCGGGAGGATTTAGTGACTCCATGTCTCCAGTTCTCTTGCGCGCTAACACAGACCAGCTGCTCTCCAGCCTCTGGGAATATTTCATAACAGTCCACCAGTAGTAATTCAAAAACGAGTCTAGAGAGACTGTGATAGAAGTGGAAAATAACCCGTACTTTGTCTCTCTCCTCTTCCTCTTCCTCTTTCTTTCCCCTCCTTCTTCTACCACTGTCCTTCCCGAGACCTTGTCTCTGCTTCTGCTTTCCCAAAACCCAGACGAAATTGACATTCCGAGAAAACAAACCCCCTGAGACTTCAATACTTTCAAGAATGACTTGATTCGAACGCTATGCTCAGTGAAATCTGTAAAGAACAAAGTTGATTATAATCGTGGGAAGTAACCGTGGTTTCGCCCCGATTCGGTGTTTCTACCGCCTTCGTTGTCCTTCGATCACAGAAAAAAAAATTATTATTTCCTACCCCCCCAATGGTGCAACTCGCCCATATTTTCAAAAAGGATAAGGATAAGGAGAAAGAGACCAGTGAAAAATCCTCTAAATCATCCAAATCTACAAAATCTACCAAGCCCGTGAAGACTACAGACAACCTCGACAGTACCGGCTCTTCACCCCGAACGTCCTTCTCCACATCCAAATCTCCCTCCAAATCTCATCCCGCCAAATCTTCCCCCTCCAAGTCTCCCTCCAAGTCACCCACAAAGAATCGTTTCGCTCACAGTCGGTCTTCCTCCTCGTCTAACACAACTGTTCCTCCTTTCAAATTCGGTACCCGGTCTTCGAAAGACCAGGACTCTCACCCGCTTAATCTTCCTCCGGACGAGTTGCGCCGTCGTCTGTCCGCTATGGCGGCCTCTCGGGATGATCAACGGAGTTCCATGGACATCGATCCTCAGGAAACTCAGCAGAAGAATGGTGTGAATGGTCAAGAGCGCAGTCCTACCCCTCCTCCGCACCGATCAAACTCGGATGCTGGTGAGGCCGACTCGTTCAAGTTGGCTGGTAACAAATTCTTCAAGGATGGCAATTATGCTCGCGCGATCGAAGAATACAACAAGGGTATGCTTTAATCCAACCCCCAACCCTCATCAAAGACTTTTCGTCTTCTTTCTCTGCGACCTTATTCTATTACCTGTTTAATTTCCGCCCTCGTGCCCTGTCATGTCAAGACAAGAAGCTAAACTTTAATTTTTCATCCATTGTTACAGCCATCGAGATCAATCCTACCTCATCGGCCTACCTGTCCAACCGGGCGGCAGCCCACATGTCCGCCAGGAATTACCTCAATGCCTTGGAGGATATCGAGCGAGCCAACGAGCTCGATCCCAACAATGCAAAGATCATGCACCGCTGGGCTAAAATCTTGACAAGCCTGGGACGTGCCACTGAGGCCCTTGATGTGCTATCTCGGGTACAGCCTGCTGCGACCGCGACCGACCGCGCCCCCGCCGAGAAGATGCTGAAGTTCGTCCGCCAAGCCGAGGAGACTCTCGCCGAGGATCGTGGTGGCTCTATGGCTGTTTTCTGTCTTGACCAGGCCCGCCAGGGACTCGGATTCGCTGTGAAGGAGCCTCGCAAGTGGACACTGCTGACCGCTGAGGCGCAGTTGAAGATGAACAACAGTAACTCGCTGGGTAAGGCGCAGGATCTTGCCATTATGTTGCTGCGTGAGAACAGCCAGGATCCCGATGCCATGATGATTCGTGCTCGTGCATTCTATGCTTCCGGTGAGACGGAGCAGGCGCTCAAGCTGCTGAAGATGTGTCTCGGGCTGGACCCGGATATGAAGCAGGCCATTAAGCTTCTGCGCATTGTGCAGAAGTTGAGCCGCACAAAGGAAGAGGGTAACACTGCCTTCAAGGCTAAGGATTACCGTCGTGCTATCGACTTGTGGGGCCAAGCTTTGGAAGTTGATCCCACGAACAAGGATATGAACTCCAAGATCCTGCAGAACCGTGCTCAGGCATACATTAACCTGAAGGAGTTCGATTCAGCCATTGATGACTGCTCTGAGGCTCTGCGTCTGGATCCTGATTACCTGAAGGCTCTGAAGATGCGTGCCAAGGCTTACGGTGGTGCTGAGAAGTGGGAGGATGCCTCCCGAGACTACAAGACTGTCGCCGAGAAGAACCCATCTGAGAAGGGCATTCAGGAGGACATCCGCCGGGCCGAGTTTGAGCTGAAGAAGGCTCAGCGCAAGGACTACTATAAGATTCTTGGGGTTGGCAAAGATGCCAATGAGAACGAGATTAAGAAGGCCTACCGCAAGATGGCTATCCAGTACCACCCTGATAAGAACCGGGATGGTGAGCAAGGTGATGAGATGTTCAAGGAAATTGGTGAGGCTTATGAGACCCTCATGGACCCACAGTAAGTCTTTTCTCTCTTGTTACCAGAATTGCTCTTGATTACAAGATATCTAACACACACCCTAGGAAGCGTGCTGCCTACGATAACGGGGATGACCTGATCGACCCCTCCGACATGTTCGGTGGCGGCGGCGGATTCGGCGGTGGTATGGGAGGCATGGGTGGTATGGGTGGAATGGGAGGAATGGGCGGCATGGGTGGTATGGGCGGCATGAACGGCAGCCATATCAACATCGACCCCAACATCCTCTTCAACATGATGAACGGCGGTGGTGGTGGCGGCGGCGGTTTTGCTTCTGCCGGCGGCCACTCCTTCGGAGGCCAGTCTCGCGGCGGCGGCGGAGGTGGTGGCTTCCCCGGAGGCTTCCCCTTCTAAACGAAGTGAACACCTCCCCGCAACCTCCCTCTCCTACGACTATTACCACGCCTTCCGTCCAACAAATGGATAATTGGGATAGTATACCTTTCCGATGAGATGAGCCACGGCTACGATCATACGAACTGTCTTCCAACACCATCGATTACAGTTTCACACTTCATCCTCATAGTGGCCTGGACTACTTTAGTCCGGGAAGCGATCAGCTCGAATATTTATTGAACATTTACCCTTTGAGTCAAAGAAGTATTGGACGAGAACGGTATTCTCGACGAAAAAAGGCATGGGGCACTACACTACACTACACTATCTACCTCACCTATCCTACTTGTGCTTAACAAGCAAAATGATTCCCAACGATAGACACATGTTTCTGATTTGATGCTATGCTATTTACCCCCGTTATTCTTGGTTGTTATACACTTATTCCTTTATCCTATCCGCATCTTATTCTTTCTTCCTTGCCCTCCATTACTGTGGCCTGTGTTTGTACATGAGTGCTGGATGGAAATGAATAAATGAGCGCGGTGCATGCATTCGGATTGATTATGTGTGTTACCTGGACACAGGAATACCATGCATCAAACATAATTGGCGTTTTGTTGTTTTATTTACAATTACATCTTTCTTCGGGTGCTTCTGTTTGAATGAATTGAGGATTCTCTTCATCCATGATTATACTTATTTCGATTGCAGGCTGTCAATTAGTCTTGTATAAGGGCTCAGTAAAGGTCATATCCACAAGTGAGATGAGGTCTATCAATCTCAATGTCCCGAATCTCTAGTAAAACCTATTTAATTCTGAGTGGCCAGATGGAAGAATGTATGTAATATAAGAGCGATATCGCTGATTCACTTCAATAATGGTCTGTGCTATGTACGTCCCCAATTAACTCAAGCTTCATCATCATCATCCACGTGCTCATCAGCTGTACTATATAGGGTAAATATTAAAACAAAAAAACATCATCAATAAACAAAATGTAGGGGGGAATCTCAAAAATGTGTGTGGAGGACATAGCCAAAAGCGAATGAATGTATCAAAGAAGAGTATGCAGCAAACTCCACCGCTAATGGGAAATGAAAGTGCAGGGATGAGTGCATAAAAATAAGAATGAAACATGAAAAGAACCAATCGCTAAAACACGGAATATGGGGAAAGATCAATATAGTCCAATGGGGGATGTTTCTCGGAGGAATGCCAATTGCCAAGTGCCAATCGTCAGTAGCCAATCGCAGATAAGACGAAAAGACCATAAAAGAAGCCAGTATAGATCAATCTGTTCTCAAATATAACCAAGTCCGTTGAGCACGCTCTTGCAATCTGGGACAGGGAGGTGGGTTACACCCAGGTTGCGCACGAGAGCGCCAGCACGGAGCCGCTGGAGACCAATGGCGACCTTCCATGCCTCGGTGTCTTGCAACACGAAGACATAGCGCTTACCCTCCTGGTCACGGAGGCTGGCGCGAAGAACGTGAAGGCCACGGAACTCGGATTGAGGAGGAGCGCGTACACTTTCATTGACTCCACTGGCAGTAGCACTGCGAGCAAAGAATGCACTTGGGGACGCGAGACGGCAGGTGTTCTTGCAGACTTTGAGTAAATTGACGACGAAGGCATCGGATTCTTCGGTCGTTGGTACTGAGTGAGCGGAGGCACCGCGACGGAAGGAAAAGGGGTTGCTGGAGCCGGGTTTGGCAGGTGGTGCGCCCATCTGGGGGCACCAGACTTCGGTGAGCTTTAGGGTCCACGCCTTGACGTCCCATTCACGCTGACCAACACCGCGTAAATCATCATCGACGAAGAGACCTTCTGTGGTAATTCGCAGCACGAGACCATCAGTCACCATTCCTTGGCCGGAGACCAGCTGAGCAACTGGAGTTTTCATGAACGCGTTGTTGAATTGATAAACTCCTTGGATCACGATCTTGTCAGGATCCTTGGTTGAGTATGAGCTACGATGTGATGGAGGAGGTGTTGTGTGAGCCGTTGACTGAGATGGGGCATATGATGACTCGGAGTAAGCAGAAGACCCAGATGCACCACCGTATGGTCGTCTTGGACGATCATAGGGTCGAAATGAGTATGCATCGTCTTCCTCAACCGATGTTCTCGCTGTTGGGAAGGGAGGCTTCTTGGGTGAAGGTGTACGTGGTGCACTTGTGGCACTTGCAGGGCTAGCAGGCTTGTTGTTGGCTGCTTTCTCTTTGTTCTCCTGAGCCTTCTTCTCCGCGTATCGCTTTGCGGCAGCCTCTTTGAGAGCCGCAAACTTAGCCATGGCTTCTTTTTGAGCAGCAGCCTTTGCAGCGGCCTCCCTCTCGGAAGCCTCTTTGGCAGCTTTTTCTTTTGCCTCTCTTGCTATCCGATCAGTCTCTGCTCTGGCTTCAGCGGCAAGTCTTTCGGCTTCAGCCTTAGCCTCAGCAGCCTCCTTCTCATGCTTAGCACGAGCTTCGGCAACCTCTTTCTCTAAGCGTTCGCGAGCTTCTTTCTCTGCCGCCGCTTTGGCAGCAGCCATTTCTCGCTCGAGTTGCTCACGACGCTCCTTCAACTCCTTCTCCATAGCCTCTCTTTCTGCTTTTCTCTGCTTCTCTTTCGCTTCTGCCTCTCGCTTGCGTTTGAACTCTTCCATCTTGCGACGCAAATCCTCTTTACGCTTAGCCTCCTCCCTTTCGCGCTCACGTTCACGCTCCGCAGCATCCTTCTTCTCCTTCTCCTTTGCTCTAGCTCTTTCCTTTTCCTCTCTCTCTCGTTCTCGCTCTTTTTCCCGTTCCCGTTCTTGTTCACGCTCACGCTCTCTCTCCTTCTCCTTCTCTCTTTCATTTTCCTCATTCTCTTTATCTGGTTTCGAATCAGCCCCACCCTGATTTTGGTGTTGATTTCCACCATACTGATTGTTTGAGTTCGTTCCTCCACCATAGTTCCCTCCCTGTTGCTGTCGCTGCTGCTGTCCTGTTCCACCTCCTTTGCTCTGCTGTCCATGACCAAAGTTGGCATTGGCTCCATCAGCTCCCGCTCCACGTCCTCCCGAAGAACCACCACCAAGACCACCTCCCCAATTGCCGCCAAAACCAAAGAAGCCATCCATTTTCGATTGCGATATTCCAAGGGCCCAGCCTACAATACCTACCCCGAAAGCTACCACTACCATAGCCATAGGACTGTTTCCATTGCCATTGGATGATACAGCGGCAATGTACCAGGTCTTGACTGCTGGTGAGATCAACGACCAGGCTATGACCAATAGTAGCGTGCTTACGGCTCCAGCGAGAAAGCTGTTGCGGTTTGTTTGTAGGGAGGGTAGATAGAGGAAGCCGGAGCCAGAGGAGTGCGGTGGCACGACAAAGATATCGTAGTTTCCGGTTGGCAGGTCGGAAGATTTTCGGTATTCGCCCTCAGTAGTATGAGGATTCTCGCCGTGAGGCGGCGGAGGCGGCGGGGGACCATCCATAGCGGCGAAGGTAGCGCTTCAAGGATATAGGCAGATGCGAAGAGTTGAAACAGTCGCGACTCGTCCTGGGGCGGAGTAGATATCCCAAATCTACTATAATTCCCCCACCTGTGGCACCCCGATTTCTGCTGGCGTGTCGTATCTCTTTTTTCCTGAGATCAAATGGCCTGGCCGGTCCTAGTAGGACAAATTCTTAGCGCAAAAGTAAGTCGATGACCAGATCATATTCGTCGCAACGCGATATTTGCACTGAGGCGCTAGGCCACTCAGTGCGCGGGAAGCCGAGTCAAATGGGAGGTGAGGTTGAATTGGAAGCAAAGATGTGTATATATGTTTTGTCGGCAATTAAAAATTTCGAGATCAAGGAAAAAGGAACCGAGGAATGAGAAAGTATGGGAGATCGCAAGAGAAGAAAGATCCGGGAGCGTTGCTATGGGGGGGAAGCGGTTTGCTAGGAGAAAGTGGGAGCCGCTAACGATCGGCGGCTCCATGCAGTGAAGACGTGGCCATCACACACAGCAGAAAGAAGGGTGCACCTCGGTCCGATGTCACCTTAGAGGGGTTTTGATTAAGGTGTCTTTTTCTCTCTTGAATGATTTAATATCTTTCGGCACTTATTAGGAAATGTCGGATTTCTCATGGCCACGCGGGGCTAAATTCAACGTCTAGTGGGCAGCAATGGATGCCAGTGGCACAGCGTCTAGGGATACCAGTTTGGTCTGAACATTGCTTATTTTGATGGCATTTTACATGATTTTCAGTATCTTAGATGTTGAGATTTATGTATCAGTAACCTTCGGCTTCTCTTTAGATCAATGTTCTTGTATCTCGAGTCGCTCTTGCCCTCTCTATGGGGTATGTACCTTCCTGAAAGGACTCGAAGATGTTTGTTTTGGTTTTACCAAAAGAGGGATAGCGCACTATGTATTACCTCAGCAGGATCTGCGAGCCTCAGGCAGATAAGTTCGGCCATTTCGGCGCCACTTTCACTCTTAACTACCAGTTGAGACTAGTTTAACACAGGCTCACAAGTTTACTTCGAGTCACTCCCTGCTCTGTGCTGGGGTCCGAGGGATCGTTCCATAAGAATTTCTCATATCTCACCCCGCTGGTACACTCTTCTGTCCCATGCTTCGTATCCAGGCATCTATTTTGAGCATGCAGAATCATTTGCTGTGCCTCGGAGATACGAGCATTGATGTGGGGTCTAATTCTTGCGGGCGACAACCCCCAAACTCTTGGGGGCGAAGTTCTATCTAGGGGGAGGGGTAAAAGTCTTGATATGTTACGCATGACATGACGGCGTGGTGGCTACTCACCTGTGTATGGTCTACCACTGCAAGATACCTATACTTAGCACTACATCAACCGCCAGCTTCATATTGGGTGCTGCCTGTAGTCATTCATGCTAAGCCAGTTTCATGATCCTTCCGTTCCTCGCAATTTGGACTTCGGCATGGTGGACCCACTCACTATATGAACTATCGTCCCTCGCCCGCTTGACCGCAAAGTTGACCGCAAAGACGACACGGTTTCCAACCGAGCCTTGCTAAACATAGTTTGCATTCTACATATATGTAACGTAGTCTTGCGTTTGAACTTACCTATAGTCCTATTTATTCATGTGTGCACATATTTCCTCCGTGTATACTTCGTATATGTCCCATGATCTGGGCAGGCGGTGGGGACCCTGATCAAGACAGCTTGGGGTCACGACGTCAAAAAAGTCATAAAGGAAGCCTTTATACAGTTAGATATAATGAACATGGTCGCTCAGGGATCGTCCGAAAAAATTATTTAGGCCAAAAAACCAAGACCATGAAGCAGATCAAACAGAGTATCGTATATGCCACCACATACGTAGTTGGGGAAGCCAAACGTGCACCAGCAGGAAACAGGAACCACAACGTGACCCGCGCCCGATGATTGGATCGTATTCCCCGACTTTCCATCATTCCCTTCTCTGCATTGTGTCTGCATAATCACTCCGTCAAACGTTGGAGGCTCTGTGGTTTTTTATTTTGGACTTTCCTTCTTGCTCGCGGTAGTCAGGCACTGCCCTTCTTTTCTACTCCACCGTCCTCCTTGGCCCCATCCCAGGCATCCATCCCCCATTCTCTTATGCCGCATCGATAGTTCGAAACGTCCGCCATCAACTCTCCTGCCCTTCAAGGGCATCTCCTCCTCCTACGATACGAACAGCCATGTCCTCCTTCCAATCATCACCCCAGCCCCATCACGGCCATGCTGGTCAGTCTCGCCAATTCGCCGCGTACAATCCAGTCGCCGCCGCTTCAGCTCCCCCAGGGACTTTCCTCCCCGGGACTAAAGTCCAAGTAGGCGGGCATCGCGTTGTGATAGAGAAATACTTGTCGGAGGGAGGTTTTGCTCATGTCTATGTGGTGCGGTTGCCGCAGGCGATCAATGGCTCAGAGACCGCAGTCCTGAAACGGGTCGCTGTACCTGACAAGTCCGCTCTGGCCAGCATGCGGACCGAGGTAGAGACCATGAAGAAGCTCAAGGGTCATCGGCACATTGTGAAATACATTGATTCGCATGCCTCCCAGCTGCGTGGAGGTGGTTACGAAGTGTTCTTAGTCATGGAATACTGCGGGGGTGGCGGTTTGATAGACTTCATGAATACCCGGTTGCAAAACCGATTGACAGAGCCGGAGATCATCAAGATCTTCTCAGACGTGGCCGAGGGTGTAGCCTGCATGCATTATCTCAAGCCGCCCCTGTTGCATCGCGACCTGAAAGTGGAAAACGTTTTGATTTCGCGGACGGGAGGCTCATCCGTTTATAAACTATGCGACTTTGGATCAACAGCTCCACCTCGCCCTGCCGCTACCTCTGCTGCGGAGGGTCGACTTATCGAGGACGATGTACAGAGACATACAACTCTTCAATACCGAAGTCCGGAGATGATTGACGTCTATCGCAAGCACCCCATTGATGAGAAGAGCGATATCTGGGCTTTGGGTGTGCTATTGTACAAATTATGTTACTATACAACTCCATTTGAGGAAGTGGGACAGATGGCCATTCTCAATGCCAGTTTCAAATTCCCCTCTTATCCACAGTTTTCAGATCGGCTGAAGATGTTGATCGGTGAGTCGAAACATATGCAATCAATTCCCGCAAGTTTCAAACCAGTACCTTTTACTAACTGTAACAGCATCTATGCTGAAGGAGCTCCCTTCGAAACGTCCGAATATTTATCAAGTAGTACAGGAAGCGTGCAAGATGCAAGGAAAAGAGGTTCCTATTCGAGATGTTCGTACTACAACCCCGAGAGTATTGACGATCAAAAAGCTAACCCGTCTAGATTTACTCTAATCGTTCTGCTTCCGAAGCACGCAAGTATCAGGAACTGCCTCCCACTCCGGTAGAGGCCCCTGCAGTCGGTGCTAAGTTCTCGCCTCCTATGCAAGAAACGCAAATTATTCCCGAGATTGCACCCATGCGACGAGGGCGCCCTGGAAGGCCACAAAATTCCCAGCACGATTCTTCCAAAGAAAGTCCTTCCCCTTACCGTGGCTCGCCCAGTACGTCGTCAGACCCATTTGCATCCTTAGATGGTGCGGCTCGGAAGAAGGAGGCAGAGAAGCGCTTCCCGTCATTGGAACAGTTCGACATACTGCATGAAAAAGGGGACAGGTTTGACTTTGAGCCAAGTGCCAACGAAACAAAACCAGAGGAAGATGATCTTTCTCAGAGACTCACCAACGCCTTGGCAGATGATGCATTCGCGAAACGGGCATCGCCTGAACGACAGAAGCCAGCCCCGAATCGGCACTTACAAGCGTCGCCTGTTCGAACACCCGTTTCTCAAGAGCGTTCTGCTCGTCAATCAGCCCCGTTGTATCAGCCAGCCCCCACGCGGCCTGCAATGGTTTCAACGGGAACAATGACTTCTCCTGCTCAGACTCCTCGCATTCCGGAGCAGAAACTGTCGAGTCAGCCAATTTACCGATTCCCGGCCTCAGATGAGGAGCGACCTTCAAGCCAGCCGTGGGCACAAGAGGAGCAGAAGAAGGCACCATCACCTCCTTCATCGAATTTGAGGCCAGTGCCGAGCCCCCGGTTGTCATCTGATCGGATTTCTCACCACTCCAACTCCGCACGAGCTTCCATGGAGACACTGCGACGACCCAGTACGCTGGATGTAAATGAGCATGCAGTACGCTCGAGGTCCGCAGTTGCTAAAGCTCGTCCTATCTCTGTTCAACCCTCATCTCGCTATGAGTTGCCACAGGACTCTGAGCCTTCACGTTCATCTTTGGATCTTTCGCGATACGAGGGTGGAGCACCACTTCGCTCTGTTCGCACAGATATAGACCGAGATTATGAACAGGCCAACATCTCTTCGGATATGGATTATTTACGAGCCAAGGAAGAGGAAGAAAGCAACCGAAAGCGGGAGAAACGCTCCAGCAGTGGAGCTAAGCACAGCAAACGCAGCAGCTTGTCTACGCTGTCATTCTCTGGAGGCAAAACCTTGTTGGCAGGCCGATTTGGGGAAGCATTCCGCCGCTTTGAAAGCAGTAACCCGGATAAGCAAGCTACAACTCCATCTGTCGAGGAGACCATTTCCCAACAACAAGTCATCGGTTCGGAGAGCCTGGATTCCCCTACTGAAGACTTCTCGCCTTATCACGATGACCCCTTGGATGATGTAGAACGCGAGGACATCTCTCCAGAGATGCGCCGTGAGCTAGAGCGCCGCCGACTCTCCCAGGAGGAGAAGCGAGTGGCCAGTGCGGCAGCTGAATTCCGACGCCGGGCAGCGGAAGAAGGAGGCGGACGAGCTGGTGGCGATGGACCACGTTCTCGAGTCATACAGAATCGAGTACAGACATTGCTTGGCGAGACTAAGAAACCGCCTGTGCCTAATAAGACTGCAACTGGCTACGGAAAATACACCGACACCACTGCTTTGCAGGCGAAGCAAGGTGGTGTGCAAACCTCCACCACGGGTGGATTTCCTATTTATGGTGGTCGTGAAGCTGTCGCTATGGCTCCTCCAGATCGCCGGGATGGAGCTAGTGCCCCTGCAGGAATCCCACAGGCTACTGCCTCTTCAGCGGCTCGACCCGCCGCATCGCGTCCGCCTGCTCCGCCTAAGCCGAAGAATCTCCGCGTAGGCGGACAAGATACATCCCGGCCAGGAACAGGTACTAGCCAAGATCGCACGCCAATTAGTCCACAGGGTGAGGATTGGGAGGCCAACTTCAGCAAGCGATTTCCTAGTCTTTCTGGGATCGAAATGGAGACAGAGATTGAGGTCGCTAAATACCCGAAGCTGCGTACACGGGAACTGTAAAGATATGTCGATAGATGTGCTTTTAGTGTGGTTTTTAGCGTGTTGACCCTATATGGGCGTGTCCTTGGGCCGCGAGAAGGTATTATTTTCGGAAGTGATGCATATAGAGATAGTGACATATTGGACATGACCGGACTATCTGGATTGCTCCTAGCAGGCTATTATATTCTGCGTCTGCCTTATAAAGTGAATCGAAGTGTTTAATAACTCATCATCTTCTCAACTTTAATCATTATCATATATAATAGCAAGCATACTTCATAAAGTGAACAGGAATAATAAAAATATCCTTATCAAGATTGTTCTTATCGCGATCATCTCAGATCGACTACTCACCGCCTTCTCCAACATCGATCTCTCCACGGTGAAACTTCATCGCGCGCATCAAGACAATTACAGACCATTAATTGATCAAAATGGCTCCAGTGACACTAAAGACAGTTGATGGTATGCGCATTATATAATCACCACCCCAAACCGGCACTAATCGCGAAAACAGACGACCTCAAAGATGTAATCCAACACCTCTTTGAAATCCAATCCGCCGTCCACGGCTACCTAGGTCCAGAAACACAACAAGAACTAGTGCGCAAAATGTATCCAAGCCCCCCAATCCCCCCTTCACTAAAGAAAAAGAGAGAGAGAGAAACCAAACTAACGATCACCCCCTAGCAAAAACCTCACAATCGGCCTCTCCACCCTCTCAACACATACCCAAGAGACCGATCCCTCCCAGACAGAGACCAACACAGACCCCTCCAACCCACCGCTCTCCGGCGTCCAACTCCCACCCGAAATAATCGACTACGTAGACTCAGCTCGCAACCCAGATATCTACACCCGTGAATTCGTCGAGCTAGTTCAACGCGGAAACCAAGATTTAAAGGGGAAACGGGAGGCTTTCGCCGGGTTCCGGGATGTGTTGGCCCGTGAGATGCGCAGTGCGATGCCCGAGTGCCGCGGCGAAGTGGACCGTGTCGTGTCTGCCACGGGAGGAAGCGTCGATCGAGAGGACGCAGCTGAAGCTACACAAGAACAGGGACACTAGGTAGGGGCCCTGCATACGAAGTGCAGTTACAACGAAGCCAAGTCTACCGCTACTTTGTCTTTGTCTTTTACGGGTTGGAGTCGAGTAGCTGGTTGGCCTTACATACAGCTATGTGTATGAGCAGGCAGCGACGATACAGTGAAGATCAATCGAAAGAGATCGTTCTGTATGCCTATGGCTGGACAATGTTAGGCTCAGACTACATCATAACGATGATCTATCTCTTGGCTCCGAAAACTGAAATACCGAAATAGAAGCATGGCGAGGGTGGCCATTATTCTTGGCGTGGGGTTGTTGTTTGATCTCATTATGATGTGGACATTTTTTTGTCTTCGTCTTCATCCTCGCACTTACAGCCTTGGCCCGGCCCGCAAAAGCTATGATCATGATCGTGATCGTCATGCGGTGGACTGGACCCCAGCTGGACTATTCCAAGGCTGTTTCAGGACATAATGTTACTGGAAATAGCGATGTGTTCGTACTCCACGGAGTTTTCTGTCTCGATGCTCATTTCGGAGAATATTTGAGCTTGGACATGAATTGCGGTGGCGATTATGCCCTGGTTTACTTCGTACTAGATTGTATATGGGTCGGTGTGTCGGGGAATGACGGGCACCCACTCCGCTACGGCGTCGCCCCGGCGTGGTAAATTATTGCGGGTAACGCTCCTCTCCCAGTCTGGGCCTTTCTATTGTTTTTGAGCCTTTTTCTTTTTCTTTTTCTTCTTTTTATTATTACCATTTACTCCTTACGGAGTGTCCCGTTCGGCATTTAAGCGAGGCGTTTAGTATTTAGGTTTCTACGATAGTTTTTGCTCTCCGATCTTCGCCGATTAATAGATTCAACAGTCTGACCTTGAAAGTTTACCTGTATATAAAGTAGAAAACAAAGAATTGAAATTGACATAGATGGCTTTTTTATTCTTGTGTCCGTCTTTCAGGTTTCAGACTGGGGCACAGGATCAATTACCATGCTTGTGACGAGTGACAAAGACCGTGCCCTGCTCCCCACTGGAGAAGCTGGGGGAGCTCCAGTGGAGGCCAATGCGGGCTGCGAGGAGGCGGAGGATGTACCTTGTACGGTACTTGTGAAGCATGAGATGGATCGGATCAGGCGGCTCAGAAGAGCCTCAGGCATCTCAATATAGTTAATATAATACCTACTGTAGGCACGGTAGCTTTTTGGAGTAACCATAGAGATCCTTGTTAATTTGGAATCACGAATATGATTTGTACCAGGTGCTATGTGGGGCAGACCGCTTTTCTCCAGCTTTTTGACATCCCAACTAGCACTGACACTGGCACCTTAACCGTGGACCTGTTAAACTGGCATATCATAGGTTTTTCCTTTTTCGTACGGCGGGCTCCGTCCATACCTACCGTCTTTGTTCCACTTCTCCCACGATGAAAGAACGGGAAATAGGATAACCTTAAGTTGCCCATTTCGCTTAAACTCCACGGGGAGAGAGCGAGTCCCGACCGCATGGACGAGGCGCTCAAGCCCCACCCGGATCCTTGCGCTAAACGGTGGTTGGGCTGCTCAGGATTCAATGGGGCGGAGGTTCCCTACTTCATCCATTCACGCGCATACATGCCCTGATTCGGGGGCGCACATACAGGTAATCTATAGGTATGAAGTCACCGAACAAATTGACCTGGGGTTGAATAGGGCCTTGAACTGGGTGACCATGACTCGATACTGTACAATGGTTCTAAACTTTATAGTAATCCGTTTATGCCCCATACTCCATGGCCTATGACATTTTCTAAGACAATCGGGTAATTGTCATAATTTACCTTTCTCTCCCCTGACCCACTGACTCGTGGTTCGGCGACGTTTGAGACATCGGAAACAGGAGAGATTTGAGATATTTCCCCGGAGTATAGTATGGACGCGATATACGTGGACGCAGTCGATCTGGTAATGAACTTCAGTACCGGACCTTGTACGATAATACCACAAATTAGAAGGGAAAACATACTTGCAGATTCAACTTTGAGTAAAATACGAGCAACAAATACGACCCCAAGACCCAAGAATAGCATGGATCGCGTTGGGTTGGCGCAGGGATCGAATCCTGCGCCCTCAGCGAAAAAAGACCCCCCGGACGATTTCCGACCGTTCATTTGCTATTCCGTAGACCAGATGGATCCTCCGTGCGAAGAAAGTGGTTTTTCTTTTCTTTTTTCTTTCATTTTTTTTAATTTAATTTAATCCATTCCTTTTACGCTACGGCCCACTTTCTTGGTCCTTTCGTTCTTATTACTCAAAGCCCACGATCGACAAGCCCCCCGCAACCACTCTGTGCCCCGTTCTCGCACCTATATGCCATATCAGGCCAGCCTCTTCACCTGATCTCTTCTTCCCTCTTGAAATCCCTCTATAATCTTCCCAATTTCTCGCAGTATGCGTTTACGTCTACCATAAGTTCTTTAGCCATGGCGAATAGCACTGCCGCCGGCGATGGAATCACCGGCGGCTATACGGGCACCTCACTGGGTATGCAAATAACCATCGCAACCCTCGCTGGTGTTACCTGGTATAACGCATTCGAGCTGGTCACCCTGGTCTTTGTCACCTTTTCGCAGTACCACGGCCTATACTTCTGGAGTTTACTGATCTCGTCCTCTATCGGTCTGGTCCCTTATTCTCTAGGTTTCTTGCTGAAGTTCTTCAACTTGACCTCCGCCACTTGGTTTTCTGTTACCTTGCTCACTATTGGGTGGTGGTGTATGGTTACTGGACAGTCGTTCGTGCTATATTCGCGTCTTCATCTGGTTATATCCAATCAACGGATTCTACGGCGCGTCTTAGCAATGATTATGATCAACGCTGTCATTCTACACATCCCAACCACCGTCCTGACATTTGGCACTAACCTGGCCGAGCCCCGTGAAATTTACGTCCATGGATACAACATTATGGAAAAGATTCAAATGACCGGCTTCTGTATTCAAGAGTTTATCATATCGGGTCTCTACATCTGGGAAACTGTGCGCATGCTTCGACTCGACCCAGATCGGACCAAGCGCAAGATCCAGTGGCAGCTCATCATAATCAACACGATAATCATCATCCTTGATCTGGGCCTACTCGTCGCCGAATTCATGAACTACTACATCATGGAAACAATGCTCAAAGGCACAGTCTACAGTATCAAGCTTAAGCTCGAGTTCGCCGTCCTCGGTAAACTAGTCCACCTCGTCCACAACCATGTCTGGAAACCCGAATCCTTCTCAGGACCCCAAGACCTCCCCGACTTCGTCGATGCAACCCGTGTCACTTCGGACGTTACCCACGCCGTGCCAACTTCCGGCCACCGCGAACGCGCACCAACATGGATGGACGCCGACGACATCTCAATCGCCATGTTCGAACACTCACCACCAACCAACACATCCGATGCCTCCAGCGATACCCATGCCGTTCATCCGATAGATTTCACCAACCCATTCGTCAGATATGAGCGCCACTCCTCGAGGTTATCTGAGAAACCACACAAACCAGGATAAAGATGGTAGGAACCCGCTTGCGAGAACCTTTCATCATCTTCTACCTCTTATGATTCACGGCTTATGAGATATGTCCCTGCTATTGAGACATGTGATATTCACCCTCAACCTTATCACCTCTTCAACACAATCGTCGCTCGAAGTATGAATACAATGGAGATTTTCTTCATTCGTGCTACTTCTCTACCTTCGGATTTCGCGCCCGGCCCTCTGATTCCCGGATCATCCCCAATACTTCTACCTATATGGTACACAGAATATTACATATACGCTTACTGTGAACGAGGCATTGGAAGTGCGCATAGCACGGTTTAATCGCGGGGAATATAGATGTTATTTTGGGTCTGTTCTGTACATACAAGCACATGATACCTATCGATTCAGCTCCCGGGAGGGATCTTCGTTCTTTGTCCATTTTGGACCCACTCAATATACCAATTTGATTTTCTGTTCAAACGATTTCTTTCTGATATCTTCTAGACTAAGTATAAGTAGAAAAGAGAAGTAGTGCAGTACGCGGAACATATGTGTAGGAAGAAAAGTACCAAGTCACCCCTCTCATGGTTCCTGCATGTAAGACTCGTACTTAGAAGATCATGATGCATAAAAATTGAACAGCCGATCTCATGCCTATGCGGAAGAATGGCCTGTAAGGAAAGTAGCCACGAGTTATATCCGTGATCGACATCAATTCACGGCAAATCGTCGGGAGATAGGAGGGTGGTCGGGACATATCATAACCCTTGAACTGTCATCCACTCCACATTTTCCCCACGGGGATATACGACCCACATTTCTGCGAACTTCATTAAGAATGTCAACCACCTTCTCCGTTCTTCTTCAGGAAGGTCCCTAGCTCAAAGTTGAATATAAATGTTTCAAGTCCACTCCAATAATATCTAACTACGAGATTCTCTTCCTAAGTCCCTCGCCATGAAATCACATCTGGGATTAGCATCCCTCATTGGGGGAGTCCTGCTCTCCGCACCCGCGAGTGGTGATGTAGTAAGTGGCGCAAGCCCCGAACGCCCAACAACCCCATACAAACTGACAATTTCAAAGCACTTACGCACTCGCTCCAATACGCCAAAGTGTGTTAATCCGCCCGCAACATTATCTCTAAGTGATCCGCCCTACGAGAACTACTTCTACTCCGACTGCAACGTCGCTGCCCAAGCAGTGATTACTACTCCTCTACCAGACAGTAATCTGTCTAACATCAGCCCGCGACTGGTGGTAGCATGGCCAGCTGGTAACAGTGGTGTATGTGCATTTTTTGCACCTCAAGACGGACCAAATGGCACTCTCTCTATGGAACTACTAAACTCAACTATCGGTAAACCATTAGCGTCTGTTTACAATGCCTCATCTACCGGAACCCAGATCCCAAGTGTCGGAATCCAAGGTATACTAACATTTAACTCCTCTGCGATCCTCTCCTTGCCGATTCTAGGAAGTATCCGTACAATTCGTGATTTCGTCGAAGGAGCCAGTATCATATACCCTGAAATCCAGAGTGCCCTCGAATACACATCCAGCAGCGATGGCAGCGCATCAATTCACAGATTATGGCTAGACAATGTGACCACGACAAGTCTTTCGTTTCGTCCCTGGAACAGCTCAAGTGGCAAGGTGACAGTGACCAACCGTACATTAGCCTTCAAGACAGGCGAGTATCTGTTCTCAGCAGAAATGAACTATCCACAGCTTTCACCGTTGAAGCCAAATGCTGTTCTTAATGCGGCGTCTGCGAATTTGACTCAAACCATGCCTGATCAGACAACTGCACTTTCGTTCTTGTCATATTCGGAGAAATTACTTGCGGGTGCTTGGCGATTCTTGACTTACTTTGGGCGCGACTCTATGATTTCTGCGCTTCTTCTGGAGCCTGTTTTGAGTAATGGGAATGGTACAGCTATGGAGGCTGTTATTGGAGCTGTGTTGGAGCGTGTTAATCGCACAGATGGGAGTGTTTGTCATGAGGAGACTATCGGGTGAGTTGGAGATTTCGCCTCACGCTAGTATCGCCTCTTTGAATCTTATATTGACTTTTTACTGTCAGGGACTACGCGACTTGGACCAACTTACAGAGCAATATCACCAGTACTGCTATGGGTTGTGACTATAAGATGGTTAGTATTCTATCAACAGTCCCAATTGAACAAGTGAGCTAGTACTAACATGATTTTAGATCGACTCGGACTACTATCTACCCATCTTGATGCAGCGATATTTCTTAGATAATCCAATCGGAAGGACTCGTGTATCTCTATTCTTCAAGTGAGCTCCTCAATGACCCTTGATTTAACTCAAAATATTAACGAAAATCTCCAGCACAACGGCGGGCTCTATTAATCCAGCGAACCAGAATCTGACATGGGGTCAACTAGCCCTCATAAACGCAGAGCGCATCATGCATCTAGCAGAGCCCTTTACAAAGAATCAAACCCGAGAAAACCTCATTCACCTCAAAGAAGGACAAGTTGTCGGTCAATGGAGAGATAGCGAATACGGTAAATTTACTTCCCCTTTCTAACTATCAACCACAGACAGTTAACTAACAAATCCAGGCATCGGAGGAGGTCGCATCCCCTTCGACGTAAACACCGCACTCGTCCCCGCAGCTCTTCGCTCCATTTCCAAACTCGCCAAAAAAGGAATCTACAAAGAAAAATCCTGGAGCAAGCTCTCAGACCAATACGCCAAGATATGGGAAGACAAAACACTCCATTTCTTCGAAGTAAACGTGTCCCAGTCAAAGGCCCAAGAGCTCGTAAAGTCATACGCAAACATTTCCTCTTTCGCCGGACCAAACCATTCCTCCTCAATCGACAAAGACATAACATTCTACTCATTAGCTCTAGATGGATACAACAATCTATCCAAAGTTGAAGTAATGAATACAGACGACTGCTTCCGCCACTTCCTCCTAAACACAACAAACAATGCCCAATTATCAACATTCATCAATTCAACCGCTACTAATATCCGTCGCCAATTTCCAGCAGGTCTCATGACCGATGTGGGGATGTTGATATCGAATCCCGCTTTCGGGGACAATTCCGTTTACGCCCAGAACTGGACTACGGGTGCATACCATGGGACAGTTGTTTGGTCTTGGCAACTAGCTATGATGGCTAAGGGACTTGAGTTGCAGATGGGACGGTGTGAAGTTTCGACAAACTTTTCGATGAAGAAGAGTGGAAGGGAGATTAAGGCTGCTGTGCCGGATTTTTGCACGGACGATTCGATCTTTGAGAATGTTAAGGCTGCTTATAATGAGCTTTGGGATTCTATTGAGAAGAATAGTGAGCAGCTTTCGACGGAGATGTGGTCTTGGGTATATCGGAATGGGACGTATCAGGTTACGCAGTTGACGGATTTGCCTGCGCCTCCGGGTCTAAGTGGTCAGACTGGTATGTTAATTTATTCCTCCAGTCCGTTCTTGTTACTGACTTTTCACTCTACAGAATCGGATATTAGGCAGCTTTGGTCGCTTGCTTTCTTGGCTGTCTCGAGGAATGAAGATTATAGATAAGCTAGGTGGATCGGGGGAGTTTGATCTTCGTGGGCTTATTATTTGTTTGATTCTATGATTGAGCTCGGACATGAACATTCCAAGCAGAGAATTTGGGGCTTGGCTAGTTATACAAATCCATGCATATGAATGTATGGAAGTTGAATTTCTGTCTAGGAATCATACAGCAGATGACTACGATGGTATCCTAAATGAACTTAATTGGCTCTCCCCGCAAATTGGATAAGATGAGGACTATGCCAGTGACCCCATATCAGTTACGGGGTCAAGTTTCCGGACATGGAAAGCTAAAAATAAAACGAAATCATAACAGAAACCGAAAAAGTAGGATCACTGTGCTATGAATATGGCATATTTTAAATACACATCAGTTCACTCCTAGGTTAAGAGAAAGCGAGATAAAGACGGGGAACATATCACCCTAAAAAAGACACAAAAACTTAGAGATTAACTCCGAATAAAGCACGAAAGCCGTCGATGAAGTTTCACTAAAGCTCAAAATAGCGGTAGCCTTCGACCAAACCATCGCTCAATTTTGTAATAGCCGCCCAAGAAGGAGCATAATGCTTCAATTCATCGAGAGCAGGAATGAGTCCAGGGGTATTATTGTCGCTCCATATACAGGAAACACGCCCCTTGATTGAAGTAGATTCGCCAATGAAGGAAGTATCATCTTCTGGCTCAGCAAAGTCAACATCAACAGTCCATTTGTTCTGCCAGGAACGACTCCATAGGCGGATTTCTTTGATGCCATCACGGGAGTTCTTGATGAAGCGCTTGTCATGAGCGGAGCCACCGATGACGCTGAAGTTTGTGATACGGTGATCGTCCATGATGATGCGGCAGGATCGAGTATTCTGGCCTGAAATCTCGAAGCGCACCGAAGACTGGCCGATATTGTTAGGCTTGGAGGTGCTGAATGAGACCCAGTCGGCTGAAGGGTTGGATGAGATATCGGAAGTGCCATCATTAGGGACAACTTGAGGCTCGGGACCATTCCAAGAGCACTGTGCACGAGATAGAGCGTCGTTCCAAGTACAATGTGTTTGGCCGTTTGCACTGGGGAGGCTGCGGACCACGTCTTCCACAAATGGGGGCATACCGGTAAGGTATGCGGTTGAGTTCCCTTGATCGAGGTCGACTTGCTGTGAGAAATAAAGTTTCACGCGGTTGGCGTCTGAGAACGGGAATGCAACGAGGTTGTAGATGAGAGTACCAAATAATACAAGGAGTAAGAATATCGGAATGTGATAGGTGTAGCGATGTATATATGGCAGCATCGGCATGAACAGCACAGCTGTCAAGCTAGCGATGGAAATGTACACAAATAATTGCGGGTTGCCATCTTGACCTGTCTGATGCAGGGCGCTGGTCAACAAGAGTGAAATTGGAGCAATCAGCATAAGAATAACGGGAACTGTAGCAAGTAATTGTAGGACCCAGGTCCAGCGTGGCATCGAAGCGCTCCATGATTGTTCACGTCCATAGACATCAGGATCTTCTTCTTCGGTATCATCCCCTTCATCTGCATTATCACCAGATACATTGACATAATTGGCAAATGTAGTTCTTTGCTGACCATGCAGCAGCGAGGTAGATTCAGTAGGCATTTCTTCAGTGGCGTTCTCATCTTCGTGGTGGTCGTCTCTAGAGGAGGTACCAGGTCGGCTTCCAACCCCACTGAACCCGCTAGGTCGTCGAGATCCGGGGAAGGAGTATCCGAGATACTCTGATTTCGTAGGGAGAGAGAACAGCTCAAGGTAAGAGATCCACGTTGCCAGGAAAACCCCAGCAAAATAGAAGAACATAAAGTATCCCCCAGCCAGGCTATCTTCGTTCTCGTAAACTGTAGCCACAACCAGCATAGCCCAGGTCAGGACAAAAATCCAGGTCCAAGTGTATACACGGTGGAATGCGGATGGTCGAGCAAAGTCAGCAACACAAGACACGAACCAGGCCAAGAACACCCAGGCACTGATCATCATACTCCATACGGCATAAGTACTGCTATGCACAATGAAAGGATTGACCTTTGTCACCAGGTACGCTAGTCCAACCGTGACAGCTGTAGGGATAACAAGCAGAAATGGAAAGCGGAAGAATCCTCGTAAGCCTCGAAGAGAAACCTTCTCGTCGCCGATTTCCGCGCGCATAGACGAGCGGAAAAGGTACATCTTGTCAACCTTCGACAAAGCAATACTAGTCACCAACAGCGCCAAAGGCGCCACAATGAGAATAGTCACGGACAATGCGAAGAGCGTATGGAGTCGGAACACGGCAAAAGTGCTCCCAAAAAGATCAAACCAGACAGCTCGAGTACCCGTACCACTGGGCACAAGACCATCATCCCGAACATGACCATCAAATCGGTCAGTTGAGTCCGAAACGAGGTATTTAGTCGAGGCAACTGCGGCAGAGAGCATATGCCACAGCGCTCCCATGCTAGTATGCTGCACATCGTCCTGGTTGGTGTGGTATCTCGCCCTGGGCTCAAAAAAGGCAACATCGAGTCCGCGCAGACCCAACATACCGTCAAAAACGACATAATCCGTCTGACTCTTGATAAGACCCTTCTCAAATCCATTCGCACTCAACACCGACCCAAATGGATACTTCGATTTAGCATAAGCCTCCGTGACCTCCGTGTCCGAACTACGGAACAGAGTAGCACGACCACCCGCACCAGCACCTTCCAAATTAACGAACGTATGCGGAAACTTCGACATCGGATGCTGGCTATACGCGCGTGCACCGTTCAAATAGTCCTCCTCGCCATTATTAAACAACACAACTAGACCTCGTCGCGGCGCATTCTCAGGCCTCGTAAAGTATCGCACCAGCTGTAGACAAGTGACGACACCAACGCCATCATCCGTAGCACCGAATCCAGTAGACACGCTATCAAAATGCGCGTTCACCAACACCCCACCCTTGCCCACAGGTGACTTCCCGGGTGTCTCCCACCAGTTCTCCTGACTATCTTCCCAGCCACGAATATAGACAAGAATATTGTTTCCCTCAAAGTACACGCCGGTTGGTCCATCGATCGAGGTCAAGTTGGAGGTGAGGTCGTCGAAGACGAAAACGTCTGGTGTCTTCACCTCAGCTGTTGCGATGGAAGACTGGCTGATCGCGTTGACGCGCTCGAGCAACCATGAGCGAACTTCATCGTTTTGATGCGAATTGTAGGGGTGGAAGCCACTGGTCAAGGACTTGAGATCGGACCATGCCTCGGTCAGGTTCAGACCTTTGGGGCTTGTCGAGGGTGCGGGCGGGACATTTTCGTGAATGACGATGGCAGGGATTAGTAGGGCCAGGTACACCACGGTCACAATGATAGTGACTGGCCACGGCGTAAAAGCCAGTGGGTTATTGGCCTTGGGCAAAGGCATGGGGGAGACCGAGTGGCGTTGGGTGAAGTTGGAGCAAAGAACTTGAATGCGGGGAGCTCGGAGTTGCCGTTTATCTGAGCTTAGGTTGCACCATCGATCATCCGAGGAACCTGACTATGAATGCAACGCGTCTGCGGGGGACCTGCAAAGATTGCATTTTGTATTTCAATAAATTAGATAAATCAACACTATTGTTAATTAGACCCATTAATTAGTAATTTAACGTGATTCGCCTACATACCTTGGATATTGCCACCAACTTTTGGTTGCATGTAGCCCCACCAAAATACTAGAGAGCTAGTATAATGTACGGTCTGTACCCGAGCAGGTACTTACTATCTTTATAGCGAGAACCTTGAAAGACAGATGATCTGCACGATAAAATTTATACATACAATGCAGACATCTTCATGGATACCGTGAATACCAGTGACTTCCTAAACCTTGGAGACAAGGGAGTCCACAGTACGCCAGAGTAACCTTAATCTAGATTGTAGAAGCAAATCGCAGGTTCAGCAGCGAATGGTTGACACATACACCATACTTGGTACTACGTAAGAGACCTCGGGATTGTGCAGTCATTCCTGGAGATACGACACATACATCTAAACTATGTTTTATTTCCAGGCTACAGATCAAACCCCTCCATTGCACCTGTCGTGCTCCTACTTGATCGATCTGTGATCCTACATCTACAGCCACAGCTACAAAAATAATGCACCACAAGTTCAAAATCAAGGCATACCATGAAGGTCGTTGAGGGTTCGTGAATACTAGGTAATTCAAGACAGGTAAATGAAACACAGGTTGAGAATGTGAAGAGGCTCCCGTTTCGCTAACGAGAATATGCATTTCCAGGAAAAGAAACAGAAAAAGAAAAAAGATTAACACAGAATACCGAAGGGTAGAGGGTAATCTTCGCTCATATAGGTAGAAATATGATAGCTTGCGACTTCGACTTGATCCCGACTCCAAAGCTTGAATGTAACTGGGGAGTCATTTTCCAGAAGAAACAAGGAGAGAGACAGGGCGTAAAAAAAGAAGAGGGGAAAACAGGAAACAAAACAATGCCATCACAGTCAGAATCGTAAAGGGCCTCCTGTATAATAGATGAGAGAAACAGAAACAGAAATTGAAATTGAAAATGAAATAGAGGGTATCGTATCAATCATTGGAAAGTCTCGACATCGATGTAATCTTCGTCGTTGATGCCTGTGGCGTCCATCAGGCCGGTCATTCGTCCTGCATCTTCATCGTGTTCCTCGCCATCATCAAACATGGTAGCTTCAGTCCCATCTGGTATTATGGACATGTCTTGGTTCAGGTAGTCTCGCAGTCGGATTACACCTTCGCCGCTAAACACACAGAAAACGTCTCGCTGTTGTTGCGTAAACTCTTCTGGGGCTTCACGGCAGAATGCCGTGAGGGCTGTATTCAAGAAATCTGGGACGCCAGTCAAACTCAGATGGGTGAGTCGGGGGCAATTGTTGATCAGTGGTTGAATAGACTAAAAGAAAGGTGGAAGATTAGTACGGCAGTCTTCGCATAGGAGGATAGATAAACTCACCTGCATAGTCAATTGGGTACAATAACTGAGATGAACACGTTCAAGATTACTGATCGGTTGATGACTAGATCGGGGAGGAAGTGCAAATGCTCTAATGCTATCATCCGTGATGGCTTGGCATTTGACCAAACCAATACGTCGTAGCTTGGGTAGAGTAGCCAATTGCCGTACACTAATGTCGGTCAGGCGATTGCAACATGCCAGATCAATGTATCGAATTCGATTGCAAGCTTTTATTAGCTGCATAACCGCCGTGTCCGTGATATTCGAGCAGTGACCCAGGTGCACATAGTGAAGGTTCTTGCCCAGCTTACAAATCGCCTGTACAGATCGATCTGTGATGAAGCGGCATTTGGCTAAGACCAGATTGCGTAGACGAGGCGCGGCACCGATAATGCGCACTACAGCGTCATCCTTCACTCTCTCACATGCTGTCAAGTCAAGGATTCGAAGGCTGTCAAATGTAAGGTGCTCCGGCAAGTTCAAGAATGCCGAGTCGCCAATCTCGGTACAGTGTGCGAGACGAAGTTCCCGTAGGTGACGCAGTGTACTAAGAAGTGCTGTTATTGATGGGCTCGTAATGAGTTTGCAATCGTGCAGGTCAATCTCCAGAATCGCAGGACAATTCTCTGCGAAGGAAAGAATTGATCGATCTGTGATATTGGCAACGCTGTTGAGTTTTAATCTCTTGATTTGACGACAGCTCTGTGACACGACAAAGATAGCGTCATCGGTGATTTTAGTGCAAGAAGTAATGTTGAGACCTTGCAGGCGTGGGCAGTTTCTTGATACTGTGTAGAGGGTGTGATCAGTCAAATGACCCAAGCCCGATACATCCAAAGCCTGCAGATGCCGATTGCATTCCACGAGGTCTGAGACGCCCTTATCTGAGAGTTCGGAGCAATTGGTCAGAGTTAGTCGCTCGATCCGTTTGCATTGAGCGAAGGGGACCACCGTCCCGTCGCTGACATCATTAGTCAATGCGGATAGATTGAGTCGCTTTATGAGATCTGCATAAAGGAATAGACTATCTGGATTCCCCACGGACGCAGCGACACTCTTCAGATTGTTCCAATTATTGCAAGATGGCCGATGCCATAATATCCCGACGCAGTTGGCGGCCCATCTGCGGCTGACCAACATGCAGTTGAGCATGTCTGCGGGGGAAACCAGTTTTGAAAATATCGCGATCAAAATCTCGGGCGGGAGACGGCCCATCGGAGGCATGGAAACATTTCGGTTGTTCTGCATGTGTGAGTCGCGGAAATTCGCGACTCCGATCGAGGATTGTGAGTCGTTCGCCAGGGGCATGAAGAAGTCCGTGTCGTCATCTGCGGCGCGTTCTGGTGATGTTGAAGAGGATGTTTCGGAAGGGGCTTCGCTCGCTAATCGAGCCCCGGGTCGTTGACGAGCCATATGTGTTCGTTGATGAGAAGAAGATGTTGAAAAATGAGGGTTCAATATGGGGGGGAGGCTTGGTGGTCGTCGTCACAGGGCCAATGTCTCATTACTTGTAGAGAGGCTGCATGGGCGGTGTGTCGAAGACTCGAGAGATTTCAGGGAAGAACCTAGACCGCCCGTCCTTACCAGAAAGATGAATTAACCCCCGAAATCTTCCGCCGGTTATAGAAAGGAACTGATGGATGTGGAGGGGTTCTGCTTTCAAGCTTGATGGGGCGAGAAAGAAGGTGATGGGCGTAGCGTGGGATCCGCAGCGCTTAGTCGCACGGGAAAGGCAAAACTCGTAAGGGAGTGGCGTTTCGGATATCTTTAATACGAAAGGATGCAACCGTGCATGAGCCTGCACATGGGTCCCTCTCGAATTCCGACGAATGCGAGATCAGAGAAGGGGAGAGAACCTCAAGATGAGTATGAGGGGAGAGGGGAGGAGATGAGGCAATGGGGTTCAAGCGCGGAGTGGGTGCCGAGCCACTTCTTATCTGCGGTGATAAGATGAGGGCTGGGCCAAGTTCACCCAGGTTTAACCAGGGTGGAAAATCTACTGCAGATGAAAGAGGGGGGTGAAGATCAGACCTATGAAAGGACAAAAATAGATTCTAAGGTTCTTGTCTCATTTCAGGCGATCTCTTTGTAGGATGGCTTTGTTACCACCTGATATTATCTAACGATCAGCTGTGCATCCGTTTGATGTGATCTCGTGCAGCCCAGATGAGCCGAGATCTTCCATAATAAAACGGACTATGGGGAAGTGCTTCTATCGAGCTCTAAATCTACCCAACTAACTCGATTTACACTTCTATAAGCCCATATGGGCAAATAAGATCACTTTAACCCCTGACTCATATGTACAAAGAATCCAATAAACCTCTAATCGTCACTTCGCCCAGATCCCTTAGCCCATTCACGCAACACGTTCTTTCGAACCTTGCCGGTGCTAGTCTTGGGCAATTCGGCCACCACCTCCACTTCCCGGGGAATCATGAATTTACTAATATCACTCACGTTACGAGCCCAGTCAATAACGTCTTTGCCTTCTAGTTGTTTCCCAGGTTTCACGGTGATAAATGCCTTGGGCCGCTCACCCCAATGACTATCCGGAACGGAGACCACACCAGCCTCAAGGATATCGGGATGAGTAACGAGCATAGATTCCAGCGCCACTGACGAGATGTTTTCTCCACCTAAAAATTGATTAGTCCTGCTAAGCCCATATCCACGAAGCATGACTGAATGGTCAGACTTACCACTGATGATGATATCCTTGGCACGGTCGAGGATTTGAATTGCCCTATCAGGATGCCATACAGCCAGGTCCCCAGAGTGCAGAAAGCCCCCAGCAAACAATTTTCGAGTAGCTTCAGGATCTTTGTAGTATCCTCTAGCACAAATATTGCCCACGAACACCACCTCACCAATCTCCTGGCCATTCCGCTCAACATCAATGACCGTCCCTTCAGGTACGTCGGTCTTGATTACTCGAGCAGGAAGACTAGTGATAAACCCGTGGCCCTGTCGTGCCATCTTTTGATACTTCTCCTTCAAGGGAATTTGATCCCATTGAGGTAGATAGTAGCCTTTAGTAATCGGTCCATAGGTCTCTGTCATACCATAGGTGTGAACAGGGTGGAGATTCAGATTTGTCATTTGCTCAAAAAGATGAGGCGTTGGAGGACTAGCAGCAACCGTAACACGAACGGAATGCGATAGTTTCTCAGCTTCTTTCGCATTGCAAAGTAGAGTGTTGACGGTCGGCGCGGCATTGAAATGGGTGATCTTTTCATCCTTCAACAATCTCCAGATCTCCGGGTAGTCAATCTTGCGAAGACAGTAATGTGTTCCACGAACAGCAGTGACTGACCATGGGAATGTCCAACCTATGAAGAACTGTTAGTTGACTCTAAGCAGTCCATGCCAACTCAGAAGAAACCACTGACCCATTGCATGAAACATAGGTAATGTCCATAGATACTTAGCCCGTCCTTCATGGAAATTAAGACCCGACTCAGTCACATTTCCCAATGCCGCAAGATAGCAGCCCCGATGAGTATATTCCACACCCTTAGGACGTGCGGTTGTCCCACTAGTATATGCGAGGGCAATAATGGAATCTTCATCGGGCGCTTGAGCTTCTAGCCCCTCCCATCCATTTTGTGCGGTTTCCTTGTCATACTCCCACCCCTCCTGGATAGCAGCACCAAGATTTCCAGCCGGCGTCGAAGGTTCACTGTAGACATCGTCATCGACAAGGAATGGAATATTGGGGTTCTGCAATCGATATGTTTCAAGGAGAGGCTCGAATTCTTTGTCCACGATGATCATATCTACGTCGCCATGCTCGAAGATATAGGCTATATCATCCTTTTTGAGACGATAATTGACCGCTTTCAAATATCATCAGCTTTTGAAGTCTATTCAAAAAAGTATGTCGTAATCACTAACCAACATTGACAGCCCCAGCGGCCGCAATTGCAAAAATAGACGTTAAGAACGCGGGGGTATTAGGCGCAAGAATACCAATCCGCTGAAACCCATGCTTCTTGATATAGTACGCAAAACCACTGACATGTGCCGCCGTTTCTCTGTAAGTTCGTCTCAGAATCTTATTATCAGCCGTCAAATGGTAAATTGCCTCTGCCTAAGTTACATTTTTCCAATGTCAGCACTTTGAACCATACAACATTATGCCCCAAAAGCAAAGACAAAGCCAAAATATACAATAATATCTCAGTAAAAAATCAATAATTCCTTACATCAGGCTCGATATTAGCTGCCCTCGGCAGAAAGAACGTGGGCGAAAGCGTATGGCGGTTGAAATTGTGTTCGAATGGAGCCGAGCTGGATTGCGGAGTGATATGGGCGAGAAGACTCGAGAGTCGAGACTTGACGCCAGACATGATGTCGATCGTTGTTGAAAACCGGGAAATAGGGGTCTTTGGTGTACACAAGGGGGAAAATGCAGGAAAGGAATGCAGTCGATCAGAAGAGGAAAATGCAGTGGGCAAAGTCTTTTACCTTCGCAGTTAGAGAAATGCGGGGGAGCCCTGAAGAGCGCCTTTTAGTCATGTTAACCTAGGTTATGCAGGCGGATCACAGGCGGGACTTCAGGCGGGACTTCGGGAACTAGTGGATCTTCCACAATGGACCACACAATCAGATGGCACGAATTACGCTCTTAATTTAGGCCATTCACATGATGGGTAGGTCGTTCAGGTTTCGCAATGTTAAGTTCTAGATTGTCATAGGCGATCGAATTGAGGCATTCTACGGCTCTACGACGCCAGTTTGTGAGATGGACGTTGGATCAGTCAACAACACCAGTGAATGACTAGAGGGTGAGGAACTGGCAATTTTGGCAATATGATGCATTGGGCATATTAATGTAAGTGTGGAGTATCGCACACCAATATATCCAAGTCGAATATGGATTTTGTCGAGAGGAAACCCTCTCTAATTACTGTAATATAGTAATATACCCTAGAAGGCCTGGAGGCATCAATACGAGGAAGACCAGATAGTGATATAGTATAATGAACCTGCATCATCATAAGATCATGTTGAACTTTGAAATTTTGGATTAAACCGCCACGGAGCCAGCTATTTTGAACAACCCTTCGTCCCGCGACTCCGTTTTTTTCTGCTTTTTGAAAAATTCCGAAGGAACTCAGTCCCCCGAGTCTCCGACTCATGGTGCATCACAAGTAAATGTGGATATTCATGGGAAGGAAACAAGGAACCGAGTCCGTAAGAACAAGGTCGATCCGGCTTGCCGTTCAAATTCGCTGAAATAAAACCGTCCGCGATCCCAACCCTGACCCGTCACTCAAGACACAACAACCGGCCACACTTTGTTTGGTATCTAGTAGCCTAACTGAGCAAGCTGGGTCTTGGTCTTGCTGTCAACGTTCGCACCCTGCTCCGCCTTGGCGAGGCTGCGGCGAGCGGCCTTCTTGCGCTCGTAGTAAGCCTTGCTCTTAACCTTGCGACGCTCCTCGAGTCTATAAAGCAAAATAAGTTAGTTTTCATCGAAAAGATATGATGTGATTCGATATTATCCCGGTATTGGGGATTGCTGATACGCACCTGGAGACGACGTCCTGGTACTTCCAGCCGACCTCGTGGCTCAGACGGCCAACGGTGCAGAACTTGCGACCGGGGCGAAGACGGAGGATACGCAGAGCCTGGGGAACGACAACGCGCTTCTTCTTGTCGTAGGGAGGGGGGACTCCCTCGAAGACCTTAAGGCGCTCCATAGCGGCGGCACCACGGGCGGTCTTGTGGGGAATCATGCCGCGGATAGCCTTGTAGAGGATACGGGAAGGAGCACGGAAGTGGAAGGGACCACCGCGAGTGGGGTTGAAACGAGTCATCTTGCGGAGGTAGGCGTGGTACTTGACTGTAGGTCGAATTTCATGTCAGTGGGTGTTTCTGCAAATCCAAATTTCCAGTATGTCCGAGTCGTGAAAATTGTAGATTGATCCATTCCCTTCGCCTTTCCTCTCTCTCCCAGTAATCCTCCTCTTATAACCAATCTTATTCCCATGCTGGACATCATAACCGAACGAAAAAAGTGGAGGGTTGAAACGTACGCTTCGCGCGGAAGAACTCGCCGGAGATGTTGAGGGCCTCACATCTCACGACAACGATCTTCTGGCCGTTAAGCAGCTGCTTGGCAACAGTGCTGGCCAGGCGACCAAGGAGGTGTCCCTTGCCGTCGATGACGACCTGTTCAATACCATTCATGTCAGCGATTTGTTTTATAGATTCGAGATAGGTTGCGTTTGACGGTGTAGTCGGCGCGGGAAAGAAGTGTAGACAAGTGAAAACGCACCACAGATTCGAAGGTGGACATCCTGCTCTGCACCGTGTGTATGGGTTGGATGGTTGTCGGCGGTTGTTGTCGTTGGAGTCAAAGGCACGCACACAACGAAGTCGGATGGATCTCAGGCGAAGGGGCTAAGCGAGCCCCGTTCAGAGCCTACTGTGTGTGGACTAGCCGGGAGGGCGATAGCCCTAACGTGAACCAATGATATACGATTAGGTGATCTGCCAAGATCCACTTTCGATAACGTGGTGATGACTAATAAACCAGACTCTCCAGTTCGCCGCTCCAATGGGCTTCCACCTTTAGGGCAACGATTTAGGGCTGGTCGTACCAAAGTTCTAGAAAGCCTAGTGACCGTGGAAATGTGATCATGGTTCGGCTGGTTTATGCGGTGCTTTCGTGCCTGCAAACAGGTAGAAGTGGCAATGGTTTGCCATACACTGATCTCTTTCCGGTATATATTCTACTACTATAATGTCCAACACCAACCAACTCTCCATAAGGATCTAGAATATTACATTAAGAATATGAGGGTCTGCGAATTGATGCCCAAAATGTCGCTTCTCCACTCGTAGTAGCTATCATGGATGGCGAGCCGCACTTCATGGCCCACCGTCCAGCACCATCGCTATTTTGCACCACCTAACACCCATTAGTTATCATATACCGATTCAAGGACGGGAATATTTCGAATATATCTGATCTACCAGCATCATTCAATTCCTTCTCTCTTTCTCTCTTTCTCCCTTTCTCCCTTTCTCCTTTTTCTTTTTTCTTTTTTCTTCATTATACTAGTAGAAGCAATGTTGTCTGATTTACTGTAGTACAGCTATGGCCGGCTATCATCAGGACTCATCCCGATGTATTACTATAATAGAATACCTCTATCTATATAGGAAACAGCCTTTCTTCGAAATTCCAAAAAATGGAATTACAATATTATCCCCTAGTTACACATGGTGTTGATATTTTTCCTAGAACCGATAGTAGCAACAGCGAGATGCCCGTGCCAAGTACCCCCATGGCTCAACTTAATGCAAGCCCAGTTATATTTGTCCTTGTGCACCTGATTCCAAGCACCATCCAGAGCCGCAGCCACAGTCTTGGTTTCTGCCGTGGTGTCGCAGTTCTTCCCAGTAGTAGTGACCCAGTATTTGAAGTTATACTTTTGCTGCCCGTTGTTGGATTCTCCGCTTGCTTTAATAGGAGCGCAAGAATTCTTAGCATTATCTTTCCGAACCAAACCAAGCACTGTAGCAATGGCTGGCACAGAGCTTGACGCTGCCAATATAACATCTCGACTTGCGTCAAGACCCCCTTTGGAGACACTCCAATCGATTTTCCGCAGTTCTACATGGGTGCTATTGGTCGAATTCACTGAGGTCGTCTTGCTCATTCTAGCCGGAATAGCGATTGCGTCAACAAGGACAGTGCCGTAGCTGATAAATGAAAGTAGGTGTCCAATGTAAGAAAGCCGCATGATGCTGCTGTCAAAAGTATCCAATTGATGGCAAGAATGATTGAAGCAAGGGGTGTATCGAAAGCGAAAGTTTGAGATACACTAGAAACAATGCACAATTTTTATTTGATGGATATAGTATAGACCTGGATTTCTTTATCACATACCTTAGCGCTGGCGACTTTCTAATGTTTTTGGTAAATCAAGCCACAGCATAGGGGTGAAGACAACAGACTCGGAGTTGAGACCAGACAAGAGTATTTACAGTTTCTTTATTCTGGAAGTAAGCTTCTTCACTACATGGCAAGACTTGTTTTCAATGCAACATGGATCTTCGCCCAAGGATATGCTCAGATGCCAAGAGAAGAAGTTGGAAGTAGCAATTAAAAATCGCATACCCACGCATATCCATCTAGACAAGGCAGCTTTCCGATCAAATTACTTCTGGCAGTAACAACAGAACAATTCATCGAGGGTCCAAAGACGATGTCGCCATATCTCAAGCCCCACAGTTTGGCCCCATGGAGCTCAAATGAAATTTGTGCTTACCAGACATGTCTAGGACATTAATCTATGAGAGTTGCGCTAATGCACGGGCCAATTGAACGGCTGAATCCTACTAAGGCCTCCAAAATCCCTCCATTCTATCTTACCTCTGGTGGTTGGAAAGCATCTTTTTGAAATTGATTGGCCAGACTGCAAGGCTCCAGGGGGCCGGCTTTATAATACTATTCAAGTAGTTTAACGTAGTCTTTAACTTATTGCGACCCGCCCAATTGATGATCTGCGCTAAAGTCTTGGCAGTGGGACCGGAAATTATAGCGGTTGAGCGTGTCAGTTAAGTCGATATCGGGGATGATTGTATCGGGCCATATATTGACAAAAACCAAGGTGAGGTAGTAAGAGCTCAACTGAAAAGAACGCAGAATCGGCCTAATGCGTGAGCCAGAGGCCTGGATCACAAAATCAACACTAAAGGATAATAGAAGCCCATTATTATTCTATCATTTATGGATATCTTCAATGTTCTTCAAATGAACTCGAAGCACTTAGACTGGGTCCGATGACTAAGCTTTAATATCCACCACATGTGCACATCAATCAAATCTAAACTGTGTTTTTTTGTTTACCTTAGCTCATGCATTCACTTGTGCGCGCCCTATGAATTTCGGTTCCAGTGTAGCCCATTCGCTCGCAATCCAAGCGCCACCACCGGATACCATAAACCGCAGTGCATAGCTGCGATTGAAATAATTGATCAAAATCTTGGAAGCGCCTTTGAAAGAAAGAAAAAAACAGGCCAGTCTAGCTGTCTCATTCTCAAGCATCTGAGCAATGTTGCGCAAAACACGTTTCGTCTGTGTCTCCGATACCCATGGCTATACGCCAATGGAAGCAGGGTTCAAGATTCCGGCAGGAGACGTATTGATACACGCGGGGGACTTGACTAACAAGGGAAGCTTGACCGAGCTGCGTCGAACGATGGATTGGATATCAAACACCGACTTTGAAATTAAAATTATCGTGGCTGGTCAGTTTATCTCTCGTGGTTATTTTTATTCATAAAAACACGATGCCCAATGGCTCTGTGCTCAGCATCCATTAATATTTGTTTGGATTCTTGTGGATATCTGCATGCCACGACAAGAACTTGCGTGATTTAAGCGATATAATATTGCTGCTTGTTATTTCTTTCGTTCTTCCTAATCAGTTTCAACAGGGAACCACGACGTTTCCTTAGATCCCGAGTTTTATGCGAAACACGGGCAGGAATTTCACAGCTCACACCTCGAGGATCCGGTGAAATGTCTCGAAATCGTCACAAACGCAGCGCCTTCAGTCATCTATCTCCGACATCAGGCCGCAGTGATCAACCTGACTCACGAAAATGGTCCAAATACCACTTTTAAACTATTTGGGTCTCCATACTCACAATTTGATGGAAACTGGGCATTCGGATATGATAATGACAAGGATACAAGCGCCCTTTGGGACCAGATCCCTATAGATAGTGATATTATAGTGACGCATACGCCGCCATATTCTCACTGTGACCAAAAGCCAACGGGTAGAAATCACGGCTGCGATGCGCTTCGCCAGACCCTGAGCCGCATCAGGCCACTGTTAGCTCTTTGCGGCCACGTGCATGAAGGTCGAGGTTACGAACGGGTTTGTTGGCAATCGCGAACACTTGATGTCGCAGATGCAGATATTGATAACAACGACATCACTCGTGGGGTTTTGCCGCCGCCGGGCAGCAAGAAACAAGCCCTGATTGACTTAACAGGTAAACGAGAGAAAAGATTGGATAACACTGGTTACTCTGCCTTGTCGCGGCCTTCCACGTTGAATCCTGAGACCAAGACGTCGATGACACCGTCTCTCTCGCTCAGATCAGCTGCGAAGGAGACATTGAATCAGGCTCCGAGCTTGAGCGCAGCTAGCCATGAACATGAACATGAACATGGGTATAGTACTAGGACTAGTACTAGTGGTAGGGCGGACAGCCCTGCATTGCAAATGCAAACGCTCAGAAGGGAGACTTGCATCGTCAATTCCGCCATCTTGGCGACAAGCTGGCCTCACCAGGGAGGTAAGCGATTCAATACACCTATCGTGATTGATCTAGAGCTCCCAGTACGACAAGACGACCACGCGTCCACATCACGATTCAAGTGATTTGCATCCCATCTGACCATCTCATCTCGTTCCGCCTTGTTTCGTCTCATAATGCTCCCTGCCATGCTTTTCTTCTCGAAAATACATACCCATACATGTAACTACTCGTCCTAGTTGGATACGGGGTCTTTATCCCGACATCCTCCACTATCGGTGCACGGCAATGAAAAAATGCATGGCCCATGCATGGTGGCTTGCTTTGATCCAATATCCTTTCCCACCATCGTGCATGATCCCCAGTGTAGCTTTGGCCGCATCGACAGCTGGTTGGGCGCTTTGATGCATGAGCCCATGAGATTCGCCGGATAGTCACTCATTGTGCATCCACCACCTGCAGCCGCACAACGCTTACATCACCTTGAGTGACAGAGCGTTTGGGAAAGGTCCATGCTGGACCCGCAGGACTGGCTAATGGACCCGGATGATGCGACCGGGCTCTGATGATCCTTTCAAGCTCGCTTCACCAAAGTCGATACTATGTTATGATGGAATAAAGCAAAAAGCCCAGTCTAGCTTCAAAGCTAAAAGCATACATCAAACAAAATAAAGCATGGAGTAAAATGAAGCAACCAGTGAAGCCAAATTTCCTAACTAGCCAACCAGCTTGGTTCTCAAACAAACACTGAGGCACTTCTCCACTTTTAAGTAAGTACTTCGGATGCAAAGCAACAAACATCATCCATCCCCGCATGCCAATAGAGTACAATCTCAGCGAACATCTGACACATCGCTCCACAGAAAATAAAATAAAATAACGCACCAAGAAATGAGATCAGGATCCCCACAATCCAGGATCTCAGTCATCTGCAACAGCTCCCTGTTGAAAGTTAATATTGGTTCCAGAACCCGAATCACATCTGCAAGCGCTTCCTCGCACGACGTGAGTGGAGCGAAGAAGGAATAAGAAGAGCCATGAACCAACCCTCGGGCCGCCCACCATCTTTTTTGACACACCGGATGTGACCATTCGAGGCCGATCATTAGGGATCTTCTTCAGGGAGTTTGTCGTTTCCCACCTGGCCGTTTGACTAGACTAGTCTACTGACTTTAGGCACTGGTCTTGCCTTACGTAGAGAGCTGTCCAGGTAAATGTTGGGAGGTTCCCAACTTGATTTTTAGGGTGTATGAACCAATCAATATTCATTCCGAAGCACCATTACATACACTAAATCGATATTGATCCTCCTGACTGATATTGGGATAATGTAGAATTGATTATTGGGTCTCGATAATTAATGCGTGTTACTAGTGTGTAGATCGTGCTACCTAGGAGTGGATTCCAAGGCTGAATGGTAGAGCTAAAGTCTGGAAACGACGAGGCCGAGGCTATAATCCCATTTATCGAGGTTGTCATACGCACATACTGAATTCGTAAATCGTGGAAATAAAATAAAATCGAATAGATTCAGCTTTTGAATTCAATCTACTATTACTATTATATCACCATTACCTAGGTAAAAATGGAGATATGTGTCAAATGCCAAATGCCAGGGATACTAGAAAAGACACAAACATACCTCTCCCTCTATGATTCCATGATCATCGCGTGTCCTATCATATTTCTTCCCAAAATTCTATGAAACAAGGAGCTAAATATCTATGACGCAGGAGAACTGCATCCGATCCGATCCCCGCTTCCTCTGCAGAACATCGTTAGAAGCCGAAGCCGCGAAACGCGAAACCCCCTTCCTCCTCCATTCCTTACCCCGCCTAGTACCTGGGCACTAGATACATCCAACACCAGTGATCCCCGCCACATAGTAGTATAGCTGTCACAGGTATGCGCAGACAGCACAATAAAACCAATAGAAGAATAAATTAAATCCTATCAACCAATATTACCAGTATTCAAAATAATAGTAATAGTAAGTGGAAGATGGGTACACACAATCTACCCAAACAAGAAAAAGCTCGTTCTGGGCTCTGGATGGCTAATATCCACCACTGGGCAGTGGGCACAATACGACCATATTCCTGGACAGCCGCCTTGTACGTCCAATAGCGAATTCACCGACCCTAGCCACATGAGGGATTAAGGTTGGAACCCAGTGTCTCGGCAGCGGGCCTCTCGTGGAACCAGAGCGAGGCGGTTAACTGGGACCGGAGGATTACGAGGAGGCCAGGGTGAAGCGGTTCAGATGGAAAAGCTGGAGTAGATTGGGATTGGGATTGGGATTGGTGAATGCAGTTCCTATCACATTTAGTCAAATGACAAGGACTGGGGCGGGCGAAAGGGATATTGTTGAATGACTAGACTAGGTGCTAACTTGGTGTTGTGTTCAAGTTGTGTTTGTGGTTCACTGTCTAGAAGAATATTGAAGAGCCTCGGGTGTTCTGGTTTGATCTATCTGGATCTAGATAGATTGGTTAAGCAGAATGGATGGATGAAATGGACTCGAAGCAATTAATTGATTGGTAATTGGTACATCATTAGTTATTTGTCATTTTTGATTTATTAACTACGGCGTCTCCGTACTATGAATCATAATCACAATTACAATCATAGGCTCGGTTTTTATGAAGTCCAGTCTAGTCATGTCTAGTCATGATATCGCTAAGCTAGCCTTGCCTGCTGATATGGACGGGATGGAATTAACTGTGATGGTGACCCCGCGGGCTAAATCGGGTCCGATGACAGCGCTGAATTAGTGTCGGGGTGGGGAGATCGTTGCTCTCCCTGAACTAGGATAGACCGATGGCAGATGATTTAATTTTCTTTCAAATCTAGTGCTTTGTGTTCTGTGTTCTGTTCTGTGTAGTGTCGGGGTTAGCGGAGAGACCCATCGCCGGTCTTCCGATGTGATCTCTGAGTTGAGTTAGGAGTGCGATGCTGAGTATGGCTGTGTATCCTAGATACGTACGTGTACATGTCCAAGCCGCGGCTAGGTAGACATGAAAGGAATCCTTTCCGCGAACGTGGCTAGTAAGAGTTAAATCTTAGCGTTAATAGTTAGGTATGGATATGATGAAGTATGACTCTGACTATGATTTAATTGAGAATTTAATCGATGATGAATTGTTTTTCTATATTTGGGTCCATGTCAGGGCTGGACCAAAACATTATCCATGTATACCTACTCCATAGTGAGTGGACTTGGACTGTGTACAAGTAACTCCGTACTCCACAGACAAGACCTAATGGGGTATCCACGCGGAAATCCAGGTACGCAGGCTCCGGGCTGAGCAGCTGTGAGAGCGGGAAAGGGCACGCCTGGAGACCCCAATAGGATGATCCTGGAAGATAAATTCTATTTCGATGGATTATAGTCATGAATCAGATGTAAGTACATCAGCTACTTATCTACGGCCGTACGGGGTAAGTGTCTCGGTGTATAGTACATGTACGGAGAAATCTAGAGATGCGAAATCAATACGCATTACGGTTACAAACAACCTTCAGGTGTCATTGGGGCGGGTGTTATGGGGGGGTGGCCAGGACAAGTGTTGGGGGCTATTGGAAGATGGAAAAGGGCCAATAGACCAATAGATCAAGAGCAATAATGTACAGGGTACATCTGTACAGGGCTTCTAGTCAAAGCCAAAGAGATAAAGCAGCAAATCATGGTAAGAAAGCGCAAGAGCGCAATAGCGTAGAGCGAATGAATGGGGAGAACAAGGGGGCGAAAAGCACTGGTCATGATCATACCTGTTGGGGTCTCGATGATTGATGGCCCCACTGAGGGAGTAGGAGTTGCGCTGTTTGCGCAGCTCTATACCTTCTTGGTTCTTAGTGCAGGAAAGCGCAGACACAGCCAGACTGCACAGTCTGCACTGGTCAAGAGTGACCAAGAATGACCAAGAATGCACAGTGAAAAAGCTGTTTGGTTTAGAAAGAAAGTGAGGCATTATCATTGGCTGGGTCTGGCAACGAATCGGATATCGCGCACAGGCCAAAAAAACAACATGTAGACCATATGTCATCATGCGGATTTGGGGGTGTTGTATTTGTATTTATTGAGTATTATTATTTATTCTATATTATCTGCTTTCTTTTATTCAATACTTTTTTTCAATGATAATTCAGTTGAAAGAGATTCTGGTTGCAAAGAAGAGTCATAATACTTAAGATGAAGATATCTCCGTTGGGCATCGGAGTGAGGCGGGGGGGAACACACATAGAGTGATTGGCAAAGGTACCTGAACAGTAAATTGAACTCTCTCCACGCCACGATTTTCCTACCATTTTCCACTTTTTTTTATTCCACTTTTTTGGGATTTTTGGATTTGATTTAGGCATTTGGCATTTGGCATTTTGGCATTTTTAGAATTTAGAATTTTCCCGAAGTGGCGGAGTACAATGTTCCCCTAGCCCATTTTCGCCCCCCTGAGAGAAAAAGAGAGAGAGAGAGAGAAGTCCAATGTTACGGATCACTTGATTACCGATTTCCCCGTTTTTGGATTACGCATTACAAAACATCAGACTGCCCCCAGCTTATGATTAATGGTGACTCGTTACTCGGTTTTATCGGCAGTCAAGTATTACTGAACTCGTCTCAGATGTCGTACCTCGCTTTTTTGATTTGCCCGACCTTATGAAACTACCCCGAAATCACCCAGAATTGAAGATTCTTATTTAAGATTGAAATTCCCGTTCCCACTCTGGAATCCTCTTGATCGCCCCAGTACATTCTGGATCAGACAAGTGTGGATTCTTGATCAACGTCAACGTCAGGTTGGCCGCATACCTCCACCGCCTCTTTCCCTTTCCCCTCCTTCCTCCGAACAGTACTATTACTACCTGTAAACCCCATTTCCCTTCCTCCTCATCCCAATTGCCTGGGGTTATCGCTATTGATGATCATTCCCCTTCCATCTTTTACATCATGTCTTCTTCCCCACCTGAGGCAGACCCGTACCTCGAACTCGGTCTCTCCCGAAATGCCACCCTGGCCGAGATCCGAGCCTCCCATCGCAAACGAGTCCTCAAATGTCACCCAGATAAGATCACCGATGAGGCCATTAGAAGGGTCGCCCTGGACGAATTTCAACGGGTCCAATATGCCTACGAAATTCTCTCTGATGAGACTCGCCGGGAGCGTTACGATCAGAGAGTCAGACTCGCCGCCATCGCCCAAGAGAAACGAGACCTATTAAAGAAAAAACAGGCCGAGGTCTCAGCACGTGGATCTGGCGCTTCTTCGCGCGAGTTCCGTGATGGCCACATCGTGGAGGAGCGAGTCCCCTTCGATTCTAATTACTTTGAAGAGACCCGGATCTACGAAGAACCCCGAGTCTACGAGGAGCCCCGATCTTCCTCTCGCAAGGCCGATGCATATGTTAAACGACCCAAGGCGAAGGAAGAGAAGAAAAAAGCGTCCAACCCAACTATGAGTAGTGAACGTGCTGCCAAGGAATCCCGCGATAGCACCAAGGCTTCCCATTCGGAACGACAACGACGCCGCGACAAGGAACGACGAGGACAACAGTCAGAGAAGTACGAGACATTTAGTCCATTTGTGGTATCCGATCATAGCTCCTCCGACTCAAGCGACTCTGAAATTCACTATCGAAAGACCACCCGACACGCTCGGGAATCTCGACCCCGTCCTACAGAGTCTTCTCGCCGGCGAGAACCCGAGTACTACGAAGAGGAAGAGATCCACGACCGTCCGCGCTACGAAGCAAACCTCAATCGAGCCGAGGAGCATATCGAACGTTCCAAGGAACACATTGAACGCTCCAAGTATGAGAACTATCGAACTCGGGCGTCCCCACATCGAAGCCGTGGTTACGACTCGCCCGAACCAGAAACTCGTCGTTCGGGACGGTCCTCCCGCGCGAACCACAACCGCTCGTCTTCTCGTCACGATTCTTTTGAAGACCTAGAGCCTCGCTATGAGCGTCCCAAGATGCCCACCTCAACTACTATGCCAGGTTCCAAGTCAACTCTTCGCCCCTCACTTTTCGGTGGATCTCGCTCCAGCTCAGCATTTGTGCGTCCCAAGCGAGGCGAATCTTCCAGCCGTGGGGACGTTCTTAGCAAGATGGCCGCCGAGCCTATTCCCTCACGTTCATCCAAGTCACGCGAGAAGTATGACTCTGGCTACTCTTCTCCCAGCACCCCAGAAGTCAACCTCAAGACCAGCTCGCCTAAGGTCACGGCTCGTTACGTAGTCGAAACCCCAGCTGCCAGTGCTGCCAGCCCCAGGACTAGACAACACCGCACCATGTCGACTGATGAGCGCCCACGAGAGCATACTCGTATGACTCCCAAACGATCAAGCACTTACCAGCCATCTTCTACTAAGGAGCAACAATCTCCCAATATCAAGATCCGCTCTGTGCGACCCAATCGAACCTACGACAATGTGGAATTCGCCCCCTACATTCGTGACGAAGACATCAAATACACCGAGATCCGACCTGGTGAACCCACCATGTCTCAAGGCCGAACTTACTATTACACTGATCACATTCGCCCCCGCCGCACTGCAGCGGGTACCGCGTAATGCGATCCCTTTACGACAGCTTCACGACCATGCAACACTTTTTCTTCAGCATCTTTTATTCACTATCGATTTATCTGCGTCTTTGTCACTTCAGCATCAAGCAAATCATCCAACATACCATATTATCACTGCCCTTCTTGTCCATACCTGACACGAGCTGTGCTCGAGTTTTCTTTACCGTGGAATCTTCAGGCTTCTAGCCATGATCATTTCCGTTATGCGGTTTATTTACCAGTCCCCGCACACTCTGAGCATTCAAATGGTTTCGGTAGCATCCGTTCGTGTGATGCCCCACGGCCGGGGCTTGTTTTCTATGTCGGCGCATGGGGGAAGAGCTATTCGGTGTTATCTTATCATTCACGTCTTTCCATGCCATCTAACATATCATACACATCTACGAGGCGCAAATTTGCTCATTGATGACCTTTATTTCCTTTGTTGCTTTTTTTGTTGATTTAGACCTGCTTCTTTTTCTTCGGGATTTATCTACCCCCTCCCGGGCTCCACATCACCTAGATACCCGTGGACCGTAGGGGAATCCTAACTTATGAATTTATGTCAACTCTCTTGGTACGATCATGATTAAGCTTTCTTTGGCTTATATTTTATTGGATTTAAAGTCTAGATTGTTCTGTAGTATTTACAATCCTTGTCTGTTTTATAAAATGGAAATAAAAACAAAAATAGAGAATCTTATTGGCGTATGCCGTATTTTGGATTTAGACAGTTTCACAGATATATGTATAAGAAACTTTGGAATGTTAAAATTTTCAATGTAACCTTATTCGCAATATACCAACTATCTATGTATGTGCAAACTAAGTAGCTATACAGTACTAAGTTTTCAAGAATGAATAACATTAAATAAAAGTAACCGCAATGGGTATCTTGATCAACCTCAGGCTTGCTCTCACCCGGTACACAGTCCCAATCACATCCTACTCACAAAGTCCATATAATATATGCAAAGAAATACTCTACATCATTTCCAAAGGGTTCATCCAGCAATAAGAATGAAAAAAAATCAATCGCACTGTCTCAAAGTAAGACATAAAATACACACATCTGTATATGTATGTTAGATAGATTGAATATGAAGGTAAAGGGAACCCAAAAAACTCACGATTGAAAGTCCCGAAATCATGGAGAACCAAAAGAACACATTCTAGATAGAAAAATAATCGTCAGAACTCAAGAATACTTATTAATCTTGTAAATATAAACAACTCACGTTTAGGGTCGTTCGTCCCCTGAAGAAACGAGACTTCTGTACTGCAACGATGGGCAATTGCAGCATCATCGCCATGAACCCATACCCGCGAAGCTTCTTTGTGATGCAGCCCATCACAAGTTCGTGGAAGACAGCGCTGACAATGAACGTGATGAACATGGCAATTGGTTTTGAGAAGTTCGAGCGAGCAGGGAAGTAGACGTGGCGGAAGAGGAAGTGGTGGACGGGGACATTCCATTCACGAGAGAATTCCATCCTAGACACATCACATTATCAATATAGGTTTATATATGAGGCATAAGTTTGTAAAGGAGGTGGATGTTTGTATAGAAGATATGGATAGGGACATAGGAATTTAGTGTTTTATAAGAAACGTACCAATCACATGAGTTCCACCAGTCAGAGTAAAAGTGGCGATCGGCAAATCGAGTCAACTCCGCGAAAGCACCAAGCACATACTCGAAAATAACGAGGAAAACAAGCAAGAAAGTAAGCATGAACGGAAACAAGAGCATACTAATCGTCTCAGACAAGACGAGTGCCTTATCCGCAATGTTAGGGAAAGCCTGAAGCTGCACATTTGCATCACTGAGTACCGGAACAATGAACTCTTCACTTGTCAGTGTGAGAAGGAAGATGCAACCGAACACAGCGAGAGTCTTGTAGAAGATCTCGGACCAGCGGCGCTCTCGTCGGCGAGGGTATTCAAGCTCATAGCAAAGGGTTGGACAGCAGAGGAAGTCTGCGTAGTTCGCTATGTGGAGGTTTTGAGGGTATGAGATATTGCCCAGTGGGGATGTGAGTTCTGTAGCTAGGTGCTCGCGAAGACGGGTGAGAGAGTCTATATCTGATGTATCGAGTTCCTCGTGCGAGAGGTGTTTCATCGAGGGACGGCGACGACGGTGTGGTTCCGGGTAGGGTTCGGGTTCCGGGGCGTTAGGAGAGATTTCTCCTTCTTTGTCGAGGTCTGCGAGGCGACGTTCGGTGGTTTGGAGGTGACCGTTGTAGAAGGCGTAAGAGTGGAGTTTCATGAGGATTGTGAGGACGTGAAGAGTGAAGAAGACCTGGGCGGTCCAGGTCCAGATACGCATAAATGGCCAGCTGTAAGTAGGTTCTTTCGTTAGCGATGTTGCTTTATATGGTATAGAGCTGAGAATTTATACTAGAGGGTAAAATGACTTACTTGATCCAAACTGCTAGCCAGATAGCTTCGCCAATACTCTGGATGATCATTCCTCCACGAGACCATTGGATCCAGCGTGGACCGCTGCGGTACAATTTCTGCAAAGGGAGAACAAGACCCGAGCTAAGTACCATAGCTAGATCACTTGCTCCCAGCTCCCATACGTTGGCACTTAGCAAGCTCCACACCTGCACGCGCAGCGGGTATCCGGTATCCTTGATATTGCGCAGCACAGTAGTAACCACCATGATTACAAGAGAGATCCAGAAAAGAATAAAAAATCCCCGAAAGTTATGATAGTCGCTATCTGGATCGAAGTGAGATACCCGCGGGACATAGTCGATGGTATAAAACAGGCGATTCCGAGCTCGCACCTGCTTACGGGCGGTTGAGATAGAATGCGCTGAGGGAGGAGCATCTTCAGGGACAGGCGTAGAGCGACCACTACCAATTCAGGCAAGAAATTAGCCAATGCGTCAAAATATACAAATTGATAGATATATGCAATTCATTTCATTTCACTTACCTTGTATCTGCGGGCAGCAGAGAAGCCGGCGGGGTGAGGCTCACATCGGACTTCTCAGGGAGGGGAACGGCACGCGGCCGCAGGGTGGAAGAGCCGTTCTGAGAAACGGCGCTGGACATCCTGTAGGCTCGCAATTGCGGTGATGCGTGTGTAAGTAATTCAGTCTCACATAGACCGTGTGGGGGTGAGAGTTTAAAGCGGGAATTGTTTGTTGTATTTTTTGTTTTATAAAAGTGGATGGAGATGGGGAAGTGCCGACGTGGAATATTCGGGGGCCAAGACTAACTACGTCAACGGTCAGCCTTACAACTCTTTTATGACCCGCGCGACGGGGCCAAGTTTTAGCACGAACCGTTTATAATATGATTCATTGTCGAGGGGATTGTGAGCAGGGTTTATCGTCTGCAAGTTTCTCCCGGTGTTTCCCGGGGGGGGAGGGGGGGGGGTTTACAAGGTAGGTAGTATTGAATGTTCAGGTGTAGGAATCTAAGCAAGTCTCCGGGCTCCGAGTTCCGTTTCTTGGGACGTTATACATCCATGGAACGGAAGGGAAGGTATGAGTTGTTCTTTTATAATGGTCAGGGCCAAACCATTTTTCTTGGAATTTACAGCTGGAAACTTCATTAGAGGTTGGAGGTAGTCTATGCCAGTGGCCATCTTGTAATGTAGAATTTTTTAGTTGGACTTGGACGTGAAGATTCCAGATCTTATGGCTTGATGCTAGATCGAGATACAGATATCGGGGAATTCAAGTATGGATCACTTTTCGATCACTTGGCCCATCCTTCCGTGATGAACCGGTTCCTGTCGGTGCAAATCAAGGGCCTGGAGAACACAGAGCCTGAAACCCGAGACCCTCGACTCTGTAAAGCTTAGACGTGTTCTTTGTGCTGTTTCTCTATAAAGTTTAGTCTCAAACTGACATGTAACCATAGGGGATATTGTGCTACAATGAGTCAGAAAACCCAACACCCCGCTGTTCCGCAACGTGTTTTGATGTCCTCGTGGATGCTAAATAACTATAGAATGAGGTCATTGACAGATGGCCTAATTGATGTTATGGCCTCAGGCATCAAGAGTTCACGTGTCATTTGATGGTGAACACAGGTCAGTGGGGGTCACATGACCAAGATCATTTGATAACTAAATGTGTATGCCTCAGGCCACTACTCCATGATGAGCTAATCCAAGACTTTCCAATCTGAGCTTAGCGCACCCTTAGCTGCCAAGAAGCCAGGTCGACAACCCAAAAGACCCCCAAAATCACTAAGCCCAGACCAGTTCACGAAGACAGGTCATACAGCTTCACTAATTATCCTGATCCTCCTGGGGCTGCTTCCCTCACCTTATTCCGATCTATTCATTGCTTTTCCTTCTTTCCCCTGAACCCCGATCGGGGGTTGTTTTACATCATGGCTTCTCGTGAGTTTATTATTGCCCGCCGCCCCTCCTCCCCTGAAGATGCGACTAACCCACCACCCCCGGAACAGTCAAGCAGTTTATTCGCAATGTCCGATCCGCAAAGACTATTGCCGACGAGCGAGCCGTGATCCAGAAGGAAAGTGCTGCCATTCGTGCATCATTCAGAGAAGAAAGTCATGATTCAAATATCCGGTTAGCTACACCGCAACCTCCTTCCCCAATCACCGCACATCGTTGTCTAATATCCCATTAGGAGGAACAATGTGGCCAAATTACTTTACCTCTTTACACTGGGTGAGCGGACTCACTTTGGTCAGATCGAATGTCTGAAGTTACTCGCTTCCCACCGGTTCGCCGATAAGCGTTTGGGTTACCTGGGTACGATGCTGTTACTGGATGAGAATCAAGAAGTTTTGACACTTGTCACCAATTCATTGAAGAAGTATGTAAAGGATAGATCTATTATTATGCGGCTTCAATGCTAACCTCGCGCAGTGATCTCAATCACTCAAACCAGTATATCGTCGGTCTTGCGCTCTGCGCCCTTGGAAACATCGCCTCCATCGAAATGTCTCGTGACCTCTTCCCCGAAGTCGAAAACCTTATGTCCACTGCCAACCCTTATATTCGCCGAAAAGCCGCCATCTGTGCCATGCGGATATGTCGCAAGGTCCCTGACTTGCACGAGCACTTCCTCGAGAAGGCCAAGACGTTACTTGGAGACCGAAACCATGGTGTCCTGCTGTGTGGCTTGACATTCGCAACGGATCTCTGTGAGGCAGAGGAGGAGGAAGAGGAAGGCCCGGAAGGTGTGATTGAGATGTTCCGACCTCTCGCCGGTGGACTCGTTCGTGCTCTAAAGGGCCTGACTACATCGGGATATGCCCCGGAGCACGATGTGTCAGGAATCACAGATCCGTTCCTTCAGGTGAAGATTCTTCGATTCTTACGAGTATTGGCGCGTGGTGATGCTGCCACCAGTGAAATGATCAACGATATCTTGGCCCAGGTGGCTACCAACACCGATTCCTCCAAGAACGTGGGTAATGCTATCCTGTACGAGGCTGTACTCACCATCTTGGATATCGAAGCCGATTCTGGCCTGAGAGTTCTGGGTGTTAACATTCTGGGTAAATTCTTGTCTAACAAGGATAACAATATCCGCTATGTTGCATTGAATACATTGAACAAGGTTGTAGCGATCGAGCCCAATGCAGTACAGAGACATCGCAACACTATCTTGGAATGCTTGCGGGATCCTGATATCAGCATTCGCCGGCGAGCGCTTGATCTCAGTTTCATGCTGATTAATGAAGACAACGTGCGAGTGCTTATTCGTGAATTGCTCGCTTTCCTGGAAGTTGCGGACAACGAATTCAAGCCTAGTATGACAACACAGATCGGCATCGCCGCTGATCGATTCGCTCCAAACAAGCGCTGGCACATGGATACCATCCTTCGTGTTCTCAAGCTGGCTGGGAACTACGTCAAGGAACAGATTCTGTCGTCGTTTGTCCGTCTTATTGCTACTACTCCAGAGTTGCAGACCTATGCCGTTCAAAAACTTTATTCGTCTTTGAAGGAGGACATCTCACAAGAGGGTCTTACTTTGGCAGCAACTTGGTCTATTGGTGAATACGCCGATAGTCTGCTCCAGGGTGGTCAATTTGAGGAGGAAGAACTAGTCAAAGAAGTCCGCGAGAGCGACATCGTCGACCTGTTCACCAACATTCTTAACAGTACTTACGCCACTCAAACCGTCATCGAGTATATCACTACTGCCATTATGAAATTGACAGTGCGCATGTCCGACCCTGCCCAGATCGAACGCCTGCGTCTCTTCCTCACCAGCCGCACATCCGATTTAAGCGTCGAAATCCAGCAACGTGCAGTTGAATATACCAACCTTTTCGGCTATGATCAAATTCGCCGAGGTGTACTCGAGAGAATGCCTCCACCTGAAATCCGTGAGGAGCAGCGCGTGTTTGGCGCCCCTGCGAAGAAGCGCCAGAGCAAAGTTCTCCGCAGCAAACCCACCAAGGTCTCCAAGCCCGCCGAGCATGACCTGCTTCTTGATCTGGTCGGTGGCTCCGACGAACCTGTGACCAGCCCGTCATCAGCTGGAGGAAACACCGCCGATCTGCTGGCAGATATCCTTGGCGGCGACTCAGGCATGTCATCTCCAGCTCCCACCCAGAACCCCATGGGCAGCAACAATGGTCTCATGGACATGTTCTCCTCAAACGGTGGTTCTCCTGCCCCTCAATCCGGTCAACAGCCTTCCTCGGCCTCATTGGACCTTCTAGGCGGCGGAATGGGAGCATCGGCACCCTCACCATCTATATCGCCTGCGCCTGTCTCCGCCTCGACCCCAGCCCACACAGCCTTGAACAAGAACGGTCTCGTGCTCACCCTCCAAGTTCAACGAAGCGGAAACAACGCTCAGATCCTGGCTCGGTTCCGAAACGATTCCAACTTCGAGCGCTTCACCAATGTCGGTCTGCAAGCTGCTGTACCCAAGAGCCAGCGTCTGCAACTAAGCGGTATCAGCAAAGCAGAAATCGAGTCTGGCGAAGAAGCCACCCAAACACTACGAATTGCAGCAGTCACCGGGGTAAGTTTTTGACTCAATCCCACCTCCTATAACACCCACTAACCTACTCATAGTCTCTGCCACCTAAACTCCGTCTCCGTCTGCGTGTCACATCTGCCCAAGATACAGCAGCCCCAGTCACCGATCAAGTAGACTGGTCCGAACCCTGAGCCTATAAAACGAATTCTCTTTCTGTTTGCATTTGATTCTATGGGCTTTTGAAATTTCTAAAAAGTCGGCGGATGAAATATTTAATTTTTTCTTGAGCGCCCCCGAATCCCAACAACCCAGTTCTATACACCTACCTATCTACCTATCTACCTACCTACCTACTTTACCTAGTTTCCCTTCATGCACCATGCCCCTTTTAGAGATTTTTGATTCTTGCTTTGTTTTATCTATTGATGACATTCTTGTACATGCTAGTAGATGATTCGCGCATAGCAAGTGTTACGGTGCAATCTATGTGGTTTTGTTTAAATGGGAGGCCCTGATCAGTTAGTTAAGTTCATACGATGCTCCAATTAAGAAGTTTAGAAGGTTTATTATGATGTAAATAGATAGACTACAGTGTATACTTGAATTTAGATTTGGATAGATGAATCTTATTCTCAGTATAGCTGATAGCTGAAAATGAATGAGCGGCAGATGATCAGTATAAAGAATCCCAATGCAATGCTCCAAAGGGTCTAGAAGTTAAGCAAGCAAGAACAATCATGGAAAGAAAAATCCCTGAAATAAAAAGTAAAGCAAAGCAAAGTGATCTGATGAATCGCAATGCATGACGCCGCCAAACAAGCATGAAGCAAATAAAATAAAGCATGTATATCCCAGAATTCAGTACTCCGGCAACAAATTGAATGCAGAATCATCCACGGCAGCGCTCGGAATCCAAATGATTACAATACATCTGCACCTAATGCAGTGTAACGATAGACAAAGCCGGGTGCCGAGGAAGATTTGATTGGACTGGACGGACAGACTAGACTAGCTAGACTGAATAGATAGCCCAATACCCAGATGAAACCAAGTTGTAATAGTATATCAATCATCAAGGAATCTAGATATGCTCAATTGGGTCTTCGGGGAGAAGAGCCTCGCTTTCTCTAGGTTCGCGGGGGAGGCAGGCTTTCAAGGGTGGCTGAATGATATCGTTGAATATGAATGTTCCGTAGACAAGGAGACCGAAGCCAGCTACCTGGAGCCATTTGAATGATTCCCAGCCTAGACCTAGAGAAACGAGCCAAATGAATAGTGTTCGGCAGGTATCGATTGTGCTTCGGGAAGTCGCAGATACGGTGCGGGTGACAGAGAGACCGAAGAAGTTAAAGCCACTGACGGATACAATGTTAGTAGATTGAACGACGCTGGATAGAAAGTATCGTGAAGTTGGAGTTGAAGTAAACATACCCAATACTGATCATAATCAGGAAACTTGACAGAGTCACGGTAGGAACAGAGATAACCTGACGCCACCCCTCAGCCATATCGAAGTATCCATATCTTCCCGCCTCCGTACTCCCGAAAACAATGTACGAGATGACCATCCCGATCAAAGTAACCGAGAAACCAAAAATACCCTCCCACCCAACAAACTCCATCGGATCCATAGCATAATGCTCCAAAATCCACTCTTCCAGCACAAACTGCGTCGCCGTAAAGATCTGCGCAGAAGCAATCAACAGAACCCCAACAATAGTCTGAACCGGATCAACAGAACCAGCAGCAGTATCCTGCGCAAGATCTTCATCCTTATTTCCACTGAATAAAACACCTGAAAGACCAACGAGCGCAACACCCAGAACAACAACGAATAAAGCACTCCACTGGTACAGGAAGAGCTTGCGGTGGAGGAAAAGAACACTGAAGAGGCCTACGAATAGCACGAGCGCACCACGGGTCATCTGGTAGATACTTGCTGCGACGAAGAGGAGGCCGATGTTCATTAGTGTTGTGCCTGCGATGTCGCAGGAAGATGGGAGGGCGAGGAGGAAGATTCTCCATCCGCGGAGGAGAATTCGATCTTCGCCTGGTTTGTTTGCGTCGTATTCGGGGTCGTGGCCGTCTAGTGTGTTCTCGTCGTCTTCTAGGCCTCCGTCTTCGCCGCGGATGGGGCGGTAGCCGCCTGATAAGAGGGGTGATGGGTCATGAGAAAGACGGGGAGCAACGAAGCGTTTGTAGAGGATTGATAAACCGAGGACTAGCCAGCAGCCCATTTCACCGATGAACATTTGGGCTCTGGATGTAACAAATATGTCATTAGCGCTCGGTCTGCTGCCATTTTATGGGAAATAAAGAGGGGAATGCATTTTGCATGTCGTGAAGGTGCATTTGTCGATTTAAGAATAAGATAACTCACGTCTGAATAACCGGCTGCTCAAAAAGCTTATGCTCCTTTGGATCCGGAGAGTCGCAGTTTCGAACACATTGCATGTCCTGTAGAAGATGTTGTTAGCTGCTGCCGTGAAGTGGCCAGGGCCAACTTGACTCGACATGAGGCACAACATACCTGGTATTTGTTGAGGATTGTATTGCAGACCCCGGTCACGAGCATCATCGTGACCAGGAATGGGATTAAAGCGCGATTCGCCATGTTGCCCGTTGAAGCTGAGGAGAGCAAACGATGAGGAGAAAGAGTTTCAACTCGGGGTTGAACAAAGCGGAGGTGCATCCTTATCTGCTGATAAGGATCAGCTGATAAGCTGACGTGATGGGAGTGGGTGGGGGACAAGGCGGGATTGGCCGCGTGATGATCGACTGGATATCGGGAATGTACCGGGATCTACAGTGCATTGCTGCGGTATTTACTTCGTACAGGGTACATTAGTACGACTACTTGAAGAAATAGGAGAAAAGCAGATTCAGATATTAACAACCAGGATTTATTCATTTCTCATGATACCTAGGTATTTGCTGAAAGAGTCACTGAAGAGTAAGAAGCACACATAATTTTCCGGCGTATCAATCCCATCTTTTGTCCTCTGAACGCCATCCGCTGAGCTTGATGGAGAATCACAGAAAATGAGTGCCTAGCCTTATAAGGCTCAAGCAGAAGGGGTAATAAAAACAGTAGGGAAGAAGAAAATGGCTCGAAGAAAATAATGAAAGATGGAGAGAGAAGAAAGAAAGAAATTGAGAAGAAAAAAAAACAGGACTCCTGTGTCGGGTATGGTACACACGCTTCGCCCCAAAATGAAAATAGATAGAGACATAAATCCGTATGTACGCCGGTAGCAACCACCAAAGTAAAAAGAGGTGAAAAAGAGAAGAGAAGAAAAGGAAAGAGATAAAGAAAGTAGAAGATCGAAGAAGAAAAGATAAGTCGTAAGATGGGTCGGTCAAATTCCGGATTATACTGCCTCACAGAGCAGCGATGGCAATGCCGCCATTCTCCAAGTTCATTTCCTTTTGTTGTTGCTCGAGGTTCGACCAATCAATTCGCATAGCATCTCCTCCGTTGGAGTCCAACATAGACGAGATGAGCGGGTCAGAAGGATCGGCAGGGATTCGCATCCAGTCTGCAGCCTCCTTCGTGGACTCAGCATCCCATGGCATCCAATCATACCAAGGAAGATCCTTGGGGCCTGCCTTAGGGTCGTCATCCGTGGGAGTCAAAGTTGCCAGAGCGATGTCACGAGAGTCAGGAGTGTTATCCGCCGCCTGCTCTTGCCACATCTCTGTATTCATGAACTCATCGAAAGCGTCGTAACCATGACTGAATCCTAGCCCGTTACATCCTGCAAAGATAGGCTCGAATGTGTCATGGATCTTCTCGAGATTCATTGGAACATCTGCCCAAGGGTCCTTGCCTTCAAGTTCATCCAGAGTGCGCTTTCCAGGTTGTTTGCCGGGAGAGAGTTTCATGTTCTTATTGGTGTTTTGATGAGGGGAAATATGCTGAGCAGACATAGCAGGAGACGCCGCCTTGACATCTAATTGACTAGCAACGCGTGCCATTGGCGTGTTACCGGAGGTGACAGGTGTGGGGATGCCCTGCTTGGCAGGGGAGGCCATTGCGCTCAATTTGGTGCTGATATTGGTAGCAGTAGCAGGATCAATTGGTTGCTTGGGTTGTTGGCCATCAGTAGTCAATCCCAGGCCAATGGAAACACCATCAAGATAGTATTGCATAGGGTTGTCAATGATTTCTTCCTCTTCGGGTTGATGGCTCTCTTCCACATGCTTATCCAAGGCAACCTGTGTCGGGAATCCTTGGAAATGGTGTTGACACTCAACGACGCTGCACTTGAAAGCACCAGCCAAGGCTGCGCCTGCAATTTTGGCATCCGCCATAGCTCTTTGGTAACCTGCTGTAGGTACCGGAGGGCCGCTAGATTGTATGGGGGAGTCGAGAACTGTTCCAGCTTGGGATTGCTTTCGTTTCTTGGGTGGAGGGAGTTTCAGCTTTTCGGCAACAAGGCCGCCTGGGCCGTACGCGTGTGGAACACCCTGTGGAGAAGGTGCTCCAAATGGCGCGGGCGCAGCATTAGCTCCAGATTGAGTAGACGAGCGTCGAGCGTTTTGGAGAGCATCTTCTTGTTTTTGCAAGGCACTAAGATTCGACGAGTTCAATGCATTGGGATTCGCAGGGCTTTGCTGGCCAGCAGAAGCCGGTGGAACTTGTGGAGCTTGATTGGGATTAGGTCGCTGTTTACTCATGCTCATAATCATTAGCTGGAAAAACTTCCGAATGAACATAATGGTGCCCTGTAGCCATTCTGGTTGGATGGTGAAATTTTCATTGAGAACCCACTCTGGGGTGTCTTTGAACTGTCGCATCAATTGAAAACGCATAGCAAGAAGATGTCTGATGTGCTTCTCGTGGCCAGGTGAATTAGCAAAGCCGCGTACGACTACCGCATCCATCCTGCTTATCACATCCAAATTCTCCATAATTTGCTGAGACATCAAAGCTTTCTGCTCAGCAGTCAATTGGATGGGCTTAATAGGAGGAGCATTACGGGAAATCTCGTTCGCAACTTCCATAATATGAGGAGGAAGATTCTTGTTCCAGTTCTCTTCTGCAGTAGCCCGATTGATAGACACAGCACGCATAGCTTGTTGTTGCCTCCGTACTTGGGCCTCAAACTGCGATCGCTGCTGTGGTGTCATTGAAGCAAGTTGCTCCTGAGATAGTTGAGGCATTTGTCGAGGGGGAGGAGCACCTGCTGCCGGAGTAGCTGCCGGCTGAGGCTGTTGGGGAGTAGCTGACGCGCGAGTGTCTTCATTATTTTCAACTTTGACTTTACTGTTCTTTGCACCCTGTTTGGCAGAAGACTTCGCATTCTTCGTGGGCCCTCCAGTCGATGCCTTCGTATTCGATGCCTGTGTTTCGGTGGTTACTGGTGGCGGTTGGGCAGCTGGCTGTTTCGGCTGAGCTGCGGGTGGAGGAGGAGGAAAAGCAGCAGGTTGTGGCATTGCGTGGGCCATTTGACCACCTTGCTGCATACCAGGCCCAGCGTTCATTTGTCGTTGGCGCATATTCTGCATAAAGATCTGCTTCTGGCGGTTTTGCAAGATCTCGCGAATTTGATCATCGGTGAAATTATTAGAATTCGTACCGAGTTTCACTCTAGCCATTTGCACATCTGAATTGGTGATCGGTCGAACTGGAGGAATCATATCGCCTTGACCCTGCATCTGCCCATTGACAAAGTTCGGGTTATTCGACATCTGGCCTTGAGGTGCTTGCATAGACTGTGACATCATGCCTTGGCCCTGGCTATTTGGATCGCCCCCGCCCCCAGTGCGAGCAGCGATAATATGTCCAAAATGAAGCCTTTGTAGTACCATCAGCTTTGCGGGGTCAACGCCTATTGAAGCTTGAGGATTCGCAGCAACCCACTGCTTTAGTTGACCCCAGGTCTTGATTTGCTTGGGCACTTGTGCAGGGTTGTTGTTCTGGTTGTTGAGTAGAGACGGTGGGAAAGCAGCTCGATCCATTTCCTTGGCCTGCTCAGGAGTCATCTCCACCCCGTTATTTTGTGCGCGTAGAAGCTGCGATTTGTAGAGCTCTTGCTGACGTTGTTGCTGCTGCTGAGCACGTTGCTGCGGCGTCAAGCCCTGGCTTGGCATCTGCTGTGGCTGATTGGATCCTGTCTGGTTCATACCCTGTGGCATATTCATCCCATTTCTCATTGCAGAATTGTTAGCCATTTGGCCATTGAACATGGCCTGACCCTGTCCAGGACGCGAACCCCCCTGCTGCATAGCGCCAGGCTGTTGCTGGCCATTTCGGGCCATGTTGCTCGCCATCGCAGCACGACGTTGATTCATGAAGAAGGCTTGTAGCTGCTCGTTGGTCATCTGTGCAAGTTGTTCTTGAACTGCTTGTGGAAGGCCCGGTGGGATCGCGGGTCGACCCTGCATATTAGATTGGCCCTGTAAACCAGTAGCATGTTGACCCATGTTTGGTGGGCGCGATGGAGGACGAGGTTGACCACCAGGTACTTGAACGGGGGACATCTGGCTAGGAGCCATAGGTTGGTTTAACATTGGCATGACAGGACTAGACTGCGTCATATGCCCTTGTGACTGGGCGTTTGCTTGCCCGCCATGACCTGATAAAGCAATCTGCGCCTTCTGTGCTGCAGCAGCTTGAGCACGTGCCTGAGCCTGAGCCTGAGCTTGAATCTGGGCCTGCGATTGCTGAGCTTGGAATTGCATCCTGTCTTGAGCTCCATTTGAGCCGTTCTGGAATTGTTGCTGGCTAAAGAGCTGAGGGTTCATGCCACCGTTGTTCATACCTTGGCCGTTCTGGCCCATCTGCTGCGGGAACATGCTTTGTTGTTGGTTGGGGAAGGGTGGCTGGTTCATCTGTGATGAGCTCGCAGGGACCACTAGCTGACCTGCTTCCTGCGACCGCAGACCGTCTGCCTGTTGGCCCTGAATATTTTCCACGTTGCCTATAAAAGCATTCGGCTCCAACCCTTGGCCGGGGCTCCCCGAGAAACCGGAGTTACGCTGGAGATTCATCATGTTCTGAAAGAGTTGACGTTGATTCATCATACTAGGATCTCCCATCATGGCGCCGTTGGGGTCCATGCCGGGATTATTTCCTCGACCCATACTATCCATACGCGCCCGTCGGTGACGCCGCAGTTGATTCAAAGCCTGTGAGCGAAAGAAATATGTCATAGGATCCATGTTCTTGCGAGCCAAATATTGGCGTTGTTCGGGACTCATATTCGAAAGGTTCAGCTTGATCTTCTCCATATCCTCTGGAGAGGTCTTGGCTAGCATTTGGCTGGCGAGTCGAGAAACATGATCGGTTTCTTGTGGCGACAGATTGTTTAGATCGTCAGGAATGGTCCCCCCGTTCCCAGGGCGTTGCTGTGCTCGTTGTTGTTGCTGTTGTTGAAGAAGGGCAGATTGTTGTTGCTGGCGCTGTTGCATCGCGACTTGTTGATTTGGATCATTCATTCCCATCGCCATCTGTTGTTGACCTGGCATCAGGGACGACTGCATGCCTCGATTCATCTGTTGAGGGAAACCACCCTGCATCTGATTTTGCATCATGCCCCCTTGGGGGTTAAAATTCAGGGCGACCGCAGCTTGTCTTTGTCGGGTATCTTTGATGTGGTTCAGTTTTTCGTTACAGTCGCGGTCGTAATCACTCTACGAGACAAGAATCTCAGATTAGTATGGGTTTTTGAAATAAGGTATTTAAAGAAGGTTAAGGAAAGGAAAGAAAACGCCGATCGGACGAAAACGAACTCTTTCGTTTGCCTTCATAAAGGCTTTCTGCTCGAAACTCAAGGCAGCGTTGGCGGCGTTTTGGATATCAATACGAGGTTGGATTAGGCGGAGTGAGGTAATCCTAGGCAACCAAACCGTCAGCAAGGTCTCAAATTGGATCGGGGAGGGAAGGATGCGCCCGCGCGCCAGAGGGGCGAATTTATACGCACATTTGCCAAACATTCACGGCACGAACTTTTAAGAGAACGTCGGCTTTCCATCCACTGAATGGACCTTGACTTTGTAACGCCTGGGCGACATGGCTCATGATAATATTCTGATTCTCTTTATTGGGCGGCTGCATGCCGGGCTTGACACCGGGCATCCCCCCGCCGCCTGGGGCATTCGGAAACTGAGGGTTGGGATTCATGTCGAGAGCCCCATCAATGGGGGTCTGAGAATAATCCACAGGCGTGTGTGACGACCAGCATTCGCTATTGTAGAGTCACGAGGTGCTGTCGTGTCAGGGAAGAAGGAAGGGGAGAGGAAAGAGAAAGAGAGCCTGCTGATGTTTCCAAAAGGTTGTTTCGAACCGAAAAAGGCGAATGCAGGGACGGGGTGGGTAAGGTGTGGAAAAGGTGACCCAGGTCGCAGATCGGCCGAAGAGGAAGAATGGGAGAATGGAAACGTCAAAAAAATAAAACGCAATCAAATCGAAATCAAATCGAAATAAATAAAATAAAATAAAATAAAAAGGAAAAGACAACGGTGGTTTGGGGTGGAACCGGCGCCGAGTCGATCAGGGAGGGTGGGGATGAATTCAAAATGGTCCAAACGGAGGAAAATCAGTGGAGGAGAGCAACGAGAGACCAGCACGGCTGGACAAGCAAGGCGTTCGGGCACCAGCGTCGATTGGACCCAATTCGCTGACAAAAGCCTGGGCGTGGCTTGCAGCGAATGAGAATAGTGGGCGCAATCGTAGGGTTATTGGGATCCGTGACAGGGATGCTGCAGCTGGGCAAGTTGCACCACGGCAAGAGAGAGAGCAAGGACGGAATGAATTCGGGGAGATGAAGGAGAAAGAAGGGAAGGGAATAAGAATAAAACAAAGATCAGTAGAAAGGTGATGAGTGATATTCGGATGAATAAAAAATAACCTTAGAAGATGCAGATGGTGAATGAGACGAAGCCCAAGTTATAGATTCAATCCGAGGTTGGGGGGGGGGGGATGTTTCGCGCACAGGACGCTTTTAGAGAAGGGGGGTGGAGAAGCGATGGAGCAAGTGAGTTTGGGGACGGGAAAGTTGTATGTATGAGCACTGGTAATGGGATCCGACCAAAATAACTTCAAAAGTTGAAGACTCTCATTCTCCAAATGCGGGTGTTAATTGAAAACAACAAAGAATAGAATTAATTGTTGTAAACCTCAAGTTTGAAGTTATTGAAGGGAGCCAATGCATTGCCTGGTCACAAGGCACACACTGTCTGTCTCTGTCTGGTTCGAAGATCTCGTGACTCTTGGTCAGCAAGACAATATTGCCAGTTGACTATACAGAGTTTGACCAGTTGGGGTAGTAGTAAACCCTTGGATTCACGCTTTACTTTAATTACTAGTAATTGAATTTGAAAACTGGTGTCTTTTTGGCCCTCAAATGAAGTTCCCAACACAGCGTCGTCATAACTGTGGATCTCGTTTCACAGCCCCGAGAATGTAGGTACTGTACATGTATATATAGAAGAGTAGTAATAGTAGAGGGGGTGAACACAAAATGTATATCTATTATGCAGACGTGGTCATTCTAATCTAAACTTATAATTCCAAAAAGATAAATACACAGAGAGCAGATTATAGATCTATACAAATCCGGGCTAAATGAATCTGGCTTAATGCGGATTTGACGGATTGACGGGATCGGCTTGGTCAATCTCCCCTTAAGCTCAAGTGCTGACTCATCCACTCTCTTCAGTACTGTGACTGGTAGAATATACATACCCGTACTCCACTATCCGCTGCCAGCCTCATACGCTGCAAAGTACCTGAACCCCAAAAAAAGTACGGCACATACGTAAGTGCCTAGTGCGTATCGGGTACAGCGTACACCGCCCGCATACAAAGCCCATCCCCTAACCCATAATTCCCCATGCGAATCTAGATCTTCCCACTCCATACATCACCACTAGATTCTCTCCCGTCCCTCAAATCCAACATTGCCCCCCTCACCTCTCTCGAACCCTTATATTTGATCGCGCAATGACAATCTTATCTTCTCGTCTGATTGATCCTGGTTTTTAAATCATGTTCTCGGTCTCCGTACCGCCCGTCTCCGTGGGCTCCAACGTCTTCTTCGTCTTCGCCCTCATCTTAATTTCCGTCATCGTTCTCTTCCTCTTACGCCGCTTTCTGACCCTTCGAGCCACACCCGCCTACCTCTTGGTTCCTATATTCTTGGCCCTCGCCCTCCCAGCCAGTGTAGTGCTACTCGTGCCAATCGATTTAGCGTCCAGCTCGCGCGATGACGGCACCGGTCCCAAAGCCATCTGGTTACCCGATCGGGTGGTGCTGGTCTGCTGGCGTATTGCCTATTGGCTCATTTTCATGCTAACTTGGTACAAGATTTCTCTCCGTCCTGAATCAACCGACTATTGAAGACATAACTAACAACTAATTAGGGCCATCCTTCCCTTACTCGGCGAGTACGTCGACTCCGGATACCGGGAACCCAAGGCTCGCCTGATCTACTCTTTCCGCCAAAACGCCCGCTACCAGTTGATTGTTTTGACCTGTGCCGTGGTGGGGCTAGTCTATGTCATAATATCCAACGGTTTCCATTTCAGTTCCATCAAGGGTCTAGCGATGGCGCTAGCGTATGCGTGGGGTTTAGTCTTGGCCATTTACCTGATGGGACATGGTCTCGTGTCCATTCCCCGCAATCTATTCCGCAACGGTAACGTGAGCAGTCGATTGCGACGGGTTCAAGCCCAGGCACCCAAGGTACACGATCGCTTAATGGACGCTGTCAATGAACTCGAAAGTCTCAATGCACAAGTCGCCCAGCTCCAACAGCGAAAGACCGGGACTGCCCGCGATTTTCAAGAATGGATCGAGGATCTCTCCGAGGGTTCTGGCTCTGCTGATGTCCGAGTCCCAATCTTGGAGACACCAGAAGCCGCCAGTGCAGTTCCATCCGTCATTACAGAGCGTTATCTGGCTGATCTGACGAGGCGGTTACAACGCGCCCGGCATATGAAGGCCCGATTCGTGGATGAATGGGATCGCCTTGTTCAACTCGCCGGGGATCTTCAAGCCATCATCAATTCGAGTGCTTCCAAGAAACTTGAGTTTGCCCAGGCGCCTCGTCGGTCTCGCGTCAAGGTTTTAACACCCTATCTGCGTTACCAACTGCACTCGAACATTATTCCATCGGTCCGAATGGCCTTTGGAGCTTTCTTCTCTGTCGCTTCCGTCTGTATTGTCTGGTCTGAGTTGATCAAGTCGGTGGCGCCCCAGTTCTCTGCCGTGAGCTTAACTATAGTTCCTAATTGGAAAGATCCCAAGCCCCTCGGATTCGGCAAGCAGGTCATAACGTCTGCTTGGCTGTTGTACATGTGTTCTGCGGCCCTTGTTGGTGTCAATGACGTCAAGGTCTGGGGCAATCGAGCTCTTGTGCGCCGTAATACATACGGCGAGAGTGCATGCTGGTACGCCAGTCTAGTTGCCCGCCTGACAGTACCAATCGCGTACAACTTTTTGACCTTCCTGCCGAAAGATTTCCGTGGAACCACCACCTTTGATCAATTCCTGGGTCGTCTCATCAACCTGACATACATTGGTACGGGTTTCGATTTCATCTTCCCAATTTTCATCCTGTTCCCCATCTGCGCCACTCTATTCAACCTGTATGGCCGAATCAAGAACGTCTTCGGCTTCGGTATGGCAGACGAAGATGAACTATATGATGTCGAAAGCAACCCCTCTGGATACGGAATGGGTGGCTGGCGTGAAGGTCGAGATCTGATTGAGCGCGAACTAAACGGATTCGGCTCCTTAGCCGTCTCCTCGCGTGGTACCCGCTCCACATGGGCCGCTGACCGTGATGAGACCGACTCCCGTGGTTCTTCACGTCTCCGAGTCTCTAGTGGCGAGGGCTCTCGATCTCCTGGATCTTCCCAGCGACCCGTCGCCGCACCCACAATTGTCGACGGCGAAGAAGACGAAGAGGAGAATTTCTTCCAGTCCTTCGCTCATCGTGTTCGCAACACGTTCGAAACAACCAACAAGCCCCAATGGCTCCAAGGAGATCAATTTCGTTTCCCTCGTTGGATGTCCGGTGACAATAACACCACGGAAGATGATGGCGTCACCCGTCTATTCGGTGGACGTGCAACACCTGGCCGTCTTCGTCTAGGATAGATACGGCTCAGACTCATTGTTTTTTTTTTTTTGCATAGATGGGCGTTTAAAGGATTTTCTTGTCTCATTTTCCCGCTGCTGGACAGCTTAATATAGAATTTACCCCAGCTGTACATACCACTCGTTTGTTAGTAGATGGCTACAGAACAATATAAAAGGACCCATCACGATATAATTCCAACTTTTCCCATTCAAATCAAATCATACAAGGTTACTACCTACTCCTAAAGTCTAGATTCCCTCCCACAATCACCTGCGCCAACCCTCTCCAACTCCTCAAGTCCCCCCAAATCAAGCTCCTCATCACCCATCTTCGCGGCCCTAGCCCCTCTAACCTCCCCATTAAGCGCCTTCCACAAAACCCTCCTCGACCTCTCATGCTCAACATAAGGCATAGCCTCTGCTTTCCAAATCCGATTAACATAATTCCCCCCCCTCTCGCACCCAACTCCCCCCAAACTCCCCACTAGTAGCAACATAAACAATTCCCAAGCTACCCTGATAACTCGAAATCCCAAATCTACTCACAAAAAAGTTCAAAGTCCATTCCATCCGCTTTCCCATGGCCGTAGCCCGGTTCTCGGGTGAAAACTTCCACAAGCCAGAATTGATAAACCCGGGATTGAACCCGTTGATTGTGATGTGTTTGTATTTGGGACTTGAGAGGAGTCGTCTGTTCATCTCTGCTACCCACATTTGGAAGTATAGTTTGTTGTTTGCGTATATGTCACCGCGGAGATGGACTGGGCGGATTGTACAGTCGTTCATTGTTGAGGGGGTGAAGAAGCCGCGGAATTGGTGGCAGGATGTTGTGCAGACTATTCGGGGTGCAGGGGAGAGGGAGAGGGAGTCGAGCAGGATGTAGGTTAGGAATATGTGGGAGATTGTGTTAACCTATATCAAAGTTGTTAGCGGGATGACACCTTTATCACGTTTGAATATAGATACCATAGATATAGCAAAGCTATACAGTATCTATGCAGGGGAAAAAATTAAAACTCACCTGATGCAAAATCTGAATTCCATCCTTCGTAGCAGCTTGCTCATTAGCAGAATGTGGCGCCATTCCAGCATTATTACACAAAACATCCAACGCCCTCCCCGTCTCAACCCACCTCTTCGCAAACGCATTCACACTATCCAAATCCCCCATATCAATAGCCCACCACTCAACAACATTCTCATGTCCAGCAGCTCTCGCCGCGCTCAAAATCTCCTCAACAGCAATCGTGGGATGAGTTTCCCATTCCGGAGGCTCCCGACATCCAAGTATAAGGTTTGCGCCCCATGTAGCAAATGTTTTTGCAGCTTCGAAGCCAATGCCGTTGTTTGCGCCTGTGATTATTATCCAGTTTCCCTGGAGGTTGACGGGTGGGACGTGTGTTTCGTTTAGGGTGGTCCAGTTGCAGCCTTTTAGGGCGTTTATGGTTCTGTAGAGCCAGGATGGGTCTTGGACTTGGGGGGGCTCATGTTCGTTGAGTTCTAGTTCGGGTTCAAATTTGGGTTTGGGTTCGGGTTCGTTGGACATTATATCGATTGTTTTGGTATAGGGTATGATCAGGTAATGGAATGGCAATTTGAAATGACAGATTAGTGACTCAATTGGAGGGGGCTAAGTATTAATAGGAATTTTCCATTGGGATCCATTCATGCATAGCTGTCTCATCTTGTCTCGTCTTGTCTTGGTATCCGTCATGGCCAGTATACAGTGGGGCAGCGGGGCCAAGCTAAATGCCATGGTGACCCCGGCCCCGATTCCAACACAATGAAGAAGGCTAATGGGCACAGCGTTTCAAAGAAATGATGACATTTGGCCCTTCTTCTATTCCTTTGCCGCATATCTGTACATTGCAACTCATACATAGCCCCAGGGTCCACGGAGTTTCTTCCAAATAAGGAATACGGGGTCCTGTCTACGGTTTTTAGTGTTAGCGCATACAAGCTACTTGAAGCAAGCTAGATTTAAGTTTGGTTTAATTAGCATACTTAGCAAACAGGGGCTAGGAGCGGAGGCTCCAGCGTCTCGGTATTCGTAAAGTAACGAATTAGATGCTTCTAGGAACTTGAACGTGCACCGTCTCCGATACTGTATCCCCTGGTTATATACTAGGGTGGTCCGTGTCATGCTGGGACTAAGGTGCTACATACCTACTAAATACATGCTTAAAGGGGCACTAAGTGCGGCCATCATGTTTTTACTAGATCTCGATCTGCCATCTGATAACAGTTATGTGCGTACAGAATGCTGGAACAGACTGGATTGGCTAAACTGTACTGCCAATTTTACTATGGCCTCGCGAAAAGCGCCGTTTTGGGTGATAATTAGATTAGTAGCTCAAGGGATGCTCGTTAGGGTGAGTAAATGTAGAACCGGCTGTCATGATTAAGGACATCAATGTGCTGAGATCACGAGCCCACTAGCTGGGACCCGAAAGACTGGGAACATATCTAAGTGTCTCGGCAATTAAAGCCGACGTTCAAAAAGTTGTAATCATAATTAGCGCTATAAATCAATATAGTAGGGAGCATAAACTATCGATCACAAAACATCTTGCAAGTTTCGAAACTTCACAAGGATCGACTGCGAGATTGCTGGCTGACGATAGGTTCAAGCAAGTGAGCAGTATCTCGAAGCATGCTTCTTCCTGCTTCACCCGATATAGTTGTGCGCCGTACCTAGACAGTAGGAACTGACGTCAATTTAAAGTTGGCATCCTTGGACTGGCGCTTTCATAGGGCACAGGTATCTGTTTGCTCCTGCAATTTGAAATCATAAGCGGCCCTTTCACGCGCTTAGATATTAACTTGAAGGGTAATATAGTCAATATACTCCATAGAGGTGAATTCGATCACTGGAGCCGGTTGGTCACCTTGGCTGGTAGAAGCGGTAGTCAAGCGCCGGCTTGTCCTTCAAAAATAACCACGCATTTGGACTTGAGATGTTATAGACCTTGAAACATCTACATATTATCCAAGGGCCCAAGGGAGCAAGTAAGATCGATGATATTGAAGGCTCCACTGGGTCCAGTATAGTATGTAAATCGTACCACCAAATCAATACCCAATGACGCACACCCTAAGCGAGAATGCTTAGTAATACTTTCTGCTGAAATTCGTTCAACCCGCAACACAACATATGATTCTATCACGATCTTCATCGTCTCAAGTTTCAACAGGTATCCTTTAAGATACCCTTATTTCCTCTAAATTGATGCAATCTACAAACCAATAGATTTTGTCACCGAGCTATCAAGTGTAGGTGACTTAATATATTGGTCTTGTAGGTTGCATCTGTTCAGATGATGGCGGGGTATCTTGGAATTGGGCGGTGGTGATTTTGTGTCCACATCAAGGACGACGACGATGTGGATAATAATACCAGGTGGCCCGGGGATTGGAAGGTTCAAATGGATGTTGCTATAGGAGAAATTTGAGACTTGTGATTTGTCGGAGGGACATATGGACAGGGATGTGAATCCCTGTCGATTTAGGGTGACGGGACATTGGAATAATATGGCGCTGGATGGCTTGGTAGGGGATTCTTGAGTCTATTATTATGGACATGTTGGATGAGAATAATTTTACTCGAGGTTGTGCATATAAAATAAACTACCTTCATGCTTATTTGCTTGGAATTTGAGATCGAACATGTTATGCAGTTATGCAGGTACCACGCCATGCTCTGGGCCTACCTATTATGCGCGCCATCAAATTTTACGACCAATAAGCCAAATCCATATGACCGGAAAAGTTATTGTGATAAAGTGAACTCCGAACGGTATTGGTATCTTGGATTGTATGTGAAATCTAAATCTGCGTACATGTCTTCGGCTTTTGCTCTCTTGATTGGTTTTGGGGAAGGAAATGAGTATCTTGAGATCAATCAAATAAACATGTTATCATAGGATGGAATCCCAGTTCGGCATAACTGTGAACTTTCCGGAGAGCTGCCCCATAGACCAAGCTTCGTGCCGTCTGTCATCCTTTGGAGGCTGGCCAGATGCATCAGCCTCGGGTTGAGAGACAATAAGCGCTTCTTGGACGAAATCAACACCTGTAGCACGGTCGAGCTCAAAGCTGACACCACCCCAGTCCATAGTGATACGGCCAGACTTGTGGACATTCAGTTTGCCCACACGGCCTGCGGGTAGGGACCAATTCGCAGCAGCGGTGATCATTTCAGATGGCCTGTCAGATTCTGCTGCACCTTCACCAGTGATTTCGACGTCTTGGTCACCAATCTCTGGTTTGATATCTGGTTGATCTTGTGTTTGAGGTCGGGTGGTTCCTGATGCTGGGGCATCTTTAGAGCCGGGAATAGTGAGGTTGGGTGTCATGGGTGGGAATTGCATGAGGAACAGTTGGCCAAGGAGATGTTGGTTGGCGAGTTTTTCAATTGGGGGATCGTCTTCATTTGATCCTGCACCGTCGGCGGTAGTTGTCTCTGGTGCGCCCTGTGATTTCTCTCTTTCTGTCTCTGTGTCTGCTTCCGGTTCTGGATCGGATTCCGGCTCCTGATGGGTGAGAAGCTCTAGAACATGCTTCAAATCCTCCTCGTGGCGATCATATTCATCAGTCTCCTCCTTAGTGCGCAGTAGTTCGCGAGGATCCCGCTTGACTGCCGTAGGTGGAAGCTCTTTCTTGTCCTTCTTCGGATCCTCGGCCTCCAATGGATCTGAAGTCTTCCGACGCACACGATATCTCTGTCTTGGCAGGAAATCATCATCGACAGCCGGCACATCTTCCATGGGTGTATCATTGTCGTCTGAAGGCTCCTCCTTAACCCGAGGCTGTTCCACATTATCCTCTTCCGGACTAGACTTATCATCAACAACCTCTGCAGCGTCCTTCTGAGCCTGCGCTCGAATCTCAGCCGCCTTAGTAGAGCTCGACTCCATGTTAACATGGACCGTTCTCTCTTCATGCTCATGCCGCGTCACACGAACAGGACGCAATCCCTTTTCTCGTCGTCGAGGCATCTTCCCCTTCACATCATCCGCAAAGTCATCATCCTCATCCTCATCAATATTGATCTTATCAATACTGACGCGCAACTCATCATCAGAAGAATCATACTCCTGATTACGAGAGTTCGCCGTAAATCCAGATCGCATCCGACTACGTCCACCACCGCCTCCACCTCCACCTCCACTGCCACTACCGCCTCCACCAAAACCACCACCACGACCTCTAAACGCACCCCCAAATCCAGATCCCAATGGGCCTCCAGCGCCCATTCCTCCAGCACCACCACGACCACGAAAAGAACCTCGGCTACCGCGACCTGAGCCTCCGCGTCCGCGCTGAATAGCAGCAGCTTCTCGCATACGCTCTTCATTTCGTTCCTGCTCAACCCGCTCGATGGCCTCACGCTCTTCTTTGGTCTTTCGCTGAACGGCCTTAGGGCGGAATTTGAATGGCTTGGGTGCTGGCTCGCCGCCTAACGCTGAAGGTGAGCGTGTAGTACTGGGTGTAATGCTACCACCTGGAGTTCGTTTTTTCAAGGTCTGGAGTCGTTGCACAGGTGGTCGTCCTGAGGGACCTGGAGTAGCGCTGGTCCCTTGAGCGGGTGCTTGAGTGGTTGCGGGTGCATTTTGTGATGATTCCCCGCTTGCTGAGGCTTCGGGCTTTGCGGCTGTTCGTCTACTGCTCGCTTTGGGAGGCATTATGTGCTTGTGCGGGCGGCACTGTGCCGCGAAGGAGTTTCGATAACGGTATGTAGGGTTTTATTTAGTTCGGAACAGGTTATTATCGGGTAATTGGCGTTGAAGCTGAGGTCTAACGAGTGTAGGAGTGGGAGAAAAAAAAAAGTAGAGTTCGTTGTATCACCATGCGGGCAAAAAGTTGAGCTTTGATCCAAAAATGTTGCGGGGCCCTGTCACCGCTTTTGGTCACGTGACTATATAGAAGAACAATTCTAGAATAGCCATGGCATGCATTACAAAGATACAGCAGAAATCAAAGGATTTTGAATTTTGAGGCCAAATTTTAGAAAATCGAACAGGAAGATAATAGAAGAACAAAATTGGTTCCCAAACTACTCATGCGAACGAACAAAAAGTCCATAACATCTTGTACAGCCCACGCTAGCCCCTTGGTCGCATGCCAGCCTTCAAAGTATATATATCTTACCACCCCGTCAAGATCGGCTCGAATCACACAACTTTGAACAAGACAAAAAAAACAACAACTAAAAGTGATACTAGCAAGGACAATAGGCAGCTACAGGTCTGAAGAGAGTGATTGGAAAAAAAATAAAATATCCGCGAACACGTAGACGCCGACAAGAAATCAACCCGCTAGACTTTGTATAAATCGAGATCGGGACAGAAAGAGTGTAAAATGATAGGATGTGGTGGAGGATGAAAGGAGTGTCGAGGATCTCCCTGTATGTGCGAGGTAGGAAAGTCAAAGGAGGGTAGAGGTGGAGGCAGGGAGAGAGATCGGTAAATGAAGGAGAGGTAGTGTAGGTGGGTAGGACAACGTAGTAAACAGAGACTAACGCTTCCGCTTCTTGTTCTTATCAGCTAAAACAGCAGATGCCAAGGGAGTACCAGGCATTGGTGGGAACTCAAGTCTCTCTTCTTCTGCTTCCTCCTCCTCTTCGTCTTCGTCGTCCGGGGAGTCGCCGTTCTTTTTGACGGGAACACCCATGTGGCGCCCATAGCGACCCTTGCGACCATTACCCTCGTCTTCACTGACGCAGCCCTCAATGCCAATGCCGGCATCCTTGCAGCGACCACAAGGGCGCTGTCGATCACAGCCCTTCTTGCTCTTGCGGCATCGTTGGCAGCGAGGCTTGGTAGAGAGATCTTCCTCATCAGCGCCGAGCTGATGTTGAAAGTTAACAGAACCTCCAGATACCTTGCGGGAGGAGCTTGGGCTGAGGGGTGGGATAGGCGCGGCCGATTTATCAGACGCTTTTCTGGGCGCGGGCGCTGAGGTGGTCTTGATCTTTGGCTTCTGCGTAGGCTTCTGGCTACGAGGCTTGACTGAAATAGGGCGGCTGCTCTTGGGCTTCTTAGCTTTGGGAGCAAAATCTTTGTATAGAGCATCATCCTCGGCCTCGCTTTTAATGCCCTCTTCGATGCCATCGGAACTATGGTCACTGCTGTCCGCGCTAGGCAGGATGTCATCAAGGCGCTTATGGTGACGCTTGATGGCCCCAGGAGGAAGCATTGGGCTTGATTCAAGTCTGCGACGAGCTGGCAAGTCATCTTCTTCCTCGCTGAAGTCCTCTCCGTCGCTAGTGGCACCAGTCGACGAGGCAGCGTCAGCAGCACCGCTAAATGCGTCGTCAAGTGTTGATGCAGATGTGCGACCGTGAGAGAAGTTGGACGCATCACCTAAGCGGATCAATTGCATTGCGACATCTTCATCGGAAATGCAGCTTGCTATAGTCGGGTCTGGAGTAGGCAGGATACCAGCGCCGCTGACCCGAGGAGCCGAATTGCTAAATGGTACACGGTTCGCATTTTCAGGAACTATAGGCGTCGTATAGACTGAGTTCCTTCCAGAGTGCACACCATATTCACTATGGCCATAACTCTGCGGTGATGGCAAAGCTTGTTGGTAGTTATATGGGCGATGTGTGGGACGAGCAAAAGGTGAGCCGGCACCTTCTTGACCGACTGATCGACGTTGAGGAGAGATGGAAGAGGTCGAGGTAATGAGAGGGACTTGAGGAGGAGCAAAAAGTGGGAGTTCCTACATATTGAGATGATTAGCCAAGGACGGAAGAAAAAAATACAGAAAAAAAAAGCAATGGAAAAGGGACAATTGGTAGTGTAACCATAGCGCGATACTCACCGAACTGTCAAACTTTGGTCGTTTGCGACGACCGTCTTGAAGTATATTTTCCATACTTATCTCTGAGCTAGCGAATGCGTCGCCTCGAGATCTGTGACTATAACTGTCTTCGCTGTCGCTGAGCATATCATGATCAGGGAAGCCAGCATGGCTGGAACCACGACTCTTAATGCCACTGCGAGAGCCCTGCTTGTGTTGAGAAGCGCTCCGCATACTGCGATTAGATGGGGATGTGCTGCGCTTCCTGGCAAGGCGAGAGGGTGGGCGCGATGGTTGCTCCAGGACTGGCGCCACAGAATCCATCCCGAAAGGCTCACCCAGACTCGGCCGCTTGCGCTCAACAGAGAAACCAGCGTAGAAGTGATCCGCATACGGTTGAATGGGAATGACTCGTACATATACCGTCATGTTATTCTTCAGGTTCTCATACCTTGCGATCAGGGTGGTTCCATGTTCATCCTCGAAGCTTACACCACTGGCGGTACCGTCGTAGATCCCATAGAAATTTTTGACCGTGGTCACAATCGAATCCGTGGTATCATGGGGATATATTTGCACGCGCATAGGAATTCGAGCTCGAACCTTGGAGTTCTCGTCCAAGAGCAACTCGAAGGCGACGTTCTTAGGCACGGGGCTTTTAAGCGCCATTTCCCGAGAGGCATCCACTACAACCGGGTGCTCTGCCAGAACAGGGTATCCTTCACGCTGGACCGTTTGCATGATAGGCGGTTCCAGAATATTAGGATGTCCTCTGCTGCTAAAGCGATGACTGCATCAACCCACTGTTTCGCATGATGGATGAGGGAGAGGGGGGGCGAGTTTGGATGGGATCCATGGCCGGGGCTACAGGAAGGGTTTTTTTGGGTGTGGAGGGGAGAGAGGATCCATCTAACCTACCACAATTATAGGAATTCGGACAGGTTGGCAGGTGGATGTACCACCCCCGGGTTGACGATGAAGAAAAAGGGTGGACACAGGGCTTTTCGATGGGGATGGAGGGGGAACGTTGGGCGTCGCAACCGAGAATGAACCGGAAGAGGCAGAGGATGATGACCTAGAACAAATTCACAAACCAATATCAGTACAATGGTATCCCAAGTATTCGAATGTAGTCTGAAGATGATATTTGACGCCGAAGGATGGAAAGATGATCGTTGACTAGCCGAGTAGGCCCCAACCTTGGGGGAGGAGACGACGAGAGGCAGAGAGCAGACTCGGAAGAGGGTGGAGAGAAGCGTAGACGCACCTAGCAGAGATTTGAATGATTCCAACTGGATCGCAGAGACTCCGAAATGTCTACTGCAAAGCGAAATGGAGAACGATGAGTGGCGGTGGAGGGTTGTGGGTGGGAGGAGGGTTGTCGTTCAACTTCTACGAAAGCGCTCTTGGGGGTGGGCTATGTCAGCGGTGACTCCAGTAGCCGAGATAAGGTCTAGAAACCCTCAACGACAGGAAAAGCGACAATACCTAAAATGGAACGTATGCACCGTTAATAAAGCGGGGGTTGAAGTTGAAAATGGAGAAGGAAGAAGGTTAAGTGGGTGTGTACGATGTGGTTTCACCTAAAGCGAGAAACGGCTTGTCTGGGTCGGTGACATGGCGATTTGCGCTCCCGCTCAAGCTTGCTCATCACATTCCATATTTTGCCCCCCCATCAGGAAGGTAACGAACTAAAGAACCAGGTTTATAGAATAATTGATCAGTTTGGAATTTATATAGTCTTTTTAATCATTCATTCTCAAGCATTTAGGCCAAGATTTTCGCATTGCGCAAGGCTGTCGCAAGTTCGGTGATACTATTATGCTATTGCGCCGAACACCTTGTCTAACCATCCGACAGAGCTTCCATAGAAGACTGAATTCAAGCTGTTTTAAGAGTGAAATCCTATTTTAATTCTAAGTGGAAGCGACACCATGTTCTGCGCTCATCTTCGCTCATCTGCGCACCGGGTACCGAAGCAGTAAGTACCTTGTCGGAAATCAAACCTTTTTCTGTTTAACAGCTTAAGCCCGAATAAGATTCAACAAATTACAGCCGATGGACGGTCCGAAAGGCCCATGATTCGCAACAGACCCCCCTCAAAGTCTTTTGGGAACTAAGGGCCATCTGTCGCACATTGGCGACTATAATCCTCATGCGATTCATGAAGATCCTTGTCGCATTACCCAGAACAACATCACGACATTTCGGAAGACTAAAATTCGATGCGACCAGGCTTAGCGCCCTGAAATCCAGCATAAATCGCAAAGCGCGGGGATTCGGTCCCAGCATTGCGGCGTTTCCAGAAATTACATTTCAACCGATCGATCGCGCAGCCCCCATTTGCCCAAAAAAAGATTAGGAAGTCAAATCCCCCTCCAAGAAAGGCCATCGCATGACTTAGGGCCATCACGGCGTGTTTCGCATGATCTGCGCCGGCTGAGTTTACCCCTCCTCGGGACCTACGTAAGAGTAGAAAAGGGATGGGGGGGAGGGTTTCAGAGCATTCCCGATCTTTCGAACCTTGCAGGAACAAGAAAAGGGACCAAAGAGAGAATAGAGAAGGTTCAAAGCGTAGAAAGATGGTGGTTCGGGGCGCATGTTCTTGAGAGTGGGCGCAATGTGTTCCGTATTACAGTATATAATATACTGGTTATTTTTTTTTGCAGTAATAGAGGTTATTAGTTAACGGTTCTAAAACACCCTAAGCTAATTAAGCTCCTATAGAGACTTGATATATAGATTGCGCCGAGTTACTTCTTGGGCATAAACTTTGAATCATGTAGGTACATCTGTGGATAGACGGGCAGTCTGGCAGATAGCGGTGTCGCATTACACGTATCATGCTAAATGCTATACGGGAAAAGGAGTGCGTTTAGCAATTTGGGGTTGTTCCGGGTGCAGGAACAAGCTACGGCATATGAATGGCTCAGAAGACTCCAAAGGGAACGTGCTACGAAAAAGTTGTTCAGAACGTGCAGGGGAATTGCAGTTGACGGAACCTTTTAGAACCAGTGAAAAGGCGGACACCCGAATTGAGCGAGGACCCCGCACACTTCGATTTTCGGAGCGGGTCACAGAAACGATGCCCAACTTTGTCACAATGATGAGCGAGTTCGGATGCGCTTCGGCTGATCTAGAAAGTGCCAAACCGTTTACCGCTCGATCCGGGTCCTTGTAAAGCGGTGTAGATCACGTGGGCCCGCGTTACTAGCGCGTTGGAGAGGGTGGAACATGAGCAATGGCGATTGTGGGCCCATTTATGAGGGGAAATGGGGCGAAAGAATCGGAATAGAATGGTTATATAGTGGCACATTCTGGGTAAAAAACTTTTCTCTCTTTTCCACCTTGTTGAAGATGTTATTCGCAAAAATTCAAAATGGAGGGACTTGGGGAAGACGTGACGATAAGCTCCTGACGTCACTGATAAACCGATAAGGTTGTCTTGGCACCCGTGGAATCGAGGGACCATGCAAACACTGCAAACTCCGCCTGTCATTCCAAGGTTCCTTCCAGCCCCAAAATAGCTGTATTGTCACTGTATTGTACTGTCGCATCTCTTGAACCCACCCCAATATTCACTTCGAGTGAATTGATATTTCTTTAGTTTGTCGCGGTTTACATTTAGGCCGAAGCAACCTTATTCTTTTTCTTACTTGTGTTTTTCGGTCTCATAAACTCCAAGTTCAATCAGCTTAAGCCAAGGTAAGGCCTGCATCTGGTCGCCCGGGTTTCCATTTTTTACGTGTATGTACCCGTTACCGATTCTTACTGTGCCTGCGCAGGCCCCCGACTGTTTGTTTTGCTTGGCATAGCCAATCATGCACTACTGGCCTTGCAGCAGCCTTTCTCATCCTCAACAGAGCAAAACGTAAACAATTCCTCTTTCCACGCTCCCACCCGACAATTACGCGCCAACCCGACAACAATTTCTTGGGAAGCGATCATCATGGATGCGAAGGTATGTATTCAGCTCTTCTTTTCTCTTGTTTATTCTTCACTGCGAGTCCGTTGGAGCCTTGAGTTGTTGGTATGGGTATCAAGGGCCCCGACTCGACCTATCTGATGTTCCACCACTCACTGCTCATTCATCGCAACCAAACTGACACAATGGATCCATAGCCTCAGCGTATCCGCGTCCGCGGAGACGAAAACGCTCCACCTGCCATTCACAATAATAAAACCATCCATCAGCGTAACAAATCTATGTCAGCATTGAACGTGACCCAAAGCGCGAAGAATGGAAATCGACGGGCATTCGGTGATGTGAGCAATACCAAGGAGCTTTCTCGTGCCAGTCGCGACGATTCGGCTCTCAATAGCAAGCCGACCTTGCAGGTATCCGAGAAGCCAGCTCTCTCACAGCCTGCTCAGCGCCCAATGTCAGTGTCTGGCGTCAAAGGTGCCTTAAACAATGTCACCACAAAGCCCGTAAATCCTGCCGGCAAAGCGCAAGCAGTTAAGTCTGCCAAGCGAAGCAATCCAATCTTCCGTGACAATCATCTGGAACCCGTCACCGAAAAGGAACCATATAGGGAAGCCGCGCCCGTTCGTTCTACTCGCGGAAGTGAATCAACCATCGAGGAACAGCCTGTAGCAAAGGGTATCAAAACGATCCCAGACGAGAAATCAAATGCTATTGTCTCGGAGCAGGCAGATACCAATTATGAAAAACTCGCGAAAACCTCACTAGAGTCGGATGCCACGCTTTCTGATGGTATCGACGAGTCCAAGGCGCCCGCGGCTGCTGCCTCAGCCAAGCAACTCGCCCCAATCGCCTCTGAACCCGAGGAGTACTGGGAAGAAGAAGATAGCCAAACTGCCCCTTCTCTCTCCCGAACAGATAATACCACAGGTGGCACCACTACCATAATTTATCCACAATTCTCGGCAGCCACCAAACGCCAGATCCTACAAGCTAAGCACATTGTCGAAGATACGCGCACCGAGGAAGATATAATCGAAGACTTCTACGACTCTACCATGGTCGCAGAATATAGCTCCGAAATCTTTCTCCACATGCGCAATAAGGAAGCCGAAATGCTTCCCGTTGCTGACTACATGACCAACCAGGCCGAGATTCAATGGTCTATGCGTTCTGTTCTCATGGACTGGCTAGTGCAAGTGCACCACCGTTTTAATTTGCTTCCTGAGACCTTGTATATCTGCGTTAACTACATCGATCGCTTCCTCTCCCACAAGATCGTTTCCCTTGGCAAGCTTCAACTGGTTGGCGCCACTGCACTTTTCATCGCTGCCAAGTATGAGGAAATTAATGCTCCCGCCGTGCGGGAGATTGTCTACATGGTCGATGGAGGTTACACTGTTGATGAAATCCTGAAGGCTGAACGCTTCATGCTTACTATCCTTGACTTTGAGCTTGGATGGCCCGGCCCGATGAGCTTTCTGCGCCGCATCAGTAAGGCTGATGACTACGACCTCGAGACCCGCACAGTAGCCAAGTACTTCATTGAGATCACTATCATGGATGAGCGCTTTGTCTGCACGCCTCCTAGCTTTTCCGCCGCTGGAGCCCATTGCTTGGCCCGCTTGATGCTGGCCAAAGGATTCTGGGTATGTATCCATCCCGTTCTCTATTTAGTTGCTTATTGCGTCTTCCAACCTTTGCTAATATTATTGATAGACTCCTGCCCACGCATACTATGCTGGATACACCTACGAGCAGCTGCTTCCTGTCATGACCACCATGCTCGAGTGCTGCGAGAGCCCCCAAAGCCACCATCAGGCTATCTACGAGAAATACCTCGACCGTCGCTTCAAGCGTGCCTCACTATTCGTGGAAGCCGAGGTTCGCAACGAGTTTGCTCTTGAACCGCCTACCTCCCTCCGCAATCCTGCACGCCTAGATGGCACGGCCAACTACTGAGATTTTTCGTTTTATTTTAACTACATGCAAGTTGAAAGTGCTTCAACATTGCCTACTACTTCAACCACAAATACCCCACCTTCGTTATCGCTCTTCTCATTGTGTTATCGTGCTTCCTGGGAATCTCATTTTCGGAGTGAATATGGATGGGTATTGGCTGGCGTTTTTTTAACCCTCGCGGCGGTTCCTTTTTTTCTTTTTTTTCTTTTTTTCCCTTTTTCTAACTCACGATCCCGAGATGACTTGACGCCATTTTTCCGGACGCGGTGGGAGTTCGATGGGTCGGAAGGCGTTGGTCTGTTTCTCTCGGCATCACATAATCTCTTTTTTCGATCCATTATTTTCTTTCTCACGATACATACCTCTTCTGCTCATGAGAATCTTGCATCTTCTTCGTCCTATTATCCGTGCAGCATGGTCTTTTCTCACCACCGCACTAATCACAATCCTTTACTTCTCTAGTTTCTACTTGAGTTTACGCTTTTAACATACGCTGAGCCCCATACTGTCCTTTTTTACGGTTTCCTATGCATTTATTGCTATGAGCTATTGCACATGGAGATATGTTAGAATGAATCAATTAGGTTTCAGCATAGCTTTGGCTTATCTCTATTGTAATTCTCCAAGTTTCCAAGTTTCCAAGGTTGTTTGTAATGTTAGGGCAATATGTTTGACATCTTGGCAGCGGCGTTAGTAGCTACGGCAACCATGTACTCGCATGAAAGACTCGGATAAGAACAATTGCCGTTTCTGTCTCGGTATGGCGAAAATCACGATGTTTCATCTTGAGCCAATGCTTGCCACATATACACCAACTTGCATATGGTTGCCATGACAAACTTCTACACTGGAAGATTTAACTTGTTCACGTATGAATTGCAGCTGGCCTGTTATTACATCGACGTAGACCTCGGTATATAATATTATACATGTATTGAGTGGCAATGGGCGTGGTCCGACTGGATAGTATGTATATCTCTAGTGGATGTTTGCAGTTCTCAGCGGGTTCAAAAGTTTCTTGAAGGGCTGTCGGTAGTATGCAAACCCACCAAAACAATAGTATGAATCGAACCAACATTGAGACCTCGGGTCGATAGTAGATGGAGGTGCCTGTTCATCTGGTCGCCTTCCTCCATATTTATAGCTCCCTCTGTCTCTCTCTCTCTCTCTTCATCATCATACACATCCTTGATCTGATCCTATTCGAGCGCTTTCTCTTTCAACCATGCGGCACTAGGGAGCATGGCCAAAGCGCACGCAATCGAGATCACTATATGGTTAGCATCCCATCCATGTGTATACACTTTCTAGCAATTTACTCACATGGTGCGAACTGGAAAGCATTCCTATAAGTCCGTTGGACAATAGCCAGAATATCAGGGCTCAAGCTCCAAGCAAATCTTTCATCGTTGACGATCTTGGAAATTAACTATAGAATGAACCATCTTAGCAAGAATGTATCATAAGGCCAAGGGGGTCAAGGGACCAATTCAAACCTTTTCTGCCGGAAGTCCCTTCAAGGCTTTTTCGAGCTGTTTCTGGAAACTGTGTTGAACGATAACTACGCTCGTTGCAGGTCCGATAATGGTACCAAGTTGTTGGAAGAAATAGTATGTGGTGATGCACACTGCTAGTTCTTCCTTCGGGGCGGTTTGAGTCATGCCTGTGAATTGCGTCACGAAGAGAATTCCGAGGCAAATACCACTGGGGAACAAGTAGACAAGCTCCCATCGTTCAAAGCTAACTCGCCAGCGAAGAAGCATGATAAGGAAGGTGGCCGCTAGACCGCAGACCGCAATGACCGTTATAGGTTTATATCGCCTTGTCCTAATATAAAAAGTAAATTAGAAATTAGAAAGTCTTTCTCGTTAGTATTGGAACCACTTGCCTTTTAACGACAGAACCTGAAATGATGGACCCAACAGAAACCCCGGTTGCCCCTACAATGAACGCGGACGTAGCGAAAAGGCTCGTGGTATTCTGAAGTCTGATGATGTACGGCACAAAGTTGCTGAGCATCTAAAATGGACGTGTGTCAGTTGTGACATTACAGGGGGGGTGGGGGGGTCGATTCTGGAAAGAGGCCAACTCACGACTGAGTGACTAGATAACAGCAGCAGTTGATTCGCGAGGTATGCACCTGTTGATGTTCGAAATAGGGATACTTTGATCAATGGTCTTTTTGCCCAATATGTCTCGATAAAGATAAAAGTTAAAGTCGCAATGATACAGGTAGAGATTAGAGTCGCCAGACGCCAGGACTGGTAAGTTGCAGACTCTAACTCTTGTAGCGTTGCGAAGAAAAGGATTATGGCAGCAAAAAAGCTGATGAGGCCACTGAAATCAAAACCGGAGAAACTAGGGCGAGGAGTCTCTCCTTCCGGTTCACCCTTATTGTTGCTTGTATTGGAGTCGGATGGGATGCCGCGTATAGTTATTAGGATGCAAAAAGCGATTAAAGGTAGTTGACCGTGGAATGACCATCGCCATCCAATGGAATCGATAAGAATACCTCCCAGCGGGGCACCAAGGCTTCGGGCAGTGGCATTTATAACGTTAGCGTAGCCTCGAAGGACGGGTACATCGTCAGGGGGGACGAGATCTATTCGAATTGTGAGCGAAGCTGTACCAGGAGTGGTTGGGGATAGGCTTGGAAGTAGTACCGGTGATGAGAATTGAGACAAGTGAGACCATCCCACCGCCACTAACTCCCGCAATGAATCTTCCGAGCACTAACTGAGTATATGTCATACTCGTGCCGCTGTTTTGAGTTGTCCATCAATGTACTGCCTGAAAGTGCCGATCTGAAGATAACGTACCAAACAATACATCCTATAGCGAAAAGAGCATAGGCACCGAGAAGCACATTTTTGCGGCCAAACGAACCACATAAGACGCCATACTGTAGAAAGTGGTAGGTGTGAGCGGAGGAGAACAAGCGCCATACGCCATCTATAGATGGAAGCTCACCACAGGCAAGGACATGCAGTATCCAAGGTTATAAGTCATTAATAGCCATGATCCATACGAGAGCGCGTCGAATTCGGATGCGATCATACTCCAAGTGGAAAGAAGGAGGGATTCATCGGCAGCTGCGAGGAAAACACCTAGATACAATCGTTAAACATATATCACAGTGCACTAAATGGAAATGCTACTCACCCATGAAAGAGCCATAGATGACAAGTCTGCCAGTTGACTTCTTAGAGTTCGCATTTTCTTCTTCGCGGGGCTCTTGGATGGGATCTTCTCGCGCCTCTCGGAGAAGCGGCGTTCGCTCGTTGCCTTCCATTTTGTCTTTCTTGAGGCACTGGCTGAGAAGAGACAAAATGAAAAAAAATCTCTCCAGGCGAGGCAAGTTGGGGGGAGGCGGTAGTTCAAGCTATTCAGATTTCATGAATCATGATGCACATCCGTAGTTTGAAGAAGGGAAGGGTGGAGACTGTCAGTCTACTCCCAGGCAAGGGTTTACTTGTTAGGAACAGGCTTAACAAATCCAAAAAAAAAAAAATTCCAAAAAAATCGGGGTTACCATGACAAATTGCAACATACCACTTGTCTCGAGATTTTATGTGGAGACCCTTGCGAATGAGCAACACATTGGATTTTCAAGATACCAATATCATGAAAAATTGTAAATGTACAGCTAGAATACCACTAGTCTCAAGATTTTATGTGGAGACACTTGCGAATGAGCAGGTTACACATTGGATCTGCAATTTATCAATAACCGTGTACGCCCCCTTTGGGCGGTGCGCAAAGGGGGCGCGTGCACGGTTAGTCTCAAGATTTGATCCACGGGTGTGTGGAGACAATAAGAACCCAAGATTACACAAGTTCGGCCTGCCGATCGCCAACACATGTTTAGCTTCAAAATCTTTTGTGGGTACTACCGAATAAACCCGGGAAGAAGAATCTAGGTAAAGGTACGTACTCCGAGTCCGTACGGTACAGTATGTAACTCACAGGATCCTTACATAGGTTCACGAAGATCAGGGAATAAAAGTTTAATGTCGTACAGGTATGCATATACTGCTGTCGATGTATCTAAAATTGGAAATTTCGATCTATATGGTACATTATCACCGAAGAGTTGAGTGTATGATTCTCATAGGTGCCGATTTATGTATACGTACTTACCTAGGACGATATGCAAGTGGGATTGCAGATTCCGTTTGCAGTGGCTGGCTGTAAGGTCTTGTACGGTGTGCGTGTACTGTACATGGAAATACCAAAGGCGCAATCAGATTGATGAAGTTGGTATATGCTGAAATTATTGCCGATCGAGATTCGTAATTTACGTTTTTGGCAAAGATGATGGAAAAAATGACGCTGAAAATGCATTACAGAGGGTAAATACCCTGAGAAATTTGTGTTGTTTCCATTGAGAATCATTTGATAAACGGATAAAGGCCGTCGCAATGCACCTTGTGCTCGAGTGATCTCATATATTTTGGCAACTGAAATCATCCCCGTGATTCAATTCTTCTTGTACTGAAACATAACCTTGTCCACGATTTTCGACTTCCGTCTACGAAGATGCGACAAACAAATACGTGCCCAGATGCGATTTATCTGATTACATACCCTCGCACTGGATCAAACCTTCTACTGAAAATCCTGAACCTTTCTGAACAACCAGACGTTGCGGCTCAGACCAAGGAAGGTTATTACTTTCACCCACCATTGAAATTGAGACATGAGTTGGGCATGTTTGACAGGCCATTGGCCCTCTGGGAGCAGGACTACTCACGGCTCTTGAGTCAATGCTTCAAAGACTGCTTTGAAGAATTAGACGGTCACTTGAAATTTGCCAATGCGATGGGCAAATCATTATTCGTGAAAGAGCATGCTCCATGGCTCATCGATCCCGCGATACAGTCGGAATGGATCCACGATTCTCACGACAAGGATGAGATCCCTATGCCAATCGAGAATCCAACAATCCTCCCGAATGAATTCCTGCGACAAGTATCACCGACATTCCTCATTCGAAACCCCATTGCTTCCTTTCCATCTCATTATCGGGCTATGCGAGACTCCTGGTACGGATCTGCAGAAACTTTCAAAGAGAGTGGAAACAGTTATTTGAAATTCAACATGACTATCCGCTGGTCTAGGATGATGTACGACTGGTACGACAAACAGAAATCGTTGTGCCGCGAGCATGGTACGAACAAGGGGCCAATCGTGTTAGACGCAGATGATATTATGACCAAACCCGAAGTTGTGATCGAATATTGTAATGCTGTTGGCCTCGATTCTACGAAAGCGAAGTTCAGCTGGAAGCCGTTGAGCAGCGACAAGATGGACGCCATGGACCCGGAGTTCCTCAGGATGAAGGACACGCTCCATGCATCCGATGGGATTAGACAGGACAAACTTGCGGCGGGTCTTTCGCTCGCAAAAGAAGCTGTCAAATGGAAAAAAGAATTCGGTGAAGCTGAAGGGGCAAAGCTTGTCCAGTGGGTGCAGGCTGCTATGCCTGATTACGAGTATATGTGGGCGAGAAGACTCACTCTGCCCAATTGATTTTCATATGTATATCTAGTATTCATGTTATTCAAAGCGAGATGCGGGAAACATAAATAGTCCAATAGATCATTATAAGACCTACAAAGAAAGAGATTCGGTACTATCAAATTTTATCTTCAGAGTTGGAAGAAGACTGTTCTCTCTAGCATTCTCTTACAGTAAATTTCAAGTTCCAGTTGCTACGTATAGGTAACTTACACATCGGGTATTGGTATGATACGACTTCAAAGTAGAACCAATCATTTTCCCATGTTTTTAGACAGACCCTTATTCACGGAGCTTACCTTCACGGCTCCTTTCCGGCGCTAATTTACAAATAGACCTTCAGGTGGTGCGCCCCGCCGACGGGCTTCCAAGATTTGAAATGTCGATCTGGAAACCCACATCGCCACCGTGCAGCTAGTACGTACGCCCGATACAGGCTAGAGGGAGTAGCAACTACGCGGGGGGGGGGGGGGGGGTTTGTTTTTTACACTTTTCCGCGCATGCGCAGCCTGGGTAACAATTTAAAGGTACATCGTATTTCCGTGGGCTAATATTGCGAAATCAGAAATTGTATTTTGACATCCAAATACTCACGAGCTCAGCCATGTACATTGATTGTTCAGCGTTGTCCCTTCCTATCTAAAGTAAACTCGTCGTTCGCCCCGTTCATAAGCAGTAATTGCTTCGAATCCACCTTCGAGACTGAAAGCCTCCCGTCCCCGGGCCCGTAACATCGAGGCTGCCATGCGCCCTGTATCTCCTTCGGTACATACTATCAGCACAGGCCCAGAGCTCTTTTCCAATAACCATGGTTCCCGTTTCAGTAAATCGGACAATTCCAGCCACCGCTTTTCGACAGCGTAAGAATCGCCGAAGAAATCGTCGATCGTCTCCGACAAGGGCAGGCTTTTCGAGCCTTTGACATGACCTTGGTCAAACGCTGCCTTTGGACGGAAATCAATCAAGGTTAACCCATCGCTGTTACTACTATCTCCATTTGCAACGTGTGAGCCGCAGTGACATTCTCGACACAAGGAATCCTTGGTAGGTGCACTGGGACAAAACAATGGACTGGTGACGTTATGTTTGGAGAAAAATTCCATGGCGTGCTCTGGGATGAGGAACCAAGCCTTGTCATAGTAGTCTTGATCCACATCCAGAAGATGCTAGTAAAAAAGGTGTATCAGATAATGCGAGACCATATGCACGGGAAGACCAACTTACCTCATCTGAAACTGTCGGAAACTCACTTTCGTCCAGCTTCGCGTGGTATCCGTCGATGTACTGGTAGGGGAGATCGGCGCAAACAAAAGCGCAATGAATCTCTTTTGTCTCCGCATCAACAAGTTCGTTCAGTCGACCAGCGGCCTTCATTTCTTCAAGATGAGCTATAAGGCCATGTAGTGCCTGTCCAGACGAGGGGCCGGCGATGATTCCATGACGTGAAAGAGCCATCGACGCCCGATACGCGTCGGCAGACTTCACTTCTTGGTAATCATCGATGACTCCCTGCCACGGAAAAGGATTGTGCTCAAATCCAGTACGGGCCCGAGGACCCGGAGTATGATCACCCTGCACATTATATACACTGAGGCAAGTAGTGTCAGCTCACTATTGTTGCTCACAATATAATCACTTCATGATTGAGACTCACCCGAGGACTTTGACAGATGGCTTCAGTGGCTTGAGATATTTACCCACCCCAACTATGCAGCCAGCAGTACCAACAGTCGAGCAGAAGAGGGTAATCTCGGGCAGTTGTTTCCATATTTGGGGGCCTGTCCATCGAACGTGCGATTCCCAGTTCTTTCCAAGATATGATTAGTTGTGAATATATGGGAGCAAAGGAGGAGCATGCTGGCCTCGTTTCTACATACCTTTTCGCTGTGATATTGCTTACAATTGTATACATCTGAAGACTCAGCTTCCAGACGCTGTAGCCTTTGCACAATACCCCTGGGATCCATTGGGTTCTGCTGAGAAATGCCGCCGTACAGGATGCTAGATTCACGTTGTCAGACCATATCATTTTTGTCCAGTATTATGATACCATTAACTCACCATTTTATCCCAAAAAATCGTAGCATGTCCAGCTGCGATCTACGCGACTTGTTGGTCACATAAGCAGCTGTGTTTTCATGGCCCCAAAGTCCTCTTGCGAGCATTCCAAGGGACAGAATAGTTGAGCCAGAGCTTGCTTCTACAATTTGCTGATCATGTATGTTGTCACCCGCAGTGTAAAGCATGTTTAGTGCTTCCAGTATGTTAGCTCATGGGTTGCGATATTGATGTAGTAGAGGTGCCTGCCGTACCTGGCAAAGATTTCACATTCTGTGCTGGCAGTGCCGTGAGCATCTTCGCATAGATCCTGACTCCATCTGCCCGCAGTGGATTAAGGCTTTCGGGCAACTCAACCAAGGGAACTGGAGGAGCATTGTCAGGCTCAAAGTACTGTGCTAAAGAATCTGATCCTTTGAAAACATTCAGTGGGTTGGTTGCAGTCATGGTGTTGACTAATAGTATTCTATAACTAATGTCCTTCGTAAGCTTTTGTTTCTAAGCAATGTTCTAACAAGAGAAGAGATTAGAGGATATTTGTTTACCTTTGAGCGCTCAACGTAGTATACGCGTGGTCCGCAAGAGAATTCGAACGAGTGGAGCTGAACAACTGACCGATCAAGAAGCAAAAGGTACTAGTATTTCTGATCTCCCCTCTATATATGTATGTCTCTCCTGTTCACTAGTACTAGTGGCTTTTCGTAATAAATGGATTTTTGAAGCTCCTGCTTCAATACAGGTGAAAATCTTCAGTACATTAGTGTCTTCTCATAAATTTCCGTCGAGGCCGAGCGGCCCATAGCGGTAAAATAAAATAAAACACGAGAGAACAATTACATAGAAATGCCAAGTGGAGCTTTTATCCGCATGTTTCAAGGTTTGTACAGTATCGGTAACAACCTTAAAACCCACTTCCAAGATTCCCTGCGGCTGAATCCCCACTTCTTTACGGCTGAATCGACCTATCGAGTTCTTGGCCAGACTCAGGCCAGTTCAGAATTGGCCTGCATTGAGCGTAGTATCCGGAATTGAGCCTAACTGTGTCTGCTGTATATTAGTTAAGAGTTGGAAAATAAAACCTTGTATTTATGATATATCACTGTTTATGCTTGTATTAATAACAACTATTTCAATGTGCAGAAGCGGATACTACGCTCGATGCAAGCCAAAGAGGGGTAGGTAGAGAGGCTCGATATTTTTTGTTCTTCAATTGAACATATAGCCGAAGCTCTTTCTCTTGGTCCGTCCATCAACTCCAACTTGAATTCCAAAGGTTTCTATTGCGTGTCCCCACTGTGTGCTCTTTGATCTGCCCCATTCAATCGACATTGGTGAGTGAAACTCGGTACTAATATTTATAACTTCAACTCCTCCGTTCATGTTTATTAAAAGTCCCATCATGCCGTGCACTAGTCTGACTAGAATGATAGCTTAAAATTTAGCCAACCACGATGCCTAGTCCTCTCTCGCATGACTATAATCTGTCCGTCGCAAAAATGGAAGAGCCGTATGTTGATTATGGGGAGTTGGAGCGTGAAGAGAAGATGGCAAGAACCCAGCTCGTCGTGGCACGTGCAATGTGGGAAGAGTCTTCGCGAAAGATGACCCAGGCAACCAAGCGTATAGAACAACTAGAGGAGACCTTGAAGTCTTTGCAAGATCGCCGTGGAACCCTCTTCCCACAAAATACTTGTTCGGATCTCCAGAACGGAGAGGTTGGGACTCCCGGTGAAGCTAGTGGAGAGCCCACAAATCTTTACTTGGGCAAGAACTTGCAGCAAGCTACGGAGTGGATCGTTGGTCGCGAGGGCCCGACTATGGAACAGGTTGAAAAAGATCCTTCTTTCTGGCTGAATCTTGATGTGTTTCACGCAAATGAGGTGTTGAGCAGATCTACGAATGTCTGTCCATGAAATGTCAATTTGCCTTGGAAGGCGTTAAATGGAAGAGTCTTAGCTGGACAAGATGTATGCTGGTTATTATTTCAAATTACTCTAAAGCTACCTGGGCGGTGCCTGCAATTTTTTGTACTGTATACGTGTATTCTTTGAAAATCTAAGGATTGAGTATATCAGAGTGGGCCACAATTTTACCCTGTAAAGGCAGATCGGGGTAGCTTTCCAATTCTCCGTTCGTGCGCCGATCCCCGGCTTTACTTGCAAATTCTGTCACCGACTTTCTGCGAGTGGATATTTCTCGCTTCCGTGCCATTTGATCGGTACAGCTACACAGATCGATCGACATTCTACAAATTCATGCGACAAGCGGCTTTTGTAGATCGTCTAGATCGATCGTACGTGGCACTTACAGCCCGTGTATCCCGGGACCCGTCCCTTCCAGCCTTCATGTGGCGTGTTGGTATCCACTTTCCCGCATGAACCGGTATCCACCTTGCATGAATAGTCGTAATGAAAAAAATTAAAATACGAAAATACTTGTAGAACAAGTTCTATACCATAATTTAGTATGCAAGTATTGATCAGTGGAGCTGAATACATCATATGTATGTAGCTGGAATGCACTAGTACTGCAAAGCTCGCCACAGACACAGCTGAGCTCAAGTGTGGATACTGATCAATATGCAGAGGGGAGATTCTTTAGTGCGGCGTGAGGAATTCCATAGTCCTCTTTCTACAGAATTAGTGATCGCCTGGATTTGCTCCAGAAGTTACTTTGACTAGGCTCTAGAGAATTTATATCGGGGCGCACTCCAGGGCTCACCTGCAATCCTGCGCCATCTTCTCCATTGCCGGGATTCAAGATGTTGAACTTGTGGAATAGGGCCAACGATGGCACCATAATTGCGCTTGGGGCGCTATCAATCGCTGTGTCGGCCTACGCTCTTTATTCAAACGTTAGAATTCTTTTTTCTCAAGTTAGCACGACTCTTGAAAACTGACTGTCTTTTAGGACCATATAAGCCACAAAAAACTACTTGGAAGGTAGGTCCAATTCGATATGAGTCGAGTAAATATTGCTGTATACTAACTTAAGCTATGGCGAAGACTTGAAATCAAACAATCCGTTCATGATGGAGACCCTGTCGCGTGGGTATGGGACATTATTACAGAGGCATCGGAAAAGCCTCAAGAGCTACATCCTACACTGCAGGAATTTGGCAATCTGATCGAAACCAACGATCGCATTGGACTGCTCTTCCAATCTATGTTTCACCAAGGCCACTCGACAAAATCCGGAAATAAAGCCAAAATCCAGGATTATCAACACATGCTCCAGATTTTCAACCGCATTATCAGCCGTCCACCTCCCTTTCATAGCAAAGGTCACCAGATTGGTTTACCAATGGCTGCTCTTCTTCGAGACTACATGGCCACACCGAGTGGATTCGCTGCATTCCTCGACCCGGAGGTCAACGCGATCTTCCAAAAGGTGCTTGATGCATGGGGTGAATTTTTACAAACACCAGAATCTGCTGCTACATTGGATGATCCATCAAAGGGCTGGTTCAGTAATTCATCTCTGACGGCTCTGGCTGCTTCAGGAAACACAAATGGATCTACGTATCAATTTCATGAGATATTTGATTGCGACCCGAACGTTCCGTATCACGGATTCCGGTCTTGGGACGATTTTTTCACTCGTAAATTCAGAGACGGCATGAGACCAATTGCAGGAGGGGACGATGATAATATTATCGTTGGGGCTTGCGAAGCCGAGCCAACTCAATTGGCGAGAGATGTAAAGGCACAAGACACTTTCTGGATGAAGGGTCGAACATATTCACTGGATCAGATGCTAGGCACCAACTATTCCGGTGAATTTGTTGGCGGCACGATTTACCAGGGTCTACTGAGTGCATTTAACTATCATCGATGGCATGCTCCAGTCTCTGGCACGATTGTCAAGACCTACACAATTCAGGGCACTTATTTTTCTACACCGGGAGCCATCGACGACGGCAATGGACGATTGGTCAACTTTCCAGCATACAATTCAGCCATGTCAACGAGATCAGTGACATTGATCAATGCGGACAATCCTGCCATTGGCTTGATGGCATTTATTGCTGTTGGAATGGTAGAAGTGTCGTCATGTGAGGTCACAGTCCAAGAAGGGCAACATGTGAAGAAGGGAGATGAGATAGGAATGTTTCATTACGGAGGATCAACCCATTGTTTGATCTTTAAGAAAGAAGTTAATATCACCGGCTTCCCAGAGGGAGCGGGGAATGTTGCTGTTGGCAGCCGGTTCGCCGTTGTTCGTCCTTAGTGTTGGTTGTTCGTTGCTAAAACTTTGTTTAACCATGTGCGAGGCTGTCATAGATGAGATAAATCTGCGTCAATTCGTTTTTTGCAATATACACTCTAGTTGTCATAAACCATCATATAAATCTAGAAAAAATCTATCACTGATCCAGTCCGTTGAACTCGATCAACCTTTTCACAGCCTCGATCACCCGATCCCCAGCTCCTCCATCTGACTCCAAAGCTGGGTTATCAATCCGAGCAGCTAACGCCTCATCCAGCATCGTTCGGAGTCGTGAAACAAGCACACCGATTCTTGCCCACCCACGTAGCCGGAGCCAGCCGTCTACGACGAGCCCACGGCCCATTGTATCGAGTGTAATCGATCCACAGAACAGAAGGAGCGAATAGGCATTGAACGCTAGAAGTGAATATATGAGCAACAGAATCCAACACAAAGGTCCAGAGAATACATAAGATAGAAGGGATTGAGGGCTGAACTTACGAGTTAAATCACGGACGAACACTTTGCTCGTTGCCATTTTTGTGAAATAGCTTAGATACGCCACCGAACTAGGATAGCCTTGCGCAGAAAAGAGCATAGAGCTGGGATGGATGAAGACTCGACCGTTTTCCTGGTTAAAGTACTTGATTGTCCGGGCATCCGGATCGACCTCCACAGTACCAGTAACCGAGCTAGCGAACTTCTTATCAGGAAACGAAATTTGCGCAACTTGCGGTTGGAAGGCACCTGCGACGAGCGCACGGATGAGATTCCGGTTTGAGGCGTTGCGGTTCCAAGCACCCGAGCCGTCGGTATATCCAACTGGTAAAAGACTGGCATCTTTGAGCGATGTGACGAACTGGGCGCGGTTGGACGAGATATCGCGGAGAGTTTGATGAGACAGGAAGTTGGCGCTGCAATATGATTGTGTTTGCCTGTAGCCTTGGGAGCGGGCTCGCTCAGACCACTCCTGGTAGGCAGAGAGGTCAGTGAGAAGGTCACCATCGCCGGGGCGGGAGAAGGAGGCCTTCGCAGCGTCTACTTCGTCGCGTTTGTCACGGAGAGACACGAATGGACTTTTCACTGTTAGGATGGCGGCAATTGTGAGACAGGGCTCCATACAACCGAAGATCGACCCGTAAATCATGAGCTTGGCGCAACGGAGATCGGCGGGGATCATGGAGAGGTAACGGCCCAGCGCGGTAAGGCGGGAATGGTCTAGGGCTCCGACTCTGTGTAAGAAGCTGAGTGCGCCTTCGACGGCGATGCTTTCTGGTGGAGTGATTGTGTTGGCTAGGAAATTGGCGACGTCGTCGATGCCCTTCATAGACTTCACAGATAGACAGAGCTGTTCGAGAGGCACACGGCGGATTTCTGGATCGGGTCTTTGGGCCATCTTTGATTCGGCTTGACGGGTGTATAGCTTGTAGCATGTACCTGCGCGTACACGACCAGCTCGACCACGGCGCTGTTTGCAGGCTGCTTGTGACGCCCAGACTTCTGAGAGGCGAACCATGTTGTCCTTGGGGTCGTAGCTAGTCTCTTTGACTCGACCGGTATCAATCACGGCGACTACATCCTCGATGGTGATTGATGTTTCGGCTACGTTCGTAGCTGCGATAATCTTTCGCTTGCCCCTGGGTGGACTTTGGAACACACGGCGCTGATCAGCTGGAAGCAAAGACGCATGCAAAGGCAGAGCATGCGCATGTGGAATCCTCCTGATGGCTGTCAAGCATCTTTCAATCTCCATCGTTCCTGGTAGGAAAATCAAAATGCCTCCTGGGCGATCTCCCAATTGAGCATCGATGTATCGAACGGTAGATGCGATCAATTCATAGTTGATTCCCATTCCAATGCTGCGCAAGGCCTTACCCAATGATTCTTCGCCTCGCGGGGAGTCTTCAAAGTCATCTTCCATTTCATTCAGCTCTGGAGCGAATCCAGTTTCCCGAATGACATCGTCCAAGTAGTAGTCATCAACAGGGAAAGTTCGTCCGGGAATATTCACAAAGCCCACGGATCCCCGTCCACCAAAGTAGTTCATAAAAATATCCGCGTCGAGCGTAGCACTCATTAGGATGACCTTCAAATCTTTCCGAATTCGCAGTACATCTCGTAACAACGCTAAAAGGAAGTCGGTATCTAAACTTCGCTCGTGGACCTCATCAACCACCACATGTGAGACGTCCGCTAACGAACTAGCAACATTTCCATCTGCATCACCTCCGGATTGAATCCGACGAAGTAAAACACCAGTTGTCACAAAAGTGATTCTGGTACTACCCTGTTTTGCTTTGGACTCTCCACGGATGATATATCCAACTTCATCACCGACTGTAGAGCAACGCTCATCGCTGACACGATCAGCAAGACCCAAAGCAGATATACGACGAGGTTGGGTACAGATGATGTTTGCAGCACCTCCCAAGCCTCGCTTGATCATATCATCTAGTACGAACTGAACAGACTGTGTACTTTTACCACTACCAGTTTCACCAGAGATGATCGTGACCTGATGCGAATTCACAGCATCAATAATAGCGTCTTGGGTGTTCCAAGCAGGAAGTGATTGTCTTTTGTGGCACATATCGATCTGTGCCGTAGTATCCTGTTTGATTTCCCAGGCTTCTCGAATCGCCATGCCGACAGGCGTATAAGCCTTCCAGTCAATACCCCGGCGCTGTTTCCGAGAGGAGCGCACTGGAATCTCATGGGTGTTTGCAGCAGGAGAAGCAGTCACTGAGGAGATCTCACGAAGTTTGCCTGGATTCTCCACGATATTAGGCAGATTCACCTCTAGCCAATCCATGATGTTGAAAATCATGGACTCCCCAAAGAAGTGTTCTTCAGCATGCTGCACGGCTCGACGGATGGCACTAAGCCGAATATAAGCCGGAAAGCCATTGCCCAGAATTGAGATGATTGGTGTCGTGGATGGGTAGTTCGAGGCGGGTTCCTGGAAACGGAACATGGTGCCATCTGGCATCTCAGGCGCCTCGCTCTTGATTTCGCAAACCTTGGGTGAAATGCGGTTGTAACGCTCTCCAAAAATGGCCTCAAGCGTACTTTGCTCCTCTGCCCATGCCTCTGGATCTCCCTCAAGAATCGAATCAGATATGGGTTCAGAGCCATGAGCCAGGGTAGTTTGTAAATACTCCGCGGCTGCCAATTCGTCACCAGCTTTGCTGTCTAGTACCTGAGTGCACAGATCTGCGGGATAACCGATAGAGGCAAGTCGCTTGATCTTGCCCTCTCGTGCAAGATCTCCAGCAGCAAGAGTGACGCCAGCAGAGTATCTCTCAGGCAAACTCCACCGAGGCAAATCATCCTCGGGCACATAGATCAAGAGCCATTCCAAGACTTCTTCGCGATCTTTGCATTCGGCCACAGATTCCTCCACATGGCTCCGTCGAAACCCCAATTTTGAGAACTCCTCAATAATTGCTCTTCTCTCATTTTCAGGGATTTTCACCGCATAAGGATTCCAAACAGTATGCTGGCGCAAGAGATTTTCGATATCACGTCGAATACGAGCGCCCATGTCCACTTTGGGTGCCTGCGACCAAATGCGTTTACTTTTGGTATCACCACCTCCAAGACCAAGATCTGTTGAAGAAACCTTCTCCTTAGCCTGTAGTCTCGCACGCTCAGCCCTCTTCTTTTCCAAGTCCGCAGCCGCGCTTTCTCGTTCTTGTTTGGCTAAGAATGGATCCGCCTCATACAGCCAGCCTTTACCCTCGCGAGTCTCCGCTGCTTTTATTTCGGCAAAATCCTCTTTCCAGAGCTTTCGATATGTCGGTGGCATCATCATATGAATGTTGCGCATATTGCAAACCCGGAAAAGGGTCCACGCGGCGGCAAAATGGCGAGCCTCTAGAACAGTTGGTTGTGCCGCCAGCTCTTTATGCGATGGAGGTAATTTGAACGGAGGAAGGACTATAGTTTCATGGGTTTTGTTATCGAGTCGCTTCAGCGTCACGGAGGATACATGGCCACCGGAGGTACGAATCTGTTGATCGCAATTGTAGTCAGCATCTGAATGAAATCATTCTGTTCAATCTTGAAGGGCCACTTAGGAAGATTCATAATATTTACCATGCTGTACTCTGGTTTCTCCCACTTTTGCTTCTGGCAATGCTCTGAGAGCATATTCACTGGTAACTTGCCCGTCCATGATGCGCCGCCAATCACCTCCTTCACACTTGGTTTCTTTGGCTCTTCGGGTACTGCTGGCGTAGGTTTCTTGTCTTTGATTTCAGCCGCAGCTTTGGCTTGTTTCGTACCAGGCTTCGGACCTCCTGGGTTCCCTGCTTTCTTTTTGGGACCCATTGTCTGCCCAGATGTGCGGCGTTTGAAGTCTGAAATCCACAATTTAATCGGGCGGGTTGTCCCGCACTAGACCGCTTTGAGCAGCTTGCGGGGAGCTTTGGAAGTAATGATCGACTTCTGCTTCTTCACCTGCGACTTCCAAGGCTGCTCTTGTCCTGTCCAGGTTTTGTCGCTATATACGCTCCAAAGATGTCTGGAAATCAAGGAGACAGCGAACTCTCACCAGAAGAGATCAAACCTGGTGGTTCGGAGAAGAGAGATGCCTGTGAGATCATCATACACGCGATACTATTCAGAACTACAAAGCTAACACTTAACAAAGTCACAGAACTCCTTTCCTCCCGACCCAAGCAGCGAAAACCTTCTCCGGAAAAACTATCTAAGCCTCATACATCCTCTTTGAGAAATCCCAAATCTTTTTCAGCGCGCGACGGACTGGGCGCTTATATCGCAAACCCCGAGAGCTATCCGTCAAGTGTAGTGATATCTCACGATTCGAATTTCGTCGCAATCCATGATATGTTCCCCAAGTCCTCGCTGCATCTCCTTCTCCTCCCTCGCGACCAAACAAAAACCCATCTCCATCCATTCGACGCCTTCGAAGACGCCGAGTTCCTCGCCAAGGTAAAGGCACAGGTCTATAAGCTACGCTCTCATGCCGCTGCAGAGTTACGACGTAAGTACGGGAAGTGCTCTGCACAAGAGCAAGCTAGGCAAGAAGCGCTGAGTTTGGAGCCACCACCAGACGAATTGCCGGCAGGGCGAGACTGGGAGAAAGAGATTATATGTGGTGTCCACGCGGTCCCGTCGATGAACCACCTACATGTGCATGTTATTGCGGTAGATAGGTATAGCGAGCGGCTTAAGCATCGGAAGCACTACAACAGCTTTGCGACGCCTTTCTTGGTGCCGATTGGGGATTTCCCTCTGGCGCCAGATGATGAACGAAGACATCCTACACGGGAAGGTTATCTAAAGCGTGATTTCGTATGCTGGCGCTGCGGGAAGGGGTTTGGGAATAAGTTTGTGGAGTTGAAGAAGCATCTAGAACAAGAGTTTGAGGAATGGAAGAGACTTTAAAACCGATGAAGGCGCGGACCTGTGCAGACATCACGTCTTGGGACAGGAAGCGGATTTCAAATTTGTATTCAAGCTTACTGTCTCCCAGGAGCCTCCAAAGTGGCTGCCCAGGGAGAAGGTATGGCATTTCCAACTTCTTAAAAACATTGTACATTGCTTCTAGCATAGAATAGGAAGGGCGAACCGATGCGTTGGCATGCATTTTCAGCACTTAACGCTTGTGCGTATCGCTTCCTCCATTATACCAGAAGTCTCAAGACAGAAGCCCTATGCTTCTCCACCTCCCCTCATCTCAAATCCTTGCTTCTATAACCGGAGCAGAGGACCCTATCGTACATTGAAATTTAAGCCCGAACCTTGGTCTTGCCGGCACCCTTAACCTTCCGGGCGTTGGGAGGGTTGATGTGGTGGGTGGGGATCCAATCAGCGTTGTAGGTAGTAGCAGATGAGACGGCAGGGTTGGGGCTCTGCTCAACAGCATCGCTATCGGCACGCTTAGCAGAGGGGCGCTTCTCGGTGGGCTTGCCGCTCTTGCGCTTCTGGGGGAAGTAGGGAGCGACCCAGACAGTGTAGAAGAAGTAAACAACACCAACGAAGGAGGCCAGGAGGAACAAGTAGAGGAAGATGCTGGAAAGATGCAAAGTCAGCCAATTGGTCATGATAACCACGGTATGGGAATCTGGAAATCGGGAGAGGGAATTACATTTGAGGGTCGAAGATGCTAGTCTCGGGCTCCACCACGCTCACAGAGCCATCGAAGGCCTGAACGGAGAAGAACTTGCCCTCGCTATCAGCCATGATGGCAGCGATTTGCAGGCGAAGATCCTGGGGGTGCATCTCGGTGGCGAAGCTGTAGCTAACGCTCTCCTTGGAGTTGGCGGGGATCTCGACGCCATAACGCGTCGCTGTCAGGTTACGGACAGCCTTGCTTTCCTCCTCTTGGGTCCACAAGCCACCACCAAGGAAGTTCACGGTGACTGGGTTGGGCTCATCGTTGGTGATAGCAATGATCGCCTGGGTCGGGTGACCATTGACGAGCTTGATGCCGAAGATCTCAGAGGCAGGGAAAGAAGCCTCGGCAGAAACAGCGTAAGACTTGGTCTCTTCCGCGGCCTTCTCAGCATCCTATAAGTCCACAATGGTTAATTAATTGAAGGTTTGCTTGTATTTTCGACACGCACTCTTTAAAGTTTCATTCGAAAAGAGTCAAAACTTACAGCAGCGAAGCCGGTGCCAACAAAGGCCTGGAGTGAGAGCAAAGCCAGAGAGAGGAAACCAAAGCGAGTCATCTTGCGGGGAGGGGGGGGGGGGAGGGAGGGAAAGAGTGATATAGAGAAGAGAAGGAAGTCGAGTAGGGGTGATCACACGTTGCAGTTAAGGAAAGAGTGAAGGTCCACTTGGACACCGGGGAAGCTGAGTCAGCCAGCGCGTTTGTTGGAATTTCCGATTTTTTTTTAGTAAAAAAATTAAATTGATTTTAAGACGATCAAGATCAAGATCAAAAGTGAGAATACGACAAGATTAAATTTCAGATAAAATTATATTAATCTATATATCAGATTTTTCATCTGATCTACTGGTGTGGGATCATCATCGACTCGATTGCCTGACTCGCTTCTTCCTTCAGAGAAAAAGGGAGACGTCGCGATCAACGCGCACCAAAACTTCTTACTCTTTTAACTTCATGTGAAGAACTAACTTCCTTCGATCTTTCAACCTCGATTTCTACACCTCTTTTCAACACAACCTCATAATTTTTTTCCACTATGGATTCTACCCCGTATCTGGACCGCTATCACCAGATAGGTGCTGTGGACCAGCAGAAGAACCAGCTCATTGAGGTTAGCTTGGCTTCACCTTTGATCCCTTCTTGTGTGCTGCTTCAGACCAAAAAGCTAATCGGATGCGCTTCTAAACAGGACCTCCTACAACGAGTAACCGACCTTGAGAATTCCTTTCAGCGCGAGAAATTGGACCATGAACGCGAAACTCGCTTCAACCGGGATATTCAGTTGCATGAGATGGAACTCATGCAGCAGATATCTCAGATCAAGACTATTATGGTGGGCGACACTGAATAAACCCTGGTTTACAAGGCCATGGAACTGATACATGAGGTTATTCTCTACAGGACCGAGAACCGTTTGTCGTCGTGCTCTTGGACGGAGAAGGAATAATTTTCAAGGATGAATTCTTGCAATTAGGCGAAGAAGGTGGCCGCTCGGCCGCGAAACATTTTTGCACAGGCATGCACACATATCTGGTGAACAATCTCTCCAGTATTACGACGCCCAAGATAATTGTCAAGCTTTATCTCAATGTGAAGGGATTTGTGGAGACGTGTGTGCGGAGTGGCACCATCTCCGATCCTGCCACGGTTCATGATTTTATTCGTGGATTCAATGAAACAATGTCATATTCGGAGATTGTCGATATTGGATCAGCCAAGAACAAGGCCAATGAAAAGATTCAAGGTTTGTCAGACATCAAATCGTTATACAGTGGAGTCCTCCACGAGCTAACACCTGTCGTTTTTCCTCCCTTGCAGAGACGTTCCAAGTATTCCTTTACAATTGCCATTGCCACCAGGTTTTTGTAGGATGCGCCTCGAATCCCGAATACGCTACTTTCCTACAAGATACATTGAGTGACGGAGATCTGACTGGCCGTGTTTCGCTCGTGGAGGGTATTACATTTGACAAGGAACTGGATGCGGTGAATGGATCATTTAGGATCGCCAAATTCCCAGAAATCTTTCGTTCATCCAAAATAGCACCCATTTATGTTGCGCCTTGGAAGACTAGCTTGCCTTCGAGGAGCTTGCTTACCCCATCTCCATCCCAGCAACTGTCGAATCCTCCACCCCTGTCCCGCACTTCCACCAATACAAGTGCCTCCGGTCTGGGTGCTCCTCTCTCCATTTCAACGCCACCGGTTGTTAAGTCAAATGAATCGCCAGACTTCCAAGTGGTTCGCTCCAAAACCTCTGGATCGACACCGGTTAGATCAGTTGAGCGAAATAAATACGGTCAGCGTGTGGATCGTCTTGATTTCAAGAGCATCCCTCGGGATGACTTGAACAGATTGAAGAAGCTCAAGTTGTGCAATTATTATTTCCTTCTCGGGGAATGCCCTAACGAGGAGAACTGCTATCATGATCATGATCGCAAACTTACCAAACAAGAGCTTCATATCTTGTCTGCTATTGCACGCATGACTCCTTGCCGCTTCGGACTGGAGTGTGATGATCCCGAATGCATTTATGGTCACCGTTGCCCACAGAGTGAACCAGGCAAAAAGACCTGCTTCCGAGGCGATACCTGTCGCTTTGAGCCTGTGGCCCACGGAATAGACACCAATATCGTCAAAGTGACTAAAATCTAAGTCCATCTTTCTAACTGAGTTGATATTCTCTTTTCGGATCATCACCACCATCGTTATCGTTATTTGTCTTATTTATCGTTTCGAAGGGTACATTTTTAACCAATTTTCAGCGTGACCGGGCATACACGGATTTGTTTTTGTCAATTTCGGCGGGCAAAAGGTTTCGCAATTTTGGTTTATTGTATCCGGGGATTTTTTATGCTTTTCTTCTTTTTCTTCTTAAATTAGGGCCATTTGGGTTGGGGGCTTTCAAATCGGTGTCTTTAAGAGATTGCCAGGGAACTCATGGTAGATTTGGAGATTCTCTTTCGGAGTTGTCGGGTTGCGAGGCGAACGGGACTTCAAGGGTCGTTGAATTTTTTACCGTTATTATCTTCCCATGGCAAATGGAGGGATATCAGGGTTTGGACCAAATCGTCCGAATGACTTAGCACGCACTGCTTTCTATAAGAATTTGTATTAGTATGGACTATGAGTATGGACTGTATACTTTAACAGAATTAAAGAATTCCGGAATATTTGAATTATCACCTGCTATCATGCAGTCTGCTTTCGTAGTAATAGTGTACATCAGGACATATGTAGATAAGTATTATTCACCAGGAAGTTCTTGCATCATTTAGATTGGTCATGAATCGTCGTCGCGTAAAGGGAAAATCGTCGCTCCCATCCGAAACAGTCCTTTTGTACACAAAGTTGCTCATCAATAGCCATGGCGTCCGTGTCTTCCGAATGGCGACAGGGAACTCCGTACTCTTTGATACAACACTTGAAAGGCAAGTTTGAACACTTGACCGGCGCCCATGGCTTACCCTTAATATCCTTTGGCTCCCCCCTTTTTTTCTCCTCGAGATCACCCCAGAGAATTGCAAGCTTCTCCCGGAGCTCATCTAATCGGTCGCTATCTAGATGGAGACTGTATATTTTCACGTTAGAAATCTCGGTGATTAACAATGACATAATTTAGCCGGGTCTGTAGACTTACTTGGTGGCATCGAGACATAGCAAATGTTCAGCTTCTGCGCCAGAGACGAATATCTTTACTCGTTCTCGCTGTTGATTTTTGCTCATAAGAGGTTCAACACCCTCGACTAGAAGGCAGAAACGCCAATCCCAGGCCATATGTTCGCTGTCTCGGTCGACAATAGATGTTGATTGAACTTGCACCGCAAAGTCTTCCAATTTTGGGGGATAGAAGTCGACGACCCGGACAACAAGAGCGTAGCAGACATTTTGAAAGGGGACCTTGTAGCTGACACCACCCGGGAGTGAAATGATATGGGTTTCAGCAGACAGGAGGGAATCCACTGAGGTTTCTGTAACTCCATATTCACGGGGCTTGACATTAGGGTTCTGTTGTGTCTTTGGGGCTGTTGCTGCTGCTTTCACCGGCAGTGCAGTTTGACCCTCTTCTTTACGCTGTTCTTTGGCCTTCTCTTGGAATTTCCTCTGTTTTTTCGCGGGCCTGGTCTCCTCTTTCTTTGTGCCATGAATCTTCCAGTACTCCTTTCGACGCTTCATGAGCTCTTGCGCGTCCTTATCATAATCGGGTGAAACGGTTTGGATATGAATATTTCTCTGAAACCTTTTATCTTCGTGAACGGCAGCTTCGAGTCCGCCATAGCTGCTGAACTTGGGTCGAACATAGGTCAAGAGAACAATGTCACCTATTTTAACATTTTTCCTTGCGAAAGTGGCATGTGGGTCCCAAAGCGTGACCTGCAATGTAAACCTCCCCCATGGGCCAGGCCACTGCTTCTTGTTGGACAAATGGCCGTAGGGATCTCCATGACTACCGGTGTCTTCCCCGTCTTTTTCGTGATCAGGGAGGTCGCCCTGTTCTGTGTAATCGGTGATCCAAATAGTACTCTTGTCGCCCTCGTAGTGATGATCTTTAACCACCTGCCCGACTACCCGACAGAAACGATCAGGCTGCAAATCCTTTATCAAAGTCACGTTCGTGAACTGCGATTTCTTGGAAGAGATGGAAGCCTCAATCACTGTGGAAGATGGGGCTGGAAGATCACTTCGTCGACTAGACCGGGCCAGGGGAAGCTGTAGGAAAGGCGCAGCCTTGTCCAGTAGTTCCAATGCCTTTTTCTTCTCCGTTGAAGTCGGAGAAAACTCATTTGGTCCGGTGGTGATAGCGGGGTCTTTGCTGGCATCAATCTCTGGTCGAAAGATTGCCCAGGAAACTTTTTGATTTTGACCAACAACTCCATGTGGCCTATTTTGGTAATTGGTGATCTAGACATCACCAGTCAGTGTCTTGCTAGCATGAACTCCCAAATTCCATCACTATACGGAAACCTTACCCGAATGTTGCGGAACAAAACTACATCGTTAAGAAGTACATGCGGTAGATGACTCTCATTGTCGGCGAAGTACCTGACTTTCAAACTATTCTCCCAGGCGCGATCATCAAAATGCTCATCCTTTATCTCGAATGTGATGCAGAATGAACCCCCTCTGGTAGACATGGCGCTCATCTGGTCGACCACGACACCGACTACATTGACCGGCTCGCGCCTAGCACATGCAGTGGCGACATCCACCAAATCTTCGACGGGTGCCATGATGGGCCAGTTTGTTTAAACCAGATGGGCCTGTCAAGAGGCTCCTTTGGGTGTAGACTTTCAATTTTTGGATCAAAGCTAGTTGTCGTTTGGCTGAAAAGGACGCGACAAAGCAAAGCAGTTGATCACTCAAAGGATTTCCATTATGCAGATCGTAAGAAAACACGTTCAAAGGAAAAACAGACAAACCGAACTGCAAGAAAGGAAAAGAATATCTTCAAAGGCTCGCAAATTTCGTTTTCTTCTGGAATCATCCAGAGTTCGTTCTACAAAGCCCGTAGAAGTTGATGTTGGTGACAGTAAATAATGGGGAGAGCTGTCACATGATCTTCCCCTCCTTCACACACGAATCCTTTCTTTCTCTTCTTCCCCCCACATCTACCTCCCCTTCTCTCCTTCCCATCAACAGCGCGCCGCAAACCCTGTTACCCTTTTTTTCTCACTGATTATTTTCGAGGCGCGTTTCGTTTTACAATCTCAAAACACCCACCATGACAGATCGTTATATCCCCGAGCACCGCCGAACACAGTTCAAGGCCAAGGGCCAGTTCCGCCCTGATGAACTCCGCCGCCGCCGCGAGGAGCAGCAGGTGGAGATTCGCAAGCAGAAGCGCGAGGAGGGTATGGCCAAGCGTCGCGGTGTTCAGACTAGCGATGGTGGTATCGGTATCGGTGGCATGGCGGCCGCCACTGAGAGTGACGATGAGGCCAGTGCTATTGAGAGCGAGGTAAGCTTTACTATTTTTTTTTCAGTGCTTCTAGCCCCCCCACCATTTATGCTTCACATACTTGAAATTTTTAATGGGCTATGGTGAAACGTAGTACCATCCTTTGGTACACGTACTCCTCTTCGCCCTTTGTTTTTATAATGCGATCATCGACATGGAATTTTTTTTCACCGCCCTGTTGCCATGGGGCCGACCCCTCCAACGCGGACCATTACTATTCACAGCCCCACTATCGAGATCTCACGATAACAAGAAGAATCGAACACGAAGCTAACATGTTGGATTTTATAGCTCAACGTCGAACTCCCCCAGATGGTAAAGGGCGTTTTCTCCGAACAGGTTGAGGAGCAAATCCAGGCCACTACTAAGTTCCGCAAATTGCTTTCCAAGGAGCGCAACCCTCCTATCGAGCGTGTTATCGAGACCGGCGTCGTTAGCCGCTTTGTTGAATTCCTTCGCTCCCCTCACACCTTGGTTCAGTTCGAGTCTGCCTGGGCCCTGACCAACATTGCTTCTGGTTCGGCCCAGCAGACCCAGGTCGTCATCGAGGCTGGCGCTGTGCCCATCTTCGTTGAGCTTCTCGCTAGCCCGGAGCCTGATGTTCGGGAGCAAGCCGTTTGGGCCCTTGGTAACATTGCTGGTGACAGCCCTCACTGCCGTGATTTTGTTTTGGGTGCCGGTGCTCTGCGTCCGCTCCTGAACCTCATTAACGATGGTCGCAAGCTGAGCATGCTCCGCAACGCCACTTGGACCCTAAGCAACTTCTGCCGTGGCAAGACTCCTCAGCCTGACTGGAACACTATTGCCCCTGCTCTCCCCGTTCTTTCTAAGCTCATTTACATGCTTGACGATGAAGTTTTGATTGACGCTTGCTGGGCCATCTCCTATCTTTCCGATGGTGCCAACGACAAAATTCAGGCCGTCATTGAGGCCGGCATCCCCCGCCGCCTTGTGGAGCTCCTTATGCACGCTTCCACCTCTGTCCAAACCCCTGCGCTTCGCTCCGTGGGTAACATCGTCACCGGTGATGATGTTCAGACCCAGGTCATCATTAACTGCGGCTCCCTCCCCGCCCTTCTGTCCCTACTGAGCTCCACTAAGGATGGCATCCGTAAGGAGGCTTGCTGGACTATTTCCAACGTCACTGCTGGAAACTCCACCCAGATTCAGTCCGTCATTGATGCTGGTATCGTTGCTCCATTGATCAACCTGCTCGCCAACGGTGACTTCAAGACCCGCAAGGAGGCCTGCTGGGCTATTTCCAACGCCACCTCCGGTGGTCTGCAGAAACCCGATCAGATCCGCTACCTCGTCTCCCAAGGCTGTATCAAGCCTCTCTGCGACCTTCTCGCCTGCCCCGATAACAAGATCATCCAAGTTGCTCTGGACGGCCTTGAGAACATCCTGAAGGTTGGTGATATGGATAAGGAGGCTGGTTCGGGTGAGGCCCGTGTCAACCGTTATGCCCTCTTCATTGAGGAGGCCGGTGGCATGGAGAAGATCCACGACTGCCAGAACAATGCCAACGAGGAGATCTACATGAAGGCTTACAACATCATCGAGAAGTACTTCTCCGATGAGGATGAGGCTGCTGGTGACATTGATGAGCTCGCACCTCAACAGACCCAGACCGGTTTCGCCCTTGGCACTGGTCAGCAGCAGCCCGCTGGTGGCTTCAACTTCGCTAACGGTGGTGACTCCATGGACATGTAAAGAACTGGATACTCCTCCCATATCACATTTCCCAAGTTTCGCTAACCCTGTGCTGTACATTGGCAAGGGGCTTTTATTCTATTTCCCCCATCTTCTCCCCGCTTCCTTTTCGCCTCAGCTCCTTGTCACGATTTTCACTTTCCCCTATCCTCTGTTTCTTCCTCATCCTATTTGTGATTCACGATAAATAAGATTCACCGTCATGTAACCCCCTTTCCCACCCCCTTTTTTAGCATTCTCATACACAGGCGTATTTTGTTTGCAAGATCGGTTCCCGTTATTACTTTTTATGTTAATGTCCCCAGCCCGTACCCTCTCCAACTACGAGTGGCTTCCTTTTGGCTCTTCTTTGCCTATAGGAAATCACTGGCTCACTGGCAGCAGGAGCGAGTTATCCTGTCGATTGAAGGCTTCGCCGATAATCTAACCAAGTCTCGTTCGTTCTGTTCCTTGATTGTCGAATACGCTGTTTCCTCGTATTTATCACAGTTTGCCAGAGAGAAAAAAAGCCAATTCTTCTTTCCATATGTTCATCAAATATCTCCCCTTTCGCGGAGCAAGTAAAAACATTTTTTTCGATTTTAAGACGGATTTATCGTCTCATAATAAACTAGAGATTACGTATTATAGATTTTCGTTCATCTCTGGCATAGGTAATTTTTAGTATAAGGGACAATGGCATAAGCCGCAAACTAAAAGACATCTCGTCCTAGCCACACAAATTAATCTAGCCAGATATTCATCCAGACCAATACGACGTTGTCCTAAGGACATCTAGAAAGCACCAATTCTCTGAAGATCCAGGTCTAGAATGAGATGGGAACGTACCATTTACTCCATACAGAGGTAAGAAAAAAATAGAAAGAGAAATCAGTCATAGTAACATACACAAGTAAATATCCTTATCCGTCCAGAACAAGTTAAAAAGAAGAGAAAATTTTAGACAATTGAGAATTTAAATGGGGAAACAGAAAGGGAAAAGAACAAGCTAAGTAGCACAGAAATAATAGTAACCAGATAATGGATTATTTAGTCACCCATCACCTCATCCTCATCCGGTTCAGGTGTCCCATTGTTTAGCTCTTCATTCTCATCATGCTCACGATCAATATTTTCCTCGACGAGTTCCCGAGCACGCAGGTCTTCTTCATCATCCTCTTCTGCATGATCGGCACCATCGGCACCATCGGCATCACTCTCTTCATCGTCATCATCCACACGCTCTGTAGACTTGAAGTCCTTAGCAGCACCAGCACCAGGTGTCTGTCCCTGGCCAGCTGGTTTTGCGGGCTGTTTGCCCTTACTGCGGGGAGGACGAGGTTTCCGCTCTTCAAGATATGATAAGACCTCACGGTAGTTCTGACCCAAGCCAGCCTTATTGCGAAGCAGACGTTTCTTCAAGGTACCGCGTTTTGAGCCAGAGGCATCGGCTACTCGACCGATAATGGCTAGAACGATCTTGCCAGTCAATTCGCATAAGCGTTGCTCGGCGATGATGCTTGAACGTAGGCGCTCGGTGTTCACGGCCTCATCGTCAGAGTTATCATCCTCATCGTCCTCGGGTTCATCTTCTGATTCTGGCTCATCGTCTTCACCGGGCTCCAGGTCTTTACCGGATTTCTTTGCGAAGGTGCGCTCGGTAATGCTGTGGATCTGAAGGAGAATAGCTTGCGCTTCAGCTGGTATTTCATGAACGAGGCTTTGAGCCTGGAAAATGACATCTTCGTCGTTTCCGACGCCTTGCCCTAGGTTGCGAAGGGTGCTGAATAGTGTTTGGAGATCAAGGTAGGTGGTGGCAGCGGTAAAGCGCAGATCATCAAGATTGGATCGCTCGCTCATGATCTTAATAAGGGAAGATGAGAAAGTTTCTCGACTTTTCGTAAGTGCTTCAAAGTAAGATGTGCTGAACGAGGCCTTGCCTTCCCGCAGGGCAGATGACAAAGCCTGTACTTTCCACATGAAGTAGAATAACAATGTGCGGATGGTACTAGAGACCAGCTCTGTCTCTGCCCTGGCAACATCCTCATCATCGTCTTCTGCGAGAGTGCCACGCTCAGTGAGGTGAATCAATGTATTAAAAGGAGCCTCGTGGTGATCCTTCTTAGACTTTGAGCGAGAAGTGGGCACTGTTTCTAAAACTGCTGTACAGTCTGTGATGCCGGCAAGATTTGAAATTCGAGTTACAGCGTTGGTGAGTTCCGTCAGGGTTGGGTCGGAAATGGAGTTGCCATTCTGGACCTCCTTCTTGCGAGACAAAGCTCCAAGTGCCTCCACGAGATCATCCCACAGCTCCTGCACCTTGCCTTCAAGGGCTTCTCGCATCTCTTCGGAGCTCTTGGCATGTAAGAAAGCAACGCTTGCTTCTGCTAAGACATCCTGGTCAGAGTGCGTCAAGAATTGCCTGTTGATATCATTCAGCAGAGCGGAGTAAGCTGTAGCATCTTTCTGAAGGTCTTGAATTGTGTCTAGGTCAACCAAGTGTTCTAGTCGAAGAACAGCAGATGCGGCTTCTGGGGAAGAGCCATATTTGTTAAGAAGCTGGGGAATAATTTGTGCCAGGTTGTGAGAGATCTCCTCTTGGAGCTCAGGGATCTTGGCCGTTAGAGCTTTGTTCTTACGGCCCCGCTTATCGATGTCAGATTTGGCGATGTCAAGCACCTGAAGTTTGACAGAAGCACAAAGCACTTCGAGTAGAACAGATTCTTGTCCCTCTTGCATTTTGTACAGACTTCGAACCACTCCAGTGGAGTCATCCTCGGTTGGGCTATCGTCAATTTGGGAGTGGTCGTAAAGAAGATAGCCAGCGAGTGACTGCCATTGAGAGAGTTCTTCCATATGAGGATAAATCGCTTCAGTCGCCAAAACGAATCGCGAATCTGCCGGCGCTCCTAGAAGTAATCCACGGGATGGAACTGTAGTTTCTGGCTGCTCTACCTCCTGTTCGTCGTAGGCGTGGAAGATGTCGGCTAGGCATTTGAACTTGATCCACGAACGCTTAGGAGACTCGAAATCATCCTCATCATCATCAGGGAACATTTCATTGACCTCATCTTCCACCTCTTCTGTCATCGACTCGAGTGCATCCTGAACATTGGCAACAAAGAACTGGCCTGCCGTCTTCCGAATGCGAGGATCGACATCAAAGACGAGCCTTCCGATAGCGTCAATATCATCGGGCTCAAGTAGGCCTCCATCACGAAGATGCATCAATAACTCAATAGCTGTCGCACGCACTGTGATCTCGGCATCTTGGACAGCAATCTCCACAATACGCTGACGGAAGCGCTCTGTGAAAGAATTGAGAACACCCACATTATCTTTCTTCTCATAAAGGGGAAGCAGTTGTGACAGTGCAATCAACCGTGTGCTCGGGGCGACATCTGAGAGAATCCAGCCAATATATCGCAAATATTGACCTTCAAAGAAAAGCTCTCGGTATGAGCGAATCCAGCCGCCCAGAGCTGCGATACATTCGGCACGGATATTATCATCTACATCGCGGTAACGATGGACAAAGATTACATCGAATCCGTCTTGAATAAATTCATCCAGTTGTTGCAACTTTTGTTCATTCTCTGATATGGCCGTCTGGATGGCTTCAACTCTGCCTTTGTTCACAGATTTCTTTTTCTTCTCGCTTTCAAGCTGCTTACGAGAAGTAGTCAGAGTCGTCGCAACCTCTTGAGCGATTTCACATAGTGCGTTCATAATCGCCAGAGATACAATAGTGGCCGTATGCCGGATTGGGCGACAATTGGCCGTGCTCATGGGAGTAAACCAAACTTGGATGTTTTCAAGTAGAGACTCATCCGTGTACAATACTGAGGAGTGGTGGAATGTTTGGATAAGAGCAACCATGAACTCCTCCAGAACAGGTTGGAATGCACGATATTTTTTCGCGCGAGATATTAGAGGGTATTCTGCGATGCCCTGGTCTTGGTATGTGCTCTGGAGGTCTGTGAGTCGAGCAGCCGCATTGTCGATGTCCTCGGCTTCCTCTGTAGTAATCTCCAGGTCGGAGCCGGTGCATCGCAGAACAAAGTTCACAATATCCCGGACAGCTTGCCACTGGTTGCGTTGGTACAGATTCAGCCATTGTGCGGCCGCGGTATCGGCGTTGTTACTTTTGCCAAAGACCTCCGCTGCAAATGAATTGATTAGATGAAGAAGAAAAAGGTTGCACGTCTGATGATCACTTACCATAGATACCACGCTCGCCCGCCGCGAGACTAGGCCGTACCTTGGGATTCCGGGGACGCGGTGCCAATAGGCGGCCATTGAGGGCGGGCCGAAAGGCCAGTTGTCGTCCGACTCCATTGGTAGCAACCTTTGGCTTTTTCGATGCAGGAGCCCTTTTTCTAGATGTTGTTTTCTTCGTTTTGGTCTTGCGAGCGGCGCGTCGCTTTGCTTTTATCTCTTCCTCGTCCGCGGCATCATCCGAGGATTCATCGCTTTCCGAATCGGAAGACAAGTCGTCATCGTCCTCGTCGTCATGCGCATCGCCGCGCTTGCGTTTCCCACCGAGTGCTTGTTCGCGTCCGGAATGATTGCTTTGAGAAAATACGTCTGGTCGTCGCGTCGTTCGACCGGATTTGCGGCGGTCCTCCGCGGGGGTGGATGAAGGGTCACTGGCATTGTCTATGTCCATGATGAATAAAATATTTCAGGCAAGTTACTAGTGACAATCAGATGGAATATTCGGTCAAAATAAAAGGTTTCGGAGGTATAGATTGAGGCCGCGACAGCGCACGTCAGATAGACACGCGCTTCGTGAAACGCGCCGTGCGAGGGGAGTAAAGAATTTTAGATAGATCGTCAAGCGGGGGGAAAGGAATCCGCGTGAGATATTGGCGACCGGGGACAATTCGAAGCTGATCAATACCCCACAGCTCGGCTGGAAAGAATGAGAATGTCGAGGGAATAGACAGCGCCCGATGGAGACTCAGGGTGGGGGGTCTGGTACGAAAGGAGGTGGACGCGCTTGAGTGCCTTGGTGCCTGGATTCATCAAATTAACATTGGGACTAAATATAGATTAGGCATATGTAGTTAATATGACATAATTAAAATATGTCTCTGGCAAGATGGCCGAGCGGTCCAAGGCGCACGGTTCAGGTATACCTGATCCAAACATCCGTGTCTCGATTTCGGGGCGGGGGTTCGAATCCCCCTCTTGTCACTTTCTTTTTTTTTTTTTTTTTTTATTTAATTATTAATTTGGAATCCATTATCAATTTTCCGGTTTCTATTCACGCATTTGTTTTTGTTACAAAAAACAATGGAGAAGACCTTGATGGCCAGTCTGCATATCTAGGCACAATTCACATGTAGGGGGACATCTCACACATGCAGGGAGTAGTTAACTTTTGCCGAATCTTGGAAGTACTGTACGTAGTGCATCATCAGCTGCGGGTAAACGCAATACACTATATGCATATCCACCTTGGCAGCACTCAGCTTTTGCATTGGTAGACATTCGATTTGCTGGGGATGTCCACCTGGGCTGTTAATACTCAATTTCCCGAGCAATTGTGTGACCTACTCGTATGGGCGCTTGTAGCCTAATGTTACCTGCACCATAATATTGTTTAACATTTTTAATTGATGATACCTCTTTATACTTATGCTCGGGAAAGTACTGCAATTATGAGACGGCTCATCGCAGCCAGTCTTTCAAGTGTACCGGAGTATCTTGCAAATACCAGTACAATATCAATTGATATCATGCATCTGGTATATTACTTACTGTCCCCAGTCATCCAACTTACCCCTCTACTCACCCTCATACTCAAGTCCATCCTCCGTAAATCTTGGACAATTCCTCACAGGAGGAAATCCCTTTACCCCGAATCTCTGCCAGTGGATCGGACCTCGGAAGGACTTTGCTGATCGGTAAGATCGCCAGGGCTAGACGGGACCTGGCTGTGTATAGTGTCAGGTGAGCCGAGATATTTGATTTGAATCCTCAGGGAATTATGAATCGCTTGTCAGAATGAGTCTATTCCAGGCCACTTTAAAATTAGATTCAAATGGCCAAATGACCACATATTCATCATCGTTTTAGTCTTAGCCAGCGTGTAATTGCGCCATGGGGCGAGGAGTGGATGGGCTCATGACCGCCGACGGCCGTGCAAATCAGCAGCACAGAGCATTGATGCCTGGGCCTTCAGGCCAACAAATTACATAAAGTCCCTATAGTGGGGTGTCACGGGATTGACGATCACGTCAACAGGGGTCATGATTGGTTCAACCTCATCACGTGGTGCAGGACCTGGCGGACTGTGGGGAATAAGTGTGTCATAGAAACTACCCGCCGCGTCCACCATCCAGTCTATTGCTGTCCGGTCCAACAAAGCCAAGAAAAATCGATGCACAAGAGGTGAGAAAGCGCCCCCGCTTGACACATAGTCTTTGGGTTGAGCCACCCAGACCGACGCTAGGTGGGCTCCTCATTGACTAATGGATGCCATCATTCCTTGGGCTAAAATTATATACCAGTCACGTCCCCATGATTCCGGGGTAAAGAAAACTCTACTCGCCTCTGCAAAACATCATGCTGCAGCTTCCTGCATATTCTTACATCGCCCCGACACCTTACTGAGTGCATGCAAGTCTTGGCACATTCTTTGTCCTTCCGCCCCGTCTAGTTAAATTCCTCCACTCCGCTGCTCACCCCCCCACCGTCTCTTAAAACTTGAATTCCAAGTTTCCCGATAAAAGACCTCTCATTCCACCTCACACACAACCATCAATATGAGACGACAACCAGCAATGCCCATTCGCTCGCCCTTTGAGTCTTCAATCGCGAAGCCGGGCCAGGGTCATGTCGTCCTCTCTTTACTTCCGCCTAATAACCCCACCTTGACAACCCTCACATACAAATACCCATTAAAGCTCGTTCCGCGAGCACCAGGGTTTGTCCCTACGCCAGATCCAGCCGCACTATCAGACGAGTGCCCATCAAGGCCTGTTCATCTCTACCTCCTCACATATGGCGGTGGTCTGCTCCCAGGCGACCATATCGAGGTGACAATCGAGCTTGAACAGCGCACAAGAATGGTGGTGACTACACCACAAGGAAGCACGAAGATCTTCAAAACAGATCCCAGCGCCGACTCAAGTTTCAACGTTATTAAGGGCCACCGCAACAAGTTGCCCGCTAACGAACACATCTCCGATATGAGTCAGCAATCTTTAGACGTGAAGATCGGCCGCCAAGCTGCTCTCTGCTACCTGCCTGATCCATCCGTTCCATACAAAAACAGCCGCTATGCTCAAGTACAAACATTCACCGTTGATGCCTCAGCAAAGGGCGATCAGCGCAGCAGTCTTTGTGTACTGGATTGGGTGACGCAAGGCCGCACATCCCGCGGCGAGAACTGGAACTTTCGATTCTGGAAAGGCCGAAACGAAGTCTGGGCCACGGATGCAAAGAGCGGCAAAAGCCGTCTTCTACTCCGTGACTCTGTCATTCTAGACGATGAATCCGAAGCGCTAGACGACTCCGACTCCGAGGAAGAAAGTGGCGGGGGCGGCATAGAAAGCGGATTAAATTCCCATTCCAACCGTGCCGAGACACCACCCCCTCAACCAGGTCTTCTGCCCTTGAACGAAATCATACAAGAACGTACCCGACCCCACGGCGTCGTGGGAACATTAATTCTCTCCGGTCCTATCTTCGACAAGCTAGGCGCTTACCTCCTGCACCAATTCACATCACAACCTCGGATCGGCAGCAGGAATTGGTCTTCGAATTCCTCAACCGCCCCTGAGGCCTCACTTAGCACAAACGGAGACGGTCACGTCACCTGGACAGCTGCACGGGTACGTGCAGGCTTCGTCCTTGTTAAGTTTGGTGCCAAGGACTTCGAGACTGCCAAGCACTGGCTTGGCGGTCTTCTCCGTGAAGAAGGGAGCATCATTCGCGAGTTTGGCGAGGAGGCTCTTTTTTGCCTCTAAGCTTAGCTTAAGTTTGTCGTGCCTTTCGTCTCGAGCACTTTGTTTGAATCAACAAGCATCCACTCCCCCGATGATACCCCAAGAGCTCTCATAGGTTCTTTATATTCGGGCCTAAGGCTCCTCTGGGCCTGGGTTTCTTTGTCTTTTTTATTGAATATCTTTTGTACTGCTTTTTAGCCATGCATGCGATTTGATCTTTGAGGTGATCGCCCTGGATCCAGGCACGAGGGTGCATATCCAGAAAAAACAAAATATGGGCATTTCTTGAATGATAGCATAACTGCGCTGCAGTTCCTATTGAATAAAAATTTGGCCGTCAGCTGGTCTGGTCTTTTCGATTCTCTATTACATTCAAGTCTCTGTTCTATAAAAGTACGTAATATCATATACATTCCATATTATCCCAAAAAGAATATTATCTCAGAAACAAGAGGACAAAGCCAGAAGAGAAGAAGAAGAAGAAGAATCTATTTAAGATGTCTAAAGTAGCAAAAGAGGTATCATAAGAAACATCCCAAACTCCAGGACTTGAATCCCCGCAAAGCAATGAACAAAGACGAAAAAGAAATGTATCAATCATATCTCATAAAACCTCCAAGGTCAAGGATCTACCACCACCACCACCACCAATCAAAGATCCCAACCCTCCAACTCCCCTTCGTAGCCCCAACCAAATCATCAACATTCAACACATCAACCCCCTCCTGCACCAAAACGCGCCAAACATAATTCCTCAAACTCCGCGGCCAACTCGGCAACCCCCAATATCTAACCCTAAGACCAAGTCGATGCGCGACATTCACCTGTCCTCGAAGAAGTTCCATCTGCCTCTTCGAGAAACGCAACCCCCCCGAAAACCCCAACGCATCATTCAACGAAATAGAGGCATAGTAACTATTCGTGATATTGTACTTACTGTCCATATCTGGGATATCAGAGAAAGCATTCTCACTTTCAAAATTCAAGAAAGAAAGAACTCCCTCTTCAACACTATCCCCACCGACAAGTTTGTTCAGCGGTGCATCAAAGAATATATCCCTATATGTCGAATTGGAAATAACAAGTTCAAAGGGCGTGTTCCCCGTTCCGACCACAGTAATCGGTCCGTGAATAACATCATTCCCATCGAAATACGTAAGAAACCCCCGTTCACGAAGAGGTTCCAATTCCTTCATAACAGAGACCCAAGTAGATTCCCCATCTGTTTTGAAGTCGATCAACAACACAAGTGTCTGCTCGGGATCTGTATCGAAAACACCATGCGAAGGGGTAGAGATGAAGCGCTGAAATGGCGTGATGGGATTTTGTTGTTCCAGGATTCTGAGCAGAGGTTCAATGTACATTGATTGAAGGGTTCGGTGCGCTGTTAACGAGGCTGTTGTGTGGCCTACGTAGAGAGTGTCTTCCGAGTCGAAGGCCCAGACATCTGCCTCGACACTTGTACAGCCTGCTTGTAGGGCTGAGTAGAGGGGTACTCGGCGCCAGTAGTCGTTGTGAGAGTGGCAGGCGACAGGGAAGATGTCGCGGGAGAGATCCGTTGGCCATTGCGTGATGTCTGTGTCTGTGTCTATGCCTGTGGCGGTGTTTGTGGTGCGGGCCCAGCGGGAAGCTGCGCGGTCGTATTCATCTGGGAAGAAGGAGAGAATAATGCCACAGGTAAGAGTGAGGAATTGGACCAGGCCGCTGGGTATTATGTTAGTAGGTAGATCGGGCCAGGCCAGGGTGGGTTGGTGCTTGATTTGGTCCAGTCCAGATCTAGATTAAATCCAGCTAGCTAGCTAGCTGGACTGATAAATGGATCGGAATCGGGATATTAGGAACGTATAACGTACAGCATTACGAAAAAGGCGAGCAAAGAGTGCACGAGGTATCGTGGGATGCGCGAGCGACCGTGTCGCTTTTTTCGCGGCAAGGATTCCTCTAGAAGGGGGATGTCTTCTTCGTCGTCGGCTCTGGAGCTAGAGCTGGAGTGTTTGGATAAAGGGAAGCAGCTTAGTGCCCAGGCTTGACGCCATAGGCTGGCGCTGGTGTTGATGCGCGGCCCCACATGCTGAGGGACATGGTTCATTCGCACGTTGGCATTCTTCATCTCGGCATGATCCGGGGAGTCTGAGTAGGCTTCAAAGGGCGTGGTAACCACATATTCAGAGGGTGTGGAGGGGTGTCGCTCTGATAATAAAGAAACCTCCATTATGGGTAGGTAACTTAAATGGCACAGGCAGTTTCTGCCTGTATGTGAGGGGGAGGGGTGAGTGAACACAAATGCATCATTAAAGGAAGGAAGGTCATTATTATATTCTTATTTTATTTTATTTCTTAAAAATTCTTAAACTCTTACTTCCGTCCTACCACACAGATATCACTATGATCTTCTTGAATAGATAAAAAAGAGTTTTGGATAAAAAAAGGGTTCAACCCAATAGACTTTGCCATGTTGTACTAATGAGGGTATTGATTGGGTGGAGAGGGAGCGGGAGTCGGTGTATATGCATTAAGGTTCTCGATGGGATGCATGCTACACCGTTCATAGCTGGGATAGGTCATCCGAACATCAATTATGGTGGGAAGTACCGAGTACCTGACCTGGATAATACCAGTAAGGTTATATGGGAAAAGCTGTTATATACTTAAAAGGGTACATAGAATGTCACCTGTGCACTAATTTAACTAGTTTAGCATACTATGAAAAAGATACGCTTCATGCCACATTAGGAGAAACCCGGATAGATCGGCGGTTGATTTGCTATTGCGCTTTATATACAACGAATGCGATGATCCCAAACACCCACGGGTTCCACTCAGACCCGGCTTTTTGTTTTGAAAGAGACAAAAGAGAAAGAAACAAGAAACATGCAAGATACCAAAAAAAAAAGGAAAATATAGGAAAAAATTTAATATCGAGAATACATTTTACTCTTCCTGTCGAAGAGACTTCGCATAAGCTGCAGCCCGTGCTTGAACATTCTCCACCATCTTCTCATCTCCACCAGCAGCAACCAACTTCTCTTCAAAAGCAAGCCACTTTTTGAATAAGAAAGTAGCTTGCTTGGGCTTAAGCTTCTTGCTGGCGTCGATGTTGATCGCACCCTTCTTGTGTTGCAGACCGAGAACCCGCTCGAACAGACGGCGCACTTGATCGGCATCACCGACCTTGATTTCAAGATCCAGAAGCACGTTCCACAGGTCAATGCGCTTGGGGAAGGAGGAAAGGAGACCCTCGAACACGGTACGTCCGTGCTCGGCATCACCGTGCTCGGATCGGAACTCCAGTTGGGCGAATTTGAGAGTGGTATCGATGTGAGTGTGTTTGGGGACAGATTGTAAGGCGCGAGCGAGAAGACCGCGACCACGTGCGGGAGCGGCCAAGGTGTCGAAGAGGAAGCTAGCGTAGTTAAGGAAGAACTTGGGGGATTGGTTTGAGATCTTCTTCTTCATGGCGGTTCGGAAAAGATCATCCGCTTTCTGCAGAGGAAATATAATTAGTACCGGAATTATTAAGATGAATATGAGGCAGGGGGACGTAAAGACTTACCTCGTTTTTGCCGGATTGGATGTAAATGCTGATCATACGGTCGTAAATCTCCTGGGCATCGTTGAATGTGCATGCACGCTTGAAGACCTCCTCAAGGCTGTCATCGTCGCCATATGTGTTCTCCAAGTTCAGAAGAGCCACCCAGATGTTCAGCTTCTCGGAATCTTGTCCCATAGTGATGGTGCGAAGGGCACGCTCAGCAATAGTGCGAGCCTTCTCAACTTCACCCAGCTCCAGTTGGAATGCCATGTACTGAAGCCACAGTAGCGAGGAATCAGCTTCACCCAACAGAAGACGCTCGAAGTCAGCGACAGACTGGGGGCCGTTGGCATCCAAGTCACCGGTACGATCAACCTGGATTTCAGGCTTGCTCTTCTTCTTCTTTTTCTTCTTGGAATCTTCATCATCGCTACCAGCTGCTGAATCCTCTGCTTGATCTTGGAGATCACCATTCCAATCGAAACCGCTAGCACCAAGACCACCATCCTTGGAGGGCTTGGTTCCGGACATAGCAACATCATCGTCGCTGTCCTCTTCATCTTCATCCTCCTCCTCATCCTCGTCATCGCTGTCACCCTCAACATCAACACCACCCATGGAGATATCATCATCACCACTGTCATCCTCGTCAAGCTCGACACCGCCGAGGTTATCTTCGCTCATGTCTTCATCATCACTATCCTCATCTTGGAAGTGAGAAGCCTTAAGCGAGAATGAGATCTTTCCTTGTTCACGATCGATGTTGATAATCTTGGCCTTGACAGCATCACCGTCGTTGTACAGGGTGCGAGCATCTTGTACTCGCTTGTCAGCCATCTCGCTACGGTGGCAGAGACCACTGACGTTCTTGGATCCATCGATAACAATGAAGGCACCAAATTCCTCGACCTTACGGACCTTTCCGGTAACGATCTGGCCAGCCTTAAGATCATGGAGAGTAACAAGAGCCTTGAAGTTAGGGTCCAAGGCGGACTCCTTCAAGCTCAATTGCAGCTTACCCTGCTCGGCATCCGCCAGAATGACACGACCCTTGACAAGTTGATCCACCTGGAAAGAATCCTTCCATTCCTTAAGGTAGGAATCGGAGAGATCAGATATACGAACATAGGCATTGACATCATGACCAAGGGTAATGAAGAGACCAGCATCTGTGACGCGCTTGACAAATCCACGGACAATATCATTGGCCTTGAGGTCCTTGATAGAGGAGATCTCAGGGTCCTGAACAGGGAGCGCTGAGCTTAGAACCTTGGAGGGGCGAAGGGATAGAAAAATCTTCTTGTTTGGCTTGTCAACGGCAACAACGCAAGCCCGAAGGACCTCGTTCTTCTGGTGCACAGTAGGGATGGCCTTGGAGTAATCATCGGCCATGTCAATCAAGTTAACGGCACCAACGAGGGCATCGTTAAGTTGCATGATAACTTGCTTCTCGGTGATCTTGGTCACACGACCAGCCAAGACCATACCGACAGAGATGTCGTTGAGGGAAAGCTTATCGAGCCCTTGCTTAGCAGAAAGATCCAAGTGGCCCTTATCAGCATTGACAGCAGTCACCTGGACCTTCAGTGCTGATCCAATGGGGAAGTTCTTTTCGACATCTGTCAAGAGAGACAAATCATCGGAGGCATCCATGAAGCGGAGACGACCTCTGACATTGGGGGACAAGTTGATCCAGAGGGAATCATCAGCAACATTGTTGACAAAGCCCATCCAGGAGGATCCAAGCTTGACTTGATCCATGGTCAAGGGCTCAGCGCTGGCGGCCTTGAGGAAGCTGGGCTTCAGCGAAAGCTCAAAGACGGGATACTTGCCACTGCGGTGGGAGATAGGAAGGAACTTGTGGTTGCGGGCATCGTGCACACCGAGAATTCTAGCAGACAACTCCTGCTTGGCCTTGAAAAACCGGAGAGGCTGTTTGCGGTCCTTGATATCATTCCATTTGTCGAAGATCTCAGAGACATCGATACGACCCTGAATGTTATCTGCGAGCTGGACGTTGATCTGAGTGGACTTGATGTTGGCGACCTTGCACTTAACGATCCGGCCGAAGGTGAGATCGGAAAGAGTGCTGACAGTGTCGTCAACTGGGTTGGAAAGGGCGTCGTTTGGTTGGTTGAGAACTTTAGCCTGCTTGGGACCCGGTTGGGCTGCCTCAGCCGACTTCTGGCTCAGGATGAAGCGCTGGGCGTCATTGTCGACAGAGTGAATAGTCACAGAGACAGTCTGGCCCTTTGAAGCTCCAAACTCAACCTGAGAGAGGTTGTCTTCTTCGATGAGACGCTTGGGAACAAGACCAGTCAGACCCCCGAGGAACTCAATGAAAAGACCCGCAGGAGTAATGTTGCGGACGAAACCAGTAACCTTTGAGCCCTCTTGGATATCACTGAATTGTCCAGGAATGGTGGACTGCTTGGCGGCCTTCTTAAGGCTGGCTCTGGCAGTGACTCGGATAAGGCGATGAGCGCGCTGAATGTCGAGAACCATGAGGTCGTTCAGCTTTTGGCCGACACGAATCTTGGAAAGAGTAGAGTGCTGCTTAGAGGGGGATCCGTCAATGACGTGCTGGACATCTAAACGAGCCACAAGACCGGACTCGTCAAGCTTGAGAAGAACATCGTCATTGGACTTTTCGAAAACGGTTCCAGCAAGGAGCAGACCAGGGTGAATATCCTCGAAGGCCTTGCGGTACTTCTCGGTGAATGTAGATGGGTCCTTGCAAGAAACTGCAAGTCTACCTTGGGATGCATCAACGCTAAGGGCATGCACATTGACGACTTGGCCGAGCTTGAAATGTTGGGCAGGGTCCTTGATGTATGCTTCACTCATCTCGGAGACAGGGAGGAAACCACGGACAGTGCCGTAGAATTGAACAACAGCACCATGAGGCTGAAGGTTAACAATAGTTCCAGGAGACTGGGCTCCAGCCAAGATATCCTTGTAGTCTTTCCAAATGGCAGATTCGCTGTTAAGCAAACTCTTCTTCAAAGTTAAACGAATCTGGCGCTTCTCAAGGTTGACTGAAAGAATTCGCGCGGAAATCTTCAGGCCCTCGCGGAACTTCTTCTCTGGGAATTGAAGCTGGGAATCCGCAAAGTGCATGGACGGGACAAGACCGGAGATACCATCTGCAAGGCTGACGATTAAACCATCCATACCAGTGGCTCCGACAAGGAGCTTCTCAATCTTGCCCTTAACAATAGCTCCGACAGTGACGTCCTCAAGACGAAGGAAGGGCTGCTCAATCACAGTCTTCTCGAAAGAAAGGAGGTAAAGGTTGTCGAGCATGTTGAAACCAACAACTCGTGCTTCGTGAGTGTTTCCAGCCTTGAATGGACCTGAATCATCTGAGATGGATTCAACTTTACCATCTGACAGTCGGGAGATGTGTACGAATCCAAGGTGATTGGTCTCGCCAATCTGAACGTACACACCCAAGCCGGGGTCGACCTTGATGATCTTGGTCTCGGGGATGATGGCAGAGATAGCAGGAGCCTCGGTAGATGAAGTAGGGCCAGAAGCTTCAGAAGAAAGCTTGAGGACGTGGTCAAGCAGCGAGAAGCCGACCTTCAAAGGCTCGGCGGATGGGTAAGTAGAAATGACACGACCCTTGATCTTGGCTCCGATCTTGAACTTCCGTACCAGATCGACCTTGCCATCATTGGCACCGGACTGGACCAGATCGACAGTTGCGTCGAGCATACCCATAATCTTTCCCATCATGCCATTCTCGGTGACCTCAGTCAGAAGAATCTCAGCAGCAACACCGGGGAGGAACGAGCCGATTGTTGGGGCAGCGTTCAGGAAATGCGATTTCTTAATATTGGCGGCTGATGGAAGGTTGGTGGAAAGCTTGATCACGTTTCCGCTGGCGTTCTGTCCTGTCACGATACACAGATAGACTGAACCCTCCTTGATGCTGTGGTAGTCCACGCGAGGGTCAATTTCCTTAGAAGACATGAAACCCTTCAAATCTGAGCCCTCAATACCAAGGTCCATAACCAGACCGTGATCTTCAACACTGAGGACGGATGCTTGGATAGCGGTTTCGTTGACCAGGTCGGATTTAGAGAGACCAGTGTTGGCTTGTCTGGGATCAATGGCAAGCTCAAGGCGCTTCTTGTTGCGACCACCAGCCTCGACGGCCTCGGCGCCAGTAGAAACTACATAAGTACGCAGGTACTGACCTAGGTAGAAGTAGTCCTTGAGGTCGATAGAATCTTCATCCGAGCTGTCTTCGTCATCGTCGTCCTCCTCTTCGTTGAGCAGCTTCTGAATTTTATCATCGAGAACCTTCGAAACGGAAGTGAGAGAAACAAAGCCGACAAGACCGTTTGGCAGAGAGAGTGCGATTTCGTGGGCGGTAATTTTTGAAACCTGACCGAGAATCATGGATCCGGGTACAATACGCTGTATATGTTAGCCAGACTACCCAAGTGGGATCTTTCAGCAACGAAACTGCATACCTTAAAGCTGAGAGGCTCAATGCGAACGCTAGGCTTCTCTTTCTTTTCCTTGACGTCGGACTTCTTGCCCTTGGTCTTCTTCTTGCGTGATTTCTTTGCGGGGGCCTCGGCGTCTGCGTCCTCCATATCATCATCCTCATTATCGTCGTCTTCGTCAACTTCGCGAGTTGAAGGTTTCCTTGATCCCTTTGACTCGAACAGGACATCTCTGGTGGCTTGAATCTGAATTTGCTTGCGTTCCAATGCGGTCAAAACGCTAGCACCGCCACGAGGGAAAGATGGCTCATCATCACGAAGAACAGAGAGCTCCGAAGGCTTCGGGGCGGTATCTGGCTTTTGTTCTTTTTTGGGTTCCTCTGCGCCGACCTTAGCGCGCTTTTGTGGTTGACGGGAAACCGTCTCTTCAGGGGCGTTCCCCTTTCGTTTTATCGGCGCCATTGTGGTTAGGCAAGACCGACTATATTGAACGGTTGGGAGAATCTCGTTGTTTCGCAAAGAAAAAAAAAATCGAAAAATCCGATTCTGCGCGGCAGAATGCTTGGCGGTGAGGATAGGTGGGACCGCCTTTGATTTGTGCCTTGACACCTTGAGATGGAAGATTTACTAACTAACGTTAACTAACCTAACTAACTAGTTAACTAACTAACTAGTAACTAATATACTGACTAAGTAAGTTATACAAGTTTCTACACTTTGGAAATATTAGAGAAATAAATTGTTATTTTTTATCTCAAAATCACAAAGAAATAGTTTCAATATATTGCGCGATACTTTTCTACTAAAATGATTCATGTCTCACAAGCATTTTGCCATTCGCGCGAGTCATAAACAATGGAACGTGTACATACCCGTGGATGGTACTCTGAAGTTACCAGGTATAGATGTACGATTTTTGTATAGATCTCTACTTTTGTAGTATTGGACGTGGGAGAAATTGGACCATATACCACTTATTTACTAATGTTTTTAGAAAGATCATTATTCATTTAAATAGTTCCAAACTAACTAAATTATCTAAGAGGGAGAGAATTTATACCCTAGGTGTCAAAAATGCCCATTACACGCTCCGCGTCACGTCCAATGCGCGCAACACGACCCGCTTCTCATCTTACCCCCTTGGGCCAAATCTTTTCCGCCCAATGTATTCCACCACAGCCTTTCACCTCACCATCGTCCATGCACACAATGGATCGGGTTTCTGGTCTTCCTGAAGTACCCCAATCAGAACCCATCCTACCGACCTCATACCGGGAATTTCGCCCTCAACAAATCCCATCTTCCCCACCTTCTGTGGCATCCGACATTGGCAGCGGACGAAAACTTCGTAAACCTCCAACGGTTACGCCTCGGTCGTTTAGGCGCTTTTTCACCCCACGGTCTTTACTAAACAGCGGAAGTAATGGCAGCGTCAAAACAAGTCGACAGGCTTTGCGAGTGTTGAATTCACCGGCCGTCAACCGACTCGGTCCCGCATTCACCAGATCGTCCGATGGTCGCCCCCAAAGCCCTTGTGATGGCGGACTGCCAGAGGAAACCTTTCGAACACCGAGTCGGAAACGGAAACATTCATTTTCCTCGGTTGCGTCGCCGCTGCAATCTTCACCACTGAAAAAAGTTCGTCTGCGCTCTCCGGTTGTCAATAATGAGGTGGAACAAAAAACCGTGATTCGAGATGTCGATTTGAGCGCGCGAGGGCGTTATCGCGAAGCTACACCTCCGAGCCCCCCGAAGCATCGGCCAGTCTCGCCGGTCACTCGATCACGGGCGTTGCAGACTTCTGGAGCTTTGTTTATGCGCACACTGCGGGGAAGCCGTGCTGACCGGCTCACTATCCGATCGACTGCTGGAGCTGGTTGGTTCTTTGTTCTTTGACACTATATAACTGGACTCAACTTTTAACATTTGAACAGGTTGGCAAGATGTCACTTCGGACTTTCACACACGACCAGAAGACCGTCACTCATGTACAAGTTATGCCAACGAAGGACAATTAGCACTTCCGTTTTGTAATGCGTCTTGTAACAGTGAGTGCTGCGAACCTAGCCCTCATCAGATTGAATAGCAACTAATTGTGGACAAAGCAAACTCACTAGTGGCCGTGGGCGATGAAGAAGGAGGAATCCGTTTGCTTGATTCGTCCAAGGAGGATGAGCGAGGCTTTTCTGGCGCATATCTTGGTTTTCGTCCTCACATGAACTCCATTATGGATCTGGAGTTCTCTTCGGATGATATGCTGCTGGCTACGGCCTCTGGCGATCAAACATCACTGGTCATTGATATGACCACGCAACGACCAATTCACTGCCTGTCCAACCATGTGTCTTCGGTAAAGCGAGTGCAGTTCCAGCCAGCTTCGAACAACAAAGTCCTGGCTACTTGCAGTCGTGATGGTAACGTCAATATTTGGGATCTTCGTTGCAAAGGGTTTGAGCGCCCTTCACTGCAAGTCCGTTGCTCATTGGAGTCGGAGGCTGAAAGCTCGACGATGCCTGCTCCGAAAATGACATATCCACACGTTCTCAACACAATCCATGGTGCTCATGCTTATACAACACCACAAAAACCAGCCATTGATAAGTTCGAACAGCCTTCCTTTGGACGATCTGACATTACCGTTACATCGTTGGCCTTTCTCCCTCCTGGCCAAGAAAATCTTTTTGTTACCGCGTCTGAGGCTAGTGCAAGTGTTCGTCTTTGGGACTTGCGGACCGCGCACAACAGCCGTCGTGGTCGACCTGTTCTCCCATTGTCCACGACCAGGGAGCCAGACAGCCATGTAAAATATCGACGCTTTGGTTTAACCTCGATGGCATTTGGTGGCGATGGCTCAAGGCTGTACACCCTTTGCAGAGACGGCACTGTCTATGCATACTCTACCTCGCATCTGGTACTTGGTCATGCTCCAGAACTTTCTTTGAATAACGACCGCCCACGCCGCTCTGGAGGCTCCGACAAAGAAGGGCTGGGGCCTTTGTACGGGTTTCGCCACCCAAGGCTCCAAGTTTCCTCATTCTACGTCAAACTTGCAATGCGCAAGGCAGCCAACGACCGCCCCGAAATGCTAGCAGTCGGCAGTAGCGATCAGTGTCCAATACTTTTCCCTACTGATGAGTGTTTTCTCCAGTCTCCGGTCAAAAAGTTCCAAGAAGATGATCTCCCGCGCCAACCATCCTTGTTCACCACTCGATCGGGACTTCGGCGTACCAACTCTGGCTTGGGCTTATCTGGACGTCTTGAGGACACTATCCCTATTCACCAATCGGGCACTCCTCTTGTTGAAGGTCATCAGAAAGAAGTGACGGGTATGTCATGGACTGTTAATGGTGAGCTCATCACAGTTAGCGATGACTACAGCGCTCGCTGTTGGCGTGAAGGTCCCGAAGCTCGCGAGCTTCGTAATTCTGGTGAATCCGAGGGACGTCGCTGGCAATGCGGCTGGGCTGCTACGAAAGACTCATATGACGATGAAGATGAATGATCTTGTTCAAGGCGTTTGTTCTTTTCTTTTTCTGTCTATTCTTTGTTTATTTATTACATTGTGGTGGTGTTTACTCATGGGCGGTTTTATTTTTATTTTGGCATTTTCCGGCGCTATTGGGGCATTTTTTTTTAGCGAGCATACCCGTGTCTGCATTGTCACTGCATTTCTCGGGGATTTTTGATCATCGACTTGTCATTTCTAACCACCTGGGCAGCATGCCTATTGCTGGATGTTCGAATGTGCTGGTTGTCTATGGACGATTACTGGATATCAAACATTTCATATCATCAATTGATATTCTGCAATTAAATACCTTCAGAACACTAATTTTTCGTACTCAAGTTCCTGTTTTATCATTAATTTCGTATATAAGCTTCATAAAATCAGCACAGCCCAGCAGACTAGAAGGCAATAGACTGGAAATTGTTGGCCCAAGTCCAGCTATATGACTCGGGTTTGCGATAAGAGGCTGATTGGCCGATAACGTTGGCACCGAGAAAAAAAAGTTCCCGACCAACTTCAACCCTCTGCACTCCGCATCACCACCAACAATCAAAATGCCTCACAAGCACAAGCGCCGAGAGCACGATGAAGCGTATGTATTTCTGTATACCAGAGCATCAATTTAATCCAATTAATTCAATTAATCCAATTAACATCTCCTTTTCTATCCAGTCACTTCAATCTTCCACCTTCGATGATCGCAAAATCGCTCCCAACCCGCGATCCAAATGCTAAGCCCAAGGATGGTAAAAATGGAAAGAAGGGCAAAAATGGCAAGAAACAGCCACAGCAAAATCCACAGAAATCAGGCGGCAAACAACCAACTGGACCCGCCACTAGTCGTCGAAAGAGCAACAAAGAAGACGATACCCCGAAAGCCTTCCAGCGATTAATGCAGTACCAAACAACAGGCCGGCGGGCGCCTTCTGGTCTGGAAACGGGCGAGAAGAAAGAGAACAAGAAGCGAAAGCGGGAGGCAGCGGACGAAAATGATGCAAAGAGTGCAAAGAACGCAAAGAGCAAAAAGCCTGCTGCAACACTTTCTGAGCAGGCCGCGGCGTCTGGCGTCGATGCTAAGAACGCCATACCCAAGATTTTACCCGGTGAAAAGCTTTCTGATTTTGCGGCGCGTGTTGATCGTGCACTCCCGCTTTCGGGAATGACGAAGTCAGCTGGTGGTGCTAAGTCGAAGGATCACAAGATGACGAAGCATGAGAAGCATCTTCGACGATTGCAGGAAGGATGGCGAAAGGACGATGCGCGGATCAAGGAGAAGGAACAGGCTGAGCGGGAAGAGAGGGAGTTTGAGATGGCTGATGAGTTGGAGTTGTTGAAGTCGTGGGAGCAGGATATGCGAGGTGGAAAGGCTAAGAAGAAGCAGCCTGTGAAGAAGAGCGGTGGCGATGATGGCAGTGACAACGATGATCCTGATCCCTGGGCGAAGCTGAAGAAGCGTGATAAGGAGCGCAAGGCTAATCCGTTTGAGGTTGCTGAAGCGCCGCCTACGTTGTCGAAGCCCAGAGAAATCTTCAAGGTTCGCGGAGGGGCCAAGGTTGATGTCGCCAATATTCCCAATGCGGTTGGTAGTTTGAGGCGGCGCGAGGAACTCGCTGGAGAGAGAAGGAGCATCGTGGAGGAGTACAGACGCTTGATGGCTGCGAAGCGAGGTGAATAGTTAGTGGTTAGAATACCCTTATACATGCCGTGAGTTTTATAAAATCAACATGTACATAAATGTTACCTATTATGAGAGGCCAGCAAAATCTACAATCCTCCAGTTTTCCCTTAAAGCAGCATCGTCAGAATTCGATGGACAGAGACATCATCGGAACTCATATAAAGAATGTACTCTAGAACCTTGGAAGTTTTACAAATTGTAACACTGCTACATTTGCAATTATTTGCACGAGAAGTCAATCATATGCAGCCGCAGAAGAATTACTAGTCCACTGCGAATTCATTTCTATGTAACATCGAATTACTGCTTTTTTTGTTGTTTCGTTGGAACATCAGGGTAGTCTTCTTTAATGACCGTGGCCATCATCCTGGGGCTGCTCCGGATCCAGCTTGATGATTGTGTCAATACGCATAATAGCAATGCAAGCCTCAACAGCAGACTTGAGCTGCTTAACCTTGCTCATGCTAGGCTCGAGAACACCAGCCTTAAGAGTGTCGTGAACGCGTCCCTTCATCAGATCCAGACCATAGTTTTGGTATGTCTTCTTCTTAGCAATTGCCTTCTCTTGCTCGTTGGCATCGCCATCCTGCATACGCTGTGACAGGGCGTGGCGGGCACGGAGTTGGGCGACCAGCTCAGAGGAATCCTTGGCAGCATTTACAGCCAGGGTCTTGGGAATGACGAGCAATGATTGGGCAAATTCTCCAATAGCGAGTTGCTCACGGGAGCCCTAGCAATTATTGTTAGGAAATGAAACAAAGATTTCAAAATGTTGTGGAAAGATAAGCCATATTGATACATACCACCGTGACAGCAAACTCCTCAAGGTAAATGTGAAGGGCTGTCTCCACAGCACCACCACCAGGTACGATTTTGCCACTCTCCAGGGTTCGCTTAACAGCGCAGAGAGTATCGTGAACGGATCGCTCCATCTCATCCAAGCTGAACTCGTTGGGACCACGGAGGATGATAGAAGCAGAGGTGTGAACCTTGGTGCCCCGGACCAGAATACACTCATCATCGGAGATGCGCTCTTGCGCAACCTCCTCAGCGTGGCCGAGGTAGGAAGCGTCGAACTTCTCATCACCATTCAAGTCTGACAGAGTGCTGACCAAAGTAGCACCGGTAGCCTTGGCAATGCGGCGGAGATCCTCCTTCTTGCAGCGGCGAACAGCCATAGCGCCCTTCTCAACGAAAAGCTTCAGGACCATGTCATCGATACCCTTGGTGGTGAGGACGACGTTGGCACCAGACTTCAGAATCATCTCAACTCGCTCGAGAACAATACCGGCCTCGCGCTGGCGAATCTTCTCCAATTGATCGGGATCTTCAACTGTGATTTGAACACCCAGCTTCATGCGCTCCTTTTGCAAGTTCATGTCCAGACAGGCAATCTTGGCGTCTGTGACACGGGTTGTCATGGCCTGAGAGGCAACAGTGCAGTTCAGAGCATAACCGTGGACAAGAACAGACTCAAGAACACTCTTACCGTGGGCCTTGAGCAAGTTCACAGCCTTAACAGGGTATTTGACCTCGCCTCTCTGGTTTGTCGATTTCACCTGCAGCATGGCGTCCACACACATGTTGGCAAAGAAATCCGAATCAGCACCGATGATTTTGCTGGACATGGAAGTCTTCGCAATGTTGATCAAGCTGTCCCGTCCCAGGTTCTCGACCTTTGTCGTCACATTCTCGTTCATATACTTGACAGCCTCACGAAGCGCGAGACGGTATCCGCTGATAATCGTAGTAGGGTGTATGCGGTTCTTCATCAACTCGTTGCCTCTACGCAGAAGCTCGGCAGCGATCAGGACGACGGAGGTGGTACCATCACCAACCTAAAGCAAATTAGTAATTGAACGCTTAAATTGAATGAACAAGACACAGTATCCGTACCTCCTTATCCTGTTGCTGGGCGAGGTCGACAAGAATCTTGCCCGCGGGGTGTTCAATATCCAGTAAAGAGAGAATAGTAGCTCCGTCGTTTGTCACGGTAACATCCTGTATCGAGGAAAACCCAGAGTTAGAAGCTGCAGGATAGCTTTGCGGGGGACAGTTTATTATTTCATACCCCTATGTCGTCCACCATCATCTTATCCAAGCCCGAGGGACCGAAAGAGCTCTTGATGACATTTGAGATAGCCTGAGTTGCGAGAACTGCAAAAAATTGGTTAATACGATCGATCGCAGTAGGGAAGTCCATCAAACATACCATTTTGCTCCCTGACATCGGCACCGGTGATTTTCTGACCACCCAAGACTGTGTGCGAGATACGTTAGTCGGATCGAGCTTGAAAATTCCTATACACCAGAACTCACAAAGAGTGTCCGCATTCCGCGGGGCCTCGAAGATGCCTGCCATGGCGAATTCAAGAAATTAATAGAGCAAAGTGGGATGGCGAAGCTCTCTTGCTGGAGACGGGGGGTTTTGGTTGAGTTGACGCTAAAAGTTCTGCCGAGCGGTGTCGCCGATACATCCCACTTTCAGATTTAGAGTCATACTTAATTTTCCTGTCTCTGCACAAAAGTTACTTGCGCATTCAACTGCCTTTTATTTTTGAAATTCTGAGTGCGGCGCTCGATTCTACTCACCATGGCCGACCAGACTCCCAGCGAAACCTCCGGCGCTGCTGTCCCCCAAGACTTGCCCGACCGCACCCAAAACCCCGCTGATAACCAGGCAGGCGATGCTAAAGGCGATTCTAAGAATGCCGCCAAGAAAGCCGCAAAGCTGGCTAAGCTGGCTGCCGATAAGGCTGCAAAGGCTGCAGGCAAAGGAAAGGAGTCTAAGGAACCTAAGGAGCCCAAGAAGAAAGCTCCTTCTAAGAAGAAGGCCGACGGACCTCCTTTGATTGGTATCGATGCTCTGAAGGAGGAGAACTTCCCAGAGTGGTATTCGCAAGTCCTTGTCAAGAGTGAGATGTTGGATTACTATGATGTGTCTGGTTGCTTTATTCTTCGGGTATTTTGAACCATATCGTCCACATATTCGTGCCATTGCTAATGTACACGTGCCTTATAGCCCGCTTCGTACTTCATCTGGGAGGAAATCCAGGACTTCTTCAACAAGCGTATCAAGAGCATCGGCGTCAAGAACTGCTCATTCCCTCTATTCGTCTCCGAGGATGTGTTGCAGCGCGAGAAGGAACATTTGGAGGGTTTCGCTGCTGAGGTATGAAATATACAGACTTGTCAAGTAATATGCGGTGTTGTGATAACAACTGACTTTGATTTAGGTGGCTTGGGTTACTCATGCGTATGAGCTTCATATATTCTTTTTTGGATTAATGTACAAGGAAGCATACTGACTATACTCCAGTGGATCGACCCCTCTCGAGAAGAAGATCGCCATTCGTCCCACCTCTGAGACCGTTATCTACCCATACTACAGCAAAGTAAGAAACTATATGAAATCCTCCATTTTTGTGATTTGGCTAACCTTTGAGTCCAGTGGTGTGTTTCGAATTTCGCTTCTATTTTTGACCTGCCTTATATCTTCGCCATAAACTTGCTAACCTAATATGCAAAGGATTCGCTCCCACCGTGACTTGCCTCTTAGAATGAACCAGTGGAACTCCGTCGTCCGAGTATGTGATATGTACATTCTGTCTTGGTGGTTCTTGATGTACTAATGCTTGCCATCATCTAGTGGGAATTCAAGAACCCCCAGCCTTTCCTGCGAACCCGTGAGTTCTTGTGGCAGGAGGGCCATACCGCTCACTTGACCAAGGCTGGTGCCGAGGTTGAGGTTCACCAGATCCTTGACTGGTACGCTGCTATCTATAAGGATCTTCTCGCTGTTCCCGTCATCAAGGGTCAGAAATCCGAGAAGGAGCGATTCGCTGGCAGTCTTTGTATGTTCTTGTCTCCCTACACTGACTATGTTGGTTATATACTAATATTTGCATCTTGAATTACAGACAGTTTGAGCTGTGAAGGTATCTTGGATTCTTTTATTTGACGAGACAAGAAATTAAGCTAATATTCATGTAGGATATATTCCTGCCACTGGTCGTGGTATCCAGGGCGCAACCAGCCACTGTCTCGGCCAGGTATGTGTCATACTGAATGATCCCGTTTCCTATCATGGTATTTTTGACTAATTTGGTGATTCTAGAACTTCTCTAAAATGTTCAATATTACTGTAAGTATACGGTTCTAGTTATGTACTAAACCGACGGTTCAAGGATTAACAACTCCATATAGGTTGAGGACCCAGATGCCAAGTCTGGTGAGCAGAAGGCTGCTCTCCATGTCTGGCAGAACTCCTGGGGCCTGTCGACCCGTTCTCTGGGTGTCATGGTCATGACCCACAGTGACAACCGTGGATTGGTCCTGCCCCCCAGAGTCGCCGAGACTCAAGTCATTATCGTTCCCGTCGGTATCACCGCGAAGACCACCGAGGAACAGCGCCTGAACCTCCTCGCTGAGATTGACCGTCTCGTGGGTAACCTCACCGCTGCCGGTATCCGTGCCGAAAGCGATCTGCGTGATGGCTACTCTCCTGGCTGGAAGTTCAACCAGTGGGAGATGCGTGGTGTCCCCGTTCGCCTTGAGATTGGCCCCGGTGAACTGGCTGGCAACTTCGTCACCTACTGTAAGCTTCTATGAATCTCTGCCCTATACGAAAATTACCCTGCAGTTTTGCTAACCAGCGAAATTTAGCTCGTCGTGACATCGCTGGTAGTGACGGAAAGGGAACCATCCCTATTCCTGAGCTGCAGACCGCTATCCCCACTCTCCTGGATACCATCCATGATGATCTCTACAAGCGTGCCGATGATGCTTTCACCGAGCACCGTAAGACTATCACCGACTGGAACGAGTTCTGCCCTGCTCTGAACAACAAGTGTGTTCTGGTCGTTCCCTTCTGTTTGGAAGAGGACTGCGAGGGTGAGATTAAGGTTATGAGTGCCCGCAAGGCCGAGGAGGACTCCGGCGAGGCAGAGGATGCCAAGGCTCCCAGCATGGGTGCCAAGTCTCTTTGCATTCTTAAGGAACAGCCTTCTGAAATCGCCGAGGGAACTCACTGCATCAACCCCAACTGCAAGAACTCCGCACAGAAGTGGACTATGTTCGGTCGCTCCTACTAAGCTCCCTGGGCTCGTATGCATTATGCATTTGTGCATTCATCGCCGCCTGTTATCAGCGGTGATGTTGCATTTTTAACGTTTCTTTTTGCAAATGGAGTTTGGTGAGATAGGTGGGGGAAGGGTTATGCAACAATGGTGAATTAAAATGAGCTGAAAACTGTCATGGCCCATTCGTTGCATGTAGGTCATTAGCATGAGTTTATGAGAAGAAACGATTAATGTTTTTCTTATTCTCTTATAAATCAATCAAATATATCAAAAAAAATAATCAAACTGCCGCGCAGCATCTATATAACTAAATATGCGTAAGTAGGATACGTAGGCCTGGAGCCTGGCAATTTCTAATGTAAGATAGATCGCCTCAGGCATTGGACCTATCTGAAACGTAGTAACGCACTACAAATGGCACTACCTAGCATCATAAATCTTATTTCGACCTGCATGGTAAACTTAGTCAACACTCGAGAAGATTGACATATACGCTGGAGGCTTTACTAGTAACACCTAAAGCTCATCTTCAATTTATGCCCCAAATAAAGCCCTAGATGGTACAAGAGATACCGCCCTTACAGGTACGATAATACCAGCGTTATAAATCTCATTACACATATTAATTGTACCTGGACAAGCACTTATGGACATCTAGTTGTTTTCTCAACATCTATCTTTTCCTCTTTCCCTCTTTTCCCCTATTGTTCTTTACTTCTCTTATTTTTACTTAGTCTCCATATTAAGTTATTGGAACAGAATAGTACATATAAGTTATGTCCAGGTAAGGTAGCCTAGAAAGACATCTTAATTGAAGAAATGCCTAATTATGCACAGATAAGGACCAAAATTTCACGAACACACGAAGTCGAATAAATTCTCAGACTCCACGAGGAGAAAAAAGCAGGCTTCCAAAAAAAACCACTCAGGGATATAATATACAAGATATGAAACTGCAACGCCATCCTGAAGATGCACCTTCCAGGGTAAAAAGACAAGACGAGACGAGAAAAATAAATTTTTGAGCCACGTGTTTGGGCAAAGACAGGAAACAATAAATGAGTGCAAAGATAGACTAGACTAGCTTTAGACACGGATTAGAAGTTAGAGAGATTCAGTGGTAGATAGAGTGGTAGATAGGTGAAGGAGAAGGTGGAGGCTCATTGGCCGGTATAGAGTTAGAGAGTAAGAGAGATAGGAAATAGGAGAGAAAGAAAGACAAGCTTGAGATTATCAGATGCAAGCTTCACAGGATTTCAAAAGAATCGCTATAGAGAAGAAACAGCAAATGAACCGATGAATCAAAGCTTTTAAAGGCAGGCAGGTATCATGCAAAATCATTATCATGCGGAAAACCCCAGGCATCCGGACTATGGCAGAGTTTCAGTTCAGCCACACTAATAGGTCTCTACCGAGCGGGCACCTCGAAGCTGCATCCTCGCTCGTGAAAGAGGGGATAGACTATTTTCACAGAAAGGCTGGGGTGTCTGAGCGCGGCGAAGACGTTGAGGCCAACTCATGAGTTTCTGTGCATCATTTGCAGTTGCAGAGTCGATAACGTAGCGGACATTGTTCTCGTCTACACCTTCGATCTGGACACGAGGAGGCGGGGCAACAACACTAGGAAGATGAATGATATCATCATCGCTATCTTCTCCTGAGAGGCTGCTTCTGCTATCCTTTGATGGGGTGGAGTGTGCTTGCATGCAGTAGACTGTGCCGGGGGCATTGGGTGTGGGAGTGCTAGAGCGGGTGGCAGTTACTGCTGGGATAGCGTTTCTAGCGCTAGAACCAGAGGTATCGTTGCTAGCGCGGATCAAGACATCCATGTATGTGAGTTGTTCAACTCCGGCTGGGGTCTGGGGAACGGACTTTTGGACATCGGCTAGGAGACCTGGGGATGGAAGGGGTGCGTCGGTGTGTCGGCGGCGGGTTAGGGAGGGAGTGGAGGTTTTGCGGAAAAGGCTTCTTGAAGGAACACTTGAGATACTGCGACTTGACTCTGTGTTTCTTTTGTGTTTTTTGAAAGAGCTCTTTCTCATTATTTTTGAGAATTGGCCTGCTGAGGCGCTGTGGTTTAGGTAGGGACGGGAATCTTCTTCAAATGCACCTTCGTCTGAAGGGGTGAAGAGGGGACCAGCGGCAGCAGGTACAGGGACACGTTTAAAGGCATCGTGAGAGTTGATTTCACGGACTATTGCGTCTTGGAGAGATTCGTAGGTTGGATGGGGACTTAAGGCGTGGCTGGAGTGGTAGGCCTTTGTGAAGAGTTCCATCATCTCGGAGACTTTGAAGCGGGGTGAAGGACCGGCTGAAGTGGGAGTTTGCACTGGTAATGGGCTGTTCATGACCTCTGCAATGCTAGGTGCTCGTTTCATGCCACCTGTGGATGGTGTGGGAGGCTGAATAGCTCGGTGCGAGATCTTCTTTGATCGACCCGTTGAAGCCAATTGAGTGTTGATTGATAGATCTCGAACATTCTTCCTTGATGTCGTTCCTGCAGAAGGAGGCGGGGAAAGAGATCTTGGAGTTAATGAAGAGCTCCTGGCTGTTGGAGATGGTGGTTGAAGTACAGGTGGTGTGTCTGGGGGGCTGGCGTTGTCACCATTACTAGTATCACCTAATGGAGGTGGTAGAGTAGGACTGTCTGGTAAGGGTGTGTTACTCCATCTCTTGCCCTGCTTATAGGCAGGTGGAATACCCAAGCGTTGAACTACCGGTGCTGGAGCTTCTTCATAATCTTCATCAGCGTCGTCCTCTGCGGACAAACTTGGTGCTGATCTTTGAACACGAAGGTGAGTTGAGTCCCGGGAATCAACGGGCACGCCGTCGGAACGATTGCGTAAATCTCCATCAGAAGTCCAATTATGTTTCTTAGGCTTGCGCTTTGGTGCATTAGGGCTCAAATTGCGGACTCTTCCCGGAGCTGGAGGTGAAGATCGGGAACTAAGCGCGGACAATGACCGACATGGTCCACTATATTTTGCAATGTTCCTATCTGCCACATCCTCTTGATACAATGCAGATAGTATTCGAGAGCTTGCAAGTCCGTTTTGATGTTGAATACGAAGGAACCTTGTCATATTCCGTTCTGCGACATCTTCGTTGTAAGGGCTCGTAGGTGGGGAGACAGGAGGGGAGATATTATCCTGGCGATATATTTCAGAGGATCCAATAGCTTCCATTAAATCGATATGTCGAGAATTGGATGTTCTGGGACCTGGAAAGCGACCTCGAGCTGGATTCGGACCACCTGGGACATTGGGCGCTAGAGAAGATTGCGAAGAAAGCGGCCGTGAACCGAGATGTTGATGTAAATCCTCGAATTGTTTATCAATCTGCTCAAAATGATGAGAAACATCTAATGAGCGTCCTGTTTTGAGAAATGGCGACGGAAGTGCAGGCGATGGGGGAGACGGGTATAGATGACTTGGATCTAGATGGGTTGATCGAGTTGGCGACGGTACAGAGTCCAAGTACGAGTCATCCGTCGCAAACCCAGTACTTGTCGAAGGCCTCGAAGGCCGTTCTTGTTGAAATATTTTCTTTAGAGCGACCATTTTGCAGGAATCTCTCTCTCTCTCTCTCTCTCTAAAAAAAAAACGAGTTTCGCACGAAATGAAGGAATGGGAGCGCACGAGACAGCCTCGGGAGGAAAATGACGTCGTAGGTAATACACAAGGCACCTAAACTAACAATTGGTAACAATGATTAAACCAATTGCAGTCATGGAGAATCCTGTAAATGCGCAGATTCATGGCAGCATGGAAATATCAAAGTTGCGAGACCGTCATACGGTTCCTGTGTCGTCCCAGAGGGTCATGATTGTAGGGAAAGGAGAAGAACTAGAATGAAATGACAAAAGAAAAAAAAAGTTGCTAACACCCAATGGAGCCCGCGCCGACTATCTTGGAAGCAAGCCATGCAGATCTAATGCCCTTTGTGTAAATGGATCAGGGGGAGATTGGACCCGGTGTTCTCCATGATCCGTCGCCGCGGGCACACCAGAGATGGGGCCAGATGCGGCGTGACAGTTCGAGCGCTAAGAAATTAAGAGTGATCCATTTGCCGTGGCTCAGTAGGGTTTGACACACGAACGGCTTTTCTCTTAAATTACATTGGGGAAACTCAATTTGTGCTGTATTTGGCCCGTGTGACTCCCTGTTCTCTGGAGAGCATACAGCAATATGAATCCTGAAGCTTAAAGTTTGCCCTTTCCCCTTGCTTTTTTTTTGTTTCTCATTTTTTCTCGTTTTCAATTTCCTAGGTACCTAACGCGAGGGCTCAAGAGGAACTGGGTCCTACTGGGTCAGGATATGCAGCTAACAGAACCTATTCTCCGGAAAAAACGTCCCGAGTGCATTTTGCAAGGCACCGGTTTCCTTGTTCCTTAGGGGGGATCCACAACATGACAGGCGAAAATGACCCGCGGCCTCAAGGAGGCTGTTTATTGACTATGTAATGTAGAAACAAAGCGACCATGTTCTCGGGAGATGGCCGCATCAGCTCCGGAAGCGTTGGCCTATTTCAGGAACTCTTCCAGCCTTCTCTTCTAGGAATAGGGATCAAATGCCGTATCCAGCATCAAGTGGACAAGACCGAGGATGTGGATGTAAGAAAAGCATGAGGTGGATCCCTCAATTTCCCTTCTCGTGGCGATTGGCGGGACGATGTGATCGACAAGCAGCAGTAGTGGGTCAACTCGTTTCTTAGTGGCACGAGCCCGCGAACCGAGTGCCAAATTTGGTTTGCCTGGACTCTTCCGATTGTCTGGAGTTCGCTCTCGGAGATGGGCCAGGATCCAAGTGGACTCAGGAACAAAGAAAACGTGACAGGACTGAAAAATGGGATCCGCAGAGAGGACCATGAAAAAAAATCACAAACAAACAAAGAAAATGTGCTTTCGGGATTGTGATACGTCGTGAACTCCATCCGTAAACGCACGATCTCGATCTTTTCCAGATCCCGCGAACACTCAGGGGGAAGTTTAACGCAACGAAACACTAGTCGAAATTCAAATGTAGCTCCGCTTTCTGTCGCTGTACCTTGGAACCGACAGTTTCAAATGCGATAATTGAGTTTGGAGAACCCATTGACTTTCTTTTTTTGAGGCTTGATCATCCAAGCATGTAGAAATTCAAGTTCTATACTCGTGCTGCTGCATAGCTTTTAATCTCACGAATATATCCCCTGTTATGTGCCCTCCTGTTCTTCCCATCACTCCACCATATCTCGTGTTCTTTGCGATCGATCGATGCCGATTTTCGATTCCGATTCCGATTCTAGTAACTGGCCCGTGAGGCCGATCGTCGGGTACTTATTTCGAACCTCCACTTTAACCCGGCATAAAGTGAGACACCTGTCGTGGAGATAAAAACTCGAGTCCGGAGATCTCTCTGGTATAGGCAATATGCGTGATGTCCCAGGCGGAGCTAATTCGTGATGGGATTGACAGGAAGCTACTGCATGCATGCATATAACCCCTCTAGCCTGCGTTTTGGCGGATGCAGTCATATTTAAGTATGGCCATGGCGAGGTACTTTTGTACTGGTATGTGGGTGCAGCTATTCAACCCCTGCATACAGTATGTAGTCATGAATATCCACATGTCCACTTCGTGATGCTGTACAAATCGCGGTGTAGAGGAGACAAAATAAACTTCCACTATGCCTTACAGTTAGTTAATAGGTAAGCCTTGTTATAGATGCTTGAGGCTTCGACAGTATATAGATGCTTGACTCACTGCAATGCTGCCACGCCAAGGTAGTGATCAATGCATAGCAGACTCCACCAAGCAGTTGTATGCCTATAGCAAGCCTCTTCCAAGTTGTTTGCTCCCGGCTTCCCTTCCCGCTTGTTGTTTTATGCTTTACGCAATGTGGACCATTGTAGATCCCGCGCGGTTGGTGAAAATAGCCCGAAAATTGGCCGAATGGGTGGTGAGAGCGCCCAGATCTACGTTGTACTCCATACTTCCTAAACCTACGACAGTCTTACACTGCAATGGCCTCAATCCAAGCGTGTTCCGTCTACCGGCGAGTCTGTTCAGCTCAGAATAGCGATAGTATTCCTGTAGCTAGGCCACCTAACCCGTAGCCTGTGAGTAAATCAAAGTTCGCTCTTGAAGCAACCATCCGAAGGCCCAGCAACCCTAAACGCCTGAAAAAAAGCGCCGCATTGAATCCAGTCGTAAATCATAAGCTCAATCGCATGTAGAAGGCCTCTTACCTTGCTCCCTTCATCAGAAACTAGCTGGTAATCCTGTAGCCCTTCCCAGGGCTCCTCGTCGCCTTCACGCAGTATTAACGCGCCCTTAACCTTCAAAAAGGGTCTCGAAATCCTCCTCCTGCTTCATATCGAGGTCCTGCTTGGTCTCTTTATCCTCGGCTTGCTCTTCATGGTCCTCTATCTCGACAGAGTCGTCGTCGTTGCCGGTGGGAGCCTTCTGCTTGTCAGGAAGTTCCTGCTTCTCCATGAAGTCGCGAAGACGGTAGAAACGGTACTGGGCTGCAGTAGGGGAGATCCCATAGGCTTGACCCACGGCTTTGAAGTCGATCTGAGATAAAATTGAGTCGTTAGCTTAGTTCAAAAGTGGGTTTCTCCGCCACGGTCGGCGGTCGTAAGCAACGAAGTTAAGACTTCAAAATTCCTTACTGGTCCTTCCTTATTCTTGCAACACATGTAGAGGAGAATCAACTTAGCGTCGGCATTGCCAGTGTACACGTTCTTCAGTCCAGTGGACAGTTTGGACTTGGGCGAAGCCTTCGAGGCTCGCTTGGCTTTCGGGGTCGTTTTTCCACCCGCCATCATGAAAATCTGGCTTAAATTAAAATTAAGATGTTTAGAAAAGAATAAAACAATAAAGAAAAAGCTCTGAGTATGTTCAGAATTTTTTTGGATAAGAATTGAGGGTGTAGTCGTCGTGGATGGGCGAAAAGGTAAGTGAAGGAGGATAGAGATGAGCCGGATAGCCTCAAGTAAGGCGGTAAAAGCCCCCAAATGAAACAAAGAAACCAGACAATTTAAGAATTCAATACAGCAAAATAATAGGATCATTAATTACTGATTACAAGGAGTAAAATTACCAGGACTAGGCTATACAGTGATAGATGGTGTGGTGGTGGAAGCTTCAGCTCTGACTTGAGGTTTTTCACAGACGCCAAGATGTTTATATGGTACATACTAAGTACCCTGGTCTATAAGCAACTGTTAGTGTAGTTGTGGGGACCATTAAGAGTTCTCAACCAGCTAGTAATGAGTTGAGGGTTGAATGGGGTCCACCGCAGTGCCGAGGTTCCCGTGACTGATTTGAGCGTGGCTATTCAAACTATTACTCACTTTACAGAGCCAGACCCTAACAGTACTACAGGGATGCAAACGCCTTCTTAGAGTCACTTGATAGAATGATTAATCTACTTGGTAGACCTTGAATACTTGATGGATGCCCAGAGGAGCGTTGTCTCTGAATAAACACCTGGGGAAAAACATGTGGAGACTTGGTAGATGCACAAAAGATGCTTCAATACACACCCTCTCTATATTGACATGTTGTGGATGTTATATTGATAAATGGTGGTGGTGGTGGTGGTGTGGTGGTCCCTTATGTACTTGGTGTGTGCCCTGGTTGACTTTGTCTCTATACAAAATAGAGCTACTAACCGCCAAGAAGATATTAAATCGCCATTGATTTAATGATAACAAATACGTCAAGGATCTAAGCTGTTCCAAGCAGCACAATGAAGAGAAATGGTAAACAAAAGATGGGATTTGCAGATGGTAGACTCAGCTACAGAGATGTTCACAACCGGAAATGAAATTATTCGGACCACTCAAGATGCCAGATCTCGGCCATTCTGGGTGGTGACAGGTATAAAAAGATATCGAGCCATTGCAAGAAAGCAGTAACACATTACTAGCTAGTTGATTAATTGGTTCTTCCGTAAAATAATCTTTAAACTACATTTTTCCTGCTTTTCATGGCCGAAGCTAATGATCATGAGAAACGGTGAGCAGTTGACCACCCAGATTTCTGCCATAATGATGCCTTACTTATGCCTGAGAAGAGACGCGGTGTTTGAGTGTTTACATGAACCCAAGGTTTTGAATAATCTTAATCCTGGAACCATGGATATCATTTTGAATGGACGGCTAATACACAGGGCTCTGTTACATTATCCTGTCGAAATACCTTCATTCCCTTCGCATGTTTCCCGTCGTGCCCCTTACAACTCAAAATGACGGGATTTAAGATTCTGCACGGATTGAATAATTTATGAAGTTGACTTCCTTCCTTGGTGCTCCCATTCCCGCCTCCAAATTATGAGTACATAGGGGTGCTCACGATATTATCCTCCTGACGATATTAGTGTCTCAGCGACGATACGATTATCGTATCATGAGGCTTTAATCTAACGATATTATCGTGGCAATATTATCGAAATCTGTATGAATAACTCGAACTTCAATCCTAGAACTTATGTGCGTGTTTTTTGTTGTTATGACAGTTGCGTCATTACCCAATTAGGACTAGTTCTATGCAACACGTGACGATAGCGATATCGTATCGTGAACAGCCCTAATAATTTACGAGATTTGACGTTTTTCGACTTTCGTCGCCTGAACAGCTTCATTATCCTGCAGGGATCAACTTCGTACATACCTGGAACACATGCTTGGAAGGTTGTTAAGGATGGTGTTTTGTGATTCATATGTCCAATTTCTCTGGTTCAACGGGCATGGTCCCGCGTCTTAGGGCTAATCTGGCAAATCAGGTAGTACTTGGAAATGACCAAAGTACACGATACAAGTATTCAGAATTCGCCCTTGGGGCGACTTTACTGAGAGCTAATATCAATCGCGACCAAAATTTACTTATTAATGTATTGACAAAGGGTAGCTGCCTTAAGTCTTCGTAAGCTACAGCCTGGTTCTCAACCTCACCCACATGTGCATCGACAATTTTTTATCAATCACTTGATGCTGCCTGGAGGAACTGAGGCGTCGCTGCCTTAACAGAGTACTGCATGAGCTACAAAGTACAAAGTAACATTTCATGTCCATATGTGCACCTAGTTCTAGATTCTTCATCCTACTGAACCAAAGCTTAAACAGCTGAAGTAAATTCATTGTGCAGTACTCAGCTGCAGGGCATAAGTAAACGCATAGATCCGTTTTCTCGAGAAACGAAAAAAAAAAAAGTCAGAACATGAAGAGGAAACCATATTAAAACAAAATCGCAAAATCAACGCCCTTTTCTCAGACTTCAGAGCGGAAAATCAACACCTACGTAATGAAGATCGACAATCGAAGGATTAAACCTCTCTCTTCAGACTTCAAAACGGAGAATCAACGCCTGCCTGATCGAGATCTCGAATCGTCTAAGCTTCAGTCTGTTCCGCCTTCGCGATATCCTGCTGCACCTGCTCATCCAACGCCATAGCAGCATCCTCATTCATATAGTCGAACTTGTCGGCGGCCTCCTCATCATTGACAGCCGTAGCCGGCTTCTTAGCCTTAGACTTCTCGGTGGCTTTGGGAGACTTAACAGCCTTCTTTCGGGGAGACTTGGCAATCTTAGACTCAGCGGGAGTCTCATCGTTCTCAAGAGGCCTATCAAACGGAGTAAGCTGCTTGAAGTAATCGCGCATGGTATAATAGCGCTGGTTGGTGGCGGCGTAGGTCAATCCCATTCGCTTAGCAACTGCCTTGTGGTCGATCTGATTGAAGTTGAATTAGTATCATCACGTAACTGTCGCATTCACTCTGTAAGTCTCGTGTAGTACGCATTGAAATATTCGTACACTTACGGTAGCACCCTGAAGCTGAGCTTTTTCGAGGTAAGCCCAGAGAATTCTCATATTATCCTCGCTCACTACAGTCGTGAACTTCCGGCTTCCGGCTGTCTTGGGAGGTGACTGAGCCTTGGTCACCTTGGAAGCCTTGAGTGGTGCATCGCCCTTGGTGGGAGCCATGATTGTCTGAAACGAAGTGATTGTTGATGAGAGGGTTGTGGCTGAAAGAAGATGAAGCTTTGTTTGTGTGGAAGATGAAGTTTGGGGGATGAAGTTTTGGGGATGAAGTTTGGAGAGATGAGGAGATGGGGAGGAAAAAAGATGAAGAGGGGTCGAGGGGTCTTGCTTGGGATAATAAATGAGAAAGTTCTTTATCACAAACCCGTATTGAGTAAGGTGTGTTTCTTATTGTTATGAATCATTGTCACATGAAATGAAATGAGCAATCCCTATGGAGGTTTGGATCCTTATGTATGAATCCACAGACAATGTCATAAGCAGAGATTAATGAGTTCAATTGGCTGGAAACAATATAAAACTAACTTGCAGCTGTAAGATATTCCAAGGGAAACCAGTATCCGATCCAAAAGAAAGAATCAAAACATCCGAAAATCAGCCTTCTTTAGTGAGGTGAGGGAACCTTTTCCTTTTTTCTGGGTGTAGTCTAAGGCAAGGATATCTTGAAATAGTGCTCACAAGATAACTTAATGAGATAAAAAAAACAAGAACTGTACTCCGGCTAGTCTACACTTCATTTCTCGGGATCCTGGCAGAGCTCTCTAGGATAAATCGATCGGTGTCGAGATGAGAGAATATCTCTCTGATGAAGAATCATGAGGGTCTTTTAATAAAAACTCTCTTGGGTGTAAGAGCCTCTTAGGGCTAATTATAGAAACCTCTCAGGGCTGAAGGTCACGTATTGGAATATACTAGTATTGCTCACGTACGCTGCCGCGTCGGTAGTAGGAGGTCGTCCCTCGGAGGGCTAGAAATAAAGAGAAGATTGTTCTCTCGCTAGTAACGGTAAGGGCTTATGACCTGATGACACGGAAACGTGGTGGAGCAGGAAGAAAAAGTCCCATATATATATCTGGAGAGAGAGATACAGGAGGAAGACAAGGCAAGCGAGGCCTGTCACATGGTCATATAGCCAGTACTAGGACCGATTGGCACAGTTGTGGAAGAGCGGAGAGGAAGAAAGGTGGGGTAGAAATATGAAAGAAAGTAAAAGAACATTGAAGGTTAAGATTATTTGTGATTGACAAAGTCGAGTAACATTGAATTATAAAATACGGTGGGTCACTACACAATACGGCTTTTTCGTGCTGGAGCAGATTATAGTGGAACTGGGGTAGGATATGCTTTGACGAACGCTGTCACAACATTAGAAACATAGGCATTGTGCTCAAACAATCTGTCACAAAAGAAGCCTCTCCAGCATAAAGAAATATCTTGATTTGAAAAAATCGTATGTCTTATAGACAATTTCCCACTAGAAGCGTATATATTAAGCCAGTCGTGCGAGAACAAGTCGAGCAGCGGAAGAAAAGATTTTGAATAGAAGGGAGATCGTGAAAACACGGAATAATGAGGTTTTCGAACAAAGACAACTACAAGTCATAATTAGGCAGGTTTGAGAGGGTTCAAAAAAATTCATTCCTGCGTTAATTTTAAAGGAGGTATCATATCACAATGTAGTAACTGCCCGTAACATAGTTTCCCTAACAGCTTCAGACAAGACACTATGAGCACCCCTCGCAGCATCCACAGCCCCATCTATCAAGGCTTCATGAGCAGATCTCTGATCTCCCTTTTCAAGTGCGATCTTCGAGCTTTCCCCCTTCAACCAAAGTTCAGTAATCTCATCCCGCGCGGGCATATAAGCAACCACACAAGCAGCCATAATAGATCGATGCTCAGCAGGATCAGCATCCAGCATCAACTTAGGAGCAGCCGTCGAGTCTTCAGTAGAATCATCAGACACAAGTGCAGACACACCTCCCGAAACAAGATCTAAACAATCAATATGAGCATCCGCAATAGCCGCCGAAGCCGCAGTGATACAGCCCGCAAGGACATTCATCATGCCCCACGAGGCATCATGCAAATCTGGTGCATCAGCCCACCAGCGATCATCCTCAGCTTCTAGAATCGTGATTGTAAGATCGATACCGGACTTCGGCCAGCGCTCAGCGATAATGGCTCCTCGCAAAGCTGTTTCCAAGTGCACGCCGAGATCCCGCTCGCTTGCATCACGGATATGGCCCTTTCTCTTGCGTGCGGCGAAAGGCGCATACTTGACATGTGTTGTGAGGACAAGATTTGGGGAGAAGGCCGCAGACCTGGGCAATGGCTTTGGGCCATGGACTGTGCAGGAAAGTTTTAAAGCTGATGAAGGTGGGATCAGAGATTTGGGGTTGGAGCGGGCATTGGCGAGGGATGAAGAGGGCGCGAATTCAAGATATGAAGATCCGGAGGCGGATGGAATAAGGCCTGTCTTTAAGACTAGATGGATGATTCGTATTAGCTTTTCTTTTTCTTCTTCTCGCTTTCTTGATTCTGGTATAGGGAATTTTGATGCTCATACAGATTTTCCGGAGGTCGGTCGATTCTCGTTGGCGCTGGGCTCGGTCTGTGGCGCCTCCTGATTTTAAATGAGAGGCATATACCGGTGGCCTGGTACCCTCTTCAGGGCCATTGATCCTTCGTCTGTCATTCATTTTGTCTTGGATAGTCGGAAGCTCCAAGAATCGCGGCGTTGAGATCCCAGAAACGGAAATCTTGGTGTTTGCAGTGTTTGCCGCCGGCCCCACTTAAGGTTGTGCCTTTTCTTCGCTCCCGAAACTTTTCTCTTTCTCTTTCTTCCACACTCTTGTCTTCCAGGAAAACAAGAAGCCCTTCTTATGTTGTTGGTGCTTTGAGATGGTTGATGCTTGAGAGTTGGTGGATGGTTGAAAGAAGACCATCGTAGTTTGAATCACTGGTAGGTGTTTTGTCCTCGATTCTCCCACTTCCCTCCCCAACCCCGTGTCATATGAGGAAAATTTCCAATTTCCTGTTCGGCGACCAAAAATGGGCCATAGAACAACATGCACTACCATCTGAGTGACATATCATTATCATTGTTTTGATTATATCCATCATTATCAGAATCAACGCTGACCATGATGAAGATAGGAACAATTGCTGGCTACTGGCTATTGACCAAGCAAGCTTGATTGAGCTCGTCGCCCTTCCAACTAACCGGTAAGCTTCCAATTTTTTTCTGCACAAATTTTTCCTTTTTCTCCCACTTCCATTTTCATGATGAGAAACAATTTTCAGTTCTGCTTCTGCAAAAACTTTGAAGATAACAAAATACCTTACCAAAAACTCCTGATGATATTCCAATCTTTACATTGTCTTCGCACCTTGTCGTTGCTATGAACCAAGCACTGACAATTACAAGATTCCTTGTAGGCATAACAAACAAACAATCTCCTGTTAGAGATCCTTGCTCAAAGGTATGCACATGGTCATCTCTCCTTGCACCACCCCACCCCCAAATTGTATGATGACAACTAGTCAATCCATTCAACGATCTCTCGGGAACCGCTCCTCGGGTACGTAACCTCACTGGCTGGTGGCATATCAACAGGCAACGATCCATGTCGTTCCGACTCCCTCATACTGGACCTTTTATGACTATATTTCGGTATGGATGTACTTGGGAGGAAGGTTGTGGAGACCCGGATGATATGGGCTTCGTCGTTGTCTGGTGTCGCCAGCTCCGTGTTGGCTTATTATGCTTGACTTGTGTTAGTTTTCCCCGGTTGGGCTGTTCGTCCGTCTTGGATGGCAGTCTGTCTTGGGAGGCTAGCAGGGGATGGGATGAGTTAAACGGCTTGACTGATTCAATTTATTGCTTTATTGCATATTATCTTATCGTATTTCTTTTGAGATTGATGCTGATTATTTCTGTATGCAGATTTTTCCAAGTTAGCAATTTAATATTAGTCAAACATATTCATAGTCTTAACGTTATTACTGTTGAATATAAATCGTTTCCAATCATTGAATTCTGTCAAGCATAAAGTAAATAAAACTGCCAGGCTATGTACATGTGAGAGAAGCAAGCCAGGGAATAAAAACAATATTGTCAAGAAGCAAAGGTGGAGACCACGTCTCCCGGGTCCTCAACCAGACCACATAGATAAATCCCCCTCTTCACCATTTGAAAGTTAATAGAAAGGGTTTCCCTGGAAAGCAAAGCACTTTCTAGCTGCCAAGCTGCCAGGCGTTGGATATTTCGGCTTGAAAACAACAAACACGAAAAGATAAAAAGATGAAAAAAACATAGATTTTATTTCGCTGCGCGGACTCCGACACCACTCTAATTATCGTAATGTCTGGTCTATCACAAGTCGCTGCATTAATGATTTGTGGTGTATTCTCACGTTGCAAGGCTATCAATCCAATTGGTCTTAGTCTGTGACTTAGACAGGTGTTGCTCGGCCATTGGACCGGGACATGCTGTACGGCGCCTATTAAGATATCATTGTTAGAACCGAACCGTTATTTTCCATCATCAGAAAACCATAATACTCACAAGGACCCTTTTGGCATTGCAAATACGCCAGGCGAGATTCAAGACATTTCCATCGGCCTTGACAACCTCAGGTGCCAACTCAACACCGAACCTATGAAAACTTGGTTAGAAACAATGCACACGAGCTGGGATATTTTTGAGGACGAACATTTGATGAACAGCGAACACGACCCGATTGGCGAATTTGCCGTCTCGTTCGACAAGACCACCAAACTGTTCATCAACAGCTTCAGGTGCAACCTCAGGGTCACGATCGAAACAGTTGCGAACAACAGGTAACAAAGCTTTCTCGACGGCGCTCTGCATAATGCCATCCTTATCGAAAGATTCTATCTCATCATAATGGCGGATACGGATCTCAAAAGGTCTGGAGATGGCCATGACGTTGTGCACGCCGTTGTGGTGGTAGCGCAGCTCAAACGCACCTTGGGTCCAGAACAGTTTGTCGCCTGAGAAGACGATTTCACCGGAAGCGAGGTCATATTTGTCTTGAATCTTTGATTCGGAGGACTTGACAACCACGTCACTGGTCACGATGCCCTTCTCGCAGGTTAAATTGTCATAGGAACCCTCATTGGTTGCGACCCAACGACCCTGGGATGAGACGCGGGTGACCTCACGAGAAGTATTGTCCGTAACACGGTATAGGCCAACCCAGTCTTTCTTGCTGTGGTTGAGCGGCGCAGTCCAGTTGACTTTGATAGGGGCACCGTACTCGAAGGTCAAATTCTTAAGATCACCACGGCGGTCCAGAGGCATGCGAGCATTAGCACCCTCACGGCCTTTGCCCTGTTCGTTGTCGTCTTCCAGTGATTTTCCATCCGTGCCTTCCACTGATAGCGAATATTCTCGAATATCATATCCGGCCAGGTCCGCATCAATCCGAGAGATGGTGACACGAGCGGGGTACTTCTGGAAGAGGGCAGTGGTGTCTTTCACGAAGGTATTTACTCCAGCCGCAAGCTTTGGACGGGCATTATCGAGAAGTTCCTCGATGAAATCGAAAGAGTCATCGAACATTTTGTCAACGCTACCATGAAGTTGTTTGAGCGAGGGAGGCAGCGATTTTTTCAGATTCTTGACAACACCACCATCTTGGCGCATGCTTCGGCCGTAAAGCTTTTGCATATGAGGACGTTCCACGAATTGGATGAAAGCGAGACTGAGGATATGACTCAAAAGTGCTAGGAAGGTGACAACTCCACTGTTCGTGATGAGAACTGCACCCCAGACACCTGCCAGGCCCAGGACACGCTCGGGATTGTTAAGGAATCGGTAGATTCCGTCGTAAGTGAGTTTGGGGGAATCGTCGAAGAAGAAATCACCGTAGAACCAGCCGAACTCGCCGAGCGAGTCGTAGATGCTTATCGATGTCCATAGTTGGAGACTGATCAAGCCGACGCCGATGACATGGCGGAACAAGACTAAACCAGTGTTCCAGTCGATAGGAAGGTTATACATTTTCCACACCGCGGCAATAAAGCTCGCGTAACACATGACCATGCTTAGATGATAGTTGCCTTTCCATTGGTTCCAAGCTTCGAGCGGAGTCTCACCGAACTTGAGGAAGTGTCTGGTCCAAGCTTTATCGCTTGACTGGTTGTTAAGTAGGTATCCGATGCCTATGGAGTACCAGACACGCCAGACTACCGCATTGACCACAAATAGAAATTGGTACAAGGGTGTTGAAGGGCTCAGAGCCGTCACTGCAAATACAAGTAGCTGAACGAGAATTATCGAGGAGTCCGTGGTTCTAAAGAGGTCCAGGTTGCTCAACCCCAAAAGGTTGTGGACCGAAGGTGGTTTAGATGAGTACGATAAAGGCGCATTGGGTTGTATTTCCTCCGTTGGAGTTGCTGCAATCGGTGTTGGCGCATTCGGAGTGGTCGCTGATGGGGTATCTAAATAAGCCGGTAGACTGGTAGTGGAACCAGCACAGACTGAACGCTTGCGAGGTGCGGGTGGATTGTAAGTCTTGTCGATGTGCGGATTCTCCACAAGTACCAGGAACGCAAATTGAGCTGCATGGGCAACGATGGAAATAAACAGCACCTTATAGCTGGCAGCCATGAGGGAGATACCGTAGTAACCCGCATAACCGACAGAATACATGGGGTGTGGAGCCATCTCGAAGACTCCGTCGAAGGTCAGCTCTTGATCGATGAGGTAAAAGAAGTCTCCCCAGTACCAGGCATAATCCTTGACTACTCGATGGGCGTCTAATTTAACCCAGAGGTTGAACAGCACCAATACAATACCGGCGAGCCACCGCAGGGTAGTCATGATCGCACTCTCATCAACAGGACGGTGACCACATGCTATCGCAAAGAGACAGTAAGAGGTAAAGTCACACATCAGGATCACGTCCACTAAGCGCCTGAAGATCAGCCAGGTATTGTATTCAATGGGTGCTTTCTCAAAGGAATAATCTTCGGGGATCTTGGTCTCCATCTCCCACTTGATCCAGTTGTACAGCTTGGGGTGTGGGTTTTCCCCAGTAGCTGGGTTGACAAAGATCTTGGTCTTCTCTGCCCATCGAATCATGGTCTTATGGTGTGACTGGTTGTGCAAAAGCCATCCAATCCCAACATTGTACCCCGCGCGCCAAAATAGGTAGACGAAAGCCAAGACTGGGAGTTTGATGGCCGATGGAAGAATCCAAAGGAGCGAGATATGAGCTACCAATAGCACCAAGACGACCGCATCGGATACATTTTTCGGTTCCGATGGCGACAAAAGCTGGGAGACCATGTCATGGGTTTGCGGCACGGTAAACACTGTCAAAAAACGATCCACATGTTAGCGGGGAAGACCTCCATGGGGACTGTGGGAGTGCATAGTTCGGGTGGAACGCATTGTTAAAAATATACGACGATAAAATCAAAAATGAACAAATCGAAGCCTAAAATCCATCGATTGATCAAAAGAAAAGCTTACCATTTCCATCCGGCGTGCGGCCAAAGGTCTTCTTGTCCTTGCCGTTCGCATCCTTGATCTCCACTTCCCCACGAGAGGTGAGAGCATCGCGACCTCCAGTTGAATCAAGGCGCGACACCATTCTCTCCCTCAGCCCATCAGGCTTCAGGGTACCTGTTGAATGACCCTGGTCCATGATGATGATGTTGGCTCCGACGGAATTTGTTGGGACGCGAGTTTCTTGGAGGGAGTGACCTCAGAGCATGTGACAGTGGGACCCTTGAGAACGTGACCAAGCGCTGTTTGCAGTGTTTTGTCTGTGAATCTATTTAGTATCAGTAGGGGGAACACTTCTTTTGTGTAGATCTTCAAGTAAGTTTTTTTCTTTCTTTCTATAGAATATTAAATCCTAAAAACAAAAAAAAATCCCTGGACTTGAGAGTTTGTGTTATTGAGATCAACTGCCAGGGTGTGTGGGACGTATTTATGCCACAGACTAACCATGGTGGACCCCCGTCGAGCCTCGACTACTAGGACGTCTCCCATAGGTGAATGGCACACAAGAGAGTTACTTAGTGTCGGCGGGCCCTCGAATGAAGCAGAAAGGGAAAGAAGCTACTGCGATCGTTTCCCAACCGAATTCATTACTCCCGGTCAACCACTACGAATCGAAAACTCTTCACCCTTATCCCCCCCCCCGGGTTTCCTAGCTTCCGAACCAATTCCCACGCAATGTTGGTCGCACATTGACCTTGACTACGACAAAGTGGGGGAGAAGCACAGGTGTCCAGGCTCGGGCGCTGCCGTGGCTGCTGTGCATCCCTCCAATCCACTCTGCCATGCATATTGAAACTAGTAAAGGAATTTCTATGTATATCCTGATGGGGGTGTCCGGGAGAGTACGGAGGACGAGAGCCTTCTCGGCAAATCAATGGGGGCAATGGGGGAGTGGGTAATGTATAGTCAAGTAGCTTGCAGGCAAGTGACATCAACTACTAGAGAACGAAGCGTCAACAAGAACAAGGAAATATGTTCAAGCGCTTGGCATAAATGTGCCCGAGGGAGATTGATAATGGATAGTAAAAAGTCTCCTAATCGAAATACATATCCAACGAGGGGTTTGACTATTCAACCAACGAGATCAAAGCGGGTACATTATGCGACAGGCAGACTGCAGCAGCTCTGACCCCGCTGTGATGCAACTGCATTGGCCTGTCCCACCCGGGATCATTTAAAAAGCGCCAAAGAATAAAGATTTGGGTCGTTGCGAAGGTTCTGACAGGACAAGGAAGTCTGTGTGCATGAAGTACTTTAATTCGTTCCAATGAATGGTCCAAATCCTAACCCTCTAGACCAGACCAGACTTGAAGGATGCATCAGAATCTCCGCATAGCCATCCCGCGTTTTAGCAACGTAAGAATCGACAATGCAGTTACTTCTTAGGGCGAAATACAAACAATTGCATGAAGTACGAAGATGAGGAGAGAAATCCTGGTAAATCCTTTCTCCTTCCGCATTTTTGGGTGCTTACGGTTCCTAGTTCTGCAAACTGAACTAAGCCACAATACTAGCCTAATATTCATCTCATTTCTTTTTCATAATGTTAGTCCTAAACCTTCAATTGCGCGAATGATATTCCTAGTATACGAGATGAGCCAGTTGACCTCTGCTCCGAAACCGCAGCGCCAATCGCGAGCGCCGGTTAGTCATCCCGCTTATCAATCATATCCGCCACTCTACGGAATTTCTCGAAACGTTCGGTCTTCCTTTGCGCGACTACCACCTTGCCTTGAATAATTAGATTCATCGCGATGGCACCATACGTGGAAGAGCCAAACGATGAGGCATCTTTCGCCGCGCCAGCCAAGCGGGCACCGAACCTGGTAGCCCCAGAACCAGGTATGTTTTCATGTGCGGGGAAATGAAGGCCAACATTTGAAGTATAAGAGAATCTAACGCGTGTTGTAGAGCACTGCCCTGGGCCCGAGTCTGAGAAGGCCGGTCAAGGCGATGCATGTGCAGGATGTCCGAATCAGCAAATTTGCGCCTCCGCGCCTAAGGGACCCGACCCCGATATCCCGATTATCACCGAACGACTCTCTCAGATCCGACACAAGATCCTCGTTCTTTCCGGTAAAGGCGGAGTCGGAAAATCCACCTTTTCGACCCTACTCGCACATGCCTTTGCGGCGAACCCAGACTCAACCGTTGGAATCATGGATACGGATATTTGTGGACCCTCTATCCCGAAGATGATGGGCGTCGAGGCGGAGACTATTCACGTCAGTAATGCCGGCTGGAGCCCTGTTTGGGTTACGGATAATCTGGGCGCGATGAGTGTGCAGTTTATGCTGCCGAACAGGGACGATGCAGTTATCTGGCGTGGACCCAAGAAGAATGGACTGATCAAGCAGTTCCTCAAGGATGTGGACTGGGGTGAGCTGGATTACTTGATTGTCGATACCCCACCTGGAACATCCGACGAGCATTTGTCTGTCAATTCCCTGCTTAAAGAATCTGGTGTCGACGGTGCGGTGGTTGTGACTACCCCGCAAGAGGTTTCGCTACTCGATGTCCGCAAGGAGATTGACTTCTGTCGCAAGGCGGGAATTCCTATTCTCGGATTAGTCGAGAATATGTCTGGCTTTGTGTGTCCGAACTGTACGCACGAGTCGCAAATTTTCCGGGCGACTACAGGTGGAGGGCGCCGGCTGGCTAAGAAAATGGGGATTCCATTCTTGGGAGCTGTGCCTCTCGATCCTCGCGTTGGTATGGCGTGCGACTATGGCGAGAGTTTTGTAGAAAATTTCCCTGATAGTCCTGCGTCGAAGGCTATTAAGCGAGTTGTTCGAGCAGTTGGAGAAGCGGTTGGAGAAAATGCGGACGATGTTCTCCCCGAGGACATGGTTGGTTGAAGTACTGCTGAGAGCAACTCTGTTTATTAGCGTTACGCATTTGGTTTTGATGGATGGGCTCCATCTGCGGCGTTCTTGCATAGTGTTATATTTTGATATCATGAATTATACGATCCTACGAATGAAATAATCTCATATTTTTATTTTACTTTGTCGAAGCAAACCACTATAGATTGATAGGCCTAATTTTGGAGTTTGGTACAAGAGAACTTCCCTTGCAAACTCGGCTCCAACCTTCCTTGAACCTAGTTCACTATATTTTAATCTCCGGTTGGGACGCCATGGCTACACCGTGCCGTTAGAGATAGCTTGGCGGCACGGCATACATAATACGGGTCCTTCAACTATGTCAATTCGGATGAAACATGACATCTTAACCTCATAAAGGTCTTGGTATGGCCCATATACCCTTTTCGGGGACATGTTCCTATTTTATGGCTGGGCAAATCTTGGCCAATGTCGACCAGCCTACAAGTAATTTACTTCAATTCCCTAACACACATGCTCAACTACTTTACAAGCTTGAAATGTATAATAGTACAATGATATTGAAACATACTTTATGCGCTTCAGTAATTAATCTGATGTCACGTATCAAAACCGAACATCATCACTACTAGCTATTTGTTCTCTACTAAAATGCGACCACGCAATCCGATCCCTACTATATCTCCACGAACCCATCCATTTCCCCGAAACCCCTGAAAATAAGTCTAGACCTCATTAAAAAACCCAAGAACATTCGGTAGTTCCCATAATAATGGCGGAGCATTTGCCTCTATACTCATGTGCAAGGGGGAAGATGAATCACGCACGTTGATTGGTCCTGCACCCGCCCATGCACTGTTTCAGAACAAATTACCATCCAACCATAATCCACCTCCACCTTTTCACCTGTCAGACCGACGCGCCAGGAGGTGCTCCACCAACATAAAACATTGACGTGTTAGATACAGATGAACTGTCAGGAGCAAATGGACATCCTATCTCACGCGCTGATCGACGACTCCACTGTGACGCCTCCAAAGAGAGGCAGCTGAGGCGCGCATTCTGAGAATCGTTGAGTCTGACCTGCCACATCGGTTTGCAGTCGTGCTGCTGATAGGTTAGATGTAGGAAATGGCTTGGATATTGGAAACAGCGGTGGAGTGGACTACGTACTCTTCGGTTTTAGTTTGTGGGGGTTTTCTGTATACTTCTATGGGTGTTGTGGATCCGGAAGTTGCCTTGACCGTAGGCTTTATAGATCTGTAGACGCCCATCTCCTATGTGAATATCTCTTTCTGTCGCCAGCTGGATTTGAATCATTCCTTTCGCTCTAGGGGCAATTTTTTCTCTTGTCTTTTTCTTTCTCTATCATTCATTTGATTGCCTGCCGGAACAGGTACCCATTGACTTAGGCTGTGCCTTGTCTCTCTTTCGTACATATTGACATTCATTCTCATTCACTGAGACAAACAAAAGGCAACAAACCCAATCATTCATCCAAAAGCTCCAAGGCAAATTTTTATTTTTATTCATTAAGTTCTTTTGTGGTCTGATATCGCACAACACATTCCTTGGAAATTCGCCGTGCGAATACCAACCCAACCACAATGCATCTTATACTTTCTCTTATTCTCGTAGTATGTCTGAGCTACGAAGTGTTAGCCGCTCCATCAGGCTTACTTCGACCTGTTCGAAAAAGCAGGTCCTTCCGCGTTGAACGGGTCAAACGCAGCAACTATGTGCGTGATGGATCTACCGCTATTCGCAAAGCATATCGCAAATATGGGATCTCAGCTTCTCAAATGGACGGCGGAGGTATGGATGATTTCGAGCCATTCTTCGGTGGCTTTGGCGGATTTGGTGGCAATGGACATCAGAGCTCTTCAACTTCATCAAGCAGCAGTGATAGCTCGACCGATTCAGACCAGGAGGGAACAGTCACTGCTACGTCGGTGGAGGGTGGATCTGAATTTGTGTCACCCGTTGTGATTGGTGGTCAGAATATTACACTGGACTTTGATACTGGGTCTGCAGATATGTAAGTTTATTTATTGTGAGATTGCCAAAGTCAGGATTGGATATTGATATGTTTGGTATTTCAGGTGGGTTATGAACACCCTTCTTTCATCCTCGGCGACAAAAGGCCATGAGACCTATGACCCCGAGAAGTCTAGTACCTTCCAATACGTGAATGGGGAGTTCGATATCTCTTACGGAGACAGTTCCTCTGCGGCTGGCTACCTAGGTCAAGATACAGTTAACATCGGCGGAGCGATTGTTAAAAATCAGGTCTTTGGTCTCCCAGTCGAAGTGTCCAGTGAATTCATCGAGGATACAAGCTCCAACGGACTGGTTGGACTTAGCTTTTCATCACTGAACAGCTTCGAGCCAGGTCCTCAGAAGACCTTCTTCGATAATATCGCAGCAGAACTTGAAGAACCGGTCTTCACAGCTCGTCTGCGTAGCGACGGAGTCGGCGAGTATGGATTCGGCAAAATCGATCACAGTTTGTATACCGGAATAATGGCGAATATTAGTATCGATTCATCGGCTGGATTCTGGCAGTTTGATTCAACTCAATACGCTGTTGGGTCGGGGGCTACGCGCGAAATAACCAATGTCACAGCTGCTATTGCTGACACTGGTACCACGCTGTTGCTGCTTAGTCCGGATGTCGTTGAAGTGTATTATGAGGCGGTCAAAGGATCCTCTTATTCGAGTAGTGTGGGTGGATACATTTATCCATGCTCTGTCGATTTGCCTAATTTGACTCTGGGGATGGGTTCATCGTTCAAGGCGGTTGTTCCGGGATCAGTGTTGGAGTATGCTGAAGTTGGTACTAATAAAACGTCGGGTGAAACGAGTAAGTTGTTGATCTCATTCGTGGTGCCGAATTTGTGCTAATCGTGGGTTTCATATAGTGTGCTATGGTGGTGTACAATCATGTTCTGGATCCGACTTCCAGATCTTTGGTGATATGTTCTTGAGGTCATATTATGTTGTTTTCGACAAGCGTGGCCCATCTTTGGGCGTTGCAACTCATACGTGATGCAGGATCATCGCTAGTATGGGTGCATGAGAGGCTTGAAAAGTGATGACTATCTGCAGGCAAATATTGTAAATATTCCAAATAGAAACAGAATCTTCGCAGCTTTATCTACTCAACTGTTTCAAAGCAAGTTGTAGTTGTATAAGGGAACCTTGAAGTCATGATAAAGCATGACCTTGTCTGAGGATATATGAACAGAAATAAATTTTTTTGCTATAGATTTTGCTATTTTATTGTCATCTTCTCGTGGGTATGCATGCAATGGCTGCTTATTTTGATATGATTCACCGTCCCTCAAAGAACAATATCCTTTTTACCGCACAGTGGCGCCCTTCAGAGTCTTGACAACACAGATAACACCCGAGGCGGTAACAAGCTTGCCGACAGGGGGCTTGCCTTCCTGGTCCTTCACAGTTGGGACAGCGTTGCTGTCAAACACAACCTCGAGGTCATCGTTGGTACCGAAGCCAGGCTGGAAGGTCTCCCAGACCTTCTTCTTGGGGTTAAGCTGCTTCTCAGGCTCGCCCTCGGCCCAGCCCTGGAAGCTAATGCGCTCACCAGCAGGGGCATCGGAAGGAGGAATAACAAGCTCGACGGGTCCAGCGTGTGAGTCAGCACCCTCCTCAACACGAGGAGAGGCAGCGAGAACCATAGCTGCGGACTTGATGCCACGCATGGTAACAGGCTTCAGGTTGCAGACAGCAACGATCTTGCGGTTCTGCATCTCAGCCAAGGGGATAAGGCCATTGAGACCAGAGCACACGGTGCGGACGGTCTTGCCAGTCTCCTCATCCAAAGAGGTGTTATCGGAGCCGGGAGCGTCACCACAGTCAATGGTGGAGACGAAGAGGGAGTCGGCGTTGGGGTGGTTGATGGCGCGCAGGATGTGGCCAACACGCAAATCGATGAGAGAGGGGGAGGGAGGAGTAGCAGGAGCAGCAGGGGCTTTAGGAGCCTTGGGGGCCTTCTCCTTCTTTTCCTTCTTGCCGGTCTTGTGACCAGCGGCGGCGGCAGCGGCAGCAGCATCGGTCGGGGCAGCGTCGCCCTTCTCAGCCTTCGCGGGCTTGCCCTGGCCGACAACAAGAGGCTTCTGACCCTCAGCACCAGCATTCTGCTGAGCAGCCTTCTCCTTCTTCTTGCGCTCCTTCTCCTCCTTAGCATCAACAGGCTTAGGCACGAACTTGACATCGTTCACATCAATAACAACCTTCTCCTCCTCAGGAATCTGCAGAGCGAAAAGGCGTGCGTTCTGGACAAAGTCGACATGGCGCACAATGTGGTGGTAGCCCTTCTCGCCTGTTCGCTCCTCGGGAGACCATTTTTCAACGAGAGGAGCAACAAGAGCGTAAACGGCGATGTCAGCGACCGAAGGCTTCGCACCAAGCAGGGTAGTACGGGTGGCGAGATGGGTGTTCAGCTGGGCCAGAATAGAGTCAAAAACGGACTTGTCATTGCTGGCGAGAGCAGTCTTCAAGCCGCTGACGGTGTTAAGCCATTGCTTGATGTCGGCCTCCTCGGTCTCGGCGAACTTCACCTGAGGGAAGATCTTGGGCGAAGCATGGAGGTAATCGGGCTCTGTGGCATCAGGGGAGATGGCGGCTGGGTATGAACGGTAGAGGAGGGAGAGGAGAGAGGACTCGGGGGCAGCTGCGGTCGCCATGGTGAATGCGCGTTGAGGAGATGAAAGAAAAGAAATTCGAGGAGGGGCACGGATCTGTGTCATCGATTGGCCCCGCGTTATGGTACCCGCCCACAGTCGGGTGGCACTCCTAAGGTGCATCAACTTGACAGGCAAGCCCAGGACCATGGGATCGGTCTGGAAAGCTCAAAAATTCTTCAAAATGATCAAGTGAAGCTTCCGCATTTTCATTTACCCCTTTTTTTCTTGTCGCGGCATCCGAACTATCCCGATGACTCAGCTAGGTTCTATTCAAAGCACACGACTAACTTTGTATGATTATGTACCAACTTGATTTGCCCATAATGTAGTTGATTTTTCAAATGGATTGAGAATTAAGTAATTCAATCACTTTCCGTCTTCCATATGCTTCCTGAACTTGGTGGTGGAGCTTTATTTCTTTTGCTTCCATGAAGCTGGCATTGGAAAAGATTAGTATACATCCACATCATGATGATGAGCGATCATCCGGGCGTGGATGATGAAATATTCAGGACTTACTAAAACCCAATTCTTCTATATAGTCATATAGAAATGCTAACCTAGTTTTGAACCTTGGATTAGCGGGATCTTCATGTTGTATACTGTTACTGTTTTCGGTGGCACAGTTCCAAAAGTTTGATATTCAAGGTCGTAGATAGGCAGTAATCTCACGGACAAAACGAAGATATAGGCAGGATAGTAACAAAGAAGACGATACCTGGTACAAAGGTGCACATGTAGAATAAAGTAGAATATGAGATCGTGGACTTCAGAATGAGGTAGTATCATGCTAAGGAGATATCGACCTCAAGAATAATCCTGGCTGCACATCTTCAGATGTATAGAATCAAGGGTTTTTAGTTTTTTAGGGATCTCTCTTTCCCGTCAGTAACGTTAGCTAGCCACTGTCGCAAATATCCCCGAGAATAAGTTTTTAAAGGGTATCATGATGTTTATACATTGGAAATAGTTCCTAGTAAATGAATACGTTTGTATAGGGGCGGGAGAGGCATATACGATACTAGTATCAATTAGTAACGTTGGCACTGGGAATAATGATTTCAGCGCTGGGTGCTAAGATATTTAGTGAATTGTCTCAATCCAACGTCCTAGTGCTATTTTCAGACCTAATATTTACATTAATTTCGTGTCTCGAGGACCTATAAAGCATAGCTGTAAGGGCCATGTCTCGTTTCTTCTCTAGAGTTCATTGAAGTCTACAATTTGGCTCTACTGTCGTGATCGCCATTGGAAAAACGCGTCATATGGTACAATTGAGTATGACATTGAGGTAGTGAACTCTTTCGCACAACGAGATCCCTGTCTTTAGTCAGTGTTCAAGATCTTGAAGAACTCAATTCATGATGCTGATATTATTTGAAGGAGTAAATCTTCTTGTCGGCTAGATCCACCTAACATGGCTCTTTAGAGAAAAACGCAGCGAAATGATCTTGATCCTTTGACTCTGATTGGGCTGATTCTTGGGTTACAATGGGATAGGGCTAAACCATGATCTACGCCATTGCTGGTTGGTCAATGGAGATCACTAGCGCCATGAGTCATAATGAGTCGTGAGATTTTGGAGGGGGCGAAGCAGATATCAACCAGTGATATCCGACATGAAGTGGATACGATTTTGGGGGCCTGATCTCCAGGGATCCCCACCCCCAGGTATATGATGGAGATAGTCCTTCGTTTCGCCTTTTCGTTTCTTCCTCAGGACACCACTCCTCGGCCTTCCTAGACCGAGAATTTTGATCACCTAAAGAGTCAAGACCCCCTTCCCTCGGGCGTTTACTCCAACCTTTCAACCGCTTTTTACGCGCCACGGGCCCGCACCGGCCCGTCTAAACTATCTCGTCATGGCGGCCTGTTCTTGCACCAGCAGCGCAGCCATTTCCCAGGTCGCGTTTATCTACTGGCAGCCCCAGCAGCGGCGTATCTCAGAATTCCCCGAGTGCGGCGTTGACGGGGTTTCCGGATCTATTTAATTATTCCCGTGATTTTTCGCAATACTCCTTTTCTTCTTTCGATCCGTCGTTGTGCATTCCTGCAGCGACACCACTCAACCAATCCTTTGATACCTTTGCTGCGCAGCAGTCGGATCTCTGGACAGAACCCGAACTGTCTTTCTCCGATATCGACTGGAATTTTATCTCTACCAACCACCATCATGCTACCCCTTACTCTACGGCCGCGGGCGGACTTGATATGTCTGTCACGGACCCATACGGTGTGGCGACCGCCTTCGCTTCCCTCTCAGACTCGGGCTCCCTTGAGCAACAGTCTCAGAACACTTCCTCTTTCATTCCTAGTTCGGCGAATTCCCAAGGTGAGATTCTCTTAAACCATCAAGTCATGCATTTGGCCGGTTTCTAATTTCCATATAGATGGGCTTTCGCATTCTTCACCTGCATCTCAAGTCCCGGCTTCCGTTGCAACATCTAAGTCTAGTCCTGCGAATTCGCTGGGTGATGACGCCCTGGGTCGTGTTGACTCGTCTCGCGTAGAAAAACGCAGACTGAATACACTTGCGGCTCGGAGATGTCGGCAGCGGCGTGTCGATCAGATGAAGACTCTCGAAGACGAGTTGGAACTTATCCGGAAAGAACGTGATGAGCTGAGGCTTAAGGTTTCGAAGCTGGAGGGGGAAACGGAGGCATTGAAAGGACTTCTCTCTCGAAAGAGCAAGTGAAGTCCTATGTAACGACTAACATTTTGAGCTGAGCTCTAATACAATTGATTTTAAGCTCATCTATTTCCTCTTCGTAAATGATGATCTCCGCTCATAAAACTTGTAGCAATTTTTGAAACGTTTTACACTCATGCATGCCCGGCGGAACGTTGATATTTAGGTATTCTGTCCTCTTTCATCTTGATGCCATTCATCAGCAGCGGCAATTGCCTCCGTCGAATTTTGTGTAGAATTTGTTTTGAAACAAGTTGACCCTCGTAGATACCATATCGGCATTGTGCCTACATGCACATGCGTACATTTGGATGACATCGGAAACCTAACCCCGCCCGCAAAACTTACCCTATTGGGAAGGAGAGGGGGTCGCATTAGCATCTATTATAAAAACGACTTGACAGGATCTATTGATTTTATTTCGAACAAGCAAGGACTTGACTTCTCATCCCAGAACCCGTTGAGAGTTTCACCTATTATCCCATAAGTTCATATAAAAGTGAAGACCGAAGACCTGCCTGACATGCGGGCCGTTCGTTTCCACGGAAGAGAAGATGTTCGAGTGGATGAGATTGAGGAACCCATATGTGGCCCCGGGCAGGTAAAAGTATGATACATCGATCACCTAAAATCCTTTCAACCTGAGTTAAAAATCATATATCCAATTAGATCAAGCCCGCCTTTGTAGGGATCTGCGGAAGTGGTAGGGATTTTGGACCCCTGTCATTTGAACCCCGGTCTAACAGAAGATAGATTTGCACGAGTATCTTGGTGGCCCAATAGCCGTTCCTGTCAATCCTCATCGGATAACAGGGGACAAGTTACCGACCACTTTGGGTCATGAGTTTAGTGGAACGATAGAAGAAGTGGGGGAAGGGGTATCTGGGTTCAATATTGGTGACAAAGTTGCTGTTAATCCCAGTCTCAGCGATGGAACATGCGGGAACTGTCAAATAGGAAGAAGTAACTCGTGCTATAACCTTGGATTTATTGGATTTAGTAGTGAGTTATTGAGGACATGGATAATATCGACTGTGACCGGTTTATACTGACTTCATGGTCTCTCGAAAACTAGGTCGATCGGGCGGGTTATCAGACCATGTTGCTATAGACAAGAAACATGTGTTTCGGCTTCCAGACTCGATACCATTAGATATGGGAGGTATGAATATTTATCATGATCTTGATATATCAATATTTATCTAACTTCTATGATTAGCATTGGTTGAGCCTATATCTGTCGCTTGGCACGCTGTTAGCCGCACTCCAATCCAGAAAGACGATATAGTACTGGTGGTTGGTGCCGGACCAATTGGTCTTGCCATTGTCCAAGTCCTTAGATCTCAAGGAATTGAAGAGATAATTGTTGTGGAATTTTCAGAGAATCGAGGGGAATTTGCTCGTACCTTTGGCGCATCGAAAGTTCTAAACCCGACGAAGGTGGATGCTCTTACAGAAGTTCGAGCATTGACGCAGACTACCCGTGGCAATGGTATAGGTACTGCAGTAGCCTTTGAAACCTCCGGAACTCAGGCTGGGTTGGATCTTGCCATGAGCGCTCTAAAGGTCCGTGGAACGACAGTTTTAGTTTCTCTTTGGGAGAAACCACCAACTCTCAATGCAATTCATTTCATTGTCGGCGAAAAACATATTGTCGGCACTATGGGATACGATGATAGTGACTTTGAGGCTGTTATTGATGCATTGGCCACCGGTAAGTTTCATTTAACGAACAGAAAGAAAAAGCATACTGTATGTCTGTTTTTCGACTAATGCTTCCCAGGAAAAATTACTCCAATGTCTATGATAACGAGCAAGATTCCTATGGACAAAGTAGTAGAGAAGGGACTAAAAGCACTCGTACATGACAAAGAGAAGCATGTCAAGATCTTGATTGATGTATCTGCATGATTTCCTCTGAAGCATTGATATGATTCAGGCCTCCGTCCAGCTTTCATCTTCATTCGCTGGAGTGCTTCGTTTTCCCTTGCGCCTATCCCGCAGAACAAACAATTGAATGGCAATAACACCTACAATTGCCGCAATTACCAACGCGAATGTGGTGGGAAAACCGTATCCTATAACAGACAAACAGTAAGAACCTATGTAGCATGTTTAAATAACCAGTTATTTTCACTTACGGAAATTTGGAGCCATCGTCTGAGGAAAAATGAGAATAGGCAACCAGGCAGCTACCGCGTACTGGAAACCATTCATACTGCTAATAGTGAATGCTCTCGCTTCATTATTATCGGCGCAGATTTCGTTTGCCCACGAATAACTATTGTGAGTAGAGGAACTTATTAGCAACAGTGCAATATCCAGAACACTGGTGCTATCCAAGATGCAACTTACAATACGGCAGTCATCAGTTGAATATTGCAGGTCAAGAAAGCGAATTCTTTCAAAGGGACACTTGATGGCCAAGCAGCGAGAATACCGTTTGGTAAGAGTGTAAGGATCTGTTGGATATCATGTTAGCTTTTTCATACCAGCCTGAACCATATCCGCGACATCTACTGACCAAAGGTATAAGCACCCATGCAAATCTGCTTCCCGTATAATCCGAGAGGAATCCCCACAAGACAACACAGCCTCCAGAGATCAACGAGGTACCGGTTGGAATAACGTTTCGATCACTAACTGAGAAGCCCTCGGCCTTCAGCCAAATCGCAAAGTAGCTACTAGCGCCACAGGACTCTCCATATAACTATATCGGACGGATTAGAAAATGTTGCCCCTAGCCGCGATGAAGATCTTACCGTATATCCCAAGACAAAAGCGTACCACTTCCAAGAGCCAAATGTCCGCTTGACCGTGGCCAATGTTATCTTCGCAGGCGGAGCCTTCCCAGCTTTCCGTACCCTTTCGATGGCGAGTTCTTCTCTTCACTGGTAATGAACCAAGCCCGAGTTGTATGTGGTGTATCTGGAAGAAGGAAAAATGTCGCAAATCCGACAGGTATCGTCATGCACTGTGGATGTATCTCGTCAGCAAAGTAAAAAAAGGCAAGGCAACGACTACCGTATTTCGATATACATACCCCACAAATAATGTACAACCATCTCCACCCAGCAAGGCCATGAGCCCCATCCAAATTTTTGTATACGGCCGCCTGGAGATAACCACTAAAGGCCGTCCCCAGAGGAGCAGTCATATGAAATAGCGCGACTCGCTTTGCCAGCTCGGTTTTTGTATACCAACTCCCCAGAAGATAAAGTAACACAGGGAAGAACGAACTCTCAAAAAAGCCTACCAAGAACCGGAATGCGTAAAGCTGGCTCACATTCGTCATACCAGCTTGCGCAAAAGTAAAAGTAGCCCAGCCTACTTCCATCGCTGCGAGCCAGATACTCGGTCTTATTCGCTGAATGATCAATGTACTTGGGATCTGCATCACTGCGTATGAGACCGTATACACTGTTTGAGCGTACGTATATTGATTTCCGTACATGGAGAGTGATTCTTGCATGCCCGAGACATATGCATTGGTTATGTTGCCTTGGTCAAGGTATTTCATGAAAAATCCTAAACATCCTATGGTGAGAATCGCGGCGTCAATTTTCAGCAGTAGACGTTGCTCCTCAGGCGATTTTAGATGCGTATCTGTGTCCCAAATGAATGAGCGAAATGATCGTCGTGGAGGAGGTAGCTGAGTTGCATCTTCAGAGGCAGAGTCAGTAGACTTCGTCGCTTCATCTGCTTGCTTGACAACTCGAATTGTTTGTGTCGCTGGATTGCCCATATTGCCGCGCTGACTCTAGCAGACAACTCTACAGGAAGCTCATAAACGCTCCGAGCCAAGTATATATATATATATATATGTAATAAAATTCAAATCAATATTTGATTTAGAAGATAATGGTTATATAAGGATACTAACCCCGAATATCTTACTGGCTAGAGTCACTAGACTCATCACGACATTTTTGCATTATATAACATGCCATCAGATAAAGAGGTCTGTCCGCTTTAAATATATGGCTAGATCTGATGCCATATTAGCGACCAATTAGCCATGCATCGTCTATCGGAAGTTTAACCCACTCAAGACATCAGGAATCGGCCTTTACTCCAAGTCGGGGTCGAGCCGTTGGGGTAAACCTCGGCCCTCGAGCATTAGTAGACAAAAATCTCTATACATCGTACATTATTGCCGACCGATATAATTATCATTCTCTTCTTAGTATGGAAAAGCTTAATAAAGAGTTTTGTCAATTCTCAATCAAAATGATGAATTATCTTTTCCAAACAAAAAAAAAGAAAATAAAAGATTGTCAAGAGTTTTAAAAACTGAAGCGGATGGGAGTGAAGCTTGTTTTGTAGATATTGCCTATGTAGTGGAATAAACTTGAAGTTCTTGATTCCGTAGAACCATTTGCCAGGGAGCACTCGAATATTCCCTGCTGGATATGGAACTTCCATGTAGCCGTCAGTCGCTTTGAGCTTTGCAATTGCTCAGTAATATCGCAACGACAAGCTATGCTAACTGTGCTCTTGTTGATACGGTCGACCACGGCCATGACCTCGTCGTAGCCGGCTCTATTCTTGGGGATGCCGAAAAATCTATAGATACGCTTTGCCAAAGCTCGTCAGGCACGGGGGGAGACTGCAACAGCCCAGGAACGCGGTCCCTCCAACTCTTAGCTTGTAAATTTGACAGTTGTCCACATATTGTTTCTCACATCCATGGGCACCCCAGACCAGCAATAGTAACGATCTAATAGGAGAGTCCTTGTACCTTTCACTCCCGGATGGGCAGTCATTTGTTGCCCATGAACTTTGTAAATCAACCTCGCCCGGAGATCGTGGATGTCGGTAGTAATAGATTGATGATCCAGAGCTTGAGAATGTGAGTTTCCCATTGAAATAGTTGGCGACATTGGAATTCAGCATAGTTCCGAGATAGTTGAACATAATAGGTCCGGGTTCCTGATATTGGTCTTGCGTCGAACATTGAAAGGCAAATCCATTAGGCAAGTCAAGTATTGGGTTGGTCCAAGTTGGCTTCCAATCAGGGTTTGGATCTACGACAGGCCCTGTATCATGTAGTATTTGATATCGGTTCATCAGACATGGAAGGTAAACGAACCATGAGCAAGGTAGCCACATAATTTCTTTTTCTTTCCAAGGTTCTGTTCATTTGTGATCGCGGCGCGAGTCTTTGCCAATCTGTCATCTTCTTGATGTACATATACCTACTAGTAGGTAACCCTGGAGGGAGATTCATAATGATATATATTATGTACTATAAATAGTAAGAAAGATACTAGTAGTGGGGTATGTCACGGTGGTGAGTGTCTCCAAGTTTTAGTACCTACTATATAGTATACTTCAAGTTCTACTACTAGGCTACAGCTACTACTAGTGTATTCTTTGTTACATACTGCATATAAAATTCTTTGATAGACCTACCACTCTCTTTCTTCGAACAATTTAATACTAACCAATAATTGAAAATAATTGTTGAAATCACAGATGAGGATGCTATGAACAAATTTACATACAGATCTTATAATGCAAGATATTGAACCCCTGTTTTATTTATACTTAGTTCTCAAAGTAAATGGATAATTAACTCAAAGTAAATGGATAATTAACTCAAAAATTCCGGACCTACGCCCAACAACAACCCACGCTCACTAGCAGCTGCGACCGGGAATAGATTCTCTTGCTAACTACATAACATCAACTGATGACTCAGCATTCGGCCGAACAGATCAATAAAAGTTGTATCTTATCGGCTTGGATTTGTCAACACGAGTTAATATTTGGTATAGGTTTGCTTTGTATTTTGAATCCTTCATTCCAGATTATAAATGAAAGTTAGACAGAGATTTATAAAAGAGAGAGACGGAGTTAGATTTTTCAAGTGTTTCAAAATCTTCTGTCGCTCTGAGCATCATTTATAGTTTCAATTCAACCAACCATTAACTCACATACAAAGAGATGTTTTTCCAGCCAAAAGTCACTCCCCTCCCTTCTGGCATCGAGCTTCATGGAAAAACAGCCATTATAACGGGTGCTAGTGCAGGTCTTGGCCTCGAGACAGCCCGCCAATTACTCTGTCTAAAATGCAGCACCCTAGTTCTTGCCGTTCGAAACACAACAAAAGGGGAATCCTGCGCCGAAGAACTACGTCAAGACCCAGTGATCAAAACCAACAATCCCAATGCCATCATCAAAGTGATTAAGCTAGACGTCGATGACAACGCAAGTGTACAAACGTTCGCTCACGAATTGAAACGCCAGATCTCAACCGTCGACTACCTGATTCTAAACGCAGGATTAGGTAGAATTAGTCATGAGCGCAGCGCATCAGGCCATGAACGTTCGTTGCAGGTCAACTATCTCTCAAATGTTCTCCTCCTGGCGGAGCTGCTACCCTACCTCAATGATAGCGCGGAGAGAAAAGGCTCGCCGGTACGGGTTACGTGGATTGGAAGTCGCGGACACCAATCAAACACTAGCTTCGAAATGAAGGCACCCATTCGTGATGGTGAGTCTGTTTTTGGTCGATTCGACAATGAGGCGGCTTTCTTGCCGTGGGCATCTTATGCAGATAGTAAGTTGCTCTGTGCTATGTTTATGTATGAGCTCTCGCCACGGTTGGATGGGGACAAGATCATTTTGAACATGATTTGTCCTGGTATGCTCCGCACTGGAATGGGTGATTTTCTTCCATTGCCATTGCGTGTGATAGTTGGACTTTTGGTACATGCCAGAGGAAGACCAGTCGAGATTGGGGGGATTTTGGTCGTGAATGCGGCTGTTGTTGTGGGCGAGGAGTCTCATGGGAGACATATGGGGGATAAGGAGATTCTTGAGTAAGTTGGGCATACTTTCTGCTTTCCCCTTATAATGGGTCTACTATGAGGTGGATCTCTGTGTGCTAAAACGGTTTCTTTTATCTTACTAGAGTTTCGAAGTATATTCAGTCTCCTGCAGGGCATGTAGTTCAGAAGAAGGTATGGGAAGAGACCATTGTGGAGATGAGAAAGATCACGGCACTACCGGTGGAATTTAGATAGGATATTGGTATTTTTTCGCTTTGAGGGGATATTTTGGGCATTTCAAGTCATTCAATTTACTGTATCCTGCCTCGAATGGATCGATTATAAGATATCCTGGAACAGTTCCTAGATTGCGGGGCCTAAATATTGTTGCCAAGTATTCAAGTCAAATAACTCCTTAATCACATCGTTTTTCGAAGAATCCCGTATCTGGGGTACAATGGGAAACATAGGTTCCAAAATAGAATCCTCTCGAAGACTGTCGTCTCGAATTCTGATAATGATACCTAGCGACTTTGACTGTTCTGATTCCGTCCCTTGGGATTCCTGGGAATCCCCAAAAGGTGGGCTTCGAAGTTGATTGGAGTTACAGAGGAGATCAATCAGTTCATTCACGCAGTATTCCATCTCGACTTTCTGTTCCGATTCAGTCCCCCTATTGCTCTTCAAGTAAATTGAAATTAAAAGAGAGCACTGCTGTGGACAGTAGTATTTCGAATGAAACCACAAGTAGGGCTGGAAAGCGGGAGTTTGAAAGAGGTGGATGAATATCTGAAGATATTTTAAACACAGCCTCGCGACACTATACTCAGAAAAAGAAAATAAGCATCATAAATCCCTCCATGAAATGATAATGGGACATACCTTTTCCAGCAAGAGGTACTTAAGGACGACGTCTCATTTGAAGATGGAAGGAGCATTTTCTGGTAGCTGATGACTAGCTCCAACTTGAGAAGGGATAACATCATTCTCGTCCATGTGCCAGTTATACTAGGCTCTTTATTCCAAAAGTCATACCAAGTCTCAGATCCAGAAGCTGTAAAGTCATTTTCGAGGGTTCCACGGGAGATCCGGAAGGGAATCATCCCCTTTTCTGGTACACCATGCACAGGAATCTTATCGAATAATCGGTTGACGGAAGTGCAGATCAACTTTATTAACTGAGTGTGGCGTTTCAAAAATGATATCTGAGCCCGCGGGTTATATTGAATATGACGCATAAGCGACGATTGAACCTTCGCGGCCAAGCACTGGATGTAGAAACGTGCAGTAACCAAATCAAATTCTAGATGAAGAGGTGAATTGGGGATAAACATGTCATTGAGAGAATTAGCGTCATGTGTGGTTCCAAGACAAGGATATAAACCAGTGGAAAGACTAGTTTGCAGGTCTAGCCAGATTAGATGATCCGACACAACATCATCATCAGTCCGCAATGCGAAGTCTATTGTATTTCCGTCAAGTCCCATAGTTTGGGCCAAGCGAAGAGCGCTGGCCACAAAAGTGGCAGATTGAATAGGCGTCTGCTCGGTAAAGTGAAAATGTAAGATAGATGCGACAAGAGTATTCAAAGTTGGGTATTCAGTGTGGCGACAGGCCACCAAGCTTTCAGCGCAAGCATCTTTCAGCTGGGTGATTGTTTGTCTTTGATCAATTCCACGAAAGGTGGATGATTTCCAAAATGAATCTGGCGCGGTTGAAGCACCGGCAAATAAGATGGCCCACATGGTACATATGAACGTGGGGTCGCGTATCAAGAGTGGCGATCCCACGGATGGAGGGTCGGCCCCTAGTGCCGTCCAGAATGCTTCATAATGGGGCAAAAATCTAGTTTTGGACAATAGAGGATAGATTGGGTGTACGGCCATCATATAGTATTTGACTAGTTCATGGCATTGGTCTTCATTCGGAAGGCCGCGAAGTAGCATGGCCAGTGAGATAGATGAGATATAAGACGGAGGAAGACCCTCTGGGTCCTCTTGATCGAAACCAGAAAATGATGCGATAAGTTTTTCTTGGCCGTCAATGGAGGCCCAGAAAGATTTACCAACAGATCTCTGTCGTGGCCCTTGATCAAGTCTGTGAAGACGTGGGAACGACGTGAGAAAACAATATCCAGTTGACTGGTCTGTTTCTTGTATCTCCGTAGCCCTCACTGAGGTAGTATCTGACTTATCCGACTGAGTAGGTTCTATATTTGGGGTTGAATTTGAACGGTGATGTTCTGTCGAGGGGACCACGCGACCTGTATCAACGTCTCTGAAATCGGTAGGATATTCACAGGTTTCGGATGCCGACTGACAGTTCATGCATTGTGGTTGTTCCTTCCCACAGCGAACCTTTCGGCGACGGCATCTGAGGCATGTAAGGCGTATCCGAGGTTTTTTGACCCTGCGACCTCCCTGAGATGGGCTGACTGATTGAGATGAAGCACGAATCATTTCGTCTGGTCGTAAGTGAATGAGTACACAATTTCCCTGCGCAGCAGATGCGAAACACTTAAGGAGATGGGTAAAAGCCTCGCCTCGGCCGAATCAATAAACAAATGCAATGCTGACACATCATTCGGCCGACCAGGCCAACCAGCGCCGTTCAACTTCCCAACAACTTCAGGGGTTGGAAGAACTAGTTGGACCACCTGGGCAGCTGCCAGGTGTAGCCCTGTAGCTCGAGTGCCGACCGTAATTCAAGTCCCTGCTCGATAATTACGGGAAATGACTCGTAACATTGAAACTTAAGCCAAAAGGATCGACATCCCTGCTTGATCTGCCCAACACGGGGAGTTGCCGCTATCAAGTTGTCGGACCTTATCCGACGCGAAGCACATAAATCTAACATCCGGTTCATTTGAAGAGGGTCCCGGGCCCCGGAATTAGATTTATTGTATGCGTACTGTATTACCTTAAGCTTTCATTCACAACCCTCGCGGTCGAAGCGTTTACGTCGACCCCAAAGTGTGTCATCTCTGGTGACCAAGGGGATAAGCGGAGGGGAGCCGCATATCGGCGGGTCTGCTTCCCATGGACAGACTTCAGAGTAAGAAGAACCGCTCCCTGACATTACAGTATATTTTAATGGGGCTGCATTCTAGAATCTCATTTTCAAAAAAAAAAAAATCACGGTCTCGTTTTCTTTTAGCCCTCATGCAACCATACAACAATGGTCACTCAAGACACCCCAGTTATCACCGCACAGCAATGGATATCGCTCCCAGCTGAATTCCGAAGACCAGGGAGCTCAGAACACTCCAAAAACCAGAAAAGAAATCGAAAGATTGACTCATTCCTGGAAGGTCCAGTATTTATCTCTCATCTATCCTGTTTGTTCGTGACCGATATTCCCTACGGGCGAATATTTTCCATCGATATAGCCACTGCGACTTGGTCACTTTTCCTCGAATACGATGGCGAGCCAAATGGTATGGCCTGGAATCCATTGACTGAAAAAATAGTCATCGCAGACTTCAAGCAAGGTATACTATCTCTTGACTTGACGACTAAAACGGTCACACCACTTGCGACTCGCTACCATGGCGAAAGGTTCAAGGGGCCCAACGATTTAGTCGTTGCTCCTGACGGCTCGATCTATTTCACGGATCAAGGAATGACGGGTCTCCATGATCCATCGGGACGGGTGTATCGCCTTTTTCCTAATGGACGATTAGATCCAATCATTACGAATGGACCTTCACCTAATGGCCTCGTTCTGACCCGAGATAAAACATCACTGCTCGTAGCTATGACAAGAGACAATGCTGTTTGGCATATCCCTTTCTATGAGGATGGGTCTGTGCAACGCGTTGGCCGATATTCGAGCTATTATGGGATTGGAGGGCCAGATGGAATGGCGCTGGATGAGGAGGGGAATGTGTTTGTTGCTCACTCAACCTTAGGGACTATTTATGTTCATGGTTCCAATGGTAAACTAAAGACGAAAATCGAAAGTTCAGTTGGAAATGGCACTACAAATTTGACTTGGGGAGGAGAAAAGTCCAATGTTTTATATATTGTGGAAAGCGAAAGCGCTTCGATTTTGAGAGTTGATTGGCATTGTGCTGGTTGCCTTTGATTAAATTTGTGCTAGAATAGCTGCTTGATGAAGTTGTCATTTTTTCAACATAATTGTGGTACAACTCTTTGGTCTTGAAATCTTCATTGTATGTTATGAGTACGAAGTTAGTATGCGCCTCACATAGTATTGATATCTCTAAAAGATATGTATAAGTTCCTAGGGCAACATTCGAGTCAAGTACGTTTTTAATATACAGCCCAATTGGTAGACCAAATTTGAACTTTAGCTATTTAGCAGAATGCATTTGTCCATTTTCCCCTTTCGTAGGGAGCTATTGTGTCGGACCAGTGGCAGTTAAGAAATCGAAATCAGCACCTTCATGCGCCTGGTTGACCGTCCGTTCATAGAGACCTCTATATCCGCGCCGGGTCTGTCGTTGTAACCACACTGATGGCTGTTCTCCGTCTTTCAAGTTCACCAACTTCTCTTTCCGTTCCGCAATACGCCTCTGCAGCTCTTCTTCAGAGATTAACAGCTCGATTTTCCGGCTGTCCAATTGAAACTCTATCTCGTCTCCAGTCTGCACAACCCCAAACGGAGAATCGGGAATCCCTGACTCTGGTGAGACATGCAGCAAGATTGTTCCTCCTGCAGTTCCAGACATTCTTCCATCAGATATCCGAAGCATATCTGTGACACCTTGCGTGGCCAGCTTGCGCGGAATTGGAATCATGCCGGCTTCTGGCATTCCCGGGTTCCCTATTGGGCCAATCCCTTTGAGAACCAGAATAGAATCGGCAGTGACCTCGAGATCAAGATCATCAATCCGGAGAGCTAGATCCTGCGAATTTTCAAAGACTACGGCTTTAGCTTTGTGGTGAAGGAGACGCCTGTCCTTAGAGGCCGAAGCTTTCATCACAGCACCGTTGGGGGCAATGTTGCCGCGGACAACAGCTAAAGATGAACAGGGATATAAAGGATCGGAAATGGGACGAATAATAGTGCGAGCATATTCAAAGTCGCGGAATGGAGTACGATCGAGTAGCTCGCCCAAAGTCTCGCCTGATAGAGTTTGAGCGTTGAGATAAAGCAACGGTCGCAAACGATTCAGGAGAGTTATCATTCCACCGGCGTTGTGAAAGTCAGTCATATAGTTATCTCCGCTTGGTTTCAAATCCACTAGAAGAGGGGTGGTTCTGCCGATAAGGTCTAGGTTTTCTAAATTGAAGTTACCGCTGAGAAGTGGGTGTCGGTTCACTATAGCCATTAAATGAACCATGACATTGGTCGATCCACCGATAGCTTGAAGAACTATGGCAGCATTGTAGAAGGATTCGGCGGAGAGGAGAGCTTGAGGAGTTCTCTGGGCCTTCGCTGCAGCGACGGCATTTGCACCTGTCTGCTCCGCAATTCTCATCCGAGCTGCAGAGACGGCTGGGGCTGATGCACCCTGAAGGGGAATTAGTCCAAGTGCTGCGGTGATACATGCCATTGTACTAGCTGTTCCCATCACACCACATGTCCCAATCTGTATGTAAAATAATGATTAGCACGGCTCGCTGTGGTAGATCGAGACTTTTCTATGATTGGCTGTGAAAAAGGTAACATACCGTTGGAGCGAGCTCTTCATTAACCTCCATGATCTCCTCTATGTCTATATTCCCGGCGCGGTAAGAAGCCCAGTTATTCCGACAATCAGTACAGGCACCAATTCGCTTTCCACGCTGGCTACCTGGCATCATCGGCCCGGTAATCAGTGGGAGAACAGGTTTATTGGCCGAGATACCGCCCATGATCTGCGCAGGAACAGTCTTATCGCATCCTATATGCGAGTATTAGTGATCTTCATTCAAATGAAGGGAATTTATTGCCAAAAAAATACCTCCAATCATGATACACGCATCCACGGGCTGAGCCTTGATCATCTCCTCCGTATCCATACTCATAAGGTTCCGAAGAAACATGCTCGTGGGGTGGGAGAAACTCTCAGCAACACTGATCGTAGGAAAGTCAATGGCAATTCCTCCGTTCAAATGAATTCCCCGCTTTGCGGCCTCGATAAGCTGGGGGGCATTCCCGTGGCAGGGGTTGAAGCCCGAACCGGTGTTGATGATACCGATGATAGGACGCGACAGGGCATCTTCAGAATAACCAAGGGCTTTGATGAAGACCTTTCGCAGAAACAATGAAAAATGTTGGTCACCATAAGATGTAAGTCCCTGTCGAAGACCAAAGCTTGTATCTAAAGACTGCGACAGATCGTAGTCTTTTTTGACTGGGTCGGATTCAGTAGGGGTGGTCATTTTGTCTTGGGCGCATGTAGCTCGCAGTTGATGAAGGGTGAAACTGAAGAAATGCGCACGATCGCTTTTTCTTCGGTAAACGTTCAATCGGCCATGACCCCGATGCCTTGGAGGTAATTGTGTCATACCGTATGGGTCCTTAGCTTATCCCGAGGAACGGGGGCGACCCCGCACTGAGAAACAACGGAAGCCATCCGCAACCAAGCTATTTCCAAGCAACACAATACACAGACTATACTGTTTTGGGGGCTACAAATAAACGTCAAAATGCCCTATGATGTGATCTCGATTGAATTTCCTCAATTTCATCGCCTAATATCCCAATTCTATCATCTTCGACAATGCTTCGACTTGACGGGAAAATTGCCCTTATCACCGGTCTCGGGCAAACGAGCGATGATGGCTGGGGCATCGGGGCTGCGATCGCGATGAAACTCTCACAGCAAGGAGCAATTATCTTTGGAGGAAATCGCACATTGGCGGCTGCTGAAAGGACCAAAGCACGGATCGAGGCTGGTGGTGGCATTTGCGATATTCAGCAAACAGATGTTACCGGTTTCGAGTCCACCAAAGCTCTAGTTGACGCCTGTCTCGCAAAGCACGGTCGTATCGACATTCTGATAAACAATGTTGGAAAGTCAGAGCCTGGTTGTCCAGCTACCATGCAAGAAGAGATATGGGATCAGCAGGTTGATCTCAACCTGAAAAGTATCTACCTGACGACTCACTTTGTTCTCCCCATTATGGAGAAACAAGAGACTGGCGGCGCAGTGATCAACGTCTCGAGTATTGCAGGACTACGATACATTGGGAAGCCTCAAGTCGCCTATTCAGCCACCAAAGCTGCCATTATGCAGTTTACTAAAGCAACTGCTGTGATATACGCCGACCGAGGAGTAAGGCTGAATACAGTCGTTCCAGGCTTGATCTACACGCCGTATACTCGCGCGCTTGCCAAGAGATACGCCCCTGGAGGTGATGAAGAAAGCTATATGAAAATGCGCGATGATCAGGTTCCGATGAAGAAAATGGGAGATGCTTGGGACGTTGCCAATGCCACTCTGTTTCTTGCAGCCGATGAGTCGCAATATATTACAGGACAGGAACTAGTGGTGGACGGTGGAATCACGTCCTCAACAGGAAGAGTGTAAACGGCTGAAGGATCGAGCGAAAGAGTCTATTCAAGTTGCTCTATCTCGGCTGACTCTTGTATATAAAATTTATTCGACTCTATAGAATGTACAATGTCTTATTCCATCTATCCCATGCCTGTGCTATTTTCTGTGATAGTAAATGTGTTTGTTTACTAAACTTCCACTTTAATTCTCTGAAATGGACAATGACGATCCGTCATGTGGAGCAATAAATTTATCGACTTTTGAATATGCGATTTGTGAGATCATAAGACCACGGAGAGAAGCCCTCCAGTGGACCAGTGAAGCACAGATTGGATAAAATTACTTCGAAGGGCCTAGGCCGGACGGATAAATTTCCGTGCTTGAAGTTAATTCATTCAACAAGTAGCGGGGCAGAGTTAAGATCTAACGTGGTCCGAGTCTCGGATGTACTCCGCTCGACCAGCTGCGGATGGGTCCCACTCCCCGGGTATCTACTAGTAGGTGCACAGAGCTTACCTAGATCCCTAAAGAAATATATTTGAAGGTTTTATTTGAACTACAAAATTTCATTCTTTTGATTTCCCTGAAATTAAAATCATCACTCCGAAGTATCCACACTCCGCACCACAAAATGACTCTGGTTCACATCGGTACGTTTCTATCGCAAGGCATTCTATATCGACAAATCCATTCTCACACATTATTAGTCCTGTTCAAATTTCGCCCTGAAGTCACAGAGGAACACAAACAAAAATTTGTGACCGAACTCAAGAAGTTGAAGAATCTTCCTTGTGTAAAACGAGGACGCCTTCTAGTTGGAGGACCTAGCGTAACTGATCCTATTGAACGCAGCAAGGGATTCCAAATTTCTCTTGTCAGCTTCCACGAGAATCTAGAAGCCTTATTGGAGTACCAGGCTAGTGCTGAGCATCATCGGTGAGTTATGAATGACCGTCTTCGGGTAACGGGATCTTATGCTAATCTTTGCAGTGTAACCTCCACGTACATGTTCCCCTACAAAGAAGATCTGATGCGGTTCGATTTTGAAGTCGATGAGGAGGACGAGTATATGTGTGACTTTCCGTTATTGTCTTAATGTAGAGGTGTTTTGTTCTTCGGATAGAACTATGTATAGATATACCCGTGGATAGCTACACTAGATGGGATAAAATGTTAGAAAATCTATACAATATCACAATTCTCCTATACACAATCTTTGGTATCAGGTCCAAGCATCAGGGACGTGTTGCTAAGCGCTGTTATCATCGTAAGCTAATTAAGCTGCTTTATAGTTGACATATGATATAATTTAGATTTATGAAGGAGGTGAATCATATCCACGTTCTATTGTAATGGGTCATCTAAAAGTACCCCGATTTCTCTAGCGATTTCAGCTATTTCAGCTATTTCAACCGTTCATAACAAATAAGTAGAGGCGAAGCGAAAAAGGTATCAGGCATCCCCGATTCCCCCGACAATTCCAATCGGAGCTGTGCCGCTCCCATCGTTCGTCCAATCGGAAATGGCCCGTCTAAACTTCGTATCCACCGGCCTCGGGAGTTGAGGGACGACTACATGAACATCGCGTCCGCAGGAACCACTTTTCTCGACCTTCTTCCCTTTAAAAAGAAGACATCACTTGATGTCTTCGCATCAGGAAACTGAAAAAAAACACCCCTAAAACACCACTCAACGCCACTGAGCGAATTTTCCACACAATGGCTGATCCTTCTCAACAAGTCCATCATATTAAGCCTGCAGATCTAGAGGCCCTTGTTCAGGGCATTCTAACCGGGAACGGAGTATCTCCTGATCATGCTAGCACCGTGTCGAGATGTCTTCTAATGGCAGATCTCCGGGGCGTCGACACGCACGGTTCAAACCGTATACCGTCGTACATGAAGCGAATTCGTGAAAAGGTGTTGGACCCCATAGCTGTTCCTGAGCTCAGCCAAACAACGCCCGTGGTGGCCTCTGTTGATGGGAAGAACGCATTTGGATTTGTTTCCGCCCACATGGGTATGGAAAGAGCGATCGAAATGGCCAAGGTATTCGGTATCGGCATGGTTTCCATCAAACACTCTAACCACTTTGGCATGTCTGCCTGGCTGGTGGAACAAGCTATCGACGCCGGCATGATGTCTCTCGTTTTCACCAATTCATCACCAGCACTTCCGGTATGGGGCGGCAAATCCAAACTTATGGGTGTATCCCCCATCGCCTGCGGTGCCCCTGCCGGAAAAGAACGCCCATTTATTCTCGATATGGCGCCCTCGGTTGCAGCACGAGGCAAAATTTACAAAGCTCTACGAAGAGGGGAGAAAATCCCAACTGATTGGGCCCTTGATAAGGAAGGAAATATCACTGATGACCCTGCTAGCGCCCTTGAAGGCGTCATGCTTCCTATGGGAGGACCCAAGGGTTCTGCTCTTTCTATCATGATGGATGTTTTCTCCGGCGTCTTTTCTGGATCTGCGTTTGCAGGCCATGTCACAAATCCATATGACCCCTGCAAGCCAGCTGACGTTGGACATTTCTTGGTCGCGATAAAGCCTGACTTGTTTATGGATCTGGAGGACTTCAAGTCGCGCATGGACTATCTTTATCAGCGAGTAGTGGGAAGTGACAAAATGGGAGGTATTGATCGTATCTACTTCCCTGGTGAAATTGAGCAGATCACTCGGGATGAGCGATTGGCGGGTGGGATCCCTTTCACGCGGGCGGAGATCGATGCGTTGAATGAGGAAGCAAAAAGTGTGGGAGCGGCAAGCTTGAATTTTGACTGAAACATCTCAAATTGTATCTAAAATTTATAAGATTGGAATGTATTGAGCAACTTTGCACATCTCGCTCGAATATTTGCGTCGTCATACGTATTATCTTTGGCACAGTAATAAGAAGAAGTTGTTGAAAGATATATCAATAAATCGTTATAAAGCCAAAACCAAAAGATAGTTTTTTGTTTGATATCAGTGAAATGGGCTGGATCTCAACCTGAAAGGTAAATCGTACTCATTTTCACGAGGTAAAGCGGCTTGCATCTCGCTGCGCTCTTTCCTATCAAGGGCCCAAAAAGCTTTAGCGTAACATTCATCACCTAGACGTATTCCAAGGACAGTTTTCCATACTAAGAATATGGCATAGCTATCAAAAGGGGGATAATTACCCTCTGGGTGCGGTTTGATGCCGAGACATGCGGAGGGATGCCGTGATACGCAGCGTGATTCCCCTTCTTTTTTTGAATGCCAGATCAAAAGCTTGATGGTCATGATTTTTTGAACACTTGTAATTTATTGATAGGAAAAAAATACGTAACTCTAATAAAAATGTTGCCACTGTATCGGATGTTGAGTACAACTTCCAAGTTGCGAACAAGCCACGATCCTGTCGCTAGATTAAAACTAAGTGAATTTATTAGCTGCATGGATTTCTTGGTGAACTTCTTTATGGGCATCCAATGTATGCAAGTCTCTAAGTTAAGTGGACCAGATGGCACCAAAATTACCGGCTTGCTATTTAAAAACTCCCATTGTAAACCACCATTTACTGGTGAAAAGATCTTTTAATGTCATTCTTATTACCTGCTAAGGTTAATACTATCTAGCGGTATGATATTCCCCGGACTAGATCCGATAGGAGGACTGGATAGAAAGTAAAATGCGGAGAATGTGGAGATTGGGCCATGTTGTTCTATGAGATTCACATAACTGACTTATGCTAAATTATGATCATGATATATGAGCATAGTGACTTCCTCTCCCTTTGCTCCTACTAAGGTTCCACTTTTTCGAGACTTAAATATCTCTTCCACCTCCTACCTTCCCTTTAGCAAGCTCAAAATGTTTTCGTTTTCCAAAAGAATAACATTATGGCAAACCTTCCTCGTTACCGCACCGGCTTTTATCCTTTACGGCTATAATCAAGCAGGGCTTTCCTCTCTGTTGAAGTTACCAAATGTGGTGCATCTTTTCCCACAAATCGATACTATCAACACACATGGAGCCCAGGAATCCACCAACTCAACTATAGAAGGTCTCGTCAATGCTTGTCTACAAATTGGTGGTCTTTTGGGCTCCCTGTCGTGCTCATTGATCGGGGACAAACTAGGTCGGAGAAGAAGTATCTTCTTAGCCGCCATTATCTGCGCTGTCGGCCAAATCCTCCAGTGTACGGCATTTACCTTGGCACAGTTTATCATTGGTCGCATAACTTTGGGGGTTGGCGTGGGCCAGCTTAATGTGACAGTGCCTGTATGGCAAGCCGAGAGCTCGTCTGCCGGAAGCAGAGGGCGCAAGGTCATCACTTCCGGCATCTTTATTTGTGTGGGCTTCTTTACATCAAGCTGGCTCAACTTTGGATTCGGTAACCTTTCATCTGGCCCTTTACAATGGCGGATATCGCTTGCAATTCCAGTATTTTTCTCACTACTTGTCTGCCTGACAATTTTTATGTTCCCTGAATCACCACGCTGGCTGGTACAGGTAAACCAACCAACCATGGCCAAAGAAGCACTTGCTCGCCTGAACGGCATAAGCCCTGACGATAGAAATATTGAGCTTGAAATCTCCCGGATACAGCATTCACTGGAATCAACTTCCTCCTCTTCGATTATGGATATTTTTCGCGGAAATAACGATTCAAGGCTTGGATATCGCTTCATTCTGTGTATGGGAATCCAGACACTTCAGCAGCTTGTCGGTGGGAACCTCATCTCTGTTTACACGACCACGATCTTCGAGGATAACCTCCATCTACAGGGTAAAATCCCTCAAATTATTGCTGCTTCTTCATTGACATGGAAGTTCTTATGTTCTTTTATTGCCTTCGCAGCCGTGGATCGTTATGGACGACGGTCCCTATTTGTGTTCAGCGGCACAGGGATGTGCCTTTGTATGGTCGTGATGGCTGTAACAAACAGCTTTCCCGAGTCCAACCAGGATGCCTCCATTATTTCGGCCGCGACTATCTTTATTTTCAACTTTTTCTACCCGATCGGGTTTCTGGGTGGTAATTTTCTCTACTGTGCTGAAGTCGCTCCTGTTCATCTGCGGGTTGCTATGGCTTCGATGTCTACGGCCAACCATTGGCTTTGGAATTTTATCATCACTATGGTCAGTCCGGTGGCATTGTCTAGCATTGGCTGGAAGTACTATCTGGTATTTGTATCCACGTGCGCCTGCGTCCCTATAGTGACACTGCCTTTTTATCCTGAGACAATGGGCCGCAACCTCGAGCTTATTGATCGAGTATTTCGTGAAGCTCCCACCATTTGGGACATTGTTCCAATGGCCAGAAGAGTTCCTAAAGGAGATGTTACAGAGGACAATTTCTTCAGTGGCAAGGAGACTGAAGCTGAAATTGCAGAGCACAAAGAGCACGTGTGATCGTGGAGGAACTTTATAGGTAAACATGCTTTCAAGTTTTTAATAAGAAAATCATTATTTCCATTCTCTACATCGCTGTATACTGAAGTTCCCACTATTCAAGTAAATTTCGCATTGCCATAAAGGCCTACGCTATTTAATTAGTAGAGTATGCACATACGGGATAAGTACTGTTTCAGTCTCGATAGCCATTGTCGCCACATACATGAATCAATTCAAAGACCCTTGAAAGATCCCAACCTCCTCTGGCATACGTAATTTCACGCGACTCGGGGTTCAATAATCAGTGAGATTTGATTAGTTAGGGATACGCAATGTGTAATCCTATAGTGGGCGGAGCACATCCGTTACGGGGTTAAATGGAACTAAGTTAAACGGATGTCCGCTCAGCAAACGCCAACTTCTTCCACCGGGGGATTCTCCAGGATAACAATTTGTTTTTATAGTCCGATTGATACTGGAGCTCAGTCAATTACAGAGGTCATTGCTGTGACGAATCGAATTTCGATGGCGTGGCAAAAAGTGATATGATGATATCATGAACTCGTCACGACTTGCAGCATAAAGCTCTAGCTTGTGAATCATAGCACAGCTTACTCGACACAAATTCCTTGCAAATAACTTTTGCCAACGTTCAATGGACCAATTTTCCATTGTTCTTCGAAATTTTCAACACTTCATCTGAACAAAGATTCATTGAGTACAGTTAATTTCTACTATGCCACATTTGAAGCTTAGAGACGGAGCTGAGCTCTTCTATAAAGACTGGGGCAATTCCAATGGCTCCATCGTCACATTTTCCCATGGCTGGCCTCTGAGCAGTGACAGCTGGGAGAATCAAATGTTCTATTTAGCCGATCAAGGATATCGTGTCATTGCGCACGATCGCCGTGGTCATGGGCGATCGACACAGACCTGGGACGGAAACAACATGGATACCTTTGTCGATGATCTCGAGGAGCTGTTTTCATACCTCCGGGTTAAAGATGCAGTGATGGTTGGCCACTCTCATGGGGGTGGAGAAGTCGCACATTACCTTGGAAAGCACGGCACAGGCCGATTCAAGAAAGCCGTTCTGGTCGGAGCTGTGCCACCTCTAATGTTGAAGACCAGTTCCAACCCCGAGGGAACAGAGAAATCTGTATTTGATACGTTTCGACAGGCCATGCGAAAGGATCGCGCGCAGTTCTTTTTGGATGTCCCCAGTGGGCCTTTCTTTGGTTTTAACCGAGCTGGTGCAGAGAAAAGTGAAGGACAGATTCGTAGCTGGTGGCAGCAGGGGATGAACACCAGTTTCAAGTCTGCGTATGACTCGATTAAGGACTTTTCGGAAACAGACTTCACAGAGGACCTGAAGAAGATCAATATTCCCGTATTGGTTCTTCATGGCGATGATGATCAGGTTGTTCCCATTGAGGCTGCTGGATTGAAGTCATCGAAACTTCTACCCCAAGGAAAGCTGAGGATTTACAAAGGCGGATCTCACGCTATTCACAACATTAATGTTGAGGAAGTCAACAAAGATCTGCTTGACTTCATCAAATCTTGAGAAAATAGCGTTCATTATGTAAAGAGGCTTTTTGTTCTTGTTGTTTTAATTTAGAACAAATGCCAAAATACGCACCTCAGCATAAACAAACGATACTAGACTGAGAGAGTAATATACTAGCATACTGTCTAGGGATCATGTGTCAAGCCCACTCACTCCTTGTATGCAGCTATACACACCGGATTTCGTCCGCCGAGTGGGGTTTTCCTGTGAGGATGCTCAGATATTTACTAAAAGAAAGGAGTAGCAGCTCGATGAAGGTGATAGCTCAAGGAAGATAAAAAAAGGAAGCCGGGATAGAAGGCTAAATGCACTAGTTAACTAGGTGTGGATGCTTAGGTGTGTGCCATCGGCGTAAGGCATCTAAGAATGGTAACAACACCAATTCGCAACAAAGGCTAAACATGTTTGCGCAGGTCCAAGCATTAAAGTGATTCTCTCTAGCCCCTAGTAGGAGGCTTCGGCCGCGGGGGCCAGGCCCAAGCAGGCCTATACAAGTCTTTTGACAGCATAGATCTCCCCTAACAGATCTCGTTTTGGGGGGCAAGGGGGGGGGGGGGGGTTTAAAGCTTCAGCAGACGTTCCTTACAAAATTTGTCGAAGACATTGTTCCTTGATTTCATGACTAACTTCTTCAAGTAAATGTTCGTGTTTGATGCTGGGATCGTAGTCCACGGGTAGGGTTGATGTCTTTGATGATTTCTCAAATAATCTTTTAGCACTGTGATAGGTACCTGTTGTAGTGAGTAAAGACACCCACACCAAACATCTTGTCATAGGAGATGTCCTGTCTGCGAACCAGGATCGTCCTCTAGGGGATAGTAGAAATACTAAGATAGAGACCGGTAGGGTTGTCCGAAGGAGAAGAGGTCTGAATTGCTAGAATATCTGACCACATCTTAATCACAGAATGCTGACTCAAACCGCTCAGAATGTATCATATTCCCCATTACAATACACGAATATCATGTGACTCGGGTATATCATGATGTTCAGCTACATAGCCAGGGTGAGTGTACTTATTGCCATGATACCAAGTAGGTAAGCTAAAATCTGACTCGTATACATTCCCACGTTCCACCATGGCAGATTCGAAGATCATGGGAGACAGTGATTCTGAGACTCTAAATCTAGACAGGCTAACCATGAGTATCTTCATCCTTAATCCCTAATCGCGACGGTGTAACTGATGACTGTCACTTCCAAATTTATCTCCATTTGAATTGCTTCAGTTGCATTTCAGCGGAGAAGCAATCCGTATAAGGTCGAGATAATGAGACCGGATCCGTCATGCATGTAACGGGGGTGCAGATGACGAGGAACGGGAAGAAGTGGGAAGCTTAAGTTCAAAGGATCATCAACGTCGATCAGTGCCTGGAATAGTGCTGTAAAGCATCTGACAGGAATTGAATTAAAACATTGGCAATAATTATTAAGTGAATTCTATTCTAATATATGCAGGGAATAGACCTATCAGATTAATCAATTTATGATATAATATAATTTCTTTGCCGTGATAACTGCAAGCGGAAATCCGGATTAGGTTCAAGGGCGAAACACCAATTCTTGCTTCTGTAACACTCTCTTCTCCCCTTCCCTCATTAAAAAGGAACCACGGGGCGTGGCTTGCTGTCATCTAGCTTAGCCTTGCGATCGTCGATTTTAGTCTTGTTCTATCTTCCTTCTTTCTCCCCCTGTGTCTTTCCTACCTCCAAAATAAAAAGCTGGCCTTTTCGAGATCAGACCCCCCGGGCCAAGTGAGAGGGCCGTTCCAGCCCACCCAATCCACACTAATCACAAGCCTCGATGCTGTGAGCTTCCGAAAGCCATGAATAGGCATCCCGCCTATCCTAAAGGCGCTTCAGCCTACCCTCGCGGGTCGAATGCCTTCTCCATCTCTCCAAATCGGTACGTCGTCGGTTCCGCGAAAGGCCACGCGTTTTCTCCGCAGATCGAACCACTGCAGTTGAAGCCGCAATGGAAGAAAGAAAGAAAGAAAGAAAGAAAAAATTTGTGGAGAAAAGAGAGAACGCTAAATAGTCTCAATGCTAATCTGTCTTTCCTACTAGCTTCCAGCCTCGTTCACAACCCAGCCTGCGCCGCCGCCGCCAGCTCTTCCAACGACTTATTCTCCTCGGTGGGGTATCGCTACTTCTAGTGATCTTCATCTTCCCATCATGGCGCGCAGCACTCCTCCCAGCTATCTCCCTCGGTCTCTTCCACCCCTCAGCCGACCTCCAGCTCCAAACAGTTCGATATTATGACCTCTCCGAAGTAACGGGTACCGAAAAGGGCTGGGAACGCGGCGAACGCGTCCTAATGCTCACACCTCTGCGCGATGCTGCCTCCCACCTCCCCATGTTCTTCTCGCACCTGCGCAACCTTACATATCCGCACAATTTGATCGATTTAGCCTTTTTGGTCTCGGACTCCCGCGATGATACCCTCAACATGCTCTCGAGCATGCTGCAAGATATACAGAATGACCCGGATCCGAAAATGTCTTTCGGGGAGATCTCAGTGATCCAGAAGGACTTTGGACAAAAAGTGCAGCAGGATGTGGAAAGTCGGCATGGGTTTGAAGCGCAGGCAAGTCGCCGTAAATTGATGGCGCAGGCGAGGAATTGGTTGTTGAGTGCTACGCTGCGTCCTACGCATAGCTGGGTTTACTGGCGAGATGCAGATGTGGAGACAGCTCCGTTTACAATTATTGAGGATTTGATGAGGCATAACAAAGATGTTATTGTTCCTAGTGAGTGACTTATGCGGCCCTTTGACTTGCGATAAGAACTAATCTAATGTGTTTAGATGTTTGGCGACCGCTTCCTGACTGGCTGGGTGGAGAACAACCATATGATTTGAACTCGTGGCAGGAGTCGGAGACTGCGTTGGCGTTAGCGGATACTCTGGACGAGGATGCAGTTATCGTGGAGGGATACGCCGAGTACGCGACGTGGCGACCTCATCTGGCCTACCTGCGCGATCCATACGGTGACCCAGATATGGAAATGGAACTGGATGGTATTGGTGGTGTGAGCATTTTGGCAAAGGCCCAGGTCTTCCGTGCTGGTGTTCATTTCCCTGCTTTCAGTTTCGAGAAGCATGCCGAGACAGAAGGATTTGGCAAGGTAAGGATAACTCCCGTTAATCCCATGGAATACGGTTCAGCATCTAACTTACAATCTCCAGATGGCCAAACGCATGAAATTCTCCGTCGTCGGTCTCCCCCATTACGTTATTTGGCATCTATACGAGCCTAGCGTGGATGACCTGCGCCACATGGAAGAAATGGAGCTGGAAAAAGAAGCTCTAGAGCGCGAGGAGAAAGAACGTGAGCTAGCTCAGCAAAAAGAAGGAAGCCAGGTCAAAAAGGCCCAGGATGTGGTTAATGGAGATGCTGCTAAAGGCTCCGAGGAAGGCCCGATTGCGCACGCCGAGAAAAACGCTGGCAAGGGATCATCCAACAAATAAATAGTGGTGGCTATGACACTGCAGTCTCTTCCACTATCCTACACTATCAAGCCGCCCGAGCCGCAGGGTCCCCGTTTTAGACGCTCCCAGCTGGCTGGAATATTTTACGCCTCTCTAGGCTACAGGGTCAGCATACTTGCTTGAAGTCGTCACATGTCGGGTATCTATCAGGACGTCCTTTTTTCTTTTCTATTTCTTTTCTATTTCTTTCCTTTTTGTTGACTCATTCGATGCATCAGGTGGGATAATCTTTTGCTGAACCAGGGAATGATGTCTTTGGTAGGTCTCTCGGGCCTCCTCTCGTTCCCTGTGTATATCTTCGTTATTTGGCGCGGGTGTCTTATCATGGTTTTAGAAGCATATTAGAAGGCGTGATATGGTAAACAAGCAATACGGTATTTTGAAAAGGCAATTGATTTTTTTTCGACTTTCCATCTATACGCTCCCATCTTAGATCATTTGAAGAGTACATACATCGTAACCTGTAAACCATAGCATGACCTAACGTCAGCGCTAGCCATCAAGATGCTATAATTCGGGCCGAGCCGTTTAGATCTCACTATTGTATGAGTGACTTGTTCACATGGTCTCATCATGAGAGTAATATAGTTCATGAGTTAACCTACACCAGTTCATAAACTAAGCGATCTCAGATCCCAGATCTACGATATAGTTTCTCGTATCGTATTCTTATTCTTATCTCTCTACCGCACTCGTTCCCGAGGTCAACGCAGCTGATGCAACCACAATCTGATAAGTAACCGTGACCCAATCAAATCTCACCATTTAACCGTTGCACAACATTTGAACGGCACCACGCACATTAACAGAGACCGAAGCAAGTGATGATAATGTTAACCGGTCACGTTGACCGCCATCGGATCACCCTATCTATCTAAACCTGGTTCTCGTATCTATGTGCCTATCTCCAGATATCCATTATCGATACTCACTACTTAGATAGAAGCTCCCCCACATATGAGGAGTAGCTATTTCTCTAGCATGCCCCGGATTCTTCAAGTCCGGTCTTCTTTCTTTCTTCTTTTAATCCAATTTAATTCATAGTCACAATGCCTGGGCATAATGAACGATCGCCATTACTTGGAACGAAAGTCAAAGATCAGTCGAAATGGACATCTATATACCTACTTTCTATATGCGTTTTCTTTCTAAATGCAAGTGATACATTACTCAGTGTACCATTGACACAACTTATTGAAGATAATATTTGCCTTCAAGATGTTAAGAGGATTAAAGATTTGTCTTTAATCACGGAGGGGTTCTGCAAGAATGATCATATTCAAACGAAGTTGGCGTATACGACAAGCTCATTGCCTGCGGTCGAGGCTATTATTGGTATATTTGATGACTTCTAGCGATATACCCAGTTATTGACTAGCTTCTCTAGGTCTGATTACTGCATTTCCGTTCGGAGTTCTGGCTGATAGGTTTGTCATGACTTATTCGAGTTTAATGAAGCATACGCTAACTTCGTTTACTCCAGAATTGGTCAAAAGCCCGTTATTTACCTCTCTATCGTCGGGACCATGCTCTGCATGTCTTGGGAATTGACTGTTCTTGCATTCCCTGGGACTTTACCAGCACGATTAATCACAGCTGGACCTTTATTTCTCGTCGTGGGAGGCGGGTTCACGATCCAAGTCTCCCTTCTATACTCCATAGCATGCGATCTAGCAGACAGCTCAAACAGGTACGTATCCAATATTCAGTGAACAACCCTGAAAAAAGCTAATATCTGTGATAAACAGAGCATCAGCATTCTTTGTTATAGAGTTCGCAGGCCTACTAGGCAACACTTTAGGTCCTGTAATCGCCTCGAACCTCATGGAGGCCTCTTCACCATGGACACCAGCTCTAATCAGCATCTTCCTCGCGCCAATAAGCATGATATCTCTAGTATTCATACCAGAGACACACAGCTCATTGGAAGAAGAAACATTTCCAAAACAATACAACTTGGACCCATACGATCTCCAACCTCACGCTATAAAATCCTACCTATCACAATCCTTCCACCTCTTTAACCAATCTCTCGCATCTCTTAAATCCAACTCGATAATCATCGTCCTGGCTACAGGACTCATCCGCATGCCTGAATTCATTGGCACATCCCAATTCTTTGCCCAATACATAAGCAAGCGTTTCAACTGGTCTCTCTCGGAAACAGGATACCTCCTCACTCTCCGCGGAATAATCCACATGATCGTTCTCCTCCTCGCGCTCCCAATTCTATCTACTATTATTCTCCGCTGGCAAAGTTCAAACGCGAGGGATCTAACGCTCGCACGAATTTCAACAGGTATGGCTGCCTTGGGAATGTTCTGGATGGCTGCTTCAAGCATAGATGTTGTTGTTATGGGACTTGCGATACAGAGTCTTGGAGCGGGGATGGGTCCTCTTTGTCGGTCTTTGGCAAATGGATATGTTTCGCCGCAGGAGACTTCGAATCTTAATACTTTGATGGGGATTTTGCAGACTGGGGGGTCGTTGTTTGGAGGACCGGCGTTGGCTTGGCTGTTTGATGTTGGGATGGGGAGAGGCGGGTTGTGGGTTGGACTTCCGTATTTTGGGTTGACGGGGGCGTTTTTATTGTGTTTTGTTGGGTTGCTTTTTGTTAATGCTCCTGCTGGTTTGGGGGATGATGAAGATAATGACATACATTTTATAGTAGGTGATATAAATCATAATAGTCTAGTTGTGTGTTGATATATAATTTATTTACGTTGTATTTCTGAAGCTAAGGCGATTTCCATTGTGAGATTTGATATATTTTTATAGTTATTATGTGAATCGATCAACATTTTAGTCTGGTCTATTACTTTTTTTCTTTATTCAGTAGAATTGGAGTAGAGTACCAAGTCGGTCGATAAAACCAGCCCGATCTACACATTAAAATGTGGTCTGTGCACGAAAGCGCGTCCCTTCGCGTCCCCAGTATTTTCCGCGTCTGACGACATTCCCCCTCAACATTTCACAAGATCATCGCGGGGGACTCAATCGTACCAATGACGACCCAAGATTCACGAGGTATTCTATTCACGAATACACAACCCCAACAAGGGTTCCGACTCCTCGAACTCCCACCAGAACTAGATACCCTGTTATCAGCAAAGGATGCACCGAGGTAAGTCCAGCAACGCAGCAATTACCGCTTGACATTACAAGACAGACCCTTTCAATTGATCAAAATGCTAGAAATTTCATACTAACCAGATCCACAGCTTAGAACTAAAGTCACCCTCCGCTGCCCTGGCACAGGCGGTACCCGATTCCAGCGCCCAGGAATACGTCAACCTCTGCACCGCCGATAAAACCTACCGTATTCGCCAGGTCCAGTCATCGAACTCCATTCATATCATACGTCCGAGTTTGGGACGTATTTCACGGGCAGATATCAAGGTTGTAGAAGAGGAAGCTGGAGAAAGTGGTGCGCTGAATCTACCCGATGATGCAGTGAGTGCTATTGCAAAGTGCGGGTCAACATTGGAGCTTCATATTCCGGAGGGTGGATTCTCGGCTGTTCCGTTTCTTGAGAGGAGTCTACAGCTGTATGATAGGCGGGATGGTGATGATGATATCATGATGGATGATAATCAGGCGACGGGGGATATGGACTTGATTGAGGTGCAGAGGCTGAGGGATCAGGTGTGTGCTGATATTCCCGTTTCTACGGCGCAGTGCGAGGATGGATGGGTCGATATTTCTGCATTTGTGTGTGCATCGGCGGGATGGAGGCCTTCGGCGCGAATGCGTTTGAATGTGTGGAAGCGTATGATGGAGGGGGCCATTTTGCAGGGCATTGATCTGGAGAAGCAATTCCTTGTTGGGGATCTGTGGAAATCTGTTCTGGATGATGACGATGCGTCTGAGGCTCCGTTTCCGAGGGCATTGCTTGAGGCGCTTGTCAGGAAGCTTTGTACGGCAGATGAGCGACCACCTCTGGCGGACGAGATTAAATGTGAGTGTGATAGGCAGGCGGAGTTGGAGATTTGTACAGGCCGACTAATCATCTGATTTTGATTTATAGGGGCAAGCTTTGATAAAGTCGAGTGTTCGCGCTGGGTAGGTGAGACCTATCTTGCGGCCATGGCACCTACAGCATCTTCTGCCATTGGACGAAGCGAATTCCTACGTTCATGGAAAGATTCTCTCCCCGAATCTTGGAGAAGCGAAGCGTCTTTATCAAAATTACAGGATGGGGCTTATCAAAGTCCCGATCCTACGACAATTTTCTTTGTGGAGCCTTCGCAACGCCAGCATACTGCTAAAGCTTCTGCTGGCGCGGCGGCGGCAAAAGCCAAACCCACCAGGAACTGGCATGAATTGCTGAAATCACAAAAGCGCAATTGAGTGCAAGTCATCAAGTCCGCAATTGCGTTTGACGATATGCGCTCATATCTATGATGCCTAGCATCTCTAGGAACATAATGGTCATATCTCCCACCCGAAACCGTCCAGGCCTTTCCCACTTGACATGCGTAAGAGGCCTAGATCATGAGAAAAAATCAAAACCGAAATGCAATGAAAAGAAAAATGGAAATGGAAAGAAACTGGTAAACGTTGAATGGTTCAAAAAAGATATTCCCGTTCAACACCAAGCATACTTCTCGTTCAGGAACCATTCCACATCATTACCAAGTCCCTTCTCCGCACCAGTCCAACGCAAACTAGCAATACTGCTCTTCTCACGATGCACAATCTGAGCGTCTGAGTCCAAAATCGAAACCGCCTTCTGCAGTAATGGTGTCGGATTCCAAAACTCGACCTTGCTCATATTCCACTCATGCGCCTCTTGCTGTGCCTGCCGCAAAATGGCAACCATGGCATCAACCAAAGTCTGTTCCTCTTCTTTCGAGGTAGGATCATCATAGACCCATCGCAGGATATACAAAACATTATCCTCGGGGGTTTCGCCGAAGTTCCTAGTCCAAGAACAATACACACGAGCCAAGTCATTTCCAGCACCCTTAATCACAGGCGAAGAGCGATTCGGCAAAAGCTTCTCTGCAAAAAACTCCTCCCGGGCCCAATGCCACACGAAATGATCGTAATCGGGCATAATCGCAATCATACTACCAGGTGTAGCCTGTGAAGCATCATGCAGCTGATCCCTCAACTTGTTTATAACGGTCTCATTGCAAATGTGTTTCTGCACATCTGCTGCACATAGAACCTTGGTTTCACTCTGTTTCACCGCTGCCCCATTAGACAGCTCTTGCTTCGGGAGTGGTGGCAGACTCATATGCGAAGATAAGAACGGCTTCCATCCAAACTGAGCATAGAAATTCTTCCCAATGTCAGAAAAAAGAACTGTAAATAGAGATCGACCCCTTTTCTCTTTCTCCATCTTCCATGTATCAACTTTCACGCTTAATTCTTGGAACATCCGTTTCGCATATCCTTTCCCCCGAAATTCGGGTCTGCAGTAAACGCTCCCGATGCCGTGTGTGGAGACATTTTCCACTTCGCCGTTATGTGCCAGTAGTGCTTTCTTCTGATATGTTTCGCAGGAGCTGAGGATTGTGCGCTCGCCCTCGGGTTCGGACTTGTCGACTAGTATCCAGCATGTCAGGCCGTCGCGGGTCAGTCGTTGGGCGAATAAATGGTCTTCACGCGCAATATAGGTTTCGATATTCAATGGTCCTTTCCAAGCAATGCTGTTGAGCTTGATAGAAGCGATGCGTTCCTCGGGGGTGGCAGGGACCAAAATCAAGTCGGGTGAATCTCCCGATGGAAGAGAAGTGACGTTTGCTGCAATCATTTTAAAATATTGGTTGAAGCTGGTAAATCGGTTGGCTCTTTGTCTTTCAAGCTTGGCGGATGCTTCGGCTCAATCAAGAGATAGATGATGGATGTAGCTAGAAAATCGAAGTGAAGGATGAACAAAGAACCAAAACCATTCACTGAAAGCCTTCAAAGTTCCCCGCAAAGAAAGCGAAGCTTATATAGAAGACCGAAAACCTTCAGGTTCAATTCTCACAAGACCAGTCCAGATTCGTCTCCGCCGGTCCCGTAAAAAGAGCTATACGTCATGCAAAGCAAAAAGAGCCCCGACCCAAAGAAAGAAAAGAGAAAATAACACAAGCGAAAAATTAAATTCCGTTCCTTATTCGAAGAAAAATCCGGGGTCAAATCGAACCAAGTGGATATGTAGGCCGCGACCTCCATTTAAACCCATCTTACTTAGCTTAGCTCCTCCGGCGGAGTTCCGTCCGCAACACTACATACAGTACACCCTACGAAGCAAAGAGGTGTAACACCATTCCCATTCTATCTCGTCACCCCCGCTTTCTTGTGCACTTGCACATCATGATTCGGTCCGGACTCTCCAGCTCTATACGGGGCCAAGCGGGTGTCTCTTTGTCAACCGGGCCGATGACAAGCGACGGCAAGCGGCTTGAGCGAGCTTTCCGTTGGACCTGCCGTTGACGTAAGGGCTTAGGGTATGGGTCATGTGCTGGTAGGGTATGATGGGGTCATGTGGTGGATTATGTAAGGGTGCATGAGACGTGGATCGGGGTTTGAATTTTGGGAGAGAAACCATGGAAATGAGGTGTTTATGAATGGCTTTGTTTAAAGCTTAGCGTTGTGGGGTTTTGGATGTTTCATGCGTGTTTTTTTTTGGGTTGTTTTTTTCGTGTTTTATGAGGTAGGTGGTGATGATGTGGGTACTTTTGATAGTGTATACCTCGGGTTTGCCTATAATGATGGAGGTATATGGAGGTTATTCCCTGCTATAATACTACATAAGTGGCGTGTCCATAACCTGTATTAAGCATCATACTTTTAGGCATCAGGAATCAAAAATCAAAAATTCCTAAATAGCATACTTTGTACTTTTGCTATATAGAAGAGAGACCTAGTGTATCCGACTTAGCTGTATTATGACGTTGATCTGCCTTCTTGGTCAATTTATGTTTTTTTATGTGTTTATTTGAGTCCTCCAAAGCATAGGAGTGGTTTAATGAAGGTCCAAGCATTTCAAATGAGGGGGAATAAGTGCCTATCATATCGATTTTGGCCATGCGAGAGCTCATATAAAGACTTGTAGACAACTACATGAGTCAAGTACAACTAGACACTGACTTGATGTACTAATATATGAGATCATCTCTCTCGAGCCCTGGAGCCGCATAAAGTCCCTAGCAATTTAATAATACATAGATCGCCGCCACGTTACTTATATTGACTCCGAGTCGGTGCTTAGACAAGTAGGCAGAAGTGTACAGGCAACAGGACCAAGTGAAATTACGTAGGTGGAAAATCGCATTCGCCTTTCACCAGGACTTTCAATTTTCGACAATCTCCATTACTTACGGTACTTCGACTATATCATAATTACAAAGTCGTCGTAGACAGCCTAATTTCCACAATATCCAGATCCGAGAGGTTCTAGTCGGAGGCAGAGAAAGAACAAAAATGACGAACATTGAAACACAGCAGAAGACATGCATAAAGAGACAAAACCATAATAAAATGCACGACATTACGGCATAGCCACCAGCACCTAGACCAGAAAGAAAAGCGGGTCAAAGGAAAGGAGGGGTTCATGGGGAAAGAGCAAAGAAAGGGTCATAACGGGTTAAACACAAATGCAAATAGAAGCAAGAACCGAGACGACATTGGGAACTAGTTGCTTAATAATTGGATTGGCTAGAGAAGAAAAAATGAAAGAGATTCATGTAGTTGAGAATTTCAACAAAAGAGAAAATGAAATACAAAAAATGAGATGGTATGAAATATAGGCCGGACCGCAGCAAAAACATTCAAAGGTAAAAAAGATCAGCGAGGAGAGTCAAACCTCGGGTTCAGCAACATAAAATGCAATAGATGAGAGAGTAGTTTTGGGGGACCAAAACCAGGAGATCAATGAGAATGAGGGTAAAAGAGGAGAAGGAGCGTCGTAGAAAGGTGTCAGGATAAAAAAAAGTAAACAAGAGGTGGGGAGATAAGGGATAAGAAAAAAAGTAGAAAGAAAAGAGAAAGAAAGATATGAACCTGATCTATGTAAGTAAATGCCATGCGAGTCCCAAAAATCGTCCGCTCCCCGTTTTATATATTTGCGCCACTTTCTTGCGGACGGCAATTCCTAAATATCCTCGTCCATCATGTATGTTCGATCATTGGTCACGCTAAATCAAGAATGAGACTGAGATGGATGTGGACAGATAACAAACGAACAATTCCCATAGGTTGACACAAATATTCCCCCTAATAGGAATAAAAAGTTCAGGGAGGCTGTTCTGACTCCACCGGTTCGTTAAACTTCTGCCGCGCTTCCTCTACCCACAACTCCAATCGAAGTTCCCCAGCCTCCACACGTCGCACCGGTACTGTTTTCGCGCGGCCATTTGAGACCCGAGGGGGTGGCTGTTGAGGCTCACCATTCCGTAATTTCGATACAGAGAAGGGGGCAGTGCAGGATCTCAGGTGCACCTTGCCTGGTTCGGCGACTATCCATGTTTGTTCTTCTTTAGTAGTGCCCGCGGGGGGTAGTGCGTCTTCGCTAACTTCGATACAGACGGTAAAGCTGAATTCGTCATCTCGCGGTAGAGGGGTAAGGCGTGCACAGGCAGACGCAAGACGCGCCAAACAAGCCCGAAATTGTGATTCGAGGTCGACCGAAGTTGGCGCCGGACCCCGATCCGAAACGGGGCCACCTGGCCTAGATGTATCTTCACTTCTGTCTTCAAATGTAGTGTTCACTTCTCCAGCAGGTGCCCGGGGGAAGCCTGATAGATCAAAGGCATATCGTTCGAGGGGCTGATTTGTGCGGAGAGATGAAATGATGATACTGACTGCGGTAATTGTGCCTTTCAAAATTTCCGTCCCGACTGCGATAGATGCATCATTGATATAGTCACACACCTTAGGGTGACGGGATTGTCGGACAGGGTAATTATATGCTCGCACGGGGAGGAAAGTCGCGCGCGGGTAAACGGTACGTAAGAAAAGTATTTGGTGGACGGACACGGTGAGGAAGTTGGTGAACGAGGCCGCCAGCGCCGATTGGTTGCTGGGCAGCGATCTGGTAGCAGGGATCGGGGCGGAGAAAGTGGTCATAGTGGTGGTACTACTGGTCTCACTGGCCATCGGCATTGCCGTTGAACGATCCGGTGTCGGTTCCACGGGAAGGGTGATCTTGACGAAGTCTCGAGGAATCTGAATGATGTTCCACCCTGAAGCTAATCATCGCTCTGCTTTTCTAAACACATCAGTCAACGCGAGGAACTATCGGCGGTATGCGGAGGTGATCAAAATCGGTGGTGGGCGGGGAGAATGGCAAGGCGATATCAATAGATTTTTTTCCCGTTGATGGATTGGCCAACGACAGATCGGATCGGGAAAATGTATAAACAGGTTGGTCTGGTCAAGAGTATAAAAAGCAGATTTGCGGAACCAAAGTCCTTGGGTGTATATCGGACAATGGTGGTTGGTAATGGTGCCGGGATAGTAGTGGGTTGAACTGGTGGGAGGGGAGGGGAGGGGTTTTGAAGGGAAAAACAAAAAAAGAACATACGCTTGGGTGGACAAGACAACAAGATGCAAACCCTCAAAGCATGAGGAAGAAAAATGATATGACCCTAGGCGCCGATCCCAAAAAGCAAAGAAAAGAGAGTCACTTTTTTTGGAGAAATGATGTTCCCGTTTTGAGGGAGGGCAAGGAGGGGTGGATTTTCAAGCGAAGGGAAGGAGGGGGCGAAGGCAAAGCCCTGGTGAGGGGATGGTATGTCGTAAAGTGGCCTTCAGACCTAGGCGTAGATGGCTTGTACTCGTCGAACCGGACGAAAGATGAAGGCGATGGCTGGTCACGATGGTTTCCCCAGTGGCTTCGCTCGAGGGGAAAAGCAGGAGTGGAAGTTCGACGGTCAGTGGAAGTCACGGTTCCCGTCACGTGGTTGCGTCATGGGTTGGCCCTGCAGAACCTCGTGTTTTTTGTTTAACTTGTACAACTCAAAGCATTTTGATATTGGGGTTTTTTGGAGCGTCGCTACAAAGTTAGATTCTTTCTATTTTATAAAACGATCAGAATAGGTTGTAGTGAGTTATTGCATCTCTTCAGGACTTCTTTTGATTGTTCAACTATAGGTCTTGTCATGATACAGTGATGGTAAGAATAAAAACCAACCATGGAAAACTCTGTTTACTTAATAACACGAGAAGTATAAGATTATGGTTAAGTTGAATAAGTTGAATAAGAGCCTTAGTTTCAAACAATGAAGAAATAGCGAAATAATTTTTTGTAGGCAATTATTGATATTGTTATTTATTTATCCATGAACCAGTATGCCTAGAAGGTCCACGTTTGTATAGTACTAGGTGTATCCAGGATACCATAATTTGCTATGGAGGGGGTTTTAACCGTCGTGCGCAGAGCGCACAGTTTTTGTTACTTTTTGCCTAATTGTTTCCTTACTGGGTTAGTGAGGTGGATAGAATAATGGGACTCTTTAGCGGCGAGGGGCGATCATCACAGCCAAGCGAAAAGAAACAAAAGAAAAAAAGTGTGACAAACATTGGTTGGGGTCTGTATAAGGGGAACGGAACTCAATGGGGTAAAGAACCATAAAACCGTCCAGGACTCAACCTTGGGAGCGAAAGATGAACCGACGGGGTATAGCCGAGCAGAAACATCACTATAGACCAAACGTTCCCCATTGTCAGGTGCACAGGTAGAATTGGATATTGATAGGTAGAAATGTACCGACCGAGAACAGAGAGTAGTAAGCTTAGTCTTGAATCGCAGTATTCTCGTAAGGAAAAGTGTTATTTTTGGTTAAAAGATAATATATTTTCTATTGTACTGTGTACTGTACAGCTAGCCAGGTACAGTATCTGCTGTACCTGGATTTAGAATACATCATCTTGCCTCAATAACCTCCTCCATCAAACAGCCCACAGTATCAGGGCCGTGGATCCGTCGGGGGTACTGTTGAGTTACACCGCGGACTCACTGGGGCATACTGGATTACCACCAATTGGATTGCTTGGATGATGTATCAGGGCGGTACCGGGTACACCCCTCTCGGACTAATGTGTACGAGGCCCTTTTACCGATGATCTTCCCATCTCTGACGGCAGTGGCGGCGACAGGACAAGGGTGCGATCCCCCGGGGAGCCTACTATCGAAGTTCCGACATGCGTCTGCGTTGGCAGCGTATGAGATGCCATGCTGCGATTATCAATCCTTTTCCATGCGTTTCGATTCTTCTTTACCCGTCACCGCCGCCACTAAGAGGAGTTGATCTTCGCCTTTTTCTCCGGCGATCGTGGAGAATTGAGTATTTTAATGAGGGGCACCCAACGACTCCCAGCTGGATCTCCCTACGCCATGACGAATCGGTAGATGTATATAGACTGCATATTGTATTCTATATCGACAGTGTCTCATACAGCCGATCGTTTAATGATATGATTCGGTTTCAAGCTTAAAAAACAAAACATTATCCAGAACTAATGTCGTTCTTACTACTAAAAATATGGCATCAGCTCGGTATATTCCAATGATACTCCGTTGAAACTAAGAGACCGAGTTACACCCATAAATACAGTCATACAATTCATTGATGCCTGCTTCAGGGCTAGCTCCTGTCTCATCGCACGCTGTCAAATTGGTGGGCCTTTTTCGATTGTTTCCGAAAGATCACGATCCACCCGATGAGCGGTGTCAGGCTCTGCAAATACGAAAAGTGCAGCTCACAAGGCCGCCATCTCCAATCTATCTTTAACGGCAAAGCGGCCTCGAGCTATATGATTAGACAATTTGACCATCCAACGGACCCGGCATTAAGGTACAGTCCGTACCTACATCTGTACCATGATGCAATGGATGTAAGAATATTACTAGGTAGGATTTTCAATTTGTCAATTGGAATGGTCCTTGCCTCCCAGAGGTGACGTGTTGATTTGACTAAGCTCCCGATAAAACATAACTTTGTAAGAGAGAATGTCGACATGAGGCTTCTCACAGTTAATGGCTATGGGGTGTGTGGCCCCATACAATTTGAAGCCTTTGTTTTAGTTACACCGCCAAAACGAACATGCAATGGCTTGTAAGCAGACTTATCTTCAACTGGACAAGCTCAGGGGAAATGAGTCTAAACAGACTCCTTCAGAACCGAGCTTCACCAATCCCTGTCGTGGGGAGAAGACTAAGCTAGGATTAGTGTAGAAATCCAACTTTTTGGGATTTTGCGCCCTGCCCCAATCCCCAAAAATGCGGACAATGGGGCTTCTGGATTTCCCAGGTGCTCACCGTCAAGTTCGTATTCGCGTGGTATTTCTAGGTCCAAAGGATTCTAGAAATAAACTAAAACTAAAATTAATGGGTGCTTTCATCGTATGACATCTTAAGATAAACATGTGGAAATGATAAAATATTACCCCAGGTATTTTTGGAATTTGCCTTGGATATCAGGCAAGAATAGTTTACTAACTAACTAACTAACTAAGTTAACTAGTTAACTAGTTACGAATCCCCTGCAGCTTGTCTTACTTTGTCTTCTTCTACCCCCTTGCTTTTGAAATATTCCATGTGGCCTGAAATTGGTGTATCAAGTCATATTTCACTCTTGCCAAGAAGTATGTATAAAGAAAAGCTGTTTGTGTGCAGCAACGCTTAGGGCTGGTCACCACAGCCATATACATCGAAGATGGTGGGGTAAAAATTACTCATCCCCACTGGCGAATGGGGTACAGAGTCCAATCTATTTATTTTAGTTTGTTTGCGTAAATATAGGCCAATCTGTTTATTATGCTATTGTAATGTTGAATCAACCCATTATATTGCCTGTAGAAGCAATTATTAGATAGATTTTAGCAAAATCGAACAATTTGAAAACCCTGGAGATGCTAATAATAAAGAGAGCAAACAGTCCCTCACTTAGCGTTAACCCGTTGACCGCCTCTGCCCCTCGTGCCTCCTTATCGCGCCGCAAACTTACCCTTCCCTAGCGCGACGAAGTGGCCGCGAGCCAAATATCTACAACAATCTTTGTGTGGTGATCCAAATTGATCACTCATTGACCATGGAGCAAGAACTCCTATCACACCTGGCCGGCACTCAGTCGCCTAGGTCTGATATCAGAAAAGCCGCAGAGCTTCAGCTGCAGAACCTGTACTCCAATGAATCCTTCCCAATCTCCCTCACAGCCATTGCCTCTCACGCGTCTGTCCCCGTGAACCTCCGCCAATCCTCGCTTTCTATACTGCGTACCTTCATCGCGGCCTCGTGGTCCCCGAATCTCGACGAATTCCAAGGCCAGATCCGCGTGAACGATGCAAACAAGGCTCAGATTCGACAGGCATTGCTCGAGCTTGCTACGACCATCGAGACCCCCGAGCGCAAGGTCAAGGCATCTGCAAGCTACGCAGTCAGTAAAATTGCCAGTGCCGATTTCCCCGATGACTGGCCGGAATTGCTGCCTTCCCTATTGCACATTATCAACGACCCCGCTACCAGCGATGGCGCATTGCATGGATCGTTGAAGGTTCTGTTGGATTTGGTTGATACTGGATTCGGGGAGGAACAGTTCTTTAGTGTTGCTCGTGACCTGGTTTCTTCTCTCTTTTCTGTCGCTACATCGGTGTCACGCCGGCCGATGCTGCGTGCTCTCTCAGTCGCAGTATTCCGTTCGTGCTTTGATACGCTAGAAATGGTTTTGGAGCAGCACAAAGTTGCCATAAAGGAATTTGTAGATGAGGTTCTCACTGCATGGTCGCCATTCTTCGTTGAGAGTCTGAAGAGCCCTCTTCCTCAACCCCCAGGTGAGGAGGAGGCCAATAAGGAGGGTGAAATTGCTTCACAATGGCGTGGGGCCGTTGGCCTGAAGCTGCAAATCGTCAAGGTATGGAGATATCATTCTGTTCTGCTTTTCATCCCGACTAGGCCTCTTTGATTTAATTAACAATTTGTTTTTCAAATAGACTATTATGAAGATCCGCATGGTGTTCCCAGGTCTTTTAACACCCCAAAGTCCGAACTATTTCTCAACTGTTTGGGCTGAGCTTACCAACGCTTTATCCACCTACCAAGATTTCTACATTGAGAATGAACGCCAAGGTCGTCTGGAAGATGTCGATGGGCTTCCCTTCTCACTCGATTTCCTTGTTCTGGAAGAGCTGGACCTGATCCAAACACTTCTTAAGGCGCCTCCAGTCAAGGCTGAGCTACAAAAACAACTTCAAAATTCTGGTGAAGGAGCCAGTTCCTCTACCTGGCTGCCTGAGATTATGAAACTCGCTAGCTCATATGCTCAAATTACCAGTGAAGAAGAGGGCCTATGGGAGATTGATGTCAACCTCTTTTTGTCCGAGGAAACCTCCGTTACGGCTAACTACACTCCTCGCACATGCAGTGGCGATCTGGTTATTAAAATTGGAGAATGGCTGCACGCCACAACGGCAGAGGGCCTTCTGAGCCATCTGAATGAAGTGTTTGCCAATTCTTCTGCTTCGTAAGTTTTACATTACATTGACAATATTCACAAAAAATATACCGACTAACTTGGATCGTCTACAGGTGGAAAGCGCGCGAGTCGTCTCTTTATGTGCTCAATGTCTTGTTGCGTGACTTCCATGAGGCAAACGAACAAATTTCCCCAGAACTAGCCACTCATTTCAACCAGTTCGTCCACTATGCCATCCAGCAAGAGCAAGAGCTTTTGCGCGCACGGGGCTACCTTGTGGCTGGTGCTCTCTCCAGGGTTGCAGGCGATACATTCCATATGACTACCTCTTACTTGGAGGCTACATTGAAAGCTATTGCGGAGGATCCCGCCGAGGTTGTCAAGGTCGCTTGTATTCGAGTCTTGCAAGATCTCATGCCAACTCTGCCTACCTCTGTGGCCCGCAACTTCCAGACTACTGTCATCTCAGCCATCTCAGAATTTGTTTCAGCACATGATCTACGCGAAGAAGGAGAGAGTGACGACCTCAAGATCACCCTAGCGGAGACTCTCCGGGATACCATCATGGCGGATTCGACTGTGGTTTTGTCATCCATCGCCATCGATGTCCTCTTCAACATCGCCAGCAGTGGGGCCGAGAACTTCCAATTGACTATGACTATTACCGAGGCGTTCGAGGATATTGTAGACCAGATCGCCGAACATGGCCCCGAAGCATACATGCGACTTTGCGAAAAGGTCCTCCCCTCTCTAATGGGTGCCATTGATGTTGGTAACCTCACCGATGAAAACGCCTTGACCACCTTCGCGGCAGATCTGCTTCGTGCTCTCACCGAGCGAGCCCTGGACCCTATGCCAGCTGGGTTTGTGGAAACCATCATGCCAAAACTGAACCGCCTTCTTTTAGACTCCGATGAGGCTGAGCTCATCCGACCCGCGACAGAGGCTGTCCGTCACATGCTTGCGCACGACTTCACGCAATTTATTGCTTGGCGTGACCCGCAGTCTGGCAAGGAGGCTATTGAGGTTGTGCTGATAATCATCGACCGTCTCCTAGGACCTGCCGTGGACGACAATGCTGCCACAGAGGTCGGTCAGCTTGCGGCCGAGCTGGTGGAACGGGCCGGTTCAGAGCGACTGGGTCCTTACTTGCCCCAGCTTCTACAGGCAGTGGCCCAACGATTAGCGACCGCCAAGCAGGCTCAATTTATCCAAAGTCTGATCCTGGTTTTCGCCCGATTGACTCTCATCAGCGCCCGAGAGGTGGTAGACTTCCTTGCGCAGATCGACCTGGGTGGTTCCAGTGGCCTTGTGGTTGTTTTGAGCAAATGGCTGGAGAACTCAGTCAACTTTGCAGGCTACGATGAGATCAAACAGAACATCTTCGCGCTGGCGCATCTGTATGAGCTCTCCGATCCCAGACTGTCCGAGGTTCCCGTAAAGGGTGACCTGATCATTCAAAACACTGGCCGCATTAAGACTCGTTCACAGGCTCGTACTGACCCCGATCGATACACAACGGTGGCAGCACCCTTGAAGATTGTTAAGGTGCTCATTGAGGAGCTGGGAGCTGCTTCTGGCAACAGTCAAATTGATGCTGCGGCCCGTGAACTTGACGATGCCGATAGCGATGATGGTGACGACGACTGGGAAGATGTGCCTGGCCAGACCCTGGATCTTGGTCTGGGAGTCACCAAACAAGAGTTGATGGGCTGGGGAGAGGGCGGTTCTGAGAGTGTCTTTGGGGTGCGTCAGCGTGACGATCAGACGCAGGGTTTCCTTGAGAACTTCTTCCGTCAAGTCTCTACACAACCCGGATTCCAGGAACTATATGGAGCTCTGACTCCGGATGAGCAGAGCAAGCTCCAGAGCTTAGCTTAGAAAAGTGGGGCCCAATGGGCCTGAATCACACATACTAGTAGCAATATCATTATCGCGCCTGGGCACGAGTCACGCACCACCCAGTCCTAAGGTACTTTTGTTCATTTCAAACTCTTCTCTCCGTTTCCTTTGTGTACTACACCCACTGTAAAGATCCTCCTCTCCCATTCGACCATCTACTTTTCCCCCCTAAATCATGGTGGATCCCAGATTGTGATCTGTCTCCTCCGTCCGGGTCGAGGATCAATCTGCAGCTAAAACTGCGGGGTCTTTGCCGTGATGGATCATGGACCAAATCCCGCGGTTCTGGGTTCCCGGTATCCTGTATCTCGGTATTCTACGCTCTGACCTTGTTCGCCTTTTTTTGGAATTTCAACTTGCCAACTTTCTCTTTACTCAATCTCGCTTGCCTTGAATAGCTTCATTCCTTCCCCTCCTTTGGGGCGTGTTGTCCTTTAACCCTTCCCACCTCTTCTTCCTCCTTTCTCCCCCCTTTTTCTCTTCTCTTCCCCTCACCATGTCTCAACCAAACCCCCACGAACGGATCCAGGTTGATGTAAGTTGAACTTCTCGTCTGATCAATTTGTACTTTTGTACTTTCAGCTTTTGCCTTTCGTGTTACCCTTTGTAGAAATTTTCCCCTCTGATCGAATCTAAACCTGCATTATCCCTTGTTCGATCCAATATCAACAATCAACCCTCCCCATCTACCCCCCAACCCGTCCACTACTAGCCTCAAGAGGAAACCACCCTGTCTCACCTTATAAATCAATCCACCAGACAAGCGACGATGATTCGCTCTTCGATACCAGATCCCTCGTGGGGTCCAACCTCTCCTTCGCCTCCTCCGTTCGCGACTACTGCTACGAGAACGGCCGTCGTTACCACGCCTACCGCCATGGCCAATACCCATTTCCGAACGACGAAGAAGAACAAGATCGCCTCGCTCTAGTCCACCACCTCTTCAAATTAATATGCGGCGGCGACTTGTACCGAGCCCCGATCCGTCCCCGCGACCAACAGCATCTGCAACCCCTGCCCCACGCACAAGATAACCATATCCCCGGGCCCGTCCCGCCCCGCCGAATCTTAGACATCGGCACCGGAACAGCAGAATGGGCCCTAGAAATCGGAGAAGAATTCCCATCAGCCGAGATTATTGGCACAGACCTAAGTCCTATCCAACCAAGCTGGGTTCCGCCAAATTGCCGATTTTACATCGACGACGCGGAAAGTGATTGGACCTTTACGCCGGGCGAGGCATTCGATTACATCCATGCGCGAACCTTGGGAGGCGGGATCGGAGACTGGCAGAAGCTTACTCGGCAGGCGTTACAGCATCTTCGACCGGGCGGATGGTTTGAGGTGCAGGAATTTGAGTCGGTTGTATGGTCTGATGATGACACGCATAAACAGGCACATATTGTAATGGATTGGTTGGAGAAGTTGAATGCGGCGAGTAAGCAGTTTGGAAAACCCATGAATGTTGGGGGGCAGGTTCAGAGCTGGATGGAAGAGAGAGGGTTTGTGAATGTTTCGGATGATATTTATAAGGTTTGTTCCTCTGGTTATTGTTTGGATTCTGCCGTGCTATATGATGCGTAGCAGAGGTATGGTGGGTATATTGCTGACTAGGTACTTGATTATAGTGTCCTATTGGAGGGTGGGCGAAAGATCGTCAACTCAAGGATATTGGTCGCCTTGGAAAAGTTACTGTCTTGGAGGTTGTGGAGCCGTATACCTTGGCTCTGTTCACAAGGGTGCTTGGGTTTACCTTTCAGGAGGCACAGGAATATATGGAAAAGGTGCGAGCAGAGTTGATGAGCACAAAGTTTCATCTCTATGTTCTTTTCCACTTTGTTTATGGCCAACGACCAGTAGAGGAGATAAACGGTCATTCTCGTGAGGAACCCGTATCCTGAATCACGCAAAAACAAGGAGAAGCATTCGGCTTTTTCTATACTCTACGACTTACGACTCCACGGCTTTCTTTGAATATCTCGTGCATAGGAAACATCTTTACACCATGGCGTTATGCATTAGACTTTTCATGTCCTCGAGGATACGGGGATGATGTTGGGGAGATAAAGCGTGATATTTGACATGAACGAGATTCGACATTGGAACCAAGGTCTGCTTCCAGAGCATGGCTTAGCCCCAACGGATACATGACATCCCGTCTATTTCTCCCAATGATTGAGACCCGACCAGCGGCTCTTATCTGGCAACTGCACTGATACCAAGTACTTGGCATATGCCCGAGACAGCCTCCTCGGGCGTCGCACTAGCCCTTACGACCTGCACGACCTGCGCCACACGCACCTCTTCGCAGCTACCAATCGTCTCAAGCAGGGTTTCCAGAAGCTCCTGCTTCCCGTCTACCTTCCACGAGCTTGGAATGGGTTCCCCAGATAGTGGATGGTTTTCATGAAGGGGGAAATGTGTTGATGAGCTTTGGATATGCAGTGCCTGCTGCGAGTGGTGAATGTTCGAGTTCGGATTTGGATCCTGAGCCATAGTTGTATGAACAGCTGCATTATTAGACGATGGGGATGAATAGTATGCCGATTCTGCATATGGTTGTACTGGGGCAAAATTATGCGCCTGCTCCCATTGTGAATAATGTGGATGTTGCTCTTGACCTTGATGATATGTTTGCGCTTGCTTGTAGTCGCTAACTGTAGCCATGTTTGAGTTCAGAGGATCTAGGTTCCCTTGTAAATAATCGGGACTGTGATCGGGATGTGCGTATTGTGTAGTGATCTGGTCTTCCATCGTATAGTTGTGTGGTGTTTCATGTTGGTAAACTTGCGCGACAGGCATACTCGATAGATCCGCCGAAGATTGTGCGTGGATGTTCTGCATAAGAATGGAAGCGGGGATATCGCCATGTGCGAAAGCTGGAATTCCTCCAGCTTGAGAATTTGATAAGCACGAACTGTCCATAAGACCTGTCACAATTAGCTCCATCTAAAAGTAGTAATAGCAACAATCACTCACTGGCGCCAACAAAAACTGTCCCCGTCCCTGTCCCTGTCGAGATAGCATCCCCCGCGCCAATCTGCGTTCCAAACGGCGCTGTCGTCGCAGAAAATCCAGCATGCGATTCACTCGGTCCACTTCCCATGCTATCCGGACTATTAACAGTCATCGCAGAATACGTCCTCGTCCCAGTTGACGAAGACGACGACCCCGACCAACTCGCATCACCAAAGTCTGTGCCTGCGCCGATCCCCGCACCAGCACCAACACCAGAGCCAGCAGCCCCAATCATGCCCGCGACTTCTTCACCACCTCTCAAAACATTGTCAGACTCTTGTAAGCTTCCATGCTTGACATAGCCCGTCGGGCGCGAATACGGCGCGCGATTGCGATCGGAAAGCGGTTTTGATTTCGGTTTCGGACCCTGCGTCAACTGTGTGCGTAGTTGCGCGACTTCGCGACGAAGACGATCAATTATTTCCGCTTGGCCTATATGTTCGCGATCCTCCGGGGTGGTTAGGTATGTGCATTCTGCTTCAATGCCCCGAATTATACAGGCGTGACATGGGATAGAGCGGTCGCACTATGTCGATCGGGGGTATTAGCGCAAGCGCATGGTAAGAACAATAGCAAAGAACGAGAACAATGAACAAGCAAGGATAAATTGCAGTAGCAGAACAAGGATGGTCATTGCGTCGTGTATGGTAGATCGGGGTTCCGGCCGGAGAAGCTCGGTTTGATCTGATCTGGGACCTCTTCAGGGTCTCATGGGTCTTAAGGGGCGCGAATTTCGATGGAATGAATTAGAACATACCTTTACTTTGCGCTCGCGACATTTGAAACAGGATTGTTGCGGTCGGATCTTAGTCTTAGGGTCGGAGGGCATATCTGAATGGGATAAAAAATAAGAATAAGTGAGATTTCAAGACTCGGGGACTTTTTTTGGATTCTATCCCCCCGCTTCAGCCGTTAGACCTAAACCGAGGATCATGGTGGAGCTGAAACCAGAAAAAGAGCTGAAACTTCATCACATCACTAGGTACTAGGTATACAAAAAGTACTTTTTGGTTTCAGCCACGCCCCAATTCTACCTTGCATGAAGAATCCTAGAAATGCACCTGAATTTGCTTTTTTCCTCGTTCCCACCAGAATGCATTCGCCTATCGCATCTTCACATTCAAGATGTGATGCATCTCATAAGCAACCGGGTCCATCGCAGCATGTTTACTGGTAGGAATCCTCGAAAACGCCACTCATGGATCAATTTTGGACATCACTCTGCATGACCCAGGGGAATTTCGGGATCCGACACCTGAACACCTGACACTCAGACTTGTTGAGCTAAAGTGTTGGATTAGGTTAGGTTGAGTTCGCCAAAAGTGCAGAGTGCAGAGTGCAGATCGGAAGATAGGAAGAAAGGAAGAAGAAGCGTGGATCTCGCCCCCCTCTCATTAACTTACTTCGGACCTGATCGGCAAAGCCACTTCCTGACATGAGCTTTGGTGTTGATTAACGTCGTTATCGACGATGACACCGTCACAATCTTCCGTACGACTTCCCCCACTGTTTGTAGGCGAGGTTGTTTGCCGATCTGCAGCGGAGCTCCGGTGCGGGGAACTCGTGGAGCTTGTATGTGGAATGTTGGTGCTTAAAATGGCTGGGGAAGACCCTGGAGAATAGCGGTCTTGTACAGCAGCTCAAGGAGTAAGAAATATCATTGGTGTCTTTGTGAAGTTGCAAGCTTCTTCTTCTTCCTTCTCCTTTTCTTTGTGTCAGGTTCTGGAGACTATGACTCGCTCATCAGCCAATTGGGTTACGCCTGCCAGGATGGCGAGTCTCTTGATGATTCCCTTTCTACCAGCTCAGGCATCAGTGGGGGACCCCGGTCTTCTTCCTTCGCCTCCAATGGGCTTCAACAACTGGGCACGATTCGAATGTGATCTCAACGAGACTCTATTTACCGAAACGGCCCAGTCAATGGTTAGCCGTGGTCTACTCGATGCAGGATACAATCGTCTCGATCTCGATGACTGCTGGATGCAAACTGAGCGTTCATCCAATGGCTCATTGCAATGGAATACCACTCTATTTCCTCATGGTATTCCCTGGCTAGCAAACTATGCCCGCGAACATGGATTTCACCTTGGAATCTATGAAGATGCGGGAAACGCAACTTGTGGTGGATATCCTGGCTCGCTGAATCATGAACAGCAAGATGCCGACACATTTGCTAGTTGGGGAATTGACTATCTCAAGCTTGATGGATGTAACATCTATGCTGAGAATGGTCAGCCTCTACGGGATGAGTATAAAGATTTGTACACTCAGTGGCATAAGGTTTTAAGTGGGATGTCACAGCCACTTATTTTCTCTGAGTCTGCACCAGCATACTTTTGTACTAATGAGACAGACTGGATGCGAGTTATGGATTGGGTCCCGGAGAATGGGGAGCTAGCACGCCACTCGGATGATGTCCTTGTTTATAGCGGCGAGGGTAGTGCTTGGGAGAGCATTATGACAAATTACAATTACCAGGTTCAGGTTGCGCGATACCAGCAACCGGGATACTATAATGATCCTGACTTTCTGATTCCCGACCACCCAGGCCTGACGGATGATGAGAAGAAATCCCATTTCGCGCTGTGGGCATCATTCGGTGCACCACTGATTATCAGTGCATATATCCCCGATCTACCGGAAGAAGTTATTACCTTCCTCAAAAACAAGGATTTTATCGATGTCGACCAAGATCCACTAGCTCAGCAAGCTGCCCTCGTTACCCGGGATGCTGATTTTGATGTCCTGACTCGTTCCCTCGCAAATGGAGATCGACTCCTAACCGTGCTAAACCGTGGAAACAACACCTCTAAAACAACAATCCCAATTTCCCAACTTGGTCTTGATTCAACCTGCAAGTACCGCGCCCACAACTTGTGGACAGGTGCCGTGGAAACCATCAAAGAATCTGTAGAGATTACCCTCAACACCCACGCTACTAGCGTCTACCGAATTACACCCCCACGTGGATGTACAAAGACCACATCAACCGGTATGATCTTCAACACGGCTTCGAGTCGCTGCTTAACCGCTTCATCGGACAAGGTCACCTTCAGCACTTGTGATGCAAAGAACTCTCAAGTCTGGTCTGTCTCTGGATCAGGCAGCAAATTTACCTTGAGCCCGCTGTCGGATTCTTCGAAGTGTCTTGCTGCTTCTAAGGATGGATCTGCGTCGCTTGTTGCTTGTAAGGGTGGTTCTGGGACTAGCTGGTCTCATTTTATGACGGGTCATCTGAAGAGTGGCAATGGTGATTGCTTGGCTGATTCTAATGGGGTAAGCCTTGAGAGTTGTGATCAGAGTGTTGGTGGGCAGATTATGGGATTGCCTAGTGGTGTTAAGTTGGCTTCTGGACTTTTCTAGTGGATGTTGAGGATAGATTAAAACTTGGATATGCCAGCTAGAGTAGATGTTCTTGATGCATCATGATGACTATACTGCATACAAAGATAGTTGATCAAATATCATCCTTACTTCATAAAAACTGCTTTTTGAATTATCAGTAGAATGCTTCAATGTTGTTATTGTCCCACGTGCAGTATTGAGCACTTGAACGATTGAACTCAAACTATAAATCCGGGCGTTGTGATTGGCTGATTATCCACTGTAGAGTCCCACTTCTACATAACAGGCACCTCTGAAATGCCATTGACCATGACAACGGCAAGACGGCGCTGATGTGGGCAGGAGATGCAGGAGTGAATGCTGTTGAATATAATAACGATATGACAGCGTTGATATGGGCAGTTTCCAAAGGGAATACAGCATTGGTGGAACAGTTACTGAACGTCAATGATATCGATTTGTCTATCGAGAACATGCACGGTGTATCGGCGTTGGCAATTGCCCTTACCAGGGAGGATAAAGTGATGGCTAACATACTTCGGCGGGAGGCCCGGTGGCGCCGAAGAGCCCAGTGAAAAAGCAGGATGTATCTATGAATTTGGATCAGTACCTCTACAATTCCATACTCCTCTCGGTGGCCATTTTACCGAGATTGCTCCTTATTAAACAGCAGTTTGGTCCGAGTCGCCGCATCAGTATGGTTAAGAAGATATCTTTATGGTTTCGAGTTTACAAGAAGAGAAACTCAGATATACCCATGTACAGTGGAAACTTGCCTCCTTGATTGATATAATTCATCGAAAAATATACAGAGAAAGAAGAAACAAAGGGATAATGAGTCATCTACCCCTGCAAAGAATACCCAATGCCCTCTCCAGACCCCATAGCCACCAAGTTCGCACGCATCTTCTCAGGCCTCTCTCCAATCCCGAAAGAAGCATCATCACGATGCACCCAAGCACCAACACCATGCTGCAGCACAGCTGTAGCACGAACCTTCTTCTTCTCATCATCTCCCTCCCCAGCAGCCTTCAAGCCGAAACTTCCATGAAGAGTCAATCTCGTCTCCTCACCACCCTCCTCCTTACCCTTATAAACTCCCCGATGCAAAATATTACTATCATAAAAGACAGCATCACCAGGCTGAAGCTTCACAATCAACTGATCCGGCAAAGATGCCGCATACGGCTCCGCATTACGCTCTGTATCTGTGCGCGCACGACGATGAGATCCCGGTACAACAATAAGCGATGCATCAGGACATAAAGCAAGATTGTATTGCGCATGCGACTGCTTCCCGCCAGGCGACTTGGCAGCTAATTGGGCTACCTCTTCCTCGGCCGTAGCTGTCTCGGGGATATCATCACGATGCCAGCGGAGCTCGAAGTCCTTTGTTTCAGGCGCGACGAGAAGATTGAATAGTTCCATGACAAGAGGCTCGTCGGGACCAGCTTCTTTAACGCCCAAAAGCTCCTGGACGACCTTAAGAATGGAATCGGAGAAATAGCACTTTGCGAAAGACTGTCGGTCCTCCATATCAGGGTGCATCAGGTGTTGAACACCCCAGATTCCGCCCTCGGAAGCTGGCGGAGGTGTTGTAGGCCATGGTGGGAATTGTTTAGGGACGGTACGGAAGTGTGGCCAGCCGCCGGTGCGGGTTTTGGTGGTTGCTTTTGTGGCGATGGAGCGGTAGTGGGAGATTTCGGAGGGGCTGAGGAGGTTGGGGACAACGACGAAGCCGTCGCGTTGGAGAGCGTCGAGATGAGGTGTGGACATTTTGGATAGATAGAGCAGTCTGAGCAGAGCAGAGCAAGATTGTAGATTGTGGAGGGTTTCGTTTATACTTTTATATGGAAGAATTTAATCTGGAGAAGCGGGTGTTTATCATTATCGCTGCGGGGTTCCTGATGCTACCTGCTACAGTGCCATTTTTGGTTCTTTTTTATCCGCGATGTTACTGTGGATCCACAATGTGACTCTCTGCCATGTGTCCCAGGTGGTTCTTGATTGATTACATCTCTGTTCATTCGGTCGGAACATACTAATCTTCCGTTTCATCCCCAGATCTCCATGTTTCCGATGTAGCATGTTGCACTCCCATCATATAGATCTGGGGTCGCAGTTCTCCTGCAGGCTTGATTGCTTTAGTGCATATTAAGCTGCTTGTCGGTCTTGATCTGTGTTGATTAGCCTCTTTTCAGCCTCATGAATATAGTTAACCTTGTCAAAGAGAACTATCGCGCTAATTATCTAGGTATTTTTTCGATTATTCTACAACTCTTGTAATTATTCCTATATGGTATGTCCACTATAGCAGTTTAAAAATGTGGTTTGGCTCGAGAGAGATCTATACCTAATTCTAACATACTGTTGTGATCAATATCTCGCTGATGCTCAGCTTACCGTGCTCAGGAATTCTCGAAACTTCGTCCTTGTTCGCTTATCTTTCCCGTATAGAACCTCCATTTAGTCTTACTCGGGTCGCTTATACCTCGCATTCCAAATGTTACAACATTTGAAGGGGGGCGGAAAACTTCCAACCCAATCAGACCACCGTAATACTCATGGTTACTCAAGCATGTAAATCCTGTAGATCTGCTTAAAATCCTTTGCACCAATATCGCGTATCACAGCAATCGGAGCATTACCCCTCAATGCGATAGCAAAAGTGGGTGGGTCTCGAGTCCCTGAGCCCCGCGGTACAAATCAACATGACCGTGGATCTATACGAACGCCAACTGGTGCATTCCCGCTGGAACACATAATATTGGTTCTACTTATTACTGATATTGCTTACAGCTACCTATAATATAGGCTTTATAGATAATAAGGCAGAAACAAAGATCGGGTATGCCCAAGCATATACTCAGTAGCTCGGTGTGTATGTGATACAACACATGATGGGGGGTCACGTTGGACGTCATCGCGATCTACAGTTTGCCAAGATCAACCGAGCTGAGACAACTACACACGAAGTTTTTTTTTCTTTTCTTTCTTTCCCCATTGAACCAAAAACGCTCAACTTTTCATAACCACAGTCTGAACGAGAATTTGCAGGATATTCCTTCATATATCTCATAGTTCCACTACTGTCCCCACCATGCCCCTCCTTCGTGCGGGCATCCCCGCCCTGCTCGTGTGTTTGCTAGTATTTCTGCCATCAGCCCACGCCTTTGGCGCTGGAAGTACGTATTTTGGCAAACTTGAATTTTTTTTTCTTTCTTTCTATTGGATATTAATGAGATCACAGATATTGCATCCATCTCTGCTATTGAGGGCAAGAATTGGCGCCATGGCGATATTGAAGATGTCCTCAGAACTATTGCGTTTATCCATGGACATAAATGGACTTCCACCATGATCAAGCGCGTTTATTTCGGAAACTGGTTGCGCGACTAGTGAGTTTCTTTGATCTGATCAAAGCTTCTAGCGTTCATCGCTGACGAAAATACAGCTCGCAGGCGATGGATGTCGGGACCCTGAAAAGTCTCCAGGCGGAGACGATTCGCATCTTAGTGTGGGTCCTTTCGTTCCTGACCTTCGGCTTTGCAACGGGTGAATTCGAGGTCACATCTGAGCGCTTGGGAGTCTATCGTCCCGAAGAACATATTGAGTACGTCCCTACTTCAAGAGATATATCAACGCATAGTATCTTTCAAGTGCTAATTTAAGTGTCAAATCAGCAACCCCAAGGACTACGCTGATAACGAGGATGCGCGTAAATTTGACGAGCGTCTTCGGGGACCTGTCCGCCAAGTTGAATTGGATATCGATATGGATACTGGTATGAAGAATTATATCGCCAATGAGAAAGGTGACTGGGCAACGAGCGCCGCCTATGTGAAATTCAGTTTGGGTCGAAGCATCCACTATGGACGCATGTACACTAATGGTGGAGATCACAAGGGTAAGGAGGAAGATCTTTGTGAAGCACTTCGATGTCTTGGTCAGGGACTTCATACCCTTGAGGATTTTGCAGCACACACCAACTACTGCGAACTTGCCCTGCGAGAAATGGGTCACCACAATGTCTTTCCTCACACCGGTACAGCCACCCAGATCAATGTTCGAGGACACCAAATCTTCCCATTGGTGACCGGTACATTTGGAATGGTGGATTTCTTCCACTCTGTGCTGGGTGAAGCTACCGACCACTTTACACAGTCTGAGGTTAACGAGATGGATATTGCTCTCGGAGATGCCGAGAACAACGCTCAATCCAACAATTCACTCAGTTCTCTGACTGGCTTGCTAGGCAAGATCCCCGGAACCAGAGACCTAGTCTCTGAGGCCGAGCATTTAAGACAGCTTTCAGATGCACAAGAGATGACCAACCGCTCCATGGGCTCGCATATGGGCTATGCGCAAACGGGCGGATCCCGAGGCATGAACGAACAGTCCCGCGCATCGCCACAGCCTGGCACAGATGGTACATCACCAGGACCCGGTCTTCAAGGAATGCCTAACTTTAATCCTCAGGAGACTGTCAGCAAAATCTACCCAATTCTAGAGTTTCGTGACAAGGTTGTCCGAAAATTGAACTCGATCATTGAGAAGATCCCAGGTCTCGAGGCTATAGTCGAAAAGATCTCCGAAACACTTACTGTCTTCATAATGTCTTTGCTGGCACCATTTGTACGACCTATCATTAACGCCGCCTCCAAGTCTTTGCAGACTGGTTCCTCTGGCGTCATCACTGCATCTGGCAAGCACCAATACGAGCCATGGACTGACCCCCACTGCACCGATCCTACTCACTCGCTACTCTCAAAGGATCACTTCGCCAACATCCTCAACGAGCCAGCCGGTCAGGTCGCCACCGCTATCGTCAAATATGTTGCGCCCCGTATCCTCTATGCCTGGCAGCATATCGATGTTCCAGAGCACGAGGTTCTCGAGGATTGTATGAACATCTTCCACCACCCTGCGTTCCGAAACATGCACAATGAAGCCCATCGCACGATGTTCGAAGCTGTCGGTAACTGGGTACACTCCCGTGAAGATCGCGGCGCAAATCTAAACCATGTTCTCAGTTCCGAGGGTGTCAGATCGGGAAAAAATACCGGAGGCGTTCCTCACACCCATAGCGGTGGAAATGGAGGGTTTGCTGCGCTTGGTGGCGGCTCTCATGGCCATGGTCAAGCTCATGGTCAGAGTCAGGGTCATTCATCAAGTGGATTCAGTGGAATTTCCTCATTTCTCTCAGGGCAGCAGCATTCTAGCTCGCAGCAATCAGGATCCCATGGTGCTTCGGGAATCTCCTCATTTCTTTCAGGACAACACTCTAGCTCGCAGCAATCAGGGTCCCACGGTGCATCAGGACTACCTTGGGACAAGATTTCTCATCTTCCTATTCCCGGTATGTCTAATTTGAATAAGCTTAATAAGTTGGAAAGTACTATTTCGAACTTCATGCCTGGTGGTCTGTCGCATGGAGCGAGGGGCTTGGAAGGGGATGAGGCTGAGAAGGAGAATGAGCCATATCATCAAGAACAGCAGCACCATGGCCAGCATCATCATAGCCATCATCAACATGGCCAACATCGACATGGGTATGAGGAATAGTTATCGTGTTCTTTACTGTTACTTCTATGTGGGATTTCGTAAATGTCAGCGAGAATGATAGCGATGAAGAGGAAAATACATTTATTTAGTTTAATCTCAAATGGTACATTCGCAATGCGAGCTTGAGTGTTGGCCAAGTGACGATAGAGGCAGTGATACAGCGGTTGCCCGATCGCGACCGCAAAGATCAACTCCCCATTGAATGGATCTTGCTTTTCGCTGAGTAATACTCATTTCATTATTTCTAAAATTCAGTTTCTAGCTTAAGTGCACTTTAATTAAGCCTCCCCCAGTTACTCAATCTTTCTTAACGTTAGCCCCAAGGGCTCCCTCTACAATTCAGCAGTCAGCATTTCCATACCTTGTTTCATCTTTGTTAATTCTGCTTTATAATGTCACAATTTGCTCGGCCTTCAACAAGCCCTGCCGGGCTAGCTCAATCGGTAGAGCGTGAGACTCTTAATCTCAAGGTTGCGGGTTCGACCCCCGCGTTCGGCTATTCCTAAAAATAACCTGAGATATCTTTTTTTGCCCTTTTTGAAATTTGCATTATCATCACAAATGCATTTTGTTTGTGAAAAGGCTAACAAGAGTATGGAGAGAAATTTTCCATTTTCCATTTTCTTTTCTTTCTGTTCACATCCGTGGACTGGAGCCATCCCAATTATAATAAGCCTTGGGAGTCAGCCCTAATTAAGCAAATATCAATGAAAGCCCACCTGGCAGTTCACCTAACTTTTCTCGGGTTCTTGAGTCACCTGAAGCAGCAATATATATAACCTTCAAACTTTGAATGAGATGGTGTCGGGCGTAGCTGCGCTGAAGTTCTTCCTGGGCCCGCTCCCTGGCAAAACTTAGGCATGGATAGCATTTAAATTGAATAACATCTAGTGGTAGCACCCCAGTTTCCTATACCAAGCTTGAAAAACATAAAGGCTTGCTGGATCTAGGATTAACTTGAAGGTGTGCGGTGTAAGAACTAAATTCATAATCTTAAAGCTGGAGCTATTAAATACGATATCAAGATCTCTCATGTCCGAGCCCCGAATCGTCAATGAGATCGAATGGGTTCTCATCATTGCCAACCGTCAATCCAACTAAGCTGACTCGTTGAATCTGCAATGGGAGAAAAGTCATATCAAAACATCCTTCCCGGTTTATTAAATATCCTTCAAGTTTTACCCTTTCCTCTTGGGTAAGTTCAAACCCCCTAGCCTTTTTGCAACAATGACACTCTAGAGTGCAATGACCAGCGACAAACTTTCGCTCAGGTATGTCTGCTCGCTTAGAACAACATCCACAGCCCCTACCACAGCAGCCTCCTCTCCCGGCATACTCTTCATTTAAAGCTCGATGCGTGTAACACTTTGGATGAGAGAGCCATAGCCTAATAGCTCTAGTGAGTGATCCAGCTGGCAAAGTATACCAAAATTTCCACCAATATCGCTCAAGCATCCAGTAATGTTTGGCCATTTGACCCAGTCTTAAGCGTTGCTCTTGAAGCTTCTGTATGCCATCCATGGTCACGCTGCCAAAGTAATTCTCTTTGATTTCTGTTGAATGGCGAGCTCTTCCTGGCTGGTCTTTCGAAGTTTGAATTCAGTTTTCAGCAATGAACTACAGGCATCGGTGGTAGGCAATTGTGTTGCATTCACTGAATCCCACCAATGAAACCAGCGATATGCCTGTAGGCGGCGAATATTTCAGATTTTCCTAAATAAAATTCAAATTCAGAGCAGTCATTATCCAGGTTGTCGATTTCCTTCGTAGGCTTGCGTTCAAGTTCTTCTTCGACCGATTCCATTTCATAATTTTGTTCGGTCTTCCGCATTTTTGTGGTTGAACTTTTGCTTGTAAGTATCGATTAAAACGTGGAGGGGAGATATTTGTGTTGGGCTAGTGGATAATTGTAAGAACAGATGTGTAAAGGTGCTTGTTATATAAACTTCCAAGGTTTCGGGGGCCGATATTTTACATGCTGCACCACATCCCGAATCGTTTTCGGGCCCTAAAAGGGCATAGTAGTAACGTATGTGTGCCAGTGTTTGTCGGAGATGAAAATTGAACAGCCTACGATTTTGTTATTCAGAGCCTTGGAATACACCACCGGCGCTGAGATTTGTTTTCTGGAAATCCTAACATCATTATTAGCAACCTTTATAACTTAAAATGTTGTTTGTAAACGGATACTCTTTCGCTTGCACATTGTACTATCGAGTTTATTCTTATTATTTTTATTTTTATTTTCAAATGTATCATAATTACTGAGATTAGCAAAGAGTGCTCCTATGGGCGACAGTAAGGTTTCACTAGAGAAATGTTGAAATCGCCCTGTTTAGAAACTTGACGTTGAGGCAATCAGGGCATCTATAAAATCTCAGGCCACTACCAAGTTCACACAAACAACAAACGGCTCAGGATTCTCCTTTATAGCCATTTAACCATTGCATACTGACTTCTTTGAATTCTCCTTCCTTCAATACCCACAGACTGGCTTTATCTCTCCAGTCATTCATCAAGAAATCACCTTTCTTCCAACTCCGCCATCCAAAGACTTTATCAAACCCGCCGACTAACAACATACCTACCTTCCAATATGGCAGACTCCTGGCCAAGTCTAGAGCAGCTATCTGTTAAGCACACCAGCCTGCAGCGAATGTTTGATGAGTATGCTGATTTCAGCTTCGACCTTTTCTACCACACATGTCACTATCCTCAGTCCAACGCATCATCCAGCTATGTCGTCAGCCTGATGTCCAAACTCAATATGATCATCAACACTTTGAAAGACAATGTCCCCCAAGAATTCATGGAACGCCAAATCACCCCACAAGTCGTACCAGCTCCAGCCGGATCCTTTGAGGATCCCATCCCCATTTCGAGTTCTGAGAGTGAAGCCTTCTCGACAGATACTGAAGAAGCTACCGACAGGCTTACGGAGTATGATACTAGCATGGATGAAGACGACGACGAGAGCACCGATTCACTTCCGGGTCCTCACAACTATCCTCCATCGTTGATTCCCACATGCAGCAGCAGCAGTGACGGCGGAAGTGACCTGTTTGGAAATCACAAGCATGATATTATCAGTCAACGCCAGGGCAGCCTTAAACGTGAGGTCTCAACCAACTTTCAAGACTTAGAGAATCTGTATCGCGAGGCTCATCAGCGTGGCAATGGCACAATCAATGACTTCGCCGATGACATCGACTTTTTGCGCAAGTATCGCCGAGATTATCAGAGCCCAGAACACTTTCCTAAAAGCTTTGACGATAGCCATTATGGAATCCATGAAGCAGATGCTGGCTCTCTTAGCTTTGACGCTAATAGATCTAATACCCTTGGGAGCCATGTGTTTCGCCGCGATAATCCCCTTGCATGGGGCCCTTACACGAGACTCCATCCGTGGTACTACTACTACGCCAATAAACGATCTATGAACCCACAATCTCAGCATGCTACTCTTACTTCGCCGATGGAGGACGCTTCATCTACTATGACTGCGGGTCAGGAAAGTAGGACTGCTCAGCCTGTTGCGACTCAGAGGGGTCGGAATTTGAAGCGGCTTCCTGCTTGTGATGATTCGGTGCAGACTCCTCAGGTTTCGAAGCGCCGACGTGTTGGATAATGGACTTGGCCTCTATACACAATTCATTTCCCCTTGTATCTCCCGGTACCCCTCCCCTTCTTTCTCTTTCCTCATGAATCAATTTCTGAAATCATGACGGTGTTGCAGTTTCTTTTTTGAATGGTTGATGGAATTGATCTTCTGCAGACCACGTAGGTTTGAGGGGCTGTAGCTACAGTTACAAAAGCGAGTGAATGAATCAAAGTTTTGAAAATGCTACTGCCAGTATCCTTGTAATATGAATTAATTAAGCTTGATAAAATATGAGTATATCAAAAATAGCACCGGCTATTTAATAGTAGTAAAACCTGAAAGACGTGTCCGCACCAACCAAACCTAGTCCTATCATTAATTCATAAACCCCCAAGGCAAAACAAAAGAAACCCAGAATTCTGACTCCATCTCCCCTGGTCCATTGGAAGAAAATGCAACGCTCATAATAAATCCTTGTTGAGAAAGAGGGTTTACAGTTTTGTCCCCTCGCGTCCAGTATCACTGGTTCGCCGTGGCCGTAACGGACCAAGATGGGAGCCGGCAGCACTGCTAGGCCCGGGTGTAGATGACGGCGTAAATTGAGATCGAGCTTCGCCTGGGGTGCTTGTACCATTGGTTCGCATGACACCGGTTCGTGTGCCATGGAGCCGGGGGTTCATAAGCCATTGAACTTGCATGCGAACACTATTCACTGCAGCGTTGGTATGTGCGATGTCTTCTTTGATTCGGAGACACTCATTCATGATACTCATACTGGCTCGAGCATCTAGATCTGTAAGGGCGTGTGACATCTGGTTAACCTCTTCGCGGAGAGATTCATGAAGAGAAAGGAGGTATGTCGTCGCATTTGATGAGAAAACATTCGAAGAGCGATCTGCCATTTCCTCTGCATCGGCGCCGGAGGCTGTATCGTTGCGACGGGTGTCAATGCGTGATGACTCTACCAAAGTAGATCGAATATTGGCAAGTCCATCTTCGTATATTTCATTCCGTTGTTGCAGGTGCCTCGTGGTCAATTCGAGAGAGTTAAGTCGCGTATTCTGTGCCTCCAAGTATGGACCGATCGCAATAAGTGGACATTGTTGCTCATGAGACGTAATCTCGGCCTGCCGGACTTCGACTTGACATCCATATTTCGATGCAGCGCAAGGGCTGAGAACTTCAGGGCATGCCTCGATATGCGTTTTCAGTGTGCGTTGTAAAACCATAGTTCCACAGTCGACGCAGACCGTCTCTAGACTGGGACATAGCTCCGTATCATGTTCCTAGAACATTACTAGTATTAGCCTTGGTATTTTCTTATATGCGTCTTTCAAGCATCAAATGGAGTCAAACAAACCTCATAGTCCTGTTCCATTACATCCTCTTCACATCGCGAGCAGCGCCAATAGCTATGTCTGCACCTCTTTCCCGTCTGCAGATCCTTTTTCCGGGTCATCTTATCGCAAGATTCATCCGGACAAGGCACTAATTGATATCCACAGTATTTATCCACATGTGATTGAATATGACCTCTCGGAACAACTTCCTCGCAACCTTCTGTAGCCAGTGGACATCGCACTTGAATTTCGTCACACATGTTGATCAATAGGCGGGGCACGCTCATCGAGAGGTGACTGGTGGGGGTTCGGCAAGAGGGACACGGGAATCCATCCGGGTCGGCCGACCGGAAGCTGGTGATGGCCGATCGCAAGCATTTCTCGCAAAAAACGTGATCGCATTGTAGTCGCACCGGTTGTACGAAGGCACAGTGGCATATCGCACACATAAGGTGGCTGTCGTAGTCGGATACTAATTCAAGGGAGCGCAAATCGACTTGCCCTTCTGTATCGCAGTTGGGCTCGAGAGCCAGGAATTCGTGAAGATCCATGTTTCGCAAGTTTAGGTATTTATTTATAATGCATAAAGCAACTTGATGTAAGGTCCGGTGCAGATTTCCGAAAGGGTGTGTGTGTTCTGCAGGAACAGTGAGGCGGCAGGTGTAGACGCAGGGCGGATGGCAAGTTGGGGATCTACTAGATACCGAGGTCAAGTCAAAGACACAAGGGATCCATGAGTGTTGGCACCTCCTGCGTAGACTTTCAGGGGATCCTCGAACTGAGAGATGCCCCAAGGAAGTGAATTCGAAATATAATCGCAATATGATCACTCAAGGTGAATATGTCAAGGAGTAAGAATGCGCAGGGTGGGATTATTGCGGGGAGAGCAGAAGGGGGTCGACTCCAAAGGCGGAAAAGCGGCAGATCGCATAACCCGTGGTCTCGGCATTGATCGTTGCCTTCCTCATCTTACACTCCAGCAATTAAACATTCATCCATCCTATACCATTCATCCCGACACTGATCGGCTCAAAGTCTCCAACGCTATTTACCAGTCTCCACACCTGACCCCCCTCTAAACGCAAAGCGGGCTCATTACTCCCAATTTCCGACTCAAGAATCTTGGAGCGGATCCCAACCGCCCGACTTTCTCCTCTTTCTCTTTCACGATGACGAACCCATCTCAGCTTTTCCTCCTCGTCGACCACATCAAACTCTCCCTTCTAGAAAGACAGCGGGCTATATCGCTGGACCTCGAACCAAATGCCCAAGATGGCGAGATTTCTCGCTCCCTAGAGTCCCTTCAAGAAGGCATCCAAGCTGTTGAAGCCGAACAGACCCGTTTAGCAGACTCACACGATAGCGCCGGCGCAGCCGCGCTAAAGGACCAGCTTGTCCCCCTCCACGAACAATATAGAGACCTATCATCGCAGTTCTACGGCGAATCGGCGCTGGCGTCGAATTCCGCAACCCCCGATCTTAAACAACCGGTTCCCCAACACCCGCCCTCCAAATCCGTGCGGTTCATGGATAACACCGCCGCAGCGGCTGCTGTGCAAGAGGAGATAGATGAAGAAGAGAATCGCAATAGACAGAACTTGTTCCAGCCTTATCGCGATGAACCCTCCCCGGCTGGTCCCGATCAAACAAATATGAGCAATGAGCAGATTTACCTAAACCATGATGAAGTGATGCGTCAACAAGATGAACAGCTTGATCGTTTGGGGCAGTCGGTCGGGAGACAACATCAGCTGAGTATTCAGATCGGTGACGAGCTTGATGGTCACATAACGCTCTTGGATGGATTGGATGACGATGTTGAGCGCCATCAAGGCCGACTGAACACTGCGACTCGGCGATTGGATAAGGTCCGTCGCAAGGCCAGTGAGAATTGGAGCATGATGACCATCATTGGGCTGATAATCATTCTGGTGATCTTGATTGTGATTTTGAAATAGGCGACTCTTTGTTTTCTTAAGAGGTACCACCTCAAGATGTATTTCTTCCAGTGATTTTTTTTCACTTCTTCTTGCTACAAGCGGGCGTTCTTCTCTTTTTATATCTCTTCAAGGCTTGATGAGAACCAGCCAGTCCTTTCCCTGGGTTCCATTAATAGTATCCGGCGTTGAGGATGAAGAGTTCTGTTCTAGACTCTGTGTTTATTTTATACTCTACATCTACCAGCAAGCGTATCCTTGATTATCTCATTGCGAACACCTTCCAATCATTACGAGCGTTAAAATAGATGCTGCTCATTTCGTATCCCATTATAGATGTATCCTAAAACACCGACCGTTACAGAACAATCTTAACAACGTTAAATCACCAGCACAGATTCCAATCAAGCACTTTTTCCTGCTGCTTTCCCCTTCTTTACTTGTTCCTGCATATGCTGGAAATCCTTAGAGTCGGCGTCGAGATCACCTCGATCCGCTTTGACCTATATCGATAGAAAGAAAAGAACAATTAGTCTCTGCCCGGGGAGATCAAACATCCAAAGTCATGGTAGTTCATACATGAGCTTCGCTGTTACTCGCCAGTTCTTCGTCCCACTTCGCTGTACCCTCCTTTGCTTTCTTAACATGCTGATTCTTCTGGCTTTCGTAGTGCTCAGGAAGATCGTCGCGGTCTAAAGAGTCCAGTCAGCTTAAGCTTTATAACTTATCTTATAATGAGAGACCAACTTCTGTCGCTTTCTTTCAACCCTCTCTGTGCCGCTGTGGTGTGAAATGATGACGTTGCGGGAATAGCATAGCTAGATCGGACAAGATGACGCGATGACACACGGAGCGAGGGTAGGAAAGACATTTTGCCTGTGAGGTAGTTTCGAGGTGGAAAGATAGAGCTTCTTCTTGTATAAAGGGGGTCTTTGAATAGGTAGGTTGTACAAAGAATAATGGATGGAGTCAAGTCAAGGATAAATATTCGAAGTTGAAAGAGAAGAGGTTGAAGTCCCCACAAGATTCCAAGAAACCCCGCGTGCTAGCACTTGGACAGCTCGCCAATTCCTTGTCGTTGATTCGATCCTTGGGACAATGCGAACAGTCCATCCGGTGACGTCAGCGATACTTCAACGGGATCCGGTGGAAATGCCCGAGAATGATTGAACATGCATTGGCAGTTTATGTTACGCATATATGTTTCTCAATTATTACGGTTAAATGGTTCTAATGTATCTTGTTGCAGGAAATCGACGCTACCAGTTCCCCCATGCCTGACGGATCATTAAGAACGGGCGGCTGCAGTATACTTCATACTGACAGGGTACTTCCACGACTAACGAGGATCCACCTGCTGCTGCTGCTGCTGTTACTACCCAGTAACCTCAACCTTCTCAACCATCAAATAAACATCATCCAAGCCAGTAGCAGTTTGCTTTTGCATGATATAGCGGTGGGCACATACAACTTTGCTCATGCCTCGACCAGGAATTATAAAGATGAAATATTTGCTCTACTTGTTGACTCGCTGAGTTCTAGTTGAGTCTTTGGGATATAGTTATCTTGGTCTTCATTATAAAAGATGTTGCTATCCATGAACCAAATCGAAAGCCAGTTTAAGTAAGCAAGTCAAAACATGACTACTTTCACTCTTTCAAGATATTTCAAGTCCGGATGTTAGGGGAAGATCGACTTAAGTAAATTGGTGAAGAAGATGGTAAGACTAAGACAAGACAGCATAGCATAAGCTGAGGCCCCGCTTCAAGTTCTTCAGAGGCTTTAAAGGGTTTGAAAATCAGAACTTCAAGTTGCCATAGCTTCCATAACCAAAAGAGATTCTCTAATCCCTATTCGGAAGTTCAAATGTGGCGATTCAACAGCCCCCAATAAGCTAGAACCCCACGCTAACGTCTAATCCCTGCAATCGAACATTTCAGGACATCGGAAATGAATTAAGTGGCAAACTTGCTCATTTATTTAGGAAAATAGCCATAATTCTCGATAAATTGAGGCGAACAATAGTGGTTTATTGCGAAATAGCGGGTTGACTGCTTTAGTCGTAAATATCAACCGGTACGAAGATTGCGATGTTAGGAAACACCGATTATCGGGTAATTGACATCAATTATGGTGTAGATCAACTGTCATATGCAGATAGCCTATCATCATCATCATCATCATCATCTCCATCTCCTAGCCGACGAGCTTGAATGACATCATGAGATATCTGTGATGGATGACGTAGAGAAGAATGCCCATTGTTCGCATGCAGGGGACTGACGTCTAGGTGGATTGTAATGAGCGGAGATTTTATTCAAAGGATCCATTTGAATCATACCATCCCCTGGTGAGTCTCCCTTGGAGTTAGTATCATTATGCCCTTGATATCCAGGAGATGCATATCCAGACATACAATGATGAGGGATGCCTTAGGATTATGAATGAGGGAAAGAATGTAGAAGTCAGGATGTGTATGTAAAGAAGAGTGGAATAGATGCGAATCACATCGTTTTGTCCATCAATTGTCTCAAAGCCATAGAACAGGACAAGTAATTGAAAGCATATGAACAAAAGAGATGTGCATTGGAAATGACAGTGTCCAAGAATCAAGAAGGTAATAGTAAATAAGAATCAACATCATACAGCGTTATTGAGGTTCAACGCAGAAGAAACAAAGAAGTGAATGGAGATAAATGATAAATGATAAAAAAGCAAAAGCAGAAAGCCATTTTCAACGCATATGGTCTAAGACTCGCCCAAACCGCGAGAGACCCCCAGGATATCGATCTCAATGAAAAACAACTCCGCATCCTATGGTTTCGCTTCGCAACCAGACCCAACCAGCTACTTCACAAAAGAAGCAATGAGTACCGCGTGTCACCAATCCCTAAACCGATATACAGGAACCAAAAATAAAATCAAAATCCATGAAACAAGATGCGCAAACCAGTAAAAACAAGAAAACAAACCCAGGTATTTCAACAGTGCCCAAGCAATGCAGACGTGTATCGTTTCCGCCTCTAGATCCTCAAAAAAATGTGATATCCATCCCGCCCAAGAGAATAATAACCCCAATGAGAAAATAAACAAATCCAAAGAAACAAGAAGTCATCGAATAAGTCACAGCGTAGGTGAGTCGGGCCCAAAAAGAACATGTCGCTTTACAAGCGACCCTCCTCCCCAGTAGAAAATAAGAAAAATTCAACTCCTGTCCCCAGGGACATGCACGTCGAAAAGAAAAAAGCCAGTCACCAGACATTCTATACATCATCGGCGGCCCAACCGAGTAAAAAGGCCAGAGAAGATAGTCCCTCCCGAGAGACACAGGTATCGTAGGTAAAATAAAAAAAGGAGAAGAGAGAGAGATGCAAGAAATCAAATCGCAGGCGCCGTCGCTCGCAACAAGCTGGAAGCATCACACAAAGGATCTAAAATAAAAGGCGAGGTGGTGGTCGTAAAGCGGCGGATGGTCCAAGATGTTTGGTATGTACAAAGCCGGATTTTATCGAAGTTTTATGATGATTTTTGATGTCTTTTTTTGTTTCGCCGTTCGTAAATTTTTTCCGATGTAGGTCGTCGTATCGAATGCAAATAGCCGTATCGTATCAGACAAGAATGCAATAAAAGGGATAAAGTAATTAAGACCTGCGATTAAGGAACCCCCGATGATGCAGATAGACTCAGGTGACGTGCAAAGAACATGCCTCTAGGGCAGAAGAGGGCGCAAGCGCCACGTAGTTTCAGGCAAACCGAAACATCTTTACCATCGACGCTGGGCCGTCTGCATCATTGCCGGCGAAATAGACGAGGGTGGGCTGGCCAAGGACATTCCTGTGTTGGGGTTGATGATAGGAATGACCTTGCGGGTACGGTTGGCAGGTTGCTGTTGCTGGTAGTTTTGGTGATGGTGAGGGTTGACTCCGTGGACGTAAGAGTTGGCAGAAGCGGGAGAGAGAGAGATAGCCGGAGTAACCTGCTGCACTGGCTGAATCTGGTGCTGGAGCGGCGAAGTATCGGGGGATCCACTGGACAGCGAAGAGCGGTCGGAAGAAGCGGAGTGGATAGAGTGCAGCTGGACGGTCGTTAATACGGGCGCTTCCAATTGAGATGTCGATCCCAGACGCAGGGGCAATCCGAGTTGAAGAGCCAAGGATTCTAGGGATCCTTGAGGATCACAACAAGCGAAACTTACATCTTCGTCGGTCAGGAGATTGGGGCAGAACTCCAAATCGTCATCGAGGTCAAAGGAGCGACCAGCCTCGAAACGAGCCCGGAAGGCAGTCACAGCGGGAGCTTCGGCGAGCTCTCGCATGCTCTTCACACCTCGAAACTGACGCTGAGCATTTTGAGCGGCCATTTTTGGAGCGCGGCGAGAGCGACCATGGTGGTTATTTTGAGACATGTGGGTGTTGTGGTGAGGGTGGTGTTGTTGCTGGTGAGTGTACATGAAGGCAGACATGATGGAGGATGAAATTTGAGGTATGGGGGAGAAGCCAGCACCCAGAAATCAGAATAATATATAGCAGGTGGAAGAAGAAAAACGAATCGAAAAAAGAAAAGTTGTACGTGAAGACAAGTAGTTGGGAGAGAAGAAGGTAGAGAATTGAAGATGGGGAAGTGTGTGGGAAAGACGGAAAGCGAGCAGAAAAAGAGGGAAGAGACGAAGAGAGGGGTTCAAGCGGGTTCAAGCTGGGATTGTTTGGGCCAACGAGTATTGCGTTGGTGGTATTGTTACACCCAGCGACTGTAATGTGCTGCAATGGGGTTCACAACGTGTGTAATTCTGTCAAAGTTTGGTATTGGTACTGTCACGACCTTGTTGGATGGAGTAGCGAGTCACAAGGTGGCGAGGGCATTTGAAGTGGAGTCCACACTGCATATTAGATCTTATAATTGGCTGTAGAATTCGATGACGAGTATGTCCCCAAGGACGGCGCTTCTCTCTGATTTGCCTTCATTCTCTCCCCCTCCCAGTGCCAGGGCTGATTATGTACGGTATTGTGGCCTGATTACCGATTACGGCCAATTCCCCCCCCCCCCGGAAGAATATTTCTGGAATTTACACCTCGTATGTTTGACTCTACTAGGAGTAGGACCAAACCCAACCATACAACTCCTGAGGATGATGATCGGTAATAATAACAATCTAACGCTCCATATTTTACTGGTAGATCTCCACCCATGCCCTTTGCGGATCGCCCTCTCCTTTTCAACTGCCCTACGTATTTCCTCTCTCTAGACTTTCCGGATAAGGAGTTCTCCTACTCTGCCCAAGTGGATGCTACATGTCACAGCATCGTGAACGACTACCTATTCTGCATAAGTCTAATCCAAGATTGTGGAGGCTGGGGGTTGGGGAATTGGGGCGAGAAAAAATTGTGAAAAAAAGAAAAAAAGAAAAAAAGAAACTTCATCTCGTTCCTGCACAGCCTTAACTAGTAGGCATAATTCGGTTGTGGCTGATCCTAACCCTTATGTTTTGTTGAACCCCAAGGATCTATTCCTTATCGGGCGTCTTACAGACGATCCCCCCCCCCCAATATTTCGACCGGCATTAACGCCTTGACCACCATAACAAAGAACAAAAAGGACATTTTTTCCTTTTTTCCCTTTTTTCTTTTCCCAACCCGCTGCCATGGGTTTCCCCCCTTCCAGAATTGTCATTGGCAGCCAAAGATCTGACCTTGTATCCGTCTCCTCGCCGAACTCCCCGAAACGGACATGCGGGATCCGGACTAGGAATAGACTCTGCTTTTCGTATCTACAGTTTATAGGACCGGGGAAACTGACAATACATACGTACTCCGTAATCCGTACCTCGAGATTATGTAGAAGGATGAATGAACACCTTGGCTTTATTGGCCCTATAACTTTAGGGAGGAGATAACATCAAACTCTACGGAGCCTTGGCGGCGGTAGTACCGAGTATAGTGCAGAGACCAGAATAAAAGAACCACCCCAATTCGGTGCCACCACAGTGGAACCCTGCAGTGACAAGTGGTCCGAGTAAAGACAAGGGTTGGGTGACAGGAAGCAGAGAAGCGACGATGATTTTCGCGATGCGGACTAGAGGATCGTCATGGAACAACGCCACGAGCGCCTACCGTAACAGCACCTGCTTCCGATCACCTTACACTCTACAATTATAGAAGCCTCCCACTTCATCCAAAAGAGACATGACTCGAAATAGATCTGCACCTGGGGAATCTTCGGGTAGTCCGGTCCCCCTAATATTCCGTGCGTGAGAAAGACAAGACAAGCCTCCGGTTCCTCCCCCTCCCTCTCAAGCTCAGGCTCGAGCTCAGCCCAACGCTCACCGCTCCTCTGGGGCCAAGAAGGGCGATGTGAGCTTGCCACGCTCGTCCCTCTAGCCCCCAGCCTCGTACTGGAGAGTGCAGCCACAATCTAGCATACGATTGGTATAGCCCACGGGCGCAATGACCAGGTGCAGGCACCGTTAACTTGAAAGCTTGTTCATGCAGCTGACAGATCAAACCCATGCGTGCATGACATGATCTCTCACCCCCTGTATACGAACTGACTGCATGATGTATCTTTCAGTGAGGGGAATGAGGGCAACGAGGAGCTTGGTCCTCTTCCCCCAGAATCTTCAAGCAAGGGACTCGGTTCTATCTGGTTGGTTGCCCTGGGCAGATTTCCAAGCGACCGTGTTTATACTCAATATCGGTCCGGATGTGGTTTCAGAAGGTAGGATAGGATGAGAATATCAGCGCGAACCGAACCGCGGGGAGGTGTGAGTCTACAGGCTACAATCACTGTAAACTATAATGCCTACGGGATATATAGAAGTGCTGGAGATCTTGTGTAAGGGACTAGAGGGAGAGTTTTGTCTTTTTGCGATGGGCGAACCTTCGCTGCTAGGTGTAACTTGGTGAAACGATCCGATCACGGCAACCCCGATGTGGGCGCTTCACTGCCACTTCTTGTTTGTCGCTGCGCCCAGGTGGTGGTGACTTGGAGTTTTGAATTGCTCTAGACTCTGTATGCGTGGTTGGTTTGGTTTCCCCTATGCTATGGATTACTTGCATTTGTTATCTCTGACAAATATCTAATCTAATCTAAGGCTTATGCTGCTCGAACCTATACTTTCATGTAGTTATTGGTATTTCAAGGTTCTCTGTATAGTGCCCAGGTGAATCTGATTAGCCAAGTATGCTCAGTCTTCTTACTTAATTCGCTCTTTCATCATGATGTTGGCGGTACTTTTCATCAGTTGAAAACAAGGAACGAGTTTCTCTTGACATTGTGTCTTTCCCTTCCTAGTATGCCGCTTATATGCCTATTTCATCAATTGTTCAAATGTTGGTGATTAGTTGAAGCTTATTTGTGATTGGCTGCAAACTTTTACTTTGGCCAATAATGTGCAGGGTGGTTGCTCCATCTCTCCAGAAGTCCAGCAGATGCCTCCCTGAAGCCACATCTCCGAGATAAATCCCATTCTTATTCTTAATAGTATTTATTATCAAGATTTCGAAACAGAACTGAGATTTTTTATGCTAATAGTACTTGAATAGCTGTAAAAGTAGTGGAAATCGTTGAAATCAGTAGGTTTATATATAATCATGCAGGGGGTATCCGCGATCGGGACATAAAAGTATTTCATAATCAGCATTTCATGATTCGAATTTTTCCAAACCAACCAAAATAGTCACATTTCTTGAAATCGAATTAGAAATGTGATCATTAATGATGATTGCTCATAAAAATGCAGTATGGTAGGTACTAGGCACTGCTCGGATCATCGATGCCCAACTTGAAGTGGATGTGTGGATTCCATGGCTCTGCCAGTGGTGTTATTCAACTAAGACTGACCTTCTAGTACTAGAGTTTTGGGTCGCATCAATGTTCTAACGTTGGATTGAATTCCAATTACTCATTAAGGAATCGTTCATACGTCAAAACGAGCTTTGAAAATCGGGTTGATATTATATACTAGTATAACCCGAAACAACTCAATGACAAACAAACGCTGACATGCAAATGTATCAATGCCATATGAATGCAACCAATAAAAGAATATTTCCCAAACTCCGGAATGTCAGAACCTCATGTCATGTAACAGAAATAAAAAATGATGCCCCGCCAATAGCTTTCAAGACCAAACCCTGCCCACACGCAGGTGCTTACTTATCCAAGTTCTTACTCTTGACCATTCTACCAATCAGTTCCTTGCAGTGCTTTTCGCTGTACTGCTCCCATACCTCATATAGCGACAAAAGTTCCTGAGTGCATTCAACAACAGCCTTGATGTCAACATCACTCTCCGCAAGCCACTGAACGAGTTTTTGAATCCGCGCGGCTCCAGGTCCAGCCTTATCAGAAAGTGACGACGCCAACATGTTCATACCGCCTCCATCGCGCATCGTAGCCGCCAACGCTGACTGTGCGGAGTTGCCAAAGTTACCAGGGTGAGCTGGTTTGAAAACCACCGCAATGATGATGGCCATGATACCAATTACATGAGGTGGATGCAGAAGTGGAAGATCTGTCAGATAGTGATCATTGATCACGGACCAGGCTAGTGCGACCTCATCGGAGTTGAGCGATAAGTCGCTTTGCAGCTCTGTTAGGGTGCGATATGGATGGTGTACGATAAGTTGTGAGCTCATCTCAGAGATCAATGCGAACTCACATTCGCCAAGTTTAGCTACATCGTGCGTGATGAATTCTGAATATGACCTTTTAGTATGTGGGATCTACAGAAAGGTATACCAGGGTCATGCCTCTTACCTGGCCAAAGTCCACGGGCTTCACCGACCACAAAGCGGATATGTTGGGGACATTCTTCCGTCTTACAAGCCAAATAGAAGGCTGTAGTGAGAAGCAGGTATGGGTTTGTTTGTCGAATTTCATTTTTGGTATAGAAACGTTTCAAATAGACTTGGGCTGTTGCAATTGCTTGTTGCCTGGTGGACATGCGCTTTCCAAGTTTGATAAGTTCTGGGAAAATAGTCAGCCCTATCACAACAAATTTGACAGGGTGCCATTATTGATCTTACGTTGATTGAAGTAGATATTCAACAGACGCTGATCCGGCAGCGGAAACTGTGAATGGGTGACCTTATCTCGTTCACGCAGTCCTTCCCGAATATCGGCGAGCTTCTCCCTTGAGAAGAGCCAATGCCGGCGTTGCGTCGAAGCCCAGTAATTCGCCGCCATGATTGACCATGGGGTAGCGTAGTATAATCATGTACTCAGGCAATCATGCCTAGTTTTATCTGAGATTTTCTACCCCGGTGATTCCTTCCTCCTTATGATGTTGTCTGATAACGCCCGAGGCAATGGCCCAAATAGGCTTAGGGCCCAACCCTGGTCCCGTGCCCGGTGATGGCGTCAAGCGTCCAAGTTGGAGCAATGATCGGAGCCCGATTAATCATTACCTTCCAACACCCCCACTCCTCTAATGCCAACTCTGAAGTTCGAGGTTCCAACGTCGCCTTGTTACTAAATCATTTAAACGCCCCCGCCGACCCCTCACAGCGCCCGCCTAACCACTTCGGAACATGCTCCCTTGGATGATGCCGGGTGCTCAATAACAATTTTCCTCCGAAAGTATGGCACCCGGCGAGTCGAAAGATGAGCGCGACGAACGAGTGGCTCGACTTTGGACAACACTGGATACCCGAAAAGAGGGAGGGATCGATCTTCATGGCTTAAAGAAAGGTCTGAAGAAGGTTGATCACCGTGAGTAGTTGCAAACTTTCCGATCTCATGCCGAAAGCTTCCGACTGACGCGATCGACCTAGCTCTGAAAAATGCCGACGGGTTGCTTCGCAGCATTTTGCGCGAAGTTGACACGAACGGCGATGGCCGTATAGACTACGATGGTAATGTTTTCCATTAGACCGCAGCTCTTTTGGGCGAAGTTGGCGCGTACGCGCTTCCTGTTTGGGAACCGCCTAACCTTTGTTTCTAGAATTTCAAGCTTTTATAAACCACACCGAGTGCGGTCTTTGGCAGATGTTCCAGTCTATCGATCGCAATCATAACGGCGAAATCGACAAAACCGAGTTACGAAATGCGTTTGCTCAGTCCGGGGTAACCGTATCCAACGCAAAGCTAGACGAATTTTTCTCCGAGGTCGACAAAAACAACGACGGGGTGATTTCTTACACGGAGTGGAGGTTCGAATACCCGCCAACCTTTTACTTTCAACTCTCTTTTTAATATTAGAGCTTATCACTGGAACAATCGTTGACTAACGTGTGTTTTCTTTCGATATAGAGATTTCCTCCTCTTCTTGCCTTTACATTCACCGTCGGATCTTCGCGCCGTCTTGTCATATTACACAGCTACAGGAAATCTCAACCCGGAAGGAGATGTCCATATAAACGAACTACAGGGCCTAGGTACAGACTGCTCGTTTCCTAACACCTACCTCCTTGCCGTCAAGGCTCTTTTGTACAATATTCTCTCCCTGCCTGCCCTGGCCTCACTTCTTCCGTCAGCCGATGCGCAATCTGTCCTGCCCGAAGACTCGTCTTTGAGCATTAGGAAGGAATTCGCGTCGATAGACGCTGACATTGAGCTGGAGTGGTTGCCAATCCCCAAAACCACCGCCATGTGGATGTCTTTCCGCCATTATGAACGGAAGTTGACCGAAAATACCCCCCAATTAGGCTACTTCGTTGCGGGCGGGATAGCTGGCGTCGTGTCCAGGACGGCCACCGCACCTCTCGATCGTCTCAAAGTTTATCTTATTGCAAAAACCGGCGTGCAGAAACAAGCTGTTCGGGCAGCAAAGGATGGAGCTCCCATAGCTGCGGCGGGGCAGGCCTCTAAAACGCTCTTAGACGCGTTGAAGGAATTGTGGAGAGCCGGAGGTATTCGGAGTATGTTTGCAGGTGAGTTAAACTCTTTTTCTGGGTAGCTTAAGCAAGGGCCCTTCTGACTTTTTATAGGAAATGGTCTGAATGTAGTTAAGGTTATGCCAGAGTCTGCGATCAAGTTTGGAGCTTACGAGGTAACATCGATCAATTGAAAAACAAACAGATTGACCAGATAACTGATCCGATATAGTCCGCGAAACGAACATTTGCCAGGTTGGAAGGGCATAATGATACCAAACGACTCAGGCCGACATCACAGTTCTTATCAGGTGGTATTGGTGGAATGGTCGCGCAGTACGTCTCTATTCTGGTCATCCAAGGATTTCGTTTTCTGACAAACCCGTAGATGTTTTGTTTACCCACTTGATACATTAAAATTGTAAGTACACTTTGTTCAAGGAAGCATTTATTTTCTTACTAATCTTCTTCATCAGTCGCATGCAATGTAGTACTGTTGAAGGTGGCTTGAGAGGCAACAAGCTTATTATCGCCACTGCAAAGAAAGTGTGGAACGCCAACGGACTTTTTGGATTCTTTCGCGGACTTCCTCTTGGCCTAATTGGAATGTTCCCCTATGCTGCCATCGATCTCACAACATTTGAATACCTCAAACGAGCTCTCCTTGCTCGACAAGCACGCATGAACAACTGCCACGAAGATGATATTCCTCTCAATAACGTTGTCACTGGTGCCATTGGTGCAACCAGTGGAGGCCTGAGTGCCTCGGTCGTCTACCCCTTGAACGTCCTTCGCACCCGATTACAAGCCCAAGGAACTGCTCTACACCCCGCTACCTATACCGGTATCGGCGACGTCGCACGCAGAACCCTTGCAGCCGAGGGACCTCGAGGGCTCTACAAGGGCCTTACTCCCAACCTCCTCAAAGTCGCACCGGCAGTTTCCATCAGCTACGTGGTTTACGAGAACTCGAAGCGATTCCTTGGCTTGAAATAATCGGCTATCCTGTAACACTACCCCCTCAAGACCTATCACCTGCCATTTCCTAATCATTGGTCTTTTTCTCCCTTGACTCACTTTACTCCCAACGCCACCATTTCTTCTTTGCTCTCGAAATTTTCTTTTTTTCTTGATTTAAAGCTACTTAACTTGAGATACCCCCGAAAGGCCTAACATACAGCATGTCACGGTCCTGTGCACATGCCATCTACATCTCATCTATCATTTTGCTTTATGCTCTTCTCTTTGCTACACTGGGAAGGCTTCATCTGAACATTTTGCATCTACTTTGCTTTTGGGCTCATCCGTTTTGGTCCTGAGGAACGTGACACCTCCTTTTACCAGGCGGTATTTGCCATAGGCAGATTGGGTAACTCATGTACCCACTACAAGCATGGCAAGGCGTCGAGGTACGCGGGTTTCATAACACCCACGGTTCTTCTTTTTCTTCTTACATTTTTTGTCAATATTGAAAATTACATTGATACTTTACCATTCAAATATCTCTACTAGTTCTGCTGGGCTGTGCAAGTGTTGAATAAAGGTTATAGTATCATAATTTGCTTAAATCATGATCATAAAATTCTTCTATTTCGATATTTCGGCTAGCCTGTATGTATTCAACATTGAAGACAAACCACATTAATTCAATTAAAAAAATACAAACATTCGAACCACAAACCACTTCTCTCTTTCATCTAAGCTCCCTTCACGGCATTAACCTCCTGATCCTTAGGCAAAATATCCGGCAACGGCCCAACAGGCGTGATAGCAAACTGATTAATCTGCTTATGCGACTTCGTATAGTGCTTCTTAATATGCTCGAAATCCGTTGTCTCCCCGAAAGCAGGCAAATCCCAATATAACCCACGCACCCAACGGTGAATAGCCGGATACCCAGAGCGAATATCACGAATATTACACTTGAAATGCTGCACATAAACCGGATCAAATCGGATAATAGTAGTGAAGAGACGAATATCCGCCTCCGAAACACTATCTCCAAAGAAAAATGGCGAAACGGACGCTTGCTTCGCAAGATGGGCTTCGACTTTGTCCAAGGATCCAAAGAGAGTCGTCACGGCTTTCTCGTACGCTTCCTGTGTGGTCGCGAAGCCTGATTTATAGACACCATTGTTGATATCATTGTAGATCCAATCGTTGCTTGTATCGATTTCCTGGCGGAGATGAGCAGGGAAGAGATCTAGCTTTTTGTATTTGTCTGCTACCAGGTCATCGAACTCGTAGTAGAGCATGCGGATGATTTCGGCGCTCTGGGTGGGGTGTGTTAGTAGAGTTTTGATTTGAATACGGGACTAGGAAGAATTACCTCATTGCTGACAATCTTCTTGGTCTTCTTGTCGAATAAGACGGGAACAGTGAATCGTCCTCCGTAGTTCGAGTCGTTGGAGAAGTAGATCTCACGCAGGTGCGTGAACTCCGGGTGCAATGGGTCGGGAATGGTGTTTTCCCCGGGAAGATTTTCGTCTGCGGTGGCGAAGCGCCATCCTACGGGGATCAATCAATATTTGTTGCATATGAAATAAAAAGAACATATAGCTTACCTTTTTCAGCCAAGTGCCAGTGAACAGACGAGAAGGAGATGATATCCTCCAAACCCTTCAATTTGCGGGTGATCAGTGTTCGATGAGCTTTGGAGATATTAGTATGAGCACAGTATGAATGTTTGAGAATAGTTCTGTCATACCCCAAGGACAAGCATAGGACACGTAGAGATGGTAGCGGCCTTTCTCAGGAGGGAACTCTGCGCCCGCCTCGCGCGAGATGAAGCTTCGGAAGGCGGATTGCTGGCGCTTGAACTCGCCAGACTTATCATTGGGGTTCACCCAGTCGGTGATCTTGGACGTATTTCCAGTCTGAATATGATGTTAGAATATAAGATGTTATGTTAATTGATTATGTGTGAGGTTGTCTGTACCGCCATTGTTCGTGATGGTGCGGAGAAGCACGGATGGGAAGCTACAGAATACCCCGCTTTGACAATTGGAGGTCGTGAAAATTGTTGCAACACAGATGAGCGGAGGAGCTTCAAGAGCATTGGCAGACAGGGTAGCTTTTATAGACTACACTTCACGTGTAGAGAATTGGAAAGAGGCAAGAAAAAATAGCTTATTACTGCGGGGAATGACGTGAATTGCCTCTGGAGCGCCTCGACGCTTACTCATCTCTTATCGGTCAGCCTTGACAAAGCATCATCAAGCATTAGTATATCCGGATACAAGCTACCGCCAAGTCTCTTGGGGATTAATATAGCAATTCCTAGCGAGGATAGATTTAAGGACCGGAGATCTAAAGCTCATTGAACATCGTAATAATCTACTTCTGTCTTTCTTCCCCCACATGCGGGTTCCGAGACAAATTCATTTATTTCTTCAGCGTGACCATCACGTAAGGAATCTCCACATCCTCTTCAGTCTGGTCTTCCGCAGTCACCTCGAAGATAATGTTCTTCTGGTGTTCTGGGACTTCCTTCTTGCTGACATGCTCCACAAGCTTGCTCATTCTGCGTATTGTCAGTATTATTCAGCGAGGTAGAGGTTGGGAGACGTTTGAACTTACGGGAGCGGAAGGCGGTCCTTCACCTTTGAAGGAGGGTAGAAACTGGCATACAGCAAGCTCACACCAGAACTGACCATGGTAATATCCAGGCCCTTGCTAGCGAAGTGATCCAAAAATTCCTGGAGAGGGATGTCTCCCACCTCGAAGCGATCCCAGAGTCTGTCTATGGTGACCTCGCCTGACTTACCCTGGTAGGTACCCTTGGGGCTTCCAATAGGCTCACTGAACCCAAAAAATGGGAGAGCAAGGTTGATGAAACCATTCTTGTATTGCTCGATATCGTCCTTGCCGTCGACCACCTTGAACAGCTCCATAGCCACGAGACCAGTAACTAGCGCAGTAGCGGTGGCAATGGCAGGAATGATCTTTCCGGCAATAAACTTGGTTTTATGACGATCCGCCTGAGGAATTTCGTAGTTATCAGCACGCAAGTTACTTGCGGCGGCGATGAAATCGATATGGTGGTTGGTGTCGTCATCCTTTTCGAACTCTACAGGCTGCAGGCGGAAGCCAGCAAGTGAGTTGGCTGATGGCAGCGAGTCAACTAGACGCTGAATATCATCGCTATCATTGGAGCCACCAGCAGGCTGGGCGTTGGGATCAGGGTCATTGTCATCAGCCTGAATCTTCACACTTGAGCTTGGTGTGAATTCGGGAATAATCATGTCATCCACAACCTTCTGATAGTAGCTCTTATCCGTGACAGGATTCTTGATCCCGTAGTTGAAAGCATGCAAGTTCGCGCCAGCAATAACGAACCCGATGTGAGTAGGATTAGAGCTGTCGAACTTCAAAGGAGATGGAGCACGCTTGGGACCGGACCAGAAAGGCTGACCTGAAGATGTCTTCGAATCCTTGGGAAAGTTGTAGAGCAATTGTTGAATAGCATTGTTGTATTGGGACTCGAACTGTTGACGAGCCCATACAATACAGTCATCGAATGTGAGGGGCTTCTCGGTAACCAAGAAGTCACGTAGGTGCTCCAAAGTCTGCTTCTCGCTGCCGGCTTGCTTGAGAGTTGACTCGATGTAGTCAGGTTGGGAGAGGTACAGATTGACGGATTCAGGAGGTCCAACGAAGTAAGTCTGGAAGAGATCCCGAGCCCAGGCGATGGTGTGTTCAATGCGGTTGGGGAAACTCTTCAAAGTACACATGGGGAAGGACTTCTCAGGAGGGTCCTGGGAGCTGGAGTATGACTCAGTGATAAACGGCAGGATAACTTGGGTGTTACCCTTAGTACCCAGAGTACCACTCTCCAGAAGCGGCTTGCGGAAGAAAACGCAGCGTCGGTCAACATAGGTTCGAGCATCAACATTATCCAAAGCGTTGGTAACGCCGTCAAGTCCGTTCCAAAACTCTTCATTGAAGATATGCTCAGTGTCTGCACCAACACGGTCACGGAGGGTCACGATCTTGTCATTCAAGTCTGGGTTCATAGCTTGCACAGCGGCAGATGCACATTCACTCTTGAGACGGCCGACATCCTTGGAGCGAAAGAGGAACTGTCGGTTCAGATTGCTCTTCTCAATCTGGTCCATATCGGTGACGTAAATCTTACCCTTGGGACCGGTACCCAGACCGATCATAGCCCAATTCTTCAGGGTTTCACAGCCAATGGCGCCAGCTCCAACCAAAAACTGGGTGACGTTGGAAAGCTTCTCCTGATATTCCTTACCAAAGACGGCAATCTGACCATCATATCGAGAGCCAAGGGGCTTGCAACTCTCCTCAGAACGAGTGGTCGAGGTGGGCAGAGACTCAAGTGAATCGAAGTACATCCACTGGTGTACGGGACTGAACTTTCCAGAGACAGCCTTGAGAACTTCTTGGGCAGCAATACCTCCAAAGAAGGCGGCCAGCGCATTCAAATCACCGCGAGCCTGGTAACTTAGCTCCTTGATGATCTTCTCATCAAGTTCAACTTTCTCGTCACCCGCTCCTGCAAGTTCCCCTGCAAGGTTGAGGATTTCCTGAGCATCACTGTCATTGTGAGGACGGGGGTATTGGCCATCATGGGTCTCTGCAAACTTGTGAAGTGCTTGAACACCAATGTGCAGTTGCGCTGGTCTGTCAAACTTCGCAAAATCGGAAATCAAGAACTCGGGGTTCTTGATCTGCTCTGACAAGGGCTGGAAATCAATGAACTTGGGCATCTTAACTTGAGCGTAAATACCACCACCCTGGTAGGAGCCCAAACCAGACACATCGCCGATGCTGAAAGTATAGGGTCCCTTGACAGTGACCTTGCGCGGTGCGCTGTCATTAAGTCCATCCATGCCCTTGACTTCCGTGAAAGTCACAAAGTCGCCATCCTCCAGACCGTGCCGAGTTTCGTCGAGGGCAGACACCAGGCCATCCTCAGCAATGTCCGCGACGATTCCGTTTACAGGCTCCTCACCCGTAGGATCGCCGACAGTGAAGTTCTTACCGAAGTCATTGAAAATGTAACCAAAAAGACCGAATGTGTCTGCGACCGTCACATATATTCCGTTCTTGTGACAAAAGTCCGCGATCACCAACTGGTCTTTGAGTGGTGTAGAGGTCAGTACAATGGCCTGGTAACGCTTCAGCTGCTCCAAGTCATCCACAAGGTTTGTGCCCTCGTGAATTGTGACTGGGACATAAGAGTTAAGCTCAGAGACTCGGGGAGCGGTGACCTGAGCGCGAGGCTTGCCGACATCCTGTGGCTGAAGGAAGAATTGGGAGGAAAGATCGGAGATGGCGACGGGAGCGGAATCGTGGAGGGTGAGGGACTTGACACCGGCGAGAGCAATGTTCTTGGCTGAGAAGGATCATTAAGCGTTAGAAGGGCCTGCGAAGTTGCCAATATGTATCCAGTATACTTACCAATTTCCACACCAAGACCTTTCAGACCGACAACGAGCACATTCGAGGAGCCCATGCGCTTCATGGCCTCGTGGCCAAGCACATACCTAAGTACTGCTATTAGATTTGGGGTTTAACAAGCAACGTAGAATTGAGCAGATCTTACAATTGTCGACTGTATAGAGATTCATCAATTTCACCATGCTTGATCATCTCCACGGTCTCCTGTGGATTATCCACCTGCATCGCGACGTCCTAACGTAGGCTCGGGTTAGTGGCAATGCGGCATTTCCTTAACAAAGGGCTACATACCGTCATTGTCTTCTTCTGGGGCCGACCGGCGATATCGTCTTCAGGCGCGCTGCGCTTTCCCGGCTTAGCCGCTTCACGAACAGTAAGATCGGAAGGAATGGTGGGAAATGGAGGGTGAAAGTCTTGCTCGACAAGCAAGAGCTTCCACAATGTGGATAAAACAAGTAACAGATTTCTAGCGTACCAGATACCTAGCAACTCAAGCCAGATCGAATAGAGGAATCCAGTGGTGGGAGGAACAAAGAGCTGTACAGAAAAGAAAAAAATTTGGCGAAATTTGGTCAAGCAGAAGAAGTAGAGGTAAGGGAGAGAGAAGAAGGTGGAACAGTTGAAGCGGGACTATCGACGTAAGAGGGACCAGAGGGACCAGCTATCGGGATGACTAATGAATCCGCCCCGCGTCCAGAACGCGATTGATTTGATGATCTCGAGAATTACCTTCTTCTATGTATTCATAATATGCTACATTGACGCAATTTTCTTTGGAGATTCAGCAAACGATCAAAGGGTGAAAGCGTGAAAGCATGAAAGCATGAAAGCAGGAGCTTGAGGAATTGGAGAAGACAATAATGACATTGCTTTGACCTCATTGAGGTGACCTTGCACTTTCTTCACGCGCCCTACCCAAACTCAACCCTCTTTCACCCAACTCATGTGTCGACTTGAGCTTCTAGGGCGTGGTTTACTGTATTGGCAACATCATCAGTCCGGGAAGGATAGCCAACATTACGAGTACGTGGAATCCCAAAGAGCAATATGGCCCAAACTTTATCACTGGGATTGCTAATACCCTCTTAGATACCCCGAGTCAGTATGCTCCACGAAATCCTCCTCTCCCTCTCCGGTCAGCCGTCACCCCTCTTCGCATCTTTCGAAAAAGAGTCGAGCTCTCAAAATGATTTCCCCCTTTTATCTCCTCCGGAAAAAGCCCTCCTCGGATCAGTTGGGCATCTAAGTCAGCTTCATGCTCAACTACGCGAACGCACATCTCGAATATCCTCTTCTCATGCTTCCATTATATGCCGCTCCGTTTCAACGACCATAGTGACGGTTCATCTTGGAGAATTTCAAAAGAAGATACTAGAGGTTGAGAGAGCGATTCTCTCTGAAGACAGTTTATATGTCGGTGGTTACGGAATCGTCCCATTATCGACGATAGTGGGGGAATTCGCGCCATGGACTCGGCGCATGGAATGGTTATGGGAGGTGGTTCAATTTATCGACCCGGAAACCAAAGACACAGGGCGTTCTCGAGCCTGTACGGGTGCGGCACTCATTAATTACCTGCGATCCGAACTCCAGATAGGTTACGCAGACATTAAAAAAATGGGAGTACAACTTGTGACTGCGGCGGAGACAGCGTGGATGAAACAGCTATCGATGTGGTTATTATATGGGAATTTGCCGATGTATGGGAAAAGCGACTTCTTTATCCAAGAAGACTTTGATAGCGAGGAAGACGATACACAATTCCGCATGCATATGGACCTGCTTCCGAAATTCGTTGCCGAGCAAACAGCGGGATCGATTCTCTTCATTGGCAAGTCGCTGAACCACATTCGTTCTAAACGGAAGACTTCCGCGGGTATATCAACTGCGCCAGTCACACTATATCAGGAGCACATTGAGCAATTGGCTGGATTGAAATCTCCTATGTCATCCTCGAAGTTGACAACGGCGGTAGACTGGATTCGCCTTTCGTTGTCCCAGTCTACGTTATCAACATTGCTCCCAGTCCCAAAAATTTTGGAGATGCTTACATTATTGCACGACTTCATGCTACTCGGCCGAGGAGAGTTTGCCGTTGCTCTTGTGGCGCATGCAGACAAGCGCATCGATGATAGTCGGAGACGTGCCGCGGCGGCTAGAGGAATGGCTTTCGACGGTTTTCTTATCAAAGAGGGCGATGTTATGACATCTCTAGCGCACGCATGGGCAGAGCTGTTCTCGTTACAAAACGAAGAGGACCCGGCAGATGAGGAGTTAGAATTGGCCCGCGAGCTGTTGCGGTTATCAATCAGCGATCGAAAAAACAACCGTGCGATGACTCCGTCCCATGGCTCTAGCGCAGTGGCCCAGATTTCACGAGTCTCATTTGAAGACTTGTTATTCCCAACACCTACATACTTGACTGCACAAGTCCGCGCACCGCTTGATCTCTTTCTTTCCAGTTCTGATATTTCTACCTATTCTAAGATCCACTCTTATTTACTTGGCATTCGCCGGGCACAAATGCGACTTGGGGATTTGTGGAAACGAACTTCATTACGAAGAAACCATCCTACTCCCTGGGGACCACCACGTAGCAACAAGCCCTTCGGTCAGAGCAGGCTAAAAGCGAGCCGGGAGAGAGACAATGAACGCACTAGACAGATGCGGCCCATATGGGCTACTGCGAGCGCCTGTCTCTTTGTCCTATCGGAAGTTGGTGGTTTCTTCCAGGGAGAAGTTGTCCACGAGTCTTGGCAACATCTCCGCGAATGGATTCAAGGAAGTCCATCGTCCAGGACAACACCATTCTCTAGCTCTCGACCAGGGACAGCGACTTCTGCAAAGTCTCAAAGACAATCTCGGATCCCCTCACCCGACCGCATGTCAAGCCGACCGACTTCCCAGGCGGGGCCGACTATTGGGCGCAACGATCCCGAGGCATTGACCACTGCCCATCGTCGCCACCTGTCTGTGCTGGTTCAGTCTTTATTCTTGACGGACGTTCCTTTCACTAGCGCATTGCGAGCGCTGCTCACAAGCGTAGATCGTTTTGTCGCTTTAGTGATACGATTGGAGACGATCCAACGCAATATGGATTTAGAGACCGATGAAGGAGTGGTAGATGCACTAGTCGACTATGCTCACGAAGAAAGAGAAATATGGCATCAACTGCGAGACACGCATGACGATGTGAAGAGCGGCATGCACGACCTCGTTGCAAGCTTGCGTGATATCGATGACCACCGCTCTGGAGAGGGGCTAGGTCTTACAACAAAGCCTGTCTACGGTCTCGGTGGGCGGGCAAATCAGCCACATTCAGGTACAGGCCCCGGGGGCCACTATGTACCGCGTCAACCAGCTGGAGTGGACCGACTTTTGATGAAGCTGGACTTTGGGAGTCTACGCAGTGTTGGCGGCGTACCAGAGTAGCACAGATAAATGGCTGTTTGCTTAGAGCAAGGCGTTCACTATTCACACTATATTTAGATAATGATATCCTCCTTGGCCTTGATCTACCTAAACATTAAGAATTTTATCGAGATCGTAAAGAGCTGGCATAATAAGGACTATATTTCGGGATTCTGTGAATAGAATGCCTTGAGTGAAGCCTAGGAAGTACCGTAATGTGGGTTATAATTGGATTTGGCGCGGATTTGGCGTTTGACTGGAGAATAAGAAAAAGAAAGACTATACCTGAGCATGAGTCTATTGCTTACCAGGCACAATGACCAATATAATGGATTTATGGCAATTGAGTTCAGTGAGTTATGTGGCATTTGGGTATTCACCGACTGCACGATATGCGGTCATGTGTACATTCAACAAGGCCCAGGCGAATCAAAAATAGTAAGATAAAACAATAAACTTGAAGGATAAAAAGGTCCAAAATCTGAAATCAGAAATCAGAAATCTGACATTTCCGGAATCTCCAAACCGCATATCCCGAGTCCCGGAAACCTCAATCCAGCATAGGACCTTACATGTAACGACACAACAAGCCCCTTATCGCGCCAGTTGTTCACCTGACACAGTGCAAGCCATTCAAGACGTCCCAGACCATCGCCGATTCATTGATCCTTGTCATTTATGAGGAGGCGTTCGCGAAAGGAGAAAAGCTTACGCTCGCTGGGTACTTCCCTATGCATGGATAACATGAAACACATTCCAAAGGAATATACATGCACCTAGTGCGGAAATATTGGTTGGCAGTTGATTTTCGATCAGATCGACGGAAGTGGAACCACGCCTGCGGCAGTGGCATCGATAGTGGAGGAGAGTGGAGCTCAAGTGGAGCTTGGGCAACCTCTTGAGTGCCTGTTCTGTATAGGGATTTTAGATGTGCTTCACCGGGAGGCCACGGAAGAGTTGTCGGACTCTGATATTGGTGGCCAGGGAATTACACACTGTTCCCCATAACCCGGAGACTCAATTCTAGGGACGATATGGGGATCCTGGGGGATCCAGACGCAGATGGGTAGACGGGTGACCTCTTTACCCATGATCGAGGATCCTCCATCAGATCCATTCCCAGCTTAAATTTCCCCTAGCCATGCGAGCCAATCCCCAGTAATCATTCTTAGGATAAAAAATCTAAAAGTTTAAAAGTGATGATGATTGTAAATTCAAGATTCAATTCAGAAATGCAGCGGTGTGCGAACGGGATAGCATATGGGATTGCCCGATTTAGACATCCCGAGATCCCTACTGCAGGGGCGTTTATCCACTTCGCCAAAAATAAATATCAAGATACAAATTTTACGGGGGAAGAAGTGGATCAGGGTATCAACTGACCTGGTCCGGAGCCTGGGATCCTTCTGAGTTTTTGTGGTACCAAGTCGGTTGAACACGAAGTACAGCTATTGATTGAGGCCAGCTTGTAGGAGGCGGAAATACAGTACAAACCAACATCGATATGATTTACCTTGGATGCTTTTCATTTCACTTCTTGAGTCGTAGAAAGATAAAACAGTTGGTTTATTCACTCCGTATCATGCATTGTATCTGCACGAGGGATCTAGAATTCGAAGTAGTGGAGAGTTATGGTGAATCAATCCGGTCGAGAATCCCGAACATGCTGTTGGTGGGTTGGAAAAGCGATCCGGGCCCGAAAGTTCGGGAGTAAGGACAATCTCCATGCATACTTCGCGGAACCCGTTAGCGCCATCCCAGTTGGTCTTCGATTTGACCGTTTCCCTCGGTTCGTGTGGCAAGCGCATCCGTGGATGCATAGATCTTTTGAGTCATGGTGAAAACAGATTAATCCAGTTTTTCTTGATCACGCGGTCTTTATTTTTCTACTTACTTCCTTCATCGAGCAAGCAGATCTAAATTTGTTGAGATCGTCGTCTTTGGTTTCGGGAAACTTTGCTAGGAAGTACCGCTGTTCCTCCCCCATGTAAACCTTCCTTGACTGGCATTCTTGGTGGAATAAGCGTTTCTACCATTGATTGAAAAGAAAATTGGTTCCAAAAAGTTCTTTGTTTCTTGTTTTATTATTATTGATACTTCCTTCCCCTCTGCTTAGGCGTTTGGTGATATTTTGGCGGTTATACGATTTCGCATTCTCTACATAATACACACATAATGTCTTTCTCATTGAGCCGGGTCTTGATCCCGACACGCACTAGCTTTGCCGGTGCTTCATTGATTGCCCCGAAGGTGTTGACATCGTCTTTTACTCGTCTCTACTCAAGCACCAAGAGTGTCTTCAATCCCCACGACATCCACAGGGTTTCACACAACCCTGAACACATACAGAGCAAATTGCCCTCGAAGAAGGATCTCCGCAATGCAAAGCGGTTTCGCGAATTTGACATGGAGGGCCGTGTCTACGCCATTACCGGCGGTGCGCGCGGGCTAGGTCTATCAATGGCCGAGGCTCTAATTGAAGCTGGCGCTAAGGGTGAGAAATCAACAATTCACAAAGTAAAGTCTCAATTGACGAAATCCTTTGCTGACTTTAATTTCACAGTTTACTGTCTAGATCGTCTTGAGCAACCTGGGGCAGACTTCCTTGCCGCCAAAGACCAAGCCCAGAATGAGTACGGCGGTTTACTAGAGTACATTCAGATCGATGTCCGCAACCATAAGGAGGTAGAGAACACATTCGCCATGATCGGTGCTCAACACGAGCGTCTAGATGGCCTCATCGCGGCTGCAGGAATCAACCATCTCCAAGCTGCCCTAGACTACGACCGCGCCGCCCTCGAAGATGTAATGTCCATCAACTACAACGGTGTTTTTAACTCTGCCACTGCCGCCGCCCGCCAGATGTTCAACTATCAGCAGAAGGGCTCGATCCTGCTCGTCGCCTCCATGAGTGGGCTAATCGCAAACAAGGGAATGACTTCCCCAGTCTATAACTCGTCCAAGGCAGCTGTTATTCAGCTTTCGCGGTCTCTTGCTATGGAATGGGGACGTCACGGAATTCGAGTAAATTCCCTTTGCCCTGGCCATATCATTACGCCTATGGTTGAGGGTGTCTTCCAGCAGAACCCTGCCGCTCGCGCGACCTGGGAAGCGGAGAACATGCTTGGTCGTCTTGCGCTTCCAGAAGAGTTCCGGGGATGTGCCCTGTTTGCTCTGTCTGATGCCTCTAGCTTCATGACTGGTAGCACTATATTGATTGATGGTGGACATACCGCCTGGTGAACGCCTTCTACGACTGTTATGGATATTTCTAATTTCCTATCTCATTGGAATCCACTTGTATCGAACATAGAGATGGATCTTGGCGTTCACCGGGCATTTCTTTCTAGGGAGAATTGCACCCACGAGAATAGGCAGCGTTGAAGTGAGTTTAATTTGACACTTGGAATATAGTGCTTCTTTTATCCGTATTGGAAAAATCTTAGTTTTTGTGTTCGTTCGGTTGCACAGTTGTTTTGAACTTGGAATAAGACTACTGGGTAGCCTTTTTATCCCATTCTGCATGACAAAAGCTCACGAATTTTGTCAAAATTTCCTATAGGGTTAATTATTGCACAGTAAAAATGACAAGAATCCTCATTTAAAAATTGGCAAAACACATCTCGACTCATAATCAAAATGTATTATCTGAAATCTGCAGTGTCGCGATAGAATCATGCAGAAGCCGAGCATATACGATCCGGCCATGGAGTGGAAGACATAAAAAAAGGCAAATGAAGAAATCCGTTATTTTTCCAAATATTCTAAATTATATTTTGAATTATAATACTTACTAGTTCATGAAAAAAGGATTATTCCATCTCGAAGATATGGATTTAGTAGGGTCAGTGTCAATTACAATCATCTCCTAGTGCAGGGCTTCATAGAAACCATTCAAAGCTTAAATTATGTCTATTCCTATGATTTTGGCTAATCTGTATATTATTTTGAAGAAAGAAAAAGAAAGAAACCGGTACTAAATAAAGACAACATCGCATAAGACAGACATATTATATATGCATAAAGGCTGATTATTTAGCCTCCAAATCTGCTGAAAATGATTCAAGTTGTGGTTTGGGTGGCTTGATGCTCTTCCACCCCATTCCAAGAGAAAGGAGGAATGCAACAGCGCCAACACTTGTAGCGACGTAGAAAGTTTTCGTCAGAGCATAGTTATACGCTTCCAATGCATCTGAGAGCCGTTCTGGTGAAACTGCCTTCCTCACATCTGCAGAGCCTGCACTGAGAATAGCTTCTACTTCTTTACCATCAAAGCCCAAATCACTCAATCGAGCGACAATTTTGTTTTGGAAAATTGACTCCGCAATAGCCAGGTTTACGGCAGCGCCTAGAAACTGGAAGCACTGAAGTAGAGAGGTGCCAACAGGAATATCAGCGGGCTTGAGGTTTGTCTGCGTTGCGACATAAGGCATTGAGAGAGTCATGCCCACGCCAAGTCCTTGAATAACCTGGAATGGAATCCAGAGCTGATGGTTGGTAGTAGTAGAGAAAGTAGAGAAAAGACCAGTTGCTATGCTCATTAGGGCTGTTCCGAGGAGAACGTAAGGATTTGGGTATCCGAGATATTTGAGCGAGGCACCCGTGAGGGTGGCAGAGAGAACATCTGATATTGCCAGTGGAAGGTACATAACTCCTGATTTGGTAGGCGAGGCGCCCTTAATGACCTGAAACCATTCTGGGAGATAGTAAATCGATATATAGACGGCTCCCATGGCGAAGAACTCCGTGAAACAAGCGAAAAATATTGTTCGATCTGTAATCAAACGGGGTGGAATCATGGCCTTCTCTCCTAGGTAGATTTGCCACAAAGCGAAGACAACACCAAGCCCTGCACTTCCAAGAAAGAGCCCAATGACAAGAGCACTTTTCCACGCGTATGTAGTGCCTCCCCATTGGAGAGCCAAGAGTATCATGATAATGGAAGGCGCAAACATAAAGGCACCTGGGATATCGAGGCCTTTCAATCTTCCCACGGCTGAAGGGGATTTTATAGTATCGCGTGCAGGTGGCTTGAAGAAGAAGACTAGCGTGATGATGGTGACAGCACCCAAAGGTAAGTTGATCCAGAAACACCACCTCCATGTTGCATGTTGTGTGAAAGCACCACCAAGCAATGGGCCAATAATTGTCGCAACACCAAAAGTTGACTGGAGGATTCCAACATAGACCGGTCGTTTTTCGAGGGGTAAAGAGACCGCAACTATACAAAAGGCTCCTGTGAAGCATCCTGCAGCGCCAGCTCCGGCTATAGCCCGACCAATAATTAGCATTGGACTATTGATAGCAAGAGCACATAGCAAAGAACCCAGCTCAAAAACAGCTAGACATGCGAGAAATACCCCCTAACACTAGTTAGTTCGGATTCTTCAAGGCGAGAACTCTGGGCGGTCTTACTTTCATAGGAAAACTTCCAAACAACTTGCCAGCAATCGGCTGCAAAGCACACATGGCGAATGAATATGCGCTTCCATACCAGGCAATATCACCAGTACTGTTGAATTGCGATGTGATGACTGGGATGGCCGTGGAAATGATAGAGGAATCCAATGACATGAGGAATATGGCGAGCCCGAGTCCAATGATAATTAGAGCCAATGGCAGGCCTTTCAACTCATAATTCGCCGTATCATCTCCTGTTTTTTCCACTTGAGCATCGCTACACAACTTGGAATTTTTGTCAGGGAGCGATGTATACACTCTGTTTTCGTCCGCCATGTCTTGCCAATTTGCATTGACTGATGAGAAGTGATGATCAACCATAATAGCTTGGCGACTCGCAGTTTCTTTTAAACACATCCATAAGATACAACTCTACATGAAGCATAATGAATCATGTTTGATCAGATTTTCTTTAATTAAACTGTCCATAATGCAGCATCGAGGAATGCTCAGTGTCGCAATATCCATGCACATAGCCTCTACGCTATTCCGTATTTGGATTAGCACCAAATGACTCATGACGAGTCACCGTTGACAGCAAGAGAAGCTTAGTACTGTAGGTCTTTTTTAGTATTATATTTGTATTGTGAGATTAGGATCAATTAAAACTGGCTATATACATATTTTTAATTATAAAGACATGGATTCAGGTTATTTTGAATTGCCCTGCTTGGAGATACATTTTTCGGCTTGGAGGCACATGTTTGGTATACTAGGTGATTAACCTTGGAAAATTCCAACGTGTACTGATAATCTCTTAATTCTTTCCTTCCTCTTCCAACAGCCTCTCCCTAGTCTTCATCAGCGCCTGACCTAACAAATTTAATCCCCATTTACCACGATTCGCCTCTGCATTTGCTGCTTCAAACCCCACGCCCCAAATCCGATCTCGAGGACTAGCCTCCACCAACTCACGATCGCCAGTAGCAAGCAGATTCTCTTTGAGATAATCATTTTGTGAGAATTTGAGATAACTTCCCTCGGCAACAATCATGAATCGATTCGCCTTCCACTTTTTGTCTGCGAAGTTGGGGATCTTTCGACCTAGGTTACGAATCTCCCTCGGATGTATCTTCCAGCCTTGCTGGATCTCTTGGCTAATTCGATGGTCTGGCCCAGCAAATAGGAGAGCTTTGCGATGCATCATATATCTGTATAATTAGACTAAATTAGTATGTTTCTTCTGATATGGTTGGAATTGTAGCTTTCTTACTGCTCTGCATTGGCATAGTTGAATGTCTCGCCGCCGTGTTCCCATGAAAATGAAGATGGCCACCATTGTCCTAAATATCCGGTCTCGCCTTCTGGCTTCCAGAAATAGACCGGATTACTGGTGTCTGGTGATGTGGACATTGTTTCAGTGACCTCAGGCTTGATGTACGACGCCGTGAGAAGATGGTGGAATATAGATTTGAAGTAAAGAACGGGTTGACAATCTGCGGGAGTAAGCTTGGCTTGAAAGCTTTATTTGTATCTACTGACGTATTGGCTCGTGAGTCATATCTATCGAATAAAAAGAGCCTCCAGTGATTCAAGCGGTAATCTGCTCGTATTGTTGCGGGGATGTGAATTTCGGGATCCTTAAATGGAACTCAGCCTCAACTCGTATCCACAACAAACTAAATCTGTGAGGCTTAGATCTTAACTGTATGCCAAGATGGCACTAGTGTCGTAGAAAAGAATACCGACAAAAGAAAATGATGAAAGAACCAGTTCTTTTCTTCGGTTCCATAATTGCACATGCTAAAAAGCCCGGAAGTTAAAATGCAAATGCAAGAACCTTGACTATGAGCAGCCAATCAACCAAAGATTATTGCAGAAGCCTCCCGCAATAAGTCATGTTTTTGATCAAGAGCTGTATAGATAAAAAAAAGTGTATGTCCATCCTATCAAATGATGTATACAAGTTTTTGATCCCCAGTATGACCTTCTAAATCTTCTCTACGCCCACCACCCATAAGCTCGTCTCTTTCCTCTCCATCTCCATCTCCATCTCCATCTGCACTACCACCAAGATGCCCAGCATCAAACAAAGCATCTCCATCACCAGCAGCGCGATTGGCTCTCTGCAATAGTATTCTCAGAGCAAAAGCCAGGATAGCAACCAGTACCATAAAGAATGAACAACTCGCCATACCACGTACATACCATGGCCCGTCACTCTCAGGATATAATCTCGTCCCTAAAAGCGGTCCACACTGCCCAATGATATTTAGGATAACAATGCTGGCGCCTTTACCCTCCTTCTCTACCCGGTTGTCCATCGACCATGTGACGATCAGTGTGATAGCTGAAAAGAAGCCTGATATGGCAGGGTAGACGCAGATGTAACGGATGAATGTATGCAAGCTTGGCGAAAGGTGGTCATGGAAGTACCCTGTTGCTGCGATGGCCAAGTATGCAGCGGAGGAAGTAAGGGCGTGAGCTATTAGGTATGGGCTGCGGCTGCGGCTGCGATCGGATACCCATGCTGTGATTAGAACGACAACGAAGGCGACGAGGTATGGTGGGGCGGAGAGGGCTTGGGCTTGAAGAGAAGAGAAACCCATGCTATATAAGGTGGTTAGGGTCGACCAATTTCTGGATTAGAACTAAAGTGCAGGGGGACTTACTCTTTGATGATAGTTGGGAGAAAGACTGGCATCGAGCTGAATGCAACATTGCAGCTGAAATACATAACCTGGAATGAAGAGCATGAGTTAGAAATGCCCGTTGTATGCAGCAACGCATAGTCCATCAGATAGCTTATTCACTTACAGCTGCCATGTACGCTTTGGGGTCAGACGCTGTCTTAACAATCTCCCTCCAGTTGAAACCTTTCTCCTGGGACTGGTCGTGGTTTGACCTGTTCGTCTGCTCGAGCCTCTTCCGAGCCACGACCCGTTGTCGGCGGGTAAGGAATCGCGCACGACCAGGAGAGTCGGGGATAAGGACCCAGGCAAAAACAGCAACGATCACACTCGGGAAACCTTCAACCAAGAAGAGGGTCCGCCATGGGGAAATCGGGCCGTTGCTACTGAGCTTAACGATTACCCAGGCGAGACTGCTAGCAAAGGTTGTCGCTAGTGGAGCCGCTGAAATGAAAAGCCCGTTTCTGAAAGCAAGCTCGTGGCGCTGGTAGAATAATGATAGATAAAATGGTACTCCTGGGCCAAATGCTGCTTCTGTGATACCTAGTAAGACACGGAGGACAACCAGTCCCTCGAAGGAAGTTGCAAGACACTGGAATGATGCTACCAGGCCCCATCCACAGACACAGATTGAAATGTAGATATGCGGCGGCACAACGCGATACATCAACGTCATCCACTCAAAAAGAATGTATGTAATATAGAACGATGTAAGTAGCCATTCATATTGTGAAGATGAAAGGTTTAGATCCTCTTCCAGCCCGGCGATCTTGGCATTCCCGATATCTGGATCGATAATTAGTATATAAAGCATGGGTATATTGGGGAAAAATATGTCGCATGAAATGTAGGAAGGAAATGGAAACATACTCGACCGGTCCAAAAAAGCCAGTAAATACAACAACGCGAGAAAAGGGACGAGTCTCCTATCAAAGATCCTGACAACCTCCTTCTCTTCCTCGGCCGTGTATTTCGGTCCCTTTTTCGACCTGAAACCCGACCCAGACGCCTTTCCACGCTTTATCCGCTGATCATCGCCCGATTCAAGCTCATTTTCATCCTCGATATCTGAAATGGGTCCCTCAACAGAGTTCCCTGAGTCTCCAAAGTCGGTCTGTACACGCAAAGTCCCGCCAATCGAGTATTTAGAGGCGTGTTTCTTATGACTGGAGGTCGAATAGTCGTCTTCTTCGGAGCCATTGGAGACAGGTGTGTATCGGGGGTTCGAGGACGAGCCGGACTCGGAGGATGCGTTCCCCGCAGCGGACAAGGATGGGGGGAGATAAACAGTCATGGCGACCACGGTGGCGGGTTGGCATTCGACAAAGCTCACTGGGCCTTCTGGTGTGATACCAGCTCCATTTGAGTTAGGGGCTTGGTATGCGCTTATGCCGAAATGCCTCTACTAGGAGCTTGCAGGTGATCTGATTCTTGAGATTTGGGATGATTAGGTAAGGGGGCTTGCACGTGGATAACGATAGGGGTTCGCGATTCGGATAAAATATGAGCCCTGCCGAACTATATCACAGAGGCATACAGCACAGACAGAAACTATTAATGTTGGTGAATATTTTAACTTGTTTTTAAAAATTAGCTGCAAGATTCTCTTGATGAATATCTTGAAAGATGCAAGATATTTCGATGAACATGTCATGATACAATCGTACAGGTCCCATAATCTTTTCCCTTGCGTTTTTGCTGTCTTGTTATTATTTGGTCATCTCTTTCACTTTCTCACTTGGAAATAATCCAACTCCCCAGAAATTCCTTGTAGTCTGAGAATCACTCTTGAACATGGAAAACAAACAAAAACGGATCTCAGTTTGGGCGGTAGGAATCGTATTTCTCCGAGCGGTCCCGTCTGCTTCGTCCCCCGTGAGTAGTCATTCTGCGTTTAGGAGAACGGTGACCGTAGTAAGCGTCACGATCATTAGCATCGTTGGAGTATTCCGGCTTGATATGTTCCATCTGCTGGATACGATCACCACGTCTAGTACGACTGTCATATCTGATATGATGTCCGTAACTGTTATGATGTCCATTTCTGAAACGATTCTCATCCCTGGGAAGGTTCTCGTCTCTGGGAAGGTTCTCGTCTCTGGGCAGGTTCTCGTCTCTGGGCAGGTTCTCGTCTCTGGGCAGGCTCTCGTCCTGGTTGCGATTCTCATCTTTGAATCGGCTCTCATTCTGGAAACGGTAATCATCTCTAACACGGTTATTTCCTCTAACACGGCTCCGTTCTCTGGAACGATGCCGCTCATCAAAGACACGTTTGCGACCCCCATTAAGCCACTCTGCATGTTCCTTGCTGAAGTCCCGGACCTTTCTAATCTCCTCATACAGCTCAGTGTGTGGCAACCCCTTCTCATCTGCAACACGAATGAGGTTCTCAGCGGTATCACGTAAGAAACGGACGTTGGAGAACTTGTCAGTCGATTTATCCGAGATACCTGACTTGTTGGCGTCTGCAATGTAGTAATCCACAAGAGCCTGGTGGTAGACTTTGTTCAGCTTGACCAGCGGACTTTCTTGCTCGTAAGACCCTCTCGCATTTTGAGATTCGATGGTGTTCGTGTTGGATTGGCGGGGTGAAGATCTTGGTTCATTGCCGTTTGCAGGAGAGAAACCATCTGTAGTGGTAGAGGATGAACCAAGCTGGTCACTTTGAGACCAAGAATAGGAACCAGACATCACATGAGCCACGCTATTTGGAGGGGTCTCGATGGCTGTTGCATTGTCAGCGCACAGGAGCGTGTTGAGTGATTTGTCCCTTGAGACTCACCATCATCCCAAGCCTTTCCGGCTGCTAAACTGGCATTGAGTATCTTGAGTCTCTCGGCGTAATTGGCCATCTTCATTCCAGGTAAGTACTCGATGATGTACAGACTGAACAGCTCTAGGTTATCGAAGGAATCATTCTTTAGGTAGAGAGCAATGAGGAGTGAGTCGGGATAAATGGCATCGGGCTCAGTACGGTCATTAGATAGAGTCACTTGGCGTTGGATCATGTTCATCAGTGTCTTTTGGGAAGCTGGGTCCTTCAAGAGCTCACGGATTGAGTTGGTGGGACCAAATTGCACACTGGCATCAAGGAAGAATTCCTCGGTCGTATTTTTCCTCGACATTTGCTCACGTTCAATACGCTCTTCACTCAAGGGGGTAGAGCCGTCAGGGGTTGCCATGCTTTATGGTCGCGATATTTTGATAGAGGTGGTCTTTGGGGGAGCGCTGAGAGAGACGCAGCTCAGGCAATGGGAGCCGGGACGCGTGTGTTGGGATGTGGTTCTATCGTGGCTTGGTAAGATCGCCGAGGGTGAGGTCGCCAATATGATTAGTAGAAGAAGCCGACAGCAATGTATGAGTTAGGGACACAAAGAGAAAATCGTATTGGAGAGGGGAAGGGTTGTGGATGGAGCAAGAGTTGAGTTTTGGGTTTGGAGAAGTGAAGTGAGAGCTCGAAAGGAGCCTCAATACAGCAGGAGGGTTATCGGTTCAACTGTGGAGGAATCGCTCCCAGAATTCACCAACAGGCAGGCCCTGTAGCGCTACATGAGCACGTTTCATTTAGACGCGTCTGCAAACACCAAATAGAACTCCTGTTAAAACCTTTGGTCCCAACATGTTTTGCGGGGAATATTCAAGTTCAAATAGGAAGATCCAATAATTTTTAAACCACTTTCCAAGGTTTCCAATATTGTTCCAGGGTTAACTTAGTTAGTAAACGATGTGTATGTCGTATGGACCCAAGGGTATTGTTTCTGAATGTGAGATACAAATTCCTCGTATTGGATAATTTAGCAATGATAGATTATTAACTGTATATACGGTCTGATAGGATATCGTTTATACCCCGCTGTCTTCAGTTTCTTTCATCCCAAAGTCTGTTGATCTCATCAATCAAGACCTGAGGCTTACTACCTTCGCCGTCCTGGACACAATTCTTCCAACCACCGTCATGAACACACCAGACAGCATCGTCCACACGCACAGTACAGCTAGTATGCACACCAAGTTCTTCGCCACGTAGAGCATTCTCTCGTAGAAGAGCTATACCACTCAATGGGGGATATGACCCAGAGGAGCCACCATCAGGATCGTCACTCTGTTGACTAGCACATCGATTCAAAGCGTCAAAGTCGATTCCATGCTCCAGTGCACAATGTATAACAAGGTCGCGGTCTGGAATCAGAGGGTAATCATCTATAAGACAGTTCGCAAATCCCAATGAACGAATGATCGGTGTTCGGGGGTATGTACTGGGGAGGAGCGATTCATTTTCTGTTGGAGGGAAAGGCAAGTTGGCAGCGCAGAGCATGAGCATATTGCCGATACATTCAGTAGGTCCATGCATACACTCGATATCGGAGGACTCTTTCGATACGCTATTCATGACATGGAGGTGTTAGATTAGTCAAGTTCTCAGCCGAGGATCAAGATTTGTTCAGTATTTCTACTCACGTCGCAATAAAAGACAGTTGGAAGTCAACCTTGTCACTGATTTTCTCCATAGCGGGAAGAACCAACTTGTGCAAGCAGGCCTGGGCATCTGGACACTTGCTCATGATATGGGCTTCGAGTGGAACCTTCGTTTGCTCATCGAAGGCGTTCATATTGAACTGTGCACCGTTTTCGTATATTTGGGTATATGTCTCCTCTGTATCTTCCATCGCGAGTTCAGTATCATGTTGGCCATGGCTGCAGGGGCTTGATCTCCATTCTGTTGTTGGTAGAATGCGAATCACGTAATAATAACAGCCCAGGAAACAAAAAACAAGAAAGAGACGTCGCAAGAAAGTTGGTGTATCGGGGCGCTCTCGTCGAGTTGTGGATTCTGATTCTTTGGGAGGTATCTGGGTCTCCCCAGTGTGGATAGGTAATTTCTCCATGTTGTATGGGACTAGGGATGAGGAGCTCAAACTGACGTCGATGTTGATCCTGATAAGGGGAACCCGCTGATTTCTGAGTGGAGTCGATTCTGAGGCACGGGACCCATTACGTAAGATCTTCAATGGAGTCAACTGGTACTTACTAGAGGTCGTTGACCATTTCAATCTATTCAAGATGAGCGTGATCTGGATTTTGTTTGTAGGTAATACTAGTATTGTAGAGCTGCAGAGGTATTATCTCTGGTGGAAAGTATTTATGATTATTTGTATGTTGTTCTCATTGCTGGGAGTTCGCATACCACATGCATGATTTCCCTACTGCCTCTGCCCCACAGATATTTCGAGTCATTCGACCAACGTTTTTTTTTCAAATACTACCTTCATAGTGATATTTCCATTGAGAAAATCCGATTTCAAACCAGGCCAAGGGAAATTCGAGGCTCTTTGAATACTACAGTACGTACGTCAAGTTAAGGTATAGTATAGTATATGTGTGCCTACAATAGTGTCCGCATGGGCATATAATAGTAGTAGAATTTATTTCTTTATGCTCCGAGTCATCTATACTACATTCAAATATTCAATGTTTTCGCGGGTATTAGCTTTGGTCAGCGTCCAATTTCATCATGACACATAAATTCAAGCAAATGAGACTGAATCGTGCTGGGACATAGCTTGTGGGTCTAGCGAGTCATAAGTTGAATATGATATTGAGTAATGAAGATGTCCATTTCGGCACAAGTTGCTACACAATTCTTTGGCCATCCATATACATCTGCCCAGGTGCGTTCCGGACATCTTCCGTAGAGACTTAGGTATGAAAATGTCCAATGTCTCCACATTCGCCTTTTCTTTATAAAGGGAGCTAAGAAGAGAGTACGTCATGTTAGTTTAGGGCGATGCGGTGAAGTCTGAAACATCGCAACGAACCCAAAAGCGGCTTAGACTAGGTTATACGATTTGATCTTCGGATCAGTCTCCAGATACAGTCAAGTGCCTAGTATGCGTAAGGCAGCCTAAAGGAAGCTAAAAGACGGCTAGATTCGATCCATTTAGACCAAGTCTAATGCGGTTTTTCTTCCCGATACCCTATCAGATACACTATAAATGGACAACCATGACACGGTAGGCAGGATTGTACTCCACCGTTTCATCGCTAGTGTTTCTGTCGTGTGTGATCCAGCATGCAGTTATGATGCAATCTGAGAATGGAACTACTAAAGACCGGATTAAATACTTTTGATGCTACATAAATACTGGATAATAATGAACTTGTGCGGTGACCAGGGCTATCAAGCCATGCAAGCACGCGACTCCTATGATTTCCTCATACGGACTGCGCTAAGAGGAAAGAAAAGAAGTAAAACCGAACAAGGCTCCTCCTACGCGGCAAAAAGGGCTTGATTCGGGAGTCCAATACTCTAAATGTGCCCCCAGCTCCGATCTCGGAGACGCATCAGCCGGGCGTCAATGCCCAAGTTGTGTATTTGCTTTTCCTTTTTAAAGTTCAGGCGTGAAGGGTATCAAGGTTTTTGATCCATGGGATCGCTCAAATTACTAACCTGTACCTAAGTTTCCGCCCCTAGGTTCATGCTGACAGCCCGGGGCTTGAGTTCAGGGACAATGTATGTGCGGCTCTCTAGTTATTGATGTATGCACGAATACAAAGGCGGCCCTTCCGCTCGCATTGATGACCAGGAGCAAGTCATCTGTTCCAAAGAAGTTCCGCCCCATGTTTCAAACTGAGGCGGGACCGCATCATTGGAAGGGTAGACATCTAGTGGCTGAGTCTGAGCGATCGAGGCCCTAGAACGGTACATAGTGGATTTTACCCTGTCGACCACGTTGTTTGCCAACACGGTTATTTCCGAGGCGGAGACCATTTTGCGTAAAATGACGAGTATAGAAAGATCTTATAGGGCATCGGCGATTGACGATAATCAGCTTGCTACTTTACCTAGCCTGGCACTTTTTTTCTTTTTTCTTTTACTGTGATTCGGCCCCACTATTGTTCTCGCATGGCGTTGGGTTGTTCGTTTTTTTTTCTTGGCCGTGCGTTTCCCCAAATTCCCCGAGGCTCGTGTACTTCGTCTATTTGGGAGCCAAGAATCACGGAGTTATTGCGAAAGAAACAAAGATGTGCAAAAATGGGGAAGGGCAAAAGGTATGGGGAGTTGTAGCCGAGATCTCTAACCGAGCTGGAGAAAGCCCACCTGTAGAGGCGTCAGATGGCCAGTTAGTAGGGTTACATAGTTCCCGTTTATAGCACAAGGGGGGGTTGTATGTGGGCTGGAAGCAGAAGCGGAACATTCGAACATTTCCGACCGCGATCGTCATCTAGTTTCCGACTTGTAAGTTGTTGGGCGTAAAGCGATTCTGCTTCCTGCGAGTCGATCACTAACGATGGGGAATGAATGGAGGGGGTAACGGACAGGACTTATAGAGTTTCAACCGCCAGCGTCGAGTAAGATCCAATCGACGATAACTACCGGAGTTGTCCACGCCCCCGAAAAAAGAACAGCGTCGCATCGCCTCGTGTCCTCCGATGGTCGCATCTCCAATAGCTTGCCTCATCAATAAATCATAGTATTTTCCTTTTTCTTTTTCTTCTTTTCCCCTCATTTATATCAACCTTGGAAGCCCGTTTCGCTCCCGGGTTTTTGAGGAGGGATCATTCTTGTACTATCTGGATGTGCCTTTATACATACAAGAACGAATCCATCTATTGATATTACCACGCAGGGACCCCATGCTTTGGAGGCTCCACTTCTCGTTGATTTCTCGGCAAAACAGATCCCATCCGAACCATAAAATCCTGATCTGATTTTATTTTATTTTTCTATTTTTTCTTCTCTCGAATTAAGAAGAAACGATAAGTGTGGATAGTCAAGGGGGTGGGAGTATAATATAGTTGTCTGCCTCAGGCATACACGAGGGATAGTTACGATCTCCATATATATAAGGTAGGCTCATCTCCCCCTGGTAGATCCCTGGTCGCCAAAAGGGCACAACAACAACAAAATCTTCTGTTTTTTTTTCTTCTTCTATTTTCTTCTTATATAAGAAAAAAGAATTATTATATTAATATATATACCCACTCTTTCCCCCCTTCCCTTTGTTCTTTATCGCACATACCAAGATCCCCTTCTGAGTACGTAAAACATGACAGCTGAAGATCATAGTTTCCCGTTTACTGGCATGATCGTCATGACCTGTTTTTTTCCCTCATCCCTCCCCGCAGTACCAAAACCTTTCTCCCCAGCAGCTGCAGACCGCGTCACCACAATGCGCTCTTAACCCTTGGTTATCTTACTAACAGTCCTGACTAGTTGAGCCTTATTTTTTAGCCTCCCCCAAGCCCCGTTGCTCGAGACCCATGCCGTCCTTTCTGCCTGTACCTGCTTCGCATTCCTGAGACCCCAACGTCACGATTAAGAACGGAGCGGGTACTGTGACAGAAAGGCACGGTCTGTTCTTTCTCTGTTGTTATTTTCCAAGCTTGTTTGGATTCCGGGTTTCCCCCTCCAAGGATACAGTCTGAAAAAGCTACAAATCCGGGCTGGACGCTAATCGCTCTACTGGTGCTTATTGTTCATCCTCCCTGGGAGGAAATTGAAATCAGCAAGGGATAAATAAAAGAACGAGCATCTTTGTGAGAAAGCTGAGGGAAAAAAAGGATTTCATAATGGCATCCGTCAATTCAATATCCTCCGAGAAGGACAATGACGAGGACCGTGACATCATGCATGACGATGTAGTTGACGACGAGGAACATGAGGACTTCGTTTCAGAATTGGATCCCTCCCAACAAGAAGATCTCGCACATCATCAACGACTAGATGAATTCCTTCAACCCTTGTGTTTGGACGAGGCTGTCTTGTACAGGTTGGCGCGTCGCTTTTCTGCCACATACCGCCATTTGGCCTTGACTTCAGATCAGCAATTCCTCCCGACTCCGGTGACTCAACTCCCCACAGGAGAAGAGACAGGACGGTATTTGGCCATCGATGTCGGTGGAAGTAATTTGCGCGTTGCATTTATTGAGTTATTGGGTGAGGTTGAGGACTCCGATGTTCGGTCCGCGGATGCTTCGGAGAGGTCCCGCGATACCATTCGCAAGGCTCAGCGCCAGCGTGTGAAAAGAACGCTTGAGCGGGCTTGGCCAATCCAAGAACATTTGAAAATGGACAAGGCTGAGGATCTATTTGCTTGGATCGGCGACTGTATTGCGGAAGTTGTGGCGGAGAGTCTCACTTCGGATGCGACCAGGAAAGACATCCCTGCGGAATTAGATATGGGCATCACTTTCAGTTTCCCGATAATGTGCGTCATCTACAACTGAACTTGTTGATAGAGTTACGCAAAATCAAATTTGCATTACTTATACTGATTTTCTACATAGGCAAGAATCACTGGCGGAGGCAACATTAATGCCTATGGGTAAGGGTTTCGCTATTACTTCCAACCTCAACTTGCGCAACATACTTCTGAATGGATATGAGAAACACACAAGACGACCAGATGATGAAGAGGAACCTTCTTCCAAACGCCGGAAGTTGTTTGCCTTGCCGAAATTGAAGATTCAAGCTATTACAAACGATACAGTTGCGACGCTGGCTTCGCTCGCATACGCAGTCAAGTCTTTACCGAACAGTCGAGTTGCTATGGGTATCATTGTGGGCACAGGTTGCAACGCAACAATTCCAATGAAACTCGAGGAACTACACGAATCGAAGGCCAAGAGCGTCAACTCGATGGAACCAGGAGCCAAGGAGACCATTGTCAACACCGAGTGGACAATTTCTGGTGCAGCACCACCACTTCGCGATCTCGATATCACAACTCAGTGGGATATTGAATTGGATAGGGCTTGTGCGCGTCCTGGGTTCCAACCATTTGAATATATGACTGGAGGTAGATACATCGGCGAACTAATTCGTTTGATATTGTTCGACTACCTCACAAACGTTGCAGGGCTGTCGAAACGAATCCTGCCCGCCAATCTTATTCAAGAATACGCTCTTACAACAACCTATATATCCGACTACGTGGCACGAGCTCGATCCGATCAAGACCTCGCAAAGGAGCTGAATCAATCTCTTCCTCCCCCAGAGAGCAGTGACTGGCGCTGGGATGCCCGTACAGCCGGTGCGTTCCGCCGAATTGCTCGCACCGTTCAAAGGCGATCTGCCGGTTTGATCGCCGCTGCTGTAATTGGGTTACTGGCCTGTTGCCGCGAAATCGAGCTGAAGGAAGATAGCAACGTCAATACCCCAGAAAATGCAGCCTCTCCACAAAGCAATGGTGAAATATCCCACGACCATGCTGCAGTCTCTGCCGTAAATATCAATCCTACTTCCCTTAACAGTGTCCATGGACATGTTGTCCCTGTCCTCCAACCAACACCAGCCGATTGGCAATCTGGCCCGGAAGAGCTGGTTGTAGCCTACACGGGCGGTATCATCCAACACTACCCGCAGTTCAAGGAGATGTGCCAGCAACACATTGATCGCCTGATTATGCGGACTGGTCCGCAACAGGGAGGCAAGTCTGTCTTTTTACGAGAGGCTTCGGATGGCGGCGTTATTGGCGCTGGTGTTCTTGTCGGTATGGTTGTTAGCAAATGAATGTGTTACGAGTGATGCAAGATTGGGTTTTATGGGGTGTGGAGCTTTTTTTAACATGAGAAAAGAGCAAGGATTGGTTGAACATTCTGGTTTTTTATTATTTGATGGGATTGGGATTGATCACATAGAAATGGATGATATCTTGTTATCTTTCTGGGAAGTGTCTCAAATTATGCTTATTCTTTGGCTTGAGGGTTGAGTTCCCAAAAGGAGCTGTAAGTTCTTTCGCTTCGCTTTCCCAAATCGAACCAGAGACTAGGGCAGAAGTCGTACTTTGTGAAACATGCTATGGCCTTGGAAGCATTCGATATATCACATACGTGATAGCAGTCGCAATTATATGATGATTGATAAATCAGATGGCGAGCCAAGACTCGGTAACTGACTACAGATCCAAGCCCATGGAATATGTAAGTTACCCGCCATCTAAACCACATAACACGATAACGCAGATTAAGATGCTCATGCTGATTGCGCGGCTCCCCATAAGCAGCGCACGGAGGAATGTTGGGCATATCGAGCATGTTTCGAAATGACGCAAGCATCTCGAATCCAAGATATCTCTGAGCTTTTGCCTCGATACTTCGAAAGTACCAGTAAAGCCCGGTGACCATGCCATCTATTTCCCAATCCCCGTCTTTTAGTACTGGAAAGCCTGCGCGGAGTTCGATGTTGATTTGGCAGCTTTTCCTTGGCAAAAAAAGGCCAAGACTGTACTTCCTGGATTTCCTTGTCAATGGGTATGCTGATATGTCAAATATTAAATTCTTTTTGCCTCTCTGAGCTCATCCAAGGCTCAAGCTCTCGGAGCGATGAATCATGAATGATCGCTCATATCAAACGAAACATGTTGTTGCGTACGCTGCGCTTCATAGTATTCGGTTTTCCATCCTCGTATTCTATCCCTGCAGTTCCTCCATCGCCAGACATTTGTTCCAAGCGTTCACGAAGCTCGGCGTCCGCTTGCAGTACGGGCTTGGCTTTCTTTTGCTCGAGGGGTTTAGTAGAGGGCGAAGATGGCTCATCTTTTGTGTTTGAAGATCTGTCAGGGCATTTTGGCGTGACGTCTGTAAGAACAGTTAATGAATAAAGATCTTATTTCAGATCGTTGTAGTACATTTGGGTGGGTTAAGCGCGTACTTTCATTAGAGCCCGATAACCGCGATGAGGATAGGGAGAATGGACGAGTGAGTCTGGTTCGAAGTAGAAACGTTGACCCTGGCGTCCTAAGCATCAGAATCGACGGAATGATTGCCATATTGACCAAAACTCCGTGGTTCAGTGAAAAAGTTGAAGTTTCTTTAAAGGATTGTCGATCTGAAGCTCTAAGAACTAGCCTGACGTAAACGCGCGATAAGAGCCGAACTAATCATGTGATATCACGTGGAGCGCTATCCCCGCGATTCATCGGCTCAAGGCAACTTAGCACTTGACACCCTCCGTCATCATCATATTCTCCTCCAGGCAGCATCTATCACCGTGAAGATGGCTACCCAGCAATCTTACTACGAGTTGTACCGCGGGAGCAGGTATGGAGGCCGCTGAAAGTTGCGTAGGAGCTGTTGAGCTAGGGCTGACTGAGATCTAACTAGCCTTGGCTTGTCCTTGACCGATACTCTTGATGATTTGATCAACGAAGGCCGCATCGAGCCTCAGTTGGCCATGAAGATCCTCTCAACTTTTGACAAGATCGTTACTGAGGTTCTGGCCGATAAGGTTCGGGCTAGACTCACTTTCAAGGTAACTTTCACCTTCATCCAGCAGTGCTTTGGGATGTCATACAAGGATGCAAGAGAGAACTTTCCTCAATAGGGAGAGAGGCTCTATTATCGTTACCGAATTTTGGCTAATTTTTTCTCCCTTCCCTGTAGGGCCACCTCGACACCTACCGATTCTGCGACGAAGTGTGGACCTTCTTGATCAAAGATGTCTCATTCAAACTGGACAACCAGACGACAGTTACAGCGGACAAAGTGAAGATCGTGAGCTGCAATAGCAAGCGACCGGGAGAAGTTTAAGTCTGAAATCTGGCTATAGGCGAGGAACTACAGGCGTTTGCATGGATTGATCGTATTGGCGTTTGACTGGCTTGTCCTTCTGGGTTTCGTTTCATGGCGTTCAAAGAGCATTTGATCCTTTTTTTCTTTACCTCTATGTGAAATACACAAAACAAATTGCCTAGAGTACAGTCGATACCCAATAAACTTAAGGCTTTCAGCCTTTCAGTCTTGTTCTTGTTGCCTATGTAAGCAGTTGTATGACTTCTTGAGCCTCCTTCCTTAAGAGCCGCATGGCAGGTGACCTCATCTCTTATCAGTGCAGATCATCAAAACTTCCCATTTTGCATCCCCGCAACACGTCAGGCCTTCCGACCTCAATATACATTCGCTTCGATATAATGCCTCGCACATTACCCTGGCTCCTGGACGACAATAATAATGGACGCATCAAACTAGAATCGATGCCCCGAAAGCGCGTCAAGCGAGAGACTGAGACCGATGCCGATCTGACACCTAAACCACCTACTTCGCCGAAGCGAGACTTCTTTAGATCCTGTAAGGATGCATTCATGTACTCTTACAGGCTACGACAGCTAATTAAATATTCATTCTCAGCCCAAACACCACCCACATCGCCTGCGCGCCCTTGTCCAACCGAAGAGTACGTCCGAGCCCAATGCATACCCTCCTATCCGATGCCGAATCGATGAAGCTAACAAGCACTTGGAAGATTCATAAGAGAGGGCCTAGATAAAGATGACGCCTGGGTGATGGTCGAAGACGAATTTTACGCAATCGCACAAAAATTCACACAGCATTTACACTACGCTGAATATGTTCGCCGAAAGAAAGAAGCAAAGGCTCAAAGCGCATCTGCGATCGCAGACCTAGAAAGACCAACGGACGGTCAGACACATATATCGAAATCGCTTCAGCTCAAGAAGGACGCAGAGTTATTAGCAGCGCGACAGAAAGAAGGCTTAGCGCAGCTGGAAGCATCGGGCGATATCAACAGGGAGGAACCGGACGAAGAGGATGATGCTTGGGCCGGTACACATCTGCATGGGTTAATGACGAGTCCGCGTAAAGTGAGATCGCTTGTTGGGGTGCAGGGTGTCAAGTCTTCCACGAAAGCTGCTGCGGGGTTTGGGCAGGCGTCTAGTTCTAGTACAGATCGAAGAGGACTGGTAAGTACTTCTCGAATGAGGTCGCCTACACTTGCTTCGTCTAGAGCGGCGCAATCGCATGTTGTTGATGTTGGCATAGAGACAGCGTCGGAGGAGGACGATGATCTTGATGGCGAGGCTCATACAACGCCGAGACAGTTGATTACGCGTTTGGACAGCTCGCGACGTGGGATCCCCGAAGGACCGAATCAGCACTTGAAGTCACGAAAAAGCGATACATCTAATACAGGTACTTTAAAGCAAAATTCTACGTCGCAGCCGAGCAAACAACCTGCTGGCGGGTTCAAGTCAAGAGTACAGATGTTATTCGATGACCTTGATGAGCTACCAGAGTCATCCAAGCCTAATTCATCTATCTCTGGTATCAAAAAAGATACCAGTTCTGGGACACAGACACCTAATAAATCCAACAGTGACAACAGTGACAACAATCTGGAGTCCAAACCTCGCTATAAAGACGTCCCGACCTTCTTGAAGTGATCTTGAAATCCAGCAATTCTGACCATTTTTCATCACTGCATATCAGCTCAATGATCTCTTCAATTCCCCGCAGACTGTTTATCAACATGGCCAGCCCGCATCCTAAAATTCCCATGAGGCCTATATTTCATGGTCCTGGCCATGGTCGTCTCGTTGAACCGATCGAAACCACCGGTTCAACCTTAAACGTTCGAGGATACGGGGCTTGCTGTTCGGATGCTCATTGCATGTACATGAGTCCGAATCTTGTCCGCCGCCGATGGCAGGAGATCCATCATCTCGATCATCGTCCCGCTCTTCACCATTATCGCTCCCCGACTGTCTTGCGACATCAACGTGCTGTAGATTCTTGGTCAGAATAGGTCGCTCGGTTGCATTTTGACTGGGCGATATGACTGACTCTGCATCTGAGAAACAGGCAGGTAGCTCTTCCTTTCGAAAATTGGTTGGGGGCCCCTGTAGAAACGAAAAATGTCAGTAACCAGAGGTTTCAACCTTTCATGCCAGAGCGATAGTACTCAACGTACGATTTCAATCCCCCTTTCCTCCCTGCGTGTGAACGGCGCCTTGAGGCACCGAAACATCTGCCGAAAACATTCCATTTTTGCCGGTGGTCAAGGGACTGCGTATGGTTCGACGGCGAAGTCTTCAAGTCAATATATAAAGATTGAGTTGAGTTGAATTGAATGGCGATAGAAGGCCTGGAACAATAAATTTATCCAAGCCTATTCTTGTTATTCTTTGTTTGCCGTTGAAATTAATCAAAGACAAAAGGCGGCGCTGTCGTAAAACCGGAAAATGCTAAATAACGAAAGACAAAAAAAGAGCGAAACGAGGGACTGGGAGGCGACAGGCGTTTAAACAAGAAATAACGAAGAAAACCCCCCACAAGCTGCAGGTGCTCTATGCCATGAATGCCCTGACCGTGTCAAAGGAAAGTGCAGAGATGAGGCCGGCCTGGGGTACATATAGGAATCGGCAAGCTAGGCTCAGTTCCAGGCAGCGGATGCAGTATGCACATCCATACTACGTACAGCTTGACAAGGACTGGATCCACAGACCCACCCATGCAGGTCGAGCTAGGCGACAGCCGGCCTTTCTCCTGTGGCATGGACTCAGGGCCATCCAAGTGACAGGCTCGGCAGGATTTGCTTTACGGGATCCCTTTACTGAGTTTGTGACACATTCCAGTGTAATAGCTCGCCCTCCTGGCGGGAAATGGGAGAATAAAACTTTTTGAAGATGACCAATCGTTAAAAGAGACTGGGAGAGAGGATTTGAGTTCGAGTTCTTAGAGCTAAGGGCGCATACAAAGTACATGATACGCAGAATGCAGGTATTATATGCTTGATTTGTTCCGATTCTGCCACGATCCTTCGAGAATCGGGCGCAGGGAAAGTATAGAGACAGATTTTCGCACTATTACATGACTAGGCAGTAAGGTCACTATGGCCTGCAGGCCGCAGGGAAGAAAATGCGTCAACACAACCCGTGCATCAGAAGCACTCGGCTATCAGTGGAGCGAGTGGAGAGCGCTCGCTCAAAGAGGCAAAAGGGAGCCTGCTGGGCTCGTGTCCTAGAAACGCCATACTTCATTCCCGACTGCTATCCCTCCCGGCCCGCGGCACTCCTATCGATGGGTTCAAAGTTTACGGCTGATACTGGATATTTCCATCGTGACGGCAACAAGGCGCTCGTTTGCAAGGCCGGATTCATGCAGGAAATGAAATATGCGAATGCCGATAATTTGAGGATAGCGCGCTTTCTTTCCCACGTCTTAGGGACTATACCACTTTTATTTTCATTAACAAAGAAAAGAAAAGAGCCAAGTTTCATTTGATTGCCTGTTTCGAAATTTATTGTCTTTGTTATTTCTTTATTGGCAAGACATAGCTGAACCGCCTCTCTGGTACGCAATGTTTATCAGACATACTGGATGCGTAGACGATCTTAAATCGCCCTGTGGGAGTCTTGGGTCTTGCCGATCGATCATGAATTTAGTATTGACAGGGATGATCAAGACCGGCTCATACAACCTGGTAAGCTATGTGCCGTATGCACGTCCTGTCTTGGAGCCATGTTTTGGCTGCACATACACATCGATACATCTGCAAAAGTACACGATTCATGGATGGAAGCAGTGGCGCAATATTTTCCGGGGCGCTCGAAGATTCTTCTACTGTGACAAAGCAAATATGAGTAGTCTAGCGAGATAGTGTTTATTAACTCAATGAAATCATTGAACTATTGAACCTTTCTTGATTTCGTCAAATGCTTCCTTTTCTACAGCGTCCACTCGGTAGACTTGCAGTTCTAACAACCAGTCGTCATGGTTTAATAAACTCAAATTAGGATTTGAAAAGATTTGAAAACAGAACCCAAATTCGAAGTCCTTGCGAGGAGAGTTGTGGCTTTGGGTGTATTTTTCTGTCTCTCCCTTGCGTCGGAGCAATGCCGTGTCAAGAACCATTAACCAGCGATACCGGCTGAAGCGCGTTCACCCTCTTTCTCAGTAACACATTCCACACTAAGAGAAGAGAAAGAAGAGGAAAATGAAATAATAAGCTGTAATTTCCAAATCGCACTTGCTTGTTTTTTAGACTTGAACGTTTGAACGAACATGGCCAGAATCTACAGCTGTAATTTCAATGGGAACGTAGGGATTAACAACATCGTCATAAGTTTAAAGACCAGCTCCACAATAGTAATAATCAAATAAAATATTCCCCCGTATTCAAATGAATATCTCCATTCCCATACAAATCTCTAGGTCAAGCAACAAAAGCATCCGCATCTGTCGGCTTAGAAATCGTTCCAAATCGTGATTCAATCTAGATGACCTCGGAATACAACTGGCATGTACACAAAAGTGGAGACCACCTCGCAACGCAAGGTCCCAGATATGCTGAGCTCCCCCAGCTCCGACCCTGCAAAACGAAACGACCCAATAAACCGGGTCTTATATTACATTCTTCCCTTCATTCGTCGAAGATTCTACATCCTTCTCAGGGTTTACCGCTTTGAGACGTTTCCTTGCGCTAGTGCAAGATCCCATTCCTGCTTACATATTGATCTGTCGTGCTTTCTGACTTGGTCGCTATGCTAGTAGGACTAGGCTTGCATCATAGCGTAGTTTGCGTATGTAAAGTGGGGAGTTGCCCCTGGATCATGATTTCGTGAAACCTTATTGAGTATCCTTTATAAATGGTTTTAAGTATTGACTACTAGGTACCCGTCTTCGTCGGTGTATGTCCCTAGTGACGTTCTGCAGTTGGGCTTCTCGTTTAGATTTGGAGATTCTCTGAATTTTTGTACAAAAGGACTACGTATATTGTGCAGAGATCGGAAACTATTTTCCTAAGGAAGGGGGATTAGGAGAATGGATTGGGAGAATGGCGATTGGCTACGGACCATTACTAACGGGCTTGTTTCTCTATAAATAATGTTATACCATATGACCGAAAGGCACTAGGTAGCTGTATTAAGGAGAACTTCTCTCAGTGACGGTAATGAACAGTTGAAGTTACTATAGCTGCAAAGATCTATCTAGCTCCTAAGGTCCCGAAAGATCTCTCACCAGACGCGCCCCAGTCCAGGCGTAGAGGTAGTTGTGTTGATACCAATTCATACTATAAAATCAGCAACCAGTCAAGGTGTGGATGTCTGGGAGAACTTACAATGTAGAGCGCCCAGCAATTCGCGGTAGCGTCGCCCATGATCCTCCAAGGACGATATTGTGTTTGCCATCGAAAAAATCGGCTGGTTTATTCGTTAGCAAGTTGATTAGTAGGTGATGTCCTAATAAGAATTGTACTCACAGGTATAACCTGGATAAATTTGCATGGCCTTGAATCCGGCATGGGGCAGCAGGGGCGAGCTAGTCCACTCCCAAACACCGCCTAGCTCGCCTTGTCCCGCAAGCTGGTTGCCTTGAGGTGTCACAGGAGTGGGGTGCCACTGCTTGAAGCCCATATTGCATCCATCGAGATCACGAAACACAGGACTCGTCTGTATGGCATTTGGTTCGCTAGTCCCGTTGCTTTAAAAAGTCAGTGGCTTGCTACGGCAAAAAGGATACCTCGAAATCGTACCTGTGGCCAATTGTTGTTTGGTCAGATCCAGCTTTTTTAAGCTGATCGGCGTATTGGTAGATGCTCTTAACTTCCTCAAATGTAGGGATGCGACACTCCACCCATTTAGCATACTTTGCCAGCTCGTCGTACGATGCAATCAAAGGCCAGCTCTGTGCACTATCCAGAGGGACAGAGCCAAAGACCGTTCGAACAGCAAAGTTTTTCAAAAACTCCTCGCTAGCGCCTGCGCTCGACCGATTGAGTTCCTTGGTGGTCGGGCTGTTCTGTTCAGAGTCGACAAGCAACCAAGATGCTGGAATTGCACAGACTCGATTTGCTTGCAAATATTTCGCATATTCCCCATTCGTTACTGGACGAGCTTGGGCCTCGAATGAATGAACTAAGATTTTCCTCTGTGGCTTCTCATTGTCCCAACCGAAAGAGTCCTTAGGCAAAGACGTCTCATCTGAATCGTTTAAGCCAACCGATATAGCCTGTATAGGAATGCGGAACCAATGATTTGGCTTAGCGTTATCCTTTGCGTCTTGGGCAATTTGTGTGAAATCTGGAATATCAACGCCAGACGGCGGGAGCGTCTTCTCACTCTGCAAAAGCATATAGAGGAATGTCTCAAGATGCATTGCCTCGTGCTCGAAACCGATCCAAAGAGCCTCACCGATAAGTCGATCTTTTGAGGCCAAGCCGTTTCGAATAATCGATCGCGCTCGGTTGCGAACGCGCTCTTGGTAGTCTAAAATTTCGTCCAACGGAGGCCATTCGTCAGGTACTTCACTGTGTGCATGACATTGATCTGGGTCCTCAACGTCAGGATCAATGCCTCTCTCGAAAATCTGCTGGTAATACTTGGGGTGAGTGGGTTTCCCTCGGAGTGCTCGAGTTAAATGAATGTCTGGTTTCCATCCAGGTTAGCGATGGGACATATGTTTCGTCAAAAGACAGACATACCAAAAAATGTGGGAATATGGCCAAGGTAAAAGATCAAAGAATTTCGGAGTTTGATTGGTTTTGAGAGAAGATCCTCCCTAGGGACCATAGTCTTGGTGACAATATCCCACGACGTCCATAGCGACTGAAAATCTTGTAGCGTTGGAACAGCCTGGGCCGCATATTGTGAGGCCTTCGTTGGTACGTCAAGAGTGGCAGGTGAGAGAAGAAGAACATCTGAATAGAGTCAAACTGTCAGCAACAAGTTTCAAGCAAAATGCTGTCATATCATTGTGTCTGTACGCACGATAGCTGTCATCGGAGTTCCCAAATTCAACCTGTGATATCAACCCAGCATTACGATATAATTCATCCCTCTCATCACGGCCATATTTGTATGCTTCTTCTAATTTGAGCTTTTCGCCTTTCGGAATTGTAATATCGTTAATGATCACATCAGTCTTGGGGGAGTAAAACGCCTGGTGACATCCATCCTGGGAGTCATAACCAGTAATTACTTCCCAGTCCTCGGGCTTAAAAGCATCAAAGCCAAGAACGGTGTTCGCATGCTGAAGACCATTTTCATAAAACTGTCGCGTGATGCCGTGTGAATCATTATAAGCTTTATGGACTCTCTCTGGGTCCTTGCATGCATCCAGCCCGATCAGTAGGAAATCGGAAGGCTGAAGAACTTTGGAGAAGCTCCCAAGAAAGTCTGCCGCTTCAGCTCGGCTGAAATTGCCGATTGAGGATCCCATTGATAGCACCACCATTGGCCGTTGTCGGTTCTCTTGGTTCTTCAGCCAGTCCAGAGCATCATCATAGGTACCATGGAGTCCATGGAAATCAACATATGTGAAACTCTCTGGCGAGATCTCTGAAAATGTTCTCTGTAACTCAAGTAGGGATAGATCCAAAGCATAGTAGTCCACTCTTTTCTGTGTTCGTTCGCATTCTCGCAGGATGATTTCGATCTTTCTTAGGTTACTAAAGAGAGCAAAGGTTAGAATTTTGAGTTTTGAAAATCAAATGAGTTGCAGGGTAAACACACCCACTACCAAGCTCAACCAGCTGTGCGTTGTCTGGGATTCGTTCCACAATTCTCATTGCATGCTTTGTTAAGACATCAATCTCAGTGTTGGTGAGATAATATTCGTCCAAGAAAGTTATCTTCTCAAATAATTTGAGTCCTTTGGTGTCGTAAAGCAGGAGGGTGGGGAAGGACCGTGTTTTACCCTTGGACGGGCTGAGACTCTTGTAGAGAGTATCAACTAGGGAAAAGTCCATGTCATTTTGGTGGATATTGACTATGTCAACAGTGTCGACATTTAATAAAGCAGTTGGAGACATAGTAATGAGTGGGCTTCCACGGGGATATGACAATGCAACAAAAGGATGAAAAAAGAAAGGGAGCGAGCGGAGGAGACAAGTTGATTTTAAATTTAGAAGCCGTGGAAAGCTCTGGAGCATAAGATCAGAGTGAGCGAATGAGCCTGATAGAGCTACCTCGGACACGGACTATAGAGCTAACTCTATGACGAATCAGCACCGCAACAATGGCAGGCGCGATCCCGATCAGGCATACATCAGCCAGTCACAAGAAGAATAGGGTACAGGAGAGGGGGTCACGGAGTCAAATTTGGGAAACTAATTAAGATGAGCAAAAAAAAAAAAAAAGAAAACAGAGACTAGCTTCCATTTGCATTTGCAGCTGTAAGCTCTGCAGGGTTGATGACCGGCACCGACGCAAGATTGGCTCCAGAGCTTTGCCAGACCCGGTTTTGACTCGCAGAACATGTTTGCATCGGGAACCCCGCAAGTCTAGAAGCCAGGTTTTAGCCAAAAAGAGCGCAGATCCACATTATCAGATGCGTTCATTCCGCCGTGGTATCCCGGCTGACGTAGTATTATCAATCCTTGTTGTTTGCATCCCACCATGTTCGCCCATCTGGTGCCCGGTAACGTGCGGAGAGCTCCCGAGGCCCGCGACATGTTGAGGTCATAGCACTGTTTGTCTGGTTTGATCCGTGGTTTGCTTGATTTGACTGGTTTGCATCCCGAGATTACTCCGACCCCACACCAGGCACTAATGTATGTGGCTCGCTTTGTGTACATGGCCTCTTTGATCAGGAGTCTATCGCTTTATTTTTGAATCAAAAAACAGGTAAAATAGGTGGTTTTTTTTCCTTGTTTCAGTTATTCTAGGTTTGTTTCTTTGAACTACTTAGGTATTTGGAAATATAACAAAGACTATTATCTTCTTTATTATGCACCATGGACATGGGTTTTTGTAGGTATATAAGCACATAGAAAGCTTTACCCTCCAACTTTTTAAAGTCATTTCCCCACCTATCACTGTCCATTTCAAATGCCTCACTACTTGTATCTGTGCAGCTCCTACATCAGGCCATAAAGCTAACCTCCCACCTCAAAAGTTACTAATATCCCCGATAGACGCTACAAGCAGATCGATTTTGAAACCAGAAAACCAAAATGGGGAACCGAACATCCTCCGCTACTAGTAGTACGAGAGTCTCTAAATTAGTTGCTACATTCAAAAATCTTCGCCTTAGTAAAGGGAAGAAGAAGAGTGCAAGCAGACCTTCCAAATCACCTTCCGAGCACGATAGTCCTTACTTTAGAATCCAGCAACTAACAGGGCAGATCTTCAAGCTGGAACATGACCTTCAGAAATCAAACAAAAAAGTGGATTTACTAACAGCACAGCTTGCAGAGTACGACGTACTTTTGGCTCATGCCCAAAATCGCAGTGCTGACACCCCCTCCTCAAGACCCCCAAAATTCCAAATCGAGGAGCGACGATCCGAACAAGATACTTATTCCGTGAGTCCCAAAATGAATGCGCCCCGTGTATGGATCGATGACCTTTGGCTCTGCAATGATACTGAAAATACTCCAATCCAAGAAGCGGAAGCCTACTGGAAAAATGGATCTCCCAAAAATGCGCTAGAGATGGTTTCCCAAGCGATCGACTCGAACCCTTTCTTATCCCCTGCCGAAGAAATTCGCTGCCGGGTGTTTGGTGCTGCGGTGTTGCATTCTATGGGGCAATTTGGAGTTTCCAATCGTCGCCTGGAGGTAATCTTGGAAACGGTCGCTCGTTACTCTATACTTGATGATCCGCTTTGTAAAGATCTTGTTGGTATTGTTTATTATGTATTTGGGAGAAATTTGTTGGAGATCGGTCGGTTTTCTGAGGCATATTACTTATTTTCACGAGCACTTGGAACATCTGGGTACCATGAAAAGACTCGTGAATACCAAAAATCTGCCATTGTGGAATTTACTCGTCAATCTGCAATGTCAGATCGTGCTTCTCTATCATCTTCTCTTCGTCCTGTTGTGAGCGTTACAGAATATGATTCATCTGAGGAGTTTTCCTAAATGCTACTAATGAAAAACTTTCCTTTGTCTTCCAGGTGGTCCCTTAATTAGCCTTGTGATCTAGCTTATTTGCATATCCATGACTTATGATTTATGATATTTTATTGAAACTGTCACAATTGTATTGAAGATATTCCCGTGATTAGAAGTGGCGAAGTCTATTGAGAGCAGTGGAATGAAAAAATTGTAAAGATGAAATGCAGTAGTGGATATTCTCTCCTGATTAATATTGAAACGCTCCATATATACCAAAATAATCTGGTTGATACCCCGATGTTGATAGTTCTCTTTCTCAAAACCAAGCAGAGTGGAGTATCGAAACGAAGGAGACTACAACAGACATAAGTAAAATAGGACAGATCAGCTTCAAACCTTCAAATAACATAAACTTTGTATCTCAAAGATGCCGGGTGTATTCCGTTGTAAATGTTAAAAGATTCTATAGCTCCATATTTCATCTCTCACTGATCATAAGTTTATAAATGTAGCTCTCGCCAGTCAACAACCACATAGCTTGGTTCCCACGCTGCGGCCCTCGTTCAATATTGAAGATGATATCATCAGGAGTGTTAAATTTCCCCAGTAATATTCCAGATTTAGGGTCAATAATGTCTACCCCACCCAACACTGCAACGAGCAAATAGCCGCGTTTGGTCACCTGTAATCCATCAGGCCAGCCGCTCTCCGTAAAATAAACAATCCGTGCATTACTGAGAACCGGCCCTTTGACATCGAATGCCCAAATATTTCGTAGACTGGCAGGATGGAAACCTATAGGTCTGCCAGCAGTGGAGTTTGAGTCGGCGACATAGAGAGTAGATTCGTCTGGTGATAGCGCTAAGCCATTCGGCGTTGAGACAAACGAGTTTGAAGCTGCCATCAAAGCCTTGGTTTTGGTATTGAAGAAATATATCCCATTAGGAAGCTCTGGAGCTTGGACATCAGGGAAGCCTTGATACCAGCCGTAGGGAGGGTCGGTAAACCATATATTCGAATTCGAGTCAAAGATCAGATCATTGGGGCTGTTGAGGTGGCGACCTCGGAAGTTGTTCACAAGCGGCGTTGCGATGCCGTCCAGAGGGTTCAGAGAATGAATACCACGGGCTGGCCCACCATTTGTAGTGACATAAATTTGTCCCTTATGGTATCTCGCTCCATTGACATTGTGCAACGGCGGTATCGTCTCAACTTTGCGTGTCTTTGTCATACGATTAGCTATGCTGCAAGCTGTTTTGGGCCCATAAGGACCGAGGACATACCTTATAGGTGTCTACGTCAATTGCCCATAGCCACCCCGTGACGCTTGTGTCTGCATAGAAGAGTTCATTTGTCTCCGGGGCATAGGCAGGTGCCTCGTGGACGTGCGGAGGCTCTCCCTCGAACGACTGGATTTTCTCAAGCGTGGCTTGTGGACCGATTATATCGAAGAAAGAATGATCCCATGCAACAAAATCTTGGAGTTTTAACTGTGTTAAGAGTTCCTGAATGGAGGACTCATCCGACTGGATGTCGTACAATGCGGTTTCTGCGAACTGGTTAGCCGAGCTTCAGGAGCAGAATAGACTAGGTGCACATTTACTAATTCCGCCAGCTTCCCATTCCCCGGGAATGACAGCCAAGTTATCCTTTACAAAAGCGATCGATAAATGTTCAAAAGCTGGTGGGATATTGTTGAGAAAGGCATGTTCGCTCTCTGGCACGTCTGCACCGTGCTCTTGAACAATTGGTTGTTGATTCAATCCCAGGAAGCTAAGATAAGACAAAGCATTCCCTGTGGAGAATAAGGAGAATAGAGAGTTACCAAGATCCATCAAGAATGTATCTCTTTCAAGAGAGCTAAGTCTTTTCTCAATTACCCAAGGTAGTGCGTGAGATATGTTTAGCTGGGGGTTGAGATGTTGAAAGGTGAACGGAGCAAGTCCGAGTACCCGCAAAACTCGCACGGAACCCCGCGTTAGGGGGTCTATGCTAGTCCAGAACTGCCCTGAAAACCAGGTCCTCGAATCGAGCCTGGGTCTGGTCACTATCTTTTCTTTTTCTAATTTTCTTGGTGCTACCGTTCAAACCTCTGTCCCTTCGCAGAGGACCATACGTGAACGTGCAGAAGAGAAGGCGAATAAAGGAGTATTTGAGATTGTGCCCGATCTATCTGATCCATTTTCAACATATCCGGTTAGACTTTTTGCATTGCGTGAAATATCACGATAACTGAGTAATAGCGGGTTGTGACTAGAAGTTTCAAAAATGGGTTATTTAGTGTAATGAGAAGCAGGCTAGGACTCCAGTCTGGATAGTTTCAACCACCTCGGGATTTCTCTGCCACCCACTGTCGGCGATGATATTCCGAGCACTGTCGACGTACGAAGTTCAGTATACTGTTACAAGGTTGAAGTATATGAGTTCCCCTACAGGTGTTATGAAAGGTAAGCTAAATTTAATTTATACATTTCAATTTCATGTTCTATTTTGGGATGCATTAAACCATATTATAGCTCATTTGGACTCCATAATGGGTAAACCATTGTCGTCGAAGTATACAGGAACACCCTTGCGAAAGGAGTACTGAAGAGCAGCACAGATCTTCCCCGCCTCGAACGCATCCTCTGGTTGACATGTCAAAGGCTTATCGTCAAGCACCGCATCGGCAAACTCAGCAAGGTCAGCCAAGAAGGTTTCATCGAAGAGAGTAAACGCATCAGGCACAGATTGAGTGCGGATACCAATGTGGTCACGGATCTCGACATTCGAATTGGCAGAGATGATGGAATGTCCCTTGGTGCCGCACAATCGGGTTGTATCTTCGAAGCCACTGGTGAGTGTGCGTCCGAGATAAGTCTTAAAGATTTTGCCATTGGCAAATTCTACCAGTCCCCAAGCGTTATCACAGTCACCATACTTTGCCAAGTCACTGTAGACAGCCAGCTGACCGAAAGCAATGACTCTGTTGACTTGCTTCTTGGTATTGGTGAGGCCCGACTTAACATCCAATAGGTATCGCCCGGCGTCGACAGTGTGGATACCAAAATCAAGGAAAATACCGCCTGATTGCTCAGAGAAGGAAACGAAGAAGGCTATAGAAAAAGGTCAGTATCTCCTTTTATGAGCAACAACCAGAGCAAATAAGGCCATACCATTGGGGTCTTGTTGATCGATACCAGTCGTTTCAACGGCATGGATTTCACCCAGTGTTCCGTTGTCGATCAAGGCCCTCGCGGTGCGGTAGTTCTTATCATCTGGCATGAGTTAGTTCCTGAACTACACAAAACCCGGGAGTCAATATTGCTTACATCGGCGAGTAAAGGGAACAAGGAACTTGAGATGAGGCTTAGAAGCAGACCTCTCAACTACCGCCTGAGTAGTTGCGATATCCACTGAAACAGGCTTCTCACACATGACATGCAAGCCCAAATCAAGGGCCTGTAGGATCAAGGGCGCGTGTGTAGCCGTCGCAGTGCAAATGAGGACGGCTTCAGCACCGCTGTTTTTCAAACATTCTTGGGGGTCTGAGAAATATTGAACAGATAGAGGCAGGTTTTCTGCGGCCCATGTATCAGTTCCTGGCTTTGTATCGCAGACTGCGACGAGTTTAATGCGGGGCTGCTGGAAGGCAAGGATGCGCGCGCGCAGAACTCCCAGGCGACCGAGGCCAAAAAGCGCAAACTTGACATGACGGTCTCCGAACGACATGGCTTAGGGTCTCGGATGAGCTGATGTTTTTGTGTTTAACGATGCAGTGGTGCCTGTAGGGATGTAGGCAAGGAAGGAGAGGAGGGAGTATAGAATTGTAATGTAGACTTTAAATCGATTGAGATTCGAAATTTCAAAATACTCGACATCGAAGCTATTTATTAGAAGTTGGTCTTTGGAGGGTACCGTATCTGTACTATCCTTTGGACCAACCAAGGAGCTTCCCTGGCTGTGTCAAATCCAATGCATCATGATAGGTAACCATCGCCGCGTATGGATCATCGCCGCTATTCAACTTCATGAGCGGGATTATCGAGTGGACTCACCCTGAATGAGATCTAATTGTGTTGAGCATAAGCAGATCGACAAATGGTGGGGAAAGGGGATCGCCGTACCACCGCCGAATCTTTTCTACATCAAGCAATTTCTCCAGGGAGCTTCTTTCTCCGCCATTTTTTTATTCTAGTGATTTTTTCCCCACAGGAAATAGGGACGTTTATGTCACTGACTAGGTGATCACCAGGAACTGGTTTTCAGTGCACTGCGGGTGGCCTACGCCGATACATTCCCGAATAGGAAATAATTGAGATCCTTCCTTCCAAAGTTATGAGGCAGTAGTAGGTAGATCAGTAGGTACTAGTAGATAAATAGACCATGTTGGCCATTGAATGAATGACTTAAATCAAAAGTCACAACGCATTCTTATTTCAACGAGATCAATCAAGTTGGAGTACGAAAATTGCCCAATAGGCACCTTCAATCACCCCTCTCCGCCTGTTACAATAAAAGAAAATGGCGCCTTACGTTCAGGAATCCGCTACCATTGATCCCACTATGACGAAAATTGAATCTAAGAGCGCGGTGCTTAATCATGACAAAGTGGTCAAGCCTGTTGCAGATGACTTCATGTACGACTTCAAATACAACCACAATCTTCCCACCACCGATGTCTTAGGCATTGAGATTCCCGTTGATTGCGATGCTCAGAAGGAGGCCGAGGGCATTGTAGCTCGTCTCTCTTCCGCCACTTCAGAAGAAAACGAACAGGCTTTCGCTGATCTATTCCTCGATTATGGTAAGACTATCACGTATCAGATCGGGAAACTTGATTTTCTAACTTCGGATTTACAGGCGTGTGGCGTGACAAACTCTCATTCACTTGGGATTTCCGTACATTTAATTTCAAAGAAGCGATTCTCAAAGCTGCTAGCGATCTTTTGCCTCAGACGAAAGCTAGAAACTTCAACTTCCTCGAGCCTGCGCCTTCCATATCTCGACCTTACCCCGACTACTCCCAATTACAATTTGTTGTATCCTTTGAGACGGAGGTCGTTGTTGCTTCAGCTGTCATCAATGCGGTCCTTACTAAGGATGGTTGGAAAATATACACAATGCATACGGTTGCCGAGAAGTTGAAGCAGTTCCCTGAGAAATCCGCCCAAGATGGACATATGACCGGTATAACTAGCTGGGAGAGCCAGCGATCCGAAACCATCAACAATGTTGACCCTGAGGTTTTGATCATCGGTGGTGGCCAAAAGTAAGAATCCATGTACCGTGGCTGCATTATGAGATACTAACTTATATCTATTAGTGGTCTTGCTATGGCAGCACGACTAAAGGTCCTCGGCATGGACAACCTGATTATCGAGCGTATGGATGAAGTCGGAGATATCTGGAAGAAGCGTTACGAGTATCTTTCATTGCACTTCCCACATTGGCCTGATGCCTTGCCATACTTCAAATACCCCGAACACTGGCCCACATATACCCCAGCTCAAAAGCAAGGCCTATATATGCATTGGTATGCCTCAGCTCTGGAGCTCAATGTTTGGACCAAATCGTCAGTTGTGAAAGCCGATCAAGATGCCGAGGGTAATTGGACCGTTGTAGTCGACAAAGAGGGCAAAGAGACTCGCACACTGCACCCCAAGCATGTTATTATGGCTACATCTCTTTGCGGTGTTCCTTCCGTCCCAGCTGTGCCTGGAATGGCTGACTTCCGCGGTATAATTCGTCATTCCAGCGCACACCGGAGCGCCCGTGACTTTGTCGGAAAGAAGGTCTGCGTTGTTGGTACCTCATCCTCTGGATTTGACACTGCTTATGAGTGTGCGCGCCTTGGAATCGATGTGACTCTCCTCCAGCGATCACCAACTTACGTCATGTCCTTGACTCACTCTGTTCCTCGCATGCTTGGAATCTATGCGCCAGATAAGGATGGTAACTTCCCCGATACTGAAGTACAAGATCGAATCAACTTCTCCACCCCAGTTGGACCCGGCGAAGAGCTCGCTAAGCGCACCGCCAAGGTCCTCGAGGACCTCGATAGACCTCTTCTAGAAGCTCTTAACGCTCGAGGTCTGCGAACATGGCGCGGTCAACGCGATACTGGAAACTCCACTCTGGGTCAGACCCGCAACGGTGGATTCTACTTTGATGCTGGAGCATGCGAAGAAATTATCAACGGTAATATCAAAGTAGAGCCAGGTTTTATTGAGAAGTTCACAGAAGACAAGGTGATCTTGAGTGGTGGCCGTGAGAAGGACTTTGACCTTGTCGTCTTTGCTACAGGTTTTTCCAACACAATTGACTCTATTCGAGCCACTCTTGGCGATAAGATTGCCAACAAATGCGGGCCTATTTGGGGTATTGATGATGAGGGCGAGTACAAGACAGCCTATCGAGAGACAGGAGTGCCAAACATGTGGATCATGGTTGGCTTTCTTCCAATGACCCGTTATGCCTCTAAATTATTGGCCTTGCGGCTGAAAGCGCTAAAGGAGGGCGTTTCCCCACCTCCTTACAAAGTTTAGATTTAGATTGTACATATGAAAATTATATTCTCTTTCGCGTTCCAATAATTGTGTCTGTAAAGAATTCAGTCCTACTCATAAATCCTTTAAGGTCTGCTGTAACTTAAATCAGAACAAGAGAGTCGAGACATCAAGGAATAACATTTTCATTGCTTAGGTTGCATTTTGAAAGGATTTTATAAATTCAACGACTTTCGAGGTAAAAAAGGACCAGAGCCTAAGACTATGGTGATTCATCTTACTTCCTTATTGCTACGATGAATGTATTTAGCAAACGAAAGTTCAACTTGCTTTTATCACCATTTTGTATTAGTCCTTTCAGCGGTGTACATTCAGGTAGCACCATCTGAAGTTGTGAGCAGGATGCAGACAAGATTCGCTGAGGTTCCATTTGAAAATATGAAAATTTGAGCGAGCATGAAATTTTATTCTCTAAATCTAAGTTATTGATTGTTGAGTTCAAAATTGAAATTGTTTATATTAACCGACGCATTTCTAGATCCACGTTTTGACATTTCACTGACTGTACCAGTCATCGAATCCAAGATCCCAACCCCACAGAGGCGTATTGATACGCTTCGCCTTTCCTTGTGCAGCGAGACCGTTCAGCACTTTCATATCCTCAATGGAGAGGGGAATGACTTCACTGTTGCTCACGATTCGGCTTTCCTTGATAGACTTGGGTAGAACAATCACACCCCTGTTAACGTGGTAGCTGATCAGTACTGTAGCAGCTGAAACGCCATTTTTCTTCGCAATCTCTTGAATTTCAGAATCAGACATAAGGGGAGCGCCTAAATAAAACAGAAGCGAGTCAGTAAATTCTGTCATGAAATTGTAATAGGAGCTGTCGAAGAGCACTTACCTTCGGATCCAAGTGGTGAGTACGCCTCAAGTTGAATGCCATGCTTGTCACACCAGTCCTTGAGTGCGTGCTGAGGGAGGAAGGGGTGCAGTTCGACTTGATTGACGGCGGGGACCACAGTCCAAGTTTTCTTAAGCTCCTCCAAGTAGGAAATTGACCAATTGGCAACACCGATCGCCTTGACTTTGCCGCCCTTGTATAATTCCTCCATCTGGCGCCAGGTCTCGCTCTGGTCCCAGGATCGGTCGACGCATCGTGTGCCATCAGGGTTGACTGGCAGAAGCTGGTTGAACTCGTTCTGTGCGTAGAAGTTAGTCCTGAAGATCTTGAAGCAATGGGAGCAATGGAAGGACATACAGGGACAAGTCGGACTGGCCAGTGGATCAGCTGATGATGAGTTAGTCAACGTATTAGAATCTATGTCGTGGCGCTCGAAAAAGCAAGGGTGAGGTTTGACCTACATAGAGGTCGAGATAATCCGTGCCTAAGGCGTCCAGTGTCTTTTGCAAGCCCTCAGCAGCATTGGGCTGGTGGGTATTCCACAGCTTGCTGGTGATAAAGATCTTTTCGCGAGGGACGCCGCTATCCTTAATTCCCTGGCCGACTTCGTGCTCGTTTCCTGTTTATCCAATTAGAGCCTATTGCGCTTGCTCATGTCTCTTTCGTCTAACGCACCGTAGATTCTGTGATTTGTTAGTCTAGGGTATGCGCTTTCGTAGAGAGATGAGTAGCTTACAATGCTGCGTCAATGTGAGTATACCCGTTCTTGAGAGCAAACGAGACTGCTTGGCGAACTTGACCAGGCTCAGATCTCCAAGTGCCTGCGATTGCTGTTAGCAAGAACTCTCAAAGTTCGCGACTATCAGGGTATGTATCGTACCAAGTCCCACGGCAGGGATCTTGGTGCCGGTGTTAAGCTTGAAATGAGTTGGAAGAGACATTGTGGTTTGAGTGAGATTTTTGAAGTGTAGGAAATTGAGGTTTTCTGCTAACAAATCCAGAATAATTCACACAGAGTGCGAGAGCAGGTCTGTAAATAGGTCCATTTCTATAGTGGAACCTTCCTTGCCCGTGCTGGTAGCAACCGAAGCATATTAAATACCCTGAAGCAGAAGGCCCCGCCGAATTGGACGCGATCGGGCGAATGCCGACCTCTTCAGTGGAAGTTTACCCCGCTACAAGCCGAATATGACGTCCAAATTGCCCTGAAACCCCGCACCAGAAACAACCTTTTTACGAGTTCAAAGTTAATAATGCGACTGGTGGAAATTGGCATCGGAGTTATTGCGGTCATCCACTTACTTGACGGGATAATCAGTGGGCGAAGTAATGCTAGATCTCGTTGAGCAGCAAGATGCGCCGCAGCTTTCCTAATGCGGTAATGTTGTCGGGCGTGAGGTGCATAGTTGAAGTACGGGGTTAGGACCAATCCTAGGTTTCCTTCTGCGAAATGATAGAGCCTTCAACTACGATGTTGAATGTTTTCTTGCAGCATATTGCTAAATCTAGTAGCTGTAGGGAAAGAGTGAGCACAACGGAGAATTGGCGATCATGCTAACGAAACTGCAAGAACTACTCAGTGACCAAGCACAAATAAGGGTGACCCATATTCGAGATTGAACTCCTTGAGCATAAGTCCGTCCCCGGATAAGTCTACTAGTAGCTAGGCTAAATAAATTAGTATTCGGTGAGACAATCATAGTGCGAGCCAGATACCATAATCAGAATGAAAGTTTGTATTTGATTATCGCGAGCCATAGCTCAGCCGGCTGTGTACGACCCCGCGCACGCGCCATTTATTATAATTGCTGGACTGTCAGAACCTTAAAATAGATACCTGATATAGATGAATTAGATGTAGGAGAGAAAAACTACGGTCGCATGCCCAGGTGGGGATCCAATGTGGCCAGGGGACGTGTGCGCGAGCAGCCCTGGAGAACCTTGGAATTTACATAGTGATTGTCGCTGCTGAAGCTGCAGAATATATCCGAGTATTTCAAGTTCTCCTATCGTGCCTGGAGGCTGAAAACCGAATTCGGTGTTTACTGGAGGATTTAGGGGCTCCTACAAGGCTACAGCAGGGTTCAAGTGCATACGGGTCGGCACTATCTATGCAATCGATCTTGGCACCCGATTATAGCCCAATCAGTGATAAGCTCCCGCCAACCCTTACGCCACCCGCATGGCGTGCACATGTGGTGGGGATGGAAAATATGGAAAATGGACCCATCTCAGGGCCCCATTGACCAACCTCCTTTTCAATCATTTTGTTTCTCACATTTGCCCTACAGCAGTCCGGTAACTAGCGATAACCTCTTGAGTTTTGTCCCGGCGCCATCACCTCTGCCTTGTTTCTGTAACCCGGAGATGCTTTGTTTACCTTGATGTTTATCTTGATGCCCGGCTAAACAGCATCGCAGTCACTAAGCTAATCAAAACAAAAAAAAAAAAAAAAAAAAATTTCGGCGTAAACAGCGCCGAAATTATGGGATTATCACCAACTCAACGGCGCTGGGGTCGGCTGGCCCTCGTGCTTGTTGGAACTTGGGCCATTATCTATAGATTCTGGCCAGTCTCACACGAACATCATTTTATTGGCCATCCCCAGCAGGTTTGGGACGACATTGCAGCCATTGAAAACCAGACATTAGGTGTCAGTGTTATTTGACATGAACCTCTTCTTTTTCTCTCCTTCTTCCTTTTCTGACAAATTCGCAGTTCGGCAAAGTATTTGCCATAAATATGGCCAGTCGACCTGATAAGCGTGACAATATTGAATTGGGTTCGTCGGTCTGCGATTTCTTCGTCGATTGGATCGATGGCGTACTCCCAGAAGAGATCAATCCTACAATTTATCCATATGTTGGTCTTGCAATCACTCCAATGTTTTGCGACAAAGTCGCTAAGAATCAATCAAATCTAGAATTGGGATAAGGATAGACAGAAGAGCGAATACGCGGCCCGTCGGGCGCATGTGAATGGGATGAGACGGTACGTATCGGATAAACTAAAAAGACGGGTTCAATTAATATTAATATTGCCTTAGCGTTGTCGAGGATAGGATTGGAAGCGCAATAATAATGGAGGATGATGCTGACTGGGATGTGAACATCAAAGCACAACTTCAAAACTTCGCTTTGGGATTGCGGGAAATCCAAAGAACAACTGATATACCAAGTGCCTCACCATATGGCGATGACTGGGATGTACTCTGGCTAGGCCATTGCGGTATAGAATGCAGGACCGACCTTCCCTTCTACGAAACACCGAATGACTTGACTGTACCTCAACCCCGCCATTTTCTTCCCTATTTTGGTAGTGTCCCTCGCTTCGAGCGACCAGATCACGCCAGATTGACTTGTGCTATTCGAGACGGCATATGCACAAATATGTATGCCGTGAGCTATCAAGGTGCCCAGCGCATTCTAGCCGCGCTGTCGGTGAATCCTTCCGGTCTTGCCGAGGATATTGATATTGGTGGAGCATTCGACGTATCTCTAGGTGCCATGTGTAATAATGGATATCTACGCTGCTTTGCCACCTATCCGGCTTTGACTGGGACATTTCGATCTGCCGGAGCCTCAGAAAAGTCGTCTGACATCAACGACGTGAAAGGCGAAGCTGTGGGATTTGAAAGTAGAGGAGTACTATATAGTACCATGCTGAACGTGAAGCAAATTCTTCATCAACAGCCTGTACGCGCAACTTGGAACGATGTTGAGAGACCATTCATTGAATCGGATATGATAACGATCGGAGGAGGTTCAATTTACATGGTTCAGTTCGCTGCTGACAAGCAGCCACGGCCATAGAGCAACTTGAACGTACGTGTACATATGGATAATAATTCATACAAATGATATGTATCATTTAGTGTCTTGTTTTTTGTGGTGTTTCAAAACTGCAGTTACATATACTAGTAGCCTTTATAACATATCTTCGCCCCCTCCGAAGATCTTGTCTCTCTTCATTTTTCATTTGATAAGTTTCTAAAGTAGACCAGGGCAACCTTCAAGTGGAATACGGATGTTCGCCGAATCGATATATCATCTGTACAAATGTTAAAGCTCTTTTGAAAATCCTTTATATCTAGTTAAGCGTATGATTTAGAGGCAGGATAAGTCTCATCTGTGCTAAATTGACATCAGGTCGCGTGTCTTCACTACTTCCATGAGAGTTCCAAAAATTCCTCCCGAACCCTTTCTTCTGGCACTTTGAGTAATCAAGAGAGTTGTTTTCAGTAAGTCTCTTAAAAGAGTGCAAATGTTGAACTGATCAAGAGCCCTGGATATTATTTTTGGCCTTATGCAACCCTTGAGCCAAATAATTTCAGTGAGGGGAATGTCACGCCAGGCACTATTTAGGATTACGTCGTGAAGAGAGCTCGCACCTGTTTTAGTATTTCTCTGTGTTGTAGCGCGATTTTGTTCATAACTTCAATTTTACTTAAGTTTTCATCACACCCTTTGGCAATACTTCTGGAATTGAAGGCATCTGATGCATATGTACTAGTAGAAGTTTGGTACGAAAGACTCAAAGTAACTGTAAGATTTCAGATAGTTGCTTCCAGGTTCTGTTTAAGATCTCACTATCGTAATGGATTATCCATGGTAATAACCTCTTTTTCAACGGAAGGTCGTTGATGCCTCGAAAATTAAAAACCCTTGTTTTACACTCCAACTAGGTATAGTATATAAATGATATAATGGTCAAGCAAAGCAAATTTCGCCACCTCTAAGACTAGAAGTGAGGTGCGTTAATGAAAAGACCCATGAGACATCCACCGAGGGTACCAGCAATGGGAATTGTCATGATCCATGCAAGGAGCAACAGACCAACTCGCTGGAAGTTGACAGCCTTGAGGGTACCATTGCATAGACCAACACCAACGGTGGCACCAGTGATACACATGGAGGTTGAGACAGGGAGAGAGTATTGTGAGAATATAAGAACTGTAAGTGCAGCGCCCATCTCCATGGAAGAACCACGGCTGGGGGAGTGGTAGGTGATCTTGTTACCCATAACTATAATTGACCAGAGTTAGTAAATGCAGTTCGGGTATGGCACTCCTTGACTTGGGCATATAAGAAAGTTTACTTTACCTTTCATGATGTTGTAACCGTAGGTTACTAGACCAGTAGAGATACAAAGGGCCAGAACAGCAAGTTGCCAGACGGGAACGGGAGCTTTGGCTGCGGCAGGGTCACCGGTTGACCATGCAGAGTAGATGGCAGCCCAGGGACCAACAGAATTTCCAATATCGTTCGCACCGTGGGCGAAGGAGGCAGTACAAGCTGTCAAAACTTGGACAAAGGAGTAAGTGTGCTCGACTTCGTTAGGGTATTTCTCTGCGGCAGCATACACGCGCTTCATGCGCTCGCCTTCGGGTGTCCCGGCGACACCACTTTGAGCGGTGTGGATGTCGTAGTGGGCGCCGTAAAGAAGACCACAGACAATGGTAGGAGGGATACGCTTGAGCATGATCCACATGTTGCGGATCTCGTAGAGTTCACCAGGTCCCATGGGGTTGTCACGGAGGAAACGCATTGCCCATCCCAGGGGGCTACGACTCTGTAGAAGCTTATTGCGGTGCTTAGCCTCTGACTGAGCGACGATCTCCTTGTATGTGAGTTGGTGTGCTTCAACTGCAACCATGTTCTTTTCATGATCTCCATTCTGGGAGCTGGATGCCTGGCCATCCTTTTCAAGGGCATCCTTGTCGACCGACCCACGGCCATGAGTCGAGGCCTCATCTTCGTACTCCTCTTGGACAACAGCATAATTAGGGACCTTGGCCACCTCGCCATCAGTGGGGGCGGGACGGCTTAGGAGTGTTGGTCCCAGAATGAACATCCACCATTGAACCGAGTGATCCTTCTTGATGACCTTTGCATGCACGAAGGGAACAAAGAATATAGCAGACAGAAGGCAAACACCTCCGCCACATCCCATTGTCACCGCAGCAATGTACCAGCCAGGCTTCTTGCTCAGGCCCAAGTTGGGGGAGCCCTTGTAGACAATAGAAAGTGTGCAAAGAGTGGCAGCGAGCAAGAACCAAAAGGGCGAGCTGTAAACAGCCCATGGTACTGGGTTGCGGCGCATATGCACGATGACCTTGATCAACATGAAGATGATTGCTGCAAAGCCTGCCGAGATGATAGGTGCCATTCCTAGACCTGCAAAGATAGCGCCCAGTCCCTTTCCATCGTGCCAGCCCCATTGAACCTGAGAGGCCCCAACAGTTGCAACACCAACACCGGCAACGGCCGAGATAAGAGAGTAGGTCGAAGAGACGTGAGCCGAGTGTCGAGTACACCACATGACCCAGGAAGAGGCAGCAGCCAGAGCACAGGTGAAGGCCATCATTTGGACGCCGGCATCGCCTCTGAAAGCATCATTGGGAATGATACCGTTCTTGATGGTCTCGGCGGTTCGGGATCCGACGGTAACAGCGCCTAAGAATTCGAAGATTGTACCGAGTACCATGGCCTGTCTATAAGAAATAGATCGAGATGAGACACTGGTTGCCCAGGAATTTGCCACGTCGTCTTTTTTATATTAGTACACTGGAATCGGAACATTGAATCAACTTAATTCTAAGAATGGCACTCACTTGCACCGTTGTTGTATGCATCAAGCATGGCAAACAGTGTGCCGATTGCAAACACATAGTCATATTGATGAAGATACATCTTGACTTGCCGGAGACTTCAATTTGAAGCTGTTTGTTTTAGAAAACAAGCGCCGTTTAGTGCAATGCCAGAAAGAAGTGAATCGAGGTACGATCTACCTCTCCTTTTATATACAAAGCTGAGAAAAATCGGCCATTCCGCCTCATCAACCCACTCCAGTGCTCAGGGCCATGTGCTTAACATAGAAATTGCCTAGAAGACACATTAGATTACTCTTTCCACCCGTTTCAACCACACGTGCTACATCGACTCGCAATACGGGCTGCAGCGCTCGTTTCCAGCTCCAGCACTTCGACTTGGCAGAAACATAGTTTCGAAGTCCGAGATCGTGGTGGCTGTTCTGGGCGCTGGGTCATTTCCAAAGTTTCTTGGATAAAGCGTGGCAATCACGCAAGAGAAGCCCAGCCAAGGGAACTGGAAGGCAATTTCTCATAGATGTTTTGGTGAAAAGCAAAATTGGCGACCTTGGCGAGACCTTGGCAGTGCTGGGTCCGTCGGGTTTTTATAGTAAGAACTCGACGTTAACTTGGATCCGACTGGGCCCCCGATTTCGGGCGGGGCTTGGCGAGCTCGGGGGGCGCAGGGTCGCTTCCTATAAGCTTGCGGGTCGTCCACACGTGGGTGCGCGAGCTTATGCCTTTGCTTCTTGGCGGGAGGAAGCCATGGAATCTTTCTACTGTATCAAGGTAACTTTAACACTTGCTTTTCTTAGACTCTCTTCAAATGTTGTTCTTCGTATCCCGAAACATCACAAGAGAAATCCCATTGATAAGAAATAAAGACAATTATTCACAATCGCTGGATGCATACTAACATAACATTGCTCTCATGTAGAAGGTTCATATGACTATACCAGCAATTCCTGCATATCGATCCCCCAAACCCACGTCGCAATACTCATAGCACCCACAGTCATCGTAAGTGACATAGCTAAGTTCACCCCATTATTATTTAACCAATCATGCCCGACAGTCACCTGTCGGCTGTGGTGACCCTCCTGTTCAACCGGGCCACCCACTGATTGTCCCGAGGCAAGGCTACCCCGTATAGTAGAACTATCTTCGGAGTTGTCCGGTCCATTAAGTCCATCATTCCCTGTTGACTTCCCAGACGCAGGGATATTCTCTGGCTTCGTTGAACCAGGACGAACAAGAACTCTCTGACCATTATCCCCTTCCACAACTTTGCCACTCCGTTTATCCACCACGGTAGTCTGTAACAGTCCCCCTAGCACACTATCTAGGATACTTCCCAGTAAACCCCAGAAGGAGAACGCGATAACCCACAGTGCACGATCTTGTACTCCGAGCCCAGCGCATAACGGCGTGAAGATAGCTGATGACAATGCGATAGTGAATGATCCGAATAGACCAGCGCCCAGTCCAGCTGCTGTTACACCACCGTTTGTGCCTGGCGGTACTTGTCGCAGGTTCCACGAGGTAATGAGGCGGGGTTTGGATTTGGAGAGGATGCCCAGTTCGGAAGAGTACGTGTCGGCTGCGCTAGCGCAATAATGTCTATATATACCGATGGATACGTTAGTACTGCAGAGGCGAAAAATAATGCGATCGCATCGAAGCCAAAGAAACAAAAAGATCTGAACATACGCGACGATGCCGACCATTAGGATATCCGCAGCGCTACCACCAAAGGAGAAGCATGACTCGGTCGGGGAGCTCTTGGATAGCACATATGTGTGCGCGATGGCCAGAACAGTAGCAGAAATCGAGTTCGCTAGCACTTGGACGTGATTTCGTTTGCCTTCGCCGCCCTCCGCGCCTGCTGCGGAGAGGGTCAGACGCGCCTTGACATCGTGTTTAACCTGGATCAGCGAGAGATAACCAGTCAGTTTCTTCGACCAAGAATAATCAGGGCATATATTCGCTGCAGAAAGAGTCTCGTGCTTACCTTTGTAGCCTTTTGGGATCCGAGATAGAACACTGCGAGTAGTATGAACGGTGTGTTCCATGGGTGCAAGGCGTGCGCGCTAGCTGACAAGCCGGCGGCGACGAGAGCGAGAGAAGTAAGGGATTGTTTTGACCAGGCGCGATATAGTAGCAAGGCCACTAGGGATAGGCCGTATAACGGTTGCATGATGCTGTGTGGGAAGAGAAAATGAGGTTGGGCCACGTCGGGATGTTGATGTTCAGCTTGAGTGGGGCACCTGATCTCCATGAACAATACGAACAACCCAACAAACTGTCGAACTGGTGAAAGAACCCGAACAATCAAGAAAATACTAGCTAGGAAATTTTAATTTTCTATCCATACAAATAAAAGAGCTAAAATAGGGGTATCTTTGGCATTTTATATTGGTATTTATCAACTTGTCATTCTAATGAAGTTCTAGTCAAGCTGGGTAACATACAGTGGAGTACTTCGTACTAGTATAACTAAGCAGCTACACAATAATCCAAGACTGGTCAATATACAGTAAACTTTGAACAGGGCCTTTAAATAGTACATAGTAGTATATTGGAATATTTCAAAGATGAAACTGTCCCTCATGCGGTTCACAAAACCGCCAAAGACCAGCCTGAACAGCAGCATCCTTAACCGGTCCAAGTTCCTCATCACGTACAGCACGATTAATCTCAGCATATTTAACCTCTTCATGACTATCACTTCCCTCTCCCCCAAATCGCACCCGTCTAGTAACTCGTCTTTTTCTCCCAACATGCGCATCAGGATGATACTGCTCCATAATATGCACGTATAAATCCCGCGAAACATTCTCCGCAAGCCAACGCGTGATCTCCTGAACCTCTTTACCCGGCATAACAAGATGACGAAATAATATTCCCTTCTTCGCAATACCATCTGAGGTGAATGATAAATGTTCAACTTGGCGATGCATCTATTTGATACTTTCCATTGCTATGGATGTATAATTTTCTGCTTTCAGTAGGCGTTTCGAGGTACTGTCCTTCCAAACTTTGAAGTCTGGCAAATAGATATCGACCAGGCCATCAAGCAGCGTAAACGAGTCTAATGAGTCAAAAGACGAGATATTGTATATTATTGGGATTCGGAGACCCATGTCTCGCGCGCTGAGAATCAATCGAAAGAGTAACTTGGGGTACAACGTGCTCGGGTGTGACGAGGTTGATATTGTAAACGTTTCCAAATGTTGTAGTTTTAAATACCACTCCGCTAGTTCTTCAGGCGTAAGATCGAATCCGTCTCGTTAATGTGCGATATCCTATATTCACAGGTTAACCTGTTCATCCATCGATGATATAAAGACGATCCAGATGAAAAAGACGATACATGATTCTGACAGAAGACACAGCGAAGGTTACAGCCTGAGAAAAATACTGAGCCACTTCCATGGTGGCCTTGTATGCAGGGGTCCTCTCCACGATGTGGTGTAATGACATTAACCTTCACTATTTTCGCACCGATAAGACACATGCCGGTTGTTTCGTATCGATTTATTCCTCATTTCCGTGGACATAGATTACATTGGCGGAGATCTGCGTATGCTAGTGATCGCCTTTTGGCAGATTCGACAGATGTCAGAAGTTGGTAGCGGGGGAGGTAGTAATCTAGAAGGAATGCGGAGGGGATTCCTAAGAATCGCTTGGAGACCGCGGATGGTAAAAGTTGCTTCAAGTTGGAAGTGGAGAGAGTTCGGGTTGGAAGTCTTATGAAAAGTGCCATGTCTTGGGTAATTGTGTGATTTCTCTCATAAAAGATTCGAGTCTCTGCATAATTTGTTAGGAAATGAAGCTCACAGCCCTTCGTCACGCGAAGAATAGGGTATATTCAGTTAAATATAGTAGATTCGAAGACTTGAGTCTGAGGTTAATGCACGGATTTCACTGACTTTCGGAGAGAAAGGGTAGTATGTCAAGTTTCAACTGTCTTTGTTTCTGATGTCAATAATATAACAAGAAATAAGTCAAGATAATAACATTGAAGGGTATTTAATATGTGCGATGTCAAAATAGACAATAAAAACCCGCTTTGCGCCCCAGGGTATGTCCAGTGTCAAGCAAGTAATAATATACAGAAAAGAGATGGCAAAATATGGCCCGTTTTTGAGATCCAATACTCCATAAAGAAGAGCCCTATACTTCCAGCGTACTTATAATAACATAATTTAAGTAAAAAGAAGAAAAGAAAAGCGAGTAGACGACTGTTTGTCTAAGCCCAGCCTCATAGAGCGAGACCACTACCATCTCCGCTCCAGCGATAAAGTGCTAGTACCTCACGTCTCCGTTGATGTTGCTCAGCAGAGCTCTCCGGAACACGGCCGCGAACCTGCGCAAGGGCTGAACGCATAACTTTGCGGAATGTTCTCTGTGGGCAGAAGTTAGCCTAAGCTCAAGGTTCGGGTGATTTCCAAACTCCCAGTAAACGTACCTGATACTCTGTATTCAAAGTCACAACGCAAGCCTCGTGTGCTCGCACAATGGTCTCGCACGCTCTAACAACACTAGGACTTGCATCCCCTGCAAGCTTATCCGTCGTCAAGAGCAGAAGGAAACTTCCTTGTAGAAGATATATACCAAAGAAAAATGGCATGAAACTCAGATCAGGATCGTATTCCAAGATATCGGAAGCTGCCTCAGCAGCGCTGACAGCATGGCCCATGGCAGTAATAAAAGAATCAGAAGAGATCCAAAGGTCATTATCATCGAGTAGGTTGATTGGATCCCATTTATCCGCGACTAGAATGTGAAGGACGTGCATTATGTGGGTTCCATATGCCACAACCATTTTGGTGTGGACAATGGACTCGCTGAAATGTGACCCAGCCGTGCTGCTTGAGAGTCCCGAGGGGCTGACATGGTTCATATGCGTCCCTTCCATCTTCGTGTCATTGTCGCCAGTTCCAAGTGTTAGTGAACTTGTATACCGAGCCTCGAACTCTTTTAGGCTTTGGGCATAAACATCTAATTGTCGAGTAATTTCCATGGCTTGGCTTTCCCATTCGCCGCTGTTGCGAAAATGGAGCCCAAACCGTGGATGGTTCCGAGCATGGTGCAAATCCACAATCTCACCAAGAATGCTCATCAAAGGGAGGAAATAACCAAACATGCTATGACTTGTACACTCGAAGGCTGGTCCCGCGCGTCGATAGTTAGCAGCTGAAAAATCACCAGCCTGCCAGAGGTCGTCGTTCATAGGCTGCAATAAGCCTTCACACTCTTTATCCAAGAGGGTAAGAGGACGATTATAGCAGAGAGATAAATGCCTGTCCATGACGTATAGCAACCACCAGATGCGCCGACGCTCTTCGCGCTCTTCTTCTGTTATATTCACGCTAGAGCTTCCCGAGCCGTGGCCCATTGAGTTTAGTAATGATGCAGACTGCCTTTTGTTTCCATTCATGTCTATCTCATTCTCCCCGTCTAGCTCTCCGTCTTGGCCGTTGTTGGCACTCGGTGGTAGCTCTCGGCCGAGTTTAAGCTCGCGCGCGAGGGACCATGCAGCAGTCCACCAACGCATACTAGCAGCTTTATATTCACTTGCTGATACCACTGTAGCCAAGTGAACGTAGGTCGCAACGTCATCCACGGCCCCCGTTGCGCTACTCTGAGCTCCAATTTGGTCCATGGAGACGCCGAATCCGCCTAGAGCTACCCCATTAATGACCATATTAGCTGCATAGTTGGGCGATGTTTCACCAGTTGCAGGTCCATGGATGAGCGGTCGAAGCAAGCCAACGGTCAATTCGAGCAACTTTTGACAGACTCGTCCTCGTGCTGATGGAGGCGAGGTTAAAAAGGCAGCTTCGCTTGTTTGCGCCGCTACCCAGAGCATGCTGGCTAGTAGGCCTGGAGTACAGGACCTTGGCTTTGTAGGGTGTAGGAAGGATTGTTTGCGGAAGACGAAACCGACAACATATGGCGACAGCGGAGAGAGGTGTGAGGAAGTAGAGCTGGTAAAATATACATCCAGGAGATCGCAGGCGAGAGATTGAGGAATAATGGATGCGATATGAGGAAGGACGGGTTGCAAAACGGGATATCTTAAAGAGCTTGTAAATGGAGCGATACTAAACGATGGAAAGTTGGCTGGAGATGGTGATGGGAGAGGTAGCCAGTTGGGAGATTGTGTTGGTGGTGTGAACCCTAAAAAGGACGCAGATGGGTTCTCTGTTGAGCCACCCAGTCGAAATTGGTTCAGTGCCGATGAATTGTGGTCTTGAGAGTTCATAACAGAATACGAGCCGTCGTTGTAACCCGACCCGAATCCTTGCGCATGAAGCATTGAAGGCGGCGATCTATGGTTTGCATTGGAATCCTGCATCATCTGCAAAGATCGAAGGTCGGAGACAGAAATGTGAGGTCGGGTTGTCTCAGGTAAATTCCCATAATTCAAGGACAGACCATCCATATTGCTCCCCATCGCCTGCGAATGTACTGTTGCCGAGTGCGGGTTGTGCTGGACACCGTCCACGCCAGAGATGCTGGAATTATGCAAATGCTGTTGTGTAGACTCTGGCAATGTACTGGCCACGTTAAATGATGTATTATAATTACCGTTCGCCTCATGAGAAGACTGCGAAGGAGGAGAATTCTCTTGGGCCGTTGTTCCATCTGGAACGATTTGCTCGCCGTTCGTGGAGGTTCCCGGTGCAAGATCTTTCTTCGATGCTTTCCCGCGCTTTTTACGCTCGCGGGCGTATTCACAGCTAAGTCCGAACTCTAGAAATAGTTAGTTTCATAACCTAACACGGTCGAAATATCGGGATAGAAGTAGATACCGAGGCAATGCGCGCAAGGTTGCTGCCCGTCACATTTGGTTCGCAGCTGGTTGCACTGGTCGCAAGCGCGGCTTATTCTCCGGCGCACTGGGCCGGCAGTTGAATTCTTGCGAATCGCCGACCGAGCCTCAGCAAGCATATCTCGCTGTTGCAGGGACATTTTCCCACCATCATGGGTATTATTTTGGTCGTTGTATGAATGCAAGTGACGCGCATCTGTTGAACCGGGGGCATTGTGGTTGTGTCCGGGATCGATCGGGGCTTGGGATGATGCGCCAGCTTGTCGCGCTAGTTGCAACTCTTCCAACGCATATTGTGAACCTTCCGCAAGCGTATCGAGGCCGGGGGTTCGAGATTGAGACATTCGAGTAGGCTGCGAACGGGATAGAAAGGGGAAGGAGGAGTCGGCAAAGGATTGGAGGGAAGTCATCGACATGCTTCTTCGTAAGGTCTAGACGTCCGACGACATGAAGTCGTGGCTTATCACAAAGTGATCCAGGGTGTCTGGCAAAGTCCAAGAAAGCCGACAAAACAGAAAGTCAAATTTCAAGTGTTGTATGACTCGGGCGACATTGCCAGGTGAGTTGTCAAAGAGGCAAGACTCCAAACGGCGACAGCGTGATGGGCGGCAAAACTCCACAGTTCCTTTTTCTTCTTCAATAACCTCTAAGCCGGGGTCCAAGCGCCAAAATCTGGCCGGGAAGGGTTCTAGATCCCCAATTTATTATAAACAGCCTTAAAACAAATGCGACGTGAATCTCTGGGGAAGAAGACGGCAAAGCGAAAATGAACTTGAAGAGGGGAAATCTGAAAACCTGGGGAGGCGGGGAAGATGGCACGTGGTGATCGCTTCCAAGTCCCCCAACTTCAAGTTCTTATGTGACTACAATATGTTGGGAACCTCGATGGTATATTTGGCTTTAACTTTTTACATACTATGGGGATATATGTTCACGGTTGAACATTTATGCACCCCAGGTCGGTTACAGAGAAGGATAGGATGGTCGACCTGCAGGATTGCCCCCTTCACAGAGATTTCCGGGGATTTTGCCGAAACCCAAGCAGCGGTCTAATGTGGGTTGCATGGTCGGCACTGGACCCCTTATTTACCAGTTTCAAGTTGTTGATATTCAGCTATACCGGTCGCATTTCCTCAAGGTTTTGCTGGCTGAATATATTCATTGCTTATACTTGATGGCCTCCGAACTGATCCCGTTTGGGCACTAAAGTAGAAAGCCAAATAGAAGGGGGAAACATGTCGTTCTGGTCAACTTTGCCAATGGTCTGACTCTCCGGAAACCGGTTAAGGTTCGGACAACGGCGCACAACCCTTTTTATGGGCAACGATGGGGTCAGATTGGACCGTAGTCTACCCATGAAAATAGGTTTATACATTTGTTTTTATGTTGGGCTTGAAGCAAGTTACAAGCTCCCGATACTATTAAAGTTTAACTTATGGAATCGCTCGGAGATGTACATCAACCTGATCATCAATCCAAGTAGCTGGAGTTAAATGACTTTGGTTCCTGCTTGGTGATCAACATGATCAACAGGGAGTATGGGGTATATGGAGTAACCGACCATTGCCAGATCCGTCGATTTCTCTTCAATCTAACCTTGATCTCGGCTGAATCCGCGCTTTTGCCTAAATTGCCGGGATTGTTGTACGTGATGACACCCTGGACGGGCCGGGATATAGACCTGCCTGGCATGGATAATAAGGTTTCACTGTGATTAGCGAAGAGAAGGTATCATTTGATAGGTTGTATTATGGGAATGCTGTTCATTAAAAGAGACTGAGAGGAGGAAACTGTCACGGCAATTATGTGGGTATGGGGATTAGTGCCAAGGCACCCTCAGGCTACTAGTGACATAGTACATACTGCAGTCTGTATGCCGCCTATACTCTGACTGGTATTATTTAAGGATCTACAGTAACGATTGCAGGGCTCACCATCCAAACAATTGGACTAAATTTTGAAATGAAGAGGAAATATGTATTCTTGAAAAGAATACCCCCATTGAACCAATACTATGTGTTCAACTTATCTACTCCGTATCTCCACCCACCTTTCGGTGCTCGGTGCTCGCGTAGCCTGAGCGCTAGCCGTTTCTGTACCCCGCTACTTTATAAAGCGGAGTAATTGATAGATTGATAGTGACTCTCAACATCCACCCCTTCATATCAGTTCGCAAAGATGGTCGACCAAACGAAAGTCCAAGAGGTTCTTGACACTATTCCTCTCGGTTACAGGGGAACCGGTGGTGCAATTGCCATTGTCAAAGATGGAGAATTGATCGGCCAGCGAGCCTGGGGTTACGCCGACATTGACCAACGTGTTCCGCTTACGCCTGATATCCAGATGCCCATCTGCTCAATTACCAAACAGTTTGTCTGTGCGCTTCTGCTTGATCTTCAGCGTAATCCGACCCCATCAATGCTTGCTAAAGGTGACATCCAAGCTCAATTCGACGACAAGCTACGGGAATTGCTTCGTCCGGAGTTGACTCAGGATGGTACTCTTACTCTTCAGAATCTCTGCGATATGCAATCTGGTTTGCGTGATTATTGGGCTATGACAGCTCTCTGGGGAACAAAGCCGGAAGATGAATACCTTGTGGAACGGGACTGTCCACCAATGTTGGAGCGCAGCAAGTCATTTCACTTCAAGCCCGGCTCTGAATTCTCCTACTGCAATGTCAATTTCTACGTCCTTGCTCGGGTTATTGAGCGTGTTACTGGTGAGCCTCTTGGAAAGTTGCTTTCTGAGCGAATTCTCAGCCCTGCTGGTATGAAAACCGCCTTCCTCTGCTCAGATAATGCCAAACTCCCCCCTCCTTGTCTTGGATACGAGGGAACAGAAGGATTAGGTTTTGTCCCAGCTGTGAATCGAATGGAATGGTCCGGTGATGCCGGATTGGTCGCCTCTCTTACTGACATGATTGCTTGGGAGAAATATCTGCAACACCTTTATTCCGATTCGGACAGTTGGTATCACAAAGTCGCTCAGCCAATCACATACTCCGATGGTAAATTTGCACCCTACCATAATGGTCTGTGCCATTCGGATATCAGCGGTGTAGACAATCTGGGCCATGCTGGTGCACTGCGTGGCTACCGATCTTGTCGAAGACATGCTTTGAAAGAAGGCCTATCGGTCGTGGTTTTGTTCAACCACGAACCAGATGTGATGGGCGCTAGCGAAGACGCTCTGAGAATTATTCTTGACAAGCCCAAGCCACAATATCCACTTGTCGAACCAAATACTTCCTGGTTCGGTAGCTTCCTCGACCAAGAAACCCAATTATCAATTACCATCAGCAAGGGATCGGCACCAGGCGAAATCAAGGTTCTATATCATGATAGCCCCGAAACCCTTCATCTGACCGACGCCACTCATGCTGAAGCCTCGGGCATCTCTGCGAATATTGATGGAGATGTACTGCGCATGCACCGTATTATGGAAAATAGGAAGGTAGAGGCTCAACGCCTTGTTCCGCGCGACTCTTCATTCAGAGATAAGCTGCTTCTGGGCGACTATAAATCTGAGGAGATTGAGTCTGTCTTTCACTGCTGGGGTGAATCCGGCTTGCTATATGGTGCCTTCGATGGGTATCTTGGAAAGGGGACAATAACCGGTATGAAATATCTGGGCGATGATGTCTGGGCTTTGACCTGCCCCAGAGGCCTGGATGCGCCAGCCCCTGGGGATTGGACTGTTGTCTTCCATCGTAATGAAAGCGGTGGTATTATTGGGTTTAAAATTGGCTGCTGGCTTGCAAGGGGAATTGACTTCATCAAGGTTTAACATGAGCAGTGGAATAAGATGAGTAACGCTTGTTATAGCTGTCTAGATCGTTAATCATTTTTTGACAGTACGCATGTCTAATTTAAACAGTTTTCAATATTAGAGTGAAGGATTTATTAGTCATAATACAAAGAGCAGTGGAGGCTGGGAAACGGGCCTGCATCCCCATATAAATGTTATACATGAGAAATCGCTGTACTCATTGGCAGCCACGAGCCGGGTACATTACCTCGTACCTCATAGCTCGGCGAACCCCAATATACCATCCAATCTGATTCCAGAATCATAGAAGCGGTGGCCCTTAGCCCAGGTCTGTAAACCAGCATAGATCTGAGCATATTCAGCAAAGCCTTCATTTCTTCCATATCCATACCAAGCGCGTCGCGTCTACAGCTGGTACGTTCCATATCTTCCAGTTCTTTGATTAATTGTTCTTCAAAAGGCAAAAGTGTCTCTCTCCCTTCTTGGGGTTCAATAAATTCATCAAAGAACTGGTATTTTGCCTTCCACCCGGCCCACCACTCAGGTGACAATGGCCCCAAGAGCTCTATTTGTTGAGAAGTTATCTCATCTGATTTCCCAAACCAGCTTGAGAATATGATCCGACCGGAAAAAATGTTCCATATGGCACACGCAAGGGTCCAAATATCAATAGCGAATGATATTGGTTTTCGGGCTCAAAATATGCCTCAGGGGGCAGGCAGTAACGAGGTGCGCTACAATCTTTCCCTAGTTTCGGTTTCTTGTTCTTCAATGGCGAGAATGCTTCTCCAAAGTCACTCAATATGAGACGGGCCTCGGATAACTTGAACTCGCAGGCCTGTTTCCCTAGCCAAATAGGCTCAGTGGCGTGTGTTGGGACGCCAGGGGTGAAAGGCTTTTCGTCAGATCTTTCAATGGTTTCCGTAGGGGGCTCCCCATATTTTTGATATAGTTCTGAAACTGAGAGTGTGTCAAAGTTCGCGTCCATGTCGATGAGAATGTTTCCGAAATTAATATCTGTATGCAATATATGAGCACTATCTTATCGAGGCTGTAATGATCGTACCTCCATGAACAATCCCTCGACTGTGTATGTAAGCTACAGTGTGGATTAGCTGAGCCGTCAAAGATCGAGCAACATCAATTGAGAAGGTGCTTGTCTCTGTTGCCTCAGCCAAGCTTACTTTTGCTGGCGATGTAATATAACACTCGTGGCAGCCATTGCACTTTGAGACTTGAAGTGGTCTTTGAGAATAGGGATCATAGGCCATCCCGGGTCTTTGAGATAAGATGGATCAGTCAAAGAAATCTGAAGATCAGCCTGATCGGATTTGAAATCTGCTGTGTTTATTTTTAGTGCGACGTGTGAGTTCTTTTGCTTGTCGCGTGCAAGCCAAATAGTCGAAAATGATCCGTGGCCTAGCTTATGGACAATGTGATATCTATCTTTCAAAGTATCACCGATAACCACTGGATGGTAACCGCCTTGTCGGTATTTCTACAAATTCTCAATGACCCATGATTTTATGATACTGAAGAAAGAATAAGTTCGGTCCGGGAATGACTTTGTTGATTGGGCTGTCGTTTGAGCTCGAGTATGACGGTACGATGAACAAGTCGAGACCAAGGGTAATAACCAAAGACGGGTCGGTCGAGAAAGGGCCAGGGGCCTCTGTCTCTGTAAGTGACTGCCTCTCATGAGTAAATTGCACGAAAAGTCATCATCAGTAACCAAGGGCGCAATGGAGGTGAGGTTATGTCGACAACGGGAGGAAGTTGTTCCAATCCGACTGATTTGATTAACGCGATCTAGGGCGATATGTACGCCAACTGCAACTGGTCAAGATCAGAATGAAGTTTAGATTTTTGTTTAGTGAAAAACAGAAATGAGAGTTGATGCTTGGCGGACTTCTGGTTGGCTTATCGCCATAAATTATGTATTATGCCCATAGTTTCAAGATTTGATACATACTAAGCGTTGTCTCCCACATTTTTTGGGTTTTACATTTCAATAACGGAGGCATAATGCTGCCGTATATGGATACCATCAAGCTATATGAAGTCTTATCATTTGTACTAGCCGTGCCTTACTCTACGGTCAGTATACCAAATGGGGTTGCGGGTAGTCGTGTTTAGTGTCCAGACCGTAGGGTAAGGCACGGCTAGTAGTAAAAAGACCATTGTCAATGGGATTTCTAGTCCGAGGCTCTATAACCCGCAAAGCTAGATTGAACCAGATCTAGGAGCTCCCTATAATTTGAAGGATCTTGGCCAATCCGTCGCTTGCACTTGTAAATTGCGATGTCAGCAGCCATTTGATTTTCACCCCCACTTGCGCAGGTGGAGAGGCTCGATCACTATAACTCGCCACATCCCGACGCAGCACGGCCCAGCCCGGCACCAAAACACCCAATAGTAAATATCCTGACCTGTTGTGTCACCAAGCCACACTTTATTGTCCAATCACGAATGGGAATTACAGGCCATCGGTAGCTCTTGCTGTGCTTTTGCCCTGCTGCATGTCATCTCCACTCTATCGAAGCGAACAAGTAGATTACTGGACAGGAAAGTGAGAAGGAGACATTTGACCCCAACAATACGTGTGATTCTGCACGGGTTCCAACCCCCTCCACTGAAAAATGACCGAACCTAGCCTATATAATGACAGGCGCTAAGAACCGCAGCACAAGCAGCGCAAGAATATCACATCTTCCAAACCACTCAGAGAAAAAAGAGGGATCCAGCCCCCAAATTCTATACAAATACACAATTACAGAGAAGTACGGGTAGCCTTTTGGCGTTAGGCATCTAGTGAAAATGGTTCTTCTCTTATCCGACTGGGCTCAAGACCCAGGAAGCATTGCAGTCGCTTTCTCCTCACTGGGGTTTCTACTCCACCTCAATCTCATTCCCTTCGAGATCGACGAGTCAACGCCTCTCTTAGCGAGCGCTTTTGTGTTGTTCTGGATAGGATTAGCTACAATCTTCGTCCGCTTCCTCGAGTTGAGTGTGTTTTCAGCGATTCTGAATACATTCCTAGCAGTGTCCTCTTTTACGGGAGCTCTTGCTACCAGCATGACTATGTACCGAGTATTCTTTCATCGCTTGCGTGATTTTCATGGTCCCCTGGGGGCAAAAATCAGTCGCTTCTTTGTTATGTCTGACATTTCAAAGTCTGGCTTGAGATACCATGTTGAACTTGAGAAAATGCATCAAAAGTACGGCGATTTTGTACGAGTCGGTAAGCAAAATCACTGTCAGCCTAAGCTAGTATCTTGAATTAACCAACTGATAACCTCAGGGCCGCGAGAGATCTCCATTAACAGGGCATCTGCTGTACCCTTGGTTCTTGGTCCACAATCCCGGTGCAGAAAATCTGCTTGGTATAGCATAGTGACCGGCGATCCACATAAGAACTCTCTAGTAACTATCCGAGACCATGATATTCATCGTGCGAGACGGAAAGTGTGGGACAAGGGTCTCGGGATTAAAGGTAAGGCGTGATCCCGATGGCACTATAGCGGGCTCACAATAAGTTAACCTGATTCTGGAACCATCTAGCCATGGCGGATTATATGCCTCGGGTTGAAGCTAAAGCAGATGAATTTATTAAAGGATTGAGAGAGCGTACAGGCAAAATAATCGATATCACACAGTGGTCATTGTTCTATACATTCGACGTTATGGGACTAATTGCTTTCAGCAAGGACTACGGGCAATTGAATAATGGCAAAGAGCATTTTGCCATCACCGGCATGCATGATCAGATGGAACTGGTTGGGGTTTTCAGCGCAGTTCCCTGGCTGATGCACTTGTTGCAATCTATCCCCGGCATCAAAGGATCATTCGAAATTTTCCTTAAATATTGTAATCAACAGGTGGATGAAAGGAAAGCAGTAAGAGCAATCATCAGATGTAAACGGACAACTTGAAATTACTAATTGATAATAGGAATGGAAACAGGACGAGGAGAGAAAACCAAATGATGTTGTTTCCTGGTTGATTAAGTCGATGGAGGATGGCGGCCCATCAGCCCCAGGCCCTGTGGCACTCTATGAAGATGGGAGATTAACCATCGTTGCTGGAAGGTATGCAAGTGTATAATATTGTCATGGTTGGGTTTCAATAACCTCTAACAGATTGATAGCGATACGACTGGAGCAACACTAGCCAATGCCTTCTACTTCCTAACAACCCACCCCGAAGTATATCAAAGACTGCAAAAAGAGGTGGACCAAGTGAAGGCGAGTGGCGGCGATGCATCGCAGATTCCCTATCTCGATGCAATAATCACGGAGACTCTTCGGTTGAAACCAGTCGTGCCCAGTGGTCTAAAGAGACTCACCCCACCCGAAGGTCTTGTGGTCGATGAAGTGTGGATTCCAGGAAGAACGATTGTCATAACTCCGCAACATGTCCTACAGCGAGATGAGCGCAATTTTGAGCGACCCTTGGAGTTTCTTCCAGAAAGATGGTTGGAAGAAGGAAAACATATGCACAAAGATGAACGCGCGTGGTTTCCTTTCAGTATAGGTATGACGCATCTAAGGAGAAGAAATTTGATATTTACTTGTAGGGTTTCAGCTAATCGATCCCCAGGCCTCTATTCCTGCGTTGGTAAACATCTAGGTCTTATGCAGCTTCGATTTGCTCTACATAGGGTTGCGACTGAGTTTGATGTCTCATTTGCCCCTCAAGAAGACGGCAGGAAATTTTTCGAAGACGCAAAAGATACTTTTACCATGACTTGTCCATCTCTTCAGCTTGTTTTGAACAAGCGACAATTAGCTCAGTCTTGAGATAGCATCAGCACATAGTACATTTGGTCTTTCCAGTCTCACTATTTTCATAACATCTTTTGCATTCTCCCATCTTCATTGGTATTACATGTCTATACGCTTCGGAGTCATCTTAAATGAACTTGGTGTTTGTTATTGGTCTCTGAAAGCTTGGAGACCATTACTACTACTAGTAGTACTTAGATGCGTCCAATACCAACATTGAACAAAGCACGATATCAATCCGCGTCCTAGTATGATTGAGGATCGAATAAGCTTGGAAGTAATAAAGTATTATGTAAATGGATGTATTCAAATGTTTCTATCAATGAATAGTTTGTTTAACAATCATGATGTATGTAGTACATATATGCAATAGCCATTTAATGGCAGACGTAGATATACAGTCGGTGAAAACCGACATAAAAACCCAAAATATCGTACAATAACGCCCATCACATGCGTCCCCATAAACTCCAGGGGAATTCAAGAATTTTTGTTTTTAAGAAAAGAAATATTGACTGTCACGGATACGGGTAATATCCCAAGTACCCTTGGCAGGGACGTTACGGAAGCGAAGAGGCAACCAGAGCCAAGTGTAGGCGCCTTGGGCGGGCTTCTTCTTTGTCGAGGTGCTTGCGTCTGCTGTATCATCGGCATCGATAATTCCATTGTCTGTTGTAGTGTCCTTGGAATCCATCATGTCGAGCTCAGTGAACAAACTTGAGATGGCAGGGTCGCTGAAATCAATGTTTGCGTCTGGTCTGCGCTCGGCGGCAGCTAAGTCTTCTGGGATCTGACCCACTTCAGCGGCTCCCAAACTGCTGGAAATAACGAGATCACTGTCGGATCCACCAAGTGATTCAAAGATTCCGGCTGCAGTCTGCATGGCACGGCCTTCAGCTTGCTCAGCAGGATCTTCCGATCTCAAAAGAGCCTGTCGTCGGGATTCAGCGAACAGGTCCATGATCTTCTGGTTGTTACCGGCAGTTTTACGACTAGCACGGATTGCCTTCGCGATTGGGTTTTTGGCGGGGAGCTTTGCGAGGAACAAGTTCTTGCTGTAACGGATATTAAACTCCGCCGCAAGCCGCCCAATAACATCATCGGAGTGCATGTGGACGAAAGCATCACGGAGGATATGGTTCATGGTATCGATATCGCCGGCATGAGTCCAGAAGGAGTCATGCACGGCAGAGAAAGTAAGACCGGCTCTCTCGCACGCGTTGGCGGATAACATCATATGAGTCGCATCGAGGGAGTGGATGAAGTTTGGTGGGAACGCCTGGAGCTGCTTGCGTCTTGAGACTACGTCTTCGGTGCTGTAGTCCACAACATTGATGTCTTGTAGACTAGTCTGGACACGCCGCGCCTTGCGGGTGCGGTATGGTTGAACGACAGGAAGACCAAGCGGTGTGGTCCAAATGACGGTTGACCGGAATCTCTTGGCTGGATCTAAAGCCTTGGACGCCGTCGCAGATTCATCAGAATTAGGCGACATCACTTCCTTAGCGATTTGATCAATCTGATCGGGAGAAATAGACTGAGTAATACGGCTGGCACAATCACCTAGCCAGTGCTGAATCTCAGAGGCACCATTGAACATGGTACCAAGAGCTTGGAAAATCTTGCGGGCGATATACAAGGAGCCTGCTTTCTTTTGCTCAACACTCATTTCCGGGTAGTGGTCGACGAGCTGCCTGCGAACTTGTCTCATTGCACCCATGAAGGTCACACCGTAGACATTAGTCATGACAGTCTGCTTAACGATTTTTCGAGTAATCTTTCCATCGAGCACCTTGGCCATCTGGTGGCCTTGTGCGGCGTCTGCGGCCACAGCCTTTTTCACATAATCTGATACACCGGTATAAACATCAGATGGTCTATCAGATGGCTCGAGGTTGACCTGCTGAGCACCCACGCTATCACCACCAAGCGCAGCATAGTGCTGGAGGCCGTTACAAGAACCATCCTGGTGAACTGGCAGACGAGAAGGATATTGGAGCGGGTCAGGATGACGAAGAGCATTGCGAAGTTCGCAACAAGCTGCCAAACACTGCCATGGATCCTCTGCCTTCAACCACCATCGCTTGCCATTGAGACCATTGTTGGCAGAGTCCAGGATGCTGTCGAGGTTGTCCACAGCGAATTGCTCACGCTCGGCCATGCTTGCTTTGTCAAATCCAGCCAAATTGGCAATGTGAATCTTCAGCCAGCGCATACCATTGACACCAAGTGGCTTGGCTTTGCTGAAAAGAAGTAGGCCTCTGGCATTATCTGCCCCCATCTGGTTAAGGTAGGGGGGAAGAGGGTAGGCACGACCACGGAAATCCATGTTATGAGGAAGGTAGAAGGTCTCGTTACGGAAAGAACGTGCAACTTCCATCTGAAAGTTTTGGAAACATCTTTGCGAGTGGAAACCGGACCTCTGGTTTTCCAAGTCGCGCATCTGGTTCTGCCAAGCCTTCTCTGCTTCAGGGCCAGCTGAGGGATCTGGCTTGGGGGGTAGTTGAAGATCTGGCTCCAAGGGCGACAGGTTTGCGACGTCTTCACCGGAGTTCCAAGCTTCAAGCATAACATCAAAAACGTCTCGGTTGATAACCCAACCAGTGCCACCGAGAACATCAAGACCATGTCGAATTTCCTTCAAGCCATCCTTTTCAAGGGCGGTTTTGACATAAAGGGGCTGAAGCCCTTCACCAGGAGTAGTACGGACGATGTTGCTTTGATAGATCAAGTAGCCTCCATCTTTTGCCCCTGTCCATGGTTTTGGAGCGCAGACCATGGGAAGGTGGCGACCAAGGAGATCCACTGGAGGTTCTGACTTGACTATTTTCACAATCTCCGGGTGCAAGTGAAGGAGGCCCAGGCGTTTTCCAAATGTGATCTGGTAAAGATGTTGAAAGGCGGGTTGCATGGAGCGCGTCACTTTTCCTGTCTTATCGTTCTTGCTCTTGACGGGGGCTTTGGCGACATCGAAGAGAAAGCAGGTCAAGACCGCACCAACTCTGACTTGGATTCGCGAGTTCCAAGACAGTGTAGGATCCTCCACTTGCATACTCTCAGACATATTCTTCCAACGCATGCGGCCAGTTTTGCTCTTTCGGTCTCCAAGAAGTTCTTTCAAGACTTTGGTACGACGAGAGTCCTGATTAGTGGCCTTTTTAAGGCATGCATCCGCAATCAACTCATCTTGGATGTCACGCCCAACGGTGGAAGCAACTGCAGAAATTTTGACACCTTTGTCTACGCCCGCGCGAGTGAAAGAGGCAACTGTAGCGAGAATAGTGATCGCAGCCAGGCGGTCGACATCAAGGCATTTGAGGAAGACCGAGTATTCGCATCGGTTCAACTGCGCGGTTGTTCGAATTGGTTTTCCTTCTTCTTCCTCTGCCATCTTGAGTTCATTTTTGATTTTGAGCACAAGATCACCATGCCATTGGCTGATCACAGTGTTTATTTGCTTTTTGCTTGTCATTGTATCAATTCCAGCTTTTGTCATGCCTTCATATTCGGCACGCCAGCGATTCCTTGCAGACTTGATTGTATCAGCCTCAAGTTGCCGTTGTCTGAGTTGGTTGTACAATTCTTTTCGTTGTTCTTCGGTGCCTTCGAAATCAGCGGGGAGAGAAATTTGAAACTTGTCCGCGAACAAGCCCAGAGATTCCTTGAGTGAAGTTAATCCAAGACCCTTCTGATCCGCCGCTAGAACTTCCGCGATTTGATCCGTGTTTTGAGGCGACAGGTCGACAGAGTTTTGAAGTTCTTCTAAATCAATTTTGGCGTGTCCTAAATCGGAGGAACAAATCTATGAAAACGAAAGTTAGACAGATTCCCGTATAAGTTCAGCTGCGGCGGACAAAAACAAACCTCAGACAATTCACCCAGATCCAGATCTGTCAGGATTTCAACTGCCAAAAGATCCTCGTGAAGATCCTCCTTCTTAGCAAGTTCCCAGTATCGGCGGACTGTCCGGTCGCGCTTAGAACCGTGGAGCATACGCAGCGCCATGCGAATCATAGAGGCATACGTGATGGGATCCGGCTTCACGCCAAGGGCGCCCATGTCACGCTCAAACCACCTTTGCACCGGGGGAACCATCTCGCTCTGGCGATATATGATCATATGAGAGATCATTTCCTTCAGATACCGGTTGTGCAGGTGTGTGAACTCGACAGAGTCGGCCGTGTAAACAGATCTCAAACGAGTTAACAGAGTGGCGGCTCGATCAAATCTGCCAACCTTGAGGGACATATCGAAATTGGCCATCATCTCGTTGGGATCGCCACCAATGCCTCGAACTTTGCGAAAGATTGTTGGCTGGGTTGTGGGTTCCTGTTCAACGATGATCAAGGAAGACGGGTCGAATTCGATGTTCGAAAATAAGGATTTCGGGCTTATCGGCGATTCCATAGCATGCGTCAATGAAGATTCATCAACGATGGACGAGTATGACGGTTGATCGAGTACGAACGGATCCGCTGCGGTAGCGAGGTTGCGATGCGACGATTGGAAAGATGGCCTGCGCTTTTCAGGTGCCGGGTTGCTAGGAGAATTCAACACAGGACTCGATCGAGCAGAACTAGAATGGAGTCGGGGCATCGAAGACTTGCCCAATGCCCGGTGGGCATTGGCCTTTCGTAAATGAAAGATGGCATTTTTCTGACGAGCAACTCTGGACAACATGATGCAAATGTGGCGCTTGAAAAGGCGGAGGTATTAATAAAATGGAGGTTATGAGAGGGGAGGCATTAAAATAATAAAGAGGTGTAAATAGTAAAGGGCGTAAATGCAGATAACTGATCGAGAAGATGTAGAAGCGCTGGGAGGAAAAAAAGGGACAATTCTGGAGCGACGAAGTATCAGGTATCTCTTGGCGTCAAAACCTCCAGAATCGAATGAATGCCGTCCCGCAGCCCTCGCCGTAAAAGAGATGGACAGAAAAGAATGAAACGGGGGGAGGGATGCAAAAGGGGATGTCGAGCACAAGAGCAAAACGGAGTTTCGGGATGAAAAAAGCAATCGCGGATAAGATTGCGGACGCGTGACTACACGTGACCAATTTTGATCTCTGGCGATGTTAATTGGCGGATCACTCTATGACTGTGGCAATGTGCTCGAATACGATGAATTATGAATTTGACGTCCTTGTGATTAATACAGGGACCGGTGGAGCACTCTTCACTACCAATTTAATTATTATCAAGAAGCAAAAAGTATAATCTATAATAGAGTGAGTTATGCTGGTCGAGAATTGTTATTGTAGATTATTTTATTCAAGGATAACTTGGAATAAAAACGACGGATATCATTGTGAACAGATCATAATCATTACATTTTCTATGTTAGAATTCAGTAGGGATATCTGGAAATTAATCCTCATCCTCGGTATCTGACGCGCCATCTCTTTGCTTTTGGCGATTTTGCTTCATAGCCCAGCCCGTCATTTCTGGATGGGCGGGGTCAATTCGAGGAGCACTCATACCATCAAGGTATGCCTCGCTATTGATAACCGCTTCCAATTGCTGAAGGTCTTCGGGGTGCTGATTCATCATGTAGTTTTCGTAGGTGTACCAAGATTCTTCCGTCTGTAATCGAATGGCGTTAGATATATGTCATCCATGGCAGAATTCAAGAGGGGCGCCAACAACAAGGTCATAAGTATACATACCTCAGCATCAATCCAGTCAAATTTCTTCCACTTCTCTTCTTGCATTCTCCTCAGCAGATCCAGGTTCCCAGCCAGCACGGCACCGCCATCTTCTGCGCCCTTAACCTTCACATCGATCGCACGAGCTTCGGGCTCAGCCCGCTCTTCCTCATCTTTCTTGCCCTTGGCTCCACGTCCTTTGGGCATCTCATCTAGAGCATCGACATGGTGGTTTTGCGGATGTAATTGCACCACGGCGGCGACAGGAGAAAGATGCAGGTTTTCTAGAATCACCGTTAGCATTTGGTCAACACTCAAAATTGGGTTCCGCAGAACAAAGCATGACCGCAAAGAGACGGATTGCACATACTTCCTTTAAAGGTTCCGAGCATATGAACAGGATCTCCCTCCTCTGGGGGCTTGATCCGCCCACCGAGCGCTTGTGTCTTGACCAGTAACTTTGTATCCACCATTTTCTTGTTATCGAACACTTCAACGTCTCCGCCTTCGCTCTTAACTCTCATAGCATTTCCAGCTGCCAGTGCTCCCGCACTAAATCCACCGGACATTCCGAAAGAACCACCATCGCGAGCAGATCGACTTTTCTTCATACCCTCTCCATAATTCAGACCTTTCTCCACATTGTAGTTGATACGGGTGTGGATGGGGACATCCATCTCAACAAGGCCTGTATTAGGCTTCATGCGAAGCTCTGTCGGTCTCTGGCCACGGCGTTCATTGTAGGGTTTGTTCTGGGGGCGATCGATATATTGGAAGACATAACGAGAGATTTCGGAGTCTGTCAGGAAGACATCATATGATGAGATGACAGGGTCATCATCTTCGATGGAACCCATTGTGTTGCGATAAGATAGGACGTAATGATAATCAGATAAAAGAATAGCCACCAGTGAGATCCCAAGTACAGATCAGAAAGAATTAAGCACCGGGCTCTTGCTCAACACACCGTCGACTTTTTTTCCTCTTCGCTTTGATCAATTGGTTAAGCGGGGCGTGGCAGAAAACAAGCCTGGAAAGCTTCGCTCACCGCCTTGAAGCGCCCCCTCCAAACGCGGACACCCCTTGCAATGCTTTAGACTGAAGGCTCGAAACACGAAAGTCCTGATTGACTATCTCAACAGACACAATATTGCGCACAGTATCGCGCACATTCTTGGCATACATGACCTGTTTCCGATCTGGTTTTGAAGATGTTTGCTTTGTTGATTATTGGTTCTTTCTCGGTGGTGATGGCGATGTATGGATGAGAGCAGGATTTAAACATATGATACCCAATCAATCAATCAAGTTTCTATGACCTGATAATTTTTTTCCTCTGAGAATCAGAAATCTACATAAGCTGTAATCTACGATTATTCTTATTCTACGAGGCGTTCAATCTCGAACCCTTCCTCAGATGAAAGTTCACCAGGCCTTTTGACCTATCACGCCTATTGCCATTCCCATTGCAAAACTTCAAGGGGTCTGTGCGCTTCAAGTTCATGGCCTGGCACTTATATGATAATTTAGCACTACTAGTAGTCCTAGAGGGTTGGCCACGAGTAAGATGACTTCTGAATACGATTATGACTAGATGCTTGAACATTGAAGTACGTGATTGAATAAATTCGTCTGGCTGAGGCACAACGTATAATTTTGTCCATGAATACATAAGATAATATAAAACAAGTAAAAGGCTTTGCACGAGCGGAATCATTCGTTCGCCAGAAACAATGCATCTAAAATACGCGCAAGGATATAAAAACGAATGTCGCAAAATAGAAAATCAGTCATTTTAGGTTTCCAATGGCGGTCGTAACACGTCGGGATATTTTCGGTCGGATATTACTCCAAAAATCTACTCTTCTTCCTCTTCTTCATCTTCGGCAATCTGTTGAAAAATGTTAGCATTTGCAGTTTCCCAGTTGATACGAATTCACTTACGCCCTCGTGGAAGTTGGTTCCATCGGTGGTTGCCTTGATGACATCGGCGCGAATACACCAGTCACCGAAGCGCTCGGGGGTCTCGCCGTCGGTGTTGCGCTCCTTAGAGTAGCGCTTGAGGAGGTCCTTCATGATATCAAGGATCTCATCCTCCTTGATGGAGGAGCGGTAACGCTTGTTCAGACGCTGTCCGTGGTAGCCACCACCCAGGTACATGTTGTAAGCACCGAAGGCCTTACCGACGAAGGCAACCTCGGCAAGCCAGGGGCGAGCACAACCGTTGGGACAACCGGTCATACGCATGACAATACTATCCCGAGCGAGGCCGTTCTCCTCAAGAGTGTCCTCGAGCTTGGAGATGAGGACGGGGAGGTAACGCTCAGACTCAGCCATGGCCAAACCGCAAGTGGGGAAGGCAACACAGGCTGAAGAAGACAGACGAAGTCCGGAGAAAGCAGTGTTGTCAAGCTTGTACTTGGCCATGTACTCCTTGATGAGAGGAAGATCCTCATTAGTGATGTTGGACATGATCAAGTGCTGGTTACCGGTGAGACGGAACTCTCCCTTTCCAAGAGATGCGATCTCGCGGAGACCAGTACGCATCTTGAAGTCGGCGGTATCCTCGATACGACCGTTCTCGATGAAGAAAGTGAAGTGGTTAAGACCCTTCTCATCCTTCAGCCAGCCGTATGTATCGACGTTGGAGGCGAACTTGAAGGGACGGGGCTCGGCGAAGCGGAGACCCTCGGGCATCAGCTCCTCGACCTTGCTCTTGTAGACCTCAACACCCATATCGTCAATGGTGTACTTCATACGAGCGTGCTTACGGTTCTTGCGGTCACCGTTGTCGCGCTGCACAAGCATGATCTTCTCGCAAGCAATGTGGATCTGGTCCTTGGGGATGAAACCAAACATACGACCAACCTGGGGGTATGTCTTGGTGTTGTTGTGTGTGGAACCCATACCACCACCAGCCAGGACATTGAAACCCTCCAGGTGACCGTCAGCACCCTTGATAGCAATCAGACCAATATCATGAGCGTAGACATCAGTATCGTTGTGAGGGGGAATAGCGATTGTGATCTTGAACTTGCGGGGCAAATAGGTAGGGCCGTAGAGGGGCTCGTGGTCAACAACAGCATCTCCAGCAACTTGGACCTTGTTGTCGGCATCGTCCTTGAGCCAAATCTCATGGTAGGCAGTAGTCGAAGGAAGGAGGTGTTCACTGATCTTCTTGGACCAAACCCAGGTCTCACGGTGGAACTCGGAGAGCTCAGGAAGAGAACTGCACATGACGTTACGGTTCACGTCACCACAAGCAGCGATAGTGTCCATCAGAGACTGGTTAATGGCCTGCATAGCACCACGGAGCTTGCTCTTAATGACACCGTGGAACTGGAAGGTTTGACGGGTTGTGAGCTTCATAGTCTCATTACCATGCGAGCTGCTAATGGCATCCATCTGCAGCCACTGCTTAGGAGTAGCGACACCACCGGGAAGACGGCAACGAATCATGAAGCTGTAGGCGGGCTCAAGGCCTTGAGCCTTGCGCTCATCACGAATATCACGGTCATCTTGCATGTAGGTACCATGGAACTTGGTGAGCTGGGCATCGCTAGCAGAAATAGCACCAGTAGTCTCATCCAAAAGACCTTCGGTAATGGTACCACGCAGGTAGTTTGACTGGATCTTGATATCCTCGTTGGTTATGGGTGCGGGCTCCTCAGGTAGACCCTCGACCTTGTCAACTCCCATAGCTTGCCACAGACGGGGCTCCCACTCGGAGTAACCAGTCTGGTAAGAATCTGGGTCCTGGTCATCACCAAGACCAGTATCAATCATCTTGCGACCACCCAAGAAAGCGACACGGGCATCGAGGTCCTTGGCGGGCTTGTTGTAGTAGATACGGTCCTCCTTGCGGGGCCAGTAGTGGCTATCACCCAGACCGAAAACAGTGTAGTGGATAGATGACAGATCGAGATCGCCAGTGTTCTTAACATGCTCCCACAGGGAACGACCATTGACAGGGAATTCACCCTGGCCAGCAGTACTGGTAATGAACACCACGTTCTCCTCAGTGGCCAAATCCTCAATAGGGTACTCATCCATGGCAATAACCATTGTCTTGAGACCACGAGCACGGCCGCGGTTACCAAGACGCTTGGCGATGGTCTGAGCATTGCCACCATCAGAGGCAAAGAGAATGGTAAGAGGGGCACCGAAGAGGCCATCCAGAAGCTTCTCGTATGAATCCTTGGCTGTACGTTTCTGCAAGGCGCGAACTTCGGAGCCGTAAGACTCAGAAAGAACAGGTGCGTACTTGGGCTGACGGTTCATGAGCTGGGTAAGCTGGTTGTCCCGACGAAGGAACTCCTCCAGCTCACGCTTAATACGCTCGGAATCCAGGGCGAACTTAGGCTCGCCCTTCTCCTCGTTCTCAGGGTTCCAGCGGTACAATGGCCAGTATCCAAGGTCAACAGCCTTCTTGGTCTCTTGAAGAACAGTGAGCGCAGAGTCGTTCTCCTGGTTGTAGGGGAGGTAAGCAACGACAACAGAGGGACCCTTGAACTGCTCGGCCTCGGCCATAGCCTGAAGCACCTGGGTGTATGAGCTGTAAACAGCAGTGGAAGCAACGTAGGCATTGCCGAAGTTCATGGCGTAAAGACCAATGTCCTTCTTGCGGCGAGTTGGATCCGCTGCGCTGCGCTCAGAGTAAGGTTGGGAATCAATGATCAGCATGTTGACATTAGCACCGGAAGCGAGAACATGGTGAACACCGGAGTTTCCAAGATCGTAAGCCCAAGCATCGGAGCCGACGAGCCATTGAGACTCATCGTAGAAAAGCTTCTTGGACTGAAGAAGGTCACGAGAAAGTTGAGAGCCATCGTTAGAAAGACGAGCAATAACATCGGGGGCGATCTTGTTAGCCTTGGCGCTCTCGTTGGCGCTCAAAGCCCATCGAGACAGCCAGGTCTTAGGGGTATCAGTGGCAAAGGTGGTAGATGTGGTGGCCTTCTCAACTTCCTTGATGAAGCGGACACGGTGTTCCTTGCGGGCAAGAAGAGATCCGAAACCATATTCAGGGCTAGCGGCAATAGTAGAAGAGATACCGGCATCCTTGGCGTCAATCTGATTGGCAATGTAGAGTCTCTCTCCAAAGAGCTGGTTGAGAATCTTAAGGTAAGCATTCTCAATGCGGGGCTGCTCAAGGGCAGGCTGAGGGGCGGGAGCCTTGGAGCTTCCAATATCCAAATTCTGAATGGGGGATGGAGCATTGAGGTTCTGAACAATCCCACGCAGAGCCTGAACAGCTGTGGAAGGCTCAACAAATCCGAGGCGGTATCCAACGATCTTCGGCGCCTGTCCGCGAACGGTAGAAGGGGTCAAGCTAGAAAGCAAATCCATGAATGAGGGACCCCACTTGGTAGTCTTGCGAACCTGCTCAAGAACGGCGATCTTCTCAACAGATTGAGGAATAGAGTTCACAATCTGGCCACCAATCCAGGGACGGTAAAGACGAGCAGTAATCAGACCAACATTCTCAAGCTCGCTGTTGGTACCGGTCTGGGACAACGCATCGACAAACACACCGGTGGAGCCAAAAGCGAAAATGGCAGACTTCGCATCAGCGGGACCAGTGTATTCAATTGCATTGTAAGTACGGCCGACTTCTTTTGAGAGGGCGGTCCAAATCTGGGAAGTCCAATCGAAGATATCAGCAGCGTTGACAGGACGAACGCTAGCGTAGTCCACGGTAGTAGCGGTGGAGCTGGGAGCTTCACTTCCAGCGCTGCTGTCTCGTCGTGATGAGCCAACTGAGGAGTTATCAACGCTCGCGTTGAACGGAGTCTGGCTCTGAGATGCTGTGGGTTGGCTAGCCGGGGCATCGCCCTGGGCAGGGGCAATGCCCACCGTCTCAGCGGAAATGGTAGCAGTACGGCCGGAGTCGGCGTACAAAGTGGCAGCTTCGGTAGTGCTGTGAGAAGCAACATTGCCAGCCAAGTTCAGGATCTTCTTCACAACCTTGACATCCTCAGCAGGAATGCTAGAGTCCTTGGCGGAGTTGGCGGGGTCAAAGAAGTGGATAACACCCTTGCCGGACTTGAGTGCCAGGGCATGTGCGGTAAGAGCAATATCTTGGGCTTCTTGCACGGTCTCGGAGTGCAGGAATGTGAAGCCGCATTGGCGGATAGAGCTGATCACTGAGTAGTCGGGAGATGGGGAGGACTCCAGGGCGACATGGATAACAACCGGGTAGCTGGCGAGGCGGTATAGGTGAGGAACAGAGGAAATTAGGATGGAAGAGCCAGTAACGACCGAAACAGTCTCGCCATTCTGAAGAGGGTGGAAGGTAGAGAGGAGGGGGTCTTCGTTGAAGCGCACGGCTTGGACCTTGAAGCAAGTTATTTTGGTGTTGTTATGATCATGTATAGCTTATATAGACTCACTCGTGGTGTTTCTCTAGATAGAGCACTGGCTGTGCTGCTTGACTTCAAGGTCTTGAGAGACTTGGAGAACAGGGAATCTGTCTGCAATGAAGGCTGTACAGAAAGCACAACGTCGCTTGCCAGGTAGGCAATTCTCGCCACTAGTCAAAAAAAAGCCAAGAATTAACAATTGATCATTTTGTTTGGATGGGGAGACTCCGACGCATACCGGCTTCACCAGCAGATGTAATAGCTGCCATGGCTAGCAATTGGTGGGATGTTCAGCGCACAGGGTGGTATAGGCAAATCGCTCGATATAGGCTTATCGGCGCATGCAGCGATCTCCCACTTTTGCAGATCCCCCGAAAAAGCAAAGAGATGGCAGAAGGAGAATGACACGATTGAAGCCTCTCACGCAATTATTAGATCTATCCAACAACCTCAAGAGAAAAAAACAGTGCCACCGCTCGGTTTTCTACGCGGGCAGCAGTAAGTTGGGTTAGATCAGCAGCATTCTGATTGGTGCACGATCACGACATCAATGCAAATCCATACTTTAACCTGTGCAAACATACCCTTTTGGGCCGTAGTGCGGGGGATCCCGTGACCAAAGCCGATCACGTCACCGTCGGCGTTTGCTTGGCGGGTTCTGCAAAGAAAAAAAAATCTATTAAAAAAAAGTATACATAGCAGGGATTCAAATCCCGTCTAAGTCTCGGCACTTGATATGTACTTCATAACTATATAGATTATTTTTTTAAAAAAAGATACATATATAGTATCTGGATCATTATCCATCATTTCCAACATGATGTGCCAAAATTGTTGATTTTCAATTCCTTTCAAGGTTCGGGATCCAGACCGGTATCGGGACTTTGTGCGGTAGATCTAGTGGGCAGATATACCTCGAGACGAAAGGGGGGATTGTTTCCCGCAGAGTAGCCCTAAGATAAGTACCAATAGTAGAGCGGCGATTACCGATTCACTCGGTCGAGAGATTCGATCCCAAAACTCGTTATATAATAAGCTGCCATATATCATGATGTGATTTTTACTATTCATAGTAAAAGAAATAAAAAGCAAATGCCGAAGAACCCCGGTAGAAGGCAACCTGAAGCAAGAGAAAAAAAGGGTTCGACTGATTCTGAGGGCGATAAGCCCAAACCCCGCGGTGGCGGGCGGGCCTTAGGTACTAATGGTCGCAAGTTTATGTATTCGCTGATTGGGCATGTCCTTCTTATGACATGTATCCATAAAGAGACTCAATTAGAACACACTCCGATTTTCGAAGTGGTGTATTTTAGCCATATTTAAGTTATCCCACTGTGCGAGGCTTGAGACCTTGGGGTGGCTACACAGCACCGAAGTTCCACCGGCGGTGACTGTAAGATCATAGTGCTGGGGAACACCACAGACATCAAGTAACATTTTACCCACTAGGGCAAAAGACTACTGTATCTGGCAACTGCCAGATACTCCCCAGGTCCACTATATATACTACATACCTAGTACAGATCTTTCCTGTGGTCCACCCGCGATGGCGTGGTCTCACTGTGACTTAACCCGGGCACCAACCATACCTATTGTTATGGATTTGCTAGTGCTAGTAGATCGATATATCCCACGGGCAGCGTACTACGACAAAGCATACTTAAAGCATACTTAAACCTTGTAATTGAAAGCAGCCATCAAACCTTACCTTCTAGAAACATCTATTTGAGAAGTCAAACTTAGAAGCTAACCAAACTGACTACTTGAACATCCATTAAATGGTCGCAGTCATTTATACTACTAGTACATGACCACATTCAGCTGTTCAACTTGAACTTGAAGTTCAATATCTACTAGTACCTAGTAGGTAAAGCTCAAGTTGAACCAATCCATGGATACTACTAGGTACTAGCACTGAGTTTGAATCATTCAAACGAAAGAAAAGGAAAGAAAGATGAAAAAAACCTGATCCCCATTCGAAAACAAACCCAACATTGCAAATTCCCATATTCTCAGCCGGAGAAATGAGATATTCTGTTCTTAAATATCGCTTTTACTATGGTGTTTTGAGTTAATGTGCCGAGCTAGAGCTGAAAAGAACTCGGGAAGCTGGCTCCAGACGCCACTAGTTTACGCCATCCGTTGGAATCGTTGGAATCATGAAAATGTGCTACAATGTTCTTTTTGGTCAGGACCGCACATATTGACCAGTCCTTGGATGGAGAAAAACCTCTGGAGGCCTAGGGAAGAATTCCCGCACTCCAAGCCGGGTACCACACTTCATCAAGAACGATGACAAAGCACTAGCGTTTCTTGGAAAGGTCAAGAGCCATCGAAAAGCCAACCCAGGCAATGTCTATATATATCACGTGACTCGGGGTTAGGATCGACCTCACAAGGGCATGCGCAGCATTACCAACTGCTAACATCCAGCTTTTAGTAAGCCTGGAGGCAGCAGTCTTTTCAACAAATTCGCGTCTTCAATGTCATCAAAATTTGTAAGCTCAGCCCAACCATGTTTGGCAACCCATATAGCTTCTTTTGAGCCCTCATCAAAACACCCGTATGCAATATCTTGAATGAATAAGAAGCCGAATGAGAATACAAGACGTCGGGATTTTCCATAAGCATAGTTTAAAGACCGCAGAATCTCACGAGCGAGATTTTTAGTATCAGATGTTATCCCAAGTAGAGCCGTTGTATTTGGTTCGTCCAGAACATATTCTTGATAGGATGCTTGGATCGAGCTGGGGAATAGCTGGAGCGTATGCCACAACTGCATGAGCAAAATTCGTATTGCATCGTAAGTACAAACTGTAAAGGCTGTCCACAGGTTGTCGTATCTTAGATGCGTGCGAAAGAGTGATTCGTTGGCTGCCCAATATGAAGTGACTTCTGTGGCAGCTTGTATATGCTCCGTTTCCCACTGGTGCCACCAAGTATTCAACTCATTGAGAGAAGTGGCAACTTGAGTCCTAAGATGAGAATAGTTAAATTCCTGGCTACCCCTGCTGCTGCGATATTGTTCTAGTTGAGATATGTATTCAGCAATGTCTGTCCCGATATCCACAAGATAATCAATTTCTGATTTCGATGGGGGGTCATCTTCCCAAGGCACCGTTTTCCAAATAGGATCATGAAGAAATGTTCTCTGACGAGAAACAATCGACTTCACTACCTGTGATCTGTCAGATATGGGCTTGACATACTGAGATATCGCCTACCAGTATAATACGGTGCTCAAGAAATATGCTTTTCCTGGCGTATGGCTTTTGTTGCTGTGGGCCCCTCCACTCCAAAAGCCGACCAAGGCCATTTGCGTGCAACATCCAAGTTTTCTGTGTCCTAGACGCTAGTATCTGCACTCGTCAATATCTTTCTGTATTGATGTGACTCCATGGCTTACCTCATAGATGCAAAGAATAGTTATAGACGCCAACGTGCTTTCAGAACATCGATCATCGGGATTTGAAAGTTTATTACGAAGTTCCGACAAAGCCTGTCCGTACAATTTGAGTGCACTTATTATCACATCTTGGTTGTTTTTGGATTGCCCGAAAACAACCGCGGCCAAAGCATCCCACGACCTTTGGCGTGGCCTTTGAGGAGACTTGGCCAGCTCTGAAATCCAATATGTCGGTAAACCACACCGTATTTCCCGCGTAGTAGTCATTGGAAACAGCTTGGAAAAAAGATAGGATATGAGTATATCGTCCCTGAATGCCGTTAGCGGTAGCATATCTGCTAAGAAAGGAGCAGGCTTTGGGGACTAGAATCGGTAAATTAGACCTGAACAAGATACCAAGTAAGAATTATTTTTACTGTTGAAAATGTATAGGACTGGGCACGAGAACGTATCAAGGAGCCTCGAATGCGGGGCGTTTCATCCACAAATCTGAGCCGTTGTGTAAACCCGGTGCATTCAATGCCTGCTTTACAACAGCGTAAGCACCATGGTCGTTTTTCATCACATTTGACTCTTCTTCTTTTGCAGGATCCGCATCCTGTACTAAGCGCTCCCATAGCATGAGCATTCGGTATCCAGAAACACTATGACAGTGGGAAACAGACTGAAGTTGCAACTTGGATGTCGAGAATTTCCTGAGGACAAAGGTGCAGCGAGTAAGGAAGAAGGTCGCGCATAATACCATGTTTCGGTTCCGGAAGGGAACCATGAAATTATGGTGGTAGTTCTACGGCTTACAAACCTCCCAACTTTTGAGTGTGGAGCCCAGCTCGCACAAAAACCCCTAGAAGTAGCCTAGCGCGATCGGCCCATTTTCATGCGGACATTGACCAAAGCGGACTTTCGACCAGCTCCTCGCAAATCAAATCCTCATACCAAAGCTGCCTCGTCGGCGCAACGGCATGATGAACATAGCGAGGCTAAGAAATCCTGGTTAAAATTAATCAGACTCGGGGCAACTTCTCGCCGATCAAATCAGAGCCTGTTCTCGTATCCTGAGAAAAGAGTATATAAGGGATAATGGATGTCAATCATGAAAACCCCATCAAGTCACTTCTACTTTGATACCATCGTAAGTACTGGATCATTACCTTGATTTATAGCCGATTGCTAAGACCGCTGCTTAGGGGTTTACCGATTCACTGCTATATCATGGCCGAACAGCACCCACCCAATAGTCTCCGTCAGACTAGTCGGTTAATTACAGGCCACACCTCCAATGGCCTTGCAGTCTTCAACAAGGATATCCCCGAATCAGTTCCGGCTCAGAATATACCTACTGGTGATTCTTTGTACCTCGCATATGCTACGAATCAGTTCCCCATTGACCTGAACAAAGACCTGGGAACCTACCAGCACTATTTGACCAACACTCCAGGCTTCACTATACCCGGCGGCACTGTGCTGTGTCTGATAGATTTGGCTCCCGCAAGCATTAGCCCGTTGCACCGGACCATGTCGCTCGACTATGCTGTGGTGATAGAGGGAACCGTGGAGCTTAAGCTGGACAGCGACGAAGTGAAACTGTTGCAGCGGGGCGATATCGCCATCCAGCGTGGGACAAAGCACTTGTGGCGAAACACTAGCAAGATAGAGTGGGCACGAGTTCTCTTCATGCTCCAGGAATCGAAGCCGATTGAGGTTGCCGGTGAGACACTGAAGGAAGACTTGGGGTTTTAGAGATGGGTGGTGTTCCAGCATCAGGCTCCTGATAATATCGGGTGCAAATGCATACACTATATCACATCTGACATCAAACAAAACGAAATGACCAGTACTTGTAAATAAGAAAAATCTAGGGAGCGATCTACCGCCCGCCCCAGGTCCGCGATGCCGATCGCATGCTAAGATGACCCGATGTTGTAACCAACGAAACGGGCCTAGCCAAGGGCGCAGCTCCAGTTTCTCAAGAATATAATTCACCGTATCGTTCCGAGTAAAGAACTCGGAGATGAAACGATCGATATACCACGAATCTCCAGCAATTGGGAATTCCCATGGCTTCGTGATTCATCTGAAAGAGATTCAACTTCATTTAGCCAAGAAATCACTGCCATGAATATTCAGAATTATTCAGAATTAGCGCAATGCCCCAGCAATACTGGCGGAGAGGGTAGACGATTTCAAGCCTCGCAAGAGGAGCATCAATTGATAGTTCCAATTGCTTCCACAAGCCTGGATACTAAACAGGAATTGCCTAGCCCCGATTTGAGACACGGCTATCGAAGACGTTTTGTTTTCTCTGCTGAACTTCAATGCTTAATTTAAACGAGCTGGAAGCAAGATGGTGCCACTACGCATGGTTGGTCCATATAGTCAGGTTGTACAGTGCTAAGGCTGCGAGTGCTCCACGATTCCGAATAAGCACTATGATTACCATTCAGATACGCTATATCGGTGGAGAAGATGACAGGTGATCGGCTCCGCAAGAACCACCATTGCTGGAGATGTTTGAACTGTTTGTATATCTCGGGAGATTCCAGCAATATACGTAAACCCCATACGCCAATGACCAAGCGGTATGTATGATTTGATCGCGGCGAGAAGTTGCCCCGAGTCTAATTAATTTTAGCCAGGATTTCTCAGCCTCGCAACATTTTCGTCGCCTCTGGCGAGTTTTCAAGAATAGTATCCCTCATCGACCTCCAGTCGATTTCCGTTCTCCCTACATTTCTCCAGGCCCAATGGCCAGTCTTTCTCAAACCCCCACAGAACCACGATTACGAGAAGGGGATATTTGAGGTGAAACTGCGCGATGATTTCGATACCCTAGGTAAGGATGGCAAGATGTTTGCAATGCGCAAATAGTCCCAAGTAAAGTTGGCAAAGGCCTATGAGATCTCAACCTTGCTTAAGGATAAACCAGCGCATAGTGCTATAGACCTACCCTGTGTCTTCCGAGAGTTATTCCTTCGATACGGAGAAGTATCCAAAATTAGTGTTCTCCCGCTTCATGTGTGCTTGATAGAACTCTTCCAGAATTAGTCGGACCTTGGATTTCTGGAGAATGCCCTTTATCCTTACGCAGGAGCAGGTCGATACACACGATCGCCAATTCTCTAAGTATCAAGCTTAGTATAAGATTTAGGCTCTTACGCAAGAATACCTTAACACTAATGCGGAAGGATGGGTCGCACCAGGATTGGATGTGAATGAGAAGAGAACGCAGAATAAGGAGTTGTTGACTATATACATTGAAAGCGTTACTGGGGAGAAATCTGTAGAAGAGGCGAGAGCCATATAGCCTTTCCCAGTCAAGGCAGGAGTATAATTTAAGCATTTTGTTATACTGGATTAACAGATAAATGGAATTCTAAAGACTATCTTAATATTTTTCACCTCCATAGGAAAGCCGAAGAACCAGCTGACTTAGGCCATAGCAAACAACAGCTACCGTCCCTCTCAACCACCCACCACCTTAACTTTACACCGCGCAAATCCTGGAGCCAATATATAAAACCGGGTCTACAAAGATCTCCTGGATGAAAATTCCAGGCGAAAACTAGTATTTGATATTGTGTGGAGAGAGTTGGAAAAGCTTTCAGGATATAGTGATTGTAGGCACTCATAAACCAGGGAAGCTAACAGAGAACACGGAACCGGGGATAAGAGATAGGGGACAAGGTACAGGGGAGAGGCAAATTTGAAGAGGGCTTGATTTCCAATTTTGCAATTTGAATGGATTTGTAGTCTTTTTAAACAATGGTCGCCCGTGAGGCGGAATCCACCTTCTACCCACCGCAGAAAATCTCGGCCAGCTCCTACAATCCAGGCCACTGCATCCAAGACGCGAGACCACACCATTTTCACAAACCACAGGCTGTAGTTCACGGGTAACAATTCCAACTACCCTCACCTATAACCTTTGCGACGTATTGTAAAGACTCGAAAACGAAAGAACTTTCTGTATGATCAACTAAAAGTATCAAAGATGAGAAAAGAGAAAGAAGGGATGAAGGCTCCTACGCTTTATCGTACAGAATAATGGACGGGTTGTGGATTATATGATTCCGTCACATAACCCTTTAACCTTGCTCAATCAACTCGATATCTACCGGTTCGTTACAAGTGCTTCCTCTTTGTCTACTAAAATTGACTAGCTCAAATGTGGCTTGTGATTATATCTTCGCCGTTTTAATTTATTCTATGGATGTTAAAGATTCAGTTCGCCGTCGGGGATCCGGTAATCCCCCAACAAAGGCTGGCTTGGCTCCAGTCTTCGCTATCTCGATATATGCACCTGTGTAGACCCTGATTGAAATAGCGATATTGCCGAGCCTTATTAATAGATAATATATTCCTTTTCTGTTAAGCATCACTGGCTACCATTGGCTTTCACGCCCGGGGGGTCACTGTCGGGCACAACCACCCTGAGGACTTGCATCATGCATGCATTAGTGCTCGGGTTACCCCAGGTTGAAGCGGCAGCTTCGACTTTGGCCCCGGGGGCTGACGCAGATATGATTCACCAATCGAGTAGCTGTATCTATATGTGACCATGACTGTCAGGTGGTATGGCATGAGAACAGTGGAGGTACACTGTACGGATCGACGGGGTGTGTGTACCTTCCTTTCCCTCCGATCCTTTCCCCCTCCAATACGTCCCGTCTCGTCCGCCCGTGTTAATTTCAATCCAAGATACTTAGGAAATCCTCAACATTAAAATTCAAATTCGTTAATCTTTATAATTGGCTGTGGAGACCGTATCTTTGAGTTTTTTATTTAATAAAAAAAAACCCGTGGTTACAAACTCACCCAATTAGGCACAAGCAAAAGGAGCTAAATAGGACGCAAGATTGGGTTCGAGTTCTTGTTGAATGGAGTTCCTTGGGAGGGTTGGAGTTTAACAGAGGAATTGGGCCAGTTGCATTGATATGTTAACTTTAGAAGAGCATGTTGAATGCATCTATCAAAGGCGAACAAGAACTAAGTACAAAAAAAACCAGAAACTCCCATTTGCCTCGACAAGATGCCAACTGAGCTGCGCTAGCCCCAGTGATGCAATGAAACTGATATGGGTCTTGCCAAAGAGATCTAGTGGTATTCAAAGGCCCGAAAATGGAAAAACCCGACTCCAAATTCCCGAGTGACGACTACTGGCTGTCCTTGTACTTGCTGTAAAACGCCTGACCAACAGCGGAGTCGGTCTCATCGTCACTGCGCTTCTCTTCCTTGTACTTGCTGTAGAAAGCCTGGCCCACAGCAGAATCGGTCTCCTCCTCGCCACGCTTCTCTTCCTTGTACTTGCTGTAGAAGGCCTGGCCAACGGCAGAGTCGGTCTCATCGTCACTGCGCTTAGTGTCCTTGTACTTGCTGTAGAAGGCCTGGCCAACAGCAGAGTCGGTCTCATCGTCACTGCGCTTAGTGTCCTTGTACTTGCTGTAGAAGGCCTGACCAACAGCAGATTCAGACTCTCCAACCTGGGCAGATGATGCTAATGTTTGTCTAGTTAGACATTGCAATGTAATAAGGGTCACATAGTATTAAGGTAAATTGGCAGTACCTTCGATTGGAGCAGCAAGGCTGAGCGTAACCGCAAGAGCAGCCGTCGCGACAACGAGCTTGAAGTGCATATTGATTGATAGTCAAATAAATTCGTGGAAAGAAGACTTGGATATGTGAGAGCCGTGGAAATTTAGATTGAATAAGTTGATAATTTCTGATCCAATTTCTGGGGGCTTCCCCCCTTTTTATAGAGCTCGGAGCGAACTGATAGTCCATTATTCACAGAAGAAAATCAACCCCACATGCATTGCGAATTGCTCAATGTTTGCGTTCTCGTCTAAATGGATAGAATGATAACATTGCACGGACTATTGGACGCGAAACCACCCCGTTGCCAGATAACATGTCCCCTCTCGAAGGATGAAGCTGCATGGCGCCTCCAATTCAGTTGATGTAACCATATCCATGCACAAGGGCTTTAGCCAAATGTCAAACATCCTCTATATAGGAGTTTACGGTCTTCAAAACAAACTAAGAAGACATCTAGTACCAATGGATGAGGCTGGCGAATCGCGTAGGATGATTCGACTTATGATTGGTCATCGGCAGATGAACGGGGACGCACATCAAGAAGCGAGATGAGCACCAACCATGTAAGATGGAGAGATTCTATCACGCGATCCAATTGAGTCAATCAATCTCTTGAAATTGTCTCAACGAGAAGAGGGGGGTTCAGCTTCTTGGCGACCAGATCCGACGGAAATCCCGTATTCCTCCCCTCACAGGTGTACTATATGTGGCTGGCTCTGCATTATGGGGCCTAGATAGCGCCAACGTGCAGAATCCAGCCAGGCGGGGTTATGAAAGATTGAGAAAAGATACGAAGGAATGATTGCGTTGCATGAAGTGCGAGACCTGATAGATTGTTCTCGCGAACTTGATGAACTCCCCATCAGTTCATATTTCATTTTCATTCTCACTCAATTGATGCTCTTTCACTATAATGACACCAAAGTTTGAAATGGACTGTAGACAAACTCCAATAACAACTTATTTGAATGACGATGATAATGAAGATTCCGTTGGCATGAGAGCGTCCGAAGAAGACGGTTTCATCTCCGGAGAGAAGAGCCATGATTCTGAAAGGTCCTTCAAAACCAAGTACTCACCGTGGCTCATGTACTCGTTGTTGGCGGTGGCATGGGCTGTCTCCCTTGCCTTGACATTTTACATTTCTGGAAAGAGGAGCCATCGTTGCGAAGGTCTCTCGGAGGTTTTCCCCACAGAGCTTCGTAAGTCAACAAAATGCACCTCAATTATTTCCAAGATACTCACCACCCTTCAGTGTCTGTACAACCAGCAATTGAACTCGAGAAAGTACGCTTTAGTGGCACGCTCGATTTTGACGAAAACAGCACTCTTATTTCTACATACTGGGACCCTGATTCTCCGAAATATACAGGGGAGCCAAGTGAAGACTTGGATCAACTTTGGAATGCCTTAATCTATCGTAAGGGCTATCTGATTCTCCTACATCCGATCTTACTATATCCCCCTATGTACCTAGTCGACTTCACCTTTGAATTCTTTGCTAACCCCATCGCAGCTGACGGCGTCGATCTCCAGGGAGAGGAGGCCAAATCTATCCAGGGAAAGACCTTTGAGAAACCAGGAGGATGGTCAATTGTTAGCATAGATGTCTTTCACCAGTTGCATTGTCTGGTGAGTGCGCGATTATCTACCAGCGTATTCCCCTTTTCGTTGAAAAGTCTCTCTAACAAAAAGCTTCTACTGCAGAATCTACTCCGTCAAGGCTTGTACCCAGATTACTATACCAAACACGATCCAGAGCCCGAGTATACTATCCACAGAAGTGAGTTTGTTCGTTTGGTATTCCAAATATATCACCTGGCTGACATTTCTACTTAAATTAGATCACTGCCTTGATCATATTCGTCAAGCGCTGATGTGCCATGTTGACGTGACACCAATTCCTGTCATTTGGGCAGAAAAGGAAGGGAGGCCTTACAATGACTTCCAGGTAGAGCATACGTGCCGCAACTTTGGAAAAGTAAAGGAATGGGCAAAGGCAAGGAGCGCTAAGGGCCATGAGTACATGCATCATCATCACCACCAGTCTACGTAACCATTTTGTATCGATACATTAGCTCAAAGGACGTGCGTTACGAGGTGAAGCCTTGGAAGTGAGAAACTACAATGATCTAGTCCCAGAAAAAAATGTAAAAAGTACGAAAGTACGAAAGTGCGAAGCTTGCATCTAAAATCCTGCACGGGCTAAAGTGATACAGATTGTTTATGATATTGTTATTGAGAAAGACATCTCAAACGTCTGTTTGAACGTCTATTCTACCCTGTTTCAAACGTCCGTGTAAGCATCTTACAGAGCATTAGCCAAGGGGTTTTGAACAAGACATCAATCAAACCCGAATTTATTTGCATACTAGCCCATTCGCAGAGATGGCTGCTATCCTCGGTTGTTCTTCAGTATATGCAATTACCTCGGGGGCCCTTATCATCCCCATCACATTAGCGCCCATGCAAGTAAAGCCCCTTAAGACTAATGCGCCATGTCTCGTTATTGGGTCTTGTTATCCATGGTGGAAAATCCCAACGCCTAATATTCAGCACCGGGGGCCAAAATGACCCTGCACAAAGTCCCAACTACGTAACAAACTGCATATACTGTGCATAACGTGATTGGTCGGAAGCGTTATGGTGCAAGCTATCGTGGAAAAGATACAATCGGGTTGACCTGGTGACTATGTGTTTTTTGTGGCTGATTCTTAGCAGAGTTACATCGCATTCCTGTACTTAGAAATCCCAATACTATGTACATAGTAGAGAGGCTAATAGTCTGTTGCTGATTGGTGCCCCTATCGGCGGCCCCCGGATCGGACCTTGTTGATCTTCCGACCCGCCGTATCTAATTTTAGCGCCATTCATGCATTCAAGCTAGTTCAACCCTATCATGCAGCTGCAATACTGCTCGTTATCGGGAAGGATGGTTCCATCTGGGTCACCGATTCTCAAGACATGGGTAAACAGGCTGTCACCCTCCAAGGTCTTCTATTCATTTGCCCAAATTGTTTTGCTCATTTCGAAGACAACTGTGACCGACTATGGCGACTAAATTTGAAAGCCTGAAGTTTTGGGTTCGATCTCCTCGCCCTTTGTGGGCTCGAATTCCATCCTCTGATGAAGAGGGACGAGATGTGAAAATACCCAACCAGGGCTTCGCCCGACGGTCAATTTCAGATCATATTTACGATCACTGGCCTTGGATTTTATCTACTTTTATTTTTGCCTGCATTTCTGGATTTATGTATACAGATCCACTACTGAACAACCAACAAGGTTGTGCGGCATCTTGCAGACTACAAAAAACCGACCTAGGTAAATGACCTCTGCTACAGATTTGGCTAATTGTGTGCTTGCTGATGGGGTAAAACCTTAGAGCCGGCATCCAAATATTTACAGGAACAAGAAGTAAGATTTGATGGGGGTCTTGTGTACAACGAAACGGGTAACCTGGTGATAGAGTCTATTCCAGGAGGAAACAAATGGGTTGGCAATCCCACGCCTGAAATGGACGCACTTTGGGATAGAGTGGAATCGGGTAAGACTTGCTTGAGACAGCCTTGTACAAATCCAGTATGCTGACTTGTAAGGGTCAATCGTTTTACTCGAGGGGTCGGAGTCTGATATGGTCAGGGACAAAACGCTGTTATTTGATGGCTATTGGCTTACGGGGCTTGATGTGATTCATCAAGTTCATTGCCTGGTGAGGTCTTTCTATAACACATTTCTACATGATAGCTAATTTGATCATTTTTGTTCACAGAACAAGGTCCGAAAAGCTCTGTATCCGCAGTATTATAAGCCTAATCAATCAAAATCTACCGAAATGCTTCATGTTGGTAAGTGCGAGATATCTATTATATCGCAGTGCATCTTGCTGACTTTTCAAGAACACTGTCTTGATTACGTTCGACAGGCTATCATGTGCAACTCCGATCTTACTCCAGTCCCTCTCACTTGGTACGAAAGCGCACAAACATTCGGACCAGACTTCCGTACGACGCATACGTGTCGCGATTTCGAGGGGTTGCTGCAGTGGTCTCTGATGAGAACATCAAAATCGTTAAAGGAGAAGGGAAGTGGCATGGAACACACGGATATTGATTCATTGAAGATGCCCGGAAGTCTACAAACAGCAGATGGGCTAAGTCATGGGAACCATCATGGACATTAAAAGCATTATGGTTCCTCAATTTGTTCAATCTTTTTATATTATTCTAAGGTTGCAGTCTTTCGTAATTTATCCAACAGTAAAATCTTCCGATGGAGGGCTTCGAACGAAAAATAAGCCAATAAGGCACAGTGCGAATGAGCCTGCAAGGCCAAAATATGGCAGCCCAAGTCCTATGCCACCCATTCTCATTCCTAGGTCAAATGACCAGGCAAGTACAGGCCCAGCAAACAGCGACCCGGCCATTTCAACTATACCTATGAGTGTATTCAGCTTGGAAGTGTCCTCTTGTGCTACATAGCTGGTTGCTAGTGATCGACATAAGGGTGCTAGACCAGACCCTAGACTATGCACTGCCAGCCCACCTATCAGGACTCCTATCTCAGGCGTCGCCATAAGAAAAATCCCAACCCCAGCGAATATAATTGATCCACGGGCAAGGATAAGGTCCTTAGTGGTAGCATTGTGATACCGAAGAAGGATCTTGGATAGTAGGGGGAGAATCAAAAGTAGAACAAATAGATGAATGACTCCGCGGAGGGTCAAGAGGTAGCCTGCTTTGGCTAGAGACCAGCCAAACCGTTTGCTTATGTATTGAGCCATGAACTGAGATGTCCCCATAATTTCAGGGGCAATGGTAAGGAATGTTGATAGTACGATAATCAGAGAATAGGACTTCAAAGAAGAGAAAGAGGCTAGGAGCGACTTGAAAGACCGAGAAATATAGTAGCCGAAAGTGCCCGGTTCTGATTGTGCTGAGTCGATAGCATCATGATTCTCTGTATCCTTGGCCGTAGATAAGGTTTCAGGCACGAAGAGCAGTGGGACCAAAGAAAGTAGGTTTATGAATAAACTTGTTAAGGCGGCAATCCACGGAGCATAGTATTCCATAAGCTTGGAAGATATGGCTGGGCCTAGCGAGGCGCCTGCCAAGCTGGATAGTGCCATCAGAAAGAAAGCTGAAGCCCTAGTCATATATTAGCAACTATCGAATCCAGTAGAATGTGTGCGAAGCAATACCTGTCTGATTGATCTACCAGATCCGAGGCGATCGAGTACAGGTTAGCAAGCATTACTGTACTTCCACCTCCAACAACTGTAAGTAAAGGGCCAGCCAAGATTGCCTGAATATTGATGAGTTTGGGAAACGCAACAATAGCTAGCTCCCAGACTACAGCAAGTGAAGAGCCTATCACCGATAAAACGAGGATAGGTTTCCGGCCGATCCTGGAGAGGAGTAAACTTCAGGTTCAATGCCATTTAACTTAGGATGAAGGGTAGCTCTCACCTATCAGCCAAGGTACCGAAAGGAAATGCAACAAAAAGGCCTTGTGAAGTAATAAGCATTGAAACCTTCTTCGAGCCAACAGAGGCAATTATAAGCCATACATACCGACAACAGCCTCTACGAGAGAGAGGTTCCCAATGAGATAGGCTAACTTAGACTGAATTTCACTAGCCTTGCAATTCCTTTCGGCCAGATCTCTCTGGTGATAATACCGGCTGCATATGTTGTTCTCGACGAGCTGTGTTAGGGGCACATTGAGTATAGACCCCGATGCAGAGAGGCAGAACACGACAGTGCAAAGCCAGTAGACTGACGGCCATCTTGACTTGGGTTTCTGCTGTACAGCGAGGAGAGGGGAAGCCTCATCGAGCATTGCGATGGTTTTGAGAGACCAATGGGCCCACGGGTGGAGTGGAGTGTCCGCTAGATGGGTACGAAGCGGCCCCTAACAAGAAGCAAAGACAACGACAGGCTATTTGATGCTCTTCAATTCTTTTGGGAAATGAACAGTCGGTATAATCCACTTGTATGGAATAAAGAAAGAGGAATGTTGACGAGGCAGCCAAAGAGGGGGAAGCCCAATCCGGTCTAATCCCAGATAAGGGAATCAGGCAGCAAGGCAGCAATTATTTATTTTCGTGGGTGTTTGCAACGAACTTCGAGGTTGCACTTCCTTCGACAATAGACGTGTCCTTCCTCTCTCGATAATCTTCCACCTCATTGTAACAAACAAAGAAAACAGAGCTACCTCACTCGATACTAGTGGAGCCATAGGACCGTACAAACCGGAGTCCGGTACGTCCGGCCTCTAATCCGATCAGTGAATCATGCGATCACCAGAACATTTGCAGGCTTCTACACGGCTCAGGGTACCGAAGAGAAGCTAGGTCTTTTATGATGGATCGGAACATCTGCTGATATTTTAATTTTTTAACTGTCAGCTTGCCTTACTAGTAGCAGCAGGAGCCATGTTATACTAGCCTCCAAGGTTGTTTATATGGGGCGTATACTAGTAGGTAGTACTGGAATCTATGTGTCTATGATCGAGATGTAGAAGTGTTAAAGACTCGGACGTTTTCAAGATAGAAGAGACAATAACAAATTTCAATAGCAGAACCGAATCTTCGCTATAGATTCAAGTTCCAATGTTATATACGTTGATATAACCTTGGATCTTTTGAAGTATCCGTACACTTCAAGTTGCGTATGTATGTAAACACAGCCATGGAAACCAGCACCAAAGCTTCTTAAATGCTAATAACACATACATGGATACACCCTTGCACCAAAAACCATGATAGCATCACTCAGAATGCAAGCCTCTTAATCTTCAAGGTCCTGAGCACATTCCTCCAAAGACCAACAAAGAAGGCCTCAATAACCATCCGCACAGTCCATCCAACACCAGGCTCAACCATCCCCCCATCCCAAAACACCTTAATTGCCTTGCCGAACCGTGAGCTCTCCAGCTCCTGCGGACTAATCCGAATAGATTCCATTCCATGCCGAATTTCATAGAGCACTGGCCCGGAATTATCAACGCAGACAGAAGAACGTGCTCCCAAAGGCATGCCCCGACGGTGCCAAAGTCGGTGGCGAACTCTGCCCAGGACAGCTACTATTACTTTCCATGTTACTCCGTATTCGAGGAGACCGATTATGCCACCGGTGAAAGATATCATTTCTTCGAAGGAGACGTGGAATTGTTCTGTTTGGGTGCCGACGAGGTAGATCCCTGCGGCGTCGAATTGGATCTCGAACATCTAGATTGAAGATTTGTTCGGGTTAGAAAGGGGTTCTGGCACTTTTTCCATACTTTAGCAGCTTTTGGCATGCTTACCTGGTCTGTTTAGCTGCTTAGCTGTTGAGTTGATATATACTGTATTGTGTGATTTATGTCGTCTCCTGGGTACTCAACCCCGGAGAACGAGTGGTTCCTCGCCGATAACTATACACAACGTTCTAGTCAATTCAAAATTCAGAGTTGAAGATCCTAGTGGTAATAAAGGCACAATAATAACATACCACAGAATTTAACTCCTTGATAATTGAAAATCATGATGCTTCGAGATAGTTCATACGAACAAAGCAGTTCGATGGAAGAATACAGGAGTCTGGCGAATTTAAACAGCTCGGCATTACTACGTAAGAAAAAAAGAAAAGAAAGTTCACCAAGAACGCGCTGATCACGCTGATCCCCCCCCTATGTGACGGGCATGATGTATCATGATCTTGCCTCTGAGCCACAATGTCGGGTCTCAAGTCTAAAGATAACCTTTCCCAAGACCAACTTACTCCACCCGGGCCGTTCTCGGAGGAATTAAAAATCTGATATTGGGTATCAATTAGGCATACTTTTGGACATGGGTCACATTTAAGAAAAAAGGGGGTTATCGTGACAGTTTCCTGTCATGTGTACTGGGTTTTGATTATTGGACGTTGTGGCGTTGGATGTGTAGTGTACCATGTGGGCGGCCGAAAAAGGGGCTGCAGCATTTGGAATACATCGTGTGTTTTCGAGGTCTGGATAGGTATTTTCGACATCAAACTTGGATTTGGAAGGCTTTGTTGTTGTACACTCATCATAAATTTTATTGATTTGTACAATCGATGTAGGGATGTTTTCTTTTCTGATAATTGGTCAATCTGGTTAGATTGATGTTGCCTAGAATTCTTCGTACCCTGTAAAGGGTTGGGTACTAAGGTGCCGATTGGAAATGAAAGCTTTGTTAAATGTTAAACTTGAAGTAGACCCGCTACATTAAGGGGCGCACGCAATCGCCAAACGACAATCGGTCATGTGGCACTGATTTACATAAGAAGTTTCCAAATATGCCTCATAATGGTGATATTTTCATTGCGACCGGCCAAGAAACCGGCCTTGAGATGCATCAGTATATAGCCAGAGAATGTCGTGTACAGTAGTGAAATGCGCGGAACCCTGCGAATGAATGACCTTCCATTCTTTCTTGCCATACAGGGCGCCAGCCATCCCGCGAGAGTCAATGTACTCATCCGGACGCCAAAAGAAAATGAGATATACATCAATAACATTAAAGCCAAAAATGACCCTCGAGATTATTCAAATCTTCAAATCTACCAACTCCAAGATCCGCCGGGGAAATAACGCCTCCAACGAGAAAAAAAAACCATACCAAGCAAACAGCCGGCGAGTTTGTAATATGTGATGTGTAAGATGCTCACGGGTTTGGGGGTAAAATGAACACCTTATTCATATGCAGTTGTGTCATTATGCTGCCCAGTTGGGGCATTGTGGGGTGAATGGCCCGGACGCGAAACTGTAGCAAATGTTGCTTCGGCCTGATTATTGAGCGAGACGATGATGCAAGCACCAGAGAACCAATGTATGGGGTATTTGCTTGCTCCCATCGTAGTGGTTGAAGTTTGATGTGCCTACCCAGAGAAAAAGGAAATGCAGGTCAATCATTGACTGTGGAGGTGAAATGTGCGTAAGTGGAGTCGAGCTGCGGACCGACCGGATGCAGATAAAACCTGGGGACAATGAACCCAAAAGAGTGTGAAAAGGAGATGTTTTTTGGGGGCCATTTCCTCTATCGAGCCTCAGACCAGTCCTGCATTTTGACGTTCATCCCAGGGTGCTCAGGAATGGATTGCTGGATAATTCCAGAGCGAATGATCGACTGTGATGGCTGGGGAGGTCCGGTTCCCGACCGACGTCGTCGTTCACGCTCCAAGGGTCCCGGGAGCTCGTTGTTGTTCTGCGAACGACTACGGAACTTGTGGCCCAGATTACCCAACCAATTGCCTTCTTCCTCTTCACCAAGCCAGTAGTTGTGACCGATGCCAACCATGATGCGACCAAGCTTGCCCCTCCATCCTTGGCCCTCGGGGCTGTAAGCCGTGAAAGGTTCGCGGTCAATGTCAGCAACGCTTGCGACCGACACATTGCGACTGTGGGTAGGGAGTTGGGTGTGCTTGGGAACCGCGATCCAGATACGCAGGGTCTCTCGAGCGAATGCAAGCATTACCAGAACGAAGTAGACACGGATAGCCCACAGAATGGAGATGAAAACGATGCTCTGGAAACTCTCGGGCTGGGCAACGACGTTGCTGAGGTGATCGGCGGCTCGCGGCGGGTGAGGGACGAACTTGTTTCCATCCTCAGTGTGCTGGATCTCAACGTAGGCGGCATCGTACTTGGGGCTGGTGAAGCCAGCGGTCTGTGCGATCGTTTCGCTGCCTGGTCCGGCGTTGCCACTGCTGTCGTAACCCTGCGACACCACCAGGAACCATGTCACACCAAAGGCGGCAGTGTAGGCGGCGTTAATCAAGCTGTCAATCAGATATAGCCAAGCAAGCGCAAGGCACTCGAGAGGAGACTGTTTTCGGATGTGTGGGAATAGAAAAGCGGCGAGGGCGAGGGCAACCAGCGAGTACAGGTACATCGACAATTGTACCGGGGAGAGGTGGTAACCGGTCAATAGGGCGAGTAGGCCATACAGACCACTGATTTTGTTTAAGAGAAGCGACAATGTAATCAATGACGCGCCTGTCTCCAGGCTCATCAGGCAGAGAAAGGTCTATTTAAAAGTCACGAGATGATTAGCTTTCGTCCGGGCAACGGATAAGATGGCAGAATTCGCGATCAAAGGGGGCGGCTCACCTCTGGCCGCGGAATGCGGAAGTATCGGGATGAAAGCCCCATCCTGGCAGGAGGAAAGTAGAGTCCAAGATTGAAAAAGGTCTCGAGAAAGAGGGTGGTGAGTTTGGTGTGAGGGTATATCAGACCAAAGTGAGTGGGTTGGGAGAGAAAGGAAGGCAGGCTGGGATTAAGGGACCGCAAATGGCCCAGGGGCGCTATTTTCCGGCCGATCCGCATTTTGCTGATCGATGCCCGATTGCGATCGGCTCGGCTCTTCTTTTCTTTTTTATGCTGACGAGAATTGTGATACATAATTTCCATGTTTATTTCTTGGCTTACCTTTATTTAATTTTCTTGTCCAGAACTGATAGAAATTACTTTCTCTTGGCATATCCTTATTCCCTTGCCAAGTCGCATATTAAGCTTAGTATTCTATATACAGTCCAGGTGACCAGCCATGTGATAAAAAGCAACATCAAGAAATCCAAAGAGCAAAGTCCCGTAGAACAAAGGCTCTTGAACTTCGCAATATAGTTTCTATTCAGGTAGCCAAAAGCTATGTTATTACGATCCCCAAGGGAAAGAGCAAAGTCCAGAGAACACCCCAAACCATTAAGCGGTACTAGCAGGTAGATTTACAACACTGCTAAAGTACGCAGGAGTAGAAAGATATCATTGAAAGGAAAGGAAGTGTGTAGAAGACAGCGCTTGTAGTATTGACACTACTGTGCCTAAGATACCCCAAGAGACGTATGTTAGTGTTGAGAAAAGAAAAGCATCAACACCTACTTCGACAAGAGTACATTAGATGATATACAAGGCCAGAAAATCTCACAGAATTTGTCATTTTCCAATTCAGAATTACTCTTGGATCAGCTCACTCGTGTTCAGGTGTCCAAGTTTACAACAACCTAGCGACGAGCCTGTGAGAGATGCAATCAGATTGTTTTCGTTTTTGAAATAGTATGGCCAATCTTGGAAAGTTGAATAGTGCAGAGAGTAATTGATTGTCAAAAATATTCATATTCCAAGCCTGGAATTCTGCTCCAAGGCACCCTGGGATTATTTTAAACACGCAGAAAACTATGATACCTGTAATGCAGTAACGCCACTTTAGGGCCTGGATATCACGAACAAGGCTTCAAACCTACTTTCTTGGGATGTATCTTTAAGAGATAATCTTTTTTTTGGACAACTTGTCCGTATACCATAGAATATTTTTACAGGATATTTCTCTGTTTATCTTTCCATTGGTTGTTCTACTTGTCATTCTACTTGTCATTCTACTTGTCATTCTACTTGTCATTCTACTTGTCATTCTACTTGTCATTCTACTTGTTTTTCTGTCTATGTAGAGCTTACAGCACAGATAGCGGTTTAATAGGCGGTAAGGGTCAATAAGAGGGTCAGGGGTTTATATCCCGCTGGCCACTATGGTCCTCCATAAGGCGCATCTCAGATCAATTCGGTTACTGCAGCTTGAACCTGAAACCAACAACTCCAGCCAACTTTCATCCAAGTCGTGATATTGGAAAATGGCAGGACCTAGAAAACATGTCAGACTCAAAAGTATTAAGATAAAAAAGTATTAAGATAATTTGGATGGATCAATCTTTTTGAGGGTTCTCAAACCATGACCCTGTAGTACGGAAATCACGACGATATCGATGACCCTCACTGGTGCTCCCCATCTTGCCGAGGATAGGGAAAAGATTCCCCGCATACAGATACTATCAGTGTTTTTACTAATGTGCCAATGTGCCATTGATAGCAATAACATTCCCATAAACATCCTTTGCTAGATTAAAATTTACTTGCGTAAGTGGCAGTGATATTAATTTAAGCTTGTGTTAGCTTCACCCAAGATTGGTTACTAGGCAACAGCGCCGCGAAGAGGCCCAGGCTTATCGTTGTTGGTGAGGGTCGCCAAAGGTGTATACCGCTCAGGTTCAATGTGTAGTCACTAAGTCTACATCTCTACATTCTGTGAGGCCTTTACCTTGAGGCTACCCTGTGTTCCTTCCCGCAATAGAGAAACCTGCGCAGATGTAAACAATTAGTAGTTTCCGGAGCTCGCTTGTTGCCCTCGAATGAGAAACCCTAGCCCCGGGGAGATAATCTGATTAGTACCAAGCTGAATCATGATCATACTGCAATTCAGGAACTAGGCGTGTCGGGTTCTCCGGCCAGGTTGAAGGTCATTTTTGGACCCCAAATTGGACCCAAGGGTGGTTTCTAACATTTCCATGCAAGGCTTCTTGTATAACAGCTGCCATTCATCAGCTCAATTTATTGTCGGTCGAATTCTAATTTATCTTGCTGCTGGACTTGTGGAGAATGTAAGTTCTCCATATCGTGATATAATATGTGCGCCCCCGTTCCCCCATACCCCATTTATCGCCTCGGAGCAAAGAAATTCAAAGCAACGCCCTGCGTAATGGCCTGGGCGATCATTTGATCTGCACGGCCCTGGGCGATGATATGATCTGCATAGATCGACCCGCTTCCCGAATTGACATCTCCGACGGTGGATACGATAAGCTGCCTCGCATCATCTAACGCTCTAACATACCTAACCGTCATATTACCAGTTCGGTGCATCGTCTCATCTAATGCACTTGTGCAAAGTTGAAGACATTCCGCTAGTGCCTTTCTGTGACCATTCAAAGTTGCAGTCAGCTCATCCTTTGCGAGGGAAAACTCGGAAATGGTTTGTGCGCTGATCTCAAGACCCTGGATCTTTCCTGAAATATTGCTGATGGTCTCGGTGATGGTAGCCTCTAACTCTCGGACCGCTTCTGAATTGCGATCGGATGTTTTTCTATAATAATGTGAGTTCTTCCTGTTTAGCGTTGTTCCTCATTAGGGGTATCATCTTACAAGGTAGCTAAGCCCAGGGCGATAGTCAAAGTTGACTTGTAGCTTTCTATACGATACTTGAATGCTAATATGGCCTTCTCTTGGAACTGTAACTTGATTCTATCATCAAGGCGAGTGCGAGTAATGTTGGAGTGACTTGTTATTTGGGAAATCTTTTTCAAAAATTCTCTGCAGGCATTGTCGCATCCTTGGATTGAAGGCTGGGCATCTTTCAAAGTGTTCTTGACGCCTTCGGATATTTGTTCATTTAATGTTTCTTCCATCACGCTCTTTATGGCGGCAAGTATTTGTGTAACGGCAACGACATCTTCATTTAGATCGTGCAGGTGCTTCGGCGCATTCGCGATGTCGGAAATAAAATTGTATAAAGTCTTTGTGCTGTGGTAAGCCAGCGTCACGATACCGATGATGCCTCCCGTTATACCTATAGTCTCTGCCATGCTACCTCTAGTATGAAGTTAACGTACCGTTCCCGACGTCTTAGTTCACCTTGAAAATTATACACACCTAAAGCTTAAAGGGGATGAAATCAAATTGTAAGACAGGGACTCGAAAGTGAGAGATGAGATGTACAGATAAAATAGTTCATCCAAGACGGGTTGACCCGTTCGTACCCCGCTCGGCATCTGAAGATAACTGGGCTATGCTGGGCTATAGCCAATGATGAAACGGACTTGTATCAATCACCACGTGCTACACTCATCTGGTCGCTTGAATGGCCCCAAAAAGGAATTCAGCCTCAGCTAGTTGGGGTGGGTATCAGAGCCCACTTCGCTGTTCGTTTGCGTTCGCGCTCGTATAGGTCCGTTGAACCTGTCCTACCACCGTCCCTAATTCTTCTTTCTTCCACCATATTTGATGAAAGTTCATATGGTGATTGTTTGTGATATTTACAAGCATCCATGATGCAACAGCCCATACTGGACATCACCTCTGAAGACCAGCCCATTTGGTCCGATTTCCTTGGACCTCATCCCCTTCAAACCCCTCTGACTAGCCATGCCCGCACCTTCATAGCTTCTGGAGACTCTCGTCAACTGAACGTTGGTCACATTAATACCACCTTTACTGGGGCCGTTGCAAAAGTTGAAACTCATTATCATGGTAAGTCTGTCCATATTCGGACAGTCTTTCGGTGGATGCATCTTTATCTAATGATACATTATCCAGGAGACGCATCATCTATTGCTGCGGCATGTCAAGCGCTCATTAACGATGCCGAAAAAACAAAATATCTCGTGGCCGAATCAGTTCGCAACTACCCCGAAGCCGCAGCAGACGTCGCAACCATCAATAGTGAACTCTCGGAGTTACAAAAAGTGCTTGAGTTACTGAACGACAACATAACAACTCCTAACGGACAAATTATCCCTGAGTCACTCTGGGCGCATGTTATGAACATAATAACCAACTGCACCGATGTCATCTCCCAAATCAATCAGCTGCTTGATAGTCGCCCCGAGGACAATGATCTCACCAAGCCAGCAGCCAGCTGGAGGAGGGAAGCTACAGCCTTACGCATGTCACTGGGGACGCATCGCGTTTCTTTGAACCTAGCCCTTCAGTTCGTCTCTCTGGGTATGACGAAAACAATCCAAGAAGACACAACTATCATCCGCGGAGATGTTATGGGCGTCAAACAAGACACCACGCTTATCACAGGCATTCTAGAAGAGTTAGGTCGACTTCGTGCTATCGTTGCAAATAGCACGACAACAAGCATCACAAGAGACCAGGACTTTATTCTTGAGAGGTACCTCGACGGCTTGACGAGTTATGCAGAAAGTGTTTGTGCGGATGTGGTTTGGGAATCCCCAAATTATAGTCCCCAGACACCACGCAATAGAAACGAAGGATATAAGAGACAAATACCATCAAACATGCCTGGCTTGACACTTCCAGCTTTACAACTGGAAAGTCTCCCAATTTTTGCAGATCGGATCTGGGATGATGTGGCTTTGAAACATCTAAAGGGTATTCCCCAGTCTCCAGCTGATCAAAATGAAGAGACCGGGAGGGAATCACCGCTAGCCACGACTATCGATGAATCGGAGTTGCCTCAGGGCCAACATCAGGACATTCAAGACATTCAGCCTTTGGTCCAATGGCACTCTTCATTTCTTTCACTCCTAGACAAACTAGCAACCTATGCGAATAGGATATGGGATATTAAAACCCCACAACAACCAAATCCTCGTCTCGGACCACCAGATGTTGAAACCGAGGAAAATAGTCAACAATCGTCATCAAACACGACTGACTCCACGCTTCGAAGCTCGAGTGATGAAACAGAAGTTTTGTCAGAATTTTTGTCAGACCAAACTAGTATGGATTCGCTTTTATCCGCAGGGCGCTTTTTCATTTATCGAAGAAAAATCGCGTATCAGCCAGAACAGTGTGTGAAGCTTGTTATAGTAGGCGATGGATTATGTGGCAAGACCACATTGCTCATGTAAGTTCACCGAAAATCCATATACCCGAAATATCAATCTCATGCAAATCGATCAGGCGATGGATGAACAACGCTTTCGAGGTAATACCATTGTCTCAATATCCATTCAATTACGCAGTTATCCTGAGCTAAAGGTTTGCGCCAGTATACCGGCCTCACGCTCATTGACAAGTATGAGATGAATGTCGCGCTAGATAGCAGAAATGTTAAGATAGAGCTATGGGACAATTCAGGCTCAGAAGATTTTTCTAGGCTCAGACAGCTCTCATATCCCGAAACGGATATTTTCCTAATTTGCTTCAGTATTGAGTCTGCTGACTCGGCCGATAATGTTCTTGAAACGGTTTGTTCACTCCCAGCCCGTGGACAGCATATACTAACACATCAAATAGTGGGATAAAGAAGTTCATCCATTCTCTAGAGATTTGCCAATCCTCCTTGTTGGCTTGCAAAAAGATCTGCGAGACGAGAATCCTCCCCAAGAAGACCTGGTGAAATGGGAAGAGGTAAATCGGTGTGCCCAATAAATGATTCTGTAATCAACAAAAAGCTTACATGTATAGGGTGATGCTATTCGGTCTAAAATAGGGGCAAATGCCTATATGGAATGTTCGGCCAAAACTGGGGAAGGAGTGGTTGAAGTTCTGCATGAAGCAACGCGCTTGGCTTTATTAGCTGGAAAACGTCAGAAGCAGAAACAGCATTTCAAACGATTCTTTCGAAGGACAATGGGTTGAGTTCTATTAAAGTTTTGTGTTACTAGATGGGGATTGGTGCTCCTGTTTGTACTCTTGATCCCTGTTGCTATCCCTGTTGTGCAGGAACCTTATCCCGAAGTTAGGCCGAGACCGGGGTCCCCTGCTAAGACCCAACGCCCCCCAAGGCTTGTCAATGCTTAGTATTGGCATTCAGTCTCCATTGGAATCATAAATTCAGGTACTGTCACTACCAACAAATAATATGGGGTTTATGTGGTGAAACCCGTTGCCATCGGAGAAATACATCGTGTGGAGAAAATACCTCTCTGAAGAGGCCCACGACAACCGATTCTCCACATTACGATCGTTAGATTAGAGGATTCAGTTTCCAGCAATAAACCGATTTTTCAATAGTGTGTCAATATTTCGAATTATTAAGTAGCCTTCAAATGACTATAGCGAGCCCTGCGAGTTTGAAGATTTGTGCACCATGTTAACACGGGTAGTTGCCCTTCAAGGGGGGGGGGGGGGCTGCTTATCACCGCATCAGCAGCGCGCAGAGACATCTAGAACGCACTCAAAGATTCACCAAGAGCGCCCCTTAGGATTTGTATGTGGATCAAATGATTCCCGGAATTCAAACCACGCGATCGGTTCAGAGAAGGTCGGGACTCGGAACTACAGATTTGCGACTGCATAATCTAATCGAACCTGTATAATGTTGACATTGAACTATTCCGAGCTAACCGGTGCATAGACCCCAATGTTGACATCGCTTCAAGGTTAATTACTGATTAGCTCCAATCTATATCCACTGAATAATATTGCGGGTGCCTTGATGAACCCGTGGAAGATTCCGTGCAGCTTCCAAGATTCCATCGTTTCCACTTGGGCAGCTATGGCCGGATGAAGATGGTTATCTTCGGCAGCTCAACCGGATCAGGCTCAACTCGCGTCGCCACTTTTTCGGCCTCGGGCTAAATTGTGGCCAATTATTAATCGCTGATCCACTGCAGATTGGCTAGTCTTGAATCATGGGGGCCAATAGATGACATCAGAACTGTCGGCATCCACATAAAATTTTCCCACTAGTGTGAGGATCGGTAGCTCTCTGTTTTCGGGGCCATGAAGGACAAGTTTACTCCTTTATAGGTTCTGTATAGACATGGTCACGAAGCTTTGCGCAGTTTTTGAGCAGCTCAGCAACAATTAACATGGTAGATAAATTAGATTTTGAAAACTTCATCGCTTGGAATGACCAAGCAATCGTGTGCCCCGTATTAATTTGGCTTTTCGGCAAGTCCTGTTGCATGTTAAAGCCGTCACGTTGCGATAGTGGGTCGGACGGTTAAGTCGGATCCTGTCCCTCTTGTTCCAAGACCAATTTTTTTTTTAGCATCAGTGACTTTAAATAATAATAAAAGCCCCCCCCTGTTTCTAATTTGCGTCATCCCCAGATAGCTTTCGAGTCAACTTTTCTCAGTTGTTTCGATCATTGTCCCGCGCGCGCATTCCGGGTGCTGCAACCGTCTTCGAGCCTACAATAGAGCTCTAGATCGACCAGAGCTTCGCAGCTCCCTACCAAAATCACCCACCACCATGGAGAACACCGTCGATCAAGATCTCCAGCGCGCTGAGGTCGATGCCGGCTCACAGGCCCCTCACTGGAACGAGAAGCGTCGACAGTCAGCGGAGGCAGAGAGACCAGGTACATCAGGCACTACGTCAACGGGATCTAGTAGCTCCGTCGAGTACAATCCGAATTTCCACAGACTGCAGTCGCGAAACACAGAACTTGATTTGGAGCGCAATCGAACAAATGTGTCGAGGTCTCTGAGCCGAATTGAAACCCAGCGCCTGCAGCATCAGCTTACTGTTGGTGAGAGTGTAAAGTCTCGAGCTTCTAAAGCGCCACTGCCAGCATTTGGTGCGGGGAAGCCGTATCCTCCACCTTTACCCAACCGCGATGATTACGTTGTGGAATTCGATGGGCCAGATGATCCTTTGTACCCCAAGAATTGGCCAACATTAACTAAGTATGTGGATTGTTGAAATTTCCCAAGACCGTGGTGGCACTGTTACTAGATCGATGAAACTGACCATTTTGACCTTTTTAGAGTTTATATCACTGCTATGCTTGCTTTTACGAGTATTTGCTCTACTTTCGACTCTGCAATTTTTAGCGCCTCGTCCGAAAATGTCTCAGCCCACTTCCACGTCGGTCTCGAAGTCTCAGTTTTATCCAGTACCCTATACATTGCCGGTTATGCCTCGGGTCCTCTGATCTGGGCCCCCCTATCCGAGCTCAAAGGTCGTCGCCCCGGTATTGTCGCAGCCATGTTGGGATTCGGTATTTTCAACACAGCTGTCGCAGTCTCAAAAGATATCCAAACGCTCATGATCTGTCGATTTTTCTCCGGTATCTTCGGTAGTTCGCCTTTAGCAGTCGTTGCAGCCGTCTTCTCCGATATCTACGATAACCGTACCCGTGGTGTCGCAATTGCATTCTTCTCCTCTACCGTGTTTTTGGGACCACTCATCGCCCCTTTCATCGGTGGCTACATCAATATGTCTTATCTAGGCTGGCGATGGACAGCCTGGATCCCCGCTTTCATGGGATACGCAGCTTTCGTACTGAACCTCTTCTTCTTGAAAGAATCCTACCCACCCGTTGTGTTGGTTGAAAAGGCCTCGGAATTGCGCCGCCGTACAAAGAACTGGGGAATTCACGCAAAGCAAGAAGAAATCGAGGTCGATTTCCGGGAGCTGGTGGTTAACAACTTCTCTCGTCCACTTCGACTTCTCTTCCAGGAGCCTTTGATCCTGGCTGTCACTATCTACCTGAGTTTCATCTACGGCCTGCTTTACTGCTTCTTGACAGCGTACACTCTTGTCTTCCAGGGCGTGTACGGCTTCAATGCTGGAGAAAGTGGTTTGCCCTTGTTCGGCTTGGTTGTTGGTTTATTTATCGCCGCCGCATACATCATTGCAACAGCCCCTGCCTATAACCGGAAGCTAGATGCTAATGGAGGCATGCCTATTCCTGAATGGCGTCTACCACCCGTTGTAGTCGGGGGTGCTCTTTTCGCCGCTGGTCTGTTCTGGTTCGGTTGGACTGGTTTCAGCGGCACCGTTCACTGGATTGCACCTACACTGAGTGGTATTTTCACCGGATTTGGTCTTCTGATCATCTTCATCCAGCTGTTCAATTATCTGATTGACACCTATCTCATGTTGTAAGTTTACTTGTGAAGCACCAGTGTCGATTGCTCTTAACTAACATTTCTATTAGTGCTGCCTCTGCTATTGCCGCAAATACCTTCTGTCGCTCTATGGTGGCAGCAAGCTTTCCCCTATTCTCTCGCCAAATGTTCGATGGCATGGGCATCCAGTGGGCTTCTACCCTTCTTGGATGTGTTGCAGTTGCCCTTGTGCCCATTCCAATTGGGTTCTACTTCTTCGGAAAGAAATTGAGAATGAAGAGTAAATTTGCTCCCTATTTTGAGCCTGCCAATGAGGCAGCTTGTGGGGATCAAGAAGAGGAGGAAGAAGCCGAAGTTGTTGAAAATTAATGACATCAAGTCAGAATTGTACATAAAATACCTCGATATACCTTATTTACTAACTAAAATATCATTAAGATACCTAATATATTAAGAATACAGACTATATGGGATTGTTTTCCGAACAGAACAGTAAGAGTTGAGTTGAGATTTCATTGAAGAATAGATAAAAATAAGTATCCTGAATGCAAACAGATCCCAAGCCCCCAAGGCTTTGATCCTAATGTCCAACATGAACCTGTGCCAGAAAAACTCACAAAACTCACAATGAACCTTTGTGAACATCCCAAATCATAAAGTGGATCTGGATATCAAAGATCCACTAAGCCCCACTTAAAGGATTGTCGGATATCCACAGATTACCAAGAGAAGCTTACAGCAGACCTTTAACTAGAGATAGCTGTCTTCGTCATTGTGTGATTGTTCATGTATTTATTATGTCTCGCACAAGCGATGTGAGATTATATTATCATAATACACGGCTCTTCGAAGGGGTTGTAAAACCGGCCCAGCCGTCGTAGGCTGCCTAGTTTAGCTTCGGCCGTATTATACGATTGGAGCCTTGCAGGTTGATAGATTTGATATTTCTTTTTGAAAATAACTAAACAATTATCTACAGACTTGTTCCTGACAGAAAATCCAAACAATGTCGATGTATCTCTAACTGGGTATCTCAAGGTGTCACTATACGGATCCCATTAAGCCGCAACAGTAACTAGTGAATGATCACTCCTGGAGTTTTCTCTTACTTATGCAGGCAATCAATTGATAGATCCATTATATTCTGAGTCTCAGTCCCTGCGGAATCAGATCCGATGTAAAACCCATGTGTTGCTGTATCGTCTCACATCCTTGACATGAGCCCTCCATAACTCTCTTCCCTGTGACTCCGGAACTTTATCCCACGCAACCCTTTACATCCTTACTATCTTTGATATGCCCCCAGAGTCCCCTTGAAATTATGGCTCTCACGGGGAGTATTCCGTTCCTCTTTGCTCAGCGTTGGGTCTTTCTCGTTGTATCGGTATTCTCCGCATTCATGTTACTTTACATTGCCTTTCGACCTGAGAGAGAGATCTCAGGCTGGAGCTCAAAGTATAAAACCATATTCAACAATGAGCATACTGACGGTGTAATTGACTTTTCTCTTTTTTGCATAGGTCGTTCAACTCATGGAATCATCACCAGGATAATGATCGCTTTGCATCATTGGATATTACAGGTCTTTTTCAGATCCCTCTACTCTCCGTGGATGCCGAAAACTTTACGGATCCAGCTGGGAGGATCTACCCACTTCCTTATTTTTCACCTCAGAAACCGGAATTCACTAAATCACTTGGGAAGGACATTTTGATTCTTGATGCAGATACTCGACCTATGGATGGGCCCGGAGAACTTCTGAACAGCTCATCTCCAAGCAGGCTAAAATCATGGCACACATTTGGTCGACTGAATCATTATCTATTTGGTACCTTATTTCGATCCCCTGGAAGAGACATGATAATTAAAAAATACACACTAACGATTGCCCGCAGCCAAAATTCACGGATACGACTACAAGTTCATGCATGTTCAAGAACCCCAGGAACGACAGCAAACCTGGTGCAAAGTCCCAGCCATGAGAGAACAATTGCAGAACTACAAATTCGTCGTCTTCGTAGATGCAGATACAATCTTCCCGTATCTGCATCTGCCACTTGAATGGCTTTTCAACTACTGGAACATTAATCCGGAAACACTTGTCGCTTTAGCGCGGGATCCAGCAGACCCTGTCAACAACGATGATCGAGGTAGAACGTATCTCAATACTGGATTCGTGATTGCTCAACGAAGTCCCAGGACCGAAGAGCTGTTCAAAGCGTGGGATGAATGTTCAAATGGCGTACGGTACCCCAGCTGCGTGAGATGGAACTTCAATTGGCCGCACGAACAAGCTGCGTTCGGGGGCCATATTCGCTATGACTTTAATCGATCACAGGATGTTAAGGTCTTGCCTTGTGCCGAGGCAAATGGGTGTCCTGAAGCGGCGCATATGGGATGCATGGGCAGGCTTGTGCGACATTACTGGTATGGGAAGCATTTGGTTCCGGCTGCTGTTCGAGAGTCGTTTTTACAATCTTTTGTGCCACCTTTGCATGAGCTGTTTCTGCAAGAGTACGGGTTGGTGGCGGATTGATCAGTTGGATACAACGGGTGTCGCTGAGTAGGACTGTGACATAGTGTCTTTCGGTGTCCATATGTAGGTACAAATAGAGCAAGATTTCAAGTTTTGATACGTGATTATGGAAGAAGAAAGAGAGTGCCCATATTATACAGCCTCATCGATTATAGGATATCCAGCATGCGAGCCAACGGGCCATGTTCTTGTCAAAGAATTGGTCTTACGTCGGTAGGTTTAAGGGAAAAACAATCCCGCTGCGACCAGGGAACAAAATATAATGCAATAGAGCGGGAATCATAACGCTCGCCGTCCGGGCATGAGCTCACGCAAAGGGATATTGGGACCGCATTCGACACTGAAGAATCTAAACACACGCTATTCACCGGAGCAATCAGAAAAGTGGAAGGAAACATGTACATCTTAAAAAATGGCACAGCATCATGGACAGACTCGATTCTCCGTCGGTCAAGAGAGGGTGGGGGGTTGTGTATGCGTTGTTGTGTGGACGAGATTGAAAGACGATTAGCAAGCGCATCCGTCATTGTTGGTGGTTTCTTTGGGGTGGATGTTGACATCAATCACTGAAAAATGTTAGTCAGAATGGAAGAGTTGAAGGAGTAATAACAATCCACGGTATTCCGATAATGCTAGAACATACTTGTGCTTTCTCCCTGCTTGGCTTCACCCTCCATTCCAGGTAGAGCCTGGGCAATTCTTCGGAACAGTTGCTTCACGTTATGTCCGACCTTGGCGCTGGTCTCAATAAACATGAGGCCGTTCTTCTTAGCTTCCTCCTCACCCTGTGCGGTGGTAACTTCTCGCTTGTCATTCAAATCGGTCTTGTTGCCCACCAACACGATGATCACATCATTCCCACGCTCTCCGCGCACATCATCAATCCATTTCCGGGTGTTCTGGAAGGACTTGGCATTTGAAATATCGTATACGACCACCGCCACGCTGGAGTCACGGATATAAGAGGGGATCAGGGAGCGGAATCGTTCTTGACCGGCGGTATCCCAAAGTTGGAGGCGAACCGTTCGATCCTCTAAGTACATAGTCTATGAAGAACTCTAGTTAGGAACCTGTACTTGCATATCCTAGTGGGCTTAGATCAATGATCCGGACATAAGACGCCTCCCCAAACATACCTTGGACAAAAAGTCGATGCCGATCGTGGCCTGATATGTGTTGTCGAACGAGTCGTACATGAAGCGAGTGATCAACGAAGTTTTTCCAACTGTATCAATGCATCGTTAGAAATGTCCTTCTTGTATCGTATCCTTTTGCTATTCGGTTGGAATAACACCGTGAGTTCGAGGAGACCGTACCGCTTTGTTCACCCAGAAATACCAATCTATAATTCCTTGTCAATGACCCATTCCTTGAAACCTAGCATTATAGATAATTTCCACCTACTTGAACTTCTTCAACGGGTTCGAATACGACCCTACCCCAGAGGAGGCCATGATGTCTGTTGATGATAAGGAGAGGAGGGGGTAGTTGCTTCAGGGGGGAATGGGCTTGAAATGCACCACAAGGCAACGGTCCGGGGCGCTTGCCACACAATAGAGACGTGGCGTTAATAGGAAAAAGTGAGAGTAACAATTAGTCTTGAACTCCCCTCTTTCTCTGGTTGATAAATCCACGATTCAAGTTGGACGAGCCGTGGATCTGGGGAACCACGGCTTGTCACCGCCTCGGGACAGCTGGGTTTATCCGCTCCGGCCACCGAAGCATCATTTCACTCCGACTGTCTGCGGCAGCTTCGATAGCTTAGCTCCCTTATCGCCCTCCTTCTCTCTCGATTCCACTGCGAGACCTTTTCGCTCCTTTGTTCTCAGGTTGAGCTCGTCATGGCTCTCCGGTACTTCTTTGGTCTCTCCTGGACCGCCTTCGTGGTGGTCGGATTGTGTACGTTCCCATTGACCCGATATGGACATTTTGGCAAGCTAACACATGCATCCGGTGTATAGATATGCTCTTCACAGGAGAAGGTGAAGCATTCAATGTATGTCTCTCCTCAGATACGAATCGATAACGACCCCCTAGTCCGGACAACTCATTAACCCGACGCGCGTTTCTAGGTCGGCCGCTTTCTCGAAGAGGTATCTCCCTTCGCCTGGGCAAACATCGGTATTGCGCTCTGCATTGGTTGTTCCGTGGTCGGTGCTGCATGGTATGCATACATTATCCCGTTGGAATTATGAGCCCCGAGCTCGGGCGCTTTCACGGACAAGTCCACTGATACTGTTTACAGGGGTATCTTCCTCACGGGCTCCTCGATCCTCGGTGGTGGTGTTCGAGCCCCCCGAATCCGAACCAAGAACTTGATCTCCATTATTTTCTGTGAGGTCGTGGCTATCTATGGTGTGATTATGGCCATCGTATTCTCCGCCAAGCTGGGTTCCGTTCCCGAAACCCAACTCTACACTAGTAGCAACCTCTACACGGGATATGCACTTTTCTGGGGTGGTATCACAGTTGGAGTCTGTAACTTGATCTGCGGTATCTCCGTTGGTATTAACGGTAGTGGCGCTGCTTTGGCTGACGCCGCTGATCCTAGTCTGTATGTATCCATTCCCGTTTCGCCGATGTGCATGCTTTCGTCAGTGTGGCGGTCTAGCTAACCTTCCTTTCACATTTAGATTCGTGAAGATTCTCGTTATTGAGATCTTCAGCTCTGTCCTGGGCTTGTTCGGTCTTATTATCGGTCTTCTGGTGAGCGGCAAGGCCTTGGACATGGGCGCGGCGTGAAAACCGCTATCTTGTTACATGAAAAACCCACATGTGCAATGTTTATGATTGCCTAAACTGGGGTATTCTATTCGGACAGGGGGCCAAGCCACTAGCCCGTGTTCCAAGGATAACCCTGGTCAACCCATATATGATTCATCTCGGCATACTTTCTCGATTTATTTGTTTATTTGCTCTTCTCCGACAAAACTTTCTTATCATCTTTTTTCCTGTCCATGTTTTGATACACAGCATCGGGGCGTCTGGGATTTTGTCTCAATTCGTAGAGCAGCTCCGTGGGGTTTTTTTACACGTTTTTTTTATCTTGCTGGATTGCATCGCCGATCCGGGGAAAGGGAGGATCGAGTCCACTATGTGTACAGTAATGAAGTGACTATAGCAAATGAGAGCCCATCATTCGGGAAGTGCCATGCGGACGAGAGCAAGTTGTTCTCCATAATCCCCGCGTTTTTTCCCCCGTATACCCACTTTTGATGAACGGAATCGACATGAAAATCCCTCAAAAAACGTAAAAGCCATCGACGAAATGAACTGTACGGAATAGCACGGACCCGCGTACAGCGTACTAGTGACAAAGGTTGCAATTTCGCTTCCCGGGGTTTCGCGATAGTCCGGTTGTCAACGGCATAAGAATCCAATCCTTTCCCCCCTTCAACACCCCACTTTCCCGCATAACAACAACTTTCAACCACGCAATTGCATACAATGGAACCAAGACTAAAGGTCGCCATATTGATTGTGTCGGACACGGCCTCTCAGGACCCCGCTTCTGATAAAACAGCGGGGGCTCTGACGCCCATCCTCACCCAGGAAGGGAAGTGGGAACCCCCCGCAATCAGGATCGTGCCGGACAATGTGTTCCAGATCCAACAAGCTGTATGCGACTGGGCAGACGGAGAAGATTGGTATAACCTCATCTTGCTGAGTGGTGGAACTGGGTTTGCAGTCAAAGATAACACGCCTGAGGTAAGGATCCTCGATGTTCTGTTGGTTAACCCGGTTCTAGCTTGTTAAATGACATCATTTTAGGCCGTAACTCCCTTGATCCATCGTCATGCCCCGGGCCTCGTGTGAGTTGTATACAGTACCTGTCTTGCTACTTACGCCAAGGAAAGGCACTAATTCAAACTTCTCTGTTCAGCCATGGTATGATCGCCGCTTCATTGAAAGTAACACCATGTGAGATGACATCACCCATCCCCGGGCCTGTGCACTATAACTATAAACACCCTCACTAACCCCCCTTTCAGTTGCGATGATGGCTAGACCAGTCGCTGGTGTTCGAGATAAATCATTGATTATCACTTTACCCGGATCCCCCAAAGGAGCCATGGAGAACCTCGAGGCTGTTGTAAAACTTTTGCCTCATGCCTGCATTCAAAGTGCTGGTGCCAATTCCCGCTCTTTGCATGCTGGCGGCCTGAGGAAGTTAGAGAATGAAGCTGGTGTTTCTTCTGGTAATAACCACCATCACCATCACCACCATCATCATCATCATCACGGCCACGGCCATGCTATGCCAAAAGCACACACTACCCAGTCAGAAAAACCCCAATCCAATGACCCCTCTGCGGGCCCTAACCGGCGATACCGCTCCTCGCCCTACCCAATGCTGTCCGTGGAAGAGGCCCTTCGCACAATTAGCGAACAAACTCCTGCCGCAACAGTCATTGAAGCACCTGTGAACACATCCATTTTTGGATCCGTGCTTGCGGAAGATGTCTACGCCGCCGAGATGGTGCCCGCCTACCGCGCCAGTATCGTTGATGGCTATGCTATCATTGCACCCAATCCCGACGACGCCAACGCAACAACCAACGGCATCTTCCCCGTAGCATCAATCACACATGCCAATATCGGTGGCGCATTAGAGCCACTCCAACCCGGCACAGTTGCTAGAATTACCACCGGTGCCCCCCTCCCACCGAACGCCAACGCCGTAGTCATGGTTGAAGACACTGTTCTAGCCTCCTCAACCCCAGACGGCACCGAAGAAGCCACTATCGAGATTTTAGCTGAGGACATCGAACCTGGTGAGAACGTCCGCGAACCCGGTAGCGACGTTATCCTCGGATCCAAGATCCTAGCCCGTGGAGACCTCATCTCCCCCGCCGGTGGTGAAATCGGTCTGCTAGCAGCCACAGGCACCAGAACCGTGAAGGTATTCAAAAAGCCCCGTGTCGGCGTCCTAAGCACAGGCGACGAGCTAGTGGAGCACGACGATCCCCGCAAACTAATCGGCGGCCAAATTCGCGACTCAAATCGCCCCTCTCTTCTCTCCTGCCTAACATCCTGGGGCTTTGAAACCGTCGACCTAGGCATCGCCCGCGACACACCCTCGAGCGAGTTAGAACAAGCCCTTCGCGACTCTCTCCGCGGCGTAGGCCGCGCCTCATCAAGCGTCGACGTAATCATCACCACAGGCGGCGTCTCAATGGGCGAGCTGGATCTCCTCAAACCAACTATTGAACGTACTCTAGGCGGCACAATCCATTTCGGTCGTGTTTCCATGAAACCCGGTAAACCTACTACCTTCGCTACAGTACCTTTCAAAGAATCCATCCCCGATACCCCATCCGCACAACAGGAACGCAAATCAAAACTCATCTTCTCTCTGCCCGGTAACCCGGCTTCAGCCTTGGTTACACTTAACCTCTTCGTCTTGCCTTCTCTGCACAAGCTCTCCGGTCTCGGCGAGAGTTCCCAAGGAATCGCTGCTAAGCCCTGGATGGCACCGCAGCTTGGTCTGCCCCGCGTGGCTGTTGTGTTGACACATCACTTCCCGCTTGATCCTAAGCGTACTGAGTACCATCGTGCTGTTGTTACGGGCTCGCGCTCTGATGGCCGCTTGTATGCTACTAGCACGGGTGCTGAGGGCGTTGGACAGCGTAGTTCCCGAGTGGGAAGCATTGCGCGTGCGAATGCACTGGTTGTTCTGCGTCCTGGACGTGGAGTCGGTATTAAGGGTGAGATTGTGGAGGCGTTGATGATGGGTCCGGTCTATGGATCTGATACCCGACTCATCTGCTAAGCGGGTCTTTCGTATGAACTTGCTACGACGAGTACGATTTCCAACAAGGGAACTGGATTCCCTAACCTTGTATATTTCCCGGTTATTTATTCTCTTCTCTCTGTTATTTATCTCTACATTTCCCCTTTTTTGGATTATGCACTTTTTAGTTACTGGTTACTGGTCCCTTGGGCACGATACAATCTCAATCTCTAGACAGAGTCAGTAGATATCTATGAGCAAATGACAAGAACGTTTTCCATAAAGCAAAAACTCCACCCAGTAATATGCAATCCCAAAATGCCCGTGTATGTATCTTAAGCATCCTCAATAAATCTTAACCCTTACTGTACTTGTATCCTTTCTTCTTCTCCGCCCGGAAACCAGTCAATGTCCCATCTCTTCCTTGTTTTCTCGCAATCTCAACGACAAGAAAGCGTACAAAATCCGTCAATGTCCAGTAGCTACTATGTGCACTGAGCATATTCAAATACTGAATATTAAGAGGGCCCCCACCACCAGATAGATAATAGTCTATCTGGCCATTGTCGTTCAACAGAAGCATGCGTTTTTCAGCTATCTCTTCGCGGGTAAAGTCGTGGGTCTCCATCTCAACATTGGAAGGAAGTTTGTTTATTGTGTTTGGGCGGACAGGTATTGTTGATGAAGACATGAAGCCCGAGGGGGAGCTCCAGCGGAAAACGCTACCGAATGATTGCCATAAGGTAGAGGATGAGGTGGGAATTGAAGCTATTTTGAGAGAGTCGGAGAGGTCTTTGTCTACGGCGGCGTTGACGCGGTATGTGATTGCTATAATATTTTATTAGTATGGAAGTCAGTGGATGAAAGAGGATTGTAACATACGATCTGTTGTGTGCATGATATTGTACAAATTGTCAACTGCGAGACAACCGTATTTGTCTGCTTCGCCTGCCACACCGGGAAGTTGATCTTCGCCTTCGCTATCTGGCTTTGCTCTGCCCTTCCGAGGGAGTAGATTTGCTGCAAAAGGTCAGTTGAGTAGCAAGGGTGTGTGAATGGCATAAAAACGAACCTTTGTTGAGCAGTAGGAAAAACCCGACAGGACTTCCACAGAGAAAGAGATTGCTGGTATCAAATTCAAAGATATCGTTATGTAGAGGGGTATCAGGAAAGTTGAACCGGGGAACGTTAGTTGGTTGATGACTTAGGATATCGAGGGCCATGACGCTCCCCAGGGAATGGGCAAGGAGGTGTACTCGGCCCTCATCTTGGAATTTTGGGTTATTCTTGCACCAAAGACGGTAGATGCGGTTAGCCTCTCTGCAAACAGCCTTGATCATTTTCGGTTTATGATGCGATAGGTAATAAGGTATATCGAGCATCACATCACTTATTAGTGACCGCACAGCTGGAAGTGTTTGGGGGGTAATATCATCGAGAGAATAGTTATTTGAGAATGGATCATCCGTGTCGGCTGGTTCTACAGCATCATCATCGAGAGATAATGTTGTACGCCAGTTCACGGGTAGAACCATGATCCCGCCATGACCCTGGCGTACATGAGGCCATACCGGCTCGTTGTTCAGCTCCATGTGGACTTGACGCCGAAAAGCATTGATTGCATGCGTGAAGTGGAAGCTCTCCATCCGCTCAGATAGTTTTTGGCCAATTCCATGTATGACAAAAACAAGGTCTGTCGGCGTTGGACGCAGGTCTTCCATCTTGCACGCATAGCAGATTTGCTCACCAGCGGGTGCCGTGGTTTGAGATTGACTTGTTCGAATATAGTGGCGTACATCCACGGGGTTAGGCTTGGCTGGATGCAGTTGATCCCAGAGCTTCCGGTTGAAGCCGCGAACAACCGGTATGCCGATTTGTCGGCCTTTGCGGATCGCACTGAGTGGCTTTCTTCCTCTGGCTGCAGAGGGTAGTAAGCTAGGACGGAGGATCTGAGCATTTTTGGCGTCAACATAAATTGCACTAGAGTGGAGGTATGGCTTTATGGCCTCGCTGGGAACGGCAGTTCCTCCAAAAGCTCGATGTTCATCAAATTTTGGGTCCTGGATGATTTCACCCGCTTGAATTTCATTCCCCTGCGAGCCACCTTCAGCAGTCCCTGGTGGATTAGCAGGTCTGGACTCATTCGTCGGCCATAGCTTTTGTACTATTTTAGCCTCCGCATCAGCCCCATTCTCGACGCAGCTGTTTAGCTCGTCTTGCCATGTCTCAGTCCATGGTTTCAATAACATGTAGCCCTCTTCGAGTTGATTCGCGACGGCGGGCTCGACTGGGAACATTGTATTCTTGTAAAACCATGTGGCTCTAATCACCGATGACACGTCATGTAAAGGACTCCAGTAGATAGGCTTCATCTGTACATCTCTTTTAGTAAGGTCTTCGAGAAAGTTTGTAAAAAGAGTGACATACTTTTAGGTTTGGTAATTCCACCAAATGGAGGCGCAATGCACCTACTGGGATATTTGTTTGCGATTCTTGAATGGAAGACGTTTCTGCAGGATTATTCACATCGATATCATCTAGACTGACAGCTGCTCGAAGCCCGGATGGCTTCGAGGATGATGCATGGGGTGCATCAGTACGCAACTCAGCTTGCCATTCGTTTTCATCCTTCGAAACCAATGACTCGACTGATTGCCTGAAAGGGCTTTCCAGCTGGAATATCGGCGCTCGAGCAAAAGGAGATCCACTGAAGCTCGCATCACGAGATGAAGCTCCCTGCAAGCTACTTGCAACATGTTGCTCCTCGAATTCTTCCTCGGGCGGAGAATGGCTCCTTCGCTTCGCTGAATGTGACTCATTAAGAGAAAAGCCTCTTTTCCGCCGGCTGGCATTGACACCAGAGCTCTGCGAAATGCCAAGTGGCACCGAGGGAGGGTTGCTTTGAGCTCCCCTGCTGGTTCCTAGACTTGCGTTCCATTGACTTCCTGTCTGATTGGAATGGCCTCTATCCAGAGGCGATTCACGACCCGGTACAGCTACCCCGGGCTGCCTTTTTGATGGTGTCTCGGAGCGAGATCCATTGTCACCGGGTTTGCTCTTCTTGGCTTCTCGCAGGTCATTCCAAGCCGATTCCAAGGCGATATTATCTCTAGCTGAAAATGGCTGTGGAGGGGTTTTCTCATTCTCTGGTGTTTGTCCTGTAGTAGCAGGTAGTGGGGCCAACGGATCGTCAATTGGCAAGGATGAAACATAGAAAAAGTGCGATCGGATATCAGGTGGATCCGTGAGCGAGTACAAGCTCACTAGCTCTGGCTCCTCATCCGCCAGTAGGCAAGACGGGCCATAGGTATGGAAAGGACCCGTCATGATAGACCTGGTAGGGTCCCACTTTTTAGGGGGGAGATAAACTCAAGGGTCCGGGGCGATAAACCCTGAGATCCAAATGCAGATCCAGCCACCGCTTTAGATGATGATCATGGCCGAGCGTAATGAGTAGTCAGGCTCTTTGTTTGGGAAACACCCGATCGGGTGATGAAAAACCTTAGGAAGAGGTAAGTTTTTCACGGGCATAAGAGAGTATGCTCGAATATGCTCGGAGGGAAAAGGAGAGTAGAAGACAGGCAAGAAAGAAAATGTGCCGAAGCTCAGCAAGATTGAAGCTGCCTTCTCCCTTTGTGAGCCAGATGACGTCGCCGCACGTGCCACCATTTACCCAACAAACTAACAAGTTGCACACTTCAACATACTATACAATGCTTTGATAATATTATAGCAAAACAAAGGCTATTGAAAATGACTCTTCCTATTTTGGTCCCATACCATGTGGTCCTTCATGCATGTTGAAGCTAACTGAATTCCTCAGAGTATTGTATCTCAAAGTGGCCTCCAGGGCTAGTACGTGGGGCCCGATCCACGTAAGCTACTATATATAGCAAAAATACTACACTGCACATGATTCCAAGCCAGACTATCGAGATTTTAGACTTATGCTATGTCACGGTACAAATGAAAACTACGCTACGAGTAGGTAGACAAGGAACATAGTCAAGATCTCAAACATTCCTCGCTATAAACTAGATCAGAAAATATAAAGAGTGCGTGGGTGGTGGATAAAAGGGGAGAAGAAAAATTAAAAATAAAATAAAATAAAAGAGAGTAGAGGGCTTTCGAAAAGGAAGACCCTAGAAGTCAAAAGAATTTCCTTATCATCGTGACCTTGAAAGAATAAGAGAGTCCCTCTAGTCATTAATCAGTGTTTCTTGGATGGGAAATTTTTAGAAGCTCATATGATTCAGGCTCTGCGAACGACTCAACTCGGATGCTTCCACCATCTGTGACTGTACCCATGTACTCAGCGCGTGGAAATCCCGAAGAGTAGCAATCGGTGCATCAAGCATGTCGAGGATTTCATGTATTTCAAACAGATTCTTGCGGACAGCACTGTCTGGCAAGCAAAAGGTTCGAGCAGTCATTTCCACGGCAATGAATTTCCAGTTGCGCATATTCGAGTGGAACTTCACCGTATTAGTTGCGCATTCACCTCTCATAGCAAGTGTTCGGCGATTCTCCAGAATAAGCTCTCGCTGGGCAACTTGGTCAAATCGGAACTGGTGCACCTGTGGACGGTTCTTCAATTCCCACTGGCGGAGAAGCTTGTTTATGGAGTTCTGAGAGACCCGACCGTCGTAGTATTGATGGAGCAGAAAGCTATTGGCGCATTCACAGATCATCATTTCGAGATCTGAGTACAGTCTTCCCTGCAGATTGGGATTCAAGGACACAGGAAGGTTGGTCTTGGTAGCTGCTGTCGGTGTAATGGGGCAAGGGGTGGAAGGATACTGTAATATCGAAGTCAATACTGGACTCTGGGTAATACGGTTCAGATTCACTTACAATTTCTGTAATCTGCTTTTTGATTTTTTTGCTCAAACTGCGGAAAATAGCTTCCTTGGGGGAGGGGAGTTGCTCCGTCGGCTCCTCTGGTGCACCAGGCAAAGGTCCTAACAGACCGTCAGGACCAAAAAGATTCTTCCTGCCAGCAACCTTGATGGTAGCAGAATTTTCGTTTGAATTGTTGGGCTCGCTAATAGAGTTGACGAATCTCGCAAAGCTGCTTCCAGTCCCACTAGAGCGAACTGTGCTGGTCCGTTGCCACGATCTGACACTAGCGTGGTCAGAAAAAGAAGCCTTGGAACTGCGAGGGCGGCTGAAATGGATCGGGCTAAAGACTCGTGCTTGATGTCGGGGCCCACGCTTGACTGGCACAGATAGGTGCGCCGGGATCAGAGATGCATGCTTTTCTTCTTCATCGCTTAGAATGATCTCGAGGTGGGCGTTGAGTTCAGTGGAACCGTACTGTTCGTTTTTCAAAAACTCCCCAATGGAATATTCGTTCGACTCAGGATATTGGCGCGCGATTTCCACGTCCATCGTGCTTAACGCAGCCCCATCAAATTCCCATTCGGCCCCATTGTAGTATGGGTTGCCTTGTGAGATGTATTCATAGTCCGTGAATAAAAGATTGGGCTCTTGGAAATTTTCAGAGGCGTGTCGAGTGCTAGGCGTGAAGTACATGCTGGAATGAGCATTCAGATTCTGTGCCAGTGACGAGTCCCTGCTTCCATACTGGAAAGAGACGTTGTTTCCTTGAGGTAGACTGTCCTTTTGTGGCGAGTATGTCTTCGCTGGCAAGAAGAGCAGATCCATGGCATCAGTATCCATGATGTTGAAATTGAAGCCCAGATGACGACGTAGGTAGAATTGAAGGGGTTTGAATTCAAATAGAAATGCAGCAATTCAGGGAGCAGGGTGTAAAAGGTAAGTTCTTTGAGAAGTCCATGTCTGCAGGTGCAGGTAGCGAAGGGTTTTGTCACTCTTTTCATGGTTGTGTTTTAACATGAATGAAAAGTTGAATCAATTGGATCCATGGGTGCCTCCATTCCGAGGCCCTGGGGCGTGCATTGTGTCGAGACTTCAATAGAAAGTGAATGAAGCAGGCTCTCAAGGCAGATATCGCCCATTTCGGACAACCCCGCCTAGAATGGAAGCTATTCAGGCCAAAGGAATACCAACGCTGGAAGAAATGGTAGCATTTCTACTGTACTGGGAGCCTTAAATCCTTGCAAATATTTGGGGGGCCGAAGGAATCATGTGCAGCATCGTTGATGAGAGTGTACCTGGAGGCAGGCTGTTGGATGTATGAAAAGTCTTTGAGTGCCCGGTATTTTTTCTGCCCGTCATGCCCGGTGGCACACTAGGTGACTCTGGTGGTATTCTGGAATCAATTATTGCTCAGGGTGGCCTATCTTAGTACTACATGTAGTATTCCTTTCAAATTTATGCTTATCAGTCATCTGAGCAACTATGCCGATATTCATACCTAACATATTAGGCACAGTGAAAAGTATGCAATTTTAGCACGCATTTACTTGAGATCATATTTATCTTAGCTATAGAAATCGAATTTGTTGGATCGTTCAGGAATACCAAGGCATGAATAATCGCAGTCTAATGAAACGGCCAGCCAATTTGGCAGCGAAAGTAGCGGTATCAACGACTGTGGAGTAGTCATCTGTTTGTCCTTTCCCCCGAACATAGTATGAGTATACATACCCGAGCTCCGGGGCCGATTTTTGTGCCGAGTGAGGCGGATTACGGCGGGTTGCCCCCGGTCTACATAGAACTGGAGTAGACTGGGGTCTGGGACATGTTAGCCAGAGCTGTACTATACCCAGGTGATCGGGATTAGGAAAAATGGCTCAGTGCGGGTGTTAGTTCGGGAGAGTCGATCTGAGGAGCTCAATTGACCCTTGGATCGTTCAAAGGCAATACTAGCCCAGGTTGTAGCAGTCTCAGTCGGCCTATTCTCGAGCTCCGATCTAGTATAGCAGTGGTAGTGAGCGACAGCTATCATCCACGATTTTCCCTCAAATAGACTGTATCCTGTTCGTCATTCATGGAATCCTGGGTTTGGGCCGATATCATATTCCGGGTACCGTAGCCCATCCCGTTTTTCCACCTAGCATGGGCATAGGACATAGAGTACCACATATGGCAATTTACACCGGGATTCCCCCTTCATAAGTGCCAGGCGTAACTCCCAGGTGTATTGTGGGGACTGTGGATAAAGCGGCAGGGAAAAGAAAAAATGAGTTGCAGCCAAACATGAAACAAGTGATGAGTGGAAGTCTGGATCCAAGGTCTGTACACCAATCAGAGAGACGGGAAGATGCAGAATTGATGCTGTTCGCAATCATGAAATCCCGGTTTGGCCTGCCGAGGACCGGTCCACGTGACCTCCTCTCCACTTGCCGAAGATTGATTCCGAGGTGTGGAGAATTCACTAAGGCGAACTCGACGCTCGCTCCAGTTCGCTTTCACTCGTCCATGACGCTGAAGCCCTGCAGCTCGGTCTTGTCAGCGGCAAATCGCAGCCTTTCTCTCCCCCCCACATCCTTCCTCCCACTCTTCTGCTACCCTTTCACATAACCCGGATTTCCCGAGTCATGATTGGCTCTCACTCGTTTTCCCCACCCGCATTTACCACTGCTTAGCATTCTACAAACCGATTCTCAATGCCGTTGCTACGATGTAGCTTCTTCGACCCGCTTACCCCGGCTTACCCTCTTTACGATTATTTATAAAGCCATGGCCCTCGATCCTTTTTCTCAGATCCTTGCAATGCAGGTTGAAAACTTTAAGCAACATTTTATATTGTTTTTCTGTTGAAATAACCTTCATTTTGGGATCGCCACTTGCTCTTACAGCCATTGCACATACACACTTCCCCACTCTCCGCCTATAATTATCCCTGGCACCATGGTGCAGGAAACATACGACATTGTGATCGTGGGCGCAGGCCCAGTCGGTCTGCTTCTGTCCCTGTGCATGTCACGATGGGGATACAAGGTCAAGCACATCGATAACCGCCCTGTACCGACCGCCACCGGTCGCGCCGACGGTATTCAACCGCGCTCCACTGAGATCCTGCGCAACTTGGGTCTGAAGCGCTCGATTATGGCCTATGAACCGGCCAAGGTTTATGATGTCGCTTTCTGGGACCCCAAGGGCGATGGTTCAGGTATTGGTCGTACTGGCAGCTGGCCTAGCTGCCCTCGCTTCATCGATACTCGCTATCCTTTCACCACCCTGGTTCACCAGGGCAAGATCGAGCGAGTTTTCCTGGATGAGATCGAAAAGGCCGGTGCTCATGTGGAGCGACCTTGGACCATTGTTGGATTCAAGAACGACGGCGCCAACGCTGACTACCCCGTCGAGGTCAGCCTGAAGTCTATTGATACCAACGTCATTGAGAAAGTGCGCTCCAAGTACCTCTTCAGTGGTGAGGGTGCTCGCAGCTTCGTCCGTGAGCAGCTCGGTATCAAGATTCACCACAAGGACCCCATCGCCTACGTCTGGGGTGTCATGGATGGTGTTGTTCGCACAAATTTCCCCGATATCGAGGTAAGATTTAGACCTATATTCTTAAATTTTGATATTCGAGTATGCTTTCTAACTATAAACTTAGACAAAATGTACTATTCACTCTGATGCTGGCTCAATCATGGTTATTCCCCGCGAGGATAACATGGTCCGCCTGTATGTTCAGATCGCCTCGTCTACCGATGCTGACTGGAACCCCCGCAAGACTGCCACCGCCGAGGAGGTCCAGCAGACCGCCAAGAACATCCTGAAGCCTTACTGGATTGAGTGGGACCGTGTTGAGTGGTACTCTGTGTACCCTATTGGTCAAGGTATTGCTGAGAAGTACACTTTGGATGAGCGAGTCTTCATGGGTGGTGACGCCTGCCACACCCACAGCCCCAAGGCTGGCCAGGGTATGAACACTGCATTCCACGATGCCTTGAACATGGCCTGGAAGATCCACGCCGTTGAGAGTGGATTCGCGGACCGTTCCATTCTGAGCACCTACGAGACCGAGCGCAAGGACATTGCTGAGACACTCCTGAACTTCGATTCCAAATACGCTGCTTTGTTCTCCAAGCGCCGTCCCAATGCCAGTGAAGTCTCCGCCAGTAAGGCTGTCAATTCCGACGAGGAGGAGGACGAGTTTGTCAAGACCTTCAAGTCCTCTTGCGAGTTCACCAGCGGATACGGAGTTGCCTACAAGCCCAACGTCTTCAACTGGGATGCTAGCCACCCCGCCAAGTCCGCTCTGTTCAACATTCCCAATGTCAAATTGACCCCTGGTCGTGCCTTCACTCCCACTACTGTGACCCGTCTGGCAGACTCCAACTTCGTCGAGCTGGAGCAAGAGGTTCCCGCCAACGGAGCTTTCCGTATCTTCATTTTCGCTGGTAACCAAAGCAAGACCAAGAAGGCTATCGCCGATCTTGCCGCCAACCTCGAAAAGGAACGCTCATTCCTCTCCGTCTACCGCCGCTCTGACATCGCCGATGTCTCTTTCTTCGAGCGTCACAACCCTCACTCCAAGCTGTTCACCCTCTCAGTTATCTACGCTGGCAGCAAGAACGAGCTCGATATGGACTCTGTTCCCCAGGTCCTGCGGGACTACCACCATCACCTTTACGCTGATGATATTCCCGACGTCCGTGTCCCTGAGGCTAAGTTCTCTGCCCACGAGAAGCTCGGCTTTGACGCCGAGAAGGGTGGTATTGTCGTCACCCGCCCCGACAGCCACGTTGCCTGTACCATCCAATTGGTGGAGGGTTCTGGCACAGCCGACGCTCTCAACGAGTACTTCAACTCCTTCTCCAGCAAGGCACTGGGTCAGGATTCTCAACAGAGCCGTCTGTAAGCTCGCATATCTGTATAAATTTTGGATGTATATAGCTTGTTTCTATTGGTCCTTTTGAGCGACCGCTTAAGCATAATTGGCGTTGCCTTTTTGTCTATGATTGATATGAATAGAATTTCTTCATTATTATTTTCTCTTACTCTGTCTTGATTGTAAATTCACCTGCCTTAGATCTTTAAATCACACCTCCATTCGTCGTGGTCATGTGCCAAGCCTTCCCATCTATTTTCCGTCTCCACCCCGCATCACCACGAATCTCTCACTTAACTCATTCCCTACGCGCACCCATAACCAACAATTCCATATAATTTTCTGATCCTTGAAAATGCTCACACTTACACTTAAAGCTGAGTTGGAGGGGTAAGTGCTCCATTTTGTCATTCAGCAAGCTTTCAAAGCTACTACTCTCCGAAAATCTCTCCCCGCACCCATGCAGAAAAAAAAGAATCTATTGCATGACGGGCAATTATGTTTGAAACCCCACGAACTTGAACCTGACACTTCTTTATTTTAATATAGTGTGACTGCCCTTCGGCCAATTGATACAGAGGAGAATCCCTACTACTTCACGTTCAAGGTGCAATGCAGTTCTTGCCGCGAAACGCACCCGAACTGGGTTAGCTTCAACCGATTCGTAAGTTGCAGTTCTTATACCCATGCTCTCCAATACTTTCCAATACTTTTCATGTGCTGTATATCTATTATATGAATAGAATATTCTTACTAAGTCGGATCTAGGAGCAAAATGAGATCCCTGGTAGCCGAGGTGAGGCCAACTTCGTGTGGAAGTGCCGACTGTGCACGGTATGTCATCCTCTACCTTTGCCCTTTATCAATTCTATCCAAGTCCAGCCTCTCCATGTCGGTTATTATTCATTTACGCCTTGATTCTTTATACTACCCAATGTATCTGTTATACCTTTGTTGCTAATACTAATGGGATCATCAGAAAACCCACTCCGCCTCCATCATCACTGCCCCTAAGGAGTACGATGCGCAAGCAAAGAAGGCCGAGCAAAAGATTATCGAGATGGATTGTCGTGGACTCGAGTTCATTGATTTCAAGGCTGATGTGAGTACTGCCTTTCTTGTCCCTTTGCATCTATTATTTTACTCATGCCGCATACAGGGTGAATGGGAAGCTAAGGGCACTGAGTCGTCCACCCCTTTCACAGCCATTGATCTTCTAGAGGATGAGTGGTATGACTATGATGAGAAGTCGAGCGAGGAAGTTAGTATCAAGGAAATTACCTGGAAAATTAGTCGTGCGTGAGTTATAGGTTTCTGCGTTGAAGTTAACTAGGAATGGTGAGGAAAGTGTTGCTTGTGTGGTGCATTTTAGTGGAGATTGTGGTTTGGGATGATCTATGAATTCTTGTTTTTTTTTTCCAAATTGCTTCTTTGGTTCTTTTGACTGTATTACTATCATACTAGTAGCTTGGGATGGTTGGAGTAGGTGGGAGTGGAAGGGATTGATGCAGTATAGGAGAAAGATGACCATGGTAGCGACGCCATCTTCAGAATGCCTGAGAAAATACCATGCTCACATCCAAAATCCGTAAATATCAAAGACATAGATCATGAATTATAAGCAAAAGATTATCATCTTCAACATCTTGTCAAGGATAAGATTTAATTGTGAGCGATAGACCATAGAAGCGGTGAGGAAATAAAGGCTTTGATTGGCTCCACCCCGTGAATCCCGTCCAGCTCACATTTTCGCGGTGCACGACTCCAAAGACTCCCGTCCACGACCATCACGACTATCGCAGGAAAGAAGCTCTCACGTCCATTTCTTTCCCATCTACCTTCCTCATCCAATCGTCTGGCCGTTCGACCCGAGCAAATTCCGCCAAAACACCACCACAATGAGTGTATGTTCCCAAAAACCAGCTTCAACTCCCTCTCTCGCCGAACATCAAGCTTCGGAGAGGACGCCCATTCCTTAGATGAAAGAGGTCATATCGATTGCAGAACAATTACTGACATTCTACCTTTTAGTTCCAACCCGTTAACCCCCGCCCATACCTCCAGGCTAGGTACGCAACCCCAACCCCATTGAATCGTCAAAGCAGTCGCGCCATCGGACCCGACGAAAAAGATAAGATCATCGCTAACATATTATGGATAGAGTCGGCACTGAGATGATCATCCGCTTGAAATGGGGCCAGACTGAGTACAAGGGTACCCTTGAGAGCATCGATTCCTACATGAACGTTCTGCTGCGGGATACAGAGGAGTACATCGATGGAAAGCAAACTGGATCTCTGGGATTGGTTCTGATCCGGTACGTTACCCTACCCAACCTTCCCCTTACTCCTCGTCTCGTCTCGTCAGATACTCAATGCAATCCGCACCGTATCAAGGTACAATTACTGATTATTCTTTCCATGTGCAGGTGTAACAACATTCTTTGGATGGGCTCAGCAGACAGTGTGGAAATGACAGACCTGGAACTAAAATAATAAGAGACGATTTCGATGAAACGGGGGTGACGGACATAGTTGCGCTAGACCTCTTCGCACAAAGCGGTGGTTAAACTCGCTTTCTTCTCTTCTGGAGCTACTGAGCTGCCAATACATATTGCCTTGCCTGCGACCTGGATGGTACGGTACATATCCAGGTCCTTGGATAGGCGGAGAAGATTGCGAAGCTTGCAGCCTGTCTGCGTAAGAGCTGCAGACTGGATGGAGCTTTTAGACCTCGCTGCTTAGTTGGGGATGGATACGACGAGAGTCCACTTGTTCTAAGTAGCGACTTGGTCTCGAGGTGGATTTGTTTTATTTTTTTTTGCTTGCTATTTCGATTTCGATTCACGAGGCGTTTTGATGGTTCTTCCCGTGCGATCTTGTTGCATGCCTACTGGCCAAAATCAATTCAACTACGATATTTCCGACATGTGATCTTTTTTCCCCCTATTTTAGCTCCAGCTGTGGATGATAAGTTGGAGATGGCGATTGGGCGTTGCGGAGCTCTGTAGACCGCTTCTGAGGGATATCGTCAGATATGACGAATGCGGATGTATGTAAATAGCCCTCCTTAGTGGTGATCATTTTGTGTGGAGTTGTGATAAGTGTAAGTAGCTTGGGGTGGCGGTTTTAGCCCCATTTCTTGTGCATTTGTGCAGGCGACGGGGAGGGGTGGAGTGGAGGGATGTACATGATGTACTGTATATCCTCCCTGTCATCCATGGATACAGATGGGTACATACACCTGGGCATACTGTACTGTACTGCAGTGTAGCCTGAGTATGGTGTAAAGAATGAGAGATAGCATGAACTACTACATATCATGTATGTGGCGAGAAGGACCAAGACGAGATACGATTCACGGCTGCAAGGGGCACGGATTTTGAATCCCTGCATCTATGTACTATGCACCGGGAAGGCAGGCATCTTGATCCTTCTAGCGGGTAGCGAGGATCATGGAAAGTAAGCGGGATTCAATCCAACGGTTTACAAGAAAGCCTCAAGAATTGAATGGAAGCCGAAACGAGACGTCTGACCTCTGGTGGGCGGTGCACAAGCACCGGGGACGAGGATACATTGTGCTCCGTATGTACATGATGATCGTGAGGGGCAATCCTTTGAACCAGCTACGCAGAGTTGATACCTACTTAAATGGGTATTTGGTTTCTAGCAATGTGAATGGGTCAAGCAGCCATCAAGGAGATAGCTTCATCATTATTCGCCTCCCGTCGCATCTTCGATCCACTGATATACGGTACGCTTAAACCATGTATCACTGATTTCCTTATATAGAAACATCCAGCTGATCACCCGTGGAGCTGAAGATACCCGGAGCACGAACACCTCCGCAACACGGTCGCATGTTTACGAAGATGGATTAGTACATGGACTGTAGAGAGCCAAGGAGAGGTGCCCGTGCGCCCGACGTCATGAGGGAAGGCAACCTTTCATGCAGAAGAAGAAAATAACGCGGGGAGTCAATACTGTAGTCCACCTCAATACTCCGACGTCTGTGAAGAGGGCTTGGGCTTGAGCGTGGGCTTGGGCTTGTCAGTACCGAACAGAGTAATTGGCGTCAAGCCCACAAAGCCATTCAACCACACAAAAAAAGCCCAGCAAGAACTCGGCACCAATCCTAGCACGCTCCCAATTCTCCTCACAGGCCGCGCAAGTGTACCCCTCCAGACCCACGAAGATCTAATGAACTCTTGAGGGAACTTTCTTACGCTCCGCTCAACGTCACTGGCCAGACTACAAACGCCACAGCGTTGCCGAGTGCTGATCCTACGCCCGTTTCACCCCGGCACCCACCCTTTTCCCCATCACCTGGCATTCTGTACGGAAGAAATTTAAATTAGGAGTTACAAACTTACAATGGGGTTTTTTGGTAGCAGAAACCCAAAAAATTGAAAATTAAGTTCAATATGGAATTTCTTCAAATACGTAAAAGGGGGGAAGAAGAGAGGGGAAATCATAGACAGATTAAACATGATACATCCGACTGAGCTATCTACTGTAAGTAGTACCAACTACCTACATATATAGGTACAAGAGGTACACCATGATAAATGCTACACAATACAACACTAGGAGCCCCCCTGTTGGCCCCTAAAAAAAAACACAGCACAACAAACCCTGAACCAAAGAAGAAAGATTCTCGCTCGAGTCCCCTGATCTTCGGGCTCCACCCACTTACTAGTAACAACGTTCCAGACTGGTCAATGTGCCCTTTGGCTTTGAAATTACACTTCGGATCAAGTCTCCAGTCAATTTTTGGGTTGATTTAAATTATCGGTTTTTATTTTATTTTTATTTTAAAATTAGGTAGTTCGAATTTCTCTCTTTTATGGGTTTAATTCACGAGTTACTTAAATTGCCTGCCCCCCTCCTCTCCGCGACTCCCCTAATCCTAACGAATTCTATATTTATATTCTCTCGTTTTGGACTTTGCCCCTCTAGTACATGGGCGCTTACTGTGACAATATCTGTCTCATTCATTTTCCTTTGACTATATAGTCATACAGCCCTCCCACCTACTGTATTAGGTTACCGCCTCTCCGCAAATTGAACATTGAACCCATATACAAAACTATAAGCCACGCTCGCTTTAAGTCTTTGTTTGTGTTTACATCGTCATCGCAACAATGCGGGATACACCGTCCAAGTTCATTGAGATCCTCGATCCCAAGGACTCGCCTTTACGTTCTGACTCTGATCTCGATGTCCGCCTCGAAGACGTCCTCGCCGATCACGAAGCCACTATCGGTGGCCGTACGCGCTCCTCTACACAATCCTCCAAGTCGATGGAGAAAGAACAATTATCCCGGACTAGTTCTGCTTCCCCGACTCAACGCTGGAAACGCTTCAGCAATATGCTGGCACAACCACGACGGAACTCATAATACCCCCACCGTCTACGTGACCTACCTATATCATACTACCCCATCACTTCAACTCTCTACAACTGGAACTCTCTACTATCCTCTTATGCACAAACACTCTGAGCATATGTATCTGGGTATACGACCGAAACGATGACGGAACTTCACGAAAGCCATACAATTCAGTCCAATTGGCTATACGAATCAAAAGAATTTCCTACCTACCTACGAAGGAACCACGCGGGAATAGACTGCGAATAGAATGCAGCGGCATCTCCACCCGACACTCGTATCATGGACGGGGCTTATGTTGGACATGCTGTGGATCCTGAAGGATTAAATGAGAAGGAGGGGTTGTTTGGCCTTTGACCGGACTTTGATTCTGCTGGTTGTGTTGGCAAGGGCACAGCGATCGTAATGGAAGAAGACGCTTGCCCCGCTTTCTATGATAACGATTTGATGAGCCTTTTATTTTCAATTCTCTTCTCTTATTTTTCTTTCCTTTCCCTTTCTCTTGTGTCTCATTCTTCTACGGATCTCGGGATGAACTGGACTGAACTGGAATGGATGGATGGATTCTTCATTCTTGTCTCTTTTTATTATTATTGCTGTTTCCATGGAATCAACACCCAAAAGTGTATATAGATGGGCAAGAGATCCAAAACATACGGATACGATCATGATGACCCCTTGATACCTATTTTGCATATTTATTCAAACATACCATTGATTGCTCATCCACCAATGTAGCACTCAATTTCGATTATGATACCCAACCAAATGCGAATGCGACCAATTCAAACATTTCAATCACCATTCCCAAAAGTAAAGACCGAAAACCAAAACCAAAAATGAACTAGCACCGCACGGGAAACATAAAACTCAACCCAATACCCTCTTCTCTATACCTGGACATTCTACACTGTACCTGAACAGATCTGAAACTGAGCCAAAAAAACACCGCCTGGTCTGGATTGGATCTCGAATTTCGTGATCCGTGGCACCGGTCGCCCTCAATTTCCAGGTACCAGTGGACCCCTAGACCCTGGGTCTGTCGGCTCGGCTGTAGGTGAGACAATGTATGACACTCGGCGAACAGGTACGGTGGCTAGACTGGGCTTTTCCAATGTCTCTGTTCTCTATGTTTTAGGAGGTGGGGTGTGGGAATCTTAGCGTCTTTAGTGTGTGAACTAGTGAGTTCTGGAATTCTGGCGAAGAGGGGGCAAATAAAATGACGATGGCTGCTGTGGGATTTGGGGCTTCTTGTTTTGGTTGCTTTCCATGGTTAAGGTCGGGTATTGTCAGTGGTCGGAAATTGGACTGACCCACTTGAGTACTTATGTACATTTGTTCTGTGGTGGTAAATTATTATGATTAGGATTGCCAGTGAGATTTGGATTCAGATTAAGGTTGCGTTGGTGTTGTAAAACGAAAATTGTAGTTTTTTGATAAGAGTCATTGGAGGCAGAATACATTGTAATTTGTTCAATCACGCTGGACATCTGCATCAATTGGTCGAACTATACATGAAATGGAAGAAGCAGTTCGCTGGGACTACCATTTTGCTTTTCAAGCCCCTCCTTGAGAAGCTGTACTGACTTTTTAAATAATGGAAGGACAAACTACATACTTGCACAGTATAGGATTCACGAAATCATCAATGTTGGTATTCCAATCCCTGGCTATGTATCAAGTGCACTGGGGTGTGGGATAGAGATTGGATCGGATGCACTTCGCCATATTCTATATGATAATATTAATCAGTCGTTTTCAGTTGCCAGCCTTCTACAACAATACTCAAACATGAAGACTCGGAGTAGACACTCTCCGTGTTTCCTGGGCGTGAGGGACCTTCATATCACTTCAGATAGTTACTCGAATTACACAAGAGTTGTTTAATCGAGGTCCACGAGTTTCATGTTGTAAATACGAATATAAGAGCGGCTTTGAAGTGCCATAAATTACATGAGCCCTCGGAATGTACCTCGACAGACACAATGATCCTAAGATGTCAAGGTACGTACCTCCGCCAGTGGTTGCTTTGAAAATACACACGTGCGTGAATATGAATAATAATAATGGATTTAGCCTACTATATAACCCACGGGCACATTGAAAAGTCCACCTGGATCATGGAGATAGGTATACTCGACATTGAAGTTGAAGATTACTAGCGGAATTCGCCAATCAAACGAAATAAACATAAGCGGCTTTTTATATTCCGAAAATAAATTATGTCTTATTCCAATTGATATTATCTTGGTACCATCCTTTTACATTCAGTGGGCATTTAGAACCAAACCACCCTGTAAGCAGTCAAAGATTCAAACCAATCAATCACAGCAAACTTTATGTAACAAAAATTAGTACAATGAAAGAATCATCATTAATTTCTATCTCAAAAAAAGGATAAAATAAAATAAAATGCAAAATGCAAATGCAAATCAAAGTTCTGACTAAACCTGAAGCCTAACGTGTGTCCCGCAGAACAAGCCCGATTGCCAATCGGAAGCTGTTATCAATACAGCCCCACCAATAACAACTTCAAACGTTCTCCCCATCACCAATCTGCAATCTGCACTGTTTCGTTCCTGCCTCACAGCGGCAGCAGTACACACTCAACAGTTTCACCATCCCCCAGTTCCTGAGCAACCGATCATCGTTTCAGTTCCATTGGCGACCTCGGTCCGACATCCCAAGCACGAACCACTCGCGTTTCCCGGAATCCCGACAGACAGCACCCAGCAACTGCTGTCTCGTTGAACAAAGCACGATAACTGAGCGGCAGTCGCGTCTGGAACTAGATGCGAATTGGAAAACAAACAGTGTTAGAGGGATAAGAAAGACACTAGATACCTCTTACGAAATGGCTTGGCCTTCTTCTACGTCTGGCTCTGGTGGGCGTGCTGCGACACCGACTGTCTTTGAGCAGCAGCGGGAGGAATTGGTTCGTGAGATTGCGGTGGTGAGTTATTGAGATATATGGATATTGTCTGGTGTGGGTGATTGATTGGTTGAGTTACCTAGGGTATGGAGCAAGTGCTTCAGAATATGAATCGGTTGAATCGGAATTTGGAGAGCATTATTACGGTGCGTATCATGCTATTGAGTTGGGTTACAAGTTTCATGGCCAGTATTGTTGACGATACTACATAGGTCGGGAACGAATTTGGATCTGTCGAGGCGCTGTGGTCCCAGTTTGAGAACTTTATGGGCCACAATCAGGAGACCGAAGATAACAGTCAAGGAAAGCGGAAGGTTAGCGGGGAGAGCGAAGGACAGGACCAGCCTATTAAGAAAGAGGAGGATGATGATGAGTCTATGCTACGATAAAAGCTCTAGCTTGATATTTGATATTGGATCTACCGGGGTCGGCGTCTGTGTTTATTGGATTGTGTTCTAGATACCATTTGCCTCATTTATACAATTTCCCACATTTACGATTTACAATTCCCGTCTTGAACATGAAAAGTGAAAATGTATTGTTTCAGTAACAGATAGAAGAGGTCGCTTGCCAACAGAACATATCAGAAAACGTCATTTGAGAACACCAGTCCCATGCATGCCAAAAAGAAAGAAATTGGCAAAGACCCAGATCATGAGAGCCATGAAGCAAAAACCATAAGGGCCATGAGTGAAAACACATAGGGAGGCAAGCCGAGAAGAAGAAAAGACACACAAAAAAAAGAACAATTGTCAAATCCAGAAAGCCGCCTCCAGCACAAGAAAAAGAGAAGAAAAACAATGTGTCGCCAAAGAGAGCGCGCAGCGTCTCCAGACTCGAAGAAATTTTTGTAGTTCATGTCCAGCTCTGTCCAGCTTGCGCTAACATATCACATACACAGGGAACAGGCAAGCTAGCCGACAAAAGCAACCAGGCTGTGATCGGGCCGTAGGAGAGAATCGAACGATAAAGAATAGATAATCAAGAAGAAGAAAGGAAGGCAAAGGAACCTTTTTACAGGATCTTGCAGGATCGTTTCTTGATCTTCTTGCCAGGTCTCCCGCTACTGGAAGGCTTGGCACTGGTGCGGTTATTTGATTGTTTTTGAGTCTTCCAGCCTTCATCTTCGGTTGTCACGACTGTGTCGACTGCTTGAGCGAAAACATCATCCACGCCGTGCATCTCCTTACTGCTGCACTCGACATAGCTAGCTCCCATCCGGTAGGCGACAGCTTGTCCCTGCTCTGGGGTAATGGGCGTTAAGCCTTGTGTCTTGAGGAGCTCAATGCATGTGCGCTTGTTGCGGAGATCTGACTTCAGGCCAACCAGGATGATAGGGGTTGTGGGGCAAAAATGCAGAACCTCGGGATACCACTGCAATTTTTTTGTTAGTGGGAGTAATGATTAGATAAACACGATCTCTTGGCTTACCTTATCCATGACATTTTCCAAAGATGCTGGACAATCGATAGCAAAGCACACAAACAAAAGATCCGTCTCTGGGTAGGACAGCGGGCGCAAACGATCATATTCTTCCTGCCCAGCTGTATCCCAAAGGGCCAGCTCAACTGTCTTCCCGGATGATCGGTGAATAGTCTGAGTAATGTAGTTTTCAAACACTGTGGGGACGTATTTCTGCAAAGCGGGATCAGTATACTAACCCTTGGTTTCGATCGCGGGGGGCGGGATTTAGCCTACCTCAGGAAAGTAGCCTTGCGAATAGCTAATCAACAAGCAAGTTTTTCCACAGCCGCCATCTCCGACCACAACGAATTTTTTTGAATAGGATGGCGGCTGAGTGATGTTGGTTGCTTCAGACATGCGTCCACTGGAAAAGCTGGTATTGGTGCTGGCTGTACCGTTGCTCACTCGAACACTGTGGCTGCGAGTTCGGCTGTGGCGTGGTGAGTGGGATGGAGGAGGTGTGGCAACAGAACGACGTCGCGAAGCAGCATAGTACTGGTCGTCATACATCTGGCTCATGGTCGGTGGAATGGAAGCCCCCTTGTTGTAATGCGGGTCGTTAAAGTAATGGAACGGCTATCTGCCGAGAGGATCAGGGCTGGGATATAGTCTTCGGAAAAGTTGTATGGAAAGAGACGGGTCTCTAAGAGATCGAGGTTAAGATGAGAAGAAGGTTAAAAAGTAAAGAGGAGAAGAAGATTGGGATCTTTTACTTGCAGATCTAGGGATCGACTGCGATAAAGATAGTTGAGGGTCTCGCCCAAGATGAGACCCATGTTTACATTTTGCGTTGTTATGGCAACGCCCGCGCTTCAATGACGCCAGAGGCACGATCCTCCTTGGTTTAACTGTCAGTCTCGCCTTGATTGCTGTGATCTCTGCGATCAGGTTCCTTTTTCCGATTCCCACGTCTCCGCTTCAAGCCCCTCAGCAGCCCCTCTTCCCCACCGTTCAGCTCAACAGAACAGGATGTGGTTGTTTCCCCTCGGGCCTGCCGGTCATCATGTGATCTACTCTCTATGTATAGCTGAGCGTCTGGGCGGCTGAGCACCACTATTGAGGAATTAGTCGGGTAGGAATGCCGAGACGAGAATCATGATTACAATTTACGCTGCGAGATAGATGAAAATGACATAACTTCGTTATAGAGTAAACTGACAGGGGAGCTGGAGGTCTGATTGGAGAGACACCTGGTTATTGGCGCTTCCTGTTGCCAGACTTATGCAGGTCAAGGCACACCGGACTTTTCGTGCATCGATTGTGATGCGCGTCACGTCCCACACTATTAAGTGGCTAATATTAATGGTTGTTCCAAGCATGTGTTTGGTGCATCGGAAATTGTGGTCCATTTTGCAAATCGTTTCCGAATCGCCGGAAGATTATTGACAGGCGATAGCACTCGAAAAGTAAAATGTTATCCACTCCTGAGGCAAGACCCCACTTGGTGATGCCGTGCACTCAATTGAGATATGACATGTAAAATTTATTTGTTGAGGTGGAAATGTAGGTAGGTTCCCTGTTTTAGTATGAGAAGTTGAATAGACACATGTAACATTGATGACCTGACATTGACTGACATTATAACGGTCACTAGGTTGGTATAAGAGGACGTCAATTAAATTGTGACAATGGTCAGCCAATCGATGAAAAAAGACGGGAATTGTAGTTACAGCCTTGCACGATACAAACTAAGACTATGCCCAACTGAGACTGGGGAATTGTATTGATAATGGTGGCTGTGCAGCCCTATCGAAGTTTTGGAGTTGGATTTTTCAATGACCTCTAGGATTGAAATGGAAATATTACATTTTTGCCAGAATAGAGTGGAATCATAGCAACGAGATTTCATTGTTATTCTTGCTGTATACGTTGCTAGGTGCCCAGGTGCGGCTCAAGCAAGATTGTGCGGATAGAAAACCTGGAATGGAGGATGTTCTAGGCTCGATCAACTAATCTAATCTATGCAATCTCACGAGATTGATTCAGATCTTGTATGATTCCCAAGGTAATTGCGTATAAAATGATGAGGTAAGGCCATCCAATCGAAGCTAATCTATCCATCTTGATTTTGTATACTCAAATTCTATGTACACCTGGGCATCCCAGGCATCTCCACGCTTACCCCCGCTATGTTTTTTAATCAGCTGTTAATCCAAAATTTATTTATTCTCACCTAATCTCAATCTTTATTTCCCTATTGATCCTTTTGATCATCGATTGTTGGCATCTATACATCTAAATGTTCGAGTCCATGTTTGATTTTATGTGGGTGACTAAGCCCACACACATGGCATCAGGGGCCGCTGAGAGCCGCGGTGACAAGTGAACTTTATGGCCCCGGAGCAATTCCAACCTCCTGGCGCATCCTACCCTACGGCGAAATCACCCAACCTCATCGATATTCTTCCTTCAGTGCAAATCCAACTTTCATCCGCTCCTTATGTCATTGCGCTGAGCCTCGAAGCTTCAGACCGAGCGGCAGGTACCTACCTGTCCATGTATGGGGTCCAATCGCATCAGGACTGATAACAACACAGAATGGGAAAGATCGCAAAAGACCAGCCTGATGCAGGCCTGAAGAGTCTTAATCATTGTATGCGACCTTGCATCTCTTAATTGTTGATGTTATCCCATGGGACTGTATCATCCACGGTTGCTAACCCCTCTGTTTGCGATCTGATTAGATTCAAACCGACTACCACTTTGGCGGTACTGGCCACGACAAAAGCTTCTGCCTTTGATTCGATATGAGACTCCCTATCTTGCTTGGGTGCAGGAGAAAGTCCGTACCCCGGCGCTAGATTCCTACTTTGCATTCACTGCCAACCTCGGCACCCACACGTTCTTCATGGTCTTTCTGCCATTTCTTTTCTGGTGTGGCCACAACAGCTTAGGTCGCGGGTATGATTTGATTCCGGTATAGAGAGAACATGCGCGATGCGGATAAGACTAACGAGATCTTGTTTCTTAGTATGGTTCACATTCTGGCAGCTGGTGTCTTCTTCAGCGGCTTCATCAAGGACTTGCTATGTCTGCCTCGGCCCCTTTCCCCTCCTCTGCAACGTATCACCATGTCCGGTTCCGCTGCCCTGGAATATGGCTTCCCATCGACGCATTCAACAAATGCCGTTTCTGTTGCTGTTTATGCGATCGCTCTTCTCAATTCTCCCGACTCGATCGTTAGCCCGCAGACCAACCTAGCCCTTCAGGTGGTCATCTACCTCTATGTTACATCGATCGTCTTGGGCCGGCTATATTGCGGTATGCATGGAATGCTAGACTGCTTTGTTGGTTGTACACTGGGTGCATTGATCGGGTACGCACAATACAGCTTAGGCCCGGCATTTGACGACTATATCCTGTCTGCGTCATGGGTCGGAATTCTTGCTATTCCTCTCGTCATTCTCATATTGGTTCGCATCCACCCAGAGCCTGCGGATGATTGTCCATGTTTCGATGATAGTGTCGCCTTTGCTGGTGTGACACTCGGCATTGACGTGGGGTCGTGGTACTTCACACTTTCTAGCCTCGCTTGGTCCGAACCACTTCCTGGGACTATTCCCTACCGTTACGAAAGCCTTGGGTTGATGAAGACTATCATTCGTCTGATTGTGGGTGTTTTGTGCATATTTGCATGGCGAGAGGTCACAAAGCCCACCCTTCTTCGTATCCTGCCGCCCGTCTTCCGCAGTCTAGAGAAGCTTGGTCTTCTCCTACCTCGAAGGTTTTTCAAAACTGCCTCGTAAGTTAACGTTCTGCATTTCATCTTCTCTTTTGTATATTGATCATTAACGCTGTGGACAGGCAATATACAACAGTTCCCTCCAACTTGAAGGACCACGATGTTCTTCCTAACTTTTCTGAAATTCCTTCTATAATCACCACTATCAGACATCCGCGACGACGGGCTGTTTCCATTGGTCCCCAATCCGAAGCAGATGCATATGAAACACTTGCATACCGCGAGAAACGTCGGCGCGAGAGTCAATCTGGAAGTTCCCGCGATTCCCCTGCCGACGGAGAGACCAAACCCAATGGGGCTCCCATTTTATTGCGAAAGCCCACCACGCTAGACCAATACGAAAACATGATGGGAACCGGGAGTCCGAACTCAGCCATGGTCGACGTCGATGCCAACATTCCAAGATCATCGCCTCTCCCGCCTCCCGAATATGAAACATCTCGATCGGATGAGAAAGACGTGTTCTCTCAGATTAAAAAGCCCCGTGTAAGATACGATGTAGAAGTTGTGACCAAGTTGGTTGTATATGCAGGTATGTTTTGCAGCTAGTATTTCACATGGGCATCGAACTGATCTATGCGTTCTTTAGGGATTCCGTGGGTCGTCATAAACGTGGCACCCCCGGTATTCGAATTTATTGGGCTTGGAGTCCCTTCTTAACCATGTTGTAACATTGTGACATGCACGGGCCCGGTGTCCAAATGCTCTGCAACTATACCCTTTGTCATAGCTTGGGCCTAGTTCAATCCAAGGGGCTGGGCTGGGGAAAACCCGTCTTTCAAAGGGACATAGGTCGGATTGCGCATGTACATATTGCGATTTGTATCCTTAAAGTTCTTTAGCGATACCTTCTTTCAATGGGTAAAGCCACCTAAAGTTCTCTGACTTGTTACGGCCGCCTATAGAATATATCTTATGACTACATTACTACTTATGAAGATTTTCCCCTCTCTTTGTTCTATATTATGGAGCTTCTCCCATTTAGTGATTAAAGCTTCTTTATCTTCAGTCTTCCATAGTTCGTCCTGCAGATCACCCAATGTGGTTAGAGGCGGGTCCCTTAGTCAGCCACGCAGGTCATGAAAGCTGCCCCGGCGGGAAGGAAACAGCAACGCGATCATCCCAAGTCGCAAGTCTCTCCAGGTTGACTGTGGTCGCTCGCCGACAATGGGAATTTCTTCCGTCGCTATCTGCAGCCACTTTCGCCTCAGCCCGACTCTCTCCCCATTGGTTTATCCCGCGGTTCCCTCATAAACCGGCAGCTTTCTCTGCCGACCTGCTCCCAGCCATCTCTTTCACATCAGTGAAATCCAAAGCGCCGCAATGGGTCTTTGGGATCGGGTCCAGGAATTGCTCCAGGGCAATCGCCCAAAGGTGAAAGAGACATTCTCTCTCCCAGATAAGGATTTTGAAGCCAACAAGGGTAATGAAATAGTTGAGGAAGAACACCAAGGTATGCACTACGGCTTCAAAGACAATCGCCTCTTTACGTGCTCACGACAAGGTTCTTATAGATGAGCGCTACTTGTCAACGATACCGGGAGCCTTCCCTACATCTCGTCCATCCTCTCCGCAAATCGTGCCCAGTGAACGCGTGGAGCGCCATGATGTTCCAACGCAGGAGTTCAACAACCGCAGGGATACCACTGTCCTCCCAATACCTAGCCTTCACACAGACCTCGCCCCTCATCTTCATCCCTTAGTATCGCGAAGTCAAACGCCAGCGTTTGTTCAAACGACCCCTTCCACGCCCGTGAGACCACCAAGTCAGAGGACTTACCAGGAATTCAAAGATTTTGACGACCCGTGGGCTGAGCGATACAAAATATATGAAAGGTTTCCATTTGGTCGACCTGTTTCGGCAGTACAATTGGTATCTCCTCAGTCGAAGCCTCTTCCGGCCGATCGTATAGATTCCATCTACCGAAAAGAATGGGAACGACAGCAGAAGGCCAAATTGGCTCTAGAAGGCGAACAAGGACGACCAGTAAGGATCAGACCACAGGGCAAATGCGTTCGCCTGTTGTCATCGGATTGGTCGAACAGAGTTTCGAAAGCTATGTATTCCTCTGGTGCGGTGGCCCAGTCTCCCAACGGAGACGCATTATATCAAAAGGACGTTATCACTTGCATCAAGCCATTTGCTTGGCTGAACGACGAGATAATCAATGCATATCTTGAGGTTGTCGTCCGATATCTTGAAAAATCCACTGAAAAGGGCAAGGGACCTCGGTATCACGCTTTTAGCAGCTTCTTTTACTCCACTCTTCGGCAAAAAGGTTATGATGGCGTGCGGCGGTGGGCAAAACGAGCCAAGATTGGTGGTGAAAGGTTGCTAGAGGTTGATATGGTCTTTGTTCCCGTACATGAGTCCGCACATTGGACATTAATGGTTGTTCGGCCCGCCGATCGAACAATCGAGTACTTCGACTCATTGTCCGATCACGGGATCTCATCTAAAGTGAATACGATCAAAAAGTGGCTATCTGGGGAGCTGGGAGCCAACTTTGTGGATGATGAATGGTCAGTCCTTTCATCGGTCTCATCTCAACAGAACAACGGCAGCGACTGCGGTGTGTTCTTGTTGACAAACGCAAAAGCGATTGCATTGAATATCGAGCCAACTGCCTTTGGGGCTAATGATACAACCTTGCTGCGTCAAAAGATTGTCGCTGAAATCATGAATGGCGGCCTTCATGGAGATTTCAGCCCAATTGATTCAACGGGTACTATCTTGCTTTGATCGCATCTTCAACCCTATTTTCATCTTATGTCCTCCTTCCTCCCCCCCTCCCTTTGTAACCGATCATCGACCGAGGGACTCGGCCATTGAACATGCAATTTTCAATGTACAAACCATTGCCTTACACAAGGTGAAGGTCACATTTCTCTCTCCTACTCAACACATACATACGACACACATACCTCTACATCTCTATCATCATTGTGGCAACAGTCTATGAACTGTTGACCTGGCGTTTAAAGGCTTTTAATTTCGATCATTACGGTGTGCATGGCGAACAAAGAAGGGAGGGATTCTTTGATTCTCGTGGGTTTGCTTCGGTTCAAATTCCATTTATTGTTCTCCTTCTTTCCTCTCTGATTTGATGTTTGAACGAATACAAATGATACCCCATTGTTGACAAGACATGAAAAACATGCCCCCGCGGGCCATTTCTTTTTCGTATAATCATGACTTCTTTTGAGACTTCTTTCCTACCTTTCAGTGTCCACAATGGGCCTCCTTTTTCTTCAGATTTAGAATCGAATACAAGTTCCAAGGTTACAATACCAAGAACATATTTTCATTTACACACAGCTACTTCAAATTGGAGTGATATACACTATTCCAGTCTTCGAATTGCAGTCCGAATATCCTATGCCATTTCCATTTTAATAATACAATCCGCCAATTTTAACGGCAACAAAAAGATACATCCAGGAGGGATCTACCTACTATAAACACCCATCTCAATTCACAGAGCCAAAGTGCAGTTCATCAATATTGCACATACGCTGGCATTTGGGCCCAGTACCCCCGCCTCCCGTCCCATGCTTTTGTTTCTCTTTTTTCTTCTTTTCCCTGCACTTCTTACCCTTCTTCCCCTTCTTGCACTTATGGTGCTTCTTCTTCTTTTTCCAAGCCCCAGTCAAAATCTCCGTCTCAGGCTCGAACCGTTCCACATCTTCAAAAACATCTTCGATTTCAATTTCAGTTGTGTTAGGACGGGGACGGTGAGGCCGTTGATGTCCTCCGTGGCTTTGCTCTGGTGGGATCCTGCCCAGCTCATTTCCATCGGAAGATCGATTATATGCTAATTCGATGTATTCAACGGCAAGATAGATACTGTCTCCTATCTTCATATCGCCAGTCCAGACACCACCATCACTCCAAAGATTGATCACGAGCCTGCTTTGAAGATTCGGCACACGGTATGACTTGTCTTCTTGCAATTGATTGTTCACGTACCAACGCGAGCGATCGGAGTGCCAGTCCAAGCGGTGCGTTGACCATCCAGTCCATGGAACCGGTAAATCCGCGACTGTAGCCGCGCCTGGGATCATTCGGTCAGTGAGAGGATCGTAATCTGGTTGATTGGCGTATCGGACTCGGTGAGAGGGATCGCTTGTCAAAATCTCGATATCCGATTCGCAGTTCTTAGCGTGGTAGGTGAAGATACCTACACAAGCTCCCGATGGAGGTCTTGTAGCATCTGCCAGTAGAGAAGTGGAGTTAACAAAGCCTGGTCCATCATCAAGTGCTGCGAGGGCATGTTGATTTGGATCCAGCGAGGGCCATTCTTGAGGATGAGGCGGCTGCAAGACTACCATGCTGGCAGGCAAAATTCGCATATGTACCCTGAGAGAACAGCGAAAGATATTTTGGACGCGCGTCTCGATCTCGGCTGTAGATGTGAAATTGTGGTGACGAGTTGTTCGCAAGATGAGGTATGTTGCTTTTGGATCTTTGCGATCTTTTGCACGGGCGAAGAAGACATTTCGTTTGGAATTGACCATCCTTACTGGGGCGAGGGGTGTGGGTGGCCGATGCCATCCCTGGCTAATCCAGTCTTTGTCGAATGCTGTTTTGAATAAATAGAGAGATCCTGGGAATGAATCTTCCTCGTATTCATTATCATCATCTTCGTCGTCGTCATCGTCGTCCTCATCTATGTCTTCGTCCTCATCTATGTCTTCGTCCTCATCCCATTCGTCCCATTCGTCGTCCTGTTTTTGCGGGCGGTCCGCATCGCTTTTCTTCAGGGGAATAGCACGAAAGTCCCAGAGCTTATAGTGCTGAAAGTATCCTGGATCAGCGCCGGATACGGTGAAGCAGTCGCAGTCTCGGGGGTCTTTCTTGGTGACGGGAAGTTTTGATGTCTTCTCGGGAACAGTGGATTGTGACGAGGCAAGAGAAGTGATATAAAAAACTGCGAAGCTTAATATGCCCAATATCCGCTTCATGTTGGCAGATTGCACGAAATCATAGCATATGAGACGTCTTTTTAAAGAGTGAAATTCTCAGTTTCCTCTCTTGTCTCCGATTCAAGCTTTCACTTTGCGTGCACGGGGGAAGTCACGACACCCGCTCTAGGGCTTCGCGACTTCCTACCTTGCACATGCCAAACCACGAGTTCAAGCATCAACTTTAACCTAAATTTCTACTTCAAGCCAACTTGGGATGCAATAACAAGCTCTTTCAGAGTTTCCTATGATTCGAAATCTATACATTTAGTGATGTACCAGTTGAGTGAACCAACTGATAATTACAACCTTGACCTAGCGCTCTCAATCCCGCTTTGAACTAATGGCTTCATGGAAGAAAATGCATATCTCGCAATCCGCCATTTCCCATCCTCTTTCCTAACCACAAAAAATTCTTGGTTCTCTGCGGCTTCAGATTCTTGCGTCGCAAGCATCGTTTTGGTCCCTTTAGCTGTGGTCCTAGCAAACGCCCACTCCGAGGACAGAATGACAATTTCTTGGATCTGAAAAGAAACAAGAAGGTGCGATGTCGAAAAGATTCGATCATATGAGACCTGAAGGGCTTTGGTGCCTACACTTGCTGAGAAATGCGGCGGCATGATGACGCCGTCTGCAGTGTATAGAGAGACTGCGTCTTCTACATTGCGATTTTTCAAGGCATTGCCGTATGCATACAGAAGTGCGGTGATTTGTTCCGTGTCGGATTGGTTCACTGCATTGGGTCGTTTATTTAGAATGTCAACTGGTGTTATGCTTCAGAGCTGTTCAAGTGGTTGAACTTACTGGTGGGTTGTTATCTTGGAGCCTACTTTTATCTGAGGCCTTCCTAATTGGATCGTGAGTCGGTGAAATTGATGACGATCAGTCTTTCCAATTTGAAAGATGAAACAGCTTCATGTTTTCATGTTGATTCTGGGTTTATATAGACTATCTAGCTCCTTCATTTGAAGTTACTATAGGTGGAACCCCCACTTCAAGATGAAGAGCGAACTACTAGTATGAGTATAAAGGTGGGGGTAGGAACAGGAGCAAAGCAGAACCTGGCTCGAAAATACTACTAATGCCGTTATTTGCTTAATACGAAGTACACATGTGGATGGATTGGAAGCTTCTCTGTTCAAACTGAAGGAGACCACTTGTGCAGTAGTATCTATCTCATCTTGGGCTTGGATCCGACCTCGGGAATAGTATCATGATGCTCATTTGTGTGCCCTCGAATATATCTTGACATTCCAAGGTTTTATTATGTACTGTATACTAATGGATTCGAATGTTATTCAAACCTTGGAATCCATGGCATTAGAAGCTTTTGAGTCTTTCACAAAACTGACCAACTTCAAGTTAAAGTTACGAAGGTTCATATGGACAACTTTGTATGTAGTTAATATGTATACTGCAAAGACCGCCAACCTTGGAATGAATACTACCTAATCTTTTGATGAGTTTAAGCGCCTATTATTCTTCCCCTCCCTTGGGTGAGAGATCAGAACTATGTAGTTTTTATTTCGTTTCATTTGAAGAGTCTTATCATCTAGCTATGATCGAATTATCGAGATAGATATCTTGGACTGCCTGCGGGGGCTGGTTGCCGTTCAGTATCCTCGTATTGTGAGCAGGAAATCTGGGCCGCCGGGCTTACGAGATGTCGTCACAAGCCAACACACCAGGCTGAGGGGCCGGCGAGCGCGCATGGGCAGAAATAGCAATAGGCGGTGATTGGGGGAAATTCGTAGGCACCTGAAAGTGGCGAAGGCTCATTCTCCAATCAGACTGGGGTAAGAAATTCCTTGGACTGATCCTGTGTCGCACTAAGAGAGACTAAAGCGACGCTAACGCACTTGGGGACGACTAACGCATGCGGAAGCTTCAGTCTAACCGAATTGGGACAGTTTTGTTGGACGGGCCTCTCGGCGGCATTAATACAAGCCCTGCGCATATCTGGGTATCTGTATTGTCATATTTAGTACACTTTGGTAAAGAATCCTCTTCTCTTTGAACACCAAAGATGGGATGACTCGGATTGTGTCAAAGATGATTAAAATTATAATTGAAATCAACTATATCCTATCAAATTATATAAAAAAAAAAGCGAGTCAAAAAACACGTAGACAAAAAAAGAGTCATGGTGACTGGGAAAGTCTGTGTAATGCCCATGATTTGATGATCCGGTGTGACCGTGTTGGTGGTCAGACGCCGTCACACCGAGTTTGCCGGCCGCCCCCCTTCCTTTGTCTGGCCCTTTTCCCTTTCTTCCCACAATTGCTTCCTCCAAAGAGCCCTCACCACCAAAATTCACCATGGACGACCTCATCTAGACCCGAAATGTTATAAAACAAAGCGTACAACAAAGAACCATCCGATACACTATACGTCCTATATACAGCATCCAACATGTCCACCATGACCAGTCTCGAACGGAGTCACTCCTGTACCTCCAGCACCTCTCTCTCCATGTCTAGTCCTCGCCTCTCTGTCCGACGAGAACCGACACCGCCTGGCTCCGAACCCTCCCTCATCCATCTCCACGACCGCATGAACGAACTGGACTCCCGTGTTCTCGAACTCCGATCCAACGTTTTGACTAAGGAAGCATATGTGGACCGACGGAACAGGGAGGATGATCATATTCGACGCGAGTTCGCCAACCACAATGCCATTTCCCATCGTATTGATTTGAATGTCGTGGCTCTTCGGTCGGATGTGGATCAAATTCGAAGCAGTATCTTTCAGTTAAAGTCTAGTGTCGGACAGTCTGGGACAGAGACCGTTTTCTTGCGAAGCGACGTGGATCGTTTGCAGAAGAGCGTGGATCGACTCCAGTCTGATTCTGAACGGATGACGGCTGATACCTGTGCTTCACGTATCGATATCAGTAAACTGCAGACTGCTACCAACCAACTTCGCACGGATTTGATGACATTGGAACATAAGCTATCACGCCAAATAAGTGCCATGGAGTCACACGTGAACGGTCGTATCGATTCTTTGGAATCTCGATTGAAGCAAGGCGATCGAATTCGATTCAACTCACTCGCCCAAACAATACACGCTCCTATCAACCCAGTACCTGTCATTTTGGATGATGGTACACTTGAATGGCCTAAATATTTCCCACGTACTGTGTGGAGATTTTGGTGCTTGAAAAAGCGAAGCCGAGGTAAGCCGTTTTTGAAAGAAATACCTCTCTCTGTCTAACACCTCATTTCCCTCTAGTTCATCGCTTGGCTGAGCTCGCAGAATTCTACCAATTGGAAGGTTACCAGAGCTGGAGTCGCATGCACCCTACAGACATGTTTGACAATGACAGCGATTCAAGTGACTCCACTGATAGTAATTTCACCGTCACCCGTGCTGAGGCAGTGCATCGGTTTCCCGAGGCAGCTCATCAAGCTTTGGCAGCAACTTTAGGTCTTGTGTATTACAAGATTCGTAATGAAGTTGGTGAAGGACCGAATGCCGTGATGGCTCAACGTCCACCAAAGCGTCAGCAAGAGGATGTTGCCTCTACAAACTCTAGTTCCAAATCTAAGCCTGTCAAGATGCCTCGCCGACCTAATCATGTGACCGATTCTTTCCTGCAACGGCTGATCACTGGCACTGGTCCATCTATTGAATCAAAGTCTTCTACTTCTGAAGAATTTGATCAATTGGGTTGGAAAGCATTCTCTGATGTTTCAGAAGATGCCATTGGCAAATTGCGATCTATTGATCCACAAGACCTTGGCTCCGTTCTTCGTGCCCTCGAACAGGGTCGATTGAAGCTGAAGCCCAGTCGTTCTGAAAAGAACATCTCGCCCACCGAGTCAAAGGCGTCTTTTGGACTAGGCGCCAAGGCCCCCCAAGAGGACGAAGTCCCTACCGTTCCGAATACAGTCCCCACACAACCTCTTACCTCTTCGTCGGCGCAGGGCAAAGCCCGCCCGTCCTCTATTCCTGATGTTCCTCCAACTGCTTCCGATTCGGACAGTTCAACATCATAAATCAAATCTGTATCAATTTGATATAAGAACCTTATTGAGCAAGTCACGAGTTGACGAGCTCACGTGTTGAAGAACGAACACTTCTCTCACGAATCTTGGCTCGGCCAGTCTAGATAGTCGTCTGTCTGACCAGACGAAGCCTGCTTGGAAGCGAATCCACACCCTCATCTCGTCCGCTCCTTTGAGTTGTTCGTCAACTCAGTGGACCGGGAACGAGACTAGTGCCGTTATATTCTGTTGCATCTACCTTGGAGTTTTATGGTTCTGATATATTGGTTGTTGTTTTTTGGTGATTTTGTCAGCGTTTTTAGCGAGTTTACATACCCTTGGGTTTGCATTTGCATCTTGGGAGTTTTGATTTTGTGTCATTTAGTTCAATACCCTAACTGCATATTTGGGCTTTGGGGTTGAGTTGGACTTGGAGATCAATCTGATTAACTCATTGATGGTACAGACATCCTGTTCCATCGATCGAGTATTTGAAACCGTCAAACCTAACTTCGCATCGTATCTCACGGATCGCATTACCTCACACGCGAAAGGTTGAATGGGTAGTCCGGATCCTTCAGCTTCTGTGCATCGTCTTATTGGATACACAAATCATGGCACAACTCGGCATGGTGCTCCCCTGTACCCGCTGTGGCCGGGGATTGTGATGCCGAAGTGCGCCGTTAACTACTACAATAGACGATCTTTCAAATCATGGCCCGGTGCTGCCCCCAGTCACTCCCATCACCCGGGGCCCACTGGGGGTGGGCACGCCGAGCGGCAGGCCCCGCAGGCCCCGTCCTTCCCCCCAACCATGTTCCTCGCTGAGAGCCACTAAGCACCACACCCCACAAATGTAGCCATTTCCCAGGGTTAAGTCGAACTAGCGCATATCTAACTTCTATCTTCTATATACATACCCGCCGACACCATTTGGGTGCTAATTTATAAAATAGCAGTTCAGGTGGACAAAAAGATTTCAAATTTCGCTCTTAACTATGGGGGTGGTCCAAGCTTTTGTAACGCCCACTTTTGACTAGTTTCGCGCAGCAATCAGTTAACTGGTGAACTCGAGACGTTCAACTGTTCAACTTCCAACATTCCCGGTCAAGATCCGACAGCCGACGTTTGCTTCCGATTTCTATAAAATAATTATCATGTTGCCATTGAAATGTATACAACTGACGAGTTGGGGATTTTAATTATTGTACAAAAGGGATTAACCCATTCCAAATATACACAGTACATCAATCACCTGAACAAAGGCTCTTGAGTATGTAGCTCTTCTCAGGATTCTGGCTCGAACAGATCCTGTTTCAGAACCTCCAGCACCTTCTGCTCATCCAGATTCTGCAAATCAACTGAGGGGCCAGGTAACTCCTGGGAATCAACCTCATCCTCATCGGCTTTCGCAGACTTCTCAGCCGCATCTTCAGGTCCAACAGAACGAATATAATCTTCTTCAAGCATGAACGGAGATGTCTCTCTCTCCTTGAGTAATTCATCCGGAGACTCAAGCAGAGTATATATAGTGGGAAATTCGAGAACCGTCCGCTCACGAAGTGCAGCGGCGACCATAGCCCGCGGCGCAAGCGGCACTAGAACTGGTTTTTTGACTGTTGTTCGTGGGCGGTGGAGGTAGAAGTATAGATTACGATGTGGGCCAATAGGTAATACCTTCTCTTTCTCCTCCGATGCATTTGTCGATACCTCCACAGCACCAGCACTCGACTTCTCAGGTTGCGTATTCGTAGACTCAACATCACCAGTCGCCACGGTGCCGGTACCGGTACCAGGCTCAGCCTGCTGCTCTTCCTGTGTCAAACCACCCTCTTGTTCATTCTGTCTCTCACTTGGTTGTTCACGAACGATCTTCTCCTGCTTCGGTGGCGGGAATCCCCGATCGTAAGACTCAGCAATGGAGCAGTTCTCCAAACAATTCCGAAGAATCTTCTCCCCGTCCTTAGAAATCCACTCAACAGACCAACTAAGACACTTATGCCTAACAAACCCAACATTAGAAAAACACACCAAATCCAATCCAACCAACCAACCAACCAACAAACTTACTTAGGATGCCACCGTGAATTATTCAACTTATTCCTCGTCATTCCCCTCGGCGCCCGAATAACATTGACCAGACCAGCCTCCGCACCGCGCAAAAAGCTCGCTTCCCCCTTCACAAGGCCCTGTTGCGGATGTTTCCTCTTCTGACCCGTTGAAGGACCCGCCGTATCCTCTTCAGCATTCTGAGCAGTTCCTGTTCCACGCGCAAGATCAATTCCCCGATTCTCGGCGTCGCGATCAGCGCGCTCCATTGAGCGCTCAATACCCGTTATGAAGTTGAAATCGCGATCGAAGGCCGTCTCGGTGGTTAACTCGTTTCGCTTAAGGTATGCGGCTGGGTCGCGGACACCGGAACATTGGGACCAGAGTTTGTGGCGTCTTGTGCAGGGTAAAGAGCAGGTGCGGGTTGAACAGCGCGGACAGCGGTATTTCGGGGGGTTGACGTGGCTGATCGCAGTTGTTAGGGGAGCTCATATGTTATTGGGTATAAAGAAATAAGACTCACCATATTGAGCACAGCTCACTTAGTAACGGGTCGGGAGAATCCATTTTGTTGTTGAAATTGGGAATGGGAAATGCGACTTTGAAGCTTTGGGAAATTTATGCGCTTATCGATAAGAGTTGTGGCCTCAGGTTTATATGGGGCTGATAACTATGGGGCTGATAACTATGGGGCTGTCCTACATGAGACAGGGCTGTGTACTCTGTAAGCACAGTCTAGATTTTGTAGGATATTCCCTTCGTCTCTGTATCAGCCATTTTCTTCCAGAATGATAACGTCGCCGTCCAACCAGCCGCTTGGACTCTCTGGAATCAAACATTTCCAAACCAATTTCGTCATCCCATTGACCCGACATCGCAAAATGGCAGAGGTACAGCAAGGCGACAGATCTAGTTTGGTCTGCCTAAGCTGCAAGTCGGGCAAGCGACAATGCGATAAACGATGGCCAATCTGCTCTCGATGCAAGAAGTACGTTCTCACTGCGCCAACAATTTTCATATGAGCATAAATTGGCATATTTGTATATCATGAGACTTACTAAAGTGTATCATGCACACTAGATAGGCTGTGCGAGTATCCGATGGCTTCGCTAACAGGGCCTGTGTCTGAATCAGTTCAACCAGAGTCATTGATTGATGAATTGCGGCCTACTTCTTGCATACGTTGTAGGGCGTGTAAGCGTCGATGCGACCGCCTTGTTCCGAACTGTTCCCGCTGCCTGAGGTTAGTATATTCCAAATTATCGTAATACAGGATAGGACGGAACGTCTATTTGTGACAATAATTGGCTCTAAAATCCAACTGACGTGGATTACTTATATGTAGGATCAGCACATCTTGTACATACAGCACGGCGAGCTCGCAGCAGCAAGTTATTGCCCATTGGCATAGTACCGAAACGGACACGAAGAGCTTCAGCTACCAGTGTATTTTCCACTGCTAGTACGAACAGAAGTAGGCGGGGTCGGCTTCAAACCTCCTATTAGATACCAATCGTATATGTCGGAGCTACTAGAATTTTGTAGGTTGTGTCACAGGTTCGCATTTGAACACGCTAACCATTTACCCCACGGAAGATCTCACGTCCATAGCATTACCCTCGCATATAGTGGTAGCGGACAGCTTGGCATATCACCTCCGTTCTCGATGGATGGAGCACGCCATGTCCGACCCGTGCCTCTTCCATGCCACGCTTTTTAGTGCCTCCGCATCGATGGACATGTTGCGTGGCTAGCAAAGTACCGCAAAGAACTCTGTATCACCAGGCCTATGCTATCCGTTTTGTCAACGAACGATTAGCACAAACAGAACCAGTTCTAACCTATGGAACTCTGGGGGCCGTGAGTATCGTATTCCAATATTACGGGGAACTGGGTGTGAATATGGCAAGCTTGACGACTTTTAGATGTTCGTACTTGATCGAGGCACCGCGATTGCTCACCAGAAAGGATTGGTGGGGATGCTTCTTGCGACATCCGAATCTTCTCGGTCGGACATAGCACCCCTAATTGCCATAATACAGGTGTATGTAACTGTTAATTCTCTCGCATTGAATGGTTTGTAACTTGCTTTTCTAGTGCCATGCTTTCATTCGCTTGCATATATGACACGATTCCTATTTGGAACTGCCTATTCTCCGAATCAGTTCGTCCAAATAGCCTCCTCCGGAATATTCTTTCAAGAGCTACCTAGAGTCGGGATCGAATGGTTTTTGAAAACACCACTTTAGACTCAATATTGGACGTATACGAGGTCATTTCACGGCTGGATCATTTATTTGACGCAGATCGCGAGATTATTCTTGCTGAAGTTGAGCGTACGCTTTCCTTTGCGACGAGTACTCAGATGGATATCGCATCCTTGAGAGACCGTCACTCTCCACGGCAGCCAGCTTAACGAGTGCTGCCAAATCTGTTGCCAGTTATTCTGGGAAATGCTTCGGCGACAGTTCGAGTCTGAACAAACTCCAAACACTACCGGAAATGATACAACTCGACAGCTTTTGACACGCCTACTACAAATAGAGTCACCATATTGGGTCCGAAACGCTCCAGAGTTATTCGCTTGGGTCGCCTTTACCGGTGCCGCTGCATCGAATTGCCAAGATGAGTGCGTATCCTTCATCAGCAACGCGACCACGGTATTGTCAGCCGTCGACGGTGAAAGATTAACACTTCTACGGCAAGGGTGGAGGTATTTCCGTCTGCTAAAACGTTTGTGTGGAGATGATAATGTATGCCCTTGACGGCTTTTGAATCGATTGACTGCGGAGTGGCTGGTATATGACATATTGCTTGATTTGACCTATTCATAACCTCGACTCATGAGGGCCTTCACGGTCCACTCCCAGAGGTCCTCCGCCATCTTCGCATCAGATCCCGCTTTACTGGGCGCCGAGACCTTTCCTATCGGGAGTAAGTATGCGCCATTATCGGACTCTAACTTGAGGTTTGGCGACACAGCAGCGAAAAGAATGTTCGCCGCCCCCTTTCGCGGACCAGGTGCACCGAGCTCGACAATCGGCTTTATCAACCGGTAGAGGGGAGTCGAGGAGATCGGCCCTGCGGATAGGTTTCTGAGGACTGTCAGAGTCGAATTTTGCAGAAGCAAGCAGGAGAAAAAGGAACATGATCAACGTACGTCTTCACTGTCCCCGGATGCAGCGACAGAGCCAAGATATTCGAATATATCTTAGCCAGCTCTTTCAAATGCAGGACGTTGGCAATCTTGGAGTGGCCATATCGAGCCCAAACTGAGAAGTCATTCTTCATGTTCATATCTGAGGATATTATGCCCTCCTTCGGGGCGAGCTTGGTGTGCTCATCGCTGGATACGTTCACGACACGGACGCTTCCCTTGACGGCCTTCTCGGCTGTTATCTGGAGCATCGGGAGAAGCAACCTCGAGAAGAGAAAGTGGCCAATATAATTTACCTAGATACTTTTAGCTTTTCAACATTAACATTACGGTATGGAGAGTTCTCACTCCTATTTGCATCTCAAACCCTTCCACCGTCTCCTCGTATGGAAGGCACATAACCTAGAAAGAGTAAGCAACTTGAACATCTTGGAAGAGAACGAATGCACATACTCCAGCGTTATTAACAAGCAAATGAAGAAATGACTCCTACCTACATTGCTCATCCATCATTAGAAAGAACTTCGACTCGCCAAACCCCAAATATCCAACTCACGTAGCAAAACAGTTTGCCGCTTCCCGTACACTATTCAAATCAGCCAAGTTCAATTCCAGAAATCGGACATCTGCTTCCGGGCATTCCAAAGCGACTTCTCGCTCTGCATCTTTGAACTTCGCGGCTGATCGACTGGCAATATACACTCGGGCACCATGTTTCGCAAGCTCGATGCTAGTGCCGAAGCCGCTGCCAGACAGTAGAACATTCAATTTAGCAATTGCATCCTCAATAGAAACTCGAAGGCAAATTGAATAGTTCAACTTGGAGAGTGACGTACAGCCCTGTATGACCGCCAGTCACGATGGCGACTTTCCCAGTTAAGTCTGGGAGGGATTGGTGCGAACCATCGCCCATAGCTTAGCAGTACTAGATCTTAACGTCATATGTTGACAAGAATCCTTTTAATCGTTTGGTGGGTAGGCTATGTTCAATGTTGTGCGATGTTGTACTTTTACATATTTCCTATGGGCTCTGGGAAGACTAGGCAGCCTTGCTTGCTTCAAGTTGCCTGTACTAGAATAGGGAGATGCGCCAATTTTGCGATGCGGGTGCGGCCGCATTTGCGGGCGCGGGCGCGACTGCGGATGAAGTGCAGAGTTGATGGGTGGGTCACCAGTGCTTCGATATGTATTAGTATAGTAAAGTGTGCGGTAAGTATGAATCAACTGGGCGAGGAATCCTATGTCAAAGAAAACGTCATACTGATAAGGCAAATTCCATAGATGAAACCCCACTGAAACTTAATAGGCCAGTCGAAACTAGCCATGATATTGTTAGCGTGCATGATCCACGCGGTTATTCTACTTAGTACACATACTGTGATGTGCTATGAACATCATTAATAAATAATTGCGTTACTGCTGCAGAGAATGAGATCTTCGGAAGATATTATCATCAATTTCAATTGTGTACCAGTCTCATTCCATGAAGATGATATCATCCATGCCTTTGATGATTAAACCCCGCTTGCTATTTCTAAGCGTCGGCCGTCAATCAAAGGCCGAGACATTCTATTTATTTCCAGTCCCTCCCAATTCTAAAGACTAAGAAAAAACAGTTATCTTATTTAATTGTCGCAGAGCATCTTTAACAAACACTTACGCAAACATGGCCAGTAAAACACTTGCAGTTATCGCTGGCGTCGGTCCAGGCACTGTATGTTATCAATGATGATGATACCTCAACAATCACAGACATATTCTAATACTGGTTTATCAAGGGCGCATCTATCGCTAGACGCTTCGCAAAAATATACCCCGTTGTCGTGCTTGCTCGCAGCCCTGAAAGCTACGATGCAGTTGTAAAGGAAATCACCTCCAACGGCGGGGAAGCAGTGGGTATCAGCACTGATGTCAGCGACAGCAAAAGTGTCAACAGTGCATTCGATCAAATTGAGAAGAAGTATCCTGGCTCCGTATTAGCAGCAGCAGTTTTCAATCCTGGTGGTGGCTTTGTCAAGAAGCCTTTCCTTGAACTGACGGAAGATGACTTCGCGGCTGGATTGAATGGCCAAGCGTACGTATCACCTCATACCCGGGAATTCTTTTAAACGCCAAAATCTATTGTGCCTTTTCTAATAGCTTATACAGAAAGGGTGGCTTTAACTTTGCTCAGCGAGCACTGCCTCTTCTCCTCAAGGGCAAGGAGTCATCTACGCACCCTCCCACCTTGATCTTCACCGGCGCTACAGCTAGTATTAAGGGATCACCTCAGTTTGCGTCTTTCGCAGCTGCGAAGTTTGCTCTTAGAGCTCTTTCACAATCGCTAGCTCGGGAGTTCGGTCCCCAGGGTGTTCACGTATCGCATACTATTATTGATGGAATTATCGATATCCCTCGCACAAAGGCGTGGGGCTCTGGCGTTGAAGATTCCAAGCTGAGCCCTGACGCTGTAAGTTTTGTTTCTTTTGGATAATTATTATGCACGTCATGATACTAATCGGTTCTTAGATTGCGGATTCGTACTGGTATCTGCATACTCAGCCGCGTACTACTTTTGCGTTTGAGTTGGATCTGAGGCCCTACGTTGAGAAGTGGTGAAAGAAATACCACTCATAACAGGTAATATCAATAACACAGATAATTGAATTCAAATGATCAATTAATACTCTCTCGACCATATATAATTGTCGTCACGGTAATCGGGGAATGTTTGTGATTCTAGGAATTGGTTCGAAGAGTTACCTGTTGAATATGTTGGCAGATATACTAGTAGATTTGATCAGAATCTCATCAATGAAATAGGCATCTTTACTGATTGTCCAGTTGATTACAAGTGATTAATTAAAGGCAAAAACAATAGCCAGTATTGAGATACGTTATAGTTCACAACTGTTCGGGCATGACAGAGAATTGCTAATACCACCCCTCAAATGGCTAAACCCACCCCTTCTAAGCTCACCGCCGTATTTGTAATACCACAAGGCACAAAGGCATCAATTTTCTGCCGGCAGCATGAATACGGTCCAGAATTAAATCTCATCTCCACGTAAAAAGCTTCCATTTTACCACACATTTAACGACATTTAATATGCAAGCAAGTTATCTCATTCCAAGCTAAACCTAAAGAGGAAACAGAGGCTGATTTTAAAAACACCGGCAAATGCATTTTCAGTCGAATTAACTGGCAAATCTGTTGATCAACGGACACCCAGGCCTTTTATGCCCCTCCACGCCGCAATTTCCACATGTATTGGGTCTCCTCCGAGATTGCACAGTTGGTGGCTGCTGAGAGCCTTGTTGGGACCATTGCTCATAAAACTCACGATCTACAGCATCTTCAACAGCATCTAGCTGCTCCCATAAGCTTGGGATCCGCCCCTGTGATCCCTCTGGGCCTCGGGGGTCTTGCCGGGCCCCCGAGGCCTGTGATGTGGCCACCGAGGCCTGTGATGCTGTATACGATCCTCGCGATATCCATACCCTCCGATCATCCCGAATTCTTGGCTCCTGTATACGAAGAAGATCTGGATGAAACTGTGGTGAATCAGCCTCCTGAAGATGCCACTGTAAGTGGAAGAGATCAAGAGGAAGTGGCTTTTTCTCATTATAATATGGAATAATTTGATGGATGCATGGAATGCCCCTGCCTTTGCCGCATACACAGAAGATAGGAATTTGAGGTTTTTCGATATGGATAGGTAGATATGTGTTGATTTCTTTCTCCAGACGGCGAATGGCTTCAAGGGAAATTCTCTGTATGAGATTTGGTAGTAAAAATGTATAGGATTGATGATCTGTGAATCGTCCAAGTGTCTGGTCATGTAACTGATATTGAATATTTGAATATTGACGTTTAATTGTCTGTTCAAAGATATCAAAGGCTCCAAGGAGAGAAGTTGAGGTTCCCTGGCTAAATTTTAATAGAAAATCCCTCAATAATAATAGGAGAATTACCTGTTGATCACGTTTAAATGCCCAATGTGCCGACTCATTTCGAGATGTTGCTACCTCACCAAAGTGAAAATAATGCCGAGTATAATGGTGTAAAAACATCTTCGCATATATTGGGTTAAGCCATTCCTTCTGGATATAACGAATTAGCTTAGAGAAGATCTCATGACAGTAAGTTTGCTGAAATTCCTGCCATTTTTGTTCGAAATCTTGAGGCGTTAAAGCAGTAACAATTTCATGCCAGAACTGTTTCATTCTCCACCACCGATGAAGCTTCTCCTGCCGTATACACCCATTCTTCAAAGAGAATATCTCTTGTTTTTTTGCAGCTTCTTTAATCTCCCATTCAAGATACTGACGAATAGGAGTACGCGCATGGGCAAGGATGCACTTATTGATATGCCACAAACAAAGCATATGGTTAAGTGTAAAAACCATTGGTATAGCACTGAGAATTGCAAGCTCTTTGTCTGTAAATACAGTCAATGGCTCAGGGATTGATTCTACCGCTAATACTGACTGTAATTGCTGTAATGCCCAGCAAAATGAATCAGTAGTAGAGTCTGATAAAAAACAGAAGCCAGCGGAGAATGTCTGGTTTGTTGATGTCATTCCAGTAATATCAAGCAATGGCATTTTGAACTTGTTGGTTTTAAATGTTGTATCCATCCAAAGAATATAGGGAAAAAGACGTAAAAATCCAATGGAAGTCCGGTGGATGGCGAATAAAGCAAGTAAAATATCGTTGTTATCCGATCTACAGCGGATACACCAATCCCCTGAATTTGGGAGGTCTTGGAGAAGTGTTTGAATAGATGAGCGGCCGCCAAGTCGTCTTTTGTTAAGATCCATCTTAATATTATAGATGTTCTTCGCGATAACATGTTCGCCTTCATTCCTGAGCTGATCCGTAATCTGGCGAGGCCAAAGCCCCTGCTGGATAGCCTGTTCAATCTCCAAACCTCTTTTTTTCATAGCCATTTGGCGAAGATAAGGAATATTGACGGCGGGTGATGGTGTATGGTTATGGCTACCATTTCCAATTTCCAATAACCATATATCTCCATGTCGACGAAGAATAACCTCAAATGGACAGTTACACTTTTTTGTACGGCCTCTTCTGCGTTTTTCTGCATCAAGTCCTATAGTCCGGCGGTCACAATATTCACCACCTCGCCAGCATTGGTAAATAACCTTGAGTTTTACCCCGTTAGAGGATTTTGAGCGTTTTGAAACAACTGCATAGCCTTGGGTAGCTGCAAATTGATTCATCTCGGTTTGAGCTTCATCCGGCGAAGAATACTCGAGTTTCCAGGGCGGATTCAGCTTAAATAGAGGGAAACTTGGCTCAATATCTGAGTATATATCAGCCAATGGCTCTTCGGGATATTGAGTCTCTTCGTCATAAATTGTGTCGATAGTGTTGAGAAAATCATCGCGGAACGTAGGAGGAGGGGTAGTTGACAGCCTAGGACTAGACATAAGAGATTCAGTAGTTTCCAGTGACATAATAATAACCAAATAGCTTCAAATTTTCAGGGGTAGTAGAGAAGATAGAAAATAACAATACTCTAAAAGAAGAAATCATTTTAGCGAAGGGGAGGTATTCAAATATATGTTTAAAATATTGTTATTGCTTAAAATATTGATATGGTAACGGGAGTAATAAAAATGCACATTCCTGAGGGTACTGTGGGGCCTCGGCAGCCAATCAGCTTCTCTTAATATTTCCGTAAACGGCAGGTCACATGCTCACTACACCTCGCCATACTTTGCCATTTCCCTATTATTTACCTTTACATAGTAACTTTACATATTTTAACCCCTACTTTGATTTACTACAGCAATACCATTTTAAACCATTTTTTAAAACCCTTCTGGATTAATAAATATACGTTATTTAATAATCACGTGCTAAAATATAATTGATTGTTATCAAAGAATAGAGATATCCGGGCGCTCCGCAATAGACGCCTTTTTTGATGTGGTTTGGTGTGGTTTGGTGTGTCGGGGCGTCCACCGCCTCCATTGACCGCCCATTTTAAATTACACCGCCTTGTTAACGGCTCATATTACAAATACGGCAGAATTTCCCAAAGCGGCTTAGAAGGGGTGGGTTTAGCCATTTGAGGGGTGGTATTAGCAATTCTCGGCATGACACCTTGACACCTGTAACACCAGGCAGAAAAGTGATTACCTGATCTTGGCGGAACCACCAAAACGTCATAAACCAAGCTTAAGCTCTTCCCACTCCAAGATCCAATTTATACCAATACCCAGCATTGAATTCAGACAAGATGGTCCTCGAAGGTGCCTCGCCGCAAGCAGGCTCATTTTCAAATGAAAGCCCCTCGACCGGCGCCCCAATAAGACAAGCAACCAACCACCCCCAATCGCTCCTGGGTGGTCTAAGAATCAAACCAGAATTCATCGAACACCCCGACCTATTCACCCTCTACTTCGGCTTTCTCGGAAACAGATCCTGGCAAAAATCAGTGGGACGTAATATCTATGACCGCTTACAAGGGACTTGGGTTCTTACCGGGCGCACCGCGACACAAGAAGAGCTAGATTCGTTCTGCGCCAATTCCACACACGCCCTGTACTACGGCCGAATCGGATTACCAGTATCGTTAATTGCCGGTGGAGTTTGGGAGTACAGGAAGGCAGCTCGGCAAACGGCCGATCTTACATTTGCACAACGGCTTACGACAATGCTGAGCATTGCGAGGGCTGATCCGTCCGCGTTCTGGCCTCAAGCCGCTAGGACTGGATTCAGGGTATTTTGGATTGGATCGTGCGGGTGGATGTTGTCAACTGTTGGATCGACGTGGACGGGTATGACGGATCTTCTTAGGGATCCGAAGCTTGCGCAATGGAGACATGATACGAAGGGTCAGAAGGAAGAGGAGGTTCGGAAGCGGAAGCTTGAGGCTGCTGCTTCGATGTCCATGAATGTTAACGGGAAGAGAGAGGTTGTGGAGAGATTGAGACGTGACTTGTCGGGGGACAGTGGCTTTGATGAAACTCAGACGCCAGAACCGGAACAATACAGTTATGATGCGCCTGCCGCGAACCAGTCTACATATGATTCCCCGGCGTCTGGGTACCAATCGCAAAGTTCTAGATATGGATCTGCGCCTGCGCAACGGTCTTCGTCGCAGGGAGAGTCATCTACTGATTTCTTCCTTGGTGGCCAGGACGACGATGCTAGTCCGACTGCGGCTGAGTACCGGAATACGAACCCTAATGGCTCGTCTATGAGTACTTGGGATCGCATCCGGGCTCAGAATGCACCACCTAGATCGCAGGCTCCTGCGCGACAGTCCTCTACTTCTGGATGGGGACAGGCTCAGGCTCAGTCTCCGCCTGCAGATGATGTTCCTGTTGGTGCGCGGGATTCATATGATGTTGATCGACGACTAGAGAAGGACCAGGCCCAGGCTGATTTTGATAGGATGATGGAGCAAGAGAGGAATGCATCTGGTGAACCGACTCGACGGGGTTGGGGATCATAAGATACCAGAAATTTGAATTTACTTCCTTTCTATCTACGCTACATGGATATATGTTGTGTAGTACAATTTCAAGGACTTGTATCTGAATCAATTCTGTCTTTTTTTGTAACTCCGCAAACCGTTACCTATTAGCCTTTGCAGGCATATAGCTGTAGACCCGACGTTCAAAAGTTCCATCTGGTATGATAGTTCTTGTGGTGAGGAAACCTTGGAAGAAAGGTAATATAGGAAGGATACAAGATTTGCAATTTTGGTAGAGACGGAAATATAGATGCCAAGGGGTTATGTATACGGGGAAATGGGCTAAGTGGCGCATGGGATTCTTGTAGCTGTGGTAGTGAAGAGGCAGTGAGCCTAGAAAATGGGGAGAATAATATAGCAAGTGAGGGTATATCAGTAACGCAGATAAGGACTTGATGAGAGAAGAAGAGAAGAGAAATAGACATAAAGAAATTCGCTAAACATAAAACGCATGAATCATCAAAATGGGGAATAGGAGAACAGTATGATATGATGTGATATGATATGAGACAAGCGAGTGTCAAAAAGAAACAAAAATGCAATAAAATGGTAGGAGAAAGAATAAAAACATCGAAACTGTCTTAGTAGTAGTTCTGACCGGGTGCATAGGCACGAGAGTGCAATGTTTCATACGGCATGTCGAGCTCATGAGGATCAGATCCCCATTCAGTAGCCGTGCCCCATGGTTCAACGCTGCGACTATTACCTCGAATACGAGTTAAGCTGCGCAGCTTGTTCGCGAAACTCTCATTGTTTGAGCTCCGGTTCCGACGATGCTGAGACTCAAATGATCCACGTTTCTCTTTGTTGCCGTTCTTAGGCTCACTCGCATTAACATGAATAGTCGGAGCAGCCGTCATAGCACGAGGAATGTGGCGGCCAAAGTCCTCATTATCAATGGCAACATCAATTGTAGCAGTAGACTGTCGTGGGGAGCTGACATCCATTGGCATTGGGAATGGAGGTGGAGGCGGAGGTAGAGGACCACTTAGATGCTGCAGTTCGGGGAGGAGAGGAGGAGCTGGCGGCGGAGGAGGCGGGGGTGGAATCAAGTCTATTTGTGGTCCAGATGGTCTTCTGGGCAATGAGCCTCCGATTGTTTCTTCGATGCTTGGATTGCGCTGGGGGGAGGTATTTGAGACATATCCGCCTGAGCTGGTGCGGCGGTGGCCTCCGTTACGAACACGGCTGTTTGAGCGGCTTCGGGGAAGATTAGGGTTGAAATGCGGGTGCATCGGGACCTCGGATGGTACTGGAGGTGGATTCTTGTATCTGGTTGCTGGACCCTCTGGCATGGGAACGGACATTGATCTGCCAATTCTTTCTGCGGCTTCGCTTTGGTATCGGGCATCGTTTAGATGGGGAGATCCATATCCATAGCTGTTTGTTGGTATGGTAGGGACGGAGGGTGGTCGTTCTTCCTGGCCGCCGCCATACTTGGGGTGCCGCATTGCTCGTGGCGTTGCTGGAAGTCCGACGGGGTTGCGAGAACTAGAGCTTGAATCCGAGCTGCTATGGTACTCAGGCGATACTTTTGCTGGAGGGATGTTGTTGCGAGATGGGGCTCGTGGGAAGTAGGAGTTTCCATAGAATGGAGGTGGGCTTTCCAGAGGTGATCTGGCTAGTTCTCCCGGGAATGGGATGTTGGGTGCAGATGGGTTCCGTGCCAGGGACAGGCGGCGTGCTTCCAATTCAGCGGCGGCTAGCTCTCTTCTCTTCCTCTCGGCCAGACTGACAAATGGTGTTGTTGGAGAAATTTGGACCTGGAGTTCATTGGCAGTAGAGGCTGGTCTGCTTTGGCTGTGTCCGTTGACAAACATGTTCTCCGGGCTGAAGGCTCTGTTGCTCAAGGTGTCTGCATGTCCGAAAGCCTTGCTGCTTAGCATTTGATCTTGTCCGAAGGCTTGATTGCCCAGTGTTTGCTGTCCAAAAGCTTGATTGCCTAAGGTTTCCTCCTGTCTATATGCTGAGGGACTTAGGACTTCCTCATCCCCGAATCTCTGGCTGCTTAACAGATTCTCTTCTCCATACGCTTGACTTCCTAGAGATTCTTGTCCATAGGCTTCACTGCTAACGGATTCTTGCCCGTAAGCCTGGCTACCCAGATTTTCCTGCCCATACGCTTGACTTCCCAGAGACTCTTGTCCGTAGGCTTGGCTTCCCAGGGATTGCTGTTCAAAGGCCTGGCTACCGAGAGTATCATCTTGCCCAAATGCCTTCGCGCTCAAGACTTCCTCATGACCAAATGCCTTACTGCTCAATTGCTCGAAACGTTCAGGTTGAGCAGGAAGGTCAAATTCTCGGGGTGCACGAATCTCAGGCTGACTATAAGACACCTTGTGTTTAGTCTCAGGCGAACCTTCTCGCCTAGAGCTAGTTCCCCGTTCTGCGCGACGACGACTAGCGCTGCGATGTTGCGAACGTAGTCGCTTTTGGTTCCCAACAACAATACGGAGTGGGTCCTCCGCGCCACCTTGTTGAGATAATTCTTGCGTAGGAAGAGTCATCGGTAAAGGCGAAGATGGCGATCGAGCAGAAGAGCCTTGTCGATCAGAGCTGCGACCTCGTGCCAAGGCCTCACCCATACGGCTGGATGGTTTCCGGCTAGAAGAGCGCTGACGGGTGCGTGAACCAGCCTTTCTCATTCGGCTGGTGCTTCGAACACGGGATTTCGACTTTTTCCGTGGCTGATCGGGATATTCTAGCTCTCCACTATGATAGCGGGCGACCTCGTCGGGTGACATTGGCACTGGGGAAGATGGCGATCGATTCGCGGACTGGATGTATCGACCACGGGCTGTTTCTCGAGATTCTTCGCGGGATTCCATGCGTGAGGTACCGTTATCTCCAGTATTTCTTCTTCCGCGGCCAACCTTCTTCGAATGGTAGTTTGCTTCTTCAAGACTGCTGATGTACTGGTCGATGCTCCGGCCAGTAACACTGGGACTCTTAGCAGAGGTATAGCTGTTCATAGTGGAAGTGCTTTTTGCGCTGTGAAGTAAACCAGATTGGCTACGGGGGCCGGGGAATGGCAGTTCTGAATGAATGAGCTCAAGCTGTAGGCCGTTTGGATTTCTAGTTCCGTTTCGAGAATCAGAGCGGTCCGTTAGAGCCTCAAAGACCCCGGGAGATGGCGAAGGAAGTCCCTTGATAGCTGCAAACTTATCCATAGCTTGAACAGCTGTTTGAGGGCTTGGCTTCATGGAGTCAAGACCTTGGTGGTGGTATTTTGCTGGTGTCAAAAATCCATTATCAACCTGCTCATCTTGGCTTTGCTCGTGACCACTGTTTTCATCTGCCTCGGATGTTGATCCATATGCACTGGAGCTCTGTTGAGAACGAGCGCGAGAGAAAATAGGAGGTTGAACATCCACGGGCGTTTCGCCAATTGAAGGGAGACGGCGACGGTTAAATGAAGGAGTAGTCGTTCGCGATGTCATTGCTTGGTTAAGACTCTGAATGTTATTGAGTTTCCAAGAGCCCACGGCCGATTCCGCCACAGCAGACTCAGCAATAGGTGTAACACCGGGCGCGTTTGTGGGCGTTTGATCATCAGTTTTCAATCCTGGGAAGCGGAAACGTTTATTAGATTTCGCATCGAAAGATGTGATAAGCTTGAGTGCAGGGCCCTTCAGGTTTGGAGCAGCTCGTTGGCTAGAAGAGGCGGATCGCGGACGTGGAGGCACCATGCCATTGGATTCTATAGATTGGTTCACTTCAGGCGCAGTCAATGGCGGAATTCCACCCATAACTTCAGCGAATGTAGTTGCTTGCTGGGCGCCTGGGGAAGTCCATGGCTCAGAAGGCTCGGCACCACTGCACATAAAGCAACGAATGGCGAGTTGCTGCTGAGACTGTGTAACAACATGTTCTCCCCATCGTCGCACTAGATATGACTGGCGTTGCCAGTCTGTCGGCATCAAAAGACATGTCATAAGGATAGCTTCCATGAAATGCTTGCGAGACACGTAGACTTCAATGGCATCATTACTGTCTCCCAGTCCAAGGAGAATAGAGGCTGCAGTATGAATATCCCCGACCTCCAGCAACTTTTGTACAAAACTTTGCCCAACTTTGTTTGCTTGTGCTTGTCCCTTCATTTGGCTCAGGGCAAGAAGCATCCAATCCGAAGCAGTCGTTGGCCCAGAGCTGATCATTGCAGCCATATGATCTGTGTTGGTCTCTCCAAGCCACTGCGCTAGAAGAATCGCACTTGGACTTCCATACGCATGACGACTCCACTCATCCTTAATCAAATCTGAGATATCTCCTTCCCAGCCAAAGACAACGCTCAGCATTTGGTGGCGTAGATCATTGGGTGTCAAACTGTTCTCATCTATTGAAGGTTGTGGCTTGTATGGGACGTCGTTTAACCGTGCCCGGATGAATGGAAATAGATCAACAACATTCTTCTCAGCAGGGCTCATTTGCACCTCATTTCGCAGTCGGGATCCTGTCCGAGATCCAGCTCGAGAGCTTCTTACCGAGGACATTGAGACTGAAGAGGCATAATTATACCCAGCTGATGGCTGCGGTGTATCATTGTCACCCGATGCGAGCGAAAATGTTGTTGCACTGTGCGCTGAGACACTAGGCGGCGCAAATGGACCTGTTCTGAACTTTCCAGATGAGGCTTTAGAGCTCACAGATTCCGTTCGACTCCTAGAAGAAGCGGGGCTAATGAGATTTGATCGTTGCTGCTTTAGGTTGTCGAGGTTGTTGGACTCAAATGGTGGCTGTCGCGAACTAGACTGCTCTCGAATGTTTGGGGGGTCCTGCAAACGTCTCGGTGGAGACATCGTTTGTGACCGTTGATTCTCAGAAACAACTGATCTAGAGCTGACTGGTGCATGCTGCACATTTGCAACCATTCCCGGGGTCTCCAAATCGTACTGCTGGACTGTGTTGTGTGGGCCAATAGTAAACAGTGTCGCTGTAGGGCCATGATTTGCAAGTCCCCGAACTCCATCTACCGTAGGAATTGGTTCATACGTAACATGCTTTGTTCGCACATCCCAAGCCCATGTTTCTCTGTTCATAAACATTTCAAATTAGTACAACTTGCTCGCCGTGGCGGCGGAATTGCGCTTTCAAAATTGCCCATTCACTCACCCTTCAAGGTATTGCACAATTTTTCCATTTTTAGACCATGCCATCCATTTCGGCTCTGCAGAAGTTGAATCGGATCGTTTCAGCACACGAATTACTCTCGGGGACTCCTTTCCCGCGGGCTTTGATACGCTCCATACTCGTAGGTCGCCATTTTGAGCTTGCGTAGCCAGCATGTCCGATTTCTGCTTCGAAGAAGAAGCATGCCAGGCGATCGATATGATAGGTGACGGACCGCGCGATGTGGTTAATGTGTGAAGGATGGTAAATTGGGGAAGGAGATTTGCGATCAGGATTGATCCATTTTGATAGCTGATCAATCCAAACGTTAGAATTTGGCACTTGAATAGTTTGAGGTCAATATTTATCAATCGAATTAACATACCCAATCGCATAGGTACGACAATCCATAGAAGGAGCAAGAGAAGTAATAGGGTCAAAAATAGTTCGCGAAGAGATATGTTCTGATGTTGAGGGCTCGAAAAGGATAACTTCGCCCTTGTCGTTACCTAGAAGAACAAAGGCAATTCGTCAGTAAAGGTAGCGACTTGAAGTCACAGAATAGTTTTCAACCATACCAAATGCGACATTTCCATTGCGCAGCCATGATGCCACCCGTAGATGGTCGAAAGATGCAAATCTTGAGATTTCTGATCCGGTAAAAATATCCCAAACAATAGCTGTCTGTCCTACATCATAACTGACAACCAGTCTGCCCGCACCCCGTTCGCTCACATTATCCACCGAAATAAAATCAATATTCTCCTTGTGGCTCTGAAATCGTCGTTCGACCGCGAGGGTGTCATGGTGAAGGCAGAGGACTGTGGAATCCTGTGCATATAGGAAAAGCGATGCTGTTGCGGCGCACGCCTCGAAACGAAGCTCCGGTTCTTGTACTTGTGACGCCATTGTTTTGACGGACTTCGAGAGTCGTGATTCTGGCAACAAACTCCTGTTCCATGTCAATTTTTCCATTTTTCTTCTCTTTGTTACTTTTCAATTTTTTAAATCCCTCTCCTCAATATGATTTATGGGCTGTGGCAGGGGGAAAGTAAAGCTATGCCTCTTGTGCCTTGCTCCAGATCCACACTGAACGTGGACGGAACAAAATAATAAATTCGCCACGAGCCCACGAGGGAGATGCAGGGAAGAAAAGGAAAAAGAGAAAACAAAAAAAATACTAACCTGATCCTTTCTGATCCAGGCAAAGGTTACTAATCGGCCACGACCCTAGAGTTACCATTCAAGGCCAAGGGGAGAGAGTGCCAGGGTAGCGCCAGGCATTTGGGAACTTTGGGGAAACGCCGGAGAGGGGTTAGTGCCTGACAGACGAGAAGGATTGCAGCAAGCTAGCTTCTAGACGATGATGCGGGCCCTAATAAGGAAAAGAACGACCACGGGAGCTGTGGGAGATTGGCGCAGTAGTTGTATGCGGACTTGACCGGGGTGGTGGGAAATATGAGGAGGTAAGTAACAAGTCTAGAGAGAAAAAAGTGAACAGGGATTCGGAAGGAATTGCAGGACCACGTTCATCACATCCCATAAAATTTTAGCGTGGCTGAAGGTGCTTAAGTTTGTGACAGGACGTGGGGTGGAGATGGGTAGCAGCAGGGGTGGTATATCTATAGGTACTGTACAGTATGTATGCTGCGTACGCGAGATATAAAATCTGGCGCCACCCTTGTCACTATGGAGCCAGGGATGGAGGATGCGCTTACTCCGGTAGGACAGAAAGCTCTCTTTTTTAGTTCAAAAGGCAGTATATGGGGCGCCGGTAGCCGATCAGAATCTCCAACCATCGAGCAATCGGGGTTGGCGCCGGGGGATTATACAGGGCGCTTCATTTGACGACTGGCCATACATTGGGCGGCCTTAGAGGAAGAGTGAATCCACCTTGATTGCCCGAAAATATGGATACCGCCAGAGCATCACATCATTAGCGGAGCCGGTAGGATCGAGCCTTTTTGGTGGCTGGGGTGCATGGCTTTGGGTTGGTGGGACTGCACCAACGAGCATGCAGAAACGAGGGACGCAGAAGAAGTTACGGGTTTAGATCGATGCAAGAGGCTCCCGAATCACAGACGGGAACCATCAGCATCTGTTCAAGACCGGCAGAGAAGTGGGTCCAACGATATCAGAAAGCGCGTGGATTCTCAAGGTTGATCGTTCCGGTTTCTTCGTCGGAGAGGGCCCGTGGTTATTATTATTTTTGGTTTTTACCTTGAATGAAGAAAAAACAATAGAGATGACAGCCGTTGGATGTTAGGAAAGGGTTAATGATCCGGGAACTTCCCAGTGGCTGAGGATGTAATGTTGTCTCTCTTTTCTTTTCCTATCCAAGTACATATGCGCATGGAACTATTGGTAAAACACTGCATTGGATGATTCGGCGAGACGTAACGAAACAACCGAATTATTTCGCTGAGACAAGAAAAGTCAAAAGGAAGGCCCCAAAATCGATGTGATTGAAGAGATCCGTGCAGGATGTTGACAAGCTGCACCTTTCGTCACGTTCTCTCCACCAATCATACCCGGTCACCGCTGATCCCTCGGCGCCTACAGCAACTCACCTCAACCAATGCGCGTTCATATCCCACAAAATGCTGAGCAAGGCTTGGGATCACTTTACTCTAGGGTCCTCGAGACAGCCTATGAAGTTCCTGAAAAAATTTATTGATGTACGTTACGGAGAATTCTCTCCACAGCCGTTCCGCCCGCAAGTTTCATCCTAGTTATTATACGGCGTGTTTCGTACATGGACGATGATCTTTTTAAGATCGCCTTCTGGTTTGCATGTTTGAATTGGTTTGAATTATTCTCTTATGATTTTTTTGCTTTTTTTTTTAAGAAGAAACGATCGGTGTCGCACATGGAAGCTCCTGTCTGTCCTGAGTTCCCTGGAGATTATGGGTATGTGATGTGATTGTGTGCTTCGAGCCAGGGTCATACTTGCTGCACATTAAGCACATACATCTGTATGGATTCCCAAGATTTCCCAAGCTTATATTCTGTGTTCCTATGGAGCTTGGGCCTCTGCGGAGTGGTATCGGGGAGAGGGACAAGGCACGAGCGGAAAGTTTTCCAATTGAACTTGGAATGAACTCGGGAGACTGCATCGTGCCATCCGGTGATCAATTCCAATTTCCGCTTTGCCTTGAAAGGGCAACGGAGTGATTAGCTTTGCATTATCAGTATATTAGTATCACCTATGAGTTGTTAGAACCCGACTTGAACTACGCGCCAAGCGGGTCCCGCCGATATTGTACATTAGGTCGATCAATAGAAGCTCTGGATGCGTCCAACATGTTTATGATATAATAATTATATAGACCCTAGGTCATCACGATAATATACCTTATATCAAGCCTCATTTACCCTTCATCTCGAATTTTTTCTACCATCAGGGCACGACCCAAGTAGATACCCGCAATGACCTCCACAACCATCAACCACGGTTCCCCTCATGCCACCAAGTTCCCGTGCGGGGTTTATCTCATCCTTCGGGCCTGACTCACTCCAATAACAAATACTATCCCGATAATAGCATCGCTAACATTCAAGCTTATTACTCGAATCCTTTAATGAGAACACCTCTCGATCCGCGATCGCGAACCCTGTGATCCATCACTCCAGGGCCCTAACCATGTCCGAGCCCGAGACTATCGTCATTATAGGGTAAAAAAAGAAACCCAACCGTTACCGGCTCCGAAATTTCAACTAACTAATTTAAAATTCTAGAGCCGGCGTAATAGGCCTCTCAACTGCCCGACACATCCAACAATATCTAAGCCCCAATCAATCCGTCCTCGTGGTAGCCAGAGATTTCCCTTCCGACACCTCCGTCAACTATACCTCCCCATGGGCCGGAGCGCATTATAGACCCGTCCCCGGGTCTTCGCCGCAGGCTCTCCGCGAAGCAAACCAGGCGCAACGAACATACGAATTCATGAAGCGAGTCGAGGCCCATGAACCAGCCGCAGGCGTCAAATTTGTACAAGGTATCGAACACCTCGAAGCACCGCCTCCGGAATATGAGGATGCGCAGAGTTTGCGTTCTTCTCATGGCGGGCTGGATGAATGTCGTCGCCTTTCGAGTAGTGAGGTTCCAAGTGGTGTGAAATGGGGTATTCAATATAAGACATGGGTTGTTAATTCGCCGGTCTACTGTGCGTATATGTTGCGCAAATTCATCTTGAATGGTGGGAGGACAAGGCAATATGTTCTTGGGAATTTGCAAGAGGGGTTTTTCTTGGAACATAATGTGAAGACTGTGGTGAATTGCTCTGGATTGGGCTTTAATGATCCCAAATCGTTTATTATTAGAGGTATGTCATTCGATGTCATTTTTTTTAATTGCGGGAACCAAAAACTTTTCGAGCATGTGCTTATGATGGACTTTGTGTCTGTGTAGGCCAAACTTGTCTTGTGAGGAATCCTGTATCAGAGACTATCACTCGCCAGAATGAGGATGGGACTTGGTCTTTTTGTATTCCACGTCCTCTTGATGGTGGAACGGTTATTGGTGGGACCAAGGAAGTTGGGAACTGGGATCCTAATCCCTCGATGGAGACACGAGCTACGTTGCTTGTCAATGCGAAGAAGTGGTTCCCTTTCACACCTGAGAGTGGTGGCGAGTTTGATGTGATTCATGATATTGTGGGTAGGCGACCGGCTCGCGAGGGTGGTATGCGTATCGAGATTGAAAAAACGAGTAATGGGAGACAGGTGGTTCACGCATATGGTGCTGGCGGTCGTGGTTATGAAATTTCGCGAGGAGTAGCCGAAGATACGGTGGCATTGATGTTGGAGAATGGGATTTTGCGCGAAAAGGCGGCACTGTAGTTATGATGTGATGGAGGTCATCCTCAAGTCATGGTTTAGGTAATACTTAATGAAGCATGCACATAGTTGTACATTCAATGCCATGAACAACTTGAAGCTCCAGAATTACTTATGTTTGAGTGATTATAACTGATTCCAAGGTTACCATCGAGATACGGGGCCTACTTATACTCAGAAAAAAAGGTCTCTAAAGCACATTAAGGTATTTCGACCTTGGGGGGTAAGTGCGACGGCCGGTTCGGGGACCTTGCAGGTCATCGGGAATTAAGTCGAGGGCCTTGACCGGAATATACTGGGGGAATCATTGCCATTAAAACGATGCGATGTTCGAGAAAAGAAAATGGACTTTTTGCTACCAAAGCAAGCTGTCACAACAAAATATCAGTCGTTGATTCTTCCGTCACATGAGTCACAGGAAATTCATAAAATCCTCTGCTCTCGTTACCAACCACCCCGCTGTTTTTCTCTCCTATTCAAGCAGTATATGTGAAATGTCTGAAGAGATAGAGGAGAAAGAACAAGCAAGGTGACTGGGCGAGTCTCCAGTGAGCATGATGAGGCCATACAACGCAACTTCCGATGCATTAGGGTATAACGCCGAATAGTTGGCGATTGCAATGATCACTCAACCATGAGGGTCCGATTCCCGTGGGCCGAAAGCACCGGCCTGGTACGGTCGGTGTCCAGAATCCGACAGGAAAGGGTACTTCCCAGAGACTCACAAAATTGGTCCCGCAAGGAGGTGGATAGGCTCAGCCTTCAGCCTCCTGTGTGACAACTGGAACCGCTATTCCTAGCTTAGCCAAACGCTCCTCTTCCTTCTCCTGTTGCAGCTTTTCAGTTTCAACTCGTAACGCGTCCAAGTTGAAGCCATCGTCATCGTCATCGTCATCCGACTCCTCATCACTGCTCTCTTCATCCTTCCAGTCACCGCTCTCAAACATGGTACGGCCAGTGGCCTCTTTGGCCTGTCGTGCTTGCTCCTCAGCGGCCTTCTTGTTAATACGCTCCTTCTTCCACTGGGCGAAAGACTCTGGAGTGACCGGTGTCAGGGTACCTGTCAACTTATGTCGCTCAGACTCCAGCCAGTCTTCCAAAGTCAACGTGTTCAATGGGGATTTGTCCATCAGGGCCTTCTCGGCAGCCCTCTGCTCCTTTGTCTTGAGAATGAATCTGTCGGCACAATATTAGCAATCTTGGAAGCATTTCAAGTAACATTTGAAGTTCAACATACCCAGGAGGCAAGCTGTGCTTATACATGCACTTATCACCGCCATTCGGACAAGTCCAGAACCAACCATACTTCTGGTTCTCGACCGCCTCAATAAAGAACTTGCAGACCTTGTCGGTAGTCGTTCGTGGGTTTCCATGCTTGCTCATCACGACACTGCGCAGCTTCTCCTCGTCCCATTGGTCCATAGTATCGACCTGTTTAGTCTCTTCTTCTGTTTCACGCGAGTCGGTGTACAGATCCTTCTTAGCGGCCTTGCGCTCAATGTTCATGTCGTGACTGAACTTGCACTTGCGACCCTTTTCGCAACCACCCTTCTTGTGGAACATGCACAGCACGGTCTTGGGGTCAACGCCAAAGGGCACCTTCTGGACTTGAACGGGCTTGAAGAGTTCTGCGGCTTCCTTCTTAGCCAGATCAGAGGCCTTCTTCTCAGCCTCACGCTGGAGTTTCTCGGCCGCCTTTCGCTTTTCATCGGGAGTTTTGTTGGAGTGGGATTGCGCTTGCAACTGCGTGATCTGTTTCTTGGCGGCACCTCCTTTTTTCTGTGGGTGGGTGTGTTAGTATGCGTTGGCGGAGTTGTGATATAAGCGTATTTAGAATTTTTTTTTTTTTTGGTGACGTACATTTTTCATGCCAAAGGTCTGTAGAGAGATGAAGGGTTAGTATATCGCTAGTTCTGGGGTAAAAATTTTTTAAATAAGTAATCCAGGAAAAGACTTACCTTGTCATCGACGGATTTCGTCTTCTTCTTGGGCGCGTCGGCCTTCTTGGGTGGCATAGTGACGGATTGGGCTCGTGTGACGAGCGGTTCAAATGTTTTAAAAAGAGAGAAAGATGCGCCCGGTCGCGCAAGTCGCTGTTCAAAATTTCAAAGAACGCTGATGCAACTCAGGAGGAAGCCAAAGAAAATCCCAAGAAACTCAGTAAAGAGGTGAGGATATGGGAATCGACAAGAATCGAGTTGAAAGAGAGAGAAAGAGAGAGCCTCCACAAATTCGAGGGGTGAGAGTGTGGCGGCACAATCTGTGACTGACCAATGACCGCCCGGGCCCTTCAAGTATATCCCAAGGGTTTGACTCGACCCAAATAGGATTATTTAAGATGGTTCGGGGTTAATCAAGAAAAGGGGAAAATATCACCGAAATTAGAATACGTGGATTTTTTTAAAATTGTGGATTTTTCATGATATCAACTCGCTTTCTACTGTAAATTCATGGTGAAAGGACGTGGGTTGTTCGGCTGGGAAGCCTTTGCGTCATAGCCCCAGTTCTGCTCCCACACATCAGTGGGCATGACTAGGTATGCGAGAGGGAAAGGTCTATTAACAAATTCAACCGTTTGTCCATACAAAACTTTTACAATTAGGGCTACGAATTGACCTTCAAAGATTTTCATAGCCAATTTAAAGAAACAAAGAAAAAATCACGAGGGTCATAGCAAAGATTCTCAATTACTGGGCGACATTTAACTACATCGTTCGGAAAGATATGAATCCCGGAAGATGATTATCTACCTAGGTTGTAGATAAATCAATTCAAATTCAGCTGAGCCTGGTCGCTTTGCTCTACACAAGGGGGATCCCGAGTAATCCAAGGAAAATAAAGTAACCGGCACGCCATCCCGCAGGCACCTAGAAGCGCCCGTGTTTTTTTTCATTTCTGGTCGTCATAAATATTTCGCAGAGGATAAAATTCTGTACTGTTTATTTAAGAAACCTCCTGGATCTTGGAAGACTTCTCCTCCTCAAGCTCGGGAAGATCATCCTGTATGTGTGGTTAGCGAGTCGTTTCATTTGTAGTATATATTCCAGGAAAATCACTCACATCCTCTTCATCCTCAGCACCCTCAGCGCCGGGCATACCAGGCATGCCAGGCATGCCACCAGCACCGCCCATAGCACCAGCCAGGGCGCTCAGGTCGGGCATGCCACCCTCGCCGCCGCCCATACCGCCGAGCTTGGAGAAGTCGATGTTGCTCAGGCCACCGCCCTCGCCGCCGGGGCCACCCTCGCCGCCGAAGCCACCGAAGTTGTTGGCGTAGTCGTCCTCGGCAGCCTCGTCCTGCTCATCCTCATCCACCCACTTGAATCAGGTTAGCCCACCGTTATGTGGCCAGTATCCAATTAAGGCCGTAAAGCACATACCTTGTCGAAGTCGGTCTTCAAGAAGTGGACCTTCTTGCTGTCCTTCAGCAGACGAGGCCAGAACTCCTCCTTCAGCTCCTTCTTGCGCAGCACCAGCTCAACCTCGCGGTCGGTGTGGTTTACTTTGCTGTTCTCGGGGTCGATCTCGCCGAAAAGGTCCAGGGAGACGGAGTATGTGACACCCTTGCCGGAAGGGCCAGTGAAAGAGACATTGGTGGGGTTAAGTTTGAGGGAAGCCTTGTCCTTGGGGACATCGGCAGCCTTGAGGCTCACGTAGAGGTAGTTGCGCTCGGCATCATCGGCCGAGGAGCGCTGAGCCCAGGTGACTAAAAATCAACAATTCTCTTGTTAGCCATTTCTGGATTTTCATCTTTTTGAAACCCTCGACATCACACCCGACTGAATTGCAAGACACCCTTCTCCGCCAACTTTTCAGGGACTGAAATAACGTCATAGCGGTTGTCATTGCAAAATGTGCAGGTCCGAGTGTTTGGGGCAGGGCGGGGAAGTTAAAAGCTGTCACATCCTACCTTCGGGGTGCACGGTAGCCATAGTAAAAAGGTGAAGGGATGGTTATCCGGAAATATTTCAAAGATTTAAAAGAAAAGAGAAATGAAGCTTGGAGGAGATGGGATGCTGAGAGTGGGAGAGAGAAAGAAAGAGATGCTCACTTTGGACGCAGTACCGCTTTCACCAGTGCTAGAATGTACTGGAAGCACAGGCGGGCGCTGTTTGTCAGGTTTGCTCTCACTTCGAAGCCTTGTTTCTCAGGCTCATAACGTTTGTGCATTCGCCCGTGAACGTCACAGGCATGACTAAGCCAGTTCTTGACCCCCTCCACCAGGTTGCCGCAGACATCGCAAACCCAAATAAGAAGCACATAGGGGACGAGTATCCATATCGAAGGGCTTTCTGCATAATTCTGTGGCTACCTCGATACCAAATCGTCAAGACCATCCGGAAATCCAGCCTTTGATCCATGTCACACGCATAGACAACACCAAACACCCCACGTCATTACACACGTTGAACCTCCGATCTACGTTTCGTCCAGATCAGCTTAGACAATTCAAAGTACTTCCTTGACCTCTTGAAACCCTTCCAGAGCCATTAGATATATCGTCATGGAGACCTTAAAGGCAGTCTTCTTCGGGCCTGACCCTCAAGTCCAGGTAGGATAATTTGACCTTCTAGATTCAACAATCGGTTAACACCGCATTCAATTTGCTGACTGGTGGAAATTCAGATGAGAAAATGCAATGCCCTCATTCGCGCAAACACACGACAACTCGATCGGGATCTTGCTCAACTAAAAGCCCTCGACAGTAAGACCCGACAATACATCCTCAATGCCTCCAAGCGAGCCCAGCGAAACCCGTCACAGGCCAAACAAGCAACTAGCGAAACCAAAACCTTTGCTCGAGAACTAGTGCGGATCCGAAAACAATCAACAAGATTGAATACCAGTCGAGCCCAACTGCAGAGTGTTGGGATGCAGGTCAATGAAGCTTTTTCCGTTCGCAAAATCCAAGGCAGTCTGCAGAAGTCGACCGCTATCATGAAAGATGTTAATACACTGGTGCGAATGCCTGAACTGTACTCTACTATGCACCAACTCTCTACGGAGTTGATCAAAGCTGGGATCATCGATGAAATAGTGGAGGATGCTATGCCTGCCAATGAGTTATTGGAAGAGGAGGAGGATGAAGCCGAGGCAGAAGTGGACAAGGTGCTCCAAGAAATCTTACAGGGCAAGCTTTCTCAGGCACCCGTCAAGCTAGAGTCGCCTATCGAGGAGGCACCCGTGGCCGAGCCCGAGTTCGAGGATCAAGAAGCAACCCTTGAACAAATGCGAGGTCGGCTTGAGGCTTTGAAGAGCTGATGGATCATGGATTGCATTATCGTCTTTTTTTATCGCGTGTATTCCCCCTTTCCTTAAAGCGCCTCATCTGCCCAAGCCGTCTTGTTTATTGAGTTCCATTTGGAAGGAGTTCAGAGTATGATTCAATTATCTGTATCTACAGGCTGGACCTAAGAACCCATTCTTAAACGATTATGTTGCAATTTCATTTATATGTTTCAAGCTTGAGTGTACTGTCAATGATTCTATTCATTAATTAAAAGTAAATATATATTTGCACATAGCAGCTAGCGCTCCCTTGGCTTGCCTTAGGCTTGTTCAGAATATGACTCAACAATAGGCTTTGACTGATATTGTTGTCCACAGATGGAGTGACATATACAAAATTATACATAAACCAACGCTATGTAAATTGAATTATTGACTTTCATACATATTTGAACCCCAAATTCAAATTGATCACCGGCCAGGTTTGTCCCGTACTGTATTGCCTTGACCACTGGCCGTCTTTGCATGGGTGTACTTCGGGGGCTCGGCGATAATGATATCAGCCTCTTTGCAAACAGAGCAAACTACGAGGTGCCCGACTCGCCAAAAATAGCCTAGCGCGCCGCCCCGGTGATTCCCTCCCTTTCTCCTGACCCCATTCACCCTCTTTGTCCTCACTGCGTTGGTTTTTCTCTTCATCTCGATAGGAAAGCCTTTTTCATCAACGTCTTCATCTCTCTCGACTATTTTTTCTTCTCTCACAACCACACGCAGACTATCGCGTTTACTCCCCACAGACGCGTCCTTATCGCGACTTAATACCAGTGAACGATCTGCCAGCTTTTCTCTCATCCTTCCCGCAACAACATCATCATGTCTGCCAACCTCGATAAGTCGCTGGATGATCTCGTTGGCAACCGTCGCCAGAGTGCTCGCCGTCGTGGTAACCGCCGTGCTGCTGCCGCTCCCAAGGCCTCCGTGGGAGGCGTGAAGAAGTCCGCCAAGGCTCCCAAGGCCAACGCGAAGGCTGTCCACCCTACTCCTGCTGCTGCTACTGCTTCCAGCAAAATCATCGTGAGCAACTTGGTATGTCATCGCCAAAAGCCTCAACACTACTGCGCAATCAAAGCTAACTTCTCCAGCCTGCCGATGTGACTGAGGCCAATATCAAGGTATGTTGATCCAAAGGCCTGCGCTTTGGCTGTGATCGCCATCTTTGCTTTCGAACCAGAGGTTCAACAACCTCCGATTCAGTGTTTCGACCTGTCACTCCTCATATACCCCCCATGGTAGTTGTCGCTCAGCGCATGGCAAAGACGGGTTGCTCCTTCCAAAAATGCTTCTGCGCACAGTGGTTGGCATCTCGCGAAGCAGGAAGTTGAGCACCGTCTGAGTACGATCTTTGATGAAGTTTTGCTGCTTGCGTCGATGCTCTTACAAGAGCGATCCGCTTGCCTTGCAACTCTTCAGTACTATGCCAAGAACAAGGATTGAGAGATCCTTGTTCTGACTTGCTTTTCGCAGTCTCGCTCCACTCTTTTCCTACTTCTTGTTGTGAGCTTTTGAGGGACATCAGCGAGCGCACCAGTGAACCATTGGAGATTTTAGGGTGAAACACCCTGCCGATAGGCTTGTCTTCGCGAATTTTTCCGGAGACCACTACTTGTGGGGTGAATCCCACATAGTGACATAAGACGGTGACACTACATCTTATCTGCGACCAAGCCCATCAAATAAATAGCGATCACGAGAGCGCATGATCAAACTCCTGGCAGGAAATACGCAGTGGGCGTGAGCGTGGGCGTGCGTTTACAAAAGTATTCCTGGGAGAACATACCTTGTCGTTCGAGGACTAGTCGCACACAATCATCAGATTGATGTACCGAGGGATGCTTATGAATGATGTGGCCAAATGTCGGAGGGGGTGTGGGTGTCAACGACCGTGAATAGTGCAAATTATCCAAGAGCGGGGCACTCTTGTACATGATGCTCTCTTAACAATGACTTTGTATCTGGGATTGGGGCGTATTTATGGATCGCCGCTGTGTGCTCGCTGATGCTCTCGCCGATGGATTGTTTCGTTCACAGTTTCGCCGTTGTTTTACCTTCAACATTCGATCGCCGTCGATACAGCTGAATCTGTCAGACGAAAATACTGATCGTCTCTCTACACTATAGGAATACTTCACGAAGTGTGCAGGTCCCGTCAAGAGGGTCATGCTTACTTACAACCAGAACGGTACCAGCCGCGGTATCGCTTCAATTATCTTTGCCAAGGCCGACACTGCTGCTAAGGCCGCCAAGGAATTGAACGGTCTGCTTGTTGATGGACGCCCCATGAAGGTCAGTAAAACCACACTTTGATAAGCCTGAGTCGTCAAATGACTAACAGCGTCGAATAGATCGAAGTCGTATTCGACGCTTCTCACGCCCCCGCGGTTCCCGCTTCCAAGTCACTTGCCGATCGTATCTCTGCGTTAGTTTCTATCGCCCTCTTCTCACCCATAATTCTCAACATATACTTATCGATATAATAGCAGCCACAAAGCCAAGCCCAACCCCAAGCCCGCAACTGCTAACAAGGCTGCCAATGCTACTGCTGGCCGTGGCCGTGGCCGTGCTGCACGTGGCAAAGGCCGCAACCCTGGTCGTGGCAAGCCCAAGTCTATGGAGGAGCTCGATGCTGAAATGGTCGACTACTTTGCTGGTGGTGAGGCCCCTGCCGCCAACAGCGCTCCTGTCAACGGTGCCGCTCCACAGGCCAATGGTGGAGAGGACCTTGGTATGGCTGAAATCTCAGTAAGTAGTTCCACGGTGTCGTACATATTACGGATCTAATGCTAACCAAATAATTAGTAAATTGTTTGAACACATTATTCCCGACTTTTCTGCTGTTTCTGCAATGGGCTTCGGAATTTTTACTGGGGGAATTTGATAGTTGATGCGCAGGTCATATCTTCTGCCGTTCTCCTCGTTCCTTTATCTCTTCTCGCTTCTGCTTCTGCGTGCTTTATTCACAATTTTCTTTTTCAACTTTCTCTCAGTACTGCACCTAATTATTTTAACTTTTGTTGCAGAATGCATAGGCAGAGGGCATGTATCTACAATAACACAAAGAACATCCAAAGGATCACAAACATCTTCTAGCTGTATATTATTAAGATCGTCAACAACTTCAAGGCTATACACCCTGGACTTTCCAATACTGGTCAAGAAGTTTTACACTTAGGAAAAGAAGCTTAAGAAGCATTCTCAGAATATCAAAAAAGGCGATCGGTTTCTCAATGCTATGCAGATATCAAAGCCACAGAAACATAACTCCAGACCCAGCCATATGTCCATGCCAAGAAAAATAACCCAATTGACCTAACTGTACAAAAAACATACCTCCTTCTCAAGCGCAAGAAACCCACCTAATCTAGAAAACCCCAGCACGCGACATGACATCATGAAATTGCTCCAACGTAACCCCCGCATTCAATCCAGCTCCCCCATTCGCCTCCATTATCATATCCTTGAGCAAATTATCATCAACCGAATCTTCCTTCAACTCGCGCGCAATGCGCCGCAAGTGACCCAGCGAGATTGGCCCAGTACTCCCTTTTGTAAAGAGGTTGTATGCATCATCTACCTCCGCAGCCATGGAGTCGTCGTCGCGAGAGCGCAATTTCGCAGCTGCGACTGACACAAACGGACTGTAGGGTATGTATCCTGTGAGTGTGGGGTCGAGTGCGGAGAGAATCTCTGAGAGTTCCGTTGAGTCTTCTGGAGGGAGGCCGAGGGCCCTAGACAAGTTATGGACGTTAGTAAAGCTGTTTCAATATCATATTGTATGTTTGTAAGAATGGAGAACCGGGGTTAAGTCGGGGTCCCATACACCAGAGCTTTGCGCACATCCTCCCGTGGAATGACACCTTCTTTTTCATTTGGAAAGTCCTTATGCTTATCGGCGAAGAGTTGGAAGACCTCTTTTATCTCGTTCTCTTCTTCGGCGCTGATATTGTTATCTTTTGCGAGTTTGGAGGGGCGCGCGCGCTTCGGACCTGCGGAGGTGCTGGGGGGCGCTCCGCGCCTCTTGGGAGGCTGTGAGGAAATCTTTAGTATTGACACTTCGAATTGTAGTTGTGTAAGGAGAAAACTTACCATATCGCTCACAGGGAGAGAAGACTCCACTTGAATGTTCGGTAATTCGAGATCAAGCTGTGGGAGGATGTAGTGATGTAGATCAATGAATGCGACGGTGTGGAGATGAATACGGTGAGAACTGGCATAAATAGTGAGTCTATATGGAGCTTTTCGAACAGTCGTCCTTTGGGACATTTGGTCAAATGAAAATATACCCAGAACGTTGACTTTTTATTGATTGACAGAGATTGTTTGACGTGAGAGGCTATTTGGGAATGATTACACTTCGTTCAACCTCGAGTAAGGACAGCTTTTCTTCTTCTTATTCTTTCTTTCTTGCTGGTTATGTGGGCAGCCACCCCGACAGTAGCAGATGGCACAAACATCCCTGATGACTCAAAGTTGAAAATCTACTTATATTTTACTACTTCATGATCCTTATAGGTAGTGTTACACGGTTAAGGCTCTATACCTGGAGGCGTAGTAAATATATGAAAAAAGATATTGTATTATTCTCACAATGTCCACTGTTTGAATCCCCCTCTAAACTCACTTGTTAGTATAGTGCAGAACGGCTATAGGACTGCCCTGGTATTTGCATGTGTATTAATGCATCCAGTATATCTTAAATATGCACTGTAAAACTATTTCACCACTTTTCTCCACGCCCGCCGGTGGTGCCATGATGTGAACACAAAGAGCTAGGTGAACGTAATACATAAATCCATCATCATAATCCAACGCTTCTAAAGCCGATAACGTCAACGCTGATTGCCCTGAGATCTGTTTATGGATTTGAACTCTCGATCGCTGACTCCCTGGGTTTAACTGTAACATAGAAAGGCTCGCCTGGGTACCGCAAAAATGTCCTGCTGAACCAAACCAACTCAGCGTTAGGGTTGGTCGCGGACACCTTAGAGCATAAGTTAGTAATTTGAAGATGATGAGGCATATGACTGGAACGAGATGAAGATAACAAATAAACATACCTCGAAGTGCATCAAAAGTGTTGCAATAATCTTTCTCATCTGCGCGATCGCAAAATGCTGGCCGATGCAAAGATGCTTACCCATTCCAAAAGTCATCAGACCGCGATCCATACGGCCTAGGCTCTCTTGGGAAGCCTCTGTCCATCGCTCTGGTCGAAAGTCATCGCTATCCAAGCCAAAAACACTTTCATCACGATTGATAACACCTGGAAGACAGCCAACTGTTGTTCCACCTGGAATAAGAGTCCCACTCATCTCTAGTCCATCGGATGGAGTGACGCGGTCAAGATTAAATTGGACAGGAGCAGCAAGTCGCAGGCTTTCCTTTATCACGGCATTTATATATGGGAGCTTCGCCAGTTCCTTCAGAGTTGGAGGATAAGAGAGCTCCTGCATCTCAGACGCTTCCTTCATTTCGCGCTCAATATTATCCAGAATATCTCGATTTCTGACGATCTCAGACAGTCCATATGTAACTGTGAATGCAGTAATATCCGAGCCTCCAATAATTGTGCTGAGTGTCATCCCAAGTACCCGCTCGGGAGAAATCATATCTGGTCGCTGCTCTCCTGCCTCAATGTAGAGGTTGAGGAGATCGATTTTCTGCGAGTCGGGCTTTTCTAATCGTGCATTCAAACAGTCTCGCCCCAGACGAACGATTTTCCAGTTCAAGCCGACCAAAAAGCCCATTGTCCAGGATAGCCAACTCATGATAGTTGGAATTGCGTGGACACGCGCCCACATTTGAGTGATAACTTTGGTAATGTGCAAAGATCCATCTACATCGATACCGTGATCCATAAATCCGGGTTTGGCGGAAAAGGCTACATCGTTCATCATGTCGGCAAAGTAGTAAACGAACCATTCCCCTGCATCAAAGTTGCCGCGTTTCCCCACTTGATTAATGAATTCAAGAGTAACCTGGTCTATCTTAGACTCATAAGTGGCAACTGAACTAGGGGTAAACCCCTTGAGAACCATTCTTTTGACTGCTGTGTGCTCATTTTCATCGAGAATGGCTTCCAAGCCGCTGATGCTCTTGCCCTTGTACCAGAGAACCATAGTTTTGAACAAACTCCCCTGGATAGTATCTTATGTCAGTATCTAATTCCCTCAACCAATTTTAAGTATATTTGACCTACCTTGTTCAAGACTGGATTTGTCTGATATACTTTTTTCGCGTTCTCGGCGCCCCCCACACTGAGACTGTTCGGCCCGTTGCGAACGAATGGTCCATGCTTTCTATGCCATTCCAGCATAACATCCACATAGTCTCCTTTCCAGTGACGATACACTTTCCACCAATCTGTGTACCGAGCAAGGGTCGGTCCATGGAATGCAGCAAGTTTCCTGTCAACCTTGATCAAATAAAAGAGATACAATATTCCCAAAAATATGGTAACAAATTCCATCGACACCATAATGGCCAACTTGGTGGGGTTTGATTGAGTCGAACCAACAATCCAATGTGGGAAAGGCAAAAAGTAATTCACCTGCCTTATATGCTATGTGTCTTATGCATCGGGTCTACGGAGAGGGGCACATTATCTGAATATGCAGCCAGGAATGCAACATGAACTTACCTGCCTACTAGTACCAATTTAGGGAGGTACCCAGAGAAGTAGGTATCGATGAATGTAATGGCCATCTGTATACAGTACAGTATGTATGATGACTGTAAAATTCACAAAGAGCAAAAGCAGGAATACGTGCCCGCTGCGAAGGCAATGTGGAGACTGTATCCACTTCGACCCAGACACGGGCCCGTTCCCCTGTAGATTCTAAGGTTCCAGTCGTCTTGAACAGTAATGAATTGGGAGTTATTTATCGAATTTCCAAGTATCTCGAGTTCGCCACAATTACCCCTCTCAGCTGATGGTATTGCTCTCAATTCGAATTCAAGGTCGTTCGACTACTCAACTTCACAGAGGCATTCGTGAGGCGCATGGCGCCATGCATATCCCACATCTTATAAGCGCAGATTTCTTGAATCCTCTGGCCCCTGGGGCGGCCCCCCAATTGAGGCAAACTAGACGTCAAACCAATCTTTGCACATATGAATTATGAATCAGACACGAAAAAGTTCGACTTTCTTGAGTGCAGGCCAACGGCTCCCCGAAAGCAAGGATGGGACCATGGGTGTTTCTTTGAAAAAATCTCATTTAATGATTTTATTGCCGTTTAGAAGCCCCGAGGGCCTTGAATACAGTATTATTCGTTCACAAGATACAAAGAAAGCTGTCTCGTGTCATTCTAGACCTCTATTTCCAGGTGGAGTATGAGAACACCCCAGTCGGTTGAAATTTTGATTTACTATAGGCCTAGTGCAACCCGGTTTAGGGCGAATGCACGACAACTGGGGGCGATTTCATCTACGGGTCAAATCTCATCCTGCAATTTAAACCGATAATACCATGTGGGCGAACGTGAATTAGTTTCCCATAGCAAGCGGCCCGTCTCAGGAGCCATGGGGATCACCCGTTTATCGATGATGGGTCCACTTCACTCGTGGACTGCGATTATTTCAAAATATCTACTGATGGTGGTACTGTCCTCCACAGATGATAATCTGTACACGCAGGACAGACCCCAGGAGACGGGCTGAAATATTTCAAATAGATTGCAGTTCTATGTATGAAGACCCACCTAGAATTCAGGACAAAGAACCGTTGCACTGGTTTTCTTTTCCGTATGTATCTGTGGCTTCATGCACATGTGGCAATTAAGACGTGCTCCGAATGTCATAATTTCAGGATGTTTTCAAATCGATGAGGGAAGTGTCGCGATTATCACCCGCTTTCTGGAAACATTTCCCTTCTTTTATGCACCTAATGCTGCAAGGCCACGAAACAGAAAGCCCGATACCCACCAAACTGGGATCATCACCACGTTTTCGATCTAATGCAGCTAAGGAAGTTATATCTTGCGCTTTTCGCCTATCAGCGAAGCTACATCCGAATTGAGTAGGAGATGTACTACTCCGTACGTGTCTCATGATATCTTTACAGTGCTAGCCAGAGCTTCTTAAATTCAAGGATATTTCGGGATTTCTGGACTCACATGGACTTATGGAGGAGCATGCATAGCCGGTACTATTGTATCTTATATGGCATTAGTATATATAGTGCCGATGTCTACCCCGAGCGCATGATTCTCGAAAAAATTGGAATCACGTGTCCATACATTCTTGTGTCTCTTCAAAATTATCCTTAATTCAAGCTCAAATGTTACACAAAATGGGACCCTATACGGACATATATTCATTCTTTGCCGATGAGAGATTCTCTTGTCTGGATTATCTACATGACTCGGAGCTTGATACAGCCAGTCGCTCTCGCGTCTGCGAGCAGATGGACGACATCCTGGACTTATTCTTTCGAGTGACACAATGTACATACCTTCGTTTCGAGAAGGATACGCATTTACGGAAGGAGCTATGGGAGTGGGCAGAGAAAGAATTGACTCAAGCCACCTCATATGACATAGAGGCTCTCAATCCTGTCCTCGAAGCGGCCGCATCATTCACCGAGTCTTGTTACCCTCTAGCCTCGAATGAGATGAGGTTTTCCATGTCCAAGGGAACAGCATTCATTGTGGCGTTGGACAGTTACCTGGTCCACTCAAATGTGAAAACGAACCTCGCGGAATCCCAAAACCGTCTCAACGCTGGCCTCGAGCCCCTCGATACCTTCTCAGCGGCCTACTCCACTTTCACAAAGAGCGTTGCTCAAATGTATGGCTCAAGCAATCCATTGGTTGGCACACTTGCCGCTAATGGATGGAATCAGCACGTCGAGGGCTGGTGTTTGGAAGAACAGATGCAAGAGGCGTATAAATACACACAATCGGGTGGAAGCGCCTCCCAAAGTCTCCGCATATGTCATTTGGAAGACTTCCCATACTATCTCCGATCCATTACTGGTGTACCCATTCCGTATATTACCGGAATATTCAAGCCAACCCGGGAGTTGGAGGTTCCGTACACGCTTTGGATGTCTTGTTTCCCCGCACTAAAGGTTTTCGCTTGTCTCACCAATGATTTGTTTTCGTATCCGAAGGAATTGGTTGGCGGCGAAGAGTTTAATTACATGAACATCCAAACCAAAACAAAACAAGACGCGGGATGTAAATCTCAATTTGTGGAGAACATGCCGTGGACCTTCAGGGATACTTTGTACGAAGCTGTGACTCGTGCGTCCAATTGTGTGCATGCGATAGACGAGGTCTTTCTTCCGCAGCGCTCCGGGTCTAAACCAGGGGGGCCCGGTCGGGGTCTTGACTATGAGTTTCAGTTGGCGGCTACTTTGTGGTCACTATTTAAGCAAGGATACATTTCATGGCATATTCGGTGTCCTCGATATAAGCTTGAGAGTCTCAAATCTCGCTTTGAAAGTTCTGGGCAGGTTTTCTGAAAATTTCCGATAATTATGGGTGGCTCTTTGTGTTTTTTATCTTTGTTTATTTTCAATATTTCTTTACATGCAGCTTGACGTCGTTAACGGGCCGATTTTAAGACTTGGATTTCAAAATTAAATTACATTTCTTCTTATTCTCCACCGATTGCATATGTGGTACTTTTTGACTTGCCCGTTGCGCTTCTCATTTGCAATCCCCGAAACCTAACAAAGGATTCCAAGGTTGGAGTCTTAGAAAAAGCCCCGGAGCGAAGATCATAGACGAACGCGGCTTCGTGCAGATTCCTGTTGCGCTGAACGGGTTCAATCATACCATTGCGGTTCGTATTCCGTACTCCATATGCCGTTCCTAGGAAACCTGCTTTGCTCTAGAGTATCCACGTTCGCTATATCTACGTAATTCCATTTTAGGGTTGACTTTAGGCAACACATTGCTGCTTGAACTCTTGTTTTTCTTTCCGGAAAATAGACCCATTGTTACCCGCCGTAGCGTATCACCATAGCTTACTCAGTCGTGCATTAGCGTCAATCGCATGTATACCCCATCCCCTGAGACAGGCAGCTTTTAGTGCTTTCGCTATGAGTTAATACGCACACAGACTACGCGTTTTAGTTGCAAGGTAATGTAATACAGATTCTTTATCGTAATGGAAATGATGGTAAACGCTAATTAAGTTCGCCCGAGGTCACCAAACGCCCATTGAAACAACGGACTACTTGTCAGCGAAGACAAATCGGTGGTCTGGATCATCAGCTGCATGTCCCAGCTCGCTCCGATCTTCTTGCGCTTGGTAGAAGACCCCGCAGAAGGTGCAGCTCCTGCTGGCATTATTACAGTCAAGCCATCATTTAGCCCAAAATGCATTTGGAAATGAGAGACGCTCCCTAAGTCCGGCCCGAAATCAAAATCATACACCTTCCAGTCTCGCCAACTGGAGACAGAGAAATCTGATGCCTGCATATTGATTGCATTCCAAGCTTTTTGTTGGGGCAAGTATCCAAATAGACTTCGCACATAGCGATTGTCAATGGCCAGGACACTTTGTCGGATTCGAGCTGCAGTCATGCTGATTTGTACCAAATCTTCGGGTGTGATGCCCAGCTTGCCAGCCTGAGAGGGGTTGCGAATGTGTAATTTATCCTCTGATGAGCCCAAGCCAACGAGAGAGCGGACTGCAGTAATCATGTTTCCCAAATAGTGGTCCGGGAAAGGCGGCTCGACTCGAGAACGCAGGTTGACAATCGTGGTTAACTCAGTATCATGACTGTCTTTTTTGCTGTGGCATTTGCCCCGACATATGGCAATAAGAGCGGACACAACATCATTACTCGATACGTACGATGGCCAGTCCGCACATTTTGTATCGGAAAGAATCCGATTACATGCGTCTCTTAGATCATTAAGTTTTTGGGCTGATAGCTGAAGCCGACAACTTGTCAAGTTGGTGGCAAATGATTCCACCATAGTGGACCATCCAGCTGATGAAAGACACGGAACGGTTCCGGCGGCATTGTATGACTTTGAATGGTCGATGTCTGCATCCACACCAACGCTGAGAAGGGCCATACCCTCTCGTGAAATCTGATCCGACAAAGTGAAAATCGGCGAACTCAGATCACGATTGGGTGTTCGACAACACTCAGCTAGCGCTTCCAAAATCGTCCCTGCACCACTGCCATCAAAAAAGGAATGATTGATCGTCATGGCTAGAAGAATGCCGTCTTCCATGACGTTGGCGGCAAATCGTACGATTGGTCGTCTTTCCTGTGGATTGATGAAATCAGGCAGCGGCGCGCATTTCTTTGCCAGATGTAAATTTTCCATACCACTCCTGACTTTTTTGGATGCAATCTCTCTGAGAGAGAGTTCTGGGTGGTATTTTACTTGCAGCATTGGTAGAGGATTTATCTCTTTGTCCGGATCCACCACGGACTGAAGATTCTCATGCCCATCCGCCTTTTCGTGCAGGATTATATCTCCTGCTAGATATGGAAGACGATGTAGAAGTTTGACGATGCCTATCTTGATTGATAGAAGACCATCATCTATATTTTCTAGCGCAAAAGACAGAAAAAAGGAGACGTAGATCTTTGGAATGGTGTGGTCCAATGGGGACAAGACGTAGGGCGGTACATCAAAGGTGACCGTCATGGTTCCAGTTCGCTTTCTTCTTCGCAGGAAGGAGTGGGCTGTGGATGAGAATATCTGCGGGGACATTGTACAAATGATCGTTATTTTATAGAGTATGCTGGTAATCCTGTATTCCCTGTACAGTGTATACAGCCGAAGTATTCCAGCATGTGGATAAATCGGACATTACAACTTGAACCACATCCCGGGTGCCTCAGCCTTGGAAGCGACTACCACCATCTTGGAATTTCCAGTATATGCATCTGTCTCAACTGGGTAGGCGCGTATGGCACCTGTACCAAAATAATGTGCTCTGTAAAGTACAGTAATGATTCAAATTCGTTTTTATCGGATCATATTTGACCATGCATAATATGTGGGCCTGTCTACATACTTGTAAGCCACTGCAGTAGCCCCCACTTGCCAAAATAACTTCCCCTATGCATGCTTAGCCGTACATAAGCGCTTGGATCAGGACAAAGAGAACTGCCTATAGCATACGGTATTATATGGCATAAATGTAGTTATCTGATTCTATTGGCCCGCGGAAGAGTGTCAGAAGATCCGAGAGCCCAGGTCATATTGGAAAAGACGGGACTTAACCCTACCATACTCATCCGTACTGCTCGTGTGCGCTGTACAACTTGTATCCCCGCACTTTTTCTGAGCTCTTATTTTCCGCATTCTGAGTTCGCAATTAGACGACCCACAAATCTTCATTTGTAAATACCGGTTGTAACAACTGTTTCCCTCAGGCTGCCGGTGCTCCCACTTTCCCACTAAAACTGGGGCGATCAATCTAGTAGTATTTATCTTGTCACCGCGCCTCAAACATCACCTGAATCTTCTAAGTACATACTTTTATGGAATTCGTTTTATTACAAACTCTTCTCAATCACTCTTTTTTGTGCTTTTCATATTTATACTACCTCGACCTTTAGTACATATAGTTTTCCTAAGTTTCTGTCTTAGAATGTAAAATTGTTGCCCGGGTGGGTCTAAATTCAATTTCAGACTTGGTTTGGGGGCGGCCTGTCGCTGAGTGGAAATTCCAATACTTCCAAATGATCCATGAGTACATAAATGCCCAGTGAGTAGATTATGAAGGTAATCAACAACAGGAACTCCGCATTTAAAGCGATGTATACGAGGTCCAAATATTTGAGTAGATACTCGTCAGTATGATGTTGACATATTATCATCTTTATCACGACCTGCCAAACGCTTTTAAGGGGCTGATTGGTGACCTCGCACTAAGTTTAGTCATCTCTTCACATAACCTTGGAATTAAGCATATTTCTATTTACATGTATGCACCATCTTCATGTATTTAGAACGCATCAGTCCACATAGAGTTTAGGCCAGATATTTAGTCACGTGAAAGCCACTTCAAACATTTGAAGGTCGCAAGGGCTGATTTGACCACTGAACAACAACGAGCAGTGAATGACACTTGATTTGAAGACTCACAGAAGATTAGTCTATTTAAACCAGCTAAAAACAATTAGACAACAAAGAATATCTCTTTTCAAAACTTCCTATTTCTCAATACAGTAGGAAAATCGACAGTAGAAAACAATCGAAGGCCCCCGAAATCAGAGCTGACGTGATCCGACCGCTGCCTGTGCAGCTCACAAGGTTATCAACTCGATTCGGCCCTTATCAAATTCATCTCGAAATAAAATCAAGACACACCAGCCATGGATGTTGAACTCTATGTTTATGACCTTTCTAAAGTGAGACTTCTACAACCATGTTGCCATCGGGGTTTACTAACCATCTGCTAGGGTCTTGCGCGCATGGTACGTAAAAATGAGTGCCCACCCAGTTTACATTCAATATCTAGAAAGATAACTTATATGACATCATTTTCAGTACTCTGCTCCCTTGACAGGGACTCAGATTGATGCTATCTATCACACCGCCATCGTGGTCGGTGGCATGGAATATTACTTCGGCCAGGGAATCCAAACAGCCCTCCCTGGTTCCACTCACCATGGACAGCCGATCGAGAAGGTACACCTGGGGACAACAGAGCTTCCCACCGACGTGATAGAAGAGTATGTCAGCTCGTTGGCTGATATTTACACGCCAGAGGTGTGTTATCATGTATCAAATGCTGTGTGACAAGACACAATGAACTCTAACAACCACATAGTCATATGATCTGTTTCTGCACAACTGCAACAACTTCAGTCAAGATTTTTCCATGTTCCTCGTGGGCAAGAGCATTCCGGATAAGATCATAAACTTGCCGCGTACATTCCTGGATACCCCATTTGGACAAATGATGAAGCCTCAAATTGAGGCTGCTTTGAAAGGGGTTACCCAGGGAGCCGAACCGAGTCCCTTTGGAGGGCCGAGTGCTGCTCCATCAGCACCAAGAGCTCCACCTGTACCTGCGGCCTCTTTGGCATTAGGTACAGTGAGAAATGTCAGCAACTTGAGCCAGCTCGAAGGTGAGCTGGCCGCGGCATCAAATTCATGTGCGGTCATTTTCTTCACCTCGTCGACTTGTCCACCTTGCAAGGTTGTATACCCTACATATGACGAACTTGCAGCCGAGGCCGGTGACAAAGCTAGACTCATCAAAGTCGATATCGGCTCTGCCTATGATGTGAGCATGAAATATGGCGTGCGCGCAACTCCCACATTTATGACATTTCTGAAAGGGCAGAAACTCGATGAATGGTCAGGTGCCAATCCTGCACAGCTGCAGGGAAACGTACGAATGCTCTTCCAAATGGCACACCCAAGCCATCCTCACACCCAGCTTCGACTTCCCAGCCTGCAACGACCCATCACCAATTTTGTCATGTACAAGAAGGTACCACCACTAGAGAAGCTCCTACAAAAGCTGCCAGCAGAGTTCAAGGATACAGCAAGCATTGCATCTGTCATAGAATTTATCAAGGCTCGCCATTCCTCAAACAACAGCACCCCCGCTGCAGATATTAGGGTCCCAGATCTCCACGCTTTTGCAAATAATCTACAGTCGATTTACCCAACACTACCTACCGAGAGCCACTTCGCCGTTGTGGACCTCGTCCGCCTTCTACTCCTCGATCCCCGCGTGAGCGGCTATTTCGCCGAAGAGAAGGAGCACGCAACGATCCTCACTCTCCTCTCACCCCTCTCCGAAGAGGACCTATCATCATGCCCCTACAATCTTCGCATCGTTGCACTGCAATTAGTGTGCAACCTCTTCAGCACCCCTCTGTACCCGGAACAGCTGTGCACCTCGTCCTCGTCCCTCAAAGAGACTTGTCTCCGCCTCGCAACGAATTCGCTCCTAGACTCACACTCAAACCTGCGCGTTGTAGCGGCATCTTTTGCCTACAATCTCGCTGCGTTCAATCACAATTCCCGGTTTGACGGAAAGCCCGACCGCCTCTCTGAGGAGGACCAGGTCGAGTTGCTTGCCTCGCTGTTGGAAGCCACTTCGCGCGAAGACCAGAGTCCAGAAGCTTTACATGGCCTTTTGTTTGCACTTGGATTATTTGTCTATGAGGCTCCGATGGACGGGACATTGGTTGATCTTTGTCGTGCTATGGGTGCCAGAGAGACTGTTGCTGTTAAAGGAAAGATAGCGGCCTTGCAGAAGGAGCCTTTGTTGAAGGAGATTGGAGATGAACTTTTTGGCAAGGGCTTATAGATGGTAGTACTGCTTGGGCTTGAATACTGGAGTTGCAAATATTGAATTCAGGAACGATTTTTTTTCGGAATAGTTCAAATGATACCTATAGTCTCAAAGAACCCCATCTACAGGCTGAGCCTGGTACATCCTAACTGACGCTCTCATCCAGGGCAATAATATAGCCGAGTGAAGATATTAGACCCTCGATATTCGCAGTCATGTCGGTACCTATTCTGGAGAGGCGCTTTGAAGTCCTCATCGATTTTGTATATTCGTTGTTACTCCTAATTCTTTCTTCACTCCATACGACTCAAGCATGCCACTGGGAAGTGAAGGTAGTTTAGCAGTATTTAGCCGACAACACTGGAAATTCCACAACGGTGTATTATTTAGCAGACAATTTAACCTCGTTTTGTATCGAGTGTCATGCCAAGAGCTGATGACGGAAGGGCAAAGGGAAAAGCTTGACGGCAGATTGGGATATACGAAGAAGATAAACAGGGCTGTTGGAAAGACGGATACTGGTTCCCGAAGTCTGCGGCGGGATATTTGGATAGATATTTAGTTCCGAGTTTACGTTGAATGCCTATACTGTATCTCCTCTTGAATAAATACCCATTTGGGTTATTTCTATTGCACAGTCGCAAGAAGGCTAATTTCAAGAATCAACATAATATGCCACTATTCCAATGAACGCGGAACTATAACATGCCACCTTGACACTGGCGGTATGCGATCTTCAAAAAGCCAAACCAGTAACTCTTTTCGCGCTAATTCAATCCGAACCAGAATTGGTAATCGTCGGCGGCTCCACCTCGGGACCATGGTACAAGCAGCCCTGAGATCTCCCATCTTCGTCTGATCTTCACGGTTCATATGGATCAGTCAACTCCACATATGTCAGTGGTGGAATCAGTATGGGGTAAAAGTCCCAACTTGATGGAGAGTCATTCAGAAAGTCCCTGCAGAATCCAAATCGGGAAACAATACCGCCGACGTCGGGGTTTCATCCTCCGCGAGGCTCTCAATCCACAGACAAGATCATCCCGATGGCACGAAAACAACTTTGGAAATAAACCGAAAAAGAAAACTTCACCTCGCAGGTATAACCGCGTTTAGACCCATAAATATACATCTCCATAGAAAATCCATCCGAGTACACACCAGTGAATAAAATGAGCTAATCTGACTCCACTATCACCAGATAAGCCGTTTCGACAAGCATTTAAAATGATGTGAAACTATGAAACTAATAACAAAGCAACCAATCGCGGACCCCAAAAATGATGCAATTTGCATTTTTATCCAATGTAAGAATTTCTAATCTCCTTCCAGAAGCATCAATACTATCCGAATCTCGGATTCCATACATCTCCGCCATCTCCACGGGGGTTACGTACAAGGTGCCCCGAATAAGGCCAACCAGTGCAACGTGCAACCTCGTAAACAAACAGGAATCTTTCTTTGACACGCCGAAACGAGGCACTAATCAAAAAAAGAAAAATATAAAGAGTTACGCCCCGATATACGGCAAGTTGAGAGCCTCCGGGGTCTTCTCGCAGGTAGCCGGATAATAGCCGGCTAAAGCATCGGAGCATCTACCGGGTGGCAATTACTGCGAACGAGTCCGTGGGGGTCACGGTGCGGCGGCTACAGGAATAGAATGGATATGGATACTCTATAGCCCTAGCCCTAGTGCACTGTGCACATGTATCGGATTATTTAATATTATAGGATCAAATGAAAAGAGGCAAGCTCGGATATTGGTTGCCGCTGTTGGTGGTGTTGGTTGCTTTGAATAATCCCGAGGAGCCGGAGGTGTTGATCGCCAATGAAAGAACCCGGCATGAACACATGCAACGGGTATCACTTTACTATTACTGTGACTATTACTATTAACTAGGTCGTCTTACTATTAACATTATTAATAGTCTTACTAGGATGTTGGATGTCAGTTTTTAGTGTTTGTTGGAATCCTTCGTTCCAAATAATGATTTTTTAATCGCTTTAGTGTTATTTAGAGTACAAGTGTATACTTCTTCTAGCCCCTCGGTGGGAAACACGGCCCCAGTCTTATTTATCATCTTACTGTTGCACGTCATCTGCAGGGCCGTCCGTCAGACGCGAGTCACAGTCTTCGCGATTACTAGTATGATGATGGGGCTGGTCGGGCGGACCCCATGTTAAGTTATTCTGGGATATGGGTAAGCATGAGAAAGAAAGGCACGAGCACAAGCACAAGCACGAGCAGAAATGGAAAGACTCGAAGCAACGTGGGAGCGATAAATATTTAATTTATTTAAATTTAATGTTTATATTTTAATGTTTGATCGTCGAGGTGTTACATGCCAAATGGATATGCTACGTTGCCATTTACTGCATTGTATAGTATACAAAGGGAAGGAAAAGCGAACAAAGCGACAGAAGTATTTGGTAATAAGATAGATTTGTTGTTAAAAGCTATTGCTAAGGCTACCTAAGTACTAATACTAATAGTTGGCACTGATATTGTGCGTGCCCGACAAGTAGACAGCCAACGCACATCACTCACCGACACTCGGAAGAACAAAGGTGATGTGATTGTGGCGCGTGGCGTCCGCCCATGGCGTTGATGATCACTGATAGCGCGCAGTTCGCGCGATCGGAAAGAAAGAGAAGGATCAGGAGTAAAATAAAAGATAAAATAAAGCCACATGAAAAATGTGAGTGGCATCGACGAAAATGAATAGGGATACAAGATGGGGTATTTGGCGGGGGTATCTGAGCAGGCAAAAAAAAAAAGAAAATAACAATAAAGGAAATAAAAATGGCAAACGCTGGCTAATGGGAACACACATTGGTCGTGGAAAAATAAGAACCCTGGAAAATGCGGAAAATGGGAAAAACGAAAAGAACACCGGGTCCCGCATCGGGATGCAACGGTCAGAAGACCGAAAAGGGCAAGTTAAGCTACTCGAAAGCGCAGGATATCGAGGAATTATCGGATGGAACTCGAGAAATGAGTCAACGCTCAACCAGCGGTGTGGAGTGTTTTCTTGGAAGCGCCGACAGCGATGAATTAGGTAAGCGCGGGGATATGCGGAGATCTGCGATAAGGCGCCATGCATTGATTTTGGTGTCATTGTTGCCAAAACTCAAAAGCCAAGGCCCCCAAACGTAAACGGTCCGAAAGGTCCAGGCGGTATCCGTTTGCCTGCCTAATCGCTGGGGGCGAGGGGGCCTGGTCGTTCGAGATTAGGACCCCTCGTTTGAGTTGTTGGGGGCGCGTGGATTGTCATGCGTGCACGTCACGGCTCGGGGCAGTTCCGATGTATTGGATCCCTCGGGTGAGGGGCCGGAGGTGAGTGTGGAAGTAATAGTGGAAGTGAGGGTTGAGTAAAATGTGTAGGTGTAAAAATGACACAGGCTATAGCAAAGCAATAGCGAATAGAAGAGTCAAGAGTGACATTAGGTCGGACAACGCCTGCGCTGCACCAGTGAGAGTCGGTGAGCTTAGACAACCGGTACTTTGGATGCTGAATGGGCGCGTCGTTTGCTTGGGTAAACGCGGCGTTTCTTGTTACTCTTTGGTGTCACTGTGAGGGTGGGTCGCTCGGTCGCAACGCTCTTTGCTTGTCTTAATGCTTGCTGAGCGCGGGCAATGGCCTGCACCTTGGCTAGGAAGCGTGCGCGGTCCTCATCTTCGGCGGCGGCTCGGATCTGTGCAAGCTGTTGCTCCATAGTAACTGATGAGATGATATCGGCGGGCTCTTGTGTTGTTTCTTCTTCGGGGATGGATTGTTCGGGGATCCAGAGGAGGTCTTCGTCTGAGAGATAGGCGTTGTTTACGAACAAGTCACTGGACTCGCCGCTGGATAATGAAGCCCGGTTGGGCCATGAAGGGAAAGCACATGCTGCACCCATACCGTACTCGCTGGAGAACGAAGACTTGCGTGGGTTGATATCGTAAAGTGAGTTGGTCGGGGTGGGTGGTGGTGCTGAAGGGTTTGAGAGAAGCGAGTACTCAGATGAGCTACCACTGGAAGAGAAGCTGGCATGAACTGGAGCGGTGCTGGCGACTGGAGCGACCACTGGTGCCTTGGCGAGAGCCATATCGCGAATGCGCGATTGGATGGGAATCATATTGATGTTGTGTGAAGGTTAATCCCAGAGATAGTAGACTGGAGAGTGTGAAAGAATAGAGATGATATGGAGAGAAGATGGAAATAGTAAAAGAGGGCGGAGTGGAGAGGATATAAGAAAGGTTTGTTGAAAGAAGTGGGCCAGAAAATCGAGTGGGCGAGGCGTGTGTTTATGAAGATATCAAAGCCGGGGAAAGAATTCTAGACTCCCGGCTACACCCTTGCAGTCCCGACTGAGACAAATCAAAAAACCGAATAAATCGATTTTTGAAAAAGAAGGAAAAAAAAGGATTTTCCGAATTTCCCAAAAAGAAATAAGTTCAAACTGCGCGGATGCGGCTTCCGTGCAGGTGAGGCTAGTCAATCAGGATTCAGGGATCAGCAATTTTGGACCCGTCGCTCACAGATAAATCCTGAATAGGAAGAAATAATCCAAATCCAGCAAAAAAAGAAAAGTATTTTTGACTGCCGCCCCAATCGAATGTATCTCGATGTATCAACCCTTGTCGAGACGATTTGGGTTCTTTGAATTGATACTCGTCCAGAGTACTTTGTACCATCGGCAATCTGGGCTTTGGGGTTTGTAGCGAGTAATCTCCCTTTGACTTTCGATATTTCTAAGACCTTTTGTCAAAGTCAAAAGAAAAACAGCAAAATAAAAGAATAAAAAAAGAACCGCCCCTTGCGGTAGGAGTATTTGTTCCCCGAAAAGTCTGCCCAACCGGCTGCAGCGGGGGATCTGGTCCGATGAAAACCAGATAGATTGTGCGGTGTATGTCCGCTGCGATTCTAATCCCCCAATCAAAATACTCCGGATTTCACCGCTGAATGGTTCTTGCGAATAAGGGAAGAGAAAATCAGTGTTGTGGCCTTAAACAAGGCTATCTATCCCAACTCGACAGTTGTTTGTGATATCGAAGGCAGTGTGGCGGTCAAACAGTGACAATAGCGGTGGCATCAACACGTCAACACCGAATAATGGAGAGAAAGAAAGTACAGAGGTACAGAGGTACTTGATGATAGATCGATTGTTGCTAAAAGCTGGTATACGATAGATAGGGGAGGGAATACAAGGAAAGAAAGCAACATTCCTTTCAATGGGCAATTCATGCTCTTTTTCTTTGAACAATAATTAATTGAAGAATTAAGAGCGTTCACCCGTGTTCCACCATTAACCTATGCCTCGGGTTGAGTCTAGTAGGGCCCGTGGAGAAAATGGAACAAAATGGGGAAATTTGGAAGGAATCCTTTCTTTCATGGGGCCTGGCTAGCCTGACTAGCCTCTGTTAAGCTACGGGCTCTCGCCGAAAATTGGGCTTGGAGAACGGTTCCCGCGGAAGCTGCCCCGTTGATTGTCTCCTGTCTCCACATGTGCACCTCCACTCGGGAGACAATGGGAGAGCGTTAACCCGGATAAATGCATACACGCAGCTGGCCTTTTCACCCGTCAAACTACATACGGGATTTGGATACGGTGAATCAAACAAATAATAGATCTAGATTTAGATCTATCTACTAAAGGCAATCAGTGAGAAAGAACAAAATACAAAGGTGATAATAATAGTCATAATCTGTTTCGGTTAATATAATGCCGAATCTAAGAAACGCCGGGCCTTTCAATAACACGTGTTGAGTAGAAAGGAACCATTCGAAGTATCGGACTCCGAAAATCAAAAGGATCCCCCACTAGTAAATTAACAGTTCCTTTCTAGCGAAATTCGGAGAACCAGGATCATGGAAAAAAGATAGAAACACGGAGGAATCAACTTAGTCATGGGAAATCCATTTTTGCGCGAATCAGCGATCACCTATTTATCCGTTGCTTCACCATTACTTTATTCGGGTCTAGAGCTATTCTTCCCTTTATCGCCCTCGAACCGAGGCCCAGGCCTAGCTGGACCCGCCATTCTAACAAAGCAGTAAGTAGATTAACCGTTCAATCTCAATTGACAAGTCGTATGCAACACTCCGTATATCGCGAATCGTCGCATATCCCGGAGTAATACTCACCTCCTTTTCTTTTCTTTTTAACTAGTTTTCGCTTCATAACTGCGAGCCTATAACAGGACTATGGACCCAAAACCCGCTGCTTGGGAACACTTAGCGGGGCTGGACGGGCCAAGCAGCTCTTCCCCGGCCCTAAGTGGGGACTTGATCCGCTTTCCTGGGTTCCCCGACGACACCCTCGCTCCGGCCCCTGAATTGGGTCTATGATCTACGCTCTTCATAAGACAGGTCCACTCCCTCCAAAGGCCGGTTGTATTTGAAGGGACTTTTGTCCCCTCTACAGATAACAATTTATGCTTCGTACTTCGTTCGTCCTTATTCTAAGCTGGACTCATCAAATCCAACTCCGTCCCAGCTCCCAGGAAACCAATACATCCCATGCGTCATGTGCTCCATATTTTGTACGTCTGCGTCGACGGCCCGCCGGGTAACGGGGAAGACATTGATCCAAAGGCTGGAAAAGTAAAGGGGGCGAGATCTCTCCAAATCCATAGCAGCCACTGACCTCAGACAAGACTTTCGGTGGATTTGACAGGTTTCTCGGTACCTTTGCTCACGTCGATCATGATGGTTTCCCGAGGTTTGGTTTTGGTTTGGGAAGGGGCGGACCGCGGCCTTGAAAGTGTAGGATCGTGGTCGTTTCCCCTTTCCCAGTCTCTCGGTGTTTCAATTGCTTTTTTGTGCTAGTTACCACTCTGCTGGATATGGGTATGGAGCTAAGTATCATCGTGATTTTCGTGGTGGGGACAGGTACCCGATGTGGACCTCCGGGCTCTAACTACTGTAAATGGAGGTGTGTCTCCTGAATACTCCGAAGAGCTCAAAATTGATAAGCCCAGGGAGAACTCCGCACTCCGCTGTGGAGGGTCTACGGGTCTCCGTGTCAAATCCGCTTATTTGATGGATTTTACTTATTTAGTCAAGTACAGTCGATCAAGCCTGGAAGTACGGGGCACTCCGTAGTAGTACTCCATACATTGAAATGCAAATATGTGCACTATGTATGAAGATCTGAATGTGGCGCTTCCTTGGATCTAAGATGGATTGGCAAGATCACCTTCTATTGAGTGGAGGTCTATACATCATGCAAAGTCAGAAAGTAGCGATGCAATCTGAAAAAGGACAGGCAAATAAGATCTGAAAGTTGACATATAATATCCATTAAGAGTCCTTCACCCTCATAAATATCATATCTCTAACTTGAATGAGATAGCTTGATATGCAGCGTACTAAATTAGTCCTACCACCTACCTGGTTCGAGAATCCAAACCGGGATTACCCTGCAGCTAAATCTGCACTTCATATGCAAGATCTCTGATCGCATTCCAGTGGAGGCAAGGAACTCCGCCCTTTCGTTAAATCAAAAAATCCAACATACAATTGATGCAACAGCCTGAAAGAAGAAATCCGATGGACGCCTCTACTCTCGTCATCATCAACTCGGTCACATTCATCTAAACAATCTATAGGATAGGTATACAATAGTCACGAAAAAAGCCGAGGTCCCCGTACAAAGTACCTCTTAACTCACCGCTGCGATAATTTTCAGCCACAACGCTGCAGCTCCCGCCACACCTGCACGGGTTTAGATCCGTGCGAGAGCGAGAGGTGCGTATACGCACCTACTTCTGTACGCTGTACGAAGAACAAGGAAGCTGTCGACCAAAGCATGCACGATATCATACCCTCTCCGAGGAGCACAGTCGCGGATGCACCTCTCCCAGCCCGACCCATGGAAACCAGCTTCCCCCATGGGGGTCTTGCGCTCGGGTATCAGATTGGCTCCACCAAGAATGTGACAAGGGAGGCTGCACAGCAGAGCAATCAATCAGAACGCACTGCTGCTGCCCATTTCGCAGTGTGAGTAACTTAACCCTGCACCGGAGGCCTTTCCGCCGTCCCCGAGTAGACGATCGACGGGGCCCCGGTCGCGCTTCCTCACCGTATCTGGACATGTCGCGGGGATAAAAGTGAAAACTGAATCGAATCGAATTGAATCGGTCGATCGAATAAAATGAGGCCAGGGGGCTGACCTCATTATCGTATTAACGATCACAATAAGCCCCTGACTCATAGGGAAAGACCATAGAGATTCACGATTCAGATGCCACCGTAGCGAGAGCTGACCTCAGACCTCCTCATCACAGACATTTCGTGAGATGGTGTCCGGGGAAAGGAGGGGATCACCATATCATTGGTGCCAATACAACCAGTCAGAGCAGTTGCCAACACAGCACAACTTTTTATTGATTTTCTTACCGTATCCCACCTCTTCGGGGAACAGACCTAGACTACACCGTACACTATACCGCGTCTCTAGTGGTGTGTGAGTTGTGTTTCGGTCGCCGGGTAATAATATGCGTCGCCACCACGGACGCGTACACAGAGGCTTATAACTAGCAAAATCAAAACGCATCCAGGCCAGTCTGGCCACGGGATATAATTATCCAAGAATTGGAAGCTAAGCCAGTTAGTAACGATTGGATAATCTGCAACACCATCTTTCTCGAATTGTTCGACACCGCATCCAACTGCGCGCGCCATGTGCGAACCCGATGATTTCTCTGCAACGGCTTGTTGCTGGAAACGGTTTGTATTAGAGCGGACAGTGCATCCTTCGTTAATATTCTTCGAATTACCCTTTTCTTCAAGTTCTGCGGGTATTTTGTTTATTCTTGCGGTCGGAGGTCCTGTGTAATCGGCGCCAAGTGACTGCTTAAACGCTAAAGTGGTTGCTTTTGCATCGCCAAACCAAGGGTTTACGGTCGATAACTCGAAAGAAGAAAAAGAAGGCTTCAAAAGCTACCAAAAGAATAACTTAGGTCGACATGACAGCTAGGCCATCCCTGTCTGGCGCAGTCGTCGCTCAGCGCTACTCTGGCTCACTACTTTGCTCCAGGTACTTTGAGACAAACAAAGTAATGATTTGACGACATTCAATCATTTTGCTCGCCCATCTTGCTAAAGAAGGAACTCGACACATAAAATGGACGCTCAAAGGATGCCTCGTCCTGACCATGAGCACTCTCTCCATTTACTCGAGTGAGAGCGATGTAAGTTCGCAGCGACCTTTAGAACGGGATCATCGAGCGGTTAGGTTCTTGGATGGTAGATCAAGTCTTCGTCTGTGGGGCTGCGTATGTGGTACATTTCGCAGATTGAGGCCCCGTCTTTGTAGATAGCGACTCCCATGTGGGAAGGGCCGTCGCCAAGTTTGGCGTCGCCGCGACCGTAGATATTGATTGCGAGGCCGTAGTTCGGGAATTCCATTGCGATTATTGGTATACTAATACGATTATGGAGTCATATCAAATATAAACAGACTCTCGGGATATTTGAAGACTCTGCTTTCTATTTTTGGAGTCGTGGTTTTTCTCGTGATACCAGTCCGATTATAGGATAAATGCATTGGGACCAGAAACTTCGAAAGAACTGAATAGTATATCAAGTTGCTTTGGAGTTAATTTTTAAATAGATTGAAGGTCTATGGACTTTGCCCTGCTCCAAGACTGGGACGTTTGCTACATGGTTCAAGTTGTAGCCGTGGAAGCCTTGGAGCAGATGTATGGATTGATGAGCTGTATGTATATCTCTGGATTGTCAACCGACAAGCTTGATGAACACGGGAACGTAGTGGAGCGGGAAAAAAAGACTCATATGTCTATCTGGAGAGAGAGATACTGGAGGAAGACAAGGCAAGCGAGGCCTGCCACATGGTCACATGGAGATAACCCTATCTCATCAAAGCTCAACAATGTCTGCTTCTTTAGAGAAATCAAGTCCGCTGTCTAGTCTTTAGGATGCTCTTTCTTCTATTCTGGGAAAGGCCCCGTCATAGCGAGATTTGCGGGGTTGACCTAAAAACCGCGGAGTGGGAGGTATTGGATGTGATTTTGGAAAAGGTACAAACTAGAGACACAAGCATGAGCGAAGGTCCGTCGTTAACAATGATCAATAGTTCCTCAAAAGTCATTCCGCAAATCCTGAACTTCGAGTGTCCAGGGCAAGTGCATAGCTTGGGAAAACTCTGGAATGGCGACGCTTTTCTAGGCACCCTTCCAGACTTAGATCTGTGCCACATTACTTTCTATGAGAGTCACTTTGTGCTGTGGGTTCGAATTGATGAGATGGCAATCAAGGGATACTCCGCATACATCAAAGTCTGGCGACATCGAAATCGTTGGTGAAATTAGGCCTTGCTGTAATGGAAAGACTCTCCACGCTTCTGTTCCATAGGGTACCAACACCGAGTTCCAATTCATATGGCCAGGTCGACCGGGAAAATTACAGCGAGCTGAAGCTACAGGCGGGCTTACTCCACGCATCTCCTGCTTACCTCGTCTCACAGCCGGACAATGGTAGCTACGGGGTCTATTCTGACAGCACGACTTTGGCGACCACCCGGTTGACCTCTAACACTACAAGCCTCTATATTGTCCGACACGGAGAGCTAGCGGATGGCAGTACAGTCTCATACCGGCTACGCATTCCGACCTCAGTGGGTAATTTCAGTGTACCGCAGCTAGGATGAAGTCTCAGTCTGCATGGACGCGACTCGAAAATCCATGTGGTAGACTACGACGTGGGTGGCATCAGCCTGATCTACTCATCCGCCGAAGTTTTCTCTTGGAAGAAGAGCGGGTCGAAATCGGTCTTAGTCTTATACGGAGGGGAAGACGAGACGCATGAGTTCGCGATCCCGCAAGCATTAGGAATGCCCTCCACCGTCGAAGGCATCGGTCTGCATATTGCCTCAGCAGGCTCCTCCCATGCCACTGTGATCAAGTGGTCCGTCCAACCCGAACGCCGAGTGGTACATTTTGGGGAGCAACTCGAGATCCATCTTCTGTGGCGCAACAATGCCTACAAGTATTGGGTCTTAGACCTTCCTGTTGCGGGTGTTCTCCAGCGGCACGCCTCTCTTTCGCGCACCAATAGCTCGGTGATTGTGAAGGCCGGTTATCTCCTTCGGACGGCAGAGGTGGTAGATACGAGACTAAAGCTGACAGGCGATCTGAACGCTACCACCGAGCTTGAAGTCATCGCGGCTCCTCCCAATATAAATGTGGTCACATTCAATGGGAAGTGTGTAGATACGAAGAAGCTCGCTGGACGCTTGACTGGGTCTCTTAAATTCAAAGCCCCCTCGATTAAACTGTCTGATTTGGCTACTCAACAGTGGCATTATACTGATTCACTGCCGGAGATCCAGCGCGGTTACAACGACCAGCGTTGGACCGTTTGCAATCACACCCACAGTACAAATACACGGAACTTGACCACCCCTTTCTCTCTGTATGCTACCGACTATGGGTACCATGCCGGATCACTTATTTATCGGGGACATTTCACGGCCAATGGATCTGAGACAGCGCTTTATCTTCTGACAGAGGGTGGCTATGCCTACGGTCACTCGGTGTGGCTGAGCTACACGCACCTGGGCTCATGGCCGGGCAGCTCAGCCGAAATGTTCCACAACGAAACCCTAAGCCTCCCACATAAGGAGATGGAGCCTGGCACATCATATGTTATTACTGTGGTAATTGATCACATGGGATACGACGAGAACTTTCCTGCCAACACAACCTTCATGAAAGATCCGCGCGGGCTGTTGGACTATAGTCTCCAGGGCCGAGCCAAGGCAGCCGTTACCTGGAAGATCACGGGCAACCATGGAGGCGAGCAATATGTGGATCACAGCCGGGGACCTCTCAACGAGGGCGGATCGTTTGCAGAACGCCAGGGCTATCATCTCCCGGGCGCACCGCTCCATCACGAGTTTACAGCCGCTCTCGCGCCAACGAAAACGCCCATCCACCAGCCCGGGCTGGAATTCTGGGCAACCTCTTTCAATCTCAATCTTCCCGCCGAATATGACATCCCCATCAGTGTCGCCTTCTCCAATACCACCGTCACCTCGAGTGGGACCGACGCCTCATCTAGATCAGCGCAGTTTCGCTGCGTGCTCTTCGTCAACGGGTGGCAATTTGGCAAGTATGTGAATCACATTGGACCACAATCACATTTTCCAATACCCGAGGGGATTCTTAATCACAATGGCTCCAACTATCTAGCCTTGTCCGTCTGGGCACAGGATACGCACTCCTTCCAGCTCGCGGGGCTGCAGTTGCAGGCAGAAGCCATCATCCTGCGCGGATACGAGAAGCCCAGCTTGGTGCCAGCTGAGCGGTTTGCCCCACGTATGTTGACCTATTAGGTAGACCTTCTCGAGGTGGTTTTGATTTTACACATAGTCTATAAGCCATGTCATCTGCAAGCGGGCAGCATTTTCTGTTTTCACCTGCCGTATTCTAAATGGAGACTTTCAGAGATGGTAAAAAGCAAGATTATGATTTCAAAGATATATAACAATGTTCAATAGCCATGTCATTCTTGTTCTTCTTGGGCACTGCCAATGTAGAAGAAGATCTACAAGAAATCGAGATTGAAGCTATGGAGTCTATATTAAGAAACGGAAACCTTGTCTGACAGCCACCCCGGGCAAGCCATGCTCCTCGTTGGAGTTCGTGCTCGCGGTCAAATCTGTGCCCTCCTCTTGATCAAGTTGCTTGTTTAGTCTTCCAAGGTAAATGCGAAGAATAGTGGCAAATATGAAAGTCATAGCACACATGCCGATATTGACACTAAATGCGGTAACATAACGAGGCGAGGCCGAGTCTTGATAGTGAAAGAATTAATCGCTGAACATAATGAGGGGTTTTAAGAGAAAAGGACTTACCAGGGTACAGATAAGGGGTATAAATCTGGCACACGTTACTCATACAATTGATAAAGGCCAAAGCAGCTGCTCGTTTTGCTGCCGGGCGTGGAAGAACTGCGTTCGTTAGTATTGATTGCTCCTGATGGGATAAAGTCGGAGCTCTTACTATTTGAAATGTATCCAAGTGCAACAACATAACTGGAGTAAATTCCACCAAGCATGATGCACATTGCCCTAAAAAGAAATTGTTAGTGACTGCCTGATTCGCCTAAAGTAGTATATACTTACACATATCGAGCGGCAAAGTTATTTCCTGCCATAGCAAGGATAAAAGAGACAATTGCAATAATCGGTGGAATGCACATGTGAAAGTATCGTTCACCAGTCTTGTCGGCGTGCCAGGCATTGATCAAAACGATAATTGTTCCAATGATATATGGCGGGGTCGTCAACAGCAGCGTGTCAATTTTATCCCTGCCAAGTCCAGCCATCACACTTAAAAGTATAATAAATTAGTACCATTGTCGAGATAGTGATTTTCATAGAGATTATCTCTTACCTGGGGAAGAAAGTAGTCACAGCTCCAGCTGATGTGCAGCCGTAAATGAGACCAAGCAGTAGCCAAACCTTTGGATCCCTTGTCGAGTCAACATTGTTAGCTTCGAGACTAAGCCGCTGGTGTTAATTATTCCTCTTACATGATCGCAAGCTTCGCACCATGGAACATGCTTTGGTGTTCACTGTCTACCCAGTCATCTTCACCAATATCATCTTCTAGTCTCCAGGCAGCGAGAACCTTCTCATCGTCGCTTAACCAAGGAGTTGTTCGGGGAAGGTCGGGAACAATAAAGAAAGCAATCAGAGCGACAAAGATCTAAAATGTTAGTTGATGGTATTTACGGAGAGATCGATGACGGATACCGTAAGGGAACCCTCTATGATAAACAGCCACCTCCATGCTGCGATGCCCCTGGCGCCATTCAAACCACTTGTAATACCAGCGGAAATCAAGCCAGAAAATGCGCCCGAGATCAAAGAGCCCGCGTAAAGTAGTGCTGTACGCTTGACCAACTCCTTTCTTGTGTACCAGGATGACAGAAGGTAGAGACAACCAGGCTGCATATTATTAGCGAGAATTCGTCCCTAGGCAGCCGGGAGATACTCACAAAATATGCGGCTTCAATAAATCCAAGGAAGAATCGAACAGCTAATAAACCGGCAAAGTCCTTTGCCAAAGCAGTACAACAAGATATGACACCCCATATCACCATGCACCCCGGCAAGTAGATCGAAGGTTTGCCGAACTTGTTAAGAATCATATTTGACGGCACTTTGTGAATTAGCTCCAAATACCTGGATAGAAGCCACACATATTGATTTATTTACCTTGCATCAGGAGATATCCGACAAACAAGATACTAACGCAAATCTGTGAATTGGGGTCAGCGCTCCGAGTCACTTCAATTTTCCGTACGCATAACTCGTGGTTTTTACTTGATATTGATCACCGGTGAGATTCAAATCTTCCTGTAGGCCGGCCAACTTTGCTGCTGCGATGTTGTTGCGGTCCAAATAATTCAGGATGTACATGATCAACATCATTATCAGCAGGCGAATGTCAATTTTTTTGACTAGTGCTTTCGATCTTTCTTCTCTTTCTTCTGGAGTTAAATTCAATAATGCGACTGGGACTGTTGAGCGATCCTGATCTTTGATATTTTCGACCGCATATTGCTCAACATGCTCGTGCCCGAGATTCTTGGTATCGTCCATTATGGCGACCTGGAGATGGAATTGGTATCGGTATCGGGATCGTCAAATGTTAAAATGATAAGACAGGTGAGAAAGGTGTCGAGATAATAATTATGGAAAGGAGAAAGTGGAGGCACTCTGCTCCCTTTGTTTTTTTTTTAAGGTCACTGCTAATTCCCCACTGCCAATGTTCTGGGGAAAGTTCCCCATGGGGTGAGCACGAGGTGGAGAGTGAGCGGGGTATTCGGATATCCAAGGGCTGGTAGTGAGAACCTTGTAGAATTTAGTTAACTGGATTGAGAAATGAAGGACACGCTGGGCATTCATGTATTGGTTTTCCGGTGGAGATGATCTTTCATATCCGATTCTTTGCCGCATTGGGGGACGGATAAGTTAGCATCGCGTAGATCAACAGCCCGTAGGACGTGAGGATCAGATTACACACAATACTATCTAGCTAAACTGCTCTCTCATATGATAGACGGACTAGAAAATAAATTCTATTTTGGGAAGATTTTGATATTCCAAGTTGTTTTAGTGGATCCCAATATTCTTACTATGCCTATGCTTCTACCCATGTGCTATGTCTAGGGTCGATGCTCAATCGAGCCAGAGGAAAATAATTTTTGACTACATTATCAAACCAAAAGATTGAGTATATTGCTCGACGTGGAATATTCATTAAACAGAGAAAACGTACTACCCACAGTTGAAATAAATTCTCAATGAACGATTTGGCCGTTGTATTCGACTATCACCTCATGGCGTCATGCTACTGGAAAGACACGGAAATTTTAAACTATAAAGTGAAATGAAAAATACTAATGTATCTGTACTTCATTAAAGGAAGTAATTCGCCCTATATTCACGTGCCCTCTATCAATTTTGGAAACCATCCACCCTCACGCCTTCAGTCTCTTCTGCTCTGCGGCCCATGTCAATGCACTTTGCCGAGTGCTGGCCTCGCCGACTTCACCAAAAATATCAACGCCTAGTCTTGCGGGAAAGTTCATTCGATGGTGCTTTTCTAAAGACTGTATAGCATCGAAAGCATCGTCAGGCAGGACGAAGTCTAGTGAAGCCTTCACGTTAGATCATGCTCAAAGTCCATAGGATTAACCAGATGTACTTACCCTCAAAGTTACTGATAGTTCTTGAAGCCGTAACAGATTTGGGAAGAACTGCTGTCCCGCGCTGCACAGCCCAGCTGATCAAGACTTGCGCTGGTGTTTTACCCAGTTTATGGGCTGTGTCAATAACCAACGTATCATCAACCGCACTAGAGCGAACTATGAGTAAGCCACAATTTCAAATTTATTGGGCATCAACATACCGAGGAATATTGTAAATGTTATTTCCCAAAGGCGAATACCCGGTAATGACAATTTGCTTCATAGGAATGTTAGACTCAGGGGCATGACAGAGCCGAGGCAGCTTGAGAGAACGTACATTGTCTTTGCTCCACTGAAGCAAATCACGTTGCTGAAGGTAAGGATGTGCCTCAATTTGATTCACTGCTGGGCGAATCTTGGCGCTTTTGTAATGTTAGTTTCATGCATAGAGCTCGAATCTGAACAAAATTACATACGTCTTGAGCAGTTCTTCAATCTTTTCCCTTGTGAAATTGCTCACACCTATTGTGCGAATCTTGCCTTGCTCCACGAGGCGCTCCATAGCTTCCCAGGTATCCTTGATTGGCACATCAATAACATCAATAAGACCAGTCGCCGCGTCGATCGGTTGGGTGGTTTCGTTAGAGTGACGGAACGCTACCGGCCAGTGAATCTATCCAAATAAACATGGGTGAGGATCTCGGCCAAATAAAAGTTATCTCAAAATAATAAATTTACCAGATAGAGATCAAGATAGTCAGTCTGGAGATCATCGAGAGACTGATTCACAGCTTCTTCGACATAATCCGGGTTATGATGTGTGTTCCACAATTTGCTTGTCAACTATCCAAATATTTCTATTGTTAGTACTGCCTGAGCCTTTTTATTGGGCTGAGAACCACATACGAAGATATCCTCACGCGGCACTCCCGATACCTTGATTCCATCTCCGACTTGCTTTTCGTTGCCATAGACAGCAGCCGCATCGATGTGTCGGTAGCCTGATTCTAAAGCAGTTTTCACAGCGTCGCGAACTTCATAGTCCTTTGATTGCTAGTTGGGACAATGTAAGTCAGCGGCTGAGAATACTTTCATGCGTTTTTAAAACTTAGACATACCCAAGTTCCCAGGCCAATGGCGGGCATGCTATGGCCACTACTCAGTTTGAAGGACCGACCCGAAGCCATTGTTGCAGCTGAGTGTAATAGAGGGGATTGGTGTTTATAAAAATGAAGAAATTATAAGCAGAGCTTCGGATGCACTTCAAATTACAAACGAGAATTGTGAAATGTAGAATAAGTTCACCACCTTGGGTACAGAATTATAGATCTCGATTTCGCTCGCGGGGAAAGCAACCGAGGCTCGGATAAGTAGGGAGTAAATACAATAGAATCCGGATAAGCGGAAAGCGACAAATGCGAGAACGTAGTCTCAGGGCTCTTTCTCCGGCATTGGTTTGGATGTGATCCGGACATTTATCCGCCATAAGATTTCCCGGATAATGATATCGTGGAACCGACTCCCGGCCGGTCCGATACTTAGCTATACAGTACATGAACTACTTAGTTCTCTTCATGTGGCAAGTCTTATGAGTTCTTCATTGGTACTTTAAGACGGTATTGATGATTAAATCGAGCGTGCAAAGCTTCCTTTCTGAGAGGCAATAATCAGGTAAGATAGTTTACTCGCGGAGCCATCTTCAAATTGGAAGTTTTCAAAGCTTATACATTCTATCGATGGTAGTCAGAACAACAAGACAATGGCACCGATTAAACATATCGAATACTTTCGTGTACCTCCCCGGTGGCTGTTTGTCAAGGTCACAGATTTCGAGGGTAATTTTGGGTGGGGTGAAGCTTCGTTAGAGGGGCATACCGAAGCAGTTGAAGGCTGTCTCGATGCTTTTATCGAACGATTCGTCGGCTTGGATGCTAAGTACGATAATTTCGTCACGGTTTCCTAGAGACCTGCTCACACCGAATACTAGTGACATAGAACATATCTGGCAAAATGGATATCGCATGGGGTTCTATCGAGGTGGGCCAATCTTGATGAGTGCCTTGGCTGGCATCGATATTGCTTTATGGGACTTGAAAGGTGAGTAGTAAGGGAAAATAGAGGTCATAGTGGAGTAATACTGAGCTAACAATATCCTTTCTCATTTTATTTTCAGCTTCACGGTTTGGGGTACCTATATACGAACTATTGGGTGGCAAGCTCCGCGATCAGTTGAAGGTTTATGCTTGGATAGGCGGGGATCGACCAGGAGACGTGGAGGCACAGGCGTGAGTTTTGCTTCAAGCCCTTAGCCAATCTACTCAAAAATTCTTCGGCTCTGATGCAATTATTCTGTCTAGTCGCGGTCGCATATCACAGGGCTTCAAGGCCGTGAAAATGAACGCGACCGAAGATCTTGGCTGGTTGGACTCACCCTCGTCACTAAACGCCTCGGTGGAACGACTGAAGACTGTTAAGGCTTTGGGCCTTGATGCTGGTGTAGATTTCCATGGACGAGTGCACAAGGCGATGGCCATCCAGCTTGCACACAAACTAGCTCCACATGAGCCGCTGTTCATCGAGGAACCATTACTCTCCGAGCACCCAGAGTCTGTTGCCGCTTTATCGAAATTGGTCGCTGTGCCCATTGCCCTCGGCGAACGTTTGCACTCTCGCTGGGACGTCAAGCCATTCTTGGAGTCGGCATCTGTCAGCATTCTTCAGCCTGACATCAGTCATGTTGGGGGCATATCGGAACTGCGCCGTATTGCAGTCATGGCCGAAGCTTACGACGTGGCTTTGGCACCGCACTGCCCTCTGGGCCCCATCGCACTAGCTGCGAATATTCAGGTCGATGCGGTATCGGCTAACTTTGCCATTCAAGAAATGAGCTTGGGTATTCACTATAATGAAGGCTCGGCGGATATTGGAACTTACATCAAAAACCCCGAGGCCTGGACAGTACACGATGGAATGATAGATCTAATGCGGGGCCCCGGCCTTGGAGTAGAGATGGACGAAGAAAAAATCCGAGCAGCCGCCGTGGGTGCCAAAGCTTGGCGAAGTCCTTGCTTCCAAGGTCCTGGTGGTGAGTGGAGAGAGTGGTAACAGAAGGAATTCTACGTTCTGGTAGCGTGTGACGTGTTATTCTCAGTCCGCGCGCACGGATAATTTTCCGAAGAAAAATAAATTACAATTAATAAGTAGCCCACGGCATTGAAATTATATTTTCTATCTTGATATTAAATATCGTATTTCATATAGGTCCATATAAAACATAGACAAGAGACTTGACTGGCTCCTGTAGCTACACATAATCCGGGGTAGGGCCGCAAGCGAGCGGGTGCATATCCGAGGCGGGTAATATCCGAGAAATCCCAGTGAAAGAAGCAACTCGCACTGAGACCTGTCGCCTTGACTTGCAATATTTGCCTCCCCCACCTAAACAAATATTACCCGGCATTGACGAGCTGTGGGTCAACGCACAGTGGCCTCCTTCTCCGAGATTATCGTCAGTTACAATTGCACTATTTCTGTAGTGTTTCCGAAGCCAAGGCAAGAGTTCATGAGCTATGGAGACGCAAGAGGAACCACCGAGTAAACGCCGACGGGAGAAGCACCGAGTACGGGTGACCCGCGCCTGCGACAGCTGCAAGAAGTGAGCCATGCATTTCCTAGTGATGTGGGCTAAAGATGCGCTGCATTTCTGGTATTGCAGGGAAAGAGAGAAAGCTCTGCTCACATTTTACCTAGGAAAAAGTTACGCTGCACCGGGACGTTGCCCTGTTACGGTTGCAACCGCACTGGCAAGAAGTGTGAATATACTGCCGATTACAATCGAGGTAAGGTGCCTCTGGTTCGGTTCACAGAGCAGCCAGTGAATGGGAACAATGAGCAGCACGAACAATTGAATTCCGCGGTAGAAGCAGCTGGACTGGCTTCTTCACCTCGGCCACGGCTTGTGCAGAGCTCTGAGATGCTTGAGTCAAGCCAAACTGGTGATAATCCTCCTTCTCGTGCCTCTCTTGAGCCTCATCAAACAGATTCCGAGGGACATTACGTCGGTCCTTCCTCTGGAGTCTCGTTTCTGATTCGAGCACAAAGAAAATTACATAAATACTTGGCGCTTCCCATGAACACGCCGATATTCACATTTGGAGACTGCCCGTTACCTGAAGCTGAATCGGCGTTCATGCTACTACCTCCAAAAGATGAAGCTGACGCGCTCGTGGCGCGGTACTTCGATTTTGCGTTTCCTACGCATCGCTTTCTTCACCAACAGCAAGTCGAGGGTTGGGTCGATGAATTCTACAGGGCTGTGCTGGGATCAGAGGCTATCATTTCCGGCATGCAAGGAAAAAGGGCCGTGGTCTTAATGGTATTCGCTCAAGCTAAGCAATCACAATCAGAATTATACGGAGCATCGAATGACGCGTCTACGAAAAGGTCAGTCACTTAGTTCTAAATTAATTGTTTCTGATGACCCCCCAAATCCTTGTGAGTCTTCCAGAAGAGCTTATAGACGTTATAGTGCGGCTTATTTTGCGGCCTCTGAAAAGCAACTCTCTGCAGAGACCGGCCCTGTTCGTTTGACTAGTGTTCAAGCACGCCTAGCACAATGTTTCTATCTCCTGTCGCAATCTCGCATCAATCATTGTTGGAGTTTATTCGGGACAACAGCTCGGCTCGCTATGGCAATTGGTCTGCATCGCAACCGCAAGCGGGAATTCGGAACGAGCGTTGATCTTGTTGAGTTTGAGTGTCGAAAGCGCGTATTTTGGTGCGCATACAGTTTGGATAACTACCTTAGTGCGGCCTTAGGTCGCCCACGAATATTTCATGATCATGACATAGACCAGGATTATCCGGCTGTTATTGATGACCCACGCATTCTTCAACATCAAATTCTCCCCCCTGCATCGACTCGACAGAGTACAATGCTCGCTCCCTTATACCATGCCAAGCTCTCAGTTATCATTGGCCATATATTACATGATATGTACGGGGCTCAAAGGTCAACTTCTCAGACTGAAGCATTGGCCGCCGCTCGTCATGGAGCGAATCTGACCAACTGGCGTCAAGAGATCTCTAGATTCCTTGACTCTTCGAATGTGGACCTTTTGATATTGATATACCAACGGCAGTATACAGTGCTCAACTTAGCTTTCTATCATGCGCAGATTCTGCTCTACCGACCTTTCATGATAAAGCATCTTGGTTCTCTGGCGGACCCAGATAAATTACAAGATGACTCTCAAGGCGAGTCCATCAATCAATATATTAATATGTGTCTCACAGCTGCTACGGAAATCGCCGGAGTCATTCGTGATCTTTGTGAAAAACGCAGAATGTATAGCACGTTCTGGGTAAGAACCGAGCAGAATTCACGTGTCAAATCTAGAGGCTAATTATGCTTATAGTTTACTCATTATTACGGGTTCTCCGCTATCATGATCTTATATGTGCGTGTTATTCAGCTGGCTGCACAGAAAGATAACCCGGAGGAAGCCTCCAAATACTTACAGATAGGAGAGCAAGCTCAAAGGGATTTGACTAATTATGGCTCCCGATCGTCTTCTGTACAAAGATACGTGGTTGTTCTGGAAGAGCTTCGCCAAGAGGCTCGGGCAGCTATGAATCGGAATGAGCAACATCCACTGCAAAATAACATCAGCAATAACACGATTTCATACGATAATGCACCACAGGGTGTTTCTGGGGTGTTAGCCAATCGTCAAACAGATCAGCCGGACGGATTTGAATCGATGAATCGACAGTTAGATATCAATAAACTCGTCGTCGAGAATCACGGTGTCGAGCAACCTGAGGACTTGCAAGGTGCCAATTTGATGATACATCCTTCGCTCCACTCCAATCCTCCACAGTGGATAGATGGCGCAGTCGATAATAATTTTTCTTTGAATGGTCCTGAATTTGCAGACTGGGGACAACTCGATTCCTTAGCTGTCGCGGGGATGGGCGAATTGGATGTTGTTTTTTCTCACGGCTGGGAACTCAATGGCTAAGAGACGCATCAAGTCTCCAGATATCCATTGAACGGGCTTCAAGATGAGAATCTACACGTACAAGCAAGTTTACTGGTCTTGCGGGTTACGCGGGCACAATTCGAACGACCATTATCTTACACGGTATTTTCTGTCCAATTCCGGAGGATGCCATGAAATCGACTTGTTCGAGCTCCAGTTTTTGAATTTTTATCTACATATCCACATCGACAAATTTAATTTCAACGATGTGGTGCTGCTAAGAACACAAATCTTGCTAGCAAAGCCATAAAACGACCCCAATGTCAAAGACCCAGCAAGCCTTCCAAAAGGCACACCAGACCCATTGCCCCAGGATCGGGAACCTTGAACCACTCTGCCTCGGGTACATAGACAGCGCGTCCAAGAGATGCAGACATCCCCTTTGTGTTGACACGCCCCTTACGGGCCGCATCGATGGCTAGAGCTACCGATCTACCGTTTTGCAGAGATGATATGAACGGTTCCAAAGCGTCCATCATAGTGCGGTCACCTACACGGGCTGGTGTGGCTTGGCGCACAGCATTAAGGGCATTGACAGAAGCTTCAATCCATTCTGCACGCTCGACAATATGCTCTTCTGGCAACCTGTTACAGAAGAGAAGCAGCGGGCGCATTCAAGAAGATTGCGAAAAGCGTGCCCGAGGTACCGTCCATATTGTTCTCTACGACGATCCCCAGGGTCTCTAGATACCCCACAACATCGCCCTTTTGCTGGTATACTGATCATTGTTGACTATTTCTTGGAGAATTGCACGAGCGGTTCTTGCAAGGGTAGAGCCACAATCACTATCTCCCATTGCCGAGTCGAGTCGATCGATTTCCGTTTTGGCTGTAATTAGACCGTCACAAGCACGCTTAAGGGATGCTGTCAAGTCTTTCTCATTCACTATCAAATTTGAATTGTCAGATTGTTGATAACGATCGTGGCTTTTGGGACTCCTGTACCTTTCAGTTGAGATGTTAACCTGGTTGACATTTCTGCTTTGCTGGTATCAAGATTCACCTGCAATCGATTCTGTGTTTGAAAATGATCTTCTGGAAGCCTCAGCATGACTTTCCAACCTGGAGCTGAGGCGGGAGCATCTAAGGCTTTGAGTATCTGAGAGCTAGCCTTTAAAAGCGTGATGCTGAACGCCTTTCCATCCAGACTAGTCATGAAGCTGCCAGAGAAAATCCCCACAGGCTTGTAGTCTCGAAGCTCTGGTTATGTCAGATATTATGGAAAGTATATAGGACATGAGACTTGCTTACCAAGTTGTTGAACCACGATTTTTGTGATGGCTGAAAACTCGATGTTCGATGCTCCTCCCAGATTCTTCACCATCAGGCATATGTCCTCATCATTGGAGATTGATACGTAGGCCCGGTCTGAGTCGCTGGCATCCAAGAGTTTGTCGAGCATCTGGTTTACTAGTTCCCAAGTGGCTGGCTGTGGCTTGATCACATGGCATCCTGGCTCATTATGGATACCCATGCCGACTTCAACCTGATCCACATTCTCTGACAAGCCAGCTATTGACTTCCTCGCGATGTGAGCAATCATCCAAAGCAGCACCAATAGTGGCCAGGTTGTTGACCACATCTTCGCCAGCTTGGTACAGCTCCTTAAGATTCATCTTCCCTTGCTTGGCAAGAGCTCCAAGGACCTTCCCAACAAGTACTGTACCTGCAAGACCCCGTCTTCCAACCTTGCCACTCTTGCGTCGGCCGACTGCCACATCATCACCGACGACCAGTACGGCAGTGTCAAAGCCAGCAAGCCGGGCCTTTTCAGCAGCTAGATGGACGTGCAACACATCACCTGTATAGGTCATGATTACTAGCAGGATGCCAGCGGAGGCACCCACGCGAGAAATCGTACTTTGTATCTAGTGCACACTCGGAGATGCGAGAATTGATCCGGAAACAGCGGCACTTAGCAGGCCGTCGCCAACAAGACCTACAAAGGAGGGCTCATGACCAGCTCCACCACCGGAGATTATTGTGTCAGATTTACTCCATCGTGGAGTGGATTGATGATAGCTTTCAATAATCAGTATGGTTGCTATGTATTGAGATGAATGGGTAAGGAGAACTCCCATTCGTCTTTCTCTCGAACCTACCTTTGACTTCTTCATCATAAGGCAACAATGGGCTTGATAGAGCCAATCCATGCAAAGCATCTTGGACAAGGGTCGTCCCGTCATTAATGAAATGCTTCGTAGCCATGCTGATATCTTAGTGTGTCTTAGGGCCGTCACAGAGTGTAAAGACAAGGTGCTTGCATCCCTTTGTTCGGAGACGGAGTATATTATAGAACTTCAAGGTCCAGCGGGATTTTCCTATCTCGGCTCACTTGTCTTGGGTATGCCGAAACCTCACCATTCGCCCCGAAACTCCTCATTTCGTAACATAGATCCCCTCTCGGGCGTGTTCTGGACGGTTGTCTTGTTATTGGGATGTCTCTTTTCCGGCTAGACTTTCTAGCCTGGTTTTCGGCCATGTCCTTTTCCTTTCACGTATCCGATTCCCAAACATATGGTAATATTCCCTCACAGTCACGGGACAAACGATATTCTGGGGTACGGATATATGGGTGACCCGGGTGTGAAGACGCATGTGGGCCCGGAAAAGCTGATGCGGGTCAATTTTGCCTTATCCGATTGGCTTCTCCTCATCCCATCGCGTTTGAGGTTTGAACTATGGACACTCGGGGGAAACTCCGCCAACCTATTGGGATTGAGACACCGGGAGACCTCAACTAGTTCCTTACTTAAACATCTTGAAGTCTCAACCAGACTTGCCGCCTTGCACCCCATCATGAAAACTGTGGAGTTTAATAATACGTCATGTTACTCACACGTACCGTTAAGCCGGCGCTCCTGAACGAAGGCAGCAAAGGAGCTGAAATCATTCACAATCTTCCTCCAAGCCCACCCGTGGAAGAGCTACGAACACCATATATAATTGACGATGTTTTGAAAAGCCTAGTACGAGACACGCCTCATGAGCCTCTTGTAGGGTACCCCGAAAGTCCACATGGAGTCACCGATTATGTGTATTATACTCCAAGTGATCTGGACAGATTCGCAAATGGTGCTGTCAAGGAGTACAAACGAGCCGGACTTGAAGAGGTAAATATAATACTCGCCTATCGGAAATATGAAGATCACTAACTCCCATTATAGTTTTCGCACCCAACTGAGAACCGCGTAGTCTCCATCCTTGGCCCATCGAATCTCGATTACATCGTGTCTCTCTTTGCATTATCCCGAATGGGGTATTCAGTTCTGTTACTTTCAACACGTCTTAATACCACTGCATATGCCAATCTTCTCGCCCTTACCAAATGCTCGGATATTGCATACGCCCCATCTAGTAAGAAGACGGTTGATGGGTTGGTGGAGCATACCCCCGCCGCAACATTTGCTATCCCAGAATTTGCACGATACTCAAACGAATCCTCTGGATCATCCCTTGAAACACATAGCACGCCACAGACTAGCCAGAAATGCGCTTTCATCATCCATTCATCCGGCTCCACTGGCCTTCCTAAGCCCATTTTTCAGACTCATGGCGCTTGCATCTCCAATTATAGCACTAGTAAGGGCTACCGAGCTCTAGTCACACTGCCACTCTTTCATAACCATGGTCTTTCTACCTTTTTCCGTTCATTATTCAAACGAAAGGGCATCTCCATCTACAACGCTAATCTCCCGCTGACTGGGAAAAATGTGTTGGAGACAATGATGGTCACAGCCCCAGAGAGCTTTCACGGCGTGCCGTACGTCTTGAAACTCCTTAGTGAGACAGATGGTGGCATTGCTGAGTTAGCAAAATGCGAACAGGTCCTTTTCGGAGGCAGTAGCTGTCCTGATGCTCTTGGTGATCTACTAGTGAATTCGGGCGTCCGGCTGATCAGCCATTATGGAGCTACTGAGCTAGGACAACTGGCGACTTCAGCTAGGCCTCGGGAGGATAAAGCCTGGAACTATGTCAGACCATTTGAAAACGTGAAGCCTTTCCTCCAATGGAAGCTCCTTGAAGATGGTTCCTACGAATGTATTGTTCTTGATGGGCTGAAATCTAAAGTCGCCTCCAACTCTGACGCTCCTCCAAACTCTTTTCACACCCGCGACACTTTTCTCAAGCATCCCTCCATTCCCGATGCTTGGAAATACCTGGGCCGTATTGATGATCGAGTTACTCTGGTCAATGGAGAGAAGGTCCTTCCCGTGCCGATTGAACATCGTATTCGCCAGAGCGTATTTGTGCAAGATAACCTCGTATTTGGCGTTTCGAAACCGCTCCCTGGATTGCTTGTGGTACCTAGTACAGACTGCGAGGGACTTTCTGATGATGATATTTTGGATCGAATTTGGCCCGATATCCAGGCTGCCAACCAAAATTCTGAATCTTTCAGTCAGATCTCGCGCGACATGGTCATTATTCTGGATCAATCTTGCTCTTACCCGATGACTGATAAGGGGACCATGATTCGCAACAAGTGCTATATGGAATTCAACGATCTGATTGAGGCTACATACCAACGTCTGGAAAATGGCGATGTTATTAAGGGAGAGCGCCGGGCTTTAGAGCTGCCAGAGCTGACAAGTTTCGTACTAACCGGCCCCACAATTTTTCTTTCACAAAAATAATGAACCCTCGCTTACGAGGGTCCGCCACCCATATGGAACAGATCACCCATATGGAACATTTTTTCTAAATCTTACCACAACCACTATTATCATCTACCACACCACCAACAATGCCTAAAACCAATAAAGATATAGAGAACCAGATTCAGCTGGCAATAGAGTCTCTCTCTGAGCAATCTAAGCCTAATATTAGGAAGACTGCGCGAGAATTCGCGGTTCCTGAAGGCCGTCTTCGTCGGCGCTGGCAAGGTGGAAAATCGCTTTTCCAACGACAACCTAATGGCCGGAAGCTTAGTATTGCACAGGAGAAGGCTTTATGTGAATATATTGATTATTTTGATGCGGTCGGAGCATCAATAAATCGCCGTCAAATTGCTATTGCTGCCGATTCAATTCTGGAAGAAGATCATACCGACACCACCACAGATCCCCCACAAATTGGCGACCATTGGCTAAAGCGTTTTCTTAAACGGTATCCTGAGTACTATATACGACGTCGGCGAGCTCTTGATGTTGAAAGAGCTACTGCACTGGATAAATCCGTTATAGAGAGATGGTTTCAAGACTATCAACGTATAGTGGCTAAATATGGCATCTGTCAACAAGATATCTACAATTTTGACGAAACTGGCTTCCAAATTGGCGTCGGTCGCGATCAATTTATTATCACAAGACATCCAAAAAAGAAGCTATTTAATGGCTCAGTTACCAATCGCGAGTCTGTCACTGTTTTAGAGGCTGTTTCGGCTGATGGCTTTACATGCCCACCGCTGATTATTCTAAGCGCTAAACAAGCATTACTACGTTGGTTTGATAAAATTGAAGACGACGAGCATCTTGCTATAACTGATACTGGCTATATCAATGATACATTAGCATATCAATGGATTCAGCTGTTTCATAAATGGACAATTTCTCGTACCATTGGGAAAAAGAGGCTAGTTTTATGCGATCGTTTTGGATCACATTTAACGCGTCAATTTGTTGAATTTTGTGAGAAGAATGATATCATTCTATTCTTCTTACTCTCACATACTAGCCATATACTACAACCTCTCGATGTTGGAGTGTTTAGTGTATATAAACACTGGCATAGTGAGGCAGTTGAGGCGGCTACAATGACTGGATGCCGTAAATTTTCAAAGGATGAATTCCTACATTCAATCAGTGAAATCAGACGCAAAACCTTCCGGCCACATACAATCAAGCTTGGGTTTAGATTAACTGGCCTTTGGCCAATTAATTCTAAGCTTATTACCGATGAATTGGATTCGTACGATCCATATTATGATAATATATCCCGGGAAGATACACCATCAGTTAACTCACAAAATACTGAGTTTAGCACCCCAAAAACCGCTGAGAGAGTTCGAAGAATTAGCGATCGTATTAATCAATATGATCCTACTACTCAACGTTTTAAAGAAGGGCTAGCAAAGCTTGTAAAGGGTGCTGAGACTCAGGCAATGTTGGCTGTCCAACTGCAACGGGAATTCGATTCTACACAAGCTATTATGGGAGCACGTCACGCTAGATATGATGCTTCTCGCCGTTATACGCAAATCACTGGTATTATCAATTCAAGCCAGATCAAAGAAATGAAGCTAAAAGAATATAAATTGACTGAAAAAGCCGATCAAGAAAAGACGAAGCGGAAGTGGAAGAAGATATTGGTTGAAATTAGGAAGCATGGAAGAGCCAAAAAACGCCGGGGAAATTAACTTGATTTTGTATTCTAATATTAAAATGGCTGATTGATTTGTTTATTATTTTTAGTTAATTAATTAACTATATGGTGGTGTGGTAAATAGTAGTTGTAGTACGATTTAGCAAAAATGTTCCATATGGGTGATCTGTTCCATATGGGTGGCGGACCCTCGTAAGCGAGGGTTCATTATTTTTGTGAAAGAAAAATTGTGGGGCCGGTTAGGTGTATTTCAGAACGATTTGGGCTTTTCAGACATATCAGTCGACACCGATCTTTTTGAAGCCGGTATTGATAGTTTGCAGGCAATCAAGGCTCGTGGAATTCTCCATTCACAAATTGACATAGGGGCTGCCGCTCTTGCGCATAATGTTGTTTTTGATTGCGGGACTATTACAAAGCTAGTCGCACATTTACATGGACTGCGCACGGGAGAAGCAAGCAAACCAGAGAATGAGTTGGAAGCGATGTCCCAAATGATCTGCAAATACTCGACGTTCGTCAATCGCCCAGCTAGTAACCAAGTTGTGGTAATTATCTCAGGCTCGTCAAAACATTAAGCCATAAATCTAACTACTTTTCATCTAGATTTTGACGGGCACTACTGGTTCATTGGGTGTATACATCTTGTCTCGACTGTTGGAGCTATCCTCGATAAAGAAGGTCGTCTGCCTTGTGCGCGCAGCTTGCGAGCGCAGTGCTCTGGATCGAGTTCTGTCGAGTTTATCCTCGAGGTCTTTACCTATTGTCAACGCCTACAAGATAGCTGCATTCCCTTCGAACCTTGGTAGTGAAGATCTAGGTCTTCCATCGACTGCAATTGACGAACTTCGTGGCTCGTTGACACATGTGATCCACGCAGCCTGGGCTGTAAACTTTACTCTTGGCGTGTGCAGCTATGAGAAACAGCATATTAAAGGTGTTCAGAACCTTATAAATCTGTGTCTTTCCAGCAAGAGCTCTACTCCCGCCGAGTTTTACTTCTGTTCTTCCATATCTGCCGCGGCCGGCACTCCTCTTCCGGCTTATGTCGCCGAAGGTCCTATACCGGAGCTCGCCCATGCTCAGAATATGGGATATGCTCAATCCAAGCTTGTAGCGGAGAATATCATTCACGCAGCTGCTCGGAATACTGGAATGGTTGCAAAAGTTTTGAGAGTGGGCCAGATTGTCGGAGACACTGTCGCTGGGCGTTGGAACCCAACGGAAGCGATTCCCCTCATGCTACAAACCGCCAAGACGCTGGGAGCACTGCCAGCTCTTGATGAGACACCGTCATGGCTTCCAGTCGACGTGGTAGCGAATGCCGTCTTAGAGCTCAGTGGTGTCATTCCAAATACCAAGGCCAAGTGCTTTGCTCATGACCCTGATGTAGTCTACCATGTTCAGAATTCTAGAAATTTTCGATGGACAGAAGACCTTCTGCCTGCTTTGCAAAATTCTGGATTGAAATTTGAGATTCTTCCCAAGAGAGCGTGGGTCCAGCGACTACGAGAATCTGAGCAGGACCCTCAGAAAAACCCAACAATAAAGTTGCTTGACTTTTTTGCGGAGAAGTATGATAACGATGCCCCTGGTCGTTCCGGGCTGTCATTCGCTATGGAGAAGACGGAGTTGTGTAGCCCCTCACTCAATGGTGGTGTTGACTTGATTGATAGTGGCTTGGTCAAGAAATTTGTTAAAGCATGGGCGCCACAGTGGTGATTTATTCTTATTTATTTGCTATTAGAACATATGTACAATTTTCTTTCTATCCTACTACAATTACAATACGATCGACTATGGCCTCTGTTATATAGCCTCGAACCAATGAAACTTTTACTGTATATTCATTCTAATTTTGCGACAGTCACGGTGTCACGGTCCGGTCAGACACTGCAGTCAATAATTAACTTGAATTAGAAAATGTTATACCATTGAGTATCAAAGTGGCAATATTGAATGATCTAACAAGTAAAATAACATAGGTATGTATGTCTCTGTATATGATGTGATCCGTCGCTCTAATAATCACCACAACCCAAATATCCGCAAGAAACCTCGGGACAGCTTAGAGGCACAAAGCGGCAGCTCTGTGCGCTAATTTCGATATTTTATTGTGTGACTGCTTGAACTAAAACTGGGCTAGTGGCGGAATGTTCTAGTTGAATACGCCACCTGACTAGGAAGCGGCCAAGGGGCCGGCAAGGATTTTGGCCAAGAAATTGTCTATACTATAAAGGGCTTGCTAGTTCGAACGTGTAGTCTGATTGCGACACTACCGGAGCCGTGTGCTGAGGGGAAGGAACTAGTTCTTATCTTTCCATCGTCGGCAAAATTCGGTGAGTCTATCAGCATTTACAAGATAACGATCTATAACTTATCCCGTGTCATTATCATGCACATGCATATGCTTGTCATAATCACAGCGAATCTTTAAAATTATCAAGAAAAATCCGATGTTACGACGGGTGCCTCTTGTACCACCACGGAGAGAATCACACCATCCTAGTCAGTTCGGAAAATCCGAGACCAGTTTACTGGTATACAGAAGCCGGGTTAGACCTGCTATTTCGAGCTAAGCTCGTGTATTTCTCCACTTCTAATTCTGGGATGGACAGAGCCCTGGAGTCTTGTCCAAAGCCTTATCTTTCCCCGCATTCCCTCAAAGTCAATTTTGCGACAGGTGCGATAAGCTTAATGATAATAAAAGGATTCACATGCCATACGATTTAGTCAATGACTTAAATAAAAATTTCCAAGCGTAACAAGGATACCCAGGCGACTTACATTCGCTATGGAACCCAAAGAAATGGAATCCAAAGAATTAGATACCGAAACGGTCAAGCCTCTGCCCGATAATGCGGATGAAGAGGTGGGTGAAGGGTGTTTGGATAACACTGAGCTGAAGTCCGAGGGCGAAGAAAATGAAAATGTTGAGTATAATTATGAATCACATCGATCACCTTTTCCTGAGGGTAAGTGCATCATGATTTCAAGTTGTCTGGGAAAACATGCTAGGATATGAATTGACAATCGCAAAAGTTAGAGCTGTTGTTCCCGAAACCGATGACCCGAGTATGCCAGTTAGCACTGTCCGAATGTGGTTGCTAGGTGTGATATTCACAATGCTTGGGTCTGGAATCAATCAATTTTTCTCGTTGCGATACCCCTCCGTTCATATCGTTGCTCTCGTCGCGGAGCTTCTGGCATACCCACTTGGCGTCTTTCTTGCGAAGACTCTCCCGATGAAAAAAGTCTCCCTTGGACCCCTGGGAAGCTTTATGATCAATCCAGACAGACAATTCAATATCAAGGAACATGCTCTGATTGTCGTAATGAGTAACGTCTCCTTCGGCTACGCTACTGCCGACGCCACAAACATCATCCAAGCCTCTAGCAAAGCCTTTTACGATTTCAATCTCAAGCCTGGTTTCTACGTGATGATCGTTCTATGTGCCCAGCTCTTAGGCTTTGGAGTTGCTGGTCTAGCCGCTCCATGGCTAGTCGAGCCAGCGCGTATTATCTGGCCAGGAGTCTTATCCAATTGCGCCATGCTGCAGACACTACATTCTCGCGCGAACTCTATGGCAAATGGGTGGCGCATCTCTCGTCTACGGTTTTTCCTATACGTAACGGCCGGCGGATTCCTCTGGTACTTCTTCCCGGGCTTTATATTCACAGCTCTCTCATACTTCACCTGGGTTTGTTGGATAGCACCCAAGAACGTCATCGTCAACCAGCTTTTCGGTATGCAGACAGGTGTTGGTCTCAGCCCGATTACATTCGACTGGAGTCAAATAGCGTACAACACGAATCCTCTACTATCACCTTCGTGGGCAGCGCTCAACGTCTTCGCCGGGTTTGCATTCTTCTATTGGATCATCGTTCCAATCCTCTACTACAAAAATGTCTGGTTCACAGCATACCTCCCACTAATGACAGCCGATGTCTACGACAGAACAGGCGCAGTCTACGAAACTGCCCGTGTCATTGCATCAGACCATACACTCGACGTGGAAGCTTATAAGAAGTATTCCCCTCCATATCTGGGTATGACATTCGCATTCGTCTACGGTCTCTCCTTCGCCTCAATTACCTCCGTCCTATCACATATTGGTATCTGGCACGCGCGCGATCTCTGGGCTGCCCTGAAAGGCCGAATTCAACTTGATATTCACGCTCGCTTGATCCGTGCTTCATATCGCCGGACCCCGTGGTACTGGTATGCTTCAATTATCGTGATAATAATGGCTATGTCAATCGCTATGGTCGAAGTATACAATACCAAGCTGCCTGTCTACGGTGTCTTCCTTGGCCTAATCCTTCCAGCCATTTACATGATCCCGTGCGGTATAGTGCAGGGTATCACAAACGTGGACGCAAATCAGCTTAACGTGCTTGCCGAGTTTCTGGGCGGATACCTTTTCGAAGGGAGACCGCTAGCAAATATGATATTTAAGATCTTGTCCACTGATGTCGTCGGACAAGGCGTCTACTTCGCAATGGACATGAAACTTGCGCATTATCTTAAGGTGCCGCCGCGGACTACCTTCGTTGCTCAGGGAGTCGCGACTATACTTGGTGCTCTTACTCAGGCTGGTGTTACGTTGTGGATGTTAGGCAATATTGACGGAATCTGTGAGACGGACCAGGCTGATAATTTTACCTGTCCTAATGGGCGAACGGTATATTCTTCTTCTGTTATCTGGGGACTTGTTGGGCCTCGACGTCTTTACTCCTCTGGGAAAATATACTCGTCACTGCTGCACTTTTTCTGGATTGGACTGCTTATGCCGTTTGTTACGTACTTTTTGTACAAATGGACACGACAACGTTTCTGGAAACTTATCAATTGGCCGCTGATTTTCGTGGGGACTTATAATGTGCCTCCGGCTACTGGAATCAATTATTCGAGTTGGGCTTTGGTGAACTTCCTTTTTAACCATGTTGTGCGCCGTCGTTGGTTTGCGTGGTGGACTAAGTATAGTTCGTCTTCCCTGATTTTCTCTTACATATCTCTCCTTTGTTCCTTTCTGGTTATACGTTGCTGACTTAGGACTTTAGATTACATTTTGGCTGCTGCGCTCGACACTGGTCTTGCTCTGAGCGGCATTGTTATTTTCTTTTGCATCTCATACCCTGGTGCTACCTTCCCTGACTGGTGGGGTAATAATGTCTATTTGAATACTGCAGATGGAGAGGGAGTATCATGGCTGAAGATGCCGTCGGTTGGGTATTTTGGACCAGCGAATGGGACGTGGACTTGATTGAGTATTATAATGGAGACAAATATTAACTATCATCCAAAATGATTAGAACTACGTGAGAGACAAGACTACATATTTTGTGCAATCGATATCAAGTCGTGAATTATACATTCATGCTCAGTAAAGTACCATAAAAATTGACAGAAAAACGGATATCATCACTCATGACCCCTTAGCTCCTTTGTAATCCAGCCTGAAAATGCTAAACAGAAAGACGAACCGATCCCAGGAAATACAAGGAAGAATTTAATCAGACAATATGAGACAGAATTATTTTCCATCTTACATCTCCTCCAATGCACAGTTGGGATGCATCACATAAAGAATCTTGTCGTCGGCGTTGGACTCTTGAGTGCCCTTCTCTGACATCATATTGGGTGCAACGCGCAGCAAAACGAGTTCCTATGTTCGAATGATTAGTTATTGGCCTTAATTTTCAGATTTGACAGCTTGTGTAAAGTCAACTTACCTTGACCATACGCTTCAAGACCTTGGTGACCAGGTCACGCTCGCGGCCATAGTCTTCTTCGGTGTCCATCTCGGACTCGATTTGTTCCAAGTACCACACGATCAGCTCCTCGTGTTCAACACCTTCACCCTGGCTGACTTCATCTTCATGCACACGGCGAACGAGCAAGTTCAAAATCTTCGCATACTTATCGTATGTGATCTTAGTCTTTGTACGCTCGGGCTTAGATTGAGCTGCAGGCTCAACTCCGCCTTCGGGCATTGGACTGTCACCCTCGCGATCCCGATCGGCCATCTCTTCGTCCTCATCAGCAGCAGCAGCAGCAGCATGGGCTGGGAGTTCATCGTCCATCTCTACGTCATCCTTCTCAACCGTCACGATACTTTGACGCAGAAGGTCATAGGCCTCGATGACGAATTTAGGAATGACTTCCTCAACACAGTTGGCTTTGGCGACAGCCTCTGACAGACGGATCAAAGACTCGAGCTGACGAACAGTGATACGGTATGAAGAACGACCAATTCCACCTTGGGCATCGTTGGCACGGAGCTCCTTGTACTTCTCAACGAGAAGAGACTTGGCCTCCTCGGTGAAAACGGGGCGGAAAGTACGCGCGAATTGAATGTATCGTTGGAGTTGCTCAGTACTTAATTCGGGCTCCACAGCTTCATCACGGTTCATGTGGACATTGACGATATGCTCAGCCAAGTTGCGGTCAACATGCTCCTTAGGCTCATCACGAACGACGAAGAACACGTCGAAACGACTCATAATAGGTGCACTGAAGTTGAGGTTCTGACGGAGAGTTTGTTTGGGGTTATAGCGACCGCCGATGGGGTTCGCGGCGGCGAGAATGGAGGCGCGAGCATTGAGAGTGGTGTGAATACCGGCCTTGGCGATGGAGATAGTCTGCTGTTCCATGGCTTCGTGAATGGCGACCTGGTCACTGATGTCCATCTTGTCGAACTCGTCAATGGCACAAATACCACCTCCGTTGGCAAGCATCAGGGCACCGGCTTCGATGGTAAACTCGCCAGTCTCAGCATCCTTGACAACTGAAGCAGTCAAACCAGCAGCAGAGGAAGCTTTACCACTGGTGTAGACGGCACGTGGGTGGAGAGAGCAAATGTACTTCAAGAACTGACTCTTACTTGTAGCTGGGTCACCAACGATGCAGATGTTAATGTCACCACGTAGCTTGAGACTCTCGGCTGATGTACTCTTGCTCACACCACTGATCAGCTGAAGCAGAAGGCCCTTCTTGATTTGACGATGACCCCAAATCATAGGGGCAATTGAGTCAACAAGTCGTGAATAGATGTATTCCGAGTGCACCAAAGCCTTCAAGTCCTGCACCTCCGCTGGGGTCAAGCTTTGAAGGAAGGCTTCTTGGGCCTTGTCATCATTCATGTCAGGATCAACATTCTGGTTTAGAGAGGCCAGGATGTTGTTAGATTGACCGCTGAGTTGCTGCTCAGGCTTTTGGCCGGGAGTTGTTGTGTCGGGCGTGACCATGCATGCCAGGAAGGCGAGACGGTAAGTCAGATCACGGACACCAAGAGCCTTCAGGCCAGAGACACCGCCACCTCCAACCTCGCTACCACGGAACGAGCTGTTATCGCGAACGGCTTCGGGGCGCACTCCAGGAAGTCCAAGCTGACTTACGTCAGGAACGACAATCAATGTACCGGTAAAAATACAACGTTCACCGGCCTTGGAACGGTCAACCATCTCACCCCTCAGAATAACATCCATTGTACGTGGCATACTACCGGTCGGAATTTCGTGGGATGATTCCTGAAGCTTGACCTTCTGCCAATCAACGAAGGTACTCTTGCCAATATCCAAGCGCCAGCCATTGCGGTTACCGCACACTGAGTTCGGACACTCAGTAGGCTCTGTGTACTTGAAGGTCTGCTCCACGTTCGGCACAACAGTTTTACAAGCCTCGCAAATGAATGTACCCAGCGACAATTCTGGCCGAATCTCAGATGTTCTCGTCACAGTACCGGAGACAGAGAGCAACCTTCCAATTTGCGATGTTCGTAGTTGGCGCAATCGAGAGACCAATGGGAGGTTATAGAAAGCCAGGGCAAACAACTTGTCCGTCTGTTGGTGGCGAGTCTTCTCACGAATTTGGCGCTCCAAATCTGGGTTGTCGGTGACATTGGCGTAAGCGGATGCTACAGAGGCACTCGAGTGGGTGGAAGCGGTTGAGGCCAAGCGATGGGAAACAAAGTATTCGGGCTCGTACTTGGCGACGAGGTTGTGGAGAGCCTTGGTAAGGAAGGGTAGGAAACGGTAGTATTGGCTAGCAATGGCGTCGGCCAGAATGGGGTTTTCCAAGGACGTCAAGTGAGTGAAGTCCACATAGAGGGTAGACAACTCGAATTTTTTCATGCCTTTGATTTGGGCAATGTAGTACTTGTCACTCAAAACTTCACCGGATGAAGGCGGCGTAGATGATGATGGCTCTTCCATAAATGTTTCGAGGAGTTCTTGAAATGCTTGCTGCACTTTTTCTCCGGCTTCATCGATCACAGGTGGGGGACCTGGCGCATAGGGATTCCTTAATCGACTGACTGTTGACGAGCCACCAGGACCAACCACTTGATCATCTGGGAATGCGTTCATATCACTCATGGGGCCATTGCTTTCGGATCGTCGAGAGCTGGGCAGGTGGTCGGACCGGAGCTGTTCACGGGAACCCGACCCAGAGCCCAGCTCGGATTGAAGAACGGCATCGAACAATGTCGACATTGTGTTGGAGAGCAGAAGGGCCTATGGTAATATTATGAGGCCACAGCTATAGTTTCAAGCTCTCTCACAAGTGCTGTGAAAATAAAAGGAGGGTATTGGGGGGAGGCCGGGAAGGTGGGATACAGAGAGAAGAAGTTGAGATTAATCCACACACATGGAGAGACAGGGGCCACGCTTTTTTTCCCGGGTCGCGTAGCAACGCGTAGCACGCGTTAATTGATTTCTTATGTAAGCTCGTTACGGGACTAGTCAATTGAGCAGGATACTTACACCTTATCCCTCAGGCATCATAGGACATCATCAGGCAAGAATACCTCGGGGACCACACTAGGCCTAAACAGGTTATAGGGGAGTCCAACCTTGAACCCAAGCAAGAAAAAGCTTCCGAACTAAACCGCTTTGGTCACGAGTAAAATCCGACCGACTGCATCACTGGAAGATTTGCCGACCAATAGAATTACTGAGAAACTTCTTCAACGCTTCTTTGACCCTTCGAAGCAGCTGGACAGGATCAACTTCTTCTTCGGGTTGCCAAATAGGATCCACTTCAACACGTTGCGAGCCTCTTTTGGGTAAGAGTAATGTTATTCCCCCTCCCTTTTCTTGGGTCTCGGGGATTTCACTCGGCATCGAGAAAAAAAGAAAAAAGAATGATTACCCCATGATTATTCTATCATTATACGATTATAATAACTACAAATTTTTCATCTTAAGCTTTGGTTCATGCTTCCTCCCCTTCCCTCTCCCCATCCTTTGCTTTTTCCTATTTCTTGACCCAGGACCTTTCAACCCCCTTTATCCATTACTGTGGGGCAATTGGGAAGTGACGCTGTTCGCACGGGCGGAAGGGAGCCGTGTTCGTTGTGCCCCACGCCGAGTCATCCGTGGATGACTATTGCTGGATGATCAGCTCCGTCACCTTGCATCGCCGGAGATTATAATTGCCCTTCTCTAGCGCTATTACCCTCTACTCTCTCTCAAAACCCTTTCCCCTTCGCGATTTCCCCTTGGAAACGATCCACTCTGATTCAGGGCCTGCGATGGTGCCCAAACCCCGATTTCCAACCTGGAGGAATTTAGGCGGCTGTTGGTTCGGTATGCTGCTGTAGTGGCAGCTTCATCGCATTCGATCCAACTTTCAATAAAGACATGTCGGCCAGCGAGCACGAGCTGAATGTGTCGGCTAATCCGGAGGATGCCCCTCCGATGATTGCGTCAAATGTTGCGGGTATGAATCAACCATGCGGGGATTTTTTCCTCATCGCGAATACTCATCTCGATCTGGATATACAGGATCCGCAAATGATGACTCCCAGGTGACCAAGTCGAGACGGCGCAGGCGACCTGCGGAATCCGAGAACCAAGCGAAAAGTCAAGCCTTTTACTTTGTCGACTCCAATTCATCCTCGAAGGAAAAAAGAGCCCATGTAATGCGACACCACGTCCAAGAGAAACGCAAGCAGCGCAAAAGGTCCCATGGCACAATCCCTTCACCACCGGAACAATTACAAGAAGCGTCCTCCTGGCAGGCCAGGAAGGATTCGGGATATGATACGGAAGATATACAAGACCCCGCCGTAACCAGTGCGCCTGGTCTTTCTGGACAAGATTCTTCGGTATGCATCGAAAATCTCGGGCTCCCCAAGGCTTGGCCAAGAAGCCAATGACTGAGGGCCATGAGCCCCCATCTATGGAAGTAATGAAAGTTACAGTACTTACTATGTGCGCAGCTTCCTATCCGATTCTCGGCCGTCAATCCACACGCGCAACCGACGCCCATGCAGTTCGATCCGGCCGGCACGATTGTCGATACATCTCCAAAGGATCCATCCTCAGGCATTCCATATGCCCAATGTCCCGAAGACCTGGAATTGATTGACTTTTGGACAAATAAGTTAACTTACTGGTCTGGACAAAATCCCCTCATCAAAACACGAATGTTTCAAATCGCTTCGCAGCATATAGTGCCCTTTCAAGCCGTCATCCTTACCTACTGTGCTCGCGCAAAGGCACAGGTCCAAGAAAACCCGAATAGCGACGAACTTCAACGTCACGTTATCCAAGCTCGGAAAAATATACAGGATGGTACGACGGGTTCTTTGCAGGTTCACCCAGATCACCTAGTCGTTGCCCTATCGGGCATGGCCCTTAGCGAAGATCGATTCGGAGACAAACAGGTTGCTCAAGCTTATTTAGAGCAAGCTTGTCGGATTATGCGTCCGCGCTCTGGAAGTAACATTCCCGTGGAGGCATTTCTTCACTATGTCCGATTCATTCTACCCTCACCGAATCTACCTTTAGAGCCTAATGCATTGCAATGGCTGGTGGCGTTCTTACGAGGCGCAGAGCAGCTCATGCATATGCACAGTGCCCCAGAATATCACGCACAGGCGCCACAGCGGCTTGACATGTTTCAAGACTGTCAGCTGTTTTCATTACTATCGAGTGGACCTCGACCATCGCAAGTGCCACACGCGTCACGCATGTATGTGGTCCGGGACCCTCAAACCCAGGAGGTCAGTCGAACCACTGCACTCCTCTACATTACTGCAGCTCTCTGGGATTTCAAAGATTCAGCCGACCAGACCAATCGGTATTTAATCTATCTAAAGAACATGGTTGAACAACACCAGCTGGCTCAGCACCCTGCCTGCGAAACACTTTTGTGGTTATTATTGGAGCAAGGCTGTGATCCTGACCTTCGAAACCCTGAACGAGCATGGTCCGTTGGCGAGATTTTGAAGACTCATCGGCTTCTCCGACCTGAGCTACAGTTTAACTTTAACGAGATCTTGATGAGCTTCTTGACACTACGTTCACCGATTCGCGGCATTGACGTGTTCGAAGAGGAGCTGCAAGATGAATATAAATAGTAACGCGTTGTATGAGAGACACAAACACAGAGAGAGAACACAGACATTTACGCATGAGATCAATCACATAAATTCTATTTGGTTCCGCTTGCAGATTGCATACACCGGCATAATCTCGGTAGTTAAGATCTATGAATCAAATTGATGCCGCTAATGGAGGTGAACGTGGGCTTGGCATGACCCGAAAACCAGGACTAAGTGTAATCGTCATGGATAACCACAAAGGGAACGAACCATGGCCGTGCACGGGTGTGGGCCAGGGCAGAGAGGGGGGTACAGGAGAGTACGGTCTCGGCAAGGCTCTACATTACCAGGTACTACTGTGGGGGTATGTATTTGATATCAGAAAACTGCGAACCAGAAAAGACAAAAAAGCAAAAGTCCATGACCTGTCGACAAGCTGAGAAGATGCGGTGGACACGACGCGGGTGCTTGGTGGGTCCCCATGAGCCCAAGCGGAGACCGAAAGCAAAGTTCTCCGAAAGTACCTTTTGCAGCCTTTTCCGGCCATTTGTAGCAGAACCCGCATCTGTTACGCGGCTCCTGTACCTTCCAGGTACATACAGGCACCAACCTCCTATCGCGCGCGATTGTTGTCGATGGTGTCGATCCTTATCGGGATCATGATTATCATGATGATATCACCGTGTCGATTTGATCCAGCATTTCTCCCGCCCCCTTTGCCCCTATGACCTTCCATTTGCATTCCGAGGAAGGCGCAAAGATTGGCTGTAATCTGGGGTGCGTTTGACGTGTGGAACTCATTATGATCTAAACGGTATGTCTGTCGTATGTTTTCATAGGTTAGTCTGTTCTAGGTATGCATTATTCAATTATTCGAAACTTTGTCTCAGCTCTCCACTTTGAACCACCGCAAATTTTTTCCTTACTAGGGCTGAACTGGCTGAATTGGGCAAGAGAATTCTCTACAATCATCACACCCATGGGAAATTCTGATCCTCCTCAATAGTGCATCCCACTAGTGGTTCTTAGCGTGGCTCGGTCGCCCGATCTATTGGGACCAACTCAGCAACTGAGCTGCGTATCCATGGTGCTCATCGGCGATCATATTTTCGCGAGCCTTTTTTTGTCTAGTCACAAGCAAACTACCACACTAGCTTCGGTATGTTTTCTCTGTAGCTTTTCTTTCTTTTTTTGGCTGCCTTTCTATGATAGTGATATGCACCCAGTAGGTAGCACATCAAATTTGAATGTCATCAGGGAAGTCAAGAGAGAAAACCCCCTGGATTCCTAGTTACAAGTGATGTACAACAATCCCTCTTACGCATAGTCAGTCTCCTCGGGTTTCATGTCTGAGTTTGTTGTTTAATGTGATATGTATCCCTTGCGGGGCGAAGAGGTTTTTGCTGTGGCTTGTGCCGTGGCGCGGACTTCTCCGATCTCAAGCTTGTAAGCAGGTCAATTATGTAAACAAGGCCGAACAAATGAAATAAAAAATGAAATGAAAAGAAAAAGAGGTATGGATCCCTCAATTGTGGATTGTACAGCTCACCGAGTCATCGATCATGCTCTGGTGCACCATAGAGACGAACCTCCCTAAGCCGATCGTAGGATTTGCAGAGATGATCCAGCCAGAGTCCAAGTCTGGATCGGCCACTCGCCACACGTAATTTCGCAGAGTGGAGTCAAGCTAAGGAGCTATTCCAATTAACTCGGCACAGATCAGAATAACACGAGCGGAGGGAAAACCCCTGCTCGCCATAAAAAATTAATTAAAAAGAAAAAAAAAAACCTTGGTTACGTAGTTTTACTGCACATATCCACGATCGTCGTGGTATCTGGGATGCCCCTCCCAATCTCTAAACTTTAAACTTTCTCTCTTTAATCTTCCTTTTTCTCTCCTTTCCAGTCACTCTTTGCCTCTCCTTTCTTTTCCCCCTCTCAACTTCATCTGGGGATAGTATCGTGGTTGCACCCCTTATACGACAACACCACGTGCACTTCGACCTGTGCATATACTGTGACTACTACTTGGAAATAGTCATTCGGCCACAATGAGGGACTACATCGGTACCGTCGACCGACTGGTCGCTCGCGCCAGCGACCCAAGCGCGACCTCCAGCTCCGCGTCTGCGTTCTTGACTACATTGGTCCCCTCTCTGATCGTGTTTGTTGTGATGGTCTTGCTGTTCATTATGCTCCGCAAGACACAGCACCGCATGTACATGCCCCGTACTTATATCGGATACCTGAAGGACTGGCAACGCACCCCGGATTCTCCCACTGGTTTCTGGAACTGGGTCAATTCCATGTACCAGCTGCCCGATACCTATGTCCTGCAACACCACTCTCTCGATGCATACCTCTTGCTCCGCTTCTTGAAGATTATCTCCCTGATTATGTTCGTGGGTTGCTGCATCACATGGCCTATTCTGTTCCCTGTCAACGCGACTGGTGGTGGTGGACAGACCCAATTGGATCTGCTGAGCATGTCCAATGTTTCGGACAGCCAGTACGGTCGCTACTTCGCGCACTGTTTCCTTGCGTGGATCTTTGTGGGCTTCATTTTCATTATGATTACCCGCGAGCACATCTTCTATATCAACCTTCGTCAGGCTTACTTGTTCTCGCCTGCTTATGCTAGCCGTATCTCCTCGCGCACTGTTCTTTTCTCCTCTGTGACTAAAGACTACTTGACTAAGGAGAAGATCACTGCTATCTGGGGACCTAGCAAGGTTAAGAATGTCTGGTTGGCTACGGATACCAGCGACTTGGAGGATAAGGTTAAGGAGCGCGATGATGCTGCATTCAAGCTTGAGGGTGCTGAGACCAAGCTTATTGTTCTTGCCAACAAGGCTCGCGCTAAGGCTCTGAAGAAGCAGGGAACTACTGAGGAGGGTAACACTGAGGAGGAGGGTGTTGGCCAGTTTGACGATGAGTCTGGCTCCGTTGCGGCACGCTACATCCAGGCTAAGGACCGTCCTACTCACCGTCTCAAGTTCCTTATTGGCGAGAAGGTCGATACTATCAACTGGGCTCGTTCCGAGATTGAGCGCCTTACTCCTGAGATTGAGGAGTTGCAGGCCAAGCACCGCGCTGGTGATGCTCCTCTGGTTTCATCTGTCTTCGTTGAATTCTTCCACCAATCCGATGCTCAGGGTGCTTTCCAGTCTGTCGCTCACAACCTGCCCCTTCACATGACTCCCCGCTACATCGGCCTGGACCCTACTCAGGTTATCTGGTCCAACCTCCGTATCAAGTGGTGGGAGCGCATTGTGCGTCACAGCGCTACTACTGCTTTCGTTATTGCCTTGATTATCTTCTGGGCTATCCCCACCGCCGTTGTTGGTTGTATTTCGAACATTAACTTCCTGGTCGCGAAGGTTCCGTTCCTGAGCTTCATCAATGATGTTCCCAGCGTCATCCGTGGTGTCATTACTGGTCTTTTGCCTTCTATTCTGATGGCTGTTCTCATGGCCTTGGTTCCTATTATCATGCGATTGATGGCCAAGTTGGGTGGAGATCCTAGCGTCTCTGCTGTTGAATTGACCACTCAGAACTACTACTTCGCTTTCCAGGTTATACAGGTGTTCCTTGTCGTTACCCTGTCATCTGCTGCCACCAGTGTCGTCACTTCCATCATCTCGAAGCCCGCCTCTGCGGCTACCCTGCTTGCCAGCAATATCCCTCGTGCTTCCAACTTCTATATTTCATACATCGTCCTGCAGGGTCTGTCCTTCAGCGCCGGTGCCCTTCTGCAGATCGGTGGTCTGATCGTTGGCAAGATCCTGGGTCGTCTCCTAGACAAGACTCCTCGTAAGATGTACACACGTTGGTCCAACCTGGCTGGCCTTACTTGGGGCACAGTCTACCCTGTCTTCACTATGCTTGCTACTATCGGTATGTCTTACCACCTCTTTCTTATTCTACGCTCCTTCCATTCTAATACACATTAATCAGGTATCATCTACTCTTGTATCGCACCTCTGGTTCTGGGCTTCGCCTGTATTGGCTTGTACCTCTTCTACTTCGCCTACCGATACAATGTGCTGTATGTTTCCAACGCCACCATCGACACCCAGGGCAAGGCCTACACCCGTGCTCTGCAGCATCTTACCGTCGGTTGCTACCTTCTCATTGTCTGCTTGATTGGTCTCTTCGCAATGGCCAGTGGCTCCAACCAAATCGCAGTTGGACCTTTGATTCTCATGATCATCTTCCTCATCTTCATCATCCTGTACCACCTCTCAATGAACGCCGCCATGGAGCCACTCATCCACTTCCTGCCCAAGAACCTCGAGGCCGAAGAGGAGGGTCTCCTAGCCGCTGACCGCAAGCAGCTTGGCTCCGTCGATGAGTCTAACGGTGCCGGTATCGCCAAGGAAGAGCACAATGGCGTCTCCAACATCGACAGCGGTGTTGGCAACGTTGACTCCGCCGAGAAGGGTGTCAATGGCTCTGCCTCTGCCTCAGCCTCTGGCATTTCCGGCAACTTCTTCACCCGCTGGGCTCGCCCCGATAAGTACTACGACTACGCTACCCTGCGTCGTCTTGTTCCCAGCCCACTGGACATCCAGTCCTACCCCGAAGAAGCCGAGCGCGACGCCTACTGCCACCCCTCCATTACCGCCCAGCCCCCTCTTCTCTGGATCCCCCGTGACAACCTCGGCATCAGTGCCCAGGAGGTCGCCCACACCAACCGTGTCATCTCCATCACGGACGAGGACTCCTGGCTCGACGAGAAGAACAAGATTAACTGGAACATGGAGAAGGGTCAACCTCCTATCTACCAGGAGAAGATCAACTACTAAGCTATTCTGGCCAATTGACATGATCATTACATAATATCGGTCAATTTGTCCCGATGGCTTGGATATACCCATATACCCATCATCTATGCTCTGCGTACCCGGATTTTGGATTCGAACTGAACTTGGTCTATTTTGATACCCAGCGACTCAGCCATTCAATTGTCTGATTAGCTCTGATTTCGGGCTTGTGCCCTAGATTCTCATATCTCCGAATTTCCTTTCTGTCTATGAACAACACGGTGGAGGAGTGATCGAGTAATGCTTCTCAGTCTGGATGTCTGTCTACCTGGCTTCAGACTTGGAGCTATTCGCCTCCTCCCCATAATTATTTAAATTCTTAATATATGGCTGATGTGTATGCGTCATGTCCTTCATAACCTTGAGAATGTTGCCATGATACTCGTCTTGGTGTTCACGTTTCATGATCGAGTAGTTACGCAAATGAAATGTATATTATTCTGTCTCATCTTTCCCTGGCTTGTTGTAGCACCTATTTTGTAGCAATATTTTCTTACTTGAATCGCTTCTCCTATTGTATATCTAGGAGTGATTCCTTGGTATAAATCTCTACCATCCGAAGATGAACGGGCTAATGGATAGACCTTAGATACATATATCGCTCTACAACTTCAACATTTGAACTTGACGGTTAACGCGCGTTGCGGAAACCTTGGAAATCAGCGGTGAGAACGATCATCCATTAACGCTGACAGTTAGGCAAACCCCCAAACATAACTTGTGTCAAGGATACGCCCCAATCATCCGAGTCTTACAGAGTACTTGAATACCCAAAAATGGGCCTATGTGTATATCGTCAAGCATTTACCCCGCTGCCGTCACGGTGCACTCCGTACGATCCTCGGAATTTACTCGGCCTACTGCCAGTGGATATCCCCCCAAAGCTACATGTAGAGAACAACCTTGGAAGAAGAGTAGGTGGTGGAAAGTCCTGAGGTCCTACTTAATCTATAGCGGGGTATAATATATCATGATGTATACCCAATTTTAAGTCGGATCCAACCTACAAGAGGCAGTATACTCCGTCCAGTATGACAACCAGCTTAAAAGCTGCATGTCTGCAGTGATTTCAAATTGTGAAGAAAATCAGCAGCAAAGTACAGAAACCACAGAAATCACTAAAGTAGTGTAGTGCATTCTGCATTCTGCATTCTGTATGCACTAGCTACACTGGGCGTATTCTGCAGCCATTCATTCAAATACCCACTCCTACCCACTTCCCGTCTGCAAATGCAGGTAACACAACAAGCCAGTCTCGCCACATCAGAACATCATATTGCATTAAGTGCATACCCTAAGTGAAAATCCTTACTGCCCTCTCAAAATTTTACATTGAGATTTGATGTATGATAAAGAATGCATTAAGTACTGTTTTACAGCCCACTGTAAATCCTGGGGGACACTCATGATATCTTAATTAGCCGACCGCAACAGGACTTTGTTTATTTTGATCAACAGACAGGAAAATAAATAGTTCAAGTTTCCGAAACAATTATGGAACCGGGGTTGTTTTGAATCTAGCCTCGGAGCAAGGGGATATTTCATTGACAAAGTGCCACTATCATCATGGACAATGCTGTGGCAGGTCTTTATTGGCTGAGTGCTTTTTAGACTTATGTACAGGGATGTTCTGGGTGATTTGATGTCTCTATCCATCCTGGGGTTTGGCGGGTAACTTTGCTTCAGTACGTGTAAGAGACGATACCAATACGGTAATATGTATTTATGTATTTTATGATACCGTCTTGAATCTTCCAGCTTCCAAAGTTACTAGCCAGGGCTAGAGCATGACCTGACATGTAATTTATCTTTTGTTTATTTACCAAGGTTATTTTATCAAGGAGACTTAAGAGGTCAACTCAATCAGCCAAGTTTAATGTGATCCTTCGTCCCAATCCTCCGGACATCTACCGTACTGTGTGTGCTGTGCGAATCATAATCAATCGTATCATCTAATGTCGGAATCACCTGAATTTTCAAGACTACATTACATTATCACATCATAATCTCCTTCAAAAGATCACCTGGCACTGCTACAGCATGTAGAATTAGTATGCCCCTTTTATGTCCAATGAAATACCCGTCCCGAAAATCCATGTCCACTCGAGTCCTCTACCCACTACCCCTAAATACTTAATAAAACTCACGCTTCATCAACCCAGTAATTCCAGCTTGGAAACTTCAATTCAATACTAATTCCATGATGCCATCCCTGTCAAGTCACGCCACAACCCCTCCCGCATGGTACTTTTGTCCTCCGTAAGACACACCTGGATATATCCTCCGCTCTCATTACCTACCAGAAGTGGAGATATTATGCGACTCCACCGCAAATCCTCAAGTTCAGCCATTCACAACATTTCACACGGCCCGGGGAACTGGGCGCGCGGGGCTAATGGGGGCTGGAGGGGTTTGTAACTTGTGTAATAAAAAGGTAGTGTTATTTTTCTGTGGATGAGGGTTCCACATGGAATATCCCTCCTGTATTTTAAAGAAGTCAGGTATTATTCGATTGATTCGTCTGTGTACCCAGAATTTATGATCTGGATATCTTATCTTTGGGAATTGTGGACTAGTGTATTCAGTATTCAAGCAAGATACACGGAGTACCTACATAGCCATTTAGGGCCCGGAGCTGTTTAGCGAGAAGACAAGGATCATGATATGGAACGCCACCCATGTAGGAGGCCGCTAGCGAAGGAAGCCAACCGATTTATGCATTTTAATAGGCTACTGCGGAAATGAAACAATGACACTTCGGATCCCTGTTCAACTCCACTTGATCGACAAAGGTACCATAAAACCATGTCTGGACTCGGTGGTGGATGTCTGCAACTTCAAGTTTGCCCAGGTGCCTCGTGGGCAACCGCACTATTATGATGTATACTAGTATTATTGTAGGATAACTTGCATACGATGGCATATACAGTATATTTCAGATCTCTGCCAATTCTGTCTTTAATGCTTTTGGTTCGTTTCAAGAAGTTGGCTACTATAACTCAAATGTTTATGTATACATATAGAAGTGATTCGCTAAGATGCCATGCATGCGCCTACAATTGACATTTAGTTTCAAATACCGATTACAGCCCCAATTCGCTTCCAGGCCCAGAGCTCAATAATTCGACTACAAATACAATGTATGCACTCGAAAATCTCTACCCAGTGGACCTTGACCTCAATCACTAGCCCAACGTCGCATGTGCACGGTAGTCAAATCCTCCCCCCCCCACTAGACATTCAAAACACTAGCAGCCGTTGGGTATCCATAACTTCGACCCAACGCATCAAAACGTCAGTCTAACGGTCAAAATACTGGAGCTACCGGCCTTCCACTGGCATTCTGTGCAAGGATCGTGGGGATGCCCCTCGTTGAATGACGAATCAGGATTTCGCATGCATTTGACAGCACACAGTGGACGACAGGGTTACATGTAGACGTAATGGTATGCACTGTCAGCCGTGTAGTAGAATTGCAATATAATTCGTGTGGGCTGTTTAATGTTGGATCCAATTAGGTGTGTATGTGATGGGAATGGATGGAGAATGCATGTAGATTGATTCATTAGAGAGCAGGGATGATACTTCCGCTCCAAGGTTAAGATCAGGATTTGGTTTTGCTTGGATACAGTATTTGTAGGTATTTCGCAGGGTTGCTGCATGTTAATTAAGTTGTTGGGGCTTAGGGTGCATGAGTATTTCCTTGTTGCGGTACGTGTAACCGAGAGAAAGAGACGCGTCTACGCTTCCTCTTTCCAAGGTGTATGGAATGATCTGTGGATTTGAAGTTGTATGAGAGAAATTTCATTTTCCTAGGTACGTAGGTTGTAATAATGATAGATACTGGAGAGCCCTGCGTTAAATAACCCCCCAAAGCAATGCAAATGTAACCAACAGGCCCAAAATAAAACGCCGTGAGCCAGCGCCGTGTGCTCCAGGTAGATAAGTAGATGCAGCAAAATGAATAAGAGACAGGTATAGTGCACCTAGGTGTGAGTGATCATCTCAAAAGATTGTAGGAAAGTCGAGAGCGAATAGGTCAGGTAAAGCCAGGAAAAGCGGCAGTGGAAAAAATAGTAGAAAAATAGGTTGAAGACGCCTGAACTTGAACAGCAGTCCCTTCGGAGACTGGAATTTCGCGCCAAAGAAAACCAATTAAATGACAGCAGGAAAGAAGGGAATAAAAAGGTATATTGGGTGAATATTGAAGATTTCGACCGGGGAAAACGCTTTTTGCTGGAAATGGGTTCGACACGCTTAATCGCACATAAGAGGAATCGGACAAGATCGTTGTTTAGATCCGGACCCGTGAAGCTCGAAACGCAGATAGATCGATGGACTCAGCCGAGGTAGAAGAGTCATCGTCGACTTCAATGGGCCCCACTGCGACGGTTGAGGGTTGCTTGCTTGCTTGGGTAAGAGCTGCTATCCGAGCGAGTCGAGCAGCTGTGGGAGTGGGAGGTGGTTTCGCTAGTTCCTCTTTTTCTTCCTCGGTCGCTTCCTCCTCTTGCTTCTTCTTTTCCTCTTCAAGTCGGATTACTTCTGTCTTGACCATTTCCAGTAGCATCTTGAACTTCTCCTCCACGCCATCGAGTTCTGTTCCGCAATCACCAGACCGGAGAACTTGGTACGCGGCCGTTTCGCAGAGCCCATGCGCGAGCTCTAATTGCTTGTCTGCAAAGTCAAAGGGTGACTCCTTGCCCAAGCCGTTTGATGTCCCAGTTACACCAACCACTCCGGACGCGGTCCGTGTGCTTCGAACACAAGCCAGCGAGGCCATGGATGATTGTTCCGCTCCTCCAAACTGACTAGAAAGACCAGCGCTGCGGTTGAGCAAGTTCGCGCGAAGACCTCCACGAGGCATCAATGACATCTTGCCGCGGCGGATGTTGTTCCTTGCCATACCGATGTCCTTGACAGTCTCTTCCAGGGACTTCTGTGTGTGGCCGTCATATTCGATGATGACGCTGTGGCGGGTGCAGACGAAGGCGTGGCGTTCACCGGAGTCGATAGAAGGGGCTTCATCTGCACCGCGTTTACGACCTGCTTGTTGTGCTGGGGCAGTTTCGTCCTTCGGGGCTGTGGTTGTGGTGGCGACTTCTACCGCTTCGGAGGCGGGAATTTGTTGTTGGGCGATGGGGATGAGGTCCTCGGTGTGAATGGAGCATACGGAACTGTTCTTTCGGCGGCGAGGTTTGTATGAGGCGTGTCGTCGATAAGCCTCGGTGAATTCGGCGTGTTTGGCGAAGGTATGTGCTGCCAGCTCGGAGACGCGGGTGATCCATGCGGGCAAGTTGGTTTGAAGATGGGAGAAGGCTCCCAGTGCATCCATGGGAGGTGCAGCCATTCCAAAAGATCCGGTTCCTCCTTCCTGGTTACTTGTTGATTTGATATATATCCACCGGGGGCCTTTGCAAGGCACAGATGGGTTGGGAAGAAGAAAGGAGAGGGCGGATGTATAAACAGTTTATGGTTGGAAGGCGGCTGTTCGTTTCGTCGTGGTTATCGTATGCGAGAGAAAGGGGGTGTTTGGTGCGGGGGTGATGGTGAAAGTGCGGGCGCAAGTTGTTAAATAATGATCTTCCTTGGTAAGGCGACAGATATACTTGGACAGGACTAGACGGTGAATGCTGGGGAGGGGTTGTTGAGAGAGAGAAAAAGCGACCCCAAGGACTTGGGACCAGAAGAATCGAGAAATGGGGAGTCGAGCGGTATCGTAACCGTACAGTACTGAGATACATCAATTACGTTAAGGACTGAGTTCCAAATGAGTTTTGGGTCATGGCGGAGCTGTTCGGTACGGAAAGGATCTACTCCGCCTCCCCGATTCTGACCTTGGAAAGAAGTGCGCTACACCAGTGGTATAATCTAGACATCTAGAGATTGATCCATGGATATAGAGTATGGGATATAATAATAATAATAATAATAATAATAATAATAATTTAGAATATGGGAGCTTAACTCTCTATACTTTGTTGTTCTTTCCTTTATAAAATATTTTTCTTTGTTAGGTTCCTACAGCCGAAGAATACAAGGAATACCACCTGCATCTTGGCAATCCTCATTGTATTTTTCTACCCTACGCGGCCTAAACTCTGAAAACACCGTGATACTGATTTACAAGGAAGTTTAGCTCGCTCTCCTGCATGTCTGTGACACTTGATGAGCGGTGAGCAGGGGATCATGCAGGCCATTGACACTGACACTGACACTACGCTTAGGGTGTCATGATATGCATGATCCACGTTCTATCCCTCGACAGGATCACCATGACAGGCCTCAGACCACTAGTATAGTCTAGCGAATGTTAGTGTTAGTATCTGGTCATTCCATTCCATTCCAAGCCAAGCTTAAGCACGGGGAACTGGCAACAAGCCCGGCAGCCGCATTACTATTGACATTAGCAATGACAAATACCCAGTCGAAAAACAAAGCAACCAGCACCTGAGATCAACATCCCTAACCTACCATCTTTCCAAAGTTGGAAGTATCCGTCTACTCCGTAGAGATGAGCATGCATATTATTGTAACAGAACTAGACTCGGCAAAGACGATCCACCAGCAAATTTCATCCAAACAAGATAAAGAGTTGCGACCAGGATGTCGCAGAATTCACTCAACCGAGGCGGGAACCATTCCTAAGAGGGATTTGACACGTAACGGTCGGGGATCGGGGTCCATGGGGAATCACGGGGGCCATTCTGGATTCTGGAGTGAAAGAAATTCCCCAAATTACAGATTAAAATCCATCCCAATCCACCAAATGAAAGAATGTCTTGAAATGTTGATTCTGGTGGATATTACCGGTGCCACGAATCCACCTTGTACGGAGGCTGGTCCTTCGCGCGGGAAAGCCCGTGAATGGGGCCCCGTCGCACCGATCAGAGCCTGTGGTTGGTTGATCGGTTCCTCATCTCGAAGCCTCGGTCGCCCGGGCTTGTCACGTATGTGGTTCTGTACGTACGGGACTCCATACACAGGTCCTCGAATGTTAGGACTTGGCACGGTATTGCAGTCGTATTATTCACTTCTGGTCACTCCTATCCATCACTGGGAGGGCCGCAGGGCGGTTGCTGTTGCCACTCCCGTCTAAGTTTTGAATTTTCCATGGAAACACGTCAAAGCGTATTTGATACCGACCGCTTCGCGATGGTTAATGATTGGATGAATCTGTGAACTTGAAGGGATAACAAGGCTTAGGACGACTATGGGAAGGGAGCAAGGGCCTTGGACTGTCCAGAGATGAATGGTGGCTTAATGGGCACGAACTCCACGTGATACTTCGCGTCGTATATCGAACTGATCATCTGTTAGTGTCAAGAGTTAAGAAGGAATGGAGTGTAAGGGAGTCTGCTGATATGCAGAACGAAGTGGTCATTAAAACTGATTAAAACATTGAAAAAGACAACAAAGAAGACGAACACATGAAAGAAAGATCTCAACTCCAGTATTAAATCGCATTCCCAGCATCAGATCTCATTTGAATCGTTCATGTCCAGTCACCATACAGATCTCAGAGATAGGAGAAACCCCAGTCACACAGGTCAAATTGGCTCAGGCACAATGGATTTCCGTCAAAGGCGTTCGTCATTCGTCATTCATAACCACAAAAGAGATCGATGTATTTGTATTTCATTACTGTCCACCCCCCCAGGCTGCTTTCCATTCTTCAATGTGATCCAGGAGTTCTCTGGTCGAAGTGACGACAGCGGTGTAATCAACTGCCAGCTGGTTGAGACGCTCTTCAAGCCGTCGTGAGTAGGCAGAGTGGAGACCCAGTCTCATGGAACCCTTGAGGTTGTCTGTTGGGTGATCGGGCATCTCGTATTCGGTGAGAACAGTGTTCGGTTCAGGCTCAGCTTCTGTGACTGGCTGAGTAGAATGGACGCGCTTGCGTTTGGTGGGGTGAGAGTCGTGCTCGTTGACGGAGGGGAGTGGGGAGGGATCTCGCACAGCCTTAGCCTTGGGTTGGGCCTTCTTCTTGCCCTTGCCCTTGCCCTTGAACTTGCCCTTGACAGGGGCATTCTTGATGCTTCGGCTCTTCTTGTGGGCCATGTTGTCAACGGCTGATATAGTAGGTTGAACAATGGCGGCCGCAGAAGCAACCGCAGAAGACGGACAGGGCACAGAAACAGCCACAGTAGAGGACGGGGCAGCAAGAGAAGAAGACGAGGGCCCAGCAGCAGAAGCTGAAGTAGGAGCAGAAGAGGAAGGGGCAACAACAGATGAAGATGGATAGGTCTGGGGAGTCAGGTTAACGAATCTTCTTCGTCGGGGAGGCATTTTTTGTGGGGGGACTTGGGAGGTTGAGAGGTTGGAAGTGAGAGAAGCGACCTTGAGGGTTGAGTCAACTTACCATTCCGCCTTGATCTGCCTGTGCGCGTTCGCCAATCAATATATGTGCCCATTGCACTACATAAAGAAGCTCTACTTACAAAATTCTCGCTATTCACCTCGTGGAGGCACTTCTTCTTTTTATGCTTGCACTCTGCGCAAGCCGGGGTACGGCGACGGACCACCTTGGCGTGGACGGTGGTGTCGACTACAATGATCAATTATAAAAGAACGGTTAGCCACTGGACGCAGAAGTCAGCAAGCAATCATCGTTACCAGTCTCCATGGTGAAGGTTGTTTTGGGTGGTCTTGATGGTGGGTGGGTATGGGGCGAGGGAAGAGAGGGGAATAATCGCCCACAAATGGAGAGCAAATAAGCCTACCCTAAAGACACCCTGAGGCTCAAAATGAGGTATGTTGCCTAATATTATTGCACATTTGAATGGAATTGACTACAATACCATATAGACCGTCATATTAAGGTATCTGGGTGAATGGAACAATAGTATCGATATGGAATAATAGTATTGACATGGAATCTTCCTGTGGAATCTTCCTTTTCAATTTAATTCACCTCCCCAAAAAGGTCATTGAAGCCTAAGTGCCTCATAAGCATCCATCCCCCTTTGAGAAGAACAATGGAATGGTGTTCCCACTTCAAAGAAATCCATTCAGGTCTTTGGTACATATGGTGGCCGATACATGTAGCGTTTGTCAAGAAAAACACCTTAGTCTTCACAGATGCGCTCTTAGTGGTTCGGTTTTTATTGTGGGCCATGGCGTCGGAGTTTGAGGCTGTTGTAGGTGCAGAAATTGCAATGGTGGAGGTAGCAACAGCAGCTGAAGATGGTGCAGAGAGAGCAGAAGCGCAGGGCGCAGCAACCGCAGAAGAGGGAGCGGGCACGGAAGAAGCAGGCAAAGGAAAAGACAACAAAGGAGCGACAGAGGAGGAAGATAGTTGGTACTGAGGAGTCAAGTTAATAATCTTCTTCGTAGGAGAGGCAATTTTTTTGCGGACATAGGAGGTTGAGGTTCTTCTTGTAGGCTATGGCGTCGAAGGCTAAGGCTGTGGTAGGTACAGAAATAGCAACAGTAGAGGTAGAGGTAGCGACAGCAGCAGAGATAGCAACTCAGAGGTAGTGACAGCAACAAAAGATAGTGCAACGACAGCAGAAGCGTAGGGCACAGCAACCGCAGAAGAGGATGCGGGAATAGAAGACGATGGAGCAACGACAGAGGAAGATAGGTACTTCTGAGGAGTCAAGTTAATAATTCTTCGTCGTCGGGGAGGCATTTTATACGGACATAGGAGGTTAAGAGGTTATAAAGACCTGTACCTTATGGACGCCTTGTGAATCAACCTCTTCCAATATCCCAGGGGCAGCAACTGCAGAGGAAGAAGATGGGGCAGAAAAATCAGATGAAGAAGAAGGTATAACAGCAGAATATAGATAAAGATGAAGAGCCAATAAGCCTACATTAAATAACTGAGGCCTAAGATCAGGTATGTTACCTAATAAGATTGTTACTAATATCATTGTATATGAATGCAATTGACTAAAATTGGCTAAAAACTAGCTAAAATAACATCTTCATCGTTCTATTGAGGTATCTAGGTGAATTGAACAATAGTATTAACATGTAATCTTCCTCTTACTATAATTCACCGTCCCAAAAAAGTTATTGAAGCCTAATGCATAGCATTTCTTCTTCAAAGAAATCCATTGAGATCTTTTGTACACAACTTTACATAGGCAGCCAAGGGAAAAAACCTCCATTTTGACCTATTTGAGACTGGCAAAAACTACAATACCTGTAATATAGTACCATTATATCTCTCAAGTGCTCAAGGGCTCGTCTTGTGTTTTGGCTCCTTCTTCTGCTATTACTGCGCTCTCTTCTTCTTATGTCGTTGCTGCGGCCTGTACTTCCTCTGTCGTGGCGCCCTCTTCTTCTTCTTCTTCCTCCTCTCAGCTTTGTTATTTTCGTTTGAATGCACTAATCGTCGATTATATCTTCTTGCCAGGCCACGTAACACTGCGGTTGCTACACCCTATACTTCTGCTGTCGCTGCGCCCTCTTCTTCTACCGTTGCTGCACCCTCTTTCATTCTTGTTGCGCCCTCTGCTTCTGCTATTCGTTGGGTGATCAGGCACTCATTGAGGGCAGTCCTCGGAGTTTTAAGCTCAGTTTCCTGGGCTGACTCGGTCGCAGTGGACGCGCTCTGTGCGTCTGGCGGGATGGGAGTCGTGCTCTTCAACAAAGGGGAGTGGGTTATGATCGCGCACAGCCTTAGCCTTGGCTTGGGCCTTCTTCTTGCCCCTGAGCTTGGACTTCATGGTGCCGTTATGGGTGATTCGGACCTTCTTGTGGGCCATGGTGTTGGAGGCTGATGTTGTGGTAGGGGTAGAAATCGCGACGGTAGAAGAAGCAATAGCAGCAGAGGAGGATGCAGCAACGGCAGAAGAAGAAACGGGCACAGAACAAGAAGACGAAGGAGCAGCAACAGAAGCAGAGGGATGTTTAAAGATAATTGGAAAGACACTGATGATTAGAAGGACAAATCAAAAGATAAGTAGAGAAACATATCTTAAGATAGCAGGATTGAAGCTTAACCACCTGAGCATGTAATTTGGCGGTACCCGTAGACTACAGTACCAGCCTTCCAAACTTGGAACCTTTGAAGGTTGAAATGTTGTAGTACACAGTAATGATATATCCCTTATCTTTCAAGGTTGTGTTGTTGCTTCTTGTTCCGCCCTTACTGCGCCCTTCTTGGATTAGAAGACGTGATTCTGTGTTCTCAGTTGACGAGAGGGAGGTGTATATTACTATGTGAGTGACTTTGAGTGCTTTCCTGGGTGTTGAAAAGACTGGATAAGAGATGTGATATGTGATGGAGGAAAGGCAAACCAAAAGGTAGAAGGCAGGTGGTGTCAGCTGAAGTGAATGAAGATAGAAGAAAAGAGACGGGACGAATGGGAAGCCGGGGGGAAGATGGAGATAATTCACCCAGACAGCCATACGGCTCTACGAGAGAGAGCGCGTATGATTTTCATAAGAGAGCGCACATAGTTCTACGAGAGAGCGCACCCTTTAGCAAGTCAAATATGATCTGCCCAGGTGGCTGCTGTTGTATTTGATGCTGAGCTTGGCGCTCAGCGCGAGACGAAAAGTCCACGAGTTCCCCTTCAAAGACTACGCACAATCGTGGTCTTTTCGCCGTCACCCAGCCATACTCCATACTCTCGGGTGACGGCGAATTACCCGTCCTGGGTTAGCTCTCCCCTTTAGGATTAGCACTTCAGGCGTCCTGCGATCGCCGTACGTATTTCAAGAGAATATGGAGGAAGACAAAAATACTCGTTCTTTGTTCCTGCGTTGGTTTCTTGCGGATATCGGTCCTGCGAAAATCGAAAGGGTCTGTTAAACTCGGTGGTTAATGTACAACCCTATTGCTAGGATTAAAACACAGAAATCCCGCATCTCTACTTTTTTACTGATTTGCCACAAGCCATAGCATCCGCAGATAAGAAATGGTCCCTCTACACAGCTGTCTATCTTTCCTTGAATATAGCTCGTGTAGCCCTCCCCCGCTATAATGAATGTAATATAGATATCATCGCTATTTCGAGAGACGACTAAATGCCTAAAAGGGGGCTTATATTAGCTCTATGGAAGCGTACATAATAATTTCGAAGTAGGTGCTTTTTTAAATTCCATCAAAAGACCCATTAGCGCCATAAGCTTGTATAAGGTTGAATAGTACTTACACAGTCTCTTGTACGAGAATCTTCTCCAGCCCTTTTTTTCGTTTTCGCTTCAACTTGACTTCGATACAAGCCAGGAACCCTTTGTCTATAACACGACGGAGAGCACCATCTGCTACAGTATTGTAATTTGCTGCGGCGAAACATACATGTAGCCATACATAGCTCATTGTCCACTCGACATTCATCGGGTGGCCGAGATAAGTGACTGTCTCTAAAAGCAACTGCAATGCGACATACACAATGGTCTCATCTTCCGCTTCAGTCTCCAGGAACATGCCCCTCTCATTCACCCCAGGCTCAATATATCAGCATCTAGAAGGATTTCCTTTGGAAATAAGTAAAATGCATAGGAGAAAGGGTACCTTCTTCATAATGCTCACGATATCTGCAGTAATCTCTGGGTATTGCTCTGCTTCAGCTTGAGCCCCATGGCTAGTAAGGCCACTCTTCAGATATTGAACAATGATTGTGAGGTGGAGTATATGCATCTCAAGTGACGATAAATGAGGCTGGTGAATTCATTGGTCATCTCAGAGATAAAGTCTAATGCAAGATGATTCTTGCAGTAGAGCTTCAAAACCTCCTTTCGCTCGTTGTTTGAGCCTCGTCCTGTTTTGCTTCCTAATGTCTCGGTTCTTCTTGCTGGCCATGTTGTCGATGGCTGAAACTTGAATTCTGGGTTGAGCAACGGCAGAAGTAGAAGTAGAAGCAGAAGAAGGATAGTAGGAATAAAAAATATGGATATAGTAGTAGTTTTGGTTAATCTCATTCGACTAGAAAGCCTAGGTAGTAGCTTTCGGTCGTTACTTGATTTATCAACATATAGCCTTGCTATTTCATGTCTTCTTAATTGTCTTCTTAATTGTCTTCTTAATTGTCTTCTTAATTGTCTTCTTAATTGTCTTCTTAATTGTCTTCTTAATTGTCTCCCTAACTATCTTGCTAATTGTCTCCGAGAGACTTATTTCCGCTGGCCGCTATGGACCCAGTAGGCAGCTACAAGAATCTTATGGCCACAATTCAGTGTGTTCCCAATGGCCAGAATACTGATCTCGTGCACTTTCCAAATATGTCCACTTTTCCCGTTTAATATCTTCCTGGTTAGACAAGTCCAGCTGCTCAACCTCATCAGGAATGATTATCACAACCCTGAAATTAGCACGGGCCACTGGGTCGTAGAGGTCGGTCACTTTTTGTCCCAGTCGTAAAGCGTCATCACTAGGCAATTGAGATCGGGGCTGTCCAGGAGGGGGACTGCGAAAGGAACCTGGGATACACGTTAGCCAGGTGACGCCCCTAAAGAAAGCATCGTAACATACCACGCATGATCGGGGAGTGGTTCGCAAAATACTTGGTCACAGCCTTTTCCCAGCTCCATGTGTTAACATCCCCTTCAAATCCTCCTTTGGTCCTCAAGTAATCCTTAATCTGGCCTCGAGAAGCTTTTTCGCCTTCATTATCCTCAACACCAAAGCAATCGCCGATAGAGAAAGCCCTTCCCTTGATCCGCCATTGAACCATTTTATCCTTCAGCCAGAACATAGCTTCAATGGCATGGCCCGATGAATAAAGCTGAGGCAATTTCTCCATCCGAGAGTCTGTTGTAAATGTCAACATATCACTCTCGAACACCAATGGGTTTCCGTCATTTGCGACCTGATTTTCCATGTCCTTTTGTCCGCTAGGATGAAGTTCAAGCTCTGGGAAGAAGCCACGGCAGCCACAGGTACGGACCCGAGGAACGGCTTGACCGTTTGAGTCATACGTGACCGTAGCTATTGAGAACTCGTAGCCTGGAGTTTGTTTGAGATGCGATGCTAGAGTATCCCGCCATGGGGCTTGAGCGTTTCGTGGCTGTGCCATTTGAGAAGTGGTTGATAAGAAAGCCTTGGTCCCTCTGTGCTGTAGGAATTGGTCAAATCGTAAATGCGATGAGGTTGCTTCAAGACGCCTGGAAATAACCCGAATAGAATTGATATGGCTGATATTGCTGGAATGTCGCATGTGCTACTTAGTTGTGGATGATTTTCGCGTTGTGTTGATAGTGCTAGTGGCGCAGATTGATTCAAAGCGTTTTGATTGGATACTTCGAAGACAATCTGATTATCGGAAAGTAAATGGCAATATAAAGCACTAGTGGCTGGGCAGTGGGAATGAGCTCGAAGGATTACCCTAGGCAAGAAAGGAAACGAGTGCGATTGAGAGTGATGTGGTGATGTGGTGTGGGCAGTGTGGATACGGCGGTTGGCCCGGCCGCCCGGCGGGGTAGTAATTACCTAACGTCAATGGATTTGAACATTGAAGACAATCATGAACTTGTAGGTTTTCTTGAAGAAACTTCTATGCATAACAATATATTTTGTTGTGACCTAGAATATCGGATTTTAAATACATAAAGGATTCAAGGACATTTATGAAGCAGTCGGAAGCGTCCGGATAGGGGGTGTTATACAGTGTCATGCCCACGCAATCAAAACGTGCGGATGGCCCATGCGTGTGCATGATGATTAGAACAATGCAGTAGTATGCACCAGGCCCCACACATTAATCAATTGGCGTGGAATTGCGGTGAACCCTCTTCCAAGATTTTTGGATGGGCTCGGGGCGGAAAACGGGCAACTAATAACATTGATATTCATACTTACTGTATGGAGTACAATTTGCCCAAGCTAGAGCCGGTCTGCCCCACTGCAGCCTGAGTGCATAATAGGCCGAAGGCTACGGAATACATATTCATGCGCCCGGCATAGTCAATTCGGCATCCCGTACTGAAATTGAGTTTCAATGTTCAAATTAACGCAAGCTTCAGATATCAGCAAGAGGCATACTGAATGACTCCGACAATAAAATCAAAGATGCGATTAGGGGATATCAGCCACTCATTCGACTTCCGTAAATCATAAAGAGGTGATGCTAGTCGCGAACAGCAAGGGAGTAGCGTAGCAAGACTATTAATTCCGAGTCATGCCAGAGCACATGTGGCCTCCCACAAACGGCTTTTAGCCGACTAGTAGTACCCGGCTATGTGGTAAGACCCGCTTATACTTAATTTCTCAACTTATGAACTAACGTATATCTCGATTAAACCGGGCCTATATCCATTTACTCCACGGGGCTGCGAGAGAATCCTGCCAGCTGGCGTTGTGGAGCCTGAGTACCTGCCTATGGAGTTACTGAGGGATTATTTGTACTTATGAAAAGAAAAAAAGTTTAAAAGGACTGTCTTCCCAGCAAAACCTTTCAGCAAATATAATGGTGCTTTGAAACTTGCTACTTAAGTCTCGGAATAAATTCTGATCAATAATATTACATGAGATGCGTGTCCAATTAAAAGAGCGGAGCCCAACGGAGAAGATGTCCGAGCTCACCAATGGAAATACTGAGACATATGAGCCAATGGCCATTGTCGGTATGGCCATGCGTCTACCGGGAGAAGTATACAATGGTGAGGATTTCTGGAATCTTTTGGTTGAGAAAAGGAGTGGAAGCTGCGATGTTCCCAAAGATCGATACAACATTGATGCCTTTTACGATGCAAACGACAAACCCGGTACCGTGCGGACAAAACAAGGGTATTTTCTCAATACCGTCGATATCCAACAATTTGATAGTAGTGTTTTTACAACTTCTAAGAAGGAACTGGAGCGGCTGGATCCGCAACAGCGTCAGCTGCTGGAAGTGTCCTATGAATGTCTAGAAAATGCAGGCTGCACCTCATATCGCGATAGCAAAATTGCTTGCTACGTGGGTGTATTCACAGAAGATTGGCAAGATCTCAATGCAAAGGAGACCCAACATATGGGTGGATATCGTGTGACAGGATATGGAGACTTTACATTGAGTAATCGGGTTTCCTATGAATTTGACCTTCATGGCCCTAGGTAAGCCTCCTCTCCGTTCAGATAACTCCATTGACAGCAAAATAATGTTCCTCCAGTATGACGGTTAAGACAGGCTGTTCATCTTCACTAGTTTGTCTAGATTTAGCCTGCAGGTCTATCCAGGTAGGTGAATGCGACGGGGCCTTAGTTGAGGGTGTCAACATGATCTTTTCCCCTACTATGACTCTGGCCCTCAGCGACCAAGGTGTACTATCACCTACTGGATCTTGCAAGTCATTTGATGCTGCAGCAGATGGCTACGCTCGTGGAGAAGCCGTCTCGGCCATTTATATCAAGAAATTAAGCCAGGCACTAGCAGATGGGGACCCTGTTCGAGCCGTAATTCGCGGCACTAGCGTTAACACAGACGGTCGCACTCAGGGTATGTTGACACCAAGCTCTATTTCTCAAGAGGCCTTGATACGTCGTGCATATGAGGTCGCAGGTATTTCCGACCTCTGTCAGACCGCTATTGTTGAGTGTCACGGGACCGGTACTTCAGCCGGCGATCCCCTTGAAGCTGCCGCTGTTGCGAAATGTTTTGGTGAGAAGGGAGTTATCATCACATCGGTCAGAACTCAATAAATCAATCCGGCTATTTGAGTAGCTCGAGCTGATATTTTATTTGGTTGAATAGGTTAAACCCAATGTGGGACACTCCGAAGGTGCCGCCGGCTTGACAAGTCTGATCAAGGGTGTTTTGGCCCTTGAGCACCACCAAGTGCCCCCGAATATCAACTTCAGCACACCCAACCCAAAAAGTGAGTCTTGACTTTTATATTCAACGTCGAACGGAGACAGAATGCTGACATCTTTTCTTGTTCTAAAAAGTCCCATTTGAGGAGTGTAAGCTTCATGTCCCCATTGAGCTCGAGCAATGGCCCCAGGGCCGTGCAGAAAGGATCAGCGTTAATTCGTTTGGTATCGGTGGTGTTAACGCGCATGTATGTTCTTGACCGGCTCCAGAAAATCTACATCTGCCCCCCAAAATTCGATTACTGACGACCACTTGGAAGGTTATTCTGGAATCCGTTGAACAATATAGCCTTCCGGAGCCCAAAGAGCACGAGACAGTTGTTCAGGAACCACTAAGCCAACAGCACCTAATGCTTCTCTCCGCCTGTAGCGAAGAATCCTTGAAAGAAACAATAGAAAACCATCGCAAGTATACCCAAGACAACGCGTCGTCTTTGCGCGACATCGCATACACACTGTCAAATCATCGGTTGCATCATGCCTATCGCGCCTATGCCGTGGCAAAAGAAGCATCCGACTGGCAAGTTTCAGCTATCGAAACCGTCAAATCCAAGCCAACCATCGCCTGGGTATTCACAGGACAAGGGGCTCAATGGCCAGAGATGGGTGCTCAACTGATCGATACGAACCCCGTTTTCCAAACGTCTATCAGGAATTTGGATCAATTTTTGTTGAGTCTGCCGAACGCTCCATCTTGGACAATTGAAGGTAAGTTCAGAAATAAACACAATCTCGTGAATTCAAAGCCCTGAGTACTAACATTATCATTATAGACGAGATTCGCAAAGTGGACGGGGTCAGTCTAGTTCATAGAGCCGAAATGGGCCACCCACTCTCAATTGCCCTACAGATCGGCTTGATTGACGTTTTAAAATCTTGGGGAATCGTGCCCAAGCTCGTTTTTGGCCATTCATCTGGAGAAATGGCTGCTGCATATGCTAGCGGCGCTATTACTGCCGAGGGAGCGATGGCCGCCGCAACTTTCCGGGGAATCAGCAATACCGAATCAACGCAGAAGGGATCGATGGCGGCTATCGGTTTAGGCCGCGCGGATGTGACCCCATATCTCGAGTCGGGTGTTGTCATTGCATGTGAAAACAGTCATATGAGCGTAACTCTCGCTGGCGATGCAGAACCGATGGTCGCCGTTGTTAATCGCATCAAGGCTGATCACCCTGATATACTTGCTCGCTTCCTGAAAGTTGAGAAGGCTTTCCATTCCCGTAAGTTTTCAAAGCCCAAAATACCGCATTGCTACCACTGACCGTTCCCTCTACAGATCATATGAAGGAGTATGGTGCCTCATACCGAGAACATATTGGACCTTTCATCACTAGTGTTGATCCAAAGATACCATTCTACTCGGCAGTTACAGGAGACCGGCTGACAGGTAATGGATGTCTCGGGCCTGCGTATTGGCGCCAAAATATGGAGAGCCCCGTGCTGTTCAATTCATCTATGCGAGCTGTTCTGAGGGATCACAAAGAAAAGTTGGTCTTTATTGAAATAGGCCCTCATTCGGCTCTCAAGGGACCCATGGGACAGATCCTACGAGACACCAGCCGGTCCGAAGAGGTCCACATTGGCACATTACAGCGAAATAAGAGCTGCCATGAGAGTTTGCTGCAATGCGCTGGTAATTTGTTCCAACAGCATGTTGCCCTAGATTTCGCTTCTCTCTTTCCAGTGGGTCGATGCGTCAAAGATATGCCCCGGTATGCTTGGAAACGCGACGCCTCACACTGGTCTGAATCACGCGTAGCCAACGAGTGGCGTTTCCGCGAGTATCCTCCGCATGATCTCCTAGGTATTCGAGTAATCGAAACGGGCAGCCAGGAGCCGCATTGGCGGAATAGACTGGCTTTGGAAAATGTTCCATGGCTTGGTGGACACGAAGTCAGCGGCCAGACCGTTTTTCCCGCCGCAGGATACATCAGCATGATCGGGGAGGCTCTGCGCCAGTTGAATAGTGGGACTGAAGGAGAGTCCACCTACAGTCTTCGGAACGTCCGTATTGCCTCGGCAATGGTGCTTGAGCCTGAGAGGGTCAGCGAGCTACTAACTAGTCTGAAGCCAATGGCCCTTGACTCGTCAGATCAGACTCCCTGGTATAGTTTCACGATTAGCTCGTTTGACGGTAACAATTGGGTGCGAAATTGCTACGGCGAAGCACGGAAATCAGTCGAAAAATCATCTCCTTTCTTACTGGGGCCCGAACAGATCATCGAGTATCCGCGAAAGGTAGATGAGAACTACTGGTACAATATATTGACTAAACTTGGCTTTGAATACACCGGAGCTTTCCGCGGGCTGCAAAAAATCACATCTGGAACTGTTACTAGTCAAGCTGCAGCAGTTGTTCCATTCGACGAGAAGCATAATCAAGGTGATCAATATCCTGTGCACCCAGCAGTAATTGATCAGTGCTTTCAGATTTTCACTGTAGCAGCCGCACGAGGACGAGGCCGTGCTTATCGCCAAATTGCCGTGCCAACATTTATCGAGGAGATTGTCATTGCCCCCTCCAACAATGGGCACTTGGACGCGATGGCAAATATTGATAGTTATGATCGGGGATCTTTCGTCGGTCACTTGAGCGCTCAGAGTGGGGGAAAGGCAGTTCTGAGTCTCACTGGATTTAAAGCCACAGCACTCAGCTACGCGGAGTCCGCATCTGATGAACTGCCTCTAATCAACCAATTGGAGTGGAAGCCTCACAGTGATTTTGCGGACATGAGCAAGTTAATGCGTCCTCGCCAGCATTGCCCCTCAGAATGGCTACTTCTAGAAGAGCTTATCCTGCTATGTATGCTGGATCACCAGAGAAGATTAACCTTCGAGCTCTCAGCTGAGCATCTTGTCAAGTTCCTCGCATGGCAACAAAAGCAAATTGATCGTTACCGTAATGGACACAATAACCTCGTTCCAGCTGATCGACGCCTTGAAGATCTCGATGAGGAAAATCTCTTGGCTCGAATTGAGAGTATTGCCGCACAGGTCAAAACATCGCCATATGCTGTATTCGCCACGGCAATTCACAAATTATTTCACTCCGCGACAGCTATATTCAAAAACGAGGCTCATCCACTGCACATTCTCCGAGAGGAAGATGTTTTGAGCGAGTTCTACGCGGTGGTAGATGGATTTCTTGACTATGCAGATGCAATCCAAGTTCTAGGCAATACTAATCCCCAACTACGAGTGCTGGAGATTGGTGCTGGGACTGGAGGAACGACCCGAAAAATTATCAGTGCGCTTACTTCTTCGTATGGAGAGCGACTATACAGCAGCTACACTTTTACTGATATTTCTGCTGGTTTTATGACCGATGCGAAGGAACTCTTAAGAGAATATGAGGGAATTGAATTCATGGTATTTGATGTTACCCAAGATCCTATCGCACAGGGCTTTGAATTGGAGAAGTACGATTTAATTGTTGCAAGCAACGTGAGCTACCCAGTTGTAGGAAAAATTATTTTGGAGCTTTCAGCTAATTATTTAGGTTATCCATGCCACGCCATCGTTGCAGGAGTCTTTACGTACTATTCGCAGTTTGCTGAGCCCTGTTGGATGTCTTTTTTTGCAGGAACTCACTCCTGGTGAGTTTCGTTTCGTTATTGAGCATTGAAATAAGCTAATAAGATATACAGAGGCTAAGTTCTACGACTACGTCATGGTAAGTTTCTTTGGCTTTTGAGATCGATCTTTCCTAAGGCAATTGTTAACACAGTATCTGATTTCAGGGATATCTATCGGGATGGTGGTTAGGAAACGAAGACGGTCGTACTGATCAACCATATGTTACCGTAGACAGATGGTCTACAGAACTGGTCGCTGCGGGATTCCGAGAACCCGTTTCAATTTTAGACGGGATTGCCCCTTACCACAGCAATGCAGGAATTCTCGCTACGGTCCAGAGCACACAGACCCCAGTCACCCGCATTACCTTGCTCTGTTATGATCCAGAAGGCCCCTACGTGCAGGAATTTCTTGATCGACTGCTAGACCTGGAAATTACTACCGATGTCTGTAACTTCGGGTCAGACCTTCCGCCGTCGCAGGACATCATTTCCTTGCTCGAGATTGAAAATTCAATCGTGCACGACATGTCCGAAGAAACTTTCAAGACGCTCCTGAATTACCTACAGACGCTGCAGAGCAATGTGCTATGGGTTACCCCGGCAGCTCAAGTAAACTGTAAGGACCCCAGATCAGCTATGATTCTGGGTCTAGCGCGAACTGCACGAAACGAACTTTCGATTCCACTATATACCGTTGAAGTGGACAGCGAGACAGCAAAGTCAGTTGGAGCAGATGCTGTGGTCCAAATCCTTCTTCGCATTAATACAGTGGGTCTTGATTCAGAGGTAATGGACCCGGATTGGGAGTTCGCTATTGTCAAGGGAGAGATTCTTGTGCCTCGTTTGCACTGGCAGACGGTGTCTAGTGCACTAGACCGTTCACACCAATCAGACTTTGCTACCTCTCAGCGTATCACCATCGGAACACCCGGTCTACTTCACACAATGCAATGGGAGGATCAGAAGATTGAGAGCCTGAAAGAGGACGAAGTGCGAATTCAGACAAAGGCTGCTGGTTTGAATTTCATGGTAAATCGAGAATTTTCGCTACAAAATTCGTATGCTAATCATGTTCACTCTGTAGGATGTCCTTATCAGCCTCGGTGTTATTAGTATCGGAGCCAGCGACATGGGGCTCGAAGGCGCTGGTATCATTGAAGCCATTGGGCCTAATGTTAACAATCTTGCGGTTGGAGATAGAGTGCTTTATATGTCAACTGGATGTTTCTCTACTTCCTTCACTTTGTCAGAGAAGCTATGTATTCGGCTAAGTAATGATATGAGTTTTGTGAAAGCAGCCTCGCTGCCATGTGTCTACGGTACAGCTATCATGGCGCTAATTGACAAGGCAAATCTTCAACCTGGACAGGTACTTTGTATGCAATCTTATAACAGAATCCATTTGATCTAACAGCTTTCTAGTCGGTTCTTATCCACTCCGCAGCTGGCGGTGTTGGTTTGGCGGCCATTCAGATTGCGCAGATGATTGGCGCGAAGGTGAGTTTCCTTGAATCTGAGATAAATAAAAGGAGAAGCACCTGACAGGAATCAGATTTACTGCACTGTCGGTAGCGAAGCCAAGATCGAATACCTGGTCCAGAATCACCATATCGAGCGCTGTCAGATTTTTAATTCGCGCGACTCATCATTCCTTCGTGACATTATGCAGGCTACTGATAACGAAGGTGTGGATGTGGCACTCAATTCCTTGTCAGGAGACTTGTTGCACGCAACATGGAACTGTGTCGCCAAGTTTGGAACTATGGTGGAAATTGGAAAACGTGACTTTCAGCGTCGAGCTAAGCTCTCTATGGAATTGTTTGAGGCTAATCGAACATTTGTTGGGCTTGATCTCAGAGATCTTAATCAACAGAAACCAGAGAAAGTGGTTGAGTAAGTGCTTCCTTTGATATGTGTGCGTTTTATCCTGCTGATAATTTCCCAAGCGTGTTGAGGCGATGTGTGCGATGGATCGACTCTGGAAAGATTACCCCCGATGCTGTTACAAATACGTTCCCCGCTTCACAAATTCAAGAATCATTCCGGTTTATGCAGGGTGGTCGTCATATCGGAAAGATTGTCATAGAGATGCCACATGATGCGAAGTCTCCAGAGTCATCCAAGATCAAGCCAGTTTCAACCCTGCGCCCCGACCGCACATATTTCCTTGTTGGTGGACTAGGCGGTTTAGGTCGAGCGGTGGCGACATGGATGGTCGAACACGGAGCACGCTATTTGATATTTTTATCTCGTTCTGCTGGTACTCAGAACACGATTATTCGTGACTTTGTCCAGGAACTGCATTCCCAGGGCTGCGCAGTGCAGCTTGTTGCAGGGAGTGTGAGCGAGAAGTCTGACATTCAACGAGCCATCAAGAACGCTGAAATGCCAATTGGGGGTGTAATTAACATGTCCATGGTGCTGAAGGTGAGTTTAGCGTCTCCCCAGAAGCTCATTATTTGATCTAATTCTAACGATCTTCTTCTCCTTAGGACATTCCTCTATCAGGCATGACGTTTTCTGACTGGATGACAGCAGTTGAGCCCAAGGTTCGTGGTACTTGGAATTTGCACGAGGCTTTAGAATATCAACCTACACCACTTGATTTCTTCATTCTATACTCATCTTTCAGTGGTGTTGCCGGACAAAGGGGCCAGGCGAACTACGCTTCCGCCAACACCTTCCTTGATGCCTTTGTCCAATACCGTCACAGCAAGGGACTTGCCGCATCTGTCATCGACATTGGGGTAATGGGTGAAGTTGGCTTTGTTTCACAAAACAATGATACCCTTGAACGCTTTGAGAAAACCGGTATGCATTTGTGCAAGGAGCAAGACCTTCTTGACGCCATGACTCTGGCTATAGAGCGCTCCTCCCCCAAGCCACAGCCGGATGCGAGCGTAACCACCTACCAAAACCCCTCACAGATCATGCTTGGTCTTCACACCACAATCCCTATCACCTCGCCCTCTAACCGTGTGGATTGGAAGCGTGATATGCGCACCATAATTTACCGCAACATCAATAGCGGAAACGAGGGTTCCTCTTCCCCATCATCATCGGACAAGAACAGTGACTTGAGAAATTTTGTCGTGGTTGCTACTGGTAATCCAAATCTACTTGCAGATGATCCAGAAGGTTCTGCTACAATTATTGCGCAGGCACTTGCTGTAGCTCTAGAAAGCCTCCTCATTAAAGAAAATATTTCGCTAAACGATTCGCTGCCTGCTTCGGGCGTCGACTCGCTGGTTGCGATGGAGGTGAAGAACTGGATTAAGCAGCAATTAAGTATCGAGGTAAGTACATTCACTTTGCTTCAAAACTCACCATTGATTGCGTTGGGTGAGAATCTCCGTGTATTACTTGCTACAAAGTTGGGGCTACGGATTTAGAAACTATCTTGTAAATAACCCTAAGATACACAATTCAGTTGAATTAAATTTCTAACATGACTTATTAATGCACCATAATCATGCAAGTTTTGGAACATAAACGTTGAAATATCATGTAAAAAGCTATCTTCTCCACGTCCTTATTGTGAATCAAGCAACTTAAAGTCCTTTCTCTCTGACATCCACGAAATATTCTAGAGACCCTCCAGGTTTGAATGCAATATTTCCAAGATATAATTTCCGGTAAATACATACAGCGTCACAAAGTCCAGAGCAACACATGAGGAACACTATTGGTTTCTCGTGGCCAAGCTTTTCAAACACCAATCCGATTCAAATTAAATGAGTCGTGTCAAGCATGAAAATTTGCCAGGCATTGATAATTCTCGCCTTGAAAATGAGTTTCCGGACATTACAATCAGCCACCATAATGCATACACAATCCTGAAAGAATATGACCGCAGACATCCCCGTGATGCTGAAAATTCAATTTCCATTTTGTTTTGATACCTCGGCTTTTTATACCTGAGCATCAAGGAGTACTCCGGGTCAATAAATTTCGATTTCTCCTTACCCCTGGTACTGTTAAGGTGCCGATCTACTTAGAATATTTACAAGAAATCAAAGACTAATATCTGTCGATATTATGCCTCGCTCCCTTCTGGGGAACTTCCAAGTTTCTGTTCGGCTGACTTGGAATAGTGCACAGCATAGCCTAGGTCCTATATAGCAGCCTCGGGATGTGTGCTATTGGCCACTGCAATATAGCCACGCCCCAACACCCAGCGCAACGGCCGATAAGCCATAAATATTCCGAAACGCATTTTTCACCATACGATCAAGGCTATCATCCAGCTTCTTTTCAAAATCTCCTCCCGATTTGTTGTTATCTGGGAATGGAACATCTGGAACTGGTTTCCCCAAAAACTTGCAAAGCGGCTCCCTAAACCCACATTAGCAAAGTACTTCCACGCCCAAAGACTCAATCTTACCATCCATCCTGAACAGTCCAATCTAGATACTCCCGCTGCTGTTCCGCCAAAGAATCTTCTAACCGACAATAATGTTCTTGAGCTACCCGCTTCCCATTTTTGTTGAAGTCATTTTCATAATACACCCGCTGAGCCAGATCAAAAGCCCACCACAGCCAGCACAAATTAGAATCAAACCAAGTCAGAGTCCACAAAGACCAACTAAACGCCGCCATAATCGTGGATTGCATACTGTCATACCATGCATCGATATTCCTTCGCCGATTCAGAATTACTTTCGCATGCGGATAGAATTCCATGAGCTCCCTGCCGAATATATTGGCTGGACAATCGGTTACCGCTTCGAAGTTGGCTAGGACTGAGTCAAAGTCCACATTTTCAAGTGGCTTTCCTGCAAATTTGCGTCGCATCAAGGGCACCCAAAAAGCACAATCGCCACTTTCATATTGAGTCTTTTGTAAAACGAATCCGTGATATACATCCGGGTAACCCAGGATCATGAGTGCGGAGCGTAAGGAGTCGGTACCACTTCGGGATAACCCTAGACAAAGGACTTGCATCTCTTTGTCTTGACTGCGGTGGTGATCGGGTGGTCTGCGTGAGAAAATTGTTCTCTCAAGTATGATTGATGGGAAGTGGGAGAGAGATTGCATTGTGACCGATGAAGAAATAATCGCTGGCTTCGAGACTTTAGTCGACCGTGAAGAAAATGGTAGTATTTATACTACTTCAAATTGAAGCGCGAAGGACCTGGCCGCAGCAGCTTCTCAGATGCTCGAAGAAAAGGGCCTGAAATTCACCACGTTGGGAGGCCTGGAATATCATATGATACCGCCGTTGGACGCCTTAACCCCCACTGTGAGAGGATCTTCAACGCAAGGAGGCCAATGTCGAATCGGCAAATCAGACAATTCGGAAAATGCCGTCGGTGAATGTGCTGCGTACGAAATACTGAATATGAGAACAACTGGTTAAGCACCCGATGTAGCTAGGTAAACAGCTTAGTAAAATTTATTATTCTCTTAACATTAAGTGGTATCCAAAAAGTTTATGTTTCTCATAAGAATCGCCGTAGTAACACTTGGCATCAAAATTACTAACTGTGCATAGACTTCGTAACTTCATCTCTGTTCTCTTTTGAGTATCGTTGATTGTTAAAGTGATAGCATAAAGCCATGACCCCAAAGGAGCATCGTAAGAAAAATAGAAAAAGAAAATATAGCGTCATCCTCATTGGGACTGCTATTTTGAGTCTCATGGTTTGTATGGTGAGTTGTCGCGGACAAGATAAACTTCACCTACAAGCACCGTGCATCCTACAGCCATGGCAATCGCAATAATGGGAAGGTTGACACGTGCGAACTCCAAACTTCCAACTCTGATGTGTTTTCTCTGCAGAATATCTCGCCACAAAAGTCCAGCCAATGATGCACTAAATGCCGTACTGAAAGCACCGTAGTTGACACCAAGAGCCATGCTATAGACGGTAGCCCAGAATGTGCGATTGCTAATAGGAATGCCATTTACTTCGTGAATTTGTAGCCATGATTGAATGACTCGCGACAAGAGGATCGTTGTGCCGATATTAGTTCCTGCGAACTATTTTCCGAGAAGGGACCCAAAATATTAGCAAGAGATATACACATATTGGGGGCTTGATTTAGACTTACATTGCAAAGAATTACGGACAAGAATCCCATGCCGCCAATTGCGCCCACGGTACCAGTCTTGGTTACCCAGTGATCCCATCCGTATGCGAACACCGGGACCCAACCCTTAGTCACAAGCGCCTGTACAAGCACGAACATAGCCAGCGCAAACGGTACTAGCGGGAAAGGCATGTGGGAGACAACTACAGTGACAGTTGGGAAAGTCTCCTGTAACCACTGGTAGGAATCGGCAGCGATTGAGACTAATGTGGTTCGTTTTTCGGTCTCAGCTTGGTATGGCTCATCATGTTTCTCGACATCAAGGGCGGAATGTGATAAATCCACTGGCTCGGGAGAAGATTCCAAGGCCAACTTTTGGGTATCTCGGACAATGACACTATCAGGCGATTGAATTTCGGGGAATCGCTCCTTTTCGATCAGAGCGGATGTTGACAACGGGGTCTGAGAATCCTGGTTAAGGGCCTTGGAGTTGAAACTGCTATCCAAGGCATCAAGCGAGGTACTGTCATCTGCAGGGCGTGATGTATTTCGTGACTGTTGAGAAGTCTCTAACGGACTTTGCTCGGGCGAGTTTTGGAGAGAGTTTTGCATAGACTGTCTTTCTCGCTCTGCTCTTGCAACTTCGATTTCCCGTCTGCCCTTTGCAGCAATCTCTCGCGTCTCATGCCTGTGCATCCATCCAAATATGACATCCCAACAGAACATCACAAACGCAGCGGGCAAAGTGACCCAGAACACAGGGTGTTCTTTACCAGAGTTACTGGAGGCATTAATAGCCAATATGGTGACGAGGGTGGCAGTCATGATGACCGCTCCAAATGCAGCACCTCCTTTATCAAGAAATGGATTCATGATTTCTTCCAACGAAAGTAGCTTCCCTTGTTCATTGTTAACGTCCTCTTCTTCCTCCGCAGTCCCCCTAGCATGGGGGATATTGGGATTGACGGGCTTCCGATTCCTGGCCTCTTCAGAAAGCTCGTGCATTTTGATAGAGACTGGGATGAGAGAAACATCTGCAAATAGAATATAGAGCAAGAACGGAAAGACGACGATGGCTGTGACAACAACTGGAACAATCATGTTTGCAGTGTATACGATGAACTTGATTTCAAAAGCTCCCGCAAGGACAAGATTTGTTGGATTTGAGGAGACGAGAATGGCCGATGCAATATTGGCTATGGCAAACTGGGCATGAATCCAAGCTCTCGGGTGAACAATATTACTCGAGACTCGAGTCATGTAGGCAAGGAAAGCCGTGCCGGAAAGAATGATAGGGTCGTTTCCAATGAATGTACCGAGACCAAAGAAGAAGGCATATAAGTAAAAGAAAAGTCGATGACCCAAGTCACCACTTTTTTGTAGAACCTTGAAGGCCAGGTATCGAATAAGTCCTGAAGCATCAATTGAGATAGCAATATAAGCCAGGGTAAGAAAGAACACCATGATGTCAATGGGTGAAATGTTTTCTGCTCCAAGTGTTCCATCGTGAACTTCTTTTTTCCCAATTGCTAGAATCGCTAAGAGAAAGAGATCTGCTATGAGTGGTGCGGTGACGAAATTCAAAGGAATATGGAGCTTCATGAATCGGCTGGGCTTCTTGCCAAATTGAGCATTGGATTGCCGTCGAGGTGCAATGCGCAAGCAAGCTAAGCCATCCAAAATCGCATTAACGAGTCCTCGAGGGACATATATAGGAATGTGGAAAGGAAAAAGTACGATGATATCTACATAGAGTTAACGACGAACGATCAAAGCAGAATTAGTATACTTGTGGGCCATGCAGGCCCACTAGGTGCCAAGAACACTTACTAGTGATAACAAAAACGATAAGAGTAATTATTGACCGCCAATTTTTGATTTGGTTGGTATCCAGGCTGACTTCGTCGGACCTTTTAACCGTCCCCAAGGGACTGTGGGTATCCATATACATGGTCGCGTGGGGGTTTCTGATACAGTGGTTTGGTAGGGCATATATGTATCAACGATCCTTTTCAAGTGGCATTCGATTAGCTTTTGACTGATATAAAGCCGCAACGAGGCATGAAGTTTTCCAAGGTTCCAAATACCGGAATGTAAGGGACGAAGGGTAATTCGCAGGTCAATTTTTTGGCTCGTGTGACCTTTAGCGCAGAGACATTTTTTTTTTCGGCAGCCGACAACAAGGGATAATGCTTTGGCGATCGAAAGCTCCGGATAAAACCAACCCCGTAAGCTTATTTACAAGCTTTTCCTGTGGTCCAAGGGAGTCGAGATAAGAATGTGGTTGATGTTCACGATAGATTGGGCGTCATTATCGCATCAGCGGCGCCCAACAGATTTTCGCGACCGTTTATCGCTTCGTTGCCAGCAGAAGAGCAAACACTCCGGTCGCTGTGAAAGAAAAAAAAAGAGTCTGGCAGAGGTTGAAGAAACAGCCCATATGATTCCAGAAATGGTCGCGTTAAGAGGTTTAAGTTTCACGATCAGTTCCGCAATCTATGAGGCTGTACCGCCATATGACGGAACAGTCAAGGAAGAAATTTTCCTAGAGAGATCTAAGCCTCAAAGACCACACAGAAGGAGAATAGGCAATCAAGAAGAATGCAGCCGACACGAGCATGCTAGACCTGGATTGATTAGTCTGTGCATGGACGGAGAACAACACGCGAATAGTAGAATAAGGCCAAAGACAGTCAGGCCAAGGCCCTTGGGACGCCCCGAGCCCCGCACTGCTACTCTGACCATTTGACTTGGCGCTCCAATCCGCTTTTCTGTTTACTCAAAAGGAATGAAGCTGGATGATCGCAGCGGGCAGAACAACTGGACACTACACCATATTGTTCTCGAAAATCCTTCGGTCGCAAAAAAAATTCCAGAAGTTGAGCGGGATCTGCCAGAAAGTATAAAAAGCGCCATGTAGGCACAGCCACTGCGCGATATTTACGCCCAGCAGGAAGCGCTACCAATCAGGAGGTGCTGCGGATCGTCCAACTCGTATTCAGCGCCCGGGCTCATGCTGGGATCGAAGCCGTCCACCACGGGAGCATTTCCTGTTTTCAGAGACCAGTTTGGCGATGGGATATCCCTGTGGCCGTCCAATCCCCGCAAAACCGAGGCTCCTGGATCTTCAAGATGAGGCTACTTGCTGACGAAAAGGATATGCGGCGTGGCTCGTGCTCTCTCGCCTGGGTGACGGGCAATTTCGTCCACCAGAAATAATAACACCTCTGTTTAAGGAGCCTCGTTTTCCCTATTAGAGTCTTTTGTAACACTGTGATAGCACCCCGTCAGCGCTATTGTGATATATGCCTTTGCAACTATTGTTCTCTAGCCTTACCGCTGTGGGAGGCGGATAACACGCAATGCCAGCAATACCTTTTCCTGGGGAGTTTTTGGAATCTACACTAGTCCACCGTAGTACGCTCCCGCCAGCTTCAAACTCAACAGGCCCGATTTTGGAAGTCGTTTGTGCTTGGCCAGTTTCTGGGCAATATGGGCCAGGGACACGATACCTGTATGAGTTTTGCCTCTCATTGCTTTATGTGCTTAAACAATTGCTGACATCTTTTGCAGATATTATATTCTGGCCGCAGCTTGCGTCTTTGCACGCAAGGAGGAGTGGATTCGTAATGCGTGTCTCGCTGCAGTATTACTTTTCCCCGCAGTCGCAGCGCTCCATGGCATTGTTCTTGCAGCGATCCATATTGACGGTAAGCTTCCCTGCATTTACACAGCCCTGAAATATTTACCGCCTGTAATGCTTGATTGCAAATTTTCATCTAATATGCATTGCAGGGGCCGTTGACATGGACGTGTACGGTGCTTTCCAGCTATGCGCGATTGGCATCTTAACTGCACCAGCTACCGTGCGACTCTCGAAAACTTACTTCAACAACCCAGGTCGAAACATCATATTCTTGTGGACGGTACTTCTTCTTGCCGGACTTCTCAGTCTAACTGTGGAGTTCCTTCGTATCAAACCCATTATCTGCCCAAGTGACGATGCGGCAACGACAATCTGGGCTGAGACGAAAATGTTCTATTATAACAGCACCTGTGGCCTACAATGCACAGAAGATAGAGGTCCACAATCCCCCCTTAGACAAGGATCAGCAAATAACATTTACGTGATTCCGTCGCCCCATCAGCTGGATTTTGATACGGCAACTCTCCTTGCGGCTGCCTGCTGCATACCAGCTATCCTGTCGTTGGTATCTACGTGGATCAAAATTCTTGATAAGAATTGGGAGAAACTCTCTAGAGGAAAACGAAGAGAAAAGGACAATGAGCCGATTGAAGGCACGAATGGCGCTACGCCTATCCAGATGACTGGGATTGCGGAGAAGATTCGAGGCTGGTTGACCTTGATTGAAATACCCATTTTTGTTGCGGGTGTTATAGCAATTATTGTGAAAGGGGAGATGAACTTCTGGAGTGAACCGGTTGACTATCAAACGGAGCCTATTGCAAGTATAGGTGAGCAAGCTACCCGCTTTGTCCTTTGCACCCACCTTTTTGAAAATGGTTCGATGAACTGACTTTCTTCTACCAGGGCAATGGGCACCTATTGTCGGTACCGGACTCGCCGTCGTCGGATCACTCTATCTTATATTCGCCGCTGATATGGAAGCTGAAGAGAATAAAAAAGATAAGCCTACAGACCAACAGATAAACCGATGTACCGAATGTGGCGGCAATGGTATCTGCCCAAGCACCGACTCTCTAGAGAATTCCAGACGAACCTCCACATCTAGCTCAGATCGACCACCATCCGAGATGGAGCGATCTGCTACATTTTCGACCATCCACCAAGCCATGAAAAGTCAATCTGGACCCGACCCAGGAGGAAGACGCAAGGTCGCGCAATTCTTCAACGCGACAAGTGCTTACTTCGCGACAAAGGCTCACAAGGATTTCAAAGACACAGGTTTCGAAGTGGAACAAAGAACCAATTTCCCCGAGATCCCAGGCGAAGTCTTCCGCAACAAGGACTTACATGAGATCAGGACTGTTTACAATACTTCACCTCTTCCGCGCTCACGAGCAACAAGCTTTGTCGGAAGCGATTATTCGAATGGAGAAGGTAGCTCGAATGTACCTAAACGGCAGCTCTCACTTCCTGCTCGACCACCGCTAGCTGCTACAGGTGGTCGACAGCATTCAAATACGTTACCCGCGGGAGGGGCGGGGCCTACCTTCCTCGAGATTAGATCCTTGTACAGCAATATACCACCGAGACAGTGGAGTCCCACGGATGAAACTGCGATTGATGAGCAGCATGAAGCTAGTCGTGCGCCTTCTATATCTGAATTTCATGCTGCGGCTCTCTCTAGCGGGCCCACCACGCCTAAAATAGTGGTTTCCTCTGATTAGCTTACGCTAATATGCGACGCCTTATGACCGACATGACTTCAGGTTTCTCTCCAATACAGAGATGTATTTGCATGCCACATATGTACGTCTGAATATCTGCATATGTATTATAGACTTGTATAGATTTGAATATACATCGCTTTCACCAACATTGATGTCAACCCCCTTTTACGAAGGAATGCAACGGATTCAGAAATATGTACTCAAATTGAGAAAAACTAAATAACAGACAATCATACAGATCTATGAGGCACTTTCTCCTGATGTGTGATTTGCCCCATTTGCCTCTGGAGTCTCCGGAGTCTCCTCACCCTTCTTCGTGGACTGAATACCAGATGCACCATAGACAGATATGAACGCCATTCCCAAGAAGGCAGAAACACAAGAGAACACCATAGCCACAATGCCCTTAGTAGTGAATCCAGAAGGCAACCATGCAACTTGCTTATTCTGCCCCGTGAGATCAAGGAAGTCCTCCGTATTACCCGCTGCATTACCCTTGTACGGAACTCCGGCAGCCTCGCAAACATCATAGGCCTGTTGAGGGATAGTCGTTCGCTCCTGAATCTGCTGAGGGGCTTCGATAAATGCCATAGCCAGACCTTGAGATAAATGCCAGTCGATGTGGCAATGGAAGAGCCACACACCGGGATTATCAGCGACGAAGCGGATAACAAAGTGGCCCTGCGGTGGAAGGACCAAAGTGTCTCGTCGAGCGGGGTAATCTGGGAATGGAGGATGATCCGACGAATCAAAAGGAACCGGATCGCCATCGGCATAGTCGTAGAAGTGCTCTCCATATCCGGGCGCCCGATTGATAACCTGGAACTGGTGTCCGTGAAGATGAAACGGGTGGGAGCCGGTATCTGCGTTGTTCAAAACAATTTCCACGACTTGATTATGTTCCAAGACCGTTGCGTGTGTGTAGTCGCCATAGACTTCTGCATTTGTAGCGAGATCACCAGCTGAGAGAGCCGTGTAGAGCAATGGAACTTTAGGCATGGTGTAGGAGATGTTGTTCAAAAGTGCATAGCCAGCACCGTCGTCGAGGTTTTCCATGTAAACTGTTACATCGATGGAGAGATCTGGATCTGGAAGAAGAGGCATTTTATCGTAAGGCACGAGCTTCGCGTCATCATACGGATCTAGGTCTGTACATGAAGCCACTGTGATGTCTGCCTGTGGGTGCGGAGCGGATGCATTGTATTCCAGCCAATTGGTTTGGTTTAATTGAAGGTCGGGTGAAATGGTATCCAATAACTGGGAATCAGCGACTGTCACGATCGGGTAATTCTTGTCTGTAGAGTTCTTCATCGTGACGAGAACGGCGTAGCGCTGAGCCGTGGCGATATAGAGAGTACTGGCGTTTGTTGGCTCCGTGTAAACTCCGTCAATCTCGACAATTTTGAAGTCATGATCCTCGATGTAGAAGTATTGCGCAACGAATGCCCCGATATTGATAAGCCGTATAAGGTAAGTTTTACCAGGTTGAACGGGAAGACTGGAGTGCAGGGTATCATTGAATAGAAAAGAATTAGGGACAGGCTCTGCGCCCGTCGGATTTTTGTATGTGATGAAATGAGGCGCAATATCTTCAACAAGCTCATGATACCAGTCGGTCAACGTGACGGTAAATTCCTCATCGTATTGATCATTGAAATATGTCTCGTTATCGTGAACAATCAACGCTTGACGATAACCATCCGGGTAGCAGTAGTCAGTATGGCAATGGTACCAATATGTTCCACTTTGATTGATGGTGAAGTTATAGGTAAATGAAGAACCTGGCGGAATGGGACACTGAGTGACCATTGCAGGGCCATCCATGTCGTTGGTAGTGTTTTGAAACATCCCGTGCCAATGAATAGTGGCACTTTTGTCTCCTAGACCGTTGTACATATTGACCACAAGTCTATCGCCTTTGTCGACCTCGATTTTAGGTAACGGCCACTGGCCATTGATGCCGACCACTTTGCGCTCGTACAAGCCATCTGGGTTGGCCATTACCCAGGTGACATTAAAGTCATGAGTAACGGTCTTTGCTTGGACGCATTGGAAGAGACAGAAAAGCGCTACAATGCGCGACAAAATGTCTCCTACGAGATTCGCCATCTTGAGGTGAGTCCTCGATGTCTGAATGTGTGAGGAATAGTGAAAGTTAAATGCGTCGAAAGCTAGTGGGAACACTCATAAAAGACTGCACATCCTAGTGACGAAGAGGAACGCTTTTTTCTTGTGGCGCAAGAACCGAGCTTGTGGGTTGGACCACTGAATTGCTGAACCTAGTCCCGAGATAAGATTATCGATCTGAAAATGGCCGGCTCGGGCGCTTTTTTTCGTAGTGGGGCGCGTATTTTTGAAAAGAAGTCGGGAGGGAAAAGAAACGAAAAACCCATTAGAGTGGCTCAGACCTCATGAGTGGAGAGAAATGGGCCGAGAGACGGGCTGTTGAACTTTCGTTATTGTCTTCCTATATTGTAATTCACGTGGTCATCTTCCATACCATTCACTAGCAACAAACACTGCCTCGTGTATACAAAGACTCGAGATAGGCTATATGCTAGTAGCTGTGACCCTGGAAGAAGTGAACCTCGTTGGTTTTGTGCGCCATCCTTAGACCGGTAGCTCATGTTTCAACCGGTTCACAGTGATATTTTTGATTACCGACCTCTTATGACTCTGAGACAATGATGATCTCCATCTAGCCCGGAATTCATAGGGATGCAACATTTCTTGAACCCTTGGGAGAGTAAATTAGGAGTGGGCCGACCAATGAACATCGACGCTCAGGCCTTGGGTCAGTCTCCGCTAAGCTTTGCTAAGCTGTGATCAGGGTCTTGGTTCAAAGTTGTTTTGCAAAATTACGGGATATTACAAGATTTCAGTCACTTTGCTTCACTAAAAATAATTTGAATTTGTGCGGGAACCTTGGCAACAAATCTGTAGCCTGAATTTCTAAGTTGTGTGCGATCTAAATAATATGCCCGTGGGTTTGCAAAGTGCAATCCTTGATCCTCAAGAGTCGGCGCGCTGAACAACAGTTGAAACACCTCCTGCATTCTTTTCATCAGTACTAGTTTGTACTTGCACACCACCGCTACCCTGGACTTCATGGAAAGCTTCAGGTTCCTCGTAAGGCCGTCGAAGCACAAAGGCTTTTGATCGTCCCTTGACAGAAGCGACCTTTTGCATTGCCGGGTCAAGGAAGGGAATGGGGCCACGGCGCTCTCGGTAGAACATCAGCCCATAGCCGACCATGACGGCAACCCAGTATATATTATAGCCAATGACCGAACCATAGGTGGCTGAGTTTGTCCATCCCAGCAAGGCGTTGAAGATACCCCAGCCACCACCGCCTCCAAGCTCGGGATTACAGCAGTTGACATGCCAAACACTCTGTTTGATGTTGTAAGATCCCGGGCCAGAGCCAGTCTCAGACGCATCCCCACCAATAATTTTGTTCCAAGCATTGTTCTCAAAATACCAGATACCACGAGAAAATAGTCCAGCGGCAACAAGGTAAAGGAAACAGGTTGAAATGATTAAGAAGATCTGCATGGAGGTTTCGCGTCCTCCCCTAGATGGAATGTCAGTGTTTCACTCTCTTCGACTGTAGGGCAAGTCCACATGGAAGGGAACTTACTTGTAGATCAGATAACCCACGAGGAATCCAGCTGCCAGACCACAGACAACAGCAAGGGGAAAGGATGACGCGGGAAGTCCCAAACCAACACCACCAACGTAGACCACAGCCTCCAAGCCTTCACGGAGTACCGTGATAAAAGGGAGGAAGAACATGACGTATTTTTCCATCCATCGCTTCATGCGACCATGCCGAGATTCATCGGGATTTTGGTCATGCGCCAAAGCTTTAGAAAGCTTCAAGCGCCATTTGTCCTGGAGCTTGGAAACGCGCAGCAGGGCAGCACCCATAATTGTAATAATCAATGAAGCAAGAATACCCAGAACGCCTTCCCAAATGTCCTCAGTGCTGGAGAAGGTATCGGTTCCTAATCCATAGAATGCTCCGATCATGCCGCAGCCGATCGCAAGACAGAGAAATAGACCCAGAGCACATCCCCACCAGACTTGTTTGACCAGCCGTTTGTATATCGTCCGATCCTCGCCTTCACCAAGTGTTTGCTTTAAAAACGCCAGCAGAACCGAAACGACCACCGTCGTTTCAAGGCATTCTCGGAAAATAATGAAGAAAACTGTTGCGATCGCATTAAGTTAGCTAATTGTGCATCTGGAGGTTGGTTGTAAAGAATGACAAACCCGTCACGGCAAACACTTGGTTGTTACCCATATTGATCTCAGTCTTTTGATTTCTGCAAAGCTTGAAACCTTTGGATTGTCCGTCGAAGCGAGAAAAAAAGGTGACTTAAAGTTTCAAAGGTGGGAGCTGGAACGATTGATAAGGTCGCTACTGATCATTCCATGGCTGCGATGCTCTCTGTATGCAAATTACTAGTGCGTGACTGGTGGGTCCGAGAGAGAGAGGGGGGTCTCGTATTTGATCAACCGTTTCCCAATCCCTTCACGTGGGCGGTCGATCTTCCATGGACGCGTGAAGCGTTTTTAATTATCCTGAGTTACAAAATGAAACAACTAGAAAAAGCAAAGCAACACAATAGAATATGTGCACTGACTCTAAACAACCCCAGTAATCAGTGATCAGCAAAGAAGGGGCCCAAATATGTTGAAATCCCGCGGCGAAGAAGGTTCGCGCGCATCAAGTGGAATTTCTCTCTCTCTCTCTCTTTTTTTTTCAAGAACAAACCCAATCTCGCTGTCTCCATCCCCGCACCCGCTACTGACGCAGAAATATGCAGGCAAGACAGAATGATTCACCGTCGGCAATTGATTTCAAATCAAGCTGAAATAAGGGGCCGGTGTGCTATGGATTTTTCTTTCTGCCTCCGGAAGCGCCATCTGCGAAGATTGAATATCGTACGATTATCTGATTGATATGGATTATCTGATGGATCGATATGATTGATTTGATTGATTTGATTGATTTGATTGATTTGATTGATTTGATTGATTTGATTGATTTCCGCGATACGAGTCTGGTTCACTTTGTGCTCGGATCCGAGTTGCCCGCACTAAGAAATCTTAATTAACTTGGGAAACTCTATGCCATGGCTTGCTTCTTTTCACCGGTTGGGCTCGGCCACCTGGTGGCGTTATGGTTTCCGCGTCTTTTTCCCCCCTTTTTCCTTTTTCTATGGATGACATTTACTTGGGCGAAAGACGTAGAGTTTCAGTGATGGCTTCCTCTGCACAATTTTGTGCTTTCCATTTTGGGAAATTGCTTAAGCCCGTATACACGAGGGAAATTCGACACTTTGTACAGGCGAGAAGGGGGCGTATAGGAAACTATTACAAAATAATTGACTCATAATATTTTATAAAGAGGTTTGCTTAATCATTCTAGCCGTAATTGTTGACCCTGGACCCAATCCAACTCGAACAGCCGCGAGTCATATTGATATGCGTTTCAAACTCATCGACAACCCTTTAGTAAAGGGTCAACTTGTTGATATTTCAGAGTCTCGCCTCTGAAATTGGCCACTTGTAACGAGGTTCGCACTGTATTTCTGATTTGACGACCGTTTTAACTCTACCGCAGCGAGGATATCAACGTTGGTCTTCAGGTCGCCAATATCGAGATTGGGTTCTGATCGCAAGCCGTTTATGAAACTTGAATTCGACCCAAATCGCATAACGCTCCTTGACGTCCAGTGTAGGGTAGTGGACTGCTAGCTGGACTCGGAATTTGAAAGCACCGTCAACTTGAAAAGTTCCAATTCGGTTAGACATCAGAATTAATATCCCGTCATAGTATTCTAGGACACGGAGAAATACTGAGACTAGTGCATTTCGCTGAAGGTCAGTCTCCCGACCTTCTTCCGAGAATACATCGGCTTCATCAAGAAGGACAGCACAACCCCACATGGTGCCAATATGAGAGACAGATTCGCTACTTCATCTGCATTTGTACCAATATCGCCGCATGTTACACGATAACGTGGCTTTTTGGTCAACTCTGCCACATATTCTGCTGTGGGTGTCTTCCCTGTACCAGGACCTCCGTGGAGCAACATCATGATGACAGTCGCGTTTGCTTTGCCTTTCATAATATCGGTTGATCCCGATGAACATCAATGGACGGATGGGGGGAAAGCTCGCGCTCGGGAACCAACTTGAAGAATACACGAAGTGCAAGGGATGGTATGGATATGCCTGCCCGGTTCGTCCCTATAAAGCCAAGGGAAGAAAAGATCCCGTACAATATCGCAGCAATGATCTTCCAGCTTTGTGGTTTGCGATACACCAATCAATTCCTATTTCAGATCCACCTGTTCGATGAAGAGTTCTGGATGTCCACTACAGGGCTGAGATGCTATGTATTGGAACTTATTTACAAAGCCCACGGTCGCTGATACGTCATCGCGATGAGCCATACATCGACAGAGAAAGAAAATGGATCCAAACAAGATACCACACCAAAGAAACTGCCATACGAGACAAGCGCCAGTCAAACTTTGAGTCATGAACCAGCGAAAAAGCCTTATACTGTGCTATTTGAGAGAGCACTAATAGCAGCAATTCTCATCGTATCGACAGTCAATGGTAGTGCTTTTTTCGCGAATACGGTTTATTACCCAGCGCTCCATTCTATATCGAAAGATCTCAACATTCCATTCTCCATGATGTATTTGATAATAGTCGTTTATATGGTAAGTGAATGATTATTGCACAGCAATATAGTATGAAAATTTATCTGACCGTATCACTGGAGATTATGCAAGGTGTAGCTCCTTTATCACGTCACGGGGAGCTTTTCCGACCGGAGTGAGAGAAGGCCTATACTGCTCATATGTATGCTCATATTGATGATAACCAGCATTGGGTTGGCCCGCCAAAATAACTTTGCGGCACTCATGGCTTTGCGGCGCATACAGATCATTGGAAGCTCTGGCGCATTCGCGCCTGAAGTCGCACTAGTGGTCGATATTGTTCCTCGCTCACAACGAGGGAAGTACATGGCATACATGACCATGGGAAGCACAATTGGCACATCTACAATTATTAGGGGTGCTTTAACAAAGGCCTTAGGATGGCAAAGTGTCTTTTGGTTTCTAGCCATATGCGCCATGATGGTAATCGTCTTGATTACAGTTTTCCTTCGGGAGACGTGTCGTGCAGCTGTTGGCAATGGGAGCATACCTGCTCCAGCTTGCAACAGGCCTCTTTATATCACAATGTACCAGCAGCCGCAGACTTTGAGACTCGAACGATATTTTCTTCACCCCCGGGGATATTTGATTGTTTCAAATTTCTTTTTAACAAACAGACGGGCCTGCTTATATTCTGTTGGTCCTCAATGTGTTGGGGACAGTTCATTATTGAAGTCAGTTTACCTAAGGTACTTGGAGAGAAATATCATCTTGATCCCTTACAGGTAGGCCTATGCTATATTCCGTGGGCATTTGGAGCCATTGCAGCCCGCTGGAGCGTGGGTTCACTCGCCGATTGGAACTTCAGACGCCTTAGCCGGAAGGGTGGCATAAATGTACAGCCCAATCAACAAACCAAGGAACATCTCAAAAGTTAAAACACTACCATTGGAAAGAATCCGGTTAGACATTGCAATTCCGGCGGTTTATCTAGTTACCGCCTTTACAGCTGCATACGCCTAGGCGGTGGTTAGCAATGTCCATATTGCGTGCCCCCTGGTTCTTTTGTTTTTTCTCGGAAATGCAATTGCAGGTGCGGTGAGTACTATTTCTGCACTTATCATGGACCTTAGGGCATACACACCGGGAACGGCAAGAGGAGCAATGGCGATCTTCAAGTGTCTTCCAGCTGCGGGGATCACTGCTGCTATTAACCCTGCGATTGCTTCTATCGGGTTCGGCGGACTGGGGAGTATTCTCTGTGGCTTCTGGATTATTTCTTCTTCCGTTTTATGGATAATTTACTTCCAGGGGAAGAAATGGAGGACTAATGGAGACTTGTAACCACAGATACTAGTCACAAATGTGGGCGCTTCCTGTACTAGCGCAGTTAACAGCACATCGAACACTCGCTGAAACAAACAGGTAGCTAACAAGAAAAGTTACATCCATCGCATTGCCTTACTACCCCTCTAAATTTCGTATTTAAAACACTTGTTGCAACTGTCATTTTGCAGGTCTAAAGACCAGTTTCTAGGAACGCCCAAGAATACTCAGCATAACCTCTCGCAATTTCTCAACACACTGTCTCTCGTCATCCGGGATTTTATTGCATCTCCAAGAAACAAAGCGATCAGGGCGAACAAGAACACATCCAGTCTCATCTACATTGCGAACCCGTGCCCAATCAAAATAGACATCTTCGAAGTCCTGACGGAAGCCGATAGAATAAGCGTTGATGGATACACCGAGCTGCTTGCCAACCTGAGATGCTGCTTCCTTCCAAGCCTTGCCTCCGATTCCGGTCAATAAGGCAAAACTACCATGCCCCGCCAGATCAATAGTCGAGATTCGCTTAATAGGAACAGCGTTATTCAACCAGACGTGAGGCATGCGGCATCCGGGGTAGGTGCTTCGGATCAATGTAAGATCGAGATCTTCGGCGACCACCTCAGGAGAATAGAAGGAGGAAGATTCGTCAACAGTATATACGGCAGTACTTTGATAAAATTGACCCATCTCTGTGCCGAGAGCGTGATATTCGTGCTCTGTTTCTTCGATCGCAGCTTGAAGAGCAGCTCGACGTGCGCGACCATCGGAAGTAGAATGGGTTAATTCATTAAGTGCTCCGATTCTGAGCTCAGTTGTAGGCAGTGTTACGCCGAGTGCTTCCCAGACGGGGCCATGGTGGCGGAATGATGAGTTGGCCCGCGTGACCACTCCTCGGCCAACAGGCTGGCGTTCTGTGGAGTATGTTTCGAGGATAGAAGGGGATGCTTGGCCTAAGATATTATGTTAGTCAAATTGAGATGGCAATGATAGGGATGCTTCTGTTTTGAAGGAGACTTGCCTTTAAGCACGTGTGCAACTTTCCACGCCAGATTATATGCATCCTGAATACATGTATTGGATCCGAGTCCATTGGAAGGAGGGTGCCGGTGAACTGCATCGCCGAGACAAAATCTGGATCTAAGTCAGCCATAGTCCCAGAGACAAACTTCGAACACAACAATACTTACACTCGACCATTGGAAAAAGTCTCTGCCACAACATCATTAATACGCCATTTCGATACACCCAAGATCTCGGTGTCAATCGAGTCATCACCAATAAATTCTTTCATCCGACCGAGCCACTGCTCATTTGTAGGCTCAAAGTCGAGTTCTTTTCCACGCTCCGGAAGAACGATGAATAACCATTCATCCCAAGGCTTTACCATACGAGCAATGCAAGCCCAACCAAAGAGAGGATGCTCCCTATCTGGTTGTAACAGCCAGTGAAGATTTCCTGTGCGGTATTGCATGTATCTCGATAGGTCGGCCTTAAGGTGAACATTATAAGCTAATCCCTGGTCGGGACTGACATTTAACTCAAGTCCGGCTTGTCGAAAGACCTCGCTTCGAGCACCATCTGCACCAAAGAGGTACTTCGAGCGAATCTTGTATTCTGACCCTGTAATGTTGTCGCGAAGAATGGAGGTTATCCCCTCGTTATCTTGCGAACAGCTGACAAAGGTAGTGTCAAATCGGCAACTGAAACCATTGAGAGTAGCGTGTCGGACGAGGATGGGCTCAAGGAGGGTTTGGGGGAGGTCGACTGGGTCGCAAGGACTGGCCGTCTCGTAGTCACCCTGTCAATCTTTTAGCAAGATAATCTTTCAAGAATGGGCTCAAGTTTCAACGCACCTTACGCTTGGGATCATGCCCCCACGAATGAATACGTGCATATTCCTCTCCAGCCATGCTGTATGCCCATCTTGTATGCATCATGTTCATGCCACTGGTCGCGAGTCGGTTGCATTCAACGTCAAGCCCGATGTCTCGGAGACACTCTGGGCTTCGTTAGCGAATAAACTTTCACCGTTTCAAGCTATGACTTACCCATAGCAGCCATGTTTGTGATGTGTGCTCTTGGAGTGTCTGCATTTGTTGGCGATGCACTGACCATTAATCCGCGGATACCTAGGTTTTAGTTAGGTTGCAAAGCATGGAACAATGAAATTGAACTAATCTACCATAAGAAGCGAGAAAACATGCCAAAGAGGCACCAGCGGGACCAGTCCCAATGATCAAAATATCTGTACAAGTCACGGACTTTTTTTCATAGTGGGCGCCGTCGTCGTTGCTTAATTTCACGATAGTCATTTTTTGCGCTTGTGGGCGAACTCAAAGACCGACAGACGCAAAGCAATATTTCAACAAACTGGACGAGGGGCAGGGGGCTATTTGAGAAACAGACGTCACTAATTCTAAAGTTGAAACACGACTCGAGCTTGCACGCGCGCTGGCCGAGAATATTTCTTTCTTTTTCTATGACGCTTCGTGGCCGAGTGGAGACACGGGTCCCCAGCGTAGGCATCATGCGACAATTCTCGTGTTTTGGCCAAGGTGCAAAAGTGGAATGGATCAGACACGGACAGAGTTTAAACGGATCAAGACTTCAATCGTTCCCAAAGTAGTAGGATCGCTTGTTGTCAACGGTTAAGACCTGCGCCACGGGAGAAAGCGGATCCGATCGTCCATCTTATCAGATTATCTTGAGCAAGCGGGAAGAGACACGGAATATTGGTCGGCAAATAAGTTTTGGTTTTGAGCCGTACCCACATTCGGCAGTTAATGGAATTGATCATCAAGATCTACTGCGCGAATATCCCAAGTTACAAGGTATCTACATGGTACCCCCGCATGATGATGTATTGCAATGTGATGAACTGCCGAGAGGGCCGAGAATCAAGCAGGAGTGCGCATGCCCGCTATCATAATCATGGGGAAATCAATATTTGAGCTAGCGCGTCAATTGTATTAATAAATCCCAATCTCCCAGGAAGACTGGACATGACATTCACAGACAAGAAGCAACATGTTTGACACGAAAATTGGTCTTTTGATTGCTCGTCGAGCCCTCGCCCAAGATACCCCAGGCCAACAGTTGGTACGTATAAATAGCACCCGTGAGGTCTTGCTCCATAGTTAACAGACTCCAGGCTTCTCATACAATATCCGATGCCAAAATCTCCCTTCCTCTGCCTTACATCAACGTATCAATATTATCAACAATCTGTGGAGACAGGAAAGGTGTCGAAATATTCAAACGGCGAGACTAAGCAATCACAGAGACTTCATGACTGATTGGCGCCAGCATAACATTTGAACAACATCAAGATTCTGAAGAGACATCAGTTAGTTTTGATACGATGATGCAGATATTCAATCAATCTTGTTAAGAAGTCGAATAAGTTCCACCTTGATAGTTATGGTGCATATTGGAACTTGGGTAACTATTTCAGATGGTGTTGAAGTTTGAATTTCAGGATACATTATGATGATCGAGGCAGTTATGTACATGACCTTCAAGTCCTCGATACACACTAGTACCTGTTCTAGGAGGTGAACGTCTGAGCCTCGGAATTATGATCATGAGGATTCGGCCTAGATACCATGTGCGCTCAACTTATTTCAAATGTGTATGAATTATGATGTTATTATCTGCCTAGCTGCGCTTTCACTCGAAATCGATCCGACTCTTCATTTAAACTGATGAACATATATAAGTAAACATCTCAATCCTCGCTGACATTTCTTTGGATATTTGATGGAAATTCTGCCTTCACTATGTATTCCCCATGTACGAAGGAAGGATTGGGTGCCGAGAGTTTCAAATGAAAGATTAATGCGTAAAAAGTGCCCCGTACGTAATTGAGACAACGAAAAGAAGTTGCCTCCACTCGAGCATAAGGCCACTCGGAATGATCTGGAATCCTCCTGGTAAAAGTTGGCACCCATTAAAGTTCACTTCCGCGGCCCACTTCTTGATTTTTTCCCGGGATGCAGGATCTTATCAAATGGCTCAGGGGCAATTCGGCAGATTATAGAAATATGTGCAAGTGACCGAGTCAAACAGGACTGGAAATAATAATAATAATAAAAGTAAACAAAAAAAAAAGAAAGAAAGATGACATTTGTTCTCTTCTATTTGTACATTTACCCAATACGGTCTATGTGTAGCATCAGGGTCCCTTGGCACGCCATCTTGTTTGAGAGAAGTGGGTCTCATTCTCCTTGTCGGTGAATTTCTCAAGCCGTTTCTCCACCGTCACTCATGTCTAATAGCCAGTCACATATTGCGAACATTGCGCTCATTGATCGCCTTCCCCGTTTGGCCCGATCGGCGACCCTGCAAGCCGAACTTCATGTGTACAGTAGGCCGGGATCCTCGGCCAGGATCAGTATATGAGCCATCTATGGCCGAACCAGCTTGAGGGCCCTGATGAGACTCTCCACCGAGATCCCCATCCATTGGACCAATATGGAAAGAGAAATCAAATGAGAAGCATTCATCTAGTGTATGCTCCTTACCCAGATCTACTCAGGATAGCTTGTTCCTCTGGCTGACATACAAATGGCCCCGGTCAGAGACCCGGGGTTATCTAAGTTCCAACCTTTTAATTAGCGTAAGCAGTTTGTCAGCCGGATATATGACCGACCGAGCGATTAAACTCGGTCTCGGTATGCCGAAAGTGTTGCAAAGGCTCATGTTTCGGCTACAATGACGGAATATAAGTGGATCAACGAAGAGAACTTTCTCTTCAAATGTAACAGATCAGCAACGCCAAGGGGCTGAAGAATCATTTGTAATGGGTGACAGAAATCAGTGTCAGTTAGTCATGAAGCAAGTCTTTCGGGCCAGAAAGATGTACCCTGGTATGTAAGGTTATAAATGTATCGCCTTCGGTGAGAAATTGGCACGTCGAACTTTATTCATTACTTCGTTTCCCATACCTTGTCATTCACTATGAGAAGTTTGTTAAGTCTAGCTCTCCTGCCTTTGGCAGCTGCAGTTCCCCATGCTTCACGCAACTCCGAGACTACCTATGACTATATTGTAGTTGGAGGTGGAACCAGTGGCTTGGTTGTAGCCAATCGACTATCTGAGCTTGAAAAAGTGAATGTTCTTGTCATTGAAGCTGGTGGCTCAGTGTACAACAATCCCAATGTCACCGATACCGCCGGATATGGAAATGCCTTTGGTACTGATATTGATTGGGCATACGAAACAGTCAAGCAAGAATGGGGTGGAGGAACCAAGCAAACAGTACGGGCTGGAAAAGCGCTGGGAGGAACCTCTACCATCAACGGAATGGTCTATCTTCGTGCCCAGATAAGTCAGATCGATGCATGGGAGAGGATTGGAAATGAGGGCTGGAATTGGGAGAACTTGTTCCCTTACTATCGCAAGGGGGAGCAGTTTCAGGTTCCAACCGATTATGCATTCTTGGAAGGAAGCGGTGTCGCCTATGACCCAGCTTACCATGGGTACGATGGCCCTCTGAAGGTGGGCTGGACCTCGACACAATTGAACGACGGTCTTGCTCAGGTAGTGAACACTACTTACCAAGATATGTCGGTTCCTGTGCCATACAACAAGGATCCTAATGGCGGACAGATGGTCGGCTATTCGGTATACCCCAAGACCGTGAACTCAGAACTCAACATTCGTGAGGATGCTGCCCGAGCATACTACTACCCTTACCAGAACCGAACCAACCTTCACGTTTGGCTTAATTCTAATGTCAACAAGCTTGTTTGGAAGAATGGTACCAATGTGACCGCAGAGGGCGTAGAGGTTACTTTCTCCAACGGCACAACTGCAGTTGTCAAGGCGTCGCGTGAAGTGATTCTTGCAGCGGGTGCACTCAAGTCTCCACTTCTCCTCGAGCTCTCTGGAGTTGGAAATCCCGAGTAAGTAGGAGAATCGCTTATTTACCAAGAGCCTTAGATGCTGACATTCATACAGTATTCTCTCTAAGCACGGCATTGAGACCAAGATCAACCTGCCAACTGTTGGTGAGAACCTCCAAGATCAAATGAACAACGGACTCGCCTACAACTCCAAGAAAAACTACACCAAGGCTGCCTCCTACGTCGCATACCCCTCAGCTGAAGAACTTTTTACAAACGCAACTACCATTGGTGCTCAGCTTCTCCGCAAGCTTCCTGCTTACGCAGCTCAGGTTGCATCAGCCAATGGTAATGTTACTCGGGCCGCTGATATTGAGCGTTTCTTCAAAGTCCAGTGGGACTTGATCTTCAAATCCGGTATCCCTGTGGCAGAAATTCTGCTTGAGCCATCTGGTTTTACTTACGATTCTGAGTACTGGGGATCGGTTCCATTCTCCCGTGGCAACATTCACATCTCATCTGCCGACCCAACTGCCCCAGCGGCCATTGACCCGAAGTACTTCATGTTGGATTTCGATTTCCATGCCCAGGTTGAGTCAGCTCGATTTATCCGTAAATTGTTCAAGACCGAGCCGTTTGCCGATATGGCAGGTGCTGAGACAAGCCCTGGTCTCTCAACTGTGTCTGCGAATGCTAACGATGAGGGATGGTCTTCATTCCTTAAGTCTAGCTGTATGTGCTTTTTCTTTCCTTCTCCTCCTTTTATCTTTAGATTACCACGTCATACTAACGTTTACATAGTCCGATCAAACTTCCACCCGATCACTACTGCGGGCATGATGCCTAAGGAGATTGGTGGTGTTGTAGACACTTCTTTGAAGGTCTATGGAACTTCCAACGTTCGTGTCGTCGATGCGTCGGTGATCCCATTCCAGGTTTGCGGCCATTTGCAAAGCACCATATACGCGGTTGCTGAGCGCGCAGCCGACATCATTAAGGCTCAGATATAAAAGGGGAACCGAGTTAAAATAATTCTCACGCGCGCCCACTCATACTACTTTGATAGAGGCTAAGAGACTGAAGAGTCTTTTTGATGTACATAGAAGTATCTTATTGGCAGGTTTTGCAGAAGCCCACCGATACAGGCTATTATGTCTGAATTTTTGGATATGTCCAATATTGCGGAGCAAGAGTCCTGCCAGAGAGCTTACGCTTAAAAGAGCGTGAAATTCGTAAAAATCCGCATTGATTGATATGTATTCAGAACCGCGATGCATGCATTTCCCCCCACCTAGCTATGTGCTTCCCCAATGACTTCTGACACCATCAACTAACTCCCACGCAATACACTGAGCACATCTCAATTATACTTGACCCTAACAGGTATCTCAGAGTCTTCCGCAAGTGTCGACCACCGACTCTTGTAGACACGGCCTTCCTTCATAACAGCCAGTACATGTTCTTCGGGTTGATCAAAAATAGTCACATCTTTGAGGGGGTTTTTGGAGAGAACAACCACATCAGCGTGAAAGCCCTCTTTAATTTGACCAATGGAATCTTCACAGCCCATCATCTTGGCAGGATTGATAGTCGCGCTGCGCAAAATCTCTATTGGCTTCAAAACCTCTGACCGTAAAGCAAATTCTTGTGTTTGTGCAGAGCCCAGTGGACCCAGCAGGTCAGATCCATAGCACATAGTGACTCCGGCCTCAGAAGCAACCTTCAAAGCTTCCAAACCAGACTTGAGAACCTGTGAATTCTTAGACTGCGACTCTGGTGGCAAATATCCCTTCCAGCGCTCAGATGCCATTTGTGCATATGCAATCAAAGTCGGGGTGAGATAAACCCCCTTATGAGCCATCATCTTGGCTGTTGGTGGATCCACAAAATTCCCATGTTCAATTCCTTTGACTCCATTGTCGATACAATGCCGAATAGCCTTGACCGTGTAAGCGTGCGCAGTAACGAATGTGCCAGCATTATTCGCACATTCGACCATGGCTTGAATCTCGGAATCAGTGAACTGAAGGTGTTCTAGACGGTCGGTCGGACTGGCGACACCACCCGAGCCCATTATTTTAATGAAATCAGCTCCGCAGCGGATCTCCTCGCGTACTGCTGCCATGCACTCGGGAACCCCATTGCACATACGGCCAAGATGGTTGTTGTTGTGAGTGCCACCGCAGCAGCCAGTGTTATCATGTGCTGATCGAAGATCGCCATGTCCGCCAAACTGAGAAAGGGCATGTCCAGAGATAAATATCCGAGGACCAGGAAAAACTCCCTCGTCGATGGCTTGTTTCAGAGCGAGCTGTGCCCCGCCACAATCACGAATGTTGGTGAAACCTCGATGCAGCATCTGGGCTGCAGTATAAGGTTGTCGTAACAAGTGAACATCGTTTGGGTTTCCGAATGCTTTTGAAAGGTCACTGAATCCAGGTACAGCACACAGATGTACGTGCGCGTCGAACAAGCCAGGACAAAGATAGCGACCGTCACAGTCGATGACCGTGAGATCGGCCGGAAGGGGCTCTGGAAAGGAGGAAGAAACAGATTGAATTTTTCCCTGTCGAGTAATGACAATGCTGTTTTCAATTATTTTCCCAACTTTTACATCGACCACGTTGGCATTCTTGAACAAATATCCTTGTGGCTCCGGACGGGCCCAAGGCTTTATATCTGAGCCTGGCACTGCGGTGTTGTCCGAGTCGGGCATGGCTGGCGGCGTATCAATGGGTGTTGAACCGGTAAATCAGGGTTTGTCTTGATGAGACTGCATGTAAGTTGCGACCGACTTGAAGTACGAGTTCGATGATCGTTATCTCAGAATAGGCTATCTTTCCAAGTTTTGAAGTTGTTGATTGCGCGGAGAGATTGCCGATGTTTGGCCACCCGACCGAGCATCCCCGCTTGTGTTATCAACTGCGCTGGCTGATCCTTGCCATATTAGTCTGAAGATAGGTTGATCACCTGGGGAGGAGTCGGCAAGGAGCCCAGTCTACCGTGTTTACTATTTTTCTTCGACAGACAATTCTACCTTTGATCATCAAGTGATCACTCTGCTTTCATATCAAAACTTCAATCTACAATCTATTGAATCCCCCGGCCAATACGGCTTAATTGAATTAAAAGCCACCGAAAACGCCAGCTTGCTGCTCCCTCGATGCCTACTAAAGACGATGATAATCCAGGATATATCAAAGATGGAAAGCATCCGCAAAGCGAAGGCATTGTCACAGAATCAGAGACGTACACCCTTTCAGAGGAAAGAGCAGTGTTGCGAAAGATTGACATGGTTATACTACCATTTGTGAGGAAGATTTCTATCTCTTGCTTCTAAACCTATCACCGATGATTAACCCCTCTTTCTGGCAGATGTGCTTCGTTTTCTTCCTACAATACCTCGATAAACAAAGTCTGAGTTATGCTGCAGTGTTCGGGCTAATGGAAGATCTAAATATGACCAGCTCAGAATACTCATGGTGCACTTCTATATTTTATGTTGGCCAGCTCGTTTCTGAATGGCCATTTATTTATCTCATGAGTCGACTTCCTCTGACCAAGTTCGTTGGTACTACTGTGTACGTTTCCCTTGGTACTCCAAGTTAGCATTGAACTTCCCACTGATTCACTGCTGAAATATCACTAACACCGGCTGAAGCATAATATGGGGAGTCATCTGTATGTGCCTCGCAGCACCGAAAAACTTTGCTGGATTCGCTGCCGTGAGATTTCTTCTCGGATTTAGTGAAGGTGCTGTATCGCCAGCTTTTGTGACAATCACAAGTATCTGGTATCGCAAGAAAGAACATACTACCCGAACTGCTTTATGGATTACTATGAATGGATTGGCACAGGTGTTTGGCTGTTTGATAATGTATGGCATAGGCAAGAACACATTGATCACAATTCAGCCGTGGCGAGTTTTGTTTCTTATATGCGGAGCAATGACCGTTGTGGCTGGAATTGGATTCTTCGTATTAATGCCAAATGGTCCAAATGACGCTTGGTTTCTGAATGAAAGAGAGAAACAAGTCTTGTCATTACGTCTTGCCAGTGACCGGGAAGGAGGTGATAAGACTGCATTCTCTATGATGCAACTGAAGGAAGCCTTGTTCGACCCCAAAGCCTGGACCGTCTTCTGGTTTGGTGTTCTGGTCACCATGCAGTCACCGGTGCTTACTTTCGCGTCTCTTGTAATTGAGTCTATTGGATATACCAAGCTCCAAACGGTTCTTTACACGGCACCTTCTGGAGCGCTTCAAATTTTGCTGTTATGGATTGGAACCTTCCTGGTCTTTCTATTTCCACGACAACGAAACTTTGTTGCTTTGGCATTGATTATCCCGCCTCTCATTGGAACTGTATTTCTGTTCAAACTCACGTTGAGTGCTGAATGGGGATTGATTGTGGCATCATGGCTCGTGAGTTTCCCGGGTACCGATATCTGGAAGAGGTAATCGCGCTAACATTTCCATGCAAGTCTTCTTGTATAACAGCTGTAATGTCCATTTTGCTATCATTGTTCGCATCAAATATCAAAGGCAACACAAAGCGAGCTATCGTCAATACAATGTTCTTTATTGGATACTGTGCCGGTTGTATAGGAAGCCCACAGCTTTGGACGAAGTCGCCACGCTATGCCGAGGGGGTGATCACATCAATTGTGACATGGTGCCTGTTGTTCGTGTCTATTATTGTCTATCGTATTTTATGCATACGCGATAACAAGGCTCGTGACTTACTGGTCAATTCTGGTACTTACGAGGGGGCTCAAGATGTTGAACTTGATCATAATGGGTTGCCAAGAAATGATATAACCGATAAGGAGGACAAACAATATCGTTATGCGCTATGAGAAGAGAGGGGGGCCTCTTTATATAGGCACTATACGTGATGTGCAGAATTCTAAATTCAACGGCTCCTCGCCTCTTTTCATCCGCCACTTATTCGTTGCCTCCAATACTCCTGGTATTCCAGCAATCAACCATCCCCACTTCTCCAGAAATCCTTCGGACATCTCCCATCCTGTTATATCCCAGGGTGGAGACCAAGCGATCATGCCGCGCCGCATGACCTCATCATCGGGGAACCCTTCATACAGCCCACCGAAACAGTCCTCCCATAGATCTTCTTCGTCATAGGTGCCACTGGCCCGGATCAGGCGATCTCGTCCTTCAGGACTCGGCCACATATCGATCCAGTTGCCATGTGGCACTGTTTGTTGAAGGGTTGTGGGTAAAAGGGCTAGAGGTAGTCGTTCCGGATTAGTAGGATAGGGTGTGAGATGAATAAGTTCCTCCTCGCAGTCAAGTGGTGTAACGACCTTTCCTCTGACTAGACTGCTATTGGCTGCCATGGCGCGAAGGGCGTTGAATTGAAGAAGCGTTATAAGGTGATCTGGGCAGAGAGGAAAGATAAAGCCCCTATATCGCTCCTTTGAAGAGACTTCCCGTAGCAAGGGATTTCTCGCATTGTATAATTTCTTCGCACGGGCTGCTGGGACGACAGAGATGGATTGCTTCTCAATGTCCCAGCACTCCACTAGCGCTTCTGATTTGACCAGTGTGCCGGCTGTGTCATTGAATCCTTCGGCTTTTTTCGCTAGTGCCTTGCGTTTGCCTACTATGTTGTTACTTTCGATGATCTTGTACTTGTCTATCGGACCATCCCTGACTTTTGGTTGGATCGAAGAGAAAATAAGATTTTACTTACGGTATGCCCTTGTGTTGAGTCTAGTCTGTGCTCTTCTGCGGGCTGCGGCATCTTTGATACCTGTCCAGTCATCTTCCTTGTTTATCGCCTACACGCAGTGAGCAAGGTGCATAGTCTTATTATTGAAAGCGGGCGAGTACCCACCTCGGCCAACTGCGGCATCGACGCGAGTTGAATTTGTCCCGGTGTTGGATCTGTAGACTGATAGGTATTGGCCATGATGCTTATAGATGATGGCTATGGACATATCGGTAATGAATTTTGTGGGTTCATTGGGAGTGGCTAAAGTGGTCACGGTTCATGCGACCTGCTCACAATAATGGGCGGTAACATTGATCTGGCTCGGGAGTGTGCTAAGCCTCCTATTTCCGCGGTCGAGGCTCAAGATAGCCCCACATAAACCAGCAGCGCAACGTGATTCTATTGGCTAATACTGAGGTCTTTAACCTTAACAGGCCTAGCGTCATGCAGCCTGCTCACATCCCAAAGCGGGGTTGAAAGATTACAAGGCTCCAAAATCCACCCTTAGTTAGTTAACGCCGGGGATTAGTAAAACTCTTCCGCCAATTTACAGAATGAATGCTGGAACCAAAGGAATGCACTTGCAAGAACCTCCAATTCGGTTGAGAGTCCCAAGGGTCCACTCTTAGCATGGATTGCATGAGTTCTCCGTCGATCGCAGTCAATCTTTATTTTCATTTGAAGGAATGATGAAGAACAGAATCAATTGATCACAAGAGAACATACAGTTTTAAGATAGCGATAAGTTCTATCAGATGAAAAAGTAAATGGTTTAGTTGCCCAATGGTATAACGCCTGTGAAAGAAGGAACTCGGCCCCACCCTTCATGCGGGCTGCTCACAGCTCCATTCAGCTGCTTTCCATTGGCCCATCCTTCAATAGGACCAGTGGATCCTCATGCAACCTGCTCACCATGTCTGATGCTCACATACAGTGAAAAATCATTCAAGGCCCGGTATTGTTGAATATAAATATGGTAGAAGCCCTGCGCTTCATTTCAGGTTCTCATACAATCAAGCACAGTCAATTCAAACGATTATCCTATATTCGATCATCAGCTTCTGCATATTCAGAACCCATATATTACTTCAGTCGACATGACTTTCCATCCAGATACGCTCCCTGACCTCAAGGGCAAAGTGTTCATAGTCACCGGCGGAAATTCTGGCATGTAAGTTTCAAGTTTCCTCAGACTCCAATTCAAAGCCCGTGATCACTGATCTCTTCAATCTATAGGGGTTACCATACCGTAGCCCGGTTGGCAGAGCATGGAGCGCACGTTTATCTATGCGCCCGATCCGTCGATAAGGGCACATCAGCGATCTCCAGCATCAAGGAAATACATCCTGCAGCTAATATCGATCTTCTACAAGTCGATCACATGAACCTTGCCAGTGTCGTCTCGGCTGCCAAGCGTTTTCTCACCCTAGAAACAGCCCTACACGGCCTGGTCAACAACGCAGGCATAATGGCCACGCCCTTCGAAGTAGGCAAAGACGGCCACGAGGCCCAATGGCAAACCAATTACCTTGCACACTGGACTTTCACAGATTACCTCCTTCCTCTCATGCTGGAAACTTCCAAAACACTTTCCCCGGGCGGCGTACGCATCGTCAACATGAGTTCATCGGGCCACTGGGGCGCACCGAAATCCGGTATCAATTTTGAAGATACAACTCTCAAAAACGACGGACCGTGGGAGCGATATGGACAAAGCAAGCTCGCCAATATCTTGCACACAATAACTTTGCACAATATTTACGGCCCTGGGTCTAAAAGTGCGACAAACGGAAATGGTGAGATCTGGTCTTCATCCGTGCATCCGGGTATAGTCGAGACAAATCTTGGCACGGCCGTGAAGGAGTCGGGGTCGAAGATGAATTATTTTTTCTCGCTAATTCGGGCCTTGGGCGGATTCATGACTGGTGATAAGGGAGCGTGGACTAGCGTGTTCGGTGTGGCCAGTCAAGATATGAAGGCAGAGCAGAGTGGTGCTTATCTTGAAATTCATCACAGATGGATGGAGGCCCCATGGATGAGCCGCGCCGCGAAAGATGAGAAGCTTGCGGAGAGGTTGGAGGAGTGGACAGCGGATTTGATGAAAAAGGAAGGGTATATCCAGCGATTGCAGTAACTGAAAATTTCTGTGTTTTTAGATTGTATTATTGGAGTTCTGGGATTTTCATATTTGCTTGAGCTATCTATATCTCGCTTGGATCTGATACCATTCTTCATATAATCCGAGTTCCTACTAGTATTAACTCCAACTTCAACCTCAGACATGAAATCATGGTAAATCATTTTATATTTCAAGCATTGGAGGAAGTAATAAAAAGCTTTGCGGTTAATTATGAATTTCGAAGAACACTATTTACAGATATAGAAATATCTAGTACGTAATACACCCAGGGCTATTACTATAGATAAACAGAAACTTGAATGTAGCATCTCTTCAAATGCCGATAGCAACTTCATGCATATGCAACATTCAGCTTTAAACGTTCAGGTACTAGGATATAAACAGTTATGATACATACTATAGCCCTCGAGGTGCACTGAGCGACTATTTAGTTCCGTAGGTAGTAGGAGCCTTATTTTAACAAAGCTTAAGCCTTCAAAATGTCAAATTGGTGATCGTTAACTCGACTAATCTTTGGTCGGATTGTCGCATTGCACATCTAGACCCGAGCAGGTGCAAATCCCAAAGTACCATCGTGAATGTTGTGGTCAACATAAATTCCGTGGAAGAAGGCTGTGAAATCTTTTTAGTACCAAAGATGAACGCAAAAGTCGAGAGGAGAAGAAAACCTACGTTGACCGACAACCCAAAGATTAGACAATGGCATCGCATCGGTTCCTGAAACAATCGCTGTACAATTGTTGTTTCCATTATCCGCTGCAATCCACTGGTCCGGCTTGATGTTGAAAATGGAGCTCTTATGGCTGACGAGACGTGAATTCTTCTTCGTAGCCTCAGTGGCATTGTTGCGGGATGGAATTGAGAGTCCCAGCTGAGGAGGCTGATCGCAAGGGAAGTATCCAGTGACAGTGGTTCCGGCAGACTCAGACTCCTGAACATTATACTGGATAGAAGCAGCTTTGAATATTTTCACGACGTCATCGACAGGTCTGTTCCTATATCAGTATGGCGATTGATGGGTAACAAATAATTGAAACTTACCCGAGAATGGTAGCTGTTCCAGTATCCAGTTCAACAAGTGCATTCTTCAGTATTATCTTATTTTCAAGAGCGATATCGGTCCACAAAGCCCATTCCTGGATGATGGAGCTAGTTGTGAGATCTCCCTTAAACAGGCTCTTATCCAATTGTCCGAGGACCTGAGTACCCTTCCCATTGTCTCCCAAAGAAATACCGAATCGACAAGCATCCACCTTTCCTTGGGCACATATGGAGTGAAAGAAAGGGAGGGCTCCATGGAATGATGATTCTTCGAGCCCTGCGAATCCAATAATTCCCTGTCTGGGAACCAAACTCGTTCCATCGGGACTTGCGTTCGCCGTGCCCACAGTTTGGTGAGCAGTCATCGAACCAAACTTCACTGTGTCATTGTATAGCTGGCCGGTGACCTAGATAAATGTATTACAATGGTCAGTGAGTTTCACCTTAAATGTGTATTATTTATGGTACATACAGTTCCCGTTCCTGAGCCATCACTTTGAGTAGAGCCGTAGGAGATGGTGAAATTTTTGTGGGTATTGACAGACCCGGGGCCTGGACGATAAAATCCAGGATTCACAATCAGGTCACTGGACCCAGTGTCGATTAGAAGGCTCAGATTCTTTGAGTTGCCGACGTCGAAACTACCAAACCAAAAACGCTGGGTTTATCGTCAGCAAGGAACCTGCAGGTGGTTGAAGAAATGCCTTACGTTTGCCTCCGTGATTGTGTCAACATCGTATTTTGATTTGATATTTGGCCCCGGACGATGCTCCAAGTCGACATGTGAGGGCTTGTATTGGGGAACTGCCTCACATGTCGAAATGAACGCTAACGTTCCGAGAAAAGTGGATTTGATGAACATGGAGAAGAAGTGGAATGATTATAGAAAGGTTTGTGATTTGAAATTGCTCCGGGAAATGATTTCAAAGAAACTACTCAATTCAATATGACACTGTTGTATTTATATTCACCGATTCATTTAGCCTCGACTATGCCAAGTTTCTTTCGGAGCCCCGAAGGTCTCCATATCCAGAATGCCCCCTATACTTCGGCCCCCACCACGCTCGCAAATGAACACAAAGACAGTTTGATTATGCCTTGCTGCTCGTTTTAGAAACACGCTACTGTCAAAGGATTGTGGTAAATTGATCCTAGTATCCTGTGACTGGATACTTCTGACACTATTTTTTTGGCTTATTTAGGCTTCTTCAAAATACAGACATGGCGTCGAGCTTTAAACCACTCAATAGTGCTGACTCGGTTACGCTAATCGAATTCGTCCTAGTTTGCAGGGCTGAAGGGGCGGTGTTTTCCACTGCGGCTCAATCTGACAGACTCTTATGGCATCGCGAAGAAATTTCGTGGGTATTTGATGATGCTAATAAAGAGGTCCATTCTCGAAGGTTCAGACCAATATGCTCGGGGCCAATCGCAGAATCTCTAAAGGCCGATCCCGCAATGGTTGCATTACCTGCAAGTGAGTCCCCACATCCCATTCCCACATACAACCCTCTCCCCTGCCGTTACCTAGCAGCTTCCTTTAATCAGATACTAATGTCGATCATGGAACAGAATCCGCCGGGTCAAATGCGACGAAGAAAAGCCTATATGCGATAAATGTTCGTCGACTGGCAGGACCTGTGAATATCCGGGCTCTAGGATTCCAAGCCCCAGACCAGGGGTCGGAACGAAAGACTTGCGTATCGTACAACATGTCCCACATATTCAGCGACCGATTCGCATGTGGCAAGTCTCTCAATCTACAGACTTAGTGCAAGAAGCCGAATATCGATCTCTGGAATTTTTTCAACTTCATACCACAGAGTGCTTCGGTGCAAATATTGGCTCTTTTCTTCTTCGAGCCGCTCACCATGAGCCTATAATAGGAACAATGGCGATCGCAATCGGATCATTGCATCGCTCTTTTATGTTCGATCAGCATGTATCCAGCCCGCCTTGGGATAACACTCGATTCACCTTGTTTCAATACAACAAAGCTATCAAGCAGTTGGTAAATATTCAGCCTCATACCTCGCCTCAAACAAACGACACGTTTTTGATAGCCTGCATTTTGTTTTTCTGCTTCGACTGTCTTCAGGAACACTACAGGTCGGCTTTTCAGCATGCAATTGCTGGACTCAAGATTATTAAGCAACAGCAAATGATATCGGATCCCTCATCACATATGTATATGCCACCCGAAACAATAGCCATTCTGTTTACTATAATCGACAATCAATTGCTTGAGATACAAGGAGAGAGGTCGCTAGCAGTGGAACTACGGCCATGTATGTTATCATCTCATAATTTGAACTATGGCATACCTCAACGAGCCTCCAGCCTTGATGAGCTTATCACATCACTCCAGTTGGCCTACAACCGGTTCACACGTTTCGAAGCTTTCTGTGAAAGCTTAGAAGAGCTGTCAAAAAGTACTAGTACATCGTCCGATGAGTTAGCACACGATTGGTATTCAGAGAAAGAACGTACCCAGATATCCGAATCCCTAAATTTGTGGATGGCGGCTTTTGACGATTGGTTACGAAGACAATCGCCCTTCGAGCTCCCGGACCAAGAGAGAGACACCAAGATCATGATACTTAAGATTTGGAGAACTTTGGTCAATTTTTTAGTTCAGATCGACTGGCCATTCACAGAGCTCGCCTGGGATGCCCATACGGCCCATTTCGAAACAATGGTGACCCTCGCCGAGAAAATGCTTGATATCCCATCAACATTCTTCCCTCCCTCCTCTTCAGTGACGATCGATACATGCCAAAGCCAACGCACCGCATCATTACCATCGGCCGTCAATAACCACCGTTCAGCCTCCCTCCCACCTCTTCGCCCCAAACCCATCAAACCAGTCTCTTCTATATTTTCTCTCTCCTTGGGCATTGTCACTCCACTTTATATGTGTGTGACACGGTGTCGAGACTCCGGTATACGCTACCGCGCCCTAAATATGTTGATATTCTGCCAACGTCGCGAGGGACTGTGGGATTCCGAGTTGGCAGGCCGAATGGCAAAGCACACTATAGCTATTGAAGAATTTTCGGCCAAAATAGAGCCTGGGACTGTCTACGTGCCCGCGGATATTGGCATGGCGGCCCGCGTTCAGACTTTAAACCCGGAGTTTGAAAACGACCGGGGGATAAAGGTAAGCTACAACCAGGAGGTGCAGGGTGAAACTACCCATGTCGAAGATCTGTTTTCGTGGTAAATAGTATACGGTATAAAATGTCTTCAATATTCGTGGGGGTGATTAATCTTGACAACTTGAATTTATCGGTCGGATTATATAGTATAGTCGGGATCCGTACAGGATAGCGGCAGCCATGTATCGTCGGAGCCCTGGCGGGCCATCATGATCGTGAAACCCGTCGGGATAGCCCCCGGTGGCCGTGTTGATCTCCGTGCCGCATTTGTCCCTTTATAAAGTTTGTATTGGTTACATTAACTTTTTGTTTGCGACTCGCTTCAATATTTCGACTGCTTGTTGGAAAAAATGACGAATCAGCAGATATATTTCTCCCACATGGAGACGATAGTGAAGACCGGTAGCCGTACTTAATTTTAGCACTAGTGCTGCGACAAAAAGATTAGTGGCTGCGGGGGTATTAACCTTGGAACCATCATCAAGTAGTGACCGGAAAATAATTGGTGGAAGCGTGCGCCATAAAATTTAGAAATTCACCATATCATGCAGCAGGCTAGGGCAGCTACATTGTACATGAGAACATGTGGAGGAGGGAACACAACAATTGGCCTTCGCGAAACAGATCGGCAATCGTGTTTAAATGAAAAAACTTGTGGCCCTTCGTAGGTAGGCATTCAGTATAGGATTTTAGTAAAGCAGTTGGGTTCAGTGGGATCCAAAGAGATCCAGTCAACAGGGTCCAGGTTCGTGATCTGAGTCTTTTGTGGAGGGCCGCGTGTGTGGTGTCAGTGTTATCCCCAAAATGGCATAGATGTGAACAGATCTGCTAATCATCCATTCATGGGATAACGAGAGCGAATCAATCTGGAGGCCTGAAGGGTGGGGTTAGTATGTACATGTATGCGACCGACGATCCCTCGGGAGCAAAAACCCAAAGACCCTGCGCAATCAAAGTAAAACCCCAGTGGAGAGATTGGAACACATCCACATTTGAGAGATTTGATTCCGTATATTGAGTCCTTATTATTCGACCCTGAAATTCGTTGGAACGGAGCTCATATTCAGACTATTTTTGGGAGTCACACAGCATTGAGCCCCGCCATCTCCAACCAAGACAAGATGCGGAGGATGTGGATGCCAAGCCCACTGGGTGGTGCATCCTGGCGTATCACGATGCAGGGTAGTCAGCCCCCGTCGTGATGGAGCATCCAGAGCTGACGTAGACAAGCACCCCTGCTCGGCTTGGCTTAGTGTGGGATGAAGGGTTCCTTCGAAAGGGCGAAAGGGTGGCAGGGCAAGATAATCCACCAGGGATGGGAGTACCGGTGCTTTTTTTTTGCTTCCTAGATGCAACACCACGGTAGAACATTCCGTGGTGACGAATCCTTTTGGAACAAAGTTCCGTATCCCGTAAATTCAATCCAGGTGCCTTGTACCTGTCAGTAAGTGATCGTTTTGGAATTGACAGAATATTCGTACTTTATACATACTCAGTACTCGGATAAAAAGGAAGCCACCAGAAAAGGTGGAGTATAATGGGGACCATAGCCTGTCATCCACTGGCAAGTGGGGATGACAAAGAGAAGGCGACGTCAAGTGTAGCCGCATTTAGTGCTGAACGAGGCCAAAAGCAAGAAAAAGTCGAAGAAAGCGGGTGGTAACTTACACTTTTGTACTGCATCGTATTGTTACCGCACTTTCCCCAATCCGGACCTTGGTCTGCCCCGTGGGCTCAGGCCATTTCTGAGACTTTCCCCATAGTTAACGTCTTTTCAGACGAGTCTCGCCCCCCTGTCACGCCTGGTATTACGTGCCGTGCCTCGCGTCTCCGATTTAAAGACTCCCTTATCACCTTCCTTTCTTCTATTCTCTATCGCTTCACTTCGTCACTCGTTCAACGTCCTTCGCTCTGCTCTCACGGGCACCCCCGCCTTTTCATTACTTTGCTGGTCATGCTCTACCGTTAATTACTCACTTTTTGAAGTCCAAATGGGCAAGTGTACGTTTCCGCGGCTATCACAATCCTTTTTTTAAATCCACTCGGGTTCGCTAACGTTGTCTCACGTAGGGCGTTATGGCGTCGTCTTGGACGCTGGTTCGTCTGTATGTCCGATTCAATCAAGCCGAACTCATCTCCACTGGGATCGTGTCGCTGATCTGCAACCGTTTAGGGGACCCGTGTCCACGTTTATCGATGGCTGCGCAATGCCACTGCGCGCAACAAGGCGGACGAATATGACCTGAAATCACTTCCGGAGATCAAGACCAAGGAGGAATGGGTCAAGAAGATTCATCCCGGTGAGTCCGAAGATATAACGCGATGAGATAATCCCAATTCCCTGACCGCGCTAATTCCCTTAAAGGTGTCTCTTCTTTTGCCAATGCACCCGAATCCGTCGGCCCCGATCACCTCGCACAACTTCTAGATCATGCAAAGACTATAATTCCGAAGGAGGATATTAAGGAGACCCCAATTTTCCTCCTCGCCACGGCTGGTATGCGACTATTAGGAAGCCTGGAACGACAGCTGCTTTTGGATCAGATTTGCTCCTATACGCGTGCAAGCACCGATTTCTTGTTACCCGACTGCGCCATGCACATCCAAGTCATTCCAGGTGTAACGGAAGGACTCTACGGCTGGATTGCGACCAACTACTTGATGGGTGCTTTCGACTCACCCCTGCTTCACGATCATGGAAAAGGACATCATACTTATGGGTTTTTGGATATGGGAGGCGCATCGGCTCAGATTGCATTCGCCCCTAATGCAACCGAAGCCGAGAAGCATGCGAATGACTTGAAATTACTCCGACTACGAAACATCGATGGATCCATGCAAGAGCACCGACTCTTTGTGACCTCCTGGTTAGAATTCGGTGTACATGAAGCTAGGCGCCGCTACCTTGAACATCTACAAGAAGAAGCAATCGGCTCGAATGTTGCAGAATTTCCGGATCCGTGTCTTCCTATTGGTCTGCGCACTACTTTAGATGGCCAAGACGTACCGCCAGGCGTTGTTGCAGGCCCTACTTTGCTCGGTACAGGAAGATTTGATGAGTGTCTACGGCGGACATTTCCCTTGCTGGACAAGGATGCCCCTTGCTCAGATGCTCCATGTCTGCTGCATGGTACTCATGTCCCGGCGATTGATTTTGACGTCAACCATTTCATCGGAATTAGCGAATACTGGCATACGACTCATGAGATCTTCGAGATGGCTTACAAAGACAAGGCATACGACTTCAACACGTACCAAGAGCGGGTTCAAATATTTTGTTCACAAGATTGGGATTCGATTGAAAAGGGAATTCAGATTGAGCAATGGGGCAAGAAGGTAGACCGCCAAAAGGCAAATGAGGTTTGCTTTAAAGCGTCATGGATTATCAACATGCTGCACGATGGTATTGGAATACCTCGTGTCGGCCTTGAGAATACTTCAGGCTCCTCCCACAATGGAACCAAGGAAGTCCTATCTCAAGGTCGTGAGAAGGGTTATCTCGATGCTTTCCAAGCTGTGAACAAGATCGACTCGACTGAAGTCAGCTGGACGTTGGGCAAGATGGTGTTATATGCTTCATCACAGGTGCCAACAGGAATCGAGGAAGCTTTACCCGTTGGATTTGGTAGCAATGTTCCCGGCATCCCAGAGGACTTCCAATATCCTAGTGTTCAGCTCTTGCCTGATGGCGATGGGTTCCACAGCGAGCATTGGCATGACGCCCTGTTTGATGGAGATTCCCCTCGTCGAATCCCCGGCTTCATTTTGTTCCTATTCATCATAGTAGTGGTGGCGTTCTTCCTATGTGGTCGCAGCCGCCGCCTGCGCATGTACCACCGCATTAACAACATCCTCCGACGTGGAGGACCGTCACATCCCAACCACCCAAAGAAGCGGAGACCTTTCATGGGAGTGTTGCCATTTTTCAATCGCAGTGCACCCTCTTATGAGCGTGTCTTAGAGGACGGCGCACACGAATTTGATCTAGGTGGGACCGAATCGGATGGCAGTGATCTAGATGGTCGTGCTTCTGACATTGACGGGAACCCCCGACCTCCAAAGCGTGCATCTAGCTGGAGCAACAACGGGAATACCCCTAGCTTGAAGTATACACTCGACAATAACTCATCGGGTACGATCGGTCTTGGAATCAGCGGTGGATCGGGTATTGCAATGGATCGGGCAGGCCTAGTGGTTCGCACAGAAAGCCGGGATCATCTAGCCCCCATTGCTTTAGGACCTACCACAAATGGGCGCCGCTCAAGAGCTGGCAGTCCCACGAGATCTCTTCACCAGAAGTCCCCGGTCATAAGTCCTCTTGCTGATGATTAACGCCACTGAAATATGCCACATCCCCTCTCACCAAACTCTACCTATTAAGATATACCGTATTATACCCCGTCGCATCGCATTTTCTACTGGGGTTCACTTCTTGGATACGGGACCAGCTCGACATTGTCTGGTTTGGCTTTTTTTACCGTGCTAATTTCACGGATCTAAAGTGTTGTTGTGGTACAACGACGAACGCTCTTCAATTCTTGGTACAATATTCACACCTGTGCTTTGAGGTAGTACGCTTCTTTCAGTGCTTTTTTGATCTGGTCCGGGTGATTTGGATGTAATGGCAGTGTACCATTAGCACTCTTGCGAATGCTTTTTAATGAATATAGACTAATCCATTGATCAAATCTAATAATCCCTCCCAATACTTGATGTAACTGTAACAATTAAATTGTATAAAGCACTTGAGGGATCCTTGCAAAACTAGCCTTGGAGGTAGATTGATATCAAAGTAGAACCTCGGAAAACAGTTATGGATGGAGGTCACGTGGATGCGATGGCCAAAATACCGCCCGGCAGAAAGGGCTGTCCGAGCTAATCTTCATCAGACAAACTTGCGACAGCCCGCTCAACCATTGTCACTTCGTCTTGATTTTCAGCATCATTGGATTTTTACGACAGTCTTGTGCGCCTGTGATATTCTAATAGAGCAATTTGCCTAGACTTAATCCTTCTCTCCCCGCGCCACAGCTTCGCGAAAGCACCAACCGCCACCATGCGATTGACTGTCGAGCTCATTCAGAATTCCCTTTCCTACATTAATCCGCTCACAGACCGCGAGCTGGATCTTCGAGGTGCGTTACACCATTCCACACATACCTGAAAAGGACAGGTACTACACATTTGAAAAAAGAGCTTCATTCATATCGTCTTTATACGTTGGGTCGTGTAGGACACAAAATCCCCGCAATTGAGAATTTGGGTATTGCGAAAGTAAGTTGACTCCACCTCTTATGAACTATTATACCTACGGCTATGTCTGTGATGGAATTTATATTCATAACCTAGCTCCACCGAGAAACGATTGTATACTGACGGCTACCAGGACCAAGATACCATCGACTTCACCGACAACGATATCTCGTCTCTCGGAAACTTCCCCTTCTTCCCTCGCCTTCATACCCTCCTCCTTGCCCGCAACAGAATCAGTCACATCCAACATTCTCTGGGATCATCAGTACCAAAACTCTCGACTTTAGTCTTAACTTCAAATAACTTGTCCGAACTTGCGGATCTTGACTCCCTTCGAACTTTCACTCGCTTGACACATCTTTCCTTGCTCGAGAACCCCGTCACCCGGAAAGAGGTTCGTTTATCACTCAACTCGTAACTGGACATCATATCTAACAAGTGCTTACAGAACTACCGGTACTGGGTTATCTGGCTGGTCCCCTCCGTTCGTTTCCTCGACTACCAGAAAGTGAAGGATGTGGAACGTACTAAGGCAAAGGAGCTGTTCGGCACATTCGAAGAACCATCCGCCCTTGCCTCAAAGATCAAGGGCATCAAATCCAAAACATTCGACGCCTCTATCACCGCCGGCGCAAACAATGCTTCAAGCGACAAGGCCATCCGCGTGAAGCTCACAGATGCCGAGCGCAAGCGAGTGGAGAGAATGATTCGCGAAGCGAAGAGTATGGCGGAAATCGCACGATTGGAGAAAGAACTCAACGAGGGACGGATACCTGGTGGAGCTCTTGGGGCAGAAGATGGAGACGGAGACGAGCAGATGGCACTCTAAGTTGGAGATTCAGTTCTACCAATTGCCTTCTGGACATACATTTGTTGCTGCTTTGCCGATGCCTCTTTGACACTGCGGAATTTCCTTCTTTAAAACTTTCTATCACGGCCATTGGGATTTTCTCGTATTATACCTACCTTTCACGTGGGGTTATGTGTGTATCATTTTTGGGGATTTCATTTTCTTGCCATGGGTGCTCATGCGGTCGATCTTTCAACTTTCAATATACTAGCATTGTGGGGCTATAGCGCCATACCAAAAAGCCTTTTGACAGACTTTCTACTCTTATTCCTGTGTCTTCACTTTGGCTACCGCCTGGGTTTGATCCGGCCGACCGATCCGAATAAGTACAGTAACATCTGTGTATAAAGGGGATAGCGTTCAACCCCACGAGGTAAAGATCGGAGATATGTTTTCAAAGCCCTCTACAGTAGTTTTCGAAATCAGTCGTACCTCTACACTCTTGCGACTTCTTTCCCGGAAAATACTTCCGCCGCCACAGAGCTCTGGCTGGCAGGACAGCATGGGCCTCATGTCGCCTTCTAAAAGCGTACTCCTACTTTATAGCACGCCTCGGAGGCCTTACGGCATGTGCCTAGCTTAGATGGACACTGCTATACACAATCGGCCGCTTCGCTCCTTCCAGCTCTTTGGCAGCCGGACCGTCTACAGTATGCTGGAAGCCAACCTCAGCTGATACGATGATCGACGGGGGCCATCTTTCAGCAACCAAAGTCTTCGGGTTTTGCCTGCCACTCAACTCGCTCCTCAAAAATCTTGAAGTGCCTGGCGCTTACCTCATGGAATATGAATGGAGCGGATAAAACAGCTCAGAATGGTCCTATAAGGCTCTTTCAGCTACGTCTCAGAAAGCTCAACGAATCATGGATACCAGTCTCGAGCAAGTGATGCATACCAGGCAGAATCACTATCCCAATGGGTCCGCGAGATAGGAAACGAAACAGTATTCGGTAGTGTGGCAACTAACGAGTCGTATGCTACTGTTAAATAGGCGTGGCTGGCGCTACGGGCTACTACCTTGGTGCTACCAGGAAATGTTATGTTTTTCTCGACCATGTTACTCAACAAAAATGGCTAAATGAGTCCGTAGAAAGCATCGGTTCTCCCATTACTCTACCACGGGTTAGATTATGAGTTTATAGAAGAAGATATAGACTTGGTCTCAGCTAGTAAGATGGAGCGTAGTGCGAGCATGGTCGATGTGAAATCGGGAATTTCTGATATGCATAATTGCTTGGTGCTTCTTTCAACCTCGCGGGAGTCTGAATGACCAGCTTATCAACACTTCAACAAAAGAATCCCAGAGGCTCTTGTGATAGCATAGCTCCACAGCTAAGAAGACAAGGAGTCGACAAGCAAAATGTATGTATCGTGAAATCGAGTATGCTGACGCTCGCCTTGAGTGAGTGATCATAGCTGGTGCTCTGCTTGAATCCTGGTAGGATTGGAGACATGCTACGAGGTCGGCTACCTCGGTAGCTACTAATCAGAGATCGGGCTCAGTGAGCAGATCAGGTTTATGCCGGTGTGATCACTGACCAGCTCAGGCCGCCTAGGGGCGTGCTTAATTCTGCTGGATATTCCCCAGCGCCTGAAGCTTCCTTGAGAAGAGAGCATGAAAACTAAGCTAATGAGCACCTAATCTCGATAACATGGTGCTACTATATCTCTTAAAATATTTAGATCACCCCCATCATGCGAAGAGCTTCCTTATCAACAGTCATTACCCCTGAAAGAGAACAAAACACCACTGGCAATAGCTTTAAGGTTTGAGCAAGGTCAATCAGAATTAATATAATCTGACATACTTTGTAGTGGAGGCGGGATAGGCGAGGTATACGAGAGCGGGCCATATCCACTGCCGACGCGAAGTATAAATATGGTTGAAGGTTTTTCCAGTAGAAGCTTATACTATACGGAGGTCTCCGGGTTCAAGCTATTAATCCATACGTCCGTAATCCAAAGCTGAATCGGCTTATCCGAGCTGTTTCAGAGCAAGGAGGACACGAAGGTGTTACGGGACTCAAATATTAATGTTAAAACTGACCGGTACACATGCAATAGACATTAATCATGCTTCCTAACTGGTAAATCCTGACGTTATGTTATTCACTTTCTTCGGGAATTTATCTATGTAAGACGCTTTGAACGAATCGCGATCAAACCTGTATTTGTATAGGTGTGTTGAAGATCTGTCGCAAGGCGTTCCATATTTTGACTTGAAAATACGCTACAAACGCCACAGGTGCACAATCCTTATTGTACCCCATTAGCTAGTAAATGAATCACTTGAACATAATTAGTCTTGGCAGGTAACTTTCGATAGATATTGTTAAACTACTCAGCCACAAAATAATTATTCAATGGTGCTTTGAACACAAGATGAACCCCCCTCACGAATATAGTCGACCGGAGCGCACAATCGAGGGCATTGAAGACCGTGCCTGTTGCTCCAGGGCTTCAGACCAGCCCACATAACGGATTGTTTGGACTGAACTTGCTTACAGTGGGGACTGGGGCGCGAGTGGAAATCCCCCTAGCGCGTTAGCGGAGAACGCGGACTCGCATCGATCAACAAACCCCGTTCTACTAAGTTGGTGGCGCGTCAATCACTGCCATAACAAGCATATAGTCACCGTTTGGTCAAATAAAACGCCGATCAAAGATTCTGAAAATTGGATGATTTCCACTTCGTTTGTATCCAGCGTCTCCGGCGTTCATCCGGAGAAGGATGTTTGCCTGCAGCCCTCTCCCCCTGCATATGATGCCTTACCGTGCACCGCTTCCTTCTCCGTCCTCCGCAATGCGTCGTGTTCCTTTGAGACTTCGAAACGACCTTCGCTTGAGGAATTCCGTGGAATGCAAGTGGAAGAATCGGACGGTACGCGTGGGCCAAGATCCCAGTCGATAGATGGCGCGCTTGGGCCCTTTGCTAACCAGATGAAAAACTATTCAGCTCATTATAGAGTGGAGATCATTAGTCTCCACAATTAAGACACAAAGATTTGCATGCATACTCCGTACATGCACACCAGAAATGAGTAATACGATAATTGAGCATAGATGCCATTCCACGAAAGTTCAATGGTAAAACACGGGCCTGTAGCATTCTGTGGTTCCAGAAAACCTTGATGACGCTCTTTGACATCTCGGGAACCAAAAAACAGCTGCCGCGTCTCCGCATACTGTTTATCTGACTGAAGACGACGCATTCCTCCTATATATACCCCCGACGACGGCTTTTTGCTAATTCCATCTGCCCCTCAATTGCAGATGGTCGATCTCCGCGATTGAGCCAGTACCATGGCTGTTGAAACAATTGTCCCCGCATTGCCACCACCAGCCGGCCAGACGTCAAACTTCGTGAACCCGGATTACAATGGCACCAAATTCCTGGTGGTGAACTGCATATTTTTACCCCTCGCTATTATTGGTCTTGGGGTGCGAATATGGACACGGCTGTTTGTCGTGCGAAGCTTCCGTGCGGATGATTGTGAGTAGCGATGCTTGTATCTATGGAAGAATTCGTTGTCTAATGACACATTGCAGATTTGATGGTTCTGGCGCTCGTATGTTCATACGATAGATCTCCCAGCGGGGGCACTGCTAACATATTATGATATTTTCACAGCTTTCATCATGTGTTCTCACTGGTGTGACTTTAGACAGTAAGCTCAGCTACTATCAAATGTGTGTTGGCATAACTAACATAGATATCTGTACAGTGCTTAATTGGGGCCTGGGAAGACACATGTGGGATGTACCTGCCACTTATTTCTCACCGTGGTTCAGCAAGGTTTGTATGTTCACTTTCTATAAGATCTCAGAGGTTGACACAAGGTATTCAATAGTTCAACCTTATCGCTGCCATATTCTACTGTGCCGGTACCGGATTCACCAAATGCTCCGTTCTCATCTTTTATCTCCGAATCTTCCCCAGCAGGAACTTCCACATCGCCGTTTGGGTCCTCATTTTCATTGCAGCCGGATATAGTGTCGCCAGCATACTCGCCAATATTCTCAGTTGCCATCCAGTAGCAAAGTCCTGGGATTCTACCATAACCACTGGATATTGCATGAACAGGCCTGTCTTTTACTTCGCCAACGCTGGACTAGGCATTTTTACAGATTTTGCTACCGTTGCGGTCCCAATGTGAGTAATCTACAACATCTATATCGTCTAGTCGCTAACAATAGGGGGTTATAGACCATGGATTCGCCGATTGCAAATGCAATTGCGACAGAAGATTGCTGTGTGCGCTATCCTTGCGATGGGATGTTTGTATGTTTTGTGAACGTTACTCATTCACATGACCTAATTCTAACATTGCTATAGTGTTGGTATTGTCAGCTGCGTCCGTCTAGCTTCTTTGTACACCCTTTTAACAAGTATTGACTTAACATGTAAGATTGCTTCATTATGTTGATCTGAGCTGCCAGGATTGACGTTAACATTTAACAGGGACAACTACTGATGCGCTCATGTGGTGCGCAATCGAGTTGAACCTTGGCATTTTCGGCGGCTGCGTCACAGCCATTCGACCATTTATTCGACAGTACCTACCCCAGCTTCTTGGTCTATCCTCTGGAGGGGGGTACGACTCATCTCAATCTCGAAAGCAATCTCATCCACTCGGTTCAATGCCTAGAAGCCCACGACCCGACTTTTCAGGACGAGACAGCGCATACATCACAACACTCTCCACCAGTCGTGCAGCGCCAGATAATGATAGCGAGGAGCATATATTGTCTGCGCAACATACCAACCCCAACAAAGAGATGGATGGTATCATGCGAACACTCGAGTTCGACGTGGAAAACTCGGCAAGTATGGCTCAATAACCACATAAATGCCGATGTGTATAAATAAGCTCTCTTGCCTATGTATATTAGTGTCCAGGGGCTGTATATTGTAATGAAAACAAATAATATGAAATTAATCAAAGCATAAACCAGTTCCGTGGATTGAGTCTTAATAGTTCACACGATAAACTTCCTCTTAACTATTGTGGATCTCAGGCTTTCGCTCGGCAATTCAAGTTTTGGCGGAACGAACCCCTGATTCAACCATCGCTGGGTCGCATCCATACCATGAATCGGAGTAAAACCGTGGATTGCCGTGAAGAAATACGAGAACCACATCCATGATAACATGGTTTTCATATTCATAGCCGCCGATCTGCGAATCATTCGATTACCAATGCACGTGCACGTACAAATGTGCATTGTTTATCCCAATTTCCCTGGTTTGCGACATTCTGTTCCACCATGAACCGCACTAAGTGGATTCCCCACAGACCTAAATGCTCCCGTTTCCCAAAACACTTGAATCACCGGAGCTAAGCCGGCTAGAGATGGCTGACGCAGTTACAACGAGACCGAGTAAGATTTGCTCCAGAGAATATCGTTGGCGGGAATACCGGAGACTTGAGCCTAGAGCTACATCTGTCACTTGGTAGCTTTAATCTTCCTCTCAACTGGTGTTTGGGTGTTGTTTCTTGAATATATTCATTTCCACGCCTTCATAATGCGTGTGAGCTCTCTTCTGTTATCGCTGGCCGGCTCGGTGACTACGGTCGCAGCTGAGCCTTCCAAAGTTGTCGCCAAAAACTCTCCATCTGTGAAAGCTGGCTGTCAAGCCTTGGAGAAGCCCCTTGCTGAATCGGTGTTCTTACCCAACACTGCTATTTACGACTATGAAGCCCAGAACTTTTGGTCAAACACTGAGATTTTGACCCCGGGTTGTGTGTTCCGCCCACAATCGAGTGACGAATTAGCTGAGGGTGTGAAGGCTCTTGTTAATGCTGACGCCGAATTTGCGGTGCGTGGTGGCGGCCACATGGGTATTCGGGTAAGTTTCCCCCTTTAGATTGCGCATAACGACACAGAATGTGGGAGAAAGATATGATATGAATGGATCTGACATATTCCAGGGCTCCAACAACATCAATGGCGGTGTCTTGATTGTAATGTCAAATCTGACTACCCTGCAATTGAACGAGGATAAATCAGTTCTCTCGGTCGGCCCCGCCTATAGATGGGAGCAGGTATACTCCTACCTCGCAAACTATGACTTGGCTGCTGCTGGTGGTCGCCTTGGCCCTGTTGGCGTGCCAGGTTTGCTTCTTGCTGGTGGCGTCAATTTTTACGGAAACCAGGTTGGCTTCGGCTGCAACACTGTCATCAACTACGAGGTTGTTCTGGCCGATGGGTCACTTGTTAATGCCAACAGCACCCAGAACTCGGATCTATTTTGGGCCCTGAAGGGGGGTAGCAGCAACTTTGGTTTGGTTACTCGTTTTGATTTGGAGACCATTCCGTCAACTCAGGTGTGGGCTGGCGCTTATACCGTATCAGCTGAATATGTTGATGCTTTCCTTGCGGTATGTCTACTAGTGGTAAATTTCAGGCGTGCGTGGTGAATGACTGCTAATATTCTTAGGCTATCGCAACATATGCTTCCGACATTTTCGACACCAAGACTCACATCGTCCCTGCGCTTGTTCCTGGGGATTCGACTCTCGCGTCTGTTATCTTGTTCTACGACAGTGACAATACAACCTTCCCTGACATTTTCACTCCCTTCACCAAGATACCTAGCGTCAGCAGCACACTTGCATTCAAGACTGTCGCGGAATTTGCCTCAGAGCTTGGCGCAATGGTTGTCCCTGGTATCAGGTAAGGCTCGACCTACACAATTTTCTGATTGACGTCAAGCTAACAAGTTATAGTGACGTTTTTGTTGCTGGAACAGTGAAGGGAACGACCTACGATGAACTTTACCAAGGTATAAGCATCATCAACACGACCTTCTTCAACGAGCTTCCTAAGCTCTACGCACAGGTTCCTTCTGCCAATATCTCGACCATTCAGCTAGACTGGCAGCCAATTGGCGCCGACTGGATTGAGGCGTCCGAATCTCGTGGCGGTAACGCTCTTGGCCTTGATTCCTCCCAGGTGTACCTGTGCTACGCCGAAGTCGTCGAATGGATCGGATCGGCATATGATGATGTCGTCGCATCATGGGTGGAAGAGACCACCTATGCGATCAACAATGCCACTCAAAAGGCCGGATTGTACCATGCGTTCAACTACATGGGTGACGCTGCTGGGTTCCAGTCGATTTTCCCCGGATATGGCGCGGGTAATCACCAGAAGCTGATCAAGATCGCCCAGAAATATGATCCCAATGGTGTATTCCAAACGCTGATGCCTGGTGGTTTCAAGGTCTATTGATCTAGTACACAGCCACAAGGGTCTGTTTAGCCTCGTTTCGTGACCGAATGTGGCAACACTCAGCCGTGGGTGACAGGGCTCTGATATAAATAGATATACAATTCTATATTAGAAAAGATTCAGAGGGTGTAAAATCCTGCTCTTATTTCCAAGAACCATGTGGTTGGCCCCGAGGTCTTCGCACCTAGATGTTGAAGGATCTCTCAAGCTAAGGTTATACTATGTAAGGTATTTTCAATGTGGGGCGTGACTACGAATAGTGCTCCCTCAAATGTTCAATGTAGTCAGAAGTAGGTTTGGGAACCTCATTTTATCTCGTTTGCTGCAGTACACCTTACACATTTGGGTTTTTGAGCCAAAAAAAGCCCGAGACTTCAACTGTCTCCGTGAGATCATCAGCTGGCGCTTTTATGCTCCTTTGACCACTTACTGTTGCAGCAATCGCAGATCCGAATCCTTCACGAGTTACAGACTTTTGTCTGTAGTGTTTTGATATCATAACAAATGTTTTGGGTATTCAGCAGGGTGCAGTAGCTCGTCAGTGGGTGCTCAATACTCGTAGACTGAAAACTTTGACTTGTTTTCTTGACAAAAGAAGGCTGAGTATGTTGGCGTTGGGTGTGTATATACATGGAGTGATAGTGGTGTGGAGTTCCGGACTATTCATCGGCGGAACAACTTGAACCTCTCAAGGTTGGTAGCATAAGTATTTGTACAAACCGACCGTGACATGAAGACATGGCATACATCCTATTAGCGTCTTTTAATCTGGGCCTTGCTACCTATGCCCACTTTGGCTACTTCAATTTCTATTGGAGACGTTGGGCAATGATATTATCGGATAGACCGATGTGTGTTCATCCATTCGTAAACATATAAAACCCGCAGACACGTTGCTTTTTGTGAGGCGTAAACGTAAAGGTGTGACAGCGCACATCCGAGCAATATGGTAGACCTTAGAAATTTCTCATCTGCTTCTCATTCGACTCGGATTGCGGGGTCATCGCTTTCTTCCTGCTCCCGTTTCTCTCCCCACGGGCATCGAGGAGTTTCAGCTGGCCACAGCTTCTTGTAGATATACTGAGCTTGGCTCCACTCGTCCCAGTAACCATCAGAGCTGAGAATGAGAATAGTCAGTAAGAAGATGGCTTTGACCGTTAAATTTATAGGATATGTTATTCATACCTGACGTCAAAGCTCTTGGGTGCCAGCATGTATGCTCGCAGCAAGATAGTGGTGACCACATCATCATAGGGCTTTCGCGCGGTCTTGCAGAATGACCAGCCACCTTTCTTGATGATGAATGGCTCGTGTGCATCATCGCCGACGCCGTTGATGTAAATGCCTTTCTCGGCGTCGATCTGCACAGGAGTCACTATCTCGTCGTCGTCGGTTGGACCACTGATGTCGAGGTTCTTGGCATGATCGAGAATCAAGGAGACATCCTTGATGAGATGCAGCCAGGCTGCCTTCCACTCCCCGGAATCCCAGTTGAGAACTTGGTAGTAGTGTGTGTATCTTGATTGTTCATAGAGGTTAGAATCAAGTCTCAGAAAGCTGTTTGGTCATTACCCACCCCATGCTTGATGCAATGGATCACTTGGATCAGTGAATGTGTTTTCTTTGGGTCAGAAGAGTATTGAAGATAGATGGAGGATGTGTTGACTTGGGGAATTCGCTGTAGATAAATACTCCAAGTTGGTCTAAACAAAGAGATGGTTGAGATTCAAATCAGGCAACCGTGAGGGGTGAGCCTCATTGGCGCCTAGAGATGTACATGGGTGCCGGGAACTTGTGCTTTCACCTTACAGTTTGCACGAACAACTCTCTGTACCTAATGTGAATTTGTTTTATTGTGTTTTGTTGCTGTTGATTTTCTCTATACTTTGAAGCGATGAAGGTTGTCGATTCTTAAAAAGTCAGGTACGTATAGTCATTCTCGAAATCGGCTTGACCACTACACTCACTGAAACTCCAACCATTTCACTCCAGAAATGATAATAAAATCGGATTCTGATTCTCAAATTCAAGTTTATTCATGCAGCCATTTGATGTTCTGGAGACCTAGTAATAGTAAGAGCCCTGGATCATCCATATGATCATATCCGAGTCTAGAGCGGCCCCTTTCCGCACCCAGGCTTTCAAGTTGTCGGGAAAGTATAAACTCGGGAGTTACTACTACAGCCTGAGTCAACCCGAGAACTTGAAAATGGACAATCCCACTCCTGCAGGTGGTAAAAAGAACAGTAGAATCAATTTCTTTGTTCATATAAAACTATAAAAGAACCAAGATATGTCATTTCAATCCCACCGCATTAGTTATTATACTCTTTTTCATCTCCCTATAGGAATTTCAGCCTCTAGAATTGCTTTAGTTAAGATATTACGGGAGACGATTAGACCGATGTTTTGGAAAAACCATTTGAAAGACGTGTGTAGTATAAAATAATGTTAAACGCGTATTCAAAATGTACCGCCTCTAGTAAGGAGTGGGATTATTCATCGGGGTGACCATAGTATCCGACGCGCTATTCTCCGGCTAGCCCATGTCCTCGGCGATTTCAATATATGATTCATGAAAAAAAGGATTACCCAATGAGATATAGTGAATTAATATTCAGAAAAGACAAATTATGCCAATCGAAAAAGTGGAACGAATGGCAAGGATCTCCACATACGGCCTCCCTTGAAAGTCATTTCACCGATTACTTTACCTAAAAATGTAGCTAAGTGTTACGTATATTGGGCTCCTTTGTAATCGGCCAGGAAATGTTTGAACTCTTTATACGAAAAAAGATATTGCACTTTACCTAAGGATTCAGAACTGCCGATCGCATTGCCGAATGTCCCAGATTAGCACACTGACCTCCACACTGGAATGGGGGGGGGGCGGGTGATTTAGCTCATCCATGCAAGGTGCCAACTACCCCAGATTTTATCATAGGGTATCAGACGTGCCCAGCGAATTGGTAGTGATGTAATTGCAGCGCGGAACACCTAGTCGAAGCCAAGTCTTGAGTTTTGATTGGACAGCCCTACTCGCAACAGAATTGAATATTTGAACTACCCGGATTCTACCAGTCTTTGGAGACTTTTCATTGAAATACGACAAAGCTTGAAGCTCGGCAGTTTTCATTAAGACACCCACATTCAGCCCAACCTTCACTTTGTGGGGAAACACGGAGCGTCAATGGGAGTGTCTCCACTGTGTCTCCACTGTGTCTCCACTGTGTCCCTCATGCCCCACTACCGGTACGAACACCGGAGCTCAATGTCGTCCGACAAAACCGTGACTGCTGCTGAACGAATATTTCTAGGTCCGTTTTAACTTAGCTGAAATTCTAATTCTACTCAGTAAGGTTCAGTTCCGCAAGGCACTTGCTTTGTAGGAAATTTCCGCCCGTCACTATCTGGGCATGGTTGATATTGGCGTCTATAGAAGCTACTACAAGGTCGACATCTGGCATCACCCTAGCTTATCCGACGGATGCAGGGACGGGTTGAGCCTGATGTTCGCTTATCATTATACGATCTACCCCGCCAGCTATTTCAACCCAACCGCCCGGCTGGTCAACGGACATCCTGGGAGGTATATATATTCTACTTTTTCAGGTACACTCCGTCGATTTACGATATAGTAGCAAACATTCAATGAATAGGCTTTTCCATAGTTGGTACGTCCCATGAAAAAAGGGCAATTGAGTCAAACTCTATAAGATTGGAGATTACCCGGCGGCCGCTTCCGTACTAGATATCATTATCACCCCAGGAACTTGAACAAACTAGCGCCACATTAGTGCGTACCATGATGGAAAGTGTGGGGATGATGCTCGGGTCAATTCCGCATCAGCCGCCTTAGCCTCTAGCTGGCACTCTGTATTTTCTTTATCGGGATGTGGAGGGATAGTCATTAACCGAGAGACGACCCGGGCATCATATTTGCTGGGGGGGAATGCGGGGAATGAGGATCCCTGAACACGATATCGAGAGACGAGAATTTCCAGGTATAAATGTAGATCGGTTCGCCTTCATTTCAGGTGTATAATCACCAAAGACAGAGTTGAAAAACAATAAAGTCCGGGAAAGTGTCTCTGCGTCTCCATGGCACCAAGTAAGTGGCCAAACTTCCCTCGAGCTCTGGCACTTGTGGCTAGTGTGGTTAGCTTCAGCACGGCCCAGGGCTCAGAGGAGGCACGATGGCCGCTACAGACATACAAGAGCTCCTCAATTAAAACACCATATCTGAATGTCTCAAAGATGGGCCAGACCGAGCCTGGGTATCTATTCTTTGCCCCGCAAGATATCCTACGAGGCACTGGTCATCCTTCCATCTACTCTGATGACGGACAACTTGTATGGCAGGGTGTCAATGGTAACCAGTCCGCTCTACAGCCTCAGACTCTTGATGGAGAGCCTGTGATCGCCTACTGGGAAGGGTATAACGGTGAGGGCTTCGGGTTCGGCCACATTAGTATCCTCAACAGCTCATACGATGAGATCCATCGTGTTACTTTGGATTGCAAAGAGCAGAACTTTGTGACCATCTTCGATCCTATGATATTCAACTCATGTATCGACATCCATGAGAGCCAAATTACCGACAACGGAACATTACTAGTCACTGCTGTTAATGTGACGCAGGCTGATCTAAGCTCTGTTGGAGGTCCCAAGGACGGCTGGATTCAAGATGGTATTATCTATGAGATTGATATAAAAACCAACGAGGTCCTCTTCCGCTGGAGCGCATATGAGCATGTCTATGAGGTCCCTATGACCTACGATATTGCTCCTTTCGGAGCATCAGGTGCCGGTACTGGCACAAACAAGACCGACCCATGGGGTTATCCTCATCTGAACTCCATCGCTAAGTATGGAGAACACTACCTCGTGTCATCACGTTACATGTGCAGTATCTTTTGGATCGCCCCCGACGGGACCATCGATTGGCATCTTCATGTATTTGCCCATCTCTGATTTCTCTCGTTCACCGACATCAGATGTACTGACTTGTCATGACTAGGGTCGAACCGGTGGAGACTTCAATCTTACCCTCGACACAAGTTTTTGTTACCAGCACGATGTCCGCATTGAGTCGCAGTCTGCAGACAGTGTGACGCTCGGGCTTCATAATAATGATAACACTGAATTCACAGGAAGCTCCTCCTTCACGACAGGTATGGTAATAGAACTTGAACTCCAGGGTTCGAAGAAAGTTACCCTTAAGCGCCGAATGTGGGATGCGGGAGATCCAGTATTCGCTCAATCTCAGGGTAGTTATCAAGCCTTAGGAAATCATCATGTTCTCCAGGATCATGGTGCGGTGCCTAAGATTGAAGAGTATGATGAGAATGGTGCGACTGTAATGCGTGCTTGGTTTGGTTATGAGGATACTATGCAGACATACCGCGCTTACCGATATCCGTGGACTGGTCACCCCTCAACAAAGCCGGATGTGGTGGCTTGCCCATCTGGTGATAACGCTGCCGTGTATGTGAGTTGGAACGGAGCAACTGATGTGGACGCCTGGAAGGTATATTCTGGGTCTCAGGTTAAGAAGACAGCGCAGCGAAGTGGATTTGAGACTAGTATTCTTGTTAGCGGATTATCAAAGGGCGAATCTGTGGTTGTTGAGGCTGTTGGTGGCGCTGGTGATGGCACAAAGTCTGCATCTACTCGCGTGGGAGTGAACTGTTGAATGCTTCCAAGAGTTTAAGTTTCTCAAATTCTAATATGTGAATATTCTTGCCACCATAATAATGCTGCATTATTCATGCGAGTTGAGCCTGCATGCAAATAAACAGATATGATACTTTAATCATGACAATAAGCTTTAGTTACCTAATGTAATATCACTTTTTTAAGCATGATTCCCATCGTGCCTCATCGCCTTTCATTGTCAAAAGAATATGTCTAGATATATGTATTGTTCAATTGAGGAAGAAGAATTATGTCCAAAAAGCGTGCCAAGGCAAATGACGAAGGGGTATTATATTATGAACAGTTTCCCCGTTATGGTGTATAAGTAATGTAAGTTAAAGCCGGCACTGGGGTACATGCAGGTACGGGCATTACAGCTTCGAATCTGTACCAATGGCCTTACGGCGCATTTGCTTTGAGGAAACATCGGCGGCTGCAGGTGCAGCCGCGTTGTAGAAAAGTTGTCGTCCAACAATGTCAGACATGGTCAAGACACGCGAGGAAACAGTAGCGCCGTCACGGCGATTTTTGCTTTGCAAAATGTTAGCAAATATACATAGCAGTATAGGAGATGTCCTGATCTTACCCTTCGCGACGGGATTGCGCTATAAGTTCCGTAAAATCCCACAGTCGGCCATGGGGCAAAACTTTGCCTGTATTTGGATCTCTCTCTGGAGCCCACTCTGGTGCAAGTTTTAACGTAGGGCCTGCCTTCGAATCCTTCACTTTAGCAACAAGAATTATGCCTTCTTCTTCAAATCTTTGATATGAGTTCTTAAGAGTCTCCTTGTTGACAGCCTCAAAGTAAGAAAGATCCCCTTGGTGGTACAGAGTTTTGCCAAGCTAAAAGAGGTTAGTTATTTTGAGTATTACAGAAATTTGGAACTGGCGATCGCTTACTAGCTGTGCACTATCTTGCGCCTTCTTCACATCAACCCAGTTTTCCTTGGGGCCGTCAAGAGAAGGTGTTAAGCCAAGCAAAGATACGGCACAGAGCCATGATGCTTCTATGAAGGGCCAGATGAGGAAGCAATAAAAATCATAGTTTTCGCGACCGCAAAGGCGTTCGGCCTCGCTTAGTTCGACGTATTGAGGCGTACCGGAAGCATCGCGAGTAACATGAATAACGTTGTCATCCACTAATCCCTGCAATGTTTTTTCTAAATTGGTGGTTAAGCCCTCTGGCGGGAAAATGAATTCTCCACGGAAAAGCTGTGCGATATGGTTAGACATGCTATTTGGATAAGGTAGAGGCGACATACCTGGGATAGAAACAAGACCTGGTTCCTCAAGGCTTCATACTCGATGCGTTGGTTAGTGGGACCGCCACCTTGCTTGATTTTCGTATACATTGCGACTGATACCAAGGCTTCGGTGATGAACAGATGAATGAGCATGTTTCGATAGAAGGATAGCTGGAAGCGATCAACAGCATAGTAGGTTGGCTCCGCCAAGCCTGGGATTGTGCCGACTAGTTTCGGTCCTAAGACATCAAGAGCTCGATCTACAACCGTTTCGGTTGGTGAACGGTAAAAATGAGCAACTCGGCCTCCCTTAGCGCGAACGCGGCCACAAAGCCAGTCCAAGCGTCGGACGAGTTCAGCTTTCCCGACTCCTCGACCACGTAGAGTCAACAAAACAGTACCAACAAGCGCAGTTGGCATCATCACGGAAACGTCGTTGATTTCAGATAGAACTCTGTAGCCCAAGGTTCTTAGAATTCGGCCTCGCTCAGCTGAAGCTAACTTCTCGTTCGGCTTTAGATCTGCCATGTTGAGGCGAGTTATCTGCTGTCCCAGGAATTCGCGCAAACTCCATGGCTCGTGGAAGCGAATATCCACACGGCCCAATTTGAGAGATAAAACCGAAGATGACGAAATAAAGTCAGCTAGATTCTCCTTTTGTTTCGGTTGTCCTAAAAGTTCACTGATATATGACCTAGAATATTGTTAGACTCATCATAAATGGTGCGTGCGGTAATTTTTCATACTCGGTTTCAATGACTTTGTCGTATTGTGTGCTGACTGGGCAAATAATTGTATCCTCCACCCGGCCGGATAAGACACTGTCGACAATGAAGTTGAGAATTCCGAACTTGGGAGAAAGGAGTTTTCCTGTTCTAGAGCGGCCGCCCTCGATAAAACACTCAAAGTTGAATCCTTCTTGGAGGAGTGTGTCAATGTATGCCTGCACAACGGTTTGGTACAAGGGATCATTTCCAAAGCTGCGTCGAATCCACATGGCACCTATACGGGTTAGAGTGAGAGACTAAGAAATGGAGATGTCGTAACTAACCAGCATGTTGTAAGAATGGACCAAGGACCGGGATATTCAAGTTGTCGCCAGCAACAATAATGGGGAGCCCGATGCCCAAACGATAGCAAATGATTTGCAAAGAAACATAGTCAACATGAGACTTATGGCAAGGCAGGAACACAATAGACTGTTTTTTCTTGGCTGCGGCTTCAGCGACAGATCGAAGACGCAGAACCTCTTCGCTGGAGACATGGATGCCCTGGTGGTAAGCGCGGGTAAGAAGCTGGGTACACATGTAGTATGCGGTTCGAATGAACGTCTTGCTTTCCATCTTGCAGATCATATTGTCCATCATTGTATTCACCACTTCCCAAAGACTGGACTCGATTTCATGACGGCGACGAGCTCGCTTCTCATCGAACGTTTTGCCTTCATTAATCGCGATCAAACCCTCTTTCTCTTCGACTGTCAGTCGACTGAATGCCAGCTCCCGGACTTTCTCTTGCAGCATAGTACTTGACACTATGGAGGATTTCATTCGCTCTGAGAAGCCGGGGTAGAATACCGGTTGGCCGATGGGGTCATCGTACGCGCGCCAGCCTGTTCCCGACATGTATAGACTGACTTCGCGGAGGAAATCGAGGGGGTTTTCGCGAAAGCGGGCCATGTGGCTGACGATGTTTCGTTCGGTGATCTGTTCATGCTGAGCTTCGGGGCCACCTGTGAAACCAGATGGGTGGATTTTGAGCTGGCTACCGGCAATCTCCAGGTCAGGAGCGGAATGGTCGTCGTTGATCGTTGCTTTAGGGGGCGCCATGATTGGGATATGACGGTCGGGAAAGGGAGATCGCGATAAAGCTACCTAGATCATATGTAAAAGTAAGGCCCATTGAAGGGTACAGGTTGCGTCAAGGTTCGAATGGAGTGAAGAATGGAGAGGCGCTGCGGGACAAGGCCATAGCTTCGGAATCGAATCCCAACAAAAACGGGGGGAGATCATCCCCGGAGTGACTTCACGGGTTGTTGCTTTCCCCACAGCCGAGGTGCAAGTCACGTGAAATGCATGAATTATCGGAATTTTAGTCATGGATCCAATTTAGCTTCACTTCAAAAAGCATCTAGCGTCCATCTCGAAGTACATGCCCACCATGTCTCGTTTGGTTAAGGGTGTTCGATCGTTTTCCTGTATGTTTGCTGATATCAGTGAAGTACCATGATCCCGAACTTACATATGCTTCCTTATTTAAGCTGCTGCATCGTCGCTCCTTGCCGATACTACCGCCTCGACATCGGCCCGTCAACCTAAATCCTTTCAAGTCTTTCGTGATGTGCCTCAATTGCGCCAATTACGTCGGAAACTACTGCAAAATGAACGAACAGTGGGCTTCGTGCCTACTATGGGCGCTCTTCATGAGGGACATATCTCTTTAATTCGAGAAGCAGCACGCGAAAACACGGACATTTTTGTCAGCATCTACGTCAACCCCACTCAGTTTGGTGTCAATGAAGACCTTTCTAGCTATCCCCGAACCTGGGACAGTGATGTGGAGAAATTGGAGAAGATAAATGATGAACTGGCTCGGGTTCAGGCTAAAGCAGGCCCAGGGCAAGCCACGGGACGGATCACAGCTATCTTCGCACCAACATCCAAAGTCATGTACCCTACATTACCTCCATCATCCGAAATCGACGGCCAGGGTTCCTTCGTTACCATCACCCCCCTTTCGACAAAACTAGAAGGGGGTTCACGACCGGTCTTCTTTCGCGGCGTCGCAACAGTTTGCATGAAGCTCTTCAATGCGACTACTCCAGATCGAGTCTACTTCGGGCAAAAGGACGTACAACAGACTGTCATTATCAAAAGAATGGTTCGGGATTTCCATATTGGAACGGAGGTACGGATCATAAGTACGGCGCGTGAATCAGACGGCCTCGCGCTGAGCTCTCGAAATGTGTACCTCGGCGACCGTAGACGTGCTGTGGGACTTGCTATCTATCGAGCACTCAAGGCCGCGGAGGGGAGTTATCTGGCCGGCAAGACCTCGCGTGCAGATATCTTAGGAGCTGCACGTGCTATCACCGGCCAGGTGCTATCTGAGCAGAACGCACTTTCGCCATCAGAGAGGGCCCTCTTTGAGGTTGACTATATTTCCCTAGCTGATCCCGAGACCCTCGAAGAGCTGGATGTCGTCGAGCCTACCAAGGGAGGTGTTCTTAGTGCAGCTTTGAAGATGGCACCTCTAGAAGAGACCAATGCTGGTGAGAACTGCGGGCTGGGCGATGGCAAAGTTCCCGTGCGACTTATCGATAACATCATCCTCCAGCCTCGTTCCTGATCTAATCAGCCATAATACCTACATGTACATATGCATATATAGAGCATTCCAATAATGACCAAAAATATTCGATTATCCAACCGGTCTCCAAAGCGGTAAGTAGGGCAGAACTGTAGGGCTCGGGCCGAGATAATTCCATTTCTTGGCGGCAGAAAAAAAGTTGCGATAGCAACTTATCTCTTCTAGCGCTAGAGATTTTTCCCTCCAACCAAAGCATACCCGACCACCGGGAAAATACGATATTTAATCATGGCGGACGATGGAATGCTTCTGAATTTCGCCATCGGCGATAATGTTATCAAACCTGAAGCCAAATTCAAGGGAGGAACATGGCGCGCTCGCCTTTCAGCGAAAAAGCGCTCACAGCACATTCCTGGCGAGAACAGCGATGGGAGCAAACGCAATGCCGATTCAAAAAACCCCAATAAGATTCAAATTCCTACAAATAGACCTGCCAAGCGACAAAGGACTGGCGACTCCGACACACGAGATGGCAACCGTCACCGGTCGCAATCCCAACAGCAACCACGCCGGCATCCTGGCCAATTTGCCTCGTCGCTCTTCACGAGCAACCCCGAATCGAAAACTGCCGATGAACCAAAACCAGAAGAAAACGTCGAGGATGTGAAACCAACAAACGCCGCCTTGGTTGATGGGATCGATACTTTTACTTCTCTAGGCCTGTCGCCTAACCTAGCCGCACATCTGCTTACGAAATTAGAGTTAAAGGCACCAACTGCGATTCAAAAAGCTTCGATTGAACAGTTGTTGAAGGAGGAAAGCGATGCATTCATCCAGGCTGAGACTGGTTCAGGAAAGACTCTTGCATATCTACTTCCACTCGTCCAACGCATAATGGATCTTTCGAAAGCAACCAAAGAAGCCGGTCTTCATCGTGACAGCGGCTTGTTCGCCATCGTCCTAGCACCAACTCGCGAACTTTGCAAACAAATATCTGTCGTCTTGGAGAATCTCCTCCGTTGTGCCAATTGGCTCGTCGCTGGTACTGTTATCGGTGGAGAAAAGAAGAAATCAGAAAAGGCTCGCTTAAGAAAAGGACTCAATATCCTGGTTGCCACTCCCGGTCGTCTAGCCGATCATCTGGACAACACCGAAGTCTTGAATGTCAGCAATGTCAGATGGCTAGTGTTGGATGAGGGTGATAGATTGATGGATATGGGTTTTGAGGAAGAACTACAGGGCATCGTTAAGAAGCTTGACGCAAGACAACGACCAAGCCGGATTCCCGGTGTACCAACCCGCAGAACGACAGTTTTATGTTCGGCTACACTGAAGATGAACGTACAACGTCTCGGAGAGATTAGTTTGAGCGATGCAATGCATATCAAGGCTAACCCAGCCGATGAGGATGAGGATTCTCGAAATGCCAAGGACGAAGATGCTTTCCGCGTTCCCGCTCAATTAAAACAATCTTACGCCATTGTTCCCGCCAAACTACGTCTTGTCTCATTGACGGCCTATCTCAAAAGAACATTTATTCGCAAAGGATCTGTTATGAAAACGATGGTCTTTGTTTCATGCGCAGATTCAGTTGATTTCCACTTTGAAGTCTTCTCCAGAAGATATGGCGACAGGCGCAAAAAGTCTAATGATAATGACGACGAGAAGGAAAGCAAGGAGAAGGAAAGTAAAGAGAAGGAAAGTAAGGAGAAGGAAAGTAAGGATGAAGAAAAAGAAGAATCCACGCGAAAATCTCTCTCCTTATGGCATTCATGGCACTATCGCTCCCGCCGAGGCATTCTCCACCCCAACAAACCCTGTTACGATCCACCGACTCCACGGATCATTACCTCAACACGTTCGAACTGCCACTCTGAACTCCTTCTCTCGCAGTCAGGAAGCCTCGGTTATGGTCTGTACTGATGTCGCTGCCCGTGGCTTGGATCTGCCCAATGTCGACCTTGTTATCGAGTACGATCCCGCCTTCAGCTCAGACGACCACACCCATCGTATCGGTCGTACCGCCCGTCTGGGCCGTGATGGTCGTGCCTGTATTTTCCTCCAGCCCGGCTGCGAAGAGAGCTACGTTGAAGTTCTCAAGCGTGGTTATCGTGATGGAGGCAAAGCGCTTACACGAACCGACGCAAACGAGATTCTGAAGCGCGGCTTCGGCGTCACTCCCGACTCAACATCTAAGAACTGGGAGGAGAAGACTACCGATTGGCAAATGGATGTCGAGCGGTGGGCTCTGGATAATCCTGAGTACTTGGAGATGGGGCGTCGTGCATACCAGTCTCATGTCCGCGCTTATGCAACCCATATTGCTGCCGAGCGAAAAATGTTCGATATCAAGGAACTTCACTTGGGACATCTTGCTAAGAGCTTTGCTCTACGCGACCGACCGGGCAAGATCAATGTGCCTGGCCTTCGCCAAGGAAAGGAGGATGCAAAGAAGGACTTCAAGGCAGCACGCAGTGGTGTCGCCGGTAACAAGAGAAAGGCCGACGGCGATGCATCTGCTTCCAATACAGATGATGCAGCACGCAAGATGAGAGCCAAGATGAGGGAACAAATGTCTGGAGGAGCAAGCGAGTTCAACTTGGCTTGATATATTATTGTACAAAAGCATGAGCATTATTCTTTTCTCAGTAGATATCCCATAATGAAATTTTTCCATCCTTGGACCCTGCTGCCAACCAGTGCGTTTGTTGTATTTTCTGATTTCTTTGGTCTTGAACAGCCGCCAAGGAGTAGTCAGATCTCTCAAGCGATTGCCCTTCACCACCGACCTCGGTCCTGCTCTCCGCTCCAGGATTTTCAGGACTATTTGCTTCTGGTGGTCGTGGTGCAGTAGCAGTATTCCCAAATGCAACAGAGTAGCATCCATCCTTATGCCACTTAAGTACAGCAAGTTCCTTCATGGTTTTACCAGAATAAATCCGCACTCTGCTGTCCCATCCCGCAGTAGCAAATATCTTACCATCACTCCGTAATTTCAAGCCCTGCTGCCCAGAATGCTTTGTATTAACTGTTTTCAGAGGTGTCTCTTCCTTATAGTTGATGATTGGGATATCCCCCAGGACCTCAGTCCCAGGAACGGGATGCTTAATTATCAAAGCATCAGCAGAAGAAGAGAGGAAATAATCTTTCGACGGGGAAACATCAATCGAAAGAACAGGTTGCGTATGTGGACGGCTAGCGTAGAGCCTTTCCCATTTTAACGGGTTTGAAGCAATATTTTTAAGTTCAAAATCGGCTGGGGCTAGTGGTCCTTTGTGGAAGAGGATCATTACATGTCCGTCTTCGTAGGCGGATGCCACATAAATATCGCCGGAGGAGGCAACGAAAATGTTGACCGCCATTACCATCCCGGTCTTAACAGCTGGATCTGATGAGATGGTGGATAAACGGCGCTCAGTTGGCAGATGGAATATATCAATTCCTCCAGAGTCCATCGCATTTGGTACTGCGAAGAGAGTAGTAGGCCGGGATGTAGAATCGGGCTCATCTTGCACATCTTGCGATGAGATGTCCGTAGTGTGGATAGATGTCATTGAGAAGGCGCAGAAATTCAGTGCATTAACAGGCATAGAATGGAGTAACCAAGGTTGTGCTCTTGTCTCTGTAGAGTTTGATTCGGCGCCTAAGTCAACAGGAAGAGTCTTATCGAGGTAATCTTCATCATCCACCCGGATCTTCCAAACACAAAGCTTGTGGTCACGACCATGTCTATTTCTCTGATTAGCGGACAGATGCTAACTGATTTCAGTTGGAAAAACCCTACGTGTAAATTTCTGTGATTCCAGTGTCATATTTAAATCCTTTCACTTCGAGTACTGCGCCTGCGTGTGCTTTCCATACCGTCACTGGGCGTTTTGTCGCTAAATCCCAAATAACGACCCACCCATTGGCATCCCCGGAGACAAGTCGTAGGTTTTGAGCAAAGATGTCTAGCGCGTGTATCGGAGCACCATGGCCTCGTAGTATGTATACTGGGGCTGCTGGGCCATTCTGCGCCTGATTTATTTGGGCGGCCATTTCCTGTCGATGTTGCACAGTCGAAGTTGCCTTGAGCCGCGCGCATCACAAATGCACAACAGCGTACCGCCTTGGCAGCACCCACCTGTACCATTACTTTGCTAGACTTCCAATTTTCCAATCTTGGGTTTTCTTTACAGGCTACAAGTGTCACGTTTATTGGTAGGATTGTTTTTAGAATATTATCCAATTTTTAGAGCCTTGGAATTCCACACCATGATGTTCCAACCCGAGGAGGTAGTCTGGAGCCACTCAAAACTTCAAAGGTTGAATAGATACATCCATTGTATCGTGAAGCCGAGAGCTCGCCTTCTGGGCAGCTCGTGCCATGATCCACTCTAATGAGTCTCTGCCAACTCATCATTCTCAGACATGCGAATAGCAATAGCCGTATACTCATCCAAATCCTCGACAGGGAGACCCAAAATATCATTGTGGACCTCGCTCGTCAGAACAGCACCATCTCCATTCGGGAAAAACATACGACTGTAAAGCATCTTGGGGAAAAGAGCATAGTTTCCTTTGTGGACGGCCTCATGCCCATCAGTCCATCGCGCCTCGGCAGTTTCGTGGGTGATAGTCCAGTCAGCATCAGTGGTACCAGTGACGCGTTTCGCGCTCTCAAACATCTCAAGCTGGTTGACCCGGAAGCTAGTAACATAAACTGAAGCATTCGCGAAGTGAGACACGGTCGGCGATTTGTCGTTCTCATCGTCTGGGAGATTCTTCAAACTAAGCAGGCTGGCGATGGCTCGGCCACATTGCGGCCAGGTGGTAGTTGGGATTTTCACAGTGCCGTCATCGAACTGGATGAAGGAGCGATTCTTGAAATCGAAACCATAGCGGTATGGCCCTCCGCCGAGACTGAACTCGTACCAGAAGCTGCAAACCAGGAAGATATACGAAGTGTCTACAAAAGATTTGAATTGAGTCTGTATTTTTTCGCGGCTTTGACTCAGTGTAACGCCATCACATAGCGGGATGTTTCCGTCATCGATACCAAGCCAATTGGGGAGAACATATGGTATTCCTGCTTTGGCAGCTGCCTTCGAGAGCTTGCTGATGGTGTCTGGTGGAGCTGCCAGTGACATCGTAATGATCAAAGCCTGCTGGCCACGGAGCGCTTCTACTAGCTCAGTGTCGTCATCATCGTTATAGTCAACCTTGACTATTTTGAGACCATCTGGAAGCTTGCTTGAGCTGCCCGGACGAGTAATTGCCGTCACAACGTGTTTGCCTGTCTTCAGCAAGGGCTCAACCAAATATTTTCCAACTTGGCCGCCTGCCTACCTTTGGGTTAGACTTGAGGTTATTGCAGAAACAGATTTAGTTACTTACGCCGACGAAAGCAATCTTCTCGATGGTATTGGAAAAGCCCTGGGGCTGGTCTTTAGCATAAACTAGGGCCATTGTAGTAGTTTTGTTGTTCTGCTGTCTTAAACAATGGAATTGAATGAATATTCAAAAACTCTAGATACCTGGTGATATGAAATACTCTTATAGCACTTTAATCTTCGTATTGAGTTCTGACAGATGTAGTCCAATGGATATAACGGTCTTTATTGTGTCCGAAAAATATCCTTATACTACCGGAGATTAGGCCCCACTCAAGCACTAACTCCGGATCTACTAAACCCAGGCTATGCACAAGTAGCAAGACAAGGCTTTAATGAACCAGGAGAACGGAACGATCCAATCAAGTTGACTATCTGCTTCTAAGTTATTTAATATCTTATCGCCGAGAAAGTCTGCCTCTAATGTGCTATTTACTATCTTACGTGGCCGGCCTTGATTGACCTGTTGAGACACCTAGTCTATACTAAATATACACCATGAGCCAGCTCTTCTGCAATTTTTGAGCCTCAATCATGCGTATTACAAATTGCTGCATGCCAATTAATAGAGGGGGATTTGAATTAGGTCCGGCAACGAAATATTCTATCCTCCGAGATATCTTTTTTTATCATTTGGTGGTGATTTTGTCTCACAATATCGAATCGGTTCAACTACCAATTTCTCTTCTCAAAACTTATATGAGGTTTATTGTACATTGAATTTAATTGAAGCGAAACTGCAGTAATTTAAGAGTATAAACAAATGTTTTGATCAAAAACTCCAAGCGGGCAGGTTGATCATCACGTTGATGGCGTGCCAGCCAGGGCCATACTAGTTCATCCACGTATCAAATCCGGTCTCTTCATAGTACTCGTACAAAAAAGTCTAAACTCCTATTAATCATCACATAGTACTTTTTGTATCCGTAATATGAAACGGATGCAACCAGGAATACCGATCCTTGCACCAAACCTCCTTAGTAGGGATCCATTCTTCACCATCCAAATCCATCGTCCCGGAACTCACAAACACAGCATCTCCTGGAACCCCATTAACACTTCGCGCCAAAAAAAGACTTGATCCACAATTCGAACAAAAGGAGCGATTAAGAACATTCCCCGAGGCAGTCCGCTCATCCACAAAGACCTTAATCATCTCTCCTCCTTCCAAAATACGAACTTGCTACAAATGAATCAGCCAAGCTGTACAATCTGTAGTGCTAGTTAGACTTCCAATGTTCCAAGGTTAACTTACAGATTTCACATAATAACTACTTGCTAAGAAGGCCGATCCGCTATTCTTTCGACAATTATTGCAGTGGCATATAAGTCCTAGCACAGAGGGGCCGGTAATTTGGTATCGAATCTTGCGACAGAGGCAGCTGCCTTTGATGATTTTTTGTTCCGTCATGAATGATATGAGTAGAGACAGAATGATCTCATATCTTTTGCTGCCGGGCCGAGGTAAGTTGAATTCAGATAGATTTAGTTGGAAACATGCAGGCCAAATAAGTTTTGCAAGGATTATTTAGCCCCCGGAGCGGGGACAGGCGGGGGCTAAAGTTTTCAAATTCGACACGGATTAAAAACGATGATGAGCTAGCTACTCTCCTGATTCAGATTAGGATTTTGAAACGAAAGGCTCGGAAGGCTGCCGGCCCCCTGAGGACGGGTTGATTAGTCGTTGGGTCGACTGTGAATGGATGTGAGGTGAAACTTGATCCACAAGGTGCGAGCTTGTGGGACGAATTGCGCACTTATTGCAGTCTCTAGTCGCATGATTCCCCAGTTCTCGACATGCATGTCACTTGCCCGCGGTAACTGCTCTTCAGGGTTTGAAGATCACTGAGTGGTGGAAAGTATGTTTGCGATTCAAGAAAATAAAGAGATTAGCCATATAATGACCGTGGATGATTACAACTAAGCCTTAAATACATACTTGGGAGCCGCGGCACATGTGGGGCCGCATATGGACCGTTGTGACGGATAAAATTATCACGGCCCACAGTCCTTAGTTATGCACCTATTTCAGTGTGTTTTGGTTTGTCCGCGTCCGGGGATGAGTCGTGTTTGGGTTTAGCTTGAAGATCCATCGGTATATTGACTACACAGCCAGCCTGGGTTACCAACAACAGCGACCAGACCTTGAGGACGAGTATATTATCGAGCAATGGTATAGAATCATCGAAGCATATACCCACCGCTCGCTTTCTGATGAAATGGACAGAGTGATTGCGGTATCGGGAATGGCAAAGAGGTTCGCCGTGCTACTAAGACTGTATACAGCCGGTCCTTGGGAGAAATATTTCTTAAAATACGCACTGACGTGGCAAGTCAATCTTGCAACGCCTCCCCCAAGACCGTCTAAATACACAAGCCCGTTTTGGTCTCGGACAGCCGCAAATGCACCAATTTGCTTTCAAGTTTCACTTGCTCATTCTCCCTTCCTGGTTAATCTGCTGTCTGTAGAATGTGCTCCTATGTATGAGGATGCTCCATTCGGGGCCTTGAAAAGTGGGACATTGAGAGGCAGAGACCTCGCCATCAATATTAAGTGGTAATACAACGGTAAATCAATATTTTGGAATTCTTCCTAATCCAATGGAGATACATTCCAGTGGACGCTAAGGGTTATTATGTTGACCCGAATGTGTCGATTGGATTTGATGCATGAGAGCCCGGCACGACCTGGAGCTCCGTGGCTCTTTTGGGGATAAATCCCCCCGCCAGATGTAATGGTATGACCGGTATAGTATTGGTACAGCAAGGTCAAAGACAGTATCCAGATTGGGAAACTTCGATACAGTCCCCTGGAAGCAGGATAATCTGGGAGATAGCGTTGCAGCAAGGCCTCCAAACTTGCCTCATTTTTCGCAGTGGGCAGAAGAGACCTTTGAGATTATCTAATGTCTTACAATGCTCTCAATATTCTTTTTGAAATAGCAGTTTTCTCTATTCTTCTTTCATTCCTTTCCCTCCCTTGATGTCGATTCACCGGTACCTGGTTAAAACTATCCGGATTCGGATTAAGTATTTAGACTTGCTCCAGGGTTGTAGACATGACTTATGGCACATTTTATTGAACTTTTTTGATTGTGCTCATGCTATTCAATCATTTAATGCGTGTATGGGGTATTTAATAAAACAAAAACCAGAAGTAAGCCGACCCGGAAGCTATATGTGATATCAAACAAGAAAAGAGTTATACTGATACTGATCAAGGATCTGATGGTGATTCGGAGGCACATAATACCCATGATAAGGATTACCTTCCAACGAGAAGTCACCAGCATCGAATAGAGGATTGGATATTCCAACATTGAAGCCCGAATCTTCATGGAGCGGAAGTTCTGGATCCAAATTATGGAAATCGGTATGCATCTGAGTTGGATCCACAGTGCCTGGTTGCTGAGACCAACCCCAATGATGCCTCAATGTTTCCTTGATCAACTCAGTATGCCAATGTGTGTTTTTTGTTGTCGCATCGAGTATACTCAAGGCCTCTTCCCGCGAGGCTTGTGTTTCTAACAACTCTGCAGCAATGGCAAGGCAATGGATCGCTATATTTGATACGCTTTGATCTTTCAGGTTTGCAGCGAGGCCACAAACTTCATATGCGTTAGATTGCTGTGCTTCTTTCATCTCTGGCTCGGTCGAGCCTTTTATTGGGTGAATACCGGCCAAGATTATACAGGCCGTGTGATAGAAAAACTGGGACATGATCGCCGATCGCTTAATAAGCCTGGAATGGAGTTAGTCGTGTATGGAAATTGAAAGAGAAATAGAATCTTACCAGGTTTTCGGAAACCCAGATTTGGATCCATGCCATGGCTGCGGAAGACAGAGTGGCTTCATTGACCGCGGTATAGAAGTGATCCATTGTTCACACAACGCATTGTAATGGTTCCATTCTGGCACAGCTTCATTTAGTCGAGTATTTCGAGATCGAGTGTCAACAGCAGACTGCAAGTGTTGAATAGCTACCCGAAAGTTGGCGATTTTTGCGCAGATATAGATGATACGATGCAGCCAGTGATCGTCTCCTTTCCAAAAAGGTTGGTTCTGCGCCATATTCATATCCACTCCCCAGGTATCCGGGTCCCAGGATAAAGGCCAACCTTTGTATAAGCAGCTCAGTAGCTCCATGGTCACACTGATCCAGAAACATGTTCCACCCAGGCTTGGTGTTTTTGCAGTCCAGCCGCACTCCCGAATTAATGCTCTCGATCCGGCTATGTGTTTCATTACTGACTGCGGACACATCGCTTCGTAGGTACTAAGAATTAATGCAGCCGTAGCACATAATACTGAATCGCGGTTGGGATCCCGCATCGCATGCAGAAGGTCTTGGGTGGCTGCCACGTAATAATTATGGGCTTTTTCCGGCCCAAAAGAAGGATCGACGAGTGAGATATGTCTAGCGCCGCAAGCTAGAAATGCTTTGAGTAATAATGGCTCATCAATGGCATGCAGGGGTAAAATTTGTGTGAACTAAGAAGTTGTCAATTATAAGTTAAGAGAAGAAGAAATCGACTAGACACCAAAACTTACATGTCTTGTTACATCCATTGAATCCATATCAGGACCGACATCTTCTACGAAAGTCTGAAGAAGATATATTTGTTCAGGATCAGCCAAAGAAGCAGGGCTATACTGCTTCAAACCCAATTTATGAGAAAAACTCGACGTGCCATGTGGGAGTAGTTCATCTCCCGGCACAAGATGGGCACCATGCCAAATATCCGACCCGCCCAAAAAATCATTTGCAGCAGACTGCGGCAGATCAAATCCAAGCGGATCAAACGAGTGAGCAACAGATTGAAAAAGACTCTCCAACTGATCGGAACCAATCATATTCAAAGCCTCATGCTGAATCTGTCGTCGTTCTTCGATCGGACTTTCCGGTTGAGGTGGTGGATACCTCTCAAAGCCACCGACATATTCAGACGCTATGAATCGCGAGTCATCACGAAATGTCAACTTTGCACCCTTGGGCCGCGCAATGATATGCGGAGGCGCAACAGTTTGTATATCAATAAAGTTTAAGCGAACACCTCGATGGCAAATCCTGTCTGACTTCCGACAATTCAGACATCTTCCTAGGGCCTCGTCGCATTTTAAATGTCTTTCGCGGCATGTTAAGCAGCCTGTGCGGGTGCGTTTTGCCTTCGTCTCTGCTATTTCGGAGGACTTTTTGCGATTCGCGCTGGATGGGCGGGGCGAGTTGTCCTTTTGGCTTGTTGGTGTCGCCGCGGAGTCTCTGGGCGACTGTGACTGCGATTTTGACTGAGCGCGGGTGGTGAGATTCATTTTGAAATTTTTGGTAAGGCGTAAGTTTGGATCTTAAGACACTTTCTCGGGCTTTTGTTTCAGTCTCCGGCTCGGACTGGGGCCACAGGCTGTCCGGGCAAAATATTGTTTCCAGGCACACCAGATCTCGTTGCTACGATCACTCGAATGGCCATGTTCACTCTACGTATGCGACGGAAAATTATTTATTGAATATGCGGTGGAACTAGTACAGCTGACGGAGAGCCTCTGGACGCTGGGTACCCCAATCGTTTATGGGCGGAAAGAAAAGGTCGAAGGGCGGGCGATCGCAGGAGGGGTAGGCGGGGAGTTGACGATCTCTGACAATGAGGTCAGTGGTTGCCCAGAAGAGTTAAAGTGGGAATATATCTTAAGAAATACATACCCGCTCACCTTATAGGCAAAAATTAAGTCCAAATTTCGCCAACGACGATGTTCAAGAGCGTGAAAGTTGGGAAATCGGTGCGGAGAAAAACGCGGAGTCCACGAGGAAAAAAAAGTGGAGTCGGATCCAGAGATAACTAATGGGTCCAGGTCAGCATTTACTTAATCTATTCCTTGTTTCTGAATTATTGACACATCGTAGCAGATTTGAAGTATTCTTTTCTAACAAAGTATTACACTTAATATAAGAAAAGCCTGATTTGTGAGATTTACTCTCTCATGGTATATCCCCAAAGATTATACCTATTGGGCATTCATATACTTTTATGTCTTCCGTCTTAATTGGGGCAAATGAAGGCGTAAATGCATTAATAACATGACAGCACCCCAAACAGCAGCAGAGAGAAATGTGACACGAAGGGCCATAGCATATGAAACAATCACTGGGCAAATATTAGCGGTCATTCTCAACGTTAAGGGAAAGTCAAATTCGAAACTCAAGGACTAACCTTGCTGCCGATGTACCGGATCTAAATCACCGATCGAGCGGATCGACTTGCGAACAAGACCGATAATATACTCCTTATTATCCCCGGTCACCTTCCGCCCAAGTTCATATAGCAGAGAATTCTGGAAAATCCAACTACTAATAGCAACTCCCATGACAGCACCCAAATTACGCGCCAACCCGAGTGTCGTAGTAGCCACTGCCTGGTCGTCTTGTTCACTGGTGGCCAAAATAGAGACCATCAGACTAGGAAATGCGAATCCTTGACCGAGGCTGTTAAAAGAAACACAGACCATAGCAAGCGCAGGCGGAGTATTGGTGTTCATGGAGGTAGCTAAGCAGCCACCCAATAGCATACAGAAACCGCCAATGAGAACAGTTGGCTTCATACGCCGCGACCAGGTGATTAGAAATCCCGTGCCGACACTTGAGGCAGTCACAGCGATGGAAGCAGCGACGAGACGTAGTCCAGAATCAGTGGGACTCGCCAGCTTGACGGCCTGGAAATAAAGTGGCGCATTGAACATCATAGTGTTCACAGACATTCCTCCGAAAAAGTTGCCGAAAATAATATTTGCACGAGGATTTTTTGACAGAAGCTCTATCGGTAGAACGGGGCGAGGCACAGTTCGTTCATAGCGTATTAAGATAATAGACAAGATGACCGATGCTACTAGTGAACCAATGACTAGCGGGTGCGTCCATGGAAAGACATTTCCTCCCAGATTCAGCCCCATGATCAAAGCAGTGACTGCAAGAACAAGGAAGAAGGAGCCGATCAGGTCAACACTGCGAATAGCCTGTATGAGAGATTTCCGTTCTGGTCCTACATGCTTGATTCCAAGATCGGCTGGGACGGTACAAGCAGCTGTGATGAAGTAGATGAATATAAAAGGTAGTTGGATCAAGAAAGCATTTCTCCACCCGACGGTGTCGCACAGAAGTCCACCAAATGCGAGTCCGAGACAACTACCAATACCTAAACATAAGTTGATATATGACTGGTAGACACCACGATACTCGATATGCACAAGATCACTCGAGAGAATTTGGCCCATGGAAAATACACCTCCAGCACCTAGGCCGCAGAGCGCACGAGCTGCGATAAAACTACCAATGCTCTGTGCTAAACCGCACCAGGCAGTGGTGAAAAAGAATATGGCAATGGAGAAAAGATACACAGGCTTGCGACCGAGTGCATCTGAAACGCGTCCGAAGAGAGGCATAAATGCCGTAGAGGTGAGTAAAAAGGCAGTCGATAACCATGATGCGCTGTTGGCAGCATGGAAATAAGATGTGATAACCGGGTGACTCGAAGCCATCAGGGTCGAGTCAAAATAACCAATTACGTACCCCAGCATAGTACCAGAAAAGATCAGCCAGAATCGAGTGGGTGAGACGCCGATGAATCTTGACTCATAAGAGTTATCTTCATCGTGTATGCTGCCAGTGCCGGCAATAGATGCATTGCTTCTCTTTACCGAGCTAGTTGAAGGGATTCTTTCTAGTGTTGGCTCAATGTCCAAAACTTGAGATGTTGACTGGAGAGTACTGAAGGTGGGGAAGTCAACGTCCCCTTCGACCTCTGTGGTGGAAGAGCTGCTTTCAGTACCATAATGCTCATGCTGCACAACACTGTGGTATTGTGTGCTGGTTTGGTAGCTAGGATTTTCTCGCAGAAGCGGGGTTTCCTCGGAGTGGCCCTCTTTGCCAGTCATAGTGGGACGCAAGAATGAACCAGTTGAGATGAAACGAAAGAATCAATCGACCCGTCCCATGTAAAGCGAAATAAGGAGAGACGGGGATGAAGCCGAGAAAAGAGGTAGCTTAGTGACCTCGGGAGAGATTGCGAGCGATTAGCCGGGAAGAGAATGGGGAATGGGGAATGCGGAATGCGGATAGCGGGGCTATTAAGTCACTAATGTACAATATGTACACAGTACACTACACCTCTGGCCAAGTCAAACATAATATTACTCGTCGGATTTAGACCTGCAAAAAAATTTATTGATTTTCACCATGCTGAAAATCTCATAGTGGCGATGTTCAAGACAATTGATTGGCCAAAAGAAGATAAGATCGGATCGGCAACCGGCATTCTGCATAAGGAGTGACACCTGGCGGGGCTCGTGTCCTCTTTCCTCCTCTCCAGATTGTCTCATTGCAAGTTGCGGACTACAGGAAATTGCAGTAGATCTTACTGTTCCCTGCAAATCACAGAAGTCCCTTAGAACAGGTCTCAGATCCCTATAATAGACATATCATGCCGCCACATCATGCGCCCGCCGCTTCGGATCGCCACCTTGGAATGCGGCCCCGCGCCTCCAAATGCTGATAAACAATATAATGGGTTCGGAGGCATGTTCGAAGTACTGCTTACAAGCAGTGCGAAAGCACTAAATCAGCCTGAACGTTTGAATCCCGAGAACGGTCTGGAAATTTCAGAATGGGACATCTACAATAACAAAACATATCCCCAGCTGGAGGACATTGATGCCGTGCTTCTTACAGGTTCAGGTTGGTGTACCCATCCGCTTAAATGTGCAAAGCGAGCTAAGACAGTGCAATAACATACGTACTGACACTTGCAATGGAATGTAACAGAAGACGACGCGTTCGAAGATGTTCCGTGGATCAACCGGCTCGTGGAATTCACGCAACAAGTCCTAGCACAAGATCGGGTTCGCATTCTTGGAATCTGCTTCGGACACCAAATTGTCGGTCGTGCGTTAGGAGCGAAGGTTGGACGAAACGATCAGGGCTGGGAAGCTGCTGTTTGTGACGTGGACCTGACAGAGAAAGGCAAAGAGCTGTTTGGATTGGAGAAGCTTGTATGTTGTTTTCTCTTTTCTGCGTATGGGTTCATGATAACTTACCGGGCTAACTATTTCCTTTTAACAACAGCAAATTCAACAAATGCACCTGGATCTTGTTTTTGATTGTCCCCCAGGTGTCACTCTGCTGGGCTCTTCGCCACTTTGTGCAGTGCAAGGAATGTATACCCCGCGGCGCTTTATGACGGTTCAAGGTCATCCTGAGTTTGAAGGTGAGCTACAGACGGAAATTATAAAGTCTTTGGAAAATAAGGGCATCTTCAGTGAGGTTCAGTCGCGGGATGCTTTGGATAGAGTCCATATCCCGCATGACGGTGTTGCGATTGGATCGACTTTCCTGACGTTCTTACTGGAGGAATGAATGAATCTGAAACTTGAACTAGTCAGTGTACATACATTGCCAGTGGAGATTTCGATATCTCGAGCCCTGGGAAATCCGAGTCTTCATTGTAGTGGTGAGCTTGCACCGGTGCAGTACATATTATATCGCTATATACGAGAACCTTGGAAGATCAAATATTATTGCAATTGTGGATAATCACTGGAGATCTAACGATGTCCGAAGGGCAAGGTACAAGGATAACATGGTGTCTGAAGTTTGTTCCAAGGATCATCGTATCACGAATAGTGGTGCTACAAACTTGAAGAACGAGCGTACGAGCAAACAGCGTTTTGGAATGTTCGACTTTGTACTTAGTATATTAGCATTCAGGATTCACAAAATGGAGACATCTAATGTAATGTAATGAATACCCGAAGTCAACTTCTGGGTGTCACATTAAAAAAAAGGTACAGCTAGACTAGCTACCTATCATAATCTCCAAGGATCCCAAGGTTTCTGTGATATTGCTGAGCTATCAAAGCCCAAACCTTGAGTCCAAATGCATATCGTAATCCGTTGGGGAATGCTCCAGGCACTTCCTATCATGCGAATAATTCAAAACGCCTCCCGAGCCAACCTCGTTGACTATGATTCATGTGGCAATGCATTCATGACAAAAATAAAATCCCACGTGCCAGATGGTTTACGCTAACGCCATCACAATGCAATTGATCGCTGCAAAAAGAGAGGGATCTAAGGCGTACAAAAATCGATTGGGGTATCGCTGGCCGGGTTTGTAGATTGGCCTCAAGACGAAACGAGATGCCAAGTTAAGCTTAAGCTGAACGAGACTTTGAGAGACGACCGCTTCGACGGGGAGCTTTTGTGGACCCTGCGTCTGATTGGGAATCGTCGTCGGACTTTGCCTTCTCGGCCTGTGCGGCTTTTTCGGCATCTGCTTTCATCTGTTGTATGGAGTGGTCAGTATACTTGGCTTGGATTGGCTGGAGTCGATGCGTGGGGGACTAACCCGCAGATTCAGTGAGACGACCTCATTTTGGTCGCCTCGGATTGATATTCCCAGCGTCAGATTAGAGACGAGACGTTTCCTCGGCCTCCCTCGTCGAATAGCTGGACGTGGGTCCTCGGAATCTTCACTGTCGTCGGCAGAACGCTTGCTGCCTGTGCTGAAGGGCGAGGATGAGCGGGACGCCTGAACACTCGGTTTGAGCGAGGGGACTGGGATGACCTTTCTCTCGGGGTCAGGTTGATCTTCTAGGAGAGCGGCAAATGCTCGGTCGATGTCGCCGCGGCATTTTTGGAGCATGTCCACGATGGTTTCACGGGGATATCGACCCCCGAGGCCATCTTGAATGGATTGAATGTCCCAAGGAGGGTAGACGTCGACAGCCAGGCCGGTGTCATTTGCGGGTAGAGAGTCATGTGATGTTGGTTGTGTGTCGTTGGAGGATGTGGAGGAGAAGGAAGAGGATGGAGAGAGTGTGTTTGTGGGTCGAGCGGCGTTTGGAAGAAATGTGTTGTTGTGGTTCATGTCAGGAACCACGGATTGAGCTGTGGAAGTATTTGGATGAGGCTCTTTGTTTGGATCGCCATCACCATGCGGAACAGATAGGGGCTGGGGCTCCAGGCATATTGATTTGGAAAGAAGTCCTGTGTGGCAAGTATTTACGCGTCGTACTGAAGAGTAGTGTTTGAAATCCTGGTAATGGTCAGTTGAAACTCAAAAAAATAAACTTTGATCGGATCAGAAGATAAAGCTCACATGAAAGGCGACGTGAACAACTTCCCGATGTTCACCATGCAGGGCATGAACATCCCGAAACGTCTGAACCCCATCCATTGTGTAAACTTTGATGTCGACCTTGAAGACTTGGCAGAAAGCTTGGAGGTGCTCGGAGCTACCCCATTCGCCGTTCTTGCGGGTGGAAGACACCATTTCGTCGAACCGCCGTTCCATATCCGCTTCGGAGGGGCCGGATACATCAGCAGAACGCGTAGCATATGCAGAGGTGGTAGAGCGTTTGGGACGGCGACGTTCACCACCATGGGCAGCGACAAATTGCATGAAGTAAGACTTGTTGTTGGCTATGTGGGCTGCGAGCATCTGTCGGATTTCGTTTGCATGGTCGAACGTGGCATACAATTGGTCTGAGAGGGAGTAGTAGAGGCAGTTTCCTGTGCTCGACGCGTCAGAACAGTGATTTTGAGAGGTCTAAAGCTTCCTTCCAAGAGCAGAAGACTGTAAAAAATATAATTGAGGTATAATCTTACCATCTCCTTCTGTGGGCAGTGCCACTAGACCGCGTTCCTGCAGAGAGGGCATCTCTAAGCTCTTGAGATCCATGGCTTTCTGTTGACGCCCGGCGAGGATATCTTCTTTACCCAAAAGCAAAGAGACATCATGGGAATGAGAAGGTGTGATTGTATCTATTGAAACTGACTCTGAGGTCGCGTTGGGATATTGGTGCTGGGCAGCCTGTTGGCCCGCAAGTATGGGCACGATTCTGCCACCGTGTGTGAGGAGAGACATGGTGAAAGGAGCCCTACCCAGACGGGGCCGGCATTTATGGAAAGATGGATTTTAGTGGATATGGAGATTCAAACATTTCAATCCATGGAAACGGATATGAATGATTAAAGAATAATTGAGATCAGAAAGCAGGTTGGAAAAGGAAAAGTAAAAAAAGAAAAAGTTTCAATTAACCCGCAGAGTGAATAAGCCCTGCGGGTGCCAGTGCAAGATGAGAGAAAAGGAATTCCCAGGACCCAAAACTTGAGTGCCGAGTCTGGGGGCGGTGAACTTCCTCGCCCTTGATGATTGGATCACACGTGAGGGTTTGCCTACTATGACATCGGTGACCGCGATCAACCCAGTTTAGCTGCGGCCCCCTCACTATATGGGGCTCAATTCCTCGTCATGGGTGGGATTGGCTTTCCTAATCTCTGTATCATCTGATGTTTTTGTTTTACCCTATATACACAGAAAACAATATATCAGAGAGATCAAATCCAAGATGTGATTCATTTACTTCCAGGGCCACAGTGGAGACTGAGCTATGGAGAACGGGTCTTTACGGAGAAGGCTTGCCAAGGTTGTGGAAAACAAGTCTGTTTACAACAAAGTCGAGTATTTTCAATGTTAAAAACATGGAAATATTCAAGGTAAATAGAAAATTCATTTTTGACTCATAGCAGCTCTTAGAATGACGATATAGGGCTTTTTTCAGGGCTTTCCCATAAGCTTTCTAGCTCCACGATTTAGGAATAGAATCTGCGGAGTTGGAGATGTATTGGGGTTTGTTTGTGATTTGTATCGTATTGTCTCCACATTGAAAAGCTTTAGCGCGTTCTTGATTTTCTTGTACGTTGATTCGCTTTCACACACACCGCCTCTTGCGCCGCCACTTGAAATAGTAACCGGGGAACTGTGTGATTTCAGCGATACTAAAATACGTAAACAAATTACCCACGCTCCCCATCTCTCTTATCGACGTTACAAATCGCTTGTCGATAAGGAAAAGAGGAGCATGGAAGCGGAGTAAACGCCGCTCACCCCGCTTGCTTTTGTATCTCCACACTCCTTGACTCACTTGGGCGTTGGTATATCGAAGCATTGCTCGTCCAATTCTATTCTCTTCATCTTGGCATATTCTGTTTTCTTTGCGCTATTTTGATGTCGTGCAAACCCCACTAACTCGTATTCGCAATGACTAACAATATCGTGGTTCTGGGGTAAGAATCCTTTAATTTCCACTGCAGCAAGGAGGTATCAATATGTCTTGTACGCAGCTGACATGTTCCAGGGCCGGCGTCTCGGGTCTAACAACGGCATACCTCTTGTCACAGGACCCGGCAAACAAGGTTACCGTTCTTGCAAAGCATATGCCCGGCGACTATGATATTGAATATGCGTCTCCGTGGGCTGGAGCAAACTATATGCCGTATGTCTATCCAGCCATCTTGTATCAATTGCTTCCATACTCAATTCTTCTAGGGTTGGCAAAAAAGGAAGTCGTCATCAGGCTTGGGAAACAGCTACTTGGGCTCCGCTGAAAGAACTCTGTGAAAAGTACCCCGATGCAGGTATTCATTTCCAAGGTATGATTCGGGTATACTTTATTCATATTTCAACTCAGCGCTAACCGATGCGAAGACACACTCATTTATAACCGGAAAAAGGATCAAGGCACTGCCGCTGGCAATTGGTTCGCTGAATTAGTACAACCTAACCCATGGTACATGAATGTTGTCCGTGATGTATGCTTAAATTGACCGCAAAGAATCCTCACTCAGTTCAGGTGGTTAACCGCTTATCTCACAGTTCGAAACTCTTCCCCAGAGCGCGTTGCGATCTGACATGGATAACGGTCAAAAGTTCACATCTGTTTGCATCAATACAGCCATCTATCTCCCCTGGCTTATTGGCCAATGTGTGAAGAACGACGCAGTATTCAAAAGAGAGACGTTCAAACATATCTCCGATGCAGCCAATGCTCATCACACGGGTCAGAAGGCTGATGTAGTCATCAACTGTACCGGTCTATCATCTAAGACACTGGGTGGCGTTCTTGATGAGAAGTTGTTCCCAGTGAGAGGTCAGATTGTCGTGGTCAGAAATGATCCTGGTGAAATGGTGTCGGTCTCTGGAACAGACGATGGTGAAGACGAGGTGACATACATCATGACTCGTGCTGCAGGTAATTTTCACCCGATGCTCTAAGTCCCACACTACGAATTGTAGCTAACTGGCTTTAGGTGGCGGTACAATCATCGGCGGTTGTTGTCAAGAGAACAACTCGGATCCATTGCCAGACCCTAACCTAGCTACTCGAATCATGAAGCGCGCGATTGATATTTGCCCGAAGCTAGTTAAGCCCGGCCAAGGTATCGAGGGCCTTGATATTATTCGCCATGGCGTGGGCTTGCGGCCTTATCGTCAGGGTGGTCCTCGAATTGAGAAGGATCTGGTGGACGGGGTAAAAATTGTTCATAACTATGGACATGGCGGATTCGGTTATCAAGCTTCGTTCGGCTGCTCCGAGGAAACAGTGCGTCTAGTCAAAGAGGTGTTGCAGAGCAAGCCTCGCTCGAAGCTCTGAATGACTCCAACAGCAGCAAAGACATTCCAAAGTTTATTAAATTTTCCCATTCATAATTCACACTTATATTGCATCAACGTTCAATTATTTGAATTTTTGCTTTATTCCGCGAGAACATAGTATATTTCATGTTATGCAAACGTGACGTCAAATTTTCTAAGAATTGCCACAAATTCATACTATATCTACTACCCTTCTTCGAGGAATCAATACCTGAGAGTTAGTACATACGGTCGCACAAAATTATTCTTTTATTATCTCGTCTTTCCAATATTCTTACTATCCGAGCGTCTTAATTGAGTCACTATGGTGGCAACAGCCAGCGACGAAAACCATGACGAATACTATGAAGACGAAATCGCACCACCGATCCAGTCAATAATTTCAAAGTATGGCCAGCCACCACTAGCTGGTACATCACTTGCTAGCCAGCCTGACTCGCATGCCGGCCCTGACACATTTCTAGCAATGATACTAGATGTAATGGTCAAATCACGACCAATATCCCATGATCTTACCCACAAATACTCACCCACCTAGTCAACGCCAGTTACCACCATATAGACATACTCTTCATCACCACATGGGAGGAACGAACAAGAGTTTTGAGTGAAGGGGGATACAACCGATATCGAGAACAATGTGCGACCAATCTGGGAACTTTAGCAGACTTTGTTTCAGAATGTTACGGTATGTTCGCAATAGTGGGTATTAAATCAAACCCTCTGAGCTAACTGGGTGACTGATAGATGGGGATCTCAATAATCTGCTTGAAGCCGCACATGGAGATCGGGAGGAGACTCGAACGTTGGTGAAGGAGATCAAGGGTGTTGGGGATCTTGGTGTGGAGTTATTCTTTAATAATGTGCAGGGTGTTTGGCCGTCTATTGCACCTTTTCTTGATTCAAGGAGCTTGAACACGGCTGATGAGATTGGTATTGGGAGAGATTTGGATGCTATCTATGGTGTTCTGGGGCATGAGCCTGAAGATATGAGTTTGCTTGCAAATGGACTGTCTCAGGTTCGTCTTGAGAATAAGCGAGTTTAACGACGAAATGAATATGTGTGGACATCAAATTCTCTCGCGAATCGTCGAGTCTCTTAATCCCGACTAGTTATGTGACAGGCACGTATAAATTATGGTGTAGGTATAGCTTACGGGGCTTGATCTGTTGATTTAAGAAACCTACACTTAATTGATACAATATACCATGTTAGGTCTAATTATCTTATAGAATATAGATTACGGAGTTGAAGTAGACCTAGTAAATGTCGCATTTGTGATGACAGACGCCTAAAAGCTTGACGATCATCTCCCAAAATAGCACCCATGACATCCGTGGACAAGAATGGGGGCCACCTCTCAGCCCCTCACGTGACTAACCACTGCTGATTCAGCCACACGAGGCTTGGCGAGACCCGCTGCTTGCGACAGCCCAGCTCCTCGCGCTGTTCAGGCTTCTTTCATCGTGCCCCTGTTCTACTCCATTCTTGCGAAAGCCCAGTCTTGGCTCTTATAACCTCTCCGCCCACTCTCCCCTCCTGTGATAACCTCCTCGGCATTCTTTTAGGTATGTTCCCAGCCCAAGGTCGTCGAAACCTCCGCATTGCATCGCCGGTGCCACTTCCGACTCCAACCCCCTCAACCAAGACGAACCATTCCAACTAGGCTGAAACATACTAATAAGCAACTAGTGAACTCAAGAAGTACTTGACCCATCTCTTTCCCGCACTCCTCGCGCCTTATCGTTGCTGGATGCCTTGCTCGTTGCTTCGATTCTCAGACCCTAACCGTTGCGGGAACCTATAGACTTACGACTTCATCAAAATGGATTTCTCTAACATCTTGTATGTGTTTCTCCGCTTAGAATGATCTTCGGTGGATCTGGCTTTAGTCTCAAGATGGGATTCAGCAGTGAGTCGAGGGCTTCAAGCTAACAATTGCTCTAGCCGTCTCGTTAACATCGCCGTCGGCGTGGTGATGGTGCTGGGCGGTATTAGCCAGTTCTTCCCAGCCTCCATGAGCTCCGTCATCGTCGGCGGGTACGTCATTGTATTCGGTCTGGGTACGTTGATTCAATTGCGCTTTTTTCTTACAAGATATACGAGATAAGAGATCATTGCTAACATCCCGACACAGTTGTTGCTGGACTTGAATTCATGCCCAACGTTCCTGACTACGCCTACCGTTACGCCTCTTTCCTGTTCTCTTTCCTCGGCCGTGGTATCTGTAAGTTGCAAGCCTGGTTGCTTACGGTTGCGATTCTCCCACTGACCTTCCGATCCAGTCTACATCTTCGTTGGCTCCATTCTGCTGCACGACCTCATCCTGCGCGAGATCGCCGCCTCCATTGTCGGTCTCACCGGTGTCGCCTACCTTGTCCTTGAGTTCATCCCATCCATCGAGCCCCCCTCAAACATGCGCGAGTCGGACCAGGGTTGGGGCGCTGAGCAGGTCTAAGACTGCTATGCGATTGCCCGCAACGAGCATTAAAACGTCATTTCCCGGCTGGAAGTGACAATATGGATGGACAAGAGGGTCGGTGCGTTAAGTTACCCTCTCATTCATGGATAGTGCATGATTGTCAGCGTTGGATTTCTCGTCATGCGTTATATGATCGATGAACGTTGCCATGACAATACGTATGTTTCCTCTTGGTCTCTTGAAGAAAAAAGCGGCTGAAGTCGGAATACTCGGTTTGTCGCGGAGAAGAGACCCGCTTTTGTTTGGATCACTCTCTTTTCCTTTTTCCCCCTTTTTCCTATCTTCCTGATTTCCTTTCGTCTACTTTCGATACCGATACCTGTGGATGTGGCTCCATTTGGAAGACACTGTATTATAGTTGAAATAGGTGTGGCTAGACCATGGCGACATTGAATGTTTAACAGTATAATATATTGGATTTGTTATGTTTAAGTACAGATCTCTTGGGTTTGAGACTAGACGAAAAATAGAAAACGGTAGAAGCTTGGTCGTGTTCGGGTGGGGCCTGCTTTTTAAGGGTTGGTGTTCACTGCATGATAATGAGCACTAGGCTTTTGTAAATCGCGTGATTGGATACCTGGAGAGAATGGGTTTGATAGCGACCCTCAGAGGTATGAATAGTTTATTACGCTACTATAAACTAGAGACTGACTAGGGACGGACTATGCACTATATACTCCGTGCTTCTTATAGTGAGACCATGTGACTCTCCCAAACCATGGATCCAGACCAATGACCTTAGACAGCGAGATCACGTGCACTATTGCCAGCCGTATGTCATCGGTGTCGCAAGATGCCGACGCCAAGAGATTTCTAGTACTTCTGGACTACGATGGGGACTTCAATCTTTATTCTGCAACCTAGATTGGTACGTTTATTCCTAAATGTCAGATGTCAAACGTGAAATGTGAGATGTAGGATGTGAGATGTAAAAAATAGGAACAAAGTACGAACCGTGCGACCAGATCAGCACCCAATACAACCTATCTCGGGGCGTCTAGTTGCGTCAAGTCTCGTCAGTGAGGTCAGTTTCGTCGGTTCTTTTTTTTTTTTGTCGAACCGAAGCCGAAGTGGTCCAGAGTGGTCCCCGAGTGGTTCAGGTGGTTCAGCTGGTCCAGTACAATCTTTTGTGTTAGTAAAAATGGAACAGCGTGGCCTCACACCGGATGGAACCCGCCACTCCCGAGAGCCAACGAAATCGCATATATTGCTGCTTACAGTAACCGGGAATCAGGCTCCGCCAATCACGGCCACTACAAAGCTGCTTGCCTGCGCATTGGCCCACCCGCACCTCTCTTTGGAAGGTGAATTCCCACAGTATTTTGCCCCCCTAAACTTCATCAGGAGTCGGTGGAGTCTTTTGCACTCGCGATCTGGGGAGTGACAGTTGCAAGAATCGGCTTATCGGCGATCAGAGATTTTCGGCAGTGGAATGGAGTCGAAAAAAAAGCAAATATGCAACATTAAATTCTGACAGATGAGTTTGAAAGAGAGGGAAAGAGGGAAGGAAGCATGTAGGAGAGAAAGACCTAAAGCAGTGTCTAAAGGAGAGATTAGATGAGATAGCGCCATGCGATTAGACTGATAATGATAGTTTCCGTCGATCCCCCCCTTCGTAGATCGATAAACCCAAACTCCCCGTAATAATCATCTTTCTTAACCCATATTTCGATAAGTTTCTTTTTTCCTTTCCACATCTCGGTGAACTTTGGTCAAATCATCATTCCACCTTCTCTTTCTTTTCTTTTTATTCCAGAAAACGAAAAACGACACAACGAATTACAATCTCCCTCCTCCTATCTCCCGCCTTTCATTGCGCCATCGTCCGTCTCAAGTCCCTTCTCCGTTCTCCTAACGCGGTGTGATCACCATCCTGCAGGCCCCTAGGGGACTCGGTCCAATCCTAGTGTCTAGGCGCGTCTCCGGCCTCCCACTTCCGAAAGAACTTGTCCTTCAAAATAAAATAAAATTGAAATCTCAGCCTGGCGTTCCTGGTGCGCTGTCAGCTGTCGCAATCGCTCCATCACCTGACCGATCCGGACCACTGGGTCGCCACACTCTTTGATATTCGGTTTTTTTGGCGTTGCCTCGTTGATTGGCATTACTCGCAAGTCTTATTGCCCCATCCTTGTCACTCCTCAATCCTGGGGCTGCCCCTCTTCCTGAACAAACATTCCTCTCCGTCTCTCCCCGTTTTGCGGCTCCCCAGGCTTGTTCCCTCCTGCCGTGCCGCCTCTACTACTCGCCGACTCGCCAAACAGCTTGACCGACATTTGCTCTCTGCGTCCCTGTGGGTGATACGGTGAATTCTGCTTCCGACTGCGGTGCGACATCAACCCTCACTTTCAAGGATCTAGAATTCTCTCTCCTCGCTTCCGTCGTTTCGTTCCCTGGTTATCTCAGCACTCCGCAATCGGGGGCCTATACTTTTTTGTGACTTCCCCCCAATCCTCGAAATCCTCGAAAAAAGGACCTTGGGCGACGAGGTGGTGATGCTAGCATCCATCCCAATGGAACAGGTGCGGTCGTTTCCCCAGAACCCAAGTGTTCCACTCCGGCAACCATCGGCGGAGGACTTGGATGCTGCTCAGCAGTTAATTTCATCGGCGCAAGCGGGTCGCGAACATTTGGCGGATCAGTATGGAGAATCCCCCATAAAAATGTCTGAAACTCCCCCGCGTGATGGGCCGGGATCAACCTCGAGTTTATCAGATGGCCGATTAGAACATGAAAAGACGTCCCCACGGGGTCAGAAAGACACCTCTTTCCTAGGGCATTCATGCAGGTAGGTCTCCCTCATATAGCAGGATTTCGTGAGTGTAGGCACCTAACATCTGTCATTAGCAATTGCGGAACAAAAAGTACACCTCTTTGGCGGCGCTCCCCAACCGGTGCGATGATTTGTAATGCCTGTGGTCTTTACCTGAAAGCTCGCAATGTCGCTCGTCCTACGAAACGAAATCGCGCCCAACAAAATCCCGATGGCCTAGAAAAGCATACTCCTCCTATTCCCCACACGGATTCACATACATCGGGTGGTTGTCAGGGGTCTTGCCCTGGTGGTGGAAGTTGTAATGGTACCGGCGGTGCTGAAGGATGTGATGGATGCCCAGCTTACAACAATCGCATCTATAAATCTGCACCACGAGCTGGCCCCCATCCATCTTGGGGTCGTACATCCGCCCCTGACGCGGAGCCAACGCCTCCCCCGGCAGCAACGGCAGCAACGGCAGAAACGCCCATTAAAAGTCCATCACTTGATAGCAATGGAGCTTTGGTTGCTTGTCAAAATTGCGGTACAACTGTGACTCCACTCTGGAGACGGGATGAACATGGTCATCCCATCTGTAACGCCTGTGGTAGGTTTAGATTTATACTTGCTTTTTCTCGCTGTCTTGGTATCAGCTAACATAAATTAAAGGGCTCTATTATAAGCTGCATGGATGTTATCGCCCCACGACTATGAAAAAGTCCATTATTAAGCGTCGCAAGCGCGTCGTCCCAGCCCTCAGGGATCAATCTCCTACGGCAGCTACCCAATCCTCCAATGGCTCATCAGCCTCACCCGAAGCATCCCCCGCGGCCTTGTCACATACACAAGATGAACACTATCGATATATGAGTAATGAACCCGATCATTATCATGGCCTGCCCGGAAAAGGTGCATACGATGATGCACGACCATTACCCTTCGCCCCGCCCCCAGTGGACTTCACTGGCTACCACGCAGCTCCCATGCATCCTCAATTCCCCAAACTCCTTGATCCCGAGCGCCTTGGACATTCACCTGTTCAATTCGGACGACGATCCGCATCTCCCAACTCCCTCGCTCTTCCCAAGAAGCGTACCCTAGCCGAGAGTACAGAGACACTTCCAGGTCCAGGCACACTCGAGGGAGGATCAAATCTATTACCACCAATCATGTCTTCCGCCAATCCCTCGCCCCCAGGTCGTCTGAGTTCGATATCCTCTATTTTGAACCAGGCCGAGCGACGTGATGATTCCCGCATGGATCTTTCGCCCATGGGCCACCCACAGCCTTACCAGGCTCCCATGCATGCGACTCAACACGAATCGCAAGCTTTGCCTGGTATTTCCTCATTCGCGGACCAATCGGTTGAACGACGTATCCAGCTTGAGCGGGAAGCTGAGCAAATGCGTGAGGCATTGCGTGCGAAAGAGCGTGAGCTAGCTCAGATAGGCCGATAACAACGGCACTTCAGCAACACTTCGACGACACACGAAATTTACGAGTTCTAATATGGTTACGGATTGGGAGGGAGGTCCTCTAAATGTTTTATGCGGCGTAAAGCTTGGAGACTCGCGCGAGATACCACTAGTTTTGCTAGGATTTATTGTTCCCCATTGTGCTAATACTATCTAAAAAAACCAGCAACGACAACAACAGCTTAAACAAAAGTGCTTTTTAATGTACTTTACAATGGAATTGCTTAGATTATTCTTATTATATCTTCTTTTCTCCCTATTAGAGAGCCTTTTCCCTGTATCAAGAGAACCCTTTCGGTCCGACCCGAATAATGAAGTCATCATGACTTGAAATAAATTCCACACGCACTTGATCACTTCAATCCACGTCAATCAACATCATTCAACATCAACATCATACCATTCATTACCAACATACATTCATTACCAAGATAACATGTCCCCCAAAGCATTCACCCTAACATTCCTCGGCGACATAATGCTAGCCCGCCTAATAGACCAACTCCTCCCAAACAGCACCAACACTCCAACAGACGCCCACAACGCCCGAGTCCTCAAATCCAAAAATCCCTCTCTAGCAGAATACACCCAATCCTCACCATGGGGCACGACTCTACCCCTCCTCCACTCGACAGACCTCTTACTAATCAATCTCGAAACCTCCGCAACAACAACCTCCCAGCAATGGCCAGATAAGAAATACAATTACCGTACTCACCCGGCTAATATACCGGATGTTCTGCACGTCGCACATGTCGACTACGCTAGTCTAGCGAATAATCATATTCTCGATTATTGTGAAGAAGGTCTAATAGAAACGGTATGGGCAGTTAAAGAGTCGAGGATCTCATTTGCCGGAGCTGGTGAATCGGTTGACGAGGCGTTTAAACCGGCTACGTTGTGGCTTCCGAATCCGCGTCGGACTCATATGCAGGAACATGAACATGAACATGAACAAGAGCAAGCTTCAAGTTCAAGTTCTAATTACGCCGTTCATGTATACTCTGCTTCCGATCATCCTATGGAGTGGAAAAATATCCCTACATTCCATTTTATAGATTACTCCCCAACCACACGGGCCCGAGTAAAAAGACACCTAACACACTCCTCAACAATACGACACGATACCCTCTCCGACTCTTCTGGATATTCAAGGTCAGAATCTGAAAGTCCAGTGCTAAAAATATTCTCCGTCCACTGGGGCTCAAACTATAAATGGACTCCATCAGACGAGATCCGATCCTTTGCGCATTTCCTCATTGACGAGTGTGGAGTTGATATTGTACACGGACACTCTTCGCATCATATACAGGGTGTAGAGATTTATGCGGGAAAGGTAATAATATATCGGTGTGGAGATTTTGTAGATGATTATGTGCTGAGGGAGAAGTTTCGAAATGACCTTGGGGCTGTTTGGAGGGTTATTGTTTCTGAGGTTCAGGGGCAAGGCCACGGTCTTAGATTGGATCAGTTGGAGATATTTCCGACGAGGAATGAGGGATTTCGGGCTTGTTTGCTTGATTCTAAGCATAGGGATCATAGGTGGGTTAGAGAGAAGATTAGGGAGTTGAGTTTGGGGTTGGGAGGTGCCAGTGTTTGTCGGGATGAGTTGGGGGTTGATGGGCAGGTTATTTTTGATGTAGTATGATTGAATTGAAAGAATAAGAAATGTAGCTGTTCGCTGTAAATAATATGTCCAAGTCAAAAGTCCACCCAAGTGTTGATTCAAGAATCTTTGTTAAGATTGAATCCGAATATACCGTCCCAATGCAATCATAAAAAGCAGGTGTTTGCTGTGCACACCTAGAAATAAAATATACAAAGAAGAAAAAGAGAGGAAAGAATAAAGAAGAAAAAGAATAAGAGCTTGAAGAAGCTTAAAGAACGATCATGATGAATCCATCACTAATCTCCTTTCACTAACACTCTCACCATGCTTAGCACTTTCTTGCATCACCGTCATCTCAGTGGTAACCTCAATACCACCAAACGAACTGGGACTTGACCTATCTCCAGGCTTAACATTGATAGAGTATACATCATAGTCCCTGTCATCGGTCTGACTGAACAATTGACTAGGCTGTCGTGCCGAGCGGCGACTAGCGAATCGATTCGTTCCAGTTTGCTGATTGCTTGTATAACGGTTGTTGTAGCTGTTTGTCGACAACAGCTTAGGGAATACCTGGCTGATAATCGGGCGAAGGAAAGGAAGACTAGCACAGATAATGGCAACGTTGCACTCCGCTGCAGTCCAGTATGAGGCGTCGACATTAGCGTATGATGTATCTGTGCTGCTGGCAACGGTTCGCAGTCCGGAAAGGCGAAGAATACTTGTGATGACCACACTGGAAAGTCTTAGTATTTGATTCGATCTAAGTCTGAGAATCATAGTGAGACTTACAAGATACCCATGGCAAAAACGCCCATCAGTGCGATCTTCTGCGTGCGCGGAAGCTGTAAATGGGATAGCAGCGGCATTGGAAGGGCGAGAAGAGTCACGTCTGTAGCGATGTTCATGGCTGCATTGAAGAACCAGAGGGCTGAGAAGTTGAGACAGCTTCCTGGTATTGTGCGGTCCCAGAATCGAGCGACGGGGACACAGTTCACGTAGCCGCTGACAATGGCCCAGGCGGAATATGTAGCGACGATTGCCATGACGATGTAGCAGGCATTGCGAAACCAGCGAGCGGGGAAAATGCGGAGATATTGGAAGAGGATGGAGAATTTGGTAAATGCTAGACTGGCGTTGTACATTGGGATGGCGGCCCACAGACACTGTGGTTTGTTAGCAAGCTGTGTATTTGAGGGTGGAATTGTCCATAGCTGAGCATACCTTGAGTTGTTGTTGAAGAACGTGTGAGGGAAGGTAATCGTCATGGATTCCCATTCCATAGCGAAGTTCTATATTTATTGTCAGTTGCTATAGCTTGGCTTTAAGACGATGAATGGTAACATACGAGCACCAACAAGTCCGCAATAGACGACTGAGAACACCTAAAGAGAAGAAAATTATCGTTATTGAATGGTCTAATAAATTGTGAAGTATAGTGACATACCATTGCAATTAGAATGGCCCAGTCTTCTCGACCAGTACTCTTCATTAACCCAACTCGGGCATATACTCGCATAGCAACAACCAATCCAGCCAGCGAAGTGAGAACTGCAGTCACCACCAACGCTCGCTGACCACGAGAATGACCGTGGTCATCGCCACGAGGCACCAGTTCGTGCAAAATATTGTTCATATTGATTGGCGACATAAAGGAGAAACCGAATAGAAAAATCGAATGTATTCAAAAGAGTGTCGTCGAGAGGGGAGGACTTTTCCGTCCAACAAACAAATCCAACACAATCATCGATATGCTATATTGCTGTACCAATAGAAGTCCCCTCTTCAAATCGGCTAAAGTCGAAAAGTCTGCGTTACGGTCAAAGACAACACATCCCAAAATGAGCGGGGTTGTTTCTTTTGAACATTCTGCACGGAGTAAGGCCTCAGCGCCCAGTGGAGTCAATAAGACTATTCATGCACAACTTGAACGAGGATCCCTGCCGTGGCTTGGACTTGGAGCTCCGCAAAGTCCGGATAGTTTCCCCAATAGCGCACGATCCATCAACGATCTCAAGGCCAATTCATGTTTTGGGGACCGCGGACTTCGGCGCAACTGCGCGCCATGTGGTCCTTGATGGGGGCTTTGCCATGCTCAAGACGTCTGAATGCACGGAAGCCCGCCATCGAACACTCTAGCGTCAATTTACTACACTTTGTTCCCCACTGCATCGTCAGCCATTGTGGGCGGAGCCCCACAGTCCACCCGGCTTTTGTGCCTGGCATTACTGTGAAAACTCGGTGTCACTGGAAACAAACCATGGAACGTTGGAGCTGTCTTCTCAACTTCCCCTGTCGAGCGTGGGTGTCTGAGAACGGGCCTCTTGTGTTATTATTTCTTTTCTTTTTCTATTTTCTAGGTCCACTCGTGTGATACGAGGTTGCATTCCCAATGGCTGTATCTCTCAAAATCTATGAATTGGATGCTAGATCTTTGCTAGAATGGGAAGAATGTTGGCTTACGGACTGCTGCCGATGTGTACTCCGCTTACTCCGTCTTGGTGCTCCGTCCTTTGCGCCTTTGAGGTATGTGCGATTGTGGAAAAAGACATGTCACATTATGGGCGAAAGCCGTAATATGGAAAACAATTCCAGAAACAGCGTAAATTACTCACACCGTGCTACCAAACCCCTTATCAATTGAGCTAAGAACCCCGAGCTGTCATTCCCATCGATTGAAACCCTTTGAACCATGATTGTCGCGTGGATCATTGCGTTTCTCGGCTAGCCCTGGAAATGATTTGCAACATCATCATTCCAATTAGCCGAGACCAATAAATAGCCAGCGCTTGAACCCTTTGGTTTTTGTTAGTGCTCCCCGCCTTGAAATCTGGGGCTCTGTATATGTACTATTGAATACTAGTGCAAGCGAAGTCAAGTTTTGACGATCAGGCGTTGAAATTCTTCTCCTCCTTCTTGGCCAGCCGTCTTAAGCCCACCGCTGTCAACCAGACCCACCTAAAGTTGCCACTGGGAATCAATAATGCGGCTGACGACCTCTACTGCGGAAACCCAAACCCGATTTGCACCTGCACACATGCAACAGACATCACACAACAGCATGTGCATTGACAGCAGTTCATCATTCATGTACTCCGCATTGAATGACTACTAGGTCCCTGATCACATCATTACTATCCCTGTATGTGACTTTCGAACTAATGGAATAGATTCACCTCAGTGCTCCACTTATCCCGAACGTTCGCTGCCTTGGATGCTTCTCAGGGTTAACAGGTTGTTTGCCGACAAACAATGATCGTCAACTAGAATCTGGTGGCGTTTCCAGCGTCACGTCACGCTAGTATCTCGGTTTAAATATTTTTCTTGGGTTGTTACATTCCCACGAATACAGTCCTTAGCTCCCTTTTGATCAGTCGAAAATACAAAATCAACTGTTTGCATTGACTTGGAACAAACCCCTTGCAATGCGGTTCCCACTCTGAAACCTATGTTGATCAAAATTAATTAATGTTCCTCACAACTCACTGCCACGTCAATGACTAGCCATCTAACAGTGGATGACCTGAGACAACCATATAAAGCGCCTGTCGATTGGGTTCAGTATAGCGGGCGATGCACCGAAAACACTAATAACTCGCGACCTCGGTATTAGAAAGATTTGGAAGCCATGTGGACCAGGAAGAGTATCAAGTCAGATGACCTCGATGCATGAGAGGTGCCCTTTACAAAATTAGAACGGTCGGAAACGGCATATCTTTTCGGGCGCAACATAGTGTTTCTTGATCATGATACGATCTAATCGGGTTCTATAGAAAGTCCCATGCTAATTAATCCGGTGGTGGGATTTCAATATTATGCACCGGAGACTGAAAACATTCAATTTCTCTTGAACTCTCTGTCTACTTAGCAATGCGGATAGGCAGAACTTGGTTGAACAGCGTAGCCCCAGGGTGACAAAGGACAGGGATCGCGCGTTTCGGCGGGCCAGAGTTGAGCCAGACTTTTCTTATAGTTCGAATAAATGTTGATGTTTCTTAACTTAGAAGAAACATGCGGACTGTATATGTACTGAGAATAAAATAGGTTTGAAATTGATTCTGATAGCCTGAGTGCCGCTCTACGTCTGACTTCGACGAGCCTCGTCCCCAGTGAGCTCGTACTACTACGCGACAACCTCGATATTAACCTTTCAAGAACTTCGATGGAATGAGAAATCCTCTGGTCTGTTGCTAGTAATCTTCATTTCATTATTTCACTATCCCTGGAGTGGTAGGGAACTCCACATTCCCCGACCTCTCCACCCCCACAGTCCAGTCTTAATTCCCAGGAACGTTCCGGGGATCCAGTGTTTTATAGATTCAGTCAATACTATAAAGAGCCATGGACAACACGTTGAATCATTTGTGTAGTGTAAACTCACTAAATTCGCTATAAATCTGTCTTTCTCCATACAGATCATGTTTGAAAGTTCCTATCTCAATCTCCTTCCCCCATGGAAACATTAAGATGGCTGGCTGGGTGATAGATGCAGCAATATCACAAAAAGCAAAATTGAGAAAAATCAAAAATTGAGAAACAAAAACTCAGATTACACCTTTCTCTAAGCTATTATCTCTTCTTCAGAGAATATGACTTGATGAAAAATCTCACAAAAAGAAAAATCAACGGCCAGATATAGATAGTTGACACGTAAATGGTGGCTGCTTCCCCACTGTCACTCAAGCATGGGATCATCGTGTCTTTGGGCACCAATCTTGTCGTATCACCATGGCTAGCGGGTGGGCTGAAGTCCAACACCGAATCATTTTTCACGGCCATTTGTGACATGTCCAGAGGAGCTTTGTAACTCAAGAAAAGAAATGAGGTCCCAAATATCATTCCGATAAAGAATTGTGCAATTTGGATAGTGGTCAGACTTCGTTTCACACGAGTTGACACAGAATATCCAAGTGTTTGAAGAGCAAAGTATGTGTACTGAATTAGACAGATTAGCATGATTATCAAATGCAGGAAGAGGGCCGGGGAACTTACCATTAATGTGTGGACTAACACATTTATACCTGCAACAAGTGCACATGGCGAATCATAAACAACCGTAGCCCATCCGCAGAGTATTATACCAGCATGGTGATATGTCTGTAGCATTGAGCTCTTTTTCCCCTTTGCAAGAATTATCAATGTATCGATGACCTCGTAATATTTGCTCATGTAGAAAAGCCAGCCAATATAGTTCCAGCCAGCCTCCCAAGGACTGATTGAATGCGATAAGACTATAGATGGAAAGTCGTCAGGATTTCCATGAGAAAAGGATAGACACAAATTGAGCTTGAATACTCACCTCGGTATTCGCTTGATTCCGTTTGGCAAAGGTACTCTGCAACATGAGCAAAGTAACCGTCGTTCAAGTTGGAATTCGTCGATCCGGATGGCCAATAGTGAATAAGAGTGTATACAATCCCGCATAAAGCCCAGCCTGAGAATAGTGCTAACAAGGAATTATGTGCTACTACAAACGTTTTGAATGCTGAAGTTTTGCTGAAAGCCCATGGTCTATAATTCCGACTTGCGTTGACCGAGTTCATAAATAGAACTGCTGTCACGTATAGCGACATAAAAGTGATGACATACTCTAGCTGAAATGAGATGCGGAAAAGGCCAGGGTCGATTTCAAATGGATGAAAGAAGGATCTTGGCATATTGTTTAATGGTGGTGGGCGTAACTTCGGATCGTGTTTGTAGGGTTGATTTGGGAGCTTGAACATCTCGGACGATGGAAGCCCAAAGCTTATCGAATTGGGAATTGAGAATACGTCCATGACGACGAGAAGAACCCAAGGCAAGAAATAATTTTGTTCGATTGGACTTGGTTGAAATGCTATACAAGAAGACTATTCGAAGAATGGAGCACCACAGGGGCACGTACTCTTATTTAATTTCTTCGTAGGGACAGATAGTGAATTGAGCACAGATGCTCAGATAGATGAGAGCTCTGCTGCAGTGTAACGCCAATCTTCATACTATAGAAACCTGCATTGCTAGGCACTTCAGCCACACAGTCTGGCTTAACCAAAATAAAGGACAACAAATGAATGAAAAAGAAGACTAACGAAACTTACTGCAGAGCGATGTAGATCAGTATCACAATGAAGTTTGAGGCTATTGTAGCCGATTCGCTGAGGATGTGAGTGTGACATCCGCTGACAATAATTGCTTTTTTTGAAGAGCAAAGACTAACTACATCCAAGTATGCAAACACCAAAAAGTTCCTCCTTTCTGTACACTTGCGCAAGTCTGTGTAACGAAATTATTTCCATGAATCAATATTTAAGTCTATGGTCAAGGTATCAAGTTTTTTTTGGCGCGTGGCTTGGAGTACACACCACCGTCGAATGCACGAGAAAGGGGCTTTCACAATCAATCAATCACAATGAGATGTTTTGGTGACAGTCTTCATTTTATTTGGCCTTATCGACAGGACGTGATAGAAAACTTGTATGAGATTGAATCACGCTACAAAAATGTTAATTTCCCGGACTTCTCTGATATATTCAGAGCGTGACTCCTTCTTCTCATTCCGAACTTGAACCACAAACAGATCTCACGATTAACTTGAAAGGAAATGAAACTGAACCTCGAAGGGATTTCTAATTATTAGAAGCTACTACTAGTACTATCCCCGAAGGTCCTACAATGGCTTCAAGGATCAGAGAACTGCACAACGCCAAATTATCTTCGATAAATTGGCCGATCGCAACATTCTTGATCGTTATTCCTTTGGCAGCCATTACAAGTCTTCTATGGGTTCCCATTATCCAGAATACTGTCTACTTCATGCTCATCTATATCATTATACGTGGAATGTCCATTACAGCTGGTTAGTTAATACCTCTGGCTAAAGGACATGGAACTATCATTAATAATGAATAACAGGCTATCACAGACTCTGGTCTCATCGCACTTATACTGCAAGTACGCCTCTGAAAGTCATCCTCGCCATCCTTGGTGCAGGCGCAGGACAAGGCAGTATCAAGTTTTGGTGTCGCGGTCACCGGGCGCACCATCGCTATGTCGACACAGATCAGGATCCCTACAATATACAGAAGGGCTTTTTCTATGCACATCTCGGTTGGATGTTAGTCAAAGATAAGCGATCACTTGGCAAGATTTCTATCGCTGGACGTGTGGATATTAGCGACCTCAAACATGACCCTATTGTCCAGTGGCAACATAGGTACTATTTGCCATTACTCTTCATTATGGGATATGCGTTGCCCACATTCATATGTGGTATACTATTCGACGACCCTGTTGGCGGGTTTGTACTCGGAGGTTGCATAGGAACAGGCATCGGGCAACAGGGAACATTTTGCGTGAACTCTTTCGCACATTGGATAGGATCACAGCCATATGCAAGTACAAAGTCGCCGCGAAATAACTTTTTAACGGCTCTGATAACATTCGGAGAAGGGTATCATAATTTCCATCATGAATTCCCAATCGATTACCGAAATGGGATTCGATACTATGACTTCGATCCTACAAAGTGGTTGATATGGACATGTTCCCAGATTGGTCTCGCCACTAATCTAAGACGTTTTCCTCAAAATGAGATTAAAAAAGGCAGAATCCAGCGAGAGCAGGAGAAGATAAATCAGAAGTCCAAGATTGTGGATTGGGGCGTCCCGCTGTCAGATTTACCTGTCATTACGTGGGAGGAATATCAACAACAAGCAAGAACAGGGTGTAATTTGATTGTGATTAAAGGGGTAGCTCACGAAGTTTCTGCATTCGTTACGGAGCACCCAGGCGGAGCGACATTGATTACCGGGGCAGTAGGTAGAGATGCGACAGACATGTTTGAAGGGGGAGTTTATGAACATTCAAATGCAGCTTCTAACCTCTTGGCCTCGATGAGAGTAGCCATAATCGGAGATGATATGAGCTAGCTGACTAGATTCAATCTTTGAAGGCGAAAACATAGCAATCTTCAGTTAGTCCTACATATTTCAGATACACGTTCAATATACCTTGTCTTAGTTTGCCAACACTTTCGAGATGGTCTCGACCTCCCGTAAAAGCTCCTCTTCTTGCATATGTCTACCAACAACCTGAACACAGCATGGGGCCCCCTCGACATCATCTGCGATGTCTTTGTGGCGGTCAGCAGCTACGATTAATAAAAAGGGGTACAGATATTCAGAACTCACATGGAGGGCGATATTCCACATCTCGAAGGAATTTGGCATCATCAGCTTTATTCGCCTTGCGATATGGAATAACCACAGCAGGGTACTGTATCGATTTTTATTAGTATTATTTTTAGGCACTCGGATAAACTGCGCGGGAGAGACGCGACATACGTTCAACACATTGTTCACTACAGTGTAGGGTACCCATCCGATTATATCGTGCTGTGGTGCGGTTCCCTGGTAGCCGGGCATGATGATCGCATCGATTTTCTTCTCAGTAATAATTTTGCCGAATTCAGCTTTGTACTTGCCTCTTTCCTCTAGAAGGTCGTATAGCCCTTCCAAAGTGAGCGGAGCGTAGTCATATGGCATATAATCGTGGGGTAGATCTGTTGATGAGAGCGCAGGGATCCTCGGCTCACCACTTGCCTGGATATGCTTGAAGGCTGTATTTGCAGGGTCCATAGCAAAGTTTCTGAAAGCTAGTAAGGTGGCCTTTTTGATTGATGGGGGTTCGAGATTGATAATATCATGCCCCGCAGCCTTCAGGCGCTCCACTGCCTGAGTAAGAGTATTGAGAACAGGTGGGTGAACGGGAAAGTGGCTATCTTCTAGAATGAAGCCGAGCCTCAATTTTTGCTTGGGGGCAACGGCTCTCCAAGTGGAGAAAATGGCAGATGAATCATATTTCCAGGGGTCTGAGTTAATCACAACTCTGCTGAAAAGTTCCAGATCTCGGACAGAGGTAGCCAGGGGGCCTGCGACTGCCTTGATCCCTGCAAGGCCCTTTCGAGACGAACTCGTCTGACCTCCATAGGGAATACGATCTTCAGATGGACGAAGAGCGTACGTCCCATTGCAGTAGGCTGGAATTCTGATTGAGCCAGCAATATCGGTTCCGACTCCCAGAATCGACCCACGCATTGCAACGAGTGCACCTTCACCCCCAGAAGATCCGCCTGCAGTAAGATTTGAGCGATTGGGATTCAGTGTACGACCAAAGACGTAGTTATGTGAGTCTCCAGCCTATAATAGGGGTTAGCTGCCTTAACCACTGTATTCGTTGAATGGGACTTAAACCTGCCTGCATCGTCTGTGGGATATTTGTTTTAACATAGAGAACCGCACCGAGATCCAACAGTATCTGAACCACAGCGGAATTTGAGGTGACCGGCCCATGCTTTATAAATTCCGTATATCCAATTGTCGACGGAATGCCCTTGACATTGAAACAGTCTTTTAGGCTGACCGGAAGCCCATGCAAAGGTCCGATAATCTCGCCATTCTTCTGTAAATACTCGTCCAGTTCTCGCGCTCTTTCCAGGGCCTGGTCAAAGAATGTCTCCGTGAGACAATTCGTCTAGATGGTTTTGAGTGAGTGTTTTATTCATTGTAGATGAAGTAAATATCACTTACGACTTGTTGAGCAATAGCTGCGCGGATACAGAAAGCCTCCGCGACTTCAACAGCGGTGAAGTGCTTCGAGTGTATATTTTCAAGTAATGCAGTGGCATCGTAATTCTCTGTGATTTCCAGCTGCTTGGCAGACAGAATGCCGCACTCTCTAGGCACTTGGAGAACGTTGTTGGATGATGTTTCAGAGATTTGATCGGTGAAACTTGTAGAAATTCGCCAAGCTGCGGGGATCTTGGCCGCAGCCTCTTCCTGCTTAGCTTTCACGGCGACCTGCCAGTTTTCGAGGGTCATTGCGGCGGTGAGATATGAAGTTTAAGAGTCGACGAATCTCATTACGATATGATAAAGAAAGGAATTGATGAGTGAAATCATTAATTGCGGTGTCTGGATCAATTATATACCCCAGTGCGACTCGCCTGATGACAAGAGTAGATAGACTGGGTGGGTCCAGCGCGTCTCGCCTGTGCAACATGATGCCTCCGGGTGGAGATGCCTGTATCAGTGCGGCTGGGGCGGTCAAATTGAATTTGGGGGCTCACTCTCATCACTTTCAGAATATTATGAACTAATGATGATACTTCAATGTTTGATTGATAGGATTTGATCAAGTAAGGGGTATCTTTTATTTTGGAAAAGTATAAGCATTCCACCAAAGGTTATTCAAGACTACTTGGCTGCATTACCCCGCCGTAAATTATAAGTATGGCTCAGCGCGTCTCGCGGCGAAAGTTAATCATGGTGAAGCGTAATTGAAATTCAGCGAATTTTAGTTCATGTAGCGTTAGAATCCTGATACAGGAATTCCCGTCGCGTTGTATCTTTTCCATGTTTGGATGGCGCAAATCTAAGATACAGTTAATGTACGTCTGGATCAAGATATCAGAGCGTCCCATCGGCGGATTGCACGCATGACATAGAGGAAATCCCAACTACATCTTGACTTTTGTCCACTTCCAAGATCACCCTCCATGTAACCTGAAGAAACACCCTCTAAATTCATGTCATCGTCCTCATAATCATTTACCCACCACAGTTTAGCCAGTAATCGAATTGTCTGTCCGCAATTAACCATCTTTGAATAGTCGTATGCGTTTTGCAGCCATTGCATCAGCTCTTCGCGATGGTGATCACTCGTAACGCAAGTTCCAACAAGGACAAAAGTCCAATATAATACACGCGGGCGCTTTGACATATTTGACGATATTTTCAGGATGTTCAAAAAAGAAACTACCAAGTCTTGAACGGCGATATCAGTCGTAGTGTCCGTGAAGGGATGAATGGTACGATGAAGGTATATTCTTCCAGTGATGCGGTAAAGTTCTGCAGCAGTGCAGTGTTCAGGGAACCTAATGAGCATATCCGAAGATGGCTGCCATGAGCGGAAGAGTATATCTAACTCTTTGTACTCGGTGATAATTTGCTCGGAAAGGACATTGCCTTGCCGACCATCTAAATGAGAACGCCTTGAGAGTGCTGAAGCATACCATACATATTCCATTATTTGATGAGACACCCCACATAGCCAACCAGGGTATCTCTCTTTGATATTATCAGAGCATAGTGTTATGGGGCAGATGTCGATCTCTAGATCCCCTTGTTGCAGAGTGCGAGCGCTTCTGGTGAGCCAAGACATAGAATCAATCATACTGTTGTAGAAATAAGAATCATCGATAAATGATCTTAAGTTTAGCTTGATATTATGTTTCTGGCAATGACACAGTAGTTTGCGGGCATGGCGAAGCTGTCGGGAAAATAGAGCCCCATTGCTTCCACCAATTGGCTAAGATGTATTAGTTCCAATTCACAATTTTGTCTGGGCTGCACATACTTGAAACATTGCTAACAGAAGACACACTACTAGGGTTTCTTCGACGACCTCCGTTGCAAGTGCCTCGGTATTGATCATCCTGATTCGATCTTCGATGCATTTTGCAACTTGTCCATAGTAGCGCCAAGCCAATGCTGACCATCCGGGCATATTGTCGGATATATGAATAGCAGATGTCATCAGAATGGCTTCCATTCCCAGTTTAGATTGTAAAGAAAATGGTATCAGCTGAGTCTTTAGTACATTGGCTGGTTCATCGACAATAGCCATTACGGAAGCTGTGCGATAAACGTAGTGTTCAAAGAGAAAGCAAGTCGTTTTAGAGTCCAACAATAGCATAAGGCTAGACGGGCAGATCAAGGGAAGACAGACTCCGGTTCTTTCAACAAATCTCAAAACACTCCCAAGATCGGTTGAGAGTGATGCTGTGTCATTGTCCTCTTTCCTTGGAGAAATCGATGGACGCATGGAGCCGCCAGCGAAATACGCGTTGTTCGATGACCCAGCAAGAGCATTATCATTCCCTTCGGTATTGGCCCGCGGTATCGCCAGAAATTGAGAGCCAAAAACGTCGGAGATATCTGGTATCTCGGGTATGTAACTCTGCCAGTCAATTAAGGCGGGGTAGCAGTCTGCTAACTGCGGTGCCGGTATATCCGACACGCCTATCCCCGATCGCTGAGTTGCTTGCTCACCTTCTAGCTCTCTTTCAGGTTGTTGCGGGCTTATACAAGGCTCTCCAATCTCTCGCTCTGTCGAGTGATGCCAATGACAGTCGAGATAATTTCGTTGACAACCGGAACAAGTTGGCTTCTGTTCATCACACTTTTTCCGTCGTCTCTTGCATGTCAAACACCCAGCTCTGGACCGAAGGTCATGTCTCCGAGTTGTGCTCATATCTACCGGCGTATCGCGGTGATCCTTGTTATGGGGATAAATAGGAATAGGACGTGAATCTCGCGATACGCAAGATGCACCTTGTCTTAACGAATGTATGTATGAGGGAAATACCGCTAACGACCACCGCGATTCACGATACCCACTATAGTCGCCTGGGGTCCAAACTCAAAAAGAGCGCCCGAGCGGCCCGTAATGCCGTGTTAAATGCCAGGCTATATCCATATGATCCTAGAAAATCAGTAATTAGAGTTTCATGCATTCTGATTCCTAGTACAAGCCCGTGTGCATTCCACCAATGATACGAAATCATTAAATGACATACTCTTCGCATTGCCTTCATATCATCGCCATCAACATTGGCCTTGTCGGGCATAAGGAGCTGTTCCTCTTAACATCATGGGCACCGCATGGCCCTCCCTCGACATCACCTGAGATGCCTTGATAATTTTCAGTGGTTGATATCGATTCGATTCAGACCTTCCCATTTGATAGAGTGAGGCTTAATGATCCTCTGTTCTTCTGAGAAGGAGCATTTCTTGTAAGATTTTGAGATTAGACAGATTGAGCAAGGAATCTATTATCAAGTCTTGTCGGTGAAGAGTTTCATCAACAGTATTGGAGATAGACTTTTGGAGATAGACTTCTGCTTGCACACCTCAATTGAAGCCATATCTTTCAAAATTTTAAGATTTTCTCCGACAGTACCCACTGTGTGGAGCAAGCTTGAGAGCTCCCGCCCGAAGGTCTGATGGAAGTCCAGTGAGGTTGATGGAGCTGGCGCTGGGGTAGGTGCTGGGTCTGGTGCTGGGTTGGGGCAGGCGCAGGAATGCCAGTCCGTTGGAGATCACATCTCCTTTCATTATACCCAACATGGTAATTTGTACAATAGTATTCTCCGTTGGGACCTTCACATAAAATACATGATGCAAAGAGCCCATAGCCAGCACGGCAGTATGAACAAGCATCATCGCCTGCAAGTCACCGGCCTCGAGCCTGAAGGTGGAATACCTCGTAATTACAATTACGGATGGTGATAAATCGGAGGAAGGGACCAGCAGTGTATTTGGTTTTCTTTTTCCGGTTCAGTACTGGCTCTCGTACAACAGGTGTAAGAAGTACAGCTGCTATAAGTTGTGATGGCATCCTGTCTTTCATCCAGAGATTTTCCGAGGCAAATTTGGCCCAGTATGCTTGTTCGTGCTCGTTATCGGAATCTTAAAAAAAAAGGATTGCGAGGGTTGTCGCTGGGGCCCGGGCTGTGGGAAAAGATGTCGAGAGAAAGGTGAGGCTTGGAAGTGAGGATGAGGGGACTCCGGCCACCTTGGAAAATACTAGTATTCAACCTACTACTCCTTGTCAAGAAACATGGTAGGTAGAATTTCTATATAGATAATGTATATGTAAACTTTCTACTAGCACTAGAGAGCTTATATATAGTCTTTGTGATATGTCACCTACAGTTCTATCAGAAGGAGGAGAATGGTGCAAACTTGAAGAATAAACAATATCAACGCTGAAGAAGAGAAAGAGAGGAAGAAGCCGAGCTGCCGTATATGCGATGCTCAAACCAAGCAAACACTCGCCACCGACCACCTCCATGCAACTATACTACAGACTCACTCTCCTACCTACGCATCTTTCCAGATTCTCTTTTATATGTTCGTCTAGATATGATCCTTGTACCTATTCCCAAGGTCTTCTCGAGAATATCTTACCTAGTTTCATAGTATGATACAGATTACACTTTAACTGGGCTGAGTAACTACAGTATGGATGTTAGGATGGGATAATAAGAACTGCCCACCTGGGCATAGAGCTACAGGGTTACACTCTATATTCTGTGGGCATTTAGGACACATCCGTCTATTATCATATGGATGTAGTATCTTAATTGATCTGGTCATTTCTAGCATCATATCGCCACTAGGTACCACATAAATACCTAGATTGCGATCACCTATCACCAAATCCGATTTCCCCACGTATCCACTTCGTCAATATTATCATATTCTGCATCATTGCCCCAGTGATGGCGACGGCGACGACGATAGTATGTGCCACGTGATCCACACTTCGTCGTAGCTAGTCTTTTCGCGACCTCATTGGCTTCAAACAAGCTAACCAACTTTCTCTTTCCAGGTTGTGACTGGGCCTGGTCCTGACAGATTTTGTACATAATGTCAACATCAGTCCTGGAATCATAAGACTCGAGGAATTCACGAGGCGGCCTGTTGATTGTGTTATTCCATGTATTACCATAATTTCCACTGTTGCCATCAAAGGCTCGCTTGGGGGCCTGGCGAGTATTCTGGTTAATCCACAAATCGACAATCCTATCTATCGGGGTATTGCCAGTTGCATTCTCGCGGTATAGCAAATCAGGTCGACTGTCAAGAATGAGCCTCAACGCGCCAGGGCATTGTTTCTTGACTGTGTCATGTACAGGGCTATTTCCAGAGCCCGAAAGGAGCTCCAACTGCTTTTGATTGCTGGATGCTCCGAGATCTAGTAAAAGTTGGAAAACCTTAGACCTCTTTTTGTCCCATTGGGCGTTATGATGCAGCCATGAGGCGAGGGGGGTCATGGATTCATCGCCGGCGCGTTGCAAGAGCATCGATGGTATAAGGTTTTTGTCGAGGAGATCTATCAATGGACGGGCCTCTTCGGCTTTGATGCACACGCCACCCGTGTCTGTGACAAAGATGAAATGAAGCAAATTTCGACCCTGGGGATCACGAACTGTCTGGTTTGCTCCTCCGTTGATCAAGATTCGCGCGTAGTTGACATCACCGCGAGCGAATGTTAGCGAGAGGGGCGTGTGACCTGAGGCTGAGCGAGCCTCTAAACATTCAGGGTGGTGGTTGACCAAATATTGCACTAGACGCTCGGACTCTTCGCATGGTCGCGCCATCACTGCACAGTGAAGGACAAGATTATCTGTCGTTTTGTCAGTATAAATTCTTGAAATAGTATCAAACGCGGTCAGTTTCCACTCACTTCTTGTCTGCAACCAGTTGAGAACTGTTCCCTCAAGTCCCAGCTTGGATTCTCCTAGTCGCTGGATATCCTTGTCGTCCAGGTGTGCGTTGATATACTCCATATAGTGTCTTGCCGGTGCGGTTCCCAGGAACCACTCTGTCGCCGTCAGATTTCCCTGAGCAGCCGCAAGTAGCAGGGGTGGACGTTCGCCTTGTGCGGAGGGGGCTGGTGATTGTCCAGCGGTAGCCCAGTCCTTCCGCTTCTTGCCACGGATTGATAAGCCTGGGTAGTACAGGTGCTCCTCTTGAGGTTTGGCACCGTGCTTTTCACTTAGCCAAGGAATAGGAAGACCCGCTGCACCGCTCTGAATCATTTTGACAAGGCATTCAATGTGTCCCAAGGCCATAGCCAGCTGGAAAGGCCTGCGGGAAATTGAGAATGGCACTTCGCCATTTGGATGATTCTTTGAACATTGTTGCTGAAGTCTCAGAATGGACTCCACCAGAGTAGTGTCATTCTTGAAAACAGCATATTCAAGGAGTGTGTTAACCTTCAGGTTATAAGAATTCCACCCAGCGTTCTGGAATTCACCAAATTCGAGCTCCGATGCAGGTCCCTCGAGAAAGGCAGAAGCATTGCAAGACGCACATAGTGCAGCAAGAGGCGTCACGTCACTTTCAACCATAGTTCTGATCTCCCCAATATTTTCATGGGTGAATTGGTCATCAACAATGTGGCTGGTGATGTTAAGATCGTCTCCGTCGTCCCCATCATTTGAATCAGCATCTGAGTCAAGCTCGAATCTCGTCTGGCCGCGAGGCTCTTTACGTTTGTATTGAGCATGAAGAATCTCAATGATGGCTTCTGCAACGCTAAAATGTCCCTGCGTGATAGCTATGGAAAGGCAAGATATTCCGGAATTCGCCGTCACTGCGATTTCAAGCGGTAGCTCGTTTTGCAAAGGGCCCCATTTAGCCAGAGTCAACGCCTTAATGGTCTGGGTATCTCCTCTCCATGCCGCATCAAATCTGCACGATGTTAGTGGCTAGGAATCATTTCGAGGATGTTGTCATTCTTACAGTTGGCGATATCCCTCGCGTACCACGCCTGTCAGAACAGGCATTTTGAAGTTGAACGTAGTTTTGAAGTAATTAACTCTTTCCTCCTTAGGTTGCTGTTGATGATTGACCTGCTGGATTAGTGGATGAGAAGGTGGATGAAGCTGTTGCCAGGTCTTTGCATTTCGTGCGAGCAGTTCTGTCTCAAGGAGCTCGTATTCTTGGATCAACCTTTTGATGACTTCGGTCTTTTCCTTTTGACCGGGCTCCTCGGGCTCTGGCTCTTTAATTTTTGGCTGGCGCGCCTTGTTCTCATCGTGCGCGCGTTTCAACTGGACCTTGGTGATGTATCTGGTGTAAGAATCCGGAGGTGTGCCTGCTATGTATTCCTCGTCAGACTTCACAAAAAGAATAGGACTCCTCCTAGGAGGATGACAAGCACAACTCGCGCCTCCACTATGTTCTACCAGCCCATCCAGATGCGATCTCATATTTTTAAGGTTCCCCCGCACTTGATCCAAGACCGTCTGGCCATTGGTGTTGTATGAATCTTTGGCAGAGGAATCATGATCAGCGCCACGACGAAGCAATTCGATGGCAATCAAAGGCAACCCATTTTCCGCTGCATAGTAGATCGGCTGTAAAACACCGTCTTGGAGCTGTTTGGTGGTATTTTCGAGCATAAATCCCGACATTTGAGATTTTAGTGTGCTCATCCAGTCAATGAACTCAATCTTGGAATTTGCGCCCATATCAAGCAACTTGTTTGCCGCTGGGGCATTTTTAGCTGCGATGGAACTCATCAAAGCCGAGTAGAAAGCAGTGTTCCACCCTCTATTTTTCATGGCCAAATGATTGATTGATCGCTGCATGGCGGGACCATCATGCTCCATGTATAAGTCAAAAAGCTCAATATAATCCGACTGTGCAATATAGTGCAGAGGTGTACAATGAGAAAGATCTGCTTGTGCAGGAGATGCTCCAAGTTGGAGAAGTGCCTGCGACATCTCTCTGGCCTTTTGCAGAGGAAGAGACAGTACCAGGACCAAGTTGAGAACTGCAGCTTCTGGCGATCTGTTATACTCATTGACTATCTTCACTGGCATTAGGACATCAGCTCCGAAAGATGACACGAGTTCTTTGACGACTTCGGTGTGACCGCTCAAAATTGCCAGGTGGAGAGGTGTTGCAAGGCTGTCCCATGCAGTGGTGTTGATATCGTAGATATCCGGGTCAAGCTCATTCTCCTCGATGGTATCAAAGGTTGGCCCAGTGGCCTCTTCCTCGCCATCTTCACCGATCTTAATGAAGGAAGCAGATGTACGGGAAGCATCGTCTGCATCTCGCATTTCAATGTCTTCTTCATCTCCAGTGGACTCAAGAGTGTTGGCTTTTCTTTTCTTGCATTTTGTACGAAGCTCTTGCTTCTTAGCCTCTTCCTCTTCATTTTCGTTGCTTTTTGTGAGAAGAATGCGAATTATCTCAACACTGCCGCGAAAAGCTGCCAGGTGCAGCGCCGTCTTTCCGTCAGCCATACGAGCAATCAATCGAGCTCCCTTGTCCACAAGACATTGGACTATCTCGGGATTAGAAGACATGCAGGCCAATTGAAGCGGTGTGCGTCCAGTATAGTCACGACGATCGGGATTTGAGTTTTCGTCCGACAAAAACCCCTTCACAGCTTCTAAATCGCTGGAAACAATTGCCTGGCAGAGTCGCTCAGTATGGCCAATATACGCCATTTCTGTTATGGATCAGTACTAATGCCTATTTTTGGATCAATTTGGAATTTATTCTCACCTGTCCAATCTGTTTCGGTGATAGGGTTGAAACTTCCAATCTCCTGACGACCAGGGTCATCTTTGATGAATGTTAAATCACCAGAGATGTAGATATTGCCCTCCTCTGCAGCTACCTCGAACTCCTCGTCGGTAGTAGGCACAGGACAGCAGCCACAGCAATCCCCAATAACATGCTCTGCGTCTCCGAAAAATGCAGGATGCCTGTGGAGGTTCACAGTACGGTCTTTAGGCAGGTTCCACTGGGCGTTCAACAGCAGGTCCTTTGTATAAAGAAGCTTTTCAATATTCTTCGCGTTGAATCTCCGACCGTATGGAATTGTCTGGCCACTGTGGTAAGTGACAAAGTAGAGGAAAGAGGGGGTGATATAATACTAACGAATGTGTGATAGCTCGACACTTGGTCTTCTTCCTGCCATTCAGGTACTTCATCCTCCCAGTCATCTTTGACGTTGCCCTTTAACTCTCTACCCTGGCGCCGTTGCAAATACAAGCTAAGGGGCGGTCGACCACGCTCGTGTCGCCTTTTTTCGAGGTACTGCTCCCTGTCGGTCGTCTTCGGGAGTTTTTCTAGGACTAAAAGACGTGCAAGTCCCTCAGTTCGCGCAAAGCTTCTTTCAAAGATGGTCTTTCAATGGATTAGCTCTGGTATTGATAGTTATTGACTAATCAAAATAGACTTACAGGGTCGACTTTCGACCGGTCAAGTTGTGGCCAGAACACCTCAAAGCCTCGGTGAGAATACTTAGACAATCGGTTCTCGTATGAGGGAGACCGCCGAGAGAGATCAATTCGGTTGATTTGAGTGATATAGGATGCAATAGCTCGTGGAGACGCGTAAACCTGTTTCCCATCGTAAGCTGCGCATGAGCAATCGACGTCAAAGCCAGTCAGGATCTCTGCAATCGACTTGTAGATGCGAAGCACGATCTGTACATGACGAGTAGGGTACTGTGAGGCAATTGTGACTGTGTTCTTCGTCCTAATTGTAGTTGTCTCATACAATATAGAGTTTCGGATACTAGTCTCGATGTGTTTGATCTTTTCAATGGCCTCCTCCTCAGACAATCCATAAAGGAAAAGATCAACATCTGAGGCTGGTGCGAACTTGTCATGGTAATATTCACGGCGACCACGCTTCGAGCCTCGGTACTGCTCTGGTACTGGAAGTGCCGATGTAACCACCGCACTTCCAGCGGCAACGATATTGCTCCAGTCCAGTTCGCTCAGTGAATTCTCTGTGAAGATTGCGAAATTCTCTTCAAACTCAGATAAAGTTGGAACGACAGCAGACGAGCCATCTGGCCTGCGGATGTTTCCCGCCAATGGAAGGATATATTGTTCCTTTGTCTCAGGTGTTTCCGAGGCAAGATCTCTTGCCCGGACTTGGATATTGGTGGTGCCAGTAGTGTTATAGATGGGGACAATATTGGCATGGTTGTCTTTTACCATAGAATGCGAGGGTTCTTGGGCAAAGATCTTTCGGGCAATAGCATCATATGCGTTGTAAGGGTTCAACAGCTCCTCAATTGGAGTATCGGGGTGTGATCGCACATGAGACAAAAAATCAGCATGTTTTGCCGGTATTGTAGGCAATGAAGTCATTGTGTCAAATAATAAAACAAGTGGTAAATCAATGCTGGTTGCTTGGTGAAATATAATTAGAATTGATGCAGTATTTCATTCGAGGAGATACAAGGTTTAAATATGACCCAGCTCGTGTTGACTTCTCGTTCCCGAAGCGACCTTAGTTTCAGTCTATTTTCTTAGTATCACAAGGGTCCAGGCAGCCTTAGGCAACAGGAGCCGCCCACGCAACACTCGCCAATCACCAAGCTCCGCTGTGCCGGCGGCCAAGACAGACGGAAGGCTCGAGTTCCACTTTAGCCTCAACGAAAAGGCAAACGTGAGTTTAGCTCAGTCCCCCCTTTACGGGGCCCAAATCCTGGAGTATTTTGATCTCCACTAACAGGTCCAGCTGATATGGACACGTTTGTGGCGGAAAATATCCATCGAATCAGAGGTCGTTCCTGGACCAGGTATTCATGCTTTTATAGGCAACCTTGTCTATTCTATGGATTTTGTGTTCCCTGCCTGGAAAACGCATCCGTATCTTGTTGCAACGATCTTAAATTGAAGTCATTCGCGCTTGAATCATGTGTCGTGCTAATCAATGGAAAAGAAATTGATCGCGTTTCCATGATGCAACGTACAATTTTGGACTCTTAGGTCGAAACTCAGCTGACAACGAAAATCCTGTATATCCCCTAATAACCCGATGGGCGAAAATAAAACGCATGTTGAGAGATGATTTTCCTCGTTCAATGAAAACAAAAATTGGAGGTTTACTAGCCATTTGGTCAATATACTTTGCGCAGTGTGTTCATCTTCATTAGATTGGTCACTCACCCATTTCCTAAACTTTTTAATCAAAGCCTTCCGCAGCAGAACCCCGCAAGGTTTCGAGAATGGACTCAGTTCCATTTTATCAAGCATTTCATTCCTTTTCCTCTTCAGTGCGCTTATCCTGCTAGTCTCACGGGAGCTCCACCTTGGATTTCTCGATCTTTTCACCGTCTGAATCGGTTTTGATTTTGGGTGCTACCTCAGCCTTTACCTCCGTCCGATTCGCCGGCTCGTGTCTGATCGGAGCCATCGTCCGGGAGAGATTCGAGGTTTGAGTATGAATTTCTTTTCTTGGGATAAAGCTTCTGTAACCTTCGAAGGTGACGCGTTCGAAACTGGTTTTGGTGCTCGTTGGGGGCATAAGTTTCGGGAGGACAACTGGATGATATGGTGAAGAAAGGTGTAAAGTGTGGAAGGTCAGCGATCAGGATGAGAAGTCTTGAAATCGAAAGGTGGATAGTAGTAAGTTCCGGGGGGTATGGAGGATGGAGGATGGATTAAGATGAAAGGGAAAGGGAAAGAAAAAAAGGTCTTATATTTTAAGTGTGCTAGGTGACAGATAGTGAGCGACTTGGTATTGTTTTTCCCACCTGCGAAAACGAAATTGAGGGTTATGTGTATGAGTTAGAGGTTTCTCCCCCATCCATATCAAAAACCAACTATATTGTTTTTAGTGCAGCGGCATCATGCGTAAGTATACTTCGCTGCAGGGCTTGTGCAGTTAGAATAATGTTTACCAATTCATACCTTCGCCTCCACTGAGGTTATTGCCTATATCTACCTTGACCTTTATTATTGATTTCGCTTTCCATAAGTCCTAGAAAGTATGTTATATTAATTGTTTCGTTTCAATGTTCTTTGTCACAGATGACTGGCTAACTGCTGATACCATTTATAGTCTCACAGTTGGACCATACTCCTGTATCTAAGCAAAGGCAACAATAAAATTGACTTCCGAAATTTTGTGCACAGTACAATAATCAAATTAAGTAACATGCTCTTTCTCCTCTTCCTTGGGAATTCTCACCCAAACGACAGTCACGAACGCGGCAAGAAGCTGTGCAGCCATTGCAAACCACCAAATCGCCCTAAGTCCTTCAAGAGTAATTTCTCCATCCGCCCCGGTGCTAACCCGTGTGCCGATCGCGTCAGCGACACTAGTCATTATAGCTGATGACAGGTTCTGGTTCGTCACCAACAGACTTCCCGCACTCCCCTGGTACGACCTTGCGACATTGCTCGTAATAAATATCGAAGCTGCAGCAAAGGCAAGGTCAGGACCAAAGGTGACCAGGGTTATACCGGGGAACGAAAGGGCCCAATAGGTAGTGTTCGCGGTTTGAGGGATGAAGAAAGCCGGTCCGAGTGTAAATGCGAACATGGAGACAGCGTAAATGTAGTGTCCTGGGACAATGTGGAGGGTACGGCTCACGATCCATGTAGCGAGAACTCCGACCACGGCATTGGGGATATGATAAAGGGCCACAGCGATCGGAGTCGCGTGTTGGATGCGCAGCCAGAACTGGATTGCGTAGAACTGCCAGCAGCCGAAGAATGATCCGAATCCAAGGAAATAAGCAATCATTAATGGTGTGAATCCTGGTGTTGACCATAGTCTGTTGGGGATAAGTGGGCGTATCGCTGCACGCTCCGCAAAGAAAAGACCAACTAGGAGGAGAATTCCAACAATAATGAGAACGTATGTATAGGGAGACCATGAAGCGACGGGGCCCTGGGTAAGACCGAAAAGCAAGCATACACATCCTCCAGCAGCGCAGCCGCCTCCAATGTAGTCGAACTGTCGCAAGGACGGTGCGTCGGTACCGGCGACATCGGCAACTGGTCGCAAGGGAGGAATTGAGAAATATGCAGCGACAGCGCAGATAGCACAGATTATGGCGTTAGATCCAAAGATCCAGGGGAGATGCTGATAGAGGCCACCTCCTTGAAGTGCTCCGAGTGAAAAGCCGAATGGCGCTGTTGCGGCCATAGCAGAGAACACGCGGTTCTTACGAATACCTGGTTTGTATACTCTGCCCAGAATACTCATGCTACCTGAAACCAGTACACCGATAGCAAGGCCTTGCATCGCTCGCATAACAAAGAAAAGAATATACCGAGAAGGGTGCAGAGAGAAAGCTCCGACAATATTCCATGCAGACAGCCAAGCGAATGCTCCAACCATGAGGCTCTTTGGGGCCGCTAAATCGGAAAGAGATCCGGAAATCACAACAGACAAGCCGTTGGCAGTGTTGAACGCACCGACAATCCAAGGCAACTGGGTGCTTGTGATGCCGAGCGCAACCTTTAGCTGTTCCTGCGGGGCGAGCATATCCCCAAGAAGAAAGGAAAACAGCATAAGCCCAGCCGAGCAAACGCCCACCAAAACTAGCTCGGCTGAGAAGCTGGAGATCTCCGGCGGCACGCCTTGTCGCTTTCGGGTCGGCGATGCCGCTTCGTCCGCTTCGTCGGCTACATCCCGGCATCGGGATACCGAGGGCTTTCGGTTAGTTAACCGATGACCGAGAGTATCGAGCTCGTGCACATTTTCGTTACTCGGGTCAAGACTCGTAATTGTGTGCGAAACATTTTTTAACGACTGCTTATCAAGAATGATTTTGTTGCCCAATAATGGGTCTGGGGTTTGAGCACCAGTCACTGGCGTCTCATATGTCCTTGAGTAAGAGAAGGACGAACGACCTGATACCGGAGCTGAGTCTCCAAGATCATTAGGACGTCCATGGTCACTTGTCGCATTTGAATCTGAATCTGTTTGGGTCCGTGGAGAGGTTTGTGAGGGACCCTCGGCGTTGGAAGATGGCTGCCCGATAGCCATGTTGAGCGCACAATATAATATGCGAAACTTCAGAAACGGCTCGCGACTTCAAATGTGTCGAGTAAACATGGGTAGTGTAAAGACTAAATTATTCCTCAGGGAAGGATTTTATCAGCACACAGTCGTGGCGAAAATAGACCCAATATTTCTCTGATGATCTAAGGCGAGTGGAGAGTGGGTGGAGTGGGTGTGGAGCGAAGATCCCGATTATTAGCCAAAATTCAGCCGATGGACCGATAAGGACCATGGAGGTCGGATTATTGCAGGCAGTACTTGTTATGAGAGATTCGCAATCCTTATGGTCCCTTGCGGAAGCTTGCGTGTATTCTGGGCTTGTGGATCCGATCATTTGGGTCAAGCATAAGAAACAGGATACTGACTTATGGTTAACGTGGATGATTCCTGCCAGACAGAGCAGTTTGAACTAGGGATGCATATTTTGCCTCACGTTAATCCTCGTGCTAGTACCGCTAGCGCTGTCGATTACGATGATCAAAGGGACAAGGAAGATTTTCCAAGTGTTTGAAGCTGATTAAGTTTCGCAAGGCACCATGAGTCAGGGAACTGAACCATATTTGTCAATCATGATGCCATAAACAGTTGGCCTATATCGACAATTTAGAGCGCAAGAGGCTAAAAATTATTACTTCTGATCGACACGGGCCGGTCCAATAGCTTGGTTTACGGCAACGTACTGTTTTTCTGCATTGACGATGCAGATGCAAGTACCCAATCAGGCCAGAGGTGTGGGACTGGCTTCCTCGTGGCAAGATCTATCTTCTGCTGGGGAAAAGGGGAAGGTGGGCCGGATCTATCAAGGGATGTGATTTTCAGGTGATTCTGCTTGATGTGGGATGGACTACGCGTCATACCAGGGTCCACGGGTGTTTGCGCTGAATCACATTCAAAATTATGGTGGAGCTCTCAATGCAATCCTCAAGGAGACCACGATCCTAACAATTCCTAGTGAATATCATAATATCCTTGGAACCTTCTTAGGGGCCGAGAATTTGGCGTACGCAGCCTCTCCACATGAAGACAGTCAACTTGCATACCTGTCAACACAGGGCCTGGCTCCAGCATGTTGTGTATGTACATTTGGCAGGATATTTCGTGTCCATGTGTCCAAGAAGCTCCTCCATACTACTTCAAGTTCTTCCCGCCTAGATTTTGGTATTTTGAAGCTATTTTTCGTATCATTTCTGCGTTTGCCCACATAAGACAACATCCTCCCCAAATGGATACCACTTGACATTTCTCAGCCTAGCCGCGGAAATGGCATTTCCCTCTCCATCAAAACGCCTAGGGGGAGAGACAACCACGCCCCCTTCCCCAAGCCATGTTGGTGCAATAGTAACAATAACACTATCGATCAATGACATGTACTGCGGGACCAGCAGTGAGTTAATGACATGTCCACCTCCCTCGACCATGACACTCTGAAGACCATGCGATCGCAAAGTCACAAGGAGGTCGCTCCAGTCAATACGGTGGTGATCGCCAGTCGAGCTCTTCATCTGTAATGAGATATATCGTCCTCCATATCTTTCAAGTAGTTTTTGCTTCTCGGCTGGGGGCTCCGGGAGCGCAGTCACAATCCAAGGTGCTTTGCCACGACCTTGTCTGCACAGTTGGAATAGTTTGCTGTCATCTGAGAAATCCCATCTAGCATTTGAATCTATCACTACTGGGCGTGGCTGGCCACTTAGACCCTCTCCTCCATAACCTCCAACTCCTGCAATCCTGCAGTTGAGGCCCGGGTCGTCTGCTATTGCCGTCCCGACTCCAATTAGAATTCCGTCATGGCGGGACCGCAAGTAGTGGGTCATGGCTTTTGATTGGGGCCCTGAAAGTGTTGTTCGTGCGCCGGGCGATAAGGCGAGGGCGGAGTCTAATGATGTCGCGAACGTCAATGTAGCAAAAGGCATATCAGATCGCGGGGTTGTGCCATCTTGTCGAGGCAAGTGAGGCTCCAGAAAGACTCTGTCTGTTTCAGGAAATTCCAAAGAATCTCGCTTGTCTAAAGGCATGTTGTAATAGCGTATCTAGATAATTAGACTCGATTGAGGATGTTTTGATTTTTATGACAGAATGAAACGGACGAAGATGCGTGATGATCCTGTGCCTAAACTTGAAGGTGGGAGGAAATGCCGCTCTTGATGCCTCAGGTGTCAATGTTTGTAGATCAGTGCCACTTGGATTGGATGAGAGGGCTTTCTTTTTTTTTTTGCAAACGTTACAACTTTAATTCATGCATAGCTATATGAGCTAATATCTATTGAATAGCGATAAATCCGCCTGAAACACCAATGTTGGCGACATACATCGCCCGACCGTTGTCAATATTTTGGCCATTTTCAAAAGCATGGAATACGATTTTAGAGCCATCACCATTGAAATCAGCACCACCAGGCCCTGCCAGATCCCCAACATTACTCGGATCTCCAGAGACAAGCAAAGGTGCATTAGGCGCTTGGGCTTTGGTATAAGGCCCAGTCAGCGCCGAAGCGGTCGCGTAGCTAACATCGTAGGCCGTCGTACTGTACGAGTTCGAGGAAAACGAGAGATAGTATGTACCGTCCACATTGACAAGGCTCGGAGCTTCAATGAGTTGTCCATCGGCGTCATCACGATCGAGAAGCTGGGTGGCATCTCCATTAGGGGTGACAGCATCCGAATTCAGAGCTTGAAGCATGATGGGCGTGGGATGTGTTGTTCCATCTCCATCGAGACTGTTGCCATCAATCTTGTATACAACGTAATAATTACCTCCCTCACTGTAACCATCTGCATCAATCGCTCCGCCCTGGTCTAGGGGACAAGCTAGTGCAGTGTCCTCTGGTGTGTAGGGTCCTGTAATACTAGTAGACGTGGCGGCTCCAACACAGTGTTTGCTGGAGTCCTCGCTAGAGGCAGCGGAGAAGTACATGACAAAAGTGCCATCGGCCTGGATTATGTTAGTACTATTCTGGAAAGTAAAAGAAGCTTTCTTCGCGCACTCTTTGATTCACGTCGGGTGCCCAAATAGCAGGAGAAGAGGCAATCCAGGATGGAAATGGGCCAGGTAGAGCATCGGTACCAGACATGAGATCCCATGTCGAGAAATCCGAGGATGATGCAACCTGGACATTCACGCCATTTCCGTTTGTAGCGAAGGCAAAATACCCATCGCTTGTTTGGATAACACAAGGGTCTGCAAAGTCTGCATCAATCACCCGCGTAGAGTCAGCGGTCGCATATCCAATGACTGTCAAAGCAACAGTCATTAAATAAGCAGAGCTCATTTTGATTTGATTATATGGCAGTGATTCTGGTGACTGATCGGGTGAAAGTTGAAACAATGAATCAAGGGGCTCCCAGCATTCTTATAACCATTTCCGATATAGATACAAGTTTATATTCGCGAAAGGTTTCCTGTAGAAACCATTTCCGTTTCCCCTCATCCATGTCGCATTCGACTCACAAAGACTCATTTTTGGTCGTTCGTTAATATCTCCGGGCTTAATACGGTTTCTCCACGTCTATTGTCGCCCCCGCTAAACCCAAGGTAGGAAAGGCCCGCGGACCACTAAAACCTACCTATAGGAGGCCCTAGTTCATGGATATTATACCCTCCATAAACCCTCCTTGCATCCTATACCTTTTATAGAAAGTCCGCTTACTTGCCTCCTCATATACATGCCAAGTTCCCTGACTTTATGACTTCAGGGGGACCCGTGCCATATAGGCATAGCCTCACTGTTTGACATTCTACTCCTGGGGTCGTTGGCTTGTAAGGTTTTCCTTTATGGATTTAAAACAGCAGGAGCCTGGAAGAGCGATATATAGGTACCATTCCTACTCCTGAACCAAGTCCAATTTGAACTTGAAGGTCATTGAAGTTGTAGTCTTCGGGTTTTGTAACTAAAATCAACTTGAACTTGAACATTCACTCCGAGTCCCACTGCAGCCTGAGTGAGTGACTCGGATCGGACAACATCCATATATTGTTGCAGGTTTCGAAAGATTGTGAATGTCCAGATATTTTTTATCAAAGCAGATCAACTTGGAGTGATGATGTTACATCTAATAAACTAATCTGACAGAAGATCATGGCTTTTGCAGAATACGTGGAGCCTTGAATCTCATTCGCGTCATATGCTTATTCGTGCTTGCGGGGTATACCCGACCAGCACCCACATCATCATCATCTGGGCATGGATCACCATCATGATATTCCAAGGTTTCTGGAAATTCAGCGTGGATCGAATATTTCTTGCGCATGTTCTTCTGATAGTATTTGTTTTCTCATATCAATAAAGTTTAATGGCAATCTTCCGTCTTCACGAACTGTGTAGCGGGACACATTTAACATATAGTACTCAGTGATCCCACATTCCGTCCAAGTCTTCATCATCATATCCTAATATCCATAGAACTTCAAGTTCCCATTTCTATGAAATCACTGTCCTAAGAAACAATAGCATTTATCAATATTCACCTCTCTTATCCCCGACTTGATAGGGATGACATGCATTTCTCCGTCCGAAGAGGCGCTAAAAATGCAAAAAGACTATCTAGGTAACTTAAGTATTTCCGGTTCAGAAGCTTAAGCTATAAAGGATACCTAATTTTGTACGGAGAATATAAAGTTCAAATGCTCCGGCATTACTGTATCGCGCGACCTGCATAAAAGTCCATGATCCATCACCCTCTATCACCGACCGTGCGCTTGTACACGAAATCATGCCAGCTCTGGGACCCGATTGATTGGAACAATTTTTGACGTGATTTCACAAAGCTATAGTTATCCGGTCGACTCGAAAAGGGGGGGTTGAGATTTTTCATTTGACGAAGATACATGATGCTGACTCGATAATCACAGTGCAGTAGTATACCATTCGACTTAAGGTATATTTTACATTCAAGTTCTCCTCTGACACTTCACACTTTCGAACGTGTGGATCCTCAGAGGGGCTGAATTGACTTTTCATGACGGGCAGCACAGTCCCTCACTAAGATTGGAGGGGCATGCCCAGCAAAGCCATGATGGGCACGCTCTTCAAAAAGAAAACCTTGTAAACAATCGAAGAAGCCCCAAGAAAGCAACCTTGGAACCCAACCAAACTAACAAGTTCCCACTTACAAGCAAATGAGTAATATTTCAGCAAAGCCGATCATTGCCCCATCCAATCTTGCAGTGAACAGCAGACTTTTTTAAGAATCACATTGCAACACTGCAGGTGGGAACCCAAACCAGCTAGGTACGAACCTGCAGCCGTCCACACAAAACACAGCACCACATTGTACTGTAAGATCCACCAAGAGAATGTCAGACGGGAAAGGGTTGGGATGGATCAATTTTCTCGATCTGCAGCCTTCGCATATGTCAACGACGGCGTGATCCGCCTTCTAAACCCTGAAAGGCGGGAGATTACCCAGCTGAATGACAAAATCATCTAGATGGAAACCTCCGACAAGGGCTGGAGGTAAGTATGTTTTTGTGTAATGTATGTACTGAACGTATGGTATCGCAGAGCAAAATGGTGAGATATAGAGTTCTGCATTGGAACTGGGATAGGTCGCGGGATGATGCAATCCACATGCAAGGCGGGATAGCTACTGCAAGCCTTCCGGGGCAGGATAATGAAGAAATTTTCGATGCCTTCGATTGAGAGAAATGCGGTGTCACTGGGCCTCGGGCTGCTGGTGCCCGAAAGAAGGCGCCCTTACATCATCTGAGCCTTCGAGGGGGTTCTTTGCGATTGTGATGTGCGTCTTAGCACAATCACAGCAGGACAGCGCTAAAGTGCAAACTACGTCGATATTTCATTGTAAACTGGGCGTACTCTGCTTGGCTATTCCGGGAAGACAGGTTTGTGGGTGAGTTGCCAAGAGATCTTTGTAGCGAAATCTTCCGGTTCGATGCTAGTAGTAAGTGGATAAATTGGTTATATGTGCAGGTGGTTATCATTTGATATAATTCCAATAATATCCGATCAATTGATCAATTGATATTGATAAAGATATACACTTTGTAGAGTTGAACTATGTTTGTACAGCCTTGCCAACTAGTAGGATTCTAGAACATTTCAATCCTAATGCATATACATATATGCGGGGGATGGTATACCTATAAAGGTATAACTCATTAGTTTATGATGTGTACATGCATTTTTAATGTAGGGTCTTTTGATGCCCAGGCGATTTCATGATCCGCGCTGTTCAAATGTTCAATGGAGATACATCTGAAGCTCTTCTATTTATCCGGGTATATTGGATGACCTCGCTTATCAAGTGTGGAGTTCCCCACACTCGTAGGCATAACCCATATTTTAGTCAAAATTGGGAATACGAGAGTGTTGCCTATTTTATTTTCTTGTTCTGTGAATGAACAGAGTAGAATCTTGTAGATCTGATACCGGGAATTGAATTCGAATCCAACGAGATAAGAACTTTCACTCTTCAGCCTAAGTGATGCCTGATCTCGAATTGACTACTCCAGACCTACATGAACTAGACCTATGTCGACAATCCCCACTTAGTCTGGTTTATCATAGCTAGGCCAACTTGGGACTGGGGGCTCAACTTGGGTGAAGGTAAGCCGCGAATTGTGCACATTGACAACGAATCTGCTTGATTGGGAGCTAGTATCGCCAGCACGAACAGACGCAATCTATAGGTAATATATGAAAATAATGTGGCACTTGTTGGTAATGGGGTGTGGGAAGGACTGGGGCCAATCACTGGGCGGTATCGAGTAGTAGCGTACCATAGCTCGCCAGATATTAGCACGGAGGCGGGAAGGCAGGTTTCTCCCCTGTGATAAAGAGATTAGAAGGGAAAGGGGGGGGGGAAAGGTATATAGATAGGTATTATAGATCTACAGGGATTGAATAGATAAACCTATAGAATCGAATCAATAATGTAATTCAATTCAGCCTTTGCATATACAAGGAAGAATATAAGGAGAGAGAGTTTCGAGGCTTAACAGGAAAAACCCCGTGTTAATGAACTTTACCAATCACGCCCTCGTTTTGGCTCTGATCTCCTTAATTGGGTGGAGGCAGTGGATTTTCCTGTTGGTTTTTTTCTCCTTTTCTGTTCGTCTTTTTTATTTTCTCCTTCTTGTTTGGCCATGAACTAACTCCATTGCCATCCGTACTTCGTACTCTGTAGCCCAACTGTAACATAAGAGATTTACTTCTAGGAAAGAGAGAAACCGCCCTTGACCCCAAAATACAAAACAATTATGATGTAAATTGTTCAATTTAAATATGAAAATTCTTTTTCGATTTCTAGAATCTTTAATAGCCTGGAACCATCCAACCTTGACTAGGTATTATTATTTTTTATCATTTTTCTCACAAAATAGGGGGCTCCACCGTTGCCGGGAACAAAAAGAAGCTCAAGCGGTTCTCCATTTCCTTCTTCCCTGAGACGAACCCTTCCCTGGAACAATTTCAACCCCTAAATCCCATTCTCCTCCCTTTCCCAATTCCCCCTGGTTGGCGCAACCCTGACGAGATCGTCCCTTTTTTTCTTTTCTTGCACAAACTTCTGCGATCGCGGGCTTCGATCTTCGATCCTTCCTCCACCACCCCTTTCTTCCGGGTTTTTACACCACCTTAGATTTCTCCCAAAATGGCCTCCAAGGTGAGAAACCCTGACGTCGCTACCCATTCACCACCCACCATAACAAACAATACCCCCCCATATCTCCCTGCTATGCTCCACGGAGAGAGACTCCCCCTCCTCCATATCTCTTGCGCTTCCGATCTTACAATATAACCCACCCGCGACTCCATTCCGAGCCCACTTGAGAATGTCCCTCCAATGGCTGACCTTGCGATCGTTCCCCTCCCCACAATAGTTCCTACGAGAGTATAAGCTAGTCGTCGTCGGCGGCGGCGGCGTCGGAAAGTCTTGCTTGACTATTCAGTTAATCCAGAGTCACTTCGTGGACGAGTATGACCCGACAATTGAAGGTGAGCTCCTCGTCACCGAACACAACCCCTAACGCCTTCTCGAGCCCTTCCACGTACTCATTATTTCGTCCTACCTACCAGATTCCTACCGCAAGCAGTGTGTGATCGATGATGAAGTCGCTTTACTGGATGTCCTCGATACAGCCGGCCAGGAGGAATACTCCGCAATGCGGGAACAGTACATGCGCACCGGCGAGGGTTTCCTGTTGATCTACTCCATAACATCGCGCCAATCCTTCGAAGAAATCATGACCTTCCAACAGCAGATTCTCCGTGTCAAGGACAAGGATTACTTCCCCATCATCGTCGTGGCCAACAAGTGCGATTTAGAGAAGGAGCGTGCGGTCTCCGAGCAAGGTATTTTACTTCCTCCCAGCCTCCTCCATATCTCCAGTGATATCAAGCTGCTCTCCAAACTGCGCAAGCTCTACATACCCTGGAATCGAAATTAAACAAACTAACCCATTCCTTTTTGTTCTACAGAGGGACAAGCTCTAGCCCGACAGTTCGGCTGCAAGTTCATCGAAACCTCCGCCAAGTCCCGCATCAACGTCGAAAACGCTTTCTACGACCTCGTCCGTGAAATCCGCCGTTACAACAAGGAGATGTCCTCCTACCCCTCCGGCTCTGGTGCGTTCGGTGCCCGCCAACCCGAAGGCAAGATGGATGTCAGTGAGCCAGGTGAGAGCGCCGGCTGCTGCTCCAAGTGTGTCATTATGTAAACGGTCTCGAACCTCGTTTACTATCGCTATGACACGCGAAGTCTTATATTTCTTTTTCCGTTTCTTGCCGATTCCCAAACAATACGAATATCAAAAAAACACATCCCCCATCCGGAAAGAAGGACGCATACGTCGGGATTACACCGACACATTTCTACAAGTCATATGAATGGATAATAGGAAGATGGAATGGAGGAAAGAGAAGGATGCTTATAATGATTCCCATTGCAGTGGAGAATGGGGAGAGAAATATTTCAGGAAACGAAAAACCCAAGAGGAATAAGTGGTTTCTCGATTCGTGCTGTGAATTCTCCTGTTATTCAACAATGGGCTTTCGCAATTTGCACGGTGACTGCCGACCCTTGACGCCAACCTCGTCTCATGAATTTTGATTCCCCTTTTGTTCCGCCGATTGTTTTGTTTTTTATTATCATTTGTCTTTTATGTCTCTTTTGTTTGCGAAAGATTTTTTCTTTTTTTTATGTCATGGTCACCATCTATTTATCTATCATCTTGTTCGTCTCGGGATGCGAGACGACCCGGCTGTCAATATAACTCCTTCCACGATGCAGGAGTCCTTACTATCAAATCATCCATGGCGTGCTTTATATTACATGTAGTAGATATTGGCCAAGAAATTGAGGGCTGGGTATTTGCAATTGATTCAATTTTAACATTGTGCATCTCATATGGCTTTATAGATGCCTATAGCCTTGGAACGACCTCAATAGCCCTGGAGGTATACCGTATCATCTACAGTGCTCATTAATTTATTAGTAGTCACCAAAACAGAAAGGCAAGACTATATTTCATATGCTTGGCTACATTTCATATGCTTGGCTACATTTCATATGCTTGGCTATATTTCATATGCTTGACTATATTTCATATGCTTATAATCTAAAGCCAAGTCGAAACAACATCTAACACTCAATCCAATCAGACTGACAGAAAAAAAAAGATATCAAACCATCATCGCTATTATACAAACCTCCCCAAAAGCTCTAAAGCTGAAACTAGACTTCTACTGACTATAAACCTGATCTCCCTCCGGAACATCCAACTCATCTTCCTTCGAAACCCTCGTTCCCTGCACACCAGCCTCAACCTCTTTAACCAAACTCTCGATCAAATCCTTATCAGTCCCAACAAGCGTAACAGTATTCCGCTTCTTCCCCCACCTTGGATAACTACCAACCTTGACACCCTTCGACTCCACCTTCTGTGCAAGTGTAGTAAGATACGGCGCAACCGCACTCTCCGGCAAAGGCGTACTAATCATCAATCTAAAAGTCCCCTTACCCTCCGGATCAGAAAGACGAGGAACCAAAGAGGGCTTAAGGTTCTCGAGCAATTTCTCAAAGAGTCGCGGGACACCGGGCAGAATGTGTACGTTTCCATTTACGACGGCGACGGGAACCCACATGTCATCTGCGACGAAGACGGCTTGCTGATCTGCGGGGATTTTGGGATCGAAGGGGAGCTCGACCATGCGGAGTTTGGCAGTTAGGCCGGGGGAGGGGGTTTCCCAGTCAAAATTCGGTTGGAGGGGGTGTGGGCGGGAGAGTGTCTTCATGCGTTCGAAGGCTGGTTTGTGGAGTTCGAGTTTTAGGTTGAATGCCTTTGCGATTGAAGAGTAGGTTATGTCGTCGTGGCTGGGATGTGTTAGTGGCCTTTTTTCTTTCCTTTCATTTATGATTTTGAGGGTTGATTGAGTGGAATGGGTATACGGACGTTGGACCAATTCCTCCGCTTGTAACGACGAAGTCGTAGCGTGAGCTCATACGGCGCACAGCCTCCATGATATCCTCTTCATCATCGGGGACGACCTCGACGCGCTTCAACTGTATGCCGAGGGAGAAGCAGAATTTAGCGAGGAAAGGCGAGTTGGTATCGATGGTCTGAGGGAGGCATTGTCAGTAAGGTTGTTTTGGAATTGTGTATGGTGCGAGTTGATCTGACCTTTCCGCCCAGGACCTCGTCGCCGATGATCAGGCATGCGGCCGTGTGTATGAGATTGGTGTGTGCGGCTGATGTCATAGCGGCCAAGTTCGATATCGGGTTCAGAGACGGAGAGGATAAAATTGGACTCGCTGGTCTTGCTAATGGGCGTGATATATGGCGAGTGAGTTGGGATAGACGGCTCAGCATGAATGCAGATAGTATTTACACGGCGATAGAGAAAGAGAAGGAAAGTGGAGAGGAGAGGAGAGTCTGGAATTGTGAAGGGGGAAGGACGGAAGTGGGGGAGGGGAATACTCCGCCCGCATTTTGATCACGACGAGCTGTTCCCGCGTTTGTCGTGCGTTGTCCACTCAACTTCAACAATTATTCGATCAAGTATTAATTTGGGCCAGACTAACTTATCGCGACAGCCTTTCTATACATTTGTTGGAATCTATATCTTTGTCTATCTTTATATCAGCATGGTGCGTTGCCAGTGTCGCATGTGCTTTCCACAAGACATGCGAGCTGCATGGGACTCAAGCTTTCAGATTCTCAGCCAAGCTAACTAACCCCGTCCAGTCCGAATCACGATTATACTCTTTCTCTCCGGAGACCAAGGAGCAGCTGCGCAAATTCCGTCTCGGCACATCGAGAGCCAAGAATGCTCAAGCTATCATCTGTACGCCCCGCCTTCAGCCTCAATCCACCAAGTCATAATACTTCCAGCCTTGAAAACGACATGCGTTCAATATGAACCACTGAAATTTCTGTTTCTTGGACCTCTCTAACTATTTCCTCAACCTACCAGATATCATTGATGTAAAGAGCCAAGAGATCCGTCCCCAGGACGGCGAGGTCTACTCCAAGATGGAAGATCTAGCTGACGATCTCCCCGAATCATCACCTCGATACATCCTCCTCAGCCATCCCCTGACACTTGTAAGTAAATCACTACTATTTCGGGTATTAGTACAAAATCAGTACGAACAGCACTAACATAGCGGTGTGATATAGAAAGACGGCCGTCTCTCAGTCCCTTACGTCCTCCTCTACTGGCTGCCCGAGAACTGCAATCCATCACAGCGTATGATGTACGCCGGTGCGGTGGAACTGATGCGAACAGCCGCCCAGGTGAACCGAGTGGTTGAGGTTGAGACAGACGAAGATATCACCTCTATCGCGGATAAGTTGACAAGCTCCGATTAAACGACAAATACGGCTGTGCTCCATGCAGGGCAGGATTCATTCATATACGGGTAGCGTGCTTGGGGAGATGTGTTCTAGAAACACATTCCGGGCTGGAATCTTGTATAAATTGGGCGTTTGGTTCCAGTAGTATACCACTACCATTGGATAATGATAATCCAAATACTCAACTGCTTGTGTGCTGCTTTGGAGCCCCACTGGACATATCAATCCACATTACATAGGTAGTCAGCGGGATCCTTTCAAGAGCCGAGATCGCTCGGCTTTCTTCCGTGAACTACTCGATCTATCACATTGTGAATGATTTGCAACGGTGCCGCCTGCAGCCCCAGTCACCTGGTGAACTAGCAGGGGTTCAGCTTGAAAATTCCGACTCTGCAATTGCTTAATTGGGACGTGTTGACTCGTGGATTTACTTGGACTAGTCATCTAATCCACTGTAATGAAGCGCCGAAGAACCCGAGAAGCTAGTTCATCCCTGTCATAGGTAGATCTCCACAAGTGTATACCGTATACCTGTTGACTCGTAAATTCAATATTTGGAATTGCAAATCGTACCGTCTACCGCCACTCTCAATGGCCAGCCACCTCGCATTCAGCCCCAGTATCCATTCTGTATGTACATACATCCATACCAGGTATGGTGCAATCCAAGCTGACTCCATTCCCGAGGTCATATATTACAGCTACAGTGGTTCAGTGGATCAGATCACGAACTATAGCTCAAGTCTACACGAGCATCAACCCCAGCTGACAAGATGAACCATCCAACAATATCACGATGATCGACCGCTATTTCCTTTGCTCGGCCCGGAAATCTTCTCCCTGTGGCTTACGATGTAGATCTCATCAGATACCCTGGTCCAATAGCCACCATGACTTCATTTGGCCCGGGCAAAGGGATTCCCAACTAGAGAAATTCATTGGTTCTCCGGGGAGCTCTGATCGCCGAACTGCGTCCCCGGGCCCTTCCCCTCTCTTTTCTGTTCTCACTCATCTTTCAAACTTAGATCTTGTCGGTGCAACTCCATGATCCACCGTAGCATTCTAGTCTATTCTAGTTAATCAAGAAAACAAGACAAAAACCAAACCCAGGTATTGGTGGCTTTGTCACAGCTGACGAGAAGAACATTCTTGGTACACTGTATTTGTATGGGGCACTTAGAACACGGAGTTCGCCGGACTGGGGACGGGGGAAGTAAATTCCTATGGTTTTAACTGGTTTCCAAGTTTCCATCCATTCTATCATGCTTATACTGCTCGTGGCCACCATTAATTAATAACAAGTGAACATCACACCATGTCGCTTGCTCTGGGGGATATCCGGGAGTTTAAATTAATTTGCACGCGTACTTCATGCTTCATGTGGACGCCATCTACGCGATGGCGTCTGTAGGTGGTAGCGAGAGATACCATCCAGAAACTTGAACAAGCTCAGGCTGTATCAGTGGCAAATGTATAGTGGGAGCGTGTGACCTTTTGGTTAGAGGATTCATCTATTAGATGGCAAGACGGACACACCTAGTGCGTAGACAAGATGCGCTAAGAACTAGAAGGGTAAGTGTAGAAGGGAAAGAATGCATGAGGAGGGGGCGGATGTCCAGCTGGACAGTGCCAGAGGAATGTTTCTGCAATGACGGAGTACTTCATGTACATGGAAAGTCAACTTTGTAGTATTGACGAATTCTGTATCTCAAATGAACTCCGAGTGCAGATATAAGAATAAGAATAGTGGAAAGTTTGAAGATAGTACAAACCGTAGAACTAAATAACCAAATAACCAGGAATTGAATTGAATCGAATTGAATTTCAACGGCCAGGGTTATTTTACTCACTATAGGTTCCACAGTTTGGCCTTCGTGTTCACACTATCCTCAGTACAAACTAGTTAGTGCCTTTTGCAGCCCGTATCAGCGACCGAGAGAAACTATTAAACCTAATGCACAAATCACGATCGAACACCACAAGTCCACAGCATATTGTACAGTAAAGATTAATTGTGCAACCACATCCATCCAACCACATCCATCAAACCACTCACAGCCAACAAAGCACAAAGACAAGAGACCAGACCCTCACCGTGAACTGACCACCTAGTAGTCCATACTCTACTCCACTAAGGTCCACTACAGAGCAATACAATACATACCCGTCCGTACAACGCTCGATCCCCCCCCCCGGAAGCGAACCCATTTCATGGGCGACGGACCAAAAAACCACATTTCCAACACCGCCAGGATCAAGCCAGCAAACTCACCAACCCTCTCGACCCGCTGCTCTGGGCAATGAGCGCCCAGCACCAAGGACGAAAGTGGATACCTCCCCCATCGCTAGGACCCCACCGCTGGATCCCGGCGATCGGTGTCGGGGCGAAGGAGTTGTCCCAGGGAAAACGCCGCCCGCATTTATCTCCCCGTTACCAGTGGCCAGTGGCTGACAGGGAAAATTTCCATCCACAGCTGCCCATGCTTCTTCCACCGCCTCCGGTGTCCGAGTCCCAGGTGCACTTGAATCTGACCCAGCAGTTCCCCAAAGGCACTGACCACCCTGACGAACTGTCCTGCCAAAGCTGCTCGGTGATTTCCAAGGTTCCTTATTCCCGTCCGGTTTCCGGGGCGTTGGGTCGGCGGTGTGGATGGTCGCAGACATAGACACGGTGGCCACTGCAGAACATCTGGAGATTATTGTAAATCATTTCATTGCATCTATCAGGAGCTCTGGAAATATTCGGAGAAGCTCGGCTGTACGTATTATACGCGGAGCCATGAGGGCCGTTTCTGAGTCTAGCTCGTGGCTCGGACGTGAATACTGGGCACTGAGAGGGCCTGTACAGCTTTACTATACGGGGGATGGGGATAGTGCGGGCCATGTAAAGTAATAGTAGCCCCAAGCTTGAATGAAAAGAAAACATTAAAAAAAATTTAAAACCACCACACATGTTCTTCTCTCTGCTGGTGTGACCTTCCATCACAGTGTCCACTTCCTTGCAGCAGGGGAAAAAAAAAAAAAAAACTCGACAAGGTAACCTCCCAGAACCCCGGTCGGAATCCATCAGGGCGCGTCACAGACGGGAAGACTAGAGTTCAGTCGCACGTAGTGGGACCGTTGGGTAACGAGGGATAAATTAAATATGGAAAGATCAGCCATTTGTTCAGGAGTCGCAGTTTTGTACTGTAATTAGCCTGGGTTTCTCTGTAGTACCTTGGCCAGTGTCCGTACAGTAGCCCCAAAGTCAGATTTGCCTTTTTTACCCAGATCGATTTCAACGATCTGGCCCGTCAATTAAATCATGAAGGAATGAGAATGAGAATTTGGATTTGGATTTGAACTTAGGACGCATTTGTACTTTTCCGTATTTGGGTCCAAATTGTCGGGGTTGGGAGTTACGGAAGCTCACGGTTGGAAGGACCAGGACCAGGTTCATACCAGGGTCGAGGTAAATTTCGTCAGGACCCGTGAGTCTGGGTCGTTATGTGTCTGGCCTCCTGATATGCACGATGATGTTCTTGAAACTATGTACGAGGTATCTGAGCTCCGTACTCCGTACTGCCTCTGTAATTCTTGTTCTTGCTTAGTCTGCTAGTTGCGATCTCGTGGAACAGGGGGGGGGGGGGGGGTTTGTGGATGCCACTTTTTGGTTTCTTTTCTTTTCTTTTTCTTTTTCTGTTCTTTTTCGTACTTTCTTAATTCTTAGGTCCATTCTCGTGTCATGCATCATGCATGCTGGGCGTTTTTGGTCACTTTTTATTTTATTTAGTCTTGTTGAGTTGGAACGGCCGGAGATTAGTAGCTGCTTTTATGCAAATTCTTTTTGTAAGTAGAGTACGAGCTTTGTACTCTGTAGAGAGTATTCTATACTCCGTGCATAGTGGACACAAAACATCGGGGTATTTCGGTAAGTTAATTACGAATCGGGGATAAGCTGGAGCCCTGATGGGTATCATGTTTTGTTTAATCTATAAGAATATTCAAAGCCTTTGGATACCAAAGATAGTTCTTGAGTATCGTTATCAAATCAAATGGTATCGTAGAATCTTCTCTCATGTAAATAATGGCCGTTGAAGGAAATAGTTCAATGAAATATGTGCTTTTTGCACGGACTGCAGCCTCGTGAGGAGCGAGAGGCGGACTGACAAATCCTTGAAGAAAGTTCACCGTAAACTTTGATACTTCATCCACTTATTACCTGGATTAAATTGCAATGGAGAGCCAAAGATATGGGGGATGATATTGTCTTTTGTACGGTTCTACAGTTCTTTTTTTATTTATAACGCCACTGTAGTTGTGTTCTTGCTGTTCTGTACCACGCACAGAGGTATTCTAAATATTGTACACAAGAGCGAGCCTTGTAGTTGAAGAGGGTCGAGCGCACCAAGGCGCTTTAGTTTAGAATGGCATTGTTCTCCTGAATAGTCCAATCTTCATGTTTCCGGACGAGCCTGACGAGTTAGACATGTCCCCGTATGTAAAGAAACGAATAGACAAAAAGAAAGAAAGAAAGAAAGCACGGGTTTACTTATTCGATGAACTGAAGATCGTCTCGTCATCTCGGAGAACGGCCTTCCCAATCCTTCGATCCCCACCGTATACTCCATAAATTATGACAAACGATGATCTCGCCCTTTGATCGTCACTCATAATTATGTATTTTAGATTCCAGACCCAGGCATTAACGACTTCCTCCCCATTTACTATTCCCCGCTCCATAGCCAATTAACTCCATCAGGTAACGCAGCCGAAAGGACACGGGTACATCCGTCTGGTTCGCTGGATCCCAAGCTGTGCCCACTTGGACCAGGCCATTGATCGGCAGACTGGCGTTAATGGTTTCATGCTCGATTCTTTCTCCTTTCCAAACATCGCAAAAGCCCCGTGTATCGGGAAGCGCTGGCCAGGGAGAGTTTATAGTGGGTATGACGGCACTTGACAGTTGGCCTTTAGGAAATTTAGAATAATAAGAGAGAAAAAAGTACGACGTTCCAATGCGCTGGGACCATATTTAGACTGGTGCACAGAGTCGAGGAATTAAATTCCGTACTGTCAGCTTCGTATTTTATCAACTTCACTTTCTTCTTTTGTTCATGGGCTCGGGGTTTGAGCCAGGAGCAGAGGAAGTGGAGAGGAAAGCCTAAATAGCGGGAGTATCATTGGTGTCTTAGGGGAAGGCCCACCTGCCAGACGCAGAGTCCGGATCTCATCTGATGAAAGTTGTTATTTATTTATTTATTTATTTATTTTATTTTGTTTATTTAAATTTCGATGGGATTATTCAGTAATACAGCAGTGTTATCCGATGTCATGTCCTCCCCGACCATACAAGTACCCCATTGTCGGGTCCCCCTAATAGGCTTTCCCACCTGTAACTAAAACCAAGACTAAACCAAAGTCTGGAAGTGATATCCTGGTCCCAACAGGCGCTTTTCATTGATTACCGACAATTTTGGTACCTTGTATACTCCGTACATTGTACATACACTCGTAACCCATACCGACCCAACTGACTGGAAATGCCCCATGTGCCCCAAGCTTTGCCTCCATTTTATTTTATTCTCTATTATTAGTTGGAGTATTAGTATTAGTATAATGAGCTCTGCCTCTCCTCTCCTCCCTCCCTCTTCTCTTTTTCCTTCGTCAGAGGTGTGCTTTTTCGACTGGCACGACTTCCCCCCTTCTCTTGTCCTTCAAATCCCTCCTGATAAAGAGAGAGCTCTGTTGACCTGGGTTCTTCTCAATTTGCACTGTTCCTCCCCGCTGGGTCAGAAAATCCCAACTCGCTGGCTCGGGTTCTTGTGACGACACCCTAGGCACTAAACCCGGTGGCACCTCGAACAAGAAAATCAACATACACTACTCCAACCTGCTGCGATAGGATATCTACACAGAGACTTGAAAATTATATGGAATGAGACTATCTGCCACTCTAATTTACATCGATCTGCGACCGAGCATTCGCCATTGCATTCCTGCGCCACCTGCCAATCGCATAAGGCCCACCCGAGATTCCTATCATGTCTCCGCAAGATAATCCTGGTCGCCCTGACGGTGACAAGCCTGAGGGCTTGTCAAAATACTTGAAGCGCATGAGAACCGTCTTGCGACCGCGCTCAAGCTCGAAGCGCCAATCTGTGGCTGCTCTACCAGATGTGCCCGCCTCGTCCAGCGCTCCAGCGTATGATTGATCTACCAATTCCCGTGGCTGGCTAATACAACTGAAAGCCAAGCGCATCGCATTTTGAAACAGCTTCGCTAACATTTTTACTTTTTATTTTTTTAGTGCTGCCGCCGCCGTCGCTGGCACCACCCCACTCCCAAAGTCAACCGGCGCTGAGCCCACCATGCTCACCGACTACAGCACCGTCCAACAGGAAAAAGCCCGCGCCCTCTTCACCAAATACGGCTTGACTCTAGAACCGGGCGAGTGGAAATCCCCAACAGATCTACAGTTGACCCGGGTCACCAAACCCATTCGCATGCGAGTCCGCCGTACCTGCCACCGCTGCGAAACCACCTTCGGCCCTGACAAAGTTTGCGTCAACTGCCAGCACCCACGCTGCAAGAAGTGTCCTCGCACTCCACCAATCCAAGAGAAGGATCCGAAGGAATACCCCTCCATCTCGATCTCGAAGAGCAAAATCCCCGAGATCCGCGCCCAGCATGGCGGTCTTGCCTATACGCCTTATCTCCGGTACACGGGCGATCCCAATGCTCCGCTGACGATGCCCTCGCGCTCTGGCAAGGATCTTGTCAAGAAGAATGTGGGGCAGCGAGTGCGACGTATCTGTCACGGGTGCGATACGATATTTGCTCCTGGCTCGAAGGAGTGCGCCAATTGCAACCATGTTCGTTGCAAGAGATGTCCGCGCGAACCGCCGAAGCTTGATAAACATCCTGATGGATATCCGGGGGATGTTGATCCGCCGAAATTGAGGCCCGATCGGACGTTTAGGAAGCCGCGCCAAAGAGTTCATTACATATGTCATGTCTGTGAGACGGGTTACAATGAAGGAGCGAATACTTGTGGAAAGTGCGGACAGGCTAAATGTTCGGAAACTATACGAATTCCGTACGTATTCTCTATTTTTATTTCTATTTCTTTAAGACAAGTTATGAAAAGTACTAACCTGACATTCTTTACAGACCGAAGAAAATCAAACGAGAGCTCGATCCAGAAATACTTCGGCGGGTCGAAGAAAAATTAGCAGGCCTGAATATACAACAGTGAGGGCGCTCCTGTACAGAGCCATCACTCGCTCTCTGCTTCGTTGGCATATTATTTTCTTTTTTTTGTGATTTTGGTCTTCAAGTTGTTTCTGTGCGGGCCTCCGGGCCTCGTCTTCGATTACTGGTTTTTCGTTGCGACCATAGCAGACAAACATACACAGTGGGATGTTCCTGATCCCCTGCCAAATATGGGACTAGTCTTTCATTTGCCTAACCTTTTTTACCCCTCCTTGCACCTTACAACAATATCTCCAACGCGGCCTACCATACCTGCTTCCAAGATTCCTGGCACGTTCTAAGTCACACCACTCCGTATGGTATTCTGATTCAGGTAATTTCCAGCTAGCCGGGATCCCCTGAACTCGGAACTAAGCTGCTAGTCTTTACTTTCCCGCATATGACTGTGTATGCGGCAGGGATTCCTGGACAAGGTAGTATTCAATTCAATCACGTCCACCCTAACGACACACAATCTGCGGTCGGGTTAATCGCTCCATCCTTCGGGGAAAACACACTTAATACCTAGTTTAGATTGTGTATCGGTCTCCAATTTTGAAGTCTCCTATCCTTATCATTTGGAGATCTAAACATTTCACAGTACGGAGTACAGCGGGGCCTTCGCTCATCATTATGGACCTCGTAAGCGGGTCCAACGGTCTGGATTCCTGATAGGGCCAGCATGAACACCCGTGGTCCCATCTTTAATTAAATTCCTTTCGGAACCTTTGCGAATCGATATCATAGGAGTTATACCGCCAGTTTCACGTTCGAACTACTCATACTCCCCGGCATCATATGAAAACTAACTACCGAGTTAAGCTATTGATAGTTTTCTCATTTTTGAATCCACATCATGACACATGCCACAATTACCATATCTAGGTATCTCTATATTCATTATTCATATTCACATTGTATACCTGACAGATACCGCCCTTGCACGTAACACAATTGAACATAGAACCACCCTTGAATCATACAACATCACCTCATCTCCTAAAGTCGCGCACATCCAAATCCCGACGCACAACAGGCCGAAATACCCGGACAAAGTATAACATCCATACTAATTCAAACCCCGGAATACACTAAAGCCACGGGGCAAAACTTAAACCAAACAGGCTCGTGAATGTGAACTCATATCCCCATTCCCAAACTTGGACTTGATTGCCACGTACGTGGCCTCCACCGGAATAAAATCCAGACTGAATCCACGGACTGTTAACGGACCGACCCGTTTAAAAAGTGGACATCCACAACAGTAACCTCGGAACCAAGAACCAGAACTTGAAAATACCAAGCAATTCAAGTAGGTAGACGCCATCGCGTCATTTCGGAATTATGCCTGCATAGTATCTTTTACATCTAAATCCACAAGTACAGATACATCATGTACATACATAGACTAAATAGTTTCTATGATGCAGCACCTACTGCGATGACCCCCACATAAATCCTCCAGGAAGATATGCATAAGTCCCAAAATCGAAGGATGCAGCAATACTCTAGTTTCATTAGGGCCCAGGGGCAGGGTATAGGCTCCATACAGCAATCCACCGAGACTCGGATACTCCACGGATACTCCACTAAGAATAATCCTAGAACCGGATGTTGGAAATATTACATTCCGAAAACAAGCTGTGGGCTTTGAGCTCCATTGGCTCGGCGTTATCGTCCATGACTCTGGGAGACGCCATTCCCGGCTCCGAGGATAGACGGTGGTCGGACGCTTTGGCCTCATCCTTCCTATTTGGGATGAGCTTGTGGTGGGGATGATGGGTGGGGTTGGCATGGCTGGGTTTGGTTTTTGGTTTCTGTTATTAAATGATACAGTATGATGGCTGGAGGGAAGTAGGCGTACGAAGTAGGAAACGATGGCTTATTTTAAATTTCACACCTTTCAAGGTTTTTGTTCTTGCTTACGAGGTACGGAGGCACGGTAAAAAGGACTAGCACCGATTTTACGGAATACAGTTCTTTGGTACTGACAGTGTCCAATTTTGATTGAGTCGGGGGGCTACCGATGGCAATGCAAGCCTCGTATCTATCTTGATAGCATCGGTGAGCAAGCACGTTGCACGGAAAATAAGTACTGTACCTCGCTTATAGAATCGCTGTTTGTGAGATGTTTTTCATTTATCCTTTTCTGTACGAGTACTTCCTACCGAGCGTACTATGTCCGATAACCACATACAAAGTACATTACAGAGTCCAATTCAAGAATATAAAAATAATTCAGTATTTCAATGGAACATTGAATATACACGCCAGCAAAACTTTGAAATGCCAGGATATCCCGCTGTCACAAAGACCCCTGCAGACAATCAGCGACCAGACCCAAAGCCCCGGGTCGAAGCTACGCAGGGAAACCCCAGTGTCCGTAGGCTTCACTGATACTCAGTGCATATTTTAAACTTTAAACATTAGGAGTTGATGTATCGCGCATCTCTCGTTCTAAATAAAGTAGAATAGGCTCCCTTCCTAGCAAGGGTTATTTTCAGGCAAGGGGACATCAGCTCAGAAATTCTGAACCAAACCCTCGGGAATTTCAATCCCAGCTAGTTCAAATGACAATCAAAGTGGCTGGACATGATGGACCGGAACATCAATGGGCCTTAACGGTCAACTAACCCGATCGAGAAGATCCTTGACACATCTCGATATTCCACCGAAACGTCCCGCATCCTTGATTTTGAATCTCCATAATAGGGACTTTTGGTCTACTCCAATTCCACAAACTGGGAATAATCCCCGTAAGAATTCATTCTAGCGCTCGATTCGGGCTAGAAGCGAACGGGTTAATACATGATAATTCTCATAATCATACTTATGTCTTGTACCTTTGTCGTATGTATGTGTTGTCTGGAGGAAAATCCTGCATCCATCGACTTTTTAATCCCTGTCAATACTGTACATACAGTTCTCCACCTCCTGCTTCGCTCTGAGCTCTAAGACTGACTGCCCATTTTTATTCAGCTTTTGACTAGGCCTTTTTGAGCTATTCAGAGATATGCCGATGCAGAAAGCGGCGTCGGCCTCTAAAACTAGATACGGCAGTCGAGACGGGAGTACCCGGACTGGAGCGATAGTTCGCCTATTACAGGTACTGAACTTCCACCGCCTGCCTGGTCGCCCTTATTGTCGCATGTATTTCTTATATCGAAGTCCTAATAGTTTAGAACTCTTATCCGTCGCCAACCCGAATGCCATATACCCAGACTATACTCCCTTACATAGGAAAATGGAGCCGGCTCAAGAACAACTCGGAAGAGCTTTAGCCCCTTTAAGCCGTAATTTAGGGACTTCGCATCCGTCGGTGAGCGCGGACCGTGTCGCTCTGACGTATCTCGTGCCGTGGGATTCATTCGCGCAGGACGCGTTTGAGACTTTTCGACTAGCAGATATTAGCCACAATGTTCCGGTCAACGATGAAAGTGAACTATACACCGTTGGAAATGAGTTGGGGCTGTCTGGAAGATTCGTACGGAATCTTTGCGACCCGGTAATGAAGGCGCTAAAGCCGCTCCCTGGTATGCAGTCGATGCGATTCGCAGATTTCCAAGCGCTGTCTCGTTCAAATGACACTGTGCCTGATGTATGTTTTGGTCTTATTTCGATTGACCCATCTGTCGACAATGTATGTCTGGCCGGCGAACTGAAAACACCATGGACTGTCGAGGATACTTCTCTCCATCTCAATACCCCTAGATCCTATCATCTCGAATATCTCATCGGTTTATTTAACATTATTTTCTATGCGGACTAAAGAAGCTCCACTAATAATTCCTTAGGACGAGTCGTTGCTCAAATGCGTACATCTTCGCTTCGTTTCGCGTTTCTGTCAACCTACAACTCTACAGTATTTGTAGAAAGAACCGCCGATTTGTGTTTCCGTCTTTCCGCGCCAATCAGGCGAGATTCATTACAGCCATCCCTCCGCCAGCTCTTTGCGGGTTTCTGTTTGATGGCCTTTTCTGGCTCCAAATACCGTGAAAGCCCATCCTTCAATCCTAGAGTAGTAAGATAATATTTTGTCTATATACTAGATAGGAAGTATTTGCTAATATATACCTACAAAAGCTACGAGGGCCTCCACCTATACGGTCCTCATCTCGGGGGGAAAGGACTCCTGACTACCCAACTTCATCGTCAGCAAACCAGTTACCTTCAATTACACCAAAGAGCGTAATAATCTCCAGCGCGGACGATTCCCTAACAGTTGTTAACTGTACGCGACAACTATCAGACCCACGGATCACCTCTAAAGGTGTCTGGCTTGGTGAGCTTAATGGTAACTCCGTTATACTTAAATGCTGGAATGTCGAGAATGTTGAGTTGTAAGTCAGAATATATTCAGAATCTTCTATTGATACAGTTTGCTAAAGTACTTTATCTAGATTTGAAACAGAAGCTGGCGTTTATGAACGGATTTGGGATAGCACACCACATGGAATCCATCTTTTCAGTAGATGGTTAGCAAGAGGGGCTATTATTTGCTCCAGTGTCTTCCCATTTGGGTTTGCATTGATTACAGAACCCAAAGATGGATCCCGACTCGACGAAATTTGGCATACTCTCTCGGAGACTGAACGAATTTTCATTCAATCAGAGTGTCTCATCGCCATAAATGCTCTCCGCCAGGTCTCAGTGCGACTCGACGACGCAGGACAACATAACATTCTGTATAGCAGAGATACGCGAACGGTCACTTTGCTTGACTTTGAAGTCGCACAGAATGTCGAAGCTAATACTGTGATTCCTGTCCATTATGAGATGGAGCGAATTTTCAGGCGAAACTTTAGATTGGGGCGTCCAATCGGTGGATGAGATGGCCAGGTTGCTAGCACATTTCTGTTGTGGCATTCAAGGAAGTTTGTATTGATATTGCTTCTCTTTTTCCTTTTCCTTTCGGTTTATGTATTAGCTCTTAGCACTTCAGTAGTTGAACTTTTAAACCAAGCTCTTTCCAAAGAATTCAACCAGCTTTACCCCAGCATCATCAACCTTTTCATAAAGATCCGCATGAGTGAGAAAGACGAGATCAATGTGTTATTCTCTTGCTGCAATACATTGATTTCGCTCATCCTGTTTGGTCCTATTCATAGATGGATGGCTCCGACCTCGGTAGTTGTGTGATCCAGAAACAGTTACTAGTTTATTTTGCCCTCGTCAAGAGTCAAGACCCATGCCACTAGAATTTTTCGAAAACATCCTTATTCGTGATGCCATGACGCCAACGTTGAGCAAATGTTCGAAAATAAATCAACGACTCGGTTATGGCCAGGCTATATGGCGGTTAACCAAGCTTCTTAACCCTGACGGCTATCGCCTATGACGCCGGGTGATCGGCGCCATTTGCTTAGTCTGCGATAAGCCCCCATCAACGCGTCCCTTCCACAATGAGCCAAAAACAAGCAACCACAATGGATTCACAACTCACTATCGGGCTCCCTAAAGTGTACGCTAGCAAGGAAAACAAATGTGTACCACCGACCAATGAGTTTATCGCCGGAACATGGCATGTAACGCATTCGACTCTTCCAATGTGGAAGGATAAACGCAACGTCAACATTACCTACAAGATCCTCCCTGCTGATTCGAAGGGGACTGTCAAGATCGACGATCTTGTTAGCTATCAGGGTGTTAAGTCTGAGAAGATCCAGACTGTTAGTGGGATTGATACTCCGTCTCCAGGTATGCGCTGTGTCCGGGTAGCCAGCCCCCTGACGATTGATGGCTGATTTATTTACAGGGAACCAAGGCGCTTGGGACTGGAGAGGTAAAGGCTGGTTGATTATTGCGAGCTCTCACTGGGAGTGTCTTGGCTTTGGCCATACGGATGATGGGGGCCAGTGGGTGGTGACTTACTTCGCTAAGACTCTTTTCACGCCTGCTGGGATTGATATTTATTCTCGGAAGAAGGAGGGGGTTCACCAGGATGTCATCGATGAAATTGCTAAAGGTCTCAAAGGATTTGAGGTTAAGGATATGACGGATCTTGCAGATGGTTTGTTTCAGGTTGTGCAAAACTAGAATGCTAGGCGGGAGGGAGATAGATCGTGAGAGGAAAGATCATCAGTCCCTGGGCTTCCAAGGTTGTTCAATGAGTTGAACACTGATTAATAGGCGCTGATATTTCTATTTTGTAACTAATGAGGGTGGTTTACACAAGGATGACAATAAATTGAGAAGTAGCTTGTTGTCTATCGCATTCGCTGTCTGGAAAACACATCATGATATCAAATACTGATCCTTCGACTGGGCTCCCCTAGCGAGTATCAGTCCTTCCCATTTTCCGGCCCCCACGAACCTACCCGTGTAATATTAATATCGTATCAAGAAGGGGACAATGTTCTCAACAACTTATGTACTTCACCGGGCCCCGCGATAGTAGTGGAGTCTCGCTCGGACAACTTTCCGAAGAGTACAACCCCACATTTCTCGTATTTATAACTCCTGCAAGATCGTTGCATTTTCAGTTTCCAGGTCTTATAACTCTCCCACAAAAGCGCAATGATGCCCGAAAAGATACTGTCAATTGCAGATCTTGAATCTGCAGCTTCCAAGACACTCCCGGTCTCAACCAGAGGTAACACCGACACCCCACTGGCTAGCTACATGCTTGAATAAAAAGCTAATGAGGGGTACTGATCTTCTATAAAAACCAGAATTTTTCAACTCGGGCGCAACAAACCAAGTCACAGTCCGTGAGAACTCCACCGCGTATCAAAAATACCGAATCCTACCTCGTGTTCTCAAGGATGTATCGAATGTAAACACCAACATCTCCCTGTTCAACAGGGATATCACATTTCCCCTCTGTGTCTCCCCCGCAGGACTACAAGGCATGGCCCACCCAGATGCCGAACTAGCAACAAGCAGGGCATGTGCCAAACACGGCATCAACATGGGTGTCTCATCCTACGCAAATCACTCAGTCGAGCAGATCACCGCCGCCGGGAAAGAAATAGGACCAATCCACCACGTTATGCAGCTCTACTCTATGAAAGACCGCGAGAAGGAAGAGAGAGTTGTTCGTCGCGCAGAAGCTGCAGGCTGCAAGGCAATCTTTCTTACGGCTGATAGTCCCGTGTTGGGCGTGCGGTACAATGAAGTACGAAAAACATTCAAGCCACCGGGTAATTTGGCGTATCCGATGATGGAGAAGACGGCGGAGCAGATTCAGCAGCAGTCGCATGATGATGGGTTTAAGTCTTTCAATGATGACTCGCATTCGTGGGCTAGGGAGATTCCTTGGCTGCGGAGCATTACAAAGATGGAGATATGGATTAAGGGTGTATTGACACCTGAGGATGTGGAATCGGCTATTGAGTATGGATGTGATGGGGTGATTATCAGTAATCATGGTGGACGACAGCTGGATGAGACGCCGGCAACGCTTGATGTTCTTCCTGCGTGTGCGAAGGCTGCGCGCGGCAAAATTCGAATTCACATTGATGGAGGGATTCGATCTGGCACTGATATTTTTAAGGCTTTGGCCTTGGGTGCAGAATGTTGCTGGGTTGGTCGACCGATGCTTTGGGGCTTAGCTGTAAGTTTGAAGCTATATCGTGTTCGAGTTCCAAGGTTCCTGTATATGCAACCGTTAAAGCTAATCTTGAAATCCTGATATAGTACAAAGGACAAGAGGGTGTTGAACTGATGATCGACATCCTATATCAGGAATTTAGACGGTGTATGCAGCTGGCAGGCTGTAAATCTATATCCGAGATAAACAGTTTGCATCTTGGAGTTGTCCGTTCTGATGGCCCACTGGCAAGACTTTAGAGGGCCTTCTCAGATAGATAGATTTTAGAAATAGAGATTTAAATTCTTGCCTCATTTCCATTTCCTATCGCTTTAATTCGGTTGGCGAGGCTACAAAAACGCGTGGATAGTAGTTCGACTAAAGCTGACAGCTGGTATAGCCGCACCTGATCAGCGGGTGACATCAAATAATTTTTTCCCAACTCCGCAACCTCCAACTTCCCACCCTTCAACGCCAAAGAAATCTCTCAGCGACCCCCTCAACTCACCCATCTACTCTGAATACCAAGGCCGGAAGGCCCAAATAACTATACAACATGTCTGACTCCCCAGCCCCAAAGGCACACATTGCTCACGAACTCCTCCTTCGCGCCCACTCCCCCGACACAGCAACCCAGCAATTCACCGAGCGCATAAAACAAAAGCCTCTCTTCCTCCGCCCAACATCTCCATCCTCACAAGATAACCGCTCAAGACGCCGTCTCCACCGCCTTCGCAAGAAAGAATACTTCCATCGCCACCAGCGCCCACGGCCCTTGTCTGCGCGCGCAAAGCGCACTACAGGAATATACGACCTACCGCGAGAGGAATGCAAGTACGCTATCTTCAAGGGTCTACACGCGCTGTGGGTTGGGTATATGCAGGATATTCTTGATTTGAAGGCCGAAAGGAAGGGAATGATGACGCCGGCGTCACATGGCCCGAAGCTTGTTAGTGCGGATTACCACGGCGCAGAGCTAGAGGTTGTGAGGAGTCGGTGTGCAGGTCGGGTTGGTATCAAGGGGATTGTTGCGAGGGATACAAAATTCACATTTGATATTGTTACGGAGGAGGATAAGGTTAGGAGTAAGTTGTGGTGTGGTTGCTTGGACTTTTGAGCTTGTGACTGACTTTGGGCTTAGCAATACCTAAGGAGCATTCTGTTTTTCGCTTTTCGGTGCCGCTACCAGTTCCCGAATCTACGGTGGAATCTATAGAGGGCGAGCAGAAGCAGAAACTGGAAAAGACTGAAGCTGATACCCCGAAACCATTGGTCTTTGAGCTGCATGGCAGCCAATTTGAGACTCGGCCTGTAGATCGGGCTAATAAGAAGTTTAAATGGAGGAATATTGATTACGTTTAATCATTTGTGGATAATTGATAAATGGAATTATATAAGTTGTTTCTCCGTCCTACAGAGTGTAATGATATACTTCAATAAACCGTTATACCAAAAATTTATGTATTAGGTAGCATCGAACGACCGCATAGGCAGTTTAGCAATTGCACCTCATGAATTTGTACAGACATGTACTATGAAACGAAGTTGTTGAATGATACGATTCGAGATAACCCTTCATGATTTAACATGGCTTCATTTCCGTCCAAGTCTAGGCTTGGACCGTGTTGTCTTCAGATGAAAGTAGCATGTTTGGATACCGGCCATAGCAGGCGTGAATATGCCCCACCAAGACAATGATCACGTTTAAGTCTGGCAGCTGATGAAACAGTGCAGAAGTTGGCTCAAATCCTAGGCCGACATGAACAAGGCTCTCATTTGTGTTTCAACAAATAGATAGCCAGATAGCCCGTAGGGATTCTTCCAGATCATGCTTCATTGATTCGTGCTTGGGATTTTCAGTAAAAAAATGGTATACATTCTGACAATGCACCGTATGCATCGAACGACGACCATAGATATGGTGCGCCTGAATGACGAGAGATAGCCGTTAAATCGAATGAATTCAATAGGCAACATTGTCGACAAGTCGTTGAGAACCTGGAGGCCAAGTATCTACATACCCGCCCATTCGATGCTAAACGTGCGCACACTTTCTGTGCGTTCGATTTCAGAACCGTCCTCAGGTCTTTCCAATTGAGGGCCGCCCAAGAGAAATCCCTTCTTGACGCCGGTTCCCAATCGACCACCAATAATGATGTCCATCAAATTGATCTCCTGATCCCATTCTGCCGACACGACGAGGAAATGAGAATGGAACCGAAGAGGATCTCCCGGATATGCAACATATTGGCATCCGAAACGCAGACCGGGGGACAAGAAATAGCCACGAGAGTGCATGTGAGCAAAAAGAGGGTATGATAGCGGTACATCGGGCCGTGAAAGGATGAGCTCCGATGATGTGGATGGATGAGGGAGCGGAGGGTAGGATGTTGTAGGTGTGACGCCGTAGGTCTGCTGGGGATTAGGCGTACTAGTAGAGGGACCTCGAGAGCTGGAAGGGTCGCCGACGAAAAAATCACCTAACGAAGCTGGCTCATCATTGGCAGTCGAAGGCCCAGCTGGCGATGTGATTGTATCACAATTCGAAGTTTCTTTAGAGTGTACGTTGGACTTTTTCTTTGCCTTCTTCTCGAGTTGTTTTTTGAAATAATCTTCTTTCTGCTGTTCCTTGCGCCCTGCGACGATACGGGCAGCCTGGAGTCCTTGGGATTCTAATTCACGCAGGTACTGTCGGCGATCTTCCTCTAGAAGAGATTGCATGCCATCATTTTGTGCCTTGGCTTCGTCTACAATGCAAGCTACACCCTTGTCCACCAACAATCGTGCCTCCTCTGGCATCAACTCTAGTGGCAACCCCAGAAACACATTTTGCTGTGGGATTTGGGGCAATGTTCCAATCAGGACACCACATGTGTTGTGTTCGCGCCTCAAGTACGTGACAGCGTCAATGGAAAACAGTAGGTATCTACCAGAAATGAAAGAGATTGGAATGGGAAGGGTGGGTTGGAAGTCCATTTTGAGAGTCGTTTATGAATTCTGAAGCAAGAACCATATTAGCAATTGTTTCATCAACAGCGATTCCAAGATAAAAACACGAATTGAGATGCGAATATCATTTCCAGTACGTTTCTCAGTCACTTGTGCCCCTTTGACGTATCAAAGGAGCTTCAGGGGATTGACAGATTTGTATTTTATATAATCATGCAAGGTGGGCAGTGGTGAACAGCGGGATTAAAATCAAAAGACTTACCATTAATAAAGAAGCGAGTCTTGGTATTTGACCAGCAAAGCCAGAGACTCGAGAGATTGGGAGGAAAGAAAGTGGAAAAGAAGAAGCGAATTTTTTTGAGGAAGAAAAGCTCCCCACCCGCGCTTATCCTCTTTAGGTGGGCGGTGATGGCTGTCAGCTCCGAGGCTTTCCAGGTTCGCGGGAGCTGTGTAATCGACATCCTTATCATTGATGCTTCTCAACGCTCGCAATGAACTTCGTGCTTTTCCTGTGCTTGGTCTTCTTTGCTCCTCTGCTACTATTTGTGGGTCAGTTTTATGTTTCCTTTCTCGACCGTGATTCCGACTGTGACAAATCAGGATAAGGATATATGGTTACTAACATCAAACAGCATGGCTAGCAGCTTCATCCTGCTTGGGCAATGGCTTTCGAACTCGCATAGGCGGATTTTCAGCTGGGTCAGGTTTAGACGCATATGGCCAGAGCTATCTCCGAACTATGGCTAATTCAGGTGCCGCAATGTCGGAGCAAATTGAGATGGATGATATGCTAGTTGAACCAGGGACTCGCCGCCATTTCGATGAAGAAGAGGACGAAGACGAAGAATGAGCTCAAGAAATGGAATGCTGAGATATATGTATACCCTCTCAAAATTCAAGATCTGCCTTCTTGGGCATCCCGCTAGATGAAGGCGCTTCTTGGGCCTCCTTATCGCCTTCCGCTGGCGGCAAGCTAAACGGCTTAATCTCAAATCGACGACGACTCAAGTTAAACGCCCAATCCTGGCCAATGTTTTGGTCATTCCCACCACCTCGTTCGTGCAATACAGGCAATTTGTGCGTTTTCAGCATCCCCTGTGGTGGCTCCTCATGAGATGTGGCAGCGCCAGAGGTCGCGAGAGCATCGGCTGAGTGTGGGAAGGGACAGAGCTCAATCACACCATCGCTCATAAGCTCGACCCAGCGGATCAGACCTGAAGAGCGAGGGAGTAGCGATAATGGAAGTGTGATCATGGTTGTGATACGATTTGCCTGCGAATTTACCAAAGCCTTCAGTGAGTGGAGGAATTGTAGCACTTGTGGGGGCTCGCAGGTGCCAGGCGGGTAGATGGTTGGGTTGAGCAAACCAGGGATCACAATGCGATGAATATTATTTGGCGCACTGGATGCAATCGCACTTTGAAGCTGTTTAATAATCGAGATAAACGGCGAGTCCCTCAAGGGCAAGAGCGGAATAAAGCTCATGTTGGTGATGGAAGGATGGGCGAGGCGTTTTGTGAGATCAAAGGCATGACAAAAGGCATTCTGTTGCTTCCCAGTGGCATCAGAGTCTTCGGTCGGTGTAGGAGCTAGCGTCTATCAGTATCAAGTTCAAGTTCGGTCAAGATGATCTGTGCCTACCATCCCGGGAGCCGGCAATGCCAGCCCCAAATTCGCCCAGTCGCTCGTATCGCCAAGCAATCTTCATGCGTTCATCTTTGCGTCTGTCTGATCTCTTTTCTTCCAACGACTCTGCGGTACCAATCAAACCAGGCAAGCTCCGCCCCCATTGTTCTGGTGCACCAACAACATGAATCTTTTGTTCTTGTACCACACCCTCGGCAGCATAGTATCGTAGCAATGCGCCCGCAAAGTCTGTAGTCCCGTTTTCTTCAACTAGCAGAATTTTACCCATGGGAAGGCCTGCGTGTCCTGCAAGAAGCCCATCCAATGAGGGTGTTCCTGTAGACGTAGTTGGTCGTCCATCGTCGGGAGAGGGGCGAATGCCTGGAGTTGACTCGGGCGGGGTTGGCTGAGCAGAGGCATTGGGAACAGCAGTGCGATCGACACCGGCCGAAAGACCAATGTTTCGCTTGCGGAAAGACATTGTGATAAGGAAACGGAGGAGCTTTTTAATAAACGTAAAAGAGTAGAAACAATGTGGTGGTTCCGATTGTTAGAATAGTTTATCGGCGGGGAAACCCAAAGCGGCAGAAAAAAAAAGAAAAGCTCCAAACTCCGATCTCCACCTTCAAATCCTCACTTCCTTCATATTCTTCTCCACGAGAACCACCCACCACAATTTGAGGCCGAAGAACCTTTGCCCTCCGCTTGAGCCGCTAATTCCCTTCTTCGTCATATTCTACTGTCCGTCTCAGCGCCTCGCCGCCACAAGTCGCATTCCGTCATGTCCGACCCAATTCTCTTCGAAGATCACTTCACGATCACTAGCATCAATGCCCAGAAATACGACCGCGTTTCTCGTCTTACCTGCAGCTCAAACGATGCTTCCCTTACTTTCACCCTTGATGTGAACTCGGAGCTCTACCCCTGCGATGTCAACGAGTCGCTTTCTATGGCGCTGGCCTCGACTTTGTCTCTCGATGGCAAGGAGGATACCCGTGCTAGCTGGAGAGAGGTCAGCATGGGCGAGCAGACTCTTGCCAATGACTACGACTACGTCTGCCACGGCAAGGTATACCGATTTGAGGAGGGTCAAACCAAGGATACCATGTATGACTTTCCCTGAACAGCTATTTTGGCAGCTGTCAAACTCCTATAAGCGACGCATGTACTAATGGAACCTAGGGCTGTCTTTGTATCATTCGGAGGTCTGCTGCTCTACCTCGAGGGCCCCTACAAGAAGCTCGCCCCGCTGAAGATCGATCACGTATATCTGCTTCTTAAGAAATAGATCATATCTTTCGGGCTTCTTTCTATGTAGAAAAGTTTGGGGGTGTATTTGATCTAGACAGGTCATTTTTGTCGGATTGTGCAGCGCTGGCGTTTTGCTTTCTTGCATTTAAATTTCTTTTGGGTATACCAATAAATGATCGTCAATATGAAATTCGATCTTCACGATTACCAGGCTTCTTGAGACCATCCTCGTTAATACTATACCTGTGACAACCTGAACATGTTGAAATTACTATGCAAACCAGCTCGTTATTCGACTGGCTTGACGGAGAATGTACAACTTGAAGTAGTGTCTACTCTCGATCAGATTGATTGGAACGTAATGGTCTGGTTTGAAGAACAGTACATCAACAAGAATATATGTGCATTTAATTTTGAGTTATGTGCAACTGGATTCAACAGTGCGAGGCAAGAGGGTATTCCAAGCGACGATGCAGACGCGACAAAATATCCAGGTAATTAGAATCATTCTCTGGAGTAAGAAGACCATGTCGAACAAAGAAATCAATGATAACGACTGAACAGTTTGGTTTGAACTCGCCATTTGCCAGCGCATCCTGAACCTCTTGGACCGTCAACAGGTTGAACTCTTCAACCTCATTATCTCCAGGCTTGGGAATCACCGTTGGCTCAAGTTTCAGATCATAGACATATTCGACCTCGGGCTGACTCAAGCCAGTTTCTCCTCCAGCTCGCGCATCCCGAATATGACTGTATGTCACACAGCCTACTGGCCGGATAGCAGAGCGTATAGTTGACTCGGGGAGGGAAGCTTCCTCCATGGCTTCTCGGACAATACATTCGAAAGGCTTTTCGTTCGTGCACATGCCGCCAGCAACGGTGTTATCCAGCATACTGGGATATGTCTGCTTATTCTTTGCTCGGCGAGGGATCCAGAACTTAAGACCTGAAGCATCTTGCACGTAGCAATTCATATGGGCGCCGTAGCTCACAATGCCAAACAAAGGCGAAGCACACCGCTCCATGTCAAGAATAAATTGACCGCCTGGTCCGTAGACGGGATATTTCTCGTTTCGCCATCCTCGAAGAACTTCGAAGACATCGGCCTTCACAGCCTCGGCGATACTCTCGGCGACCAACTTACTGCGATGTTCCGGGGTTGCGCCTGCGGAGGTATTCAATGTTACCGTTTTAGCGACAGGGTCAATCACCCAGTCATTTTTTGGCCAAGGGAACTTTTCCACGACGGAGTTTAGGATATATCCTAGCGTCGCATCGAATCCGTTCACTCGGAATGCATGATAGTTGTTGAGAGTCTCCGTGTAAGCAGCACGGTCATCCTCGTGGTAGGGAAAGCTAGAGAAGCGTTAGACATGCAAAATACCCGGAAACAGCCATGAGACGCCTTACTTATCGCATTCTCGAATTAGGTCTAAATTAGTCTTGCCCATTGTGATTGATTGTTTTGCAAAGAAGAACCCAACACTTCATCCCGCCGTCTTTGATAGAGGGGTGCCAAGCCCTTATCGGGGAGATAAGGGCATTATGTCACTTGCGTCAATCGAACTTGGAGAAAGAGAATATTGGAATCCGCTGGAAGAAAGCAAGAGACAAAGAGAGACACAAACTGCGAACAGCCATCTTGCCTCCATTATCCTATCCAGTCCCATATTACATACTCCCACCTCAACGACGAATTATACCCAGACCTATACTCCAGCTCAATGTTCTCCGTCGTGATCCCCGGCCGTCCGTGCCTCACGGACATCGTCGCAGTAGACAGCCAACCAAACGGCCAAGCTACAAAATTCGCCTTCACAATCCCAGTCGCTCCCGCATTTAAGGAAATAGTCGTCTTCCTTCTACCAGGAACAGTTCTCCCCCCAAACACCGGCGCCGCAATATACGCTCAACTCCCAGACCCAAGCACCGGGGCCCCGACAGACTTCCGCTTCATTGGCGCATTAGCCAATGAGAGACCCTCCGGCATTTTCACCGTCAACGCCAATGGCACTGCACCACATAGATCAGAAGCTGAAGAGGAGGACGACATGCTCGACGACGGTTCTGCGAATCCTGCAGCTACAGGCATTTTAACACTTGGTATATCTATTGAGGCGGGTGAGAATATTGCGCCGCAGCTTGCAGCGCTAGAGAATGAGAAGGCGGCAACATCTGGATCTTCGGCTCTGGTTATTCAGGGACAGGGACAGCAGAAACAGGTCTCGACGAAGATTCTTGCGCAGCGAATCATTGGTAGCGCATTTAACTTTCTGGCGAGCTTTGCGGAGTCGGATAAGGGTCGTGATGTTGTGCCGTTGAAGAGCTTTCAAGACTGGTGGACGAAATTTGAGAGACGAATTGATATGGATCCATCGTTTTTGGAAAAGGCGGACCCTAATGCTGCTTGAGGGTGTGACCGTCGGATTTCTTTCTAATTCTTATTGTTCGTTCTGTGCGATATTGCATTTGGTATTTACTTGTTTGGAAGTATGTTGCATTGTGGATTGGGCGTTTTTTTTACTGGACCTTGACGAGTTACGAATATCTGGTTCGTGCAGCGAAGCCCTTCCGGGCTATGTTGTATCTCCTGATTCTGATATACTTGGAGTCAAGATTATTCAGATGTATACAATTGAATTAACTTTCTTATTTTTGTATTCATTATACACATGGCTGTGGGATACTACTATATACACAATGATCTCAATGCTGATCTATAAGACAGCTATGAGGGAAAAAAAACATGAAACATTCCACTCCAGGTGAAAGACAACCTCATCAGCCTGTATATCTGTCTCTCGCTTTTGTTCTCTTTTCAAGGCCCGGCCTCCAACCAACGCCATTCGCGACATAAGAAGAAAGGAAACAAAACGAAAAAGAACATGGAATGAGGCCACGAAAAGAATCATAATCACAATCACAACTCTGACTTCGGCCCAGGCGAAGGACTAAACGACGAATCCGGCCGTAATCGAATCCCAGGTGCATAGCAAAGACTATACAATTCATCAACATAAGTCGAAGGCGTGAAAGAGTTATCCCCGGCAGCAACAATCGCATCATGCGCAATAATAGGGTTCTTAGCAGCATTTTCATTCAGCCGCGTAACATCCACGCGTACCTCCTTCTGGACAGTAATATCGCCCAAGGCAGTAGCAGTTAAGCCCGACTCAAAGAGCGTTTCCTGTGAATGACCCGAGTGCGGACGGTTCGCGAAATTCTTCCGCGAAGACCAAAGACGTGAAAGACCTGAGCGAGTTGAAGAGACGATATCTGATTCTGAGGCTGTGGAACCAGAGCGCACGTCTGTACAGAATAGTTCTTGGCTCAGTTCTCGACTGAAGCCATCTCTGTCGGCGATAGCGTCGTTTACTTGTTGTTGGACGCGGAAGAGGCGGAAGGGAGTGAATGTGAAGTCTGGGTTGGGGACTTGTGTGTCTAGGGTTCCCACAACACAAAATGTAAGAATAGTGCATTGCTGTGGGTTTGGGGTTTGTGGTTCCTCTGATTGGCGTGATGTAGTTCTGCAGGGGGCGAGGAGGGGTCTGGCGGAGAAGGTGGCTGCTGCGCGCATTTCTTCTGGGAGAGATTTGGATAGAGTGGCTATGCCTTGAACTAGCTGTTCGCGGAATTCGTCGATGCTGCGCTCTGTTTGGATAGCTGCGGGAGATTGGAGATATTTCAAGCAGGTGTTCATTGACCAGCCCTCCATGTGAGAAATCAAGTCTAGATGCGAGACTTGGAGTCGGAGCATTGGGAGCGTTGATGATGGAAGTGGGTTTCCGGTGCCTTTTGTGGTCAAAATCTCGAAATGATCGCTAACTGTTGGACGCATTACAAATGCAGTTATATGAACGCCTTCTGAGAAGGAGCGGTTGGAGGTGGCGTAGTCGCGCATGTCACGGAGATGTTCTCTGAGATTGGCTTCGGGAACGTGGATACGACGTGAAAGAGTCGATGTGATGTGTTCGATAGTAGCAAATCGGAAACCAAGCGATGCCATGCGATTGGCCTCTTGCTTTTGAAGCTGTCGAACGCTAAACAATAACTGACCCTTTCCTGTGCGAAGAGATGAGCGACCCATAGCACGAGAGATCCGGGATACAGGAATGGCGGTTGCCAAAACATCATCATATAGTGTCCCGAGGTCCTGAAGTGGTTGTCGCAGGTCGTTGGATAGCTCCTGGGCTGAAACGCAGAATAAGTGTTTGAACAATGTATCAAAATCTGTCTGTAATTCCGTCTCCTTGTTCATAACCACTCCACGCGACAAGACATGTTTCTGAATAGCGGCTTGTTCGGACTCGAGGCGGTTTCGCATGAAAGGAACTAAGTCTTTTACAACGGGCCAGTTTCGACTTGCCCTAAAGGCCCATAGAAAAGTGGGATGCGTGCGGGTGAGATCGTCGTCTCGGAAAGTCTGGGTGATATCGTTAGCTCCAATATATTAGATTTCTTGCCGAGTGAAAAGGCAGGAAGCTGGGAATGTTGTGGTTCAAGATACTGACTCGTCCAATATAGTGATCAACAATCTTCTTCGTCGGCAACAAAGCTTGAGGTGTCACCATAACTCGCCCAGCGGGGTCAAAATAGGCACAAGCAAGAACAAGCTGATGGGCCCGAGTAGTCGATCGACGCCGATTACCACCCGCAACAATGGCGCAAGTAGACAATATCACGCAAGAAACACATGCCTAAAATCTAGTTAATCCCCATGTGACGAAAAACAATCTATAAACGGTAAATACTAACCAGGACAGCACATATGATGACCACTTGGCTCCTGGAAAGCTGATTCCCATGCGTCATAGTTTTATCTCTTTCACGATAAACCGTCCCAACGGCGGCAGTCCAGTGCATACCCGAGACAGCACAGGCAAGCAAGCCAGCGCAGATAACTCGTCTCCACCAGCTATCGGTCCATGTTGCTCTCCACCGGAAGAATATTCCCAGCGCCGCTGTACTGGAGATCACAGCGATAATAGCGGAACCCACAACATTGGCGACGTGGTACGAGCTCTTATAATTAGAGATACCCAGTTGTCCAACATAATGCATTCCGCAGACAGAACTTCCCGTGAGCAAACCTCCAATTAAGATGCGAATGTAACCTGCTTTCTGTTCGACGCCGACAGAGTAAAATGCGGTCAACAGTACGACGACGGGGAGCACGAAAGATGTTCCTGTGAAGGCGACGTTGTAAAGGATTTGAATATCTGCTTCGCCGCTGCCGAGGACGATGGCGCGGTTTCCGATAAAATGCATGCACCAGATACCTATGCCGCCCATCGTTACTGATGAAGTGAGAAGAAGATACCTGATCATTCGTGGGTTTCTGTGTTAGCGACTTGAATTATTGAGCAGTTTGCGAATGCGATGAAGTTTCATGATCATACCAGTTGTAGAATCCCGATCTGGATGTCCTTCTGTGGAGAAGCTCCAATGTAGTTGCACATCCCATCAAACTGATTACATAGGACAGAAAGATGTATCCGCCCAAGTAAGAGACGTGAACCAAAGGTTCAGCCCTCGTGCCTGTGCCAGCAATTTTCATGATGTAGAAGTAGTTTGTTATAAAGTCGGGGAATGAGTTATTGGCCAGGCATTGGTCGGGGGAGTGTTATATAAGTATATTTTCCACCAGGGATGAGGGGTAAAGATGGGAATAGTAGTCGTTCAAAACATCATCAAAGGCAATAAAAAGCCCTGGAGGCATGAATAGAAGTCGTAAATCCAATAATAAGTATAGTCAGATAGATAAAAAGAAAGTTGACCGGGCGACAACCACACCAAATCGGAGTAATGGATACAAAAAGTGGGAAGCACAACCTTCGAACTGGAACCTGGCAGCAACGATAAATCTTATACCCCCAGTCACAAAAGCTCGCCCAAACCTTACACCCACATGTGCAACATAATATATTCTCAGCGTATCATAGCACGCCAGCGCAATATCGGACAAATCACTGGCCCCGTGGGAGAGAGAACCGGATCCAAAATCCAATCTAGAAGACTGTGGGATCCACACGAAGCTGTGCAGCCTGCATTAGTCTACATCTCTCGACTCCATCTCCAAATCGCGTGGCACAATAACTACAAAGTGGACCGATTCAAATTCGGGGGTTTTTTTTAAAAAAAAAGAGGAGAAACAGACTAAGGATCAAGAACCTTGTAGAACCACAAAAAAAAAGTAAAAAGCACCACATCAGAAAGTTTCGGACTAATCGATGTGATCCAGTGGAGTAAAACAGCATGGAGCCCCATTAGATTGCTCTTATCCCTGTCGGCGCGGACTTTTGTAGCGAGGCTTGCATCCTCGAGTGTCATTGGTTTAGTCGAGATCTAGATCGGATCGGTGCGGGTAAAAAGAACGACGGGGCAAAGAGGCGTATCGTAACAGACGTGGGCTATGGCCCCCGGTTCTACCTGGGCAGGAACTAATTAATGTATTGTGTCGCTTTGGATGGACAAAAGGGACATTGGAAAGTCGGGGGCCAGGGGGAGAATGCGATTGTTACAGTTCCTGCGAACTTAGTTTCCAATTTGAAATTGCTTCAATCAATTTCACTTTTTACCACCGAGGATGTTGTTTTTTCTCTTTTATTTTATTTTTCTCTCTTTTTGTTCCTTCCATTAGTACATACATTAGAACTCCATTCTCTGTACACTTCACCTATCAGTGTTGATCGGCCCCACCGATGAATTAATTGGAACGGCCTATCGGGCCCAACTAAAAAGCGCACTCAGCTACGCCGTGTATGTAGCCGATTCACGAATCTTGGCTTAATCACCTGCGACCCACTGGCACGACCTCGGAGGATGGAGCTAACTCAAACCCATCAGATTGGTCCCTTTGATTAACACATCATGCGATCGTGGAGGTGATATTCTCTGTCATCTGCACTATGCGTTCGGATATGCAAGTAACGCCTACCGGTGACGATCAATCACAAAAGCTTTAGCGCAGTCAAGCGCCTAAATCTAGAGAAGTACGAGGCGTAAGCTGATTTTCAAGGCAAACTACAAAGTGGAGTGATCTGGTTATCTCCATATTTCCACATTTATCAGGGTCACAAGTTACAACCCAACAAGCTGAAAATAACAACCCTATGCTCAAATATTATTTTAGCGAAGGAATTAGAGCCGCACACCCGGAGGAGACCTCGGTCTTGATTCGGAAGAAGAGGGGAATGAATGGCCTGTGATGTGGGACTGCGGAAATCTACGAAAATTTAAATTCCGAGGTCAGCATCGACATTCCATCGCCTTATCCACCATAAATCCATCCCATATCGTGTGATTCGACAGTATTTTCTTGCGTGGCGCAGTGTTTGGCTTACTGATACAGCTTACTGGGAATTGGCCAGCTCCTGGTTCCTGGTGGATGATGTCTTTCGTTGTCCATGGCTGGGACGATCGATAGTATCAAATGTGGGACCCTAGTAGCCTTGCGAGGAAAATGTAAGATTCAAATGTTTGTTTGAATAGATCGATCTGATCCATTTTGTGGAAGCTACCCACTTCGAATGGAGTAAACTCCATCCTTGGTGATTCTTTGCACGATTACGGTAGTCAATGAAATTCGGACTTGTCTTCCCTATTACCGATCTGAGATTATCATCTTCTTCCCATTTTTTGCCCTTCAATTCTTCGTTTTCCATTTTCCCATATTCTGTACGAAGTTTGGGTCGGATCAAGCCGAGCAGATGCGAACCATGCTGATCCAAACTTTCCAACGCTTCGTTCCCTTCCTGCATAAATTTTCCGCGTGAGTTCTGAACCTTTTACTTTCGCACATGCCCAACTCAAATGTTTGTGCGATACGTAGAATTAAATAGTAGACTCATCGACTTGATGCAAGCAAGCCGGTGAGCCGGTAAACCGGTCAACTGCCAACCGGCACCTGTCAATCGCATGGCAAGACATGTGGAGTAGCTCCACGATTAGACAAATTCTCCGGGACTCGATTCCTCGGTCCGGATTCCTATCTCGATATCTTTTCGTGTGACGAGTTCGTGTTGAAGAGGTGGCTGGAATCTAGACTCTGTTATCAGCCACAGAGGGGTATGAGCTTGAGGGTTTGGCTTGACGATGTGCCCAATGTACGCCATGCGATCAGGTTTTGTTTTCTGATGTAGTGCGAACAAGTTTGTTTGTTTATTTATTCGATCTATCTGACTTGTGTGGGTTCTGTGGCGGTTTTTGAGATAAGGCGACAGGTTGAGGTGTGGGCCAAAGAAGCTCAAGGGTTTTCTGCTAGAGAAGGTCATTGATGCCGACGGTAGCAAACACGGGAAGAGGGGATCGCCGATCATCGTGATATTGCGAATATCATCCTACACTTGATATTTAGATGTAGGCATTGGTTCCTACAGCTTTTTACCAAACCAACAATGCTTTTAATCTGTACACTGTGTTCTATGTAGGGCGCATTGGAGGTAAATTCAGGTACTGGTATTCTCTCCGTTCCAGTTCACCCAAGTAATCGGCCATTTGAGTACATAAAAAGTATGATACTGAAGCCATCAATAGCCTTTGCCTATTATTGAGATTTGACAGGTTCTCTAACTGAAAATTCGGAGTGGCCTCCGAGTCTCATGCATAGAAACATTCATCCAGAAGTTTCGAGAGCGAGCGGGGAGTAAGTTTTGTGATATGTCACACCCGTAAATGATCTATGAAATTTCATGCTTGCTTTTTCTTGCATGCATGACGCAAGCGATGATCATCCTGCGTGGGGACTTAGGTACTATGGACTCCAGGGTTGCACTGACAGTCTGGCAGCAATGGAGATAAACAAACATCATGATTTTCTGAACTGGAACCGAAGTTCAGGATGTAGCATGTTCAAGATTGCAAGGTCAGTACTATCTATATCAATTTGACTAGGAAGCCGATTGAAATTAGACTGAATGAATCCAGAATCTACAAGGTAAAAGTCCACAGCCTCTACGAGATCTTGAAAAAACACAGGCCCCTCAACAATCAACAGAGACAATAGCCCTGAGGCTGGGAGATCATATTATTCTCTCCAATTTATGCACATGAAAAACACAGATCTTGAAACTCAATCTATCGTTTACTCCAGCAGAGCCTGGACACCAGTCATGATAGCAGCGCCGTTGGCACCACGGACAGACTTATCCTCGAGCTTCTTACCGTCCTTGAAGAAAAGGAAGGTAGGCATAGCAGAGATGCCGTTGTCAGCGGCAACATCGTTGAGCTTGTCAACGTCGACCTGGTAGAACTTGATGTTTTCGTGTTGGAGGCTCAGCTTCTCGATAACGGGGGCGATGGCCTTGCAAGGACCACACCAATCAGCGAAGAAGTCAACAAGGATGAGGTCCTTGGAGTTCTCGATCTTCTCCTGCCACTCCGCGGCGCTGAAGGAACATTAGCTTTTATCCCTAATAACACTTATTTTCGCTCTTCTTTTCCCGTTGCTTTCCCCCGATATGTGTATGTATAGGTTGACTTACGAGGTGATTTCGATAACGTTGCCACCGCCCATTTTGGAAGATGATGGATTAAAGCGTGTGATTGGGGTAGACGAGAAAGATCGAGTAGGTGCGACGAAAGGAGTACGCGTGGAAATTTGCGACCGAAGTACAGACGGAGTTCGGGAAAGAGGAAGACGAGCGAGACGGAAGGTAGATTTAATCTGGAAGAAAGAGACGTGGGGCAATGAGCTTTTAGTTTTAGGAGGGGCAGCCGGACAATGAGGGGCTTAGGTTTTTTTTTATAGGTTAATGACGAGCGCGGTTCCGGGGCACCGAGATTAGGTAAGAGCTTCGAGGTTTTGCGCTGAATAATCTCGTGCCCACAGATTCGACTGGATCTTTCGCGTCGCTGATTTATGCAAGGGGATGGGACTTACGGCAGACATGGTAGACCGATTGGTTTCGAGATTGAGGATCTATTGAGGCCAATTGTAGCCAATTGAAGAGCGTGATGGTGAAGAGAAAGGGAGGTTTGTGGGCGGTCGGGATGGGCAGTATGGATGACGTGCTGCGGCTTACGAATTGGATTCAGTCTGGATCGGCGGCATACATAGCCGGGTGATACTATAAGGGTCTATGTAAGCACCACTGAACTTGAGGATTAATCATAAAGATGTCGTGAATGTTCCAGTGATCTTCAAACGTCATACTAAACATTCAGTCACTAAATGAGTTGAATTGTGATTCTCGGTGCCCCCGAGCCCTCTCGAATGTTCATACTGACATATCAAACACCGATTATGATATTCAAACCCCGGCTTGTATACATCGGCCAAAATTTACATGGCCAATCTCAACCTTTAAATTGACAATAAAACAGATTACTAAATAGTGTTATCAACACACTTATCTCATAGCTGAGCACCCTACTGCGTAACAGGCTGAGCATTGGTGAAGTTAGGCAAATCCACAAATATCCTGGAAGTCTCGGAATCCTGCATAGCCTCTTTTAGGCCGTTCAAGTTGTTGCTCTCGAATTCAAGTTCCAGCTGAGTCGAGATGAGGTATTGAGAGCGCGATCTATCAAGAGCTATGGGATTCTTGATAGTCTTCCAACTAAGCAAGCCATGCTTCTTCCAAAGGGTTTCGACAAACGGCATAAGGGTTTGCAGGTAGTACGTCTCGTTGAATTGCATACCCTCAGTATTGGGGTACAAAATCCAGCGTGGTAGACCGTTTTCAGTGACGGAGCTGTTCACTTTTACAAGCGAAGATGAATTGGTGACATTGAAGTTATGGATTCAATTGAGAATTTCTGTGATGAGAATATAATCCAATGAAGGGCGAATAACCACCATCTTGTATCGTAGGGCGGTTGATATTAATCCGTAGGTATCTTCAGATTTCTCCGGGGTTCAGTGCTGCCCAATGAATAGAATCACGAATTACTCACTGTTTGGTTCATCTAACTAATCTGCTTGGCTTTCCATTGAGTATACGGTCAGTGATCGTCTTTTTGCAGCTTCAGAACTACAGGGTCACAATCGATCATGTTTCAATGAATGTGGAGAACGACAATAAAATTAACTAAGAAAGGCTGCAGTGAGATATGATATCCATGAAGTGTTCCATATATAGACGTTAGGTACTGTCTACATTTTTCTATTCAACAGAAAAGAAGGAATTTCGAAGCCGGTGGGATCATAACACTATACCCCAACCTCTCTGCAAATTCAAAACAACCATAATAAATTGAACTTTGATTTCAACTATGACTCCTTACATATGACCTGGACATCAGTCATGGAAAATAAAGCATCACGTTTCTCAGCCCACTCCCTCCAAGCCCGGGGAACAAAAATCCTGTCCAAACCAATGACCAACCCCCCTTTAACCGCCTCGCCATAGTCTCCCCCCACCGCTTCACCTCCCCAGGACTCGCATAATAGACCACAGAAGCCGAGACTTCAATATCATTTGATTGCCACCCCGCCTGCAAAGCCCAGCTCCTCGCCATCCCGCCATACGGCGATATAGATTCCAAAGCGGCCAGATCTTCGATAAATTTCATACCCCTCCGAACGCGGGGCATATAAGGTTGAACCACAGCACTTTCCAAATCAGATTCTCGTGCACAGACTAGGCCACCGGATTTACAAACTCGTCTCATTTCTTTTTGGCCTTCTACGGCGCCGATTCTAGATGATGATAAACTGTAATGGTTGGGAAGTTGCATGAGAACTTGGTGTACGCAGACGATGTCGAATGTTGAATCTTCATATGGAAGATTGAGGACATTGCATACTTCGAAGCTTGTTTTGGATTTTGCGTGTCTGAGCGAGTTGTCTTGCGGATTGAATCGCTTTCTCCTTTCTGTCGATGCCGGTTATGGTTCCGTTTGGGACGTAGGTAGCTAGATCTAATGTGATAGATCCAGGTCCACAGCCAACGTCGAGGGGTTTCATATGTGGTTTGATTCGTGAGAGGAAACAAGAAGATGTATTTGCTGCTGTGCGGACGGAGTATGTCTCTAGCATGGAAGAAGAGTAAGGCTCTGTTTCAGTTGGCATCTTGAGAGTGGTGGCTCAAAGCTGTTGTTACTCTTCCCTCTTTGTAAGCTCTTCTTTGCTATTGATGAATGTTACACAGGGTGTGTCACATAGGGCTTAGTTCTCGCGCATATAAGCCACGGTACGTTCTCCTGTCTCTCTGACTTATACACATCTCCATCCTCATCAGCTATTTATGATATGTGAAGATGCGACAGTGGGCCAGAAACGGCACGTGCTTGATGCTGTATGGCATGTTGCTACAGGCAACAGCATCTTCTTCCTAGCTTCAGAGCTACATATATACATACACGGCTACTTGTACTGTAAAGCCTTCAGGGCTAGGTCAATAGAAAACAAAGTGGGAAGACAAATGGGAACTTGAAGACAAGTGGAAATAGTTTAGTACTACACAGTCGTATGTCTAAGGTTCTGTTGGAAATACCAAGTATGCCTCCTATATAAGACTACCTTTGTCACTCAAGCTACAAAGAATCATTGAAAGACTGAATGATTAGGAAATTGTAAATTTCAAGTTATAGGCTTTCTATGTATTTAATGCCAATGCTAATGACATACAGTTTGCGCTTGAAAGGGCCTAGCCTAGTGAAGCCCCGAAGCGCTCAATGGGCGTCAGACTGCAGCACATAATAGGCCAAACCGTCCTTCCAGAGCTGGGCAGGTAGGTGGAAGATATAATCATGCAAAGAAATTCAAGTCTGTGTACAAACAAAGACTCAGTTAAACCACATCTAGTCAAAGATGGATATAAGGTATTGAAAGGGTATATTGAAACATATTCTTTTCGAAAGGGTATCAAGTGAGAAAGAAGGTCGGCGCGAAATGCACTGGCATATGCAATATGCATATTATGCAATGAGAAGGAAAGAGCAGGCCATGAGAACGGTAATGTATATGGGTTATTAAAACACGCAGCATTGAATTTATGCATCTAAGATGAATGGAAAGAATATCATGATCAAGAATAAACGGGGCGAGCTGGGGGTATCAACTAATGGAATGAGAATGACAAGAACATCGAGTACAAGCACAGTAGGCCTCGGGAAGAATGGGAAGGGAGGGGAATGGGAGGGGATATGGGGGAGGGGATATGGTTATGCGAAGGAGTAAAAGGGAGACGAGATGGAGACCTTGCATCACAACATCGTACAGAGTAGATGGCAGGCGGGAGGCCACATATAGTGCGGGATATCACAAGGTACAGACAAAGGAAAAAACAAAGGAAATGTCTAATGAGTGTCGGTTATGCAAGATGCATATGCGAGCGGGTTGAGGCCCATCTCGAGATTGAGTTGAGAGAATCGATTTAGGGCGAAGAGGCAAAGGGATGATGTTCGGAGGTCGCGATTAATGACTTGCAACTGGTGGCAGGCAAGTAATACCGTATGCATTAAACGTGATCGATGATGCCGTGGACACTGGCAACTCGCTGAGGAAGATGATGCTCTTCTTCTCCTTCATCTTCCTCTTCCAAAGGACTAACAGGGCTGTAGTCCTCCTCCGCCGAGATAGGCGACAAAGAAGGAATAACTCTCAGCGCACCCTGGTTAGACTTGGGACGAGAAACGGGATTAACGACAACAGGTCGACGACCAACTTCGCTATGCCACATCTCTGCGGGCTTCCCGGCTTCAGAACCAGCGAGGTCGGTCTCCATCTCTGTATCAGCTTCTCCCATGACGTTGCTGCTGGGACCGCGAGAGTCGATCGAATTGCGCGCTTCATCCGGTACATCAGCTGCGGCATCGGTAGTACCAGGTCCAAAGGAACTGAAATTAGGCCGAACAGGACTTCCAGGATTCTGGTTCATACGACGGAAGAACTGGCCAGACATCCAGGAGCCTTCAGAGTCAATGGATGCGAGAGACTGAGAAAGCGGGACGTTGTCGCATTCATCAATGCTTTCGGTCCAAGACTGATGGTGGCGTCGGCGGGGGTTGATAATATCCACGCTTGCGCTGGGAGTTGGGCCTTGCAGGAATGTGCCCTCGTCGTGGATCTGGGAAGACTCTGCGGGTTCTTCAGGGATATCAGGGGACTGTAAGCGAGAGTCCGGGGGAGACATGGGCTCGTCGCCGAAGTGTTCTGTGAATTTTGACTGGGAACGTTGGATTGTCCCCGTAGGAATGAATGTTCGTGGAGGGATAATAGTAGCTGTAGGTGGGGGAGAGGATTGTGTTTGGATTCTATAGAAGGACTCGTGCGAAGCGTTAGAGACCTCGGGACTCGATTCTTGGAATCGTTCACGGTAACGGCGCTTGAGTCGAGAGGAACCACGTCGGAACAAAGATGAGATTGTGTTTGCGCCGCGGCGGCCGCTGGTGTCAGAGAGACGACGTTCGGAGAGATCGGAGTTCGAGCCCATGCCAAATGTTTGGGAATGGGTGGGACTGCTGATTCCTTGTCGGAGAGAGGAATGGGATGGTGAGAGTGTGGTACGAGACATACCCATCTCATGTGAAGGGGCAAAGCTAGGGCGAGCAACCAATTTGCGCTCGCGGATAGAACTGTCATCGATGTTTCCAATGACTCGGACGCTTCGTTCATCGATGGACTCATCAACAATAGCATCGCTGCCTTTTGATTCGCCTCGGGCTTCTTCCTCGACAGGCGAGTCCACCTTCTCCTCTTCGTGTGTAGACCGTTCTTGATCATCTGTAACCATGGCGCTCTCTTGTGCCGCCGCGGCCGCCGCGGCCGTTGCTGCTGCTGCTGCTGCTTCTGCCTCTGCTGCCGCCGCTGCGACGGCTTCTTGGGCTAATCGCTCCTCCTCCGCTTGTTGAGCATCGGCTCGTTCCTGTAACTTCCGGCGTAATTTCTCTTGGTCGTCGATCTGCTTCTTCTCACGACGGCGACGATCTCGCTCCATCAACTCGCGCAACGTGCTCGCATCCAGTGAATCGGCCAATTCATTCATCCGGCGCTTTGAATGATATAGATCTTCCTCCGACTGGGGTAATGTTTGTAAACGGTCCTTATCGGGACGACCAGAAGCAGGGTTATTGCTTCGAGCCGTGGGAACACGAGGCGCTTCGACGTATCGAACCACGGGTCGGGGGGTCAGAGCCGCAAACGCATTGACCTTAAAAGTGTAAGGATCGTTTAGGTCCGACATGGATGAGGCGGCCGAATCGCGAATCGAAAGACTGATATCCGAATTATACCGATCCATGCGGCGGCCGTTTGCGCGGCGGCGTTGATCCATCATATTGTATTCGCCCGGGTGACCTATTCGACGCGGGATGTCGATCGGTGTGGAGGAGAGCATGCGGATCTCACGTTCGCGCATGATCTCGTGGGCCTTGCGTTTGCTCAATCTGCGACGCAATTTATTGGGGCCATTTGGGATCTTGCCCTTCATTAAAGATTCGGTTCTCGAGAGCGGTCGCTGCGGACCATCCGGGTCGACGCGGTCGGACGACATTTGCGAGGAACGATGGTCGATCAGCGACATGGGTCGTTGTCGTTGGGAAGACGATCGACCTAGGCTTGGGATGGGGTCTGAGGGATCCCCATTACGCGACAGGCGATTGTTGTTGACGTTGACGTTGTCGTTGTTTTGTTTTCGCTTGGCGGGCCGGAGGGAAGGTTTGCGGCCCAAGGTTGGTTCGGGGGCAGGATCTTGGTCGAGGGAGGAGTGAAGAGTAGCGGCTTCTTCGGGGGTGACTTGAATGGTATGCCGCTTATTCTTATTGCTCCGGCCAAAAGGCCATATCGCCATGGTGGTCGAATGCGGGATACGCCCCGTACACGAGTCAATGGAGGCGAAGAAGGATACCCGTGCTTGATGACCAGACTGAACTCATGGATGGGGTAATTCTTTTTTGTTTTTGTTTTCTTTTTTTTAGGGTTGGGAATAAGACCAAGAAAGAAAAAGAGTAAAAAAAGAGTCAACACTAATCCAGCGTCATCAAGTGGGTTCTTCGGTTTTAGGGGGAAATCCAAAATTAGGAACAAGGAAGAGTTGACCCAGATGCCAAAAAAAGGATCGGGGGCAAAAGGGGGGCAAAACAGGGTAAGAGAGTGTGGCGTTGGGAGAATGAAAGAGAGAAAAGGAAAAACAGAAAAGAAAACAAGAAAGTCGAATCAGAATCAAATCAAAATCAAAATGAGACAAAAAAGAAAAAGAATTTTAGCTTCAAAACCGACAAAAGGCCAGAACACGCTGGACCTGAACACTGAACGTGGAACTGGAACAATCGAGTCTCTTGTTTGTCCACATTCTTGACTAGTACAAATACTGCTATAATATGCCCCAGTTTAATATGAACACATGATACAGTACTACGGAGTATTACTCCAATACTCCCATTATTCTATTCCTTATTATTACTTGCTAGTATAAATGCATTCCTATTATATCCCCCCTTGTCACACACACACATCCAGTACCAGTACCTGTCTCCTGTCTCGCCTCAATACCTAGTCCTACGCGGCTGTGACTGTGGCACACACTAATATTAAGATGAATCGAATCAAAAATAAAATAAAAATAATAAAATAAAATAAAATAAATCATGACAGAATGGAATAAACCAATAATCCTCTCCGATCAGCGGCCACATCGTCATTGGGAAATTGGCAGTCTCCAGAAAGTGGAGTCTTAGACCAAATGAACCAGCGAGAGAGACAAAAATGAATCCTTGCATTGTCAAGGTGTTCGTAGGATGAATGAATTAGCAAAAGGGTAATTAAAATTAAAATAAAATAAATATAGTAGTAGTTCTTTACCTCGGAACTACCGAGTACATACAAAGTACGTTCATAAAGATCTCGTGCCCTGCCCGCGTGCCCATGATGCTAAGGCCGTTGGGCGCCCGGTGGATCCCCATCCCGATTGTCAATACTTCCTCCACGCGGGAATGGAGTCGATCTTACGCAAACACTGTTTCCTGACTGGCCCCCCCCCCAGTGGCCGTGGATTTCTAATTTGATTTGATTTTCCATTTCCATGGCTCCTGTCCCGTCACCCACTACAGTTGGGAAGGCATTACGTGGTACTCTGTACCTGATGTGCCTGGTATATCTGGGATATCTGGTACCCAGGTGTGTGCAGCGGTGACCGTGCTGGCATCCTGCAGGGACGAGGGGTCGCGTAGCTTGCCGAGGAGAATTATTGATGCGGTGGAGATACGATCAGCGTAATGCGTTCCCGATTTTGGGCGGGCTAATGCTCGTTGGGGGTTGATGGTGAGCCGTGCACTGGTTACATGGTGTCATAGAGCATTGAAGATTTTCCCGACACAGTAATTTCCCACTTTTGTATTTGCCAAGCTAAGTTTGACTTTGGATGGATATATCTGCTCTAGTCAAGTCTAGTCTAAGGCTAGTCTAAATTGGGTGGCTTGAATTGGCTTGAAGTGTACGTACTTCATACAATACTTTGGCTGTACTAGTACTCGGGTAAATAGATAGAACACGGGGTAAAAGAGTAAAATTCCTTAATATAGTATATGAGGAAATATAGCTCTATACGTTCAATATCATCCGTGTTTGACATGAATTGCGCGTCTACCGTATAGCGGTTAAGCCCCTTGTCATGATCTCGAAACATCGACACCACCAATTGTAAATCCGGCGATCACTGCAGCTTAACAGACCGTCAGCATGTCGGGGAGTCACACAAGATAAGATTACGAGTTCGACATGAACTTTAACAAAACATGGTGTGGTCCTCCCTTAATTAAAATCGTGCTTCCACCCAGAGATCGAGACTAGTCTCCCTCTGCATATGATAGATCCAACTCGTAATCACAAACCCCACATCAAAGCTCAAATCCCAATCTCAATTCCCAGAGTCTGAAGAATACATACCTTGCGGCTGAAACTAGTCCCAGTGTTCCTGGAATTATGTTTCACAGGGTCTGCGACATGATCGCGATTGCGATGCGATGCGTCAAGGTGTACAGAGTACAGAGTACCTGCACTATCCTATATCTATCATATTCTATCTATCGCGCTGATCTCAAACTTCCCACCGGGGCGGCTTGTTTGAATTACTCCGGTATTCAAGTTAAGTACAGTACATGCTGAGACGAATTCTCATTCAGATTTCGTTACTGCCCCGCGTTCCTCCCTGGCTAGACTGCTCTAGCCGCTCTAGTCCGTGTCTCTCGTGACAGTATTGATTGCAGCAAGGAGTACAGTAGGTCTACGCCGGCTTCCGTGGGATCTGAGAGGGTCATCTTGGGCACCGAGACATGCAGTGCAAATCCCATGTGCCTGCCTTCCCGCTACCCCGAGCCTTAACCCTTTAGAGTTCGCTTCTGTTAGCGATCGATAGCGCACGATAGTGCGGAGTTGGGTCCTTAGTATGTACATTATGTTAAACCCCAATGTATGTATCCAGGTACGACTGGAGGCGGAACAAACACACTGTTAGAAATATTCACATGATTATTTGAATTTAAGCTTAATTGTACTCTTCTTTATCTCAAAGCAATGCCTTTTCAAACTCTTTTGTTTGTTCTTCTAAAGGCTGTGCTGCTGCGCTCGCGTGATTAACAGGCATATGTGTGCGTTGGACGCCATGGAGGGAGACCTAACGCCACCGGGCGACAAAGCAATCAACTACAAACACTACTAAATTGAAGCAGGCGGTCGGTCCCGCATATCTCTTATTGCCGATTCGAGGAAAAATTGTTTAAATCGATGAGCCAGATCTCAATTTGAATCTGCGATCGATGAGAACAAGAGAAAAAGACATTCGGACTAAAGCCTCTAGTACATCCATACCCAACAGCCTGGTACTTTGAATCCAAGCCTTCAGTTCTACCCGACACCAAACAATGCCAAATAACACAAAGCATAAGCCTTGCCAAGTGAAGTGGAAATAAACCAAACAAAGAAAACGAACCGAAATACCCCGCGCCCCAAACCCCAAGTTCACCATGACTGACTCGACGTAGCGGAAAAGAAAAAGAAAAAAAAGAAATCCAAGTCTCGACTCTCCCCCTCTAAAATTCGATGGGCAGTTCCTTATCACATTTTCAATCCATGTGTTGTCCAATGCTAGTGTAGATGGATGCAGGTGTCCCAAACCCTACACCCGCAATAACCTCATTCGTCCATGCAGACGGTATCATGATCAAGATTAAGAAATGACACGTTTCCGCAGCCGATTCGGCTCCCGTTCCAAGACCCGATATCGTCGACTACCACGTCCACTGAGGAGGCGCTTCAATGACCACGACACGGGGGTATGACTTTGGACTTCCGGGCTAGAACACCGTGGTGAAGATGGTGAGTCGGCGTGTTGGGTATGGATTTTGTGGGAATCGGATTGGGATTCGAGATTCGCCATTTTGATTCTGGTTTTGATTGGTTGGGTGACTTGGACTAGGCGATGTGTGTTTCAGTTCAGGTTCTTCCTAAGGTCCAAGTTGGCTTTGTTCCTCCTGGCGCATGTATGTATGCGTTGTACTTTGGTCGATGTTTGGTTGCCCGAGGGTGGTGGATATGCGTTCGGAGGGTAAACTCGGGTTACTAAGTAGGGTAGAATGGGGTTGTTCCTAGTGGGTTATCAGAACTTGACAGCTGGATACACTGCGGTAGGTAGGTGAATGATGAGTAACTGAGGATGTTGGATCGATCTCCAGGGCTCGGGGTTGGTTTTGGATCAGGAACGGGCGAGCGGGGAAGCCGGACATTAGTAGTGGGGCCATGTTTGGATCCGAGGCGTAGAAGGTTTATCTGATTTTCGTCATTGATGGTCACGGTGGTTGGGGCTGACGGCTTTGGTAGATCATGATGGAGGGACATCCTGGTTTCATTTCTGACATTTGTTCCAAGGTTGAGGTATCTACATAGCATCACATCGATGCATCCACATATAGCATGGGGTTGGGCTTCATGCTTAGTATATCAATGTCCATATGTAAGAAATGTACGAACCCTCTGTCTTAATTCATGATAAGGTTGTGTCAGGTATTTATACTGCTTTCTCTCCGAGTGGCCCGTATTCAAGTTATGGATAGCCTGATTGTCACCTTTGTTGCACTGAGAAACGGTCGGGCGTACAGAAACCTGAGGCTTGGATCCATATAGCCATTGCCGATCGTGCTTATGTCCCGTCTGTTTGCTCAGGGTCACCTATATGAATACATAGCCTCCGAATATCATAATCCTTTATGATAATCAGACGAGCCGTTGATGACGCGTTGAGATCCTGGATAGCAGCATGTGTGGAGATGGATCTTCCGATTTTCTCAAGGCTGAGAACATTGGATGTCGTCATGCAATGTATGCGAATGTGTTTCCGACTGATGTGCGTGGAAAAGCTGGCTGTTGATTCATTGATTGAATTTTAGAGACTAGAGGCTGACAACTATGCAACATGAAGTCATTTGTTCATCCATCTAGGTAACGAATCTCTGTAGATGCCATGACTGAGTATGCATCTTGATGGACCCCAAGTCCCGAGCCCCCCAGTATTTCGATATCATGATCCACCTCAGATTACGAGTATACCTCATGGTGCCTGCCTGGAAAGATACATAGCAATAGAATATTCGCACCTCTATACAAATATTGCAAAAATAAACCTGACCCTGCAAATCCAAATGTACTCTGAAAACAAGCTCTCCTTCATACTTATGTACTCCACATCCCTACATGTTTCATCTAAGAAAGCCCCGGACCCTGATTGACAGCCTCTGAACGTCCCGTCCCTACTTCCCTTCTCGTAGTCAAGCATTCGCCCCAACGATCGTCCAGACGATCCATTCCACACGGGAAGAAGAGAAAAACAAAGTCACTGGACCAAGGCATAACCCGACACAAACGAAAAATAGCAAAGAATTATATGTAATGAAATAAAAAAATGACAAAACTCAAACTCAAAAGAACGGTCTGGAAGGCCCCCATCGCCTCGACAAACCACGGACTCCGATCGAGGTGCTAACAAAGCCCTGGAGACTCCAGGAACCCCGCATGGCTCAGGTGCATTCACTTGCTGCCGGAATGCGACCTCAATGGTTGGATACTGAATCCACCACCGTCTCGTATTGGATGGAATATCTCGGAGATGACTCTGGCCCTGCCCTGTGTCTTGAATATTCGGTCTGGTGGGTTTTAAAATCCCTACAAGGACGTCGCTTCCCAACTTCTTTCCTCTGACTTCAACCGAAAGACAAGCTGGTATTGTCCTACCTTATTTTGATTGAAAGTCTTTTCAATTCGGGATTCCCCAGTCCCAGTCTCAGCATCTATCACTCGTCTTTCTGTTTTCCTTTTTTCGTCTATTTCTCCCAGGTGCTTCTCGTCACATCTTGTGCCGCTACCCAATTCTCTTCTACCCGTAACGCCTACACCGAGTTTTAAAACACTTCGTCTTGTTATGGCGCCGCTTTGGATCTTTGTAGCCGTCGGCTACTTACTTCTGTATGCCTTTGCGACGTTGCAAACGCAGGAAGCGTCTGTTTTCCTCTTGAATCGGATAACGGCCTGATGTCCTTTGGACTTGGATATCATGGATACATACCAATCTACCAATATACTCTACCAAAATGGTGATGTATTCTGTGAACATGGCATTGGAATCGCACATAATTTGTGCTTGGTCATGTTGACGCTGTTTTTGCATGGATCAAGCACTGGAACTGAGCTACAATGGCTCTGTTACCAGTACATACCATGCATATCCTCTTATGATTGATGACCTTGTTCGATTTCTACGATACCCAAACAAAAAAGCTAGACCCTAAGCCACCGGTGGGAAAGGGTCGAATAGCTGTTGACGAAACATAAATTGGAATGGAAGCGATTGGAATTGTGAAAATTCCTCGATGATGGCATGCCGGAGTCTAAGTTGACTTTTCAACATTTCAACCTTCATTTATGATTTTTATGGGACTTGGATTGGCGTTTGAGTATCATGGTTTTTGGATTATCTAAAGCCCTTTAAGGGCTTGTCTTGCATTTTTTGATCTATGCGGATACAGAATTTGTTCGTCATCATTTTATAACAAAAGCGTAACATAATCGTAGATGTGACAGATGCCAGATGGTTTGAGGTGGGTTCGTTCCTGAATTATTATACTCAAGAAGATCTTGTATAATCCATGCCCTGGTAGACAAAGAGAATCTCCCTCGAGGTCTTCATGGACCAAGGGAATTTCCACAGAGGGAGCCATCGCCACAGCATTCTAGAGCAATAAGCATGTCCTAGCATATCATTTCTTTCGTAATGCATTGAGCTCCAGTCGGAAGTGCAAATGGTTTCAGCAGTGCATCTCCATCCGACATGTCTAGAACCAGATCTTGATCAGCTCTTCACTAACAGCACTGGGTGTCAAAACACCACTGTCAGTGATCAGAGCGGAGATCAGATGAGGAGGTGTGAAGTCAACAGAGTCTTCCAGTGGTAACTCCACAGGAGAGTCCGCATTGGACTCGACAGCCTGCAGTTTGGACTTTTGCGCGATATCCTCCTCAGTCTTGAAATCGACAACATGCTGTTCGATGGGCAGATCATACTGGCCCAAGGGGTATAAACGAACGAACTTATGGCTCTCAGCCACACAATAGAAGGGCTTTCCAATGGCCTTGGCCAGAAGACCGATCTGATAGGTACCCATACGAGAAACGATACCTCCATTCTCAACAACACCCTCAGCACCCACGATAACCATATCCGCCTTCCCAAGCGCATACGCCACTGCTGATTCGGGAATCGTCGAAACAGGCACACCCTTCGCTCTCAAAGCACGCACCGTCTCCATACCCTCGGGCTCTCCAGAGGGACCCTCGATATCCTTGACAATCGATGACAAGACATAAATAACCTTAAACCGCACAGCGGATGGACCGCCCTCTTCATCAGCTGCCTGCTGCAGTAGCGATGCAACAGCTCGTGATCCACCATTTGTGAGAACCGTGCAACCGTCACGGATGAATCCGCGACCGAAAGCAACAATCTTCTCTCGGCTTTCCTTTGCGCGGCGAATAAAAAGTCGTCCGTTGGAAAGTAAGTGTGTTCGAATCGCTTTGAAGTCCCCGGCAGGACCCAGCTGGCCCGGCCGTTGTAATGTGGTAATCAGGTATCGTTGGAAGAGATCAGTTCCGGCGGAGAGACCGATTGGGTTTGGAGTGGCTTTTTTCAGGTGTGCAGTTGACTTTGCGAGGAGATCCAGTGTCTCTGAGATTGTGGACGAGGGCTCATGTGTGAGGAGAAGCACTAAAGCTTCAATGGCCGCAATGGGCATGGTGAGATCGGGATCGGAGCGTAGGAGCTCATTGTATGTTGCGACAATGCTGCGCTAAGGATCAGCGCTGCTCTTATCCAGTCAGAGATTTGTGGTACCTACTCGAATGGTTTCGCATCGGCTGCTGCCGTGCTATCTGTTGGTGTCGCCATAGTGTATGGTTATTTTTTGCTATTCTTGTAGAGCCGAAGACGAATCTGGTCGAGCTGGAAGAGTCATGATTTCTTTGTGCTTGGTGCTGTGTTTGTCTTGTTTGTTCTGGGCTGCCCCTCCAGCGGCACGCTAAACCAGATGCGGGTTGTCGTGCGGGCTTTCCCTCTGAAAGTAAACAATCCAGCTCATAACAACTGCCTCCGCTACAAACTTGGAACAACCATCTCGGCCTGGTCGACAGTGCTTTCAATCATAAAGTGACAGCTTTGCGACTGTGACGCGATGTCTTACAATCCCCGAATGAGCATGGCTGCGCCCCAGCAGTCTCATAATCGCGGCCGCAAGAAGGAAGATGACAATGATGCATTGATGCGCCTGGTCAGTTAGAGTTGGGCCATTGAAGACGGTTAGGTGACGGGGGTCTTGAGAGTATTGCTAACTTTCTTCTTAGCCCGACAAAGAGATCGCAGGGTGTATCAATGATATCGGAATACCTTTCACAACGGCCGACTTGGCCAAACCTAACCCCCAGCAGATTCAGATGGTATTCGAATGGTTCGCAGAGCTTCTCATGAATGTGACTCGTGAGACTGTAGAACCGGGAATGAATGCGGCCGCAGAGAACATCTGTGAGGACTACCCAGATATTGTCGGCAATGAAACTCGGAATCTCATGGGATTTTTCATAAGCATTCGAAGGCTACTCTCGGAGGTGCGTTAAGAAACCATTCTGATCTGTCTCTTCAAAGAACCCTAGCTTATAACTTTCGATATAGTGCGGTGTCAACGACTTTACCTTCACCGATCTTACCAAGCCCACTCACGATCGACTTGTTAAGATATTCTCCTACCTTATTAACTTCGTACGATTTCGCGAATCGCAAACGCCAATCATTGACGACCATTCCAACAAAACGGAACAGACCAAAACGCGCATCGATGAATTGTTCGCTGAAAACCAGGAGATGCAAGCCCGCTTGGCTGAAATGCGAAGGGAAACACAGATGAATGAAGTACAAGTACGCGAGAAATCAGCACGAAATGAGGAGCTCAAAGCTCGCCTATTAGAATTGGGACGTGAGCAATCGCGAGTCGCCGAAACCCTTGACCGTGTGAAGAACGACCGTACCCGAAAGCAACAACAGCTTGAGGAGAAGACGGAAAGGATTCACCGAAGCCGACAAGAGGCTGAGAAGCTACGCCCTTATGTTTTGGAAAGTCCGGCTTCATTGCAGTCCTCATTGACCGAACTTGCGGAGAACCTAATGCGTGAGAAAGCCTCGATTGATACGATGGAGAAGCGGGCGCGAGCACTACAGACCTCCTCGGATACGTTTACTGTTGTTTCCAATGATGTGCAAGCATGTGTCAAATTACTAGATGATGTTGTTGTCGAGTTACAAAAAGAGGAAGAGGAAGAATCTCGCGCTGCTCGTAACAAGGAAGCCATCTCAGATAGAGGTGCTAGTGTACGGGAGGTAGAACAAACGGAACATCTGCTGCAACGACAATTGGCACGCTGGAATGATAAAATTGATAAGTGGCGCAGAGGTGCGCAAGAAAAGGCGGACGCTGCGCAAGCTAGAATGGAAGAGCTTCGCAATGTGCAGAGACAACTTCGTGAGGAGCGACAGGAGAAACAAAGCGACATGGAGCGGAGGCGGATACGTATTGAGCAAACAGAGAAGAAGGTGTGTAAAGGGGACTACGTGATTCTAGGAGGTACAAGTGTCAAGCTAACCAATTAATTCCCTCAGATGGTGGATCTCAAGGAAAATATCGAAAGCGAGATCCAGGCAGCCCATGACCAATATCTTAAGCTGGAGTCCCACATTAAGCTCTACATCACAGAGATGGAGAAGTCTTGGTGAGGGATCATTTTTTGTGCCTTTTGTGCGGATTCAGGAGTTCAGGGGGCGGCTCGAGGATACCCGGGTACAGATTCATTTTCACGGAGTTCATATTGCTGAATGTTTTTATTCTCTGACATTTCATAAATCTTCATCATGTCTCATTTCAGTGAGCATCAATTTCTTTATCAAATGTAAACCAACGCTGCGCGATTTGTTTGATGGATATTCCACGTCCACCCCAATTGCCTTCTTCACTGCGAATTCGCAACGACCCATTTAGCAAAGGGACTTGTGTATTCCAAAGTCTTCTTCCCCAGTCAGCACTAGATGGATCCACAGCATTCAAACATTCACAAAGAACAAGATCCATATCTGCGCGATATGCCGACTCAACAGCAGCCGCGAATGTCCGCGAAAGACCCTGTGCAGCAAACTCCATAGTAGAACCATGTAAGGCTACCAGATCCAGAATAACAAGTAACGGTGAAGTAGAACCTTTGTGCACTTCTTCCTTTACTCCGATCTTTGCATCCAGGGTAGCGAGGTAAGATCTCAGACTCTCCAAAGACGGAGTAAATGTAAGCCGGACTTTACTCGAGTTTGCAAGAAGGCCAATTGTATTAGCGAGCAGATCATGGCGTCGCGTAGCTTCTGGTACTGATTGCAAGTGGATTGCTGCTGATACTTGCACAAGGAATTCGGATCGAGTCCCACAGATAATCAAATAGGTGTTGCCATTATGCTTTAGTAGTTGCTGTATCAGATCGGTCACAAGGTCGTGGTGAACGATAGACCGTGTCCGGTCCATGGCGTAGCATTAGCTGGTCATTGATGGGATCTGCGAGGGCTTCGATCTCTCCTATGCAGGGTTTTGCCCATGTGGTTCAAGTTGCATGCTGATTTGAAGATGGTCCATAATCGTTGAAGTTCCAAGATTGTGTTGGCCTTTACAGGCAATCAAGTTCACCGCCTAGCACTGCAAAAAAAGAGGCTGAGGTAAAGTACGATGCTGAATTATCTTCTGCAAGACACTTCATACATTTAAATAATGAAATTTGGGGCCGACGTCCATTTTATACCATTCGAATATTGGCTATTTAGTTCAGACTCAATATACCTACCCGGCATCGTGTGTGCAATTTTGTCATATCTAGCCATGCAAATTCTAGTTCTATGAACGCCCCGTTGATTGTCAAGTATTGATCTGCTGTTCGGTCAGCTTAATTCATGAAGCGGAAAATGTTTCTGATACTCATCACATACATCTAGGGCTTTTATTCGCGGACAAACGAACGTTTGCGTGAAATGCTCATTCTTTCTCTTCCATCGTGACCTCGTTTTCGACAGGATTAGACAACGGCCTGTAATTCTCCTCGTTGATTTCAGCGAGAATTGACTTGGAAGTTTTCTTGTCTGCCAATCCATAAAGCTCTTGAAAGCTCATAATCAAAGGGCGCCATTTATCAGGATCAATTCGATTCGCGTATCCCTCCATACAAATCTTCTCATGGACATGAGTCCGAACAACCTTAACCTCCAACGCAAAAATTCTTTTCCCACCAGCATCTTGCATCATTTCATGAATACCCTTCAGCTCAGCTTCCATCTGAGCAGGGCACTCTGCGATCCGGGGAGGACGCACGAGATCAGAAGCTTCAGGCGTTAGGCCCGAATGCCCGAATTTGTTCGCTACGTATTTGTAACCGTTCATACGCTTGAATCCGTTTGCCTGAGTGGCTGTCAAGATATCCTTTGATCCGGTGGTTCTTGCTAGAGTATTTATTGCTTCTGCCATGTTGTCCGATGCCAGGTTTAGGACACATTGCTTGGTTCGGATCAAGTTGCTGGTTGTTTGCGATCCGGCTGCTAAGCCGAGCATGCATCGGTTTCCGAGCCACCATGCCGATGACATTGGGGCGATATTGGGTCTTCCATCTTCGTTTTCCGTTGTAATTAGCACAACTGGTGTACCCCAGTAGAAGATGGGTGGGGAGATTATCCGGGAAGTAGTTGTAGACATCGATGCGATTGCGACGTATGCAAAAATTTGAAAGATAATTGAGAGATGAAGAGTGTGTTGTGAAACTGTTGTATCCGAGTCTTCAGTAGTCTTCCTTTACATGGCCCTTTTTATACTTTATTTTACAATGTAGCTGGCGGCTCCAACCTGGATTTTTCTGGGTTGTGGATATCTAACATTGCTCTATAAGTAGCCAATGACAGGAGCGAATTGCAACTCCTTGAGACTTCGTGAGTATACTACCTCGAGGGCTGATTACTGACTTAGAAATGACCAATAAATGTACTCTACGTATTATTACAATTGGCCAATTCAATCCCCATGCTCAAATCCTTCGAATGTTCCGAGGAGATACATCGAAATACTTCTACGGAGTCCGATAGATAACAATCTGGCGAGAAGAACTGCTATTAGATTATGTGTCGAACATAATGAGCTTGATAGTAATGCTACACATGGGCTAGACAGGAGTGAGTAAATTTCAGAAAACTTGTATTATAAACCAAGTGACCTGGGCAATATCCATTAGTCCATCCCTCTTATACTTGCCGATCAAGGAGTGGATCCCGAGATAGTTGTGTTGAGCGGCGCGAATTGCTCGGTTTATGTCATGCTCCGCCCCCCACCTATCCTTCACTTCCCCGGCCAATTCTTGAACATCTGAAAAGGGGTCCCTTGGAGGCTGGCTTAAATATGGAGACAATTTCCAGGATTTCCTCGATGCTGGAAACAGGTAGGCCACCTCTCCCCGTGTCCGACGCGCTTTCCGTACGAGACTGACCGACGGTTCATCACTGTGCGCATAGCTCGAGAGCTCACCCTGGAAGCCGCCCAGTCCGCCGCAAGCAACAGAACCTCGAAAACGGACTACTCCTCGCGTACATACAGTGTTGCTCACATTAAAAAGCTGTTGGATAGTCGTCATGAGAAAGAAGTCCTGGATGGCATGCAGAAGGTTATCTCGGTATGGCGATCGTGTGATGGAAGACAGCTTGGAACAGAAGAACAGCAGCTAACCAAATTGCCAATTTCTCCAGTTGATGTACCGATCTGAGCCCACCCACCCCTTCTTTTCGGCTGTGGTTAAGAACGCTGCCACCTCGGATCTCGAAGTAAAGAAACTGGTATACATTTATCTGGTTCATCATGCGGAGGAAGAACCGGATCTGGCCTTGCTCTCCATCAACGCTATTCAAAAGTCCCTGACCGACTCGAACCCGCAAGTACGAACAATGGCCCTCAGGACAATGGGAGGGATTCGCGTCCCGGTCATCAGCCAGATCGTGTCGTTGGCTATCAAGCGCGGGTGCGGTGACATGAGTCCACATGTGCGGAAGGCGGCCGCTTTGGCTATTCCTAAGTGCTATCGACTGGACCCGAGCACTCTACCCCAATTAACTGGATACATTGAAACGCTGCTTGGAGACCCCCAGTATTTTGTCGTCGGCCCGGCCGTTGCGGCATTCTTGGAGGTTTGTCCTGAGCAGATCGGATTGGTTCACAAGCATTACCGCAGTTTGGTTAGGAAGCTGGTTGATATGGATGAATGGGGTCAGCTCTCAACTTTGCGTCTCTTGACATTCTATGCACGGAGCTGCTTTCCACGGAAGACACAAAAGGTCAAGCAAGCCGGGACTAAGGCTTTTTACGACGATGATGAGCAAGAGAATACCAATGATACAGGTGGCAGCGAAGAACACGAAGTATTGGTAGTTGATCCTGACCTTGAACTGCTATTTCGAGCTTGTAAGCTGCTGCTGCAAAGTAGAAACTCAGCTGTCATTGTCAGTGTTGTCCGCTGCTTTGTCTACCTGGCACCCCCTGACTACCTTGCTTCAGTCGTTGGGCCCTTGGTCGCTCTTCTTCGCAGCCCCCAGGATATGCAGTTGATTGCTCTTTATAACATCGTTGTTGTTGCTCTAAGAGATCCAAAGCCATTTACTCGGTATATTGCTCGATTTCTCGTTCATGCCATTGATCCACCTCACATATGGCGCCTAAAATTGGAGGTTCTCACGATTATATTCCCCTATTGTGGAAAGCATTGGAAGGGTGTTATCATCAGTGAGCTTGAAAACTTTTCTAAGGGCACAGATCCTGCGTTGGTTCGAGAAAGTGTACGAGCGATTGGAAGGTGTGCACAAGGTGATCCCACTACATCGGAATTGTGTCTACGCATTTTACTCGGCCAGGTATCCAGTCTTGATGGGAACTTGGTCTCTGAGTCTCTGACGGTCATTCGACATCTGATCCAACAAGATCCCTCATCGCACAATCAAACTGTCATTAAACTCGTCACATTCCTTGGCACAACAACAAACCCTGACGCAAGAGCCACGATTATTTGGCTTGTGGGAGAGTTTGCAGGCATGAACCCGAGTAACAACATTGCGCCCGATGTCCTTCGAATTCTTATTAAGGGTTTCGCCGATGAACTGGAAGTTGTCAAGCAACAAATCGTATTACTCGGTGCCAAGGTTTACCTGCACCATTTGCTGCAAAAACAACCCGAGGAGTCGGCCAAGGATGTCACTACCACAGCCCCATCCGAACGACCCGCGAAAATTGAGCAGGACTTCCGAAATGAATGGTCGGAGGATCAGACTGAGGAACAGAAGGACACAGATCAAGCCCCCGAGGATGCAGTCGCTCCCGCAGAAAACCTCGAAACAGGGGAGCCAGAAGATCGCATCACATTGCTTTGGCGATACCTCCTTCTACTTGCGCGTTATGATACGTCATATGATCTCCGTGACCGCGCTCGGCTTTACAAGTCGCTTCTCGCCACGCCTTCATCAACCCAACTCGCCAACCTCCTTCTTTTAGCCCCGAAGCCCGTTCCACATGCTCCCAGTCCATCTGAAACACGCAAAGATCTTCTCGTGGGAACTGCTACCCTAATCATAGGCTCAGAAGCGGGCTTCCATGGCCTTCGTGGATACACCAACCTGCCAGAATGGGTGGAGCCAGAACGGGCGCCTAGTCCTAGCCTCCGTACCGAGGATACCAAGCCCGAAACTGCGTTGGCTCCAGCAGCAATGACTGCCGGAGATAAGCTGGATCAAGCGCTCCGAGAACACCAGGCTGTTGCACCGCAACAAAGACGTAACGTTTTGGCCGCATCAGGAGGTGGGCATGGAAAGAAGACTTTGGATCAATGGCTTGGAGAAGAAGACGAGGAGACGGAATCTGAGACTGAGTCAGAGGAGGAAACCGATTCGGAAGAAGAGACTGATTCTGAGGAGGAAGACTCGGAAGAAGAGTCTGAAGAGGAAGATAGTGACGAGGAGCAGACCGATTCTGAGACCGAGGCTGTGAATAAGGAAGCCCAAACGTTACTCGGCCAGCCAAGCGCAAGTGCTCGTACATAGGTATAGGCCTTGTTTCGGGTCAAATTAAATTAAAGTAAATAGTTTCAAATTTTCATAGAACTGGAAATATGATGAATGCTATGTATTCCCTCGCTGGATATTTGAATAACTGAAATCACAACAACGTTCTCGAGTCTATACTACACACTGTATGTTTCCCTCAAGATAGTATTGGTCCAATTGTGTTTTTACTGTTAATTAAACCTTCCATGGTTCAAATGTTGGTTTAGAGATTAAAACAAATCGAGAATCCAAGGTTCCTAGTCGTTCCTCAAGCATGAGTGTTATTTGGATCAGGAAGCTCCCAGTTCGCTCCTTCGAACGGCATATACTGCTCAGGATCTGCACAATGATATAGTAGCAGGTCTATATCAAGCGCATTATCAAGATAATCGGCCCACATTGAATCATGAACAAATTCCCCTGGTGCTTTCCACGAACAACCATCAGCATGGACACCATCCGACTGCAAAGCGCCATTACATGTACAACTATAGTCTGAATCGATGGGCAAAGGACCTGCCGCTGCTTGAAAGCCAGAGCCCTGTGGTTGTAGTCTTGCGATGGGCGTCGCCAATTCCCGAGTTGAGGTTATGATTCTGGAAGACACATTCACCGGGCCTTGGCCTGTTAATCTTTTCATCAAATTGACGAAGGCCTTTGAGATCCATATCCTGACAGGCCAAGATTTGGCGATTATACTCAAAGCCAGCATGCACTGGCGGGACTTGTTCTCTGCTAATTGTCGCTGGATAGATTCTCCGCGAGAAATGACGAGTGTGTGCACTGAGAGTGCAGAAAATAATGCTGGGACTCTGGGGGTAGGTTAGATATTTTTGGTCTTAAAATGGGGACTCTGGAAAGTGTTGCAAGCATACAAGTGGATTAGACCGAAATTTATAGCCCCAGTTGCTAATAAATCTTCGGCAAGCCGGGTAATAGAGTCTGCCGCAGCTTGTGCCCGCAAGTCACGGTTTGTGGAGCCTGGAGAGAGGCTTTCGAGTGTCTTGGATCGGAAGAGAAGTATTATAGTGTTTCTGTATATTACACAGTATTAGTAAATATTATCAGTGGGGATATAATTTCTACCAAAGCTCGGGGTCTTACTGATAGGAAAACTGAGCCATGCAAGCCCAGAAGGAAGATCCCGAGTAATTGTCAGATGCCTTTATTTTAAGTTGATCGGGAAGCGCACATTCCCACTCTGTAAGCCTCCTTTCTAAAGCTTCTGGTTGTAGGGTTGCTTGAAGATTTGATTGTGGATTACTGCGAGGGCTATACTCTGCAGTGAGAACATCTCCAACTATGATGCAAATAAAGTCAGCAAATACGACGACAGCGAATTGCGAGATTTTGGGTCTTGAATTACTGATTACAGCCAATTTTGACATCTCAATCACGTATAATGTATTAAAATCCTCATGAGCCGGAATGAGTTCCAGATCATAGGCCGTATCAAAAGTAAAGTCCTCCTCGGTGAGAGGTTCCACATCACAGTCTTCGTCTCGGATTCGGTATGGCCGACCGAAAGCTGCAGAAACATGTCTATCACGAGTCTAATGAAGTTAGAAAGAAAGAATAAGCAGGAGGAGGAAGTAAACTGTCCAGGCTCACATATATTAACCACCATATTCGCTTCCGCAAGCATTTCATCCGTGGACTCATCGCTGAATGCTGCATACTAGAAAGAAGAGCTCAATTTAGTCTGACGCTCATTCGAACATATCAGGGTAGCTTACGAGCGATGCATTCCTAGTGACTGGGCCAGCATTGATGCACAGCCAACCCAAAAGCATGTATCTTTCTGGCCCTCGGGGCTGGCCCACCAGAAACCGAAAAGCAGCAGAACAGCTACAAGATTCATACGATCAGTTTCGTAATCAGCATCATATAGCGCTTTGGCTCGAAGGAAGTGTGTCTTTCTTGCAGTCACACGATCACTAAATCCGGCTGCACGAACGAGGTCATCACTTCCAATTGTGAATCCGAGGAGAGCGATTGTTTGTAAGACCAAGGGTGAAGCCCGATTTGCATAATATAATTGTAAGAAGCTTTCACGATCAAAGACCGGATAAGCCGGATGAATTCTGTGAAAGAATGTATAGACCAATTGGTTGAGTACATCCGGCGTTGGCATAAGTAAGGCTTCCTGCAAGGAGATCGGAGCCTGTGGCTGATGGACAGGTTCATGCCCCGGCCTCTCTGCAATAGAGGCAGGTAATGGATGATGAACTGTGAGTGGCGGTTCTATAGAGCCGCCACTGGATTTGTGGTTTAGCTCTATCACATAGTGGAGGTTGGGAGGTCCTCCATCAAATATATCAAACAAGCCTCGGCTATTGCGAGGTCCTGGGGAAGTAGACCGCTGAGTCGTTTCAGGTAAAGATAAGTTAACGCTTTCATTCCCAGTGGTTAGACCTGAGTTTATAGGGTGCACATTCGGCTGGCCATTAGGCGTATTTAGAGTCTGCTGAGGCTGTTGAGAGGTACGTTGAGCTCCTCCGGAGCGGCGCCCTCTGACATATCTATTATACTTTTTACTAAGGCTGATTTGAGGATAGTGAAGATTCCCGAAGATTTACTCACTTCCCCCTTTTGGATTCAATCAACTCGCAATTTATCTTTCGCATGCGGCAATGCCAACATGGCTGTCCTTCGCCCGCGTCACATTTCACCCGCTTTGCATTGCACGACTTGCAGGCCACGCGGGTTCGGCGGAGTGGGGTCGGGGTACTTTCTCCTTGTTGCATATTGACTGACCAGAATGCCCCGTGGAAGAGCTCGAGACAGCGATACGGAGCGTGTAATATCTTACTGCAAAGGAAGCATCACATTCACGGGTATATGCGGAGAGAGAGACCGCGGGTTCATTCACGGGTCAAAGCGAAATCCCGCCCAAGACACCGCGGGATCTTACAAAATGGGTCCGGATGAAGAGACCGCGGGTATTAAAATTGATACATTATTTCAGATTAACGAGTGACGATTTGTACCTAAATGACATAGCGCAAATGCCCAACTTGAAGAAGATATCTTTATTTTCAATCATGATAGTGCTCAATAATTCCCGCTCAAGTCAAACCATATTTGACCAGCGCACAATTTCGTGATTTCCCGACCCTCCCTTTATTCGACTCGGAGTGCTTTTAGGCCTTTAAAGCAAATTTGCTTCTTTGGCGAAGTTTCTGGCCGTACTTGAAGAATAGATAGGGAAGAGGCATCATCAGAATGGTGATGAATGCAAGAAGACTAGTTCCCCAATGACTTCCAAGTCGCTCATACATTTGAATGCCGAAAAGTGGAAACACAGCTACATATTGAAGTTAGCCTTTCAATAACGTTGATAAGTGCTTGTCCAACTTCACAAGCAGAAGTGTTGTTTCCCCCGCTCACTCACCTGCAAAGCTGCATCTTGCTAAGCCATTACTGGCAAGTGCAGATGCGGCGTACATGGGATAAGCATCAACCTAGATCTCAATAACTGGAGATGTAGTCAATTCTAGGATAGCAAAACTCACAAGAAAAGTAAATATTCCCATGAATGCAAGTAGTGTGCTGAGAAACTCAAAATGTCAATCCAATGTCGCCAATTATGTAAAAGGACTCTACCACAATTTCAGTACGCACCCGCACCCATAGAGGGCAGAACCAATAACAGGAACCATCCAATGCACTTCTGGTGACATGCTCCAGCCAAACCACAGCAGACCAGTTGGGATCATAATAGCACCTGGTATTGCTGGTATTAGGCGATATTCTGGGGGTCTGCTGTCTTCTATCCTGGGCTGTATACTACTATTTGAAATTCGATCGGCAACAAGATTCCAAAGTGGAGTACTGGCGGCTGCAATTACCATACCAGATATGATACCTAGAAAAGCGAGGCCTACCTGCCAAAGGTTGAAAGTATAAGTTCTTTCAAAAAGGAGTGGGAATGCCTCAAAAAACAGATAGAGCATTCCTAACAGCACGGCTGAATAAATGTCCAGTGCAAGACACATGGGCTCCAAAGTGAGAAATTGCACAGGTCTCAACAGCGAAAGTCCCAACAACCGGGTCTTTGCGACCTGAGTTTGCTCACTGGGTGCCACATAGTTTTCATTGCCGGTTTTCTTGCGAAGCATTTTTGCTTTAGCCTTGAGCTGTATCGGGTGATAGGTCTCGGGAACCAGGAAAAGAATTGGTACTAGGAGCACTCCAGCCCAAATGAGTATGACGTAGTATGTCCATCTCCAATTCGCATGGTAATTGATGAAGCCTCCAATCAAGGGTCCAAAACAGGGTCCAGTAAATGGTGCAGCTGAAACAAGCGCCATTGGTATTTGAATCTGATCGCGAGGGAAAATGTCTCCCGCGGTGCCGCCGGAAACCGACAGGAAAGTGCCACCAAAAAAGCCAGTGAAGAAACGTGTGATCAGCACAGTTTGAAATTTTTTTGCAACGGCAGTTCCAATTGTCCAAATCAGAAATAGGGACCAGGAAATGATGTAGATGGCTCTTCTTCCGTACCACTCACTAAGGGGGCTGGTTAACAATGGACCGAAAGCAATTCCCAGGACGAACATAGAAAGCCCCAGTGTCGCGACGATAGAAGATATTCCGAACTCGGCATTCATCTGTGTATATGTGGTAGTATATATAGAACTTGCACACGTACTTTCAGCTTTCTGTTAGTATTGTAGAAGTGTGAATATTGTATTTGGGGATAAATGAAAGGCGAGTGATAGGTCACAATAGAGGCCAGACCCAGATAAAGAAAGGGAGATTTTACTTACACACAGATTGTTCCTGAACACACGATGATGACAATGGCCCATTTACGTACCAATGTAATGCTTCTTGGGCACATAGGGTCATTCTCTCCGTCAAAAAAAACAATAATCCTATCGCCTGGGACGGTACCCTCAAAATGTGATTTATCAACAGGTCCAGAGTCATCATAATTTTCTTTTTGAAAAGGGACAGTTGTATCGAGTCTCTGCTTACTCTCATGCAGATCTTCAAATTTCTTGGTATCCGGAAACCGATTGTTATCCATCTCATGCTGTTGGTTACCGCTAGTCTCTATTCTCGATTGCCTCCCTGAAATAGACATGATTGGGAGTAGGGGCGTTCGCTAAGCGACGAATAAGCAACCAAAAATCTGAAAAGAGAGCGATGTAGTAAATGAGATTGCTTTTTGCTTATATACTTACTTTTATATGGAAAATCTTAGTTCAGCATTGTTATCTGAGCTCTTGTGGGGCAAACAAGAGACTAAGATGGAAGGAGACCACCTGATAATCGCCTCGGTTAAAAGTCACTCGTCTTTGAACTCCCCTCGGTGTCTTACGGTGTCAACAGAAGAAGAACGAAGAAAGAAAATGGCTTGTCATATTCTGGTACAAAATTCAAACCGAATGGATAAATTTCTCAAGAGCCCGCGGGTTGTCAATTTGAGTTTAGAATACATGAGACGTATCCACAATTTACTGCAGCCAATAGCCTGAACCATTGGGAATAGTATCGTATCTGAATCAAGGAATGAAGGTAGCAAGATTTAGACATCAGTGAGCAGCCTGTATTTCCCTGAGTGATGCCAAAATTCGCTTCAGACCTTCCTTTGACGCCTCTTGCCCCACGGTAAAAGTAATGCAGAACCAACCATACTCTTCATACATATAGACATGACCAGGACCATCACGCCGTTTTCCATGCAAATATCAGTAAATATCAACTCGCTTTCTAGGTTTAGTTGACCGCTAGGAAGTATCTTGTGTCCAGTATCAGTACCAAATTGTTGCTCCTGGGGTTTAGAAGCTACAAATTGTCGAAGGTCGATCCAAACGAACAAACCCGCATTCCTAATTGCTTGTTAGTCTATATTAGTAGGTGGTGGTACTCTTCACTGACATATCGACGTATGGAATTTCATGTTCAGATAGAAACGCTGTAGTTGTCTTATATCGATCCAACATAAGCTCCGTCTTCTTCTTCATGAACTCCTTCATCCATTCCTTGTTCTCCATCATAGCGGCCCAGGCATCTTGCAAAATTGCAAAATATGGGGCGACCATGGAGAACATTCTAGAAATGCTCAGTGAGTAAAATATAAAACATGGGGCGGGGGAGTTCGATATGAATTACCCCATGCTGGACATTACCCCCAAAATACCTTCATTTTTTACTATAAATGAATCCTATTCGCAACCCATTAGCACAAAATTCTTTACTCGCACCGTAAAGCACATGCTTGCGCTCTGCCCCGGTGGTTGAATCCAAATCTAAGGACAATATTGAGGTGAATTCGTCCAGGGATGAAGCTTCGGGATTCGAGAAGACAGAAAGGGCATAAATATCGTCTGAGATAAGATGCAAATTGTTTCTACCACAAAAGGCAGCAAGCTCAATCAGCGACTATAGATACATTTCGGCGATCAGCCAATATTCGCCGCGTACATCGCTCGCCGAATATCCCCATTCACTCGTGATATGTTTCGGCGAATTAATGTATATATCACGTCTCAAAATATTCTAATCAGTTCTATCAGATTGACCCAAAATTAACTTCGAGGTGTCAATCTATTCATTTTGATCTACTTTATTTTGACAATGGCATCTGCTTTGGCCTTCTCGGGAGTCGCGCTTATTACCGGCGCAGCTGCAGGTGCGTGAAAATTGTTGATATTGTGTTTAAATTGAGGATGCACTAATAAATACAACAGACACTGGATGGGCGATTGCAAGTGCATTTGCAAGTGAAGGATGCATGAAGATCGTAATTGCCGATCTTATAGAGTCCGCGCTCAAAGAAGCTCACTCTGAAATCGAGACAGAGTTTTCGAATGTTCAAATTTTATCTTGTGTCGTTGATGTATCATCTCCAGAGGAGATTCAAAACTTAATTGATAAGGTAATTGAGAACTTTGGCCGAGTAGACTACGCAGTTAATGCTGCCGGAATTCTGGGAGCAAGCAAGCGCTCTCATGAAATGAGCGTGGAGGAATTCGACAAAATCTTGCAGGTGGATTATAGGGGCTGTTGGCTTTCCTCGAGGGAAGAACTGAAGCACATGGTTCAACAGAAGCCGCTCCCTAGTCATGATGGACGACCAGAAAATCGTGGGTGAGTTTATTGATTCAGTCATCATAAAGGATACCCAATGTAACACGATTTCATGCATAGTGCGATTGTGAATACTGCGAGTCAACTGGGAACTGTGGCAAGACCCACCGCACGTAATTAAATTGAATAATAATCCATTCAAGAATCGGTATCCTCTAATCTTTCAATATACAGCATCTTATTGCGATAACATGTCACATGATTAATCTCGCAGACACCATCCTCCTTCCCCTTGTGGTCGACGCAGAAAGCTCGCGTACATAGAAGACATAGCTGGTTCGGGAGGTTGTCTTCAAGATATGGCTTCGCCTCTCTCATGCCATTATGGACGTGGCAGGGTCCAACATCAGAAAATTGGTTCTAGAGAGTTTATTAGCCTGATAAACCAAAATAGAGATTAATGTGAGGTGGGGAAACGTACCATTTTGTAGCGTTTGGTGGAGATTGTATTGATAGGCTTTGAAGGCAGGGTCTTGGAGGAGTGAGTAATGAAACTTGGAAAATAACAGTGAAGATGTGTGGTTGCTTGATATTTAGCTGAGGCGCGCGGGGGTGACTTGGTGTTCGGGCAGACTTACGTTGGGTGCTGTTGCATTGCATGAGCTCGGCGGACCTCGGATCTTGGTATAGTACTGGTTCGTAAGCGATTCATTTTTACTAGCGGAAATAAAGATGTCTCTGCTAGGCAATTTCCTGGGACGAAAGAAGTGCAAGAAAAGGTCCTAGCATGACTGGGGTCATGCCTAGTAGTCGGCGACCTTTATCAGACCGTGCTTTAACGCTACTAAAAATCCGTATACTAGAAGAGATTCTCAGGGTGGTAGTCTTGTTGCAGTCAGGAGCCTATTCTATTTGGGATATAAATCTATGGCCCGCCATTGTGGATCATGTCATTGATAAGATCATACCTTAAATGAGCTAGATTTGGGCCATCTTAGCTTAACCACTCGCGATTGAATGTTAGTTTACCCCTCTCCCGGAAGACTATTTTGGAGGTGGGGTAAAGACTCGTCTGATGTATTAATTCCACAGGCGAACACATACTTGAAAGCACTATGTAATCTACAGTAAGAGACAATATACGTCCGACTGACAGGGGAACTACGGAAAAACGTCCAATATAGACTAGGGGCCATGTCAATCAAAGAGTGTAGGTGGTCGCACCAGGTTCGGTACGTGATGTAGTAGTTCAGATACCACAATCTAATCACATGTACACTAGCTTATTCTTCTTAAACTCTCTCTTTCTAGACTTCTTTCAATCAATTGACTTGGTCAATTTTACTTCGCGCATGACTAAAAATCCACATCGGCCAATGCCTTTATCGCACCACGAGTGATCCTTCGGCGAAGAATCGGCCGATCCCGTGACTATCCTTCAAGCCCCTCATACTGCCGAGATGCATAATAGTTTTGGCCGATATCTAATCGCCGGACCCATTAGATAGATGGATGATATGGTGCCGCCCCACAGAGATAATCACCCTGTGTCTCAATTAGGTGGTCGGCCATTCTCAACTTTCGAGTCGATACCACACTTATAACTTAACATGCCATAAATCAATAAATCAACGGAATAGATAACGGATCCCGAGTATATTCAATTGACATAAAGGCTCCATTCTAGTAGGAGGTTTAATTTCCAGCGATAGGCCCATGTGCGGAAACACAATTTACCCCACAACCAGAACCCCCACGGGAGAAATGTAACTCTAGCTCGGCTCTATTTCTGAAATACGGTGTCTTTTCTATCGGCGATTTGAAAAGTGGGCACATAGTATCGTATATAAGGTGCTTATCGTCCCTAATTGGGCGTCTGTTCAACCAAAGCTTCTCCATTGTTAGGAATCATGAATTACTATACTAAAGATGAACAACCATTTGACTGTGTTGTCCTGGATGGCAATGTTGTCACTGCTGCCGACGTTGGTCGTTACGATATTGCCATCAAAGACGGAAAGATTGCTCTTCTAGCACCAGCTAATTCTCTTCGTGATTCACCCGCGAAGAGAATAATTGACGCCGAGGGAGCGTATGTGACGGTAAGCATGAAAATCTCCATTCGCTGATATTTCATCAGTAAATTTACTGACATGTCCTCACTTTAGCCTGGAGGGGTAGATGCGCATGTCCATTTGGCAGAGCCAGCTCTATTTGGAAAGGGTCAAAGTTCTGATGATTATACTAGTGGTAGGGCACAAGAGCGTACACTGATTTTGTGTCATTTCTGACTTGATTTCCAAATAGGCTCTCGATCAGCAGTTGCTGGTGGGACAACTACTATAATTACCTTTGCCGCGCAGTTGAAATCGGAGACATCACTTTTGCCTGCCCTGGAGAGGAACTTTGCAGAAGCCACCAAAGGCGCTTATTGTGACTATTCATTCCATTTGATCGTCGCAAACCCGACAAAAGAAGCTCTGGATGAGCTGCCCTTGTTAAAGGAAAGGGGCGTTACCTCGGTAAAGATATACATGACATATGAGGCTCTCCAGCTCCGCGACAACCAGATCCTTGATGTTCTTTTGCGCGCTCGCGCTGAGGGAATCACTACCATGATTCACGCCGAAAATGGCGACATGCTGCAATGGATGACTGAACGACTCGAAGAGCAGAAGCTTCTCAGTCCTAGATACCATGTCACATCGCGACCCCAAATTCTAGAGACAGAGGCTACCAATCGTGCTATTTCTCTTGGGCAACTTGTCTGCGCCCCGATACTCATTGTTCATGTTTCATCGCCTAGTGCAGCAGAGATCATCCGAAATGCACAGAGCCTTGGACATCCAGTCTATGCTGAGACATGTCCGCAGTACACTTTTTTGACTCGAGCTGCTCTCAAAAAACCCGGATTCGAAGGAGCAAAGGCAGTTTGCTCACCACCGCCTCGCAACTCTGAGGCTGATCTGGAGGGGATCTGGATGCATTTGAAGAATGGAACTTTTACCATCCTGTCATCCGATCATTGCCCATTCAATTACAATGATACAGCCTTTGGGAAAAAGGCTGCTATTACCTGTGATGCACCAGATGGCCATTTTAAGCACATTCCAAACGGCTGTCCGGGTGTTGAAACTCGTCTCTCCTTGGTTTTCAGTGCGAAACGATTAGCGCCAGAGCGATTTGTAGCTCTCACAAGCACAAACCCAGCCAAGCTCTATGGACTTTATCCGAGAAAGGGGGCTCTGATTCCAGGGGTTTCGGATGCAGATCTCACAATTTGGTATCCATCAGGAAAGATGCAGCCATTTTCTATCTCTAACGACCTACTGCATCATAACGTCGATTACACCCCGTATGAAGGGATAGAGGTTTCACAATGGCCGCGGTATACTCTCCTCCGAGGGGAGGTTGTGTGGGACCGTGATGACGGAGGTCTTGTAGGTCGTCAAGGGTTTGGTCAATATTGTGCCAGAGAATCCATTTTTTGGCATGAGGAGTTGCCAGAGTGGGATGTAACAATGTACTGAACATGTGGCTTGGTAGACAATTGATTAATATTCTTTCATTCAAATTTGTGTGCATTCAGCACATTTCTTCTGTTCATACATCCACAAATTCTGGGAAATATGTTTCGAGCTCCTTTAATTAGATTATTTGAAATAAAATGATCTCAAAAGGTTAGAGTGCAATTTATTTACCCTTAGGAAGGCACACAAGTTCATTCACGCTCCTTGAAGAGTCGGTGGAGCAGAAACAGACGGACAATCATTCTCCCGAAAGCCCGTTCGATTAAAGTATCACATCACGTGCCAGGTACGTACTCACGTGTCGAGTAGGCGGTGAAGCTGGCCAGGGCGGTCTCCCCACAGTGCTTGCCAACCCTGGAAAGGCTGGGCTTCTCGTCTTGAACCTGGAGGAATTGGTGCAATGCTGAGTTATCTCGTCATGATGCATGCTGTATACTACCTGTCTATTTCCAGTCCCCGTTGATCAACTTTCGACGCCCCCTCTCACCCCTGCCCGACATCCCTCTCTTTGCCTGGGCAGAATACCTTCAACTATCCCTTCCGGGCCGAGTTCTCACAGCATTCCGCTTGTTTCTATACCCCTCCTAGCCAGGTGCTATCCACTCATTCGCCTGTGCCTCGGTATCTGCCGCCGAAATGCCCGGCCTTCCCAGTACGTCCTCACCGAACCTAGCATCTACAATTTACCGAATCAACGAACCGGTCCCACCGCGGAATAAGCTAACAGTCAGATAGCTAGTATCGATCTTGATGAGTGTATCGAACGCCTCTATCGGAAAGAACTCCTTGCGGAACCTGTGATTGAGGCAGTATGTGCCAAGGCAAAAGAGCTGCTTATGAAGGAGAGCAATGTCGTTCATATTAAGGCGCCAGTAACTGTCGTAGGAGACATTCATGGCCAATTCTTCGATTTATTAGAAATCTTTCGCATCGGCGGGTTCTGTCCCGATACAAATTATCTATTCCTTGGTGAGTTTGACTGATATTGTGCGCATTATGACTAATGGAGTACTCGGGGAGGCTGTCTTTCAGCTATGAGATGAGAGGAGAGCGAATTGACTAATTCTCGTATGGATAGGCGACTATGTTGATCGCGGTCTTTTCAGCGTCGAGACCATTTCCCTGCTCGTCTGCCTCAAATTACGATACCCCCACCGAGTCCATCTTATTCGCGGCAATCACGAGTCCCGCGGTGTTACTCAATCCTACGGCTTTTATACAGAGTGTGCCCGCAAATATGGCAACGCAAACGTATGGCACTACTTCACCGATATGTTCGACTACCTCACATTAAGCGTCGTAATCAACGATGAGATTTTCTGCGTACACGGCGGTCTCTCCCCTTCAATTCACTCTCTAGACCAAATCAAGATTATCGATCGGTTTCGTGAGATTCCTCATGAGGGTCCGATGGCTGATTTGGTTTGGTCTGACCCTGATGCAGAACGGGATGAGTTCTCCCTTTCTCCCCGTGGAGCAGGATATACATTTGGAGCACAAGTCGTCCGAAAGTTCCTGGAGGTAAATAGCATGTCCCATATCTTACGTGCGCATCAATTATGCAACGAGGGCTATCAGATTCTTTTCGATGATCGCCTGAGTACGGTCTGGAGTGCGCCGAACTACTGCTACCGCTGTGGAAACTTGGCCAGTGTGTTGGAAGTCAGTGATAATATGGAACGGTTCTTTAATATCTTTGATGCGGCACCTGAGAACGACGTCCACAGAAATGAGCAACAGGCACAACAAAACAGGGACTCTCAGCCAGTGATTGACTATTTTTTGTGATACCCCTGATGTTTAATTATGCTTTGGATGTCTTTTTCTCTTATGATTTATTTACCCTTTTTTTCATCTTCATTTTACATTCCCCGCTATCGGTTGCACCATACAGGAGTTTGGGGGCATGGCATGGAAATAAAACACGAACTACACATTCATGGATTGCATTGGCTACATATTTTGCATTTCAAATGGGAATATATCCACATAGATAGAAATGAGGCAGCGCATAGAAGCTGGGCAAATAGAGAAGATCCACCAGTGGCCTCTCTCAGAGGTCAACAAAAATAAAGACTAAAACAACGGGAAATGCAAGGAAAGCAGGGACGGCGTCTTTCAGGAACCACGCGGTCACATCCATCTCTACCAGGCTTTTCGGGTCAAAGGAAATTCGTCACGCTTGAATAAACAATGGGCTCAAAGAAGTTCAAACGAAGCTAACAGTCTAAGAGTCGCGCTCCGATTACCAATCCTTGGCAATATCAAAAGACCATTCGAAGGAAAGGTGGCTCTTATCATCGTCATCGACGAATCGCGATGTAGCCTTGTAATGACCACGAGCGAGCATGCCGGATGGTGCCTCCTCCTCTTGGACTAGATGAGTAAAACAAAAAATTAGCCATGATCCTGAATAAAAGAGCCACCACAACTCTAGATATATCGTAGCAATGATATATCGCAGTATTGTTTCAGTGCGGATCCAATGTATACTCACAGTCCTTGGTGTGGACACGCTTCGCTGTCGTGTTGGGTGCATAACTGCCCAGCATCTCCTCGTCCTTGCTCACGCGAACACCCTTACGCTTCACAACCTGGACGTACTTAAGTCCACTCATGACCTCGCCATTGACCTGGAACACGACCTGGATGTGGAAAGTAGCGCCCTCCTTAATGGTGAAAGGCTTATCCTTCAAGCTGGCAAGGGATTCCGGGGAGGAGAGGTCGATGGTCACATCATCGCGGCCCTTCACTCGGAGAGCGAGGGACTTGATGATACAGTGCGGGTCACCGGGCTGGCCGATCTGCTCAGCGTCCAGGCCCAGGGAAGCCTTCCAGCGGACCATTGCCTCATCATCGGCGTCTATAGGAAAAATGTTAGCTGAAACGTTAATGTGAATTGTCTGTTTTACTCCTTACCGAGCTTGTTGTACTCATCCAATGTCTTCTTCTCACCGACCTTGAAACCCTCGGTCTTGGAGGCGACGAGATCGTCCTGGTTGTCGGCCATTTTGAAGTGAAGCGGGGCAGGATTCTAATCTGGGGGCGGGTAAACAAAGGAATTGGGGAGTTGAGAGGAGAGGGTGTGGAAAGTTTGGAGAGGAATTAGAGGGAAGAGAGAGAGGGGAAGAGAGAGAAGGAAAAGTTAAACAAGAAAAAAGGGGGCAGACGAAAAGATGCTCCCCATCCCACTTCGTCTCCTGACTCTCTTTAGTGGGGTTGGAAAGGCGGTGGGAGGGCGAGGCTATTCGGATTTACGGTGCATTGCATATACATGAGGTTTATACTCTGGTCTTTGACAGCTACAGAATTAAGGGTATCCTTGTATCGATACCTATGTTTTAATCTAACCATTGGTATATCTGGGTATTGGAAGAATGAGTGTATACTGAAGCGGGTGGTGGTGATCCCCGTTGTAGGAGAGCCCACGTACTAGTGCCCAAGAGACAATCTAGACCCCACTAAGATACTCCGAACGCCAACAGATTGATTGGCACCCGGGCCAAGCTGTCTCCACTTGCCTGCAGATAACGGGAAGCCTCATGGAAGCATGACGAGTATTTTTCTCTATAAATGGAAGCGAATGCCGTCATCTGATATTAATTTCTCGGTTCTTTGTTTTCTATTGGAGTTGAATAAAACTAGATCTAAACTAATAGTAAGTACTGGTAGGCCTTGGGTATAATTAAAGAGAGTAATAGCGCCCAGTGCTAGTGCTGGAAGGCTAGTACATAGATCCCAGTTGGTATGAAGTGACCACTTGCAGACTATTTACAATGCGTAGAAAGCAATATCATGGATCAATTGGGTATTTCTGTCGAATAGGATTTAGTCTAGACCAACTTGAATGACACGGCCCTGAGAACAATGCCACCACACGATCATGTAGGAAAGCGTGGGATCGTATCTGATCATACCCATATAATCCGACCACGATCAGATGTGATTCCTACACGATTCTGGGGGAAAGGGCACGTTCAATTTAGCATTGTCAGAGGTTTATAGAAAATCGCATCATTTCCAAGTCCTTGAGATGGATTGAATAGATTTTATCTAGGACAGAAATAACGTCATTTCCTTACCGCATCAAAATATGTTTGAATTTGTAAGAACAACATACTAGATAAAAGGGAGATCCTTTGTTTTGAGTTCTTCGGACTGCCCGATTACAATTTCATGGGACGACATCTCTTATAGTTTTGGCTTTGCAAAGTATTTGAACATTGAAAAAGAATGAATTGATTTCTAAAGTTCACAGCAGAATAAGGCTTTTGAATTGACATCGCGGCCTTGAGTTGAAGTACCAGCTTCATTATACATAGCATAAGACATGAGTAGTAGAACACCTTGAAAAGCAGACCGGAATACAAAGAAAATACTCCACCCCCTAAATAACATATTAAACACCCTGGAATCTTAATTGAGAAGACCCGCCGATTTCAGCAGCGCCAGCGGCCATACTGCTCAGTCCCCCCATGCCAACCCTGCTAGCTCGTCTGTTCGCGTTCTTGCGGTAGCCTGTGTTATAAAATCCATATCGAATGAACAACGACAGAACATCATTCTTGCATTCGCGAATGGCAAATTTCAGAGGAGTCTGGTTGCGGCTAGCCTTGTTTGGATCTGCGCCATTGTCCAGCAATAGCTCTACCATGCGAAGGCTTTCATTGTCAACAGCCTTGAAGAGAGGTGTCTGACCGCCAGGGCCGACTTTATCAGGAGATCCCCCTCTGACAAGAAGCAATTCAGCAACTTCATAGTGGTCATTTCCAGCGGCGTATGAAAGAGCCGTCTCTCCGGTTACAGTGTAAGCGTTGATTTCGGCACCAAAGTCCAGGAGGAGGTGTGCCAATGTCATATTTCCTGTCACTGCGGCCTGGGAGAGGGCTGTTTTTCCACAGTGTGTCGCAGCATTGGGATTCGCACCCCGAGTAAGTAGCATTTGGGCAATGTCTTCGAATCCGCGCGAAGTAGCCAACGAGAGCGCTGTATCACCAGCTGCTCCTATCGTGTCTACTCTTGCACCGTAGTCGAGGAGCACGGTGACAACTTCTTGATGACCGTTCGAGACGGCGACGATGAGAATCGGCTGGCCCAGAGAGTTCTCGGTATTCGCACTGGCGCCTCGATCAAGCGCAGTCTTGATTGCTTCCACATCGCCGGACTTAATCAGGCCACTGAAATCATCCTTGTTGCTACTCATCTTGTACTTCATGCGACTCATGAGACCAGGCCTCTTGCCTTTCAAGTTGCCAGCCGTAACCTGGGTTATGGTTTGAGGTGTGGGCGTTGAGGGAGTAGCTATGATATTGCCCTCTGACGCAGAACGGCATCTGAACTCGTCGTCTGTTGTGTCTCCGGGGATAAAGTTTGGTATGACCGGCGTATCCGTATCCATTGCGCTGGGTTTTAATAAGTTCGGTTCTGAGGCTTCAGCAATGGGTCCCGGTGAAGTTGACATGATTGCGTCTTGAGCATAATGAAATGCGAGGGTTGAAGGATCGTGGTCGCGGAAATCATCAAGCCCGAAAGTTTGCAATGTGAGACGTTGTTTTTGTTTAGCCCCAACGTTCACTGAGACGGGCATTTGGAAGTCTAGCTGGGACGCCCTTTCGGAGGCTTCTGATGAGGGCGATTCGCTTGAGCTGTTTGAATATACCGACGAGGAGCTGCCACCTGCATTTGACGAGTTGGTGAATGTCGTTGGTGATGGAGCATCGGGAATGTCGAGAGCGGACGGCTTGTAAACAATGTTTCCTAGAAGCCTACTCTCGAGGGCTGCCTTCCGAAGAGTCATAAGGATAAAGTCCTGCTCTTGCCCTGATTGCTCTGGTGTCATTCCAAAATCCTCGAGTTCTTTTTGTAGATTTTCCCAAGCCTTGTCTTTCTCCCACTCCGAATCTGCATTGAAAATACTAGATAAAACGTAGGCATCTCGCCTTCGGGTAGCAACTTCAATAATGTAGTCGCGCAACATTAAGTTCATGCTGTTCTGGGAAGATCTGAAAACAGGATTAGTAACTTTAATAGTATCCCAATTTTTGACCGAGGGTCGACATACACTATCATATGTGCGTTCATGATACTGAGGCCAAAGACCACATCAGAAAGCAGAGCACGGATATCTTCAATAACGCTCTGAGAGTCTACAGCCCCGGTACATTTTTGAAGTTTCTGCAAGTCCTCCAGAATAGACTGGTAGACTTGCAATTTCTTCTGCACGCTTGGCTCCGTACTCCGTTGAGTTTCTAGGTGTCGCTCTGAAAGACAGATGACCGTGAGAAGTTGCCGAAGCTCCTCCTTCGCATGGTAGGTAAGTCCCGACTGGGTCGAGCTTTCGTGGAGCAAGTTTGTTGATTCTTTCAACGCCGCGATTTGGTGTAGCGGCTCATTGTTGGACATAACCATTGCAGCCATAGTGTTGGAATAGGACGAGGACGAGGAACCTGCCAGACAACCTAACAGAGCACTCTGGGCAGGGCAGGGTGGCGTTTATAAAAACCATGACTGGGCACGTTTAAAGATGATGGGGCCTGGGGCGGAGGATGGCCCTAGGACTATTTTATCATTTCCTTTTTCGTCCAGTAAGTCGACGATATGATATCATCCCGCCCCCAAGCGATGGCCCTGGGGGCGAACATGCCCTATTTTCTTATTTTTAGCGAAGATAGTCAGAAGCCAATCGTCATCTATACAGTGAGATGATTTTTTGGCGTCGGTTATATTGATAGTTTGAATAATCGACTGAATGTTGCTGAGGTGCTGAGAGACCAAGGGTCAGTAGAACAACAACTCGACTTGTGGAATCATGGGATTTCTTCGGGGAGTGGAGCGTGGTAATTTTGCTATTCCTATACCCCAAAACCTTTAGCATCACAACATTTAGCTATATAACGCGTGAAATAAGGAATGATATCTTCACAAAGATGGAGTCCCGGGGAAGATCGATCTTCTCGAAACCACTTGTGTCATTTCATCCGTCGCGGGCCAGCCCATGCTAGCTTCCAGGGCTGTGATAGACAGCCAAGGAGCAGCAAGCCATGTCTGTCCCGCGCATGGTCGATCATAAGATTGACGAGTGCCAAGGCGATTGGGGGTATAGTAAATAAGTACGTTAATCACGTATGTGTATCAAAAATACGACTTGATAGTTACAAATTAGTGAACCCTGGGATGGTTCCGGGGCTGTTAACACATTCACTTTTTAGGTTTTAGAGACGAATATACTCCGAACGGGTCTATTGATCATGAGCATATACATCTCACCTAATAAATGCTAAACAATAGATGTCAATAAGCAACGTAAAAATGAAAAATCTGACATTCCTTCGACGCCATCATTTCGAAGCATATGTAAGCATCAGATTATTTAGTGATTTAACCTCTTTGGGAACAAGCCATCGCGGGGCTCGAAGGAGAGCGTTAATGCAGTGTGAGAAGTGGGGTCCTAACAGTGATGTGGCAAAATCCTGCATATATTTTATAGCCGGACGAGTCCAATTTGTTAGGTCGCCATGATTGTCGGTGAATGTCCCGTGTGTATAAAGTCACCATTGGTAAGGGGAGAGTGATTTAACTTCAGGATTCTGTCCCCCAAAAGATGACGGAGGTGATGAAGATATTCTTAAATAAGAATTGGATATATATTGCCTGATAGCCATAAGACACAGAAAGTGATCTACAATGCAGGGTTATGAGTATGGGTTGTCCGCCATGACCTATGCACATTGTGCCAGTTGGCGGTATCCGATAGTGGATAGCGGAGATGGCGGATGAAAGATGGAGGGAAGGAGCGAAAGAAAAGAAAGCGGAAGGAACGACTCAAGAATGCGCGGGTCATTGGGTTCCCAGCAGGCTCGTCTTGACAAGACGGTGTATCGAAAATAATATCCAATAGGAAACATCAAATACAGCAATCATACAAACCCAATACCGGACCTTGCCGGAAGGAGAAAGGTCCCGTACGCAACAGTAAGAGAGTCACCGCGACGGGCTTCTCTCCCCTGATTGTTCTCACTTTATCCTTTATTCTTAATCGTGGATCTTTAATCCCTTGAAGCAGTGTCTCTTTCGTTCTTTCCCATCATCAAGGCTTATTGGACTGTTACCCCGTTCGATTCGCCGTCACCCCGCATATACGGGTCGCCCCATTTGAGCTTAGGTCGGATCCATCTTTTTTTTTCCCAGCGACGCGCCTGCTACGTGGCCGTGGGCGCATCCCGTTCGCATTTCTCCCTCTTTCCAACCAATTGTGTCGCAAGCAACAACCATGTCGCGAACTCTCCCCAAGAAGAACAACCCATTGATCCTTGCCGACGTCGCTCCGGCTTGTAAGTTTTTATTCCAAACGCGTGTTCGCGCGACCCGATATGGGCACCTCGTGCGATCACCGCGCTGCGCCAAATGACTCGATTTCGTGATCGCTGACCTGTTCGTCTTATTTTTTCGACATAGATGACGATCTGCTCTCGCGCCGTCGTCTTGGTAAGACCAACCTGTCCGTTAAACCTGGTCAGATTGGTACCTCCAATGCCACCAAGCCCGAGAACCTAGGCCTGTTCGAGTACGCCCACCTGCGGGCCCCTCTGCCCAAGGACCTGGAGGGCTCCGAGATCTTCCCTTCCCACAACTCTCAGCAGCACCCAGAGACTTACTTTTTGATGGTAAGAACCGTCCTCACGCTATGCTTGATGCAACTTTGACTAATTATGAACCTTGTTATGGGTGAATAGCGAAGGAGCAAGGACGGCTTTGTTAGTGCTACTGGCATGTTCAAAATTGCGTTCCCCTGGGCCAAAATCGATGAGGAACGTATTGAGAGAGAATATCTGAAGTCACGCGAGTACACAAGCCAGGAGGAAGTTGCCGGCAACGTGTGGATTTCCCCTCTCTTCGGTACGTGAAAGAATGTATCCGCAACACACACGCCCATCTTTACTAATCATTGCTTTTAGCTCTCGAGCTTTCCAGAGAGTACTTGATGTACGACTGGGTTCGCGCCTTGTTAGATCCCAAGGAGATCGTACAGAGTCCCAAGAAACAAATTACCCCGCCACCGAAGTTCGAAATGCCATCAGAGGAAGCAACCACTTCGCAGCGCCGCAGCCGCCGCTCTGTCTCTCCTAGCAAAGCATCTCCTAGCAAGAAGTCCGCCTCTCCTCGTAAGCCTCGACAGGCTCGCTCAACGAAAGAAGCCCCTAACACACCGTCTACAAATGCTGCCAATGACAGCTTGCAGCAAGCCCTGGAAACTACAGTGTCCGTAGAAACCGATGCCTTGAACGGGGTTTTGGAGACCGTGGAAGAAACGACTGAAGTCAAGACCACTGGTTCTCCGGAGAAGAAGAGGGGCCGTAAGCCTAAGAAGGCTGCCGCCGAGGCCGAAGAGGAGAAGGCCAAGGACGCGGAGAAGGAAGAGAAGAAGGCCGAGAAGAAGGCCGAGAAGAAAAAGAAGCAAGACGCAGCGGAGAAGGAGCCTACAGTTAGCAAAATCTTCAGCGAGGTCGCCGCCACCGAAGATGCTACCGTTTCACAAACAACCATCTCCTTGGATATGCCTCTTTTGCCCCAAGCTCCATCCGCCAAGGAAACAGAAGAGATGATCGCAGAGGCTAAAGTGTTGGTCGAGAATGCCATCAAGAACCAAGCGTCCGAAGTTGCGGCCTCAGGATCAGCAGTCCAGGTCACAAAGAAGCGAAAGCCTGAAGACGATGACGAAGAGACTGCCGCCGAGGCCGCTCAACGAGTAAAGAAAGCCAAGGTCTTGGAGGACAAGCTCAAGCGTGAGCGGGTCCGCAACCGTGCTCTCTTCGGAGTTTCGGCAGCTTTTGCCCTTGCGTACGTTCTGACTGCCCTTTGAATCGATCGAATGATAAGATGAAAGCTAACACTGTTTCTAGTGCCTCTATCCCCTACTTCCTTTAGAATGCTTCTCACATCTTTCCTTGGGCAGATTAACCTAGTCGATCTACCCGTCCCCTTATATTTCCCCTCTCTGGGGCCTTATACCGAGATATTGGCCCTGAAGATATCTCTTTGGATTCCCCATACTGCTTTGTTTTTGAAACTGATATTTTGCTGTTCTATTCATAAAAACAGCGTGCCATTCTCTCGTCCTCCCACGGGCTAGGCACTTGTCAATTCCCCAGGTTGTGCCCTGAAATTAACTCTCCCACTTCCCGCTTCCCCCTTGTCGTTATGATAAATATATTCCTTTTTACTCTTACCACGAATCCTTCTTCCTAATATCCCATTATTGTCCTACTACGCACAGCATTGCCGAGTGTCTCCCCTGGTCTTTCCACCCAAAACAAACCTACTTTTGAGTCCTATTGTCTATGTCTTTGTTAATCACTCACCCGACATTATTTCTTCCTTGATACCAACCCTTTCAGATCTCATATAAATCCCCCGTTTGATCGTCCCCGGCTGCGGACGATGCAGTGTAGCTGAGAACGAATTAACCAGTGACGGTCTTGAAATTTTCATAATTCAATGCAATTTCCCACATAATAGTACTTGTATAAAATATGTCCATTTTCGAACCAATTAACATTGAATATCAGGTTCTCTAATTCGAACCTTTATAATTGGTTTCAAGTTGGATGTAGCTGCGATGAGAGAGCTCCCGCGGCCCACGGTGCAAACAGATCAAAAGTCGTTGTTCCGGGAAGCTCTATCTACCGCCTCTAAAAGAAAAGCAACTTCCCCATATTTTGATATCACCTTCAAGTTTCCTCCACTCCCTCTCACCTTTGGTACCTTTTGACCCCGGTTCTCGTCCCTTTTTAATAAAGCGATCAAATGTCTCTTCCGGGCTTAGAGCTCACTCAGCCCTCCGAGGAGAGGCAACACACCATCGCCCCGCCGTCACAGATCACCTTGAACCCGGGATCAGAATGGAGATTTGAGGTCGCATTCGGCCACACCATCAGGGTAAAAGTATGTAGACTCAATCAAATAGCTTTGGAGCTATATAACTCTGAACTCACTTCAGGGACTCAAGAACGCTAACGATGTCGCTTTCTAGCTCCTGACCGGTACGGCTGAGCTATTCGGAACCGAGCTCGCAGAGTCTCAAACCTATACCTTCACCGGCACTAAGGCGGCAATCTATACATGGCATGGATGTGGATTGGAGATTAGTGCCGGTGAATCGTCAACCACCACTACAGTGGACGGGTCTACGTCTGCAGCAGGCCATGGCGCAGGCGGATGTCAGAGCGAATACACATCTGACGATACGCCCATGATGGAATATGCCAACATGCACTTTGCGCTTGAGGCGATACGTGAAGAGGCATCGAGTGAAGGCAAGGATGGACCAAGAGTCTTGCTGCTTGGTCCCGACAATGCGGGAAAAACTAGTCTCGCTAAGATCCTCACGTCGTATGCTACAAAGCTCGGTGGGCAGCCATTGGTTGTCAACCTCGATCCTACGGAGGGTATGCTTAGTGTCCCTGGTACTTTGAGTGCTACGGTCTTTCGCACTATGCTCGATGTTGAGAACGGGTGGGGTAGCAGTCCTATGTCAGGACCTAGTCCTGTGCCGGTAAAGATGCCGCTCGTTTATAGTTATCCATTGCCTAGTCCGCTTGAAGGCGAGGGGTCGGTTTATCGTCCCATAGTCTCGCGGTTGGGACTCCAAGTTACGGAGCGTATGGCTAAAGATGAGGATGTGCGCAAGACGGGAATTATCGTTGATGCGCCTGGAGCTCTGAGCTCTGGGAAACCTGGCAGTCTCGAACTAATTAATCACATTGTCACCGAATTCGCAATCACTAATATCGTTGTCTTGGGCTCCGAGCGTCTCTACAGTAATATGGTGAAGCAATATGACAATAAGCCTAGCGCCAGTGCTGCGGCGGTAGTATTCGATGAGCGCGTCTCGGTCGTGAAACTATCCAAGTCCGGAGGCTGTGTTGATCGCGACGCTCTTTTCCTCAAGAAAACACGCGAGTCTCAAATCCGATCTTACTTCTTTGGCAATACACTTCCCGCGACTACGTTGCCTACATCTACATCCGCAATCACACTTTCCCCATCAACACTGCAAGTCGATTTCGCTTCCTTGACAATATACAACTATACCGTTGTATCTACAGAAGACGAAGATGAAGACGACTACGACCCCTCGCAGCTTAATACAGGCGACTCCTTCCTCCCCGGCAGCAACGACAATTACTCCGATGTCAAACCAGAATCAGACCGTGCAGCGCCTCTCCCCGGCATAATTGGCCTATCATCAGACCACACCACAAACACAAATTCATATTCATCCAGCAATGTGCCTCTGAAGCGCGTTCTCCCTCCTGCTCCCTCCGCTCTCGAAAATACTCTTATTGCAATTACTCATGCCTCGACTTCTGCTTCGCCTGCTGATGTACGCGATGCCAGTATCAAGGGATTCCTTTACGTGGCGAATGTCGATGTTGATAAAGGGAAGATTATGCTTCTTTCTCCTATTCGGGGAACGATTCCTGCACAGGCTATGATTTGGACTAGGCGCTGGCCTGATGAGGTTGTTGGGCTTGTGGGTTGAGTCAAACATTGGAGGGTTGCACAGCATGTCTATTTTGATTTTTGCATTGGATGGTGGGTGGAATGGTTATGAAGCATGGCGTTGTTGGAGTTTTTTATTCTACGCAATCGCATCTGAGGCTTATACATTGCTCAGATGGACGGTGGAATATTGAGAAGTCCTTGAGTCTTCTTCCATGAACAAAGACATATATTAGGTGACCATTTGATAGATATCTTGATACTATTTATCTTAAATACTCCCAAATATACCTCTTTTTTATTTATTTTCATTTCATACAGAACACGAATGAATTCAATGCTGCATTTATCATTTCCAGGTTTAAGCTCGGTAGTGGGCACGTACATCACCATCGATGAGAGATTACATGGAAGGAAATCTAACTGCAAATCAAAGATTCCAAATAAATGACGCTATGCTATGCTACCTATGTATGCTATGTATATCTAAGTGAAGAACTCCCCAAATTTGTACATCAATAAGCCTTGTTCCCAGATGCAAATCCCAAATACCCGATCAAACGATGAAATTCCACGGATACAACCACCTAAGAACTTGAAACAAAAGGTAATACATGAAGTGCTATACAAAACCACATTCATCAAGCTCACATGACAGAATAAACCCTTCCAGTTTCGAACATTCCCCAAGGCAACAATCACTCCCACCGTCTCCACTCCTCAACAGCTTTCTTCAACTCCCCTTCACAATCATACCCTCTCTCCTCAGCAATAAGCAATTCCTCTCTGCGATCCCGAAATCTTCTCTCGGCCTCAAATCGCCTGAGAGTAGCCGCCTTCAATCCACCAAAGTCATTGTTCGCAACAGCCTCCCGGAATCTGGCTCTCATCCGTGGTGAATAAAGCTGACAACTCGCATCGTGGCACTTTTTCGGCGTGTCCCCGGGTAAGTAATGCATGGAAGCTGAGAAAGACCTAGCAATGGGATGATGCGCTTTTGCAAGAGGCCAGATTACCTCATCATAGCAGTCTTCACAGGCACTGAACTCCGGTAGAGCAGCAATATAGTGCCAAGCACCCTTGGTAGGTCTATCACGGCGACAGTCGCGGAGGACACACTTGCGTCGGGCGTACGAGAGGAAGTCCCGTGTGTCTGGGCGACGTGATGGCTCAGCGCGACTGGCAGCGCTGTCGAGTAGATCGATGTACTGCACAAAGCGAGGGCTGGTAGTGACGAAGTCGCAGAGGCTCTCTTGGATATCAGGGCAGGGCTCGAAGGTATCGCGGTGGGAGGGCATGAGGATTCGAACGTTTCTAGCGCAGCTACCGCAGACATGGAAGCGGGGCAGATAACTTCCTGTTTCTGGGTCGACAACGCGGTGCCAGGCTTGATTTGCTACAACGCGGCCGGGGCAGGGTCTGCTGCCTGGTGGTGGGCGGGTCATCTGGTAGAGGACCTCGAGACTGTCGTGTTGCTTTTTGATCATTTGGGTCCAGGCGAGACGGGCCCAGGCATTTGCGAAGGCGCACCGGATTTTCTGGCCTGGGGACTTGGGTGGACTCTTGATGAAGAAGTCGCGGAAGCGAGAGTTTGAGACTTGATCCATGCATGAAGGACAGATGTCGAGGTGTGTGAGGCCCTTTAGAGTGTACCATTCTTGTTGGCCTGATATCGGGATTGAGCGTGGGCAGGGCGATACGAATAAACCATTCGGGCTTATGGCGCGCTGTGGTGAAGTTGCTTTTTGAACAGGTGCTGGTTGGGGTAGGATGTGTCTCTGTGGAAGTTGGTCTTGAAACTTGACAGAGTTGTTCCGGCGAGGACGGCTGGAGCTGGCTTGGGCTTCATCGGATGAAAAGGACTTTGAAGCACCGGGGGCTTTTGATGCTGAGCGCAGTATGGGTTGTGGTACGGCGCTCATTGTGCTCGCTCTGCCTCGTGTTGTCGGTGGGCGTTGCTGAGGCTCCTGTGACATGTGGCTTGGAACGCGATGAAGAAATTCAACAGGCGGAGGGTTTGGTGCTAGTGCTGGAACCGGAACCGGAACTGGTACAGGAACTGCATGAACAGTCTTTGGACTAATAGACTTGGTCCTGCGCTTTGGTGACTCAGTCTCTGAGTCAGAGGCAATTTCTCGAAGCTCCTGCCTCAATCTGAGCTTCTCTTCCAATCTTTCGGCAAGAGTGGGAGTGGGACCGGAAGTGTCTAGGCCCTTCCTGACTCGGAGAGGTGGAATGGGCGGTGAGGCAATATGAGAAGATTCTCTTCCTCTTATTAAGGTAGAGTCAGACTGAGACGCAGGACGTAGCTCTGGGCGTGGTCTGCTTGGAGCAATGTGCCCTGTGGATGTTCCATTGCGTACGCTGTTTGAGCGGTTCATTGTTGGCTTCTGTGGAGCCGAGCTAACCTCTTCATAGGAACGACCTCGAGTGCTTTGTTGAGGAACTGAGCTTTCGTAGGTGATTGGAGGGAAGTAGCTTGGCTCGTTTCTTGGACGATCGCGACCTCTGGATTGGGAACGTGGACGGGGTTGGCGAGCAGGCTGTTGAGCTTGGCCAGACTGCTGGTGAGCTTGCGGCGCTCGACTTCGAGACCTGCTCGAGTCCGATGACGCGGTAGATCTAGCTGATTCTCTCTTTTTAGAGCTAGTCATACGAACAACTGTTTGTTCTGGGATTTGTGGAGGAGGAGTACGAGGGCCAGAGCTATTGTCGTCGGAAGAAGCACTACCCAGTCCTGGGATGCTTGATGCACCGGGTGGAGTGGTTAGATCTGGGAGAGGAGAGTCCGGAGAGATAATAATAGGGTATTGATCGAGTTCCCCTCGGCGGCTAATACCCTCTGCATCAGGCTCTTCGCCCTTCTTAGTAGAGCCATGTAATTCTCGAGCGAGCGAGGTGGGTTCCTCCTCCACGCATGGCGCTGGTGGCCAACGGTAACGCACGCTTCGAGAAGGCATGTTGAGTTATGAATAGAAAAACTTGTGATCATGCAAGTTTAAGGCAGGTGGGGATAGTTCAAGATTTTTTCTTTCGTTTAGCCTGCAGCGATGTTGTGTGGAGATAGTCGAGAAGAAACCAAAATCATAGTCTTAAGTAGAAAGAAAAAAGGGTTGGGCAGGAACGAAGCAAGAAGAAAATGTTCGTTGTACAGAGACTTCAGGACAAGGGAAAGGTTTTTTTTCTTTTCAATTCGAGTCAACAAAGGCACAATGATGTGTGTGGACGCCAGCCCGGGGGGACTTAACAGGGGTATATAAGTGTTGATCAATCGGGCATCATCCTGTACCCGGGACGCGTTTTGATAGGGCAGCAATGTTGATTGGGCGAAAAGTGGACGAATGACCAGGAATAGTATCAGGCTGAGGAGTGAGTGTCCACAAGGATCTTCCTATTGAAACGCAGAACAGGGAACAGGGCTAATAGTTGGTTGGTAAATTGCGCCACGATGAAGCGAAACCTGGCGTGGTTATAACCATTATAACCCAGGGTCGTTTTCATCATTGGGCACACAGGTTGACTGACACGGCAACTCCCGTGTTTCAAGCATTTCTATTATGTTTAGACTGGAGCCTGAAACCTCCAGGAACGACGAGAATAGATTATTTCGTGTTTGAAAATATTTTTATATCAAACTGGATGGAAACTACCTTCCCCATGATACTTTGGGTGTGAATCCGTCGAGTCGCATGGGCGATCAGAGGCTAAGCTGTGGGCCTCCCGGGTATGTGTCGATTGCCGCATAGTAAGGCATGCAAGGCGTAAGCACCAATGCCCGCTGATATCGACAGGAGATTCGGCTCCTCTGTGGACCAACCAACATTAGCTGCATGGATCATGCCGCAAGTACCCGACATGAGGTCGGGGAGCTGTCCCAACGTGTCCCCTGCACTTTTGGGCTTGAGTGACCATCCTGTGGAGCTGTGTGGAAGGGTTCAAGTTTTAGATCCTAACTCCAGGCGTCTGATCTAACAAGACCCATTCTTCTTGGGGGGAAATGTAGAAACCTTGGAAGTTCCATCTTTCTAACTTCTCTGCGCGTGATAAACTCCTTGTTTAAAAATGTCATGGGGGGCTAGGATGACTGGAGGTTCTACGCCCATTCTGATTGAGTCCCGGGGATAATAGGCCATCAATATATTATATATACTATATGGATGATGTTTTGCTTGCCGCCATGAGGCCGTGGGAACTTGAAGTTGGAATCCAACATTTAACTTCCTCATGTCCTCGGAGTTGATCCGGCATTGCGCGGAGCCGAATTGAACATGACGAAATGGTGCCCATCATCCCGCCGCTAGGAAGGATTCGGTGGGTGGAGCACTTCGGCACAAACAAAGGCATTCATTGATGGCTACTCCAGGACTACATTCTCAAGTTGATTGAGCCATCTAGCTGTAACTGTAGAGAGTAGTGTTGAACTTGGATATACTACACAGTAAAAAGCCAGCTAACTGTGAAATACATCTCTTTTTGCGACAAGACCAATATTGCAACAAATAATCTTCAGTTATCCCAATAAGAAATAAACAACAATTCACTTTGCATTGTACTCGTCTTATCTTCCCCCCGTGCATAACTGTCATACTCTGGTTCAGACAGCGGAAAGTGCGGGGAGACGATGACAAATCAAGCTGTTGATGCAATCGATTATATATTATTCTAATTGATCTCCCCACCCCAAATAACTTTTCTCCCTTCTTCCATGTCTCTTCCAATTCCAACACTTCGCAGAGCTGGTCTTCGTCTCGCTGCACTTCGTACCCAATTACCAATCCGCCCAATCCAAAGTCCATTCGCATTCATCCCATCCCGCGCAATGTCCGTCCCCACCACCATGAAGGCCGTCGTGGTCGAACAAACCGGCGGCCCAGAGGTCTTGCAGTACCGAACTTCCCACCCCGTACCAACACCACAAGAAGGTCAATTGCTAGTTCGCAATAACATCTCCGGCGTGAATTTCATCGACACATACTTCCGTACAGGTCTGTATGCCTCTCCCAAGCCGGAGGTGCTGGGCCGCGAGGGAGCCGGCACAATTGTCTCTGTCGGACCTAGTACCTCCGGTTTCAAGGTTGGGGACCGTGTTGCCTGGATGGGGAACGGGGGATATGCTGAGTACACTGCTGTTCCTGCGGATAAGACTGTTAAGATTCCCGAGGGAATTAGCGACGAGGACGTTATGGCTTCTTTCCTTAGTGGATTGACAGTTTTGTCATTCGTTAAGGAGACCTATGCCGTGCAGAAGGGTGATTGGGTCCTTCTGCATGCTGCTGCAGGTGGTGCGGGGTTCCTCATGACTCAGATCCTTAAGTCGATAGGTGCCAATGTTATTGGTACTGCTGGTGGCGCGGAGAAGTGTGCGTTGGTTAAGAGCCTTGGTGCTGACGTGGTTATTGATTACCGTAGCGAAGAGGGTAAGGACTGGGTTAAGTTGGTGAAGGAGGCGACGGGTGGCCGTGGCGTTGACGTTGTGTACGATTCCGTCGGCAAGGATACCTGGGAAGGAAGCTTGGAGGCTGTGAAGCGCAAGGGAACGATTATTTGGTTCGGCAATGCCAGTGGACCCGTTCCTCCGATTCCTCTGCCGTATGTGTGCCCGTGCTTACGCTCCCCGGTTAAAATTTTGAATAGTGAAGCTTACCAGGTTGGACAGGAAACTTTCTCCCAAGTGTGTTAAGATTGCTCGTCCTACTCTCTTTGGGTATATTGAGACTCGTGAGGAGTTTGAGTACTATACCAATGAGCTTTTCAGTCGCTTGCAGTCTGGAGAGCTTAAGGTGAAGATTCATAAGGTTTATCCTATGGAGGAGATTGCTCAGGTTCACGTTGTAAGTTTGGATTCACGGTTACTGCGTGTGGGTTGATATACATGTACTGACTTCTTATGAAACTAGGATCTGGAAGGTCGCAAGACTATGGGCAAGCCTCTCATTAAGCCTTAAATGTGCATGCTCAAATAGAATCAATTTGATAATTCATGAATGAATAAGTGCTATGACCATCTCAGATATCGAAAACCTTACCTTGTACCAACATGAACTCTTTAGCTTTCTTGAACGGCGAAAACGGAAGAATACTAAAGATATCCCAGCTCGAAGATGTAAGAAAGCAAAAAGATAAGATCCTCAGTCGATTTCACACGGACTGTCTGCTCCCTCTCCCTCTCCATCTCCATCTCCATCCCTCTCGACCTCATTTTCATCGCTATCCTTCGAATCCTTGTCTTTATCCACCCCATGGCTAGTTGCCTGCAAGGCCTCTTTAACTGAGTCTTCAATTCGAGACAGCACTTTCTGAGTTGACTCATCATCTTTAGTCACATCTCTTGGTCGCTTCCAGGTCAACATCATATCATTCGCAATGACATTGTAGAATGTCGGATAGACAGAATAGGTTGAATCAAAAAAGAAAACTCCGCAATTCAGTTCCCAGACGCCGCACAAAACCTTCGACCCGGGATAAAACAGAGGCAAAAGGCTCATCTCGATGAAAAACGTAAATTCATAGCTAGGCTTCTTGCCATGATCCCACTCCCACCGCTCCTTGGGACTCAAATCCACCTTCGGTTTGGCAGGATCAATGAATGACTTGGCTTTGACTATGCCGACCGGAGTTAGATCTTTTGCCAGTTGCTGATAGAAGTCGCGACAGTTATCGTCAGGGTCAGATTTCGAAATGATCTCAAACCCATCGATATCAGAAACTCTTTTCGCTTCCAAGTCATCTTTCTTAACGAGCTCTAAGAAGCGTGAAGCCACCTCGTATGATCCGGCTCCAGCAATAGCATGTCTCACGGTCTTCTGGGCAAGTTCGCGAGTCAAGCCATTACCTCCATCATTGAATGTATTTGTAGACCATTCATCACGGCTTTCATAGTACTGGCCACCAAAAAGCATTGAACAAGATTTATTGAAAGATCCCGGGCCATCGCAGATCAGCTGCATATTCTTCCAAAGCTCCTCGTTGGCAAGGTCGCATGTCTTTCTGGCGTTGAGAATATCCTCCGTGTACTCTGGGCACACTTGATGGTACAGAAGATACGTGTAGAAGTTTTGGATCGTGCTTGTGGTGAATTTGATTGTCGCTTCAGAGTCTGGGTGGAAGTATGTCATGTAGAAAGATCCTCTGCAGCAAATGTGTGTTAGTGTCTCCCGATAAAGATGGGAAATTGTTTCTTACAGAAATCCCCGTATTACTTGGGTGAAGCTGACTTCTAAAATTTCGCGCTCTTTCTCAATCAATGTCTGGTTGCGAGCCTGCATGATTTCCTCTTTGGTCATCTCTTTCAGTTGACGTGCGGGGACACCGGTTCCAAAGTTAGGACCAACAGAAATGCCCCCGTATTGCAAGAATTTGTGAAAAATGCTAGTGCGCAAAGATTCCATTCGGCGTTTTCTCTGGAAGCGCATGAGAGCGTCCTCTATTCGACTGCACGAGAGTGGTTAGATATATGCCTCAAAGGGAACGTCGCAATATTTACCGTATGAAAGGTTTGGAGCTAGAGGAAATACTGTATTAGGACTCTTGGATTCTTCGATGCGCGAGGCACATTCAGTAAGGAACTCACGGGTCATAAAGAGCAAGGTCTTCCTCATGTTCTTCTGGCGTCATTGGACCTTCTGCACTCCATTCCTCAAAGCCTGTGGGTTTTCCCTGATGTAACGAAAAGAGTTAGCTCAACTCGAGTAACTGAAGCACAGTACTTCATGTCACTCACGAGTCCACGCTTGCTTTTCGGCCGCTTAGTCTTCTTATTCTTGGACTGCATTGCCAAATCCGGACCCATGACCACTGATACCTCTTCATCCAGCTCGGTACCCTTTTTGCCAGTTTTGGGCTTGGGCCAGGGTCCGTTGTTGGCCTCATCTTCAATGGAAACTTTTTTGGCCTCGCGCTGAGCTTGCTCTTTTGGTGTCATAAGGCAATCATGTTGGCGAGTGCGACGGGCTGAGCGGACCGGGAGATCTCCCGAGATTGTGGTTTTGTTGGGGGGTTGGTTTTCCATGATAGAGAGTGAACTTTCAGTTGTGGTGTAGATTGGATGTGCTATGGATCGAAGATAAAGGTAGTGAGAGAGAATAATGGGTTTGAGTGATGGATAGGAGGAAGGGAAATAGAAGTTGGAAGAGCAAGAGAGTGATGAGAGAATTTGAAGAATTAACTTCTTTGCTTGTGACAATGTAGATAAGGTGAGGCAGCAACTTGAAACATCTGAATAATCGAGAACAGGTATGCTTAGGTGGGAGATGATGTAGTTGGAAAGAAGCCTATATGAGGTCCACGGGTCGGTGCCTGGCCATAACATGCATCAAATAGAAATTTTGATTCTATATAATTCAAAGATTAAGACTTGGCAATCATCTGCACGAATAACATTCTAAAACTGACTCCTGTGCACTAGTAATATTCAGATATTCGCAAACAAAAGAATAAAGGGCTTCAATGGTTCCTTACTCTTCAAGTCTGCACTTTTCTTCGTACCTACAGAAGATAACCATAGATTCGCGAACATATTCGATATGAGAGTAAATTCAATGTTCTCGTTCTCTATTTTGAAATCTAGATCATTCAAGATCAACTGATCTCCGGGATCTCCGGTTTCCCCACACCGCTCCTGATCAATAGCATTCCGTGATTGGGGTCCAAGATAACAATGTTACATTAGCCATTCATTCGCATTTACTTCATTTCCCACTGGGAAATATGACTTGCGAACAGTTTGCTTGATATTTTTGACACTTTGACATCCTAAATACTCAGATATTATAATTTGAAAAGAACCCCCTCTCCAAATGTAAAGTTAGGGGACTGGCATACAGCACAAACAAACGTAAACCCGTTTTAGTTCACTAGCGTAGCCTGATCTGGAAGGACTGAATCCTATAGGTCCAGATAATGAAGGATTTGGGTGCGCTCAATTTATAAAAGCCCTAGCTTTTCCTCACTAATATATTCCATTTCCTCCTTTGTATGCCCCCTCTGCACTAGCCACGCAGTCTATCCCCCTTACCAGTCACTGGACTTTTCCCATCCCACCACCAAATTCGAAGATAAATCTTCCAAGCTTTCCCTCTTAAATCCATTTGACAATGTCGGGTCCTACACCCAGTATGAATGGTTCTGCAGTAGATCCCGCAGAACCTCATCAGCATTCCAGGTTGGTTCCACTGTCTCCGGGTTCTAATACGGGCCACAATACTGATAACGATGCCTCTTCTTCTTTGGCAAAAATAGACCAGGATCTGAGCCTTATTGAGAACCATCAAGACAAAGTCCAAATATCCCAAAATGCCATTGGTCAGGCAAATCTTTCTGATACAGATGATCGACCGATTGCCACCCCAGACGAAATACGGGATCTGCTTCACGTCGTCGACGACATTCCTGTATTGCTTTGGGTAGCTGCCCTTGCAGGTATTCTGGAGCGATTTGTCTGGTATGGTGCTACGGCTCCACTTCGTGAGTACACTTTCCATCCTTGATGTCTGACTGAGATTCATAATTGACTGTTGAATAGAGAACTACTTGCAAAATGCGCCCGGTGGAGGGCTTCCTGGTGCGCTGGGACTGGGACAGGCGGCTGCAACCAATATTGTGAACGCGCTGATGATAGGATCCTACATTACACCTGTTCCTGCTGCTGTTCTTGCTGACTCGTGGCTCGGTCGCTACAAGACAATGATCTACTCGGCTATGTACTGTGGCATCTATTTTCTTTTCCCTATAACTTTGTTCCTTTTGATCAATTAAAAGGCTAACATGTATTACAGTATCGAGGCTATCGGCGCGACAATTCTATTTGCGACTTCGTTACCTATTGCGATTCGGGAGGGGGCTGCTCTCGCTGGAGTCATCGTCGCCTGTATCTTGCTGGCTGTGGGATCGGGGGGATTCAAAACCTCTGTGGTTCCATTTCTTGGTGAGTACCAAGCAATCGGATTTTATGTATCATTAGCTTACCATTCTTAGCGGACCAATACACAGCCACCGAGTTCCGGATCAAGATCAAAAGTGATGGGCAAAAGGTTGTTGTCAGTCGAGAACTGACTATTACCTATATCTACAATGTATTCTACTGGTGAGTGCTACTACTCTGTCTCATCTCTATGCTTGGGCTAACGCAACTTTTAGGGGTGTGAATATAATTTGCTTCGCGGCCGACATGACTCCTTTGCTCGAGCGATATGTTGACTTTTGGCTCGCCTATCTAATTCCATGCTGTGCTATGTGGCTGGCATTGATCCCGATTTTCGTCAGTGCCAAACATTTTTGTGGGTTTTTATCTGCCACGACGAATGGATAATTCCTAGCGATACTAATACAAGTTCTATAGTTCGAGCACCACCGACAAGTAACATCATGCCGCAGGTCGCGTCAGCACTCAGACTTGGAATTGCGGGAGGGTTCAAAATGGATTCCGCCAAACCCGAGGCTCAGATCCAACGTGGCCGACAGGTCCCATGGGAAGAGTCTTTCATTGAAGATATCAAGCGCAGTCTATTGACATGCCGTGTATTGTAAGTCGATTCTATTGCCGTTTTTGATCTTTTCGATCATCATCTAATCAAACCCATAGACTCCTCTTCCCTATCCACTGGCTTTGCTACAACCAGACATTCAACAATCTTATCTCCCAAGCTGGACAGATGGTCACTTACGGCATTCCAAATGACATGATGAAAATAGCCGGTCCCATATCTGGAATCATCGTCGCACCCGCTATCCAGAAAGGTCTATACCCATACTTGACGAAAAAGCGCATCACATTCGGTCCTATCGCGCGTATGGTAGTCGGATTCATCTGCCTCACCGTCTCAATGGTTTACATCACTATCGTTCAAAAGCTCATTTATGAGGCGGGACCGTGCTATAAATACCCCCTCACATGTAGCGCTTCCGATGATGGCACCATACCAAACCAGATATCAGTGTTCCTCCAGCTGCCAATATATTTCATTGGGGCTTTGGCGGAGGTGTTTTGTCTGACGACAGGAACTGAGTACGCGTATAACAATGCCCCAGACAGTATGAAGACACTTGTTCAAGCCATCTGGCTTTCTATGGGTGGTATTGGATCTTGTCTTGCTTTGGCTTTTACACCTTTGACTGAAGATCCTTACCTTGTTACTATGTATGCGATTCTTACGGGACTTTTGGGTGGTGCGACCTTTTTGCTGTGGATTTTGTTTCGCCGTTTGGATGTTTCAAAGACCGAGGAAAGTGTCTAGAGATCTTCAAAAAGGATCCAATTGGACTGAGCAGAAAGAAGAGGGATTGAGAGATGCAGCGGGGATTGAATTGGGGTAAAGCAGGAAGGAGGGACTGGTTGTGGCTTCGTTGGGAGTTATATGAACAGTGTGGCGCATCTAGCAACAAATTGAAATGACATTTCGGTTAAGCTCTCGGGAATGCGTATTAGGAAGCATCTTAGTACTCGTAAAAACAATATAAGGAGATGAAGGGAGATCGTACAGCCGTTTTTATCACTATTTTCTACTGTCCGGACCCATCCGCTATTGGGTAGCTTGGGCAAACACATCACATCTCCAGCCCCCCACCCTCCGCACTCGACTTGACAGAGCCGTGGCGCTTAACAACCGAGCTGAACGCCGGCCACTGCCTACAAATACCGCCCACGAGAAAGACCAACTTAATAACTCCCATCAAAAAAGACAAACATGGATGGCAGTCAATGTTCAAAATATTTCAAGGGGTTATCTACTTGCCACAGTACTTGGACCTTTCAACCCCAGCATACGTAAACAGCAGTTACAAATTAGATGGCTCTCCATTTCTCGAGGTCGTTTTGTTCGGATAACGTTGCCATGGTTTTTTACTTTCCTCATTGATTTTCCTTTCAGAAGTTGTTTGAGCTACTTTACCAAACCAGCCCTTCCGGCGAATGGCTTGTCTCATACATTTCCACTATCTACTTGCTGTTCAGCGTATTATCTTCAAACAACTATTCGAAAAGCTGATTCCTCGCTCTTGGCGCAATATCATTGGTAAGGACTCCCCAAAGCTTTTCCTATCGTATATCTTCTGCAAGCTTATACCTGATATCGTTTTGTCGAGGGCTTTAATCGAGGGCTTTAAACATTGAGAAATGGTTATAGAAACCTCGGGACTGCAGAGACCTAGTTTGTGTTGTAGAATATAACACATCTATATTATATATATATCCTTATGCAAACTGTCCAACATTCTCTCTTTTAAATTCAGCACCCGTCGCTGGCAGTTCAGGCTCCAGAATTTTGATTCTTCAGCACCCGGCAGTGCGATTGCTCGACCCTATGTTGACGCCGGATGTTGAGTTTCCACGGGCGACTCGAACCCCACAATAGGCTAAGATCATCCGAGATCCTCGCTTGGTTTACTACCTACCCGCTCACTGTGGCGGATATTTTATCCTAAAAGAGAGGTTTTAAGGAGCATTATCCAGGTATGGTGTAGCTACCCAGGACCGATGAGAATCAGGACTCCACCTACCAGCTACATATTTAATCCAAAGAATAATGATATCATTCTTCTAGTATAAATATGATATACACCAATAACTTTCTATACTACTCTTTGTCTTTCTACTGGCAGTGTTCAAGTTTGTACCAACTTCAACTTGAACACTTGAGCTTCTGTCACTAAAATGCCCGCAGCAGCGGTATGTTAAGTATTTAATGTTGATATCATATGATAATAATGTCTAACTTCAGCGACAGCCTCTCTTCAACCCTAAGGTCCATCTGGCCTACCAGAAACGAAAGGCAATCCTTACAATGAAAGATATCAAACTTGATCCATCTCCCATATCTCAAGTAGCATCCACAGACCCGTTTCAACTCCTCTCCAACGAGGGTGTGAAGGCCTTCCGCCGGGAACTCTTCTCTAAAAATGTCCTAGAGAACTGTTCGTTCCCCACGAGGCCCGGCTCCGTCCAGCTACGCGGCATGGCACCGCGATACGCTCCATTCACATACCAGTTCTGGACTTCTCTAGAAGTCCTTGGTATTATCCGGGACCTCGCTGGCGTGGACCTAGTTCCGGTCTTCGATCATGAGATCGCTCATACGAACATCCAACTTGGGCCTCACGGCTTAGATGGTGTGAAAGATACACCTGTAGATCCCCCAGGACCTCCCCTAGAATATCAGGCGGCAAAATAGTCCAAAAAAGAAACAAGCAAGCCTGTTGTTCCGTGGCATAGGGACTCATATCCCTTTGTTTGTGTTGTGATGCTATCCGATACGACCTCGATGATTGACGGTGAGACCGAGATGGCCAAAGGAGATGGAAGCACCGTCAAAGTTCGCTCCCCGACCATGGTACGAATACACTATGATAATATGCGATATACACATACTTACTTCTGGCAGGGAGGTGCTGTCATCATGCAAGGTCGTCACGTCAGCCACATTGCCATTCCAGCTGGTAATATGCCTGAGCGCATTACGCTTGTCACATCGTTTCGCCCACGGGATCCTATTATAGTCGATGATTCGTCGCTTATGAACGTGCGCACAAAATCCCTTCTGCCAGAAATTTATTATCAGTGGGTTAGCTACCGCTTGCGACTTCTGGGCGAGCGATTCAAGGATGAGGCTGATAAGCTCAATGCTCGGTATACTGATGCTGTCGCTCTAACTGACGAGGCGAAGCCTGGTTTTTGTCGCAAGGAGACTGTTGATTTTGACGGTCTGACAAATTGGATGGATGAACAAATGCGGTATATGCGTCAGACGCTTTTTGAGATGCGTCCTGTTACTGATGAAGATAATATCAACAAGAACTATATTCCACGGATAGACTGAGAGCCTCCAGCTGAACACACTTATAACGTAATTCCCGGGCGGGTCGTACACCCAACCGAGCCGTACACCCCATCAAAAATCACGTCTTCCTACCGATATACCAACTTTAACCAACCACCATGCCACCAATTCGCGCCCAATCGTCTCGGAATTCTGCCGAAAAAGAGGGTAGGATCTTATTAGCCATCAAAGATATCAAAAATGGCCGTATCAGCTCTGTTCGCGCAGCAGCAACTCTATACAGAATCCCCCACACAACGCTGGCTGATCGCGTCAATGGTGTACAATCACGCGTCGATATACGCCCAAATAGCCATAAATTGACAAAATTAGAAGAGGATTCACTTGTTAAATGGATACTTTCTATGGATACACGTAGAGCAGCGCCTAGACCAGCTACTATACGAGAGATGGCTAATATACTACTAGCTGCGCGTAGTAGCCACTCTCCACCTACAGTTAGTAAAAATTGGCCATCAAATTTTATAAATCGACATAAAGAGATTCGATCACACTTCTCTAGGCACTACAACTATCAACGTACATTAAACAAAGATCCTAAATCGCTACAAGAGTGGTTTACGACCGTACAACATATTATTAACAATAACGATATACAGACAGAGGATATCTACAACTTTAATAAAACAGGATTTGCAATGGGTCTTATTTCAGCGCAGAAAGTGGTCACACAGGCTAGATACTACAGTCGGAGAGCTATATTACAGCCAGGAAACCACAAATGGGTCACTATTATTAAAACTATTTGCGCAGATGGTTATTCGCTACCGCCATATATGATTTTTAAAGGCAAAGTTACTATCACTAGTTAGTTTGATAATCTACCAAAAGACTAGCGATTTAAGGTCTCAAATAATAGCTAGACTACCAATAAAATTAACCTACGTTGGCTACAGAATCTATTCATCCCATATACAAATTCGCACACACACAGCCGGTTTCGGCTGTTAATTCTTGATGGCCATAGTAGCCATCTTACGGCTAAATTTGACCAGATCTATGCAGAAAACAACATTATACCGCTTTATATACCTACACATTCTTCACATTTATTACAACCGCTTAATGTTAGATGTTTTGCAGTACTTAAACGCATATACAATCGCTTTATAAGCGATCTTGCGCGTATAGGCTATAACCATATTAATAAGTTTAATTTTTTAGATAACTACCAACGTACAAGGCTAGAAGTATTCAAAAAACCAATTATTATTCAAAATAGCTTTATAACTACTAGCCTAGTGCCTATTGATCCAGAAAGAGTGCTTTCGAAGCTTAATATCTCTCTACGAACGCCAACACCCCCAGGAAGCCGACCAAGCAACAGATCTAGCCAATTTACACCAAAAACGCCGAGAACTATCATTCAACTACAAAAACAAGCTTCTATGATAAAAGATCTATTAAAACAACAGTCAAATAGCCCACCAAGCCCATCGAAGACTATGTTAGATCAAATTATCAAAGGCCACTATATATCGCTACACAACACAGCGTTACTAGCACAGGAAAACGCAAATTTACGTACAGCCAATAAGAAAAAACGCCAAAAACGCAATCGATCAAATAGGCAGATACCCTATGATACTAGTCTAACGGTCGAAGAGGGCCTACAGCTAGCTACGCAGCTAAATTTGCTAGATGAAGCCACCCCAGTAGATTCGAATGCACAGGGCGAAACGCCTATTCAGCCAGGTCAGCCAGCCAAAAGGGCTCCGCCTCGGTGCAGTAGATGTGGGAATATTGGCCATAAGATCAATCAATGTATAAATCGCGTTATTTAGCTAAATTAATATGTGTTGGCTAATATATATCGATTTAAATTTTTCTAATGGGTTGGGGTGTACGGCTCGGTTGGGTGTACGACCCGCCCGGGAATTACGTTATAGAACACCGTGACTAAGTTGATCCTTGAGACTGTATCATTCCCTTTTCTCGTCAATAGGATTAAACCAAATAATTACTAGTAACACTAGCATCAACCAATCAATCTTTATTCTCACGTTGACGCGGGCGAATCATGTACCGAAACCTATATTTTCCAAATTCCGCAAGATCATACTCATCGCTCCCCAGCGTCTCGAATCCCGTTTTGGAATAAAGCTGAGACCCGGCAGGTGATGCCTGACACCAACAAGCCATATTTAACTCATCAGCTTTCGCAATTCCCTCTTCAAAAAGCTTGGATCCTATTCCCAGGCGTTGGTACTGCGGGTCCGTCGCAAGAGCTTGAAGAACAATATATTTATCGTCCAGCCTTAATCTTGAATCAGCCTGCCATTTCGCAGAATCAATTTGCATCCGCTGGCCTATAGCAGGGGGCGATATGTCAGGATTGTCATTGGGTGAAAAATTAGACTTGGACTCTGGTTTATCCGGGCTTGGCTGTTTCTCCTTTGTCAACCAACATGCCCATGCAATGATAGCCCCGTCCTCATTGACGGCTTTCAAGATGCGTGCTGTGGGATCTGCGATCCAGGACCCGATATGTCGTACCATGATCTGTTCATGGGTGAAAGGCGGTTTGCCCTGAAGCATGAACTGCCAGAATTGATCAGTTTTCATTGCAGCTGCGTGAACTCTGGCAAGCTCTGGCCCGTCATGTTGGTGGATGGGGAGAATAGAGGCGATCATTGCGCCTCGTGCCTGCTTGATTTTGTGGTAGTAGGATTTGAAATAATCTGTTCGGATATTCTATTTGGAGCATAGGTTTGAACAAGGCTGGTCAGGGGAGAGAGGCATCAACAAACATTGGGGAGAGGGGGAAGATAAGGGGAAGGAATTAGTGCCTCCTCTTCCACACCATCTAGGCAACATGGATGCGCCACATCAGTCTTTTAATCTAAACTGGATTATGTCGTGCTGATGGTTGGTTGAGCTGGTTTGGAGAGAACAGACAGTGGCTCCTTTCATAATTTTTCGCATAATTGGATAAGAGATGCTGTAGGTAGTAATGGATAGCCCATAATGAAACTACATACTAATAGATGTAACTTCGAGATAGTCTAAATAATGTTTCCACTAGCTTAATTCAAATCCAAATCATATTTGTTGAATTTTCCTGTTTTTCTATTTAGCATTTTTGGGCGCATAGTTGAAGCAAGAAACCGGATTCGAGATGTCCAGGAAATTAATTCCGTATATGACTTCAAATTCGACATGGCGAGATTAAGTAAACCACCGTAATCTCCCAGGGTTGGCCCCTGCACTGGGTTTCACGGGCCGTCAATACTGCTCCCGAGCCCATGATCAGTCTCTCCTGAATTCTTCCATATGATCCTCTATTTCTACTTTGCATTCACCTTCTATGATCTAACTTTCCTTTCTCCACCAAAGTCCGCTGAAGCCCGTTGCCAATATCTACTTAACGCTGTCCGGGATGCTATAAGCAACGGCCAGGGCGCAGCCGCATGATACCATTCAACATAGTGAAAATATGCCCCTCTCAAAAGCAGACACTCGAAAATGTCTCGAACTAGGCAGTGATGACCTAGTTCCTTTCGACCATGTCGCTGCTGGACAGTAAGTACTGTCCCCACCTGAAGCTGCCAAATATTTCCCCACGCGACAATAAGCTACGCAGCTATGCTCTCACCGAACTGCGTGCCTGCCTCACAAAGCAGGGATAAATCACCCACCCTCAACCCTTTGAACTCACTTTCTCCCCTCACACCTTCGCTTTATCTCCCGGTACATTCTTCCAGTCAACTAATTACTTTATGGCGTCCGACAGCGACGGTGTCCGACGGACACTCTCAGGTTCCTTAATCGTCAAACCTTGCACAAAACAAGAAGTCGAGTTCTACGAGTCCAGCGCCCTCCACCCTGCCGTTCAGGAATTCATGCCCCTCTTCATCGGCTCCTTATCTTCTGCCGACCAACAGCAACCGCTGGCGATTGCTGCCGCCCAACAATCCGGCGCTGTCTTCCTCCCTGACCCCGGTAATCCTCCGACGGATTCCGCTTGTCCCGCCGAAGCGGCCACAGCTTCGCTCCCTATTACTTCAGTCGCCGCTCCTGTACCACACGAAGAGGCGAATGGCGCACCGCAAATAGAAGAGAAGCTGTGGGTTCCATCCGGCGGGAAAAAGCTAGAAACGGGGATATCCATTGTGTTAGAGAATGTGGCGTCCGGGTTTCGGCGACCAAATGTTCTAGACGTAAAGCTTGGAGCGCGATTATGGGCCGATGATGCGCCGCCTGCGAAGCGGACAAAGCTGGATGCCGTTTCGAACGAAACTACGAGCTCAACGTTGGGATATCGCATTGCGGGGATGAAGGTGTGGACGGGACAGGATGGCGATATGGACGCGGGCACGAAGACAAATCCGTATGCGATTAAATATGAGGGGGTCGAGGGGGCGAAGGGTGAGGTCATCGAGAAGAATGGATACATGCGCTATGATAAGTGGTATGGACGATCGTTCAACGAGAGGAACGTGAAGCAAGGCTTCGAGACTTTCCTGGCTGGGGCTAAGGCGGGATCCATTGACCGGTCAAAAATGATTGCGAAACGAGTTGTGGATGAATTGAAGAACGTGCAACAGGTGCTGGAATTGGAAGAGAGTCGCATGTACTCGTCCAGTGTGCTGGTTGTTTATGAGGCGGATCCAGAAGCGATGGAAGTTGCATTGGTGGAGGAAAAGAGACTCTCCGAGCAAGAGCCGGGGGACGGGGACGAGGAAGAAGATGAAGACGATGAGGAGGTTGACTTTGAATTCACCGAAGAAGTATTAGACCTCGCGGGCGTGCAACTTCCTGGGGGGATACCTGGGGGACTACCTCAACAGGCCATAAATATTACCATTGATCCTCAAACGGCACAGATGCCGGAGCTGGGTGACGAAGAAGATGAAGAGGAAACACCAAAGGTGCACGATTTGCGGATTATCGACTTCGCGCATGCAAATTGGACACCCGGTGAAGGCCCAGACGAGAATATGCTTATGGGGATTCGCAGTCTCATCAAGGTATTCCAGGAGCTGGCCGAGTGAAAGCGTTGTATGTAGATACCATATAGGCCTCAACTGGTTGCGGGCGACCGCTTGGGGTCTTCAAAGCATGTTTATGGCCAATTAACTAGCCGGGCATCATAAATATCTGGACTAGCAAGCATTGCCAGATCTTTTTGTTTCTTATATCATGATGTTATTAATAGACTATCCTACTATGATGCAAATGTACGTATATTATCAATGACTCTTAGAGCAGAAAGCACATGTAATACAGCAATTGTAGCGTCTGCCCAACCATTGTTCCACTTCAGATAAATAAAGGTTTATTAGATGTAAAAAAATAAAACAACTACAATATTCTAAACCAACCATTTTCCAACAAAGTAGAAACAGAGCATGAAGCATCGAGCTCGTAGCAGGGATCCACCGCGCATGATACCCGCTGACTAATAATTTCAACCCCAATCTTTTTCGACTTGCGGCTTCAACATCTCCTCCGATAGCCCGCCACATCATGTTTCCCACGCGTGCCCTATTGGGCCGGTCAGTCTGGAAAGGTAAGAATGCTTCCCCTGAGGCCCTGCTTCTATTCATCCGTACAATTGCTAACGCTGCGTCCCCAGGTCCAAACATCGTCCCGTACGTCAAACCATCTCAAACAAGAAGTCCATTGCACCTCCGCCAGAAATACGAAGACACAATCGAAACCAGAATAGAGTAACAAATGACTAACATAAACCTATCTAGTCTTGCCTTACCGCGAACTCTACCCCCTCCCCCGAACACACCACCGATCCGCACCCAGAAGCGTGGCGCAACCATTCTGCCTAATTTCGTTGGCGTACGATTTGCCGTCCACAATGGCAAGACATATCAGGAAGTCACTATTACCGAGGAGATGGTCGGACGCAAGCTTGGTGAATACGTTGCGTATGTTTTTCCTCATAATGGCTGGTGCTTGGATCATATGGATACATATATCTCCATTGATGGCTATGGCTAGGCTACTTGGGATGATGCTAATTGGATATTAAATACAGGACTCGCAAGCGTTTCACATATAAGCAGTCTAAGAACAAATAGATGGGAATAATCGTTATTTTCCTATTTGGGTTGATGAGTGTATCCAGCTCTTCAAAACTGTAGGATCTGTCTTTTCCTTTTTGGGACTTTTCCAACTCTTTCTCGGCATCTTGACGAATCCAATTATCGCCGAGGTGTTTGGATTATTCAAGTCATCTCCGTGTGGCAATTTGCGCAGATGCGTGAGAGGAACAGATCCGAGTTAGACCAACTTGGAAGTCCTTTTGTCTCGTTTCAAACAGCATCATTTATTTGGCCTTATGGCCCATGTACAGATACATCAGTGGTTCCCTTGTGACATTAGCTATGTGTGGGATGGAGTTTAACCATGGAACTTATTCAATACCAATATCAATCAGCACTTATTTCAAAGTATTTTCAATAATAAATAGTTTTAGGCTATTGCTTTATCGCTTGGTAGTCCAAAGATAACATAAAAATCAGAGGGAGGAAAGAAACACCATTTCTAAACTCTTCCCAACTATCAAGAATGCCGGGGTCAAAAAGCAGGATCTCCCATCCCGCGCCCATCGGATATCAGCGCGTACGCCCAGCGCCAGAAAGGACAAGCTCCCCCATCACAACATAAAAAAACAAAAACAAATAAAGGGACATAGTCCCACGAGAGTTTAGGACTCTTCGTTCGTATCGGCATTAGCGGTAGAATTCACCGCGCTTGACAGTAACTCCGTATTCCGAGACGGCCATTCCCAGATCTTCCATGGTCAAAACTGTTCGGCCCTGTCCAGAGCCGCCGGAACCACCACCGCCATAACCAGGCCTTTGTATACCGAGATGTGTATTTCCCTTACCACCCTTATTATCTCCACCTGCTGCTCCGCCGGGAACAGCGCCCATGCCGGCAGGGGCGCCGAGGCCTGATGCAGCGTTCAAGCTGCCCATCGGGTTATTTGCGGATGAGCTGTTGGAAGCGCGGATTCGAGCGAACTGATACGAGTCTGCAGCTATATCTGAGACGAACTTTTGTGTAGCTAGAGCGAGGAGACGGGCGAGATGAGGAGGTGTTTGGTTAGGACCGGTACCGGGGGGTGGAAGGCCGGCCAAGGTGAGGTAGTGAGCGGTAACAGCATCTGGGATCTGAATAGAGATTATATCGTTAGATAAAATATCATGAGGTATAAATTGGCTTTGTCCGCTGGTATAAGTGGGGATGGTTGCTGAACTGAAGATTCCCATTGTAGCCTGATATGCATATATGCATATATGCATATATTGACGCGGGTGCTTTTTGCGATAGCCAGAAAATCAAGGATTTGAATGACATACAATAGGAGCATACTCGTCCATCTTTCCTAGGAACTCGCGCAAGCTAGTCTCTTTCTTGGTCGGTTGCGGCGCGGAGGCTAGTTCCTCTAGAGTGGGTTCATTCTCATCGTCGTTAGCACCGTTGGCGTTCTGATCTGCGTTCATATCGATGTCCTGCTCGATAGACGCATCAAGGTCTGGATCAGGTTTAATCGTTGACTCAGCTGTCTCTGGGGCGGTTGACGTTGTTGGAGCAGGTTGCTCTTGTGACCCATTTGAAGGTTGAAGTGAGGGAGAGGGTTGAGCGTCGGCCATATTGGGCGGTCATCAGAGAAGTGATCGGTTCGCTTTGTTAAACAGGCTGCAGGGTACCAGGGCGGAGTGAGACCAATCAATCGCAGTGAGCTTGGTCGGAGCGCCGGGTTGTTCGAGTTTCTATGCAATTATAGTGAAGGGCCAGTCAGACGCGGGCGGAAGGTGGAGGTGCACGGACCATATATGGCGGTGGAGTTGGACATACAATTAGGCTGCTTCGGGGTACAATACTGATCAGTACTCGACGATTTTCTACGATATTACGGTTATGGTGATGATGGTAAGACAGAAATCATGTCCAAAAGCAATGTTTGAATGCCCATTTCAGGCTATCTACTTATACATCCAAAAACAGTAAAGGAAAATGAAAGTAAAGAAAAGCGATCAGCGACACCTCGTTATGCATCTCAAATCTTCATGCTCCCATAATTCAGAAAAGAAAGCCCCTGTTTGGTAATCCAATAATCCAACAGTACAATAATACAATGCCGTAACGCCAAAGCAAGATTCAAAAAGGCCAAATATAATAAGAGAAAAATAAATGGAAGGTGGAGCAAAAAGGGAAAAAAAAGTTTTTAAAAAAAACTTGCAACTTCAAATGCAAAAGAATTATTAGCAAGTTCGCTGGAACGGAATGAGAAATCAGCGGGGAGAAAAGTCCCAGATCGGACACAAATGTCATGATGGGCCACTGCAACGGCTTTCATAGACTACTGGCCAAGCTGCATATGAGGATCGAGGTGATCTTGGGTTGTTTGGTGCTGTTGAGGGTACTGGCTGCCGTGTACCTCTTGGCTAAGAGTCTGCATCAGGTTCTGCTCAGCGGTCTGATCAATGAACGCCTGGCTGTTGTGGTCTGGTGGTAGACTTGGTGATGCAGACATCTCGTGGCCACCGACAGGCGAAGAATGGGCTCCAGCTAATGCCATCATACCCTTGATGCCCTCGACATGTGCCTTGTCTTCCTCGCCCTGTTTCTTTTGCCTTTCGCGAGCTTCTCGCTTGGCAGCTTGAGCAGGGGCTCGGGTCTTCAGCTCGCCGGTGACAAACTTCAGATAGTACGGGACCTCTATTCCACTTTTGAGGAAAAACAATTTCAGATTGCGAGCCTTGTCTTTCAATTGTACCTGGTTGCGATCTTTCAAGGCTTCGCTGATTGTTCCACCAGGACCAAACATGGCGAGGATCTGGCTCCAGTGCGGGCCCTTGACCCTATCAAGGCCAGCCATGAGAGCATTTTCTTCTTCAGTGGTCCAGGGTCGACGTTGGCTAGGAAGTCCGGTCTTGCGGCTAGTCGGTGAAGACTTGGCAGATGCTGCCATCCGGGCGCGTTCGTAAAGCACTTGCGTCGGCTGGGATTGGGAATAGTGAGGAATCCCGGGCATGTAGCCATGATTTCCAGTCATGCCGTTGGCTCGTGCCTGCATGGTCTGGGCGACATTTGGGTTGTACTGCTGGAAGTTTGCCTGCAAAGGGCTTTGTTGGAATGTCAAGCTATTATGCTGCTGTTGATACCCACCGGGAGGTGTTGGGCTATGATACTGCTGCTGGGTATGCTGTGCGGGTTGTTGAGCAGCCGTGTATCCATGGAGATACTGATTATCGGACTGAGGAACATGCTGCTGTTGCTGGGGTTGCTGCTGAGGTTGTTGTTGTTGAGGCTGCTGCGGCTGCTGCTGCTGAGGTTGCTGAGGTTGCTGCGGCTGATGAGATGGTGATGGACTGGCCTGGGATTGTGGCTGCTGGTGTTGCTGCTGGGACTGCTGCTGTGAGCGGCGGAGGCCATGACCCTGTAGAGCAATCTGTGCGGCACGAGCAGCACGGGCGACAAGATCACCGTGCATATTGCGATCGACCGGAACTTCCACCTGCTGATTCACGGAAAATTGGCTTTGATGAGTTGTTGTTGGTGTTTCCTGCGCATCACCATTCGAGCTCGATGGTCGGCGTCCCTTGACCGGCTTTTTGCCCGGCTGGTTGTTGATAGTATCGAAGTTCTTAGAAATGTATGAACTGAGATCGCGTAGAAAATCCTCCCATTGGTACTTGTCTGGTAAACCTCTCATTGCCTCCTCGTTGTTGATATCGTTCAGAAGGTGGTCACGGCGAGACGCGAGTCGGCTGACGAAGTCAGATTCACTCGGAGCCAATTGACGCGTACCGGGGCGTCTGGATAGTAGTTGTTGCTCCATGTCGTCAGGGAACAGCTGGTAAAGCAAATGCGTTCGGGTGTGAGACTTGTTGTTCATGGCAGCAATGAAAGCTTGAGTCTTAAGCTCCAAATACAAAGCAGCCTGTACCTTCAAGAGACGACCCCCTTCAGGTACAAAGACGTCCAGGAAATGCTCGTTTAGTTCTGAAAATCCAATTTCCTGCGAGCCAAAAATGCTCGACACGAAGGAGGCGACGTTGGCTTTGCGGATGATCTCGACTTGTGAAGAATCGGTAATTTCAAGATCGGAGGACTGAAGAAACGAGTGCTTGACGGTGTAGACGCGTTTGGTGTGGTCAAAAAGTGAGCGCATGGTCGCGTAGGCCTGTCCATTCTCTGAATCGGGTTCTGACACCATAGCTGTCAAATCCTGGTAGCTGTTCTTCGACAAAAAGGAAAGAATTTGCGTTGACTGTAATTAAATCAGCAATCCGAAAGATGTATAACAATACCAATCAATATTTACCAAGTTATCCAAAATGGGCAAGCTTTGGATTTTCAAGTGAGAGTTGGCCTTCAAAAACGCGAAGCCTTTGACGCCAGGGAACTCATTGGATTGAGGGACTTCTTGGGGACCCATAGAGACTGTTTGGTCTTGACGCTCAGCGTGGTCCATGATTTCTGAGATGATAGTGGCAACATCGGGGTTGACATTGGTATCATCCTGAGTGGGGTTTGGTTGAGTCTGACCCAAGTGAGTGTGATCGGTCGGCTCCAGGGTATCTACAATGCTCCCCCCCAACGCCGTTGCCAATTCCTCCTCTATTTCATGACCTGGCCCGTGCTGTTCCTCGGAAAACGTGTGTTGTATGGAGATATCGCCTGAGCCGGTTCGACGCCGCTTTGCTTCCGGTGGCGATCCATGCTCATCGTCGTCCTCCAACGGATGCGATAACTTCCTGTCTGATACGAGAGATTTGTGAGTAATTGAGATCAATTGATTTCGTTCGATATTTGGTAAATACATGAGATCAGAGGCGGTGACAGGGGTTTGGTTGGGTTGAGTGAAGCCATGCTAGCATCGAGCAATACTTGATGGGTTGATGGGATTTGGACTCACCAATGTCTCCATCATCAGGGTCAAAGGACGGAAGTTCTACGGAACCATCAAAAGATGGTCGATTCCCTCTTGTTTCGACCATCTGAGCGTAATATAAGAGGGGTTGGCTGATCAGCTTTCCAAGAGCAGAAATGAGGGCTTAGGGGTAGGGCGCATTTGTAGGGCTTTGTTGAAGGGAGGAGTTGGACTTTGTTAGCCGCAGGGATTTTTTGCCTATGGGTCTAGCTATTGATTGGTCGGATGGCTAGACCGCTAAAATCCGCTCAAACTTTCCTCCATATTATGTAAGCATGGTAATGCTGTCCATTTGCAAGCTAAGAATTGGTTATTTTAAAGTAAAAGGATGCAAATTTATGGATTCACGAGATTCATCCTGGTCGGTCTTGTTTCAACATTATCTGACTCCATATCAGGGCAGACCTTTATATTGCGTCTGTTGCTCGTTCAATTTTGTCGATCAATATTCGACGGCCCAGTGCATCCGGAGTGGGTACACCCCGGATTCTCGGCCGCCCAGGCGTCTTCGATTAATCTTCAACGGCTCTCGATTTTGGATAAGTACCTCCACATTTACATAGGACAGGGATACTTTCCAACAAAACAAACAATATCTGACTCAGAAACATTGTGCCCATTCGACTTCGATCAGCCAGGCAATACCCGGAGCATCCGTTTCCTTGGCATATAAGGCTGGATTTGTGCGCGTCATTGATCTTTCAACCTCTGGTTTCTCCTTGGTCTGTGTGCAACCCTACTACCGCAACTGGATCAATCAACCCTGGGGTATAATTCAAGGTCATCGCAAGCGCCCGAACTGGCCCTTTCGTGCTCATAATTCACTCTAACCAATAACTATGATCAGCATGAGTGGTCTATTCCGTCTACATACTAGTTCTCAGTCAAGCGGTTTATCATTGAATGTCCACTATGATTGGTCTAAGTTCTAATATTTTAGGTCCATGGGCGAGGCGATATCCAACCTAAGTCTTTTCGCTTTTGCAAACCTTGTCAAACTTAATAAATAATACGGTTGATGGGTCCACAGCTGTCATCCAACCCAGACGAGGTTAGGTTCCCTATTGAAACACGAACAATTTCCGAAAGCAGCCGTGGTAGAAAATTTTCCTTGATATCTCCTTGAATCTACAGGGCATGAGCCGGTGTACCTGGGTCTAGCCTATTCATTGTACCATAGCTTGAAAATATCACATAGCTTTGGCAATGGCCCATTTTTATTCCGACCACACCCCCAGATCCCTTCGTACTTGGGAGCTATTCTCTTAGAAGATAGATTGCTCTTGTCCCAATTCGCCCTAATTGACTTTGATCAAGCTAGGTGTCTCGGAAGCAACAATGTTCACCACCCGCCAATACCTCGCTCTCATTTCCTTGCTTCTTCAAGCTCCTCCAATCGCCAATGCCGAATATACCCAGAAAGTATGGAGTGTGTTCGCATATACTATCTACGGAGATAGCACTCCTGATTCGCTTGCGACTAGCGCTCGACCGGGAGGTCTAACTGAATATGGGGCTAGCCAGCTTGTCGATGCCGGGTCTGCAATCCGATACCGCTATGTGTCATCAGCAGGGAGTCTCAACGCAACTGAGTCTGCAATTCAAAACATTGCCCCGTCTATACTCAATTCTAAGGATGTCAAGGTCCTATCAACGACTGATGAAGGCACTATTGGTTCGGCACAGGCATTCATGCTTGGCCTTTACCCACCTTTAGGCCAGGAGAACATGAATACTTCTGACGAAACAGCAAACGGCACCCACTATTCAGCGCCAATGGATGGATATCAGTTCCCAAAAATTGTCACTCTGGGCGAGTCTGATCCGGGGTCATTATTTGTGGCGGGCCAAGCAAGTTGTAACATGTACCAAGTTGCCGTATCGGAATACCAGAATGGGGGAGATGCAGCAGAGATCACCCAGGATACTGAAGTGTTCTACGAAAAGCTCTTGCACGACGTTCTCTCTGGGGTCTATGACGAATCCTCTGCAACCTATACAAATGCTGTTAGCATTGCAGACTATCTGGACTATGAAGCCCTACATAACAGTACAGCACTAGATATGCTTTTCGGTGATGATTTGATTCGAGCGCGAGCGTTAGCCGATCAGTTTACGTATGCTACAAATGGACTGGGTGCTTCACCACTAAGCTCGGACTCCACAGCCGGCTTGACCATTCCAATTGCTGGGCAAACTCTTGCTTCCAGTATCATAGATGCGTTCAACATCAACTTGGAATATGACGGCAATGGGGAGAAAATGACATTGTTATTTGGTGGCCCAGAGCCAGCCGTGGCATTGGCTTCATTGTCAGGCCTCGCCAGCAATCAACAATCGAACTTCTTCTCCCGTCCGGCTCGAGGCGCTTCGCTGATCTTTGAACTGTTCAGCTTTGAAACCGATACAGATGACGACAGCTACCCCGGAAGTGGTGAAATGTACGTGCGATTTCTCTTGCACAACGGCACGGACTCTTCCACCGAATTCATCTCGTATCCGCTCTTTGGGAATAGCCCCAGCAAAACCTATATCCCATGGGTAGATTTCCAAGAGGAAATGAAAACATTCGCCATAGGATCAACCAAAGAGTGGTGTACTCTTTGCAATGCCGATTCCGTCTTTTGCTCGGGGGTCTTGAGCCATGGTCACTCGTCTTCCAAAAAGAAGGGAGTCTCTCCAGCCGTAGCTGGTGTTATTGGAGCCTTTGTTACACTGGCTGTGATTGGGTTGTTAGGCCTAGCAGGATTCCTTGTCTTTTGGTTCCGCAAGCGCCGTGGAGAGCACAAACCGAGCATTGGAGGCTTCAAGGGACCTGGCAAACTTGCTAGCGATACAGATGTTTCTTTCCGTAATCCTATCTGGGGCACTGACAAGACTGCCAGTATGGAACAGGATAATGAGGTTTCCGGAGGGGGAGTGGTTGTTCGCGGCCAGGAACGGCTGGGGAGCTGGGAAATGGGCCAGCAGAACCCAGAAATGGAAAACACTATGGCAGCGACTCAACCAGGACGACTTGCCGAACCATCAACTTTGGAAGATGAGTCTGCTAGTGAATGGCAGCTGCACAGCCGTTTACAGCCTGTCAAAATTCGTGAGAGTGTTTGATGCTCGATAATAGACTCGATCTCATCGTTTTCAAGTTGATTTTTCGAGCACTTGTATTCAAGTTTTATATCTCAAGTCCTACTTTCGACCTGCGATGAGATAATATTTGTTGTCTAGATCTTTATTCTTTTGTTCTTGAGTAATTGAGTCACGCAATGGAGTCTTGAATATTTTCATGGCTACCACCACAGTCACCCCGATGAATAATCCCAGAATCCCACTCCCTGTTAGGAGCGGTGGACTTTGAATACGCGTTTAATATCATATTATATGAGTAATACAATTGATTCTGCTCGTGTACCATTCAATGTTCTTTCTACAAAGAGTTGGATTCTTTAACGGGGGTACTGTAGTAAGTAAGTCCTTCAGTTGTTGCAGGTGCTGTTCACGCTTTCGTTCCGTCACTTCCCAGCTAGACACTGTACTAGAGTCTCCCTTCCTACCCCATCACTCTAGTTCACATTATTCCATCGCCCTTTCCATTCACCATTTATTGAACGAGTCTCAGCAGAATACCAATGTCTAGAGATCAATCTGGATCTTTCACTCTTTCATCAAGTATGCCCTCGATTGAAATCCCTTCGCCATGAGATACACCATCCCAGCTTTGCTAGCTTTGTACCAGGATGCAGACCCAGATTGCAAATGGACAAATTCTGCTAAAAACTGTGAGTACCCGTTGTTCTTTCAGAAATCTCTTTGTCGTTCCTTCAGACCCCAACACCAAATACCCTAAGCCTTCTCTGTTTTATCAGAATACTAGACATGCAGTCGGCCATCAACCTCGGTTATGTGGTCAAACGAGGGTTGAAATGAGAAAAGATCGCAGGTCTTTTGATCGCTCTTTGACAATATATGGGCTTCTCTTTAAGCTCTAGAGTAAATTACACGCGTGAAGCCTGCTGACAAGAGACATAGGCAAACAACACCTTCATCCCCGACTGGGAAAGAGGCTTGTTCATTCGATGGATGCAGCAATACCCTCAAAAAGGTCCAAGTCCACGGTACATGCTTCATCACGACCGAACAAGACTTTGAATTTGAAGACCGCATCACATCGGCCACCGCAGCATGTCAACAAGCCTTCATCCTGTGAGCACTCTGATACAGAGGATCCCGGATTTGCTCAGTTCCTCCAAGATCATTCTTCTCCGCGGCATCAAAGAGTCACTGCTGGGGGTAAAATTGTCCCGATGAAGCCCAATGAGAAAAGATCCCATCCTGGAGAGCTGCCTGCGACCGAGGGACTTGCTCCTCCGCTCGAAATGCCCAATATGGTGCAGTCCCTTTCTCAAATGCGGCAGGTATCTATGCAGCGACAAGCCGAAGAAGTGCTAAATGAGATGTCAGCTCAACTTCATGCATTTCAGCCAAGTCATAATTCTACCCAAACTCCTCTACATCCTCAAGGCGAGCCCTATAGCCTAGCACCGGCAATAAATACTTATGAAACCTTTCCATGCTCCAGACCGATTTTGAACTGCATTCCCGAGGAAGCGCCATTTGGAACGGTTCCCAACGGGCCGCTCTATATGGGCTGTGGTCCTATCCCAGACTTTGGCCAGACCATCTCTCATCAAGCTTCGCAATCATTGCCCATGCAAATGCCACTCCAGCTCATCAGCACATTTTGGCCTGAAACAACATCAACGGTCTTCAATGAGCTATATTCTTATATTTCGCAGTCTGCTCCCCCTGTAGGGGCTATTATGCCAGATATGTACGATGGAGAGGCTGAGGCGCTCATGATCAGCTCGAGCATCACAGCAGCCCTTCAGCAGTCAATCAGTGGGGCTCCAATTGGCCTCTGGAACTGGATGGGCCTTATCACGAATGTAGTCGAACACTCGATGGGCGACATGGAGCGTTTATTCCAGGCTTATTATATTTTGACAGTACACCGTGCGAACATTCAACAGATGATAATCAACACCAGTGTGAACATTGCTTGGACTCAGGTTACGCATCCCTTTCAGCGAGACTATCGTGTGATGTATATCAATATGCGAGACATGGTGGACAGAGCCCTTCAGATTATTGAGTTCCTCATCGAAGACTCGCGGAATGAAGCTGCTAATCAAAATATTGCGGCAAGCGGATCTACGCAAGATTCATGTTATGAAAACAAATTCCATCTTCAAAGTCATGAAAAACGGCAGGAGGAAAACAAGGAGCCGTGCATGAATGGGGGTACCAACGCTATCGCTTCTAGTTCCTCCAGTTTGACTTCAAATGAGGTGGCGCATAGGCTCCGTCGCCCTCGGATGATTGACCCGTACACTCCCAGATTACTCTCTCGAACGAGCCAGCCTAATCAGTTGGATGGCGCATGCTCCGATATGGGGACCCGACATGTGGAGGATGACGAACTTTGGCCCAATGTATATCCTCAGAATGGATGCAAAACCCAACATAACACAATCGCTTCAGTTCCGGAATATCTACACAAATTGCGTGACGATGAGAGTGATAACACCAAGGCTAGTAAAAATCATGTCGACGAGGGTACTTCAGCGCTCGATACACTTTTTCGTCGTGATTGTGACGAGCAGCAAAAGAAGAACGATTCTCATCACAGTGTGGATCGAGATTTGGATAACGCAACTCTTCTGTCTAATATATCCGGCAATTCGCTTCATGTTAGTGATATAAAGTTCACTAATAAAGAACGTGGCAACTTTGAGGACATCCTCACCAGTTCCCGTGAGTCCAGTGTGGAAGTTGAGGCGCAATCAATTCTACATACTGATGTGCAGTCTATCTTTTGGGAACTTAACTTGTCCAAGCACAGTGTTGCCAGTCTGCAGGATCCAGAGCCTTACGGTTCAGAGATTGAGATAGGAGAAGGGAGCTTGGGTGAATCGGCAATTGACATTGATCAAATAGATATTCTGGCTCAAGCGGGTCAGTTGGAATACGAAACGGATACAACAGCGAGAAGTGTGACCTCAGACGACTGGTCAATTTGTGTCAATTCAACGAAGTATCCCACCCATTCCCATAAGTCGAAGCCTACTAGCGATGCCACAACAGTGAGCAGGTCGTCCATCTGCCCTAATCAACTTAAATCCCATGAACGGCTATCCGTGGCCACCACTTTCGATCTCAATAATAGGTAACTTCCAGTTTCCGTGTCCTGTTTTCATGAAGCTAACAAGAGATCTCAGTAACTCCAGCATGCCTTTCGGTTCAGAAGGGAAGAGACCTGACAGTCCTTGCGATAATACGCCCACCAAGAAGAGGGTCAACGATCTAAGGGTTGAAAGAGTCCCCGGGGAGTTTGAAGGACTCGGAAGCTTTTTGATAGGGGATCTACAACTAGTCTGGAAGGCTCAAGAACATATTACATCGGCTCAAGAAGACATTGGCCGATCTATTCGACGTGAAATCCTCAGCGCCTTGCAAAATCGAGTGCATAAAATACTACCTCGGCGAGTCTTAGAACGACAGCGTCTTGAGCAGCAACAGGCCGAGCAATATCGGGCTGGACAGCATTGTCTCCATCTACCTCATCAGACCAGTCCCACTGTACAAATCAGCATTACAAGCGCTTGTGGTAAATTTACCCAGGGATATTCCCCAGATGCAACGGCTATCCTCCATAAATACAGCTCTAGCGACGAAAACAATTCGAATGAGCAGACTTCAGTGTGAAAATTCATATGAATGAACAGAGCGACATAACAACGGATACTAGATGCTAGAGAAGCAACATGACGCTTCGCTGCTTTTTGAACGCTTTCTCTCATTAATAATCTTATTCTCTTCCTTTGCGATCTTTTTTGCGGTGCTGGTCTACTCACCCGACCAGAAAAAGCATGGTACGCTCTTAGACTTTTTTGATGTTCGCTGAAATCGACTTTCATCATGCGCTTTGAGTGTTCAGAATGGCCGACTTAATCATTTGTCCAACTTTTCACAACTTGGGTCATTCTCCAGGCGGCTATTGTTGAAGAGAGGGCTTTTCTTGGTTTCCCTGCTTTTGCTTTTTTTTTTTCTTTCTTTTTTTTCTTTCTTTTTTTTTTCTTTTCCTCATTCCTTTATACTTTTGTTCTTTTCTTTGAAAATCCTTCTCGCCGGCATGAGCTGCCTAATTTGCTTCGTTCAGCTCTCCGGGAGTGATTTTAAGCGGTTCTTGTTATAACGGGGAGGACTTGGGCTTAATAGTTTGATAGGGAACTCCGAATAGATTATCGATAACAGATCACGTGCAGACACTGCCCCTGGCCCAAATATTGACTCGTATTGGTCCCGACTATCGCGATGGCACTGAGCCATAGCCAAATTTGCCACCTGTGTGGGGACTTTTCCTTTCTTTTCCTTGCTTTCGCCATAGGTCTCAGATAGTGAATAGAGATTTACGAGAAAGAAGAGAGAGATACGTAGAGGGAGGGCTGTCTGTGTAGAATCATAAACAATTAATCATGTAGTTTAAAAGGGTTTATTCAGTGTTACTGCTAGTATCTGGAACATTGAAGCATACCCCAACAACCACAAGGTTTATCTTGTCACTCCAGCCAAGAATGCCCCATGACTAATCATAAACTCCGCGTCTCCTTCTCCACCCCCAACCTGGCCTGATCTCCCTCTTTTCTTGTCGGCAATATAACATGCAGCCTCATTAATGAATACTGCTGCTGTGCTCTCTGTCTTGCCATTCTTTTGGGTGGAACACCCTTATATCAAAGGTCCCGTGTGCTAACCCAGCGACCGCTCGTCGATCATTGTCGTATCTTGAATCTGTCTTTACCCGGTGTTTCTTGAACGCACCCCCGCCACCGCTATCCCATCCTCCCTTCCCTCGAGCGCAGCCGTCCCAGTGAGATCGAGTTCTCTTTGTTGCGCCCACGAAGACTGCGAAGTCACTTAGAAAACTATCTTTTTTCCCGCCATGACCCAGCTTTTTGCATCAACTCCCTCGGCAATGAACGAAAAGCGCGGGAATTTTCCCGGTCTCTCCCTTCCTACCCGCAAACACTCCAACGAGTCGGGCCATTTACCATCCAGAATAAAGAACTTCTTCCGCATAAACAGTTCAAGTAGCCATTCTTCATCCCACGGAGGCAGTCCGACCAGCAATGAGCGCGAACGGGAAAACTCCCAAGGGGCAGCCCCGAAGAACGAAAAGTCCAGCGCTTTCCGACAATCTCGTTTCCTGCCAGGTATTGGCCGCAACCGCTCGCACACCGTCGCTAGTGAAGGAAATCCGTTAGACGATGGCGTTTCACCTACCGCCACTGCAAACCCGTATTTCGCTCATCAAGGCCAACCGGCACTGAGGCATCGGAATGATGGGTCTGTGCCTTCCTCGCCACCAGATACCCCCGAGTTGCAGGTCACCGGGGTTTCTGCGGCTGAACAGGCGAATACTACAAATAAGGAGGAATTGGCGCGCAAATTGCGTCGTGTTGCTTCTGCTCCCAATGCTCAGGGACTGTTCAACAGCTCTGGCGATGGCGGGCCTCAGACTGTCGAAATGGATAAAGAACCACTCGTTCAGTCTGCCGTTGTCGGTGATACACTTACAGGTCTTGCTGTACCTACTGCCAGTGGGGATGGCTTCCGTCGCACGTATAGTTCGAACTCGATCAAGGTCCGCAATGTAGAGGTGGGACCTGCCAGTTTCGACAAAATCAAGCTTATCGGCAAAGGTGATGTGGGAAAGGTTTACTTGGTTCGTGAAAAAAAATCGAGTCGTCTTTATGCTATGAAGGGTCAGTTATATGACAAAGGTTGAACTCCGTGGATTCACCGCTAATCCCTTCTTTAGTTCTAAGCAAGAAGGAAATGATTAAGCGCAACAAAATCAAGCGTGCATTGGCTGAGCAGGAAATTCTTGCTACCAGCAACCACCCTTTCATTGTTACCCTTTACCACTCTTTCCAGTCAGAAGATTATTTGTATCTTTGCATGGAGTATTGCAGTGGTGGAGAATTTTTCAGAACTCTGCAAACCCGACCTGGTAAGACTATCAGCGAAGATGCTGCTCGCTTCTATGCCGCGGAGGTCACTGCTGCTTTAGAATACCTACATCTCATGGGCTTTATCTACCGAGATCTCAAGCCGGAAAACATCCTTCTGCACCAGTCCGGTCATATTATGCTTTCAGATTTCGATTTGTCTAAGCAATCGGGACCTGGTGGCGCTCCCACTATGATTCCTGGTCGTACCGGTGGTTCTTCTTCCGCTGCATTGCCTACTATTGACACCAAGTCATGCATTGCTGATTTCCGTACAAACTCCTTCGTTGGAACTGAGGAATACATTGCACCAGAGGTCATCAAGGGATGCGGTCACACCAGTGCTGTTGATTGGTGGACTTTGGGTATCCTGATCTATGAGATGCTTTTTGGAACTACACCTTTCAAGGGAAAGAACCGGAATGCGACATTTGCTAGCATCCTGCGGGATGAGGTGCAATTCCCTGAAAGCACTGGCAATCAGCAGATTTCTAACTTGTGCAAGTCCTTGATTCGTAAATTATTGATCAAGGACGAAACCAAGCGTCTCGGTGCTCGTGCAGGTGCCTCTGATGTTAAGACCCATCCTTTCTTCCGCACAACTCAGTGGGCGCTGATCCGTCACATGAAACCACCTATGATCCCTCACCAGGGTCGAGCTGGTACCGATACTATTAACTTCCGCAATGTCAAGGAAAGTGCCAGTGTGGATATTGGAGGTACGCAAGACGCTGCGAAAATGCCGGGCGTACCGATGGATTCCGGTCTCGCCACTCCTAATGGGGAGTTGAATGATCCTTTCGAGGAGTTCAACAGCGTTACTCTTCATCACGAAGGAGATCATTGATTACGTTTGAATTAAGCAAAGCCCACATTGTACTTTGATTTGATTTTGTCTTTCTCCTGACACATGGGGAGCAGCCACCTGGGCACCGGCTTGCTGACGACCATGATGCATTGACGACCACATTGTTTTACTTCTTATTCTCCCTTTTCGTTTATTATTGCAAAGCTTCGGGTGTACGGAGTGTTTCAGGGCCTTCTAGATCAATCTTCCTCTGCTTTCTTTCCTGCTTTTCTCTTCGGCTATTTCTCTCTTCGCATATTTGCATTTCTCATGATCATTAAAGGCCTTGAACCACTCTTGGTTATTATTATGTTTCTTTTCCACTTGCGAACCATACACCTGGTTAACCATTCCTTGTGTCACAGTACTTGTGTTTGAGCTGCGGTATACATCAATCTACTTTCTCTACGATGCAGCGGGCGGCGTTATAGGCTTCAACTTCTTCGGTGCTCGTGACACTATTCGGATCTGAACTTTATCTATTCTTGTTGTTGTTTTTTCTCGCGCTTTGGCTCGATTTGTTTACTCTGGTCCGAAATATAGTGCGGATCTCCATTTAGGAAGCTCCGGTCTTTGTTGGCTTTTTGCATCTTGTTTTCACTTAGGAGCGAAGCCACTATATCCCAAGTTCAGTGCCTTTGCCGATTGCTAAAAAATACGTTCATATTTTCTGCGAGTCATATCTATATACGTTTCAGTTTTGAAGCTCTGGACCTGATCCATTTCAACTATTTTTTTTATTATACTCGTAAAACAAAATATCTAGATGTGTTCCTATGCATCCCAGTGACTGGTCTTCGTAGTCTTGAATAGTACTGGGTGTGGAACATATCCGCCCGAGCCAAACCCATGGATCCTCATTACAACAAACTGCGCTTTAACCCGTTTGTTTAAATTTCCCTCCTTCAAGCTATATTCCACCACAGCAGACACATCAGTCGCAGCACCTCCCTAAAAATGTCTGCCTTCGCATCCCCAGACGATGCTGATACACACGACTACTCCTATGCCTCCCCCGACCCCACGACTACCACCCCTCCTATGCCGCAAGAAATGACCCCCCGCGAAACATCACACGGCGCCAGCCGTGCCAATCCACTTCTGGGAGATGACAATCCCCTCGTCTCAGAGCTAGAGCAGGAAGTACTAGACGAGTACTCTCGCTTACTACGAAACGTGAACCAGGTATGTCAAGACGAGGGAAGTCCTGACAAGCTTCCGCTCCCACCGTACCGCGTCATGCACTTGTCGGGCTTTCTCCAAATCCATCTTCAGTATACCCAAATTTGGCTTATGGACTAGTAATCTACATCATCAAACCTTGTAGCAAGCCTTGACTGACATTTACCTCGTTCAGCTTTCCGAGAAGATCTCTGACCTCGCCGGTTCCCCCGCCTCAATGACATTAGATGGCCTCCGACTGCTAGAACGAAAGACTGCGACCGTGTGCACGTTGCTTAAGGCTAGTGTTTACAGTATTGTCTTGCAGCAACAAATCTACAATGAGAGTGAGGAACAGCAGCAGCAGCAACCGCAGAATGACGGGGAGACACAATTCGAGGATCAGGATTATCATGGCGGGGGCTATGAGGGGGATACGACATTCCAGTGATTTTCGAGGCTTATGGCGTCGGTGATATCTTTTTTATTTGCATACATATATACCCTGGTTGTGATTATCTTTCTCGTTCATTGGCTTAAAGTACAATATGCATCGCACAGATCTATAAAAGTTGACTGAGAATTTATAATGGAGTCCAATTGTAATAGTGTAGATGGATATTGAAGCTGATAATATAGGTTGACTGGAGTCCAGGCACATTGAATACATCCTTTCCTTTTAATGACCAAACTAGTACAAGTACATGCAATAAAAGACACGGAGAAGAGAAATGATAACACATTATATACACGTCAAGGATATTCTTTCTTGCCCTAGACTCTGCCTGCATAGTACACCTTGCGCACATCGACCATCTTGCGGTTACGGGCTCGAGCAACCTCCTCAGGGTCACGTTGGCTCATAAGCGCGTCATACGCGGCCTTGACAGCGTTCATCTTGTTTCTCGATCGGTTGACTCGGGCAGAGATATCATGAATACCGGCCGCACGACACATCTCATAAATCAGGGATTGGGCACGGAGACCGAAACCTAGGGGTATTGTAAGCTACACTGAAAAAAATGTGGAATCAATTGCGCATTAAAACATACCTGGAGGGCGGTGCATCAATTCCAACTCTACAGCTCCAACCTTAGCCTTGACATCACCAAAGATGGTGCGGTTCTCGTATCGGGGAATTGGTTGCATGTTGCGAATCGCACGGTACTGCGACTGGATCTTTGCATCGGTAGGTTCCTCGGACTTAGCCTCACCAATTCCAAGCAGACCATTGCCATTTCCAGCGATGGATAAACGGTAAGCACGGCGCACCTTACCAAGACGAGTCTGGTTCACAACGCTGTGCATAACAAGAGTCTTGATTCGGAACTCGTTAATTTGGCTAGCAGTGTATCCTGTAGCCAGGAGAAGGCTCTTCAAAGCATCTGTCAACTCCTCAGCAGCAACTGAACGCTCCTTTTCACCTCTCTCTGAGGCGGTAAGCTGCTCCTCCACACGGGGCTCGTCAACGGTCTCTCCAGGTCCAAAAAGATCAGGAACCATAGAGCTGTTCGGGTTCAACTCGTTCTCTTCCTTGCCGTGTGTCAATCGCAGAGAGTTGGCGAATCGCATATAATCAAGACCAGTAGCGTTATCGGGCATCTCGGCGAAAAAGCGACCAAAGTCCTCCACGAAATCGTCGTCGTTTCTAAGTTTGAAGTTGTAGTCTGTGTTTGACTCGGGGGCTCGCACGTGGTGGTCAATGCCGGGCTCGACAACGGAGAAATCATCCAGATATTTGAATTTCAATGGGTCATCGCGGGGACGGAACTGTTCGGCCATATCCTTGGGATCAATGGATGCTTCACCGGCCTCGATGGCCTTAATCTGAGCCTCGGAGTACTCCTTCGCAAGGGCCTCCTTCTCCTCCTTTGTGTAGGATTGGAAGTTTTCGGGGGTTGTAGAGGTTGAAGGAGCTTTAATATTGGGGAATTTCGATTTCCGGTTCGATAGAATCGCAGGAGTCGAGTGGAATTGGCGACGAGCAACTCGCGTGCCTGGCGCGGCAGCACGGGAGAAGCTGCACAGCAGACATTTTGCCGGCCGTGCAAGACTCATTGTGAAAGGACGGATTGATTGTCACCAGCCAGCTATATGCCAGCTATGAACACAAAGGGAAAGCAGGAAAGGAGACGCCGACGACGGGGAGAAAACAATTGACGATGGGCAGTTTGGAGTGAGTTCGGGATGGAATTTCTTGCTCGGTGGGCGGTCAGCCACTGACCAATCAGCAGGCTTGTAGATGCGTTTCTAATGAATTTCCAGAATTTCGAGTCTCCAACTCTCCGCGATTCTTTTTTTTCTCTCTTTTTTTTTCTCTAAAAATCTTGAGTCTTATCTCTAGTACATGTTTCTGTTGAGGAATTCGCTTTGGCGTCAAACTTCTCGCCAATTTTTCTCGATTCGCCCGTCTGTACAAGTTGCCACACATACCAATATATCATATCGCAAAAAAGCGCATGCGCCTACCCACGCCGCAAGAATGCCGAACCAACCAAAGAAACATTTTGATGGAAAGAGGCGCAAGAAGGTGAAGAACGACCGTACCAAGGCCAATGGATTCGACGAAGTGCTGCAGGCCGATATCGATCGACTTATCAAGCAAAATCGCCCTGAACAAACCGAGCAGGAGGTCGAGAATGGTTCCCCTCCTCCGCCTTCCCTCCCAGAGACCTTTACCGAGATCGACGTGACGATATCCGAAATTTCTTCTACCGGTGATGGTCTTGCGCTTTCAGAGAACAAAGATCATGTCTTCATGGTTCCATTCACAGTTCCGGGAGACAAGGTCCGAGTCAAAGTTATCCGCCACTTTGAACAGCTCTCATATAGTATGACCGATTTCCTCAGTGTCATTGAACCTGGACCCAAGCGAAACGATGCGCTCATTGGTTGCAAATACTTCTCAAAATGTTCGGGCTGTCAATTGCAGATGATGTCCTACGATGACCAGCTGGATCACAAACGTCGCATTGTCGAGAAAGCTTACGACAACTTCTCCGGTCTCATTCCTGAACTTGTACCGGCTATTGGAGAGACATTCGCATCGCCCATGCAATACGGATACCGAACAAAACTTACACCGCATTTCGCTCAAGGTGGCGGTAAGAAGAAGCACGGAGACGACCAGGAGCCACAGGAAGTCAAAGTCCCGCCTATCGGCTTTACATACAAAAATCGCCGAGCTGATTTGGATATCGAAGACTGCCCACTGGGAACTGATATTGTAAGAAGTGGATTGAAGAGTGAACGAAAGCGTGTGGCTGAAAACATCCGCTCCTACAAGAAGGGCGCGACACTTCTTATGCGAGAATCCACTAGTCGGGTTCCTAAAGACGCGTCCACGACCAACTCCACTACTAATGGAACTAACGGATTAGTCTCGACCCCAGGTGCAGACACTGGTGATGTGATTCGCATTGAGCGTGAGAACTATATCGAAGAAAAGCGCTGCATCACGGACAACAACGCTACATCCGTGGAGTTCGTCGATGACTATGTCTTCAGCAACAAGGCCGGTGCCTTCTTCCAAAACAACAACTCAATTCTCTCGGGATTCACAGAATTCATTCGCTCTCAAGCTCTCCCCACCGGCAACGACAAGGACCCGCGCCCCATCAAATACCTGCTTGATGCCTATTCTGGCTCCGGTCTCTTCACCATCACACTTTCACCTATTTTCAAGTCTAGTCTCGGTGTTGATGTTGCTGGTGACTCTATCACATCGGCCCGTGAGAACGCTCGCGCCAACAACCTCCCCAGCACAGGGTTCGCCGCGGCGGACGCAGCTGTCTTGTTCAAGGATGTTCCATACCCCGCTGATCAGACTTTGCTCGTTATTGATCCTCCTCGCAAGGGCTGTTCAGAGGATTTCCTCCAGCAACTCCTCTCTTTCAAGCCTCGTCGTGTTGTCTATGTGAGCTGCAACGTTCACACTCAAGCCCGCGATGTTGCTGTTATGGTGCAGGGTGATGAATCGAAGAATGTTCGCTATGAGATTGAAAGTGTCCGTGGCTTTGATTTCTTCCCTCAGACTGGACATGTTGAGGGTGTCGCTATCTTGAACAGAGCCGAGTTTCCCTCGAAGGAGAGCGAGCCTGCAAATTAGGCATGGGATTGAGTGATAATAATACGCTATAATTAATTCCTTGCTATTTGGAGGATCAGAAAATGATTTGATTAGAGATCTGAAGGATGTCTAATGATTTGGAGATTTTGGCGCGTGATACTGGAATGCATATTGACGGCGTTGATGGATATAGACTTGGAAATACCAGATAAGAAAAGCAAGGGACGAAGTTGAAATTTTGCATTGTTTTTCTTTAATACGCTTCTGAATAGCTATCAAAATTAAAGCAGTCACGAACAAATAAGACCCCCCTCTATCTACTCGGGAACCAGATGTAGCATGCTGAGGACCCAGCGCCATGCCGCCCGCTTTGAATCAAAAGGAGGAGACGTGAAAGGGGAAGGAGGAAGTCGTCAAGAGAACAGAACAGATGGGAGAGAACTAAGGACTATGAACAAAGCGTGTCCAGCTACACCGGCTGATAGGGGACATGATAAAATAGAAGACAGCCACACAGCGAGCTTATGAGCTTCCAGGCCCACCGAGCAGAGCGAATCTTCGCACAATGCTGGGACCAATCTCATCGTACTCAGCCTTGGTGTGGCAGTAGCTTCGGAACTCAGGCGTCTGACCCAGCAAACTGCCTCCGAACCAGGGACCGTGCCGCTGGCGCTTGTGTGTAACCACTGCAACATCCAGACCACCAGAGCGGGCACCGCCACTGCGAGCCTCAGATGCACGGATACGAGCATCGACGAGGTGGCGGATATCACGCTGTAGACGGCGACCAAAGTCCTTGTACAGAGTGGAACCACCAGACAGGACAATGTTCTTATAGAGACCCCTTCGGACATCAATGGGCGAGGATTGAATGACGCCATCGACGACGGTGGGGAGCGGAGTCAGGAAGTCGGATGAGTAGATTTCGGGGTTGAAGAAGATCTCTGGGGCGAGGAAGCGCTCATATCCAACATCGATGGAAATACTGCGGCCATTGGGCGAGTTGACGGTGTGTTTGAGGAAGCGATCGGGCTCGCGATCATAACGCGCAAATTCCTTGACAATATCCGGGCTCACGTAACAGAACTCCTCCTTCACCTTCTCAGCGGTCTTCAGACTGCTGTCAGGCTCGCCTCGGTCACGCAGCAAGCTTTGGACGAAATATGTAATGTCTCGACCGGCGATAGGGATACTTTTAATTGAGGATCCAATGACGTAGCCCTCGGCCACGGGGATAACATGGGTGACACCATCACCGGAGTCGATAACTGTTCCCGTCAGGGATCGGTCGGTCACCTTGGAGGAGGTCCATGAGGCAGCGAGGGCAAGCACGGCTTGAACGGCGATGTAGAGGCCGGCGCAGTTGAATGATTCGAACATAATCTCGGCGGTGTTTTCACGGTTCTCTGGTGGGTTGAGAGGCTATAAAATACATTTGTTGGTGAGTATGTACTCCACATTTGACGTAGGCCCATAGGGGAAGAGCCAGAAGGGTGCGTATTGGGCTTACAGGTTCGGTGAGAAGGAAATGATGGTCCTCGGGTTCGACGCGAAGGTACTTGAAGATCGAGTTTGACCAGAACCTTTCCATATAGTCCCAATTCTCGACCTGTCCATGTCGAATGGGGTAGTTCACACCGTATCCCGGACCATTGCCAGCGGCTAGAGCCTCGTCACCAATGAAGAAATCCAGGTCTTCAGTACCACGTTTCGCAGACAGGTTAGAGCTAGCTCCGCCTCCGCCGCCTAGGAAGGATGGCTTGTTCGCAACTGCAGGCCGCGCACCCGAGCTCCCAGCGCTGCCAGCACCGGCCTTGGTTGCAATTGCTGTGGGGAAAACGAAAGAAGGCGCATCGTTACCGGCAAATCCTAAGCAACAACGAGCATAGCGTTAGTTATATGACTCTAGTGCTTGCCGAGGGAATGTTTAGAGGCAAACACGTACCAAGTTTGGAGTAACCAGTACCGCTGAGGGGCGAGGAGGCTGGGTCAGCATTGACAGGTCAATTCTCGGGAAAGTTTAGATGACTTACTTGTCCATGACAACGGCTGGAGTTTGAGAGGCCATGGCGGATGAGTAGGATCAAGGCCCGCAGTTAAGTCCGCCGAGTATAATGGGGGGGGGGAAAGATGAAGTCAACCGTGGCGGAGCTTCCAGGCAGACAAGGCGGGGAGAGGATGCTGACATAATTTGGGGGTCGACATCATGTGCTATTTTTGACCTACATTTTTTGATAATTTTATTTGTTCAAGCGACTCAATCGTTCTATAGCTTTGCTGATTTGTCGTTGTTTAATTCAATTGTGAATTTTAAGGTAATTTCACCTAAAGAGAACCCTTCGTGCAACATGAGATGAAAAGCAAAGAGAAGCTTGAAAGGAAACAATGGAAGCAATATCTCACTCTAGGAAAGTGTAAAGCGGGCCCGCATGATATCAAACTAAAGCCGCAAAGGAGTCCTGCACTCTATGAGCACAACCGACCAGGTGGAAATCCTACATTCGTTGTTATATCCTCACGACTCTTTATATAACGATTCTTATCCTACGACACTCTTTGATTATTCTTAATAGCAGTTTGGAATTGCATACAGCTATCTGGCATCGAGGAACGCCCGGCTCACTTTGAGACTGTGGTAAACAAACAAAAGAGTAGGCTGACACGGTGAACTGCGCTCGCGACACCTAACCCCCACAACTTGAATATTTCAAGATTTCCAGGGCCTCACGACTTCATTCAGTGCACTCATCAGAAAAGAAGTACTTCTCTCCGCCACCTCTGTCGTCCTCAGACACCCAGCAAAACATTGCTTTCGCTCATCTAGCCAGGCAAAAAGAAAACCGGCGATCCTTCAACATTTTTCTCATTCGACTTCCTTTTGCTCACCCACTGTTGACGAGATATTGGATTGCCTCTCAGGCCCTTTCCGAATCCGCTGGCACTGGACAACAACAAAAGAAGCAATTCGTACGTGTCTTGGGCCCGTAACTGGACATTTGGGTCTCCGGTGCCAAACAACAGTCAACACAAGCCCAGAAACATGGGTAAATCGAAGCGAATGGATGATCTCTGCGCCGTCTTTGTCCACGCTGGAGCCGGGTATCATAGCCGCGAAAACGAAAAGAAGCATCTTCAAGTGTGTCAACTGTATGTGATTCTTACTCATTCCGGATCGCAAATAACTGGGGATTATTGACATGTCAACAGTGCAGTAGAAGCTGGAATGACGCTTCTTCGCCAGGGTGGAACTGCCGTTGAAGCCGTGGAAATAGCTATTACGGTTCTCGAGGATGCACCCATCACCAATGCAGGGTACGGTAGCAACCTCACGGAAAAAGGCATCGCCGAGTGTGACGCTTCTATTGTTGACCACTATGGCCGCAGCGGGGCAGCTGGTGCTGTTCCCAGTAAGTTCTTAGCATGAACTCATGCGTGGAATCAGAGCTAACCTTTTCAATAGGTGTCAAAAATCCAATTCATTTAGCCCGACGAATTTATGACCAGGCATATCGAGCCCCCGGAATGTCACGCGTGCCTCCGAACTTTCTTTGCGGAGAAGGTGCTACAGAATTTGCATGGAACAACAATATCCTTGTGCTGCCGAACGATGCAATGATTGCCCCCCAGGCACGATCACGCTGGAGAAACTGGACCAATGAAATCGCCAACTATGAACGGACGCATCCGCGCTCAGAGGAAGAAATCCGAGCCGACTTTTTTCGTCAGCCACATAACCTCTCGTATGCTGCGATTCCTGGTATCAGGGAGAGAATAGAGGCCGCTCGTAACATTCTACCCGAACCAAAGGCACCGGCACCCCAGCCGGTGAATGAGGAGAATTTCGATGGGCTTGACCCTAAAATTCAATCGGAACCTCCATTCGACGTGCCACCATCCAACGGTGAAATGAGTTGGACTGATCCTCAGGTAGAAACCTCTAAACGGGCCCCAGACTTCCATGCTTTTGGAGAGGATACTCAAGCCGACGATGAAGATTGCATTACAGACACTGTTGGAGCCATAGCCGTGGACAAATGGGGAAATATTGCGGCTGGATCCTCGTCTGGTGGAATCGGCATGAAACATCGTGGTCGTATTGGCCCGGCCGCACTTATCGGTATTGGCACTCATGTCTTCCCTGTTGATCCAACTGATACGGATGGAACGGCGGTTGCGGTCGTGACATCAGGCACGGGCGAGCATATTGCCTCAACATTCGCCGCAAGTAAATGTGCAGAGCGTCTTTACTACAATCAGAGGATGGGAGCCGGAGGCATTTATGAGCAGGTCACTGAAGAGGAGGCCATTGCTGCCATGCTTCAGAATGAATTCAGTGGTATGTATTCTTGCCAGCTCGGTTCATTAAAGGATTACAATATACTAATCATACACCAGGCCATCCCGCAGTTTTGAACAGTGAAATTGCTGGCTCCATTGGGCTCATGGCTGTCAAAAAAACAAAGGATGGAATTGGGCTCTTTTTCGCACACAACACTGAGTCATTTGTAAGTTCAGGGTTTTTACTTCACTTTGATGCAAACGGATTCGCTGATCAAACATCGCAGGCACTCGCTTCTCTTTCGAGTTGTGATACTGTCGCCCAATGTGTGATGTCTCGAAACCCGAAAAGAGCCCCTGTTGCACAGGGAGGATTGATGATTCGGCCCACGTAGTAGGTATCACCTTCTACTTTGCGTCCCATAGCACATGGCTCTTTTGATCATTACTAACAAAACGAATTATTCAGCTCATTTCGTGGACCAGATGACAGGAGGAAACGGGTCATGACCTGAAACGTGAACACGAGTGTTTTGATGCGTTCGCGATGACTTCGGATTTGGCTTTAAATTTCTTAGATTCCCTAGATTCTCCTTGATTGTTCATGATTCCCCAACTATCTCGACTTTTCATTTCATTTCTCTATTGCGTGTTTCGTCCGACGCGAGTTTGGAATTCAATTTTGCACACTTTCCCAACCCTCACATCCTGGCCCAGAGCCACTGATTGTGACCAGGGCGTCCTTTGCCTCCTTTAAATGATACTCGTGCGTGCGTGCGTGCGTGAAAGTCGATCAGCAGAATGGCGTTGCCATGTTTCCGCGGCTAATTCCTGCATGTACCTTCTTTGACTCCCTATGGTGTCAGAACTGTTTGAAAGCAATCGCGGTTCAAATATTCTTGGATGGTATTCAGTTTCACGAGAAATCTAAAATAGAAGCCCCAAATCTCGATTCCAGCAAGGGTTTGAGCTTCCAATAGGATGTTTTTGAATCAAGCATAATAAGGGGGAACAGGTATAAGATCAAGGCCCAGGCGTAGGAGTAGACAAAGGCGTCCCAGCCGCCGAGGCTCCATTAACTCGCTTCTTCTTTTTCTTCTTCCGGGGAAGAAGTGCTGGTTTAACACCGTAATCTCCTGGATCTAAAGAAGTTCCACATGTCAAGCAAATATTACCAGGCGGAGGCTCACAGAATATACTCAAGCAAATTGAGCATACGAATCCAACATCCACAACTCGCCGGTGACAAAAGCATGCTGCGCGGAAATCCACATCCACTCGCGTAGGAAGCACAAGGTGTCGGCGAGATCGTTGATCTGGTAAAAACGCCATCATTAAGTACTGTAGTAATCCTCTCGGCTCGGAAAGCGCCATATACACGCCCTTAGTGGCATCACAGGCCTGTTGCAGAAACACCGCATCGCCACTGAGCTTGCATACATCGATAGGGATATGCAGACGCTGACACGCGAATATGCTATTCATCATGGGGATATACTGGTGTGCCGAGTCGCCGGATCCACTAACTGATACAATTAGGATACGACTCTGTAACCGCTCGTCATTGTCGTCGGCGGCGTATCTGTTTGAAGGTGCTGTTCCTGACCCTGTCCCTCCTTCACCAGATGTGTCCTTTAGTTCTGCACCGCCGTGCTCCTCGGCCCAGGCGATTGTTCGTCGGTTGATATTGCTGAGAGCTAGAGTCAATGCGCCCGCTAGCATGGTTGAGACGTTTCCGCGGAGATCGTCGCTACTTGTAGAATCTAACAGATCTTTCAGATTGCGATTCACTTGCTCTTCGACAAGGCGGAAGGGTCGGTATTTGTTTGTCTGCGTTGCTTGTGTTCCGCCATTGGGAGCGTTCATCGAGATGTCACCGTCACGATCGGCAGACTCCTTGTAGCTGGAGAGTGGGTAGAGCCATGCGGCTTTTTGGCTGTGGGATGCGACCACGGCGACCTCGTTCGCGTAGTTGCAGGCTAGGTGGGCATTGATGAAGACGAGGAGGTTTGCGACGGCTTTGGAGAGTGGGAGGGAGTCTTCAAGGGCTGCCCATGCGTGTGGATTTGTGTCGAGGATTATGGTGAGGAGGGAGGGAGCGAGATCTATGGAATGAGGAGTCTGGGTTTAGTTTTTGCTTTTGTAACTTGAATATGTTTACTTGGATGCGAAGAGGTGGGACAAACCGGTAGCTCCTAGCTCGTAATGCTCGGATGCATCGACGGTATTCATGGTGTCGGAGCTTTCAGAGCGGGTTTATGTTCATGGTCAGGCAGCCGAGACCGATGATAAGCTCGATGACAACCTCGGCTTTGCCGGGCTTTTCAGATCGAGATTTAGTTCAGAGTAGTAGTAACTTGATGATGATCAAGTCGGAGAACAAAGACGAAAGCTCCGTCGATAAGAGTCACGAGGTGATAGCAGGGATCTGATGTGGTTCTGAGACATGATTGGCTGCCGATTTACTTTGCTTCAAAATGTTCTACGTACCTGAATCCAAGCAGATTTTTAGCATAGACTCTACAAGTTTACCGGGATTTGCTGGGTTTCTTGACTCAATTTCAACGCCCGTTGAAATGCTGGTTATTGTCAAAGAGTTGATTGTGCAGATATATGGTAGTAGATCATGATGCGATAGAGGTACTAGTAGTGTCATGGTATGGCTGATATATGTACTACTACTCTTTCAACTGAAATTGATAGGCAGTAGATATGCTTGAACGACGGTAAAGCTAAAGAAGACTCTACTACAGAGATTATTCTTACAATGATGTACGAAAAACTCGGGAATAGAACCTTGGAAGAACCCGAGCCGTCGATCTTCCATTATTCCGAGTCGGACAGGCAGTTAGGAAAATATCAAATTTTAAGATGTGATGACTTTTGAATACCGCCTCTGGCCCCAGGATTGAATAACCTCCGAAATAATATTCACAAAGTGGAATTGCTTCTCGGACTAGCCCATGTGTTATGGCACTACAACGCACTAAGGCCCACAGCGGCTGGGTGGGAACTCGGAGACTATTCAATTTTGTGGCCAAAGGAGCTATGTATGGTCAATTAAATTGACTAGGCATGATCCTATGAAAAAGAATAGCCCCGGGGCCGCGTAAATGCACCGTAGCCTAGCTAGCTGGCAAAGGGAGAAGGGAGAAGGAGAAAGGGGTAAAAAGAGCAGAAAAGAAGACCAAAAAAAGAGGGAAAAAAAGAAGGAAAAATTTCAATGGACTAGAGTTAAGAAGATAAGAAAAGTGCATTCGCATCTATGGTTAACATGATGTAAAACGATCCAATTCTTTTCATACTGGTTCGAATCCTGTTCCAAAATCCAGCGATCTTCATAAGAAAACTTGCCGAGGTCTGTAGGTACGTAATAGATAAGGTTAAGCTTTATGCACAACCGCTACCTACAACTGTGGATTATTACCGGTGGCAACTTGAACAGTCGGATGGTTTATTCCACCGTGCTCTTCCATAAGTAATTTAAAAGTTTCATTTAGCAATCAACTCATCAGAAACTTGAAATCAATCAACCCCGCCATTTAATATATCTATTATGGCGTCTTTCGTCGCAGCCTTCGTCAATCCCTGCAACTTTATCGGTGGAGTTAGCTTCAACCCCGAAAAGGATATTCAGGATTTATCAGGCAAAACAATTCTGATAACTGGTGGTATGTGACTAGAAATTCACCGATTATTCAATTTATATTAGAACAATTGTTAATATTTAACAGGAAACACGGGCCTGGGCAAAGAGACAATTCTCCAATTAGCCAAACATAACCCGAAGAAGATTTTTCTCGGTGCCCGTACCGAGTCCAAAGCGACAGAAGCAATTGAATCGATCAAATCATCCATCTCACAAGACGTCGACATTTCTTTTATTCCCCTGGATTTGACATCAACAGAATCAATCAAAAAGGGCGCAGATTCATTCAACGCTCAATCCGAGCGTCTAGACATCCTTATCCTAAATGCAGGCGTCATGTCCCTCCCACCAGGAGAAACAGATCTAGGCCACGAAATCCAGCTCGGAACAAACCACACAGGACACTTTCTCTTAACAAAACTTGTACTTTCAAAACTTCTTGAAACAGCCAAGGAACCCGACTCTGATGTTCGGGTTGTCACCCTCGCTTCAGTGGGTCACAATCTTGCACCGAACTTCAACACCATGCTTGATCAGCATAAACTCAAGAATGTTAATACGAATGCTCGGTATGGAGCGTCAAAGGCCGCAAATATTCTTTTCGCTGCTGAGCTTGCTCGGCGGTATCCGTCTCTTACGTCTGTTTCGGTGCACCCGGGGATTATCTTGACGGGTCTATATGATTCAATTGGGCAGCGGACACCGTTGTCTTCTTTGGGATTTATGCCGTTGCAGCTTTTTGGATCTTCTGTTGCTCAGGGTGCTTATAATTCTCTTTGGGCTGCTGTTGGCGCGGAGAAGAATGCTCTTGTTAATGGGGCGTACTATGTGCCTGTTGGGAACTGCAAACGGGATAATAAATATGCGACGAGTGAGGATATGGGGAAGCGATTATGGGATTGGACTGAAGATGAGTTGAAGAAAGCGAACCTGTGAGATGGGATATTGTTTGGATATACTTGAACATGGTGTTTTGTACAGTATCCTGAAATTTTAAGCGGAGAAAATTACTACTTCAGTATGGTGAGAATTCCTTGATGAGCAACCTTTAATGTTACTTGCTTGCGTAGCGAAGTGGTTAACGCGTCCAGGTAAATTTCGCCGCCAAACCATCTTTTGCGACAATGCTGACAAATTAAATAGCTTATGTTTGATTTCCTTAACCGGAACATTCATGCCTCTGGGATGTCGGGAGTTCGATCCTCCCCGTGAGCAATCCTTTTTTTTTTCTGTCTAACTCGTCAAACACCAAGCATTAGAATGACGTTAGTCATGTCAACTACGAGATTTTACATTTTCAAAGTCTCAAGAACCATCCTACTCGGTACATAATAAAATTGAATTAAGCACTTATTTCGCCCATGAAAATAAAATTACAAAAAGCCTCCATGCACAACAGTTTCTCCCTAAAGGCAACATTAAGAAGTGCCCTCACTCAGAAACCTTGATAACGAACTTCCCAAGACCACCAGCCCCATCAAAAATAACCTGACAACCCTTCCGCACAGCATCCAAGTCACGAAGCTCAGCAGTACTCCCCACAACAGTCTTCACTTTTCCCTCTTCAACATATGACCTCAATTCGTCCAAACAAGTCCCACTCGATTCCAGAATCATATACTCATACCGAACCCCATAGCGACTTGCTCTGAAATTGCGCACAGAATCCATCAGATTCAAGACAATTCGAACAGGTATCGGGATAGTGGGTTTGTTGTCCATTCTCATCAATGATGAATTCTGCATTACCTCTGCTGAAGGTGTGGTGGAGACTGATACGATGTGGCCTGATTTGGGCTTCATGAGACAGAGATACTGCATTGCAAGACCGACCGTGTCAAAAAGGAAATCCACGGAGCCTTTTTCGATAACATCTCTTGGGTCGGATTTTGTGTAGTCGATAACTGGGTTAATTGTTAGTAACTAATAATTTTTGCGATTGAATGATGAAAGGTGGATCGTCTTACTTTCATCAACTGTGCCTTCGCCTAGAAGCTCCTTGATTTTGGGGACTTTGGCTGTTGAGACCGTGGTGATTATTTTGCCTGCATGGAATACATGTTTTGCGAGTTGACAAGCAAAGAGACCAGTTCCACTTACTGGAATCTTGTTAGCAAAATATCCCAAGCACCGATAGAAGATCATATCAGATCAGATCAGTTCTTACATCCAGCAGGTACGAACACAGTCTTTCCGGTGAGATCGCCGTATTTGCTGAGGGCCTGAATAGCAGTCATGCCCGCTAAAGGAATCGAGGCTGCTTCTTCGAAAGATAGCGCAGGGGGCTTCAGCCCAATCTGATCTTCAGCACATTTCACAAATTCGCTGCATGATCCTACTACAAGTTAGTATTGAGGGATTTGATTGTTCCGAGCTTCATGCGTACCTCGATTAATCTCAGGTAACCTGATATAGACTGCATCTCCGACCTGAAATTTGGTAACGTCTTCCCCAGTCTCGGCAATTACGCCAGAAACATCGTAGCCAATTTTGAACGGAAAGCTATGTTTGTTATGTCAGTAATGGAGTAGAGTGTAGAAGAAGAAAGTTCAATGAGACACACCTGTCTTTCACCACTGCTTTGAGGTCTCCGCTTGCCCTCTTGACATCGATAGGATTGATACTCGCGGCATGAACCTTGACGATAACTTCATTTGCACTGCTGATTTCTGGCTTGGGGAGCTCGGAAAGCTGGTATCCTGATGGTTTTGAATAGGATGGAATGTTGAGGGATAACATGGCGACTATGCTTTTGGCCCACGATCCAGTAACGGTAGAGGTGAGAAGATGTCTACTTGATTCTAGTGGTAGAAAAACCCTTCAAGATGTGTGAGCCGAGGTTGATTGATAAAAACGCTCGAAGCATCTACTCTAGTCGGTCGAATTCATTTGACGATACGGATAGTAGCATAGGAAATATGGAGGAATTCATTGCCGGACGAGTATAGGGGTTGTTATTGGTGAATAAATATGGGCCCCTTTTGCCGGCGGAGCAACAATCATGCCGAATATCAAGGGTCCGCCTATGTATAGCGTCTTAGTGGGGGCAACAGGAGAGCGTGGGATTATGATTATTTTTGCATGAACCATTGGGGATATGAAGGATTCGCCCTTTAATGGGTTGTCAGGATTTTGAAGTGCAACAAGTGTTACATCGATTCGTAGACTATCTTATTGGCTTGCCAAGTGGCAGTAGGGGATAAAACTAGTAGTTCAGGTTGCGGGTAGCGGATAAAGTACTTGGCGATTTCAAGTTAGGCTTCCAAGGTTGAAGACACACTGCATATTTCGAATCAACAGGGCGTGAAGATCATCCAATTCCGTCCTGTGCTATGTCATAAATGATCTTGTCGAGTTAAAATAATACTTTATTTGGCCCAATCGATCCGGGCTAGTTCTCTTGGCCAGCTCTCTTGGCAATTCAGCCTCGATTCTTACTGAGATGATGTTATGATCGGCGCGAGAGCTCGACCCTAGATGTGATGTACATCAGGCATACTATAGTCGGCGTCCGGTTCCGATTCCGGAGGATCTTAGAGGTTTCGGCTCCGCACTTCGCCGGTTTGCAGTATATGGGTATCTACTCCGTGCAGTATTTGGCGCGTAGAAGGGCAAAAGAAACTCGTCCAATAATTCTTGGAAGTTGGTTTAATTGAAGCGGAAGGGTTTCCCTATTCGTCCTTTCCGACCCCGTCAGCTAAATAGTTTGCTAAACTCGGCGCCGGGGCCACCCACCCACTAGTCCTTGTTCCAATAGCCATTGGACCTATCACGGCAAGTGGAGAGTAAATAGTTAGCTACGCTGAATAGAAGATACTGACTCGGCGGCGGGATAGTCCTCGAATCAAAATTGAATGAAAGCAAACGAGACGCGTTCCACATACTCGGCGCTCAGACCTTGGACCTTGTACCGCGTTAAGCTCATCCTGTTGGGAGGAGATGGGGAACGGAGGGGGAATCAAACCGGGGAGTATGGAGTACTACACCTGAGGAGATCGACGGGTAATCTTTTTTCTTTCTTTTTTTAATTCAAAGAAACCAATAATTTTGTTGAACGTTATATATAAAGATTTAATTTAATTCTAGAAAACGCCTTGTAAGCTGACCTGCATTATCAGTCAACGTGATGGAGGGGAGAGACGTGGTTGGGTCTTATCGGGGCGATTGATAATGGGGATTGGGTGAGGGAAACGGAATTGATACGCGCTGGAGAGACAGAGAGAGGGGGGAGACATAGTCATCACGGTAATCGTAGTCTCTCTCCTGCAGCTCATACTTCCAAGACTCCCCAAGAGCCTCTTGGCCCTATTTTGTGTTTCATTCATTTTTCCTATTGCTTTTTTCTCCTGAAACCGCCCATTTCTTCTGATTCTCGGCGTACGTGGCATTGAACAAGCTGTGGGAAGTCAAATACAAGAGTCCACCACCTTTCCCTCTCCTCCGCCTTCTATTCCACACCCCTCCCGCTCTCCCGCACTCCCGCTCCCCGAAGAGAAAAAATAAGTGATCGTTCTTTTTTTTTCTGGAGTCGGTTTCAACGGTCGCCACCCTTTGAAAAAATTCCATCTACACCAGTTTTAAATCCATCTTGTCCTCGCAGCGTGCTGCTCCTCAGCAACCCTGCAATGGTCTCAGCAACCGGCGAAGAGCGCGCTGTTCACCTGGCACGGGAGGCTGTCGAGTTGGTCGACGCTGGTCACCGAGAGGTACGTAATGCAGTCACTGGAAGAGCAGGAGCGCAATCTGCAGCAAATCCCCCGAGGCGCAAGCAATCATCTAATCTAAATATACGTTGTTTTAGGCGGCATCACGGAATTTACGCGAAGCACTCTCGATCGCCCCCGAGAATCCCGATGTGAAAGCGGCTTTCCTCAAAATTCAACAGGAGGAAGAGAATGACCACCAACTACTAGATCTCTGTCGACGTTACACCGTCCATCAGGATGAGTCCGCCGGGAAGGAAGCTGCAGCTTACCTGCGCACGGATGGCTTGAAGCCACCGGAGACTATTGCATTGGAATCACTGAAACTTCTACTCGGTCAACGGGCTCATGCTCTCTCCGAACTTCAGGACGAAATTATCTCCGGACTCGTTCGCCAGAATACCAGTGTTCGCCAGCACTTTTCGAATCAACTACAAATTTCCGTAACGACTTTTTTCGATGAAATTTACGACCGAGGTGATGGAGCGGCGGTGTGTCTGGACACAGTGGTCTTGGACCCTAGCGTTTGGCCTTCGGAGGATACAAGAGCACATTGCGAGAGTGAACTGTTTCAATTGTTCCTCGCTAAACTGATGGAATCGGGCCACGATTTAGATGGTCGATCCTTGAAAGGAATTGCTAGGCTACTTGCAGTTGATGGCGAGAGTCTTAAACATCTAGTCGACGATGAAGGGTTCGAAGTCATTCTGACCTCCCTCGATAACCGGCTACCCTTGGAACTTCGCAGCCAGGCTACATTGGCCACAGCGAAATATCTTGAAGTTGCAGGCGAGAAGGGCGAGAAACAATTCTCGAAGCTAATCGCCGCTATGATTGGCAAAGGACGCTTGGATGACTACGTCGTTGCTTTCTCCGCTGTGTCAGCTGTTTTCCCTGTCGTGCCTACGGCTGCAGCCAATGTCTTCTTGTCCGAGGAATTCATGGACGCGGTGACACCGTTAGCAACTCGTGATGCGAAGCGCAAGAGGGTGGAGGTCTCTGTGCTTGAACTGTTGAACGCTGCGTGCATCAGTCGCCCTTGCCGTGAAGCTGTATCTAAGAAATTCTCCGAATGGTTATCTCACACCCTCACGAATGGAAGCGATGAGGGATCCGAATTGGCGGCAGTGATCCTTGCGAAGATTGGAGCATCGGAAGCAATTCAGCCTTCTGCCGAGAACGGTAAGGCCCAGGTCGAAGATGATGGTGTGTCTGACCTAGTACAACGGTTCAAAGGACTGATGTCAGGAAATAAGACTGCGAACATTTCTCACGCCATTGAGGGCTTGGCTTACTCGTCTGTCAAGCCGTCCGTCAAGGAGCAATTAGCCCAAGACCCTTCGTTTTTGCGCGACCTGATCAGCGCATTGAAAAAGCACACAACCGACTCCTCCGTTCTCTATGGTGGCTTGATGGTCATTTTAAACATCACTAAATTCCTCCCCAACTTGTCGGAGGAGCAAAAGAAGATGTCCCAACTGAAAGATTATGCCGACGCGTCTACTGGTAAGGCTCGAGCTCCCCCTGATTCTCGCGAGGAAGAAGATGCCGTGCTTGCTCGCTGCGGTGCCGTTATCGATGCAGGCGCCATGAGCCTGTTGGTGGAATGTGGCCGGCTTGCCATGCTTTCAATCCATGGTCTCACTGCTCAGATCTTACTCTCCCTAGCCCGGCGCCAAAAGTCACGCGGTATCATGGCCCAGCAAGGTGCGGTCAAACTATTACTTGGCATGTCTATTCCAAAGCAGGGCAATTCAATCGTGGTCACTGAGACAACACACAACGCCTCCCATGCTTTGGCCCGAATTCTTGTCTCAGTCGATCCTTCACACGTATTCCCGTCTTCCGGATTTCCCCAAGTCACATCTGCTGTGCGCCCATTGTTATCTCTTCTTACTTCACCTGAGACCGCCTCTTTCTCTTCAGACCAGCCCCGTGACCTGCTCGCAGTGTTTGAAAGTTTGCTCGCCCTGACCAATCTTGCCTCCTATCCTCACGATGAGACACCGGCCGAGCTAACTGTACGAGAGGGCTGGACAGCTATAGAGGACCTCCTCTTATCCAGCAATCCACGTGTGCAGCGGGCTGTGTGCGAATTAGTATGCAATTTGATGACCTGCGAGTCCGGAGTTGTCAAATTTGCAGACGGATCCAAACGCGCTGGTCAGCGATTGCACATTCTTCTTGCTCTGACTGATGTGGATGACATTGCGACTCGTCGTGCAGCTGGTGGAGCGATCGCCATGCTGACGGAGTACGATGCTGCCATTGCAGCGGTGTTGGACCGTCCGCGAGGAGTGGCTTTGCTCTTGGGATTATGCCAAGAGGGTGATGATGCTCTTCTCCACCGGGGAGCGGTGTGTTTGCGCAACCTAAGCTGCGCATCTGGTGACATCGGGTCGCGCGCCAAGGAAGCCGTCCGTACCGCGGGTGGTATCGAAATCTTGACCGCTTGTATTAAGAAAACATCCAACCCGGCGGTGTTACAGTCCGCAGTGGAGGCATTGAAATCGCTGGTTGAGCACCAGTAATTGCTTGTCTTGACTATCTTTTGCATTTATCCATTCCATTGGAAACCCAGTGGCTTTGAGTATGGCTTTTTAAGAGGAGTGTTCGGTGGATTATGATGTGGATTTTGGGGAACACGACATGCAGTGGAGTTTGATTCTTCTTCTTTTTTTCCCCATGCCAATGCCAGGTATTGATATTGAATATCTTTTTTATGTCCCTTCATGAGCACATGGCCGGTTTAGCGATTTGATTTGAGGTTTTTTATTTTCACCTTTTTGCTTCATTTTTCTTCTTTTGTTACTAGTGTTTTTCTTTTCATCTGGGGTTCGCCTGTTTCTCTTTCGGGCATTCGGGAATTGTGGCGTTTATGAGTATTCTCCTGGAATGGCGCAGAAAGATTTATGACCAAGTATTGGGTATTTGTATTTGCTATAGCGATAGAATATGAAGTATGAACCCAGCCAGGGCTATCAATGATATTCTTTACTCTGTATATAGTACTAGTAGTGTGGCCTAGACGTGTTTCCCGGGGAAGTCACAAGTCATGTTCTTTGGGCAGAAATGGGCAGATCCCTCCTGCATCGGCTCTTGTCCCCCTCTCTTCTGCATCACCATTTCTCCCTTTGACATCTCTCCAACTTGACGTGGATCTAGAGATCGTCTGGAGTATGTGCCAACCATGAAGAATGTTGGGCAAGACATGGATGACGAAAGACCAATCATAAGATGTTACTATTGGCTCCCTAGACCCAAATCAAACCATATCAGCACCAGCACTATCGGATATTAATACTAATACCAAGCGCCGACTACCGACCGGAGGCCGTGGCGTCCCAGATGTCTAGTCAGATGACCTCAGCCATGCTGCTTGATTCTCTTTCAGCGGTGGTGATTGGTCTTGAAGAGGATTGATCCAGGGATCCTGGTCTTTGGCCAAATTCCTCTGCGACCAGGGAGTTATGAGTTACCCGAGTGATGTATCCGGAGAGATCACGAGATCATGAAATCGTGGAGAAAGGAAGAAAAGAAAGAAAAAGAAAGAAATAAAGAAGATATTTGGGTTAGACCCTATTGAACCTTGTTGGAAATTGACGATGGGGCCAAAACAGTGATGTTCTCTCTGCTATCTATAAGTAGCATCCTTGGAACCATGGAGCTCAACCCCGCGGATCGACAAATCACCGCTTCGTCCGCACGCACACGTTGAACCCGTTCGATCTCAATTCTTTGCTCTCCCTCTTCCATCATCTTTCTCCCTGCCTCGTGGGCTTCCTATTGAATTCTTAGTTGTTGACCTCTTCTTCCTCCTCTCCATTCCTTGCCTCCGTTTCTCTTTGAGTTTCCCAATTCTCACCGCTTCATTGCCCCAGAGTAAAAAAAACCAGAGGTACAGTTTCTTGCCTTTACTGAGCTTAACCAAGCTTGACCTTCTTCATTTCTTTACCTTATTACCCAATATCTCCCACCCTTTTCTACCTCATGGCGTCATTATCTCTTCCCTGTGTGCGTCCGCTCACCTGATCACTTTTCCTTCGTGACAATCCAGGTTGGACCTTGAACGCATCGACCCTTAATTTCGTGGTGGGGGATTCGGGTGCCTCGGGTGGCAAATCACAGACCTAGAAAAAGAACAATCCAAGAAAAGAAGCGGTGGAGAAACAGAACATCGTGAGATTTACAATTTGGAAAGGAGTCAACTTTCTAATTGCAGAGGAAACACATACATATTCTGTTCAAGATGAAATTTGGGCGCAATTTGACCCAATTCACTGTTCCTGAATGGAGCGCCTCTTACATCAAGTACAAAGCATTGAAGAAGCTCATCAAGTCAGCGACCGAGCAGGTTAAGGCGGGACAAGAGGCGGATTTGGCTGGTAAGGATGATCCTTATACTTTCCCCCATGTTGTACAGCGCAGCCTTCTAACTGGATGCACCTTTTCTTTGGCCTGTTGGTATAGGTTTCTTCTACAATCTCGATCGAAATGTTGAGGATGTCGATTACTTCTACAACAAGAAGTATGCCGACTATGCGCGCCGACTGAAATTGTTGGAGGATCGATATGGCTATTCCATGGAGGGTGTTCATCCTTTGGAGCCGGAGGACCGACATGATCTCCGCGAAGCCCTACTAGACCTGCGCTACCACCTTCGCCGCTTACAATGGTATGGGGAAGTCAATCGTCGTGGATTCGTGAAGATTACCAAGAAGTTGGACAAGAAGCTCGGCGCTCAGGCTCAGAAGAGCTACCTAGAGACGAAGGTTGATCCGGCTCCGTTCGCTTCTAATGCGCGGGCCATCAAGTCCCAGGAACGCATCAATGCCTGGATGGCTGTGATTACGGATCAGTCTAAGGCGGAGGAGAAGCTGGCGGATGATGCTAGCTCGACCCACTCTGGTCTTTCACTGAAACGGGGTGCTGCGAGACCTTTCCTCAATCTTCCTCGTAGTGTTTTGACAGATGTGGATGATGCCTTGAGAAAGGATGATGTCCATGTTTTGTTGGAATTGCTTGAGGTTCTGAAAAATGCCTCCGATGAGGCGGGCGAGGGTATCTTCCCCAGGGTGTTGAAAACCCTTATCCAGCGCGCTATTTTGCATCGTTCGCGTTCTTGCTTGACAGAGCTTATTAAACGTGTCGATACCCTTGAAGAAGACGATGATATCAATCGGCGTAACTGCCTTCATCGTCTGGTTATTTCTATTGGACGTGAACTGCCAACTACTGATTCCGAAGCAGCTGCGTCAATGGTGCTGGACTTTCCCTTGGAAACTTCTCGCTTTATTACACCGGCTGCACCTCCGACTCTGCAGCCCCCGCGCTCGGTGGTGAAGGAGGAGCACATGCCTCAGCAGCTTGGTCGTGAAGATCCAACTGTAGTGGTTCTGCAGCACTTGCTTGATGAGCTTCGCCCGAATCAACGGGAGGCTTTGATGGCCAAGGATCTCTCCGGTCGCACTCCATTGCATTATGCGGCTCAGTATGGCTTCAAGGTTGTCTGCGAAGTGATTATTGAGCATCTCAAAGCCTGGGAAATGTTCGATATGAGCGAGGGAATTGACGGCACACTGTGGCAAGACAATGATGGCTGGGCTCCTTTGCATCTCAGTGTGGTCGGTGGTCATCCAAAGACTACACGGTGCCTTTTAGAATCCGAAAGTGACCAAGATCCTTCCACCGAAAAGGAAAATCAGATCCGCAGGCAAATTCACAAATCCAGCGCCGTTCTGGCTCTGGCAACCAAGGCTAATTTCGTGGATATTGTCCACCTTCTGGTCGACGCTGGTGTTGACATCAATTACCAAGATGAGCAGGGTGAAACTGCCTTGCACGTTGCAGCTCGATTTGGACATGATGAGTGTGCTCAGATTCTTCTTGACGGTACCGGTTATCAAAAGGCCAACACAGAGCTGGCGGAAAACACCTATGCCTGGACCCCGCTCTTCATCGCATGTGTGGATGGTAACTTGAACGTGGCCAAGCTATTGGTTGATGCTGGTGCTGATTTGGAACGATTCGATTCGTCTGGTTGGACCGCTAAGGAGCACGCCGCGTTGCGTGGCCATCTTGATATCGCACGGTGTCTGGCCGAGGTAAACCCTGGTCCTCCTGCGGTTGAGCCTTCACTGTCAGTTTCATCCCATAGCCCTCCTCCGTCTTCGTCGCCACCTGCCCAGTCCTCCATGGCCGACCGGCGATCAAATGTCTCTGGACCTACCTCGGGAGGCAACGGAATGCGGAATACTACTGAACCTATCAAGACCTTTGGACACCGATATCTCACCGACGAGTCCATGATCCTGGTTAGTCTTGGAACCATGGATATGCGCAGGCCCCTGGAGACCGTCAACCTGGACCGCATTCCCATGGAGGACGCCCATGCCACTCAACTGGACACTGCCTTGTCTTTGGTCGTTACTGCCAGCAGCGCCCATGGAGAGCCGGAGGTGATCGATTTGCCGGTCCAGGATAACATTTCAACCGAGCCAATCGTTTTTCACTCTAGTGATCCCAGCAAGGTCCGTTTGCTTTTCGACCTTGTGCCTACCTATGCGGGCTCAAAGGATCAAATTGTTGGTCGCGGTGTTGCACTTCTTTCTAGCATCAAGCAGACCGTTGGTTCGCAGCGAATCAACCTGAAGGGAGACTCCACCGTTCCTATCGTTGCCGCTAACACTCTAGATGTTATTGGATCCGTCACCTTTAACTTCCTGGTGATCACTCCTTTCAAACACCCCAACATGTCCATTACCGGCAATCAGACTTACTGGCGCTCCATGAGCTCTACCATGGTCATTGGCCACCGTGGCCTAGGAAAGAACATGGCTAGCCGAAACTCCCTTCAACTGGGTGAGAACACCATTCAATCATTCATTGCTGCGGCCAATCTGGGCGCCTCCTACGTCGAATTCGACGTGCAGCTTACAAAGGACCACGTACCTGTCATTTACCACGATTTCCTCGTCAGCGAGACGGGCATCGATGCCCCTGTACACACCCTCACACTCGACCAGTTCCTAGAACTCGGCAAAGGTCGACACCGCAGTGTCTTGCCATATGCCGTCGACTTCCAGGGCGACGCAGGACTCCCACCCCGTCAGCGCTCAATGTCCGTCGGCGGCTCCGAGTACGATCCAGCCGAGTTAACCGAGAAGATCAAACACACGCGTGATTTCAAGAAGAAGGGATTCAAGGGTAACACCCGCGGCGAACATATCCAAGCTCCCTTCGCCACATTGGAGGAACTGTTTAAGAAAATCCCCACACCTGTCGGGTTCAATATCGAACTGAGTGAGTTTCAACCGCCCTCTAAAGAACAGCTACATAGACGATCTAACCTGATCGCTAGAATATCCCATGCTCCACGAGAGCGAGGAGGAAGAAATGGATACATACGCCGTTGAACTGAACTCCTTCGTCGACACCATCCTGACAAAGGTCTATGACTTGGGCGATGGTCGTGATATGTTGTTCTCCAGCTTCAACCCCGATATCTGTCTCCTTCTATCCTTCAAGCAACCCTCTATCCCCGTGCTCTTCCTTACTGATGCCGGTGCTTCACCTGTCGGTGACATCAGAGCAAGCAGTCTCCAGGAGGCTGTTCGTTTCGCTTCCCGCTGGAACCTCCTCGGTATCGTCAGCCAGGCTGAACCTCTTGTTCTATGCCCTCGCCTTGTTCGCATTGTCAAGGAATCAGGCCTCGTCTGCGTCTCTTACGGTGCACTGAACAACGATGGTGTCAGCGTCGACGTAAGTTAATGCCCGCCTCCCTCTTATACCCTATACTCCCCTCATACCTCGTTTCACTTATTTGAATCTCCTTTTGCACCTCTTTACTAACCTCCACTAGTACCAAGTTGCCGAAGGCATTGACGCAGTTATCGTCGACTCCGTCCTCGGAATCACCAACGGGCTCATCCAGCGCCAGAACAAGGGTGAGCAGACACCGGGTTCTTCACCAAACCCCGCTCCTGTCGGCGATCAAAGTGCCATCCGAGTTCCTATCCTGGAGAGTAAGCGTGGAAACTCTGGTTTGAATGGTCATCCTGCTACTATTATTGAATAGTGTCACTTTTTTATCTGACGACATAAATAACTGCATTTTATGTCCATAGTTGCATATGTTCTCTTCCCGCTTCAACAGCAAATATTAGATCGATCTTCTCTCTCAACTTCCATTCCCGAATTCTGTATCATGAGTGCATCCACCATGCTCTGTAAGTAAATTAAAAGTGGGGCTTAAGTATCTAATCTTCTCATAGACGTATTGGGTGAGGGCTTTGTAGAGCCCCAGGAACACACGGCTCTTCTTTACTTCACGTACCTTAGGGCCTTAGGCCTGCCCGAGAATTCATTCATGCAGAAGTTCATCCATGTGAGTTGATGCTAGGTTAACTTTGACTGATTCAACCCAATTAGAAAGAAATTTATACATCCTACCTGTTTGAGCTTATAGAAGCTCAGTGCCTGTTAAGTTGGCTTCATAGCTTCCGTGATATGTGCCCTACAAACTTCACATGAGAAGTTCATGCAAACCAACCCGTATCACCGTCCCATGTCACTGATCATTACCCACTGGCATGTCACTGACCTTACCCATGTCACTGACAGTTCCCGATTAGTGTCTGGTTATAAGTCGTCACCCTGGTTATAAAAGGGTTCCCTTCCTTCATTTCCTTCTTCCCCCTCTTCAACTCTTCCCTCATCTTCCAAGTCTCCCATCCCAAGCCTGCTGACAGAACCTTGCAACTTTGCACGAAGTTCAACACTCTGCAAGCTTCCTTCAAGACTTCATCTTGTTCTCCTTCCGTTATTCATCTCCTTTCTCCATTTTCTCTGTGATCCCGACGTTGGAACCTGAGTTTGGACTTTCAACTCTTGACTTTAGAAGCCCGGCTTGTAGTTCTGCCCTTTGGATCCTCTGTCACCGTTCATCTCCTTAACCTCTTCACTCTCTTGAGACCAGTCATATCTTGTGACATATTCTTCTTCTACCTCGTGGGATCAGCTGTATCCCTCTTTGATCGCCTGAGACCAGCCACATCTCTTGTGATCCTCTTTTCCGACCTTTGAGTTCTCACCACCCGTCACGATGTCTTCGTGTTTCCCTTACGTGGAACCGGTTTTCCAAAACCTCGAGCATTACTACCAATGGCGTAGAACTGGGGACTATTTCTACGAACTCGATCCCAAAGAACCGGAACCCGATGTCAAAGAAACACGACACGAGTTGACTCAGTCCGAGGTCGAGTTGCGCAAATCCCGTCCTGGCATCCCTATCAAAATCCCCCTTGAGATCGCACGAATGATCAGGAAATTCATCCCTGATTTGGAGATCCAAGACCTCCTCAACTTACGTCTCCTCAGCTCCTCCTTTTGTGTTGCAGCCACGGAAATTCTCCACGAACAGATCTTCTTCTTGGATCGCTCAAGGGAGAAGCAGAACGAGCTTTGGGGGGCAATCAATGGTGAGGACGAGGAGGCCGAAAGGAAGATAAGGGCACTCGTCGTCGAGTATCCCAATATCCCGGTATGTAACGCACACTTCACTTCAATCCTCACTCAATGCGAACAGATCTCGGGGTAGATTCTACAACAACATTCATTGGACTTAACTCGGACACGACTAACTTTTTTTCTCCTCTGTTAGGGTGGATGGGAAAAATCAACCGCTCTTGAAATGAACAATATCAACTCCATGTACCAACTAATGAGGGAACATGTCATTTATCTGACGTGTCTCAAGCGACTGACCATCCATATTCGGCCTCCCAAAGGCCTGGGACGCGGACGCTGCACGTGGGAGCAGCATGAGAAGCATATTGATCTCGTGCTGGAAGAGGTCTTTCATTTCCTGAAGGCCCTGCCAAACTTGGAGTCTTTAACATTCAAGACTTTGCCTTCTTTTGCAAGCTTGCCCGGCGATGACATCGTAGCGGAAGAGCCAGAAAGGGCGATCATTTGGCCGGCGGACCCAGAGCCGCCCGCAGATTATGATCCGGAAAGAGATTGCCTTCCAAAGTCCGTTGCACATCTTCCGAGAACCCGTGTGAAGTGCCCTCTGATTGCAGGAGTGGATTCCGATGAAGCTTTTGCAAGGTGGCGTGCTGGCGATTATATCCATGATCGCTACTCAAAACGGGAACTCAAGAGACACGGTCTCAAAAAGCTCAAGCTGGAGCTTGTTGGCTCGGGCGTTTGGCCGATCAAATACGAGGTATGATATCCATACTTGCATATTTTAAAACATTCGTCTAATTAATATCTAGGAAACACCTGTGGTTCCTCGTTTTGAATACCCTCCTCCCTACATTCCTTCAATCGGCAGCGAGGTTCTGGAGTCTCCGACGCACTGGATTGTGCCATTGCAGGACACGCTGAGGGAATTGTCGATCCATTGCTATGGGCTGTATATGTATGACATGACATACAAACCAGGACCGTCCCGGCACGAGAAAGGTCTCAATCTACCTTTCCTGCCTAATCTGAAGAGCTTAGAATTACGCGGCAACATCTTCACTTGCGATGAGTCTTTCAACTGGATCCTCTTGCATGCCAAAACGCTCGGGTCGATCAAGTTAGACGACTGCGCTATTCTATATAGCCGTCAAATAACAGATTATGAGACATCGGAAGACAAGGCCGTCTTGTTCTTGCATGAGGAGGGCGGCGAATTGAGTCGACCCCATACGAAATCAACCATTCTCGATGGGCCCACTGGTTTGAGAAATTCGGGTCGAATCTTCCTTGTTTACGCTCCTTCGCGTTTGGCAGCAGTCGAGTCCGTAAATGGGGCGAATTTCATCTCAACTTTCGGTCAGAAATGGAAGGACCTCCCGCGGACGAATGGCCGGAGTTTTTGCATGGTGTGTTCCCTGATCGGTATTTCGCCATGAAACCGGTCCTACACAATCCAAAGAGTCGGTGGTCCTCTATGATCAATGACTTGTTCTTCCGGGACCAGGATGTTCCTGCTGAGTATACGCCGGAGCCTGATAACGATGAGCTGGATCGGGATGCTCTGTCATCTCTCCTTGAGAGGCTCAATCTGTCTGTGGACCGGAATATGCAGTCGAAGCATGCTGCATACACGATAGATCTTATCGGATATGTAAAGTGGAAGTGGTAGCATGGCTACTCCGCGTATCGTGCTGAGCCCTTTTCGATTTTTTTTTCTATTTTGAACTGGACTGTTTGTGTTTGTTTCTTGATGACCAAAGGCTTGGTTGAACAGGCATATGGGCTTTTTCTCTGTTCATTCTAACGTTTTCCCCCCGACGCACATGCAATTTTATAGTTTTTATTCAAACGTTGAAGTATATACATGCTTACACAAGTCTAGACGTGTATTTCCAACCTGTTGTTTGAACCTGGACATCAGAACCACCACATTCAAGTTCAAGGCCTCACCTTAAGGAACCATTGGAAGAAAGAAATACCTCCAAACTGTATCAACCATGCGATTTAGACAGTCCCCAGTCTCTCGGACACAAATCACCTTCATTAAATCTGACCAGAGCCCCTTCAACCTGAACTGATGTCATCGCGGCCGACTGTCGATCACTACCTTCTTGGCAGCTCGAGCCCAGATTCAATGACCCGCTTGACTTGCCAAAGAAAAAGACGAAGCTCCTCAATACAGCCAATAAAACCTCCCGTGAACTTCCCCGGGCACAAACTCCGCAAAGCGTCAGCACTTCCCCCCCCCCTTGCCCGGACGAGCGTCGATCCCGCGAGCTTGCGAGGCTTTTACTCCGTTCGAGATCCAAGCACCTTTTCTTCTCCATCTGATTTACTAGTCGAATGGAGGCAACAGCTCAGGCAAAAAAAAGATCATCGTCATTTCGCAAGTTGCTAGTTGCAGACCTCAGACCTCGGGATGTAGCTCGCTTGCTGCATACTTAGTCCATGGTACCGAGTGGATGGGAATTTATTTAGTTTCTTTTTATTTTGGTTTTCGAAGATAAATTAAATCCAAAATAAATCAAACGAATTTCATCCTCTTTGTTTCTTCTGGGGCGAAAAAATAATTCCAAATGCTCCACGCCTCGGAAAATCCGGCCTGGTGGTCGTATGAAAGAAGTGAAAAGTTTATTCGAGTCTGCGACGGAGTACCGCGGAGGAGTTTTGAGCGTCCGGACTCGGTCTATACACGGACTCGGATTATACATGGTGGTCGGATTTATGCCAGGTGCCAAGTAGCTATGATCTCTTTGTTGCCACTATTATTTGTGTTCTTACAGGTACATATATCCGGAAGTTAGTTCGCGGCGAATTTATTTTTAACTTTGGAACTATAAGGCATTGGAGATCTGAGTACGGAGTATCGAACACCACCATCAACAACGAATGGGAGTCATTTTGAACTCACAAGTCGTTTTTTCGGAATGCAGATTATCCGGATACCTGCATTATACCTTGAATCATGTAAAATGTACACATTCAGTTTTATGTCCCGAGTCTAGTCTAATTCCGTCTAAGTAATTGTTTTTTTTGACCACGGGAAGGAATCCTTCTGAAGATGCCCAGGTGCAGCAGGATTCATTCATATTCAGGTGATTAGCACAATCTTAATCTTGCGGTCAGTTACGAACACGATGAGTAGACTCCACAGCCTAGTATTATATTTGCAACAAGCCCAACGCTCAATAGTGCAACTCTTTTGGGAAAACGCGCACTCATGCCCCTACTGGGAAAGGTGGAGGCATGGATAAGTCATGAAATGAAATCCGGACTAACTGGCCTATCAGCGGACGATCTCGAGCTCAGAAACATGGGGGCTATCTGAGTGCCTAATTAAATCAACCCGGGCGCGACCCGAATGAACGGCCGAGGATGCACATCCCTGTCTGTGGAGACCTTGACAGGCGTGTCCATTGAACTGGGCCTCTTTTGCCCCATGGCAATTAGAGGGAAATTATAGTTACACTTATGTCGGTGCCCCTCTTTTTGTACATTAGTGGCTTGCAGGTAAAACCTGAGGTGCCAGTGTTGGTTTCTAATTCTAGGCATTAAAATAACAAATAATTAATTAACTTGTGGGTTTGGGTCGAAATCAAGTTTTTCGACAGAACTTGATCGCCCTCCAGGGCCGGCCGAGTCCAATCAACGCATAGATCACGTATTCCTTTTTGGGTTTAACCGTGTAGCTATGCATATGGCTCAGGCTATTATTGCATATTTTGCTTACCCCGTTAATCGTACTTATGATAATATTAGAATTTGGGGGCCATGCGGAATAGCGATCGCGGTGAATCCACGAATTCATGCATTGAAACAACTTGAAGCACTGGTGAGGGTGTGTAGACTGTTGAGTTATACGATGTACGAAGAACTATTGAAAATAATAGTTCTCGAAACATCTCTTGAGACTTATTATTGAGCAAAGCATACTGTGAATCATGATGATCATGACGGAACCGTTGATGGAGTTATTCTAGAAAACCTACCAACAACCGTACACGGAAATAAACTTCTGCCATGTGGAAAGCATGTGGGAAGGACGTTGCATTGATATTCCAAATACTCCGATGCAAGCCTCTTTTCTCCGGCAGAGATTCTGCAAATATGAGCATCATGTTCCTTGCATCCTTTCCACGTCAGCCACGTCACGGTGGTGGAGAGCGAGGAGGGGAAACATCACCTCCAAGAAAGAGGGAGAATACATCATGTACAGGGTACATGTTATTGCATTAAACTAGGGGTCATAGCGGGAACGTATAGCTGTTCACTCCTGCAACAATCCATATTTCTGTGCCTGAAATTATTGAATCATCAGACTCCATATCTACCACTAGTAAACGTTAACCCTCCTTTGTCAGACATTATACATAAAATCGTTAGGAAACTCCGTGCTTTTTTGGAACCACAGATCGCTGTACCTAGTAGTAGAATGCGAAGTGATTTTATCCGACAAGCCCATAGAGTGGAGACTCAAGGGATTTTTTGCAATATTCAAGTCTCCAGTATCCATCAATCAAATGACCCATGTTACATCAGGATATCTGCACGTACCATGGGGGCCAAATAAATGATGAATAATATATTACTTGGAGAAAAAACCAAAGTCAAAGAAAGCCACGAGGAGACTAGCCGATCTTCCCTTAGGCAAATTTCCAACCGACAGGGGGTTTCCGGTATGTTGGTTGGCTTGGAGCTATTCAGATGCGAAGTCTCCACGGCGAATCAGGGGATCGATCCATTTATGAAGTGGTGCGTTCGCTTAGTCTAGTGCTGTTGTTAGCCTCCTGCGTAACAGTCCGGCCTTTTTATTAAGCCAATAATCGATCTCAGAGTGGGTCATGGCCAGTGCTTTCTCCATCGACACCACCCGAGCCGTCGCAGATCAGCCATGGGGCGCTGGTGGGAGCACCTGTGACGGAGACCACGGCCAGTCTCCACAATTCGCGTGCCGTTGGATCGTTGAACACTGTGGAGACACTGAGCGCAGTAATTCCCGGATTTAGTATGCTTACATACTGAGCGCCCTGGACTACATTCGCAAGCTTGGACCTGCTCAGCTACCCGGCACACCGCAACGGCTCCCCATGTGGAGATTTTCCTCCCTTTTACTATTCTTTCCCTAGTTTCAACAGCTTAACCCAATCCAGCGATTTCTGGTCGCAAGGAACCGTGCATTGGCAAGTTGTTCGCGCAGTGTCCAGGAGCCCTGAGGATCAATCGCCCCACTGGCCACGAGAACACCACTGGTTGCTTAACTGCTAGAGGATAACCCCCGACTGTAGAGCCCCCACCCCTTGTATCTCTTGAACCAAGCTCTCGGGCTGTTGGTCGTCTCGATTTCCTAATAGGAGGAGGGTTTGATTGAACGGAGGCAATTTCTGCGCCATTCGTCTAGACCTAATAGGAGCCTGGCCTCCTCAGCAAGAAAGAGAAAAAAGGCAGAAATTCATTTTTTAAAAAGGGGATTTGAATTCGAATGTCGTAACTATGACCCAGGGAACTTTTTACAAGCACAACGTGCATGCGTAGAACAAAACTATCTTCTATTTGTCAAGGATATTCAGCATACACTGTAGCTTGACAACCCACGTCGAGGTGCATGCAGATTCTGGAACGCCTCGTCAGCCTCACGAGAATGGACCAATGACAGTTGAAAAATTCACCAACTATAACTATTCAAAGGTAAAGAAACGAGGTCGCATGCATGAAACTGGTTATTATCCAACAGAAAGCAAATTAATCCTGCATTAATGTTGGGGAAGGTTTACATCTGTCGCATTTACTCGGAGTGGAGCCGTGGAAGATGGGGGCTATGGATGGCGGGCGATCAGTCCAAATTATCCCCGGCTGGACAACTGGAACGACTAACCTGGGTAGATTTGCGTCTCGTTTCAAATTTTCCATTTTTAACTCTTCTTCGCCCGGACCCATTTTTAAATTACCCTTCCGTAAATCAGCCGATCTTTATTGATCCACGATCATAGCCGGAGGATATATAGGAGCCGCCTGGGTCTGGTTGTGGAAACGCTTAGATCCTGCAGTTTTTCTTCATCATTCATTCTTCAGCTTTAAGGATCCTTCATTCCTGCGTCCCCAAGTGCATTGACTCTCCAGTCTTCAGAACCCTCCAAGCTATCCTCTCCCCGTGCACTTGTATTCCATATATTCCCGTGGACATCCCCGCAGGCCCCTCCAAAGAGCCTCAACATTCTGCGACAGGGATTATTTACTCACCACTCGACTTCTTTTCATAACATATAATTGGTTACAATAGACGATAATGTCCATGAGCACTATGTCCCAGTTTCCTCTCCCTTTCGTGGTCACTATGCCTCCATACCTCGATTCACAGTATCACTCCGTTCCCGCTACCATCATGGAGAACCATGGTTCCCCAGACACAAGCCGAGGCAGCCCTCAGAGACACATTCCACCTTCTCCTGCTTCATCTACCACTGGTAGCGAGTTCAAAGTGAGCAAAGCCAAGAAGGGAAAGCGAGTACATGCTTGCGAGTACCCTGGATGCGCGAAGGTAAACTACCCCTCCATTAATTCAACTTCACAATTTATTTTCTTTCCTCTCTTTGCTAACAAACTAAATACAGGTCTTCACTCGTGCTGAGCACCGACGACGTCATGAACTGAGTCACAAAGCGAAAAAGACCTACGTCTGTACCCATGAAGGCTGCACAAAGGCATTCCATCGCGCAGATTACCTGGCACAACATGTGGCGCGACAGTGAGTATCATCTCATACGCAGAAGTATCTCTTCAAAAAGACTAACCATGAATACCTTTAGCGATCCCGACTACACAGTATCAAAGTCCCCTTCACTGCGAAGCAACTCAACCTCATCTGCTGTTAGCACGCACCACTCACAGGCGTATTCTTCCAAATCTCCAGTCCTTGCTGGCTTCCAATCTCCCGTCACGAGCACTAGTTCAAGGACACCAAGTACTGCGGACCAGCAAGTGCTAGTCTGCTCAAGTTGTTTCAGCTGCCAAAGCGGCCAGGCTCATGGCCCTTCTCACCAAAGCAACAACCCTCTGTACAATTACCCACCAAGCTCCGGATTGGGTCTCTTCGCCTCCCAATCCTCAACTACCGGCGGGCCTGCGGGGCTCGACTCCGTGATTGATCAGTACCTACGCAGCGTTCTTCGACCAGAGGCATTTCTGCCAGCGCAATCTCAGGAGCAACTGGACCCTTCCTTCTGGGGATCGAACATCGACCCAAATCTTCCTAGCATGAACTCATCGGTATGTTCACAAATCCTAGCAGAAACGACCGGTCAGGAAACAACGGCTAATTTGCTATCTAGACCTTCCAACCTCCAACTTCCTACCCCTGGACATCAGGAGCGGAGAGCATGCCATCCCATGTTCAAACAGCACACCAAATGCCTCAGAATCTCCCACGCCAAAAACGTGATTCATGAACTTTGATGACTATGAAATTCTACGCATACGCCAGCCGCGTCGATACCCCTACAATCGTTTCTCGCAATATACCATTCTACTTTTGATTTTTATGCTTTATTTTTATCTGAATCATGTCAAAGGCCAAACTTGATACCATAGTTTACACCACAGGCGCTAGATGTGTCTCCTGATTTTCCATTTCAATGTCACGATATGATAGCTATACACTATGTACAATGATTCAAGCAATTTTAACGACAAGATGATATTCGTCACTCTAAACCATGCCAAGAACTTAGTCAATTAATGTAGAATGCTGGTCCCAACTAATTGACTATGTGGCTGAAAATAGATAGTCGACTAGTGCAAACTTCATAAATTACAGTAATTAAAGTGGCAACGCTAGAACGGCAGAACGGATAGACGAGTCCACATATCACGCAGATCGAGCATGGCAAGCGGGGGTGTTAGATCATTAGGTAGTAAACCACCAGGGGGCAGGAAGCAACACTTGAATGTGCGTGGTGCATTAGCTACTTTCGGAGTTTCCAAGGGCTCGGGCTGGGCAAACAAGTTCCTTGATTCTGGCTAGGCCCTAGGCAGATTTGAGTATCTACAGCCAAGAAATCCTTCAGATTTTGACCCCTCAATTATAAAGAGATGCTACTAGTAGTACTAGTACAGCGGTAGCATCTATGAAGACATGATTTTCTGTGGCCGGCCCCCGGGGCCGTACTAAAATACTAAGGCGTTGGAACGAAGGGATTTCTTTTTTTCATTTACCAGGCCGGAAAATCTTCGGAGGCGAGATATTACTACGGGTGTTAAAAGTACTAACTATTCCGAATAAGAGCTAGATTTTAATTGAGGACAGTGGGGGCTTGATAAGAGTCGTTTATATGGGGGAAATATCAGATACACTTAAGGTAGATGTGCGGGCGAAGTGAATGTACTAAGTGGATGTCTATCCAAGTCCATTTGGGTAATTCAATGCGGCATCAGGATCATCTAGATGTTCGATTTTCCCCACTTGGAATGACGTGAATGATCGCCCCCTGATTTATTTTCCTCGAGACGAAGATCTGTGTCCAAAAATATACCTTTAGTTTGATGTGTCCTAGTATGCAGATGGTGAAACGCCGGTTCCAGTCGAATCGTTCCCGCAGGATCTACCCCGTACCTTCGCCATGTGGTGGACTTGAAGATCAAAATCGAAGACGTGGGTTTTGGATACTCCGTACTCCGTGCATAAGAAAAATACCTTAAAATAACTAAAATTATGAGGCTGTTAATGTTGGCCCCAAGCGTTTTGGCGAGAGCTTGGGCCCACTCCTCACTCTAGCACTAGTATAGCGGCCCTTGTCGATCAATGTGCTTCTTCGTTGCCAAGGAGCACTGGGATGACTTTCAAGCTAAATTCAGAATTCAATCTTGTAAATATCTCCATGACTCAATGATATCATAGAAGCTATTTGAAGAATGCTTTTCAACTTATGCATCACCCTCATCCTCGTCATAGCGAGGTATACATATAGCGGCCGGAGTTTCTCTCGATCGTGAATATCTTCGCCCCTTGGATTGCGGAAGTTAGGGGGGCCGCCGTCTGCAACATGAAATCATGCATTTAATATCCGATTGAGCATCAGTTTAAGAACGAGACGTAGGAGGACATACAGTACTATTTGTCGTGAGTCATATCTAAGGACTGGGTCATAGTGTCTTCGCTTGCAAGTCCTTGTTACCTCGCCCGCCCTATCCCTGAGATACACCCAGGAATTGGACTTGCATCGGTTTCCTATTTTTCTAAATGAGATATTTTTTTCCATGAGGAATGACGCAGTGGAAATACAACATAACCAGGAGGAGGTAGCTTCAGATAGAATTACAGGAGGGAAGGTTACCCACCTCCCAAGGGTAGTAGTCAATGAACACATCCATAAAGAAGGATATGCGAGATGGGCATGTCCGTAGCTATTAATAAACCTTTCAATAATCCACAAGGTCTGATCACCACTTCGCTATGTTTTTTTTGTAGTTAGAATAATACGAACGATATGTAGTGGGAGTTCTAGGGCTCGTGTAATGTGCTTTATTGATCTTGTCTGAGATTGTTTTCCTCCATGAACCTAGTATCCACAGGCATTCTTATTACAAAATTGAATAACCGACTTTAGTCCCAAGGGACGTCACCCTGTCATCCAATTGAATAATTCAAGGCTAGATTCAAAAGACTCGCGTATCAGAAAACTTAAGGAATAAAACACCTGAAGGCAAAATCGAGCTTACTCTACAAATGCGACGTTTCCTAGGAAATATACCATCAGCGTTGGCTTTTGACACTCAAAAAATGAGAAGAAGTGTCAATATTTCCACCCATGTACCAAATAAAAGTTGTGAAGTGAATGAGTCTGCCACGTGTATCTGTTATGGAAATAATCCCAACTGGTGGCATGCTAGGCCAACCCTTGCGCTAACAAAATATGTGAAGACTTTTACGACCGCAAGTTTTCACCGTTTGTCTCATTTAATTGGCAAAGAAGAATTAGCTCAATTGTATTCATGCTCTCTAAAGTTGTATCAACTAAAATAAACGAGGAATCAATCCGAAATCCTATCTAGTACCCCGTATAAATCCCAGATGCATTCCAAATCAAAAGTCAAATTCAATGGAATGGGCCGCCTCTTTAAATCTCAGCAAACTCTTTTTATCCATTAAGTTCTTCAATCGGGAATATTTCCGTATTGCCAGGCGTTTTAATCGCCATAATTTGTTACTCCTTCATTATACCGGGGATCTGTGGACCAGAAAGCAGAAATTTGTAGCGGTATTGTTATGTAAACTCACTTGGGAGCCATATAAGAAGTTTTGGACCAGGAACTTTGCCTTTTTCCTTCAAATGGGCTCGCTGCCTTCCGTAAAAGGGGCTCAAGTGGTGATGAGTAGTACTAACAGTGTCAATCTGAGCAGTGGATTCAATGTTGAAAGATATATAGTATATAGTAACACTGCAAAATGGATACAACTTCAAGTTGTTTAAACATCCCAAGCTTTCAAGTCTTATGCGCCGGCGCTTGAATGACTCGGACTAATCCCCAAAACATTGCGCAGATGGAATTGCAAGCAGGTCTGATGTACTACTACCTGCAGTATGATTAAACGATGTTAATTTTGATGACAGCTAACTTCTCAGACTCACTACAGACGGGACAGATAAAGGAAGGCTATTTTGCGATGTTGTGAACACCAAGAGATAGGGAACAAAGGATCAAAAGATCTCAGAACGGGCAGCTCCGAGCCATATAATAGGAGACCACTGGCAGTAACGAAAATATTGAATGTCGTAGAAAGTGGAGGGAGTCACATCCGTCATATTTCACTTGTATTCGCTGCTGATACGCATTTTTAAATCATGAATTTGAAGCTGCAGGCAGATTAATTAATATAAGAATCATATAAATACACCTTAAATAAGATTTTTGGATGTCGAATAACATTCAGTGCACATATGGTCATTTAACCCTGAAAGCCAATCTAGTCAGTCTCAATAACAGGACCATTGTATACTTTCCTGGCGCGAACAAAGTAGTACAGCAAGCTGATAATAACCACACCGAAGGTGCCCACCACACTGAAGTTCATAGTTTTAACAGTGACCTGCCAAGAGGGAGGCCAAAAGCTGAAGAACACAGCAATGGTCATATAAATAAGAGCAAAAGCATTGATCAAAATGCCAAAGATGCCAGGAATATGGAATGGGCCCCAAACAAGCTTTGCACCGACAGTGTTAACCACAGTGGTATCACTGGTTCGTGCATTGCCAATATCACCGTTGCAGCGTCGGTAAAGTAGGAAGCCAGCGACAACCATATAAGACATGTAGAGGCCGGAAATAGACATCGCGACTAAGTCATTGAATGCGACGGCAGACCCAATATTAATGAGGGCTAGTAAGCACGCAACGACGGTCGTAAATAGCACGGAGTAGATGGGAACTGCAGTGCCTCCGTGGACCTGACTCCAAACCCTCCACCCTGGAATACCGCGATCTCGAGCGAAAGACCAGAATTGCCGAGATGCAGAGGCGAGCATGCCGACTGAGGTGGTGATACCCATGGTGGTGATGATAGAGCCCATAACAGCAGTTCCCGGAACAGAGCCTGTGGCCTGCAGGAAGATCGACATAAAAGGATATCCGGTTGGCGATTCAAGTGCCGTTTCGATGTCACCCGTGCAGAAGAGCATAGCAAGAAGCATACCGAAGCCAAGAGAGCCGTTGATCAAAACACTCAGCATGATAGAAGTGGGAACTGCAGTCGATGCGTTGGTGATCTCCTCGGACATCTAGGGAATAAGTTAATAATTTTTGATTTGAAAATAGAGTGAGAAATAGAGTGAAAAATGATAATACGCACGTGGACTGCAGCATCACCACCAGCAAATGCAAAGATACACCCCACTATGCCAACGAAGAAAGAAAGTCCTTGTGAGGGAAATTCACCACGATTCAAGAATGTGGTGAAAACCTCCTTCGCATCTCCATGATCGGCCATATAAGTGAGAGGAATGAGGATAGCAAAGAACCCGAGAATATGAAGAAATAAAATCAAGCCTTCAAAACGAGGCAGCAACTTTCCACCAACACAGTTAATGGAAACAGAGAATACAGCAACAGCCCAGAATAACAGAGTTGCGTGCCAACTCTCTGGTTTGTAATCTTTCTGTGTGAGAGTGATTAATCCTTGAATTAATGTTCCACAGAGATAACACGAGGTTGCGTATGTGGCCTGCCATCCGATGACAGTAAGCCAACCTGTAATATTGAATTAGCGACTGATCCTATACTCCGTTTCTAACGGCTCTAACATACCAGTCAGATAGCTTATGAGCTTCATGCATGACCGGGGTGCAAGCATCGAGCACCAGTGATATTGTCCGCCGGAGGTTGGAGCCCTACACACGAGTTATTTGGGGATCCACAGGCGAAGACAGCGAGATCGGCATACATGGACGCCAGTTCAGATAGAACCACAAAAGTCGACGCGACACCAATCCAAACGAAGAGAAAACCGTAAACTGCACCCGCAGGACCACCACTTAGCCGTGGGAATTAGTATTTGGATTCGGACGGTGACCAGGGAAACACATCGTACTTTTGATATGCCTGCAGAAACAAACTATATGATTCGAAGATAAATTAGCCAGTGCACATGCGACAACAAGCCTTATCAGTATATACTCACACAACAATTCCTTCCCATGTGATTAAAATCGTGCAGCTGAAGCCCAGCATAGACATCAACCCAAAATTTCGCTAAGGAAATGAGCATTGGTCGAATAAGTATGGTAGATCAGATTTTATTCACCTTCAAAACTGGTCGCTTCCCCATACGTGCCAGATTGGCATCATCGAGCTCCTCACTCGTCGGGCTGCCAATCTCCTGCATGCCAGTTGTGCTCGTCTGCTTCAACTGATGAGAAGACATGATGTACACGAAGGGGCTATGAAAAAAAAAAAAAAAAAAAGAAGTATGGCGCAACAACAGCGCTCAGGGGGGAGGGCAGCGTTTTGTTTGGAGAGCGGAGAAGAGTTTCAACTGATCCTAGCGCAATGAGCTTCTGGAACACATGCCATGGTTGGGTTTTGCTAATCGGTTATCCACCTACATACGCTAATGCAATGCAGCGGCGGTTTACAAGGTCCGTAAGTTCCGATGGCGAATCAGACCAGATTGGCGAAGTGGGAATGGAGATAGTTCCTGATTAGCCCTCGTCTAAGCACGCCCTTTTCAAAACGTGGGTATTGGATATTGGCTGGATCATAAAAGATCGTATCCCTTCATTCCAGGTACATGGTCCGAGTCCATCAGAGAGATGGTGCGCCACCCATGGGTACCGGCATCTCTCCACCCCCAGCCCTAAAACCTTAATGACGAGCGCTTGTTATGGGTCAGGTTACATCGTAACACCACTAAATACTAGTTTTAACCAAGCACAGTTGAGTTTGCGAAGTTGTGGTGCCTCGAGAGAAAATACCGTCTCTTGGCTTGCAGGAACAATTGTCGCCACTTTACTTTATTCAGTAGGTGGTATGGTATGTCTCATTACTTGTGGGTTTTATTTACTTGAAATTCCCCACTTATTGTGTTTCTTTATACAAAACTTTTGCTATACGCCCTAAATGCGCGTGATATTAGGTTTTAATAGAAAAATATCATCGTTTTTATAGACTGTGTGTGAATTACCCAGGGATAAAACCATTATGTTCATGTAGCTCTCCCAATCTAGCTTCCAAATTATCATATTCCCAGCCTCGTCAATTCATAATCAATGTCGTCGGGTTTCGGTGACTGTCCAAGTACGAGTCTCCCGGATAATTCTCGACTCACTGGATTGACTCTCGGCGTCGCAGTCATCTGCGGTAGTTGTAATGAGTGTGTGAGTCGCATTCCGTTCTGTAATCGGGACCAGTTCGTGAGTATCGCTTCTTGTATCCGCTGTCCTCCCACCACGAGAGGCTTTGTATGTAGTTCCATACGCATAGGTTCGTGGTTTGCTTCCGTAGCTTGTTCCTCCGAGGCTCATACCCGATGATCGAAGACTATCCAAAAACGGTTTGAATTGCGGGGAGCACGATGTGATGATACTGAGCGCCTGGGCCATTTGAGTAGAAACGGTGACTGTCCAGCTGTCCCAGGAAGAATCGGTGGAGGATCTCGTTTGGCTACCGTAGGCGAGTTGACAGATGATGGCTATAATCACACTAGAAAGAATCATCGAAATTAGTGACTGGTGTGGGTATCCATAATAGAGCATAGCACTCACAAAATCCGGAGACAGAAGACTGTTCCCAGAACAACCTTTTTGTGAATATCAGCTTGTACGCGAACCACAACTAATAATGCCTGCACTATGATTCCGGACTCGGACAGGATGTTGGTGATACCTAAGTAATACCACCAAGATAGCTGCGAAAGCGTTAGTCGTTGTTTGAAATAGTTGATTAGTATGACCCACCCGATCAAAACATTTCCCATTGATATAATCCCAAGTACTTGGCACAGGGCATTGAAAGGCAGCGGTGAATACTCCTGCGACTGTCCATAAGCCGATGAATATGCCCAGGCCAAGAGCAAAGCGTCGATCCAAAGTTGCGGGTGTCAAGTTTCGGATAAAGAACAGGATAGCAAGCTTAGAGCAGCATATGCTGATGATAAAGAGAATATCCCCGGCGTATTGAGACTGAAATAGACACCACGCGGTTAGCGATTGCGGCTCAAGGAATTACACGAACATACCCCCTTGCTGCGCCTTGAGCTAATGAGTCATGGCAGCTTACCTTCATCATGCTCTGCTTGTTGGAATCGGATATAGTCATCAAATGTTGACCCAGTCCAGCAGCAGTGGCCATTGACACTGCAATGGACTGCCCGATACAAGTGACCATCGACCCAATGCTGAGAACATCGTCGATAGTCAATTTCCGGAAAATCCAGTACTTCGTTCCAATTCTAGTCAGAACACTCAAAATGGAAGTCACCAGCATGTACCACGTTAGAACGTTGATGGCTGGTGTCCATGTCTGCCGCAGTTCTGGCTTCATTGCGTTCACCGTGTTCTCATAGCCCCAGGGAAGTGACAGAAGCTAAGATGCGCTCCTCAACGGCAGCATAGAAGATTAGTAGCGTTGACAGGGCATAATGCGATTTGCTTTTTACCCAGGCCCCTATAGCACTGGCTATGGTTCCATGGATTACAGGGGCCCGATAACTTACAATACACGATTGAAAACCTCTGGAAAAATTAATCTAACCTTCCACATCTTGGCGACTCCTCCCAAACTTAGTTTGCTTCACACCCTTGCTTCTTGTTGCATTTGATGGGGCCAATGTGGAATACGGCATCCTCTCACAGTGGCTTTGTGTACAGGAATTCTACCAATTAAGATCTCGTATGGCTGCGATAAATGGGGAGCCAAGGCGATTTTCGACACCGCTTGTGATGATTGGCCTTGTGGATCGATTGAACCCCACCGGGCCGAGCCAGCAGGGTGATCTCTGCGCCCGCAGGCTACAGCGCCATTTTCCATTCAGCTTTCTCTCTAGCCTTGATGCACACTAGTGCACTCACTGGACAGGGTTCTGCGCAAAATCCTCGAGTCTAGCTAGAAGGTCTCTCGGCTTACGCGGAAAACCTTTGAAGTTCATCAAACAGCAGTGTCGGTTTTCTTATTGATTTCGCGACGTAACAACCCCAATGTAGTTTCGCAGAAGAAAGCAATTTGGGAAAAGCCACAATTCAATTATACGCACCGGATGGCGCCGTGACCCATCATATCAGGGGCAGATCAAGTTCGCGGAATCTCGTCATGATTTACGGACTCTGTACGGAGGACACAAAACACACCGTGGGAATATTTAATTGTGGTCCAGTCAAATCAAGCTAATCACCAAGGTTCTTTATGTCTAGAACTCTAAACGTTGTAAATTGATCGGGATGGAGCCGATTTTGGCCGATAGCGTTAAACAAACTTTTACGATAATCTACATGTATTGGCATTATAAATAAGTTTCCGCTGAAACCATGGACGCCTCTCTGGTTGGCCAATTCTCTCAAATATGTTCATATGGGATTAACAACATCGGCTAGGAGCTATGTCAAAGAACAGTTAGAACTGCGACATACAGGATCCGATCGACGGTTGTCCCGTTCATGTTCATATACTTCGTACAAAAAGTTTGGGCAAACTAGCATAGTGTGGCGCCACGTAAAGCATGTTCTCCACATAGGAAATGGCTTTGTGATGGAAATTCCCTTGTCGGAAATTAGAACCGCGGTTATGCCTAGTGACGGCGTTATAGCCTTTAACTCAGAAACTCACATTCAGTCTTGATTCGGCATACTATGAGCCGGTCTGTATTTTTACTATTGGAAAGCAGTACTCGAGGGGGCCAACAGGTTAAATTCTTAGGCGACACAATGGACTTCATAATAGTTCAAAGCATTAAAAGGTGGAATCAAACTTATCGTTCGGTTACTATTTTTACGAAAGGGGACTTTTGCGAAACGAAGAATCAACCTCTGCACAATTTGACGGAACACTCTGGGGGAGCTAATGTATCGAGAGCATTGGAGAGCACTGAACGCAAATCAGGCACACCAGGAGCAACGCGATCTCGGACTGATTAGTCTCAGGCTTACATGAAGTTTATCAGCAAACGGTCCATCCTGCCATCGGAGAATACAGAATATGAAACAGTGATTGGCTCAGGCTATAACCAATGTTAGGTGGTGTTCCGATAATTAATACTCTGAGATCCATTAATAACAGAATGTTTTGGATTTCTCTTTCCAAATCTGCCACGTATATTTTCTGTAGTCGGATATACCTGCACCTTCGGCTAAAATGGCGATTTGGTCAACACTGCCGGCGTGAAGCTTGTAAACTTTGTTAATGCATACTCCGGACATCGCCGTATATCGGCCTTCTGCTTTTGTATTGAATTGCAGCTTTGTCTCGTTAACTGCGAAACAACTGACAATAACTTGACGCCTTCAAGTTTAAGATTAAATCCCAGTGCATATTCCACGTTGAAGATATATACGCCTGAACTTTTTCCGCAAGTCGCAGTTTTGAAAGCCTCGATAAAGACCCAGAAGTAAAGTTATGATATAGTAAAATTCGATTTCGTTGCATATTAGCCACTCAAGGTCTTCAAAGGATCTTGCGCAAAGGAATTCAAGTACCTAGTAACTCTAGATTTTACATAGTGAATCTGAAGCTTATCCCTTCACAGTATACACTGTAGCGGGGCTCAACAAGATCAATTGATATCATAGATCCAGAACTTGATAGCATTGAGTATAACGAAATTAGAGAGGAACTTGAAGAAGAGGAGCTTGGAACCAAGAAATATGAAGATATAAGCATATAGGTGGAATTCACATAGGCACCTCAAGTTGCACCTCGAATAATCTCATTTATATACAAACATAGGTTCGTGTAGCCCTGGTGGACTTAGATAGGTATCGAACACAGTAGCAAATTAAAGAAAGAATGCATAAGGACTCAATACTATATCAATGTCATCATAAAGTAGCGTCTAGGGTGGGTTATTGTGAAGGATGACCTGAGGTCGACAAAGTGAAGCAAATGGGATGAGGTCAGTTCCTGCTTGAATAGCTATTCAGAAATATCGAGTAAGTCGCCACATAAAAAGGTACAAGGGCATTTATGGCAGCACTGAGTAGATGTGTAGAGGCAAAGAAACGTGGGCTAAACGTATGTATCAGTTACTAGTGGTGGTGGTGGTGGTGGTGGAAGGTTAAGCCTTCCATTCCTCGTACTATTTGCGGAATACCCGCCGCCGGTCTGACTGCCGCGCATGGGTGACTCATACGCATCAGGAATAATGGATACCTTCATGTTGTAGATGAGGTACTATTGGTAATAGTATACTATATCCTACCTATCGAAGAGTATGCATGTGAGGAATAACCTCTTCAGTTATGAGGAGTTTCTTCTTCTTCGTTAAGTTCTTCTTCGTTAAGTTCTTCTTCGTTAAGTTCTTCTTCTTCGTTAAGTTCTTCTTCTTCGTTAAGTTCTTCTTCTTCGTTAAGTTCTTCTTCTTCGTTAAGTTCTTCTTCTCTCATTTTATAAACAAATACACTCAATATTACATACTTCATTCTTTTCTCTCTCAATATAGAGAATATCGTCTCCATTTCTCCATTGAGAACTTGAGATATCTTTTCACGTCTTCATTTACACCTCATTCCACGTTCTTTTTCACGTCTTCTTTTACGACTTGGTGAGCATCTGCCCTCTGAGACAACACTGAATAAGTCATTGAACTGATAGCTTAGAAGCTGTAACGAACTAGTGTTGTTAACTACAATTCATGGATGCCTCACGGCTATGGCCAGGCCTCCACGTCCACATTCGTATATATAGCCTTCCATCTTTCTCTCTTTCTTTTTCTCCTCAAGTTTTCACTTTCGTCGAATGCTACTATTGCTTTGCCTGATTCGCTACTCCGTATCTTGCTATCTGTGAGTATCTGAGCGCGTCCTCACAGAAGCAAGCAACCGTCAACATGAACATCTTCCGTCAGTCCTGCTGGAGAAAGAACGTGACCGCTCGGTGTACTTGATACTGCTACTTCTATTGACGCCAATCCTGTATATACCTTGCCTAATGGTATTCAATTATACTTTACCAGCGATACTCATTTGCGTGTCTTGAAGGACCTTGTTGCCCGCTACTACTCTATCTGGTCCGACCCCGGTGTTGTCGATATCCCCGTTGACCAATGGATGCGTTTGCTACTGACCCCCGTCGCGAAAGTGCCCCGTCAACAGTTTTACCGGCCTGGTCCAGAAGCCCAAGCCGATATCGACAAAGCCATGGACGCGCTGCATGACCAAGGTAAGGCGTCTTGGATGACTACTCATACCCCGTCAGCGCTGCCTATCTTTGTCGCCTGGCGTTGGTTTCACGGCCGTCGTGTTGGTCGCGCCGTCGTCGATTGTCGCGCCCAGAACAAACTCTTCATTCCCGATTTATACCCACTACCCCGTCAGGATGCTATTGTCAAACTGGCCCGCGGCAAGAGCTTTATCACCGTTGTAGACGCGGCCCGCTCAGACCAACGTCCGTCGCCTGAGATGGGACAACATCTCCAGAGAAGTCAGAGTTTGTCTCGTGAAAGGAACTGACCGCAGACTATTGAGCCTCATCCGAAGGTTGCAACCCAATCTTGAATTTGCAGACGATTTATGTCTGCAGTGCGACAGCATTGCCTGCCCAAGAATTCGCGTTCTTATGACCAGCAGGCCGCAAATCTTTTCCATATGACCCCATCGAGTGAGAGCAATATGAAGCAAGTTCTGAGGGATTACGTCTACGAAGCCGATGCTCTGTGGGAATCTGGAATAAATATCTCTCTGAAAATAGCGCTGTGGCACTTGGCCACGACAACCGGACGTGTCTCGGCTGAAGTTTCCACTAAACTTATCAAACTGATCGAGGAGGAAGGGGATGTTAAATATCGTCGGCGAATTGTACTGTTCTACCTAGAGATAATACGAGAATTAGTTGTGGAAAGGCAGCAGGTACGTTGGAGGGGTTTGCCTGGCGATGTGGAGAGGAGTGGATGAATGGTAATTGATGGGTTCGTGGGTCCAACGGCTGAACCCACCCCAATGCTTAAGATTTACATGAATTACCCCAATCAAAATATACTCAATATTTACTTTCGAATGATTTGTGAACAAACATTACATATGTAACAGATTTGTCAAGTATGCAAGTATGTGAATGAATGAAAAATGGTTGGTATATCTATGAAGTCTCGCTGCCACCTTCAAGCAAAAACTATGCTGTCATCACCGAATATTCACACAATTTACAGCTGGAGAGCTCCAACGGCCAAAGCGACCATGGAAGCAACAAACACGGAAGCGATAAGGCTGGATCCAGCGTTGATGGGGCTGGCAGAAGCAGAGGTAGCAGAGCTGCTGGAAGCCTGGCTGGCGCTAGAGGAGCTAGCAACGGAAGCCGAGGAGGAAGAAGAACCGGAGCTCTTGGAGGTAGAGTTGGACAGGGTAGAGGAGGTGGAAGAGCTGTTGGACATCTTGATGCTGGAGTAGTCGCCGGTCTTGTCGGAGTACTTGTAGGCGGAAGCAGGGTTGTAGTTGGTGACGTTGATGGAGTCAACGTACATGACGAAGGGAGCGTTGTCGAAGTCAGTCTCACCACCGGCCCACTCGATAGTGCCCTCAGCGTTGGTGGAAGCACCACCGGCCCAGATACCGATTCTGATCTTGGCGGGGGTCTGGGGGTAGTTGGCGCCGCTCAGAGCATCGTCGTAGGTCACGGTGTGCTTCAGATCTCCGTCGACGAGCCACTGGATGCGCTCCTCAGTCCAGTCGATACTGTAGGTGTGGAATTCGGTCTCTGGGTCCGTGACAGTGATGTCGTATTCACGGTCTCCGAGGGTGCTGTTACCCTTACCGAAGTAATCGGCCTGGATGTAAGTCGAGTAACTGCTGATTTGCTCCTGTTGTTCCGCATATGTTAAAGGGAGATCATATATGTGACTTGCGATATGGTTGGAGACTTACGTAGTCGATCTCATCCAAGTCATCAGACTCCAGGATCCAGGTGCTGATAATACCAGTACCGTTGGAGGCCTTCATCTTGACATCAACATGTCCGAAGAAGATGTACCAGTCACTGGCGATAGTGGGGGCGTCACCCTCCTCGGCGATCTCGAACTTAGCGCCCAGATCGGTCTGGGTCACAGGCTTCGCGGTGATGTTCCAGTTATCGAGGGAGCCGGCTTGGGTGAAGTCGGTGTTGTAGGTCCATTTAGCCAAACCCTTGTCGGCGGGGCAGGTCTCTAATTGAAAATAGTATGTTAATCAACATGCTGACATGGCATATTTATGCGATATAGATGTAAGCGACGAACTCTTGGTTGGGTTGCAGGAAGTAGAGGTCTGAGCCGCGCCAAGCTGGGCTGCGGCCAGGGTCAGGGCCGCCCATTTCATAGAGGCCTTCATTGTGGAAAAAAGAGTGCGAGTCGGTACTCTAAACGAATGAATTTTTTGTTGGAGATAAATGAGCGACTGAAACGACGGGTGTGTCGAGGGATATAGGGCGAACGAGAGTGGTTTCCTAAGTTGAACAGGGGTTCCTCAAGACGATAAATCTCTAAGAAATTCATCTATTTTTACTCCTTCGCTGTCCACGAAACATGTACGCCATTGTGTTCTGGGGTGTGGAGCATGACCTCCACTTATTCTCGGCGATATGTCAGTTAGTTCGTAGCATCGGGGCGCAACTATTGGTGTGTGATGACCCAGTCTTAGTCGAGTGGACCAGACGATGGCGCACAAGAATATAAGTTCGCGTATAAAAATTGATAAGTAGAAAATTTGTGGCGTTGGCTAAAAAGCTTGGGTTGGTTGATGACGAGAGTGCTTGCGTGGTTGGACCGGCACTATGACGGATCTAGCCGGTGGAGTACGTACGCTCGTCAGAATATTTTTCCACGGCAGTGACTTTTCGCATGAACCTCACAAAGCGTGAAAGAGGCATTGGACATGGGAAAGTCATGAGGCCTAAGAGCTGAGACATGGGGATACACCTTAATGCCCATTTTTTCCGGACGCGACATGGATTTGAGAAGTGGGAAGAGCCAAGAGGTCGATAGTACGCGTCGCGACGATCATCTATTGATTGTTTATGAGCGAGCCTTTAGGCCCAATACGCCCGCTACAAATACAGTGCATGGCAAAAGCTGGGCACGATAGATCGACGACCATGGAACATTTGCAACGACAGCGTGGTACGTTGGGTATGTATAGCTCGCGACCTAGGAAGCGACCGAACAAGGCGCATCTGATTTTCATTAAATGGATTGATTCCGTTGTCTCAGACGAGACGACCCACATGTGGAGCTAGAAGACGTGTTATAATTGCCTCGATCTATTTGCCAAGGTGGATCACGCCTTTCTTTCAATTCGCGTTCCTGAATGGACGTGCGGCGCAAATCCATGATTCAGGAGTCGTTAACGCCGAGATAGGAACAGGGGATAACTCCGACGTAAACACCAATTCGACAAGAGCTGCCAACATCTGTGACATATTTGTTTGTAGCTAGTAAGTGTGTCTGTAGACAACTTGGACCGCCTTGTCTACACAGATGGGGTAGTTGAAAATTAGGTGTTTTGCATCCTCCGCATTAGTGCCTATGAAAGCTGGGAGTCAGCCTCAGTTTGCCAGGCTCGTCTCCCGAAAAAAAAGAAATCTATCAAGGCCACCCATATCAAGGTGCTGGGTCTTCTGCGAACGCTTCTGGTCTAAGCTACAGGTCTATATGTGACTGTGTAACCATCATACGTCTGTTTCAAGCTAATCGGCCTTGTTTAACTCATTGAACTTTGCAACCTTGGAAGATCTATGTACTCCAGTACAGCGTGTAGATTCAACACTTGGGATCTATGCTCAAATTAGCGGCTAGTACACTATAGGTGGACATTGATTTTGGAATCCTCGAATTTCAAGTTTCATTCTGACGTGATCAATGTAAATACAACCGTCCATAACGCTTCAGTAAGTGCTCCAGTAAATGCAAACCTGTTCAAAGCCTATTGTCATATACGAAAACAGCTACCATCCTGCCACCAGGCTGAATCTCCAAAGCACATTTTTATGAATATAATAATACTTATCTAATTTGACTTCTGCCCCATTCATAAGGATATTACCCTCTATCGAGAATAGTATCATAATATGGAACCCAAAATCGCCTCCAACTTTAGGTTCAAGATCAGAACTATAAAGGAAGACCCAACCTTTCTATTTGGCATAAGATATATTTCTATCAAGGTCTAAGATTAGAACAGAGAAACAGTAAAAACAGCTAGTTGGGAATAGATAAAGAAAGAAAGGACCGAAGAACTAGAGAAACCACTGAGTGGAGAGTAATTCGGGAGAGAGAAGAGAAGAACAATCAAGATAGAGAGCTATCTAGTAAGCTAATACCTTAGGCACCAGGACCAGTAGTCATGTAACTCCTGACTCCTGGCAATTTCTAATTCGAAGGCAAGAATAAATCTGTAATCGAATATAAGAAAACAAAAGTTCTCATCTCTCCTTTGCTTTAAGTTCCTGGCCTTGTCTTCGAGTTCGTCTCTTACCAGGCACACGACTTCCAGACAAAGCGCGCTGGCTCCTAAGTCAACGTTTGAACTTGGACTTGCTGTAGAGACGGCGTCTTCCACGGTTGGAGCAACTTCATCCCATGCTAGCCGTGCTTTCTCTGCGACATTTGGGAACAAAATAATAATGAAGTCATCTCGGCTGTTTTCTTCCGTGACTAGGGAGGGGGATTGAGTTAAATGCGGCATAATCTGGTGTGGCTGACGAGCAGTGAGATATTTGGTTGGCTAATTTATCGACTTCTACAAACAACTATGGGATCTCAGATCGAGCGTTTTTGCATGGGTGCTTCCAAGGTTGGGTTTATTGTTTCAGCGACCATAAGCTTATTTTGAGGCTCTTACGATAGCTAAGGTTTAATGCCCAATTGGGCTCTTCCCCCACTTGCCCAAAACGCGTCCACGTAAGCAAAAGCCAACGCAAAGTCAGGTGACTTTATTGAGGTGACTTTATTGAATCAAGAATGGAACATTCCATTCTGTCCAATGCTTGGTTCTCGATACGTTCTGGAATTTATTCACGTTTTATGCCGTAGTGCTGCATAAACAGCCTTGGGCTACATAGGCTGAAGCGTTCGCTGTCGCCTGGTTATCTACTATTCGCTGCTGAGCTACCCACACCCATCCACATGACTGAATATCCTATACTACTGAAGTCACTCACGTGTCAGGTTCCCACAATTAAATTTATCGGAGTTTGGAGTTAAGCGGTCGAAGACCAGTTATTACCGGGAATACGGGTTTTTGTTGAGGCATTATAGAGGATTTTTGTCATAATGCTGTAAAGAGCTCGCGTTCGATTTCCCGTTTAGTTGAATGCGGGCCGCAGCTAAGGCACCGAAATCAGGCCCCCAAGGCACACAGAAATACAGATCATTATTACTGGCCACGGGGTTAAGCACTATGCACATGTGAAAGAGAGCTATAACTATATAAAAAGGCCAATGATCAGCTCTTTAATTATTTGAGATCTATAACAGCGACATCAATCTAGGTGTTAGGCAGAATAGTTTCACAGACCATTCACCAACTTATAAAGACATCGTGATCTCGCAGCTACATTCATATTCATATATTTGACTTCAGAAATGGCTTTCGAGAACAAAGCCGTATGGGCACCAGCTCCCAATTCCCGGGTGCTTGAAGTTGGACCCGGACCAACACCTAACCCTACGGAAAACGAAGTGGTCATCAAAGTAGCCTATGTGGCTATCAATCCGGCAGACTACAAAGTGAGACTACCAAGATCATGTTTTTCTAGCCCCCGGGCTTACTCTTATTCTAGCTACAAGAGGGAGTAAATCACCTTTCGTATCCATGCATTTACGGTATCGATATCGCGGGTACAATCATGCAACTTGGCTCTAAAGTGACGCAGTTTGAATTGGGCCAACGAGTCACAGGGTAAATATCGGGATGCTGCGACAGAATAGGATCATTAGAAGAATAAAGCATGCTAAATATCATATATTCCAGCCATTGTGATTCGCTACTCACTCGAAAGCCAACCAACGCCGCTTTCCAGCTGTACAGCACATGTATCGAGCATCTGGTTTCCGTCGTCCCCGAATCTCTGCCTTTAGTCAATGCTGCTGTGCTACCTGTTTCGGTTGATACTGCCGCAACAGCCCTTTATATTAACCTGAAACTACCACTCCCTTCCCTGAACCCATCCCCAACAGGGAAAAGGGTTCTTATTTGGGGAGGCAGCTCTTCTGTTGGATGTTCGGCTATCCAGTTTGCCGCCGCGTCTGGTTTCGAAGTTGTGACTACTGCCAGTAGTGCTAACCATGAGCTTGTAAAGAGCCTAGGTTCTGACCATGCATTCGACTATAAAGAGCCTGATGTGGTTGACAGGATTTTGGATCTTCTGAAGCCGGGAGATCATGTAGTGGATTGTATCTCTACTAAAGAGACGGAAGCTGCGTGCGCGGGCATCGTTAAGAAGATACAGGGTGACAAGTTTGTTGTTACGAACTATCCAAGTGGAGACTATCCTGACGGTGTGGAAGCTTCTTTCGGTGAGTTATCCCCACTTATTCATAACGCCACTTCTAACATTATTCAAGCTATGTGTGTGGATGCTGGTCACCGTTTCCCTGAGGTTGGTGACCATATTTGGCACAAGTTTCTACCCACGGCTTTGGCTGAAGGCAAATTTCAGGCGAAGCCAGATCCCCATCTTATTAAGGGTGGATTGGAGAAGATTCCGGGTGCTATCGACCTTCTTCGGGAAGGAGTTTCGGCGAAGAAGATTGTCGTCGAGATCTTGGCTGAGTAGACGTGGCTATGTGTAGGGAATATTCATTGTTTTGATTGATTTTTCCTTTTGTTCCACTATCTCAGAATGTCAATTAGACCATGAGTACGGCGGCCGATAGCGTTCATCTATGATCGTTCACTTTTTCCCTCGATTTGCGCGGTCAACTTTGCAGTCTTTTTCAGGCTGTCGTCGAATTCTCGCCAGAATCCAAGTACTGTCTCGATACGAGCAAACATGAGTGTCTTTTTTTCAAATCGTGCAATCGTACGAGCAGTGTGAATTGCGTTGACAACCTCTCGTCCATTCATTTTGACCCTTACAAAGGTGTCAACTGCGTCTTCGGGATCGATGTCGATGTCCTCAGCCGGGATTGACTTCAAAGTTTGCAACCACAGTTGCTGACGAGTCGCAATGCCTGGTGAAGCGTACTCCAATGCAAGGTGTATGCGGGATTCAACAGCTCGATCGAAGGATGTGATACGGTTGGCAGTGAGAAGAACGATTCCACTGACGTACTCGAGCTCCTTGAGGAACACTAAGTGAGGTTATAAGTATGGAAGAAGTATTAGCATGAAACTTACCTGTCATGTTTATTCAGTTCTCCGAGGGAAGTCATCATAAGGGTTCTCTTCGTTCCCTCTGCCGCTGTCTCGGCCGTCATCGTCTTCCCATAGCCCGGCGTGCCATGCAGCAAAACAACCAATCCTCGTCCCTTTTAACTAGTTTGGTCGCGTGCGTTTCTAGGAAATATATGCGATGACTCTAAAGATCGAAGCACCAGCTTTTGCCGATTGCCAATGATCAGTTATTGCCACACATCATCTTTCCACTCAACTTCATACATGCAATCAATTAGAAATCGACCCCATTCTTTGCGGCTAAGCGAAAATCCATATTCATAGGGCGGACACAATAATGGGTCTACCCTTCTAGCGTGAGTCCTCGCTTCATTTGAATATTGATCCTCCTGAAAGGTTTTGCGATCGAACATAACTCTTCCAGTTCATTATAGGGGAGCCAAACAGCGTCAAATTCGCATGGAGGGATGGAAATACTCGAAATCCGGCTCTTTCAAGAATTGTGCCTGGCCATCATAGTGCTGAACACGCACACCGCGGAGGGCTAGGAACTTCTGGCCACGCTCTCGAAGCTGGGTTTCTAAGGTGTCTCCTTCTGAGACAAACTTGCGCGGAAACACAGGGAGCTCAGTAATGATTGCTGGATTTTCGGCAGCAAAATGTTATTTCTGGTAAAATTTGATCACATTTTTGCTTTACCCTTCACACGTGCCATCATGATCTGTGTAAATGCAGTGTACTTCTAAGAAAGGACCTAGGCGCTGGTTCTCTTCGTATGCTGTTTTTTCACACCTCAAGAGCTGTGGGTAGCCCAGAAATTTGGTATAAGCCAGATCTCCGGGACGGAAGATGAAGATAAACCACGCATTCAGATACTTGATTTGGGTTTTTCGCACCATCGCCAATAGCTCATCTCTCTCCGGGCCGATCTCATGTGTCATGAAATCAAATAAAAGGTTGAGATGCATCCGCTCGTTCACATCTTCTGTTGATTGCCGACGAGCATCAAAATTTTCCCAATGGTGTAGCAGAATTTGGAATGGGCTTTTCAGCGTGAAAGACGATTTGAAAACTGATGTGACGGTGGCATAGGAACAGATAAGCTCTTGGAAGAATTTTTGAAGACGCTTTGAATTGATCGCAAGAGTAAATTTCGTGAGCTCGTACTTGTCACCAAAGTGACGATTGATAACGAGCGCGTACGAAGCGTCTTTGTCGCTTAGGTTAAGGGCTTCAAATGGCTTCTTGACAACCTTGACAGACACTTCTCCCTCTTTCTTTTGAACGTGTCGATACACCTTGAATTCGCATTTTTCAGCGGCTGCTTCGTCCGGAAGATTCTTTTCGTCGGCCATTGGCAAAAGCTTGTCAGCATGATGAAATATTCAGTTGTGTCGTGGGTAAAAGGTTGAACTGAAAGATAATTGCTGTGAGGTTATGGCCGGGAGTGAAAGAGAAAGAGAACAGCAGGCAACAGCGACGAGATTCAAAGTGAGAGATATAGTGCCTGGGGGGAAAACATTAATCCTTAGTCTCCGTCCTGATACTGTTGGAAGGATAAATAGAGTTGTTTGTAGTATCTGGGCTCTTTGCCACAGGAGGCTTAAACCTCCGCTCCCAAGAACAACCTTATTCGGTACTACTTGGTGTTTTACTGAGGTCGCTCAGGCCTCGACCCTCTAGATGTGTAGCTGAAATGGCGCACATGGGCGCCTTGTGCATAATCAGTACTCAAGTATCCATGCAGCCCCGTAATAAGCCAATAGTCTGACCTGATTCACGCCTTAATTTACCAGGATGAAATTCCGTCGGTCCAACTGCTGCGCTGAGGCCGCGTGGATTCCAGCTACCAACGCCATCAAGTCGACATCGATTATTTCAGTAGCGGAGTAAACAAAGTGATGACCGAGGAATGCAGTTTTTCACTACGAAATATATCACTTGGCATCTTAATTTATATGGTTGGAAAATAAATTTCTTCACCAGCCAATTATATCGGCTCTAGTTCGCGCCGTCACCATAGCAGGTACTGGGGTAGAGCCCAGTCCCATGGCGCAGGCTATTGACGAGTTCCTGGAGGAAATGAAGGTTCGCGACCGTAAGAATCCATTCTATCAAGAGGTCCTGCTCTCGCGCTCTGTTTTAGCATTAGATAAATCATCAAATGGCGTGCAAATTTGTGCAGATGAACTGGAGTTTGTGAAGACTCTCGAGACACAAAAGAGGTCATCAAGGTCGATTAAGACCCTTGGGTCTCTGAGACCTTTCATAAATGGGCTCTCGGGCTTATTAGAGACATGCCAAGGCTTGTTGAATGCGACTCCATTCTCCATGGGTGTTGCATTCGTGGGAGCGAAGCTTGTCTTAGCTGTGAGTCCACCCATTCCCCTTCCCCTGTAAAAATATGCTGGAAGATTGACCATGATGATGGCTGGAGCTTATGGGGCTCGGAGCAAGACAGCCCGTCCAAAGATCTGCAATCTGGGTTTGATTACCGATCGAGGATTCGTGGATAGAGATAAGCGCTTCCGTGTTAACGTTCGAAGTGGTTTGAAGCGGACCAGAAAGGCAAACTTATCATGTGCTTAAGAATTTTTTTCTGCTTTCTGAAGATATCTACAGTCAATATTGATGGTTGATGAAATTCATCACATTGAATTATATCCATGTCTAACAGTAAGCGCGAAGATCATAAGTATCATGCAGTAATATATAGGTAACATCCCAGTATGCATCCCCAGGTTCACGGGTATAGATGGAAAGCTTTAATATCGGTTTAAAGAAAGCACAATGGCTCCTATATTAGACTTTCAAAGGCGTTCCAGAACCTATGCATCCATCTGCCTCCTCGAAATACCAGTGATGGGCGGCGAAAGCACCGATGGATGGAATACCAGTCCCAGTATTGCCATCCCAGTTGACCTCTCCTTGTAGAACCTGGACTTCGGAGGCCGAGACAGTCGCGTTATTAGGCGCAGTAATGTAATACTCCGGACTAATATGAACATAGCCCATAGCAAGCAATGGAAGCTTAGGAACAGGGTCATTGGTATGTGTGAAGCGATAGTTGTTTTCCTGGGCAGTGATAAATTTGGCCAGGGCGGAATTGGCAACTCGGGGCGCAGCATAGGCATATAAAGTAGCAGAGGGGTGTCCCTTTGTGCGAAGATCGGCAGCAGCAAGGGTGGCAACTGCGGCGCCTAGGCTGTGGCCGGTGACGACAAGTTCGTAGTCGTGGTTGGCGGCAATAGTCTCGTTCAGGACCTTGGAGATGGGATCGCGGACTGCGGTCCAGGAACTCCAGAATCCAAGCTCGGCAAAACATCCATCGCAAAGTTTTGGGTCTGTGTAGGGAAATTCGACATCGGCTATCCAGTTTCGGACGGAATAGGAGCCGCGAAAGGCTAGGACGACTGCTTTGTTGGTTTTGTCTACCGCAATATATCCCGCGGTATCTGTTGCAGTGGTGCTGTATCATTGATTCCAAGTTTAGAGAACTTCTTGAGGGTTCGGGCTCTTGATTCAACTTACTTGGAGAAATCGTAGATAATCTTGGCTCCTGTAGCCTCAACTTGTGGGCAGAGGTTATCTGAGCAAGATACACTTGCTCCTGTATTTGCGGTGTAGTCATCGAGGCAGTATGATGCAGCCGCATATTGGACCCAAAAGCTGAATTGTGACAGTTCATCGGAACCAACATCTAGATAGTAGAGCAGTCAGGATTGCTGGCTGGAAAACCACATGGGTGTGATAGGTAGTAGGTTCATACCTCGAGCCTGCAACTTGCCTGGGATAGCATGTCCCAAGGCAAGAGACGCAGAAAGAAGTGCCAAGAAAGAGGAGCGCATTTTTTCTTTTTTTGCTAAGGCTGTGATTCCGAAGATTGAAATTCAAGGTGCTTTGGATTCCGGAAGATATCTATGCGCCGAGGACTACATTATATACGCCTTCAGGTCCCGGGACCAAGCTCCACGGACATGCCGATATCTGCATCTTCGATGCCCCATCGTCATTGGAAACCCGCAATACATACCATGGTTCCATCCGAGGTCGTGGAGAGCACCTGAGGATATGTGAATTTCGCATTACTGCGCATAGATTTGACCCAGCTTCGCATATGCTGGCTTAGTATCTGCTATACCGGATTGGGTAAGGTAAATTACATATTGCCACCCATTGCGATAAATTGTGATACCTGTGATACTCTCGGGGCCATGCGCAATTCAGATGATCGATCGTCTGTTTGATACATTCGAACTTCGAGGGTCTACCTCGGGGGGGACTACCTCTTTTTGGTCCAACGTCCGACATGCCCAATAAAATTGCAATGTTAAATCTTTAAGGCCCATTGAGTTAGTCTTGGCGATGACAAGAGCCATGGATGACGCGGAACCCGACGGGCATCTGACTATTTCCGGAGTGTCGGATGCGGGTGGATGTGAGACAATGCCGATCGCGATCGCTGATCAGGCACGCAAGCTATCTTCGGCTGGGCGTTCATGCAGCGGTACTTTTGGTGAACCCAGTTTCGGAGCGGCAGATGGAGATTTCAGCTGCTGTCTGTATGGTTGAAATCACTGGAATGTACGGAAGCAACGTGGTTGATGGAATCGCACCAGACACGCCACTCAAACTTAAAATTCATGCAGGAACTATCCTGATTCATTTTGGCCAATCTGGAGTGTCGTAGTACGTGAGTTTAGGAGGAAGTCCAGTTTGACTTTGCATTTACCGATCGTTTTATGTTAACTCTACTTACTAAACCCAAACGCTGATATGGTAAATTGTTTCGTTCCATGATCTTCATCCAAGGTTGAACAAGGCCAAGTATACCGGACAGCCTCATACATACAGCGCATTCCGAGTATCAGGGACGGACCCACTCAGCAAACACGATCACAGGCATTTTACCAACTTATCTCACCCGAGGTCTACAACCATATGGAGTTTTAGGCATGAAACCATAATCTGCCCGAGTATCTTCCGGGGTTTTAGATTAAATTTGATACAAGGAGCGCCATACCTTCCAGGGTTGGCGTGGCGTTTTAATCCCGCAGCGTGGCTATCCCGTGGCGGGTCATCTTGCAGCTAGAGGGATTTGGAGATAGTAGGCCATATTCATACTCGATCTACAAAGCCACTGCTCAGAGGTGTTTTCCGAGGATATAACTCAACCATGAGATAAATATCTCGATATCTGTACTCCCTATGTAGAGAACAGATGAGAGGAATTTATCCATGTCATGCAATTTAATGGGCTAACGAGATTAAAACCTGCTGGCGTATGAATCTTTTTTTCTTTCTCTCACATCAAGCATCCTTCTTTGATGCTTGAGTGCAGGTCACTAAGCCCCACTCTAACTCGGCGGAAGCCCGGTGGAATGGACCTGTGACCTTGTTTTTGGCCGTTGGATTTGGTTTTCAGGCTATCAGCACTGGGGGATGCAAGGTGAGCCCCGCTCATAGCAGGCGTGCTAAGTTTGGTCGAATTGGAAGTTGGCTCGAGGGCAAACACTTCCACCATCCATTCGTACCAAACCTTGCGATCGTCAGTCTGACGGTACATGGTGGCAACAATTTCACCGTTATCGGGCACATTCAGAGGAGTCTATTGAAAAGAAAGTCAATAAAGAGCGAAATAAAACAATGATTCGGTTAAAGGGATTTAGCTCACTTTCAGTGGGAAGTAGATGGGGAACCAGCTGATCATACTGGCACTCTTCTCATCCATAGTAACGGGGTTTGTTGAGAGCTCCACATCACCGTACAGAACGGTCTCGAAGTATCCTGCCAGGCCATGGCATGCACCACGATTCTGAGCAGGGAAAGACAGACGTGTTTGCCGAACATTGTGGAAATTAGGAATTGTAGAGCTTGAAGGCGGCTGGACAGGTATGTTTCGATTGGGGTGAGAGAAAGACCATGCGGTTTGCACAAATGGAGTTGGAAATTCTGTGGCTGCCGTGATAGCGCCCGTGCCCATGCCTGAAGAACGATTAGCAGCATTTTGGTTTGCTGCCTCAGCATTCGCTGGCGAATCAGCGGTAGACAAGAAGTCGATGGCATGAAGCATCACAACATAAGGTGTCTCTGGGGCTGCCGGGTTGGAAACCGTCTGGTTCACGACGTCTGAGTGTAACTTTGGGGCAGAAATTGGTGTAAAATGGGCCGAGTATGACGCAGGGATAGAAATTCCATGGACCGGGTTGATGAGGTCGTTGATACCGTCCAAGCACTCCGGTGAAAGCTCATTGTCAGCGAAAGATCCAAGCAATTCCGAAACAACGATGTCGACATGCGTATATGAAAGCGCCGGGCCGTTCGAGTTGGGCAAGCCTGCTGGTCCGCCCAGGTCATTTTCTTCCTTCGTGGGCGTATACAGCAAAGAATCCTCAATTCCAAGGGATTCGCCCACATTTTTTTGGCTTTCCTCTGTCGCTTGCTTTCGTACCCGAGGGCCCTTCCAGCTTCGCATGTCCGATTGAACCAAGCTAACTTTGCCATCCCAGATAGTTTCGTTGTGGCGCTGGAGCAGAACGAACGCATTCTGGTTCTTCTCAACAGCCCAGAGATCAATTTCTACACCAGCCTCAGCACTAGCTTTTATAGCCCTGTTTACCAGAGGCCCTCGCCCAGCGCCCACGACTGCCAAAATGACCTTGCCCTCAGGATGAGACGTAGGCTTCTTCTGCTCTGCCCAGTCCTTGAGGGCCTTTGTAATAGCTCTTTCATACCATTCGTACTTGATGGGGTCTTTTTCAAAAACCTCGTACGTGATACTTTCCAGGTTGACAGTGAGTGGCTGTAGAGGAGCTTGAAGATAATCTTGGTACCCGGTGCCGAATCTTTCAATGGGGGTGCGGGGTGGCTGACGTTGCTGCAGGTTACGTATATATGAAAGATGAGGTGTTAGGTCAATGTGTTTTTTGTTTCCAACTGCGCCCTGTGACAGACTAGGGTAATCTGAGCCAGACAGTCGAGATGTCTCGGGGTCCTCTGGGCCATCTAAACCTGGAATTGGGTCAACGTTGCATAAAATAATCCATGGCGGGGTTCGAAGACGCATGAGCTTTGCGATGAGAGCTTGATGAGCTTTCGACAAGACTGGATATCCCTTCTGGTTTTTCAGAAATGAGGATGCATCAATGCTGAGCAAGTGCACGGGCTCTGAGTGCCATCGCGACTGAACGTAAAGAGGTGGGAGCTGTTTCGGCATCGCAAGGGCTTTTTTTTGCGGTAAGATACTGATTCAAATCGTAGATGATAGAAAAGATCACTCAACTTACCTACAAACAATCGCGTGTGATATTTACAGCTCTTGCGAATCAGATCCCAAGCGTCCCAAGTTCCAAAAAGGTCTACTTTAGGCATTACGCCATCATCGGGCTGCAGGAACTCCTCTCGGGCCAAGGGAGCTAAATCACCCATGGTGTCCACTTCAAGCTCAGGGTTGTCGACCATGGGGAACCAGATATGATATTGAATATACGGGCCCAGATTCAAGGCATCTTGAATAGCACGTGCATAGTAAACAACACCCTCTGAGTGTAAGCTCCCATGGTGAAGCTTGGGGCCTGGGACAAGTAAGTATCCGATGCCACAGAAAGCAGCATAGGCCACTTCCAGCATGAGAACCTGCCGAGAGAGATCTGCAATCAAGGGATCCGGGGAGCAAAGGTCAATCCAACTGCTAGTCACTCCAACAAGCTGGCTAGTTGCATCATTGGGTGTGAGGTTAGAGTCCGACTTTGATAGTGGTGGAATTGTCAAAGGTCTAGTATTCCGCGTAGTTGCCATAGTGCCAATAGAATCATAGGTAGGCGACTGAAGATTAGACAAGTAAGAAGACAGAAGACTTAGGACTCGAGAGTGAAAGTACTGTGTCGTGATAGAGACAGTCATCATATCATACTAGGGATAATTGTCAGTATCAATAATAACTCAATGTCGGCGAGACGATATAGTTGATGAAATGCGAAGAACTAACATTGCTTTCATGCACCCTGCGCACCACTTGAGGGGTCACGAACACTGAACGATTGTTCTCATGGTGACCGATACAGAATGTCGGCCCTGGATCCTCGGAAGCGCTGTAGCCTTCCATGTTGAAGTCTGGAACTTTTTTAGTGGCGTAGCCAAGGGAGGATGATCAGATCGGAGAACCGGGGGATATAAATATCCAGATCGAAAGAGGATTGCAATATGGCAATATTATCACCGTATATATGACTTTATAGTCTAATTCCGCCCGGATTGAAGGGCATTCAACAGCAGCAGAAAAGCACAGCAAAACTATTCCAGTCGTGGAGCAATCAACAATCGATCCCTTTGTGGGGAGCGGCAGTATAACTAGGGCGGTGAGCCCGATAAGGAAAGATCGTCGTATCACCTTCCTATCTGAGTTTTTTTATCGGCCGCCCGAGTTTTGCACTCTTCAACTCTCACGTTCTTCCATCAAACACCATGGCTGATCGTCGCTCAGATTCGCAAGAGGGTGCTCGGGCTAAGCGCCAAAAGATGGAAGCCGGAGACCCCAAGGACAATCCTTATCTGGCCCATATGTATGAGTGCAGCAATGGTGCCGACAAGAACTCGCCGCTAGCCAAATTCAAGCGTCACCAAACAACCGCCGCTCTGGCCAAGAAGGCGGAAGATGGCGACGTTAACCCCTTCAGTGGTCAGCCATTCTCCAGCAAATATGTCTCAATCTTGCAGGGTCGACGCGATCTCCCTGTGCATCAGCAACGGTATGTTTGAACCCATTATGCCGTGAAACTATGGATTGATATACTGATGTTTCTCGTTTTAGCGATGAGTTCCTACAGCTTTACCAGCAATCCCAAATCCTCGTTTTCGTTGGTGAGACTGGTTCCGGAAAGACCACTCAAATCCCGCAATTTGTTCTTTACGACGACCTCCCCCAGACACAGCGAAAGATGGTTGCTTGTACCCAGCCTCGTCGTGTAGCAGCTATGTCAGTCGCCCAACGTGTCGCCGCCGAAATGGATGTCAAACTTGGCGAGGAGGTCGGATACTCTATTCGTTTCGAGGATATGACTAGCCCAAAGACCGCCCTTAAGTACATGACCGACGGTATGCTTTTGCGTGAGGCCATGAACGACCACAACCTGTCGCGCTACAGCACAATTATTCTTGACGAGGCCCACGAAAGAACAATGGCAACCGATATCTTGATGGGTCTGTTGAAGGAAGTGGTCGGGCGTCGTCCAGACTTGAAGATCATTATCATGTCTGCTACTTTGGATGCGCAGAAGTTCCAGCGTTATTTCATGGATGCGCCTCTTCTGGCAGTTCCTGGACGTACTCACCCCGTCGAAGTTTTCTATACCCCCGAGCCAGAGCAAGATTACGTTGAGGCCGCAATTCGAACCGTTCTCCAGATCCACGCCACCGAAGATGAAGGAGATATTCTCGTTTTCCTGACTGGTGAGGAAGAGATTGAAGATGCTTGTCGTAAAATCTCCCTCGAGGCCGATGAGATGGCGAGGGAGGCTGATGCCGGTCCCCTTAGGACATACCCCCTGTACGGAAGTCTGCCTCCGCATATGCAGCAACGTATCTTTGACCCTGCGCCACCAGCTCGCCGCCCCGGAGGCCGCCCCGGCCGAAAGGTGATTGTGTCAACGAACATCGCGGAAACATCTTTGACCATTGATGGTATTGTGTACGTCGTGGATCCCGGATTCTCTAAGCAGAAAATCTACAATCCTCGTATTCGTGTCGAGTCTTTGTTGGTCTCTCCGATCTCCAAAGCATCAGCCCAACAGAGAGCCGGTCGTGCTGGTCGTACGCGACCCGGAAAATGCTTCCGTCTCTATACTGAGGACGCCTTTAAGAAGGAGTTGATCGAGTCGACATATCCCGAAATTCTTCGATCCAATTTATCATCGACTGTTCTCGAGTTGAAGAAGCTGGGTATTGATGATCTTGTCCACTTCGACTTGATGGATCCACCTGCCCCAGAGACACTCATGCGTGCTCTGGAGGAACTCAACTATCTGGCCTGTTTGGATGACGATGGAAATCTCACTCAGCTGGGCCGCCTGGCTTCTGAATTCCCATTGGATCCAGCACTCGCTGTAATGTTGATTAGCTCTCCCGAATTTTATTGCTCTAATGAGATGCTTTCTATTGTCTCTCTGCTTTCGGTCCCACAAGTGTTCGTTCGCCCTGCATCCCAACGAAAGCGTGCAGACGAGATGAAGAACCTGTTTGCTCACCCAGATGGTGATCATCTGACTATGCTGAACGTCTACCACGCATTTAAGGGTGCCGATGCCCAAGAGAACCTTAAGCAATGGTGTCACGATCATTTCCTGTCTCTGCGCTCTCTCCAATCAGCCGATAATGTTCGCAAGCAACTTCTTCGTATCATGGAGCGTGAAGAACTTGAAATGGTATCCACCCCCTTCGAGGATAAGAAGTACTACCCCAATATTTGCCGTGCTCTCTGCGCTGGCTTCTTCATGCAGATTGCCAAAAAGGAGGCCCAAGGCAAGAGTGTTTACTCAACTATCAAGGATAACCAAAGCGTGCTACTGCATCCATCTACTGTATTGGCCCACGAGGCAGAGTGGGTACTGTACCACGAATTTGTCCTCACTACCAAAAACTACATCCGTACCGTGACTGCAGTGAAGCCCGAGTGGCTCTTGGTATGTTTACCCGTCTTGATCTTTCTTTAAAAAAAATCCGCGCAACTGCTAACCAGAATACAGGATATCGCCCCCACGTACTACGATATCCCAACCTTCCCCAAGGGTGAAATTCGCTCTGCTCTTATGCGTGCTGCCGATCGTCTCTCCCGCAAGGAGAAGCTGCGCAGTGACAAGCGCCGCTAAACAGGCCCGCTGGCACAGACCTTTCAACGACTTGATATTTGTTAGATTTCCCACTTTCGATTGAATTATGAAGATGCAATTATAAAATAGACCCCGTCTTTGTTGACCCATTTTTATGTCTCCGTTCCTTTCACCAATATCCCCCAAGATAAAGTATTTTCTCTATCTCATAGTAAACCTTGGATATCCCATTCTTTATGTGAAACATGATGTGGCTCTTCATTCTTTGGCCTGTCAGAATACCCGACTGTGCTTTGGCCGGATGGAGAGCCTCAGGCTGCATATTTGGAATCAAATATCAAGCGTTTGTACATAATGATTTTTGTGCTGTGCTCACGAGCGTGAGCTAGCCTAATCTTTGAGTGTTTTTTTTTCACTCTAGAACTCTCTCTGAATACACGTTTAAATGCTGGTTCAATTAAATTTAAAAGGTTTGAATTGGACGAATTGAACTGTTTCTGTAACGACTGACGTGCCTGACGGCTTCAACATCCCATACTATCTTTAGGGTTCACCCCCTTATACAAAAGGCTCGCAGAGCTTATATAAAATCATCTTGACAACTTCAAACTATACAAATCTTGATCTAAAAACCAAGACTCCATCCAGCCATCTATTCTCTAGTATGAACCAGGACTCCATTAACCCACACAAACTTTACATTGCGATCATCACCGCTCCACATCCACTTCTGGACCTGTTCCTGCCAGGTCTCATTTCCAAACAGATCAACGTTTCCAATGGGACCGGGCCCATCAACATAGCCTCGGCGAGAGATAGACTTAACTGGAGTGGCGTCAAGGGGGCTTGTGGTGCTATTCTGCACGGTACCAAGCTCAATCAGCTGCGCATCCCAGATCATTCCCTGGTCAAAACCGCCAATATCATTGGGCATATCGACGACCGATGCACCACCCCGGGTAGCTAGGTACAAGCTGTCCTCGACGGAAAGTTTCTCAGTTCCGTTGGTTGACTTGTTGCCAGTCATATCCTGATACTCGGAGCTAAACTGAAGGAGTCTGGACACTAAGCAGGCCTGTCGGCACACTTCGAGAATGCTGGGGCTATATCCGCCGCTAACATCTGTGCCCAGGCCAACATCGAGACCATCATCAAGCAAGATGCGAACGGGAGCCAGTCCCGAGCCGAGGGCGGAGTTAGATGCTGGGCAGTGCGCAACCTTTGAGCCACGCTCGCGGATGATAGTGCGTTCGTCTTTGGTAAGATGAACACCGTGGGCAAGGATGGTGCGGTTGGTCAAAAGTCCAGCTTTGTCGTAGACATCAGCGTAGCTGGAGGATTCGGGGAACAGCTGTTGAACGAGGGCGACCTCATCAATGCTCTCGGAGATGTGTGTCTGGATGTACAGGGGTGGGTCGTAGGATGCAGCGAGCTTGCCAAGACCATCGAGGGACGCATTCGAGCAGCTTGGCGCGAATCGAGGGGTGACAATAGGGTTGATCAGCTTTCCTTTGGGATCTAGCTTCTGAATGTAGTCGATAGTTCTGATTGTTGCGTTGAATCCCTGTTCGGCGGATTGATCTACGTAGTAAGATGGGCATTGATCATGGTTATCCATGCAGACACGACCAATGAAAGCACGCTGGCCGTGAATCTGGCAGAGCTTGGCAAGGGCATTAGTGGCCGGTACATGGATTGTGGCGAAGTAAGAAGCGGTGGTAGTTCCGTGAGCAAGAGTGCGAGCCACGACTTCATCATAAACACGGAGACCCTCGGGAGTGGTCTTTTTAGGGTCGGTCTGTTGATTCTTTGGATCGGACGGGGATCCAAAGCTAGCCTCCATGGGAAATGTATACTCATTTAGCCAGTCCAAGAGGCCAGATGACCCAAATAGACCAATGTTGGGGAATTGGGGCGCATGGATATGGGAATCTAGTATATGGTCAGAACTTCAAGTTCAAGGAACAAATTCCTGGCAAACATAGATATGTATTTACCGATAAATCCAGGGAAGAAGAATTCGTTTCGCTCATCATCAGACTGCATAACCTGGACTTTGGTACCTTTGCCAGTCTTGGAATTGGCATCAGACCAACCGTGGCTAGACAAGAAGGATTGGAAGCTAGCATCATCGGTGACCTGCCAGTTCGATCCTTTGATCCTGCCATCGGAGGACGAGACCCACATCACACCTTGATTCCGAACGAGCTCAGGCGTTCCCGAGCTCGATTCGAGGCGGGGAAGATGAATGAAAGTACCACGATACACCGTGTATGGGTATGCCAAGGCCACGGCGCCGCAGGCATTGAGCGCTGCAAGGCATAACCACAGAGCCGGCAATGCCCTAGAGAACCTGGAAGAACTCGAAAACAACATTCTGATGAAATTCACTGCAGACAGACGCTCGCTACTTCGATGACTGCTCTGATCTCTACATCGTGTCGAGGATATCGCTGATTGATATATGCTGATTTTGGCGTCGGAAATGAAGGGTCATCATCGTGATAGCAGCGCAGGAACTGGTAATGCACAGCGAAGTTTGAAGGCTGTACTTGCTCGATTAGAACACGGTCTACGCCGTTATCTTGAATAATTGGCGATCTCTTGACTTAATGTACGATAGCAAGATTGCAGGACCAACAAGGCTAGACTGTCACGAGAATTCTTGGCTCGGGGTTCGGCTGGTTCCGATGGATTCAAGTTGTTTCATACGAGATACCAGTCTGACAAAATGACAACAGGACTGATGGACAATGAGTGCAGATACAAGCAGGTTTACGGTAAATTATCGTCAGGAGGGTAACCAATGAGCGGATCGATGAACTGTGCGAGACGATGGACAGATCAAGGAAGATGAGATGTAGATCCGAACCCTAACCTACATTATTGAACTGATCGACATTGTGTTCCTAAAAGGACATCATTCCCAAAGAGTAGAAGTATAAACTCATCATCCAAGACCGGACCCGCCCGCTAGCTAACATTTGTACCCAATTTGTCTCTCTTGTGGCCAAGAGGATAGTCCGGGGTATAACGTGGAGGTGGGGAATGGAGTGAATCAACCATGTACATTTTAACTTAAGGTTGGGGCTACAAGCCATCCTGGTACTAATCAATTCTTGAAAACCTCAGAAGAAGAGAACGAAAGAACATTCTCCGAAGATTTATAATACAATTGAGCCAAAATAACTAGTGCTCGGTGTACAGTCGGTAGCCGATCCTCAACGTGGTAACGTAAATGCGATTTCTGGACTCTTCGCAGACCCATGGAGTGGCATGGACTCCCATGAAAATAGCTCGGCAGAAGAAAGGAGGCGCTCAACTCTCTAGCCTTAGCCTCGCTTCCATAAGTTACTTCTGCCACAATTCTCGTCCGGGGTACCCCAATCCCAATGTTGTAGCCGCATTGACCTGTGGCTGGGACCCAAGAAAACCCCAGAGGCAACGGATATTAGACAGAACCCGAGAATCTGTGCGGATCCACTAATTTCCCCAGTTTCCACTCCCCGCGCCTAGAACACCCGAGATTTGGAGATGTCCCCTGAACTCAGATCGAGAGAAATAATGGCATTCTTCATGGGCTCGCGAGATTCGAATGTTTCATGAGACACATATCGGAGAATCAAGAAGATAAAACGGACTTCGCCTGACAAATCATTGCTCATATCACACACATATCCTTGTAGGTTTTGCTTTTGAGCACATTAGGGAGGGGCAAAGCCAAAGCATCTGTTCAAAAGAGCGCCCAAATCCGGATGCCGCCGTGGCCCGCGAGTCGAGTATGAAGATGGCTTGTTAACTACGGGGCGGTGTTGAGGAAAGACCAGTGTGGAGGGGAACTACATAATACTATATAGAATCTAGTGATCTACTCATATCTCAAAGATTTGATTTTCATCTCCACTTTTCTAATCCATTCACTTTTATCTTCTCCTCGCTTTTATTTTTTTTGAAGGCTCCAACAATGGGCTTAAAACCATATTTTGGCCTTCGTGGCAACGCAATCCTCAGAGCAGCGACCTTCCTAGTCGTCTGTCCAACCTTTACCTGTTATGGTTACAACATGAGTGTAGCTGGAGGTCTTTTGACCCTTCCAGCTTTTAACGACCAGTTCCCTCGTATGGATACATTCAACACATCGGGGGCTTTAGAAAAGGAGAACTCTACAATTCAAGGTGGGTCGAAGCCAATATGATAACTTTAAGATTTTCTTAATATCTATATGATATTTTATCTAACATACGAGGATTCAACAGGCACTGTTATTGCTCTTTACACTGTCGGTGGTATCTTTGGAGCCTTGTCATGCGTCTATCTCGGTGATCTCCTCGGCCGCAAGAAGGTCATCTTCTGGACCAACTTAATAACAATTATCGGTTGTATTTTAATGGGAACCTCATTCGACTTTGCGCAGTTCATTGTCGCCAGATTGATTCTCGGTTTAGGAATTGGAGGATATGTGGCTACAGTGCCAGTTTGGCAGTCCGAGATCACATCAGCCGAGAAACGTGGCTCAAATGTCGTTACAGATGGCATTTTCGTCGGTGCTGGTGTTACCATCGCTCTTTGGATTGATCTCGGATTCTTCTTCGTCAAGGATAGCTCTGTCGCTTGGCGCTTTCCTCTAATTTTCCCCGCTGTACTCTGTGCTATTGCCATGGCGGCCATCCCATTCCTCCCAGAATCGCCTCGTTGGTTGATCAAAATGGGACGCATCGAAGAGGCCCGAATGGTCATGTCGGCTCTACTCAACGTTGAGCCTGACTCTGAGATGATCACTGAGAGCATTCATCAAGTTGAGTCCACTCTTGCCGTCTGCGGAAACACAAACTGGACCGCTATGTTCACGAATGGAGAGCAGCGTCTCTTCCATCGTGCCTATCTTGCTGCCACCGGCCAACTTTTCCAACAAATGTGTGGTGTCAATCTTATTACATACTATGCGACCAGTATCTTCCAGGTAAGCTCAGCCCATCATTCAGTTCGCTTGTCCAATGTTGGACGGCGTGCCCTCCAGGACCATCGTTCACTAACAACGATCTAGCAATACCTTCACATGGACGCTGTGAAATCCCGCATCCTCGCCGCAGCCATGGGTCTCATGCAGCCTTTGGGTGGTTACCTAGCCTACTACACCATCGATAGCCTCGGTCGTCGACCCCTTATGCTCTGGTGTGCAGGAGCTATGTCAATTTGTATGGCCGTCCTAGCTGGCTGTACATCCAAGTCGGCAGAAAACAACACCGCAGCGCTAGTCGTCGCTGTCGTCGCCCTTTACGCCTTCCAATTCATTTTCACTGCCGGATACTCAGGTTTGACCTTCTTGTATGCAGCTGAGATGGCCCCTCTGCAAGTTCGTGCTGCCGTCAGTGCCGTCTCCACAGCCACGGTGTGGGTTTTCAACTTCCTGCTCGCAGAAGTTACCCCTGTCGGGTTTTCATCCATTGGAAGCAATTATTACATTATCTTTGCGGTGATCAATGCCATCATTGTTCCGTCAGTCTACTTCTTCTTCCCCGAGACCAAGGGACGCTCCCTTGAGGAGATCGATGAGATCTTTGCTCAGTCGAAGAGCATCTTTGACCCTCCACGGGTGGCGCGTCGGATGCAGACTATTCAGGCTGTCAGGCCTGATTCGTCGGAGAATGGCAATGATACCGATCATTACAAGGAGGATGTCAAGGTTTAAAACCGGTTCATTGATTTCTCTCGTGATCCATGATATTGCAAGTTGCCAGTGGTATGGAGGACGTTCGTTGTGCAAATGTTGAGACGAGTAACCCTAGCTAGGGTGGATTTGAGAAGCTGTCATCTGAGTTGCAGCGGTCAGCTAGGGCATGCAAAGCAGAGCTAAACATTATTGCTTCTTAATTCCCATATTGTAAGCCAACCTGAATCGAAGGACTCAATTTCGAGTTCCCATATTTCACCCTAATCGTAGCGTCAGAAGCCCTCTAGCTCATCCAATAAGAGACAACGAATTCTAGCTAGCTTAATCACAGATCAATGCAGTAATCACTCTAGCATTTATATCAAGAAAAATGCCTCGTGGAAGTAATATATCCCTTCTATTGGTATTGAAACATGCTCTGCCCAGAGTAAAAAGGCAAGTTTATCGTAATGTACAAAATTGAAAAAGAAAAGTCCCAAGCGCCAAAAATATGATTTTAAACAGGAAGATCACTAGAGACGATTCTCGTATGTCGAGGAGCGAACATTGCCCCGTTTCTCACTGGATATTACAGAGGACGCATGAATGTTTTTCCAATGTCGACCTTTTTTATCATGGGCTTTTTCCGAAGCGGCCTTGTGGAATCGAACGCTTCGTGGAGCTGAAAAGGTTTCTTGGGGTTTGGGGGCAAGATCGGAGGTAGGAGGGGTGGATGCATCGGGGTTCAGGGTGTGTTCTTCATGCTCTTGGTCTGAGGGAGAATATGAATCGTCTTGCTTGAACGAATCCTTAATGTGATGCCTGCGTAATTCAAAGACAAGTTCTCGAAGCTCAGCTACTTCCGTCTTCAAGACAGAGACTTCGCTGCGTGCATCCGGGGATTGTGTCGGTTCGGAAGAATTGGAGGCAAGACCAGCCCGCAAGGCACTATGCGCATGGCGTGCAGCGTGGGTAACAAATTGTTGGGTTCGCGAGTCATCATGTGTCATCTCAAGATGGTGCAGGCGGTTACCAAACGTGTGGGCAAAGTCTGAGCATTTCTGCCATTGAGGACGACGGGCGTTCTTCTTGGGCGCTGACTTGGCAGCCTCTGACCACCGGGCGAACCTACTGTCCGTTACAGGTGTGACATCTTCTTGTAATGATGCTATGGAAGGGTGGAAACCACTGTTCATAGCCTCAGATATCAAGGCGCCTGATACATCTTTGCGGCCACATGAATCGCAGAGATGAGACATGAGCACTATCAAACGCTCAATGTGTTGACCATCTAGGCCTGTTGATGATACGAGGAAAGTGATCGCTCTTTTCAATGCCGCAGAGCCTTTCTCCCAGTCTTGCCTGATGCTGTAGAACTTGATATAAGAGAACAACGTTGCGAAGTTGTCAAAGAATCCAACACGCCTTGCCGCCTGAAGCCACGCATCAGCTCGATCTGGCTGGTTGAAGCGCAACGCGCAGATTATTAATTCGGAATAAATGAGGACGTTATTGCTGTCGATCGGCGGGACAACCACCTCCAGCCCGTTGAATTTTCGGCGAGCATAGGGTGCAAGTGAGCCTAGATTTGCTGACCAGCCTTCCCCAGTAAGCATTTGGAGGAAAAGGTCGAAGTCCTTGAGATTCTTCGACTTGCGGTAGAAGCTCAAAATGGTCATTACCATCGAGGCACTCAAGTGGAAACGATGCGGCAGGATTGTTCGTAGCAGCAATTCATTGATGTCGTTTTGACGAGTTTGAGCGAAAGCAATGATAATGGCCCTAAATGCCCTGGTACGATCGGGATCCACCGAACTCAGCAGGTTCTCGGAGATTCGCAAAATGATTTCCTCTAGAGACATCTGGTTGCTCGTGTATAATTGTAAATCCTGCTCGATTTCAGTATCGAGGGCCCGACTCTTTTCCTCCAAGCCTTCAGCACCCATGCTGGTAATATCTTCTACTATGTCACGGTATAGTGAATCTTCGGAAGTTCGGAGTTTCGTAATGCGGCGGCGAATAACGTTCAATTCTTCGAGCATGTTTGGTACGTTAATCTGAGGAACTTCGAAATCGCGAGTGTAGTTCATCTGAAGGCCAGAGTAGCGATGGGCAATTGTCGGTCGGAGAAGTAGGCGAATTGCAAATTGTCTCAGCGCCAATTTTTGTATGGCCTTGATGCGCATAGGATCTTCTAGAGCCCAGCTCGGTAAAAATTCATGTCTAGCTTGCATGTCCTCGATGTCTACCTCCTCCTCAAACCTGGCATCGTAACCATCTTGCTCCTCAGGCCAGTTAGGGGTCTCAATATCATCCTCGAGCTGAAATTTCTCCATTATCTGTGTGTTCGTACTATTTCCCATCCTCCGATCAGTGTGCAAGGACCTTGTTGGCTGCTTCGATATGGTTCGCTGGCGAGTCGCGGAAGAGGAGTTCAATGGAATGCTTCCCAGCGCCCCATCATACAATAATCGCTCGAGTCCTCGTGACTTCCTCCGCGATTGTAAAGATTCGAGCAACCGTTGTTCTTCGTCCACTAGTTCATTCACTTCGGCCTTTACAGCCGCAATCTTCTCTTCCCAATCATGGCGGCGTTGTGCCTTGGCTCTGGCGTCCGCGAGGGCAGCTGCGGCAAATATGCTAGTATATAGTGCTGTAAACGAATTTCCTATGCGAAGGCGTCTCTTGCTCGCGGCTGCGGCTGATCTCGAGGTAACGCCATTGGCAGTCGTGCTCAAACACGAGACGCAATGACAGGTCGACTGCGACGCCGACGCAGCTCGGGACCACAAACCCTGCATTGTCAAATCATATCTTGGGGTCTCGGTAATTGAAAGTATGAAGAAGAATGCCGTGGACTCCCGCGGAGTCCGATAATTAGACTGGCGAAACAGGAATGAACATACGATACGGGTGGTGAAATTATTCGGAGAACGCAAATCTGCCGGTGCAAACACTGCAAACATACATAGCTGGCCCGCTTGCATGCATCTCTTGGGGCCCCGAGATCTTGAAACGCCCCGTGTTCTTTCTTTCTTATATTGTTATTCTTTATATCATGGTTATCCGTTTAATTTTTGTTTTTGCTGGGGTGCTCGCTCTGGGAAGCGGCCTCGTAAGCGCTCATGGCTCACACTCAAGTGACCAACCTCCGTCGGACGATTGGGCCACGAGACACATGATGGGTTAGTAGATTCAACCACAACAATGCTGGCCTTACAATCGCTAACTTGTCGTGCAGAGGAGCATCATATCGAAGGCTTTGACGCTTCTTCCTTTTTTACACTGCACGATTACGATTCCTCCGGCTCGTGGACTACCGACGAGGTGCGCAAGACATACGGCATCGACGACGAGACCAACCAAGGAAAAAGCGAAGGCCAAAAGTCAGATGCTGTTCGACAGGTTTTCAACCTGTTTGATACTGAAAACACCGGTTTCATTACCCGGGATAATTGGTTGAAAGGAATTGCCGCTGGCACTCGGTTACCCGATCTTGGATTCGGCCCCGGACACCACGGTGACATTGAGTACGAGTACGAGATTCATCACTTCGAGAAATATCACGGCGATGATGCTACGGAGGAAGAGTTGAACCATCCGGAAGACATCGAGCATTTTCGCCAGCATGATGAATTGGAGCGTGCTCAGATGCGCCTCGACCAATTGGAGCAAATGGCAGTTGTTGTGAGCAATATTCCCTCGAAATTTCGGCGCAATTAGACATCTCGATTGATTTGATTGCTTTTATTTGATGTATATATGAATGAACAGAACATATTTGCTTTTGATTGCATGTATTTTATTGGTAGGTCTTACATCTTGTTCCTCCAGTTATATCAGCTAATATACTGGTAGGCTTGACGGCTGTACACTAAATTCTAAAAACATTCTTTGAACCCACCAATAATGCCTTCGGATTTAATTGATTTGGCTTCTACTCTGTGTTTATGGATACTTTCTTCCAATGTTCTCTCAAATATGGAAGAGATTTATTAAAGGCTTTTATATCTTTCTTTTGGCTATTTGAAATTGGACAGTTTCCTGCAAAATTCAACGATATCACATCATGAACTGCCCTACATAAGACCTTGGGAGCCCCATGGTTCGTGGTATGGGGCTTCAGCTGATCCTCATTATATTGAATTAAGTCATTGCTTTATATTTCAAACTCAAGTATAAGTTGTTATTGCGAAGTATGTGTCACCTAGACATATCATCGGAAAGCGGAAAGTTCAATTGTACCCGATACTCATGACAAAGCAATATCGAATACGCAGTGCATAACCCCAGGGGCATATGTCTTCACACGTTCCACATGGCAGCATTCCACACGAGGATTTTCCAGGGTGCTGTTTTGATGGTGAGCGTTACTTCGGAGATCTCCCAGCTCAGCCATTATCGCCTCCTTTTTTTCTTCGATCTCTTGCACAGCAACGTTTTCATGTACGTGCAGCCAACCTCCCTGTTGCGAGTCAAGCACTCGACACGCATTATCCCAAGATGGCTGAGACGATGGAAGAAGCCCCAAATTAACATGTCGAACTGGTCGCCACGTCTCCGAGTTTTGCATTCTATATTGAATTTCTCCCAGAATATCCGCTGCAAAGCGGTTGTCTCCATGGAACACCACGGCCCTATCAGAGTCCGTAAGGGTATCCACTAAATCTTCGACTGATGTCTCCAGTTGACCATTTTCCAAAATTCGAACAACCCTGCAACCCCATTTATTTGCTTCACATCCTCGCCGTAAACCCTCCACTGACCAGCCATTCAGCTCCCATCCCCACACACGCTTGACGCCTCTCTTTAGATAAGAAAAAACGAAATAACCAATCCCAGCATACATATCAACGACACTTATATCCGCCAATAATTGACCCTGCAAAGAAGACTTGTCCAGTCCCTGGAACTTGCCTTCGAACGGACCTTGCCCTAGGATACGTGCCTTTTCCGAGACATTTCCTCGTGAGAACATTGTGTATAATGGTGCCCATATTTGAACTATGCCATGATTTTGTATTGTTCGTACCCAAAAAGCAGCTTTGAGATCTTCAGCACTCGGCTGCGCATGCTCGTCGCCCAGATTTGAGGCTGAGTTTGGAACCTGAAAGTCACCATAGAGGGGAATAAGGCCCGCGGGACTGCGCATGCGATTCTCACTCCCTTTATTGTTCGTCAAAGTAATAGGAGCGTTCATTGCAATGTGCGTGGCGCTTAGTCGCTTGAAACTTTTGGCCATCGATGCATACAATGATTCTCGTTGCTGTGATGATAACGCCGCATTAAATGTGCCCCATTCTGGGGGTGCGCTGAAGACATTCGCTGGAAGAAGTGCGAGAGGCTCGTATATCGTAAATCGTTTGGGCAGAGCATCTTTTAGTGTTTCGGTGTTTATGTCAAGACTTGCAAGGAGAGCTTGTGATTCTGGCGAGTCTAAGAATTCTTTGATGCCCGCTTGCAGCGCATGTAACTTTGGGGGCGCTTCTTTCCCGCGTCTTTCTGGTCTCATAGTACCGACTTTTCGATCCCGTTGGCTCATCTTGAGCTCATTGATGATGAGTTCTTGAATTCTTGTTTCGATTAAATTCTGGTGACTCTGTCTTATCTTCGCTATGAGCTTTCGCGTATTAGACGTATATAGTACAAGTCAATGGCATGAGCACTTTGAGCCTATAGCGCACTTTATTCCAGTTGTGATCTTCGGTCAATTATATTGTTGCCCGGCTCAACGTGTGCGTTGAGATATTTCATGGTGCCTCAGGCCTCCATAGCTCTCAATGCCGTCACGTGGCTGACACGTGGTGACCTCTTGTTTCTTTTCAAGTATAAAATGCCTTCGAAAAAAAAAGGTAGATATTAGTCAGGCTTGCAATAATACTGCAATATCTCCATCCTTTTGAATGTCTCTCCATATTGAACGGTTGTCATCTTCACAAGCTTCAAGAAGCAAATGATATATCACCTACTATATAGGCTCCAAAGTCCAACTTGTTTAATGCACACAAATACGTGGAACATTGGCAAGCTTGTATAGGTAAAATCTACGACCCCTTTAACGGAGACGTCAAAATCTATTTACCGTACTGCCTGGGCAATCTTTGGAGATTCTCTGCTGAAGCGGACCTGATTCTACCCCGACGGTATTTGCTTGACTAATGGTTAATCTTGGAGGTCTCCCCCACGCTACGTAAGCATTATGAATCACCAGCCGTTACGACGTACTCATATGGCAGGTACAAGAGAGTGGAGCTACATATATTTCATCCAAGGTTGAGGTCGTAGCATGTTTCCGGGGTGCCTACCTATTAAAGATAATTTGATGTGTACATGGTGCTCTGTCCGGCACTGACTCGGCGTCATAATAGAGATGGCAGATACGGGTTGGGCGCAAGTTTATTTGAGCCTCAATGCGGCGTTTAGAGATCTCTTAAATTGTATTTTTCATTTCGAACAAAAAAAAAGAATAAAATAAATGAAATTAAGGATTGACAATTACCTTATTTCAAGAAGTATGGGGTAGACATGAAGAATGTCGGCCATCACGGTCCTTAATCATAGACCATGATTGGGCATCAACATGGCCGTAGTGGATCAATCGGCCTCCTCGGCGGACGCGGCGAACGATGAGCCAGTGAGCGTCGAGAAAATTACATAACTCTCGATGTGATTACATAAAATCACAAAACGGAAATCTCTGCCCGGCTGACTGACCATCTCTCAGCCAATCACAGCCTACGATGTTACGTTTCGGCGGTGCAACAGACCCTGCAGGAAGGCCAAGATTGTCTCATTCTTGCCTAATAACCGGCCCCACAATTTTTCTTTCACAAAAATAATGAACCCTCGCTTACGAGGGTCCGCCACCCATATGGAACAGATCACCCATATGGAACATTTTTTCTAAATCTTACCACAACCACTATTATCATCTACCACACCACCAACAATGCCTAAAACCAATAAAGATATAGAGAACCAGATTCAGCTGGCAATAGAGTCTCTCTCTGAGCAATCTAAGCCTAATATTAGGAAGACTGCGCGAGAATTCGCGGTTCCTGAAGGCCGTCTTCGTCGGCGCTGGCAAGGTGGAAAATCGCTTTTCCAACGACAACCTAATGGCCGGAAGCTTAGTATTGCACAGGAGAAGGCTTTATGTGAATATATTGATTATTTTGATGCGGTCGGAGCATCAATAAATCGCCGTCAAATTGCTATTGCTGCCGATTCAATTCTGGAAGAAGATCATACCGACACCACCACAGATCCCCCACAAATTGGCGACCATTGGCTAAAGCGTTTTCTTAAACGGTATCCTGAGTACTATATACGACGTCGGCGAGCTCTTGATGTTGAAAGAGCTACTGCACTGGATAAATCCGTTATAGAGAGATGGTTTCAAGACTATCAACGTATAGTGGCTAAATATGGCATCTGTCAACAAGATATCTACAATTTTGACGAAACTGGCTTCCAAATTGGCGTCGGTCGCGATCAATTTATTATCACAAGACATCCAAAAAAGAAGCTATTTAATGGCTCAGTTACCAATCGCGAGTCTGTCACTGTTTTAGAGGCTGTTTCGGCTGATGGCTTTACATGCCCACCGCTGATTATTCTAAGCGCTAAACAAGCATTACTACGTTGGTTTGATAAAATTGAAGACGACGAGCATCTTGCTATAACTGATACTGGCTATATCAATGATACATTAGCATATCAATGGATTCAGCTGTTTCATAAATGGACAATTTCTCGTACCATTGGGAAAAAGAGGCTAGTTTTATGCGATCGTTTTGGATCACATTTAACGCGTCAATTTGTTGAATTTTGTGAGAAGAATGATATCATTCTATTCTTCTTACTCTCACATACTAGCCATATACTACAACCTCTCGATGTTGGAGTGTTTAGTGTATATAAACACTGGCATAGTGAGGCAGTTGAGGCGGCTACAATGACTGGATGCCGTAAATTTTCAAAGGATGAATTCCTACATTCAATCAGTGAAATCAGACGCAAAACCTTCCGGCCACATACAATCAAGCTTGGGTTTAGATTAACTGGCCTTTGGCCAATTAATTCTAAGCTTATTACCGATGAATTGGATTCGTACGATCCATATTATGATAATATATCCCGGGAAGATACACCATCAGTTAACTCACAAAATACTGAGTTTAGCACCCCAAAAACCGCTGAGAGAGTTCGAAGAATTAGCGATCGTATTAATCAATATGATCCTACTACTCAACGTTTTAAAGAAGGGCTAGCAAAGCTTGTAAAGGGTGCTGAGACTCAGGCAATGTTGGCTGTCCAACTGCAACGGGAATTCGATTCTACACAAGCTATTATGGGAGCACGTCACGCTAGATATGATGCTTCTCGCCGTTATACGCAAATCACTGGTATTATCAATTCAAGCCAGATCAAAGAAATGAAGCTAAAAGAATATAAATTGACTGAAAAAGCCGATCAAGAAAAGACGAAGCGGAAGTGGAAGAAGATATTGGTTGAAATTAGGAAGCATGGAAGAGCCAAAAAACGCCGGGGAAATTAACTTGATTTTGTATTCTAATATTAAAATGGCTGATTGATTTGTTTATTATTTTTAGTTAATTAATTAACTATATGGTGGTGTGGTAAATAGTAGTTGTAGTACGATTTAGCAAAAATGTTCCATATGGGTGATCTGTTCCATATGGGTGGCGGACCCTCGTAAGCGAGGGTTCATTATTTTTGTGAAAGAAAAATTGTGGGGCCGGTTAGTGCCTGTGCCCCTGAAACTCAATCGCCATGGTTGTAGAATATCTACCCCAATCTGAGAAGGAGGAGGTCGATCATCCGCATCTAGAGCCGGCTATCTCGTCTTTCGCTGGCCGATTAGGTGGAAACCAGGATTTTGTGCTGGACCGAAATGATCCTAAGAATGTGGCCTTGCTGGAAAAGGTGCCCGATGCGGCTCCATGCATGACGTTCGCCGAGATCTTCGATCTAAAGGGCTTCTATAGTCCAGATCTATGGAAATTTGCTATGCTGGAATGCGTTGGTAAGGACCCGCCTACTTCCTGTGGAAGAATCGTCCCAAATTGGACTTGTGTGCTTGGCTAACGCAATTTTTTTCTGGTCTTCTATAGCAAGCTTGATGAACGTCTTTATCTCTTGTTGGGTCACTACGCATCCTCTCGCGGCTACCAGTTACCCCACGGCTGGAGCAGGCATCTATGCCACTGTCACCTTCTTCTCCCCGCTATTCGGAGGCATTACCAATCTCCTCTTGACTCCGCTGCTGATCTATACCTTTGGTGCATCAAGTGGAGGCCATATTAGTCCGACTATCACGCTGGCGTGTTTCTTTGCCCGCATTATCTCTTTCCCGCGTACGATTTTATACCTCGCTGGGCAGACGCTGGGCGGTGCTCTTGCGGGTTTGGCACTTAACACAGCCTACGGCAATCGGGATTTCACCGTAGGAGGATGCCACATTGATACCAACTTTGTGCCAGCCAAGGATGGCTTGGTCATTGAGTTCATGGCGTGTCTGGTTCTGATTTTCCTTGCCTTCGGCGTCGCCCTTGATCCACGACAGGCAAAGGTATTTGGACCTGCTGTTGGCCCATGGTTTGTTGGTATTGCACTTGGAGTGGTTTGCTGGGCAACCGCTTTCACCCGTGAAGGATATATTGGAGCCAGTAAGTGCAAACAAAAACCAGGGGATGAAACAAGAACAAATTGAAGGAGAGAGTTGAAGAGGAAAAAGCAAAACAAGGAGAAAGCCAAAAGTACTTTCTAGGACCCCTTAAATAACACTCATGCAGGCCTAAACCCGGCACGGTGCTTCGGAGCCTATGTGGCGTCAGAGTTTCCCACTTATCATTGGGTCCACTGGGTAAGCCTCAACGACATCTCGGCGCCGAAATTAGCCTTTTGTCATTCGCTATTTCAGCATTTGAAGCTCTTATCAGTTGCTAATCTTACGTAGGTTGGTCCATTGGCTGCGTCCATTGCACATGGCTTAGTCTACTTTGTGGACCCACTTTGGACTGAGACGCGGAGGCTGCCGTGATTCGCTTGTGCCCGTTCTTATCTATCGCCCGGGACCGGCCTCCTGGCCATTGGGCTTAGGGTTGAGCGAAAGTTTCGAGGTTAAACCTTGGAATTATTGATTGAATTACTGTACAAATTTACATAACGCACATATGCATTGGTGGGAAAACTTTGGACATATACATAGACAGCGACATAGTATACACATACAACAGCATATATAGCATATACAGATAAACAGACATAGAATACCGTGACATCTCCCTTCATGAACTTTTCAGGAATTTGACCGGAGGTAGCCGTGGACAACTCATTTGGCCTATTACATAGCTCATTGTTCAAGTGTACCAAGCATTTGGGCGTTAATTCAAATATAAGCGAATTCGAGGCGCCTATGTTCAAGTTTGGCATACTATTATGCCGAGCCATTGGAAGTCGAGGACATTGAGCTTGGATTATTCGAAAGTCAGGCTAGTAGAATATGTATCAATGTGCGCTGGTAACGGAAAATCATTCATCAAGCGATAAATTCACTGTCAAGTTCGTCATAAGCTATGACTTCTTCAGACGGTCGCAAATTGACATTTGAATGGATTTCAATTGGACTGGACCCAAGACCCACTGGTCCTATAGCGTGCTCACGCAAACACCGATTTGGGAAATGAACTACAGAGCTACAAAGAGAAGGGGCTGAAATATTGGAGAGGGTTTCAGCCACTGCAAGATGCAGTTTTGGCATTTTAGAAGAAAAGGAACCTAGCTATATGGTCAATGCTAGCACCGCGCTCTAAATAAGTGTACGGTGAAACCTCCAACGTCATCGGGTTGTTCATGTTTGTAAAGTTGATTGAGAATGGATATCGAGGTAGAATCAGTAACAAAATGTGCAACCTGCTGATAACTAAAAGCGGATAGGATGGGGTTCAAAGTATGCTGAAGCCAAAAATGAATGGGACCGCTAGCGCTGGAAACGAGGGGGATATTTAACCGAAAATGAAGAGTAGAGAGCCATCCATGAGGATCCTGGATCCATAGGGGAACTAGGAATATCAACGCCGCACCGAAAAAGGAATCGTTGCACTCACAAAGACCTGGGAGAAATGTTTATTAAAAGAGCATTGGCCTAGTATGTATCCATAAAGAAACCTCTGCTCCCGATAACGGCAATTCACTCTCCATGGCACTATACACCAATTGGTCATAGACCGTGAGCGGCAGCAGAGGTTTCTTGGTTGATATATACTTGGAGGAAGCTCTTTCAATAATCCACCGTGCCCAGCCTGTCATTCGAGTCGACAACCCTACGTTAATGTTAGAGAATGGCCATGAAGGACGAAAATAACGTTGCTAAAACTCACGAGTATTGCTTGGTAAGGGTACCTTCACCACCCTTTGACAAGTCGATATTGAAAACGTAAAAGTTCCCATCACTAGTCACTACCATGACCTGAGGCGTATTGCTACTCATTGCAACCACACTTCGAAGAGGGCCTGTATTGCCGGCTCCGCTTGAACCTTGCGATCGTGGCAATTTGAACCATGCAAAATCTCGTGCAGGTTCCCACATCTCACTGACGCCCTTGGGAAGATACCCGCCCACGCGAGCGGCGACAACTCCTCCGACGTTTTGAGATGTTCGGCGAAGAATCCCCATCAGGGTACCGTTGTGCTTTCGGAATGACGGGCCAGAGGCATTTTCAGATTCATCATCATCTTGCCCACTTCCAATTGAGCTTCCAAGGCTCAGGTTACGACCGATAGGCGAGTGAGAGGATGAAGCATCTGATGACGACCCTTGTTGGGTAAGTTTGAACAAGTGAATGGTTTCAGTAGACGAAGAGACGCATAGAAGAGTAGACGTGATGTTGAAAGACATGCTATAAATGTGTGAAGGCATGGAGCCACGTCGGAACTGATACAGTTTGTGGCCGTCTGGGACAGAAAACACACGAATTATGGTTCCCTTGTCTGATGCAGTTGCAAGTAAGGTCCCGTCGTTATTCAGAGTGATACAAGCCAATGGAGATCGGTGGGCTTCGATCACGTTGATGGCCTCGAGCTTTTCGGCATCAAATATAAGTACATCCCCGGTTGATGGTGAAACGTGTGTTGTACCAGGCGGAGCATGAGCTGGCTGTTTCGCTGCTGCCGGTGCCTTTTGGGGTAATGGATACGCCATATAGCAATTATCCGAAGATGGTGCCAGGGCGCAGAGCGCTAGTAGAATATGTTAGTGTATATATGGTACTGGGCCAGTATTAAGAGATAATACCATGTGGATTCGGTGATGTATCGATCGTGGACAAAAGTTTCATGGTCTGTATGTCATATAGGAAGATTTGATCCTCTAAGACAATAACAAGACGTTTGCGGTTCAGCTTGACGGACAGAACGGTTGTTGGAAACGTTAATTCACATATTGTGCATTGGCGCTAAAGGAGAAAATAAAAATATTAGCCTCCGATCAAATCTTAATTAACAATAGCTAGCTTTGCGCAGGCTGCAACAAACCTTGGTGTTCGTGATTTGTAACCTTCGAGGGGAAAGAATGAGAGCCACTAACGAAGTCGAAAACAGCATCTCAATCACTGCAATGTTCCCCTCCTTGGTCTCATAGCTCTTGGCAAATGGATCTGTTGTAAATATTCGAAATCCCTTCGGCGTGGCTATCTGACGTCAGTAAACAGATTCAGATTCAAGCTCCTATACGCCCCAGGAATCGAAAGGAAGCTCACCAACAGCCAGGTAGCTGTAGTCCTGGTTAAACGTCACGAAGTTCATCGCCATTTTGAATACGTATGGAGGTAAAAGCGACAGATTTGAGTATTGTCAGAGCCGCGCGGTGACCCCGCTTGGAAGGAGACGCGGTATGGAGGCGAGGCAAGCAAGGAGGTGCCCGTCACCGATTATACACTATCATCGCCCCTCTATCTTGTGGATATTATAAAACGAAAGGGCAGAGGACGCTTGAAACAACGGGGATCGATCGCAGAGGAACTTTCGAGGGAACTTGACCGTCACAAGCGAGAGGTCACCAGAGGGCGCTTGGGCCACACCTTGATTCCCCACCGCCTACGATTTTCTTCTTATCGATAATCAGTCGCATTGAACAATTTCCCCTCGATCACTCTTACAAAATGGCGCCGCCTGCTCGACCCGCGGTGGCCGTGGCCACTAAGGCCGAGAAAGATGCAGACGTGGTCATGGGGGTATCAATTGATATTTTGGTTTTTCTCATGTGCACATTGCTGACCAAAATTTCGCACAGACAAATAATAGCAGTATCGCATCGAAGCGCAGTGTCGAAATGATCTACTACCCCCAACCGCATTTCTTCCGCTATTTCGTGAAAAAGCCCCAAAGACGATCACCGATCATCAATCGCGGATATTGGCTGCGCATGCACGCTATGGCGGAGACAGTACGTCAATTTATTGCGAAAGCACCTACGGACAAACCCAAATTTATTTTGAATCTTGGATGTGGATAGTGAGTAGTGGATGGTGCATCGTACTATGGAGGCGTATATACTGAGACCTGGCCGTAGTGATCCTTTACCCTTCATGCTCCTCAGCGATGAGCAGAAGTCTATGCGTAGCGAGCAGGCCGTATTCGTCGATATTGACTATGAAAAGCTCATGGTTCATAAGAAGAATGCTATTCGCCAGACCGAGGAGATTACCAACGTGCTTGGGGATGTAGAATTTGGATCCGATGAAGATGCAATCCAGATCAAGAGTTCTCGATACCGTGCAGTGGGCTGTGATCTCAAGAACATCAAGAAATTAGACGATGTGCTGCACAAGAGCATTCTCCCATCTACCGACTGCTCTGTGCTGTTCCTCGCTGAGGTCTCTTTGACATATATGGATGTTCAATCCGCCAACGAAGTTGTCAAGTGGGCCTCAAAATTGACGAACGGTAAGTTCAGTTTATGCCCCATGTGGCTATCTTCATGGCCTGGACATATTAGCTTACACGTGGGTGCGATTTCACAGATGTTCAATTCTGTATCCTTGAGCAATTCTTCCCAGACGGCCCTGAACACCCATTCGCAAAGACTATGATGACACATTTCAACAAATTGCGCGCACCGTTATTTTCTATTCATGAATTTCCTTCCCTTGCAGAGCAGGAACAGCGCTTCAGGAATGCCGGATGGCCCCAAGCCAAAGCCAGAACACTGTGGGACTTATGGTCTGACAGTACATTTCTCTCGGATTCACTTCGCAATGGACTAGATGCGTACGAGGCATTTGATGAATGGGAAGAATTTGCCCTTTTCGCATCTCATTATTTCCTGTTGGTTGCTTCAAATAACCCCGAGTCTTCTGAGGGAACAGAAAATATCCTAAACACTACTGAGAATCTGGGAACACCCAACATCTCCAGCAAATTTGTCTTGCGGCCTCACTGTCCTGTCGAGAAGCGTGGCCGACGGCGATACGGCGCCCTTGTTCCTGGTGGCAAAGACAACGAGTCTCTTAGTTACCATGGAGGCCAAGGTGAACAAACACGACTGTCTTCAACCGATATATACACCCCTGAAAATGTGGGCGAATCAAAGAGCATTCCTCCGTCGCGTGACATCCCCACTAGAATGTGTCACACCATTACTTCGCTGGATGATACTACAGACTCATGCATCCTGATTGGCGGTAGAACATCCCCTGCCACTCCTTTGAATGACTGTTGGCTGCGACGGGATAATACCTGGCAGCAAGTGCACCCCTTACCCGAGCCAAGGTTCCGGCACAACGCCACCAACATTTTGATCGGTGAACAGGGGTCAGTCCTTGTATACGGAGGCAAAGGTAATGAAAACACGATTTTGGACAGCTGGTTACTCTGGAATCACAAGGACGAGCAAGGATGGCAAAAAGTGAAAACAGTCGGCTCAAACCCAGAGGCTCGCTTTGGGGCATCCTTTACCAGAATAACAGATAGTTTCGGTGTGTTATCTGGAGGTATTGGATCCAATGGAACTATTTTGGAGGACTTTTGGACGTGGAGCCTCTCGCGCTGTGACGATGGATCCTTACAGGTTGAGCTTGTAGATCTTACTCAATCTGTGAAGAAGTCCTCGCCGCACTGTTTCCCATATCTTAGCAGATTTGGCGCAACAGCCAATGCCTCTTCCATGGGCTTGGTTTTCGCTGGAGGTATCATTCCTCGCCAATTGATCCCAGCAAATATGGAAATCTTGCTTTTGGACACGGATGAGATTCTGGAATTATCGAAGATGACGAAACCATGCAGCGAAACTCTTATATCTGCAATCGGACTAGGGCCTGCATTCACGGGACCCAGACCTTTACTCACTGGACACGTTGCTAATACAATAAACTCCGATAAACTCCTCATTCTTGGTGGAGGTGCAGTGTGTTTTTCGTTTGGCACATTCTGGACAGAGGGTACATGGACACTTCAGCCTCAAGAGTCAACGATCGACAATTCATGGACCCTTGTGGTTCCCAAAAAAGAAGCTCCGTCGACCACTACTACAACGTCGCCTCCATCGGCGAATAAAGCGCGTCGTCTTGTTAACAAGAAATCAAAGAAAATTGTACAAATCCCTCGGGCTCGAATTGAATCAGCTGCGCAATTCCAACAAATCCTCGCCGGCGGAAAACCAGTTGTCATCGAAAAATCAGATATCGGCCCTTGCACCGATCTATGGACAAAAGAATACCTCACCAACTCCGTCGGTCCAGATCGCAAGGTAAGGCAGCTACCCGTATCACACGACATTCCAGCCGTCATCAAATTAGATTGCTCGCATTTTCCATTCTCTGACTCTTTTTCCGAGTAGGTAGTGATCCACGAGGCCCAATCGGAGTCGATGAATTTCCAGTCCAAAAACTTCTCTTATGTGACCAAGGATTTCGGTACCTTTCTCGACGAGGTTCATGCCGGTGGCCGCCAGTATCTCCGATCGATCTCAGCAGAATCACCATCCAAGCAAGCGGCAAGTTTAGAAACGGATTTCCCTTCATTACGACAAGATTTCAGACTTCCAGAGTACATGGCTCAAGTTTCGGAGAATGCTCATAGTTCTCCATTGAGAATCTCCGGCCCAGTCACAATGTGGCTCCATTACGATGTAAGTTGTTTGCTCCGCTCTGCAGTATCAAGAAACCCCTGCCCCAGCCTATACTAGTAGACCCCTCCCATACTGTATACAAGACAACCATACAGAGGACAGAGTACCTGCCTCTTCCCCACTTAACCCCTGCTATTTGAGTTTGAAAGCGACACGTCCAAGCAATCAACTAGCAAGGTGTAAAACAAAAAGAAACAAAGAGAGAGGAAAAAACACAAGAATGGAAAAAGATCAACATGAAAAACCAAACATCAAACATGGATCAGGAAACTAATCCGGTAATCAATCCAGGTTATGGCCAATGTCCTTTGTCAAATCCGCGGCCAACGACGCCTAATCCTGTTCCCACCCGACGACGTCCAGTCCCTGCACATCCCACCCGGCACCTCCAGTTCCACAATGACCATCTTCCAAACCGTTGGCTTGGACACCCCCACAGCCATCCCGGGTACCTCGCCGCACGAAGCCATCCTGCAACCGGGGGAGATCCTATTCATCCCGCCCCTATGGTTACACACGGCATGCTCGGCAACAAGCGAGGTCAGCGTCGCTGTCAACGTCTTCTTCCGAAATCTAACGAAGGGCTATGCATCTGGTCGGGATGTTTACGGGAACCGGGATTTACATGCTTATGAGAAGTCTAGGGGGGATTTGCAGCGTATTTTGCGGTCGTTTGAAGGTGTCCCGCCTGATATGGCGAGGTTTTATTTACGCCGGTTAGCGCAGGAGCTGCAAGATGTTGCGGACGAATGATTTGAGTTTGAAGATCATGATTCATGCATGGCATGTGTGGGCGGGGGGGGGGGGTTAATGAGAACTTAGATGATGTGGATGTGATTTATGATGTCTAGTTGCTATTTTCTAGATACAGTATAAAATACAATTCGGACGGAAGTATATATCCATGGGTGTGCATATACAGTGGATTTATTTACTTTCATTTAACTTTTTACTTTACTTTTACTTTTTTTAGTTTCTTAGCCTTTTGTAATTATTTTGATATTTGCCCAATGTGTGCCTAGATGTACGAGGCCATCAAGCGTTATGCGAGGGGCTGGGCTTGACCCCCTGCTGTGCCACCTTAGACACGGCTGATCCTGATCGGGGAACGCAGCATGAGGGACCGGTTCAAGTTTTGGATCCCAGTATCCAAGTGGAGATATGTGGTTCAAGTTAATGAAAGGGAAACGGGCCTGTTTTCTGCCCTTGGGCACCCGCATACATCCACCCGGGCAGTCAACATGATTCGATGTTCGAAGTGGTCTTTTGGCCTTTTTGGAACCTCCTCCTGCACGTACCCCCACCAGTAAGCGAGAGTGTGGATAGATTGCATTGGCGATCCGGGGTTGGCCCCATGTACATAGTCCGTATATACCGAAAAGGGTGCTTTTGTCTCTACGGGATTTCGAACATTGAATGGGCTGAAAGTGGGTCAAAATCATATAAGTACTCCCCTTCATACAGTACATGTTACCCAAGATCATGCTGCAGGGAATATCAGGAAATATCATAATAGTGTATATATTTAGTTTCCAAGGTTAAACACGACACCTTTGAACTTTGATAAGCGAATTTTAAATTGAGTTTGCCTCCATGATGAAAAGAATGGGGAAAACATGGAAAACCTGTCTGAAATTGAATGATAATTCGAGGCACTATACATAATAGAGTCATCTTTTGGTGCGGGGATGGGGTTTTAGTGGGAAAAAGTGGAGATATGCGCACAGACGAGCGGCGGATGGCTAGGAATCTGGACCCGAGGAGGGGCATCCTCAACAATCACAGCGTCATCGGAAACGGATCCCGTATAGTGATTGGTGCCAGGACAGATTGGCCCGTGGGAAGGCAAAAACCGGCGTGTGGACCTTTGCCCTATCACGGTGGGGATTGAAGAGGGGGAAGTCGGGGAGAAAGTTGATACGTTGAGTACAAGTTGTTGTGGCCTGTGGACTCGTGATAAAGATCAGTTACGCGCCGAGACAGAGTGGATCTCTTCTTTTTTAGAAAGATGGGACCCGGGGAATACGGATGACGAGGTTTAAGTGATGATACGATAAGCCTTAGATGGTGAATCTCTCTCCCAAGAACATTGAAAGTTACATAGGGAAAGTCAATCCAATCATCCCAGACATTTAGTATCTCGCGGCTTTTCTTGTACTTCCCTTCTCCCCCTCTCTTCCCACCCCAACTCCTCCTTATCCCCTTCTCCAATCCTCCCATTACTTATTTATTCCTTCGCTGTCATTCATTCTTGATCCCTTGCTCAACACCGGACGCTTATCAAGCCCGTTTGACTGGTTGTGGACCCTTGATAGTTATTTATCGCCCCCCCCCCCCCCCTTCACATTCTCGCTCGCCCCCCCCCCAGTGGGTCTCTCGAATTGATCTTCCCTCTCCACCCGATTGATCACCACATCTGCCCTTCCTGCTCAAAAGTGCTTTCACAACGCTTTGGAAAACGCTCCCATCAGAGACCAAAGTTCCTTTAAGCTCCACCCAGAAGCCCCAGAAAGTGTGTCAACTGTCAGTCCTGTGGAGGCAGAGGATGGATCTGGTCTCCTGATCCTGCAGCTGCCTTATCTCGTCCACTCACATTCGCAAGCGACACGAACGTAAAAGAATCTTGTACTTTTTTCTTTGTCCGGCCGATATCCTCCCATCATGGCGACAGTCGTTGTTCAGCAGCAACATACGTTGCGCCATACGACTCCCCCTCCTTCTTCAATGTCGCCGGCGTTGATGGTCAATCGACGATCAAGCCCCATTCCGAACAAACATTTGCCTGTCTGCCCCACGGGGCCATCACCTGCTGAATCCCCTCAGCCAGATTCGCCCGTACACCGATCGACCCATGAACAACTCTCTTCCATTCTATATCCCCCATACTGCTACCATGTCGTCTCCCAACCACCGGGCGCAAAAGTGTTTGGGATCAATGCCCAAACCTTGGGTGAGGCACTCGATTATCAAGCAGCGCAGTCTTTACCTGATGCCTCTCAGATGTATCCATGGCTACACGGACTCCACCCTGATAACCACTTGCAGTTGGGATTCTTCTCCAGTCGCAAGCGAGTTCAACGCAAGCCTCCAAAAGTCTGGCGCGGCATTACACTAGTCAAGCTGGGAGGGAACCTTTTGAAGTCTCGTATCAAGGGTGCAGTTGCACCAAATGAGGTCATCTCACCGATGGCGCGCTTCTTGATGGCCGACCCACCGGAGGGTTTCTCGGTTCGAAACTTTCAGATCCAAACAGCCAAGATGGCACCTTTGTCAGATATTGTAATTTATGGCGAGGATGGCACCGATCGTGATGAATTAATTGCCCTGGCCGACGAGTTTGCCATGGCACAGGCAGCCTGGCGTCTTAAGCATGATCCGATGCAAGAACGAAAACCATACAACACCTTCGTGCTTACAAGTAAGTAGAACGACAATTTTCATGTGGGGAAATCCAACGTGGGCAGATGCTGATATTTATTCGTTGAATAGGTAGTTTCTCTGAGTTTGCAGAAAGGTGGCCTCGTTTCGTCTCTCTTGATGCCGATGGGGACCCAACTGGCTCATGCATGGACTTTTGTAAGTGATCGTCAAGCTCCACCGTTTGGAATATACGCTAATGATATACTTGCAGTTCAATGGGAGCGACTAGAGATGGCCACAATGTCATGCGCCTCAGAGATCTCAGAGAATGTTTTCCTTGGGCCGACTCCTGATTATATGATGCGACCTGGTGCATGTAATGTTCCGGACAAAGACCCATACGACCTTATGATTGAAGCAAGTGATCTTGCAAACATTCCTGGGCCACGCACTCTGGCTACAATTGACAAGAAGCTTGAGAATGGCTCTCAACGCATCGAGTTCCCCTCGTCAGGTTCACTTGTGCTGCCATCCGGGAATACGCGTGAAGTCGAGGACTTTGTAAACACTGTTCGTTGGATCTATTATCTGGCCCACCCGGAGCCTGATGAGCAAATGGATCATGAGGGCGATATTGAGATGCGCTCGACCAAAAAGTCTCTTCGCGTGTACATTCACTGTGCAGATGGTTATACCGAAAGTACACTTCTTGCTGTTGCATACTTTATGTTTGCGGAGGGCGTACCCATCCATGAGGCATGGCTCAAATTGCATTGTGAAAAGAAACGAAATTTCTTCGCATATCAAACCGATGTCGCGTTTCTCAGTCACATCCAGACACGTCTTTTGCAAGAAAGTCCTGCAAATAAGGCAATTCCACGCTCCAATTTGTCTGACCCAGATTGGTTCTTGAAGATCGATGGTTCCTTGCCCAGCCGTATTCTGCCATACATGTATCTGGGTAACCTCAATCACGCAAATAACCCAGAGTTGTTGTGGGAATTAGGAATCAGACGTGTGTTGAGCATCGGAGAACCTGTATCTTGGCCTCAGGCAGAGCGCAAGAAGTGGGGTGAAGATAGTCTTATGTATATCGATAATGTCCAAGATAACGGTATCGATCCACTATGCCAGGAGTATGACCGATGTCTAAAGTTTATTGGTAAGTGAATCTGCGCAGTTTCTGATTGTTTGTATTTTTTTGGACCTGGAAAGTTTTATTGTGAGTTTCGGCTAACTGGTTCGTCCCACAGAACTTGGAAAGAACGATGGTGCTGCGACCTTGGTTCATTGCCGCGTGGGTGTTTCTCGATCTGCCAGTATTTGTATTGCCGAGGTGATGGCTTGCAAGGACATGACTTTCCCCCGCGCTTATTGCTTCGTCCGAGCTCGACGCCTCAATGTCATTATCCAGCCTCACTTGCGCTTTGTGTAAGTCAACAAATATCATGATACCAATCTTTGCATCAGCACTAACAAATGTTTGATCATAGCTATGAACTGCTGCAATGGGAAGAATTCCAAAACAAAAAACGTCAAGGTCTTCCAAGAAAGCGACAACTAGAATGGTCTACCGTCTGCCGCGAAATTGCGCTACTAAACAAGCCCTACTCTCGAACCTAGAGTTAGCATTGATTGCCATGCGAGCTCGAACTTCATGTGCCTGATCACGACTCTTGTGTGACTTTTTCAATTTTTTTTTTCCATTTTCCCTTCTTCTTTTTTCCTGTCTTTTCCGTCCATCTCATCTATGTTCAATTCTGTTTCAAACACCCGGAGTTCGTTTTACGGGTTCATGGGCTGTGCTCGGTTTTAATGTTGAATGATTTGACTCACGACTTCAATGACCGGGGCATGAATTTTGACGTTTGGCGCTTGGCGTTGCGCGATACTATGGAATGCAATGGAATGAGACAACAGCCATGTGAATGATACCATGCTTTTGTTGTCATATCTTTGTCTTTTCCCTTTTCTTTTCCAGCCCATATTTTCTCTTCAACCTTCACTTTTTATTCTTCACTTCGTTTCATCTTATCGTTGTCACAACCATTTATTCCCCTCTTCGTTTCTTTTATTCTACCCATTCTTCCGTGGATGTTGTTTTCCACTATTCCCATTTACCAAATCACTTTTATCCTATTTCTATTCGATTATACATCAAGATTACCAGGCGATCATTTATATCGAAGCGGGCCTTGCATCACAATCTACTATCGAAGCAACAGCACTTTACCCCTCTAAACTGCCATTTTATCATTGTCATCTTTACATTTACCTTCTTTGTATTGAATTATTTGCCTATCCGTTATTGATTCTGGAATGAATATGGCGCCAGCCAGGATCAAGCACTTGTGGCAACAGAAAACTAGACTTATGAGGCAACTCATGCTTAACACTATACTTTGCAATGTTTCATCTGAATGAGATTGAATGATGCTATTATGGTAAGATAGACATTTAATATAAAGGTAGCTTTTGTTGCTTTTAACATCTCTCAAACACTCTATAAAGGCCCTTGAGATCTGCAACTTCTACAACACCCCTCAGCATTCGTGATGTAGCAACTAGGCGAGTCCGAAGAGCCGGAAACACAGTATATTCCAGCATTCGAACCATTTGGGTTCGTCGAGTCACAATGAAAGGATCTTCAACCTCTTCGCTAGATTCTTTCGGCTCCTCATCAACCCCCACAGATTCAGAGGGTGGAAGAGGAAGTTGTTCAGGTGTATAAAACGCCGCTAGTTCCCGTAAAAAGGTGCGGAAGCACTCTTCCTCCCCAGACCAATCCACATAAGGACCTAGTCGAAGCAAAAACCGAGGTAATTTCGCTAAAGAAGGCGTGTACCCCTTCAACAGCAAAGGGATAGTAAGCAGGTCTCCATCCTCACTGATCTTAATCGAGAAGTACTCGTTCAACATTTCACGCCGTTCAATAAGAGACTGGGAGATGACTTCCGGTGCCCGTGAAAAGACATCATCCGCGCCTTCACCGTTATCATTGGTATATTCTTGCTGTTCGGTTTCCGCCGCGATTTTCAAGAGGTCAATCAGTTTTGAAGGGGGGTCTAGGCGGATTACGCCGAAGTTTCCGAAATCTGTTAAACCAATTTGGTAGAAGAATTCGTTGCATGCCAGTCCGTAGTCTACTAAGTAGAGCTTTACGCCGGATTGAATGGCCGCTAGGCGTCGTCGTTCATCTACGAGACCGACGTAGGTATGTGTGGCGAACATCTCGGTTAATGTGTTATGCATTGATGAACGGACGGTGCTGCGGAGCGCTTTAATGGATGTGAGTGCTATTTTGAGTGGTTGGCGATCTGTTGCTTCGTATTGGAGTCCGTCGTCTAGGATGGAAGCTGGATTTTGTGATGGGGTATTTGGATCTGGATGAGGTTGTGAAGGGGACGGAGCAAGCATGGATGTTATTTTTCGGACTTTGGAGTCTGTTCTGATGAGGTTGTTTTCGTAGGGCCTTTTAGCTGTTGCGGGTGTTTTTGGGGTTGTGGCGGCTTTTCCATCTGCTGGGCTTTCGGCGGATTGATCGCGTTGTATAGTTTCAATGGTTTGTACGCCGGGTAAGAGACTTTGAGTTAGGAATGTGCGACTCGAGTCAACTTGTGATAATTTCGCTCTAATTTCGCTGCACACCATCTCGATGATCTCATCTTCGTTTAGGAAGTTGACCTCTCGTTTTGTCGGGTGCACATTGACATCAACACGATGGGGTTCGATTTCCAAATCAAGATATATAAAAGGATGTCCTCCTTTTGGTAGAAATGTGGCGTATGTTTGCTCGATAGCTCGTTTCACGGTGGTTGATTCCACAGCACGGTGATTAATGAAGAGTAGAATGGTGGTCTTTTTGACATGATAATTGGCGTTAGTGGTTAGGCCCGAAGCACGAAAACCAAGTTTTTCGTCTGAAGATTCGAATTCCACGAGCTCGTTCGCAACCGCACTGCCGTGTATCTGGCGGATTCGATCAACTGTATTAGCGGCAGAGGGTGTTGAAATGCTCACGCCAGAATCGCCGTGTTTGCGACATGAGAACGCAACGCCGGAGCAATGCACGGCGTATCGACCAACCACGTCGAGAATCTTGGCGTATTCTTCGCTTGAAGATCGGAATGCGCGGCGGCGACTGGGCACATTATAGAATAGATCTTCGACCTGTATCGCCAGTCAATATTCTGGCATCATGTATAATTGAGAAGAAATTTGCACTCACTGTGATCTGGGTGCCTCCACGCCCTGCCGTGGCTTTCGGAGCAGCATTCTGCCCAGGTTTCGCAGGAACCAGCTTTCCCTCTCCATAATGTGCCCTCCATGCACAGCTTGATCCCGCAGTCTTCGTTGTAACCGTCAAATGGGCAATATGGCTAATACTTGCCAATGCCTCGCCACGGAATCCGTAAGTGCCGATAGATGATAGATCTTCGAATTCCTTGAGCTTGGACGTTGTGAATCTCTCGCATAATATGGGCAAGTCCTCCCGCTTCAAGACATCAGTCATTGTTCCTATTTTCCAGCGCATAGTCGAGTATTGGCCTGGCTGTCCAACTCACATCAATCCCGTGCCCATTATCCGTGATCTGTAACAGCTTCAGCCCTCCATCCTTCACAAGAACCTCGAGGGATGTGGATCCGGCATCGACGGCGTTTTCGATAAGCTCCTTCAAGGCATGCATTGGTGCGACGATGATCTCACCGGCGGCGATCTTGTTGACAACATTGGGATCGAGAGCCTATGTAGCATTTCGTGAGCATGTAATTGGCTTGCAGGTGAAAGCAAGCAGTTTTTTACCTTGATTCTCTTTGGTTTTGGTGGCTCAGATACTTCCACATCATCGACTGGGCGTTTAGAGCCCTGGTTATCTAGGGAGTCGACTTCCATTTCGGTGTTCATACTGTCGAAGGCATTTGTCGCGCGTTGCGTGGTGAAGTGGAGAAGCAACGCGGAGCTTGGATTCGCGATAAGGCGATAAGGCGATAACAGCTCACTATATTGCGCCGCTACTAGCTATCACTTGGGACTATGTAAATATTTATGTTGATTTGCATTTGATATGAAATTTCATGGAAATGTTCTTCCAAAAATGCCATCCCCAATTTCACATGAGGCTAGAGAGCTTGAATTCATGAGGTGATGCAATCGAAATTCTTGCTAATCTTGTTGATCGTCATACATAGGAATAAAGCTCCTGTGGATTAATCCCGAATATGTAGAAGATTCAAGTTTTACACATACGATCTTTATAACCTCAAGTTCGCTACGTTTCTTCGCAAGACATAATATTTTCAACTGGATTGACCATAGTAGTAAAGTAATGAGTGTTCTATACTATTATACATGTTTTGAGGCCAACCGAATGTTCAGTGGCCTATCATATTGAAACAGGCGATCATATTATTCTTTTGGCTGAACGACATGGCGAATGGTATCTTGAAGCCAAGTAAGCCCCCGATGATGAAAGTCATAACAGAATGAACAATATCCAACACTGCGCCCACGCAGCCAAGCTAAAGTCATGATCTAGCAAAGGAAAACCGTCTCATTGCCAATTTGTGGACCCTACGGAGACTCGTTAATATCTGCCGGCACTGCCAAATTATCAAAGACACAAGAATACTCACCATATAGACCAGATTTCGGTGAACAATACGCCAGGTACCGAGCAGTTGACGCTCCCAGTTATCCTGGTATTGACCGTAGGCGTACAGAACCTGCCCTTCGGTATCACCTTTGCCAAAGTGAGCCGCGCGGAAGTATGTTACTGATTGCGCTGCAGTGGGCGACTGTACATCGATCCACTGGGTACCATACAAATGCTGCGTGGTAACGCATGCCAAGCTCTCCTTCAGAACAGACTGGATAGAGCTAAGCGGCGTCAATACATTGAGGGGCGCTGAATAGTTCGCTACCGCATTGCTGGTGAATACTTTGCTGAGAGCATCGAAGTTTTTGCCATCAATCGCAAAGGGATAGATTGCTAGTGTGTTTCGGATTGCCTCAATCGTGCCTGCGTCGGTATAAATCTCCGGCGTACATTCATTGGGCAAGGCTGAAAGTGCGATTGGGGCGACATCACTTGTGGCAGATGCGCTGGCCAAGCCAGCGACAGAAAGGGATAGTGCGCAGAAAGAGAAGAACCTCATTCTGATTGTTCCAGAAATACAGAAATATCGTGGAGAAATTACGTTTTGTAACGGGTGCCAGGTGGCTCTTTAGGTATTTATTTTCTTAGTTCCCCCGGAATCTCGGATCTCACACTATCCTTCCCCTGAGATCAAGAGTGACTCGGAGATAGACTAGGCGTCTTCGCTTATGACCAGTGGCCGTCTAGCTCGAATAGCTATGTATTGAGATTGGCCAATGGTTAATATGGGTGAACTTTTAAATGAACATTTTCTATCTAAATTGAATGTGGGGAACGCTTTGACTCCTCGAACGGGTTCATTTTGTCTTTTGGCCCCCGAGACCCTGTCAATGTCGGCTTAATGCGAACATTGCACCCCGTCCTTCTGAAACTCACCCAATGCCCAACGACTGTGGCTCCAAGCTAAGGTCGGCTAGGGTAATTAAGTTCTTCCAGGGACGGATGCTACATTCCTCCAGCCTCTTAGTCTGTATGAGTCTTCGGCGGTTTGTTGAAATTTGTCCCCTGTCACGTCTAACACCCCAACAGATAAACAAATATTCATTTTCATTCAAACGTGCAAAGGCGAGGTTTGGCTATCTAGCTCTTCTCAACCGAAAATAAATGATATCCTGTGCAAGGTCTTTCTATGGCCCCAAAAACGGCCCCAGTAACAGCCCCAAAAGAAAACTGAATCTATGCAACTTGTTAGTGTTGCATCGGGATCTTATTTATGCAGCGTTGGCGTTCTCGCAATTAATTAATTCATGGTGGCCTTGCATCGAACACGGAGTAAATGCACAAATGAATATGGCTACTTAGAATCCTTCCTTGGCGCAGCCTCTTGTTTTAATACTCATGCATCCGCAGGTGCGAGCCACAATGTCTATTCCCAACAATGCCTCTTTGAAAAAGTGCTGGATACCTGCGCGATACCCCTCCGGCGGGCTATAAATGTTCGCATTTTTGAAATTCTCATTCTAACGCCACCAGAGCCGAGAAAAAGATGGATTCACTTGTCCATAGACTCTCCCCTAGGTGGGAGAAGCGAGCCGAGGCCACGATGCTGGTTCCAATAATATCAAAACAGGGCCAAATGGTAACGAATATCCTAATAACATGGAATTTCACCAAAATATGACCTTTTTGTCTGACTGAATACACGTTAGGCTCTCATGTGGATAGGTTTCGCTCTCGCCATCGTCATGGTTGTTATTCGAACACACGTCCAATACAAAAGTAGCAAACGACTATTCATGAACGATTACTGGATTTTCTTCGCCATAATATGTCATTTAGCCACAGCAATTGTCTATCAAGTGGCGCTTGATCCGATGTACGAGCTCTCATATATAGGAGCAGGTCTTAAGTCTCCAACAGCAGGATTCATGGACAGAGCATCGCTTTTTCTCAAATTGCAGTATGCAGCGGATTTACTCTTATGGACGACGCTATGGGCCGTCAAGTTCTCCCTTCTTTTCTTTTTCTGGCGGCTTTTTGACTCAGTCAACTCGTCTATGCGTGTATTTTGGTGGATTATGTGCGGAGTTACTGCGTCAACATGGATTACAAGCATTGTTTTGCAAGAATTCGCATGCGATCCTATCAGTGATTTCTTCACACTTGGTAAATACTACCTGCAAGTCCTTGCTTCTTGAATAATACTCTTACACTAATGTCGCGCAGGAAAATGTAGCTCCGCGAGAGATATATTCTATTCCAATCTCGTTTTTCACTTTTCGGTTGGAACCGACATCGCAGGAGACGTCTGTGGTTAGTAGTCACCTTCCAAAGTACTACTAACTAGTACTAATTCTCACTCTTTCACCCAAGACTAACATATTTTCTCTTAATAGTAATGGTAATCCCATTTCCCCTTCTCTACAAACTAAAAGTCAACCGTCAAAAGCGCTGGATCCTCATCCTAGTCTTCTCACTGCCAATAATACCCATCATCTTTGCCATCTTGCGCCTCGTGATGACGAACCCGAAGACACATAACGTAGATCCCATCAGATTCCAACTATTCACGATACTCGAAAATACCTCCGCCATTGTGACTTCATGTCTACCTGCTTTCCGTCTTTTTATCGTGAACACACAAAGGACAACCATTACCAGCGACTCAGATCCCTCAAGAAGAATCAATGGAGCATATCGGAGCTTTGGGGACTCGTCTCGAAACAGGCAAAAGACGTCCATTCCGCTGGACAGCTTCAGTGATTCTTATTACCAGGCGGATATAGTTCATGATAAGGATGCGATTGGGAGGGCAATCTCAAAGGAAAGTGATGAGGAGTCGCTGTATCCTGGTTCTCCTACTACGCCTACACATGGCGTTCTTGTAACCCGCGAGACTCATGTTGTTTCCAAGCCAGACGGATTCATATAGCCTGCAGTATGATCATACTATAGTCAACTTCCCAATTAAAAGTCTCGTCCATAATATATGGCAGAATTCATGTATAAAGAATGTATATGTAAGATATTTAGGGAGTCTATCTATTTTTAACCGCCTACTTCCTTACACGTCTTTTGACATGATATTGTACCGTGTCACATTCGTCTACTCATGATCAAGCTTTCTCGCATTGTGCTATCGTTGAATGTATCGACAAATTAGTCACGGTTCGTTAAGGTCGTAAATCCCTCCCATTCATCGCATATCTTCGTTCTTTGTGAACCATCATTTCTTATGATACTAGGAGCCCCAAACCCAATCGGAAGGCACAGTGGTAGTTCCTTGCCAGCACATCTTCCCTCGCCTCTAAAGCTTCCGCCACAAGTTCACAGCCTTTCTTCGGGTCAACCACAGCTCCGGCCTCTAGAGAATCGTCAATCACTTTATGTAGCTCTGCTAATTCAGGAATTTGCTTCGTTGCTGCATGAGTGGCATTGTTCTCACTCATTAATTCGGTACGAAAGAACCCAAAACTGAGGTTGCATACGCGCAGATCAAATGGGGCGACTTCTAGTGCGAGGGTCGGTACGATTGCGTCTAGTAGACCTTTAGACCCAATATAGGATGATGATCCAGTAACAGCAACATGCTGGAAAATAGATTCAGTAAACAGCAAAGTACCTGACCTTCGCTCTCGCATGAATGGGAGCAGAGCTCGAGTGAGATAGCGGTCCAGCAACGTTTGTACGTATTACATCGAAGAGAACCCCTTCACTGTACTATAGTTAGTAAGCTGTTAGTATCCTCCGGGCACAGGCCTAAGTACGAGTTATTGTATTACAGGCATCGTGATTTTCTGCCGGCCAAAAACAAGGAGAAATCGATTTTTTCCCGATGATCATTTACCGGCTGCCATAGGCAGCATTTGGGCGAAATTACGATGTTGTCTTCGGAGAGATAGACGGGTTCATCAAGATCAGAGCATGCAAGCGTCGGTATGGGCTTCAAAAGAAGAGGAAATCAGCTGAGTCAAGTACCAAAGAAGCAGTAGCTCAAATCGGCCCATTATTTCTCATGTTTATTATGAATCCAATATCGCCTATTTATGGTAGAAGTGTATCGAACCATGTTGCTCGGGCCAAAGCAATGACGAGGGCTTGGCGTGATTACATAACCGCAAGCTGCACCAGCCCGAGAGCTCTCTTGTGTCTCCATCACCAGCTTACAATCCTCCGCATCACTCGTCATTTGCATGACCTAATCTCCATTATCGATTGTGACTTTGCATAATCAACCACTCACTCTCGGATTCCTTTGCTGTTACCTTCCCAATCTCACACCAGACCTGGTCGCCAGACACCATCAGAGATGGCGAACGAGGGCGAACGGCCAACCTCCGCCGACAAGGGCAAGGGCAAGGTTGACGACGTTCGCGAACTGAACGGAAAGAAGCCACAGGGTGATGAGAAGGCCCCCGCAGAGGGCAAGAAGAAGGATGAGGAACCACAGGAAGGTGAGTTGCGCCGTTGCCGCTGCGGAGCAGAGCAGATGCCAGAAGTCACCCATTTCTTTCCGTCCTAGAACCTCGCCGCTAACATGATTGAAGAGGAGCTTAGTGAGGAAGACCAAGAGTTGAAAAATGAGCTCGAGATGCTGGTGGAGCGGTTAAAGGTACTTTAATGCCCCAAATGTGCTGATAATTGACGATGATGTTGACGCTAACACTTGCCTGTAACAGGAGCCGGACACTTCCCTATACGGACCTGCTTTGGATGCCATCAAGAACTTCATCAAGACTTCGACATCTTCCATGACAGCTGTTCCAAAGCCCCTTAAATTCCTCCGACCGCATTACGATGAACTTACAGAAGTTTACGAGAGCTGGACAGCAGGCGCCGCTAAGGTTGGTCGGCCATCCATCTCACCATCCGTGCAAAAACTGATAAACTACTTCGCAATAGGATTCGCTGGCTGATACGCTGTCTGTACTCGGCATGACCTACGGAGATGAGGAGAAGCTGGAAACACTCAAGTACCGCCTGTTGGCCAAATCCGAAGATCTGGGCTCCTGGGGCCACGAATATATTAGACATCTGGCGCTGGAGATTGGACAAGAATACCAAAACCGGTTGAATGCAGAGAAAGAGACCCAAGACTTGGTGGATCTCGCCCTGTCACTGGTGCCTTACTTCTTGAGCCACAACGCCGAGGCCGATGCGGTGGACCTTATGAGTGAACTGGAGATCATCGAGGAGATCCCTCGATTTGTTGATGAAAACACATATCCTCGAGTCTGCCTGTATATGGTGAGCATGGTCAACTTGCTCACCTACCCCGAAGACCAGCAGTTCCTTCGTACAGCCCACGAAATTTACGTCCGCTACAACAAACTCTCCCAAGCAATCGTCCTTGCCATCAGGTTGAACAACATCGACCTTATTAAGAGTGACATTAACGCCACGACAGACAAGGCTCTCAAGAAGCAAATGGCATTCCTGGTGGCTAGGCAACAAATTTGGCTCGACTTGGATGAGGACGAAGATGATGAGGATGCCGAGTTGCTAGCGGATTGTCTCAACAACACCTCCATTCCCAAACACTTCAAGTCTCTTGGAAAGGAGCTTAATATTTTAGATCCCAAGATGCCCGAAGATATTTACAAGACGCACCTAGAGAGCAGTCGTGGAGCAAGTCTTACCAATCTCGATTCAGCGCGACACAACCTTGCTAGTGCTTTTGTCAACTCTTTTGCGAATGCTGGCTTCGGCAACGACAAGATGATGCTCGTAGAAGGCGAGAAGGGCCCATGGGTATGGAAGACCAAGGATGACGGACAGCTATCGACCACAGCATCTCTCGGTATGCTTCTGCATCGTGACGTCGACGAAGGTCTGAACACTATCGATAAGTTTACGTATGTCGAGGAAGACCAAGTGAAGGCTGGTGCTTTACTGGCATATGGTATTATGAACTCCGGTGTTCGCGTCGAAGGCGATCCCGCCCTTGCTCTCTTGCGTGACCCGGAAAACCTTGAGGCAAAGAGCATTCCAATGCGGGTTGCATCGATCATGGGTCTTGGTCTGGCATACGCTGGTTCTAACAAAGAGGAACTTCTTGAAGCTCTTCTTCCTATCGTGGAAGATGCTTCATTAGACATGCAACTCTCCGCTATGGCCGCAGTTTCCTTGGGTCTCATTTTTGTTGGATCATCAAACCACCAAGTGAGCGAGGCAATTGCGACTACTTTGATGGACGAGGAGCGCCAGAAGCAACTGAAGGACAAATGGACACGATTTATGGCTCTTGGTCTGGCACTTCTCTATTTCGGCCGCCAAGAGGAGGTTGATGTCATCCTTGATATCCTCAAGGCTGTTGATCACCCCATGGCAAAACCTACATCGGTCCTTGCTTCAGTCTGCGCCTGGGCTGGCACAGGGACTGTGCTCAAGTTGCAGGAACTCCTTCATATCTGTAACGACATCATTGAAGAGAAGGAGGAGAACAAGGGTGATGAGCTCGTTCAATCCTATGCTGTTCTGGGTCTGTCGCTCATTGCCATGGGTGAGGATGTTGGCCAAGATATGATCCTTCGCCAGTTTGGCCACCTGATGCACTACGGCTCCAGTAATATCCGCCGAGCCGTGCCTCTTGCGATGGGTCTTATCAGTCCTAGCAATCCCCAGATGAAGATCTATGATACTTTATCACGGTACAGTCACGACAATGACAATGATGTTGCAATCAACGCCATTTTTGCCATGGGTCTATGCGGTGCCGGTACCAACAATGCCCGTTTAGCCCAGCTGCTCCGGCAACTAGCAAGCTACTACCACCGCGACCAAAACTCCCTGTTCATGGTGCGCATTGCACAGGGTCTTCTGCATATGGGTAAGGGTACCATGACCCTCAACCCCTTCCACACAGACCGACAAGTTCTCTCCCGTGTCTCGGCGGCCGGTTTGCTTACAGTGCTTGTGTCTTTGATTGACGCTAAGCAATTCATTCTCGCCGAACACCACTACTTGCTTTACTTCCTTATCACCGCCATGTTCCCGCGATTCCTCATTACTCTCGACGAGGATCTACAGCCACTCACTGTTAATGTTCGCGTGGGTCAAGCCGTGGATGTTGTTGGCCAGGCGGGTCGGCCAAAGACTATTACCGGCTGGCAAACACAGAGCACCCCTGTACTGCTGTCTCATGGTGAGCGAGCGGAGCTGGAGGATGAACAATACATCCCTCTTAGCAACACACTGGAGGGCCTGGTTATTCTACGCAAGGTAAGTTTTCCACTTTATTATTTATCTCGAGTAAACGCTAACACATTGTAGAACCCCGACTGGGAAAGCCCCGAATAAGCCCGATGAGACACCGGTTCACCTTTATTACTCGCCCCCGTGCGGGACTCGTGGAGTAGTCGGATTATCGTTGGACCTAATGTATTCAGAACGACTGAGGAATAGCATGGAATTTGTTTCTTTTACTCTTGCATCTGGTTTATCGGACTGATCTGGACGGGCCATTTCCACAATCTCTGTGTAGACTACGAATTCTCTTTATCTAGGAGCTTGTTTTACAGTTTTAGTAGTAGTCTACTACTAGTAGACCTATGGACTTTTAAAGCCTGAAACGTCATTATACTCAAATAGAAACTGGCCTGGTCATCATGGAGTTTACTGTTGGTACAACCTTCCCGATGCTCTGAAGGTACTCGCCCAAAAAGGGAAGTAGGGCATAGGGCTTTAAGCTTATCAACTTTTTTTGTCTCCGCATCATCTGGAACGTCACGGTCTCAATAAACAGTCTTCGTCTTATTTACTCTGGATATTTAAAGATCCGCGGAGATAGTATCAATCTAAGAATAAGCCACTATGAAACTCGATCCGAAGGCGATTCGCTATCTCACCTCTGAGGATTTCAAAGTTCTTGCCGGGGTACATATGAGCCCCTCCGCCCCGCCATGAAGAGCATTCATACAAATCACATCTCCAGAAAACTAATGATTTTTTGATTATAGGTTGAAGCAGGCAGTCGCAACCATGAAGTTGTTCCAACACCGTTGATTTCGCAACTCTCAGGCCTCCGTGGTGGTAGTGGTGTCCATCGTTCGATCTCGAATCTGGCGAAGATCAACCTAATCGCCAAAGTGAAGAATTCGAAGTGTACGACAAATCCACCCCCTTGGGACATTGCATAATTTACGATGATAGCTTATATTTTTTTGGTGCAGATGATGGCTACAGACTTACCTACGGCGGCCTCGATTACCTAGCGCTAAATGCGCACCAGAAGCAAAAGGTTGTTTACTCCGTTGGCAACCAGATTGGAGTGGGCAAGGAATCCGATATCGTCGTCGTCGCGCACAGTAGCGGATCGCAGCGCATTCTGAAAATCCACCGTTTGGGCCGTATCTCTTTCCGAACTGTCAAGACAAACCGCGACTACCTCCGACACCGCAGCACAGGATCATGGATGTACATGTCCCGACTGGCAGCTATGAAGGAATTTGCTTTCATGAAGGCCCTGCGTGAGAACGGGTTTTCTGTACCAGAACCCATTGCCCAGAACAGACACACTATCGTCATGAGTTTGATCGATGCTTTCCCTCTTCGCCAGATCTCTAAAGTACCCAACCCAGATGGACTTTATTCGGAGTTGATGGATATGATCCTAGAGTTGGCACGTTTCGGGCTGATTCACGGTGATTTCAATGAGTTCAATCTTCTTATCCAGGAAGAAGTGGATGCCGATGCTAGAGAGAAATACACTCCTGATACAAAATTGGATGATGTTGCCGATGAAGATATCCGGCTGGTCCCGGTGCTTATCGACTTTCCGCAGATGGTCTCAATTGATCATATGAACGCTGAGATGTACTTCGATCGCGATGTCAACTGTGTCAAGCGCTATTTCCAGCGCAAGTTCCATTTTGTCAGCGAGGTGCCTGGCCCAACTTTTGCTCAGGCAAGGAAGAACTTCATGAAGAACCCCGGTAAGCGTCTGGATATTGAGGTTGAAGCATCCGGTTTCTCAAGGAAGATGGCACGCGAACTTGAGAAATATATGCAAGATGTTGGTGTCGATGGGGATGCCCGTGAGGATGGTGAGGAGGACGAGGAAGAGAGCGAGGAGGAGAGTGAAGAGGAATATATTGCAGAGACAGGAGAGCCTAATGAGGCTGAAAGCTCAAAAGAAGCTGACAAGGATGTGGAAGAAAGTTCTCATCAACTGGAAGGGCTTAAGGTATCTGGTGCCTAAAGCCAAGGAAGGGTGATAAGAGAACCTAGTAAATTAATGACTATGAGTGATGAATTTAGACTGTAATATAAAAAAGCATTCATTATTTCACGGATATTGAAACACTACTTCTGTTAACCTAAAATTTCTAAAAATCAATAACCGATGTTCGATTGATTAGAGTCTTAATATCTGAACACTAGCAGAGAGACGGCAAATAGCTAGAGTAGGGTACGGGGACTATAGCGCCAAGAGAGAAAAACCCCATATTGGCCTATTTAGACCGGCAGAAAAACACGATACCTGTAACATGGCCAAGTTGAGCTTCAAGACTACTATCTCAAGATATATGTTCGAGATGTATGCTTTCCCTCACTTTGAAGAAGGTTAAATACTGGACTATAGCCTCTGAAGTGTTTATAAAATATAGCTTTCTACTTTGTATCTATAGAGAGCTTATAGTACAGATGGCGGTGCAGTAGGCGGTAAAGGTTACGTTGAAGTCAAGGGGGGTTTTTTCCCGCTGAGCGCTATTGTCACCCATAATCCCGTAGTAGGGCAAGCGGTGCGGCCACTCGCGCAATTATTCCGACGCCGCAAAAGATCAACGACTCTCAGATTATCCAACCTAAACACCAACCATACTCCATCATGGTTCGCAAAGCATACGGAGTCGCCAAGGAGGCGACCAAACTTGCTCAATCCTCCCAATTCGCTCAACGCAAAGAAGTTCATCTGTACGTCACCTCTACCTACCATCACCATCGAATATCAAAAATCCCCGAACACGATCTACCTACATACCTACAAACCTCGATTTCCAAGCCTAGAAGAGCCAATTGAAACAACCTGGACTAATAAATGATTACTCTTACAGCCCTTCATTCAGCATCGCTCTCGCCCGAACCCCCTACCTCTCCCCGCGCTACGCTCAATTCCACGTTCCTCTCAACTTTAACAAGCTCGACCTGCGCGACTACCTTAAGAACCTGTATAATGTCGAGGTCCTCAAAATCCGAAGCTACATCGAACAGCAACCTATCACCCGAGTAAGGAGAGATGGCCGCTCCCTTGGACCATGGCGCCGACCGCAATCCAAGAAGCGGATGACCGTTGAACTCAAAGAACCCTTCTCCTGGCCCGAGGCCCCAACAGATCTATCGAAGTACGTGATACACTTTCATTCTATACGTTTTATCAGTCGCAAGGGTCTACTTCACAGTGATGCACATGGATACAACACCTTGCACTTTCTGTGGACATCAGATATCCCGTTCCTGTCCAGTATATATTCGAGACAAATGCTAATTACCGCCTCTGATACAGATGGGAGAAGGACGCTTGGAACGCAGCCAACAAGGCGCAGCGGGATGCACAGAATGCCAACGCTCAAAAGCCTCATTCTGCTGAGGAGCCGGATAAGGAGCTGCGCAAGGCATTCGAGAAGCAGGCTAAGGGATTGAAGAACCACCAGGAGACTTGGAAGCCTACTTGGAAGGTGCTGGGTCTTGATTTTGCGCACAAGGAGTTTGCCAATGCTCGAGGTCCAGGTAGCAAGGGCCGTCCTCTTTGAACTTCTGTCTAAGGACGCATTGGGATTGAGTGATAGCTTGTTTGCATATTGGATTGAAATGTTTTTCTGTCGGGTGGAAAAACTGGTGTTCGTGTAATTTTTAAAGATACATTTTTGCAGTTTAGGCCCTCTCCTGTATATTATTGTTGGCCTTAGGTTATATCAATCTGAAGCTCGTTCCATGCCTTTTTTTTTATCTTGGCATGTGTTGTTCTAGAGTACTACTGGTCTATGTTGATAATTCGGGAAACTTGAAAAAAACCGGCGATGTATTGATAGATATAGACAAGAAAAAGAACTTGAACAAGCTAGCAAAAATGCTAGCTAATCAACGGAGGGTGCATCCGAGGAGAGTGATTAAATACAAGCAAATGGGACCGCGAGGGTTATAAATAACGCTATGCATAGAGACAGTGTGAGTCGAGAGGGGCTGGAAATACAAGACAGAAAACAAGCAACAGAAGCTTCTAAGAGACGGCCAGTAGAAAGGCGGGTATCGTTTACAGCCGACTTTCAATCAAGTTCATGTGCTGTTGACCAGGCCAGTGAGCATCTGGCCAGATCTTGCCAAGGGCCTCCCAAATGTGTCTGCAAGCGCGTTAGAAGGGTTATAGAATAAGGGCGTTTATAGAGAGACTTACTGAACAAAGACGATTTCTAGACCATCCTTGACCTCTTGAGGGACATCCTTGACATCCTTACGATTGGCCTGAGGAAGTAGCACCGTCTTAACGCCCGCACGAAGAGCTCCAATGAGCTTCTCCTTGATTCCACCGACGGGCATCACACGGCCACGGAGAGAGATCTCACCAGTCATAGCAATCTGCGGTGGGACAGCTTTGTTGCTGAACAGCGAGATCAGCGCAACGGTGTGTGCAAGACCTGCCGATGGACCATCCTTAGGGATAGCCCCAGACGGGCAGTGCACGTGGAGGCTACGGCTCTTCATGACATCCTCATTAGGATCATGGGTTAATCCGAGTTCGAAGGAGTGGGCCTTAACCCATGTCAAAGCGACCTCAACAGATTCCTTAAGAACATCGCCAAGCTTTCCAGTGAGCTGAACACGACCATTTCCAGGCATATCGGCCACCTCGATGAAAAGGATGCTACCTTGGCCACCTGTCGAGTAGGCGACAAGTCCTGTGACAACACCAGGACGACCGTGCTTTTCAGCAATTTCCTCCTCGAAGCGTTCAATGCCAAGGATATCCTCAAGATCCTCCACACTGACATTTGGATTATAGTCACTCATGCGGTCGGAGTCACCGGCATCGGCAAACTGGACAGCTTTGTGGCGACAAATGGAGCCAAGCTCACGCTCCAAATTACGGACACCAGACTCTCGTGTGTAAGAGGTGATAGTCTTGTCGATCACCTCATCAGACAGGTTAACCTGGTCGTCAGTCAGGCCATTAGACCGTACCTGTTTGGGGATCAGGTGGCGCTTAGCAATGTGCCTCTTCTCAACGGTGGTGTATCCAGAAAGCGAGATTGTCTCCATACGATCAAGTAAGGGAGGAGGAATAGTATCCAAAGAGTTGGCAGTCGCGATAAACAGGACTTTGCTGAGATCAATGGGGATATTGATGTAATGGTCCGTGAAGGTATGGTTCTGCTCGGGGTCCAGAACCTCAAGCATCGCTGCAGATGGGTCTCCGTGGAAGTTTGAGCCACCGACCTTGTCGATCTCATCCAGGAGGAAGACTGGATTGGCAACGCCTACCTTCTTTAGTCCATTCACAATCAGACCAGGCATAGCTGCAACGTAGGTTCGTCGGTGACCACGAATTTCGGCCTCATCCCGAACACCACCGAGGGAGATTCGGTGGAACTTGCGCCCAAGAGAAGTAGCAACTGATCTGGCTAAACTGGTCTTTCCAGTGCCAGGAGGACCAACAAGGAGCAAGATAGGAGATTTGTCGGTCATACGCTTGGACTTCAGAATTCCAAGTCGGGTTTCCAGTGCGACACGATCATCCTCCGATAGCAAGGGAACATCTTTCTCGAGGTCCCCAGCTGAAGCCGCATCAAGATCTTTGTTAAGACCAACGATCTCACGCTCTACAGTCTTGTTGGACGATTGTTTCAATCGCAGCACAGCCAAGTACTCAAGTAGTCTCTTCTTAATGCGCTCCAAGCCATAATGATCCTCATCCAACTGCTGGCGAGCTCGTCTTAAAGTATCAGCTCCAAGTTGATCCTCTGTCACTTTGGTCCATGGGATATCCGCCAAGTTCTCGAGATAAGTGCGACAAACGCCATATTCAGCATTAGCTGGGTTCATCTTCCGCAGACGTTTGAGTTCCTTGTCCGCAATCTTTTGGGCTTCATTACTGAGCTCAGCATCACGCAGCTTCTGTTGCAACTCGTCGAGCTCATTCGGCTCCTTTTCATCACTGTCGCTCCCTCCACGCGCTCCGGCAGTGCCTGGTGGCGTGAGGCCGGAAAGACCAGCCATGGCACGGCGGGCCAGTATTTCTCGCTCACGAGGATCAATTTGGCTAATATCAACTGAGTTGTTGGAAGGGAATGAGCTCGTAGTAATCGAAGTAACTTTGACGCTGCTCTTAATGTGCTGGGCTTGACGAGTTAAGATATCGACCACTCTCTGCAGACGAGCCTTAACATCGAATGACGCCAAAATTCGCAGCTTCTCTTCAATGCTAGCATCGGAGACATCGGCCATGAAGTCGGCGAGTTTCCCTGCCTGGCCTAGCTCGGTCTTGGAGATATAAAGTTCGAATTTACGCGCCACCAGTGGCGACAATCGATTCGAGGCGGCTGATAGCAATGAAGATAGGCGGAGCAGAGTAAGAAGCTCACGGGAAAGCTGTCTCAGTTGTTGAAATAATTCGGCGGCTTCTGAGTCGCCATGAATCGAGGAAGCTAGTGATGACGCCGGTTAGTGACGTGAGCTTGTCAAAGGGTACTTTCCATAAACTTACTGCTTTCATCATGCAGAATCACTTCCGCTTCAAAGTACGGTCGGTCACGCACGACTTTCTTAACGGTGAAGCGCTGCGAGCCTTGAACTAGTAGGAACGGTTCCGAGTAGGCACGGCGTTGAACGCCAATGACCTTTCCCAGGGTGCCATAGCGAAACAAATCATCTTTACGGGCCTGTCCCGCATCGATCGCATCATATTCCTCCTTATGTGTCTCGTCAGAGTCATCGCCCTCGATGAGTTGCAGACCGTCTCGGCTCAAAAATGGTGAGCTGAGTGGAACGCATCCGAAGGTAATGTTGTTATCGCGTTTCGATGGCTTTTCCACGAGTGAGGATAGCAGGTTGGTCAAGTCAGGGCGATTAGAGACAGGGATTCGAAGAGTGACGCCTGGTAGAAGGACCGTACCCTTTGCCAGTGGCACAAGAGGGAGCTTGATAGTTCTACCGCTGTTGGAACCCATGCTGAATTGCCGCGCTAATGAGGGTGTGGCAAAGGGGAACAGCAATAGAGTACCAGGCTATCAGTAGAAAAAGACAGGAGAAACGATTTGAGAGGTTTAATAGTAGAAGAGAGAATGGTTAGGGGGGAAGGAAAGAGGAGAAGTGGAGGCTTCCAGAACCGCAGATGCAAAGTCCGGGGGACAGGGCGATAAGAGCAAGTCGCATGTCTCCCAATCTCCACGTCCCGGAGCCGAGGTTAGTGCACGCTCTACTTTGTATTTCGTCACGCCGCAGATCCCCCAAGGGTCTTTAATACAAAAGGATCTGATAATCTTTTGATGATCTTTTCACCGACTCATTCCTGGTGTCAAGATCTATAATAAAGCATTAATTATTGCCCGAAGTTACAGTCTTTCTCTTAATCAAATCCTTCTATTTATCCCTAACGTATCGTGCCATCTGTTGTCTCGTGACTGATCATATGTACACCGGTCCCGTGATCGGCACTTTGCTCCACGCGCGGGATTCGCCTGTATTGCTGCCTTCTTTCTCAGGCATCAATAAATCCTCGGCTTCGTTTCCGACTTGAGACTCAACCTGTGATTGGCACCGTGTTTCCCCTCTATATCCCTCTATCTAATCCAACATGGCCGACTCCGCCGCCGCTAAGAAGACTTTTACCATTGGTACGCGCAAGTCAAAACTTGCCTTGCTACAAACCGATTTAGTGCAAGCCGCTCTCAAGGAAGCCTATCCTGACTATGAATTCAAGATCTTCTCCAAGGAGACGGCCGGCGACCTGAACACCACCATTGCTCTTAAAGACTTTACCTCCAAAAACCTATGGACAGAAGAGCTCGAGGAATTGATGATTGCAGGTCGAGTTGACTTCATTGTCCACTCTCTCAAAGGTAAGACAGACTACACAGCTGCCCCGCATTAGCATTGAACCCCGCGCAGGAATACTCATTCAAGTTGCAAATCAACAGATGTCCCCACCCTCCTTCCCGCCACCTGTACCCTAGGACCGATGATGCCCCGCGAAGATAGCAGAGATGTTTTCGTCGTGAAGCAAGGGCTGCCCTATAAGAGTCTTGCGGAGCTCCCCGCCGGCTCCGTCGTCGGAACCTCTTCCATTCGCCGAACGGCCCAATTGGCGCGTAAATACCCTCACTTGAAGGTTTTGGACATTCGTGGCAATATCGGAACCCGTTTGTCAAAATTGGATGCTGAAGATAGCCCATACACCTGCGCCATACTTGCTGCGGCTGGTCTGCTGCGTCTGGACCTACAGGACCGTATTACCCAGTACCTTGACTCAAAGAACAGCGGCATGCTCTATGCAGTCGGTCAGGGTGCCCTAGGTATTGAAGTTCGCAAGGCGGATACCACATTGCTGGACATGTTGAAAACTATCGGCCACCAGGAGACAACCTTTTCCTGTTTGGCTGAGCGGAGTCTTCTGCGAACCCTTGAAGGTGGCTGCAGTGCTCCCCTTGGAGTTGAAAGCGAATGGGTTGCTGGTAAATTACGGATGCGTTCAGTGGTTGTTAGTGTGGATGGAAAGCAATGTGCGCAGGTTGAAGTTGACGGGGAGGTGGATTCACCTGAAAGCGCCGAAGCCTTTGGCGTCACAGTAGCCAAGGCCCTGGTGGCAGATGGCGCTGATAAGATTCTCGAGGAGATCCAGCAGAACAAGCTGACCAAGGAGAGTGTTGCGTCCTAAATGAACAAAAATATCGGATAGTCTGGGAATGTAATTATGCAGATACCCCTTCGAAATGAGAATGAGATCAACGATTCTTTTCATGTATGCAATTATAGCTCATGCTTTTTATGTTTGATTTATACTAGGGCACCTATCTATTACTCGCGGGAGAAATTATCAGATTTGTAGCTGATCAGCTTCAACCACGGTTGAGAGTATTGCCAGATCCCTTCGGATTTGCTTCAACATATTCATCCCAAGCCCGGGCTTTCATAGTTTCCTCATCCGCCCTGTCCAGATCATCTTCATCCACCTCTGGCTTAATCCCGGATTGTTCGCCTCCTTGAAGAACATTGCCCCTTCTGTGCTCTTCTTCAAGATATTCGTCGATGGTCATGGTCGGCAGGTTATGACCTGAACGGAAGACTCCCTGTTGGAGCTGCGACCGACGATCGAGTAAAGTGAAAGGCTGAGTTGGCTTTCCCTTACTATTTAATATAGGCCCACCTCTGCCTCCTCCGAGCAGTTGTGAGATAGATGGATCCAGACGATCGGTGTAGTTGCTTCCTCCTAAATTACTGCGTTGCCGGGGGTCATCTCGTGGTTGCTGAGATGGCTCAAGCGCAGGAGCATTCCGCATGGCTGAAAGCATTGATAATTCTTGTACCAATAGATCCAAGGCTTGGAATGTCTGGTGTGTATAAAGTTGAATCTCGGCTAGGTAAAGATTCCGAGTCGCCTCGCTATCGTTGTCCACTCGTGTTTCGTTTCGGGCCATGTACTTCAAATTGTGTCAGCAGTCATGCAGGTAGTAAATGCTTTCTGTCGCAGTTCATGTAGCATACCTCCAGCTTTTGCTTGAGCTCTTTCTCCTCCCTAAACCGCCTCACTTTGGTGTCTCGTCTCGCCGCCGCATCATTGACAGGAGCCAATGTGAAGGACAATGGAGTGGCCATGTATGACTCAAATAATTTGCGATCTCCCTTCGACAGTAACTCATATTCATCAAGGCGTGTAAGGAACTTTTCGTATTGTTCTAAGGCTCTCTGAAGGACGGATTTACGATCGGCGCTGGGGCCCCGCTGGACAAGTTCGGCAAAATGGTATTCCAAAGTCATGTATCTACCCAAAATGATTAGCGCAATTAGATGAAGTTTAATTTGAAAAAAGGTACGTACTGTATATCCCCCGACGAGACATCATCAAGTGTTTCGTTGGAACTGAACAGGGACAAAATACTGATTTGTCGTTGGCATTCCTGGAACTTAGCGACAGATGCATTTACATCATCTCGGTATGCTGCGGTGTTGGTGTCGCCTCGAGACTCCAACAAAGACTTGCTTTCCTTTGCAGATTGAAACAAAGACCGGAGACTCTGAGGTTGTTCCATGATTTTTGAAGGAATTTGAGACGAATATGAATTGGCGCGTGTCTTGTGTCCCCGCGATTTTGCGAGTTTTGGCGAGCTGATAAGCTGATAAGGAGCTGTTCTGACGCGCAGCAAGTCCGAACCCGGAGACTTCTACATACAGCCACGGTTGGAGCTGATGATCCATATGATACCTATATAGGTACATATATGTCTAGAAATCCCACTGACAGTTTCAAGTTGCAGATACAATCTTGGGGATTCTTATGATATCGTGGAGTCTACTATCCACAAAGTTGTCAATGATCTCTATATCCTGTACGGTATGGCCTTACTTCTGATTTCAAATAAAGAGAAACTGACAGTATAATTGATAGATTAATCGACTTGATTGACCCGAAGATCTCACAACGCTGATCCGAAATCTCCTGGTCCTGCTGGTCCTGCTGGTCCCTCCGGAATTGGCAGTGAGTTAACAATACTGGTGGATCATATATCTCGAAATCTGCTTTATATACTAGTATATCATATATTTTAGTATTTTTTTTTTCAACATCAAACTCAAAGAAAAATAAAGGAAAGAATATGGCGAAAAAGGAAGGGTAGATTGATGAATGTTATCCACTGCTTACAAGTTAAGAAGAAAGCACTTGAGATGAGGAATGAGGAGGAGTAAAAATGGATCCTGTATTCAAACGTTGAAATCGAACTGGTTCAACGTGTGTGTATAGGTAGCAAGGAGATATTATTATTTTGGCCATAACATTACTAACTCTCATTTGGGCATACCGCTTCCAACTTCTCGCCTCCCCATCTTCGTCATCTACAAGCACACGATTATATTTTCCTTTTTCTTCATATCTACTCACACAAGTGATTCTTCTTCTCTCATCACCTCCAACCACAGAACTTTTACACTTTCTTTCTTCATCGTCTTCAGCCACACGAGCGCACCTTCGGCGATCATTAGACCCTGTACACAATCGAGAAACTACGATCCAAGTCACCATGTCCTCCCCTCCCAACGGCAATCCTATTCTCAATGACTCTGAGCAATCTGAGTCCGAAACCGAGCAATTCGTCGCACCCGACGAGACGGTTCAGATGCGGAGAACTCAGAACATGCAATTTCAGGACTTGTGGGTTTACCAGATATAATTATGCGAGTATCGGCTTTGACCTAGGTGCTGACTATTTCCCAGACTAACCCGAAGAGTCAGAGAAGACGTTACTAGCCATACACAACGGGCCAAAGCGGTAGCTGATGCTCCGGACGAGCAACTCAGCCTAGCTAGTCTCGTAGCAAAGAAAGATTTGGGACTTGAGAACCTGGATCCCCGCGCATATCAAATTGAGCTCTTCGAGCGAGCAAAGAATCGGAACATTATTGCAGTTCTTGACACAGGTATGCCCTGACATACATTAACGACAGAAAGGAGGGACTGACAAATTGATAGGCTCTGGAAAGACGCTTATCGCAGTGCTCCTGCTCAGGAATATATTGAAGCAAGAGCTGGAGGACCGCGCAAATGGGAAAAGGCATCGTGTTTCCGTTTTTCTGGTGAGTATGCCCTTTCGATCTCGTCAAATACTACTAGTTTAACAAATCTCAGGTCGACAGTGTGACTCTAGTCTTCCAACAAGCGGCTGTCCTACGAAACAATCTGGATCAGAATGTGGGCCAAATCTATGGTGCCATAGGATCAGACCTTTGGGATGAGGAAATTTGGCAAGCCCAGCTTACCAAGAATATGGCGATTGTGTGCACGGCAGACATAATTCAACAAGCCCTACTCAATGCCTTCATCAAGATGAGCGGGATAAACCTTCTGATATTCGATGAGGCTCACCATACCAAAAAGGAACACCCATATGCCCGGTTAGTAACAGTGAAGTTGCTCTTTTCGCTTTCTTGACCCATGTCATGGTCTGTCTCCATTTTTGTCTTACTTTATGCTAAAATTGCTGACAGCATCATTCGCGATTCCTATCTCAAGGAAGACATTTCAACTCGCCCGAAGGTTTTTGGAATGACAGCATCCCCGATCGATGCTAAGGTTAATATTTCAGAGGCTGCAAGGTGAACTTGATAGATCAGATATTCACTTATACCAAAGGAAAAGGAAAGGGTTACTAACATACCCCCAGAGAGCTTGAGCTTCTTCTAGATAGCCAAATTGCAACCACCTCGAACCTTTCGGCTTTAAGACAAATCGTGAGGAAGCCCACAGAAGAGATACGCAGCTTCAAGAAACTAGTTGAGCCGTATGAAACGGAGCTTTTTAGGAGAATGAAAGAAAAGTTTGGCGATATTAAAGCCCTGGCTCCCATTTTCGAATTCTCACGGGCTGCTAGCTCAGAACTAGGAAGCTGGTGTGCTGATCGAGTATGGGCCAAAACACTCGTGGAAGATGTGATTCCAAAGCTCGATGCTTGTTTAGCAAAGGAAGGTCTGGAGGGATCTGCAGACACTTACCAAGTTGAAAGAGATATTGATAAGGCGAAGGAAGCCTGCGAAATTGTGAAGGCGCACCCCTTCAAAAGTCCTCTAGAGCCCGGGCAGCTCAGCTCAAAAGTGGAGCTTCTGTTGGCCATTTTATCTCGTCATTTTGGCCATGAAAAAGAAAAAAAGTGTATTGTCTTCACTAAAAAGAGAAACACTGCTAGGGTACTGCTGGAGTTTTGCGAACAGCTGAATATTCCCAATTTCCGTCCTGGTGTGCTGGTTGGAATCCGAAAGTCAGACCTCACCGGAGCGACAACCTTTCGGAAACAATTTCTTGTACTTCTCAGGTTTCGCCGGGGAGAAATAAATTGTTTGGTATGATGTACCCTTGAAATAAGACCTGGGTCCTTTACTAACTTCTTCAAAGTTCGCAACATCCGTCGCCGAGGAAGGCCTTGATGTTCCAGACTGCAACCTCGTCATAAGGTATGGCGTTCAAGGCGCTGTTTTTCAAAAAGTGTTGCTAATCTCAAGTAGATTCGATCTATATGACACCATGATCCAATATATCCAGAGTAGAGGGCGCGCAAGGCACGTACACTCAATGGTATGCATACCTCCCCCTGTTTGATCGACATAATCACTAACTTGAATACAGTATATTCATATGGTTGAAATGGATAACGATGAGCACCACAAGCGAATTCAGGAAGGTCAGCAAGCTGAGGTAAGTACGAAGTTAGAATAGGAAGCGAGCCTTTTCTGATACCGAGTATGCAGAATGCAATGAACTCGTTTTGCAGGGCGCTCCCCCAGGATCGACTGCTCTACGGTGATGAGATAAATGTGGATAAGTTATTTGAGAACAAGGGAGAGAAACGGACGTATACCATCCAGTCAACAGGAGCCAGACTGACATATAGGCACGCTATGTACGTGCTATCACGTTATGCTGAATCTCTGGTAAGTCAGCTTCCACAGTCTCAAAGCTCTAACTGCGATAACAATGACGAGATAGCAATACGAAAAGGACATCTCTACACAAGTCACGTACTTTGTTACTTCAGCGGGAAGCTCTTTCTTTTGCGAGGTGATTCTTCCTGAGAAGTCCCCCATCCGAGGATTAACAGGAGGGACGGTATCAACGAAAGTGCTAGCTAAACAGTCAGCTGCGTTTGATATGTGTTTGTTGTTGCGAAAGAAACATCTTTTGGATGATAACTTTAGGTCTATTTATCACAAGCGCCTTCCAGCAATGCGCAACGCAAAATTGGCGATTGTATCGAAAAAGACGAACAAGTACGATATGCTTTGGAAGCCCTCTATATGGAGAGAAAATCAAGGATACACGCCAGACAAGCTTTACATAATGGTGTTTAGCTTTCTTCCTTTACAACCGCTTTCTCGTGAACATCGCAATATTGCGCTTTTGACCCGAGTGCGACTTCCAGTGATTCCAAACTTCCCTATTTTCTTGGAATATGACAAAGAAACTACCATCCAAACCACAGTCGTTAACAGTACAATTTCGGTACTTGACCACGACTTGACTTGCTTGTCTCAGTTTACTCTCGCAGTTTTCAGAGATGCCTTCCACAAAACATTTGAGCCCATAACGGAGACTTTCCCCTACTGGCTTGCTCCAGTCAATACAGAGATATCGATTGATAGCCCCAACATCTTGCCCAAAGATGTCATCGACTGGAAGCTCTTGAATTTCGTGAATGAGAGACCCGAGATAAAATGGTCGAAGGAAATGGATCCTGCCGCGCTTTTGAGTTGCTTCATATATGATTGCTGGGACGGAAGGAGACGCTTCTTTCCACTTAGTATCGATCCCTCCCTTCGAGCTTCAGACACACCACCGTCATATGTGCCTCCGCGAAAGTGGATGACGGACATTTTCAATTATTCTTTGAGTCTTTCTAAGAACTCTCGGCAGAAGGTTGTGGACAAGGCCGACTGGGAGCAGCCGGTCTTAATAGCCGAGTGTGTATGCCTGCGAAGAAACTTCCTGGACAAGGCAACAGATGCGGAAAGAGGAGAGCCGACCAGATCTGTGTTGTGCCCGCAGCCATTAATGATCTCTGCTGTAGGTACTATCCCACTCCCAACGGAGTAATTTGGTTAACAATTTGTTTTTTAGATCCCTATACCCAACGTTACCTCGGCATTAGCCTTTCCTGCCATCATGCACAGGCTTGAGTCATATTTGATTGTGATGGAGGGCTGTCAGTTATTAGGGCTAGAGATAGACCCAATATATGCTTTGGAGGCATTCACGAAAGATTCGGATAATACTGAGGATCATCGCACTCTTCAACTCCATGTCCAACGCGGGATGGGGAAAAACTATGAGCGACTCGAATTTCTGGGGGACAGCTTCCTTAAGATGGCTACCTCCATAGCACTTTTTTGTCAGAACCCAGATGATGATGAATATGAGTATCATGTCAATCGGATGGTTCTCATATGCAACAGAAATCTTTTCAACGCCGCTACAAAGATTGGTCTCTACAAATACATCCGCAGCCGTGGATTCTCTCGGTGAGTTCTTTCATTTTCATTTTCTCCCTGCCGCTGGTGCTAAGCATATCCCTTTTGCCATTTTCTCTTCTAAAAAGTCTAACCCTTGTCATTCTTGAATATTCACAGACACGCATGGTACCCGCCAGGACTACAGCTTCTTCACGGTCGAAATTTCGTCCGGCACCTTGAGTCTGAAAGTAACCATAGTTTGGGTGAAAAAACTATAGCCGATGTTTGTGAGGCTCTCATCGCAGCATCGTTCCTTACAGAAGGAAAGGAACATCCATTCGATACGGCAGTCCAAGCAGTTACCGTTTTCGTTGACAGTGAGAACCACAAAGCAACGTGCTGGAAAGACTACGAATCCTCATACACAAAACCGAAATACCAGTTAAAGGCAGCTGACGCAAATGAGAAAGATTTGGCCAATAAGATCTTTGATCTCATAGGCTATCGCTTTTCATATCCTCCCATTCTTCGATCTGCATTCACCCATCCTTCATACCCCTCCGCCTGGGCAAAGGTACCTTGCTATCAGCGGCTCGAGTTTCTCGGCGATGCCCTTTTAGACATGGTCTGCGTGGATAGTCTTTTCAAGCGTTTCCCGGATAAAGATCCTCAGTGGTTAACTGAGCACAAGGTAAGTAATTGGGAATGAGAGGTATATACATCTTCCAACGGCTGATCAAAAGCAGATGGCGATGGTCTCGAACAAGTTCCTTGGCGCACTCGCTGTGAAGCTGGGGTTTCATCGACACCTTCAGCACTTTAGCAACCCTATCCAGTCAAGCGTACCACAATATGCTGAGGAACTACAACTTGCCGAGGAAGAAAGCAAAGGAGCAATGGACTATTGGCTTGGAACGAAGGAATCACCAAAGGTAAATAGTATTCTAGCATCTCTTATCTTATAACGCTGACGGCATATAATCAAAGTGCTTACCTGACATGGTCGAAGCATTCGTCGCTGCCATATTTGTTGATTCTGGCTTCAACTACAAAGTTGTGCAAGACTTTTTTGACACGCATTTCAAACCATTTTTTGTCGACATGACATTATATGACAGCTTCGCCAGTAGGCACCCAACGGTACGATCAAATACTACAGTACGAATGTTTGAGTGCTCGACTAATCATGAAATAGACTTATCTCCACATGCAGCTGACAAACATTTACGGATGCACAAACTATTGCTTGAAATCAGGGGAGATTCCTTCCTCAGATGGTGACCCGCCGCTTATCTTGGCCGCCGTTATGATACATGGTATTCCAGTCGGTGAAGACACTGGAACCTCTAGTCGATATGCAAAAGTTAGAGCAAGTCACAAAGCTCTAGATGAAATCAGTGGCATGCTACAGCAAGACTTCCGCCGCAAATTTGGCTGTAACTGTCGCGAAGTGAACGCCAAGGAAGAAAATGCTGGCGACCTTGGGACTGCGATATGATTTTTCAAGTCTTCGGCTTTCTTTGCGTCTACTTCTATCTTGCCTATTTATTCTTCTGTTTTGATCAGTAAACATATCTTTCTATCATTAAGACTGGCAGGTGTTTACACAGGTGACTAGTCTTTGAGCATTCAATAGAATTATGAGAAACGATGATTTTTTATATGAATCCTCCAAATAAAAATAACCAGAGAAATCAAACAGATCAAGAGGGTTCATATAAAAGCTAGAATTTCCACTGATTCATCCAGTTTTCCATCAGGGGAGCGTCGATTGCTTTCAGCTCACGCAGGGTCTTACTGGGAGCTTGTGTCTTCACTGTTCCTATCCATGGTCCAACCTCAGTCGCTGCCGTTCCTTGGAAGAAGCTCAATAGTTTCAAAGCTGGTTTGTCTCGGAGGTCCTTATAAATAGGGTTGGTGAAGCCTGCCAAAGTGTCAAGCCATGTCTTGAAGTCCACTGGCTCGGCATCAAAATACTTTGTTACGGCGGGTATTAGCGATGATCAATCAGCAATTTTCGGGTTGACAATATGAAAGATAGCACAAGGCTCCTCATCTTTTGTAGTACGTCGGCCGCGCACAGTTTCAGTAATAACCTTGGCAGTGGTATCCTACTTTATGTTAGATAGATCGTATATAACGAAAGTAGGAAGAAACATACAACTGGACCCACTGAAATGAAATAGATTCTGGGGACTTGGGGATTTGCTTCAATGCTTTCGATGTGGCGATTAATGAAGGCAGCCATTCCTGTTTATTCCACATGCCCTTTTCTGTCGTTGGACCGCCAATCTGACCAACTCGGTGGATTGTAGTGGGAACCCCAGCTCTAGCTGAAGCAGCGGCATATATTCTCTCAGAGACATGTTTGACTCTCCATATCCTTGCCGCACGTTGTACTTAGATCCTTGAAAATAATTTCAGGAATTGATGGGCCTTGCTCAAAACTGGACCCTTCAACAGTCGAAATTGAGGAAATGAAATGAATATGAGCAGTTCTCTCACTGAAAATACTCAACTCTATTAAGCGGCGCACTCCTGCAATATGAGGTTCCTCAAAGGCTTCGACCCGATGATTGAAATTGACCTTCCAAGCATTATGAATGACCGTGTCGACGCATTGTAAAAGCTCTTCATAGTTGTAGTTCTCCAGCCCGAGCCTTTCGAATTGAAAATTCACATGAAGAAACTCCACACGCTATGGGAATTGCTTGAAAAAGGCAAGTCCCTTCTCTTGCAGACTTTGTAGTTGTCTTTCTCCTGCGTCTACCGATCTGTTGAGACAGTAAATCTTAGTGACTGTGAGATCACAGAGAAGCTCTGACAACAGGTATACCCCCAGGGATCTGGTAGAACCAGTAAGAAGGACAGCATGGCTTTCTCCAAGATCGTCTGTATATTTTCCAACCAAGTTTGCAAGTCTTGCTTCACGATCAAGATCGCTTTCTGCAATTTCGTCCAGCGGACTTGGATCCTGACCTTGGAGTAAACCATAGACATATTCACTCAGTTGATGAACTGTTGGTCGAGAGTATAGCTGCGGGTTATCAAATGCTGCTCCAAAGTCACCTTCCACGGACTGGAGGGACGCCCGAAGACTTTGTCCAAGATTAAGAGTTTGAAGTGAGTCAATTCCCAATGCAAAAATATCTGCGTTTTCATCGATGATAGGAACAGGCGAAATGCCGGATATTATTACTGTAATATGCGCCGTGATATCTGACTTGGTAGCGTCTTGGGTGAGTTGCGCAACATCTGGTAGATCAACCCTTTCGTAAATATTGTTGATCTCTTCTTCGTAGTCTGCCAGAGTGGGATGTCGCCTTACAGTGCCCTTCGGGGTAAGCTGGAATGGCTTGGATTGCAAAGAAATAGCGACATGACTTTTTATCAACTGCGCATGGCCAGGAGCTGTTCGATTAGCCTGTTCAATTGTCGACCAAACCTCATTTATGAGCTCAGTTGGCTCGCTAGACCATATACTCCAATCAGGTTCAATCAGAACGGAAGGCTGGAAGCGACTTTGGCCAAGGACTATAGCTCGGTTGACAATATGATGTCCATAAATGATCTTTTCCATAGTTGTAGGGTTGAACTTTTCTCCATTACTGAGAACTATAAGATCATCTCGTCGACCAGAATAATGCCACAGATTACCTTTCTGAGGATGGCAAACGAAGAAATCTCCGGTTCGGTACTCCTGTTGATCTGGGGAAGTATGGAAAGCGCCTTGGGCGACACGGCCCTCCGCACGATTGACCACAAGTTCAAAAAGACCATCACCAGCGTCTTGCATGATTATTCCGGCGTTGGGGTTTGGTTGAAAGTAGCTCCAATCCTCTTTCTCTTCGGTTTTCAATAACCCAAACATTCCACATTCGCTGGATCCGAAGGAGATTTGCAGGTGAGTGAGTCCGGCAACATGATCGCCAATTTCAGAAGCTAAAGGTGCACCTCCAAATATAATCGAGCGAATTTGCGCAAGTATTTCGTTCCTAGTTCAGACCTCGCAAGGATCTCTAGCACTGATGGGATAAATATACCAGTTTGGGGGTTTTGCTCCTCGACTATCTGAGAAAATAGCTCGACTGTCAAGGACCTATCCGGTACCAGGACAAAGGGAGTGGAGAAAAATATTGGAGCTGACATGCCAATGAGGCCCATGATATGGAAGAAGGGACCCATCACAATTAGCGCGAAGATTCTGCGATCACATGAACAAACCGCTGGTTTTGCTTTCTGAAGTTGAGAGAAATCCAGTCTGCTCCAAGGCAAGGAGATAACCATTGGTAATTGGAACAGGTGTAGGTAGCCCTGCCAAGTTGAGTCAATTTGAATTATCCTGGATTGACCTATGATTATTATCCGCCATGAAAAAAGACATACCTGTCGTTTTAGAGCTATGGATGTATAATGCAATGCGATCCTCCGAGTCCTCGCCCGGCTCCTCAGCGCGGGGAGTATCGACATTTTTGTCGAAAATTTTCTAAAGACTTGGAACCTCCCAAAACTCAATAGTGGAGTACACAGCAGCGAGATCACTTATTTGTCGGCTTCGCTCTGCTGTATAAACCATTTTGGTAGACCCAGTCGAATTCAATAAGTGTTGAGATGCCACTACAGAGTTTCTAGTCGAAAGAAGTAGGGGCTAAAGACAATTCTTAGAATATCTGTCTCATCCATATCTGGTCCAAGTAGTACTAACCTTATGTCGCAACGTCATACAAGCTAGAATAAATGCGACATACCGAATATCACTTGTTCCAACAAATGCTAGAGTCTCAGATTGATTAGAAGAAATGACATTCTCTCGAATCCAGAATGCCATATAGTTGGCAGCTCTTGCTATATCGGCGAAGCTGATGTCTTTTCATCCTTCAGAGAGATCAGGTATTACTGATTGAACACAAAATAGTCTCTCGGGATCGCTTTCCGCAATATACTCTGTAATGCGCACCAGAGATTTCTGGAAATCGACGATGGACCCCATGATGAGATAAGAAATTCAACCAGGATAGCGAATCTCAAAATTATTTCGTTGTTTGTCCATATCGTTGGCTACATTGGTGTCTACTTATACTTTGTCTGGCGGAGCTGGCGGAGCTGAACCTTCGCCATGAGGAAATGTAGCCATTCACGCCTCCACAATCCATCGATCGCGGAAGGCTGGTTGCACGTTGCTCCTGGCGCCTCTCAAGGCCGTGGCATCAGACGTGGCACAGCTGAATTGAGATTCTGTCCTATGAGATTATGCGTAGGGTCCTGGAAAATGAGAGGTGGGGTTCCATGATAGGTAATTGCCTTCGTCGATCATATCAGTACGACCAGCTTTGCATAATGAGGGGTTGTGCCATTGCAAGCGTTTCTGTAGGTACTTCAGTCTACATTCAATATTAATGGGCGGGGGGCTCAATGTAGCTGTAGCTACGCGCGATTGAATTGAATACTTTGGGCAGTAATTCAGTGGCATAGCCGACCGAACAAACCACATGTGACTCGATCTCCTATGAACTTTAAGAAGCATGATCGAACATCAGGAGTCAATCCCGTTGAAGTTTGGCACCATATCTAAGACACTAAGTATACATTGTAGCTAGTTCTGCGCATTCTTTTCCAGGTAGGGCTCATACAAGATTTAAAGAAGAACTATAGAGTACCTAATCGGATCTACACACTCCAGCCTTTCAAAAAAAAAATGTGACATACGGTAACTTACAAATCTTTAGATTGACAGATCATCAGTACTAGTGACGATTTTAGGCCCATCGGCAGATAGTCTGTATCATGATATTCCTGCTTGCCACAAGCTTGGTCATGGGATGTACATCTAGCATTTACTAGTAGTTTCCTGTTTTCCTTTGGTACTTACGTATTGATTTGCATACGATCAATCGTTTCTTAATTTAAGTAAATTTGAGCATTCAATGAAGAAGATCATATCCCCACTGATAGGGCGTTCTTGGGTCCACTACTATTTGATATAGAGGCACGGTGCTCTTACCCTAGCTTGTCACAAACCGCAGAAAACGAAAGGCCGACACTGAACCAGCGGTATCAGCAGGCGATCTTATTCAATAGGTAAAACATTATTATTAGCAAGCCTATCAATCCATACAGGCAAACATTTCATGGATTTGAAAACCGCACTCAAATTCGGAAAAACAACGCGCCTTGCCCTCTTGTTCATCTACCGGAGACTTCATAAAGAGGTGACGTGGCAGCTAAAGTAGCGGAATAAAATAGGAAATGGCTATAACTTTGTACATTCAAATTTATTTACTCTCCAAAATCTTATTGCGCTTCTTGTTTTTGACTCACCTATGGGGGCCCATAGCGATCACCAGGGAAAGCCCCATTTTTGCCTGTTCTTGGCCGGCAAAAAACCACTAGGCCTGCCTTACACATCAATGTATAACTTCAAATTCTATTTAGGCCTGTTGGATATCGCTAAGTTAAGCTTCAATCCTGCCATCTTAATATATATATTCGAGATGTCACCTTTCTCTCTTTGAATGAACTTCAAGCTCAAATTACTAGCATGATCTAAAATATTTGGAAAACAAGACATTTCTCTATTTGCGTTTCCAATTCTCTTTACAATTCTCTTTCCACTTCCCTTTCTACTCGTCTTCTTAATCATCTTCCTGCGTGTATTTCTATTTGGTTTTTTATCAGTGTAGAGCTTACAGTATAGGTAGCGGTGTAATAAAGGATAAATGTTACCGATGGCCACGGGGGTTTTACTCACCGAATACCAATTTATTTGGCAAATGTTCACATAACCTAAACTCTTCCAGGGTTGTCCCTACTGTTTTATCAAATCTGGTATACCCTACGCTGCTACAGTAACTTTTACTCGAGAGAAGCATGTATACTGAAGCATGCATCCGATGTCCAGCATTTAAAAGAACATACCTGGTCGGGTCTACAATACGCCCCCGAACTATTCCACTCGAGATGCGTACAATGTGGAGCTCAGAAGCTCTAAGGAAGTCGATAACAGGGTTTATTGACAATGTGTGACAGGGCACAGTCTGTCTTTTCTATTCAAGTTCAAGGCAGATAGGGAAGCAGATTGGGTTTGCTCTTCAGTATCACAATTTAGATTTCCTACTCTATAGCCGGATATTCTGTTCCTATATGCGTTTGTTGAAGCTGAAATTCTCACGACTCATTAGCTCTAGCTCCTTGATAGACAGGAATGATTAGTTCCACTTTGTTCCTCCGGATAATAATTTATCACTTGATAACTGATACAAGTAAATCAATCACCTGACGGTTGCATAGACCATACAGCTCCCCGCCAAGTCCCCCGAGGGACGAAGTAGGACAACGCCGTCAGGTATAGAATAATGAGAGGGGCAAGAATGAATCAAAATTTTCGAAAACTCGGAAACTCACTGTCCACATAAATGTACGTCGAACTTTATTTGCATCGGTAAAGATAGTATGGAAATAAGCACAGTAATTCGAAGGCAAAACAATCCAACGGACTTTTCAGAGGCTAAAAGAGCCTAGCGATCGCCATCTCGTTTCAGATCATAGAATCGAATTTTAAAGCGTGGTATGAGTGCCTATTTACAGCCGCGTTCCTGCAAAATGTGCCTGGTTTCAATTAGATCTAGCTTGTTACGAAATTGACGTCCGGTCCCGAGGTCCCTAACCAAGACCATCAGATCATTGCCCATTCTTAGATGGCCAATTTACAAGGGACGATAAGTTATAAATACCCCTATTTACTGTAAATGAGTGATATCCATCCATTCTATCTTCATAACAAATTTATCAAAACTCCAAGCTCCAACGCTTCGCTTCCAATCTTCAAAATGCGTTTCATCTTGCTCGCTGTTTTCGCCTTTGTCTGTGCCGTTATGGCTGCCCCGGACAGCAAGGCCACCAAGGTATGAGAATATTATAGAAACAGCTATGGGCGATCTAATAATACCCTTAGGTTCCCAACGGCAGTGCCTGTAAACAGGACGGTAGCATGGGTAACTGCGAAAGTAACTTCTGTCTGGTATGTGCTAAAATCAATATGTCGTCTGTATGTTTAAAACGGGATATTAACCTCATATGCAGCAAACTCCCACCGAAGTTACTGGGGTCTGTCAGTAAATGAAGGCCAGAACTATCCAGGAATAAGCGCCTGGCTCATACTACAAGTACCTAATAAGAACGATGGATCTACAGTGTTAGTTCTGATTGGACAATTTTAAAAAACAAATCAATAAATGAATTTTCAATTTTTTCTCTCATAGTAAGCCAACGGGTGATAACATGCCAGTAAAAATACTAGAGATTTCTTTCAGCTATCAGCCCAGAATCAATTAAAACTGCTTAGTTTGTTGTGTCTGACAAGTCGCCATGTTACAAAGGCCCCTGTCATATTGAGCCCAACGAGCCTTCGCTTATAGCCCCTGTCTTATACAACCACCCAATATTGTCAATGAGGCGGTCAATGCACCCGCTGCAGTCTCACGGCGCGCTTCAGGGGCAGTCTTTTATTTTCATCTAGACTTCTGTGAGTGAAGAAGGATCTCAATAACCACAGGCTTATCATCGTGCCCAAGACGCTGCCTCTTCTTCGGAAGGAAATCACCTACTCAACAGCCGCAACCGAAGAGGACAACATCCTTCATAGGCTAAAATATGTCGATTAGCGAATCAAATTTTTTACATCGCTTTATGTCAATGTCGATTGGATTACAGAGACAGTGGCAAATCATCTGGGTCTTTCTGCTAGTCAATGTGAAGTCGTTGGTGTCGAAGACTGGTTACACGGCAGTTTCAATGTCTGCGTCCCTGTGGACATCAAAGGCAAGAAATTCAATCGTGTGTTGATCCGGTTCCCACTCCCATATCATGTAGGGGAGAATGTGTGCCCTGGAAATTCGGACGAGAAACTTCGTTGCGAGGCAGGGACGTATGCGTGGATGCAGGATAATTGCCCTGATGTTCCCATTCTACGGCTTCATGGGTTCGGGCTGTCTAGTGGACAAGCTGTAAGTGATGCTCTATTCAATGTTGATCTTTTCTTATTGAGTAATTGATTGGGCTCAGAACGGTAACGCTAATCTGGAAAATGAGCCTTGGCCTTTTAGTTTACACATATTGGCAATCTATATCCTTTGAATCGCGCCCTGCAGTAAAGCAAAAATATATGACGAGGTCAGAATGGAATACCTGGGTGTCATGGCCGAAGAAGAAAAGAAGACGCCACTAGCCTGCAAAGAGAATAATAAAGCAGGCCCCAAGTTATCTGAGATTCTGGAAGATAATTGGCAATCTGGGACATTCTGGTATTCTTTAGCACTTGACAGCCCGACGGGATTTTCTGGATTTTCCATCACCAACTCAAGCCTCGCTTTACTAAGAGCTTTGAGGGTTTCAATGACGACGGGTTCCAGGAGGCGCTTTGCTGCTTCTGGTCAAAGGACCTCGTGCGCATATCTATCGATAAGATGAAGGATAGGGAGCAGTATGATGCTCAACTCAAAGAATTTTCTAAGGTCACTGATGAACAGGAAGATCATGATGAAGCTGTTGAGGTAAAAGAAGAAGATAATAACAAGTCTTCTGAGTCCACAGGCTAGGATAAGGTTACGATGGTTGTTGAAAATTTTTGGTGAGCCAGAATTTGAAAACCTCGACATTGCAATAACTTGACATTTCCAATTGCGGAACTTCAGGCTACTAGAAGTTAGTTTCTCACATGTGCATAAATTCATTCTTTATCTAGTTGTTCTGACTTTTTAAATAACCTAAGTCCACTGGCCTTGGTTACTGAGTCCGAGTCTATTACCCACCGTGACGGCTTGGAGCAGGTAGGTACTATAATCATGCTCATGATGTTGGGCATCACCGTTGAATGACTCAGAATGCTGGCAAAAACACGGGCACCAATCGCTCCCTGGATTTATATATTGTGAGGACCAAGTCGACCATGAACAATAAAAACATGATTAAGTTTGGAGAATACCTATGAAGTCAGGTCGTAGAATATTCTACTATAAACCATCAAGAGCATTCACCATCAATGTTATACATATAGTAGATGCTTGACGATGGAACGGGTCAGGAACCCGGCAGCGTCACATGGTTGGGCGTGACACGCTTAACCATATTCGGCTTAGCCCCTTCTCCCCTGAACTGTACGGACAAACACCGCGTATCTGTTATCTCCAGGCGACTGACGACAGACTCCATTACTTTGTTCGACTCTTCTCTTCTCAGTATTAATTTAATTTTGAAGCCTTTGGCTTTTATTCCTTTCCATCTTTTGGTACCAGTCCCCCGTCGCTGACCCGTCATCTACTTTTGTTGGTCGACGCGACCCCTGTCAACAATTTAATCCTTTCACGCCGATCGCGCTCCTCCATTCTCAATCTTCGATGATCCCCCCGAAACTGTCGCTCTAGAGTTGGAATAAACTATGGAAGTTGCTGCGCCAGGGGCGCCAAATGGCGTTTCTATGCCAGATCCGGCAGCTCTGGTGGATTCAGGTGCTGTGGTCCAGTACCTGACAGACGTTCTCCAGGTGACACTGGGGGCTCTGAAAACCGAGTTGGAAAGCGCTGGGAGCTTGCTCTCCTCCGCCAGATACAACGACACTCTGCAGCGATGCACGCGATTTGCGTCTGAATCGCAGGTCGCGGTTTACGTGCAGAAGGATATTGTGGCTGCAGAAGAGACAAATGGCGAAACGGACGCTGCTGGTCAGTCTACTAATTATTGCTTTGCCCGAGGCGGTTTCTTTCCCCAATACTGACGCTGGCGCTATAAAATAGAACCTTCGATACAGTATATCTATACATTATCTTCCGAAATCTCCTCCGCCTCTACTACCGTTTCGTCCGTGGCCTTTATCAAACGCCCTGCCCCTATCGACCCTACTCTCTCAATCGCCGCCCAAATTCAAGTCATGAATCTGCCTGGACCTGCATCTCTTAACAATGCTCAGTCACAGCAGGGAACTTCTTTGTCACCCTTCCAGGTCATCCACCTGATGCTTCACCATGGTCTGACGCCTTACTTCGAAGCCAACACTCGTAACCAGGAAAAACTCTCAGGCACCAAGCCGCGAACGGATACGGAGGCGAAGACCGGAATTCCAGGCACGAAGAAGAGGTTTGCGGAATTGGAACTCGGTTTGATGCATCTCCAGCAAAATGTGGAGATCCCAGCTTTAAACTTGCCTTTGCACGAGGTAGTCCAGGCCGCATTGAAAGAGGCCGAGACACAGGGTACCAGGCCATCCGTCGAGCTTATTCCGTCAACCGTCTTAGATAATAGTGCGTTTACAAACAGTATCCAAAACACCGTGAATGGATGGATTAGGTCGATCCAGACCATCACTAAGATATCGCGGGATCCAGAGGGAGACTCAGCATCTCCGGAGGTCAACTTCTGGCTATCCATGGAATCGGCTTTGGAGGGAATTGAGGCCCAGCTGCAGGGCGATGGCGTGAAATTGACAATGGACATCCTGCGTCATGCTAAGCGCTACCAGCCCACCCTCAGTTTCCAGGCTGATACAGGTTTGAAAGATGCCACCGAATTGGTCCAGAAGTACAACCAGCTCATGCGCGATTTTCCTTTGGACGAGTTGCTCTCTGCAACCTCTCTGCAAAAAGTTCAAGAGTCCCTGGGCTTGATTTTCAATCATTTGAACAAGAAGCTGAAGATTTGCCCCTACCCAATCAAGCGAGCGCTTTCCCTTGTTGAGGCTATTTCTGGAGACTTAGACAAGCGGATCCACGAACTCATTAATGGACGTGAGATCCTTCACCTTGATTATCGCGATTTCCGCTCATTGATGAAGGTGACCCAAGCAATTTGGCGCACTTGGGATGAGAACCTCAAAGAATTTACCAATGTGGCCCGTGAATCAACAAGACGTCGCAATGAAAAATTCATTCCAATCAAGATAAATGCTAGAATCGATAATGTTCGTGAAAGATTGAAGTACATTGATACCTTCCGAGTCAACCACGAGCAGCTTCAGAAGACTATCATCAATGTTCTTGGGCCTAAATCCTCGACCTCGGAGTCTGGAGTCGTGGATGCTGATGGCGCTGTTATTGTGGAGGAAATCGGTGATGTCGATGCCGTTGAGGAAGTCACCCACGCATATGCTGCTCTCCAGAATATTGACGTTTTGGATGTTTCTGAAAAAGGAGCGCGAGACTGGGAAAATGCCGAGATCGGCTACAGTGAGCGCACATCTCGCGTTGAAAACTCAATTATCGCTCGCCTCCGTGATCGTCTCGCCACTGCTAAGAATGCCAATGAGATGTTCCGTGTCTTCTCCAAATTCAACGCTCTGTTGGTTCGGCCTAAGATTCGAGGAGCTATCGGTGAATATCAAACACAGCTCATTGACAACGTGAAGCGGGACATATCCGCTCTCCACGAGCGATTCAAGCAGCAATATGGCCACTCAGAGGCTCATGCAATGGCCCAGCTGCGTGATTTACCACCTGTATCTGGAGCTATCATCTGGGCTCGACAGATTGAACGCCAGCTTGATGGCTATATGCGCAAAGTTGAGAACGTTCTTGGAGAAGACTGGCATCTGCATGCCGAAGGTGAAAAGCTTCAGGCTGAAGGCAATCTGTTTCGCAAGAAGCTGGACACGCGGCTCGTATTCGAGTCGTGGCTTTACGATGTGCAAAGACGGCATATCACGATTTCTGGCCGACTCTTCAACGTTATAAGGAACCGTGCCGCAGGAAATACGCTTGAACTCACCGTAAATTTCGATGCTCAGATCATCGCCCTGTTCAAAGAGGTTCGCAACCTTATCTGGCTGAACTTCCAAGTTCCTCATGCTGTTAGCAACATCTCTAAAGAGGCTAAACGTGTTTATCCATATGCGATAAGCTTGATGGAGAGTGTGCGAACTCTTTTGCAGACCAACCGTACCATTGCCTCAATGTCTGATGTCTCTATTCTTCTTAATGGTTACGTTAATGACTCACAAGCCATGGTCAGCAAGGGCATTCCTTTGCGATGGGAGTCTTTTGTCCATTCCTATGAGCTTCACGTTAAACAATCGGCTCTGGCCAATGGATCTATTGACCCCTCCAAGCCTAGGGGCAACGAAAGCAAGCATGTTCAATTTGTTCGAGAGTTCGCTGGCTCAGCTTCCGTTCTCCAGAACAAGACCGCTGTTTTATCATCCATCAATGAAAGCATCCAAAAGGCAGTTCACGAGTTGAAGACATGCTCCTACAATGCCACTGCTTTCAAGCAGCGACTAGACATAATCCAAACTGCAGTGGATAAGCTCAATCTCGAGAACTACGTCAATCTTGAATACTGGGTCTCTGAACTCAATGGCAAGATCGAAGCCATTCTTCGCGAGCGGCTGCTCCGTGCGGTCCGCGAATGGATCACCACATTCCAGCAGTCTCGCAATGAAAGCTTTTCCCTTCAAACAAATGGTGAATCAGAGGCTACTGCGTACAGCATTGAGTTTTCTGAGCTCTTCCATGAAATTTCGATGAAGAACCAAGTTCTTCATTTGGATCCGCCTCTGCAATTTGCTCGTGCCAGCTGGTTCTCGCACTTTGACTCATGGCTTGGCGTGATCTGCAATCTCGAGAAAATCAAAGCAACTCGCTATCAAATTTCCCTTGATGTGCAAAGCGTTCGTCAGTCTGAAGCTTGCTTCGCTGATCTTCCGCAGCACTGTACTACTGAGTTGAACCAAGTTTATAGCGTGGTGGAATCTCGACTGAAGGATGTGTCAGAATACGTTGATAAGTGGCTGCAATTCCAATCTCTCTGGGACTTGCAATCTGATCAGGTTTACGATATCCTTGGAGATGATCTTTCTCAGTGGCTTCAACTGCTTCAAGAAATCAGAAAGAGTCGCGCTACATTCGACACCTCTGAAGTCAGCCGGGCCTTCGGAAACATTCGCATTGACTATGAGCAAGTTCAAACCAAGGTCAATGCCAAATACGATCAGTGGCAGCATGAGATCTTGCAGAAATTCGGCGCCAAACTTGGCGCTCGCATGCGAGAAGTACACTCAGAGATCGCTGCAGCTCGCCGTGATCTAGAGGGACAGACACTGGAAGCCTCTTCCACGGCCCACGCCGTCTCCTTTATTACAATCGTTCAGCAATGCAAGCGAAAGACTCGAATCTGGGAGCCCGAGGTTGACATGTTCCGCCAAGGCCAAACCACTCTCGCTCGTCAGCGCTATCAATTCCCAAGTGACTGGCTTCACGTGGAGAATGTGGATGGCGAATGGGCCGCCCTGAACGAGTTGCTTACTCGAAAAAGCAAAATCGTCCATGACCAAACCGAAGGACTTCGCGCAAAAATTGCCGCGGAAGATCGTGTCATCGGTGACAAGATCGCCGAGGTTATCGGGCAATGGAACGATGAGAAGCCTGTTTCAGGCACAATCCCTCCAGAGGAGGCGTCTCGCACCCTCAGCTCTTTCCAGTCCCGTCTTGAGTCCCTCCAGTCCGAGTTTGAGATGGTCTCTAAAGCCAAGGAAGCTCTTGATCTTCCTGCCAGCTCCGAGTCATCATTGCCTGCCATCCTTGAGGAAGTCCAGGACTTCATGTCCGTGTGGGCAGCACTTTCTACAATCTGGAAGAGCTTGAACGATCTTCGTGACGGACTCTGGACTAGCGTTCAGCCCCGAAAGCTCCGCCAGTCTCTGGATGGGTTGATCAAAATGACCAAGGAAATGCCTAGCCGCATGAGACAATACGCTGCATTCGAGCACATTCAGAATGTCCTTCGCCAACTTTTGAAAGTCAACTCTCTGCTGTCCGACATGAAGTCTGAAGCAGTCAAGGAAAGACACTGGCAAAAGATTTACAAATCCTTGAAACCTGGCAAACGATTTTCCCTAGTGTCGCTGACTCTGGGTGATGTCTGGGATTTGCAACTTGCCACGAGTGAAAACATTATTCGTGGTGTGATCGCGCAGGCCCAGGGCGAAATGGCCCTCGAGGAATTCTTGAAGTCTGTTCGCGAGACATGGCAGAACTACTCCCTGGATCTTGTCAACTACCAAAACAAGTGTCGTCTTATCCGTGGTTTCGATGACTTATTTGCCAAATGCAGTGAGAATCTTAACTCCCTGCAAGCGATGAGGCATTCGCCATACTACAAGGAGTTCGAAGAGGAAGCCACCTCTTGGGAAGATAAGCTTAACCGTGTTCATGTTCTCTTTGATGTCTGGATTGATGTTCAGAGACAATGGGTCTATCTTGAGGGTGTCTTTACAGGAAACGCAGATATCAAGCATCTGCTGCCTCTTGAGTCCAGCCGCTTCCAGAACATTAATTCGGAATTCTTCGCTGTCATGAAGAAGGTGTACAAGTCTCCATTTGTCCTGGACGTTCTCGCAATCAACGGTGTCCAGAAGTCTTTGGAAAGATTGGCTGAACTGCTCAACAAGATCCAGAAGGCTCTTGGTGAATATCTGGAACGCGAACGTGTTTCCTTCCCTCGATTTTACTTCGTCGGAGATGAAGATCTGCTCGAGATCATTGGTAACAGCAATGACATCTTCCGCGTTGCCAAGCACTTCAAGAAGATGTTTGCCGGTTTGTCGGGCATTCTCATGGATGATGATAACAACATTGTTGGTATCACCTCCAAGGAAGGCGAAGAGGTTCGATTGAAACGCGAGGTCAACCTTATCAAAACACCCAGAATCAACGATTGGCTCACTGCGCTGGAGAACGCCATGAAGTTGACACTTGCAGAGCTTCTTGGCGAGGCTGTTGAGCAGTTTGACACTCTCTACAGCGCCCCCGAAGTCGACCGAACTGCCTTTAATGACTTCCTGGCCAACTATCCTGCCCAAGTTGTTGTTCTTGCTAGTCAGGTCGTGTGGACAAATGTCGTACAAAAGTCCCTGGAGGAAGGTGGCAGCAACCTCTCTACCTTGCAAGATTCACAAATCAGAATCCTCGAGTTACTGGCCGCCACTGTGCTTGGAGAGCTCGATGCTATCACCCGCAAGAAATGTGAACATATGATTACCGAGTTTGTTCACCAACGTGATACCATTGCTAAATTAATCGAGTTCAATGCCACTACACCAACCCACCACCTTTGGCTACTCCAGATGCGTTATGTCTACCAGCCCGAGGGTGATTTCCTTCAGCGTCTCTATGTCCACATGGCAAACGCCAAGCTCAACTATGGTTTCGAGTACTTGGGTGTCCCAGAGCGACTTGTCCGCACCCCGCTTACAGACCGATGTTTCCTTACTCTTACCCAGGCTCTTTGCCAGAGACTCGGTGGTTCTCCGTACGGTCCTGCCGGTACCGGAAAAACAGAGTCTGTTAAGGCTTTGGGTCTTCAATTGGGTCGTTTCACCCTTGTATTCTGCTGTGATGATACCTTCGATTTCCAGGCCATGGGCCGTATCTTCCTTGGTATCTGCCAAGTTGGCGCTTGGGGTTGTTTCGACGAGTTTAACCGTCTGGAGGAACGCATTTTGTCTGCGGTCTCTCAGCAAATCCAAAACATTCAGATTGGACTGCGAAAGGACGAAGATTCTAAGACTCAAATCGAACTCGTCGGAAGGAAGCTAGCTGTTAACCCCAACACTGGTATCTTTATCACCATGAACCCTGGTTATGCAGGCCGATCCAACTTGCCCGACAACTTGAAGAAATTGTTCCGTAGTGTCGCCATGTCCAAACCCGATAAGGAACTCATTGCCGAGGTCATGTTGTTCTCCCAAGGTTTCAAACAAGCCAAGCCTTTGTCTAAGCAAACTGTGCCATTCTTCGATCATTGTGCTGCTCAATTGACCAACCAAGCTCATTACGACTTCGGTCTCCGTGCTTTGAAGAGTGTCCTTGTAAGCTCTGGTGGTCTTAAACGTGCCCGTCTCGCGCAATCGGAGGGAGATCTTGGTCCCGATGATGTTATAGAACCCCAGATTATCGTTCAGAGCTTGCGTGAAACCATTGCGCCCAAGCTTGTACAGGAAGATGTCGACAGAATGCTTGGAATTCAGATGGAAGACTTCCCTGGTGTTGACTATGTTCCTGCCAACTTCGAAAAACTTACCCAAGCAATCCGGGACATTGCCCATGAACAACACTTCGTTGACAGCGATATGTGGATCGCTAAGGCTCTTCAACTGTACCAAATCCAGAGCATCCACCATGGTGTCATGATGGTTGGAAAGTCCGGAGCTGGAAAATCTGCTGCTTGGAAAATTCTTCTGCAGGCTATGCAACGCGTTGAAGGCGTAGAGGGTGTCTTCCACATTATTGACTCCAAGGTTATGTCAAAGGAAGCCCTCTATGGTAACCTTGACAGCACTACTCGCGAGTGGACTGACGGTCTCTTCACTGGTATCCTCAGAAAGATCGTCGACAACCTTCGAGGTGAAGACAGCAAGCGCCACTGGATTGTCTTTGATGGTGATGTTGATCCCGAGTGGGTTGAGAACTTGAACAGTGTGTTGGATGACAACAAACTGCTCACCCTCCCCAACGGAGAGCGTCTCAATCTGCCCCAGAATGTTCGCATCATGTTTGAAGTCGAGAGTCTGAAATACGCTACCCTCGCTACTGTCAGTCGTTGTGGTATGGTATGGTTTAATGCTGATACTGTCACTGCTTCTATGATGATATCCAATTACGTCGAGGGCCTCAAAACGAAGACTTTCGAAGACTTGGACGATGATAGTGCTCCTGCCGGAACGACTGCCGCCAAGACACAGGACACACAAGATTCACTTTCCACGATTCTCAAACAGCATCTTGAAACTGATGACATCGTTCTCAAGTCATTGGATGAAGCGAAGAAGTACAATCACATCATGGAGTTTACCGATATTCGGGGATTGAACACCCTATTCAGCTTACTGAACAAGGCCTGCCGCAATGTTTTGGAGTACAATGTGCAACATGTTGACTTCCCTCTAGACCCCGAACAGATAGAGTCTTACATCTCTAAGAAGCTTTTGCTTACACTCGTCTGGTCTTTTACTGGTGATTGTCCACTTACAGATCGCAAGGCCTTTGGTCAATGGCTTACTGGTACATCAACTATTGATCTGCCACCAGATGGAGACTCATCTCTCATTGATTTCGATGTCACGCTGCCCAAGTCGGAATGGACAAGCTGGCAATCGCAGGTGCCTTCAATTGACATAAACACCCATTCGGTCACTCAGACTGATGTTATTATCCCAACTGTGGATACTGTCCGACACGAGGATGTCCTCTACTCCTGGCTCGCCGAGCACAAGCCTTTGCTTCTCTGCGGTCCTCCTGGATCTGGTAAAACAATGACCCTGTTCGCTGCTTTGAGAAAACTGCCAAACATGGAGGTTGTCGGCCTCAATTTTTCCAGCGCGACTACTCCGGATCTCCTGATCAAGACCTTTGAGCAGTACTGCGAGTACAAGAAGACACTTAATGGTGTTGTGATGTCACCTAACCAGATTGGTCGTTGGCTGGTCGTCTTCTGCGACGAGATTAACTTGCCCGCCCCCGATCGCTATGGTACTCAGCGTGCTATCTCCTTCCTGCGTCAACTTGTGGAGCAGAATGGCTTCTGGCGTACCTCTGACAAGACCTGGGTCTCTCTGGACCGCATTCAGTTTGTCGGGGCTTGTAACCCCCCAACCGACGCTGGTCGTACCCCTATGGGTGAACGTTTCCTTCGCCATGCACCCCTTATCATGGTCGATTACCCCGGAGAGATCTCTCTCAACCAGATCTACGGCACATTTAACTCGGCCGTTCTCAAGATTCTGCCATTACTTCGTGGATACTCTGAAGCTCTTACCAAGGCGATGGTCCAGTTCTACCTTGAATCGCAGTCGAGATTCACACCCAAGATTCAACCTCACTACGTCTACTCTCCTCGTGAGTTGACTCGCTGGGTTCGCGGTGTTTACGAGGCTATTAAGCCTCTCGAAACACTCACGATCGAAGGCCTGGTCCGTATTTGGGCCCATGAGGCTCTACGTCTCTTCCAGGATCGATTAGTTGCTGAGGATGAGAGAGCTTGGACTGCTGACGCTGTTCGCCGCATTGCCCTGGAGCATTTCCCTACAATCGACGACCAGGAAGCATTGAAGGGCCCCATTCTGTTTTCCAACTGGCTTTCCAAGCACTATGTGCCCGTTGAGCAAGAGCGACTTCGTGATTTCGTGAAGGCCCGTCTGAAGACCTTCTGCGAAGAGGAGGTTGACGTTCCTTTGGTCTTGTTCAATGACGTTCTTGAGCATGCCTTGCGCATTGATCGAGTCTTCCGCCAACCTCAAGGTCATCTTATCTTGATCGGTGTTAGTGGAAGTGGAAAAACAACACTGTCTCGTTTTGTTGCTTGGATGAATGGCCTGAAGGTATTCCAAATCAAGGTCCACGGTAAATACTCTTCTGAGGACTTCGACGATGATCTCAGAAGCGTTCTCCGTCGCGCTGGTTGTAAGGGTGAGAAAATTTGTTTCATCATGGATGAAGCCAATGTGCTTGACTCTGGTTTCTTGGAGCGCATGAACACCTTGCTTGCCAACGCCGAGGTTCCTGGTCTTTTCGAAGGCGATGAATTCTCCTCTCTCATGACGGCCTGTAAAGAAGGTGCTCAGCGCCAGGGCTTGCTTCTTGACTCTCAAGAGGAACTTTACAAGTGGTTCACACAACAGATCGTTAAGAACTTGCACGTTGTATTCACCATGAACCCACCGGAAGAAGGCCTTTCCTCCAAGGCAGCCACTAGTCCAGCCTTGTTCAATCGTTGCGTGTTGAACTGGATGGGTGACTGGTCCGACCAAGCTCTCTTCCAAGTCGGATCTGAATTGACTCAATCAGTCGATCTAGACAAGCCGAACTTTACCTCTCCTGACAGCATTCCTGTGGCTTATCGCGAATTATCCCTCCCTGCGTCACACAGAGATACTGTTGTCAACTCTATGGTGTACATTCATCACTCCCTTCACCGTATTAACGAGCGCCTGCATAAGCAACAAGGACGCTCCACATTCCTGACTCCTCGTCATTACCTTGACTTTGTTGCACAATACGTCAAGCTCTTCAATGAAAAGCGCGAGGACCTGGAGGAGCAACAACGCCACTTGAACGTTGGTCTTGAGAAGCTCCGTGACACCGTCGACAAAGTCAGCGATTTGCGTGGTAGTCTTGCTCAGAAGAAGACTCAATTAGAGAAGAAGGACGCTGAAGCCAATGAGAAATTGCAGCGCATGGTTGCAGATCAACAGGAAGCAGAACAGCGCAAGACGGTTTCGCTTGAGGTTCAAGCTGCACTAGAAAAGCAAGAGAAGGAGGTTGCGGAGCGAAGAGAGGTTGTCTTGCACGACTTGGCAAGAGCCGAACCTGCTGTGATGGAGGCCCAGCGGAGTGTCAGCAATATTAAACGTCAACATCTGACTGAAGTCCGATCAATGGGTAACCCTCCAGCCAGTGTTCGACTTGCGTTGGAAGCCGTGTGCACACTTCTAGGTCACAAGGTCGATAGTTGGAAGACAATCCAGGGTCTCGTCCGCCGAGATGACTTCATTGCCAGTATCGTCAATTATGACAATGAACGCCAGATGACTCGAAACCACCGTGCCAAAATGCAGAATGAGTTTTTGTCCAAGGAAGACTTCACCTACGAGCGTGTGAACCGTGCCAGTAAGGCCTGTGGTCCCTTGGTCCAGTGGGTCGAGGCTCAAGTAAACTATTCCGAGATTTTGGATCGCGTTGGCCCCTTGCGAGAGGAGGTCGATCAACTCGAGGAACAAGCTTTCCAGACCAAGGCTGAGGCGCAGACTATTGAAACTACCATTCAAAGTTTGGAGAGCAGTATTGCCACCTACAAGGCTGAATACGCTGCACTTATCAGCGAAACCCAGGCCATCAAGACTGAAATGTCCCGGGTTCAGTTCAAGGTTGATCGGAGTGTGCGTCTGCTTGATTCCTTGGCGTCTGAGCGTGAACGTTGGGAGGAAGGTAGCAAGTCCTTCGAAACTCAGATCAGCACTCTCGTCGGCGATGTGCTCATTGCAGCTGCTTTCCTTGCCTATGCTGGTCTTTACGATCAGCAGTTCCGTAAGGCGATGGTGGATGACTGGGTGCACCAGCTTGCTCAGTCTGGCATCCACTTCAAGCCCCATAACCCCATCACCGAGTACCTGTCCAATGCCGATGAGCGTTTGACTTGGCAAGAAAACTCTCTCCCTGTGGATGACCTCTGCACTGAGAATGCCATTGTCCTGAAGCGCTTCAACAGATACCCTCTGATCGTCGACCCATCTGGCCGAGTGACCGAGTTCCTGCAGAAAGAAAGCAAGGACCGCAAGCTTACCGTCACGAGCTTCTTGGATGACTCCTTTGTTAAACAGTTGGAGAGTGCCCTGCGTTTTGGCAACCCAATCCTTATCCAGGATGCAGAGCATTTGGACCCAATTCTCAACCATGTTCTCAACAAGGAATACCAGAAGACTGGAGGTCGTGTACTGATCCAGCTTGGCAAGCAGGAGATCGATTTCTCCCCATCCTTCAGACTGTTCTTGTCTACTAGAGATCCGTCTGCCTCGTTCCCGCCAGATGTGTGCAGTCGTACCACCTTTGTCAACTTTACAGTCACCCAAAGCAGTTTGCAGACGCAATCTCTGAACGATGTATTGAAATTTGAGCGTCCAGATGTCGACGAACGCCGCAACAATTTGGTCAAGATGCAAGGTGAATTCAAGGTCCATCTCCGCTCCCTTGAGAAGCGTCTTCTGCAGGCTCTTAACGAGTCTCGTGGAAACATTTTGGATGATGACAACGTTATCGAGACATTGGAAACCCTCAAGAAGGAGGCTGCCGATATTTCAATCAAGATGTCCGAGACTGAAGGCGTTATGACAGAGGTTGAGACTATCACTCAGCAATACAGCATTATTGCCCGAGCTTGCAGTGCTGTTTTCGCTGTTCTAGAACAGCTCCACCACATCAACCATTTCTACCAGTTCTCTCTACAGTACTTCGTGGATATTTTCAACGCCGTTCTCTACCAAAACAAGCGTCTTGCCCAAGAGAAGGATCACTCGGCCCGCGTGCAGATTATTATTCGAGACCTGTTCATCACAACCTACCAACGAACCTCGCTAGGCTTGGTTCAAAAGGACCGCATTACTCTGGCCATTCTGCTTGCCCATGCCACTCCATTCCCAATGGACAGAGCCCTTCTCGACCACATCCTGGACGAGTCAGTTGAGGACGCCGATCTTTCGACCACCACAGACATCCGCGAGCAAGTGACGAGCAAGCTCCTGAACATGTCCCTGTTCAAGGAATATGTCCCCAACATCCCTCAAGATCAGTGGGATCGCTTCTTCGGCGAAGAACTTGCCGAGAATGCCGTCCCAGTTGTTTGGGAAGAGAGCACCCCCAAGCTTGACCAACTGCTTCGCTCATTGCTTCTTGTCAAACTCTGCCGCATGGATCGATTTGTTCCCGCCGCTGAGCGATTTATCGAGGCTGTCTTCGGCCGTGAGCTATTCGAGGGTAGCAGTGATCTCAAGGATGTCGTTGATCAAGTCACGGCAACCACCCCTATCTCTCTTAGCTCCAGCCCCGGCTTCGACGCCAGTTACAAGGTCGACGCATTGGTTGAACGCACCCACTCTACTTGTGCCAATATTGCCATGGGTTCAAATGAGGGTCTCGAAAGTGCCGACAAAGCTATCAGCAACGCCGCTGCCACAGGTAACTGGGTATTGGTCAAGAACGTCCACTTGGCGCCCTCGTGGTTGCAAAGCCTGGAAAAGAGGCTCGATTCCCTCAAGCCTCACAAGGAATTCCGACTCTTCCTCTCTATGGAATCTAGTCCTAAGATTCCTGTCAACCTTATCCGTGCTTCTCGCGTGCTTATGTATGAGCAGCCTGCTGGTGTCCGTGCCAACATGAAGGATTCTATGTCTTCATTGACTACCCGAGCTAGCAAGGCTCCTGTTGAAAAGGCCCGTGTCTATCTATTGCTATGCTTCTTCCATGCCGTCGTTCAAGAAAGATTACGCTACGCTCCTAGCCTTGGATGGAAGGGCTTCTGGGAATTCAACGACAGTGATGTGAGTACTAACATTATCTCTTCCCTCATAATAACAAAACAAATGCTAACATAACTCAATAGTACGAATGCTCTGCCTGGATCATCGATCACTGGGTTGATACAGTCGCTCAAGGCCGTTCCAACGTGGCTCCCCAGAAACTTCCTTGGGAGATGATCCGAACTCTCATTGCCGAGATGTACGGTGGAAAGATCGATGACGCCGCCGATTTCCAGCAGCTCCAGAATCTGGTGGATAGCTTCCTTACACCTGCCGCCTTTGAAGATGACTATAAGCTTGTTTCTGGTGTCGAGAATGACGAGCTCCTCACTCTGCCTACTGGTACAAGCATTCGTGACTTCATCGCTTGGGTTAATAACCTTCCTGAGCGTGAGCCACCTACTTACCTCGGACTTCCGGCTAATGCTGAGAAGTTGCTGTTGGTTGGTCATGGACGCAAGATGATCTCTGATTTGTCGCGTGTTACTACTCTTCTTGATGAAGGGGAGCAATTGATGATTGATAATTAGCTTCTGTATTCATTTGTTTTCTCTACTTTCCTTTTTGTATTTTTCTTTATTTTGTTTTGTTTGTGGAGTTGAGATGATTTATCTCGAGAGACGCTAGAATGGCTCGATACCCCAAGACCAAAGACCGTCGGCGAATGTCATTTTAAGACCCAATTTCTTGTTCTTTCGTTCTTTGCATATTTCTTTTATAGATTTTGAGTGTATATCCCCTTTCTTTCATTCTTTTACATGTACAAATTGAATTGAAAGTTTTCTACCCGATTATTGAGAACATCATGTACACACATGCTACGGCTTTTGACAGTATATGGGAACTAATATAGAATATTCATACTACACAATTTCAAGCTTAAGATCGAAGAGTGATATAATCAATAGCATTAAGTATCCAGTATACAATCTGTAAAATATCTGGTAACGCGAGAGGCTTTTCGATATCGATTACCTCCATTCAATAATGTAAAATGACTCAAACGAACGCCTACAGGTCCCAATAGCAGGAAACCCAAATGTCATATATACGTGGATTGGAGAGAAAGCCAAGTATGTAATTCAATAGGCTTAAGAAATGAAAGTAGACTCGGAGAACATGAAGCCCTCCTCAGTAATCTCTTCACCTCCAATATTAAGCTTCAGCGATAGCTTCTCATTAGGAGCAAACTATAATAACAATATATTAGCATATTGAGTGGAGAGTGGATAATGCATCGCAATCAGACGGAAAGCCCAATTATCGCAGAGAGAGGGGTGTTTATTTACCTGGTAGATGTATGGTCGGGTGCCAGCCACGCTACCGGCAATGGTCTTGATGAAGCCGGGAACTTCGCCCATAACATCAATTCGGTCCAAACGCTTGCCGAGAGACCCGTCCACCTCGGCTGATAAGTCCTTGCCATCGGCTGTCTTGCCGGACCACTCCCACTTGATGGAGGTGGGTTCAGGCCACTCGCTGTCAGGGTCGGTTGTGGAACCGGTGTGGGTTGCTGTGTTGTTCACGCCTGCGTAGACGATCTCATCATCCTTCAGGATAGCACCGACGTTGACCTTGGTGGAGCCGTAGGAGGGGGGAGTGGTGAACTCCATCATGATACCGGAGTAGGTGGGTGTTTGGAAGTTAACGAAGTTCCAGCGAGCGGCTAAGGAATTATCAGCATCATACTCACTATTCGCGGTGAATTATTTGAGTTATAGAAATGGTTTTAAGCTTACCTGCGTGGTGAGGCTTCATTCCTTGCACAGCTGGGATGAACACACCGCGACCGCCAAGGTCGTAGGTCTTCTCCTTAGTGGTGATGGAGCCCTCGACGGAGCAACGACCCCAGAAGGAGTGGACCATAGATCCCCAGGGATTCTTGGGGTCGGTTCCGAAGTATGAAGTACCGTCTTTTCCGATGACGAAGCCGGGGGCCTTGCGGGTGAACTTAAGGTCGACGACACTATCTGGGTTCACGGTGGACTTGATGTGGTAAGCATCGCCCTCCTCGTTGAGGGTGATGGTCATGTTATCGGCGCCGAAGCAGAGCATCTTGTCGTCGAACATGAAGTTCGAGAGGGCATCGGAGTGCCAGACGTGCTTGCCCTCTCCGCTTAGGTCGAAAATCTTAGTGTTGAAGACTGCGGTGGTGTGAATGCCACTGTATTTACGTCGTTCCCGGTTAGTGATACTCTTTTTCTTTCTCTTTTTGTGTTGGAGTGACGGAACCTATCGGTCCACTTGAGATCTCGATTAAAAGATTCTCACTGTATTGACAGGGAGGGGTTGAGGGGTATCGTTATCTATACTCACGCAATGTTGCTGTAGATCACCTGGACGAAGACCAGGGTCCCGTTGTCCGCCATGATGTAGAAGGTCTGTGTCTCCACGTTTGTGTATTGATACGCCTTCCATCGCAGGTGGTCCTTGGTCAGGACAGTGTAGGGAGTCTCAGCAGTCTGCTGAGCAACAGATTGAATGGCCTCGGGTCCATAGATAGGCTCCTGCGTGCCCACCGCCGCGGAGAGGCTGCGCTTTTGGATCAGTTTTAACGCCATGACCACATCCATAAGAGTGAGACGTACGTCGACTTGAGCCAGTTCATGATTCAGGATTAATGAAAACTTCACGAGGGGTTTCTTTCGAGAGGGCGAAAGAACAAGGAATATTTAGAAAAAAAGAAAAAAGAGGTGAAGTGAAAGGAGGTGAGGGAGATCGACGCGGGGCCCGACTTTAGTTCGGATGTGAATGGAAGGAAGAGGAGCTCGATTGGCGGTAGCGCCTGTAGTCCCAACGCCTGCAGAGACCAAAGTTCAAGCTCAAAATGTGATCTTGATATGGTTCAAGACGCTTTGTAGTTCGTAAAGTGCTTTTCAAGTTCGAAGAAGAGAAGAAACGATGACGTTCGACGCTCCTCAGCTGCTCAGATGCTCGCTTGGTGTCCGACCAATCAGCGTTAAGGCGGAGGAAAATCTGCCGGCTTCAGCAGTTTGCGCTTCAAACCTTCCAAACATCAATTCCTGAGTTCAAATCCCAATAACTCCCAATTACATCCACATCAATCATGGCCAAAACCGCTCTGGCTAGGGACCAATTCGTCAAGCTCATTGTTGGCGCGGGCCAGGCTAGTCCCAGTCCCCCCGTTGGTCCGGCTCTGGGTAGTAAGGGTGTGAAGAGTATGGACTTTTGCAAGGTAAGCTTCACGAATACTGAACATTGCTCCATTATACCACCAGTCCGACCGGGGAATTAACCTCTCTTCAATCGCAGGAGTTCAATGCCCGCACTTCTCACATTACTGTCGGTGTCCCTATTCCCGCGCGCGTCACTGTTCGCCCCGACCGATCCTTCACCTTCGACCTCCGCACTCCTACCACCACCTACCTACTCCTGAACGCCGCCAATGTTGAGCCTCGCAAGAACAGGTTGCGCGGCGCTATGAACCCTGGCCATGAGACCTGTGGTCAAATCTCACTTAAGCATGTCTATGAGATTGCCCAGATCAAGCACACCGAAACCCGACTATCAGGGTTGAGCTTGCAAGGGCTGTGCAAGAGTGTCATGTCACAGGCCAAGTCCATTGGAATCCAGGTTGTGCCATAGACTGCTGCTATTATGACCTGTGTCACCGCAGTTTCTTCGGTTAGGTTGGGCTGCGTTGGACGCTACGCTTTCTCCAAAGTGGCAGACAGGGGCCATCATCTTCGACATGGACGTCTTGTCTTATTAGGATCTTAGGTGGCACTTCATGCCTGATGCGCCCCTTGAGGCTCGCCTTACCCGACCGTTGTTGTTTCTATATTTTCCATTTCATTCGGCGTTCTAAGGGAGAAAACGGGGAGACGCTGTCATCTTCCCCGATTGTATTATACCTGAATCATCTCTGCATCCTGTGATAGAGCGATACCTATGCACAATACTAAGAATTATCTTGTTCTTTTTTCTTTTAGTTTTGAATATACTACCCATGTGTTATTATGGATCTTCTATTTCTTTCATATAGCTATTTTTGTCAGGTTCGGGTGATCACCAGCCACTAGCAGTTATGTCAGATGACGCAAGGATGGGACAAAGTTGAGGAAACACCAGCATTGGCCTGGTTGATCGAATTATCCCCCTTGTGCCCCTGTGGGAGAATCCATGCCGTGGAACCTTGGGATGTATTAGTGGTCGGAGATGTTCACTGACCCTAATTTTCTCGTAGCCGCGCTTAGATTGGATGAATGAAGTGGAATTAGCCCAATCTAGGCTAATTATGTAGACCGATGTTACCTTGCATAAACCCAAGGGTAACGTGCATGAGTCGAGTCATGGTATCTAGTCCCGTTGTACATCTCCAGGCCAAGTCCGCTCTCTAGGATTTCGGGCTTGGCAGAGGGAGTGCGGTATGAGAGATGTGATGATTAGTAACTAGGTAGTATGTACTATATGGTACTTGGGATGGATGCCATCATGGGTAGCTAATACACAGGAGGCATAAGAGTATAAGAGTACCTCGGCCCAGTATACTGGTATCTCCCCAGATCTAGATTTACACACATCATCTGGTCATCGTTATCGGCGATTCTCCACCTGTAAGAACTGCAGTCGGTGAAATTGAGTACGTCCATTAATGATATAATTGTTATTAATGAGTGGACTAAATGCCCATGCCCACTGTGTGCAATAGGAAGTCAGGCTTAGTCCCCGAGGCCAATCAAATGCTGGTTCAACGATGCAGGGCGTCAACTAGACCTGAACAGGCAGGATTCCAGATCATCGGGAAGACACGATCTCGTGCATAGTGATCAAGTGGATTAAAAAACCTTGGACCGGGAAGTCGGCACGCTCGGATTACTTCAACTGTGACTCTTACTACTTTGTTAGCGGGCTTTCATCATAGCTCCGTGGACATCCGAAGGTGGGTTTGCGGGGGATAGAAAGAAAGCCATGAATAGCTGGATAATATTGTATGAAAGTGCAGAGTAAGTTAAAATATGGCCTTGAGGATGGCATCTTTGAGGTGCTATACTTAGTAAAACCAGTGCCTTGGAGTATTGAATAGTATAATTACTATGATGATACCGAAGACTAGCTGTATACAGTTCCTCCCCAGTACTAGCCTACTGTCTAGCTAGTAACATTTGAATACCCCCACCCGGTTTTGCCTCAGGCCTGGGTGTATTGCCCCTCTTATCCTTCTTATCCTGATGATCCAGGCGCTTTCTTCTATGAGCATCTTGTCTTCTCTCTTTCCTTAACATTCACCCGATCTCTCCCTTCAGATCGACATTGTTTCTCTTGTTTTATTCGGGCAAGAACAAATCAAAAACTCTACGGGGAAAGATTTGCCTCTCGAAAACCCACGTAATCGACCGTTTTTCTCTGGGTCCCGTTTCTTCCCTCTCCCCTCTCCAAGCTCTTTCCTTCCCTCAGAGATTTCCCCTCGACTTTGACCACCCAAGAACACCCCCCCCCCAAAAAAGAGAAACATCTCAGCTCGAAAACAAAAAAGTCCGGAATATTAACGCAAAACAAATCGGAAACAAATCACATTCCTCTTCCCCCGCGAAATCACGACCTCGTGAGGGGTATGTGTGCCGCTGCAGTCTGCTCCATTCAAGGTCGTTAGAAAGAGTATGACGTCTGTAACGGCCGGGTCGACCACAACCAACTCTGCGGATTCAGGTATGTCTTGGCCTTTCAATTTTTCGCTTATCCTTCCCTACCGTGAATGATGTCTAGAATGTCAAATTCCTAATGCATGATTGATCGTCCTCGATAGGCTCGAATATGCAGAACCCCGCCAAGATGCCGCCCCAAGCGGAGTCCGACCCCGACGCCAAGTCAGGTTCAGGTTCAGGTTCAGGTTCAGGTTCACAGCCTGCCCAAGTCCGCTTCTCTTCGGTCAACCAGGAGATTGAACCGTCTTCAATGCTCTCCCCGGTGTCGGAGAAGTCTGTCCAAGACTCATTATCGGATAAAAACGAAGAAGACTTGCGATCGGTGGCTATTAGCTTGCAGAAATCCCAGCTCCAGGAGTCCCGTCTACGCAACTTCTCATTCGAACCAATGTCGCTTCCTTCCTCGCGGGTGAGTCTCCAACTCTTCTTCTTTTTTTCGATTTCCTTCGTTCTTGAACTCCAATTCTCTCCTATTCACTTAATTCCCTGGGCCCCAATCATCCCCTGCGATCGCCGGATCTCCGGATCTCCAGATCGGCAGGATCTCACCGGGTGAACGGGTGTTGAAGCCCCCAAAATTAGCCCCCCTCCCTTCGCCATTGCTAGCAGGTCAACATCGTTGGTCTATAATCTATAAGAAGGCAATCATAGTTGCTGACATGGGTCTCGAATCTATCTAGGTTGGATCGCGAGAGTCTAGTAATCCCAGTGCTCGGGATGGCGGTTCTCTTGTAACCTCTCCTCACGCTTCTCCCCCCGTATCCGCAGTACAATCACCACCTCTTACCCCCGCTGTCACTCATTCTCGCGATGGCAGGTCCACGGACAGTGTAGCCGCCTTGGGCGCGGCTGGTCGAGGGAATGTGCAGGCCATTACTCCCGAAGCATCCCCTCCGGTCACTTCCGGCGAAATGAATCAGTCTCAAAATACACAATCTCCCCGACCATCTACAGAACATCTTGTCTCCAGGAAGAGCGCAACCTCTGTACCCCAACCCCACGTTACTATCCCGCAACACCGTGCCCAATTCTTTATTGGTAATGATTCGCAAGAAGAAAGCCCGCCTCCCACTCCGCGGGACTCCCATACCCCTCCGGGCGCAATTACCCCAGTTGGCGAGCCGAATGATCCGTACGCCCGCAGTAGGCGAGCACCACCTTCAAAGGATTTGAAACAGCTTGATCCTCGATTTATTTTCAGCAGCCGCGATTCTAAGCGGGCATTTCGTCCGGGCACACCCCGATCAGCGAGTGCCAGTGATATCACCAAGTCCAACAATGACAAACGGGGTGTCTTCCACAAGGATAAAAATAATGAGCCCAAGCATGGTCACGGTCACCATGGTTCGATGTCTGAGCTGAAGCGCTTTTTCAAGATCGGCGGCCACCGTAACAAGCGACCAGATTCTCCAACATCAGCATCAAAACGTTCAAGCCGGGGATCTGGAAAGTCTACTCCATACCAAATGGCACCAGACAATGTTCCCTTTGCTGATGATCATGGTCTGACAACCAAGTATGGTAAAATGGGTAAGGTTCTTGGGTCCGGCGCCGGTGGTTCGGTTCGATTGTTGAAACGCGATGGCGATGGTGTCACATTTGCCGTCAAGCAATTTCGGGAGCGTCATAGCTGGGAGAGCTTGAAGGAGTATTCGAAAAAGGTCACGGCAGAGTTCTGTATTGGTTCAACCCTGCACCATGGAAATATAATCGAGACTCTTGATATTATTCAAGAAGGCCATCATTGGTACGAGGTGATGGAGTATGCGCCATTTGATCTTTTTGCAATCGTCATGACGGGCAAGATGAGCAAAGAGGAAATCTCCTGCTCTTTCAAGCAGATCCTCAGCGGCGTTGCCTATCTCCATGGAATGGGTTTGGCTCATCGTGATTTGAAACTCGACAATGTGGTGGTCAACGACCGCGGTATTATGAAGCTGATCGATTTTGGAAGTGCCGTTGTCTTCCGATATCCTTTCGAGAATGGCATTGTGCCAGCTTCAGGCATCGTTGGTTCCGATCCTTACTTGGCTCCAGAGGTATACGACGAAAAGAAATATGACCCTCGCCCCACGGATGTTTGGTCGCTGGCGATCATCTTCTGTTGCATGACCCTGCGTCGCTTCCCATGGAAGCAACCGCGTACCACCGACAATTCCTACCGGTTGTTCGTTTCGACACCGACACCTGGTACGCCGGTGCCTGACTCGGATCCCCGGCGTTCCCGTCCCAAGTCGTCTTCCGACCTTCCTTCTTCTGCCCATGAACAAAAACCACCTGCGCCCACCTCAAACCCAGCGGGTAATTCCGAAACGCCTGACAAGTCAACTGTGCCGACGTCAGCTCCGCAAGAAAACGGAACAAATGGAAACCACACCGACACTTCGAAAGAAGGTGATTCAGAACCCCAGGCGAAGAAGCAAACCAGCCAAACCAGCACGGCAACCACCGCAAACAACGGTACTGCCAATGATAAACCCACTCGCACGACCAGCAAGGAAGCTCCTCCTCTCCCACCAGGCTCTCAACCAGCCGCCCAGCGCCAGGAGGTCATCAAGGGTCCATGGCGCCTTCTCCGCATCTTGCCGCGGGAAAGTCGGTACATTATTGGCCGCATGTTGAAAATTGACCCGAAGGAGCGAGCAACACTTGACGAGGTTTTGGCTGATGACTGGGTACGAAATATCATCTGCTGTCAACAGGAAGACTCCGGTCAAGTTATCAACGCCTCCAACCACACTCACGTTCTTGAGCCTCCATCGCACAGCCCTGCTGTGGCTAGCAAAGGCCACAAGGCCAAATGATTCCCCTTCTTTGTATCAATTTTTTTCCGCCTGTGCATAATTCCCTCCAAGTCCCATTCGACGGGCGTGTCACTGTTACCTTTTCTTTTACCTTTTCTGCCTCCTATTCGATTTTCTGCTTGTTCTCTCGTGCTCTTCCAATGGCCTACATGATTTCCACTTTGTTGCAAACCATGCCTCGTCATTTCTCCTCCCCCTTTTTTTCTTCTATTCTTCTCCGGTCGATATCTATCCGCCTAATTTCCTGTGTGACCTTTTCTGTGTTACCCATCAACCGCACTTCCCAGGAGACCCAGGCCAATTGAATATTCCTGGGCGTTTCGGAAACATTTCTGTTTGTTTCCCTCCTGGAGACTCGGTTGTCCATATTACATGCCTTCCCCAGAGCCATTGAGTATGCAGCAGAAGTCCCTTCCCCGAGAGCATTCCTACTTCCGCGACCTGTTATCATGGTGCCCTGCGAGCACCGGACTTCTTGGTACTTGACAAAGAACATTAATGTCATAGATAGTTTAAACGTACGAAAATATTTTCTGTTTAGATATTCAAATTGTGTAGCAAATCCGTCCAATCGTATATAGAAATACAATGTAATATTGTGAAATTCCTCTATTTTTTCTTCATATTTACTTTTGCCGGTGATTGTCCTGACGTAACCCTTAATTCGGCGATATCGGATGGCCTGACCGCGGAGCAAACTTGAACCTCGATCTACATCAACTGCGGAGCTCTACCGCACCCTCGGCCAAGCTTCTCGCTCAGTCTCGGGGTTCCTCTTTCCTCCGTCTAAATTCTCCAATTACCACACCCCTCAATTGGACCGATATAGAACAGCCCTCATGCCAATGCGATAAAAGTCAACTCCCTTTCTCTCTCAACCCCGACACATCACCCGTCATGACCCAACAACCCGAGGGCGAGGCCTTGGTCTCTTCCCTATGGACAAGATCCCTCCTCGTAAGCCATTACCCATACTGAATTCCCCTCAAAAAACCCCTCTAACCAATTGAACCTCCCAGTCCGGCGCAGTGGCAGGTCTAACAGTAGACTGTTCCCTCTACCCACTCGACACCATCAAAACCCGTCTCCAAAAAGCACGCGACCCCAACGCTCCCAAAGGCCCACGTCTCTCCCTCCGCCAAACAGTCCGCGGCATATACGCAGGTCTCCCATCTGCCCTATTCGGCTCTGCCCCCTCCGCCGCATCCTTCTTCATAGTCTACGACGGCGTAAAGCGCTCTCTCCTACCCCCGAAGGGCTCCACCGATACCCCATCCCGGTCACACATAATCTTCACGCACTCCCTCGCCTCTTCTCTCGGTGAAGTCGCAGCCTGCGCAGTCCGCGTCCCTACAGAAGTAATCAAGCAACGTGCCCAGGCCGGTTTATTCGGTGGCTCTTCCCTCCTCGCTCTAAAGGACATTTTATCACTTCGTCATGCCGCACCACCACCCTTTCCTCCGGCAGCAGGTACAAACGCAACCCTGATATCCGGCCCAGTAAATGTTGTTACCTCTTCAACACCGAAGCGCGGATACGGCCAGGTATTCCGAGAACTCTACCGCGGCGCTGGAATAACCATTGCGCGCGAGATTCCATTCACAGTCATCCAGTTTACGATGTGGGAGTCTATGAAAGAGGCATATGGCAAGCGGTATCTGAAGCCTATTTCCGGTGCGACGTCTATTTCTGAGACGCAGATTCCTGCCTCAACAAGTGCTATGTTTGGGAGTGTGGCTGGTGCTATTTCTGCGGGCTTGACTACTCCGTTGGATGTTATTAAGACGCGCGTTATGCTTGCTAGGAGGGGTGAGGTTGGGGCTCCGGTTAGAATTCGGGAGATTGTTAGTGGAATTGCACAGGAGGGGATGGGTACTTTCTGGCGTGGGATTGGGCCAAGAGTGGCTTGGATTGGTATTGGGGGGTCTGTGTTTTTGGGTAGTTATCAGTGGGCGTGGAATAGCTTGGAGCGGAGGAGGGAGTTGAAGGAGCAGGAGTGATGGATGGATGAATGAATGCTATTGGTAGATTCCGGAGTTGTCTTGTATTATTATTGTTCTTTAGAGGATCTTTGGTACATACTACTAGATTTAGAATAAGAAAAGTGACTACAAATGATACCTACTCCCCACATATGCATGGTCTCTCTTCTTGTTATTATTCTCAAAGTTAGTCTAGCTTGATCCTGAGTACGACTCGATATATTATTTCAGATCTGTATTTGTCAGGTGCTATTTCCATGGTCGATATTGTATGATTAATATTAATTTAAAATGATCCGGTCTTAACCGGATTTTTCCTATTCGACATATAAGGACCACTAACATCGTAGAAGATATAATCGAAGTAAATAGATACATTAAGAACTGTTCTATTCGATTTACCTCTTTCTTCTAATGATTTTGTGGTAAAACGTAAGTGAGCCTGTTACTCTAATGTTGATTCCCGCGGTTAAAGTATAAACGGCCAAGCAATAGCAAGCATCCGAAATGTATAGAATCATCTACTTACCATAGATTTCAAACGATATTGAAATTAAGATAATCGTTATAGATGTAAGCATCAGATGATGTCAGATAATAGGATAATTTATCCCTGTAAAACGGTCAATCAACGCTCAAAGCAACAGGTGATACGACCGGAGTACACCCGACCACTTGCGCTATGGCGTCGTGAACCGAAATGCCCCTGGCGGCTCTTCCAACTTCCCCTCATTTACATATCACCTCCCATTCCCCCGTCCTCAATCAATTCCACTTCTAAATCACTCCAACTGCCCCTCTATTTCTCCCCGCGTGCTTTGTGCTTTGTTCTGGGGGATCATCGGCAAAATAAGCACACTCACCCGTGACGTACATCCTTGCTTGTCCCCACCAAAAAGCGCAAGTGATCGGCCTCGATTGAGGCAGATAAGCTCCGCATCTCCTCCGCAATTTGCCTCTGCCACATAACCCCAATCTGCATGTATGGCACGGAAACTGAGCCACCAGAGGGTCACTTATGGTGAGAAGACTTCCAAGTTCTTTTAGTGTTGGTTTTCTGGATATTGTTGTGCTGACTGGGATACTACAGTGCTGCCGCTGCCTGATGCCCCCGGTGGGCACCGGCTCGGAGTGAATGGGTTAGCCGTTGACCAGCAAAACTCCATCTTGTAAGTCGCTCGTTGTCCTTTGGTGAAAGAACAGGTTGAAGAGTAGTCTGTCACGGCTTAGCTGTTGTGCTTTCTTTCTTCCCCCGCAGCCTCCATTCTTAAACCACGTGGGTTGTACAGCCTCTAATGTGACGTCTTCCCTTTTCCCCAGGTATTCCGCGGGCCGCGACGGTGTGATCTGTTCATGGGATTTGAACCCCCCACAAGCTCCTTTTCATCCTTCGAATCCATTCTCTAATGCGACAAGACAGCCCGGTCCGACTCGTTTTAAAACTCAGGTTCAGGCTCATAGCCACTGGATCAACGATATCGTCTTAACTCAGGACAATTCCGCTCTTGTATCCGCCTCTTCCGATACCACTGTACGGCTTTGGCGACCGCATTCCGAATCAGTTGAGGTTCCCGAACGCATTGGTAAACATGCAGATTACGTGAAGGCGCTGGCTAGCCCTGGTGGCCAAGCTAGCTGGGTCGCATCAGGTGGCCTTGATCATAAAATCTGTTTGTGGGATCTGAATGGCTGCGGAGAAATCTTGAGCATTGATGCCTGTGGCGATGATAAGACTGAAAAGGGATCTATCTATGCTCTTGGTGCTGTTTCCTCGGTGCTAGCTAGTGGTGGACCGGAGAATGTTGTCCGAGTATGGGATCCTAAGTCCGGAAAATTGGTGACCAAGTTTGTGGGCCATACGGATAATGTCCGCGATATTATGATCAATCAGAGTGGTGATACTATTATGACTGCATCTTCCGATCAGACTATCAAAGTCTGGTCACTCACTGCTGGTCGTTGCATGAACACCCTTACGATGCATAATGATAGCGTTTGGTCGCTTTACTCTGATCATCCGGATCTTTCAGTCTTTTACTCCAGTGATCGTTCAGGATTGGTTGCTAAGACCGATACACGGCAGTCTTCCGATATGGAACAGGGCGTTTGTGTCGCCGCTCTACAGGAACATGAAGGTGTTGTGAAGGTTGCCGCTTGTGGCGATAATATTTGGACGGCTACTCCCAAGTCGAGTATCAATCGTTGGAAGGACATCGACACTACGCTTGAGATTGAATCTGAGCCGGCTCCTGGACGCACCATTGATTCTGCTGCTGCGACCAAACCTGAACCCGAATCTAAACCCGATAAAGAGCTAAAGAGTATTCCTTACAATGCTATCTTGCAACTATCGGCAACTTCATCTCTGCTAGCGGGCACTCCATCCGGTGTCCAAACTCCTGAGCCAGGATTGGAGGGCGAGCTGGGATCGACAGCTCCTATCTCTTTAGTACCAGAGGAGAGTATCGAAGGGCAGCATGGGTTGATCAAGTGCTTAATGCTGAACGATAGAAAGCGAACTCTTACACAAGATTCTGCCGGAGACATTGTTTTGTGGGACTTACTCAAATGTGTTCCCGTGCAAGCATTTGGTAAACGTCACCTCGAGGATGTGGCGGACGAAATCAATACAACAGAGAGCATCGCTCACTGGTGTACTATTGACGTCCGTACTGGAAGACTCTCTGTCATTTTAGAGCCCAATCGCTGCTTCGATGCTGAGGTTTATGCAGACGAGGCTGGTCTGTCAGATGAGGACCTCGAACAATTCCGAGACGACCAAAGAATCAACCTTGGCAAATGGGTTCTGCGATGGCTATTTGCTCCCTTGGTTGATGAGGAAACCCGACGCGATGAGGAATACCGTGAAACTGCGCAAGCAAAGGCCGAAGAACTGGCTGGGCTCAACCCTATCAGTACTTCAGCCCCAGGCGATGACATCCCTCGTAGCGTTGGCATTCCAATCTCAGATCCCTCCACGTTGACCCTACGCCCGGGTGTAGACTTTCCAGGAAGTCCCAATACCTCAGGGTTCGGAATCAACATTGGAACTCCGTCCTCGGCGAACTATATGAGTACTTCAATGGCGAGTAGCGTCTCCCCATTCCCGAACTTTGAACCAGACACAGATGCCATTCCGTCTTCTCACCCGCCTCCTGATGCTGGACCGTCTTCATTCTCCGATAAATCCGGCGACTATTTCACATCGAGACTTCCGCAGGATAATGATAAAGCGCCTATGTCTCCCTCGGACGCCAATTCACAATCCGGACTCCCGCAGTCTCCCTCAGAACCTGATAAGGAGGAGCGTAAGAAAGGAAGCTCATTATTTGGCAAGAAGTTCCGCATGGGAATGGGCGATATCAAGAAACTGGGCCGGACATCTACGGATCAAAAGCCGTCGATTCAAGAAGAGAAGGTCGAAGAATCTGAAGTGTCATCTATTAAAGAGGAGAAGGTTTACGAGCCCAACATCAGTGGGGTTATTGATCGTATTCGCCATGAATACGATGAGTTTTTGGCTTCAAGTCCAAACCGTGTCTTGGCGACGGCTATCACCCCTAGTCCGTTGAGTGAGACACCTCGTCTCTACATCCCTTCAAAAACTGCTGTCTTTATTCAAGAGGAAACGGGCGATACCGCAGTGGCTTCGGATCTGTACAGAGGAAGTGTGGGTCGCATTGGCGAAGAAATCGAGCGTTTAGAAAAGTCCATCCCGCATTGGCTTGGTGAATTGCTTTTGAAGGTATGTGATTATTCCTTTTGACGCGATTAATCTCCTCATTGGCCGTTACTAACTTATCATTTTTAGAACCAAATCCCATTCAAGGAACAGGTCAAGATCGCATTTGTTCTAAAACCATTCGATGAGTCCGTGCCGCCAGTGGTGAAGCCCGAAGTGTAAGACCCTCCTCTATGACATATCATTGGCTTATAAACTAACGAAGCAATCTGCCACAGCGCGACTGCAAGCGGAGGCCCGCCTCCTCCCAATCCCAACAACAATTCCCGGCTGAACGCCAATCGCATGCTCCGTGCCAAGAAGGTGCTAGCCTACGTGGCTGAGCGCATCGATCCGCAAAACGCTGAGGACCCGGAGGACGGAATGCCACCGGAGGAGTACCTCGAGCTCTACTGCCAGAAAATTGTTTGTGATGGCTTGATGGCTTGATCCTTTCAATTTTTACCCCTGACTAACATTACATAGTACTGTCCACCAAACATGACTCTGGCTACTATGCGCTCGCATCTCTGGCGTACGTCTGGTGACATGATCCTCCATTACAGGCCAAACGGCAAGAAAGAAATTCGACCACCGCCACACCTGACTAACAATGTCGAGACCAATGGCACTAACGGTGAATCTGGAGTTCCAAACGGGGACAACCATGCACCCCCTGGCAGTATTCATTCGATGACGAACTCAGGATCAGTGTCTGGGTCGGTTGTAACTTAAGTTTTTTTTCGTCTTATCTTCCTGGGGGGCAGTTTCTTTTCTCTTAGCAGTCTTGTTTCTTTGTGTTTTTCATGGCTTGATCTTGAGCTTTTGGATCTGCTAGCGACGATTAGTGTGGGCAGTTCTTTCGTTTGGCCGAGCGAGGGATGGATCTGGGTACATATGGAAAATGCTCTCTGATACCCCTGCTTTTGCTGATATGCCTATTCCTACATGCACTTATTCCCTGGTTTCGGCATACTACTTACTGCTTTTCATTTACCAGAGTATTTGATTTGGATGTAGATCTGAGATGTTGTCTGTACTGTACATACGAAGTTGAGATCGCTATCTACTGCATCCGTTTGATATAATCCATGGATGCAAGTGGAGCAAATCCGCCCTATCAAGTTCAAGCCCCAGGTAGGTACTCGTGGACATAAATAATCTACCTAAATAGTTACTATGAATCCGAGCTTCAGGGCTTTAATTCTAATTTAAGCTAAGATGCACAAAGTACCGAGTAAAATAAAGCTCAAATCAAGAATGTGTCACTTTAAACGCCGCCCTCGCTTCGCATGACTGCACTTCCAGAACGTCAGCCCAACCGAATCCGATTTGCACTAGTGAATTGGCTTGCCTTAGTGCCCGCCTCCCAGCGTAATTTCCAGCAATAAGAGCCCTCGTGTGCCTGGCAAAAGCACCAGGCCCCAATGGCCAGGGTCTCTTAATACGAAAAAAGCCTATTAGCCTTCTCTCCACCACATGGAGAACCTGGTCCCGGGTCCACTGATCCCCCCGATCCAGTAGTTTCTGGCGACCCAGATCGTGCGATTGACAGTTACTTTTAACTATCCTTTCGGCGTGCCCGATTAACCAGGCAGTGATGTGATTCGGCCCCGGCCGGTAGCTTAGCGGAGAAGACTTTTTATCCGAGCTGTTATCGGGCTTTGCTAATTCTTTACTGAGACATGCGGGTCTGGCGTTCGCTTGATGTGCTGGATACTTGATTTCGGTGATTAGAGCGTGGGGTCATTGGTTCGATACCTCGTGGCTTTGTCTATGTGTCGGAAAAAATCAGCCGCAATGCTTTGCTAGGTGGAGGATTAGGCTTTTGTCCCTGTTGTCATTTTGCAGGGGTGTTCTTTCGTGGAGTATATAGCCTGGAGGGTCGGTTCTTGAAGCCTTTTCTAGCACTTTCTTGTTTTTAGGTTTGTTAGAATTGCTACTCGTTGTGTTGTTGTTGTTTCTCTTAAATACAGTCATTCTTTTATTCGTTTTAGAGATTTTATTCTCAATCACATTCGTTCCTGGGTATTTTTACGTCCATCTTTCAAGATGATGCCCACTACCAACCACCTTCTCGGCACATTGCTTTTCTCGGCTTCACTATTTAGCTCGGGATACGCAACTGTGACTTGCGTCAATGAGGAGACCAATATACTCCTGAACCCATCATTCGAAACCGGGGATATCACCGACTGGTTGGTCGCTGCAGCCTATGGCCGAGAGATCGAGTCGGGAGGTGCTTCTGATGGAACTTATTATCTGTGAGTCTGCAAGCCTATCTACAGCTATCTTCAAATAGGAAATGACAGGGCTCAATTAACAATACTATTTAGCGAGGCTCCTCGCATTTACAACTACAATTACTTGGAGCAACCGCTCACTGACCTCGAAGTTGGAGAGACATACACCCTAGAAGTCGACTTCAAATTCGCCTGGACCCTCACTAGTACCCCCAGCACGGCATTGAATAGATGTTGGCTCGGTTTTGCTCAAAATTCTTATACTTCATGGATTGACGAGCAGCATGTCTTCTACTCATCTATCAACCCAGATTGGTCAACATTGACTACATCCTGGACGCCAACCTCGTCCTCCGCTAACCTCTACGTCACTTTCGGCTGCAACTATGTCAATCTGAATGCCTTCATGGTGGATAACGTTCGCGCTCTCAAGACAACTTCCGTTTGCACGACCAGCATCCCTCCCCCGGTTGTTACCCCAACTACCATTGCCACAACTAGCATTGCTTCCTCCAGCGCTGTTTCCTCTAGCAGTGCCAGCTCCTCGCATATTGCCTCTTCCTCCGCAGTGCAGTTGAGCTCTAGCTCCTCTGTCGTGAGCTCCGTTCGTGTTCCTCCTAGCTCTTCCAAGCCTGTGATTCACTCATCCACCAATGTTGCCTCTTCGACCGTGACTCCTGTTACTAGCCCGTCCGCCCCAGCTGGTGTTTCTTCTTCTTCGGCCATTGTTCCTCACTCCGGCCGTCCTACAACGTCACCTATCCGTTCTTCCTCGTTGAGCCGTCGTCCGATTTCCTCCACTGCGAAGCCCCACTCTACTCCTCTTGCTTCGTTGACTCCTATCTCTTCGTCGACTCCTTCGGGTTCCAACACTGGCTCCGGCTCTAGCACAAACACCATCTCTACTTCTGGCTCTACTACCACTTGCACTGAATCCGGCTCCGGCTCCGGTTCTACTACGCCCGGCTCTAACTCTGGATCTGGCTCCAGCTCCAGCACAAGCACCATTTCTGCTTCTGGCTCTACCACAACAGGCTCTGGCTCTGGCTCTAACACCTCTGGATCTGGATCTGGATCTGGCTCCACTACCACTTGCACCGAATCTGGCTCCGGCTCCGGCTCTAGCACGAACACCGTCTCTGCCTCCGGTTCCACTACTACTGGATCTAACACTGGATCCAACACCAGCCCTGGCTCCGGCTCTAACACCTCTGGTTCTGGTTCCACTACCACTTGCACTGAATCTGGCTCCGGCTCCGGCTCCGGCACAAGCACAAGCACTATCTCTGCTTCTGGCTCCATTACAACGGGATCTACACCTCCCCAAGGGGTCACATCAACAATTCTGTCTACCAGAACTAGCACCATCACTGAATGCCCCGCCAGTGTCACCGACTGCCCTGCCCGTCAGCGCACTACTTACCTTACAACTGAGACCGTCGTTGTGGGTACTACTGTCTGCCCTCTTACTGAGGGTATCCAGCCTACTGGTGTTGCTTCCACCGGTTCACAGCCAGGCGGAGGCTCAGGCAACGGCAATGGCTCTGGCTCTACCGAAATGACTACCTCCACTGTTTTCACTACACGTACTTCAACCGTCACCGCTTGTCCTTCCTCTGTGAAGGATTGCCCTGCTACCGCGAAGTCGACCTATGTTACCACTGAGACTATTGTTGATTATACTACCGTTTGCCCTGTTACCGCCACAGAGACTGGTATCCCTACCGCTCCGTCATACACCAACGTTGCACCCACCGGTGCTGTATCTACTGGCACTGGATCTACTGGCAAAGAAACCACTGGATCCGGCCCTGAGGCCTCTGGCACTGAGTCGGTCATTACTACCGTTATCGTTGCAACAGTTACCGGATCTGCCGCAAGCGAGACCGTCGTTATTGCAACTGAAGTTTTGACCGTCACTGCCGTCGGAGCTTCGAACTCGGGCAGCCGAGGTGTTGGGGCTATCGGTACTACCGTTCCTTCAAGCGGTGTTAACAATCAGCCCACCGCTTCAGGCTTCTCGACCTCTTCTTCTTCTGTTCCCCAGGGAGGTTCTTCGTCTGGATCTACTTCCACCGCTGGATCTCCAGCCGGTACCAGCCCTGCTGCTTTCAACGGAGCTTCTGGGTCTTTCACTTTCTCTTCTAGTCTGCTCTGCGGACTGGCCCTTCTTGTTGTGGCCTATGTTTATTAATTTCTCCCCATGATCCCTCCGCTATAGGAGAGTACATACATATACATGCAGTTAATTACTTAATGCTTTGTTCTACATTTATGAATGTCAAAACGAAAAATAAAATAAAATCAGAAAAACAAATTGGCAATTTTGTCAACTGCTCCCCATTACTATCGTAATGATCATTGTTGTAGAAGCCTTGGTAGTTGGATCCCGAGGTAACCCCTCACTGGCAGCGGGGAACCCGATGGTTGGACAGAACAAAGCTGCATCGTAATCGTTTGGGGGCCGACAATCTAACCCAACTCACCTGACAGGCTGCCCATTTTTTGTTCTGCGGGGACTTTTCGGATTAGTCAATTTCGTCTGTAAGTCAGCGGTCTGGAATTACTTTTGGGTTGATTCCATCCCCATTTGTCTATTCAAGTGGCAATCCGTTCCTACCTCAACTTGATTGACCTGGTTGTTCCCCTCATCTCCATTCAAGATGGCTGAGCTCACACCAGTGGCCAAACGAACAGACTATGTTTTCAACGTAGGCACCTTTGGACGTAAGGTCACTACCAACAGTCCGGAAGCCCAAGTGTGGTTCAATCGCGGCCTTACCTGGGTTTACTCCTTCAACCACTCGGAAGGTGCCAAATGCTTCGAACAAGCTATCGCTCACGATGAGTCGTGTGCCATAGCCTACTGGGGCCTTGCCTATGCCCTTGGTCCAAACTATAATCAATCATGGGAATTCTTTGGTGAAAATCTAAAGAATATTGTGGCACGCACATACCAAGCATCACGCAAAGCATTGGATCTATCTCCCAGCGCAACTCCAATTGAACAGGCACTCATTACTGCGATTCAATCTCGTTTCATTAGTGATAAGCCTGCAGGCATGGAGCAATATGCTGCTCAAAATCGTGCCTATGCTGACGCAATGGAAACGGCCTATCGCGCCTTCGGAGATGATCTTGACGTAGCGGCGCTATATGCAGACTCCATCATGAGTCTCACACCATGGAAACTTTGGAATTTGGAAACAGGAGAGCCTAATCCAGGTACTCGCACCTTGGAAGCGAAAAATGTCTTGGAAAAAGCCCTTAAACACAAAGATGCGCTCCAGCACCCTGGTTTATTGCACTATTATATTCACTTAATTGAGATGTCCTCCACGCCAGAGCTCGGACTAGTTCCGGCGGACTACCTCCGAGGTCTAGTCCCAGATTCTGGACATACAAACCACATGCCCTCACATCTGGATGTGTTGGTCGGCGATTATCGAGCTGGCGTTCTCGCGAACCAGCGTGCCACCATCGCAGACGAGAAGTATCTAAAAGAAGAGGGCGCAATGAACTTCTACTCCATCTATCGCATGCATAATTACCACACATTGATTTATGCAGCTATGTTCGCGGGCCAAAAACGCGTTGCTCTAGATGCTGTCGATCGCATGGAAGCTACTCTTCCTGAGGAGCTTCTTAAATCAATGCCGGACTTCAGCGAGTTCTTCATGTCTGTACGCCCCCATGTGATGATTCGATTTGGAATGTGGGATGAAATTATCGCTCTCCCCATTCCCAAAGATACGGAGCTCTACTGCGTTACCACTGCATCTACATATTACGCCAAGGGTGTCGCGACCGCAGCTACTGGTAATGTTCCCGAAGCTGAACGCTATCGCAGTCTGTACGGTGAGGCAGCAAAACGTATCCCCAGAACCCGTCTTGATTTTCCCAATAAATGCGTGGATGTACTTGATATTGCATCTGCCATGTTGGATGGTGAAATCGAGTACCGTCGTGGAAACTATAAAGAGGCATTTGAACATCTTCGTCGCTCTATTGTTTTGGAAGATGCTCTAGGTTATAGCGAGCCATGGAGCTGGATGCAGCCTAGTCGTCATGCCTATGCAGCTCTTCTGTTGGAACAGGGTCATGTCGAAGAGGCAGCTGCTGAATATCGATGTGATTTGGGACTTGATAATAGTGTTATTCGTGCGCGTCGTCATTTGAACAATGTCTGGGCTTTGCAGGGATATCACGAGTGTTTGCTTCGGTTGGGTCGCCACGCGGAGGCTAGGGTCCTTGAACCACAGTTGAAGATCGCGCTGGCAGTCGCTGATGTTCCTATCACCTCTTCATGCTTCTGCCGGAATGATACTTTGCAGACTTCAAATGAAGGAAAATGTTGCTCCAGAAACAGCTGTCTTTAAATGATGTTATACATACATGAATATGCAGACTTTATTGGCAAACTCGTTTTATTTGCAGCTTTAGTGCCTTTTTGTCGTCATGTATACTAGTCGTTTGTCAAGATGCCTAGCTGAACAAACTGGAACGCTCCGATAAACGTAATGAGGTCAAACTTATGTTTTGTAGATGAAAATTATTCGCTCCTCCAGGGCTTTCTTCCTTCTTTCACCTTTCATCTTCCTCGCCTGTTCTCACCTACTCAACTGCTGATCCGAAGCCATCGATCATCGAGATTGAACAAAACTTACAAGACATGGAGGATATAGTGCGAGATGATACCGGGGGGCGTTGGTCTGCCGCCTACCGGCGCGTCAAGGGTAATACTCCACCGACACACTTCTTGTGAGATTGCCACTCCCAGTACTGGATGCTTGATATTTTCATGCAACAATATCGCTGACAAGTGGACACAGGAAGCCACCTCACAGGACCTGCAGATGTAAAGATCACAATCCACCAGAGCGGTTTCCCACAAACAACGCTATCCTGGTAAGATCTGAATGTCTTCCCTCCCCCAATTTAGCATCACCACTAAAAAGAACAGAATATTCCACCTTGCATGACCGCGTGTCCATATTGTGGCTTTGAGGAGTAGGTTCATGGAATTTATCCAGATTTGCCGCTTCCAACTAACCAACATTAAAGTTTCGGCGATGGCAGCCTGAGTGGTGCTATTATGCGAGACCATATTCTCCGAAGGCATATAGTGAGTAGATATAGAGTATCCTTGTCCAGAAACTATCAAATAACCCTGCGTGCTTGCAAATAGAACCTCGATCCCGTTTTCTCAATTATCAAAGTCCGGCCTGGTGTGAGTCTGCCAAGGCTCCCAGTAAGTCTATACCTCGCTCTTCACATTTCACGATAATAAATTTATTTACAGGCCTAGCACTCAAACCAGCTCTACCCATGTGTAAGCTTCATTGAATCATCTTTGTGTGCAGATATTGATCAGTTCATTCTAGTGAGGAAACTAAGTCTAGCGATCTCCAAATATCCAGTGGACTCTACGGCCCCGAAACCGAAAAAGAGAGTTCAATTGAGCAATGTGCTACATCTTCTCTCGAGATACTTTCATTCTTCCTCGCCGTCCATGTCGTGTTATCGTTTTTACTCTTTTGGGTTCTTGTTACAATCCATGTGTATCAAGCTCTCCGACGGCATGGAGAGAGTAAAAAGAAGACAGCCACGAAGAAAATGTCATCCAGATCCAGTGGTAAGTCCTGGCTTTGGTAAAATTAAATCTATTTCAGTAACCTTCCGCCTGTTTTCTTTCAGTCTTTTGGATTTGCTGATTCACTGGGCTTCTTGATGATTGTTTTAGGGATAGTAATTAGTAATTCATGGGATTCATAAGCTCAACTTTACCCTGATAGTGATAGAGCAGCTTTCAGAGTTAGATATGGAATGTTATCAATGAAAATTAATCCCGCTGTGTGGAGACCAAGTCTTGCATTCCTATCTGAAGTATGGTGAGCAATTTGTCATGGCGATCTCTATCCATATACTGTTTCGTCTTCAATGTCCGATTTTTAGGCCAGATATCAAGTAGTCTCCGTAAAAACGATAAGCGTCGTCGTGGAATTGACATACATACATATACCCACTTGGCAGGTATGACGTATATTTGAAGATTTAGCTGTTCAGCAACGGGCCGGGCGTACCCAGGTCCACTGATTTCTACTGATATGATGACTATTTCTGGAGGATATCTCGTTCCTGGTGCGCACATTTCTGCACATGAATAAAACGTATGGAGGATTGCGGGGTTCTACCCGGCTTCTAGAATCCCAATACTCCGGAATACAAGTTCCCCCGGATTCAACTATCTCATTCCAGCGAATAGATGATTCAATGAGCATATAATATTAGCTAACATTCGATAAAAATGTGGCCAAATGGAGGGGCCCCGGGGGGTTGACACCCGGGCCGGTTATATGCGCCGGCCCGGGGATGAGTCGGGGACGGGGGTTTCATGCTCATTTATCGGGCCACCGAATCTAACTTCTTCTTTCGGGCGTGAAAGTGGAGCCTCCGAGAGGAACTTTCCAGTATCTTACGGGATAAGATACATGTCGAGCAGCCCGTTTAGCCACTCGGTGTGCTCGGTAGGCGCGGGAGAAAAGATCCACAGAAGAATGCAGGAACGCGTCCAACAAATTCCTTCAACACAACTGTTCGTTACTCCATAATTCAATCTTAGCCCCCAGCGTGATTCGTAGAACCTAGTTTCTCCACAATGCAGATTTCACCGCATTTGAAACCTGCGGAACGAAATCCCCACATTTTTGAAAAACAGCCGTACCAGAAATGTACCCTACCGGTACCCTAACTACCTATCGCCACACGCCAAGAAGAGAAAAAAATGGGTCGAGTCGATTATCTCGGACTACCTCCACGCTGTGCGACTTTTGGCATCTTGATTTCCTCATCTTCTTCTCATCTAGGTATTCAGATCTTTAGTCTCCATATCGACCATTAGCCATCATGACTACCGTGGAGATGTCTCGTGCAAGCCCGCCTCCGGAGGTTGATGTATACGATGATATGGGAGAAGCAGAAAAATACCCCGAAAAAGCTCCTCCGACAGATGACCCCTTTGGAAATGAAGAAACCGGAGAAGTCAAGTATCGTGTCATGAAGTGGTGGTAAGTTCTCAATGCCTAAGCCGTTTGGATCAAATCAGATCATGATATAGCATATATTGACACTTATACAGGCAAGCGGGCATGCGTAAGATTCCACTATCAATCCGAAATCGATTATGAATGTATTGTTGTCTAACCGAAGCTTCTAGTGATGGTCGCTGAAAATATCTCATTGGGAATCATGTCTCTTCCCTCAGCCGTGGCAACCCTCGGCATTGTCCCGTAAGAAGCTTTTGGTATGAACGCGATTGATACGAAAATGCTGATCTTTCCCTAGCTCGCTTATCATCATTCTCGGATTGTCTGGCATCTCGTGGTATACAGGCTATGTTTGCGGACAGTTTAAGCTGCGCTACCCTCAAGTGCATAGTATGGGTGATGCTGGTGAACTTCTTATGGGCCCGATCGGACGAGAGATTTGCTATGTTGGCCAGCTGTTGTTCATTATCTTCTTGATGGCCAGCCACATTCTCACCTTCACCGTGACATTCAATACTATCACTAACCATGGAACATGTACCATTGTATTCGGAGTTGTCGGCTTGGTTGCATGTGGTATTGCTTCCCTTCCTCGTACATCCGAGAAGGTATTTTTGATGTCTACCATCTCTGCTGTCAGCATTTTGGTTGCCACCATCGTTACAATGATCTCCGTCGCCATCCAAACCCCAGACAATGTTCAGAACGATGTTGTCGCTGCCCCCAGCTTCCAAAATGGTTTCTTAGCCGTTACAAACATCGTCTTCGCTTTCATCGCTCACGTTTCGTTCTTCGGTATCATTTCAGAGATGGAGGACCCTCGCCAATTCCCCAAGTCACTGGCCATGCTCCAAGTCGTCGACACAACCATGTACGTTGTTTCAGCCATGGTCATCTACCACTATGCCGGCCCAGACGTCTCCTCTCCCGCTTTGTCGTCTGCCGGTCCCGTTATGAAGAGAGTTGTATACGGTCTAGCCATTCCAACGGTACTTGAATCCTTTCCAAAGTTCCTTAATCAAGGGAATATCAGCTAACATCACAAAGGTCATTGTTGCCGGTGTCGTTTTCGGCCATGTCGCTTGTAAATACATCTATGTCCGAATCTTCAGAGGCGAGCGCTCCCACCACATGCACCAAAGGAGTTTCCTGGCTACAGGTACTTGGGTTGCCATTTGTCTCAGCACCTGGACTATTGCCTGGATCATCGCAGAGTCGATTCCAGTGTTCAATGATCTATTGAGTTTGATTGTATGTTCCTTTTGAACCTTCCAAATTGTACATTACTAACGTGTGGGTTTTCTCCGTACAGAGTGCTCTTTTCGGCAGTTGGTTTAGCTGTAAGTTTCTCATGAATCACGATCATCATTTCAAAAGAAGAAAAACATACTAACCTTAACAAAGACGGTCTCCCTGCCATTTTCTGGCTGCTCATGAACAAGGGTCAGTGGTTCTCTACATGGAAGAAAATCCTCCTTACTCTCGTCAACTTCGCGATTCTAGGAATTGCTTGTGCCATTGTGAGTTATACATTTCGAATCGCGCATTACGAGGAACCTATATTCATTTACTAACTAAAATAGTGTGGTCTGGGTCTGTATGTTTCGGGCAAGTCGATCCACGATAGCTCGGCCAACGCCAGCTGGACATGCGCTAGCAATGCCATTTAAATATAGTATATTTTAACGTGCCAGGTGATGGATATCATCAGCGCTGGACGTGCACTTTTTGGTTCAATCTTCTAGACTGCGAGGCAGGCAAGGAGAAAATGTGTGTGAATAAATTTGGATAGCATAACCTTAGAGCTTGTATATATAGAGTTGCATTTTAGATTCGATCATACCTACTATGCATATGTTTTGCACTTCTGTATTCACAGTATAAGATTAATCATGGCTTCAACTTGAATATGTATTGCTAAGTGGAGCCACCGACTGGCTATATGTACCCGCTTTCGTGTCATGTAGCCCACTGTGGCCCATCAAGCCCATACTGTGTACAATATACAGTAGATCCCTCCCCACTTAGTCTAGCCAGTTTGTTTATTTCAATGCTTGAAAATATACCTTCCAATTATATCAAAACCGAACACCTAGATCGTCAAGATAAAAAACTGAGCCAAGTTTCTAAATAAAATGCATGTCTATGGCGTTGGGTACAGTGCTGCTTCATCCTCCAAATACTCCAAGATATAGGGTACACAGCCCTGAAGAGCATATGTAAGCTATCCTCATGAAGAAGGAAAATTGTGTAAATCCAAATATTCCTCTTTGGAAATCTTTGATACATGCAAGGCTCTAGAACTTCACTTTTATATCTAATACGAGCCTTATCCTAATATGGAACCAGTCGGTTAAGAATGGGCGCAAATGATTGGTTCCAGGTTCGGTGTTTGACCATGGCTCGATCTGTTCAAACCCCGAACGCCACTCACAATCGGCATCTGTCGGACGAATACACTTCTCTTCTTTAACCCATTTCATGACAATAACAAGCCATTGCCGACGGTGAATCAATTTGCTTAGAACACGTATAACCCGGCTTCCTGTCTGAATAAAGGCCGAAGAAGCCATCTAGCAAATGCCGCGGACATTCAAGCCACCCGCCAAAGCGGCATGCCTTGCATGGTTCGTCCACATCACGACTCGTTTTATCTTCAACGCTAACTATGTTTTGTACTAGTCGCTCATCGAAGACAAAATGTGATGGTCAATATCCGTGCAAAAGCGTGAGCCTTTTTTGGTTTCTATTATAGGAAATACTCGTTGATCAACGTTTACTTACAATTCGCGATAGTGTTACAGCAAAGGCCGAGATTGTTACTATCAGCCCAGTCGCCGGGGTGGAGCTCGAAGAGGCGCTCGATATACCGAATCATTGCATCGTCGTGATACATCTGATAATAGCTCGCCGAAAAAGCCAACCCCTGCTCCCGCCTCGCTGTCAGATGCTACAGAAAGTATAGGTCAGTCGAATTCTTTTAGAAGCAGCAAGTCAAGCAATTAACGCAGATCCTATTGACATCGCCGACTAGATCCCTTCTTAGAGAATACGATTGGACTGTTGACTCCCTTTTTGGGATTCAATAACCTCGATCAATCATCGGATATACTACCTGATGCTGGCGAAGCTGTTCAATTGTGGGGACAGCTAACTCCAGCTGAAGATGGCTCTTTTGTCCCCGGATCCATCATTGACACAGATCTACCTGCTATTCGGGTATATACATCTGAGCAAGACATGTGAGTGACCCACATTATGGATTGGATGCATAAGGTCCACATCCATACGACTAGTATGCTGACAGGACTGAACTAGTCTTAATGCTTATTACATCTACATGCACCCTTATTTCCCATTACTACCACCTTCTCCAGTGCCAATATACGAAGATCGTTCCACTCATTTCCAACGGTCAATCGAAAATATGGAACCCAACAGGGCCGATTTACCCTATTGGCCAATTTCCTCACTGGGTCTAGCCCTCTCTGCCATCCTCGTGCTCATACCACCCATGCATCAATCATCTAGAAATGAGGCATCAATTCTTGCGAGGCGTTCATATGCCCAGTTCTTTGCGCAAGCAGCTATTTCTAGCTCGGAGAAAGAGCTTGATGATATCGGTCCCGCATCAAACATTGGTACGATGGATGCTAATATCTCTCAAGAACGAAGTTCATTTCACTCGCATGTGCCTCAGCAGCTGGATCCCATTTTAGCGCTTGTTGTACTTGCTATTTATGAACATTCTCAACGGGGGAATATTTCTCGGATGCGTGCTCGTGTTAATAATGCTGTGACTACAGCAATGGATATCTCGCTGCATAACCTTGGCTCAACGGAGACGGAGTTCTCAGATGCCCAGCGACGTGCTTGGTGGATGACTGTACGCACTCTCCACATATACATCTCTCTTTGAAGCAAGTAATACTAATCTTATCTAGATGTTCGTTGCCTATATATCATCAAATCTTCATCTTTCCGTATGTCCTATAGAAAACCTCGCCTTTTGGATATTCAGCGTACTCATTGAAGTTACGGAATATAGACCCCAATTATCTCGTCTGATGATCCGAGAATAACAACGCCGTTCCCCAAATTTGGCGTTGATCTAGAGGTACCGTCTTCCAGCCCCAAAGGAATAGTTCACAATTCACTAACTCTTCAAAGCCATGGTCTTTCACAATTCGAGCACAAAGACTCCTATACGAAGCTCACTCAATAGTCCACAAATTGGAACGCATCGCCGATATAGCTCTCCACCCCACCATAGCCGACGACATCAAAAAGATCGACTGCCAAATCATATCTCTATCAATCGAAGCCGACCAAAGTCTCCGCGAGACATTCGACTTCGAAGGCGAAGCAGAAATAGCAGAGAACATGTGGCGAATAAGTCGTATAATGATAAACACGTAAGGATCCCAAGTCTCCCCTCATACACGCATACGTACATACTAAAGCCCATACTATACATACAAAGTGCCCGAATCCGACTCCACCGCTTCAGAGCATTCATGGACATCCCCTTGTTCCTAGACAGATACTGCGACCTAATTTCAATAAACAGCCACGGCGTCTCACATCCATCCCCCAACTCCGTCACACACTGGCAATCCAACTTCCCATTCACAGAACACGAGTCCTCAATCATCTGTCTGAAAGCCGCTCTTGTCATCTCAAGCACATTTCGGAATCTACCATATCCTCACGCCTGCGGACCAGAGACCTGTAAGCGCGGCTCGCTGAATAGAAGAGTTATGGTTCGCTCTGCATGCTGTGTTAGCAGGATTCCTCGGACGGTTCCGTTTCTGGTTTGCAGTGCCATGCAGGCTAGCTATACAATGCTTATGTTGTTTCATCGCGTGAGATCTTGTCTTGAGGCTGGGCGGATAGTGGCTTGTTATCATTTGCTTAATAGGCCGGAGACTGTGAGTGAGATTTCGGATGCAGAGAGGTTAATTGAGGAGTTGAGACATGGTGTGGAGTCTTTGGCTACTCCGTTGAAACAGGATGGGATATTTGAGGGTGTTGCGGGGGTGGGTCGGGAGATTGAGATGGCGTATATGGCTGCTTTTCCGGATTGTGCACCAATTGGTTGAGAGGCTATTTAGTTTAAAGAGCCATTGAATGCTCCTATGCACTGGAAACGCATATATGATTGGACAAGTCTTAATGATTCAACTAAGCTGCCCGGACTTCGATCGCGTACTGAGCATATCATTATGATCCTCGCTTGTACAAAATCCTGCCTCCCGGCACATCCGCCTAATTACCTACGGTCATAGAATTCTTCAGTCATCCATGGATGATGTGTAAAAATGCTACAAGATCCCGCCAAAGCAGGGCGGTATCGGCCAGAATTGAGTAACATTAAAATCTCTTGTCAGTCATATTTCACAAATTACGATATATTATTTCTATTGTTCTTGTATACATGTTGCTCTGGATAATATAATGAACGCTAAGAGTCTCGACACCGGAGACGTTTCTTTGAGGAACGTAGCACAAAGTTTTCGACCGAGCCGAGCCCAGCGTTACTGCAAAACCTAAAAACACCTACGCGTCGATTCTATGTTGATCTACCTCGTCATAAGCCCAACCCCCAGATCGACACGATAGACGTCGTTGCGAACTGACCACATGACGAGGTGAAAGGGTGGGCGGCATGCGGGGAATAAGCCTGACAAGCGGAGATGATCTCATGGCTGCGGGATGATATCACGATTGGCGATTCCATCGTCTGGAATGACTAGCGAGTTTACGAAGAGTTTACCGGTAATTAATGTGACGAATAAGATGTCTGGTGTTTATCAAGTTGACTCATAAATGGTTTGATTGATTTTCTTCAAGAAAATATTGGCTAGATTGGCTCATGCATCGAGGAGGGGGTATGTGACATAGAAAAATGTAAAAGCAAAACGAAATGTGTCGGCCTGGACACTTTTCAACTCCGCGCTTGTATAGATATAAGGAAATCGTGAGGTATTTGTACGTGATAAATAAGACGACGGCGCTCTGCGCTGTTCATATGCATATTGGGTATTAGCTTAGGCCGAGACACCCACCCAACGAGAGGGAATGGTATTGTTGTCTTCACAGTCTTCGTAGTCGCCATACAGGCGATATGGATTACTGTTGCGAGGGGGTAGCCAAATGCGAGCCCTAGTGGGGATGTCTTCGCGGAGCTTGCCGCTGCGTCGCATGTTCATCTCCAGGACGACCATGCGGAGGAAATCACTGTTCTCGCGGGGTTCACGCTGACGTGACATGGGCGCCACCTCCGGATCAAAAGTGTATGCTTGATCGCGGTTCTTCTTAGGCACGACATGGAAATGATTACGTCGGTGACCCCGATTGCGAGATCGACGGTATGTTTGCATCTGGATGGATACACAGGCTTGCGTCGATTCAGGTGTGTCATGAGGATGATCGTGATAGACACACATCTCGGCCGGGGAAAGCGAGGTTGGATTCAGGTAACGTCGTAGTTCTGGAGAAGGCGGGGTTTGCATTGGTAGAGGGCGGCGATCATCGGTCAATTCAGGCGTGATAGAAAAGAGAGATCGGGTGAGAAAGTCTTCCGGTTGAACCGAGGGCGTAGCAAAGGTGGAAACAGACTGCGCTGCCGATTTGATGGCACGTAATGATGCCGTAAGGTTTGATTTGAAAGAGGAACGCAGGCTTGGAAAAGATCGAAGCGTGCTGGACCGTTTTTCAGGGATCACATCTGGCATTTCTGGCTTATCGTAGGTATTGAAGTCGATGTATTCACCCTCTTCAATCTCTGTTTCAAGAAGAGGATGATCAAAGACACAGTCCATGGCCGGTGAATATCGGAGCTGTCTCCTTTCCGAGGGGCTCTTATGGCTAGCGGGTGTTGGCGGTTGAGAAATGCTGGATGGCGAGGCGAGGTCATGGCTGAGGGAGGGCATGGAGTCGCTGGATGATGACCTGGCAGATAAGGAAGGCTCTGGCTCCGAATCATGGACCATGTACTTGTCACTGTAGTCTGGCGGGCTTAATAATATCTCCATGGCAGAATTTCCCGCTCCAGCTGTTAAGTAATCCTCCTTGGAGTCAACTCCCTCCTGCAAGAACCGGCAAAATTCCTCCACATGGTTCCCTCGAGGAAGCTTCCGAGACTTTCGAGTTCGGGGTTTCCAAGATCTTCTCGGAAGGGGTATGGCTGTTGCATCTAGTACCGAAGCAACTGTAGTGGGGATATGGTGGTCATTGGAGGATGCGGAAGAAGATCGATGCGAGGATGGTCGGCTTTTGGATTGGATGCGGGAGCGGGTTTCTCGTTGCACAGGGACATGCGAGGGCCATTTTGAAGGAATACCCACGGGAATGGCGTTGGACGGTCCCCGTGACTTGCCATCATATGTAGTTTGTGAGCCAGGTCGGTATTTTGGTACCACGCCTGGCTGGTCCTTGACATCAATGGGCATCATTGCCTTCTGTGGTGGCAATGAGGTGAATAGAAATGCTCTTGGAACCATCATCTTCAATGATCATGCCAGTTTATATTTTGAATATATCAATATTGGCCTTTGTATTGGCCTGATGAGGCACTTTGGTCGAGGTTCTGGGCGAGGTACATTGAAGAGTGAAATGGTGACTCTTAATTTCCCGCCACACACTTCGCGGATATAATCGCGGGAGAGAAGGAGATCTGGATCGAAATGGGGAGGATAGGAGGATTTTTGAGAAGAGAGACGGGTAAGTCAAAAGAATAGGGGGAATGGCAGGGTAGAATGAGTGAGAGGATGTAGTAAAGGGAGGAAGTGGAAATGGGGAAGGAAGATAAAGGATAAAGGATTTGGAGTGGTGACGGAGGATGATAAGAGAATGTATTGGGCAGGTACGCGTGTGACGGTGTAAGAAACGGATCCAGAGGTGGATCCGACTTGGGGTTTTCAGTGGTTTGGAACAGTTTTGAATGAAAAATGGATTTTACTGATTGTTCATTGGATGCGGGGGACAATAGCATGCCGGGGTTCCGGTATCGATCCTCTGCAAAAAGGCAGCCCTTTTCCGCCCATTGTCTACTATTGTCGTAATCTATTACGACCAATACAGCCCCGTACGGAGTAATGCGCCGTAGAATGTTCGCCCAGTGGACCCCATCGAAGCAGCCCTGCAGTAAGGAGGATCCGAGGCCCCCCGGTTTGCTGACCTATATTTCTTCGCTGACCAGCATGAAACAGATGAGTTTATAAATGACTCTTCCACATGGTATGGGGCTCGGTCTGAAATGGATATGTAATACAGATGCACTCTTTCCTAGTTCGATAGTCCACTAGATTAGGGAGTACACGGAGGAGCATAGTAACCCTAACTCCACCGGATAAGGAGGGTTGTTTAAGGTTGGGATTAGTGTGGTGCCTGCAGATGTGGATGGAGATGCCGTTCTCAGCCAACACGTAAATAGGAGGATTTTTTCTTATTTTTCTTTATTATCGATCGGTAAAAGTCTGCGTTAAGAAACCCAAAAAGGGGCATTTTTTCTCTTTATTTTCTTCGGGCGGGACCCGCTTACTTTTACTTCAGATACAGTTATCCTAGAAAACACCCCTTAAATATTCCTAAATATTCCTTGTCCTGGATGCAAATGATGTCTCGATTTGATTAAACTTCCAGGCTGTCGATGTAACTGCTGGTGCCAATGAGACTTGTTACTGCCGTGAGATCCAATTCTGGCACCTGGCCACCTCAATCAAGCCGGCGGTCCCCGGTCGGATTTACTACGGTCTGCGGACACTCGCATTCCTCAAACAGTGAACACTATTTACACTAGGAGACGTGGCTAGTGGATCTTTCTAAGCGAGTAGTTGCGGTGTATGCCTGATGGATCTGAGGATTTGTGTGTAATTTATCTTTGTTGGGCCTTTCTCAATTGAATTTTAAGTTATTATTAATTGGTCCACTATTTCTAAAGTGTTTGTGTGTGTGCTTTGCTTTGTTGATAACTAGACGGCGACGGCGGTCAGCGCGGTAGATCGCTGTTGCTGGCCTACTATCAATGGTTGCCCTGCTCAGCGCCCAATAGTACGGAGTAGACTGTGCCTCTCTTCATTAGGAAACCCCTTTGTCCCATCATTATGTTGAGATTGCCTTGTTCTGTGTTTGTTGTCTGTTTTGTTTTGTTGTAGACCTTGTTTCGCTTTGTTAAGCAAACACAGCCTCTCCTTTTTCCTATTTTTCCTACTCCATAAATAGCATTTCCATTACTCATACATTTCTGTGCCGCTTCCAGGCCATTCATTTCAATGGGGCCTTTCAAATGTTCAACTGGCCAATGAAGACCACGATGAATGGCATAGTCACGTGCTCTTATCACTCGCTGAGTAATTCAGCTGCTCTTATCACCCTCCATGTAAATGTGTGGGAAATGAGCCATCCAGAAGTCGGCGATAATACTTTCCTCGCAGCATGCAGATATCCAATCATTGTGGATTCACTTAAAATTACCTTATCTACAGCCAATGCCTTCCTGGGCTACTGAAGGGTGAATCTCCTTGCCTCCCCAGTCTTTCCCCCGCTTCTGTAGTGGGTCGTACCGCGGGGTCGAGGATTCAGGCCTGCTCTACTCTGTACGGCACTCTGTATACTTTGATATCCGGCAAGGCAAACGATCCGCAAGTGTAAGGCCGAGCCCCGTTGCCTCCCGATTTTCCGAATCCGGACCTTTTATGGCCCGATAGAACTGGTCAAATTGATCGAAGCGAGCGGTCACGTCCTCGTGCGTTGCTGTGGGAGCTCATCGTATTTTTTATACCCACTGTGTTGTCTAGACGATGGACACATCATGTACTGATCCCTATCAATATTGGACCATTGAACGGTGGCCACGACGCTGAGGTGTGGTGGGGGGCCCTCATTCCGCGGAGAAAGCATCCGCCCCATTTTGGACACACGAGGAAGCAAGCGAATCAAAATCATGTCTGCAGATGCGAATGCGGCCAAGAGACGCTGCGTTAGCACAGCTTGCCTTGCTTGTCGCAGGCGAAAATCAAAGGTATAGCATCGCCAATATGAATTCAATGCTAGCTGGAAATATATGGTCACTAACAAGTAAACAATTAGTGCGATGGAAATCTACCTAGTTGCGCTGCATGCTCATCTGTCTATAAAACACCCTGTTCGTGCATTTCATTTTAGATCCAAGCACCATCATAATGTTGCTTTACTAACGGAGTGATAGGCGTATATGACCCAAACTCTGACCATCGCCGAAAGGGCGTGTTCAAGAAGGATGTTGATACCTTGCGAACAAAACATACAACATTACAAACACTAATACAGGCATTGTTAAACTATGAAGAAGACGACGCCTTTGAGCTTGTCCGCCAAATAAGATCATGCGAGGACCTTGAAACAGTTGCTCAATCCGTTGCTGCCAGGCAAAATGGGCTTCTATCTGCATCGGAAACAAGAGCTGACGCTAGCGACGAGAATCTATCAGAGGTGGACCAATTCGACTCTGAGTTATCAGGGAAAATACGCGAACTTTTCCTCGACGGCTCACGAAAGTTCATTGGCGGCACGTCGAATCTGATTTTCCTTCCCCCGGGTTCTGATATGCAAGAGTCTACTTCAACTGCCGACTTCGCTTTAAGCACCACACAGGATACTGGCCCCATCGGGCGATGGACACGAGTTACAGATGATGAGAGTCTCATCAGCCATCTCCTAACAATGTACTTCACCTGGCATTATCCATTCTTCACTATCCTTGCGAAAGATTTGTTTTATAGGGACTTCATGAGAGGTGTATCAAGTCAATATTGCTCAGCTTTGTTGGTCAATGCCATGCTCGCCCTTGGTTGTCATTTCAGCGCTTTCTCGGGGGCGTGCTCAGATCCCGAAAATATCGCAACAGCGGGCAACCATTTCTTCAAAGAAGCCAAGCGTCTGATTCATGAAAATGACGAGCATGAAACTGCGAAGCTTTGTACAGTCCAGGCCTTTGCTCTTATGTCTGTGCGTGAAGCTGGATGCGGACGCGAAGGCAAGGGTTGGGTGTATAGCGGCCTGAGCTTTCGCATGGCGTTTGATCTCGGATTAAATGTCGATGCATCTAATCTCGGGTACAAACTCTCGGATGAGGAGATTGATGCTCGACGCATCACATTCTGGGGCTGCTTCGTTATTGACAAGTAAGTTTTATCTGCTGCCCGTATTGCTAGAATAAATCCTAATAGAAAACAGATGCTGGTCAAATTACCTAGGCCGTCAGCCTCAGTTGTTGTCATCGAACACAAGCATACCTAAGATTGAGTTGTTACCGAAAGAAGAAACCGAGGCATGGTCACCCTATACCGACGCTGGCATAGGCCAAGAGCATACCCAGCCTTCCCGCACCAGAGCTGTTGCTTTGCAAATTTCGAAATTATGTGAAATCAGTAATGACCTTCTTCTGTTTTTCTATAATCCTTCGGAGCTAGAAAAGTCGCAATCCAAGCAATTGGAATTGAAAAGGCTGAGTGATGTCCATACACGGCTTGAAGCATGGAAGAAGGAACTGCCGCGGGAACTTGACCCTAAAGAAGGACAGCTTCCCCAAGTCCTGGTGATGCAGTAAGTAGCCGACAGGTTCGTTTGTGTCCCCTTTCTTTTGCTAATCCTTACGCCAGCATGTTCCATCAACTCCTTCACGTCCATCTATACCGACCATTTCTCAAATATACCAAGGCCAATACCCCACTCCCTCCACATGTGTCGCCCCGCAAGATCTGCACACAGGCTGCATCCGTGATCTCTAAGCTTTTGCGGATGTACAAGCGCACCTACGGGCTGAAGCAAATATGTAACATTGTTGTTTATATCGCTCATACGGCCTGCACAATACATCTACTCAACTTACCCGGAAGAAACCCCGAACGAGATGTTGTTCATTGTCTCCGGAACCTCGAAGAAATGGCCGACAGCTGGGTAGCTGCCCGACGAACCTTGCGCATTCTCGACATATCCGCCAACAAATGGCAAGTGAAACTGCCAAGTGATGCCATCACCATCTTCGAACGGACTCATGCAAAATGGGGTTCCTGGGGCTCCTGGGACCAAGTCACATCGCCTTCCGCATCAGAAGATTCTCCCATGCCAAATGATACATATAATCCCCCATACGCATACCCAGGAGCCTACCAACCACCAACCAACCAAGTTCCAACAGGCCTACACCGAGAAGTCATAAGTCCAACCCCAGCTTCTATAATGGAGGTCTCTATGGGTCCACATTATCCAAATGCCACCGTATCTCCTATGGCACCAATGGGACATATCCGTCAGGCGTCAGGACCAATCACTCAAAGAGCAGACTACGCAACCGCTGCCCCGGAGCCGCAGTATATGCGCCAAATACCCCAGGTTAACTACCAAATGGCCCCATTAGCAACATCTGGTCCTTCAGCAGCGGCATCACCTGTAGTACCGAGTGCCTGGTACGATCAAGCGGGAAACCCCATCGGACCTTCACATGCTTCACATACTGCATTATCGCCTACTTCAGATTCGCCTAGTTCTGGTCTAGATACGACGGAACATCTAGTTGAGGAGAGCCATGACTGGTGGAATAAGAACGCTGCTGTTGCACTGGGCATTGGTGGGGCTGAGAACTGGGGCGCCGCATGGGGTCCTAATATTCCTGCTCAGTCTCCTCCTCTTTCGTATGGAAATAGTGGTCAGCTTATGTCTATGTCTGCACATCAGTCTGGTTCTGCAGGGGCAGAAAACTCGCCCCAGGTTTCAGGTGGAATACCTGGTATGCCCCCTGCAGCTGAAAATGGGACGACGGGGTATGATGAGCAATGGAAGTAGATAAAGTGTTTCGTATAATCTGTTTTTAGACCTTTCTTTTTTTTTGGTTCATCTGAGTTTGAAGCTTGATAAATCTCTTTATTTGTATTTTTCGACCTCCACGTTTTTGTTTGCATGTTATGATACCAGTTCGGAGGCTGTTGTGGGTTGAAGTTGGTTTATATTGTTTCTCTTGTTCATGTTGATTGAGTTTCCATGAGAATGAATACCATTTACAGATAGGAAATTACTAGGAGAGTATTGATAGAATGAAATAATCCAATGTTGAAAGAATTTCCATCATAAGTGATCATTAAATTTGCAAAGTACATAAACACCAAGAAACAAGATGCTAGGTCAATGAAAAGGGAGGTTCGACCCATATAGACGTGGTAAGACGAGAGATGGTATCACTGCCAGTAGTTAGTAAACTGTATCAGAAATGATGATATAACGATGATGCTTACCAGGAAATAATCAGCGACGGGCTTTTTCGCAGGCATACCCCTTGTATCCTGGGCCGCGGCCTCGAAAACGCGGTATCTTCTCCCAGGACTAACAACAGTAGTCATATCAGCACCCATAACCCCGTTGCTCCGGCCATATTCTCCGTTACTGCGTGCAATTGTTCCGCCGTTGCTGGCGTCTTCGCCCAGCTCCAATATGGCAGCAACATTACCACAGCGGTAACAGTAGTTCGGAGCAGACCACACAGTGACAATGCCACCATCGAACATCTCCTTGTAGCCCTCCATAACAAGCTGGTGAGCTCTTGCAACCAAAGACAAGCCATTGAGATGGTTGAACTGTTTCACTATATCGCCGCCGAAAAGGAATCCGGCGCCACGGGGACTCAGCCCCCACCCTTCGATCTCGTCGGGGTCTGACCAAAGGAGATCACACATGGCACCTTCATGCGGAACCTCTTGTTTCCTGTCTATCAAGCGAATCTTGTCTACAGAATCGATGAGTGGCGATAATCCGCCGTGTACACAGAGAACAGCACCCGTGCGACTATTGCCCAAACTACCGTTCCCATCTCCACTTGCACCGGTTCCTGGAGCTCCAGTACGTGCCGGGGGACCCGTTTGACTCGGACCAGCAGATATATCACGCGGTGGGGAGATGCGTGAGTCTGTGGAAGTATCGGAAGAAGAACGCATACGCGGACGATAGCTGCTCATGGTAACCTCTCCATGGGAGTTAAGCACCTCCGTCTTCAGCTCGCCGTCATCAAACGACATCGTAGAATGTGTAGTTTCGGACAAAGAAGGACCAGTCGGTTCCAGTTCAGAGCTGGCGCCGAGGACGATCGCACCCAGCGCCAAATAATCGAACACTTCGCAGCAGTAGCGCCAGACGTTAGCGCTGCCATACTTGCGGATACACTCATCGTAGAAGCCGTAGACGGTGGTGATCTGGCGCGACTCATGGTTTCCGCGGATAAGGGTTATGCGATCTGGATATCGCACTTTGAGACAGAGGAGAAGGAGGAAGGATTCAAGTGAATAGAAGCCGCGGTCGACGAAGTCGCCCATGAACAGGTAATTTGTGTCGGGTACATCGCCGCCGACGCGGAAGAGTTCCATCAAATCGTGAAATTGGCCATGAATATCGCCGCAGATTGTGACTGGGGCGTCTACGGAGACGACATTGCCTTCTTCGATTAGGAGCTCGCGCGCCTTGTAACAGAGCTCGCGGACTTGCGATTCGGGGATCAGGCGGCAGGCCCGCAGCTGCTCGATCGCCCTAGACGAAGAAAATACAAAGGATTAGTTTGTTTCGTTTTTATTGATTATAGCGGGTCATATTACCGATCTAGGTCACTCATGTTGAGCTAAGAGTTGATGAGGGGGAGGTTGGGATGGAGATAGAAGTTGGGGGGTAAGAGGCGGAGGAAAGTGGGAATATGGTGGATAGGAGAGAATCTCCCGTTGGGAGACTCTATGCAGAATGATCTCAATCAGTTTCCGTTGCGATCAATAAATACAGATTCATGATTGCGGCGCCATATTCATTAAAAAAGTACGCGAGTTTCTTAGGAGAAATCAAGCTGCAACGGCAGAAACCAGGCGTATCTGAGTCTGCGGCCGCTGCGGGCCAATCACGTCGGACCCAGATAAGATTAGATGGGCCAGAGCCTTCGCATACCCTCGACTTCCCGCTTTTTGGATCGCCCTCCTCCCCGGATTCTCCTGTTCAACTCATTCAATCCTTCAGTCTCCTGGGGGGTCCTCGGTCTAGACTCAATTGGCCTTCTCTGCATCTCTAATACCTCCCCCGACTTCCTCGTTCCTCCCTGGACCTGGCCTCCTATCACCAATGGCCTGGTGAAGAAAAAAAAGAAGACCACATTGAAGACAGTCAACCACACACACCCAACTCGAATTGAACCACTCGTTTCGCGAAAGTCATATAATTCCATCTCATTTTCGTAATGCCTCCACATCTTCACCCACGGTCCCGGTCAACAACCGGCTTGTTCGCCGGCACTCTCCTCGCATCCCTCCTGGTCGTCGGCATGCCACACGTCTTCCCTTGTCCTGCCCCGCGTCGTACATTCGCCGACTCAGAAATGACCATGACAGCCGATGGGCAACAAGTGCCACGCATGCGACGCCGTCGACGAAAAGAAATGCAGCTGGATTCTGAGATTCCTCGTCCCGAGCACCCGGCATCTTCCGGCGTCGTAGACGAGGAGGTGTCTACATTTTTACATATGGAGGAGGAAGCACAGAGGCTGGCTAGTGTTGGACACGAATGTCCTGTGCCAAAGCCTAAGGGTGTTTTAGGTCAATGGCTCGGCTTTCAGGGTGTTCGTGAGAGCGAGCAGCACCACGCGTCTGCTAATGGGGCTCGATAGACTCAACTGCTCCTATGTTATGTGTACCGCTATGTGTTTTGGGTTGGGGCTTTGCATTGTTTTGCTTGTTTTATTTTGTTTGAATTATACCATGGACTGTCCAGAAGGATGGATTTGATTGGCCTGTGTTGGCTGATGTTGGAGTAGAACCTTGGAAGGTTAGGTGTCGATGCGATAACTTGATGCCTACCATGCCTACCATGCCTACAATTGTAAAAAAGAATATTACCAGACAAATAAACGTCTTTAAAGACATTTCAAATCTATTACAGAAATTGCTTTGGGTGCATTGCTTTAGGTGGACAGACTGCTACTAGTATCTCTCACTTGGTGTATATTCAGTCCAGCTGGACTGGTGATGCTTTGCGCCACAGCAAATACCTAGGCGAGTACTTAATAGTACAAAGCATTGCCAGTGTTTAGTTCCAAGGCTCTGCGAGGAAATGTTTAGTATACCACATTGCTCTGTTATTTGGTAAGAGAAGAGGAGTTGCCGAGGCATTCTTCGAGTCAACTATTGTGAATGAACTTTTTTTTAGTTCTTTACACCATATCGGAATATGACTAAATCTCAAATCATTGAGATAGTTTCAAAATACAAACATGGTCCTCAAGCATCAGAACCTTGGAAGAGTGGTGAAGACTTACCCGATTCTACAGAGCAGTTGAGCAACGTCAGAACACGAGATTAAAAAAAACCATTTATTTATCTTGCATACAAGGCCATTCTGCATTTACTATTTTTACTTGTATTAGATGCTCGGGCCTCTATGAACTCCTGAAATTGGAAGAAATTGGAAAATCATGGGCGCCTCTACAAGATATCTGGACAAGTACTAGCCTTTTATCAATTGGTAGTACTAGTTTAGTATTAGTATAGTGTGGTTATCGGCGCGGATAGTCAATTAGGCCGAAAATTCGCCGGGTGTGGGCTAGTGGTAAGACGTCTACTCCATATGGCCCTGGTTGTCCTTGGTCTTGACCTTTGGTTATACTTTGGTATAAACCCAAGGTAACACCAGGTATGGAATTTTAGAAGACGAGGGTTCAATCTCATCCACTGGCATCTTTTTTTATCTTCCCATAAAAATTGATCATGGATCAGATATAGTTACCTGACTGCAAGCCAGCCTAATTCCCATAGGTGGAGCTAAGATTATACCCCACCGACATCAATTAACTGTCGCAGCTCCGGCCAGCTGCAACATTCCGATTCAACACCAAGCCACCATGCCCTGGGCACGCTTTATTCGCGGCGTGCTGACCCAGCCCCGGCACACAAAATGGATTGCTCCCCTCTTAGTCCTGGGCGATGCGCTCTTTTGCGCTCTAGTCATATGGAAGATCTCCTGTAAGTCCGAACTCGAGCTCCAATCCCGACACGCGTCCACTCTAAGACCAGAGCCAGAAGCTAATCTTCACTGCGCGACACAGATACAGAAATCGACTGGACAACATATATGCAGCAAATTTCCTTATACCTCTCTGGTGAACGCGATTACCCCTCGATCAAAGGCTCAACGGGGCCGCTCGTATATCCCGCCGCTCATGTCTACGTCTACACACTCCTGTACAACTTAACCGACCAAGGGCGCGACATCCTTGGCGGACAGATTATCTTTGCAGGCATTTATCTGTCTTCATTGATTCTTGTGTTTGGATGCTATCGAAAAGTCGGCGCTCCGCCGTATCTCTTCCCACTTTTGGTGCTGTCCAAACGGCTGCATAGCATCTTTATGCTGCGCATGTTCAATGATGGAATCGCTGCTTTTGCTATGTGGCTCGCTATATACCTCTTTCTTCGACGGCAGTGGACTCTGGGAGTTGTGGCGTGGACATTGGGTGTCGGTGTTAAAATGACGCTTGTGTTGCTTGCGCCAGCTATTGCTATCGTTTCTTTATTGAGCGTGGGTCTTGGTCGAAGCTTTGCCCTTGGAGGCACTGCCTTCCTTGTCCAGGTAAATATGGCGTCCAAAATATGATATACTCCCAATTGGCTGACATGATGATCTACAGTTCTATATTGCTTTGCCCTTTGTCAAAACCAACGCAGTCGGTTACTTGTCGCGGGCATTTGAGCTATCTCGCCAGTTCATGTTCAAGTGGACAGTCAATTGGCGATTTGTAGGTGAAGGAACGTTTCTCTCGAGGGAATTTTCTGTGGCCTTGTTGCTGCTGCATGTTTCTATTCTAGCCCTCTTCTCTATTGGTTGGGTAAAGCCATCCGGAACTAATGTCTTCCGCTTCCTCCAAGACGCTATTCTGGGCCGCCTGCAACCTGTGACACTTTCGAGTTCTTTCATTATGACAGTCATTTTGAGCTCCTTGGCCGTTGGCATGTTGTGTGCTAGATCGTTGCATTACCAGTTCTTCGCTTATCTGGCATGGGCCTCTCCGTTCCTCCTGTGGCGCACCGGTCTTCATCCCATTCTGATATATGCCGTATGGGCGTTACAGGAGTGGGCCTGGAATGTATACCCCAGCACGAATGCCAGCTCGGCCGTCGTGGTCTTGTCGCTTGCGGTGCAGGTATTCGGGGTACTGATAGGGGAAAACGGCGATGAAGATACCAAATGATTTGGATTGTCCTCTCCCGATCGATAAACTTCAGGCTTTGAATGCGAGTTCCTCTTGCTCACAGGTGTGTTTCTCAAGCGTCGGACTCATCGGAAGAGGGCATTTTGCCCACACGAGACTCCTCCTCGGAGTCGGAGTCGGCAGTAAACACGGGCTGCTTAACGAATTCCTTGGGCCTGTTCAAGTAGAACTAATTAGTTTTGTTGTTCTGCACTTGGTCTGAAGTACGACAGAACCATACCAGAACGGAGCTTTTCTCCACGCTTTCTCATCCCGTACAATGTTGATAATCTCGCCAGCAATCTTATTTTCCCGCTCCTCCGATGGTTTTGTGTCAATCACAAGGTACGATCCACGCTTAATCCAAAAAGTCGATCGAAATTTAGCTGGAAGCTCAACCAGCATTTGCTGCTTATCAGACAATTCGATCAGGTAGATGTTGTTGCCAGTTGCCTTGATCGCACGCACAATCAGGTGAGTGTCTGCCAGCTCGTCCGGTGGAGTCAATGTCTCCTGGGCCGTAGCCAAAACTTTGCGACGAGGAGGTCCCATTATCAATTGAAGTATATCAAATACTATGCACGGACTGCAAATATATATAAGTGATTTAGCGTGCGGGGGTTAATCGATGGATTGACAAAGTCCATGTAGTGTGCATTCAGTCTCCGTATTGTGGGCGAAATAATTTTTAGCCTTATCAGCGGGGCTTGATCCGCACTACCGGGGAAGTTACTCCGCGCCGATTAATAATTGACCACGAGACGATGCCCGCATAAGAGAACTGACAGCTTGACAAATACAGGCTAAATGCAGATCGTGGCGAGAGTCAATGCGAAATGGGCGGAATATAGATTCCTCGAGGAACTCGCTTAAATCAACTGGTTTCATCCAACCTACCTTTGAAAAGGGCATCGCAACCTTTGACACCTTCGACAATAATTCCAACACAATCAAGGAACTTAACTGTCATTGAATTCCTACGAGTCACATATTAAATCTATTTTGTGGACAGCAATTTTCCACCATGGCGGCATCAAGGCTAGATGCAATTCTTTTCATCGAGAGCTCCTCTCATATTGCCAGTCCGCCGCCTGCAGCACAAAAACTGCAACCACCACCTTCTCTTGAGCTCAAAGATCTTAACCCAGCCCAGAATTTGAATCAAATTGCTTGTGACCCAATGACACAGCCATCTGTGGACTCGCCTGCAGATACACCCGCAGCAACGCCTGGCTTGCTGGAAAGCCGAATGCCTACCCCTCTGACAGAGCTCGAGAACATGGAATGGGCTCCGGACAGAACGGTGACGCCTTGGAAGACTAAATGGCGGCTTCTGAGTGCATGTATGATGCTTTTTGGTAATGGAATGAATGACAGTGCCCCTGGTGCATTACTACCATACATGGAAGAGCACTATGGCATCAGCTACTCCATCGTCTCGCTGATTTTCGTGGGCAATGCGTTGGGCTTTATCTCTGCTGCGCCTATTACTCATTATATTGAACAAAAGTTAGGCCGATCCAAGAGCTTGGCCCTCTCTATGTTTATCCTGGCTGTGTCATATACCGTGATCGCTTGTCAGCCTCCATTCCCCGTTATTGTGGTTTGCTTCTTCCTACTCGGCTTAGGCGTAGCCCTCAACTTGGCACTCAATAATACATACTCTGCCAACCTACCCAATAGTACGACAGCACTGGCATATGTATGTGGTGCATACGGAATCGGAGGTACCGTCGCGCCCCTGTTTGCGACCGCCATGGTATCCAGTGGTATTCGCTGGTCCTTGTTCTATACAATACCAGTGGCCGTCTCCGTGATCAATTTTGCTTATGCCTTATGGGCCTTCTCTCAATTCGAACAAGATAGTCTAGTCGAAACACAAAGACGACTTCGACCTGCTGGCGAGGTCTCAGATGTCGAAATGTCCACAAGCCGCACACAGCTTCTTAAGAAAGTCATTAAAAACCGCACAACACTCCTTGGTGCACTTTTCATTTTCGCCTACCAAGGAGCGGAAGTATCTATCTCCGGCTGGATAAATTCTTTCCTGATCAATTATCGACACGGCGACCCCTCCCAAGTTGGGTATGTCAGTGCCGGCTTTTGGGCTGGTATCACCGCTGGTCGATTTTTATTGGTTTACCCCGCTGCAAGGATAGGAGAGAAGACCGCGGTGATGGGCATGACGGCAGGCGCAGTCATCTTTCAGCTGATGACCTGGTTCATTCCAAACGTCATCGGAGAAGCCGTCACCGTTGCTGTGCTTGGTGTATTATTAGGGGCAGTGTACCCGTGTGGCGCTTCTGTGTTCACCAAGCTGCTGCCGAAGAGCATGCATATCTCCAGCTTCAGTTTCATCAGTGCCTTGGGCAGTAGTGGCGGTGCGGTGTGGCCGTTTCTGACAGGTATTCTCTCGCAACATGTGGGGACAATGGTGCTGCATCTGATATGTCTTGGGTTGTATGGCGCGATGGCAGCTAGTTGGCTTCTACTGCCAAAGGTCTCGAAGAGATCGGAGTAAGGGTCTTTAGATGTTGTTCTTGGTGATCCGCAATTCTGAATTCATAGATCGGAAACAATAACCGCAAAGATTCATTTGTATACATGGGTACCAAAGCAAAGAAGGCAGTCATTTCAAGTTTGTGTGACTGTTTCCCTACTATGGTATGTACATTGGTGTGTAGGTATAGTTAGAAGTAAATGCTAGTAGAGTCTAATATGGAGAAAAAATGAGAAAGATATTGCCTCAAAGTAATATTCCAAATATTTTTAATGTGATAGGCATCCGGATTCAACAGTAAACCCCAAGTCATGCAGAGCAAAGAATGTGCAAAATGTCCAAATGAGCAACCTTGGAAGTTTTGATAGGTAAGGGGAGCAGGATCAGGAAGCGGTGACGTGAAAAGATAAGTCGAGGCCTCCAAGTATCGCGATCCAGACCTTTGATGAACCTGGTTTGGTAAAAAGCAAAAAGAAAAAAAGTGGTTTGCAGTGCGCAATCCCGTGGTGTAATCCTTTCCATCCCTCCCCACCAGGTATGAATCAAGTACGCAGACCGTTACCCGATCAGAAACATCTGGACCCAAGTCCCTGTTCGTTTCTGCCAATCAGGCCCTCCGCACCCGAAGATCATGTCATCGAGTCCCTTTTTCCCCTTCTTTTTGGGCATTCTTGGTCTGGGAGGGGAACTGAGTTGGCATGATGAATTTTGTCTTAGATAATATGAGCTGAGTACTGGTTTCTATTCTGCCCAAAATGTCATGGAAGGATGTATCTCTGGGCAAAATAAGCTGTGTAGCTACTATGGATCTATTCACTAAGCATATCCACCTAAGTTGGGTAAGAGGGCACACCTAGAAGAGTTTCTTAGATTGAGTCTCACGTATTTAGTCCAAAGACCAAACAAAATGAAATCCCAGGATATTAGTTTGTATAAACACAGAGAAACTAGAAATCCGACTGATCCCCAATAAATCCCCCTTCCCCTTCTCTTCTATCATATAGCTATATACTAGTACATTAATTACTGTTCCATAAAGAAACCAATTCCCTTATCGCGATCGATTGGGGGGCGAATCCCGTTACATTTTCCGCCGTGGCAGTATTACCCGCTAACCCCCCCCCCTGTCAACAAGAGCCCCGCGAATCCCTCCTCTCTCCTACACCTCACCACGACCTGGCGCAGTACCCTCACTTTAACCGTCCACTCTGCCTACCCGGTCCTTGCCCATCATGGACGGTGACGAGCTTATTGCCTCGGTCTACCGCAAGATCGAGCGGGAGAAGGCCCTGATCACCGCCGCCACTAATATGCGGCAGTCGACCGACAACCATCTAGTTCAACAACGAGTCGACGCCAACATCCGCGATGGCCGTAAAAATATTGCTTATCTTGAGGAGAAGATGCGCGAGCTTCAGGTTCGTCAGATGGAACAGCAAGGTGGTGGCTCCCCCGGTCAGCGTCAGGGTCCTGGACCCACGCCGCCCCCCAAAGACTCCTCGGGATACTTTGGAGGTGAGGGCGATGACCAGAACTACCCTCAAAGTGGTGCTGGATCGATGCCATCCGGTGCACCATTCCCAGACCCGCGACCGTATGCTCCGATTCCTAAGGCGCGTCCCAATTACACAAAGCTTGGTAGGTCTATTTGAAACTCAATGATCGACCCCTCCCCTTCCCCCGCTTTCTTCCCTTTGAGTCGGGCGGGTCTTGCATTGATGATGAAAATTGTCCGATTGGAATGCTGACAGGGCTTTTTGTGTCTCAGATCTAATCAAATATGACACCCAATACCTCGGTCCGAAGATTCAGCTTATGCTGTCCCAACTTGAATTCAAATTGAGCGTGGAAAAACAATACAAGGCTGGAATTGAGAAGATGGTCCGCTTGTACCAGGATGAGGGCGACCGAAAGAGTCGCGCAGATGCTGAAGGCCGTCGCATTGAAAGTAACCAGAAGATCCAGCTATTGAAGCAGGCTTTGAAGCGATACGAGGACCTTCACATCGATATTGAGTCCTCGGATACCCCAGATGGTATGTAAAACTATTTTGACTGCTCGGGGTCATCATTGAATGAGCTAACTAAGGTCCACCGACAGATGAGAGTCTTAGCAGTCCTAATATGCGCAAGCCGTTGACCGGTCTTCTAACTATGCGTATTCAAGCCGTGAAGGATGTGGATCATGCAACCAGCTCCCGATTCTCTCGTGGACCTGAGACATACATCATTGTTAAGGTTGAGGATACGATCAAAGCACGAACTAAGGCGACTCGTAATGATAAGTGGTTGGACGAATCATTCTCAATTGATATTGATAAGGCGAACGAGATTGAACTTACTGTTTATGATAAGTCTGGAGACCGTCCAACTCCTATTGGTATGCTATGGGTTCGCATTTCCGACATTGCGGAAGAGATGCGTCGCAAGAGGATTGAGACAGAACTCAACGCTTCTGGATGGGTTTCCGCTGATAAGATGGGCGATTCGGGCACTCCTCGGTCTGATCACCACCCCGGCTCCCCAGGATCATCTCATGGTGGGGGCGCTGGTAGCGGCAACTTTGGAGGTATGGCACCTATGGGACAGCAATCGGGAGAAAACCCCAATGCACCCCCATCTGTTATGATTGATTCATGGTTTGCTTTGGAACCATTTGGTCGCATTCATCTCTCAATGAGTTTCGGTAAGATATCAATGTCATTTTCCAAGCCCCTACAATACACTGATTCCCCTACTAGCCAAGCAACTGAAGGATCGCCGTCCATTCGACATTGGTCTCAACCGTCAAGGTGCCGTGCGTCAGAAGAAAGAGGACATTCACGAGAAGCAGGGCCACAAGTTTGTTACCCAGCAATTTTACAACATCATGCGTTGTGCGCTGTGTGGAGAATTCCTCAAGTATGCCGCGGGTATGCAGTGTGCTGATTGCAAGTACACTTGCCACCGCAAATGTTACTCTAAGGTCGTCACCAAGTGTATCAGTAAGGCCAATTACGAAACCGACCCAGACGAGGAGAAGATCAACCACCGTATTCCCCACCGTTTCGAGGGATTTTCCAACATCTCAGCAAATTGGTGCTGTCATTGCGGCTACCTGCTTCCTTTCGGTCGTAAAAATGCTAAGCGATGTACTGGTATGCAATTCTTCATGTTACAAATCATATTCTTCTTGTTATGTGTACTAATTCTTTCACAGAATGTTCTATGACTTGTCATGCTCATTGCACCCATCTCGTTCCTGACTTCTGTGGAATGTCGTCGGAGACGGCGAATGAAATTATTTTGGCCTTGAGTCAGACAAAGATTCATAATAAAACAACATCTGTCAGTACCGGCTTCAGACATCACACCCTCCGGTCTGGCGGCAATATGCCTAGGCCTTTCCCGAGCACCTCCAATCTTCACTCTTCTGACCCTTCAATCCCTGCGCGTCCCTATGACGCGATGTCCCGACAACACTCAGCAGAAGCGATGAGCGCTGCGACTAACTCTTTTCTTTCACAACAGTCACCAACGGTACTTCCACAGGCTGCCCAACGCCAACCTCCTACGCCCAAATCTTCATCGTCCACCTCACCGCCCCCCTCAGCGGCCGCGGCCGCCGCGGCTGCCGCTGCAACTGGGCTTCGCAGCCCTCAGCAGACTCCAAGTATGCATTTATCTCGTTTGTTTCTTTCAATTGCAAGACTAATATAGATCTAGCTGAAATGAGCCGACCTCCTGTGGCACCCCAACAACTTCCTCCCCCTCAACATGCTCCTTACAACCCAGGTGCATACGCTCAAGTCTCCCAAAAGCCCCCGCCCCAGTCTCAACTTATGCAACAAAACATAGCTACTGCACCCCCTGGGTACGGAATGCCCCCACCCCAGAAACAAGCCATGCCGCCCATGCAGCCCCTGGCGCCAGTACCGCAGCAGCAAGTTGCACCCCCTGTCAAGCCGCAAGAGGAGATGCCTCCGCCTGCGTCACGGCCTCGCATTGGATTGGATCACTTCAATTTCTTGGCTGTTCTCGGAAAGGGTAACTTCGGTAAGGTCATGCTGGCTGAGACTAAGAATACCCGAAAGCTTTACGCCATCAAGGTATTGAAGAAGGAGTTCATTATTGAGAACGATGAAGTCGAGAGTACCAAGTCTGAAAAGCGGGTGTTCTTGATTGCTAACAAGGAGAGACATCCTTTCTTATTGAACTTGCACGCTTGTTTCCAGACCGAAACTCGTGTCTACTTCGTCATGGAATATATCAGTGGTGGTGATTTGATGCTGCATATTCAGCGTGGCCAATTTGGCTTAAAGCGAGCACAGTTCTATGCCGCCGAGGTCTGCTTGGCTCTCAAGTATTTCCATGAGAACGGCGTTATTTACCGTGATCTGAAGCTCGACAACATTCTCTTGACACTTGATGGCCACATCAAGATTGCCGATTACGGTCTTTGCAAGGAGAACATGTGGTATGGCTGCACTACGAGCACTTTCTGTGGTACTCCTGAGTTCATGGCCCCCGAGGTAAGTTTTTCACACAGTTACAGGGCTTGTAAAATGCTGACTTTGATACTTAGATTCTGCTTGACAAGAAGTACGGACGAGCTGTCGATTGGTGGGCCTTCGGTGTTCTGATCTACCAAATGCTCCTCCAGCAGTCACCATTCCGTGGTGAGGATGAAGATGAAATCTACGACGCCATTCTTGCCGACGAGCCTCTTTACCCTATTCACATGCCTCGTGACTCTGTTTCCATTCTCCAGAAACTCCTTACTCGTGAGCCCGAACTCCGACTGGGCTCTGGCCCCACAGATGCTCAGGAGGTTATGTCGCATGCATTCTTCCGCAACATCAATTGGGATGACATATATCACAAGCGTGGCCCACCACCGATGCTCCCCACTATTAGCAGTCCTACTGATACTAGTAACTTCGACCAAGAGTTCACTAGCGTGACTCCTGTCTTGACCCCCGTGCAATCCGGTATGATGCCCTTAGGGATCCGATTCAAGACTCCTGAACTAACCCTTCACCTCTTTTCTAGTGCTTTCACAAGCTATGCAAGAAGAATTCCGCGGCTTCTCATACACTGCTGACTTCGCTTGATCTCGACTTGTTTGGACTGCGACTATCTCTTCCATTTGAACATCCACCATCTCGCCTCCGGTCACTCGGTGGATTGATGACATTGGCCCCCTGGTAACGACCGATAAACTTTTTCGCGGCTGAGGGGTGTTCCTTTCTCCCTTTTTTGAAATTGCTTTACATACCCATCGCAGTTGCGTCTGATTGAATGCCAGCGTAGACGCCGGCTGCTGATCGCTTCAGGAAGTATGGTCTATTCTTCTCGGATTGACATGAATGCTGGGGCACGTCAGTTCCCTTCCCTCTTATTGCCTGTTTCCCTATTTTGTTTTCCTATCTAAATTGCTTGCTTCTTTATGTGCTCTCCTATTTCTTTATCCGACGGGTCAGTTCACGATTGTTCCACACCATGCTGGGTCATGTCCGCTCGGGGCATCGAGTTCGCTAAGGAGAACTCTTGACCCGCCAATGACTGTGCAAATGGCTTATGATCCTATGAATTGAGTTTGAGTCTTCTCAGCGACCCCCTCCCCCCCAAAAAGCGTTTGAACGAGGTTTGATGAATTTGAAGACCATTGATGGCTGTACGTGTTGTGGTATTAGTAGTATTTTAGGATGTGTTGCTTACCCCGGGGGTGGGGTGGTTCATGTTTCACAGTAGCATTGCTTGGATGAGTATTCTGATTCCTCTATGGCTCTAAGGACAGGAGATGCAAATACGAATTAATACATCCTGCTGAATCAATGTCTTCCATTGTTCAAGGTTACAGCTTCTTCAATGTTGTAGGGTCTCAAATTTGTAAAGATGAATGTGTCAGGTGCTTATTTCCCAAGGCAACCACGAGCCCTAAGAAACACGTTCCTTCCCAATTTGGAACAAAACCCGTCCCACGTCCCAAGTTTCTGTTCGTCTCACTTCACTTGTTTACCTTCTTGTTTATCCTTCTTTCCTTTCATCTTTGTTCCTTCCCTACCACCCTTTGTCTTCCCAAACACTCCCAGTCGGCTTTGTCTACTCTACATTTTATTCTGCAGACCTATTTCCTGTTCTATCTCTTTGTTCACTGCCAGAATCTCTCTTTCACCGTTTCATCCAATTATGGGCTTCAGAAAGCTGAAGGATCGCATCAGACGATCTTTGAGTCCTCCCAAGTCTCCTCGATCTCCATATTCTCTTCTTCAGAACTACTCTCCCGACTCTACCATCCACCTCCCAACCCCACGCGTCATCGTTCGACGTATTTTCAAGAGGGGAGCCTCTGCTCCTCCAGCTCCTGCCTCATCACTTCCAGTGCAATCTCTGTGCCCAATAGAGATTCAGGCACAGAACAAAGAAGAGCCAGAGACAACAGTCCAGAACCCTGCTCAACCCCCTGTCGACACAGCCGTCAAGCATCCTGCTCATCTCCCAGCCTTCTCCATATCAGATCCCGATACTGATTCATACCATCTCTTAAATCGGGTTATTAATCTTGGATCTTATCCAGCGGAGAAATTAGACCCAAGTCTAGCATCTGCTCAATATCCAATTCAGAGAGTCCAACCGAAAATACCAAGTGTCTGGCTCGGAAGCCAGTTCAAACTCCTATTCAGTGCCCATTTCTGGCACCAGCTCGAACAGCTACGCCGTATCCAACTCATTCCAATCCAGAAAGTGTTTCAAAATCCTTCTTTGCATCTAGCTCACCTACTGTTCGGCCTCGTCGATCGGTCTCTCCTTCGGGCTTGGGTGCAAAATCCGTCCAATACTCTACTCAAATACCAGACCAGAAGAAGCCCATTCAGTATTCAGCCCACTGCAGTCCCGATACTACTGCAGAGTCCTGGCCAATCTCTCCTTCAGAAATTTGTCAAAAGTTATGTCCCGTACCCATTCCGAATCCAGTGCCAGAGTCTGTTAAGCCCCCCATTCAGGCATCAACCCAAAGTCCTACTCAGTACTCCGCTCCAGTACCTACTCAAATTCACATTCAGAGCCACGGTCAGCATTCCGAAAATAGTTATCAAGCCCCTGCAGCTGCTGTAAAGATTCAAGAAGCAGAATTTGAAGGGTTTGGTGATGAATCTCTTCTATCGACACCTACTACCGTTGTCAACTTCGCTCGTCATCCCGAACTTAATTCTCAAGCCCTTGAAGCTACTGTGAAGATTGAAGAAACAGCCGAAGGGTTTTTTGACGAATCTCTTCTGTCTACGCCCACCACAATTGTCAACTTCGACCAGTTTGGGCGTGTCATTCGACCTAGTCCCTCCTCCTTGTTCCTCCCTTCTTCTATCCCCTATGCCACAGAGCCTGCTTTTCCCTTTACCACTCCAGCCATGTCACGCAAACGAGCACGATTGGACATCGGACTTGACACCGGCTTTGACTCGCCGCCGCCAGTAAAACGCCACAGGTCCAGCGATCGACAAGCCTCCAATAGTCTCGTTCCATCATCAAAGAGAGACAACAAACACAAAATCAAGAAAGTTGCTGACAACAAGGACCATGGCGTTGTTGACAAGGTCTCCAAAGTCGAGTTTCGGGGGAATCAATCGCCTAGTCTTGTCCCACCTCCAAAGGGAAGTAAGAAGCGCAAGGTCAAGGAAGTTGCTGGCAACGAAGACCTCGATATTGTTGACGAAGTCTCCAAGGCTGAGCCTCAAGAGCGTCAATCACCTAGTCCTCCTACACTGCCCATTTCGCCTCAAGATGAGAAACCAAGTCCTCCAAAACGATCAAAGACTACCCCACCACTCTCTCAGCCCGTTCAAGTTGCTCCTGGCTCTCCTCTTGCCACCGAGAATGCCACTAACCTTTCCGCCACACAGAAGAGGTCCAAAAAGAAGGCTTCTGACAGGAAAGATGACTACAAAATTTCCATCAAAGAGCGAAATGACCTGGTAGGTGACGTTACACGAGAAGAGGCTCAGCGTATGGTCGAAAACATGAATGCTCCATACGACCCAGCAATCGGGGGTGAGCAACTCGAGTTGTTAAAGAAGCTTTCGGAGCGTGGTGCTACGCCTCTTCTCTCCGGGTACTGGGCCAGAGACTTCTCCACTTTGCCTAAACGACTCTTTACTCTGATCCTAAAGCAAGGCGAGTCGGCCACAGAAAGTGAGCTCATAGAAAGTGAGCTGATGTTCAAGGCACAGGAGAGATCTGACTTATACGCCATCAAGGCTCTCCAAGATGTCTTCGCTCTCAGTGGACGGGTTCGAGATTGCACAAAACTGGAAGCTGTCCCTGCTAAAGTTATCGCAAAGACGATCACCAAGTACATGCGATGGGCCACAGAAAACGCCGGTCTAAAGGCAGCCAAGAAGCCAACAATCCCGGTTCATATCGTCTCTCTCCGAAGAGAAGGTGATAGCCTTCGTACGCACTTGGCCCGGGCCTCAAGAGAGCTGGAAGACCTTGCAATTCAACATCAGAAGTCACATGGCTGCCAGAGCATCTGCTGGCCCGTCCTTCTTGCCTTCATTGTTGCCGGGCCAGTTCTTTGCCTAATGTCCCTCGATACTGACCCTTCGTCAGTGATTTGGTCCAGGCAGCCGACCAGCCAAGCCGAGGGAGCCGATGCCAGCGATGATGAGATGGCCGCCATCAACAATCGGGCCTGTCTCATGACCCATGTTGATCTGTCGGCTGTCGATAATGACGTCTGGAACTCATTGTCGGTTACAATTGGTGTCGCTCATGTGAGAGATACCATGGTCCGCCTTGCTACCCTCTTCAGGGGCAGCGCTTTGGTTCCTCAGTTCAGGGATCAGAGTGCTGACCCTGCTGATGAAGACCAGTGAGGGAAGAGGGGGCCGTGGAGGGTGTGGAGGGTGTGGAGGAGAGATGAACGAAAGAGAGTCCGGAAAGAGGCTGTGAATGATGTGAATCCAAAGATTTGCATTTGAAGTTTTTGAAGATATGCAGCAAAAATGTACGAGTATCTATTGTTCCTGGAGGGGGGCTCTGGACCCTGTATGGATGTCCATGAGCGTATAATAAGCAGCACAAGCATAATGAGCGATTCTTTTCAATTTCGAGCATTTTTCAAACTTTATAGATGTCTATATCCACCCAGTAAAAATGTTTCTTGGTTTGCCAGTTATATTAATCGGTCAAGCCTTTGTAAAACTTTCATGTTCATGTCTCACATTTCTTTGATTCAAGTGGTATGTATCTACAGCGTGGGAGCTTGGGGGCACCTGGGCAGTTTCAAACAAAACGTGAGGTGGGGAAATTCCAACAACACCCTTGTTTCCCCCCGCAGCACTTATTCATGTAATCTCCCATTGCCTCAATCCAATACTTATAGGCTTCATATTCTCTTTCTTTCTTTCTGAACGTGCTCTTGCTAAACTTTTTTTCTTCAGGCGGTCATCATGCCTCCAAAGCGACCATCCAAGCCCCCGGAGCAAGGAAAGACATCTGGTCGTAGCTCGGCGATTAGGCAGAAAGGTATATTACTGTCAAATGTTTAATCCTAAGACCTTCTTAGCTTATAGCTCACCACGTGAGAATTATCCAGGGCTAAATGACGTTTCAACTCAACTCCTCGATATCTACGTTGTCGGCACCAACTGCTATGGTGAACTTGGGTTGGGAAGTCTAACGAAGAAGTCCGAACTATCACGCCCAGTACTGAATTCAAAGCTGGATGTTTTATCTACTGGAGTCATCTATATCGCGGTGGGGGGTGTACATTCTGCTGCTCTGACTCATGATAATCGAATCCTTACATGGGGTGTTAATGATGAGGGGGCTCTAGGGAGAGATACCAAACAGGATGACAACGATGATACTCAAAACGGAGGAAACAGCTCAGATGAAGAAAGCGACGAAGATGAAGTCGATCTCAATCTTAAAGAAGCCACCCCACTCCCTGTTGATTCTTCTTTTTTCCCCAGTGGGACTGTCTTCACACAACTTGCTGCTTCGGATAGTGCTACTTTTGGCCTAACAACAGAAGGCCTGGTATATGGCTGGGGAACGTTCCGGGTATGTTCTCTTCGCACTTCTAAGCAAGCTTTAATCCTCGCATATCGGCTAATAAAGAAAAGGGAGAAAATGGAGGAATAGGCTTTTCGCCCAAAGGCAAGGAAGAGCAACGAACGCCTATCCTTATCCCTGCTATCAAGGATATAATCAGCATTGTCGCCGGCGCACAGCATATTCTCGCATTATCCTCAAACGGCTCCGTGTTCGGTTGGGGCTGTGATGAGCAAAACCAACTTGGAAGACGCCGAGCAACCCGCCACAACGCAAAATCCCACCATCTCATACCAGACCTCTGTGCTGTTCCATCCGGAATCCGAACAATCGGAGTAGGGCTGTACCATTCCTTCGCAATCCACAAAACCGGCACCGTATATGGATGGGGCTCCAACAATTTTGGACAAACAGGCGTTTCAAGTGCAGCTGGTCTACGCGACGCTATTGTAGCCTATCCCGATAAAGTCCCTGGTCTCCAAACGCATGGTACTATTACCTCCGTGTTTGGCGGCAAAGATCACAGCATTGCTCTCACTGAGACGGGGAAGTGTCTTGTCTGGGGCCGAATCGATAATAAGGCACTTGGTATCCCGCTCGAAGAAATGTCTAAGTCATATGTGATCTACGATGAGTATGGTAGACCACGAATTCTGAAAGAACCTTATCTTCTGTCGGGATTTGGTGAGGATCCGGTGGACTTTGCTACTGCGGGTAGTGATCATTCTTTTGTGATTACGAGATCTGGGAAGGCCTATAGCTGGGGCTTTAATACGCAGAGTCAAGCTGGTCAGCCTGGTATTGATGAGGTTGAGAAGCCTACGCTTGTTAAGAGTAAGTATGTTGATGGCAAGAAATTGGTTGCTGCTGCTGGTGGTGGCCAGTTTAGTATCATTGTTGGGGTGAGTGATCACTCGCGTAAAAAGAAGAGTTCTAAAAAATGAATCTTTATCGGTTAATCTTGGGCTTTGAAGTTTTTAATTTGCGTAAATATTACCATTTGATATTTTGTTCCTTTCTATTCTTTTCTTTGCATGCTTGGTTTTAGTCCTTGGGCTCTGGAACGTTCGAGTCAATTTTTACCATCGATACATGCAGGCAAAATTCCATCTGGCGGTTCCATGGTTGATTTGAATTTGAACTTGAAGTTGTTCTCATTAGATAAACAAATAAATATATCATGCTATCTACACAGGGATCAAGGTCAATACTGTATATTTTCGAATGTAGCCTAAATTGATGCATTAGTCATCAGATCGCCCGTCCCACTATTGATGCTTTTCCCCGAATGTCAAAGAACACTACAGCAATCACTTTTCCCTTATCCCGCAATGGATGCCGTAGAGGACCGGGAACTGAAGCTCCAGCGAGCTTCTGGTGATCTTCTCACCGAGTTCTCGGAGAAGCTGCCGTCGTTGTTGTGGAGATCTGAAAATGGAACCCCTCTCCGCACCCCACGCAAATGGGCACCAGTGTCCAAGACAGAGAAACTTGTCTCCCTCGTAAGGCCCTTGAAGAAGCGATCAAGCGCTTGATGAGACTAGATTCTATCTAACACTCCTCGGCAGCTCGAGCCTTTTCAAGAATGGCCTCAACTTTTGGACCCGCATCTGCAGAAGCTTCTGCCTCCCCTAGTGGATGCATTCCTGGCATATTTAATCAGACATCGCAGCCAATATGCTTCTCAAGCCACGAAGAAATCTCGAAATACAAGTACTTATTCCCTGCCGAAAGCTATCTGCAGGTTACTATATACTTTTTGCAAGGTCCGTGGAGTCAAAGTGATTAGCCGATTTCTCAATAACGAGCCGAAATATCTTGATTCCATGCTGCGGGCTTTCGTGGATTGGGACAGCATGCCTGCTCCGGAAGTAACTGAAGATTCTTTGACTTTAGAATCAAATCACTTACAGTGGGAAGAACGATATGTTATGCTTGTCTGGCTCGCACATCTCCTGCTTGCGCCGTTTGACCTGTCTTCGCTATCCTCGGACGACATCCCCATTCCTTACGACAACCTAGATCAGCTGGGTGATGTTTCGAGTGACACTCCGATGATCGCTAGGTCTGTACTTTCCCTAGCACTTCATTACATTAATGTTCCCGGGAAAGAGCGCGAAGCAGCCACAGCGCTGTTGGCAAGACTCGTGCTTCGTGGAGACATGCAAGCGCTTGGGCTACTGACCGGTCTAACTGACTGGTCATTTTCGATTTTGAGTTCAACAGACAATAGGGAGGCCCCTTCTGTCTATTCTTGCATCGGCGTTCTCTCTTTCATCGCCCGTTTGGCTGGATCCGGCCAGGTGGAGGACTTTGCTCCCCTTCTGCAAACAGTTTTTCAGCAGACAATCGGTGTATCACAAGGAAGCACAAGTATCTCTACTATCATCCAGTCCTCTGCGATTGCTCGCAAAATTGTTGTCAAGATTCTTCGCAATATCACAGTCATGGCTTTGTCGTTGAGTGAGAGGGAAGATAGTAGTATTGATGATGACCAACTCTCTGCTATTTTGGAAGATGCCATAGATCATTTTCTCGTTTCACTCGCAGATAAGGACACGCCTGTGCGATTTGCTGCGAGTAAAGCTCTTAGTATAATCACTTTGAAACTGGATCCAGATATGGGAACTGAAGTCATCGAAGCTGTTATCGGCTCTCTCGGCGAGAACATTCTCTATGAAAAGGATGATGGCAGTTTGATGACTCCATTCGAAGCACGAAATGCTGGACTTGATTCGCTCAAGCGCAATATGAGTGGTGTTGATGCGCAGCGGTGGCAGGGTCTTATGCTTACGTTATCGCATCTACTATTTCGTCGGGCACCTCCTACGCAACAACTGCCTGAAGTCCTTCAATCACTTGTGTCCGGCCTTACCTTCGAACAGAGATCATCAACTGGTAGTTCTGTCGGAACTGGTGTTCGTGATGCTGCTTGCTTCGGTGTCTGGGCGTTGTCTCGAAAATACACAACCTCTGAACTACAAGCGCTGCAACTCCAGATAATCCCTTCACTTTCTGGCAAATCTGAAGTTGGCGTCTTGCAAAAGCTAGCCGTGGAGCTTGTTTGCTCTGCTTGTATGGATCCCTCTGGAAATATTCGACGTGGTGCTTCCGCGGCCTTGCAAGAATTGATTGGGCGCCACCCAAACATGATTGTCGAGGGCATTCCTCTTGTACAGGTCGTAGATTACCATGCAGTTGCGCGGCGCTCTCGTGCCATGGTAGATGTGGCGAAGGCTACCACTTGTTTGGATATGGTTTACTGGAGTCCACTTCTAGAGGCCTTGATGGAATGGAGAGGTACTGGCTCGCCTGATGCAGAGTCAAGGCGACAGGCAGCCAAATCCATTGGATCGTTGAGTACACAGGGGGGTTTTAAGACACTGAACTTGGCTCTTACACGACTGTTAGATAAGTTTCCTCGTATTCCTCGGAGTGATGTGGAGTGCCGACACGGATTTCTGTTATCCATCGCTACTACAGTTGATGCTTATCTCACCGAGTGGAACGCGTCACCAGGAATAAGAGATACATTGGAAGGAAAAGAAGTATCTGCAAAGGTTGTTAAGCTGTGGGATATCTTTGATTCCCCCTTCAGCCCTACAGACAATGATTTGAAACTTCAAAGTTCTCGTCCTGAATTAACAGCAGAAGCGTCGTCTTGCTTGATTGCTTCCCTTTGTCGAGCGATGAGCTCAGCTGGTCTTTCCCCGCCGTCGGAAGGTTTGATCGACCGCGTTCTTCACATTTTATCATTGTGCATTTCCCGGAATGAGGATATATCGATTCAAACATCGTCAGATGCACTTTCCGTAATATTCCCACTTCTTTCACCTGCGAAACAGGATATAACTGTTCAGGCATGGTTTTCACACCTCCGTGTGTCATCAAGGTCGCCAGGTGGCCGTGGTCAAATCCTAGCTCTGGGTGCTGTTTTCAAACAGCTTGAAGGTCAAGATCAATTGCAACAAAGTATCGTCACGGAATTAATTCGGAGCGCCGCAGCGGAGGAGCTCATCGAAAAACGTGTATCTGCTGTGAAATGCTTTGCTACTGGCATTGTGCCACACACTGGCAATCATTCTCGTAAGTGTCGAGCTGAATATGTCTAAAGAGTATCACAGGACGCTAATACCCTTTCAGCTCTCATTAAAATAATTGCGAATAATCTGTTGGGATTTCTGAATGATTATACCACCGATCGAAGAGGTGATATTGGATCATTGATTCGCGTTGAAGCAATCCAAGCTACAAGGGCTCTTCAGCCCAAACTTTCGCAGGGTTCTCCTATCGTTTTCGAACTCACCAAGTGCCTTTGTCGACTTGCATGCGAGAAGCTTGACAAGGTCAGACTACAGGCATCGCTTTGCTTACAGGACTGTTATTGGGATGCAGTACAATTGAATCCCTTCCATAAGTGAGTATCCCAGTAACATATTTGCAAAACTTATAAAGCTGATATCAAGCAGGCGCTTCGAACATATTAGTGATGTTTCTTCTCGAGAGTACTTCTTCCAACTGCTTGCATCATGGAGCCAAGAATGGATACGCCTTCCGCTACTAAAGGGATTAGCTACATCTGCAGTTGCTGGTGCAGAAGGTCTTGTCCGCTCGTCGCGAGCGGCGATAATTCAATTCTTCAATTCGCACAGTGCACAAGCAGACCCCAACATTTTGATTGAATTCCTACAGGTATTATCCGCCACTCTAAGCGAAAATCTCCCAGACGACCGATACGCAATACCTATTATTGAGTTCATGGCTTTCTTGGTAGACAGCTACCACTCCATGGCTGCTGGCCCTAATGAGTCGAATCCTGTTTTCCGGAACGTTTTTACTCTCGTCCAGAAGGCCCACTTTCGGTCTTCAAATATAGCCCGCCTAGAGGCTGCAGTTAAGCTCTATGCAGTGCTATTAGAGATTGAGCCTTTACGAGAGGATATATTGAAGAAGTTGACGGCCCTGCTACTACATCCTTACCCTAGGGTATGTTTCAAGTCTTTCTTCTTTCTTTCAGGTCTTCCCCCTCCATCGCTTTAAAGTACTAACTTCAGCACAGGTTCGCTCAAGTGCAGCAGAATATCTTTACACGATGACTAATTCCGAAACTATCAAGTATGAGGATTGGTCTGCATCTCCCAAGGAATTGAAAGAGAAGGTTGATGGCGTTCGAAGTGCCTTAACACGTAACTAGTGAAATCTAAATAAAGATACAACCCATCGACATAATAATTCTATATGGCCTACTCAGAGTGTACTACCATGAATGCCAGCGCCCCTGGGGTCGCACGATTTTTATGCATTGAAACCAGCCAAGATGACCACCCAATAAAAATCAAAATCAAAGAGAGTGAAGGTGAAAAATATCGGACTAAAAAGTCGGGACAAAAACGAAATGCATCATCCGTGAATCGAACACGGGCCTCGTCGATGGCAACGACGAATTCTACCACTAGACCAATGATGCTAGTTCTTGTAAAGAGGCCGGATATTTGACCTGATGAGGTAATCTTACTATCAATTATCTCTCCATCCCCGAACGGAAACTAGAAGCTCAACCTCGCTCAATCCCCGGAGCTCATTCTGTCGCAACAATGGCGACCGCCGGCGCATCAACAGGAGCTGTCCCTCCTAATAGCACGTAAGGCTTTCAAATTCCTTACTTTATCTATACCGTTTCGCTAACCTGGTCTCGCAGTGTATACGTACGCTCCAGTCCCTCCCCCTCTTAACCCGCAGTCTCGAACGGCTCACGCCCCCCGCGAACTGGACTGACATTTCTTTCGACGAATCCATAGGTTCGAAATCTAGAGGAACAAATCAAGGTTGAGCAACTCAAGGAAGCTCTGGAAGAGGTCTTTGGCGAATTCGGCAATGTCCTTGAGATCGTCGCAAAGACCAACCTCCGCGCAAAGGGCCAGGCTTTCATTGTCTACGACAGCGTAGAAGCAGCCACCCGCGCCATTGACGAAGTGAATGGCTTCGACCTTTTCGATAAGCCAATGGTCCTGGATTATGCAAAGACGAGAAGCGATGCTACAGTTCTACGAGAGAATGGCTCAGAGGAGCTGGAGTCTCACAAGAGGCGGCGTTTAGCTGAGAAGGGTATGTTGGGGCTTCCTCTTTCGCCAAAGAACCACCTTGGCTATCAGTTATATATCGTTACTAACCGTTGATTCTACTTGGTTCTCCAGAGCGCAAACAAGCCCACGACGCCCTCGAAGCTCAAAAGAAACTCAAGCGCCCTGCTGCCGCCGCAGAGGCTGCTCGCCCCGCGAAGACCACAAAGGGTGCTGGCCTCAAACCCACATCCGGTACTACAGCAAATGTTGTTCCAGACGAATTTCTGCCAGCAAACAAGATTCTGTTCTTACGGGAACTTCCCGACGATGCCAACGAGGAGAGCCTGTCGGCTATTTTTGGTCGCTTCGAGGGATTCCAGGAAGTCAGATTGGTACCTGGTCGCAAGGGTATTGCTTTCGTCGAATACGAGGAAAATTCTGGAGCTATCAGTGCAAAGGAGGCTACTGCAGGCATGACCATTGGGGAGCAGGGCAAGGCTATCCGTGTCACTTACCAGAGACAGTAGTTATTGCAGGAAAAGGAAAGAAAATATCCGTCTTGTTCTTCCGGCGTTTGGAGGGTCCTATTTTATTCATCTATTTGCAATACAAAGAGACTACCCTTTCTTCTCGATATCGTTTCAAGTTCAACCTGGCTCTGTATTTTCAAGCTTTACAATGCACGAGAACAAACACTACCTACTAAGAAAGGAGCGCCCCAGTAGAGACGTAAGAATGCCAGCTAGGTTTAAGATATAATCCCGGAAGTGGCCACTTCATTGGCTTGCTTAAATTGAAACACAAGAGGAATCTTGGAATAAATGAACATACAAAACAGTCAGTTACATGCAAGCGAACAATTATTTGAGCGTGGAATAAATGATGCAAGAAATGAAAAGCCCTAGAAAATAACATCGGTGTCTTCCTGTTCGCCCAGGACATCTGCAGCTTCTGGTTCCTCAGTCTTCTTAGCCTCCTGGGCCGGTGTGCCGTTCTGCGCCAGCCTCTCGGCTTCCTTTTGTCGGGCAGCTAGAATCTCAGCGTCTGCAGCAGCGGTGTCTCGTTGCTTCTTGTTTGAGACCTTCTTTAAACGATAGAATTCCTCTCGGTCAAGTTCATCAAGCTCGGAGTTGATGTCTTTGAGTTGAGTTAGTGCTCATGATAGTTTAAACAGGAAACGGGGGCACGGACATTTGATGGTGTTCTCGGTTCGAGGAATGATAACATGCTCACTATGAAAATGTATTAGTCTTCATATCAAAGTCGTGCTGTAGACATAGGTAGATATAGCATACATAGCATTCACTATAAGCAGAGTTAGTTATTGTAGAAAACAAGAACTGGGATATGCTTACCTCTTCGGTTGACGACCTTGATCACTTCATCTAGAATTAAAAAGGCAGTCTGATAGAATTGATGAGTATTCAGCCCGCTGAATTTCGTTGATCATCACTCCACGTACCTGTAGACTGGCCAACTCTACCAACGTCTCCACAGCACGCGCGTATGTCTCCCGGCAACGCTGAATCTGTTGACCACCCTTACCAAGACCGGTTAAAGCGAAGTCATTGATACCCTCTTTCGTATAGCTCTCGAATTGGGGCAAGAGGACACCGGAGATGTTTTCATGCTTGGCGCGAACACGGAAACGAGCTTGTTTGGCAGACTCCTGAACCTGGTATCCAATATCTCCACCCACTGCATAGCTGACTTCGGCTAAGGAGAAGGCTGCAATCTGCATAACCCGACCCATCTTTTGCTTGGCCTCATCGATACGACGTGTGATTTCTGAGTACTATAATGAGCATCTGGGGAATGCGGAATGCGGGATGCGGGGAGGACTCGAGTCCAAATCAGTGCAATCATACCTCGAAATCGCCTATTGAAGAAGAGATATTGTCAGTATATGTCGCCAGACCAAGTGACCATAGCTTTCTTACTTAGTCAGTGCTTCACTCTTTCGTTTCAATAAGCTGTGTCCGATCTCGGCTCCCTTCAGCTTGCTCTTCATCAATCCCAAGGACTGGCGAGTCGGGAAGACTGGCTCTCGGCCCTGTGATGAAAAATGTTATTATTGGCGTATGTCCATTGGCACGAGTATACAGAGAATAGTTCCTACCACAGCGCCCGACATGATGAGAGTTTAGGAACTAAATAGAGACCTAGACCTAGACCAAAGTGTAAACGTGCGGCCACATTGATATGACGCCGATAAAGCTCCACCGCCCACTTAATGCGGTTCAGATCACGTGAGCACCATATAACTTCGTTGTTTCATCCGTAACGAAGGCGACGTAGTGATTTCCCCGTGAAGTTCACCACCCTGCGCCCCTTGTCTCATGCTGAACTAGCGACTGTGCACCCCGATCCCGCTCGAATCGAGTGGCGCTATGCCAGGGACTCTCTTGCCCCCGAGATCAAACCGGCAGCACGCACAGATGGATCGACCATCTGCGGCCCGGCCGGACTTTTACTTGATTGTGAGCAGCATTGCATAATATGCGCTTGAAACTTGAGAATTTTATACTAATATGTTTTACTCAACAGACCGATCAGGACACTATTTACGAACAGGACCTGTTGCGCGAAGCTGGTAGCATTAAGCCATGGCTTGCCTACATCGAATTCAAACAGCAGAATGGCACGCTTTATGAGCAAGCCTTTGTATGTCTACACTCTGGGGGGAAAGGACAACGTTTGGGATCAATTCTAACTTCTTTTTTGTTTCAGATAATGGAGCGGGCTTGCCGACAGTTGCCCCGGTCGTACAAGTTGTGGAAGATGGTGAGAAACTCGAAATTTGAAGAAGAGGAGTCTTTGACTGACAACTTTTAATAGTATCTGGAATTCCGAACAAAGCATCTCAAAGGCCGCAACCCAACTGTTTACCGCGTGGAGTACTCGAAGGTAAACGCATTGTTCGAGCGAGCCCTGATCCTCCTGAACAAGATGCCTCGCATCTGGGAGATGTACCTTACATTTCTGATGCAGCAACCTCTGGTCACACAAACACGGCGTACCTTCGATCATGCCCTTCGCGCCTTACCAGTCACTCAACACAACCGAATCTGGAGACTTTACAAGGGATTTGCGAGATCTGCGTCAGGACCTACTGCCGTGAAAATCTGGGCTCGATACATGCAGATTCACCCAGAGAATGCGGAGGAGTATATCGAAATCTTGATCGAAATGGGTCAATATACCGAAGCGGTTAAAGTTTACATGGAAATCCTCGACAATGCTCGATTCCAGTCGAAGAATGGCAAGAGCAACTTCCAGCTTTGGACTGAGATGGTGGATCTGTTGGTCTCAAAGGCCAAGCAGATTCAGACTGGTCACCTGGTGGGAATTGACGTGGACGCCATTCTTCGAAGCGGTATTGATCGATTTGCCGACCAACGAGGCAAGTTGTGGGCTGGTTTGGCAACTTACTGGATCACTAAGGGTAACTTCGAAAAAGCCCGGGATATCTTTGAAGAGGGTGTCACTACCGTCATGACAGTCCGTGATTTTACATTAATCTTCGATTCATACGTGGAGTTCGAGGAATCGATCATTGGTAGCTTGATGGAGGGGGCAGCCGTTCGTTCCGAAAAAGGCAAGGTGGATGAAGATGCTGACTTTGACCTCGACTTGCGTATGTTGCGTTTTGAGCAACTGATGGACCGCCGTCCATTCCTGGTAAATGACGTTCTCTTGCGACAGAATCCCAATAACGTCATTGAGTGGGAGAAGAGAGTGGGCTTGTGGGGTGACAACAAACAAGAGGCTGTCAACACTTATACAGCTGCAATCGCCGCCATAAACCCCAAGAAGGCCCATGGCAAGTATTCTGAGCTGTGGGTAAACTACGCCAAGTTTTACGAGAATGGCGGAGATATAGGAACATCAAGAGTTATCTTCGAAAAAGCCGTCAAGGTTCCCTTCAAATCCGTGGCTGAGTTAGCTGAGACATGGTGTGAATGGGCAGAGATGGAACTTCGTGCAGAAAACTTTGATCAGGCTGTTGGAATCATGGGCAAGGCCACCCAGGCACCGAAGAAGTCCACGGTGGATTATTTCGACGAGACTCTGTCACCGCAGCAGCGTATCCATAAAAGCTGGAAACTGTGGAGTTTCTATGTCGATCTTGTTGAGAGTGTATCTTCACTGGACGAAACAAGGAAAGTCTATGAGCGCATCTTCGAACTTCGTATCGCAACCCCTCAAACTGTCGTCAACTATGCGAACCTTTTGGAGGAGAACGATTACTTCGAGGATTCTTTCAAGATCTATGAGCGTGGTCTTGATCTTTTCAGCTACCCTGTTGCCTTCGAGCTCTGGAACTTATACTTGACTAAGGCCGTTGATCGCAAGATCGGCATTGAGAGACTTCGAGATCTCTTCGAGCAGGCTCTGGATGAATGTCCACCGAAGTTTGCCAAGCCCCTCTACTTGATGTATGGAAATCTGGAAGAGGAGCGAGGCCTTGCACGACATGCCATGCGCATCTATGAGCGCGCAACCCGAGCAGTGTCCGATGAAGACCGTTTCGAAATGTTCGAGTTCTACATTACAAAATCGGCATCCAACTTTGGTCTTACCTCCACCCGACCCATCTACGAACGCGCCATTGCAGCCCTGCCCGACCAAGAAGCCAAGGAAATGTGTCTCAAGTTTGCCGAGATGGAGCGACGTCTGGGCGAAATCGACCGTGCTCGTGCGATCTATGGTCACGCCTCACAGTTCTGCGATCCTCGTACGAACGCTCCTTTCTGGCAGAAATGGGAGGCCTTCGAGGTCCAGCACGGAAACGAGGACACATTCAAAGAGATGCTTCGCATCAAAAGAAGTGTTCAGGCCCAATACAAGTATGTCACCTATTTCACATTGAAGCTTTTGTATCATTTTGTTAACAATATTTCTACAGTACCGATGTTGGGTTCATTGCATCACAGGCTATTGCCCGAGGCAACCAGCAAGATGGCGAGCAGGGTCAAGATGATGATGAAAACGCAGACCGTGCCGACGCTATGGCCGAGATTGAACGTCAGGCCCGCGCCCCTGTTGGCTTTGTTGCTGCTAGCACTGGTCCTGAGGGTGGCAACCGTCCTCCACCCACTAGTGAGGCACCTCCAGCAGCACCTACCAATCCAGATGCAATTGACCTGGATGATGATATGGATGATTGAACAGACTTCACATCCTTCTATTGACCCAAAAAATTACGAAGTAAAGGTCTTTCTCCAAATAGTCCCGCTTCAACGAATGCCACTCGATTTGATATCCTTCGCGAGCTGTTTGCTCAGGCATTTCTATTCTTCTTTGTTATAAGTACCATCTACACAACATGTTCTCTCATAGTCTTCTTTGTTTTTTTCTATCCGCATTTTCAGTCTAACATCGACTCGTTATTCTCCTTGTGTTAACTCGGCTCTAAGCGGCCTGAGAACGAATGAACTCCTTTTCATCACATCACTACAATTTTCAGCATTTCCGAACCACTTCCCGTACCCTCTTCGATCTGATCGCCCATGCTCACGCGGTCCCTGTCCCTTTTACTTCAACCCTCTAGGCCCTATAGTCGTACGCACCCTTATTATATACCCTGGCAATCCGAATCCTACGAGGCATCACCATTGTTTTCTTAGATCTAATTTTGTTTATGGTCAGAGTTGGGCGATCCTTGTTATAACTCAAAATCCCAAATTTGCAAAGGATCTTTTTACCTGGTCGTCTTTTTGATATAATGGATTATTTATCACTTGTAATTTCAGTAATAAGCAATTCTTTATTATGGGGTAGCGCGAATATGGTCACGCTTTATCTACAGGTAAGATGGGTCATGAGAGAAAAAGATAGATCAAAAATACAATAGTCCAAAGCTGCAGTCCCCAACGCTTTTCTATATGTAAATGCAACAAAACCCGGGGAGTGAAAACAGTGATGCTTGTAGGAAGTCATATTAGCTTCTTACGAGGAAGTTCCCTCTTCAGTAGAAGCGGGCTGGCCCGCATCGGTCTCTTCAGTTTTCTCCTCTGTCTCAACAGCACCCGCGGGAGAAGTAGCCTCCTCGCTAACCTTGGCTCCGTCTAAGCTCGGCTTAGCAGGGGATGAGACACCAGAAGTAGGTTGGGATTTCTCTGCTTCCTTGCCTACATCGGGGAAAATCCCAGCAAAAAGATTCGGCAGGAATCGTCCAAGACGTTTGCGAGTTTCCAGCCACATTGTCTCTTTGCTTGGATCCTGAGACGGAGGTACGAGATAGCCGCCATCGGCCATCACCAAGAGAATATTCTTCAAGCTTTCGGGAATAGCTTCTTCCAGGCTGTCACCCTGGCCGCTGTTCATCATGCGGTCCAGAATATCGAGAATTTGCAGCCAGAGACTGAGCATGCCGTCTCGGTTGGGAAGCTGGTCGAGGAAGCGTAGGAAGATCTTGCAAACCAATGTCGCGGCTTGAACTCGAGTCTCGCTCATTCCGATGGGGTCAGAGTGGTACACCTCGGGCTTGAGGAGGCGCAAAATGAGTGGGAATAGAACCTCATCAAACAGGGTAGCCCATTCCTTGTCGTCGTCTGAAATCAGCTCGACGGACAGCAGTGACCGCTGGAGCGTGGAGATTGCATGGTGTCGGATATCGCGGCATGGATTGACACATTGTCCTGAAAGGGTGTGGAAGATTGGGTACCAGTAGGCGGCCCAGGCTATATCGTGGAAATGGTGTTAGAATACTAGGGTAATAATTATAATTTTCGAGTTAAGCCACTGACCTTCACGCTTCTCGAGGTGAGACTGTTTGATGAGCGTAGGGACTCGAGCAGTTAGGTGATAAACCAATCCAATAGCTTTGACCCCACGAGTGACAACATGATTTTCCCTATTCATTTGTTAGCCACTTTCATTCATTTTTGTAGTCATAGATAGCATGTTGTCTTACTTGGGCTTAGGTTGCTTGGTTCCTTTAGTACGTCGAGCATGTGTATCTCTCTGACGCTCGGTGACAGATCCAACATGAGCTGCGCTGACAAAATCGTTTGCAAGGGAAATGGCAGATTTATAATTATCAGCTGTGACGATATCAGGCATAGAGTCGACAATGCTCTGTAACAAGTCGAACACTAGAGGGGCAGATTCCTCATGCTCTACTAGTCGCTGAAGAATAGACCAGAAGTCAGGGGAAATAGTAATCTCGTTTCTCAACCGCCCTGTATGAGCAAGGCACCTGGAAAGGCCTCTTACGGTTGGCACAGCAAGAGTTTCCAAGATGTCTTGATCATACCCAGAGATGGCGTGGAGTACAACGGGCACCCGCAGGAAATGTTGGTCCTATGATATATTAGATAAATTGACAAGGCAAGAGAGGTGGGATTGGAAGTCCATACATGGCTGAGACGTAAAAGATTCAGCAGGTAAGAAACAATTCGGGAAACTGTCAATGGGTGGAGATTCTTGGCGTCTCGCACTAAATTCTGCAGAGTAGTCGCAAGTGATTCACCCAGAGTCTCAAGAGTTTTCTCGTCTCGAAGAGTGAGTACAGTTGCCAGTTCAAGGTTAAAGATCATGGAGGGATCATATTTCGGCTGGTTCGGGTCAGTCCTAGCACTTGATGGCCGTGAGATAGGGCTTGGGCGCTCTGGCTTCACAACAATGACCGCGGGCGCATTGTCTTCAGGGAGTTGGGAAAGCAATGCCTCTACGAGCTTCTTAAGGGAAGGCAGAGGGAGAGATCTTAGATAATATTAGCATGATAGTTGAAAGCTCAATTTCTCTGTATGACTCACTTTAAGTTTGTTAAAATATCAGAGATCGAGCACGCAGTTACGCAATCCACAGTGCAAAGGGTATTGTCGAGCTCTTCATCTGACGGCTCAGGGGGGTCATCAGCGGCATAGCTAGAGAGATATGATGTGAAAGCTGATAACAGGCCTGAATCATTGCCACGGTTATCGCGATCGACCACTTGTGATGGAGGTTGTAATGGGATGGGTGAAACGTCGAGCTCAGCTGTGAGCTTCGAGTCGAAGGGCGGAATCAAAGAATTGATGAACAAATTGCTTAAAATACGGACTATATGGTCCCAGCCCTGCTTAGGCGCTGCCTCGTTGCCCAGCAGAACACGAAACAGTACGACAGTAGCCAACTGTGCCCTGAAGTCCCTTCCAAACTTGACAGCTAATTCGCTCACCATCACACTCTTTTTGCCGGCTTGAACTTCAGTATTAAGTGCAGTGCTAGGTGGCTTGTTTGTTGCCAATGTGCTGATCGAGGCAAGGGAAAAGACAATGCGGTCAAAAGCCTCAGTCAAGCCGTAGCGAGCAGCTATTTGAGCACACTGGTCGAACCCATTGACAACTCGCGAATATACCGCATCGTCTGATGCAGACATGAAGACATATGACAATGTCGCCACCACCGGTTTCCATGTAGCCTCGAACATCTCGGCATCATAGACATTGGTCTCGCCCACAACCATATCACCAGCACTTGATGATTTCAACAACAGCTCTTTCCAAGCGTAGTCGAAAGCATGCTTGTTTTCATGTTCGTCGGGAAGAATAATCTCATTTTCCTTTATAGAATCATAGATCTCCTGGAGAAACTGCTCCGTGAAATCCCCACCTGCGTTGACTCCTCGTAAGTTTCTCGAGAAAGCCAGGAGCGACATGCGATCCTGCGGCTTCACGTTTCGGTTATAAAGATCCGTGTTCAACATAATGATGGCGTAAGTCAAAATATACATAGCATCCTTATCCGCGATGCCTTCCGGCTTTGCCTTTTCTGTATAATTCTCGGAAAATATCGTAATAATTCGTTCAATGAGCGGTGACTCGCCTGGCAGACGGAAGGAACTGAGCAACTCGCGGAGCGCCTCGACAGCATTCTTGCCCGAAAAGTCGAGAAGATCCACAAACGCGCCCAACAATTCTTCATTGCCTCGCTTGGAGATGAATTCTCCAAGAACCTTTTTGGACAAGCGGGTAGTTCCTTTTAAGAACCGAGCGACTAGAATTGGATTACTGGGATCTTCAATAATGCCATGTTCAGCTAGATAACCAATTCCAGCCTTTGGGCTTTCATTGAACATCTGTGCTGCTTTGATAATCAATTTCTTTGTTCTTCGCTGGGTTCGCATACGTTCTTGTGGAGGGTAATCCCCTTGCACAGGTTCATCGTCCATCCGATCATGGATAAATTGAACATAGCCCAAAAGGGAGTCAAGACATAGCGGAGGCACATTGGTTGTGCTCCATGTTGCAGAGTCGGGAAATGCGTTTCGAGAAAGAAGACCAATCATGTCCCCACATAAGTCAGCTCTGTCCACTTCGCAGTCATAGTTTACAAAAAGTTCAACCATAAAGCTCGGGATCCTGGACAAGACGCCGATACTCTCAACCATGGCTTCACGAGCTTCGGGCTTTCGCGAGCCGCCCTCCATACCGAGCTTTTGGCGATCCCTGACAGGAACCGGTGTCGCCCTGCCGCTATTGGGCGTCGAAGCTGGCTGTTTGACTACTGTAGGATTTTGCGGTACGCCCTCATAGAGGGACGGGTCTATGCCGATCTCTCGCGGAATCTCAACTCGTGGGTGAAGGCAGGCCACCAGATATGACAGATATAGCTCTTGCTGCAACTTCAACACGGATCGACATGTCGACAACAACGTACCAGCAACTCTGAGGGAACCATTGAGAATTGCCAATTGTTCTGAGCGGACTAGTTGAAAGATGTAACGGCAAAGGTCATCCTTCGCTAAAGCAGCCAAACTTGGATGTCGAGCAATAGAGGGACCAGCAACCTCCAACGCAACATCAATGATCCGTAGAGCCATTACTCTCATTGTATCAGTGTGCTGTCGGTTGTGGGGATCAAGTAGATCAATCAACACTCTAAATAACTCCCTGATTGAGGGCAAGGAATACGGCTGTATTTCTTCACTCTCATCGTCGCTCTGTGGGCTTGGTGGTGCCGCTGCCGCTGCAGTGCCATTGCCGGCTTGCTCTGCTGATCCTTTTCCGGGCGTACTGTCTCGCTCTGTAGGTGATGTATCAGAGGAAATTGCCGATTTATGCTGCGATGTAACAGTGTCGCCATCCACGGATGGATCCATCTTGAGGTTCGATGTGTCCTTCTTGGTGCTCTCATTTGCAAACGAGGTTGGTCCAGATGGCATATCTCGGTCGAGGTGCGACAAGCGTGTGAAAATCACCTGGCACATGTTTACCATAGCCATCTCTGCAGACCTACGAAGTACTTCTGACAGACGACTTTGACAACACATACTCAAGCCCGTTTCCATCATTTCGCAAACACTCTCATCCCCCAATAGCTCACCCTCCGGTCGAGAAAGCATTCCTTCCATCAACTTCAAAATCCTTAAGAGCACTATTTCGTCTGCAGACGAGTCGCTTGCTTCGAATCGGCAGTGTGTAATGGCAGCAGACAAGAGTTGCATGGCCATGGGGAGTCGAGGAGAGTCGCGGTTGATAATGTTGTAAGAAAAGAACTTGGTAACAGCGATCAGAGCGAGAGATGTGATGGCAGCGGAGGTAGAGGAGGAACGAATGACCTGCAAGAAGGGGTGAATGAGAGCTGGGGTATCGAAGGTACGAATGTCTTTGCAAGCCTTGAGATCACTGCGTAGACGAGTAAAGGCCGATATCAACGGATTGTCCTGCATGCTCTTCCCCTTCTTCCCTCGCAAGCCCCACCGATTAGCCAGAGCATGATCATCTTCACTGCGCGTAGGTTGCGGGCTCTTGCGCGGACTTGGAGGCGCCGAGGTATCTCTTTCGTATACGCGGGACCCCCCATTGCCGCCCAGGATGGCGGAGACTGATGAGTGTGCCCAGCGGGCGTGTTTCCGCATCGACGAGGTGACGGTAATACATTCTGTAGTCACCAGGGCCACTGGGTCGATAGCAATTGGTAAAGGGTCCGACATGGTAGAATCGAGCATGTCGAGCGGGAGATGCGCTCTATGGTATCATCGAGGAATCGAGGAATCGGCGAACAAACAGCTGGTCTCTCCATAGGTCTGCTGGTTACCCGTCTCGGTCTAGCGTATTCCCCGCCTGGTCACCGCCTTCGTCAGGGGGATCATACCATGCAACAGTAAGAAATTGTTAGAATCCGGTATTAGATGTCTCTTATAGGTCAAAATTGTGATACTCCGGTATTATAATGGTAAAGTGATTTCCGTACTAAAACCTTAGAAATCTTCAGCAATGAAGATCTCTCTACCTTGATGAGAGTATTCTCGAATACATCATGTTTATGCATGTATAATCAAGAGGACATACAATTGGTGAGCATCAGAGATATATATCTTTTGAGTTCAGCTTCGTCCTTTTTTCATTCATGATCAACTTCACGACTCGAGCACTCCAGGGCTAGATCACCACGTATGTGGGCCCATCAAGCTAGCGCTATCGGTTTGTTTATATATAGCTTCTTCCAAGGTTCGGGCAGATCCAAGACACACGCTACGTTGATAATTGCTTTGTCTCTCGTTTTTCTCGAACAGTCTTGCTGAAAATAGTATAAGCTTAATTCTAGAACTAAGATGTAGAGTACACACGTATTTCGACCTTAGTAACATGCCAATTAGACCTTATGTATGGATACTAGACAGTTTGAAGCCCTGGAGGCCCCCTTAGTTCCCTGGACCCATTTGCGCGTTTTCTCAAGGGAAATCCCGATATATTGATTATATAGTATTATAGACGAAATGCAATATGAAAGACAAGCCAGGGATTCTCTTAGGTTTCCCGATTCTATCAAGTCGATGTGACTTGTCAGACAAACCTTGCAGTTGGTTGGGGACAGCAACAGCGCGTTGGCCCGACAAATGTAAACAGTCACTCCACTCCACGAGCTGCTCCCAGGCGCCAAGGCCCCGGTTATCGCCCTATCGCACCGCTATCATATCCCCCGCTTGCGCCCAAAACAACTCTTCGTCTGTCGCATTCTATGCGCTCGCAGCTAACGTGGTGGTCCTCATTTGATTTGTGCGACTATACGGAGGGGGACTGCGAGTGTTGCGATTGTTACCGACTTTGAAATCACTTCCTCCCTTTCTGTTTCGCCTTTGACTGCGCCCGCAAATGGACCTCTAACACCATTCCCATCGCCCTCTCCACCTCGTGCGCCACTGCGCTTTCCTTTTGTCCTGTCGTTCCTTCAAGCATTTACAACCATACCTCTTGCCTAGCTATCTGCCTTTCCTTCATATCCTTTGGTCTTCCTGCACCTGCGAGGCAAGCGCATTTTCGTCGCCATGGCGGCCAACGCAGGTACGCCAGTAGGCACCACTATCTCGGACCTGCCGCTCGAACATCTCAGTCTTTACCATGCCGTCGATCCATACCTCTCCTCTATTCTCATATTTTATGGCCCCGTTGCGACCGCCAATGCTACTGTAAGCAGTTCACGAATTCAGGCACATGTTTTTAGCCCCGCGGGGTTTCAAAGCTACAACCGCATCACAATTTCACCCGCCGCACCGCTATACGCAGCAGTCAATCATCTACCCCGCGAGAAACAAGGCGATGCAGTGTGTCGTGCGCTTGCTGTCAGTATGCTCAAGTACTTTGCCGAGTTATCAGATCCTCTGAAGACTCATTTGGTGAATAAGGCACCACCAGCGCGACAAGGCGGAAAAGCCCCAAAACTTTTTGATGAAATGCACGCTGCGGATCTAGCAAACCGCATGGCCAGGATAGAGGACTCGGTAGAGGTGGCTCGTGATATCCGCAATGCATTTCAGGAGCGCAAGATCCCTTGGTCTGACCTTGATGTTGTCCTGCCAGCCGGCACTATACAACAGACCCAGAGGAGAGAAAGTGCCGGATCAGAACTTGAAGGGACACAAAGTCTCCAATACGGTCCGTACACGCCTCTTATAATGGCTTTAGGAGAGCCTATGTTTCTACCAACATCCCGCCTGAAGCGGGCGCCCTCGCAATCTACCAACGTTAGCAAATCCAGGATTTTCACCCGCACGAAGAAAGAGTCTGTTCGTTTGACTATGTGCGAGCTGGTAGATACTGAAGAACGCTATGTCGCCAAATTATATTCGCTGGTTCATGAACTCGCGGACGAGTTTCGCCAGAAGGCACAAACGCGAGGTCCGTCTAGCACAAGCCCCGATGAAGCAGCTCTGGAGGCCCTCTTTCCACCGTGTTTGAACGAGATACTCGAGGTCAACCTTGGATTTCTGGATGTTCTTCGAGAGATTCTTGAGCAAACGGAAAAAGAAGCGCTCGAAGATATTGGCCAAGATACCGAGCTTCCTCCTCACAGAAGCGCGAGTCAGAATAATAAGGACGTTATCGGTGCCGTGGAATTCGCAAAAGCATTACTCGATTGGTTACCGCAGTTCTCCCAGCCATACGGCGAGTATATGCGGGCACATAATGGGTTTACTCAGACTCTCAACTCTTTTATGAAAGAAAAGAATTCTAGTTTTTCAAGGCGAGTCTATGAAACCGGAGAACAGAGGCTAAGATCTCTTTTGATGGAACCTGTTCAGCGTCTTCCTCGCTATAGTCTATTGATTGATACTATGACCGGCAGCTTGCCCCTGGTTCATCCTGCTGTACGCCCCTTGCTCAAGGCCCGCGATATTGTCAAGGACATTTGTGCCCTAGAGAATTCTTCTCCTTCCGGCCATGCCCAAAGCCTGCAGCGCTTGAGGGAGCTTGTTGATGGGTGGCCCGGGAGAGTTTGCCCAGAGGGTCGCTTAATAACGGCAGTTGATGTGGACGAGGCCACCCCTCCATATCAACTGGATGATCAATCAACAGGGCCCGGTGCTGGGATACTACTTCTCTACAAAAACTGCATTGTATTACTTGCCAAGCCAGCTGAAAGTCGAAGCACGGCACGGGGAGTATTGGCAGATATTGATAACGCAGCATCCTCCGCCAATGATACCTCAATGTCCTTACCTTCATCTGAACTCAAGGTTGCCCAAGTTTTGGAGCTCAGTTCTCTTCGCTGCATGCAGTCAGAATGTGGTCGAGTTTTATTCATCATGCCGGCCTCGGTTCAACACGATCGACAAAATATGGATATAAATCCCGATCTCCTTGCACTGAAGTTGACCTCAATGTACGAAGGAAAGGCCAGTAGATTGATCGAAGAGATCACTAAGGCAAAGATTGAAGGTCGATATTCCGAGCAAGAGCGAGAAGGCGGTAAATGGACTTTGCGTAGTCCTGCAGCTGTCCCTGGGAATACGGGTTATCTAGCATGCGTATGCGAGGATGGCCAAGATGGGGCTCTCAATCAAGTGCAGCCATCCCCAATTCGATTAATTTTCGACAAACCGAAAGGAACATCGGTCCAATTATTAAGAAACAGCAATCTGGAAGTCATTATATCAATATCACCTCCAAATGGCGACCAGTTCAGAATGGACGTGGATTCCGTGATTGGTGCGCCATCCACAGATGTGGTGACTGCGGATATCTTTGTTCCAACTCTCTCGAGACGCATACAGAATCTCCTTTCGCCTCTACACGGTCCTCAAAACCCTAAGGTCATGGTGCCAATTGTTCGCTCTAATTTTGAAATTTTGCGATACATAACAAGTAGCTTGATAACCCAGGTCAAGTCTTCTCGAGGCTTTCGGCCGCCCTCGCCAACCAAATTGATATCAAATCTGCTGGGCGGCAGTCGTGAGAACGTCCCCACCATTAAACAACCAAATTCAGCGACTTTGCTTGGGGAATTTCCCAAAATGCCCCCGCCAAGGGGTAATCTGCACAGATCGAATACATTACCGTCCACATTCCCCGGAAAAGAGAAAGACAAGGACAAAGACAGAGAGAAGGAGAAAGAGAAGGAGAAGACGGAAAATTCGAACAAGATATCGGTCGTTGGAACCCCTTCTGCACGCGGCCCTGACGGGCAGATAGGGTCACTGGAGCAAGCATTTGCGGCATATGTGCTTTCTTTGCAATCTCGAAGTGGAAACATTTTGGGACGCATGCTTCGTGCTCGAGAAACAGCAGATCGTGCCCCAGTGAATGAGCTTTACAATATTCTCCTCGAGAATCCCGGCAAAATACAGGCCGCAGCGGAGGTGCCCGTAGACACGCTGTTTGTCGCATTCGAAACATTCATGAAAAATGCTTGGAAGAAAAGTATGGGGCCTGTCCTGGATGCATTGTCTTTACGACAGCTACAAAGTCAGTTTGATGCGATGTTTCCTCGTGATTTTGATGAGCAATTTCGAAAGTTTTTGGCAGACATCAGTCCACAGAATCGACGTGCCCTGGCTGCAATCATTCGATTGCTGGCGGAATTGTTAGACGCGTCCGGGAATGACGGGGATCGTGGTGCCCTGACCATGGCGTTCGCCGAAGTTCTCACAGAAGAAGGAGATCCAGTCCACCATGTGTCGCTTCTAGACCGACTTGTTGAAGACTTTGACAGTCTTTTTGAAGAGTTCATCCCGGGTGGTGCCTCTGTTGAAGGGACGCTGAGCTGCGACCAGACCAAGCCATCTCAATCTAACACTGGATCTGTAGGGTCCAATAGTTCTTCCTTCCGGAAACGCTTCGGGTTCGGCCTTCATAAGGATAGTCAAAAGAGTGAGGGCGAGGGCAAGGTTGCATCAATACTGCGAACACTGAGCAAAAGGCAAAGCCCAGCCGATTCTGAGCCGAACACACCCAGGGGATCTCTGCTCCGATCGAAGTCAACCGACGTGGAAAGTCGTTTGGGTTTGCTTCGACCTGCATCTCGAGATCGCCCCTTTGGATTCTCATCCGAAGAGCAAATTTCGAGACCAGGAACTGGCTACGGACAGCCCCCATCTTTGTCCTCCATTCGGGGGATTTCACATGACGGTGTTGTCAAAGTCCGCCGCAAAAGAAGGAGTTCACTGTCGGACCTGTGTCCCCCAACAGCTTCATCAGAGGTGTCTAGTGCGTCCTCAACGCATCAACTTCGTCCAACGACTCCAGCTTCTCGCCCTCGAGCTGAACAAATAACGCCAACGAGTCAAACAAGACCGCAAAGTAGCTATTTTGCTCCATCACCCGTGAGAAGCTCATCGCCTGCAAAAGGAGCATCCCCCACCCGGCTAGGATCCCCCATTCGAAGAATATCACCTGCGCGTCCATCTACCCCAAGCAGAAAAGAAAACATTGATCCCAAGATACCTCAGTCTGAACGGGCAACCAAGGCTCAGCGTGACATTCCAGAATCGCCAACTCAGGAAACTAAGAGACGATCCCGTGCTACCAGCATTCCTCAACGACCAGCGGGGCTCCGAGAAAGATCCACGGTCAACGTGGAAAGCAAACGTCCACAGTCGGCTTCCTCCTCTCAAAGAACCTCAAAGTTGCGGATGCAAAGCCCGCAAAAGGTGAGAACAATTCCAATTTAAACTCATTATTTATACGATTGTCACAATTGGAAACTAATGCCCTATTATAGCTTCGTGATCGTGTTCATACCGAGAAGAGAAACCAGGCGATTTCACAAATCGGCTTGCGAGACGAAATTACAGCACTTGGAGATGAGCTTCATTCTTTGAGACTTACACCTAGCATGGAGCCAAATCAAGAGTCGGTCGAAAGTCGAGTGTCTCCTGATAGAGCTGCATCTTTGGAGGGTCGTTTCCGGGTGCTCGAAGAACGATTTGACCAGGTCACTGGAGAGTACAATGGACGAACGTCTGCACTCGAGAAGGATGTAGAATCTTCCCTCGTTGTCAGTGAGAAGCGAGTAAAGAAGCTAGACGAGTTGTACCGGGAAGCTAGTGCCGAGAATGAGGCCTTGTATGATCGCTTCAACTCGGAACTTAGCAAACTTTCCAAAGACGTTCGGGCGGGCAGCGCAGAGGAGTCTTTGCAATCCCAGCTAACGAATGCTCTGGAAGAGATTGGTCGGCTCAAAAAAGAAAATTTCCGACTCAAGAGAGAGGTCGGAGGTCTTCGGGCCCAACAAGCCGCCGTTGCTCTGTTAAGAGCGAGCGATCAATGATGAACGATCGCATAATCCACTCCTTTCTTCCCTTCTGACCCCTTCACTACATATCACTTTCCTTTCCCTCTCTTTCCGTGATACCACGCATACATCTGTATTTCTTTACTATTCTTACTCTCACAATTTCTACCCCATAAAGCCTGCTGATCATTTTTTTCACTGTACTCATTGAATTTCCTTTATTGTCATTTTCCAGCCCGAGACGAACAGATGGTTTGAATCATGCATAGTTCCGGAGATCAAGTCTGCCAGGTTTTCTTTTATTTGTGTCTTTAGACTCTCTATTGTACATTAGCTGTCGGCTTCTACAGGTTTGCCCATCAGGCGCAATGCACTAGTATCGAGCATTTTAAACATCCATGACCATTTCAAAGTCCATCTCTTGCCCCCAGCGGCAATATCCATAATTTGGGAATATTGGAAGCCTCTGCCAGACATGGGGAAATCCAGAGTGGGTAAAGATAATAGCTTTACTTCTGACTCTTCAGCTTCATTGAATGTTTCATGCAATAGTACCGGGATTGTATACCGCGTTGGCCCTGGTGCCTCAGATGATAAAAGCTTGCGAAGAATACTCCGGCGAAGCGCATGATCCTTTTGGCCTCCACTGGCCATGATCTGGAAATCATTTTGTTGGAAAGGGCGTATTTGAAAAGAAACTCGTTCGGTCTGCGTAGATACCCGAGAAGAGACAGAACGATCCCTTGTCAGATTCTTACTCGGCGCAATAGAGAAATTAAACCAGTATCGGTCATCCCAGAGAACCCACCCGGTACTTGTTGGTTGGAACTTAGAATTAATCTTCTGTGTTGGAAGTGGAGCTTCTACCGACAAGACTGGGGATCGGTCTTTCATAAAAGGTTGTCGTGATAGCCGCCAGGTACTACCCTCGCCAGACGGCATTCCATGAGATTTATTAGTGGATGATTTTGACTCATCCACAGGCGTGAACATGACGCCTCCTAACGTGAATGATCGGCGGATAGTGTTTTCGCAACGAGCAGATCCTTCAATGGGCCCAAATACCCGAGAAATAAAAGGCTCAAAACTGCGCAATGAAAACTGGTTCTTCGGAAAAGGAGAGATGAGCTCTGTGATGCGACGAAGTGTCATTGCCTGGATTTGTCGGGTCCATTTCGGAGAGTCATGTGCCTGCAACGAGTCCATCCATGTTGGGATAGATTTAAATTGGATAGTCATAATTCCTGTTGCTAGACTAATGTCGAGGATACGACACCGTGATGCGAGTAGTTGATCTGAAAAATTACTCGCCACTTGCAGAAGATCACGACTAGAGCGAATGAGCGCAAGGATACGGGGCCCTTGAAGTGCGCGAGGTAGTAAATTCGCCGTAATCAGACTGCGAACGGCATTTCGAGGAGTCAAAGTAGGGTCGAAATTAGTCGGATCAGAGACGTAGGGGACATCGTTTTCGTGGCAGGTTGCGAGTAATCGGGCTTTGGAACAAGAAAGGAGAGGTCGACAAACAAAGACGCCACCGGTTGCAAATTTTTCTTTCATCGAAGTGGCGGATACATTTTGACCTCTCTCCGGGGCATCGGTGCAGGTTGATAGACTCATTGATGAACCACTCTCGGAGACTCCAAAAATGCCATGGCATTCTGGGATCCGAGCTATGCTTTGAATCCCGCCAAGGCCAGCTCGACGAGCACCAGTTGCTAGACGCCAAAGAGTTGTCTCAATTGAGTCATCTCGGTGATGGCCTAGAAGTAGTGCTTGTATTCCGTTTTCCCGACAGGCTCTGCCCAGGGCTTGGAACCGTAGCCGGCGAGCGTGGGTTTCGAAGGCAGTGGGCATTGATGGTGTTGCACTTTTTGAGACTGATGTGTCTTCAGAATTTGATATTGAAGACCAATCTAACTTCAAGATTTGAGTGTTGATACCTATATCGCATTAGTTTAAATTCATTCACTTAAGCATTGAGATTATCTCCTTGGATTTTTATAATGAAATTTTCAGATCCCGAAAGAAAGCTCGACTTACCTAATTTGGAAAGCCGTGACTTGACAATACTCGCTTCTTCGCTGCTCTCTTTTCGGGCGCGATGATCAACTATGAACGCGGTCACGGAGATCGGACCGCCGATGGGCGTTTTTTCAAGTTGTCGGCAAAGGTAGGCCAAGGCCATAGAGTCCGCACCACCGCTGATGGCAAGGCCTGGGGATGTACGTTAGCTTTACTTGGGAGCTTATAATGCATTTTACTCTTAGATGGACTGCCAGGATCACGAAATGATCTAGGGGGTTGATCTTACCGACCCTTCGCGGTAGTTGAGCCGCATCCTCTATCCGGCCCGGGTGCCCATGAGGGGTGATTCCTCTTACCCCAGACCATGCCAGCCGAAAGTGTTCGGCAAACTGAGAGACTGAGATTGCATTCTTCCCCGCCATGGAGAGTTCAGCGTTTGCACATCATCAGTTGACTATTTCGCGATCTGATAGGAGTTCGGCGAATCAATTCGCGGATAATCTGACTAAGCCATTATCAACACGTCCACATGTGCAGCAGATGGATGTCAACTGGTATGTACTTGTGCAGCGTGCCTGGCTAGCGAAAGCTACGGCAACCAAAAATGAAACTGAATTCTGATATCGGCAATTATGTCTGTATAACTGAACGTGCCAGGGCCCGGCCCACTGACTATGTCTATACAGTCGACGTTAGCTATAAACTTTGAATACGGAAGAAATTAATACACTTACAATGTATAAGGCTGGCACTGTAAACAACCATGAATGTCAAAGATAGCCCAACCAATCCATCTGATATCGTGGGTCTCTGTTTCTCAGACCATCGAAATGGAAACCGAAGGATAGCTGCGAGCGCCCCTAAGACTAGCATCACAATAACTGCGGCTCAATTCTTAGAGCCACTTGGACTGAGTGCTTCATGATGAGATAGTAGATGCGAGAAAATCATAAGTAAAAAGCCTCAGTCGTGCAAGGGACATAAAAGACAAGTAGGAACTGTAGACTGATGACAGAAAAGAGGGCGAAAGCTCTTTGCGGGCTAAACCGCTGGGGGTGCCAGGCAAATATAATCCACTTTTGACATTTGTTCCTCACGGTAGTTTGCCCCTAAACCCTCTCTTGAGCCAGTTTAAACACACAGATTACATTCATCATCAAATAGATTAGCTGGCACTGTGCAGCAGCCACCAAGATCTTGCAGATAATAATTCGGGTACAGCATGCACTAATCAATTGGGAAGGGGCCAATTTAACAAACCCACGATATCACTAAATAGTTTACCATTTGACTGTGAAATCTATTTCCAAGTAATAGAGCTGAATCCATGGATTGCATTTCAATTTAAGCCATACCCGAGGCTACGCTTAGCAAGAGAACCTTTTGGCTTTGTCCACGCCGCATGCTCCATCGTACCGTCAAACTGCCCCTCCAGATTTCTTCCCATTTTGCAAGAAGAAATTACAGGTTTGCGTGGGTCTTCTGTAAGTTGGAATTTGACCTATCATTACGAAGGAATAGATCAACTGTTAGCAGGCAATTGGTGCACATCGACAAAAAATGGAAATAGGACAATCCTAGTAAGGATCATCTAGTCTACATATTGCCACGACCGTACACAGAAGCCTTTATCCAACCGAGAACTGGTGATTTGTGGAGAAAACGTTCCCCAGACCCCAGACTTCTCCATAACTACTCCACAATTCCCCATTGGTCCAAGTGCCCCCATTTCATGAAAAGGGTAAACATAAAGCCCATGTGGCTTGCTCCTTTGCGGGGAAAGAAGAGTTCCCTGAAAAACGATTATCCAGATGGGTATAAAGTTGTTGGAGTCGGTTCATTAACCTCTGTCCGATCTCGTATTCATGTGGTCTACAGCGCCAAGTAAAACAATGTTTTCATCATGGAAATCAGCAGAGGTGCTATTTCACTCCTTGCTGTTGATACTTTTGGCAAATAGTGCTCATTGCAAAAGAGAGAAACACCCCCCAAAAGTCACTATATCAAACGGCACGTATGTTGGTGTCCATAATGACCATTATAACGTTGACTCATTTCTGGGTATCCCTTTTGCTCAACCACCCATTGGGGGCCTACGACTGGCACAGCCAGCTTCTCTCAACACTTCATTTTCAGGCACGCGAAATGCCACAGAGCTACAGCCTGCTTGCGTCCAATTCTCAGTGTGTATTCCTGTTTAATAGAGTGCACATCAAGGCGTAACACCCTGCATACTATCCCTCTGATTATATGTGGTCAGGAAAGTCCATTTTAACCAAATTCTTCGCTATAGACCGCCACCATCGATCGTCCAATATCCGAAGATTGTCTTACTTTGAACATATATCGGCCTTCTGGGTTTGAGAATGAGGATCTTCCGGTCCTCGTCTGGATATTCGGGTAATTATATCACAAGCCATTCAACATAAAATGTCACTCGAGTTTGTGGCTGACGACTCTTAAAATACAGCGGCGGATATATCCAAGGAAGCAATAGTGACCCAAGATACAACCTAACTTTCATGGTAAACAACTCGGTTAGGGCTAACAAGCCTATCGTTGCCATCGCCATTAATTATCGTGTGAACGGCTTTGGTTTCATGGGGGGACCCATTTTGCGAGACCAAGGCTTGGCTAATTTGGGGCTTCGTGATCAACGCCTTGCTTTTCAGTGGATTCAGGTACAAGCAAATCATGAAGCATCAAAAGTCAGTGATTGCACCCATAACTGACAAATTCAAGGAAAACATCAAAAACTTCGGCGGCGATTCCTCAAAGGTCACGATATGGGGCCAATCCGCTGGAGCAGGGAGTGTAGGCGCCCAGTTATTGGCTTTTGGAGGTCGCAATGACTCGCTATTCCGGGGCGCCATTACCGATAGTGGCGGACCTCTCGGTGTCCAGGGACCATCGAACGCCACTCAACTATCAACTTGGAATCATGTCCTGAACTCCACTGGTTGCGCCGGATCCTCGGACCCAATCATCTGTTTAAGAGGAGTGAGCTTAGACAAATTCATCTGCGCAGTCAACTCTTCCAGCGTCAGCTTTGGGCCAGCATACGATGGGGATTTTTTTGTCACATACAATTCCGCGCAAGTATCAAATGGTGATTTCCTCAAAGTTCCCTTGATCACCGGTAGCAATACGGACGAGGGAACTGAGTTCGTTGGGTCTGCATCCTACATCGGGGCCCTGCCAGCGGTTCCCTACCCAGATGAAGCCTCCTTCCTGCAAGTTGTGAATTCTTCACTTATCAATCCTGCGTTCACACAAAATGCCCTAGCAGTTATTTCAGCCCTATACCCTGACATTCCGGCTATTGGAGCTCCGCATACTTACATTGGTAGGCTAAACTCAACATTTGGTTCTCAGTATGCTCGAGTAGCAAGCTTTTCCGGCGATGTTAAAATTATTGCGGGTCGAAGATTCACTGCTCAGCAGTGGGCGAAACATGGTGTCCCGGTATACTCTTATCGTTTCAATCAATGGCCTATTGGCGGTCTTCCTGATACCACTGGGACTACACACTTCACCGAAGTTCCACTCGTCATGGATGATGAGCCAGGCAATGGGTACATAGCGCCATGGTATCCTGCCGGAAGCGAGTATAATGGCATGGATGCCAATTTCACGGCAATGGCTCACCTGATGAGTAAGTCAATTATAATGCCAGGGCCCAGGGCTAGTAAGCCTTTGGTTTAATCTATTACAATAGAGACTTATTTGCTTAGGCCGCATGTGGATCTCGTTCGTCCATGACCTTGATCCCAACAACCACGGTGTCACCCACCACAATGGCTACCCGATTTCAAATTGGAAAACTTATGCATCTAATGGAAGCGAGGCACTGGATGGATATGGCACTAACCTGCAAGTTTCCTCCTCGTTGCCCGGTCTGGCAGAGCAAGAGCCGGATACATGGCGGGCAGAGGCCATTAATTACTTGATTCAACACAGCTATGCCCTCTTCGGGGCCTAGATTAACCTGAGTAGGCAGCGAACATGAGCCAAATGAGAGGCAGACTAACCAGGAGTCTGGCTATCTGGGAAAACCATCTTGAGAACCCTTTTCACGGCGTCGATATTTTCTGAGGTTGTATTGAACGATCTCGAAGATGCGAAATCTCTTAAACAACTGATTACACGGTCTCCGTGATAAGAAGTATTGGAAACAACCTCAGAAACTAAAGAAGTCTTGGATCGAAAGCAGTTCGTGCACAGCGAGATGGGGCAGATTTAATGTTTTAAATAAAACCTTTTTCGAAGTTGAATTACACTGTTTGGGCACGTATGTGCACCAAGCATCATCCGTAGCCATTATCACCAAGCTATGACTGCATTTAAGCGATTCATTTTGTGGAAGTTGTAATTTGTATATTTATTTTTGATTTCATTTATCAAGTAGGGAGTATCTGGGTCTCGCTAGGAAGAAAAGAATAGCAAATAATCGCAACAGAACAATCGTTAAGCATATACATATCGTTGTAAATTAAATGTCCGCCTCGCATATACACTCATCGTGGTATGCGGAATCCTGATCGATGAGTATGTCAGCAATATGGATATAAGTTGAATATAAAGGCCATTGAAAAGAGATATATGTACTAAGAAAAACAAAACCAAAGGGGATTTCGCAGCCTACTTACGCTCTTCGTCAAGCAATGTTCCATTCTCCCAGCTCTCTTCTACCCAGCTCACGCTCACGAGATCTGGCAGCTTTTTGCCCGGTCTTTCGGCCAATGAACGTCGTAGAGAATTTATCTCTTGAGAGGACATATTATCGGGATTCACAACAATATGAGTCATACCCAAGTCCAGAAAAGATATTGTCGTATTTGCTCCTCCAAACAATATAGTATTTCGCGCGAGTTGTAGACGAATATCAGCCGGTGATTCACTCTGCTCCGTGCTATATGGGTTTCCACCTTCACAAAAGAAGAATTTCAGACGACGAAAGAGCCACCCGCAAGGTGCTGTATAACCAGAATCTATTTTATCCTGGATGTGACCTTCAATTTTATGGAGAGCAGGAGAATAAATAGGAACTGTCGTGTTTTTGCTGTCATTGGCCATGTTCTCTAGAATCTAAGGACACAATTAGCGCGCTACATGGATATGAGGGACGCAAGAAAGGGAAGCAAACCTCTTTAAGTTCGTCGACATTAGTGTCACGCGCGTAGCTGTCTGAAAATTGATCAACGTTAATTTCGATTTCATCGTTTCGATCTTCCATTACGAAGAACATGTGCCTAGTGAGAGTATGTTAGCTTCGATATACTATTTCATGTTCCGGCTCGCTATACCTTGGTTCGAACGGAAGCAATAAGTCTTGAAGTCCCGCGTCCTTTCCGTTCTGTTTGACACAGTCTAGCACCCAGGAAGGTTTGACTATGTTGACATCGCCGTGCTTTTGTAGTGAGGCAACTTTGACGGTTCCTGATACTGCGTGTTAGCAAGGGCTCAACATGGCGTATAACATTGACGATACTTCGCTCCGCAATGCAGATCATGTCTACCGCTGCAGTATTTGTTTGAAAAATCTTGCCGCCGTTGGCCTTGACTAGCTGCTCTAGCTGACCCTTTGATCTTTTCTCTGGGGCACTTGCATCTGTCATAATAACTAAAGATTTTATGAGCGAACGAACAAAGAACGCCTTCGGCTATACTCACAAAAGTTGAGTTGATCGAAAATATGTCCGGAGGGCCCTGCGTATGTCACTTTGTCTTTCTCATTGTAACCTGCAATAGTTAAGGGCTTCTTTTCGGATTTCCTAGCTCTTTTTCGGCGTGAGTTGTCAACTTCAAATTCTTTTTCGCGCTGCTCCTTTTCCACGTTCGACTTGAGGTCCAGGAACTCCTGGACTGACAATGCAGTCTTCCAATTCTTATCTTTTCTGAACTTCTTGAAGCGGGGAAAACGAAGCGTCAACCCCATCCGAAACTCATCGCTTGCAGCCACAGATGAGGCTTTCACGCACACGACTAGGGACTCAGAGGGTTTAATCCATTCATCTGGCCTTTCATATTGAGCATCACCGCCTGCCAGTTCGATGAATTGAGTAGGCGGCTTGCGTGAATCCCATTTTTGAAACTTATCATCGGTATGATGCCGTATTTCACGGTAGTCGGCAGCCGTGAATCCTCCTCCAACCTTGCAGAAGGACCAGAATTGTTCAGGTTGTCCGTCTTGGGACGAGTGTCTATTATCAACACGTAACCCACAGAGAAAGCTTCCAAGAATCCCACCGCGATGACCTTGCCCATAATAGCCACCTATGATAACCAAATCAAGGGCCTCTCCGAAGTCGGTCATGTATTCTGGCTTGACCTTCATCCAGTCATCGTGGCGTTGATTTAAGCGGTATTGAGCCCGCGGATTTTTCAAGACCAGGCCCTCTGAGGCTTGAGCGACAACCCTGCGCAAACATTTCTCGACTTCTGCAGCTGTGGTGGCTTCTTCATATGGGAGAATTTCGAATCGGCGATCAACGGGGCGAATAACCTTCTGCAATGCATTCCGACGATCGCGGAGGGTATACTTGCTCAAATCACGTCCATTAAGATGTAGGATGTCGAATACCCGGAAGAGTGGCCGTGGACCCTTATAGAGTGGATTCCGCTGCGCAGCCAAAGCGGCCGTTTTGAGAGTCCCAAATGGGACCATGGCGTCTTCTTCAGGATCCCAGGTAATCATCTCACCATCTAATATTAGACTTTGTACCCCATCAGCAAAGGCATCCTTCAAATGTATTGTTAGAGCACCATTTTCGTCAGATATTCCGTTGCCATACAGATATGTATAGTCTTTGGCTTTCCGTGACCAAAAGCCAAATTTCCGCCCGCCTTGTACGGACTCATCGGAAGCCATATGAAGCTGCATTCTTTCACCATCCATTTTTTCTTCGATCCAAAAAACGGGATCTTCTTCTGTCGGACGCATCCGCGAAACCATTTTTTCAAGTGAATGCATTTGAAACTGAGCCAACTGGGGTTGGAAGCACTGCATCAGCCCAATTCCTCGATCATCTCCCTCGAGCCGAATGTTTGGATCGTGGAGTTCCCAGCAAACACGCCGAAGGCTACTGGAAATGCTGTACAAACTCTCGGCATCTGGATGCCATACATTTAGAAACGTGCGCTCACTTGCACCGATTTTCATCTGTCGAAGAATGATTCGAATGAGCCACGTAAGCTCGTCTGGGTTCATGCGCCGATAGAACTCGGTTAGAATATCGACTTGTTCGCCCTCTTTTGAAGCTGCAGACAGCTTATCCAGCTTTTCGTTCACTTCCTCAATAGACATATCACCGGGTTCGGTTCGTATAGGCCTCTTAGACAGGACATCGTAGCAGCGTCCAGCAAAGTCACCAGCCAAACGAGTCGCACCAGATTGACCAGGCAGCTTCCAATTTAGGAGATTGTAACCATCTTCCGACTCTTTGTTAATCTTCATGATTTTCACCAGCATTTTACCGATAACTTTCTCTTTCATGCCGTACATCGGTCGGTCTCGATCCCTTTCAGGTAAGATCAGTCGGAAAGCAGGATAAATGTCATCGCCCACCTCATGGCGCCACCTCGAGACGAATCGGGTGATGACATCGCGCCGCAGTTCGTAAGGGTTCAAAGTTGCCTTGCTCTGGTTTTTTGGACCAATTCGGCGTTTCGCTACACCAGTGAATGCTGGTCTTTTCTTTATCTCGCTAAGTGGGTTGAAAAGGGTTGAGTAGAGCTCATGAAATGGAAGTGTCGGAGCTCGATTATGGGGACGATTAGGATACCTATTTCCAGTGTTAGTTTGAAAAACAACGTCCGAAATTATTCGTTTATTTACTTATCGTCCAGATCCTCCTCCACAATCGGGCCAGCATCAGGGAGAATCTCGTCAGAATCCATTGGGGTGTTTACTTGGAAGAATAAATGAAAGAGGAAGTTCTCCGCATTTTTGTAGCTTGAGCTCTAGGCAGCGATAGCGATAAGATAACGCCTGCCTAGATTAAAATATTGACATCACCCGATCTGCAACAATCAAAGCGGATTTTGCTAATTTACAGCAGATAATTGCTTGAAACTGGGAATAATGTACATTTTTGACAGTGGGTATATCTGTTTGAAATACAAAAAACGACCCATTCAGAACCAAATCAGTCAGTATCCACTCTGTCGCTACGAACCTGCTCCCCATCCAAGTTCCGTGAGACTAATTCAGCCAAGCGACTTAAAGTCGCGATAAACCCTTTTGAAATCCCCCATGCTGTCAAATTAGCCAGTGTCTCACAGCCAATTCGAAGTACTCTCTCAGGGCCATCTGGGGCACATATGTCTCCCACGCCAGTGACATTCCCTCTCATCGAATTGCCTTCTCGCACAAAAAGTTGGACCAACTCATCATCACACGGGCGGTCCAAATGAATAAAGCTAGGTTCTTGTGAGCGGTCTACACCAGAGCTCTGGGGCTCGGAATTTACGACCTCAGATCCATGGCTGTGACAGGACCCATATGCCCATAAAGTTATAACAGCGAGGTATACGGCCGCTGGTTCATGAAATGCACTTGTTGAGTACCTTCGGACGTGCCAAAGAGTAACACCAGCATGGATAATTGATAGGCGCGCCTTATATTGATCATGACGAACCCATCGCCAAATATACTGCCATTCCACAGCGTGTAGCCGCTTGCTCCATTGTATTTTGCCGGCTGCTAACGAAGTGGCGAGCGAGCGGATCTCTCGAAACGGAGCTAGTAAAATCAAGCGCGCCATATGAAGGTGAAGAACGGTAGGGTGCTCTAATCCGGCAGCTTTGGCGATCGTACTGTTGGCTGTCCAGTGAAGGATATCCAAGCAATCGCATGCACTGTTGCGCCATTTGGAATACGATGGGATTCCTGGAAGCCACACTGAGCCGGCTGGGATAGCAACCTCACGAGACTGCTTTTTCGCCGTGGGGTTCCAAAATGAAAGAGGGCGACGGAAGTAATCGCTTACTTCCCACATGCGGTGGTATAGAGCATGAATCAAAAGTATGTGACTGAACTCCCCAATCCCGGAAACTAGTCGCTTTTCGATGAAAAGGATATGCACGGCATCATATAAAGATTCGTTTTCCGGATATGGCAATGCTTGTGAAGAATCAGGCGGATGGGAAGATGAATGTAGTTCACTATTTGCACTTTCCCAAAGCTGTTTCCATGCCTCTGCAGAATTCGCCTGCCACCACCTTTCGTGTGCTGGTAATGGAGCTTGTCCATCATCAAGAGAAAGAAGAGATCGATCTTCAGAATAATAGGCCAGCGTACAATCCAATAACTTTAACGGAACAGATCAGTAAAGGGCAGAGCTAAGGGTGTTCAAATGGTTAACCTACCCAAATGCAATAACCAGTCCGTCTCCGTATTTCACATTGGATCCATTTATTCCACATGGCGTCATCTGAACTATCGTGAGCAACTGCCCCGGACTTTGATGCTTTTAATAACTTTTCGCGGTTCATGAGAGTAACCAAATCTTTGAACGTGCTCAGTGCCGTAGCTTTGGCTCGTTCACTCCCACTGTGGAGTAGTCCAATGCAGTTGAACATTAATATCTGAATCAATTCAAGGGATTCCTGACCGGAAAGGTCCTTTTCTTTCTGCTGGGTGTATTAGTATCACTGATGATGAGAAAAGATTGTATAACAAATACCTCAATATGAAGGGCACGTTGGATCATCTCATGGAAGGCAGCTTGAAGTTGATCTGCTGCGGAATGGTTTACGCCGTGGCAGCCAATTGCAATAACAGCCACAATCAATAACCAATAGCAGTTACTAGGATTAAATGAAGGAAGATGCAGCACAGGATATACAGCATGAAAGGAGTCGAAATAGCAGACAATATATCGATTGCAGTCTTCTGCAGTGGGAAAAGTGTCTGACTTGAAGGTTTCGAAAAATGGATTCTCGGTGCGGCAGAGTAGAAGAAAATTGCGATAAATTTCGTTGTAAGTGGTTGAATCAATCAACGGTACTGAATAAGACGCTTCATCAGGAGGATCCTCCATGATTATCTCATGTGTACTGGGGAAGTCAAATCGACGCGAGTTAGATTCACGGTGTGATCCATTTGTGGAAGCCAGGTCAATTGATGAGGTTGACCACACTGTCTGTTTCTTTCTGTACTTTGGAAGACGGGCACCGCCACCATCAACGTAATAATCAGCCGAACGCTTGGTTGAGTCCACGGATCCAGAAAGAGGGGAAGCTTCGCTATGCACATGCGAGTATCGACGAGGGCTACCCATATCTGTGCCCATAGATATATTACCTGATGGTGTTTGGGGGAAATTATCAGGCGCTGAAATTCCCATGGAGTTAGCATGGATCACAGGTGGATGCCAACTCATGCGATTCGTATAATTGTCCGGAAAGGGCTGTGAAAATTGAGACGGGCCTCCAGAGGATTGACCCTGGTCACTGGCAGGATCGGCAAAGTACTCATTGGGCAGCCAGTTGACCGTAGAGAGCATTGATTGATCGAAGATTGAAGTGTCAAAGTCTAATCCCATACTTGTTGGGTTTTCCACCATATCCATTGCCATATCCACGTCCGTATTTTGAGGGTTTGGCTGAAGATTTCTCAGTTCAGGGCCAAGGGCAGCATTCGCCTCATCCGAAAACATCTTGGGGATATCATTGTTTATCCCATGGTATTGTTGATGAATATGTCGATAGGCTGCTATCGGCAAGGTTGTTGCATTTATGTCGGGGTCAGAGGCGGCTAGATATGATTGAGGATCAGGAGGTCCCGATACAGACCCCCTGCCAGTTGGAAATGTATCAGCCGAGGGTGCTGGAGACGGTTGTGGGTCGTTCAAGTTGTTAACTGAGAACTGAGCAAGCTGGTAGGGTACTTTCTCTCCTTTTGAAGATTTGGAATGATTTCTTCTGCCTTGTGGAGAGAGTAAAGGAGACTGAGGATCTGATTCATGGGCATCTGCACCAGATGATGGGCGTGTCCCGTTGCGAGGTCTCGCTTTTGAGCGCCTCTCTGTAGGATACTGACACTCGAGGGTTCGGGAATCGCATCGGTCACAAGGCATTCCTCCACTGCATCTGACTCTAGCGGTAGCGCAGCTGAAGCACGCGCGAAACGTCTTAACGGTAATTCGATGTGTCCGATCCTTACCACCTTCTATGCCGGGAGTGTGGTGACTGAGTTCGTGACGGTGTAGGGTATCTCTATAGATCAAAGATATCAGTTCATAGTTTCAATGTCACCATATTATCGTAGCGACATACGTTCTCGAGAAGTGTCGACCACACTGAACGCATTCGAATGGCTTCTCTTTGGTATGACTGCGCAAATGGCGCTTCAGATGTTCCGGCCGACGAAATGTACTACTGCAGACCAAACATTGAACTTGTCCCGAACTCGTTGTAACATGTTCGTGTTGATCCTCACCACTTGATAAATGCGCGTCATCTCCTGCGTCTGCATCAGTGTCCATGGCTTGGATTGGAGGTTCATGTTGGACCGCATGATTAATCTCCGAGAGCATGGCGCCTGCAGTACATCCGGGATGTACAAGAATACATCTCCAGGGACCCGTTCGGTTTATTTCAAGCTGCAAGAGAAGCGAGACTTCCAATAACTGCAGAGAAATGAGGGGAAACGGGGGTTACAACCTATAAATCGTCCCACCGTCTGCGGAGCAGTGGAGAACACGGTTGGCCTGAAACCAATCCATTTTAAACGAACCCTCGGTTAAATAGAAATCCGGGGTTAATTAACACAAGGTTCAAAACGTTCTTTTGGTTTGTGTCGTTCACCGTATATGGTCGTATATACACTTGGAATACTGTATTCTGGGTTGGTGATCGACAGTGTCTTGGAACTGTCCAGCTGTATAATGCGTAACTGTAGACATTGGGCAGGTGACAAGAGCCCATAACCCCGGATCCTCCTCCGTCTAATTTCCCCCCTTTTTTCTAATTCTTAGACACTTAATCTACGCTACCTGTTTCATGGCTGACAGTGCACGGTCGCTTGGTCGCCTCGTTTTCTCTGAGAAAAACAAAAAGTGGGTCAGCGTCATATCTGTTGTCATTTTACGCTGAGCATCACTCCTACCTAAAACGTGGACCGAGCATTAAATGTCCCGATATCGTACAAGCGGTCGTGATTTTGAGTTCTTCCCTTGAACTTATCCGGAGATCGACCCCATGAATGGCGAGATCGCCGCGAACCAACGGTTGGCTGCTCCGGCCTCCCGAAAGAATGACTCCGCGCGACTGGGCGCTGCGCTTGCATTTCAACAATCCCGACCTGCATCAAATGTGAATCCCCAGTCATCCGCGGCAGCAGCAGCCGTCGTGGCCAGTCGCATGAGCCGGCATGCTCAGACGCGTCCGACCATGGATTCCGAACCTGGCCCTGAAGTCGGCTCCGTGAAGGACAAAATAGGGCGCTTCGCGGGCAGCTCACTTGCCCCTCCGACCAGCTCATTAAGTACAGGTCGACCACGAACACCATCAACATCCAACTCGTCCACCTCAAAGTCCCCCGCCCGATCCCCAGCGCCCGAGCAGGTGGCAGCTCGCCTTGCTGCTGAAAGATCCCCGGCACGAAAACAGGAACCAGCGATCGATGCCGCTAGGCTCGGCGCCATGCGCAGCGCGAGTCGAATGCAGTCCCAATCGCGACCAAGGAGCAACCAGCAAGTGATGTCCTCTCCAATTCCAGTCCGACCCAGAACTACCGTTCAGACTCCGGTGGATCGAATGCTGTCGGATAACATCTCAATCCTCGATCAAGAACCCATCTACAGTCGATCCCCGTCGATTCGTAGCCGAGCCACGAGTCCTCAGCCCTCCATCGGCTCCGGCATATCCATAATACAACCAGAGGAAGTGAAACCTAGAGTTCCTGCACTGCCTCCACGGACTACGGCCTCTTCCCGCGATTCAGTACGAGAACCTATACCAGCGCCCGCCTCGTTGCGTGCAACACCAAGCATGGCATCGATATCAGGCCAGTCGTACCATAGCAGCTCTAGTGCACTGGACGAACCAAATGGGATGGACGAAGAAGCTCTCTCCAATGCTATTGTTGCTTCCTCACTTGCATCCGCGCGGGCATCACCTATGCCGAACGCCCCTCCCCCACTTCCACGCCGGCGACGCGCTCGCTCGCTTCTACAAATAGCACATTCACCAAGAACCGATTTATCACGAACTCCGAGCCCCCCGAAAGGCATGCCTATGACACTCCGCGGGTTGCCGAAGGACTATCCTACCGACCAAAGTCGACGACATAAAATGAATTTACTTCACAAACACCCACATAAACATCACGAAGGAGATCGAAAACGATGGCGACAAGAGATGGGCGAAAAAGAGCGAAAACGCTATGAAGGTGTTTGGGCCTCCAACAAGGGGCTGTTCATCCCGCCAGGCTTGAACAAATCTGGGGAGACTAAGTGGCCTCCACCTTCAGAAATGGTGTTAAACCTTGTGGTACGGGAGATCTGGTCCCGCAGCCGCCTGCCACCCGCTGCGCTGGAACAGGTGTGGGACCTCGTGGATCATCAGCATATTGGGCTTTTAACCAAGGATGAATTCGTGGTTGGAATGTGGTTGATCGACCAGCAGCTGAAGGGCCACAAACTACCAGTCAGTGTTCCAGAGAGTGTCTGGGACAGCGTGCGGTATGTGACAGGCATTAAGCTTTCTTCCGTTGGGAAGGGCTAGTTTGTATTGTGGGTTGATGAACATATGTTGCTCTGAATCGTATGGAACGTTTACAGCGCATGAGAAAAGTGTTGTTGCGCAGGACCGCAACTACATAACTTTGATTTAGATATTCAATTTAGCAAGTTGATACTGCAAAATATGCTCATGCAATTATGAGTTCTCCACTTCTATATATACCCTAAATGGGTATCTGGATGGCGATCTTCTTCGGATTCCAGACTCCTCGAATCAATAGTAGATCTTGAAATAGTTACGATCTGAATCGGTTGAATAACTTGAACTCAAATATGTATGTGTTGTGCTGTACTCCATACGTCCGAGTCCATTCAATCACCTGGACATGCGCTCGGGAATTCTCCAAAGAACTTGCCCAGGTGAGGTTGGTGGATACTACGGTACTGTAATCATCTCGCCATCATAAAGGTTGAAGCAATAAGATTCCAAGGGTTACAATACTTTCTCAGGCTTCGGGCGAACTAACGGATCTATCGGTCCCGGGAAGTCCGTACCTGTACATTATGATGCTATACATGTAGGAAGGGGTCATTGTACATAGTAGAGACCCCCTTTCCCTCCCCCCTATCGGACTCCACTTCCAACAAATAGTTTCCTAGTATATACTTAGATCTACTCCAAATTACATTTCAGATAACTAGGAGTGATCTGAACCTCAGACAAATCCCCTTCAACGTTACCTGGAATTAGACTGTTGAGTATGTTTTGGTTCCAAATCGGGCAACTCATCGTTAGTCATGTGACTCGCAAGTAAACCTGATAGCTATGGAGCCTGCAGGTTTTTTTTGGGCACGCCACCTGGAACCACAGAAGATCGTGTCGTCTATTTCAGAAAAGCATGCCAGGTTGATATTCAAGAATCAATGGAATCCTCGACTTCGTCATGCCTATATCTATGCTCGATCCCGATTCGCAGCAGCAGAAGGTGATCTCCCGTCGTGACAAATTGTGGGCGTTTCCCGTACCCGCAAGCAAATCCCGAATCTCCACGGCTCGGGATTTGAGTTGAGAAAGATCGAGCAATCAGCGCACCGCTTCTATATCAGAAGAAGCATTTCTTCACCTGCCCTGAATCCCACAACAAGTTACGCTATTTGGTCCATTCGAAGGCTGAAACGCTACCTGGAAGTGTGAAGAGCAAAACCCGAGGACTTGAACCTGGAATCCCCCGAGTTAGTGAGAAACCGACGCAGAGAGACGAGCGGGGATTGCGGAGTATCGCCCCATGCCATCCCGGCCGTGTGATTCGCCATGGTCGACGCTTTTCACAACGAGAGCGGGCTTTTCTCAACGGCGCCTCGGCCGGTTCGCAAGAAATTCGCAAAACCTCCCGTCAAGGTAGCTTGTTTGCCTTGGTGCGTTTCTTGACCCCCGTTTCCAACCGATATGCACAATTCTGACTGACCCCGGTCCCCAGCCGCGCCTCGCGAACCCGATGTGGTGGGCAGGAGCCATGCTCAAATGTAAGTGTACAAGCTCAAAATTTAATTTCCAGAGCTCGGTACCTTCCCCTTTGTATATGTACAAAGACATAGATCACTTCGGGATTCTTAACCTCCGTCGAGAATACTACGGTCACATGTAGCTGACTGTTCGCATTTTCAGTGTCTAGCCAAAGACCGCAAATGCTCTTATCTACCTAGCAAACGGGGTGGGCCTCGCAAGAAGAAGCAAAGGCCCTCCCTGTCTCCCGAGGAAGAGTCGCAGCACGATGATACCCAATACGCTGCTGCCGAGGAATTTGACGAGCGTATGTTTGCTACGGCCCCATCCATGGCTGCTACACTCCGATATTAACGACTCCACAGCCTCGGACATGTTTACGCAAATCGATGTGCTCTCTTTACCAGGCGCAGGATTGAGACATCTTGATTTCCCTCAGATGTCCCCCGTATTTCAGAGTTATTTCACTGACGGTGCAGTCCCATCTCACGTTCCCTTGGGACTGCTACCGACATCAGAAATGGGCGACGCCCAGTGCGTTGTACGGACCTATGGAAGTGAGCTGGAAATGTAAGTCCATCATGGACCCTTCAAAGTGGCGCACGACTAATTTAGCAGATTAAATGCTTACTATGACTTTATTCATAATTATTTCCCAATACTGCCTCCGCGGGTAGCTCCGCCATGCCAGGATAGGCCGCTTCGATATCCAATTTCTTCATCCAGTCCGTCAGCTGAGCCTCTGATGATGTACCGGCCTCGATCACCTTTGAGTCTCTCTATATCAGCTGTCCTGGCATTGATTCCGCATCCTGATGATCCCCATCCATCTTCGCCTGCATCGGTCATTCAGCGCAGAGTTTACGCTCAAAAGTTCGCGCAGCTAGCCAGCACGATTATTGAAACAGAGTGTGACCTTGATCTTTCATCAACTGACCCCGGACAAGCTCTATCAAGTCAACGGCCGTCAGTGAATAGGAATAAACTGCATCCTAATGCTCCAGAGGATTTAGAAACACTTCTGTCATTACTCATTCTTTCGGTCTACGAATATACTCAACGAGGCAATCTACTCAAAATGAGATTTCGGGCAGGCCAAGCCTTGGCCCTGGCCCTGGATAAGTCACTTCATGATTCTCATATTGAGGACGAGTTCTCTGAAGCTCGCCGAAGAGCATGGTGGATGACCTACTATTGTGGTTTACAGGGTGCTATCGTGAGCACAACTGTAAGTCTGTGCCGCACAGGTTATGCGAACTCTGCTGATTCAAATATAGCCACCAACTATCGTTATTAATGACCCTCAATTTACAACCCCGTATCCACGGTTTTCTTCTGATGCTGAGGTTTGTTTCTCTATGCAACGCCCCTCTTTGATTGAAAACGATGAGAGAACTAACGGGACTCAAAAGGGCTGGTCTATTTTGATACAAGCACAACAAGTATTAGTATCGGCAACTCAATTCATCGCGGATTTGAACAAGTGCTTTTCTTCACAATCGGGCCTACAATACATGTTTGAGCGAATGCAACAACTTGATTCTTGGACAAACTCTGTACTTGCACAAACCGAAATATTGCCGATCTTATCTCATGAGCCAGCTTTTGGTGACAACCAAGAAATTATCACAGCTCAAAGTATACGCATGATATCCAAGATCAAGTTATCAAGGTAAGTCTCACCACAGGGGATATGGTTAACATGGAGCCTCAATCTAACATCATCATCAGTGCCCAAATCAAAACTCATCGTTTCCGTGCCTTCTCCGACATTCCGCTCTTCATCAAACGCCACTGCGATCTTACCGCCGCTAATCATACCAACTCGAACCAAGAAATCGTGCCCAAGCAATCTGCCTCGGGGGCTGGCATGAACAGTGTTTCCTGCTCATGCAGTAATTTGAATCAGTTCCAACGAGCATCATCGGCCGAGTATATGACTCCATCTGATTCATCCACTTCATCGGATATACATCCCTACATCCCACAATATCCGCAGTACCCTTTTGCGCCAGGATTTCCCTACAGCACACAACACTCAGCTAAAGTCTGTCTTCGCGCCGCAATCGTAATCTCGCACATGTTCGAAAGTCTTCCATATCCAGAGCCGCTCTATGAAACACATCAACAGGCCCAGCACGATCGACCTCTCCCTCGGACTATGCCTTCTTTCGCTTGTTGTTTAATGCAGAGCAGTTACGCGATGTTCATGCTTTTTTACAAAGCTCGTGTTGCGAAGCAATTTTCCACCGATATCCAAAGTGAACTCCCGGGCGACCCCAATGACAGAGTACTTGAAGAACTACAGCAAGGGCTGGAGCGAATTATAGGCGCGGTTTCTAATTATTCAAGGGCTTTCGAAGCCTTGGATGGGATGCGAGGTAAGAATCCAACGATATGGAAATAATTTTTTTTTTGGGAATATCCTGCTAACAACAACTCAGATGAAATCCAAGGAGCATACCGTACGGCGTTCCCTCAGACGACCATTTGATTCTTATTCTCATTAGCTTTGTCTATTTATCTATCCATTTTCAACTTTCAAGCAACAAGCAACAAGCTAAACCGCAAACAATGTATCAAGAGCCACTGTTCTTTTAGCTATATATCGCATTGTCACGCATTGTCCTATTTATCCTCATAGCGATGTCCAAAAGCATGGGTAGACTGTCTTCTTTTTCTCGCTGTTCACCATCTCAGCACGCATCATACATGTATCTATTCTCGGATATTTTTAATACCAATGAACACGAATGGCAAGAAATCGGAGTAAACCGTGATAGGAAATTCCCAGCAAACGGGAAGAAAGCCACCTTGAGATCATCCTCGTATGTATGATACTTATGTAAAAACCATATATTCCTCTAATCCATCGCTAAAACGAAACAAACGCTAAATCAAAATAATGTTGTGCGAACTAATCAGGTCTGGAACAACATCCAGCCTTCTAAAGCTTTGATCGAATACCCTCTAGTCGAAATTTAACATCCTTCAAAACTTTGCTTGACGGTTTCCAGTCGTCGAATTGGCGTAGAAGCTCCATAGTTTCCTCCTGTAACTCTTGACGAACATGCTCTTCTTCGAGAAGACCACGCATCGCAAATGGGAGAATGTAGGGGTTTGCAGCTGCAGATGGACTTGAACGCTTTACGTTCAGGGAGGCATCCGCCACCGTGGAGGTTTCCAGCGCAAACTGGATGGCCATATAGTACACTGCTTCGTCGTCGTACAGGCGGGAATGGCCGTCGCCGGTGTAGAGACTGCCAGCAAGCGGGATACTAAGCTCACGGATTAGGCCGTGGTCTGCTATACCCAGGTTTCGAAGCTTGAGTGCGAAGCCGACGAGGTGGGACACGCTAGTGGTAGAGTTAGTACTTAGGATGTTTCAGGCACGGGGTGCAGATAGATAATCACTCACAAACTTGGAGCATGAACTCTGCCGTCTACGAAAACAGAGCGGTAGATGTAGGGGTGAGCTATTGGAGAAAATAATGATGACTATTTGTCGTGGTTAGTGAGTGAATGCAAACAATTCAAGGCAGCATTAACATACCTCTAGTGAGACGAGTTGATCGTCAATGCTCCCAACATAAGAAATTCGCACGCCAAAATCAAGTGCACATTTTAAGGCAGCTTCGTAGTCTTTGGACACTTTACTGGAAGGGAGTTCAAAATCGAACAACTCTCCAGCAGATCCGCTGATCCATCGAGAACGATAAGAAGAGAAAGGGCCCATGTTCACACCAGCCATAGCACAAACGCCTACTCTTGATGCATTGACACAGCCAAAAGATATCAGTTTTGCGACTAGCATGATTGATACGGGCACTCCCTGACTATGGCATGCGACCAAGATAAAATCGGCTTTGCGTATCTCTTCCATCCAATTCAAGAGTAGCTTCCAAAGCAAGTCCACTCGCTCTGCAATGCGACCTTCGCCTTCCAAGGAAATCTTGTCAATGTCACATGAGTATCCGTGATCCGCTGTCCATTTCCGAATGGACTCTGCTGCCATGTTTGAGAATCGGATAGATGTTCCTGTGGGTTGCCCAAGTACGCTTCGGATAAGGGGAGCAGGGAAATAGCCGTGAACACCAATAGCCAGCGCACGCTTAATTCGTGGTGGCTCTTTTATGCGGGATACATGCTTATGTTCGGGGCCCTTGCTATAGTGGAGGAATCGACCAAGAGACTGTAGAATAGAAGGCGACTCTTCTAGATTGTACGTTTCTTCAAATCTCGGTAGCACCTGATTCGGCAAAATCTTTTGCAGCTGCTTGGAAGCACTAGCATCGGCAGGCCGGGGCTCAACGGGTGGTGTTGAGATAGAGGTCGTCTGAACTGTAGATGCGGCCGCATCTTTTGGTGGTTTAATTTTGAGACTTCCTTTCGGTGTGATTTTCACATTTGCTTCTGTATCTGGTTCAAGTTCGGTTGACCGAGATGGAGTATCCTGCGGTATTGTTGCTTCGACTGCCTCAACCTCCTGCGGCTTCCCAGGCACTGCATCCTTGGGTTGGTCTTTAGACCAGAATGACCATCCCGACGACTTTGTCGTTGCAGTTGGAGGTTGAGGCAGCTCAGATGCCTCAGGTTCATCTGGTGGGTCTTTGTGTGCCATTTCCACGTCTTTTGTTGCTGGTTGTTCGGGTTCTTGGGGAGGATTTGGTTGCTCTGCTGTATGTTCTTCTGGCTTGGTAGAGGGGCCGTACCACATCTGACGCCACGAACGTTTTTGGGAATCTGTATTTAATTCAGTCACTTCGGGCGTTTGGTCAGGTTCTTGATCCTGGCTTTGTTCTGGCTCTCCCTCTTGTTCTGTCGGTGGCACTTTATTCGTAGGCTCTGGGTTATCGAATGACTCCTCAGATAAATCTGTAGGTTGAACGTCGCCCGCCGGCTGCTTCCCAGAGTTCCCTGTCGTATATACCCACGAGAACCATCCACTGGGTTGCTCAACAGTACTAGCATGTCCTGCATGCGATGGGTTGGCCTCGGAACCAGGGTCAACACTCAATTCTTGTCCCTCGACTGGTTTTTCGAGCTGGTTTACAGGCACGGTAGCGGGGTTTTCCTTGTCAGATAATGGCTCCTCCGTGGACGAATTATTATCAAAGTTGTCTAGAGCCGTTGTAGAAGCTGACCCATCTGAAGCAATGTTGACTCGGGTTGTAGTTACATCGGCCGGGAGGGAGCGGGTAGAGGCTCCAGCCTTCTTGATCAGTTGGATAGATGGCGCTCGCTTTCGTTTTGAGGATTCAAGGAGGTTGTTCGAGGAGTCCGCAGCCCTAGAAGCTATGTTTTGCGCGACCGAGATGCTCTCACGAGCAACCTCGGTAATTGGGGCTGCTTTAGACACTCGTGAGATTGCCGACCAAGCCCCAGGGTACCAGCTCTGGGTGAGTAGAATTCATGATTAGCTAGATCATACGAAATACTCAAAATTCTGTGAGGTTTTTGCCTACTGCTCGTTCTTGAGGCTGGGAATCCGAGCGGTCTCGGGCAGCATTGCTCGGTGATGCGGGGGACGGTGAACTCGCACCAGAAAGGCTGGGCTTCACTCTTTTGCGCGATCCCGTAGGCGTCATGTAGGCGAGAATAGTATCATCAGGTCAGGTCAAGATCAGTGAAGTATGAGCTCTTTCAAAGTTAAGCCTAATACAACAGCGCCACGAACTGGGATATCTGACTGATATCACGTCACATGCCAATCTCACCGGTGCCTGATAGTTGTGCCTTCCTGCCTCAGGCATCAATACTGATTCCAAGGTTCTTGAGGGCGGTGAGCGATAAGTTCGACTTTTTTTTTTTTTTCCTCCGGCGCGGCTGGGGTACAAAGTATACAACCTTTGTCAATCTTTTATTATTTCTTCAAGTCGCATTTAGGGAATTAGGTCTATAACAAGACCGCCCTCTTGCTTCAACATGGGTATTCAAAAGAAGGTTCGTTTTGAATTCGAGATTTCGTGTGAAAACACTCATACTGACTACAATTCAAGCATGGAAAAGGTCGTTTGGATAAATGGTATCGCCTTGCGAAGGAGAAGGGATACCGATCCCGTGCTGCTTTCAAGTTGGTTCAGCTGAACAAGAAATATGGATTCCTGGAGAAGAGCAAAGTCTTGCTGGATCTTTGTGCTGCCCCTGGTGTAAGTTACTAACCTCCCATGATCCTCGAATAACTCAAATGTCTAATAAGTGCAATAGGGTTGGTGTCAAGTTGCCGCAGAGTGTATGCCGAATCAAAGTATCATCATTGGTGTTGATCTTTCCCCCATCAAACCTATCCCTCGAGTCATCAGCTTCCAGAGTGATATCACCACTGATAAGTGCCGCGCTACAATCCGATCCCATTTGAAAACCTGGAAAGCAGACACTGTTCTTCACGATGGTGCCCCCAACGTCGGTACAGCTTGGGTGCAAGATGCTTTCTCTCAGGCTGAGTTGACGCTGGAATCGTTGAGACTGGCCACGGACTTTCTGATTGAGGGTGGAACCTTTGTCACCAAGGTTTTCAGATCCAAGGATTACAACCCTCTTCTGTGGGTGTTCAAACAGTTGTTCACCTCCGTTGAAGCTACCAAGCCTCCCTCTTCTCGTAACGTATCAGCCGAAATTTTCGTTGTCTGCCGTGGATTCAAGGCTCCCAAGCGCATCGATCCGAAGTTCCTTGACCCCAAGCACGTTTTTGCAGAACTTTCTGCGCCGAACCCAAACAATGAAGCCAAGGTTTTCAACCCTGAAGTCAAGAAGCGAAAGCGTGATGGTTACGAGGAGGGCGACTACACTCAATTCAAGGAGATCCCTGTAGCGGAATTCATCAACACCACCGACCCTATTGCCATTCTAGGTTCCTACAACAAACTCAGTTTCCAGCAACCCCCAGGCGGAGATCTTGCTATGTCTACTATCGATCGACTGGAGGAAACTACAGAGGAGATTCGAACTTGCTGTGAGGATCTGAAGATTCTTGGAAAGAAAGAATTCCGAAACTTGCTCAAATGGCGTTTGAAGCTCCGTGAAAAGTTCGGCCTGGTTGTCAAGAAGAAGCAGGGACAAGAGGAAGACGAGGCAGAGGAAGTCGCAGAAGTTGCTCCGATGGATGAGGAATTGGCTATCCAGGAACAGTTGCACAAGATGCGAGAGAAAGAGACTACCCGGGAAAAGAAAGAAAGACGCAAGGAAAATGAGAAGAAGCGAAAGGAAATTGTCCGTTTGCAAATGCATATGACCACACCCATGGAAATTGGTATGGAGCAAGTCGGTCCTGGTGGTGACGACACTACATTTTCCCTTCGGCGCGTGGATAAGGCAGGTGCCCGAGATGCTGTTGTCAATGCTCGTGATTTGCCCGTTGAAAGCGAGAGCGAAGAAGATGATTCGGAAGATGACGAGAGCGACGACGATGGCGATCGCCTCGAAAGAATGCTCGATTCTATGTACGACCAATATCAAGAGCGTATGGAGGACAAGGACTCCAAACTGCGTGCAAAGAAGTCACGCAAACAATACGAGAACGATGAATGGGATGGCTTCTCCGAAGATAATAAAAGTGATGACGAAGACGAGAACGAGGAACAGACCGAAGCCGCTCACTCAACGGCAGAGGAACCTGCAGCCAGCAGTCTCTCCAACAATGCATCTCTTTTCTTCGATCAAGATATCTTCCAAGGGTTAGGAGGCGAGGAAGATGAAGAAGACGAGGAGGACGAGGCCGAGGACGATGAAGAAGAGGAGGATGAAGATGAAGATGAAGACGAAGAAGAGGACGATAGTGACACCGAAGAAGAAATCCCAGTTTCCAAGCAAAAGAACAAGAACAAGAAAAAATCAGAGAAGCAGGATTCCGAGTGGGTTGACGCTGATGAAGAGGCCGATTACCTTGAAGAACCTCGCAAAGCCAATGGCCAGCTAGGTAAGCTCTCCATATTAATACTCTCATACCGTACACACCTAATATTTGAATTGCAGATATCGATATTATTACAGCGGAAGCTATGGCTTTGGCTCACCAGATGGCCACTGGCGAGAGAAGGGCCACTGATGTGATGGACGATGGCTTTAACCGGTTTTCATTCCGTGATGTCGATGGTCTTCCAGAGTGGTTCATTGATGATGAGGGCAAACACAGCAAGCTTCAACGCCCAATCACCAAAGCGGCAGCGGATGCTATCAAGGAAAAGCTCCGTGCTATCAATGCTCGTCCTATCAAGAAGGTGATGGAGGCGAAGGGTCGTAAGAAGTTCAAGGCTGCGCAGAAGTTGGAGAAGCTGCGCAAGAAGTCTGCTTTGCTGGCCGATGACGAGGCTCTTAGTGAGCGCGACAAAGCTCAGTCGATCTCCAAGCTCATGAGCAAGGCTACCAAGAAGAAGCCCAAGCAGCAAGTCAAGTTGGTTGTGGCCCGCGGTAACAACCGTGGTATTTCTGGTCGTCCCAAGGGTGTGAAGGGTAAATACAAGATTGTGGACGCGCGTATGAAGAAGGATATTCGAGCCCAGAAGAGATTGGCGAAGAAGAAGGCCAAATAAATAATTTGTTCATATTACACTGTCAGATAGACGAATGGATATTCCATGATACCCAACCCTCTTTCACTCTGTATCAAGTCGTAGTAGTGATTAGCCTACTTGGGCACTTCAAATTGAACCTTCTGAATTACAGGCTTTTAGGTTCAACTTGAAGTCATATAGTAATACTAGTAGTAGTCCCAGTAGTCCCAAGGTCACCCGAATATACTACTACCTACCTACCCAACAGGGACCGGGACAGCTGAGGTTTCCAAATACATGATTCGCCCACATACTATATATGGATTGCAACTTAAATTTAAAAGGCCATATGGGTATTGTGCTAATCTGCGTACCTACCACTGGTCTCATGACCTTCAAGTTCCGCGCATTACGTATAGTCCGCAGATGACAAACAGCTGGTCGCCGGGGATTAGGACATATTATTGCTGATGGTGGATGACAGGTCGTGAGCCTTGAGCCGGATGAGGATTGTGGCGCCCACAGGTAGGCGCTCACGATGTTTTAAAAAATCCGACGGTATCGTTTCGTGAGCAACTCTAATAGACTACTGTACATTATTATGGTAATACATCGCGTGCAAATTGGAGTTGTAATTAGCGCTAGCAAAAAACGTGGACTAAACGTGGGTTAAGCGTAGTAACCGTCGTAAACGCCAAGAGCCCCCGAGCACCGCGGCGGTGGTTTCCCCGAGTGGCGCTTATGCTTATCGATTGCTTTCTGCCTCGATCTCACATCGTCTTTTTCTCTTCTTTCTTTACTCTGTCTCCAAACTACCTCAGGGTATTCTGGACGTATATACATTCCCTTGCATTCTTTGTTTCTATGCCGGGCATACATTAGTCATTTGTTGCATCTTTTACCTTGTCTAGATCCGTGCATTCCTAACCCGCATCCCACCTCGATGGGCTTTTTCGACCACCTCCAAAAAGGAGGGGCTTTTTCCTTACAACCCCAGAAGACACAAGTCCGCAAAGTCGTCCAAGCGAAACCCGTTCCGAAAGCGAAGCCCAGCCCTGTTCAAACCCAGGCCAACGGCTCTCCACGAGTGCCATCGTCAGATCGGAGCCGCAAGACGTCCGCGTTGAAAGCCCGGTCGGTATCCAGCGATCTCGACGCCCGCCCCTCTAAGCGCTTGAACACCCCGACGCGTGGTCGGAAGCGACCAACCCCCGAACAGCGCCTTGCAAGTGACGACGAAGAAGGTATCAGCGATAGCGATGCCTCTTTCGAAGTACGGAAACGCGCGCGCACGAGCGCGAGTGAGGAACCTGACCTGGAGAGGCGAGTTCGTTCTGTGAAAGCATTTTCGGAGGAAGGAACTCGCCCCTTCAAGATGGTTCATGCGGCCGACATCACCTCAGGTCAGAAGGCCGGGAAATTTAAGCCTGCATTTGGAGCTCAAGACAAACCTGCGAAGATCCTCTTGCAATACCCAAGCGCTTCGCAAAAAGAAAGGTAAGTGCCACAAGGTCTGAACACTCTTGCAGGAGACTAGTATATTCATTTTTTACTCCAGATTCGATTGCATGGTGCCCCGTGACAACGACGATTTCCGACCAATCGACGATATTGTTCAAGTCATTGAGACTGTCTCGGATAATTATATTCCTGAAGAAGAGGCATCGGAATTCAACGATGAGACCACTGGTATTAAACGACGCTTGCGCAGAGCTCTCGCAGTTGTATCAGAAAGCCAATTCCGCGAGGCTGTCCAGGACTACAATAAGGCAATTGATCGGTTAAGGACGAGCGGTAGCTTGGCAAGACATTTGGATCAAACACATCGTATTGTTTTACCCTGGGTCGAGCGTATTCTGACTCAGATATATGCGCGCACCGTCTCCCCTCGTGTTGAGTCCCTTCGACAGTATGAAAATGGAACCGACAACGTGTACGGCGAACTCCTACCGCGATTTATCAGTAATATCTTCAAGGAAACTAAGCTGAAGTCTGGCCAAGTTTTTGTCGATCTTGGATCTGGTGTCGGAAATGTCGTTCTCCAGGCGGCGCTGGAGATTGGCTGTGAGAGCTGGGGCTGCGAAATGATGACGAATGCTTGTGATCTCGCGGAGTTACAGCAGTCTGAGTTCAAGGCGCGATGTCGACTTTGGGGTATTCTGCCAGGGAAAACCCATCTTGTCCGGGGTGATTTCCTAGAGCAGGAGAGCATCGTCAACGTCCTCAAGCGCGCTGATGTAATTCTCATCAACAATCAAGCTTTTACTCCGCAACTCAATAATGAGCTGATCAATCACTTCCTTGACATGAAAGAAGGCTGCAAGATTGTTTCGCTCAAATCATTTGTCCCTGCCGGACACAAGATTCAATCTCGGAACCTCAATTCCCCCATCAACCTTCTCAAAGTCCAACAGAAGAACTATTGGTCGAACAGTGTAAGTTGGACCGACGTTGGTGGTGAATACTTTATCGCCACCAAGGATAGTTCTCGACTTAAGGCCTTTGCGGATGGAACTTTGTGAGGTTGGGAGGGAAAGAAAAAACCGAACTTTAAATGCCGATCTTCTATGTCGTCTACATTTGGACGCTAGATCGAACTGGCCGTTTTGATTTGTATAAATTGCGCTTTGTTGTGACCTTGTATATTACTTTATCGTCTTAGACATGCCGACTGATTTCATGTATATGATACCATTAACACTTCTGTATAAAGCCCAATCTCTTTGGATAAGAACCTTGGAAATGAAATTTACTTATTTCCAGATGACCGCTGTTTGTGTTTTGTCTGTATTCAGACTATTAACCTTGCATTCAAGAATAGGCTTATGCCAATGATGCGTGAACTGTTCCAATGATCACTCTAGAGGCTCGAAAGTTCGGAAGCTGTAGTGATCCTGTCTAGGAAAGAGATATACCCGCTTGACCAACGCCACGACAAAAAAAAAAGTACTTTCATCCGCTGGTATGTAGATCTAGATTTGAGCTTTTGAAATTTAGGAAAATTTGGAGGCGTCGTTCATGGCATCTGCCTCTAGGCCCATCCTCGTCATCCAACGGTCAACCAGTTCCTGATTCTCGCGCTGGAGCTTATTCGACTTTTCATCGGCCATATTAAGTTGAAGATTTAAAGTTGCCATTTCGTCTTGGAAGTCCTACCAAGGTTGAGGTGGTGTTAGCTCAGGCTTTAAACCCACTTAAACAACGTTTGCAGGTTGCTGGAAAAGTCGTATATGAAAGATTACCCACCTCAAGCAGTTTTGCTTTGCCTCTGAGTTCCTCATCCCTATCCTTTAGACGTGAATGTATCTGTAACCTCTCGCTTTCTAGTATGCTGATTCGCTGACCATCCTTAGTGCTTTTCTTCCGAAGTTTCCCGACCTCGGTCGTCATTTGGTTTAATTTGTCTTGTAATTCTGATCGGGAGCGTTGTGCTTCAATCAAGTCTGCGCGGGTAGCATTCAATAGATCCGTTGGAGAGGGTCCGAGCTCCGCCGTTTGCTTCTTCGATGCGCCAGCTGAAGAAACAGCTTCATTATGAGTTGAAGGACTTTGCTGCGCGACAGGCTTGTCTTCTGCGCCTATTTGGGCCGTAAGGCTAGCTGTCCGATCAGCAAGACGAGTGTCTAGACCCAAGAACTATATGTCAGTAGATCTATAAATGTAGATATCCGTGAGGAAATCACAAACAGGCATCATAGAGCGCTACATTGGCCTTCTCCTTTTGATCCCGAACAGCCAGCGCCGCCAAATATTCCTCTCTCCAGTTGGCCATCGGCCGCGGGGAAATGATCGACGGGGAATGAGGAATGTGTTCGGATGCGATGATGTCCCTCGGTTTACTATCTGTTATCAGGCTAGCTACTGCCCCCCTCGACCGCCCGGGGCCCTCGTGCATCATCGGACCCGCTGCAACCCAACTCCAACTTTCCAACCACGCTCCTCAACTATTCTTTACTTCTTCACCTTTCGAAATAGTTGAGGATTAAGTTCTCTCTTCAAGTCCTCCTTCATTATAGTTGTGGGATTCCTATTCCCATTCCTCCTCTCCGACCGAGGTTTCATAGACAAACCGCTGCCATGGCGTCACGAAAGAAGGTTCTCCTCAAGGTACGATCTCCGCATCAAAGCTCCCGGCAGCCTGGAGTAGCCCTTCCCACCACCACCATAAACTAATGCAATGATTCCCGAATACAGGTGATTATCCTTGGTGACAGTGGCGTCGGCAAAACCAGTTTGATGAACCAATACGTGCGTTATTCCTATATACTGAACTCGCACCATAACGCTCCCACCGCCACCGACCTTCCCACTTGAGTATAGCTAACGTCCTACTTTCGGGTACGAACAGGTCAATAAGAAGTTCAGCGGCAGCTATAAGGCAACCATCGGAGCTGACTTCCTCACCAAAGAAGTGCTGGTTGATGACCGATTGGTGACTATGCAGGTACGGCTATTCGCTTTGTTCCAGCAATGATATGTAAACCTAACTCGGAATCGCTTTAGATTTGGGACACTGCTGGTCAGGAACGGTTCCAATCTTTAGGCGTGGCCTTTTACCGAGGCGCCGATTGCTGCGTCCTGGTCTACGATGTGAATAACTCCAAGAGTTTCGAAGCGCTCGACAGCTGGCGAGACGAATTCCTCATCCAGGCCAGCCCCCGAGACCCCGAGAGCTTTCCTTTTGTGAGTCCCCTGGTCTTTTCATGAGGGGAGGTATTATTTGAAAAAAGACCTCCCCACTTGGTCAACGTACGAATCGTTCAATTCTAATGCTTCTTTCTGCACAGGTCGTCATTGGCAACAAGATTGATGTGGAAGAGAACAAGCGCATGATCTCTTCGAAACGAGCCATGACTTTCTGCCAATCTAAGGGCAACATTCCATACTTCGAGACCAGTGCCAAAGAAGCAGTGAATGTTGAACAAGCTTTTGAAGGTGCGTCTCGTATCCAATATCCGTTTATAAAGAATCGGCCCGACTAACAAAATACTTCTACAGTCATTGCCCGAAGTGCTCTTGCGCAGGAAGAGGCCGAAGAGTTCAGCGGAGAATTCAGTGACCCTATCAACATCCATCTGGACAATGAGCGCGATGGCTGTGCCTGTTAATACCCTCACTCGATACTGATGACATTCAAGCGACTCTTACCTCACCCTCACTATTTCTTCCTCCCGACCCGCCTCTTATTTCCTTTGGAGTTCAACATAATCGTTCCAGTGGTTCCCGTATTCCCCCCTGAGATTTCCACCGGTAGAGAAAGTCACTCGAGGTAGATGTACTCGGCTTTCCATTCTGATCGATTTTTGACTACGGAAACCTTGGTTTGCAATTTTTGGTTTTTCCTCTAATGACCAGCGCGTGTTATGGGCTTTCTTGCAATGAGCCTTTTGTGTTCCAGTCAATATATTGTTTTCAGACCTGTTATTTGTCTCCTGTTGATAATCAGCCTTACATGAACACTATAAATTTCTATTGAAAAAATTGAAAAAATTGAAAAAAATTTCTGAATTCTGAAATTCTCATGAGCAACTTATACGTACTATAATAACTCTAGATATTAATCTCATTTGATTTGATCTCACCTGCCATGAGATGCCCCGGACGAGCTGATCACCTGGGACCCCTTAAATGCCGATAAAACGGTCCTGATTCTTATCGCTGATCATCCGGCACACGACTTGGCATCTCCGCCCTCCACCTCACGCGCACATCCTTCCTGCTGGCCAGGAGATTCCTTCTTTCCCAGAACATCTTTGCACCAAGAACGATACCTTCGGTCATTCCAGTCGTCCAGGTACCCATGATCCATTTGTATCGCTCCATCCTATATCGCGACCGGGACATCCCCACCCATTACGGCTGAACGACCTCCGACCACCGGCTCGGCCAATTTCACCCCCAGACTTAGCCATGGCTACAACTTCAGATGCGCCGCCCACAAGAATAGGCGTAGCAAGGCGCACGTTAGGAATCTCCCTTCTCCTCCTTGTGGTGGTACTTTGGACAACCTCAAATTTCCTAGGAAGCGTATGTCCCAACTACATTGTCGTTCTCATTTCGCCCCCGGATCTTGGCAATTGAATCTCCTTGCGCAATGTATTCAATGGCAACTCTTACTCACAATGTATTGATTAGACTATATTCGCCGATAAAACTTATCCGAAGCCTTTCTTCGTCACATATATCAATACTTCGCTCTTTACGGCACCACTTTTCGGCGTTCTTCTGAGTCGAACATTTATCCTGTGGCGCTCTAATAAGCTGAGCCATGTCGACTCATTTTCAAGTTGGCTCAAGGCCATGGACTCACCTGATAAAGTGACAGGCGAGGAATCAAGAGCCCTACGCCGTGTATCGGTTGACGAGTCGGCTCGAACAAGTGGTGAATTCGATCCAGCGCACTATGGCTCAAAAGAAGACGAAAATGAAAAGTTAGGACTAAAGGCGACTGCAAAGCTGAGCTTCCAGTTCTGTCTGCTATGGGTATGGCACTCACTGTTGTTCTCATTGTAAACATAACCGCAAGGCCGCTAACAAAGCGCAGTTCACAGCAAACTACTTCGCAATGGGATGCCTCCAATACACAACAGTTGGAAGCACAACAATCCTAACCTCCACAAGCGGTGTTTGGACTCTAGTCTTCGGCGCCTGTCTCCGCGTTGAGAAATTCACTCTTCGAAAATTCCTAGGAGTAATCGCTTCTCTTGTCGGCATTATCCTGATTTCTCGCGTGGATCTCTCAAAGCCGGAATCCGACGCTACCCCGACAGAGGATCAGGGCTCAGGCAAATTCCCACATAAATCAACCGCTGAAATTGCACTTGGTGACGCCATGGCTGCCTTTAGCTCCGTCATGTATGGCGTGTATACGATTGTGATGAAGAAGCAGGTTGGTGATGAATCGCGCGTGAACATGCCGCTGTTCTTTGGATTGGTAGGATTCTTCAATCTTATAATTATGTGGCCTGGTTTCTTCATTTTGCATTGGACTGGTGTCGAGCTGTTTTCGTTGCCGGAATCAAGGAAAGTGTGGACTATTATTTTGGTATGTGTCGTTTCATTTTATATGCCAAGACTAATAAGGTATATACTTGCATCGCAGATTCTAACTAACTGGGGTTATAGGTCAATGCGCTTGCTTCTTTCATTTCGGATATTGCTTGGGCGTATGCTATGCTTTTGACTACGCCTTTGGTGGTGACGGTTGGTCTTAGTTTGACTATTCCCTTATCACTTGTTGGGCAAATTGTTCTACAGGGGCAGTATGCCAGTGCAATTTATTGGGTTGGGGCCGCTATTGTTTTCTTCTCGTTTTTGGTGGTCAATCATGAAAGTAAGACGTTGGATGATGGGGCTCCTGTCGGTGGAGCTGGAGCTAGAGCGTCATCTGGGGAGTATGAAAGTATTCCCTATGAGGAGGTTCATTGATTTGGGTAATTAGATGTGTTGTTTTCTTTTTGGTATGACCCTTTTTCCCATTGCGGGCGTTTTGAATTATCCTTCATGGTCAAGACATCAACCCCTTCTACATATTACCATGGATGTATACATACTTGATGTACTTGCCAAGTTGGTACTCAAAAACATGCAATATACTATAGAGTAGAGCAATGAAAGAACTACTTGCGATTTATTAGCTTTTTCTGTATGGGCATAATATTTGTTTCTTTTCATTTGATTATCAATTAATATCAATTAAGAACCAATAGTGATCAATCTGTGCAGCGTGTATGGATATTAAAATAGGTCGACAAGTCAATTGTCAGAAAAAAAAAGCGAAACCAGACCTCTTCGCCGTGAATAGTAAAATGAATGATTGAACGCCTTCTCGTTTCCGGAGACGCTCCTTGCAATAAAGCCTGGGTATATTGAATGACAAATGAACAAGAAAGAAAAGTAAAAAAAAATTGTAGGAGAATAGAACGAGGGAGTTAGTAGTCAAACAAGATAAGAAAGATGGTGTAAAGTGGACAATGACCAGGGTCAGTCAAAGGAAAATGGTAGAGCTCAAGGTACACAAAAGTGATAGTATGTGGGAAGGGAAATATAAGATATAAAAAAGGCCAAAGGGAAGGGAAATATTACTCTGCACGGCAAGTTTATGTTGCCGCAGCTGTAACACTCGTTGTCTCAAGCTTCTTACGAGCAACAATAATACTCTTCAAAGAGCCGAGCCAACGAGCCAAAGACTCCTCATCTAACGCACAAAGACGATACGTCTTTTCCTCTGCGATAATCTGGAGACAGAACTTCTTCGAGCGCGACAAAGGATCAATCTCCGCAGCATCAATAACCTGCGACATGGACACAATCTTGAGAGCCGAGTACTCCTGCTCATCCTTATAAAAAGCGAGGGTTTTAGGACGTAGAACGACCCAAAGCCGTTTCCACTGACGCACTGTGCCCTTGATTCGTAGCCCCTGCAGATACCCCTGACAAATGACGCGCTCCGGATCACGCAGAATCGCCAATTCAGAGTTCTGGCTTAAATCTCGCGGAAGGGAATTGGATAGAGGTCTATCTTCCGGCGCGGAGATGGATAAAGTGTGAATGGAGGGCATTGAGCGTAGACCGAAGCTGCGCCTTGTAGGCGGGGGACCATCCGAGAGCTCGGAGTAAGATGTTACATCGTTTCCGGAGTAGTCTTGCGTGTAAGGGGGTTTGCGGGAGTGGGCACCAGAAGACAGGGCGCGGGTCAATTCAGGGGAGCTAGGACGACCCCCCGCCACATCGAAGTCGGAAGGCTCTTGATCTGTTGTGTCGTCTATGAGATGTTTCTGGATTGTAGGGGGATCTTGTCTGGTATGTAGAGCAGCGACGGCGGCCTCGTCCGCGTCCGCTGGGGACTCGATGCGAATGCGACGGATCCAGTCTATCGCGTCGGCTTCGGAGGGGGCCTCGAAGCGATAGTTCTTAGATGGGGTAAATACTCCGAAGACGTGTTTGCGGTGGGAGCGCGAGGAGCGGACTGAGGCGACGGCTGTCACGTCGGAGAGGGTGATTGAGACGCGCAGACGGGTGGTTTCTTCATCTTTGTAGACGGAGAGGAGGTTTGGTCGGAGAACGAGATATGCTGGTTTCCAGGAGGCGCGGAAGACGTGTTTGTGTTTGACGCGGCGGGAGACACGGCCGCTCTTTAGGACGCGGTCGAATTCGAAGCTCCCGTTCTCGTTGACGGGGAGAAAGTGTCAAGGTTCACTTGACCGTTGCGGGATGGGGGAGGACGGAGATGAGGATGATCAGGAACCTGGATGGCGGGGGATTTGTTGCTGAGTCCTTCGGAGAGCGAGGGACGAACGAGCACAGAACTCATGGTAAAGAGCCAGCATTAGAGGATTAAGATATTAATAGGTAGAAAGCTGGATGATTGACGAAGACATGCAAAGTCTAGATCTAGTATGAGGAAAAGGGGGGAAACCCCGCGGTGGGAGCCATGAACGACGATCGTTTCTTTAATTCAAATTAAGTAAGGTGGAATGGGGAACACTCGCTTGTCGTTGGAAATTTCTTAATTTTCTTCTTCTTTGATATATGAAATTCGAAAAAGAAAAAAAAGGAAATGAATATTTCTCAGGTGAGGATATGGTGCGTGACGTGGGTATTTATGGACTCGGACCGGATGATGCCTGCGTGAGGCAACTCTGATGTGCCAGGTAACCAGGAATTCGACAAATGATGATGATGAACTGAATATAGAATACGAGCGTACGTAGTTAGTAGATATAGTATATATTTAAATATTGTATCTGCCTAAGAGCAAGTCAGATTGAAAGCCACATTCTAGAATCGAATTCCTCCCTTTCCAGTAAGCATGCACACGAACACTTAACACCTGCAAGGCTGGGCACTATGTAAGGGTCCAGACCCCGCCCTTCAGGCCACATCACCCGTACTGAAGACTCTGGGAAAGTGGAGCCTCCCGGGTCTTGTCCAATGCAAGGTACGGTACGACCGTACATGAAGGGTTCCCAGCATACAATAGAGGTTGGTGTGGGTAAAGAGAGAGGTCGAGGGGGAAATCTGATTCATAGATTCTGCATCGTGCATCTGCATCCGGTCCCTGAGTCGATCTCATACATATCATGGGGAACCCGTCCCTGTGATTTGCGGGTCCTAACGGTGTCGTCCCTCACACAGCACATGTGCAGGCCCAGTTGATCTGTTACACCACGGATCTCTCATATTCTGCAGAGTTGAAAGGAAGATCACCCGGGAAGGAGGGAATTAACAGGGTCTATTTCAAAAACTGGGCGATGATCTGCTAAATAGGTACTCGAACTAGTACGACACAGTAGGTGTATACTATGTATGTATACCCGATTATTTTGGTTATTGCTATACTAAAAAATGCTACTTCGCAGCTAGATCTCATCTTACACACGAACCATGAGCTAAGTTAAAATAAAGAACCCTGGAGAGATCTGTGTACACTTGGGTAGTATCACAGCCTCTTAGTACGGGCTTGTAAACGCAGGGGCAGCGGCCAATGACCACGGGCCGAAATAAATTAAGCAACAATTAAGAAACCGAGTAGGGGAGGATCTGCTTAGTAGAAACCAAGACATCGGCACTATCATTTCCATATTTCCCACAATAAAGACAGTTTAAATGCTTTCTCTTATTGCTGACAGGGGACACCAGTTCTTATATATAGATAAGCCGCACATATCATCATCAACGACGTCGATGGCGAAAAAAAGAACAAATAACAGAGATAGAAAAGATAGAAAAAATGAAATAAAAAATAAAAAAATGTCAAATTCGCCCCAAATTCACTGGTCCCCGGATAGATTACCGTAAGTTACATACCAGCCTCGTCCGCATCTGGTGCCCGTGTACCCGTAACTGCGGCCAAAATAACGGTTTCGGCTGTGAAACGATGTTCAAAAAGGCCACAACGCTTGCGCCTCCCTGACCTAGGCTTGGCAGACTCTCAACTTCATCCCCATCCCGCCCCATCTTCCCTCCTTTTCCCCCTCAAGATTATCTCGCACCATTCCCCCATCTCATGTACACCAACTCTCGTCACCCCCTGTACTGAGGTCATTTGCTCAGCTTGTGACCCCCCTCCTCAACCCCCGCTGGGACCGAGAAGGATATTTTGGGGGGAACCAGAAAGGAGGCATTCCTCCGGCCACTCGTTTTTGTCTTGCGAGATCTCAAGAGATCGTCGAGTATCGTGTCCACCCGATACTCTTTTTTGGATACATTTCCCTTTTGACTCCATCAATCGAACCGATCCAGAACCGACTCTTCGCTCATACCGCCTATCCCCTGATCGCAGCTGGGGTCAATCAATAATTTCCTAGCCTTGTGCTATTTGCTCGGGACTCGTTTGGCTATCGTGGGGTTCTCGACGCGTGCCCCAAGATTGCACCCATGAGCTTCATTCAACGTATCGCAAAGCGGCTGCCGAGCGCGCCCAGCCTGCCCATAGACGATGAACCTCGTGAGAAGGGTAAAGGTGCTGCTCGATTCGCCTTCTTCCGCCGGCGCATCCGCTTGAAGGGAAACTCTTCCATTTCTATACCCCTGGGATTTGTGTTACTATTTCCATGTCTTGTAATTGTTTTCATTCTTCTTCTATTCGTCCGACATCCCTCGTCTCCCGGGGGGATTCTAATCCCAGCGGGCACTCCACCCTCTATTCGGTTTGTCTTTCCTCCTCCCCTAATATTCGTTCAATATGGAACCCCGTTGGTGATCGGATGGCTAACGAGTTATTTTTGATGGAACAGAAAAATCAGCGAAAAGTATGACAAAGTTTTCGCCACAGGTTGTATGCCCATCGACCCGGATGGACCCAAGGGCCCCAAGGCCAACGCTGCCTTCGTTGTTCTCGCGAGAAACAAGGAGCTGGAGGGTGTGATTCAGTCGCTCAAGTCGATCGAGCGCCATTTCAACCGCTGGTACCATTACCCTTACGTTTTCCTCAACGACGGAGACTTCGACGAGGATTTCATAGCGACGGTCAAGAACTATACCAGTGCTCCTGTCGAGTTCGGAAAAATCGATAACAGCATGTGGGGTTTCCCTGACTGGGTTGACCCCGAAGTTGCCAAGGAGGGTGTCCGCAAACAGGGCGACGCTGCTATCATGTACGGTGGTATGGAGAGTTATCACCACATGTGTCGATTCTACTCAGGGTGAGTATCCTTCTATTCACTGATTGGATTATGATTGGTAAAACTTACATTTCCAAATAGCCACTTCTACAAGCACCCCCTCCTAATGAAGTACGAATGGTACTGGCGTCTGGAGCCCGAGATCAAGTACTTCTGTGATATCACTTAGTAAGTATAATTTCTGGATGTGATGGACCTTCCGCGGGTGCTAACGAAAACTACAGTGATCCTTTTATCAAAATGCAGGAGGCGAACAAGACCTACGGTTTCACTATTGCTGTCAAGGAACTGCGCGAGACAGTTCCTAACATTTTCCGCTACGCATCGGCCTACAAGCGCAAGAACAACATCAAATCCAAGGGACTCTGGGAGATGTTTTTGGAACCTCCTCCAGAGAAAGAAGAGGTGCCACCTGAGGAAGAACAGAAGCAGGAGAAACTCCCCGACGAGATTCTGCAGACCGAGCCCGGAGACAAGACTCTAGATGACATCGATCCTGAAGCCATGGAAGGTGAAAGCTACAACATGTGCCATTTCTGGAGTAACTTTGAAATTGCACGCTTGGATTGGTTCCGAAGCAAGGAATACGAGGACTTTTTCAATATGATGGATCGCAGTGGTGGCTTCTGGATGGAGCGATGGGGTGATGCCCCTATCCATTCCCTTGCCGCTGGTGCTTTGCTCTCACCGGCCGATATCCACTACTTCCGTGATTTCGGATACCGTCATACCACCATCCAGCATTGCCCAGCCAATGCTCCTGCACGCCAGCTTCCTCGTGAACCCTACCTCGAAAAGACCACCGACGATGAGAAGAAGCGAATTGAAGAAGACGAGTACTGGGCCACCCCTGACCCAGTCAAGGAGAACGGTGTCGGTTGCCGATGCCGCTGTGACACTGACATTGTCGACGTTGAGGGCAAGCAGGGCAGTTGTCTCAATGAATGGGTTGACGTGGCTGGTGGTTGGGCTTCACCATAGATGAATGCCCACCGCCCCCGTCGATTCTCCGCATTATTTCTCATTGCCTACTTGTTCATGCGTTTTCCTTCAGCCGCGAGCATTACCTGGGTCCACCCCTTGGGAGTTTTCTAATGCTGAAACCTGCATGTTGTGTTGGTCGGGGTTCTTCTTGGGTGGCGTTCAACGGATATGACGGCCTTGTTTTCTTTTGACTTTTCTTTATTCTGTTTTTAAATCGGAAGATGGTATCATCATTTCCATCATCCATGTTGACATACTCATCTAGCGTGCTATCCACATCGCTGGGATTGGCTGTGTTGTACCTCTATGTCTTTTTTGGTTTTCCGGCGAAAGGAAGGCCGTCGTGCGTCCCAAGGATTCCAACCCCGTTCCGATGGTACATTTACGTCTCGTCCTGACATCGACAAAGTCCCTGTTGGTCTGCGTCTTTGCTCCGGGGTAACCTTGGTACCCCATGGGATGTCAGAGAGCCATTCCAAAATATCAGTGGTGAGAAGATCACGAGATTACGAGTACGATTGGGTGGGATACTGGGAAGACCGATGGCATCAACCTCCTTCTTGTCTTTGTTCTTTTTTCCCCCATAAATCTTTTTATTTCCCCTTTTCTTTTCCTGCAACGTGTCACTATTACCACAATTGTTTTTCTTCTCCCTTCTCCCAATCCCCTCGATACTTGCACTCTTGTGGTTATTACTCCAGCATGCATTCATGAAATGTACATACCCTGTCCTTTCCACTCATCCTGGGTCTTGTGGTATATCGCCACGGACCTTATCACCCCATCCCATCGCATTGCCTTTAAAACCCCTCAAATATCGAATCGAGCATCGCTATTTATAGAGTATTGAATAATCACTCGGTGAATTACGCGAGAATGAGATCAGTATAATGCATTACTCTACTATCCGTCGTAAATAGCTTGTAGAAGAACCAGCCTAAGATAACCTGATTAACGGGTACATAGGACTAAATTAGGTATTCGTGGGACATACTAAGCAACATTTATGAGTCGCAGCTTACCAGAGCTTCAGGGCTACCACCTTATCATGGCCTGAGCCTCTACATGGATACATTTAATCAAATCAAGAATGTATGTTTCATTAATATTTCAGAACCCAACTATGGGGGTATCTAGCTATGCAAGGGCTTCGTTCATCCGAAGCAAGATTCTAAGTAAATATGAACATTCCAAGGTTCCAAAACGCCGCAGTAAATGCAAGAAAACATCAAACTGCGCTTTTAAGCTTAGGTACATACTGAGGTCACCGAATATCCAAATTTGAATGCCCATTTGTGCACCCACTATCTTCACTTTCCTCGTTGTCTAGGTTGGGGACATTGCTGGATGACCAGTCTAGTATCTCCATGTTCCGTGGGCCTTAGCCAAGACATTTCGAGAAGCCAGAAGAAGCACTGCACCAATGAACATGGACACGATGGAGAATATTTGCATGCCCTCGTATGTTGAGTTATGCTGCCTGCCGAAGATAGCTCCCATGATTGGCAGACCAGTAAGGGTGCTGGTAAGTGTTAGCACAGGGAAGATATAATCACTCAAAGGGACTGAAAAACTTACGAAATAGCGATGACACCCTGATAAGTACCAATCTGTCTTCCAAGGGTCTCGATGGTACCGGACTTTGCACAGCATGGCATCATGATGCTAACGAAAGCACCACTGAAAAAGCCGTAGACCGCGGCAAAAACAATAAGTCCAGCATTGGAATAGTGGTAATCAAATGGTAGCCATAAGCAGAGAATCGCCAGGCAGCTGAAAATAGCGGACCCGGTGATGACATTGAAGTATCCAACCTTGTCTCCGATGTGGCCGGGAATAATTCGTCCGAATAGCGAAGCACCACTGCACTCGAATTAGCTCTGCTTACAAAAACATGGCTAGGGAAACTTACTTGACAATAGCGATCAGGTAGAGCGATAGGGAGTCGGACATTCCTGACATTTGGGCCATGCTAGGAAGATAGTCGAAGGGCGCCCATAGTCCCCACATCACGAAGTATGAACCCAGTGCGTAGAAGGCAAAGCCTTTGTTCTTGAAAAGCTTCAGGTCAAACCATGCTACGTCTGAGTTCCACTTCTTAGGAGGTAGACGGGCAGTGATAAGGAAGAAGGCGCCGATCAAAGCGATTCCAATGAATAGCGCTGTGTAGCGTACCATACCATTGAAACCTACGTCTTGCATAACCAGCTTCAGGAAGAAGGGGAAGATAACACCACCTGGTCACACATTAAAATAAGCGTGTGATAGATCTTGAGAGGATAGTCTGCTCCTTACCAATACTACTACCGGCAACCGTAATTCCCATAGCAAGGCCTCTTCGCTTGACGAACCATTGGCCTACACAGACTAAGCTGGTGGTAAAGATACCTCCAGCTCCGAGTCCATATCCAACTCCCTGTGCTAAGATAATCTGATAGTATTCTGTAGCGAGACTAGTCATGCACAGCGAGAAGAGGCAAAGCAAAGTACATGGCAGCATGACCGGGCGTGGACCATATGTGTCTACAATGCGTCCGAATAGTGAGCCCGGAGCCCAGATAAGAGCAAGCTGAACGGTAAAGATCCATGATATATCAGAAGAAGTATAATCTCTCAAAAGAGTCTCTTGGTATGTAGTTTGGAAGACACCAATGCTAGGTATCCAAGTCAGCAAACCTCCACCCAAACACCTTTCACAGAACAGAACAGAGGAAAAAAACTAACGCATTCAAAAAGCCCAGTGTAGCAAAAAGACCCAAAGAGCCACCAACACAGCAAAGCCAACCTCGAAGACCACCTTCTGGAGGAATTCCCAGATCCAGAGTAGGACCCTCTGAGACGAGGGGCGGTTCTACAGCCTTCTCCTCATCTTGCTGACTCGTACTAGGCGACGACATGGTGGATTCAGGCATTTTGGGCCGGTGCAATCCTTCACATCAGATTAACTCCAGCAGGCAGCATTAAAACAAAACAAAAAATATCCCAATTCATCGGTTATAAGCAAAATACTTCGTAAGCACTATACACATGCTATCTATGGCGAGTGAAATGCGTCCCGCGCGGCCCGCATGGCCCGCAAGGCCCGGAGCGTACAAAGAACAACGCCGTGACTCACGGTGAGCAGCCAAAGAGCACTAATACAATACGCTATGACAGAGAGGGTAAACGGAGATTACAGTGGCGATCAATGAAAGGGGCGGGCCGGAGGACATCCATTTGGCATGCGCGATAAGGATCCACGACCTAAAGGGTCCGGGTGGGAAGTGCAGCTTTTTGGCTTTGTGGCTCCACACTCGGGACCCTTAGGAAGGCGTTTATGCCAAGCTAGCTTATTCGGGGTTTCCTATTCGTTAATTTTCCAAACACGAACGGACAAAACTTGCTAATGAAAACGCCAAGTTATGGCTTTGGTCGTGGATGCAAGCCAAGAACGCTTCTCGTAACGCTTCTAAGCCGTTTTTGTTCTGCGGTCATTCATGCACGTGTGTTGAGTTTATGTGGCTGGCCGGAGTTTCTTCGTGTTTCCGGTCATGGTTAGCCTGAAGGAGTTTAGTCGTCGTGACGAGTTGGATCTGATGTGTCAGATACGTACGTGGCCGGGAATACCCCTTAGTCGGCGTTTTGCAGAAACTAGTTTGCTTTATTTACTGTATGTTGGTCTCGAGAGATCGGGAGATTTAGCGCTCCGGCTTTTAGTGTAGGTATAACAGCCGGAATGGATTGAGACGCTTGGAGCGATTCCTCTCGGTTAGGATCTGCAGATTCAAAGCTTGAGAAGTGACTGTTTGGCGACCGCTGAGAAAATTATTTCGTCCTTGAATAGTAAACAGTAGTCCTACAATGCTCATATAGCGACAACCAGAAGATCGAAGGCTCTGAATTCGAATTCCTAGTATCCATGATGTTGAACCCCGTTTTTATTTTATGATGATGAGGATGATTAGATTCACAGACAAATTGAAAACTTCTAGATCGATTTTAAAGATGAACCAATGCAGATGATAGAAAAGATTTTAGTTTCAAAATTGATGTATTGTCACATTGCTAACGAAGACGATTACATTCTCTAGAATTGAATGGATATAACAATGTAGATAAACTCAACTCGGTAGCTCTTTTCTCTTGTTGTCTTTGACAGATCCCAAAAATGCATCACCATGATCACCCGCACCTAACTCCTCTTCAACGCCATGAATGCTTGTCAAATTGATTTCCAAATTCAGCTCCTTCTTCTCCCCCGCCACAAATCCAGGATCTGTCTTCCAGCCGAGGGCAATGGCCAAGATATTCCTGATGCGTCCTTCGTTCAACTCACAACTCTCATCCCTCGCTCCTTCTTTGCCCCCACGCCAGGCGACATATCCGTCAGGGCGGATTAGGACATAATCGTAATTTTCCCACACGTTCTTAACGTGATTCTCTCCATCATCCAACTGGACGTGCGTTAGCGGCATCCTGATTGTCTCTGCCACAGCTTTGAATGTCGTCACTGGAGACTTCGTTTCGTTATCCAAGCTGGCAAAGCCCCTGGTCGTTTGACAGTTGCTTTTGACCTTTGAGAAATCCATCAAGGTCCATTCTGTTCCGTAGAGATCCACGATGCTTGTCTGCTCATCCTTCAGGAATACATGTGGCGCCCTGTGGCCAGGCCTTGTACTTGGCGTATAACTCATGTTGTCGAATTTTGGCTCTCTCGTCCCGTCGCTCACGATAATCTCACTGCTCAAGTACCTTAGATCAAGTTCCACTCCACGGTCGATGTTTTCAGATCCCACGCTGTCTAGGTGCTGTGCTATATCGCCCCGTGCTTTCTCTCCTTCCTCGCTTTCCTCAAGGAAAACGTCTGTATTCGGGGCTTTCATAGTACGCATGATCATCGGGCTAAATTTGCCGATATGAGCATCGCAACGTTCCAGACGCATCATCATGTTTGGTCTGCGCTCATTCGTATATGAAGTAATGAGGTTACTTCCACCAATGCCTTTGTGTAAAGCTGAAAGACGCCATGCTAGCGACCATGCGTCTTCTACGCCACTGTTCATGCCATAGCCACCATGTGGAGGGTTACGATGGGCAGCATCACCGCCGAGGAACACACGGCCACGTCCATCATGACTGACATAGGAGTCTGCAAGAGCAAAATTAGGCCGCCATGCATTAGCTATCATGATTTCGTCGATTTTGAATCTGTAGGGCTTGCCGACACTTCCGAGAACACGATAAGGGATTTCCTCGGGATGTTCTTGAAGCTCTTGAATGGCTGCGGCATCCGCAGAGCAAGGTTGGTGACAGGTGTAGATATCGGTATCTTCTTGGTCAATCATGAAGCCGCCGTGTATACCGAAAGCATGCCACCATCTGCCGAATGGGGAGAGCTTGGTGAGTTCTTTGGATCGGAAATGGACCATGAAAAAAGCTCCAAGCCTTTAAAGATGAAAAAGTCGTTATGTCAGTTGGCCATATTTGATGAGGGGGCCGAAATACTCACAGAGGTCGCCCCTGTAGTTCAACCCCAATACTTTTCCTTACTTTGCTCTGCGCACCATCTGCACCAACCAAGTAAGGTGCTCTAATCTTCTTTTCCTGATTGTCTACATCTCTGAAAGTAGCAGTGACACCCACCTCATCTTCCTCAAGTGATACAAATTTGTGACCAAAGTAGGTTGTAATTAGGGATTCGGCGAAGCATTTCTTCTTCAAAAATGTCTCAAGTACTATCTGTGAACAGCGCTGACCCGGCTCGGCAGGTTGTGAGCCATCGTTATTTGCGTGAATTTTGGCGCGATATTCGTTATTGCTTAGGATAGGCTAGCGGGAGATGTTAGTGCAAGCACGAGTTGAAGCTAAGCCTGCTTTTTTTTAAGTCCGAAATCGCCCCAATAAGATTTCTGACTTGAGAATCTTTTGGCTTTTTTTTTTAAAAAAAAAAAACAAGAAAGAAAGAAATCCTCAAGGTTAATTTTGTGATGAGACAAACGTACCCATCGGCTAACAAGTTTCTTTTCCGTTCCGCAAGTGTTGAAGAAAATGGTATCCCAGTCGCTATCTTGTGGTACAGCCCCTGTTTGTTGTCGATACTCCTCGGCAAAACCCATTATACGAAAAATCTCCATAGTATGGCAGCTGTTGTTGTCCATTTTGGGCCATCGTGTCGTCTCAGTATTTCGTTCGCATAACGTGCACGGTACCCCCAGCTGTGCCAACCTTAGAGCTGTCAACATTCCAACCGGGCCTGCCCCTACTACGACAGGGCCCGGGGAGAATATTATGTCATCTACCTGGATAGAGCCCATAGTGAAGGGATTGTAGTATAACAAAAGAGATAGTATACAAAATTATCATAAATTGAAGTCTTGCTCGAAATTCCTCGCGCCTATATCTCTAAAACCTGAGGATTAAAGACCCCTTTCTAAAATGAGATCAACTGAGCATATCTGATGTTCTTGCCATGATTTCTGGATAGGAACTTTTGTAGCTCTACAAGGAGAATATGGAATCGAATCCCAAAAGGGTACGGAGTTCGGCCGACTCCGATTGGACATGTAAGGAGTGGCCTTATCAAGAAGAAAATCCGTGTTCCTAGCGTGGGCAAGATCTACAGGTTGCAGTCGAATGCCTATTGACATCGGCAGTTTTAGTGGTCATGTTGACTAAATCTTATTATTGGCTTTATTTCTTGCCGAACACGTTTTAACTTAATTTGTCCACGTTTTTATTATTATTCCGATTAGTAGTACTACTGTACTGGAAGGGTGCCACGGTACCAATCAAATGTCATCTCTTTAAATATCTCTTAATTAGCCCCACACCAACCCATTTCCCAGGTTAGCATGCTACATTGATAAAAGTCCGTAGAACGCCTGGACCTCACATACCAGGAGGCCATATGTGTTTGTTTCAGATAATGCTTGATCCTACTTTTAGTCGTACGTTGGGGCCACTGGCCCTAAATCTCATTGGGTATTTCCATGCGCCGTGTCTTCGCGCCTGCTTACTTGGGGTTAATCTAAGAAACGATAGGTATCCACTTCTGTAGTAGTTGGCACATGTGGGTCTCATCCTCGTGAATATGGGCTCATAGCTGCCAACCAATGAAGATAAGGTATACGCTCGTATCGATCTCTCGCCAGAATACTACTCTGTTATACTCCGTGCTCTATTAGGTTTCTATTTACCCGACTCAGCCTCAAAACTCAGTTCAATTACGGGATTTTAAGTTAAATCTTAAACATTTACAAAACTTTATTATACCTTGCTTCAGTAAGTGTTCTTTCAATACAATTAGAGTTAGAGTTTGATTTCACATGATGCGCATTGAAGAATGGAACCTTGAAAAAATCATACCTACAAAGACCCCGAGGTCGGAGGAAGCAACTTGAAGACGATGTATACGAAAATGCGTCGAAAAGCCCCAATAGACGCCTCAATATCGGGAATTTGTTAAAGTCGAATATATAGCGCTTAGACAAGACTAGATAGAATTTGGAAATTATATAATATCTTTAGAATACAATTCAAGTTAGCCCATGTGATGATCATGGAGTGTATCTTGCAGAAAAATAAACAAGAAGATCCACCCACTCTGATCATCATGCGGCCTCTGGTTGACCTGCGCACGGTATTACCCCTCTGTCTAGGTGGAAACCTTTTAAGCCACTCATCCCCACCTGTCCTCACACAGGCGCTAAACCAGATCTATCCTTGGCGTGCCAAGTATCTATATTACATGTAACTATATTTTAGTTGCAAATGTGGAGGCGGTCCAAATGCAGGTTTGAAAGGTGTGAAGGTGTATTTAAGCGAGTGTGTATGTGAGAAGAAGCTAAAATAATCGAACATCTAAAAATAAGTAGGGGTCCAATGAATTTAACGGTTGTAATTACAATGGCATAGCAGAGCTGTACTGAACGCCTCCTAATATTGCCCTGTCCTGCACAGTGATGTTTTTGATATGCTGTTCCAGGGTTATCTAATGGCTCGGTGTATTGTTAGCAAGATAATAATGCAATGGGGTGATAAAGGGACCAGCTGATTGGGTATTTGGGCATACGAAAACATCAATCCACCTAAATCACCTAGTAATTACGTCCTCACTGCGCTACTGCATGTAAGCGATTTAGAGTTTTGATGGCCAACCTTCTACGAAGTACGAAGCTCAACCCTCCTCAATGACAGATGATCATATGTAATATCATCATGTAGATAGACGAATTATTGTTCATAGATTACGTACAGTTTGTGAAACTCCGAGTTTAATTACAAGTTTGGCGCTGATAGTGGCGATTATTCCTCAACAATTGCTTGGTTGACTGCTATGAAGCTCCGATTGTGTATAAGTTAAATTTGTCAAACATGCCGGCTTCCACTTCCAAGGTTTATACTATCCCACAACGGAGAAATTGTTGGAGGGCGTTTCGACTTCAGAAGCGAAGAATAAATACTTAATCCTATTTTTTGAAATTATAAAATTCGATGTTCTTAATACGATCATATTCTCGGTTCGACTGTGCGCAGTGTATGGCTATGATTTTAGCTCTCAGACCAAGGGGCAAATTACGAAGTATAGGGGGCCAAAGTACGGAGTACGGAGCGCCAAGCGCTCCGCTATATGACTAGTGCTTATGCGGAGCCATGCCGAGACTTCAGACATCGAGCCGAGCCGTGACTAGTGCTCTATATCAAGCGGTGCCGAGACCGCCTGATAGTACACTAGCCTGCAGGAGTAGTGCCTGCGGACCCTATCAAGCATCTTTGCAGTCTCGAACACCTTGCAAGAAACAACCCCACCAAACACTGAGAATATGGGAGGCCTGACTTGATCAAAGGCTGCATTCGTCAGAAAATGCCACAGCCGTTCATTTTCATTCTCTCTTTCTTGCGTAGAGACCGCCCACCCCCATAACAGCTAGCCCACGGGCTTCGCCTTCAATGTTTCACACGTTCAATGTGGCCGCGCCGGCGCAAAATGGCTCTCATCAACGCGCTTCAAGCTCAGCGTCACCATCCATAAAACGACAGAAAGTGTTACGAGCATGCGACCGGTGCCGTACGTTCCGTACTAAGTGTGGGGAGAAGCCTTGTTCGCGCTGCGTGCTTGATAAAGTTAGATGCACCTGGACCTCCAGTCCAGCCGCCAAGCCAAAGTCTAAGATCCTTGTCTCAACAGCGTGAGTAAACCTGCCCGGTGGAGTGGAATTATAAGTTATTATAACTGATTGTTGAAGAAGAGAACAACGCCCCGAGCCTCATCCTAAAGACCATCTTCGACCCGATGCGTCTCCGGAGAAATCATATATCTCCCTGCATTTGGTCAACACCTCAAGCCGTGTAAACGGCGGCCGACCACTAATGCCGTCGGCCCCCGCTGGTGCTGCTACTGACATGATTATTGCCAATCGTGGTCGGATGAAGCTGGATGAGCGCATGGAACTGCTCAACCGCCCAGCGTATGCTTTCGCTGAAATCAATGCCTTCTTTGCTGATTCGAGGATCATGGCACGAGGATCCACCAACAAAGCAACGGCAGATCTCAAAACTGCCTATCCGGGCCCGTTTCCTGACCTACCTCATATCGCAGCGTCAGTGGACAGCCAATCTCTTTGCAATGCATACTTGACCCAGGATCAACAAACATATTTTCTGAGATTGTTCTGGGAAGCCTATCATCCACTCTTGCAAGCTTCAAGTGAAGCAGAATTTCAATCGCTATTAGATCTCGACCGATGCCAAGTCTCCGAGGTCGGGAAATTGACGAAGGCTTTGTCCAATTGCATGACAGCATTAGGAATTCAATACGGCCATGGGGCTGGCCTAACTTCGCGCATTCTAAGTTTGCGTCGTTGTGCGAATAAAATATCATCGATAGGCTACGAATATTTCCGTCGCTGCCGCGATTATATCGTTCTTGAGGTGACCGAGCCAACGATATTATCAATGCAATGTTACGCTCTGATGTCTTTATATCTTATGAATGCAAGTCATTTCAGGGAAGCCTATAGTCTGCTTGGCACCGCCATTCGCGAAAGCCACAGTGTCGACCTCCACGAGGAGCCCAGCGAGAGTCTTCAGCCACAAGAAAGAATATCCCGAAGACAGATCTGGTGGTTACTCTTTATGCTCGATATAAAATGCTCCCAGCAGCTCGGAAAACCAGTCGCTGTACAGACCGCTATTGTAACATGCGCTTTGCCATCAGTTGATGAACTAACTATGATACCCGGGAACACGAGAGTTTATTGGAGGAACTTGCACGTTTCCACCTACTTCGTTCACGCGGTAAAGCTTTCAGTCTCTCTTGCCGAGATTAATCGAATGGTTTCCACCTCGAAATTATATGAGGATGCCAACAACGTCACAGTGCTAGAAAAGCGGGCGAACTTACTAGCCACATCCCTTGCTTCTCTAGAGAAGTGGAGTAATGAGCTGCCGGAAGACGTCCTTAACCCCAGGAAAAACACAGGATACACCGAGGCTATGTCTACAGCAGAAAGTCCGATAGTGCTAGAGCTAGGAGCACCTAATTGGCTTCACCACCAACGAGTTCTACTTGAAGTATACTATCATAATGCGTATATCATGCTTCAGCGGCCTTTCATCTGTTTCCCACAATCTTCCAGTTCCTCCCCCGCCCAACAGCCACAAGCAAACTATCATGCTCGCAGCTCGCTACAGCATGCCATAACTATGACAATTATCCTCCACGACCTCTGCTCTTCTTCCGACGTATTTTTTGGCTGGCCCGAAATTCTTCACCCATTATGGAACGCCACAGTGTCCATTCTTGGATTCATTATAGCGAACCCGTTCTCTTCCAGATCACGTAGCGCAATACAGTGGGTCTTCAAAGGCCTAACTGTATTTGAGGCTTTTGCACCAACCGAACCCTTCGCTGCTCGAGCTGAGAATATCACGAGATCACTTGCTGCAAAACTCAATGATGTCTTGATCAATATGGATGAAAATTCGGAGCCGTCAAACCGCGGCAGAATCACACTGGGATTGACAATGCAGCAATCACCAGACGTATCCCTAAGTACCCCATCCACAAACTCGGTTGACATACCGACGGGTCCCCTTACGGGGACTGGCCTGGAGCATACGTTTGACAATACATTTTTCACGGATGACGGGCTTTGCTCGTCGATTGGAGCACTTGAATTTCATTCGTGGGAGGGCTATCAAGACAATCTTGACATATGGACTGGCAGCCACTCAGATGGAGACTTTGACGCAATGCATGTACTTGAATAGTCACGGTTTTTGAGAAAATTGTATACGATCAGCTTATGCCGGGGTACAGTGTGTATTGATAAAGGAGTATAGAATACGGCTACTTCTTACGGGCTAGGTCTCACCTTGTCGTCCTACCGGTTAGCGACGGTGAATAAAAAATGCTTATCATGAGAAAATGAGAGAAATGAATGGGGCTATGCTTAGCCCGTTTGTAATTTGATATACTTTTTATGGCTCCGATGTTGTACCTGTCGTTCTGCATAGCCACACGTAGTCCTTAGTTTCACGCAACCCCAGTCAGATAATACAGTGGTGTTTCCGTTTCTTTCCTTCTAGAAATTAAAATCAAAAATAATTCGCAAATTCAATTTACTCAACCCAGGGGTCCCACTGTGCTCCTCTGGCTGACTAGAGCAAATGATTAGTCCCTGACACTAGTCTTTCGTCTAATGAAAGAGACCCTGAGTGGCGGCCAATAGGGTATCGAAGCTAAATCTCGTTATCCGGCTCCTAACCTTGAAGATAGCCAAGTTCTTTTGAGCGTACAAGTGGATCTGATGCGGTTGTCGCCTCTCTGACGTGCAGCAACGGATGGATCCTATACGAATGATCAACGCGAAAGCCAAGGAAAGCGGCCACTAAGCGTGGCTTGCGTCCGTTCCGTTCCAGAAGGAGGCATTCCGGAATCCTGCAGACCCTTCATGGAACAAATTGCTTTTCTTCATGTCCTTGCAGCACGTTTTGGTGGAGAGTGGGGACTGGTGGCTTTTCTCGGCGGTGTTCCTATCAAGTGCTGGGGATCATTCCTGTTTCGTTTGGAATTGAAACTCGGAAGGATTATGGCTCTATCTGCGCCACTGAAATGGTGGCAATTCCGATATAATCGTCTTGGTTGATGTGCTGGTCGAGAGCTTCTGCATGAGGATCTTCTTTAGCGTCCAGCGACAATGCGAAATCGGCGAAGTGCCGGTGCAGCGATTAATCAATTTGGGTGTGTGGTGGCATTGATTGGACACTTTCAATATTCTATTCATTCATCCAATAGTTATGCTTGGTTTCTCAGACTTTAGTAATCACTCATTCTGAGAAGAACGTGATATAGATATCCAAATGCCATCCTCATTTAGCATCATCATTGACTCTCTCTTTCCTTCCCAGGATAACCCCCCTTTCTTGATTTTTGGGCATCCACATACGGTCTCAACTATCCGTATCAAGATGAATCAAATTCCTGTTTTCGCCGGCTTGGGTTCAGATGCGCTTTTCTCAGAGCGAACTCTGGGGACTGCGGCCGAAGACGCTAGGACGCCCGAGGGCCAAATTCTATTACGAGCATGCCATGCCATCTTTGTCGAAGAAATTACCTCCGTCATGCACAGTCAGCGCCTTCCTTCAGAACTCAAGCTAGAAGACTTTCTAGAGCCTGAAAGCCTCATAAGACCGCAGGCGTGTTATCAACGGAATAGTATCATTCAACATGTATCACTATACACAATCCAGCTTTTAAGGTACCTAAGACACTCAAAGGAGAAGCCTGGTGCTCTCCTAGGTGCTGCTGGATTTTGTGCCGGATTATTGCCTTCTGCTGCTGTGGTCAGTTCTAGAAATGTCATCGAACTACTCTCTCGAGGCCAAGAATTCTTCTACGCGGCTCTGTATTTGGGTATTCACGTCGAAAGCTACAAGCAGGTTATGATGGCGGAGGAATCCCATCCACAAGATCTGCCCTGTAGCTTGATCATTGACGGTATTACGCCCCAGAGTGCTAAAGAATTGCTCGAAGAACATAATAAAGAGGTATGGCCTTTCCATGAATAGAGATAATCAACTGCTTACTTTTAAACTATAGCCTGCTACTTCCTATGTCTACCTGAGCGCCATCAACTCTTATAATTGTGTCACACTGAGTGGCAGGGGTGATCATCTTCAGAAATTCAGCGAGCGCAGTTTGCCCTCTCAATGCAAGATACGACCAACTAATATTTTCTCTTTGTATCATAATCGCCATCGGCTCGAGGGAGTCCGAAGAGATGTGCTTCAAGACCTCCGAAAGAACATACTCTCCTCCCCAGTACCGTTACACCTTATTGCCCCATTGTTTTCAAATATCGATGGAAGGCCAATTGATTCGAGCCAGGTGACAATGTTTGAAGAGTTCTGCGAGAAGCTTCTCGATATGATGATCTTGGAGCCGGTGGACTGGGTAGCGGTCGAGGATAACATTCTTGCTACTACAAAGCAATCAACCGCCACCGAGGATACTTCGTATCAAATTTTGAATTTTGGTCCTGGATACGGCATGTCGGGAGCCAGATACACCCTGCCAGACAATGTGAAAATTGTAACTGCTTCATTTGTCGAATCACCCTACTCACCACAAGGCGCCTGCGGGTTGTTGTCACCTGATGATATTGCTATCGTGGGTATGGGTGTGGACCTTCCAGGAGCCTCCAACGCGGACGCTCTTTGGCAAAACTTGGCTGATGGCGTCAATTCTTGCTCTGAGGTAAATTTCAAAATTCTGACCCTGTCTTCGTCTGTATCCCAGCTGACTCGTCTTTTGTAGATTCCCGCTTCGAGGTTTCACGTTGAAGACTTTCTTCAGAAGAAGGATGGCCGTGCTCTCAGAACAAAGTTCGGAAATTTCCTAGAAAACCCATTCATGTTCGACAATGAACTCTTCGGCATTTCCCGTCGAGAGGCCCATTCAATGGACCCACAACAACGAATCATGCTTCAGACTGCCTATCGAGCATTGGAAGATGCAGGATATGTCCCTGACTCGACACCATCTTTCTCCCGAGAAACTTTCGGTTGTTTCATTGGGAACGCTACGTTGGATTATACTGATAATCTGAGAGACGGTATTGATGTTTACTACAGCCCAGGTAGGTCATGCTTTGCTACGTGCTAGTCAATGAAATGGTATGCTTATCGGTTCTCCTTAAGGCACGCTACGCGCTTTTCAAAGTGGACGGATATCCTACATTTTTAAATGGAGTGGACCATCTATAACTCTGGATACGGCCTGCTCCTCGTCAATGGTGGCGCTGCATCAAGCAGCACGAGCGATACAGGCTGGAGACTGTCGGTCAGCTTTGGTCGGAGGTGTCAATATCATTAGTAGCCCAGACGTGAGTAATTCTCCCATCCTCCTGGATTTTCACTTTCAGATTCAACAACTTACCTAAAATGACGTTAAATGAATTAAACTTACAATGCCTTAGATGTATCTCGGGCTCGATCGAGCGCATTTCTTAAGTCCTACTGGCCAGTGCAAACCGTTTGATGACTCGGCAGATGGATACTGCAGGTCTGAAGGATGCGCGGCATTTGTGGTCAAAAAACTTGGCGACGCGATGTCTGAAGGTGACCGGATACTTGGGGTCATCAGAGGGATTGAGATTAACCAAAGCGGTCATGCGCATTCCATAACGCATCCTCATGCCCCGACGCAGGAGAACCTGTTTCAAACATTACTGAAGAAAACGCAAATTCATCCACATCAGGTGCGTTATTCCAAGCGAGCATATCTCAGTTCATCACTCAGAACTTCCCGCTTGATTAGCATTGTCGGATTTACTAACCGGTTTACAGGTCACTGCGGTTGAAACACATGGAACGGGAACACAAGCCGGGGATCCAAATGAGCTTGTCAGTATTCGTGGTGCATTTTGTAATGACCGAGATCCAGGGAATATTATCCATTTCACCTCTATCAAAGCCAACATCGGCCATTGCGAGGCCGCTTCTGGTGGTGCAGCGTTGGCGAAATTACTTTTGATGATGAGACATGGCACAATACCTCCACAGATCTCTCTGAAGACACTGAATCATAAGATCAAAGACCTTGGTACAGATGGGACCGTTATTGATCGTGATGGTGCTATTTGGGATCGGCCTTTGAAACACCCTCGGCTTGCTCTACTCAACAACTTCGGGGCGGCTGGCTCCAATGGTGCCTTGATACTACAGGAGTATCCTAATCTCAAAGCTCCATCTCAGAGTGAGGGGAAATGTGACGCTCACAGCTATCTGGTTGGGCTCTCGGCTAAAAGCACTACAAGTCTACTTGCCTATAAAGATGTTTTGGTTTCTTATCTGGAGAATCCTTCGACACAGGCTCCTCTTCGCGATGTTGCCTATACTAGTACTGCCCGCCGTCAGGTCTTTGATTATCGTATTGCTGTGACTGGTTCCACATCGCAGGAAATAGTCGATCACTTGAGAGATGCAGAGATTCACAACGTTCGCGAGTCGGCAAATCCACAACCACGTGCGGTATTCGCATTTTCTGGTCAAGGCTCTCAGGTAAGCCTACATTACAGTATAACCAAGTTTAATGATCTAACAAAGTTTTTTAGTACCTGGGGATGGGTCGCGAACTTCTAACTGCCTATCCTGAATTTGAAAAAGTGGTCCTGGAATGCGAAAGGTGGCTGTTGAATAATGGCTATCCAGGATGTCTGGATATAATCGCCTACAACGATGACCAAGAACAGCAATCTCAGTCCTTGTCACTGCTACAACAGTCTCTTCAAACCGCAGTTTTTGTCTTGGAGGTGGCACTGGCCCGGCTGCTTATTTCTCTTGGTCTTGTGCCATCTATTGTGCTTGGTCACAGGTATGGCTCCACACAGGTTTATCCTCCTACTGCTCCACAGCTAACTTGGTTAAAAGTCTTGGGGAGTATGCTGCCCTCGTTATCGCCGACGTGATTGATTTGAAAAGCGGTCTAAAATTGGTAGCGTATCGAGCAAAGCTTATGATGATGCTGTGTCAACTTGAAACCACCTCAATGCTCGCGGTGAATCTCAGCGCAGAGACTGTGAGACAACACATCAAAAACAGCCCCGAAACTCAAGATTTGTCTATATCCTGTGATAACAGTCCGACGGATTGTGTTGTTGGGGGTCCGATTAATCAACTCCAGTCTCTGAAAGCAGGACTTGGTATAATGAAGGCACGGTCAAAAATGCTCGATGTTCCAATGGCTTATCATACAAGCGCGATGGAACCCATATTGAAACAGTTGACAGAAGTCGCTAAGACGATTGAAATCTCGTCTCCGAGCATTCCCGTCATATCGCATGTATTTGGCCGCCTTATCAAACCCGGTGAAAAGGCTTTCACGTTTGAGTATTTTGCAATGCATTGTCGCCAAACCGTTGCTTTCAATACAGGAATTGATGAGCTTTCCCGTTGTGGAATGGGACGTGAAATTTCCCGATGGATAGAAATTGGCCCTCATCCGTCTTTGCTGCCCATGGTTAGCACTAGATTGGATAAAAGCACTACAGACCTTCTACCGTCATTGCGAAAAGGGACTGCAGCATCTGCTTCAATTTCCAAACTCTTATCGCATTTTTACCAAGATACCACAATGCCGAATTGGCGAAAGGCTTTCGATGAGCGAGCCACCTTGGCTACCATTCCGGCTATGCCATTCGCAGAAGAAGAGTTTGGTATTCATTATCCACATGAAAGCCTTCACAGAAACTCGGCTCAGTGTGATGAGAATGTCGATTTTCAAACTTCTCATGCTTTCTTGTCGAGGATTATTCAACGCCCAACAGAGACAAGTCGCGAGGCAATCTTTGAGACAAACATTGCGGTTTTCAAGGATTACATTGTCGGTCACCTGGTTTGTGAGCAGGCTCTTTGTCCAGCATCAGTATACCACGAGCTTGCTTTAGCTGCTTCTAAGTGGATACACCTCAATCAAGGCGAGGAGCGTGAAATCATCAGGAAACTCTCGAATGTGCTATACTCAGCACCTTTGTTGTATTCAGAAGACTCTTCTGCGGTACTTAGGATCCGCATAGCTTCCAGCAGTGACCACAAGGCAGACTACTCGTTCACCGTAGGCTCATACAATGCAGGCTCGGATCCGCAGCAGCAAACAATTCACTGCCAAGGACAGCTAAAGACACAATCCACTACCCATGCTCAAAAGTATGCAAAGCTCGTGCCACTCATGGAACGCCAAAAGGAGAGATTCTTGCGTACCGATCAATGGAGCACGCAGACCTTTCTCCGAAAGGCCATGTATGAAAAGGTCTTCACACGGGTTGTTGATTATTCTGAATTGTATCAGATGGTTCAATCTATACGCATCATCGGAGATGAGGCACTTGCGATCTGTCGCTTTCCAAACTCACAAGAAGAGACATCAGCGGCGAACACAATCCTGATGGATGTTCTTCTTCATGTTGCTGGTTTTGTTGCCAATCTCAATATTGAGAATGATGAAGTTTGCATCTGTAAAGAGGTCAAGTCTGCTACTATGATTCGAGAGTTCCCCTTCTCAGACTGCACGTTTGAAGTATACTGCAGCAACCTCGAGATCGCAGCCAGCAATGTGGTTATAGCAGATGCACATGCCGTTGACTCTAAAGGTGTCATTGCTGTATTCAAAGGCATGGCCTTTCAGCGAGTGAAACTCACCAGAATGGCCCAAGCTCTCCGCTTAACAGCTGCGAGGTCTAGTCACTCACATCAGACTGCCTCAATAGAGAAAGCCAAACCGGTAGCTTCAAAGCCTTCGGCTCCTGTATCAAAGTCTCCTCGCACATCTTTTGACACGCAACCAGCTATCAGGGACATTATTGCGAGTACCTGCAATCTAGACTCGTCAAACTTGACTGCGGGTACCAGTCTTGAGGCTATAGGTTTTGACTCGCTCATGAGTATTGAACTTGCTTCGAACTTGTCTGCGAAGCTTCATATCTCCATCGATATATCGGCTTTGGAGGAGTGTAGGACTGTTGAGGATATTGAGCAGCTGTGCGGTGATGAGGGCCAATCAGGACTCACGCCTCTCTCGGAAGCTGACACGATTGACTATGTTACAATGCCAGTGACGCCAGCAACACCAGCAACTCCGGCCACATCTGCAATGCCTGCAGATAAATTGTTCGTTGCATCCATAATTGCCGAAACGTGTGGCGCGCATATTACATCAATTAAATCCGATGTAGAGCTCGAGGCTCTCGGTATTGATTCACTGATGATGATCGAGCTAGAGGCCCGTCTACAAAGTCCATCGAGCACCAAGAAGCTTTCAACTTTGGAACTATCAGAATGCAGAACAGTGAGAGATATTGAGAGATTAGTAGGTCCATATATAGCGAACTAAGCAATGGAAGCTGTTTATATCTTTTATATCAATCCTGACATATCACAGGCAATTATAGACGACGTAAAACCAGTCCAACTTGAAGTTGATTTTTCTTCCCAGTTACCTCGCCGAATCCCTATTCAAATCCAATCTCCAGTCCCAGAACTCCAAAAGAAAGAAGTACCCGCGTCCATAAAAATGAAGATTGCGACTATTCTCAGGCTGCAAGAGCAACCCGAGATGGTGCATATAGCTCAGGATAAGGCTTCTACAAATGCTCCACTTTTTCTCATCCATGACGGCAGCGGCATATGTGTTCAATATCACCGATTGAGATCTTTCAATCGCTCAATTTATGCGATCCACGATCCCAAGTTCCTGGAATCAGAGTCCTGGTCAGGAATTCCCGCTATGGCACAATCTTATGCCCGGTTTATTGCAAAGACAACATCTGGTCCTTACATGCTCGGCGGTTGGTCATTTGGTGGTGTAGTTGCATTCGAGGCTGCTAGAGTGCTCATGGCAGAGGGGCACACTGTCACTGGAGTTGTTCTCATCGATTCACCGCCGCCAATCAATCACAGGCCACTCTCTGATAACATCATAGATGCTGTTACAAAAGGCGGTAAGAACAGAGGTGGCTTGGTTGGTAAAACTATTCGCAATCTTGTCAGGCAAAGCTTCACATCCTGTGCGAGCATGCTTGGAGCTTTTGAGCCTGAGAATACGACAAGTGCCAGGCGTCCAATCCCAAAGACTTTCTTGCTTCGTTCAAGGGATGGCTTCTACTTGAGTACGGGTGTTGAGAATGCTTGGCTGCAGGATCGGAGCGATCCTAGAATGTCTATTGAGGGATGGGAGATTCTTACAAAGACAAGGATGCCTTATATGGATATTCCAGGAGATCATTTCCAAGTTTTCGATGTTGCAAATGTAAGTCAGGCTATTTCTTTTCATGGGAGAGGAGGAAGAAGCTAAGTTTTATACGCGTAAATAGGTACAAGCTGTATCAAAGGCTATTGCTCATGCATGCGGCGAATTAACGAATGCCTCTGTCTCCAGAGCTTCAGTGTAATGTGATGATACTTGTTTCATAAACGGTGATCTTGGTTATCTTCATTACTGTTTATATCTGGGGCTGTATTATTGTTTTCAATGATTAGATAGAACATAGCTTCAAATTGAAAGATGCCTTCTTGAGAAACAAAGAAAAGTAAAAAAATTGTTTTCGAAGATGCGAAAAATGCTGCTTATATAGGATAACAACAAAGGAAAGAAAAGGATGATCACCATCATGATGCGATGGCAACGGCGTTCTTAGATAGTTAAACCGGATGATTGGGGAGAATAGAGTGGCGAGTAATTCTTAGGACGCTCACTGCTGCAGTGCCTTTTGTTTATTTTCTCTTTAATTTGTTATTTTTCCTTTGCATTTTGGTGTTCAATCCCAAATTTAATTTAGAAAAAGCAGCACTGGAGATTATAGAGGGTAGGAGGTCCCAATTCTTATATTGATGACTCGGCAGTTCTGATACTATATTCATTCTTCTAAGTTTCCCAATAAACTTCTTAATGCAAATATCATCCCTTACAGCCCACATGCAACAACACTCAGATTAAAGCCCGGCGCGTACATCACAACCTTCTTGACCTTCAATCCTACCGCTCCCACAAGCGTCGCCCATTGATCCTCGGACCGCTCCATCGAGCTATGGAACGCCATCATAGTCAAATCCGCTTGTGTAGATGGCTCATCCACGTGCTTAGTGGGCAAAACCATTTCATCAAGCAAGATAAGAGAGTCTTTCTCCAGAGCTGGGACCAGATTGGCCAAAATCTTTTTGCTATTCTCATCTGTATGGTCGTGCAAGATCATTCGCAAATAGTAGTACTTGGCACCTGTATTTATATTAGCCTCAAGGAACAAATGAAGTATTAAAGCTCATTTTCTTACCTTTAATGGGCTGTGGTTCGAAGAAATTATGCACCATTCGCTCGACGTCGCTTGGAACTACTAATTTGGCGTCCTCGACTGGCTCTGGCAGATCTTGCAGGACCACACGACCGGGCAGATTAGGGAATTTCTCCTTGAACGAGGCAGTTTGATATCCGGCGCCACCACCAACATCCACAAACAGGGGCTTCTCCGATGGCCAGCCCTCACTCTCCTTGTCAAAGGGGTAAAGCTCGAAACATTTGACTTGGGATCCGCGTTGGGCTTTCATAAAGTGATTGAAGTGAGCACTTCTCACGGGATCACCATGCACCCAGGCAAACGTGTGCAGGTCGGTTTTGTGAGCCCTTTGGAAAATACCGTCTGTGAAACTTGTGGGATTCTTGTAACCAGTTTCCGCAAGATAACGAGGCATTTCTTGATATGTTGGGTTACACATATCAAAATAGACATACAAGCCAGCTTGGATCTCGGGTTTTCCGAGGTTGGATGTATAGGGTGTTGCAACAAAGGTGTCTCTGTCAGTCTCTTTAATTACTCCAAGCGACGCCAGGTATCTTAAAATGCGACCTATTTCAGATTTAGAATTCCTGATGCAGTAAATTTTGATTGACTAAATTTCGTACTTACCGAGAAGTTGAGGGTCTGCATCGTGCTTGGCTGCCAAGTTCTCGATAGTTGAGGGCTCTGAGTTGTCAAGAATATCATTGAAGAGGTTCAAGTCAAGAGCTGTCTTGATCGAAGCAAAGTGAAGGTTCTAGCGCATAGATTTAGTATTCAGGATAAAAATTAATGTCATGTGAGACAGAGGCGAATATCTTCCAGATCAATTGAAGCAAGCCAAATCAATGTTTCCTTAGCATTGGGAAGCATACCATGTGAATAACTCTCTGCATAGCATCCTCAGGAGTCTCGATGCTGTATTGCAAGTCTCGCAAGGTGTCTAGCAGCTTTTTACGTGCTACATAACTGGCTGAAGCAGCCTCCTGCTGTATCTTTGCAATTAAGCTTTCCATGGCGAACAGTCACTTTAGTTTGTGTATAGATTTTCAAACAAAAAGAAATCGATTGAGAGAAACGCAAGAATTCCTCTCTCTTAATAGTACATTATGATATACTTTGCAATGCCATTGCAATTAACGTACCGGTAACTATTCACTGCAAGTAGGTGGATCTGACCCTTGGAGCTTTTACGTGGCCAATAGGAATGTCGATCCATTAGAAGAGATCTAATACAAAAGTACCTGTCAAATGACGAATGCCGAATTCGGAGCGTTTCACTGGGTCTTCACGGGACCCGGTATGATCGTAGGAAATACCTTATCCCAGTGCACATCAATCTTTTGGCACCACAGATACGACGGAAGAAAAATCAAAAGCTTGAAGCAGATATGCCCGAAGGAGACATTCCCAAAGGAGATGATCCATAAGGGGAAATAGATCGGCGAGTGGAGACGTGCGGGTTGCGGGCCGCGTGAACCCTTTCGATCCAATCCGAGGGACCACTTTGATTCCTTTAGTCTGGTGGTCAAGTAAGAATATTCTTATCATCCCTTACGAGACCTCCACTCATATTTTTATAGAGAGCTTGATTTGATTCGTTTAGCCTTTTCTTCCTTCGAAATTCCAGTTCCTCGAAAAACGTCTCTTTATTTGTCTCTTTTTTCCAGGTGCCTAATAGTAACGTAATCTAACGTAATCGGTAAGCGAGCGGCGCATAACTTATAAGCGAGCGGCGCAGCTAACGCGAAAACGCGACAGTTCACTATCGCCGAGGGCATTGCCCAAATGGAATGGCAAGATTATCTCATCTACTGGTCGCTGTCTTGTTGCTGTATCACGACGTTACTGATTTCATGTCTGATTATCCCAATGGATCACAGCTGGTGCAGGGATGCATTTGGAAGGATGCGACGAAGGCATTTTTATGATGAGGATGACCACGTGCATTCGCCTTGTGCTGAGACTTTGATGGGAAATATGCGAGTTGCTGTTACTTGTCGATAGGAAGGGCTTGATGAAAGGAAGAAAGCAGAGACGAAATGAAGTAGGAGGTAGACTGAATTTGGAAATTAATTCTATACTTGGCAGATAGCCAAATTTCGCTGAGGACCTTGGAAGATATCTGAGAATAAGTGGGTAGCTTTCGGGAAACTCATTCTTTCAATTGTTCTGCAAGTTTTTGAACTTGTCAATCGGACTATATACAAGTAAGGATATAATAATAATGAATGATACATTCTCCCCCAAGTAAAAAGTGAGACTTGAATCACGATGATTGCTGTTCAAGATGTTTTCGCTGAAACTCCATAAGCTTCTCCACAAAACCCTCTGCTCTCTCTGGAAGAGACATAAGCTTCAAAGCGTGGTCCAAGAGTCCCCCCTTCTGATTATTGATCTCTCTATAATTCCCTCCCCAGCTGTATATAATATCCCCAGTACGCTCTTGGTCCGCGAATAACAAAGCAACGCTCCGAGCAACCACCTCCGGAGTTTGGAGAGGAGCACCAACTTTTCTGAGCAAAGCTACGAAAGCAGAAAGGAATTCCGTATCTGTCCACGAAGGTGCAACACAGTTGACACGGACTTGCCCCTTCATCTTACCGGAGAGACCGCGAACCATACCCACCACACCGTGCTTGGACACCGCATAGTCTGTGGCTGGGAAGTTCTGGAACGCAGCCACAGAAGCAATAAGCACAATGCTCCCTGTGCCGGTTGTTTTATTCGTAGCAAGCTGAGTCATATAGGCGATCGCAAGGTGTGCAGTATTGAGTGAGCCGGTAAAGTTCACATCGACTGTTTGGGTATTCGGTGGTAGCAAGAGGCCATTTTCATCGAGCTTCACCTCCATGAAATCAGGAGTCATACTAAGTCCCGCACCGGCGAATACATGGTCTATGCGACCGAGCCACTTTTCTGCTTCGATGAATAGATTTCGGAGACTTTCCCATTGCACTACATTGGTTTGCACGAACTTGAGGTTGTTGGCGTTTTCAAATGGAGTCTGTGGAGAATTCAAATCACCAATTACGACGTATGCGCCCAGGTCAAGACAGAGTTGCGCAGTGGCTCTTCCAATTCCAGAGGCCCCACCTGTCCATGTTAATTAAGTGTGCTTTAATTGCTTAATGGACAACATACCGGTGATCAAGATGACTTTCTCTTGGATACCAGTCAAGTTCTCATCCGAAATAAGCAGATCTTCCATATTGGGCTTGTAAAGAATGAATACTTCGAGGAGGGGTTGGATTGGTTCAGGATTTTGAGAACTGGAAGATTGAATGGGATCGATCGGAACTTATAATATATCTATTGTGGCTTATAGTCGCACTTCTAAGGCTTCGTGAGCGGGAGTAGTTCACATGGCAACCCAACCCTCCTGTACCCTACTAGGTGGCTGGTCCAATGAGGTCACTTCCCCTCGGAGAAATTACTAGTATAGAGTGTGTGCTTCCTGTATACCCTACGCAATCGTGCAGAACAGCTCCCCACTGGGGCCAAGGGGCTGTTAGCGTGGTCGGATGTTAGCGATTCCAGCCTTGCTGAGACTCTTGATTGCGAATTAGGCCTGCCAATTCCAATGTCATCATATGTCCCGGCTTTTGTAAGTGGCCCCCAATTTCACCCCTGTCAGTCTCTAGTAGCTGTTTGGTTGGTGCTTCAACCCCTCATTTATGTAATGTTCATGGGGGAAGATTCCCCAAGGCCACGTATGCCTATATGGAGGAAGTTACAGGTCGTTTAAATCGAGGAAAAACCGAAAAAATGAGGTCAAATTGGAATATGTTAAATATGATACATACTTCATCACCATAATGTTTTGTAACACGTTTTATCCGACAATTTACTAAAAGAGCACTGCCTTACCGAGACTCAAAAGGTAGGAGCTTGCGCACATTCTCCCTCCCTTTTGATTTTCTCTTAAAACGGCAAAAGGACCGAGAATATGTGTCCTGCAGTGATGCGACAAGGATAAAATCCTGAATCGAAGAGATGGATTGCGCTGAAATTGGGGGCGGGGGGGGGATATGTATACCCTGGTACAACACGTCAAATCTTTTTGAAATATACCCTGTACGCGCACGGCTTTATGAGGTTACATTGTTGGTTGTGAATGAAGGTTGCAAGGATTTAGAGTAGCAACTACAACATTGATAACTTTTCTCTAACAAAAGTACTTCGCTGAAGCTAAGGAAAATGAGGCTAAGAAATAGAGGAAGTCACGCACATACTCGTGCACAGTCCCTCGTCGGGAAATCCACTAGATATGTACCTCTTAGGGGTTCCCTACCACTACTTAATTAGGCTTAATGCTGTGTGCCTGCTAGGAAAGCCCATACCTAGAAGTAAAGAACTCGGTCGAACGCAATTAGCAGATTGATTGAGCCCCCACAATGACTGTTGTCATCGGTCTGCACGCAGGGCTTTTCATTAACACAGTCCCTCCGTCTTTTCTTCAAACTGTGACTCCTACTTCGAGATTTTTGGTTCTAGCTTCTTTTCGTACTCAGCACCATGGACTCGATATCGCCGGAGCGAATGCGAGAATATTGTGGCGACCGTCTTCGTGATGTTGCAATCGCTTTTTTGGTTCTCCAGACCATCGCGATCGTGCTGCGCTTTATATCTGTGCAAATGAGGGGGACACGCTTTGGCATAGATGATATTCTGGCCATTCCTGCGTATATATGCTGTCTTGGTCAGATAATTCTCTCATTTGGTATGTATAGTTTGACTCTCCGTTTATATTCAATCGCCGCAGTCTAACCATCATATTCACCTGGGCAGTGGATATCAACTACGGCCATGTAGGCTACCATAGGGATGCAGTCGTATTGACTGACCCCCAGGCTATTACCCCCTGGGGTAGATGCACATATGCTAGTCCAATAATTTGGGCCGGCGCATGTTGCTTTCCGCGTATCATGCTCCTGACCCTCTATTTGCGGATCTTCGAAAGGCATCGGAAATATCGTATCGCATGTTATAGTCTCATGGTCCTGGTTGTGACCTTTGCCATTGCGGATATATTTGCAGGTGCTTTCATATGCTGGCCCATTCACTATTTATGGGCTGAGAGTCATGATGGCCACTGCATTAATATCTGGAAGTTCTACCGCTATGGCACATTACCTAACATCATCATCGATGTCTTCATGCTCATACTTCCAATGCCTGTCGTCTGGCGCCTTCAAGTTTCTAGACAGGTGAAGATGGGTCTCGGTGCGACATTTCTCACTGGTAGCATGTAAGACTCCAAGCCTCAAGCAATATGAACCCTCCAAGAACAAGTTGCTGATCCATTTTTAGTGGCCTAGCAACATCAATCGCGCGCACTGTAACCTTTTTTAAGCATGACCCCCTTGCGGATGCCACTTGGATATCCGTGACGTTTCTGATATGGAGCATTGTTGAACCTGGGGTGTATCTGATTGCTGCTTGTCTTCCTTGCTACCGCCCCCTCATAAAATTCATACTGGAACGTAACCAAAAAGCAACCAGCACTCCATACCGTGCTAAAGGTCCAAATGACCTTTCACTAAAGAGCTCCTACAGCGCTAGGAAGGATGAAAGCTTTCATGCCGGGTCGACGAGGCCCCAGTCTGATATTGAGATGGGTACACCGGTGCGGCCTAGAGTTGCTTCGGGCCATGAAAGCGATGAGCAAAGCCTGATCAGCTATAGGATCTGATTTCTCAAGCTCACAGTGAAATTATTTCAATTGTTCAGTGTCATTTATTGATACTTGAGGCTATGCGTTCCAATACTTATGTTGCGTGGGCGGATAAAATATACATACTGATCAAGGGAGAGCTAGTTTAACTGCGGCAATGACGCGTAGATTAGGAATCCATTACCGAGATCCGGTTATCAATTTGATCAGCCTCTACTGTTTAAGCCAAATATCCAACACATGGCTAAAAGGGTTACATTTGGCGGTAAAAATGATAAGCTCATCAAAACTAAAATTAGAGTGCCCAAAAATATCGAAATCTGGTAGAATTAGAGGCTCATTATTTTATTAAAATACTTTCATAAGCTTGGACTTCTCTCCATATCAGTAGAGACGTAGGTACCCTATCACATTATTGGCCTCAAGCACAAACCTACCCTTAGCAGTAGCTCAAAATTAAGGTACTGCATGACCCCGGGAGCTTTAGAGGATAGAGTAAATCGCATTTCACCAATGAGTTTACTGTATTCAAGTACCAGACTTAGAAGTTCAACGCTCGTTCTTTCAATATTCCAAATTTTTTTCTGGCTGTTTCTGCCAACTTTATACGATATCGTAGATCCATGTCTCTACTATTTGGAGTTTACAAATTATATAGTTTCAAGTCAGTACCAACACCATGATCCATGTCACCTCATCTTGTATGTAACAGGTAATTATCTGGGTTATAGGAACGACAGTAGATGATTACATCGTGGAGGATCTGGAGGGATTGCTGAAAACTTGAATGTATGATAATTGGTGGTTCGACGCCCGAGAAAGAATGAGGGCTCCAAATTTGTAGAAACATGTAATCAGATGAAATATTTTATACAATGGGTCTTTGAGAAGATAAAACATTTTAACCTTTAGGTATACCACTCCAATAAAAGCTTCTTAAATTATAACCTAGCGTTTCCGAACTTGACCAGTTTCTGTTTTTAGCCCAGAAGAAATACCAGTCACAGGCTCCTCATCAGCATGTGAACCATTAGCTAAATCCTTATCCACACCATTAGCCTTAGCAGCTCTTGTGGCTGCTGTAATATCCTCAATTAGGTATTGAAGCTCTGCATTAGTCGGCTTAGGTCCAGCAGAAAGATTTGCTTCTCTATCCCAACGCTCCCTCGTGTTCCAAAAATTGTCAATCAATCGCCGAGTCCAAAATGAACTTTGCATTTTTGTGACAGCAAATTCCCAATCAGTCGTGTATTCTTTGAAGAATGGCTTGTATCCTAACAACCCCCCGATCCACCGACCGATAACCACACTGGTCCAGTAGCCCAGGAAAAGCCGACAGGGCATCCATGCTGGCGCTGGAGTATAGTGTCCACCTGCATCAAGCATCTATGATCCATTAGTGTTTGTCCTATATAGATAAGGTTATGGGAAGCCTAACTTGTAACTTTTGAATGAAATCAAGACCACCTTCGTAGAGCAGTGCGTCATGCCAATATCCGTACCAATTCTCAAAAAAAAGTCTGTCAAGCTGGTTGTCGATCCCAGCATCTGTACCACTCAGCAGCACTGTCATAAATTCGCCGGAATCGGGATGAATGCTGAAACGATGGATATGGTTCGCTTGGAGAGAGACCTCCCCATCTTCTGGAGTAAGGTTACGCGTCACACCATCAACCTCAGCAACACAGATACCGTGCTCGACGTGGAAGAACTCGTTCTGGTATCGGTGGAAATGCATGGCAGGGCCATCTGGCCGCTGGGGACTATCGATGAGCTTTCGCAACGTTTCTGGGATTGGTCCTTCCACGTCCAGTCGGTAAGTTTGACGCATCATAAAGCTTCGGCCTGGGGGCGGCTCTACCCATTCAACGGTAAGGAGACCACCGAATCTGCAATTGGTTGATATTAGCTTCAATAATCGAACCGGGCAGTTTCCAACTTTTCTTGTTAGGAGAGTATATCACACTACACGTACTTCCGAATAGTCTTCGACCCAGCGGATACATGGTAGGGCACAAAGGGAGTAAGAAACCCCATCTTTTTAATCGACTAAGTGCGGTCGTAGCAGTGTTGAAAACAAAAAAAATTCGTGATGAACTAGAGAAAACAGCTCAATTGTAGAGGAGCAACGAAATAGCCACACTGGGTGAGACACTAAGTCGGTCGCGGCTGGATTGGCGCATTTACATTGCCCACGCACCATCTTTATTATTATCGCAGAATATTTTTAACCCCACTCAAAGGCAGTAAGAAATACTTGTGGTTCGTAAATTCAATTGCATCCGACTGTTCCTATTGGTTTTGATCCCAACGTGGTAGGTGGGGCTGTCCTTATCCATAACGGGCTTGACACCACTAGATGCCTATCGTGAATGTCACGCCAGGTCTCCCCGAGCCCCTTCGAGAGACAAGTCTCCATTCTCCCCTGGCGGGAGCAGTCCGTAAGTGGTGGATATTTCGATAAGCAATAGGTATGGTTTGATTGTCTACCCCGCTCAAATCTATGGCAAAGTACTAGAGGTGATTAAGGCCAGAAGCTCGGTCTCCCAGAGTGTTACCCGTGTAAATATTTTGTTCATTCAGATGATACGCCAGGATTCCGCTGTCGTTGCGTCTTTTCTACCATTAGAATTTTGAGTATTTAGCTGGTGCGGAAAATGGTACGTGTTCTTGTCTTGGTTATTGTCCAAGAAGTTAACCCCAGTGCTCTCTAGGCGGTTCAAGTTGAAGAAATTGGGCTGCATATCATCGTTGTCGGTGCAGGTCTCGCTGGTCTTTCTGCTGCAATATCCTGCGCATTATCCGGTCATTCTGTTACCGTTTTAGAAGCAGTAAAAGAACTTGCAGAAGTAATATATGACTGCCTATTCAGATCAAATACCATTATATTAACATTGTCTTACTTAGGTCGGTGCGGGGTTACAAGTTACACCTAATGGCTCGTGCCTTCTCAAAGCCTGGGGTCTTCCTCAAAAGATGTGGGAACAGGCAGCTGAACCATCTCAGTTGACGGTGCATCGATATTCTGGAGAGGTTCTAGCCCATGAGGCTGACTTCGATAAGAATACCCGAAGGAAATACGGCGGGCCTTTCCTCGATTTACATAGAGTTGACTTACAGCAAGCTTTGTATGAACGGGCTAAGCAGTTAGGGGTTATATTTCATCTGGACGAACGCGTGCAAAATGTTGATTCCTCAGTGCCATCGCTGACTACTTCTTCGGGGCTTGAATATCACGCTGACCTCATAGTTGGAGCTGATGGTTTATGGTCACGAACTCGAGAATGCTTCCTGGAGGCTGCTGATCCGCCCAGGCCCACAGGAGATTTGGCGTATAGAATCGTTCTATCGTTGGATCAAATCAAAGAGCCAGCTTTACAAGATTGGGTTCGCCATCCAGAACTCCATTTTTGGATCGGCCCTGGGTGCCACGCCGTGGGATACTCCTTAAAAGCAGGCAAAATGTACAATCTTGTACTGCTTGTCCCGGATGATCTACCGGCTGGTATCAAGAAGCAACCTGGGAATGTCGAAGAAATGAGACTACTATTCGAAGGCTGGGACCCTGTGTATGCAGAACTTGACCCACCGTGTTGCATTCCGAAATTAATGGCTAACTCAATTGAAGTCTTACTCAACTTTTAGGCTACGTTGACAAAGTTGACAAATGGAAACTTATGCATAGTAAGGAAACAATAAGCCCCACTGCTGTCATATTAGGCTAACTGTGTTGTGCTACAGGAGAGGAGCTACCGACTTGGATTAACGAAGCTAACAATTTTGTCCTGATGTAAGTCTATCTGCACGATTCTTAAAAATTCAGAGTCTTGATTAGTCAAGTAACATTCCACAGCGGCGATTCCTGCCATCCCATGCTCCCATATCTTGCGCAGGGCGCTAATTCTTCCATGGAAGATGGAGCGGCCCTAGGGACGATCTTAAAGTCCGTCACAAATAAGGCACAACTTCCGAATGCTTTGCATATGTTTGAGAAGCTACGAAAAGTAAGAAGTGAGACTATAGCCAGGGAAACATTCAAGCAGGTATGTGCCTTACTCTTCGGATCTTAGACTTTATACCCTATGAATTTTCAAATATGGACACGGACTGACTTTGGAGCTTATTAACTATAGAGGAACGACTTTCATATGAAAGACGGCCCTGAACAAGAAGCACGAGACAAAATATTCTCATCACAGCTTGGAAAAGAGATTACTGGTGCTTTCCCAAGCAGATGGTTTGTTTCACCCGAGGCAGTCCAAAGTGGTTCGTTTCTAACTACAGATAGGACATGCCCCGTTGTCCAACCATGGATATATGGGTATGATGCGATAGCCGAAGCCAAAAAGGTGCTTCAAGGCAGTGAATCGTTCAATGTTAAAGAGAGGATTGTTTTCCAAGAAGAAGTTTCTGCCCTAGAATGCAATAGCCAAGGGGAGAGTCAGAACCAGTCGTTAATATCGAGGGGGTCAGGATGGAAGATTTAAAACAAGCTCATATGGTTTAAACTATTGTCAATCTGCGGTACCAATCTAGTATCGGAGATACTAGGCAAAAACCTTGGCTTTCAATTAGTCTTAGTCCGCCACCTCCATTTATCTATTCATCAATCAAGAGATGTGTATTCTTGAGGTCCTCTTTTGTTGATACAACCACGCCAATATGAGGAGCAGAGTTTGGAAAGGTTTCTGCCATCCATGCTCCCAGAACATTGTCTACCACTGTTTCACGCGAAAGATATCACTCCGAGTGGGAAAAATGGAGGTGTGGCACCCAGCATCCCTGGGCGTCAAACTAGAGTCTAGATTTGAGTGTATTCCTTTTAACAATACAGTAGACCACATACCTGAACTCTCACACGCTCTTTATTATAAACACAGCCAAGATGGATTGAAACCTTCAGCTTTGTTGGTGGCCGAGCAAAATTAATGGTATAGGTCGAGGAGTCGCTCTCTGCTAGGGAAAAAGGAGAGAAAATCCTTACGTCAGATATAACTATCAGGCGCGAGATATCAGCCTGGCGAATCTCAGCTATTTTGGCTTCAAAGGGCCTTGTGGTTGTATTTAAGATCCAATCTGGCATTTTATTGAAATGTCGGAAAGCTAGATCAATAATGCCCACTCCGTCACTTCTGATAGCGAGATACTTTTCATCGTTTAGTTTGAAATCCTTGTATCTGATTTTGAACGTCTTCTTGGTATTTGCTATATCTTTCTCTGGTAACATTGACGGTTGCCAGAACCGCATGGGTTCCAGAGTACCGGGAATATGTCTTGTCTTTACCACAATGGGATCCTCAAGACGACTGATGTATGTACGACTACCGAGAATTGTGAGATGAATCTGAAGAATATTGGATGTCAGTAAGACTGTATTGGTGATCAGCCGATAGCTGGGGATAAAGGCAGGACGAAGGGCTGATTTCTCGAGTTGCGCAGCAACTTTCATAACGAATAAAAGACGACCGGCATCGTATTGCAGAATCATATTCCATATTTCCGGAGGAAGTATTTGATATAGCGAGGGAGGGAGTGGCTGATATGCGACAATGGTAGAGGACACTTTCAATTTGCTTGTTGCTGACGGAGCACTATGGACAAACCCACCTTTGAGACTCACAGGGGAATCAGACCACACATCTAAAACTGTAGGTTCTACTAGATCCATGAGTGAGCCCAGCATCTCTGGTGGTATGTATTTGATAATATCTCGACATGGTTGATGAAGGACCCATAACCGAGGGCTGTAGCTCAATAGGGGATATATTTCCCCAGTTAAACGTCTCTTCAAAGTATCGGAAAGATTGAAACCTTCTGGTTTAATTTTGTTTGTTCCATAGTCAATGCAGAACACTTGATAAGAGGTTGGGAGGCTTTCGACCGCTTTGGGCATAGAGAGCAGTGAAAGTAAGAGAACTTAGCCATCTTGAAATCCAGCTGAATCACAGCGAAGGTTCAAAAGTTCAAGAGACTGAAGTAATAGACTACAATTGAAGGCAGTTTTCTGGTTCTTATATAGATCCTCTATTCTGCTTATAGCTTGGTCCGATAGTCCCGTTCATAACTTTGGTGCGACACTCCAGGGCTGCAGCGCCCTCAATGCGTTCCATACTAGTTCAGTAGACTCTGAGTGTGTAACATCAATGCTCACTCCCACATAGCTGGTGCATATAAAAATTCAATATGCAGAGTAATCGTTTAGGTGCGTCTCTGCCTAAATAGGGACAAGCATGATGGCACAATTGTCGAGGATTGCAACTGCAACTGTCACCACCTGGACAGAATCCGGATTAAGTAAGGATTTCCACGGGTGTGTGCAGAGGTTTCATCTTTTTTGAAGGATATCAAATAGTTTACAATAATTTTACTTCCATTTGTATATGAACAAGGGCGTTTCCTCTAGGGCTGCAACCAGGATTTGTTTAGTCTGCCAGGGTCCTCAATAGACCTCAAAAGCCCTATTCATTTTGAAATCGGCTCTGCTTCGTATCAATCAAAGTTTGATTTTCGCCATGCTGCCCCGGTCACCTGGAGGATCTGATCGCAACGAAAAAAATTGGAAATCTGTTGACAATGCTAAAACTACGTACGAAGAGGGGCCGTGATTTACCAATGCTAATGATGATCTTGTGGGGCGCTAAGTGGAGTTTCCCGCCTTAGTTCCTTATCAGCGACGTAATGGTGGAGATGTCTCATGGTAGTCGAGACATGGAATATCTGAGAGAGAGGGAATTAAATTTGGATAAAGACAAGAGATGTAAGCCGTGGGCTAAGTGAAGTGTAAGAAGACGTGACAACCGCCTTTTAGTGTTCAAATGTTAGGTAAATGCCGAAATGTTGCGTCACCTCAATATGTGATTAACCCCGCCAGGTCAGGCTTATCAACTCTATCCAACGGTCAACACACCAAAGAAACTCATCTTTCCCCTCTTTCCTCTTCCCCCCCTTTTATTGTCTCTTTCCAAACCAAAACTGTCTCTCAATATCCACAACCTTCTTCCAAATCTTTTCTCTTTATCTATCAACTATTTCCCCCACCCCTGAAGCCGTATCCTGAAGTCAGGTGCAGCTAACAGGCAACTACTCCCCCGCGGGACCCACTATTCGGGGCACATGCCTCCCGTCTCCATCGTTCTTGTATGTCGTCTTCCCTTTCCTCTTGGCTTTCTGTTTCTTCCTCGTTAAACTGTGGTTTCTCCTTCCTTTATATCTCTAACAGAAGATCCACCGTACCTCTATGAACCTGAAGACATGTCTGACGCTCCAGAGTCGTCGCCCAGGCGTCCAACGAGCGCCCACGCTACCTCTCACCTTCAATACCCGACCCTCCCGCCGCTAAGTGCTTCTGTGGAAGAGTGGTTATCCCGGTCACGTCCTGCCAATACCATGTCCTCCGATAGACTGTTGGAACCCTCGCCTAAGTCTTTGGGTGACAGCTGGGCAACGCTCAGCTTGTCAGACCTACATTCCGAGGATGGCAGTCGCTCGGAGCAGACGGATATGGGCTCTTTGATAGACCAAGCCACCCCGGATGATGTGGCCAGTCTGGATGAACGCTATAGCAGCAGTGACGTCGGTGATCCAGACCAAGATGATACCCCCGAAGACGATTATGACGACGAATACGAAGACGGCCAACCTAGGACCTACGACACGAGCTCTCAACATTTTCCAGGCTTGTTCAGCCCCAGTAAGACCATCGACGATAGCAACATGACTGCCAGACCCACCCACGGATCGCAGATGGATTCGATCGAGTTTGTGGAGCCCGAGAAATGGCCTGAGATGCAGCGGGTAGAACTCAAACATACTATCCACGTCTTTGAAGAGCCGGAAGCTTCGGAGATGAGAGCTCGTCTGCCATACTGTTCGCCTGAATCCATTCTTATGGTGACCGTCCAGCAGACCATGACACAACAGAGTCTGGCGATAGACAAGCCCTTCCGTGTCCTGTACATAGGGCAGTCGGATTGCCGGAATATTATCCTAGACAAGCTTGGTGATATTCTCGTGTCGAGCTCGTCCTCAGGATCACAAACCAGCTCTGCTGAATCCTCCCGATATCATGTTGTACCAACTTCGTTCGGAGCTGGAGCGATACCCAACTTTGCAGAGCTTCTCCCCATTCATGTTCAGCTTGTGGTCGACGAATGCGTGGGGGCTGCAGAGACTCTCCATGGAAGCCAACCTGGAAATCTGAATTTGTCATTCAAAAATAGGCCCTCGTGTCTATCCCGTTGGAATGGAGATGAATATCTTGTATCTTCTTCATCGGAGTGGACTTTACCAGATGTCGCTGTCTTATTCGTATCTAGCCGAGATGATGCGACGGCAGTCCAAACCAGAACCATTGCCCACACTTTCCTAGAACGACATGGAATTCCGGCCATGGTCATATCGGACGAGCCTCTCTGGGAGAGAAATGCCGAAACTGTCCCCTTAAATGAAAGCAGTCTTCACATTTGTCTAGAGACCCGGCATACAAAAACCGGTGAGCCAATAATTTTGCGTCGTTACCCGATTGATCTGAAGACATTCGAAAGCATAACGCCTAGTCAACTCAATAAAAACCTGGCTTCACTTATGGATCTGTACCCAAAGAAGGCCCACAAAGTCTCCACAAATGTTTCAAATCTAACAGAAGCTGAGCGCTACTCATTTATTGACACCGAGAAATATCCCTTCAACTGGCTTGTACCGTTGTGCAATTCTCGAGCTCCACAACTAGGTGCAATACTACGTCTTGCCACTTTGACACTCATTTCTGCAATTGCCCTTTCTCTTGGATATGCAGCACTGAAAGCCATTGTCATCTTTATGGTGCAATGGGTCGCTAGCTCAGCGCTTGCTAGCGGTTCCGCTGCAACGCCGATACCAGTTATTCCATCAAATGATCAGCCTTTGGAGTACATAGCACACAAATCTCTCGCTACACGATCTCCGGGGGATGTAGAAAGTGTTTATGATCCCGCTACAATTTGGCCAGCCACTGAATCGTCTATCGCACATATTATTGCGACTTCAAGTTCACCCATACCAGGCGATCATTTTGAAATTCAAGTAATTGGGGACTGCCATGTGGTTATCAGGCCCTCTCGCAAACTCGGATTTTCGAGGAAGCAGCCAAAATTCACGGTTGATGTTCACCGAGACGGCAAAGCCCTACCACATGAGCTATCTGAGATATTTGAGGGCGTCTACTCCTTACGCTTAGAACGAGAGGATGCGTATGGCTTGGTCAATATGACTATTGTTGCACAATCTAAGTCACGAGTCAACCAAACAATCCTCCTTGACTTTGGGACGCCATGGCTGAAGATTGCGAATTGGAGACAAGCAGCTCAAAGGGTTTCTTCGAAATTCACGAAAGATTTGCAAGTCGCCCAAACTGGGTTGTCAGAAGTGTACGGTCGATTGTCAACAGATCTACAAGTCATCATGGGGGACGTGGTCAAAAGATCCCATTTTGTACGCAGCGATGCTGAGCGTCTCCGCCATGAGAGTCTACGCGTCCGTGACAGCGTCTTGTCTCGATCTAAGCAGATCTCAGAAATAATCACACAGAATGCTGTCCAGCAATGGCGAAGTGCGTTCTCAATTCTACATAGTCGCTCCGTTCATGTTAATCAGGAGGCTAAAGGGCTTCTCAGTGATGTTTGGGGACGTCTAGGTAGGTCAGCACCCCAAGTAGATATGGGATCCATGAGAGATCGAGTACGCAGTGCGAAGCGTGCTACGCTGGGTAAAGCCCATACTCGCGCACGCAGCTTCCTGGAGCATGGGCGCGCAGGAAAGGAGGGTTCCGATGACAGTGCAGGTCGCTGAATGAATCGATTTCTTACCGTCTCGCGTTATTACACATGCGCTTGCTTATTCATGACCTCGCTATGATAGGATGTTTTGTTTTCGGCGATTAGGCTGGGGAAGGGCAATGGGTTCAACTTGTGGATTCAATGTGGCGTACTTTGCTTTAGCTGTGTGTTTTCTGCTCCTTTTGCCTCTTTTTCTTTTTCTTTCCTTTCCCCCTCTCTCTTTATGTTCCCAGGGTGACCATAGTTGTCAAATTAATCCTACTGTCCCCCACATCTAATGATCTGTTGGGCCTATCTCCACTATATCAACTAGGCGCAACCCCCCTCGCGTTCTTTACAGTAAAAGAAATCGTTGACTAGGCCCAAAAGGCGGTGGCAAGATTCTGCCCCCGCCCACCCAAACTATTAATTTTTCCCCCCTCATTGTCACTCTCTGTAATCAACAAACACAAATCTTCCCCTGAAATTTACGCTTAATTAGGTGGCCCATCGTCGCCTACCTACTCCTCCATCCTTCCTATCAAATCCTGAAAATCACGACATCCACATCCATCATGTCTGACGTCGCGGAGACCAAGCCCGACCCCACCACCACCGCTCCTGAGGAGCAGCAGCCCGAGACCACCGCCACTGGTGAGGGCGAGAAGACCGTCACTGAGGCTGCCGTCGACACTGCTAAGGAGGCTGCCGATACCGCCAAGGACGCTGCTGTCAAGACCTCTGACAGCGTTTTCTCCATGTTCGGTGGTGGCCCCAAGAAGGAGAAGAAGGAGGATGAGGCTGAAGAGGGCGCCGAGGAGCCCTCCGGCTCTTCCAAGGCCCAGAAGACCGAGGAGGTGAGTCGACTTTTCCTTGCAGATGTTTTATTGCACCCGGGGACCTTGTGCATCAATTTTTGGTGGCCACAAAACAAAGAAAAACAATGGGGCGCGGGGCTCCCGCCTAGCCCCGCGTCTTGTGTGGTGGCGGCCAAATGACCATCTTTATATCTTATTTTGTCCCCGTGGTGATATCCTAGCAAATCTCAGTTGACTAATTGAATCTTTGATAGAACGATGAGGAAGCCCCCGAGTCCCCTGATGTTCACTTCGAGCCCGTCATTCGTCTGACTGAGAAGGTCGAGACCAAGACCAACGAGGAGCTAGAGGAGCAGGTCTTCAAGATGCGCGCCAAGCTCTTCAAGTTCGACCGCGAAAGCAAGGAGTGGAAGGAGCGTGGTACTGGTGATGTCCGTCTGCTGAAGCACAAGGAGAACCAGAAGACTCGCCTGGTTATGCGTCGTGACAAGACCTTGAAGGTCTGCGCCAACCACTACAGTAAGATAACTCGCCCAAAGTCTTTATTCTTGCTCGATTATGGATGATTAATTTGATTTCGCAGTTGTTCCCGATATGAAGTTGAGCCCCAACGTCGGCAGTGACCGTAGCTGGGTGTGGAACGCCGCTGCCGATGTCAGCGAGGGTGAGCCCGAGGCACAGACCCTGGCCATCCGTTTCGCCAACAGCGAGAGTGAGTCTATTTCTTTGAGACAACATCACTAAGTATGTTTTGACTAACGATAATTTCTAGATGCCAACCTCTTCAAGGATGCCTTCGAGAAGGCCCAACAGGAGAACGAGAAGATCTTCAGCAGCGAGCAGTAAACTATTGTTTTACCTTTGTCAGCTCCTGAACTCCAACAAAGGAGTATGAGAATTCACGACCGTGATGCGCGCTCCGCACCGACGGCTTCTTGCTTTGTGGACCATGACCTTTTTGCTCACTCCTAACAATCGTCCCCTTATCACCACGCCATGTCTTCTCCTATTCACACACCCCATATTCAATTCCCAATTACCCCCTTCCCCTTCCCCTTCTCTCAACTGGACAGGCGATTCAGCAGTGATGAAGATGCTGTTCGCACAGATATCGCAATGCGATTTATGAAATGGAGGTCAAATCCCCGATGTCTTTGGTCCCACAGTCGACAGTAGATAGACATTTTCCCATCGAATATACACCCTGCACATCACCCACAGAGCCCCATGAATATATAGGTCATTTTTTGTACTTGTAAACTAAAAAGACTCCAAAAAAAGAAGCTCTTCTGCTATTAAGGCTGTTTCAACTATCAATATAGGTAAATCGATACAAAGCGCAGGATATATGGATCTAGTCTCTTTGTAATTCTACCTTTTTGTGTGAATGAATCCGTCCCATGATTATAAATAGCTGAACATAGGAAACCCCTATTTGACTGTTTTCAAACTCAGCATCATCCATCATTCAATCAAAACTATCAAAGAGTGGTGTTTGTGGAAATGATAGCGAATACCCAATGGCCTCGGTGAATAGGCGGTAGTGCTTCGGTCTCCCTTCATTCAACCTCATTCCTGCCCGCTTCTTTTTCTGCCCCTTCAGCATTACACAAGATTGGACACCGCCAGCTATTTATCAACGCGACATATTGTCCCTATTATACTCTGAGCCTTGGAAGGAATATTCCTGCTCCATCTGCAACGACCAAAATTACCTTAGCGCGTGATATTGGAATCCGAAACCTAGCGCATTCTCCTCCGCTCGCACCCACCGCTACGCATCTCCAAACTTCTACATCTCTGGGCTCTTGATCGTTCAAGCCCCAAACACGTCGCGTCCATTCGATCTAGAATTTTCCAGGACTATAACCCCATCATGCCTGATGTAAGTTTCATATTCTTGTGTTCCTTCGTCGTCATGCGATGTCAAGCTTGATCAATGGCAGTCCACCTGCACGACAAAGCTTCCCCTCCCCCTCGCACACAGAGTCATCTATACTCTTTACCCTAAATGGGCTCTCAAAATCAGCGAATTACAGCGTCTATATAATCGGGTAGCTTTTATACTAATGCTCATTCTCTGCTCTAGGTCAAGCGCACCGTCCGCCTCGTAACAGAGCAGCATATCATGTACGTGCTCCGCATGCGAATCCTCCCCACCAGCCCAAGAACACGATTGAACCCCTCCACCCATCATAATCATCACCAAAGAGGTGGATATATTGCTGCATAAAGCTCCCTTCATCTTGAATGGCCGAGCATATGCACTCTTCAATAAGATTATTGCCCTCGGACGGTCCAGATCTGCCCCCACAAGACCGTGGCTTTCATGAACTCGCCTCGATATCTTCTCTACTTGCAGCACGTGCGCTGACTCGTCTTCTATAACAGTGATAAGCCTTCAGAAGTAGAAGGTTTCCCGCAACGATCATGGTCGATCGAGATCTTCCTTGTGAATGACAAAGGGGAACAAATCCCTGCCAACCTTTTCGACAAGGTTGTCTACCACCTCCACCCCAGTTTTGGTGACCGCAGCACCCAGAGTATGTCATAAACAATCCATTGATCTGTTCAAACCCGGCGGTTTGGCAGTTTGCTGCCCACGATGCCCTCCCATGTATTCAACGAACCTATGGCTAATACCGGAATAGCATTCAAGAACCCGCCGTTTCGAATCTCCGAAGAAGGATGGGGTGAATTCGATATGACAATCGAGCTTGTGGCGGACAAATCGCATATGGTTGCACATGATTTGCACTTTCGGGAGGAGCGATATGAATCTAAACATGTCATTGTAAGTCATTTTTGCCAGTCGGTCGTTTACAACCTACATTGTCCGTTAACAACTTTGGTGCAAAATAGGCCTTCAAGAACCCCAAGCCTGCTTTTTTGAACGCCTTGCGCGAGTCTGGTCCTGTTCCCGGCGACGAGAACGGATTGAAGAACAAGCGCGGCGGAGCCGGTGAAGAGAGTGTCAAGAAGAAGAAGCGCACCGAGAAGAATGTACGTTTCTTTTTCCCCTTCCCAGAACATAAACTTCAGCTAATTACTCCTAGGTCGACATGGATAAACTTGCCGATGGCCTGCAGAAGCTTGGCGAGGATGATCTGCTACAAGTCGTGCAAATGGTGCACGACAACAAGTCGTCAGACTCCTACACTAAGAACGATGTTGAGTGTAGGATCTCCTTCCCTCCATATTCATATACATGATTGTACTAACACTTTTACCAGTGGGCGAATTCCACGTGGATCTTTATACCCTTCCAGACACCCTCATCAAGATGCTCTGGGACTTCACGGCCGAGCGTGGAAGTTTGTAATTGACTACAACCAAATCCTCGAAGCCCATATTCCCACATTCCCTTTTGATCTCATACTCAAATGCTTGGCTCTTTTATTCGAACTTTGATCCTCCATTTTCATTTCCCTCTCTGGTTTTTGTTTTTTCCCTCATTTTGATGTCTTTAACGGGGAGTTAGCGGATGCTCATACAAACCTGGCTGGGGCTTTCTTTCCATGACCCGTTCCTGTTCTCCTTTCTCGCACACTCTTTTTCCCCCTCGTAGACCATCATATCGTTTCGAATAGGTTATACCCTGGGTACTGGTTATTGATACAGCCTGAGGCTCATTCATGTTCTTGAGGTACTGGTTTTATAAAAGGATACAGGGACTAGGCGGAACCCTGATACCGATTACGTGCTTTTTGCTCGGTCGTGCTTGGTATTCGAATTCGATGTTAGTTGGCGATATTGAGTTGTCAATGAATAAAGTTATGAAACCAAGCTTCAAGATTTGTGTAATTTTCTTAGAAAAGAACTGGGGTCTCCGTACAAAGTATCATGTCTGTAATCTTGGAAGCAAGGAGAGATAGGTGATAGGTTCTAACGCCCGTTGGGCTTGGCATCTAGTAGGTACAGGCCTGAAGTTGACGTGTCATAAGTGTGTATCGAGCCTAGGCACTTGGAAGACATTGATTGATTCTACATAAAAAAAATGGGGCATTATTAGCCATGGTTGGATATAAAACAGCTGACTAGATACATCCATATCTTGATCAAAGGTTGAATCTTACGAGATGATGTTGTGCAACGCCAATCGGAGTGAGGCTGGTTGAGGCTGGCGAACAGGTAACTAGGGATGGCCCCGTTACTGATCGATTCTATCCACCTAAGTTTCTTGCTTCCGAAAATATGATCCTTCCTAAGTTAAGGCTCTTCCATCCAAAATACAAAGCTGTCAGGCTTCTTACTCAGCCTTATCGGCATGGACATCTAGGCTTAGAACTGTGTCACCAGTTGTTAGGCTTTTTACCACTAGAAATGACTACTTTCTACTACTGGAACAAATTTGGACAGGTAATGATCGGGTGCATTATTGTATGAGAAAAGAAATGAAAAACAAAACGGCAGATGGGATATCTCAAAACCAGAGTAGCAAGTTAGACCGGCCAGACCAGCTGTGACACGGCCATCCTCAAGAAATGCACCATAGATATGGAATAAGGCCTAGTAGAAGGGCCAAGGTGCAAAACCGGGTAAGACAAAAGGAAAAACATAGTACATGAGTAGGTAAGGTTGAAAAAGATTTCCGGAATAAACGCCCGCTGTATGCGGACGTATTCCAACGCCATAGATAGTCGCCGTTTCCCCAATTTTATGAAATGAGACTGTGTCGATGAGAGATGTTGATGAAAGGAGAGGGAGATGGACAGGTTGAGTTGAGGTGAAGTGAAGATAGATGGAAAGAAGCATGAAAGCCAGAACGCCTTGCTGGTGCGCGTAAATCAAAAGATCAGAGCCAGCCCGATCATATCAAATATTTTGAGTGGAATTAGAGCACGCGGTGCAGTTTCAGCAAATCCTCCAGGCTGTTCGCGCTGCATGGGCGACCTCGTGGGATATTGCGTAGGATATCCATGATTGTCGCGAAGACTTCGCCACCACGGTAAGCCAGCAGAGCGGGGGCTTGGATGTGATCCATCTCTGCGATTTCGTGGTGCAGCTTAACAAAGCGAGTTGAGGTCTGGCGGCGGGCGATGGTATTCAAGCATTCTTCCACAATAGCACTCTCATCAGACTAGTAGGACGATCAATTAGCATTGTGTCACGAGACCAAAAGAAAGATGAAATATTTGGGGATGATAATATCAAAGGGTCAAACTCACAGTAGGATCATAAATGCAGACAACAACGACAGCATCAGAAGTAACCTTCTCAATGGCATCGAGGTAGCCGACGGCATCGACATTGTCGACATTGCCATAGTGTCGTCCACGGGGAGAGGGGCGGCGTGCATTACGACTTTGCAATTCTTGCATCCGCGACGCACGCCACTTACGCATAAAGCGCTGCTCTTCGTCATCCTCACTGCCCGATGAACCATCCGAAGCAGGTGGTGGTTGCTCAGGCTTAGCGGCTCCAAAGGCGGGGCCATTGGGGTCGAAACCCGCCGCACTAAGAAGTGTGCGACGGAAGGACTTCTTGCGTGCACGCTCGAATGCCTGGGCATCAGCAATGACGCCCTTGGGGCCCGTATTAGCCTCAAAGGTCGTCTTGGGGACGTGGTAGTTTGTTGTAGACGAGACCATATCGTCGTTATCGTTTTCCTCGTCGGAGGAGTCGACTGTGTGGCGCTGGCGTAGGGTACGAGAGCGAGGAGGGGAGTCGGAATGATCGTTATCGTCTGAGAAGTGGGGTTCGTCTTCGTCGTGATCGTGGTCCTCTGGGTGAGAGGAGAACTTCTCCTTGTTGTTGTTGACGAGTTGATTGAATTCTTCTTGGGCGGACATCGTGAAAAGAGTTTTGTGGGTGTGGGAGATGGCGGGGGTTTAAAAAAGACGGGAATCTTTGGGCGCGTGAGGTGGATGGGCTTGAGCGGTTTGAATGGAGAGATTGGATTGGTTGATGCAGGTGGACGCAGGAAGAGGCAGAAGTTTCATCAAAGCCCCTGAGTGAAGCTTGGACAAAGAGGAAGAGTCGAACGACGGAGTTGGGGCTGAGGTGGGAAGAGATCGTCGGGGTGAAACGGTAAAGGAAAGCCCCTTTTCAACGCAGTTTCAGAAGTTTGGTGCGGACCCACCGAAGACACGAAGAAGGTTCTTTGTCTCTCTTTTTTTAAACAAGGAAAAGGAAATTGGTCCTATGAGGTCGATGGTTTTCCAGCCTTGGGGAAATGAAAATCAAGGATAAAGTTGGATCTAGTGGAAAATATGATGCCCAAGCATATTCCATGTTCGTATACGTCGTAGATGTCTAAGTTGTCTATGTGTAGGAGGTATACTGCACATTTGACTGGAGAGAAACTCCGGATTCCACGTGGACACGATGTATAAGGTTAATATCGCAATCTTGCTTGTTCCATGTTTCAGATAATTAATTCTTGTTCTTTCTTGTCACTATCACCACAATACCAAGGTGATCCCCAAGATCCTCTTCCTCTCCCTCTCGAGTCATTCACAACACATCATTTCCTCGCTAATCACCTTCCTTCCACCCCGAGTCCATCTCAAGAATCTAGGTGCCCAGAGCCTTGAAACTTAAACCCACATCAGCCCCCATGTATCCACGTTGTCCGGTCTCCAGATGACGCAGATCCTAGGCTCGATCCACCATCTTCCACTAGGCCAGCCCCCAAAAAAAAGAAAAAGGACATGGGCTGATCCCTATCTCACCAGTAGTGACCAGGCGAGAAAAGTCATCTGGTAGCTTCGTATCCATAGCCGCTAAGAGCAGCTAATCTCCTATACTAACCTAGTTCGAGAATGGTCTCGGACCTCTAACCACCTACTAAAGAAGGAGGAAGGTAGATCAGACAGGATCTGGAGATCAGAAACCCAAAATTGCAAACAAAGAAAAAAGAAATAAACAAACAAATCAGGCTACTAGGCGGGATTAAGATGAGCATTCGGCTGTGACGGCTGTGACTAAATTAGAACTCCACAGGTTTGAGGAGACGCCATACATCGCCCAGCCTTGGAACAGAGAGCAAAAAATAGAACAGGATTCCTGGAGACGCTTCCGATCCTTCGAAAGGGCGCAAGGCTTTGTTCGTTGGCCTTTGACCTCTATCCTCTATCCTTTGACCCCAGCCCCAGCACCGACATCCATGCATATCCATGTGTTTCTGAGCCCCCGGTTCTGACAAGGGGCCAATGGGTTGCGTGCCCTCTTCTTGGCTGGAGTGGCGAGAAAGAATAACCTAGAAGCATCGAATAGAAATAGAATTTGAGGTGGATTGTGGACTGTGGAGGATCTCCATTTAGATCAGGAGCGATCCTGCTCAGATTACTCTACGGAGTAAATGGTGTCAAGTCCACCGAATCCTAGAGAGGATGTGACTTGAGCGTTAGCCACGCCAAGGACTAAGGAAAGTTATTCCCTGACACACATCTGATACTTCTCTGATAATTGGCCCCAGACTGGTGGGTAGATGGCGGCAATTGGGTTTCTCTCCCCAGTAGTTCGGTAGATACTCCGTACAGCCTACAGGATTTACTTCCCTGCCTCTTAGTCACCTGAACACGAGATGCTGGTTTGCCACTCTCACGTCAAGTGGGTTAGGGTGTTCGTTTGGATATATCCGATATGTATGCTGACTGGATAAGGGCTTCTGGGGTGGATTCAATGGTAGGGCTGAGTAGCGTACCTGGTTTATCACTGCCTCAATCTCTGCCCTACGGAGCACTCTATACCCTGCTCTATGTAACTACTCTTTGTAAGCGTCTTCATGTCAAAGATCTACAGTTTCCAATCCCTACGTCTTCTACTAGCTTCTACCAGGGACATTTAGATCTCAGAAGACACTTTGTATGAATGCCCTATTTCCGACGCTCACGCCACGCCAATCACATACGCCCAAGATCAAAAGAGGATTCAAGGCCAGCGCAAATGGAACACACCGTAACTCTGCAATTCCTCCAGAGGATAAGGAAAGAGAAAAAGAGGCAAAATTTGAAAAGCACATATGGAAATTTGGAGTGGCTCAAAACCTGGATAATGGCGATCCAGTCAGAATCCCAGAGGAGATTCGAAGTCACAAAGACGTAAAAAGAAGATAAGTACAAGCACACTCTTTCTTTGAGGAGACACGAGAGATGAAATAGGAAATTGAGATGACGCGGTAACGCAAAGGGTGATAAATCGGGCGAGTAAGTAATAAAGAAAAAAAGAGATCATGGCCATATCCAACAAAACCCGGTCCTTTCCTTTCCACAGAGAAAATACATGCCGAGACCGATGCAGGAGAGGCAGTCCAGAACGAAGAGGGGTAATAGAAAAGAGTAAAAAAGGAAAAGGAGTTAAAAAAGAGCAAGCGATCAGGTAAAGGGAAAAGAGAAAAGGGAGAATAAGGGAGTCGAAAAAAAGAAGAGAAAAATAGGGGCATCATCCAGTAGGGAATACTGAGAACCAGGGAACTGACAGAGGGATAGTCGTGGAAGCATTAAGTACATCTTCTCCCAAGTATGATCAAGAGCACATGTACACGACCATCGACATTCCAAGTGGCAGGGCGCTCTCATCGTATCCAAACATTGTGTCGTCGCTTTCGTTTCTTCCCCGGCGTCGCGTTCACCTCCACCACCTAACGCTTTCCGCATAGTATGCGACGGTTCGATCTGCGCCGTATTATCGAGATAATGCACGAGGCCCCTCGGTAACTGATTATTATCGTACAATGGCGGAGTATCAACCCATCGAACCAAGAAAAAATTCGAATAAGAGCATTGCAAATGATCGACACGGGGTATCTTGCGTTTGTTTTTCTTTTTTTTTTAGAATTACCAGGCCCAAACCTTGAGCTATAGAAAGACGGCAGGGCCCGAAATTAGCAGAGCTCATACGGCGGGGCGTAGAAGCGCAACTTACAAGTGAATCCCAAGATCCAGTGCACAGACTGATACCGTCGTTGCTGACACCCAAGCAGCTCACGCGGTTCTCATGACCGCTCAGCGAACCCACTTTGTCGCCACGGAGAACATCCCACACCTAGTAATTATTATAAGCTGATATTCAATCGGAGACCATCAATACCGATTGTAAACGTACCTTGCACTCAAAATCGTCGTAACCAGCGAAAAGTAATCGGCCAGACACGGAGAATGCGACAGAGGTAATACCACAAAGAACTTGGTCGCTCTGTAGAAACAAGAAAGAGAATATGTTAGTTCCAAGCACAAAAAGGGATGAAATCACAGGAACCAAGATAGCTAAAGACAGAAAAGCATACCTGGTAAATGTTAAGCTCGCGGTCGGCACGGATATCAAACAAACGGCAGGAAGTGTCGTCTGAACCGGTACCAAAGGCGTTTCCATCGGGGAAGAACTGAATGGCGTTGATATCGGACTCGTGGCCAGCAAATGTCTGTACGGCCCTGCCGGTTCGGATATCCCACAGCTTGGCGAACGCATCGCAAGCACCGGAAACGAAGATGTTCTGGTTGGTTGGGTTGATGCTGATTGACATCACGTCACCGAGGTGATCGGCGAACTCGGTAACCTTGGAACCAGACTCAATATCCCACAGCATACAGGTCATATCGCCGGAAGAGGTGATGATGCGGCGATCATTAATGAAGCGACAGCAAGAAAGGTAGCCGGAGTGACCAGACAGCTCACGCGCAACACGGGTCGGGCCCTCGCGCGATGACAAGTTGTAAATAGAACAGATGTTATCCAAGCCACCACAAGCAACGTAGTTTCCGCTGGGTGCGTAGGCACAGGTCATGACCCATGAAGATCGCAAAGGAATGGCGTGCACTTTGTTGGTAGTATAGGCATCCCAAATGATGAGCTTTCCGTCTTGAGAAGCTGAAACAAGGTGACGGCGATCGGTAGACCAGTGCATCGCGTAGATCTTCGCAAGGTGACCTTTCAGCGTTCGGCGAGGCTTCATGCCAATTCGAGGGAGTGCATCGGTCTGGCTCTGTGCGACTTGGCGAACTGCAGAAGGTCAGTATTGGCTTCTTCAAAATCTAACATGTCGGCGGTATGTTCAATCGTGATTGTAAATGGAATCCTGTTCCGAGTGGAGTGGGGGGAAGAATGGGTTGTGGGAATGGGAGTTCCCCGTGCGTGATATAGGTAGTCGTACGGGAGGTGTCCGCCAGCTCATCCTTCCGACGCTTGATCTTGTCCTTCAACCCCTCAGCCTCACGCCTGGCGGCGGTAATTTTGGCTTGCATTTGTTCGCCGGACATATCGGCTGCCATTTTGCCGGATAATAACCCCTTATGGATAACTTTGTTGTGGAAGGGAGGGGAAGCTATGGAATCGGTGTCCCAGGGGGGGGTAAAGGGTGTGGGAGGTTGGTTTAGAAGGGATCCGAGAGGGGGGTTGAGGAGAGTAAAGGTAAAGTTGAAAGTGGAGTGAAAGGAGACGGAAGCGACCGAGTGAGGTCTTCAAGCTGCGAACATAATCCAAGAAAATCAAATTAAAGAATAAGTCGCAAGGGGGGTGGAGGAAGCGCGGGCTTAGAGAAAGAGAGAGGGAAGAGGGAGTCGAAGGTTCTGAACAGGGGGCGAGTATTACTTAGGTACCCACTAGTGGTAAACTAGATGACATCGGCGCTGCACTCATGGCATTCCCTCCATTGGCTCGGCAAAAAAACAATTCAAAGATTACAGAGAATTTGGAATTGATCATGATTTTTCCTAGTCAGATCTAATTCTTTTAATATCTGGGAGGGGGAAACATATAGGGTGAATATGAATCCGTCGTTAACTATGACCTTGTTCGTATTGCACTGGACAGTATTACACTGCGTCATTTCCACCATCCTGCTGTTTCCCCGGGTCAATATTACCCACCAGGTACACAGTCAATACGCGCGCCCACTCAAGCGCTTCCGATTATCCTCCCCGGGTAACTGAAGAACTAATCGCTCTCTCTTCATCTCTCTTACTCTGGAAACCTTTTTAGCCGCTTAAATTACATCAAACCCACATACTATTCTTTGATGGTCCTAGGAACCAGGAGACAACTGGGCTATCTCCTCCAGGGAAGGACTTGGCCCCCTCTCTATTCTGTACCGGTTTAGGTATTTTAGCGCTGGAAAGCTCGGAGGGCCCCCCCCCCCATACCCAAATGGAGGATTACAATGCAACCAGTGGCGCTGGAGATCGCCCACGTATGCCTGGCCCCAATCGCTTGCTGATGAAAAATTCTATCTCAATAGCGCCCGGCTCTAAATCGTCCTCTCTCTATAGGACTACGTATAAACCTTAGATGTATACAATGTAACCTTTCACGCATTAACTTGCGGAGCGGGCTGACCGACGGGTCCTCTCCGCACTATATGTACTAGACCGCTATACGAAGAAAGCGGGCTAATGTAGTAGATTCAAATTGCAAAATTACCCCCAGCTGTCCATCCTCCACCCTGGAAGGCTGTGTACAGGGTTTTGTCTCATTTGTGGCCAACACGAACCCAGGTTTGTAAATGCCTTGCAATAAAACTGACGCCTATCTGACAAGGCATTATCTCGTATTACTATAGCTATGTACCTACAGAACAGAGCCTCCAACTTGAGTGTATTGAGAGCGAAACGTTGATACTTTATTGTATCACCATCCTTGATACGGCATGGCCTCAAAATGAACGAGGATTTCGGCTAAATCTACACAGCCGGGGAATATGATGTCCCCATGTCGATATAATTAGAATATGAAAAAGATTCTTTGGGGAAGAAACCAATGATATAGCAAAGCTAAACTGAGTATCAGTCTGTTGTAAGAGAGTTTATTGAATACTAATGTACATCAGAGTAGGTAGCCCTGGAATACATATGAGTGGTCATGAGCATAAATGCTTACCTAGAATACTATACGCTACATCCATGGATGGTCACAGAGCATATACGTAAATGTTCCTTGGAATCGCTGTATTTCATTATTTCGGATCCATTCCAGCATAAGAACGTTTTTGCATTCCTCGAATAGGTAGGGGTCACAATAAATTGCCCCATGATATACTACACCACTGCCTATATAGGTACCGATTTAGGGTATCTCCTTGCAGACCCGAAACCTCCCCTAAACTTGAAGTATTTTGCAGCCTCAACCTTCTCCACATCTGACAAGAAAGACAGGCAATCCCATGTATGCACATTGTTCTTTATTTATCCGATTTGCAAAACGACCCTTTGTTGGCCCTATTACATTCTCGGTTTAAACGCTCAAGCGGGGTCAATGATTTGGGGGCAGCTTTCCTACATTAGACTGCTCCTTTGGTATTATTGCATCCAATCCCAATCCAATCCTGTGATTCCTGTTCATATCTCACTTGCATTGCCTCTGTCAAGCCTGATAACGGTACCCTCTTAAAATCCAAGGTTCTTTACAATACAGCAGACTTTTCGGAACTGTATCACCTGTATCACCCAGCCACCAACAGGCCCAAGCTCATTTGCACATTACCTTGTCGGTTTAATTGTGGTCATGGCGGTTCCCACCCGAGGCTGACTAATAAACTGCATGATCCTCTTCAGGGCTACAGAGTATTTGGTTGTCGGAAATTATCTCAGCCCTGATCACGAAATGGTGAGGTGCGAAAGGAAGAAGAACAGCAAAACCAAAAAAGGAGACCATGAATACATATGGGCCCATTGCATCAACTTTTGAATCCTGCAAAAACACCTCCAATTTCCTTAACGCGGTATTTACCAGCCAAACCGGCCCGTCGGTGCATCAGGCAAATGACTTCCCCACTGCGGCGCCAGACGATTTTTAGCCCCCTTTTTCTGTCTTGTCCGCACTACGAACCCACTCGGGGTGACTGAAGACGATCATCATTTTCAGCTGCAATGAAAGCTCACGTCAGGATGGCAATGCTTCTGTATCGTGGATCTTCAGCTGGGGGATTCCCGGGGATCATCCAGTCATCTTGTCATTTTCCGGTCAGCAGAGTCACCCTTCAGGCTGCTGAATAGGGAAGGGGGGCGAATTGGGGATTAATAAGGAACGGGTTTCTCGTCTGACAAATGTGCTATTGTCATTCAGCTTCCGGTTCTCACTAAACGACCCACTAGGTATTATAGATGCCAATTTCCGCTCTCCACTTGGATTCCCCACTGGAGGATCTACATTGAAGGCACCGAGAAATGCAAGTAATACCGTAAGTTCGTCATCCCCTGTCTTCTGACTCGGTACATCACCGGAGTACGAACTACACTTGAACGCTATGTATGGAGTACTCCATATTCCACCTGAACGTTTTTGATCTACGAAAACATCCGCCCTACTTAGTCCGTGTTGTTGCATTCGAAGATGTGATTTATCCAATAGAGAAACGTCTTTTGATGATTAGGACACCATGTGACTAACTCAGCTGTTGTATATGTATTTCATTTTAACATATTGCCAAATAACTACTGGAAGAACCTTGGAATTGACAGGAGGATCGGTTTAGCTTAAATACCATGTGCCTAACCGCTTCAAGGAGACGTTATAGATGGGACAACAATACGGAGGACTCCGTACCGGTTGCCGAGTCCCACTCTCTATTTAGTTTTGATAGTCAGCCAGGGACTGCAAAAGTGGATTCTGTACGGACGACACATGACTGCCTTGAACTATATACCCCGTACCATAAATCCGTTGTGCAATCTGATAATTTGTTTGCTAAACGAGAACCTTGGGGGCAATATTTGGGTTTGCGTATGATCTTCATAGGGGCTTTCAAGGAAGACAGAGCGTGGACATGAGACATTTATTTGCCTATTGTACGGGCTATTGAAAGCGAAATGCTTTCAGGGTAGTTCCAAGGTTTAATCTATAAGAAAATCGCGTGTGTCTCGATCTGATCACCGGTTTATCTTTTCAAAATCAATATATGCGCATTGAATCCTGCTTCAAACCACGATCTCGGGATTGTCAAGTTCTTCCTCAGCCCCTTAGTATTGGTCAATTAAGTCAAAGCATCATGATGAGATATACGGGCTATCCACTGTCACATAGCATAACACTGAGTCTTTGATATGTAGGGTGGTTGAGGAGATATTGAAAACATGTTGAAGGGTCTACGGAGTATGTATCAAGGGATTCTCATGTTTTCATTTACCCGAATTCATCATTGAGTGGGAGAAGATCAGACCGATGAGTTTGAGCCAGTTGTTTTGCGTTGAAGAATCAATGAAGTATGAGTCATGAACACGTTCCATAAATGTATAGATCAAGAAAGGACTCATTGCCTACGAAGTCCGTATCCCCTCTCGGCTTCCGAGAATTGAGTGGTTAGTCACTTCGGTATCCGCTTCTCGCCACGAGGGGGGAGCGGAGAACCCTGCAGGACGGCAACGCAAGAAAAAGAACGAACAGTTAAGTGGTTATTTCTTAAACATCCTGCAATGACAGTCAAATAGAATAGTCTTAGAACGCCCTTGAATGTCGGACGAGGATGAAGCAATTTTCTAATACAATGTACCACAGTTCAAGTGCCGTTAAAAATAGAGCGAGAGTCGGTTCACGGTGGCGGGAAGCCAATGCTCGGGTCCCGTAATATTAAGGAGGCACCTGACGCCTCTCCGCTTTCGCCCTCAAAGGCTTTTCTCCCTCCTTCATCCCCAATCGACAACACGCCTCCATCCACCCCGTTCTTCGATTCCATCGCAAATCGTTTCTCATTACTCTCTTTAAGTCTTCTCGGAATCTTTGAAATATCCCCTTTCGTCTATAATCCATCGCCGACTCTTTAACGCCTGAGGGTCGAGTCGTTTCATCCCAAATCATCACCCCCTCCTCAATAACTTCCATCGGGCACCATTTGCAGTACCCATAAATACCATCTCGGCTCCCCTCATGTCGTTGCAGTGAAAGCGGTCTCTATCAGTGAGAGTTTTTTGATTCCAACCTTCGAGGCGCCGTCGCCATTTGGTTTAGGGGGCTGAGATCCCACCATCCAGGCATCGCATTGTCAAGGTCCTCACTTCTTCGACCTCTTTCCCCATTCTGGATGATTATCCATCCTTCATCAGAATCTAAATTTTAGTATCGACTTGGAAATTTTTTTGATAACTGCGTTTTTTCACATTTTCTTGGGTCACCCATCCACCGACATCATGCGGGAAGTCAACTTCAGCATCCCGAACGTGAACAAGGCCTCGGTCAACATCACAACAACACTTTACGATCGACGTGCCCTTGATTGCACATCAACTCTACCTCTCATAAACTCGCTGAACCATCTTGCATACCTCACAACATCATCTGCACGGATTCGTGACATCCTCACCGTCGATGGCGGCATCGAAAGACTCGTTTGCATCCTGAAGGAGGGCAAGAGCAAGGACTTGATGGAAATGTGGAAATGGAGTCTTGCATTTCAATGTGTTGTAAATATCGGAGTCCGGGGCTCAGAAAAAGTACGGACCAGGGTGGTTGAAGCCGATATGGTCCCTGTGATTGCCACAATTCTGGACAACTACATTAAGGTGGTGGACAAAGTGCGATCGCGGGCCGATCCTGAATCTCACAAGCACTCAAGTCGATCGGCTATTCCCAGCAAACCCAGCTCCTCCGCAACACGTGAAGCCACAGTCCGATCTACTGTTGACTCCAACCCTCCCGTTGAATCTCGTCCCTCCCGCCGCCAAGCTCCCCCTCCAAGTATCGAAATTCCGCAACCATATTTCCAGGATAATCAACCGACCGATTCGGATGTGATGGATGTCACTTCCCCTCCCCGTGTCCCGATGACCACTCCCCCCGAACGCAGCACCTTCCGACCGGATATTCACAACCATAGGGCTCATGATGCTCGTTACACCCGTGCTAGTCATCGGCTACGCACCATGCAACCCCTTGCCACCGCAGTCTCCCCGATGGATACCACGGAAACATTTGGCTTGCGGCCTGTGCGTGATACCGAACGCCTTCCAAGTATGCTTCCAGGACTACAGACGGGACTTATCTCTCAACCGGACTCCCCAACCACCCCCAGCGGACCGCTTCTCTCTCAAGCTCGAAACATTCCCCCACCTCCTCCACCTCCTCCCATGAGACAGCGACCCCCTATGCGCCAACATCAATCTGCTTCGGGCGAGTCGGATGATGCCAACGGCGAGGACTCGGCTATGGGTGATGACAATGTTTTGGGGCAGGAAGCGGGCCCTATTGTTGGGTTGCCCACCAGAATGGATATCGATGGCGTTGATGAGCAGTCGGGCACTACTATGATCGATGACGTTTCTGCCACCCATGGTGGATTGACGTTGAATGATCCATCGGAAGAAGGTCCAGAATCTGAGACCTTTAACATCGCTCATCGTTCTGCAGTCGATGGCAGCATAATCAACAACAACCCAAACACACAAAACAATGGTGGACTTGGACTTTCTCCCACCCAAGCCCCAAATAATCCTAATTCTCCTACCCTCACCCCCAGTCCCTACGCTTTGTACCTGCGTGACCGAAACACCCCTGCAGCGCAGGGTGTCCCATCGACTATGCCCAGAGACGAGGACGTCTTGATGTCCCTGCAGCTCCTGGCATACGTCTCAAAGTATTGCGATCTTCGGTCATATTTTCAGCGCTCTCACCTCGTGCCGAAACTCAAGATCGATCGTGAATTGCATCTTTTGGACGATAATGCCGACCCGTCTACTCCTATCGAGCCCGAAGAGGACGAAGACGAGTACCTCCTGCCTGATGATGTGAACATCTTCCCTCTAGTGGAGAAGTTCACTGTTCGTCATCATTCCAAGGATATGCAATATTGGGCTTGTGTTGTCATGAGAAATCTCTGCCGCAAGGATGAACATCGCGGTGGAATTCGACAATGCGCATACTACAAGTGTGGCAAGTGGGAGGAGTTCCAGCGGCAATTCGCCAAATGCCGCCGCTGCCGGCGTACCAAGTACTGCAGCAAAGACTGCCAAAAGGCAGCATGGGTCTACCACCGTCACTGGTGCCATACCACCCCTTGAACGACCGCCGACGACCCTGAAGAAGCTATCACTATTTGATTTCCATGCATATTGGCTCGCATAGCGTCATCTCCCCCATCACGCCTCCGAAATATTTTGTTCTACAGTCTACGTCTAATTCGCGAATGGCATTGCAAAATTTGGCGGCGTTTCAATTCGACCACCGAATATACTTTTTTACATGTCGTCTGGCTTTTCTTCTTCTCACAGCACTAGTCTGTTGCTTTTTTGGTTTATTGACATGTCAGGTCTTCCTTGGACTCTCGCTTTATTCCCTTGATTCCCATATATCTTCCCATCTATCATGGGTGTATATCTTTTTAACATCTCATATTGGAAACCATTCACATCGTTATGTTCCCTGGAGCACGGGTTTCATTTTCTTCTTCACTTTTTGCAGCCTTTCATACCTAATTGTTGCAACCACGATTTTCCTATGTTCTTAGATGGGCCCCCGTCATGATATGTTCCAGCCAACCTACGGGCGCTGGAAGTAATCCTCATTTACCCCATCTGCGATGTTTGATTCCATGCTCCGTGGAGGATTTTTCTCTTCTGCCGTATTTTTGCACTTTGCCATCACGGCACCGGCGTTGTCTCTTCACTCATTGGTACCATTGTTTATTCCCCATGAAATGAAACCCCAACATTTGCATTTGATACTTTTTTCCATTCTTCATTCCTCATTGTGTTCTCCTTCATCGCAATCCAGTAACTTATCAACATTGATCTGACATCATTCCAACGTTCTATTCCTCCTTCGTAAACCCATACGTAGCAGCTAGTCGAGACTCCAAATGCTCCTGCGCCGTCAAAGGCCTCTTCCCAGGCTCCAAATCTCCCGCTCCACCCCCAAACCCAACAACACCCATACCCCCAGTCTTAGCGCGATACTCAGTAACAACCCCGCTAGGAATAGGAACCAACTCAGTCGCATCAACAGGATGACAGAAGTAAACCAGGGTATACCGATCCTGAGGGTTAGGACTTCTCTGCTCTGCCAGCGGGAACACAACCCTGTGCACAGTAGACTTGAGCAGTCCATCCGTCCAGTAACTCAGCAAATCACCGATATTCACCAAAATAGGCGGAAACGGGTACGCATCAGCATCATTGCCAGGAATAATAGGTACAGGCGCCCATGTTCCCTCTGGAGTTAAAATCTCCAGTCCCGGCTGTCCGGGGCGCTGGAAAAGAAGCGTGATACTTCCGTAGTCAGAGTGGGCGCCGGCACGAACATCCTTGTCATGCTTGTAGCTTGCTGTTGCGGGAGAAAAGATCGATGGATAGTATAAGTAGCGGAGGATACTACCAGTTGGACCATTATTGGGATCATGACGTGTTGTGAAGAAGTCTCCTGGCATCTGGGTTTGATTTGGTCAGCTTATGTTCTGGAGAGTCTTGGGGTTTAAGTCTTTGGTTTGGGTATATACCTCTAGACCCAGGGAGAGGAGGGTCAGAATACGGTTGCAGGTCTTGTTGCAGAGTTGTGCGAACCCGTCAATCTCGGATTCATGCGGGAGTAGTGATTCTGGGAGAGGCTGTTGAGCCTTGCCATCTTCGAAGTCACCAAAGTTCAGAGCCCTTTTTTTAAGTCAGTGGGGGTTGGCTTTGCTAATTTCTACGTTTAAACGGAGACATACTCTTTGAAATCTCCGGTCTGGTGGGGTTTGCTTGTTAGAAAAATGTATCTTAGGGTGTTTGGATTGAAGGGTAGCATACCCTTTGGTGCTCGGGATCGAGTGTCTCGGTGTGCATACCAGACCAACCACGATTCTAATAGAGTCAGTTTAAGTAGAACTGTGATGGTGTACACCGAGCCTAGCATAGCAAGATGAAGAAGTACTGTAGACCACTTACATTTGGCGTAATGCGGCATACCTCCTTCTCCGCCGCGGGGGATGCAAAGAACTTCTTCGACTAGACATCAATAATAATCGAAGTCAGCAAATATTGATTTCCATCTCATGAAAACATATTCAGTATACAGTCAAGAGGTAAACTCACCAAACTAAACCCATGATCCACATCCGCGGCAGAAAAATCCGTGCCCTTGCTGTTCACATACAGGAAGCCATACTTGGCAGCTGCATCAAGCATCGCTTTCCCCACGGCGGGGTCATGCGGGTTCGAGATGTCAATAACAGGTAGCTCGATTGGGGCCGCGGTGTCTGTCATTGTGGGTGTCTTTGTGGAAGTGGTATGTGTTAAGTGTAGAATGGGCGGACCTCGGGAATTGATGTCGTCCAGGTGTGGGGACTGTCAGTGCCAGTAACGGCCAGTGCCGATATGATATAGATGGACTTCAAGTTCGCGCTAAGATACACTTGGTAGATATCGGTTACCTAAAAGCAAAACTTTAGAAATTGCGGCGGGGGCCGGCCCTATCGCGTATCTTTTATATGTAATGATTGGGAGTAAGTGGGGATACGTCTTATCATTTGATGATACCGTGAAGATTATAATCGTGGGGACTACTACGTCCACCCTATACAAGCTTCAATTACTAGACTACACGCTGATTTCGGGTACACAATACCTACCCCTGCCCAATTCATTTGTGTTTCTTCGTTTAACACATAGTTTGGAAGACATTATTAACTTTGTGACGATGCCCAAGATGGTAACATTATATTAGCTTTTTTACTCAGGTATAAAATCAGAGAACTGTGTGTATATCTGTAGGGTTTTACATGTGCTTAACAGTATGCTGCTCCGAATAGGGAATAAGCCCTTGTGGCGGCGCGTGAGACTGTTACATAACCTTGGAATCAACTTTCCTATTTAACCCCGCCCATAAAAAGCAGTCTACATATGTTAATCCTTATCTTTTTTTTGGGTAGGTAGGGTGGAAATTACATAGTAAGATCCCAAGGTGATGTAGGTAGTAGATGATTTTCCACACTCAAACCGGCAGAAATTCAATTGTCCTGGCCTTGAGGTACCACCGTATTTAGTCCCCCCCCCCCAAAAAAAAACCAGACTAAAGCCTATAGAGACCAATTAAGACGCTGAAGTTTGGCAGATAAGTGCAGTACGAATATCAATACTTTCACTGTTCTATACATTCTTGTGGAATCAATTTATTCAAAGCGACTTGAACGCAACGCAAATACTGGATCAGCACTGGTAGTGGGCCTGTGCCCATAGACTCGGGGGCTAAGCTATAGTAACCCATAATCGAGCGAACACTCAGGATCAGATATCGAAAGTGATGAAGATGGTTTGAATTAGAAGCCAGACATAAATGTCCAAATCAATTGAAAATGAATCTGCGGTTTGGATGTGATTTGTTGAAGATGGGTCGCAACAGGGCTGTGTTGGAAGTGACAGGAGCAAACAGAGTCGACTCAATTGAAACTCCGCTTTCCCCCCCCCCTCGTGATTTCGCATCTCGCGACCAGCATCGACAGCCCGCGATCATCTCCAACCCATCCCCACTACTCCCCCCTCTCTCTATCCGGGCTTCGATGCTCGGCATTTAGCTGCGCTTATTGCCCTGCAGCTTCACAACCATGCCTAGTAATACCCGCCCGACCCCTTGTTGAGGCTACGTGAGGTCACTAACTCCAACTTCTCTTTAGTCCGTCCTCTCGACGACTGGGCCGTGGGTCGCACCCAGTCCCTCCCCCTCTCCGCCCTGAAAGGAGCTGTGATTGGAATTGATGCATCACACTACATTCAACAACACCTGGTGAACCAGTCGACTAGAGAAGCTCTTCTGGGCGCTCTGGGCGGCTTCCCGTTTGCTTTGAAGAACAACATCGAAAAAGAGCTCCAGGCCCTGAAAAGTCTTGGTATCGGCTGCATTTTTGTCTTCAACGGACTCGAATTCGGCAAAAAGGATCAACGCATTCAGGCCCAACCTGCTTCGGTGCGCTCATTTGAGCAAGCTTGGGAGCTCTATGACCAGCAACAAGCCGACCAGGTCGTGGACGCCTTCAGCAACGCTGGTATGACAACCTTTCCCTTTGAATTACCAACAACAATCTGGCTGCCGTCGCCAACAGCAGCTCTCACTTACTGGAATTGGACATTCCAACTTTACCCAACCTTAGCTGACCAACCTCACAACTCAGGGACCCCACCCCCGGAAACACTCTTTAAGTTCCTGCAACGGATCCTGAACCAAAATGGCATCTCCTTCATGGTGGCACCATATAGTGCGGTCGCACAAGTGAGTCTCAGAAATGAGCTGCTCCCGACAAGTCGCTAGCAAAGCCCCAAGGCTAACAGTGTCATTGAATTAGCTCTCGTACCTCGCCCGCGGCTCTAACCCTGTCGTCGATGCCGTGTACGGACCCTCCGAAGCATTTTTATTTGATTTAGACAAGCTGGTGACCCGGATTGAGACCGAACAAGCCCAGTTTACCTGGCTCACAAAGCAGACCTGCCAGGAGGAGCTTGGACGCCTGTCGAACGACCAGTTCATCGAATTCCTTCTTCTTTTAGGGTCTCCCTTCCTCCGTCCCTGCCCTCTTTTCGATAACCCCGCCTATCCAGGAAAACTTCCCAACATTAGCGATGCCCTGCCCATGTACAATTCTGCAGCACGATCCGCTTTGGCCATGTGCGGCCAGTATGAGGAACACCGTCGCATGAACGAATCCCAGTATGTGGACCGATTCAAGCGGGCATATTTGAGCGTGAAACATCACGTCTATATGGATATTGATGGGAGAGTTGCTCCTATGAACCCGGAAAACGTTTCTTCAGATTTGCATGAACTTATAGGCCAACGCCTTCCTGAGGAGCTTTACTTCTACTTATCGAAGGGTGTTCTAGGAGCAGACGTACCGAATTTTCTGACATCAGGAGAAGTGCGGATTTCATTACCACTAGGCGCAGAGGATACGGAGGTGTATCGTCACCTTGTGGGCGACACTCTTACCCCGATCCGGACACAATCAATTTGCCTGTTAGCCAATTCGCTTCACCGATTCTACCAAACGAAAGAAATTCACATTCATCCTTGGTTTGACGAAGACTCAGAGCAAATTATTAACCTGAAAGGTATTCCCTCCGTGAAAGAGACTATCCAATCCTGGAAGATTTCTTCAAGCCACTTCCCAGAGAGCGTCAAGAAGTTGTCAGCCACCCCTGGCTCTTTTAAGTTTGCTCTTCAGAGCCTCAATAACTCCGACTTCGTAACCCAATCGTTTGCTACTAAACAAACCCCAGTATGTACTACTCGAAGACCGCATGTCATTTCTACCTGTCTAACCGATTTCTAGGCTTTATCAGCACAGGAGGATATCCTCTCTAATGTCATGTGGCGCTTCTTGCAACTACGTGGATATGTCGATGACAAGCACAAGCTCACCTCGTGGGGAAAGTGCTTGGAGCAAGCGCTTTCGGTCGTGGAACCTGCAGATAATTTGGAAGATGTTATATTCATTGCTATCGAGATGCTCCGCTTCGATCTTCTCAACACTAAGCATTGGTTCTCGCAGGTATCGGGTGGCCCTATGAGGGGATCAGGTATGATACTGCTGATATCCTACGTTAAGAAGCCGTCGCTAACCCACTACTTTGATGCAGAGGAGGATAAAACATTCAATATGCTCGTTTCCCGCGTTGCATGTATCGCGAAATTGCAACACAAGAGCATTGGTTATTCCGGTCCATTGAGCCGCCAGCTTCTCTGCTACCGGTCCCTGGTCTCTGAAGTGCGCTCTGCACTGAGGAATCTAGTCGAGGTTGTTTTAACTGGTCTTTTGCTCAGCGGAGACGCTGATCGGGAACGTAAAGACTGGACTGAAATGTCAATTAAGTAAGTGCTCTACTGTAACCCGAAACCAGAGACAAAGAGCTCGAAACTGATTCTAACATCCTCACAGGTTGCCTTTCATTGATGATAATGACTGTGGCCTTGGAATCGCTGTTCGCACCTATCTGGATGATCTTCCATTACAAGCAGATCCCACTTCACCCGACGCCCGGGCGGAGGTTAAATCTAAGGGCAAAGAATGGTTCCAACACAGCGAAAGCTTCACTGGCAATTTGGATCACGCCTTCAAACTCTGGGATGCGGTAAGTTTTCACCAAACCTTGTTCTACATTGCTATCAGTTTCAATGCTAATCATCTCTTATAGGTCTACAAGGGCACACAAACTGCAGGCAAGGACTTGAAGGACACCAAGCTGTGGGAGGACGCAAACAAATGGCTGGCTGAGCGACGCTGATATGGCTACAATTACATAGCTGTTATGTTTCATCAGAATATCATTGAGGGAATTTCGGGGCCTGCTATGTGCGCAGGATTGCTAACAGAGTTCATGCCTTCGCTGCTTCAATCTGCATGAACCTCTACGGGATTGATGTGACTGCAATATTCTCTACTGTATTACTATCTAGTAATCCATCAAAAATGAATACGAAAAAAAGTAAAGTAATCCATTTGGCAACTTGACAAGACCCTCTACATAATAAATACGCGTATGCGACGTTGAGTAACCGTCCAATGTAGGGGAAACTAAACACATGCACATATAACGAGTGTGCCTACATGTACGGTATATACTACGAACTAAGTCAACCATGGAAGGCGGGAAAGTGATGATCTGCGGGACCAAGTGGCCTCTTCTGTGTTTTGTCATCAATCGCCCCCCATCACCCCAGATACCCTGGAGCTTTCCATCTTCCCTTTCCAAAATCCCTTGTAAATCAACTTACACTATTTACCAAAAAAAAAAAGACTAATTCCACGATAAAAAATGGCTCGACTGAGCTTCCTCCTCCTGGGCGCTCTGTCCGCGCTCGGCAGCTTCGCCAACGCCAGCTCCGCCGTTAAGGACCTGATCCCCACGAACTTCGATGATGTTGTCCTGAAGTCCGGCAAGCCTGCCCTCGTTGAATTCTTCGCTCCCTGGTGCGGTCACTGCAAGACTCTCGCTCCCGTCTACGAGGAGCTTGGTGCTCTTTTCGCTTTCGCCGAGGACAAGGTTACTGTTGCTAAGGTTGATGCCGATGAGAACCGTGAGCTTGGAAAGCGCTTCGGTGTTCAGGGTTTCCCTACACTAAAGTGGTTCGATGGTAAGAGCGACAAGCCGGAGGAGTACAAGGGTGGTCGTGACTTGGAGAGCTTGTCTGCCTGGATTACCGATAAGACTGGAATTAAGCCTCGTGGAGCTCAGAAGGAAGCTAGCAAGGTTGAGTTCCTGAATGATGCTTCTTTCAAGACTGTTGTTGGAAGTGACAAGAATGTTCTGGTTGCTTTTACTGCTCCTTGGTGTGGACGTGAGTAGCTCCCCTGATTCCATTGAGTTGGGTATTGTTTCTTTCTTCCCGGAACGACTTGACTAACTCTGTCCGTTCTCTATCTTAGACTGCAAGACCCTCGCTCCTATCTGGGAGACCCTCGCCAATGACTTCGCCCTCGAATCCAACGTCGTTATCGCCAAGGTTGACGCCGAGGCTGAGAACTCCCGTGCCTTGACCAAGGAGCAGGGTGTCAAGGGCTACCCTACCATCAAGTTCTTCCCCGCCGGCTCCACCGAGCCCGAGGCTTACTCCGGTGCCCGCTCCGAGGAGGCTTTCGTCGAGTTTGTGAACACCAAGGCTGGTACTCACCGCTCTGTTGGCGGCGCTCTTGACACCAAGGCCGGTACCATCGCTACTTTGGACAAGCTGGTCGGCGAGTACGTGCCTACTGCTAAGTTCGACAAGCTGGCTGCTGAGCTTAAGAAGGCTACCAAGGGTCTGCAGGACAAGTACGCTGAGTACTACGTCAAGGTTGCTACCAAGCTGAGCGAGAACCAGGAGTATGCTTCTAAGGAGCTGGCTCGTCTGATTAAGCTTGTGAGCAAGGGTGGCTCTGCACCTGAGAAGCTGGATGACATTGTTTCTCGCAGCAACATTCTGCGCCGCTTCGCTGGCGAGGGCGAGGAGAAGAAGGATGAGCTGTAAACTTCTTTAATTATTTGTTTGGTTGAAGCTGGTTCCCTGTGGCTGTGGGGTTCCAGTGTATGAATATACCTCAGAGATTTTTGCTGTGGGATAAACCTATTTGGCATCCTGTTGTATTGTATGTATGAATTGAGAAATCGATTTTATGTCTAGCGGGCCTTGAGCTTAGCAATGAATGATTTGCAGGTCCTGATATTTTGTAAATAAGGATTCATGTGTGAAGATGTTTATTTTTGTGTAAAAATCTTTGCTTATTGAAACGTAGGGTATCATGATTGCGTATAAGAAACATCGCTGCAGACAGACAAGATGTTGGCTCGGATAAAATGAGCAGAATAGGATGAAACGACCGGTCTGCATACTGGCGATATGTAGTCGGCCAGCCTCGATCGTGAGACAAGATGAAAGTTCAGCGGGTATTAGAAAGGCCTAAAATGCGACGAAACCTCATTTCGTAGGTGTTGCCGAGCCGTTGCCGTTTCCTGATGCTGATAAGGAAGCCTCTAACTCATCCAGGCGACGGGTCATATCGTCCACTGGAAGGGTCAGTACACACATTGCCGAGCATTGTAGCAAACAGACATACGTTTTCCAAACACTTCCTTGGAAACATTGTCAAACTTCCCTTGAAGCTGGTCAAGGAGCTCATCAACCGCAGCAGTGAGTTGGCCTTGAGCATCGGAGTTCTACAGTAACTGGATCAGCGGAGGAAATCGCATGTGGGGGTTTGTAATCTGATTTTCATACAGGCTGTGAGAGGAATGAGCTCTCCTCCGGAGAGGTCTTGGTTGGAGAAGATTCCTCGGGCATATTATCAGACAACTTGAAAAAGATGACTCGTATAGCGCAACACAATCAACTAAAGAACACGGAGTAACGGCTAAGAGGTCTGTCTATTGTGTATGGGGCATCCGTATCAGTGTCGATAAGCGCGGATCATCACTTTCACCGTCATCCGCACCACACTAACCGTACTAGTCCTTATCGCCCACGCTAAACCACATTAGGATAAGCTCCGGTTCAAAAAAATTAAGAGCATCAATCTGCCGTCTCCCATCGACCAGTCAATTTCCAATCCCCCAACTTCCTTTCCGACCATACATACACAATGGTCAAACGCAGCAAGCTGCTTCAGGCTCTCGATGCCCACAAGGGCCGTGACTACGATGCTGAAAAGCAGAAGAAGCAAGTGAAGGCTGCAGAGAAGCGCAAAGGCGTGAAGAAGACCGACACCAGCCCGGCGAAGGCCAAGGAGCCCAAGCAAGATAAGAAAGAAGAGGCTGTGAGCTCCGAAGCTGAGGAAAGCGAGGAGGAAGAAGAAGTCGAAGAGGAGTCTGCCGAGGACAACGCCGAGGATGATGAAGAAGAAGACGAGGAAGAGGAAGAAGATATTCCCTTATCAGACCTGGAAGATGATGAGCGTGAAGATATCGTCACTCACCAACGCCTGACAATCAACAACTCCGCCGCGATCAATAACTCCCTCAAACGTATCTCCTTCATCACATCCGCAACCCCATTCTCCGAGCACAACTCCCTCGTGTCCAAAGAGCCAATCACGGTGGAAGACCCCCATGATGATCTGAACCGTGAGCTTTCCTTCTACAAGGTCTGCCAAGCCGCTGCTGCCGAGGCTCGTGGACTACTGAAGAAAGAGGGTATCCCATTCACCCGCCCTGGCGACTACTTTGCGGAGATGGTTAAGAACGACGAGCACATGGACAAGATCAAGAAGAAGCTGTATGACGAGGCAGCCGGCAAGAAGGCTGCTGCTGAGGCGCGCCGCCAGCGCGACTTGAAGAAGTTCGGCAAGCAGGTGCAGGTCGCCAAGTTGCAACAGCGTGCTAAGGAGAAGCGCGAGACTCTTGAGAAGATCAATGACTTGAAGAAGAGTATGTTTGACCCGAAACCCTTCCTTTTATCCCACTCTACAACATTTCATACAATATACTAACAATATGTTACAGAGCGCAAGGCTGATTCTGCCGCTCCTACCGACGATGCCAATGATCTTTTCGATGTGGCCATTGACGATGCAGGCCAGACCGAGAGCCGTAAGCGCGGCCGTGGTGAGAATGGTCCTCACTCTAAGCGTCAAAAGAAGGATCAGAAGTTTGGCTTCGGTGGTAAGAAGCGTCACGCCAAGAGCGGTGATGCTGCTTCCAGTGGTGACATGCGTAGCTTCTCTGCTAAGAAGATGAAGTCTGGCTCTAAGCGCCCTGGTAAGAGCAAGCGTGCTCAGGGACGCATGTAAGGTACTTGCTATCTGAACAAGCATGGAGGATGGCTGAGGCGTATGAGGCGCCATAAAAATTCCCAAATGTGGAGATTTCCGCACTGTTGTTTCCTGTAATAAATAGAGTTACCCTGCATCTATGATGAATTGACTTATTATTTTTGTCCCATTTTTTTGTCCACGAGTCCAATCTGAACATCATCTATCCTGCAAACCAAAAGCATTTGAACTATGTAATTTATTTGATGTAACAAAATACAGTAATTTTGCTATATACAGGCTGATAGTACGTTATCGTTACCGTGTCCCTTCTTATCGCAGCGAATAAATTACACAAGCTATCAGATCTTCATCCCCGAAGTCTTCCAATCTTCACTTTTCCCACCCATTGCTATACCGATGCCCTTCCCACCAGGGTTCCGACTCTTCCGCAAAACAATGTCAGGCGAAAAGATCCTCGAAGGCTGCTTTGGTATGATCCCATCCCCTTTTCGCATACAACAAGTCTAACTTCAAACCAGCCATCCACAAGCCCCAAGGCGTCACATCCGCCGATGTCCTCCGCACATGCCAAAAACACTTCAATCCCTCCAAAACATTTGCGCCATGGCTTGAAGATGAAACTGCCCGACGAAAGCGCGAAAACTCCTTCCAAAAAAGGCGTCGTCGCGACAAGCGTGTAGAAGTTAAGATTGGTCATGGCGGTACGCTTGATCCTCTCGCAACAGGCGTTCTCATCGCAGGCGTGGGAAAGGGAACAAAGTCACTGCAGGATTTCCTAGGTTGCACCAAGTCCTACGAGACTGTTGTTTTGTTTGGTGCTGAGACAGACTCGTATGATCGTCTTGGGAAAATTGTGCGTCGGGCTCCGTGTGAGCATGTCACGCGGGAGAAGGTTGAGGAGGCGCTGAAGCAATTCCGCGGAAAGATTATGCAGCGGCCACCTATTTTTTCGGCGCTCAGAATTGATGGGAAGAGATTATATGAGTATGCGCGTGAGGGGAAGATGCCGCCTGTTGAGATCAAGTCTCGGCCTGTTGAGGCTGTGGAACTAGAGATTATGGAATGGCTTGAGCCTGGAGAGCATGAGTTTAAGTTTCCCGAGGTGGAAATGGAGGGCGACGAGAAGGTTGTTGCAGAGAGGTTGCTTGATAAGGAGAATGCTGAAACTGCAGAGACTGCTGTGGAGGGAACTGAGTCTTCCAAGCGCAAGCCGTCGCCTGAGGCGGACTCGAATCAGGATGCTTCCAAGAAGCAAAAGGTTGGCGAGAGTGGAGAGGCTCAGCCAGCTGCTGCGTCTGAGTCTGAGCCCGCCGCTCCAGAGTCAGCATCTGAAGCTGCACCGGTTGCTGAGACCACACCAGTTCAGCCCCGGTCACCTGCTGTGAAGATCAAGATGACTGTTACATCTGGTTTCTATGTTCGGTCTCTAGCACATGATCTGGGCAAGGCTGTTGGTACATGCGCATTCATGAGTGAACTTGTCCGCAGTCGCCAGGGTGAATTTGAGTTGCACCCCGATAAGGTTCTTGAGTACAAGGATTTGGATGCCGGCGAGGAAGTCTGGGGCCCGAAGGTGACGCAATTCCTGTCCGAGTGGGAGGAGAAAAGAGCTACCAAGGCAAAGGCTGAATCCGAGGCTCCTAAAGAATAGATATACATTGGTGCCCACTGGCACCGCATTGGTAGTTGGTGTTTAATCCGCAAAAGAGACTTGGAGGACAAGATATATCCACTGGATTTGTAAAATAATACCTGTACTATTACATATCCTTCGTACATACTGATCCAAGCTTGTCTTCTATAAATTCTGAAAGTCTGAATCCATACTAGCCAACTTACTGCCGCACTAAAGGCCAAACTACCCATGCATATAACTGTGCATCCAAAAATATAAGACGTCAACTTTGGAAAGGTCTACCCTGAAAACGTAAAGAAAGATCCGCAATATCCGCATATGCGAGCATGGGTCAACCCCGAGCGGATAATCCAAGCCTATCGCATGGTCGAGGTTCACCCTCTGAGCGATGTACCACGGTTCGTGCCGATTGGGTCTTCAATGCCTTGAATTTGAGTTTTGAACTGATTTCCGAGATCGAATTATAAGAATAGACCGATCTCTAGATTAATCTAATCAAAGCAACTCATTTCTCATTTCTTCAACATATATCCAAGCTTACTGGAGACATCACCTACTAGTAGTATACACCTTCCTCGAACTCCGCTGTCTACACACAATGCGACTTATCAACATTCTCTCTTTGCCGGCAATTGCTGGTTGCACTATGGGCAACCCTGTAGTACAACGCGCTGTATCAGTACAGATTCAAAATTTCCATGCCGACCTTTACTCCAATAATTCGCTGGGCACACTCCAATTCGCAGTACAGAGCCCCGGTAACAATATAGATGATTCATGCTATATATATTGGTAAGTACAGAAGAGTGCTCTACCCGCCGCACCTGATCATTATATTATTTCATTTTGATCTTCTATATCAATCGCGAGCTCTCGCTCATGTCTTCCATTCCCATTTGTGACCTCAGAAATGCGAGAACGACAAGCATCGCTAACAGTAATATTTACTAGGAACCCGAGTGGTGCGATCCAGCCGGGCATGGATCCTAACAAATGCGCTCAAGATCATTTTGAATTTGGATTTCGATATGGATTGCAGATTGAGAACTTTTCTATGTATTTGAATCAAGTGGGTGGTACGACGCAGGCTGTCTACCAGGTACTCAATTCCGAGGCGAAGGATTCTAAGTGGGTTTGTACCAAGGACCCAAATGAGGGGATTAAAGAAAGCTGTGAGTACAACGGGGTATTGAGCATTAATTTTTGAGGTCAGCAGTGAGTTTCCAGAGATTCTATCAGCCCTGGTAGAGTCAAGAACTTGCCCAGGTGAAAAATCATGATGTATATGTATATATAGATTGTCCAGTTATTGCGTCTTTTGTTGTTGGAGTTTTTTTCTGAAAATAGGTAGTACTTCTGTATCTTGATAACTGAAATGAATGATACGGTGAACTGAACTGCCGCTTCAAACCATTATATTTGAACAGTGGCCTGTGAGTTTTGAGTATATTGGACCCATAAATGAATACAGATCGCCGATATACCTACCTCACTCTCTACGGGTAATGAGATGGGTGGCCATTTATAATGCACCTAATGAGTGCAGTTTATTAGGCTAGGGAGCCTGCGCTCAAAGTTGGAGCCTCAGGCACATGATTCAGCTCGCCGATCCTCCAGTTACCTACACTTGTTGATGTCCCGCAAGATTCCAGAGCACTTCTCTCACTTTATGTATTTGAACGTGCCTTCCTCACCTTCTCACTCTCATACACCATGCCGCGACCGCAACCATGAGCTCCCACGAAGAAAATGTCCTGCCTCCCATTGATCCATCCATCTCCGATGAGAATGATTGGTGGGAGTTCGGCTTGTCCGATGTCAAGGTCTTGCGGCCAGGAAAGATGCTTTACGCGAATCTGCTTGAAGCGACTGATGAGAACCCCGTGCAGGTAATTGGTGAGCTGCAGCTCAACCCGAACCAGGAACACTTGGGTAAGCACTCAATAAACTCTATATCTAAATACCGAGTCAACGCGTCTGATCGATTACTTACATCTGTTCTTCTTCCTTTAGCACTCAACCCCGATGCCCTCTCCAAACGAATTATTATCGACGAAGTTACCCATTATGCCTACGGCCAAACAGAAGATCGCAGTGTTGAGCTCTGGGTTGCCGGTAAGGCGGGGTGGTACCGGATCTCGCCCGCCAAAGGCTACCTACCGCACTACAATCGTATGGTTCAGGCCGTGGACATGTACTACTTCTTGATGGACAAACATCAAAATGGGAAAAAGCATATCAATCCTACGTTCAGGAGTTTGTGTGAGCAGGTAGGTCATCATCCTTTGCGACCTCAATACGCGCATCTTCGCGTACAAGCTGGCTCCCCTGCTAATTCCGAGACAGTACGTCTTCCATACGCATGGTGACTGTGAGACAAGGGAACAATCAGCTGAAGTGTTCGGGATGCACGGTCCTTTTTTGCTTCGTTGCATGGTCGAGGATGACGAGGATATGGGGTGGAATAAAACGCACGTCTTCATTCACCTCCGTCGCAAATTCAAGGTATTTAGCCCAAAAATTGTTGCATTTCGAAATGCCGCGATGCTGATTTGGGAACAGGATGAATATAAGGAGATCATGGACCGGTTGTCCCCTCAGTCTGACAAGAGTGACGAGGATGAAGATGAGGATGTTTCTCCAATCACAACTCCTCGACACGATCCAGCCTCAATTGCCAAATCACAAACAGATGCTGTCTACCGCCTGATACAAGATTTAAAGGAAGAAGGCCATTTGGCAAAACGCCGATTAAACTTGGACTTGGTGTGTGAGCGATTATCTGAACGCTATTCATTTAGCAAGGAGAATGCTAGTAAGATCATTGCCGCCAGGGCGGAAGCCGTTCTTGAAAAGTTAGATGAGGAAGAAACATCTGCGGTTCGATGGTCTCGCTATGTCATCCACAGAGAACTCAAATACGCTGCCTCTCAAGACGAACCTCTACCTCCAACTCTATTGACACCCCTACAACCCATCGAAGACTCCAGTGATGACGAGGCTCTTACCCGGACTCAGAAGTCTGTGCTTCGTCCCAAGAATGCCTCCAAGTCTGCGAAAGTGATGGGTAAACGAAATCGCAACTCAACTGCAGATCAACAGGTCACACAGGATGGTGATGATGATGATGATGCGGACGATGACGATGATCCAGACGCGATGTCGGATATTGAAACACCTAGTAAAACCCGTGGACATGAACTCATTCGAACTCCACTGGCATCTGCGAAACCAAAAAATCGGACAAAATCTTTCTTAAATAAAGATAGTCCCGCGGCTGCTCTCTTTAATTCCATTCTCCAAGATACTCCACAACCCTCAAGCTCCCTTACTTCATCTACTCTACCCATTGCGAAGCCAGATTTTGGCGGAATCCCTCCCCTTCCCGATCTGAACAACAATATTGATCCCGACCCTCAACCCGAACCCGAGCCAGAATCAGAGACCTGGACTTGCCGCATGCAAGGATGTCCTATGGTTATAAACACCAAGGGCGATGAACGCCAAAAGGAGATTGAACACCATGCCGGTGAGCATGACTGGGACACACAAATGCGAGTTGAGCTCGTCGAAAAAGAACAGCGCATGCATACTGCTTTTCCCGTTAGCAATCTCATGAAGTATTTGCTTAGCCAGCATTACCAACAGATGCGTGAAGCCTTCCCTGAAATTTACACTGCAAAGAATGGAAACGATGATATCAACGGCAATGCGAATGGAACTGCTTCGCCTGAACACTCCGAGCCCATTGAGAATGGAAATTCGGTTGTCACTCCAAGTCCCCTGTCCCCCGAGGGGCCTGAGGACCATGCTATGAATGGCCATGCAACTTGAATGTCTCCTTGAGGCCCTGACGAACATAACGCCCGAACCCTGACGATTGCATCTGACGAAATTTGCTCGAAGCTAACCTCGCAAACTTAACTTGCTGTTCTAATAGGTACGTTCATTTCTTCATCCCATAAGCAGGATTCCATGTCTGATGATACCATTGCCGCAGACAACAATTCATGTACTTATAGAAAATTGTAACACCCTTTCAGTGAACGTCTTCTTCAGTTCTAAACCAATTCCTGGTCGACTAAAATGACAAACCTATATTCATGGGCCTCGAGCGTTTCTGAATAGCACTGATCCACCTCACCTCCATCAGACATAATAACCTTGGCCCCTCAAGTGTAACTTGGCAATCGATTATGAAACTGGTCTTCTCCCGAGGTTCATATCTGATTGATTAGATCCGCACCTCAACCGCATAAATAAGAATCCCCCCTCCCCATTACTTGTACATAAAATTCCTCTTTCTATTCGATTTCCAAATTTATCTCCTGATATAAACAAACTAAGTTTTTATAATGGCAGATAACCGCCACCTGGCCATAGCCCACCCTCAATGGACCGACGTAATACCTTCTTCCCCTCCTCATCTTGAACGTCGAGTACCGTCTTGCACCGGAAAATCCATTCCCCATCGGATTCGAGGATAGTTTTGATGTGGTTCGCTGGGTAAGGGAAACCCGAGAGACTGTCTTACCTACTACTTGATATACTCTCTTGTCTGCCATGTGTTCAGAGATATATATGCTTACTTTATTTTGGAACAGACTGTTTCAAATGGCACGGAAAAGCTACCAATTGACCTCCAGCGCGGATTTTTGCTAGGTGGCACATCCGCCGGCGCTAATTTCACAATGGATATTGCCCATTTAGCTGTGCAGAAGGGACTATCTCCTTTGCTGACGGGCTTTCTCTTCCTGGCTGGTAGCTTTTGTCATCCCGATGCAAGACCAGCAGAATACAAGGATCGGATTCTAAGCGTAGATAAAATTAATGATGCGCCGGGGCTGACTCGGACATCCATTGATTATTTTGCTGGTATGTTATTATGTTATTTGCGTACATTGTGATATATTATTTTTCACTTTTCTTTTTCTTTTGCTGGTTGATGGATATGTTAATTGGGTTCGTGAGTTAGCTAAATACGGCGCCCCGCCTGAGGATAAGCGTCTTTCATCGCTACTCTTCGAGTCTCATGCCAATCTGGCGCCTAAGGCTATATTTTATGTTTGTGGGTGGGACCCTAGACGGGATGAGGCTTTATTGTTTGGGAACTATTGGAGAAAGAGGGAGTTGCGGTGAAGTCGTATGTTTATCCTGGGTTGCTGCATGGGTTTTGGACGACTTATCCTGATTTAGAGGTTTCGAGAGCTTGGGAGCGAGATTTGATCGAGGGCGTGGGACTTTTGTTGAGATAGCCTTCCCTCGCCGGATTAGATAGTCTGAAGCTCAACGTTAGAGTGAGATTTTCTTCAATGCCAAGTCAAAAATCTGATCTAAATAAAAGAGTCTATCCTGCTCGTGACTCCATATTACCCTGAAACAGTATACTAGATATACCGTTTCTGAAGAATAAACCAAAGTTAAGACAAAAGACCAGCAGTGTGCGTAGCTAAATCTTTGACTGAAGGGTTCATGAAAACAATCCAACATCGACATTCAAATCAACGAATCAGCAAAAGATTCCCAGTTTCATGATGGATATTGGCCAAGTTGTTCTTTAAGTACTCTCAGGCGGATTGCATCATTCTCTAACTCTGCCGTGCAGACATCTTCGAGCAGCTCAGCTCGCTTATCTGGGATCCTGCTTGCTTGTTTGGCACATGAGTCAAAGTCTATGACGACAAAATCGTCCCCGTCTAGGTCTGTAAACATAATGTTTTAAGGATTAAGATCACTGTGAACAAGACCAAGACTAAGGAGATGATTGATGCCCGCCTCAGCCTGACTAACGACTTTCGATATCGACTGGCTTCTCGGAGCCGAACATAAAGTGATCGCCAAGCGTCTCAGCATACCTCTGAAAGCAGAGCCCAGTAATCCGATTATCTTCAACAACATATCCAAGATAACGAACAACGTTTGGGTGGGGATGCTTCAAAAGAATTTCGCAAATTTTCGCTTCTTGGAGCAGCCAAGAGCTGGGTGCTCCTGTACCCTGGTAGCTGGTAAGTTGAGCCCGCTTGATAAGAATGTCTGGCCTGTTGGGATCATCGCATATTTTCAAGTTCAAGTTTGCTTCGAATGAAGGCCATATGTGCTCTTTTGGAATCTTGGTTGGGTGGTGATCTGGTGAAAGGTGGGAAGTCTTCTGGGCTCTTCAAGAGCCCATGAATTTCATGTAAAAAGAAGTCATCACCCTCTTCGAGAACAACGTTAATGCAGGAGAATCTTGGGATGGGCTTAAAGTCCCAGTACTCTGCCATAGAATGAACCTTCATATCTGATGGATGTAAATCAACCTTAAAATTTAGAGTCTGGTAATAGCCTGAGATTCTAGTCTTGAAACCGAGGTACTAGTATGGAGGGTGCTTGACTGTGAGCAAATTATCGGGGTGACTTGGCCACCTTATGTACTACATTTATTAATACTACCTATTAAGTTAGTCGGTTCTCGGTCCTGCTCATGCAGTGCCCAGTTGCATTGGCAATCGCCCTGGGGTTAGGCGTTATTCCAAAGATCCGAAGCGACCGCCATTCGTGATGGCCGAAACAATTTATTTCCCTTTGATTTATGTCCGTTTACTAGGGGGTGTCTGCCATTGGATAATCTTTTCCGACACGTACAACTTGAAACAATTCGATTATGGAATAGGTACACAGTACTATATACCAAAGGGTCAGTACATGCCAACGAACATGTTTGTAAGGCGGCTTTGCGAACCTTGGGTTGCATCACCAATAAGACTAGATGAGCCACAGCCCAAGGAAGCCAGGGCAGGTTCCCATACGGAGGGACCAAAACCTGGAAACGGTGAGGAAGGCTTACCAAACTTTAAAGCGAGATTTTGCTAGCAAAAACTGACACAAGTTTGTATGTAACTCTTTAGCCTAGCACATCTTTATGGCCCAAAGGAGGCCTGGAGAGCGGTTTACGCCCACTCTCCCTAGATGTAAAACTATATACTATACTATACTATATTACTAGTACTTGGAACCGTCTTTGGACATGTAAGATCTGGCATAAACAAATATTCATATGAACAGCAGACAATTACGACTAACATCTATTAACCTGCACAAGTTGAGCCAGGTGCTCAATTGGCATTAGCAGATCAGACAGCTCAATATACCGGTTACGATCAAATAACTTGAGAAAACGACCAACGGTTCTAAGAAGACAAGTGCCACCAAAAGCAAATGACATGCAAGCAAAGAAATTTATCCAGTGAATATAAGAATGATAGAACTAGGGAAAAACTCCAGGCCTCGCAGGAAGCCGATGCTAGATAGAGCACAAGGCCTGCTGTACATGGAAGAAAGTGGGAGAGAGAAGAAAGCTTTTTGACTTTGAGGGGTATACCACGAAACATGCCACATATATCACGAGCAGACATCGAAAAGAGATAAGAAAAAAGAGACGTTGAGAGCAGAGTAGTGTAAAAAGAGGATGGGGAGAGAATAAGACAGTTAATAGAATGGATATGAAGACGCAAGGTCCAGTTGGTCAAACAAATGAGGAAAAGGGGCAATGTATGCAAAGTATGACAGGATGCTGTGATTGAATGTAGTGCAAGCTGTAAGTCAGATGGTGTTATTGAAGAGAATTGAAGAAGATAGAAAATGAGATTGATGCAGGGAGTGTTGTGGGAGTGTTGTGGGAGGAATCCAGTCCTCCGGTTTATAGAGTGTTTATGATTGATTGGCAGTGTGAGCTTCGACAAGGGCTAGAATAAGGTTAGTATTTATGAATCCAAAAAATGATAGATTGGCAGATTGTGAAGGGGGGAAAAACTTACTCTGCAAGACAGAGGATTGTCCCTGTCGAGATTCACAAGCACACTGAAGGGTGCTACCATCCAAGAAGTCCAGCAGAATACTATTAGGAAGCTCTTGCATGTCCTCATCCGGGAGACAGGGAGTTCGGAACTCGGTGAGATGATAGCGCTTGATCATGTTACGAGCAGTCGCGTCGTTGGTTCCAGGTGCAAGCACCAGGTACCCATTCTCGTCAATGCGCATGCAGCGACGCTTCCAGAGAAGCGTATCCGGGAACTGGACGTTGACCTCACCGATTTCGACGGGCTTTGACAGACTCTGGTGCGAAGATGATGGTGAAATTGCAAACTCCCCAGCAGCAACGAAGCTAGTATCTTCCTCTTTGACAGGCGAGCTCAGAGCTCCAATAATGCTACGACGAGATGTAGAGGTGATCGACGACATGCGGCGCATCAGGCGTGAGGCACGAGATCCTTTCTTGTCTTCGGAGGTTGGAGAGGAGTGCAAATTTTCGTCGGTCTTCGAGCGCGAGGAAATAGAGAGCCGGCTTGCGGGACGAGAGACGGGAGCCTGTCGGCTGGAACCAGCAGATGAAATAGACATACTTCGGTAATCTAGGCTGGCGATGGGCTCAGTCGTTGCGGGTCGAGGCGCAGGTTCCACGGATGAGCCATGCTCCACGGTCAGCGGACTAGCTTGAAGATTAAGAACATCGGATTCGGAAGGCTCCGCAGTAGGAGAGCTAGACGAAGTACTAGGTTCGCGTATGATGTGCGCAGTTACAGAGATTGAGTTGGTCCGGCGGGCCATGTTGGGAGTGGGGCGCGAGTCGTGGAGATTCAAGCTTGGCGCACGAGAAAAATCGGGGAGACCGACATCGCCAGGGTAAGAGACAGATGCACGCTTGCGAAGGTTCTCAAAGGAAGAAGAGGTAGACGGTCCGGACGCGGGGTGGGTGGGGACTGTGGGTGTACCCTCCCGACTTGAAAACTTTTCCAAAGCCTTGATGCGGCTTGAGATGCCAGACGAGACATTGATCTTCTTTGCCATGAGGACTGGGGTCGGGGGCGTATTGTCAACATAAGAGCTCGACGCAGATCGACCGCCCATGGCTAGAGTTTGTGAGACAGAAGGCGACGGAAGGCCATTGGGACTCGATACAGCCCGGGATGGGCTTCTCCAGTGATGGCCACCGTTTGGCGAGTTGACAGTGACCGGTCGGGCCTCCTGCACAGTGGCAGATCTCAATTCCTCCATGAAAGAATCGTCTGAAAGAAGACAGTCGTCATCCGAGTATTCGGGAGTTGGCACGTGGATAGGTTCAAGGTGGATCTTCCGTCGCTGGTCTAAGGGAAGAAGAGAGTCCGATTTTCCAACCTTAGGTTCCTGGGGTGTATATTCATCTAGCGGGACAGGGTGAATTGATACGGACACAGGTGCGACCGTGGGCTCGGACTCGGAAACAGGTGGGGATTCAATCGACGGCGCAACGTGGATGGAAACGAGCTCAGGGGCTTCTTCGGGGGTTGGTTCCACAATGGGAACCTCCAACTCTTCAGTAACTGGTGCAGGGGTCTGTGACTTGGGAGAAGGAGAACGATAAAGATCAAGTTCAGATGGTTGTTCTGGAACTTCTGGAATATCAGTGGGGACAGTCTCAAGGGGCATTTCGACATCCGCGCTAGGTGGGACTAGGTTGTCCTTAGTTTCATTTTCATCGGCAATGGTGGGATCCTCCAGCTCCGCACGTGTTTCATCTCCATGAAATGTCTGCAGCGTCTCCAATTTTATAGTCTCCATGTTATCACCATGGTCAGTAGAGAATGTGGTATCGGCGCTGGGTCTTGAAGTATGTGAGGATGGTCCGCCATCGGAATCTGACACAGCGTTGTCGGTCGAGGATTCTGGTTTGGATGGCTCAAAGGATATCTCATTCAAGATTTCCTCCTTTGTCTCAACTGGAACTTCAGGGGGCGCATAATCCGGAGCAGGTGGTTCAGCTGCTGGGAGTGGCTCGGGTGTTGGGAGAGGTTCAAGCGTTGGCAAAGTAACTTCTACCGGCTTTTCCTCTTTTTCCAGCTGCTCCGGTTCGGGTATCTTCGTCTCAACAGACACCGAATTGACATTCTCATTCTCCTTGTTTTCCTCGGGGTCTTGCTTCACATCGGCTTGTCCTTTAGGTTCTTCCCCCTCAGTAATGGTTGACTTTCTCTTCTTCGTATTTTCTGCTCGTTTGGCCATTGCTTTCCGTCGTTGCTGGAGTGCCTTCATCAATCGTTCCTTTTCAGGTGTCAATCCGGACGATGTTGATAATGCACCCAAAGATTTGGCGCCCGGCGACAGTTGAGGTCTCGAAATTGGAATGCTGGGAGGAGGTATGAGAAGTGAAGGGATCGGTGGTGCGCGGCTGCTTGGTCTGGCCGCGAAAGAGCTGCCCTGAGAGCGGGGGCGAGGGGGTTCAGCAGCGGCGGGTGCTTTTCGCACTGAGGATGAGCGCATGTTTGATGGAAGTGAAGCAACGGGCCGTTGCTCTGCATTCTTAGAACTTCCAGATGTACGCGGCCGTCCAGCCTGATCCAAAGATGGGCGTGGTCCATATTTCACCTTGCCGCTGCTTGAATATGTGGAGGCCCGTTCCAATTCTCGCAGTGAGGGGCGTGCCGATTGCGTAGACATCCGTACTTCGTCTGATGGGCGCGGAAACTCGTCCAAAATATTTCGGTATCGGGAACGACTAGAACTGGAATCCGGGGAACGAGGAGTGGGAGAAGTGGTCTCTGAGTGGGTTTCGCTGGGGGCTCCTCGTGAAGGCGGGGGTCTGGAGCTCGCTCGCGATGGAGGGGGACGGAGATCTGGAGAGGTGGTTTCGATCTCCGGGGAAGTTGGAATTGGAGAAGCGATGGGGGGTACGACGGTTGCCTCTGACTTCTGGCTGCCTGACCCTCGTCTCATTTCACTTTTAGGTGGTAATTGCGGTTGTGAAGGCGGCGCCTGCTGCGCCTTTTCCTTGGCCTCCTCCTTTGCACCGCTCTCCTCCGCATCCTCCGTTATTTCCATTAGCCTTCGGCGACGTAGGGAGCTCGTAGACGAAGTAATTGAACCGGAGGCCGTGTGGAGCAGACATGCGGAAGAGAGCGCGCTCTCGTTGAGATCGGAAGCCTGGGTTAAGGGGAGCACAGTATCGTTCGGGGTGAACTTGTCGAGGACCGATTGGAATTGCACATTGCTTCGCGCTAGAGTAAAAAAAGCTTCGTTAGTTTCCCGTCTCAGACCATGGGAGGTGGCGAGATTTGCATACCTAGTATAAGTCTTGACAACCCTTCGGGCATATACCGGAGTATGACTTTTCTGCGCCGGTAGTGCAGAAATCCATAGAGCGGGGATATTTCCTCATAGGTGTCGATGGTGTTGCGCACCTCGGGCACCCCGCCGGTGCCTCGACCGAACAAAGCCACCTCATCTCTGGCGATGTAGTGTAGAAGGATCCTAGAAGGAGAAGCGGTCAGATTCTTGGAGTCTTTCGTGGCATGGTGAGATGTGCAACCTCAAAAAAAAAAAGAGGGCGAGAAAGGGGTGAGACAATAGAAGTATGGCTAGAACCAGGGTTTGGGGGAAGGGAGCCTGGGGATTCGATGGAAGGATTGCGAAGCATTCCGCAACGATGATCTCAACTTACCATCCACCCGCATCAGCAAGAGCGCTTTGGTAGGCTTCGACGACGGCGGGAGTATCTAGCCCATTGAGAGACATGGCGCGAACGACATGGAGACAGGTGAGAGAGCACCGATCGAAGTCAGAAAAGGGGGGAGAAACTTCAGGTGTGAATTGGGTAGCGAACGTGGACTCCCTATCAGCAGGAAGGAAAAGGAGGGGACTGAGAGCGAGAGAGAGAGAGAGAGAGAAGGAACTAGCCAAGAGATCTGGGCCGAGCGAGTCTCGAATGGGGCCAGTTGAGATCTCACGATCGAGATATACCCAATCAAGGCAGATGGAGACTTGACAGAAAGTGGGCGAGGACAAGGAATTGCCAGGACCCAAGGGGATTCTGTTGAGTCTGATAGGCTCTAGCAGACGGAGAAAGCCACGAACCTCGAGCTTCTTTGCCTTCAGGGGGCAGCCGTTTCCATTCGTTCGGCGACTCCACTCGCGGCTATCCCAATTTAAGGTGACCAAATCTGAAACGCCCGTTCCGTTCGGAGTCAATGCTCTTTATAGTTTAGAGAGCGCGATTCGGATTCGGTTAATGGGTAAGCGAAGGAATCCGTGGATTGTAAAAGGGGGAAGTGTTAGCTTACTATGTAGCTTTATTAGCTCTTTCAATAGAAAAGTAATGTACGAGGTCGCAGGGACATTCCCTGTACCACTCCATATCACTGGGGAAGAATGCCATGATCTCATTTAAGCTGATATGAAGCAGGTTATGCCCCGCAGTGTGGTCAAATCACGATCTAGGGGGTTCAATTGTGTACTCCAGGGCTACTAGTATGCGTGCTTTTGCCATGATATGCAGAATTCCACGGTAGATTTGGGTTCCTCCCGAAGTCCAGGCTCTAAACTGGGAAAGATCAGAATGTTAATAGATATTGTAGTGCCTAGATTAGAGTCTCGTATTTGTGTGGGAAATAGTATATACTAGTAGTAATTATATGCAGTTCGTATACTTCGGTGCATTACTCCCGAGTTATTTCATGCAGTAGAAGTACAGCCCTGAAGCACTGAGTGTGCATGTGATAAGATTAAGACAGCCACTATTTAAAACATTCTAACCGCCGTGCATATCAAAAGCATCCAAATATTACAGAAATAGAATTCCAGCTCCAACTGATCTTCATACTTTAAATGGTGGCTCACCCCCAGAACAAGTCCATGGGTCACACTCTCCCATAGTGAAGAGATGGCGCGCATATCCCCGCCCGTACAACTTCCTCGGCGAGCCCCGATGACCAACGTCTCCATTACTTATACCGACCAGCTTCCTCGATAAGAAAAGGAAAAGAGAGAGAAAACTTATGTTCAACATCCAATACATTTACAGGTCAATACAAATCAACGAATCATCATCACCATGGATCTCCCTGCGCTATCTACAATTCCTTCGCTTCCCCAAGAAGCCCAACTCCGTGTACTGGACACTCTCTTCGAACCATCCCCCCGAACTGCACCAATTGATGATTCCCGTACTAGCCAATCAAACATTTTCATCTTACGGTTCTCTCATCGATGCAGTAGGTGGTCGCATGTCGGCCCTCTCTGCTGTCAACTCCCCCACCGACAAGAATGTGCTATTTGGCATCCTGGGTTCCCACCCTCGTCTCGGTCGCGCGCCCGCCAACCCCGAGCATTTGAGCGAGTTAAGTAAAAAAGAGCAGGAACAATTAAATACTGGCGCAGAGGAACAAGCCGAGAAGCTTCTGGAATTGAATGCTGAATACGAGTCACGATTTCCCGGCCTCCGATTTGTGTAAGATTTGATTCCTTAACCCCTCCCCCACATTTGATCCTGGTTGTTTCGCAGAATCGCTGATCTGATCTCTTATAACGATAAGCTCCTTTGTCAACGGCCGCGCCAGAGATGTGATTATGGTCGAAATGCGCCAGCGTATTGACCGGGGAAACGAAGACAAGGAAATTGAGGAGACTATTCAGGTAGGTTTGCCGCTATAATCCTACCTCGCCTTTTAGCGTACTTGGCTATGGAAGAGAGAAGAAGAAAAAAATTAATCTTACTCGTGATAGGCTATGTGTGATATTGCAAAGGACCGAGCCCGAAAGTTACAGGCGCGCATTTAGAAAATAGATAATCCAAAGTATTGATATAGGTGTTATATGAGATGATACGATCAATGAAACAGTTCGGTGCCACCTTTATATGGTAAAAAGTCTAGATGAATCGACTGTCAATTGAGGCTTGTTAGTGATAAGCTCGGGAGAGGCGAAAAGGGTCCATCAACCTATGGGGGCTCCACCTGTTTCTCTCTGGGCCCAATTTGATGTCATCCATCTCCTCCGGTCGTTGCCGCTTAGCCTATCGCTCGTTTTTCCCGGCTTGAACCCTATTCTTTTTTTCTTTTCGTTTTCATTTCTTTTCTCTTTCGTGAATAGATCGTAACCTCTCCTCCTCCCAATTCCTTTGGTCACCCTATATATATACCACTTCATGCGCTCGACGCGCACCACACGATGGTGGAGGGCAGCGCGGACCAGTCATTGCCCCGAGCGTCGACCCCAGCGATAGCAGGGGATGCTAAATCGCCGCTCAGAGCCTCGACATTTCCCGGTATGTGCAGTTTACGAGTTTGGAAAATTGGAGTCTCGCCCAGTTTGATTTCCAATGTACCCCGATTGGTGTTTGTAGTCCTGCACGGGAGCGGGGCTCGTATACATCTTAAGAGGGAGAAAAAAGAAGGAAGAGAAGATTGGATAGATATGACGAGGTCCAGGGTCTATGAAAAGTGAAATTGGCTGACCCAAATATATTCATGCTTTCAGGCTCGGTCAACTCAGAGTTTGCGTCCGGTTCTAGTAACAGCCATCACGATGCGCAACGAAATACTCGCCAACCAGCGGCTATTGGAGGTCCGCTGGTTAGGAACTCGACTTCGAACACGTTGCATGAAACCCGGACAGAAACAAGTGCTATCGATCCGTTATCACAAGTAAGCAGCCAATCTGCCCTTTTGCGCTTACTTCCCAGCCCATCTTACATCATGTCGCGTGCTCCGAAGCGCAAAGCTGGGGAATAGGAATGCGCGCATGCAAGGACCCTCTCTAATGCTTTATATCTTCCTTTTAGCATATCATTCAACGCACGAATACGCAAAAGTCAATTCCCTTAAAACTATTAGGCCGGGCATCGTACGAGGCTGAAGCCCGGGGCTCGGAGTATAACCTGTCAGATCATAGTGCCGCCCGGGGAGATGCAGCATCAAACTCAAAATTGCCTAAGGAAAAGAAGTAAGTTTTCATGATCCTAAATAAGGTCCTGCAGCAGCCTTGTGCTCTGTGTTACCTCCGCAAGATTCCCTAAGAGAGAGAAAAGGGTTAAAAAGGAAACTTTCCCCTACTTCTGATCTTCATCCTCTCCATATGGCAACCCATCGGGAGTTTGGAATCTGCAAACGCCGATGGACTTGCATCCTGAACCATAACCATGAATCTACCACAATTGAATGAAATTGCATGTGACTAACAACACGCTCGCGTCCCTTCTCAACAGAAAAGGTGTCTCTTTCCTAAGTCGCATCATTGGTAACAAGAAAAAAGATACTTGGTCTGAGACAGAGGACGACACTTCAGAAGCAGAGACTAGCCGCATGTCCCTCGATACTGCAAATCAAATAGGGTTTATCCCTCGACATGCAGCACCTTCACGGTACATGAAGGTTAGGGCTCATTTCAAGAAGGACAAAAAATTTGAACATGTATTCCTAGCCCAAGAGCTGCAAGGTTCCAATGAGGAGGAGAAACCCTCAGCTGCAAGTAGACGATTGTCTACTAGATCTACGAAGGATGAAGGCCTAGGCAAGGCAATTTGGGCCATGTGTTTCTCTCATGACGGCAAATATTTAGCAGTGGCTGGACAGGACCAAGTAATCCGGGTATGGGCCGTCATTGCCACACCAGATGAACGGGAAGCAGCTACGGGAGAAGGTGGTGAAAAGTTTCAGGCGCCTGTGTTCTCGCCTAAGCCTGTGCGTGTTTATGAGGGACATAAGGGTAGCATATTGGATCTTAGTTGGAGCAAGGTATGCTATATGAGAACGCTTCCCTTTTAACCACTTCCAGTGTGAGAAAATATGCAGCTAACAAGCACAAATAGAACAATTTCCTACTTTCATCGTCAATGGATAAGACAGTCAGACTATGGCATACTAGTCGATTGGAATGTCTTTGCTGTTTTCAACATGGTGATTTCGTCACCTCAGTCCAGTTTCACCCGAAAGATGATCGCTTCTTTTTGGCTGGCTCTTTGGATACCAAGTTACGACTGTGGAGCATTCCAGACAAGAGTGTCGCTTTTTTAACGGCAGCACCAGATATGATCACGGCTGTGGCGTTTACCCCGAATGGCAAGTATTGCTTGGCTGGATGTTTGAATGGCTTGCTCAATATCTATGATACCGAGGGTCTTAAGGTATCTGGCCAAATCCACGTTCGATCTACTCGAGGGCGCAACACGAAAGGCGCAAAGATTACTGGTATCGAGACCATTATCACCCCTGAGGACGATCCTAGTGGAGATATCAAAATACTGGTTACGAGCAACGATTCACGAGTTCGGGTGTATGATTTCCGCGAACGAACCATCGAAGCCAAATTTCGAGGGAATGAAAACACTTGCAGCCAGATTCGTGCCTCCTTCACAGATGATGGCAAGCATGTGATTTGTGGAAGTGAAGACCGCAAAGCCTACGTCTGGCCTATTGGTGCTGTTGAGCGAGACTCTGATAAAAGGGCCGTGGAGGTGTTCGAAACCCATTCCGCCATCGTCACTGTCGCCATAACAGCTCCTTCCAAAACAAAGCAATTGCTGAGTCTATCTGAAGACCCCATCTACGATATCTGCAACCCGCCCCCAGTGGCCCTCGTGAGCCCCGAAGAGTCTGCACAAACCCCCAAGCAATCAGCACCGGGCGAGGGCAATCACAAACGATCTGCATCAGCCCCACGCGTTTCCATCGTCAATCAGATGGCGCAAGAATCTCCCTCATACCTATCTCGATCCAAGCACATGGACGGGAGCATAATCATCATCGCAGACTACTCGGGTAAGATCAAGGTCCTCCGACAAGACTGCGCCTACCACAAACGGCGCTTCGAAAACTGGAACGAAAACGCGACATTCTCCCGACGTATCCTGCGCCGCTCAAACTCCGCGCGGCACAGCATTGCCTCGTCCACCGGCAAAGACTCAACCCATAAGACCCCCTCCGAGCGTATTATCTCCTGGCGCAACTCTGTCAACCGCCACGGCCGCTCAAGCACCGATGGACCTCGCTCTGGTCTCCGCACCCGCTCTCCCTCCCCCCAACGACCTGCCCCATTTCGACTCTCCTCATCACGCCCCTCAAGTCTCGGACCAAATGAGTCTCTTTCCGTCGTAACTACATCTCCACCTCCTTCTATCCGTCCAAACGGCGTCAATATCGAAAATGGCAGCACCAGTCATTCAACCGAAGAAAATACCAAGCGCCAAAATGGCAATGGAAACGGAAACCATGCAGATCCAAGAAAACTGCCCGTTTCTTCTGCTGATCTCGTGGCGAGCGGCAAGGGTAAAGATAATCCGCTCTGGTTACAGGGTGATCACAGCTATGCGTATTGGAATAAAATCACCCATGATGCATTGGCTGCAAAGTCCCGCAAAGCAAACCAGGATCTTCTTAGCCCGAGCCGGATCTCTGGAGCCGAGCGCAAACTTAGCACAGCTGGTAGTGTGCTTAGTAGTGACTTTGGCTCTGAGGCTGGTGAGCTTGATGATGATATTCTGAAATGTGATCATTGTCGTGGAACGAACTTTCGTGGTGTCAAAGACCGAGGTGGGAAGCAGAGATTGATCTGTGTCCAGTGCAATCGGTCTGTTTCTTGATAATTTTTGAAGGGAATATTCCCGACTTTTTTGGGATTTTTAGGAACTCAAGAATCCCTTGGACATTTTGTACTCTTTTACTTGTATTTTAACATTTTGTGGTTATTGGTCTCGTGTGGATTACTTAAAATTACCACTTGGCATGTATTTTATGGTTGATATGGAATGAATAATGATCTCTATGACATTTTGAATTGATCACTTTTGCATAGTGCTTACACATACATACCTTGAAACAAATGAAGATTTCCAATTCTCTCGACATATTCTCTATCAAATACAATGAACTTGTATTCTATGCAAGTTGGATCGAAAAATTAACAGTCCCCGGGAATGGACTGCGTTCAAGTTTCTAACTGCTTGGTACTAGGTTGACTGTAGTAAGACTTTTGCTATATCTAGCGATTTTTATACACAAGTAGCCCAGAAAGTGCGATAATTCAGTCGCAGGAAATAAATCATGATTTAAAACTCAAAGATCAACTAGATAAATAAGCAATCTACCTAGTAAATTAACCATAGTTAGTAATTTCCAAAGAAAATCGTTATCCCGACCAGATATACTGCATGGAACGTGGCGGGCGATGCCAAGACATCGAAAAAGTCCGGCGACTGATAACTGCCATCGAAACCCCGGACTTCCTCTCACAACCACAACCACAACCACATCCAACACTCCAATTCGCCCTTCTCCAGCGGCCAACGAAATAAAAAGCCGCTAGATCGATATAACCAACAACCCCGATCTATAAAGAATCCCTTACCTCGCCACAACCCCCGCATTATCTTCGCACATTGCCATTCACACCGAACGAACGCCTCACCAAAGCGAGCTTCTCGCCTACCAAAACCAAAATGCCTTACCTCCCAACCTCCCAGGCATTCCTTGAGCAATCTGCTCTCCTTCTAGAAGCATACCCTGACACAGTAAGATATCATCCACCCTTGAACCTTGACATCAATATCAACCTCAACTCAACCGACCCCACCGCCCAATCCATCTTCACACATCGCACAATATAAAGTCAAATCTAACAAACCCCAGCGCATCACAACAAAATACAGCTTCCCCACCGAACGCCCCGCACAACAACTCAAGCGCAAAAAGTCGCAAGCAAAGAAAGAAGCAAAGGGTAATGCCAACAGCACAGAACCCGGATCCGAACCCACTGCACCAGTTGCATCTCTCGTCTTGAAAACCTACCACCCCTCCACTGGTATCTGTCTGAAGTACCAAACGAACAAGCTGCAGGAAGTTGGCCGGTTGATGACTGGATTGGGCAAGTTGGCGGGTGGTGCGGATGTAGCTAGTTTGGGGCTTTCGGGGCCTGGGAATGCGGGCGATGTTGAGATGGGAGACGCAGAAGATACTGCTGGTGCGGTGGCGCAGGGTGCTGCTGCGACACCGGCTGCGGGTGGGAAGACGGCTGGGAAAGGGAAGAAGAAGGGTGGGAAGGGGAAGCGATAGATTCTGTGAATATTTGGTTATGTGTACCAGTGGTGCTTGATATAGAAAAATAATGACTTATGTGGTTCGTTATATACTGATCGATGGTGTATGCGAAGTACATGCTACTATACTTTATCGTTTGTCAGATTCATATGTGGCCTTTGCTCTATTCAATCTTGGAACAATATTAGTGATTGGAATCCATTCTTCGTGGGAATAAGCATGTGGAGATGATGGAGTATGGATGGATTGACCGTCCGCTGATATAGGCTTCGAATATACACTGGCAGGACGTCGTGCCCAGAATTATATAAAGATAGGTTTGGTTGCTTGTGAGACTACGTTTCAAAAACACTGGAGAATGTATAATGTGAACAAGTGATTTAAACATCTAAATACAGAGATCCGCCATCCGTACAATATCGAACAACTTTATAAGTCTAGAAGAGACTTGGGTGGGGGAGAAGTAAGGGGAATTGAACGCCATGCCCATGCGTAACCATTGAGAACAGATCCCATCAATCAATAATAGCAGAAACCAAAACAAAACGTGATATCATGTGAAAAGGCGAAGTGATAATAATACACAGCGCAGGGTATAGAACAAGAAGGGGAGAGGGATTATGAAGGCAACACAACGAGGAGTCTAGAAGTCCTCGTCGAAGTTGAGGCCATCATTGGCAGGAGCCTCACCCTTGTTCTCGGTGTCCTTCTTGGTGCTAGCCATGACACCAGCCTTTTGGTAGTCACCGACACGCTTCTCGAAGAAGTTGGTCTTGCCAGCGAGGGAGATTGACTCCATGAAGTCGAAGGGGTTGGTGGCGTTGTAGTACTTCTTGTTGCCAAGAGCGAGCAGAAGACGGTCAGCAACGAACTCAATGTACTGAGCCATCAGCTTGGAGTTCATGCCGAGGAGAGCGCAAGGAAGAGCATCAGTCAAAAACTCCTGCTCAATGCCAACGGCCTCGACAATGATGTCCTCAACCATCTTGGGGCTGGGGCGGTTGTTCAGGTGGGAGAACAGCAGACAAGCGAAGTCAGTGTGCAGACCCTCATCACGAGAGATAAGCTCGTTGGAGAAGGTAAGACCGGGCATCAGACCACGCTTCTTAAGCCAGAAGATGGAGGCGAAAGAGCCAGAGAAGAAGATACCCTCGACGGCAGCGAAAGCAACGAGACGTTGAGCGAAAGTAGACTCTCGGTCGTTGATCCAGCGGATAGCCCACTCAGCCTTCTTGGCGATGCAAGGAACTAGAAGACAAAGTTAGCCAATATCACGGGGACAGGGGATTTATGATGAACGTACTGGTCTCAATGGCATCGAAGAGGTAGGCGCGCTGCTTAGGCTCCTTGATGTAGGTATCAATGAGAAGGGAGTAGGTCTCGGAGTGGATGTTCTCCATCATAATCTGGAAACCGTAGAAGCAGCGAGCCTCAGGGACCTGAACCTCTCCGCTGAAACGCTCGACCAAGTTCTCGTTGACAATACCGTCGGAAGCAGCGAAGAACGCAAGGACATGGGAAATGAAGTAACGCTCGTCGTCGTTGAGACGGTTGTGCCAGTCGTGAAGATCCTTGGAGAGATCGATCTCCTCAGCAGTCCAGAAGGAGGCCTCGGCCTTCTTGTACATGTGCCAGATCTATTGAGACATGTCAGTCAATTGTTCACAACCACATGGCATACTAGGGGACATTTGCCCCACACTCGTTACGCGTGGGGCGCGTAATGGACACGACTAACCTCGTGGTACTTAATGGGGAACATAACGAAACGGTGGGGGTTCTCCTGCAGGAGAGGTTCGTTGGCCTCAGCGGCCTTGATACCGGCGGCAACCTTGGGGGCTTCGACAGCCTTCTCGGCGGCGACATCGAGAGACTTCAAGGAGGCGGGAACGTTCTCCTTGCCGACGGACTCGAAGTCAAGCTTCTTAATAGGGGAGTCGTTCATTTTGAGGTTCTCGAGGGAGGAAGCAGTCTAAGACCAGACGAAAGATTAGCATTCATGGAGCTCACGACGCGTTTGACACGAGAGGGAAAAGTCGTGACATCACGTACCTGCTTTGATGGAGTAACCTGGGCGGCCATTGTGAATGTCTTTTATACAAATGTTCACGCGGAAAAATGATTGCAAAGATTGGCACTTGAGAAAAGATGCAAAGTCCTGAGTCTGGAGGAAGGAAAGAGTGGAAGGTGGGAGGGGGAAAGAATCAATTAAGTAGTTTGGCGGACGTGAATCTTTTAGCGCGTCGGGGCAAAGTCACGTCGCACGTGACTTCGTGTCGCTTAATCATCCAAGCAAGGCGCGTTCGCCAAAAGGGAAAAACACAACAGAAATGTTCATGCCACTGCGTTTCCACTGTCTTCCGACGCTAGGGGAGTCGATCCATGGCCGTGCCAATGGTAGCCCCCCTGGACCATAACTCAGGACTTTGTGCATTGAAACTGGATTCCATTCTTGGTTATATTGGTTTATGCTAGGGACATTTATACTCTATGAGCTCTACCACTCTTTCAACACCAATTGTGCTTCCAATATATACTTATACATTGATTTCATTTTTCATTTTGTGTCTTTCAAAATGAAAAAAAGCCCGAGCGCCCAGAATAACGCGAGGCCCGGTTTTTTTCGCGTCGTAGGCCAGGTTTTCAGCTTAACGTAATTATACTCCACTATTCCTGTACCCACTACCCAATAAATGCGTTGATCACGATCAGATAAGCCCATAGGTGATCAACGCGCCTGGACGCGACGAGCACAATAGCTCGGATATACGGATCTTACTGGTGCGCAGGAACAGCCAAGCTGAATCTGAATTGGCTGGAACTCGCATCGATGGGGCTTTCGTCGCGTCCAGCTCCATCAACACCTGAAAATCCCCAGAGCACTATGGAAGCTCTCCACAACAAGACCCAGCCACCTTCAGTATGGATCCAAGCAAAAAAGAAAAGAGAAAAACATGAGCCTTTTTCAACTGCTCCTCACAGAATTTGAGATACTCAATTAACTTACCCGTGATCTACATATCCAATTGATAGAACTTTGGAACCATTATGCATATATATTAGTACAAAGCAGTCAGAGATGGTCTCTTAAACCCTAGAAGGAATGAAGGAGCTTAACCCCATAGTAGAGAAGCTGCTGCGAGTGGGGCCTCAGCGCGTCTGACAATGTGCCGATCGACTACTGTATCTCGCGTGTTGGATCTCGCGTCGTCTGGGGGCGAAACAAGGTTTGTCAGTTTCAGGGCTGAGCATGTCGGAGCTGCACGTATCCGGTGTTACCATCCCTTTACTCCACTCAGCAGGTTCGGTGCTTAGGCAACTTAGGCAACACTAGGCAACACTGACATGTTGTACATGCAAGACCCACTAAAAATGCTTTCATGGCACATTGCTGGTGTTTGAGGGGCCCTTCAATCTCCGACCGGTTATCTCCATATAAAAGGCTGAGGGCAGGATTTTTGGGCACTACCCCTTGGCTGTGGCGACGATGTAGCACTAGTAAAACATACTGTTTACTTCTCATTGTTGTTTATCTTCTTCGGAATTGGTCGCTTTTTAGATCCCTACAAAGTGACAAAGCATGTACATATGGCCTCCGGGGCTGTGACCAGTTTTCGAAATATGACAGCACATTACCTTGTTTCAAGTCGCCTAGTAAACTTGAGGTCATCTGCTTTTGGGCTATCTATCATTGTGGCTCTTTGAAGCTCTTATTGAAAGCTCTTTCTCGGAGGTTTGATATGGAAGCTTGATATTCTGCCAGAAGCGCCATTGAATCTTAGACATGAGTGGATTGACGGCTGCATCAAGGCGTCTTCAATGTCGTTGTTTATTCAGAGAGTTGAGGACAGAAGGAGAGGAGGATTGAAACAAAGAAAATAAAGCAGGGCGTGAGCTAATATAGTGCTCTGGATGGTGAACAAATTGCGCAATATTCTTCTAGCTGCTTTGTGCAAAATGATCATGAAGTAACTAGATTTTTCCTGTTTGTACAGTATGTATCATCACTTTTCACAAAAAACTTGAAGGCTCTATCTATCTGCAGCCCAATAAGACACAGAATCCCATACCGCTTTTCAACGCAAACCAGCATATCTCAACCAAATAGAAGAAACAGAACATGCCGTCAGAGACAAATGGGGAATATTCTTTCTATACAACCAAAATAAAAAATCTATAGCTTGTCACGCAGCGAGTCAGGGAGGACTCGGTCTTCTACTCGGCGCATCAACTTGTTGGTCTGCTCCGCCAAGCTGAGGGTAAGGATCTAGATAGACTGTTAGCTGATTCATTACGACATATGGTTTAGATCTAGCACTTACTGTATGGGGAAGGATACGGGCCAAGTGGGCGAAGAAGCCCTTGTAGATGGCCAAGAGGCCCTCTTTGCGAACTGTCTTGACGAGACAATCGAGGGGACCTGCGTAGAGATTACCAGTTTGGTTGTACATACGGGCCATGATGGTATCTGGAGGGATAGAGTTAGCTATGAGGTGTCACAACTCAACGAAGTGCAGGAACTCACCGGGTGGGTGCATGAAACAGCAAACAACAAATCCAGATGCCGCGCTACTTGCAAGGTGTAGCGCAGGTCCCTCCTGCATGCCCAGGTGGTGGGACAAGCGTCGCTTGGCAAAGAAGTATGTAGGAAGCTGGACAGCGCTACCGAATGCAGTACGGATCATAGCGGCGTCAACACCGCGATAGATTCCCTTGATACCCTCGCTCTTGTAAATCTTGCTCAGGCCATCAAAGGAGTTCTTGTAGTTGTGCTGAGTGCCGACAGGGAGGAAAGGTGAAAAGGATTGAAGACGGGTCTTCACAAGAAAGAAGGGAGAACCTGCAGCAGCGCCAATGACACCGGAGGCCGCACCGGCAAAGACATTAACGCCGAGGGATTGGACTTTGGGGTCACTGTAGACACTGGTTGTAAGGTTCGAGCGGATAGGTTCATAAAAGCCTAAACGGCAGCCGTTCAGCAGGACTTGGTAGATGTACTAAATGAATCACAGAGGTCAGTCCATCGACTCTTTGCCTCTGCTCTGTTGAATATAAAAAAGAGGTATGGATGTCCAGCTCCCGACGGGTCACATACAGCAGAACCAATTCCTCGGAATAAACCTCGAGGGCCCTCATTTTGAAGAATGACTTTGACACCGTGCAGAACACCATTGTATTTCTTAGCAACCTCGCTCTTTGTCTGCAATTCGCCTTGTAATTGGAGTCGGATCTTCACAGTCTCGAAACTATGGGTAACGGTGACGGCACCGCACGCCGCGATACCTCCGGCCAAAAACGCGCTATTTAAGCAAAGACCTCATCAGCGCATGTAACTTCAACGGAATTAAATCTTTACAATGGCACTATACCCTGTAGTTGTAGACATAGTGTCTGAAATGAAAATGTATTGCGACCCAAGATTTGAGTCGGTAGTCAGCGAGTGGACCGCAATCGGAGTGGCGAGAAGAGCTCCGCAATGGGATCACCGGAGACCTTGGTAGAGTATGCGAGTAGCGACTGTTGCAAGTAGTACGTATTTAATCGTCCGATATAATGCTACCAATCCACAGGCTTCAAGGTGTCGCACGAGGCAAGGATCTGGGGAAGATGTAGCCTGACACCAAAAGCTTACCAGCGGCTACTAATGGAATTCCGACGCAAGCCAAGATACCCACATCCTGATTGGTCAATTGGATGATGGGACTCCGATTTCAGGAGGCGGTAAAGCGGAGCAATAGTATTTCCGAAGATCCAACGCAGCTGTCTTAAAGTGGTAAGCGGTGGATCAACGGACTAGGACTTGATATCATGTGACTTTTCATCAGCGTAGACTTGCTAAACTTGGGGTATAAAATGACGGCAGAAAAAGCAAAGCGGCAAGCACGTCCAGTGAAGCAAGCAGGCGCGTGGGGAGCTCTCTTCTCAACAAGCAACTAGATAGCCAAACCATAACCGAAAAGCTTCAGTCATCTCTGTCCTTTCTTACTGAGAATGCGCAGCCTTCTTCATTAGTCTTCTGATTGTCTCAATTACACCGTCTACCACCATCACACCTCCACGCCTTCAAACATTTTTTTCACCATGACCGAGGACAAGCCGCAGACACCACAGGCGCTTCAGCCGGCCACACAAGAGGCACAGACCCAATTTCTTTCGGATGTTATCTCTACCTACCGCCCGATAAAAGTAAGTTAAGTTTTTCTCAACTGTAGATCAATTGGCAATGGTTGACCTCTTATCTTATATACACCAGTCATTCAAGGGCTCTAAACCAGATACCCCCAACTACGTGACTTCCCTCGATTTCGATGATACAGGCGATTTCTTAGTTACTGCTGGCGACGATGACGTCATCCAGATCTATGATGTTAAAGAGGGCAAGCCGAAGAAATCAGTTCCAAGTAAGAAGTATGGTGTCCACCTTGCTCGATTCACGCACCACCAACGCCAGGTTCTCCACGCAAGTACAAAAGTTGATAACAGCTTGCGGTTGCTGGATCTTCATAATGAAGGCTACATTCGGTACTTTACCGACCATACGGATACAGTAACCAGCTTGGCTTTGGCACCTTCGGCGGACCATTTCGTTTCTGCTGGCAAGGACGATACAGTCACGGTCTGGGACCTGGCATCCCGTAATGCACAGGGGAAGCTAAAACTTGCAACCCCTTACTTAGTTGCATTTGACCCCTCTGGATCGGTGCTTGCCGTCGGCTCCCAATCCACATCATCTGTTCTTCTCTATGATTTCCGAAATTATGACAAAGCACCATTCGCGACCTTCGACTTGGGTCCATTTGAGGAAGTCCATACACCAAATACCAAGGGCCGTGCTTGGACACGTTTGGAATTCTCCAACGATGGGAAATTCCTGATGGTGGGAACTGACTTCCACGGTCATTTTGTTTTGGATGCATTCGATGGATCTCTCAAGGCTTTTCTTGCTGGCAAAGGCGGCTCACCTGGCCGTGCTGCTCCGCTATCCACAACTGGAAAGCCTCGCGGGCAAGGCGATGCAAGCTTCACACCTGATGGCCGTTACGTTATCGGTGGTAATGGAGAACGGTCAGGGGTGCTTGTGTGGGATCTTCATCAGCAAATCCAGTCCAACGACCAGTTGTATCCCATGGAAACACTTCCAAACAGAACCCGAACTTCTCTTATCGAGTACAATCCCCGCTACAATATGCTCGTTAGTGCCGACAAAGAGACCGTTTTATGGCTTCCTGATGAGCCTTCGAAAGCATCAGAGAAGTAGTGCTTGATACCAAGCCGTTCGATTACTGTACTCCCAAGTCATATCAACTCCACTGGTCGACATTATTCCCTTTTAATTGATTTCTACGAAGCAAAACACAGATACCCAATTTCAAAATTTCAAAAACCGTCTGACTCTATGGTTTCTATCACCAATTTGCTACCAACATAACCGCTTTATCTTCGCATGCATTGAATGTATTACTGTCTAGTTCCGACCCCTTTCTTTCCCAACCAAACTGCGGGCAGTATCGCAGACCCATACATCAGGGCCTTCAAGATCTTCATCTTCCCCGCGACTCTTTTCAATAGTGGTCTCGATCTGCCTATAGATCGTTCGATTGCTAGTAATGGTTGTAATGCCTGCGGCCCACCCATACATGAACACGCTGTAGTTGATATCAGATAAGCCTTCGGCAACGTCGTCGGCAACCGAGGGGAGATTTTTATTTGCAAGGCATGTCTTGATCTCTGGCTGGGCATCCACAATTCTGACGGGAAGGGCCCAATCTTCAGGGACGTGATAGTCAGACAACGCCTGGAACTGTTCAACAAGCGCTTTGCGGTCCACATTCTTGCCCAGCAAGTTCTCTAGCAAAATTTCCATGCGAGCCTTCTCTGCTGGAGTTCCGATGAGGTCCACGATTTCTCGCATACGTGTGGCTGCCTCGCTGCTGCAGAGTAAATCGCGAGATCCCATAGCGGGCCAGAGTTCGCTGGGAAGCAGGGGCATGTCTTTCTCAACCTCTATTTGCCGGACGATGGCTCTATGGAAAGATGGCAACACCGGTATATTTTTGATGTGAGACAGGTCTGACACCATAGCAAGCAGCAAGGTACAATCGACATTGAGAGTGGGAGTGAACTTCTTGAATGGCTGAGGAAGCAGTCGAGCCAGATCTTTCTTGCCTTGTCTCGCTGCTAGAGTCTCTTTGCATTCGACTTGGACTCCATAACTCCGTATCTCAGACAGAATATCATCAATCTCAGGAACATTCCCTTCCCCGATCTTTGGTAAAACAATTCGTACCCGAGGGTGTTTATACCTCTCCCGCGTAGCATTGGACGCTTTCCTCAAATCCCGAGCGAGCTTGATTAGCTCCATCTCATCGTCGTCATCGTCATCACCAGGATCATTTCCATCAAAATTTCGCAATACAGTTCTTTTTGCAGGCCCGTCACTCCCTGCATCAGAGGACTCATCATCACTCTCTGCCTCCCATCCTTTCTTCGCCATTTCAAAAAGTAACCTGCTCTCCGAAATAGTCGACACCTTAACCCACTCATCTCCATCATCAGCCACAATATCCACATAAGCACTCTTGCGTTTATCCTTATTGACCGGCTTATCACCACCTCCTTTGCCAACAGAACCCCCCTTCTGAGACTCCATCGATTCTACATCCCAGTAGAAACGTTTCCCCATAGAAAGTAAGCCTTCACAAGAATCCCTCGCAGTATCCCAAACAGACTGGTAAAACGGCATATTAGACGACCGCAATGCATGGACCATTCGCATTTCAAGCTCAGAGTCAAGATCGATCTCCTGCTCCAATTCAGATTCCGAATCGATGTCCTCCGCTTCTGTTCCTGCTTGTTTGTTTCCGGGTGCAACTACAGTAACCTTCTCTGCAGTATTGTCTTTAGATTTCTGAATTTGGGCCTTAATTCTTTCCTCTAGCTTCACAAGCATTTTCAGCTCGGAGTTGACGTTCGAGCGAAACTGGCGGACTTCGACGACTTGTGGGTTCCGAAGTGTTTTTTCGAGAAGGGCCTGGAAGGCGTCTACTTCGTTTAGGAGATTGACGCATTGTTGATTGAGCTGTGCGGACTCTTTGGTAGAGGCTTTGCCTTGCGATGTATTTGAGTAGTGTGTCATTTTTCTTGTATTGCGATTGCGGGGGAGGGGTAGGTGGGTTGAGAGGCCGATAAGGGTGTTTTTACAGAGGTTTGGGCGTGTATGAAAAATCGAGTCTATTTAAGCCAAAGTCCAATGTTTGGTTTTGTTTGAGGAATGAGGCCAATTCTGGGTGTGTGCGTGGGCGGCGCGCCTGCAACAAACTCAAGGATGGTGTTTGTTGCGCGGGGTTGATGCCCAGGTACGGATCGCGATGAAATCAATTTTTGCAGACAATTTCGACTTATATAGCGCAAGTCACAGGAAATTGTTGCGGTCGTTCAGGTTAGGAGTAAGAGGAAGAAGGAAGGACTTGAGGATATTTAAAGTTGAAAGACAGCAAGCCGCGGAACCGTAGAATAGTTTATCGGTAGTGATGGACCCGCTTGGGTGAAGTTCTCTATATGACTCAAGGGGTCAAGATCCACCTGCTCGAAAACCCTCGGAGCTTCTGCCAGATTACGTAGATCTGATTGAGTCTTCAAGCACGATAGACTCGTGCCATTTAAATGTTGGCTCGTATATACCTATCCATCATTACTATGTACTACATGCTGCTCTCTTTTGGATAAGATTCTAATCGAAGTGAGATAATTCGTTGCTGGTGCAGAAAGCTATTCAACATATACTAAGGGCCCAAGATACACAATATTTCAGGAATAGTAGATACCTGTCACTAACAAGAGGGAAAGAAATCAAAAGTGAAACCAACGCCGTGACATGCTTGTAGTCCCAGTGTAAATCTGCAGATAGCGGCGTCGGGTCTCCGTACATGGTAGTTGTTCTACCGCTACCAGTCAATGTGGGCTACATTGCAAACGACAGCCCATCATACAAATCCAATCTTAATTTAGAATTTAGTGTGTGAGTCTTTGATGCTCATCTGAGTTTCTTGGAGACTCCTCATCTTCAGACCACTTGTCTTCGTCGCCCACAGCGAAGATAGTCTCCTCATCAAGGGACTGGCGTTGGGCCGATGACACAGGCTTTGGCGGGATGGGAGAGAGGTCACGGTGACCCGCGGCACGGGAGCTACCGGGGTAATCAGGAGGGGCATCGAAAGGGTCCTCCTCATCGAGACCACTACCGAAGGAACGGATCTCGAAGCCATCGTCATCTTGGGCAAGCTGCATGTCTTGTTAATATACAAAATTTACACATATCGTTTGTTGGGGAGTAGAAACTTACCTCGTCACTCATGGCGAAGCGTCGGTTGTTGGCAGTTGGTCGCCACAGGTAGGCCACGAAGCAGATGTCAAAGAAGTACACCAGGTTGAGCCAGCCGTCCAGCACAAACCATCGGGACTTCCAGTGCTCAGGGACAAAGCTCTCATCGCTATGGCCAGCAAAAACAAAGGAGTTAATGAAGAAGAAGCCGAAGATGACGATAATGCTGCCAAGAATGCACCACCACAGCTTCTTGTACATCAATGCCTTGGTCTTCTGTTTGCGATCGATGAGATCCTTCATGGTGGCATTGAGAGAGTTCAAAGTCCAGACATAGAAAGCAGTCAAAGTTCCAGCCAGGGGCAGAACGATCAGAAGCACCAGAGGCCCAGCACTGTCAGGGGTGATGGTCAGACTGGCAACGGAGTAGACGACTGCGAAGACAAAGTGAGCGATGGCCAGTATGCGAACATAGATCATTGCACGTCCAAGCGATGGCTTGACAACGCCATAGCCCATACACACAATAAGCAACAGGAAGAACGAGAAAGCATTTCGGCCAGCGTTTAGAACAGCAACAATGATCATCAACGCCTTCGCTCCTGCGTTCAGACCATGAATGTTTTGGAAGTTGTAGAATCCCCAGGTCATCAACTGCTCAACAATCAAGAACACTACGATGGCAGTGATATAGTTCTGGACGGGCAGAATGTCGTGGCGGTTTTGCACATAAAGGAAGGCCCAGAAGACCCCGACAACAGCGTAGACGATTGTCAAAGCACCATAGAAAGGTAGCTTAGCGATTTGCGCAGCGGGAAGCTCTCCGTAAGAGTTACGGAAGGTGACCACAGCGTCATAGCTCACATCGTCGTATTTATAGGTGGTCACGCAGTAGAAACCGGTCTTATGCACGGGGTACTTCACGGCGTCGGGGTCGTTAAGGTGGATGGCCTCAGACATTATAGGGTTCTTAGAAACATCGCTCGCGTTGTTCGCCAGAATAAATGAACCGATCTGCTCCGTTGTGCAAAGTTTGGCATCGACGCTGTTCTGGTCGCAAATGGTGTCCCTGGAACCATCCTGATCATCTCCTTCGCGCCACTTCCCAATCAACTTTTCATCCTCCCATTCAAAGATAACCAAGCTGGCCAATGGATCGCCACCATCTGTCCCAGCTGTCTTCGAAAACTTCACCAAGATGAAAGGGTCGACACTTCCGCCCCAAGACTTCCGGCTGTACATCCCTGAACAACGTTGTCGATGCGCCTCATCGGATTTCTGTGTAAGATGGCATCAGCAAACTGAGATAGACACATTAGTTAGTCAGGATTTCACTGATAGATCTCACCAATTCCACATCATTGGCAAGCACTGAGCCTGCCAATAAGGCCGTGAGGCCTAATGTCCGGAGCCAGCTCTTCATCGGGATCAGGCAGCAGATGCAGCTCCAGGGTTCGCAAAGAAATATTGAGCAAGACCACGTCGCATCCAAACAGTATATGATGCGAGTAATTCAATGAGATAGAATGTCGTGTAATTTCAGGTCAAACTTGTGATAAGATGTCACTGCCGGAATTGTCGAGCTCAAAGCGTGGCCTCCGCTCAGCTCGGGGGGAACCACGCATTTGGGGATTACTTAAGCACGGCAGCGCCACATGCATTTCATTTTCTTTTTTGTTCGTGATCGGCATTTGCTCTGTTCTGTTCTATATACCGCTCATACTTTTTCAATTTATAAGAAATGGCGGCCAAAGAACTCACGGGCTCTTGCATGGACTGCAAAGATGCTGATGCCGTCTTGACTACCCGGAATAGGTCACTTTGTGGGTATGTTGTCTACATTTTACAATTGACATTTGAACCCCACCAAGCATAGTGCTAATTTTATTGAAGTCCCTGCTACCAGGTCTTTCTAGAACACAAGGTTTATAAACGTATGGAGAGATACAGGAAGTATCCAGACCCAGGATCACCGTCGTATCGATTACTCCTTCCGCTTTCCCTCGGGGTCTCGTCTTCCTCTCTGTTGCGAATGTTAAATACGGGCATGGATCGCCAGCTTTCTAAAAATGCGAGAACATCATACACCGTTGAAGTACTTGCTATTGAGCCATTTACCCACGCGTTCGACGAAGCCTCATACACCAAACGATATCAAGCAGCTCGGGAGTCCTTCTCCAAGTATAATTTCAATCGGATTCCGCTCCACAGTATCTTTGACTATGTTCCCAACATGACGGAGGCTATGGAGGAGTATGTGGGTTCTCGATTTAAAGATGATACTACTCGATCCAACGAAGAACGTCTGGCTGCTTTTCGCAGCGCCAACTCCACTGCAACATCGAAGGCGGACCTTGACAATGTTCTATTTACACAGCTTGTTGTGGGTTATGCGAAGCATGCGGGCTGTGAGTCCATTCTCTGGGCGGATTCAGATACTAGCCTTGCGGCGAAGACCCTTGCTGGTGCCGCTAAAGGCCGCGGTGCCGCTTTAACGTGGCAAGTATCAGATGCAATGTCCCCTTGGGGGGTACGATTTGATTTCCCATGCCGTGATATCTCCAAACCAGAGCTGGCACTATACGAGTCCGTTTCCCCAGACCTTTCCGACATGGTTATTCCAGACGAACCATTGTCGGAGAACATTCTCACAAAAAACCTGTCTATCGATGAACTTATGTTGCGGTACGTGACTACCCAGGGCGAAAAATACCCTGGTGTCATGGCGAATGTGTCAAGGACTGCAAATAAACTTGACTCCTACTCATCGCTTGACAGTACTGTTTGCTCGCTGTGTGGGGCAATAGTAGAGAATGTTAAGGGCAATGAAACTGGAATTACGGTTTCCAGCCAGTTCTCTTTGAAAAAGCCTCAGTTTTGCTATGGATGCACGCGATCTCGTCCCGAGATTAATGCTTAAGAAATTAAATTTGGAGATATATCCGGAGACTCCGAAATACTATGCTACAAAAGACAAAAAGCCACGCGGTTTACAATTTTCCAAGCATCCTCACATCGTCAATAGGGTATCTAGAACCGTGGACTAAACCTCATGCATTTGTCCTCCACGTTCGAGGTCCTCCTCTGGCTGTCTTGCTCCACCAAACCACCTGGTAACCGATCGATTGGACCGAGGTTGTTTAGCGGGGGCAGGTCGGGCAGGGTGTGCGTCATGTGTATCTCTAGCCTCACCAGACCGATGGTCATCATAGTATGTTGGCGGGGAATTTTCCACCACTCCGCTCTCCTGCTTGTCAAATTCATCCGCAAGGCTGTGATCGATCTGTCGCGGGCTTCGTCGATCCTGCCGTCTGCTCGAACTGTTTCGTCTGCTCGACCTTCCACTTGAACTGTTGCGTCTGGAAAGAGCCTTGGCGCCCTTCTCACGCAGATGTTTCTCGAGAATGACCGCATTTCTTGTGTTGCACTTGTAAATCGCATCGGCGAGATCACCAATGAACGGCACAAGGCCAATGACGAAGTCAATAACCACGTTCATCAGCATCATCCATCTCAATCGTGACGGAAGTCCACCTTCAACATTATCACATGTTCTCACCACCATCATAGCGAGCGCAGCATCTCCAGCATCACCGATACTATATCATAACAATCAGATTGTATTGTTGGAAGCAAGGACGTGGGATTCTTACAATGGCACGAGCCCAATCACACTGCCCCAGCCAAAGCGAACACCGCATAGATTGAACAGGGCGTAGTCGAGACGATATGCTCGGCGCTTGACTTGTGTGAGAATTTTGGCATCATGTTCGGATAACCCTGGCGGGATAGCCTTGCGGCGCTTTTGCTTCTTCTTGCCAAATGCGCGACCGAGTCGAGAAGCAGGCACCTCTTCAAAGTAGGGATCCTAGAAAATAAAACAAATCCATTAGTTCCTGCAGCAGCAGTAAACAATCAGAGTAAACTCACCTCTGTTCCAAAGCGGTTTTTCGCTGACTCTGCAAGCACGCGCTTGCTCACCATCGAAACTAAGGCGTTCGACATATTGGCAGAAGCGATTGTGCTATCACTGTTGTAATAGAATAGAAAGGAACTCTTGCGACGAGCTTAGGAATGCCGTCAAATATAATATTTTGAAAGTTCAAGGGGTCTCGAAATAAAATTCACTCTGAAACCATTCTTCGGTTCAACAAGGCAACCCGCGTTTCAATATGCGCCGACGTTGGTTTTGAATGACAAAGAACAGTCGATGGAGTGAAAGGAAAAAGAAAGGGAGGTGGGTTTCACTGATGAATGGATGACAGGGTTGAGACAGGAAGATTTGGGCGCCAGCAACGTCATTCCCCGGTCTTCATTAATTAATCCTGGCACTTGTGTCGATCTGTGGCGGTGCAAAGGACGTGTACCTTGTGATGTAGCTTGTTCAGCTGGTCCGTGGTCCGTGAGTTGTGGCGGTGCCTTCTCCTCATTGGTGTGGCGTTATACGTACTGTACGGAGTACTTGTAGATTGTACAGTTTGGTGCCTGATTGAATATTGATTAGCAAGGAACCGACCTGGCCACATGTATGCACCAAGATAACTTGAATCTTCTAATTTATTTGTTTATCGCTTATGTCCATACACACGAGGCCCAGAAAGATGGCCTCAAGTTGTATAGATACAGCTGCAATTTGGGATGTGTTTTTCCTGTTTAATATTGGTGGCCATATGTTATTTTCATGATAATAAATGAATAATCTGAAGTTAGCATTCTGAATATCATTTATATTATTATTTCACCTACAATGACATCCTATTCTGCATTATCATAGTTCTTGTTGCTTCCTCAGCCTTATAGTAGCATGTGGTTCACCGCCTGGCAGTATTCACATGACATGAGCGAACTGCCCACCGCCTTACCCAATCGTCACTCGGGCTGTTCCCAGTTCCGCCTTCCACAGAAGCTCTCCCCTCTGGTGAACCTGACTTCTTACTACCCTAACATAGTATTTTACTTCCTTTTACTACCGAGAGGATCGCCAGAATATCCACATCCCATTTCCAAAAAACTGCAAGCTTTTCGTTCGGCGCCTGACATCTGTCGCATTCGCGGCCCGAGCAATACACTTAGTTTCGGTTGTCTGTGCTGAGATGCTAAGCTTCGTCGCCCAGTATGACCGGAACAAAGATGCAACTAGAAGATTGTTAGTTTGTGCTACTGTTCTTGCATGAAAATTTTGTTTACTGATTATTACTGTTTCATCGTGGCAGGGCTGGATGACTTATGCGTCCGCTTCATTATCAACTTGCCCCGTGAGGAGCTCGAATCTGTCGAACGAATCTGCTTCCAGGTTGAAGAAGCGCAATGGTTTTACGAAGATTTCATTCGCCCGCTCGATCCCGGGCTGCCTTCACTCTCTCTGAAAGCTTTCGCACTCCGCATTTTCCAACACTGCCCGCTCATGTCGCAATGGTCCCACTACCATCACATCACCGCATTCTCAGAGTTTCTGGCCTACAAGACCCGTGTCCCTGTTCGAGGCGCAATCTTGTTGAGCCAGGAAATGGACGAGGTCGTGTTGGTGAAGGGTTGGAAGAAGGGGGCCAATTGGAGCTTCCCGCGCGGCAAGATCAATAAAGGAGAGAAGGACCTGGATTGCGCCATACGCGAGGTTTACGAAGAGACAGGATTTGATGTGCGTGAGGCAAATCTAGTACAAGATGACGATGCTGTCAAGCATATCGAAATCTCTATGCGCGAGCAGCACATGAGGCTCTATGTCTTTCGCGGTGTTCCCCGCGACACTTATTTTGAACCTCGGACACGGAAGGAAATCAGCAAAATTGAATGGTACAAGCTTTCGGACCTTCCCACACTCAAAAAGAATAAGCAGGACGAGGGCCAGGCATTAGCAAATGCCAACAAGTTTTACATGGTCGCACCTTTCTTACACCCACTAAAGAAATGGATCGCGCAGCAGAAGAGACTCGTTCCAAAGCCCCAGGGTAACGCATTGGCCTCGCAGATTGAAGGTTATGTCTCAACGGACGAAAACGGGTTCCAATCAAATGGTGCAGGAACTCTATCTACCATTGCACAAGTTGTGCCAAGCGATCTGCCTGAGGTGACCTCCGTACAAGACGTACAAGATGCCTCATCCCATTTGAAAAAGATGCTCAATATTGGCGAAGCTATGCAGACTCGCAGTCCACCACTCAATCAACCTACCCAGAGTGCTGTAGTAGACCAGTCGAAATCGAATGCTTTGCTTACACTGTTGCGACAGGGCTCGCAGAACTCTGTCCCTCAGGCCCAGAATGTTCCTACACCCTCAGACACTCCCCAAACTGCACCTGCTATGCCTCGACTAGACCAACCAGACCACCTTGCGCCAAATTTCTTCCCTGGATTTCCCCAGCAACAGCAGAGCTTGCCTCTGTCGAATTTCATGCAGCAAACATCGCAGCAGCCTTACAGCAACGGACCGCAGCACTCAAACATGCGTCCTTCTCCTCAACATTCTTCGTTCTCTCCGATGGCAAGTCAATTAGAGCTTTCAGCGTCGCCTGCTATGCAACGAGTTCATCCAATGCAAGCACAGACCTACCACCACAATTATCCTGCATCCCACGCAAATGGCCCGGTTCTTCAAAGACAAGGCCCAGCTCCTTTCCAGCAGACTGGTGACCCTCATTTCTCTCAGCAGGCTCAGTCTCAATCCATGCAAGCTATGGTGCCACCAGCGAGCAAATTGCCTCCGCCAAAGCTTAACAGTCATTCTCTTGCGTTACTGGGAGTTTTTAAGAATGAATCGTCCCAAGTACCAAAGAGTCCTCAAGTTTCTGTCAATCTGGCAGCTCCAGCGCAGGCTCCCAATCAATTACGAAAGACATCGCAGCATCAAGATAGTCTTCTGAAACTGTTCGGCGGAAAGCCACCTTTACACTCTCCTCAGCCTGTAGAGCTATCTGGCCATCCCGTTCCTCAGGCACCGGCTGCACCTGCAGATGTTCAAATTCTCCAGCGAGCCCCACAACAGGCCAATTACCAGCCACAGCGTGTACCGAATTCAGTCAAGCCTGGTCAAATATCGGGGACTGTACCCGGTCCCATGAATATGCCACAGCTTGAGGCGATTCCTAAGACAACGCCGAAGAAAGGACCGAATAGCACCAACCGCAGGAACAACTCGTATCGACGGGATCACCAGCAGGCTCGACAATTTTCATCTCCTATCACCATATTACCCCGTCCACAGCCAGCCAAAGAGGATGCACCCTTGTCTGGACCTCGTGTTGAACAAACACAGCCTCAACATCAGTCTTTTATCACCCAACCACAAGCCCCTGAACCAGTGAAGCCTTTCCAGCCTCAGATTTTACGGCGTCCTGAGAAGACAGATTATGAGAACCTGATCACAGCTCCAGCAACGGAGAACATTGGAAATCCAGACACATCTATACAGACACAGGCAGCAGAGCTGGCTCCACAGAACAATTTTGATCGTCGACCCAGTCAGACACATGCTCAAAAGGAGACTCTTTTGTCTCTATTTGGTAAATCAGCTCCGTCTCCTCCCCCCGCACCCGGTGCGCAACAGGACCATCGGGCCACAGACACGAGTAACCCCTCGATCGCAGCAACTGGTCTTGTTAGTCCTCTTTCGTCTCGTCATGTTCCTAGCAGCGGGGAATCTCTTTCACGTCGTGGCACCCCTTCAGAGATTGACATAGTTCCTAATCGCATTGCATCACCAAATAACAAGGCGTTTCTTCTCGGGTATCTGCAGGGTGTTGCAAAGGGCAACAAATGATTTTTTTGTTTTTGTTTCATGTCTTACGGCCTTGCATTGTTCCAATCAGCCTGGAAACCCCATTGTGTCATACTAGACCCAAATACTTTCATCCATAGCAATAGTCTCATATTCGCGGTGCAGTTTTTATTGCAACCTACATCTATGTAGTACATTCATCTTTTCAAGTGCTTTTTTCTCTTCCTCAGAGTAGTGATATCCTATCTGACGCAAACAAGCATCTTGAACAGAAAATCGAATTGCCATAATCGAATTGCCATAATCGAATTTGAAAATAAATAAATAACAACAATAGAAAAATAGACTTAACGATGGTGGGAATCAACGAGTGGAGAAAGCTAAAGGAACAAAATATCAAACAGATCGAATAAATCGTAGCCTAGTGTGCACGTCGCCAATGTTCCTCCATGTTATCTTTTCTGTTGAAACATCTATCACACTTCCCATCCGGACACTCATAAGACCGTGGAGCAACATGCTGAGTTTCAATATGCCGCATCAATACAGCTTTGCGCGCAAATAAACCTGAGTATCGACAATCCTTCCACTTGCATTTAAATGGCCCACATAGATCACTATCGTAAACAAGAAAGAGAAATGTCAAAGGTTATCCCATCATACAGACTGGTGTGAATTCATACAGTTTCTTGCAACGATGGCTGCTATTAAATCCATGGCGACTTAAATGGCTCTGGTTTTTGCCAGGTGATTTTTCTCTATTTTCCAAACAGAGAGTCTGCTCTTCGTCAAGTATGGAAGGAGAGAAGCTAGCAGTCTGAGTATAGTTGCTAGAGTCATGGGAGTTTCTTCGAAGTTCATTGTTATAAGGCCCATCCCAGCTCGGGTAGGGATGTGGCGAGGCGAGAGTAGGTAGAGGCACGGGAGCAGGCCCTTGTGGTAACGATGTGGCTTGAAAGAAGGGACTGTACAAATGACTGTCCGCCGGCGACACGCTTGGCTCAGCAAAGTATAGAGCAGAGGATGGGTATGCTGGATTGACCGGAAGACACTGAAATAGACCGTGACCATTTCTCATGCCTCCAAAGCTGTTATGCGAAGGAAGTGCCATAAGGAACAAGTCTAATTCTTTTGAAAAATGTGGAAAAGCGGTAGAAAATGGAAAAAGATGGTTAGAATGCTATTAGAACAAGAGGTATCGAGGAGAAAAAAGTACTACATTGTTTGGGGTTTATCGCATTATTTAAATGTTTGAGCATCTCAGGGAACAGACCTGTTCGAAAGATCTAGACACCTGGACAGGAACTTCAAACGTCAGAGTGTCAAGCGACCATCTTCATACTGAATACACTAATTATCCCGTGGCGTCGATCTGCATTTATGGCTGCGTTGTCGTTCCTTTAGCCCCTCCCGTCGGTGCTGATTGTGGGGGAAATCCGCCCGGGTGAAATGAGCCCCGTTCGATCTCTGTTCTAGACTTCTCGAGATGCGAACCGCCTGGAATTCGATCTGGAGTCTAGATCCCTCTCTGCCCTGGGCGATCGTGATTCTGGATTTCTCCAAATCTTTGAATGTCCCTCGAAGGCCTATTTGTGTTCTAGATTTACATAAAGTAGCGGTATAGCTGCTTAAAGTATACTGTATGCTTGGGCACGGCCCGAATCTTGCACCCAAACACTGAAGTGGATCGAGTTCATTGCAGCCTTAAATATGCTAGAGAGCCTCGTTTAAATGCCGGTTGTTCAGATGCGATTTCTAAGCTTCCTTGCCTGCATCTGTTAGTATTAGTAGGTGCCCGAATGCCGAGGTTGCCGACTAGTATATATTTCCCCGAGTCTGAGCCCTGGAGTCTTGCCGGCGGATTACGTTCAAGTTCAAGTTCTTACCTACGAACGCAATACTTGGGTAGTAGTACCTGTATCCATACAACGACCTAGAAATTTCTAGGCACCTACATACCTGCTTTTGTTCATGACACATACACTAATCCGAATACTCAAAGGCCACTTTAAACAATGCCAAATGCACATGACACTTGGAAATTACCAACCAGCTCTAAAGCTTCCTATTGGTCATTAGTAGTGGGGGAAACCAATTCTCCTAAATAGGAATAGCGTAGACAAACGAAGCCAACATTAAATCTGCCGCTATTTACCGCACAACGTCATGCTTCGCCAAAAGAAATACGCCGACTCACATTGGTCCCTCCCGAGGTCCAATTCAAAGCTCAACCATGATGCGCCCTCGCGTCTCTATCTGCAGCCGTTGCCTGGCACGAAAAAGGCCATTCTCAACAACCGTTTCCCGAACCGAACAAGCCAAAAATGCAGCAACCCCACCTGAAGCCGGTTATACTCGGCTGACAAATAGAGGTCTAATCTCCATCGCCGGTATCGACAGCGCAACTTTTCTGCAGGGCTTGATTACACAGAATATGCTAGTAGCTGGTGACCCGAGCAAACCAATTCGACGAACCGGCTCATACACAGCTTTTCTTAACTCTCAAGGACGTATCCTGAACGATGCATTCATTTATCCGGACCCGGTCCCCAACAGCAATGATCTGGAATGGCTGGTTGAGGTAGACAAGAATGAAGTACCAGTCTTACTCAAACACTTGAAAAAGCATAAGCTCCGCGCAAAGTTGAAGCTTCGGGCTATTGAAGAAGGAGAACGCACTATCTGGTCATCTTGGAAGAATCACGAACAACCGCGGTGGGCTGCATACAACCTGGAATCGGAATCGGCTTCCGTACCTTCCTCTTCGTCGTCAGATATTATTGGATGTGTCGATACCCGTGCCCCCGGATTTGGGTTACGTCTTGTGACTTCTGGCCCCGAGGACCTGCGTAGCCACCTTCCGGATGAATCGCAACTTGCAGGTTCGGAGGTTGGATTGGATTCATACACTGTGCGGAGGATCCTGAATGCTGTTCCGGAGGGCCAGTCGGAGATTATTCGCGACTCATCATTGCCAATGGAGTGTAATATGGATATGGCACGTGCCATTGACTTCCGCAAGGGCTGCTATGTTGGCCAAGAGCTGACAATCCGCACACATCACACTGGTGTGGTGCGTAAGCGCATGCTCCCGGTCCAGTTCTACACGCAGGATACCAAATTGACAGATGGTCCTACCTATGATCCCTCTGCTGAGTTGGCGTTGCCGCCGACGGGGTCGAATATTATGAAGGCTGGTGGTCGTCGAGGTCGAAGTGCCGGCAAATTTTTGGAAGGAGTTGGGAATATTGGCCTTGCGCTGTGTCGTCTGGAGATGATGACGGATGTCGCGCTTACCGGCGAGGGAACACAGTATACACCTGATACTGAATTTAAGATCACATGGACTACAGAGTCAGAGCAGCCGGCGGAAGTCAAGTTACAAGCGTTTGTTCCTTCTTGGATCCGAGAGCACATTTCGTCTGGGGGCGTGCGGAAGGCAGCTCCACAGCCCGTGGACACCAATGGTGAGAGGGCACGCGAGTTTCTCGAACAACTTGAAGAGGAGCGGGCACAACGAGGAACGGACTAAAAAAAGCGGTTGATTCAAATCAATGCATGTATAATATGGCCATCTGTAGAATACCCATCTGTATAAACGAGCATATCTCTATTCTATAAAGTCCAAAGCTCGATACCTATATCTTCTGAGTAGTGTGATATTGGCTAGAATGTTCCAAATTTCATGTTTTAGTCCTAGTATCGCTTTTTGACATCGGCCATTCCCTCCGCAGATGTCAAAAACTTGTTGGATTTCGTTGTTCTTCTATTTTAACATGGGTAGAAAGGGCGGATTTGTAGCCTAATATGTAGACTAGAGCAGAGCTGGGTATTATAAAGCCCGCAATGAATTTTGACCATTCTCTATATCTATTTATTATGCCTCATTCTGGCAGGGGTATCTTTGTATAAGCTAAATTACATGAGGAGCATGAAAAACACATATAGTGTCATAGACCAGCGCATTTCGCACGATCAGCTAGCCTGCTTAGACGCCTCCGCAGCATCTGCGGCTTCGTCTTCCTGCGCAAGTTGATCTTCCAGCGCCTTTCGTTCTTTCTCCCGCTGCGCAGCCTTCATTTTCATCAGAACTTCATCTTGAAAAGAAGGCATGCCGGCAGGCCTTGCCGATGAATTGAACGAAGAAGCCTTTGGCATCCCACCAGCAGCAGAGGCGAAGGATCCAAATGAAGGAGCCTTGCCAGTCTTCGGCGCCGAGTTCAATCCCGGGAAGTTGAAGTTCGGAGCTGCAGCTGGATTGCCCGGGTCTGTAGAACATTTCGATGGAGCTGGTACAGAATCCTTAGTCGGTGCCGAGCTAGCAGTAGCTCCAAGATCTGGTCCGTCACCAGAAGCCCAGAACACAGAATCAACGAAAGTCCAATCTCGATCTGCGTGGCTTATCTTCTTCTTGCCATCCAAAACAGCCGCATGCGCACCGACAATAGACTCAAAAACAATCACTCCCGTGGCAATTGTGGCCTTGCCCTTCTTCCCCTCAATCTTCTTCCTCTTATCCTTCAGCATAAAAGCCGCTTCGACCTTCCCAAACTCTGCAAAAAGCGTCTTCAGCGAATCCACACCAACCTCCAGCCCGGATCCCTCCCGCTCCCACCGCACCTTCACAGACCGATCCAACTCCCCCACATTCGTGTCTTGCGACCGATCAACCTTCTGACTACTCCGATCTGCAGCCTTGCGCTTCTCCTCCTCTTCCCGGTCAATAACCTTCTGCTCCTCATCCAGCTCCTTCTGCAACTTCTCTGCCGCCTCTCGTCGCCTCCGCCTACCATCTTGTGCGATCCGCTCAATCTCCGCAGCCATTTTCGCCTCCGCATCGTCATCAGCCATCCACGACCGCTTCACGCCACGCTGTTGATCCGCGCCGGCTCGTTCGCGCTTTTCAAGATCATCAACCATCTCTCGCCTAGCGGCATCAAGTTGGTCTCTTTCGCGCTGCTTGCGCATTCGTGCTTCGCGCGCATTGTCGTAGAGTTGTTTGACATCTGGATCGGAGAGTACATCGTTTGCGATTTGGAGAGTGTGGAATTTGTCGATGTCGGCTTGGGTTGGGTTGGCAATCTTATCTGGGTGGTATTTTAGGGCTGTGCGACGGTATGCGCGACGAATTTCAGATTCGTTGGCTGCTGGGGATACGTCGAGGAGGGCGTAGAAATCTTGATCTGAGGCGGCATGCGCCTTTAGATCGTCTGTTGACATTTTGGCGAATTATCCGGGTTTGAGGATAAGGGGAAAGTATAAGGGATATGTGGTGGGATCCTTTATTGAAAAAAGAGGGAGTGGTGCCCTTTTGGCAGGGTGTTGAAGGTGGGGAGTGTGAAATACCAGTTGTTGCGGATTCGAGTTGGAAGGTTTGGGAAGATCAGACCCACACGAGCTAGTCATGTGCGATCCACTCTATAGTGAGAACGAAGTATAGATATCTTAGACATCCATATTAATAAGGAAAAAGACTCAATGAAAACTCATTAGCAGACTGCAAATGATTTTTTTTTTCAATTGAAATTAACCAATTTGTATATAGTGAGTCATGCGTTCAAAAAGGGCAGGTTGCCTTTGAGCTGGGAATACTTGGCAAATAGTGATGAGAGCATTTCATTCCACTCCTCTTCATCTCTCTTCTCTTCGTCCCATTCTAACATCAACCAAGCAAGAATGACAGACCCAGAAGGAGTAAGCCAAGATCAAATACCGAACAAATTTCACTTGGCCTTTGCTTTTGCAATTGTGAAATTGAAGCCACCAGAAAAACAGCTCAAGGGTAAGTGCGCATCTCTCAACTCTCATCCGAGATCGAACAATTCTAACTAAGATTCCAACAAGAACATATCCTAGAAATTCGAAAATTCATTCGAAATGATATGAAAGCCATCTCACCGGAAAGATTCTTCGATAGTGTTGCCTTCTGGCAGAGCGCATACAAGGATTCAGAGGCAGAGCAGACTAAGCTTCTCAACAGAATATTCGAATTGGAGCAACGGTCTGAAGGCCTGAACTGCAAACTTAGACAGAGTCAGATTGATATGAGTCCTGGTTTTATTTCCACCAAACGGAAGCCTACAGGTACAACAGAAAGCTTGAAAGATTCGGTGCGCCTAAGCAAGAGAGCACAGCAAGTCGACTTTAACACAATCCAAACCAAAGAAAGCGACAAGAATGGGGATTCGGAGTGTCTAGAGAATGAAAATGGTCTGTATACATTTGTCGCGAGAATATTGTATGCTATCTAGGTACTCATGATGCTGATAAGAGACTAGGACCCAAGCTCATGAGACAAATATACAACGTTCAACGCGCTATCCGGAAAAAGCAAAACTACAAAGCAATCACTATAGGTGCCGTGTGCCTGTGCAAAATTGCGAGAACCGAGATCCTTGAAGCCATCATCTATTTGAACTCATCTGAAAATCCACCCAAGCCCCAGATAATCCAGAAAAGCAAAAAGCGGGACATGGCCAGCGTCGTGAAAGCCGTGGAACTGTCATTTAATCTGGCCATTCAAGCCATCCACAGGGTCATAGGATCCAAGGATGAGCGAGGGCATAAAGGCCAAATTCTTTATTATGTTGTATGTCTTTTCGAAGCAGTAATGGTCGGACTGGCTCAGCATTGTGCTGCTGTTTCAAGGGAATCAGGCTCGACAGGAACGGTTTTGCAGGAGACTTCAAATACAAACAAACCTAGAACACAAAAACCACGCAAAGCAGCAAGCAGAAAGCCAACTTTGCCCCCCAAAGCGAAGAAAGCAAGTATGCAGAATAAAGATGCTCAGCAGTTGATTGATTTGCTAACTAAAATGGCATTGTCTCTTGACTTATCCCGAAGCGTTGATGAGGAGGTCATGGAAGGATTTCTTTTCATTGCAATTGACCGAGTGGGGAAAATACTTGCGCTTTTTACTTTCGAGAATCACCAATTACCGTCTGAGGTTTGTCCAGATTTACACCTACCGGAGGGGCTTATAGCCATGAAGGAGGAAGCCATGACACCCCAAGCCGTACAACTTGAAGCCAAGTATTTGATTGCTTTTCTGGACCGATTGTTGAATCACGGCGTTTCTGATACAGAGACAATCCAAACTGAGTTCATTCAAAAAAAGAAGGAGTGCTTCCAGAAAACCTTGGTACAGGCTGTCTTTGGCACTACCGATCCGCTGTTTCATCCAGGACTGACTCGCCCTGCCACTCCCCCATCTTTATCTTCTGCTGGCCGAGCACCAGGTCGCCAGGAATTTTCTGAATGGTTCACAGAAGAGTTGTGGCGCCTTGTTGGTTGGGATGTGTTGAATTCCGTTACACAACCGTTATAAGCCTTCTACTTTTATAAACATTTTCACCTATCCAGACATGAAGTGGAGGGAAGGCAGAAGAGGCATTTTTCATGCTATCCATTGAGTATCTATATTGCTAATTTTATATATGGACGCAGAATATGTCAGGTCATTGTATGACTATGAATATCAATCAAATCCCAGCTTCAGAATGCGATTCGCATTGCCCCCTAGGACCATGCCAATAGATTCAGAATCCTTCTCCCCAAAACAACTGCTTATAGCGTGATAATTCGTCGTGACGCTAGGCCACTTCTCATCTTCATCATGCAATGGTGGAAAGAAAGGATGATCAGTACCTATAATAATTAGTCCAAGATACTCCCAAGGAAACATAGAAACAACAACTTCCACTCCTCAGCGAAAAGGACTTACCAAACATCAACCGATCATGACTCCCAGCAGCAACAGCCGCCTGCAATCCAGCGGAGCCATAAACAACTGCATCAAGGAAAATATTCGTCTTCAATACATCCCAAACACCCCGCTTCGGTCCAGGAGTATCTCCCCCATTCGCAAGAAACTTCCGTTCATGCAAAACACAACTCTCAATCCTCCCCGCAAGAAACGGAAGAGTCCCACCAGAGTGAGCCAACAAGACCTGCAATCGCTCAAATCGATCAAAAACCCCACTAAGAAGCATCCGCGTCACCGCAATGGTAGTTTCAAGCGGAAACCCAAGCGCAAGCGGTAAAACATGTCCATACCGCGCAATCACCTCAGGACCCCCAAAAGCCTCACTAGGAAGCCCGTAGTGTGGATGAAGGAAAAGAAGCAACTGGGTCTCTTCCAAGGCACCCCAAATTGAATCTAGATCTGGATCATCGAGACCCTTACCTAGCCCCGATGTACCCATAATCACACCACGGATATGAGGCAGGGTGCGTAGTCGCTTGATCTCGGCCACCACGACAGATGAAGGTGCACTGAGTGGTAGAGCTCCGAAGGCGAAGAGAGATTTCTGGGTTTCGCTATTTACGCCTGCACATGTTGATTCTAGATCGTTGTTTATGCGCTCAGCCCATCCCTGGGCTTCGTCTTCTGGAACAAAGTCGAGCCATGGGTTTGCGAGGGAGATAACGCTGCAGTCTATGTCGTGCTTTTTCATAAAGTCGAGCTTTACGTTTATATCGGAGTATGAAGCGTCGACTGGACGACCTCGCTCATCGGGTGGTGTGGCGGGGTCATCGTCTGATGAAAGAATGATTAGACGGGGGTCTGCACCTTCGGCGGGGTCGTGGATGTAGGGAACTGTTTTGCGAGAGCGGAGAAGCGCCATGTAGGAGGGTGGATAGACATGGGTATGAACGTCGACGATAAGTTGGCGAGACATGGTTTCAAAGCTTGGAGTAGGAATTTGAATTGGGCGTTGGAAATGGTCTTGGGGACTGGGGGCTTATCAGGGGTCCTTGTTTACTGCGGGGGCTTGATAGAGGAGTGCAGGCAGATGCGGGGGTTGCAGATAGCTTGATAACGAGGTTGCAAGTGAACTTGGCGTGGGTTTTCATGCATAAGAACTGAAATCAAGCAGGGAAGACTGTCTGATAGTTATCAGTTTACGTTATTAATTGCAGGGGGTATGATCTAGGATACAATGTGTTGTCTATCCATCCCATAGGTGTGCCTGCTATACGCATGGATCAGCGATGTAAGTGCCGAGATGAATTGATTGCCACAGAAGATAAGCAGAATTCTTCGTTAAGAATTCTTCTTATCCATTATCATAGCTAAGAGTACAAACTAGTATTGACTAGTAACACGAAGCTGAATCATTGATCATCAAATAATTGTCATGGGATTGGGAAATCGTAGATTGTTACTGGTAAGCACAGCAACATTGAAGGTAAGCTATAGCACCGATCCCGTTCATTGGATCCGTAATAAGCCATGTTCTCCACTTAGCCTTTAAACGAAGGAGCCATTAGTATACGACTGTCATCATCAATCAAGAATATTAATGCCAAACTCACTCGAAAAATAGCCAATCTTTTACAACTGCTCACCAGCGAGGGTAATAGGCTGGACATTGGTGAATTTGGGGATATCAGCAAAGACCTTGGGGCTCTCAGGGTCCTGCAAAGCGTTCTTCAAGTCTTCAGCTTTCTCCCATTCGAGCTTGGCAGCGATAAGGTATTTGGAAGGAGAGCCATCGAGTGCAGTGGTGTACTTGATGATCTTCCAGTTGAGAAGACCGTGCTTCTTCCAGATGCTCTCAACAAGCGGCATGTGGGATTGCAGGTAGTAGGTTTCGTTGAATTGAATGCCCTCTTCATTGGGATACATGACTGCGGCGTGGTAAACCATTTTGGGCGAAAGTGAAGTTTGTAAGAAGATGAAGGAATTTGAAATATGCCGTTGGTTGGGATGTGTAGAAGAAAAGGAAACATCGAGCCCGAGACTTGGAGAAGATGGAGGGGCAGGCCGTGGTTCCTGGGCGGTTCCTGACGATTGGTCATCGAGGTCCCACCGGGTTTGCGTCTTATGGGGAATCGCTTCCATGAAATCAGCACTTGAGAGAAAATACACTTCTTGTAAAAACATTAAATAAATTTGTCGCTTTTAACTTTGATCCGTAAAGGTTATATCAATAAAACCACCCATTGTCAAAGGTCTTCCAATTACAACTTGAATCTAAAATCATAGATAGTATGCTGATTTGATTACTATATCTAGGAAACAGGATAATAATAGTATTTACACGCTGGATAATAACCACTATCTAGCTCGCAAGGGTAGGATTTCCAGGAAACGACTCTGGTCACCCACACACCCACAGGTCGGAACTTGTCCTCTACACTATATGGGGTGGATTGCAGACGAGAACAGGGCTCTTGTAGCGACTTAGAAGTCGGAGTACGAAACGAGCTTGGCCCTTATTCATTTTGCAGCCAAGATATGCCCTTTTTTGACTGGTGCAGGTCACGGAACACAAAATTTGAAGAAACAAATATGTAGATTGACCTTTCGGGATCCTATACTGACGTCGATATGGTTTAATTTCGGACGATCGGTCATAGAGAGTCCACTAAGAAATCCTTCACTGGTTACCATCAACCACGTTTCTGTGCACAATATTCGAATTTTCCATTTTGATTCTCTGATCCGCTCCTCGGTGACTGCTAGCGCGTAGAATTTCCACAAAGTCTCTCGCGAGGCTCGCGTAGCTTGGATCCGTACTCATCATATAGATATGCCAGCAAAACCACGTCCCCAGATCAGGAATCCACAACACCCACCAAAGAGACGACTTACACAACGACTTGAGCCTGCCATCTCAGTCATCAGTAAAGAGAAGTTCGCAGTCGTGATTAGTCCAGCGCCATGTAGCCTGTTCATCCGAAGTTATTTTCTGGGTTTAATGAATAAATACATTGCCCCAGGTCTTGCAAGTGATTATCCACAAACGGACTGAAGCCCCACCTTGCCCCGAGCTCCATCATCTGAAGATCCATGACGCCGCTGAGAATTACTTAGTAACAGTTCCACAGTATCACTGCCTCGAGGCGACAATCAAATATGATCTCGGGTATCTTGCAAGCTTCCAATGTGGACCTGAGAGATGCTCCATGTTTGTTCATGGCAGAAAAGGCTCTCTCACCGAGGGTAAATAGGTCGACAAGGAGAAGATATCTGGTTCGAAGCAAATAGATTGTCATGATGGTTGATGAGCGATGATCCCCAGGTTTCGTTTCTTTGATATCGATACATAACACCGGGGTATCGATTGTACAGTCAAAGATCGCGTTTATCATTGACAGAAGGCGAGGCACAGAGTCAAAAAGACAAAGTCTAGACCTAATTAAATGAGTCCATGACGTGCTAGTCATCTTGAACGACAAGGTGTTAATTTGTGGAAATGATAGAAGGTGTGTTTGAGAGAAAAGGTGCGTATGCGTTGGGTGAGGAATTCTACTGTGAGGGGAGGGCCTTTTTATAAGACTCTATATGCTTTACAATGGGGCCTCCAATGTTCAAAAGTGAGTTAAAAAGGGCTAAGGCAACATAAATGCGAGCTGAGGGACTCACTCTACTGATGTAGTGTCAGTTCGTGAAAGAACCAACCATGAAAAACAAGAACATAGATTGATAATAGTAATATTGAAAGTCCTCTGACTTTTATTCATATAGCGTGACCTTAATCCATTAATGTGAGTATTTCATGATATATTCGCGAAATCAGAGTAGAACATAACAGTAGGTTGAGGAACAGCCAGTCTCTACACACGGATGAGGAATAAAACCTTACAATCACCCGTGCCTTTAAGAGAAGGGAATATCAGGAGCAACAATAATTCGGCAGTAACTTGAAGTTTACGGGAGGTGTCAGTGGGAAAGGCCTAGGTATCTCTGAACTGTTATCATCCACAAAACTGTAGATTCACATCATGAATAATTTCAAGTTTATACAGCTCCGCTGTTCATGTTTTACTTTGTCTCTACTCAAAACCTTCGAGCGACCGACTCCAAATGGCTGAATTGTGGGGCTGTCACTAAAGTTTCGAGACTACGAGATTTATAATCCCCACTTAAAAAACAGAATTCAGACGCCAAGTTGAAGTTCGTATAGAGAAGCCAAGCCGCGGCCAAGAATGATGCCGGGGGTTGATGACGTTAAGCTTGGCGGGGTCCCCTTAAATACGTTGAGCGCCAAAAGACCCCTTAGTCCCGGAGTCTTTACCACCCACGGAAAAAGCAGCTTCATTCGCAATTCACAACCGTAAATATACCTCAACGGGAAATTGCTCATCTCTGCACCTCAAGATGTGTCTCGGTTTCGGCAAATTTTACGTTAAGCCTCAGCCACCACGCCGAGAGAAATACAAAAACGAGGAGAAATATCGACGGGACTATCAGCGATACGAAGAGGAATTAGAGGCTTGGAATGACCCAGAAAATAGGCGAAGGATGCTAGCAAATTCCCGCGCGGGCGGAACTGCTGGATTAACCGCTGCGATTTCTTGAGATATCATTTTGAGGGGGCATAGACAACGTGTGTGAGATTAGCATTCCCTACCTCAGTTACACCTTCTTTTGGGAGTGGTGGTCTAGTAGCCACGGTTAATACTAACTGCCATATAGTAGCAGCTATCAATGGATCTATACTGCAATCACTCTCCTGATCACTCTATATCAGTTTGAACACCAGGGGCACTAGTAGCTATTGTTTAATCATGTTTATTTGTGTATAATAATACGAATACATCCGGGCTGGTCAAAGTACCCCTTAATCCTTACAGAATCTATAGAGCGATATTTGACCTATGGACGTCCGAGCTGGAACTACTTATGAAGATGAGACATTCAGCTTCCAATCATCTAGCTCAAATGGGATTTAGTACGTATGGTGCTTCTGTCCAATCAGGTTCACCATTTTCCGGCGTTATCAGCAGCCCCGGAACCCATTATGGGTCCGCGTAGATCTACGCAATCCCGATATCTTTCAACGATAGCTCAATGTCAAGGTGCACAATTATGGAAGAACCGAAGCTGAGTGTATCGATTGAATTTCGAAGCCAGCTGACTTTAAAAATTATTGACTTTTTTTTACATGTAATTCTGAATTTTTTCAAGGATCAAAATCCATGGCATACAAATGCATGGTAGGCCCGAGCACTTGGATGCAGAGCTTATCTCCACACTAATGTTACATGCATTTCCCCCTCTTCACTCTCCTTTGTCTCTACAATTACCAGAAGATCGAGATTATTCACTGAATTATTTGCGATAGAACACCCAGAAGAGCCACTCAACAGGAAACAGGATAAAGACCTTTTTTTCGAAATGGCCAACGTCGCTCAAGAGCTCTCACCAGCTTCTACTGCCGTGGCAAAAGACGACTTGGTGATACCTGTATAGCCCCGCATCACATTCTCCAGTTTACCTATACAGTTCAGAAGACTCATGTGAATGCTCGCAGCTCATCGACTTTCACCCCTTTCTCTCTGGGACACCCGCCGATAAGCATGCCGTCGCTCTCTCGATCACGAACGCTTTCAAAACATCCGGCTTTCTTTATCTAAAGGCCCACGGCATTATACCCTCCATGGTATCACAGGTGTTCGCCTCCTCCGCTCGCTTCTTCAATCGTCCTCAGACACAGAAAGACGGGTTGGGTTGGACGACCCCACAGTCTAACCGTGGTTACATTGCAACTGGACGGGAGAAGCTCGCACCAATCGAAGAAACAGACGCAATCCGTACGATAAGAGGATCAGCACCTGATCTGAAAGAAACGATGGAGATTGGTCGAGAAGGTCTTGCAGAGCTCCCGAATCGTTGGCCAGACAACTTAGATGAAGAGGGTGGAAATTTCAAAGAAACAATGCTTTTGTTTTTTGAAAGCTGTAAAGGCTTGCATCGTCAGATTATGAGTGCAATTGCTCTTGGGATGAATCTTCCTGAGCACTTCTTTGATGAATTTGTCGACGAGGGAGATAACAATCTGCGTCTTCTTCATTATCCGCCTGTTCGGAAGGAGGTGTTCAAGGATAATCCTAATCAGGTCCGGGCGGGAGAACATAGTGATTATGGCTCTGTTACGTTGCTTTTTCAGGATCGCCATGGTGGATTGCAGGTGCGCAGTCCTAAGGGCACCTTCGTCGATGCCATTCCGATCGCAGATACTATTATTGTGAATGCTGGAGATTTGCTGGCTCGGTGGTCCAATGATACTATCACTAGTACTCGACATCGAGTGATTCAGCCACCTATGCCCCCGGGCCAGGAGAACCAAGATGAATCTGATACATACCCTTCTAGGTATAGTATTGCTTACTTCTGCAATCCTAATAACAACAAATTGATACAAGCTCTTCCGGGGACTTACGGGGAGGATCTTCATGTCGATAAGAAATACTCCGATATCACAGCGGGAGACTACTTGGTCTCTAGATTGACTGCGACTATTTAATCTAGTATTTACATTCCTCTCTTTCAGCCGCTCATAGCCGTCTGGTTTCAATTGTCCTTTTATTGAGTTTATAGCAATTCAAGAATTTGACCGCCATTAAGGCATTATTGAAACATGTCTTTCGATTCGTCTATAAAAATCTATTCAAAATGTCTTTTAAACCTAACCTTACCAGTCAAGCTATATTATGTCGCGATAAATGTGCTGACAGATCCCCAACTTCTATGTACTAGTAGGTAGAGGGCATAACGGAGAGACGACCACCATCGGTAAGCAGAATGTTACCATTCAAATACCCACCCGAGGCGCTCGTCATCCAAACGACCACACCGGCAAAATCCTGCTGACTTCCAGCACGAGTCAACGGAATCATATCGACCGGGAATGAGCCATCAGAGATTCCAGCATCCGGGACTCCATTGTCATTAAAGCTATGCTGGGCCATTTCGGATTGGTAAAGACCGGGAGAAATACCATTGAAACGGATATTATAAGAGGTGAAGGTCGTCGAAAGCATCTTGGTGAGATGATGCACCGCCGCCTTGGATACGTTATAAGCATAGCTGTATGGCGGCTTCCGGTTGAACCCAGCAAGAGACCCGGTCAGAATAACCTGGGGAGTAGGTGTCGACAGCACATTAGGCTGAGGAGCGGGTCTCTTCGAATTGGCGGCATCGAGAAGCGGCAAGAAGGCCAGAACAGTATAGTAGACACCTGTCACGTTGACATCCATGACATTGGTGAACTCGGTCATCGGGACATTGTATAGCTGATCTCGGACCTCAGTGATAGATGGCATAGAACCGTCGGCTTTAGGCTTAGGCATGGGCATATCGGGACCCATTATTCCGCTGTTGGCGAATAAAACATCGATGTGGTCTGTCTGTGCAGCGATGGCTTCGTATGCTGCATCGAGGGATTCCTTCGACGATACATCGCATTTAACTGGGATAATGACGTTGGGATCTTGGGTGGCTGTCTGTTGGAGGGCTTCCTCACGCCGGCCTAAGACGAAGACCTTGGATACCCCGTTTACGGCGAGGGCGTGGGCAATTGTACGACCGAGACCTGGTGATAGATGCTGTTAGCGGGGTTGTTCTAGTTTGGGATTTTTGATAAGGATATGGATACCTGAGCCTCCTCCAGTGACGACGACGACGCGGCCCTTGACTGAAAATAGCTCTGATGCTTGCAAGTGTGACATTGTGATTATCTCCAAAAAAACTTGTGAGTGGTTGAATTGACAAGAGAGGAGGAGAGTTGATTATCAACCATGTCAGAGACCCCGCATTCGCGTCATCTCCGTGCTCCACCTATGATCGGCGCATACGGCGATCGGGGGCATTCCGCGTTGTTTTTGTTGTTTTCCTATACAAGCCCGATGGAATGATGGCGAGAAAAAAAAAAAGAAATTGGAGTCCCGAAAGTGATATATTTTTGCTTTTCTAAAAAAAAATAATTTGCAGCGATTAGTGGCTCGTGATAACAATCTCCTCAAACACTGGATCTAACGCAGAGCTGTCGATGTGGGTATCTACCCTCAGTCTTTCCCCATCCGAGGCCCTCAGGTTCCCCTCAGCTTTATTCACAACTCTGCAACTTTAATACTTGTCAGGTTACAACAGATTTGTTCCTCTACTCGGATGTCCCCGGACCAAAATTTGATATGCAAATTGAATATAGACTTTCGATCTCATCCATGGATAATATTTGACGTCATTGCCGAGATTACCCGGCATGAACTCCCCAGTATTCAAGTTAACAGCTCCCGAAAGATCGAATGAATAATATATGAGCAACGATTCAAAGTCATTATTGAAATTCAAATCGACCAGAATCGACCGAAAGATAGAAAAAGAGAGAATGGCGCGGGTTCAATCGTTTTTTTGTGGTTAGCCGCTCATCTCCATAGACAGTAAGGTTAGGGCCCTGCATGCTCCCGTTAATGTGGAGTGGAGCATGGATATGACAGCATCAAGGGAATAAGCACCTGAAAACGATATGGATGATGGGGTTAGTCCAGGATTAAACCTTAATTATCCTGTTCATTTGGTCGGTTCGGAGGAACCCCCGTGCAGACCTGGTCATGACTAGACGCTGACTTCAATTCTCACTAACAATAGCCCTATAGCCAGGCAAAATCAAAGACTCATTTGGCATGTTGAGCTATAGTCGTTGACTTCATGAGGTAGCTTACCGCGCGTCCACTTCGGTCATTCAACCCAATATAGCCTAGACTTCCGACCTGTGCCCTGAAATTGAGCCAGCAAAGTCAATGAGACCGATTTCCCATCAGTTGCGTCAGTAGTTAATGATGCTTCCTTGGAACTTGATGGAAACCCTGAGGCCAGACTATATGTAACGTGGAGTATCCTGTCGGTGGAATCGAAGTATTTAACACTTTTTCGTCGGATCTTTGCTCCTGCGCTTTACAAGACGTCTATATCATTTTAATGAGAACAGCGCCATACTAGAAAAAACTAGCAGTACCAGTAATGATCTGGAATTCGATTTTTGGGCTGAGTGCCTTGGGATTGCTACCATTGGCATCTGCCTTACCAAATGATATTGCAGCCAGGGCAACGCCATCCAGCTCATCGGTCTCAGCACCACCTACCCGTTCTCATCCGACTAGTCTCCCCCATTCATCCTACACAGGAACCGCATTGACTAGTGGCGCACTTACGGCTAGCTCCGTTGGAACGGGTATATCCTCTGGAAGTGTCTCTCCCGCTGAGACTACCTATCCGAGTGATGGGAAGCTTCATAATGCCGAGCCAGCCCCATATGTTCCCGCTGGAGGAGTTGGAACCAATGGCTCAATTCCTGTCTACAACGCACAGAGCGACTTCGACTATGAATCTCTGGTTTGTTCTCACCATCACTAAATATGTAATACATGCATTTACTAACTATCACCAGGCCCTTGCTCTGTACCAGGAGTGGATTGAATTGGATATCTTCCAAGATGGATTGAGACGTTTCTCTGAACAGGACTTCAAGGCAGCTGGTCTCACACCGCAAGACCGAAACCTTATTGCCTTTATGGCTGAACAAGAAGTTGGGCACGCGACCATGATCAGCAACATCCTGGGTGCCGAGGCACCACAGCAATGTGCCTATGTCTACCCTTACACTAATGTGCAAGAGTACATTGATTTTGCTCAAAAGGTCACTCGGTTCGGCGAAGCTGGTGTATATGGATTCCTAGCTCACCTTGACTCGAGAGAGGCTGCTACCTTGCTCACCCAATCCATCACCACAGAGGCACGTCAGCAATTGATCTTCCGTCAGTTCCAGGGCCTCTTCCCAATGCCCGAATGGTTCGAGGTTGGTATTCCCCAGTCTTGGGCCTGGACCCTCCTAGCACCGTATATCAGCTGGTGCCCACAAGACCAGACTCGACTTGTCTGGCAGAACTTCCCAGCCCTCAAGATCATCAACCAGCCAAGCGTTGGAAGCAGCGGTAACTCCTCCGTTTTCCAAAACAATACTATCAGCTCCGGAACCAACGTGGTGAAGGTGCCCAACGGATCTCAGTCATCAAGCTCTGGCTCTTCCGGAAGTGACTGTGGCGCTACAGTCACGACTGATGACACCACCCCGCTTTCGTTCGCTGGTCGTCAGGTTGCTCTGCAATGGGAAACCCCGGGTAAAGCTGTTGGTCCCAACAATAGCTATGTGACTACTTCCCAGGCTAAGACTGCTAAGTACGTCGCGTGGGTTTCGCAGCTCAACGTCACTTACACTCCGCTGCGGGTTAGCTCCAATGGTACCCGGGGATATACTATCCAGCCAAGTGCAGAGACATACGAGGGCAACCCAGCAGTCAATGGAACGATGTTCATTGCCATTACCGATTCGAACCCTGTGCTGAGCCCCTTCAATCTCAGCTTGATCAACCCTCACGTTGTTGCTGGCCCTGCTATTTACCAGGCCGGCTAAGCGACAAGTATAGTGTGATGGAATGGATATGCAAAGCCCTATGGTCTATAATCGAAGATTCTGTACTCTAATTAATATGAATAATTGAAGGGAAGAAGGGGTAGAGAAAAGTGGCGTTGTCTTTTTATTTCTGAATACGAGTCGTGATGCCATTGATGGTATCTATATATGGATATTCTATTCTAGCCGTAAGGGCAAGTAGGAATAATCGTAGTGCTAGTTTTATTGGCCTCTTATCAACCTTATCAACCTGAAGGGATAATTTGCCAACGAAATCGCCCACAGGTAGTTTGAACATGGAAGAATACAAGTCAGATGGTTCCCTGAAATTTGCGAAGCATCAATTTCACCTATTGCAGAACAGAATATCAACGTATTTAAATCTAGTATATCGAAATATAAAAGAGGCGATAGCACCATGAAGCGCCGCGCGTTTAGTATAGAATATCTGCAGTGGTGATTCGATTTACCGCAATACCCGCTCATTCCCGCAATACCCACTAAGCCAAGAAACAGTGAAGATAAATGCGCACGATCGAATTTTCACCACAAATTTTGGAAGGAATTCCAATTACCATATTAAATGATTGATTAAGTTCGCAATTTGAAGATAGATGCATTCATCAAATACCCTTGCCCAAGGATGAATGTGTTCCTGGTCGCAATGTCCAACTGATATTACGCCTTCTGATAACATTTCCTGAATGTGGATCTCAGTCTAGTTTGACTCATATTTTTTTTCTAAGAAAAGAAATTAACAATCCTAAATTTTCAAGTTTATTTATTTAGAGACCGAGTCTTTAACATATTGAATAGCTTATCTAACCCGGAGGCCTATCAAAATGACTACTAATATTTCATCACGCGGCGAAAGTCTTGCAAAGAAGAAGCCAGTATTTCTCGATGTTCTAGCAGATATATGGGACCCGCTGGTCAATCCTACGGGAGTTGTGAATCTTGGCCTTGCAGAGAACGTGAGTCAGGATACGTTCAACAATGGGGTAAAGTTGTTGACAAAGTTATAGGCACTTATGCATACGGAAATGAAGCAATTCATGAATTCAAAAGTAAGATTCATCGATTGTGCAACAAAATGTTAGGCTATTAATCAGTTGGCCCTTCTAGATACACATTGACTCACATGCATTGACATATGGGGATGGTTTCTCTGGGAGCCAGAAATTGAAGAAAGCTATATGTCACTTCTTGAATCGGCAATTATCACCTTTTATTCCTCTTCATTCTTCACATGTGACTGTTACATCCGGAGTGAGCAATGCACTTGAATGTACCGCTTGGGCTCTATTCGACCAGGGTGACCATGTGTTAGTTAGTCGGCCTTATTTCAATGCCTTCCACACAACCTTCAGTACTCGAGCAGGGTAAGTTTATTCCCAATGAGGATATATGGTGGCTACTAACAATTCTCTGGATCAGGGTTGGTCTTCTAGAAGTTAAGCTCGGGGAGATAGACCCATTTACCCTTGCCGCTGTTGAGAATTATGAAGAGGCACTTTTGTCCGCACGGAAGGAGGGCATGAATGTGAAAGCACTTCTGTTATGCTCACCCCATAATCCTCTTGGTTCGTTAATATCCACTACTTTTGTTGTTCCGACTAACAATGGTAGGTCGATGCTACCCTGAACATGTATTGCGAGAGTACATGCGGCTATGTGGAAAATATGATCTTCATCTCATCAGCGACGAGATCTATGCCCTCTCCGTATGGGAGAGCCCTGATCTTCCAGAGGCAGTGAGCTTCAAGTCTATTCTATCCATTGACACAGCCGGATTGATAGATGGAAGCATGGTACATGCAGTATGGGGTCTTAGCAAGGTGAGATAACTTCTTGCACTATGATAGCACAAAATTGACTGTTGACTTACACTTCTTCAACTAGGACTTTGGTGCCACAGGGTTACGAATTGGATGCTTGATTAGCCAGTCTAATCATAGGCTATTGGAAGCTGCAGATGGGATCTCGTATGGACAGCTTTATTCCTCTGAACGTGAGCCTGACTGACTCGGTTTGGAACAGGCTTTTGAACTTTCCTTCAAGTGCCGCAGACAGCGTTGCCGCCTCCTTACTGGCAGACGACGGATTCACTACGCAGTATTTGAGGACGAACCAGCTTCGTCTAGCCGAAAGCTACAAGTTCGTCACAGCATTCCTTAAGCGTCATGAAATTCCGTATTCCAAATGCAATGCTACATTCTTTCTGTGGATTCGGCTGGGGGCGGTCGTCAAAGATCCAAATACTACTGATGATGAAGTTTCAGCAAAGCTACGGAAATTCAAAGTGTATATGGCAGCGGGATACGCATATGCAAGTGAAGAAAGGGGATGGTTTCGTATGGTGTTTGCACACCCAAGACCTGTGCTTGAGGAAGGGCTTCAGCGTGTAGCCCAGGCGTTAGATTTATAGAGAACAAGCCAAGAGAACAGCAGGCTTCAAGTTATTGTCAGGACTCTCATTATATGTGAACATTGGGTAGATTGAAATATACTATTCATGCATAAAAGGGCAAGAATTACTACAAAGATCTCATGACGCATCTGCTATAGCATCCACCATAATTTCGACAAGCATCTCCGGATCAGCAAAATTTGAAACGACAAGAAGGATTGCAGTCGAGCCTATATCCCCACCGAGTTGTCGGCCCAAAATATCCTTGAATCCCTGCATGACAGCCGGTGCGTCTTCATGGCGCTGAATGAAAAGCTGAGTGCGTATGATACTTTCTGCTCCCTTGCCACCAAGAGATTGGATAGCCTTGATTACTTCCTTCAAGGTCACTTGTGTTTGACCCCGCGCATCTCCAGGAAATAACATGCGGGGACTCTCTGGTGGGCTCTCTGGGTCTGCGGCGGTTGTACCTGAGACGTAAATTTGCTGTCCAACTCGAACGGCACGGTAGTAACCGTACGCTGCCTCCCAAGGGGAGTTGGTTGCGTAGAATTTCTTTGTTGAAGGTGTGGGAGTTGGGATGGATTTTGATGCCATTGTTATCTGGATGATTGGCCTTAGCTAGATCAATTGATGCGATGTGAAGATTCGAAGGAAAGAGAAAGAGTACAATGGATAGTAAATCCAATTTCCTTTTATATAGTAAGTAGGTGGGGAAAAGAACCTGCCTAGGCGGGACTACATATATTATGACTCAATAATGGCCAAGGAAGTATAAGCGAGGTAGTAGCTCTCGGGATGACGATGTACTCAATAGCAACATTGAATTAGCCGTTTCAGGTATTGTTGGTTCTGAGGCTGCTCACTAGCAATGAATCAATAAATTACTAACATTTTCTCGTCTACTTAGGCGAACGACAAAAACGCCCTTCGATGGAACTGCTCAGCGGAGGGGCAGGATTTGCCAGTAGATAGAGATCTTGAAAAAGAGAAGTTTATTTATTGCTTTGACTCTAGATATAATTGGTTCAGGTCACCTACAGCCTATCATATTAGACGTGGCGGACTAGGTGCTCCAGATGTCCACTTGGAAGGGAACAGTGCCATTTGGGGAGAAAACTAGCCGAACATGTTGAAAGCGGCATCCCATCGCCATCCCATCGCTATCCCAAACTCCAGGGTTGCAACAAATGGGAGAGCAATACTGACTAACTAGCCAGACATTCCAAACGAGAAAGCTCAGCTTCTCGGCTTCAACACTCTGATGGTCCGCCACGCAATCAAACTGGCCAGAACCGCAAGATACACTCCAAACCCGCGCAAACATCCAATGCCAGCGGGCCCTTCATTGTACCTCCCCAATAAAAAGGAGTACGCAAGTGCTGCGTAGTGACATGTGCGACCGTATGCCATGACAAGAGACATGGATCAGGGGAAAATTTTTGAACAAGAAAGCAGGGAATACCACTAAAAAAAACATCGTTTCCGATGAATCATACCTGTTAGATCTCCTATCGCTACTATTTATTGCATCGCTCATATAATTGGGCCCGGGATGTTCTCAGTGGGCGGGCCACTTTCAACTATTGTGGTATGGCTCTTCTTCTCTGCCAAAAATTACAACATGTTATTTTTGAGTGCCAATATCCCTGCATTGGTTCATTATTGCCATTTGAACATTATAGATTTCCCAGGGGATCCAATTCTTGGTAAGATGTCGAGAAAGGGACACCATTTCCTCGTCGGCGTTCTTAGTGTGGCAACGGCATCATGCCCAATAAAAACCCGAGCTGACGAGATTATCAGCCAGCACCGTCGCACATCTTCCCTAGTTTTGCCTTAAACTTGGTAAAACCAAAGAATCAACAGTAAAATATCTTCTTCCCTCTTAAACTCTTTTCTCTGCCTTCACTTTCATTCTCTTATCACCCCAGCCACTCAACAGTCATGCTGAAACCTTCAATCATCATCATACCCGGTGCATGGCACAGACCAAAGCATTATGAGAAGCTCAATAAGGGGTTGGAAGAATTTGGGTACGAATCAGTTGCCGTCGACCTACCCTCTCTTGACTCCTCCCCACCTCTTACCAGCTGGGAGGCAGATGCCCAAGAAGTCCGCCGTGTCATAATGAACCATCTCGACCATGGCAAGAATGTTATCATGATCGCCCATTCCTTCGGGGGAGTGGCCATGTCTGAAGCAGTGAAGGGACTGGGACGAAAGGCGAGACAAGATCAAGGCTTACAAGGCGCCGTCGTGAGATTGGTATACATGGCTGCAGTGGTAATCCCAATTGGTCAGAGCTACATGGATCAAATGAAAATGAAAACGCCAGAGGGGGCAGACGTTGAAGGACGGCGTAAAGAAGTCGAGGGAAATTCGCGTGGAATGATTCCTCAAGAGGTAAGAACAGTCGCCCCGGAGAAATGTCGCTCACGGACTTGGAGCAAATTGCTAAATCTCGCCTTGCTTTTCTAGGATGGCTCTTTAGCCCTGGATGAGGATGTAGCCAAGGATATTCTCTTTCACGGGTGTGACCCTCAGGATGTACAGCAAGCCGTCGAACTTTTAGGCTCGTTCCCCTCAGGCCCAATGTACGTTCCCGTTACGTATTCGGCTTGTGTTGACTTTCCGAGCACATACATTAAGTGCAAAAATGATCGCGCATTTTCTGTTTTGACGCAGGAGCGGATGATTGCTCAGATGGGTGGTGTTTTTGACGTTGAGGAATGTGAGGAGGGGCATTCGCCATTTCTCAGCAATCCTCATTTTGTTGTTGATTGCATCCGTCGTGCGGTGGGGGAAATCCCCATGATATTTTAGGACATTCATGTACAGCATGCCGGGGAAAATGATAACATCAAATCGACAGAAGTCTCACTCATAGTGAAGGATCAATGCCGAGTAATCATGAGTCATGCGCACACTTCTCTTGGTCTTGCTATTAAAACCAATTAAACATAAAATATTTTAGTCCTATTGTTCTGAAATAATAACAAATTCGATTTGATGTACTCAACTGAACCTTTAAAATGCCTTTTTTACCCACCACCACCAAAGTCTGAATCGAGTTTCCATAAAGAAATCTGCCACTGCGGTGCTTTCCGTTTCACTGTAAAGCTATCTCCACCCTTGGACCAACATCCAACTAGTAGCTGTGATTGTTCAATATGTCAGAAGAACGGCTACCGGCTTGTCTATCCGCCCACGACGGATGTCACATTCCACAGAGGGCGTGATGGGCTGAAAAGTTACCGTTTTGCAGCCCGTGAAGGCGAACACCAGTTCTGTGGGGAATGTGGGAGTAGTTGCTTTCTCGGCCTTCATGATGAGCCAGAGCCTCCATTTATTGCCGTAAATGTATGTTCCTCTTGTCGCTTTATCTTGACATCGAGTTAATGCTTTCAGGTCCACATTTTCGAGGGGCTTGACTACGATAAGTTGAAGATTAAGAAAGTTGACGGCCGGTCGCGAAGGCCAGAATATCAAATTGCAGAAGAAGAACAGAAATAACTGAGTCGACCAATGGAGCTATTCACAAAATAATTAGCCCAGGCTCGCAGAAGATAAAAAGGCCCGCCAAATGCAGTGTCCCTCGCAGTGTCCTTTATACGTTCAACAAAAGATCCAACCATTCATAAAGCATTCAATCAAATATCAAAGCTCTTGCCTCAAAGCTTAAGACTATAAAATAACTATAGCAAGAGCATCTTAGCCTTGATAGCCGATCATTTCACTTTAGAGGCAAGGAAAGTAGCAGCATCGCTAGCATCAGCGCCATAAGTCAAATGGGCTGCAGTGATAATCAAGGTTCCATCGCAGACTTCATCACCCACAGCGCAGTAGACCTTAGTTTGATCCTTCGGGTAGTTAGGAATTTGACCACCATCCTGCAAATTCCGAGTGAAGCCAAACAGGACAACGCCCTTGACCTTAGCGACGACATCGCTGGATAGCTTCTGGATAGCATTGTCCATGACAGCACTTCCCTGACTACAAAAGAGTTAGCAAGGATCGAACAGCTTCACAATTTCGTACCACTAACCTGTATCCACCCGCAACGATCTTTGCGTTGGGGCATTTGGTATTGCACGAATTAAACTCATCCACGGCAGCTTGGATATCCTGTGGTGCAGTGTTCTGGGGAAGGAAGTTCTCTCCAAGTCCAGCTGTGTATGCACCGCCAACACCTTGGCAACCTAAATCACCACCTAGCTGGGTGCTCAGAGCATCGCATACCTCTGGACCGACGACGGTGCCCTGGGGAGTTAGTTGAGATCTCTATATTTTCTTGAAGAGCTAACTTACCATATTGCCCACTTCGGTGGATCCTCGAGCAAAGATAAACATTGTACTTTTGCAATTTCCGTCATCAACGTCGGTGGCCGAAATGTATTGGCGACTTTGAACACCCGTCGGGCTTGCCGCGATCAACGGGACGAGAGCCAGCGAGAGAAGAGCTTGAGGAAGCATTGTATCGACGGATAGTGAATGATGGAATTTTCTGTTGACTCTTCATTGTCTTGATTATATGAAATTTTGTTCATTTTATAGTGTTGAATGCAAGTTTGAGTACAGGTGGGAAGAAATCCAATATTTGAGGCTTCGGGTACATTTCGGCAAGCAATAGTTTCAGAATCTCTCAAAAACGAGCGATGTCTCGACTAACTTGACCAAGCTTTTTCTCATTCATTAATCTAGCCTCTTTCATCGTTGACTAGATCAAAAAGGTGCATTCCCCGCTCCCCTGAAAATCATCCCAAACGTTAGTCTCTAGGCACCCTTAATTCCAAGAAACCACATGGCAGCTCAATTTTGGATATTCTAACGGCATGGGCCACAAAAGCCGTTATCTGGATATGAACCGAAATATGAATCGTGTTCGAATATTCATTCCTATCTCGCAAATTCCTTTAGGGAAATTGTCTTTATCTCAGTCCTTGAGCCGAGGCCCGATTCAATTTTTGTATATGCAATCTGCAAGCTCGGAAACCAAAAAAACCAGCGGAACATGAAACCATCATGCACAATATGTACCGCTCTCCTCTTTCAAAGGTCCAAATGCCCTCGGCTTTGGCTCCTGCTCAAAAGACCATTGCCGACTAACAGTACTAGCACATACATTTTTTGACCCTACAGGTTGATCATAAGAGTCCACCTGTTGGGAAACCGATATCAGCTTAAGGATAACTTTGACAGAATTGACTCTTCCTTTCTATAGACAACTGTGACCAGCTATCTCGAGAGACTTCGATGGTTCATGATCGAGGACAAAAACATTCTATACCGTAAGATCAATTCCGGTGTTTATGAGAGCATCGCTAGCTTTTCCCGACTCATCCGCGATCCGCTTTGTAAACAAACCCGTTCACGATACGCAGCCAACAAGAACTTACAAACGGGAAAAGCCCGGATCGATGACCTATGTGGAACTTATTATTGGGCGGAATTGGTAGTGACGGTTTACGTATGTATAGAAGCATTCACAGCTTTATAATCAAAAATGCAGTATCAATCGCTGCAAGATCCGGGTGCACTGGCAATCTTCAGTGGGGCGCATTAAGGAGGCCCATCGAACAGGGAGCTATCGTGTTATCTCTTGTTTGTTATATGAAGTCCTTATGCAAGTATCAAGATCACTCCAAAATTAATCGTTTGTTTTTGATTAAAGCAATTGACGACCGGGTCCTAAGCCCCGGTTGGACCGAGAAAGATATATGCCACTGCTAGTGAATAGAATGGCGGTTTATATATTATTTGAAGGGTCTCGATACTACCACTATTTAAACTAAGAAGCCACTGGCTTCAAGTTGAATATGTATACGCGTAAAGCGTAGGTAAAGCGTGGTCAAAATATAGTTTGAGCTTACCTGGTTCTGGGATAGTTCGTGAGCACATTTGCGCATATATTTCTTAATGGGCGAACCAGATCCATTGAATTCATATATTTAAATCAATAATATATGTCATCTCTAGGGCTGTAGTGGTTATGTTCATCACAGTGACTTGATTGGCGGCGTCCTGGATGTTCAAGTTGTTGTCTGGACTGCTCCGCAAGGGATGATCTCCGACCCCTTCCACTTCCAACGTCCCAACATCCGCGTTTCGTCCAGTCGGGGTTTTGAATAAGAACCCAATAAGTCAGCTTTAGCTGTTTCTAATACGGTGTAATTGTGCAACGCTCAACATTGAACCTGGGTATCGCCGTTTTCTGCCGTCAGGTGACCTGGATACACGACCTACCGTTACATCTCCATCCCTTCTGGTTCTCTTACACCCTCAATCCTCTCACTTGTCGCAGCAATCAGTCTATACGTGTCTATAGCGACGGTGTATTAGCTGAATATGGAAATGACCACAGAAACCGCAACTTCCTCCAGTCCGGAGATGACATCAACCGGACCACCCGCCGGCATGGAAGCACCAGATATGGCCTTTAACACGAATAATCTGTCAGCAGTCTTATTCTCACAATCCTGGATGCCAAATACCATAGCTGGTTATGTCGGGTCATGGTTCTTTCTTTTCTTCTTAGCAATCATATGGCGAGCATCGGCTGCGTCACTATCGAAGCTCGATGCATTTTGGGCCGCGAAGAACGCGAGGTACTCGATCCTTAGCAACGGGGGCCAGGATGAACCACCTCAAAAGGATGTCGCTCAAGGTTGGAGAATCTCAGTCAATCTTCCTCGGGCGCTTTTGCGTACGATCCATCAAGGCATTGCATATCTATTGTAGGTCGCACCTTCCCTTTAGTGAAGACAGCTCAATTAACTCACAATTTGCTCCAGGATGATTGCGGTCATGACTATGAATATTGGGTTCTTCTTCGCAGTGCTTGTTGGTTTTTTTTTCGGCGAGCTCATTTTCAGTCGCGTTTCTCGGGCTGATTAATCAATTGACTGGCTCTTTCAAAATGATTGATCCAAAAGTACGTCTATCTTGATCTTGGGCTCTGCAGATAGCTCTGAGCTTTCTGTCTCCAAGACAACACACACTCTAGACCCGTCAATGAATTGATCAATCTTGAAGATGCTTCGTCCCCTACTGCATATTACATGACTTTCGAGAATAAAGAAACCTCTCTTCCGACTTCACAACCAAGATAAGACTCTAAAATCCCAAAATTCCCGCAGAACGGCGTTCTCAAGGCTCATAATAAGCCAACATACCTTCTCACAACTCCAGTAAACTGCTTCGAGGTATTCTTCTTTGGCATGATTCCTACTTCCATCTTTATCACAGCATCTAGAATACCGAACCTTTGACGAGTATGCCTGAGAACGAAAGAGATACCATGAGGCGGAGATCAACCTTAGGGCTCTGCCATGTTGGCAAAGACGTACCTTTTTGGCGTTTCCTCAGATACCATTAGTCCCATCCGCTGGCCTGGTATCCAATATCTCAATACGCTCAATCTACACGTGGCCATGTCCATGTATTGCACAACATAGTTTAATACCCATAGGAACCTTAATTACTCTGCATGTGAGCCGAAATCTATGTGACACCCAAAATAGTTGTTCCATTTATCAAATTTGATAAATAGTTTGGTGATGTGAGAATGCTTCATTTGAGAAATCCCACAGCTGTCAATACTAAAGGGGTTTATAGACCCCTTCAAGATTTCCTAGCTACGTACTACACCCTCAATTCTAGTCCAAATTTTTTTCTGAAGATACTCGAAGCTTCGCCTCAATCGTCTTATTCTTCTCTAAAGATACTTATCTCAATTTTAACCCCGATTTTATGATAGCTGGTGGGTAGGAAAATGACCCCGAAGGCAAGCCAGCCTCGAAGGCTTCCCCCAAGTCCAAACAGTCTACTAGAAAGAAGAACGCCTACACTGGCAATGCCGACGCGAAGTTGACTCTCCTCTACATGTGCTACATAAACAGGGAAGGACCAGTAAGGATTTTTTTGAAGTCCTAACTTCGTTGCTTGCTACTAGCTTCACCGAGGGTTCACTCCCCTTCGAAGCACTGCTATCTTCAAGGAACAACGCCCCCACAATGAATCACTTCAATTTACACTTCGAACACTCCTGCAGCGACTCCACCTTCGGCGATACCTCAGTTTGTTTTACCCATTCACTGGCATGTCGACGATTCGACTATGCCGGCACTTTATAACGTCAACACCACACTTGATGGCCTTGCCTGTGACTACGCCCGCCTGATCAAACATTGTGTCTTCCGCTACGCCAATCAGTGTGTGTGTGTGTGCTGCCTTCACCTTGGGTCTCACTGCCACCCGGTGATCCAACGCTGAGAGAATCTTTGGCACCTGATCTATGATATTCACAACTACGTCTTTTCGAAACTCCACTATCGGCTGTTGGCGATTGTGATCGCCAATGACTCTGCCCACCCGGCTCCCCCGGCACCTCCTAGAACCCCAGTACAGAACCCCTCTGAGTCTCTTACCCTACGTTACCCTCCTCGCTTTCGTCAATATACCCGTGGACAGCAGGGATAGACCTCTTCCCTTTCTCTCCTACCTCTAACCGTCAATAGGAGATGGACCTGCTCAGCCTTGTCGTTACTCCGAGCTGAGCTATGTAAATACTCCTATCCGAAATACTCGAGTTATGCGTGATCATTATCGGCTCATTCTCGATAAGAAGTTGACTGCTGAGGAGTTTATGGCTGCTATGGTCCCGGTCCTCGCGGAGAAACGCTATATCAAGCATTGAATGTCCCAGGAGTGTCGATACTTAGCTTTGAACCTTTCAGCGAGCAATGCAAATTATTGAATACATATTGAACCAAAGTTCCCATCTTCAAAGGATTAGGTACGCAGGGAGAAGAACTGACTGATATTTTCGTACTTAGTCATTTCTGTCTCTTTTGAAACACCTATCACAGTGAGTATAGCTTTTGGGCAACAAAAGTGCTTCGGTTGCTATGAGGAATATTGTAACTGTAGGCTACAAAGTTCAAGTCCACGACGAATGACTATGACATGGACACTCAACCCGTAAAATGACGGATTCGTCCCAAAATCAAGGTTGTGTGCACCTATGTCTCGACTCGATGAGACAATTTACCCCAAAAATATGCCTAATTTCCAGAAAGTGACAGCGCAAAAAACTTACCTGAATTAGTCCCTGACACCGCTCCGATGGCCTCCAGCCCTTTTTGGCAAGAGTGCATCACCGACCTTTTACGATTCAAGTAGTCTGCCATTTCGGTCGTCGCCTGCATACGTCGAATCCTTCTCCAGCACAAAACTCAAAGGCTCAAGAATCGCGGTTACTAGCGCTGACACCGGGCAGCAAACTAGCCTCATTCATTCCTGCTTGGATTAAGTTCATATGCAATCCTTCAACTCCCAACCACGCCGTAGATCACGCAGTAGATCACGTCAAGCGGGGTACGCAGTACATACAGTAGTTCGCGCTAACAAGCCCACATAGTTCGAGGGAACAGAAAGTGCGGTGAAGAAGATGCATGAACATGTGGAAATCCCAGAAAATAAAGTGGGTCTAAGTCTAATCTCAGTAAGCTTGATTACCCCTCTTGTACTGGAGTCAATTTTCGCTTGTGGCTTGTTTCTCCAATTCTACGGACCGGAAAGATGCCGTCGTATCTAGATCAAGACCATTGCAGTAAACACTTACGACGTTGATAGAAATGACTTGCACAGTGGGAATAGCTGGTATTTTGTAGCCAATGGAAACGAGAAATAATTGATTTTTGTATACATTTAACCCAGCAAAACCAAGTTGATCCTCCGAACTCCCCCGGCCCCACATGGGTGCTGATCCCCCCTCCCGTGCTCCGCTGATCCACGAATCCAACAAGGAGGCTGGGATCTCATTATTGGAGAACGCCAAGATCGATCGAATCGATCGGGAATGCAATGCTTTTATCGGAATGAGAATGGAGAATGCTAGGAAATCGCACAATATTTAGCGATGAATACTATTTTAGAAGGTGGGGGAATGAAATAAAATTGTATTCCTTGCTGCTGCCAGTGCTCAGGTAGGTAGATTTCAAAATCCACTACAATATGCAAGCAAGAGATTATTTGACTCTTTCCTTTTTCATCATAATGGGGTGGACCATTTCTGAGTACTTTCTATTGTAGTCACGGTAATGCCTATGTTATTATTAGTATTTCGAAATTGACTCGAGAATCTTGGAAATGGCATGAAATTCGGCTAAATGGGCTACACAATTCCGATCGTCATAACAGCCGGGTCGCGTGGCTGTAGTGTGCATGTACTTAGCAAGCAGGATATGCAGCTAGCCCTAAATGGACATTGATGGGGGTATTTGTAATTATTTGTTCATTTTGGCGCGTTCTCGGCTTCCGGAGTCGGGTACGGAGTGTACGGAGTCCTGGATTGGATGTTAATAAGCGAGGTGCATGGTTCCTACATGTGTACCCATGTGCTTTACGAAGTATAATACGTTTAATAGATTTTTTCAAAGGTAATTTTTGAAGAAATATTCAAATTTTTATTCTTGTTATGGATTCGAAAAGGACTAGATCGCTTATAGCTTCTAGTCTTGCACAAGATAGATAGGAAAATGTAAACACCGACACCAACCCAGGAAAATCACTGCCGCAAGAGAGGGAATGAAAAAAAAGAAATGAAACTCCAAACCACCGAGCAGACTCCGAAATCCCCCCCCAAAAAAACAACTTATAATCCACGTGAAACACTCGTCATAGATGGGGTAAAAAAATATAGAATCCGAGGTCATGATGAAACGATAGTTGATCGCGAGCCGCCCGAAAGTATCCCGAATGCAGACCTAAGCATCCCCAAAACACCACTAAACATATTCCGCCAACTCCTTACTGTTCCTATATTGGAAGGAATGCGATTAGAAAATGCGTCGAAACCCAATGAGAAAAAGAAAAACGCCCGCGAGAGTTTCGCTTGACTCAGACGGTGACCCGTCCCTCTGGTGCCATACCGACGGGGACGTCCGCGCTGGTGGGCAATGCCCGGGCAGGAGTGCCCTCACCTTCGAAACGGGATAGAAGGGATGCAACCATTTCGCGGTAGTGGTTCATCTGTGACAGTTTGAAACGCTGGATTTTTCCGCTGGCTGTGCGTGGAATTTCTTCGACGAAAATCACTCCGCCGTCGAGTGCTTTGTAGCTGGCTAGTCGTTCGCGGGCGAATTTGTATACTTCGGCGGCTGTGAGGCGGTTTACGGAGGGGTCGCGGGAGCGGACGACGAAGGCGCGGGGGACTTCTCCGCCTCTGATGTTGACGCCGGTTACTGCTGCGTCGGTAATTCCGGGGTGTTGGAGGAGAACGGTCTCCACCTCTGCTGGGGCCACTTGCCATCTATTGAGCAAACGTCGAATATCAGTATACAGTACAGCTTTCTTTTTCTCTTTTGGGGCGCAGATTTGACTTCCGCCCCTCCTTTTGAAATCTATTCTCATAATAAAGATCACTGCATGGAGAATGGATTACTTACCCTCGGACCTTAATCAATTCCTTCGTTCTTCCGACAATAAAGTGATATCCGTGCTTCCGATACACAACGTCGCCTGTACGGAACCATCCATCTTGGTCTTTGGCATCTGTGCGACCCTTGTATGACTGGAGCAATCCCGGGCCACGAACGTACAGTTCGCCAGCACGATCGTCATTTTGTACAACCTTGCCCTCGTGGTCGACCAAGCGCGCTTCATAACTCGCAGACAAAGTTCCAATGCTACCGTGGTTGTTACGCTGCCCATATCGGCACTGGAAAGCAACTCCCACCTCCGTCATGCCCCACAGTTGGGCCGCGTATGCATCGGAATGGAGGAGGCTCTGGAATTGAAGCATGGTCTGTGCATCAATCGGTGCACCAGCAACACCAACGTATCGCAATGAGCTAAGGTAATCAGCGATGGGAAGCGGAGACTGATTGATTGATTGCACAATAGCAGGCACAAGGTATGTCTCCGAGATCTGGTAGCGATGGATAGTCGCCAGGAACTGCTTCATCTCGAAGCGTTGCAGAACAAAGACAGGGTGTCCATAGCGAACAGGGAACAAGTGTGTCCATAGAGCGCCGAACATATGGAACATGGGTAGCGACATTAAGCGGCTAACCGGGAAGGGGACGTCGTACTGAATAGCCCGATGGTGCGACACAATAGCATGATGCGATAGGATCGCGGCCTTGGGGAGTCCACCGGTCCCACTGGTGGAGAACATGGCAGCGGGAGTAGTTTGTGCCTCCACTGGATCTGTGAACATCATCCAGTCACTTTCTCCATAGCAGAGAAGGCGGGGGAAGTTGATAAAGTCGCGCTCAGTGTTGCTCATGGCTAGGACCTCTTGCGCGGCTGGGTAACCCATTTCGTACGACAAGAAGAGCTGAGCACAGTTGTCTACAGCGCGCTCATCCACGATACAGATTTGTTGTGGGTGAATGCCGCGGGTGGCACCAACCTCCATGACCATGGGGAGTGCATCTCGAGTTGTGAAGATGAACTTTGGCTCGGCGAGGGAGACAATGTGGTCGAATTCTTGTGTTTGGCTTCGAGGGTTTGAGCCCATGTAGACTCCACCTGCACCAATGATACTGAAGAAAAGGGCGGGGTACAAGATCTGTATTATGCAAGAGGCCGCAGGTCAGCAATCAATCACCGAATGATGTACTTTTGGAGATGCTTGAGATGAATGACTTACACTGTTACCCAGATTCATCAGCACACAGTCACCCTTCTGCAAGCCATGCGCCTTCAAGCCCGCAATGAGGGTTCGGACCAGCCGGTGAAATTGCGTGCCGGTAAAAGAACGCGATGGGTCCTCGGCATCAATGAATAGTGGCTGGTTCTGGTTGTATGGCTTGGGGCCACCAAATGTGAAGGTCAAGAGATCGGTATAAACATCTTGATTGAGAAGGGGGTCAATGGAGCCCGTGGGCACAGAAGCATCCCAGTAGCCCATGATGCAGACAAAGACTCAATGGGGGGAGACGTATAATAAAGACAAGTAATGATAGTATATGATAATATGAAGTAGAAGATGGAAGTAAACGTTTTAGATTGAAGAGGATTGTTCTTGAAATAAACAGATCGAGCTGGAGGGGGGAAAGGGTGGGATATTATAGACATTTTGGGAGGAGTCGTAGAATTTGAATTCTTGAATCCTGTCAAGTTACGAAACGAGTCGGTGGACAACAGTTGATTTGGAATATTTGGAATACTGGGATGCTTAGCTCATCCAACGGACCCACTTTGGCGGTACTTTGGGACTGTGGGAAGGACCCGAGTGACTGGGACCCAGTGGGAAGGGCCGGGTAAGTACCTTGACTATGGGTATTGCATACAAAGGGTACTTCTGGTTTATGCTTTGGGAAATTCAAATAATTCTACTACATCTACTACTCGCACGGAGTACAGTTACCTAGGTTTGCGAATATCATGAGACAGGTTTCAAGGGCTTATGATTTCATGATTCGAATTATTGAATGTGATATCCACTGAAGGGAACCAGGAGACTAGGACATGAGGGGATCAGCCAAGACACTTACCAAGAGAGCGGATAGAACGAATGGAGATAGAAAATAGAAAATAGAATAAAAAAATTATAAAAAATTATAAAAAAAATTGTGAAAAATGTAAATAAAAAGAAAATCAGTCAAAAAAGAAAACAACACAAGAGCTAAACTAAAAATGTATGTGTCATGGCTGATGGCTGAGATACACTGAAAGCAGCGTGTCCAGCCCCGGGCTCCACTTCACCAGTTCGCGCTAAATCAATTTAGTGGCGCACCACGATGGGGCTAAACAGATCATTGATCATTTCGCCCCCCCTTTCATATCCCCATTCACGATCATCACTTCCATTATGTACATATGTCAATTCAATGTTTGACCCCAGCTGAGCCACAAGCTTGGATCACTCTACGTGCCGTCTTATCGCTTTACAATGTCTACTCCTTCCCTGTCCGAACTACTCCAGGACCAGTCCCCTCGCGCATCGGTCACTCCGCGATCGGCCTTGACTCCATCCAGAATTGATCTGCTTAAGCGTGCGGAGTTCAGTCTACGCCAGGACTCCAAGTCCCCATTTTTGAGTGGCGCTTATGTGCTCGCTACACTCTAATCCCTACCTCGCAGCAATAGCTTATTGGTCATGCACGGATCTGCCCACGAGTTGATCCCGTCAGATCTGGCGACAAGGATACACTTGGAAAAAGCTCGAGCCGAACTCCGTCCCGTGTCCTCGGTCATGCCAATGTCAATGTCAATGATGTAGGCCAAACGCACATCCCAGCCCACACCTGTCACTAGTAAGTTGGGTTAGCAACAAAAAAAAGAGCTGAATATCGCCATTTCTTTCCATTTTCCTCTTTTTTGTACCCTCTTTTTTTTTCTTGATCCTCCTCCTTCCAAACATTTGGTTCCTTTGGATCCACTCGGGACATGCCGGCCGTGACAGTGACAGCCTTTGTACCAAGGGACTTACTTTCTTCAAAAAGCTACCCCTCTATTCCCATGGATCCGCCAGACCGACTTTATTGAGTAACGGGATATCCCCCAAAATCCCAGTCTCCTCACAACCTGATCTGAGGGAAAGTGGAGAATTGGCCCACTATCGAAAGCTTACCCCTTCCGTGTGATAACAAGGCAGCAAAACCGCAAAGGGAAATCATAAAATCCACCTCCCTTGGCAGAAAGCAATCCAAAGCCGCCTGAGATCTAGATCGACTAGCGAAAAACGTGCGCCACACAGCTGCAGATGCACTCTGCAATGCACATCCTCCAGGGCCATGGTTTCGGTGACCCACTCCGACCGTCGGGCGTCATGGCTGGCTTTTTTTTAATTCTTTCTTTTTTTCTTTTTCTTTTTCTTTTCCTTTAGTAAATCTTGGGCTGGGACTGATTCCATTTCAGGATTTTCTCGCATGATAGATGTATGCCCTACCCCGCTGCAAGCAATGATCGACTATACTTGCAGTGCGGAGCCGTAAGCAAAGCAGGGAAAAAGTAGCATAGAATTCACCAAATGTCGGTCCAAAATAATAATAAATCGAATAAAATGAAATAATCGAATATGCACCCCTCTCTAATTCGTAATGTGAGGGGTCGTCGGGGCAGCTTTCCGATCAAGGTGCATGTGAAGCCATGCCACGTTCCAGGGACAGAAGGGCATTGTCTTGGACGGTGTGATTCGTCGTTTGATCGGTTCTCGTCGATCTCTTTTGCAGTTCCCCCCTCACAAGCACTTCGATCCGCCGGTTTGGTTCGTGGAATTCTGGTCTCACATCCGGATATAGTTTAGCATAGCAATATTGAGTGCGATCGTGTGCGATTAGGCGTGGGCTTTCTTGACCGATCTTCTCCGGTGACAACTTGCATGCAATGGAGCCCCATGGCAATTGGATGTTTGTGGCGACCTGCAGCGAGGGCGGGCTAGAAAATCACTTGAATGGATAATGGCTTTTTCCATTCAATACTCTTCTGACTGGCGATCGTGAGAGCAAGACTTATGATTGGGTTACATCTTGCAATCGAACGAGGGGTTTCTGGCTGGAAATGGAGTCGACCTTCCGATCCTTCCCGTCTTCCCCGTGAGGTGTTCATGCGAGTCCACAATGTTTAATCGCTATATTGAACATGGGATGGGATATGGTCCCCGTTGTGGACCATACACCTTAGTCCGTGAACCATGGATCGCCGTTGGGGGAGCTGAATGCAAGGGTAGGGCAGGTGGAGGTTTTCCGACCCATTGGCAACGCAACATAAATTCATATCCCGCTAGTGAGCCTTGCAGTAGTTCGACGAGGATCTGGGCCGGTGATAGTGTCATACACTGGCAAGTGTTGGGCGCTTAGTGGATAGCAAACACTGATAGACATGCTGTAGTTCCATTGGGATTGGAGGAAACACGGGTGACCGCAAATCAAAAATGGGTAAAGCCACAAAAAAAACTTGAGTAAATCAAGTCAAGTCAATATCACCAATCATGCCAAGCCATGACGAGGAAACCTTCCTTCCTGAACAAGTCTGTGATGAGAACAGGATACTTCGAAAAAGGAAGGACTCTCGCTCAAGCCCACTGAAGGACCCATTTCGGTCCTGTTCGGGGGATTCGGGGATCCATCCCATCGAAGGATAATAATACTAAAAAATTGAATTAAAATTTGAAATCGACGAAGGATCACACCCTCGCAGCAAAATGTCAGATAGGGCCAGGAAAAGCACACACAAAAAGTACCCTAAATGGGGCTCCCCTACTTACTTGGGAAATGGGGTATACCTCAGCTACCCCTCCATTCAGTTCATCAGGTTTCCCATAGTCCTCGGCTGCTTCTTTTATTAGACCCTTGTCATCATCTTGCATTCCTCTTGCATTATAAAATTGTTCTACTTACCTTCGACTTCAATCAATGATCCCAAGTATAACCCGGTCTGGTTGACAACTTCTTTCTTCGTTTCATTTCCCAGTCTTCTTTTGAAATATACCAGGCCCTTCTTCTCCACTTCATTAAAAAAGCATCAAAGCATCATGTCGGTGTCGGAGAAGTCCATCATGAAGCCCGTTATCACCATACCTGAACCTGCCATGGTCAAGATGGATTCAAACCCATCACCCACCTCTAGCGAGGCGACCCTCACCAATGAGGAAAGAGACGTTGAGAAGTTCGGTCACAGGACAATGGACTCGGTTGACAGCGGCTTGACACAAGTTGACATTGATCTCGAGGCCCAAACACCTCTCCCAGAGAAAAAATTCCTGGCCGGCCTGCGTTATTCAATTTTCACCATATACAGACGTCTCTTCTCAATCGTCTTCCTCGCCAACATCGGCGTTTTTGTGTACGTCATGCTTGCAGACCGCAAGCTGATTGCCCTAGTCAATGCAACGGCTGCCAATCTGCTTGCATGCGGATTAGCCCGTCAGCCACTCGTCGTCAACAGCATCTTCTATCTGGTGTGCTCCATACCTCGCTCGGCACCAATTACCCTGCGCCGATTGGCGGCACAGGTGTACCATTACGGCGGCGTTCACAGCGGTTGTGGAGTAGCTGCATTAGTCTGGTACATCGGCTTTGTTGGATTCATGTCGTACCAGTATTGGACGCCATCTCCGACTAGCGCATCGGCTGTCAGCATTTCAGCCGCGCCCGTTGCAGTGGCTTATGTCATTGTCGTGCTGTTGCTTGCGATTGTCATTGTGGCACATCCGACGTTTCGCACTAAATTCCATGATTATTTCGAACTCATCCACCGTTTCTCCGGGTGGCTTGTCGTCGCCTTGTTTGTCGTGCTGCTGATGTTGTTCTCGAAGGAGATCAGCTCCGCAGAGCAAACGCCACTCGGTTATTTTCTCATCCAACTCCCCGCTTTCTGGTTCTTGATGGTAACTGTTGTTGCCATCATCCAGCCATGGCTTATGCTGCGTAAGGTTCCGGTTCGTGCCGAGAATCTCTCCAACCACGCCGTTCGCTTGCATTTCGATCACGCACAGACTGCCTTCGGCAAGGGTATCCAGTTAGCCAAGCATCCTCTCCGTGACTGGCATGGCTTTGCCACTTTCCCTGACCCCACTCCTATGGGGACACGGGGTACTCCGAGCTTCTCAACGCTCGTGTCCAAGGCAGGCGATTGGACGGCAGACAGCATTAGCCAACCGCCGACGCACTTCTGGAAGCGAGGTGTGCTGATCTTCGGCTTTGCATATGCCATGCGAGTCTTCAAACGTGTCATTGTCGTTACTACCGGCTCTGGCATAGGACCTTGTCTGTCTTTCCTGGGTGATGAGAACCGACCCGCTTTGCGAGTCATGTGGCAGACTCGGTCCCCCGTCAAAACATATGGACATGAAGTTCTCCGTCTTGTCAGTCAAATGGATGATTGTCCCATCATCCTTGACACAAATCACACTGGGCGTGTCGATATGATTCCCATTATCGCACGTCAATTCAAAGAGTTCAACGCTGAAGCGGTGTGCATCGTCAGTAACCCTGTATTAACGACGCGTATGGTCCATGAACTCGAAGCACGAGGCTTCCCAGCCTTTGGTCCGATTTTCGATTCTTAAAACTGCATGGTGTCTGTGATGGAATTTCCCAATTTTTCGGGTCGGCGTTTAGGTCTTTGTTTCTTTTTCCTTTTCCCAGGGGGTCTATTATCTTTTCTTTTCCTGTTCATCGTATATCCTGTTTGCATTGTCGTTTTTGATTGTTGAGTGTTGATTATCGATTCTTGTCACTTATTTTCTGTTAGATATCCTCTTTGCTTTCGGCGTTCTGGGTACATGCCTGTTGTTCAAGGGCATCATTTTTGTTTCATGGGGTATACCTTGCATTTCGAATATTATTCATCGTTCAGATTCAGGAGACTTCTCCACATCATCCCACCATAGTATTCCATCCCCTGAGATTCTCGAATCCTTTCGGTCCCCAAGAAAACCAAGGAGCAAGCATATCCTCGAGGGTTCAGGGGGTAAAGAGAAGAAGGGTAGTTGCATGAAGACTGGAGATGAAAAAAAAATTCGCACTCGTCTGATCCCTACAGAATTTGGAATCGCGTCTGCACAAAGCGCTATGACCCCTGAATTTCGTGTTCCATCAGGCAACGGATGCAAACAAAGAACAGGGCACCACCTGGGCCCGCATCCGCAACTTTATGCGTGGGACGTGATGCTGAATTCCAAATCGTCCGGCTCCACACGCGTGCGGGTCGCGTTGATTGGTTCTCCGCGCTCTTCAGCCCCGGAGCATATTTCATGTCTGCAACGTGGTTTCGGAGGTATTCCAACTCCTTCATCCTGGCAGATTAAGATTAAGTTCATTTCATTTCGCGTTTTTCTGATTCTGATCCGGCGTTTCAGATTATTATTTTGGGAAAAACCACAACAAATCACCCAAATCATTTCGAATACGAGTATCCCTTGGGTACATATTCGCGGGGCAAGAATACGTTCAGGCCTCAGCAGTGCAGTCACTATGCATCTCATCTACATTAGTGCCGACCGTCCGAACAAGTTATTAGCTAACCCTTAATGCTTGGTTGGTTGGTTTCTGCATGATCGGAGCAATCACGGGCCTTTGTCTTGCATATTGGCGCATATGTATGCGCGAGATGGTACGTACAGTCGCAGTCCGGGGTCTGAGGACTCGAGATTCAACCAAACATCTCTTCTGAAGAACGCATTGCGGATCATGCTGTGTGATTGCCTTGCGAACTACGTAGTTCAGTTAACTTTTCCTCATTTTCAAAGACTCGAATACTCGATGCGTGAGTGGTTCAGCCCAGCTTGGGCTTATGCTGTACAACCTCACGATTCAGACGTATCAGATGTTAGGGTTAGGGTTCTTACGAGAGAAGGTATATGGCTCAGTATATTGTGGTCGGGTGCTATGTTACTTCTTAGGTCACTTCTCGTTTCGACGTCCATGATTTGTGTGGTACTTTTGTAGAGCGTCATCGCCTAGTGCGGGGTGGGGGGCCTTGAAGGCCCATACTTTGAATTGGGCATGAAGTCCGCTCAAGCCTGAGGGGGTGAAGGCGAGGGCAATGCTAATTTCAAGCTGCTTGGAAATAAAGGCTTTACTTGATCAAGGATTTTCTTTCGAGTTTCATTCATGGCTAGTAGGGCGCCGGGGGCTGTGTGATGCTTGCTATGAGCCTGCGTAAGTGGGGGCGGCACCTGGGCATTTTGGCTTCATTTTCAGCGGTCCGGTCGCTTTTTCTTGCGTTTGTTCGAGATTCCTGTTCGGGATTTAATTTTATATCGATAAAATCGATGTTGAGGCTTCCAGTAGATGTCAGTTGTAAGGTTTGAGATTTTAAAGCCAACCTTGGAAACGTAGAAAATATATATTAGGGTACAGTGTGTTGGTACTATACTACACATCTGCGCATCGCCTTTGACTCCCAAGGCTCAATTTTTGCATGAAAATATCCACCGGAATCAATATGATAAAACTATCTACAGCCCTGGCGATCAATTTTATAAGAGACTTGGAAATGGGGACGTCAATGTTCATGCTGTTATGTGATTATGTTCAACGGTCATCCGCATAAGCCCCGCCTGAGCTCACATCTAGCAGTGCCTCATAATTTCAGGCTCACCACGACAACTTGCATAGCCGCCGAGAGAAAGAAGTCTCAATATAATCACGTTCGTAAAATCTCTCGTAATCAAATTAAAGCCTCATAGCTTTGTTGGAACCTCGTAATCATCCATGGATCTGCATATGCTAAAATTACCATCAATTGGGATTGCCGAATCCCGGATTCCGCGCCCGCGGTGCTGAATACTATATTGGGACTAGTGTCCGCGGACTCCTCCGCGCAGTACGAAGTATATGAAGCTGCCATTCCGCCAGCCACGAGGAATGAAAAACAACAGAATCTCATCTTCAATCCATTCCAAAAAGAAAAGGAAAAATCCACTTTCAATCACCAAAGACAATTCAAAGAGAAGAATATTCGAAAACTACTATGGCCGACAAAAAACGCAAGGTAAGACTACCCCACAGTCAGCACAAAAAGCAGATATCTAACGTTTATAATTTATTTCAGGCCATTATTATAGGCGCTGGTCCTGCAGGACTTGCAGCTGCACTGCGCCTCCAACAGCAGACAGACATTACAAGCACCGTATACGAGCTGCGCAGTCAGCCCACAACCTTAGGCGGTGCAATTGGGATTCAGCCCAACGGTATGCGCCTCCTACACCGACTCGGTGTCTACGATGAGATCTGCGCGCATGGATTCGGAGGACAAAATCTGACCATCCATTCCTTGCGGGGACATGTTGTTGGCACAACTGATTTTGTGGGGTGGGCGCGGGAGAAGACCGGATTCGGATATCTCCGAATTAAAAGAATTGACATTGTTTCTGTTTTGAAGAAGAAGGCGGAAGAGGCAGGAATAAATATTCATTTCGGCAAGAAGATTGTTCAGATTGAGGAGCAAGAGGATGGAGTGAAGGTCCTATTTGAGGACGGAGGTGTTGATTCTGCGGATCTCTTGCTCGCTTGTGATGGAATCCATTCTTTTGTTCGGAGCTCTTACGTCCAACCGGGATATCAGCCTGAGTACTCAGGTGTTTCGGGACTGGGAGCGTTAGTATCCCGGGACGTGTTGCCAGATGAAGCGATTGAACAGATGAATGGGTTGGAAGGCACATTTACCGAGGAGGGAATGCTTGCTGTGAATCCCTGTACGCCGAATAGGGACGAGATCTTCATGTTCTTTTCGAAGTGGTTGGCGCTTCCTGAGACTGGGGATAGTCGGGATGGATGGGAGGTTCACCGGAAGGAAGAGGTGGATGGGTTTAAGGACCAACTACTTGAGATGCTGAGTGACGGACAAGGTCAATGGGCTGATGCGCTGCGAACGCTTGTACGCAGTACATCTTCCGTCAACTTTTATCCTGTCTATCGGCTGCCCCTTGGAGGTCGGTGGTCGAAAGGGAGAGTTGTACTTGTTGGTGATGCTGCGCATGCCATGTCGCCTCATGCTGGACAGGGTGTTTCTATGGCGATGGAAGATGTGTTCCTGCTTTCGAGATTGCTGGAGGATCCTAACAGGCCGATTGAGGAGGTCTTTCAGAAATATGACTCTATTCGACGACCAAGGGTGGAAGAGATCTTTACCTTGGCAGCGGAGAATGCACAGACGAGGAAGAAGGCTTCTCCTACAGGTTTATGGCTGAAGGAGACTAAGTTCTGTGTTATATTGAACATTTCATGGGCGCTTGGGCTAGACAAGCGGGGCATGCGACAGGGCCATTTGGTCTACGATATCGATGAGGTGGAACTGTAATTTATTGTGCTGATTTATATCCTATTTAGTCTGATAGGACGGTGCTTATCCTCTTAGTAATAACATTGATATAATTAAATGAGATTCATATTGCCAGAAACTTCAAGTAGATGTTTGATTCTGTGCTTGATTCTAACCATCGATCTTTCGGCAGTTCGGACAGTTCGTATACTATAATTTCGATAATTATGGGAGGGACAAGAGAATGCAGAGCCCCAGAGGCTAGGTTTCCCATAGCGATGTATCGGTTAAAATACATAGATGTTTATTCGCCAGGCCCTGTGGCCTGGTCAATTGCTATCGACGGCCAAAACCCCCTCGGCATGTTACCTCAGGACGACCTTACAAGCGAACTACAACCAAAAAAATAAATGAACTTAGGAGACTGGTGATATTGTGCTTTTATCAAAAATTGAAAACCGGGTCATTCCCTGGTTGATTGACAACAAATCCACGAGCGTTCTCGCGCGTCAAGAGCAGTTTCGTGAAATTCTGAACCTGATCAAGACAGCACCACCACGAACGACAGACGAGAAAGAGGCAGAGCTGTGCGAGCTGTTACGTGCTCGGCCACTTTTTAATGACCTTGAAGGTGTTTGTTGTCTGACTTTGAAGAGAGACCCAGCCAGCAGGGATTTGGGTTCCATGATTCATATCTTACAACAATACGAAAACTTACCAACGACAATGTGAGGAAATCATAAATTTCCGGAAGAGCCTGTCTAATTGTATCTCTAGGGTGATTTCTAACCAAAAGTCCGGCGATGCGGCCAAAGATATGGCAAAAGACTTTAACCAGCCTGCCCCGGAGCGGTTGCTTATTATACCGAAAGAAAGGTACAGGGATATTGAAACACCTTGAGATAAAAAGTGCTCTAACCCACTATCAAAAGGCTCATATGGGAGATTGATTGGTTCAGAAGCACTTTTAAGGTATTTTAAATGATCATTTTAAATTGGATAACAGCTAATCATCAGTCAGCGCCATCCTATTTCTTGGCAACCTTTACGCGATTTTGAACACCGAGCTCAGCATTATTCTGCGAGAGGCCTGTCGCAGAAGCTTGATTTGGCTAGTCAAGTTTTGTTTGTTGCCTGCCTACTCAATGGGTACGGAATTCCAACAAACGACGGAAAGGTTCTTGAGCTGCTACTCAAGGTTGCCGTTGACGGATTCTTTATTCTACAAGCATATGCTTACCGAATCTTTCGTGCTTGTTCGAGACATATCCCTTTTGATGTACCAGTACTCAGCTTCTTGACTAGACAATCTCTTCAGGGGTCGCGCATGGTGCTGGAGGATCTTCACGAGCTGGATTCCGTAAAAGCGACCAAACTACGTGAAACTGTGAGATCCAAGACTGGCGGTGGGGTGGGAGCTGGTTGGTTTTTGAATGATCAATGGCTGGGTGAGGAGCTCGATATTGAATTGATTTGTCGGGGCAAGTTTTCTACTATGAGTCTAGGCTCAAAATCGAAATTGGCAGATGCTGTCTTGAATGTGAGAGGAGACAACATCATCCACCTTGCAGCTGCGACTGTCCATCCGAATCTTTTCATGGCTTTAGTTACGAGATTCCATTTGGACGTTAATAAAACTAACAAGGAGGGAGAAACGGCTCTACTTTGCGCATGCCGCTCCGATCACCCTAATGTGGTCTTATTTCTGCTGGGAAATGGTGCTAAAGCTACTATACAGGCTTCTAATGAGGAAAGCCCTCTTCACTGGCTTATCTCCTTTGGTGAAAGAATCGATACCAAAGCCTTAAGGAGAGACCTTATTGAGAGGAGTGAGGCAAACGTAAATGTTTTCACAACTCGTCGTATGATAAGAGAACAAAAGACTGGGTAAGTCATTAGAATCCCTTATCTTGGATTGGCCTATTTCATATTGGAAGGAGAATGAAGTTACTGTGTTGATTTGCAATAATACTATGAACCAGGGAAACTAAATTTCCTCCAAAACCTTCACGGGGAGGACGAGCCTGCTACATGCTTGCGAAACTGCCTACCTGTTTTTCGAACCCCTCGCAAGGAATCCTTCGCAATTCTCTCATCACCTTCTTCAAAGGAGAAATTTCCAATCTCATTCAATAAACCCCTATCATCACGCCCCTGTCCATGAAATCAAAAGCCATTCTTACCTAGTCGGAAGGGAAGCAAGGTCCAATTCCACAGTTCAACTAGATAACATGCACGGTGGATAACATCAGAGGAGAACAAACAGAACACATAATTAAACAAATATTTGAAACACCGCTCCACTTTCCCAATTAGAACCAAAGGAGCACAGGATAGTAGGTAGGTATAGCCTCTATTAGAGTAGCGCCAAACGTGGAGCCCCTTACTGCCTATATCGAATCAACCTTCGATCCCATCTTCGCTGCATCGGATCGCCCGGAACGGAACACTCTCCCGTCGTTTATCTGCACTACCTACTTTACCCCTCGCATTGTAGGGCCCCACGAACAAAAGTACAACGGATCTACGGGTCTTGTCTTATCTAGCTCTTCCGATAGGGTTGACTGGATCTGAATCGATAGTAGCTTATCCCTTGCCTGTACTAGTTGTGCCCTCAAGCCGAGCCTAGCCCAGCCACACCTGAGCCACAGACTTTTTGGTGGTGGATCCTCAGGAGGTGGGACTGGACTTAGTAAGGACTGTGTACTAAAGTACAGTATTGATGATCCGAGAATCCGGAAGGAGGCAGGTAGGTCTAGAAGCTTTGGATGTTTCTTTGGAACGGTTGTGGAGCCAGTGGAGACGGTGAGTGTCGCATGACGCAACGGTATATGTAAGGATCTAGAACGAGTGTTTGAATTCTAGACTTTGTAAGTGGGCTTTTGCTTTCAAGTTACGATTACGATTAAGATGTAGAGTAGAGGAAGAAGGTTGAAGTCATAGAGCGAGGCTCATTTATTAATAATCAGATAAGAGGTGAGAATTGCCCGAAAACAGGTAATCAAATAAGTGATAAAGATAAAGATGAGTGAATTCTATAACAAATGGGGAATAAACATGAATGTAGACAGAAGATAGAAATAGAAAAGATAAAAATAAGATTTTTGCAGAAGGGAATGGTTTTGGGTATCATGCAGCTTTGACGAAGCCTGTCCGTCTAAGCCAAGGAAATGCGATTGCGAGCCAAGGTATCCATTCTTGTGTATGCGTGAGCCGTGAGCCTGATTTTTTATGCTTTTATCCAATCCCATTAAGACTCGTAATCGGTCGAATTGTCATCAACACCGCTAAAGAGAAAGACATGGGTATTGGAGATTGATTCTTTGTTCTCATCCCCATAGTGAATTGTTGGATTTGATTAATAAAGTGTTGAAGGAAATCTTGGGATGGATCTGTCGATATCATGTTCTTTTTTTGTTTGAAGTCGTTGAGGTCATAACGTCATGGCGTGAGGTGAACAAATGAAATGAATTGAAATCAAAATCAAAATCAAAATCAAAATCGCAATTTATGGGCCTATTGGCGCGAAGAATCAACTGACGGGGCTCTAGAAGGAGCGCCAGAGGCTGGTGTAGATGGTGCGGGCGAATGATCGGTAATCAGATCGTCGGTTGTGAAACGTACACGGCCGCGCGTGGACTGGTTGGATGAGTGTGTTGAGTCACTATCCAGACGCAGAGAATCCATTCGCTCCAGCTCATCGTAGTGGGGGAGTGGGAGTGGGGAGCCAAAGTAGTCTTCCATTTGGCTCTGGCTCTGGGTGTCGAGCTTGAAGTATCCCGGTGGGCTGGCGGGGACATCCTCGTATGTTGGAGGCATCTCCTCGTCCCAGCTGATACCGAGTCCACTGCGCTCGGTGACGTTCAAGTTGAACTGCATGCGAAGCACACGGGCTGCGCCGGTAGGTGTGATCAGGCGGGTGTTGCGGTTGGGGCAGAACTCCTCAGCAACAATGAGCTCGATGACAAGGTTGTGCTTCACCTCCAAACCGCCGGGTGCTTCCATGTCGCAAACGGGGTTGGTGGTGGGGTTGATGCTGGCCTCGAATTGCATACCAATTTCACCGCCAGCGGTGTCGAAGTCTGTTTTCCAGCCGTTCTTCTCCTCGTTATGGCCGATTATGCGAGTTTCCTGGTGTAGAACACCCTTGCTTTCTCCGCCGACTTTGTGTGCGTGCTTGGTGCAGGCGGGGGAGACGATCTTCTGGTGCTCTTCGATACGCCACATCATCTTGCGTAGGCGCCAGCGGGTTTGGGTCTCCTCGCCCTTGTCTACTACGCCGCTCAAGGTCATTTCGACAGGGAATTGGCCGATAGGGTGAACAACCGAGGGGAGCACGATGCGGCCGGTGAGGTTGGTGGGAGGGAAGATACGAATGGAGGACTTGTCGTTTCCAGGGATCAAGGCACGGCGGACATTGAGAGGTAGTTTGATGTGGTACTCCTCGTTAGTAATACTTGTAGCGTTTGCTTCGAGGAAATATTCAATCTGGCCCAGAGAACCGTTGCAGGATGCAGGCTTGTCTCCAGGGAGCAGGTAACTGAAGGGGAAGTCGTGGGTGCCAGTCTTGAGGGTATGTTTTTCGGTGAGGAAGTTCCAGTTGGTTAACTCCTCAGTTTGGGTAGCACACTTCGCGCAGTGATTGGAAACGGGCTTCTTGGTGGTGTTCTTGCAAACGAGCTTAGCATCGAATTTAGTCAGAATCACCTCTTTGGCGTGTTCGCTGATTCCCACGCGGAGACGGCCAGAGAACAAAGCGCCAGTCGAGGTAGCAGGTGTACCATAGCAGACCAATGGTGGTGATTCAACCAGAACCTCCAACTTCGCGGCTGGGGGTGCCAATTCGTCCTTGTTGAGACGCTCCTTGGAGCGGCCAGCGCGTCCGAGGCTGCGGCGCTTCTCTTTGTTGCCATCCCGGTGTGGGTGAATCAATTGGTCCATTGAGAAAGACAGGCGGCGCTCCGGTGAGCGGGCACGATCCGGGGTTCCTGGGACGGATTTGAAGAAACCGTGTCCATGGTGGTGATGGTGGGGTTGAGCGTGGTGAATCTCATTGACTGATGTGGTCGAGGAGGTGTTGGAATGAATGGGAGTAGATCCGATAGAGGAATGCTGGGAGCTCGAGCCCCTCACAAAGTTGGGGATCAAACGGCCCGGCATTTTGAATTGTGAGTCCGGAATGGTGAGGTGTAGACGTTGGTCAATGTCAGAGAGGAAGAGAGGGGAGGAATGGTATAGATGGCAGCTGTCAGGTGGGGTGAAGTAGATCAATGAAGTAGATCACGAAGCAGTACGGTGGTGAAAGAGTTGCGACAGGTCCAAACCAAACATAACTTGAAGTTGTCAAAGTGATGAAAATGTGTCAAAGTGGCGGGGACATTGGCTTTATGGACCTTTTGTAGGATCATGTGCTTGCAAATGACCGAATCCGTGGAAAAAAGTTGCTCGAAACTAAAAAAATTCACCAAAAACAGAATTAAAAATCGAAATAAAAAAAATAAAAAATTGAATTTCTAGTTCCATCCATGCGGCCAGCCAGGTACCATAGAGTGTGATTGGACAGAGGAGGGATGGGCCAGCATGGGAAAAGTGGGACTAAGAGGAGAAAAATATAAAAGAATAATTAATGAAATCAGTAAAAAGATCAAAAAGCAGAAAATTTCAAAATTTAGAAAGAAAATGACACCGAACAGACTCAGAGAACACACAGAAAAGGTGCCAAAGTGGATCCGACCCAAGCGTCATTGTGGATCTTGACAGTACGGGTACTGTAAGTTTACGGTGTAATGTCACTGATGCCTGATTCTGCCTGATTCTACCTATTCCTGCCTAAGGTGTCTTTGTCTCTGTCTCGCCTTCTCTCTCTCTCTCTTTCTCTCCATGATTCACCATGTTCTAACATTAGTCTACCGAACTGAACTAGAACTACGCTGACGAATCTCGAAACAAGCAAACACATCAAAGAATAATAGAATCCTCCCGAGGTACAATCCCAATTGACTCACCTCATCCTCATCCTCATCGGATCTGGTGCCGAGGAGAACCAACCACAGGATCTGGACCCAACTTGGATCAGATCGCTTGCCCTGCTATTGTAATAATCATTTTCCCCACCTCGACAACAATATGGGCATCATTTCGTGATCACCCTAACCCCCTTCCCCTCTAGACCCCAAATAGTCCCAATAAAGCCCACCACAAGGCGGGAATGACCGTGCGCAAGCGATGACTCACGGTTAGCGACACTACTGTAGGGTAGAAGGAGAACTGTCCGTGTTTCGGGTAGGATTGTCGGCCCATCATCGCATGTGGCCGGCGGGGTAGACAGATCAACTCGGCCCCCTTTCTCTTGGTTATCACCTATTTGATCTAATGTCTCGCCTCCATGTACATACTCCGTACGGTCAAAGGACGGAGTGCCGATAATTTTCCTATGATCATCTTTACTACCCCGGATGATTATCAAGCACGGCGGGCTGACCGGTCAGCTGAGCTGGTGGTACCTATAGTAGCTGTGTAGCGTAGTTTAATATGGAGTAGATATAGTTTAGCTCGGCATGAACCTGGGCAATTAGACGATTCACATATACGGGATACATCACCTGGACATTCTAGTACCTACAGTACGCCGGGATTTGTTTCCTTTTCCATTCCACCACATACTCCTGGCTTTAGACGATTTTGGTCTTAGTAGTACACGTATTCCTATCCTAGCTTATTCTAAATTAACATTCCAAGTCAGCTGCAGTTCTCACGTGGCGCCACCGATCGCATTGCTAAGCCCGTTTATTCTCAAACTGTCCTTGACAAAACCAGAACCACCCCAATACCATACCATACACGATCCCAGATGATCCTCGCGATTCTCCCGCTTTTCCGCTTCAGGGCAGACAAACGCATGCAAGACCCTTTTGCTCCACTTTTTTCCACGATTTTCGCCTTTTTTCTTTTTTTTTTCCACTGTTTCTTCTTCCTTTTTTCCTTTTTCACTTTTCCTTGAATTCATCGCCGACTTTCTCCCGCCTACCCCCCGCTTAGGATTAGTTCCTTTCATGCCACAATGTACCCCGCAACTCATCTGTGTTGGTGTTTTGCGGGGCATCCTGTTTTTCCTTTTTTCAGGGGCTGTTACCTTTTTTTTCTGTATTCTTTCTCGTGATGATTAATTGTAGAAATCGCATTCCGCAATATTTGAAGTAAGATCCCGTACCTTGAATCCATGATCATCATATGGTCTAGCCCCAAGAGCTGTCAAGATGTGCCCTGTGCTCTTCTTTGGGAGCTTCTGACGAATCATGAATTCCCCTGGAGACACTAATTATGTAAAAGTTTGCTTCTCTTACAGCCTGCACGTAAACCGTACATAACCTTCTGAATATTTGTTTCAAGGTCGTAGTACATCATTACTGCGCCAAAAGAAGCACGGATGCTCTCTATATTACCTGCAGCTAGTAAACGGACAATGCGTATGCAGCAGTGAAGAACCTCGACAGCTACTGCATTGCATTTACTTTTGCTTTTGCTTTTGCTTGTGCTTTTGCATTGCGTTGGGCTCGTGCGCCGTCTACAAACATGGGCATCGGACTTCATCTCTTTCCTCGGAGTAAGCCTTGCTACAACATGCTTCACTTGTCTCCTGTATATGCGGTGAGAAGCCGATCACGCCATGAAGAGGGGGTGAGCGGTCTTCAAATCCGAATGCTACTCCAGACTTGGGTCTTCTCCGTAAGGCAGTTAGTCCTAGTCCCAGTTGATCCACACGAAAATACACTATTCCACGGAGTTGCAAGTGGGATCGCCCGCGTGGCCCCAACTTGGCGTCCATCTGTACATTTCCATTTCAGTTCCATTCTCCGCTACGAAACAAGATGCGTTTGGTCGATCTGTACAACGCCCCTCAGGCTCAGGCCTCGCCCGTCCTCCTGTAGTGTCGTCACATGTATGTGCTGTAGGGTGTAAAAGAGTAAGTAGGCTGGTGGGGTTGCGGGTACCGCGTAGAGTAGCCGGTTTGAGGTGATGGAGATCAAGGGGATTGCACGATGATGGGTCCGTAGCTCAGCTCAGCTCATACCGGGTATAACTCGAGGACATTGATTTGGAGGGTGGTTTCAATATTGTATCGTCCAATCAAAATGTTTAGATCGGGTTGGTGGTGGTCGCCAATGGAAAACGTGCAACATGGCATGCCGTGGGTTGGTACTCCGTTGGACTTCCTGATTCGGGACGATCTCGGAGAACCCCTCCGATTGCGGTGAGTCCGGCTGGACTGTCCTTTACAGTATACAGAACAACAAAGAGGCTCCTTGCTATACAGCCTTGCAATATAATGTTAGTTGTGACTCCTTCCGTTGACTATATTTGTTCAATGAATTACATACAGGACATTCTTAATGATTTCCTTTCTCTTTCCGACAATAGATCATACCAGGATGCACTCTCATCTCTAATCTCGCTTAACTCATACAAATTTCAAATGAATATCCCCAAATCCTTCATCGGAAACATTACCTACTTGAATTCCCAGAATGGAGTCAATCCAATTCCATTATTCACATACAGTGCTTTTGAAACCAGATCAAATCTTCTCTTCTTTTTACTTCTTCCCTTTACGTACACTGACTGCATCATTTATCCCTCAAACAGAACTCAACTAATCAAACTAACCATTCCCTTCTAATATTATTTTCTAATTTCTAATTTCTATATAATATCCATCCTCATCCAGTATGCGACGGGAAACTCCCGCAAAAACGCAATCCGCTAACCCAAAGCGGCACTGTCGCGCAGAAATTTGCAGAAAATTTCTGTTTCCCGCTCCACAACCGAAGTTTATACTCGGCCCGGCACAACATGATGCTTAACTACTGGCGGTGACTCCCTTTTCCAAGACTTTTCTTCCTTGGTTCCAGAATCTATAGGCTCCATTTCAGGGTTGAGGCTTTTTCCCCCATGGCAAAAGTGGATAATCTCGCGCGCGTGATGGGGCCGCATGGTGTTGGCGTTGGTGTCGGCGCTTCGGAGAGCGGCGACCGTCCTCGGGAAACGACTGTACAGGACGGAGATGACTACGGAGTCAGTCAGAGTTTTTTGCTTGTTTTGATTTGCGATGAGTCGCCGACCGGCCCGAGTGAGGATCGGTAGACCGGTTGATGTTCAATGTGTTCTATTTGGGGATTGAGTTTATGTTTTTTGTTTGTTTTGGATTTTATTCATGTTTTATTATGTAGAAAGTGATGGATCCGATCGCATCATTTTAATCATCACACATCCCACCTTGGGGGTTAGCCTTGTATGTAGTCTTCCAAGGTTATTTGGTACTTTGGGTCCAATTTAAAGTCGGTATGACTCAATTCTCCATTGTTGCAGAAATTGCATAATAGCTGGAGCCATTTGGGGGTGTATCTCATTTCCTCAATTCTCAGCTGTTTCATAGAATACCTTGAAGATGGCGCCATTCAATGACATGTATGATCGTCAGAATTTAGTCAAATTATACAAGCTGCCACTTTGACGGATGTCAACATTAAGGCGTTTATCGCAGCATTGGTCCTTGACATGATGTGCTACTAGCATGTAACGGTCTGCGGATAATTCTGAACTTAATATATGTAGATACTGTACATAATATGTACTTTATTTTCTATTTGGAATATTGAAGATGATGATGTGCTTGATTGCGTCATTTCCCCGGACTCAATGAGGAATTGGGGCTGAATAGTCAAAACTTCTGCCACCATGTTGCCATTCAAATGCTCACGCCAGATTAAAATTTAGAGTGATCAGATCTCTGCGCAAAAACCACAGCTATTTCAAGTTTTAGTTGTCCAAACCCGACCATCGTGTTACTAGTACTGAATCACAAGGAGAGCTTGGTTTCCTTCCAACAACAACGGGGCTCTACTAGTAGTAAGATCACTTACTCTAATCCATGGATATAAACATTTCTCGATCTATACTATGACCATTCAACGATAAGAATACTTACTTAAATTTCAATACTAGATCGCTAGAGGAGTTCGACCAAAGGGGGATAGTAAGTGCGAGATAAGGCACACCATGCTTGTAATTAGTGGTCTCTTATCTAGGCATCCAACTGGACGCGTCCCCCACAGCCTTATTTCCCCTGGGCGTATAGGGTCCTAGGCAGATGAGACTACGCAATCCTATCTGAACATAGAATATAAGGGACGATGGATTGTCTTCGCGCATCAAACTCTCCATAACTACGCAGTAGCTATATTCAAATGCTGTCTATGCGATCTGTCTTTCCTTGCCCAGCGGCTTCAAAGACCCACTGATAACCCCTTCCCCGCGCTTTGTTAATCTCCACCATGAGCTGTCCCCTTGGCAGTGATCGGGTATTTGGACCTCGCGTCCATTCAAGCTGTCGGTCTTTCGATTTCACCCTTGAATTTGAAGATTACATTTTTGCCTGTTTACCAGCTGCGGTTTTCCTTACATTATCGACTACGTGTATCGCTTTACTTGCCTCTAGGCGGGTCGTATACTCGCTGGAATCAAAGTTTCTGTGGAGCAAATTGGTCTGTTCTACTTATTTATTACCAAATTACTTCCATTGGCTAACAACTAATCGTTTTCTCTTGGCAATTAGACTACATTTGTCGGTGTATTTGCAGCACAGCTCGCATATCTAGTAATCCGTGTTCAAAATAGTTCACTCAGCACCGATGCATCACTCGCCGCAGATATCCTTTGTTCAGTCGCGACACTAGTATCGGCTGTAATATCTTACCTCAGTCATCGACGCTCTCAGCGATCGTCGACAATCCTCAATCTTCACCTTTCTATATTGACACTCTTGGGTATCGCAAGAACGCGCACACTATGGCTCCTAGCGCCCAGTACAGAGGGCCAATCGGCAGCGATAGCTATCAGCATCGCTCTAGCATTTTCAGTGCTTGCACTGGTATTGGAATCGATCGAGATCAAAGCGAATAAATCGTATTCTGACTTCACAATGGAAAAAACGCATCTTGCCCCGGAGCAGTATAGCAGTTTCTGGTCTCGGACCAGCTTTTTTTGGCTAGCATCCACCTTCAGAAGAGGATATACCAAGGTCATCTCGTTGAATGATCTTCCCCCTCTGGATACTACCCTCAAAAGCGATGATGTACTGGACAAGCTGACCTCAACTTGGGCAACATGTGAGATGAGACCGAAAACTCTTATTAATTGTGAATGGATGATGCTGATCTTGTCACTTTCCCTATATTTCCAGATGATTATCGAAGTCAAAACAGTCTTCTCTATGCTTGCTTTCAGGCGAATATTGTCGCTTTCATTTCCGCTATAATACCCCGTCTTTTCGTCACTGGGTTCACCTTCGCCCAGCCGTTTCTCATCAATGCGACATTAGACTTCATCGAACAGACACACCACGATACAAATTTTGCCAAGGGGCTGGTCTGTGCATGGGCTATCGTATACATTGGCCTTGCTGTGAGTTTGCGTCTACCCTTAGCATCTATCGGCGTATGATAATCTGATTTTATTTCATAGGCATCCACGTCGATATACCAATATCAGAATTTCCGATTTGTCACAAAACTACGTGGAAGCTTGATTGCTCTGATTTACCAACGAACTCTCCAGACTCGATCAGCGGATCTCGGGGAAATCACCGCGGTTTCTCTAATGGGAACAGACGTCGAGCGTATAGTAGCGAGTTTGGAAATGTTTCACGATACATGGGGCTCTCTGCTGGAAATAGGTATTGCAAGCTGGCTACTTGGGAGACAGGTCTCTTTAGCTTGCGTTGCACCCCTTGCTCTTATTCTTGGTGAGTATAAAGCGATGACAAAAGTTGCCGACGCGTTAATTTGAGAGACGCTAATGTTGAACGAAATCATAGTGTTCATCGCAGCAACATCGAGAATCTCATTCTATCTAAAGGACGCGCAAGTCAAATGGATCGAGAAGGTTCAGAAGCGACTGAGAGCTACCTCTGCAATGCTAGGTGATATGAAGGCCGTGAAGATGCTTGGGCTCTCTCGGAAGATGCTACCCCTCATACAAGATCTGCGGATAGAAGAGATCAACACTTCACATTCCTACCGAAAGTATTTTATCGCGATGATAATGCTATGTGCGTATATCAGGGCCCGTCTCTGTGCCTAAATTATGGGATGAATTGATTCAAATTGACTAACAAAATCACAACAGCATTGACACCTCTCAACCTAGCACCAGTCATTACTTTTGGCGTTTACATCATCATCGCCTTATATTGGAAACATGATTCCCTCTTCACGGCTCAAGCCTTCACGTCGTTATCTCTTATCACGCTCCTCACGACACCAGTGGTTGTCTTCATCCAGGGCCTCCCACAAGTCATCCAATGCATTGGCAATTTCAACAGAATCCAAGAATTCTGCAGTTACACGTCTGAATCAGATATAAAATATGACAGGGCTCTAGAACAGGAGAAAGAGGGGTCTATCAAGCTGGGAAGTGACGAGCTTTCTTGGAATACGGCGAATCCATTGGCTGTTTTGAAAGATGTCTCTGTGAGTATCAGCCGAGGAACAATAACCGCAATTGTTGGCCCGGTCGGCAGTGGAAAGTCAAGTCTTCTCAATGCGCTATTGAGAGAACTCGTTCCAGTGCCTTCCTCGAATGTGTCATCTAATCAAGCGATGAAACCCCAGAAAGTACAAATTGGGCAAAAGGAGGAAATGGCCTATTGTTCACAGCAAGCCTGGCTTGAGAATGGGACAGTTCGGCAAAACATTATAGGTGCATCGCCGTGGGATCAAAAATGGTACGGAAGAGTCCTGTACGTGTGTGGGCTTGAGGATGACCTGGAACGCCTGGAAAGGGGTGATTATACAGAGATTGGTAGCAAGGGGATGAATCTGAGCGGGGGACAAAAGCAGCGTGTTGTGAGTGATACACTCTGGTGGCTTAACTTTATTCTTTATGACCGAACGATCGCTGACCGACGTTCCTTTTTGCTCTTTTATAGGCTTTAGCTAGAGCTGTTTATTCTCGGCGAAGCATTATACTCTTGGATGATGTGTTCAGTGGGATGGATGCCCATACCATCAAAATCGTTTCTGATCGTCTATTTGGACGTGATTCCGGGATACTGCGTGGTAATAGGACGACTGTGGTCTTGGCTACACACAATGGTGAGTAATCTAATACGGCTATAATGATGCCGCACTCGTGAAGCCAAGGTGCGACGTCGACGTCGAACAAGTTACTAACTTATGGTACAGAAAAAATCATGGGGTTGGTGGATACAATTATTTTGCTTGATAATGGCCGAATTGTGGATTTTAACAGCCCCGGGACCCTACCACAAGCAGGGAAATCTTCTATAGACAAACTTGGAGTATCAGAAAGTGACTCCTCCGACCTGGAGGTGGCTACAAAAGCGCATCATATACATCCCACTAAACATCTAAATGCCCCCACAAAGGGCACCTGCGAGCTAGCTGTCCGAGATTGGGATGCTACCTGGGCCACCGAAAATGTCGAATCGGAACCACCTCAAGACCAGAGGCGCAAGGCTGGTGACGCATCGATATATTCCTACTACGTTGCTAGCTCCGGCTATTTCGCTGTTATTATGTATCTGATATCCATGGCGCTTTGGATATTTTGTATTGAGTTTTCCAGTAAGTACATCTTGTAATGAATGTTTCTCGGCCATTTCCAACAGACTTCAAGTGACTAACTGTTAATTTAGCGATCTGGGTTGACTGGTGGTCTGCTGCAAATTCCAAGAGACCGAATCAAAACTTGGGTATGTATATGGGCATTTATGTCATGCTAGGGGTTGTTGGAACTATCGCTGCCTGCATTTCTGCTTGGTAAGTTGATTTAATATTGCCCTATTCTTGGGATTGAGCGGTGTCACTGACTTCGATGTTATTTTCTGGGTAGGTTTGCCATTATATCTATTATATCGAACTCGGCGAATAAGCTTCACTACGATCTACTCAAGGCCACTCTCAGGTATGTGACGCCTCTTTCGTCTTGGTCTACCAGAGACCAAACCACTTACTTAGCGTCTGTCATTAGAGCCCCTTTCCGCTTCTTTTCACAAACAGACAGTGGTGAACTTCTCAATAGGTAACTATCTTGTGGAATTGTCCCTCTGAATGAGAAAGCCGAGTCTGACGGAGCTGCAACACAGATTCAGCGAAGACATGGAGTTGATAGATATGGTCCTTCCAACAACGGCATTGAATTACACGTCAAGTACAACTCTCACATCCATTTCAATTTCCTTTCATATCCTATAATGGACTGACCTCTTCAAATTTGCAGCCTTGATCTCAGTGTTTGCACAGATCATTATTCTAGCAGCCTTTTCGAGATCACTAGCCGTTGCTCTACCTATTATATTTGCGTTTCTGTATATCCTTCAGAGATTCTACCTTCAAACATCCCGGCAGATGCGTCTCCTCATGATCGAAGCAAAAGCACCACTATACACCCTCTTCTCCGAAGCAGAATCAACACAAGGGTCTGCAGGACCTGGAGCGCGCACTGCTGGAGATGGCGCAATCACAATTCGGGCCTTTAGCTGGCAAGCCTTCTACCAGTCGCGTGCATCGAATCTAGTAGATCAATCCCAGCGTCCGATGTATATGCAAAGCTGTGTACAGAATTGGCTAGGCTTCGTCATGAATCTCACAACGGGTATTCTAGCCGTTATCATTGTCGCGACCGTGTTTAATTGGCAGAAGAAACTTGATATTAGCGCTGGGGGTGTTGGCGTTTCGCTGGTTATTATCATTGGAATGGGTGAGACGTTGGGCCGTCTTATCAAGGAATGGACTAAGCTCGAGTCGAGTATTGGGGCTGTCGCGAGAGTTAAGCGCTTCGTTGCTGAGACAGAGAAAGAAGATGACGGGGAAATCCTTGCGAATTCCCCTACTGAGGATTGGGCCTTGACTGGCTCTATTGAGTTTGTAAATGTGGTTGCAAGGTTTAGGTTTGTCCCCTTCTATCTGTCAGTGATTTGAAGCTGAGATCTATCTTACTAATGTGGCTCCGATTCTTTCAGACCTGAGACTGAGCCGGTGCTTAAAGGAGTAACACTGTCTGTACAACCCGGTGACCATATGGCTATTTTTGGCCGTTCCGGAAGTGGAAAAACCTCTCTAATTATGAGCCTTCTGCGAATGATTCATACTACTGCGGGGCAAATACTCATTGACGGAGTCAATATAAATTCCCTGCAGTCCACAGAAGATCTCCGCTCGCGTATCAACGTTGTGCCACAAGATCCATTCATTCTACCCGGGGCAACTGTACGATTTAGCATCGATACATCATGTACCTCTTCGGACGACGAAATAATTCATGCGCTGAAGCGTGTTGGCTTCGGACAGCTGATTCAAGGCCCAGATGATTTGGATCAGAGAGTTGAGGACCTAGCCCTATCTACGGGTCAGACGCAGTTACTATGCTTTGCAAGAGCTATAATCAAGAAGGAAAGCTCCAAGATTCTGGTTTTAGATGAAGCTACAAGCAGGTAGGTTGATAATGAGGCAGATGCGCATATATGAATACAGAACTGACAATCTGGCAGCTTGGATAGCGAAGCGGAGTCTCTCATACAAGATATCGTGGATACCGAGTTCATAGATTGTACCGTCATATCTGTTATGCACAGGCTTACACATGTCCAGTTCTACAACAAAGTTGCACTTTTGGATGCCGGGTCGATAGTCGAATTCGGCGAGCCTGGTGCCTTGCTGGCGGAGGATACTCAGTTTGCAGAGCTGTATAGATCTTCATTGAAATAACCGGCTGTAAATTAGCGACGGATGTGATTGGGTATTAGAAAATAATCACTATATCGCAATGTGTCATTGTCCTTTTAGATTCATTATTCCTGATCGATATTCACTTCCAACGCCTCCTTGACATGCTTTGGTAGAAAGAATGTGCTTGTTAACCCTGTCCAATGTGGCCCATCTAATCGTACCAAAGCCAAATTCATCAGATCACATCCTTGGCTCTGCCCACGCAGTGCTCTCCGCCACACATAAAGCAATCGTAGCGCCCGAAGAGCATGCTCCTTCGATGGAGCCTGTACGACCAGCAGCATTATGAAGCTGGAAACAGTAGCAAAGCCGATTCGGCACCCTAATACCCAAATTAGAAGCTGAATACAAATTTGAAAACAAGAAGCCCCCAGTCCAGAACCAAGCGGAGTCAAATCACAGATGTAAACATACATGAGTACCAAAATCCCGCCAAATCACTGCAGGACATCCGCACCACGGACCGCAACATTGTTGCAGCACAATTTTCCGCTGCCTTTAGTACGGCATTTCCAGGACCATGTTCATCAGACATGTCGAGTGCAGGTACAGGCTCTACCTCCCTTGCCTCGATTATCTGTGTTATATAATCATCGACCATGTTTGTGAAACTTGTAGGATCCTCGGCCTCATCAAAAAGTCGTGGGGGAGCTGCTGATTTTACCATTGGTCGAAGTAGAGAGCGAAATATTAATATCTCTAGTAGGATATAAGAGAAGTGTAAACAGTTTGACTGTGGACCACTTCGATCGATGGTGGTGAAGAGTCTGTTCTGAGATCTCAGCTGTGATGGTAGAAGTGAGTGCCATTCTTTGAGTCTTTGAAGGAGTTCACGGGAGACTTCGAGAGATGTATCAAAGTCTGAGGCTAGTCGTTGGGATGCGTGTAAGGCACTGGTCAATGGGAGCAGTCGTTAGCTTGGAAACAACGTGCACACGTGCACAAATTTTGTGCTATCGCATATATTCAAAGGTTTAAGCAAACTTACAACAAGCGAAGTTGAACCTCATCGGCGATTCGAGATAATTGCGCGAAATACTGAAATTGCTGTGCGTTCACCTCATCACGCTGAGATTGATCGCTAGGTGCTAGCAGAAAGTCAATTTGCATTTGATCAATCCGGAAGTCTTCATCGTCTAAATCTGTTACATCCCATTCATCTTGTCGGATATAAGGCGGTCGACCCATCAGAAGACAGCGCCATTTATCTTCTGCATAGATGGCCCACCATAATCGTCGGCGTAGACGTCGCTCCCAGGCTGGAAGGCCCATGGGTTGACATTCGAATTGAAGGCCGAGAGAAGATGCAAGGCCAACTAATTGACCAACGAATGACCATACAAATGGACTATCTGTGATGGCACTTTGATTGGTTTGTTTAGGCTTGTGTAGATATAGGAGACCTGCTTGTAGAGTAGCTAGGTGGGGAGTGTGTATTTGGTCAAGTATGATTTCGAAGACCATACGCCATAATTTATCTGTGGGTGGAGTTGAATAGGCATTCAAGACGCACAGGTAGTCGTCGAATTTGGCAAAGGGTGTCGCTAAAGCATATATCGCCGCAAGGAGGTGCACAGGCATGTTTTGTAGTATTTGCTGCTCTGGAACAGTTCGAGAGGCGGATAAGCCTAGTTGAGATCGAGAAATGAGAGGGAAATTGGGAAATATGAATCTCACAAATCTGTTCTAGGTCAGTATTGTACAAGGGAATGAATGAGCGATCCGGCAACATACAGAGAAATCAATCGTTGGCCCCATTCCAAGGGCACTAGTGCGTTCAGCTCAATGCGACGATTTTCCTTTTGATGAACCCTTGTTTCCTCTTGGGCAGACTCGTATACTGGATCCGCCGTAACCAGAAAGTGTACGGGAATTTTTTCATCCAATGGAACTCCGCCTGCATTCCGGAAATGAACTTGATGAAATAATGAAAATCCATGATCATCAAATTTGCAATGTCGCAACAACCAAGGATCTGATTCCCCCGATGCACCTATGACTTGATAGGAAAATTGTTTCAGCTGGTCTAATGTCTGAATAGTCTGAGGCACTGCTCTCTCGGGAAGGTTATATGCCGAAGGTGATGGGGCTATCAGTTCTTCAATTGGAGTCCCAGTCAAGTGAGCATCAAAGTTCGTTTCGATACCTTGAAGACTTGAGTCCACTTGGAACTGGTGGGTGTAGTCAACTTGATTCAACGCAACCTCGGCTTTATCGGGTTGAATATTATCTTCTTGGCCACTAGGAGTCAGCCTTACTTCTGAAGGAGCAACAGGCCGGCGTATTAGATTATCAAAGCTGCAGTTTGAGCCAGCAGAATCGCATCGATGACAGCTTCCTTGTCCTTGGGGATCACATCTTAGCTTCTTCTGTCGGCATTGGTCGCAAGGTGGATGGCGCTTTGACCGATAGGGCCGTTTATATTGCCCTTGGCGGCTCTTTGGTTTGTTTTCTGTCGGCGTCATGGTTTATTCCGGTGTCGGGCTTTTGAGCGACGGGGAAATCAAGTAAATCCGATCTGTGGCCAGAAAATGCTCCCTTGCCTTTGATTGTCGGAGGCGTTCGGCGAAGTCAGACTCCATGAAGTTCGATCCAAGATGCCAGTCCTAGGGGATTTTGAACATGACCTGCTCTTTAGAAACCATTGGTATTTTAGAGAAATAGTGCGAAATAGAGAAAAGCTGCCATCGGCTGATCGGTCTCGGAACGGCTTCATCAGTCATTGCGAGGTTAATAATGCTAGAACTGGGGCTCCACATCGGTATCCACCAAGGTAGCCACTATTGACCAATCAGGTTCATTTTTGACCGAGAATTTCTAAACTGCCTTTGAAATCGAGTGGAAATCACATCGCTCAGCCAGCCAATGGGCTCGCAGTTTCCCCGCGAGCTCTAATATTGGAGTGTGGAAATGCAGGAGAAGAAGAGATAGTAGGACAAGAAATGAAAACGTTGAGAGATTTTCATGTCCCATGCCACATTTGGATGCAAATTTGAGTTGATTGGTGTCCATGTGTAGTACAAGCGGTTAATATATAAAGTGAAAAGTTACCCAGGGTCAAGTTTGTGATATACATGTAAATGGGCTCGAGACTTGGACGAAAACCGACTCGGAGTAGGTTGAAATTGGTACATTTGTGTGAGATTTGGATGCAATGGGAGTCGAAAAATCAGATGGAGAAGGAGAGATCGATAGACAAGTCCTTTCCGACTCAGAATCGCCATATCGAGAGCAAATTGAAAATGACAAATACCCAGAAGGTGGTGTCAAGGCGTGGTCCGTTGTCTTGGGCGCATGGTGTGCTATGATTCCTTCCATGGGATTACTGAATAGTCTCGGGATCCTCCACGCTTGGACGAGCACTCATCAGCTCAAAGAATATTCAGAATTTCGCATCGGATGGATATTCGGCGCCTATGGTTTCTTCCTTTATCTTGGGGGCGCCCAAGCAGGTCTGTGAAATATTCCCATAAACATGACATGAGATCATTCTAACAACAAGACAGGTCCGATCTTCGACGCATATGGTCCAAATTGGGTGATAGTGCCTGGCTCAATTGGAATTGTGGTAGCGCTTATATGCTTCAGCTTCAGCACTGGTAAGATATCTATCACCGATCATTGATGCACCGCAGCTAATGAGACCAATTTAGAATATTATCAGATATTTCTCTCCTTCAGTGTACTCGGAGGGCTATCGGCCTGTACACTCTTCACCCCTGTGGTGTCGGCAGTTGGGCATTGGTTTAATATTCGTCGTGGCTTTGCCACGGGTATTGCATGTACTGCTGGCGGCATTGGAGGAGTCATATTCCCACTTATCATTTTGTTCACTGCCCCGAAGATCGGATTCCCCTGGGCAATTCGAATCATGGCACTTTTATCTGCAATATTGTGTCTAATTGCTTGTCTTCTGTTGAAAACAAGGTTACCCAGGAATATGAAGGCCGGTGCCTCAATCGACTTTGGCGCGTTGAAAGATGCCAACTACGCAGCCACAACTCTGGCAGTCTTCCTCGTGGAGTTTGCAGTCTTCATTCCGATAACTTACATTGCCTCATATGCACTACGTATTGGAGTCCATGAACAAACGAGCTACTTATTGATTGTGTTCCTGAATGTTGGCGCCATCCCAGGACGCTTTCTCCCTGGTTTACTAGCAGACCGACTGGGAAGATTCAATGTCATGATACTGACAGCACTGGCTTGTGGCATATTGATTCTGTCTTTATGGTTTTGTGCTGGTGATAATTTGCATGCCATAATAGCCTTTTCTGTCCTGTTTGGATTTTGGAGTGGAGCAGCAATAAGCTTGACCCCGGTGTGTATTTCTCAAGTGTGCGCGACCGAAGATTATGGTAAACGCAATGGAACCACTTTCACAGTCGCGAGTGTTGGTACCCTTGCGGGGATTCCTATTGCGGGGGCAATCCAATCCGGTAATGGGGGAGAATATGGAGGGTTGATTATTTTGGGTGGAACTCTGTACCTTGCAGCAGCCTTCGCATTTGTCCTGGCGCGCGTGGTTTGCCGAGGATGGTCGTTGAGAACTAAATTCTAATTTGTGTATACATGATATGTGGCTTGATTATAGTTTCGAGGCGATAGACTGAATTCCATCGGATTTGAGTACATGCTTGTGAAAGTAGAATGTAAAAGCATATAGAACATTTCGTCGACATTCAGAAATTCGAATTCAATGCTGACTCGTATCATTGTTCCCATTAAGAACTCCCGTCTGATTAAAAAAGCCGAGACGAAGGTGAATGCGCAATTCATCGTGGAAAACTTCTGGTTATCTTTAAATAAGGCTTCCTTGGAAGAAGCTGGTGAGCTTTTGGAATGGAATAAGCTCGGTGCGATCATAGAGATCGACGTGGCCAGCATTTGGAACCAAGAATAATTCCTTCGGCTCAAAAGCTCGTGAATAGGCGTTCTCACTGAATTCGCGCGAATGTGCCTGGTTCCCTGCGATAAAAAGCATCGGACGTGGTGATATCGTATCGATACCATTGAATGGGTAGAAGTTTATAAACTTGGTGAATGTGGAGAGTGTAGGGTGTGTAGTGAGCTCTGGCGTAGACCCAGCAGGTGTGAATTCACCACGTTTGGTGCGATAATAGTCGTAGAATTCACGTTCTACTGCGGAAGCCTTTGCAGTAAGGTGATTCAGGGTACCGCTGGTGTACTGAACCTCGCCCCCATCAAGTTCAATCCAGCGTTGTTGGGCCGCGCCGGCGATCATTTCTTTGAGTTGATGAAAACTCTGTGAATGCTGTAGCCCACGTCGAGATAGGCTGCCCATATCATACATGCTTACTGTGGCGATTGCTTTGAGACGCGGATCCAATTTTGCCGCGCTGATCACGAATGAGCCACTTCCACAGATACCAAGTCCACCAATTCGCTCTCGATCAACGGAGCTCTGGGTGCCCAGATAATCCACTGCAGCGCTGAATGCCTCTGCATAGAGGTCTGGTGACACCGAATTGCGTGGCTCACCCTCACTGGCACCCCAGAATGGAATGTCGATAGAAACGGTAATAAACCCCTGCTCGGCTAACTTGGTCGCGTACAGGTTGGCACTTTGTTCTTTCACGGCACCCATGGGGTGGCCGACTACAACGGCGGGTCTAGTGGTACTTTGAGATTCATCTTTGAGATAGAACAGGTTTCCCGCAACGGTAGTCTGGTATTGGGTTTGAAAGCTGATTGGTTGAATAGACACATTGTTGCTGCGGTAGAAGTTGTCGGCTCCGTAGGACATATTTTGTGCTGTAGCTGGCATTGCCATGCTGAGGGCGGCGATACCGGTTACTATCAGCTTCATGATCATGGTGTTCAAGTTTGTCCCGTTTAAATTTACGCGGCAATGAAGATGAGAATTTCAGAAACGATACCTTTCTTTCTTTCTTTTGTTCTGGTAGAAGCAGCTGTCTTTATACCCAGCCCCATTATGCTGTTGTCTTGCCAAGATTCAGTTTTGGTTCATATGCAAAATTGTTTTACGAGAAAAAGTATGTCATCGACCGATCACAGTACCAGAGATTGGTACCCATATCATTAGAGTGTCAATATTTTAGGGGTCTTGGGCATCATACTGTAGTGCCTAGTGACACGAATGTATGCTGCTTACTTTTCAGGGACCGGGAACCAATCATCAGACGAGATGTATATCAATCATCCAAGATGTCGTAGGCGTTCGGGGCTCAGATGTGGGTACCCACAAGTGTTATCCAGCCATAATGAGAATAACAGTGGCTCATCCGAGTGGATTGATCACGGAAGTTGATGATCGGCAATTTTCTGAGGATGGGGGTCGAACCGGCTAGTTCTGCTCGTATGTATAGTTGTTGCCTATAATTGAGGGTTTGCAATGGTGTCTCTTACGCTGAAGAGAGCCAAGGATGTCCGCTGTCAGCTCGACTCGGACGTCGTGTCTTAAGTCCGGTGCTAACCAGCGGAATGTACTTCTTGGCCTTGGCGCTGTATCCGCTCTCAAGATAGCTCAGGATAGCTCAGGACTTGCTTTAAATCTCACGTCTTCGCCAGAAAGCTAGACTGAAACAAAGTTGTGTGTATTCACTCGCTTCGCAACCATGCGCATTTTATCCGCTCTGCCAATTGCTATCTCCTTCGTTTTGGCAGCTACAATACCAATACCTCTATTTACTCGAGATGAACCCGACCCAGTGAACCACCTTATACAAATCGAATCTCGGCCGTCGGAATCCAACTTCCAAACGATAAATCAACATATGCTACCCCAAAGTGAACCATGGGAAGATACTCAGGGTCGTGATTCTATACTTCGCAACCAAGATCGCCGTGAAAAACTAGTCGCTATGTGTGAGGCTGGCTTTGTCGCCGATTGTCAACTCGCTATTGAGGAGGCTAGCTCGGTCGCGAACAATGATAAGGCCGAGCCGAAGCTATTTTTGGGATTCGAAATATCGCTACCGAGTGTTTTATGTGAAAAAGCAGAAGGATACCCTGTTTACTGGAATCCCGTAAATGCTTTCGGTCTCTGCATGGTATTGGTTGTCGTCGCGGTTATATGCTCAACGAACAGGCGCCCAAAATCCTCCAACTATGCCTATGATCAGGTAAAATCTTCAGAGTCTTGAACTGTGCTTCGTATTTGACAAGTTCCGTTCATGTATTGCTGGTTTATAGTTTGATGTGTTATCTCTTTTAATATCACAAATAAGATTTTCCAAAGTTCTGGATATTTGCCAAAAACCAATTATTGCTTCAAGTTGCAAGGTTCAAATTGCGAATCGTGAAAGCTTTGCAACATGTACTAAATTATATAGTCAACCCAATTAAAATGCCATCCCTTTCGAAGAGATGTGGGCAGAACTTCTTCACTACTCAGTCTCCTAAGCATATTTTTGAATATAAATTTGAATTTAAAAAGAACTGCCTTAATTAGTAAGGGATGGAAGTTTGAACAGGGCTGACTGTAGTACAGGAGAAGGCTGGATCATGAATCATGATGACTGCCAAGTCTAGGCGCATTGATAACTTTGGAAGCCACCGATCTCCACTACCCGAGCTAGTCCAATCCAGGTTAGCCGAGTAAGCAAGTTGCGTTAGCGTCAAGATTAGCTTTCATAGGCCAATCATGTCCATCAACAAAGATCGCCACTGCGGTGGACCGCCATCGGCTGGGCCAAGTAAGCAGATTGCAGTAGAGCATTAAATCTGTGCAGTTTTCTGATCTTGAAGTCCCAGTATTGTCATCTTCATCATGCCGCTACACTTGACAACTGATCACCCGGAGATCCCGTTGGCTCGGATGCCGCAACAAGAGGGGGTGTGGGTACCCAAGGACGACTGGACTGGGACCATCGACCGAACTGAAAGAAGGAAATTACAGAACAGACTCAGCCAGAGAGCATACCGTATGATCTCCACTGTCTCGGAACAACTTGATTTAATCTTTTAACAAATATCTCAGGGTCGCGAAAGAAATTAGACCAACAATTGAATGACTGGCCATCACTGGACAAACAAAGCGCCGTTATAATTCCACAACGCCCGTCCAACCATGATGACGAATTTACCTGCTCAAGGGCCCCTTCGGGTATATTTGATTTGATGCACCGATTCGAATCAATGGCGCTCTCAAATTACGAAAGAAATTCGCCCAATGTAGATCATCTCATTTCAGTGTCCAGATTCAACATCCAACGTGCAATCATTGACAACACCCGCGCAATGGGAATGACCATGAAATCGCTACAACCAGATGATGCTATCTCAATCTTTAATCTCTCACAACCCAACCTCATGAATCCCATTCCTGAAGCAGCAATTCCTCCAAGTTTACGACCAACTATGCGTCAGCGAGAAATTCCTCATCACCCCTGGCTGGACTTTTTTCCGTTCCCAAATTTGCGGGATAATCTGATATCTGCTCAGGATGAAATTGATGATGATGATCTTTGTCATGACTTGATGGCATTTTGGGACACGCGAAATACCGGTGCAACTTTACTTGTGTGGGGCCCTTCGTGGGAACCTACAAGCTGGGAAGTCACACCGGCATTTCTGGAGAAATGGGGATTCTTGTTGAGGGGATGCGGGGATATACTGAGAAGTACTAATCAGTGGAGAGTCAAAAGAGGAGAGAGGCCAATTATTTGGCATTCAATTGAGAAGCCAGGTAGTTGATGCACTAACTAGTACCTGGAACTCTAAAATATTCCCACGTTTTGGAACTTTCACGAAATAGAATATTCAGTCAAAAACTAAGCATGATTCAACAACGTCATATGCGGCCATTTTGCCTAGTGTATGATACATGGTAATTTTCCAGGGACATTGGAAATTATGCAACACGATAATTGGTTACTAGTTCCCTAGATGAATAATCCCAAATCAATCGGTGCAGATCTCACTTGGTCTTCTTGGATCTCCTGGAGCAGAGAATCTTCCGGATAATCCTCAATACCCAAATCAATAAAACCTCGTGCTGCCCATCTCCGCGGCGCAATGAAAAAAGAACGTCCGTTGATGTCCATGTCACTGAGAATTCGTAGTAGACATTCACCTGCATCCTTCGCTTCTGCAAATTGTACACCGACACTTGAAACATGTGCAAAAGCTTCGTCGGATAGGATGTTAGTCTTGACGTACCTATATTTGGTTAATATTTTCCCGAGAAAAAGATACTTGAATGTTTCAAAGGTTCTTACCATGGCAATATAATGTTCAAGCGACTGCCGTAATAAAAGGCGGTTCTACGCAACGAATGTAAAATTCCTCGCATAGCCCATTTACTCGCGCAATACTGAGGGGCGCGAGGGCAATCCAAGAATGCTGCGCCTGATCCAATTAAGACAAGACATGTGTCTTCCTGTGTTTCAGATACTTTGTCTCCGTTCTGTTTGATGAAATAGTGGGACACCAATTTAGCTGTATAGAGAACACCTATCAGGTTGACATCGATAGTTGTCAAGTCGGGCTTCTTGGGCACTGCATCATCCCCATCATATAGAAAGACTTCATCTGGGCGATGGATACCGGCGTTGGCTATCACGTATGATATTTTCTCTGTTGGGGAGAATGAAGCAGCTTCTTGAAACAGTCGCACCTGATTATCCCAGTCGGCAGTATTGCATTCGATAAACTTTACACTTGAAGAATGTTAATTCAAATATCGAGAAGGTTCAGTACACGGGCTTACCCTGTAAGCTCTGCTTCAAGCTTTCTACCTTTTATTGTATCGAGATCACCGATACAAACAGTTGCCCTGCTTGATATATCAGTCGAATGTGACCGCATTGAGTGCGACCTATGTGTTTTTCATACCCTGCAGCGATCAGGGATCGCACATATGCTTCTCCAAGACCGTTGGCCCCTTTGCATATTATCAGCTAACCAGTACCTACTTAAAAGTTCATGGGGGAAGGTGGAACTCACCTCCTGTGACAATTGCTGTTTTCCCTCTGATATTTGCTGTATCAAAATCCACATCGCAGTCCACCGGGATGTTAGAAATGTATTGAGGCATCGAAAGATCAGGGAACGCGGTGCAAATATTGACATCAAAATACTCTGGCAGTGCATTCCGACATTGGAAGTAGGAAGGGCTTTATAAGCTGTTTTTCCAGTCTCTTACCTCCGATGTGATTTCAGAGTTGGAAGGTCTAATTTAACGCTAATGCAAGATGCTTACCCTGAGCCGAGTCTTTGCTACATAGTACGTGGCCTACGCACGGTAGACAATAGCGTCCAGCGGGGGAAAACATATTTTGCCACATAAAGATTTCTACATTCAATTAGACATACAAGTAGACGTACAATTAAATATATTAGAAGGATTATAAGCAAAATAGTATCTTTGAATGGTATATTTTTGATCATTGCAGCGAGCTTTTGGTTTTCTCCCGCTGAACGCTATGGTCTCTCATGCTCATACTGGAAGCTCCCTTGGAACTGGGACACGGAGAAATCGCATATAAAAAGATTAGAGGAAAACATACAACGGTCAAAGTAAATCACTGCTTACCATTGGGACATGCTTTAATGGCTAGAATTTGCTTTCCTAAGTATTGCCTGAGTGTTGAAAAATAATGTGTTGGCGAGATGTATAGCCATTTGCACCACGTGATGTATTATGGGGGATCGACCCGCTTGAGAATCTTAAGCCTAAGCTTCTTCTCCCCTTTTCAAGATAGCCTGCTACCACCTTGTTCTTCCAATGCCCTAAGTGATATTTCTGGCAGTTCAAGCTATGAAACCGACATACGCTTAATATAATTCCCCCATTATCATTTCCATTACTCGTCGCCCAATCCTCACCCAATCCAGCCCCGACGCATCAAGCTCCGCGGAGTGGGATGTTTCCAGCAGTTCCCCGCCGTGCTAAATCCTGAGCTTCTGCAGCCTTTGATCCACGCTTCTCAAAGCTAGTTCCCTCCTCCGAACCGCAATACCCTTGAGCTTCTTGCAACAAGCACAATTGCCCATATCCCGATCGACCCGCGAAAAGAACCCAGATAACGCGCCAACTTCATTGTGCCATAATGCCGTCGCTCAATTGGACCTCCGCGGTAGTAGCCATCGCCGCAATTTTTCTCTTCTGGACGTTCTCCGCAACATCAAACTCACCTTTCACGCGCAATTTCCCCCGACTACAAAACAAGAAGATAGTCCTTCTGATTGCTCACCCCGATGACGAGGCGATGTTCTTTGCGCCGTCAGTTCTGGGTCTCACCAAACCAGAACTAGGCAATCACCTCAAGATTCTCTGTCTCAGTACCGGTACGTGACCATAACTTCCTACGGAAAAGAAAAACTATCTCCGATTGTCGAGAACTGACACTTCTCAATTCCAGGCGACGCGGACGGCCTCGGCGAAACTCGTAAGAAGGAACTACAGAAAAGCGCTCTCCAGCTCGGCCTCCGCGATGAATCCGACGTCTTCGTCGTAGACGACCCCTCCCGTTTCCCAGATAGCATGACAAAAGACTGGTCCGCAGAAGCTGTATCCTCCCTCGTTGCCTCGGCATTTGCACCGGATCTTGCCGCCTCGCTGAACGGGTCTAAGAAATTGGATGCTAAGAAGGCGCCTACATGTACCATTGATGTAATTTTGACATTTGACAAACACGGCGTGAGCAACCATATCAATCACCGATCTCTGTATCACGGTGCAGTGCACTTTGTGCGGTTACTTATGAAAGGGAAGTCTGGTTTTGCCTCTCCTGTTACGCTGTATACGTTGACTTCTACGTCGATTTTTAGGAAGTATGCCGGTGTGCTTGATGCGCCTTTGTCGATGCTTCAGGGAGCTTTCAGTAATTTCTTTGCGAGGTTTAGTAAAGCGAAGAAAAGCGGGACAGGCCCAGCTCGGTTGCTTTTCGTTAGCTCTGTGAGTGAATGGGTTGTTGCTCAATCTGCTATGGTCAAAGGACACCAGAGCCAAATGGTTTGGTTCCGATGGGGTTGGATTACGATTGGGCGTTATATGACTGTTAATGACCTGGTGAGGGAGGACATTTGATTCTGCCTACTTGATGGTTGTATATCCTGCTGTCTCATGGAGCTAGAAACACCTGTAAATATGGTATATTACTGCATGAAACTTGTCGCCCAAAGACCCATTTTATAGCTTTGGACGCAATGTACATAATCCAAGCTTACCATACCAGGGCTCTTGGGCTGTTGGATTCATTAGAGCCATGACCGAGTCGGCCTACTGAGGACTCAAAATCTCTACTTAGGCAGGGTCTGGAATAGAAGGTAATATTTGAGCAGATTGAGATGTTATGCCACCTGGACAATGTGCGGCTAAATCAGATTTATGAAAGTCTTGACAGTGGGTATCTATCATACAAGAACAAAGGTTTAACGCTAAATCAACGAAATCTGAAGACAATCAAACGAATTTTCAAATCAATGAGTTCTCATCCAGAAGGAATGAGCTCCGCTCTTGGGGTTTGTCCAACCGCAAATGAACAAGACGACCATGAAACCCAGAGCCGGCCAATGCGTGATCCTCAGGATAGTCAACCCATGTTTCCTTAAGCTCCTGTATCTTAGCTTTGATCTCATCGCTGAGTTCGGTTTGGAAGGTGAACAGGGTGCTCAAAGGCTTCATACTTGTATCCAACCATGGGTACTTCTCGTGCATATGATCCCATCTGTCAGCTTCCTTCCAGAATAGGAATGAATCTGGAAAAGCGCCGGGCTTCTTCCCCTCCGTGATACGCTTGACAGGCACGTATGGACCCTTATTCCAATCTCGATCTGCAAAGTTTGTATTTCCACGGAAAGTAACCTCACCAGCAAGGTCGCCGTAGTGAAGTAGGAATCTTCTTGGCATGAAATCCTGCCATTCTTCCATAACTTTTGGTCGTAATTGGTAGATCCAGGATTTAAATGATATCTCGTTCCACTCCTTTTTGACTGCTATAGACATTGCTGAACGTTGCAGGAGCCGGGTCTGTTGGTACAACTCGAGTCGTTTGATATCGTATTTGTTGATCGCCTCAGCTAATAGAGGACTTTTGAGCAGATTTGGGTTGACTTGTTGATTTTCTCCTTTCCCAACTGGAGCCTGAATAACCGGGTTAAGAAGGCGGATCACCAATTGGCGTGCCATTTCCTGTTGCCGTCTTGTAGAAAGAAGTACTTTGTATGCACGACTCAAATATGACCGACATTCTTCCAAGGTACCGAAAGCGTACGCTGTCTTCAGCATAAATCGCCACACAGGTCCGGTTGTTTTAACATTGTGTGGCTCCGAGGTCATAGTTTCGAATATAGAGCGCACAACGTCAGGGGAAACCTTGCCGAGTTCATTTTCCCAGTGATTCTTGACTCCGCCAGGTCGTACACGGGATAGCACGAATGCTCGCTCTAGTAACTCGTACCATGCTTTTGCGGGTACTTTGATCTTGTAATTGGCGGATAAGAACTGAATCACCTGAACCGCGCCCAAGATATCGTTATTCGTGCCGAACGCGTGAGCTACTGCAAAAAGCAACTTCTCGGTTGGATACAACGCGGAGGATTTAGGATAAGGTGTCGGAGGCGGCAAAGTGGAAGGATCCTCGGCGTCTTTCACTGCATCGATATCCACATTCCACACGGTCTGCATAACTTCTCGCATGCCGAGCTTATGGCCCGTTCGAGCAGAGGCAAGCAAGAGGTTGATACAAGTTTGCTCGTCCGGAGAATGTCCGGCCTTCATCATTATTCGATACATGGGCAAAATCCTGCGCCGAACACTGTGGTTTCCAGTTCCAGGTCCACGCCACCCAATGTTGCGATGCTCCGCTCGTCGTTTTTTGTAAGTCTTGGGCACAACTCGTAACCGAAATGCTTCCTGGCCGGTATAGCAGTGGTCCCACACTTGTGCCTCCATCCAATAATTATAGCAATTCATATCTGGAATCACATCTTCGCGCCGCATTGACTGCCATAGTTCCTCGGCGAATGGACCATTTCCCATCGATCGCGCACAGTCCAGAAGATGTGTGTATTCGGCTAGTTCGAGCGGATAAGGGCCCGTTGTTCGATATCGTACAATCGTAAAAAGGTTGCGAACAAAATTATCGAAATGCTCTTCAGCGCGTTTAATTCCTTGGATAAGGGATGCCCACGAGGGAAGGGCGTGGTGGAGATCGCGGAAAGGCTCCACAAAATAGACGGGTGACAGTTGGTGGAGCGCCTCGATAAAGACAGTCTGGGGTAATGATGCGACAAGCTGTGCCGACCGTAGGTCTGTCAGACTCGCCATTATCTGGTCTGGTTGTCCCACATCCAAAACACGATAAAAATCTGCGGCATACTCTAATTCCTCCTCTCTTGAATTCCATGATGGGTCAGGATCGGTAGTGGTCACAATTTGCTCCACGCGCTCGTAAGCGGGCGGGTCATCTGGAGAAGAATGAGTAGATTCCACTACATATTCCTCTCTTTGTACATTCGGGATGGTAGATGAGTGCTCTTTTCCGCTATCTCGTTTGTTCATAGAGGTATTCCAAGGTGAGTTGTCAGATGATGTGTATGATGAGTTTGGTCGTGTGCACCCGGGGGCATTGAGAGAGCGCATTCGAAACGAGCTCAAGAAATTAGGCTTTCGAATTGTTCCTGGGGAATGATGCCATTGGGAGCTTAGTCTCCCAACGGAGAAACTGACTCTCATGATGAAAATGAAAATGTGCACAGCATCCAGAAACAATGATGAGAAAGAGAAGTGAAGATTGTCAGGGGAGGAACAGGTAGCAGAAGAAGAGGGGGTAGGTAGCACATAATGAAATAGGGCTCTGGGGCCAACGCTTCGACCTCCGATGAAAGAGGGGGTACAAGGTACTTGTGCTGCACGAGTTTCACTAAGTGGGTTGGCGCATGGGGAGCGGGATCAGACCTCTACAAAGGTAGCAGTGACCAGTGAAGTGATTTCCTTGAGGTAGGATACATTTTAAGCTATTTGATCAGAAACACCATGGATAGACAAATCTATAGCAATTGACACATCGCCAGCAATGGAACCAAGTGGAGAGAGACGGTAGAATCCCTCCTTCGCCCCTCATTTTACTCCATTTTGCTCCGGTTGTCTCCATTTTGGCTCCATTTTTTCTCCATACAAAACTCTCGGCAAAACAAACAAAACAAACAAAAGTCTGGGGTAAACACGTGCTGACTAACCACTGACCTCCTTTCCAACGCTAAACCATATCGGGTGGCGGACAAAGCTCTCTGATTCTGTTTCCCGCAATCCAGTCAAGGAGATCCCACCTTCAATTCCACCCTTACCAAGATGGCCGATACAGAGGATGCAGGCGCATCTGTTTCAGAGCCCTTGGACCTTGTCCGTCTTTCTCTCGATGAGATCGTTTTCGTGAAGCTGCGCGGTGACCGCGAACTCAAGGGCCGCCTCCACGTGAGCCAACCCGTCCCTTTGGTCATACGATTGTTTCCTCTAACCTTGAATGACTCATCAGGCCTATGATAGCCACTGCAACCTGGTTCTGGGTGATGTGGAGGAGATCATCTACGTGGTAGAGGAGGATGAAAACGAAGAAGAAGTCACACGCGTAAGGGCTACGTGCGGATATTTGAATGGGGACACGACGCTAACCGGGAGTTTTGATACCAGACAATCAAGAAGCAAGAAGAAATGTTATTTGTACGGGGTATGTTTCTCTGTCTCTTTTCCGTCTCCTCAATGGCTTTGTTTCTAACATTCATTCGCTAATATAGGTGATTCCGTCGTTTTGATTTCCCCCCAAGCTTGAGATCGGCCCATATATGAATAGAGGAAACCGGCGTTGGCGAGAGGGAACCCTGGAAATGAAAGCTCGGCAGCCTGTAGGGGAAAATGACATATTAAGATACCATCTACAAGCTACATAGACCGAATGAAGTTGGTTCATGACTAAAATGCTCACCCCACTACAACCAAACTCGGTGTGCCGATGCCCCTCACAGCAGAGCCGCAAGGCTGTAAACAAAGACCACCCCTGTCGAACTCCACTGTTAGTCATATAATAGCTTCTGTTAGTTTCTATGTTCGATAGTAAATGGATATTTGGTGGCGCAGTTGACTTCGCGCAGCAGATCATGCTGGGCTTGGATGACTCAAACGAATGACTCTCCCATCGGAACTACGTAGTTGTAAGGTTATCGATAAAGATGGCCCGATCTCTCTTCCCTCTTCCCTTGCTCTTTCTCTCTTTCTACATACACGCACTTGTCTCTCATATTTCGACCCTCACAAACACTGTTCTTTCTTAATTTAGAGCAGTCAAGCAATGATCCCTCGAATACACGTCTGAATAGCGCCAGAGCAAAGGCGGTCCCACTTCGATCTACCCCCGACCGTAACGTCACTACCCGGACCCCTCCATCATTCGATATCTGAATATAAACCCCATCAACCATGCCAACAGCTGTTGCAAAACAAAATCCCGAGGAGCGGAAACGAGGCGAAATTGTATGTTATGTTGTTTCACCGGTTCGTTACATTGTAATGCGCGCCCACTCACATAGCTATCCCAGGCTTTGAGCGAGTTCGCCGAGTATGCCGAGAAGCAGCAAACGCATCGCTCCGCAGTCGCTGCGCCCAGTGACAGTGTTTACGAGACTGGAGGCGTGTCGCGCGACACTGAAGACCACGCAGAGCTGGATATTTTGGACCAACTAGGCTTATCTGACTCACCCCGTACTGTGAAGCTCAAGGAGCTTCTTCTTGGAACAGGGGATGAAGCCGAGAACAGTCTGCAGGTGCTAGCAGGCGCCTTGCAGGCGCGCATAGATGAAGGCCAAGGAGAAACCATCTTTGATCTCGGTCTCGAGGACGGCGGTGAATCAATGGCCTTTAACCTTCCTCAATGGCAGACTGCTCTCCAGCGACTGCGCGAGGCGGCCGAAACCATTCCCGCTCACTGCCGCATCCTTCTCACCTACAATGTGGGTGGTGAACAGGAATGCCCAGAGAAACCTGACCGTGTCAAGGATGTATGGGGCAAATTGCTCATTCGTCAACACGCTGGCAACATCGAAGAGATGGCGGAAATTCGAATGGCCGTGGTGGGCAATGTAGATGCGGGGAAGAGTACCATGCTTGGTGTGTTGGTGAAGGGCAGTCTCGACGATGGTCGTGGTCGTGCTCGAGTTAATCTCTTTCGCCACAAGCACGAAATTGAAAGTGGCCGAACCAGCTCTGTCGGCATGGAAATCATGGGCTTCGATAGCCACGGCGAAATTGTCGCCCATCACCAAGGCCGTAAGCTATCTTGGGAAGAGATCGGAAAACGATCTGCGAAGGTCATATCCTTCTCCGACCTTGCAGGCCACGAGCGTTATTTGCGAACCACAGTGTTCGGTATGCTTAGCAGCAGCCCCAACTATTGTCTGCTGATGGTTGCCGCGAATAACGGCTTGATCGGAATGAGTCGTGAACATCTTGGAATTGCCCTTGCGCTCAATGTTCCTGTCATGGTCATTGTCACCAAGATCGACATTTGCCCGCCTCAAATCCTCCAAGAGACCTTGTCTCAATTATCCAAGATACTCAAGTCTCCTGGTGCACGCAAAATACCCATATTCATCAAGGACATGGAAGATACCATAAATACAGCGGCTCAATTTGTCAGCCAGCGAATATGCCCTATATTCCAAGTTTCTAATGTCACTGGTGAGAACCTGGAACTAGTACGGACTTTCCTGAATATTCTGCCCCACCGGGGTCACTACAACCAGGACGCTCCCTTCGAGTTCTTAATTAATGACACTTTCTCCGTGCCTCATGTGGGTACTGTGGTGTCTGGCGTCGTCAAATCTGGTGTTATTCACGCCGGTGATTCAATTGTTGTTGGGCCAGACTCCCTCGGCCAATTCACCACGACTACAATAAAGTCCATTGAACGCAAGAGGATACCGGTCAACGCTTGCTTTGCCGGTCAGTCCGGGTCTTTTGCTCTGAAACGTGTCCGGCGTAAAGAAGTGCGCAAGGGCATGGTAGTCTTGAAAAAGATGGAAACCGCGCCCAAGGTATACCGCGAGTTCATTGCTGAAGGTAAAATGAGACTCCATTATAACGTGATGGATCATTTGATGTACTAACTAACATCCCTGTAGTTCTGATTCTTTCACACGCCACCACTATCAAGCCTAAATATCAAGCTATGTTACACGTGGGAGCGGTCAGTCAAACATGCTCAGTGATTGACATTGACCGCCCTTTCATTCGAACTGGCGATCGTGCTCTAGTCGCGTTCCGATTCATGCAGAGGCCGGAATTCCTTGCTCCTGGCGACAGAGTACTTTTCCGAGAAGGCAAAACGAAAGGTCTGGGTATTGTAAAGAGCATTGGCTATGATCCTGAGAACCCGCTGAATCCCCAGGCCAAGGAGGCTAAGGAGGCCAGCGTCAAGAAGTCCGATTCAGCTAGTACTGACACGGCATAAGGCATAGACTATCATTGCTATTATTACTTGTTATTCTAAATTACAAATTACACGATCCAATGATGTGTTAACTACCCTATCGTGTCTTTGAATATTCGTAGTCCAATGCAATCTATGACTCCACGTGACATGACGTCAGATGATGCCATGCGCCGATCGCTTGATCCATCCAGATCGTCACGACGTACCACTGGTTGTCGTAGTAAGCTGAAAGTTTAAGGATCCATTTATACTTTGCCTCTTAGTCGCTGTCCTAGCGAGCTCCACTGACGTAGTGAATTACACGTTGTACACCCGTACAGAACACGCCTCTTAAGAGACCCTCGTGGCTGAACCCTCTCCTCTTTATACTTTCACCTCCCAAAGCTTTTTCTTAACCCATTGGTACCTGAAATATTTCTGTCACATTCAAACAATTTGTTTCAATCCTCTATCGTGCTCTTAGTTATTCACCTCAATACCTTGAGACCTTCATATCCTATCGACATCCTTCAATACCCTCAATCCTACACTCCAACTCCCTACCTACGCCACATCCCTTACAATAAATTTATAAGATAAGGACTTGAAAATGGACGCCGTCAATCGTGTCGTGAACGCAGCTTCTACTGTCCTCTGGGGCGAAGATATCCCTGAGAGTCCAGCTATATCACATGGCGAGGAGCCAATATCCGGTGTCCAGGGCAAAGGCAGCGCCAATGACCCTTACGACGCTGGTAACCGCGAAGGTAAATTAATGTCCTTATAAACAAACGGCTTTTAACCTACACAGAAAATACATTCAAACATGGAATGTTATTGTTTCAAAGGGATTGCAACTAACATCTAGACAGAACAACCAGGTGCCCTCGACTCAGACGCCAATACCGCTCCCCAAGAACCAAAACTAGACGGCACTCCTTTAAACAGCACCGAGACTCCAAAGACCGAAACCGCTACAGCAGGTGGATCAGGTTCCAGCGATGCTCCCAAACCCACCGAGTCCCAACCCGAGCAACGTAACACAGAACCAGAGTCCAAGCCCAAAGATCTCGCCACTGAAAGCAAGACGGAAGAAAACAAAGAAAGCGGTGTTTCACACTCCAAGGCTGATGATCCACACTCGCACGTGAGTACGGAGGCACTTAAGGGTCCTCAAGGTCCAGCTCTTAAGCTGGCGGAGGAGTTTGAGAAGGAGGAGAAGGGAAAGAAGCCCGTGGAGAAGAAGGTGGCAGACCCTGCTGCTACTGAGAACCGTGAGTTCTTCTACTAGAGGTGTGCGTATTTTTGGTAGGTCAATACTAATGCGGTGGATTTTCAGATGCCTCGTCTGGATCATCTGGATTGTCTGGATCCTCTAAGGATGTCAACGATAAGGCGTCTGGTACTAGTGATAAGGGAAGTGATAAGAGTGGCAGTAGTGGGAAGCACAGTACTATGCAGAAGGTGAAGGAGCGTCTGCATAAGGTTGCCCATCCACGCCAGCAGGAAACCAAGGCGTAAGCCTGAGGTACGAATGTCCGAGTTATTGTAATCTACGGATTAATCAAGGGGGGTGTTGTAGAGGGGTTTACGCGATGATTGGTTTTATTTTGTCTTGAAGGTGTCATCATGGATATCCCGAGTTGTATGGTGAATGATTTGCTCATCGCTCAATTCTGTTATTGATACTGGTATATTTTCGGTTTGAAATTTTTCGTGCACTGTATTAATACTCAACAATTGAACATTTCCAACATTTATCTAGGTATGTCAACTGTGTGGAGCCTGCAATTGGGTGTTGAATGCTACGTATATTTGCTACTTAAGCAATTAGTACCCAAATGACATCATAGGTAAGATTGTATAACTTTTAATCTATTAAGCATCAACATAAACAGAGAAAACATGAAAGTCCACACATGAAACAAGATGGCGTCTAGCGCAGTCCTAAATCCATATTAAATGACGCCAGAACCGGGTATCACTGTCACCCAATATTCAAAAACCCAAAACCGTATTTACCTCCCATACAAAAAGTGAAATAAATAAAGACCAGAAAATCGGCACACAAAAGACCGGTTACTCGAAAAGCATCTTCAGTTCTGTGATGCGTTCTTTCTTGTCATTGTTTTCGTCATCACCGCCAACACGTAGTCCAAGGGAACCTGCGATATTCATCTTGCGATCTTGTACGCGCAACATTCGCCCCTCGATTGAGTCTTTGACGATGAATCGTGTTACTGACACGTCGCGCGTTTGACCCATGCGGTGAACACGGTCAATGGCCTGGGCCTCAACGGCAAAGCTCCACCAGGGATCCATAAGGAAGACATTGTTGGCAACAGTAAGGTTGAGCCCGACACCGCCAGCGCGGAGGGAAATTAAGAGAACAGTCGGGGACGAATTAGAAGATGCCGATTGGTTGATGTCCTCAGCCTCCGAGTCAACAATTTCATCTTCGTACGTTTCTGTTTTCGTAAATTCATCTAAGACTGCTTTGCGGGCCTTCTGGGGCATAGACCCGTCTAGGCGGACGTGCGTAATCCCCACACGGGAGAGCTGGGGCCCAATCAAATCAAGGAATGACGTGAATTGAGAAAAGACGACCGATTTAGTATTAGGTGGCATACGCGAAAGGTGGCTTATCAAGGCATGGATCTTGGCGGAAGTATGTGCAGATGGAGACAGGGGGTTGATTCGACGGAGGGAGATACGGGGAGCAGGCTGGGAGGCGTTGGGTGCCGTTTCATTAGAAGCGAAGTCGTCCATTGACGTGGGCTGCGTAGAGGCATGGCGAACGACCTCGAATATACTCTTTGCGTCAATTGGAGCTCGACAGTTGAAACAACGTGGTTCGACATCCTTGTTCATCTGGTGCGCCACAAAGTCCTGGAGACATTTCTTGCACGCACTATGCCAGCATGCCGTCACTGCGGGATCAATCATGGGCTCTTCGCAGCAAATTGGACATTCCCCGCTAGACTCTGTTTGGATTTGGCGAAGGGCATGCGCAGTGAACTTTACATTTCGGTCTTCTGATTCGGCGTTCTCAGTAGCTACCGTGAATTGGTTTATGAGCTGTTGGACGTCCATGTCATCCTTCATTTCGTTGGCAGCATCAGCGGCAGCGGCAGCGACTTCTTCATCAGCAACTATTTCTTTGTTGCGGGTGAGTATTGGGTGACAGCAGGTTTGTCTGAGACGAAGAAGTTGGGCAAAGATAGTAGAGTACGACTGAAGCAAAGTCCCTGCCGAGACATTATCGTTGAAAGTACGCTTCGCTCGCGTATAGATGCAGTCGTAAATTTCACGTTCCTTCGCGGGGAGCTCGATTTCTTCAATAGTGATTGTTCGCGATGGCAAAGGAACCAAAGGCTCACCGTCTGGGGTTTTCATAGATTTGGTTCTTCTTAAAACGAGAGGCTCCAAAACACTCTGTACAACATTAAGGGCACGAATATAGTCTTTAGATTCGAAAGGAACAGTGATGAATGTCTTCCAGAAAGAGAAGTTGCTCCAAGGTTCAACTTTGAGAAATCGCACGAGACTAAACAGATCTTCCAATCGATTTACAATGGGAGTGCCGGTTAGGGTCCAGCGATGTGATGCGTTCAGTGCGTAACATGCCTGGGTTGTTTTAGAGCGTCGATTCTTAATGGTATGGGCCTCATCCAAGATAACTCGAAAGAAATCAACGGAGAACAATCCACCTTCCGAACCAGCCGACATCAGGGAGCGGTACTCGGATAATACGGTCCCAAAGCTTGTTACGATGACATTTGGTGCAGTTGCGTGTTTCGATGCACAGCAGAGGTCCCGAAGATTCACTACTTTTTCAGCGCCATAATAGAGCAGGACACGCATAGACCCTTCTTCTGAGGCTTTCAGTGCTTCGCTCTCCCATTGTGCAAGCAAGGATGTAGGCGCCACCACAAGTGTAGTATACGGAGCCGGAATAACACCAGTAGAGTCGGGAACTCGGGCAAGATCGTTCACAGAGCTCATGCCATTTGAAGCTTGGGGGTCAGGCTCCGCCCTGTGAGAGTGCACAAGCGCCATCATCTCTATGGTCTTTCCAAGACCCATCTCGTCTGCCAATATTCCACCCAAGCAGTGTTGTTCCTGAGCTGGGAAGTCCACACTGAGATCTCCCGAGTATGGATTGACATAAAAGTGTTCAATTCCTTCGAAGGTGGGGAGATCTTTGTCGTCGCCGTCTTTTAAAGGCCATACATATTCCTCCCATAGCGGATGCATGGACCGTTCACGAGGTTTTTTGCTGTCCTTTTCTTTTGACAGCATCCAGTGGAGAGCCTGTCTTTGGTATTTTCGAAGGCTCATCCGGAATGTAGGAGCGGGCTCAGCCTCGGGCATGTTGAAGTCGAAAGATTGAGCTTTCCGGTAAAGCGTATCCAGCTGATCCTGGGCAAGTTCCTCCGTTTCATCCTCTTCAGAAGAATCTTCGCCGTCTTTGCCGCCCTTTGACTTCTCTTTTTTAGTGTTATCGTATTGCTCAGCCATTTCAGCCGCTCGAAGAATACCGGTTCTCTTATGCTTCTCGGTGGTTGGGTTGATAGAAGTCGGCTTGAGGTCAATGGCGTCGAACATTTTTACAAGGGAAACCTGGCGGAGTCGAAGGTTCTTTTCTTCTGTGCTTTCTTTTTCTTCAAAGAGACCAGTAGATCTGTTATCATCGGTCTTCGACCCAAGAAACGGCACACGTTGGAAGGCTTCTTTACGAAGGAAACATCGCAGCTGTAGGTATATGGTATCGTTGACTCGTAGCCTATCGTCACTGAAGACACAAACACCTTCAAAATGACAAATCTTCTGATCAATCAAAGGCGATACCCATCCTGCAGTATCATGGGGCAGTCTCCCCACCTCCTGGCCGGCCATAGTTGTAAATCGTGTCAAAACATCCCCCTTCTGATTGACAATCACCTTGTTACCCCGACGCTTAGTTGTAGGCTGAGATCTGGCACGTTCAATCTTCACTGGATCTCCATGCTTGAGAAGGGCAGGTCCGCTTCGTGTTGCCCAGCCGCCTACGCCGAATGAGCCAACGAATCGTGATGAAGGCATTTTCCCTGCCACGGATCTGTATTCGAATGGAGAATTCATGTCGATCGATTGTGATGTCCTTTCGCTCTTTGGATTCGATGACGTGGGGGGATTATTGCGTAAAAGATTCGAGTTGATCCGGACAGAGACAGTTGCGTTGGTCGGTCTGTTCCATGATCCATCAAAGTAGATATTGACAGCCCGTTCGAGGTTGTTGGAAGCGGCAGCTTTGATAACTTCGATAGAGGATAATGAAAGCCGCTCACCGATGATGCTAGTGAACGTTTCTATATCAAACCCATCCAATTCAACAGCAGGCGCCCCATTCGCAACACCATTAACTTCATTGTGATGTGATTCGGTCGTCCCGTTCGTGAGTATATTGGTTGCAATTGAATGGTTGATTGTCGGTGCTGGTACTTCTGTGGCTTCTGTGGACAAGATCGGGGTCACTCGTGATCCTGCAAGATCGACCAGGGGTTTCATATCACGGCGAGGCGGGGTCTCTGGAACAGCCTCCGGGGTACCGTCCTGCTTAACATGATGCTCTGCCTGTCCGAGAGGGGACCGTGTCAATGACGCGTCGGTTTTGCCTATCACCGGATTTGAAGGCGACAAATCGTCTCCAGTAAAGAAGCGCTGTCTCTTTGCTGGTCTCTGATCCAGATCGTCGCTCATAATCGTGGTGTCGACATCAAGATATAAGTCGAATGGGAAAAGTCGAGATCGGGAGACGCGACGGGGAAACGGGGAAACGCGACGGGCCGACGTCAGTGATTAGAAATGGAAAAAAAAGTCAACCACCACCATCTTTAGCCAATCTTCCACACGCAGACCTCTTTGTCTCGAAGCGACTGGTGCAAAGGCCTTATATTCATTATTGCCTCTATTTATTGAGTCCTTTGACGACTTTCAGATTGAGTGACCCGCAATTTTCCCAGCGCGCCACTGATGGACCAATACTATTAAGTGGATTACATCCGTCCATCCTCGGCTTCTTCCAACATTTGAACACACCCATGCCACCAATGTTCCTCCTCAAGGAGATATCTCGGCCATGCCAGGTCAACAGCGCCCGTTTCATCTGTAAAAATGGATTCCGATCATCAAAAAGAGCTTTCAATTCTACCAGTCCACTCCGCACACCTATAACGGAGGAGGAAGTTCAAAGCGCACATAAATACTGTGTTGGTCTACTCTCGTATGTATCAAGGCCCTGCACCTAATCAGAAGTGCTAAAACCCTTCTTCGAAGCATCTGCTAACTCAATTCATCCCGCCAAAGAAAATATGATCGACCCTCCTATACCCTGAGCAGCTTCATTCCCCCTCATGCCCGCTCCTTCTACCTCGCCCTCCGCGCATTAAATGTCTCCCTCTCCCTCATTCCAGAAACAACTTCCTCCCCTACAATTGGTCTCATGCGCCTTCAATTCTGGCGCGATGCTATCTCCAAAATCTTAGCTGGCAATCCCCCGAAAGAACCCGTTGCTATCCTCCTCGCTTCCGCCATCTCAGATCTTCATGAGCGCACAGGAGGCCGCGCCCGGATCAGTAAGGGCTGGCTTACACGCCTTGTGACTTCAAGAGAACAGACTCTCACGAATGATCCTTATACCAACATTGCTGCCCTTGAATCCTACGCTGAAAACACCTACTCAACCCTCATGTACCTAACGCTTTCTGCGCTACCAATGACATCTGTAACGGCAGACCATGTTGCCTCGCATATTGGCAAAGCAGTTGGAATTGCGGCTGTCTTGCGCGGCCTGCCTTTGGTTGCGTTCCCAACCCCACAGGCGCAAGCGCCTCATGGTGGAGGTTCGGCGAGTCTGGGTTTGGGTGGTGGTGCTAGACAGGGTGCGGTGATGTTGCCGCTGGATGTGATGGCCCAGGCTGGTGTGAAGGAAGAGGAAGTTTTGAGACGTGGTGCTGATGCGGAAGGTCTGCGCGATGCGGTGTTTACTGTTGCGACGCGGGCCAGTGATCATTTGATTACTGCGCAGCAGATGCTGAGCAACCTTCGAGCGGGCGAGGATGTGGGACATGACTTTGAGCATGAGGGAGAAGAAGGCCACGAATATGATGCACCAAGTTCATCTCGGGACTCACCTCTTGACGAAGTTAATAGAGCTTTTGGTGTTTTCATGCCCGCTATTGGGACGCGGCTGTGGCTTGATCGGCTGCAAGAACATGATTTTGATGTCTTCCGTCCTGAGTTGCTGCGTTCGGATTGGAGGCTCCCTTGGAAAGCCTACTGGGCCTTCCGACAAAAGAGTCTTTGAGGAAGGTTTACTGCGCGTGGGGTGGTGTATGATAAAAATGTATAGTATAGATAGGATACAAGACTGTAGAAGTCTAAGGATATAATAAATGTACAATGAGCCAAGGATCTCCCATCATCTCCGTTTCTGCTCCTGATTCTTTTTCTTTGAGCTTGTGATGAGACGCTTCTGAGCAAGCATGACAGCGTAACGTTGTATTTTATCACGCCTGGGTTTGATGTCAGTGTTTTTCCACGGCTCAAAGATAGGTAGGGACTCACATCAGTAGGCAAGTTGTTACAAAAACAAAGGGTATGGCGATTCTCCAAAAATAGCTACGTCAGATGTTAGTATCTAGAAAACTAGCTCTTATATATTCAACGTTAAACATGAAGACTCACGAATCACCATTGTTTAAACCAGACAAGAAATTGAAGTTCATTCCGAAGTATCCCTAGAATTCATTGTTAGATGTATCATTCAAGGTATTTCGAAGGGTGATATTTCCTTACAGTCAAGAAGGTCATAGGGAGATATAAGCAAGTTACAAGGGTCAGCTGCTTCATGCTTTCGTTTTGGTAGGCACCTTGATATAAATTAGCTACGCTGCTGGGCTTGGTGATATGCTCCACTTACCAATTGTGTTGAAAATGAGATCAATCATGTTGTCGGCAGCACGGCGCATTTGGTCGTAGCCTTCAACAATTGTTATACAATGATCCAACGCATCGCCCAGGTACGTATGGCACATGGTGCTTATGGTCACAGTTGAGCCTCCAGCGCTCTTCAAATTCGGCGACGCGACTCCTAATTGAGGATGGCCGTCTATGTGATCGTCTATGGGATCAAATTGAGTCTGAGGGCTGTGACGAACGACTCCAAGGCCAGGTGTGCCAACAGGCTGAGATCGGTGATCGCGCAGCGCATTTATAACAGCGACAATAGGCTGCATTGCATTCCGAAGAACTGCAATCTCTGAAGTAAGAATGTATAAACTCTTCGATTGGTCGACATCTGGGTCAGTTAAAACATCCAGCTCCAGATCACCGATAGCATCTTGGTATGCCATGGTTACCGGGATGGCAAGATCAATTACAGCATCTAGGATAGCTTGAAGAAGCATACTGGCATCGCATGACTGTCGCAGAATGGTCTCTGGTGAGCTCAATCGCCGAACAATTGGAGCTTCTATATCATCGGCGCTTGTTTCAAAAAAGGACGTAACGGTGTTATCGGCGTGCAAAAAGATTGAAACTTGCTCTAGAGTCACGCATAGGTTTTTCGCTGCCAACGCAGCGTGGCGCTCCATGAACTCGATTCGGCCTTCGTTTGGACCTCCCCGATATCGCTGTAGGGTCTTAGCAGGGGCTTTTTTAGGATCAGAAAGGTCACCAAATTGAGATGTGTGTTTGGAGGATTCCCTGCGTGGTCCAGGGCGGACGCTAGCTCCGACTGTTTGTTTTTCTTCGCCGTCCCGACTTGAAGGTCGTTTGGATCTAAAGATATCCTTGAGAGCATCCCAAACCACGCGCCGCTTAGTTGCTCTTTTGATGGAAACCGAGCTCTTTTCGCTGACGACAGAGTTGGTTCTTTCCTTGAAGTTGCGATCGGGCATATCCTCGTCATCAGAGTCATCTTTCTCCTCTTGTAATTTGACCAATTTCTGTAACGTCAACACAACGAATGCATGATCGGAATACCAGTCTGCTTTGGTCCGATTTGTTGTATGAACTAAATCCTCGATTGCTAGCCGATGTAGCCCCTTATGATTTCCAAGGATTTTGATCACATCCCAGCTTAATCCGTTCACATTAATCCAACGACATTGTACCCATGGTTCTCGCTCCCGCGCGACAAACTGCTCCAGTGTCTCATTGTCCAACGAGTACTGTCGCATTTCATGCTGCGAAAAATCCACCACGGTAATTTCACACTGTCGATGTAGGTCGAGGGGTACGTTGGATGCCCATTCCGAGCTATATAGTGGCAAGGGTTTCGTTGGATCAATGCCAGGTTCGGTACCAGGTTGCCAAGTCGACTCCTGTGTAAATCCCTCTGGTCGATAGGAGCGGGCTGTGTTCGATCGTCGCGTGCGACGTTTCGTTGCCACGGTGTCGGCGGAGTTGACTCTCGCGGCGGCAGTCGTGAACCCGTCCACCATGGACTCATCCCTCCTTGTCGGGGAGATCCCCGAGTTGGGGGTTGCGGGGGCCGGGTGGCCGGCTTCGAGGTCGAGATTAGGGAGGGGTTCTAGTCGCATGGCGCCGGTTTGCGCATAGTCGAGCGAGTGAACACTCATCTCGGTCGTTGCTGCGCGCCGCGTGGTACTAATTTGGCAGGCTCCTCTTTCCCATTGGCTTTGTTGAAGGGGGCTTTGTCCTGGGCAGGCCGGAATGAGAGAAGTAGCAAAGATTAGGGAGGGAGGGGCCGTATCGATGGGAAGTCCTTAATATATTGTCACCGGTATATTAGCCCGTTAGGAGAAGACATTTTTCTTTGCGGGGAAATGACGTGAAGCGGTTGAGTGGGTGAAGAACTAGGGAATTGACGATTCAACTGGGCCACTGCCGATCCGCCACGCTTTCAAAGCTAATTGCGAACAGCGAATTAAGTCTGCTATGTTTTCACCCAATATAAAGAAAGGGAGGATTTGGAAAAGAAGGAGGTGCACAGCCCCATAGCACGTCCCGTCCATGAGCTTGGCAACAGTAGTTTATCGAGGGTTTTTCTCCACTGAAGCTTATCAGATCACTTGAAAAACTGTCGTGTTTCCTACCGATTTCTGATATTTATGCATTCCTTGATTTAAGCTTCATTTTCTATTTCCATGTGTGCAGGTCCGCGGGTTCCAAGGTTCAACTTGAAGTTCTTACCTACTACTGCAGTGATGCCCAGGTGTCAATCCACCTTCCCACCCGACTCTCTGGAAATTTATATACCTATTTAACATTAAACCTTGGGAGGGCCACTCTAGGGCTGCCAGTAAACAGCAACTTCAAGTTGAAGAGGTCTAAAAACAGATATGATCATGTTTAGGCAAAATTCTACTTCTATTCTAGTGGATTGATGCTTCTAACTCAAAATTTGACCAAATCTTTGACCTGCACGACTTGACCAGTGCGGATTGCCTTGTTGGCAGCAATGCCGGTCAAGATGGACATGGCTCCGTCCACATGAGATGCAGCGCGATTTAAGCGATCAGGAGCTGGAGTCCCAAAAAGATCATTTAAAAGAACAGGATCTCCGCCACCGTGTCCTCCTTCCCCTTCAATAACTTCAACTTCGTATGGGGATGCAAACATCGGATGCACGGATATCTTAGTGTGTGCCACGGCGCCCTCTTTGTTTTGCTCTCCGCCAGCATTGACATAGGATTCTTCAAGTACATCCATTTCCAATCGGCCACCAGTTCCGTTGAAGCAGACCCGGAATCCTTCCCATGGACAGTATGCATTGAGACTATAAGTCATGATCGCTCCTGACTGATAGCTTACCAATACTCCCATGGTATCTTCAATGTTGATGCCGTCACCAAAAACACTCTGATCACGATAGTATCCATCTTCATGCTCAGCATCAAGATACATAGCTTTGAGCTGGGGATGCTCTTCCATATTAAGAGCGAAGGGGTCATCGGCTGCTGCTGAACTGCCATGAGCTCGGGAATAGAATTTCGTTTCTCCTCTGGCCTCGGCATTTTCTTTGCCATAGAATTTAAGATCGCCCTGGGCAAAAACAGTAGCTGGTTGACTTCCCAACCAGAAATTCACAAGGTCAAAATGATGAGTTGACTTATGGACCAAGAGACCCCCACTATTCCGCTTATCACGGTGCCAGCGTCGAAAGTAGTCCGCACCGTGTCGAGTGTTCAGAAGCCATTCAAAGTGTACCGAAGTTACTCTTCCAATTGCGCCGTCTAGTAATAGCTCGCGCACCTTGGTATTATGAGGCGCGTATCGATAGTTGAAGGTGACGCGTAATTGCTGCTGGGTGCTTTTGACAGCATCCAGGATCAACTGGCATTTATTTTCATCGACTGTCATGGGCTTTTCGCTCACAACATCGCATCCCAATTCCATAGCACGAATGATATATTGATGATGCGTTCGGTCAATAGTTGTCACAAGTACAACGTCAGGTTTGGTCTCTTCAATCATCCGATCGAAATCGGCCGCTTTGTAGGTAGGCAGTTTTGCTAATCCTAAATCATGAATTCGAGAATTCGCAACATCCATGCGGGTTTGGTTTGTGTCACAAAAGGCCACAAGACTTGCACTTTCTTTGAAGTCCTGAGCTATGGCGTTGTAAAAGAACCCAGCGCGACCCCCAGTGCCTACGACGGCATACCTTTTCGGAGCCATTTTCGTGCAAGAACCAGGTGGACTCTGGATTTCGAGTAACGGTCAAAAGACAAAAGCTTCAAGAATGCTGGGGAACGGGGTTCACTGCTCTAACCTCCCTCTAACATACAAACTTGCTAAGTTCCAAGCCACCTTATACCTACCCCTCAGCCAAGAAAAAGGACTGCCCCCACGAGGCTTCATACGCTAAGTTTTCCCATCAATCAGAGCATCGCCCGCATCCCCAGCTGTTCTCACACCCCACGCAATACAATGTGGAGCTAAACTGAGGGTCCATGTCCCCAGATAAGCTAACTTTCATATTCTTTGACAGGAAACCTGGCCCGGACTGCGGGTTAAGTACATCCGAACGATATGATCGTATTATCATGGCCGAACACGATGTGAGCCCAGTAGGAAGCATTGGAAAACAAGTTAGACAATTGAGAAAAAAGAAATTCGGATGAAATAAATTTCGATCTTAATGCGCATCTCCAAAAAAAAAAACTCAATTTATTGATAGCTATAGAAACTTTCTAATGGTTGCAAGGTTTGAAATTGCAGATACACCATAACGAGCAACTTCATTAGTAGTTGCCCACACAGCTTCCTCTCCGTCGGTAAAGTATTCTGGAGCAGAAGTTCTAAGGATGCTCCAATCATGACTGTTTTTGTATCCATCAGTGTTCAGAAACTGGTCCCAAGCTGCTCGGCCCAGGTCATTGTTGTCTTGCTCCACGGCTGCAAACGCTGTGAGGGTTGAATGGCTTTGTCTCCAAGTAGCGTGAGCTGGAAACTCAAAGCCAAATTCTTCAAGTTGCACCTTAGAGCCACCATTGTACGCTCGACAGTACGATAGGTAGACTTTGATAAATTTTGACACTGTCTCTGGATGTTCATTCCGAGCATAGTGAATCAATTCTGCGAAGATTTCTGGAAAGCCGAAAAGCATAGATAAATGCGAAATCGCCCATTCTGGAGTTGGAGGAGGGCATTCTTGTATGTCACCAGTATTTGGATTCAACAAGATTGCATTGTTCCCGATCCCGTGCTTGAGCTCGGATACTCCGTCGAGGAGCTTTATCAAAAGGTTTTTGGAATTCTCCCATCCTTCCGAGCGTCGCTCCCATGAAGTCAGCCATGAAGCTGCGAGTGGGCCACAGTCTAGACCAATATTTGTCATTGCAAATCCTTCGGGTACACCGGCGTGTTTCTGGACCTTACGATGGGAGTCCAAAGTTAACAAGGTATTTTGGCATTGTTGGAGCTCGGATATCAGGTCCCCTGTGCGCTCGTCGCCAGTGAGATAGAAATAAATGCGCCGATATAACACATTGGATATTCGTAGCTGCTTTGAGCTGTCACTAAAATGCTGAACACCATGACGAGTACCAAAGCCTTTGAGCTTTCCGGCGTGATATACGTCCACCTCGCCGGTGTGTCTTGTCATCGCCTCCGCCATTTTGAACACATCGGCCCTTCCGGTGTGGAGAAAGTATAGCCAAAGCCATAGATCTGTAGAGAGTTCTGAATTGTCCCAGGCAAATCCGCCGACATCATATCTCCAAGCATGTCGATAGGGATCATATGTATGTTGTACATCTCCGTGGTCCCAAAAACCATACCACCTGTTCTGCTCTATTTGACCATGGTAAAAATTGAACAGAAGATCCAGATTCTGCTGGATTTGGGCTTCCTTTGACGTGCTTTCAGTTCCTGTCACTGAAGCACTGGGAGCCCAGCACCCATGAAATGCACTTGCAGAATACATATGCTCAGACGTGGCGACCAGGCGAGGAGGGTCGCGAACTAGAGTCGAAAATTTGCTGAACTCATCATTTGACGGGGTAGAGGTGAATGGTCTCAGAAAGAATTGATTAGTTCTGCCGATTCCATTTGCGGATGCGAACCCAGGCTCAAAATCTTCATAAGTGACATTCAGGCCTTCTAGTTGCTTTTCATATGTATCCATACCCAGTCCGTCGTGATATGGCGTTGTTTCCAAAGGCTCTGCCGAAGGTGAGTACAGCCAAACAGTCATCGTTCCCTGATCGGACGCCAGGGTATTCAGATCCAACTGAGTAGGGTAGCGCTCCCAAAAGTCACACATGCCTACTGCCAGTCCTCCATTAAGAGCCGATCCTATATAAGCGGTCCCATCTGCTCGGCCCCCACCGGTGACTTTGACCCAAGAACATCCTGGCTTTGTGCGCTTTTTGATTGTAAAGCCATCCGAGGAGAGTTGGGTGAGTGAATATGATTCCCATGATGGAATGTAAGATAATCCCTTAGCAAGCTCTGTCCGAGTCCACTCATTTTCATTTAATGTAACTGTTCGGCCAGCTGCTTGATCAACTCGATTCTGGATAGTCGGGCCGTGGCGCAATCCAGTGAGTCCCTTGACTTCTTCCCGGAGGACGCCACCATTCGAACCTCCCAGACGAACATGACGATTATGTAGTTCCGTTTGTCCCAATGGGATGGCAAATTCAAGGCCCAGCGACGTTAATGGATTGTTTGAATCCAAGTCATGAATAAAAGAATGGACTATTCTGAGTGTCGAGGCATCGGAGTGAATGTAGAATCGCACATCAAACGGAAGATGAGATTCGCCATCGCTCTTAACCGCACCACTCACTTTGACGACTGCCCTTTTGAAGGTCTTGTTTTCAACTGCGACCGCGTCAACGCGAGTTGTATGAGGCTTTCCATTGATAGAAGCCACAATTGTAGCATTGGAGCAAATGATTTGCCCATGGACTTCAAGACTCTCCAGAATTGATGGACTGCCAGGCGAAGTAAACTTCAAGTGAAAGCCCTTTTGCGTTCTCACTGAAATTTGGGAAGCCTTGGATTTAACAGTGAGACCGTTTAGAGGCTCCTTTGGATGTGGTGCGCCTTTGACTTCATATTCCTCGCGATAGTCGATATCACCACATACTGAATGGGCGGTCCATCGAAGAGACCCATCAGCCCAATATGCGATTTCTCTGGAATCTAAAGGCGATTGGCTATCTCCACTTGTAATCACAAATGTCTGACCAGTAAAGTAGAGACCTCGGGGCCAAGGCATTCCAAAGGAAACGCCATGCTGTAGAGAATGGGGGCCGTTTCCATTCAGCCATCGCAAATTATCAGATGACATAATTGTTCTGCAAAATAAAGTAGTATGATCCCTGAATGCTCAATCACCTCACTGGTTTAATTGCCTAGTAACCGACGCGTACAAAGTACACTAAGGAGCTAGGGTGAAAATAAGCGATGCGGGGGCGCAGATGGCAGAAACAATGGCTTGCCCGTACGGAGCACCAGCCCGCATGTCTAGTTATAGGCGATATCAACTTTCATAGATGAGATAAATGGATATGAATACGAGATTAATTCAAGATTGATATTCAATAGCCGAAGTATTCCCGTTCCAACAAGCTGGTAAATAGAGCCAGTGGTGCCATAAAGCATAATTTCCCCTCATTCTATCCCTTTTCCGGCTAAATGGCTTAGGGCTCGGCATAGATGCGTCCGGATCAACATCAGATATGCCATGTTTTCGGTTGATTGATAGCCCGTGTGACCGTGGAAGTGGTGGAGTGCTGTGTCTAAGGCTTCCCCAGAAATCTAATTCCCCACATAATCCGGGGATGCGGAGTAAACAGAAAGCTTCGGTGAGAAACATTTCTTATATCCCATAAGCATTCCACAGAAAGCTTGTCAAAAAGTCTTAGGCTTGGAACGGTTCTTGATCGCATTCATACTTGACATCTTTTGCGAAATGGCCGAGCATCAGGAAGACGTTGCCGATAAAACCACCACTACTGTGATTGACAACAAAGACGAAGAGAAATATGCTTCTGCCGTCGACACCTTGAAGGGAGCTCAGAGAGCGACCGATGATGAACATGAAATGACTCTTCGTGAGGGTATTCGCAAGTACCCCAAAGCGGTGTTTTGGTCAGTTTTGTTCTCGATGGCTTTGATCATGGAAGGATTCGATCATGCATTCGTCAGCGGTTTCTTTGCGTTCCCTGCCTTTCAAAAACGATATGGCGAGCTGCAGAGCGACGGCTCTTACCAGATTCCTGCCGATATACAGTCTGGTATTAGCAACGGTGTCAATGCAGGTGAAATCATTGGTCTATTGATTAATGGTCTTGTCGCTGACTGGATTGGCTATCGTTGGGTCATGATGGTCTGTCTTACTCTCATGATGGCCTTTATCTTTCTTCAATTCTTCGCTACTAGTATCTATATGTACATGGGAGCTGAAATCCTACTGGGAGTACCATGGGGTGTTTTCCAAACTTTGTCAACCACATATGCGGCCGAGGTATGCCCCAATGTACTTCGACCGTATCTCACAATGTTGGTGTCGCTTTGCTGGAGTATTGGCTATCTTCTTGGCACTGGCGTGCTGCGTGCGTTTCTGTCATCAACTGGACAGTGGGCCTACCGCATCCCGTTTGCTCTTCAATGGGTTCTACCTATTCCTCTCGCCGTTGGTATCTTCTTCGCACCCGAGTCACCATGGTGGCTTACTCGCAAAGGTCGCACCGAAGATGTACGCAAGGCACTACATCGTCTACGCTCGAAAGACAGCTCGGAAGCCGAAATTGAGGACACGATCGCTATGATGGAGCATACAGTCAAAATGGAAAATGAGATGAAGGCATCTAGTTCATACTGGGATCTATTCAAGGGTGATAATCTGCGTCGCACGGAGATCACGGTGTTCACTTATCTCATCCAAGAGCTCTGCGCCCCACTAGTCTCCTACATTGTGTACTTTCTGGAACAAGCTGGGCTCACCTCAGCAGCCTCCTTTGACTTCGGCATGGGAGAATACGCACTAGCCATTATTGGTGTGTTTATTGCATGGTATTTGGTTCCGAAGACTGGCCGTCGAACACTGCTACTCACCGGTACGGCATTCATAACATTGACAACTTTCCTTGTTGGCTTCCTAGGAATTCCAAGCATCAGTACCCATCCAAACATTGGCTACGGAATTGGCAGCATTCTTCTGATTCAATATTTTGTTCTTTTCATCACAATCGGTCCGATCATCTACACCATCGTCACGGAGATCCCATCCGGCTTCGTTCGCACCAAAAGTGTCGCTCTCGCCCGTGCAGTCTATAATGTTGGTGTTCTTGTTTATGGCCAGCTCATTCCGCACATGGTTCAAAACGCCGCTTGGGATTGGGGAGCAAAGAGTGGATTCTTCTGTGGAGGTATCATGGGTATTGGTTTTATCTGGGCTTATTTCCGCCTTCCGGAGACCAAGAACCGAACATTCGCTGAAATGGATATTCTTTTCAAGAACAAGGTTCCGGCGAGAGACTTCAAAAAGAAGAAGGTCGATATTATCTCCGAAACTGTATCAGACGAATAAATTACGTGATAGTATGTACGGGTTGACAATGAATCATTGTCATAAAGTTGTTTATCATGTACTACTACAACTTGAACAAACATCATACTGATATGTGTAGTAGACTTATAGTACAATGCAGATGTGGGTACTATATTGGGACTCACACTTTATGTGACATACTATTAATACCAATCCCATGCATCTCTCAATTGGCTTTGCGCTGTTTGCGTCGATAAAGCTTGAAGCTCCTCCGTCTTGATTAAGACATCTAATAACGCTTCTTGTTCAAATCTATCTGTAACTCTATCGCCACCTATTAAATGAAGTCGTTAGGACTGTGCGTTTTTCGTATTGTATAATTGGGTACTTACACATCGACACTCCCATGCAGGCAGTGATCGGCCCAGGTGCTGTCTTATTCGAGAAGCCAATGCCACACAGGCTGAACATATTCTTCTTGATCTCCTCCTGTGATTAAAGTCAGTCAAGGGAGTAGTGCCCGAGATCACTGGAATGTGCAATACCTCTATTTCAGCGACTGCCTTTTTTTGCTTGGGCCCCATGCGAGGGACCCGTGGATCAAACGCAGCGAGAAGAATCTGGGCAAGATGCCAGTGTTGAATCGCCGTCACTGCGTTTAATTCATCGTCAGTACGCTTTCTAAGAGAATCGGTTAAGGATACATAGTGATAATACCGTGACAGTCGCCCAAGAACCATATTTGAGGAAATACTTCCTTTTTCGCGATGTCAGGCGCTTGGTAATATATCGGGTTGAAGCTCGGTGGCTTATAAGCATACCACTCCTCGCTGAACTTAATCAGCCTCTTATAAGACTCCATCCGTCGAGACTCATTTCCATAACAATAGGCTAAAATTTCGGCACAGTGTAGAACTATGCGGTTTGTCCATGTGGAATCATCCGCAGGTTCCATTGTCTTGTAATTCGACCCATCAAAGCAATGGAAGTCAAATTGAATACATCGTTGTTGAATAAATGCCGCGTGAATCTTCTGACGTATTCCTACCCAGAAAGCGGCGTTTTGGAGACCACAACTGTGTACTGCCGGCTCAGACTGAGCAGCGAGGAATAAGAGGGTACCTTTGAGATATGTCTCGTCATCGGCTCCAACAAGAGGTGCTTTTTATAAAATTGCTGTTAGAGTAGCAATCCACAGAGATTGAATGAAATGGAATATCTCACCATCTAACTCTTCATAGAATCTAAGAATTACCGACGCTGCTAGAAGGTTCTCATCTTTAACTTCAGATGCGTCGCCGGATAATGCCATGAGTTGCGAAATGCAGAGGTTTTGATACTCAAGCGCAACCTCAGGTCCGATATTTGGTCTTCTGTTTTGCATTGGCATTTTACTTCGAGCTTCGAGATTGTTTCGCCGACTGATATGCCGCGCAGATGCTGAGAAAATCGCGTAGAGGAGAGCTGGGCAACCTGCGGCCCTGTGGGGAGCAACTGTAGCAAAATGCCTGTCTAAATCACAAGTATCGAACTAAAATATAAATCAATCAAAACAATATTTACCTAAGACAACGAATTTCGATGGCACTCACCCATTGCGCAAGTTCCTCTATGAAATATCTCATGAGATATGCCTCTTTGACTTCTTGGTTGAAGAAATCGGCGATGAGCCCTGGCGATGACTCGATGGAGATAACAGAAGTATCTTGTATTTTAGGGGCACTCTCCACATTGTTGTCACAGTCCAAAGATGCGTCTAGGCATAGCTCTGCCCAATTCGAATTTGAACTGCCTTGCGGTATGGAACTTAATTCTTCGAGTTCATATATGGGAGATGGTGAGATACCGCCCTGTGACGATGAGATTGTAGAGCCAGCTTCAATTTCAGTTGACTTTCCATTGGATAAACCAGAAAGCAAAAACGATTCAAAATGACCATAATAATTTGCAAGGTCTATAGACTCATCAACAAACTGGAATCCTGTATAAAATAACTTCAATGTTAGAAGTTCATGAGATTGAAGGATATTAGTCCGAGTAAAGCTAACTTGAGGTCGATATACGAAGCCAGGGCTGATCGTCAGAGAATTGACCCTCGGCAGCATTCTTTATCACTAGGCCTGGAAATTCACATTTCTTATCCAATCGTTGACATCTTCCACATGTAGGCTTTTTCCCATCGCCTAATTACACGTGAGCAAAATTCTGTATGGGTGTGGCCATCAAGGAGTATCTAGGTTGATTACATTTGAGATGTCTTTCTGCAATAAAACTGTTAAATGGGTAGACTCAAATCAAATGATTGATTGATGAAATTTGCTTACGTCGGCAGGTATGACTATGAGAATTTCCACAAAAACATTAGCCTCCATCTTTTGTGATCGCAGCATCATTTCACCCACCATGGGCCCACGCTCGAAAGGGGCATTTCGTTTCTTGTTCTCACTATAACTGTCGAGATTTTCCAAAATGTTAATAATAGGCGATTTTCGCCCTTTGGCTTTCGGCGACCTTGGGATCCAAAATGATTAAGTACTATCGGCAGGCCCACTGCATAGATACCCCGCAACGGGGATATTTCCCTGCCGTGGCGCGCAAGGCAAATCTCCCCGAACCTGGTTTTTCCCCGCAACGCCTTTCAACTTTAATTGAAGCGATCTTCATCTGGGGTATCATGAAGCTCGAAAGCTTACACAAGTAATACATATACCAAGATTGAATGGAAAGGGGTAAATATTTGAATTTGTACAGATCATGACATCAGTTGACCACTTCAACGCCGTCCCAATGCTGCTTCCGGTCCATCCCGCATAAAACACCCAGCCGCCCAGTATTTGAACAAATATGAAGACATGTAGATACAGGTGAGATTAATGAGCAATTAGAGAAAAGGAAAATGGTTGAAAGAAAGAAGGTAATAAGCTACAACGGGCTTACGCCCGAGCGAAAGGCCGAGGTTTCCAAGTAGGGCGATCGAAACCTACTTGGGTTTGTCTGCCTCCGGGGGTGGGAGAGCGAGGTGGTTTTCGGAAATCGGGATATAAAGCAGTTTCCATGTCCATTAAGACAGCTCGCTGAGGCTCTGGTGAGGCCCAGCCATTCGCTTTGCCTCGGGATTTCACTGAAGAACGTGGGATGGGAGCTTTGGTGGTAGTCGTGGAGCTTGATTTCTCTTTGATGATCTCACGTAGTTCTTTGTCATCCTTGGTGATTTGAGCTTTAATCAGGGCGACATCATTGGATGCTTGGAGGGCGGACATGACAGACTCGCGCGGTTCGTATGTGTATTTTTCGGGAGAGGGGGGCGAAATGGGTGTGATAGAGGGATCCAAGAAAGCCTGCTGATCTTTGTCTAAGAGCTGGGCAATGTCCAAGGTTTCGCCGTGGGGGATTTTGTGAGGATGAGAAGGCGTGATACAGTCCATATCGACTTCTTTGCGTAGCACATGATCAACATCAACGGCAGAAAAGTAGGCACAGGATTGAGGCAGGTCATCGATTCCCACTTGTTGAGAAAAGATGGCACGCGTCCAGACGTTGGCAATTTGTAATGCCATAGCTGCACGATACCTATCTTCATCCTTAACCATGTAGCGGATTTCGTCATGGACTGTAATGGCTAGGCGAGCTTGGATGTTGAATCGTCTGATCAGATAGTCCATGCCAACAATCAAAAGGTGTAGATAGTCAACACCGGAAGATTGAATGGCCCAGTTAATACGAGATGTCATGAAACTGCCCTTATTGATAAAGCGGCGCATGAGAGCTTCAGTAATACCAGCGCCAAGAGCGGGAGTTCGCGGTCTTTCTTGGTCGGCGAATTCCTCCAACTTATTGAACACAAAAGATTCGGTGCCGCCTCGCCAAAAGGGTGTTTCGCTGAGGAGGCGTCTTGAGGTTCGCGTACCCTTCGTTTCCTTGTATAGGTTGGCGGCTGTCTCTTGTGTTTGCCGTTCTGTCAAGGTTGGATTGAACTGACGAAGGAGAGTGGCAGCAAACCTGACGCCCGCGCCGTAAATGCGCCCATAGTTGAACACTTTGGCATCATTTCGAGAGATGCCCAAGATCTGCGCACTTCGAGAGTGCAGGTCGGTACCTTGAGCTTTAGAGCCTTCCAAGGTCATGAATCCGATCGCGTTTCCTCCATGTATCTGGAAGGAGGCATCCCCAACTAAGCTGGCAATCCATAGTTCCTGTGAGTCAACATCGGCGCCCACAAACGAGTGTCCCGGTGGTGCCTTGATCATAGCCTTGAGCTCTGAGCCAACGCGGTTTCCTTTGGCATTACTCGCCGTAAGCCATGTATTCTCCACAGCACGACGAGTGATCGTTCCCATAGGAATTACCTGAGGCAAAATAAACCCTATGCGATTATCGTTCTTGTCGGAAATGTCCCCCTTTTGGATTTGGTCTTGATAGACTACCATCTGACTCATGATTCGATCTCGGGCGCTGATCCAATAAGAGCAAGAAGCATTCATTTCCAAAGCCTCCTTGGCAAGCTCGTACTGAGACGATAAGATCCCACGTTCGAAATACTGCATGTAGCCTTTACCCAAGGGATTTGTACATCTAGCCAGAGGGCCATCCTTGTGTGGAACTTTGAAGTAGGCGTTCTTCCTGTCATCTCTCAATTGCACATTCTTTTCTTCGGTCATGTCACAAAGGACAACAGGTTGATTTTCATATTTTTTTACTTGGTCTCGGGGAACTCTAAACGTCCATCCATGTTTGTCAGACCAAACTAGGGGATAGCCGTCCCAGGATAGCTTGAGCAAAATAGGCGCAATTCGGGTTCGCACAGTCAGATTAATGTTGGCGGTGCTTGAAGGGAACAAATCTTTGTACCACTTGGGCATCCCGGGCTTCTTCTGCCGCGCTGCTGGGCGTGGAGGGTCGTTCTTCTTTTTTCCTTTAACCATTTTGATTTCTTGGCCAGACCAATCCAATTGCTGTAACCAAGGATCATTTGTATAAACATCCGCCTGGCCCTTAGCTTTCAATGCTTCATTGCATAGCTCAAGTAATTTCCGCTGAACAGCGTCCAGGCGTTTATGATATGTTTCCTCAGCTTGAGTGAGATATTCCTGCCATGTCTGATTGACAGGAAGAATAACCGAAGAGAGGTGTCGCAAGGCGCCAAAGCTGACGGGATGGGGGCATGTTTCGAGGAAGTTCGGAAACACTTTGCGGTAGACACGATGTGTAATTGCCACATCGGCTGCGCAGTAGTCTAGGAGCTCCTCGAGTTTTGTCAAAAGTGATTCTCGATCAAGCTCTCCGAAAAAATCCCGTTGTGCCTTGTCGATAGTCACGTCGCAATGAAACTTTGCCACGTCGCGCAAAGAATTGACCGAGCTTCGACCCACCCACAATTCCTCTTCCTCTTCTCGGAGCATATTGTTCTCAAGAAGAGAAGCCAATTCCATAGAATTGTGTTCGCTGGCAATTTTGTCGCGGAGGTCTTTGTTCTTCTTGTGGCGCATCCATGTCGGTCTTTGTTGAGAACACATGCCGTTCACGGCTACGTGGAGTGACATTGTGTCAACAAAAAAGTTATTAGACTGGCGCATATCATATTCCTCAAGGACACGAGCTCGATCGTATCCAATATTATGACCCACCACTATGCGCGGTTTTGATGGGTCGCCGAGTGGTATCAAATGAATCTTTTCTTCCGTTTCGCCCAAGAGCCATGGCGAAATCCATGCGTACCAAGTAGTAGGACTCACAGCACAAGCCATCACCGCAAATGAATTATCCTTGTACATGACCTCGGTATCGAATGTAAGCATAGCTTCGTCAGGCGCATCCACGGGCTCCGATGAGCCATCTGAGTTGTATTTCGTCCATCCGCTGCGTTTCTCCCATTTTCGGGGCTGCGCGGGGCAGTTCACGGTTGCGAAGTGCTTTGCGTATGTGAGGTAGGGCTCCGACGCATCCATGCCGAGTTTATAGAAATGTTCGTCGAGAGTCTGTCCTTGAAGTGGTGGCAAATCAAAGGCGATTGGGGTTCCCCCTGATTGAGACTTTCCTAAGAGGTCATGTCTAGCCAGATGGTCCTTAGACAAAGCAACGAGTTCCGGATCCGGGACGCGACCCTTCCTTGGGAAGACCTGAGGGTGTACATAATCGCTGAGCTGCTGAACGCCAATCTCGTTGAACCTAGGGGACGCGGGGACTTCGCTGCGGTTAGTGGGATGTTATGATGTGGGCGGGCGCAACCTGCCTTGATAACAACGGACGACATACCTTGGAGCGATTTTTTGAGCGGAGATTCATTACCAACAGGGTTACTGTATTGACGGTTAAAATGCACAACTCTGGGGAATTCCCATAGCTGCGCATGAAGCGGCGCTGGCCGCAACTGCAGGCGCGCAGACCTCACAAACCCCCTGGCATAAGGCGTGTAGAAGGAATGGCAGGATAACATGTTCTGTGAGCATAAAATCAATATTGAAGTGCAATCAGGTCATGATATCGTCAACAAGACTGCAGCCCTGGGCTGCCACTTGACAGGGTGTGAGAGACAATTTGTAAGTGTAAGTTGGTCCTTGCTTTCCAATCTGCATTATCGCTTTCCTATCGCGATATCTGAGCGTCATGTCCGGATATCGGATTAACTGTATATCCGGCTCTTATCGATTGCCACGATAACAACCGCTAATCATGAACCTAATCGCTTTTAAACTTACATTGTATTCTTTGGTGCTGCTGGTCATTATTCCGATCCTTGTCTTCTTCATAAGCCCGCTCTCACCGGCTTACTTCTTGTCTTGCTAGAATTTTGTGTCACCTTTCCCACCTCAACATACAATGAGTCGCAGGGATTCCGTCGTTGACCTTACCTCTACACAGGCCCATAATTTGCCATCATCACAGGCAACATCCCGTGGCGTTAAGCGCAGGCGAAGTAGGGATGGGTCATATCTTTCAATTTCACCCGAGTCTCAGGGCGAAGATATCGAATCCATCGATCTAACTGACCCACAGGCCAATTCATCTCTGGCCAAGACGCTCGCCAAGCAGCGTGAGGATGCTATCAAAGCCCAGCAATCAAAAGACGAAGATAAGACGCATTCTATACTCGAAGCCTACAAGTGCCCTGTATGCATGGATACACCGGAGGATGCAACAAGTACAGCTTGTGGTATGTTCTCATCGCCTCCCTCTACAGCTTATCATTCTTTTACTTATCAGCTCTGTACTATAGGACATTTATTCTGCCGCCGATGTATAATCGAATGCCTAAACCGCGCCGACGATCAAAGAACCGATTCATCCAAACAAATAAGAGGCACTTGTCCTGTGTGTCGGAAATCTCTCACCAGGAATGAAGCAGCTGGACCTCGAAGAAGCTTGATCCCTCTCCAGCTCAAGCTAATGACGAAGAAGCGCAACGTTATCCAACCCACCGAAGCTTAGTCCATGGAATTTGGTGATAGCATTTACACAGCACTGCATACTGAGGCGTTGAAAGACTGATTATATTTTGCCTACGAGGGATTTGAACGCATTATGAAATGATTTACCATGACAGTATCTCCTGAGTAGAAAAAACCTGCCCAAGCCCACATCGGGCCTCATATGAAAAACCAAATCAACTACGTCTCTGGCCTACGCAGTTTCCTACATGGATATGATCTTGTGAGTGACGAGGTATCTATTTGTTACAGGGATTCGGAGAGTGTGCCTAATAATACATGCGGAAATAATCAACGTTTCCTTCAAAACATGGTACCCAACCTTGGAACGAGATTGTTCGTAAATGATTCAACACGAAGTCTTATCGGGCGGCGTATCATTCAACCCACTCATACTCAGGGAGAGGATAACTTTCCGCGCTGCTAAATGCAGCACCAAAAAACTTCTCGATCATTTCCACAAGCTTAACCCAACAAAGGAAAGCAAAAACATGGTTTCTCAGCCATAAGCCCCAGGCCGTCTGTGGTCCGAGGATTGTTGAAAAGAATGAGGGGACTTTTTGCATCTCCTTGATCAGCGGCCTCATCTCCGTCTCATATCCCTCAAGGGCCTTGCTAATATCCCCCTTGTGTTTGCAAACCTCGCCTGCAAGTACATAGGCGCCGGCCATAGCAATAGTGGTTCCAGTCCCGGTAGGCCCCGGCGCATATCCCGCATCTCCGACGAGGACAAAGCGTCCATTAGATAGAGCTGGGAGTTTGACCTGCATGAATTCGTGAGCGTAGAAATCCTTAGACTTCATCATGCATTCTAAAATTTCGTCGCACTTCCATCCTACCCCATGATAATACTCATAAACATATTCCTTGACAGCTTCTTCTCCGCGTTTCCTGGCCTCCCGGAAAAGAAGAATGTTGTTTGAATCGGACTGAGGCTTAATTCCCATAAAGGCGACTCGGTTCCCACCACCTGGTGCATGTCCAGCACCCATAAAGCGTCCCCCGACCGCGCTGTATGCGTGACCAACTTTACTTCCATCGAGGAAGTCCTTGTCAAGGGTGCAAAAGGCGGCCCAGCTGTTCAAGGAGACGGTGTAGTCTCTAACTCCGCAATCAAGGCCAATAGCTCGTGTACTGGATGTAGCTCCGTCACACGCAACAACAAGATCAAACTGTGCCGTCGAAAGTTTCCCTGTGAACTCAACTGTAACAGGTCCATCTTCGTTCGGATTTTGCTGAATTGAAGCGACTTGCTCCCCAAAAACGTATTCGACATTTCTATGACTTGCTGTCATGTCATATAAGATCTTTCCTAGATCTCCACGTAGAATCTCATATTCAGATATGAGTGATTGTTTATCTGGGTTGCCGCTTGGTTTGATAACTCCATATGGTCGTCCATCAGAGCGAACAATGCTGATACCATCTAGCTCCCATCTTTTCGCTCGAACGCTAGTTTCCATGCCTGGCATTTTTCGCATAACAGTAACGCCAGCTAATCGAATATCAACATTTTGTCCACTGGTACGCAGCTCTGGAAAACGCTCGATGACAGTAACCTTAGCTCCAGCTTTGGCGAGCCAGTACGCCGCTGTGGGGCCTGCAATAGATGCGCCCACAACAAGAACATTTAATTGAGGCATACTCATGGGGGTTGTTTTGAATTGAAGAAAAACTGTGAAGACGACTTGGCACTGGTAATAACGCAGCTTTAAGTACCAGCGCATGGGGGCCCGCCTTGCATTGCAGTGCTATACAACCTCGGGCGGTAGTCGGGCCCGAGCTTGTTTTGACCCCGAGCCTAAGGAACCTTGAACAAGCCAAAGCAGGGCAAAGAAACCAATGATGACTCATTCTCGTAAATCTGACGGCGTGATAAGGATATGAGGAGAACTGAATCTCCGGATTCGTATTTCTGTTTGGAGGCAGGAACTGTGACTGAACTATGAAACTCTAATATTTATCATTATGGACGAGGTATCTCAGATTATGTACAGGCGCTTTAGCCAAGAAAACTCAAAAAATGCAGGTTAATTTCACTAAGCATACGATGCCCACCCTATTCAATTAAAAAAATCCATGTTAGTCTTTGAGAAGGTAGCATATGCAGGGAACTAACATACCACTGTATAGGACAGCAAGGTTTCTTTCGTCTGTTGCCTGCTGAATGAGTTCGTTCACAGTAGCTGTAACACTCAATGTTTTGCTCAATTTCTTTGCGACCACTGTTAAGGCTCTATCGGCCTCGCTGGGTTCGTTTGTCGACGATTTTTCTTCTGAACCAGGAACGACAGGTGGGCCATTGTCCGCGTCTTGGTTATCCTGCATCTTTTTCATTCGCAGCGGTGATACGGTCCAGCTGTACAACGGATCGTACCGAAGAACATCGAGAATTGTCATGATGCTGTAGGACTCTTGTCGAAGTGCTTCCAGGGTGAATTCGCAGCATCGCCGGAAAACACCTTCTGTCTTTGTTATTCCAAATCCATCGACAAGGTCTCGAGTGAGTCGGAAAGGCACAACCTCTGGCACAGGTAGAATGCGACCTTGTTCAAATGCTACGCCGAGATCAATGTGTACAACCTCTCCTGTCTTCTCATCCAGTAGGATATTGTGACCATGGCGATCACCAAGTCCCAAGATATGACCTAGAATAGAAATCGCAGCTGTACTTCTGGTGTATGCCAGTCTCTTGCTAAACCAGTCATCGGGGTTGTTGAACTTTTCCATGAAGAAAAACTTCATGACTGGATGGAAGTGCTCTGTCACCTGTCGATATGTCCGTACACGTTGCTCAAGTGATCTGGTTTGCACATCTCCAATGTGCTTTCGACATGCGCTGGGCTTCATATCTTTGGGGAAATACCGCTGGTGTGCAGGCATCAAATAGTCGTGCAACGGGATTGTATTAGGGACAAATTCGATTATTCCCGCGTTAAGGGTCAATGGTAGAACTTTGTAGGTTCGGATACCTAGATTTCTTTGGCGAGTTGACTGATGGTCATTCAAGACGCTGCTCACTTGCTCGAAGACTTGCTCCATGATCGCGTCTTGGCGAAGATCATCATTTCCTCCCTTGTACTAAGATGGGTTAGTAAATCAACACGTTCGGTGGGGCATTTTATCTTACCAGTTGTTTATAGCGAATGCCATTAGATGCAACTGCGGTCACGATTTTCGGGGCGCTGACACCGGACGCAAGTGTGAATTCAGAGGAGAATTTGACAACAGCAGGAACTTGGCTGTAGTCTCGGTCTTGTCGGAGCTTGATTTTCATAGTGGGCGGCGGTAGTTTGTAGACTGCAACATCCTGCCCAAGACGTTCACCAGTTGGGAGCTTCTTCAGCGGAATCTTGGCGCCTGTCTTGAATTTGCTGTCCGGTTTATCAACTGCGAAGCGCACGTATGTGATATTCATATTGTGTACTGCGACCCAAGTGTGACCCATTTTGGGATCATTTTTCAAACGGTCCACTAATTGGTTAGCAGCACGGAATCGAGAGTGTGAAGATGGGTCCTTTCCTCCTTTAGACTTGCTGCTTGCAAATATCTGATACATTCCATGGAACGGATGCTCCACACAGATTTTGTAAACCAGCCCCGTGAGCAATTTCTGGAAATCATCAGAAACATCCAGTAGGCGGGAAGAGAGCTGGTTCATGAGTGGCGCAAATTTGTAGGTTGGGACCTCGTCAAGAAATTTAGACACGGCCACGTTTGCAATCTTGCTACTAGACTTGTCTAGCCAAAGTGCACAGAATCGGAGGGCATCATTATTGTAGGTGTCGCTTTCTCTCAATGCAAGGAGATAATTTTCTAGGCATCTCTGCAAAAAAGCCTCTCGACTCCGGAGAAGACGCTGGTATTCGCGGTCATCGAGATCGAACCACTGTTTGGCTTTGGCGCGGAAGTGTCGAAGAGACTCCTTCTCGCGACCTTCGGCGGTTTTCATCATATCATCAAGGCCAAGAAGCTCACTTTCTTTTCGATTTCGCAACTGTTCTACTCGCTTGAAGTCCTCCAGCCCGTCGGGGTTTAGCAACTGCTGGTCACAGAAAGTTGCGAAGCCATGGTACACTCGCCCCGCAGTTTCTCCCTCGGAGGCACCTTTCAGTTCTTTCACGGCCGGTGATAGATAATCTTGAAGTATTGAATCCGGTTTCTCCAGGCGTGCTTCGGCGACATGATGACCCTTGAAGAAAAAGTTAAAAATGCCAAAAAAAAAAGTACCAAATTATCGAACTTACAAGGGTGACAAGGAGCTCCGAGCGACTAAGGGGAATTGCTTGCTTGTGCAAGTCACTCTGTCCTTTGAGATGCTGTAACATTCGGATCGACGCCGTCATTTCACCTTGATCCCAAAGGACATTGGCCAGGTCAAATCTAGCGACTGCATCGATATTCATCCCTAATTCAGCACAAGGTTTGGCCAATCTTGAGAGAGTGATTGCTGATTTCAATGATGCCTGTGAGACGCCATGAATTCTTGTAACCTCAAGGGACTTGCGAAAGGCTTTTGCTTCAAGTATTCGCGACTCTGAAAGGCTCATGTTCATCTTGGATTGAAAAAGATCACTTCTCCTGATCGATGAGAATAATGCCTCGTGCCAACTCAGAATCTCTCCAACCTCTTGGTAGCTGTTTGCAAATTAGAATCAACACCGAAATTCCGAATGCTTCATGCTGGATTAATGGGGTTACCTTTCAGTTCTTAGCCAATTACTTCTGTCTACCATACGCTTCCATTCTGTGTCAACATCATTGAGTGATGAAGCACGGATCACGTCACTCATTTCAGTCATGATACCCAACGCGCGCATCCCATTCCGAATTTCTATTGCAGAGTGACTAGTTCCAGTCACAGAGTTCAACACGGTTAACAAACAGTCATCGATGCAATTGAATATCTCTGGGAATGAAGTTGATGTTTTTAAGCTTTGGAAAGCACGAAAAACCGTAGCCGATGGGGAATAATCTAATGGAGACACGGGTAAATCCCACTGTTGCAAGCTAGTTGCGCTTTGCAATATGCTATCTGAAGGAAGAGACGTATCCTTTGTACCACTGGAAGCCGATAGCATCGTACTAGCGATTCCCTGTAAATTGGTGGCATTCAGAGCTTTCACCACCCCGAATGGGTTTGCGATTCCCGATATTTGAATCTCACTGTCATACTCCGCGCTCTGGAATAAAAGATTTTTAAGTCCAGAGCCTTCATACTCAAGTCGCTCCATAACAGTGGCCAATGAAGACTTTTGCTGTATTCCATAAAAGATATCCGGGTCATCCACATGCTTGAAAATGTCATGAAGAAGCTCGCCTGGTGGTTCATATGATGCGACTGACAAACGACGCGATCCTGAGACAATTCTGGATGCTTGTATTTCGAGAAAGAGCAATGCGGTTTTCTCCAACCCACATTTATGGGCTGCTGAAGATGCTTCACCGAAATCAATGTCCACCCAGCTATCGCGCTCAACAATAGTTGATTCGTCTGGAACAGGTTGATTGCGAAGGTAGAGGATACAATTTATTACAACCCTAGCATGAGGCATCGTTTCTTCATGCACATCTTGCAAAATTTGCTTGAACTTGTCAGATATCTCTTGTCGGATCTGGTCTCTTTTTTCTTCTTCTGCGAGTAGCACATCGTGAACAATGTACGGCAGTAACTGGACAGCCAGAGAGGGAATCACAGTGAGAATATTTCGTAGTGAACCAATCACTGGGTCACTGGTAGCTACTCCGACCAGAAGAAGAGAAACTTCACAGGCCCAATCAACGACGGAGGTTTCCCGTCTACTCTTCTTGGTAGGGGCACGAAGAGTTTTTTCTTGTTCTGAAATAGTGATCTGTGGGCAGGAATATGGAACCCAGATCAGAGATTTCATGAGAGATTCGGGGATAATCTCTACACAGCCTTGGAAATCAGGAAACTTGGTGATTTTGCTAATTATCAGCTGAAGGGTACGTTCAATCAAACTGGATTCCACATGGCTGTGCAGTGGTAATCTCTCGCAAAGAATTTGAAGAATATTGGACTTGGACTGGCAAAGATCGTCGAGTTCTTGGTTGTCATCAAATACCTGGAACAGTGCCTTGTCCTGCTCTCGCAACAAGCTTTCGTCTATCTTGCCGGTAGCAGCAAATGAGCGCCCAATAAGCCGGGCTGCCCATAAGGAGTACCCAGACGCACCATCAAATTTGTCCAATGTATTCCAGAGGGAAACGACATGAGAGTGCGGGTGGAAATCATTGTTGGAACTGTAATCATGCTCATTTGAATTGCGTTTGAACTCAGGGCACAGCAGTGATAGAACTAGGTCACCGATTGACTGGCTCAACAAGGGTTGCTCAGAGTCACGATCTTTAAGCACCTCAAACACTAGTGCCCTTTCATATTGACCAGGAGCCGTATCATCGTGGGTAGAGAGCTTCTTGGTAAGATCCACGAGTCGAGAAAATGAATGCTTGATTGCTTCGCTCCAATCAGGCGATTGGTAATCCTCAATCGTGTCATCAAGCCACTGGTGGAATCTTTGAGAATTCGATAACACGGCTCTAAATTGACTCTCTTGGGTTGTACTTTCTGGGGTTGACATAAAAAGCTTGCGGAGAGTAACTGACATAGATATGAAAACTCCTGTCACAAATCCAGGGTGCCGCATTAAGTATGTCTTGCCAGCGTCAAAGAGGTACCAAAGGATCCCCAGAGCATCTTCACAGCAATGAATATCAATGAGAAAGGGGCGTAGGGCATTTAGTAGCATCTCAAGTGGGTAGTCTTCGAGCATTATTGGCCCAGTCAGGCAGACCAAGATTCTGATTTTTCGAATAACAGAGCATGAATGTAAGGATCCTAAAGCAGGATGTATTGACTCTAACAAGGAGCGACATACGTATGAAGCTAATGTGGATGTCCATATGGATTCTAGCTCAAATCCCGCACGTTTACAAACGAAGTCCAGCTCATCTAAAAGATAACGAGCCCGAAAAGACGGTTGCTGGTTCGCCGGAAGGGAGTTCAGGGGATCGCATTTACTAGCGATCTTTGACTGAATATCGAGCGCGTAAGCAAAGACAGGGCGCTTGGCGTATGCTCGCTCGATTTGGTCGTATCGATCAATGGACTTGAAAATGGTGGCGATTATTTGAGGGAGTTGGCTTTCTATTTGAGCGACAAACCCATTAGGTCCGAGGAGCTTTCGTAAATGGATTTCCGCGCCATCTGGCTGGCTTCCCTGGTCAGGGGGTGTGCAGATATCACGAGCGATGCTATAGGCCTCCGCTTTGTAGAATGATGCTTCTAAAAGCTTAGTATGGGGCTCTTCGAGGAGAGTCGCAAGTTCCTTGGTCTCTGACACTTTGCCACGCATCATCATTTGTCCAACAACTTCATCTTTCACATCCAGGAGTAACTCTTTGAGATCTGCATACCCGAAGATGCTGAAAGGAATAGAACTAACGGGTTGGGTTTCGGTCCATGTATAGAGGATTTGAGATGCAAAAAGTCGGAATAGCTCTCGCCCATCTTGCAGGCTTAAGGCAACGGAAACGGCATCCATGCACTTACGAGCATATGACAAGGAAAGTGGCACTTGACCTGGCGTTTCAAACATGTGGTAAATACTTCTTCGCAGCAACGTGTGCCATTCGGAAGCTAGCCTAGACAAGACGAACAAACGAACGGCAATTCCTTCAATCCAATCGGGGTCTCTAGGCAAGCTGTTGAGCACGTCATCAAATATCGCGTCATGGTCCTTGAGAAGAAACCTTTCAAACAGCGTTGGAATAAACTTCGCAACATTGAATTTGACCTGTGCGTCTCCCTCGTGGAGTATTGTGAAAAGGCTTGTGCGTGGTGATGGGAGGGACTGTGCACTTCCATATGAAGGGCATGCCCCCAAGACCGCCTGAATTAGCTCGGAGAGAGCTATATAAACCCTAGGTGATGCCCTTTTCCGCGCTAGAAGGGCCTCTAAGAACCAACCGTACAGGTCCATGGCTGAGTCATTCAAATCATCAGTCTGTGTGCCCGTCCAGCAAGCAACAAGACTACACATCACACGAATGGAAACGCCGTGCGAAGCTTCGCAGCGTTCCATCTCATACGATTGCAAGCATTTCTCCCCGACGTCTTCAAGAAGGTGGAGTAATTCTTCTCGACCGCACTTCATACAAGCATGATAGGCATCAGGCAGAATGTGGCGTGCAGATAGGACATCTGCCTCTCCAAGATCTGTCAAGTATTCAGCCAGGGTTGTTGATTTGGGTATCTCTGAAGTTTCAAAATTGCTATGTAGCCGGAGGAGAAGAGATATATGGATAGTCAAACAACGTTGGAACGATGCTGTGCCTGAGTGAAACGGTACAGATTCTCTATTCGACGCAAATATTGCCTGGTTGCCATCAGGCTCGGTAGAGTTGGGTATAAATTGATCATCCAAGTCCATGAGATCTGTTGATGCAAATTTGTTTGATTTTTGGGCTTTGCGTTCTTTCTCGAGGACTTCGGTTAGTGGCACAAGAAGAAAATAGATACCATTCCAAACAGTGGGTTGGGGTTCGGAGCACGAGAGTGAAGGGAGTATTGGATAAAATAATTCCAGGCAAGCCTGCAGAGAGCTGGACCCATGTGCATCCAGGAATTCACATATACTTAACCATAATTTTTGGCAACTCTGCTGTAGATCTTGCACCTTTGAAGCTAAGTCTTGCGGAAGGTATGCCACATAGAGGCCACACACAATGCAAAACGACGTCAAGATTTGAAGGACTTCATTCGTGATATGATGTGACTTGTCCTCGGAGAATAAATACCATGCCTGCAGAAAGTTTTCCGACTTCGATCGTAAAAGCTCTATTATAATCTCATCGTCTGGATCATGTCGTATCTGCATCGTCAAGGCCCAGTTCCCATCTCCGGTCCATGGTGTCCAATAATCGAGTAAAGTCTTAACACTGAAAATGTATTGTAGAATGTCTCGGTTCTCATGAAAGAAAAACCAGGCCTTTGCAATTAGCCCCGGAGGCCCTGCTTGTGGAAGATATGGAAGATCGTAGGGGCGATTTGTACAGGCTAGGAAAAGGTTAAGCAATTCCACTGGTCGTGCAAATAACGCGACATTGGCTGTTTGAATTCGATCTGTCACTGTGCCAATCGTCCAAGCCTCTCTGATCCAGCTACACATTTGCTTCGAAGAGCTTTGAGTGGTACCTGGATTCAATTGCGCTTTCTTCCGTGCAATCAGTGCCCACAATTCTAGCGAAGCCTCTGAAATGGCAGAAGGCCCATTCAAATTAGCAGAGGACAGCATCGAGCGAAAAGCTTCTGTCATGGCTGTGTACTCCAATAATTCCCTTTCTAAGATAGAGGTCATTAACTTGCAAGCAGCACGCGAAGTGACTGAGGAAGAGAATGAACGGATTGAGAGGTCAACTGTGCGTGGCCAGTGCTCCTTGAGAGCAGGCCGATTGGCATCACGGCCTCTAGCGATACTGTTCAAAGCCATCATAGTCCAAGACGCTATTGTCGGGTTGTCATCGAGAATATTAGGGACTAGTCGCCGAGTCAAGTCTTCCTTCCTCTCTATTTCGATCTCAATCTCAAGAAACTGGATTAACTGCAAAGCACAAATCCTTCGTGTTCCCGTTGCAGATATAGCGTCTTGGGTGACTGCCTCTATCACGGAGCTGATACGCTGTCTTTTGTGTAATGATTCACCGCCAGACTGATATCTCAATGATACTTGGCTGGCGTTGGCTTCCAACAACCTCAACAGATGGGCAATGACCCAGAGAACCGTCCAGTTATGTTCTGATCGGGCATTTCCAAAGCGAGGACCGTATACAATTTGGTTTTCATTCGCCATCGTTTGCACAAAGACTATGTCATCGATTTGGAGCAATTCCTTTTCGGGTCGTTTCAGGTATTCGGAGTGTAAAGACCCCGTCAGTCCTTCTATTGAGTGTACGAGTGACTCTGTAAGATGGTTGCTAGTTCGATCAAATAAGATAACAATACTCAGCATTAAGGTAATGAGGAGCTCGTCTTTCAAAGTGTTGATCTTAGTGACCCATATGCGGCGTATTACGGGTATCAAGCCCAAGAGAGTTTCTCTGGCCAGCTGGGATTGGTCGAACAAAACTTTTGAAGCGACTGTATTGATGCTACTGAATGCAAGCTGGTGTGAATTTCCAACCATGAGAGATGGCGATTTAACAAACTCCACAAGGCCTTGAAGTATGTTTTCAGCTGCCGCCTGTACCGGCGCACTGGGGCTAGCGGTCAACAACTGTATACATGTGACAGCTTCACCAATGACATTCCTATCGCCTACATGCTTTTCTCGAGTAGCTGGGGCCGGGGTCGACCTAGAGGGGGTGGAGCGGCCGTCACTGCCATCCGGCCCTTCATCGAAGGCGGACCGTTGCCCGCTGCGAATGGTAAGTTGACTCTCGTTTCCCTCTTGTAGGCCAATGGCAGCAAGGCAGAAATCTATCAGTTTCTCCCATTCCGTATCACTGAGATGCTCGGTGTGAGGAGGATAGCGTAGGAGAGATACCAGACATTTGGTATAGTCGACACTCAGTGGTTCCCATAGTCCCTCGCCTGGAAGAGGGATCGTTTCGATGATGTGATCAATAATCGCACGAACGGTCTTGGTTCTTAAGTTTCGCAGGAAGATGTCAACTGCGGCTCGCAAGACTGACGCACATGTTGACAATCGGGTGGCAGAAGGGCTTCTGGAATTCGATCTCTGGGCTCGAATATAAATCGATCTTTCTGAAGCAACAAATCGAAAAAGGGACTCGAAGATTTTGTGACAGGCTTTATCGCTAAGGTCTGAGCTAGAATGATCCAGTTTCGCATTAGTCTTTGGATCGCCAGGTACTGCACGTATACTCATTTACTTACAGTTTGGGGCTTTGTTTGTTTTGCTGGAAAATGTGTTTCAGGTCTAATCAATTCATTAGGAACAGATTACGCGATAATATGAGGTTAAAGTATTCCTGAACAAACCTGCTAGCCCATCAGCACGTTCCTTTTGCTTGTCTGAAGACAAATACCCCAGTGCCTTTTCCAGAAGTATCTCTCCCATTGTGTTGTGAGAAGCGAAGCCAGCCACGAGATTCCGTAGCCATCAGACGCTGATCTCTCTGTAGATTCCCCGACCAATTATTCCCCTTTTGTTCAATATGCCATCGTCCACATCAAAGAAAGATGAGATGCTGTGTTGTCGCGCCTGTCGAAAGTTGTTTGTGGAGCGGCAGAACCGCCGATGACCGCCCGGGATTTTTGATCGCGTTCCGCCTTCTGGAACAACAGAGCTCTGAAAGCTTCCCTGTCCTCACTTTTTTCACCCCGCGCCATTATGGCTGAGCTCCACGAAAATCTGGCAGGCCTACGTGGCCTGTACAAGGATCTCTCAGCAATCTCGGACTCTTCGCTGGGCAATATTGACCGGCTTATGTTCGAATTGGGCGTCCATATTGACGATTTCCGGCAATTGTTAGACAAGCCCGCGAAAAACGACCAGAGTCGTCAACAGGTTCTCTCGGGTCGGTCAATACCGTCTTGTCAATTATTTTGATTATTGGAAATTTGTGCTAATACAAAATTGTGTTCCATATAGGGAAAATCACTGTTGCGGATGAAGATTACCAAATCAACCAGGATTTCCAGCAAGGTGCTCTGCAGCTCGCAGATGCCTTGAACATCGACGAGCTCGAGGCGGCGGGGATGTTCCTGGTTTCCCAGGAAGATTCCCAGGTCCTGGATCGACCACCTTTGATCACAGCCATCATGCGATTTCACGAACGCCGATCGTTTCTTCTGGAGTGTCTACGCATTATTATTCGCGAGTCAACACGGGGGGATGAGCAACCTACAGACATCACAACTATCACAACAAATGCTTTGAGTGATATTCTGCAGATTAGAGACAGTTCTCTCCAGAACGCTTCGGTCTTCTCGAGGAAAGTTTTACGGGCCATGGACGACATCGAGAAATGGCTGCTACTTCTTGCAGATCAAGCTCAAAAGGCTTCTGTAGTTGGCCAAGAAGGAGATGAAGATATCATGGAAGCTATTGAGTATCAACGTCATAGCCTACATCAACAGCATGAATCGCTTGGAGCCATATCCTTCTATCTATTCAAATCTTACGCAGGCCCTGAGGATTTCCGCGCCCTCGTCGCTCAACTGAAGAACCTGGAGCGATTCGACGGCTTGCTGATTCATTATATTCCCGTCGCGGTTGTGTCTTTTGATCGATTTGGCTCTCCGAATGGAAGTATCAAGCGTACTGAGGCTCGGAGTTTGCATTCACTCATCACCTCCACCCATGAATCTCGGCCCTGGAAGCTACCAATTTTCCATGCAGCTATCATAGCTGTATGGTTGTCAGCCTATAGTGGATGGTACTTTGACGATGGACCAGCCTCTCCTATTCCTGGTGTTGACCCGGAAAAGGAAGCAAAGGAACGAACGGACATGTTCATGGCTGCCCTAGATGACGGCGCTCTCGATTTCATGCTTGCTATTTGTTCCAGTGTCAATAGCGAGGAATGGGCTGATCCTGCACGGACTGAGCTTGTGGCGCTTCTACTCAAGGAAAGTGTAGTAACGTTGCCTGAGCTCGACTCTTGTAGTGAATACATGAAACACTTGCTGATGGAAAACTTTGAGGCATATGTGGAGTCATGCATTGCAAATATGCCCGACGCTGTTCGTTTGCTCAAATCAGGGCAGGACCGTCAGAGGTTGGATCAAATCACCGCTTTGAGAGACGGGTTAACCTCGAGTCTCCACCGCAACTTGGTTGAGGCTCGCACACACCTGGAGTCGCTTTTGATGATCATGTCGTTTTCTTTCGAACATCGACCGGAGGCTGCACGGGAATTCTGGGAAGACACTGACAGTAATCTCTACGGCTTTCTCCAATGGGCATCAAAGCGTCAGACAGTCCCTCGAGTGGGCGCTTTCTGCGAACTGCTCTGTTCTATCTCTCAAGGTGCAGATAATGCAACTTCAGCACATCAGTTTCTGCTGGAAGAAGATAAATTCATGGGCTCGAAATTGAAACGTTCAACAACAATGAGTTGGGCACAGATGTTTGCTGAACTACAGCTTTATGCCAGCAGAGTCACAGAAAAGCCTTCATCAGTTACTACTCAGCATCAACAAGGCATTGTGCGCAAGTCAGAGACGGTGGATATGAGCGAACCTGAGAGTCCCGTCATGCTGACTTGTTACCTCCGTTTAATGGGGCATTTATGCAAACAAAGTGAAAATATTCGAGGCTGGATGCTCCAGAACCAAGATTTTAATGTCGTTGAAAACCTGCTGAGGCTATGCAGTGGACCGATTCCGACACACCTGAGATCCACCACATTTGGCGCACTTTCAGCCTTGATGACGGACAGGAATCTCCCTTATGGCAATGAGATGTGGCTGCAGATAGATAACTATTTGTCTAGCGACATCCTGGCCTCCTTGTGTATCGGGAAGATGCCCCATGTTTCTAATTCAGGTCTATGGCGCGAGCAACAGGCTTTACAGATGATTGGAGAAAGCTTCGACCAGACTAATGCATTTGTAGTTTTGGTCAATTCGCTCATCGAACCCGCCCCGGACTCGAATGATGACTCTTTCCCACTTTCCTTCCCAGAGTCATTGGGCTCCGCTTATCGCATGCCTGGCGTTGAACCTTACATCGACTTCATCCTAGGACACGCTCTGTCCCGCAAGATTCAGGAACTCAGTGATTATCAATCTCGGCTGCTAACTTACAACTGCCTCAATTTTGTTTTGGCAAGCCTACGGTCCTTCAAGGAAGATCTTGTCACAGTCTTCAGCCAGCCATCGCACGCCTCTGATTCTGCTGCAACAAGCTCCGCGGTCGCCAGCTACGTTCGTCTTCACCCGTTTGCTCGCGTGATGGAATGGCTCTTCAATGAAGATGTACTCAAAGCTTTGTTCGCAACCAGTCAACAGAGCGTGGCGGATATTGCACAGGCGTCTTCCGAATCTGTCGTGGTTTTGACCCTTCTTCGAAGTATCGAGGTGATGAACCTGATTTTGGATTTACAGTCAACATATTTCAACATAGTGAGACCATTGGTCAAGAATCAAACTGGTATGAATAGAGTCAATGTTGCAAACTCGTCCCTTGCTTCTTTTGAAGACACTATGCTTAAAAACCTGGCTTTGGTGCCTGCACTGTGTCTATACTGTGGTACAGGGCATCAGCAACTGACCGTTACTTCGATGCAATTATTGGAAAAACTCACAAGCTCGCGCAAGCTCAACAAGATGTCGTCGCCGGGAATTACAAACTTACAATCCTCAAACAAAATAGTGGAGGTTCTTGCAAGCGAGGTGGACGTCGACAGCGTATCTCGCTCACTTGTGTCGCAAATGCAGCCAGACCCAAGAGAACTCGAATGGGGTGCGCTCACAGCTGGTTATGTTATTCGAGAGAGTCTCCTGGCATTGTTGAACAGTTGTTTGGGCATGATTACTGATCGCCCTACTGTTGCCCATCTTCTACTCGGCTTTGATTCTGTGGGTTCTATGCTTGATGTGTCACCAGATGGATTGTTCTCACAGCAGAGGTCTTTGTTGCATACGATCATTGGGTTCCTTCAGACTTACCCTGAGCACCTAGAGGGTAATTTTGTATCATGGACAATTCACATCAAGCGCATCGCGTTTGAAGTCCTGAGGCACTTGTGGTCTTCAAAGCTCGCGACCCAATTCACTCTCGGTGAGATGCGCCTTCAAAACTTTCTAGCGAGCATGTTCGCTGAGCAAAACATTGTCGGTCCTAACACTTCCTGGAACGGCTTGCCGGTGGTAACCGATGACTTTTGGTACACGGACGCTTCTTCGGCTTTGGCAGAATTTCTACTCTATAGAAGTCATTTGTTCACATATGCCGCAACAGAAATTCGTGCCGCGGCCAAGACTAGATCGCCCACACTGCAGGAAGGGATACTCTCCACACTGTTGGGTACCTCCATTACGAGTGACGGCGAATCTTTTAAGCATCCATCTGTGTTTGATCTTTTTGACTTCGCGGATCTAGATGTTTTTCGCCAATTCAACATGCCGAAGTTGGACTTGCTCAGCCATGTCGCCTCGAAGATCTGGGCAAGAAAATATGATGAATCGACAGAACTTTACAATATTGCCGAGGCTGAGGAGTTGATTCAAATTGAGAAGAAGAAGCTGCTAGCCCCTGGAACGACTCTCGAACAGCGCCTCGAGCAGCAATTTATAGCCGAGGCTGAAGAATTGAAGCTTTTCCTTCTCGCGACAAACCAAGCCCGACAAATTCAACACAACCGCCAGCTTGCTCTTGGCTCTTGGGCGGAGCTTATAACCACCACAATGAGTTGCTCTGTCATCGATGATTCAGCCAAACCCACTTTCATTTTGCATACCATTCAGCTGATTCTCCCCAAACTCGACAGTTCTCTCGAGAACGAGTCTGCGGAGACGATCCAGCTCGCCCGGTTGGCTGAAACATTAATCGGCAAGCTCACATCCGAGGTATCTGCAACCCTTGGCTCTCAAAGTGGCGATGTCATCGATGAGAAGCTACATCAACTCTTCCAGGTGTCTATGCGAGGAATCAAGTTGGCCCCAGTGGATGCGGCGTTGAGAGAGACACTCTATGGCATTTGCTCTCATTATATTTCCCGTATTACAACATCCGAATCCACTCATGATGGTCTACGAACGCAGAGCCAGCAAGTTGTTCGCGCATCTGGACCTTCTCTCGTCGAAAAAATCTGTGATGATGCCCATAATGGCCAGGAGAATTGTCAAGCAGCTGCTCTTCTGCTATTGAATTGCCTAGCATCTCTGGATAGCCGAACCGACTGTGTTCTCGCGGAGCTGATCTCACAGTCCAACTATCTTAGTTTGTTCCTTGATACCATCAGTGTTTTGCCTGAAGAACTGCGCAATCGCCCCGCGGCTGGTAAGTTACTCTCACTAAAACCTCTTCTGGAACTCGATACTCATTTTCTGTCTAGATACAACAATTCTCCTCGCAAATTGTGAATCACTATTGGCTTTGCTCCAGCTCCTTTGTTTAACCAAGAACGGTGCCACTGTTGTACTGAAATCTGGTCTTTTCGAGTCGGTGCGAGAGTCGCAGCTATTTGCAGCTGATCCTGACATTGGAATTGGTTAGTCTTCCTATTATCAAGTCTCATCATTCAGCACGCATTTTTACTAACCTGCCCAGATATCGACAATCCTGATGCATTGCGAAAGTTTTACGACCTCCTCCTTTCGGTATTGCGTGTTATTGTATCCGCGGTTTTCTCTCGGGGTATCTACAACGAGCAAATTAAGGTCCAGACTAGGGCTTTTATTGCTGAGAACCGCTCATGCATGGTGGGAGTATTCAAGCGATTCGCAAAAATCGGCGGCAGTGCCCCAGCTGATCACCAAAAGGTCCTTTGTGAGCTAGTCAAGGCATTCATGGCTCTTATCACTGCGACCGATTACTTGGACTTTGAAGAACAAGAAGTTCAACAAACTATTCGGCCTACCACCTTATTCTCATGAGGGTATATGAGGTAAGGAAGATGATTTTTTGTGTGTTGGTACGTACCTCGACGGAGCATGTAACATAAGTGGAGTGTAGGCTGTTTTTCTACAGGTTAAGCGATTTTCAATGTTTTCGAAGCAGTATTATTGATTTATGAACCTACTTCAATGTTCAAATACCCATTCCTATATACTACTCATGGGGTGTTCACCTAGACTCCCCGGCTTTCTCATACGTAGCAGTTCAGTTAATACACCTTAGTATTACTAGTACATAGTAGATCTCAACCTTCGAAGCTGGTACATAATGGTTTTCAAATTAGTACTTACTTTAAGTTGGCAGTCAAAGGAAGTGCTCTTTTTTCAGAGAGGAAAACCTTTGGGAAAAAATTTAATATGGAATATATATTGTATCTGAGATGAGTGCTGCCACCCAATACAAACATCAACCTCAAGCTGGACGCATCCCGACCTTCCAAGGTTGGATTTTGGAAGTTATCCCTCATCTATCCATGGATCTTCTGAGCAAGAACATTCTAGTAAAACAGGTCTAAAGTATGCCAATTTAAATATCTCAGACTGACCACTGCTTTTTTCTGTCACATATTACCAACTCTTGTGTTCTCTTAACCAACACGCCTCGTCAAGTCCGCCTCAGCTCCGCAATCTTATCGCCGTCGGAGCTAACCTCGCAGGGAGCCGTAGACGTCAATTCCCCTCACACCAACGTCAACCCGCACCTCTCCGCTCCGGCCGGGAAATGATCTATCACTACATTCCCTTCCTTGCCCAACCACACTCCGCAAAACCGGTCTAAATCTGGGTAGATGCCGCCATCCAGTGGGAACCTTGATCAGAGAAGCGGTAAGCGCAAATTGAGCGCCAAAAGGAAGCTTTCTGATCAAGGGGAGCCCTCGCAGCCGCAGTCTCAGAAAACCATCTCTGAGCTGCTATCGAAGAATAAACACTCACACGAATCCCTGCCTCCATCCTCCTCCCCAATCTCGAAGCGGTCCCGCATTTCCGTCTCCCCATCGCGCCCTTCCCCAGCTCTCTCAGTCTCTCCAACCAAGATGTATAACTTCTCTGGATCCCCGCCTAAGAATGGCAACGCCTTCGTCCGTACCATCCCTGGGCTCAACGCGTCGGCTAAAACCCAGCCCTTTAGCGCAAATAACACCCGCCAAACAAATTTTAATCCGAACGTCGGCGCCAAAAAGCTTGTCGTTAAGAATCTGCGAACGGGTCCTAGGGCAAATCATGAACCTTACTTCGATAAGATATGGGCACAACTTGATGGTGCTTTAACGGATATTTTTGAGGGCAAGCAACCTGGTGTTTCGTTGGAGGAGCTTTACAAGGGTGCGGAGAATATATGTCGACAGGATCGGGCGACTTTGCTGGCGAAGAAGGTCCAGGATAGGTGCATGGGGTATGTTTCTGGGAAACTACGTGATCATCTAGTCACAAGGACTGGTGGTGGAAACGATGTCGATAAATTGCGGGCGGTGATTGATGCGTGGTCCTCATGGCATTCAAAACTAGTACGTTGCTAGTGGTATTGATGAGATGAGATGAGATGATCATGGGCTAATTTTGGAATAGATAACTGTTCGCTGGGTCTTCTATTATCTGGACCAGTCATTCCTCCTACACTCGAAGGACTTCCCGGTCATCCACGAAATGGGCCTCGCTCAATTCCGATCCTATATTTTCGCTGACGAAAGCCTCAAGCCTAAGGTCTTACAAGGCGCTTGTGACCTCATTTCCGTTGATCGGGGCGTAGAGACTCGACTCATTCTAGACAACAGTCTCCTTCGGTCTGCCATGGAGCTTTTTCACAATCTCGATGTGTATAACAGCGATTTCGAGCCATTATTTATTTCCAACACAGAAAGCTTTGTCAAATCATGGGCCGCCGAGGAGTCTGAGAAGCCACTTGCTTCATACGTCGAACATAGCCACCAATTGATCGAACGCGAAGTGGCTCGCTGTGGACTTTTCTCTCTGAATCGCAGTACGAAACAGAAGCTGTCTGAGCTCTTGGACCAAACCCTGGTAACAAAGCATGAGGACGTTCTTCTCAAACAAAATGAGGTGATAGGCTTGATGCGATCAGGGAACAAGACAGCTTTAAAACAGCTCTATGGCTTACTCAATCGAAGACTTCTTGCAGCGAACCTTAAGCCAGCTTTCAGCGCCTTCATCAAGGAGGAAGGCTCTGCCATCGTATTCGACGAGGAAAGCGAAGCGGACATGGTCACTCGCTTACTTCAGTTCAAGCAACAACTTGATGATACATGGAAGGAATCTTTCAATTCGGATACAGTTTTGGGTAACGCTCTTCGTGATTCGTTTAGCCACTTCATGAACCTGGGCAAGAAGTCACAATCTGCTGGTGGCACCGATAATCCTAAGACCGGCGAAATGATTGCCAAATATGTCGATCGGTTGTTGAAGGGTGGTCTCAAGGCGCTACCATCGGGCCCATCGGATGCTCCTCTAGATGACTCGTTCTCTGAAGTGCGACGCCAACTCGACCAAGTGCTAGATCTGTTCCGATTTGTGCAAGGAAAGGCGGTCTTTGAAGCATTCTACAAGAATGATCTTGCCCGACGTCTATTGATGAACCGGAGTGCAAGTGACGAGGCCGAGAAGGAGATGCTTGTCCTTTTGAGGAAAGGTATGATATAACCAACCTCCCGCAATTTCTAATAGCTGATTCTTTTTCTAATCCCGTTTTACAGAATGCGGTTCCAGCTTTACCCATAATCTCGAATCAATGTTCAAGGATATGGATGTTGCACGCGATGAAATGACTGCTTATAATAACATGCAAAAGCAGCTTGGTCGTGAAAAACGACCTTCCCTGGATTTGAATGTCAGCGTTCTTTCTGCCGCATCATGGCCGACATACCCCGATGTCCCTGTGCGGATGCCACCGAGCGTAATGAACGCACTCCGCACATTCGAGACATTTTACAGCAACAAACATACCGGTCGGAAGCTCACCTGGAAGCATCAACTGGCGCATTGTCAGATCCGTGCTCGATTCCCGAAGGGCCAGAAAGAACTGGTAGTCAGCTCCCTCCAAGCAGTTGTTCTACTTCTGTTCAACGATGTCGAAGATGGGGAGGCTCTGCGCTATACAGATATCAAGGATAGGACAGGACTATGTAAGCTCCTTCACCGACTTATGCATACTAGTTGGCCACGACGCAACTAACAGTTTTCTAGCGGACCCGGAGTTGAAACGAACCCTCCAGTCACTAGCATGTGCCAAGTATCGGGTATTGGGCAAGAATCCCAAGGGCAAGGATGTCAACGCGACCGATGAGTTCTTGTATAATGCTGGGTTCACCGATGCGAAGATGCGGATTAAGATCAACCAAGTCCAGCTGAAGGAGACCAAGGAGGAGAACAAAACCACACACGAGCGGGTAGCGGCAGATCGACATTACGAGACTCAGGCGGCTATTGTCCGCATTATGAAGAGTCGCAAGACAATCACCCACTCCGAGTTGATTGTTGAAGTTATCGAAGCCACCCGTAGCCGGGGTACTCTTCAACCTGCCGACATCAAAACTAATATTGAAAAGTATGTTCCATCGCCCCTCCATTTGAAGGTATTCTTTCTAACATGCTTCTCTGCAGATTGATTGAGCGGGATTACATGGAACGACCGGATGACAGCCAGAATACATACAGATATGTGGCATAGATACGCGCTCCTAGAATTATGTTATTATTAACCTACTTGATGTGAGATAGCATCCCATTTACAGACTGTTGCGATTTGCATTTCATCTTCCTATTCAGCCGTGGTTGTGTTATGCCGGATATTCAATTTCCGCTTTTAGATCGAATCGCGAAATCATCGGCTCTTGTAAGCACTTTAGAGATCGGAGTCGCCCCGAGTCCGCGTTTCCGACCCATCGTGAGCTTCGCCGCATAATCCCCACATACAATGAATGGGCAACGGAGTGGGACCGGTCTTGCCACATGACTTGCTGTATACGAGAAGAACATGCCCAGGTACTCTGTACTTCTGACATATTGTAGATCACCAAAAATCCCAGTTAGAATTAAATTTTTTGTATATTAACTGGCCCGGTATCCTTGGATGGCCACCGTGAAAATTGGTCTCAAACTCAATTCATGTTGTATCGGAACAAGCCTACAAGGTCCACGGGTTATATACAGGTTACTCAAAGAGGGTTGACATAACATAATTGCCATCGCCAGTCAGCTGGCAGTTAGGTGTGGTAGGTGCGCGGACTTACCGGATCAGGATCGGGGCAAGTGTGGATAACTTTGCAGAGAGCAACGTCAGGATCTCGGGCGAGAGCTATGATCCTAGATTGCTTCCACTGGGGTATCTGATATTGAGCAGCAGAATTGAGTGGTGTTTAATGAATGAAAAGTGAATAGATGAATATTTACAGCTCTCAATTCCAAGATTCTAGTGTAAGTCTAGTGTAAATCCTAAAGTAATTCCCGTACATTCGTACAGTGTACATCTGTGCCTGAGCACCAGCTTGACCCCGGGATTACCCCACAGGGTAAGCCGAATGCGCCCCGTTCCCAGAATCCAGACTGGAGAATGATGGAGCTTCCGGGAGGCAAAGGTTCATGTGAGCAGCAGAAAACAGAAAAAGAAAAAAAAAAAAAAAAAAAAAAAAAAAGAGGACCAACTGGAGAAAGCATTATTTTTCTACTGGTATAAAAGTCAAGCTGCATGCTCGGGGGACAGTGGTTCTGATCTTTTCTTCTTCTTCTCCTGCTATACTTCGAGCTCCCAAGCTTCCCCTCCTATATACACTTGAGAGCTTCACACAATTCACAATTCACAATTCGCAGCTGTATTGCTTTCTGTACGTTCTTAGCATCATAACCTCCTACCATCGACACCCTCTTTCAATCTCCTCGATCCTTGGGCAACCTGTGTTACCACAAGAAATCACCTCTACCACCAACACGAACTACAGTACATAATGCTAACACCTACCAGCAGCGATCCGCACTGCATCAACCCCCCACTTTTCTCCCCTCGATTTGCCTCTCGCAAGAAATTCAGGTTTCTGAAAAGAACTTGGCTCAATTCAAAATATTCCCACAGTCAATTTACGCCGTTATAATTGAATTGATTTTTCTCTCATCCGCGGTTCAATAACTGTGGTTCCGCAAAAGTTTCCCCCGAAAACGTTCCCGATCAACAATAATGCAGAGTACGTGCTCCTCCTCCTCCACCACCACCTCCTCCACCTCCGTATCCATCCCACCTACTCCACCAGTGACGTGAGGGTCACCTTTGTTCCCCACTCCACACGCCAATTCTCCATTCCATTCCAGCGGTCTGGAAATCCAACTCAAAGAAATCGATGTATTCCACGAATCAAGCAAAAAGCAAAAAGCAACAAATTACAACCCACTAACAATCCCCAGCCAAGCACTTCTTTTCCGACCCGACCCATCTGGTCTTGACCGCGCTCAACTCCATCACCGTCACCAACCCATCCCTTGCATTGGATGTACAGAATAAGATCGTATTCCGTCGCCCAGATGCGCCCCGCAAGTCGAAGAAGGTCTCCATCGTAACTGGTGGTGGCTCTGGCCATGAGCCTGCTTTTGCGGGCTTTGTCGGTCACGGTCTCTGTGATGCCGCTGTTGCCGGTACTGTTTTTGCTTCGCCTTCTGCGGAGCAGATCCGTAGAGCTGCTATGGATCGTGTCCCCACTGATAGTGGTGTTTTGATTATTCCAAACAATTATACTGGTGATGTGCTCAACTTTGGTATGGCGACGGAGAAGTCCCGGGCTGCGGGTATTCGGACGGAATTCTTCGCTATGGCTGATGATGTTGGTGTTGGTCGTAAGAAGAGTGGTAAGGTCGGTCGCCGTGGTATTGGCGGTGCTGCTCTGATCTTGAAGCTTGTCGGAGCTTTGGCTGAAGCTGGGTAAGTTCATACCTCTGTTTTTCAACTATGTATTTGTCTTTTTTTCTTTTTCTTTTTCTAATATCGTTTCATGCAGCGGTAATCTGGATGAGGTCTACGGTCTTGCTCAGCATGTTAACAATAACTTGGTTTCCATTGGTACTTCCTTGGAACATGTTCATATCCCTGGTCGTCGAGTTCCGGAAGGTCTGGACACTATTGCCCCTGGCGATGCTGAGGTTGGTATGGGTATTCACAATGAGCCTGGTTCTCACCGCGCCAAGGCAGACCTCGTTGAGCTCGTTAAGACTATGCTTCGCTCCCTGCTGGATCCTAATGACTCGGACCGTGCATACGTTACTTACACCCCCAAGGACGAGTTTGTCCTCTTGATCAACAACCTGGGTGGTGTTAGCATCATTGAATTGGCGGGTATCACCGATGAGGTCAACCGCCAGCTCAACAGCGACTACAAGGTCAACCCTGTTCGTGTCATTCAAGGCACTTTCCTCAGCAGCTTGGATGGATTGGGCTTCAGCATCTCCCTTCTCAAGCTTGCTGACACTGGTCTCGGAGCCGGCAAGTCCCTGCTCGAGCTTCTGGATGCTCCCGCCGAGGCCGTTGGCTGGTCTGCTCCCATCGCAACCTCCACTTGGCAAAACCGCATCGACACCCCGGTCCAGCTTAAGAACTCCAACCTGGCCGAGGAGAACCCTAGCAACGTGAAACGTGAGTTTTGACCTTTCTTCCAGTGGCTTTTATCCATTTCAACTAACATTTCTTTTCAGTGGACCCTGCCGTCGTGAAGAAGGTCCTCGGCGCTGGCCTAAGGCAAGTCATCGCCGCCGAACCTGAAGTCACCAAATACGACACCATCGTCGGTGACGGTGACTGCGGTGTAGGCCTTAAGCGTGGTGCCGAAGCCATCCAAGAGCTCCTAGATAGCAGCTCACCCGGTTTGACCGACGACATCGTCAACACCGTCAACCGCATCGTAACAGTCGTCGAGAATGTGATGGACGGTACCTCCGGTGCCATCTACGCTATCTTCCTGAACGCTCTCGCTCACGGCCTCCGCGCTCAGGACAAGGGTTCTACCCTCCAAGCCGACACTGAGGTCTGGGCCAAGGCACTCAAGCACTCCGTCACTGCTCTGGGAAGATACACACCCGCCAAGCCTGGTGACCGCACACTCATGGATGCGCTTGTTCCATTCTGCGATACTCTTTTCGCAAAGAAGGATATCCATGCCGCTCTTAATGCTGCTAAGGAGGGCACTGAGGCTACGAAGAATATGAAGGCTAGTCTTGGTCGCTCGGTTTATGTTGGTGGGGAGTCTGAGTGGATCGGCAAGGTTCCTGATCCTGGTGCTCATGGTCTTACTGAGTTCTTGGCTGGACTTGCGGATGCAGCTTGAGCGAGCGGGTTAAAACTTGCTTGTTTCTGCGTTATAAATAGAAGTAGCTTGATACCAGACTCGGGATTTCGAGTGGTTCCGTTTAATATAATGTCCATGATGATGATGACAATGAAGAGGCTATGTAAACATTTCCTAAGCTTCGTAGGCGTAAGTTATTTTCTTTTTTGCCTCATTGTTACTCGTATCTTTTAGTCTAGTAAAGTTTGAGTTAATCTATGACATAGCACAGGACGCCTACCAGTATCATAATAATTATCAACAGCATTGAATTTCATGATTATTTTATTTTATGTTTTTCGGACCGCGGAAGTCTAATGGGATCCTAGCCGCATCCATCCATCACATGGGTTTTCCTTTTGACTAGGATCTAAGGCCCTAGAGAAAGAAAGATGGCATTTCGTCTATGAATTTATTACTCTACATCATTATGATGCTTTTGTCTTCCAGCATAGGATGTTTGTATAATGGGGTACATCTCAGCGTTACTTAACATATGTCGGTTTTCAAGTTGAACCATGCTATTCCACGACCAATACATTTTCAACTTAAATCATTTGAAATTTTGAGTCTCAATTATCGCCTATTCGCTGTATTGTATGTTTTCTCTTATTTTATTGATTAGGGGACCTTTTACCAGCCTGGGTCAAATATCACTATCATGGCAATGTATACACTTGTTGGCCCTTCGTCCCGACATCATGTTCCGGGCATAGTATGTATATAGGCCATATGAAGTAACAACCCGAATGGTTCACACATGCATTCAGTATGAGCACCAAGAATCATGATGCACAATTAAAGATAGAGTTCCAGGGTATCTAGCTGGCCGATCGATGGTGGCTGTAGATGACGGCTGGATAATCTAGTTCCAAATCGAGATATCGTTCAATGTTGTCAACTGCACCATTATGCATCACCCCCGGAAAGAACACTTACCGAACACCCACTTTGGAAAATTAATGTCATTGAGAACATTCATTGACAACCATAAGCAATAGATGTATTGATAGGTCACCTGCCGGCTTCAAGGGATCGGTATCGCCAGCCTCGGTCCGCTCGCGAGCCTATTGGACCAATGAACAACTTGAACACATACATGGACTTGCCACATATATAAAAAGTAGTAGTATTTACCTATATAACAACACAAACCCCGGTCCTGAATTAAAATACTCGGACCCCACTCAATCTACACGTGCAGTATTCAAGTTCACAGTTGAAAACAAACCAACAAAATGTCTTCAACAGCAGTAGAGACCAAGACAACAACCAACAACACCACAACAAAAAGAGGCCGCTACGGCCTCTATAACACTCCCCTCCTAGAATCAAACGCCATGCGCAAAATAGTAGCAGAACAATGCTCTATGAACCCCGGCAAAGCAGCCGTCCTCCTCCAAATATCCGCAAAAGGCATCGGCAAAGGCGTCTCAGACCACAGCAGCTTCACAAAGCGACCTATCGAACGCGCCCGTAGAAGTTTAGTCTACATCTACGGCATGAGTTTTGGTACAGAATCCGAGCGCCAAAGAATAACAGACGCCACACATCGCGCCCACATGCGCGTTAAAGGAACCGACTACGACGCCGACGATATCCAGCTCCAACTCTGGGTAGCAGCTACAATCTACTGGTCCATGGTATTAGGATACGAGGAAATCTACGGCGCAATGGAAGACGAGTTCGCCGATCAAGTCTATAAGGAGTTTTCCGTTATGGCGACTGGTTTACGTGTAGAGGCGGGGCTTTGGCCAGCTGATAGGGAGAGTTTCGCAATTTATTGGGAGAAGATGATTGCCGAGTTGGAGGTTACTGATGAAGCGAGGGCTGTTGCGAGAGATGTTATGTATTCTGGTGTTAATATGCCATGGGGGTTTTGGATATTGGCTAAGCTTCTTGGGCCTATGCAGAGGATTGCTACGGTTGAGTATTTGCCTGAGAGAATTCGGGATCAGCTTGGTTTTCCGTCAACGGTTTATACGAGGACGATGTATTGGGTTAAGGTTGGTGTTGATAGGGTTGTTTATCCTTTGTTGCCGGAGGGTGTGAGACATTTTTCGAAGATTTATCATATGGCTGATTTTCGGGATCGGTTGGCTAAGGGGACCAGGTTGTGATAGGCTTCAAATGCTGCTTGTTGATGGCAGAGCTACCACTGGTGGTAGCATTGACTTGGATAGTATTAAGGAAGAAGGAACTTTGAATGTGATTGGATTTGATCTATGTGTATAGGTTTACTAGTACTACTATCTCATGTTTTCGTGTTTTATACTAGATTGTTGAAGGTGTATATAGCCAATAGTCTTTGCAGTAATATGACTGAAATATAGTATATCCACCTGTCCTTATTCGGCGAGTCCTCTAACTATTAATATTTAAGCAGACCGGTATATTGAATTTATACTTTTTTGCAATAGTCTTCGCTAGTTTGGTCATTCTATGATCTAGATACCGATCTGTTTGATTGAATCTGGATGGGACGGAAACCTCAGTGAGAAGCGGGGATAAATACAATTGATAAACTATCTTTAGTATAGACCAGTGCACTTTTGACATATGCTGTACATATACACGATACATCTGTGCATCACCAGGTTTTTTTATGTGTCTTGTGTTAACATTCAAAGGTTGAGAATACCCCGAGGGAAGCGGGGCGTCGCCCCACGCAGAGCCGCCTCGCCCCAATATTTACCCCGTAAAATAGGCCATCTACCCTTGAGGCAGGCTACGAAAACTTGAAATTTAATTCAATCACATGAGGCTTTGAGGCGTGGCGGATAAGCATTGACATTTCGCGCAAGCAGTTTATTGAGCGGGAACTTTCCTGAGAAGTAACATTCTGGTGCCTCTTTGGGAACGACGCTCTACACTGATGGACATGTTTCCAGTACTTTTGCCTTTTGAGATATTAGTTGACAAACTTGAGTCTGATTAGAGCTTGGTATAGCTCGAAGGAGTGTAAAGTGATATGTATATTGAGCTTCTCTTTCTTTCTTCCCCAAATGGTCATATTCATAGCTGCGGTGTTGCCAGCTGATCAAAATTTGCGGGAAATAGCAATATCTAAATGGTATGTCTACCAGTGACTGGAAGTAGTAGGGTTCATAAATATGAAAATATTATAGGTACCCTCAAAAGAACCTTGAAATTATACCCGTGGACAATTATCGTGATACAAGTACAGGTATAGATGGGTAGCGACCTCGGGGGTGGGGGGCTTCCAAGTTGAGTCCCATATTAAAAGTAAAATTACGTTAGGACGGAGAATTCAGACGGCAGTAATTAACCGGCTACGTTGTTGCATTTACAATTTCAGGAGACCGAGTCACATTTTGGAAAAAATTTCATGACGAACGAATTTCAGCTCAGGTATGCGCCGCACGACGCTTCCCTCTAAAGTAGCGGGACACACCAATCCCGAAAACAAAACGCCTGCAATAATTTTTTGTATGCGCACAAGTCACCATTGCATACGAATGTTACCTCACAAGCACATGAGTCGAACTCCCCACCCTGGTCTGGCGGTGAGGACCATAAGCAAGGGTGAAAAGTCAAGGTTCGTAGAGTAGTATTTCAGAGCGGTCGAGGTAACAAGGAGAAAAAGGGTATCGATATCAATTACAAGATGGAGTTCAAATCGCAAAACGGATGATCTACAATTCAAGTAGATCAAACTGTTTCACAGATTCGGGATTCCAAGATACCAGGGTAGATCGGATGAAGAGGGGGGAGATAAACCACCATGGGTTAGGATGTAGATGCGCGAGATAAGGATGAAGCGATAAGGCGATCAGCTAAGCAGGACGAGAATAACGGAGTCACCGCGAAGGAACCTAAAGTTAATGATTAGTAAGAAAGACCTCATATATAGAAAGCATGAAAAGACGGTATGTGCGATATCCACCAAGGAAAAAAAGCAATACTGTCCTATATCCAAGTCAAGTGCACGTACATCTTGCTAATGAAGCGATCCTTGTTGACACCCTTGCCCTTGCTACCCTTTGGCTTCTCGGTCCACATCTCTTTAACATTCTCCAGGACCATGTTGCAGTGTCGGTCAAAGGCCTTGACACGGGCTAACAGCTTGCGGTTGTTGCGGCAGGAGATCAGCACCTGGGTGTGCGAGCGGGTGGCGGTCTGCAGGAGGGACAGCGGGCCAGCGGTGAGCTCGTGCTCCTCAACAAGAGCGACCTCATATTCTCTGGTGGGTTGCGATGCAAGATTAGTCTTTCGGATTCATGTATGTCTTTTAGATCGCGCATGCATCGGAATGTGAGTAGGAGGGACGATCGGAGGATTGCGGTGACCCCGCACTCATTATTTGTCCAGGATTAGGCAGCAGCACATGGCGAGAAAAAAACAGGGGAAATAAAGATATTCATCGGAACAGGCGCGGGCAATTCGAGGGATGGGGTCTGGGAAAGGAACGTACGTGAGCTCGGCCTTAGGCTTGTTGAGCAGGTCTCTGTGAGAAGATTGGGTCAGCTGAGGAACAATGTCTAAATCGATGACTCATTCGGGTGTCACATACTGGATCTTAGGGTCGGGAGCTGTCGACATGGTGGGTGGGATGTGGGAGATATAAAAGGGCCGTGGAGGTCCTCGCCGATGCGCAAGATACTGAAAGGTGAGCAGGTTCAACTGTCACGTGATATAAAGATAAGTTGGTGCCTGACAGATAAGGCGACACGGCACGAGATCTATGACCGCGGCTTGCTCGCGATTGGCTGCGTCACGTCGCGTACACGCTTGTTTAGGGATCAGCGGATAGCTTCAACCCGCGCATGCAAGGTCTTCTCTTAAAGTCTCCCCCCAACCTCCTCTCACCTCCTGCAGATGCAGCTCGCTCTCTCTCCTCTTTTCTACCCTTCGTGTCAAAAAGAAGAAAAATTGAAATAGAAAACTCTTTTCTATCCTTTTTATTTTCCTGATTGGGAATTCTCCTTCCATTACGAGCAACGAACTGCAACTCCCTTCCCTAGGATCGACCCGACCAACATTCCAGTCCTGCAGACACTACTGTGCAATCTGCATAATCTGTACATTCTCCCGGTCGACCAGATATTTGATCGATATGCTTGGCTATTAGATTTGCTCGCTACTACCTCACTTAGACCTTTTCAAGGGCTACTGTGGAGTAACCGAAATCGTTTTTGACCGACATCCTGTCAACAACCTTCGATCCCCCACCTCCCCTGCGTATCGACGTCTTTCCTTATCTTCTCGCAATTCTCCCCACCTCCTTTCTTATAGTCTCATCCTCAATTCGTCCCAAATCGACCCTTTCGGCTCTCCCGAAAACTGTACATGGTGACAATCCGAATTTGATGAGATGGATACTCAGGACGGAATCAGCGTCCGCCCTATGAGGCGTATGGCTCCTTTATCTGCAAAATGACACTCGGATTCATACTAATAACTAAAATTTGTGGTATTTATAGTGAAGGTTTTATACACCTTTGATAATGAAAACAAAACCAATTGTCTTGCTCGCTGGCCTCATGTTCTTGAAATTCAGACAGCCCACCTCGACGAAAACACAGCGGTCGGGGTTATCGAGCTGAAGACATGTATACAAGCAATTGTTTCAGCAAGGTTTGACTCTCTTCCTAATCAATGATGACTTGAATGCTTATTTTTCTCAAGTCCTGAGTTAGTGGCACAGCTTGGAAAAGACTACACAGTGTACGCATACGACTACTCAGAGTATGAGACCCCTCTAGTGGGACAAGGAATGCTGTCGTGGGTCCTGGCCTCCTCATCTCCAACGCCAGAAGCGCCCGCCCATCAGTCGAAAACCATGGTTACAGGTCGGGTATGTAAAAATCCATTGGGCCTCTTTTCGAAAGGTGCTGGCGCCCAGGAAACTTTGGAAGTCAAGCTGCGGTTAGTGCCTGTTCCGACTGTCATGCAAAGCCAATATCTCGACAGCATGCAAAAGTACCGAGACCTCAGCAATATGATTCCCCACGACTTCGACGCACAATCCTGGACGAATTTTCTTCGACAAAATCCGGCACTCATGGACGCCGCCCGCAATCAGTCACAAGATCGGATGAACGCTAGCTCTCCGATGGGTGGATCTGGGATTGAAAGGTTTCATCAGATTCTAAGCGAAGGCGCCACCCCGAGGGAATTTTCGGGATATGAACGAAATGAGCCAATGCGGTCGATTTCACCTACACAATCCTTTGGTGCGCCCAGCAGAGTAGCAACGCCTGGTGCTCACACTCCAATGCAACATCCACAGCCTCACTCAAGACAGCAATTTAATCAAAGCAGTGATATGATCAGACCGTCTTCAAGTGCTTCCAACCGAGATGATGACTTTCAGACCCAACGATGCCACTCGCGAAGAGACTCTATTCAATCTGGCTATGCCAGCGGAGGCGATGATCCAATGGATCCTCAACCACGCAAGAGAGCCAAGGTCTACCAAGCAAGCTGGCCTGGCAAGTCTGACATGAACATTGAAAGACAGCCTAGCTCTTTGCGGGTGGCAGCTAGCACTGCAGCATCTGTTCGAATCCACCGTCCAACACCAGTCAACCCTGCCATCGCTGCAGAGCAGTCACTTGAGGAACCAGTTCGTCCCCCAACCCCAATCATGCGGCCTGGTAATGGACCCCGTCGTCCGCGCCTTCCCGCAAGCTTGCTACGAGAGTTTTCGGTTACTTCGTACACAACTCCATACCTTCACAGCGACGATATCGCTACAGATCAAACCGGCCAATCACCTGAAGAGTCTCGTTATCAAGGCTTGTTTGAGCCTCCATTCACGATGCCTTCGTCTCCTCCAATCATGGATGCACGATTTGCAGCGAAGTCTAGTCCTGTTCTACCTCCTATCGGATTGGACACAGACTCCGGTTTCATGAGTGGCGGCTTGGAAGATTTTCTGGACTCGGAGGCTGTTACACCCATTGAGGGGGGACAAAGAGCCGAGTCACAAGGTATTACTGACGCCAACCGTTCTCGACCAGTTCGCTCTGCTGTGCAGATCAATTCCCCCGCTAGCGTAGCGGGCACAGTAGTTGATAAGCAGGCCGCCTCCACAGCTCCGGTGGAGACCCCGAAGGAACAATTTTCAAGACAATCACTACCACCACAACCACGTCCAATTTCTTCTGCTGGGTCAAGACCTGCTTCACGGAATAGTGTGCGGTTGGCGCCTAAACCAATGCCAACTGAAAATGCTCCAGTGGTATCCAATGTTCCCGCGAGTGATCCTGTTGCTCCCTCGTGCCCCCCTCTTCAACATTCTCAGACTTGGCCTGGGCCGATGAGTGATGTTATTCTCATCGATCCATCATCAAAATCGTCAAAGCGTCGCAGTTCTGCCAAGAAGAGAGCTAAAATCATCCAAGATCGTTTAGAGGAGGCGATTAAATCCGGCGAGGCACCTCCATTCTGCGAGAATTGTGGCTGCATCGAGACGCCCAGCTGGCGCCGGGCATGGTCCCTAGAAGTCGAGGGTGACGAAGAAGCGGCGAAGGAAAGGATGAAGGACAGCACTATGCTCTTTTACTTGGCCTTGGATCGGGATTCGGAAGGTGCAATGACCAAGTTCAAAATTTATCAAAAGTCACCGCATAAATGGGGAGATGAAGGCTGGACCCAAGTTCTACTTTGCAATCCTTGTGGACTTTGGCTTCACAAATTCAAGGTCATGCGCCCCGAGGAGATGTGGAACAAGTCAAACCAGGATGGCACCGAGCCGAGGAAGAAGCGTCCTGTGAGAAACCGAAGAAATGGCGGCCCACTATCAAACCCATCCACAAGGACTCGCAGCCAGGCACTATTTAGCATGACAACAGCATCCTCCCCTGCCCCTACGGAGGCCTCCTCTGTCCAACCTGATGAAGGTGCCACCCCCCAGGTTGATAACACTCCCGGTCAGGAAGTAGACCAAGAGCAAGAACAAGATGACGAGGATGGTGAGCCTCCCAGTAAACGCCGTCGGGCCAACAGCGCCGAACCTCCGCGATCAACTGAAAGTGCCAAAGCCCGCTGGGATCACGACGATGCTTTAGAAGCCCTTCAACGTGCGATCCAGTCTAGCCCGGCAAGGAACATGTCAACCTCCAAAACTCCTGCGTCTGAAGAGCCAACTATGACCCCCAAGCCCCTACGACGGGCCTTGTTCACATCTTCTCGAAACGATAGTCCTTTGAAAGAGATGGATGCATCAAAGGTGAATAGCTGCTCTCCTAGACGCAGCCCTCGATTCACCTCTCGCAGTGAGAAACGGTCCTTGGACAAAGAGAATCAAGAGCCTACGCCTCGTGATGACCTCGATGATTTGTTTGAAAGCCCTTCTATGGACTTTGGTATGCCTATCAGCCCAACTCCCCGTCGACGCCAACCAGGTCGTTCGAATGCCATGCATGAGCGACGACTCTCGCTACCTTGCGAGTCGCCATCTAGCAACCGACACAAAGACGTCAGAGGATCCACGCCTTCAACTCGTCTCACTGCAGAACGCCTACAACGTATCCAGGAAGCTCAAGGCTCGCCGGAGGCAAGTCCTCGACAGCAAAGAGCTACTCACAAGCATGACACCGCCTCAGCTGTCTTGTCTCATGAAGAAATGCAATCGGAAGCCTTTCAATCTCTGGATGGCATGATCCTCGATATATTCGATGATGCTCCTGGACAGGCCGACTTTTTCCAGTTCTCTGGGTCAAAGGATGAAGGCCATAACTGGGTGGATTGGCTTCCAACCGACTATGTCTCTCCCAGCGGCTCGGAAAGCAATGGCGATGCTGACGAAGACTTAATCAATGCCATTCTTTCTGATCCTACCGTCCTTAAGGAGAATCTTCACAATTCGGCATTTAATCCTTTTGTTTTTGCTGATTCTCAGGTTCCTGACTCGGGGTTTTTCAGCTCCGATGCTCTTCAGACAGAACCCGCAGATGTACCCAAGCCTCAATCTGCCAATGATCAATCTGTTGTTACGAAGGAAGCTTCTCCTGCCGCATAAGCTGTCTTTTTGCCATGGTCTGAACCTTGTGTTTGTTTTGTTTTGTTTTTGTTTTTTCTTTATATTTTATCGCTTCCCCTTTTATCTCTTTTTTTTTTTTGCTCTTTAGCGACGGCGTTACGGATGGTCGATACACGATTTTCTTTATTATCTCCACATACCGATCCTTTATTGACTTGAAAGTCACTTTGTGTCCCCCTCTGCTGATTTATATCCCTGTTTTGCTCTTGTTCCGAATTATGACCCGACGCATCCATACATGGACTGCTACGCTCTATCTCTGCCACTTGTGCATGAGTCATTGCTATTGTTATTGCACGAGTTGCAATCGAAATATTTAGCTTGTTGTATTCATGCAACCAACCTCCTATTCCAAAAGAATTGAAATTCGAACTCAGCCTTAGCCTCCGAATTTCCTTAAACCCCTTAGAATTTCTTAAGAACTCGTGCCTGGATACATGGACCATTTGTCGCATGATTAAATCCTTCAAGATTACATTAATGCCGATTACTCTACACGAAAACAGGGCTAAGCCAGGTCAAAAATACAGAACAATTGCGACAGCAAAAAATTGATCATAACATCGTAGAATATGCAAAATCGGTGGTAGGTCCTGCAACCCAATAGAAACAGACAATCTCAACATATATCCACTTCCAGTACATTCATCTCATTGGAGCCTTCATAAAAGTACCATCGACTTCGTTTTGCTTTTCCTTGCTTCCTTCTTCCATATTATTCACACGATGATCAACATTTTAATTAGCAGGAGCATCGTAGAAAATAGTCTTGATGCGGTGTGTGGCATCAACAAGGCTCTCCCAAATTTTGTAATCTAAGGAAAATCAAATCAGTCATTATGATCCTACCAACGAATGGAGAAAAGGGACTTACCACAATCCGCAGGGTTTCCCCAGTCACTCGTTCCAAGAACACGGAGTCCCAACTGCGAAGATCTTTATCAGCACAATTATTTTTGTTTATGTGTTTTCTTTTCCATTTCAACAGCAACGGTCAAGTCTGCGCAATTATTCTGCGCGGATGGATGTAAATGGAGCACATACCCCGCCTTCAACATTCACAACCTTCCCTACGACCTCAACGAGCTTTCCCATCTGCAAGTGATCGTCCGGTGTCAAGATAATTGTCACTTCGCCATGGGTACCACACGCGATCTTTGCGGTCTCGCCCTGGAGTTCGCTGACGGTACCGAGGATGCGGACGGTGTGCGGTGTCTTCGCAGCGTTCTGCTGGAAGTTGGCGAGGTGCTGGGGAAGGACTCGGGGCGATTGCATAGACATATTGGACGGTTATGTTGTAGTATCCCTGGCTTTTGTAATTGGCAATAGGAACGGAGTGGGCAGTGGCGGGGTTGAGTGAAGGATGTCGAGGAGAGGGCTCGATCGGTTTCGCCGATTAGACGCGTAGATGGGACGCGTGAGCACGTGACCGTAGTTTAAATTAATAATTAATTGCTGGATAGATCTATGAAATTCTATTTTGTTTATTAAACTATATTGAATCCATAATAGTATTTAACGGCAAAATAAATGGCTCTATTTTAAAATAAACAGAATGAAGTAAGAAAAAATCTGGTAGTATCTAACTAGTAAGGCTTTGTTTCCCGACCTTCAACTTCAAGTTGAAGTTCAAGTTGGAAGTACAGTATGATCACACCTTCAAGTTCTAGCATAATTCCTTGAACTTGAAAGTCTCTTAGATCGATTTCAAGTTCAACCTTGGAAGTTCCATCCATACTGAAAACTTGAGTTTAATGATGGTGGATAGTCCGTAAATGTTCAATTTTTTATCTATGCATAATTAAATTAGGAATATTGGGGTTCGATAGGTGAATCACGATGACTTGATGGAACTTGAAAAAATAACTTTGTGTAGGAATCTACAATGTTGGAAGAGAACGTTTAAACAAATTAAATGTAGTACTTAGGTAGAAAGCCTTTCTCAAAACCTAAGCGTTCAATATATAAGTTGACTAAACAATATCACCTGGATACTAAGAGTAGACTTCGGGGGCAAGACGACTTGAACAGGGAAAGATAACATTTTCATCTTGTTTGTCCACTGTAATAGTAATAGAACACACACACGTGGACAGGGCTATTACACTTCAAAGTTTCAAGTTATATACTCTCAACCAAAGTGAATAATCCTAGTTTTGTCATATACTAATTTCGACCAGACCGCTTCTCCAAGAGCCATATTCTAGCCATAGGGGACTCGGATGAGGAAGGGACAGTGAAAGAGAGAAAGTGGACCTATATATGGAAGAAAATGTGAAACGAAAAAATAAATCAATTTTATTGCGATTGAAGAAGTCACATAAATCACTTGAGCCACCTGAATCCCGAATTTTCTGATACTAGTTTTTGCTCTTAAGCTGAGTATCCTTTGTCACTCGCTCCAGAGTATACTCTCCACACTTCTCCCCAGCTTTATTGTACATTATCAGGTCTAGGTTCTCACCATTCTCACTCCAGCCACCGTCAAACCAGTAATACTGTGGCACGTTAGAGTTCTCTTTGACTCTAGTCTTGAAGCTACGGCTGTCTGAATCCACGTGCATAAATGGGAAGATTCCGTGAAGTGCTTCATTTAAAACACCAGCTGCACTCTTGGTGAATGTTGCCAGGACATGAAGCGGCGATCCGTGAGTCTGGCCATCAGGAAAGACCACCCAGATATTTTCGTTGTTCGCATACTGGTAGTAGGAAAATTTGGCATGGTAGATGACGGACATGCCGCTGGAATTTTCATCCCCACGTTTGCGTTTACCAGTCTTCAACCCTCCAGCCATGTCTCCAAGAAGCTGAATAGAAGGAGAGAAGAAGTAATCACCGCCATTGGACTGGATAAAGGGAAGAAAGCTGGTTGTGGTGTTCTGGCCCTTGCCATCGACAAGGCTTGTGGTCAGGATTTTGTGTTTCGGCTTCTGAGGCCTCTTGACGAGTTGGCCCACGATAGCGTCTTGTCCCGGGTTGGTACCGCCAGTAAACTCGGTCTTGTCGGCTGGGAATGTATCCAAATTGATCCAGCCTTGGAGAAGATGTCAATGATTTGGTCCAAGTTATCTATTTCAATTGACTTACTTCTTTTCAGAAACTGAAAGCCGTTAGAAATACTGGACTGGTAGCATGTGAACATGAGACCTCGATCTTGCTCGGTCTCGGTCTCGGTCTTTCCGACTTCAGGTCCATAGGGGATACCGCGACGCATGATATCGTTCATATCTCTATCACTGACTATGGCTCGAGGCTTAGTCTTGCGCATGTGCGAAGCAAATGGGCAATTTTTGTGATCGTTCACGTTGTAGTTGAACTCGTTCATCCTTGCATTTTTGGGGCTGTCCACATCGGGGTACAGCTCAACAGGGGCCCCTATAACTCGTCTTAGTCTCTCAAAATGGAATCACACTACAACAGTGTAGCTTACCGCTTTTCCAACGTCCTACTAGCCGTGCTCCTAACTGGCCTTCAGTAAAATGAAGTTTAGGAGCCTCCTCTTTCAGGTACCTTCAATTATAGCGGTCAGGTTGTTATCCCAAATATGTGAGCACGAAAGTAGCTTACTTGTTGAACTCTGGTACAAGCTGTTTGAGTCTACGAATGACAAGGTAACTGCCATCCTTGGCCCAGCTGGGGTGCTGCAGCTTTTCCTCATTGTTCATATCTCCATCATGTCCAATGATAATGCGGCTATCATTGTTGAGTCAGTGAGTGTTATTTTTGAGTCAGTGAAAAACTTACCCAGGACGGCACATGTATTGGTAATTGCCATCTCCCTTCTTATTCTTCGTATCAAAGCTCGTCAACCGAGGCTGCGAAATGGCATCGAGGAAACCGAAGCTGTGATGACTTTAGATCAAAGGTGTTCCGATACGAAGGACTCGGAGACTTACTGCTCATGCTTCGCGTTATTACCAGGTCGCTCTCTACCGTCAAGAGTAATGATATGCTTGATTCCTTGAGCCGAGCTGAAGTAAGTTTCAGCCACCTCTGCGGTGGTCTCCTTGACCTTCGCTTCAGTCCCGCACACCATCACCACTCCATCAACACCACCATTTTCCGCTCTGAACTCTTTCATCCATTCCTCAATTTTATCCCTGCCCTCGTTTACCATATCGGCCTCCATACCCTTGCGAAACGGGTCATCCTTGAAGCCATCTTTGGACAGCTACGACAAAAGCCAAGATTCAGCACTGACTCGCAGCCATGAAGACCATTATGATTACTTACCTTTTGCATTCCCTTGAAGCTGAAAGCAATGTTCACTGCAGCTAGCTCATGCATGGTACCCGGTTGCGAGGTTTTAATCTCCAGTATGTCTTCCCTATTTTTTAGCGCGTCTCTGGAAGTCGCAATGACTTTATCGGCCACCAGGCTTCCGAGACTAGGCTTGAAAGCATTGACATCGGTGATCTGAAAGAACCAAAACTCTTGGTACTTTTTCGACAGACCAGGCCTAATGCAGGTAAGTATGGAATCTTGCAATGGTATGGAAAGAAGGCTAACCAGATATCGCCTTGGATATTGTCAAGATTAGGGGGTGTAGATTCAGCCATTTTGCAAAAGCGATTTCCTTAGGTATAGATCCAACAATAGGAAATACTAGATGCGGAATAGGATATCAAGTAAATGTCAATCTCTATTTTCTCGGACTTAGCCCTTATTTTATAGATTGATGTAAAACACTGGATATATGCTGTAACCTCTTTTGTATGGCACCCCACATGTCGTCAACGGCCAAAACATAATTTTTGTCTATGACATAGATGAATATATACAACCTTAATTTTGGCCCTTCACTACCTCAATTAGGAATGACTCTGCTTGCGGAAGGCCTTCAAGCTGATCATACATGGTAGATCTCTAATGTGTCCCGTATTGGTACATGGAGAGTAGTATCTATATCTCGGGGCTCTCAGACATCAATTTGTGCGTGCGCCAGTTTAGGTTGGTAATTTAGCTATAATACGATAAGGAAAAGGTTATGTTTTACTAACACATGGCTTGGAATGACCATTTTCGCTTTTGGGGGATTGCTTGGTTACAGAATTCGCGTTTGTTAAGTTGGGGGACATGGCTGAAGAACATAGTATTCCGGGACTAGGAAGGATGCTGAGGTTACACAATCAACGTCAGGGAATCATAAAATTCCCTGGTACTTTGCTAAAAACGGGGACTCATTACTTTTAGGGGCTAGCCATGGTCTTTTCTTGCCAGTGAAAGCGGCGCAGTAGCATGGCGGCCCATTTTCGTCGATGATTGCACATACCGCCACGGTCCAACTGTAGTCAAATTCTGGAAGCGTTACAGTGGGATAGCGCCACAGTTGCTATTACATGCTCATTTAGGTTTCCGGCTAGCAAGGAATTTCAAATCTTCTGGATTTCGTTAGTCGACGATTCGACGCTGCCATGTTCACCGGAGTACTGAAAAGAAAAAGAAAAAGAAATAGAAGAATTACAAACCCAGCATGTCCCATTGCTCATGGTTAAATTGTCACCGTCTTCATTGATCAATACTCAACTCCGGGGCAATGTGTAATGTGACCTAATGTTGTGGCTGGCATTCCTGTTGTAGTTGGCTTGTACTGGTCATCACAGCAAGCGCTTTTTCCTGTTCTCGTAGCCAAAGATTGTGTATGTCAAGAGGACAGTAAATTACACATCTCGTGCTGCAAAATTTTATGGGAATACCATTCGTACCCTTATTAAACTCAATTATTCTGTATGCTTTGATCCTGTCGAGCAGTGCCGTTTATGGTAATAGGTCTAGGAGATGACAGCTAGGGATGAATGAATAGGGTTACGGGGGATTGTGGGGCTAGCCTTGACGGGCTCGGACGCGGCCCGTTAAGGTTACCACCTACCTACGCTGATCCCAGTCCACATTCCACACTTACCATCTAACATACTGCGATAGGCCAGTTGAATCTTTCAGGAAACTCGGAAGCATAAAACTCTCCTGTCCCTCTTACTATCAATATGATCGACATCTTGACCCTCAACTTCCGGCTCACCCCCTCCCCCGGGGCTCCTTGATGAATAGTGGAACTGGGAGAGACGGCATCCATCAACATTCTGCTCCCTGTTGAAGAGAGAGACTAGGGCTTTGCTATTTGCCCAATTTTCATATCCGCGGAAAAGCATATTCAAGCTCTTGAGCTGATACATTCCACATGTACCTTGAAATGAAGCTTAGGCTTTGGCCTTTGTTACACGCGCCATGCTTGTCTCGTTCCCCGGCCAGGCCTGGCATGCTGCCACGAAACTATTGCCGAGCTCCAGAATAAATACCAAAATGTTATTTTAAAAGCCTCGTGCACCGCAATGCATGAGCCTGCGATTGTCTGTACACCTACGGGTTCTTCTGTTTGAATTCGTTTCTACCTTTCACGAGCCGACCCCCGTGACTCCATTCTCAACATGAGATCCCGATGGTATACAGCAGCGGTCGTGCTGGGGACAGCGAGTGCGAAGGACCTTAAGTACCACGAGTCTTTGTATCGCACAGGCAGGACACCCGACACCGCTCAGATTGGTGGTCGTGAGGTTGCAACCCTGTCACAGCCTCTGCCACAAGGCCAAGCTATAGATCGCTCCAAATGGGACCTTAAATGTTCCACGATTGCGAATGGCCACGATTGCGATAAAGCAATCGACGATTCGACCGACACATTTTGGCAGAGCGCGGCCAGCAGTACTGATCAAACCATTACCGTTTACCTGGGGGAAGAACGGACCGTGAATGGCTTGACAATGGTTCCCAGGCAAGACAAAGAGGAGAATCTCATCGAAGAGCATCAAATTTTCCTCAGTTCTGATGGCGAAAACTGGAGTGAGGTGGCATATGGAACCTGGTGGCCGGATAATGCCCTGAAGCTCTCAGCATTTCAGCCTCAAAACGCCACCTACCTGCGTCTGTCTGCTGCTGCGAATAATGGAATCGCCATCTCAGATCTGCAGATCTATGAAACTAAATTCATTCCTTCGGATCCTGTGTTAGGTGCCTGGGGCCCAACAATTGATTTGCCCCTGGTTCCCGTCGCTGGAGCCGTTGATCCAATCTCTGGCGCAGTGGTCACATGGTCCTCCTGGGGTCACGATATTTTCACTGGCAGTCCTGGTGGCGACACACAGACAGCCACTTGGCACCCAAAGGGCCAATCAGTGACTCAGAGAGATGTCGAGAATACACAACACGACATGTTCTGTCCTGGCATCTCGATCGAGCAGAACGGTCAGATCGTCGTCACTGGCGGAACCGATCAGAGTCGGACCAGTATTTACAACACCACCGATGATCATTGGTATAAAGCAGCGGCCATGAATATTGATCGTGGCTACCAGGCAACGTCCACCCTATCGGATGGGCGCATCTTCGTCATTGGTGGTTCATTCAGCGGCGGTGTTGGTGGCACCGAACGTGTCGCTGCAAGTGGCAAAGACGGCGAGGTCTACGATCCCGTCGCTAATCAATGGACTCAGATTCCCGGCGCCAAGGTATCAGAAATGCTTACTGATGACATTCGAACCTACCGACAAGATAACCATGGCTGGATATTTGCTTGGACTAACGGCACTGTATTCCAAGCCGGTCCCAGTAAAACAATGAACTGGTATGGCACATCGGGAGATGGAACTACCAATTCTGCTGGAGAACGTACTGGTGATGAGGATGCCATGTGCGGAAATGCGGTCATGTACGACAATGGCAAGATTCTCACATTCGGTGGATCTCCCTGGTACGAAGAAAAGGCTGCGACGGCCAATGCTGCGATCATTACCATTGACCAACCTGACCAGATTCCATCTGTCGAAAAAGCAGGTGATGGGATGCACTACAAGCGTACTTTCCATTCCTCTGTTGTTCTACCAGACGGCTCAGTGTTTGTAAACGGTGGCCAGGATGTCGGGCTTCCATTCAATGAAAGTGGCGCTCATTTGATCTCAGAGCGATTCATTCCTGATACTGATGGCGGCAAGTGGATTGAACAACAAAAGAACAGTGTCGTCCGTGTCTACCATAGTCTCTCCTTGTTGCTTCAGGATGGTACTGTATTCACAGGTGGTGGCGGTTTGTGTGGAGATTGTTCTGCCAATCATTTCGATGGGCAAATCTACACGCCCCCATACCTTCTGGAGGACGATGGATCCCTGAAGACTGACCGTCCCGTTATCAAGAGCGTTTCACCAAACGAGGTCAAGCCTGGTGATACTGTCGAAGTCACCACTGGCGGTGATGTTGATGAAGGGGCGTCGATCATCCGTTATGGCTCGGCGACACATACAGTGAACACCGATCAGCGACGCATCAGTGTTAAGCTGACGAAGGACGGATCTAATAAGTACAGTTTCCAGATTCCTGGGGAGGCAGGTATTGCTCAGCCAGGATATTACATGCTTTTTGTTCTGAAGAATGGGGTTCCCAGTCATTCAGTGAATGTTCGAGTAGCAGCTTAAATGATATTTATTGATATCAATGGTTCAAAGTGCTCGAGGACCGGGCCATGAGACTGATTTATTGGATGGACGAAGAAAAGAACTTGAATGTACGCGCAAGCATTAATTTAATCTCAATTTTTATACCACAACACGATGTGTCATAGTATTAATTGCAATTCTCTCGATTGTTTAATCTTTACTAAGGTAACTCTAGAGGCTTAGATGATATTATACCTAAGCTCTAAGCTGTATACTTAATATTACTATGCACCATAAGGCTTTTATTAAAGCTAATATGGTGTGATTTAAGTTATAGGGAGATAGTAAAGAGTATAAGATTTTCTATTCATGAATGGTGGGATTGAAACGACATACTATGGCTCTTTTGTAGTTTTACATGAGCAATACAATCGATCCTGCCGTTCTTTTTACAAGCAGTGGGATTATTTATCGGGTTGACTGTAGTAACCCCGAAAATTCCGGATATAAACGGCAGATAAAAGAAAATAAATGAGATCGCTTGCATCGAATTAAAACTTCAAGTTGTATCCAAACACGTACAATACAACACCACTTTATATGGATCTCAAGAGGGGCCGAGTCTAGAGGATCTATCCGGGACAGGTAGAAGGCTATATACCAAGCAACTTATAAAGATAATAGCGTAGGAGAAGGCAATTTGATGAGTTCAGATCTGCCGAACTTTTTGGCATTCACTAGCATAAGGCAGGGTTCAACACTAGTACTATTCAAAGGTTGTGCCTCAACTTCCAAAGTACTTCACTGTGGATACAAGCTACGTCAATGCTGTAACTATTTGCAAGCGTACATCTAGTGCATCATGAGGCCTCGGTCTCGCCGCATACGAATGTGGCGCTAGGTGTAAATATGACAAGATCTGCATGTGGGGAGGTAGGTAGTGGGGGCTGCTTGGTTCAAAGAAACGTGCCGCATCAACGAATGACCAGGACAAACTAATTGCTCCAGTTTGGGGCCAAAGGCATTACGTCTTTGGTCCTCCATTGGACTACTAAATGTATCAGTCACTAGCAATCCGCTCTTGGGCCTCTTCTACTATGTCACAGGATGAGAACCTTGGAAGGGGAAGACGTGTACTATGAACTAGCATACAAACTGACCAGGATTAAAAGCTGAATATAAAGTGTTGAAAATCGACCATCGTCCACACCAATTTTCTCCTTGACAATTCCTCGCTCCGTCCATTTTTCATCCGTTTATTTCTATTTTTTATACACAATGGCTGAGACTGTTGCCGAACTGACAGACGCTGTCAACGCAGGCCTATCCAAGCTCTCTCCTACTGATGAGCTCCCGGACTCAGCTCGTTTCCAGCTTTTGGATTCATTGGAATGGCTTCGTGGGGTCGTGGAGCCCCTTATTCAGTCGCTTTTGAATATTTGCTGGGCAAGATATTCCCTCATCTAAATTGGTAATAATCTAGAGCCGCTTGGCTCAGAAATTGGATTCTACGTTATCCAGTTCGGGTCATGCGTCTTTTGAGTTCCCATTGCTTTTTCACCGAAACTGAGCTGTATAAGTACCAGCCTCAACCATTGGCTCTGGGATTCGCAACCGGCGCTCCTCCTAGCGAAGTGATTAAGAACTTGTAAATGCCCCAATCCTTATCTTTGTCGAGAAGTTAAAAAGAGCGTATGCGGCTGACTGTCTTGATATTCTACTAGCCACATGATTCTGCAAGCCACTGCACACACTCACAAATTCCTGGAAGCCAGAGACTACCGGAGTCCCGATGATGCCTATGAGACTCCTTTCCAGCTGGCATACCGCACGAAGCTACATTACTTTGAGTGGCTGGCACAGAACCAGCAACACGCCTTCAACACGGTAATGGAGACCGGAACCGGGCCGTAGAGGGCGAGCAGTGGTACGACTTATACCCTTTCGAAGAACGACTGGGCAAGGATGCAGACCGCGTGCTCCTAGTCGACATTGGCGGCGGTAAGGGCCACGACATCGCGCGTTTCAAGGAGAAGATGAACCTCGCCGGTCGTCTGATCGTGCAGGACCCGCCCGAGGTCATATCGGATATCCAGCCTCCTCTTGCGCAGGGTATCGAGGCCCTGACCTACAGTTGGTTCGACGTGCAGCCTGTTGAGGGTGCTAAAGCCTACTACATGCGTACCGTGCTGCACGATTGGCCCGATAAGCAAGCTCTACAGCCTCTGCAGCGTATCCGTGATGCCATGGCGGAGGATTCGGTTCTCTTGATCAACGAGAATACCCTGCTTGAGACTGGCATCCCCAAGTTCAACACCAGCGTTGACCTCATCATGATTACTACGTTTTCATCTCCAGAGCGCACGGACAAGCAGTGGCTGAGTCCTCTGGAGCGTGCTCAATTCAAGGTTGTTAAGGTGTGGCGGGCAGATGACCAGGGAGCGGGAGCAAATGCTTTATTTGAGGCAGTCCCTGTTCAGATTAAAACTTCTAGATAGATTCAAGATGATGAGTAAACAATCGGTTCAAAATAGAAAAGGAAAAAAGGCCAATATAAATCACAACTGCGTAGTTGAAATCAGCGTGCTGATAGCGATAACATCGATATCATCACGTGATATTTATCAATTTCGGCCAAATTGGGAGCTCATGCTTTACAACGTCAGGTATTCATATTTTTGCGCTGCCATTTCCAATGAGTCCCTAAACTTAAAAGGAGGTTTTGACGATCAAAACTGCTTCATTACTACAATCTATACCTTTAATTCCAACTCCGACATCCAAACTACAACAAAATGCCCCCTCCACTCCCCTCTTCCCACCGCGGGATGACCGCAAACCCGCTCAAGCCGGTGGGCCGTTACCGACCAGGAAAAGCAGTCGCTGAAGAGCATTCATCTTCCGAAGAAGAGGTGGAAGAAGACGATATTGAGGCACAGAAAGAACAAGAAAGACGACAAGCGGAAACTCGTCGCAAACAGCAAGCACCGAAAGCGAGCTCCTTCCCCTCTGCAGCTGCCCGCAAAGCTGTACAAGAAGCCCAGGATGAGGACGAGGAGGGATTTGTCACTGAAGATGACGATGAGGAGGAAGAGGACGACGATGACGCTGCCGTCTCAGCACCAGAACCTAAAGCCGCGCTACCTATACAAGCTCGTCCAGCTGGCGTTACCGCGCCAACAAAAACACAGACAGCTGTCGCAGGAGAGTCAGAAGAAGAGGATGATAGCTCCGAAGAAGAGAGTAGTTCCGAAGACGAAGCTCCCCGGCGAATGTTAATACGGCCTACTTTTATTAAGAAGGATAAGAGGAACCAAGCAACTAAGGATCAAGCACAGGCTGCATCAGTTCCTACAGAATCGACAGAAGAGATTGAGGCACGCCGAGCAGCCCAACGACAAGAAAAAGCGGACCAATTAGTCCGTGATCAATTAGAAAAAGATGCGATTGCGCGCTCATCAGCAAATAAAGCCTGGGACGACGACGACGACTTAGCCGAAGCAGACGATGAAGCAGCCATTGACGACAAAGACGGCGTTGACCCAGACTCCGAATACGCAGCATGGAAGCTCCGAGAACTGAAACGAGTCAAGCGCGAGCGCGAGGCAATCGAGGAAGCAGAGAAGGAGCGTGAAGAGATCGAGCGCCGGCGCAATCTCACACAAGAAGACCGCGATCGCGAAGATGCCGAGTTTATCGCGCAACAAAAAGAAGACCGTGAGGCAACACGAGGCCAGGGTGGATTCATGCAGCGCTATTTCCATAAGGGCGCGTTCTTCCGTGGCGATCTAGAGAAAGAAGGTCTGGATGAACGCAATGTGATGGGTCGAAAATTCGTGGACGACGTTGCGCGTGATACCCTCCCACAATACATGCAAATCCGTGATATGACGAAGTTGGGCAAGAAAGGCCGTACGCGTTACCGTGATCTTAGGTCGGAGGATACTGGACGATTCGGTGAAGGGTATCAGAATCGCCGCGGTGATAATGCGCCGCCTATTGGCGTTACTGATGAGCGTTTTATGCCTGATCGTGGCGATGATCGAGGCTCAGGACCTAGTGGGCCAACGGGCGCTAATGCCAGTTTTGTTCGATCAAGGTGGAGATCTCGCTCTCGCTCTCCCCGGAAGGACAGTCGTGATGATCAAGGTGGACGGAGTAGGTCTAGAGAGCGTCGAAAACGCAGCCCGTCGCCATATGATGACCGCGACAAGCGACGACGAGTGGATAGCTCTTCATGATCAGCAATTCAAAGCAGATATAACTGTATCAACCCGTTCACTTTGATGCTTTGGCGTTGAAATGGAGTATTCAATCAAAAGCTCTACTTGTATATGTGGATTTCCAATTTTTCTGTGGAATTTGGGTATATATACTGGCATTCTAAAAGCAAAATGATATACACTTCCTCCATTCCGAGGGCTGCCAGCTTTTGATCATCAATATGAAATCCATGATACAAATCATTCACACGTAAAGGGCCTTTCCAACTTATAACGTTCATTCCGAGCCCTTTGGTATGAATGCAGTCGTAGACATAATGAACAGCGTCCATTGGTACGTTCGAAGAAACAGGAGCCGTATATAGAAGCCTCGAGGTCATTCAATTCTAAATAGTCCCGCTTATAAAGACACCAAACACGATAAATTTATTTAAGACCCTGACGCTCTAAAACCTTCTCCCGTTCCATAACAGTATCCCCAAAGCGCACCAGAAAAACAGTTCTGGAGGGCCACATCTCCGTAGGCTGATTATGCGCAGAGACCTTCGCTTCAAAGCCACACCCATCGCAGACACCCTCGATAACACCGGCAATGTAAGCAGCGCAATTGAGCATGTTCATTTCCCGCGGAACGCTAATATATGTGTTGACGAGGGGGTCGTTATCGGTAATCATGTATTCGTTTGGTGTATCTGGGGAAACGGAGTGTTCGAGGGCATCTGCTGAGCGCTGGAAAAGGAGACGCCAGAGGGGTCCGTGAATGAGGTGAAGGAGAGCTAGTATGCGGAGAGGTCTGTTTGGAGGTGAAGAAGATGTTGAGGAGCTGGAGAGAGCTGAGGAGGAGGTGGATGTTGCTCTGTAGAAAAGGAGGTCGAGGAGACGGAGGCCTAGCGGGTATCCTTGTTCGTTTAATCTGTGAAAGTTAGTGATGGGTCTATAGATATGGAATAAGGTATAGCAGAGCAGAGCAGAGCGAGCATATGTTTGCTGGTTGTTGGGTCCACGAACCGTTTCTCTAAATCTTGAATCCCTGTTACCCTCCGCTGGGCGTATGTGACCATCTCCGCGAATAGGTATGCGAAGCTCGCGCGGCTGAGCTCTGCATTGCGGCTCCGATTAAGATGTCTGTCGTAGATGGTTTTGCGATTCGATGGGACCCTAAGACCGGGTGTTTGGGCGGGACTTTGTGGCTGTTGTGCTATTTGTGTCTTGTCGCTGGATGTGGATTGCGGCGTGCCGACGTTTTTGCTGATGGACAGCATGGCCGAATGCCTGGGTGCGGCCATGGTGCCTGGGGATAGAAACGCAATGCAACAAGTGAATCAATGGCCTAATTCGAGGGTAGTAGTTGTCAATTCTACCCTGGCGTTTCGTGTAGTTCGTGATATGGCGGTTGTTTGAGGGGCCGAAGCTGAGTCTCCGGTTGAACTTGGGATGCGGATGTGATCTACGGTGGAGCACATCGTCCGTGGGCGCAACTCATATACGAAATCTGCATTCTCAGGTTGATTGGTAATTTACTGACGAAAAGAAGCTCATTTACAGTTTACAGGGAAAGAAAGCATGGTGTTTTTAAGAAAAGAATGTTTCATTATTAAAGGCAGAGTTTGGAGTGTGTCCATGTGCAGTCGCACAATGACTCCTCCGACTCCAGCTTCGAAAGGAAAATTTGAGAAAAATAACCTAACCAAGTCAACTCGACAAGTCCAGCCAGTATTCCAGATAATAGCAGTCGAACGAGCGCTCAGAAGGGTTGTAGTTCTATAAAGCTATGGATGGAATCGCCAAGTCAAGTGTCCTGTTCTGAAACCATTGTTAGCAAGGTTCAAGACCATCAAACAACAGCTAATAAATCCGTAAGGGATTCAGCCAATTCAATCAGACATCCAAGGAAGTACAATTGCGCTCAGCGAGCCCAGAAATAGGTTCAATTAGGGCCTAGCGTGGAAACTGCGAATGTAGGAAAAATTTTCATCATATGAATTGGGCCGTGTGGCCCATGGCTGATCCCGAAGGAAATAAAAGAAAAAAGCCAAAGTCAAAGACTTACCAAGTTAGTGGAAGATAAAAATGAAGAAATCAAGTGTCGAAAGGTGTTGATTCTTTGCTGTGAGATGTTCTCATTTGAACTTCGGATGCAGAAGATGCTTGGAGGAAGGAAGAAAATTTCGGGGCGCGAAGCCGCTTTTTATAGGGCGGAGGCTGCCCCGGAAACCAGTGGGAAGCTTCTAGCGATTATCCACTTGAGCTAGAAAAATTTTCACCGACGATGAAAGAGATGAAGTAATGGAATGGCTTGTGATTTTTATTTCTAAAATGAATACTCTTAAATATTTGCAATAAATGATTCATAGCTGCTACCTTTGTACTGGCTTATTACCAAATCAGATGGTCCAATACATCCTCGGGAGACCATGTGAGTTTAATTACTATCATATGTAGCAATAGTATAGATGAACAAGTTCAAAAGGGCATTTTCTATGGCAAGAATATTCCTTGTATCAACTGGTATGTATTCTGTAAGTTCAGTCCACTTTGGACATTCAGTTTCTGCGATCCCTTCGAGTAACGAAGCATCATGAAAGCAATCGGATTTCAAATACCCAAGCAAGAAATATGACCCCATAATTTATCAAACACAGACCAGAAGAAGGCATGTTTCATTTGAAACTCTTCTGCTTTGTGCGAGAATTCCAATTCAATGTTTTAGAAATACTATGCACCCAATCTTCCCCGCGTCCGTCCTGCGGTAAAACATTTGCAAAGGGGTATCGCGACGCTGAGACAGTGACATAGTCTCCTGGGTGTAACTCCACGCGTTCTCGCCCATCAAAACTGGCCCAAGAACTGGTTCGGGCATCGTATGGAACACCCATGCGCAATACAATTGTGTCGGGAAGAATAATTGGGCGGAATGAAAGAGTGTGAGCGCAAATGGCGGTTACCAATATAACCGGGTTTTCGGGATGAGAGAGTGATCCCCCTGCAGCGAGGTTGTACGCTGTTGATCCTGTTGGGGTAGCAATACATATTCCGTCGGCAAGTAATGTGGTGAAATGCTCATCATCGCCAAACAGCTCGATTTGAGACATGGCTGGCGGGATATGTGGTTAGCTTTGAAATTTCAATAGGCAAAAGTGACAGACCGAAAGGGAATAGACGGGGAAGTAGTTCAATGTACATACTTGGGTTTGGTCCACGATCCAGAACCACATCGTTCAGAATCTCATACACGCGATCCGGAGTATGTGTCAATGTATCCTCTCCTTCCTCTCCAATCAACTCCTCTACCAGGTCGCGGTCTGTTAATGTTCGAGAATGCGGGTCTTTTAACCTCGCCTTGCTTCTCATGATAGTGCATTCAAATCGTAATCGAAGACTCACGACAACACCGTCCCTAAAAGCATTTTCAAGAATCCTTTTATGATCCGTAAAGTCAAAATTAGTCAAGAAGCCTAATGACCCAAGCGCAAATGATAAGACAGGTGGCACAATACGCTGGAATAACCAGCTAGTGTAGAGAACAGTTCCGTCTCCACCAAGAGTAATAACAAAATCAAATAGATGTGGCTGCTCCTGCGCGAGCTTCGGGTCCCAGTACTTCAATCGACCCTTGGCGGAGGGCTCATCCTGCAGTAGTTGCAGCGCACCGAAGTCTGGATGTGTTTCCATACGACGCTCCACGTAGACGTTATATGGTGCGTCGCGATCCTTGGAAAGTAACCAGCGAGTAACCCTCCTTGTCAAGCTCACGAGGGACTCATCATGTGTCTTGCTAACAATGAAGACATTTTGAACTGTCAGTTTGAGCTTGATGCTCCCGAGCTTCTTCGAGAGTTTTCGTACGTTCCAGGCCATATCAGACAATTGTCGCTTCGTCAAATGGCGTGATTGTAGTACTGTGGGTTCCAGTTTAATGGTTTTGTTATCGCCATCCATCACGGACACAATATTATCCTCGCCCAGGAGTTTTGGGTCGACGGTTGCCTCATCCTCACGAATGGGGGCAACCATGTCTCCTGTATCAACATCTGTCTTTATGGGTGAAGCCCATTCGCCCGCAATAAGGGAGTGTACATAACATGCTGTTGTTCTGTCTTGCGGATCGTGATGAGGTTTCAATCGAGGCTTTTCCATTGTCACTAGTGAGGATTTGCGGCGGTGGTTGGAATCGGGATAGAAGACGACCTAGCAAACTGTAGTTAGGAAACTGCAAACTCAATATTTATGCGCTTGCATCTGTCTTTGTTTACTCACCTCTAGCTTGTTTCGCGCCTCATTGTCGCTGGCCGCTCCATCATGATGACTCTAAGCTTGGTTTAGTATTTTTTAACTTCGCTTCGGGGAACGTACTTCATCCACAGCGGCCGAGGATATATCTCGGGCATCGTGATCCATCGCGCGCAAATTCGGGGCTATTGTATGTGTCGATTAAAGTGGCATTGTGTGTTTGGGATGATAACGCTAGCTTGCGCGGTGGTGGGATTGCAAACGGATGCACGCTAGGATGGGTGGAAGTGGGTATGACGTCGATCCATCCATTCCTCGCAGCCCTGCCCGCCATGCCGAGGAGCATTGATGGAATGTTGTTTTCTGTGGTCGGGGGAACAATCAATTGGTTATTGGAGGTTGCATTATTCAGATTTATAGACAAATAAGAAAATACATTCGTTTATAGATATATTTAGTTCATATAATTCGACGGTCCCGGCTTTTTATCTCGGTCTAAGTCAATTTCGGTGCCGAACGAAGATCTCCCGGGAGAAATAGGCCGTTTAAGCTTTGATTTCAATTGCTTGTCATAGTACTACTATATACATCTACTACATGGCATTCTTCATCTCTCTCAAGGCAGTCATCACGTCTACTGGATCAGTCTTGCCGGTCGCTTTCTGGATTACCGGGTCCTGTACAACTTATATAAGTATTTGGAAATAGAGGGATCAGTAGGAGCAGGGGGAGACTTACATCGACACGCATGAACACATTGTGAAGCTATATAATACCATTAGTTCAACCTCTGTGGCTTGGCATCAATTCGAGCACGTACCTTCTCGTCACCAATAGTGAACTTGCCCTGAGTCTCCTTGTTCTCCTCTGCAAAGGTCTGGAGCTTCTTGATTGGCTCTGATTGCGAGACTGAGATGCAGAACTTAACATTGCCTTTGGTGTATTCATGTCCGGGCTGCAAATTTGTTAGAATCAGTACATCAAATTAATTGGAAATCGGGGAAATCAACTTACAAAAACCTTGGTGTCGTCTGGTAAAGCTGCCAGGGTCTCGTTCAATGCCTTGTGCATCTCCTTCGCGTTGCCTTCGAAGAAACGACCGCATCCTATATATGGCATATCACGTCAGAGGATGCTATCACGTAAGAGGATGCAGGGCATGAAAAATAAGCAAATCAAGCCATACCTCCGATAAACAAAGTGTCACCAGTGAACACAACTCGTTCATCTCCGTCTTGCATGAAATAGCAGATACTATCTTGGGTATGGCACGGTGTGTGCAAGGCCTTGACCGAGATACGCTCTCCAATCTTGAAAGTCTCGCCATGTCCAGGAGTCTGGGTGACGGACTGGCAATTCGATCCTCCAATGATAGGGAGTTTGCCAAATGCTTTCAACTAAGAGGGTATAAGTTTCAAGAGCTCATCAAGGGATATAATATGCTAGCACTTACCATGTCATCATTACCTCCAGCATGGTCCCAGTGGCTGAGATTGGTTAGTCAAAGCAATACTTATCCATATCTAGTCGGGACAAGAACATACTGGTGGGTATTGACGATAGCAGTCAAATCAATCTTTCCAGAAGCGATCTGAGACTTGAGCTCGGGTACTACCCTAGAATCAAGCAATATTAGCGCCGTATCTCGCGAGATATGGATAGCATGGTCAAACTAACTCTGGAGGATTGGCAGGATCGATAATAACCGAGTGCTTAGTCGGTTCATCTGTAACGAGGTATGCATAGTTATTGCCCTTCCCCGTCCCTGGAGCATAATGTAGAGGATTAGCCTAGATGGTCAAATTGATCGAGTTGAAATGCCAAGGACAGTGTCCACATACACATAGGAATCGATTGAATATGCATGGCTCGAGCTTGATTTATAATAGCTGGGCGATATCGAAAGCTTCTAATTGCTCTTGCAAAACTCATCACCAATGATGGGATGTCTCTAGTGCGGGGGAAAAGAGAGAGCTCTTGTCTAGTTATCTACAGAAAGAACGGATGACATATCAAACGTCATACGGAGAAATGGTTCTTCCGATGAGCTTTACTAATGGTACGCGGTCTGATTGGTGAATCTGTGTCTGCACAGTTCAATGTTATTTAGATGGAAATAACTTTTTGAATTCTAATGAATTTTGATGGTGCTGCCAGCAGCATGAGATTAGGCGCTTTATATCTCTCTAAACAGTTGCCGCAACACCCAGAGCCCGACTATCCCACTTTTGAACTGGCTCCCATCCAAACCCAGCTAGTGTTTTATCAACGCTGGACGATGGAGCCTGATCGCCATTCTGTCGAGTAGCTTTCTTCGCAGGGGTCTCGTGGGAATTTCGAGAGGAAGTCTTTATCCTCCTTACGCCGCCGTGCTTGCGTAATCTATCGGTCAACAGTTTGGTCCAGTAGTTCGGGTTCTCGTCGCATGAACTAAGAATGTAGCTGCGAGGACAGTGCGGCTGGTAAATCTCCCAAGCGGAGGAGGTCATGATGTGAGTTAACCAAAGGAAGAGCGCTTCGGTTGATGCATTCTTCGGTGAGACCTTTGTCGCATCCACAAACAAGCTATGCACCAGGTCTTCAGAGAGATATGTCAAGAATCTGGGATGAGCTTCAGTGATCTTTTGTAAAAAGGTATCCCACTTGTCGAAATTCGCATTCATCGATTCTCCAAGCCTATCAAATATGGTTAGTGTCAAACAGAAACACGACAGTGATAAGTTTGGCGGGAGTTGAGGAAACATACTTCCGCTCAGACCCAGTCAATAAGGATTCCTCCAAGAAGATATCAAGCAACAATCTGGACCCGTCTTTCGATGAGTCGCAGACCGAAATCACATCCGTGGCAATGGAGGCATCTTGATCACGCTTCCGTTTCTTGCGTTGAGGTTCCGAGGACTCCGAGCTATCCAAAAACTCGTTTAGAAGACGGGTGATAAGTGTCTTAGTAGAGGATCCATCTTTGGGGTCAATCGATGCATTTGCGCCCAGGCATTCGACTCCAGCCCAGTAATTGTCCCAGAGCCATTCGAGAGAACGTTGTGTAGATTTTCGAAGCACCACCAGTGATGGAGGTTCGCGGTGAGTTGCCTCATGACGTAACTCAACAAATGATGCAGGAAGACCTAGATCAACAGCACGCTGGAACATGGTTCTGCGTGGACCTGTGATTTTTGAATCCACGAGACCAGTGACGAACCTTGGTACCTGGTTAGTTGGCTGTGAAAAAAAAGGAGTATCTTCTCTGCAAAGCATGAAGAAAGCTCGAACATAAGAGTATTAGGTAGATATTCAGGACTTACCGACAGAAAGCAGCGGAGTAAGTAGCTCGAATTGAGAAGATTGAATTGTTTTGTGCATCATCGTGGAGAATAGCATCTGTCAACAAGGCAGTTGCCTCAACATGGTGCGGGACATTCCCACGCAGCTTCCAAGCTTCGACCTGAAGAGTCATGTCAGTCCGGTGAGCTATCGCTAGCTTTTCAGAGATATCAGACTTACAATGCTACAAGCGAGAGGACGGTTGTCCGGACCGTCATAGGACGCTGACGGATAAAACTGATCCCTGACCTCCAGCAACTCCGACTTATTCTTCCATGCTGTGAAGATTACTTTCGCCATTATCGAAAACCCCGCCTATTGGGAGGATCAACCCTGAATTCTTGGGGAATTTTAAATCTCGAACTTCGGCATATCGATATCTTTTCTTCACTGGATGAAATATTTTCGGGGGATTATTGATCCATTCGGGTAGTTTTACCGGTGCTAACTAACTCCCCAGCCAATCAAACCCTTCAAAAGTATACTTCAACCATTTTCTAAGGTTCAGAATGATACATTGAAAATTGTTTGCCTAAATTTGTTCTCTTAATGGGAGTTAAGACATATTTTGAGGTGATGTAATTTGTATTCATTGTAATTTGCTATCCTAGTGAAATGGTGGTGTTGAGCCACGTCTTATAAGCTATCCTATGCCCGGGGTATCCATCATGTTTCAACTCCAGTCATCCCAAATAAAGTTCAAAAAGTATAAAATAAAAAAACTCCACGCTATGCCGCTGTTGTAACAAATGAAAAACAAAAAAAATTGAAGTGATTGACGCGAATCAAATCCACCCATAGCCATAGCTCATACACGATTGGTTTAGGCCCGGGAAAGGCTGCGCAGAAGGCATGGCCTGCTGATCAAGATCGTCGTGGTCGAAGAAGAAAGACTTGTGGAGCAAGTTCAAAGCCGGCTTCACATGCTGAGGCATCGAAAAGTTGGACTGGTGCGACATTGATGCATGTTGCTGGGGTAGAGTCTGTTGTGGAACGGGCTCCGGCTCATTCGTATCATCGTTGTCATCCTGAGATCCCTCGTCCTTTTCGTCATCGGATGGAGAGAAAGTCTCCTCCAATTTCAATCCCTTGCCCAGAAGGCCCTGCTGATGTGATTGGCTGCAAGTGCCATCTGGTTGGCTGTACAGGCCCATGCCGACCAGTTCTTCCTCGGGCTTGCTGTCCTTCTTTTCCTGGGAGATGGGGGGAAAATTGCTGGATGGGAAGAAAGTCGGGAGTTGAGGGACCACTCATTTCACCAGGCGAAGGCACGCTGGCGTAACTGGGACATGTAGTTACTGGTGGGGGAATGTTCGCCATTGAGAGCATGTCGAGGGACCAACCATCGGAAGAGATGGCCGACATGTCGACCTGGTTTGTGGTGTCCCATGCCATTGGCTCGACCTGCGAGTTGGGAATTGAAAGCGTTGGGGTTTGTTGAGGCAGAGACATGGGGTCTTGCGAATCCAGGTAGAATGGAATGTAACTGTCGGGTGATACTGCAGCGCCGGCAGACAAGGGATATGAGAGCATACTATCACTACCGTAGACAGAGAGAGCGTTCATGTTGAGAGTTTGGTCGTGCATGGTGCCCATGGCGGCATACTGCTCTGGGGAGAATTCAGGAACACAGGCAGGGTTAGAAAGGCCTCTACTCCTAGCGGAAGATGGGTGCCAGCTGATAGGGCGAGGGTTGCGGACTGCTGAGGCAAGGAGAGCGGCCTCCAGCGAATTTTGATATTGATTGGAAGACCCATGCATAACACCCTGAGCGGCACTTGTCCTTCTCCTAGTCATTGTCGATGGGCTATTGCCTGCACTCCTGGGCTTCATAACTCGAGAGTGTCGTGGTCGTGGAAAAGTACGGGCCCAGTCCTGCATGTTGGCGGGTTGACTGTAAGCATAGTCCGGGAGCCATTGGGAGCCAGACGAGGAGGCTTGTGGTTGATAACAGAAGTCGGCCATAAAATGTCGGTTGATGGAAAGGACCTGTTGGAGGGTCCTTTATGTTGTATTTCTTTGAATTTAATCCTTTCGTAATTCCACCAGACAGTCCCACGAATAGGTGTGAAGATGGTGTGGGAGAGGTATTCGTGTGGGATGTGGGATGGGAGGATGGAGGTGAGGTGGAAAGGAATTCCAGAAACCAACGTCCCCCAAAAGGAACAGTGGTCGTTTTTAAGAGACGGTATGGAGTATGGAGAGTGAGGATCCAGGCCGACAGGAGTAAGCGATATTATAAGAGAATCCAGGGAGCCTGGCGATCTACCACCCGCCCCAGGTCCACGATCCCACCACACATGCTAGGATGACACGACGTTGACACTAACGAAACGAGCCTAGTCCAGAACCACAGGGCCGCATGGAACGGGTCAAAATCCATGATGAATCAGGCGCAGTCCCACCGTTCCAAGGGCAGAATATTCCGGAGTACAGAGTGGAGACTTGTCGCAGTGGAACATTTTGAGGCGAACATGGGGAAGAGAGAGTTTAGTTTGAATGACCGCCCCACTATTGGAGTCCGACCAAATGGACGTGGACCCTCCCACGGGCCCCAAAAGCCCCATTTCGTATTTTATACAGAATAGAATTCATTTAAAAAATGATAATTATTTTAATTTTGGGGATTATTTCCATATTAAACCTTGAACACGATTAAATAGTACAGTAATACTATAGGATCATTCCCATCTTCAGTCATGTTTGACTTTCAGGCTTTTCCCCCCTCTTCCTTGTCGAGTAAAGGAAATAAAAATCCTTCTTAGTAGAAAATTTAAAATAATAATTCGAAATAATAAAAAAGTGAAAAAAGTCTTGGCCTCCATGGAATGCTGTTAAGCCAATCCCACTTCCGATCGACATCCAATCTTGCCTGGTCGAGTTTTCAGCACCCTTGGCTGGGATCCGATTTTTTCGGTTTTTCGGTTTCTTCGTTTCACCGGAGATTGATCAGCCCTGCAATAAGAATGCGAATGGGTCTTTCCTAGTTTCCCGTTACTGTTTGGGCGCCATAGCGTCCCGCTCAAACAAAAGACGACTTTCGTTACGCAAGGGTTACAAATGTGATGGGTTGTTGAGATCGACTCGCCCATCCTTCGTGTTCCTCTATTCGACAGGGGTGCCTGAAGTGGAGTCGCTCAATACACTGGGAAAAGAGACCGATGACTCCGTCATGGCGCCTGTGCTTTGTCACGGAGTCCTTCCCAAGGAGTTCTAGATCCGTTTTGGCTATGAAAATCAAGAGACATTCTTGTCGCCCCTCTTTAAGTCCCCCCTACTCCATCTAGTAGAAGGGCAAAGAGGGGGCACACCACCCAAAAAAAGACGAAGAGGCGTGGCCTCTACAACTGAGTATTTCCTAGGTAGCCAGGTTACATACACATACCCCTTTGGTATCGTGCATACCCGGTTGATGATTCTTTTTTCTCTCCGCTGCATGCGCCTTCTTCTATCCGGAGTACATGATGCAGGAGATGCATCATCGCCACCAGCGATCGTCTTTTGTTCCGATCCCACTAAAGAACAAGCCACTCTCGGCTCTTGATTGGACTAATTAAAAGTCTGTCAACGGGAACTATGCTCCGTTGGCTGCAATTTAACGATTATCACCTAAAATCCTGTTCAAGTCTCACGTATCACCTGAGAGGCTCAATGTTCGGGTCTCATTTCAGACTACTGTACACTACGAAGAGTACTAATGTATCCATACCTTGATCCAAGAAACAAAACAATAAAACCCACGGTGTTACTGCGTCCTAGGTGCATGACCCGATTGTACGCCCCCTTCTAGTGGGCCTGTTTCATTGAAAAGAGTGGTAGCCCGTGTGTACTGCCGCCACAAAGTGTTCGTGTTGGAAGTGACCATCAGGGCGGGAAGCTCGGCAATCGTAAGCGTTGGAAACGTGGAGCCCTATCGAAGTTTTCATCTACCTAGGGAAATTTGAGTTCATCCATATTTCCAAGAGAACCAAGAAAAGAGACCTAGTTAGCGCTAGGCAAACTATGTAGGAGTACTCGTACCCCCTCAGTAAGCTAGGCATATGTGATTATGGGTATTAGTTACATGTACTAAGTATATCCATGTACTTCGTACTTCCTCTTAAGCTTAGGTCGGTTATGGTTGAACAGCCTGAGAGCAAACAAGGATTTCAATGTGACCAGTTCCCTGCACGCCCTAACCTGGGGATGGTTGGGTTTAGCCTGCACATAGCTCATCCGTACATGTCCGCCGAGACGAAGGATTCTAGTTTCCTTCGGAGTCCAGTTCCAGCATGCTCCTGGGGCTTACTATTTTTTTTTTCTTTTCTTTTCGTAACCGTTTGCTAGTGAGTAACTAAAGGACGGGAAGAGATCCAAATTGCAATAAACATTCAGACCCGCTTGGTCTGTGAGCAGATTTACAATGGTGGGAAAAAATAGAAGGAAAAAAGAAAACAATAAAACAATAAAATAAAATAGAAATCTTAATTACCTATGGGGCTCACACCCCATTTCTGTGTCACCGATCAGGAAATGGGCGGTAGAGCCACCATTCACAACGTGGCCGAGCGGATCTGATCATGCTTAGCGCTGAACTGCCAAAGTCCCCCCGGTCGGGTTCCTTGCAACGCCCGGGCCTCCGGAAGAACGGGCTTGACGTTGGGGCAGGTTTTTTTTGCTTTGTCCGAAAGGATTTTCATTTATTTTTGACTTTTCGATGATGCTATACCCGCTGCTGATCGATTTTTGATTTTTTTTTTTCTTTTTCCTTGTCTCTTTTAAACGAATTTATTTAATTTAATTGCCTTTGGGCTTCTTTCTTCCCTTTGATCCAGTCTACCGGGAATGAACCCCCCTATCTGATTTGATTTCAGAAGGATTCTATCGTAGCAGTAACCTATATTGTATCTTGGATGGAGTGCTTACATGGAGTACGGAGTACACTATCACTTCTGACTTCTGACTTCTGACTTCTGGCCAAAAATGAGATAATCCATCCTACATCTTCCCTCTACCCCCTGTACACTTCATACACGGGCCAGACCTCCCGTTTCTTTTTTCGGTCTACCTCACAGAATGCAACACGATGTCATCTGGCTTGCCTCATTGAACAAGGATTCGAGGACCACTCAGGGGACCAATGCAAAACACCTAACCCAGTTGTCTACATCATTACACAGACGATCCAAGGCCGTGTACCGCTCGGAACGCATTTGCATGGACCCACTTCCTGCACTGCAGGGGCCACTGGGAAGAAGATTGGTGACAATCATCAATTTCCAGAAGCTCAGGGGGCCAGTTAACATCGTTGCTTTTCTCCTTTGCCCCCTCTCTGTGAGTGGATTGGGTGGATCTTCCCTCCCAACGCTGACACAATCTCATGAATTGCCGATCTCTGGAGTACAGTATAGGAGAAGACACCGCAGGGCGGCACAGATTCCTTCAGCTGAAGCTGTTGATGGATCCTTAGAAGGAAAAAAAAAACTTACCAAGATAGACATGCGACGTTTTCGTTCTACACTATGGAGCACGCAAGTAGTAGTTTCTGCGGGATTCTAGCCTTGTTGTTTTGCCCCTTTTTCAACCCCCCTATTATTGTGTCTAATCCACATTTTGACTCATGCAATGTGATACGAACCTGCCTAGGTACGTGTCCAGAAAGTGACATGGTGACATACTAATCGGAAACCGAGGTGCTTGGAGAACCTCGTACATTACAAGGCATCTGCCGACAAAAGCAAGAAACTCAGCCCTGCATTCCAAGATTAAGGCAAAGTAATAATCAATAATCACAATTAATTTCATGATAATTTAAGCCAGAAGAATACGCGAACAAAAGTTCTCCACTTTCAATCGCTCCAGGAATGGACGGTCACTTTCCGAGACCCGACCACGCCAAATCGGGTCCAGATCTACTTGTTGTCGCGAGCCTCTCTATTTTTTCCTTTGTCTTTTTGCTCTCTTTTCTTTCTTCCTTCTTGGCCCTCCCCACTCGCCTAAACCTCCGACGCTTACTAGCGTTCCTGGGCGACCCTCCATTACCATGCTTCTACCCCCAAAACGACCCGCGGGGACAAATAGACGTAAGTTCGAGCGGGGCTCGTCCAGCCTTCCTTAGCCTTCCAGACGTTTTAGTCAGACTTTACAAGAATCCTTCTTCTTCCGTTTTAGCCTTTGGTCGTTCACTTCCCTGAATCTTTGGCTTTTTTAGCCCCATGGATGCAGCGGAAGGAGCTGCGGGCTAAATCAAATTGCCTTGCCTTAGTGGGATGTCATCAACTTCTTACGGTGTAGCATCGTGCGGATGACCACCGCCCCCATAGGAGCCGTGCGCGCCATGATATCGAACTCGATAATGAGAATAATTAATAGAGGGGCCATCTCGGTCGGAGTTCCCCTAGTCTAGTAGTAGCTACATATCCGTACGTCCTTACGGAGTACTAGTAGATTGGCCCTCTGCGTGCCCCTCCCCTCCTCCTTTCAAAGGAGATGATGGTGACGATCTTTTCAATGTTGTAAAAGCTTGGGGTCCAATTATCCTCCGATGGTCTCAGAGGTGTACGGAGAACGGAGCACGGCGCACAACTGTCGATTTCTGGTGTCTTACTAGGAGTACGGAGTATACTATGTAAGAAAGGATCCTGGATCTAGCCTAGTATTCGGTATTCCTACTTCGGGAGATAGCATATACTATGATGAAAGGCTGTTCCTTTGTTTCTCACTCACTATACTACTAACAGGACCCGGCTGAAACCATGTCTGTCGTTCGCGGATAGGCTGCAACATCAAAAGCAGGCTGTGCTTCTGAAATCAAACTATGTTCCTGTAATAGCAATGGTTATACTTTTTCTTTGATGAATTCAGCAGGCAGCTGGCTTTGCTATATCGAGTTTGGAAGAGGATCAGGAAAGATGGAGATTGACCTTATCATTGGTTCCAGTGCGCAAGCAGTCCAAGACCAAACAAAAAAAGATGCTTGTCACACAGCGCCTCGCCCAGGTCTCCATTTAGACACGTAGGCTGCAAGTCCACTCCGATAAGGGATATGCAGCCTCAGTATTTCATCATTCGGTACTTCGTGCCTTGAACAGTGCACGGCGCTGACCCCATGATTGAGTTTCCACTCGGTTTTACCCGTGCGTCTGCGTCGGGCACAGTCCGGGCTTTCCTGCAGGCGACCATCTTCTCTCAAAGTCGCTGGGGCGTGATGCCTGAGGCGTAACGCCACACAAGGCCCAGGTTCTGGTGGGGCAAAGACGATCTGGCCGACTCGCATTACTGTAGGTGGATCAGAAGCTAACCGTCACACCTCACACACTTGCGTCGCCTAGTGGCGGAGCAACGCTTGGAGGAGAACCGTCCAGCCCAGAAGCGGTCAAGCCCAGGGGTTGGGCCAATCATACTGGTTACTCTCTAACTTCGTTTGAATGCTGGGTTTCTCTAAAGAAACCCCCTCTCTGTTGCAATCTATGTGCGACAGCGACTAGCTTTCTCGCCAGCCAATTCACAGATCACGTATCCACTTTCTCTTCGCTTCCTGTTCCCTGGAATCCATGCTGAAGAGTCAGCTGCTACAGGCTACAACAACGACAAGAAGAAAAAGAAACCATAAAATCTATACGGACAAATGGACAAAGCCTATATGATACGGAGTACAAGCTGTTTGGAGGATTGATCTACTCCGGTCAGCACACTGGGGCTTTGGGATCAAATGGAGAGCCTAAATAATAATAGCAGCACCTGATGGGTTCCAATCGGCCCCATGCAGGGGCTGATCCTGATTCTTCCCATCCTGCTCCTTGGGCACATTAACTATATCATGCATTGTGACACTCAGACATGCCTATACCTCCCTATCCGCCGTACACCCTTTTTCCCCACCACCCCTTCCAAAAGGACGATCAATACATACAGCTGAGAGTAAGGGTATCTGCAGCACGTCCGTTACGCAGTAAGATGACACAGAATACCTCGATAATTCATATCGATAATGCCATTAACCCGGCAGTTGTCATGTGTGTAATCGGAGATGACTCGGATTTTGACTTCGAAGTACCGTGGAATGGGGGAGGATTCCCGAAGATCGACGTCTCGGGATAATCGTTCACTGGTATCTTACTTGTAGTTTCATTGGAAGGGTTAACCACCAACGAAAAGAGAGAGAAAGCAAAGAATGTACTCCGTACTCCAGACGGGCTTCCGCCTTCCTTCCTTGTGCTGCATCTTCGCACTAACACCGTGATCAAGTCAGCTGCGAATGGATACACTTACTAGTAGTGGGCTTTTTTTTAACAGTGCCAACAAGTCAATGCACCACCACACTATCGAAAATTCAGCCGTCTACGGCGAAAGATTATTGGAATACCACTCTATACTTTGCCCCTCCCAATAGCTTCAACATCCACTGTACATACTTCGCACACCGAGACTTTCCAATCTGCACCAACACCGTGTCAAATTCCACATTAGGACACGGTGCGTACGCCCCATAGCCTTGACCCGAACACTTCACTCATTTGTTTGAAGTAGCGCTACTGCGGAGTCCTATACCAGCAAATAAGGATGGTGGGGGCGAACAATCACAATTTTCTCCACGGTTGACCGCCGGAACAAAATTAAATCCAGTCAATCATAACCAACAAAGACGGCGATCTTCGACCCTGCAACAACTTCACAGGTGGAAACTCTGCTCTGTTAACCCTTTCTCGCTCTCGGCTTCGAAAAGAATATGATCCACAATGCCCATCATTTCCTATTTCATCGATAAAACATGGAGTTCCCGTACCGTCTGTCTCCGTCGATAGTCTGAGTCTGAAGGTGAGAAGACCCTCGTGTAGTAGCGGGTCCAACCAATAATCTTCTCCGGTTTCCCGCGCGCTCAAATCAATTTTGAGACTTGGAGACCGTCGATCGAGTCCTCGTCCATTCAAGGGCTGCAGATACATACCATAGTCTGGTGAACGGGACGCCGTACATGCCGCCCAACAGATAGAATTTTCACTCGTTCGGTTTCACTCCCCCCTCTATGTACGCTATGTACTGTACACGCAACGCAAGTCCTCCGAATCTTGTAGATCACAAGTGGGGTTGGAGCTATTGAGTTTTTGGGGTTTTTCCTTTTGTTTTTTGTTTTCTCTTTTTTTTGCGTTCCCCGCCTCCTAATCGGTACACCCCCCCCTACCTTTGCGACATGCTTTTGGGATTCACGCGCAGGAAGTAGTGCGTCCATAGTGCGTGTTAGTCTATTGCGAGATCGGGCGCATCGGGTAAATAGTCATTTTTTCTTATGTATCGGCCGATCAATCAATCATGTGTCTTTTGGCCCCTTCCCTACCTGCACATAATCTGTTCGGAATAGATCATTGGCTTCTTAGATCATCATCCTGGTAGTATCTGAGATGCACAGGCAGATCTTCCGCCACGTTTCTGTGATTACGAGGTCAGTGTTGGACTGATGGTGTGTTCGGTGGTGGATGGGTTGTTGGGATAGGCGGACTGTTTCCGGGATCCAGGATATACTAGTATACGCCGGAGCCTGTGGAATGGCCACACATGCTTATCTGATGACACAAAGACTCTGAGCAGCAAGCTTACAGACTACAATCATGATTTCGATGATCTATAAGCATGATGGAGAATTCGATGTAGACTGTGGCATACATATCATGTAGTAGTATCCCGATTTGTCGTAGACCTCGGAAAGAGACATGCACATGTGCAAGGCATATACAATATGTAGAACTTGAACACTCCTAGATGCATGCATGTGTCAAGGATAAAGGATATGAGCTAGCGATTGGATTTACAATGCCCAATGCCGGGTTGTTACCGGCTAGAAACAGTCAGCGGCGCCAGACTACTTTCAATAAGATGTTGTAGATTGTCAGAAAAAGAAAGCACGATGATCGCAGTCTGCTGCTGTATCCAACATATAGTAGTATCGGTCAACATCTCACTTTCAAGTTCTACATGTACTTCAAGGTTCTTATGTAAGGGGTTGGATATATTACTTTTAATTTTGTGGAGGTTGCACAGTGCACAGTGCACTAGAACTATATATCTATCTATCACAATGGTAAGGATGTCTTGAGTAGATGATGAGGTTTTCTCATGATCTCTCGTGCCTTGCTTGACGCAGCCTGAACTTGATAGACAACCATGACTGCGATCATTAGGTTGGTCTTCAAAGGGTGCACCTCCATGGGGTATGTAAACTGCCAAGTAATACGTTCATCTTGAATCCTGTTTGGATTTTCAGAAGCAAGGAAAGCAGAGCTGGGGTATCGAGAGGGGTAGATTTGCATGGACTGGTCGAAAAAGAATGATGAACCAGTGAAGCCCAGTATCCCACCACGTCGCCTGGTATTGACTAAGAGGGTAATCAATATTTGGAAGTTGGCCACTTCTCCTGGTTAATATTAGAGACCACACACATGCACTGCTCAGGTAACTGGATGGGTCGTAAATGTATTTGCGATCATGGTGACGTCAATCGGTGGTCTTTCCATACCACACAAGGATCATGGAAGCAAGAACCGAACAAATGCAAGCATCATATCTACCACATACATTTGCACTTATGAACTAGAGCGTCTGTCATATTTTACAATTCATATTTACTTCGTTCGGTATTACTACAAACTTTCACGAATGAAATACACATCCGGGGAAGTGGAATACTAAAACAGTCTGTTGCCATCAAAAATATATCAGCATACTTGTTTAGCGATGTCAACGCACGAAGAGCCTTCAATGAAAGAGCCTGAGACCGATGGTGTTATAGGCAGTCCCCGCACAGCAAAAAGCCGTGTACTAGAAACCGGAGCTGCCATTGTCCAAGACTTCACACCGATCAAGCAAATATGTGCACACTTGAACGCATTCCACGTATACGCCAGTGATCCAACCCGCTGCGTTGAAGCGAACCATTATTGCACGCATCTAACAGAAGGTAATAAGCCCCGCTGATCTACCCATGAGTAAAGTTGGACTCGGGTTACTAGTATAGGGCAACAGAGTTGACACAAGTTGTTTCCTGAAACCAGATGTACGACAATGTCTCGTCTATGACTCGCCAGCCGCCAATGCCCGCTTGATCGGGGTAGAGTATCTTATCTCTCCGCGTGTATATGAGACGCTCCCATCCGAAGAACGCAAGCTATGGCATACACACGAATTCGAAGTGAAGAGCGGCATGCTCATCATGCCTGCGCCAGCTGGTGTGCCTACTTCAGTTTGGGAGGCAGCAGAAACAGCCGAGATGAACGACATTGTGCCGTGTTATGGAAAGACGTATCATTTTTGGCAGATTGATCGGGGCGACGTGGTGCCACTGGGAGCACCACAGTTGATGGGGAGTTTCACGACACATGATAATGTGAAGGTTGCCTGTCCAGGTGGCCTGGACGAGTTGCTTCGAGAGCGAGATGAGAGATTCAAGGTTGATTATCGGCACAAGGCGAAGGAAAGAGAGGGAATTCCGGACACCGAGAAGCATTCAGGTATGTCTCGTATGCGGGCGTTGATACTTTGGACTGGGCTGATTGATTGCCTTCTTAGATGCTGATATGGCATGGAAAAAGTAGACCTAGCGAGATTAGCAAGACCTATGGCCGAAGGTAAGATGCATTCAAGAACGTTCAAAGGGAAGTGTGATTTTGGGAAAAGAAAATGGTTTGTATTGATAAGTGTATTGATATCTAGTGGTATGTCTCCCCACTACACCGGACTCAAAAACCCAGTCCCATAGTGAAATGGGGTCAGATAGAGACCAATTGGGGGATTAGCCAATACAACAGCATCGGCCGGCTATGTCAATCTTGCTTCATTGTCTACACTTGCTCGTCCTGGTGTTTAATTTCGACGACGGCAAGCTCTAGCTTTTTTCAGAAGCGGAAGGGGCAGAGTAAACTAAAACGAGGTGCGAAATAAAGCAAATAGACAGGGGGAAAGAGAAAAAAGAGATCGAATCCGATCGAATCAAGATGGCATGAGTCGACTTGAGATTCAAGATATTGGCTCCAGGATAGCTCATTCTCAAGTCCACGACATTAGTAGGCTTTTGAATGAACCAGATCTCAAGGAGTGAAGAGTAATTTCACTGCGGAGGGAATCTTATTCCCCAGAAATATCCCAAGGTTGGGTCCTGCAATGTCGTTTTGCGACTCTTATTCGAGGCTGCTCAAAGGGAAGAGTCGTAGGGAAGGAAAATCTCATTTTTAAAGCGGCAGAGGGTCACATGACGTTCAGCATTGATGCCTCGGGATACTGGCAGCACAAATCTTTATGCGATAACTAGTTAGTTAATGAATAGCGGAAACCCGCAAGCTCATGCTTCCCCAAACACCCAAGGCATGCGCATGCCCTACTACACATGGAGCGCTTCATTCGATCAATACTAAGAACGACACCAAGCAGGGTCGCCCGTGCTGCCATCAATGGCACCGGCGCGTTCTGCGCCTGCGTCCTCGTCTGGGAACACCTCGTGACCGTACAACTCAGCGAAGGACCTTCGATGTACCCAACTTTCAATCCGCGCGGCGACTGGTTACTCATTTCAAGAATGCATCGCAATGGGAAAGGAATTGAAGTTGGCGATGTCGTGCGATTTAACCACCCGACTTTCTTGGGCGTTCATGGTGCGAAGCGGGTTCTTGGGATGCCCGGGGATTTTGTCTGTCGGGATCAACCTTATAGCACCGTGGCTGGTGGGCAACCAGATATGATACAGGTGTGTTTAACCTTATGGGCTTGGCAAATCTTGTTAAGGGGCCCCTTTGCTATTCTCTGCGTCATTTGGGTGATATATTTGCTAACTTGGTGTTTGTGCTAGGTCCCCGAGGGTCATGTCTTTATGGTTGGCGACAACCTTCCCTGGTCGCGAGATTCGAGAACATTTGGTCCGGTACCTTTAGGCCTCATCAATGGCAAAATTGTCGCCAGGGTGTGGCCTCCCTCTAAGATGGAATGGGTGCGCAATACTATGAAACCCGCCGAGTTGGATTAGACTTCACGCTTGTATAACATTTTGAACGGCATGGTGTGATTTGGCATCTACATGGAGTCTGGTGTCTATTTGGGAAGAAAAGAAAGAAATGGGACTGCTGTGCATATTCATACATATTCAATTGTACAATACAAAATTTATACGGAAAACAATATTGGGACAGAGGTATAGATCGGAGGGTATCTACCGGAAGGAAGAGGGATTTCTCCGCTTGTAAGGAAGAGGCTCGACCTTCTTCCGGCGCAGCTCGAATTCTGCATCCTTGAAGCCAATTTCCTTCATCACCTCCTGGGTGGTTTCATCCCATTGGCTACGGAAGAGGTGAGCGCCAATGGCCTTGAGGTGGTATCGGGCCTGGAGAGTGCGCAGGAGCACGTTCTCGCGCTCGGTTTCCTTAGCCTTGACCGCGGCAAAGTCTAAGGGCTGGTTGTCCTTCTGCTCCATAATGAAGAGAGAAAGTCGATGGTAAGGGCTACCCTTCTGAGCTACAGGTGCGGCCCAAGGAAGAACAACTTGAGAGTCTGTGGAAAGTTGGGAGAGGTCGACCTTCGTGGCGACGGCGGAGATGGGAACATTGACAGCGAAGTAGTGCATCTTGAAATCGAAGCCGTCTCTCTCCACATTGGGGACATCGGGATCGATGACGGCAATTGTAACAAGCTTCTCGCCGCGGTCAAACATTTGAATGTCTAGTTTAGGTGCGGTTGTGCTGTCCTTTGCCAGGACATAGTCACCGGGCGCAACTTGTCGCTTTCCGAAGTAAAGCTTTGTGTCAAGAATGGGCTCACAGTGGGCCAGGACGTCGGGAATAACCTTCATCTGTGTAATGCGCTGCACCAGGATCTTTCGGCGATACTCGCGCCATTTGCGGTCAGCCAAGAAGCGGTAGATAGGTTTGCTCATATCGCCTAATTGAACAAAGGCAAGAAGTTAGTTTAAAATCCCAACCAAATTAAGCCCGGAAAAGAGCCTTAACATACCTAGGCCATCCTCGAACTTTCGTTTCACCAGAGGATCATTAATGTCGGCCAAAACCTTCAGCTCCTCAAGATGCAACTGCATAGCAGTCAGGCGAGACTTTCGTGAGTTTTCTCCACCTGCCTCGATGGGCTGTGCCTCTAACCGTGAAATCTTCTGGCGCATGGACTCAATCTCCTCCAACTTCTGAGATCGGTCTCCAAGAAGGACCTTTCGCGCTTCTTGGAAACATTGATATGGTAGTTGCTCGAAAGGGAGGCTACCGGGGCTCTGCAGGGCAGCACGACGACGGCGGGATCCAATTGGTGTCGTACCCTGTCGCATCAATCGGCGTTCCAATCGAGGACTTGTGACAAGGGATGGATCGGGAGATTTGTGGAATGGTTGACTAGGTTCAGACTGGGCGTCTGGAACACTCGCGGTCGACTGGAAGCCGCGGACCTGCAGTTGCATGCCCGGAAGGCCTCTGGTGTAGGAATTGCGAAGACATTGAAGCAAAGGCTTCGATGCCCGCTCGCAATGGGCCATTGTGAAGGGCTTTATTGGGGTGGAATGGGGGTTGGAGGTGGAGAGTGATGTTGTTGTCTTCGGGGGAACTTTTTCTGCTCGCAAGCCAAGAGTTCTGCTAGTGCCCACCGCCTCCCCGGAATCAACTTTTGCTCTTCCCATTTACACGAAGAGAACCACCAAACCATACGGCTAATTCTCTACAAAGGCTGACACAATGCCTGGCAGTCAAGTTTTACGGTCCCTAAGACTGCTGTCGCGCAGCTCAGGAGGCCTCCTGTCTGGATCAGAGAATGTCACGGTATGCGAACTGTCCGATTAATTTCCCATCGCTTCCACGAAGCAATCAAGATCGACAGCGAAGATACAGTCCATTGACACATAGGATTATGAATACAGCGACGAACCCTTACTCGATCCATGGCCACCGAGGCTCAAGCCAATGCCTCCACAAATCCCGATCTTGCCAGTCCCTCGGTCGCTCCTTGGGATCGCCCCGTCTCAGTCATGACCTATAACTTCCCTTCTATGGAACCCGCTCGTTTGACCGAATACTCTCAAAAACACCTTCAGATGCCCATGCGGAAAGATCTTCTTCACCGTGCAATTGTGTACGAGGGTGATATGACTCGCCAGGGTACCGCCAGTACCAAGTGGAGGGACGACGTGCACGGTAGTTTCAAGAAACTCATCAAGCAGAAGGGATCCGGTCGGGCTCGTGTGGGTGACAAGAAGTCGCCAATTCGAAGGGGTGGTGGTGTTGCTTTTGGTCCTCATCCTCGCGATTTCTCGACCGACCTCCCCGCAAAGGTTTACGACAAAGCCTGGCGCACAGCTCTCAGCTACCGCTACTCCCGCGGAGAATTGATCGTGATCGATAACACAATCTCTCTTCCCGCGGAATCAACACCCTTTTTAATGGAGAGGATCCTCAAGGCGAACGGTTGGAGTACCAAGCAAGGACGCTCAACATTTATTACTGAGAAGGTCGACGAAGAATTGTTTGACAAGGTGTCGAAGTTGCAGCGCTATGCGAACATTATGGACCGCAGTGATGTCGATGTCAAGAATCTGCTGGAGACCTCGCGATTGATCATTGAGAAGACGGCATTGGACAAGATGCTGAAGGAGCATTCATTGGATTTGATCAGTCGTCCAGCGAAGGCCCTATACCTGTGAGTATTTGGCTGAGACTTTATTGCATCGACTGTTTCATTTATTTCCCCCCTGTTTGTTTATTGTATTCTGGCCATCTGTACAAATAGAATAAGAATTTACTACCATTTGAGCGGGTATGCTCAATCTAAATCATTATACTTCCCCAGTCTCCTCTCTATAGCGTGTACCAAAGCAATTAATTAATACAATACGTGAATTAATTGCTCAGCCATTACCACACAAAAATATTCCGACAGTGTTTGTTTTATGAAATCAGAAAATTAACATTTTTGATCTAAAATTGGGTTTATAGTAGGTCGCCTGGCATTGATACCAGCAGGCGGAGAGCGCTTGTCCTCGGACCGGAAGAAAATCCATTCCAAAAAAACTCCCGAGGTCGACGTAAAGCGGAGAAACACCTGATTATCCCTAATAACCTTCCTTTTCCCCTCCCGAGGTCCTTTATTTCCTCTTTCTTTTCGTGTCTAGTCTCTATGTTACTTCGACACTCATTTTCCCGGTTACCTTCGCCGCCGAGCTGGATCTCGCGGTTCCCATCGCAAGGAATGCCTCTACGCGCCAAGGTGACCAACCCTGCTTTTGGGGCAACTGCTTCGGTATAACTACCTTCTCACTGGGATTTGCAAGCTTGGAGACCAATGCTGACTTAACCTAGATGTCGACATCAGCAATTCCCAAAGAACAACCGGGAGATGAAGCCGATGATGTTCTCTTCAACTCCCTCTACGGTCTCCGCAGCGTTGAGCTCAACCGCCCGAAGAAGCTCAACTCCCTCAATGGCTCTATGGTCCGCAAGATTTTTCCTCGGCTAAAGGTCAGTCATGATGAAAGGAACCATTGTGGGATGGACAATATACTAAAGCATCGGCCGAACTACAGGAGTGGGAGAAATCTCATTTGGCGAACATCATTCTCATCTCCGGCGCAGGCTCCAAAGCTCTTTGTGCAGGAGGTGATGTCGCGGCATTGGCACTACAGAACGAGAAGGGACCTAGGGGACAACGCGCGTCGACAGATTTCTTCGGACTCGAATACGGACTGGACCACTTGATCGCTACATACTCTAAGCCCGTTATCTCTTTCATGGACGGAATCACTATGGGCGGAGGTGTCGGCTTGAGTATGCATGCCCCATTCCGAATTGCGACCGAGAAGACCGTTTTCGCTATGCCCGAGACAACCATTGGTTTCTTCCCCGACGTGGGTGGCTCGTTCTTCCTGCCACGCTTGGATGGCGAGACTGGTACCTACCTCGCTTTGACTTCCGAGCGCCTCAATGGCGTACAGGCTTTGTACTCTGGCATTGCCACTCACTATCTTCACTCTAGCGTCCTCGCCAACGTGACACAGCGTCTTTCCGAGCTGACCTTCGCCGACAACCTCGGCCTCCAAGAGCGCTTGGATGCCGTCAACAAAACCATGGCTGAGTTCTCACTTGGTCTTCCATCTCTTCAAGAGGAGCCTATTCTCCTTGCTGGTGGTATCCGTGCCGCCATCGACCGCTGCTTCCAGTTCAACGAGGTGGAGGGGATCTTCGCCGCTCTGGAGAAGGAGCAAGAACAAAAGGAGTGGGCACAGAAGACCTTGAAGACCTTGTCTTCCCGCTCTCCAACCTCTCTCAAGGTGACTCTGCGCCAGCTTCGCCTTGGAAAGAAGTGGGGAATCACCGAGACCTTCCAGCGTGAACATGATATCGCTGCCAACTTCATGCGCCACCCCGACTTCGTGGAGGGTGTTAAGGCCCGCTTGATGTCCAAGCCTCCCCGCCAGGCTGAATGGAGCCCGGCTACTTTGGATAAGGTTACAACTGACATTATCGATAAGTTCTTTACCGCTCCCGAGGACCAAGAAAAATTGCAGCTGTTCAGCGAGGGCGACTACCACCAATATCCCCACCAGCGATTTGCGCTTCCTAGCGAAGGTGAAATTGAAGCATATGTACGAGCCAGGCGACGTGGGACCGACGAGGTGATCAACCACTTCGTAGAGGAGTCGGGCCACAAGGAGGGTGTCGCCGAGAAGGTATCAGAGGTGCTGGGTCGGCGATTGAAGAAGGAAGGAGGCGAATGGAAATGGATCTAAAATATAGATCGTCTACAACATGTAATTCCCCCACTTTAATTGGCTTTGTGATAGGCGATTGGTCTGTTCAATGTTCAAGTGTATTTATTAGAAAGTTTTCACCCGGTTTCTGGATATTGAACCAAATTTTGCATGATATTTATTTAACAATCTGATACTTCCGATAATAAGGACTTACCATTGTCCGTAACTTGAAACGATGTTAAGTAACTTATAGTCCTTGGAGATCTAGACTATTAGCTCAAAGTCCTGGAGGTTTTGAATGATTATCGCGGTGATGATGCCCCAGGAAAGTTCTATCAGAGAATAAACACACGTAGCAGAGCCGGAAGTTCATTCAGTCAACTGATCTTAAATAGGTAAATAGTGACACGCAATTCATAAAGCTTGACGGGCTTCATATGTGCTAGTATAGTATCATGGAGCATCAAGCAGCTAGCCAAGTACCTTGGGCGCCGACAAGGTCTAGTAAGTAGTCAGCCCACCTTAAAAAGCGCCTCCCGACAACCCGCTCATCCCCTCAGCAATCTCCGATTTCAAACCTAAATTCAAACACCAACGAAAGCCCTGGAACTACTTTCCTCAGCAGAACCCATTCCTAGGGTGCTAGGATTTTCAGTCACCCCATGTCTTATAGCCTGGACACAATTAGTTCTGAACGGAGGTCTTCAGAGTCGATTCGGATATCTTCAAGTGAATCTGACTCCGCATCCACATTCAATGAAGCCCCACAAGCACCCTGCACTCCTGCACCAGAAGCACAGTCCGTGCTATATCGATTGTATACATCGCATACCCTCTCAGCATGGAATTCGCGCATGTTTGAATTCGGCGCTGTGTTGTTTTTAGCGTCTATATTCCCTGGCACCTTGCTCTATGCTTCAATCTACGCACTTGTTCGAGCTTTCTCTGCTGTGGCCCTGTCTTCATGGCTGGGTGATAAAGTTGATAAAACCAACCGATTGGTCGTTCTCAGGCATTCTATTGGTAAGATTGGGATCCGTGAGTCGTTCTTGCAAATGTATTAACTTATTTATCTCTATTAGTATGGCAAAGGCTTCCGGTTGCGATCTCATGCTTGTGCTTTATGGGATTCTCGATGACAAGCGACTCTCTTATCAGCTCGACCCTGTTTATCGCTTTGGTTTTGCTTGCTTGTCTCGACAAATTGGCGGCTACGGCGAATACAGTAGCCGTTGAGCGAGATTGGGTACGTGCGAAATCTTTGCGTAGATAATGCCATCAGTTTTGCCAATCTGGGGCTAATAATGGATTAGGCTATTGTGATTTCGGATAGCATCGGTGTACCGCGACAAGGTACGGATGAGCTGTCATTCTTCTACATAAGTGGATGTTTCTAACACGTATAAAACACAGAATTAAATGCGTCAATGAGACGGATTGACCTCTTTTGCAAACTCATCGCACCTGTTTTCATCTCTCTGATTGATAGTATTTCTACACCGATTGCCGTCTGGACAGTTCTTGGCATGAACGCTATTTCCGTATTCATCGAATATGTTGCAATTGCTCAAGTCTACCAATCAGTCCCGGCTTTGAAGAAAACGACAGCTTCTGGTCAAAGTGATACTAACAATGAAAGCGGATATTTACTGGCCGAGTCTCCCCGAGGGGCTTTCTACCATCTACGCGAGAACTTAGAGCCGTGGAAGGAATACATCGCAAGTCGAGTGTTCCTACCATCTTTTGCGTTAAGCCTCCTATACTTGACCGTTCTCTCATTTGGTGCAACTATGGTCACTTATCTACTTCACAGTGGCTTCAGTTCTTTGGAAGTCAGTTGCATGCGTATTGGCTCCGTGGTCGCAGAGGTTTCCGGAACATGGACTGCGCCTCTTATCATGCATCGCATAGGTCCCATTCGATCTGGGCTATGGTTCCTGAACTGGCAGTTCTGTTGTGTAGTTGGCGCGGCTCTTGCATTCATTCTTTGGGATTCGAAATCTCAATTAGTAGCAGGTAGTCTGATTGTGGGAGTTGCTTTAAGTCGAGTCGGACTCTGGGGGTTCGACTTGTCAGCGCAGTTTCTGATACAAGAGGTGAGTGCTTTGCCCAATATTAGAATTTATTCGATTACGTGTTTGTGTGATGGACTAATGAATGTCGTTAGAATGTGGAAGAGCACGCCCGAGCAAGATTCTCCTCGACAGAGATGGCGCTACAAAACATTTTCGAGATGATTTCCTTTACATCGACCATTATATGGTCTTCGCCCGAGCAGTTCAAGTATCCAGTGATGATTAGCGCTGGTGCTGTGGCAATAGCAGCGGCTTCCTTTGCAGCATACGTGCGCAAGGAGCGAGGTCATTTGCTCCACCGATCGCGATGCTTGGGAGGCGATAAAGGAGGATATCAGCAGATGACGTCTCCAGCCTGAGTTATGAGACAAGTTAGTATTACAGGCGCAAAAAGTGGCTTCCTACCATAATGTATATAGTTTAGAGGGACAATCCCTGATCTTGTCATGGTCAAAGCCGAGGATTTGTACTGCATAGATGCGCAACCCAGGCACCAGGTACAATGAGCCTCCTGTACATCATACCAAGGTTCCCCGATCGCCCACGTGGAAGTCTGAGCGTCTGCATATCAATTTCAAATTGGTTTAGACACAACATGTCGATTAAAATCTTTATTTCAACTTGAAAGAAGCTTAACAACTCTCTTTTCTGTTATAATCCTATATACTTTCATGGGTTATTCTCGGCGGATTGAGCCGAGCTCGTCATCCTGCCCACTATCGCGAACTCGCCCCGTGGAACCGCCATTGCGGGGAAAGTGCCAACGCCCGGATTTCTAATGAAAATAAATCCCATTTAAATTATGATCTTACTCCCACCCCCGGGACCTTTAGTCTCAATATGGAGGTACCGTCATATCGACATTCATCCAGAGCCTCGACTCGAGCACGACTAACGCAAGCACTCGGTTTACAGATTCCCAAAGCTCGGGGAGCTGGCAGGTCAGGCCCACGCCGCCGAACAGGGTGCTTGACATGCAGAGCCCGCAAAGTGCGCTGCGACGAAAACAAACCAAGCTGCTCGAACTGCGATCGCCTGCGACTAAGTTGCGTCTACAGACCCCCCATCGCCCTCGGTGACGACTGGGTGACTTCTCCTCGCCCATCCAACCACTCCTCGGCCGGGGCGCACTCCGTACCCCAGACTTCCCCATCGCCGGCCGTAAGCACCATCCCTGAATCGGCAGCTGCAGCTGCAGCAGCGGCCGTAGCGGCTGCAAACTCGTCACAACGATCGCCGGATCTGACCTTCTTCAATACTGTGCTTCGCTCTGACGATCGCCGCCGAACCACCATTCCCGCAACAGAAACGTCCCTCCGGCGTCTGCCCACAGATACAGAATCATTCCCGGATCTCGGGGGACCGTTCGATATGCTTGGGTTTATGGGAGGGATAACTTCGGAATTGGAGCAGAAACATCTTGACTTGACGAGTGGACTGGCGGGTTTCGCGAATAGCCCAACCCCACAATCGGTACCTGTAGGTATCGGTGGGAATACCGCGGAGGATGGCCAGTTTCCGACGGATAAGCGTTCGCCGTTCAGCCCTGATGTATCGCCATCCCTGGTGGATGGAGTGTCTATTGGGAGCGCTTCGGATGCGACAACTGCGCGAGGGAGCTGGTCGGACCCTGGATCGACTTCATATGAAGAGCAACTACTTCAGCATTTCCTGGTAGCTGATCCACCAGCTGGTGTCTTTGCGCCAGTTTCCATGGAATGGAAATACGTGCGACCTGCAGTGGTAGCATACGGGCGAGATTTTAGTCCTCTTTTAAATGCTTTGTATTGTTACTCAGACATCCACAAGACGATTACTGCAGGGGGAGGGAAACGATGGCGCTGGGCGCCTACCTATTATCGAGTTGCAAGCTCGGAAATCCAGGCGTGTTTACTTGGGGATGTGAACGAGCAAACTCTGATCAAAGTATTCGCGGCTGTTTTCTTCCTGATGCTATCTGAGGTGTGATCTTATTCGCATGACGATTTGGATATGACCAGAACTGACCATCTTTACGTGCAGCTCTTCTCTACGCCGGAATTATCAGCAGCCGGAACATCATATATTCGCTCGGCATACCTTTTATTACAAAGATTTGACGACCGTACGAGAAGCTGGACGGGGCTTGGAAATTTGATGGTGTCTTGGATATCACTATTAGACGTGAAATCCCTAATAGCTGGTCGTGATGGTGATCCTCTTCTTGAACTTGGGAATATCTCCGATCAAGGCCTATGGTCATACCCTAAGTCACTGGAGACACAAGGCTTGCATGCCCCCCGAACAGTGTCGACCGAGGAACGAAAGGAGGATGATGGTGCAGAGGACCAATTTCGCAGTCCAAGCTATCTGGTCTACGAAGCAATTGTGGGCCCAGCATCCCGGTTCTTCGTACAAGCACAGCAAGTCGTACGACGCATCGTCTCAATCGATCTACATCATCGCAGTCGAGGGACGCTCAGCGATGAGTTCGAAGTCCTTCAAATAGCACACAAAGTTGGGGCAGATCTCGAAACACTCTGGCACCGCAGGCCCTCGGTGATAGATGTCTACGGACATCCCGAGGCATTATCAGATACACTCTGTGCGCCTGTAGCCCTTGAAGTCTGTCGTACTTTCCGGCAGTACGTAGCCAGCTTCTTGGCGAATTTTATTTATTTACACCGAGTCGCATTTGCCATCTACCCCCGCACTGAGCGTGTCAACGGTGCCGTGAACCAAATTATCCAATTGGCCACCGTTGAGTCGGCTGGTACTGACCAAGGGCACCTCCCTGTCAGTTTTCTCTGGCCGTTATTTATTGCTGGGTTGGAAGGTTCCCAAGAACAGCGCCAGTGGGTGTTCCAAGAAATGCAACGCATGGCATCTGCCCATGAGAACGAACAATCCACGCCTATTGCTCGTCATCCATCTGCTGATAAGGTTCTTCTGTTACTGGAGGAAATGACTCGTCGGCAAGATGCTTCACGTACCTGGGCAGATTCACGGTGTGTCCGGCGAGAAATATTCTCAGACTTTTTTATCATGATTTGATTTTATGCGGCTTGATATGATACCAACGCGTGTGCGCGAACCATTGACGTGGCGTTATCGTTACTAGCGAGGCTTGCTTGCTTTTTGGCAGCTTTTTTAATAGTATATTTCTACCCAATGTATTTTTGGATATGTGTCTGGTACCTACTGGTGTTGAACATTGGCTTATAATGATGTAGTGACTTTTTGATCTTTTGCTCTCGTAAACCACTGGCATATGCCTAATATCGTAAATTACGTACTACATCATGCTACCATGTATATATAAAATTAAATACAATCCCAAGCTCCCGATTTGAAGTATAAAATGGACTGCATGATTAATGGATGATTTATTCATATGACAGATACGTATTCGTAAGCCACTCACCAAGGCGAAGATTCCTTGATACTTCAACCATCGTAGATTGAAAAAGCTCATCCAGTCATTCAGAACTTTTTGATTGAAAATTCCATACCAGGAAAATCCGAATCACCCATCCAAATGGCAATCTCCGAGATGTAGTGAGTCCCCCTTTCAAAAGCACCTAACACAAGGGCTACAACAATTCTACCCACTTCAGTACCTAGCAAACCATGATATTCATCACTCCCATGAAACCAACTCCGTTGCCCCAGCTGCGGCCACGTCAGATTATTCTTAACGGTATAAAGTTGATCCTTGACAAACCCCTCCGTATCAGGATTCTTGACAGTAGTGAACAAAACATACTTAAGCGTCTCAAGATCAAAATCACGCTGATAGACAGCCTGAAGGGTAGAAGAAACATGCGGCGCTGGATCAGCTTCGTAATTTTCTGTTGGATTACGTTGCATCAAAGAGACCTCCAGGACACCCGGCCCAGTGGTACCCATGAACGAAAAGAAACTAAATTGGATGTTCCAAGACAGGTAAGATGTTTCAGTTGAGGTATCCCACGAAGGATTCTTTGGAAGCTTGTGTCTTTTTATGCATTTCTCAAGTGTTGAAGTTATGATCTTGGTTCTCTTTGGATCTTTTATCTCTCGGTCGCTTTGTAAAACACGGCGCGGGATCATTAGATCTTCGAGTTTTCTCTTCAGATCGTCGAAGCTCAATGTAGATCTTTGAAATGGGCACCCTTCGAAATTGGGATCTTCAATCCATCTTCGGCGTTGGAATCCCTTCAGCTGATGTTCACCATATCTCGCCTTGGGTTTCACCTTGGGACGCTGGCTACTATGCCTCGACCGGGCTGGCATAATTGGACCTGTCTTGCCTGTTGACTGGGGAACAAGATAGGGGGAAGCTCCATTTTCCCGAGACGATTTGCTGCTGTGGCTGTCATTTCGGTTGTGTCGAATAGATCCTGGGATATGAGGCCCTGGAGTCGGAGATACGCGTGAAGGTAACCCCAATACCTCATCAAAAGTGATTCGTGGGGTACTTTCAACGTGGCTAAGTGGGGAATCCTGATGTTTATCTTGAGATTGACTCGGAAATCGAATCTGAGATGGGAGTTCTGGAAGCTCTGTGCCCGACTGTAGGTTTGTGGCTTCATCTTCAGAAGATGAGGCGTCAGGATGACTGCAGCATCTACTAAGAAATCCCTTAGGCCGATTCCATATTGAGGGCATGGTAGATAGCGACAATAAGCTTGTGAGCTATCAGACTCGGAAAGATAGCAATTTGAATGTCGTGGAAGGTATTGTATCTTTTATTGAGTAGGGTCGTGGAGTGATTAGATCATGAAGTGAGAGCTAAGGCTTAAATACATGTACAAAAATCAACTGTTACCGTGACAGACTCAGAGAGGGTGATATTTTGGATAAAAAATGCACTTTATTTCATCACTTTAATGCCTATTCTATGTCTCTTTCCTCATTCCTCTTGTTCTTTGATGCTCGATTGTGCACACTGCTACCTAGCCAGTGGCCGATTGTTTGTGACAAGTAGGATGCCTGTATTGTGTAAACAAATGAGCGCTAAACGTAGAATATTGAATGGAATCGGTCAAAGCTTGTTGAAGTGAAGGGCTTACTTGAAGCTTAGCTATAGCTAACATAGCCGGAGAGCCGATGGAAACCCCTAGTAGTGATCTAGGATCTAGCGGCTCTTGCAAGCCACCCAACAAGATCCGGATGTGGCAAAACTATCAACTTACATCCATGGACAGTTTTAGTGTTGAAATAGGAAGATCCGAGCTTCAAAGCCTAGACAGTCGAATATAGATTTACAGTGGGGTTCAGGCCACCCAATGCGCCTGACACCCGGCCCCAATAAGTAGCCCCGTTTGAGACTATGCTAGTTTTAGAATTTAAATCTCATTCGATCAGCTAATAACCATTCCTACTATGCAAAGACCGCTGATCCTGCCACTTTTGGAACAAATAATGGAACTGGATGATAACATTGGAAGTGGTATTCTCGACTCTTGCCCCCCATCTGAGTGAGAGCTATCTGGCAGCTTGATGATACTTAGCATTTGAAGAAAAATTGAGAATATATTGAAACAGGTTGTAAACTGTCCACAGAACAGGAAAGAATGAAATAAATAAATAAAAAAGCAAGGTACGCTTTCGTATATCAATAATGTGTCAAGTCATGTATCTTTGATGCGGGACCTGCTCTGTATGTGGAAAAGGAAGCACAGGAGGGCAAAAGCAGGGTCTGGCGCCTCAGCCAATCTCATTCAATTGTAACTTTATCAAGCTCAAGGAGCAAAAATTCTTCAAGCAAAGGGTTTATGGAGAGAGGAGGAACTTGAAGGCTCCGTGTGCTATTCAAATCAATTGCCTGACCAACTATTGTGGCATCTGTTCCAAAATCCAGAGGATCTGAAAGATTACCATTGCACAAATCTTTCAATACAGACTGCCATTCAGGAGAAATGAAGTTTGAAACTCCACTGACAATTCGTTCTGTCCATGCATGAAGAAGCCAATGAGAGGAGTTCTGGAATACAAGCACAAACCAGTGTGCTAGTATGACTAGAGCCATTGGACGTTTGGTATGAATTAAATCGGTGAAACCCATTGGAAGGAGAATTGGCCATGTAAGTAAAGCAGTCCAATCCAGAGGAGTCGTCGACACCTGGGCGAAGAAAGTATACAACTGTGCTAGCGCATTTAAGCAAAACTCCTTCTCTTCTAGCGAAGGAAAAGTCAATCGATGGATAGCAAAGGACAGATATGATAGATTTCGAAGAAATTCCGGTTTTTGAGGAGGCGAGGATGGTTTGATACATGGGCTGCGCATCCAGGCACTGCGAAATGAATCGGTGATATACGGATTCGTAAGGGGTTGAAGATGAAAGAATCCGCGTATGGCAACTATAAGCTCGTATGCACCATCGACTATGTTTATAAGATTGTGTCGCTCAAGGGCAATGGGAAACTCTAGACAGAGGATAACTTGGATAGCGGAGAAGGTGAGAGTTCCTGATGCATTTGGAGCAGTAATTTCAGATACCGTAGACCGGAAATCATTAATTGCAGCTGCACGGCTTTCACATGCTATCTCAACAAGTCGACGTGATTCTTGGTGATTGCAATGAAATTTGTGCAGAGATGAATGGGCGCGCAAAGAGCTCATCACAAAAGAAAATGACTTTGCATCTTGGAGTATCATGGTTGCCCAAGGGGAAGCAAGCATGCTTGGCCTCGATATCTCCGAGGCTTGGGTATTATTATGATCATGGTGCTGCTTTTGGTGTTCTGGCTCTTGAAATGAGCTCTGTGATTCAAGTTGCCTCCAAGAACCAGGTTGTGCGCACGTTGTTCGGACTATGTCGAGAAAGTCTTCTATGCGACTGTCTATGCTGCCCGTCAAGATATCATGCTCTTCAAGTTGATATCCACGGTCTGCATTATATGACTCGGAGGTATGATCATCATCTGATTCACGGGGCCAAATACAGGAGATTTTGTTACGCTGACAGCCAACACAAACAGGTTTCTGTTCATCGCATTTCTTGCGGCGTCGGCGACAACATAGACATCCATTCCGCGATCGTTCACGGCGGGGGCGAAGATTTGAAGGAGATTCAACAGACATAATGAGAGATATTATCAAAAACAGATGTTCTGACTAGATGGAATCCCATGCATAGAACAGCCAAAGCAGGGTTTTAAATGTCAGTGTACCTGGTCTCGTTGATATCGCCATGTCCCCAGCAAGACATGGATTAGTGCCGATCCCACCATAGTGAGTTAGCACCTCTATACTTTAATTTGGGTAAGAGAGGCGTCGCTCAGACAAGGGCAACCCACCTTTCTGGCCTGATATAATGGGGTCTCACCCTACCGACCAAGTACCGACGCCCTGTAAAATGTGGGGTCAGGCATTCCATGGGCGGCAAGGCAGAACCCCTCTGATTGAAACTTTTTGGGATTGATTCGTCTTCATAAATTGACCTGCCCGGGGCCTGTCTTGGCGTCGTCAGACACAGCCACACAGGATTGGAACGCGTCAAGGCCAGTACTCGTAAAGAATAGCCGAGATCCTGCATTATAGCTGAAGTGATACAAAGTCTATCGGTTCGCGTATCTCGGAACGGTTGAGGCGTGATGTTTCCTTAATTACTTTGCGCTTATGCTATAAATGGAGTTCAGCTCCACCCAGAGTTGTGAAACGATGATCTCAAATTTAAGACACTTTAAGGGGGATATATCAAAGTGAAACTTCTTGCTGTGATCTATTTTAAATTAAAATCGGTTGAAGTCTGATTTTTGCTTTTGAAAGTAGATGTAGTCGCGTGGCCACTTCCGAGTGTGCAAGACTCAGACGATCAAAAGAGGGCCATCCATTTCCAACGCGCTGAGCATCGCAAGCACACTCTCGGGTGACGTTGGCGAGAGAGAATGGTCTATTTTCGGGTCTGGTAGTCTCGCAAGAGGCAAGCCATGCCAGTTGGTGCGCCAATCTTTGGATTTTGGATCGGGCCAAACTCGATCCCAGGCAGGTTTCAGATGTTTCGTGACCTTTGAACCCACTTTAAAGCGATAGCGGGTTATATCTTGTGGGGTCTTCTTTGCAATGCTAGTAAGCTCCCCATAGCGATCGTCTCGAACATTTCGAGTGATTTTCCATGACGCTGGACATATGTAATGCAGCACAGCCGAGATCTCATCAGTGCAATGAGGATACCCGAGACCTGTAATCTCTTCCATTTTAATATCCAATTCCATCAATGGTAGCGAGCTATCTGGCTTCAAAGTTTCCTGAGGAGAGAGCGTTGAAAATAGAGCAGGCAGGCCAGTGTTTTATCAAAAGCACAATTGATGAGACGTTCTCGTATGGCGCCGTTATATAGCAACCAGCGTTTGCAATCGTTGAGTAGAAAGAATTTAGGGATCGTGGATTGATATAGGCTTTTTTTTGAATGGGTCCAAATTCTTCGTCGTCGTCGGTCTCGATTTCAGATCCGATTGGGGAGTAGTTTCTCCAGTCATATTCGCAGTCAAATCCGACTAGAGATATTATCACCTGACCCCGACACCCAACATGGCAGATTCCGGACGAATGATCATTTAAACTTCTACAGCTCGCCCTTCCCCGCAGTGCTACATAACAAAAGCTTCGCAGGAAATACCGTGGATGGAAAGGGTGCGCTGATTGATTGGTTAGAGGTCCTGGCAACGTGTTATCGGCAAATTCTTGGATTAAAAAAGCCGAAATAGTCTTCAATAAGCCCTCGATGATAGCCATTTGGAATAAATTATTGGGATTTTGAGGGTAGAAATGCCACATGTTGATAAAGTCAAATAAGCCAAGATGAGAGATTCTCCTAAGAAGCTCTGATGGGTTTCACAGTAGAGTTGCTTCTAGTTCAATCGACTTCTGAAATGAGACACTGTACAACAGTTGACTATTTCTTGTGATCAAGCTATGAAGAACCACTAGATAAAGTGTAGAGGATGGATGTGGTGAGGGATTCGCGTTCAAGTATAGAAAGGGGATCGGACTAGCAGGACAAGAGGTGTTTTCATCACGTCGCATCGTACCAAAATTATAAATCCTCAGCGTGACGAATTGCAAAAATGCTCCTCTCTAAAGGCTTTTGTTATCTTCTTCCTCTCCAGGCTGCAATGGCTCTAGCTTCTATGCAGTCTGAGCTGGATGTTAATGGTAAGGGCGGGCTTCGCAGGGCTCTTGGGTACTCATTGAATAGCTAACATTCCGCAGCGAAATGTAGAAAGGCACTTGAGATTGCTACATCAGCCGATGTCTCGATTCTCGAGGAACTTGAACTCCCGGAGGCTCAGCCTCAGTTGGATGAGGCTTCGCCAGTGGCCGTTTATCAAGGAGTGAGTGCCATGCATATCCACGTTGGAAACCTGATGGAATTAGGGGAGATATAATTCGAGCGATGTTGTATTGACATTTCCAACATAGATTTGTTCCGCAGGTCGGTATCAACGATGCACTTTCTGTGACAATAACGGAATCCTCAAGTGGACAAGATGCGCTCGAGGACATCGCGTAAGTACGACATTGAACCGCAGTATATATGATAAACTTGAATGTTCATCATGGACCTAACAAAGTCATTACAGTGCACAAAAAATGGACATTGGTGCAGCTGGACTGACAGCACCAGTAGTGGAGTGTGTAGCTAGACCCGAAAGCAATTCCAAGCATTTGAATGCCAGTGGATACTTCCAGTAAAATCTACAGAATGGATTGAATAGTATATATGGAACTTAAAAGCATGTGCAATTTCAATACTTACCCCAAATATTTTGCCAATTAGAACCCTTGGAAGTCCCAAAGTTTCCAATCACGCTATCTGATTCCATCCGGCCTTAGATACTTTCAAGTTTATTATGTTCATTTGATTCTTTTATTTCACCGCAATAAAACTGATAATAACAGCACTCGAATGTGACCAGTGTGTGAGCTGGTTAATCTATATGCTGGAGCACATAGTTGACACAAATGTTAACCAAGAGCTTTAGGGCTATGCTGTACACATGGCATTCTTCTTTCTTTTGGAATGTGGAGGTTCAGTCATTCTGAAGTACATAATTTCTTATCCTTACTCGGAGATGACAGACGCTATAATGCTGCTCAACTTCGCATGAAAGGGGTACCCCAACTGGAGATTCAAAGACTTAGCGATCTTTGTGAGCAAGATATCACGGATTTTTCTCATCTTCGACATCCCGGCATCGGTACAGCAGGAGGTGACTATCAGTTGCAACTGTACTTGCTCGAGGAAGTCAAGCGACAGAAACTCGCCATGTTGGGAGAAAATTAAAATACTGCTTTTGGCAGTATCTCTTTTGCTTATTCGAGCTTGGGCTTGTATCCACGTATGAGGTCTAAGTATGCCACACCCAATGGGCTCACCGGAGCATTGAGATTAAAGGGGGCTTGATATGAATGGAAGCTCTCGGTTCAACCTGTGAGGTAGAGACCCATTGGAAAACTTTTGAGTTTTAATTAAAAAATTGGCGGTCAGCTTCGATTGGCCTTCGATTTGCAAGGTTCGTTAGAGAACATTCTCATGCTCATAGCGCCACATGCGGGATAAACTCAAAAGAAAAGCGGCTGAGTGCTACCATCCCATTAGAAGGGATTGCTTACAAAATCCCCAAGGTTATAAGCGAAATGACAGTCGTTTCTAGTGTCCAAAGAAGGCAATTTCAGTGTCGATTTTCTCGGCCTTCGGAGTCTGTATGTAAGCTTCGGCTAAGCTTTCAGTGTGGATCTAGCCGCCTATGTATGTTGCCGATGACTCGATGCAACCTCGATGAAAGTGGTAGGATCATGTATTTCCCCGGGATTTCCATGAAAACTGTATCTCTTAGATATTCACCCTCTCGGTTGAACAGTGAATTATGAAAACAACAATAGTTGAAGGACCAGCGCCGCTCCCAGTATAGCCCACCATTTTCCATCTACTTTCCCCACATTGGACGGAGTTAAACCGGATTAAGCACTCCGGGGCCCCGACTTTTTGTTTTTGTTTGCTTCACTTCTGTTTGCTGCTGCATCTCCACTTCCAGCACCCTTTCCCGGCTAAAGAGTCTAAGATCCACTAGCACTGTTTCTATTCGAAGCTACCTTCTGACTAGCAGCTTACAAGATGCCAACACGGATATTCACCGGAGAAAGCCAGTGATTTGTGCATGCAAAGGAGACTTAGACCCCAATGTTTGGCTCTTGCTCACCATGGTAACTAGTACAGGTAGGATCGTGCCTTGACCCCGCAGTACCCGCATCTCACCACCCGGATCAACACACTAATCTGGAAGGCATTTATCGGTTATGCCGGAGTCACTCATGCCTCTGATTGGCATAATGTCAGCCATAACTAACTAGTTTTAGGCTATATCAGCGATATCCCCGAAATTGATGCACTATTGGATCGTGCAGTGAGATATTGACCAGGGTAGTACGCAAGAGGCGCAAGTTTCTGGATCTCACTTCGAATTGCCCGCTTTTCAATATTTAGTTCCTTGCGTCCCTCGTTTTCGTTTCTGCTGCTTCGTCCTTTCGCGCACCGCAACCTTCTTCCTCGACGCTGTCGTCGAATTCCTGCTCTCGTACGCGTAAAATGTGGTTTCAATTGGGCACTGCCCTTCTCTTGGCTGTCGCACCAGTGCGTGCGGCAACCGACGCGTTAAATCCCTTAGACGAGGCTAATTCGACTGCACCAGTCAGTCATGAACAATCGCCCCAAAATGTGCTAATTTTCGTATGCTGACTTTACAATCTAGTGGCCTAGCTCTGTCTACTCGAATGCTACCGATAGCGATAACAGCATTGTTACTGCTGGTTCCAAATCAAACCAGACTTCTCCACCATGGTACCCGTCACCTTGGGGTGAAGGAATGGGTGATTGGAAAGCGGCGTATACTAGAGCCAGATCCATTGTGAGCCAAATGACTCTTTTGGAGAAAGTGAATCTTACAACTGGTGTCGGGTATGTATATGGAAATTGTTCTTTACTTGTGAAAATCTTCGGACTGATTCTAATTGGTCAACAGTTGGGAGCTTGAACGCTGCGTGGGTCAAAATGGAGCCGTTCCTCGACTTGGAATTCCTAGCATGTGCACTCAGGATTCTCCCGTGGGTGTTCGAGACAGTAAGTATATCTATAATATCTTTTGAATTCCCATGTCCACAAAGTCTATTGATACTGACATATCGATTATAGCCGACTACAATTCGGTATTTCCTATGGGCGTCAACGTCGCAGCAACATGGGATCGTGGTATGGCTCGTGCGCGTGGTGAGGGAATGGGTTACGAGCACAAACATAAAGGCAGCAATGTACAGCTTGGGCCGGTAGTCGGTCCTCTTGGTCGAGCACCCGAAGGTGGAAGAAACTGGGAAGGCTTTGCGCCTGACCCTGTTCTGTCTGGTGTGCTCTTTGCTGAAACGATTTCTGGAATTCAATCACAAAATGTGATTGCATGCGGAAAGCACTTTATCGGATACGAACAGGAGCATTTTCGTAGCGCTGGAAATGGCTTCTTATACCAGGTCAATGAGAGCTACAGTGCCAACTTGGATGATGTGACAATGCATGAACTCTACCTCTGGTAAGTAAAGCAATAACAGGCTAGTATGAGCACTGTGAAAACCCAGCTGACATCTATACTTCTCAAGGCCATGGATGGACGGTATCAAAGCTGGTATGGGCTCAGTCATGTGTTCATACAATCAGATCAACAACAGCTATGCATGCCAAAACAGCTACATCCTTAACAAGCTCCTCAAAGCAGAGTTAGGATTCCAAGGATTCGTGATGAGCGACTGGAGTGCGCAGATGTCTGGAGTTGCCAGTGCTTTGGCAGGTCTGGATATGACTATGCCCGGTGACATAGCATTCGACTCTGGCACTTCGTACTGGGGATCCAATTTGACTGTTGCCGTATTGAATGGCACTGTGCCTCAATGGCGAGTCGATGACATGGCTGTTCGCATTATGGCAGCCTGGTATTATGTCGGAGCTGGAGATAACTATGTTCCCATTAACTTCGATTCTTGGACTCTTGATACATATGGTTACCAGCACTTCTATGCAAATGAAGGATACGGAGTGATAAACGAGCATGTTGATGTCCGAAATAATCACGGTGCACTTATTCGCGAGATCGGAGCTGCTAGCGCGGTCTTGTTGAAGAATGAGGGAGCACTTCCTCTGACTGGCAAGGAGAAATTCACGGGAGTCTTTGGATCCGATGCCGGCGCCAGTACATACGGACCCAATGGATGTTCAGATCGCGGGTGTGATATGGGTACACTGGGCTGTGCATGGGGTAGTGGAACTGCCAATTTCCCATACCTAATTACCCCGGGCTTTGCTATCGAGAACGAGATCTACAACCACGGAAATGGAATGTTCCAAGGAGTCTACGATGACTATGCCTATTCCGAGGCTGAGTCAGTAGCCGGGCAGGCATCTGTTGCTATTGTCTTCGCAAACTCTGATAGTGGTGAAGGGTATATCAGCGTTGATGGAAACATCGGAGATCGCAACAACTTAACCCTTTGGCATGACGGAGACGCTTTAATCAAAGCCGTGAGTTCGCAGTGCAACAACACCATCGTTGTGATTCACAGTGTCGGACCAGTCCTCATGGACAGCTTTGTCAACAATCCAAACGTCACAGCCATTATCTGGGCTGGTGTCCCTGGAGAAGAATCTGGAAACTCAATCGTCGATGTTCTCTACGGCAAGGTCAACCCCGGTGGCAAACTGCCTTTCACCGTCGGATATTCCCGCGAGAACTACGGAGTAGACATTCTGTATAAACCAAATGCCGGCGAAAGTGCTCCCCAACTTGATTTCACAGAAGGTCAATTCATAGATTACCGTGGCTTTGACAAGCATGACGTGACTCCACTCTATGAATTTGGTTACGGCAAGAGCTACACTACGTTCAAATATTCTGATATTACAATCACTAAGCACAATGCTGGCAAATACAAAGCTACAACAGGCAAAACGTCCCCGGCGCCGGTTTTAGGCCAGATCGCCAATGATACATCAGAGTTTACCTTCCCCGAAAATATGTCCCGAGTGCCATATTATATCTACCCATACCTGAACTCGTCATCACTCAAAACATCAGCCGATGATCCTCACTACGATGAGGAAGGGTTCATCCCCAAGGGTGCCCATGATGGTTCCGCACAGCCACTTCTTCCCTCAAGCGGAGCACCGGGTGGAAATGCCGAGCTATGGGATGTCCTATACACCGTCACTGCAAAGATCACCAACACTGGCAAGATAGCCGGTGATGAAGTCGCGCAGCTGTACGTGGGGCTGGGTGGACCGAATGACGTGGTAAAACAACTGCGTGGATTTGACAGACTGAGTATCGCACCTGGTCAGACTGTTACGTTCACTGTAGACCTCACGCGAAGAGATCTTTCGAACTGGAATACAGTTACGCAGAACTGGTTTATCTCTGATTATGAGAAGACCGTTTATGTTGGTGCTTCTTCGAGGAATCTTCCTTTGAAGGAAACTGTTCAAGATGCGGCTCAGTTCAACTAAGCGTGAATTGATCTTAATCTTTTTATGAGAGGGTGAAGGGTCAGGATAAGTGTACAAAGAAGCTCTTAGTGGCAATGTTTCACGACACTTAGCATTTTCAGCAGACAACTAGCATTTTCAGAAGTGAACATGCCCATAGTTATTTGATGATAAATGATAAATCAGACTTTTCTCAAACTTCGTTATTGCCATTTCTTGCTTTTTTACGTGACCTTAAATTACCAGATTTGTCACACGGGGCGCCTACCGATGTCAGTCAAAACAGAGCCGGGCAAGAACTAGGAACGATAATCAATCGGAATGCAGATCATATTCATTTCAAAAACATTCCTCAGCAGAATCCTATCCATGTTAATAAGAACAGGAAATAGGAATGAAAGCCTGTCATCCAGCAAATCAAGTAGAGGTTTCTGCATGACGTTTAACATCAGTATAAAGCACGAAAGCAAGACATGCCAGAGAATTAGAAACTAATATAAAGAACAACATATAGCAGCTAGAAAGTTGCTGGTCAAGCTGCAGTTCCTACCCATTGCATGGATGTACCTCTTTCTTCATCCATGGGATATCATAAACAACGCCGGGCGCCCTCTAGTCTTGTAGACTAGATTTGGGCAATCGAATAAATGGCTAAGAACGAGAGTAGGAAAGAGACCAAGATAGCGTAACAGAGAAAGAGGATGGGAACACAACCCGAAGGACCTTCTTTTTCTTGTCAGGGATAAAACAAGTCCGTGTGGAACGCCGTTGCTAATAGAGCAGTTTTCCAACACGCTAAAAATAACAGAAGACAATAGTACACCGGCGCCGTTTTTCTCTCTCTTTCGGGCCACGGCTAGGACAGAGACAGGAAAAGACAGAATCAAAAATAAAGAATAGACATGCGATTCATCATACATTGATCAAGTCGTCAAAAGTATCATCGGTCGAGAACGTATATGATGCTTCCGTTACTAGTGATGTTTCAGAGTCTCTTCGTAGCTGCTGTTCGAGAAGTTCTGCCGCTGCGGCTGCGGCAGCAGGTTCTAATTCTAATGGATCGTCGAATCCAAATGATAACGCTGCTGATGCGGGAGGTGGCTGGGATGGAGCCGCAGATGTACCGGGAATTGCTTTTGGAGTAGGTGCAACATCCGGCGAAGGCGCCTCGATGATACTGATACGAGAATCCATAGATGTAGAGGCCGGGACAGGAGGAACCGACGCAGGACCATCTGTATCGGTGATTTTCTTAACCATCTGCGCAAGATGTAATTTGATAGGTTCATCACCACACTGCGCATGTTTCAAGACTTCATTCTTCAAATTGAGCATCTCAGAGCGCAATCGCGTAATCTCTCCAACAAGTCGTTCTCTTTTCTCCGAATGCTCCTTATATCGGTACTCAAGCTGCTGCGTATGCTCCTTCTTCTTCTGTCGACACTTACTCGCTGCTACACGATTTCGTTCTAGAAACTTCGCTCGCTTGTGTCGTTCCTGGTGCGGCAATGCATCGTCCAGATCGGGACTAAGGCTCTCAGCTGCTGTTTGGTATTCTCGTGCTCGGCGGCGTTTGTGTGCATTATCCAGATCTAAAGCCTGGAGTTCACGGCCGTGTTGATCCTCGTATGGAGGTGGTGTGGGCTGTCCGTTACGGACTTGTGCATTTTTCAAATCTCGCTCTAGCGCGGAACCAGCGAAGGCTGCTGCGTCGGATCGCGTGTCCCAGCCCGTTCCCATTGTTGGTGAGACGGGGCTTAGGCCCCAAAGTTGATCGTCTTCTGGAATTGGGAGGCCTAGAAACTCGCCCGAGAAGGCGTTGGTCGCTGTAAATGGTGATAAGCTGAGAGGGTGTAGAGGATCTGCACTTGGTAACCCCGACGGAATAGAATTCAAGTTTCCAGTCGACATATCAAAATTGGTTTCGGAGATGTCGTGGGGCGCTGTCACCCAAGTAGAAGAAGAGTAAGAAGTGCGTGGATAGAATGAGGGAAGAATGAGTGAGATAGCGATGGCGGGGGTGATGAGAGTTCAAGTTCTTGACCTTTTGTGTATCGGTACACAAAGATCGAGTCCGCTGTAGGGTTCAAGACCCTTCCTTCAACAGTAATTACAGGGCGTAAAAGTCTCGGGCGTCAAGACAGGAACTTGTTTCCTCGGTTCAGTTGCTTTGACAGCTAGGGAAGGAGTGGAAGAACCACGGGTTGAACGCAGGCCCGGTGCCTGAAGAAGTGTAGGCCTAGGTGTTGGCCGCTTGGAGCCACGGTCGGACAGAAGTTCCTACGGTCCAGCAGATCCGAGCGAATCAAGTAAAGATGAATAAGTTCTGGATGTGTGACAGTACTTGAAGGGTTGGGATGAAGGAGAGTGATACAAGTGGTGGGAAGTCAACAAACACCCATGGTTTACCCTGGCAGTTGCATGGTTTGTCCCCAAGCTTGTTTTGGTGGGTAGAGAACTTGATACAGAGTATATCTGGATCTGCATATTAATTTACAAATATGGTGTCCTTGAAGAAACTAGAGAGTTTCCAAGTTCCCCCTACCCAGCAGGTGCAGATATACCCTGTATGAACTGACATCACCAGCCCCAAAGGGTTAAAAAATAACATGCAATGATCTACGGGATCTCAAGCCATCCAATTAGATTACGTTATAAACCCAAAACGGGGCTGGATAAACCGGGTTTGAAAAGTGGAGACCTTTCCCCAACCCTTAAAGACTATATAGAAGGCCTAGAAGCTCAGTATAGCTTATACACGAGTCAATCACAGTGGGCACTGAAGTACAATAGAAATAAAAATATAGGAAGTTAAGAAAGACATGTGGACGAATGCAAAGGGACAGGCAAAGAGAAATTAATAAACAGAAGAGCGGCGCTCCGTAAAAGCCACCGTTTTCTTCTTCAAAATACTTACCCCCGTCCTCCCAACCCTGGCGCTGGCCGCCCTGTCCATTCCCACAATTGACGGCAGATACCAAGCCAATTCTCCAGCAAAAACAACATAATCCGCTCTTCCTCGATCTCTTGTTCCACCGGCCGCTGAGCGCTACGGTTGCGACGCCTGCCGATCAACAGCGGCCCAAATACCCGTGCCAATCCGTCGGGCTGGAGGGAGCTTGCCACAGGCCGGACTGGATTCCCGGGAGTCTGGGGTTGAGTAGGCCCCTCACGCACCCTTCCTGTGGCTTGAAGTAGCCCCGTAAGAAAACCACAAACTGCGCAGATCATCGCACATTCCATCTCACTGGTCAGGGCCATAATCGCTAATGTGATCAACCGCACGCGACCTGGATTTGCGGTGGCTGCCAAGAAAATGCGATGTACAACCCGGTAAAGATGGACAGAGCCCAATATTCCATTGGGTAATCCCGCCAGTAGTTCTACAAATACCCAACCCACGCTAAGTACAGCCATCGAGCTCGACTCGGTGTCAATATGTGGGATGGCGATCACTCGCATCGTCATCGCAATCCGGTGTGCATCTCGTTCTGCAAGTAAAACCTGACTGGCAAAATGATTATAGAGACGGGTGGCGGCTTTCATGTCGCCTGGCTCAACAAAAAGACTGGCTGAATGGGGAGCTGCAGGAACCCGAGTCAGTTGACTTAAACTGTGACGCAGACGCAGGTGAAGAGAGAGGGCCACAAACCGGATCTTCGAAGATACATAATCATCGCTACAATACATGCTGGTAGCTGCAAAGGCGCGGGCGCCAGGTCTGGAGGCAGAATAAGGTAGCTGTGTCCTCCAAGTCGGGAGATAGTATCGAGGGACCTGCCCCGCAGAGAACTCATCGGGCTTGATCGGCGACCAAGATTTGCAAAGGTCTTCGTTCGTCGCAGTCTGGATGCTGGAGGAGGCGATGATTCTCCTAAAGTAAAATTCGATTGCGTCGGACGTACACGCCCGAATCGACGGCGACGACCAATTTCACCATCTTCCTCAGCGTTCTGGCTTTCATCAGCTAAGGAGAGAAATAAGTGTCAGTCGCACGAGTCAGTAAACGAAAAGCAACAAAAGAAGGGAACAGAACAGAACAGAATAGAACAGAGCCAATTGAGATATCTGGACGTACGTTTATCGACGGAAGACTCATCTTCCCTGAGTGTTATTGCTAGTCTCATTGAAGTAGCGAGAACCTCAAATGCCATCGCTGCCCTTGATGGGTCCACACGACTAAGTCTACTGCCCCGACTCGAATGGCTGCTGACAGAGCTGACACGAGTACCATTGGGAGGAGGGGTACTGTGACTGCTATGGGACTTGGAAGATCTTTGATGTGCGGAGGACCTTTGACATTCGCTGTCAACTTGAGTATGAGTGGACGTATGACCCGAAGTCTCAGATTGTCTCTGACTGCGATCACCACTATAATGGGAAGATACAGCGGGTTGGTGGTTCTGGGGCTCGATATCCTTTCCATCAGAGAAGGGGTCTGACGGCTCAACGGTATGCGCCGTGGGACTGGTAGTTCTGAAATTCAACAAGCTGGACCAAAATGCCTCGTCCTGTAGCTCATCGATCGGCATAGCGATGGGCTGAGACGGATGCCGGAAGACAGTGGTCGTGGTCTGGTTTGAATCTTGAGATTGGACAGTTTGGGCGCTCACATTGCGATTCTGTTCCTGAGTTTCAAGTCCATGCTCGCTTACATGTGTGGATGAATCTCGTGGAGGTATGTCTTTCTTGACGGGATCCGTTGTCGTAGCGTCTCGGGCTGCATCTTGTGGGATACTTTGGGTAAGTAGCTCTGATGCAGAGCTCCGATCTTGGGATCGAGTCATCCGAAATCGGGCCATGAATCCTTCCAGACGCTTTGTTCCGGGCTGGGACTTTCTTTGGGATCCATTCTGAGATCGAGAATGATCGCTACCTTCGTTGCTTTTGTGAGAACATCGAACAGCGTTTGAGACCTGCCTCTCTAGTGGAGAGCCATTGTCGAGAGTATTTATTTCCTCGTCTGATTCATGGAAGCTTCTTGTATCCGTCGCATTATCATCATTATCTGTAGTCTTTGCAGGCTGAACCTCTTCGCTTGTTTCGTCAGGTTGGGAGTCGTGGGCCAAGTGAAGCACGGCAGACTGTGAACGATGCCGTCCAGGCCAAATGTGTCGAGAAGCAGGTGGTGCGGATTTCGCTCGTTGCTTAGATTTGAAAAGAGATAGAAAGGATGGCATAGTTGTGGTTCACCTGAAAAATCTAACATCTATCAGGGCACCGAAGTAAAGGAGAAGGAAAGAAACAAAAAATGCGTGTCAGAATTGGAAGATGCAAGTTCATGAAACTGGTGAGTTAGCAATGCAAGTGGACGGTGAGGTGTGTTGGAACCAGGCACAACAGGAGGCAAGAGTGAGGAGGGAACAGTAATAGGAAATCGCCGCCCACCATTTTTTGCTCGTAGTGATTTAGCTAGAGACTGATATGTATTTAAATCACTATCTCTATTTTTAAACTACGCATTTGGTAAATGGCTACTGGTATAATTCATATCGTTGTGTGAGAGCAGCATATTGACTTCATTATCACAAGGTCCCAGTAAATTACCGACAGCTAGCATTATCGTGAAAGTTTTCATGTTCAAAACAACTACCTGGACATGGTATCGCGTAGGTAGTGTCCACGGGTGTAAATAGCTGTTTAGGTGCGTACGTATCCCCAACCCAAGAAAGAATAACGCCGGTATCATGCAAATAAATAGAGATAGAAGAGAGCACATGTATAAGAGCAGTAGAAAAAGTCCGGCAGCCCGTCTCGATCATACCTCATCATTTTCACCCTCCAGGAGGATATATTGAAGAATATCGCTCAGCGTAAGTACACCCTTGAGCTTGAAATGTTCATCAACCACAACTAAACGATGAACTCGAGATTTGCGAATGGTATCGAAGATTGTGTCGAGGCCATCGTTGAGTGAGCAAGTGTAAATACCCGGGAATTCCTAGAGATAATAGTCAGTCGTCTTGATCTGTGCAATGTCTAACTAGCATTAGGCCTTACCGGTGATCGCTTCTTCAGCACCTCTCCCACTGTCAGACCTAACTCGTCATAGACACCACCCTTGATCAAAGCAATTACGTCCACCGATTCAAAAACATTGTACACAACACCTGCATCAGAAATGTTAGCATTAAGACAATGAATCCCATGGCAGAATGGCATACCATCAGAGTTCAAGATCGGCATGCTAGAGATACTGCGCTCGACCAGGATATGAATGACATCGATGACAGGGGTATCCATCGACGCTGTCGCAATATTGTTATATGTACCGACCAATAACTCTCCCAACGGGCGGCGCAGCATCTGGGTATCCGGAACGTTGATAGCAACGAACTTCAAGATGCGGTATTGAGTAAGCACACTGAGTACATGGGAGCGATCTGTTTGACTATCGTTGGTGACGAGGGGGATTCGACGCGCGCGGGATTCGAGCATACGACGGCATGCTTCGTAGAGGGGGCGCTCGGGGTCAATGGAGACGGTTTCCGGTGGCGCAACGCCCAATGCCTTTTCGACTTCTGTATGAATTGAGTATATATCAGCATCCGCAACTCTAGGTGTAGTTATATCTTGTGAAGGGGGGAAAAGGAACGGAAAGTGAAGGATGCGACGTACCGCGCAGACTATCTAGTCGGAATTGGTCGATCTGGTCAAGGGCCGCAGGGTTCTGAAAGTAATACTGGATGACATTGATGTAGTCGGAAGTGGTCAGAAGACCTGCAAACTTTGAAGCTTTTGAGTCCCACAGCGGGGCTGACACAATGCCTGTACTTCCCGATTGACTCACAGTTAGTGAACAGAATCCAATTGTATGATATTGAATTTATGATCGCGGGGTTCAAAAAGGGATTGGTGGGGGCTGAACATGCCATTTTGAATGAGAATATTCAAGCTTTCCTTGACAGACAGAGAAGTATCGAAGATGATGAGGCGGAAGCTCAAGGGAAGGACATCGTAGCTGGTGCGGACCTTCAGGAAATTGCGAATGGCACGCTGTTTGACGCAGCGTTAGTCAAGATTTGGATACGCGCGGGTCACCCGCCACGAGGTCTTTGCAATTCCGACATCCCCGTCTCCCATCTTTTGGCCCCCCTTCGTGTTCCCCTCAGACCTTTAAAAGAAAAGGCCAAGTTCCAGAGGCCCGGTGTGGGTTTGATCGGCTGATGGGGGGGCAATAGACGGGGGGGGAGAGAAAAGACAAGGGGAATGGGCGGGAAGTCAATTAATTCCATTACGAAACTCACCAGGCCTTGACGCTCTTCCCGATAAACTGGTCTCTCTTCGGCCATTGGAGGGCGTAGGTACGAGGATGGCTGCACGAAAGGCGCGTGACCGAGGGAGATGAAAGGCCCGGCGAGGTGAGGCCTTGTGTCTTCCGCCTTCGTCATGGCCCAAAGTGGGGTGTGGGTGGATAAGAAGGGAAGAGTGGAAGACAGTTAGAAGAGGAAAAACATCTATGTGGGATTATCTACGGGGTTTCGACACATTTGAAACCTAGAAAACAAAAGAAAAAGGAATAACATTAAGGGTAGAAAAATATATCGAGAACAGAAAGAAAAAAATATCTAGGAAAAACAAGAAAATGAACATCAGCAACAGCCTCAACACTAAGAAAAGTTCCCCCACTCTCTAGATGTCAAAGCACGGAGATCTAGATACCTGAGGGATCAGGCAGAAAATCTACATCTGTTAGTTAACTAACTAATAAGTTAACTTAGTTAACTAACTTAGCTAACTTAACTAGGTAGTAGGGGTTACATCTCCTACAGCATAAGGGGAAACAGTATATCAATTCTCAATATCAAATAATTAATCTCAATCAATAATGCTTATAACACCCGATCTTTCCCTCTCCTCTCATCTTATTCGCTCTTCTCTACTTCGTCCCGACATAAAGTCGTTGGCCGCCGCACATACATCAGAATCTCATCGCTCCCCAGGCACTCGCCAGCTCCAAAGTCATGACAATCATACCCTTCCATCATCTTCCGCACTCTAGGAGAGCACGGATCCGTCCTAGAAATGAAGTCAGCCATGATACCAAGCATATCGAGTGAGAAAACCGAAAAAAGAAGAGATATGAAATGCAAGTGAAGATAGAAATAGGGCAAAATCTTACAGGCTAGGCTGACCTTTCTGGTCATAATCCTTATCCGTGACTCGATACCAAATCACCACCGCCGGTCGCGAGACATCCGCAATAATCTCTTTACTGGGCACATTCGATGCAATCGACACGACAATGGATTGGTCATCCATCTCCAACCACGCCAAAGGATCATCGATCACCTCGACTTCATGCTGAGCTAGAATAGCCTTATCAGAATCCTCATATACTGGGTCCTGAACAAAACACGGAAAGTGCGTGCTGTTATTCTTCTCTTTAAGCCAGTCTCGAAGAGTGATGATCATCCAATGCTGCTTTTGCTGAGAAACACGTGAACTGTGGGCATACGTGAGACATCCTAGGGATACCGCGACAATCTTGGTTATGTCCAAGCTGGCAGTTGTAGAGTCCAGGATTTGCTTCATTTTCTTGAATGGGTCCTTTTCGTTCCAGCTCTGTAGGTGTTCATTGAACTCCGAAGCGGCTTTCTCTCTCGAAATACGTTCAGCAACATTGACAATCTGACCGTCGTCTCTTCGTACGTCGCAGAGAAACCAAATAGAGATGGGGCAGAAAATAGGAACATGTCTCTTGTACCCCACGCGGAAGATTTGATGCCGCATGCCCGCACGGCATTCATATTGGATGGTGGCTTCCTTACTAGGTATGAAAGCGTTAGTAGGTTCAAATGTTTGCTGTTGGGCTCAATTTCAAGTTCTTTCAGGATATAGAGAAGAAAGCCCACATACACGACCAACGACTCTTGCAGTTGAGGCTTATCGTCTGATGTATTGTCTGGAGGTGGAAATCCTCTTGATACTACGCCAGTCCTCATCGTGTACTCAACCATCGAACCGTCTAGGGCTTTGACAAGGATTTTGTCCCCTTCGACAAGCGGGCGCTGCATTTGCTCCAAAACCGAACGAATGGAAGCCTTGCTGAAGAAAGGAACACCGGAAGTGTAGAGCTCGTCAAGACGAGCCAGTGCCTCCTCTTCGGTTTCTGGATAGTCTTGAGGGATACCGTCAGACCGATGGGCACGGCAGGTATAATATGATAGCCCCATTGTTTGCCGACTGAAAATTCTTTCTTCTCTCTTCTCTCTTATCTGTTTCTTGCAAAGAGGACCGACCCCGATATTGGTTTGGCGTCTGGGAAGAACGTGAAATTTCTATGAAGAAGGAACATTGGAGGATTTTATAGGGTGTTGGGTATTGTACACGGGGCTTTATACCCTGACGGGCGCTTAATCCATAACAATATCAAACAAAGCGGGCGCGTCAAAAGTCCGGAAACTGTTGCTTTAAAGGTCAATGCGCAACCCAAACTACTGTGCCAACACTGTGAAACTGTTCAAAATCCGCCTTGGGCGGGTACGCATGGAAGAGTTGGATTCAGCCCAATATTTCGGTAGCTGTGGAGTCCACTGATTATTAGATTTAAGAACTCGATGAAAGTGACCCCAACGCCAATGCATGCGCTAAATGCATGGTATCATCGCGTCCAGTAAAAAGATAAACAAGGAGAGGATGGACGTGTCGAAAAAGCAAAACAAACACAAGATGATCCACAGTAATCTGCCTCGCGGGATCCCAGCCGAGAGAGAGGGGAAAATTAGAAATAGTGGGTAAATAATGAATAGAAAGTCGTGAAAAGTAGCAACTGAGCCTGCTATGCTATACTGAGTAATCACATATGGCCATGCACTTTCAATCGGTAGATGCAGGTGTCGTTTGAGCCCCAATTCGATTTGATTCGGAATGCCACCTTGTCCACTCGGATTGTCGGGATGTCTACCACGGTGTTGACATCAAATCGTTGGATATAGTTCTTCTTGTGGATGTCATAGGTCATCTTTCCAATGCGATAGAAATTCGGGCCGAGAAGTGGATCATCGGAGAAAGAAGTGTCGGGGTCGTAAAAGTTCGTCGCGCGCAATGTACTCATGAGGACATCATGGAGAGATTTCTCGCCGGGAATTGTGTATCCTCCAAGTCCTTCTTTTCGTGATGAGACGGGCTCAATCGGTCGCTCGGGCCTCGAGTCTCCAAAGCCTGTTAGTCGAGAAATCCAGGATCTTGAAAATTCGTCGGTTGGCAAAGGGATAACACGATACCGAGCCCACAGCTCAATTTCTTTTGGCGCGCGTTCTGGGTTGAGGGTAGCGTCGGCGGGTACATGCTCCACTACGACCTCTTGCGGGACGATATCGCGCCCCAGAAGAATTGATATTTGAGATGATCCTTTCTTTTGAGAAGTACACCAACAGTCTCCCGATTCTTGCCAGGACTTGAGAGCTGTCGAGGGAGGCATCGGTTTGGGGATCATGTATCCTAGCCCAATCATTTTGAGCGCACCCCGGTACACTATCGGCCATGTAAGGCCTACTGCTGGTGAGGTTTGGCGAGGGTCCACAATAGCACCCAGCGCTGGGGACAAGAAATTGATCTTTTGGAGCGGCTTTTCGTAGCCAAAGGGCTGATCCGTGATGTACGTAGGAACGGAATCGCGAGCATGCTTTGATCGTACAGAAACCAAGTCACGAGATAAAGACGACATCTCTTCATTCATTTTTGAAACCTGGTTTTTGAGATGACGAACGGTAGCAGGCTCACTTGTGTTAGGGGAGTATTGAACGGGAGGCGGAAAGTGTGGGATGTGTATTTTCTCAAAGAGCCCCATCTGGAAAGCAAGAGCGACGACTATAGATAGCGACAACACAATCCCTGCTCGGACCCAGTTAGCCCGATTAGATTTCGAGATAGAATTGGCTCGAGAACGACTTTCAGGCCTCAATGTGGGCCGCTCTTGTACCAGATGCTCCTTAGTAGATGGTGTTTGTATGCAGTCTGGCTCTGGACTTTGTTCGGAACGGAACATTGTCGGGATAATTGTCTTTACTGAAGCGGTCCAGCTCTCAACTGCAGGGTCAGGTATAGGCTGGCCCACCAATCCAGCTTCAATTTCAGACTCGAATTTGTCGAAATGCTCAGAGAGCTCCCTTTCATCCGCCTCATCTTCATAATAGTCATTCCCCTCGGCTTTTTCTTCCTCGTCCTCGTTCTCTTCTTCGATGGTATCGGGGACAATGTTAGCTAGACCAGAAGGGCGCCGAGGGGGCGCTGTGATATTGCTGCCTTGCGTGCTTGGTCGTGTCCTTTTAAGATCATCCTCGTTAATATCGCGTTCCAGGTTCCAGGATATCACTGAGGCGTTGTCAACGGAGCTTTGACGACTGAAGCGGTCCGGGGTAGTGAGGTCATGGGTATCGTGACCACCCCGTTTGAGGGGTGATGGGTAAAGTGTTAAATCTGGAGAATTCGACATGACTGATAAATGACGTTGAAGAGGGGGCTCAGCGGCAGGACTTGAATCGGTAGAAACAGTCCGCGGGACAGGAGGTGAGGGTGTAGGGTCGGACTTCTGACTTGGAGACTCCTTTCTGGGCGATGCTGTTACTTCGCGTAAAGCCTGATGTAATTGGGTTTCATCCGGGGTAGGCTCTCTCTTTATGCGTCGACGGGCATTCTCATTACGAGCTCTCCTCTTCGGGGCGTCTTTTTGATAATCCTTTACCGTCTTTGGATTCAAGGCGGCCAATTCACTGTTTTTAATAGCTTCGTTAACTGACCGCTCAATCTCTCTCAGATCTGTGGTACCTGGTCGTGCATGGATTGTTTGGCGTCTACGCGCGGCTGGCCCCGCTTGCGATCCATAGGCAAATGATGATTTAATGGGTATACTGGGCAGGACTGGATTGTTTGCGATCCAAGCTCTCCGGGATTCTTCTTCACCCATAACGTACCCTCTATTGCCCTTTTTTGAGTCCATCTGCACGTTGTATGTTAGCTTACTGTCACAACAAAGACCGCTATGTTTCTCTCCATATAACTCGTGCGTTTGCACTCGACAAGCCAATCAATAACAACGTCAAGGGCCGTAGCAACCGAGTTGTAGTTAAAGAGATCGACAGGGAATCGAGCCCTTCCAAGAAATTCAAGTCTTGAGGAAATGATACATAGGTAAAGTGCCCATATTTCCGATCAAAGCACCGCAAACGCAAATATTAACCAAAGATAAACACTGACTTTATTCTTCGCTGGCTTGAAACTAGCGGCGCCGGAGCACCAGCACCGGTCTTCTGTCAAGGCGAGATCAAATAAGAGAAGTTTACAACGGCCTGATATTATTGTCAGTTTGAAGTCCATTTAAACATTGAATCAATTGGATAAAGCTGGTGGGGAGGTGCTAAGCTGCTGAAGAACCCGGGTTGTGCCACCAAGGGAGCGCCAAACCCGCGACGTCCGAACATTATGCGCACCGGGTCTTATCCACACTTACTTGAGACCAACAAGCGAATTCTGAGTTATAGCTTCGATAAATTCAATGTGTCGTGTAGAACGAGTCCAATAGATCGCGACCCCGGACTTTGAAGCGGACAAAACGCGCAGACGCGCGAGGGAACGTGACTTGCGGCGGGTTTCAATTGTGGATCCCGCAGTGCCGAGGAATGAGATCAGCAGTAGTTATTGATGGGCCACGCTAAGAACGTAGTGGTTTCTGGCTTTCTGGACTGGCAAAATTCGGGGTAGCAGAGCAGAAATATTTTACACTAGAAAGAAATTGTATTGAGTGGGAATGTATGAATTAAAAGAAAAAAAATCTGCTGGTGGACAGTAGGAAACTGGGCTTCGACTTGATAAACTCGATGCGGTCCTCGAGTCTTTGTTCGTCTACGTTTGTCTCTCAAGCCCTTTGTCACATTTGACTTTTTCGCTGTGACAATCATTCCAGACTTCTATTTTTATGGCTGAAAGTAACTCGAAGAGAGCGCTAGATTCAAGCCTCTCTCGATCTATGAAAGAAGGCTCCAATAGTCTATTGAGTAAACGGAGATTCCAAGAAAATATATTGGATTGGTTGAAATGATGTGCCCCAACCACAGCGCTTAAATACAGAGCAGCAGTCGATAGTGTGCTTGACTCCAGGTACGCCGGTCTGCTCCATCCAGCTCTCTAGACAAGGGGGGTAGGAATACTATACAGCGGGCGCAGAGGACAGGGAAGAAGCGGGGGTCCCCAAGCAAGAATGCAAGAAAAGGGAGGACCGATACGAGAAGGAGAACGAGATCAAAGGGGTCTGGTTGTTTAACATGTCCATGCAGCCATGGTGCCGTCTTTGCGACCTTCAACCAGGTATCCATCCTTAAGTCGGACGCGCTCGACAGTCGAAGGGTATGGCCCTTCATCATCGACGCCGACACCAGGACCGCAGTCCCAATGGTGTGCATCAGCCTTGTCATAGACCTTGACCACATTCTCGCCGGCAGCAGCCACGATTCGTTTCGAATCGAACATCATACTAGTTATAGGTTTTTCATAGGCATACGCGTCGTATATCGAGCCCATTCGAAGATCCCAGATCTAAGAAAACATTAGTAAAGTGCTTGTATATGGATTAAAAGAATCATAACTTACCCGAATGCTGCGGTCCAAACTACCCGTTACCAGGTGTACGTCGTCAAATTGTAGACATGTAACTGGCCCAGTGTGTCCCACGAGGCTACGATGGACCTGACCACTACGCAGATCCCAAAGACGAACCATGCCGTCAGCCGTTCCACATGCGAGTGCGGCATCGAAGCACTGAATAGCTCCAACGAAGTCTGCAGACGCATCTGGAAGTCGGCCGGATGGTCGCCAAGTTCCATCTCCAGAGGTGCTTGCCGATGATTGTGTAGCGGCCCAAAGGATATCCAAAGTTTGAACACATCTTCCTTTAACAAGATCCCATTGCCGCAGAGTCTTGTCTGCAGATCCAGAGATAAGTGTGTTATTTTTAAAGTGGAGCGCAGTCACCTCATCAACATGGGCGTCCAGTGTAAAGACATGGCAATCCTCCAAATTCGATGATGGAGGAACCGGTGAAGAATGCTTTTCGAATAATTCTTCTTCCTCGCGCTCATGTTTGTTCAGACGTCCATTGTCACGGGTACTAGGCCTAGCGCGACTCAAATCCCAAATTCGGACAGATGCATCCATAGATCCGGTAGCGACGATATTGTCTTCTACCTGTAAAGATCGTACAGAAGCATGGTGCCCTTCTAAGAAACCAGAACAACGACCCACGTTCATATCCCAAACTCGCACAGTATCATCCAATGCAGCAGTGACCATTGTACCAAATGGAAAGTCGAAATCAATCGCGGTGACCATATCGGTGTGTGCTGAGATTTCCTTAATTAAGGATCCCGGAGCGAAATGTTCGTGAAGGATTGGCATTGAGCGTTTTCTTAGAGTCCGGCTTCGAAGGCTCTTTGGCGTCGGTGTTGTATCGGGCAGTTTCTCGTATATCGATTCTGACATGAATGAAGCGTCCATGGCTGGGTCATTCGAGGACGCAACAGAATCTCCCTGTTCTTGCGCCGACTTTGGTGTTTCGTCAGTGGCAGAGGATTCAGGCGTCTCTTCTGGCAAATCTTCTAGTTTATTATCTAACTCCGTCACTATATCCAGTTTGTTAGATTAAAAAAGTGTCTTATCGGAACCAACCTGGGAGGTAAACCTACACTCGACTTCCAATGTCGCTTCATCCATTTCCAAGCCGGCCAATCGATCAAGAACGATCTGGCGCATTTTGTGTAGGTTGGCAATCTTGTTATCTATCTCGTGGATCTCGGCGCTGCACATATTCTTTCGAATGCCCATCAAGTCCAGTCGGCGGCTCAATGTTTTTCGTTGCTCCTTCAACCCAGCCGGACCCGCGGTCAGGGCGCCGCCCCTCTCGCTATCTTTCAACGCCTTGGTGTTTTTGGAGCTACGTCTCCGGTGCTTTTTATGTGCATGGTCATCTTCAGGGAGGGTAGCCTGAAAACCTTGGAATAGGGAGTAGGAGCTACTGTCTTCGGGGATGTTGGCGAGCAGATCATCGGGGAGGGAAGAAAGAGCCCGCGACTGGATTTCCGAGGTCGACAGCTTCGAGCGCACGAGATCGGTAGGGGTTGTCTGGGTAAGGGAGAAGACCTTGCGCTGCGCTGTTGGCCGGCGCAGTTCGCGATGGATATCCGTCATAGCAATTTGATAATGGGCGCCTGGGTTTTGCTCGGTCGGCGCGATCAGGTGTCCTGCAGTTGAGGTCACCTTTCGCCCGAACGCTTCGATGTGACGGGTCTATGGTTTAAATCGTTATTAGCCTGCCCGCGGCAATGCTGTAAGAGGGGTATGGCTGCGGTGCTAGGTCTTTGGCACTCAAAAAAAAAAGGTACTGACCGTCAATCCAGTGCCGAGCAAGCCATCGCCTTCGACAATATCTGACAGACCGGACGGCGACTCGTCACGGCGTTGATTCTCCATTTTAGGAGGCTGCTTTTGGTAGGGGATCAACCAACATGCGCGGGTTGAGAGAGTTTCGGGGAGAGCAGCAAGATAATCGTCATGTGTCCACGCGATGATTTACCGCGTTCCCCGGATACAGTAAAGGCTCCGTACCGTACTTACCGTGAAGAACTGCGCTGTGGCCAACTGGTCAACTAATGGATCCAAAGTGCTAAGGTCAAGAACTTGCAATCGATAGATCAATTTCTCACAGCTAGGCCAGCCAATTTAGCGCTAGTGAGAAGCATGCAAGGTGTTTTGTGGAGACCAGATGTGTCTATCTATACTTCTTGGGTACTTCAGCGTCTGCCCTTACTGTATAGGTGCGCTCGGTACAGTCTGAGTACCGAATACCCGAACAGCTCTCCAAGCCTGCACATGTGTGAATGACTATTAGAATACTTTATGCAGTTGGATTTAGATCCCAAGTGCGATTCGAGGAATCGTGTAGATCTATGCAAATGAAATTTTATCTCAAATTCAATAGGGGCTTCGAAGTGGAATATGCTATATAAAGAGCTGCTTAGGCTACAAAGCCTCTTAGACTCAATACCTCTCCGACTTCGCTGACCCGCTATCCCTATCAGCCTCTCTCTTTCCTTCTCCCAACTCACCAATTCACGCAGCCATGGATAGAGCTATTGATCTGTCCGATGCTTCCAAGGCATTGGACCTTGCCAACATTCGCTTCGAGCTCATGTAAGTTTCCAAGTCTTACATTATTTCCGACCGCCATCTTTCCCCGCTCCCCGCGATAGTTTTCAGCTTGACCGCAGAAGATTCGGTGCACCAATATCACCCCCACCAAACACGGAAGTCTACTAAAGACATCTCCCAAACAAAATCAACAATGCGTATTATGAATATATACTGATGTTCCAGATACACAGCCGCCTAGAAGACACAATTACCTTCCACCTTATCGAGCGAGTTCAATTCCCCCTCAACAAAACCATCTACGAGTCCGGCGGCGTGAAGATTCCCGACAGCGATCTCAGTCTATCGGACTACCTACTCCGCGAACAAGAGCGCCTCCAATCCCGCGTGCGCCGCTATGAATCCCCGGATGAGTACCCTTTCTTCCCAGACGTGTTGGAGCAGCCTGTCCTCGCGCCCTTGAAATACCCTCATATCTTGCATACGAACGATGTCAACGTCAACGATGACATTAAGAAGCGTTATATAAACGAGGTCTTGCCGGCTGTGTGTCCACGGTTCGGGCGCGAGGACCGTGGTGAAGCGCAAGAGAACTATGGATCTGCGGCGACTTGTGATGTTGCGTGTCTGCAGGCGCTGTCGCGACGTATTCATTTTGGGAAATTCGTTGCCGAGTCCAAGTTCCAGAAGGATCCTGAAACTTTTGTGCGCTTGATTAAGGCCGAGGACCGCCTGGGTATTGATGAGGCTATCACCGATGCTAAGGTTGAGCAGAAAGTTCTTGAGCGATTGGGTCTCAAGGCTAAGACTTATGGAACTGATCCTGCTTTCCCTGAGGAGAAGGGACAGAAGATCAATATCGATGCTGTCGTTGCTATGTATAAGGTGGGTTTTACTTGTCCATACTGGACTTCCGTTAGATTATCATTTTTGGATTTTTCAATTGCTTTGCAATTGGCTTCTATGGTTAAAAGATTGACGTATCGCTAATGTGATTTAGGAATGTGTTATCCCGCTCACCAAGGTTGTCGAGGTGGAGTATCTTATGCAGCGCCTCAAGGGCACTCAATGGGAGTAAACAGTGGCCTATGTTTCAGTCACGAAGTTATGAACTTATGATTCCGGTTATGAGATCTATAAAATCATGTCGTGGATAGAAGGCGCTTGGAGAGAATTGGAAGCAACCAAGCAAAAACAAATAAACAAGAAAATGTATAGAATATACTCTCATCAATGGGACATGAAATGAAATGATATGAAGACAAATTATTCTTCACATACATCCCTTACTGTAGGTACTCGCCTACGGCCTTAACTGTAGCTTCGAATTGCGCCGATTCGAGCAGAATCATGCTACCATTGGTGATAATACCAAGTTCCTGGAAAGCGCGTTTAGAGTCTGAGTGGCCGTCATCCTGCTTGTGGGTAAACTCATATGTTCCGGAGCACATAGCATGGCGCTGCAACACTTCATCCTCGGGGTGGAAAAGGAAGCGCTGGGCTCCATCGCCGCCCTTCTTGGACTTCTTCTGTGGTCGGGACTCCTCAAGATCTAATTTTGACTCAATCTCCTCGTATCCCTTGGAGATAATCAGGTAGTGCGAGAAGTTGTATGGCTCCTTGTCCTGGATGGCCCAGGCGATCTCCTCCAGCAACATATTGTACATGGGCGGAATGACCTGCGCCGGCATGTTGATTACTCGCTCAGTGAGAACCAAGCCAATAGGTGGGACTGGGGTCTGGGAAACGAGCTCGCTGAGAGGGGAAAGGGAGGGGTTGGAAGCGGCCTTGGTTTTGATGTACTTGATCAGGTCTTGGACGACGGGTTTGTCCTGTAATAATAGCAGTCAGCAATAGCCTCAAGTGTATATTTTGTAACAAAATCGCACTGACCTTGTGTTCCTGCAGATTCAAAACAGACAAGAAAGCATAAGGATCCGACTCATTGCCGTCAGTCTTCACGGTAGATCCGAGCAGCGGCTGCGACAAGATCAAGTCGGATAGGGCGGACAAATCAAAGATCTGGGCGTCATTGTCGAAGAGCTGACGGATTAGGTTTTTAAGACCGTGAAAGTCGACGGCGGGTTGAGGATCGAACCATTCGAAGTCGACATTGATCATGTCAACGTCCTGGAGGAGGTTAAGAGCTGTATGCGGTCTGGGGCGGCGCGGGGTGTAGGCTCACATCATCGGACTCGTCGTCGGCGTTTTTGGTGCCGCCCATAGGGACATCACCGAGATCTTGCTTGCGTTTTCCCATTGTTCTTTTTATTTCTGTGTGCTGTTATGAGAAGATTGAAGATTGAAGGTGTGTTGGGCGTTTTCTCCACCCCTCCGCCGCTTTCGAACTTTTTTTCGCTGTTATCGGTTATCGCTGCTGGCAGATATAGATAACAATATCCAGAGAGACTACATACTTAGGCAATATGGAACTAAGCATAACTACTTAACCTAGTTAACTAGTGCGCTGCTATTCATGTATTCATTGTACTACGGATCATATGGAAATATTAACTTTAGCAGAAAGTTGATCTCTCCGGCGCAATTCCAAGTTGGTCTTTAACAAGTCTTCTCTCCATTGCCCTTTCGAATGACTTGTCGCTAGTATTTAGCTCTTAGAGATGTAAGTTGACATTCAAAGGCATCATAAAGAAATAACGCCTTGGATGTTCATGCTATTTCTAGGATCTATATCGCTGGTAAATCCATCACTTCAAACGTCATATTCCACAGCCTCAACGGTAGGCACCTTGTTCAGCTTTACATCAAAGAACTGCGCCACAAGCTGCACACAGTCCCAGATGATCTGAACTTCCTCCTTGGGCAGACCCAATCGTCTCGTCCCCCGGATATGCCAATGAGTCTCATTGGGCAAGTTTTGACTCATAATCCCAGGCAAAACAACAAGCTGTGTGTCCACATCATCCAAGATCTGACGATCCGACAGGTACAGCCCATATGTAATTTCCTCGGATAACCACCTAAAGTCCTGATGCGCAGCAAACAGGTTCAAAGTACCACCGGTATTGCGAGAATACAGCTTCTGCATCCATTCCGAGCCACGGTCATGGTTTGCCTGGTCACATTGCCAGTTCTCACGCGTAAAGGTGTAATCCTTGTCCTCGTCGCGTTCAATTTTGCCAATGGAAAGAATGGCCTCAATGGGCTTACATACCCCAACAATGGGGACTGATTTGATAAGAGCCTCGCGGAGACGTCGCACTAATGCTTGTCGGGATGGTGAGGTTGAGTACTCCGGTTGCGAGATGAGATGCAGATAGAGCTGGTCGGCGCGCTCGGGATCTGGACTCGCTGCTAATGTAGAGGTGGCGAGGATATACCACTTATCACTGCCAAGGCTGGTAGCTTTGAAGCGGGATTCAAGCTCTGTGAATAACTGGGTGAAGCGGGGTTCGATCTCCGGTGTTGGAGCAGGGGCGGATGAACTCATTTTGGTGGTTGAGTAGAACTTTTGACAATAGAGGTGATTGAATACTCGAGCAATGCCTTGTGATAATGTCCGATCCCGATTGAGGGCTTTGAATAACAAAGACAGATGCGATCGCATCGTCAATTCGCGATGTCTGCCTTTAATTCATCAGCTCTGCATGAGAAGCTCCGATTGCCGGAGTGGGTCGCCAATGTGATCCCCTTCATTACCAAAGCTACGTCACATTCTACTTTGGCTTTCACTCTTATCCATATTTTAACTTTAAAATTGATTAATTTCTGTATAAATCAAGGACGGAAAGAGTTGAACTAAACAGTCTTATTCAAAGGATTCAAAGTTTCTCTTCTGCAACTAGACTATGAAGGGCGTTCGATCTCGTCTGCGAAGTGCTCTCGGCGTATATGACGCATTAGCTTCTCATAGCTAACTCCAAAATCCTCACATCGGGTGCCATTCTTCATCTCGTGCCCACAGATATAGCACCTGTAGCCATTTTCATCATACCTCGGGCGCCCTGAATGAGGGGCAGGAACGAAGCGATGAAATTGTTCCCAAACCATATAATTGCAAAGACGAATACGGTCTCTGGTTTTAAATCCTATTCTAGTTAACTCCTCTCTGGCTGGACCTTCCCAACCACACTCTTCGCAATTCAGGCGATGAATATTATGGCCAAAACCATGCTTCATTAGTATCACTTCCCCAAAACAATTGTTTCGAAAGTCATCGTCGTGAAAGCAGCTGTTGCGGTTGCGATAAGGGCATGTGGAAGAGTGGTGCGTGTCTTCGGCAGGTGGCTCAGAAGTTGCCGGGGGAAGACGGGGGATTGGATCAGCCTGAGCAAGTCGCTGGTATTGCTGGGAAAGGGCGCTAATAGTTCCATCGCGAGCTGATTTTGTACCTCTCGTGATTAAGGAATGATTCGGGTGAATAAGATCAGTGATGTTGATATTTTGGCCTCGCAGTAGCGAAATCACAGTGGTTTGAAGAACGATCAGATGCTCCATCAATGCCTCACGTCCGATACCTGATTTTCTCTATTTTAGTTCTGAGTTTAGATATGATGCAGCTTCGCTGATTATTCCTTCACTTACTATCTCCCCTCTTGAAATCCTCTCCGAGCCGCTGAAGATTGGTGTCATACTTGGACTGCACGACCGAGCTGCTCTCATGTAACAGCGTTTTCAACTCGACGTTCTCGGACTTGGCTGACCGCTCCTTTCTTTTCTGGCGCCATGATCTAAATTCAGCACTGATTGCAGTGATGGCCGATACTATCGCCGGGATAAGAGCGGCGATCTCGAGGCCAGACATCCTTGTGAATGGATAGAATAATCGTGGTCAAACTAGAGAGTGCTAGAATGACCGATGGGAATAATAATGGAGATGACAGTGAGGAGAGCGATAAAAGGCATTTCTAAAGCGAGCATTAGGCTGTTGTAGCATCACAGCGCACAGCCACTTTCACCAGGGTACCGAGTACTCGACATTATGGTGTTGCGTGCGGGGGCGGATACATGTATACCTACCCAATTGCAGCCTGAGGACACCACAGCCTTCAAGTCAGAAGCCTTCTCATAGCAACCTTTCTGTGCTGTGAGGGATACTGCGCGGGAAACAAAACAAAAAGAGACCATTTGTTCATGCGAGGATGTAACTGCGTTATGTGTTGGGCAGTAAGTGTGTAGATCATCCCCTCTCCGCTGTCAGACTAGTACACGAAGTGAGTCATGGTAGAAAGAAGGATGGCACTGGTTTGTGATGTGTGTTGGACTAGCTGCATGATTGAGCCCGGTACTACGACCAGGTGACCAGTGAGCACCACCGTGACATGCGTAGCTGAAAACCCGAGCAATAGCGGCAAGGTGATAAGTACACATATGAAAAGGGATATCAAGGACCGGCAGAACGAATACACTGGCACCTGGACAGAACCTAGGAGAAACCAGACGCAATCGTGATGATTCTCTAGGGCGTCTTGGCTATATATCATTGGAAAAGACTGCCCAGGTGTATTTATTTGAGAATTCGAGCAACCATACAGTTTGGAAACAGGAAATTGAAGATTGGGGCACTTGGAAAGACTGGACATGGATTTTTCGGACTTTTGTATTTGGAACTCAGCTTTCACGGCACGTAAAGGGTAGCTCAGACATTAGGGCCTTGCAGCTACTAGTGACTCGGAAAGAGCCCCTAGGGAGGTTAGCCTATTAGGTCCTGGAGACCCCAGTATGCCAGTTGACCCTTGGGTAGCTTCATTCAGATCCCTTGACCAGACATTTCACCGGTCGCAGTCGCGATAGAGCCAGGTTTTCGAATTAGCATAGTAATCCAGTTTCCGGTGCTGTCATCAAAAATCAAAATCAAACTTTAAAAAGACGTTTAGAATACTCTGGAAGTGTGTAGTGTGCACACCTGCCGCCCTTGGCCATAGCTTCAACGTACACATCTGTAGCTCAATTTTTAGCTCTCCCACTACCAGGATGGGCTGAATTAGAAGACATGAAAAGTTATCCTGGAATATGATCTCATAGCTGTGCGGATCAAAACCAGCAACGATAAAGAAGCTTAAAGAAGATCTTCGACACCTATTATAGCAAGTAAGGGTGCAGAGCTGTATAGAAAGTGGAGACATACTGGATACTCAGCAGCATCAACGATGTCACAACATCCAACCTGCCTTGTTTGCGACAATAATCTGATGAGCCTGGATGAAAAAAAAGGGTCCAACAAGTGCAAAACCAAACGATCAAGCTCTGATTGCCATTCCGGCCACTCTGGGCCATGACCCACACGTATGATCTCAGTGACTCCAGCATGACATCACACATTGTATAGCAAGTATAACCAAGTATAAGAATCGAGGTTTTCAGTGAACCAATTCTTTTTTTCTTCACGATTCAAAGCATCAATTTCTCTCTCATATATTATCCCTGAACAAAGACACACAAACTCTCCATCACCTTCATTTCCTCCAATCTACAATATGTCCGCTTCTCAGTCTAGTGTCGGTAGCCGCGCCATCTATGAGGCCGGTGACCAGCGCAACCCCCCTCAGTCTGAGATCAGAGAAGCCGAGCGCTACAAGGAGGGTCAGCACGGCTCACACAAGAACCTTGACTCCAAGGATCAGCGCTCTATTGGCAACAAGCTCGCCGCTCAGTCCAACAAGAACGATCCTTCCCACCACCACAACAATGAGTTCAACCCCGAGGCCGAGATGAGCAAGCAAGATCCTACCAAGCCTGTAAGTTATTAAATTCATATCCCTCTATTATGGGTAATATCAATGACTAACGTGCTTCTTTTACAGGCTATCATGCATGGTAACAAGCCCTCAAAGGGCGCTCAGATTGATGCCGATTTGCAGGCTGAGGATGAGCAGCGCCTGCGTGAGAAGGGTATCAAGAAATGAAATGTTTGATATGATGTTATGATACCCCCGATTTGAATGTTTGGGAAGTTATCCGGGGTTGGGGATAGAAATATTCTGTACGATATGACGAAATCTTAATTTTGTTCTGAAAGCATTGAAAGCATAGAATAAAATTACCAATAAAATTATCTACCAATCCAAAACATGGTTCCAAGTGTCTAGTAAGGAGTAGTTAAGTCACCATGAGTGGTCGGTTTTAGTTTCATTCGTCATATGATATATAGTATTATGCATTATGTGCAAGACCCAAACGCTCAAGGCCGGATATCTAGTGTATGGTACATGATAACGCTCAACAGTAAAGAAATGTAGTCTGAATATGGGTTGCGATCCCCGGTTTGGGATAAAGCAGGTGTGGCCAAAATATAATGTTGCGAGATAATCAAGGTCAATCAACCATTCAGCTGAACTTGGGATCATCGTCATGCGGCTCCGCGAAGATATGGCTCCAGTATTCCTCGACCTTCTTACAAAGGCCTCCCTTGTTTTTCCAGGACTTGAACATACCCTCATAATGGCATGTGACCCATTTGATCTCTTCCCAATAGCTCTTTTCGACATCGTACCCGAAGCGTTGGATTGTATTAGAGGGATCAGTCCATGCGCGCGAATCTGAGCCATCTTCTTTGATGGTGGGAGTTGTTTCCCAGCCTAGCCCAAATACGTTATCACCCGGGTTAAATTTCGGGTAATTCGCATGGATGAAGAAGATATGTGGAGGCGGTGCCACCTCAGGATCTTTGACTCGCCACTTATCTTGTGTAGTAAGAGCATAGTCTTCTCGAGGATCCGACTGAGCCATGGCCGACCCAGCCAACTTTTCTCCAAGCTGGTGACCGATAGCCTGCACCCTATCGCTAACGGTATAGAAAGGTGCACCGACAGCCATAGCCGCCTGGAGGAATGTTTCCTTATCTCCCTCGCCCGGACCCCCCTGACTCAATAATCTGAAGTAGTGAGATGGGCCGTAATAGTTGTAGTATGCAGCAAGAAGGAGGGCATTCAAATGGGTCTTCTTGGACACCAAAAACACTCCAGTTTCCGATGATTGGCGTGCTGACATGGGCGGCGCTTCTTGACGGGAAATTTTGTAGTATAAAGGCGATGCTGAGGACCCCCAGAAATCGGGCCAGGTCACTAAGCCAGATGATTTGTATGGCTCGGCGTCGAGGAGATCTTCTGGCTTTCCGAGAGGGAAGCAATCTGCATCCATCCAAACGATTTCCTCGAAAGAAGAGAATAGAACGGCGAAAATTTTGAGTTGATAGTGCTCAATGGGGTCCTTCCCTACCACGTCACCCATCACTAAACACCGGGCATCCAGTGTAGGGAGCACGTCCGTGCAAATGCTCTTCTCATATTCACCTGAATCTTTCATGTACACTTCCACTGGCAATGTGGACCCTGTACGACGAAGCATGCGCAGAGAGGAAACAAAAACGGGCAAATAGGTCGAACCCGCCGTAGTAACTAAGCCTCGTTTCCCTGGAGTATGAACAGGTTTTAAGTTCTTTCCAGCTGCCTTAATATTTTCGAGGAAGCTAGCATGGGTATCCTCCATAACCTTCACACCCTCCTCCGATAATATTGTAATATCCGGGCGCAGAGTATCGTTCGTGGGGTCGAAATGAATTGCGCCCGCATCGCCATCTTTTTGTGGAGATGGGGTATTGGGGTTATGACGTTTGAGAATCGGACTGAAAGCTTTCCAGAAATCTTTTTGACGTTCCACCACAGGAACTTCGAATGCTGTACTCGGAACGACGGAGACGGTGGAGGAGGCGGTCGCTGGTGTCCAGTAGAGGTAGACCGTGCTAACGAGGATGAGCGCCATCATGGCGAGGAGGAGGGACCTCGCCCGACCGGGCCTGAACATCCCCATTCTGGAGGGCATTCGAATATGACCGGAAAGAATGATATGTTCTGACTCGCGAAGACGGGGCGATACTTTGCGTGTGTGGCGGCGGAGCACTATTCACAAGGGGTTTGAGCGAGAGGCGCACGGGCGCGCCGAGCGAAAGTTCCGAAACGAAGGTCAGGCAATCAGGATGGACCTGCAGAAGCCCAGGCCCCCTCTATCTCTATATATCTCCGGCGAGGAGGGTGGCGAGGGGACTCGATTGGAGGATTTGGGTTATCTTGATCTTTGATCTTGGGGAGAGAGAGAGTTTCGCGGGAGAAAAGTAAGGTGGCGGGTGAACCACGTATACGCTTGGCGGAGGATGAAGAGCCATTGTGTTCTACCGCAGGTTCCAAGGTTGTCAGGATAGACTTGGAGCTCAAAGAGTATAATAGAATATCCTGGGGATTAGCTACTAAATAAATAAATCGCTAGTCACATACTATGGGGCCCCCGAGATGGCCCCGGGGCTACTACTTACTGAGGCGTTTTATAGCGACAAGTGACCATCTACTAGTACAACACCTCTAGTGTGGACATCCATGGTACCCCTGGTCTTCATGTCATTCATAAATATAAATATTCAATTACCAGATCTATATTCCCCATACATTCATCCCATCCTCAATCTAATTCAGTGGTTGCCACTGGAATCAAGTCAACAACAGTTTAGCCTGCGTCCCACTTTAACTTCAATGGAAATGGGGCACCAAAACTCGAGATTTGAACCAGAGTTCCCAAAAGTTAGACATGCAACTAGTGAACTTGCATCTTCTACGGCGATCAATGAGTGGAGCCACCTGAGGGATAAAAAGACGAGTTTTTGCCTGAATTGGAGCAAACGCGGATCATCGGGGAAGATCCTCTCGTTCCCTCGTTCCCTCCCACTCTGTCTCTCTCCCCCAGCATTTTAATCCACGCCCCTAAACCTTCTTTCTTGTCACTATTTCCTTCAAGTATATATCACGTCTCCTATTCATCGAATTTGGAATAAGTGCCGTTCAAACTGTTCCATCTGTTGCGTGGACATCCAGACCCACTTCCTTAATTACTTTCCGCTCCAGTATCTTCCTTATAATACAATCTCCACGAAACGTCCCCGTGCACGGTCAACAGCCTTACCCTGGCCTCCTTCCTCGGCAAACGCCAAATGGAAACCCTGAGGGTGTATCCTGCCCGACTAGACCACAATGTCTGAAAGTGCAGCCCAACAACCGCCGGAACCTCCAAAAGGCAAAGGCCGCAAGGCAGTCGACCCAAACGCACCGGTCCGAAAACGCCGTAAGAGAACCGTCGTGAGCGGCGCCCCCGATGACTGCTTTACATGCTCTAAACGTGGAGCGCGATGCGATCGCCGCCGTCCATATTGCTCACAGTGCCTTGAGCTCGGCCGAGAGTGTTCGGGATACAAGACGACGTTGACATGGGGTTTGGGAGTGGCGAGTCGGGGTAAACTTCGAGGTCAAAAGCTCCCTGTGATGGATACGTCGGCGGAGGGGCTAGCGAAGAAACCATCACAAGCACAGAAATCGTTACCGACACCACCGCAAAACCGGACGACCGCCCCACGAGACTCGAAGGCCGCAGCGCCAGCGCCTGCTTCGGCTGCTTCGGCTGCTTCAGCGGATATGGGATTTTCCAATATGAATGCAGCGGGCTTGGACGCGACGAATTCAAATAATTGGCGCCACTCGTCAATATCAAATACGCCGGACTCGTTTAATATGGCCTGGTCGATGGATATGCCGGATCCGCATACTTTGTCTAGTGCACCCGCCATCCCTCCTCAAATATCAGGACTTCCGATGCCAAGTCAGCCCGGGGCGTCTAATAGACTTAGTCCAAGCATGGCAAGTGTGGTAAGCGTGAAATCGGAGGGATCAGGATCGTACCCTGGACTTAGCCCAGAAACCACCTTTGCCAGTCCACTTTGGCCGGTTACAAGAAATTGGGCAGCTTCAAACGGACAACCACCGACTCAAGAATGGTCCCCAAAACAAGAAGCAGATGAAGATTATGAAAGAACCAACTCGAGGAGTTCGATATTATGGAATGCTGGCCATTCGCCATCGTACTCGCAGTTACTTCTCGCGCGATCTATTGGCCGCACTCCTCGCCTGCGGTATCTTATTGGCTATTTCACCGAAGTTATCGCACCCATGATTGTGGCATTCGACAGCCCAACCAATCCCTTCAAAACCCATGTCTTGCGGCTGGCCCAGGAGAGCGAAGCCCTGCAAGAAGCTATTGCCACTTTGTCTACAAGCAACCTACGACAACGGCGCGAACGAAACCACATGTCCACGGAAAGGACACTGCCTGCGCGCATGTCCTCAATGGCCCATCGAGCCCTCACTGATGAAGCATTTCAAGATAAGTATGGCATGTCCGTCCCCGAGGGCTACGCCCGCGAGGAAAATCACCACCGAGCGATGGCGGTGAAAGCTCTGAATGCCGACCTGGCGGACCCTCACCGCAGACTATCAGATTCAGTATTAGCTACACTGTTGGTTTTATGTCTATTTCATGGATGCGATACAGGTGTTGCTGAGTTCCGGACCCAATTTGCCGGTGTCACACGGCTACTTGCGATTCGAATGCGCCACTCACGGGCCTTAAGTGATAACCTCAAATGGTTTATTCGCATGTTCTCTTGGCTTGACACTTTGACCGCCACCACGAATGACCGTGACGTGCAGCTCAGAGGGAGATGCTTGGATATCAGCTCAGTAACAGATGGGGAATGGGGCCTTGAGAATTTGGCCGGCTGCGATGGTCGCTTGTTCAAACTAATCTCCCAACTGGGACGTTTGAATCTTCTCAGTCAGGACCAGCAACCCACAGAATCGACTAGTCCGTCTGATGTTTCCGTCCCTACCACATCCCTCCCGCCGGATATGTTGTTCCCCGGATGGGCATCCGTCACAGGACCTACCGGTCCAAGCTACCAATTCAATTCCGAATATGGGTTCTCTATCCCTACTCCTCCCCCAAGTGATGCACAGGCCAGAAAACCATCTTCTCCTGCATTTTGGACCGAGTGGTATTCATTGCGTCAACGTCTCGAATCCTGGAGATTCGACCCTCCCATCACTACTACAATGCCCTCTCCACCACCATCCATTTCACCGAAAAACCCATCATGGAATTCTCCAACATTCATTCCAGAGTCTTCACCGTCCGCCCCATCTGTGACTTATCATGTAGCTATCGAAAATCTTTCAGATGTCTACCAAATTTCTGAATGTTTTCGTCACGCTGCCCTTCTCTACTGCGAGCGTCTCGCAGAACCGAGCCTTCCTTCACGCCATCCGCGCATTCAACATCTTGTGCATCTAGCCATGCATTGTATTCGCGCTGTTCAATCAGATGTCTATCTCCTCTGGCCGTTGTTCATTGTTGGATCCGAATGTGTCCAAGAAGATCATCGGGCGGTCGTTCGTGCTCGCTGCAAGGACATTTCCAAGGACTCTGGGTTTGTTAACAATATTTCTTGCCTGGAGTTACTTGAGAAAATTTGGGTGGAATATTCAGACGAATCTTCTTATCCAGTCTACCCCTCTGAGCTGGGCTCTGCCTCTCTCCTCAACGGTGGTCCGGGCTCCGCTCCATCTCAGGCCTTCCGGTGGGCTCGTGTTATGCAAGCCAAGCGGGGTGAAGGAGAGTACATGGTAGCATGATTCAACCAACGTGTTACTCATTTCCAGATGCATGGGAATTTAAAGTTTTTGCTCTGTTTTTGACTTATACCCAATGGGAATTGGATGGGTGTTTCTTGGACTTCAGCGACTAGGAAGCTTGGGACATTTAATGATCATGATACCACCAGCACTGCACTACTCTATTATTATTTCTTCTCTTGCCCGTTAGTCTTTCGTTTGTACATCTGGGCCATATACGAAGGGATTTGCATATAATGGGATATATCTCAAGCCTTGGTTCGAACTATCAGGGATATAGAGACTACATAGAGATCCTTTATTGAACATTTCAAACAAACGACTACACCCCCCTCGTATATCTAGGCGTATCGTGTACATATAGTATTACTGTATTAAAATAAGGCCGTGAGTTGGTACAGATACGTTTCGACTTTGGAAGCAAGAGTGCAAAGTCTAGAATCCCAACTACGCGCCGCCAATTTTCGACGAAGTGAGCCCCAGAGGAGTGGCAGTGCAAGAACTTTGCATTCTCATGGCGCGACAAATTTTGCACTGTACCCAACACCAAATAGGCACGTCCTCCTGCCAACCAGGGTCCACGAGAGCAAGAGAATTGCACAGGAAATTTCAACGAAGCCCCGCGCGAGCCTCAAAGAGCAAGCTCTGAACTCGCTATTCTCGACATGCTCTACAACAGTGCCGTTCCTTCAGACCCGGATGTTGACTGTCTTCCTGGTCTTCCGTCCAGCAACACCGCTCGGAATCTTGTAGACGCAGCCTTTCATTATGTTCAGGCACGCTACTGTATCGTTGACTGGGCTCAAGTCCGCGATTAGCATCAAGATCGAGAATCTCTTGTATATACACCCAACCATGCTCCAATTGGATCACAAACTGGTGAGTAAGAAGATCTCTTTTAACCCAAGCTCTGACATGGCGACTTATACAGTACAGGAGCTTTTTCCATCTGGATTGCCCATGCTATTGGTGCTAGCTTCGTGTCAAATCCTGAGCACTCGCCTGAGGTAGGGGCATGCCCATAATTTTATAAGGAAATAAGTTCTAATTGTTAGGCCTATTTTGCTCGTGCTCGATGCTACCTCCCAGCTGTTATGTCTTTACAGAATTTGGAAACAGTACAGGCCCTTCTATGTCTCGTGCAATATCATTTCCGAGCTTCAGTAAGTCGCAGTATTGAAGTGGCAATATATTGCATACTACTAACAACTTTGAAAATTTATAGGAGCCGCCGATCTGGTAGGTCACAAGTCATTTCTTCTTATATCCCAACTACTTATACTTGGACAGGCATTTAGTAGGCTTTGTGTTGCGGTTGTGCGTCAAACTTCGATACCACCGGAAAGTCACGTCTGAAAACCTAGATCCATATACTATTGAGCTTCAATAGCGGTTCTTCTGGTGTGAATACTGCTTTGACCGGTCTTTCTGCCTTTTATTGTTGAAATTAGACATCGGGGTGTGTAAACATCACTCTAGTCCTTCATACCTGTACGGAAATGCTGAAATTTAGGACCGGGTTTTTACGGTCGCTTTCCGATCCCAGACTCATCAGGGAATTTTTGACCCGAAAGCATCTGAGACTGAAAATACTGTACGTAAATCTTTGGTTCTCCATATCCCGCTTAATATACAACGCCATCTGTATGATCTTGGCTCAACGCTGATATAGTATGGGTAACCCGCCACGACTCCATAATCGACGGCCAGACGTCTGTAGCAGCCTTGGGGAGCGACGATCAGCTCGACATGTTCCTCGAAGTCTCGTCACTGTATGCACCCGACGCCGCAATGACGAACCTGTGGACAGGACCCTGGTTGGATCCTTCATTCACAGAGTATGCCGAATTGGCTGCTACAGGAGCTACCTAATACTACTTGTCACAATGCATTATCTACATTGTAAGTTGCTATAGTTCTTCAAGCTTCGTTGTTTTCTGCGAAGCTGAAACTTGAATGGGACAAAACAAGGCAAATGTTGACAATAACTTGAATCGGACAGAAACCATATTTCTGACCCTTTTACATAAGGAAAAACATTCATGTATACTAATTATTACATACCACAATCAACTATAGGAGTATCATCTTGCTGAAAACATCCCCTTTTATTACCTTTTAGAATTACTTATATGTAAACATTGACATTATTATTATGATTAAAAAATATCAAAAAGAACCCTCTACTTCGATTGGTGTGGCCATCCATCTATAAGCTATACCTAAAGTGGACAAGAGGGGTGTGACGTCATGGTCTTCGTTAACCGTGGCTGGTGCCGGTCTATGTCCTTGTCTTTCTGTACCTATTATCTTCTATATATCCCAAAGCTAAACATGACAATCCGACGATTTCCCCCGGCTTTAGGCGGCCTCGGCGCAAACTACAACGAAAAGCTTACATGGATAAACCATAAGGAGCTTCAACAGGTAAACGCCACCTGGATTCGCGGCTTCATAGACATGCACCAAATAGACACAAAACATGTTACCCAAGACCCCAACATACAAGCTCTCTTCCGAGCCATAGACGCTGGATACAAGATAGTCCTCAGCCTCAAATGGAATTACTCTGAGCTGAGCTTTCCATTAATCGGCGCCGCGGCGCATACCATCGAGCTCCAGCGTCTGAACGCCGTGCTCCAAGTTCTCATGGACAAAGTCAACATCCTAGTCATTGGGAACGAACCATTCATTGAAGTCCAAAAAGGTCACGCGGATCAACGCTTAAACGTCTTCTACGAATCGTTAGCAGACGCAGTCATTTCTTTCCGCAGAGGAATCACCGACTCCAGCAAACCAAAGCTATACATGGGTGCATTTAATCGCCTCGATCTCCCTGTAAAACGAACACAAGCCATCGAACGCATGATCCGATTCATCGCCTCAAGGCCCGAGCTTGAGGGTGCAGATCTACACCCCCACATGCCTACTTTACAAGGACACAAATCCATGTTGGAATACGTCTTACCCCGCCTTAGACCCGATCAGCGATTCTTAGCCACGGAATTCTCACTAGTTTGGCAATGGAAGAAACATCTTGCTGATCCTGTTTCGAATTACTTCTGTGACAAGTATGCTTTTTCTAAAGGTGTGAGAGTTCATCAGGTTATCAGTGCTGCTATGCAGGCTCCTTGGTCCTATGAGCAGTGGGAGGACTTTTTATCTCATGAGCCTTGGTATGTTCTGTGTTCCAATTTTATCACGGATGCCATGACACTTTATAGGGGTACTGGGAGGCTTGAGGTGGCTACTTGTGGGTTTTGTCCTATGCGGTTGAGGAAGTTGCCGCTTCCTGTTGATGGAAATCCGTGGATGCTCAATGGGGTTTTTGCGCCTTCGACTGTGAGACTTCGAGAGGATGGGTCGAGGTATGAGAATTTCCCTTGGGCAGAGGAATTTCGGAATGCGCAGAATTGCTAGGTTTTACTATGTTCAAGTTCTTTCTGATACTATAAAAATTCTCAAATATGCAGCATCGTCAGGTCTGCCCAGCTGTGTATTTGGGGCATGCTACATCCAAATACTCAGGGCAGGCTATAGTTGCCAATTATGGTAGATGAATCATGAAGCATACTGCGCATTACATGATAGCACTGAGAAAATGTAATAATGAGTAACATTTGAGTGATTTGTGCTTTTGGAGCCGATTATTTGAAAGTGTGGAATCAGACACTCCGAAATTCCTCGGTGGCTTTGATAGGGAAACAAGCGATCTTTGGGGCTCTGCTCAGCCGTCACGTTCAGTTGGCGGTGTGTTTACATTTTCTTCTCTCCACATCAGTCGCCAAAATTCGCGTGGCACACTCCATTAAACTTGCACATAATTGACAGACCGGATCACACTTTCTGCCATCTCTGAGCTGAGGAATAGACAAAATTGGCACAAAATGATGTGGCCATGTGACATTCAAGATTGTAAAAACCCCTCCGTTCGTGGAATCGGAGGATGCATTCTATGCAGTAGTCACGTTTGCGTGAAACACTGGGGGCCGGATTACCATATTTGTCCCAAATGGGAGTTCCGTCAAACATAATACCGATTTCAAGACTATACTGATTATTGTATCATGGGTAGGATGCAGATAAATATGACACCCTCGCCAAGCAAGCTGAAAGCAATGAGATCACTCAACTTGTGGAGAAAATCAACCTCACTGCCCTGATTTCTCGAGCTTCGGCTCTTCGCGAAGGTCGTTCTTGTTTCATACCGAATGATCTTGCGTATGACAGTGCAAAGGAAGCTCTGTTATGGGAGGCATGAACTATAATATAGAGATTACCTTCAATGATGGGATCGGTTGGCTGGCGCATACTCGAAAGTCGAATGCTACTTCTCCACCCCAAGAACTACGGGATTATATTTTACAAGGCGTAGTTGCAACCCTGCAGTTTCTTAGCGACAAAACAAAAGTCTCAGTTCCGAAAGTATTTGACTTCAACTTTTCCGACACAAATCCTGTTGGGGTTGGGTATATCCTTATGGAGAAATTGCCTGGACGTTCCTTGCGGTGGTCCATTGCTACTCTTGAGCAGAGAAGGAAAGTAGTCGGTCATTTCAGATGTCTATATAGACCTAAAAAACCACCCCTTTAAATTATTGGGGTCCATGTCTTCTCCTGGGTCTTACAGTATTGGTCCATTTGCTCGAGAGTCGTTGACAGATTTTCATGATCCTAAAATGAAAGCACTCGGTCCTTTCTCCTCGACTGTAGAGTGTGCCCGCGTGGGAATCGAGCTCATTTTGGATTTGATTGCACGTCAGGGATTTTACGCGGATCGGCCGATTGATGCTTTTTTGATTCACCGGTTTCTCTTGGATAAAGTTTCGAACGTTTTTACTCAAAATAGTCTCGATTATGGCAATTTCTACTTGAAGCATGCCGACGACAAAGGTGACCACATACTTGTTGATGATGACTTTGGTATTACCAGTGTAATCGATTGGGAGTGGGCACATACCAGTTCTAAATTAGGGACGTTCAATTCACCAATTGTCCTATTCGATGTAGCTGACTTCTATGAGGGTGCAAACTTTATCAGTGAGGATAGAACCTTTTTGGCGGAATGTTTTGAGGCTAAAGGACATTCAGACCTTGGAAGCATTGTTAGGAACGGGGATATTATACACGGATTCCGCTTTTGTTGTGGTTATAGTCCCGTGGATTGGAAGGATATAATGGCCTTTTTGGCGGGCTTCTGAGAGCGCTGGACATTAAGGACTTCGATTGGGAGACCTAGAAGGTCAAAGCTCTGGATCTTTACAAAGACGATCATCGACTCCAGCGGGTGATCGGGACATGCACGTAGACATTATGGGGTCATCTAAAGCAGACAACCTGAATGGACCAATTTGAAAACGAACTTTTGATATGGCTGTGATATATCTTATGCAACGCCAATTCCAGGAGGCTCAACCAACAATGGAGAAAGTTCTTGACAATGCATAATTTGGCCACGTGCTATCATCAGCAAGAGAGATGGCAAGAGGCGGAATCATTGCATACTAAACAGTTGGCTTTACAAAAGGAGACCTCTGGCGAAGAGCATCTGGACACACTTGAATGTATGAGCAAGCTTGCTGTAACATTAAAATCACTTAGACAAAGTGATGAAGCCATTGAATTGATGACGGAAAGCTACGATAAACAAATTCAATCCTTGGGAGCTGAAGATTCTATTGTACAAGCATCCGCTGGGTATTCGAGGAGCTGGAAGAAAGAGAGAGAGGATAAGCAGGCTTGAGCATGGAAAGTTCGCGTCACTGTGACCGTACTGCGCGCCTACTAGCATGATCTTGCAATAAAATACTATCACTTGTCGTACTGTTATGGGTCTATCATTACAAACGAAGCAATAAAATATTGCAAGCCCGAGGTACAAAAGACAAAACAAGAGCCCAGCATACTTGCAATCCATAACGGAGACCGCTTTTTCTATTAAGTTTTCAACTCAGCCGTTTGCACATGTATATCAGAAGTTTTCATGCGCTCCCGCAGGCCCATTATGCACGGGGTGATAGTGCTTGGACTCTTAGTTCTATAGACAAGGCCTAGGTCCTTAATGCTCGGACATCAAGCCAAAGTGGGGCCAATTTACATCTGACCTAGGTCCTTTTTACGGAGTGTATTTGCTCTGCACTTCTCATATGCTCAATCTATCAAGCGGTCTGACACGGAAGCCATCCCGTCATGTCTCGAGCTCCTGTGGAGAAACGCCATCTACCAACCACTGATACTAAACACAAACAGCCACAACAGGTGCTCAATCTCTCGCAGCGGCAGGATTACATCCCTGACTGTATGGCACGGGAATTAAATTCCATGAGCCCCTATTTTTTATGAATTTCCCACGGGTTGGGGAGCTTTGACCATAGGGCTCAGGGTAAGGGCATCCCTTGAACTCCTTGTGATCAGTGCGCGCACAACGCACAAAGAATATTCTAGGAAGATAATCCCTTGATTTAAGAAGAAAAGAATGAAGAAAGAATCTGACATGGTGTAAATAAAGATCGGGTTTCTGAAGCATTCTGGAGGGAGAAGAGTAGCAGGTGGTTTGTTTTGATCTCAGATCGCGCAAGGGGGTACATGATTCATCAGATCTACACATGCTGCATGAGTACGGAGTGCTCTGTACATAAGCGTTAGACTCCAGGGCTGGTATCAACAGAATTTTCTTTTTTCAAATTTGACTTTGCAATTTAATACCAATCAAACAAGCGAAATTAAATGTTGATTTTGTGTCTTAAAATAATAATACCAAGCGGCCGTGCTTTGAAATGAGTTCTCTATATCCACGCATCCCCCCTGAGCCTCGATACGAAAGGAGGAAAAGCAATACAAAGGAAAAACAAAACAAAGAATGATAAGAGAAAAAAAAAATTAAACATTATATCAAATGTAGGTCTTTGAGTAAACTAGAAACCGAACTTTGAACTTATCTTTTCTTATACTATACTATTCATGCGCTACTATGTATACTATTTTCACATCGGGAGTAGTAAGCTTATGCACACTTGCAAGCCCCGTCACACAAAAGCAACACCCACACCATTTCAACAGTACATCAATAATAACAAGCCTTATTGCATTCTCATCCACTAACAGTGGACGCCCAGACATGTGCCCGAGCAAGGTTATGTTCCTACAGCGTGCCGAAGAGCAGATTACACGCTCCATGCGTCCCAGCCCGTTGGCGCAGACGCCCCCAACGCCCCACACAACCTTGGAAACATTCTACCTAATCATACCGGGCTACCCACTAGCTGGTGGGTGGGTGGGGTTTAGGCCCTAAAAGAGGGTAAGCAGGCTGTTCCAGAAGGCTGTGCCGACACAGTAAGAAATACATAGACGGAGTTGGCTGGTACTTGTTCTCCCAATGCCAGTGGTACACGCATAGCTGTACTCCGTACATTTCCAGCTAAGGCGTGCTGTTTCTGGATTTGGTTCAGGGTCAAGGTCAGGGCCAGGTTCAGCTGGGAATGCTGGGGCGAATTATAAAAATAGGAATTTAGGACTACAGAAACTGGGAGCCTCTCATCATGATCTCATGTACGATGTTATGTACTATGTACTTTGCTACTACTGGGCTGTGCGTGGAGACGCCTTCATGATGTGTAAATGCAAATGTACAAAGTATAATATTGGATGGATAATGGTAGGGATGTGGGATTTCTTGAATTTTGAACAAAATTGGTTTGTGGGATGCAAAATGAAATGAGTCAATGATAAATAGATTTTAAAAGAATAAATCGAAATGTAAATTTAAATAAATCACAAAACAAAAGTACATGCCATGTGCGACTTTGCAGGATCGGCGCTGCCTACTGGTGGCGCAGGATTGGATTTCTCGTTGGATCAACCTGAATCCCGAACAGAAGAGAAAGGGGTGTGGCACATTTTCTCGAAGGGCGTTGACTCATCTAGAATAATAAAAAAGATAAAAGCAAAAAAAGCAAAAAAGAAAATCAAGATTTCTACCTATAACCCTTGACTCGTCAAGGATGGACCTGGAATTCCTTGGTGTGGTCGGTAAGGACTGAATTGGCTGGTTGGGCTGTTGTTTATTCTATCCCTTCGGTTGGTGCGTGAGCGTAGCGTTAGTTGGTGGTGGAGCTGGTATTAGATGGTCATGGGTTTGATAGTGGGATTTGTTTTGGTTGTCTTGACTGTGAAATAGGGTAATACGGGTGGATCATTGGTCTTCTGTGTTTGAGGATCTTTTAGACCATTCCAGAGTTGTTGGATGCGTTGGACAGGATTGGACGTCATAGTTCGAGGAGAGTGGATGCGTGTGGGCTGCTTAGGGTTTGGTTTGGATGCGGTCGCACTTTGTACATCGGCCATGTTGAAATTATACTATATAGATGATATTGAATATACTCAATTCAAAAAAAAAGAATGATATAGTAATACTATAGCGAATATTAAACTCGAATTTGACGAATTTGTCACTCTCATTCCTTTGCTTAGAAATACCTAGTCTCGAATATACTCGGTGCTTCGATGGTACATAGCCCTCGAATCTAGATATTTGCATCTGTTTTTTGCTCACGAGGCAGATTTCTTTGTGGGATTTCTCGGCATTTACACCAAGGTGGATATGCAAGTTGCGGTCTGCAAAAATTCTCTTTCTACGATCCATTTTGGCCTAAAAGGAACGTGGTTGCTGCCCAGCGACCGGCGGTAAAGCGCCTGGTCCGTGATGTTGCCCAACAAGGGAAGTGAAGTGTGTGTAAATAACACAAGAAAACTCTGACTGATGGAGTGTGTATGTTCTTCAGTATTACTCCTTGGGGTCTTTTTCGTTGTATCTAGTTCTAAACTATCAGCTCTTGCCATGGCAACATAGTGGGTTTGGGTGGTCTAAAACAACGCGATATGGGGTCAGTGGAGTTGTTAGAACCACTGGTACCATACGGGATGGGCCGTCGAAGACCCGAACGATGCAATAGAGGAGCCGCCCACCAACCATGGATCCGATCGGAGGTTTTATCATGGTTCCTTCGTCTGACGATGTCAGGCAGGTCGTTTGGGCAGGCCAGATTCAAATCCTGAGTGGGATGGCTTTACCCGGGTAGGGCAGTGTTGGCGATATGCCCATTTTCTAATGTTTGATACTAGTTACATACTCCGTACATGCTGCAGCTAAGGATGGGTTCATGCAGAATGAACTGTACAAGGAAATCAAAGTTGGCCCAGTTCTGGAAGCCTAGCACATGGCGGCCTGTGCCATCCAACAAAGGCCTGACACGCGACGCAGCTAAAGCGTCTAGCGAGATATCTATGAATCACTTACTATGTTATGGGACCAGTTAGAGACTCGGGATTTGGAGGGCTGGATCAGGCTTTCCCCCGCTCCTTTCACACCATCTTCTTATTTTATTTTATTTCTTATAAATGTTTAATGATTTGAGCGTTTAAGGCAGGATACTGAAGAAAAAAAAGTGTAGCCAGTCATTCTGCCTGATGCCCCTCCATTACCCTGGTTTGTTTTTGATTTAGAATATATTTTAGTTTGGTATTTTCTTGCTTCACTTGTTTCTCCAATCTAACCAAACGACCCAAAGTCGCAGGATGCAGTTGGCCGGTGCCCGAATCAAGAGGGGTTCTGACAGAATAGTTGCATAGTGGTCGAAGCCGAGTGTCTCCATCTGGACTAGTTTGAGGGGTAGCTGTGTCGACGGTAGAATGAAACATTTGGCCTGCAAGTAGGTAAGATAGTCATACAAATATACAAATAATAATTTAATATAGAGTCATTCTATGGTGACTCTATTATGACTCGATTATAGTATGAGTCAAAAGGGGAATTCAAAAGAGGCGAATTCCAGTCATCTGATGTCAAATTCTACGTATTATAGTATATAAAGGATCTATATATAAAAGATGCGCCCGATCAGTGTTATAGAAACTTGAAACTCGGAGTTTAGAATGCAGTTTAAATATCGTACAAGTTATAAACCGCAATACGTGTAACATCGTAATACCTCCTAGTGCCTGCAGTCCTTATTTCCACATCCCTCAAAGCCACCCCCCACGCCGGCCCCTGTCTAGGGGTTGCTGATTGGCCGCCCCCAGTTAAATCGACGCTGACCATCTGGCGGATCCATTTCTTCGTCCTTTTTCTCTTTCATATTGGGTTGATTTTTTCCCATCTCCACTTCTCTCGCCTGTTTAGCATTGCCTCGCTTCTCTTTTTCCACTTTCTATATACGGTCCCTCTCTCCGCTGAGGAGTCCTTTCTTGTCTCCCCTCCCAAACCACTTTTTGGTTTCTTATAAACCAAAAAAAATCCAAAACCAAAAAAATTATCACATAAACAAGCCTTCGAGATTCGAGATCTTTCCAAGTTCTCGTTACGGGTCTCATCCAAGCCCCCTTCTCGCCGACTCTTTCGAATAACGTTCAAATGCACTCTCAGCACATTCACTGTCAACCCTCCTCTCTCCGATCGGAAACCGTACCACGGTGACGGTCCTACTCGACCTCTTTTCCTCCCAACTTGTTTGTGCTGTTTCTCCATCGGCGTCTTTTCTGCTCTGGTGCATTCGATATCCTGTATAATATATTCGGGTCGTTTGGTTTCTTGTCTGTTTTTGGTGTTGATTTCCCTATATTCTTGCTCATCTCCATCTCTACGTGTGTGATTTTCGCCACTTATACCCTCTACTGCTCTACCGGCATACATTATTACTTTGGTCCCAGCTTTTTGAATTCTACTCGAGCTGCGACCTGCTCATGCGCCTGCGCCTGCAATAATGTATCACTATTCTAGTCCACCACCCGGGTGGTCTAACTTCGACTACACCCAGTCGCCACCAACCTCGCCTTACTACGCCCAGTACGCATCTCAGTACGCCAACCCCTACACATCTCCTCGAGGAACCTCGCGACGACACACCCGCAAGGCCAGCTACACAGCCACAGCGACCAAGGAACCCGGCTACTACGCCTACCCGCAAAGTTACTACGAACCGACACCTGAATATGGCATTCCGCCGCGCAAGCACGATCATGTAAGTGCTTCTTTTGGCGGAACGTCCAAACACCGTCGCAACCATACGACCGGTCATCCTGCGGGGGATGGCTTCGGAGCCAAGCCGCAATCGCAGAAACGACCCATCTTCGTAGATGTGGTCGACGATGCAGGAGATGTTCACTACACCTTTCGCGAGTCCCGAGCACGCCCTGGCCGTCCCCCAGCAGCTTCAACCTCCAAACGAGAAGGCCCAGGCCAACATCGTCGTACCGCGTCGACTTCTCAACGCAAATCAAACCCAGCCGCTGATTCTCACTTTTACTTTACTCAGGCTCCTAACCAGGAGGATATCGAAGCAACTCGTCGCTCATCCCGTGCCCGTCGCCAATCAACTTCAACCCGTACACCAAACAAGCCTAAACCAGCCCCCGCCACTAAACCGCCAGTTGTCGCCACTGAGGAAGACGCAGAACGAGTCGGCATTCCAGCAGGTTACTCGATAAAGAACTGGGATCCTACCGAGGCACCTATTATTCTTCTCGGCAGTGTATTCGATGCCAATTCGCTCGGTAAATGGATCTACGACTGGACTGTCTTCCACCATGGCGCATCGACGCCCATGGCTGACGTTGCGGGTGATTTGTGGCTGTTACTTATCAAGCTTGCGGGAAAGGTGAAACGGGCTGACGAATGTCTCCCACGAATCAAATGTATTGATGCCCAGGAAATCGTTGAGGACTTCTTAGAAAGTGGCGACCGACTGTGGGGCCGTTTTAAGAAGCTCCTGAAGGGCTGTGAACTTTACATGTGGAAGGCTGCTAAAAGGGAAAGTGGCAAGGGTGCGCCCGTATCTATGGGGCGTAATGCAGGTTGCGAATTCGTCGAATCGATCTTCGGACGTGACCGTGAACTTGAGAATACAGAGAAGTTGATGAACAGCATACGCTTATGGAATATGCGATTCGACGCCAACTGCGAAGATATTCTACGCCGACCGTCCGCCAAATAGACGGTTTATTTTTTACAACAACTATTATTACACACTACAACTACACTACACTACCTACCTATCATATACACCGAAAGAGGAGCGAATCCGACAGAGAAAGAAGAAAGTTATATCTTTGTTTTTTATCGTTATCGTTTTTATTGATTCCCCTTTCTTCTCTTATTTCTTATGTCATACACTGGGAGCATTTGACATTGTTGAATTGCATTTGCAGCGCGTTAGGTTTGGCTTCGGCTGGCTTCTACTCGTTACAGCTTTCTTTTCCTGTTTCTGCTCTGTTCCTGCTACTGCTGTCATGGGTTAAATTGACGGCTCTCACGCCCCCAGCTGGGGCGAACCTCCAAAAGAAGTCCGTTTTTTTTGGGTTTCGGCGCCTGCATTTCCTGTCTCGATTCGATTCGTTTAGGGCGGCGTCCTTTTTTTCAATTTTATTTCTGGATTCCCCGGCGTCCGTACGCTGATGCTTTTTACCTCATTTTTTGCCATCGATGCCAGTGTCATTCTGCTTTGATGATACCATCTCGCGATTATTATTTTTGGTTCCTCGTTTTCTGTTCTGTTCTGTTCTGTTATGTTCTGTTCTGTTCTGTTCTTATTTTATTCTCATTCTCACAAGTCATTCCTTTTGTCACTTTTCCTATATCGTCGTTATTGATGTTGAGTTCGAGGAGGATAAAAAAGAAACAACAGGGTTGTATATAGAGCCACCGGATCTCAACATTAATACATGACATCGTCTCATCATCTCTACTTCCAAGTTTCATCTTGTAACTCTCTTCCCCATCGTATACTAGTACTGTAGTCAACTCCCGAGGCCGGTTGGTACTGTTCCTTATTTCCACTCATCCCCTCCATCAATGTATGCAAATCCCCAAAAAGGCAACGATTCACCTCTACATACGCATCGACCCCCCTTCCTGCATGCACCCTTGAGTACCTACGTCCAACTGTAGCTTATGCCTCGCCCTGTACGCCCGAGAAGCAGGTACCTACGCCCCAATGACGGCACTGGCTGATGTCACCCACCATCCCACCAACAGCACGGAACGACGCCTGCAGCTTGCTGCAAGTGATAAGGCCCGTTACTGGTCCGCGGCCCCAAGTTGGTGCGGGGGCCATGACGGTGGTGCGTGGCGAGCCTATCAGCGTTGTGCGTTTATATGGGCTGAGGTGTACTGTGCATCAATTCTAGTGCGGGGGCTCGGGCCAGTGGACGGCAGGATGAGTGTGTGCATGAATGCGAATGCATGTTGTACGGTTAGATAAGGTTTTTTGGCACATGGTTTGGGGGTCAAGGCTATTAATATCATTTCTGGTATGTTCTTTTTTATTTGTTTCATTATCTTATCTCTTGGAGGATTTTTGAAGGATTTGTTTTGGATGTCGTGTTACGGGTTTGAGTTTTTCTAGCTACTATTCATCGTATGGCGAGAGAGATATTGTGTGAGGGTCAGATTGATCATGTCAGGTGAACTTTTTGTGTAAGGTGAGATTTGTGTTACTTGTTTCATCTTGATATTGTGGAATAGAGTAGGATTTTTGGTGATTTATTTAGTCCAACCAGAAAATTGTAAGCTGACAGGACTTGTGTATGTAGAAGCATAGAATCCTTCGAGGAGGATTTAGAAGAAAGGTTTGCCTTAAGATACCTATAATCCATACTTCTCTATGTATCTTTTTAGATATTCCATCCTTTGATAAGAGTTAAATCCATTCTAATGAACTCTTCTATCTCACCGCGGTACGAGTACGAAGTACGCTACGACCAACCTAGAACTAGCAGGCTTGGCTTCTCCATCCTCCACTATACCAAAGTTTCATAGCTCCATAGCTCTCCAAATATCATTCACACCCTCTGCTTCCCAATCCATACACTACCTATCTCCAAACATTAAACAATAAAATCATGAAGCACAGATTGTGGGGACGGTCACGGGACTGCAGATCAACAAAAAATTCCAAGGTTGAACATTTCCCGTCATGCCGGTTGACATCACCTGCGCATGAAACAATACCATTCACTTCTTCTCTTTGAACGTTTCCAACGCCACCCCCAGAAACCTGTTCTCGAGTCCAACAAACCCCTCGCGATAAACGACAGAACCACCGATTTTGCTATCGGTCGCGGTAAACTCCAGTCGACCAAGGGTAAGATCCCGAAACGCGCACCCCGCTAAGATCAGATCAGGTCAGATCGAGTCTACACGGACCACGGACCACTTGCAGCTTGACGTTTCAGCTACCTGCAGCGGCAGTTGCCCGATCCGATCCCGGGCAAATCGCGAAAATCATCCCACGTTTCTTGATCCTTCCGATCTCGCGCATGCAGCCCGAATGAACAATGCAGAATGGCCCCCCTCCACGCCATAGTATTGCCGAACAGGATGCGGCGTGCTCGCCGTGGGAACGCTTTACGAGTCACTTTCATATGAGACCGCCGGAGGATGATGAGCCTCAGTCTTGGTGGATTGCCTCTACGGCTATTCCGCTTGTAGCTGCTGCTGCGGGGCCGTTGGCGAATGTGATGTCGATTGTTGCGCTGGTCATGCCGTGGCGGAGCAAGATTATCTCAAAGATTGATGGGCCGGCTGGAAATTGGGTGCAGGAGGGTTACGATGATCCGCACTGGTATGCGCTTTCATTCTGAGCTGGTACAAAGGGGAATGTTTGGAAGATTGTTTGCTGATAGGTTCACGCCGCAGGGTTACGGCATTCAATGCGGTTTCGCTGTTTTGTGGTGTTGTAGGCAATATTTTTCTGTTGCTTAATTTCACGCAAACAGTGCGCTACATTATTGCTCTTCCGGTTACGATTGTTTTGTGGTTCCTGGCACCTGGTATTGTGAGTTGTCTCCGCTGTTTGTATACTTCTACTGTTCATCAGACTTATTGTTCTTAGTTGATGGGATTGACTGCATCTCTTTCCATATACAGTCCACCGGATGGCACGGAAGACATTTATTCACAGGCCTTTTGGAGTGCTGTCATTGCAGCCATCCTCTACTTCATTTTGAGCTTTCTCCTAATGATTAATATGCTTGGATACTTCCTGGGCAGGTATCCGCAGCATTTTTCACTCACCGATGATCAGAGAACCCTCATTTTGCAGATGACTGCATTTGTCGTCTGGCTTCTCATCGGCGCTGCTATATTTCAAAGGGTTCTGGGCATTTCATTTGCAGATGCGTTGTACTTTTGTGATATAACTGTGTTGACTTTAGGCTTTGGAGACGTGACACCCAAGACGTCGGTTGGAAGAGGTCTTGTCTGGCCATATGCCGTGTTTGGTGTGATCATGCTTGGTTTGGTTATAAGCAGTATTCATCGGTTTGCCAAGGAGATTCATTACGACAATGTCGTCCGAAAGCATATCGAACAGAAACGGCAAACCACGTATGATCGATCTGTCACCTTTGATGAGATCAGCTCGAATGATCCAGGAAAGGTGATCCCTCCAGCACTCTTTCGCCAACAATCTGAGATTGCCTATCGCACTCGTCATAAAAAGCAGCAGCCGATCCGCACCACCATCAATGCGATAGCATCTGGTCGTCGGCCCAAGCTACTTGTTATGAGGGAAGAGAAGGATCGATTTGATGCCATGAGAGCTATACAGTACGAGACCATGCGATTCCGTCGCTGGAACGACTTGATTATAAGTATAATCGCATATGGAATCGTATGGAGCTGCGGAGCTGTCGTATTCTGGAAGCTAGAGAAATGGACCTATTTCGAGGCCCTCTACTTCTGTTTCTGCTCATTGCTCACAATTGGTTATGGCGATTTCACTCCTCAATCAAATGCTGGTCGGCCGTTCTTTGTGATGTGGTCACTCATTGGGATTCCCACCATGACCATCCTTATATCCCAAATGAGCGACACAGTCGTCGCTGGGTTCAAGCATGGAACAGAGAAATTCGCTGAATATTTCATCATGCCTGAGAGTGGGACATATTCGTCTTTTATCGCTCGTATGCCTTTTGTCGTCGGGTTTTTCCAGAGGCGTGCAGAGAAACAGCGATTGAAGCGAGGATTCCAAGTCGGAACAGACATGGACGGTGAGGTTGAAGCGAGAAACCAAGATGTCGAAGCCTCGGAAAATATGCGACAGAGCAGACCCCGGAGTCCCCGAAACATGTCGCCTTCAAATCGACCTAGACGAACCATTGAAGAACTTGCACGACATACCAACCCATCACCCTTTGAACTTGCTCAGCAACTTGCCTTTGCCATTCGGAGTATTACTCAGGACGTGTGCGAGGGTAAGCGTAAGAGGTACAATTATGAAGAGTGGGTTGAGTATACTCGTCTCATTCAATTTACTAACCCTCGGTCTCGACCGTCTTCGTCAGAAGGTCCCTCAAGCCAGTCCCACGGTAGGAACGAGAATGATACCATCATTCTTGATGAAGATGAGTACGGCGTCTTAAACTGGGACTGGATTGGAGAAAAAAGTCCCATGTTGGCCCATCAGACTGAACCAGAGTGGGTCCTTGATCGACTCTGCGAGAGTCTGGTGAGGTATGTTTCCACCCAAGAACAAGCTCGAGCGGGTCCTGCAGAGGACATGACCGAAGTTGCGATATTGCAAAAGGAGAAAGATTTAGGGATTGAAGAATCTTGACGATCTAGTTGCATTTAGCCTGCCTTCTTATTTATTTACTTTTCTTCCGAACATATTGATGTTTTACTATTTCGCTATTGATCTCCCAGGTTGATATACCCTTATTGTTTTCAATGCACATACTTGACTTGATGCTCCTGATTTGTACAATTTACTATACCAAAATTTGAAGTTTTCAGACTCATACTTCGGTTATGGCTACATAAAAACCTTGAAACCCCAAACTCCTCGTGTATTCCAATTGGTACTTGAAAATCCAAGACCTTTGTCCCATTTATGTAGAAATATTGGCAACTAATCCAATTAGGATGTTGCCAATTGCCTACTAGTCCGAACATAATTTCCATCCATGGATAGTATAGTGGGGTAGAGCAAGGACAAAATAACTTCACTGCCTTGCGAGGCTGTGCAAGGCAGCCTACCTTGGAGTCACTAAACATTGAATAGTTAAATAGATTCAGTGGAGCCCTGACCCTCAGAAACTTAAACCCTTCAATTTATATCCATCTATATACCGATTCCTTATTTCGAATTCCTATCAATCTCACCCAATCCCAAAATGACCTCCAACATCCCCGAAATCTACCTCTTATGCATGGACATCAACTTCATAACCGCATTCAACTCAGCCCTCGAAACAATCTGGCCAAATCACTCACCCGCAAAAATAAAAATAACACCCATAAATGAACGCCTAAATAATATTCCCCCTTTCACAAAATACGACGTCATAGTTTCCCCCGCAAACTCCTACGGCCGCTTAGACGGCGCCTTCGACCACGCCATCTCAATGACTTTCAGTCCACACGATGACTATCATGCCCTCACACGGGCAACTCAACTAGTTCTCTACGATAAATGGAGAGGCTATGCACCACCAGGCTCGTGCACCCTTGTCGAATTTCCAGAGGCACTGAAACAGAACTCGCGTGGATGTGAATGGGTCGCTATTTGTCCTACTATGCGGGAACCTCAGAATGTGAATTGGGATCGAGAGATCGTATTTGAGTGTGTTTGGAGTCTGTTAAATCAGGTTGAAGGACATAATCGTCGTCTTACGTCGGGATCCAAGAATGCATCCGAAGGTAAACGTATTGAATCGTTGCTTCTGCCGCCGTTGGCGGTTGGTGTTGGAAAAGTTAGCAAGAAGCGTTGGGCTCAGCAGGCCGTTTTGGCTATGATGCATTTTGTTGAGGCTGTTGAGAAGCCTGAAAACTGGAGTTGTTTAAATTGGGATAAGATTGAAGTTATTGGGGATGAGATTAATGATACTTGGAAGGAAAAATGATCATGATGCACTGCCCAGGTGGCAATTACTAGTATTTGATATGCGTTGAAATATCACTTTTGTATATACATATTATTTTGTCAAGTAGAAATAAACTCTTTTGGACTTTCCGAATAGTTTACTTTCTATCACTCCTGCCACTGTGTCTGATCGTACTGCTCTGTAGTATACCACCATGGGGCGTTCGTCGTATATCAACGCCGCGGAGACGACGCCTTGGTATTTAATTTCACAAAGCTACATCTTGATATAAGAAAATTGCATGATTTCAAGTTTTAAAGGAGGTATCTTACCGATGCGAGTCCCCAGTCTTCAAAACGAACTCGGTCACCATTCTTCGCCACAATGAGAGGCGCAACATCGTCTTTGGAGTCGAATGTGTTACCGAACCAATTGAGCTCTTCAAGCTCATTTTCAAAAGGGTGTCCGGTTGATAGAATGTATCCGTCCCATTCTCCCATTAAGTTGTCTGGCTTTATAGGCTTCAATTCTTGGAAAATCTCGTCGATATATGCTGGGTTCAGAACGCCGGGGCTATTCTTCAATGATAGGAACCGTTTCGTAGGACTCGTTTGAAAGTATTCGAGCGGGAAAATGGGTAGTTGGAGGGTCATTTTGGAGTGTGTCATAAGCATAGGTAGATGCATGAAATGGGCAATATCGAAAGGGACTCAATCGTTCAATATTAATACCAGATTGCCCACCCCGTCGTAAATCGGGTAAATAGAATGCGCTTCATTTATCTCAAAGGGCGGGGTTTAATGCCTTTTAAATAGTGTAAACACCAGTCATCAACCTGCTGCCACATTCAGAATCAAAGTATGCGCGTGGTACCCCTCCACATAATTCCCCAGAGTTCATAGAGTTCTTCTCTGCCCTTGAATTCCACAGTAACACGGAACTAGGCCGATAGTTCCAGCACTCTCGATATGGGCAGTGATCAACCCCCGGAAATGCCACTATGACTGAACCTCGCTAACCGCGCATACCTTAAAAATGACAAGCAAACCTTGCAAACTCCGTTCACGAGCTAGACTGCCGTTTAAGGGATTTGAATTATCTGATTCCAGATCAAGGCGGCCGCCACATTCCAATGCCGGTCCGCCCCGACAATCATTGTTGTTTATTAATGTCGATCAATGATTGATAAAAGTTTGATTACCTGTATATGCAGTCGATTATTATTAGAAAGGATTTGATTGGAATTCTCGTCTCAGCTTCCATTCTAACCGTTGTGGAATTCCAGGGAAGCCTTTTCCATTTCTTTGTCCTATAACATAGAACTATGGCTACATTGGCAGTAGTAACTTAGGGAAGCTCCAATTTCCAGTTAAATAGCATAAACGCTCGCTTTCCAGAGTTGATCTAGGCTTTATTTACTCATGAAGCCATTGCTTGCACCAATGCACCACCGCGTTCTTCGCTCTTTCAAGTCCTTTCCTCTCCGCCTGATTACCTTCATTCCCTCGCACAGCAAATGCATGCTCCAATCCCGGGAAATACTGATAATCATAGGGTAATCCCAAAGATGGGATAACGCGATTGCTAAACTCCTTCAACTCAGGAGTGAACACTGGATCGATCTCCGGCGCTATAATTTGCACCGGGACACCAACATCCTGTATCTCCTCCTTAGTAAGCCAGGAAGGATGTGCCGTTGAAATACAGTCAACGAGGTGTTCATGCTTCTTCGCTCCTAAACGAAAAACTGCCCATCCGCCATAACAAAATCCAACAGCTCCAATACGCTGATGCATACGTCGAAGATATTTGGTGAAGGAGATAATCTCGGGCTCCCGCACTTCCTTGCTGTTACGTACTGAGAATGCGGCGAGATGAAGGGGTCCCCATTCTGAGGGGTCTTTGCGGAGGATTTCAGATGAAAGGGCTTCGCCGCCGAAGCTTCATATACGTCCACTTGTTAGTATACCGCGACCATTGTGAGTATTATCCGAGTGCACTCACAAATCTGGGACGTATACGGTGGCGTTCACTTCTTCTGCGTAGGCATCTGCTAGAAGTCGGATATTTGGGAATGTCCATCCAAAGAGATCGTGTATAACTAGTATGGCGACGTCTCTGTTGCTTCCAGTCACATAGGTTGCGTTTCCTGATAGAATTGTTTCATGGCCTTTGGGCGTTCCAGCCCATTTAAAGCCTTTCACACAGCACTCGCTCATGTTGCAATTTTTTAAAATGTTTAGTATCCGATCTGGGTTTATTACGCAGTCGAAGGATGATATTAGCTATTTAAGATAGAGGGGTGCGAAGACACGGGTTCTAGCGGAAGTTGATGAGGGGCCTAAGGGCTTCTTTGGACTAAGTGCTTCGCAATCCTGAATCCTGTACAATCTTCTGCACATTCCAAAGTCTTGAACACGTCCTATCAGTTAGATCGGTGTGTATTTCTACCCCGCTATGAGTCACGGCGTCTTGTCGCGGGCCAAGATCAGCCAATTAGACCCCCATGGGCTGTCTATAGTAGTACCATGTGGTCGGGTGCCTGCCTTAACATCTGTGGAATTTGTTAAGTCACAAATGAGATGAATGTCTCAACTCGACGGATTCACCATGGCTGTTCAGTCAAGTAAATATCATATATAATAATAAAAATGGCCGGGTGACTACTGCAAGGTGATTATTATTCACGCATTCTGACCAATAAATCTTGTCAAGCCCTTCGAAAAACTCGCAATATTAGAACTTACAGCATGTCGACTACTAGCTAGTACTATTAGTAGTACTCCCAGTTATATCCATCATTGGCACAACAGCCACCATGCACATATGACTTCAGGATTCCAAAGATGCTCGGATGGATTGGGGTTAACTCTGAAAGTTTTGTATGCCGAAATTCCTGAAATTGATGACCTTGCGGTAGAATAAATAATAAAATATTTTGAATGATTGTCACTGCCAGTATTTGAAGATACGGAGGTATTTGGACTCTGGACTAGTTAATCAGTGCCATGATGACATTATGGGGCAATATCCATGGATGGTCCCGAGGTCGTTGTGTCTACAGCATTGGACCCAATGAAGGCGCAATAACAAATCAACAGCTGCATTTAATTCAATTCATCTTATCGCCACGTCTAGCCCGTAGGCCTGACCCATGATGCGCTATTATAGCCGAATCAAGATTTGTTTGTGGCAACAAACAACCCCATGATCTTGGACAAACGCAATCCATGGAAAAGCCGCAACCAAATCATTAATGAACCAAACCAGCAAGCTTCCCTTCCTAACAATGACTGGTTTAACCAATATACATTATTTTCGAGAAAGAAAGCGAATGTGGCATCGAATTCTCACCCAATGGCAAATGCGGAGAAGGTGGTTCTAGTCGTCGTCATTATCGTATCATCCCGCCACCAAATCCAACAACCCCAGAAAGAGGTTCGATATATAAATGTAGAAGAATTATGACTCGCTAGACGACCTACTAATTCCTACAATATAACAAAATCATCGTCTTTGGAAAATTGATCGACAGGTACGTATAATCTACTATGATCGCATAATGGATCTGTTCGAGCCTGGAATTCACAGAGTGCAACGATACAGTGGCACAGCGTGGAGAAGACTCGGACAGGTTTAAAGAACATATGGCTAATGATAATCTGGCATTGTTGTCTGCAGATAACAATATCTCCATAATCATGCCAGTGTCCAAACAAGAAAGCCGCTTCAACGACAGTGCTGATCAGCAGCGCCGTCTGTTCAATAATACTCAAAACCAAGATTCGACACGCACACAGACTGCCTCTGCCAGTTCAACCCAGCAGAAACCACAGAAGAAGGAGCAGAACTTGGGTCCTAGTCAGTTGCTAGCCGAGCACATGGATGCCACGGGCAATCCCGTTCCCGACACCCCTACGAAGCGCCCCAAGGACGAGGACTATGATGTTTTCCAAGCTATGAATGCGGAAACTGAAGATTTTGATTAAGGACGAAATATTTTTTTTGAAGTTCATGTATCTAAAAGAAGTACCACCAGACTGTGCACAGTGCGGTATAATGAAACAAAAATATAAGCATTGGACAGAGATATGAGTAGTATCCATATCTATACCTGTTAGAATCATAAATCATTTGCGCTCTTGAACTTATGAGCATAAATAAAAAATTGGATAACAAACATTATCAAAGTTGTGTTGCAAGTAAGTAGTATATAGTATGTAGATCTCAGTATAGTTCAGCTTGTTCAGTTGGGCATAGTGGGTGGCCATTGCTATGGCAACCAAGCCTATGCCACGCCTCTACACCGTCCTTGTATTCGCAAGCACTTGTTAGCTTTGGCCATTTCAATCTTCATCACCTTTCACTACTATTTTGTTCTTTTGTTTTATCTATTCATCAATTTAATTTACCATTTTCATCTGATTCTTTCGTTGGTGCATTGCATTCCGCAGCATGCCCGTCTCCTAAAAACCCGCGACACTTTGTTTACATCCTGAACTCGACTTCCCCGCAAAAGGGACATGAACCATTGAATCTCCGACAAGGAAACAACACGCAACAGTACCGACCCCCCTTTCACTCTTTTCTTTCTCTCTTGAATATTTCATTTGTCACTCAATCTTAACACGCCCCCTTTACCCTTTCTTTTTTGTTTTTCACCCATTTTCATTGCATGTACAATCATCTTAACGAGCGACGACGCGACGCCGTCAACACTTGTGTTCAGTTGTTGAGAAAATACAGCAGGGAAATGGCTTTAGATCCACGCTTCTACCACCACATCAGCCAAGGTGGACCTGGCTCGATCTCATCCGCCACTTCGTCCGAATCGTCGGCCCTCACTGGGATCACTACGCCGAGCGTGATCTCAACCTCCGCCTCCGCCGCAACGCTACGATCAACCGCCTCCAGTCCTTCCCTCCGTGCCCGAGAAGGCGTTGCTGTACCAGCTGGGTATCAAGATGGAATGGCTAGTCCTTCACCAGGAGGAAATGTGCGCGTCGTCGTGCGTGTTAGGAAATTTCTCCCTCGAGGTACGTGTCCAGCCACAGGGAGGGCGAAAGCGCGCCTAGGATGAAAGAGACAAGCGGACGCAGGTTCTGATAATATATCGCAGAAATTCAACGACAGGCAGAATGTCTCATCTCGATGGATCCCCACACGCAAATGACTCGCCTGATTGCACCTAAGCCCAGTCTAGACGATCGCGACAAGCCGAAATTCCAAGCGCGGGGCAAAATCCTGGAGGATAAATCTTTTACCTTCGATAATTCTTTCTGGTCGCACGACGAAGAAGACGAGCACTTTGCGCAACAAGAGGATGTCTATAATTGTCTAGGTGAAGAGTTCCTGGATCATAATTTTGAGGGATACCACACATGTATCTTTGCATATGGCCAGACAGGCTCTGGCAAAAGTTATACTATGATGGGTACACCCGAACAGCCAGGATTGATCCCTCGAACGTGCGAGGACTTATTCCAACGTATTGAGGACTCGCCATCTCCCAACATCAGCTATAACGTTCGAGTGTCTTACTTCGAAGTCTATAATGAGCACGTACGCGACCTTTTGGTACCACGGACAGATCCACCGCATTATCTCCGCATCCGAGAGTCTCCATCTGAAGGGCCATATGTTAAAGACTTGACGGAAGTCACGGCAAGAAATTATGCGGAATTAATGAAATTTATGCGGAAGGGTGACATGTCGCGCACAACCGCGAGTACTAAAATGAATGATACCTCATCGCGATCACATGCGGTCTTCACTATTACGCTGAAACAGATTCATCATGACCTTTCAACGGACGAGACAACAGAACGTACTGCGCGTATTCGATTGGTCGATCTTGCAGGCTCTGAGCGTGCTAAGTCTACTGAAGCGACGGGTCAACGTCTTCGTGAAGGTTCTAATATCAATAAATCACTCACAACACTCGGACGAGTTATTGCAGCTCTTGCAGAGCCCAAGAAGATCCGTGGAGGTAGAAAAGGCAAGGAACTTGTTCCTTACCGCGACTCAATTCTTACGTGGCTATTAAAGGATAGTCTGGGTGGAAATTCGAAAACAGCGATGATCGCCTGTATCGCACCGGCCGACTACGAAGAAACACTTTCCACGCTCCGGTATGCGGATCAGGCCAAGCATATCCGTACCCGTGCTCGAGTGAACCAAGATCATGTATCTGCAGCCGAACGTGACGCGCAGATTGCAGAAATGACGGAAACAATCCGAAATCTACAGCTTAGTGTCAGTCAAGCGACGGAGAACCAGCGCGCCACTCAAATGCAAGATGAGAAGCTTGATGAGTATCAGCAGAAGGTAGAGAAGATGCAGCGTCTTATGGAGGAGACGAAAATGGTTGGCGATTGCAAGATTCGCCAGTTACAAACCGAGAACGAGGCATTGCGCATGCACCTGAAATTAGCCCTCGAAAGCCTCAAGAATCCCATCCCGCCAGTCACCTTAGAGAAACGTCAGCCTAGCTTGGCTTCATTGTCGGAAGCAACGCTACCGCCGCATGAGGACCCCATATCGAGAGAAGGCTCCCCTGTCATACCATCCGACTCCGAGCCGGACCTCTGGGAAGATGAGGAAGACGATGATGATACAGTAACCTGGGATGAGAATGAAAGTGAGGCGCATCACATGCAATCCCATATGGAAGATCTCCTTGGTGATCTCAGCATGTTCAAACGAAAGTTAGCCTCTGACCACGAACGCTGGCAACGTAAAGAACAATCAATGGCTCATAAACGACGGGCATTGGGAAATATCGCTGGAAACACCCGCTAGAATTGATCAGTTATGAATTTTATTTTTGGAGTACATATGTGGCGTTGGGTGGTACAGTGTTTCTACTTGTTTGGTCGGGCTGGAGCCACGCTTTGGGTGGAGACTTGGTCTGACTAGACCCCAACCAGGTCCAGGCTTGATTTTTCTTTTCTTTATTTCCTCTTCTGTTTCTTCTACTTCTTGTCTATTACTACTCTAGCGAGAGACTTCTGAAATGAATAACGAGAAACCTGACATAATGCTTGTTTCAACATTGAAAAAGATCAATAACTGGCTATCATTCTCATATGTTTAACACCTTTTCTGCATGAACAAGAGCAACTTGGAAATACCGCATTGAGATTCCAGCTAATTCATCCCTTCATTAATTGATTTATTGTTTTAGTGTATTCATACTTATAATAAGATAAATATATAACCTCTTTCAACTAATAGTAGTACAGAATATCGCAGGCGCGTGGGGGTTAACCGCCATGTATAACCGCCTCCCGAGGTCCTTGGGTATCAATCTGGCTGGTGATAATCTATGCCTTGTTAATCTAGTTGAAGTGAACCTAAACTTGAATCAAGCCGACCTCGGCTCTACTAATTAATCCCTAATTATCAGAAAAAAATACTCTATATAGTGAAGGTATAGAAGGTATAGTCCATGCGCGTGCGGAGATTAGGGCTGCGCCGGTCCGTGGGCCGCTTATGGCATCATTTCTTTTCCGTGACTCAACTCTCCCTCCCCACCAAGCAATTCAAGGTCCAACAAAACGCCCCTCACACCTTGAGATTGAGTCATCCAAGATGACTGAACCGATGGACTCGGCTCCCACTTCCTCTGCGCAGGCTGGTGCGCCCGCCCAACCCCCATCCCAACCTGCGACCGAGAACCCCCCTTCGCAGCAAAATCTCCCGATCCGCGATGCAAAGAGCGCAAAAGACAAGGGCCCCGCACAGCCAGACAAACAACCAGCGAAGGGCAAAGATGCCCCCGCACCAGCTGCCGGAACTGAATCTGGTGCTGCCGCAGGTGGTGACAAGCCCCTCAGCCCCGCCGAGCTGAAAAAGAAGGCCAAGGCGGACAAAGCTGCTCGACGCGCAAAGGAAAAAATTGAAAAAGATGGCGGAGCTGGTGCTGCGGGCGGTCCAGCTTCTGGAGCCGGTCAGGCTCGTCCCCCAGCTACCCCGAGGAAAGACGTTGCCCCTGGTAGCGCTGCGCAGAAGGGATCAAAGACGCCACTGCTGCGCCGGGGATCTCACGGCGGCGGCAGCGCAGCTGTCGAGCAGAAGAAAAAGAAGGAAGATAAGAGCGTCGCTGTATTCGGTCATCTGTATGGCCAGCAGCGTAGGACTACTGTTGCTGGTGCCGGCAAAGAAGTGCACCCTGCGGTGCTGGCGCTGGGTCTGCAGCTGAGGGACTATGTGGTTTGTGGCAGCAGTGCACGATGCGTTGCTACTATGCTTGCCTTCAAGCGAGTGAGTTCATTTCTATCTGCTCTATATTTCATTTTAATGGCTATGCTAATTTGGATTTCCTCTCAAGGTCGTCGAATCCTACACTACACCTTTGGGTACTTCGCTCCCTCGCCACCTGACAACACATCTTTCGCATCAGATTACCTATCTCTCGACATGCCGGCCACTCTCTATCAGTCAAGGAAACGCCATTCGTGCCTTGAAGCTGGCTATTGCCGATATCGACCCCTCCACGCCCGAGTCAGCCGCCAAGACCACATTGTGCGAATTCATTGATAGCTTCATCCGCGAAAAAATCACAGTTGCGGATCAGGTAATCGCAGAAAGTGCGGCTCAGAAGATTCAGGATGGCGATGTTATTGTAACTTTTGCGGGTAGCTCAATCGTGAAGCAGACACTTCTGGCAGCACACAATGATGGGAAGCAATTCCGGGTATCGATCATCGATTCACGTCCTCTGTTTGAAGGAAAGAACCTCGCTCGCGCCCTCGCCAATGCCGGTCTGGATGTACAATACTCACTGGTGCATGGTATAAGCCACGCAATTAAGGACGCTACTAAGGTTTTCCTGGGTGCCCACGCCATGACCAGTAACGGTCGCCTATACTCCCGCGTCGGTACCGCCTTGGTAGCTATGTCTGCCAAGGAACGTGCCGGTGGCGTCGAAGTTCCCGTTATCGTATGCTGCGAGACAGTCAAGTTTACCGATCGTGTCGCACTGGACAGTATTGTCGTCAATGAAATTGCCGATGCCGACGAGCTTGTCTCGGCCAATACCGCGCAGCAGGTTACTGGTCTTCCCGACCCGGCAGCATTCACTGCTCCCCCTGTTGACCCCAAGAAGGGCAAAGGTGGGAAGTCTGCCTCCAACGCCCCTACTCCCGACCCCGTTTCGTCTGAACGTGTTCCCTCTCCTTCACCCCTCGCCAGCTGGAAGGACACCCATAACCTCCAGCTCCTCAACTTGATGTATGACGCTACTCCGGCCGAGTATGTGGATATGGTAATTACTGAATTGGGCAGCTTGCCTCCCAGTGCCGTGCCCATTGTCCACCGGATGAGCACGAATATGTGAGATACGACTAAATGTTTATTCCTTTATGCCCTGTGACCATACCACAAAAAGTTAAGAAGAGCCTTGACTACTTTTCATCACGGCCTTTTATATTTCTTTGACGATCATCTTTCGGAGAGCATGGACGAACCGATGTGGAATCTTATTATTATATTGGCTCAGCCAGGTTTCCCTTTTTACGTCTCTTTTTTTTCTACTGGACTTCGGATTTTTAGAACTGAATATGAACGACTTGAATATGTCTTGAATCTAGAACATATACCAGACGATAACTGGTAGTTTCGCGACGGCTTCCTCTCAGTCCGCCAAGATTTTAGATGTCGATATAAGAATAGTAAGATGCATAGATAAAATCTCTCATTGAACCAAAATCAATTCGATCACGGATTCCTGACCTGACTCCAGGGCTTCTATGTATGACGCGAGAATTGCTTATCGCGCTTATCAGGTGCGGGCGGTGTAGCGCATCTAAACATTGGCATTGCAACAGCTTCGAGCTGAATCTCCAAATTTAATCCCTTGAAAAGCTAAGATCGATTCTGAATTTCTCCCGCCAAAAAATACAAAACTTTCAATTAGGCACTCACTACAAAATACAACTGTCCACTCAATATGGTAAATACTCCAATAACCAGGCCACCACCCTCTATTAACCATCATAACAGAGTAAAGACTCCTCCGCAACACATCTGCACATGCACCACCCCCGCCTAGCAGACCTCTTCGAAGAATTCACCCGCCCACACACATCAACAGCTTCATCAACCTCAAATCAACAATTCACACCGCAAGCCCAATCCACAAACCCCGGAGCAGCATACGGCTCCTCATCCCCCTCCACAATCCCCTCTTTCCTCCCAATAGAAGACATCTACGTCCAGCCACAGTACCAGCCTCCAAACCCGGAAGATGAAGACGACGTCGTGCCAGATCAACATGCTGCATTTGGTATCACGCGGGCAATGGAGCGGCGGAGAGATCCTGTCTGGCGCGATCTGGGCCTCGAAGCTCTAGTTAATGGGCAGGGTCATGGCGGGAGTGCAGTGACTGCTAATGCGGGCGCTGGAGGTGGTTCCGGGGGCACTACGGCTGGGGGATCGGGGCCTGGAGCTACGTTGAGAGGCACTGGTGGGGGTGCAGCGGCTGTTGCGTCGGCGGCTGTTCGAGTCAGGAATACAGGGAGGAAAATGGGTGGGAGGAGAGTTGTTTGTTTGCGGTGATTGAGTATGAGATTTTGGATTCAGTTGCATTTTTTGGAGTTTAGGGCTGGTTAGGGATGGGAGGGATTTCGATGGGGATGACTGAATCTTCGACTTTTTGTTTTTCTCATGGATTCATTGCAGTACATTGATATTTGTTTATTCTGGATTATCATCATTGAATTCGGAGTTTTGGGCAGGTTTTCTGTCCTATGTGTACCCACGAACGCCTTTTAACGCCGAGCATAAAATTAATGCGAGATGATTGTACAAATTCTGGTATAACTTAGATTCGGGTAATGTCCACGCGGGCACGTTCATAAAGCTTGTGGTCCAGTTGTTTCTGTTCGCGTTCCTCGTCAGTAACTGTTCGTGGATGAACTCCGAGCTGGGCGTAAGTGCCAGGCCCACGGCGCTTGGACAAGGTGCCTGGGTTGATAACGAGCACACTGTCTACGACCTGTAGTTATGATAATGGTTAGCACGAATGAATCTATCGAAGATCTGACAAAATTGAATCAACGTACCTTGACAAAAGGCGGAAGCATGCTAGGAACAATGAGGATATCTGGTCGAACATTCCACCACTCGCCTAGTTTCATATAGGGCAAATCTAGCGTGGCACCTGTAGCTAGGCGATCCAATCCTGTCTTTGGCAGACTGGAACGAGGCGTTGAGGGGAAAAGAGGGAAGAAATGACGTTGTTCGACGAGGTATTTGGGAAGTCGGGTAAGTAATTGGCCCTCAGCCAGCTTTCCATGCAAGACTTCCTCGCGACGGAGTTCCGAAAGTACATCTTGTGAGCACATACCGACAACAATCTCGTTGAAGGACAGGGTCACGGGGTTGGAGACCATGCGAACTTGTTTTGGCAAGCCCAGATCCTTTTTAAGCAATTGCTCCTGTGGCCAGGAGACATGACGGCTCAAGGCGTCACGTACCGATGGTACGCAAACAATTGTGATGCTTGGCACTGCAGCGACTAATCGAGCCAGCGGTGTTGAGATAAGGTGTCGGAATAGTGTATTCAAGGTGGCAGTGTCAGGATCGAGGCCTTTGATATCGGGCAAGTCGAAGTCTCCAGATGCGAGTAGTGGGTGCTCGATATCCAAAAACGGGCCAAGTAGAACCAAACTGTCTGCATAGCTGTTTGTAGCTTTCTGACATATCTCCTGGAAGGGTTCAAAGTCCAGGTTGTCGTCAGCCGTGAAAGGTCCTGCCGCCACCATAACGTTCAAGGGCAGATCACCTGCGCTTTCTAAACGTTCATTTATATTATCGAGGGCAACCGCCGAGGATGCTGCCGGGGGTAACAGAGGAACAGGAAGAATTTCCTTGACAGTGAAGTATTCGCCAGACGGGTTGATTCCTCGAAGTGCCACGATTTGACCAGGAAAGAAATTCAATCCCGGAATTGAATCGACCTTCAAAGGCACTCGTCTGCCAGCGCCCATTCGGCGCGAAGTCTCCAGGACAAGAGAGGCAGGGTTAAGTTTTCCCTCTAGAGCATCAGAGGCGATTCGGCCAACGGCGATAATCTCATTAGTACTTTGCGTAGCTGCACTTCCAAATGTGAGATCGTGGGACTCATAATGCTTCTGGAAAATGTTTGTGAACTCGTCGATGCGATCATCGAGAATCTCAGATGCTTCGGAGAGCTTCATTCCCATTGGTTTATAGCCGAATTTCTTGAGATCTGTATTGGCTGTGGGCTGAATGCGTGCTTCGGAAAATGGGGCCATCGGAGTTGCTGGCTGGGACAGATGCGAATTAAGTGTCTCGACCGTTTGACCTGCATTGGCCCTGTCCGCAAATGAAACGGGCCTGCGAAATGTGTTAGTCCATGCAATCGTTGTATATCGGTATAGATATGTGATGACAGTCGGGTGTCACTTACGGGCCTCCAGGTGTGCTGTTTGCAAGTTTGCTCGGCGTCTTCGCGCCATTTGGAGTCCCAATCTTGTTCATCCGTCCGACTTTGGGCGTAGCGGGAGATGTAAATTCGGCCTTGCGCTTTGCTGAGCCGTTTACTCCGTTCATAGGCCGTGAGTTCGATGCGTTCGGTGTTAAGTCGTCGAGCCTATACGACATCAGTTATTGCTATGAGCTCAATCGGGACTCATATGTTCCATACATCCCAAAAACATCAGCGCCTGCCGCGGCGCGCGGGGTTGCTGTCGCTGCGGCTCTCTTTTCATGTTGTCTGCCAACCTTGCCTCGACTCTCACGTTCGAGAGCCTCCTGTACATCTTGCTTAAATCCACGAACAGTATCCATAGTCAATTTGACCTCCTCCCCCATCTTCATGCTGTATGATTCCCATTTGTAGAAAAGCTCTTCCGCGGTCATCGAATGGACCCGCAAGATGGACTGGAGCTCCGTGAGGACATCTTTGGGTAAGCCTTCGGGGAAAGTTGCTGCGAAGAGCTCATTGAGCTCAGCCACTGTATCCATTGTAGCTTGGTGTGTGAAATGGTCCGTCGTTCACTTTGTAAAGCCGCAAGTGATCGTGAGTTCAATTGCGACGCGAAGACGCGTGAACGTGTGGCTGACATAATCACGCGCGCATCAGGTAAAATTAATTGAATTTCAACATTGAGATCAAAGTGGGCCTGGGCGATCTTCGGACTTCTGTCCAAATACCCCCGATCGCAATTGAGTTGTGTCCTCCTTGCATCCACTCTATTCTGTCAACTAGGCGATTTAATTGTGAACGTCATGACAGCTAACGATACCCCTGATGTTGTGGCAGCTGTCCCTTCAACGGCCAATGGTGAGGTGAAGCCGGAAGATGACTTTCCGCTCTCCGCTGCCGATGGTGTGATCAAGAAGCCATTCGCTAGACCGGTTGATAGTGTCAAAGTTGAGAAGCCCGCGGAGCTTACGGAAGACCAACAAACCAAATATGAGGCAGTCCTTAAGACCGTATCCGAGTGGACTACCGTCCCAAACACCTCCGAGAAGAACGCCCCGACAGACCCGATCACCGATGATGAGCGCATGTGGTTGACCCGCGAATGTATCCTGCGTTATCTCCGTGCGACCAAGTGGAACGTATCTGAGGCTGAAACTCGACTTCTGGGTACACTCACCTGGCGCCGTGAATATGGCATGGAGAAGCTCACACCGGACTACATTTCCATTGAGAACGAGACTGGCAAACAAGTCATTCTGGGCTATGATGTCCACGGTCACCCATGCCTATACCTTCGCCCCTCTAAGCAGAACACCGAGAAGAGTGACCGACAGATTCACCATCTGGTCTTCATGCTTGAACGACTTATTGATCTCATGGGCCCTGATCAGGAGAAACTAGCCCTCCTTGTTAACTTTGGTGAATCTAAGTCTGGCCAGAACGCTTCTATTGGCCAGGCTAAGCAAACTGTGAGCATCTTGCAAAACCATTACCCAGAGCGACTGGGTCGTGCCTTGGTCGTTAATTGTAAGTTGAATGCGATTAAAGCCGATGATATTTTCTACTTAATTGACTAATTCTTAAACCTCTATAGCACCTTTCTATATTTGGGGATTCTTCAAGATCCTCACTCCGTTCATTGACCCTCTGACCCGCGAGAAGCTCAAGTTTAACGAGGATCTTCGCCAGCATGTTCCTCCATCCCAGCTGATGAAGACTGTTGGTGGCGACGTCGAATTTGAATATGACCATTCTGTCTACTGGCCCGCCCTGAACAAGTTGGCTGCGCAAAAGCGTGAACAGAAGCACCAACGCTGGGTTGAGGGCGGCAAGAAGGTTGGCGAGTCCGAAAACTTCCTGAAAGGCGAGGGCGTGTCGAGCCAGTAGTGGCTAGGAAAGTATTAAGGGGGAAATTCTAAAACAAAAACCCCCCATCAGTGCCCGCTTCCCTTTTACTGTGACAAGCGCTCTTCTTGCTTCATTATCCCTTTGCCATTTGACATCATTCCCCCTTTAGCATTTCGGGTCTCTTTGTATATGCCCATATTTTTTGGATTTGCGGAAGCGATCAGTTCCCACTTGTTGATAGATATCTCCATTGAATTTGCAGAAAAGTACAGAATAAATACAGCTTTATTGAAACCGATAATATCAAATATTTCGTTCGCATAAGTCAGCTGCCTCTAGTCTAGTTCCTTGTCGTCAGAAGCGCCATTCACAGATCCCTAGCAATGTCTTTTTAATTATTAGGAGGTGCCTCGAGACGCATCCGAACTGGGACCCCATTTTTATCAAAAGTTGCTGTGGCCTACGGAGAACGGAGGAGAGATATGGAGCGGCCCGGGAAAGATGAAGCTCTAATGTAGAGAGAAAAGGCAGCGACATGGAGCCAGGTCTGTCACCCCTAGACATCACTGGCTCATTTTGAGAAAGCTGCGAGGGTTACAATGACTACCATTTATTATAGACATGATTTTTTTAGATTGCGATTGGGTGGAGATTGTAATTTAGCACTGGAGTTCAAGATCGAAGATCTCAGGCTCATTTCAAGGTTTGAAATAGATTTGGCTGCAGCTAAACATTGAAACCTTATTGCGTCCAAAATATCTACAAGTACAATTGATTCAACTTGATGTTGGTACATACGATGATCCAATATACATGTATCATGATATCAGTCACCATCAGCCAGTGGACATCATTCCAAAGTTTTAGCAGTATTAGTACAGGCCAAATACTACATCCACAGTTTTACTACTTTCCCTAAAATAATTAAAGCAACTTCTAATCTTGGAATCTAAGCCAAACGTCACCACAAAAGGAATATCGTGATAATCCCAGCGCGCCGTTGAAGTGGGTCCATACGAACTTGGAAGACAAAGAAAGCACAGCAACTCCCTTCCTGAACAGGGAGGCTAAAATAAACGTTCGGCGCCGCAATCTCGGCGCTGATGCCAACCTCCCCAAATCAAGCCGTGATAATCCAGTTGATAGTGGAGTCAATCCAACATGAAACACGCGGTGGACCGTTAGGATATTATGGTTCATGAAGCACGGCCCTAGCACAGAACCGGGTTGAGTCTGAGCTGAGGTGGGCGTAATGGGTCATTTAACGGCACCAGATCCGTAGTGGAGTATTGGCCAGCTCTGGATTGATGCTGTGATGGTGTTATGGATAATTTTAGTCACATAGCTTTGGCATAATTTTATTGTGAATGCGTGGATGTACATAGTATATTTGAGGGGGTTGGAGTTGGAACGGGTAGGGGTGGTTGGAGAGCGGAGTACTGCCTATAGCAGGTTGGATGAGATGACATGTAACTGCCGCTGCGTGTCCAGGTGGTCTTTCAGGGTCTCAAGTGCCGAGATGAGACTCGATTACGTGGCTATGTACATAGTAGCTCGTAAGAAATTGGACATATATGGAGTACGGAGGATTATGTCCCGGAATGTGTTGTTTCTTAACCAGGTGGCAGCGGATACAGGAACGATCAGCGATGATCGATGATCCTTCATATCCGACGAGCACGAGACGTGATGGGTCCCCCATGCAGCGCGCTAGTTGTACATATAAGAAGTTGTGTAACTAATGTACGATGGAGAGCTGATCAGCCTCATTACGTTTCATAGAGGAGAGTAGACAGAATACACTACGGAATGTACTGATTAATTTGGTTGCACGTTCATCCCAGGGGCTTGTGCGGGCCGGGGTGTACGGGTAGTTGTTGAACTGTGTCGATCGGAGGCGGATGGCGCACGAACTCATTTTAAATATCTGAATATTTGGAAGGTTGAACATGACGCTGCTGAACGCCTGATTTTGACCGTAGTTTTGAGTCTTGGTCGGTGAAGCTGGGGAGATGAGCACCTGCATATCTCAAAATTGGGATGAACCTTGGGACATTGAACCTCGGTACAACTTGGAGATGGAGGATATAGATCAGATCCTTGAGATCTAGGGGGAAGAGGATAGTGTATATACCACGAACAGTCGGTTGTAAAGAACAGATACAGTACAAATTCCAGAGCGCATGTATTACCCTTGAGGTTCGCAGTGTGGAACCGGGATACTGGCGAAATGACCAGATTGGTGATTCTGGCCCGTCTCCATCCGCGTCCACTTCAAATGTTAAGGATCGACAGCACGGAAACCCACACCTAGCTTGGTCTGCGAGATGAGAGGTGGATTGGGAGAGAAGGCGTAAATAATCATGGATGAACCTTGGAAGGGAAAAATAGTACAGTAATAGTACTTCAAGTTCGTATTGTAGACATCAAAGTAGCGGACGTATGTTACTTCTACTAGTAAATACTCCGTTAATAGTCCGGAATGGAAGTATTCTCCTGAGACCAGCTCCTGAGAATGGACAATTCCATGCGATAGCGGATGAGTTCGACATTCCCGTTGATAACCTAAAGAATAACCTGAAACGAACGGCCTGAGTCCAGGTGCTATTAGGGGTCGATGCGGAGAAAGGTCGCTCTATTTCCCAGTATCCGATAGGGTTACGGAAAACGTGGCGCAACCCGTCAAGAAGGATCGCAAGTGCAAATGTCAGACGGGTTGGCATCTGCATTTCATACTGTTTAAGTCCTTTATTGTGGTTCATTGGCTGTGTAATTGTTCCGAGTGTATACCTGGTTCCAAGGTTCTATTGTATTATAAGGGGGTTACCATGGAACAACGCGGGTCTGGCCGTGTCAATGGTGTTGGCTCTGATTAGTACCTGAAGTAGTTATCTGGTCTCATCCACTGTACTGAGCTAATCAGAGTTGAATATTATTATATTTTAATATTAAGATTTTCCCCCTGAATTATCCGTACACCCGTACTGTACACATACTACTGTAGAACCACCCCTCGCTTGGGCTCAAAGAGACCCAGACTCCACCTTTCAACAGCCAAAACCTCCTTCATCTTAATCGGAGCTAAACCAGGTATAGCCTAGGGAGTGCACGGTCTAGGATTCTCCAGAATGTTTTGGGTTTGGTCGCTGGGCGATTTTAGGTGGTCTTTTTTTACACTTTGTATCTATTTGCTTTCTTTGCCCCCTTGTTGTCATTGTTGATATATTGAAACCCTAGGGGATAAGTTGTTAACAGTCATATTTTATCCTACACTTTTATCAGGTGAGTTCTATCATTGATGGGGGATTTCTAGGTTTTAATCGAAGCTTATGATATTCTTTGATCATATTTAATTTTTTTATTTTCCCCCGATTTTGATTTTCCTTAATTTTCCCTTTTTTCTTTCTTTTCTTTTTTTTTTTTTTTTTTCTACCCGAAAGATTCATAAAAGCAAAATAACCCAAAGTCAACTTAAAAGGGGCTTACCGAAAAACCACTAACAACTTTCTCCTCCCTCCGCATTTCCAGTCCCGAACTCTTTCCTCATGACCTTCTGTTAATTCTCCCCTTGATTCTCTTCCTTATTCTGTTCCACCTGGCGTGGTTTTGATAAGGGTGAAGAGATGACGGTCTCACCGCCAGCTTCGCCGGGCCCTGCCCCGCGACCCATCAGTGCCATGATGCGCACTCCACGCAGTAGCAGTCGCATGAGCATGAGCAGTAAACAAGGTGGAAGTCGAGCTTCTGATGAAGATGGAAAGACCGCCGTCAAAGTTGGTATGTGGAACCCCTTTGAATTGGATCCGGGGCCGGGGAGCTAGAAAATGCGCGCGCGTGCAATCACATTTACCTACCCCAGGTCGCCAGCATTCCAACCCCCCCCCCGGAATGATTCTGGATTAGAATCCAATCGAAAATGATCTGTGAATCTCAACTGACATCTGACATCAATTAGCTGTTCGTGTGCGACCGCCATTAAAACCAACGGACCCCGGCTACGAATTGATTCCTCAGCGATTCCAACGTTCCATGGTCCATGTCACAACCCCAACAAGCTTAGCCGTGGATGTCCCTCAGGGGCGCAAACTGTTTGTTTTCGATCGCGTCTTCCCCGAGACGGTCGACCAGGATGGAGTATGGGAATACTTAAGCGACAGCGTCAACTCCTTTCTCCAGGGGTACAATGTATCTATTCTGGCCTATGGTCAGTCTGGTGCTGGAAAGTCCTATACGATGGGCACATCAGGCCCAAATGAGCAGGGCCATGATCAAGCAATGGGTGAGTTCTTGGATTTAGGGAGAGCTTCAATAGTTACACAAGCACTAATCGCAGGCGCATTTTAGGTATTATTCCCCGTGCAGCACAACTCTTGTTCGACTCGCTGGATGGGCCAGCTAAGCACAACCGAAATGGCTCCAGCTCGACCGGCCTGCGAACACCTCAGCGATATTCGATGAGCTCAGCTTCAAGCTTTGGGAAATTGCCCAACTTTGAGAAGACGTGGCAATTGAAGGCCACCTACGTCGAGGTAGATCATCGCATAGGAACAGACGAGTTGGAATCAAAAATATGCTAACGTGAAATCTTCCTTTAGATCTACAACGAGCACCTCCGCGATTTGCTGCTGCCCGATTCGACAGCCACCACCGACCGGAGTACAGTATCCATCCGCGAAGACGCCAAGGGACGCATTCTTCTCACTGGCCTGCATCAGGTCAACATCAACAGCTTCGATGATCTGATTGGAGCTTTGAACTTTGGTTCTGCCATTCGTCAGACCGATTCCACCGCAATCAACGCCAAGTCGTCCCGATCGCACGCAGTCTTCAGCTTAAACCTTGTCCAGCGAAAGGCCTCCCCTGCTGCACCCACCTCGCCTCAAGAAAAGCGCCTTTCTATGCCTGTTGACAGCTTCTCCAACGGCGAGTCTGTGACCGTGGATAGTAAGCTTCATTTTGTTGATTTGGCGGGTAGCGAACGGTTGAAGAATACCGGAGCCTCTGGTGAGCGTGCCAAGGAAGGTATCTCCATCAATGCTGGTCTCGCCGCCCTGGGCAAGGTTATCTCCCAGCTATCCTCTCGCCAATCCGGCTCTCACGTGTCTTATCGGGACTCAAAACTCACCCGACTCCTACAAGATTCATTAGGTGGAAACGCTATCACCTACATGATTGCTTGTGTCACTCCCGCAGAGTTCCACTTGAGCGAGACACTTAACACTGTCCAGTACGCCCAGCGCGCGCGAGCAATTCAGAGCAAGCCCCGTATTCAGCACGTCGCGGATGATAGTGATAAGCAAGCCCTGATCGATCGCCTAAAGGCCGAGGTGGCTTTCCTTCGCCAGCAGATTCGCAACTCAGAGGGTCCGGATCGTCGCGAAGCAGTATCTACCGAGCGCAGCGAGCGCAAGAATGAGCGAGAGATCCAACTTCAGAATCAACTTCTCGATGTCCAGGAGAGCTACAACGCTCTGAGCCAGCGCCACACCAAGCTGATTTCGACTTTGGCTAGCGATTCCGAGACCGGCAATGGAGAGACGGACCAGGCGACTGCGGACCTTGGAAATGACTCCATTGAACGGATGCAGCGCTCGCGATCATTCGCCGAATCTGTTGAGCAAGTCGTTCTCGAGTACGAGAAGACTATACAGAGTCTGGAAGCTTCTCTTTCTGATACCCGCTCTTCCCTGGCTAGCTCTGAAAGCACTCTCCTGGAGCGTGAAACCAAGTGTACTTACGTCGAAACAGTCAACGCTCAACTTCAGTCTCGCGTCCAGAAACTTTTGGATAGGGAGGTCAGCAACGAGACCTATCTGCATGAATTGGAATCTAAGCTGGATGGGGCTTCTACTGGAGAAGAGAAGCATGCTGCAATCGTGGCCGAGCTGCGCAAGGAGCTTAGCCGTGCCCGTGAAAATGAGGGAAGCTGCGAAGAATATATCTCTACCTTGGAGGACCGCCTTGCTGAGTCTGATCAGGACATGGAGTTGATGCAGCGGGAAGTTATTCGACTGGAGCATGTTATCCACCGTCAGCGGGGACTGGGAACGTTGGATAACCTCCTTCATGACCTGGATAACCGACACAACCTTCCCGATGAATTTGCAGGTGCCAACGGCAATGCTAATATCCACAGCGTACCTGTTAAATTCTCCCACAAGCATACTCCATCTTTGGATGTTTTGAACGAAGCTGCAGAAACAGCTATTCCCGAATCCGATGAAGACCTTGTCGAGCCGATTCCCGAGGAAGAGGAGGTTGTACCCCAGATAGAGGAAACCTCCGCGACATCTAGTGATGACCTTCAAGTTCTGGAGACCGCTACCAGCCGCCTTGAAGCTCGACGCTCCGAGGCCCTCCGCGAGGAGCCTATTCACAGCCCTGCTCAATCCAAGTTCGTTGCTGACAAACTGGAGACTGTTACGCAGGAGCTTTTTGATCTGCGTATCAACCATGAGACTACATTGAGCGACTACGAGAGCCTTGAGTCTAAATACGAAGAGGTCTTGAAAGCCCTCAATGAGCTTCGCCAGGACAAGGCTGATGAAGCCCGGCATCCTGCCCCATCCACTCAGAACGCGGCTTCGCGTCCTGTGTCTTTTTTAGAGAATGGAGACGCTCTGACCTCGAAACGTGGAGCACAACATTCATTCTCGCAATCGCTGTCTTCGGAATTGTCCTCGGCAGGTGGCTCGCCTGCTTTGCGCGAGTCTTCTGAAACCTCTAAATTAGAGACTGATTCAATGGCCTCGACAACTGTTACCTCCACTGCTACTACAGTTCAGCAGGAGAACGAGGAGGTTGAGGAGATGCGCAAAATCCTTGCTGAGCACAAGTCGGGTGCTGATCTGATGACTCAGAAGTACACCGAGTTGCAGACAGAGCACGAGGAGATGCTGACGCTCGTTGATAAGCTGAAGGCCGAGGCCGAGGCTCAGCGCACCAAGTCCAGCTCCCCCACCACTCCCGGATTCAAAATGATTCGCCGAATGACTAGCCAAAACCTTCTGTCTGGTGTCGACCGTGCCCATCGTTCGCTTACTGCACTGCGAACTCTTGCCAATGAAGAGTTCGCCGAGAAGCCCGACACCTTCCTGAGTTTTGAGACTCATCTCGATGCTACTATGCACGAACTTGCTACTCGCATGGAGCGTCTCCAGTCTCTTGAGGCAGAGAACCAGAGCGTGAAGAGGGAGATGGAAATGAAGGCCACTATTATCTCTGGTCTCACTCGTGAACGATCCAGCTTATCGGGCGCTTCATCCGTCGACATGGCTCTTGTCAACCAGCTTCGTGACCAGGTCGTCAACCAAGAGATTCAGATCAACGAACTTCGCGAAGCTCACGAAGTCCGTGAGAAGCAGCTTCTCAGTGAGATTGAAACTCTCAATGCTCTGCTGAAGAGCCAGGAGGTTGCTACCAAGGCTTTGGACGCTGGCGCCGAAGTGCAAGACAAGAAGATTGACGTCTTGGAGGGTGAACTGACTGAGTGGAAGGGCAAGCACCAGACTGCTCTTCAGTCCCTAAAGTCCTCTGAGAAGCAACTCTCTACTACACTGGCTGAGCTCGAGGGTGCATTGGCTTCTGTTGAGGCTATGCGCACCGCTGCTTCTTCTACTGACGGCAGTGTCGACCGCGAGGCACACGCACAGGAACTCGAAAGTGAGCGGGCCAAGCAGCAAGAGCTTGTGAATGGCTTAAACAAGGAGATCGACAGTCACAAGGCGACTATGGCCACCCAATTGGAGACCATTGCTGCCTTGGAGAAGTCGCAACAAGAGCAGCTGGCCGCACAGCAAACTGACTCAGATGTGGCCGCTGGCTCGGCTGATGCCAATGCCGCTAAAATGACCGAGCTTGAGCAGCAAATTGCGTCACACAAAGCTGCCATCGACTCTCACAAGTTGGATCTGGTCTCGCTTCAAGAAACACACACACGAGAGTTGGATGAGTTGGAGGAACGCGCCAAGTCCGCTGCTCAGGCTGAGCACGAGTCTAAGCTTTCCGAGAAGGATGCTCACTATGATCAGTCCATGGCGGCCCTGCAGAAGGACATTGCAGAGTCCCGTGATGAACTTGTCAAGCTGCTCAGCGCTGTTTCTGGCTTGCTGAACTCTGATGTCACAGCTGCGACTCTGTCAGACCAGATCGAGGATATCCTCGCCCAAAAGCAGCACTTCTCTGACAAGTATTCTGAGCTGATGGACACCAACGAGGATCTCCGCAAGCAGCTCGATAACAGCAGTTCTAACAGCGCCGAGTTCGAGGAACTCACAAAGAAGAGTACCGTACAGGATGCCAAGGTTAACGAGCTGGCTCTCTTGGTTGCTACACTGGAGGATGCTCTTCTTCAAAAGGATGAGCAGGTCAAGAAGAAGGAGGCTCTTGTCGAGGAGATTGAGCTTGAGAAGCAAAAGAGCGTTCGCTTGGTCGAGGAGCTCGAGGAGCAAATTACCAACAGCTTTGACCAACACCACAATCGTCTGTCGGTAATCCAGCAGGAGCGTGACCAGGCTCTCGAAGACGCCAAGGCTCGAATTGTCGTCCTTGAGGGCGACATCGAGACCTATCAAATGCGCATTGAGCAGCTTGACCTTCAGCTCAAGAACAGTGGAACCCAAGACGGCTCCCATGACCGCAGCAGCTCGATGACCTCTAACCTTCGCAAGAGCTCATCCGCAGCCTCTCTTCCCTCCCCCCCCACCCGCCATTCCCCTTCCTCCTCTCCCAACCATCGCCTCCAATGGCAGCGTTTCTCCTCCCAGCTCTCGCCATGCTAGTAAGGAGTTGGTCAATGCCCAGCTTGTCGAAGACCAGGAAGCTCGCATCCGTACTATCGAGAAGCACTTGTATGCCGAGAAACAGCTGACTGCTACTCTCGAAGAGGCACTGGGTGACCTCGAGGCCCAGAGCAGCAAGGTCAAGACCGACTGCGAAGGCTGGAAGAAGAAGGCCTGGGGTCTGGAAGATGAACTATCTACCCTCCGCAAGGAGCGCAACTCTGCCCGTCTTTCTCTGCAAGCCGTAGAGGAAGAGCGAAGTGCCCGCAAGGAAGCCGAAGCTGCCCGAGCTCAGCTGGAGGAACGAATGAACGCCCTGAACAAGAAAAAGAAGAAGAGCACCCTGAACTGCTTCTAAAAGCTCGGTGGCCATCTCTATCTTCTTCGAATTGTTATTTAAAACCCGCCATCTCAAAAGCGTGTTGTGTTATGCCCGTCTCTACCGTTTTTGATGTACAATTTCCCGATTTCCCGTCTTTGATCTTCACGTTGATTCTTTCTCACTTGTCTCATACCCCCCTTTTACTTTCTTGTCTTCTCTTCTTTTTTCCATCTCTTTCTCCCGATACACCCTGCACCTACATCCAACAAATCCCTGTATTATGACACGCAGCCTTATTTTTCTCGTCGACTTATCGATACCTCTTGTTTTTGTCCTATAGCCAAACTGCCCTTCGTGCACATGCGATTCGATTACTTCACATACTCCGGTTGTTTATTGTTCAAATGAACATGAACAACCCTTTTTTACTTATGACCGGTAGATTCTTTGCTCAACCATGCTGGAAATCTTCATTGTACATTGCTGTTTTCTGCTGTGGGAATTTTCTAGACTGACTGGTGCAAACCGTTGTTTATGCGGGGGCTTTCTGTGGTTCGATATTTGTTTTATCTTGCTAGTTTCTCATGATATTTAATTCATTATGAAGAATTAGGAATTATCTCTGAATTATCTTCTTCATTGACAGTATTTGAATGATGCGTAGGCTAGACAAAAAGTTCATATCACTATCTATGAGTATGCACACCCACAAACTTGAAGCCACTCAAATAACCAGCTTAGGAAGAAGGCCTCAGTTTACCGCCACCAGTAAGAGAAACAGTCTTCTTCTTCAACCAGTTATTCTGAGCATGAGACGGATTATAGTAAATGCTATGTCCCCGAGACTTGATGTTCTTCAGACTCGAGTCCGAATTCGTAAAAGACTGAACATGCACATCCGAAGTCAAAGACCAAGAAGACGTCTCATCAATAGAAACAGAAAAGCTAGCAGATCCACTAGATTCACCAAGCTTGAACGACCCAGTCCATGAGGAATAATCCTTCAAATCCCAAGTAACAGAGCTCCCATTATAAGCAACAACATTCCCTTCAAGTGTAGACTGAGAAACAGTAGCAACAACCTCCGCAGGCTTGATAGCCGAATTCTGCTCAGAACCAGCAAAATAATCAAAAGCCTGCGTCACTTGGGAACTGTTCGCAATCAACAAAATACCAGACTTAGTATTAATCTCAGACGAGATGATCTCGGCTGTCGCGATAATATTTCCAAACCACAGACCAGCCATGTCTTCACCTGTGGTTGTGAGAACGGTATCCTCGAGACTAATAGATGCACCACTTCCCCGTGTCGAGGAACTGAAGAGAACAGTACCCGCCAACAAACCACAAGTTAACTCCGAGTTCTTGAATGAAGTGAGTTGATCCCCATCACTAAAGACACAGGGTGCCTGTTCGGTCTTTCCAACGACATTGGTGAGGTAAGACTTTCCGAGCGTATAGATAATCGCACTTCCGATTCCAGCAGTATGAGCCACCGCATCGGTAACATTGATATAACCACCGGGATTATCGCCAGAGAAAGAAGAACAACGGTTTCCACCAGAGTAATGACGGACATTATTCGCGACAATGGTACCATTTCCAGCAGCGTAGAGACCATGGGCCGTAGGACCAGAAGAATAAAGATCGACATCATCGACATAAACGACTGTATCAGTGCCGTAGGCAAAAACATTCGCTGCGCCATTGTGTGTAGTAATATTGCTATGCGAGATATAGGCGGTAGATTGATTCGCAATATTCACAGCGGCGTTCACACCGAAGAAACTAGCCTGGTTAAGCCAGGTGCCGTATCCTTCCTTGATAACGGTTGAATATTCAATCGTGACCTCTGCGCCATCAGTACCGACAACAACACTGGTATCGTTTTTGTCGACGGAAACGGTGGTATGGGAAATGCTTCCTTTCTTGTCGTAGAAGTATTCTGGGCCTGTGATGTCGTAGATTAGATCCATTGGACCGCCGTTGTCGGTGGTGTAATCGACCATTATGGCGTTGTCGGATACGTCAGCTGTTAGGTCGGCATAGTTGCTTGGGTCGGCGATGGTTACTGATCCTCTTGCAAGGGAGGCTGAGGTTGCAGCGAGAAGGAGGACAGAGAGGACCGCCATTTTTGCGAGATGTGTGTGTTCTGTGAGCTGGATGCTTCAGTTGGACTTTTGCTTTGGCTGTTAGTCATGATTTTAGGGTGAGGTTATTATTAAGACTATTTATGTGCTTCAGGTCCTCGTGGTGGTCCACTCTCTATATTCAACCGAGGGATATGAGGTTGCGTAGACGAAGCCGAAGTGGCCATTCTCGAGTATGTTGTTTGAAGGAAAGGATGTATCCGAATAACAGGCATTTACCCCACAAAACAAAGTGGTCCCGATGAGAAGTAAAATGAGGGGAAGCTCCAAGCTAAAACGAATGTAGGGGTTTAAGTGGAGTTCATATAAATGCTCCTATGCAATTTGATTACTCAGAGAAAAAGTTAATTGACAGTATGTTTTGATTTTCGCCAAGTCCTATACGAGTGAAGCTAGTAGGAGTATAGCTAGATGGACGCGCGGCCATTACGGCATTAGATTTATGGTATGGTGCATTTGTTTACTTGCTGTAGCTTGCGTATACTGTGGGGCTTGGTTATACATTGTGGTAGAAATGACGCCCTTTTTACCATGAATGTTTGCACTATTAATGGGTGTGGAAGTTTGGGCTGAGCATGTATGAGACATCAATACGACTTTCTTTCGGAACTCCCATATACTCCTGGAACCCCACTCTTCTGCATGATCACCAAAGTCCAGTAAATTTAAGCGACAGAAAATATTGGCAAGTCTTTAGGTTGACCCACAAAAGTGGAATTTGATAAAGCTTGCCTAGAAACTCCACTATTTAGGTTTCATGTTCTAACGGTGGACCATAACGTACTGCAAAAACAAGTTCCCAACTCATTTAGTTATCTTCTTGAATCGATGAAATCAGTTAAATATTCGTTTGTTGACGAGTAATATCATCTTGATATAGGTTATTCAGTCTCGTGTTGAACAAGCACACCTTTGATTTTGTGGTAATCTAAATACTAGATCGCGAGCCAGATACATGCATCTCATGACATTCAAAGGGAAAGAATAAAATGACTGACGATGAGCATGCCCGAATACATGCAAAGTTCTCAAACTGATAGAGTTGAAATCCATACTTCTCACCAATCGTAGTTTCTCATCACTTAGTAACCCTTTTCTCGTAGCTCAAATCATGATTTCCTCGGCGGATGCTCGATCCAGACTTCTTTTGACCGACCACATTAGCCTTGGAATCACCCGATAGGCTCCAGGTGCTACTAGCATCAAGGTATACATTGGCAGTGCCAGAGCTCTTATCAGGATTTAGAGCGCCAGTCCAGTGCGAGTTCTTCAAATGAAGAGATACACCACTATCATCATCCAAGTACACATCTCCCTCCACAGTGACATCGGTCAAGAAAATAGTAGCATTTGCAGAGTTGCTTCCAGATTGTCCAAACTCATTATCTGCGGAGATATTGGCCAGCAATTTGGATTTGATGCTCAGCTCGACATCAGTCAGATAAACATAGGCTTGAAGGTTGGCAGCAAAGATCAAGGGATACGTTCCGTTCGTTTCCTCAACCAACCACCGGTAACATAGGCATATACAGTGCTATCAAGCGAGGAGGAGCTGGAGGCTGTGCTGACAATCTGAAACACGCCGTGCATCTGGGATCCAGACTTGATAGATGGGTTATTGAATGTAAACGAATTTGATCCATCAACACATGCCACTGGTGCAATGTCTGAAACGCCCCGAAGATCGGTCGTGGTGATATTTCCAGTAGAGTAGACCAAAGCCGAGAGAGAGCCGTATGTGTACACATCGCAATTCTCAACTACGATAAGACCACCGCCTCGATCTGTAGCGATGGCACTTCCTTTGCCTCCGTAGGTTTTTATTATGAGATTCTTTCCGTATATATCACCTCCAGCAGTGTATATACCATGAGATCCATCTCCCTCGGCATGAACACACACATTATCAAGATATGCAACAGAGTCATCTTCGTAAGTGTGGAGCCCATTGGCACTTAGACCACTAGTGATGATCTTGCTGTCCTTGATATAAGTTGTGCCATTTGTTTCAACTCCAACGGCTGCATTGAGGTCTGTGAAGGAGCTAGACTCGCTCTCCGTCGTGTCTCCGGTCTTTTCGATCACACTGTCAATAACATAGGCAGTGCCTGTCTCTTTCACGATGATTACATTTTCGTCCGTTCCAGTTGCTGAGGGTGTGGTACTGGCAAAGGTAGTGGTCTTAGCACTGACGTAGTATGCCGCTGTTGTGCGAAGAGCAGTAGATGAAGACGATGCAGCCTGTGGAGCGGCGTTTACCGGGGCGAAAATATTCAAGAGCGTTGCGGTAAGAGCTAGGCTCCCTTTGAGAAAGTGCACCGCGGAGACCATGATAGATGTTGGGAGGGTCATGGTAGCGATAAAAATCCTTAAAAACTGAGCTCGAGTCACTGAGAACTTCTTATAATGATGATCTTCACAGTGGGCATTGCTCAGACCGGGCTGTACTTATACATTTGATGCCCGCAGAAGGTCATGTAGACGTGAAATGTCTTTCTCTGTCATTGGACCCATAAAGTCGGAATATTGGTCCTTCATTGCCCTCAGTATTCCGAGTCGTCGCCGAGTCGTCGCCGAGTCGTCGCCGAGTCGTCGCGAAGTTCAAGCTTCCGTGGATATCAGCGACGAATAGGATCCTGCGAGGAATCTGGGCTAGGTTATTATATGAATAACCTAGTAGATGTCCACATCGGAATTACCACGGGCGTCTGGTATAGGATTATTAGTGAGAAGGGGCTTTGGGCAGACATTTTTACACCTGATCAGCTCCCCCCCAATACCCTGGAGTTGTATGTATGAATAGTATGTATGAATAGTATGTATGAATATTCATGCATCCCGGGTCATGACCTCATGGTAGTGTGGGGTATAGTACGAGTGCGTAGGTGGATACACGGCGGGAGAGTGGGACCAGAAACTGTTACAAAACTCCAACCTTCTCGAAGCTGACGAATCGAAAGCATGTTGGTATGCATGGTCCTTCTTTCTTCTGGTACTAACGAGGAGAATGGAAATTAAGACCAACATCACTCATAAATCTTGACTTCAACTCGACAGTGTCATATCCCTAGTAGATAATTTGAATTTCTATCCAAGTGGTGATTGTCATATCGTCACTGATACAATCGGTCTATCTGATATGAAGCTGCGATATGGGCTTTGTGTCACGTAGCCTCGCCTTTCTTAGCCATCACTCTCCGATATTTGCGATCTGTTGCAAAGCCCCGAGATTGTCCGAAGGTCGGAAGTGAGAGTTCACCTATTTTGCCTACCATACCGGGGCTTCCTACCCGAATATAACAAAGTTAGAAGATCTTTATTTTCATATTAATTTTATACAGTTTTGAATCTCTGTGACAACGATCTACTCAAGAAAAGTCGAATTACAAATCGTATCTGATCAATGAATGGATGGGAATGCCTCAACTTTCGTAAATCCAAGAAGATGGATAGCCCGAGATGATGAAAATCGCTAATACTGATAATGTAAAAGGCAACTTCGATTGCTATTCATCCCGCAGTCAAATTTCAAGTTATAGATCCTCATTTGTTCCTACATGCACCAACTCGGCTCCACTGAAATCTATCCAGAATTGGCTTTCGGCTCCACCTGGAAATATCTAGCTAATTTAGAACTGACATCTTAAACCACCTAAAGAAGTCTAGCTTTCACATTTATAGGCTAGCCAGATCTGACGTTTGAAAGTGGGGGTAATTCATGGAACTCAATAGTTTGCCCAGGTAAATAGTTGCTATAAGTCTATACCGATGCCTGTCAGCGTTTGAAGTCATCCACAGGTGGAGGTTTACCCTACACAAAGAACCACAAATATAAGGAGTAAAATGCCCGTGCAAAGAGTCTAAGTATATAATCAGCCCGGGCGCTTACGACAAGGAACCGTGCACAAAACGACATTTGTGCTAATAATAGATGTTGCCAACTCCTGAGCAAGGGCCACTGAAAGGGACTAGGATACCAATAGAGGCCAAGTCATTCAATACAATATGAGGATTTTGACACGCTGTCAGTGTCTGCCCGATACACTCGATTCCCAGTGAATTCGGGGCTGACCTGGGTTCAAGGGGCATTCCCAATACCAACACAGCCACGCGCGTAGAACGTGTCCCTCTTTGGATATAAAGATCTACGTGGAACGATTCGAGCCTAGAGTTTAATATATATGTAGCTAGAGTGTTCAAAAGGTGAGGGAAGTGATATGACTGATTAAGGTGGGAGGGAATGAGAAGCGCCGTATACTAGCAGGAGTCATGCCAACAACTAGTATGATTGTGCCCTTCGAATTGCCCTATAGCACTCGTGATCTCGACTCCTTTCCGCGAGATCATGCTTTGTTGCACCTTATTACCCCAAGGCCCTTCGGGTCGCGAAATGGCTGGACTTTTTGCAGCATGGGACTGGTGAGATACCTGGTCGAAAATGTAAAGATGGACGTGAATATCGTGTGCAAGATGGGGACATATGGCAATCCACTGGGTGCCATAGCTAAATTGAACATTACCATCCACGCCTTTTTCAACAAGGTCTTTCACCACATCCAAGTGCCCTTCCCCGGCAGCAGTAGCAAATGCATTACCTGCGATGTTATCACCATATGGCAAATTCACATCTGCCTTCCCCACCTACACAAGATATTTCACAATTTTCCTATTCCCCCGGTCTGCGGCGGGGAGAGGTCTCGCCAAAGTGCCCTTGGTAAAGCCGCGACTTCTGGAAAGCTAGATATTGTAAAATATCTTGTGGAAGAGGCAGGGGCAGATTTGTACTTCCTACTGGTTTGGGACAGGGCCAATAGTACTCCTCACATGGGACGGCGATACCGAGGGGAAGTCATGGAGTACATACGTGAAGATCTACGTAGAAACCCCCCTGTGAGCACCTACTAGTAGTGGTTTGGGTCTATTTGACAAGTCAATGAATATTTTTTGAGGTTACCTTATAATCATCCGGGTTCATGTCGGATTGCATGTTTAAATGTAGTTATTGTGGTGTATAGGAAACCCGGATTTGATTGCGTTGTAGGTGCGACGATTCCCACAGCCTTGCATTCGCACCTTTAACCCCTTTGTCCTACAATCTTTCCCCAATGGAGACAAGTCTAAAGATTTGGGGCCAAAATGTGGAACCAGTCTGTTTTTCATCTCCAGTTCAAGTTCATTTCTCCACTGTACCCATTGATAAACTTGAATCACTTACGTATCCAAGATCCTTGTTACTCTGTAAATACTAGTATCAATTCTACAGGAATATTTCCAAGAATTCTGTTTAGCCCCCAAAAACGTACGGACTCAGGAGGTCCATTAGCAGCCGATCGATCCGCATGACAATTAATTATATGAGAGAACGCCATTCCTGGGCTTCAACGTACTCTTTTGTCTTCTCAAAATTCTACCTTTGAATATCTCACAATGCATGCCCTCGAACGGCTATTCTATGGCTTACCTGAGCCGGCTCCGCACAAGCGCAGCAAGCCCGTCGAGGTGCTGTGCCTTGGTATGCCACGCACCGGAACCGAGTCTTTAAGTGTGGCCTTGACTACCCTGGGCCTAGATACGTATCATGGCTGGGACTTAGTCTTCGAGCCTGATGCTAAGAAGCTGCAACACTGCTATGAGCTGGTACGACGGAAATATAATGGCGCACGGGACGGTGACGTGAGCATCAGCAGTGGCGAGTTCGACATACTCATCGGTGACAAGGAAGTTGTTATCGACTCCCTGTCGGTGATGTTTAGCCCAGAGCTGCTCGCCGCCTATCCAAACGCTAAAGTGATTCTCAACCTCCGAAGCGACCTGGACGCCTGGCACCGCAGCGTGGACAAGACTATGGTTCAGATGGCGGACCAATCCTGGGCCCTGTGGGTGATGCACTGGTTTAATGCGGATTTCTACTGGCTCTGGAGTTTGTACGAGAACTATGCATGGCCTGGTGTATTTCGAAGCATCACTGGCAGCGCTACGGAGGGTATTCGCCGAAACGGCAAATGGGTTTACCGCGACCACTGCAATATGATTCGGGGTATGGTGCCTAAGGAGAACTTGCTGGAGTGGTATGTCGAAGATGGATGGGAGCCTCTGTGCAAGGTAATAATTGAGAGCCCTTTGATGAAAAAAAAAAAAAACATTCAAGCTGATGAGAGAGACAGTTTCTTGACAAGCCTGTTCCCGACGAGCCTTTCCCACGAACAAACACTCCGGGTAATTTCGCCGGTCGCAAAGAGAATCTCATCAAGTCGCGTTTCTTTCGAGTTCTGCGCAATATGTTCCTCACCACCGCAACTTTGGCCGGGATCACCACTGTAGGTGTGATGTGGTGGCAGGGACGGATCCGATTCCCAGAGATCGCGACAAGGCTGACTGGTTTCCGTGGGGGATTCATTGATTCATTCAATAAGTTGTCCTTGAATCAATAGTGGGAGTTATCCGACCGGGACGCCAAGTCAGCCAAGTCGGCTGGACTACAACGTCTCCGCGCACCGGAAGACGATTTCATACTGTGATATAAGAACATAGTATTTACACTATCATATAATATAGATGAAAAACCCCAAAAATAAAGAAAAGCGCCTTAATTGTGGGATTCTCGTTATCAGAGGTATCCAGAAAGCTAGCCCTCTATGTACTAGTCAGTCTTGGTGTCGACTAAGACAGAAATCCACGATGTTTCTGGTGCAAATTATTCAAATCCTGAGATCAATTAGTCTGACTTTGTGATCTTCCAAGACATTACCGATGGACAATAATCATTGGGTGGCCACCGATGACTCCTGCATGGTAGGCATTCCCGATTACGAGACTAGGAAACCGGTGCCCACTTTTACTTGGCCGATCATCCCGCGACGCTGATCCACAGGAGACGAACGCCAGACTGTATCTCCTTTGAGACCAGTGGAATCCCCGGTATCTGATTCTGTACTTGAGCTTGCAAACATGAGAGGGGCCCCTGGTGGCCCTGGTGGACCTGGCATGGAGTTTCTCGAAGACTCCACAGACGATGGGGGAGACGAGATGATGAACAGTGAAGCTCCCATGTGCATGGCCCTTGACGGCTACATCACGACTCACAAAAGCTAACACAGGCCCCAGGTATAGGAGAGACCGGGACCGAGACGCCTCATCTCTACAATGAACTAGATCCCGGTACCCTGGATGTATTCCCATCATCTCTCCCACCGCAAGTTTTGCAGCGCGCTTTGACATATAGTAAGGTCGAATACTGACTCTCAGTCGACGAGCCTAATGGGCTGATTGGGTATTAGGAGTCTCAATAATGAGTCCTCGTGTACTCCCATCACGTAACGCATCCAATCCATACCTTCAGTATTGGTTTCGGATGGCACTAAACAACCCGGCGGCCTTCAATGCGATCATATTCCCTTCTCTATCCCATGAGATGGTGAACCGGCTGATCTCAACTTCGACGCAAAGCCCAACTCCAACGGATGAGATTGTGCCATATTTGCAAAGTTGCTACTTGGAAACAGTGGCATTCGTTAATGAAACTCTTCGAGATCCCACCCAGGTAGCCACAGATGTCTTATTGTTGGCGGTACTAATGTTAGTAGAGAGGCCGGTCGTTCAAAAAGCGAAAGAATGGACCAAGAAATCTCCATTCCGAGCGCCGCTTCAAGGTCTGCAATGGTTGGACGTTCACAGTGCCAGGGAACCCAATCCATTGCATCAAAAAGGCTTAGAAAGACTCGTCTACCTACGATGAGGACTAAGCAATATCGAAACACCCGGGCTTGCTGCCGCTATATTTTAGTAAGTCGCCCGGCCGAATGAGGGGGGCTTTTTGGCGAAGACAGAAGCCGGATTCGATTGATAACGGTTGTCTTAGTCGAGTTTTGGTAAACTCCACATTATGTCTGTCTCGTCCACCTTTACCCTTTGTCGCGTTATCGGGCCAAGCCATAGCGGAAATTGAAAACTATTCTAGCCTTAACTCCGATGAAGTGGCTAGTCGACTGAGTTTCCTTGATGAAGTCGGTCTGAACAACACGCTTCAGCATGTGATGTGCAAAGTGAAGCATTATAGTATAGTGATTGAGGACTATATTGCTGGACGAAGCCCGACATATGACGCCCAAGCGATGTACGACCAGCGAAATTTGGTACAGCATCTTTTGATGTCAATAGAGCCATTTCCTGGAATGGGAATAGATGCTATATCAGAAGTTTGTCGGCTGGCAACCATAATCTATAGCATCGGGGTGACATTCCCGCTGGTTGGCGCCGGAGCTCCTTACAGACTGCTCGCGGCAACAATGAAGTCCAAATTACAGGAAAATGTCCTGCTTGAAACCTGGCCATTTCTGGAAAATGGCGATATTCTTTTGATATGGATCCTTACAATGGGCGGTATAGCGGCCAAGCACACTCCGGAGGAGGACTGGTTTATGAAAAATTTGGCCGAAGTCATGTAATGCTCGCGGAACGTTCAATGGGTGCGCGTCAAAAGCAAATTAGGGATGATGCTCTGGCTGGATATGGCGTGCGACTCAGCTGGGGTTGAGTTCTGGAGTAGCGCTTATGCTTTCCTACAGCAACAAGGGGAAAGCTATTCACTTCAGTCTATCCGAGCTTCGGTAGAAAAACTACCTTGCGTTCGATGTCGGGAGAAAAAGATCAAGTGCGACAAAGAGATGCCTTGCCAGAATTGTGTCAGGAGTGGGCTTGATTGTTCGGCTCAGAATATGAAGGGAGCTCAACGGAGAACTCATGTACACTCTGTACGACAGAAACCATGCAAACTGTGCAAGCAAAGAAGGGTACGATGCGACAAGGAAAGGCCATGTAAACGTTGTGTGAATGCTGGATCAGAATGTGTATTTTGAGCTTGGCAGAGAGCCTTACTTACCAAACCTTGAAAGCTTCTGGAATATTTGTTTCATGATACGATCTTTGAATGAATTTTTATGCCAGAATTTTTAAGACTTTCTCTGCCCTCGGTGCCTTTCAACCCTAGAAAGCATATGTTATCTGGGTGGACGAGGAATAAATTCCAACTTCTTAGATGTTGTTATTGGGCCAAATTCCACACCATATTTGTAATTTGAAAATTAAAAATGCAATTATATTCTATATAGATTTCAAAGACTTAGTGTTGACTCTACATAAGGACGCGACTTTTCCAAAAGCGGGCTAATGGCATCACTTGCGAATCTCAAAGTCAACGATGCTGGGAAGAGTCTCCCAGATAGTGGGACCTTCAGGCTTCCAGCCCAAAGGTCGCAAGCGACTGGCCCGACTGCAGCAGTTTCCTCCCCACAAAACAGGAGCCCAGTGGTGGAATTTCACCGCATCTTCAACTGAAAGCTCCTCCACCTCTGCAGTGGCAAGCTTACCCTGCTGGTGGGCAATCTCTGTAACCTTTTCGCTGGTGCTCTTCCAGGTGAACTCGCCTGATTCAACGAAGTAGTAGCCCTCTTGGCCCCAAGTAGCGGCTCCTTTATTGGGCTTCAGTGCTTCTTCAATGAGAAGTACGAAAGCTCTCGCAATGTCGCTGACATGGGCATCTATACCGTATTTGTTAGTCAAAGACCTGATCGACAGGGAAGAGCAACACTTACAATCCCATATGTTGTTACCGTTTCCAACGGTGAAGCCCTTTCCGCGATTGAGAATAGCCTCAGTAAGAAAGGGGATCTGCATGCTTCTCTTCTTAACGGGTCCTTCGCCGACGCCGAAGATAGTGGGAGGGCACACAATGGCTGTGGAAACACCCCCTTGAACACCACCACTGATAACGGCATCATCGGCATCGCGGTGGAGAGCCTCAGCAGGCAACGTGATAATCTCCTTGATATCCTTCACATCATCATAAACTTTCTCTGTGGTGTTTCCTGGTCTAGTAGACATGTCGTTGAGGACACCAGTGCCAGAAATGTGAATGAAGCGACCTCTACCAGCTCCGAGACCAGAAAGCAGGGACTTCACAACAGGGATGTGATCCGAGCTAGCGATTTCTATACAATAACTGTTAGCTCTGGGCTTGTGAGTGCGACTCGGAGATGAACTTACGTAGCACAACATCTGCCTTAGCTGCCTCGTCCTTGAGCACCTTGTCGTCATCGAGGGTCCCAATGATGACAGTGTTGATGGCAGACCAGAGGCTCTTGAGCTGAGCGGCTTGTTGCTCGTCGCGGACCAATGCAACAACATTGTATTCGGGATGCTTGGCGATCAAGGTCGCTGCGGTTTGGCCACCGACATATCCAGTGGCACCGGTGATGAAGATTCTGGGAGACACTTTATCGGATGCTAGTTGTTTGGTAGATCTTTCGAAAAAGAGGTTGTTGAATGCTGAAGCTGTTGGCTGTTCGATACTGAGGATGTTTGTTTCTTGTGTGAGATGGAGAACAGAATGGGAGGCGCGGACTGGCCATTATATAGTCTTTGCCAAGATAACTCGCCATATCGTGAACTATGAATTCGTGAGGCTTCTGAGTGAAAGTTGCTAAGCAACGGAGGCATAGATTATCGATCAGTGGTCACTAAGCTCGTAGCGGGGTAATTTTCAAGCCTATTCCAGAGCCCCATCTCGTAAGCCTCGCTGAGCTCGCCGCGCGCCGGATGATGGTTGGTCAGGTTCCAATACACTAGCCTCCTTCGGTTAGCGAGAGTGGAGACAGATCCACTCCCGAGATCGTGTGCAAAGACCATTGCTTAGCTGATTGTAACTTACGTATTCGATTAATGGCCCAACGCTAATTTTTAGCGCAGGAAAAGTGCTGACGGCGCTTGAATCATGTAGAAAATTGGTCATTCAGGACGAGGAGGTCGTATTAGAGCTTACGGGTAGAGAGGTGGTAGTTCCTAGGGCCAAGCTTTCAAGGCTGAAGACTGCGCGAGTCAGGGTCGCTTTTCAACTGTCCAAAGTTAAGAGTATAGTGATCTTGCTCAGTGGAACTCAAGATGAGGTTGGTTATTATTAAGTTATTGCGACTAGTATCATTGCGCTTAGATATATCTTTATGGTAGCTTCAAACACAACATCTAGTATCAAACAGTAGCCCTCTTTGCAGAATAAAGACGATACATCCCCGGAAATGAGCGAGGGCAATTAGTCTCAAATTTCAGCCCATGATTCAGCCCATAGTGCTTATAGCCTTCAAAACATCTGTTAGCAAAATGTCCACACCCCAATGCATACTAGATAACTAGTGGCTCCTCATCTTACATGTACCGATCCCAAATCAATGCTGCGCTAGCCAAAACCGCCATGGAGGTTTCAAACCCAGCAACTGCTACCCAATTACCACCATTGCGATACATTATCCAAGCAGCCACCAGTCGAGAAGGAATAGAAGAGGCCATAATCAGAGTATCTTTTTGGTAAGACGAAATAAGATAATACGTCCCCAAAGCAAGAGAGGTCAGGCTGTGGAAGCGATACAATTAGCAGAGTACGATCGGTTTGAGTCAATGGTAGGAATGTGTACCCAATGCATTGGACAGCGCCCTCAGGAGTTCCTTTCAAAGAGGATCCCTCAAATGTAGCAACTGAGGATGGGTACATAATGCTGTAAAATGCATTTCCCAGAAGGAAAACACCTTGACCGGCGAATACGGCACTGGATACGCCACCCATGCGGAGGCCGATGTTTTGGAAAGACATATTTCAATATTTTGGTGGTTGATTGAGTGAATTCTAGAATCCAATTCTAGAATCCAGAGTTGACAAGGGCGTAGTTGGTAGATGTTGAAATTTTGTATCCAGAGCTTTAAATAGCTGTCCGGGTTTCTCCGACCGCCTCCCTACGCTCCGCCCGTAAGCTTGACGATGACACACATCGGTGCCCCGGAGTTAGTTAAACTTTAACCTAAGACACGCGATATACAACCTTGGAAATTGAGATGATAGTGGTACAACCGATCCCCAGTACTATTGTACATGTGGTCTTCTTTTTCAATTTCCTTTTTTTTTTTTCTCATTTCATGACAGACAAGTATGACCGGAACTCTAGAGAGTTTTTTAGTATCGTCGAGTTTACTTGGTAGGGGTCATGAAAAGTTGAGGGGAAATGATGGGCAGCTCTCGAATGCACGTTATAAGGTACTTTGAAGCTGGGTGCTTAGAGATGAGCAATCCTGGCTCCGCAAGGTGAATTGCAGTCCAGCCTCGAGCGTGTGCTGATTGACAATTTTGATAGGAGTCATCTTCGAAGCAATGGGAATTTAGCAACAAAATAGGGAGATCGGGTTATGAGTAGAAATTGCCCAGAGAGAAGAACATACCAATAAGGAAGCAGCTCTCAGAGCTTACTACCCCAGCTTCTTGTTCTGCCCTTTTGAACGTTTCCTGACTTGGTTTGCAAACTAGAGGCGCTTTACCATAATCACACTAGGTGATACCTTCGAAGAATTTCTCAATGCCCAGCAACTTCAATACTCGATCGGTGTGGTTGATGAACGCATTCGTAAGGAGCCATGGCTTGGATTTTCTAGCGTCAAATCACTTGAGAAGATCTTGTAACCGATGATCTTGTCCAAGAAGAAGGTCAAGAGGGATAGCATCGTCAACCTCGTGGTTGTATACCATCGGATCAATTCCATGATTGCGAACTAGCCCTTTCAAAACTAGGCCATATTCTGTGTAATATTTCTCTTGTAGCTTTGTCGCATCCTGGCGACCGAGACACAAAAGACTTTATTCTCACTTCATATAGATCCGAAAAGGTTAATCATGTGTGCAGTATACATCGTGCAGCATATTCTTACTCCGACTATTACCGCGTCATTGAGCTTGGAATTCAAACGCTCACTACATGCAGGTACTCTCGATTCTAGGCTTTTTACCACAGTTTAAATAAATAAGCGGTTTTCCATGATTATACACATATTCAGGGGTTTATCATTGAGCGAGAAATACTAGTATGCATATCATCGATATTTTCAGCTGAGTATGGAATTAAAATTATAAAATGGGGTCGGAGTTGGCTTCTATGCTACTGGCTGTTTCACCCTGATCGGTACTTAGGACAAGCTTTCATCTCGAGGATGGCTTGTGAGCAGCGTTCGATCTAGCCGCCAAAGCCCCAGGCTCATGATGGCACTCCCTGCGTTTCCTCCACCACTTCTTAACACCCATCGCCATCGGTCTATTAGATTGTTGAGAATTTCCTTTTCAGCCGATGATACGGAAGTCATGAGAAGTCTCATCATAACCGATGACGCGATGGCAAAGTTAGAAGGTGAAACTAGGAAAAGTTAGTAAAAATGAAAAGGAATTGTGTTAGACCAAAAAAACAGAAGATTAAATAATTCTTACACTTGTGCCAGAAGGCGTTACATGCGCCAGCTTGTAGTTTATCGGTGAATTTCTTAAATTCAACACAGCAGGACTCTGCATTTAATCGAACAGACACAGAGCACTCCTCTCGAAGTTGCTTACCTTCGGTGTTTCCGACCTTGGCTTCGAGAGACCTCAAAATTGCACGGGATATCAACAGATGGACAGCCCAGTATGCGAGACCAAGAGATGCATTTCCGTCCAATCGGGTCCTAGAAGACGGGTTTGTTAGCTGGTATGATGTAAATACATCAAAATTTGTTTTCCATTCATTCAATCGCGTTATTAAATCATTTGCCGGTGTACATGTAGTGTTGAAATTTGTGGATGTTCTTTTTGAGGCCTTAATGGTGATAAATGAATCGATAGTCTCAGATAAAAGAGTAGTTAGCTCTACCAAATAACGAAAATAGCTCTGTACGTTGTGGCCGTCTTCCGGTCCAAGTTGCGAAGAAACGTTGTCGTCATCCGTCAATGGTGATACATCGTAGTCATCTTCGTGAATATGACTGGTAAGTCTGAAGCAAGCAAAGTTCCATTTGTCGAGAACATATTGCCCACCAAAGCCATTTTCGAAACCTCTTCTCCCAGTCTGGCATACCCCAGGCAGTTGAGCAGTCAGTAGCCAGCCCTAAGGTTTGAGCTAGGCTCACAGTCCATGCTAAAAGGCTCCATTGAAAGGGAGACCCTTGAACAAGCCTGTCGATATTGTCGCATTGGAGCAGTAGCAAGCATGACTGAAGGGTCGACAAGCGAGGTGTATGGATCTCTTGTGTGATGGCACTCCAGCACATCCGGTAAAGCTCCTTAGAAGTTGGTAAATCGACGTCCGCCATAGTTGATAAGACGTCATCGTAGACCATGTACGGCAAAGCAGAGGCATATAATGCTGCTTTGAGCGATAGAGGTAGTAGTGAGAGCGTTCGTTCCCCGATGAGCCCTTCCTCGAGCATTTGAGAGCGTGACAAAACTGAAAAATATGGGTGGATGTATTTGAAGTAGAGTTTGACCAGACGAATTCCAACGTCGCTACTTATTCGTGCCAGCTCGTTTCGAATTGCGGAAAGCTCAGAGTCCTTGACCCGGGGCTCGTAGTTGTTGTACAGGTTATCACGATCAAGTGAGAACACAATAGGTCGGTGGCAATCAAGCTCGCCTATTTGTGTGGGACCTCTTTGAAAACGACGAAAGTGCATGTTTTCCGCGTGGATGGCGAGTGTAGAATGTTTGAGCAAATGAGGATCACTCTCGCCGCTTTCGCCCAGAAGGTTGAATGTCCACGAAGGTTGATCAAGAGGCAAGTCCATGGCATTTCTGTGAGTTTCTGAGGTCTCTGAGCTAGGCGATGCTGATGATGTGAAAGACTGTCCTTGCGCATCATCTTCGAGGAATGCACCAGGCGTCGAGCCGGTACCCGCGACGAATAGCGACAACATTAGGCCTCGAGCGCGGTCAATTTCGCCGTCATAATGAGGAATCCCCATTTTTAGATTGGGAATTGGATGAAAATTTGTCAATTTGTCAATTTGACATTGAAATAAAAAATTCTACTACTTCCAATTCGGGGCGTCAATACGGTATGTCTATTTTGTAGCCTCTCCGTCAATCGGCCCAGGCCTGGAGAGCGTATAACAATGCCGTCATCAAATCGATTATATAAACATCATGATTGCCCAAATCAACGAGACTCTGAACACCCCAAAATAAACGACCAGCAACTTGGACTGAGTCTTGTAGCCCGGTGGGCTTCCCTGAACTAGGAAGGGTGCATTACCCATATCTATAAATGACATTTCAAGACGCCAACTCCTTTTTCATCAATTCCACAGCCTCATCACGAGCTTTCTCATTGTCAAAGTCCACAATATAAGGCCATCTCGGAAGTGTTTTAGCTTTCAGCTTCTCAATATCCAGACCCGTCTCCTCACCCAGGCCAGACAAAATGCGCCCAGTGACTCGGCTCGAGTCGACGATGTATTGTGTACGAGGGCGGCGGACTTGATCATAAACCTTAAGAGCGCTTTGAGCTTCGGTGCGGGTCTTTGCGAGACCAAGTAATGTTGAGAGAATAAGGGCATCCTCGAGGGACATTCCAGCTCCAGAGCTCTGCCAGGGTGTCGTGGCGTGTGCAGCATCACCCATAACGCATACAGTACATTCTGCGTAGGTCGGAGCAGATGGATGCTCCCAGCAATAAAAGCCGGGTTGTTCAGGCTGGTTACAGAGTAGCTGGATAGCATAAGTTATCCTCGGTCGTTGGTAGTTGAATGGAAAAGATGACTATACCTCTTCTACTGCATTCTTCAGATTTGTTGGGTGGTTTTTGAAGAGTTCTCTCATCTCATCGGCTGGTACAATTCGCTGCCACTGACCTGCTGCCTTTGCCTCGTCGTCGTACCCGCCGACAACTAATTGGACTAACTGGCCCCCACTCAAAACATTGTGCATGAGAAAAGTGCCATCGCCAATCCATGCGTGCTCACGAGCATTTCCAATGTTGATGGTTTCTTTGCCGATGACAGCTTGTGCCTTCTCATATGGCTGCAAGGTCATGACACCCCACGCACAGCTGTTCCTGGGGAAGGCAGAGGGCTCATCCTCACCGAGGAGAAGCCTGCGAACTGTGCTACGGATACCATCAGCTCCAATAAGAACATCACAGTCGTGAGTTGTCCCATCGGCGAAGTGAAGCGTAAGTGATCCGTCACTGTTCTTGTCAAATGTGACGAGTTTCTTAGACGCATGCATGCGTTCCTGAGGAACACCAGCAAGAGTCTCACGTAAGAAATCAGCTCGGTGAACAATGCTGGTGACTCGTTCATCTGGACCTTCTCCATTTAATTCGTCAATCATGCTACCAGCTTTCTCGCCCTGGGCAAGCATAAGTCGAACACCTCGCATCGGAACAGCCCCGGCCCGCTCGAGGCATTGTCTAGCCGAGGGACCGATGAGACCCAAGGCGTCCAGTGCGTTTCGAGTGATCCCGATGGCCATACCGGCTTCTTTGAACACTGGGGCCGACTCAAAGATGTGCACGTCCAGGTGGGCATGGGGCAGAAGTGCGTGAAGGAGGGTCGCACCCCCTAGACCACCTCCGGAAATGGCGACTCGGAGTGAAGGTGACATGGCGTTAAACTAATGAATTATTGCTTTTGCGACTCATAGATTGATGTTGAAGATAAATTGTAAATTATGATATCAGCGGGGGATCTCCCATTTCAGGGCGATCCATGTGGGGGCTAACTTTAGGCCCCCAAAATCGAGTGCCTTATTAATCGAGAGGTATGTTGTAAACATATGCCGATCTAAATAGCTGGAAAACGCTATTTAGCAATTTTGACGTTTTGATAAATAATTATGCAAGGCTTTTCTGCAGCTTAATCACATCTTCCATGCCCATGCTTTCCCGTTGGCTGCCTCTAATCGCACCCATAGTGTAGCAACACTTGCCGCGAAAAGTAAAACACCCACAGTGATGGTCGCTCTCTCATAAGAGGCCACACCAGAGAGGGCCGACTGGCCAGGAAGTAATAATCCCGTTAGGGGAGTTCCCAGTAGAGCTCCCGTGCCCCGAATAAGGTACAGAGCGCCATTCACCGAGGTAAAGTTTTGAACACCGAAGAGTTCAATGAGACTGGCGGGGAACAGCCCGATATAAGCACTACCGAAAGCGCCGAAAGAAATGACAAACAGAATAAACAGCACCTCGCCGGCTTTGACAGAAATGGTGTCACCGGCGAAAGTGGCTGGAAGCCAGAATCCAAACACAGCGATAGCACTCAGCACGGTTGTGACGAGGAGCACATTCAAGCGACCAAGTTTGTCGGCGGCGTAGCCTATCACGATACGGGAAACAAAGTTGGACGCGTTACTGATGGTGATAAAGTTATCCGCCATAGCATTGCTGTAGCCTAGCGAGCGAGCGAACGCTGCGTAGAAGAAGAGCGGAGTAGAGTACCCAGCTGATTGTAAGAAGCAGCCCAATGCTTGAGCAAAGAATTTCTTCGTTTTCACGATTTCCCAGTTGATCAAAGGCACCTTCGCCCATCCAGTCCTCTTGGGAATTCCGGCGTTTTGCTCCTCGAGCTTTGCTTTGAACTTTGGCTCCCAGGTCAAGGCATACCCGGAGATGGGCACGAAAAGCACTGACAAGCAACCGGAGATGCGAAGCGAATCCCGGAAGCCGAGGCTGGAGGTGATTGCCCGTAATACAGGAGGCCAAACCATAGCTCCGCAGGCAGATCCACCGATAATGATTCCCATAGCAAGACCGCGCCGTTTGCTGAACCATGTTGGTGCAACGGACATAGTTGGAACATAAACCATGCAGCAACCAATACCGACCAGAACACCGTGAGTCAACTCAAACTCCCAGATGTATTGGCTAAGACTGGCTAGGATACATCCTAAACCAAATATCAAGCCTCCGAACATAATTATGGGCTGTGGACCGTAGAGCTTGGCCCAGGCACTGACAAATGGCCCACCCATCGACATCAGCGCGATACCCAATGTACCGATCAAACTAATGATTGAGGACGACGCCCCTGTAAATGGGGTGTTGGGCTCTGTGGCCATCTCCTCGTAGATAGCTTGATACACTCCGAAAGAAAAGACGATACCACAGGTCATGAACATTGTCATGAAGCCCGCAGCGACGACCACGACATGGCGACTGATTAAAAGGAGTTAGCCCGAGGCTTATTTCGTTAAGAACTCACAGAAACAGTTTAAAAACATTGTTGGTCAAAGCTTGGCGAAATTCGGTGTTCGGAGAGGCTTACAAATTCGATGGTGTTGGAGTTGAATCTTCTTGCGACTCATTTTGCGACGGCGTTTGCGGCGTAACGGTCGGCGGACCTTGATCCTCGGTCCTCTGTGTCTTTTCCTCTTCACTCATTATGTAGGACTATCAAACCCCTTCAACGAAGACAGATAAAGGGTGAAAAGAGGGGAAATAAGCATTTTCATGGCCCACAGAGAATTGCGCATTAGCTCGGTTCACGGCCACGGCTACGACGGCAATTGGATTTCCGAATTAATCTGATAAAGGGCGTCGGTCTTCTTCGGCGTTGAACAAGAAGCGGCTGCAGCCGAGTGCGGATTTGCCGGTTCAGGCGATTTCTAGAATCCCTCCAAGTGATCTTCTTCGGAGATGTTTACTAGTTTGCGATTCCTGCTAAAAAGTCCAATCTTGAATCGGCACTTGCTGTGGTAGGAAGACATGAGCGGCAAAGCCATTTACCGGTGAATGTACATACCATAATAACAAGGGCCATGCTACAATATGGTAGCACTCAACCAGAGTTCGTTTAGAAAACATCCTAAACATTAAGCTGTTACATTTCATTCTGCTGAGAATATACATGTATCAATTCTTGTTCTACGTCCCTCATGTCTCACAGTTGTATGTGGCAAAGTGTACTGCCTAGCAAATTGACGTTGACCCTGGAGAGGTATAACGAGGACTGAAAAAAGAAAACAACCTAATATCTACTTATAAATTCAATTGCAGTAAATAGCATATAAAAACATTAAAGTCACGAAAAGGCAAATGCTGGTCTAAGTTGTGGTAGTCCCATAGGTGCCAAGCTCCGTTAAGTGTGGGGTGCATGATTACTACTGGCCGCTAAACATGCGGAACCTTTATCGCGCTTTATCGCATGAAGCTATCGTGTCCATTAACCTTCATATGCTTCAACCTGCAATCTGAAAACCATGTCGGGTCTAAAGCCGTCCAATGTGGTTATAATCCACCCAGATCTCGGCATCGGTGGCGCTGAGCGACTAATAATTGACGCGGCGCTAGCTCTCCAGAATCGAGGCCACCGTGTGACCATCTACACCTCCCACCGTGACAAAGCCCACTGCTTCGACGAAGCCCGCGATGGCACGCTGGATGTTCGCATCCGCGGAAACACCATATTTCCCGCACATGTATTCGGTCGCCTTCATATTCTCATGGCCGCCCTGCGCCAGCTCCATTTGACAGCGTCCCTCCTGTCTGAACTGGGATCGAGAGACACACCCGGTAGCGCAAAATCGGAGAAGGACCAAAAGTCCACAGGGTACGATACAGTACAAGATGACATATTTATTGTGGATCAATTGCCCGCCTGTGTACCCTTTCTCAAGTCCTTCGGCCAGCCGCGAAAGTCCGCCCGTCAACGGATCCTATTCTATTGCCATTTCCCCGACCAGCTGCTCGCACGCCGCGACGAAGGCGGCTCCCTCCTCAGACTAGCGAAGCAATTATACAGATTCCCATTCGATTGGTTTGAGGGCTGGGCATTGAGTGCGTCCGATCGAGTGGTCGCGAACTCGAATTTCTCGCGCGGGGTTGTGAAGCAGGTCTTTGGTGCAGATAAATTGGGAGATGTGGAGGTAATCTATCCTTGCGTTGATACCGATGTGAAGTCTGCAATTGGAGATCCAGCGTCTTCGGGGCCCCTGTGGGGTGGTAAGAAGATATTGCTTAGCATCAATCGCTTTGAGCGAAAGAAGGACATGGCTCTGGCCATCCGCGCATACAATGGACTCGGCGCGGATAAGAGGGAAGGAACGAGATTGGTAATCGCAGGTAAGTCCCCGGGTGTAGATTAACCTAAATCAAAATCCCGAAGCTTATCAAATTACTTTTAGGCGGTTACGACAATCGTGTCCAAGAAAACGTCCAGTACCACCAGGAGCTTGATACCCTGGCGACAAAACTTGGACTGCGGACTGCAACATCGAAGACTGTTGTTTCTGCTCTTTCGATCCCCGACGATATCGATGTACTCTTTTTGCTCTCCGTCCCCAAAACTCTCAAAGATATCCTACTGGCACAATCTAAGCTGCTCTTATACACGCCAATTAATGAACACTTCGGAATTGTTCCCGTCGAGGCAATGCATGCTGGACTGCCCGTGTTGGCTTCAAACACTGGTGGTCCATTGGAAACTATTGTCGAGGGCGAAACGGGCTGGCTTCGGGACGCTCACGCCGACGACGAGTGGACAGCCGTTATGGACAAGGTTTTATACGGTCTGAGTCAACGGGATGTTGCAAAGATGGCTGTAGCTGGAAAGCAGAGAGCCGAGCGAGAGTTTTCACTCACGGCTATGGGCGATCGACTGGAAGAAGAAATATCCACCATGCTTTCAGTCGATCGTCGCCCGTTTGATGGGTGGACGCAAGTATTCGTTGGGATCGCTCTTGTCGTGGCTTTACTGGCCAACATCGGCCTCTTCCTGTCTCACATCATGTAGTTCGTTTTCTAAGCTAATACCCCATTGATTACTTTCTCATATTTTCCTATTCACTCTCTGCTTCAAAATCATACATATTTGTTGGTGAAGTTGAAAGTGTAAAGTAGATCGAAAACGTGCGATAAGGGTCACCTGACTTCGTGACGTCGCGTTTTGGCTGGAACGCGATAACGTTCAGGCAAGCCTCACATTAGCGACATTTACAACCTCTCACAAAATGCCCGACATAATCGACTTGATATCATCTGACCCCCAACTGCCTGATAGCTCTCACTTTCAAAATGCGCAAAACTCATCCCACCAACTCCCACGACGCCCCTCCAACTCGGCATTGATATCATCGGACTCCATTGACCTTTCGCTTTTTACTTACGACGACTTCGAAAAACCGTTGAAGAAACGAAGGGTTAGCAATGAAATACCACAACCACCCCCAGGCCGAGTGGCCACCGCAACGACGCGACCGGTCCCTGCTCGAGTATCAACTCTCGTTTCATCGTTCGCTCTTTCAGACGACGACTTCAGTCCTCCCACCTCAACCACCTCAACCACCCTCCCCACCTCCAGGACAACAACATCGAGAACGCAATCCGGAAAAAAGTCAGAATATTCCGAGCATGAAATTCAACTTTCAGACCATGACATTCCAATTTCATCGCCCCCTGAGCTCCCCTCGCGAAACCTACCGTCAGGCGTGTCAAGAATGCCCTTTCAACCCTCAGCGGCGCGAAACGAGCCCTACGACCCCTCAGACATCATTTCGCTCGATGATGACGATGCTTTTGCATCTGTCGCCGCGAGAAACGGAGCGGTGAAATCCACTCAGGACAGCATAGAAGAATTCAGCGATCCATTCTCGGTTCCTGGCTTTGCCGAGATGATTGGGGAGAGGCGCACAGGCAAAACTGTCTTTTCCAGCAAGACCGCCCAGTTACTGTCAAGTTTGAGTGAAAAAGAAAAAGCCGCAAAGAAAAAGCCTACATCGAAAAACACTGTTCATTACCGAAATAAGACAAGTGCTATGGAGTTCGCAAATCTTTCTGACGAGGTGGATGAGCCTGCTGCACCGCGCCGGCCACCGCAGAAGAATTCAACCAAGATATCAACCGAAGAAAAAGAGGCTAAAGCTAAGGCAAGAGCTAACGCTAAAGCGCAGAAAGACCGCGATCGTGAGATTGAAAAAGAACGAAAACAGAAACTCAAAGAGGAGAAGGCGAAACAGAAGCAATTAGATGCAGACATTGCAGAAGTTAATAAGTTGAAAGTCGACAAGAAGGAATCTACGCCAGAGATGATTATTGATATCGAGTCTTCTTTGGAAGAGGCTAGTGTTGGTAACCAGACAGTTGAGTTCATGCGGCGCCTTGGGGTTGAGCACACATTCTTCATAAGTCCAATCCCAAATGTGGTCAAGTGGCGGCGAAAGGTCAAAGCAAAATGGAATGATTCAGCTAGTCGTTGGGAGCCATGCGAACCTCACATCCAACACGAAAAACACGTCCTTTGTTTGGTACCTGCCCAAGACTTTGTTGATATGGTGATCGCCTCCCCCGACGGCGAAGAAAGAGAGACATTAGAGATGCACGTACTCAAGATTAGAAGTGCATATCCCAATCATAAACAAATTTATCTCATTGAAGGTCTCACAGCATGGATGCGCAAGAATCGGAACTCACGAAACAGAGCATATCAGGCTGAAGTGCTTCGCCAATATGAACAACCCCCTGCTGCCGAACCTTCTACCAGGGGCCGTGGTCGTGGCAGGAAACCCAAAAACAAACCAGAAACCACGCCACCCGTTGACGACGATACGATTGAAGATGCCCTTCTTACGCTCCAAGTACACCATGGATGTCTTATCCACCACACTAATGCCCCCACGGAGTCTGCTGAATGGCTCAAAAATTTCACTGAACATATTTCCACAATTCCTTACCGACACGAACGAATGACGGGTAATGATGCAGCGTTTTGTATGGACGTTGGTCAAGTCAAAACCGGCGAAGACAACCTTGATACATTTGTTAAGATGCTCCAAGAGGTGAACCGAGTTACAGCTTCCATGGCCTACGGTATTGCAGGCCAGTATCCATGTGTCACGGACCTTGTTCGAGGCATGAGGATGCATGGCCCTACTATGCTGGAAGACGTTAGGGTACGTATATCACTTCCAATAATGGCCCGCTCTGCAACTTCTTTCTTATCTCAATATTACGATCGTCTATGGATTCCGCTGATCAGCTCGACCTAGAAATCTGCAAACAGGAACGGTGGTTTGACTGATTCGCGCATCGGTCCGGCTGCTAGCAAGCGCCTTTACAAGGTATTTACGGGCTTGGACCCTGCATCCACCGATGTCTAGGCCTCACTGGAGAGACGAAGAGAATTCTTTTGGTTCTCATGCTGCATTATGCATACTACCTCTTGGGTACCCTTGGATTACTGGCATCTTTTCGCTGATGCAATTACTCCGTAGTAGTCCCGCGTATCTTGCAATCCATGAGGTTTTATTACCATATTTTCTATCCCGAAAGATAAACTATCTTTAGAACCCGAAACCCCGTAATTTTGCGATCAAGAGGCACGAAAAACCGGGCAGAAGTGGAGCATCTTGAGTCTTTGGTTGCGATTTTTGCCGAGCCAGGCTAAGCCGCTCCATAGTAAAGCTTGGTGTTCTTGGCTCCCATAGGGCTGTAAAGGCAACTAATGTACGACCCAAGCCCTACAAGGCTTTGGTGGGTCTGGTATTCTATGTTGCAATTGGCAGAAGGGGAAAAATGCTGAAGCCTTACAGGGTCGACCCGCCTTTACCTTCTCCAATATTACGACTAGCGTCGGTATTGCAAGTATGGCCGCATATCATTGGATTTTTCCGAGGTGAGGAAGGAAAATTGTCAGACTAATGATCGTGCCCAGCTTAATCCGGCGTTGGTCTCCTCCCAACTCAAGATCTTATTTTATCAATCACGGATCTGATAAAAGCAGAGTTTGTTGCAGCCCAAGAAGCCGGAAGTATCGGAAAATTTCTTCATTGAGACAAATCTCAAAAATGGCATCACAGAAGAAGGAGTTCAGCACGGTGCTGTTCTTGTCAACTGCATTGCTGGCTCTGTCGGCTTTCAACTATGGTCTCAGCGACCAGGCATTTTCTTCGTGCCAGGCGATGGATTCTTTCATCCGCCAGTTTGGGAAGTATGATGCCTCAACCGATGCTTGGGCTATCCCAGCTTTGTACACGTCTATGTACAATAGTATCAAGGCAGCTGGTCAAATTGTTGGTAAGTGGAAGCAATGGATTGCGTTCCCGACAGTTAAGCGTCATTCGTGGTTACTAACATGATTCGTTCTTAGGGGTTTTCATCGGCGGCTACGTTAGCAACACATGGGGACGCCGCATGTGTATCTTTACAATGAGTATATATGCTCTTGGTAGTGCTTCTGTGATTATCAGTGCCACAACTCAAGCTCAGCTGCAATCAGGCAGAGCGCTTCACTGTGAGAAAAACTCTTATCCAAGGTCTCGGGGCCGGAATCGTGTTCTAATTTGATTTCGTCCTTCATATAGATATCTACCTTGGTATGCAGTTGGCTGTTATCCCTACCTTTTTGGCTGAATTGGCACCGGCCAAGAATCGTGGTGGAATGGGCGTCATTTACTGGCTCAGTATTAAAGCCGGTGGTCTCTTCATCACCGGTGTGGCCCGAGCGACGAAGAAAATGACAACGGACGCGGCCTGGAGAATTCCATTCGGTCTTATCCTTGTCATTCCTTTTGTGGTGATCTGCTTGGTCTGGTTCATCCCCGAGTCTCCTCGATGGTACCTTCTTCGCGACTGTCACTCTGAATCCCTCGAGTCTCTCGTTCGTCTCAAGCCCAATAATACTTCCGAGGAGCAGATTCATCAGGATTTTGAAATTCTGTCGTCGAAGGTTGCTGAGCAACTTCAGAAGAAGTCATTCAAGGATCTGTTCAACAGACAGAATAGACAACGTACATTTGTGGTTGCTGCTGCGAACTTCTTCCAACAGGCTACTGGTCAGGCTTTTGCTTCTCAATACGGAACTCTGTTTGTCAAACAGTTGAAATCTGTTAATCCGTTCAGTGTTACCCTCGGCACTAACGCGGTGGATATTGGTGCGATTATTATCACTGCATCATTGATCGATGTTGTCGGACGTAGGTGAGTTGACAAAAAACATTTCCTTCACCCCCTCTCCTAATATCGAGCCAAACCTGACTTTTACAAGGGCCCTGTTCCATACCAGTTCTGCATTCCAGACTGTATCCCTGATGACCATGGGAGGTCTTGGAACGGCAGATTCCAGCAACCTCGACGCCAAAAAAGGAATCGTAGCAATGCTTCTGATTTTCAGTTTCAGCTGGTCTCTCGGTTGGGCTCCTTTAGTATATGTTCTTGGTACTGAGCTTCCATCTTCTCCGTTGCGTGAGATGACCCTGCAAATTGCGTATACCGTTAAGCTTATCACTGAGTGAGTTAGAACTGCTTCCTTCTTTCAATCCACAAACAACATCTGATATGATAAAAATAGATTCGCCGTGACGTTCACGTACCCATACATGGAGACAGCTGATACACCGCACCATGTTGATATCGGTGGTCGACTTGGCTTTATTTACGGCTCACTCTCGGTCGTCGCTTTTGTTTTTGGGTGGTTTTGCATTCCCGAAACTAGATGCCTGGAGATTGAGGATCTCGATAGACAACTTGCCTTGGATGGCAAATTTGTGGATATCGAGGAGTCGAAGCAATTTGAGCGAGCGACCGTAGAAGAGGTTCCTAACTAAATCTCGGGGTGCTGAACATCATCCAAGGTTTATAGACCCGGGTGCTGGGACAATCCCCTTACATAGTATATATATATATATATGTACTACTGAGATGCAAATCTCTAGCCATGACTCCATATGACTCGGAGTCGATCTTCATTTCTTCATTGCATAGTGATTTGCGCTTTCGGCCGTGGGTGACAGATTAACCCCGCGGCCGAAACTCACGATGACATCTTGATCAATTTTTTTATTCAAATACCCCAATAACGCTTGGTTTACATTGCGAGCTATTTTAATTTTCACACTATTGGAACAAGAACTAGACTATTTACTACCATTCAAACGTTTACTCTATCATGGCCGCGATAACTTGCCCTGAAGAACCCCCAGTCATCGACTTCGGACGTAGGTTCTACAGTTCATTGAATTAAGCCTCAACAAGAAAAAGCCTAATAGCCACAAAGCATTTTATAGCTCAGATCCCATCGCCCAAAAGAAACTCACCCATGAAATAGGGGAAGCATGCGAGAAATTCGGGTTCTTTCAACTAATCAACCACAACATCCCGGTATCTCTCCAAAATTCTGTCATCGCCCAAAGTCAGGACTTTTTCAAGCTTCCCTTGGCAATAAAAGAGAAATACCACAAAGGTAACAAATCACTTATCCCTACAAAGAACCTTCTTACCAAAAATAGATCTAGATGGATTCAACCGCGGCTATGAGCCCCTCCGAGCTCAGAACTTCGAAAAGCGAACAAAAGGAGACCTTAAGGAAGGCTTCTATCTAGGCAAGAATCTAAATCTTGATGACCCGTTCGTTGTCGCGAAGAGATTTGGCCAAGGGCCTAACAAGTACCCCGCTGAGGTTGAGAATCCGAAATCGTTTCAATCTATTATGGAGGAGTACCATGAGTCCATGACAGAGCTCGCGATAGGTCTACTCACCGTGATTGAGTGGACGCTTGGTCTTGAGGAAGGCTATTCTAGTTCATTCTATGAAAAGCCTGTGGCTGCGCTTCGGCTATTGCACTATCCACCACAGGATCCAGCTACCGCAGAAACAGAACCTGGTAAGTGGTATCAGCCTACTCAGAAACGGTTCTTCTTATCCTGACTTCATGCTGTAGGCATAGGCGCGCATACCGATTTCGGAGCCGTCACGATGCTTCTTCAGGATGAAACAGGCGGACTCCAGGTCTGGAATGACGGTTCTAAGGAATGGGTGGATGTTACACCTCGCCCTGGTGCTTATGTGGTCAACTTGGGGAACATGATGATGCGTTGGACGAATGATCGATACCTATCAAATTTGCATCGGGTGATCAATCGAAGTGGGAAAGAAAGGTTCAGTGTGCCGTTTTTCTTCTCTGGAAATCCGGATTATGTTGTTGAGTGTCTTCCGGAGTGTATGGATGCGGTGGAAGGTGCTAAATATCCGCCTATGACTGTCCACGACTGGATGACTGGACGTTTTGCCGACACCTATGGATCATCGAAGGAGGCTGCCATGGGGGATTTGAGGGAGGACGTGATTTCGGAGAGTAGGTGAGAAGCTTCAAGTCGGAAATTGTATACATTGCGACAGGTCGTTTGACCATACTACCCTGTCACATAAATGGATGTTTGTTCTGGAGAATAGCCTGGAAACGCCGGAAATTGAGTTTGTCTCGTCAGATTTTAATACAATTGGATTGAATATGATTAAACTTCTATAAATGCATTCATAAGATCCTCCCAAGATAACCCATCAACAGAAATCAAATCTAGCGGCGCTGTGTTAAGAGCCTCGGACGATAGACCTGGCCGAGTGTGCATGTCACTATTGATCACTCGTGATATGATATCTCGTAATGAGAACTCTTTTCGAGCTCCTGCCGTGATTGCTTGATCAATTTCCAAAAGAGATTCAATGAGTGTAACTCCCCTCTTGGCTATTCGGCTTTTGTGTTGATTTTCCCTTAGAAAGCCGAGGCTTCTAGAGGCCAACTCTCTAATTTCTTTGGCCTCGTAAATTTGTGCGCTTTCTTCCCTTGAGAAGATTAGTTCAAACAGTAACCACAGGGCTGCGGTTAGGACTTGGGTATTGGCTGTCCATAAATTGGTCACGATGTGGGTGTGGGTGGTTTTAGGCAGTGATAGAAATGATGTGAGATGTCGGCGCATTATAGGGAGGCATGAGACCTATTTTGATTAGTAGATATCTCTGGTACTGCAACTCTGTTTTCCTTGGGTGGATACCTTCGTATATGCAAACCATGGGTTTTTGAGACTGGGAATTTGAAAATGTCGATGAATCGAATAAAACTAGATTTGACCATTCTTAATAATGATGCACCCAGTAATTTGATAGAATAAACTCACTTTGTGTGCGATTCCAAGGTACAGTAGACCCGTTTGCTGCTCAATTTGCACGGAAAAGCTCTGAGGGGGCACCGTTTCATCTTTGAGGAATGATGGTAATTTGCTGATCAGCATTCTGAGTTCCTGGTCCGCCTGCAGAACTTCGGAATACAATCTTCGCAGGCTCTCTTCATTCTCGTTTGGACTCTCATGCCGACACATTCGGTCTTGTAGTTTCCACACTATAACAGATACTAAGATAATATTAGCTTCTAAGATAAAAAAGTGACGACAATGTTTCTCGGCATACTATGATTAAGAACGGAGGTATAGCTCCCATGTGTATAGAGCTCCGAGCCGCGATCAATTACTTCTCCCTGTCCAACCATAGAAGAAACATCATCGTCGCAATTTTTAGGCATCGGCGTTGTGAACTGCGTCGGATTAATGCTGTATGTATTATTAAAGGGTATCTGTAGCCAATCCTGGCGGACAAGGAACCACCAAGCTCTCTTCGAAACTTCTCGATCAATCAAAATCTGTGGATGAAGTATGGATTCCATCTCTTGATTTTCAACTCTCGCTTTGTCGGGTCCCAGTCGATGCAGACCTAGGCACTGAGCGATACGGCCTGCAGATGCTAGTAGGACAGAAATTCGGTCCGATTGTCCAATGTTGTGGCCAATATAGATTAGTAGGCAGATAGCTTGCACACTAAATAAAGTATGATTTTTCATGAAGTTTGCATCATTCAGACTATTTATGCTTTTTTCATAGCAAGATTCTACTGCTCGGTCTGGGATTGAGTCAGTAGAGATCCCTTTTTTGCATTTAGTATTCAAATCTGGATAGAAAAATATGAATTCCAAGAGATTAAGCATACCACAGAACATGACACCGAATTCCTCTAGCTTGGACGGGTGCGTATGATACAGAGTGACCTGTATACTCAGTTAGCAAATGACGGAGCCGGTGACAATGAACAAACTCACAGCAAGCATTGCATAAAACAATGCAACCCATGTGCCATCCAGCATAACATCACCCTTAAACTGAGCTTCGCATTGGCTCCGGAAAGTTGGTAGATGAACGACATTGTGAGTCCATGCTATGTATTCTTGATGATACATCATCAATCGTTCCACCTGCTGAGGCGTGAACAATAACTCCGCCGTATCCACGACATGGCATTCTCCCTCCGGCAATTGAACCTCATCAACATGTGCATCTTGTAAGACTTGGCGACGACTCATCGCAAGAAATTCCAGCGTGACTGCTGCATCTTGTCCGACGCCTGCAACTGCGTTGTTGGGGAGGGGTGAGTATGAATTACTGTCTGTATTAAATGGTGATATTGTCGTCGTCGAATCGTTCGATTGAGACGATGGAGTCTTGGTTGATATCTTATTTTTACCAGGGAAAACAGACCTCACTCTTCGCGGTGTATTTTCCTTTTCGGCTTGAGGACGGAGACGACATTCATGTTCATTACCTCGCTCAATGCAAGCTGAACATGGAATTTCTTTTGAACAGCGTAGTTTTCGACGCATACATTCTGTACAGGAATATGCAGGGCGTGGCATTTTCGACTTGCTGTGTTTGCAGTAGTTTTCGCCCGCGGGATATGGCATACAACAGCTAACTATAGCTTACCGCCTGGGCGCCGATAGCGATCTTGGCCATAGCAATTTTGACCGCCTATTACACCGCTATCTAAACTGTAGGTTCTACATCGATGGAAAACCAAGGGGAAAAGACGATAGTATGCATGTGGTAGGCCTCGTGATTTTCTGCCGCGAAAAAAACAGGCAAATAGTATGGGGTTTTTCTCCGGTGATCGAGCACTTGAGCACTTGAGGCCCCCGCCCGTACATATCGCGGGAAACTCCGACGCCGTGGGGAACTTGAACGAACAAATAGTAAGACACTGGATGATCATTAGATCGTAATTACGAAGGGAGTCATTAAAGCATATCTTTATTGATATCGTTAATAATGTTCCATTTGAATATATATGAATGGTCCCGAAAGATGCCCGCTAAATGGCCAAAAAAATTATTGCTAAACAACAACGCCCCGTTGTTTCCAGCCTCTCCAAGCAACCAACAATGTTACGATGGCTGCCCAAACGCTGAGGGTGCATCCAACGGCCCAAAAGCCATAGCATCGCCAACCATGGCATTCGCCGTCAGATGTACCACCATTGCTATCTAAGGCATTCTGGTACGCGGCTGAATATACCACGCCCCAGAACGTAGCGCCGATGGCAGGCATCATGGCGACTATACCCCAATTGGTAGCGAAATTCTCTACGCCCCATACAACGGAGATGATTATGGGAGTTAGTGAGAAGGCACTTCCATAGCCAAATCCAACGAGAGAAGTGGTAAGATGGAAGAGAGAAGGTTCTTTCTGTGTGAGTGGTGTAGCGAGAATGAGGTACCCGATGGAAAGTAGAAGTGCCGATGGTAGGAGGAAGACCATTCGGGAAAGTGTGACACGATCGTTGCTCCCTGCAAGGGCTCTGTTTCGATGGATGTCTGGAATTGGAGGGAAGAGATGGATTGCTGGTGGTGCGAATAAGTCTGAAAGAGACCCAGTAAGGAGTCGGGCAATGGTCGAAGTTAACGCGACATTGGTGACATGGGTTGATGGAAGTCCAGCCGGTGGAGGTGCATTGCTCGAATAAGACACGGGTGTCAAGGTCGGTATGATAGTTCCGAGCTATAATATTCTGTGTTAATTACAAGGTGACCAAGGTCTCATTGTACCATCTGGGCACGTTACAACTTACATTGTTGATGTATGATTCGCCGGGACCGGTGACCAGGAAGAACCCGGCCGCCAGCCACCACATCGTTGGATCCGAGAGAAAGACTCGAGTTTCATAATTGAGCAGCCAGTCTTTCTTCTGGCGCTCCTCTTCCTCGCGTTCTTTTTCTCTGCGTCTTTCCTCTCGTTCTTGGTCAGAGAGGGTAGGAGACACATCCTCATCAGCTTCAGAGGAAAAGGTGCCGTATTCCGCAGCTGCCCGGATTTCACTCCTGGGTCGAAAGAAATCGCTTTCTTCGAGTAGTCCACTTCTTTCCAGCTCTTCGACAGTCTCGTCAATATACCGCTCCTCTTCGTCATCATCCACAATCCGCATTGCAAATGTGCCAATAATGCCGACGACGAGCAGAGTAGCGCCTAGAAAGAGGAAGTAACGAAATACATCAACGTCTCCGCAATTTCCATCCTGGTCACGCTCGCAGAGCAAGTGGGTTCCAACCTGGCTTTGCCACATGCCGCTCAAACCAAATGCCGCAATAGGAATCGCAAGCATAATACCCTTGTGCTTGCCTCGGCCATAATTCTTAGCACACGTCGCTACAGCAGCAAGATACATGCAACTGGTGCCTGTTCCGATAGCAATAAATGCAACAACCATTACCCAGAAGGGCCAACCGGTGCCTCCGGCATCAGGAGGGGGACCGCTTTTATATGTAAATGCGGCGAGGAAATATCCGAGTCCAAACACAATCCCCGAGGCCAAAGATAACGGCGATGGGCTATATCGGTCGCATAGATATCCGAACAATGGCACAAGCAAGTACATAGCTATTTCCGCAGATATGGAAATCGCGTTAACGCGAAGTTGGGTATATTGAAGCCTTGTTAACAGCAAGTGCCCGTATAACGAAAAGGCAGTAATGCTCCCTGCGCAAAGACTAAAAGCATATGAGTAAGTGTCAAATATTTAAACATGGTGAATTCCATATCATATGAAAAAGACTTACCAAGATATAACACCCCAAATAAAGCTTGTTACCCTAATCACCTCCAGATGCATCTTGCGTCGATCCCGCTCGACAATACCATCCACAACATCGCTCAGAAGCCCGTCCTCACTAGTCGTCCCGTATCCGGAGTGAGAAGAACGTCGCGAGCGGCGGGATCCCGCTCTCGATCGCCCAACAGCTGGGCTAGGTTGTGTATTCTGGCTCTCCATATTCCCATCGTCAAGTAGCGATCGGTGGGCATCGAAATCACGCTTATCGATAGACGAGCTGCCACGGCCGTTGGAGCTCGGCATTCCGTTTAGCTGGCCCGGTAGTCTGTCCGGGATACAGTCGGTAGGTGGGTAGGCGGGTATACGGGTAGGTGTGTAGAATCGATCGGGATAACAAAATCCGTATACCGAGAGGGCTGGTAAAGTCAGGCACAGCTTTAATAGCAATGAGTGCTGCGGCCGAATGGGGCTCGGGGCGATTGGCCTGCGGGGGTCGAATGATAGACAGCCGTGTCAGCTGGGTGGATCAGTTGCTTTTGTTGTCAGAGCTCCACCCTACGTCATTGGGCTTCAAAGTCCGATCATCCTGCGAGAACGGATGGGCGCCAATATGAGGATCGAGATGGAGGTTTACAGCAAGCTAAGGAGATGAGGAATGGCGGTTCAAGAGAGCTTCCAGAGCGGAGATGATTGCGAGCTTGGAGCTGCTTATCGGGCACGTGATATCAGCCGAGGCTGACGCTCATAGATGCCTAATGTGGCTGGGATACCCAAGTCACAATCCTAGCAAGAAATCAAATAATTGATATGTAAGATTACGAAAGGCGACTTTGTTTTTTTTGGACCAAATTTTTTTTTCTAATGATTATGTTTCTCTCTAATACTGCGAAGAGAAGTATCATGTACAAACAACACAGGGGTCGGAAATGGGCCTGTAGAATCAGGGCACCCAAGATCCAATTACCCAGTGGGGGTATTATCAAATAAAACAAGACCGAGAAATGAATCATGAGAAAAGTACAAGAAAACAAGATATGCGTAGCTCGTACACACCGTCGTAGAAATAGATATTGCAAAAGCAGATGAAGGACAATGAAAGAAAAGCAAAACCCCGAGCTCTAAATGCATCCAGGTGTTGGCAAGGGTCATTGAGTCATCTGTGGAGGTCGTTACATCGTCTGTCCTGACAAAGAACAGTTCAGAGAAGAGCCCGAGGCGTATGGGCTGAGGATGGATAGGAAGAGGAAGAGGAAAGAAGAAGGTCAAAGGGACGAAGATCGGTGATCGACTCCAATTACCCAAATGCTGAATTAACAGCGAGGCCGAAATTTAAGAGAATGCAAGAGCAAAAGAAAGGAAGAGGGAGATACAGAGAATGGGAGAGGCGGAGACGATATCAGATCAGAGATCAGGTATATCAGAAGCTGACGTCGCCCTCATCACTCTCCATCACATTCTCATACCAATATTGATCGGAAGGGGTTTCTCGAACAGCGGGTTGGGAGCCTAAAGCTATGCCTTCGCCCTCGCCGCGTTCGATAAATTCATCATGTGTAACTTCTTTCATGATACGCTGGAAGTACATGCGCAATGTGCGAAGACCTCGAAGGTAACCACGATCAATATCGTTAGGATAGTGAGGAGGGCATGGTGTATCCGGTGCCAATTCGTCCTCTCCGGTGACACAATTGGCAAAGTCGACAATTTTCAGTTTCACATTTGTATTGTTGTGACCCTCGTCATGGGCTTGAGAGTGAGGCGCAGGTGTATCTGGTCCCGGTGTTTGTGGGGTGGACTCCCCATCATATAAGATCAACAAGCTGCTAGCGTAGAGCCGATATCGATCCAGGTTTCGGATCATGTTTTCTAACAGAGACAGCTTTTCCAGGATGACAGGTATTTTCTTGGCCACACTCGTATAGCTGACACCGTCATAAAGGAAACGAGTGAGAGCATCTTGGAATTCACGACCGGATTGTAGATCGCGTCCGAAATATTTATCTTCAAAGATGTACTCCTGCTTTTTGACATTCCATGCTTGCATCCCACACAAACGAACTCCGAGTTGTTGTGAGGTTGTTGATTGGCACTTGCGTCGTTGCGATTTCTTTTTCTTTTCATTTGCCTCGATACCGTATTGTCGAGTTCCCATTTTGAGATCTAGCACGCAGGGTTTATTCATGCCAGCTGTGAGATCTTCAAGGAGCAGAAAGAACTGGACTCGCTCGTCTTTTCTTAATTGCGCCTCTTTGGGGTTACTTGGTAGTTGGGCCACTGCTGTATCCTCTGGCTTAAGTTGGGAAGAGGCGAGGGAGAGGCTATGAGATGCAACAGAGTCTTCGGCTCGGGTGTCAAGTATGGCAGAACTGCTAGGAAGAGAGTGGGTAGAGTGTACTGGGACGGACTTGGTAGATGCGGGCATATCACCTTCCATGGTGAATATTTCATCTTCTCCATCTCCGCCGTATCCTTCGTCCTCGAAGAACATGAGCTCCCCTTTCTTCTCGGAGGTCATGCTTGCCTTACGTACCAAGCCTCCACCCGAATGTCTCCTTCGACCATGCTGTCCATGTTGGCCGCGGTTGAGGGAATTCGCACGATTGGGCAGCTCCTCAGTCTTAATCTTCTCTATACGGTCACGATTTTCGTCAAGGGCCGTTGATGCAGATGAGGAGAGTGTAGATGGCTCAGGGTTGGACCGCGCAATCTCCAGTGCAGGGGACCTCAGAGTTTCAACTTTGTCTAGTCCAGAAGGGCGTACAGCAGAGGTGTGATCCTCCGAAAGGTTTCCACGTTGGCGAGGAATGTCCGAGCTAGCTCTGGGCAAATGCAAATGGCCGCGAGGATGGCGGCGATGATGATGAATTGCAGGGGGACTAAAAACTTCCCGGAGGACCTGCTCCTGGAGCTTTCTGTTGACAGTTGTGGCGCCCCATATTTTGGTTTGCTTGCTCAAAGACGCTTTGGAATGCACGCTCGTATCCCCAAGTCCATCGGCAGAACGCGGCCTGCCTATCATCGATTCGTCTATTATCCGGGATCTTTGGCGAGAAAAAAGATCGGCCGGGATTATGTGTCGATTGTTCTCGAGTATAACCTTGGGAATCACGCCGGTGACTTGTGACTGGCTAACGATTCGTTGCGGCTCTGGTGCCTCGACCGTCTTGGGGTCCAATCCTGAATCACCATTAAGTTTATTTTCTTCAGAAGTCGCGCCGTTGCCATTCTCAGTATTGCCTCTGGGTCGCTTCGGAGTTTTGGAAAAGGTTACATTCAATACACCAATGTATCTGAGAAGGAAATAGATCAGCATTGGGCACATATTGAAGTGGAGCATATATGACGTGGCAACGAAGAACACAAAGTAGGGATATTTTTTTTTACTCAACGTGACAAGCATTAAAAAATCCATCCAATTTACTTACCTGGGTAGAAACATAAGCATGTCAGGGTGTCTTCTTTCGATACGTTCGTAAAACTCATTTTCACGGTTGTTGAGTTGTTTACAAACTGCACGTCGAGAGAACCGAAATACAGTCGTGTGGCCGCCGACCTGATGCCTGTAAGGCTTCAACTCAACAGCACCAAGAGGCTTGGTAGTCTTGCGACGAGCTGGCAAGCCTGGTCGCTGAATTGGAGTAGCAGTTGGCGTAACATCCGCCTCGTCCGTTAAACTGGAATCATCAGGAATGGATTGCACACTCTCATCTGCAGAGACTGCTTCAGATTCACATGTGGAGTCATAACTGAGCTCGGAAATAGGACCTAGAGGTTTCTCTGATGCGCCCGCTAGAGGAGATCTGAGATTTTGCAAATCGCCGTGAAGAATCTGATTTTCATTTTTAGATCGCAAGGATATATCCACATGACCAAGTTCTTGCTCGTCGGTGGGACTACGTTCTTGGGGTATCAACATCAATTCATGACCCTTCTCCGCGGACAACTGGACTGGCTGCACGCCATGTGGCTCTCCCGTTATAGACCTTGACTCATCGTCTCGATCTTCGAGCGCAACACGCTCGTGAGGGAAATATACGGCAGATTTAATTTGCTCGTTTTCCTCATCTTCAAACTGCGTCGAGTCTCGTCGCTCATCTTGTTCCACAGAGCTCAGCGATTCGCCAAAACGTTCAACGTGAGGCTCTTTCTGAAAATAATCACGACCGCGTTCTGAGTATTGCGCTGGGATGCTCTTGGAGAAGGATGAACCTTGGCCACCGCCGGGAGTGAGATGGAAGTTGCGAATTTCTTCGAGAAGTTGCCGTGGTAATGCTTTTGGGCGACGCTTGAAAGGCTCTTCCTCCTCGGGCTGGCGCTTTGGTTCAGGCAAAGGCTGAGGCACGAATGATGATCCATCACCAAGCGAGGGAAGAGAGATGCTCTTACGAATCAATCCATCTTCCGCTGGAGGGAAATTTGATACTTCGGTTTCGTAGTCCACGGCATGATCCCACGAATCCGTGGCTTCATCTTGTGGACGGTCCTCCCATCTTTTACGATCAGGAGAAGTGGTGTTTTCTTTGAACAAGCCTAGGTAATGACTAGACTTACGACTTCGCACGTTTGATGCTGGCTCCGCATTCGCAAGATTCGCCTCAATTGTATTATCCACTCGTCCCCGTCGACCCGGACTGGAGCTCCGTTCTAAAGCAATGGCTCGAGATGATTCTGCAAATGAGCTGTAAGAGACACCTTCTCTGCTTAGCGTCGGCCAACCATGCTCCGGGGTCAATGGCTTAGAGGAATGGGAGACATTGTCTAGCGCGGAGGGGAGCAAACTGCGTTCGGCCAATAAATCTTGTGGGCCACCTGTATTCGTACCTGTATCACCCTGGGGTGCAGCGAGCGGGAAGGGCACGGCAACCTCCTTTTCCCGAGTTTTCACCTGATCTGACGAGAATATAGACGAGCGCAGAGGAGAGAAGCGAGTAACATCGGAGTGGGAAAGGAGAGAAGAGGAGCGCAATGGAATATGTCTGCGGACGTCAACTTCCATGTGGGAAGGGCCGACGTGAGGATTGTGGGGAGAGACCTTGGAGATAGGGCTTGGAGACCCGTGCACATCATCAAGACCCGGTATAGAATTTACCTGGCTCTCATTCTCCGAGGCCTTTGGGGGCAATTGTGGGGTATTTGCGCCGCTATCAGTGGGGAGGTAATGAGTTGCAAAGATACTATCCCTTTCAGACAATTGAGGACTATAAAAGGGTTCAGGTTGGGGATATTTTTCCGGTGGGTTCGTTGGCGGCTTTTTTACAGGGAAAGTCGATGCAGGTTCAGTCCATTGACGGACGGTGGGGGATTCCGCGCGCGATGGGGAATAGGCCTGTTGAGCCCCCTGGAGCAAGTTTTGGTCCTGCCACGAGTGGTGACGTGGATTGGGCCGAGCATGCTCGGTCGCTGTCGAGCAATCATGTTGGGCAGGCGTGGCAGGTGTCACCAGGGGGTTAGGCAAGGTATCTTCGGGATCGGACGGCGGGTTTGACATGGAGAGGACATTGGTCAGGCCTGCACGGTCGGAATGGTCTGGAAGTGGCGATAACGATGGTTGGTTAATTGTGGGGGTGGAATGAATTTCGAGAGGGATTTAAAGGACGGGATGCCAATACGGGAAAAGGCGAAACAACGTTGATACTGGCGTCACGACGAACCCAAGGGAGTTTAGTGGAGAACATCAAGACCTTCGGGGAGTGGCTGGGTGGCAGAAAGGCAGAGGCTTGGGGGGGGGGAAGGAAACACTCTCTCTCTCTCAGTGAGGTGAGAGGGGGGTTGGGATTTTTTTTTGGTACAAGAGACGGGATAAAACTCACCACGTTGAGAAAACGAAAGATCTTACAGGTTCACGACCCCAAATCGGTCGGATATGCGGAATCCCAGCGAGCTCAGACACGCTTTTGCTTCTTTTGGGGGGAGGAGAAATAGATAAAGGATCGAAGAAGCTAAATGGCGTTTGGACCAGGATGTTGTTGCACTTGTGACGCCGATCGGCCGTCACCGCCTTCTTCAGTAGTGGAGTCCAACTCGATTGGGCTTGTTGTCTCCTCTTTAGGTGGAGACCAGATGGAAATTGTGTAAGAAAATAAGAAACAAGACAATGGGAAAAGAAAAGGAAGAAAGAAATTATGATCCAGAAATTATAGTGGGAAGGGAGGAAGATCCATGGACAAAGAAGAAGGGTGATATGGAGAATGAAGTCACCGGGGGAAAAAAAGATCACAATCATCCACTTTTCCTCTCTCTGCGTTTCTTCCCTTCAAATCTGCGACTCGGGTTTTACCCCGGACTGAACTAACGTAACTTGACTAAACTAATCGAACTAGTCAACTTCTTGGGTACTTTTTTTCTCTCCATCAATATATACATCACATCCACGAAGAGTTATATGTCTCCTACATCATCCTGGAAAAGACGGTGTGCGACTCCTCCACCAAGGTCGATCTGGGACAATGCAGCCTTATCTCCAATACTCAATCCCTCAACGACGGTGATTGGGGGAGTTCCGGGTCATGATCGGCAACACTTGGACTCTTTCCAGGAGTCATTATGCAACCATTGAATCTTGCATAAAGAGAATTTCCTTTATCCGACCGGGAAACATACCATTGAATGGGCCCTATCTTAGTCTAATATCACTATCTTTCGGGATTCTCCCTATTATAATGCGCCATACACACACGCCTCTCCCATCCACACCATCTATCGTTGATCATGGAATGTGAACTGTATGTTCTTTGTCCGGTCCAACCCTGCGGAAGCTCGCGGTGGCAGACAACCGGATCCTTGGTCCAACTCCCAAAGGTACATACGTCCAACTCTCCCCGAGCAACATTGTGGAGACAAGGGATGACAAGGTTTATCGGGTCGATCGTTCTCATTTTCTTCCCAGTTTCATGGGTTCCATTTCACTGCCAATCAACGCCTGCTAAACGTTGGCGTGCATCGCGCGCGCACAGTCATAGGTCTCACCTCCACCATCAAGGCCGGCCCGGCCCCTGGATCTTCACCCTTTATGATTGGCGACAGGATTGTTGGGCATTCTTGCCATAAAAACAACGGAATCGCTGAAGGGTCTCAGCATCATGTGGCCTGTCCCTGGTATCCTACAGGAAGAATCGCTAAAGTCAAATGCTTAGTTTCTGCGAGGGCTGCCCTTCTATATATATATGCCTCAATGTTGGGGGTCGAGTGCACGGACGCGCATCTACGTTACCATTATTACTAGTACAAAGACCGAGGGACGGGTCAAAATTAATTTCGAACTTTGGGGACGTTCCTTCATCCTTTTGGCCGCCGCTTTCCAGACTTGGCAGTTGTGATACAGGCATACGTCGGCGTTTGGGAAAGGTGCTATTGACTAGTAGAACTGTAGATTCAATTCCCAACGACCCCGCGGGCGGTTGGCAAACTAGCAAACCGCTTTGCCAATATCACTAAAGTGGCCAGATTCACTTGGCACAGATCCTATGGCATGAAGAAGCACACATAATGAACGCCCTTGTTGCATATCCCAGGCAGCCAGATTATTCCCGTCAAACTCCAAAGTTGCACGCAATGATTGCTGGGGTTTAGAAATAACCCGGTATCCATACATTGAGGAGTAGAAGTACAAGTGGCGCTAATATTAGATGTATTAATAGACATTGGGCAGTGATAAGTCCAGTAATCGATAGGCTCGGTATGTAGGCCACCTGTAAAACATTGACCACCTGCTTGGAAGTTCATCACGATGATAAAGCTGCCAGTCTGAATTACCTATCAACATGATGACTTCTACTAGTACTACTTGCTGACATACCTAGTAGTGATGAAACCTCGTATTTCGGTCCTTGGTTTGAGTATATCCATGGATATATACAATAACTGCGTACTAGTACCTTAGGCATGAATATTCAAGACAATAAAAGTCTTTGTAGTTCACTTTCAATTTACAAGTGTTATCATCTTGATGTCATGATATTCTCACATGGATTCCAAAATTGCCAGACTCAAATGATGAAAATCCATATGTATAGGTAGATACAAGCCTAGGAATATAATCCAGGGGTATTGAACACGTATTATGAGCTGAGAACCTAAACATAAACACTAGGAAGCAAGTAAGATCGGGCGAATAGTTGCGAAGTTTGACGAGTTCAAAGTGTTTTGGAAACCTTGGGCGCAGAGCCTCACCCGGAGGAAGGGGCTGTAATGTGATGGTGCGTGGCAAGAAGTCAAGCACACAGCCCAGCCAAGCCGACGTGCATGTATCCTTTAAGTTTCCCCTCGATAGCTCAGCCTCACCAGCTATATTGCTTCTTCTTGAATCGGGCAACCTTGGTAAGATAGCACGTAACAGTGAGATAACTAACCTCTGCTCCTCATTATCTCTTCATCGCCATAGAGAGGTAAACTAGGTGAAACAGACTCACTATGGCATCTACTCAGTACACTGCCTTATGTCGAGAGCTTTATGCAGAGTTCGTTGGCAAGTTTGAGCGCAGCCAAGAAGAAGCAAGTCGATTTGCCGCCAGAGGAACAGCACGAGAAGTCTTGAGTCGCAAAAAGTTGATCCGCATTTTTCGATGCCTCACATCACCAGACGTCAACAAATACAGACCGCCCCGAATGGACGCGGAGACTCTGGCTGATAAGTTGAGTGAAAAGATTCTTCACGATTTTCTTGCTGTTTTAATATTTTCCACAACTGAGATACATCCGGCTCAAACTTTCATGACGAAACTGCTCATCGAAGAGTCATTAGCAGCAGAAAGTTGCTCGCTTCCTTCAGCCCGACCATTTTTAATGAAGCTCTTCGAGGAGGATGTCACGCCTGATCGCTTCTTGGCCCAACAGGCCATATTTTGCCCTGTTACCATACTGAGAAGACGAGAGATTTTGGTGGAAAGCAAAGAGCAGCGTCTCCCTTATATAGACGAAAAGCAGGTGGGAAAAGGTGCCTCTGGAAAAGTTTATAGAGTGATAATTGCAAAGGGCCATGTTTGGGATCCCGACTCAGAGTATAAGTCATTGAACGCCGAACCGTTGGAAGTCGCACGAAAAGACTGCGTCATTGAAGAGGACCCTAAATCGAAGTCGACACAATCAGATCGTACAATCATGAAGCTCATTCTCTCACTCCCAAAGAAGTGCGACAATATTATCGAAAGTATTGGTGCTATACTTCTAGATTCCTCAACGTGGTGCCTTTTTATGCCCCTTGCTATCTGTGACCTGGGTGCTTATATGACCGAGTATCATAAGATGAGCCCCGGCACCACTATGGATAAAGTGGAGATTGTGAAAAATGCAAAAGGGTTGGTAGGTGGTCTGGTATTCCTTCATACTGAAATGAAAGCGAATGGAAACGATTTGGTGCTTTACCACATGGATCTCAAACCTGCCAATATTCTCATATTTCGAAGACAAAACCAGGATGCAGACCAGACCGAAGGCGAATATATCTGGAAAATCAGCGACTTCGGAATGTCGAAGGTTAAGGTGGTTAAGCGTGAACGAGAGAGCAAGAGTGAGACGAACGCACAGAACTTGTTTGCGCGATGGGCAAGGCATGAGCCTCAAAAATGGCCAGTATCAGCTACCAAAAACGAAAGACTTGAAGGTACGTATCTCGCACCGGAGTCCTTGAGCTATACCAAGAGCATGACCCAGGAAAGTGACGTATGGTCTCTTGGTTGCGTTATCAGTGTGGTATTCGCATATCTGGAGGAAGGTGGGGAAGGTGTCAAGGAATATGCGCGTGCCAGGAACAGGTATCCCAAGTCTGAAGGCTATGATCGCTTTTTTCTTCCCCAGAGGACCATGGTTCGCTCAAAGCCCCATCATCCATCGGTTTTGTTGTGGCACAAAAATTTGATTGACAAGGCATACTCACGCAATGTTTGCGAGGGAAATGCAGTGAAGTTTATGTTGAGATTTTTGGAGAGGGAAGTCCTCCAAGATCAAAAAATTAGATGTAACGCCAAAACTCTAGAGCAGACGTTAGAGGAGACATGTGAAAAATATGAACAGGTGGCTGTAAATACCCCAAAAGAGGGAGAAAAACTGAGGCAACTATTTGGGGGCATTGATCTTCGTCGGCATTTCAGCCGGACACATGAACCTAAATTCCCACATGAACTCAATCGACTAATCGTCGCTGGTACAGAATCATATAAAGGGTGTGATATATCGCCGGATGGTTCTGTCATTGCTTTTTGGACAGACAACAAGATCTTGGTTTACACGTCCCAATCTCTGAATGGCTCCGAAGTAACGCCGGTCGCGTCATGGGAGCTGAAGGGTGACATTCGAACCCGAATTTTGAAAAGTGTGTCTCTTACTGAGAGGTATCTGGTTGCCTCAACGTCAGGTAGTTTTCAGGTAATATGATCACAATTTCCGAATAAGTTAATGGAAGGATTGCTGATAAACCAAATCTTAGTATTACCTCTTTGATCTTCAAAGAATTAGCACATCGATCCTAGGGAGTTACAACTTGATTGATCACAGCCATCTGTCTGAGATCACAAATCTGGCCATATCTCCGAACAGCAAGACGATAGCGTTTATCTTACGAGGTAATATGGAAGATGACGAGGAATCGCGCTCTAGATTGCTTTATCGTGCCTCAGTCAAATCACCTAAACTCTGTGAAGAGCTGCGAAACATAGGTTTACCGATGACTGATATTGTTCAACTGTCATTCTCTACAGACGATGATTTCTACTATGTCGTGGAGCCCAGTGATACTGACGACCGTCGCAACTATTGCGTGTCCGTATTCCACATCTCGTTGGGGAACATGTCTCTGCAAGAATTGGTGTTTGAATCGCCTGTGAGTTTTTTGAATAGGCAAGGCTGCTTCTGTTTTCATTAATCCTAACCGAAGTCATAGGCTGTGGATCATAGCGTCATTGTGGATCTTTTTACTAGCTTCTCCCCTTTCTATCAGTATCCCAACGCCTGCGTACTAGTGACGAGCGAAAGAAAGCTCCATATTCAAAACTTTATCGAGAAACAGCAACCCAGCACAACGACACCTAGTTCCTGTCAATGTGACATAGGAAAATACAGAGTCTTGAGAATCATGACGAGCCGAAAAACGGGTCACATCTTCGCTATTGGACGACCTGTCGCAAGTCATAAAATGCTTCTTCTGAGCCTGAAGATATCAGGGAATCCACGTTCTTCAAATCATGACTATTTTGTTGATGTGCTAGAGCTAGCCTCTATTCCTGGGCTCTCATCTGGACACAAGTTCAAAGAAAGGCTGTGTGAAGACGAGAATGAAATAGTTATTCTTCTTTCCTGTCTCACAGCGCTTACACCCTTGACAGGGGATACACAACGTTCGATCTACCGAATCTCTATTTCTCCAAAAACATTGAAAGCCTTCGACTCTATATAAGATAAGATAGGCTTTTTGAAGACACTTTTCCCCTCATCATCCCTGATTCGTGATCTACTAGTAGCCCTTCTAACATCTATCCCTATAACAATGAACGAAAGAAGAAAGAAAAAAATAGAAAGGAAATAAGAGCGGCAAAAGAAAGCAAAATAAAGCAAAAAGAAGATAAACAAGTATGATGAATCATCCTTCTCTTATCAAGTCTATTCGCTCTCTTTTTCTTCGCCTGTCTGGCTTTGACACTGGCGAAGTACAATATTAAACTGCTGAAAGCTCAGTTTGATTTAGCTCTTCCCGTCTTCTCTTGTATTTCCTTCTCAACGCCTGTATACTCCAACCTTGAGGTATACCAATCCTTGGAACAAGACTAGAGAAGACTGCAAATTTTGACAGCCCTCTGCTATCAGTATTCAGTAACCAGGAGTAAGCTCCAAATGTTGCTCCAGTAAGTAAAACAGAGCATAGAACAAATATCCAAATTGTTGAGGTGACGGTTATGCTGTTACTCTTCTGATCCATGGCAATGAAGTTCATCCCAAAAAAGGTCTGCGCGAGGTGTCGAAGATTAGTTTCGAAATTCGTAAGCAATCAAGAAATGGACCACCAAATTACGTACTGCAAGGAATGAAGCTGGTAGATAAAAAAGCGTCAGAGTCGTAATAAATACGGCTGATTTGTTTAGTTGGAAAATGTGAGTGTTTTGTTCCTTGGCCACGACCTGATCACGAAATAGCACTGTATGGGTCAAAGCCTGAGTGACAGACAAGACCATCTTCTGAAGATACATTGCACTATGCAAATATGCAGCACATTGGCGTCGAACATTATTCAGTCCATCTAGTCCCTTAGTGCTAGTGTCGAAATCTGGATCCTGTTGCAACGCATCGCAGATCTCAGTAAGGACATCTTGCGCTGATCCTAGAATTGCAATGGTTTCATTGATTCGTTTCTCCAGGTTCATCATTGATTTTAGCTGGTCATGTCCTAAAAGTTCCAAGGGCTTATTGATAGACGTTATAATGACCTGACTGGAAATGTGTAGGATCTGCTGCTCTATATCTGCGATATATACCCTCCATAGCGGCATATAAGCAGAAAATAGTGTCCAATGTAACCATAAAGGGTCATTTGTCACCTCTAGCTGCTCAATTTTGAGCCGTTTCTCTGCCAGGCAGTGTCCCATGGAGCTTGGGGTCGGATTGAAAAGTACCCATGTGCTCTGACCCTTCCTCGTGTCCCGTTTATGATATACACCTGTTTGCCGAATGGACCATTTATTCTGTTCCGGTGAATGCTCGGGGTATTTAAAGGTGTATGATATTTCTGAGCGAATTCTTTAACTTAGAAATGTCTTGGTTCTCCATTCTTTGAGAGGAATCATACGTAGGCCAGATGGGAAACGAGATTGTGTGAATGGGGCACAAACACACTTCTCAATATCCCTCTTTCGATCATAGAAGTAGGATGGTAACTGTGTAAAAGTTTCATCCATGCCATGCTCGGTCGTAATCAAGTTGACCATTTCAATAGTCATTTGCAGCGGCCTCCATGAATTGCGTTGACAGACCGATCTATCATGTAGGAGGCGTGAACGATTAATTATGAGTTCAAATATTAGAGTTGTGTGGAGACATACATGAGACGTGACTTGTAATTTTCTGTTCTTGTAGCAATAAAATGTGCTTGCAAGTCTTCGTATTCGAATATTTTGTTGTGTCGATAGGCTTCCACCCCATCTTTTGGCGCATGGTCGTGGGGAATATCAATGATTTCCAAAGGCTGCTTCAAATTTTGGACGTGTCGTTTATCGAAAAGCAGCATTTTGGACAAAGGAAATTTTTTTAGAACATATAATTATGAAAAGGCTATAGACAAAGTTTTCCATTATATAGCGAAAGGCACGGCGGGGGCTCCGAGGCAAAACGTGATTTTTTATGTGCATTACTATGTGCACCCACCCATGCTTCTCAGCCACTATATACTATGGGGCCTGCCCTGCATAGCCATGTCACACAGGCTCCTAAAGGTCTGCACAGCCGAACTCAAGGCTCACCACTCCCGGGCGGAGCTAAGCATAGTTTCGTCAGTGTATCTCTATCTTGGCTTCCCATGGGTGTAAGGTTTTTCTTTGCTCACTCAAGCTCATCCTTCAAGTTAAGTATCGTCAATCAGCCACGAACCACCCACTAAGAACAGATAAAACGGAATGAAGATAATTACTAACCGGATCCACGAATCTCGGGGCAGTAAAACACCATTTGTCCTCAAACATCTCCTTGCAAGTCAGCCCTGCGCCCGCAGGCGGAGAATTATTTGGAAGACGTACTTCGATGTTAAAGTTTGTTTGCTCCGGAAATATATCCTCTAGAGCTCTCTGGAGGGCTACTTTCGCCATATATTTTGTATCGACATAATTGCTCACTTGTTTCTTTCCCTGCGTGTCTGGCATTTTGGCTCCCTTGGTTGTGAAATCGAAGCACTGGAGTGGCAAATAACATACTGGGCGGGGGACTCTATAAACCACCCTCAATCGAGCCTTTGAGATTAAGAGGAGAGATACGCCGCATCACGCGCTCATCTGAAGCAGTTCTCAATAGGCTAAATGGGAGCGGACGAGACGTGGCAATAACCCCGGGGGCATTGACCTCCGTCTATGCATGATAAAGGACATTCCAACCAATCCCATCGGCTAGCGGTGAATGTTTGCCTGCGAGTTAGGCAAGAGGGGGTGAATGCAACCCAGCCACGTTTACCCTGGTTGAAATTATCTCCGCATGAAGTATTATGGAGCCACATAAGCAAACCATCCTCCTGAGAAAGTAAATTGCTTTTTTCTAGGTTGAGTTGGGGCTGAGCAGATACGGTATGCGGCTGAGAGCCACCACTCCCTTATCAGGTGCTCTATCAGAGCATATGGCTGCGTAATACAAATTCATCTCTGGAGCACGTGTATCAACAAGCAAGCTCCCTGTCGTTGAAGATATGGAAGAAGACTTCGACTGGTTGCCAGATTGGCTACCACCAATTTGGAAAACCGCCAATACGAATACCGAAAATGTGAAGTTGAACGAAATCAACCCAGGGGCCTCTGTCAATCCCGAGCATCCGAGTGCATTGCAAATACTTCCACGAAGAACCGTAGAAATCAAACCACGAGGCAAAAAGACCGTGAACAGAAAACTGAAGGGCATTCACATATTCGTATGTTTAATTCCCCGGAACCATACATTTGAATTCTGTGATACTCGGATGATGATTGACTCAAAAGCTCCGGTTAGATGATTACCATCAACGCAACTCTCGGGACCGGTCTCTACTGGCGTGGTGGCCAGGTGCTCGAAGTTGGAGGTGCTTTAGCTGTTCCCCTGACGTTCTTTATTGTCGGGTGTCTTTCTTGGGCAGTTATGCAATGTATCAGTGAAATGCTGTGCATTTGGCCCGTTCCCGGTGCTTTGGGTGTTTTTGTTGGAGAGTTTGTGGATGAGGAACTGGGGATCGCTACAAGCATTGCACACTGGTAAGCTCACTAGCGATATGGCAAGACAGCGAAACTGATCATATACAAGGTTCACATACGCAATGTCATTCTCCACCTTAGTGCCCACGGCAGCAGGCGAGCTTGATTTCTGGCCGAAAATTACTACGAATAAAGCTGTACTGGGAGGAGTCATTTACTTTTTGATTCCCGTTGCTCTCTTATTCGTGAATCTATTCAAAGTAGAGGTAACATACGCCAATTTGGATGCCGCTATTCGCTGGAAAATTGAGCTGACAATCTCCCCAGACCTATGGAATGATTGAGGTTGTTTCAGGATCTATCAAAATGTTGTTTCTTGTGATAATAGCAGGGATTTTGATTGCGATAAACCGCGGGGGTAAGCTTCTAGCCACGCTATGGCATTGAAGTCTTTAGCTTACAGAGACAGCTGGCCCTGATAATACTGGACCTATCGGTATTAAGTGTAAGTCTTTTCAAGATGAAAGTTATAATGAAGGAAAATCAGCTGAAAATATAAAGATTGGTCTCCTCCAACGGCCTTTGACGAAGATGCTACGGGGAACTGGTTCATTGCCCTTCTGTCAGCTACGCATTATTTCTAAATGAACCACATTATGCTAATTATATGTTAGAATGTGCATCTCAATTGCAACCTTTGCTTATGTCGGCGTCGAAGTTGTGGCAGCATCTGCTCTCGAGGCTGAGATCAACGAAAAGCCATCAAAGCATGCCCCCTTTTCGCGGTTTAAAAGGCTACTTGTCATGGATAGTACAGTCAAGTTCTCAGCAATCTATATACCCGTGATAGCCACTGCCGGGTATACCATCAGTGGCCTCCTCGCAAGCCTCGACATGAAACGGAATAATTGTGGTTTGCCGAAGCCAACATGGCTGTCAATACCATACGATGCCCTATATAACTGTACGGGTGATGGCAGCAGATCTGTATTTGTTCTTATTGCTGCCGACTCACACATTCCGCATTTGGATGATGTCGTGAATTTCTTTCTTGTATTCACCTGCTTGACTGCCAACAGTACAAATCTTTATATCGCCTCCCGTGCGTTGTTTGGTTTAGCTAGTCGACTCGATGAAGAGTCCGCTGGGAGATGGCACTTGCGATTCTTCGCATGGTTTGGCACGACCAATAGCAATCGTGTTCCTGTTCGTGCGCTCGTATTCTCTGCATTGGCATTTGGCTGGATACCATTCCTGCAATTGATTCATGGAATTGATGCCCCCAGCGGCGTGAACCAGGCGAGTGGGACACTGATAATCAAAGAAAGGATTTGGTACCCAATGAGCTAACTTTAAAGCATGGATTCAGTTTATCGAGATTCTGGGTGAGATGGCCTCTGTCAGTACCTTGATTGTCTGGGCATGTGAATGTCTGGCATTCATTCGATTTTATAATTGGTTAGTACATACTAATTGATATGAAAAAAGTATTTCAAACCCATACTAGAAACCTTTATTGATATAAGTTCTCTTAATCTAGCATTCGTCGCCATCGGAAATACATCGAGCTCCAAAATGTCCCTTTGGTACAACGATGGAGTGAGGACTCGGAGAGAAATCCCGAATACCCATATCGAGGCATTGGGCAACCATATCTTGCCTATTTTGCACTAGTAGCATGTCTTTTTGTTCTATTTATTGCCAATGGCGCTACACTGTGGAATGGATTTCACTGGTTGTCCTTCTTGTCATCCTATTTGACGGTATGTGATGAACTGCGTCCCTGCCAAGGTATTATGCTTTAACTAATATTCAATACTAGATTTTGGCATTTCTGGGGTTGTGGATACTACTTAAACTTGAACGAGCAGCAAGTTGGTCTTTCGTTGATCTCTCGGATGAGACTCAAGTGGTAGCAAAACTTCGAGGCTTGAACCGTTTCCGAGCGAGTCTCGCCCAGTCGCAAAGCTGACCTATGATATCTCCCAAATAACGAATCAAATAAATATATCATCAATAGACATATTTCCGTTTTTCAATGTCGTTAGAAACTACCAACACTTGGTTTTTATACAGAGCCCGTTTTGTCCCTGCGATCGTTACGATTGTCCGGGGCGTGCTGGCAAAGCCTCATATCGTAGTCAGTTAAGCGGTACTACTATATGTATAATGACTGATGTATTGCAAGAAATAATAATGTTGTGGAGGGCAGCGCGAGGTTGTCCTGTTGGATGCGGTAAGGCACGGTCAGGCCCTGTTAAAGCTGACACTTTGTGACTACACGAGGCACACTTCGAATATTTAAATAGATCGCACTTAATACAGGACGCGTATACATCCTATATAGCCTTGTTCCTCCAACTCCACAAATGGGACCCACCTGGACATTGCGCATTGTCCATCCACCAATCAAAGACTTGCGCGATGATTACCGGTTTAGGTTTGCTGTTCAGCGCACTAGTGAAAACAGTGAGAGAAGTCTATATAAGATCTCTCGAGTCGCCTTATTCTCGTCACCGATCCAAAGTTATAGACATTTTGCAAATCTACTGAGGAAAGTATCACCTTCTCTTAGCGTTGCTTGCGCCATGTCTGTTAAAATTGCCATCATCGGCGCAGGGCCAGCTGGCTGCATGCTCGCACGCCTACTCCTCGACAAACCCAACATAAACATAACAGTTTTCGAAGGCGAGCCATCGATCAATTTCCGTGCGCAAGGTGGCTCCCTTGACCTCCACGAGCGAGCAGGTCTCGCAGCTCTCAAGGCAGCCAACCTGTATGAAGAATTCCTGAAACACGCCCGCTTCGAAGGCGAGGCTCTTCTAGTATGCGACGAGAAACTCAAGCCATACATCAAAATCCCACCACAAGCCGAGAATAAGAGTACTGGGCGTCCAGAAATTGATCGCTCTGCGCTTCGAAAAATGCTGCTAGAGTCCCTACCATCAGGGGTAGTGCAGTGGAACCGTCGGTTACGTCGCGTCGGCCCGGGCGAAAACCAAAAACAAGATCTTGAATTTATGGATGGAAAGATTGAGCCCGGGTTTGATCTTGTTGTCGGGGCAGACGGCACATGGAGTAAGGTCCGCCCTGCACTATCGGACACCCAGCCTGAGTATGCGGGGATTGGAGGATTCTCTCTCGGCATCCCGAACGCAGCGCAGACCGCTCCAGAGTGCTCTGTACTACTTAAAGGTGGATCTGTGTTCGCTTACTCCACTGGATGTATGTTGGTAGGGCAGCAGCAAGGGGACGGGAGTATCGACGTGGGCGTATGGCGTGCCCGACCGGAAGGGTGGGAAGAGACAGTCGACTATGATTTGAAAGATGGCGCGGCAGTACGACAAGCACAAAAGCAAGAATTCGCCGTCTACGCGCCCGAACTACTAGAGCTTATTGAGAAGGCTGTTGACGAGCCCCATATGGCGGCTCGATCCTATTATTCGCTCCCGGTCGGGTTTCATTGGGACCACAAGCCTGGTCTCACGCTGATAGGCGATTCAGCGCATGTCATATGCCCCTTCACCGGCGAGGGTGTTAACCAGGCTCTCACCGATTCAATGCTTCTATCCCAAGCCATCCTTAAGGCCAAGAGCGCGGCGGATCTTGATCGTCAGATTCGTGTATATGAACGAGATCTCTTTTCTCGTGCAGCGGTTTTCCAGGAGCGAGCAGCCTTGGTCGCTAAAACCATGTTTTTCACTGAAGGTTCACCAGCCTCCACTATCGAAATCTATACCATGCAGAACTTGAAGAACTATCTCTCACCCACGGGATACTTCTTACTGTATCCTGTGCTCGCGACTGCGGTATATGGCTTCTTTTTTTGGCAAAAGCGATTTCGGCACTGATCGACTCTGGTCTTTATTCAAGGACCTCTGCGAGGAAAGCATGACCTGATTGCATTTCCAGCTCCTCATGGCGAAAAAGCAACAATAATGATTAATAGAGCGAGCTTGTATCTAATGTCCCTAAATAGAGAGAGGTATGGACATGCCAGTGCGAAGCCCGCCTAGAGATCTATTTCTCCACCTACAATATCTGATATAACTATATGTACCATTTAGACAGTGATATATGGACTCGGATAAAAAGAAACTTTAATACATGTACATACCTAAATTACAATAAATTCATTATTAGGTTATCTAACACCAACTGCAAATTGAAGTTCAGAAGCTCGAAGCTTTGAGATGTGAGGCACCTGGGAAAGCGTCAAAGGTACTTCACGTCGCAAATTATTGACGTGTCAGATCACCGTTAGGCCGTTTGTTCCCAGTCCCTGAACTATAGGTTTTATATATGGTACTGTACTGTGCTGCGTTCAGGGGGGAAATAGTTTCATTGATCGTTTCGAAACGAAAAGGCTGGATCATTCAGAATGCCGATCATTCTTTTTACAACAAAAAACATCCTAGGTAGGACTTTGCAGGCTCCAACGTTTCATTGGGCGAAAGATTGCCTTAAATGATAAATTCGCTGATTTGAATATCAATGTAGCCAATAACAAATCACCAAGTGGATTAGTACTTTTTCTCTGTGATACTGGAATTTTTGTTGGAGGCGCAGTAGCTGCTCTACAACATTTCAACATTTAAACGCTCACTAAAAACCTAGTATTACTTTGGAAAAAAATATCTCCATTGGAAAAATTAGCCTTCTACGTCCAGATGCTCATATGAAACACTGTGTACTCGTGTCAGAACCTTGAACGGTGGACAGGAAGCTACGTGACGTCGGTGGCACGAAATTTTAGTTAATCAAAATTAAGATTCTTTTGTGAAGGGAGGATCATTTGCAATTCACCCTTCTGAGTCAAAAACCGCTCGGTTTAATACTAATGCGACATGAATCACTGGCGTGGAGCTATTGAAGCGCCTGGATTCGAAAATATGGTTGAATTTGGGGAAATGGGGGCTGTTTGACCACTCAAAAAACCAACAAAAGAGACAAGTTCCAGTGGAGCTCCAATCTTGAAATCCTTTAGCCTTCATACGCGGCCACCTGTCACCAAATAGGTGGAATTGTTGGTAGGTGTGATCGACTAGATGTGACGAGAGGGGGCCACAACGCCCAACGGGAGGTGCCGGGCGGGTCTCAGGCCAACCAGCGGCCATAACGATGTGAAGCAGATGCATTAGCTGTGCAAGGACCACCCTAACCGACTAGCTCCTCGACGAACCTGAACTTATGAGCCAGTTATGAAAGAGTATCCCCGCGGGCCCCTAGCTTGGCCCCGCTCAGCCCATTTGGATCCCCACTCGGGCGGTCCAGCACTCCCAGATACACTCTCATCACACGGGTTTTTTCAAACCCCCCAAAGCTTCTGACGGACCTGGAAATGGTTCCTTTCTCTTCCTTCAGATCTGCAGTCGCATGTCGCTTTTTAGTGAATTGGCGCGAAATTCAGTAACCGAGCTTGTGCCGCATGCTGATCTCCAGGAGAAGCTGGTCTCAGCAACAACTTCCTAGACACACACTCTCCCACGTCCAACCTTGAAGCTTTTCTTGGATCCCCAGTTTCAGAATTTGCGATTCCCTCTGAGTCAAATTCATAGCTCAAAGCGGGCAAAGCTCTTGATCCTAACTATATAGACCAAGCGTCTCTTATCCAATCCATCGAGCCAAAATGAGTCGCCCGGTGCAGTTGGAAGACGCCCAAAGTGGTCAAAACCATGGCTGCAGATATTCTTACATGGAATCACCGGTAGAGGAACAGGGATGGCCTGAACAGCAAGCTCATGCTCCGACGTCGCCAGGACCAGTCCCCGCAAACTCCGGCCTACATTCACCGCAACACCATTACCAATACCAGCAACGCCACATAGCGATCGAACAATCCACACCAGTCCAGAACCAAGCTACCCAAATCTATCCCAATGAGAAAGAAAGACATCTGCAACAGGAGGGAATAATACCTACTTATTCGAAATACCCGCCACCAGACCAACATCCTGCCAACTTCGCTCCTTATGCTGAGCCTGCTCAGCCCCAACATTATATTCAACCGATCATCCACTCTCCAATCCACTCACCTATTCATTCCCCAATGCAATCGCCAATGCAATCGCCAATGCAATCTTCCTTTCAAGTGCCACTGGCCTCGCCAGTATATGCTCAACATGTTGTGCAATATCCGTATCAATACCAACACCAGGAACAATACCATCACCAGGAACAGCAGCAGCAGCAACAACAGCAGCAACAGCAACAGCAACAGCAACAGCAGGCATACAGTCAACCAGAACCACCAAGCTCCCCCGGACCTCTTCCCGTCAAACAAACTCTCGAAATTCCAAATAGAAGCAATACTATGGTTCTTGCGCCCGACGAAAATCCATTAAAGTCGCCCAAACTGCCTTCGTTCCCACCTCCGACCGCAAGAGACTCCCCGCAAGCGCAAGCGACAGAAGACTCAAACATATTCCACCAACCCGGACAAATAATGCATCCAGTACAAGAGGTCTACGGAGGAGGATGGAGCCACGGGATGTGCGACTGTTCGAATAATATCTGGGCATGTTTTCTGGGATTAATATGCCCGTGTGTTCTCTATGGGAAAACGCAGTATCGTCTCAACCGAAAGTCCAAACAAGAAGACCCGACCAACATGTTGGGATACGAGACTTGTAATGGATCATGTACCGGAATGGCTTTACTATGCGGATGTCAATGTAAGCGTTGCAGTTTCCCTCGTATACCCTCAAGGAATGATAACTGATATAAATACAGGCATTTTGACCACTATACAACGCCGGAGAACGCGTAAAGCCTATGGGATCCCAGGAGATACTGGGTCAGACTGTGTTCGGTCGACATGTTGTTGCTGTTGTACCCTCATTCAAAATGAGAAAGAGATAGTGAAGCGAGAAGACAACCGCAGTCGTGTTGCGCTGGAGAGGGGGGCAACTTTTACATCACCTTACATGGCACCCGCGCCGATGACCTTCCCCCCACCACCGAAATAATGCGGGATGTCCGACGTATACGGCTGTACAGTGAATATTGTTAGGCAATTGTACGTATAACGAAGATATGTCATAATCCACCGGAATTGGATTTGAAATGAATTTTCTATGTGTGTTATATCGGAGTCACCGATTGATGGCTATGAGGCAATGGCAACATACATCATCCCTGCATGCCACTGGAGGTGCGTGTTGATCATTAGTCTAGGCTGTCTTCAAGCGCTTGTGCAATTCGTGCATGTTGATAGAATTTTATCAGTCCCAACCTTATACGTAGATCCTCCGCAACCGAACCAATATGTTGGGTCTGTACATCAATGACCTGAGTGTCACCATAGCAAGCCAAAATTACTATCATTCTCCTACTAGCTGTGGGACCAGAAGCTATTGGAAGCCCTTGGCATGTGTGATAGATCCCCAAATTCTAAATGTGCTTGCGCCAGGCCTCCAGAAGCTCTCAATGCCTTCACGCGTGGCTGGGGAAGTCAAAATCCAGCGGGCCGGAGGAGTCTACTTAAATATCATGTAGATGTATCACGGAGATCATGAACCAAGTTGCAGGGACATTATCGTGCGATCGCACGATCGAGCGAGCCAGAACACCGGACTCCCTCAATCGTTACCGGAAAAGCTTATCCATAAACTTCCCAAGTCGGGGAGCAATTTAGCGACGATACCCATCTCCACATGGTACCCTTGCAAAAATGAATAGTTGTAGCCATATCTAAGGTCATTTAGAAGGGGCTATTGGCTCATTAATCGCCGCAAGTTATATGTCTATTCTGGGTGAATTACCCGCGCAGCTCCCTCGGCGACCATCGTGACGGAGTGGGGCGTTGAAAGACTGTCCAAAGTTAGCTCTAGCCACTCTGCCCGATCGAGTGCATATTGTGGCCCGTCAGGGCTAAAATAGTTTATGATCATCTTATCTGATCGCTTGGGTATTGTTTGTATGTCTTACCTTCATTCACATTTAGCAATTTGATGCAACTAACCTTATGGTAGTGTTATACAATGGACTCGGAACCCACCTCGTATATGTACGCCCTGACCAACTTACTGTTTATTTGAAGTTAATTTTTGATTATACCTAGTTGGTCTCTCTTTTTTGGACTCTCGCTAAAATTCCACTAGACATTGTTCACTGGCTCGATCCTTTACACTGGTTGCATCGCATGCATCAAACTATCCATCCTGATGCTCTACCGACGACTTTTCCCGACAAAGGCAATGAAAGCTTTTGTTAATGTTGTAGGCCTGATTTTTATCCTTTGGGCCGCATGTGGTATTCTCTCAGGTTGCTTTACCTGTATGCCCACTAAGAAACTCTGGGAGCCCACCACACCTGGTGCCTGCATGGATCTCGGAAAATACTACTATGGTCTCCAAATTCCAAACATTGTTACCGACGCCATCCTTCTCGTTATGCCTATGCACACAGTCTGGAATCTTCCCATCTCAAAGGCCCAGAAAGCTGGTCTTTCTGGGATTTTCGTTGTCGGATTCCTGTATGTTTTCGGTCCGATACCTCTATCTTCCACTGTATATTTGTTAACACTACACAAGGACTCTGATCTTCGATATCATTCGCCTGGTCGCTCTCATTGACTTATCCAAAGAGGGGAACGATATTACATGTAAGTGAATTATCTTCAAACCATGACCGGTAAATGATAACCTCAAGAAGATAATCAAGTGAACTCGAGTGTCTGGACCTGCATCGAGCCTGCTGTCGGTGTTTTAGCAGCTTGCCTTTCAAACACTCGTCCCTTGTTCAAGGTCATGCATGAGAAGGTCTGGGTTCGTCGCATCAGCAATAATGGCACCGCCAATGCCAGCCAGCAGGAAATCGCAGGCGAGAAGCGCGATTGGGAACACAGAACTCCTAGCCCCAACTGCGAGACCACCAACTCAGACTCTATACTTCCCACAACAATAGCCCTTGTTAAGTGATATCTCGTTACCGAAATCTTCAGACATGTCATGTCATTCACTTGAATTCTTTTGCCATATTTTCCTACTTTGAGGCGCTCTGCGAACGGCGCAGGATATATTCTTCTTTTCCTTTCACTCTTTTTTACCCACTACCTACTAGCCTCTTGATCTATAAATTTTGAGCCAATTAATTGTGTTGTGATTGATCTTCGTTATACCCTATCCCCCTTTTTGGTTTCTGTTTTTACTTCATGTTCAAGTTTACACTTAGATATTTCTTTTTTGGAAAAAAACGACTCAATAGCACCATAGTAATCAATCATACACCTCTTGGCTTGACCCTCAAGCAAAGGTTCAAGTTCAAATTTTGTTTTAAATATTTTCACACAAACAGCCGATCTATTTCACATGTTGCCGATAGTCTAAATAAAATTATCCAAGGCCACCACCCTTCATGCCAATCAAATATCGTCGTAGCCGGTGCCTTCGCAAAGGCCTTTAGCCACGAATCCCGCCAGAAAATATCGCTGAATCAAAAGCCAACATAGGAATGTCGATCAAGGCCCAGAAAGTTTATTGGTTGGATCGACGAGGAATGTGTTAAGCCCCTCGTGCCAAGCGAGTCAAATGGGAGGAGCCGACGCCCCATTAACTTTCCGCATGACTGATAACGCTGCGTACTGACGCGCGAGATCATGCGTCCCAAATTCACACCGCGAAAATAAAACCCTTGTTAGCCCCGCAAATATTGTTACACAGCAGGCGTTAAAATGCGAGGGCTTGAAGATAGTAGCGACGTTCTGATGCGTGTTGGCCAAAATGCCGGGGAAAGGGTGAGGCATGGCTTGGATGCTTTTCTTAATTTTGCGGCTCGCGATAACGTGCTCGAGGTTGCTTTGGGTTTGATGTAAGTTGAATAAACCGCCTTTGTCGGTTTTTGTGGCATGGGTCTTGGGTCTCTTAATGATTTTGTACTAATGTTAAACTATAGAATCGCTAATGCATTTACGAAAGTCGTAACTTCATTTGTATCGGATATCGCATTACCGGTTGTTTCGCTTCTTCCCTTTTTGAATCGAAACATGGACCAGAAGTTTGCTGTCCTATCGCAAGGACCGCATTATGACACTGAGAAGGGCTATAATACAGTTAAACAAGCCAGGGATGACGGCGCGCTTGTTTTGGCTTGGGGGTATGTAAAGCAAGCTGTCAATCACTCCCAAAAGACATATTCAGATCAAAGCAAAGAGCTAAATAGGACTTACTGACATCGAGCGCAGAGGATTTGTCGAGAACATGTTAAACTTCCTGGGCGTTAGCTTGACCCTCTTCGCCATCGCGCACCTCTATATGCTCGTTTCTCACAACAAAATAATCAAACCTACGGTGCGGTGCAGATACTGCAAGAAATACATTAGTGTAGAGGTTAGTACTTCCTATACATCTTCTCGAATGAATTGAAAATTGACAAGAACACAGGCTTCGCGTTGTCTCAACTGTTCGAGTTGGCAAGATGGTAGAGAGGACCTACCCAAAGATGCCAATGATAGAGAAGATGAATACAGCTTATAGAGAGCTCATTTCATTGAAGCTACCAGATTCGTTTCATCTCATCTATTCTCACATCTGTTTGCTATTCTGTAAATTGCACATTTTATAATTTGTTCAAGCGCCCATCAACAGATTGTCTAAGGAAGGAGGCATTAATATCTTGAACTCGAGCAGTACCCGCCAATGCCATGGTACGACTCAGTTCGCGCTCCAAGATATTCATCACAGTCTCCACACCTTCCCTGCCTTTGTAGCCAAGACCCCACAATACAGGCCTTCCAACAAGAACAAAGTCCGCACCAAGTGCCAGCGCCTTAAAAACGTCACTTCCACGACGTACGCCTCCATCGAAGATGACCGGTATTCTTCCCTTCGCGACGTCCACGATTTCAGGCAATGCTTTGATTGTAGATGGAGCGCAGCCTAGCTGGCGCCCGCCATGATTAGACACTACAATAGCGTCTGCTCCGTGATCAATTGCAGCCTGAGCATCTTCTGGTGCCATAATTCCCTTCACAATAATTTTCATGTTCGTTGTGCGGCGTAGGAACTCCATAGCTGACTTCCATGTAAGCGAGGAGTTGTATTCTCTGCCATCAGCCTCGCGAAGTCCCTCGTCGTATTGTTGTTTATTTCTTGCATCCATCATCACGCGGTTGAATGTTGGTTTTCGTGAACTTGATGAGTTGTTCTTTGAGTTTGCCAATGTGATACCTTCGGGAAGAATCAATGGTTCTTTTCTCTCGTTGATGCGATTTCCAAGCACTGGGCTGTCTACCGTGAGGACAAGTGCCTGGTACCCAGCAGCTGTGACAAAATTAGTAAGATGAATAATTGAAACTAGAAAGTTTTTGAAAACATACCCTCTGCCCGTTTAATCAAGGGAACACTTAGTTCTAGCTTAGTGTGGAGATAGATTTGAAACCAATATGGCGGGGCTGGGCTCGAGGTCTGTTGGCGAGCAAAGATAACATCCTCGAGGGAAGTAGTGGAGTTCGAAGAAAGCGTCATGTTCACACCCATTGAACTCGCCGCTCTGGATACATCTAGCTCGCCTTCCGGACTAGCCAGTCGTTGCATCGCGGTGGGAGCGATTCCTATTGGAATTGGAAGCGTTTGACCAAATATCTTGACCGAGGTATCAACATGAGATACATCTCTGAGGACCCGTGGAAGAACGTACAGACTACATTGTGTTAATGATTTTTGGATTGAAGGTATATGAAGATTTGGTCTCACCTATCAAAGTCTGTACGGTTTGACTCTAGAGCCCGTTGATCATCAGCACCACAGGAGTAATAGTTGTAGGCTTGAGAGGGAATTTTTTGTCGAGCAAGATCCTCTACTTGATCAATAGTAATTGGATCATCCTGAGAAGGCATTGGACTCATTTTTATTATGAAGGCGCTCAAATTGAAGTGTTTGGAGATATTGAAAACTCAATTTCTCGCGATGTTGACAGTAGATAAGGGGCGGAAAATTATCCGATATCGGTCCCCTCATTTTCCCCCATTTAATTTGTGATTGTCCCCGCATCAGTCGAACATTTGAACCTCGTTGATTTTAATCACTTTCGACCACTTGCAAATCTGTCTAATTCAAGGTGCTCTTTATGAAAGAAAAAATCCAAGTCTTCATGCCTATCGTTCACATTGTTCTCTTTCAATTCAAGCCAGATGTCGAGGCTTCAGTAATCAACGATGTATGATGCCCATGTCTGCACGAGCGGCTGCGTCATCACACACACAAGAGGCTAATTTTACTCAAGACATGCAATCGTATGCTCGCATTGAAAGATAATTGTCTTCATCCGACATCTCAAAAGCCATATATCGAGACATCTTCGGGTGGGGCAGATAACTCCATTGAAGGAATTCAGGTAAGCAGAGGCCTGTGATCCTCTTTCCAAGAAGAAGGGCCAAGATTCGATGGAAACTTGCTTATCCGTGTATCTCATCTCATAGAAAGGAATTACCCATGCCTTCGTTGTTCAGTTCGCGACCGCAGAAGATAGAGACTACTATGTTCGAAGCGACCCAGCGCACCAGGAGTTTGTTCGGAGCGTAGGCGGAATTATTGAGAAAGCTCAAGTGATCGATTATACGCCTGGAACGTTTTAAGTTACCTATTATTAGATGAATGACCTCATGATCAGATGATCAAGCTTGGTCTTTAGCTTGAGCTGGAGCCAATTGAAGTGTAAAATCTTGATATCAAGCAAAGGGGACCATGGCTGGCATTCAAATGCCGTGTGCTTCATCACAATAAGAAATGGATCAACATCCAACCGCAGGCAGACAAGTAAAATAATCTAAGCCACTGCACATCACTAGGCTGATCTGGGGTAAGGACCTTTAAAGCGGAATGCGGGAGCTAAGAAGATGCCGACAAGCCAAGAACTATACGTAATAAGAACCGGAGTACCCCGACTGAGCACCTATAAATCACGGTATCCCCTTATTATATTGGTGCCAATCAAGAAATTGAAGATTAATATTCTCTCATTTCAATTATTGAATATCTTACATACATTCAAGTTGAAAAGAAACCACCAAAATGCGTTTCTATTTCTCCGTTCTTCCTGTATTTCTCTTGGCCTCCCACGTTATTGCCGGCGATATCGATGCCAACGATGTGCCTTCTGAATGCAAAGATGTCTGTGCTCCAGTAGTCAGTATAACATCCTCTTGTGACAAGAAAACAAGTGAAGATGATACTGCCGAGCTGAAATGCATCTGTGATGATCCCAGAGCAGCTCATAGTCTCCCACTATGTGATGCCTGCATGACCAAGTATGGCAAGGATGGCAGCGATAATGGTTAGTAAATTGCGCTTATTTTCTTGTCTTTATATATCCTGGTTTGCCCCATGCTAACTTTATTCATCGAGCCACTAGATGCCAACGACCTTGTTCGTTCTTGCTCGTTCACGACAACCTCTTACGATAGTACTATGGCTGCATCGGCGACTTCCACTTCTGTTATCGCCACTGATACTACCGGTGGCATGTCGGGAACTATGACTGATAGCATGATGAGTACCATGACTGGCAGTATGATGAGCACAGCGACTGGCGATATGATGAGTACTATGACTGAAAGTATGACCGGCGATATGACAAGCACTGGAGCTATGGGTAGCGGTACCCCAGCCGGGGGCTCGCCCAGTGCTGCTCCTACCTCTTCTTCAGGGGCAATGGGTAAAACTGCTGGTCTAGATACCGGTCTCACTGGACTAGCCATTGGTGTTTTGGCGCTTCTGGGCGCTTGAAATATCACTTACTGAGAGAGCTAGATAGATCGAAGAACACTAAATTGAACAGAAAAAAAGGAAATCTACTATCTAGTTGAAGAAAGACTTCTGCCTGTAATGACTAGCTGCGTGTTCATTTCTTTGATAAATTTAAGTTATTGTAGCAAAGTAAATCATAAATTCATTCCCAGCAATTCCGGATATCTCATTGAAAGCAATTTCATAAATCAGTCTGCACCAGCGTAAGACCCTTAGATAGTTCGCTGCGTAGTTCCATGGGTGTGGATATCAGAGTCCACGCGAGGATCGACCTTATTCGCCAAGCCAGAAGAGTGAGGACCAGTAGTAGCAGCAGTCGCCGTGTTACCGTAGCTGCTTCCCGCCATAGCCTGCTGACGAGCACGGCCATCCATATCCGAATCAATGCGGGGATCGGCCTTGTTGGCAAAGTTTGATTTATGGGGACCAGCAGTTCCTGGTGCTGGACCGGTACTGTAGGTGTTTCCTGCACCAAAGCCAGCACGGCCATCCAGATCCGAGTCAATGCGGGGATCGGCCTTGTTGGCAAGGTTTGATTTATGTGGACCGGCGGTTGTCGAGGCAGGCCCGGTGTTAAGAGGATGGCCTGAATGGAGGGTAGAGTCGCCGCGGGGGTCTGTCTGGTGAGCTAGACCTGCGTGGTGTGTACCAGTAGTTGTGGTTGGTGGTGTGGCGTGGTGGGTTGTTGAACCAACATGGGTACCAGCGGCTGTATGTGCTGGGGTGTGGTGGGTTGTCGAGCCGAGGTGAGTACCGCCAGTTGTAGCTACTGGAGTGGTGTGGTGGGTTGTCGAGCCGAGGTGAGTACCGCCAGTTGTAGCTACTGGAGTGGTGTGTTGGGTTGTCGAGCCGAGGTGAGTACCGCCAGTTGTAGCTACTGGAGTGGTGTGGTGGGTTGTCGAACCGACGTGGGTACCACCCGTTGCAGTTGCTGGGCTGTGGTGGGTTGTGCCACCGACATGAGTGCCGGTACGGTGGTGGTGATCCATATCAGAGCTCACTCTTGGGTCAGCTTTGTTGGCCATGTTGGAGCTGTGGGGGCCAGTAGTGGTCGCTGTGGTCCCTGTCGTTCCAGTAGTGGTACCAAGAGGGTGTTGATGGGTGGTGTTCGTAGCGGCTGAGATATAGTTAGCTTGAATTGTTCGTTAATGTCAAGTAGTTATTACGAACCAGCATTACTATCAACACGAGGGTCGAGCTTGTTGGCTAGGCTCGAGTTGTGTGGGCCGTTGTTGGCAGTGGTACTGCTGGTGCTGGTGCTGGTGCTGGTGTTGTGGTTGTGGTTGCCAGTGCCAGTCATGACCTCTTCGGCTTTCTTGAGGAGACCCATTATGAGTAGTGGAAATTGAGATTGGTGTGAAGATAATTGATTTGATATTCAAAGTTGCAAGTAGATGAAGATAGATGGTTGATAGATAATTGTGGCCATGAAGTAGGATGTTTATATAGAAATTTATTCAAAGAACTCGATCTATGATTTCTTGTACAAGAATTGTACAATTATGACGTTTTAGTTGAACAGTCATGATGGATGGAATGTGCAATACGACTGAAAAGGCAATTGATCTTTCATTGTACAGACGTTGTTTGGATGTGCCGTCGGTGGCGTTTGCCTAACCAGTTTTGCCACAGGTTCATGCAGGAAAAACAAGAACAGGTACTTTTTACCCAGCTACCAATTACTGTTTGGCAGGGCTAGCCAATGTCATAAAATATCAAAAAGAAAGTAAATACCAACACTGTTTATTTCATCATCATTTCGTAGATTCTGCTATATGCTCCTAAATATAGTAAGGGGCAGTCCATACAAGAAAATAGTAGAGGGGTGACATAAGAGAGTAAGAATCTTGTAATGATGACCAGTCTCACAAAGAATCTCACATGCTCTACCTGGGCAGCAGTACACCAAGATTCAAACTTCAAGTTATTCAAAGCTTCGACCGTACTGAACTCGCCGTGGCACCGGTTCCAGTTGATCCTATAAGTCCCCCATCAACAACAATATTCTGTCCAGTGATATACTTCGAAGCCCGACTAGCCAAAAATGCCACACAATCAGCAACATCAAACGCATCCCCCATACTACCCTGCGGTACATTATGTTCTGTGATCTTCCTGTAGATTTCCCGATCCTCGTCCGATTGGCTGTTGCCTAGCATCTCCAGTAAAGGCGTATACACCATCCCCGGCGCAACAGAGTTCACTCGAACGCCTCTCCCCGCGTACATAATCCCACTAACCTTGGAAAAATGGATAACTGCCGCCTTGGCTGATGCATACGCCACCTGCGGCTTGCCAAGGTACCGCATCCCAGCGACCGAGGCGTTATTGACTATCGAACCCGATCCTTGTTTTTCCATTATTGGCAACACGGCTTTGCAGGTTAGAAAGACCGTTTTCAGGTTTAGTTGGATTTGTGCGTCCCATGCTTCTTCGGTCATGGTACCTGGGTCGCCTGCTCGGGTTCCGCCGACATTGTTTTCGAGGATGTCGATTCGGCCATGCTCGTTGATAATGCTATCAATTGCTTGCTTGATTTCGGAGTCGTTTGTTGCGTTGAGTTGGATTGCGGTGCAGGATTGTTTTGGGGAGTAAGAGTGGATTCGGGATGCTGTACGTTGTGCTGCTTCGAGGTTCACGTCGCAGGCGATTACTTTGGCTCCTGAGTCGGCTAGGACTTTTGCGATTGCTGCTCCGTTGCCCCAGGAGTTGGAGTTGGTGTTGCCTGATTGTCCTGCTCCTATCACTACGGCGACTTTGTCTTTTAAGTCGGGGTATATAGGGGATTCATCTCTAGAGTGGAGCTTTAGTCTCCTATGTCTAGGACGAAGTGGAAGTATTCTCACCTAGAAGCCATGGTGAGTAATTTGTGTGGTGTTTCAGGATTATCGTAATATTGTGTTCTATGTCGATGGGTTGTCTTGCTGTTGTGGGGGAAGTCTTAACAACTGTCTCGGACTTGACGCCGAGTTTACATGCCCAGCCAGCATAAGTACATAGTAGTTCAGAAAATCGATTTTCCCCGCAGTTACATATCATCGCTTTCAATCCTATTGGAGACCTGATTGTTGAATATCGGATTACTTCTCTTCCCCGCCCGGTGATGTGCCGGTGTATGAAATTGCTTCAAACCGAACAACACGAGGCGTCGTCATAGAGAGCCCCTATCTTCTACGTAAAAAAGCAGTTCTGCTGCGATTTCGGAGCACGTAGGCTTTGTAATATCAAGTGTCCCTTGCGTGCTACTCCATAAGGTAATCAGACTTTTTTCTGCAGTGGTTTCATTCATGTTGATTGTTTACTGTCTCTCCCCAACCTCAATCGTATACCCAGTGACAACCTTGGGAATACTAGACCCTGAGCCTTCATTCCCATGATGCTCTTGTCCACACCTTCACTATGAGTCTAACTACGAAGTGTCTCATGCCCCCATAAAATTAGCTTGTCTTCTCCACCCTTTCTAAACAATCCCGAGTGTGGGTCCGAAATTGCCGGCGACGGAGAAAAGCGGAATCATTTACCCACAATTACTAGTACATATGTAGCTATACAGATGAAGTTTTGATGATTATACAAACAAGGAGCAGAATCATCATTTAGTAATGTCCATTGGCTATCTCAAGACTCCAGGCAAATGAAAATAAAATCATTAAAACATAGCGAGAAAACACAGCCTGATATATTTGTGTTCGCCTTGAATCCCATCGGACCTGAATCTATCCCACCAAAATTTACATGCATACCCCCATCATAGACGAAAGAACAAAGCATCCCCTTCTATCACAACAAGAAAAAAAAATACACAGCTTTGGAGAAGAAGATAATTAGCTGTAGTTGTCGAGCCCAATATCAAAAGAAAAGGTTCTCATAGATATGGTATAAATACCCTGTTGACACGGGCATTGGCGAGTTGCTGCGCAATGCTTAAGTGGTCAACTTGGCGGGGACGGCCTGGGAGGCAGGAGCGCCGGAGTACAGGACGATCAGAATGACCGACAGGACAGCACCGCCAGCGATAATCCTGGCCTTGCCAGGGTTGGTGCGTCGGTATTCACCGACCTGAAGGCGGACATCGGTAGTGAGAGACTGCATCTTCTCGGCACCGAGCTTGTAGTAGCAAAGACCACCCAGGGCAATGGAGTATCCGAAGAACTGCAGGGGAGTGACGGGGTCATGGAAGATCATCATGGAGGCGCAAACCAGCAAGATGTCCTTTAGGATACCAGCCATGGTCAGGACGACGGCGGAGGTCTTGCCAATCAGGAGAACAACGGAGGCGTTGAGCAGGAAAGCAACCAGGGCGTTGACGAGGAGCGTGCCAACACCGAGGCCGTAGATGTCGGCCATGCTCATACGGGGAATGTCAGTGAACAGGGTGACGACACCATTGGCGACGGCACAGGCGGGTGCGTAGTAGTAGAGAGAGACCAGAGGGTCCATCTTGAATTCAGCGGAGCTCAAGAGGCGCTGGACCATAACCAGACGCAGAGCCTCGAAGATGATACCACCGACCTGGATAAGGAAACCAAGCATGTCGAACTGGATCTCGCCGAAGGAGGCAATCACGACACCAACGACAATGATGGTAACGTTTCCGAGGGTCTTGAAGTTGGTAGGGGCGATACCGAAGGCCCAAGTGGCAAGCAAAGTCACGACGGCGTTGGTGGCCTTTGTAGTCGAGGGTCAGTTATATGTCTGGGCATAGGCATTTAGAGTATGTAGCAAGACTCACCTTCAGCATCTGAATGAAGGACACACTAAGATACATGTAGGCCAGGTTACCACAGATCAGACTCAGACTGAACATGATACCAATGGGCACAATGGCGCGACTATATCCCCGAAACATCAGCATTGGTTTGTCATATTAAAAATCCGTTCGTTTGTAAGGTGCGGCACTCACGCGTAAGTGCTGGGGTTCATTGGGACCTTGTGGCGAGAGTCAAGAATGTTGGTGAAGCGAGCCAGACCCTGGGTCATCGCGGTAGCGAAAACCATATGCCATGTTGTCAAGAACAGTGCTGAGCGGGAATAAATATTAGAATCGTGGTTTTTCCTTCAAGATCGGCTAGAATGCATGTTGAAGAGAGACCAGGGTATTCAAGTGGCGAACTTACGGAAGTCTAAGAACGGATTCAATTAGCAAAGAGTCCAACAACGAGATTCAGGAGCAAATGAAGACTTACGGAACTGGGCACGATCCAAAACCCATTTGTTGAACAGAATGACACTGGAACTCAGGGCAATCCACAAACTAGGCCAGTCTTAGTATGAAGCGAACAGGGGATGGAATTGTTGAGAAAGACCCACGCAATGTAGAAACCTGGGTGCAAGCCCTGGTTAGGAGCGGGAGCAGCGTTTCCGCCCTCGAGCTTGCGTTCATCCTGAGAAGAGCGACCGTTTGCCATGATGAAAATGTATGTACCTGCAAAGGAATGACTATGGTGAGTTGTGCAGGAGAGAAAAATGCAAGCATTTAGGGGCTTAGGGGCAAGATATGATCGTCGTGGGCGGTGTGGATTGGCGGTGATGGTGATTGGCCAGAGTTAGAGTACACGTTGACGCGGCGTGGAGCCCCCTTGTGTGTGTTTCAGGTTTTGCACAGGGTCTTCCCGTGTTGCTTGTTCCAGGCGAAATCTTGCTAGTGCACGGAGTAGAGTTTTTATTTTATTCTAATTTTTATGTTATTGCTTTTTTGTTCACCCCTAGAAGCAGATGTTCCTTTTGGTTGGACCCCTTTTTTAAGGCTGTGGGCCACTTGAGATCTCAGCCACGCTGAATTACAGGTCATTTTAATGATCTTCATCTACCAAACGCACACTTTACGCGAGGGTTTTTATTTTAATTTAAAATTTATAGAGAAAAAAAAAAGAAAATTCGACTTGATATCACGACATTCCCTCGATTTTATCTATGAAACAGGCTAGACGGCTAATTTAGCAATAGTCCCCATATCACTTCACAAGAAGACGCTTGGGCCAATAGGAGATAATGAATTGCCGATACTACATCAATCGATACATAAGGAATACTCTACATAGGTACATAGGCTACGTACCTTACTTATCATACAAGTACTTAAAGCACTTCCAGGTATGCGCCCAGAGAAATTCGCAGCCGGATAATATCCCATAGTCAGATATCATGTTTGAAAAAGCTAAGAGAAAATTCTAATCCTCGTAGGCCATTTTGAAGTAACTGCGAACATTAGTAAAGCCACCGAGGCAAAGGCAATAGAGACTTACCTTTCATGTAGTTCCGTTGGAAACACGCAGACAACGCGCTCTCTTTTGTCATAGTAGCGAGCCCTGTTTCCCTTTATTGCTTCGGCTAAAAGCCATCCGTTGTCGTAACATTCTTTGATACCCGTATCGTTTGGGTCGAAGTCGATGGCTTTTTTTGCGACGACTATGCGCATAGCTTGAATAGCCTCGTGTGAGACAGATGACATTGGTAGGGAACTCTTGAATTGAAGATTGGGGATTTGGCCGACGTGCTCTAGGTCATTGAGACAACTCTCGACTTCATCTTTCCCAAGCCTGAAACCGGCATTCATCAGTGGATCACGAAAAACCTGAAGCCAAAATTAGCAATATTCATAGAACGGACAGCCTCTTTCTGAAACAAGACATATTTACATGATGTAACAACTGTAGAATACCATTCACCGCTCCAGGATGCCCTCTCGTCACTTCAAAGATCCTGTTCTCCGCAGACAGCTCTAAACAAATCTTCGGGTTGCGGATAGCAGCAGTGCAATAGCGGCGGATGACATCGTCGAACTCAACTCGAGTGAAGAACAGCCCAAAAGGAGGAGAGTCCCCGGCTGCAGATGGTAAGACCGATACTCTGTGTCGGGGAAAGAAAGGGCCGGATTGAAGATGACCGAAAGACTCTTGATCCGTCCCAGAGAGTGGGCTCCCACCACAAGAAAACAGACAGATTCGGGCTTTGTACTGACGTTGCAGGGCCTTCAACACGAAACCCTTCCAGAATTCCATGTCATGAAACGATGTCTCCGCGTCGTCAATGATAAGCACGTAGTCGCCTACTTCAATGAACGATGGGACATTGAATCTTTGGTCTTGCTTGTATCCTGCATCCATAATTTTGAGCTCGTACCTTGCGCGGCCTCTCCAGTTATCGAAAAAAAGAACCGTTGTATTGAGACTCACGTAGTGAGTTTTGAGAAACTGAGCAAGGATGGTTTTCCCAGAGGCCGGAGTGCCTCTGACATGCACAACGCCCACTTTATTGAGAGTCCGCGCGAGTTCCTGTACTGTGTGGATTCGAGGTGTTAGGAGTGGATCAATTGAGGGCAAATTGTCAGCTGGAGCGAGATGAGACTGTGACCAGTACCCGTAGGGTGTACCCATGTTGGAAACTTGAAGCAACTTGGAGGCTATGTCAGACTCGGACGAGTAATGGGGGATTCTGTAGGCGAAGTGAAAGAATCAAAACGAGGAAATCAGCGCCGGCCTCGGGAGGAAAGATGTTGCTGTAGACTCGTACTACAGATGAGAAAGCATTATTGTTTCGGTTCGACCTTGGAAATTGTCAGGTGCGAAAACTTGAAGTGAGGAAAGAAGTTCAGGGATGGATCTTTGTTTGGATCACAGTTACTAGTAGTAAGTCGTTGGTATATCCGGAGCACCAACCGCACTTGCCTCAACCAACAAACTTACATAGTATAGTAGATATAAATATGCTACATATACACCTGGGCATTTGACAACTTGGACTCAATATTTTCTGTTTATCCCAACATTATTCTATATTTAATCATTGAGCCTTCAAATATTTGCCAACAAAAAGCAACGAGAATATAAATAAGGAAATGGCTGGCAAAATTTCTGATCATACTGAGCCCAATTTGCATATGTAGTATCGGCTGATACCTATGTACCTAGTACTCCAGGGCTCTGAGGGCCCCAGGGTTCATACATAATATTTCCACGCCCCAATACATAGTAGGTACCATGGATCCAATCAATGTATCGTTCCGCTATGAAGTCAAAGATTCCCCACAATCGGAATTTATCCTTCTCAATCCATTCTTCAGAGAGAGCGATATCCGTATAAGTGCGGCTCCTGCATAGGTTACATTATTATATGATGTAGTCTGCATGCATTACACAGCCTCTCGCGATATGCATTTGGGACGATCCAGGCGTGCCCCACACCCAGCCGGAATAAAGGTATTTGAAAACACTAGAATACGCTAACAAATAGTGGTTTTCCCCAGTAAAATAGAATTACGTAACATTCTTACCGTACACCCACGCCCAAAACGGTAAGGCGTCAATCATATAGAGTGGGTCTTGGCCGAAAACGCTAATCTATGGATGGCTGGATGGATAGATCATATGTATCAACATAATAGATCGGCCGTTTCCAAATTCTATGTCAAAGCGGAGTAGGTTGTAAGAATGTTCAGGAGGTTTTTCAAAAGATGAGAATGCTGCAGAACCCTGATGGAATAATTCCCCCTTTCCCCAGTTCAAGCCTCGGCACACTAAGCGTGGATTGCAATCTTCAATGATGTCCTTTTACTCCCTAAAACTCGGGATATTCCTCGGTTTGGTAGTTAGTGCCCCTTTAATTCAGGCATTTGGCGACTCACCATGTCGATGCTTTCCCGGTGATGAGTGCTGGCCCTCAGTCGAGACTTGGGATGGCTTCAATCAGTCTGTCGATGGACGCCTTGTCGCAACTGTGCCTCTCGCAACTCCCTGTCACGCTCCGAATTACAATCTCCTAGAGTGTGAGAGTTTAAAGAATGGTTGGCTCTTGCCAGAAGAGCAGTAAGTGGTTGTTTTGGCTTGGATTATGTGAAATTAATTACTGATAACTAGCAGCTATAAATCCTCATCGTCCTTTATGGCCCCATTTTTCACAAATGGAACCTGTGATCCGTTTCACCCCATCTCCAAGCCGTGTACCCTCGGTAACTTTGTTCGATATGCAGTCGATGTCTCTACTCCAGAGCATGTAGCGAAGACATTGCAATTCGCGACAAAGCATAATATTCGTTTCATTATTCGCAACACTGGTCATGAGTGAGATCGCCCTCTATTTTCAATATACTTCTCTTTTATTTTTTGTTTCCTTCTGATATATTTTAGCTACAATGGCAAATCAACTGGTGCAGGCGCCCTTTCGGTCTGGACACACCATCTAAAGGAGATTGAGTTCAAGGACTGGAAAGATGAACATTACACAGGGAAAGCTGTCAAGGTTGGTGCCGGTGTTCAAGGAATCGAGGCCTATGAGGCAGCACACGCCCGTGGTCTGCGTGTAGTAAGCGGGGAATGCCCTACTGTCGGTATGGCTGGTGGATACAGTCAAGGCGGAGGACATTCGACCTTATCATCAAAGTATGGATTGGGTGCTGACCAAGTCCTCGAGTGGGAGGTTATTGACGGCAATGGGAGATTCCTCGTTGCAAATCGCCATCAAAACACTGATCTCTTCTGGGCCTTATCTGGCGGAGGAGGAGGTACCTATGGTGTTGTTTGGTCTATGACATCGAAGACCCATCCCGATAGCCGGGTATCTGGGTTCAACCTTACATTTGCAGCTCTTGGTATACCTCAAGATACCTTTTACAAAGCGGTTGAGTTCTACAATGCTCTGCTGCCTTCTATCGTTGACGAGGGAGTTGTGAGCTTGAACGTGATCAGTAGCGTGGGTTTCGCTATCATCCCTATGACTGGACCTGGTATTCATCTGGAGAAACTCGAAAGCCTCATTCAGCCCTTTCTCGATGAGCTGAAAAATCTTGGAATCATTTATACCTACCAAGCAGAGGATTTTGGGTCTTATCTTGAGCAATACAGTGCTCAAATACCGCTTGTAAAGGTCGGAGTGGATATGTACGGTTCCTGGCTTCTTCCCAGGTCACTTGTCCAAGATCCCAAGAGCAACAGTGAGCTGACGAACTCCATTCGCTCCATAATTGCCAAGGGCTCTACCTTTTCCACTGTTGCTCTTAACGTGTCGAAGGAAGTTGTGGGAGATGTGCACAATGCTGTGAACCCTGCGTGGCGGAACGCAATTGCCCACACATTCATAACGACCAAATGGGAGTTTGATCAGCCGGAGAAAATGGCCGAGAACCGTAAGCTTATGACCAATGAACTGGTCCCTAGCTTGAGCAAACTAGCACCCGAGTCTGGTGCTTATTTGAACGAGGTATGTATGGGTCTTTCGGTTTCTGTCTTGATCTATGTTGAATTGTGCTAACTAAATTATTTCAGGGTGATTTTAACCAGCCTAATTGGCAACAGGCATTTTATGGTGATAATTATGCTACACTTCGTGGAATCAAGGCCAAATATGACCCCCACTCTCTCTTTCACGGACTGACGGCTGTTGGATCCGATGAATGGACTGTTTCGGAAAATGGACGTATGTGCCGGGCATATGGTCCTTAAAAGTTAGATTATAATTGTACATAACTCGATATTCGGTTACTATTTTTAATCACCATTGAAAGTTTGAAATTTGCATTGAATATAGTAGTGGATACTTGATTCCTCAATACCAGTAGACCAATATGCATATAGGCAAATCTCTAGTATACTATTTTACTAGATAACTATGGATTATGTGTCGACAGTAGCTTTGAGCTGCAATTTCTGTCGTATGAACTTGAAAATTCCCAAAATAGCATCTGCTGTCTCATGGTACCGAGCCCATGGCCCAGTTGATAACATCGCTTGTTCAATAAGCTCATTGTAGTCCGGCACAAGTGAAGCGAGAGCCGGTGTATCCCTTGCTATTGACAAGACAAATACCGCTGCTAGCAACCTGTTGAAATGCGATGTTAGTACAAATACTCAGGCTGATTTCAAGAGTCCAAGAATAAGACTAACGCTTGCAATCTTAACCATACTGAATATGTTCTCCTCTTGAGAAGAGGTACAGATGCAATGATGAGATTCCGACAAGCGTCCACACACGCCTTGCAATTAGCCATAGCATAATCACTTGATGGAGTCTCTTGAAACTGTGCAGCAAAAACGAGCCATGGTCTACAAATGACGTGTGTCGCAGCGTGGTATCGTGATCGGAGTTGACAGTCCTGTAGATCAAGGGTATTTGGGACTTGAAGATCTGGTTTGATAGTATCTGGAAGCGAGTCGAACCACACAGCAAGCTGCCTCTTGAGCTCTAAGTTCACGGACTCCAGCGAAGCAATTGATGAATGATGGCTTGAACTCCTTGGGTCATCTGTGTTTCGTTGAAAGGCGATTATATTGAGCTCGACTGGTTTGTTTGAATATATGGTACTATGGATGCGATTAAGAAGTTTTCTCATGGAGCACATCGCGAGAAATTTCAGGTTGATAGGATCAGCTGGATCGGTAAATTCTGGAAATGGCAGTCCATCTACCAGGGCTTCTATTCCGCTGCGAGGGAAATGAAACTCAGCAAGATCATCGCTTAAGATGTCATATTAGTTAGTAAAATTCACATTTTCTATAATGATGGAAGGTACTTTACCATTCGAGTATGTAGCATGCCCAAACTATCCGAATTACCATAGTATGTTTTCCGGGTGGAATTGCCTTGTCTTGTACACTGCAACTACTTTCAGTTCATGGCTAAAGAGAATAGAAAAGACGAACATACTAAGACAACGCCAATTGAGCCGCTGTTGAAGCCGAATGTATGCATTTCCAAGCTTGAAGGGGTCGGCATCTGAAACGAAAATAAATAGAAGCATAAAGAAATGCTAGCGGCATGTTCAAATCTCTTGAAAATGGGGCCGTCTCCATGCTGTTCAAGATTTGATGAGCATGTGCAAAGTATTCTGTGCCATTACCAGTCTGTGAAGACTCCATATCAAAGTCTGCGTTAGGATCCGCACAAATTTCACCTAAAGCAAGCACCACGAGACAAATCGCTGCAGATATGTTCGACTCTTTATTTTGTAGAAAATTTTCAAAAGTAACCAAAAACGGTCCATGCTCTAGTATGGGGAACTGAGAATGCACATGAGTGAAAAAGCTAGATATCAAAAGGTCGATCATCGTGCAGTCGGAATTCAATCTTTCAATAATCGTCACATACGACAATCGCGGAACCAAGGGTCGTAGTTTGCGCCCTGACTCCAGTATCAAAAAGTAATCTTGTGGATATTCACCAACAAGCTTTTGAATTTTGTCAAGTGTCAATAAATTTCCCGTGGGGGTTTGGTGTCCCAATGGAATGAGGAGCGGTCCATCTTCGTTATTATCGTATCTCATTCGCACGTTCCTAGAAGGTCGGACTTCATGTATGAGAGACGAGTATGCCGGGAAAGCAAGAGGATCATATGGCCTCTGCATATGAGATGGGCTAAGATTAGAAGGATCCGGAGCACTTGGACTAGGACCACTCGCAAGTAGACGTTCAGATATAGTCGTGATCATTGTTGACTGTTGTCTAACAAGATTTTCCAATTGCTCTAATCGCTCTAAAATTTCTTGAGTCTTATCTGCCTCAGATCTGTTTTTTGAATTAGCGTCTCATTACTTGGTACAGGGTGCGATAATTTCTAATACTTTTCATTTGGTCCTTCTTGGTACTCGCATTGGGCTCCGGCATTAGCACAGAACCCGCATGACGGTCGTTCACCATCGCATTTGCGTTTCCTGAAAAAGATTATGATTAGGCATCCTGATAACTGGATAAAGGTATTAACTAGGCTTACCGATGTCTACAGAATTTGCAGGCAATCTGAGCTCGTTTTCGGGGGAACTCCATTTAGATACTTGCAGATGCTTGGGGGGTTTGGTGGAGCGGGGGCGGGAAAGCGGGAGAGAAGCCGAAGCTAACGACTGACTGCCAATCGATCTTAATAATCAAAGCAGACTTGTTTGTTGATGTACGAAAATCTATCTACCCCAAATATTTGCTAATGTGTGACGTTCCAGCATAGTTCACATGTCTCAGTACGGGTTTACTCCAGCTAGTCGGAGCAGCTGGTCCGTATACTCGGGCTCCTCAACCGGCCTAGTCCGATTGCGTGGATCCACGGCCCCATCAGGGAGGTATATGATGTTATCGCGGAGCATAATATTGTCATGAGGCCAGTGCGCCGTTGCCCGGAACGATCCAAACGCTTCTTTCTTTCGTTCTAGAGCCTCTTCGGAAGCTAAGCTGGCTGGCGAATACGATACATAGATGACCGTTCGAATAGTATTACTTTGGGGGGTTGGCTCACCACCCCAGTGGGCAGTACGTGAATCCCATAGGATCAAATCGCCAGGCTCTGCAAGGACCTTCATGGGCTTGACCCCACGAGCCTGGTACCATTCCATTTCCTCTTCGCTGAAGAATCTAAAATCTCTTTCCTGCCAAGTTGATGGATCAACTTGGGTGTCAAAGAATTCATCAGACAAGGCGTTAGATTTGGGGAGCAAAATCAACGAGCCATCTTCGGGTCCTGCATGGCTGAGATTGATAATCCCTTGGATACAGTGGAGACCGCGGCGAAGTGGCGATTGGTCCACATGAGGCCATGGTGCCCTAGTCGGTTTATTGGGCAGAGTGATATTAAGACCATCGAAGGAGACGAGTAATTCATCCGTGCCCCAGATTTTAGCAAATGCCTCTAGAACCTTCGGCTCCAGACGTGCCTCCCACATAAACTTCTCGTGTGCAACACTGTAAGCAAAGTAGTTGTTGGCCCCACCTGCAATTGGGAGATTTTCCTTGGTCCATGTCGAGGGATTGTCGTAGTCAATATTCGGGCTGAGATCTTGAAGCCAGTCTAGCGACTGCTGTTGATAGTATTTCGCTTTCTCCGGGGCTATCGCATTTTTGATGACGACGAACCCTTCAGATTCAAGTTCATCTCTGAAGTCACCATAGGGGCCTTCAATCCTGGCTCTGGGGTTAGTCATTGTAAATTCAAGCACCCTGGAAACTCTATACATGATACATACTTGAAGGGTGAGCGATTAATCGGTTTGGTCACGGTCTTGGTTGTAGTTGTAGTCATGTTCGGAGAAATAATTTACGGCGCTCGGTTTGTAAGATCTCCTGGGTTTCAATAAAAACTTTCCAATGATTTGAACCTTGAAAACGCGTCCCGAGGCGGCCTTTATACCCCAACAGAACTGAAAAATTGACAATCTCCTCGGCGTTATATCGGGACATTGCAGATCTGACCCATACATAGTGACAGCGGATCTCAACGGATAAACGGGCCACCATCCCACCTAGTAGCTCCAACCACAGTCTAGCAGACGAGAGTTTCATGCAATGTTGTATCTGGCTTGAATCTAGCGTGGATTTTAGGTTAATAGGGTGCGATGTGGCACTTGGACTTGGCTCAAACAGCTTGGGTGCAGCAAGTCTCATCTTGGAAGATAAGTAATGGCTGTATTCTGTATAAGATGTGGTCATTCGATCTCGTCTAGAAGACTTCGCCCTATCCGAGACCTTCTGTAGTGCATTTTTTCTTTACTTATTTTGGTTTGGAGGCTACTTGTAGAATGATCTTTTAAGTATCTTTGTTCGTCACTGTAGTGATCCAAAATATCTAAAAATACAATTTATGCAAGAAGTGTTCCAGAACAGACTGGATAACACATGAAAACAAAAAGAATACATAGCTCCGCCAATCACCCGATTTCAAAATCAGATTTAGGGAGATATCAGAAGGGAAACATCGCTCAATATGGTCCAGACACCAATTATAACAGAATATCAAGGATCAGGACGACCCTTCAACAAAAGTAATGAACTTGTTTACTCCTTCTTGTCCTCCGTGAACCCGTCTTCCGCGAGGACCTTGGCCTTGTGCAGAACTTGTTCACTAGGCATCACGGGGCTACGGCCAAGCTTCAGCTGACCGTGCTCAACGCCATCAATCCAGGACTCGGCATAATGAGCGTCATGTACATCCTGCCAAAGGATCTTCACCTGTAAGGGATCTTCGGGGCGAGAACCCTCTGGATCGCCGATCTTCACATCCACATCCATGAGGCTGCTGTTGTTCAGGATCTCCTCAAGTTCGGCGACACGGGCTCCACGCTTCTCCTCCAGCTCCAGTGCTTGGTTGAAGGCTTCGCGGCGGCGGCGACGCGCCGCCTTTGTGAGGTATCCAGGCTTGTCGGAGCGCTCGAGCAGTCCATTTTCGATGGCTTCTTGCTGGATACCCAGGACAGCCGCAATGTCTGCAACAGAGGTCGCCTTCTGGTCCATCAAGACACGGGCGCGCTCCTTCTTCTCCATTGTTTGACCAAGTCGCTTCTTGTTGATTCTGTCGAACTTCTCTGCTTCAACGGGATCCCTTGGTCGCTTAGCTGTGAGGTACTCTTCTGTTACAGTGATCATCTCTTGGGGCGGAGCGAGCTGTCGTTGCATTGAAAATTCACGGAGCAGGTGGTATGCACGCAAGCCCAACCTTGAGCTGCTGAAGTGGACGGAGTAGTATGGCACCCACATATCACGACGGAGCTCGGCGGGTATGGTTTTCTTGCCATGGTAAATCATCTGGCGGAGGACGTTGTTTTCCTAGGGAAAGAGAAAAATTGGTCAGCATGTTGCTCCAACGACATATAGTTATTGGTGTCACTGCTAGGGAATGCTCAACAGTCACTGCTCACCTCCAAATACCGAGTCAGCGAATACACGACCTGCTTTGTGCGCACATTATGGTAGACAAAGATGTCCTTGCCATGTGTGATTGCGTTCAGCGCCTTTTGCAATCGCAGACCCTCGCGCTTCGCATACTCCTTGAATGCATTGGAATTGGGATCACGGATCTTCCCCTGGATTGTAGTTTTGGGATCAATTGGTGGTTTGCGGATAAATTTCGACAAGCTCGCAAGTTTGGTCGAGTCCAGGATCTTTTGGACTGGTTTGGTAGTTGACGAGGCCATTCTGGCCTATATGTGTGTGCGAAAGCACCCAGGGGTCCGATTGGGCGCAACGTAAAGGGATAACGAGTTGAGGCTGGGATGTTGGATCGAGAGTCTGTGTTGACGGTGAAGTCGAAGTCAGAGGTGGATTTTTTGACGGGGCCGGCTGTTGTCTTGGCATTTCTTGCTCTCCGCACTTATCAGTCTGCTCCAGGCAGTACTCCTTGAGCCCACGTCCTTCTAATTTCATAGCTCACCACCATGTCACTTTACTGAGTGATCCTCCGGCCCTCTCGGACTTTTACCCCCGTCTCCAGCAGACTCGATGGATAGCTCGGTCGCGGACCCGGAACATGAAACGGGCTCTCGCAAAGACCGACCGTGGCTCTATTCATCGGTATGGCATGCATGCACCCATAAGGGGATGAGTGGAATCAGAGAAATGTCCTAACAATAATCTAGAATCGCAAACTACGCCACCTGCATGGCATCTCCGTGCGTAACTTGGTAGTTACGCGACCAAAAAATCGAGCGCGTGGAAAAACAATTGATGACGACGACATCCCCAATGCCCTGCAATCGCCGTCAAAGATCCTCGCACAGAATGAAACCCGCTCTTTACATCCTTCGCGTTCCTTTACCGAACTCAAGTCGCACGCGAAGCAAGATGGCCATGCAAACCCGACGCCCGAAAAGCGCAACCCACGCCGTCGCAGCACCCTTCCTTGGAACGACCCCAACCCTCGGACACGGCAAGTTAGTCTAGAAGACATTACGAAAACGCGGATGGCGGACACATGGGCTTCGATACACTGTGATGGACTTGACGGTCCAGTCTATATCACCGAAGAAGTGACTAGGACTACCAATCCTACGTTCCAAGCTTTTGACCTGAACTTCTGCGGCCCTAGAATATCCCGGCAGGACAGATTGACGTTAAAGCTCTGGACCAAGACGGAGGCAGTCCCTGAGTATGTGTTGCTAGTAGAACTACAGCTAAATCTACGGTCACTGCAATTTCTGGGTAAAACCATCGAAAGCTTCCATCAGCCACTCCCTACGAACTCCATTCTGTTTCACTTCCCGGATGGAGTGTACACGAATCTGACGGATATCCCGCCTAGCGAGGCCCCTCTCAATGGTGCTGGTCAGCGATCTACCTTCGACGGAGTACCTCTGCCTACTTCCTCCTACGACGCATTGATGCGATTGGCAAACTTAGACGAATGTATTCAAGATGCGCTGGCGACTCGAGAAAAACTGGAACATCAAATTGGTGATATTCTCAAAGGGAATGATGGTGCGTTGGCTACTGCGAGTGACGCGTCGAAGGCACTCGATCGTCTCAATTCTATCAAACAAGCAGTTGCTGCCGAGCGAAAGCAATTTCGAGTCACTTCGAAACGCAAAGAAGACTTATTATCAAGTATCAAATCTCGGAAAGAAACTATGAATCAAGGCCGCGTTTCCCAGGATAAAGCTCAACGTCACCTCCCCGACGCACAGGAAAAGTTGGTCTCTAGTGAACAATTGCTAAACTACAACTCGGAAGAGACTAAGGGTCAAGTCCGGCGTATAGCCGAAGACCTTATGGTTATTTATCCCATTGAACCTGTTCCTGATAAAACACTGGCTTTCACTATCGCCGGTCTCCCTCTTCCAAACTCCCACTTTGACGATATTAATCGTGAGGTAGTCGCAGCAGCACTTGGATTCACCGCTCACCTGGTATACTTGCTATCATTTTACCTCTCGGTGGCTATTCCTTACCCAATAAGCCCCAACCAGTCAACCTCCTTGATTCAAGATCATATATCCCAAGATCTTCCACAACGAACATTTCCCCTATACCCCGTCAGCGTGCATTACCGCTTTGAGTATGGCGTCTTTCTCTTGAACAAAAACATTGAGTTTCTACTCAATAAATCTGGCATCCGAGGCTTGGATATCCGGTACACTCTTCCCAATCTCAAGTACCTCCTCTATATCTTAACAGCAAGCACCTCAGAAATACCAGCTCGAAAAGCAGGTGGCATTCGAGCACTTCTTTCTGGTCGGATGACCCCGACGCTTTCTCGTCGTGGGAGTGTCGAGAGTGCAGCATCTGGTGAATTGGTTCAACCGCGGAAAGCTTGGGATTTAGTGTCCAGGATGAACGGGAATCTTAGTTTGGCTCATGGGAGAGGGAAGCCCGCAGTACCGGCCCCCCAGCCTCTATCTTCGCGTGCTGTATAGATTTTTTTACTTTCCTTTCTTTCATGGTCCCGGTGATTAATGGCAATCGAGTTGCTGTATACAATGTATAGCGTACATAGCATATTGAGCGAATTGGTGAATACATGGATGGGGCTCGGAGTAAGTAGTATTGCATAAGTATCAAATATTATTTGACAATTCGGACCCCAACATGAGAAGGCTTTACGGCTAGTATGATAAACATACGAATACTAGATATGCATAATGTTGGGTACGAAGACAGGTAACCTGCATTCTATATATTACATATCACTTATTAGTAGTATGATGCTTATCACCTCTGTCACGCTCACGATGATAACCCTCTACGGTCTACCTATTTAGCAAAGGCCATGGATGTAACTATCACAGTTTCAATTACCCCGCAGGAGGAGATACTATTATACAATGAAATTCGGTGGCTGGACGAGAGCAATGGGGCTTTTACGTAGACGCCGCGGTTGAGTTTGGTATGACCGTGATAAGACAGGATTTGCAAAGGTTTCAAGCTCTTTAATGTTTTTCCTTTTCTGCTCAACTTCGTTCCTTCCAATATCTTTGGTCTTGTTCATGATTTTGGTCTTTAATGTTGGTTTATTGTTAGTCCTCAATGGTCCAATCGGTTCTCGCTCATATAAGCAACAACCCCACCACCCCTTTCCTGCTTATCTTCGCTTTGCATCGGCTTTCCCCAGTATCCCGCTACCCACTCAAGCTGAATACGTCTATGTTTCGAGCCCAACATGGGACAAGACTCCAATAGCGTGGACCGTGACCTCGGAAAATCACCGTCGCCTAATAACCCACAGCATAGGCGCGGCTACCAGGCCTGCGATCCCTGTCGCAAGCGCAAAGTCAAGTGTGACTTAGGCAGTAAGATCAGCAATCTCTCATCCCACTTGGGACGGTATATTATTTTTTTCTTGTTCTAGCTGACTGATCACAAAATCCCGACATCTCCAGGCGTTGATAATCCTCGACCACCACCTTGTGTACGATGTCGACGCGAAAGCAAGAGATGTGAATTTTCAGCAACTCGTCGCAAGCGTAAACTCTCCGAACCTCCGCAGGAGGCCGAGGAGCCTCCCATTCTGCACCGCGACAAGCGGATGATGATCGGTGAGGTCGCTGCGAAGAAAGAAGCCTCTAACGATGAATCTACATATATTCCCTCTGAACCGTCCTTTGATAGTGATGGATACCGAGCTCGCCAACGCTGGCCTGAAGCACCACCAGTACCACCAGCACCGGCAGCAGCTGCGACTGCGGCTGCGGCAGCTTCCCAGCGATACACACCGAGTGCACCCATAGCTTCACCCGCTCGTCATTTTCTGGAATCGAGGAACCCGCGCATACCTATACCTAATTACTCGGGTAATGAGAGGAGCTCAACCTCGGGATACGGAGGCCCGCCTATGTTAAATCGTACTGCAGTGGAATTATTATCGCCAGCCATCACTAATACACACGATGCTTTACATTTGCTCTCCGAAGCAGCGGGGAGAACAGAAGATATGAATCGCTTTGCTGCGAGGCAATCGGTATCATCATTCAACTCTGGCCCTTCTCCTCTCGCACACGTCAATTCTCCAGGGAATCTGAGCGGATCTTTCTCACGAACTCCTCGATCTGGGGTGTCTATCGGTGGTGGTGGATTTCATCAAGGCGGGGGATCGGGTATGCCAGATATTCAAATGTCCGGTGGCACAGGCAATGCGGATGAGACAGGCAATACTCCAGACCCAGGGCATGCCGATGCTGTTCGTGCATGGTCGCGACTGCGATTTGTACGTGCGGGGTGGATGACTGTCGAAGAAGGCATGGATTATGTGGCCTACTACTACGAGAACTTAGCTCCAATGAGTCCAGTGGTCACTCCGGACTACTCTCAACCCGCCAAACATCGCCTTTTGCTCACTGAAGAACCGGTCTTGGCTGTGACGATTCTAACAATTGCTTCGCGGCATCTAAAACCTAAGGGTGACGGTGCTAGCACACGGGCATTTTACATCCACGACCGCCTCTGGTCATATCTGCGTGGCATGATCGAACGCCTTTTCTGGGGTCAAGAAAAATATGATGCTGGAGGTCCAGGTGTCGGCCGACCACGTTCCCTCGATCTCGCGCCAACGTCTGGTAGGCCCAATGCTAAAGGAAATTTAAGAGCTCTTGGAACCGTTGAAGCTCTATTGATCCTTACAGATTGGCATCCCCGAAACCTTCACTTCCCTCCAGGTGACGATGAAAACACATTGTTAGATATTGATGCTCAGGGTCAAAGCGGTGCCGATAAGGACTTAGATCCTGATGGCGAACAGACAAAGACATCACCTGAAGGTAGACTTGCTTTCCAAAAATGGCTGGAGCCGGCTTGGCGATCAGATCGGATGTCCTGGATGCTATTGAGTACCGCGCAAGCTCTTGCTTTTGAACTTGGTGTATTTGATCATAAAAGCGAGCCGAAGGCTGCACCTGAATCCCCTGCGGAACATACACGCAAACAACGCCTACGAAAATTGATTTTAGTATTCATTACACATAGCAGCGGACGACTTGGCATTCCATCAATGCTTCCCTTGCCCGAGTGGGGCCAAGATGTTCCGGGCAATAATTTCGATCCGAAAGATAGTGATCCGGATATTGATAGGATGCAGGATTGCTGGATGGCTATCTCAAAAATTGTCTATCAGGCCAATCACCAGCTTTTTGCATCCAGTGAGCAAACTACAGAATTGATCAAGAGTGGGAGGTATCGCGAGCAAATCGACTGGTTCCAGCCTCAGTTGCGAGATTTCCGGCAGCGTCTCGATCGTGTAAATCGTGAGTCCTCGATAAAAGAAATAACTAATTCTACGTGCTAGAAGACAACTAACAATGAATTAGTTACGTCGGCTATGCGAAGTGTATTGTTGATTGAATACGAGTATACGCGTGAGTCTATCAGAATCGGGCTGGATAAATCGGAATCCCATCGCTACCTGCTAATGCTACATAGGATTATATGTCAATTCACTTGCTTTACAGGCTGTTGTCGATCGCTGGACGAACATGTCGAACGAATCTGCTCAAACACAACCTGGGCGGTCCGGCCCTGGTCTTTCACCGGGCAGTACTACATGGTTCCGGACATTAATGGAGCTCTACCGAGTAAATGAACAATACATACAGGAAGTCGTGGATGCCTCACGCAAAATTCTACAAACCGTTCTTGAAGGACTCGTTCCGGAAGGGCGCCTGAAGCACGCTCCTATTCGCACATTTTTCCGAATTCTGTCTGGCATGATCTTCATTCTGAAGGTAAGTTCCACAGTGGCAAGCATATATTTTTGGAGACACGCCACTGACCCCGCGGTTGCAGACATTTACCCTTGGCGCTCGTGAGGACGACGTGCGAGTCTCTCTAGACCTTCAAGACCGGACTGTGGAGGCACTGCGTACTTTCGTTGTCGATGACGTGCACATCAGTAACACTGTCGCTCGACTGCTGCAGCTTTTGACGAGTAGCATTCGAAACCGTTTCCTTCGTTTTGCACCTCATGATCGCGGTGTAGATGGTGATGGACAGGACCGAGGCTCCGCACCAGTTTCGCGAGCTCAGTCGCCACCGCGCGAAAGTGTTTCGGGCCGCCGTGATGGACAACAGACACCTTGGTCATCCACACATGATGCAACGCCAAGCGGCATGGGATATGTTGATAGCACCGGCGGACAGCCGCCAGGGACGATTGGATCATCGCACGACCCTCTTGCCAATATTCCTGCGCAAACGATCAACTCATCAAACATGAACGTATCATTTATGCCGCCACCTCCATCCGTCTATTACAACTACTATGATTCAAACTCGTCATTGCCCGCCAATGATCTCGAGCGGTCGTCATCAAATCATGCAATGCCCTCACAAACCCCCGGGGATAGCACAGGAGCAATTACTGGTCTCCCAGATTGGTTTGCTCTTCCTCTGGATCAATTCTTCAACAGCTCCACCGCGGTGGTTGATCAAGGTCTGGGTGGGACCGGACCAATGCTTGGCGAGTTTGACATGTTAGAGGTTTTACTTAACGAGGGTTATGACAGCAATGCTCACGGGGAAGGCGAGTCGGGGGGACCATTGGGCTCCCAGTTCCTACCGTGATCTAGCTGGTCCCTGATCATCAAGAACCCAGCCTTCCTGGGATAATGCATGGAACCGTGTGACAAGTACCTTTTTATTTTATTTTTTCTCTCTTTTATTCCCCTCCATTTAAACTATTATACCCCTGCGGGATCGACAATTCTGGCGTCCTCGTTCTGTTTTCGCGTTATAGTGGGATGAAGGTTCCGATTCGTTGGCGTTGCACTCTGGTTGAAACACGTCTTGTCTCCTGCCATTTCGATCAGTCGAACATTATATTTTCCCAAGTGGTAACTTAGAGCCCCTGGATCATATGAGAGATCCCTCGATTTGTTTCAATTCATTATGTTTATCTGTTCTATTCCTTCGAGACTGTAGTATCCCGTAGCCGTCGAGATTAAGGGTCCTCGTCTTGCCCCCGCTCGGCCTCCGTCGGGTCTCAATATGGCGGGGCCGAGTTTCATGTCGATATATGAAGGCTAGTGGACACTTCACATGCTGTTATGCTAAGCCTCGATTGAGCCAAGGCTCCAACGTTATCGTAACTTGTTAGCCCCTGCTTTTTAATCTAATCTACCATATTTCAGCCGCGCGAAATAAGACTCTCGGGGTGGCTTGGAGTTTACATGATCCTGATGTTTTAATGTAGGCGGGGTCCAAGAGAGTACCCAACAATGCAAAATGTGAAATGGGGCCACGATAGACTCTACTTGCGTGCGGTAGAAGAATCCTCACTTGACGCTTATGACTAAAGCTGAGTACTTTATGGTGTGCCAATTGCATCTTGCTCTGGCCCACGTTTGGCCCCCGGGCCTAGCTAAACTTTCTATTTTAATACTTCACACTTCATGTACATCCTGAAAAATGCCTAGAGATGAAAGGACGATCACTTCTGGAATCTCTGTATACTTTCCCTCTCCAGTTCTATCCGACTAGTCGATCTATATCCTTTTTGAACCGTAGCAAAGGTACAATTCAGCCTTGTGACTGCATACATGTATGCACGTCTCCTACTACAGCGGTAGCCATACCACAACCACATATGCCTACTCGGGTAAACCGATCCTGGAAGGATTCAATTGCCGAGCCTGTCGCCTCTTGATTCCTCTCGTGCGGGGACATGAAGCTCTTTAGAGCGGCAACATTTGAAATCGTACGTGAGATTCTTCCCGCACTGCAACCTATCACGACTATGTAAGATAGCAGGTGCGATCGCACGTTTACGAGTCAGGGTTCTTCTGCAAGCCATCGTCGATCTATCTGATGAAGAGTTGATCTCCACCGAATTGGGTTATTGTGGACGTCTGATGATCGTCCTCTGGAAGGATCTTCTTTCTGTCCGGAACTCTGATGGTCACTTACGATGATACGAGTATACTCTGATGAGAAGGGTCACATCGGCCTTGCGATCGGCATCGGTTCGTTCTTAAAAGTTCATTCCGTGAGGATTGTATACTCGGATTAAACGCGGATTGCGGTGATGGTTGCGAGATTTGTACGGAGAAGTTGTCATAGAACTAATCTGCAGGGTCTAACGGATATGCAGGGCCGATCTGTTACGGACTCCGGTCGGAAATGTATGTAAGAGGGTTTTATGAATGGTCGATATTGGTCTAAATTGTTCTATTCTTCTTGGCAGCTTGAATCTTGGTGATTTCTTGAGAATCTACTGTGGAATAGATTGTTCGCAATATCGACACAATCTTAGGCTGCTGAACCAAGATTTCCGTTTGGATCAGACTAGATCCTCCAAATTCTGGCTGAAATACAAATGGAAACTTAGTGACCCATAATTATATCATGGTACTTGGAAGTTTCGGGGGAGCACCCTGGGGCTAGGAAGGAGTATGACGCTCCGCGTACTATTATGGAACCCTTCAATTTCTTTTAGCATTCAGGCACACCCAATAAACTCAGGTAACTCTGTATACATCCCAAGGGTTTTAGTTTTGAAAGTTCTAGTTGATTAATTCACCCGTGGTGTTGCTCATCCAATAAAAACTCACGTTCACGTTTTGTCTGATCATCACATCCAGGCACGATGCTACCTCGATTACAGAGGGGCAAAGTCTACGAGATGCTCGTTCAGGCAGTGATTGGCTGAACTTGGAGATAACGGGACACGATCGCCAGGGGACTTGGCACCTTTGCGCGAAAGCTCTGGCTTAATGAACAGGGTTTCCATTAATGCATTCTCAATGGCTCCCCCGAACCCCACTCCTCCTGGGCACATTGCGCCGTCGGAGACGGCGTATGGGGATCGTCAGGGCTCTGCCGAATGGGTGACAAGCTTCCATCAGACTTCTCGTGTTAAACTGTGACCGGACTTCTCCGTGATGGGAATCAAAATCAATGTAGCTTTTGGTACTGCAGAAACACCTCCTGTGTCATAATCGCTGGCTGTTTTCCCCCCGCCTCCAAGGTGCATTGGTGGGCCACTCTAGCGCTATCAGACCCCCCATCCATCCATCAGCCCCATTTGGCCCTCACGAAACGCGGTTCCTCCACTTCCGTGATTCCTCTTTGGTTCTCTACCCCTGGTGGAGAGTTCAATCCGTCGTTCCATCTGGCTGGCCGATGGACTCCGTGGTGATCTCGAAGTTTACGGGTCCGAGATCCCTGCATTTTTTGGATCGGCAACGATGGTTTCCCTGAAGAGCAAAATCTCCTTCTCCTGGATCGTGCCATAGCTACCATCATTGGTGCCATTTATTCTTTGGATCCTTTCAAGATAGAGAAGCATTCGAAGAAGTATAAAGAACCCTCGATGTCCGGCCGTTTTTGGTGGTTCTTCATCCACTCATCACCAACTTTCCTCGATTCCATTCTTTTAGAGTCGTTCTTTGAATAAACGCCATCATGGTTGTCTTCAGCAAGATCACTGTTGCCCTCGCTGGCCTCGCCTCTGTCACTTCCGCTGTCCCCACTGGAGGCAAGAAGAGCTTCAGTATCAACCAGGTTTCCATTCCTGCTACTAAGACCAAGAACTTCGCTGGCAACTACGCTCATGCCATTGCTAAGTATGGCGGTAACGTTCCCAGCCATGTCCAGGCTGCTGCCCAGCAGAGTGGTGCTGCTACCACCACTCCTGAGTCCAACGACGAGGAGTACCTCACCCCCGTCAACGTCGGTGGTACTACCCTGAACCTGGACTTTGACACCGGCTCTGCCGATCTGTAAGAGGAACCTGCATATCCAATACACAGAAATGTGTCCATAATCTATCAAATGCATGACAGCTAACCCTGTTCATAGGTGGGTCTTCTCCGAGCAGCTGCCTTCCTCTGAGCAGTCTGGCCACAGCGTCTACAAGCCCAACAACGGCACCAAGCTGGCTGGCGCCTCTTGGTCCATCTCCTACGGTGATGGCTCCTCCGCCAGCGGTGACGTCTACAAGGACACCGTCTCCGTTGGCAGCGTCAAGGCCTCCGGCCAGGCTGTCGAGGCTGCCTCCAAGATCAGCGCTCAGTTCACCAAGGACCAGAACAACGACGGTCTCCTGGGTCTTGCTTTCAGCTCCATCAACACTGTCAAGCCTAAGGCTCAGACCACTTTCTTTGACACCGTGAAGTCTTCGCTCGCTTCTCCTCTCTTCGCTGTGACCCTGAAGCACAACGCTCCTGGCACCTACGACTTCGGCTTCATCGACAAGTCCAAGTACACTGGCTCTCTCGCCTACGCTGATGTCGACAACTCTCAGGGCTTCTGGGAGTTCACCGCCGACAGCTACTCCGTCGGTTCCTCCAAGGGCAGCTCCATCAAGGGTATTGCTGACACCGGTACCACCCTCCTCCTGCTCGATGACGACGTTGTGTCTGCCTACTACAAGCAGGTCCAGGGTGCCCAGCAGGACTCCTCCGCTGGTGGTTACACATTCGACTGCTCTTCCAAGCTTCCCGATTTCACTGTCACCATCTCCGGATACGATGCCGTTGTCCCCGGTGACCTGATCAACTACGCCCCTGCCTCCCAGGGCTCCTCCACCTGTTTCGGTGGTATCCAGAGCAACTCCGGCATTGGCTTCTCCATCTTCGGTGACATCTTCCTGAAGAGCCAGTACGTTGTCTTCGACTCCAACGGCCCTCGCCTTGGGTTCGCCGCCCAGTCCTCTTAAGTTCGTGCAACTCAAGTGTTGATACATGATGATGCTCTTTCCTGCTGCGAGGAAAGGATCGATGAGTGTATGAGTGAAGGATAGCTAGCGGGGCTAGCTTGGTATGATTGAGAGGGAATGTTGAACATTTTCACCTCCGCCAAGTCTTGGACGCGGCTTGGTTTGTACATGGTGTCTTTGACAATGCGTGCAGCACACAGTATATACAACGCATTTGATATAACTCTTTTCTTGTCTCATTAGATTCGTAGCCTGTAGATATAGAGGTCTCGGACATAGTATTTACCATCGACTAGTATTACTATGCTAATCATCGGGTAAACTGCATCAAACTTATACTTTTTACTGGTGTTCTCAATTACGGTAAACGCTCGGTTAGGACTTGGCTGCGGACTTCGTTCAATTTTTGGGCAAGTTTCTCATGATAAAACATTCCGTAGCCAAAATCCGTACATGTTCAATTTATATACCTTTTTGGAAATCATGACACTATTCACAACTACGGGTTTAAAGTACAGAAAGCCAACCTAGCCTCAGATGGGCGTAGCAATTTACCAATTGGCGTGGTAATTGCCTTGTGCGCGTGCTTCCTCCGACTTGCAAGGCTCGTTCAAGCTGTGGAAGAGAAACGCCAGAAATCAGCAGATATGGGCTTAGTAAACCCTTAAGATAAGAAAACTTGAAGGAAAGAAAGAGATTGGATAGTAGGTAGGTGGCGCCCGCACCCTGCTAGTCCCTAGGGGCGCAGTGATGTAGTACTTAATAGTAGTAGAAATGTATATTAAGTTCTACTTACTACAACTTGAACTCCAAGTCTATCTCTAATATAGTTTTCAACATGATTTTCAACGTGTTTTTCGGCGTGGTTTTACTAATATAGCCACGTCGAAGACACATTAAGATAGCCATATTAGTAAACCACGTCGAAGACCATATCGAAAACCAGTCATCAGAGAAGATGGCTATGGCGGCCGGCGGGAGGGCAGCCCACCAGCATTAGAAGGCGGCGGCGGCCCGCCTATTACTATCATCCCGGTAAGGAAGTAATATCTCTAAAGTGTACAGTCTTAATCAGCCTAATCAGTACTCCAGATTATGCTCTTCTCCTTTACACCTTCCTATAATCTACGGATTATAGCAGCCTACTTCGACAATAAGCGAAACTGTCTGATTGTCCGCGTGTCTCGAAATCATCCCGTACGAAAGCCAGAGAATGTGGAGGAAGACAAAAACACTCGTTCTTTATTTCTTCCAAGGTTCGTTGGTTTCTGGCTGAAATCGGTCCTGCAGATACTGAAAAGCGTTTTCAAACTCGGTCATTAATGTATAACCCTATTGCTAGGATCAAGTCTGTAACAGATGTATTAGTAGATACTGGTACGGCTACAGACTCAGTCTGGATAAAGAGTTGGCAATATTATAAATAAAGAACGAGTGGGGGAGCATCATGATGTTGTCTTCAACTGAGAACAAGATTGTAAGTATACAGACTATATTGGGGGCTCTAAGTCCAAAACACCATCCAATATAGAATCCGGGGTCACATCGGCTAAAACTTGGGCAATGGCATCTCTATTGCTTCCATAATTGAGACTCCGGTCGTTATCAGGTGAAGCAACAATAATACGATGTCGAAAAACCTTTCGAGCAGCCAAGGCTACAATTGAAGGTGTGAGGTAATCAATGCCATGCAACGGAGCAAGTAGCCTAAAGGAAATAGGTGAGCAAAGTCCCCTCCCGGTGATCTAGTGTATCGTACTTGGCGAAGTTTCCGAATTGATTATTTGCTCGTGCAGATACTCCTCCAGCAACCGCACGACTGAGACGTAGAAAAACTACGATGTCCTGAATATACCTGACCACTTCAGCGCTGGTCGTTACTGAGATAACGGCTTCACGTAGGTGGTCCATGGTCTGCGTGGGTACAATGTGAGATAGATGGTAGAGCATGGCGAAATCGAAGACTTACCATTTGGCCGACCTTCGCTGCTTTCTTCTGCCGATATTTGGGTGTGTGAATCACAGAGGATGCAGATATTTGGCCATCAGAAAGCCAGTCATTTTCTTCAAGATACACATAGCCATTCGCAGCTTCGTGGAAATGCGAGATGAAAAGTTGGTCCCGCTAAAAGGACGAGGTTAGGATTGAGCCAAATCATGCATTGATATTGAAAAATACTGACCAGATGCACGTTCAATGACAAATTCTGCCCATAGTAGTCCTGTATCACAAGAGGTACAAACATAAAATCTTCAGGGGCGTGAAGAAGGCCAACCTCTGTAGCCAATTTTCGGGTTCGCATTAACTTGAAAAGTTAGTGGGTTTCTAATATAGAGTTGGGATGGACTATCTACTTGTATAGCCTGGACTTGGATATCTTCATTGCTTAAGTTCAGATTTTTGGCAATAATGATGTTAACCACGTTTGGTTCGTCAGCCTGTCTACTAGGGATTGGAGACTTGCTGCGCTCCTGGTGTCCGGTTACATAGGATGAGACATTGCTGGACTATAACAATTAATTTATTGCAATGTTAAAACTGCCTTGTGGCATTTGAGAGCCTGAGAAAAGAGAACATACTGATCCAGTTTTCACCCTTGAGTATGGCGGGTGTGTTTGGGCTTTTCGGGCATCGGTAGTAAGAATCTCATTGTGAATTTCCTCTATCGATGTTGCAAAGCCACAATCAACAATGCTGTACGACAGATTGAATGTGCCCGAGCATATCTGTAAGTCAAATTAGTGTTAATTGATTGAAGAACATGATTTTTAAGCAAACTTGATACCAGGGCTAGTTCCTTAGCGAGATCATGGATAGCGTCGCCAGTGGTTTCAATCAGGCAATGTTCGCGGGCAGCCAGACACAGGAAAAGCGCAACCTCTAGATCCGAGAGCTGTCGTGCAACATCCTCAAGAGTCGTTCCATCCATTCTTGAGCTCCATGTACCCGAATCCGGACGATTCGACTTGGATGAGGACTGGAAGAGTGGAGAACGCCAGAAAGCCGGGGCCATCTGATGTTGAGTCGATGCCTGAGTGCCTTAATGGCGGGACATCAACAGCTGTCCCAAGTTGGACTAGCGTATATTCCCCCCGTTGCGCAGCTGCTCTCCAATTTGGCCCGTCACTCAACATCAACACGGGGACATGGGTGCTTGGTCTTGCTAAGACCAGCTTCTGTGACCTTCGCTATTCCTGGAATGGCGCCCTCAAACCCCCTTGCAAACTGGGAAAAAGTCGGCGATAGCTTCTATCGCAAAATCCCTGTATATGACGCCATCTTTGACGAGGACGTTGAGTTAGAGAGCTACATCGTCACAGGCGCGCCGTGCGGTGGAGTCATCGGTATGGATCCTGCATGGTCATTAAAAGGAAACTTCATTTTAACGAGACTCCCTTGTAGCACTCCATCGCGACGAGAGCAAACCGATCAGGTTGCGGGATACGCAGACTTCCCGATCGAGTATCGACATTTATTCTTGTTCGGGAAAGCTAATAAATCGCATTAACGTAAGTCAAATCACATCAAGTACCTGGCCCTTCGACAAATTTTGACAAATGCTGTTATAGTGGGATCAAGCCTCTATTCGTGGAATCGGCTGGTCCGACAAAGAGGAACTCTTGGTTGTTGCCGAGGATGGCACAGTCCGCCGCTATTTCGGTTTGGATGGCGACTTCACTTCTTTTTCTCTAGGCAACGTAATTTATTCCTTCCATCGACGCTGTTCCTTAGCTCATGCTAATAATCGCAGGGTGCGGAAGAATATGGTGTTCGAGCCTGTCAATTTTGGGCATCTGGCCTTGTGGCATTGCTTTCCAACAATCAACTGATTGCGGTCTCCAAGTATGATGAGCCACGACCAAAGCTTTTAGCCCCCTGCCCTGAAGGCGAGGTCTCCTCGTGGACGGTGATCCCACCTGCGCAGACCCTTTCCCGCTCCGTTGAAGTTCTACTCGCGGTCGACCGAACACTTTACCTGATCGATTCCACTGAGGCAGAGGACAAAGTCCTCCAGGATGGTCCTTTTAAGCATGTGAGCATGTCTCCGACGGGTCTCTACGTCGCTCTTTTCACCGCAGAGGGCAAATTATGGGTTGTCAGCAACGACTTCCAGAGTAAGATTAGCGAATATGATACGAAGTCTCGGGTTCCTCCTAATACGGTGAATTGGTGCGGAGATGATGCGGTCATTCTTGCTTGGGAAGATGAAATCCATTTAATTACAACTGATGGAGCTTCATCGAAGTACGCATCTCACCCTACCTTTCCCCCTGACTGCAACTAACAATTGACTAGATATTACTACGACGACCGTGTGCACGTTATACCAGAGTTTGATGGGTCCCGTCTTCTCACGAATGATACTTGTGAATTTTTGCACAAAGTCCATGATGTCACGGAAGATATTTTCAGACTTGGTTCTTCCTCCCCTGCCTCGGTGCTCCTTGACTCTGTGGATCAATTGGAGAAGAAGTCTCCTAAGGCGGATGAGAACATCCAGATGATCCGCTCAAGTCTCCCTGCGGCAGTCGACTCTTGCATTAAAGCAGCAGCTCATGAATTCGATGCTTACTGGCAAAGACGTCTTTTGAAAGCAGCATCGTTTGGGAAATCAGCCCTTGAGCTTTACAATAGTGACGAATTTGTCGAGATGACCGAAAAGCTTAGAGTCTTGAGTGCAGTCAGAGATTATCAGATAGGCCTACCATTGTCATATGAACAATATCTTCGTCTCTCGCCGGAAGGCCTCATTGAACGTCTGATTAGTCGTCATGAGTACCTCCTTGCAATCCGGGTATCTGCTTATCTCCAGATTCCTGCCGATCGGATATATGTTCACTGGGCAAGTCAAAAAGTTCGAGTTTCTTCGGGAGACGATGAAGCCGTGTGTAAGCTCATCGTTCAACGACTGGAAGGGAAGCCGGGGATCTCTTTTGAGATTATTGCGCAAACAGCATACGATGAAGGTCGGTCTCATCTAGCCACGCAGCTTCTAAATCACGAGCCCCGGGCTGGCAAACAAGTGCCATTATTATTGAACATGGAAGAAGACGAACTCGCCCTCGACAAGGCTATTGAGAGTGGGGACGACGATCTCGTGAACTACGTACTCCTACACCTGAAGAGCAAGCTACCGTTGGCAAGCTTCTTCCGAATGATTAATACACGACCTATGGCGTCTGCACTAATTGAAACTGCTGCACAGGACGAAGACACCGAACTATTGAAGGATCTTTACTACCAAGACGATCGTCCTATCGATGGTTCCAATGCTTTAGTGTCGGAATCTTTACGAGAAACGGACCTTGAACGCAAAGCTGAGAAGCTAATCCTAGCATCTCGTTTACTAGCGGACTCAAAAGACCCGACAGTAGTCCTGCAACAGAAACTGATTAATGAGGCTTCTCAACTTCTGAAGGCACAAGAATCATTGGACAAAGACCTGGCGGATCGCTCGGAATATCTGGGCCTTAGTTTGAACGAGACCGTCTACAGGCTTATTCGAGCCGGGTATGGAAAACGAGCACACAAGATACAGAGCGAATTCAAGATGCCCGAGAAAGCCTACTGGTGGTTACGGCTTAGAGCTTTGGTGGCCAAACGGGACTGGGGTGAACTAGAGGAGATTGGCAAGAACAAGAAGTCCTCTATCGGATGGGAGGTAAGAGCTCTCAATTACAAGCTGCTTTTTTTATTATTCTCACACAAGGTTGCAGCCATTCTATAATGAGGTCCTGGGCGCCGGAAACACAAAACTCGCTTCAATGTTCGTCCCTAAATGCACGACCTTGCCAGTCGCGGACCGAATTGAAATGTGGATAAAGTGCGGGATGGTCGTTAAAGCGGGAGAGGAAGCACATAAGGCAAAGGATATTAACACTCTTGAAATCCTCCGCACCAGAGCGTCTGGGCCGGCAGTCACAGAAATCGAGCGCATGATCAGCCAGCTTAAACCAAGGAAATAACCTTGAAAACGAAACGGAAGTGGAAGGGCATTATGTTCAGGTAATCTCATTATCTTCGTCAATGAGCGCAGGATCCTCCGCTGTCACATTCGTTGAATGAGCTGCAAATGGGTTGGGTTTCACTTGTGCTGGTGCAGTATCTGTCATCTCATCATTGTCCTCGTCATCGTCATCTTCGGCAGCATCGTCTTGTTGAAGGGCGGCAAACCTAGCCGCTTTCTTGTTCAGATCTTCCCATTCAGCCTAGTGCGAGGATCTTTGTTAGCGCATGTACATTCAATAAAGATGGGTAGCTTGTTGGAATTCATACCCTTCGTGCTTTGGTATTCTTTTCACGACCAATACTTTTTGACTTTTTGATTTCCAATTGGTCAAAGACCGCCTCCGCTCGGTCCATGCCCTTCTGCTGTCGCAAACGCTGTGCTCTAGACAACTTCTTTTGGTTATTCTTCTGCTTCTTTTGAATTCCCGAAGAGGCACGATCGGCCAGGATAGAAGGACGTTGAACAGTAGGCGATTCAGCCCGAGGGGCAGAGGTAAGAGACCGGTCTACATCCAGACTCGGGGATGCAGCTCGACGAGCCGCCCGGGTGTTGGGTGCTCTGGCTGATAATAGTTAGCACTATGACACAACCTAGTAATAAAACAAGTGATTCAACGTGCAACTTACGTTTACTTTTGGCCATGGTGGAATTTGTTTTGAGCAAGATCTGTGTGGGGACATGCTATCGATAAAAGAAAATTTTGCGGAGACCGAGATGCACCTAAAACGCAGCCCCGGATTGAAAAGCAAAAGCGTTTGTATACTCCCAAGCCTGTCCTTCTCCACTTTCAGACTCATCCTTCCGGCTTTCTTGCCACTATCCGCTAGATATTCACAGCCCATGCTCACCAGGCCTCTTTCCTGCTGCTGTGGCTCTTTCGGTTTTCTCTTCCGCCATGAATGTTCACAGAGAGGGAAATACCATCTCAACTCGCCCCATCCATTACGCAAGCGCAAACAGCCACAATGAGACAGCTCTCACAGCGTTACAGAATAATCAAGCTTTAGCCTACTCTCTTCTCGCCCTATTCTCCATATACTTCCTCCTCGATCATTTTGGCTTTGCGCCTTTATCCATAATCCGGCTCGCTTGGAACGTTCTTGTTCTCGCAACACCATCGTGGATCATCGTTGCATTGGATACACGCATGTCGCCATCCGATTCTTCTCCCACCGGTCATTCCCCGATGACATTTCAGTCCAAGAATGAAGCTATGCAGCGCATCTTTGGCCTCGACAACACATCCTTCCCTACCTTTCGCCGTACACGATCTCTCTCAGGCCTTGGAGGCGCATTACTGGGCCACAACAGAGATGCTGTCCCTCCTGGGTTGGGGAACTGGGATAACTCGTGTTATCAAAATAGTACAATCCAGGGGTTAGCCTCTTTGAAGACTTTGGCGAGTTTCCTAGAACGAAATCTGGAGGCTTTGTCAGAGAAAGGATCGTTCTCCACGCACCAAGCGCTCAAAGGAATCATCGATCACCTAAACAGCGCATCGAACTATGGCTCCAAGCTGTGGATCCCTGCAGATCTCAAATCCATGAGCAGTTGGCAACAGCAAGATGCCCAGGAATACTTTTCCAAATTGGTGGACCAGATTGACATCGAAGTACAGCACGCCTCACGGGGTCAGACAAGGAATCTGGGGTTGAAAATGGTTGGCCGAGAGGAGAACATATTGAAAGAAATTTGCGAAGACAATATGGAGATTGATGGGAAAATGGTGGAACAATCGTCACTCCGTAATCCACTTGAAGGGCTACTTGCTCAACGAGTAGGTTGTATGAAATGTGGCTGGACGGAAGGATTGTCACTAATTCCGTTCAACTGTCTTACTGTTCCTCTTGGTGGACAATTCGAATACGATATACGCGAATGCCTGGATCAATACATGACACTAGAGCCGATTGAGGGGGTGGAGTGCGCTAAGTGTACGCTTTTGCGCGCGCAAGAACAACTCAAAAATCTTATTAGTGGCATGGCTGGTGACGAGACATCCTCCGATGATTTAAAAACACCTGGATTGTCCGACGCCTTGAGGACTTCTGCACAGACACGACTCGATTCTGTTTTGGCTGCCCTTGCAGAGGACGATTTTACAGAGAAAACTTTGGTTGAAAAGTGCCATATTCCATCCAAAAACCGAGTCTCTACGACGAAATCCAGGCAGGCAGTCATTGCACGAGCACCGCAGTGTCTGGTTGCCCATATAAATCGAAGTCTTTTTGACGAAATGACGGGCATGCTCAAAAAGAATTATGCGGCGGTCAAATTCCCGAAGCACATGGATTTAAATGATTGGTGTCTCGGTACACAAACCGGAGATTCTAGCGATGCACTGGAGCAATGGGTCACGAACCCTTCAGAATCCATGCTTCCCTCACCTGGCCAATCACTTCGTCTCCCCAGCAGACAGTATGAACTCCGAGCGATCATAACACACTACGGCCGACACGAAAATGGCCACTACATCTGCTACCGCAAATATTCGACGACTGAGTTCCCAGCTGCTGTTCCCGATGAAATTCTCCAGGCAGAAGGCGACAAGGTTAAGTCAGAACGTTGGTACCGACTGAGTGATGATGATGTGCAGATGGTCAGCGAGGGGCACGTCATGTCTCAAGGGGGTGCTTTCATGCTTTTCTATGAAGCCGTGGAAGACCATCTACCCCCACAGCCTGAAGTAGAATCACCTGAACTCATTTCACAGGAGACAGCCGAGTCAATCTCCAACTTCACAATGTCCGAAAGCATGTCCGTCACCAGCACTATCACTGATGCTGATTCTGACACCTCTCGCGCAACAAGTGTCTCCGCCCCTGATGATACATATGTCTACGCTGAGGGTACCAATGCGCCAATTCCCCCTCCCAAGGCCTCTAGTACGTTGGATATCAAATCGCAGAGTTCTCTCGAAGACTTGGCGTCGCCTTCCATGGTCACCGCATCATGATTCTTTCATCCTTTATCGGTCCCACTTGATCTTCATTGTTTCCTACGTTTTTTCCCCTACGACTAGCGAAGCCGCAACGTGCGGTCAGTCACTGCATCATGATGATACCCGAGGCACATTGAAATTTAATTTGGGGCGTTCATATGGAAATATCGAGGCTACTTCACCCTGTATTATTTCTATTGGTGTATTTTGTATTCTATGCATATCAAGGTAGTCTAAATAATCTTCTTGGGCCACCAACGAGCTCCACTGTCTACTTATCTACTCTCGTGCTTCGAAATGGCCGCTCTTCGTTATTTAGCATTCACATTTTTCAACTGCTCCGCGATTTTATGCATCGCGACTGCAAGTAATATGCGACGGTATATACTTCGCATCGAAATCCTGGTTCGGCAAGTCAGGCCTCTATCCCGCACGATGAAGTAAACAATCTAGTATATATGCATTTTCACATATTAACGTCTTGTCTATTCATGTGTCCCTCATGCCAGGAACAAAGGATGTGATCTCCCCTTTTCATCTTCGAAGTATGAAGCCTACTTCAGTTCTTATCAACTTGCTCGTGGTGGTGTCATAAACGAAGATGCTCTCTGGAAGGCATTGAGAGCCGAGGGTGTGTCATTGCTTCAGCTTGGATCGATATATGGGTGGGTGAGACACCCACGCGGAATGTGTATGGGGATGCTTTCGATATAGAGAATCTAGTTATGGTCTCTCATATTGGAGGGTCACCTGCAACGATACAGACGAGGACTTGTATGGGGACGTATGATCGCATGAAAGAGATTATGGAGGGAGAATCCTAGAGATAGAGTAGTATGAGGGTGGGGGAGGTATACCATAGATATTTGGGCATACAAAGGTGGAGTGCTTACTATACCCTGTCAATTTGATCGTATGAGTTAGACCTTGCACTACTTATGGACTAAATTACTTTGAGGTTGAAATATGATGAATGGTAGGGTATTTGTAGATTGCGGCTCAAAGCGCCAGTCTTGATTCGAATAATGGCGACAAGCAGGTCAATAAGAGCAGTCAAACGAGAGTTCCTAGTTGGTCAACATCACCATGGGTCATAAACAAGAGACCAGACTGCTATAAGGGGTATATAGAACGATGGGAGGATGAAGATGGGAAACGAGGGAAACGCCGAGTTGCAATGTTCAATCAAATTGGAACGAAATCGGGGGAGAAAAAATGTGAATAAAAACGCTATTGATGAATGCAGATGTACCAACTAGGCCCGCCGAGTTCATGATCCAACCGAGATGTTCAAGAAGAAAAACAAAGAAAAAAAATTATGCATTGATGTTCGCTTGGGAGGACCCAGGCTGAGATGGTTGTATAGATGGCTTGGAAATGTTACTGTGTGTAAAATCAGCGCATCCCTGCACGACCATCGAAAGCGAGTGGGCCTGAGTCATTCCGAGGAGTTAAAGGGTTATCGTCAGATGTTTCTGAGCGATTTGGTGTATCGACGCGGAGGTGGGAGCCGACTGGAACACTGAGGGGCTGAGTAGGTTGCCACCCAGGAATGTTTGTAGCGGCGCTTCGTCCAAGATCTTCATTGCTACCATTGGGGGCCGGAGAGTCTGTGCTTCTGCTATCTTCGGTGTCTACGTCCGGTCTCTGCTCATCTTGCAAATGCAAGTTCTCAACATCAGTCACCAGATCGTGATCGATGTGAATGCTGTCCCGTTGATTATCTGCAACGCTGTTTGTGGTCTCGTTGATGAGCGCAGCAGCTGTGGCCGCAGGACAGGGTCCTCCTGTGCTGGCTGTCTCGGCAGCCGGTGCGGGACTCTCTTTGCCTTCCTTGCTCCCGGCCTCATAATCATTGGTGTCGTCAACCTCGGCGCTCAAATCCGTGAAGGCACGACAATTGGGACATTGGAACATGGGGTAATCGGGGGAGTGGAGCAGGCGACTGATACATTTGTAATGCCAAACGTGAGCACAGGCTGCCATGAACAGGCACTGGTATGGTCGCTGGACACAAGTTAGAAAAATATGCTCAGGGAGGTTGGAAATAGAAGGACAACGAACCAAAACAGAGCCGAGGCAGATAGAACATTCCCGACATCCAGAATAATCGGAAGTCTCTCCCTTGCCCAGGTTTTTGATAAGACTCTCAGTGTTTTTACTATTAGAAGGTAAGTAGTTGTTCATGTACGATGAGGTAAAACTTCTTGCTGCAAGGGGCCATACTTGAACTCGTTTGGTTGCTGCTGCCATGAGCGATTACACTCGATACGAATTCGAACGCAGCGGAAGATCATCTCCTCGCCGCCCCGAAAATCAATTCCCAATTGCACAATATCGCCATCTTTGATAGAATAAAGACGAGAGACCATATTAGGCTGGCTCAAACGCATATGATTTAAGAAGGTGCCTGATGAACTGCCCACATCCTTAACATGCCACTGGCCATTGATATACATGAACTCGCAATGTTTCCGGCTCACCACCTTAGACTTGAACCCGACGGGGGCATCTGAGGGCTCCGTGGGATTGGGGATTGGAATTCCATCTCGCTCTGAGTAACGGCCCACCCTGACCACACAACTTTCCGACGGTAATGTTCGAGTGATTGGGACAAATGGTAACGAAGGCCGAGAGCTTTGGAAGTTGTCTTGGTAGGGGAAGAACCGAATAGTGGCTTTCTGTGGTGGTTTGGTCCCGGATTGAGAGTCGGGCGGGCTTGCACCGGTAAGATCGACTACCTCACTCGCCGCATTATTTGGTTCGGGGGAGGGAGTCGATGAGAGTACTGCTGTGGGTGTTGCTGCGAGTACTGGAACGGGTGGTGGTGGTGTGGGTTGCGCTCGTGACTCTGGGGGGGTCGTACGACCAGCTCGAGCAGTCCGACCAGATACGGCAGATATACTACGTAGACGAGCCATATTGGATGGAACGGCACTCGACTCGTTAGCAGGCGAAGATGGCTCGGGAGACGAAGCTTGGAGGTCGGCAGCACGATGACTGGCGGGCGCTGTGGTATAGCGGGACAAAGGTGACTGTTCACCGTCAGGACAAAAAAGAAGGTCCCCCTGGGCCTGTGGGCAATCGCCCGACGTCGGCGCTAACCAAGGAATTCTATTGCTCAGAGATTGGCGACGACCGCGTTGCCCACTTGGAGAAGAAAGATTTGACGTGTAGGCGCGAAGCTGGCTAAATCGGCGGAGACGCCCCGGGCGAGAGGAATCGGGTAGTGCGGAGGCGGTGGCGGTTGAAGTAGACAAAGTAGACATGTCGTCTTTTTTCCTCACTTGGTCTTCACTAGCATGCACACTTCCTTGTTCGTAAAATGAGACTATCGGTGTTTCACGCTGGTCGCCTTTCTGTTCTATATTGGGAAGTTTTGGGTTTGGAGTCTCTTTTTAGCTCGAACCCACCGCAGTCCTTTGGGGGCTATTGAGAGGGAATGCAGGTACTTCAGAGTAGGGATCTGCAAATGGGAGCAAAGAATAAGGAAGCGGCTCAAAAATAGAATTCACAAGCCATCTTGACCTTTCAAGTAGGAAGAGGGGGCAAATAGAGGGAGTGAGGTGTAGAATAGTGAGGATGATAGAGAAGATAGAAGGGAGAAGTAAAGAAGAAGAAGACCCAAGGCACCGTAAACTTGAGTAGGCGATTTCTTGGAACCCAGAAGCCACACGAGAGAGGGGGCTGCAAACCAGAGTTTTTATTTTATTTTAAATATTTCAAAGAATTAATCTAACCATAGACTGTACTTGTACCATCATTCACCAGGACTGGATGGGCCCACTCTTAAACAGGAAGAGGACATCAGGAAGTACGCAAGTCCCTTAACCTAATGCACTACTAGATGTGAACCTATCGGCGATTCTTGCCTGGGTCGATCTTGTCATTTGCCTTTGAATTAGAGTGCAGATGCTCTTAAGGGATTCAAGTGATTCTAGTGACTCTGGATACCGGAGACTGAACTTCCACTTCTTTTTTTGCGGGGAAAAACGCTCTGAGCCCTTTCAAGTACGGAGTTTCCGCTGGATTAGCCGATGGCGAATCCCATTCCGTGTATTTCTCTTGTCTTGTTAATACGATCGTCAAATCTACGCATACCTGCTAATGTATACAACTACGGCATATCAGACTCCCCATGATCATGATATAGATCGATTGACACTTCCATCTCCCTTTGTGCTTTCTTCACGCGCAAGATCTGGTGATCATTCATCACTCTCACTGGGCACGAGGAGAGGGGAATCTCATCACAAGGCAAAATCTAAGCGGGGACGTCATTGGACCCGCGCTGCACAGACCCACCACGGGAGGCTGGTAGTATTAAGGCAATTTGAGACACAGAAACAACCGAAGTGGCGAAGATAGTTATTCTCGGAGTTCGCACTCGGTCAATGTGAGCATCCTCTAGGGACAAGAGTTGGAACCAGGCATCAGGATACCCTCGGGTCAGAAATACGCAGTACGATGATGGAGTGAAGATCCGATTGCATGGATGACCAAGTACTGTATCTATCTCGATTTCCCCCAGATAGACAAGAAAACGGACTAGACTCCATTGGAGTGGATAGTGGATAGTAAGTAGATAAGGGATCTTCCACGTCCTTGAGAGACATGGGAATAGGGTTGACAATCAATAGTCGCTGGATCTTATAGACCTGGTGATTGGAGATCTGGGTATATTTGGAGAGTGCAGAAGATGCAGAAATGCAGACTGAATGCTCAATGATGAATGGCGATGGGTCTTTGAGCTGGAAAGCCGTGGTTCCCATTGGTGGCAGCTGCGGATCATGTCCTGGGGAGCTTCTTAAGCTTAGAGGAATCCTTGGAGACCGGGAAAAGAGTAAAGGATTCAGAGAAATAAGTATCAAAAGAAAATATTAGATCAAGATCTCGAATAGAGACTCGATATCCCATATTCAATATTTGAAACCCATCGAACTCGTGATCTTGTCGTGGACACGGGTTGATGGGGGGAAAGAAGATTGGAAACTAGTGACAAAAGCTCCTGCACCATCTTCTATCCTCCCCTCCTTCTCTGTCTCTCTACACCCCCCATCTTGTTCTTACTACGGTTTCCTTCTCCCCTCCCCCCCCCCCTCTTTCTGGATATTCTGTAGGGTGTCCTGTATCAACACAATCTTTCTTTTACCCATCCTCGGAGAAGAACAAACTCGAGACTTTATCACGCGCCTGCATCTGTGTTCCCATCCCGAAAAAGCTTGCGCATGCTTCCGCACCCCCCAGCCATCTATTGAGGCCCTCTCTTAGGCTTTTCTTCCCCCGCAGTCCTTCGACAATCTCCTTCTTCAATCTATACTGCACGCCCTGATGCGGACCTGTTGAACGGAGGCATGAGTGGATTCGCGACCACCTGTTTGTCGTGCCTGTCGGCCGTCGACCGATGGTGTCATATCACCGCCTGTCTCGGGGCTGGCCGTTCCCGAGATGGCATCTACGAAACCACCTTGGCGGACAATGAACGAGAAGCGGTCTCGGACCTCCTGGCATATTTAGAAAATGTATGTGGTCTACCTCCTAAATACCATTCTGTCGAATGCCTCTCGGTCGGCAAGACAAAGCTCCCATCGTCTTGAATCATAGCTAACCGTTCCGTCTTAACCCCTGTACACAGCGCGCCGAAACAGACTTCTTCAATGGAGAACCGTTGCGAGCTTTAAGCACCTTGGTATATTCCGATAATATCGATCTACAAAGAAGTGCGAGTTTGACATTCGCCGAAATCACAGAACGAGGTACGCGATGACGCAAGTTGCGCTGGTGATGCAATACACTAAACCAACTTTTTTTTTCTAGATGTCCGCGAAGTCGATCGTGATACCCTCGAACCTATTCTATTCCTATTACAAAGCTCCGATCTTGAGGTCCAGCGTGCTGCCAGTGCTGCCCTGGGTAACCTTGCTGTCAATGGTCTGTGTCGTCCCAAATCTCAGCATACGGACTCCGTCGCTAACCCCAATATAGGTGAAAACAAAGTCTTGATTGTCGCCCTCGGAGGGCTGGCCCCTCTGATCCGCCAGATGATGTCGCCAAATGTGGAAGTTCAGTGTAATGCTGTGGGATGTATCACCAATCTAGCCACACACGAAGAGAACAAGGCCAAGATCGCTCGATCGGGAGCACTGGGTCCACTGATCCGACTGGCCAAGTCTAAAGATATGCGCGTTCAACGTAATGCAACCGGTGCGCTGCTCAATATGACACATTCTGGTAAGCTCCCTGGAGTCCTCTGACCTGTCAGCCCGTGTATTTTTAACATAAGGTACAGATGACAACCGACAACAACTCGTTAACGCTGGCGCTATTCCTGTTCTCGTTCACCTCCTATCCTCCCCCGATGTCGATGTCCAATACTACTGTACAACTGCACTGAGCAACATAGCGGTCGATTCGACCAATCGCAAACGACTGGCCCAAACTGAGTCGCGTCTGGTCCAGTCATTGGTTCATCTCATGGATTCGTCTACACCAAAGGTCCAATGTCAAGCTGCCCTCGCCCTCCGTAACCTGGCCTCGGATGAGAAATATCAACTGGAGATTGTAAGGGCCAAAGGACTTTCTCCACTTCTCCGACTTCTCCAATCTTCCTACCTACCCTTGATACTCTCCGCCGTTGCTTGTATCCGCAACATTTCCATCCACCCTCTCAATGAGTCCCCTATCATTGAAGCAGGCTTCCTCAAGCCCTTAGTCGACTTGCTTGGCACCACCGACAATGAGGAAATCCAATGCCATGCTATTTCTACACTACGCAACCTTGCAGCTAGCTCCGATCGCAACAAGGAACTAGTCTTGCAGGCTGGCGCTGTTCAGAAATGCAAGGATCTGGTCCTTCGAGTCCCACTCACCGTTCAGTCTGAAATGACTGCCGCGATTGCTGTGCTTGCTCTCAGTGATGACCTAAAACCTCATCTTCTGAATCTCGGTGTATTCGATGTCTTGATTCCATTGACCAACTCTGAGAGTGTCGAGGTTCAAGGCAACAGTGCTGCTGCCCTGGGCAATCTTTCTTCTAAAGGTATGCTACGACTCTATACTATGTCTCGTGACTTAAGCTACTTTTTTTTCTCCCTCTTTTCGTCCAATTTGCTAATTGATAATATAGTGGGCGACTATTCCATCTTTGTCCGCAACTGGACAGAACCAAATGGAGGTATCCATGGCTATCTGCAGCGATTCCTTGCGAGTGGTGACCCGACCTTCCAGCACATTGCCATCTGGACTCTTCTACAGCTGGTAGAATCTGGCGACAAGAGTCTCATTGGGTACATATCGAAGTCAGACGAGATTATACAGATGGTGAAGTCGATCTCAGACAAGAACATTGAATCCGACGAAGAAGACGGTGAAGATGGCGAGGGAGAAGTGATTACTCTTGCTCGACGGTGCTTGGAATTACTAGGATCGGGTCCTAAGCAAACCCTAGTTGAAGCATAGGTTCAAAGTTCTACATTCTAACGAGCGCTAGTCCCTTCTTTTCGGTCCTTTCATAATTTGGCCATTCCCTCTCTTACATGACTTTCCCCGTTGTTCTCCTGGGTGTTAGTACGGGCATTTGATTCTTTTGATCTGGTTTTCTCCTTATTCTTCTTCTTCTTCTTCTTCTTGTTTCTTGACAGCGGGAATTTGGAGTGATGAGGGCCTTTTGTTATGTCTCCATTCCCCTTCACCTTCATCCCATGTCCATCATATTTCTGGGTCGGTGCTCTTGTGTCTTCAGTGTTGCTACGCATACACCTTGTATTCATGCTAGATATGGGTTTTCATAATTAAATCGTCCGAAGCATGGAGAGTCCCAAAAAATCAAAACATAAACGGTCATAGGAATATCGAGTGCTCTATGCACCTTGTAGATGTATGGCTAAGCGGTTTAGACTTGCGTAACAAAGCGGATACCCAAGGCGGTGAAACATATTTCCGGTCATATAGCTCCAACAAAAAATTGCTTCCCACTTCAATTCAGAAACTCATCAACTTCCAAACTTCCACGCCCTCCAGGGCTAACATAATGACAACACCCCTCCCACAAGTAGCAATCCCAGGTCAATGCCTGGGATCTGCATCCAAATACACAGCCGGTCCAGGAACCCACATTCAACAATCCAATATCTACGCCTCCATCGCAGGCCCCGTCATCCTCGATCCCGCCCAACCAAACACCCAAACAAAATCTATACTGCGAGTCTCACGAACAATTCCCGCAAAACCCCACCTTGCCTCAACTTCAAAATCAAAGGATCGCTACAACACCCTTCCAGCTGTGAACTCCATTGTCCTGGCACGAGTAACCCGCGTCCAAAAACGTCAAGCAACAGTCTCCATCCTCGTTGTTCTAGACGAAGACTCTCTTGATCCTGCTCAAACATCAGACAATGACAACATCGCTTCCATCTTGACTTCGGCTGCAAATCCAGAGAATCACAGCACAACTGATGAACTACGGTTCCAAGCTTTGATTCGCAAGGAAGACGTGCGTGCTGTTGAGAAGGACCGTGTTATTATGGATGAGATGTTCCGTGTTGGTGATATTGTTCGTGGCTCCGTCATTTCTCTCGGTGACCAGAGTTTCTACTACATTACTACTTCGCGGAATGATCTTGGTGTGGTTATGGCCCGCAGTGAGGGAGGTAATATGATGTTCCCCGTTAGTTGGAAGGAGATGCGGGATCCTATCACCAATGCTTCTGAGCTGAGAAAGGTTGCGAGGCCCTATTGAGGCTTTGGAAATGATCAACCTATTAGTTGATCTTACCAATTCTGCTCACCGCTCTCAGGGGTGAAAATTTTTTATCATTCCGCTATCGAGCTTTACTCCCGTCCATGTACGCGGATAATCCTATGCTAGGATTATAATAACCTTCGAATCTGTCCTTGACACCATTATCATGATCAAAGCATGCACCAGATTCACACGTCAATTTTGGCGCTCTAAAACGACCAGTCAAACGAACGTGTCGCCTACCTCCCCGCTTCCGCCAGGATTCTGCGTTAGCGAGGTAACACCGAGTTATCTCTCCGGGCAGTACACTGTCCGTCAAAGTTTGTTACCGCCGGTGACATTTACATGCATGTACCAAACCTGCAGCGGAGGTTAAATATCTTAAATCTCCGCAAACCATATGTGATACCCATCAAGTTTATAAATGAAAGGAAAATTTTCATGACTCCGGGCTCTCTTTCCCGTTAACTGGCAGCGTTTTCCAGGGACATCTAGCCTTCTGCTCCTTTCCAGGATGGATTGAGTATCTTTATGCTCCATCCTTTGCTTCGTAGATTGCCATTGGGCACTTACCTCCTAAGTATACACGGTCGAGACCACTCTATGTCGGGCTGTGTTTGTCATTGGAGGGATATTGACGGTTTTTCCATTCGGATTCGCGCGGGACTCTCATCCTTGCGAACCACCCCTCTACTACTTCTTGTTCAAATTTTATGGCTAGAAAGTTGATCTCGGGGTGGTTACATACTGTATCATACATTTAGCTACCTAGTCAAACTCCAGTGGTAATTAGCTAAATCAATCAAAAATGAAATCTTTTATATTCAGTGTACACTGTACGTATTCATAGAAACAAGGACACGAACAAGACATCCTGAAAGAACTACTTCTTCAGCGTCTTCTGCTTCTCCGCATCAATCAACTTCCGTCCCTGGACAACCAGTCCCTTTCTTCGCCGCACAGCATCCATATACCTCTTGGCGATATTCTCCTTATCCGCAAGCTCACCGAGATCCTCCAACTCTTCCTCTGTAGCAGGAACCCAGAAAGGATCCTCATCCAACGCTTCAAAACCAGCGAACATGAGTTGTGGCTGTGCCGCACCGGAGGTTCGTTTACGAATCTCCTCTGCGAACCCAAAGGACTCAGCGACGGGCATTAGAGCAATGATTGTAAAGAAGGGGGTTCCTTCTTTCATGATCTCGGAGAGGATACGTCCTCGGCGACGGGTAATGACACCGTATACACGGCCTAGGACCTCAGCTGGATAAGAGTGTTAGGTATGTAGCTTGGACTTGAGGGTATTGAGTAACTTACTCGTTGCTTGGATTTCACAGCTGTACATCGCAAGCATGATTCGAGGGCTCCAGTCTAGGAATCCCTGGGTGATTCCTTCACGGACAAGTCTGATGGCATCACCTGTCAAACGGCCCATGTCTAATTCGTCGTTGCCAGCTTGGACAGAGATATCTTCGAGGAAAACGGCGACACCTTGCATTGGTTCTTGGCAGAGAGGACCTTGACTTGTCGCGAGTTGGAAAGCGTATGCAATCTTGTCGTTGAAATCGCGCACGAGCAGGGCTTGTTGATTATCAGAGCCCTCGAATGGCGCACTGGATTGCTTGGGCTCATCGAGTAGGCTGGGGTGGGATGTTAGTGTTTGAAGTATAGTTTTTGGTATTCCTGGACTCACAATTTTTCACAGGTGTTTACAGCGGTTGCATCAACAAGGATATTAGGTCCAATTCTCCGGGGTCCAAACGCAGTGATTCTGTCGACAACGTTCTTCCATAGCTCCTTGTCTTCCTTGACCTCCTCGTCGAAGACCTTGTTCAGCTCATCACGGAACTCGGTCAAGGAAAGGATAGCGCCCTCGCGAGCTTCATCGGCAGCATCAACTGCTGTAGAATCAACTGCCTGAACAGTTTCTGTTGTCTCGTCATCTGACTTTCCTTCCGCACGTTTCTTAGACTGGAGCTGTTTGACAGTTCCACCCTGTTTAATGAGGAACTCAGTGACTGCCTCGGGCAAAGGTACGACTCGCAAACGAAGTGTCATTTGCTTAGAGGGGGAAACACTCAGGACAGCGCCACGACCTAACTCGGGGTTCTTTGCAGGCACCATTTCTGAGGCATTGACAATAGTTTCACGGTATGGAACAATTGCCTCGCCAGTTTGAATTTCGCACTTAGCAAATCGTTCACGAAGATCCTTAACACAGCGTTCAAGATGCAACTCGCCAGCAGTGAGAATGACATGCTCACCACTGGGGAGGACTTCGTACTGCGCACAGGGATCGCTTTGTTCGAGGAGACGAAGACCAGTGATCATTTTACCCAAGTCGGCTGGGTTGGCTGGTTCCAGAGCAACACGCACAATGGGTGGAGTGTTGAGCGAGACACCAGCCAAGTTGACACTTCCCTCCAGCTGGCTACACAGTGTTCCTGTCTTGAGCACATAGCCTGCGAGACCTCCAATTCCAAAGACTACACCAGCGGGCACAGACTGAAGTGGCTCCAGACTTCTGCCCATAAGCAAATACAAGTCTGTCACAGTGACTTTCTTAGGCTCTGGACTAGCATGAGGGTTGGCTGGTGAGAATTTTGGTGGCAAAACGTAGATCTCATCACCAACTGAGAGGGTTCCAGAATAAAGTCGAGCGAATCCAATCAAATGGTCTGGGTCTTCTTTTTCACCAGTCTCTTCTGGCTCCTCGGCCTCTCTGATCAAAGAGGTATTCTCGAATGCTGATGTTATGCGCTCAAAGTCATCTTCTTTTCCTGACCTAGCTTCAGCTTGCATCTTCGCAATCTCCTCTCGTTTACGGCGAGCTATTTCCCGAGCTTCATCAGCCGACATGGTTGCACCGCTTCGTTTTCTGCTGGAAGTCAATTCACTCTCTGGAATGGCCACCATTTTGCTGACATATGCGACGACGGGCTCCTCTAGGCCAGTTTTGAAGCTCACCATGGCTTCTTTGACATTCTCAGCGATATGGTCCGAGCCAGGAGACGATTGAATCATCTCTGGTAGACGAGCAGATTGCGCAGCCTGGGGGCTAGGCAGATATTCGATCACAGATACCAAAACTGCGGTGGACAATGGAAGCCATGCTGAGAACAGTGTGGTCATAATGTTCTTGGGGTCACGAGAGCGCAGAATATAAGGTGGAATGTTGATGTTTAGCGACTTAGTAATCTTCTCCAAGAGAACAGGATCACTGGGGATGGTTAGCAAAATCTTCTTTGTAAATTCATACATAACTTACCCTTTTCCTTTTCCACCTCCAGTTGTGGCTTCGTAGGCAGCCCAGATGCTGTCAAGCACCAACTGCACAAACATGGGCTTCAAAGCCCGACCTTTCAGATGCTTCTGGCCCAGTACTCGCTTGGTCTTGGGATCCAAGTAAAAGTCACCCCAAAGCACCTTTTCAAGCACCGTGCGCTTAATACCAAGTTTCTTCTCGTAAATTGCAGCGAATTGTCGAATCGTAAAAGCCCATCCATCGACAGCGCTACAGAAAATAACATTATTTTTCTCCGGGGCGAAATAGAGATCTTCATCGTCTCGCTCTTCAAACTCGGTGGCCTCATTGATACTTGCCACTGATTCATCATCCAAGTTCTGCTTCTTAGATTTGGCAGCAGAGGCATTAACACGGTCTTCCATACGCTCTCGCCACTGTAAGTCATCCTCCATTCTCTCTCCCTGGTAAAAGCTACCAATGACAGCATTTACTTGCTCAAGCAGTCTGCTCAAGTGCGCGAATGCTTCACTGGGACTCATCTTAAGTTCGGAGATAAGCCGATCCATTTTGTTAATAGCCAGGATGGGCTTCAATTGTTCAACCCATGTCTGGCGAAGAACGGTAACAGTCTGACTGCAAACTCCCTCCACAGCATCGACGAGGACGACAGCCCCGTCGCAAAGCCGAGATGCTGTCGACACCTCACTGCTAAAATCGATGTGACCTGGTGAATCGATCAAATTAATGAGATATTCCTTAGGCACAGGGGCTGCATCAGGTGCAGAACGACGGAGCATAGAGAAAAACAACGAAATAGCGGATGATTCCATTGTGATACCGCGGAGCTGCTCGTCTGGACGAGAATCCAAGTAGCGAATTTTGCCCGCCAGCTTGGGCGAGATGATGCCATTAGTGGCTATAAGGCTGTCTGTCAAAGAGGTTTTGCCATGGTCCTATAGCTTTACATGTTAGCGTAGGGCATTCATATGAAGTGCCTTCTAAAGACTGGATTTGTCTTGTTCTGGGTCCTTACGACGTGGGCAAGAATGCAGATCTGCGTTGAGTTAGTATAACTGCGGCCCTGACATCAGATAGTGGGATGGAGGGGCATAGCACTCACATTTCGAATGTCGTTGGGCTTCCGCTGTAAGCGAACTAAATCGTCGACGTTGACGACCGGCATTTTATATGATGTACCGGTATCAGAAGTCTGGTTTATGTATGAAGTTGAGGCAAAAGGTGGAGGAAGAAGATTCGCCGCAGAAAAAAAAAAGTTGCAGTGGAAAATACTACAGGGTCGAATCTGGGCCGATAACCAACGTGCGGTTCAAAAATTGTGTACGCGCCGACAGAACAATAGTATATAGGAACATTATGCGTTTATTAATTTAGTTTTCTTTCATTTGTCTGATTCAAAGTTTGTCTAGATCTGAACGACTTATTCATGCACTATGACTCGTATTGCTACACCCGTTGACTCATGGTGAATCACGCCGGTTCCAAGGTTTCTATAGGCCAATAATTAAAATGAAGTTTAATTGTATTGGGTATCTTAAATATATGGATTTGCAACTAGAGGGAGTTTTCCCTCTCTACTCCTCATCAAAAGAGAGCTTGATTTTCTTTGCTTTCTTAGACTTGCGAGGCTTCTCTACCACCTTGGGCGTTTCCTCGGGCTCCTCTTTATTCTCCTCTCCCACCACTTTAGCTTGTTTTCGCTTTCTCTGGCCACCAACTTCTGTGAGGTTGCTCTGTTTGGCTGTCGTTTCTGCTTCTTTTGTCTCCCCTTCCGCGGATTTTGGTAGATCGTCGATGGATGCCTGGTCCTCTTTCGCAGCGTCGCCCTGTGCTAGCACCTTGTATTCTTCTTTTGTGATAACCTCATTGCTCTCCTCGTCAATATATACAGGAGCGTCATCTTCCTCGTCCTTGGGATCTTTGAGTTTTCGAGGTCGTGCCGCAGGTCGTTCTAGGCGGCCAGATGTATCTCCGCTGCCATACTGGCCCCGTAATCTTTGGAGAAATGCAGGCTCCTTTGCTTCTATAAACCGCAATCCGTGATTAGAAATGATATACCTAAATAGAAAGATGAAATTAAAGAGGTGAGGGCCATACCGTAGGCAAACTTGGGGTTTGGCATATTTGCGACCTCACTGTAGTAGCTGGCTGCGTTCAGATTAGACTCATGCTAGATTCTTTCTGGAACAGAACAGAAATCGCAAGAAATAGAGTATCTCAAGCCATTGATTTCGAAAACTTCTAGTCTCTTATTAAAGCAGGCAATGAACTGTTCATGAAGTTGGATGAATCTTGCAGCTCCGAAGCGCCAAAAGACCGCGATGAGCTCACTTGGCGCTAAGCCACATTGGGATACATCGAAAAGTGCAAGGGAACCGCCTCGCGCTTCCCAGCTCTTCAGCATCCACCCTTTCCCTCACCTCACCTCAACCCTCTCCAATCAAATCATGCTGTGTGCAAGTAAGTTCCGAATCATTAATCGATACAATACTTATTCCTGGGTTTCATGATTCTAATCGAAATTGCCCTACAGTCTCTGGAGAGGCTCCGCAAGTGCCTGTCCTCTCTCCCAAGAGCGGTATGTTCTGAATTACCACCATTCGGCGCCGATTATATTTTTAACGTCCATATAGGCAGTGTATTTGAGAAGCGCTTGATTGAAGCATATGTTGCCGAGAATGGAAAGGACCCTGTCAATGGCGAAGAGCTCGCCACTGAAGAGCTAGTCGATATCAAGTCGCAGCGCGTCGTTCGCCCCCGGCCTCCGACCCTCACATCTATTCCTTCGCTTCTCAGTGTGTTTCAGGAAGAATGGGATGCGCTAGCTCTAGAGACATATACTATTCAGCAAAACCTTGCGCAGACCCGCCGTGAGCTTAGTACCGCGTTATACCAACATGATGCTGCTGTGCGCGTGATTGCGCGCCTGACGCAGGAGAGGGACGAGGCCCGCGATGCCTTGTCAAAGGTTAGCGTCGGAGCCACTCGGGGCGCTTCAGGTGGTGATGCCATGCAGGTCGACTCTGCAGGTCTTCCCCAGGCGGTGTTGGAGCGAGTTGAGAGCACACAAGCTTCGTATGTCGAATTACCCACGATTCAACACATTTTTTATGGGAATGGTATACTGATCTGAAATATTTTATAGTCTATCGAAGACCCGACGCAAGCGTGTTGTTCCCGAGAGCTGGGCTACCAGCGATGCTATCTCCGCATACAAACCCGTTGAATCCTCCGAACCTCTGTGCCCAGGTGGTCGTGCCTTATCCATCGATTCCACAGGTGATCTTGCATTGGTCGGTGGTGCTGATGGTGCGGTCAGTGTTTATTCGATTTCTCAAAAAGCTGTGGTCCAGACTCTGAAGACAGATGGCACTGTGACCGATGCGACATGGGCTGGTAACAAGGCTGTTGTCGGATCAGCCACTGGATCAGTGAAGGTTTTTGAAAATGGCAATGAGACTGCTAGCTTTGGCTCTCATGCTGGCGAGGTCACAGCTGTCGCTGTTCATGCCACAGGCGATATTGTCGCTTCAGTAGGTGTTGATAAGAGTTACGTGCTTTATGATCTGTCCACGAACAATGTGATCAATCAAATCTTCACAGACTCTGGTAAGCAAATATTCCCTCAGCAGATATCATTAACTATCATACTAATATCTTTTTTTCATTCGTAGCTCTACTGTCCGTTCGTTTCCATCCTGATGGTCATCTACTGGCTGCTGGCGGTGCCGATGGACAGATTAAGATTTTTGACATTAAGAGTGGCGCCGCCGCTGCAGACTTTGCGATGTCTGCCCCTGTGAAGAGCCTGTTCTTCTCTGAGAATGGTACCTTCCTGGCTGCCGCAACTGCCCAGTCGACCACTGTCTCGATTTGGGACCTGCGTAGTTCCAAGGAAACTAAGGTGCTGGACACCGGCAGCTTGGTCCAGTCAATCTTCTGGGACTACACTGGCCAGTTCCTTCTGACTGGTGGCCCAAGTGGTTTAACTGTTCAACAATTCACTAAGTCCTCAAAAGAGTGGTCAGAGCCTCTGCGGAGTGCTGTGCCAGCTGTGGCCGTTGCTTGGGGATCTTCAGCTCAGAGCATTGTGGCCTTGAATGAGGGAGGTGCAGTAACTGTGCTGCAGTCATGATCAATAAGGACAAAATGTACTTTTAGAGCTGGCCATCTGATTTCTCTATTGTTTCTTTTCGCCATGGTGTTTGTATCGCGTTCACAACAGCTCTGGTGCAGGAAAATCCACATATTTCTCAATAATGACTAGTAGTTTCTACTTCCTATCAAATTCACAGTTTGACATCTTTATTTCATATCTTTGATGTTCTTTTCTTCTTCTCTTACCGCAAAGCACGTCTCTTCGCACTGGAAGCCTTGCTAGAAGCTTTACTTAAATGTCACTTCGTCTAACCTTCCCAAATTCTACCTCTGCACTGCACCCCCACGTTTTTAATTTCACCGCCTTCTTTCATAATTGCTGACCGCCTTAAATATACAGACACAACCACACCGCCTTCGGACTCGGGCCTACTGAGGTGATTGATCTATCATGTCTGCCAACCCTCTGACGTGCCTTTTGCCCTCCTATGCATGTTTGTTTGGTGAGCCGCTCATGGCTATGCCAGATTCTTCTATATTTTTGACCCCGAATCCTGATATGAGTGACGAACCTGGCGTCCAGATATTGGGCGTCAGGTCCAAGGTGAGCAATGCCCTCAAAGAAACGCGGGGGTCCACCAATACGAACAGCCGTCATATTGATAATTTTTCTTTGGTTTCCAAGCGAACTCGCCAAATGTCTCAAGAGTCTAGTGGGGAGTCTTCGCAGTCCTGGTATCGTCACTTCCACCCGCCTCCGCCTCCCCCTCCAGAAGTTGCACGCTCCCGGTCCGCCCAATTGCCACCCATACGATATCCCCGTGATGGCTTTGACTTCCGACGACCAGCTGGCACCCCAAATCAAGAAGACCATATCATAGATTTGACAAATGAACCCGAAACACCACCTCAACCGACCCATTCTCATATAACAGATCCTCAATCATCTTATTCGGCAAGGGCGCCCCGGTTCGGCAGGCCCATTTTAACGCAAGACGTGGTGGACTTGGAGGAACTGGATGACCCTGTAGAGGGGTTATCTAGTAGCCCGGAAGTCCAGTTTGTCAGTGCCTCAATACGCCAACAGCCCTTACCACGGCCACGTCCTATGCATGACACTAGGTTCCAAACAGCATTCTTTGAAGCCTCCCGGGGTCGCCACCCACCCAGCCGGACCCGACCATTTCCCCAGGGAATGTCTCTGCCATCGATGCTAGCTACTTTCCGCCCACCTATGGGCACACGTGGTATGCCGCAGGACATAGAGACATTATTCTTAGGGCACGATGCTCTAGGCCAGAGCCCCATCGACGAGGGTCTAGTCTTCGACTATGGACTTGCTGCCTTTGATATGGAACAGCCCGCCGAAAGACCTGAAGATACACGCCGCGAAACGTACAAAGCACTTAGTCCTCCGCCTGAAGGATTTACCCGTACATTGGGAGATGAAGATGTCGCAATTTGCCCCAACTGCGAATGTGAATTGGGGATTGGAGAAGGGAAAAAGCAAGAGATTTGGGTAGCTAAAACATGCGGACACGTTCGTTACATCATAATACTTTTCAATTGGTTGGATTGAATATGCTAATATCCTGCAGGTTTATTGTGGCGAATGCGCAGAGAATCGTTCCAAGTCTAAATCTCGCAAGATTAACACATCTCAAAAGACGAAACCTTTCTCTAAATGCCAAGTTGATGCCTGCGGTAAGCAGGTCAGTGCGCCAACGGCTATGTTCCATCTATATCTTTGATTCTATCCTCGAATTTTAGAATCACATTGCATGGGGGGTTATTTTTCATGGACTACCTGGAGTCTGTTTTTCTCGTCGATACCCGCGGTGCATGGAATTTATTAGCGTTCTTGATTTTTTTATCTCATCATGTTTGTTTCATTCTTGTTTCTTTGTGATTCTGGCCATTTATACATACTACAGGGGATTGGTATTGTTATTAAGCTACTGCGATCTTGCTGCAGCCCAGCAGAGCATCGCAAGAATTTAACAGAATCCATTCATAAGACGATTTATCCCTCTAGTTCATTATTTTATAGAGTCGCCCAGAATAGTAGTAGGGATACCTAAAGCAATTGTATCCGCTTGAACAGTTACTTTGCTCTCGGCGAGGTACTTCGATGGAAGCACATACTAGTAGACAGGCACTTGGAAGTTATGTATCTTCATTTTTATATTCCGATGAATTTGAAGAGTCAAGTTCTCCAAATTTTCTCCCATAAATTCATACCGCTACATGTCCATTTCAGCTTGGTAAATTGGGGAAATCTATCAACAAAGAGACCCGCTTGTGGGGGGGGCTGATGAATTAGCCAACCTCGGCGATATAATATCGTCATATGAAGCTTGGATGGCTTTGAAAAGATGAAAAGGATGAATAGTCCTGGTTTAGTAGTTGTGCCCAGTTTCAATAATACAACACATCGCAATGGCAAGGCTCCATCGCTTGGAAAGAAAAGACCCCAGCCTCAGCCAGGAATAAATGCTATCATACAAGAAAACGCCCAGAACTCTATACACCACGCATATCACCGTGGTATGGCGACCAGATACCACGCACACTCTCGTTAAGACTCGTCACCGGCTTCTTAGTCCGCTTCAACTTGTCTCCACTCGCGTCCTTAAGGATCATTGCTTTCTTAAGGATCTCGCCGGGCTCCATGTTCCGTACACAGATTGCCTTCTCTTTGCCGTTGATGTACTGGCCCTTGATTACAGGGTGCTTGTTGTGTCGAGGTGCTACTCGGATTTCAATCTGGGGGTTTTCGCGGGCGAAATCAGGGAGGGTCTGGGTCAAGAAGGCGCTGGAAGTGGCAATTGGTTAGTGCACTGGATGAAAAAAAATTAAAGCAACACTGATATTCAAAGAGACTTACAGCATTCCGCGAGAGCTGCCACCATGAGTGCAGTAGTTAAAGTCGAGACGCTTGCATTGAAGGATAAAAGCCCCGACACCATTCTGTGAGATCCATGAAGTCAGCTGCAACGCCCCAACCCATCCTAACGAAACCTTGAGGAACAAAAGTGAGACTTACCCTGGCCGCCGCGACCGTCCGTAAACCTTGAACTGGCATTGCTGTGATTTGGATGTATGTCAATTGGGACTGATAACTTTCCTTCTTGGTGTCACAATTTCTGGCACACGTGAAGGCGGTGAGTATCCGCTAAATGCGGCTACGGCGTTTGTAGCGCAAAGCTCCTTGCTACGACTCAAGAGCGCGACTCTCCTGAGGAACCATCATCCAGTGCACTCTTCTCTCTTTCCACCCTTCACCTGTTGACGGGTTGAGTGCTAACAATGACGGATAAACTTCCCCCTCCATTGTTGGCTCTGTTCCAACCACGCCCACCCCTTCGCTACATCCCTCCCAGCGACCGCGCTCCGGAAGACTGCCCGAAGAGCACCATCTCTGGTGTCGCTCAGTTTCTCCCCGAAGCGAAGAATTTCGAAGAAGAGGCGCCATACAATGCGACCGAAAGCTGGCTGCAGCGCAAATGGCGCCAAAAGGTGGAGAATAAGGAAAGGCTAGAGAAGCAGGTGACAGAAGGCTTGCAAACCTGTATGTGTCATTCACCTCAACCTAGGCTCAAGGTTCCTGGCTAATCATTCGACTCTGTTTTTGACGATTATAGTTGACCCCGAGAAGGACCCCCAAGCTCGAGGTGACCCGTACAGGACTCTCTTTGTTGCTCGGCTCAATTTCGAAGTGAAAGAATCGGACCTCGAGCGAGAGTTCGGCCGATTCGGTCCCATTGAACGTGTAAGATGTCTCTATGGTAATTTCTTTGTTTCAATTTTGCATAAAGTCTGACGAATTTCTCCAGATTCGTATCGTCAAAGACACTGTCTCACCCAAGGCAGCTAAAAGACCAAACAAAGGTTACGCATTCATCGTTTACGAACGTGAGAAAGATATGAAAGGTATAATCACCAAATTATTTTGCCTGCAGTTGCAGTACTTCCAGGGTCTAGTGTTCTGGTAAGAAGAATCATTGCTAACACAGTAAACTCCGATATTCAGCGGCCTACAAAGAAACGGATGGAATCCGTATCAAGGATCGACGTGTTCTAGTCGATGTGGAACGTGGACGCACGACTAAGGGCTGGAAGCCTCGTCGCTTTGGTGGCGGTCTAGGAGGCCGTGGATACACCAAGGCAATGCCAATCCGTCCTGGTGGCCCTGGATTCAATGCTCCATCTGGACCTGGTGGCTACGGCGGCGGCTTTCGGGGTGGCTTTGGCGGTGGCAGAGGCTTCCGTGGAGGAGGTGGTGGTGGTTTCCGTGGGGGAGGTGGTGGCTTCCGTGGCGATCGGTTCGGTCCTCGAGGAGGAATTGGTTACCAGGGAGATCGTAATGGATTTGGCGGACAGCCACCACCCAATGCCCCCTCGGGCCCTGGTGGTGGCCGCAGAGGAGGTGGCGAATTTAGAGGAGGTTCTCATGGTGGTGGTGATAGAGGAGACAGGTTCGATCGAGGTGCAACTGGTAGCAATCGAGAGCCTGTACGGCCCCGGGATGGTCCCCCAGACCGGGATCGTCGTGACGACCGAGATGGTGATCGTTACAGAGATCGTGACCGCCGCGACGACCGCAATGGAGACCGTTACCGAGACCGTGAGCGCGACAGGTATGCTGGCGGCCGGGAGGATTATGGACGCAAGCGACACCGAGAGGACGATGGCCACGACGACCCTCGATCCCGGAGACGTTACTAAATTGCTATTTTCTCCCTTCCAAGCCCTAATCTGCTGGTGGGTATCCCTGATTTGTCCGCCTCGCGTCTTTCTCTCTCCGCATGGGTAAGGGTAGGATGAGAACAGATGAAGTCATGAATTCAAGAGGTCTTCTATGGTCCAGGTCATAACTATCGCCTTGCGCTCACTTCAAAAAGGTCTATACCCGGTTTGCCTGCACGCTGCTTTCGCCCCCGGCTCGCACATAAATCGCCGGTAGTCGACTCCAAGTATTCTTCGGAATGACCATGTATTCCACAGACTCCCCTCCCCTTTTCTTTATTTTTCTCCTCGTCTCCGTTGGTATCTTTTTCCTTCATGTGTGTTTCAGTGAATTGGTCCAGGTTGTATCAATTTTTTTTTTCTTTTTCCCTTTTCTGTTCCTTGATATCTCAGGGGGGTAAGTGTGTATTTTAGTTGAAACAATCACCAAAACGTGATGGATGGAATTCTACTTACTATATGGTTTTGAGGTAAGACCAGGTAAGGGCCAATTCAAGAACCAGAAGGAGTCATCTTGCTAGGTAGCGAATGAACGTAATGGTTTTTCTTTTGGAAATCAGGACAAGCGGTTGAAATCTTTATATCCAATTTTAAAGTATCTATCCAAAATCGTTGGCATATCATTCTGAGATCTAAGTCTCACAAAGAAACATAAAAGACGGAGATATGGAATATTGTTCAATGTATTTGTATAAAAGGACCACAAGAAAGAAAATGAAATAGTGCGCCCACCCCAAACTCCATAAAGATGCCCACAAGAATCTTTTTTATCAAGAACAAGAGGCAGAGCAGTGCATCTATGCATCAACTTCCATATCGCCCTGCTCCAGAATCTTCACCTCGTTGGTATTCCGCGACCAGGAAGCCTTAAGCTCAACCTTGAACTCGGAAGATGTAACACCAAACATCTTCATCAGGGTTGTCTGGCGCGAATCAAGAGTTTCTCCTTTGCGGCACACTGGGAAACCTTCTTGGCCCTCGGTCAATTCGAGCATGACCTTACCCTTAACGAGACGAGTGGGGACGCCCAACTTGCGCAGAGCAGGCTCAATGGTGTGGCTAATGGGCTCATCGTGCTCGGCAGGGATCTCACCGGCATGCTGGTAGACGAGGCCGTTAGGGATGCTGAAGGAGCGAGTAGCCTCAGTGCCGGCACGGGCAAAATCCGAGGGGCGGAAGGTGTCGAAATATTCGGTGACAGATTCAGCAGCGCGGGAGGTGAAGAGCAGACCGACGGCACCGGCCAGGTAGGGGGTGAGGCGGTGCACATTAGGTGCAGCTTCAGTTTCGGGGTTGTTACCAAGTGCCTTGGCCATAACCTTCGTCTTACCGAAGAAAAGACTGAAGAATTGAGTTAGGATAAATCGATCTTAATGCGGGGATGAACATCAAGCATGGTTGTGCATATATGCGGAGATATATTCTTATATAATACGTCTGCAATGCCAACCTTGATACTGATGAGCTTGTTGAAAAACTTACCGGCTGTCTGAGAACTCGGCACGCACATCCTTCAGGTATGTGTTGCGCATGTTGTCGACGGCGAAGACAAACAGATGGTCATATTCCTCCATACATTCCCGAATGTTGGCATAGAGTCTGCGGGTTTGCTCCTTGTGGTCCTTCTTGACAGTCTTGGACTCATGGACGACGCGCGCGCGCTTTGAACGAGGCATTATGAAGAATGTGTGGTATAAAATGAATCGAGTGAATCGTTGGGTTATATCTATTATGCTTCCCGAGTGTGGCTTTGGCTGATATTTTTTTTCTCGCTGATAACCGGATAAAGTATTGCTCCGGAGCTTATCCGACCACCCCCACTAGTCTCCATCGGGCAAGCAGCTACTCCCCATTATTAACATCATCATCGCATCAAACGCGACTTCAAGGGATCCGTGAACTTGAGTCGAGGGTTCCGGTCCCAAGTCCAGAATATGCTGGATTTTATGGACTATATCCAGCTCGCCTTTTCGGAGGCGACCAACTGGAACCGCGACAATTCGTACTTGTCGCTGACTACTACGTCCCAGTGTAAGTCGCCTTTAAGGGATGCGACTCGAAATGGGTCAATGGGATCTCAACTAACGTGAACACCAGCAATTCTCGATTTCTCTACTCCTGAGCGACTACGCGTGCGCCTGTCTTCTCTTTCGACGCCATATTTCGCCACTAGCTATTCGCTCGGCACAGTAGGATTACTCGATGGATCTGTATCGTACCTCTTCAGTACGGTCCCCTTCAACAATACCCCCAGTCGAAGTGCCTTGATTCCTCTACGGAATATATCGCCCGGTTATCGACAAGTTCAAGCACCTGTTGCACCGGTGGAAACATGGGGGTGGGATTCACTTCTTGATGGAGTCAGTTTCCCAGGGATCAAGGATGGATCGCGTTTAGCATCCCGGGACAATAAGGATGGAAACCATCCCACAGATGAAGCAGTAAAACGAAAAGCGACCCTGCTGCATGCATCATTGCACCTCCCATCTCCCACTACTCTTAATGCACTATTCCTGCGCAGAATGTCTCCAACCATGCAGTTATGTCTGGCTGTCTGTTCCACCCAAGGACCACCACTGTCCAAGTCCGCGCCACAAGCATCGATGCTGGCTCAATTATCTCATGACACAGGAAAATACTGCAACGAGTACTTATTTAGTACAGATAATGCCCTCTTTGGCTGGCGCGGTATCTGGAACTTTGGACCAGACCCCAGAACTAAGCCCGCCAACGCCGCGCCTGCATTATCACTCCTATCTGCCGGTGCAGAGGCATATTACTCGCCTACTTCTTCATTGATAGGCATGTCCACAGGTCTGCGATTCAGCACACTTCCAGCAGCGACTCAAGTACCTTCGTCTACATCTACATCTTCCTCATCCAGCAGCCCCGCCCCTATATCCACTTTCCCTTACACATTAACTGTCACACTTACTCCAATTACCGGCTCTTTATCAACAACTTATTCTCTCCGTGCATCGCCAAATCTTGCTTTCAGCTCTCGCTTTGGTTTTAATGTGTACAGCTGGGAAAGCGAAATGGTTGCGGGTTGCGAGCTTTGGCGCCGAGCGGGCAAATCTACTGCATCCTCCTATGAAGATTTAGAATGGGCTCGTCGCAAGGTACGTCTGCATGATTTCTCTGCCTCGATGCCCGGTTCTCCGCCGGCCCCCCCACTCTCCGATCCGATTAATCCCGAGCCCGTTCAATCCAATGATGATTATAACGGCGTCGAGGCTGGTAATTCAGTCGTCAAGCTTCGTGTTGATCAGTCCTGGAACATGCGTTTGCTCTGGGAAGGCCGTGTCAAGGAGCTTCTGGTCAGTGCAGGTGTCGGGTTGGGCCCTGGTTCATTCTCTCTGGCGCCGAATATTTCGTCCTCAGGAGGCTGGTCAATGTCTGGAGGTGGGACATCATATTGGCGTGGGGTTGGGGTTTCAGTGATGTACTCCTCCTAAGGGGTGTTGGACCACATCCTGTCAAGCTGGCGTCATTTTTATTTGCGCAGGCCTCATTACACTCGACGCAGACTATATCCTTTATACATTGGTGGGGTACTCTACGTGCTACTTATAGTATCTCATGGTTTGATAATACCGCAAACTGAAAATACTGGGCGGTTCCAACATTGTACATATATTTCATGACAACATATCTGACGTTTAAAGCTTTTATCATGTTAATCTGTGGCTTTTTAACCTAAGCCGACCAGTCCTGGCACTGAGGGAGTATCAAAATATTTCTCAAATTTCCGAACATGCATCTTAGATGCGGGCATTGATGATGTCGACGACTAGAAGATATGCCGTTAGCACTAGGTATATAAAGAGAGGTAAGATCCAACAGTAACTTACAGGCAGGCTTCAAGCTGGCACCGCCAACAAGGAAACCGTCAACATCGGGCTGAGTAGCGAGCTCACGGCAGTTCTTCTCGCTGACGGAGCCACCGTAGATGATACGGACGCCGGCCTGGGCCTCAGCACCGATGCTCTCTCCGAGCCACTTGCGGATGGCAGCGTGGACCTCCTGGGCCTGCTCAGTGGTAGCGACCTTGCCGGTACCGATGGCCCAGACGGGCTCGTAGGCGATGACAACCTTGGCCCACTGTTCCTTGGAGAGCTCCTTGGCGGCAGCGTTGAGCTGACGGGTAACGACCTCAATGGTCTTGTTGCCTTCACGCTCCTATTTCATGCAAAGAGTCGGGTGTTAGCGGGTGTTATGCCAACATGTTGCATCCCGATGTGGGTCACCGGGACGAAAAAACGGGTAACCGAAACTGGGAATGACGTACCTCAAGGGTCTCACCAATGCAGAGGATAACCGAGACGCCGCCCTCAATGGCAGCCTTGGTCTTGCGGGCAACGAACTAATGAGTAGATTGTGAGTATTTGAAGCTTTGGTGTTGGAATATGTGGTGGTTTAGGTGTTGCCCGATGGGCACGGATGTATAGATCGCGGGGTTGGGTTTTCCATACCTCATCGGTCTCCTTCAGGATGACACGGCGCTCGCTGTGGCCGATAACAGCCCAGTTGATCTTGTTGTCCTGGAGCTGCTCGACGGAGATCTCACCAGTGAAAGCACCGTTGGGCTTGTCGAAGACGTTCTGGGCGGCAACACCGATCTTCTCGTTGGCAAGTTCGCGGGTGAGAGTGAGGTACAGAGCAGGGGGAGAGATGACGACCTCGGTGTTGGAGTCGAGCTTGGCAGCATTGAGGTTGTTAACGATGGCGGTGATGCTCTCCTTCACACCGTTCCTGTATTTTTAAGCGTCAATTGTATGGCTCTGAGGTGCTTTGCCTTGCTTTGGAGGGGCAGATGCTGAAGCATCGCGGGGTAGTATGATAGTACGTACATCTTGAAGTTACCACCAACGAAGAATTGACGAGCCATCTTGAATAGATTAAGAGTAAATGTTATGGGGTATTTGAAAAAAGAAGAAAAAGAGAAAGTAAACAAGTTGAGATAGAATACGAGGGAGGAACGGGCGTTTAAAAGAAATGGAGGGGCACATCTGCTGCTCCAAGCCACCAGGACCCACATCGGGAGGCTGATGTAATCCCGGTCGGTCCCATCGTCATTGGATTGAGCGAGCTGCATACTGCAGGTGAACATACTGTGTGTACATGGTGATAGCATCCAGTTGAAATTATGGATATGATTGGCATTCGGATGTCCCTGCACCTCTCTGTGCTCTGTAGACTTGGATAAATGTCGCAGCCCTGGACTATCACCTATGTACTCATTACATCTGCGTTGGTATTCCAAAGTTGGCCTGATATATAGATCATGATATATACTAGTTTACCCGTAGTCGTTACCCTAGATCAACGACTTGAAGCTCAGAGCAAACCAAACCAAAGTGCTTTATATTTTTATTTCTATTAGGAAGTAATAAAAAACCCTTTATCGACCACGGCTTATCAGACCAAAGTAATTAACTTTGAGAATCAAACGTGCCATAGCGTAGATCTCCGGGCCTCAACCAAGGGGCGCGTGCTCCACGTGATCCTGCACTATCGCGACGCGGGATCGGACTAACAATCGATTTCTCCAATCAATCTCTACACCCTCAATTCGAGCTGGATTTGTTGATAGGCAATGGAAGCGGCTTGCCAGTCATGAAGAATGGCAGGGACAGGAGTATCGGGTATGGCGACTTTCGTGAGCCCCATATACAGATTCCTAACCACTCGAGTTTCACAGACAAGGAGCACCCGCTCGCGGGCGCGGTGATTTGCTTCACTGCAGTCCAGTTGGAGAAAAAGGTGTGAAGTGTTATACTTGCATGGATTCATGACTCATACTAACGTGCCTGCAACTTAGACCCGGCTTCTCAATGTCGCAAAAGAAATGGGCGCTTCTGAACGACCCGATCTAACCAACGAAGTCACTCATCTATTTGTCGGAGCTACCGATTCCCCCAAATACCAATTCGTCGCACGCGAGCGAAACGATGTCAAAGTCCTCCAACCAGAATGGATCGAGGCAGTTCGCGAATCGTGGATGCAGGGGGAGGACACCGACATTCAGGCATTGGAAATAAAGTATAAGCTACCTACCTTCTTTGGATTGACGCTTTGCATTACTGGTTGGTCAGACATGGGATATCGGACGAAAATGAATGATATTGCTATGGAGAATGGAGCAGAGTTTCGAAGAGACTTGACTAAAAGCGTTACGCACCTCGTGGCCCGGTATGCGGAAGGAGAAAAATACAAGTTCGCAACACAATGGGGAATTAAAGTTGTCAGTGAAAAATGGTTTTACGATTGTGTTGAGAGAGGTATGACCTTAAATGAAGAAAAGTATCATCCATCCCTGCCACTCGATGAACAAGGTGTTGGCGCATGGGATCGACTTGCTCCCAGAGGATATGGGGAAAAAGCGAAACAACGGCAGGCGTCCGGCGATCCCTCGTCTGATAACAGGCCTCGAAAGAAGCTACGCCGGACTGCAAGTACCAAGCTTGTTGGTCAGAATGAGAATATATGGGGTGATATCATCGGGGCTGGTTTCATGAACGCGGAGACGACAGATTCGAATAAGAAGGAAGAAGATGAGATGGACTCGCCACCGCCTAGAACTGTTATTCAAGCAGCCAAATCTTTCGCCAGCGAGTCTGTTTTCGGCGAGACTATGGAGAAAAGTCAACCCCAGGAGCTGGCACCTAAAATCCCGGAGGGCTTTCTCGGCGGGTTCTATTTCTATTTGCATGGCTTCTCAACAAAACAGGTAAACGGTCATTGATTCCTTGACTGAAGATATGAGCTAATAATTTATAGATGGGGGTTTTACACCGTCATCTTGGATTCAATGGAGCAGAATGTGTGAAATCACTGAGCGAGTTCTCTCGTCCAAGTATTCCAAAGACGGGCCAGGGCCTATACATTATGATTCCGTACCAGACCCCAAGATCTGAAGTTCCATCAACGGATGAAATGGCATTCGAATGTGACGTTGTTACAGACATGTGGCTTGAAAAGTGCTTGCATGCACGCGCACTCATACCTCCCGAATCCCACGTTGCTAGCACACCATTTCCTATATTTCCTATTCCAGGTAAGTACCTACCAGATCCTCTGGCCGAATTTCGCTAAGACATGGAATAGGGTTTGCGGAAATGAGAGTATGTTCTACCGGGTTCGCAGGAATTGATCTTCTTCACGTTTCCAAAATCGTGGCCTTGATGGGAGCGACATACGATGAAGTGCTCACACAGCAGGCATCTGTCCTGATTTGCAATGACCCACAAACCGCAAGCACAGACAAACTGCGGCATACTAGTGGATGGGGTGTCCCAGCCGTTTCTGCAGAGTGGCTGTGGATATCCGTTCAGGCTGGCCAAAAGAAGCCACTGGAACCTTATATCGTGCAAAAGCAAATATCACAAGCCAAGCGGACTGTAGAAAAGCCCGGCGCTGCATTTGCGAACGAAAGAACTATAGACGAGAAATTGAAAAAAGGACAGGAGGCAGGGTCAAAGACTAGTCCAGACTCTACCAATGAAGAAGTATCCGAAAAAGCGCAGTCTGTGAAGAATAATCGCAACCGCGTGATGCCAATAATTGACGACGGCTTTTCGAAAGACGCTGAAGATAATGCGCCACAGGCCTCTGTACCAGGCTCTCGATCTCCATCCCCTAGCAAAGCAGAAGGCGATTCCACCACTGATGTCGCTGCTCCTAAACAAGCCGAAGAAGACCAAGCCAAACCGGCCGGGCCCTCTGCGTTAGACACTGCGCTCAAAGGACTCCTCCAGCAAGCACAAGCAGCAAAAATCCGCCAAAAGAGCGAAGGCACAACAAGCACAGAGGACGACAAGTTCTCAAATCGAAGAAAACGGAAGCCTCTTCTCGGCCGCGCACCATCTCACTCATCCACCAAGGCCCTCGAGAGCACCGGTGCACCATCCAGAGCTAGCTCCGTCGACACACTCAACGACGATGGTATAGGCTCAGCAATAGAGACAAACGACCAAACAAGAGAGAATCTCTCTCGCGCGCAGATAGCCGCATCGATGTCCTTAATGATCAGAGTCTGTCGTCGATGTTCAGCGGTAGCGGTGGAAAATTTGATTTCTTAGCTGATAAGCAACCTGCGCTCGATGGAAAAGACGAGGACGAAGAGAATACTGAGCCCCAGATGACACAATTGGATTACGAGGATGCGGATGCAGCAGCTATGAGAGCTGAATTCCTGCGTGACGCAGGAAAGTTGGTTGGCAAGCCCAAGCCGGCTGATCCTGCATTATTAATTGGGGAGGCGAGAGAAATGGAAGATGTAGGATGGGGCTCTAGACGAAGAACTAGGAAGCATCCTCGCGGTGATGATGATTGATTATTTATGCAAGAGGGTATGTATTGGCATTTCTTCCTCTTTTTAGGTGTTCTGGATTATCATGCATGGCACTGCATTGCATTCTGGATGGCGTTTACTGCTAGATTAGATCATACTCGCCACGGTCTCTCTCAAGATCCCATAAAATAAATACAGAGACTGCTCTTGCAACTTATATTTGTCCATTCCAAAGCCCACTGGCATGAGATAGACATTGAAAAAGCTGCTTATCTACTTCACTTGGTAGTACATATGTAATTTGGCTTATGTTTACACTTGTTTTTACTGAAGTAGCGGTTATATGGAAGCATGAAGTAGTTAGTCTTGGTTTCCAAACTACCTGTACTTAGGTGGGCACATCTGCAAGAATTGATTACTCCATATGATCTGGACTATTTATAGCATAAGACCCAATTCAGGGCGTGATCGGCGCTGTAGCACTAGGACTGTATATACATGGTAGGAAGAGTGGTCACCTCTTGGCGAAAGGTATTGCCAGATCGATGGTTTCGGGTAGATGCCATCTGTTTTCATGGTTATCAAGGTGATCAGGGAAATCAGTGTGGAGATCCGATGTTCACTTACCATGACTGGATGGAAACTGTGGGATAGTCGAAATTTCAAGAAAAGTGACCAATGGCGTGAGGGTCCTTGTAATGCCGTCAAAGGCAGGAATCGGGGCACATCCAGAACGGTTCAGAACAGCGGAGCATCCATGCCATATTTTGATCTCTTCAAATCGTCGAAGGTTATAGGCTTGGACACCGGGACTTGAATGGGCCGTACTTTTGGATCGTCCAAAAGATAAATGATATCCATCGTCCATTTCCACTTGTCGCTTGTCACTCCATCCCTTGTGTCGTCCCGGAAGTAATTCACATATCCCGGCCGCTCTGAAGAGAGTGACACTGTGACGGATATAGCCTCTTTTGTCGATCTTGAGATATCATCCTTTCACTTATTAAGATTCGTTAAATTAGTATCCAGGGCACTCTTGATACCCTGCCACTGAAGCTGGATGACATACCTAGAGGGGATCCACGTAGGCGAGTCTTCGAAGGTGTATGCATAATCCAAGCCACCGCTTCTCCAGTCTCCTGATAGCACAAACTTCTTGTTCTCTCATCAGCGTTACCCAGTATAAACTGATCAGGCCCTGAATGATAACTCACGGCGGGCATTTTGACAGTTGAGAGAAGACGTGTTGAGTCTAAAGAAAGAGAAAAGGGAAGTAAGAAAGAGAAGTCAAGAGAGACAGAAATATTCAGCTCTGAATATATGGTAGATGACAGGTGGACATGTGCAAACAGCTTCCAAGGTTGTAGTACTCCTCAAAAAGAAGGCAGCCCGAGGCATGCGTAATAGTACCTGGAACACAACATTTGAAGCATGGCAGGTACTACCTGCAGGTGCCTACTTATGCACTTATCTGTCGAGGATAGTACTTACCTGCTACACATTCTCCTACCCATTGTCTTACTGGGCATCTGCCTACAGCTGATTCCCTAGTGCCTGCTTGAAAATAAGAACAGAAAACTTACCAGGTAGCCAACCTTATGCAGCCACGGGTATGATGTTCAACTAGATTTATGATACCTAGCACAGGAATATAGAAGCTCTTTGGTAATTAAGATAGGAAAAACAGAATCATAATTTCAATTCAGATGGGAATCTTGGGCTAACTTGGAATGACTCCGATGTACACCATCACGCCATGTAATAAGAGTAAAGAAAAAAAGCCATGTTACACCATGTAATTTTTTTTTGAGGAGGAGTGCAGCATGCAAGGAGAAAAGCACATGAGAAGGGATATCGAAGAAAGAGGCGAAAGAGCCCAAGGAAAAAGCTGTACACCTTGAGGTTACAGACAGGAAAAAGGAGAGATAAAGGATAGAGAAGATGAGGCAGAGAAAGAAAACTGTAGACTGTTGGTACATAAAATAAGTCTTGCTTAAAGGTTGAAGGCACCCATGCCACCAGGGAGTGGGCCATCTAAATCGAGATCCTCGACAGAGCGGCGGTTCTCAGTGCTATCACGGAACAAGTTCGAGAAGTACTTGGTAGCAACCTCGCTCTCCTGCTTGACCTTGGCGACTTCCTGCTTGCGACGACCAAGGTCTTCGATGTCTTGAGAGAGGCATGTCTGCAGATTTTTGGCAGGTAAACGGAGGATACGCCGGACTTCGGCTGAGATACGGGTTGAGTTTGAATGAACATAATCCATCTCTGCAAGTGCCGCTGAAATCTTTTTAGAGATCCGCGGAGGCAAGGTTGTCGGGATAGAAGACAGGACATAAGCGGCAGTCAAAACGGCTGTAGAATAATCAGTTAGCATAAACCAAGAAGTGTGATCTTAGGAATGGATACTCACCAGCTGTAAGAACGCTGGGAAGGAATAGCCGGCGGACGTTGTTCGGACCAAGAACCTTGACCGTGCTCAATGCACTGTCGACCCAACTGAAACCACCGAAGACTCTGCCTCCTAGCACGGTGACTGCAGTCATTGCCATACCTGTGCCCGCTACCTTCTCCTGGCGCTCCCATAGGCCAGCCACATCAAAGAAGTCCCATAGCTCGACTTCAGTATGTACCTGCCGGCCTAAGGCATGACGGCGACCTCGTCGGAACATCAAGTCTCCACGGAAGTTGAGTGGACTGAACTTGTCTTCACCGACATGCAGCAGACCGATATTTTGAATGAAACCAACTCCCTTGACGGTCGTCTCCCTAGCGTAGTCTTCACAGTCTGTAACAGCAGAGGAGATTTGATCAAGCATTGCGAGTTTGAGGTCTTCGGCGTATTGGAATGCGCCAAAGAGACCAGGATACTCCACGCCTAAATCTGCTTCAGACACCCGAGAGATTGTATCAGAGAGGCTGGAGCGTGTGTGATTATAGACATCATCACATGATTCGTCAATAGCTCTATCCACACCTTCTGTTAGCTCACCCTTCTGCCTTTTGCCATTCTCGTATGCGGGTTCAAGCTCGGCTAGTTCATTTGTAACCCGAGTGAGTTCAGACTGGGCAACGTCACGGTTGACGGTAGCAAGCGAGTTGAGGTCGGCAAGGAGATTCAGAAGGTAAGTTCGAGCGGGGGCAAGCTTGGAGCGAGATCGTTTCTCAAGAACAAAGCGTCGCAAAGCTCCTTCCAAGTTTTCGAAATCCTGAATCTTCTCCTGTTCCTTTTCCTTGCCCTTACCCTTGCCGGCCTTGTCATCATCGTCATCATCATGAGGGTCCGAGCCATCACCTCCTCCGCCAGAACCAGACTGTGATAAAGACCCTGGAGGAGCAACAGGGATAGCATTGCTTGAAACAAAGTGTACTAGCTCTGCGGCCTCTTTGTATGTGCGAGGGCTGAGCTTGCCTACTTGATCCAGAATCATGCGTTCACAACGTTGCTTGTCGCGAATTTGGTCAAATCCGTTCACCACCATGAAGATGTAGGCTTTCTCATGGGCGGCATTGAGAATGAATTCCTTTGCGGAGAGGGTGAAGTGATTGGCGGCGGAAACCACAAAAACAACAACATCAATTTCTTCCTGACGTGCAAATACAGCAGTTGTCTTCAAAGAATCTGAATTCAAGCCGGGTGCGTCAATCAAAGCAATATCAACAACACCGTTGTTGAGTAAGGACTCATCAATCGACCGCACGTCCTTGACATAAACCTTGCACTGCATGTATTTCAAGTTGTCGACGACAAGATCCTCGAGCTTGCTCATGGGGTAAACATCATAGGTACTTTCATCATTGCGGTTGTACGGGATATCTTTGTGCACTGCATGAACCTCCTCGATTCCACTGTTCTCACGAGCATCAAGGACCTCACAGAAAATGCTCGTGCAAGGCTGTTGATCCTCCGGCAGAACCTTTCGTCTGAGCAGGGCGTTGCAAAATGTCGACTTTCCGGCATTTAGATCACCGGTGATCAACACCTTACTTGCCGTATCTTCAATTCGATCTCGTAACGAAAGAAGATGCTTTACACTCTGACTGATTCTTCCATCGAGCAACGAGGCTATCGAGGCCTTCTCTAACGAATGCACTAGTTCCGCCTGTGATAAAGCCCCCAATTTGAGATCAAGCTTGAGGATCGAGAACTCTTGGGCGATTTGCGGGGTCATCAGTCTTGGCTCAGGCGCTGGACGGCGCTCAGCAGCGGTGCTTGATTCACCAAGATCCTCTCCATTCGTCGTAGTTGTGGCGCGCTTTAATTCAGGTCGAGGGGGAGATGTCGGTCGAGCATCATCCATACCAAAGTCGGATTGTGCCGTGTGCAAGTGTGGACGCTCTGAAGGCGACGGAGGGGTGCTTTGCGCATTTTGTACGGAGGGATAATGGGCGGGCCACTGGCGATTCATATCCTGGAGTTCCTTCAATGTTTCAATAGTCCGGGAAATCGCACGACCAAGCTTGGTCCGGTTTGAGTTGCTGCAAGAAATTTTATTAGCATGCCGAATATTACCAAAATAGATATAGATATAATAGACGTACTACAGAAGTTGATGGACATGGTTCGCGACGATTTGTTTCTCATGTTCAGCTGTTGGGCGTGAAGAAAGCTTGTTAGCGAGTCATCTTCTTAAACCGCCTCATTCAACTGCTCTCTCACCACTTACCAGCGGGGTTGTACTCGCCCGGGCGCGTTGGAGTATGCGCCGGAGTTGGTCGGTCTTCCAGCAGACCAGCACGCCAAGCGGCACTCGAGCCCTCATTTGTAGCACCACCATCTGCGATACTACCTCCATAGCCCGAATCGTTGGCTAACGAAGTCATAAGCGCGGTTGCGTTGTCCGACGTCGACCCATTACCGACAGTCATGTAGGCCGGTGGGGGTTGGGCAAAGAAAGGATTCCGTTCTTCTTCTTCACCAGAAAAACGAGACGAGGCGGACCGTGAAGATCCCTCGCCGGGGAAATACTCCTGACTCATGACGAAAAAAGGGTGTGATGGAGAGCCATTCGAGGGGGTTTGTTTGTTTGAAAATCAAGAAAATCCACGGAACAAGTCGATTTCCAATGGTTAGGTGACGTTCGTGCTCAAAAGGGTTAGAGCGTGCATGTGACCCGTAACTTACGCCCGTTATCGTGAACCGTATCTTACATGGTTGATGTCACCGAGCGTTAGTGCCTGAGAGAGGACAACACAGGCTTCCCCTCGCCCTCAAGTGCTGCATTCTTTGCCAAACAACTACCCCAGAGGTCGATTTACTAACCCTCACCATGAATGTATGTGGTTGTCACATCTTTTGATCACATATCTTTGACTTACAACCCACTTGCTAGATTGTTGAATGGGCATTCGGCAAGCGCATGACGCCTGCGGAGCGTCTGCGCAAACACCAACGTGCCTTGGACCGAACACAACGTGAGCTGGACCGAGAACGAACGAAACTAGAGAACCAAGAGAAGAAATTGGTGCAGGACATCAAGAAGAGTGCCAAGAACGGCCAGGTCGGCGCATGCAAGATTCAAGCGAAGGATTTGGTTCGGACACGACGGTAAGTAGTGCTACGAAGCCCCCTTCATCATCTGAGAAGTCAAATCCTTCAGGACTGCGCTGACAAGTTGGGAAACAGCTACATTCAGAAGTTTTATCAGATGCGCACTCAATTGCAGGCGATTTCCTTGCGCATTCAGGTACGACAAGATCGGCAACGCCCCACCCCCTCCACAAGGGTCTCAATCATACTAACAGCTGGGTTTTAAAGACGGTTCGAAGCAACGAGCAAATGATGCAGTCGATGAAGGGGGCTACAATGCTACTGGGTAGTATGAACCGACAGATGAACCTCCCGGCATTACAGCGCATTGCCATGGAATTCGAACGAGAGAACGAAGTCATGGATGAACGACAAGAGATGATGGACGATGCCATTGATGAAGCTACAGGAATGGAAGGCGAAGAAGAAGAAGGCGAGGACATTGTGAAGGAAGTTCTGGACGAGATCGGTGTTGACCTGGGCCAGTCGGTATGTGTTACTTGTCTCGAACTACTCACAGAACTACATATATACTAACCGACCTGATAACTAGCTCGGCGAGACTCCGTCCGACATACAAAAAGAGACGGTTGGGGAAACCCGAGTTGCTCAAGCTGTTGGTGGCGGAGGCCATGCAGATGATGACGATGATCTTCAAGCACGCCTGGACAGTCTTCGACGATAATCATGACCTTTTCGCATTACCTGCTGTCTTTCCCTCTACCGTGCCATATTGATATCCTACTCATGTTTTTATGTTGCGGCCTGTATTTCTTTTTGGATAAAGGCCCCTGCGTTATTTTCTTAGTTGCCTGGGTATACTTTAGCGTATCATGGAATTATGTTCACAGACGATTGCTGCCTAAATACCTTCGATTACATCTGGAGGTTGTCTGAATTATAAATCAAATAGTTTGATCATGTTTATGAATGCACTGATTGGACTTCGAAGCTATGGATTTATATCAAATAAGAAGAAATAGAACTCACGCAGGCGCTAATGATAAATGTACGTGTCGTTTCTACCCAGCCTTTTTTTTTCTTCGTAATGGAATCGTCTCGAGGGGTATATTATTGATAAGTGGTGAACAGCCGACATCCATCTAGGCGATTGGAGGCTGGTATCTCAACGGCACCACCCAGCGATTGCCAAAATCAATACCATGTCGACGACGAGTACCGTACTTTCGCCATACAATCTGTGGGATCCCGATATCTGCAACACTAACATTCCACGAGTGGCCCTCACCGGAGACTAGAGCATTGAGGATTCCAGTTTTTGGGGCACCAAGACAGACAACCGATGAACCATTGACACAAAGTCGACCGCCGTCAACGGTGGTAACGTCACCTGATACCCAGCCTGTTAGCTATAAATTCGAGAAAGGGGATTGGCTGGAAAACTTACCGCTTGAAGCTGACATGCCTGATGGAATGTCAACCGAGAGAACCTCCACGCTGCTTCTATTCACCCATGAAATCATCTCAAATGCGACCCCCTGGTCATCAGTTCGGAGGTCATCGAAAGCAAGATGCATGCCAAATAAGGCATCGATAACCACGTCGGGAGATAGGTCGGCAGAAGACAGACGAGTTGATAGCTCCTCCCATTTTAATACACGACCGCCTATTTTCCGGAAGATATCCAGCTGCTTTCGGCAGTTCTCCAGTAACTCGGCCTCATGTTCGAGGCCCAGAAGGCATACAGTGACTCGGTGACCACGATTGCGTAGATGACGTGCAGCAGAGATAGCTCTAGCTCCCGTGCGGTGGTTACCCGTCACAATAAGCATAGTCGGTGCGGCCGCGTCACTAGATAACAGAGCAACCGCTGCTTCCGCAATCCCTCGACCTGCATTCTCTGTAATGATATCTTCACTCAGGCCAAACTCCGCCACAGCAATTTGCTCAACCTCTAACGTCTGCAACGGGCTCACGGTTGGGCAGCTACGGTTCGTAGTCGTCAATCGCAAAGATCCACCAGGTGCATTAGAGCCCACCATGGGGGACACGGATGAGCGGCCTGGGTGAGGGCTTGTAGTGCGAGATGTATTCAATTGGGTGCGACCAAGGGCATGGATATTTGATATCATAGGTTGTCCCATGATGCCACTGCTTTTGCGAGATGGCTGTATCCGCGCAGAGACCCTGGACCTGTCACGTCCAGAGATATTCTCACTGCTATGTCTGGCATCACTAATTTGCTCGATATCTTCACCGGTATCACTATTCTGCGGGCTGTCGAGCACATTTTCCGACCAGTGAAGGTTTTTGCCGCCATTGGTCCCGGGTTTGGGGAGCCGATTGAAGCTCACCAAGCGGGCCTCGTCTGCTGTAGTGTCGTCGTTGCGAATTTCTTCAAACACCCGTCGCTTATCGAATTTTGAGAGGTTGCTAGCGAAATCGAACTCGCCAAGCTCTTGAATGTCGGTTGCGTCTTCGGTAGCCCAGCCGCTAGGATCCTCAGCATATGCGCGGCGTGTCTTCTTCTTGCGAATCTTTCCGCCAGGTTGTTGTGCATGGTGCTCAGGTGATGTCTGCACCGCAGCACCTACTGGCTCTACGAAGGCAGTTTGACGCCAGCCCTTGCTGTTTGGGTTCGTGCTCGCTGTGATTCCATGCTTGCCTACGGACCCGCCTTCTTTGCCACGTTTGCTGCGCTTAGTCGAGGCCTGTTTGCTTAGGGCCGAATTTTGGGCCGCCTGAAATTGCCCGAATGAGTGACTCTGCGCTTCACCATTACCCGTATCAGCATTCAACTCAAGGCTGCTGAAGGGCTCAGACAACGATGCACCGACTGGCGCAGACGGCTGGCTCGTGCTAAGTGGAGCCGGGTGAGATTGTGCTGGTAGGTTGGTGGGTTTGGTAGGAGGTTTAGAGTAACTAAGGATGGCCGGGTCGACAAAGGTCTGCTGTGGAGGAGGTTGGGGTTGAGGTTGAGCGGATTGGACCTTAGGGGTAGCTTGCGACGAAGCCTGTCGCTGTAGAGGAGCTGTTTTGTTCGATTGCAGGGAGAGGTCGGCGATCATGCTGGCATCTAAAGAGAAAGTGGGGAGTTTTTGGTTGTTCCAAAGACAGGTGACTGAAGAATATACCATGAGCGGGGTTTCTAATGAAATCCACATCCTAGACTGAGGGCTTACCATCTTTCAGAAATAAGTTTTGCCCAACGACATTAGCAACCTGGCCCAGGAGCTTTCCGCTGAGCGGTGGCTTTAGGCTTACGAGCACGTCGTAACCAATGAACTCAGTCGCCATATTCACGGAATGCCACAATTCTCATGCGATCACAATTGAAACATTTGACGGATCAATCTGACGGTGTGTGTGAACAAAGGGAGGGGTGTGTCGTAGTTGGAGAAAGAAAGCTCAGGCAGCTTCGAGGACCGAGGCGATCACGTGTGGCGGTGGCTTATCGATAAGTAAAGTGGGGAATCATACATGTAGGTTAGGGCTGCATGACATGTATAAGCTAAGAAGCAAGTCCGCACACATACCTTGGACGTTGCTTTCTTCAAATCTATAGGCCACTTGTTCTTTGTATGATGATAGTTACTCGAACCGTATTTTGCGCATTCGACCTAGAACAAGAAGTGTACTACTATCTGGAATTAAAGGGTTGATTGATTGAATGACTGCAAACATGGATATCGCTATGGTGGATACATACATGAATAACATGAAGACAAAGTTTAAAATCATATCAAATAAGTCCAAAGTCAAGTGGTTTATATAGCATCAAAGCAGTCATCTTCAAAATCGTCCGCTGGCTTCGAAGGATTGGAAACCTTGGCCTTCTTTCTCGGCCCCAGTACATCGTCGATAGATACAAGTTTTTTGTAAAAATCTATAACTTTGTGATGCACCATTACCTTCCGAGGTTCAAAACGACTGACTTGTAATCCTTCCTGGGAAGTTGCTCGACTAAGAGCCACGTAGGCTTGGCCCTTCTCAAATACCCGACCTAGGTCGACTTTCACTCGTTGTAAGGTTTGGCCTTGAGCCTTGTGAATGGACAGGGCCCATGCCAGAATCAAGGGAACCTGTTGTCTTTGGGCTTGAATCTCCCCATTGGGAAGCTCAATCTTCCACGCTTCTGGTTGACACAGTAGATGTCTTTCTGTGCCGTCCGGTTGGACGAAGCACACAAGGGGCCATTTCCTCCCTCCTGGAGCTCCGTCTTCTTTGTGAACCATGGCTTTGAGCTTCTGTCGAGCCCGAGATACGCTGTCTTCGTCACTCATCTCGCCGTCTTCATTTGCTTGTACTTCGCCCTCATTGGTACGATACCAATCGAATTTTGCCTCATCCATGAATGCTACTACCCGACCAATGGAACCATTCACCAGCGTGTCTTCCATGTTTTTGATCAGCATGACTTGCGCACCCTTCTTTAGATTTATAAGCGGCGGAGCCATGCAATTCGATAACAACTTCTCACGGTACTGCTGATCTGTGATCGTTCCGCTATCGACAGCTTTAAACGTCATCATTTCACCAGAAAGCCGGGACATTCGAGCAGAATTAGCATTTTCGACCTCATTCCGGGTAGGGAATCTAATTTGGAAAGGTCAGTTCAGATCCAAGACTCTTTGAAAGTTAGAAATCTTACAATTCAGTGGCATCCAGCTCATCGTGGAAATTCAATGGCCGGGAGAGCTTTCGGAAAGCTTCAATAGTCGACGGACTAATTTGTCCCAGTCGCATCTCATTCAACATTGCTGCAAATTCGGGGTCACGCTGACGGAAGACATGGGTCAAGAGAATGGTGTGTTGGATTGTAGTATTCCAGGTGGCTGCAGAAAAAGCAAACTTCGCTTCCCTGCCTCCTTCTGGCACAGGGGGCAGCTGAAAGAAGTCACCAGTGACGACAAGCTGAATTCCTCCGAATGGACGACCATTGTTCCGGATGCGCCGAGCAATTTCTTCCAATTTATCGAAAAGATCCCCATCAACCATTGACACTTCGTCAACGACAAGAACCTTAGTGCGCAGCCAACGATTTCGGGCCTTCTGATTCTTCTTGATCTTCAAGTCGTCAACAAAAATACATTTCCAATGTGGAGGAAAGACTTCTTTCTTACTTTTTTAACCAACTCTGGCACTGCTTCTTTACCCAATCCGATGCCAGCAAAACTGTGAAGAGTGACACCTTCAATATTACAAGCGGCTAAGCCTGTTGACGCCGTCACTGCCACTCGATCCGGCTCTCGTTTGTACTTAATGCGCAATTTTTTAATGATTTCTCTCATGAGAACCGATTTACCAGTACCGGCCGAACCAGTGAAGAAAATGCTCTTCCCGCGGTCGACAACAGAGTCAAGAACAGCTTTTTGCTCATCACTGAGGGCTATCACTGGTGGCTTGTTGCCTGACGATTGCGGGTACACTGCTCCTTGCATGGCTTCCTTTGATGTCTTCTTGGATTCCCGCCTAAGTTCCTTCTGCTCTTCTTTGATAGCGCTCGCACTCTTATTCCAAAGTGGTGTAGGCTTCGAGCGTTTAGGGGTGATGAAGCTTTTCTTGGTATCTTCGCGTGGTTCGTCCTTGGACTCCTTAAGCCACGGCAAGCTCCGAGGCTTAGGGGGCGGCTGAAAGTGCGACGGGGGCGAGGAAGACCATGGAATCTGGATGCTACTAGATGGAGGAGCATGATCTTGAGAGATAGCTGGCAGATCGGGATATTTAACATCTGTCGGCGGTCTATTGTTGTTTGATGATGTCAAGTCAATAATGGGATAAGTGACTGGTTCTGCTTTCGCATTGGCTGGCTTTGGTGCAATAAATGGGATGGGTTCATCGATATCATCAAGATCTATGTCATCGTCGAAATCGTTCTCATCAAAATATACGGTGCTGTGGAGGGAGCCAAGCGACGACTCCCCACCGTTGGTCATTTCGATTTTTCGTTTGATACCCACCGATTGAGGCGGCAAGGACGGCTTGTTGGAAGAAATTGAGGTATTCGCACGAAGGAGATTGGACTGAAGCGGCTTGGAGGTCGTCCCTCCGGGATGGACATCGACGGCCTTTTTAAACATCGCGGTTTCCCCGGACACGGGAGAATATGGCGTCGACGAGTATGCGGAGATATTTGAGCGGAAGCGATTGATAGACAAGTTTCGTATCACGTCTGTAAACTGTATTCTTTTCCTGGCAACATGCATCAACAATTGCCCCAAGCAGGATGGTTGGCAAACAAAAGCTTCAGACTAGATGACTGGGATCAATCGGGGTTTCTTTTTTTACGCGTGGAGGAGAGACGCGCCCTATCGTGTTCCCTGATAAGGGGCCTTAGGTGTCAACACTATCGTTATCGGCTCTAGTCCAGAAACGGTTAGTCTGACCTGCGTCATTCTCCAGATCTTTTTGACTTGCAATCAACGAAACACATTGAAGGTTCAGACATCATGGGAAAAGGTATGCCTCAGTTACTTATCCATATTCAAAGATGACCATATATTAATCGAAGCTTTTGTTAGGAACGGATAAGCTCTACGTATGCGTACCCAGCGAAGCCTTGCCCTTCCAGACCTTTACTCCGTCGCATTTCCGAATAAACGCTAACAAGAATATGGACATAGATCACGCACTCCGAATGGGCGTCGGACAATGCATTCTCTGCCAGTGCTGGCGCTGGAGTTGGGAAAGCTAAACGAGGTGGCTCTCATGCAGCATTCAAGCGCCTCCCGTTCAACTTCTGCTCCCTGTCACTTCAACCTTTTGCGCATCCAGTTTGCACACATACAGGGACCATCTTTGACCTGACCAATATTCTCCCTTGGATTAAAAAGCATGGAACAAACCCGGTGGATGGATCCTCACTGAAGAGCTCTGACTTGATCAAGCTCACCATCGCGAAAAATGAGGAAGGTGACTACGTCGACCCAGTGACCTACAAAGTTCTCACAGACAACACACACCTTGTCGCGCTACGGAATACAGGAAACGTCTTTTCTTGGGACACAGTCGAACGCCTCAACATCAAAGGAAAACTATGGCGCGACCTGGTTACGGATGAAGAATTTAGTCGCAAGGATATCATCACTCTCCAAGATCCTCAAAATGTCGAATCTCGCAATCTCAGCTCTTTCAAGTATCTGAAGGAGGGACAAACCGAGATTTTGGACGATCAACAATCGTCAGCCAGCGTCAACGCCAATGCGCTGGGGAGCTCGGCAAAGATATTGAAAGCAAAGGAGGCCGTCGCAAAGGCACGGGCCGATCGGGTACAGCAGCAAGGTAATGCTTCTGCTTTGAAGGCAGATCCCAAGTCAGGGGCCTTGACTTCTGCTGGAAAGCCCGGCCCAACCCAACCGGCAAAGCCTACACCTTATAATGCTGCGCGGTTCACCACCGGTAAAGCTGCTGCCTCGTTTACAAGTACCGGTCTCACACCCCACACCACGGGGGAACTAGCTCTTTTATCTGAGGAAGAGTATATGCTAAAGCGAGGCCGGGTAAAGGCCAAAGCATATGCGCGAATTGTGACCACCGCGGGGCACCTCAACCTGGAGTTGTATCCTGAATACGCCCCTAAAGCCGTGTGGAACTTCATCCAACTATCAAAGAAAGGCTACTACAAGGGTGTCGCCTTCCATCGCAATATAAAAGGCTTTATGATTCAAGGTGGTGACCCTACAGGTAGTGGACGAGGTGGTGAGAGCATCTGGGGCAAATATTTCGCCGATGAGTTTGAGGGGCCTCTAAAACATGATGGACGAGGTACACTTAGTATGGCCAACAAAGGAAAGAACACCAACAGCAGTCAATTTTTCTTTGCCTACCGAGCTTTGCCTCACCTAGATCGCAAGCACACCGTCTTTGGTCGGCTTATCGACGATCCGACTCCATCTTCCACAACATTGAACTCCCTGGAAACTAGCCCAGTTGACTCAAATAACAACCGGCCTACCACGGAGATTCGCATCAAGGATGTAAATATCTTTGTAGACCCATTTGAAGATTTCCTGAACCAAAAGCGTGCCGAGGATGCTAAAGGCGGCGCTACCGACGTCCCTGATGACGACGACGAGGCCGCTCGCCGGGTGGAAGATGATCGGATGACCTGGACTGGAAAGCGCGTGCGTGGTCTTGGTGCCGAATCAGCTGACAGTGCATCTAGCGGAGTTGGGAAATATCTCAAGGCCGCCCTAGCCGACCGTGGCGAAGAAGACGAGATTGTGGAGTATGTTGATGAAGAACCCGTCCCAGAACCTGCACGCAAAAAAGCGAAAGGATCGGGCGGATTTGGAGATTTCAGCTCATGGTAGAATCCTAAATACCCCATGGCCATCTCTTTTATCCCTATGTCATATTGTCTAGTTTACTTATTATGAGGTTGGGGTAAATCTATTTATGGCATATTGTGTATGGTCTGTCTTACCCTTATATCGTTATTCTTAATACCATGATTAGGTTGTTGACGAATGAGTTTCAAACGCAAACATGGGACAAAACTTACTTCTAGATGATTCCTCGAATTAAATAATTGATTAATTAAACGGTTGGAACCTTGAACGTCAACCATGCCAGGGCCAATATGCAGGGGTACTATCAGCAAGGATCGACCGATCCGCCTTGGACTTAACTACTACTACCACTATTTTTATGTATAGAACACCATTACCAACATTTGAAGAGGACCCAGGGTATAGATCTTTTCATTAATCAAGTGTAAGCTAAACTTTTCACTAAGATCTAGGCAAGATCCTTTTTAGCAGGCACTAGTAGCCACTAGCAGCCACGACGTACTCCCAATAGTTCATCTTGCTCAGTAAGCTCCACTCCTCCGTTCTTGGCTCCCGCCCAAGTGCGCAACGGGGCGGAGTTAGGGGACATCGCTTTCCTCATCCGGATCGCATCACCAGAACTGACTTCCCTCTTCCATTTCCTCCCTCATCGATCCCTTGGATCTTCCCCACACCTGGCCACTCTCACCACATCTCCGCATCTTCTGACAATCATATGTAAGTTATACCTGAGACTCTCTTCAATCTGCTTTGTAACCCCCGGAGGTTCCGTGGAGTGGGGTTGGGTCACCGCAATCGAGAAACAGAATGATCGGACGCGCTGGAAACCTAAATGGCAAACGTTATCGCCTGGCACCGTCAAGATAGCTTCATACCATCCTATCTTCGAGTCTACTTGTCAACACAATGCCCCCCCTCACTGTCTCGTCTTATACTTGCCCCGTCCCATACAATGACGAGGGCATTTCGCCTCTTCTGCCGCCCCCATTGAGCATGACCATAATCATGATATATCCATTCATTGCTCCTCCACACCCTGCTTTATACACATCCCCTTCGATTCTATACTGTATTCTCCAGCGATCTTTCATTGTCTTTCTTGTTAAACGCCGTACTAATGCTTGTGGAATCTCAGCCTGTGTTCCCACACTCGAACGGGCACACTACGTCAGTTCCCCATACCCGCTATCGCCTCCCCTCGGCCAACCGCCCTCAACCCCATTCGCAATCCTCAATCCTTGTATCACTCAAGGATACATCCAAGCTGGCAGGAAAACAGCGCCGTAGCTTCTCTTCGCAGGGTGGGTTGCTGAACAGAATGTTCAGTGGCTCCTCGAGCCCACCCAAAGACAAGACAGACCCAACTCCAATCCCCGGAATTGAGAACGACGCGAATCTTCTGCCCGAAAACGCCAGTCCCCGGGACAAGCGATTCTCGCCACCTGGTTCTGGATTCTTTAACCGAAGACAGAGTGAGGATCAGGCACCTGCTGCCGACAAGGACAAGAAGCGCCGCAGTAGCACTGTCACGAAGGCTGCCAGCTTTTTCAGCAACGCCAAGAACTCCTTGAGCCTCAACGGTAGCAGTGGTGGTAATAATTTCTCGGTTATCAGCACTAGCCCACAGTCCTCAGAGAGCCCGCTGCACAAGCTGGGAAAGATGGACCCAGCCTTGAGCGTCCCACAAGGGTCGTTCAATAACTCCGCGGGTGAATCAGTTCCAACGGCGTGCTCATCTTTCCGGGTGGGAGTTACAGAAGACAGGAATCGAAAATGCCGTCGAACAATGGAGGATACTCATGCGTACTTATACAACTTTCTTGGAACACCGGCCCCAAGTGCATCAGCCGACGTAAATGGCTCTTCCCCGCCAAATCATGCCCAGTCTGGAGGTGTCTCAAAAGTGGTAGAAACTGACAATGGGTATTTTGCTATCTTTGACGGTCACGCTGGAACCTTCGCTGCAGATTGGTGCGGCAAGAAGTTACATTTGATTCTTGAGGAGATCATGCGGAAAAGCCCCAATGCACCTGTGCCCGAGCTTCTTGATCAAACATTTACAAGTGTGGATCAGCAGCTGGAGAAGTTACCTGTCAAGAACAGCGGTTGCACAGCCGTGACAGCCGTGCTGCGCTGGGAAGACCGCGTGCCAAGCTCACAGTCGGCCACTGGTTCTGCGGCTCTTGCTCCTGCAGCAGCAGCGGCAAACAACACTGATACGACCGAGACGCCAACTCAAGATACGCCCATGGGTGGTACACAGGCACTTCCCAAACTTCAAGAAAAGGCTGTTCGACAGCGGGTCCTGTATACGGCCAACGTGGGTGACGCTCGCATTGTATTATGTCGTAATGGGAAGGCCCTTCGGCTGTCGTACGATCATAAAGGAAGTGACGAGAACGAAGGCAAACGTATCGCTAATGCCGGAGGCTTAATCCTCAACAATCGCGTCAATGGTGTGCTGGCGGTCACCAGAGCCTTGGGCGACGCTTACTTGAAAGACTTGGTGACAGGTCATCCGTACACCACGGAGACCGTTATTCAGCCTGATGCGGACGAATTCATTATTCTTGCTTGTGATGGCGTAAGTTTCAGCTCCTTGACACATACTTTACTCCTTTGTAGCGTCAGAAACTAACATGTTCTGTAGTTGTGGGATGTTTGCAGCGACCAGGAGGCAGTCAATCTTATCAAGGATGTCCAAGATGCCCAACAGGCCTCAAAGATCCTGGTTGATCATGCGCTGGCCCGATTCAGCACCGACAACCTGTCTTGCATGGTTATTCGACTCGATGGCAACAGAGTTAAGGATGTCGTCACCAACAAGGTGGAGCCTATCGGTGTTGATGGTGACCCAGCCACATATGTCTCCCACGGAGTCAGTGAAGCTGACAAGATCGTGGAAGATGCGCAGAAGATTATGGCTAGCCATGGGATAAATGACCCAGAGTCTGCAGAGAAGGCAGGCCAAGAAGCTCTCCAGCGAATGGGCAGCCACGATCAAAACGCTGAACCTGTGCAGACTTCCAGTAATTTGCCTTCTGTGGACATTTTAAGCCCAAACAAGACGAATCAAGACTCTACTTGATTGCGTGAGACAATTAGCCCTTTCCAGTTTTGAGGAGAAATGAGCAGATGAATAGAACGCGCACATATCCTTTTCTCTTCTTGTCTCCATGATATCCTTCACAAGGGCAGAATGGCCGGGTGGGGAATCTGGAGTTTTTACCATATCTGTTTATGTTTCTTGCCCACTTTCTTTTGCCATGTCTGATTTACATTGCACATCGGCGCTATTTACGATTCGCAAACCCATCCCGTTTATGCTGTCGCCAACTAGGAGATTCAGGCCTGGCTGCTACAATATCCTATTGTTGGCGCTTATTCCTTTTTCTTTGGGAATTTTCTCTTATTGCCTTCACTGTTCACTTTTCACCCTCAAAATCCGGTTCACGAGATTAAGACCTTTCCTGTTATCTTTCTTTTCCATCTATTTTTTGAATATCACTTCGTGGTAAATCCTGTATCTATGACTTATTCGGAATGTAGGATTGTTTATCGCCCCAGTGACATATTAATAGAGTAATTTGTCTATTTTTATTCATCTGCCAATAATTGCTGGCCCGTTTCTCCTGTGAGGGGTATACAAAAGTACATATTGTAGCCTCCGCCCTGTTAGGAATGACCCTTACGGTCACGGAGTTATTATCCCCTTTTCGCTTCTTCCGGATATATAGCATCGCATTACGATTAGTTCTGAATAATACACTTCTTACACTCTTTTGATCACGTTCTGCGATTCTGATTTCCCGCGTTGACCAGGGAAAGATATTGATGTTTCACTGTGGGTTTTTCTGACTAGTATTCTAATACAGGCCTATTTTCCTTCTTTATATGGTCCCCGGAAACGCTTCTTTATTATAGGATATTATACTAGAAACCACATCTTAGTATTGATTCTTTTGTCTGCGAGCCGGAATTCTGTGAGTTTCTTTTTTTCGTCCATAGAAAGTACGGACAGTATTTAACCTCTATATCCTATCCTGAGAGGCCGGAGACGAATCACAAAAAGTGGGAGAGCACAAACATACAACAGCATAATCGATTTGATCCCACGAGAACCGGACGCCACCATACATAACCAATGTACCATACAGCATGGAGGCAGGATCCTGTAGCCTCAGCAATTCGCTTGCGGCCCCTCAGCACGTTTCAGTTAGTGCCTTTGGGTGGAGTAGGGGGTCGAGGCGCAATAGAAAAGACGTAATTAGTTGAAGCATAGCAACTGGATTTTGCTTTTCCCCAACATACCTGCTAGCCTAAATCGTGGAGTTAGGCGCGAAGAACGCGCCACTCCTGCATAGGAAAGCTGTGGACGGTCGCCAGCAGGTCGATTGGCCCAGCGAGTTTGCGCGGGCTTTAAAAGATTATTTTAGCGAAGCGCTGACTCGATACGTGATAAGTCTGTATATGGAGGTACAGGGTGCCTTAGCAATGGGGGAGAATTAGATCCTCTTCCAAATATATAAAGTGGCTACTTCACGCAGCTGAAGTTACTTAATTTATTCAGATGAGCAATACCCAGAAATATCTATCGTCTGCAGAATATACCTCGCTTTCCATTCTACGAATTCCGCTTTCAAAACGTGCCAATAGCGAGTCAGGGTCCATAATTGTGGCCACTACGAAAAGACCGTGAAGAAAGCATGCGACCCTGGCAGAAAAAATGGAAGGTGTGCGTACCGGGAAATCTCGAAGACGCTTCAACCAGCGGTTTAGCTTGGTGTGGAATCAGTCACTATTTTGACGAATCTCCAACTGAGAAATTGCTTCAGATAGAGTCCACCGAATAGGAACATCTTGCGTCAAATGATCCGCAACCATATTAAGAGTATTCGTAAAAGAGCCTTCGTCGCATTTTGACGCGATTTCTTTGAGAACTTTTCCGTAGGCCCAAATATCGTTCAATCGGCGTGTTTGAAATGGAAGATCAAAGGTGATATTTCATCCCGTATTTCTGGAGCCTGCCATTTATGCGTTATTCCACCGATGCCGCTAATACCAATGAGAACCGCATTGCCATCTTTGTCTAGAAAAATATTTGATGGCTTCAAGTCCATCTGAGTTTTCTTCACGCGATGAATAGTATCCAAAGCATTCCCAATTTGAACAGCCCAACGTTCCCAGCCGAAATCAGTGACACGCTGTTCTTCCAGGACACATTGTAGGGAGCCACCGCTATAATACTCTAACAGGATACCTTTAATGACCATATGTTGATTCCCTTCCTGGGAGGTTGCGTATGGGTTGCTGAATACTGCAATGCCAGCAGGCTGAACTAGGCCTCTTACACCTCTAAAATGCTCAAGGTTCTCCAACTCTTCTTGGATAACCTCCGTATCTCGTGGATGGTAGAATGGACGATTGACCACCTTCAGAATATATGGCGTTTCATCGCCTTTATGGAAAACACGGAACACGCCGTCGGCTACTTCGATCTCCTGTACTAAATCGGTGTCCTCCACGGTTTGAAAAGACGAGAAATTCGAGGCTTGAAGGATATCTCACGCGCAAAGGATCCTCCCGAATAGAGTATCGTATATTTTTGAAGAGACTTTTAGGCTCATTGGTATCTTTTAGCTCGAGATACATGTAAGTAGCATTGGCTGTCTCTGCATCTTCATTCAGAATAAGTTCAGTCACGGTGTCATCCAAAAGAACCAGTGATTGAAAATTGATCATTGTGATAAAGTCCTGAAACTCATTTCGTCGTTCGCGTTTTGATCTGATGTGCCCTGGCTGGGTACTGCAAGAAAAAAAAGAGATGGATCCTTTCAATGTGACTTTGATCCACCACTTCTCTTCGCGTAGGTGGTAAATCAAGGTCTGAGAGCGTCTGTTAGGCTCCAGCTTCCCCTGCGCTCTGAAGTCCTCGTCTTCACAGTACACCTTCAATTCTAGTTCAGGAGGAGTAAGAGAAGTATTCGGCATTTTTATATTGTATAATATATTCGATAGGCCGGTAATCCTTTTCTTTCAAATCGTACATATACAGAGAGGTAAAGAAAAGGACTAGTCTAGGACGCAGTCGATATGATGGGCATTAAGGAAGGAAGAGTAGTGAGTGTAGGAGAGAAGGGATAAAATGGGGAGATTGACCCCGCACGTGGCATGCACAATAATGCCAACTTCTGAGGCTAGCTGAATGAATTTCTCTTTGACATTATGCTATTAATAAACGAATTGTTTCAAAATGACAACGACATCTACAACAACGGAAGCTATAGCCCCAGAGAACGTTACGTTAAGCGCTTTGCCTGATCAGCGACACCAACAATCCACCACAGCAACCTCGGCACAAACAATAGAGCCTCTCAATGTTGAATCCGTCACTAATGCAGAGCCCAACTACCCAACGGGTACTAAGTTCTGGTGTATAGTCCTTGCACTTTGCATGATCCTCATACTTGGAGGATTAGACGCCAATATAGTCGCTACAGCTGTACCAAGCATCACAGACCACTTCCACACCGTCGCAGATGTAGGATGGTACTCGTCTGCATTTCGGCTATGCAGCTGTGCGTTTCAGTTTGGATTTGCGAAGCTGTATAAGCCTTTCCCCATCAAATCAATCTTTCTACTAAGCAATGCTATCTTTCTTATCGGCTCTGTGCTCTGTGCTACGGCAGCCTCATCAGCAATGTTCGTTGTCGGGAGAGCAGTAACGGGCGTAGGATTCGCGGGGGAGATGGCTGGCTGCTTTGCAGTTCTTGTGCAGACCTCACCCTTAAATAGGCGACCGGTATTTGCGGGGTTGAAGGCCTGCGTAGAGTCGCTCGCTATCATTGCGGCTCCAATAGCCGGAGGTGCATTGACGCAGTCTTTGGGGTGGAGATGGTGTTTCTGGTATTCAACTCCTGTCAACAGATTATATATAGAAACTACTATTAGTGCATACTAATCCTAAACCTTTGCATATGAAGGATCAATCTTCCCATTGGTGCTTTGTCTCTAGCGGCCATTATGTTTCTTTTCTCGGACCCAATAAGTCACTCCGGGGAGGGTCTGACCATGGCGCAGAAAATCAAAGAGCTTGATCTCGTCAGCAACTGCTTGCTGATTCCATCATTGACATGTCTTTTTGTTGCATTATCATGGGCAGGCACAAAATACCCATGGTCGGATGGGAATGTAATCGGATGATTTGTTGTGTTTGCCGTGCTACTCGCTGTGTTCATCTTCAATCAAGGCCGCCGTGGAGATTCAGCAGTTCTCCCTCCCCGCATAATCAAAAACCGAAATGTAATTGCAGGATTCATTTTCACAATGTCTACTAACTCGATGACGAATGTCTTAGAGTGGTACTTACCGACATATTACCAAGTGGTTCGTGGCAAGGTAAGACCCTCTAGCAAAAATGTATCCCGAAAATCACAAAAAAGGGACTAAAGCTAAACTTAATACCATTGCATTCGCCAAGTGAGAGTGGCTACATGATGATCCCTATTCTAGTTGGAATGATGCTTGGACTCTTTCTCCAGGGCATAGGTACTACTACATTCGGCTACTATGCACCGTTCATGATCTTCGCCTCAATATGCATGCCAATTGCAGCAGGTTCAATGACAACCTATGATCCAGACACAACTCTGGTTCAAATAATCATATATTCAGGATTTGCTGGCTTCAGCGGGGGTATTGGATTTCAAGGCTCCCAAGCAGCTGTTCAAACAACGCTGAGCACTGAAGATGTGAACCTCGGGATTGGGGTTATTTTCTTTGGGCAACATCTTGGCCCAGCAGTATTCATTGCTATTGCGCAGGTAATTTTTACAACTGAGTTGTCAGAGAGTTTACAAGAGGTTATACCAGGGCTGACACCAAAATACATCGAGGAGAACGGCCTTGGCGACATTAAGAATGGGGTTCCTATGCAGCATTGGGAGACAGTCTTGAGTGGTATTGATCGGAGCTTGACTAGTACTTGGTACCTGTGTGTTGCGTTGGCATATACTACAATGGCGGGAAGTCTTCTTATTGAATGGCGCTCAGTTAAGCAGAAACAGTCTTGAGGCGGAAGATGTCAGTCACATAGTAATATATTAGGTTTCCACTTGCAAATCTGGCTTAGCGCTCTTTAATGCAGTTGCGGAAACACAAAAACCTCAGGATACAGCACTTCAATGGATTTTTAGGTTGATTGACATCTCCTACTGCACATGATAGCCGTAAGCCTCGGTAGAGACAAAATCACACTTCAGCTACCAGTATACTCTTATGATGTATTCTGATTGGAAATAGGTATAGACTGGCGACTACAAATACCATCGGCATGCATTCAAGCTCCGATGCCAAGGTTCAAGGCGATCCTTTCCCAACGGGTTAGACATTACGTATATTTTTCTAATACAGGATTAGACGGATTTTATACTGACTGGTGCCGTTTCTTTATGCCTGTGGAGCATGTGTTTTTTCACTAGTCTCGATGATCGGCCAAAGTTATGAAATAGATGTCAACGACCAGTATGGATCAAGATTACCACTGGAGTCACCATCGCTCTTTAATGGGTTGACGCCATCCCTGTAAAGCAACTTTGAATGATTAGACGTCCGCCAACTGCCATTAGTTCTATAATGGGGTTCTTAATCGGAGAGACGGAGACTTTGATCAACTATGTAGGCAGGTAAGATCGATACTAGCTTATACAGGTAATTTATCAGCCCTCAGATGTAACATCGCTTATGTATAAATGATCACTCTGCATGCATACTTAATGTTGTTGCTTCAATACTCAGAACCGTCTGAACTTCCTCTACCTCTCTGAGTCGTCTTTTCTTTCTCATCTCTCCGGTGAGATTAACTTGTACTTATCATTGAAATGCAGACCAAGTCTATTTCTCTTACTAGTGCATCGCTGGTATGGTTTTTGAGCACATTGCTGGCAGATGTGCTGGCTCAGGATGCCAAAGTTTGGTACAAGGCTCATCCAGGCATGGCGCGTATTAGCCAGGTAGACCAAGACAAGCATCAGATCGTGGATGAATTCGGACGCACGCGGTTCTTTCATGGAACAAATGTTGTAATGAAGGAGGCACCGTGGTATCGACCGCTGGAATGGGTGCCTGGAGTCTCGTCGTTTGGAGAGCAAGATGTCCATAATCTACATGATTTGGGTCTGAACATTGTGCGGCTAGGCCATGCCTGGGCCGGTGCAGAACCCGTGCGCGGAGTGTATAATGAGACCTTTTTGGATATCATGAAAAAGCAGACGAAGATGGCCGAGGCCCATGGTATTTATGTTTTGGTGGACGTGCATCAAGATTGCTTGTCACAGAAGTTCTGTGGTCATGGTACACCTGACGTAAGTAGATGTAGAGGCGCTTCAACACTGTCAATACTAACATGGTTCTATAGTGGTTTGTTGAGGAAGACTGGGTTTCGAGTAACGAGAGATTTCCATTTCCCCAGAAACTGAAGCCGTTTCCAGTTGATCAGAATGGCTTCCCATCGCCAGAATCAATTTGTGATACTGTGGACTGGTCTCTGAGCTATACATCAGTTGCGGTAGGCAATGCATTTGGGCGCCTATACAACAACTACGATAGACTGGGTGATTCATTCGCGGCGTACTGGAAAGAATTGGCGTCTCAGTATGTCGATACAACCAATATCGTCGGCTATAACCTATTGAATGAGCCGTGGGTGGGCGATACGTGGGCCGATCCGACACTGCTAGTTCCAGGTGTTGCTGACCACAAGGCCATGGAAGGCCTTTGGAACCGCGCAACTAAGCAGATCCGTACTGTCGACAATGGCACGCTTATTTGGTTTGAAGGTGCAACTCTGGATGTCTTGTCTGGCTTCAACAACGTTCCCCTCGGGGATGGCTCAAAGTCGGTGCAATCATTCCATTACTATAGCCCACCGCAGCTTGGATCTATTTCTGCTACACTTAGCAACCGCCACAAAGATAGCGAACGCCTAAAAACCACTGGCGTTCTGACAGAGCTTACGTTCTGGATGGGCGATGATAAGCAGATGCAAGACCTAGCGGATGCCATGTCGGCGACCGATGCAAATATGGTTTCCTGGATCGGCTGGGCATACGAGAATCTGTACAATGAAACAACAGGCCATCTCTACCCTGAGCTCGCAACACACTACAGTCGTGCATACCCTGCTGCTGTCGCTGGTACTCCTATCAGCTTCGAGTTCACTGAATCCTCGGGCGTTTTTAAGCTGGAATTCACATCTGATCCCAGTATTGACGCTCCAACCGAAATTATTTTGCCCCAATCCACGTTCCCCAACGGTTATAGTGTCCAAGTCACACCCCAGGACAGTTTGCTGCTGTACAAAGCCGATGACCGTACTCTGGCCTTATTCACCTCCAACAGCATCCACAACGCCACTGATATTCATGTAACGGTATCTCGTAAATAATTGGAAAATAGTCGTCCTGTTTGAAGTACTCGGATTAATGTATTTCTTAACGTAACCCACAAGCAAGTACATACTTAGGCCATTGTGCCCATCATTCCATTTGAGGCAGGAAGTTTTGCAACGATACCAACCTAGATTGAGCCTCAAAGGCAACCCTGAGTAAATTTATAGTTTTTCCGTGAATATGTGTTGAATTAAAAAGGGACCTATATAGCTGGCATCTGTAGTTGAAATATAACCAAAAATTCTAGATGAACAGCCAGAATGGGCTGGAAGCAACACTTCCTCACCGGGATGATAGTAGTAGGCTGTAGGTTCTCAAATTGGTAGCACTCAATCGTGAAAGGGAGAAGAGTCAAAAACTCACATTTGAGAAGAGAACAGTATTTTACCTCATGGTCTGTCACAAGAACCACCTTCCGGTGTGGCAGCTTGCTAGGTTTGATGACAAGGCTCTCAACAACCCAAGTTGAGTGCTCAGTTAGGTGGATAGACGAATAGTCGGTAGAAAAGAAGATCATCAGCACGGTCCGCATTAAAGAATCATCTGCAATCTGCATTTCCTTTTCTTAGTGATAGAAAAGAATGAGTGTCGGCCGTATAGCCAAAGAATGGGTATTCACCCAAACTCTATCGCGTGGCCTTAGGTAATGACAAGTTATTTTTGGTTGACTTGCAGGTGGCTGGTATCGTTCCATTGACAATGAAATCGCTTCTACATATGTTGAGTGTCTTGTAAACTAGATATCTCAGGTAATGAATATCAATTAATGTACTAGTTTGATCAACTGCTCCATAACCTAGTCGAAAATCTCTCTTATTTCACACATAAGACTAGCCCTAATTCAACTCAAGTGCTTGGGCAATTAACAATCGCTACCTCGAACAATCACATTCCAGTTATCCTTCATAAACATTTGGCCGCCACACAAGTTCTCGAAACCCGCATTGCTTGCAGCAGCTGACTGCCAGCAAGTATCGCAAAGATCGTCGGCTGCATCCCCAATCATCGCGAAGAATCAAGTGTCTTGGTCTCATCCTATAAGTTTGAAAGCATTGTTAGCTAAAATTTGAATCATGGCTTCCAATCTTATGCAGCAAGATACGAAAAGTATGCAAGATTCCAAAAGCTAAATTTGTCATAACTATATGTACGTTATCTTGCACAAAATTCAGTTTAGCGACTTGAATACAGTATGCATTAGGTTAGAAACGGGGCACCTTGGCAGTCTTGGCAGCTCTATAGTTGTATGTTTAGGGTTGCGATCAGCGGACCCTGGCCCCAGACCTTAATCTTTCAACCCGGGGGCGGTGATATGGGGTTGGTCCCACTCGCCAAGATGTTGGCAGTGCAGTGAAGAACGCTCAAAAGGCAGGTCTTGCGAACGGAGAGGATCGAGGAACACATAAAGGGCATGCTCGGATCCGTATTATTGACGGAGAAGACAGCGGGGGATAAATATTCTGTTTCACCCCGGTATCGTCACGGCCCAGCTCTATGCCCAATCTTTCCTTTTCCTGATGAATTGAAGCTGAAAGAACAGCATTTTTTGGATGACTCCAGAGTTCAAATATACACAATCCTTGGACGAAACTATGATGAAACTTCCCCTGTTACGCGTTCTTAACCAGCCAGCGGCTAGACTTCTTCTCGTCACCGTTGTCTTGTACTTTTTAGCCTTCGAGTTTTGTCGTCTGCACTATTGGCGAGATCCGCACTCCGCTTTTTTTAATATTGACAATGTGTTTGAATGGAAATACAGTCTTTTCCGTGAGCACGAGGCAAGACATTACACTGCTGTTTATAACGCGCCATCTGATGACGGCTTGGAGATAACTCGGGCTCAGAGCTCTCCTTGGATGTGTGCTGCTCTGGCAACGGTCAAGCGAGACAAGGAAGATTATTTTGAAGCATCGGTAGGCTCACTGCTGAGCAATCTGGATCCTCGTGAGCGTGAAGCCATGCATGTGTCAATTCTATTCGCAAACACGGATCCATCGCAACACCCGAGTTGGGGACAAAAATGGGTCGATCGGCTAGCGGACTCTGCTTCGTCATATAATGTGTCTGAGAAAGAAATGGATTATCTCAAAGATCTGGAAGAGAAACGAGATTGGCAAGAAAAGGGTGTATTGTAGGTCAATTTCCTTTTCCGTGTACAAAAAAAGAGGCATCGCTCTAATCCAGAATAGCGACTACGTGTACCTGCTAAATGATTGTCTCCAAACGGATGCACCATACATCTTCGTCTTTGAAGACGATGTGATTCTGGCGGATGGGTGGATGATCAAGACCCTCAATGCATTGCACAGTGTGTCAGAAAGTCCACCTTCATTCATAGACTCCTGGCTTTACTTGCGTCTTTTCTACACTGAGACTTCTTTGTCATGGGAATCATCAGACTTTTGGTATCGCAATATGCCATTAGCATTCTTCATTGTGATGGCCTCCGGTCTAATAACCTTGCTATTGGTTCGTCGGAGGTGGGTCAAGACACGCTCATACATCGACAACTGGACGATCGCAACAGTCTGTCTAGTCGTGTTACCAGCGTTTACAGGTCTTTTCTATATGGCTGGCAAATACTCAGTGTTTCCGCTGGAAGGGGTAGTAGATATAAGCCCCCATGGCTGCTGCACGCAGGGTATGGTGCTTCCAAGGGAGCAAGTACCACCCCTGATCACTTACTTACAAGGTCGTAAGAGAGGTCAGACGGATAGCATCATCGAAGAATACGCCGAGGAGACTGGACTTGCCCGGCTTGCCCTCGCACCCCAGCAAATGCAGCACGTCGGGCTAAGGTCAAGTCGGGATAACTTGGAAATAAATACTCAAAGTACATGGGCCTTCTGGTTCGAAGAGAATGACCCTGAACAGCTCAAAAAGGAGCATGAGCAGTTGCTTGCGAGTAGCGATGAGCACTGGATCCTCAATGGATTATAAAGACTCGGAATGGAATCAAATCTCGTATATTGGCAAGATCTTCAACTTTACAAAAGTGGTATTGGTGGAGACTGGAGCAGTGGAGATGCATACAGTCAAGTGCTCAGGTTTCAAGGCTCGAAGAATCACTCGGGGCTGTAGGACTCCTGCCGTGAGACAAGCGTCTTGAAATGTTATTGGATTTGATTGCTGCCCTCGAATTGATCATCAATGAGATTCCAGGAAAAATGACGTAAAAAATCCAGGCAAGGATCGCTCAGGCAGTGACTTACATTCCCAAGCCAGAAAGTTGGACTTTTTCTTAGATTGTAGGGGCATGGGACAAGAAGACCACCTCAAAGTCGAAAAATGTTTGTGTTTTGGCAGAGTAAATTGCTGATCACGATTTACAAATCAGACATATGCATAATCACGTAAAATTAGGCATCAATTGGTCGCTATAGACTTAGTGCTTACTGTGGACGATCAAGGGTCCAGGCTTCAACGTTTCTTTTTAACTTCACCCATCGAAGGACGCACTACATTTAACTTGCTGCCCCTCAAAAAAAAAGACCGACAGGAAATAAATTATGCGTCCACTCATCGGCGAAAATCAATCTGTCATTCCAATGATGAGGACTCCGCTTTCTCTGTTCAGTTTTCTCCCCTGAACAAATGCACCTACCAAAAGCGCCGGCTATTGATAGCACCGATAATGGCATTGCTATGACTATCCACAGCTTATGACCTTGCATGCGAGAACCAGAATGGCATCTTACCAGTGAAGCAGGGGACTCGAGCTTCTCATCCGCATCGGGGCACAACGCCGGCTGTCTGCACTATTACTTATACCAATCACTAGGAGAATACTATTTTGGAAATGTGGCAGTCCATAACCCAGAAGAGTCCTCGGGAAGGAGACTTAATATCGGCGAAATCCCTTTCGACGCTTTGTCCCCCGCCTAAGGAACACCTTTGACTGCTTCTGGAGTCTTCATTTCAAATGTTGTTATGATCATGGATATTGCAGTGACAGTGACAATAGCAAGTTTATTACTCAATTGACAATTGATCCGGGATGGGAAAACAAATATCGGCATTCACCCCAGACTCGATGTCCCGGAATATGTTACTGTATGGGGGCGGGGTGTTCGGGGTGTGTTTGACTTGTAGGGGTCAACTTGTGGGCCCTACCAGCATTCAGACAGGGTGGCCAATAAAGTGGCTGGATTTTATATTGTTACTTGGCACAGCCACGCACGTCCCCATCAAAGCCACCGCCCCCTGCGTACACGCTTATTAAAACTGCCGCTGTACGAATACGATCATTAAAGAAAGCGATGCCAAGTTACTCTCCACAGGCCACGCGTCGCCAATCAGGAACTCCTGATAATTGCGTCCTGGCATTGAAAAAAAAGAAGCCTTTCCTCCTTACACCAATGGCTAGCAGGAGTTGCAGGAGCTGTATAACGACAACGCCTGGCGACTAGGCATGCTCCCCGTTTTCAGATCCAACAAGTGGCCCTCGGGGCCACGACTCCTGTTGGGTCTGTTCGTTGTCGCCACCGCTATCGCCTCGATACACTACTTGCTGATCCCTGTTCTGCTACGCCTGAACCTACACCTTGGGGTCGGCCTATTCGACCATGGATTCTACGGTCTATATCCCACACCTCAATATGTCACTTTTGACATGCAATCGCCCGACGTCGAATTGGCTATCTGGGACGACCGCTGCAGTGATGGTTACGTTTTCATAGCACCCCATGGCAGTCCGATCGAGGGATCGAACCCGGTGATTCTCGACAAACGAGGCAATCTGGTATGGACAATGCCAATGGACAGACCAGCGACGGATTTCAATGTGCAGGAATACCTTGGTGATAAATACTTGACGTATTGGCATGGGAAAAGCGATCATGGACACGGGCTGGGCTCGTACTCAATGGTTTGTGATCTGAGATCTGAGCTCGCAACATAAAATTATGAATCTAACTGGAGAGACAGCTGGACTCGCACTACATCCACCGGTTCGAAGTTACACCCGTCGGCAATTTCGAAGGCGACATACACGACTTCCAAATCTCGCAAAACGACACCGCTCTCATCGTTATATACGACCTGAAACAAGCCAACCTCGAGGAGTTTGATGGACCTCACAATGGCTTCATCTACGACGGAATCTTCCAGGAAGTCGATATTGCCACAGGTGAATTGCTCTTTGAATGGCATTTCTCGAACCACGTCCCATTAAACGCATCGTACACCCCCGAACTCAAGGGCACCGGCAGGGACAGCATATCGCCATGGGATCCATACCACATTAACAGCGTCGACAAGGATGACTCAGGAAACTATATTGTTTCCGCGCGCCACACGCACTCCGTCTACAGTATCGACGGCACAACGGGCGAGATCCTATGGGTACTGGGCGGCAAAGATAATGAATTTACCGACACCTCTGACGGCCGGGCTACCGACTTTTCCTGGCAGCATGATGCGCGTTGGCACGACGAGCGCACCCTCAGTCTATATGATAATGCCGCCAAAGACTTCCTCGGGCCTGTCACCAGAAGCCGAGGAATGATCATTGATATCGACGTGCCAAATCGTATCGCCGGCGTTCGTGAACAATACTTCCACCCACAGGGCATTCGCGCTCACTCGCAGGGAAACATGCAGATCCTACCAAAGACAGGAAATGCGTTTGTCGGCTGGGGTCACTGCGCGGCCTACACCGAGTTCACTCCAGATGGAGAGGTGATATGTGATACACACCTTTCTGCCTCCAATTGGTTTCAGCTAGGCCTTGTGGTGTCATACCGCAGCTATAAAAGTGATTGGGTTGGAAGTCCACTTACTATCCCCGCAGCAGTCGTTGTCGAAGACTCAGTTTATGTGAGCTGGAACGGCGCTACGGAAATCGTAGCCTGGCAGCTGGAGCTTTGGGACGGCGTGGACATGGACAATATGAACTTCGAGCCCGTCAAGAAAGTCAAGAAAATTGACTTTGAGACCAAAGTCGATCTGCCAAACGAAATCCCCCGCACTTCTTTCCGTCTCGTCGCGCTAGACAGCAAGGACACCATAATAGGCAAGACCGCTCTATTGAGCAAACATCCTCAAAAGACCCTATCTGAAAAGTTGGGCATCAGCGTCTTCGGCGAAATACCCTACCCCATTATTCTGACCATCTTCGCGGTGTTTTGTTGCTACCTGTTGGCCGTTTACCGGATATTGAAGGCAATCACCCCCTTGGTCATCCCCTTGGTCACCCCCTTGGTAAGCCGACTTTTCGGCCGTTTCGGGGGTCACCGGTTTGGGCGACGTCTTGGGTTTAAGCGCATCACGACCAATACAGAAGAAGAAGATGAGGAGGAGGACATACCACTCATGATATCTGCGCATGAAGATTGATATCCTATAGACATATCCATTTTGTTTATACATGTATATATTGTTTTGTGTTATTATACTCGGGATATACATAGTTAGAAGCTATATACAATCCCACGGAATAGAGATTCTTACTCTTCTAATAGACTCTGTTGATCTTTGGCTGGTGCAGTGAGGGCCTGATGTTCGAGTGGATATACGTACAAATGCCAGTGTCACGGAAATTTGAGAAGGGACGGGGGGCTTCAAGCAAGTTACAGTCACTCCTCTATAGTATTTATTTTGTCTTCTTCTCTACAAGATAAATATGCATAGTAATAAGCGACAATTTGAACAAGATGTTTAAGTTCAACCCGGGTTTGTAATGGTGGGTGTTTGATGTTTTCTACAGAAGCCACAGTTCGGCATCAATGACAGCTTCAACGAGTTTATAACCAGGACAAGCCCACTAAGTTATGACTGAAGATCCATGGTACATAATATAAATTTTATCATTCAATTAAGTTAAGCCTTCATCAATCTATAAATCTTGAAACTTAGTCACGGACTGAGTCCATGGGTAATCGATAGTAGAACCAGAATGGGAGAATGACATAGATCCCATGTCACGACTTTTAAAATCTCCCCATTTCCCCTTAAGCTAACCACTGGGAGAATCTACTAACAATACACAAAGCGCAACCCTGGAAGAATGGCACGACGCAAGTGAATTCGCAACTCGAAGCCACTGGCACTGGCACCGGCACCTGAAATAAACCACATATCTGCACCATGCGTACTCGCCCTTCCAGAACTCGTACTTGAAATCCTCTCATGGGTTTCCTTAATGGGACCTAAAAAACCGAACAGACCTAAAAAACCGAACCTCCGCGGCAGCTTCAACATGTATAAGCAGACTCGGAAGGAACGCAACCAATTTTACCATAAACGAAATTGTCTCTCGAACTGTGCACAAGTCAATCATATGTGGTACATGCTAGCAATGCCATTCTTCTTCAAAGACAGCACTTCAGTCAACCTATCCAGGATATTGGGGAGGCCTTGCATGGTCAAAGCCCCTAACCGGTTATTAATTGCGAGCTTGATCAAATCGGCCGAACTGAGTATAGGAAATTTTGATGGTCCTCAATCCTGCTTTTGGACGGCCTATCCATACAACGGGTTGTTATGCAACAGAGTGCTGAACGGCGTGACATTCTCGAGACTGCACAGTTTGTCCCTATTGCTCGAAAGTAGTCTACATGTTCCACGTATGAAATGTCCAGTGCTTACTTGGATCACCATCACAGTCCCGTGCAGTTACGGCGGCTTCTACCGATTACCAGAAGTGTGGTTAACTTGCTTGAAAGGAATCTTGGTAATTTATTTAAGACTATGACACAGATACGTAGTCACGACTGACATGGGCTCTTTTTTACTCCTAGTTTATGGCGAAGAACGGTGAGTACATATTTATCACTCCCATCATGGCTGTTACCCCTTACGCATTGAAGTATGTCAAGCGACATGCTCCGCATTTGAAAGAGCTGAAGCATGGCGACTACGTTTTTACAAAGCCAATTACCGATTGATTCTTTTGTGCATTTCCCGTTCCTCGCTGGTCATGCCATATAGGAAACTCAAATCCGAACTTCGAGAAAGGATTTCAATGTTTAGCTAAATTGCTGGGCGTGATGCAATGCTGATATGGATATTAGCTCAAGTTCACAGATGCGCTCTACTATAGTCCGCCCAGTTCTACTCCCTCTGAGAAATAGAATTTGGCAGAATTTAAATATGGAGACCATATCATCATATTAGACCTCCCAAGTTTCCATCTGCCATTTAGGTAGTCTCAACTAGCTATGATTTTACCCCCCTACTATGCGCTCTCCTCCCGTGCTCCTACCTATTCAGCACCTATTCAGCCATAAGACTAGATATCGTTATTCTTCATCATAAGTCATCCCATCCAAGCTATACACTAAATATAATCTAACAAACTATCCAATGTCAAACAGGATCAAATCTAGATCAAATCTTTATTTTGACTGTATGTCAATCGAAAATATCAAACGGACAAGGAGTGGGATATCCAATTGGATCTGCTATAGTATGTCCTATTCTTAAACAATAAAGGATACACATATATCTCATGTAAAAATTACATTCGATCTATCAAGAATGATTTTAAATCGGGACCGAGATAATTACTCCCCCGCCAAATGAGTATAATAGTACTGCAAGAAATCCGCCGAACCCCACAAAAGCCTCCCAACAACACCAAGTCCTCCGTAAACTCCTCTATGTAAACCAGATCAGACGAGGGATGGGGTAAGACAGAGAATAACAAGAAGATATATATATATAAACGCTCCCACATAACGATAGAAGACAGCATATACTTCATCTTCCAATCAGGAAGATCTCATATATCTTGCGTATCTAATGACCAAATTTCCCAATTTTTTAATACATCCCAGCCAACACGGCGCATATGACGTCTCCAGATTTGGCCATCATCGGCCAAAATTGCATTGGAATCACACATTGCGATTCGAAGGACTGAATCGCGGGCCTCATGGGATTGCCTATCTGAGGCCCCGTCCTCATCATTTCGAGAGCGCTTCCCCAGTGATGAAGGTGGCATGCTGACGCCTGGTGTATGTGGAGTATGAGATGAGCGGGTGGTAGCTGGGTTGCCGTTGATATCAGGAGAGGTAGAATTTGAAACAGACGCTTGTCCGTCTGGGGTGTTGGCGAACGTGACAGTGGCACCGATTTCACGATTACCGGCGTTGCCGTTCTCATCAGGAGTTTGGCCTATGGGGGTTTCCATTTCTTCTTCGAAAAGCGGCATTGGAGATTTGTAGTAACCACGAAGTTCGAATGCTTTCCAGCCAATTCCCATGATCTTAAGAGTACCAAAGACCTGCTTGTCAGCAAGGTCATAGCCTATCATACTTGTGAGTAAGTCATCATCTACGTCGACGATATCTGCTAGGCTGCGAGCATTGCTGATAGCTTCTTCAACTTCCGGGGCAAGCTTGACTACTTTTCCTGTGGAAGAAAATGCCTTGGTGTGGACTTGTCTTGCTTTCATGAATTGGCTTTCTGTATAGTTTGCTGGGCTATTGTGAGAATTCCGTGGTGGTCCTGACTGAGGAGCTGGAGATCCTGCTGGAATGAGAAGGCGGATGGCAACTAGCTTTCGCAGGAAGGGGACTAGCATTCCCACTGACTCCATGCTTGAGACATCTGTTGCAAGAGCCAGTTGCTCGAGATTCGGGCAGCTGTGAACAAGGCGTGCAATCATGGCGGTTGAGAGGGGCCACTTGGAGGAGAGTAGAAGATGGCGCAATGATGCACCGTGGTTCATAGTAATGTTTGATAGGTAGCTATCGCGTCCACTGAGCACTGGGTTTGGTTGACCGACTGGAGATTGTAGGGTGGCCGGGGAGTTGGCAGCTGTGCTGTTCGGTAAATTAAAGTTGTGGTGTTCGGAAATAGGAGGTGTGAGTGCTGATGTGGCAGGATTGCTTGCTGGTCGAGGGGAATTCAAATAGTCCGGGTTGTCCGGGGTGACATTGACAAAATATATGCGCTCGAGTCCCTTGAAATTCCCCAGGAACTCTGCATTTCGTTTGGAAACAGCGTCCACACGGAAAGACTTGATCCTCAATTGTTTGTGAGGTGGTACTACTGGCCAGCTATTCTCCACGAATGTATTTGTTAACCCAAAAGAATCCGTCCCACTCAAGAATGAGACATCTTCCATCATTGTGGGATCAAAAGCTATATTGAACTCCTCACTATGAAAGGCGTACATATTCTGGAACGAGATCCTCCTCAATGAAAGCGGTTGCCGGGCTGCGATGGCTTTTCGGAAGTAGTCATGTACAGAAACACTTGGCTCCTGCGCTATGCGCATTCGAGGTGACCAATGAAGTCGGAGGTCGCGCAATTTCTTGCTCTTCCATAGTAGTGTTGAGATATCGTCGGGATAACAAAGCGGGTCAATGTCGGTGATTTTGAGGGCGCGGAGGTGTGGCATGGGAGGGAGAACGTGAGTCGGTTGTGGATGACGAGTAGAGGGGAACCGTATTGTTAATGAGTGAAGTCGAGGCAATTGTATTAATCCCGCATAAACCGTATCAAGCATTTTGGTGTTGAGTTCCCAGCTAAAGCTCTCCAAGCTTGTCATGCGATCCACCGCCGCTCGGACGGCGATATTCAAGAGCATTGAAGAGTCCGGCACACGACCAACCTGCGCATGTTCCTCCAAGGCATGTTCTTTCCAATCCCCGCGGAGTGTCATCGATCGTACTAATGTTGCAAAGGGTCGTGTAATAACAGCATTAAGCCCCATGGTGAAGGGGCTCGCGCTTCCGATACCTTCGGGCTGGTCATCGCGATAACGAATCTTGTCGTAGGAGTTGAGGGTCAAGTCCCGATAAAGCTGCGGCAGCGCCATATAGTTGAGGACGCGGCATGTTCGGCATAGTCGGGCAAGGTCACCGGTATCCTCGACCTATAATTTCTAGCCGCAGTTAGCTATTTAGAAACTTTCATCAGACTCCGGGGTGGTATTGACGTTTGTTACGATCTGGGCGATCAAGTTGAGCGGCAGCACCATCAGCGAAGCGCCACCGGGCCGCTCGGTGATGATGCTGGCATCAAACATATTCCGATTGACGGCCGCCATGATGCGACATTTGCGAATGACTGCAGCATGGACAGTCGAGATTGAGGGGGAGAAATATGGGGAAGCGAGCCTGAACTCGGAGAGAAAAGTTCCCGAGCATAAGAGGTCAGAGCCTCGTGGGTCCGGTTGAGCCAACCAGCGTTTGGTAGATATGACATACCCGTCAGCTTATGTATGGATGGGGTTGCATTTTATAAAGTTCTACAATTAGGAAATACAAAGATCGCAATTTTTATGCTCTTCTGAAATCAATTACAGCCTTCATCGGAAGTCTCACGGTAAAGACTTTGTTGCCTCCCTGAAAAGAGCGGTAAAACAGCCTGCTGTGATGGGGTATAGCGACCAGGGGATACAATACATAGACTGCACGACGATCTAGAACTTTCTATGCTCTGAAGAGTTCTTGGATCTCCTCTTTTGACATAGCTAACTACATGATAGTATTCAGATTGGAATATTGTAGTTATCTGCCATCTTCAGGAAGTAAGATGGCATCCAACTTGAATGTTCTCAGTGACCCCTATACACCATCGTAAGTCTATTCCATACATGGATGGATGCATGTGATATATGTGAAAGCTGTGCATAATGTATAATATCCGCGACATTAGAGTAATATGTGCTGTAGGCAGAAACTAAATACTAAAAGAGATTACCGATGTTATGTATCCCAGGGTATATTTTCAAAAAGGAACAAGATCCCCAATATGCCATATTTTCAAAATGGCCCATGACTCCTCGCCCGTCTCGTAAATGAATGCGAAGAAAATAAATAGTGTAAATATAAAAGGGATCCGAGAAAGCGCCGTGGTGGTGAGGTGGTTAAGAGGGGTTGTTGTCATGGGTAGGCTGATGTGGTGATTGGACCCCATCATCTTGATGTGCATCCTCAGGTTCTGAGATGGTCGTTTGTGTCCAACTAGCGCGATCACTAGTCACAGCAGGCTCCTCCCGCAACTGACTAGGATGCTCATGAACCAGAGCAGCAGTTTCGGGGTCATAGCGGAGCACGTAGTTTCCGTCTCCATTCTCGATATCTGTTTCCCCCCATGGCGCAGATGCTGATGGTTGGGAAGGAATAACACGGACCGGCAAATGGGAATGTTCAGAGCGCGGCGGCGGACGATGGATAGGTAGTGCATCCAGTAACCTATTTTGAGGCTGTGGAGACCAGGTCTGCTGACCACGATTTCGAGCTGGAATGACTGTGATTGGCAAAGGTGCATCACTAGGTTGTGCACCTGAGCCGGGATATCGAGGTCGATGAAGGGAGAAAAAATTATTGTTAGATCTCGCCGGTGCCGGGTGTTGTTGGTCGTGGTCTTCGAGCGTTGAATCAAGCTCACTCTCTACTGGCTCTTCGCCAGCTTGAGCAAAGGCCACCTCTCTAGGAAGAGAGGCACGCCTCCGCCTGAATTGATTAATGAGGTTGAGCCAACGTGGATCAGAGTGTACAATCTGTGGCGATTGGCCTCTGATATCCTGAGTGGAGGGGTCTTGTTGAAAGTCGCCCGAGGATGGTTCGTGCTCGATTTCCAACTCAATCTCTTTCTGTTCTTCCAGTCCTTCCTCTTCCATATGCGGCATTGTCACAGGAGGCGTCGGACTGGCGACTGGATGATATCGAATATTATACACAGTACTGGGAGCACTACTGGTGTCTGCCCGACTGACTGGAGTAATAACAGCTGGGGGAGGAGTGGGTCGTTGACTGTTTTGTCGGCGTGGCGCGATTAGACCATTCGTATTTTGCGGGAATCCTGGTCCTCCCCGACTGCGGTTTCCACGATTGATACCGACTCGGGTCCGTAATGGTCGATGCGCTAGGTTTATCACTCCACCCCACGCCGAGGAAGTGCCGTTTCCACCTCCCTTATCGTGGGTATTGGAAGAATAGCGTGGCCAGTCAACTTCTTCAGATGGTGTCACTTCCAGCATTTCATCGCCATCAAAAACTTCTCGCCCAAGAATGCCATCTTTTGTTTCATCACGTTCGAGCGCTTCTATACGCTCTACCCATTCCCATACCACCACGCTGGCCGCTGCTGATCCAACCCATCTGATATATGTACCCCAGCCGGCTATTTCTGGCTTTGCAATATCCATGACAAAGAAGACGACCGGTATCAACACCGCACAAAACGATAGTAGAGCCACGAAACAGATATTTCGCATCTTGGGATGAAAAAAGGCGTAGCGATGTTTTGAAATCGAGTAGAATATAACCCACGCGGCATACAACAAATTAAGCGCTAGCTCAAACAAATAGCTTAGAGCTGGAATCGCATCGTCGTACATCCGCGGATGCGTCATGTTGTTCTTGAAAAAGAAGTTTTCCAAGATACTGAAAGTCGTGTCCAGTACAATCAGTGCAAACCCAGCCCATTTAATCATAACCTTCTCTTTATGTCGCGGAAACAGTCGAATTAATGTCTGCACCTGCGCCAGCCAAAGAAAGGTCTGTGAAATAACGCGAACAATGCGAATCTCCAATCCATCGATAACCTCCTGGGACAATGCCTCAGCATCCGAGTATCCATATTCATATTGAAGCTCAGCAACTCTGAAAGAGTCTACCGTAGCTATGGTTAATGAAATTGCGACAAGAAACGCAGCGACTTTCTGCAGCCACGGTCTGCCTCCGACGCCGACGATCGACGAGTTCCCACTATAAGAGCCACTAATCATGCCATGGCGTCCGAGAAAGTTCGCTCCACCGCCACCGGGTCCTCCAACAAAGAAAGTACGCGGGGTAATCAGGAGAATAATGACGAGGACATAGCTGACGACGGTACAGCATCCGATGGCATAAAGCTGCGGTGTAACAGAGGAGTAAAACGGATCCCGAGTATCGAGAACGGCATTGACATGAGTGTAGTCGGAATGTGTTTGGCCAGTGCAAATCGGTTCGTAAACGGCGTTTTTGGTAAGAGTCAGTTCATATGATTTATTGATATGTATAATTCCTGCGACAAGTCAGAAAGATCAACCGTCAGTAGGGTGTTTTACTGGTAATCTCAAAGTTCAACTCCAAGGATCGTCCGGGTTAATCCACATACCGTCACTCGGCAAGACAAACGGCGTACATCCAGACGAGTATGTTTTTGTCGTGGTCGTTGTCGGATTAGCCCATATCTGCCGGGGAGTGACGCGGAAGTCATCGTCCATGATCATCGACTCCTGGGGGCTCCGGTTACCCGCCGGAACGCTTCATATAGCGAGTCCGCCAAACCTCCCTTCAATCTATTAGCGCACAGAGATTTCCCGGATGTGTCAGAGGGCCATCGCTCGGGCTGGGCTGGAGCCACGCGTACAGAGCCGGGTCGGAAAGGGAGTTGGGATTGACGAAGTCGGTCGGCGGTTGTTCGGGAAAGGCGTCGAGGCACGCGATCGTCTAAAATTTCAACAGGATCCCGTCCGGAGTACCGATGTAGGGGTATATAAAGGGTCTATGTGCTGGGAGTAGGGGAAGGTCGAGGGGGTTGTGATAATTGCGGAGTGATTAAAGGTCGTGATTATTGGCGGGTCAAGATGATCCGCCACCCGTTCTGTTCCACTTGGCTCCTCGGCACTCTTCACTATCTTTCCCCCCCACACAATGCCGTTCTGAAGATACTAGTAGTGATGCGTGCTACAGAGTACATATATAAGAAAAATCATACATGCTTGGTGTTAAAATAAACATGAACCGAGATTTCTTGCGCAATATTTTTGCATGATCTGCGTGGAAAGTATGGAAACTTGATCCAAACCAAAGAGAAGTGGATGCTACTACATGCCTGGGGCGATCGAGGTGAATTAAATACTTAGACTCGTCGTTGTGAATAGTGTCATGATTTCCAAAAAGGTATACAAATTGACAACTAATGTACAGGTTTTGGCTACAGAATGTTCTATGACGGGAAATTTCCCCAAAAGTCGAATGAAGTGCGGAGCATCCAGTATAAGAGTATAAGTTTGATGCAGTTTGTCCGATGGTTAATAATATGATCCCGCGACTCAGTCCATCGTTCCGGTTAATCAAAACCAAGGTCAGAACTTTGGTCAACCTGATGAACAGGGAAAAGCGAGTATCCTTGGATATTCTCACTCTGGGTGAGATTACTTCATTGACTCAACTTGTCAAAAATGGAGACAAAAATGAAGAAGCAAAGTCCTATCTCTCTTCTTCCAACGACCAGCTACAACATAAATTGCTGGATCCCTGTATGCGGAATCAGTTTACGTTTGAAGAGAAAAAAAACCCTAGGAAGAACGAGACTTGATTTTAAAATATACCGTCCGTCTGAAGGAACGTATCGTCAATTCTAACGAAAAACATTTGTTCGGTCTTTTTGTTTTGCTTTCTTCTTTTGCGTTTTCTCTCTTTTGCACGTTTCTTTCGTCTAATTTGACTCCTCGAAAGTTTGATGGTTGATTGCTATTCATCATTTGATGTCAGCATTGATGTCAGCAAAGAATGAACTAGTTAGTTGAAAGTTATTCATCATCTAAATTGACACTTCTTACCCTACTATATGTAGAGGCCTAAAATACTGAAGACACGAATATCGAAGCTATCAGAGGAAAGGGGGGGTGTTTATTGATGTTGATGCATATGCCTAAGTATGTGACGTGACAGGACTGAGGGATCCTAATTGGGCTTAGCTCTATACCGTGTATGTATGGGCGGTGCCAAAGGCGGCTAAAAATCAGGCAAAAACCGATTCTACCAGGCTGGTCGGATTACCCGGTAACAAGTTAGTCAATTTAAAGTTAGAATGGCAGGATTGAAGTTCAATTTGGTAAATTCAGCTAACCGTGCACGCCCCATTTGTGCTACTGCCCAAAGGGTGCTTGCTCCCTGGTCGGATGAAATTCCTGTTAGGATGAAAAAATTTACATTCTTCTCACTTTGATATCAATTTTAACAGCAATAACGTATCAAATTTATCAAATTTATACACGGAATATCAAATTTGACTAATGAAAAATATATAAAATAAAATAAAACAAAATAAAAAGTTAAGAGGGGCCTTCTCCGGCGTTATTTAGCCGAATATCGGCCTTAGCTATTAGCTGGTCTCTTGCCTTTTTTCGATCAGTAGCAGCTTTCTCCTTAGTATAGCAAGCTAATATACTAATATGGGTATCTTTAGTATATACCTTTCTAACATATATTCCGAAAACGGCCCTTTTTGAAAAAAAAAATTGGTAGTTTTATATATCTAGGCTCGGATCTGTAGTATAATTATATGGAGGAAGACTCAGGACAGGTATGTTTGCACTATTTGTACATTTATACGGTTTAACCCACTCTCGGATATAGACCACTTAGATAATTGGTCTAAAGAGTGGATATCCGTCTATATATATATAGTATAGCTCTCTCTCTTCTTTCCCTTTCCTTAACGTTGTTATTTGTTATTCTTTGTACTCTTCTCTATTCTAGTAGATCATAGGTACCTTATCACAGGACTCCTTATCTATTTATATTTCTTGATGATCTCCACCACAAGGCCTTGACTCCCGTGATACTCCACAATAAATATACCATATATTCGCATTCCTTTATTCCTTTAGGAGCCCTACCCATCCAGTGATTCTACCGGGCTAGAGCTTCTGCCAGCAGATTATGGTTGGCCCAAGACGTTTCCAATTTTTTTTTTTTTAGAAAAAAAATCGGTCCAGTGACCCTTTCTTTGCTTCCCGGTTTCGTTCTTGCTTATCAAGTTGTTTCGTCAATTTACGCCTTGTCGCTTTTTCTTTGGTAGTAGTAAAGATCTCTAATCTTTTAAAATTTGCTATATATAAAAGAGATAAATAGGTGCTAAAGATGAAGAAAATTAATATTGGAGGGAAAGGAAAATACTATGGAGTGAAGCTATTTAAAGGTATAGGCCCCTGTAGCTCCTATATAAACACATTAAACAAGATGGAACCTTAGTATCACCTAAAATACCGCATCTAGGTCATTACACACAAATATTATAGACTTTGGAGGAAGAGCTAGAAGGTCTATAGATAGTACTATATAGCTAAGCTGGAAAAGACACAGGAATATATCAATGAGTTGTCTAAAGATACTTATGAGCAAGCGATCAAGATCATTTCGAACGGACACCGCGTACCGACGATATAAATCACATTTCGAATAGGTTCTCTGCAAAAGCCGATTATCGAAAAGCGCGATATGTACCAAAGAACTCAAACCATCCCTTTGTGATCCCGGAAAGGTCGAGGGTATTGAAATCCACATTCCGGAAAGAGACAGTCCACGTCGCAAAGGGACTCGGAGCAGCGTACTTCTGAAGCCCTCCGGCTGTAGGTACAGCCGAAACAATAGCACCGTTGTCCAGGGCAGAAAGGTGAGCACTACCACCATCCGGCGATTGCGACACACGGAAGGATGGTTTGATATCTATGGGATCGTGCGTAAATGCATGATAATTGCCGAAACGGTCATAATAAACGCTATCACCTTCGTGGGTCAGGTTGACATCTAGAACGATGTGATTTCCGGAACTGCGGATATCACGCTGTAATCGCACGCCGTCGAGCCAGAACCGCACGCGATAGACGCGCACATCTGCGCAGCCGCGAAAAGATGACAGAGTATCTTTTGTGGGAGCCGGCGTGGTTGCAGGCAGTTTTATACGTACGTGGTCATGTTTGCGGAGGAATTCGAGGTCTTCTGGAGTCAAGTCGACACACTTTCCCTCATCGTTGTCGAAGTTATGCGGGAACTGCGCAGCATCTGAACCCGCTTTGCTCTCTGCGTCAAACAAGGCTGCATGAAGTCGGCTTTGAGTTGCAGACAGAGCCACTGCCGGAAAGCTAAGGGCGACATCGCTTGTCCCTAACCCGATCTCATTTGCATCTGGCTTGGTAAGGGTCGCTAGGTAAATCGCTCGACGATAGAGTGAGAGCAATCTCATTGTCCTTGCCCGGTTCCAGAAATAGATATCCTCAGACATCTGCTTCATTTGACTGATTTGCCCAATATCGAGGTGGACAACATTCTTTCGCAACTTGTCCTGAGCTTCACGGATGGCGTGGAATTGACTGTTGAGCTTGACGAGTGCCTTGAGCTGCACATTGTATTGGACTTTCATATCATTGCGCTCTGTGATCATGTCTGCATAGCGCTTCAACGCTTTCTGGACCCTTACAGCTTGAGGGCCAATCTTCGAAGGCTGGAAGTCCTCGACAAATTTGTCAATCTGGGCTTTACTTGCAACCAATAAATCATCCCGCTCTTTATCAAGCACCAATTCGCCTGTGTCGGGGTCTCGCACCGTTCGGCTTTCATCACCTTTGTCAATGTCCGCTAAATTCCCCAAAGCCTTCCTGATCCTACGAGCAATCAAGAGTTTACTGACTGCATTGCCATCCGCGTCGGGGATGGTTGTGACTCCCTCCCAGACCTTGTCGGTGAGCTCACTGCCGAAGGGTTCCCACATCTTCTTCAGCTTCTCAAAATCGATTCCACCGTCTTTTTTCTTCGGTTTATCCGTTGGTTTGGTAGTATCCGTTTGTTTGGTAGTATCCTTTGGCTTGGTATTATCAGTTGGCATGGGACTGTCGGTTGGCTTGGATGGTGTTTCATCTATTGTTTTGTTTCCTAGAGCCGAGCTCCCGGCTGTATTTTGACTAGTCGACGGCTGACCTGCTGATGGTTGTTCATCTGGTTGTTTGACGCTATCCTGGTTGCCGCCATCCTGCTTGTCACCATCCTGCTTGTCACCATCCTGCTTGTCACCATCCTGCTTGTCACCATCCTGCTTGTCACCACCCTGCTTGTCACCATCCTGCTTGTCTTTGGGCTTCGACATCAACGAATCGATGTTTGTCTTCTTGGCAACAGTAACAAAAGATTTGAGGAAACTGTCAAAACTAATTTCAAAGTTGGAATCAGAGCGGCTTTTCAGTTCCCTGAGCAGAGAATCTAGCTCATCTGCCCGGCGTGAAAGCTCCGCCACAAATATCTTACTGGCGATCCTATCTCGAAGTTGCTCCAGCCCCTTGACCCGCTGTTCTTTTTCTTTCCCAAGCTCTTGCAGGCCATCGTGTATTTGATCTATAGTTAGTCGTCGTAGGCTTTCATCCTTCTCGATCTGGTCCAGCTGTTTCTCCATACGCATGTAAACTGTTTCGGTCTTTTCGAGCGCCTCAAGGGAGAGCTTGGTCTCATGCTCAAATCTCTCGACAGACAAACGTGGCACCCAGTTGTGCTCGCAGTCGAACACATCGGTTGACGTCTGGGTTGTTTGGGTAAACATTTCTGACGCTTTGCGAGCAATTTTCTGGAGTTCCAAGACGGGATCGGACATTGTTCGGGGGATTCCAATCCACTCTCGCCGGTCCTCATATGCTTTCTGGAGAGACTGGATTCTGATTTCTTGCGCCTGTTTCTGATCTTCTGGCAGCGCTTTATATTCAGCGGAGCCCTCGTCCGGGACGTCGATGACTGCGTGTATCTTTGCGGACAAGCGAGAGAGAATCGATTTTGCACGGTCAATGCACCCTTGATCACCGATATAGAGGAGAGCGTACGCCTTTTCAATCTGCATCTGACACTGCAGTGGATGAAGGGGTGCAAAGGAAAAAGGCCCAGACACCTTCAAATCAGCTACCGTCTTGACGTAGGCCGTACCGTCAGCACCGTGCTCTCCTTCAATGCCACGCTGGCCTGCAGACTGCCCAGCTGTCCCCCCATAACCCCGTGAGGCATCAACTGATCTGCTCAAAGAGTTGCTATGGGCATTCACGGCCTGTTGTGCATCTTTCACAGCTTGATTTAGGGTCTTGTAAACACTTCCTCTGGTGTGCCTGCGATCAGAAACCAGCAGAGGCGACAATGAATTGACAATATCTCTCCTCAACGGGTCGTCTTTGTCGCAAAGACGCTCAATCTTGACAATAATGCCGAGGATGCTACTCAACACGGTTGCTTTTGGTGCGTCACTAGAAATCAAGGTTTTGGTGTCTTTCGGTAATTTCTTTTCAACCCGAACCATCGCAATGACATCGCGTAGGTCCTGTAGAATGGGAGTCCATGTGGATAAGTATATGACTACCACCGAGCCCCCTTGGCCTCCCGAGCCAGCAGCATGGTCGCTCTCAATGGTAGTTCCACCATGTCCTCCACGAGCTTCATAGTTGATGTCCAGTGCCTTTGATGGAGCCTGGCCCACAAATACATTAAGCTTATGTCCAGATTTGCCATTTGTCTTCTTACGGTCCTCCTCCGTGCCAGTGGTATTTGGTACTCCATCTTGACCACGAGCACTTACAACAGCAGCGTTAGATTCGTCTCGGATGAATAAATCGGTTGTGCTTAGGGTGACCTCTTCCGCTTCTGTGGACCCGAATGTCATGTTGTCTGACCCGTCAATATCCCCCAAAGTAACTGACTCGGCGAAGATGCTGACGGCTTTGGAGTAGCCATTCTTGACCGAACCCACGGTTTCACCTTTTCCCAAGACCACGCCATCTTCCAAAGCAGACAGAACTGTATATGACTCCCCGGGTCTCTCGATCACGTTGTAGAAGCTAGAGCCCGAAATCGGCTCCCTGTGGTTCATGATGAAGGAATTAGGATGTCTATCTTTTTGTGTTCGTTCTAGCTGAACGATAACCAGTTGAAGTAAGATTGAAAATGTGGATTGCCGGGCCTTAGAGAGAATAATGAATAATAGCGGAAAGACAGCTTTCTAGCCCTGAGTAAAATGCTCTCTGTTCTTTGCGCGTCACCACTGCGCGGATCATTCTGCTTTTGGATGAGAATGCATCTGCAGGATGCACCTTTCAGCTAAGTCTTTCCTGTGCCGAGTTTCAATCAACGTCATGATTCTTAGACCGCCCCCATCGTCCTTCATGATCTGCAAGGATTGTGGATACCGGCACAATATATCTACATTTTGATTGGGCCGATCATTCTGCTTTTGGATGAGAATGCATCTGCAGGATGCACCTTTCAGCTGAGTCTTTCCTGTGCCGAGTTTCAATCAACGTCATGATTCTTTGACCGCTCCCATCACAATAGATCTACATTTTGGACAGACCAATCTAGTATCACTTCCAGCGATCTTTGGCTCTATCACACTGGTTCGATGTTCACCGCGTCTGGGAAGGGCATTGACGACAGCCATTCACGCAAACTGAATTTGACTAATACAAGATGTACATATATGAGGATATCCAATGGTCGAGGAAGCTGTTATGTCCTTTCTGAAAAAGTTTTCTCCCAACAATACGTGGACAGCAAAGATGGCTGAAATTACTTTGGATAAGATGGTTCAGACCATGGCGAATACCAGCTCCCCCTCGCCAGACAAGGGTTGGACACTGAACTGGGACGTAGTTGTATCCTATTCTGAGAAGGAGATCAACCAAGTGCTTTACAAAGCTTGGGAAAAGGTACTCTAACCTATAAACAAAGCTGGCTGGACGATTCACTGACAAGCATATTATGGGGAAAGCATAAGGATCGAATGCTTGCCAAGGTCCATGCGGTCGCTGAGATACCACCCGATTCAGGTGATGAGGAGGATGACGATGAAGATGTTGGAAATGAAAGTGATGGTGGACAAGAAAAGCAGCGGACGCGTATTTACGACTTGGAACTAGGTGCCCCGCGTATTGAATTTTCAGGTGAAGCCAAACTGCCGGCTGTGCATCTCAAGTTTCCGCTGAAGACAGGAAGCTACTGCCGTTCTGACAATTTAAACAAGAAGTCACTTCCTGAAAACGGATATGTGTTCACCATTCGGAATATTTCCCTGGGTACAGTAACGGGCATGTATGAAGAGGTCAAGAACAAAGACGACCTTGACATAAAAGGTGACTGTGTCTTCAAGAAACGCCCTGAGAACAGCGGAGAGGATGACTATGAGGTTTCTTGGGTTGTGATGGATTTTAAGCTCAGTGACAAAAGTCTCCTGGTGCAGGTTGAGAAAAACTATGGTGATAATCCTACTCCTAAGCGCGAGAGGGCTATCAATCGCAAATTCCCCCGTGCCAAAGAGTTTGCCGAGGCTTTCTTCTTAGGAACTTCAGATGGGGACTTCCAGAACAGGTTCAGAGTCATTCGACATGCTCTGGCAACAGTTAAAAACAAGGATCTTCCGAGACAAAGTGGAGTTACTGTCGACCTGACCCCCAAATCCTTCCGCCTGGCTACTTGTGCAAGCACTTCTATTCTCAAGGGCTCTGTTTTATCCTTATTCATCCATGTTGTGGATGGGAAAGATAATGGAGAGAAACGCGACTTGCAAACACGATGGCGAGGCCAGTGGGTCAATGCATCACCGAAAATTCCACCGATCCCTGCACCGTACACGGCCTCTATTCTCATTCATCCAACGCTATTATTCGAGAAAGCGATTAAAAACAGTGTCCTGACAAATGCAGGAGAGCAAGGGTGGCAAATAAACCAGCTCACCGGCGTTGCGGGTGGCGGCATCGCGTTTCAGGCTGTTTGGCCAAGGACCATCGCTCAGGAAACTTTCTACATCAAACTCCCGCGAGAAGACGCTGAATGGCGCGAAGCGATTGCTGGCGCTCCCTATCTAGAGGTCGAGGGGTTGGGGAAAAGATCTGACGGTATGTCCTACTTGTTCCGCTTTCGATAGTTAGTGGTCAGAACGACCAAGCTAACGATTAGCAGCGAATCCCAGCGACTATCCATCTATATCAGACGGTAAGGGGTCTTGCCCCGAATTTTTTACCCTTTTCGTTGATGATATTAATGTCTCTCTATAAAAAGGACTACAAGTCCCAGCCAGTGGCCCACATTGAATGGAAATTTTCCGTTGAATCTCAATGGCAAAAGCTGTATAGATATGCAAACGGACGTAATAATGAGGGGTCTAGAGGAGAGAAGATGAACGTACGTCGCATAAGCTGTTTTCCTTGATTTTCGTCGGACACTAACCACTCCGAGACAATGAAGAACAAAACAACTTTCTCAATCGACTACAAATTCCCTTTGGTGACCAAAATAACTGATTACGATATTACTTTCAACATTGATGCCAACGAGATAGAAGATAAGGTCTCTATGAAAGACAGCTGGCTACATTGGAAGTCCAATGGTCTGATTCCTATACTGGATGATCTCGAGCAAGTGCTGGAGCGATTAGGCAGGGGCATCTTTGGTGGGAATAACGTTGCGGGAACAGATGCGTTGGAAAAGCGTCATAAAAAGATGCGAGAGGTGCTACCGAAATTCAAATTTGGGACCATCGGTTTGGGATTCTTCCTCACTACAAACCTTTTAAACCCTGGAGCCCAAGTGATCAAAGTCGACAAAAAGGTTGGTATGCGTCTGCCTGGAAACATGCTAGTGGTTGGTGAAGTTATTCAGGGTAAAGATATGGAAAAGAAGGTTCGTGGATAAATGGTACGCGATATTGTTTATCTTGTAAGCTGTATCTATCTAGGACCGCAGTATAAGATATTTTCTAGCGGGGAAATTATAGCCGAAAACCGTTTATTCAAATATAGTTTATAAGGGCATTTTGGTCATAAACAAGCATATACAACTTTAGTTTTTGAGAATGATTTTGGTATAGATAGAATACTAGCTTTTCGTACAGTATAGAAATAGTCTTAGAATTCTTATAGCTCCTTTGTGTAAAGGGCTATACTCGAATTAATTTAACTAGATAGTGTCTGTATACTGTTTATATAGATCTTAAGGATCTGTTAATAAAGGGGTAAACTATAATAAGGTGCCTATGATCTACTAGAATAGAGAAGAGTATGAAGAATAATATCACGGGATTCCTGAATCCCTTCAGGTACGATTCGGGTACGATTTATAGCCGCTCCGTAGGCGAATCTACTATAATACACCTACTAATATATAACTACCCTAAGCCCTAGCAAGCTCTAACAATATTAAAATGTATAAATAATAGCTACGATTCTTGTCCTACAAGAATTAGTTTTATATATTAACTATTCTATTTAATCTCTACTATCTAATATCCTTATCTAGTTATAGGTCTCTAGCCTAATAACTTAGTAACTATTATAATTCTAATTCTTCTCTCTTAACTACCTAAAGATTAATAATAGTACCCTTTATATACTAAAACCCTATATCCTCTTACAATAGTACTTAATCTAAGCCTATTATATCTTCTCCTTTTATTATTAGATAACCTAAGATTAAACTAGTCCTAGATTAATATATAAACCTAGCTAAATCTAGTCTAGACTAGATTAGGGAAATTACTAGTAACCTTATAACTAAAAGTATTAATAGACTTAGAAGTATTACTATAGATATCCTAAAAGAGAAGAGATATAAACTAAAATATCTAGAAAAATTCCTTATAATTTATACTTACCTTAAAAAACTCTCTACTTAAGTCTCTAGAATTAACGCTAGGGCTTTTCTAGATAATTTATCTATAGCTTATAGAAAAACTAAGATTAAAATATATAAGAAAGTAGAGGATTTCAAGATTAATAAGTTTAAGAAATCATTTAATTTTTAAGAATAAGTAAATTAGCTTTTATAACTTAGATATATCTTTTAAGATAACCCTAAGATCTATAAGAATAAAGAGATAAAGATCCTTATAGGAGTTAAATATCTTAACTCTAACTATAAAAATAACTAGACTATAGAGAAAAGATATCTTAAAAATAATAATAATAATTACTTTAATAACTAGGAATACTTTAAGAAATAGACTCTTATCTTAATATATAATAAAAATATCTTTACTAGAGAAGTTAGTAATAAGATAAAATATTATTACTAATAAACTAATAAAGAACTAAAGACCTTTTACTACTACTTTATAGATCTAGAATATTATTTTTCTTAGGTCTTCTAGAATAAGTAAATATATTACTATATATTAAAATTATAACTATAGTTAATACTATATATTTATTAATATATAAAGATTTCTTCTAAAACTTAAGTATAATAAGTAGAAGAAATATAGAGTATCTAGGAATTTATAAAAATAAAGATATATAAATATAACCTATTTATTAATAATTTAAATTTAAACTTAAAATATCTATAATCTAATAACTTATTCCTAAACTAGTCTAATAATATAGAATAAGACTAAAAGAGTCCTAGAAATCTATACTTAAAGAGTCTTTATAGTCCTAGATCTAATCTAAATTATAATAACTCTAAGTTATATCTAAATCTCTCTTAATTTAGAGATAAACCTTAACTATTTCTCTTTTAGAATAATAATAATCTAAATAATATATCTATTAGAGGAACTAACTTATCTAATCTATCTAATCTATTTATTAGAACTTCTTTAAATAGTTATTTTAATTATAGTAAACTAGGTTATTAGATAAATAAATATTATCTATTACTATAAGTCCTAAAAGTAAAGATCTAGAAAGCTTATTTAAAACCCTAGTATTATTATAATAATATTTAGTTAAGAGACTTAGGAAAAGCGCTAGGGTTAAATTAACTCCTATAAATTCTAACTCCTAGTCTTAAGTAGAAATAGTTACTTATCTTTATATTCTAATTTATATCTAAAATAATATTAAGATATATATAGATATTAATATCTATATAGAGATAGATCTTATTAGTTATAAATTTATTTAGAAATACTATTTTAATTAAGCTAAGTATAATATCCCTATCCTAAAAGTAATAGACTAATAAAATATCCCTATCTATAGTATATAGACTATTCTAATTACTATATATAACTCTTAAAGAACTAAATAAAAGTTTTTATATCCCTATATTATAATCAATAAAGATCCCTATCTATTAGGATTACTAGTACTATTATTAAATATAACCATCTAAGAAATATAAATTATATTAGCCCTATAGTAGAAACAATAGTAGTTTAAACATAATAAAAAAACAATAGAATAGTTAAAGTCTTACTAGTTTATAAAAACATATAAGAACTAAGTCTATATCTTTATAGTTATTAAAACCCTAGAAGAGATCTAGCTTCCCCTAGAAAAAGAAGAAGATAAATTAATAGTAAGTTAAGACTAAATCCCTCCTAAATTACTAGTGTTCTAGGATATATTTAAGGTATAGAACTCTAAAATTATATTACTATAAAAAGAGACTAACTACTTAATTAAACTTAAAGAAGATATATTATCTCTATATAATCTAATCTACCCCCTCTTATAAATAAAACTTATAGAGTTATAAAAATATCTCAACAAAAACTTAATAAATAGTTAAATCAGACTATTAAAAAGCCTAGCTGGCGTACCTATCCTATTTATACCTAAAAAGAATAAAGGACTATAGCTCTATATCAATTATTAAGATCTAAATAAGATTTTAGTTAAAAATCAGTACCCCCTACCCCTTATTTCAGAGATTCTTAACTGCTTTTCTAGGGCTTAATTCCTTAGTAAAATCAATATATAAGATATATACTATTAAATTTATATTTAAGAAGAAGAAGAATAGAAGATAGCTTTTTATATAAGATATGGCCATTTTGAATATATAGTTATATTATTTAGCCTTACTAATATATCTATAATATTTTAAAGCTATATCTATACTATACTTTATGGTCTTCTTAATATTATTTATATTATATATTTAGATAATATTCTTATCTTCTCTAGGACCTATAAAGAATATATAAAACACCTTTATCTTATACTTAAAAGATTAAGGGAAGTACAACTATTTATAAAAGCCTCTAAATATTAATTCTATAAGAAATAAATTAAATTCCTTAGCTTTATTATTAGTTAAAATAGTATCTCTATAGACCTAAAATAGATTTAAGCTATCTAAGAATAGAAATAGTCTATATCCTATAAAAAGATTTAAGTCTTCCTAGGATTCTATAACTTCTATTAAAGGTTTATTAAAAATTACTCTTTAATTATACTATTACTTATAAAACTCCTTAAGAAAAACAAAGATAGAAAAAAACTAGGGAATATTAAGCTAAATAACTATAAATCGAAAGTATTTTAGGATCTTATTAATACCTTTTTAACTATATCTCTTCTATAATACTTTAACCTAAAGAGACCTATCTAACTTAAAATTAATACTTTAGGTTTTAGAATAGATAGAATCCTTTTATAACTAGATAATCAAAGGATATAGTATCCTATTACTTTCTAGTTAAAGAAATTCTTATCTATAGAATAGAACTATATAACACTAGATCAAGAGTTATTTATAATTATTTACTTATTTAAATACTAGTATCAATACTTTAAAGAAAGCTATTATTAAGTTAAGATTCTAATAGATTACTATAACCTAAAGCTATTTATAGATTAACCTAAGATCAATAGAAGATAAATATATTAGTACCTTTTTATTACTCTATTTAACTTTATAATATATCACTACTTAGAAAAGACTAATCCTATAGATAGATTATCCTATACCCTAAAAAAAAAGAAGCCTCTACCTATAAAAGAGATATTAGGGCTAATTTATAAGAGAATCATAATTAAATTATTTATAAAAGTGTAGTAGTTTACTACTAATATAATACTATCTAGAGAAGAAAGTAGAGAGAAGTAGGGATTAATAATTATAACTATATTAGCCTATAGAAATCTATTACTATCCCCCTCTCTAACTATAAATAGCTTAGCCAACAACCTAGAGTTAGAGCCGAACTAGATTTAAAATAATACTACTACCCCTATAGATTAGAAGGATCTAGAGGAAGCTATAAATAAGTCTAGTAAAGCTAATTATTCAGATCTAAGGAATAATAAAAAAGTTTTCCTAAGTTAAGACTATAATATAATATATTATAAGATTTTAAGTCGCTCTCAATTTATATCCCCTTAAATAGTAGCTACTATAACTATAAATAAAGATCTACTTATAGATAAATCCCTAAGGAAACTAAAATTATTAATTAAAGAATTTTAAAATAAGAATAAGATAGTCTAGAAGAGAATTAATATAACTCAGAAAGATATTTTATAAAGAAAGTATTAAAGTATTAACTCTAAGAAACTTTTATATTATAAAGGATATCTTTATATCCCTATTACTAAGAATCTAAGATAAAAACTAATTAAGCTCTATTATAATAAGTAACTTATAGGATATTTTAGAAGAATATATATAAAAGAACTTCTAAAAAGGAAATTCTATTAGGAATACTTACTAAAGGATATATAAGAATATATCAAAATATACCTAATATATTAAGAAATTAAAGTATCTAGATATTATCTCTATAAAGAACTCTAACCCCTTTCTATATCTTATAGACTATTTATAAAACTAAATATAGACTTTATTATAGGACTTCTAATTATAATCTTTAAAAAAAAGAAATATAATATAATCCTAGTAATCATCTACTAACTTACGAAATTTTCTTAATTCCTCCCTATATTAATAATAATATCTATAGAAGACCTTACTAAACTCTTCTTTAATTAAATTAAACTTAAATATAGAAACCTAGAGAAGATTATCTCTAATTAAGAGCTTATCTTTATAAATAGATTCTAGTTATAACTTTATTACTATTCTAAGATCAAACTATAGTTCTCTATTATATTCTATCCCCAAACTAATAGACAAATAAAAAGACTTAACCAGGTTTTAGAAGATTATCTTAGGTATTTTATTAATAGGAAATAATCAAACTAGGCTTAACTTCTTAAGATAGTATAATTTATATATAATAATACTATTAATATATTAACTAATAAGACCCCTTTTTATATATTACTTAGGTATAATCCTAATTTCTAAATCTAAACTCCTAATAAAATACTTAAGAAAGAGACCTCTAATACTAAAAAATAAGTAAATTACCTCTAGAATATCTATAAAAAGGCTATAAATAAGCTTTAAATTATATAAGAAATATAATAGAGATCCTATAATAAAAATTATAAGTTAAAGGACTTTAAAGTAAGAACCTTTATATCCTTTTTAATAAAGAATCTCTACTTTAAAGCTAAAGAAAAGAAGCTATTCCTCTATTGAATTAGACCCTTCTATATCCTTATAAAAATCGGTACCTAGGCCTATTATATCGTATTATTAGAAAAATACTTAAGATTATATAATATCTTCTCTATCTCTCTTCTTAAACTATAGAATAGCTAAAATAATAATAACTTATAAATACTAATACCAGAACTTAAAAATAAAGAAGAATAAAAAATTAAAGAGATTTAAGATAAAAAAATCTTTAATAGAGTACTATATTACTATATAAAATAGATAGAATAGCCCTTTAAGAATATAACTAATAGAAACTAATAAAACACTTAGAAAACATAAGAGATATAATAGCTTTATTTAAGAAAAACCAAGCTTATAAAATAATATCCTAATAATACTAAAAACCCCCTAAAACCCCCTTAAATTAGCGTCAAATTAATACTAGATAAAGAAAAGTCACACTAAATAAGACTATTTAGTTAAAAAAGGGGAGGATAAATAAGGTAAAAATAATAAATTACTATAGAATTCTATACTAAACTATAAGTATCTTAATATTAATAACTATTACTATTATAGCTAGAGTTAAAGTAACCCTAATTAGAGTTATATTATATTAATATCCTATTGTAATCTCTATAAAGAAGGATTAAATACTACTCTACTAGAGAGTAAAACTAGTATTACTAATCTATAGATATAAAAGATTATTAGGATAGTAAGAAGATTAAATAGAAGATAAACTAATCTTAATATTTAACTCCTTCTGTTGCTTAATAATAAATATAGTATATACCTCTATAGCGTAGTCTATATTCTATAAATCGAAATAGAGCTTATAACTAAAAAGATAAATAGAGATTATCTTTCGAAAAGATACTAAGAGATAAGTAGATCCCCCTATAGCTATAGCTTTACTTTCCTTACTCTAAATAGATATAATACTACTAATAACTACTATAGTAGTACTATTACTTTAAACTTTATATATCTAGTTAAGAATTAACTAAAGCTAATATAAATTGCTATAAATTCTATAAGATATCTAAAATAAATCAGTACTAAATTAAATATAACTTAGAGAAGAACCTCACCTAAAAGTAATTCTTACTATATTCTTTATATAAAGTATAAGTAATTAAGTTTATATAATCCCAATTATAATAGATCTTAGGAATAGTATCCTTAAGAGGATAAAGAGCTATTTTAGTAATATATCTAATACAAAATATAAAGGAAGGATAAATAATTCAATCACAAAAAGAACATAAGCTAGCAGAAATACTAGTAACACTCCTATTACCTCTATTAATTCTATTACCTCTATCACTATTACTATTACCTCTACCTCTAACCTAATCTTTACCTCTAGTCGTATAATAACCACTATAATAAGAAGGATTACTAAAAACACTAGAAGCAATAGCCTCAGACATAATAAAACAAAATAAGATAAAAATAGAGAGTAAGAAGATAAAAAATTAAGAATTAAGAGCCAAGAAAAAAGAAAAGATAAGAGTTAAAAAAATAGAAGAGAAGCTCTTATCTCAAAGATATTAAAGAACCCATATTACTTTATTTATATCTATATATAAAGATACCTAAGGTAATATTAGTCCTAGAATCTTTATTTAATATAACACTACTAGATACAAATTACCCAATCAAATACAAGTTATATAGATAGTCGAGTCAACCATCATTAAAAGAGAAGGATAAATTATTATAGGATTCCTGAATCCCTTCAGGTACAATTCAGGTACAATTCATAGCCACTCTATAGGTGAATCTACTACAATACACCTACTAATATATAACTACCCTAAGCCCTAGTAAGCTCTAGCAATATTAAAATACACAAACAATAGCTACGATTCTTATCCTACAAGAATTAGTTCTGTATATTAACTGTTCTATTTGATCTCTACTATCTGATATCCTTACCTAGTCACAGGTCTCTAGCCTAACAACTTAGTAACCATTACAAGTAGAGATTAAATAGAATAATTAATATATAGACTAATTCTTATCGAATAAGAATTATAGCTATTATTTATACGTTTTATATTATTAGGGCTTAGGGCTATTATATATAAGTAGGTATATCGAGGTAGATTCACCTACGGAGCGGCTATAAATTATACCTAAGTCGTACCCGAGGGGATTCAGGAATCCCGTGATATACAGAAGATACTATTAGAAGACAATACTACTAGATAAGATTATTGTGGTGAAATTGGTATGTTATACAGGTATATCTAACTATAGTAAGGGAAACGACTATATGATATATACCAGGTATAAAGACAAATAAAATAAACAGGCTCGATCAGGTTAGATCGGGCGGTACAGACATTATGGCGGCAGACACAACGGGGATGCCGACATAGTAGGACAACATAGGAAATAATATAGTATAGGAAGGCAAAAATTTAACAATAGGAAAGGTGGTAATCTTCTCCTGCGGAGTTCGACAGATAGTACAATAAATATCGAAACAGACAAGCATGAGATACATAAAATATCCTATCTAAACCGGCCCGACACGATATCTTGCATGACCTGGGCAACAATCTTGTCACAAGAACTTAACCCTAGAAATCCTGCATGACTCGCACTGCTCAGTGTTCAGTCACTAACAGTACCATAACGACTTTGGTGGCGCTGGTACTCAGTAATCCGACGAGCTTCCAAGAAGATATTGTTCGGTCCCTAGATATTCAAATCATCGCGCATAGGATACTGACGTCCGTTGTTCTCACGCTGTTCAACACCACGGGCGTATTGATCACTCAAAGTCGCGAGATCACGAGTTTGACCTCTTTCCAAGACATCTCCCCAGTCATCCCAGTGCCCATTCAGACCATCTTCCTCCTCGTGGAACCGAATCCGCATAGCAGGGCGAACAGTCTCAGTAGGAACAGGGAAATGGATTGCATGGACGTGATGGCCTAGAGAGCCATCGTCGTTTACACTGCGTTCTGCGAGAGGTCTGGCGAATGGTATCGCAAATGGAGCACCGAAAGCGTCCAGACGATGATTGTGTAAAGCATCGAAGTCAATGTTCATGCCTTCTTCCTCTTGTTCTCGTGGAAATTCGTAATCCGAGCTTGTGGCGAAGATATTCTCCTTGTCCTCTTCCGGTTCCCTGATCGATTCAGGAGTATTGGCACGGGGTGAGAGCTGGGCAAAGACGCTGAAGGGGTCTCTCCAGACTTCGAAGCTCTGATCGTCTGTTGGTTTGTATCGAGATGTCCAGATGCGATTCTGGGAGCATGGTGAAAGGTCGGGGGCACCCAGGAAGGGCTGGTCTGAGTTTGGGGAGGGTACTTGGGGCGGAGGTGACCATTGCATAAATTCCCCAGAGAATGAATAGATAGGGCTTTCTTCGGGAATTGACTGATCTAAAGTTATGAATGAGATTGATGATTTTTGTTTGCTTGGTGGGTTCAGTGTAAACATACCTTGACGGCCTGGGGTACTTTGTGAGATCCTGCGACGATGGCTTATATGTTCGGTTCGACGGGGACTTCTGACTGATGTGTTTTGTTCAGATCCAAAAGAAGAGGCTGACTGAGATCGAAGCATCATTGAGTGTTCTGATCGAGGGAAGGCTGCTGGGAGTAGTCGCCTTCGACCAACTGGGCTTGGGGATATCTCAGCTTCTCGAAAGCGCTGCCTTGCTTCATTCTGAAATGATGGGGTCATTGTGCAGTTCGCTTGATGAATGACTGAGAGCGGGAAGTGGGCTTGTTTGACTGCGAAAGAGTGGAAGGTAGTTCAGTGACTGTTACCCTGAGAGACTTGGTGCCTACTCACCTGATTGTTGGGTCTTTGCTGCCTCGCACATCCACGCTTCCTTTTTAGATATGGAGTTGGTCTAGGCCTTCGGGGGACGTTTTATCTGATATGATCCCTTTAGGTAGAAGAAGCTGATTTGGTTTGCACTGGAGATAAATTGATCGTGACAGATAAGTGGTGAGAGTAATGTCTCAACATCAACTTCAATGTATGTGATATAAATAAATTGCCTTCTAAAAGATGTTAAGTCTCGATAAATATAGCAGATATCAACGCCTACTATGACCAATCTATAAAATTATCTATACTTGCCTTTGTATAGAGTCTCACTGAAGACTTTACTTACTGTAAATGTCTTCCACAACATTGCACAATTAAACCCCCAAAATACATATACCGTTAGCCAATTATTGTCCATAATGTATCTCATATCTCGTCATTCTTTATTGGTTTCTAATTATCCTGCATTATAATGATTTTACACAATATTATTATTGTTATATCATTTTTAGCACGCGTGTTGTGCGGGGGCTGGGAACAAAGTGGGGAAGCGATCTGCAATCAGCACCACCAAGACCAGAGCAAAACATCTTTGATGCAGATGTCAGCACTCTGATATGTCTGGGGTTGAAATTATAGGTGTAGTGGCCAGAGTCGTTCAAGTTGCCAAGCTGGGGTGGCCGGCTCTCAGTCAAATTATGCACGTTCTGCCATAGGTTCAAGAACGCCAACAAGGCGTTGTAGGGTCTATCGAAAGACGTCGCACACTCACTTGCAACTTGCTCCGTCAATTGGGTGATAGCCTCAAGGAGGATGATCTTGCTACCTTGTGCTCTCCCGACGCATTTGAAACGGCTCATGATGTATTACGGGAATGCGAATCGGTCTTTCAAGATCTGGAAAGACAGGTGGAGCAGCACTATGCAGATCAATCTTCGAAATCCTGCATTTTGAGCGGGCATCGAAGAAGATATGGTTTCTGTTGCGGGAAATTTGGAAAGACTAAAGTCTACAATGCTTCTGATGCTGAATATTGTTATTTATGGAGGGCAAATATGCAGGTAATGTCGTTCATCTAATATTGTCGATCATGATGGCCAACGCTAACGTTACTCCATATACGCATTGCAGCGGTAAAACGCAATTTGGAATCCAAATCAGAGGGAGAATAAGCAAGTAAGACAAACTGGATCAAAAGGTATCCACCGAAACTCTCCGCGGGTAATGATCGACAGGGATCTCCCGCTCATGCCGTGCTCTCGATCGAGTGTTCGGCGCTCCTCGGACACTAAATGCAAGATCGACATGCTCGCCCAATCTCCGTTCTAATCTCATATTAGCTAGTGATCGAGGTTCAAATTTGGGCTGACCCTCGATCGGATTATCATGTCCTGTCGAATCGGCGTCTCCACGAGAGTATTGTTTATCCACAATTACCAAGTTAGATCCTGCATAATGTGGACCGCACGAGAGAGATGCTGTCATTCGAATTTAAGAGAAGAAAGGAGATGAAAAGAAAACTTGGAATTAGCCTTTTGGGACCCTGTGCTTAATTTCTCCGTACTTGTACAGTACTTACTAGGCTTAAGAAAATAATATAAAGAGATCGCCCTGATCTTGAAGTTGAAATCCCACCTATTCACCCGTGTCTCACACTACCTACTCTTGCACCCAAGTTATCTTAACAATCTCTCAAAATGCAATTCAAGAACATCCTCTTCGTCTCGGCCCTGGCTCTCGGCGCCTCCGCTGCACCCACCACTGGCAGCAATGCCACCGACATTGCCCCCGCCGTGCAGAACCGCTTCGCCCAAATCGACCTCGGCTACCAACAGACCTACCTCCTCCTAAACCACCTAGTCGATAACACCAACAAGACCACCGCTGACGACGTTGTTGCTGCCTACAAAGCTACCGCGAACGTTGAGAGCAAGGATGTCGGCAAGAACCAGCCAACCAAGCCGCTCTCCGAGTCTACCCAGCTGGTTATCTGCCAGTCTTTCCACTCTGTATGACTTGACCATTACCGTGGCCGTATATGGTGATACTATTGAAAAGGAACATGTGCTAACGACCTATTCTATAGTTGGCTCTCACTGGTATTCAGCTGAACAATGCTTTCGTCGACAATGCTTCTCACTTCAACAAGGCGCAGCGCAATGACTTGCAGACTGCTTTGAGCAAGGTTAACGATGAGACTGGTGTATGTGTTCGAATGATTTCTTCTAAGTTTTGAATTGTTGACGTGCATTACTGACAATTTCTATAGCACTTCTTCATCAATGTTGCTAAGAAGGCTTTGCCTTACTGCCTTGATACTCTTCAGACTGATGATAAGGCTATTTACAAGTCGCTTAATGCTGCTGCTACTGCTCTGGACCCTTCTGAGGCTCTCCTGTAACGGGTTCTTAGCTGCGCTCGGTGGAAGTAGTAATGGGCTTGCGTGAATCGTTTATAGATTCAGTACATATTCATTTTTTCATCGAAAGAATCAATTTATCAACCCTTTGAATGGGATGTCTCACTATATGCTCTCCGAGCTTTGACCACGCAATGTGTAACGCTGTACTAAGATCTAATGACGCGATAGATCTACTAGTACAGTCAACCCGATAAATAGTACCACCCCTAGTAAAAAGAGCGGCAGAATTGATTGTATCGCTTGCAAAACTACAAAAGAGCACTTAAGCCCTGGAGCCATAGTATGTTATTTCAATTCCTCCACTTTAAATCTTACACTCTTTACCATCGTCACATAGAATCACATCTATATTAGCTTTGATTAAAGTCTTATAGCATATGGTAATATTAGGTATAATATCATCTAAATCTTTAGAATTACCTTAGTAAAGGTCTTACCAGAGGCGACTAGACGGATCTTTGGAAAAACAATTGGAAAGACGTGTAGTGATGTTAAACGCGTACTCAAAATCCACCGCTTCTAGGAAGGAGTGGGATTATTTATCGGGGTGACTGTAGTAGTGATGGATTGCTATAGAATCACTGTTTTGGAGACTCAATGAAAATCGGGCAATAAATAGATTGATCTGCTAACGTATGGATATCAACAAGGGTAGGGGGAGATGCTACCGAAGAAAAGCAGATATCAAACTTGCTAAGAATATAGATCATAGTCAATCAATCTACTACCGGATTTCCCATACCATATTCCTCAATCGTCACTCGGCCAAATAGACCGATCGCACGGTACACACATTCTCTCGAGACTCAGCAACGCTCCTTAGAAAATAAAATGGAAAGCCCGGGAAGTATGCAGCAAAATCATGGAGCAAGCCACAGCCAGGCAAAGCTAGAACTGAGACTGGGGTAGTAAAACTCAGGCTGGGACGTTAGGCATCTTAGTACCAAGGAAAGGGCATCAGCAAATACACAAGGAAATTGAAACAGAAGAAGAAGAAAAAAAAAATCAAATAGAGTCAGGAGAAGCGCTTTGGTCTCTCGAGATGATGCACCGTTGCCGTGTAACCAGGCCGAGTTAAAACAGAGACAAGAAATCCTGCGTCCCATACTTTCCGCCATACATTGTCGGGCGTGCTGGTCATAAACTTGCAGGCGAGCAGCTGTAAATGACGGCAAATAGAGAGTATCACATAGATTCCATTTCAAGAGGGCAGGGTCTGTCCAATTACCGGAATTGGCCGGGGCCAACCATGCCACCTCGAATATCACCACCGTGAGACTGTCCGAACATCTCTAGCAAGTGGCGAGATGAGGGAGGGGGGCCTTGAGGACCAGGGTTCCCGGGTCCAAATGGACCTTGACTACCAGGGCCGAGTCCCATCATTGCCTCAGGGTTGTGCGGCATTGGGGGAAAGCCAGGTGGCGGAGGAGGTCCTCCCATATATCCAGGGGGGGGCATCATGCCGGGTGGGGGTCCACGAGGGAAGCCCTGTCGCTCGTTGATAGGAGGCACGTTGCCAGGCATGGGCATCATGCCAGGAGGAAAGCCGGGGTTCATTCCACGGCCTGGAGTAGGAATTCCAGGTGGTGGGCCCATAGGACTTGGGCCATTGGCGTGCGGAGGTGGAGGTTGTCCATTCCACCCGGGAGGTGGCAGATGCTCGAGGCCTGGAGGACGCTGGAGGATGGGGGGCTGATTTTGTCCTTGAGGTTGTCGAGAACCTCCAGGAGTCATGGGGCCCTGGTTCCCTTGGGGGAAAGGCACATCATCGAAATATCCCATGGGAGGAGGCCCGTTGGGTGCTCGTCGCCGAAGCTGTTCGCTGTCGGGCCGTTGCATATTAGCAATAGCTGGGTCGTCCAAAAAGCTGGGTGTTTTCTGGCCTCCAAGTCCAGGTGGAGGGCGAGTCATCATTTCCGGCATCAGGCCAGGAGGATGGGGAGGTCCTGCATTGGGGGACTGGACAGGATTCCCAGCGGATGGAGGACCAACCCGGACCTGCTGCATGAGGCGTAGGAGATGCTCCCTGTCACGCGATTGGGGATCTTTGCCTGCAAATTGAGCCATAGGGCTCTCCTGAGCAGGGGGGCTAGTAAATTCGTGTCGCGAGAATGCCGGTGATGACATATTTCCTGCAGCACGGGGCTGCTCAGCTTGCATCATCATTGAGGAAGTGCGCGACTGGTGCGGGGAGTCAACTTGGCTAGGTGTACCATTGTGTGATCGGCCTCCAGCACCACCACCGCCACCAAGCATCTGAAGAATTCGTTGGAAACCTTCCTGATCAGCTTCATGATTGACAGGTGTACCTCTACTTTGGGGTACAGGTGGAGGAGCTTGAGGTTGAGGTGCTGGTGCTGGTGCAGGTGCATGTGTAGGTGCATGTGTAGGTACATGTGGTACATGTGCAGGCTGTGGTTCGGGAGCTCTAACAGGACTATCCGGAAGGGGACTGAAAAGACCAGCAAACCGAGATGACTTGCCAGCCTTTCCGCTGGGAACTTCTTTCTTTGGGACGGGCTCTACAGGCACTGGTGGGCTGATTTCCTGAGGGGTAGGCTTCGTGTCACCCAGCATGCCAAAGAACCGTTCCATCGAATTGTCACCCATAAATGGAGTACCAGAGTGGCTGAAAATCTCGCCATCAGTTGGACGAGTCTCGGGGATGTGTGAAGCAATATCTGATTCCACCGGTGCTTCACTCTTCTGTTCATAGGCTGGAGCCTGCTGCGCAGCACCAGAACCAGCCTTCATCCGCTCTTTCCAGCGCTCAAAATCTTCCTGTGTGTGGGCTCGGCGCGGTTCGTCATGATCATGGCTATCCAACCATTCGGGCTCCTGTTCAATCTTAGCCCCGCGTTGCCAATCGCGGTCAACCCCATGACGATCACGGCGCCATTCTCGGTTACGTAGAGCAGGTTTATCATCGTCGGGGTCAGCGGCATCGTTGCCATGCTCATCACGGAACCAGCTTGCTTCGTATTTCGATCGTCCTGGGGTACCATCCTTCTTTACGAAGCGTCCTTCTTTATCTCGGAGGCCACGTTCCGTATTTGTGTCTCGGGGATTTTCGCGGTTTTCCCATCGATCGAATTCGCCGTTTCGTCGCGGCTTGCGATCTTGGTCTTCGGGGCCGAAGGTACGACGAGGGCGTCCAGCATTCCAATCTTCCTTGTCTCCTCGCTGGCCGTTTAGACCTGGCTTCACAGCACGTCGATCAACGTCTCTCTCCGTAGCATCCTTATCCTTGAAGAATCTATCTCGGAAATTGAAACGATCGTTCTTTTCATCTGCGTCGCCTGGCCGCGCTGGCCGATCTGTTAGGTCAAAGGAACCTTTGCCGCCAATTCGTGAGGATGCAAAGGCAGTTTTCGGTGGGCCAAGAATTATATCTTCTATATGGGGTTGAAGTTGGATTAGCGAACAAGTTCAGTTGGAATTGAAAGGGAGTGGGCAAGCGAGGGTACCAGACGGCGCACCTGAATTGGAGCCTCGGGAGATGTGACGAGCTTCAAAAAAGCTTGGTCGTCTGTTTGTAGGTGCTTCATTGGGGTTATTGGGGTCTCGAGTATTCTGTTGTTTGCGCTGTGTGGTTGGGTCGGGTTGAGGCCTAAGAAGCAACGAAGTCACGGGTCAGTTCTTGTCTTGACGTGGACATGCGGGATGATGGTGCTCGCAAGGTGGGGAAATAAGAGTAATTCTTACATCCATTCTTCGATGGGAGGTAGGCCAGAAGGTTTTGCGACAAGAGGCGATGAGCGCAGCCATAACAGCTCATCGATCTCGTACCGTCGCGCCATGACGGCCTTATCTGAAATAGTGTGTGCGATCGTTATCCACGGGAGTTATGATGTTCTCATTGGGCAGTGTGCGATTTCCTGAAACCAAAGCAATGACGATGTCAATGGGATCAGATAGTTTGAATAAAAACAAAAGGGGTTTCAGAGTCATAAAAATAAAACTTGTTGGGGGAGGGGAGAAGGTCAAGGTCGGGTTCGGGAGACGAGGTCGAGTGAGTGAGGAGAAGCAGTGGTAAGCCACTTGTGGCGAGGCTCAAGGCGGAGCGCGGGATCGGTAAGATTCTGGTGATCTCCACCAAGCTTGCACATGTGGTTCAGGGCAAATAACGAGAGGGGGGATGTTTAGTTTATAAACTGTGGAAGATCTCAAAGATGGGATGTATGCAGAGAATGATGATTTCAAAGAAAAAGGTTGAAAAGAAAATGTTCATTTTCGCTGCAGGAAAGAGACATGTCACTACTGACCAGCTGATCTATACCTCCTTTTCTACAAAGGGCAGGTCTTTCATTGCACCAACTTGCACTATTTTATTTCCAAATAACTAGTACTTCCGATACTTCCATATAATCAGTAATTATTGAAATTGAACAAGAAACAGGATTCCAGCTGAGTTACTCAACATAGTTCTGCCCAATGTACCCTATACCAGTCGAGCTGCGGGTAATTCCTTAGTAAATTGAGTGTCCAAGAACAGCTCGCCCTGTATACTAAAAGTTTTGCTTTCAAATAATTTAACCCATATAAATACAGACTCCAAACCTCAATTTCCCCCCAATTTGAAGTACTTCAGCCATGTTGAACGTTGTTTAAGGTTAGAGCACCGGGCGGAGCTGAACTGGCCAATCAGCGGACGTGAAATCTCGATGGCATCGGAACTTCGCATCGAACAAAAAAAAAAAAAAACTAACATTCATCACTCTCAACATGGCGCACATTGCAGAGCATCCTCTGCGCCTAAAGAGGAGAAAGCTTGATGATGATTCTCATGCGAAAGAAGAGGTGACTTTCACATCTGCAGCCCAGCTTAAGGAAGTGCTGGCTTTTCAACAGAATCCACAGACAACCAATAAAGGTGAGTCGCACCATCCCCAACATTCAAGCATCGCATGTTGACAAATGTTCGAAAGGAATTATACAATTCAAGCATTTTCTACTGTCAATTGGCCAGCCTGGAAAGGAGACGGCCAAGGCCCAGAAATTGCGCACCCTAAAAGGCTACTGTGACAAGCAAATCACCCCGGGCAAAGAAGAAGGCGCGGCGTCCGTCTGCTTTTCCGATATCACCCAGACCTGGAGCTTTGGAGAGAGTAGCAACCACGATCACTTGCTAACCAACGTCCCTTCGGTGCTTGCCATTTTCCTGAAGACTATCTCCCATGAGTTGGAGTTTCGGGAATTCGGCCTTGCGTTATGCAAGCATCTGCTGCAAAAAGATCAATTGAGACTCTTCAATCGAGGTCTGACTGCTCTCAAGTCTAAAGAACATCTGATCTCACCATGTCTTCGTCTTCTCACAGAGATAGTTACTTTCGATGGCGGCGCAGTGGCCCGACAAGTATACAATCTTCGCCACATAACATTTAAGCGACTTGAGATCTTCCTGACACCCAGCAAGGCACAGCTGGAGACTACCGATGAAGCACAAAAGTCAACTTTGAGACGAAATGCTCAGCGCTACCTACTTGCTCATTTGAGGGTGCAGCATACCCTGGAAAAGGGTGATCTGGTCGAGCAACACAAGCTGACCCGCGCTTTCCTCGAGCACTTAAGAAAAGATCCGAGAGAAATAGTTCTTGAAACAATCAAGGCTGTTGAAAGGGACATTGTGCAAGATTCTTCGTTATCTCGCAAGTCCAAGAGCAAGTTTTTCAACCGTTGGAACATGGAGAAACTTGTCACACTCTATGGCTATGATCGAGAGTCCGACGAACCAAACCCAGAAGGACTTTCAATTACGACCGAGCTTCACCGTGTTCTAATGACTATTTGTAAGACCGCTGGCCTGGGTGTTCTGCTTCCCGAGACAGGATGGTATCCCGTTGGAACTGACCCAGAGAGTTTGCCCGCCGACGACGACACTTCTATTGAATTGGGTCTCGACTCACCCATCTACATCGATAAATATAGGGATTCCATTCCTGTCAGAAACAACACACTATCCCATCTCATCCAATGTCTTCGCGCCGATGTGGACATCTGCCAGACCGAGCTGCTAGAGACCATTTTCACGGTGGCACCAGAGTTGATCGCTGACTTCTTCACCAAGAAAGTCATGTTTGAGGCTGACCCCAAACCAACCACTTCTTGGATGGGAGATTCTGCTCTTCTTTTCAAGGTCGTGCAGCTACCCATCCCGACACACTGCGGTTGGAAAGACAAACAGCCCATGCTGCCACCGCCTGTCTCAATTGTCATCGAAAATATTCTCCCTCGTCCTCTTAGCCAGAAAACAATGACCCGCTGCTTGAACATGAACACTGAACTTGTCACTATCTTTTCTGTGCGAATTTTGACCGCCGCGTTTAATAAGTTGCGAGCCGTCCTGAAGATTTTCCGGGGAGACCATAAGCGAACTCAATTATTCTGGAATCAGGCGTCTTCCAAGCTTCTTGCTGAGTTTTCGCGAAGGTGCCCTTCGGTCAAGGATGTGGTTCTTCTTTTCCGCCGAACTGCTAAGGAAGATTTGATGCAACAAGAAGCCGTTGCAGAACTCTTGACTTGCTACTACGAAGTGATGCCTGATATTGCTCTTGAAGAGAACTTTGACGTTTCGCTGGTTCTCGTCGACGTATTGAAGCGACTAGAAGATACAGAGCTCAGCGCTGATGACTCTGAACTACTCCTGAGCCAATTGCAGAGCGTTCTTCAGATTGCCTCCCAGTCCGCCTCGCTTCGATGGTGGCAACAACCAGGTAACTATAAGCCTGTATCTTTCTTGTCTGGCATCATTCACTAACAATTCCCTAGCTAATATGAACTACTCTCCTTTCACATCCATTCTCAAGGTTCTGATTGATACCTCTGACAAAGTTTCGTCACGGAAGATTTCAATACTTCTCCGGTCCATCCTGGCAGAGAACTCCGTTCTACAAAATGCTCCTCGTGCATTCAATGCTCTTTTGTCCAGTCTGGAAGACTCCGAATCCGACCTGAATCAACAATTGGTCTTTTTCGACAATTGCGTGTCTCGAGTCGCCAAGAAGCCTGTTCATTATCTGGATTTAGTTGCCTCTCTGTCTGACGACGAAACGGCCGTAAGCCCCATTGTCGCTGCCATTGTTGAACAGTGGCCTTTCATTGTCAAGGCAGGAGATGAAAAGAAAGAAAAGGCAGTGGCATCATGGATCGCCAAATTATTAGGTCACCTGAAGACTGCCGGTGAAAATACCAAGGCGCTAAAGGCTGCTCGGGATGCTCTTATGGAGGCAACCGAAAGCAAGAAGAGCCGCTCTCTGCTTAAGAAATGTCTGAAGGACGCAGAGGACGCAGAGGAAGAGGACAAGATGGAAATTGATTCCGCTGCTGTCCAGACATCTGCAACTAGCAAAGCACCAACAGTGGATCTTGATGAGATCTTCGGCTCTCTTCCTACAGAGGGCACAACACACAATGCACTGCATAGATGGGAAAGGGAAGAGATCGAAGCATCTATTGAACAGGGTCGAATTGCCGAACTCATGCTCTGCCTTTGCTCCGAGCACGAGGAAGTTCGAAGACAGGGATTTGCGAACATTGTTCGCTTCATGGCCAAGCTGAAGGTATGTCCAGATTCATTATCGGATATAACTTAACACCGGAACTAACCAAAATTCCAAGGAATCCTCTTACTCCGATTGGCGCTCCGTCTATATTCTTACCGGTGAATTGCTCGAGACCGTGAATATCATTGGTCTCGAAAAACCAGTCCCCTGGATTGTCGGCGAATGCGCCGCAAACTGTCTCTCTGTTCTTATCAACCCCCTCCACAAGGCCTACGGCAAAGTCAATAAGTTCCTACAAAAGGCACCAACCTGGGAAACGGACAAGATCCCGTCTTACTGGATTGACCGGATCCTCATGCATGAACCCGAATTAGACGATGGCTACTTCGAAGAACTTGACTGGCTTCTGAGCATGTTCGTGAAAGGCCTCCGCAGCAAAGCTGTAAGATTATCATCCTCCACACGATTAATTTACAAAATAAACTCTTTGATACTAACGTTCTTCCATATAGGATATGGAAGTCTACCGTCGTGCAAATGTGTTCGAGCGTCTTCTCTCTCTTTATCAATCGCCTAGTCTGAATGAGTCGGCTCGTCGGAAGATCTTACATATCATCTACCGTGCTGCCCAGGTAGGCGGTAGCACGACGCTAATCACCCGTGCGGCTGTTATGAGCTGGATTCAGGTCCAAGCCGCACAGGTGGAGAAGAGCAAGGATACTGCACTGCTTGCTGCTCTTGCGCAAACGCTTTATGATACTTCTGATCGTGAGCGAGTCGATGCATGGAGTACCGGGACAATCGAGCGAGCCCTTGAGCAGATCACAAAGGCTTCAATATAATGGGAAGCAATCATATACAACTAGCATTTGGGCTTTGCCGTTAATAAAAGAATCCGAATACCCATAAAATAGAACCATACTAGAAATAGGGAAAATCTGGAAATTTGAACAAAGCCTTGTTTTTGAGTCTTGTAATGGCGTAAAATCTAGATACACATACGATGGCCAATATCCATCAAAACACACAAAGAATTCCAAATCAACCCCATGTACCACCACCGCCTCCTCTTCCACCACGCCGTTGCGCAGAAAGACGCCAATCATCTTCACCCGCAAACCGATTATGAAGAGGTTGGATACGCTCTGCCTTCTTCCGCTTCGACAGCCGGTCTGTAGGCGCGACCTTGAAGAAGGTAGGCGCAGCCTCAACAAGCCATTTCGGTTCAATAGAAGTAGTACAGTGCATGTACTCCTTCGTAGTGAGGACGAGAGTATGATAAATAACATGCTCAGAGCCCTTACCGAACAACGCAGACGAAGGATGAAGATAAACAGGTGTCCCCTCAACAAGAGTCTTAAAGCCACCTTCCTGCTGATCTTTCCGAGCAGCATTACGGAAGAATCCCGTGCAAAGCGCCTGTCGCACCTTCGTCGTGTCTCGACCACACGAGATAATCCGGTGCTTGTATCTCTGCATGATACCGAGAAGTTGTTTGCGAACATCTTCTGCGCGGCGAATTTGTCGGGCTTGGATAAAATTCTCGAAACACCAGGAGTTATTAAAGTTTGATTGTTTCCATGCGTTATAGACGTTCAATAGAGTCAGATGGTCACCCATTGGATCGTGGAATTTGGCTTTCTTTTGATCGGCTTGTTGCTGTTTTTCTTTGGGTCTGTAGAACGGGGACGCAATTGACAGCATTGCGACGATGGATAGTAATTCTTCTGAACAGCACATGTCGACTGATGCAATGAGGACCTTGGCAAGGGCAGGTTCCATGGGGAAATCGGCCATTTTACGGCCTAGTCGAGTGAGAAGACCTTCGTCGTCTAGGGCGGAGAGGGCGTATAATTCTTCCAAGGCAGTAAGCATAGTATTTGTGGGTGGGGGGTCCATGAAATCGAAATGCAGTAAGTCGTTAATTCCCATGGCTTTCAACATGAGAATGGTGTGAGAAAGATTTTGTCTCTGGATCTCAGGAATTGTGGTAGGCAACATCTCAGATTGATAGGCCGCCTCGGTGTATAGGCGGAAACACTTTCCAGGACCTGTTCGGCCAGCGCGACCTGCACGCTGTTTTGCCTGGGCTTGAGATACCGGTGTCACTACTAAGGAGTCCATGCCGAGCTTGGGGTCGTAGGCGTTTTGTTTCACGAAACCAGGGTCAATCACGTAGTAGATGTTATCGATGGTGATTGATGTCTCGGCAATATTGGTTGCGATGACAACCTTTCGCGCTCCGGGTGGTGCAGGATCGAAAATTCGACTTTGCATTTCGCTGGGAAGAGCAGAATATACAGGGAGAACAATCAGATCTGGTACTGATGGACCGAGGGCTTTCATTCTCTCGTAGAGAATTTCACATGCGGTGTCGATTTCTTCTTGACCCGTAAGGAAGAGAAGAATATCACCGGCAGCTTCGGTTAAGTGGATTTGCATGACTGTGATCAATGCCGCGTCGAGATAATCGGATTCTGGCTCCTTCGAATACATAATCTCCACGGGGAACGTTCGGCCAGGAATTGAGAAAATAGGACAGCCATGGAAATACGAAGAGAATTTCTCAGCATCCAAGGTGGCCGATGTCACAATTAATCGTAGGTCTGATCGTCGTTTGATAGTCTTTTTCAACAATCCGAAGAGAATATCTGTGGCAATCGTTCGCTCGTGGGCCTCGTCCAACATAATAACGGAATATTTCTTGAGATCAGGATCAATCAAGATTTCTCGCTGAAGCATACCATCGGTTTGATACTTGATCACGGTCTCTGGACTAGTCATATCCTCGAAACGAATGGTATAACCAACCTGAGAACCAAGTCGGCAGCCCACTTCCTCGGCGACACGTTTGGCCACGGACATGGCTGCTACACGACGTGGTTGAGTGCAACCAATAAGTCCCTTATTTCCGTATCCACCCTCGGCAAGATATTGCGTCAGTTGAGTCGTCTTTCCTGATCCAGTATCACCAACGACAATAAGGATCTGGTTGTCTCGCACGGCATCAAGCAGTGGTTTCCTGAACTTGTACACAGGCAAACTCTCACGTTGTTGTTTGATAGGCATATCGGTTCGTTTACCGAACGACTCATTCTTGCCTGTACCCATGGTGACACGCTTCCATTCTGGCACAGCTTCATCTTGCTGCTTTGTGCCACTGCGTAGCTCCGAGGCGAATTGTCGATCCTCAGGATTAGCCATGGGGTCCAGCCATTGTGCGCTAAGATCCACATCAGCTGCCTTTGCAGCAGCTTTGTCTTGCGATTCTTGCTGTTTCAGCTCGCGTCTCTCTTTGGCGATATTCGTGCCAGACATTGCTGCACGGTTCATAGACCCATCGGGAGCCTTGACTACACGGATAGGAGAAAGCTCCAAGGATTGCTTGGTCTGACCAGCCAGGAAAGGAGGCTCTTCGTCTTTGACCTCAATATCAACGTCTTCTTCCTCTTCGAATGCTCCTTCTCCGGTAAGAGTGGCATTGTATTCCTCCTCCAAATCAGGGTAATCGGCCGCAGAAGCCACGCCAGAGGCAATGAGTTGGCGAATTTCCCATCGTTCCGGTGATGTCATGCGCTTGCGGTTACGCATTGGTCGACCATTTGACTCTTCAATGACGGGGATATCGGAAGTGAGACCACCGTATCTGTCATTGTCATCGAGGCTTTGCATATTGGCACCCGAGGCCAGGCGTTTTTGAGGAACCATATCCATTCCAGTTACTTGGTCCGCCTCTTTCATTGACAGGCCAATACGACTTCCTTCTATGCTCACTACCTTGACCTTAACTGGCTGTCCACGAGAGACCAGATCGGATGGGTGGTTCACTCGGACGCCTTCCTGCATAGCTGACACATGGACAAGGCCATCCACTTTCCCTCTAATTCCGGATAAATTCACAAAGGCACCGAAATCCTTCACTCCGGTCACAGTGCCATCGTAAATCTTATATAGCTGGGCTTGGTCATCCAGTTCCATAGGTCGCTGGCGGAAGCCATCGTCATCACGGTCTCGTCGTCTCCGGCGGTCACTCTTCCCATTGCGATGTCCATCATCCCGATCTTTATATCTTCCGATAGACCGTCCGAACTCATCCACAAGGTCGTCGTTCTTGCTTCGACGGTGTCCACTCCGTGACCGGGATCTCGATCGGTATTTGTCTTTTTGTTGGCGTCCGCGACGATCATCGTATTCAGGGCTGCGGCTTCGTTTGTGCCCACGGTCATCTCTCGAAGGGCGCGGCTTCTCATCGCCTGCTTTTCCGGCAAGTCCTTCCAACATAGCAAAAGTGTCGTCCATAGCGCCAGCTTGCGCATCGGATTCGAGGTAATCGTTCTCCTCCCATCGCTTTTCTGTATCCGCAACTGCGAGTCCTTTGAACACACGCGACTTCTTTTCCAGCGCATCGAACTCGTCAAGGCCGTCGCCTGTCGCGCCGTTGTTTCCTGCGTCACCATCGCTAGCTTTCTTTCCCTTGTACTTCGGGTGCATTGTGAGTACTAGGCGATCAATACTCTCCATTAAACTCTGGGGAAACTCGGCACCCATGTCGTCGAGCTTCTTCTTGAATTCTGGGAATACGCCATTACAATTGAGGTGCTGAGCGATGACGAATTCGGCAAGGGTTTTGTCGTTGATGCCCAGATGGTTCTGGAGCTCGTTCGTCACTCGCGACACGAGTGAGAACAGCTCCAGCGACTCCAGGTCATCCATAGTGGTTGACTGACCCCGGGAGTAAAGGAATGGTGGAAGCTAGTATGGAGCGATCAAGCTGAGCAGGCTGTGAAAAAAGAAGAGCAGCGGGCGCTATATTAAAACAAAGTAGTATGTTCCTGGAGTTTAATGTCGCAGATCGAAAGTGAAGGCGGAAAATCAGTGCAGCCGGGTCAAATTGCCACTGATAAGATAAGCAATGGCTCGATAACGGGCGATAAGAGTCTATCTACTTGATGTTGCAGTAAAAGAATATAAGGAAATGTTTAGATAAGATTGAAGTAGAAAATAAAAGATGACAGAGAGGGTATTGATGTGATAATTTACAATTAGTATACAAATATACATGGTCTTTTGTTACAGCTATACAGTGGCCCTTTGATATCATGTTCGTGAGGCCTGTTCCTCCTCGATCAAGTCGATATCATCCTCTAACGGAGTGACATTCTCCACGGGATCAGAGCTTTCCTCTGACAGTTCATCGGGTATTTGATCTGCCTTCCGATCTGGTGAGAGCAAATCTTCTTCAGTAATAACTCTTTGCTGACTCAAAATTTGCTTCTGCAGCGCAATCTGTCGTCGCAAAGAGGCATCCTTCCGCAAGGTTTTATTGGCCGAGAATTCGCCCAATGCTCGCATCAGTCTCTCTTCTGCAAGCACCTTGACATGACCGGCCAAGGTTCGATCCGTGAATATACCGCCAAATCGAAAGCTCAACCATGAATAGAGAATGATTGCTTTATGAAGGACCTCCAGATCATGGACATATTCCCTCCTGCCAGACACCGGTTGTTCCAAAATCTCTAGGTTGAGATGGGGAATATCCAACAATTTTCCTTGGCTATTGGCAGCAATACATCTTGCAAATGATAAATTCATCTCACGCAAGGCTGGATTTCGAACCTCCAGAGGTGCCGCCATAAGGAACAGCTGGTCTGAGATTCTCAGGTCATCCACCGAGTCAATGATCTCGGAGCTCTCGAGCTGACCTTCCGCGTCACACAGGAAGAAGAGGGGGCTCATCTGCGAGATTTCTATGACTCGTTTGATCAAATACTCGAATGGTACGTTTCGAGGAAAGTATGCGGCAAACTTTTGTAGAACGGAGCTTGTAGGGAAGATGCCAGCAGCACGGAGTGGTGCAGGCTCAATCCCCATAGCTTCTTTGATATATGGAAGATCGACGTCTTCAAGACAAGTGACGAGACCAACGTTGGCTCCGTCCTGGCTGCTCCCTTTGATGCCGGCAGGCCGGTATCGCCCAGCTCGTCCGCCAATTTGCTTGATTTCAGGGATGGATAGACGCTGTAACCCACTTGGGGTTCTTTTGATAAGAGTCTCGAAAATGACACGTTTGACACTCCTATACTTGTGGGTTAGTGGGATGTACAGTTACAATAGATTGACAGTAAACACTCACAGATTTAACCCCATGCCAATGGCATCACTCGCCACAAGGAAATCATAGTCATTATCTGGATCATTGAACAATGCCGCTTGCTGCGTTCGAATTTCAGCCGGCAGGCCACCATAGACAATGGCCGCTCGCCTGCCAGTGACCTTTTCGATATCTGCCTTCAAGGTATGGATTCCGACACGAGAAAACACAACCAGACAATCTCCCTTTTGAAGCTTATTTAGGTCTCCTTCAAGACTTGTTGGCATCACCTCCAGGGCGTTTAGTCTCTCGTAGCGATGAATCTCCAGAATGTCCCCAGTAAGTGCACACAACTCTCGAATCAGTGGCACCACTCTTGTCTCACCGCAAAGGTGCAGCTCGGATACCTGGGCTCCTAGCACAGCTCGAGTCCACGCCCAGCCTCGTTTAGGATTGGCGATCATTTGAATCTCGTCAATCACACCTACTTCAAATTCTTGTCCCACGCTAACCATTTCCACTGTATTGCTTACAATTCGCGCTACTTTGCCATCTTCGGGGATTCTGACTTCATCTCCTGTAACAAGGCTGCACGGCACACCGCTATCTTTAAAACGATGATATACCTCCTGGGCAAGCAGTCTGAGCGGTCCAGCATAAAACCCATTCTTGGACTGTTCCAATCGCTTCAGTGCGTGGTACGTTTTCCCGGAATTTGTTGGACCGACATGTAGATGCACCGTTCGTTGGATAGATCGTGCGCGAGGGTACCACTCTGCGGGGAATCGAAGATCGGCGACTTGCTTCTGAGCGTCCAGGGTGGAAGTCGAGTACTGAGAGGTCAGATCGTCTGCTGACAACATATACTCTAGTTCACTCCGTAGCCCTGCCACTCCTCCAGATAAATATGACTTTTGCAGGGTCATCTTCAGCTGTTGTAGATTGCCCCATTTGGCACCTGATTTGGTGTCATCCACCCGACACGCATTCCACACAAGGCGTTTGAACCGATCCCATCCTTTCAATGACTGGCCCGATTTTTTGAGATTATGCTCGGTTTGTCGTAATGCAACATCAACGACGTTGCTGAATTCGCGCGCACGAGCAACATTTTGTCGAGAGCTTAAGGCGCCGGGTTTCCCTTTGCTTTTGTTCGAAGCAACTGCTACCGCTTCGGTTTGCTGTTTCAGCTTCGCTTTCAAGAGTGCTTTGCTCGTTCTTTGCAGGGGAGAAGTCGTTGCAAAATAGCGTGAGGCGGGTTGAGTGGTTGATCGTAGGGTGCAGAAGATCGATCGAATGCCTGTGCCAGTCCATGACTGCATGCCTGGATGCCCGGGGGTTTCCCGCAAATTGTGGAGAGGCTTCGATGTAGGCTGGACGGAGAACGAGCGTGGATCGAAGAAATTAATGTAATTGGATATGCAGGATTAGGCGCGGAGTGGGCGTGACTATGTCGGGGTCCAAGTTACAAAGAGGGAGAAAAAACGTAGCGCATTTGCTTATCGGGGATGCGTTCCCTGGCGCGCGCCACCGGATGATCCACTTCTGCGTCGAAGCTCTAATGGTGGGGAACCACCTCTCCTTCATATACCTCATACACGAGCCACCCAACTCCGTTTTGTGCTCCTGCAATTCCGAACTTTGATTTGGGGGTTTTTCTCTTCTTCCGGTTTGCTATTTTGTACATCCAAGTACACCTTACGTGGGGTCTCTCTTAACTCCGATCAGCTGCAGCCCTCGATTTGTGGGCTGCCCGCCAAACATGGGCGCCTCTATAATTGAGATCCAGCGCGACAGTAGGTGAAACCTTCCAAGATACTTGAAATATGCTTGGAAGATAAGGTGAAACTCACGCAAATATCTCTTCTAGTCATTATCAACACAATCCGCCATGCTGTCGGCCACGAGGTGGGTGGCTCTCTTCTCCCCGCTACTCTTGCTACCGGCACTAACGGCCCTTACCCCCGTACAGTGGAAAGTTCTGGTGGTAGATGACCAAAGCAGGAAATTGATCAATGGCGCCGTGAAGGAGGAAGAGATTCTCAATCTCAACGTTTCCAGTGAATCCTCCTAGAGACTTTTCTTACCTTAAGGCAGCTGGCTAATCTCCGTCACCCCGCAGATGTCGAACAAATCGAGCACCGACGACCGTCCAACCCGGACATGGACGCAGTATACATATTATCTCCGGATTCATGGATTGTGGACTGTTTGATGGCAGATTTCGAAGTCGGACGGTACCGGAGGGCATACCTGGTTTGGACCTCTTGTCAGTGGGCGGCAGTGCCGGAAGAAGCTCTACAGAGGCCTAGCTAACATGTCATGATAGTCCTCGATCCGCAACAACGAGTGCGATTAGACCGATCCGAGATGGCACGAGAGCGAATCGCCGACTACCGTATTATGAATATTAGCTTCTACCCTCGGGAGTCGCATTTAGTCACCTTTCGCGATCCCTACAGCTTCCCAATTCTCTACCATCCAGGCTGCAACAATTTAATTCGCCAACACCTTCAAGAGCTGGCTCAGAAGGTATATCCCGCCCTATTTCCATAAGGGTATCACTCACATACTCATCGTTGTCTAATAGATTGTTTCGCTTTGTGCCTGTTTGGGCGAATATCCCGTCATTCGTTATTACCGGCCACGAACGCCTACTCACGAAGCTGCTGTCCTATGTTCACATTTGGCACGCTTCGTGCAGGATGAACTGGATCAGTTTGCGCAATTCCAACGTGACTTTCCTCCACAGACTAACCGGCCTCGGGGCGTTTTGCTTATTGTAGATCGATCGATGGACACTTTCTCTCCTCTACTCCATGAATTCACCTACCAAGCCATGGTCCATGATCTTCTCCCAATTAAAGACGGCGATAAGGTCACCTATAAGACCACCCTCAACGAAGGCAAGGATAATGAAGAAACAAAGGACATGGAAATTGGTGAAATGGATAAGGTGTGGGTGTCCTATAGGCACATGCACATGAAAGACCTGCTTGGTAAGCTTGGAGAGGATTTCGCCAAATTTCGAGCTGCCAACCCCCAATTTGCCGAAGAGTGAGTACTTCCTTAGTATTTTCTTTGTTTCTTGTATTTCAAGATATTGGACTAAGCTAACGACCGCTTTATAGCAATGACAAGACGAACGTGAACACAATCAAGGATATGCTTGGTGGTTTGACCGAGTTTACAGAAGGTAAAGATTCATACACTCTACATCTGAACATGGCGGAAGAGTGCATGAAATTCTTCCAAAAGAACAAGCTCCTGGAGGTGAGCTCAATCGAGCAATCTTTTGCCACGGGCCTCGACGAAAACTTCAAGAAAGCCAAGAATCTCGCTGCACAACTAGTACAATTACTAGATGACGAGCAGGTTATTTATCCAGATCGACTGCGCTTAATTCTTTTGTATATCATGTACCGCGGGGGACTTCTAGGTGGTGACATCAGGAAGCTTATGGCGCACTCCCAACTGCCAGGCAACAATGGAGAAGTGATCGCGAACCTTGAACTCCTGGGAGTCCGGGTGGAAAAGCCTCTGAAGGACGACAAACCCCCAACACAACCTCTATTCAACCGTCGAGCCCCGGCTCCCGAGGATGAGGAGCTTAGCCTAACCCGTTATGAACTGGGCATCAAGCAACTGCTGGAGGAACAGATCCAGGGCTCGTTGGACCCAAGCGCCTTCCCATACACCCGTCCCCACACTGAAGACGACGGCAGCATGGCCACACATGAAGCACTTTCACAACAAACATCTCTGCGCAGCGCAAAGCCCACATGGGCTCGCACGCGGACTGTAGACCAGCCTCGTCAACGAATCATCGTCTTCATGGCCGGAGGCGCTACCTATCCCGAGTCCCGCGCTTGTTATGAGATCTCCCAGGCCTATAACAGAGACGTATTTCTTGCCACCACCCACATGCTCAGCCCGAGCCTCTTCATCCGCCAGGTAGCCGATCTCAGCGTCGACAAACGTCGCCTAAATATCCCAGCCGAGCGACCGAAGCCAAAGGCACCGGCTCATCTCTTCGAGCGCGAGGCTCCGCCTGCCCCCGCAGAACCACCGCAGAGAAAGAAGCCCATCCCCAACCTTAACCCTCCAGCTCCACCACAGCATCAAATGGCCAATATGTCCCTGAACAATGGGTCACACTCACACTCGCATTCCTCGTCTGATGGGAAATTGCACAAGAAGGACAAGGATAAGAAAGACAAAGACAAAGACAAGAAGGATAAGGATAAGAAGGACAAGAAGTATCGTTTCTTCTAAGTTAGTACTTTCGATCGATCTCTGCGACTCGCAGCTGGCTTTTTTTTTCGCTTCTTTCCTTCCGTCGACTCTCTTGTGCAATGTGGCTCCATTCAAGCGCTGTTGTGATACCATCTTTTTTTTGTTCTACTTGGTTTGTCGATCAGTCCTAAGGGTATTCGGAGGCGCTTCTATTGGAACGAGGTTGTTTGTGGAGCGTTTCTTTCTAGCTTGGTATTCTTAGGGTGGAGGGTTCTTTCGAGTTCTTCATCGATGTATACAAGCGAAGGGACTGAGATAGAGGGAACCATAGTACAGAAAATTCGCAAAAAACATGAAGACTTTGAAACTACGAAAGATAGGATTCAGTGTAGCCCTGTGATCCTAAATTATCTAGTTCAATCCAAAATACTCTAAATATCTGAAAGGTAGGCAACATATGCATCTGTTTAAATACAAAAAAGGGTATCATAATCCATATCAAAACTCCATAATAAAACACACTTTCATGAACCCAAAGTAGGTAAACACCTAAGCATCTTCCCCAAGATACTTCAAAACCTCATCACTCTTATAAAATGCATTCCGCATCTTCTCCGCCTTCTTCTTATCCTCCTCATCCTTCTTCCTCATCTGCTTCGCATTCAACCTAGTAACCGTCTTCGGCTCAATAACAGGAACCTTAATCGGATCTCCATCTTTATCAAGTCCAGAACCCAACCCAGCCGTATCAGTCTTCACACGACCCTTCAACGGCTCGCGAATACCTTCTCGTCCTTGTGCACCGAGACCAAGTCGACTATCCGGATCCCAGCCGTAGGTTGAGAGGTATCGCATTCCGGCGCGGGAACGGTCAAGATGGGACGGTGGGTGTGAGTGTTGGAGACAGACTTGGTGTGCTAGAGATGCCTCGTGGGGGTGTGTTGAGGCTGATGCTGAGGTTTCTGTGTCTTCGAGTGCCTTTAGTAATGGGAGGTTGCATATTTGGCAGTGTTCTGGTCTGGATTTGGAGATTGAAGGTATGCGCTCTGGTTCTGAGGATTCTGTTGTTGGAGGGGCAGAAAGTGTTCTCGGCGGTATGGATTCTTCGCTCAACGTTAATATCGAAGCGGTAGGTATAGGTGTAGATGGAGATGTATTCGATGTCTTCTGCTTCTTAAGCACAATAGATAGATATGTATCTGCGACGTTTGCTTTTGCTCCGGCTTTCGCATCAGAGGTAGAGGTCGTAGTACTCAGTTCCCCCGAACGCACAAAAGGAACCCGTTTCCTCCTAATCCCAGCCCCAAAAACACGTTGGTCTTCCAGCGGGAGGAAATAGTCCTCATCCTCGTATTCTGAGGCCATAGTGCACTCGAAGAACCCGTAAGACGTGGTGGGAATAGTATAAGGAAAGGAAACATTGGTCTGAAAAGCCCAAGCCAGCCGCATAGAACATTCGGTGGCGATAAGATTTCCCTTATCGATAAGCGATAAGTCGATATACGTACACCTTCAGACCAGCGCGGCTTCTTGTCTTCATCCATTCTCTACCTCGCCACGCCAGTATGCCCATCCCCCTCCTCATTCAGGGCGCCGCAAGGGGAGTTAGTTCAATCCCATACGCATGGACTGTTCTCAAGGTCGTACCATGGATTATCCTCTTCGCAGTGCTGAAATTCTATTTCGGCGGAGCCCGCAACACCTCCGAGCGACTTATGCATTCTAAACGAATTATGGTTACGGTATGAATATTCAATCGTATTTGTGCTTTTTTTTTGTTTGGGTATGGGCTAATTCTATCATGATTTAGGGTGGAACATCCGGTATAGGTGCACAAGTTGTTCACGAGTTAGCAGCGCGAGGAGCCCAAATCATCCTTTTAACTCGCCAACCACCCTCGGACCTTTTCATTGTCGAATACATCGATGATATACGCAATTCAACCGGGAACCAGAATATTTGGGCTGAACAGCTGGACTTGTCGTCATTGCACTCTGTGCGCAAGTTCGCAACGCAGTGGATCGATAACGGCGAACCAAGACGACTAGACGGTGTTATTTTGTGTGGAGGGTTAGCGGCGCCGTCTTCTACGAAGGGAAATACAGTTGATGGTATCGATGAAGAATGGCAGGTGAATTACCTTGCCAATTTCCATCTTCTGAGTATTCTTAGCCCCGCGCTGAGGGCTCAGCCGGCACATCGCGATGTCCGAGTGATTTTCACAACGTGTTCAGGGTATATTGGGGCAAAATTCGATCTCGACAGCGTGAAGACGGGTGCATTGAATGTTAAGAATAAGAAGGCGGCTCCTAGGGGCGTTTACGCACTTAGCAAGTTCGCACTTATGACTTTTGCACACTCTTTTCAGCGTCATTTGAGTTCTGTCGCTAGACCTGATGGGCTACCGCCTTGTACTAGGGTGTTGGTCGTTGATCCGGGACATTCGAGAACTCCTGGCACACGACGCTGGTTGACGGGTGGGTCGCTTTGGGGACTGATGCTTTATCTTATTACGTGGCCTTTCTGGTGTTTGGTGCTTAAATCTCCACAGCAGGGGGCGCAGAGTATTCTTTATGCTGCTATGGAGGAAAGCTTTGGGCGTGGAGCCGGTGGATGGTTTATCAAGGAGTGTCGGGAGATGGATTGTGCGAGAGTTGATGTGAGAGATGAGGATGTTGGGAAGAGGCTTTGGGAGTTTAGTGAGAAGCAGATTGAGGAGGCGGAGAAGGCGGGGGCTGTGAAGAGAGCTTACGAGAAGAAGGAGAAGGAGGTTGAGAAGGAAAAAGAGGCGAGGAAGGAGAATTCCTCTGCGAAGGCACAGACTGCTGGGTCTAGACGGAGTAAGAAGAATAAATAATCGGTGGGAAAGATAGATAGTTCAAGAGTCGGTTTGTTTTGACTCTGAAGTCTCATTTGCATTATACATAGACTGGCATGGAAAAGAAAGAAATACAGAAAGCGTTTTATTGCATTTTTTCAGATGTTGATCGCATACTTTTTGTTAATACGTAGTATATTGTAATGGAGAGAAGAACCAATATGAAAAAAGGAGATTCGTTTCAAATATTCTACCGGGATTTCTATACCAACAAATTACACACATATCAACGCATGTAGACATATTTTATCCAGCCATCACATCAAAGAGACTTTTTACTTCTTCAGCTGAGCCAGCAGCTCCGCAGGGGCCTCCTGGCGGTATCCCTGGGGGTTGTTCTTAGTCCAGAGCCAGAGATCCTCGCAGGCCTGCTCGAGAGTGAACTTAGGGGTCCAGCCAAGCTCCTCGGAGGCACGAGTAGCGTTAGCAGTGAGGTTAAGAACATCACCAGCACGACGAGGAGCAACCTCGAAAGGCAGCTTACGGCCAACAGCAGCAGAGAAAGCATCAATCATCTCGTAAACAGTGCTACCCTTACCGGTACCCAGGTTCCAAGCGCGAACACCAGGGTTGTTAGCGCGGAGGTAGTTGAGGGCCTTCAGGTGGCCATCAGCCAGATCGAGAATGTGGATGTAGTCACGAATGGCAGTACCGTCATGGGATTGATAGTCGTCACCGAAGACCATCAGCTTCTCGCGCTTGCCAGTGGCGACCTGCGCCAGGAGGGGGAGCAAGTTGTAAGGAACACCCTGGGGGTCCTCACCCATGATACCGGAGGGGTGGGCACCGGCGGGGTTGAAGTAGCGGAGCAGAGCACCGTTCCACTTCTTGGCCTCGGTCTCGTTGCCGGCCTTGGTAGCGTTGTTGCGCTGGGCGTTGATCACGTCGGTGATGGCGGTCTCAACGGCGAACTTGGTGTTTCCGTAGGGGTTGGTAGGGCCGAGAGGGCAGTTCTCGGGAATGGGGATCATGTTGGGGAAACGGGTGGCGTCACCGTAGACGGTGGCAGAGCTGGAGAAGACAATGTTGGTGACGTTGTGGCGGACCATCGAGCGCAGGAGGTTGATGGTGCCGTAGACGTTGACCATGTAGTAGTCCAGAGGCTTCTCGCCGGACTCGCCAACAGCCTGAATGGAAACAGGAGTTAGTATGTCAATTGATTGCAAGGATCGATATTGGTTATTATAGAATGAGGAGGCAAAAGCAGCAGTAGTTGTCTGAACGTACCTTGAGAGCAGCGAAGTGAATAACGCTGTCAATGTCGGGGTGGGCCTGGAACACCTTGTCGAAGCCATTCTCCTCGGTGACGTCGACATTGACGAACTCGGCCTTCTTGCCAGAGATCAACTCAATGCGCTTCAGGGCCTCAGGGGAGGAGTTGAAAAGGTTGTCAGCGACAACAACCTTGTAGCCAGCATCGAGCAGGGCCAGGGTGGTGAACGAGCCAATGTAGCCCGTACCACTATGAATGCGGGGTTAGTCAAGATTGCAAATTTTGGTGTTTGTTTCTGACTTACCCAGTGACAAGAACAGAACCGGCAGACATTATGATAGAGGAATAGTAATTATTTTTGGAGGATTAGAGGGGGTTTGGAGTAGAGGAGGTGGAAGCAAACGGATGGAGGGGCACCGCATTTTAAGGGGAAATCACCGAGTGGGGGGGGGGACAACAACCCGTCATGTCTATCTTACGTGGCGGGCCCATACATAGTAGCCGGGTGCAGCAGACCTACTATATTCTACAATTGCATGATTGGAACATTGGAATGCTTGATGTTTATTTATAGCTAGGAACTAATTTGCACTATTTCCTCTACCTCCCTTTATTTATTTCCACCCTCAATTGCTCAATTGACTCTACACATTGGGACTTCAATGCAGGTTTTTTTTTTCTCGTTCTATGTAGATCGCTGCGATCGTCGATGGGCGGTGTACGCCACCCAAGGACCAGACCGAAGCTCAAACCCGTAATTCTCCGTGGAGGGTTATGATAGACGACCAATTAACCCCCCGGTTGCTAGTGAAACCGGTGAGAATAGACGAGTTGTGATCAGGCATTACAATCTATCCGAAAAAGCAACGTTGTTTCATTTGAAATTGAAATGATGTGGGCCTACGTGCTCGTCGAATCGGGACCCCGGGCTGCCTCTCGGGCTCAGGGTCCATTTTGTCCCTGTAAAAAGCGGGACCCCGACATCATGTATCATTAAGGACACCTACATGTCTCTACATCTACCTAACATATAACATGTATACGGGTGAAAAACCTCATTTTGACCTATTTAGACCGGCAGAAAACTACATAGTCCGATACCTGTCATAGAGTAACACCCCTATATGCCCTGGATATCGCGAACATTTGAAGTAGGTAAGCTTCAACTTGAAGCCTCCAGGGCTACTATCTTGAAGGTATATCTTTTTGTTCTCTATTGAAACGAGCTTAACAAACCTGAACCTTGGAAACTATAATGCGAAATATTTGTGGAATATACTAGTTCTGCGTTACTATATGTAGTATGTTTCCACTAGTCTTTCCATTGGTTTGTCTAATTGTCTTTCCACTTGACTTTCTAATCGTCTTTCTTCTTGTCTTTCTAGTCGTCTTTCTAGCCGTCTCTCTAATTGTCTTTCCAATTCTCTTTCCAATTCTCTTTCGACTTGTTTTCTATCTATGCAGGGCTTACGGTATAAATAGCGGTAAGGGTTAATATAGGGCTAAGGGGATTTTTTTCCCGCTGGCCGCTGGGGTCCCCCATACATGTACATGCACAGTTGATAGGCATTCACATCTAGTTACCTAGTAGATACACAGGGAATTGAATTCACATACACCAGAGCCTCCAGATGTCCTTATACTTGTGGTTGATCCATCCCACCTAGAAACCCCCCTAAGTGATGAACAAAGGTTTTTGGAAAGGATAAATGAGAAAAGAAAGGGAGTTATAGAAAAGCCACACAAATAGATGAGTAAATTGATTGGTATGAGCAAAGAAAAGAGGAACAGCATAAAGAACATGATAGCTCCAGTCCAGGGAGTATGTATTACCCTAAAAATAGTCGGGTCAAGCCAGGACTGGAGGATGGGGGAGGAATGAGAAGAGCCCCTAGGGTTTGGTTTCCCCAAGCGAAGTCCCCAAGGCCGGCACGGGGGGGTGGTTGCATTTTCAGCTGTACCCAACAGTGCATTTGAATCAACAGTAATACAGACCAAAAAAAGTCATTTCCACAATAAATGGTGGATGGCCTTGGGGATATCACTTGCTTCGTCAAGTACGGTTGGTCATAGATGGACGTGATGCGCATAAGAGGGTGCAATGCGCCATGGTATATATTCGGCGGCCCCTGCGCAAAGAGAGGGCTGGATAAAGGTGGCCCAGTAGATGGTCAAATCATTTAACCAAGAAGCTCCACGTCCAAACCAATGGCTCGCATGAACAGGTTAACATTGCCCAGGCGCTGGCTGGCCATGTCAGCGGGGAGAGATTTGCTGTAGCTGACAGTTTCCATGACACGGTCCCTAGAAAGAATCGGTTAGCATTCGGTGAATGGCAGTCATCAATTATGGTGGTTTTACTTACTTGACAGCAATGACCAGGCGCTGTTGTTGCTCGGGGCTAGCACCAATACCAACGGCGGCAAGGAATTGCCACACGTACATGTCGTCTCCAGAATTGATCGAGCCAGGGAAGATATGAACCAGGCTGGGCTCCAGCATGTCGAAGAGAACATTGAACTTCTCTACCCATTGTTGCCAATCACGCTCAGACGCTTGTCCTGCCTCCTTGACAATCTCGGCTCGGCTAAGCAACATGGTCAGGATGCCCAGACCAATCTTAGTGCGAGCCACCGCAAGGACTTGGGTTTGAGCAATCACCAGACCCAACAAACCAATGATGATGTTGAAGGGGGCCTCGTTCACGTAGCCCAGCAAGCTTGGCATCACAGCAAGAGAGAATAAATCAATGGCTTCACGCACAGCCACGGGCAGCTGGGAATCATTGGGACCGGATGCTTGTGCAAGATGAACAACATCCAAGGTATCCAAGTGGACCACGATCATGGTAAGAATAGTGACCCGTTGCTCCTGGTCGATGTGACGGAAGATACGAGGGATGGCTTTCTTACCCTTGGGGTATGATAAGAATGCAATGAAAGGGTGTGGAGTTGTTGAATTAGGAACAATGGGCTCCATGACCTTGAGAGCTTGCCACAGTTTTTGGTTAAGTGATTGAACCTTTTGTCGCCATTCCATGTGCTCTTGAATAGCCTCTGTGTCGCCCTCCTCTGGGGGTGGTGGCATTGTGCGTTCCATATCCTCCATGGACATCAGGGCGTTGTAGACAGCCTCAATGTTGCCCAGCAGAGATTTGCGGTCTCCAATACTCAGATTGGATTGCAACTTCTTGGGACGGGCACCTTCCGAGCTATCGGGTCGCTTGATGTTGAGCATATGCTTCGGGGCTTTGGCATTGCTGAAGGAAATTTTACCCAAGCTGCCTTCAATGATAAGCTGCTTGTTCTTTGGCTTAGCCTTGGCCGCCTCGACAGCACGCTGGACTTGCTGCTGCATACGCTGCATATGGTTGTCCGCGTTGTTAAAAGCCCGGCGGTTTCCATGGCCGCCGATCCGATTGCCAGTTTGGAGAAGATAGGTTTGAGCAAAATGACCCAAGGGCTGGTGAGGATGTTGGCGGGGCGCACCGCGAATCTGGCTATAGACCTGATAATAGAAGTCCTCCGCCAGCACAGCTTCAGGGTCTGCATCTACCACATTTCCAGCAGCAGCCACGAGCTGTTGAAGCTGAATACGGGTAATGAAGTTCTTGTCCTGGGGTGTCATCAAGCCATTGCCTCGTGACAAAAGGAAGATTTTATGGTTGCGCTTCGCTCTCTTGGCGTCCTCCATGAGATAGGCATTCCTTTGCTCCTCTGTTAGATGAATAAGCTGTTCAGTGTTGGTAATCACAGGCAGTCCACCGTTTGGTCCGCGAGAGGGCGGGGGTGGCACATGCTGTCTCTGGACTGGAGGCGGACCCGGATGGCGGGGATCTTGAGCTGGCAAGTCCTGGGGAGGGCGGTTGTTTTGGTCGAACTGCTGTAATGGTTGCCCAGGCATCATAGGCCCGGGGCTACCATACATCGCCCGGGGGTCTGGCATGTGTGCGAGGTGGGGTGGAAGTCCGCCCTTTTCAAGGTGAGCCCGGAGGATCTCCGGAGGAATATTACCTGGGAACCCATCAGGTAGCATCGGGAGTCCTTGAGGATGGCGGGGAAAGGACATGTCAGGCATGGACTGAGGAATCGATTGCGTTGTTTCAGGTCCGAAAGCTTGGCCTCGATTACGCATTTGGGCTTCAACCTCTTCCAGGCTCATCATCTTCCGATTCGCTGCTGGCATCGTGGGGATCATTGCTGGACTCGGATCCCGCTTCTCTTGTGCGATTCCCCACACGCTGGATTTGGCCTGTAAATCGGGGATGTAACCAGGGTCCGAGTACTTCTCATATCCGGTGCGCTTGATGGTCGGTTCGGCGTCGTGCTGGGCAGGTACATAGGTGTCCTGCGGTGCGGCCGGGGGAGCCCGGGCGGCTTGGGGGTTTTGGAGGGCATAGCGCATTTGCTCCTCGTCAATTGCATTTGAAACCTCAGCAGTTCTACCGAAGAAATCAAAGTCCCGGCCGACAGCAGCTCCGGCTCCAGCTCCAGCTCCGGTATTTCCACCACCACCACCACCACCAAATGTATCGTCGTTGAAAGCATCTTGATCGTCATCAAGCTGGTCTCCTAGGCCATCATAGGTATCCTCGAAGTCAATGCTGAGAGGTGGTTAGAGGTAATGCGTCTTATTTGAATCAATTTAACTGGTAAGGGAAAGGTGGTTTCTCACCCATCATCTTCGACCGCTGTAGCTCTGGCAATGTCGGCGAAGGGGTCGGGGTTCTCGAAAAAGCCCCGGGCAGCGGCGGGACCGCGATCGCGGTCCCTAGGCAGATTAGTATCGAAGCCAAAGAAAGACATCTATGGCCGAATGGAAGAGGTGGGGAGGGAAGGAAAGGGGAGAGGTAGATGATGGTGGGGAAAGATTTCCAGAAGTTGCGAAGCTGGGAAGTGCAAGTGCGGATGCCTCAGGCAGCAATGCCAAGCCCCCTCCATGTTCCTCCGATCGTGCGCGTTTCAAGTTCGCATGTTAAAATGACAGGGAGCTTAGAGATAAGTAGATATACCCAGGCAGAAAAAGCGAGCATGAGATTGGAGTTCAGGAATTCTGAGATATGATTTTATCACTCAAAGGGCTTATCATCAATGTATGGCTTCAATGGCTGGTCTAAATTATACAATGTATGCCGATTCCGGTATCTCCCCAGTACTCAGTAATGTTACCTCTATACAACAACTCTAGCTCTCGACATGATAGCCGCCCATTTTATATGGGAGCCTTCTGGATCACGCTATTTGCTCTAGCAGCAAGTCATCGCTCTCCTGAACCGCATCAGCTTCTGAAACATGAGGGACCACGAGCCTTCGTTCATTGGGCCCTTGGGCATTACATGGGCCCCCCATAGAACACCGCCGCTGTCCCCGGTTTTTCTAATCGGCTTGTCCATTCACGCCACTGTACTCCTTTGAAACTCTTTCTTTTTTATCCGATCGACACGGGGTCCAAATGGATTTGCTGTTCACATCTGTATGCTGACCTACGAGGCTTATCTCCTATTTAAACGCGGATCCCCTGAATACTTTTTCGTTTTTTTGTCTCGGTGAAACCTCCACGCGGCTGAAAGCGGTTGTTCATTCTAACATTGCGCGGCCCTATTTGCCCGAATCCAGACCCTGTCAACTCTCTCTCCTCCACCCCTAATCCACGTTTTCTTTTCTTTTTACTTTGTTCGATTACCTCGCCTTTCTGTTCCCCCTCCCTCCTATCTATTTACTAAGCCCTGTCCATGGTTGCCTCTCGTTAACGTGGACTGGCCTCCCCCTCGATTATTGCTGGGCCTGATCGCTCTGTCGCATTCGTTTCTGCCTCACGCATAAATACCCACCCGCCACCATGTCTGTCTCAGCGCGCTATACTAGATATATCGTGTTTGCCTTGGTTGTATGTTTCCCCTCGGTGACTTTTCATCTCATGCGACAATTGAAAACTGTCCATTGCATTCGGCAATCATCAAGATCAATCTAACAGTCGCTTAGGGATTAACATTCTTCTACCTCGTCTCCCGATCCTCTCTTGAAATCCCAACAAGCTCCTCATTCGCCCCCGCCCATCCTACATACGAAGAAGTCAAGGAAGAGAAAGCACAAAGCGCTGTCTCTGTTGGCCTCGGTCAATCTGATCAACCCCAACGTGTAAACGCCACCTTTGTTACCCTCGCCCGTAACTCTGATATTTGGGAAATCGCCAAGTCTATTCGTAATGTCGAGGATCGATTCAACCGCAACTTCCATTATGACTGGGTATTCCTGAATGATAAGGATTTTGATGATGAATTCAAGAAGCTTACAACTGCTCTCGTATCTGGCACCACCCATTATGGCCGTATTCCCGAAGAGCACTGGTCTTATCCCGACTGGATTGATCAGGATAAGGCACGCGATGCGCGCCAGGAGATGGGCCGCAAGAAGATTATCTACGGTGATAACGAGGCTTACCGTCATATGTGCCGTTATGAGTCTGGTTTCTTTTTCCGCCACCCGCTTATGATGAACTATGAGTACTATTGGCGTGTGGAGCCCAGCATTGAGCTCTTCTGTGATGTTCCTGGAGATCCATTCCGCTTCATGAAGGAAAACAACAAGAAATATAGTTTTGTGATCAGTCTGTACGAATACTACGAGACTATCCCCACTCTTTGGGACAGTGTGAAGGGCTTCATGAAGAGCCACCCGGAGCACATCGCAGATGGAAATGCTTTGGAGTTCATCAGTGAGGATGGTGGTGAAACCTACAACAAGTGCCACTTCTGGTCCAACTTTGAGATTGGCAGCTTGGAGTGGCTGCGATCCGACCAATATATTGACTACTTCTCTACCTTGGATCATGATGGTGGATTCTTCTACGAGCGATGGGGTGATGCACCAGTCCACTCAATTGCTGCTTCACTTATGCTCAAAGCAGACGAAATCCACTTCTGGAACGAGATTGCTTACTATCACGTACCCTTCACGCATTGCCCAAGCAGTGAGAAGACGAGGCTGGACCTTCGCTGCCACTGCAAGCCCAGCGAGAACTTCGATTGGGCAGGATACTCTTGTACCAAACGGTGGTTTGACGTCAACAAATTACAAAAGCCTGATGGCTGGGATTCCCAGCAATGACTTGCGGCTGTTGGCCATTGGACACTTTTCTTACTTGCCGTTGGTGTTGTAATTATCACCCTCTACCGCGATGTACGAATTTGGCTGTTCATTAGAATCAAATACGTCGTCCAATTTGTGGTTGGTCTTTTCAGTCGCCGCCGCACTACAATCAACTACCACTCTGTGAGTGGTAAGTAGCTGTTCAATTGTCCAAAATACCCAAAAGCTTGTTATCTTGGGCTTGAATATGCAGCACTTTTTTCTTATTCCCAATTCAGGTTTTTTTTTTTTTTTTTTTTTATCTTTTGTTTGGGGGGTTCGATGTTTATTTGTTCCAATCGGGTTTCCATTACAAAACCACCACTTCTACGTTGGCCGTGTTTGACCATTGTGATTCTACAGCGTTCATATTTGTTCCCTGATGTCTTGAATGCATGGTTCAGCGGAGTATTCGAGAGTTTCTCAGAATGAGCAACATTTTTACTATATCAAAATATTGGGCCGAGGAAATGAATGTACTCAAATCTACTTACTATTATGGTCAATTCAGTTAGAAATCCCATTCCTTCTAAAAAAAACCTGGCAGAAACACGTAAAGAGATCGTATACTACCCATATAACTTCTCTTCCACTGTCTATGTGACTTCCCCTACCCATTACCCTACTACCTATTACATCTTCCTAGGAAATGGAAAAGCAATGACACCCCGTTTACAGGATGACTAACCAAAGAAGGGTTTTGTATAATGATACAATGCGATCCATTAAATGACAATATCGCCCATGCTGCACAAATAATACACGACAAATAGAAAGGTCTACCACAAATCAAGGTAAGAATGACCTAGATCAAAAAGCAACAACAATCATACAGTAGCAATATTCCATAGCCCACTGCTGTTTTGCAAACACAACTTCAAATATGGTACACGGTGTATCCAGTCTAGCTGCTCTTAGGCTTCTTAGTGCCGTACTTAGAACGACTAGTCATTCGGCTTCCAACACCACCCAGATCCATCGCACCACGAACCAAGTGGTACTTCACACCAGGACAATCCTGGGCACGACCACCACGAACCTGAACAACACTGTGCTGCTGGATATTGTGACCTATAACTCTAATCAGCACCTAACTCCGAATAACATCGCAATCGCAATCGTAATCTCCAAGTTCGGTTCACGAGATACATACCTTCACCAGGAATAATAGCAGTAATAACCTTTCCGGTACTCAAGCGCACTCTGGCAATCTTACGCTCTCCAGAGTTAGGCTTCTTAGGCTTCGTAATAGCAGTCTTTAGACAAACACCCTTAAGCGACGGATGATTCTTCAACGCAGGGGAACGACCCCGGCGCGCCTTCTGACCAACTCGGCATCCCTTGCGAACCTGGTTATACGTCGCGCGAATAATAGGCGAAGAAGAAAACTGGCGCGTGCTCGCTGACAGTGTAATGGCCGTTTGTGTCCGGAGAACGGGCTTGAAGTTGAAGCGGGAGGTGAGCGCTGTTGGTTGGCGGAACGCATTGGTGGATGTTGTGAGGGTTCGGAGGGGTGTGGAGATATTGATATTCGGACGCTGTGTCAGTGACCGTAAAGCCCGGAGGGCTAGTGGTGAGATTAATTGAGGCATGGTGGGTTATTTGGGAGTCGTGATACTGGTACTTGGGGATCTCTAGAAATGTTCGTTTGAGATGGTTCACGTGACTTTGAATTGCGGGAGTGGGTTCTATGGTGTGCCAGAGGAGCTGGACGCGCAGCTGCTTCTCTGCCTGACCTGACGTCTGCCGGAGTTGCTCGTCGTCCTCTTTGCTCTATCTACGTTCTGTCTTGCTCATCGTCTGCAGTACCCATTCTACGATACCAGAATTTGCCGCTTGAAACTTCCAGCTTCAGCTTTGAATTACTCGATCTCATATTATCATAATGGTGCGTTGGAAGCTATCAATCAACCTCGACATCACTCTCCGTGAGCGGGTCTCCGAACAAAGCCCAGAACATCTACATCAGCACCATCAACCCTTATGTTCTTCGCTGGAGCTGGAATTCGGCTTTCTCATAAAAAGCACTTATTGTCGGTTTATATATAAAACCTATAACTAACCAATCCTCCCTACTTAGTCTCTCCGCATCGCACCTCCAACTGGTTACTCCAACCAGACCACCAACACCACAACTCGCTATACTCGCCCCTCAAAAGGTGCACCATCAGCACCCGGTCTCCCCGACACCCTCCGTGACAAGCTCACTCTCCCCGCTACCGCTCACTCCTCCGCAACCAACAACCCAACTGCCAGCGAGATCCCCTCCTCCACACACCCCCTCGAAGCCCGCCTGCTCTCCTGGCGCGCAACCCAAGATTCCATGAAGATGGAATCTCTCCGTCGGGCATACGGTATTGCCGAGCCTGTTCGCCGTGGTATGGAGCTGAAGATTGTTAGAGACAGCACTTTCCGTCCTGCTGTGCTGGGTGGTGTTAAGAGTGGCAATGTCCATGAGGATATTCTTGTGCTTGGAGGCCGGGATACTGAGGTTGGCTGGGAAGAGATCTTTCAGGGTATGTTTGCTGTTCTATACATATACATGATATACATGTTCAATGTGCGGTGTATTGCTGTGACACTGTTGCTAACTCTGGGTTTAGGTGATGACTTCCGGGAACCACCTACCTTCCACGATGAGATGGAGAAGCGATTGGGAATGGACTTTTAAATCTATGATAATATGATATCATGCTTATATTTGTTTTTCTTGGATTGTTGTCTTCTCAGTCGATGTGCTCCATTAGTCTTGCATTCTTCTCCCCATGCCCCGATCTTATGTCTATGATAGAGAGATAGATTACTGAAACAGCTGCATTGTTGGCCCTCTTGGCGGAACGATATGTAACTAATCAATCTATTCTTCTTTGCACTCTATTCACCTGCAATATTGGCATTGTATGCTTTGGGCCTTGTTTGAAGGCTATATGTGATATGCTACTAGGGTCAAGTCCTTGGGCGCTCTCGCTGAATTGACCACTGTAATGAGTAGTCCTTAAAAATTCCATATGTATTCATGCTACCCTTTCCAGTTACTTACGAATAGGGTTCAATCTTGATATCAAGCATCTTATTTTACTTGGTCACACCTCTTGGCCGTGAATAACCGGTCGTATACCTCGGTTATAGTACGGATATTCAGATGCAAGGTACTGCCAGCTCTTGAAAGCCTGCAGAGATGTACGCCTGTACGCATGCGTATGCGTGTACGTATACGATAGACCCATACAGTCATCCATTGGTACTTCCAGATGTAGGTACGTACTATTGGGTAACCTACACAGTCTGGCAGGTACCCTACAATCCCATACATGGGTGTAGGACTTAACTTAAATGATAACCGTGAATATTCATTGCATCGACACATGATAAATGAAATAAGCTCGCGATATGCATTGTAAATCAAAGATCACTGTATCATTCAACTGTATACCGACAAGCCACCAAAAAAAATGATGCAAAGCAGCATATACAACAAGCACTGCAATCAGACCAAGGACGACAAAAATGATAAGGAGGGCGAATTCGTAGATACACAGGTCAAGTCCCAAGGTAAACGATACATGAATAGACGCAAAGAGAAAGAGGCAGATAGAGATGAAGGCGGAATGAAGGATATGATAAGGGCAAGGGAACGACAACACAATGAAAAGAGATCGGATGGGTATATAGGTCTCAAACGTGGGATAGGGAAAGAAGCAAAATGTCCAAACGCCGCTTCCGGAGCGCACATTCAACAAAGGAAAGCCATGTCTGGGTACATAGGTTGGTACTGCCAGGCTGGTGGTCGAGCTGAGCCGCCGAATGCTGCTATGTAGCAAGGGGTAAAGGGCTTAGCTCGGCCAGACTAATTCAGATTGAGTTGAAGGTGAAGGTGAAGTTGAGGAGGGTAAAGAGTCGACAGTTGAGATTTTACATGATCACACAGCGACATCCGGGGCTGCGCTCATTGTTCTCGCCCTCCCGGTCATACTGGGCCTTTGCGCCCTTTGCGTCTTCCTCGTCCACTACCTCCTGTGGCTTTACAGTCATATGTACGACGTTCGGAGCGTCATGGTTGAATTTTGATTCTGGGGCGCTTGTTAGTTGTCTCATCTAACTCGCGAGGTAAGGTTTTGACCAGAAGAACCAGAACATACCAGATAGAGGTGACTTGTCGTCCAACAATTTGCCAAATGAGATCAATCTAATTGAGCTTGGGGAGGACGGACGGGCTTCCCAGTCTATCAATGAAGATTTTTATTAGCACCAGCTCATAAAATAGCAAAAGGTCGCCTTGCGTCAGGATCAGACTTACCAGCTCGCCACTCGCGCCAGATCAACTCCTTCAAAGTGTATACGCTCATCGTAAATGGATCGTTGTTCTCTACACTGACCGATCGCTTCCGCAGGTATTTCCCATTGATCGTGAAGGGGTGACGCGATCCTGTTGTCAATAACAACGTGATATCCAGCGAAGGCCCTGCATCCTCCTCTTTCCCTTCAGCTTCGTCCGACTGCTCTGACGAAACTTCCACGGCCTGCTTCGGCTCTTCGGTATTCATAGGCGGCGATGCAGGATCCTGTGGCTGCGCGATCGTAGTCGCAGCCTCGTTCGCTGGTGTTGTTAAACTGCTTGTCATGGCTGTCACAGGGGTGACGCTCTCGCCACCTGCGGTGTGGGTCGCGATAGCCGCATCGGCTGACTGGGCATTGTCTGATGCGAGGGGTGCTGATGTGGATTCAGTTGCCGTCGTTGTTTCGGTGGGGTGGGCGGTTGTTGATTCTGATGCATTGGTCTGTTGCGGTTGGGGCTCCTGCGGAGAAGTGGCAGCCGGGGACTCGTGGAAGTCATTCTGGTTGGACCCAGTCTCCGGATGATCGTTGGATGACATGATTAAGGGCCGCGATGGCGGACAATTGACTTTTCCCTCTGGTGGAAAAGGCTGAAGAGGAAACAGCTGTCTACAGGACTGTGAATGGAGGGAGGTGTTTGGGGAATGTCGAGAGGGAGAAAGAGATGGAAGGTTTGGAGGAGAATGGTCGATCGGGCCCAGATGTGAGGAGTCGGGGGGGGGGGGCGACTTAGCGTGGCGGTACGATAATTCTTTCACTAGTGCAGAACGGAAGAAACCATGAGAAACAAAACGGATACGAACTATATCGAACTAAACGAGTGGATTTCCATGAAAAGTTGGAGATGATCAAGTCTTTCTCTTTTGGGGGCGAAGGAGCAACGACCAAAGGTAAGGGGATCGGCACAAGACAGGGCCGCACTAGTAGTAGGGACTCACAGGCGAACTTCTATATAAAGGTTTGGTCGCGCAATATTTCAGATGAATTTAAATATGCAATTTTTATCGTATAGAATAACTCCGCCACACCTCTTGGGCTGATATAAGATATGGGATGCAATGACGCCAAGCTTAAAGAGCTGATAAGGAAGATCCGGGGAAATGGGAACTTGAATCGTGTCCCAAGTACATTAGTTGCACTTGAGGTACTAGGTAGACAGCTGCATACAAAGAATCTTGGAGCTTGACGTAGGTACTTCTACATGTACTGCCAAGACACGAAACTTGTTTGTGCTGGGTACATGCAGATTAGAAGCTAATAATGGCCAAAGCCCGAGCTATCTTGGAATGGAATAGCTCCTCTATGAATGACCGATTCAGCTATGACGGTCTACATGCAAGAAAAAAGCCTATATATCGCGTGCAGAATTAGAAAAAGCAAAGAAAATGATATTGGAACCATGGAAATCCAAGTCATGATCCGTTCTAGACATCAATCTCGACCGGATGTACCAGACCAGACCAAAACATTGCGACAAACAACATACGGTCGCACACACTCGCCGAGGAAGAATAAGAAGATCAACAAATCATCAAGAAGATTTTGATAGGAAAATAAATCCCGAAAATTCTGATCTCGTAATATTTATGCAGGGGTTGCGGACGAACTTGGTCTGCCAGTGTAGAATATACATATAATTTGCACGCGTACAGGGTAGTATGGGTGGGTGGAATGATAGGAGATATGCAAGTATCCGAGTCAGTTCCACCAGTTTGAGTCAGTGGCAACTGGTCATTCGTATTGTTCTTCCAAGGTTTCTCAAATGCCTGTACGGAGTAGACATGGGGGGGAAAATGGAACTCGTGGTATATATGTTGAATACAGCTAGGCCGGAGTGCAACTGACCAGGGCACGTTGTCGGGGAAGACTTCTTCCAGCCTTGGAAGTTTTGTTTTCGAAAACTCTTTAGTGATAGACAGGAAGTGAATAGGAATGCGATCTCTAGACCCATCCTGCATATTGCTCCAGCACTTCATTCTTCACCCCCTCTGATCCATGCCGCACCCCAAGCAGCCGCACATTTCCAATCTTCCCACCGAAATCATCTTCCACCAAACTCTGATAGTCCTCGAACTGCTCATTTAGCCTTGTAATGACCGATTGGTCGTCTCGAATCAACAACACAATGGCATCGTATCCTCCTGCGCCAGGCACCACACCACCAATGACACCGTCGACGTCAGATAGTCTGTCCAGCAGCTCAGTCTGCACACTTGGCTCGATGGGCACACCCGTCCGGCGGGTCATTGTGCGGATATGGTGACGCGTACGCTGGAGATAAGTTTGAATTTCCGTGAATTCACCATCAGTATTGGCATCTGGGTGTTGTGCTAGACGCTTGAGCTCCTGACGAAGTCGCTCATTGTTATTCTGGAGACTAGCCCACAGAATATCGGCTTCTTTCCGATTCTCATTCCTCCATGCTAGCACCTTCTTGACCATTGAAGGGGTCTGCGAACCGCACTCGACATCGCACAGTACCATCTGCATTCCTCGCGGGAGCTGCATACCAAAATCAACACACTCGGTATCCCAAGGATGATCCGCACTGGCATCCTCCACAACAGCAAACAATCTTTCGTCAAATCCTGCAGATCCGACATCGCCTACAGATTCCAAAATCGCAGGTGAAAACCGCTTGTACAGACAAGATCCATACACAGCGGCTGCTACATCGAAGCCTGAGCCAACTTTTCCTTGCGCCGCACAATGAGCAGCCTGAGCCAAGTTATGAAGCTTGTCGCGACCTGCGCCGAGATCATCCGCCTGCATAGTTCGATGAATAACCAGGGAAGAAACAAGAGCCGTCACCAGGGCAGCGGAGGAGCCCAGCCCCGTCTTGTGTGCTTCTTGCAAAGGAACACCGAAGTTGACAAAACGCCCACCTCGTAGTTGGGAGCCGGGGCCCTTTGATGTAGCAGTCTCAGAGTAGTAGTCATTATCGGCCAAAATGGTTACGGACAAGGATCCAAAATCCTTCGAGTCGGCGACATAGCTAATATAAGTCAATGCATAGCTGAGGGAGGTTTCAACGAAAGGATTGCGGGGTCTAAAGAGTCGTCCATATTAGCCATGATCAAAAAAATATGCAAATATTATTAGCCAAAGGCCATGCGGGGAAAGGTAAAGCCTCACGTATCTCCCTTCTGAACCACCTTGACGCCGCCGCCATTTTCGCATCGCTGGATGGTGTATTCCCAGACCGCATTCACGAATTGCGGTGAGCGCACAACAATGGTATCCTCAACTTCACCTTCATCAGCAGCCGATCCTTCCAGCTTCGAAGATTGCGCTTCATTCGCTGCCTTAGAATCTGGCCCTGACCCGGCTTGCCCACGGTGACCCCTCCTCAACTGCTGAACAATAACATGAATGCGCGCATCGAGAGCGAACACAGTCCCAGTGTATGCGCGATCAAGTACCAAGTAGCCACCAGTCAGCAAGACTTTGCCAGGTGCTGACAAGGCCGTTATGGAGGACGGTTGAGGCGCCATTATTATCGTGGGTTTCCAGAGATCGAAAGGAAAAAGGCGGGGGCGGGAGAGTTTGTTGAGGTAGGTAGGTGGTTTTGCTCCGCGGGGATTTCGAAAATCGTGTGTAAGCCAGGCGTGCACTGGGATGGGCGTTTATATTATATAATTTTAAGTAGTTTTCGCGGTATAAATGCTGCTGCAGCGCAAGAGGGGAAGATGAAAATGGCCGAGACTCTTTAGTGGGGGGAAATTATCGATTCTGCAAGGATGTATCGATATCTCCTAATGAGGGCTAGCGTGCCGCTATGCTGCACTGCATCGAGGATTTGACTATATTATACATACGTAGTACTGGCTTCATGATCGAGGGAGAACTATATTTCTTTTCTATTTCACTTTCAAATCTATATCATATGGGTGTAGTCGTGTCCCCAAAGGTGGTATACATCTGCAATGCCATACCACCACTCGCACTGACAACGTGAATTAGTACTTGCTAGAATTTGAAGGAGAATGTCTCAGATAAGAGATATTTATGCAAGTTCAATATCATTCAACTGTCCAAGAAAATCAAAACTCCCAAGGCTATAAACAAAAGATCATAGAAACCCAAAAACTAGTATAAAGCACCAGTAAACTCCCAAAAGCCTCTAATCTTTTGATTACTATACAGGGTATTTCCAATGTTGTAATGTAGTCGGCGACCGAGACGACGACAAATCGAGAAACGAAGTAATGATCGTAGGAAGGATCGTAGGAAGGAGGAGGATATCGGCGATGAAGCGTAGCTCGAACAAGGGTTGAGGTTGGGTTGGGTCGGGCCGAGCGTAGAATAGTGTTCATTAGCGGCAATTAAACATTGTTCCCTCCGATCGCAGATCCCGTCTGCAACACCCTCAACCTTGTTCTGCCAGGTTCATCCCTGTCCTTCCAAAAATTCAAGTGAAAATTTATGCCTTAGGCTTCTGTGCAATGATGCTATAGCTTGTTGTGGCAAGGCGCATGTTATCCATCTTGACAAACGCTTGACCATCAAGACACAATCGATTGATGAGGGTCTTGAAGTGGCGTGGCAGAACACGCAGCTTAACCAAGCCAAGGATAACCTGGCGCAGAGTACGGAAGTAAAGGTCAACGGTGTCGATCAGCGGGGCCTGCAATCCTTCCATGCTGGCGTTCTCCGAGCGCACGATCTCAAATCCAGCTCCAGTTAGGGCATTCTCCATACTCTCCGGGGTTGGGGTGCCGACGGCCCCAATGAGAGGCTTGACGCGGCGCATAAGCTCAGCGTGTTCGGGGTTCTCGGGCTCGTAGGCAGGAAGGCTGACCCAGTCCAGAAGGGAGATCTTGGAGCCAGGCTTGAGGACGCGGAAGATTTCAGTAAAGAGTGCGGGCAGGTCCTTGCATAGACTGAGCGCTTGGATCTGGTAGAAAGCGTCGAAGCTCTGGTCATCGAATGGAAGGGGGAGGCTGTTGAAATCTTGCTGGACGAAGTTGTTCTGCAGTCCGCGCTCCTCATTGAAGGTTTTAGCTTGCGCGACTTGGTTGGGATCGATGTTGAGACCTGTAACGTTTGCGCCAGAGTATTGCGCCATATGCGCCGCGACGCGCCCACGGCCACAGCCAAGATCTAATACTTTGTCGCCAGCTGAAAGACCAATGTCTTGCGCAATTGATCGCTCATAGAGAATTTGGTTCTCCAAAACAGAGGCCTTCTTGCTCATCCACGGTGGGATATACATTTTTTCCACATCGCCGAGCGCGCAAAGGTGGTTAAGCACTCCATAGTATGACTTCAAACAATCTCCAACTTTCTCCTGGTAATTGGGGCCCAGGACCTCAGTCATTTGCTTCTCGTCGGACCAATCCAGATTGTAAATGACATATGACGCCATGAAATCGTCGACCTCCTTCGGACTTAGATTAGCTAAGTATCGGAAGGAAGTCCAAAAGCTCTTCCATCGCTTCGGGGAGGCCGAGTTGTCGAGATCTTTTCCATGCTTTCCCAGCGCTGTCACGAAGAGCTTCTGCTTCTGCTCAGCAATTTCATCGAGCGAACTATCGCTCTCCGAGCCACGCCCAGTGCGCCCGGGATGTTGTGGTGTCTGCACGAGAGTTTGCGCAACCATTATGTGTATTTACAAGCTTTGCGAAGCTTAATCGTAAAATTATGGACAAGATAAGAGTCAAAAATGAGGAACCTGAGGGAGGAAACAAAAGTTGCGAGCTGTACAATGCGCTTTTCCCAGCCCGCGCGATGGGCCCCGACGCAATTTATAAGCAATACAGGAAAATCGAGATCCTCGTTTCTCCACGATCGAAAAGGGAAAAAATAAAAATAAAATTTAATTTGCTAAGCTGATCCCAGTAGCGGTCAACACGGCAGCCACTATAGTGGATTGTCACCAGACTCGAGAAAGCTGCCACCCGGATGGGCCGGCAGCAGTTGAGCCGATTAAGCATGGGATGCCGTTCACAGTACTTCCGATGCTCTTCTTTATCTGGTTCTCGGATAACCAAAAATTAGTATCTATGGTATGGTTTGCCATATTGCTACTCTACAAACTACATTGCTGCCCCTCATTATGATGGAGAGGAGGGGTTATTTTTTTACAAGACCGACAATCGCAGAAGTACAAACCATAGTCAGGTACGGATGACGCGGGAAGGGTCCTTGCGAAATGAGAATCGTCATAAGAACGACGATCTAGACCCACAATAAAATCTCTACTTGACGATGAATACCCTTTTCCGAGCTATCGACTACTAAAATTACTTAAGTCGGTGATTGTTACAGGTGTCTGTGTCGCATGGTCGCGAAAATGTAGATCAGAGCATCATCGTACATACAGAATCGCGTGGGATAGGCTAATAGAGTGTAAAAAAGCATTGGCCTCTACGGTCCCACTATATACAACCTCTCAATGCTACACTTGTCAGTATCGTATGTACACATTCAAGTTGAAGCTTTTTTCTATTAGCCCATCCTTCCTGCAGTCCCGTTTCCCAACAGTGCCAGGTACATAAGTTAGGCCACTAATCCCTGTGGCGTCGCTCTATACCTTATCAAGAAGTGACCAGCTTATCCCACTCGGAAAGTCGGCAGCGGGCGGAATACGGACTGCCCCGTAAGGCGTGGAAGCACGGCAAGTCTTCGAGAAGCTTTTAGCAGGCCGTGAAAAGGCGCCGGGTAATGAAAATGTGAAAAGGAGAAAAGAAAAAACCCTCAACTCATACTTCTTCAGGTTCATGTGGCCATGGCTCTGGGTGTGGGCCTCTTTATCTTCTTGTAGACTCTTTTGGATCAAAGAGCTTGAGGTCTTGATTGAATAATGTGCGAAGGACCCACACCTTAAAACCGGTCTCCACCCGCTTAACCGGAAAGTCGGACCCTGATACTTACACTACAACCGTAAATCCGTAAGCCGTCACGCAAAGGCCAGACAAAACGGGTATTATGCTCCTATACTAGGCTAGTTTCCACTCCGTCCTCGGCGCAATATGCCGTTTAATATTTTCTGATATATGGCGTTTCGATAGCGTGCTTGGCATTGCTTGTTGCTTACACATATGTGGGACTAGTAACTAAATGTGTTTTATTGTAAAAGATATATGTACTTTGCCTTCTAAACTTGTTCCTTTCGTGCTGTAAGCCCCGACAGGTTTCCGAGAAGTTTCCATGTCCAGACCTTGTCATGAACCCGACACAAAACAGGTAAATAGTTCATAGTGAGGGGATGAAGATCTATCATCCTCCACGTTATGCAGCCGATGATGCAACCGCCTTGGCACGGGCTCGGAGCCGGTGGAGACCCGGTCGTGACCGAAGTAAGTATCAAGTACGCTGTACGAAGATTTTGCTTTTAGGTAATTCTCCCGCTCTTTTTCAATTTTTTCTCAAAAAGCATATCCACAATCCTGCACACCAATAGAAGATAAAATGATCTGTAAGTACTCTTCCTCGTATGGTATCGCGCAGGTGTCTCTTTGGTAGCGCTGCTAGATTTTTCGGAACGCTTTGACATCCTTTAAAACCTAAGTTGTATAGGGCGTAGTATATCAGTGAGTCATACTGTCTAAACCCCCGCGCATTTGTCGTAGATAGCGAGTGAGAATGTAACTATACTATATAATATGGCAAGCGAGGACCCCGGGCGCTGGAAACAAAAGTACGTGATCTAGCGTCATGAGATAGAGGAATCGCGGGATACACTGAGTATTTTATTTAGTACCTTGAAAAGTACATGTGAGAGCAAAGTCTCAAAAAGGATCAATGCAGGTCCTTTCACTGTCAGTACTATGCAATGCACAGTATTTTTCCATGTCAAATGCGGGGAGGTGTTAAGTCTATAGGTACAGATGTGGGTAACAATGACAGCTAATATTCGCTTTATTTCATGATGATCAATAGCGAAGGCGGGGGATCTATCCTTACGAATTAATGTGACTATAATACTTCAAGAGTACGATATCTATGAATCCATATATAAGCTTGGAAAGGCATTCGCTCGTTCAAAGTTTAATTTAGTACCTGTGTTATTCCTAGAATCTCATCTTTATATTGTCCTCTGTTGATTTTGATAGCTTAAAGCAACATCACAAGTCCTTTGAATATAATGATCATATAATTGAACAACTCAACACTACCCTGTCTTGCAATGGGGAGATTTCGTGATCGAGGCCCCACGACCACAGGATACATTGCCCCTCTCTCCACGCTGACCCGTGATTCTCCATGACACGGGAAATCGATCGACAGCACAGTCCCTCAATAGAGTGCCCGAGCGCTATCCATGAAAGAAAAAGAAAAAGGCACACATTCCATGATTGTCGATCATAACGACTTTTAGTAATGCACCCTCGGATTCAATCTGACGTCAGACTAGCATTTGTCTTCTTTTCGAAGTACCGTCCCTAATATACTATCTAGTGTAGTATGGAATAAACATCTTGCTACTTTATACGGTCCCTATTCAAACTCAGCTCCAGGGCTGGTCGTATCAAATAGATCTTCAAGTTGGTTCCATGAAAAAGGCGATCGATATTTTCTATCCCAGGGTTGCCGTATATACATCATAACGAAGGGCTTACTGAATGAACTGACTGTTTTCGCATTGCATTCACTATATATGAGAGACAATCAATCCTCGGGTGCATAAAGCCCAATGATAATAGCCCGCCCATCTTCATACCCAAGGGAAATGGCATCATGCTTCATGTCAAAACACTCCACGTCACGATAATTAGAAGGAAGCCATAATAGACTCTCGCCTTTCAAAAGAACCTAGCCATCTTCCACGGATATCTGAAACTCGGGTTTCTGTAAATCACCTTGGGAACTATCAGCAGAGAACATCGTATCAAATAAAAACCAGCATGGTTCGGATCTCCCATTTCTGCGCCGCTCATGATTTTCCAGAGCTTCACAGTCCCACCCCACTGGCATACGGCTATTTGCCGTCCATCTTGGGAGAACACCATGGAACTAGCGAATCTACATAAATCGCTTAGAATAACTATTTCTTTGCCAGAGATGATATCCCAGGGCCCTATGAAATCATTAAAACCTCTCAAAGCTACCACCTTGCCGTTCAGAGAAACGGTGATAAGGTCGATGCGCTCGATGTATCCCTCCAGAATTTGTGCTTCTTTTTTTACCTTTTTGTACTTCGAGGTCGGCTGTAGCACTCCAAGCTTCTGCACTGTGGTAAATAAGGATCAAGAGTGATATATGATCATCTGGAGTGACAGATAGATCTAGAGCGTCAGGCTGAACTGAGGATAAGACCTCAAGGCTCTCTATCTCTTAATTAAAACGGTTTGGTACATCTGGTCCATGTGAGACGCTGTGGTAACTGCTTGAAAGTCTAAGAATCTCTTAAGACGTCTTTCGGGATGAAGCCCCTCGCCAACAAATCGGCATACGGTGGCTGCGAAAATGAACAACGGGACCGCCATGTTTACTAAGATCTCCATTGTATCATCTGCGGGCCATTCTTCACGAATTCTCCGCTTTGCTTTTATCTTTGAAAACTTGTCTTCCAAGAATAATCGAATATCATGTTCAATCACTGGATTCGGAACGTCGTGAAGGACTTGGTCTTGGTATTTCTGAGTTTGTTCGAAGCCAAGTCGAATAGGAAGCTCAGATCTGCTTGTCAAAAAGATACGCAGACGGAAAGAGTTGGACTTTTGTAGTTTTGGCAGAAGTCGAAGTATAATGCGGATGTCGTCTTAACTTTCACACTCATCCAATGCGTTAATCACGATCACCACAGATGTGGTCTCGCTTTGCTTCGAATTCAATAGCAGCTGGAGAAGAAGGTTGTCGAACTGTTGACCGAGGGCCTTTGTCGAAAGATCTGGATCATTCTCAATTGCTTTGAGAATACCAGGTTCCAATTGTCGATGGTAGGACATTAGCTGTTTTGTGATAGTCGAGATAAATCTCCTTGCATTGCCACGATCTGCTTCGCCTTTTTTGAAGAAGAAACTGGCAGGTGTACGGGATATGGTGAATTTTCCAGTTCCTGCCATTCCATTCAACCAAAATATCAATTTGCTGTCAAAATCTTCTGCCCAGTCTGTGACTTGTAACACTGTCCAGGATCCATTTGCCCACACCAGCATCTTTCATCTCTGGCCAATCACCAGTTGACTGTTATATGTCAGTCACGTGTATGTTTATGCCTGACGTGCGAGGTGTCAAGCGCATCACCACCGGCCATCCAAGTCTGTTAGTGCTCCAGGGCTGTCAATGCAGTTCATCCCATGGTTCCAGGATTCTTGAACGACTTCTTAGAAACATCTATTCGATTCTCTCTATGAAATGAGAGATCAAATCCATTCCCGACAATCTGGGTGCAATTCCTCAGCCCCCTTTTCCCCTCAAATCTGACAAGAAAAAAAAGGCAATTCAAGATGATGTTAACTATGGACGCTCCGCGGGTATCCGAGAGGGCCCCTGAGAAAGGCCCAAATAGTATATGGCTCACGGGGAATAGAGGCTCCTTCCGAAGACGCTTCCCCGCCCAAACACCGTTAAAGCCGCTCCGTGAGCCCGAGTCGGGCAAGGGAATTCGATCTGTCCGAAGAAAAAGAATCGGAAAGAATCGAGGGTGACTCATATTGGATCAGGTCTTATTGGTGGGTTATATAGCGGAAGGCCCACTTTCTACAGAGTTCAAATATTTCTGACAAACCACATGACAGTCAGGAACGAGTAGGAGAGACAACACGATGTACTCGGGACTTCCCATGCTGCAGGGTTGATGCGCAAAATTGTAGTAGATTAGACAAGATCAATCAAGTATGCAGTACATCTATCATATCTCGTAGTATTGACGTGTCCGAATGCCACGAAATTCATTCTGAAACTGGAGAACCGCGTATAGTGCTCTCGTAGTAACCCCTGACGTGACCCCCCCCCCTGTGTATAGTACTGGATACAGAGGATTCTCCGGAGAAGATCGGCCCTAACAGTCCATCCTAGGCCCACACTGTACGACTCCATCTCCTTCCAGAAGTTCATGATTTGTCTTAATATTTTTGGCTGAGGCGCCAGTTTTTCCTGCGATACGTTTTATTTTATTTTTTAATTTTCTTACCCTTTTTTTACCCTTTCTACTTTCTCTCTCTAACCCAAGTCTATTATTCGCCATCTAATCGACCTGCGACAACTTACAGATCTATCAGATCACAAGACACTTATCAATTCTTTAATTCCTTGTCATAGCGCGTTCATTGGTGACTCGGGGTCATCCAATGAGCCTGCATTTTCAATATTATTCTGAGTGCAAGGTTCGCATGTCCTGTCGAGGTTCACCCGTGCGACGCACGCGACCTTCAATTCACTAACATTTTTCTTTTCTGTCTTATTAGCATTGCCTCTTCACTCTGAAGAGGTCTCCCGCCAGATAAATGGTTTTTAAACCGTTTACCCACCTCGCGCGCCAAAGTTTCGCCAAAGCTTTCACACATGGCTATGCTCAGTCCGTAGTCGCGGCGTCGCAATCCTACGCGTCCTCTAGTACTATCAACACCCTCGCTGCCCAACCTACCAAGTTCTCCCGCACACAGTTACAAAATGCTTTCTCCAACGCCTCGAGCTCGTCCGGCGCTGGCGCCAAGGCCAGCCAGGGAACTTCTGGATCAGGGGATTCCGGTCTAGCTGCCTATTATGCCGCGTGGCAGCATGCTCAACAGACCGGTGACGATAGCGACTGGCGACAGTTCCAGTTCAAGCGCAGTATCGACTGGAAGCCTTCCGCCGAAGAGATCGAACAGGCCCACGAAGACCGAACCGAATCCGTTCCTCCTCACCTTACCAAGGCCGCCGTGAACGAAGATGTTGGCGCTCAAGTGGAGGAGGCCGTTGCCCGTGAGATGCAGCAGATTCAGGATGAACACGCACAAACTGAGGCTTCAGAGCGGACTGAGGCTGTGCTGAAGAATAATGCAGCTGAGAATGTCGTTATCTCGGAAGAGATCTCGAAGGAAGCTCAGTTTCTGTCCGATAAGATTGTTCAGCTGGCAACCTCTAAGAGTTTCGCGGAGATTCCTGCGGCTTTCGAACTTGTTCTTCGGGAGGGTCTGACCCCGACCGTGGAGGCATACAATGCCCTCTTGGTCGCCGCTATTCAACTTCATCCCGAAGCCGCGCAGGCAATCCCCAAGGCCCTCGATGTTTACTCCGACATGCTTCGTCGCAGAGTCATTCCCGACGAAGACACATATGAGACTCTCGTTCAGCTTTTGACCACCCGCGCAAATGATACCATTAAGGCCAAGGAGGTGTTGGAGCAGGAGCGCGTCCGCTATGGTGGCATGGAAGAGCCCGGCAAGTTCATGCTTCAGTCCAGCGAGTTGGAGCGCGATATTCTGGCCGAGGACCACTCTCTGCCTATCGCCGTAAAGCTCTTTGATGCTGCTATTACCCGACACCCTCGAATCGTGTTTCCTCTCAACATGTACCGCCACCTCATCATTGCATGTGCCCGTGAAGGTATGGTTGACGACATGGTTCGCATCTACGCCCATATGGAGCTCCAAAAGGTTCAGCCTCATGCCACCATCTTCCCTCACATGATTGATGCGTTCGTCAGTACTGGTGACCTCAAGAGTGCTGTGGAATGTTACAATGAGTACCGAACTCTGGCTGTCTCAGATGATAGCGGAGTGTTTACCATTGTTCGACGTTTGGACGGACAGGTTTACGCTGCTGTCATTCGGGCCTATCTCTCTTGCGGCAAGGAAGATGGTGCCATGCACTTCTTTGACCGTGTTCGCTCCTCTTTCGACGATGTGACTGAAAGTGAAAGCCGCTGGGCTGCCGTCAAAGCTGTGATTGTTCAGGACGCACTTGTGCAACACTCGGTGAAGACTGGAGAGTACAGCAGGGCCCTGGAGCAGGCCAAGGCTGAACTTTTTGATGATGCTCGGGATCAGGCCATTTCTCAGATTTGCGTGTCTGCCGCTGACGCAGGCGATCTGACCACTGCCTCCGAAGCATATGATCGCCTCTCCACATCACCCGCAATCCGCCAGGGTCCCGCTATTTCGCTACTCGCCCTCCATATTCGCCAGGGTAATGTTTCGAAGGCCCGGTCCTTGTGGATCATGCTCAACACAGTGGGTCAGGCAACCCCGGATATGGTTCAGCCGACCACTATGTACGCGCTTGCACAACTGAAGAGCGGCCAGGTCGATGGGGGTCTTCATGAAGCTCGTAACATGTTTGCTCGCATTCGTGACGCCTCAGCCAAGAAAATCGCTGACGTCGCCTCTGTCCGGGAACAAATCACCGAGTCTCTTCACCTCTTCGGTCGTGTTCTTGTCCAGACCCACGCCGTCCTCTCACCCCAGGCATCCATGTCCCTTCTTTGGTCCATGGTCGAGAATGGTGGCCTTGTGTCTCCTCTCGTCGAGCATGCCGTCAGCCACCTTGGTCCCATGGGTATTTCGCAGTTGAACCCCGCCGACCTCACCCTCGCTATTCAGGCTCAAGCTGGTATGCTTGCTAGCAACCGTGCTATGCTTTTCGATGCTGCTCACCCAGTTCGTTTCGCGCACATGCTTGACGTTGCTCTTTCGGCCTCTCTCCCCTTGGACAACTACACCACCGGCTTGATTGACCAATCCATCAGCAACCTTGTCGCCAGCCGCCCTGACGTCGTCAAGAAATGGCAAGATCATCTGGAGGCTACTTCTCAGACTTCTCTTTTGTCTGATCGTCTTAGTCCCGTCTCCATGGCAACGTCTATCACCGTCCCGTCTTCAAGCCCCGAATCCTTTGATCCTTATGCCCACGCTACCGACTTCCGCGGCTCTTCTATCATTTCCGAGGAGCTCGAGAAGACCGCTGGACGGCCAGAGTCCCACCTCAATGAAGCTTTGATCCGACTTAAGAACATGCGTCGCGTCCGTCGTCATCCTCGCTATATCACATACGCAAAGATGATCACCGCTGCTGCCAAGGTCGGTCGCTCGGACTTAGTTCACGAGATCCACAGCATGGCCCGCACTGATGTTCCTTTGAATATGGCTTACAACACTGTGAAGTACGGCTGGGACTCAATTCTTGATGCTATGGTTGCTGCTTGCTTGAATCTTGGAGATCGTCAGCTGGCTGGCCAGTTCCACCAGGAGTTGCTCAGCATCGGATCTGCGCCTTCGGCGAACACCTTTGGTCTTTACATTACCACATTGAAGGAATCGACTAAGACTTTCGACGAGGCCACCGAGGCGTTGAAGATCTTCCAGCGCGCTGTTGCTGAGGGTGTCGAGCCTACCTCTTTCTTGTACAATGCGCTTATTGGCAAGCTTGGAAAGGCTCGTCGCATTGATGACTGTCTCGCATACTTCGCTGAGATGCGTTCCAACAACGTTCGCCCTACCAGTGTCACCTACGGAACTATCGTCAATGCTCTGTGTCGTGTCAGCGACGAGCGCTTCGCTGAGGAGATGTTCGAAGAGATGGAGTCTATGCCTAACTACAAGCCCCGCCCTGCTCCTTACAACTCGATGATCCAATACTTCCTCAACACCAAGCGTGATCGCAGCAAGGTCCTCGCATACTACGAACGTATGAAAGCCCGCAACATCAAGCCTACCATGCACACCTACAAACTCCTCGTGGATGCCCATGCCTCCCTCGAGCCTGTCGATATGGATGCTGCTGAGAAGATCCTCGAGTCTATGCGAGCTACTGGTCAACAACCCGATGCCGTCCACTATGCCTCCCTGGTCCACGCCCAAGGCTGTGTTCAACACAACCTTGATGCTGCCCGAAAGATCTTCGACCGAGTCATCTCCGATAGCCGTGTTCGCCTACAGCCCTGTCTATACCAGGCCCTTTTCGAGGCTATGGTCGCCAACAACCGCGTCGCTGACACCGAGGATATTGTTAGGGGTATGATGAAGCGCAACGTCGAAATGACCGCGTACATTGCCAACACTCTTATCCACGGATGGGCCGCTGAAGGTAACGTCATCAAGGCCAAGGCTATCTACGACAGCATCGGCCTTGAGAAGCGCGAGCCTAGCACCTACGAAGCCATGACTCGTGCCTTCCTCGGCGCCGAAGACCACGTCAGCGCCGCTAAGATCGTCCAGGAGATGGTCTCCCGCGGATACCCCTCAGCCGTGGCTAGCAAGATTCGCGACCTTATCGGCTCCTCCTCTACCGTCTAATACCTCCACCTTCCTACCTACCGTCCTACCGTCCTACCGATCTACCTTCTTACTCTGTTTCTCTTTCTTTCTTTTGTTACTATTTTTTTCCTGGCTACCGTTCACCCAGGTTAGATTTAATGCTGTGGTTTTAATGCACCCTATCACCTCGCTGGGGCTGGATCCCTTCGGCATGGGGTTTTTCCGGTTTGGCGTATGTAGGGTGGCAGTGATTGGATATACCTGGAGGGATTTAATTTTGTTTTTGTCTTTTTTTATGGCATTCAGCGGGCATCTGGCGTTTATTTGGTGATCAAAAAGGCATGTATACCATTGTGTGACGTTTTTCATTTATGTTCATAGACCACTCTCAACTCTGCATGGCGCTATCATACGCCGAGGTCAAAATACAAAAAAAGTGAATTGTACTTGGTTTCCAGAATTGCGTAGTGTAGATCAGTATTATCTATTCAGGGTTTAAGTGCATATGGAAAAAGCAGTGTACTAGGCGGTAGAGGTTGATGTACAATCAAGTAGGGGTTTTCTTGCTGGCGCTATGGTTCCCGTGATGAAGTATGTATAATGACGGGCTCAGATGAGACGGTGTTCACACCTTCATTCACACTTCATGCGTATATTTACCAATATACTTCGAGAAAAGTATCGAAACGGAGATAAAGAAGCTATGACCTATCTCAATCGAGAAATTAGGTTGATCGCGGGGTGATAAATAGCCTAATTCGACGATTGGACAGGAATAAATTATCAACATGCATTCTTGTGTTGCACAACAAAACCATCTATCAGATTTAAGTTCATTACCACCCATTACATTAAGTGACATCACAAAACCTCAAATAAATATTTATACGAACCCCCAATTCCCACTACCAAGGGTAACTCTCACCGTGATACCCGAACAGTCCCGACCTTCAAACCTTGTTCCCAACTCTATCTACTCAACCCTATCTGACTCAAACAACAAAAGGAAACTTGAAAGAGAGAGAGAAAAATGCAAGTGCAATGATGAACACAACAATCAATTCTTCATCTCATCCTCCACAAATATTCAAGCTTAATTCCGCAATACCAAAAGATCAAATGCAACTTCTCCTCTTCACAACCAGCTTCCTCAGCATAGCCCTCTACCACACCCAACACCAAGTCCCAATCTACCATCGAAAATTCCACAAAAGCAAACTCTACCTTTATATACATATATTCACAGGAATAACAGAAGCAATCCGCTACCGACTTCACAAATTCACCAGTCCTGAGGAAACAACAATTCTCCCAGAGCCCTTAGACGTGATATCATGCTTCATCTGGTCGTGGACAAGTCTTGCTCTCGTGAAAACATTACGAAGAGGCCACCCGTTAACGACTAGACCACCATATCAAGCTGCTGCATGTTTACGGCCGATTATTTCACTTATTTCCTATGTTTGGGGTATACCTTCTCTGCATAAAGTGTCGATAAGTGCACTGGATAGTTTTGTTTATGCACGACTGGCTATTTTTTTCTTTTGCCGTACGCCTTATATTGGGTCTTCGGGTTCCAATTCAAGCTCCTATGGGTCTATTTACGCCATTTCGATTCCGCTTGCTGCAACGCTGAGTGTGCATGAGAGTCGGGTGCCGGGGGCAAGTGTGGTTTTTATTTTTGCTGTTGTTTATGTGGCGGGGCTCAATCGGTGGGTAACGGGGAAGTCAAGGGCATTGAGAGAGTAAGATTGTTCTTCCCTTTTGTGTTTTTCTTGAAGTCTGAGATTCTAATCATTATAATTTATAGGTCTCAAGAGGAGGGCGTTTCGAAGTATGAGAGGATGCTTGTTTCGGGGTTGATTAGGATGGGATTTGTGGAATTGGAGGAATTGAAAATTGTTGAGGGATTGAAAGAGTTACAGAAGCCTGTTTATGATGAATATGTTGATATTTCAATCAAGGTTGATTAGAATAGAAGCTCGAAGGATTAAGGTGGTGATAGATTATGATATTATGATATGACTCAATGCATGAAGTTATTGCGATCATTCCAAATCCCAAGATTATTCTGCCTATAATTATTTTGGATCTTAGTATGCTATAATAAACAATGTTTGGTCTTTCATAATTCTTGTAAACATATTTGTAGATATATGGACCATAACAATGTCGAAGTCAATCGAGATCAGATCGAGATCGACGATAACGTTGTCTTGTGTATGGTACGATCTGGACCAACGTCAGTGACCCTGTGCACTTACTTCCGCCAATTGCCTGACATTTGCCTTTTCAACCTTCTGCAGCCTCATGATCTCCTGGAATACAAGACTTTTCTACAAATTCCAATATTTAATGCTCGTTCATACCTTCTCACCGCGCATATCTGCCCTTGACTCATTTCTCCGCATTCGTTTCCGCACATTACATCAACCCCGCCTTCGAGCTTTGCACTCCGCAACCGCATCCCTCACAAATCGCTCAACCATGTCTCACAATGAAGAAACAGACGCCACAAGGCGCCCAAAGAAACTAATCTGTTGGTATTCCTCGGCCTTGTCTTTGTCGTATCGCTCTATGGCGCGCACCCGGGGATTCCCAAACTCCCCGCGGGGAAGTGACACGAGCTCAACCAGCGCACAAGCTTCGAAGACTACGAGCTAATTGATGGTTTCTACAGTTGCCCCGGGCGATATAGCAGCTACACCAGATACAGATTCCAAATCTACTTCCGCATCTGCCATTCAACCTCCCCTTGAAGCTTTGCGCTCCGATACCTCAACACCTAACTCCACTACGGAAAACCAGATCCTCTCCAATCCAGCCCGCGCACACCAATTCGTCACGAACCCACCCCTTACTATCTCTCAAGTCCACGGTACAAATCCCCTCCACCAGTTCCACGCATGGTTCAAAGATCCGCGCTTGCTTCCTAGCTCCGCCCCGGAAACTTGTACCCTCGCTACTGCAACTCTACCCTCCGGCCGCGTCAGTGCCCGCTCAGTATACCTGAAAGAACTAGATGAGCGTGGCTGGGTAGTATACAGTAACTGGGGCAGTCGCGAAGGCAAGGGAGCTCAAGTCTTCGGACTAGACCCAACCTCCGGCTCAGAGCTAGGATCAATGCCCGAGCCTGACGAGGCCGCCGCTTCCGCTTCACATCTCGGTAACAGATGGGGCGCTTTAACCTTCAGTTGGGCGGGTGTTGAGCGCCAAGTTCGTATTGAGGGTCTTATGGAGCCGCTTTCGAGGGAGGAGAGCGAGTTGTACTGGCGGACTAGGGAACGGGGAAGCCAAATTGGTGGCTGGGCTAGTTGGCAGAGTAAAGTGCTTTGGTCTGCTGAGCCGGGACAATTGGAGGAGCATCAGAGACGGAAGAGTGTTGCGAAGGTGCAGGAGGCGGGTGCGGGTGCGGATGTATTGGTCAATATTGATCAGACTGATATTGATGATGGGAGGGCATTGCTTGAGCAACGGGTTGAAGAGATGGAGGAGAAGTTTGCTGGAGTTGAGGAGATTCCTTTGCCGCCTTTTTGGGGCGGAGTGCGTTTGGTGCCAGAGTCTGTTGAGTTCTGGCAGGGTAGACGGAGTCGTTTGCATGATCGGTTCCGTTATGTGGCTGTTGATGGTGGGAAATGGAGACTTGAAAGACTTTCTCCGTAATGAGGCTGAATCGAATAAAAAGCTGTTTACATTATTTCGGTAGAAACTTATCTTTGCATACATTTATTTTGTTCCCCGTGTATAGATTGATTGTATGTCGATCTACCCGAATCCAGCACGAGCCATCTTATCAGTCTTGGCATCCAGACCTCCGCATCCTCCCTAGACACGACAAAATCGCTTGTACAGCCTGACACTTGGTATCTGGGATAAACCGAGCCCCAATATTCTTATCTATATATACATATCTACAGACATATACACATAATACACGACAATGTCATCTTCGCCAGCTCAGAAATCATCCACCTCCCCCTGGATTCTCCTGGCCCTGGCAAGTGGCGCATTCGCTGCATTGAATGGACTCTTCGCAAAGCTGTAAGCAGCCCAACAAGACTAAAAGAATACTTGCTCCCGAGCTCTATTCGTACAGCCATCAATGGATAAACGGATACATATATCTAGCATGCAGCTAATATTCGCCCAGAACAACGGACCAACACACCACGTCCTTTGCACGATCACTCGCCCACCTTTTTGGTCTCGAATCCTCTCCGTTCCTGGAGTTTCTCGTTCGAGGTGTAAGTACTGATCCTAATCCATTTCATCGTCTTTATTCAATTCTACTCGAATTTACATCGATGTGCATATGTCGGTCAAAACTGCTATCATTGCGCATGTAGTACCATCGAGCATCTATCATTTATTACTATGAGCATTCATATCATAACACCCATATTTATCATGAAATATGTATACTAATCCATCTTACAGTTATGTCTTGGTCTCAATGTCGTTTGCAACATTATAATGTGGGCTCTCTTCACCCGCGCTTTGACAGCCGGTCCATCCACGACAAAGGTTTCTATCACGAATACCGCGTCTAATTTCCTTGCTACTGCCTTGTTTGGTATGGTTATTTTCCAGGAGGCTGTTGGTGGCCTTTGGTGGCTCGGAGCTGCAATGATGGGGGCTGGATGTATTTTGGTGGGCATGCGGGAGGAAGCTTGATTTGTATTTGTCTGATCTGAGATATAATTTATTGGACTATTCTTATAGTTTAGAACTGACATGTCGTTGATATGATGTGAGCTGTTCTTGTATCCAGGTGTGTGCTTTATAGTTCTTGATCATACATTGTACTACATTGATCATGAACAGGTGGTTGTAAGACAGAGATTTTACCCGGAACTTTATGCATTGATAGAAATGTACCACGTAGAGAATAGTGCCCATTACATCATAGTCCGTTTAAGACGTCATATTAGCATATCTATAGATGAATATTAATATATAAAGAACTGATTTATGATATAAGTAGCATCTGTGCTCACCACGATAACAGCGAAGGATGCCGTAGATTGGTATACATCGGTGGCCCAAGGGTATGATCCGTAACGAAGGGCGAAATGCTACCTATACCATATTGGTTGTGAGCTTGGGCAACATCAATATTAATTCTGTTCTGCATTGGACCATATGCCGGGTAAGCTTGCAATTTGCGACCTAGTCGGACGATTGAAACGGGAAGCTTGTTTTCTTCTAGTAGATGTCCAGTGGCAGCATCATAAGAAGTATGCGAGATATCAAATACAAGGAATACGTGTGTTTGCCACTTCTCCTCTGCTATGAGCCTCGTTTCTGGCTCGGGGGTGTATCCAAGTAACTTTTTGTCCTTGAGTATCTCAATAGCAGGTAAGATATATCCTCGGGAGTTGACCAAGACTGCTTCCAGTATGGATTCTTGTCCGAGATGATGACCAGAACACGAAGGAGCTTTTGTTCTGCCATGAAGATATCTGTTACTGGTCAGTTTTGCTATATATTGCATCAAGATTCAGATAGCTTACTGTGAAAAGTTAGAGTTAATGGTTTCTTAGGTCAATAATGCCGTGCAGTGGCGGTCACCTTAGGCTAGTATGATACATCTTTCAATGAAAATGGGTCGGTATTCGGTTTCGGATTTGTGAGGGTTATGAATATGAAGATGCTACAGAGGAATATAGAGGTGGTGATAAGAATATAATGAGAAAGGAGAAAAGAGAGGTACCTCGTGGTCTTTGGGTACGTACCAATGGAGATCAGGTGATCTCAATACTAGATGTTAAGCTTTACAAGTATGGTGCACATCATGATGTGGATTCGTGGTATGTATAGTAATCGAGGGCAACATGTTACATGATTTAGGTTATCTTTCAAACATATATCCACAGATGGTCATAAATACAAGGATATTATCTCAACTGCGTGACCGCTGTTCTCTGTCCTCTAGCTCAACTAAGCCTTCATTCTCTGTTCCATCCAGGATATCAGATGAATCTGGCCCAGGTCGGTCTCTCTCACGCGCCCTCACAGGCCGACGTGGAGCAGCACTTGACACGAACCCAATCACAGTTTGAATTAGACGCCATAAACGATCTTCCAGTGCCTCGGGTGCTGGGTTATTCAAATGGCCACCAAGAGCAGAAAACTCCGAGGAGCCTGTTGCCGCCAGCGCGTGTTCCTCGGCTTCGACCTTGAACTGGTACTTCAGACAGTCTTTCACAGTTACCAGGCCAACTAAACGCCCACGATGCTCGACAGGGATCACACGTGGACCCATCTTCTTGAAGATTTCCATGACGGTTTCCAAGGCGAGTCGTGGATGAACTGTCAGCGGCGTATGGTCGACAAAGCGAGAAAAATCGACGACACCGGTACCAACGCTAGTCTCGATAGCATCAAAGCTATCCGGTACTTGAAGGGAGCTATGCCGACCTGATGCCCGGCTAGCGACGGACGCGTCTGCTGCGTCTTTGGTGAAGACACATCGTGCGCGTGGGGAAATCAAACCTTCGCTTCGGGCACGATCGATGGCGTATCGAAGTTCTGTGCGTCCGATGTAGCCGACGAGAATCTTGTTGCTCCGGTTTTCAACGATTGGGAAACCTTGGAATTTGTTGTCGCTGAGCAAATGCTCCGCTTCTCGCACTGGGAAATCAGATGCTGGTATTGAGAGCGGATCTGTTGTCATGGCGTGGGAGACTGGCACGTTGAAAACGTGATCTTCTTTGTTATCTAGGAATGGGAATCCGTTGAACCAGATCATACGATCTGCAATGCCACCATTTCCGAATCGATCTCCCACAGCTTTAGTGATACCTACCACGATCATAGTAGGCAGGATATACGTCAGAGCACCGGTCAATTCAAACATGATGACAGTGACTGAGATCGTAATGTGCATTATTCCACTCAATGCTGCTGCTGCACCAAGGAAGGCATATGTACCCGGTGTGATGCAGGGGACATCTGGTTCGCATGACGCGAAGAAGGCCGAATTAGGGAAAGATTCATGAAGTGCCTGCACCATGATCCCTATCATACGACCGAAAGATGCACCAATGGCCATGGATGGAACGAAAATACCGGCGGGTACTTTGCAACCATAAGAAATTATGACCAGACCAGTGCGCAAAATCGTAGCAATGGCCAAAGATACCACCATGGACCATCGATTCTTCTCACTGTAAAAATATGTTAGAAGATCACAATTTTCAGAAAAGCACAGTGAAGGGCGTATGTTCATACTCGCAAAGTCCATGGTAATTATGTCCACCGCCACATTCTCGGAAGAGGATCTCCATCATTTCCGTCATGTTAATCTTCAAAAAGATATTGGGATAACACAAAATGGCTGTGAGCCCAGCAAGAACTACAGACTCGGCAATAGCGTGTTTGCCCAAGTACTTCTTGCGGAATGACGCCATTCGTAAATTCCATTTGATTACAAACGCGCCATAAAGTCCGCCAAAGACTCCGATGAATATAAAGAAGATTAGCTCAAAGGCATGCCAGGTTCGATCATACTCGACCTGGAACATGACCAATTGTCCAGTTCGGAATGGGTTCAAAGCCTATGGTATTTAAGTTAATAATTGTCATGTTTTTCGCGAAAGCAGGGGTGAAGGGAACGCACTGCTAGCACACTCGTTGCTACCAAGGCACAAAAGTAGCTGCGCCATAGGGTTTTCAATGGAAAGTAATTGGCGATTTCCTATTTCAGTTTTAATATTCAGCTCTCTCTTGAGGACAAGAATTGAGGCATACCTCCAAAGAAAACAACACGCCTCCGATGGGACTGCCAAAAGCAACAGCCACACCTGCTGCCGCCGAAGCAGTTAATATTTCTCTCGTTTTTGATGCACTGGTTTTGTATTTGCCAAAGAAACGTGAAATCACATTTCCTGTGCAAACAGCAAAATGAACACTAGGGCCCTCCTTTCCAACAGAAAGACCAGATGCAATAGCTAAAGGCAAAGCAATAGACTTAATAATAAGAGTCCATGCGCCCAGAAAGCCCTTCATGACAAAGCCGGCAATAATGCATTTGATTTCGGAAATTCCTGAACCAGCAGCATAAGGCGCAAAAGTCTTGACCAGGATCGCTGCGACAAAAGAAAGCATGACCTAAGAGTTTTCTATTAGCAAGCCATCAAAATTTTGCGCGAGCAACGAAGAGGTATCATACCGCAAAAAAGAAATAAATAACATAATTAAATGGCCAAAATCCTGTCCATTGCTTCCATTCAGGACAGCCTCCTTCGGCGCCCCAACAGCAGAATTTTTCATTCAAGTAGAATGCAGTTGTACAGTGGCCCAGTTTGATATCTGAAAGCCACTCCGTAATGATATTCAGTAGGGCTGAATTGGCACCAATGGCCATACCAACGAGTGTCACCACCAGCCAAGCTTGCCCAGCATCGTAGGATTCCATCAACTTGCGTCTCCACCCAAAAACACCTTCTTGATTCCAAAATCCATTACCGCTCCGGCGCTTAGCTCGACGGCGGCTTTGTTCGTATACGGCATCCTGAACCCAATCTATTGTCGTAAAGTCCTCATATCGCTTAATCTCGGTGATCTCTTCAGTGATGGCGGGAGCATGCGCGTCCTGGCCCGGAGTCGGATCGGCAGTTGAAGAAGTAAAAGAACGGCCAGACAGCCTACGCATATCCCGGCGCTCTGAAAGAATGGAGGGCGACCGGGGGAAGGTCGTATCGAGCCGTGGTGAGGTCATAACATCGACCGGAGGGTAAGCTTAGCATAGTCGGGTTCGAGCTGGGTCGGTAATGCACTTCCTCCGCAAAGGAGATGATCGCAAGAACAAAGCGACCCGGGGCAAATTAGGAAGTCCGCCAGCGCCTAATCTGTCCTCATTGGAATATTGAAAATGTCAGAAATGAAAAATCGGGAGCGCAAATCTATGCAAGTCCGTGGTGGAATCGAAGTCGAGGTTAAGGTGTCAAAAGGCCAAGTTCCACGCCAAGTAATCGATAACGAAGATCTGTTGAGATAAGGCCGCGCACACGCGTTTGACTCTTGACACCCGCGCTCCGCATCGACTTACTCGCATTACGACAAACTTCAGTACTTGATTTGCATATTTGCTCCTCGGATTTTTCGAGTCTCGCAATTTATTAGAGAAAAATGACTTCAAAGAACGCCGCTGAGCCGGATGAGATCACTGGCCAGAGCGCCCTTCCTAGTGAGTACAGTGCAGCCACGGAGAAAAGAAGACAAGCTTTACTAATCGCTGCAATTAGTCTCTCGCATCAAGAAGATCATCCAGCTCGACGAAGATATTGTACAATGCTCTAATAACGCGACTTTTGTTGTTGCTATGGCCACTGTCCGTCATGTCCCCATCCTGTCCAAAAAAACTATAGCGCATTCCCCCGCTGATGCCATTATAGGAAATGTTCATTCAATACCTCGCCGAGCAAGGTCACAATGTCGTCAAGTCAGAACGGAAACCACGGAAGACTGTTCAATACAAAGACCTAGGTAAGTGAACGCGGGTCAGCAGAACCGTAAATTGTGATATGCAGTACTAATGAGGATCAACAGCAACGGCGGTATCACATATCGACAACCTCGAATTCCTCGCCGATGTCATTCCGAAGACCACAACCTACAAGCAATTCAAGGAAAAGAGGGCCAAGGACGCCGCGGCAGCAGGAGAATTGGAGAAGGGCCAGCAAACATTAAACGGAACCGCCGCTGCAGCTGCCGCTGCCGAGCAAAATGGCGCCCAGGCAGAGGAGCCAGAGGCAGTGTCTGAAGAGACACAGAAGTCACCATCGATTCCTCGCACACCGGTGGTGCCTGTGAGCACGTTGATCGCGGATCGAACAGTGGATTCCTCGGCGCGCCATGATACCGATGTTGAGATGAAAGACTAATGTGTCTCGGGCCTCTGTATCCGATTGACCCCCCGATTTTTCTTTCATCATTCATGCGTTGCATAGGAGTTTGTTTTATATGGGACATCTTGGAGACGGCTGCTTCTTGGCTGGGACTCTTTTTAAGGCGTTAGTAACAGAACGTCCCGATCGGGTGTTTGAATACCCTCTGTATAGGTCCCTCTTCTGTTAGGCATGGGATCATATATATTTGCCTAAGAGTCCGCAAAATAATGATAAATACTTTTCTCTTGTATCCATTTCAGTGACTGCCTGCGTACATGGCTCTTGGGGGCTATTCCCAAACACACCTAGGCATTTGACCTTCTAACAATAAAATGAGTAGGTATATGTCCGTATATTTATCTAATACATCGATCTGGGCCTACTCTTCTCTTACCATATTATCTTTTGCTGGCAAGTGCAATGCTAGTACTCCGATGTGTCTCTCCCGAGGTAGTATACATAAGACCCTTTACTGATATGCTCGCGTAACCTTGAAATCTGAAGTGAATTAAATGGAAAGTCCTATCTGTTATATTCTAATGACACCATTGAGATATTCAATAAAAAAAATCAACCAGCAGACCAAGATAAATAGAATCAAAATCAAAATCTCCAGCTATACATCAATTGATGTTGCTGGGTCACATGACTCCATGGTCGAATTCACCCGCCCGACCCGTATCAGCCAATGACAGTCCCCGTGATTCCGATCGCTAGCGAAAGCTCTGGCTCCAACTTCATCCCGGCTTCATCCACTCCCTACCTTCGCTCTCCACGCAACGCCGCGGTCACACCCTCCTCTCTCCAGTGGTCAATTGCCAACACAATGTCGCTCTCCTCCGCTTCCAGCACTCTGCTGCGCACCTGCGCCCGCCAGCAGCTGCCCACCGCCCGCGCCGCCGTCACCTCCTGCCAGCAGCGGAGGGGAGTTTCGGATGCGAAGGCGTCCTTCGACAGCCCCTTCGTCAACGCTGGCGAGCGTGGCTCCACCGTGAAGATCCCCAACTTCAGCAAATACAAGTCCAACTCCTCCCCTCGCACCAACCAGGTCTTCTCCTACTTCATGGCTGGCACCATGGGTCTGGCCTCCGCCGTCGGTGCCAAGGCCACCGTCCAGGGTAGGTTTTTTTCTTTCCTCCTATCGCGCCCAGAGAAAAAGATGGATATTTCAGAAGAAATGAAGGGAATGGGTTGCATTTCAAAACCACCAGTGGTGGATTGCGTCGATTGTGTGGTTGAGAAATCTTGAGACTGACCATGTACTTTCACCCCCTACAGACTTCCTGGTCAACATGTCCGCCTCCGCCGATGTCCTGGCTCAGGCTAAGGTTGAGATTGCTCTTGGTGCTATCCCCGAGGGCAAGAACGTATGTTACATTCCAATCCGTCATCGCACCCGGTTTCACCCTATCCTAACATTATGCGTAATAGGTCATCATCAAGTGGCGTGGTAAGCCTGTCTTCATCCGTCACCGTACCCAGGGTGAAATCGATGAGGCCCGCGAGGTCAAGTGGGAGTCCCTCCGTGACCCCCAGACTGACGAGGACCGTGTCCAGCGCCCCGAGTGGCTGGTCATGCTTGGTATGTGGACTGATACCTCGGGCAAATGAGCCCGATATATATCTAAAGACTATCTCTGACTGATTTCTCAATCTTATAGGTGTCTGCACTCATCTTGGTTGTGTCCCTATTGGCGAGGCTGGTGACTACGGCGGCTGGTTCTGCCCCTGCCACGGTTCCCACTACGATATCTCTGGCCGTATCCGAAGGGGCCCTGCCCCTCTGAACCTGGAGGTTCCTGCATACCAATTCCCCGAGGACGAGACCCTTGTCATTGGTTAAGCAATTTGATACTAAAAAAGCACACCACTTCAACCGAGATCAATATCGGTGATTGTTTCGTTTAGACCAAATATGAGGAAGGGAGCTGGAGATATAGGAGTGTCTCCGTGTATGTGTTTGCGCTATTTGATTTGATTTTCTTTTTAGACAGAGCGGCCGTGTGTCATTGTCAAGATTAAGAGACCGTGTTTTAATATGGACAAAATAAGCCTCTTTTTTACAACCCCATTCTTCCGAGGTCTGTCCTCGGTCTTGTGGCTTTGATATGCGGGTTATTTTTCTTTTGGCAGACCCGAGTCTTGTTTCTGGAGGGATCTTGGGCGGCCTTGTCCTTGCGATCTCCTTGAGTATATACTTGTGTTCTATATCTGCCCAGTGTATTGCCTAGTCATGAGATTTCCTTTGTTGCATATTCCCTGTCGCTTTGTATTGTAAATTTTGCTAGTTTCAAATTGAGTACACGCGTATATATTCATTAATGTAGGTTTATGATCTTGAACTAGTTAAGCTATCTAGGATTTCGCTGGATGTTTACTGTCTTAATGGGAAAGCCTTCGGTCAAAGTAATGATACACTAGGTTTATTTGAACCTAACTAGGTCTATGTCTTCATCTGTACAAACATGATCGCGACGTAGTATGGTTGTATAAGACAACGCAGGTAAATATCCAAACATGGAGTCGTGGGAATGAGCAGAAGTTCCCCATTCACATATGTTATAATCTGCAAGTTCAACAAGTCAACCCTCTACCTGGGGTTCACCAGGGCAAGTATAATACCCATCACGGCCGCACCGATTGTGGCGCTCTGTACAGTAGCCACAGTGAGGTCGCGTTGAGTAACAGCAACGCTACGGTCACTGATGAGCTCGTTCAGAACTTGTCTCCAGTATTCGAGTGATATCGGAGAAGAAGAGATCCCGACGATTCGGGAGTATAGTGACCCAGAGAGATTATTCAGAGAAGGTGAAGTAACCTCCAGTGATGTCTGGTCTTGAGCCTCAGTCGTAGCAGGAAGAACTTCGGTAAGTCCATTGTCGGGCGCCTCAGTCGCGGCAATAATAGAGCTCTCGGTAGAAGCAGGGACACTCTTCTCCAATTCAATGGCTGATGCGGAGGCACCAGCAAAGGCAGCGGGGTTAATAGACTTTTCTTTCTCGATTGCCTCGACCACTTTATCTTCAAACCCCTTTACAAGGCGGCGCCGGCGCCACGGCTCCACGGCAATTTGGAAGATCAGGAAAAGTAACACGTTTACACCCATGAGTCCCCATGTTCCCCAGGTAGACATGCGGCGGATCTTGTCCGACCAAACTTGTTCCTCGTGGTAGCGGGATAGAATACTCTTGCTCAGCTGCGCAGCGGCCTCTTCAGCTTCACGCTCAGCGTGCGATAGTGCTTCTTGTGACTCTGTCTCCGCGACTTCATTGGTGTGATCGTTACGGTAGAGAAGGGTGAAGCGTTCCAGATCAGTGGGGGACCAAGCATGCTTGCGTTGGAGGAGCTCGTTCACTTCGCGCTGCGAAGTGGATCGGCTGTTGATAGCAGCTGTATATGCGTCTTTGGCGATGCGAACTTGAGAGCGTGCGTTACGGAGACGGATTTCTGTAATAAGTGCAAAGAATGATTAGCCTTGGGGTCTTTTATAGTATAAATTGGTGTTTGCTTCTTCGTGCTGTTTGCACGTACCTTGGTGCTGGATCTCGTTCTTGAGAGCTTCGATACCCGAGTAGCCGGTCAGGTCATTCAGTCGCTGGCCAGCTACAAAAACATTGGACTGAATATTATCCATCATTGTTGTGAACTGCTTCGACACCCTGGATCGTCGACCTTCCAGGTACGACGGGAGTCCTCCTTCTCCTTCACCTCGTGTTCCACCGCCACTCTGTGCATCAGAATTAGAGCTTTGTGATTTCCCCGTTCGTTCCTCTTCTTCTCTCTTCTTTTCCGCTTCAAGGTGATCTAGAATACCACGCTCAGTCCCGTGTATAGTAGACTCTTCTACGAGCCGATTAATCTCTGATGCGGAGATATTTGCTGTCCGAGAGGTCCCCGCATCCACCTCCGACGGGGAACCATAATTGGGCGTATGGGCGCCATTTGAGGTTTGAGAAATTTCCTCGGGGTATGTATTGGGTCTCCCCTTTGATTTATCCTCGGATGCATCGAGCAGGCGGGGGTCCTGGCGGAATTGCCATCTTAGGCAGACGGTGAACGTTCTTGGGGTCGGTTTAATGGAGACGGAGCTCGGGGGTGTCGGGCGGAAGCTTAGGTTCGTTGGTCGAGTTGTTGTGTGGGAGATACGAATACTTGATCTGAGCGATTGCTTGAGGAGCAATGGCATAGTATGCATGGCCGGGGTTGGGGCCATGGGCCAGGAGAGGTGGGTTGGTTCCGAGGTTATGAGTCCGGCAGCGGAGAGGATCGTCTCGGGACGGAATTGGCTTATCAGATTCTACTGACCGCTCGAGCTCACGATGTTCGGCTTCTAGATGTTTCTTAAACATTCATAGGGGATTACCCTTATTTAACATCGTTGTAGTTTTTGTACAGTTTTAACCCATGTACTTATCCTCATTTCATTATTTTTCTAATAGTCGATGTCGCTTGCTCCATAAAATGCATATCTTACCTAGATACCTTTTTGACGATGGCCTCGGATGTATATTTTAGCTAACCTTCAATCCCAACTTTGGAAAATCCAGTGAACAGCTTCCAAGGTCCTAAGATTTCACTCAAACAAAAATCCTCAATTTACCTAGACATGCCTTGATGGAGTCCACGGGTATTGATCTCTGAAACCTTTGAATTAAAAATGCATTAAAAACTCAAACACTCGGACTTTATATGGAAACATGCATCAATCTACGTGGCATAAAATGCACAAAGACCTTCAAGCTTATACCGGCATATATCAATCCATACTATGACATACCTCAACTCGATTCACTCGAACTCTCAAAATCGTCGACGCTCGGCGCGCAACGTGCTGATAATTAACCGGAATCAAAAAGATAACAATATTATACGCGATTGTATAGCCGAAGAACAAACGATACACAAGATTGGGAAAGTAGCCATATCTTAACAAGGGTGGTAGTAGCACGGTAAGTCCAAAAAAAGTATGAAAAAGCATTTCCTTCGTGAAAATCATAACAATCCGTCACCGAGTCTGATTACAAAAAAAGCCGCATGAAAAAGTGTAGAGATACCTCAAAGATGATGATTCATGCAGCAGAGCAGCAGACGGAATATACAGGATTCCTTATTGCCTAGCAATCTAGTCCTGGGATTGGATCTTGTGATCGCCCTGCACAGCCTCAGCATATGTTGGCGGGGGTCGTGCTTCGGCTTGTCCACTGCTGCTGCTTGCACCTCCAGCCTGTGGCTGAGTGGGAGGCTTGGGTTGAGTGTTCTGAGTATTTTGAGTAGGTTCTTGGACTCGTGGGCCGTTAGTGCCATATGATCGCTGGGAAGAATGCTGGGGTGGCGGGTGTGAAACATAGTAGTATGTCACTGTGCCGTTCTCTAGATCCTGACGTTGGCCAGAGCCACCAGGGATAGGCTCGTAGGCGGGATCTTCGTACTCTGGGTCTGGATACTTGAGAATGATGTACCACGCGTGGATAAGGCCGGGAATGAAGCCCAGTAAGCAGAGGGTGATGTTAATAATGGAGTCAGCAGTGCAGATCCCCGCCTTGATCCAAACTAGAAGTGAGAAAAATAATATCGTCAGTATATGTATCCTGGGTTACACTTTTCGCTATGGAGCGCTTTGTTGGATCAATCGCAAGGAGTGGGGGTCTTACCGGCAATAGGTGGGAAGAAAACGGCCAAGATGGCCAGGAATACATCGGAGCTACACATGGCTCCGCTGATTGTGGTCTATCACCTGCAAGGTAGAAAGAATATTTTCTTGGAGAAGTCAAGATCGCGAGAAGAAGCAAAGCTTATCGAGAGGTTGATGTTGGGAGTGGATGAGATAGTTGACTGTTGCAGTTGATCATTGATTGGAAATGGCAGCCTGGGATCAGATGACGTTTGATCACATGACACAGCTCGCTCGATTCAGTGAAATAAGCCGAAGTTGACACCTCAGGCTGTTACTGTGTTAGCCATGGAATTGGATCTATCCGATTTCCTGTTTACATTTTATATTACGGAGTAAATTAGATTTAGGATTGATCTTGAAGCTTTTCTTCATTCTCTCTATCCACTCTGGCCTACGGCCTGTTCTTTGCAGTGATCCACTGCTAAACCAAGGTTCGACTCGTCGCATGCATCAAAGCGGGGATCCCAGGGTCTGCGCTCATGTAGCGCTGGTATATCGAGTATACGGTACTTTGTTTCATGAGGACAATTAGCGTGGAATACAAGTCGCCTGTACTTACATTGTGTCTCCTCACCTCTCGTCATCTCTCCCCCCCCAGCAGGAAGCAGCCGTCCCTCGCAGAGCTTACGACGGACCGCGGGATTTGTGTGCATGATGCAAGGGATTTTCGGAAAATTAGCCAAGTTCTACCTTCAAACGGCTTCGATTACAAAAATTGTGCGCGGGAGAGAGATAGCGATCGCCGGTTGACGGGCCCAAAACGAGGCTGGGAAGTGGAGGACAATGACCACGCCAGGTACCAGATGGGACTAGAGTAACTGGCAGACAGGAACGAAACCAATCATCGTCCAACCGAAGTCTCCATTCGTATGTTTTGGGCCCCGAAAATCCCCAAAAAGCCCAAAATTGTGAGTTGTAGAAATCTTAGTGTGAGATAATGTACGGTCGTGTTCCTGGTATAGTAAAATAGTAAACAAGCGATACGCCCCCTTTTCCACCGCACAGCAATAAGAATTTCGAGCGTTAGAACTAGTCTTTACCTATTTTAAGCACTGATGTATGGTAATTCTGTATGCATATTTCAAAATGATGAACGGCCAGACCTAATTTTCCCACGCTAAACTGTCAAAGAAACGAGTCCGAGGCGTTCTTCCCGTTTCATGCGTTCGTCTCATCTCGCGCCCCTGTTGAGCCGGAGGTGGACTTAGCCCACTCCCCCCAAGCCCAGACCACCCGACAGCTCAGAACTTCCTCTCCTTCGTCTCCTCAATTGGCCACTTCCATTCCTTTTGTTTGCGATTCGATTCAATTCGATCTAAAGAGCGCCTCCGGGGCTCGATTGATCTTTCCTTCTCCGGGTCCTGTCCCGAACGCCATTCGTTTGACACCAAATTCATTTACCTTTTTTCTTCTTCCTTTCAACCAAGCTCGAAGCACACCTTTCGGAGGACCTGGGGTCTATCATTGTTTAAACAACTGAAAATCGAATAACTACGACCAAAAAAAGACGAGAATCGAATCCTGAAGCCCGATATTCGAAGAGACATGCGACAGTAAATCCCGACCTTAAAGATCTTTGACACATTCCGCGCGGACATTCTTCGGGGGTAACTTGGGACACTCGAGAATATCTTCCCGACATGAGTTGTATTTCTCTCTCCGGGTCGACGGCATGTCCAGCCTGGAATAGCTCTTCAGTTTCGACCAATTCGAGCATATATTCATCCTTGTGAGTGATACTCGAAAGAGAGTTTGATATCTGATATAAACCAAGAAGGGATGCGCTGACAATTATCCCAGTCCATGGATGGAAAATGTTTCTGATCTCTTATCATTCGACAACTCTTTAACTGACTATGTGTCGTCATCATATGTATCAGCCAAGTGAGTCGCCTGCAATGGAAGCATACGCCAAGCGCGATGATGATGCTAACAGACGCGTAGATTTGACGACTATCTCGGGTGTAAGGGTATGAACGATAGTGCGATGGGCGATTACTATGCCCAATATACGATCAGTGTCATCTGCAGCAGTGTCATTCAGCAGTCAATTGATACCTGCGACCTGAGTTCCGCGGACTCAGAACCAATTTGCGCCGATACCTGTGCGTCGTGGGCGACTAACGAGGAAGAGATCGTGGTCAACACTGATCTCTGTTCGAGTGCCCGCGACAACTATATGAAACAGATTCAATCAGACTTTACTATCTGCGCATCGCCTGCAGATTCACTAACAGGGAGCTGTGTAGAGGGATCCGACAATGAGCCGACCAACTGTGGTTTCGCCAACAACACTATTGGACTCTGCACCTACTGCCAGGGCGAGAGCGACTCATGCTGCACAAGTGCCAACGCGACCACTAAATGTGCTGATGTTACTATTCCTACTACAACCGCATCTATACAGCCCGTCGTGACATCTAGCGCGACTGCGAGCGCTAGTGCCGGGGCTGGTGGCAGCCATGGTCTCTCAGGGGGTGATATTGCGGGTATTGTCGTCGGCTCCGTTGCAGGTGCCGCTATCTTGGTCGCATTAATTGCCTTGCTCTTTATCTGTCGCCGCCGTCGTCGTTCGCACAGTGACTCTGCCAGTCTTAACCAGCCGAACCCGCAACGGAAGGGCGCTTCGCCGCCCATGCAACAAGTCGCGGACAGCCCGACGTCACCAGCCTTCAATATGGTCCCAGGTGGCCGTGTTGCGCGTATGTCTGCCTTGCGTGAGATGCCCAGCTCTTCTCCCGCTAATTCAAGGACGTCGGGTGCGATATATGCCGCAAAATACAGTGATACATCCGACTCGGAAGGCATGGGAGCCAGTCCTGGGGCCATGTCGAAGAGAATTCCCCCGGTGACCGGAAAGCGCCATGGGTCGCTTTCTAGTAGCTCTGCTCTGGCTGGACTGGACAGTGACAGCTCACCTCGCTCTGGGACTATTGGACAATATTCTTCTCCCGAGGGGGTGACTAGTGGCCAGTCAGAGCAGATGTCTTATTTCCGGGACTACTATTCACAAGACGATATTTACCCTGGCGATCATGTCGCTGTTCTCTGGGCTTATTCCCCACGAGCGGGCGATGAGTTTGAATTGGATCGAGGTGAAATGTTGAAGGTGATCGGTATCTGGGATGATGGCTGGGCCACGGGTGTGCGCGTTCACGAGCGCGCAGAAGACCATGATATAAGTCATCGGGAACAACGCGACAGTGGTGTTTCCAATGGTTCGCAAAGGCCTGGCCCATCACCGGCACCTTCTGGTGAGATCAAGGCTTTCCCCTTGGTCTGTATCTGCCTTCCCCAGCACTGGCGTAAGATCATCGACGGTGGTCTTCAGGAGGAAGAAGATGAGTTTTGAGCGCGGGGATGAATCCCCTTGTTTCATGCGAACTTAACGCCTTGACGACAGCGTGTGCATCATTCTCTTGTGTCGTGCCAGCATTGCGCGAGGAAGTTGACTCGTGATATTCCTGGAATTTCAGGCTGGCCTAATCCCCGACCTCTTCTCTCCCTACCTCGACACCACCACCTCTTACCCCAATAGCCCTATGGGTTGACTCCGATGCTTCCTGGGATGATTGTGTTTCTTTTTACTAGTATTCTATATACCCCCCATTTTATGGCGAACAGTGTGCTCGTCTCTTTCCTTATTATTTTTCTCCTTTATTTTTTCTCATACTTTACTCTCTGCCTTGTGATTTTATGGATTCCTGTGGAACCGGACGCTGGCGCAACAAGCAAGGCCATCACGCAATGCTGGCCTTGATCTCGGGTTGTCTTATTATGTACATCAGTACTTTGCCCATCATTCCCTCCTGGGGTTGATGTGTGTGAGCTGGTCGTGCGGTCCACTCCGGTGGTAGTTTCTTTTTATTTCCTGTCGTCTGAGGATATCGGATACATAATAGTGCACGCATTAATGTATGTACACAATTAGACTCGAATCTCATTTCAAAAGTTGGCCTTCAAAACCATACTACTGAGCCATTAGACATGAAGAAATGATGGGGGAGCCATGTAGTGCTCCACCTGGAAGGTTCCATGGTCAATTCTCAATTACCCATCCCTAAGTACCGATACAGCTGAAGATCCCCACATTCTCGACAGTTCTTACCCGCCCGGGTCGGGGATATCGGAATTGGAATTCGCCATTTCCATGCTTTACTAATCTGAAAAAGCCCCTCTAAGTTACGATCTCGCGATATGACAAATGATGGCGTTTCCTCTTCTATTAAATCACGGGCTTTCCCAAGTATACCCACGCCATTCACATCCAACCTAAACAATTATGTCGGCACCTAAGATCACCCTCTACACTAACCGCCTGTGCCCATGGGCTCACCGCGCCCACATCGCTCTCAAGGAGCTCGGTCTCGACTACGAAGAGGTTACAATTGACTTGAATACACCTCGCGAACCGTGGTACCTCGAAGTTAACCCAGTATGACCCCTTCTCCTCCAACCCCAGATCCATCAAATAGCCAAATACAGGAGCTAGATTATTCCCTCCCCGCATTTGTCTATACAGCTCAGAGCTAGCAAGCTAATCGGGAATCTTCACTCTACTAGCGCGGCCTGGTCCCCAGTCTTAAGTACAATGGCAACATAATCCTCGAGTCTGGAATCGTTGCCCAGTTCCTTGCGGATGCTCACCCCTCACACCTCCTCCCCCCTCCGGCCCCGCGGAGAACGCCCTTTTCCGCGCACGCGTTGCCTTTTTCGTCGACGCTTTCATCAGCAAGGTTGTCACTCACTTTAATGCTGGACTTCGCTCTGCATCCGAGGAGGAGCGCGATGCCCACGGTGAGGCCTTGGTTGCTGCTGTTGTGAAGGAGATTGAGCCTCTTCTTGCGGAGACAGATAGTAAAGGCCCGTTCTTTGGAGGCAATGAGAAGCTTACTTTGGCAGAGGTACGTTTCCTTTGTCTTATATTGCTGCTTACTTTATTTTATTTTCCTGTTACTAACTTCCTGCCTTCTAGGTCCAAACTGGATCTTTCCTGCTTCGTATCTTGGGTCTTACTGAGCATGGATTGGTTAGCGCCAAGGTTCCTACTCTTCTAGAGGCTCAGGCTCCACGATTCAAGCGTTGGGCTGAGGCTACTATTGCTCAGGAAAGTGTGAACTTTATCTGGGATGCGAAGGCCTATGCAGACCGCGCAAGGGCTCGTCATGCGCCTAAGAAATAACTAGGCTGCTACATATCCTTATTATAGTATATTAAATATATTCTACTAAATCTACTCCGTTAAGAACCGCATCCTTCGTAAAACAACTTGGTGGAACATTTTTTTAAAGAGATCCTATATGTAAAACCTCCGCGCTCCCACATACTTACTCTACTAGTAGACATTTCTCTAGACGTTCTCCTACCTATATATTTTTGGAGATGCTTTTCCAAGTTTCAAGATCTAAACAATCTCTTATGTACATGTATTTGTATACATCCTTCTATGTTCTCTTACACCTTCGCCTTTACTATGATACCTTCAAATTCAACTGCCTATTCTCTATCAGGCGTGCAATCTCTAACTGGGTTGCCTATCATATTCAAAGAAAAAGATTTCTGTTGGAATTGACTTGTAAATTAGATGCTCGCAATAATCTTGAGAGACTATTTGAATTTTAATATACTATACGTGAATGTCATGTGTTGTGAATTATCGATTACAATTTTTAAGTGGTGGGATTTAATACACTGAAATCCGATGGAGAATGACGTGTTAGGACGGTGACAGTTCCATGGATGAGAGTCCAATTCCAAATATAGCCTGTAAGGAGAGACAGCGCATTCATACTTATGTAGGCTTAGGCACTTAAACCTACATTAAATAAATACATGTCATGGCTGTGGGCTCCTGTACAGCATCATGACTTGCAGGACCTTTCATGCCCGGTGGTGTGATCTTCGACAACCCTACTCAATATTACCGGAGCTATGTTTTGGTACAAATCTGGAGGACTCCAGGCTGCCAGCAATCATCATGGATGCCTGGAAATTAGGTATAGTTGTTCGTAGAAAAGAATCGAAATTTAAATAATGTATAGCTCCCACAAAATCCATTTTCTCCAACGTTATCACTAACCTGGAGTGCTTGTTTATTCGTAGACTGACGCACTGATATCACGTGCGGCCGCCGCCCCCCCCACTATCGCAACTACCTGGGCAACAACCCCTCCGCCTCCTCACCCACCCCCAATCATTCCCCATTGCACCCGTGAGTTTTCCTGTGTTTTTAGATAACTGGACGTCTGTGGTCTCACTATGTGAATAACGCATCGGAGACCCAGGCAGTCTCAGAATAATGATCCTATGTCTGTTTTTGTTGACACAGCCACTGACATCGTGTGCCCGCTCTAGGCCTCCCGTCATCTTTCCCCTTTTTTTGTCCTCTCTCATCTACAGCAATCATGTCGGTCCGTATACCATATCCAGTCCTCCGTTTCCCCGTATAGCAATGCTAACTATGTTGTTGCGCAGCTCGCATCTGGGTACGATGACCGCCAATTACTTCCTTTATCCTCCCGTCCCCACCATATTAACTTAAGTCTTGCAGAGTTACCATCGATGACAACTGCCTCACGGAGTTCAACAACTTCCGTCTGAGCCACGGCAAGACCAAGTACATCATCTTCAAGATCTCCGACGACAAGAAGACTGTCGTTATCGACAAGGTTGGCCACGACCAGGACTACGAGGTCTTCCGCAAGGACCTCGAGGATGCTAAGGACAGCACCGGTAAAATCGCTCCTCGTTACGCTGTCTACGATGTCGAGTACGAGCTCGCTGCCGGCGAGGGCAAGCGGTGAGTATCTTTCTTTATAACCTTCTTCTCTTGGCCGCATTACTGATTTAGTCTGTGACATTTAGAAGCAAGATCATCTTCATCTCCTGGGTTCCCGAGGGTGTCCCCACCTTGGTACGTCAATACAATTCCTCTCATTTTAAGATAGAGAGTATTTTTGGAAGGGACATTCACTAATATTACTTTCAGTGGTCTATGATCTACGCTTCCACCCGCGAGAACCTCAAGAACGCCCTGAACCTTTCCAGCTCTATCCACGCCGATGACAAGTCCGACATCGAGTGGAAGACCGTCCTCAAGGAGGCTAGCGGTGGTAAGGCTTAAATAACGGCACCGGCTGGGTCCGGGCTATGCGACCGGTAAAGGATATTATTTGAATTCCGGAGACGCCACGGCACGAACAATCCATAAACCCTTTTTCTCTCTGCACAATCATCCTTCCTCTTCTGCTAGTTGCAATGCAAAGACCGTTACGACTGGGCCATCTTTTTTTCTCCTTCCTTATGTTCTTTGGAGGATCATTTTCATGTTTGCTGATCTTTTGAGCGGTTTCATGACTGCTACGATGGCGGTTGTTTGAACCATGCTCTGCTATCTGTGGTATAGAGAGAAGGCGGGTAGCAATGGGCTGAAAAATTGACGTTTAGGGTGGTTTTGATGTAGAGTATTTAAGCAATCTGACCACCAGCTCTGTTATTATTCATTCATGGAAACAACTTCTCAAAACATATCAGTATCGGGCGCAGTAGTCTTATTGCTCTTGGGGCTCGTGATGGATGCGTCCGGGCGGTTTACAGCTAGGTATAGGGTTGAAGACGAGGAATTGGGGATACCCACGTTAAGAAGTGATTGTTGAGTGAAATAAAGAAATGCTGAACACATAGAATAAGATATCTGAGAGAACAATGTAAGAAATTGACGTTATCTTCGTACTTTAGTACATTAGTAGAGAGCGTCATGAGCGAATGAGCCCGGCCGCCTTTAATCAGCCGAAGCCCGGGTGTGGCCACCACGGCCCAATCAGAGCGCAGCTAAACCCAGAACAGCGCTAGTCCGGATTCTCGTCTTTCCACCTCAAACCACAAGAGCAACTTCAGTCTTCCGTCAACCCACACCCACCACCCCCTCCACTCCCTTCCCCAGTCGAGTCTCTCGTGGTTTCAGGCTCCTCTGGCCTCGATTTAATACTATAAATATCCATTGACTCGTTTTTGACGTGGTGCTGCCACCTCCCACCTACCGCACAATGTTTCGCTCCGTCGCTCGCGCTGTGCCTCGCATCCAGGCCCCCATCCGCGCCAGCCCAATTGCTTCTCTGAATGGCCTGCAGGCTCGCTTTGCCTCCGACCATGCCATCGCCAACCCCACTCTCGCCAGCATCGAGAAGCGTTGGGAGGGTATGCCCCCTCAGGAGCAGGCTGAGCTCTGGATGAACCTCCGTGACCGTATGAAGGTCGACTGGCACCAGATGACCGTCCAGGAAAAGAAGGCTGGTATGTACAAGTCTTGCGAATACCTTGAATCGAATTTTGGCATTGTTTTTCATCTATCCTGCACCCTCCGGAGGGATGATTTTCACTCACCCCCGGGTTTCCCCCCATCCCCCATATCATACGATCTTTTTTTTATATGACGCGATACTGATTGATGATCTTCTTTTCCTATCGAATAGCCTACTGGATTGCTTTCGGTCCTCACGGTCCCCGCGCCCAGAGCCCTAAGGGTGAGGGTTTCAAGATCTTCTTGAAGGTTTCCCAGCTCACTCTCGTCTCCTTCGCCCTCTTCTATGCCATCCACCTCTTCGCCAAGCCCCAGCCTAAGACCATGTCCAAGGAGTGGCAGGAGGCCTCCAACGAATACGCTCTGGTATGTATCCAATTTTATGGTGGTATCTGGTCGCAAAACCAGATATCAAATTTATATTAGCCGCGCTGGTGCTGACCTTTCTTTCTCCTTTTCTAGTCCGAGAAGATGAACCCCATCCACGGTATCAGCAAGCCTGGTTACGAGGGCAAGGGCTTCGTCCAGAGCCCCCCTCTTGAGAAGTCATAGACAGGCCCTTGGTCTGATTGGGGTGAATGAAGTACAGAAACCGGCGTCAGACGGGGTTGGGATCCCCTTCCACACACACGAACGAAACCCACACTCTATAGGATAATTGATATCCTCGGGCTACGGTTCTCCTGCTGCTAACCATGTCTCCTTGATGGATGACGCGACTCCCGTCTGCGCTGGACTGCCACTGATTCCCCTTTGTCTTGTTTTTTTATCGTTTTGATCGACCAGCATCTGAAAATGCGTGTATCCCGTACTTGTGATATAATCAATGTATCTCTTTTGTAGCCATAGAGAAATATGTTGGATTCTCTTTTCTCCCTCTCTTTTATGTTTATATCATATTTAAGAAGTTTTGTTCGATTTTGTGCTTGTATGATCGCATTGACCTCGTAGCCCCAAATGTACCTTGAGCAGGTCAAGGCGTGGGCGCCCGGGGCGATTCGGAACCTGCTAGAGCTGGTGCGGAGAACCCCCTGTCTGCGTGCCGTTTCAACCCCATTGAAGTTTGTTCGGCGAGTTAAAAAGGATAAAAATTAAGGGAAAAGGTATTCGTAGATATATACAAATTCTCTATAGGGGATATTATAAAAATTTTTTAATACTTTGAATAGGGCGGTATTGATCTCCAAGGTTCCCTCATACCATTCGGAAGAGTGAGGGTGAGGGCTCCGGGACTACACGTCAGAGATTTCCACTGGGGAAGCTCCTGCAGGGGAAAGAGAGAGCTTTGATGAGGAGTAACCGCCACGCCTCGGGTTAATTGAGTGACCGTTAATGTCTTTTTGGGAAAAGAGGATTTTTAATGAAATTTTTTCATAATAATTTCCCTGATAGCTATATAAGCTCTATATAAGAATGGAAGATCATTTTTATAGTAGATTCTCCTTAAGCTTGACCATGTTTTCGGATGCCAAGCCGACCGGTGAAGAGTTCTGCGAATACCCTAGCAACGGGGCAGCGGAAGCCAGAAGTATAGCAGGCAACGCGCCACCAACTAGCAAAGATGGGTATTCAATTTCCAAGCTCCATGAACAACAATATTTAAAATGATAAAAATCTATGAAATTCAAGTAAACATGGGGCAAACGTTGGGGATTGTTTCACTGGTAACAACACCTCTCCGTTGTCGGTTCATCACGGGACCATCGGCAAAACCGCCCCGGAAAGGCTAAGGGCGCCCAGTTCCCGTGCGAGTCCACCAAACCTCTTCCCATTCCTCTTCTTCCCTCTTTTCCCTCCATCCACACCCTTCTTACCCTTAATACCACCTCGCTCTTCAACACCATCATCATGTTCAAGAGGTATGTCACCCCCGAATTTCGACCCTACCTACAGCCTGCCGCCATTTTTACTCGATTTTACCATTTTTTCATCCCCTAACTCGCGTTTTCTTAGCGGTCTCGCCCGGACCTTCGGGAGGGCTGCTTTTGCCCGGCCGACCCCCGTCGCCCGCGCTATCCAGCCTCTCCGTTCCAATGCCCTGCCTGCCCTGTCTGCTCGCTTCGCCTCCTCCGATGCCATCCTAGCCGGCAAGGTTCACCAGGTCATTGGTGCCGTCGTTGACGGTACGTGCTCGCCTCCTGGATCCATCGGGACCATCGCGAAAATCTTTTCCCTGGGCCCCAGTCCATCCCTCAACCCATCGCCATCGATCCCAATCATCATTCTAGATCATCTTCTGACTTGCTATCTGCGATATAACAGTGAAGTTCGAGGGTGACAAGCTCCCCGCCATTCTGAACGCCATTGAGACCACCAACAACGGCCAGAGACTTACTCTGGAGGTTGCTGTATGTGCTTCGTGATTGGCTCAAGCCTTCACCCCCTTGAAGGACCTCAACCCCAAACTAACTGTTTTTTATAGCAACATCTGGGTGAGAATGTCGTCCGTACTATTGCCATGGAGGGTAAGCTTACTCCTTTCCCCCCTGATGTTCTCCAGATAGCTTCGTTCTCGGGCCACCGTGTCGTCCCTTTTCAACCGAAAGGGGGACCCACAATTAACCGTGCCGACAACCTTCTGATATCTGATGGGCCTCACCTCCGAACTTGGAATCAACTAACGCCTTCATAGGTACTGAGGGTCTCTCCCGTGGTGTTGCCGCTCACGATACTGGTGCTCCCATCAAGGTTCCCGTCGGTGCCGGCACCCTGGGCCGTATTATCAACGTCACTGGTGACCCCATTGACGAGCGTGGTCCCGTCAAGGCCACCAAGTTCCTTCCCATTCACGCCGAGCCTCCTCTGTTCGTCGACCAGTCCACCTCTGCTGAGATTCTCGTCACTGGTATCAAGGTTGTCGATCTGCTTGCCCCTTACGCCCGTGGTGGTAAGATTGGTCTGTTCGGTGGTGCCGGTGTCGGTAAGACTGTGTTCATTCAGGAGCTGATTGTAAGTCTTTCAAAAAATTACCACCCGCAATTCGACTTGATATCGAATTCTTACTTGGACATCCTTTCTAACAAATCAATAGAACAACATTGCCAAGGCCCACGGTGGTTACTCCGTTTTCTGTGGTGTCGGTGAGCGTACCCGTGAGGGTAACGATCTGTACCACGAGATGCAGGAGACTGGTGTCATCAACCTTGACGGTGACTCCAAGGTCGCTCTGGTCTTCGGTCAGATGAACGAGCCCCCCGGTGCCCGTGCCCGTGTCGCCTTGACAGGTCTGACCATTGCCGAGTACTTCCGTGACGAGGAGGGTCAGGATGTGCTGCTCTTCATTGACAACATTTTCCGTTTCACCCAGGCCGGTTCCGAGGTGTCTGCCCTTCTGGGTCGTATCCCCTCCGCTGTCGGTTACCAGCCCACTCTGGCCGTCGACATGGGTGTCATGCAAGAGCGTATTACCACCACCCACAAGGGTTCCATTACCTCCGTCCAGGCCGTCTACGTGCCCGCTGACGATTTGACTGATCCCGCCCCCGCTACCACCTTCGCTCACTTGGACGCCACCACTGTGCTTTCCCGTGGTATCTCCGAGTTGGGTATCTACCCCGCTGTCGACCCTCTTGACTCCAAGTCCCGTATGCTCGACCCCCGTATCATCGGTGACGAGCACTACGCCACTGCCACCCGTGTCCAGCAGATGCTCCAGGAGTACAAGTCTCTCCAGGATATCATTGCCATTCTGGGTATGGACGAGTTGTCTGAGGCTGACAAGCTTACTGTCGAGCGTGCCCGTAAGCTCCAGCGTTTCCTGTCCCAGCCTTTCGCTGTCGCCCAGGTTTTCACTGGTATCGAGGGCCAGCTGGTCGACCTGAAGGACACCATCCGTTCCTTCAAGGCCATCATCGGCGGAGAGGCTGATGACCTTCCCGAGAACGCCTTCTACATGGTTGGTGACATCGAGTCTGCCCGTGCTAAGGGTGAGAAGATTCTGGCTGAGCTTGAGAGCTCTGCTTAAATGTAATTTTGTCATGTGCTAGCTAGCGGCGTCTTCAACCATCTTCTTCCCTCCACAAATCTTCCCGCCATCTTCTAGCCTGAAACACTGTTCTTTTATTCCTTTTTCTCTATCCTCTTATCTCTTTTTCCCTCTCCCTGATATTTTCCTATGGTCCGGAATTTCCTTTGTTCGAAACATTTGTGTGCCTGTGCCTCCTCCCATTCGACATCAAATCTTGCCTTTGTTCGGATGCGTGTATACTACTCGTTCTACAAGCAAAACAGAATCTCAACAAGGGAATTTGACCGTCGATATCCTCGATTTTGTTTTCTGAGAGTTTCCGGTTGATGTCGTTTGGGAGTTCTCGCGTTACATGTTCCAATGCTCTCGATCTAGACTTGCATATGTCGTCCTGGAAACGGGCTTGACAAACATAGTCTCACCTACAAAAAGGTTGGATTGGATTTTCTAGACTGAAGGAGAATGGGGATTATTCGGTGAAGAAAAGCACGACGGTGATCTGAAGAAGAAATGAAACTTGCAGCTATTCGGGCAGGGATCATGGAGGAAGAAGGATGCAGGGCAGGAAGAGGGTTGATGTGACGTGACATGTCTAACAGCGAGTTGATGAGATTCCCTCTCTTCCTCTTGGAGAATTTAAAGCCTGGTCGGATATGCAAACCCCATCCCCCCAAATACCGTCTGGCTGGCTTGTGTTTCATTATTGTGTATTTAGAGTTGAAAACCATGGCCTTACGAGGCGGCCCTGAGAAATCCTGGTGTTCAATTGTATTTTCCTTTGTGAATGATTAAATTATTGGTAGTAACTGTAGATGTATCTGTAAATGTCGTCAATCAAGCCTACCTTCAACTCGATAACTTAACTGGCAGGATGTATGTCGTGGGCTTTCAAAGTTGCCATCTGTTGTGTCCACTATATGAACGTTAATGCCTAGGTGGGATAGCTTGTCCCAACAGAGTGAACAAATGCTATCATCTACTATGTCACTACTACGTACAACAGTTCTAAGTCATCAAAATCAAATATGTATTTATTAACCTATCATCTGCCTATTCTACCTGGTCGACATACTCTCAGATCAACCTGCTCTACCGTGTGAGTTCAATCACACCAAGCAGCTAATATCAAATACCCATTACAGAGTGTTTTCCAAAGCCAGGACCTAAAAGAAAAACAAAAGCACGTTAGCCTCGAAAACAAAGACCCTCAACGAGAGCAAGAAAGAAAGAAATCTCACCAAAGCAGTCCTTGTCGGAATATAAACCTGAGTAAAGTTCGCCCTCCCATTCCACGGCATATCAGTGGTAAAGAACCTCGTCTCCTTCATATTTCTCCCCAACCCCCCAAAAGCCTTATCATCAGTATCAAGCACAATCCGATAGGTACCCGGAACATCAACCCCAACCCGATAATCCGTAAAGGAGCTCGTAGTATTGAAATTGAAAATCCAAACTAATCCCGCCCTCTCAAAGACAAGAACCTTATCTCCCTCATGCTTAAGACTCACATACGCCTGCGAAGAATGTAACCATCCATACTTCTCTTCTGTAAGCTGCATTCCGCGATCGAACTCGTTCAGGAACCTGTAGCGGAGCAGCTCGTCTTCTGTGAGATTTAGCTGTCGACGCGCGTACCAGAAGGAGTTTCCGTTTCCTTCACGGGGGAAGTCGAGCCATTCGGGATGTCCAAATTCGTTTCCTTCGAAGTTTAGGTAGCCTTCTCCGCCGAGGCCGTGGGTTATTAGGCGGATCATCTTGTGCATTGCCATGCCTCTTTCGATGACGGGGGTGAAATCTGTTAGAACGGACATGTGTGTGTACATTTCTTTGTCGCAGAGCCACATCATTAGGGATTTGTCGCCGACCAATCTGGTTATGTTAGTTTTTGTTTTGTTTGGTGTGGTGTGGTATGGTGTGGATGAAGTGAGTGAGTTACTTACGCTTGATCGTGGCTTTCGGCGTAGGCAATTGTCTTCTCGCCGTGTCGTCGGTTTGTCAATGTGTGTGATAGGTTGCCAATGTCCCATTCGTCGTCGGCTTTCTCTTTCAGTAGCTTGATGTACATGTCTGGGATGGCCATTGCGAGGCGGTAGTCGAATCCTACTCCACCCAGTGCGTGCGGGAGACATAAAGCTGGCATTCCGGAGACGTCTTCGGCTACGGTGATACATTCTGGGTAGAGGTTGTGCAGCATCTCGTTGGCGAGAGTAAGATATGTGACACCTTCTTCGTCGACGGCTGGTCCGAAGTATTCGTGGTATCCACCGGAAAAGCCCCTACATGGCATCGTTAGCAAGAGGCACTGATGATATCTTAATGTGGACGAAGTGAAGGAGAGGAGGATGCAAGGTTATAAGAATGAGGGGATACACATACGTTCCAATCCCATGGTGGGTGTACAGCATGCTGGTAACTCCATCGAAACGGAAACCATCGAACTGGTACTCCTCCATCCAGAAACGAAGGTTACTCAGAAGGAATCGCAGAACTTCGTGGCTACCGTAGTTGAACAGTCGGCTGTCCCACAGCTCATGTCGACCCTTGGCACCCCCATGGAAGTAAAGGTGATCGGAGCCATCAAACATGTTGAGACCATCAAGCACGTTCTTAGACGCATGGCTGTGCACTACATCGAGTAGAACAACCAGTCCAAGACCGTGTGCTGTGTCAATGAGCTCCTTCAAGTCCTCAGGAGAACCATAGCGACTGCTCGCCGCAAAGAAGTTGTTAACCTGGTAGCCGAAACTGGCGTAGTAGGCATGTTCCATGATTGCCATCAGCTGGATGGCATTGTAACCAAGGTACTTGATGCGAGGGAGCATGTTCTGTGTGAACTCCTTGTATGTGGCGACACGGGTTTCCTTTGAAGAGATTCCAACGTGGGCCTCGTAGATTCGTAGACTCTCGGGCTTTTTGGGTCTGGGGTTCTTGAAGCTGTAGCGCTCGTTTGCGGGTGGGTTCCAGAATACTGCGTCGTATTCTGGGGAGACGTTCAGATCTTGAACAACTCGCTTGATCCATGTTGGGAGTCGGTAGATGCGCTCGCCACCGGGGATAACCATTGTGATCTGTAAGAAGATCGAAACGTGAGCATTCTGGTTAAGATAAAATAAGTAGACGAATGAGTAGGGTTTCGTACCTTGATCTTGCTTTCGTGGGGAATAGCTGCAGCTCCATCCTTTGCTAGGACAGTGACACTCCATACTCCGAAGTTGTCCTTGGTCATGGTATTGGCATTTGTATCCCAGTTATCTGCGAGTCTCAGTAATTGTATCCAAGCCTAGTAGCTTCCGATGAGCGATGCACATACTGAAATCGCCTACTAAAGACGCCTCCACCGCATTGGGTGCCCACTCGCGGTACTTGATATCTCCATTTGCTTGTACATGAAGACCGAATGTCTCATATCCCTAATTCGAATCAACGTCGTCTGTCAGTTACTCATTGCTTCGAGGAAGAATCCAGCTTAACGCCAGCAGAGGAATCCAATGTACCTTGCTAAACTTCTCCAAACCACCTTCTGACTTCTCAATATCGTCGGCCCATTTCTTGACCACGCTGAACCTATGCTTCAACACCTCCCGATGTGGTTCCAGCCACGGGTCGAGCTTCAGGACACCTTGGGGGCCGTTATCAGTTATGACGTTTTTGCATTGGGGTAATGAGATCAATTCTTGCGGGGAATAAGGTCCTTACCTGTCCCGTCGGGAATAACGGCAGCTTCAGCGGATGCCATTATGTATTCTTGAGTTTAAGTATGGGGGAAGAAAATAAAAAAAAAGGAAGGAAAGAGGAGGGGGCGAAGGTGCAGTAACCCCTCTCAACGTTTATCGCGTTGCGTTGATGCTCGGGTGGGGATTGCGGAGAGCTCGGGCCTCCGCGTGTTCTGGACTGCCCACTTTCCAACCTTCTGTGCCTACTTTTTACTTTTTTGTTACTGAGTTTTCTTCATTAATATTAATATGATTTATTATTGCAGAGGTATCATATACCTATTTAGTCACATTCGACACCGATTCACGCATTATTATCCCATGAGAGTCCGCATGCATCCAATCTTGGCTTGTAACGCCGTTCCTGGCCTGGCGCAGTGCTACAATCCAGTTGCAGCTAGTGAAAAGGGGTAAAGACGGAATAAGAACTTAATTATTTACTACAATTTCATCTTTTCAAATATCATAAATAAGATTGTTCGTATTTCATCCCAGTGACCAGCGATGGACTACTATTCGCCACCATGTGAATGAAACAACACATATGAACAGGGGGCGAAATGCATAGCCAAGAACAAAAAAGTCAAAAAGAAACACGAATAGCAAATCCCTCAACACGGAAACGTGCAGCAACCCCCCGCCACCATACATCTAAGATGCAGGACTCGGAGGCAACTCACTGGTCGTCCAATTGACTGCGGTCGGTCCCAGTTCAAACTCTAGCGTACCCCCCTGCGCAAAGATGTCATCCCAAGTCAACCAGTTCTTCTTCCATGACTTGCCATTGACCTTGAGGCTTTGTACATAGATGTCGGTATCGCCATTCCCGTCTCCACCGGTTGACGTAATTTTCAGGTTTTTGTCGCTGCCCAGATCAATGGTCATAGACTCGAACCACGGCGAATGAATCAAGAAGGTTGTTTGTCCGGTGATCGGATACAAACCGATCATGTTCCAGAGTAGCCAGGTCTGCATAGCTCCTGCATCGCTATTACCCGGTAACCCAGAGACACCAGTGGTATAGTCTTCCTTGGCTACCTTGCGAGATCGCAAGACTGCCAGGTCCTGTCGACCGACATAGTTGTACAGATACGGGATATTGAACATCCTGCCGAGAATTAACATCAGACACGCACGAGACAAAGCGGGTGGTGAGAGAAACAGGAGATGCTAAGTAGAAACTCACGGTTCATTAGTCGGGTCAAAAATAGTCCCACTCGATCCACTGGCTCCATCAATGAACATGGTATCTAGTCGCGAGACAAAAGTCTCGTTCCCACCCATCAACTCAATGATATGCTTCATATCATGCACATCGGAAAGCGAGTACGCCCACGAACTAGCCTCATAATAAGGATCGCCCCAGTAACCACTAGCGGTCAATGGATCAGTATCAATAAACCCAGATGTATCACGGGGTACCACAAAGCCCAGAAAGCCCAGCGAAGTAAGGTCCGGATTCCAATGATTCCTCCAATTACGTGAGCGATTCAGATACTTCTTTGCGTCGTCTGTTTCCCCCAGCCCAGATGCAACCTGGTACAGTCCGAAATCGTTATAGGCGTATTCAACTGCCCGGCTCACGGCCCGACTGTAGGTGGGTGTGATATAGCCATATTTCAGCCAGTCGGGAAGAGCACTTCGGCCTTCGTGCGTGGATGAGTCTGGAGCCATCCAGTCAACTGGATAATTGACTGGTGTGTCTTCTGCATCTTTGACCATAGCTTTGTAGCCGTCGGCCCAGTCGACGGAACCGCGGACTCCTTTGACGTACGCGTCTGCGAGGATGTTGTCGGCGTTTGATCCGCCTTGCGTGCGGCCGTTGTAGTTCGAGGATCGGGCATCTGGCATGTAGCCGACATTTCTCCAGATGTCGATTAATGATCGGATTTGCTCTTCGTATGAAGTCGGTTGGAGGACTTGCATGAGAGAAGTGGAGCAGCGGAAGAGGTCCTAGAAGTGTTAGCTTTTGATATATTCGCGGAGTACCAGTGAGTCTTTTTTTCGTTGTCGACTTACCCAGAACGTGAAGATGTCTTGATAATATGGTTCAGACGATGACCAGTATGGGTTCTCTCCAGTTTGATTTGTTGGGATCAGATGCATGAAATAAAGAGACGTGTACAGCAAGCTGAGACTGGTTGTGTTGGTGTTTGATGTAGTAATTTTGGACAAGACAACCTCGTTCCATTCAGATACTGCATCTTCAACCACTGATTCAAGCTCAGTACCACTTGGAATTTCAGAATTCACGTTGTTGCAGGCTTGTTTGTTGGAAATCCAGGAAATACCAACGCGGGAGCTGACTTCACTGTCACTGAAGGAAAATAGTCCACCAACACGCGTAGAGTTTGACGTGGATGAAGCTACGCCACCAAGTACCTGGACACTTTTGCCTGTCCCTGTTGCTGTATAAGTTGTGTTGCTGGTAGCAGCAGAATCAAAGTAGCCACCTGTAAATAGGTCAGTTTACTCCAGAATATGCATAATGTATTATAGTCGACATTTACAGAAGTAAATAGTCCAATCTGGTGCCTCATTCCACCCATTATTATAAACGCCCGCTCCTTCATAGTGACCGTCAGAGAAGATAGTGATATTTCCACCTTCATAGTTTTGACTAAGACCCTGACCACGGAATGAAGGCAAAACATGTGAAACATCAACGAGTACATTTCCCTTAGAGCCAGAGGGGAAAGTATACCGATAGATACCTGCCCTTGATGATGCACTTAACTCAACATTCACTCCGTCCCCAGTCTGTGCCTTGTAATACCCAACAGAGGCTGAGTCGGAACCACTCCGACTTACAGTGATATTAGATAGCGGATCACTGATATTGCCAATTAAGGGTAACTGTGAGACAGTGCCATATTTTGGTGCACCACCGGTTCCCTGCTCATGCATCATGCTGAAACCTGAGAAATTCCCATTTGGCAGATACCCTGAGTATGAGTCTGTGCCTGAAACTAGTAGATCGGGACCGAGTTTGACCATGCCAAAGGGTCGTACTGCGCCGGGGAAGTTATTGCCTCCACCTTCTGTTCCCATGCTAGAAGCCACAACCTTATTAGCATTTATCTAGATAAACCATTAGTTGGTGGACTGGATCAGGCCAACCTACAATACATCGACATGTTGACTTAAGTCCTCCGCTGCAGAAGCTGCCACCAACGCCGCTCCTGTGAGTATCCTTGCTTGTCTCATGGTGAATATTCAAGGCTTCGTATTCAAAACCCCGTGAAAGGTAAGAGCTCGGGCCAGATATGTGCGAGAAACACGGTTTTAGATCTGATAACAGGATCTGCAGTCGCGATCAACCTTGTGCATGGATAATCACAAAGAAAGCTTGATGAAAAGAAAGAAGGCTACGCACTGCGTAATATAAAAGACTCAAGTCGCGGGGGAAAGAGTCTACCAAGCTCAAACAATTTACTAAAAACCTAGCGCATCCTCCGCACTCTGTACGAAAGGATCACTTGGGGTGATAATACACTGCAAGCTCCAATTTCGCAAGTTTCGGTACAAGCGTGGTACACAATTGCGCTCCAGCCCGAACACCCAAAAGGCTCCATTTCATTGCAACTAATGTTTTTTATTGAAATTCTTGTTTACCATGAACCAAGGGCGTACCGCAACTTGGCATTACGTGAATTCAAAAAGGGGTCTCTTGACCCACTACTGGCCTTGCCTGCATCGGTCGTGCATCCTGAAGAGAGACATCAGCGAGTTAGAAATAAGGCGAAGACAACGTTAAACCTGATCAAGTCAAGGTTGACACAAGTGGCTTCACTTGAGCAAGAAGATACATGCGAAATGGACTAAACGAGTCTGGCGAAATAAAATGAATTGGCCGAGTGTAACGGTGACTGGGATACGATCCCTGTTTTGACAGGGTATTTGGAGGACTCTGAGTCGTTAGTGGCTAGTGAGATGTGATTGGAATGTTGGGTGTTGATTAAGCTAGAGTTGGTATAGTTGCATACTTCGCGTAGGCTTTAATAGGGTTTGTGTGGTTCAGGGATCAAATCAGGGGTCCGTTTCTATCCACATGTGCCGATGTGCCGATCAGCCACGGACATGGACGGGTGGGGCTGCAAGACCCGTGGACATACCACAAGACACACTGTATGCATGTGTATTTGAATGATTAGATCTTGATATGTATTAAACTCCGTAGATTAAGAGTGGAGGAATGAAAGAGTCTGATGAAAAATCCGAAAAGATAAGATATTATTATACCATTTTCAAAAGTGCCCGATTATCAGTGCCATGTGGTAGAGATTCCAAGGTTGTAACCTGACGATATACAAGTTCTGGTATGTGCTCATCGAGAAATTCTATCATAGACAACTTTTTAGAAAATGAGTATATTAAAATTGACTTAGTAGCAGTATTGGGTATATATCAACGAAATCCTTTAACTCTCATAAAGTTCTAACATTCGCCGGCTGAGATCATCCTGGACCCATTTCTCAATTAAAGCGATAGTATCTCCCAAAAGGTAGTCATAGTGTGGGCCTGTAGGAAGAAACATGGACTGATGGGCGACGACTGCGTCCATTGTCCCCATCATCACAGGCGCCCAGCCCTTATTATTGTCACTCTTCCAATGATAAGAGGGAAGAAGCACGAACTTCTGTGGCTTCTTAGGCTTGTCAGCTTTAGTGCCAGACCCTGAGTCCGTGGTGTCCGTGGTGTCCGTGGTTGAAAGAGATGTTGTTTCTGAAAGGGCCATTTCTCTTGTTTGATCGGGAGAGAATGATGCATTTTCTGCAAGCGAAAGGCTACTCATGCTCGCGCTTGCTGCGTCACTCCCTGACATGCTGGGAGCGAGAGAGTTCTCTCTTAAAGGCGGCGTCGATTCTGGACTTCCACTTTTCTCCTTCTCTTTCTCTTCTAATTTCTTGGAAGGCTTCACTTTCAGTCGACCCTGACTCGCAGTGTAGTAGTTGATAAACCGAAGTCTATGAGGCTTGAGCTCTTGCCTTTCCAGCTCCTTGATAGATTGGTATCGCTGTCGCAGCTCGGTATAATTATTGACACAGTTGGCGAATTTGGCAGGAGAGACAAAGCGATCAAATAATGATTTGGTGAAGCAGTCATCGTGTCTTTTCTTTTCCACAAAATGCTTCATGCCTCCCAGAAATCCCCGATCGGGTTGTCGCTTATCGTTTCGAAAGGGGGGATTGAAGTTAGGATCCGGCGCGACGGTCCTTTCCATGCCCACATTGGGCTTATAGGCAGGGTCCATGCCTAGGGATTCTTCTTCTTCTGCTATTTTCTCTTCAGCTGATTCATCTTCCTTGCGAGGCCAGAAGCTCTTGATTCCGTCGCTGATAATTCGAGGATGAAGTCCTAGGAAGGGGGTATCATAGGCGATAAGACCGAGGATTTGATGTTTTCGCCTGCTTCCATTTTGTAATAATGCGACATCAGCGCAGAGGATTCCGCCAATACTGTGTCCTATCAAGATGACATCTAGATCACTTGCTTGATGCGGTGCTAGCCTGTTATTATTTTTATTAGCTTTTATGTACGTACTAGACATAAGTTTGGGCATTGTGGATCCGATCTGGGATGACGTACCAGGCACTGAACTGGTTTACGGCTGTTTGCAACTCGCCCTGAGATTTGTACCGGGGGTAAATGCGGGTATATACCACATGCGATTCGGTCAGTAAATCTGCCACGAGACCATGGACATGTTTCGGAAATTCCTGGAAAGTCTTCTCATCCCCCTGGAACCCGTGGACGTAGATCAACAAAAGCCGGCGCTTGTTTGAGTCTTCGGGTCTACCAGGTCCGGGTAAGGATATGCTGGGGTTGGGCGGAGGGCGGTCCCATATCTGTTGGCCCACCGAACCCATCACCCCCTGGACTGTACCCTGGACTGCTCCCTGGACTCTCTCCTGAACTGCGGCTATGGCGTTGGCCATGATGTGTGGGATTACAGAGCAAATGGATGAGCTATGAGGAGAAGCTTGACATGATATTTAAAATAGATTGGTGCCGCACAACCTCTCTGGATTCCCCTTGCGCGCAAATGTGCAAGAAGTGCGAAATTAGACCCCGCACATTCCCGCTTCTTAGCCCCCACTCAGCTGGAGGCTTATTAACCAAGATGGTCCACGGTGTTTTTAGAAAATAGGTCGCCAATCCAGCAAAGTCAGGCATAGACCTAGATGCTGGTTTGACAAGTCAAGGCTTGAAAATTGCAAAACTAAGTGGATTCTGGTATAGAAGGAATTATCCTTGCTTAGTGCTGACCCGCTAGTTTAATTAGTTCCTTGGTACAGTCAGCCGTACTTATGCTGGTGGGAAAGTAAAAATAGTCGCAAGGCACTTCTGGATAGAAGCTTCTCAACTGCTTCATGCATTATGTAGGCTAAATCAGAATTTCAGATCCACATGCATAATATGCTGCCATTATTATTAGTATGGTATACAAACGAGTAAAACCTCCAACCCCTGTATGTGGGCTCCACACGTGAGGCGGCTTGGCTTCAGCTTCGCAGGATTCCGAGATTCTTAGGGGAAAAAGTTGTTTCTTTGAATAGCTCTTCCCATAGTCCGGGAAGAACCTGTTTCTCCAACTTCGAATCATCGAACAAATTGTATTTCTACCCATTCCCTACATCTTAATACGCGTAATTCGCACGATACTAACATAGTTCAGTATTTACCAAGATCTATCAAATGAAATTATGGATTGGCTGAAGAAAATATTCACAGGCAAAGATGACGCGACAATCGCCAAAGAGAAGAAGAATAAGCGCCTAAGCAAAGAACACAACAAGCGGGTTCGCGCGCGAGAAACGCAACTGAGACAGGATGCAGATGGAGGCGGGGCCAAAAACGCCAGACTCTTCTTCGGCTCTCAAGGAATTACTTACGATCACGCGAGACATGGAAAGCGACCGAAGGAAGATAAAGATGTTTCTGGATTTCTCAATCATGACAAATAATCACCCAATGCAAAGGGGTGTTTCATTATGATGTATGATGTATATATCGTTTTTATTTAATCCTCCAATGTTGAGCGAGTGGGATTCCACGAGATAGACCCATACTCATCTGTTTCAAGCTCTTGAACCTCATCTTCTGTAAGCGAGAAATCAAAAACTTCAGCGTTGGAAGCAATCCGTGATGGAGTGACACTCTTGACCAGAGGGACATGGCCTTTGTCAATACTCCACCGAATAAGGATCTGAGCTGGTGTCTTGAGATACTCCTCGGCCAGCTGTTGAACAAGTGGCTCGTCAAAACGGGTACCACGCACAATAGGACAGAAGGCCTCGACAAGGATACCACGCTTTTTGCACCAGTCGACGATCTCACTGTGGGCCAGCCATGGATGCAGCTCGATCTGGTTGATACTCACAACACCACCTCTACCTTTGCCGCCGCGATCTGCCTCCAACTCGCTAATGTGTTCTTCAAGTTCGTCAAGATGGTGCACACCATAGTTGCTGACACCAATAGAGCGGACTTTGCCTGCTTCAACAGCCTCAACAAGCTGAAGATCGATATCATTTAGCTGCTGTGTAATGGACTAAAACATCCCTTTCAAGTACTTACAGCTCTCCAGCCACCTTTGCGGTTCTCAGACCCACCGAAGGGATTGTGAAGAAGCATCAAATCAATATAGTCGAGCTTCGAGTCGGCAAGACTTTTATCGACTTGTGCTTTGACTTGCTCGTAGCTGACATCGCCAGCCTTGCTGGTGAAGAAGATTTGATCTCGAGGGATCCCAGAAGCTCGAATGGCGTTACCACAACCGGGCTCATTGTAGTACTTGGCTGCTGAATCGATCTGGATTTGATGTCAGTAACTGGACTTAGACACGTTGAGTATGGATTAGGCATGAGACAGATTCTTCAGACTTACAAGACGATAACCAGCTTTGAATGCTTCTAGACAACATCGCTCTACTTCATCCGCTGGACTTTATGTGAATTAGCATAGCACATGGAGCAGCGTGGCAATAGGGGACAGTTACGTCTTGTAAACCTGCATCCATTATGTTAGTAATGAGACAATTGTTGTTAAACTCGATCGAGATAACGTACTCCAAATCCTAAACGAGGGATCTCGTAACCGCTCGCAAGTTTGAAGGTGGGATGAATTTGGGCAGCCATTCTCAACATAAAGATGCAGACGTGCAAGGTGCGTGGTCACTGGTGGGGTTATGAGAGCTTGAAGGGATGAAGGAAGTCGCCAGCGCTTTTTACAGCCTTTGTTTTCAACTTGAAGGAATACGAATCCCCGGTCTTAATACCTTTCCTCCGATTAACTCCTTTTGATAAGACTCAACTTTGAATATTGGGTTGTTGTCAGCAACACACGATGGTTGGCCACTCCTGAGGTAAATGTGGGGCGGTTGGTCGGGGAAAGCTGTATCTAGTAAGCCCGAGAGTCGGACATGATCCATGCAATCTTTATCCTACTCGAGTGTATCAGATCATCGAAATGAAGCTACTTTGGCTTTCTATAGTCTATCTTTATTTTGTGAGGTGTAATGCGCCAAGACGCGAATTTGAATCAAGATGATGCCCCACTATGTACAGGTGAGGTGAGGAGCCACAATCCGGCATCGGACATGGATGATAGACTGCACACCACACTTTGACGTCTAATCAGAGGAGGTCTCGAATGCCCTTTCACCAGGGGTACGCATCGATTTGATCTTCGTCTGGACAAACACGATGGTTCTTAGAAGACACTGAAAAATACTCGACATCCATGGATCCGTCGAACACACATCCCAAAATTCAGCCGCCTACGGTAGGGACGTGGGCGACGAAACTTCTTTCTCTGGAATAAAAATAATCAATGAGGAGTCTTGCCCATCGGGTGAAGTTTGAAATGATTTTTCGGAGCAACAGTACGAGTTTGAGCGAGTTGCCAGATGGCGACGGCGCCGGTAGTGGGCTTAGCACCGCATAGCTTGTTTTGTATGCAAAAAATCATTTGCTCTAAGTATGAGGGCAATGCAGCATACGTATAGAGAGCGCAATGAATTAAGTGCTGTTGTTTTGTTATCTATTTAATAGTTCCATCTTCAATGAAATTAAGTAAAGTTGAGATCAACAATTCTAATATTTAGGTAGTGGTCGCTGCTAATATGCCCAAACAGTTTTCAGCCCAATCTCAATCAAATAACGTTCATGTCATATGGTATGTCTTCAGTTCGATTAATGTGTCAATAAACTCCTGGTATCTTCATTGCGCACCTCGTTGCGCCCTTGCAGAGAGCTTGGTTAATGTCATTCCGCGGCAGAGGAAAGTTACATCCTTATCCGAGCGACTAAGGCACATTAAGCATTAGCTTGAGACAAGGCTCTTTATTCATGAGCAAGACTATATAATATACTCCGTAGTAGGCGGAGTATAACGAGACTCAGCCCTGGAACACGGGTAGGCGTCCATGTTATTATGACTATTGTATCCACTTTTTCTGTCGATCAAACCAACACGCCAATTATAGCTCTGTCGATATTTACTCTTATAGGGAAATGCCTCCTTGGAATCAGATTTTACTTTTGCCAGTGGGACACAGCCCTCCCATCAGGCCCGCTAATGCAAAGGGGCCCCGGGGGGCTGGTCAGCTCTGTAGAGTTTAAGGCTCAGCTCAGGACACGAATTCATGTAAATCTCTTGCTTTATGACCAAAGAGTCCGAGACGCATTCCTTCCACAACCAAAATCACGTTTACTTTTGGATTCATTTCATTTTCACTACTTTGAACATTAAGATCCCCACAATTTTGTATTGAACTATTTGCCGATCGCATTACTGAGTTCACGATGACTGGAAAAAATGACAGCGAAGGTAGATAGATCATTGAATCCTGTCGCGCTCCACTGGGGATATTTGCGCGTCGAACTGACATTCAAGCCAGGCCTCATTCCCGTCGAGACACACCAGAACGCTATCCTAAGCCCAGTGAGCCCAATGCACACCGCGGAAGGCACCAGTACCTACTCCTCGCCCCCTTCGCAAATCGCAAATGAGCCACCTGTGCCCCCATATGAGCGTAATCGGCCGGAGGAAGCCCCAATACCTGTCGATCCTAACCCAGTGTCAGAAAAGGCATACCCAGGACAACCGTCTCCCAATCAGCAAATAGGATTTGCACCACAACAGCCCATCCATCATCCCGCGGATGTGAAGGCTTACCCAGGACAACCGGTATCGAATCAGTTACAGCCGCAACCATACTATACACCTCAAGTGCAGCCCACAAGCTATGCAAATGCATTGCCGTTACATGCACTGCAGTCGTCTCCAGCTCCGGTTGACTGTTTAGCCTGTAGACAACGAGAAGTGACTAGAGTAGAATCTGTATCTGGATCAACAACCCAGTAAGTTGAATCTCGAATTTTTCATTTGTCAGACTGCGTTACCTCCTGGCAATATAAACATGATTCAGCCCTTCTAACTAGTTTTAGTGCCTTGGCCGCTGTGCTTTGCTTCTGTTGCTGTCTTGGATGCATACCATATTTGATTTCGAGCTTCAAGGATGTTAACCACTTTTGCGGAAAATGCGGCGCCAAGTTAGCATGCTGGCATAACAGCGGTAAAATTGAGGTCCTGCAACATGCACAAACCCAAACCCAAGCCCAAGCCCAAACACAAACACCTGCCCCTGCCGAGTAAAGTATTGGCTCCGGATAGCTTCCAGTATGATGAAAATAGTAATTATCCAAAGATATGGCGAATTGATACCTTTGTTATTGTTTACTATTCTCTCTCTCTCTCTCTATCTCTCTTTTGTTTTGTTCTGCGGTTTTTCTGGCACACGGCGCGACATTTTCTCTGCTTCGACTCTAGAAATTTCATTGGGCATGCTTTATACAGTAGAATTATTGGACATGACCCATATGAATGTTTTAAATCTCGTCAGCGGACTTCAAGAGCAACGTGGGTGTCGAGGCACAATTTTCAAAAATTTCTTGCACCTTATCCAGTGTGTCACGTGCGCGCATGATGTTGTAGTGAACTAGATCAAAAGTAGGCTGATATCCATCGGGTTTGAGGAGAGGATCTGACATTCGCAGTATCGCTTCATTGAGCTTGAATCTGTATTCGTCAATGTCGATATTGGTTTCCTCTCCATCTTCATCGGCCACCTTTATCAAGGAAGCTCAGCCAAACTCTGTTAGTGACAGAGAAGATGCTCGCGGCCAACTCCGAAACCACTTCTGTGTCCATTCCGCATTATAACTTATCCAATCCGTTATCCAATGCGCGGCAGGATCCTGGAAATCAATTCCAGGTGGAAAGACCCACGGCGCAACAATCACTATTGTACGCAACGAGTCACATCTGGTTGCCACAAAAACGAGCGTTTTGAAGAAATAACGTTCGCCGCGCGGATTTATGCAAATATGCTGGATTTGAGGAAGTAGGTCGTAATGATCTGCGACGTATGAAATCAATTTGCCGTTTGCCTCGATGTCTCGAAAGAAGAATAAATGCTGGCTCAGTTGAAACCATCCAAGGCCTTCGATTTCCATAAGTCTGTAACGCATGAGTTGTTGAGCATCGCGGCAGATTTTGCCCACGCGCCGGTGATAGGTTTCCCCTGCAATTCTTATGCCTTTCTTGACAAGTTGAAAGCCGCTGACTGACCAGTCTGCTGTGAGGGCTAGTTCCCAAATCTGACACCGAACTTCGGCTGGTAGACCATAGAAATCGGTAATGGACTCGGCCATGTTAGTCGATATAGTGAAGGCTTCAAATATTTACGATGAAAGATAGGATCCATGGATGCAAATTGTGTAAAGTTATTGATTGAGATGCGGCTGACGCGAATAAGCAGGTGACGCGACACGTGATGGCCCTACAGAGGTTGACGCCTTAAAGTAAATGCCTATATTACAGCCAGTTCCTGAGAGGAACTCGCGTGGAAAATTCAAAATGGCAAGCCATGAGACTCGACGAGATTCCCGAGCGATTCGTGACTCCAGAGGTATCTCGTGACTGTGGATCGATTCGGGTGCGGAGCCAAGGTTCAGCTGACAACTCATCATTCCGATGAATGCCGTCACTTCGCGCGGACACAAAATTTTACAATCGATGTTTCTTCAAGGAAGAAAGACACACTGAGAACAAATCAAACGAAATAGAGCTACCGAACATCATGATCCGGTTACTAGCTACAATAAGTGCTGTGCTCACAGGATCATCCGTGGTCTACTTCTATGTCTTCCACCAGAGACTATCATCGCGGATCGAGCACACCTCGCGACAAGGAAAGCTGGCTTCCTCAAAGGCAAAGCCGATGATAATTAAATCTATTCCCGAGTCAACTTTTACGGATCAGCATTTCGCGCTTCATGATTGCGCTTCGAAATCAGTACCTCGCAGCTCACTTCCAGCGAGTATATCAACAGAAATTCTCTTCACTAAACTTGTTCGCCGCAATATGACGATTTTTACACATTTCCCCCAGGCTTTGATGATCCGACTCATCTCCAGGACTTTAGAGGAAAAGAAAAGCTTCAAAGCATCCCATATTGCGACCCTTGATTTCCACGAAGGCGATCTAGTTTGTGGGCTCTACCGTGTTGTTTCGCGCAGCAGCAACAAAGTTGAATTTGAAATCAAGATGAAGAATATGGAGTTTATCAATGGAAGACTGGCTATTGGATTTGAAGAGAAGGGGGACGAGGTGGTCTTTTGCACTGAGACAATGATGTGGAGGTGTGCGGATGAGAAACAGGCTATGCCACTGGAGAAGCCAGTACTTCACTGGATGCATGAAACCGCAGCCTGGTGGTTGATCGACTCCGGGATTAGATATTTGACAGAAGTGGAGTCATAGCTGAGCCTTTTTGGTTCTTGTTTTCTTCTTTCTTAAGTTCTTTATGATTGTTTCTTTGAATTTCCTCTCATTCCCCACCTTTTCTCTTTATTACAATCAAGCAAAAATAATATCAAAGAGAACCTCGTCGGTTCAGTAGATTTCAATACGGATATAATTGTTTTCTTTTATAAAATGGAAAGACACTTTGCAGCGTTTTATGAAGTATTAATTAAATGACTCTTATAATTACCTATAGAGGTACCTGAAGATAGACAGGGCCCATTTTAATCAGCTCGTTCCGATCGAATGGAAGCCCCTCACCTCTCTTTAAACCCTGGATCCAGTTAACTAAAAGATTGTCACAAGCTTGAAGCCGATCCATATTGTCATTGTAGGGACCGGTCACCTGAACTTGTATAGACACAACAGGATTGCAAGTACGTACCGTAGAGGTTGGAATCTCATACTCTATAGAAGTATCACAAATTCCCATGAAAACACAGTCTTGAGCATAATTGAGGAGTTCTAAATCATTCCAATCGATGTGACAGCTGCGACCAAACATAATATGAACCCAGCCATTTGGGTATTCACTGGTTAGTGTTACTGGGAATCAAGGAATCTGGGGAAGTCTCTTGTATTCATACTAACTAGGCTATCTCGCGAGACAGAAGGAAAGGGGGTCACCTGACACGCGGCAACAACTGCCCTCTCCTCAAGCTCGCACCGCCCTCGGTGAGCTTCCGAACGCGTGCAAATAAAGGGGGGTTTTTTTTTTTTTTTTTTTTTTTTTTTTTTGAAATTTTCGGAATAAAAATAGAAGAAATCAGGAGCGAATAGAACGCAATTGTATCGAAAGTCAGGTATCAATGTTGGTATCGTTAAGCGTTATATAGCGTCTAATTCGCTTAATCGTAGTGCGTGCTGGGCTCGGTGGCATTGCGAAAATAACCAGGTCTAGCCCTTAAAGGCCTTCTTACAAGCGCAGTATACTTACTATAGGTTGCTCTGTTATCGTAGAGTTGCTAGGTTCAGCACGTTAGTTAGGTATAAGTATTTTATATACAAGGCTCAGAATTGATTGATTGAATTTATACTATATAGGATTTATATCATTTAGCGGCGGTGGAGATAATACTGGCGGCAGTCATATAGAAGCTAATACTTATAGTAATAGAGATAGTAAAGTTACTATAGATATAAGAACTGAAGATAATATAGACAGAACTAAAAATACACAATATTTTTTTAAGAACCTCTTCTTAGTTACTATACTCTAGTTAATCTACTTATCTACCTAGCAGAGGGAGTTATAGTTAATAACTAGAGAGTCAGGGGTCCATAGTAGCCCATATCAGTCCTATATATCTTGCTAATAGAATAATGCCACACCGTCAAACACACAAGGGTAAAACCCCAGGATCAGCACTAGGTCCAGTACTACAACTTATATCTCGCTCAGAATAGTAAAGATATCTACAACCATAATATCATTAATAAAAAAAGTGTTCTTTACTCTATCTACTAGGATTCCTATCTATTATATATACTCTTCAGTAGCAGTAGAGCTATCCTTTAAGATTATTAAACCTAGTAATACTACTTCTACAAGTCATATTACGCTAGGTAATACAAATACTGTACCAACCTTACAATATTAGCCTGGTCGTACTGACTTTCTACACAGAAGACCTACAATATATCCCATAGCAGAGGTATAGGATCTATATAGCAAGTAATTACCCTTATAATATAGGAACTATAGTTTACCGTACACCCAAATAATTATTAGTAGGTCCTAGGATATATATCTTTAACAAAGATCGCTTATGATCTCAAAGTCATATAGAAATTATATAGCTCTCTATTAGGTAGTAAGATAACAGAATACCCAGAAGATACCTTAGTCCGATAAACACCTATTGCTAAGGGTTATATTCATAGCAACTATTATTTAAGGATCGAAGTGAAAGATCTACTATCTTACAAGCTCCAGGTCTACCTAATCTGTATTACTCTAAAGGGGGTTACCTGGCGTAGTGCCCACCATAGGGGTATGAATTCCACACGCAACTTCTTTATCCTTATTCACAATAGATTTTAGATATATCGTAAGGTATTTAGTAAGGTCAATCGGTGGGTTTATAGATGAAGCTGCCATATTGTCGTGAGTCGCGATGGATGAGATGAGGAACGGAGATGGATGAGATGAAAAGAAAGGAGATGGTTAAGATAGAAGGGAAGGAGATAGTTAAGATAGAAGAGAAAGTAATAGAAGGGAAGTAAGATAAGAAAGATAAGAAAGAGGGGAAGTCGATGGTAGTACAGTCAGCTCTAAGAGGAAAGAATGTTATCGGGAATATAAGTACTTGTTTATGAATCGTGAATTATGAATTATGAATACTAGCTATATAAGGTTTGAGGATACATAAAAGATAAGGTTTGAAGATAAGATTTAAGGATATAGAAAGGGTAAAATATAGGTTATATAAGCTTTAAGATAAAACAAGGGTCACATAAAATTTAAAAGAAATAATATTATTCGGGATTGGGGAACTATATATTCCTATAAAGCTTAAATTCTTATATTAACTCTTTAGCTCCCACCGCATCAGCTTCTCAAATCTATTTGTTCTCTTCTTCTAGTAGCCCTGCCTATTTAAGTAAATATAGTATAACTAGTATACAATAGTATCCGTATAATATAACTTTTTTGTCTATTACTTATTTAATGTTGTATCTATCTTAATTATCCAGGAATCATAGGTTATATATAGTTTTAGGTTTTACTAGGGGTGGTGTGTCCTATAGGCTTAGTTCTAGGTATTCTATAGAAATAACTAGGTATATATCTTTAAATACTAGTAGAAGTTCTAGCCGATATACTAATTAACCAATATATTTAAGGACTTTAAATCGACCAGCGTAGCGCTACCTAAGCTTTTTAGGTATAGTTTTATTTATAGGAAGGTTGTAACCAGACCAAAGCTTAAGATATATATAGTCATTTGGGTTAAAGAAAATATCTTTATACTTTATGTTATATCTCTTCTTTATCTATATTACTATATACTTTATATACTTATTAGTATCTTATTACACGCTAAATCCGGCTGATGATATTAATATAAAGGCTTTATAAAATAGATTCTAAGATAGACATAAGTTAATACTAAATATTAGCTTATATAGAGACTTACTAGTTAAGGTATTTAGAGAAGAGTTTAGTAAAGTATATAAAGGTAGAAGTATATGATCCTAGTCCTTAGTTAAGTATAGTAATCACTAGTATTATATCTAAATCTTAATAATTTGGTTTGATCTTTTAGATTGGTTATCTACTTATAGATAATATACTACTATATACTATAGCTCTATATATAGTATAGAAAAGATCGCTTTCTATATTCCTTAGATAAATTTTAGGTCCCTATCCGAGATCTATACTAATAGTATATCCTAGTTATCTTATTGTAAGTCAGCTAAAATATATATTATCTATTTTTTACTTAATTAGTTTATTTTTCTAGGTATAGTATCTAAGTATTTTATAGCCTTATATATATAGAAGACAACAGAATTATGATTTAACTTTATAAGAAATAGACCAGTAATAAAGTCAATTATTAATATGTGAAATAGAATAGGTAGAGCTAAGATCAGTTACAATAATCCATATGGGGGATGCCTTCTGATACCATTATATATATATTCTTTGTAATATAAGATATACTTCTTAAGGTATTACACTTCTCTATAGATCACTAAGCCACATATCTTTTACTAATATTAATTAAATCCTTAGTAACCTTACTTATTATATACAAGGCGGAAGACATCTAGTGCTATTACTATAGGGATATATAACTATCTATTATTATCCTATTATATTGAAAAGAGTAAGCTATTCTCTATAATATAGGATAACTTTGCTTTAATAGGGTTATTTATTGCTTCTATATGCTATAACTCTTTATATATAAGGTTCTAGTATAGGTCTATAAGGTATCTAGTCAGTACTTTATTATAAAACTTCAGACTTATTTCTACTGAAGATATAATAAATGTATAAGAGTTATTAATAGAGACTTATAAGACATCTAGATCGTTATCTAGTGCTAGGAGTGTTGGATTTGTAGCTGGTAGACGGGATAGTGTATCAATAACTATATTTGTACGGCCTGACTAGTAGTAGATATATAATCAAAACTGCTGTATATACTACAATACTTATATAAGCCACAAATTTAGGCGATCGGATAATATAGTAAAGAGACTAGATACAAGGTTGATGGTGGCTATATAATTAGTATACATAACTAGTATAAGTTCCTCTAGAGCTACTTCAATTATATAATGTAGCTTACATATAGTCTAAATAATATATAAAACTTCGAGTTCTATGGCCTAATAGTTCTTTTCGGCGGTAGTAAGGAGCCTACTAAGAAATATGATTGGCTTAACTATTGTAGAAGGTGGTGGCACTTTCAGATTCTTATGCTTATATTCTTTTTTAACGTGGAATACTATAATTCCAAAACTAGATTCTTATAATATATCAATATTAATATATAGACGATATACTCTATCCTAGTGTATTAGTCACCTAGGGTTTTAGAAGTATACTTAGACCATATTAAATAAGGCTTATTCTTAGGGGGTAGGTTATACAAGACAGGTTTTTATACTCTATTCTTTATATGCTCTACCAGTAATAGGGCTTTTATAGAGAAGTTTAGTCTTTCGCTGTTGGAGGGGCTCTGCTTTTGCGGCGTATATAGATATAAACTATTGTAGTATACCTGTTATACTAAGATATATTTCTAATTAGTAAAGTATGACTAGGAACTCTAGGTCTATAATAGCTTTAACTTTTTATTCTAGTGTTGTAATACCTAGTATATCTACTTGTTAATCTAAGAGGGCAACTAATAGAAAACTGATATAGTACTTTATTAGCTCTAGTACAATACTGTACTATTCTAGATATACAAGAAGTTAGTAAAGATGGCTTATAT